GTTACCGTAGGGAATGCCACACTCAAATAGCCACTTTTATATAGCCGTTTATAGTTCCGCTTTTCACTTTCGTAGTTAGGTTAGTCAGCGTAGCGTAGCTTTCTCTCTTCTTTATCTCGCTCTCTCAGTATTGTCGCTAGAATCTCTATGCACTTAGACTAGTCCTGGAACCTTCCTCGCCCAGTCACCCCCCTCCCGTGACAGAAGAGCGAAAAATCTACGTACCCCGGCTCTCCTTGCAGTAGATCGCGACACCCTCCCCATCATGCCCTCCAACCGAGAGAAGCGCGCCGCAAGGCGTGCGGCCCTTGACTCACCCTCCCCGTTCGGCGCTCCCGAGCAGGTCAACTCCTTCGCTGCGCTCGGCTCCGCACCCGAGCCGGTCCAAACCCCTGCGGGCGCCGCTCCGGCCGCATCAAGCTCCCCGTCGTCCCCTGCTCCGGGCCTCTCACTCGACGCGGACACCCTCGCCGCCCTCCTCCCCCTCCTCCACATGTACAAGGGTCCCCAAGTCATTCCCTTCGTACCTTTCAAGTTCGAGCCGAGCTTCGCGGGCAATTCGTCGGAGCGGGCCCTCGCATACTTGGCCATGCTCGATCGCCATTACGAGGCCAACAAGTCGTTCTTCCCCGACGGCGAGGACGACCCTCGGCGGGTCGATCAGGCCCAGCGGTGCCTTACCGGGGCTGCGGCCAGCTGGTTTACCAGTCTCGTGACCAACGAGTCCCCCGTCCTCCATTCCTACCTCTTGTTCGCGGAGGCGTTCCGCTCGGCATTCGCGCTGGCGGCGCCGCACGTGGACTACTTTGAGCGCTTGCGCTCCCTCTCCATGGTCGGCGACGACTTTGAGGCTTACGCCAACGCCTTCAACGCCACGGTCGTCCTCCTTCCCCCTTCCTTGGCCTGTCCATTCGTCACCTCCGTCCTCGTTAGCCAATTCCGCGCCGGACTCCCCCCGTACTTGCGGGAGAAACTCAATGACGTCCGCGTCCACACCTGCGGCGGCTCGGCGGAGTGGACCTCCCTCTCTTTGGCTCAATCCTCGGCGGCCAACCTCGTTCGGCGTCGCGCGGTCGTCGCGTCGGTGGCGGGCGTAAGCGGGTCGGCGGTCACTGTTGCGCGGGCGGAAGTGAAGGGAAAGGAGAAGTTGTCGGCTCGGGAGGCGGAAGAGAAGGGCGGTTGTAGGTACTGTCGGGAGCTAGATCATCAGGTGGGGAATTGTAAGGAGCTGGCGGCAAAGGAGGGAGGTGGTCAAGTCAAGGCGGGGAAAGACTGAGCCTGCAGGGCACGCACGGCTCTGTAGGCGGAATGCATCTTGATGCGTTGTGCGACCCTTCTCCTCTTCCCTCATCTACCCCTCCCCTTTCCCCACCCGTCAGGGTTTCCGCAAATGCTTGCATCCCGGGGCTGTCTTTACACTCCGAGTTGTTCGTCATCCCCGTCACGGCCCCTTTCCCTGGCTCAGCGCTGGTGGACTCGGGTTGTTCCGATACCCTCATTTCCGAGTCTTTCGTTTCGCGGCTGGCGTTGCCAAAGGTGGCGTTGAAGGAGGCACGGTCGCTGGTGTTGGCAGACGGCGGAGCTACCCCAGGTGCTATTACACACTCGGTCCAGGTCGCGATACGCCACCCCGCCTCCGGCCGTCTCTGGACTCTGACAGCTCTCGTCATGAAAGGCTGCGCCTACGACATCATCCTTGGCCTACCTTGGATACGCGCCCACGCCCGCCTCATCGACTGGCCGGGTCTCGCCATCCTCCCGCGTCATCATCGGCGTCCACGTCGCCGAGGGGGGGAAAGGAAGGAGAATACCAAGCTGAGTGATATGGAGGGCGGTCGATGTGTACACATGCCGCCCAAGTCGGAAGTCACTCCAACCTTGTTGTTTAAGGCAGTTGACACCTCCAGTCCACCTGCCGCTCCCGATCCAACTCCCACCCCCGCTCCCACTCCCATTCCCATACCCACACCTCCGCTTCCTCCGGGTCACCCCTCAGCGTCTCCACCTCCCCCTTCGGAAACGCACTCGTCCTCGTACCGCGGCACTCCGGAGCTGGACAAGGATGAGGGTGGAATTCAAACGCTGAGTGCTCTGGAGGGCGGTCGATGTGTTAGCATGCCGCCCAAATCGGAAGTCTCTTCAACTGCTTTGGTTAAGTCAGTTGACGCTCCCAGTTCCCCACCCGCATTTCCCCCCACCCACCTGCCCGTCCGACTCGGCAACATCTCCGTCGAGGACTTGGCCTACCTGCCCGTCTGGTGCGGTAGCGTCGCCGTCGAGGACGACCGTACCGTCCCCGTCGAGGTATTCCCGTATGAGCCGGATCCGCCGGAGTATCAGGAGTACCTCAAGGCTAATCTTATGCCGGAGTACCACGACCTGATCGGCGCGTTCTGCAAGTCTGCGGCGCAGTCGGTCCCCATATCACGTCCCGGATACAACCACACGATACGGATCAAACCCGGCGCCGTCCCGCACAAAGAGCACCTCCGCAGGCTGTCCCCGGCCGACCTGGCTTCGCAGCAGGAATGGCTGGACGAGCAGCTCGCCATGGGTTTCATCCGGAAGTCTACCTCCCCCTGGGCCGCCAATCTCCACCCGGTAAAGAAAGACGGGAAGACCCGGTGGACCATGGACAGCCGGGGCGTCAATCAGCTGACGATCAAGGATAGGACTCCACTACCGGACATCGGCGAGTCCTTCTTGCTCATGGCCGAGGGGGCCACCTTTACCAAGCTCGACTTTCGGTCGTCCTTCAACCAGGTGCTGGTGGAGGAGGAGTCCAGGGACAAGACGGCCTTCTTTACCAGAGCCGGGCTGTGGGAATGCGTGGTCATGCCGTTCGGGCTCACGTCGGCGCCAGCTACCATGCAGGCGTTGTCCAACAAAGCTCTCCACGGTCTCAACGGTCGGATCTGCGTCAACTTTATCGACGACATCGGAATCTTCACCCCTCCCGGCGGCGATCACATCGCGGACGTTCGAGCGGTTCTCAAAGCCCTTATCAAGGAGAACCTTTTCGTCAAGTTTGAGAAGTGCGAGTTCTCCAAACCATCCATCAAATTCCTCGGTCACATCATCTCTGCGGAAGGCGTCACGATGGATCCGGATCGCGTGTGCGCTATACGGGATACCCCTGCCCCCGCCAACATCAAGGACCTTCAAAGCTTCCTCGGCCTCGCCGGCGCGTATCGGCGGTACATCCCGAGGTACGCTGAGATCTGCAAACCTCTCACCGTCCTCACCACCGACAAGGCTAGGGCGGCTCCCTTCTCACTTCCCCCAACCTCCATCAGAGCTTTCGAGCGTCTCAAAGCGGCGTTTGGCACCACGCTCACCCTCCGCCACTTCAAATCTCATCTTCCCACCGTACTCGAGACGGACTCGTCCGGTTTCGCCATCGCGGGTATACTCTCTCAAGAGCATCCGGATGGTCTCCACCCAGTCGGCTTTTGGTCTCGCCAGGCTACTCCAGCGGAGGTCAACTACAGCATCCACGACCTCGAGTTGTTGGCGATCGTCGAATCGACGCAGCACTGGAAGTCCGTCCTGGAGTCGTGCGAGGACCCCTTCGTCGTCATCAGTGATCATCAGTCCCTCCAGCACTTCCGGACCTCGCGTCCCCTCACGCCTCGCTTGGTACGGTGGTCGCAGGACCTCAACGCCTTCTCCTACTCTATCAAGTACCGTCCGGCTCGGTTCAACTCGGCGGCGGATACGCTCAGCCGGCGGCCAGACTGGGAGGCTCAGCACCGCCTCAATCCACCGGTCATCGAGCCTATCATCCGCCCGGTCGAGGTGCTCTGCGCCGAGCTGCACATCATCCGCCCCGTCAAGGTGTTCGGCGCCGATCTACCTCCGCGGGTCCCGTCCTTTGTCTCAGCGCCGAATAGCATACCCATCCCGTTGGCCTCGGAAGTACTATCTGGTGTTGAGGAGGAGCAGAGGTGGAAAGGAGAGAGATGGAATAACCAGCTGAGTGATGTTGCGGGCGGTCGATGTGTACACATGCCGCCCAAGTCGGAAGTCACTCCCCCTATCCCGGTTAATACAGTTGACGCACTCAGCCCAAAAGCCGCATCTGCCTGTCCCGCTCTCGCGAGGCGTACCTCGCCGCGCAGGAGCGGGCAAGCCCACACCACCCCCGCGTCGGATCCTCCCGCTCCCCAAGCCTCGGCTCCCTTTGACGAGCGTCTCCTCCACGCGGTCCGGGTAGAAACAACCCGTCCATCTCCCCTCCCCGCCTCCTTCGACTCATCGTCGCCGGTGCTCCGCTTCAACGGAGGGATCTACGTGCCGCCTTCACTACGCGCCGAGGTCATGGCTCTCGCCCATGACTCACCCTCAGCAGGTCACTTAGGGCGGGACAACACGCTCGAGCGGCTACGCCGTACCTACAATTGGGCCGGTGCCTCCTCGGACTGCGCCATCTACGTCCGGTCGTGCGACGCTTGTCAGAAGTCCAAGGCGTCTCGGACCAAGCCTCACGGTCCCATCAAACCGCTGCCCGTACCCTCTGGCGTTTGGACGGATATATCGTGGGATCACATCGGACCTCTCCCTACCTCAAACGGCTTTGACGCCATCCTCGTCATCGTCGACCGGTTCTCCAAGATGGCACACTTCGTCCCAGCCAAGACGACCGACGATGCGCGCGCTTTGGAACGGCACTACCTCCAGAACGTCGTCAGCAAGCATGGCTACCCAAAGACCATCACCTCGGATCGGGGAGCGACGTTTCGGTCGGAGTGGTGGAGGAAGGAATGCTCGCTGTTGGGGACGGAGACGCGTTTATCCACGGCGTTCCATCCACAGACGGATGGTCAGACGGAGAGGGTGAACCAGACGGTGGAGCACTTGCTGCGGATTTATTCCGATTATCTGCAGGACGACTGGGCAGATCGTCTTCCCCTTGCGGAGTTCGCTTACAATAGTGCACCTCATTCCTCCATTAAACAATCCCCCTTCCACGTCGTCTACGGTTTCAATCCACGCGACGCCCTTGCAGCCTCGGCGCCCGCCTCGGATACCGTACCAGACGCTTCACTACGTGTCGCCAACTTGGAGGCCGCTCGTCGGCTCGCCACACTTTCCCTCCACGCTGCCCGGGACCGGATGGAAGCGCTCTCCGTGGTGCGCACGTCTACAGCTCCCACCATCCAGGTCGGCGACCGCGTCCTTCTCTCCTCCCAGCACGTCGCCACCACTCGTCCAATCAAAAAGCTCGACGACAAGTTCATCGGCCCCTACACTGTCACGGAGCAAACCGGCTCTCACAACTTCCGTCTGGCCATCCCGGGCAAGAACATCCACAATGTCTTCCACGTCGACCGCCTCCGCCCGTACGTTGACCCATCTACCTTCCCTGGTCGTACACCCCTCGCTCGTCCCCCACCAGTCATCGCCTCTTCCAACGAATATGAGGTCTCGCGGATACTGGACTGCAGGCGGAAGAAGGGCAAGGCGGTGAAGTACTTTGTGGAATGGAAGGGGTATGGATCGGAGGATAGGCAGTGGGTTGACGCGGCGGACTTCGACGAGGATGATGAGGTGGTGCTGGATTTTGCAAGGAGGGGGATGGGGGTCGGGTCTTCTGTTACCGTAGGGAATGCCACACTCAAATAGCCACTTTTATATAGCCGTTTATAGTTCCGCTTTTCACTTTCGTAGTTAGGTTAGTCAGCGTAGCGTAGCTTTCTCTCTTCTTTATCTCGCTCTCTCAGTATTGTCGCTAGAATCTCTATGCACTTAGACTAGTCCTGGTACCTTCCTCGCCCAGTCACCCCCCTCCCGTGACAAGAACCACCTGTTCCGCTGTGATGTCCCCCTCACTGGTATGGACGATCCAGGTCTCGCCGGTCTTTTCAAAATTCGACACCGGGGTCCAGGAGTATAGCTCGCACTGGCCTGTGGCGAGAGCTAGGCGGAGAAGCGCAGTGGCGAGCTTGTGCGGGTGGACCATCCCTGCTGGAGTGACGGCATAGCCTGCAGCGTGATCTTGGCGAGTGAACTGACCGCATGAGTCGAAGATGACCTTTACCTGGAGCCATAAGACATAAGTCCTGCTCACCTTCTTCGCCTCCTCTGCGTCGTCCACGAACTTGATTCCCTGTGCCGGCGGATACCCGTACTTCTCTCGAGCGGCAGTATATGCCTCAAGTGCCTCTTTCCCGGCCTTCTTCTCCGCTTCATTTCGGAACACTTGGAAGTCAGCTCAGTCTGAACCAGAACGGCGATCAGACTGACCAACGAGGCTCTCTCTCATCTTCCATTCGACACCCCCGAAAGCGCCCTGGTTCAGCTTCTCTCGCTCCACTATCTGCGCTACCAAGCGCATATTTTCCTCTTCATCTTCGAGAATCCTAACCGCTTCTTCAGGAGTATGACCAGCACCGCCGTCCTTGAGTGGGCGAATTAGGCCGGGATAAGAATGGAAGGAGGCAGGTCGCACGTGTCCACCGTTCCGGCCGGCTGGGTTTCTTCAGCGACGGAGACCCCCAGATACGAGCAGACTTACTAGCACCGCTCGCCACATCTTTCGCCTCCAGTACAGCCACCTTCTTTCCTTTCGGTAGAGCGCCTTGATTGATGAGTTGGTATGCCAAAGATGCACCTTTTCGCTTAGCATCGGAGCGTCTTCCTCTTCTTTCTTTGACTCGCCTGTCATTCCAGCCCCGATGATAACGACATGGGCGTTCTCCGACAAGCTGCTACCTTTTCCATAGTTATAGAGACTGGTAGGACCCCGATTCTGCTCTCAGCCGTGCGAGTCAGCACCCACATACCGAGGCTTGCCAGTGAGACACTGTCGAGATGAAGGTCTGCGGGAAGCTTGACATCTATATCCATGGAACGGTGGATGAGACTGATACAAGGATGACACGTGGAGAAGCACTCGCAGGAAGCTCTTCAGTGGCTGTTTTGACTTTCAGCGGCCCTTGACCCATATGGACGCTGGCGTGTCGTTCCATGATGATAGCGCGCCGATAAGGTGCCGAGAAGCTAAAAAGATAAGAACGCATGACGCCAGGATCCCGTAATTGCTAGCTATATCCGTACACCCGCGCCTGACCTCCGGGTTTAGTCGGAGTGATCAGGTGGCGGATGTTCTCATACCTCCTTTGTATTCACCTGTCTGAGCCATATGCTACACGCAGCCCCAGTAGCCCCTGGTGGACCTCCCTATCCTAGTACATGTCCCCCAGCACTACGCGCCCACCTCGAATCCATACCTCCCAACTTCTTCCGGTCGGTATCCCGCACTATGCACTAGCCGCCTTTGATTCTAGTAGCACATCAAGGGGAACGCCCTCCCGGCCTTCCTTGCAGATAGTGCTGACCCAGCTGCTTCGTGGCTATAGCGTCGCCGAGGCAAGCATCGAGCCCACCAGAGCACGGTCGGCGTGAGCTGGAGAGGCGGACGGAGCTCAGGCTGGAGATGGCTCTGCTTGGTCAGCGTTACAGTCCGCACCCGAAGATCATAATTGGCTTACGACGTGTCGCCATCGACGCACAGCCAGTCCACCTGACAACCGAAAACCGAGACTCCACTCGTCGAGGCTCGACTCTTGAAGTACTGGCCTAGTCGACAAGTACCACGTATGCATACCCGCCTGCTTCTATCATGCGATATCGAGCGAGAGGCGGGACAACCCGGATGCCGGCCTGAGGATCTGCCCTCGCTCTGAGACCGTCAGCGTTAGATATAGATGCAAGAGTCGGTATCGAGACTCACATTGCCGCTGCGATGACGACCGGATCCTCCCCGAAAATCTCCGACTCTTCCCCTGTGCCTCCTGCCAACGAGAAAGAACTTCCCACGCCTTCGCTCCAGCTTCCACCCCTCTTCCGACCCACTCCGCCTCACTCAACCCTTCGGCCTTGAGCACCTTCCGGATGATTTTTATCGGCACAACCGCCCCGTCCAGGTCGCTGAACTGTTGCCAGACCGGCTTGACAAGGCGTGCATAGATCTTTTGCCGCCGAGATCCGTCCGGCGCATCGTAGGGGATGATGTGAGACGCAGGATCTCCACCAGCGACGGAGATGATCTCGTCGGCAACCTCCACGTGTTCTTGGAAGAGGCGTACGTGGAGTAGCTCTTTGCCGCCGAAGCAGAGAGACTTGACCGTGCCCGTGAAGCTGCCCGATGTGGCGATCTCATCGAGACGGGGAAAGATCCGGACGGCATCGTTAGGGCGATAGAATTGGCGTTCAGAGGTCGTGTGGATGGCGCGCAAGCTCGAGCAGCAGCGGAGCCCTGCGGCAAAGGCGGGGGTGAGCGCAAAGGGCCCGAAGTGGGTGGGTGGTGTGGCGGCAAAGGGTACATCCGAGTGGAAGTCCAGGGCCCGGACATGACAGAAGATCCCACAGCGAGCTCGAACTGGGAATATCAGTTCTGCACCTCACTGCTTTCCTTGCAATTTACACTTACGATATCTTCCCACCCTCCTGAGTCCAGTACAAACCGCGAAATGGATGGGAATAGTACACTTCCCCGGCAAAAAGCCTCAACAGCTTTGGCATCCCCGGACCACCAGAGATCGCGCAATTGCTTGCAGCTCCGTAGGGTATCGCCGAGGGGCTCTCCGAGTGTATCTGACGTCCCCTGATACAGCAGAGACAGCTCCCGTAATTGGGGTGACCGCCGCAGAAGGGCCAACAGAGGACGCGCATGTAACTCCTCTACCTCCTCGTCGATGTCCCCGTCGTCATCGGTGGGATCGGCGACCGAGAGGTGGAGGCTTACGACCTTTGTGTCGTGGTTGCGCACGGCTGTGGGAGAAGCGACAAGGTGGGAATATGTGGTCATACGGTAGTATTGTTGGTAAATCTCGAGCGCAAGAAGATTGGGTGCGGCTCTGCACAGAACCAAGATGAAATCTGCGTACATGGCGGCCAGCGGCCCCACCACGATACGAGTGAGTGCCGGGAAGTATAGTTGGGCTCGAGGAGCCTGACATCGAATGTCTGGTACCATGGAGATGTACAGTCGTAGTTGCTGAAATACAGATCCGGGCACCGTATGACAAGGCGTTTCAAACGAGGCGAGACCAGTTCGAGGACGTAGAGGGCTGTTGGCGCGCTCCGCGGTAAGGGCGTCACAGTCACCGCCTCTACCATCCCGATCCGACGCGCATCCGCCGCCATGGTGATCTTTTGTATTTTGGCCTTCAAGACCGCCGCCGCGAGGATGTGCGCGTCCCCTTTAACCGCTCGTTGCCAGGCCTTGTACGCCACCGTCTCGCTCGCGGGGCAAGGCTGAACGAGAACCAGCCGACCGCAGTGTGGGGGCAGACTGAGGTCCAGCGTGCGCCATAGTCGCTCTTCCGCGGCGGCTGAGAAGATGGACGCCGTGAGACGAAGGGAGATGGCGGTGGGTGTGTCGACATGGTATGCGATCAAGGACAGGATTTCTTGCGGTAGGGTATGGAGGGTGGGAGGGTGGCGGCTGGAGGCGTGACATCCTTGAATGGGTAGCTGACGAGTCAGTCATGTTCGTTTGCGGAGCTTCAGGCTTGCTGATAACGTGAATGAGCACGGAGTTGTGTGTCGGCAGAAGTTGTGAGCAGTTTGACTCGCCTTCTTCGACCGAGTCCGCACTGACGCCGGCTTGGACACTTGTAACCACCCTTTCTCATAGCTGTCAGTGAGCGACATGTCTCTGTCCTACTTTGAGACAGACTGATTGTGTAAAGGAGAGTAAATGAAAGTGAAGATGCGAGGGTCATGGGCTCGAGGAGTCGAGGCGACAACGCGACTGTCTGCGACTGGTCCCGGGGGATATTCCCCCACCCGCCGTTTCCACCTTTGCAGTGGCTTGAGTCCCCTGAATCTCAGCCCTGCAATAGACATGTATTCTTCACTTCAGCTTCAGCGAATAGTATGGCGCATCGTCATCCTCTCAGCAGAAAGTCACATGTGATGGCGAGCTGAAAATTGGCTTTGGCCCCGACGCAATTCTCAAATCTCCTCTCTCACTAACGCATTCCTCCCTTTATCGCCTGAAACTTTCGGGCAGCATCGTGTCAACGTCGAAAGCCACTGGGAGACGTGAGGCGGTCAAGAGGAATATCGGCTGTATAGCGCTCCGACCGCTCGAACATGTCAAATTGATTTTTTGTGAAATGTGGGTATCGGTCACAGGTAGGTGCGACGTATCGACCATGCCATGAATCTGCCAAAGTCAGCTGCTGCTCCATAGGACCATGAGTGTAAACGGCTCACATTGACAGACCGCGCTCATCCCGACCGCGGCAATTCCCCGCTCCCCACTTTTTCCCGCCACTCCACCAAAACCCGCCACGCCAGCTCCCCAACCTCCAGTCCCCTGCCCATCCAATCCCTCTCATCAATCCCCTCCACCTCCAGCATCTCCCTGATGATCTCCATCGGAACGACCGCTTCGTCAAAATCGGTATAGTCCTGCCAGATAGGCTCAGCGAGGCGGACAAACACCTTTTGGCGCCGAGTCCCGTCCGCCGCGTCGTACGGGATGATCAGGGAGGACCAATCGCTATAATCCGGTTCCGGCGTGGCACAAGGCTCATCGGCGACCTCGAGGCGGTCCGAGAGCAGGTGTACATGGAGCAGCTCTTCGCCCTCGCGGTGAAGAGACCGGATCCAGCCCGTCCGAGTTCCCGCTGCTTCGACCTCGTCGAGGAGGTCAAAGACCTCCAGGCCGGTGCTTTCCTCTGGGTCCCTTTCGATTGTTTGTATGGTGTGAAGATATGGGCAGCGACGGATGTCAGAGGCGAATTTGGGCATCATGCCGAACGGGGTGGTCAGTTTTATGCCTTCGATAGGCTTGATGGTTTTGGCGTCCTCGTCCGGCCGGAGCAAGAAGCATATCGTCTCGATGTTTGGGGCATCGGTGACGAGCTGATACTGAATGTGTCAGCTGGAGCTCGCCCGAGATCCAGCGAAATGGACGTACCATGTCCGACCACTTGAGCGACTCTAAGACCAGCCTCTTCACAGAGGGGAACACCTCGCCTACGTCGAGATTGAAGTTCACGCCTGACGAATCGTTCGTCCAATGTAAGTCTAGCAAGGTCCGGTGCGTGATGAAGAATTCGATAAGGCGGTCCCCGACCCAGTCGCAGCCGGTGTACGTCAGGGAGAGCTGTTGTAGCTGGGTGCACCGCTCCAATACGTCGAGCAGCGGCAGCGCAGAATCGTCATCTATGGTGACGTCCTCCTCCGGGCGATCAAAGAAGGGGATTTGTAGACGGGTGATTTTAGTGTCGGTTATGAGGGTGGGAAAGTCCGGGATGCCGTCCCCGCTTGGCGGAGGCAAAAGGTACCATTGCTCCTCAACGAGCAGGGTGAGGAGATTAGGCGCCATCCGGCATAGCACGGGGAGGAGGTCGGCGTGCGTCACAGCACAGCTGCCGATATGAGCATATGTTTAATAACGGACGGTCGCGAACTCCCGTCATGGCCAGGGTCAGGGGACTATGTATCGGTTCCGGCGGAAGCAGGTCTTCCGCGCCCGATGCTGAGAGCTCAAAGTGGCGCTCTGAGTCCGTTTGGCTGCAGGCCATGATTCTTAGGTCGATGAAAGGAGGAACTCTAGCTATAAAACAGGCTGCCTTGTCCAAGCCCGAGATAAATTGTCCCTTGACGCCTCATCCACTGATCAGCGTCGATCAAGCCGCTATCGACCCACCTCTGCCTTGCCTGTGACTTGCGTCTAAAGCGGCGGCTGACGGATTGACCGGCCTCTGGTCGTCCGCCTCGACACGCCTCACGCCTGACCAGCCCAGATCACATGCTGTGTGCGAGGAGTATGTCATGACGAGATCGCTTGAGGGGGGTCACGGACATGTAGCGACTATTATTAATCGGTTGCAGAGCTCATGATGAGATGGGTGGCGACAACCTCGCTACAGGCGGTCTGTGTAACATGTTTCATAGTTGACGGAATGGTGTGTTTGCCTCTTATCTTCTGTCTTCGAGGGCTGGATGCCGCTGCAAAGACCTTGCTTGTATGCGCGAACATGCCAAGCGTGGCTGGCGAATAGTCTACTCGCGTCAGCCTTTTCTCTCTTGTCTTTCGTCTCTGTAACCACTAGCCTGGTCGAGTAGCCTAGCGATCTACATTGCCCCTGGACAGATAGCCACTTGATACATTCGCCCTTTGACTCGCTATTCCTCTTCTTGCACATCGCTCGCACTCTCGTCCCTCGTTCCTCGACGCCATGTCAGGACCCAGATCACCACCTCCCCATGCTAGGTCCTGTCATCCCTCGCACGCCAATCCCAGCGAGGACCATTCAGGACCCACTCCATTCTCGTACGATCCAGTCAACCTCGTATGATCCCATACTGCCTCGTACGATCTCATACTGCCTCGGACGATCCCATACGGTCCTATACGGTCCTATACGGCTCCCAGGCGGTACTATGGGAGTGAGGTTGCCCAGGGGTATGAAAGGCGGGATATTTCGCCTTGGATTGCTTCTTCTCTTAGAATTGATCTTTCATAAGCTACCTAGTCAAGATCTACCTAGCTCTTACCTTAGCTCAATATATGTCTTGCCTTGCACACCTTCAAAGCCTCGAAATACCTCAGAATCCTCCTCATCCCCATTCGCCGATACTCGCATACCTCCCCGTCTAATACAAGTCCAGAGACTAGACTCCTACCCCCTCCGTCTAGTTCAAGCTAGCCTCCCTACGACCAGCCACCGTCCGCGCCGTTTACGGTCCCAGATCTCTGGGTACGGGTCGTAAGACGCCATCCTCGCTTCGCCTTCTTTCCCCACACACCTCCGTCCCCGTCCCCATCTCATATGCTGCACGTCTCTTCTCCTCGCCACAATCTCCCGCACGACAAGTTCTGATACTCCGGGATATTCGGTCAGGCACAGCATTCACGCATCTAGTTCTCATGTTTTTCAGATCTCGTGATTCTAGGCGTTCTGAATGCATGGAGTGGTCCTACTGCAGGATTATCAATCTACCACTCCTCAGAATAAGGTGAAAAGCGCAAGTGTTAGTTTCTCGCCTCATCGCCGTAGCCGTAAACACTCCCGTCCGCGTAAGACCAGCCGAGAACAGCCAGGTAGGATTGCGACGCAGTCATGTGCCTGCAGTGAGCGGCAGACTAGATTGACGTGGTGTCGGTCAGATCATCAACGTGCCCCTGAATCTTCATACAGTTCTACATGAGGTCCTACCGAGCATGCTAGCTCGCGTTGAGGGGAGTATGCAGTTAGCCGTACTTGTGAGATTGGCCGGGTTGACCGGTGGAGGCCGGCTGAAACGCATGCATGCAAATGTGAAACACGCGCACGGACTTTCTCGAACCGCGTCATCGCGTTTTCAACCTCACCTGGCCAAAACGCATTCCCTACATCTCGACATTCTACTATGCACAAGAGGTCCCTGAAAAACCTGGAAGGTGGTTATGAATCTATCGAGTCCATAGGCACCTTAACATCGAAATTTCGAGCGATATTGGGCAAGCAAGGTGCGATCATAGTTTGAAATATCAGCAGCAAAGTACCAGGGTAAACCCTGGCCAAAGACGAAGACCGAAATGTATTTGTCCGTAAAAGACGAAGCCTTTCCGCCACTGTCTAAAAGACGAAGTCCGGCCTAAAGGATGCCTAAAGGACGAAGCCGGATAGTTTCGGCTTGTTATCATGCCGGCAGTGTGCCGGCCCCGCGACGCGTTGTATTTGTTTTGATCCTCTCCTCTCCGCTCCTTCACCTCTCCACTTTCCGCTTCTATACCCACGTAGCAACAACATCAGCCAGCCAAGCACTATTACTAGCCCTACCGCCTTCTCTCATCATGTCAGAGTAGGTAGTCTCGCGCATTAAGGACTATTGTGGCCCATTCTGACGCGTCGCAGTAATCAACCAACCTTCGCCCCCGCTACCTCATTTGCCCCTACCACTGTCCTCTACGCCAAGCAGACCTTCGGCTCTTTCGACACTGCCAAAATCGCCATCACCCACCTCTCTCTTGCTCAGCGCAAGGCGTCCGTCAAGGCGGAGAAGGCGCCGACGGGATCGCGGATACTTTCGTGCGCGCTCAAGAAGGGGGACGGTTGTAAATATCGTGTCTACCTCAAGTCGCACGGGGCGTCGGGCGGGTGTATCGTTCAAACTCTCATCGACGAACACACTTGCTCTCCTCACGGCGTTCCCGCGCGACTTGGAGCGAGACAAAGGGGCTTCATTCTCGCCGAGGTGAGTCAATAACGCAACTATTGGCTTTGATATAGCTGACACATGCAGGCCACACGACTCAACAAAGGCACCCCTCTCGCCGAAGCCTCCGCCAAAGGTCTCATCGGTCCCCTCCGCGCTTCCACCATCGACGATCTGAGCCGCCAGGCCGTCTCGCGCGCGGTACAGGAGATTAGGGGGGACACCGCGGCCAACCACTGCGCCGACTTCCGTCGTCCCCCGCCTATATGGACCTGCTAGCCCAGCGGGATCCGCAGGCTCATCTGGATCTCCAGACGGACAAGCCTCTGGATGGGTATCGGGAGCGTAGAGATGGAGCTGGGCAGGGTGGGGACGGCAGGGACTCAGAGGATGGGGACAGTGGCGATGACGATGAAGAGGACGTGGCGATATTGGGCCTCTTTGTCTCCCCATCGCCGGCGCGGACATTCTTCCACCACTCTCGGCCTCTCCTCACCCTGGACGGGACATACTCTCGCGCCCACAATACCTACAACCTCCTCCTCGCCTCCACGTCTGACTGCGAGGGTCATATCGTCATCCTCGCTTGGGCGCTCGTCAAGTCGGAGTCCACCGCCACCTGGAGCTGGTTCTGCCAGAACCTCCTCGTCGCCCTTCCCAGTCTCGCATTCGAGGGCGTCGTCATCGTGTCGGACCGGCAGAAAGGCCTGCTCAACGCCGTCGGTACCGTCCTCCCTGCCGCCCATCACGGTCATTGCGCTCAGCATCTGCGAGCCAATATCAAGGAGGCATACAAGGCCAAAGCGGTCGATTCCTTCAACTCCATGCTGTACGCCAAGACCGAGGTGGAGTTCAAGCAACACCTCTCGGCGCTGGAGAGCGAGAACCCGGACGCGGCCTTCTATATCAACTCCATCCCCCACGACCAATGGGCAACCTACGCCTTCCCCCTCCCTCGCTACGGTACAACCACCTCCAATACCTCCGAGCAGTGTAACAACTGGCTCGGTCCCTTACGGAGTCGTCCCATCGTCGAGCTCCTGCAGGGCATCTGGGACCTTATGGCCCAGAACTGGGTCGAGCGCTCGCTGCTATCGACCCAGCACAACGGTACCAACTGCCCCTTCGCCTTTAATTGGCTCACATCTGCCAGCGACGCTGTCCGACACGACGTCGTAATCACCCAAAACGACGAGGCGTTCACCACCGGCAAGACCATCCCTACTGCTCTCGCTCGGATCATGGGGGTGTATGACCATGCGGATCAGCAGCGATGGGTCGTGGTCAACTGGGCGACGCGCTCGGCGACGTGCACGTGCGGTATACCCCGCCAGCATATGCTACCGTGCAAGCACGTCGTGGCAGTGTTGGAGAAGGTCCGCGCGAGCAACAGGGTCAAGGAGTGAGTAGACTTTCAGCTCTGATCATCACAAGAACCAGCTAATATTACAGCCTCGCTGGACCTCAATATCGCTCTGCGTCTTGGCGACAGGCGTACTCGGTACCCTTCGCCGTCATTCTGACCGACGACCTTGCCACCCTCGAGCACCTACAACCCTTTCCGATCAGGATGGCGCATGGGCGGAAGAGGCAGAAGAGGGGGACGCGAGGGGTCAGGCCGACCGAGGCGAGTCAGCGGGAGATACCGGCGTTTGGGGGACAGGGGAAGAGGAGGGGCAGGCCAGCGGGTGCGCCTCAGCACTGTGCCCGGTGTAAGAAGGAAGGTCACAATACGCGTAAATGCCCCGACCCCGCTTTCGATGACCGCTACGCCGCTTTCTTCTAAAATAGAGTTGTAGATAGATAGATGGATAGATGGATGTACATTGATTCCAGCTGAGTGAGATTACAAGCCGAGCCTTGGGGGATGACGTTAAGTGGGGGATCGGCATCACCGGATCCGGAACATTCCCGTTCGTCCTTTAGGGCCGGACTTCGTCTTTTAGACAGTGGCGGAAAGGCTTCGTCTTTTACGGACAAATACATTTCGGTCTTCGTCTTTTAAACATATGCTCCTGCCGATATAGACGTAGGTGAGCGCGGGGAATTCCAGGCCGATATCGATCAACTTAAAGTCGAGCGTCTCGTTGAGCCCAGCCGGCCACCCGTAGTCGAAGACGTACCGGTCCGGCACGTAGAGCTCGAGTCGCTTGAGATGCGACGAAACGATTTCAAGGGTATGAAGAAACCCGTAGACTGCGCCGGGAATCGCCATGACCCTGATTATCTCCACCATCCGCATGCGCCTTTCATCCCCTGCCAAAGCGACCCTCCGCATCTTATCCTTCAGCGCAGCTCTGACCTTCACGACTGCGCTCTGTGCCATCCCTTCCGCCCATTCCCGGTACGCCTTATCCTCGCTGGTCGCGCATGGCTGGACACTTGGCAGCTCGCCGTAGTGCGGTGGAACGCATAAGTCGATGGTGCGCCATAAAAATTCTTCGGTGGCATTTGAGAAGGCGGACGAGGTGAGTCGGAGGGATATGGCGCCTGCTCTGTCGAGGTTGGATATGATGAGGGATATGAGCTCTTGAGGCAGGCTCTGTAGCGTACGAGGGGGTCGGGAGGAGGATGTGGACGTGTTCTTGGCTATCTATACCAGTCAGCATCACATGCGCAGTGTCCGAGTTGAGCAGAATTCTATAACATACCATCTTGACTGTTCTGGCTAGAGCCTCCAGCATCTCCTACCGGTCTGCAGTCACCTGGGATCTATCTCCAGCGCTGGCTCCCACTGGGCGAGCGAGATACCTAGGGTGGTATAGCGAGGCAGATGTATAATAGAATGTGAGGAGACGAAGCTTTAAGCTGGCAGCTTGCTCATTTCCGGACACGGTTCCGGGGGATGTTTGCCACCCAACTCCGCCAAACAGATGCACTATACCTCGACTCTGCACATCTCCACAGTCTCTATCTTAGCCTAATGTAGACTATAGCCTGATCACCTACCCTTACACCGCATCGCGCAGGGCTAGATCCGCATATAGGCTCTGGCAGCATCGTGCTGGATAAGACTGGCATGTAGGCCCAATTGCGGCTTCTCCGTCCAGAACTCCGGATCCGCCCAGCGAGACCCTCAATTGCATTGAGCCAGACCAATATGCCGGATCCAAGGGTCGGTCCGAATATACAGCATATGTTCGAAAGACTGCAAGCTGACAATCAGCTCTCCCAGCCACAATGCGTTACCCTCACTGACCTCCCATACGAGCTCATCGCCATGATTGCTGTCCAGGTGGACCACTACACCGCCCTCTCCCTCGCTCGAGTCGCTCCGCAGCTCACCCTCGGGGCGCAACATGGCATATGGCGCTCACTCGATCTGAGCGTCAGCCCGTACTATGGCCAGCGCCCGTCTTACCGACCTCGGGCGGTGCCTATGCTCACGATGGCGCTACATCTCGCTGAAGAGGCAAAAGGGCGTGAAGATATCCGTCGGGCGGCGCTGAAGCGGAAGGCGGAGGCGATGGCCAGAGGGGTAGCAGCCGGGAGAGAGAGGATGGTCCAGCGGATCAAAGTGGTCTCGGGGACAGCCGGATCGGATGGAGCGCTGGAGCTACTTCGGCTCACCGCGGCGTATCTCACCGCATTGGAGATCATCGCCCCGTTCGATCCGGAGGTGTATTCGTGCGAAGACCCCATCCAGGTCCGGATGATCCACCACCCCCTCGCCTTCCCCTCACTCCGGCACATCCAACTCGGCAGAGGCGCGATCAAGTCCAGCGTCATCATTAGCCTAGTATGCGGTCTCGCCCCATCTTTGGAGTCGCTGAGCGTCAGCATCGATTCAGCTCTGGCGCGGAGCTGGGAGCCGTCGACGTCAAGCAGTAATCTCACGCCGAGGATCAACAGGCAACTACGGCGGCTACATATCGAGAGCGTAGGCGCGAGTCATCCCAATGAGGCGGACCAATCGGACGCCGTACGGTCCATTCTCGACCTCCTCCGTCACTCTCCCTCCGTCCGGCAGCTATATACCAATTACGCTGGACCCAGGCTGGCAGTGGACCGGCTCGTAGTCGCCATATCGGATCTGGAGGATCTACAAACTCTCCTCTGGGACGTCGAAGCGGACTTTGCGACCTACTATCTTGCCATACCGCCTGTTCCTGCTGTCAGCACTAGCGTGAGCTTTGCGAAGCTCCGCAGGCTACTGCTCCGGTCTTCAACGGGTGACCCTCTCAAGGTATGTTCCTTCATGCAGAATATCAATAACAACGCTCATGTCAGATGGCTCACTTCCCCAATCTCCCTGTCCTTGAAACCCTCTTCCTCGTTCCTATACGTACGACTGAAGTCTACCTCCCCTGGCTCTTGCCGTACAGTCCTCGCGAGGATGTACAGGCCCGGTCTCACCTGATACCTCCACACATCGCAGCCGGGACCAGAAGCAGTCCTCAACTGCGATACATCCACACCCTTCCCGATTCTTCCCTCGCACCCGACCTCGAAGAAGAGGACGTCTTTGATCGGCTTGACGGAGTCGAGAGGAAAGCGGATATGAATGGCGTCATCAGTTCGTTGTGGCACGGATCGACCGAGCTAGTTCGGCTTCGTCTACTCCGCTCGGCGCATCCGGCATCGGCAGGCGCTGGCGGAGAGCTACCGGTCCAGAAGAATAGGGATGCGGAGACGGCGGCGGAGGCGGAGCTGGCCGAGACAGATGAAGGGGAAACGGAGATGAATGAGGAGGCGGAGGAAGAAGATGAGGGGGAGACGGAGAAATGGCGGGAATTGACGAACGTGGATGATAAGTGCATCTCGCCGGCAGCGTTGCGGCGGATGAGGCAGGCCGAGGGCGCTAGCGTAGAGGAGTGGGATAAGAGAGGAGTGCAGGTCAGTCACGAGGCGTGGACGAGCGTCATCCGGATGGGCTAGGCCATCACGCGTCACGTAGGGCAGTATGCCGAAGTTGTATCATTTGGAAGTCTGTTGTAATCTTGTAAATCAGTAGATTATGCGGGCATCTAGCAAGGGTCCCGCCCTGTCAATCAGCTAGAGTAGCAGGCATCTTTTTTTTGCTGTTTGCAGAATCACCCCGGCCCAGCCGTATCGCATACCCTATCAATCCATCCAATTATAATCAAATCTACCTGCCCCACCTCCCGCCCTGTCCCCCGGCCCCTTGTCCCCCTTGTCCCCCTTGTCCACTAATAGACCCCCATATCCTCTTCGCGCCCGCTCCCGCCCCCGCTCCCAATCCCATTCCCCCTCCATCTGACCTAGACCGACTTCCTCCAGGCCCAGGATCCAGCTCTGACGGGCCCGCACCCAAGAAGTCCTGGAACGACATATTCCGCTGCCTCTCTGCTCCTCCTCTGCTCTTTGGACCGAGATACGCCTCGTCGTCCACTTGGTCCTCCGCTTCGTCGTCGTCCCCATCGTCCCGCTGCTCTTTCTTCTTTCCCCCTTTGCCCGTACTGACGCTGCGCGGTGGTGTGACCATCCGCGCTCCGCCCGTCCCCGTTCGTGGACTCTGGTCGATCCGGACCGACAATCTCCCCGGCCGTTCCCTCGTCGTTCCAGGCGGGGTCCAGCCTGATCCACCGCCACCGCCGCCGACCTCAGCTCTTGAGTCCGAAGGGACGAGCGGCACCTCCGACCCCGAAGCGTTGACGGGCGGGTACATGCCCATCGCTCCCCTCCCTGCGCCTCCTGATCTTCCGATACTCCCTCCACCACCGATCGTTGGATTCAGGGACACTTGCGAACCCGACGAATAGACCGAAGCGAAAGGGTTGACCGTATCGAAATGGAAAGCCATCCCAGCATCTGGCCCGCTCGCTAGCTTGGGCATAGGCAGGACGTAGCCATGGCCTGAGCTGGAGCCGGAGCCAGACGCGATAGCAGTGTGCGGATCATGAATGTCCGGAGCGGTTGACCGCCGATGCTGATGACCAGTGGGTGAAGCGCCCGAGCCCGATTGATGTCTCTGTAGCTTGCCCGGCCCGTTAGACGACGTGGACCCGCGCGGAGTCGGCGAGTACACCATATTGGGGTATGGGATCGGACTCCGGTCAAAGAGGCGAGAAGGTATGGAGTCGATTCGATTCCGACTCTGCGTGGATGTGGAGGAGGACGCGGTGGAGAGGTCGAACCGATCCACCCGGGGTGATGGGGCGAGCGGGAGTGTAAAGGATCGCGTGAGCGGAGAGGTGACGGCCTGAGCGTCGGAGCCGCCGAGGCCACCAGGGCCCAGGGAGACGATACGTCCTGCGCCGGATCCAGAGTTGGAGCGCGAGTAGGGGGATGGTGAGCTAGATGATGGAGAGTCGAGGAGGGGTAGGAGGGATGGACGGCGGGGCTGGGGTGCGGAGGCTGGGCGGGGTGTGCGAGCGGTATACTGTTATCAGCTCCCTCCCCTCAATATCTTTAAGAGGAGACTCACCATATCCTCGTCAACCTTCTTCCCCCATCTGCCCCTTTCTTCCATCTCAGGTTCCGCCATGTCCCCAGGTATCAAGCTCCAGCTCAACAGCCCCTGATTCTGCTTCCAGCTCGTCCGAACGATCTGCGACAACCTCGCGCCGTTCCCCGGCGTCCCCGCCCTCTTCTCCTTGCCACCCTCCTTCTCCGCATCCAGATCCTTCTTCAGATCATCCCCAGCGGGAGTGACACCGCCGCTCCCGTCCGACCTGAAAATGACATGCCGACCATGACCGAGCCCGTGTCCGTGGACGTTTCCATGCCGACCGTCAAAGATCCCAGAGGAGTTGGTAGGGGAGCCTATCCGGAAGTCGTTCGCGGCAAGATCGGGCTGAATGGTGGGGAGGGAGATCTGAGACGGGGGTCGTCCAGCTTGGGACTGAGGAAGGGAGATGGAGAGGATGAGTGTGATGTTGTAGACTTTGGGTAGCTGTGGATCAGCTCTGTGCAAGAAGAGAGGATACAGAAATTGCTCACCAGGGTCATGGGGAAGTAGCACCAAGCGGTGTTCTGGCGGTAGTAGTATAAGAGGAGGACCGCGACTTGGAGACCGGTCACAGCAGCGCCGCCGTGAAAGGTGATGAGCTAGTCATCAGCTGAGTCCTTCAGCATGGAAAACAACTTACAATAAGCCTCGTCATGAACTCCTGCATGGACGTCCCGTTCATACTGAGCTTCCGCCGCGCCCACCATAGCTCCACGCAGAGGATGGAGCAGAGGATACAATCGACGCCGACGGCCGTACCGAGCCATATGCCCGAATACAAGCGGAATCTACAATCAGCTCTGACCGATACCAGTAAGACTCACTCTCTTGATCCCATGGTGTCCACAAACGCCAACGTCGAGAGTCCATTTGTGCCCGACACTTGCGCCGATGCTATCGAGCCAGCCACCGCCGCCAATACCATCGATGCAATCATGATTGTTGTGAAGGTGATCTTGATGATTTTGCGCGAGAGGAACGGCCATAATAACTCGAGTGAGGAGAGGAAGCGGACTATCCGGCGAAGGAGGAAGAGCTGGGCGATGAAGGCCGAGAGGATGCCGAGAAAGGGAGAGGCGAAGAAGAGGGGGTCGGCCGAGAGAAATTTGGCAATGTTCATGTAGTTGGTGCCGAATATCTGGCATAAGCTGGCGCACTCGAAAGAAGGAGAACAACGGGGCTCACTCTGAAGCCGCGCACCAAGTCGACCAGCGTTTGAGCGGCGCTGATGGTCATTGTTACGACGACGAGGGCAACGCCTAGTCGACGGGAACTCTCAGAGGCTAGTTTTCGCCGAGAAGCCACACTGAGGAGATAGTCGGCGGAGAGGACAAAGACGACGCCCATGCCTGAGATCAGCTGTGCGCATAGGGATAGCTCACCAAAAGACTCGAGCATGAATCCTAGGAAGAACGGTCCAGCTATGGGGTCAGCTGAGGGCTCGAGCGCCGAGCGACAAAAGCACTCACTGACGCTGCTCAGGTCAGCAACCATGAACGAGGACGCCAGGCAGGCGGCCGCAGCGTCGGACATGGTGTACCGAGGTGGACCGAGGAGGAATGTAGAGAGGCAGATGTCGAGGGTCGAGGTTGAACTCGAGCTATATCACGAGGGCGGGTGAGGGAGATCGATCGAAATACCTGACACCTGTCTTTCCCCTTGCCGGGAGGTGAAGTGGAGGTGTCGAGTCAGATCTCCGCTCCAGCTCCTAGACTAGGTCGGTATTGGGCAGGGCGCGGGGTAGAGATCAATCGAGCACTGCGCTAGTGATTCGGAGATATCAAAGCGGCCGGTGCGCACGAGGGTGACAACAAGGCGCCTTGAGGTGATGGGTGTCGGCTAAGTATGGGGCGTGCGTTTCATCTAAGTGATGGTGGATACTAGTACCGCGTGTCGACCGTCGCCCTGCTTACCGCTAATCCTAGTCGTATGACTGATCGAGGCTATCGCTCACATTCCATAGCGAAGCAGCTCACGCTGGGTGTCTTTGGCGAGATTGAGTTGTGTCGGTCGCAAAGCAAAGTTCTGGATGCAAGGGGCTTAATGAAAATCTTGATAGGTCCATGCGGAGAAATCCAGACGAGCGATCGAGATTTCGGGCCGCGGAGGGTCTCCCTTTGGCACGCTACACATTCCTTTGGACAGCTCGCATCACCGCTTTCAAGTACGTTGTCCGAAACAATCAAGAGGAAGGGTGAGTCAGAGGGAGAGGCGCTCCTGTGTATGCACACCGCATACCTCTCGTCTCCGCAAGGAGGCGGAGGTGAAGAAATGCTTAACTCAGGCCCCTAGAGATGGATCAAGCATACAGACAGCCACGTGGCTGTATCAGATCTGCGTACTCGAGTATGACGTCAGCGGTAACTTCGGCGCTGACAGCTGAAGAAGCTAAAGAAGACCTCCACCTCTTCGAGTCGAAGTCAGCAATAGCCGCCGGCATACGCAGATAGCACTACCTTGCTCGAAGAGTACTCGGTGACTGACTTAACAAGCATGAACGCGGATGTTGTCGGTTGATAGTCGGATGAGGGGAGTAATCATGGCCGAGATGATGGGAGCGCCAGATGCGGAGAGCTGCGCGGACTTGCGCGGAGCTATCACAACCCCGGCTTAGCGAGATTCGGTAGGATTCGCGCGGGGCGTTTGAGGAAGCCCACATCTCGTACGTCGCTGCTTAATCTTTAACCCCGCTGATCGCCCGAGGCATTGCGGGGCTGCTCCTAGGCCGTGGTCTGCTGACTTGCGCTTCGGGTATAGCTTCACTACGTCAAGCTGACTGCTCGCCCGACCCGTTCGGTTGAGAGGTATATAGACCCCGTCTCCCCCTCTCGTGGCCCCATCGTTCCCCTTGTTTCTCCCTATTGGCCCCATCAAGTACATCCCTACCTCCTCGCATCGCACTCATCATGGCGCGTACTACCAATACCGGTCCGGAGACCGCTCAAGGCGTCGACGGTGGCCGACATGGATCGACCGACTCGACGGTCTACAATGAGGAAGGTGGCATAACAACCCCCGAAAGTCAGATGCCAAAGGTCGACATGGCGCATGCGGCGAGCTTGCGCCCGTCCAGGCTACATGGCAAGCCATTGCTTGTCATGGTCAATGTGCTTGCCGGTGTGGCCTTTGTCACGTTCGGATACGACCGTAAGTATCCAATCCTAAGGGAGTACGCTAGACACTGGCTGATCGTCAGAGGGTGTCTTGTCAGCGCTCTTGACGCTGCCTTCGTTCATCCAGACCTTCCCGCAAACGGCGGACGGATTCAACGGTCAACAGGCGGCTGTACTTCAAAGTTTCCTCGTCGCTTCCTGTGAGTGTCTCGCGGCCGCTCCTGAAGCAGAGCTGATACTTGCAGACCTCATTGGCTGTTTCTTCGGTGCATTGGTGAACCTGTGGCTCGGCGACAAGCTCGGACGGAAGAAGACCATTGTCTGGTAAGTCGCTCAGGAGGTGTCTGTTGGATGGATCTGGAACTCATACATCAGGGCCGGCATTGGGCTGATCGTCGGTACCGGTCTTCAAGCGGGAGCGGTCAACTACGCTATGATGATTGTCGCTAGGATCTTTACTGGAATCTTCAACGGCCTTCTGACTTCTACTGTGAGTGTGCCGACCGCCTTCCGAAAAAACCGCAGACAGTCCGCTGATTCTACAGGTCCCGACGTATCAGAGTGAATGTGCCAAGCCTCACCGGCGTGGCCAGCTCCTCCTCCTCTCCGGCAGTCTCATTACTTTTGTGAGCAATCTCCCAGTCCGCAGCTATGCTCGAGCTGATATGATAGGGTATCATGTGTGCCTACTGGATCAACCTTGGATTCTACTTTGTCAACGGCCCAAGTTCGTGGCGTGTCCCCATCGCCCTCCAATGCGTTTTTACCTTCACCATGTAAGCATGTCCTCTCAATTGCTCTGCCTTTGCGTATCCCCGTCTCCTCCCTCATCAACGCTACAGCTAATTTCAATTAGGCTTTTCCTCTTCTGGATCTTCCGCCTCCCCGAATCCCCTCGATGGCTTGCCTCCAAAGGCCGACACGCCGAATGTCTCGCTGTCCTTGCCGCTTTGGACGGCAAGACCGTGGACGATCCAGCTGTTCAAAAGATCTGGCACGGTATCGTTGATGCGGTCAACCAGTCTGCCGGTGATTTCCAGCTTGGCGAGCTTTTGACACACGGCCGGAGCCAGCATTTCCGGCGGACTTTGTTGGGCATGGGGTCACAGTGTTTCCAGCAGATCACGGGTATCAAGTGAGTCAGGTATCTGGAGTATGACAACATGGCTAGCGAGGATGAGAGCTGACAGAACAGCTTGATCACTTACTATTTGACCAGTGTGCTCGCTCAGATGGGTATTACCGCCGAACTCTCTCGTGTATTGTCAGGGGTGAACGGGACTGTCTACTTCCTCACCTCGTATGTCTTGATCATACCTTCGTACTTCTCTTAGGTCGCTGCTGACCTCCAGGCTCTTCGCCATCGCCATCATTGAGCGCGTCGGCCGTCGCCCTCTCATGATCTGGTGCGCCCTCCTTCAAGGCTGCACCTTCATCGTCCTCGCCGGTCTTTACAACAGCGTGGAGCAAGGAAATAAGGGTGCGCAGGGCGTATCAGTCTTGTGTCTCTTCTTGTTCAACACGTGGTTCTCGGTCGGATGGCTCGGGATGACTTGGTGAGCTTTAGCGTTTTCGAGTCAAACAAATTGGTCTCATGCTGATTTTTAAGGCTGTATCCGGCCGAAGTGACCCCGCTACGTATCCGGGCGCCCGCTAACGCGTTATCGACGGCCACAAACTGGCTCTTTAACTTCTTTGTATGAGCACCGTAGCTTGCGGAAAGGAATTGAGACTGATCTGGACAGGTCGTCATGGTCACAGGACCCATGTTCAACTCTATCCGATGGGGAACCTATGCCTTCTTTGGTGCCCTCAACTTGGGTCAGTTGCGCAGACCTCTAATCCGTTCGAGCTTCAGCTAACCCTGCAGTGATAATCCTGCCCGCTATCGTTCTTTTCTTCCCTGAAACCAAGAAGTACTCTTTGGAAGAGGTATGTCCTCCTCAGAACTTCGCATGCTCCCACCGCCTGCTGTGTTTGAGAAAAGAATGCCTACTGACGTAGCAGCTCGATCTCATCTTCGCCTTGGCACACGAGCAATCCGCCAACCCCGTCAAGATCTCCCTGTCGGGTGATATTCCCGAGGCTGGTTCGGCCGAGGCAGAGAAGATCCTGGGCGGGACAGGTCAGCGGGGCGATCCGGAGCTACAGAGTGAGGAGAAGACTAGCTCGAAAAAGAAGGGCGGCGGCAGGTTTGGAAAGAAGGACCAGGAGAAGGAGAAGGGCACGGTGCAGCACTCGGAGGATGTGGGGAGGATGGCGTGACCGCCGAAGGGAAGGCAAGTGAAGGGGTGTCGCTGGCAGGGGGGGGGCATGTGGTTGTGGGTTAGGCATTCACGCCAGTGATAGTCCGAGCGGAATAGTGTTCCGCCTTGTAGCTATAGCTAAGTCTAATGTATGCTTTGCGGATAGTGGTAGCGGTGCAGCTGATGAGGTGGGCGAGTTGGCATGTACTCGGTGGCAGGTGGATGAAACACGGGGTTGAGGAATGTGGAGCTGCTGACTTTTCCACCTCGCCTCCCAAAATTACTGACTTCACTCAACCAATCAACATCAATCACCAACCTACTCCGTACAGTGGGGTGATATGAGTACGTCTCAAGATATAGCGCCTTACACTGCTAGGTTGAGCCTGGGCGAAGACCCCATCACTATGGCTTATCGTACGGTGGGTACAAGTCTGTCGCTGGATCACTTAGGGATGCTGCCGAGTTCTTTTTGGGCCAGACCGATTGGCTGACGAGACAGGACGAGGGAGACAACAAACCACCCACAACTCTCACCGATCTCCCAGAGGAGCTCCTCATCCCCATCGCGTCCCTCCTCGACCAGCCAACCTCCCTCGCTCTCGCGCTCGTCTGCCGCCGTCTCACCCATCTCGCCGTTCCCCAGATCTGGCGATTCATCAACTTATCCCCAGACAGCCTCCTCGCACCCACATCAGACGCTCCGGCAGATGCTGGAGGGGTCGTCCACAAGATCCCAAAGGGAGAGAAGGAGGGGCGGAGGCATACAGTGGCAGTCCGTGGCAAGGTCAATGCGATCCTGGCCATGACGGACGTCGAGCCTCGGCTGCTCGGCATGGTGGAAGACGTTAGGTTCCGGAACCTACCCGGTGCGGTACCTTACATCATGACCCTCCTCGAGCGGGTCTCCTCTACAATCAGGGGCCTGACGATCGATCCGCTTCGGGACCCACGGACCAGCACCTCTCGCCAGCCGATAGCAGACATTTTACAGCTCGAGCTTCACCTGCTTGACAGACCCATCTCCTTCTCCCGTCTCACATGCGTCCAAATCGCTCCGTATACGACACTATTCGCACATGTTCTCGTCCCGCTCCTCTGCGCCGCATCACCTAATCTCATTTCGCTCGACGTCGGCCCTCAGCATCATGCCGACCTGCCGGGCGAAGGATGGGTACCTTCCCCTAGACTTGCGGCGGACACTAGTCTACAGCGTCTCAAACTCTGCCTGCCGGACGTCGACTTTGAGTATGAACCCCTCGAAGTATGGGAAAGTGCGATGGGGCAGCTGCTTGACGTCTTGTCGCGCAGCTCCAACCTTCGTCAGCTCTCTGTGCATCCCGGGGATTGGCTGATGCACTATCACGAGACACTGTGGGAGCGGGCGGTCGAGTGCTGCGAGAAACATCCGCATTTGCACGATGTTCACTGGGAGGCGGATCTCAATGAGGCGGAACATTATTTCCAAGACTTCCGGGGTCTGAAAAGACTCGTACTTTCGGCGGGTTCACCGCTGGATCTGGTAAGGGTCTCCCACGCTCTGCGAGAACGGGCCGCGCTGAATAAGCGTAGTTTGTCCCCCCTCGGATGCCCACTCTCGAGACCCTCATCATTTACACAAGGACCGTCTTCGCCAGCGAAGATCATTGCGCCCCCGGCCCGCTCGACTCCCTCGACACTTGCACGCCGCCCACCTTCGCCAAAGCAATGCACCTCTGCTCAGCACTCAATCTTCACGGGTCCGCTTACCTCACATCCATATATTACGTGGGCAAAACGGTCGACATGAGCGATCTCGGCCTCTTCACCAGGCTAGATGCGGTTCAGGGCGGCGAGACGTGCATCGGGCGGGTCTCGTCAATCTGCCACGGCGAGACCGAACTGCTCTACGCTCGATTCTATACGCCGTGGACCGAAGACGGCGATGATTTGTACAACCCTTGCGAATGGCACATCTCCGTGGATCGAAGGTACGTCACCGACCTCGGTGACAACAACATTCGGGTCCATCGTTTTTTCCGGCGACAGGAGACGGCGGAATGGAGGGCGTACACGGACTTTGAGGGGTTAGCAGTACCCCTCGCCCTCATTGAGCGGATGAGGGAGGTCGAAGGCGCTAGCGAGGAGGAATGGCAGGCGAGAGGGGTGCAAGTGGGAGAGGTCGCATGGAGGGTATTGCTTGACTGGCAGGAGACCGTGTTGAGGGGTGTGAGGAGTGATCAGGCGTGTGCATAGATTCGTGAGTATCTCATCAGTACCGACGATGTATGGAGGCGAGATGAAGAGGAAATTGCTGATGTTCAGATGAGCGAGATCGACGTTGCGAACTGGAGATGGCGGTCTGTTGTGCGGCGGATCCAAGGGTGGACGCGGATGGAGGGTCGGACCGGGGCGAAGGATCGCTGAGGGGCGGAATCGCTATGGGGAGAGATGCTGGGCGATGCGAGAGTGAGGGAGTGGCGGAGAGGGAAGTCAATTATCATAGTCGTCGTCTAAGCGAGATCGGCGGTTCAGAAGAGGGGAAGGGAGGAGGATGGGGGAAAACAAGCGGAAGATCGTCAGTAGATCAGACGGGCCAGCTAGGATACATGTCTTATCTAGATCAGCTAGATGTAAATAGCAATACAACTCATAGCGCTTATACCGCCCCTCCACCTGCTTGATCTCCGCATACTGATCGCAAACCGGCATTATCCCCATGACCAGCGACCTCAAGGATATTTCTCCTTGCCCCGCCCGCGCTTCGCCTGAGCGACGGGTAGCTCAGCCTGGTCCGCTCGCCGGTCAGCCGCGTGGTAGTTGTGCTCGTCCGGTGGAGGCTACAACCAGCTGGCTCAGGTGCGCAGTTGGAAGTGTTCCCCTTGTTGCCCAATAACCCCTACGACGACCGAGATATCTGACCATCAGCTCCTGTTATCATCCACCCCGCCCAAGCAAGCAGACTCACCGTCCTTCTTCCCACCGACAAAGTCCATTCCCTCCTCAATACACCTAACCATAAACGGCGTCTCGGCATTTGGTTCCTCGCTGACCTCTCTTGCCTTGTTACACAGCGCCTCGGACACTTTTTGGGGGTTGAATAATGGTAGGCCTGTTCCTGAGCTGGGGCGGGATGGTGGTGGAGTGGGATGAGCGTTTTGAGGAAGGGAGAGCGGGGAGAAGGTGCTTGGTATTTCTGAGGGAGGGGCGAATTCGGCGAGGCAGTCTAGGATGTCTTGGTCGAACTGGTCGTCAGCTAGAGATCACCAAGTCATACCAGTCCCAAGGGGTTAGATCAACATGTGGGAAGGCAGGGGGACTCACGAGATTATCCATCAACCCATCACTCCCCACCACGACCACATCCCTCTCTCGCACTTCCACCTCAAACATCTCCGCATCCTTCATTGGCTCATCCCGACTGTGCGTGCCCACCTGGTGTGGGAAGTTGAAGGCGTGTTGCATCTCCTTGGTGCGGAAGACGACCTCACCGTCGCGTACGACGAGGAGACAGCAATCGCCTAGGTTGGCTATTCGGAGGGAGGTATGATGGAGGACAGCGAGGAGGCAGGTTGATGAGCCGTATATGCCCTAGACAATCAGTCTGTCTTCCGCACATGCCAGTAAATGCAGAAAGAAGGGATACTCACCTCCGCCAGTACGCAAGCTAGACACTTCTCAAAACCCCTTTGCATGACTTCCACCGGATCCAACTTCCTCCGCTGCTTCCCATCCGGTAATCCCCAACTATCCCCCTCCCTCCCCTTCTCCTCCCCTTTGCGCCTCGACCACCCCCTCGGAAACTTGTACTGCCCCCCTTCCTCCTTCTTGCCCGGTACATCCTCGCAATACTCCTCGGCGCCAGCCCACCACGCCTTGACTTCTGCATGGCAGAAGTGCGTCAGGAGCCGACTCCACCGTCCTGCGTCTGCTCCGTTCCTGCCTGATCGGGCCCATCCGCCTACCCCGTCCGCTACGCATATCCCGGTCGGGGTGGCAAAGTACGAGTCTTCACCCACGGACACGCCTTCCATTTCGGATTTGGGAGGGGCGGAGATGTTCTGAAGTGGGAAGGACCGGGGCCGAGGTGGTTGTTCGCGCGGAGCGGTACGGCGCGGGGAGCGCGTAATGATGGGTCGATCCTTGGCCAGCCCGGATGCGCCAACTTGGAAGATGAACTTGGAAAGATACAAGGCGGTGGTGTCCGCTTGCTCTTCTTTGGCCGGCGGTAGAGTAGAAGTTGGCACTTCGGGCGCTGTGGACAGGTATCGAGGGGTGAGGATGAGCCCGCCGGCGTTCGATCCGGAGGAACCGCCAGTCTCGGTCGGCGCGAGCGGGGCGGGGGAGAGCACAGTATGTGTCTCGCTAGGCCGTTGAGAGTTGACCGAGTTGGCTGGCTCGCGTGCTCCCCCGGGTCCAGGAGAGGGTGGAGGTGGAGGAGAGTGGGAGGGTGTGTAGAAGTTGTTGTATGTCGGCAGAGGGGGAAGATCCCCGCCGGACCCGGGGCTGAAGGGGTTCGGGTGTGACTTGCCGAACGCCAGTAAAGGATTGGGGTAGTCGAATCCCGGGATGATGTGCGGCTGAGCCGCGTTCCGGGACGGAAGTGTAGTTGTGGTGTACCCGCGGGAGTGGATGGGATGTGGCGAGCGAAGGGGAGGCGAGCGGGTTGAGGGGTGTGGCGCAACGATGAGGTCAGAGAACCGCCCAAGGATCGCGTCTGTCGTTGAGAAGGTCGACGAAGAAGCGACAGCCCCCTCGATCGGCGGAAGGAGGGCGAGGTACGCCGACGTGCCGAGGACCGCAGCGGCGGTAGGGAGAACAGGCAATGATGGCCAACCTCCATCCCGCTCTTTCCCCTTCCCCTTCCCTTTCCGCCTTTGCTCTTCCCTCCCCGCTTCCGTCTCTCCCTCAACCGCCGTTACCGCTGCATCCGCTTCTGCGCGATAATTTGCAGAGCGCCGCGCTATAGCCTGGTTCAGCGCCGACACCGACCCGGCCGGGTGATAAGCCACTATCGGCGCATATAAAGCTGGCTGACTCGGCCCCGCCGCTGCGTTCCCGCTAAGCAGCGGAGAAAAGACAGCATACTGATTCGTGTGAGCCGCGGAGTGGGCGTGCTGGTGCTGGTGTAGATTGACCGAGTGGGTCTGCGAATGCGATTGAGCGAGGGTCCGGACGAGGCCTTTGCCCAAGCCCGATTTGGGTTTGGACACCATGATGGCTCACGGCTGGAGATTCTCAGCGGGGGCGCATCTTTAGCTGTGAGGCCAGCTCTTGAGGTGTGGGTGAAGCACGATGAGACAGCGAGTAGATGAGTGAAGGCAATGTAACGAAGAGAGCAGGACCAGAGTTGGCTTGACATGACCGAGATCAATAGCATTTCTGCCCAAAGGAGCAATTTCCGATCCTCTCCGATGACAGCACGGGGGAGATGCTTCAGATGCGCACAGCTAGTCCTTGTGCCAGCTGGGTAGAAGGGTGGGTAGAAGGGTCAGCTAGCGGTCACGCAGGCTTGAGACAGGTCGGCCAACCATGAGCTAGATCCGACATATGTTATGCATCCATCCCTCATCGTCACTCATTATAGTCGTGTCTCCACCTCCGCTCTGTCTATTCGCCACCCCCACCCAAATACCTCCCCACACCCTCATAACAAGCAATCATCAGCCCACACGCCGGCGCCACCTTGCCGCACCTCGGTACCGTACCCGCAAACAATGCGCCCCACCCTTCCGTCTTGATCACGTGCATCGCCAACGGCAAAGTACTCGCTTTGTGTCGAAGCGCAGCGGGCGAGCAGTCTTTGCTGGGTGTAAAGACCTGCCGGCGGGTCTTGAGGACGTCAAAGGGCTGAGTGACGAGTGCGGAGATGGTTCCCGCCATGGCGCCGGAGAGGAAGGATATGGTGAGTGGGGAGAGAGGGGGAAGGGGGGAGGTAGGAAGAGAGAGGTTGGTCTTGAAGATCTCGAAGCCCGCCCAGTATATCCCTGGATGTCAGCTATGATATAGTGCAGCAGAAAGAGGCGTACCTGAGAAAGGCACATCTCGCCAGAGAGTAGGTCCCAGACCTCTCCACAGCACAGTCAGGTTCTGAGCCTTGACCAAAGCGCTCATGTCCTTGAACACGCTCGCGTAGGACGGCGAGACCCCCTGGCTCGGTAAAGCCTGCAGGCGGGTCCTGAACATCTCAATTGGACTGATAGTGGTGGCCGACAGCGTGCGGGCAAGCGCGCCAGCGACAAGAGGGGCGACAGTGAACGGGGTGGGAGGGGCAGAGGAGCCGGGTTTCCGATGAATCGAAGAGATGTGTGCGTCAGGGTCGGTAGAATTAAAGAAGTAGGGGGATATGCGGGTGAGGAGGTGCTCGTAGCCGATCATATAGATTGCGGCGGAGGGGATGGACATCGTTCTGCGGGTCAGTAGGGGATCCGGACAGATTACGCCGATCTCGACAGCCCTCGCGCGTCTGGCATTCTCCGCTAGTCCACCGTCTCCGTCTCCGGACAGCTGTTCCTCCGGAGCACTAACGACCCCTCGCCACCTTCTCCTCCTGGACATGACTGAAGAACTGTAAGACCACTCACAGTGCCGTTCCAACACCCTTCCATAAACCCCTAACCCCCACTTCCGACCTTACAGCAGCCACCTCTCCCCAGAACCCACTCCTCACCATCCCCTGCAGCGGCAGCACGAGCGTCGCCATGCCTTCTGCACCCATCACCCCCGCTCCACCCCCGCCGCCTCTTACATTCCTCGCTAGCGCCTCCTCGAAGCTCACAGCGTCTCCCCATATCCCCGCCCACTTGCTCGGAAACGCACATCCCCGCGGCGCTTCTGCTGGCGCAATGATCGGCCCATGTCCCGGTGCCGTCAAGGACGAAAAGGTAGCTCTTGCCGCTGCGGTGGCAGAACGTCCGGCCGAGGAGGCGCGAGAGGTGATATCGTCTGGTGCGGGGGAGGTGAAGCATGTCAAGGGATTCGTAGATGGCGGAGCTTTGGTCTTGCCTGTTCGACGAGCAGAGACAGCGGGCTGAGTCAGGAGGGAGGTCTGACAGCATTCGGAAGTGGGGCGGACGGGGGCGCCGAGGCTGACGCCAGAGTCGGATGGATGCGGGCGGACAGTCTGGAGACGGGTCTTGAGGACGTCAAATGGCGTCACTGATGATCAGTACGGTCCTGCTGCGGATAGATGAAAGGAACTTACTCAAGAGGGATGTGACGATCGCGCCCGTCATCGCCGCTATGACCTTTGCCTGAAATGGCCCGACCTTGGCCTGGCCAGAAGCCCGCATCGGCTGGGATGAAGGTCCAGAATCGGGCCAGTCTATCCCATCTACCGCTGAAGCGCGAAATGGTGTCCCACCGAGCTCGAGAGGGCGGTCCGAGATAGGCGCAGAAGGGGAAGCGGCGAGATCGCTCATATCCGGCAGATATGGATTGATTAGGTCCGGGTGGGTTGTCGAGCCTGATGCAAGCGGTCGGGAAGAAGTTGACGAGGAGGACACCATTGTGCACGAGCGCTAGGGGCCTGCCTGGGTATGAGGAAAGATGTACTGTGGTTGCTATTAGTTGATCGATGACTTCTTGTCAATGTCTGATAAGATCAGAGCCAAAAATCGGGATGACGCAGCAGCGAGCGCGATATCGGCCGAGGAATGAAGCGGACTTCGCCGCACTCGGACGGGTCGGTACAGAGAAGATTTGCCGTCACGGAATTATACGGTGTTATGAGCTTCTGAATTCAGGCTTGCTATCTAGTTACTTCGGCCTTCTTGCATGTCGTGTCTTGGCTACGTTCCTCAGTGTTCCTGCTTTGCGGGACAAGCTGGGAAAGGGGAGCCAGACCGTACGCTCGTCACATCACGCAAGCAAAGAAAATTGATGTCGACAAGGCTCCTTGTGGAGCCTGGCCTTCAGCAATCCATGCGTGATCGACGATTTGCAAGCCTGAACCGCCTCCTCCTTGCCACAGATCAAGACTGCACAACTGACAGTATTCAGCCTTCACACCGCTTATTACTTGCTCACTGCTTCTGACACCTCTCAAATCGGTCTGGGCGGGGAGCAATCCGCCACGCTAACAACGATCAAAACACAAATGCGTTGGGTAGTATTGTCAGTTTCTAGGGTCGGGTGGTGCTGTCAGATACGTATCAGTACAGCTGCCCAGCATATCTTGACTTGACTTCATCATTGTCAGACCGAGCACAGATGGCCGAGTACCTCTTACATACAACGCAGTATCCGCAGGCTGGGAAGAATCAAGTACTCCGCAGTAGCTTCGGTCAGAGCTTGGCCAGATGGGGCTTGCTACTCCTGCTAGCTACACTGCAGAGTCAGCCTACACTAGCGTCCGGCTGAAAACCCCAGGTAAGGACTCACAAGAACGCGCGGAAAGGTGATGGACTGGAGCTGAAGATCGCGCCCTAATTCATCAGTCGCCGCTCTCCTCTATGTCCCCTCGGCAGATTGAGGCTTCAAGTTAAGACTCACCTTGGGGACGAACACGACGTCTCCGACTCTGGCGATGATGTCTTTGCCAGTATCTGTCCGGATGCTACTGATCAGCTTGTGCACCCGGTTTTTAGTGCAGCATCCCCAGGCAGACTCACTGCCACTCGCCCGAGATGATATATTTCCACTGGCCCCCCGTCAGCTCTCTCCAGAGGTGAAGGTAGTAGCCTGACGCAGCGATATACCCACCTCGCTCTGCGTCGCTCCATTCTTGTTATTGACCGGATCTGACGTTGCATCCTTCTCAAACATCCCGCCTGTATACTCGGACTTGACACCCGTCGTTCCCAGCTCGGCTGCACCACATCAGCGCTTGTAAATGCGAGTATGGCGTCAAGACGCTCTCTGGATAGCTTCACTCACTGACCCACGTCCCTGTCCCGAGCGCATTCAAAGCCATCTTATCAGTCGACTTGAAATGCCGGATCTGGGGGGAAGTAGCGGGAGGCATCTTGGGTCTGCTTCGAATTCGAGTACGAGCAGTGCGGGAGAAGGATGGTGGCAAGATATATGTCAAGAGCTCTAGGAGCTCCCAGCCTGCCATCTCATACGACGCAGATGCATGGGCATTGCGAGCTTGGGGTAGAACAATGGCGAACCGTCGGCAGAGTCGCTTATCTGCTTACGGCAGCTCGGGTCCTTCGGCCCCGATGGCGAGGTACTTCCGAAATCGTTTGACTCAGATCGATGATATCGCCGCGAATCTCCGGATTATGTTAACATGTTAACACCCACGTGGAATCTATGTTAACACCCACGTGGATTCACCCTACCGTGGGAGTGTGATCTGAAAGGGTGGGGATGGTAGCATCAGTAGTAATGGAGGGCAAAGAGCTGTAGAGCTCACGACGATTCATGCAGCATGGGAGCTGGTCGATGTGAGCTGCTGGCTGCGAGAGCGGCATCGCGGTCAGGCCAGTATGTCAGCAGGGCGCGGGGTCATCGAACAGCACCAAGGAGACAGACGGCAACATGCGGATACATGGCCCTCCGCTACGTCACCTCAAGCCTTGATCCCCGCCCTCCCGCCCAGCTGATCCATATACGCCGCCCTCGCTTCCCGCATGTCCGTGTCCCCGGTTGAGCGTGAGTGAGGAGTCCACTTTGGCTCGTCTTGGAACAGGCGCATGGCGGTGATGGTGTCGGCCGAGTCCACAGTGAAGCGGTGGTATATACTGTTAGGTATCAGCTATTGACCTCTGCGAAGGCAGGGTTCCTCGCAGCGGACGCAAACATACCCTGCTGGCAGGACGATCAAGTCGCCCTTTTCCAGTGCTATCCGGATCCACTGGTCATCGTACTTTCCTCCAAACCCTGCTTGTTAGCTCGCTACACTACCGACAGAAGCAGGGAAGGGAGCCAACCTCGAATATCAAAGTATCCCGACCCGCCGAGGATATACCGGATCTCTTCGTCCTCGTGCAGATGCCTAAAGTATCAGCTGATCCCTCACAGAGCTGGCGAAATCAACGGACTCATCAAAGAACGACTTGATCTTGGCTTCGTAAGCCTCTCCCAGTCCTTCTCTTGTCACTGTGATCTGGTCTCGCTACCACGTCAGCTCAAGGGTCAGTCTTAATCAGCATGTCGACACACGTTCTTGTATCCCCTCTCTTTTGCAAACTCATCTGCTTCGTCAGCTTCAGTCCGCTCGGTCGAGTCTAGCCTGCCAGCTGATACGCACCTATTTCAGCCTTCCAGCGATCATCATCCTCAATAGCTATCCGCCGATAGACAACACCGAGACGCTCGAGCTCATCCGCTGAAATAGCGGATCCCGAGTCATGCTGCTCCCGCTGGTCCCCTCTGGTTTGTCAGCGCCTGATTTTCGGGGTCAAGATGACCACGCACGGTACATTGTCGTATGCGTAGGCTCTCATTGTGTTTGTGTGGGTAGTAGCTGTCAGTATAGTCAGAAAATCAACGTATGAAGGAGCTGGGAAAAAGAAGCTGGCTCGGCGACCGATGACGCACGGATGGCGCAATGCCGCGTGGTGCACTGTGGGAAAGTGACTAGAATTACCCAAAGGGGGTTGATTTCTTTGACTGAGCTTATTTGGTTCGGGATACAGCTTCGCGTTTGAAAGGCATCCCTTCCTAACTCTATCCATCGCACAGCAACAGGCAATCGCCACTTCACTGCTCTTTTGTTTCCTACAATAACATCGTCCGAGACGCCTCTGGATAACCCACGACACGTCCATCGCTTCTTATTGCCGTCAGCGTAAAAGTCCGGCCCAGAGGGAACGGATAAATCGCCCTGTACCCCTCGTTTCAAGTAAGTATACATTCCCTGTCCCCTCCCTGTATCGCCTTCCACCTTGCCCACCCCGGCCCATGATCACAGCCGCTCTCGCCCAAATCGGCCCACATACCTGCTTCCGAGCCCGAGCCTCAGTCTGCCAGGCACATGTCTCACACCCTGGGCCTGGTCTGCAACCTGCGCGTCATCGCTGTCCACTCTCGGACGCATATCGCCCGGCGCAGTGCAAAGGTGTCTCGCGCGTCTTTTTTCAGCTCTTCATCCTTCTTCACTTCGCTTCTATTCCTGCTGGACTTTCATCTGCTGTGCATAGTTGACATTTCAGTTCTGTATCTTCTAAGCTCGAGCCTTCAGCCCGTGAGTTCGCATTCCTCGCTTACCGCGCTAGTCCCTGCTCCCGCGAGACCGGCCCAACCTCCTGCAGGATTTGACCTTTCGACCAGCATGGACGTCTCTGCTGACTTGTTCAGAAGTCACCACTTTCTCGCTCGTCATTCATCTCGGTAGATCTCAGCATCAGCGGTCCTCAAGCCAAACACACGTTGAACCGTCGCCGAGGAAGGGGAGACTAGCCGGATTGGGTGGCGACAACCAGATTCTCGACCTCCAGTGAGCTAGAACTGCCCGTTCCTCTGCGGACTGGAAGCTGATCCTACAGGCCCTCTCCCAATACTTCCAGACGATGCGGTCCCAGTCGGTAGCGCTCGCTGACCCGGCCACGGCCTACACTTTATCGGAGAAGCTCGGTACAGGCTCTTTTGGGACAGTATGGAAAGCGTGAGCTTAGTGGGACGGAGCGCTCTCGGGATAAGCTGACCCGTTAGGTCGAACAACGAGACCAAGCAGATTGTCGCTATCAAGATGATCGGTAAGCTGAGAACTGCGTCTCGTCTCGATCTTTGCGTCGAGACCTCAGCTGACCCCGCAGACCTCGAGAGCAGCGACGACGACATCTCCGAAATCCAAGCGGAGATAGCCCACCTTTCCACCTGTCTCTCGGACCATGTCACGCGGTACTACGGGAGCTTTGTCCGCGGGTACAGGCTTTGGATTGTCATGGAGTATCTGGCCGGAGGGAGCTGTCTTGACCTGGTCAGTTGTCGAGTTCCCAGGAAGGATGCTCAGCTGACATCTTAGCTTAAACCCGGGATTTTCAACGAAGGTCAAATCGCCATCGTTTGCCGGGAACTCCTCCTCGGCCTGGCGTACTTGCACGACGAGGGCAAGATCCACCGGGATATCAAGGCTGCGAATATCCTGCTTTCTGCTGAGGGCGCTGTCAAGCTCGGTATGTCACTCCTTCACCTGCAACTCCTTGCCGTATCTACATCCCGTTCTGCTGCTCAATCACCTGTCCCAAGAGTCTCGCTGACTTGACAGCGGACTTTGGTGTCGCCGCCCAGCTCTCTTCCCACGCCTCTCAGCGGCACACCTTTGTCGGCACCCCATTCTGGATGGCCCCCGAAGTGATCCGCCAAGCGGGATACGACTCGAAGGCTGATATCTGGTCTTTGGGTATCACCGCCATCGAGATGGCGAAAGGAGAGCCACCTTTGGCGGAGTATCACCCCATGCGCGTGCTGTTCTTGATTCCGAAAGCTAAGGCGCCGATGTTGGAGGAAGAAGAGGCTAGCCCAGAGTTCCGGAGTTTCCTGGCTAGGTGTTTGCAGAAGGATCCGAGGGATGTGAGTAGCTCCGCACCCAGAGCCTCGTGAAGGGATAAAGCTGATCATCTAGCGAGCAACAGCCCGGGAGCTCCTTAATCACCCATTCATCCGAGGCGCCCGGTCCACTCGACACCTACAAGACCTCATATCCCGACACGCAGGCTTCCGAGCCGCCCAGCCCAAAGCTCGCAGCACCCCCAGCAAGACTCTCACGCGCCAAGCGATGGGATCGAGCGGGCTCACCATAAATGGACCCCCCGGAGCAGGAGAGATGGGCGAGTGGAACTTTGACGAGACGATAAGGGGGACTATGAAGGGTATGAAGGTAAATCTGGACTTGGCGGGGTTGGAAATTGGGGATAGTGATGAAGAAGGAGAAGGGGAGTGGGAGGTCGGGATGGGCGGAGATGAGGATGGGGAGGAGGAGGTGCCGTGGGAGAGCGTGAGGGTTCGGGTGGATGGGCGAGGGGAGGGATTGGGAGGGAGGGGTATGAATGTGAGCTTGCCCTTACTTCGAGCATGGCCGGAGAGTACAGCTGATATCCCAGTCTTCAGAGATATCGTTACCTCTGCTCGAGCCGTCCTCTTATGCCACTCCCGGATCGAGCGGCTCGCCTCAGACGCCGCAGACAGACATGGACATCCCGGACGAGCCGTACTCGCCAGGCGGGAAATCTACCTGGAAAGAACGGCATAATGAGGGAAGGGGGACTATTCTCAAGCAGGGCGATATTGGAGATGGGTGAGCTTTCACACCCGCTATCTCGACATTGGAGACTGTAAGCTTATACAGTAGATATTCGACAGTCCGACCCGTAAAGAAGCTAGATGCGGCCGCGTCTCAGCGTATGTCTACCGAGTTTATCGGATCCGGCTCGGTTCGGCGCATGCCTACCATTCCTTCTGCGGCTCCGAGTCCGAGCGGTGCAGGTCTCGATAGCCCCATGAAGCCTCGAGCTCCACTATCGGCCAGAGGGCGGGCGGGGCAGGTACTGGTTGAAGAGGTTATGCTGGGTGTTCTTGATTCGGTGAGCTAGCTCATGTTCATATCGGGGCTGTCTACGATGAGTGTTAGCTGATAGCTTAGACTGCGGCGGGAGACCACGATGCGCCAACAGCCGAAGCGCTCCAGCTCATTCGGAAAGGCTTTGCGGACTTGGGAGGTCATAATCCCGAAATGGCCTATCGGGTAGTGATGGATGTTCTGGGCGGGATCAAGCAGTACGTCTACTCAGCTCGCCTGCTACGTCGCTTCCGCTTGAAGAGGGCCAGAGCTGATCTTCTAGGAACGACGTCGTCCACGCACACGTCCGAAACATGTCTATCGCACGACACATCTCCGCCCCATCCCTCCCTACCTCCTCAGCACGATTAGCGGGTCAAGCCAAAGCGACACCCGGCGCCCGAACGCCTCCGGGCGGTGGAGCGTATGCCCAAAAGTCAGGAGCAGGGGTTGGAAAGGGCAGAGGTGAAGAAGCGAGTGGGGAGAAGGTTCAGGATAGAAGTCCACTGGCGGATTTGTTATACCTCAGATGTGAGTGCAGCTATCATCCTGTCGACAGCGCTCGATAGCGGTCAGGAACGAAGCTGATACATTAGGGCTGGATGGACTGAGGTTGAAGTGGCCGGGGTCTTGAGCTTGGCCCATGCGGGCGTGAGCCAGGGGAGCAGTGGTGCAGGCGAGGGTGTACCGATATTTCTGGGTTATTTTCTTTTCATCTCACCGACATCTTCATACATTATAGTGATCTCTTCCCATGTCTGTAGCATATACGATACCTGCTCATGCCCCATGCATGGGTCTACCTGCACGCCTCGCTGTGGCCCCACATGGGTAATGTACATACAACAATGAATCTGACCACCTGCTATACATAGTCCAATCAACCGGCATTCCGCCTTACACGCTTCACATCCCCCGCTACGCCTGCTGCGCCTGCTGCGCCCGCTGTTCGCAATCTCGCCGGAGCACTCCTCTTCTCCTTCTCTATTCCTTCACCATTCGAGCCCTTGACACGCGTCCTGCTCCCCTCTGCTTCGACGGCGCGTCCACCGTCCCCTTCTCTCCGCGTACGCTTGGTCACCCCGCTCTCCAGTCGGGCCGGTGCGCTCCGCTTATCTCCTGCCGCAGGTGCCGCTTCCTTGCCCTTGCCCTTGACCCTCCCGCCTGCCTCCTTCGAGCCATCCTCCTCCGTTGACCCTACCGCGCGGTTCTCCTCGTTCCGCTTCTTGGCCTGGGGCAGCCGAGCAGAGTTGCTGTTCCCGGAATCCCCTGAAGATCCGGACGACGCTGACGTCCGATCCAGCGCTCTTGGGCGCGTGAAGGCCGCCTGTACATTCCTGGCCGATGCTCTCGCGCCGGATCCGGACGAAGCTGTCGCGCGAGCCCTGGATGGTGCGGCGGCGAGTGAGGCGGTCGGATGGAGAGGATCGTCTGGCCGGACCCGGAGCGGGGCGCGGCGAATGGGCCGGGCGGACGTGGTTGTCGTCGCGGTGGAGGTGGAAAGGATCCCGGACCCGGATGATACCAAACGCTTGATTGACGCCTTTGCCCCGTGCGGAACGGGTCCGAGGCCGGTACCGGACAGCGTCATGGACGAGGACGACGCCAGGGCAGTCGGAACGGATGGGAAGACGGGTAGGGACGGGTATAGCCTAGACGGGCCAGCTTCCGCATCGCCAGAAGGCGAGGCGGGTCTTCGCGGCGCCGATGTTGACGTTTGGGCAGGGCGGGCCGTGACTGCTGCAGCGGGTAGCGAGGACGACGAGGGCGTATAAGCCGGACGTGAAGATGTTGGGCCGTCGTCTTCTGGTACCTCCTGTCCTCCCTCGGCAATCTCGTCCAGCCTCTCCCCCTCATCAAGCAGAAACCTGGCCCGTCGGCGAGATGACCGCCGAGGTGTTTCTGGCTCCATGACCCGGCGGCTACCCTCGGCCGCCTGGATACGGGGCCCAGGGGACAGATGCCGGTGATGCATCGCCTCTGGAGAGCCGTCAGATGGCCTGATTGACTTGGACGGAGAGATCAGGCCTGATGTTGAGCTCTCCCCTACTTCGGCGCGAGAGATTTGGCGCGAGCTCGCAGCTGGTTTTCGCGCCGAACGGAGGAGCCGACCGGGAACATGAGGGGTCGATAGAGACACATTGGCTTCGATTGGGACAATATCGTCCGCATCGTCCTCGTCGCTGATTACGACCGTTTCTGTCTGCACAGCGATCCTGTTACCGGTCGGGGTTTGCGAAGGTGAGGTCATCGTTCGCGTGACGGCCAATCTGATCCGCTTGATAGCGTCTGCAGCAAGGCTGAGAGGGATAGTGACGCCGAAGTGGACGATGACGGCAGATAGGGAGTGAAGGAGGAGAAGGATGAGGTCGATGGGCTTTTCGTACTGCCTAAAGAAGGGGCGGAGGAGAGACGTGTAGATAGCACCAGATGCCTAAGCCATCAGCTACGTTCTCTGTTGACGCGGTAGAGCATGAGAGAGGAGCGCCTGGCTTACAGGCTGACGGAGGAAAAGGAAGGCTAGGCACGCGATCGCTTTGAGCGGGGCGTAGAACGGCAGCCAGCCGAATAACCGAGAGATGATTGGCTCGGCTTGTTCGATCGCAGCCTGTGTTGTCAGCTGATCATCTTTATTGGCATACGAGCGGCACCAGGAACACAATGCTAAGCTCACATATGCGATCCAGCTGACAAGAGTCTCCGTCATCGCCTTGCGCCTCGTAGCTTTGCCTACGGTCCGTCCATTTGGCCTGATCACCCGGAGCGCCCGGAAGCTATCGACAATGGCAAGTATCAACCTCATGAGTCAGCTCTACGCTATCGAGCTCCATACTACTGATGTGGTCATCAGAGCTCACCATAATAGCTCAAACACTGAGCCTTGCAAGGCTAAGTAGAGCAGTACCGATCCAACGAGGATCGTCCATGTCGAGGGGGTCATCTTTCCTGACTCCGCGACATGTCAAGGCTATGCGTTTCCAAGGGGGATGACTCGATCAATCAGACGCCCTTCTGATGCCTCGAACAGCGTCCCCCTTGTCGTTTATAGGCTGATATAGGCTGTATGAGATGAATCAAGAGATCAAGAGCTTGGCTTGTGAAGGAAAGCAAGCGCGTCAAGGTCAAGGGGATATTATCCAAGCGGAGTTTCTATATTTTATCCCCGTCCAAACTCGACAGCCACAACGCCCCAGCAACAGCTCTGACTCTGACTCGGCATACCTTACCTCACCTACCATACATACATCTCATTGGGCTATAGGGCGGATTCAAGATGGACTACGCGCAGTTCAAGGGGTGAGCTGCCAGCTGCTTGTAGTGTGCCAGCGGGAGCTGACGAAAACAGGAAGCCTTTCCAGGTGGTCTCCAAGCTGGGTGTGAGGTATACCGGTATCTTTGACCATATCAGCCAAGAAGACCAGACGATCTGTCTCTCCCAAGGTCAGCTGCCGTGAACAGAAGGCCGCTGAACACAAAAGCTGATCACCAGTGTTCAACCATGGGACAGAAGACCGACCGACTGCGCGAAAGCTCCCAGGTTCGACGAGTACTCTCGGTTGGGTTCGATTCCAGTATGTCTGCCTCGCTTACCCAGTATAATCATAACTGATTGACAGTACCGAGTCAATAGAGTCACTAGCGCTCGTTGAGAACTACATCGCACCTGGGGCCACAGAAGAGCCCGCTGACCCTATTCTCGCTTCCGTTGTGAGTCCCTTTCCTTGTCTCCTTTCCCTTGGCCAGACCTCACCTTTTATGATGAAGCATTTTTCGGATGTTATACGCCTACGGGCGGTTGTCCGAGAGCGCAAAACCCATGTGGACACCTCCGTTGCCTTCCTTCTGACTCTTTTCTCTTCCATCTCATACTCTCACAAACCGAGTGGGACAAGCGCTGACTCGTTCAGAGCAACACCGCACCCGGAGCCGCAGCATCCGCTCCTGCACCTGCTTCCAAAGCACAACAACCCACACCTTCCGCCGCACCTGCCTCTTATACTCTTCCTCCCAAACCTCCTGTCTCATCACCACCACCCCAAAGCTCGCTCGATAGGGTCCAGCAATCCATCGCTGACCTCTCTGTCTCCGGACAGAACAACCGCGGTGCTCAGCCCAACTATAGACCTCCGCGCCGTATATCCCGGGCCCAGGCTATAGAGGTACCGGACGCAGAGTTTGACTTCTCGAAGGGTACCCAAGCCCTCGAAGCGGAAAGGGAAGCGCGGAAGGTAGGGGATGCGGGACCGTCCCGTCAGCCCGGCGCCGCCGACGAAGACGAGGAGGATGCGGACAGTGGCGACAGTGATGATGAGTCAGATGACTCGGATGCGTCCACTCCTCACCCTATCGCCGTCCAGCGCGGAAACGGGAATGGAAACGCAAACGGGAACGGCATACCCGGATCAGCAAGCGGAGCCGGCGAAAAACGACCACCACCTGGCAAACCCGCATACAACAAAAACTCCTTCTTCGACGATCTGTCGGTAGGCGCTTCGCGCGTGTCGATCGCAGAGGAGCGAGGGCGGAATTACGATACATTCGGGGAAGCGGGCGGAGCGGAGTTCCAGCCTGGGAACGGAGGGTACAGGGGTCGAGGAGGAGGAGAGGGTATGGGTGGGCCAGGGGGAAGGGGTCATGGCGGACGCGGAGGGTTCAGCCGTGGAGATGGCCGAGGAGGATATGATCAGTCCGCACCAGGGCGGATGGGATTCCAGGGCCAAGGGCAGGGGCAGGGTGGATATGGTGGACGAGGGGATGGATATGAAGGGCAAAATCAAGGGATGAGGGGTGGGTACGGCGGCAGAGGGGGATATGGAGGCGGAGGAGGGTACGATGGTGGTATGAGGGGGAACCAACAGTTTGAGCACCGTGGGGGGTTCCGGGGTGGATATGCCGGACATGATGGGCAGCAGGGTCAGGGGTTCAGAGGGAGAGGAAGGGGTCAGCCGAGTCAGACCGGTGGGGGATATAGGGGACGGGGTGGGTGGGATTGAGCATCAGCACGAGCATGGGCGATTATCAGAAAGACCGGCGGGTCCGTTGTAGATTAGGTGTGCAGTTGATCAGAGAAACGACCCATATATGAATCGAGACATTGTACAGCACGACGTACCTTGCAGCTGCGATGCCCGAAGCACACTATGGACGAGCTCTGGTTTTCAGATGTCAGATGTGCATTGCTGGTTCATGAACAGAATATCCTTCCAAATGTCATCCCCCAAACACCCTCCATCAGCCTTCCCAACCCCTCTTCGACTCCCCACCCCCTCTCCTTCCCCACCTCCCAAAGACTCTTCCATCCCACTCCCATCCCTGCGCCAAGCGCAGCCCCGACGACAATCTGCGGGACCGTATGATAGCCCAGTGCCTGTCGACTCCAGAGCCCTGCCGCCCAGCTGCCAAATAACGCTATTCGTGCCACACCAAGGGTAAGGGACGGGGAGAGACCGAGATATGAAGCGAAAGAGGGAGTGAGGGCGGGAAGTAAAGGGAGGAGATAGGCCATGTAGAATGTTAAGGCGGTAGAGTGCGTAGAGGGCATGCCGTATGTCTTCTTGGGGCGGATACGGGAGGGCTTGGATGTGGAGGGTGGGGGAGGTGGAGGGCGGGGACGACGGAGGAGGAGTTTGATGCCTTTGGCTGGGATCGTCAGCTTATCCGCGAGCTGCGAGTGGGGCAGAGCGATGAGTGCGCACTATGATAGGAGTGAGACAGCGTCCGCTTTTCGATGGGCCATGTGAGGTAGGGTGAGGTAAGGCACAATGACCATCGAGACTCACCGAGCTGAGAAGCCTCTAGGGCGCCAGAGGCGAACCAAGCGACATGCGGGCTCCTAGTATATACCAGCACAATAGCAGTAGCGAGTGTGACTGTGATGTGCGTCTGAGCGATCAGCTGGGCTCCAGGCGGAGAGCTGGACTGCACGTCTCGCCAGTTTCCTCTGAGGGAGTGGGGAAAGGAGGGCACAGGAGATAGGTGATGGGGAGTAGGACGTACTTCGTCGAGTATGTACAATAGTATGGAGGGGTACTCTGATGGTTTGTGAGGATGTCGGAGACCCATTCTGTCCGGGCAGTCGTGTCTCGACGAAGGCGACAAGGGAGAGTGTAAGAGAGACTGGCAGCATGGGGTTTTGGCTTTTGGAGGTCTTGCCAGGCACGGTTTGAAATCTTGAGGAATGTGGCGCTGGATAACGATGAGTGGCAGGGCTGCGGGGGGGCACAGTGCATGCTCTGTGCGGAAGCCAGAATCAAAGGTGACTGGGCACGAGTATGTACCAGCAGAGGATTAAAGTACGCTGCATGACTGTATGCGCTGACTGTGATCGGTACCGGCTCACAAAACCTCTGATCTTAGAGCCGTACAGATCTTGAGAATTCACCCCTGTGTCCAAAGCAAGCCCATCGTCATTCCATTACATGATAATTGTCATCGGATACGTATATCACGCTGGATCACTGCCCTGTCCTCCAGTCTTCGCCCGTCGTACATCAGTCTCCAACATTCACCTGGTCGAGGGTCCCGAAGAATAGGAGCCAGAGAGCCCCTTCTGGCGGCGGTGACCTCTCGCAAGATCGATGAGGTATTGCGCCGGTGAGCGGCGAGTACGTCGGTCCGACCCGCTAATCAGGAGAGTATCGCTCTCCTCAAAAGAGTCCTCCTCCACTCCACTCTCCAGTGCCTACTGCTTGCCCACCACGCTCACGTCATCTAACCCCCAGGGACCTTCAAGGGTGTAGAATCCGACGTGAGGTTTGAGTCCATCCGCTAACTTCCCTCTGATGTGATCAGTGATCTGCGCCTCTGTAAGGTAGTCGGTGTGAGAGTCCTTGAGGAGCTTCGTCAGCTGAGTTTTGACTGTGCGTTCCACGTAAGCCACGGCGCCAGATGGATTCGCACGGAAAGGCGGGTCACGTAACCAATCGTCGTGATCCTCGCTGTGGAGGCTGGCTGTGACGGAGAGCTGGTTTGTGGACGCATTCGTCATGCGGCCTCGGTGATCGAGGGGTAAGGCGACTCTGATGTCGAAGTGTCCAAAGGTGCTTCGATGGTCCAAGCTTCCATGATATTGTCTGCCTGCTGCGTCGTACATTGGGGTGGTATCTCGGTGGGAAAGGTGGAGTCGTGTAGTGGGATTTAGGGCGAAAGAGCAAGCTGTACTTCGGCGGAAGACCAAACAATACGACCTGGTGTCGCACAATCAAGACTGTGCAGCAAGGGGTATAAAGGAAAGCACGCAACAAAGGGATCCCGCGACTCGACACATGGCGGGACAGTCGTGACGTCAACTGTTCAATGAGGCTGGGTCAAATGTGATGTTTAAATAAGTGCTTCCTATAGTGAGGAGAGATCAGCAGTGTCGGCGGTGATGGTAGTGATGGTGAAGATCGTGGTGAGGTCGTGGTCCCGATGACAGTACTGGTTAGTGCCTCAGCTAGCTAGCTCACTTACAGCGCATCTTTGCGCATCTGCTGACAGCAGCTAAAGCATGTGGACGACCTTCTTCAGTGGCGGGACGGATATCTTTCAAAGGTCGTGTTCTTACCGGGGCTCCAGTATCGAGTGATTCAGAGCTGGGTAGCGGGTCGACTGTTTCAAAATCGGCCGAACTTCGGGCGACCGCCGACGACCCACATACAACCCACACGAGGAATGTGTTGCTATAAACTATAGCCCGCCTGATGACCGCTTCTCAGTGTGTCAGGACTCATCGGTAAATAGTTTTTCCGAGCCCCGCGTGCCTACAGCACTGCTTTGCCCGGTAGGCTTGCGTCATTCCTTGCTGATTTCTGCTGTAGGGGAAAAGTAAAGCCGAATAGAGCCGGTTGTACCGGCAACGGCCCACCCATTCAGTCGGGTATTGCGTCAACCGGCATGACCACGGGCAACACATGTTTCTGCGTCGCCCCCTATAGCTCATTTTCGACTCGAGCTGCTTACTCACGCTCAAAGCAGCTGCTATATAAGGCGACACACATACCGAGCTTTGCATACATACCTCATTCACATCGCCACTCTCACTCTAAAATCAGAACTCTACACCATGCCCAGCGAACAAGAACTCTTCCAGGCCGAGGTCAAGCTCGTCGAGGCTTTCCAAAAGCAGCCTCGATTTGCGCGTACCGTCCGCCCCTACTCTGCCGCCGATGTCGTCCAGAAGCGAGGTACTCTGCCTCTTCAGTACCCCTCGGATGCGATGGCTAAGAAGCTATGGACCATCCTCGAGGCGAAGGCGAGGGGAGAGGGAGGTGGCTGCTCTGCGACCTACGGATGGTGAGTGTCAGTCTCTGCAGAGGCTGGAAAAGAGCTGATGTGGTCAGTTTGGACCCGGTCCAACTCACCCAAATGGCCAAGCACCTCGAGACTGTCTACGTTTCCGGCTGGCAATCCTCCTCGACCGCTTCGTCCTCGCTCGAACCCGGACCAGATCTTGCTGGTACGTGCTCCTTCAGGCGCTCTCAATCTCCGCTGACGAGCAGACTACCCCTCCAATACCGTCCCCAACAAGGTCGCCCAGCTCTTTCAGGCTCAACTCTTCCACGACCGCAAGCAGCGATGGACCCGGAGCAGCGCACTGCAAAAGGGCGGCGAAGCTGAGCTTGCCAAGATCGGCAAGCCGGTAGACTACCTTAGGCCGATTGTCGCGGACGCTGATACCGGTCACGGAGGTGAGTGGTTTGGTAGCGATCTTGGGACCAGCTGACAGACAGGTCTGACTGCGGTGATGAAGCTCACCAAGATGATGGTGGAGAGCGGTGCGGCGGGTATTCATATCGAAGATCAGGCGCCGGGGACCAAGAAGTGCGGACACATGGCTGGAAAGGTAAGCTTCACTAGTCGACATTGCTGACTTCAGGTGCTCGTACCCATCTCGGAACACATCAACCGTCTCATCGCCATGCGCCTCCAATGCGACATCATGGGCACGACCAACCTCGTCATCGCCCGTACCGACTCGGAAGCAGCTACCCTCATCACCACCAACGTCGACCCTCGCGATCAGGCCTTCATCCTCGGCTCCACCGACCCCTCTCTCCCCCCTCTCGTCGAGGTCATGATCCAGGCCGAGATGGAGGGCAAGTCTGGCCCCAAGCTTCAGCAGATCGAGGACGAATGGACCAAGCGCGCCAACCTTTCCCTCTACCCCGACGTCCTCGCTTCTGCGATGGCCAAGCAGGGTCTCTCCAAATCCAAGACCGAGGAGTTCCTCTCCAAGGTCCGCCAAACCCTCTCCCCTTACGGCTCCCACTCGGCCTCCCTCGCGCTCGCCAAGAGCCTCGGTCTCAAGGAGGCACCGTACTGGTCTTGGGACACCCCACGAACTAGGGAGGGCTTCTACCGATACCAAGGCGGTACCAAGTGCGCCATCAACCGGGCGGTCGCGTTTGCCGACTACGCCGACCTTATCTGGATGGAGACCAAGTCGCCCATCTACGCGCAAGCAAAGGAGTTTGCGGACGGTGTGCATGAGCACAAGAAGGGACAGTGGCTGTCGTACAACTTGAGTCCTTCCTTCAACTGGGACGCGGCGGGGCTAGGGGAGAAGGAGATGAAGAGTTACATTTCGGATCTCGGCAAGCTCCTCTTCGTGTTTGCTTTTATCACTGTAAGCCTGCCGTCTTTTCTGGTGTCATAGATACATTGCTGACGTATCAGCTCGGTGGTCTACACTCCAACGCCCTCATATCCGACTCGTTCGCCCAAAACTTCGCCAAGGACGGTATGAAGGCGTACGTCGAGCTCATCCAGCGGAAAGAGCGGGATCTGGGCTGCGATGTCCTCACGCATCAAAAGGTATGTCCTCTCTGCTCCTTTGATCGCCGTGATCCATGCTGACTCTCTCAGTGGTCCGGTGCAGACTACGCCGACTCGCTCATGATGACCGTCACTGGCGGTATCTCATCAACGGCCGCTATGGGCGCTGGTGTGACAGAGTCGCAGTTCGCGGCCAAGGGGAAGCTTTAGTCTAGGTCTTGTGCGCTTGCCTCGTTATGTCGCCCTTTGTATACTTGTGACCTATGTATTGCTTTAGATTGCCTTGCCCCTCTCTAACGAGTTGAAGCACCGGGAGATCATCCCCAAAACTGGGTGAAACAGGCTGAAACGTACGCTCGTTCCAAGCCCCTCGCGCTCATGGGGACGGTCCGAGGTAGCTGAAACGTGCCTTTCCTTGGGGCGTTCCAGGGTTCTTCGGCATACCCCTTATTATCCCCTTCTTGTCGGAGGCATCTTTGCTCCTCCGCCCCTTTTGTATCCCGCTAGCTATCATTCTACATCCCCTCTTATGGCTTCGGCACCGATATGCCCTCCTCCGATGCCCTGGGCCAGCTCCGAAACGTTCAGCCCCAACTGTCGGTGTCACTAATTGGCCATCAGCAAAGTTCTTCCCGGCTCCGCGTCTGCACTCGTCTGCAGGACCAGAGGTTGAAGCTGAAGCAGGGCTGCGTTTCGCAAGCATGGGCAATTGCCCGTATATAGGTTCTCAGGCCCACAACCCTGACTGACAGATGGTACAGATGAAGGAGGGGGGTGGCAACTAGGGTATATCCCCTTTCGCCCGCTTGGCACGACAGGACATCTAATCTTATCTGGCTGTTACCAACCTGCTGATGCTCGTCCTGGACTCCTGACTATAAGTTACCAGCTGGTTCCATCGCTCTCTCTTCCATCTCATCCTCGACACTCCTACCGGCTCTGGCTAGCCCGATCTCGCTCATTTCATCCCCACGCTCCTTACCTTCTCACGCCGCAGCTGTCTAGCATGCTCCCTTTCACTGCCCTCTTTGGCGTCCTGTCTCTCCTCGCTTCAGCTCAGGCAGCAAGCAAGGACGACTGGCGCTCCAGGAGCGTGTACCAGTGAGTGACATCGCTCCAGTCTAGCATAGTGCAGCTAGCTGACACCCCAGACTATTGACGGACCGCTTTGCCCCTCCTATGCCCGGCCTAAAGTGCAACCTCGGCTCATACTGCGGAGGCAATTGGCGTACCATCATTGACAATCTCGACTATATCGAGGGTCTCGGCTTCGACTCTATCTGGATCTCGCCCACTGGTCTGGGTATCGAGGGACCCACCAAATGGGGCGACAACTACCACGTACGTCTTCTGCTTCGCTTTCGTTAGCCCTGGCTGACGGAGCAGGGGTACTGGGGTATCGACCAATTCGGCATCAACCAGCACTTTGGGACCGCAGCCGACCTCAAAGCCCTCTCCGCTGCCCTTCACGACAGGGGCATGCTCCTCATGGTCGACCTCGCAGTCAACCACATCGCATCGACAAACACCGATATCTCGGATTCTGCGCTGGCCTCCAAGTCGGACGGGAAGCTGCTCTTCAAGAAGGAGAGCGAGTACCATCCTGTGTGTAAGATCAATTACGATGATAAGAAGTCGGTGGAGCAGTGGTATGTCCCCTCTCGTCTGAAGGCACTGAGAAAGCCGGAGCTGATAAGGCAGCTGGATGGCCCAGGACGGCGTGGCGCTCATGGACCTCAAAACGGAGAGTGCCGCGGTGGCTGATGTGCTCAAGTCGGGCTTCGCGGCGTATCTCGAGGAGTACGGGATCGATGGGGCCAGGTGAGTTTCAGTCGCATGATTTCACACGATAAGCAGGGGCTGACGAAGCAGAATTGATGCTGCCAAGCATATGGACAAGCAATTCTTGCATGACTTCTGTGAGGCTGGAAACACGTTCTGTATCGGCGAGGTGCTGGAGCAGGTAAGCATAGTCCGAGCTGTTGAGGGGTGCGTAGCTGATCGACCAGAACACTGGCGGACCGGCAGCGTATACTCAGGGGGACAATGGGATCGACTCGGTCTTTGGTTTCGGTGAGCTATTCTTGTCCATGGCCTCCCACTGCCAGCTCATAAGCTGACTTTTAGGCATGACGAAAGGCGCCGTCGAGGTCTTTGCCAAAGATAAGCCCATGTCCACCCTCGCCCGCTTCGCCAAAGAAGCGCTTACCGCCTACGCCGACCCGACCGTCATCGGCGCCGTCCTTGACAACCACGACCTTCCCCGCTTCAACTCTCTTGCTTCCGACAAGTCGAACGTCTACAATGCCATGGCGCTGCAATTCCTCTTTGGCGGTATCCCGACCATGTACTACGGTCTCGAGCAGAACATGACGGGCGAGGAGGACCCGCAGAACCGGCAGGCGCTCTGGCTGAATGGAGAGCTCAAGACGGACGGCGAGAGCTACCAGAGGATCAAGAGGTTGAATCTGGTCAGGAAGAAGATGGGCGAGCTGGGGGGTTTCCACGAGGTCCTCGCGAGTCAGGTGGCGGTGCAGGACGATGACATTGCGTTTGAGAGGAATGGCGGCCTGCTTGTCTTGACCAAGGTGAGTGAGGGTCCGCGTCAGATAAAAACTGCGCTGATTTCCAGCGCGGTGAAGGCCAGGGTGGCGAGTGGACAGTCAGCGAGGCTGGCTTCTCCGCCAGCGCCAAGGTCGTCGAGTAGGCTGCACCTCTCTCATCATCAGCCGTCTGGTGCGACACTGACGATATCAGCCTTCTCTCTTGCACGACCGCTACGGCTGGAGCGGACGGATCACTCAAGATCACCTTCAAGAATGGCTTCCCTTCTGTGAGTCGTCCCCTTGAATTGTTCATCCGGTGAGCAGTACTGACCCAGTAGTTCTACGTCACTAGCGAGATCGCTGGTCAGACCGGCATATGCGGTGGGTCCAAGGAGGCAGACACTGCTCCCGCCGTAAGTTTCGTCGAATCGCATGTCATCTCAAGCTGATTGTCTTAGAGCTCCAGCGCGAGCGCTAGCTCCACCTTCTCCGCTAGCTCTGACGCCTCCACCTCTATTGCGGGCTCTGCGACCTCGTCATCTGCCCAGGTGAGATTTACACTGTCTAGGCACTATCTTCAAGAAGCCTAGCTGACTCTGTGCAGTTGAACGCTCCAGACCTCATTGCGTCCGAAGTTGGCAGTACGGGCAGCAGTGCCACCGCGGTCCCCGCTACGACCACCTTCACTAGCTCTGCGTCCGCTTCCGTGAGCCCTAGTCAAGGCGGAGGTCGAGGCTGCACGCGTCACAGTCGGCGTTGACCGACTGAATAGTAGTTGTGAGAGACTGTATCGTAGCTGGACCGAACCCATTCCCTCTACCCCGCTTTTCTTTCGTAGTCGGTACATATCGTTGACCGATATGCTATATTGCTACCTGTCCTGCTGGTCTTCGGACGACCTACTGAGCTGATGGCCGGCTTGACACTTGCTTCCTGGACAAAAGGCGCAGATGAAACGCCGCCACGTGTTTTCGGCGTTTCAGGTTGCGGCACAACAAAGGGATTCGCGGAGCAAAGCATCTTTGTTCCATGAAACGTCCATTACACTGATACACCTGTTCACCTCAAGCACAAGAAAGACCCCAAGCCCCAAGAGCTAATGATGAAGCCATACCGACGTCACTTGGCGATGAGACTCCGCGTTTTAGCTCAAAGGGCCTCGCCGCTCCTTGACGACAGCGTGGCTAGCACGAGGCTTGTATGAGCCGGCCAAGACATTTTTGCGCGTCGCCTTGACTCTCATTCCTTTGTCTATATCATCCCTCGTATCCCCTCTCAACCAGACTTATCCCCTTGTCTTGACAGCAGTACCCTCTCGACTCTTCCTACTCACTGTACCTCACGCTCCCTCCACATACGCTCATTACACCTCTCTTTCCCCTGATTTGTCTGCATTCTCATCACTCAACATGCTCCCTTCCTCTGTCCTCTTTTCGGTGTTGACCTTCTTGGCCGGCGCACAGGCAGCAACCAAGGATCAGTGGCGTTCCCGGAGCGTATACCAGTAAGCTTACACCATGCCCCATTCTTCTGGTAGAGTACCCAGCTGACTCATAGACTCCTCACCGACCGATTCGCCCCTCCTACCCCTGACAAGCAATGCGATCTCCGGAGCTACTGCGGCGGGACATGGCAGACCCTCATCTCTCGGTTGGACTATCTTCAGAACGCAGGTTTCGACGCCGTCTGGATCTCACCGACCGGGCTGGGTTTGGAGGGTTTCACCAAATGGGGCGAGAATTACCACGTACGCCCCGCTTCTCTTTGACTCTGACTTTGGAGCGCACACTGACAGCACAGGGATTCTGGACGGTCGACCCTTTCGCCCCCAATCCCCACTATGGCTCCGCTGCCGACCTCAAGGCGCTCTCGGCCGCTCTTCACGCTCGAGGGATGTACCTCATGGTCGATATCGCGGTCAACCACCTCGCTTCGACCGATACGGACATCTCGGACGCGGCGTTGGCGAGGAAATCAGACGGGAAGCTGTTGTTCCAGAAGGAGAGCAATTTCCATCCTGCGTGCGGTATCAACTGGGGCAACCAAGAATCAGAGCAGAAGTGGTAAGCTACCGCTCGTTCGAACACTGTGTGACCGAAGGGCTACAGCTGACCAACATAGCTGGCTCGCGCAGGACGGAGTGGCGCTCATGGATCTCAAGACGGAGGACTCGGCGGTGGCCGAGTCTCTCAGGAAGAAGTTCGCGGCGTACATGGCCGAATATGGGATTGATGGTGCACGGTGAGCTGAGCCAGGCACGTATTGCGCCCCAACCGCTGATCATTCAGGGTGGACGCGTCTAAGCACATGACGAAGCAATTCCAGCACGACTTCTGCTCTGGTGCGAACACCTTCTGCATTGGAGAGGTGTATGATGACGTGAGTTGTTCTGCACACATACAGTCGCCTGAAGCTGACCCTTTAGAGCACCGCCGTCGCTGCTGCATACACCAATGGCGACGGTATTGACTCTGTGTTCGGCTTCGGTAAGCCGTTCTTTTCTCCCCGGCTCTTCCCAGGCTAACGAGCAGGAATGATGTGGGGCGCCGTCGACGTCTTTGCCAAAGACAAGCCTATGTCAGCCCTCTCCCGCCGCGCCCAAGAAGCCAACTCCGAGTACGCCGACGCGACCCTCATCGGCGCTATCCTCGACAACCATGATCTGCCCCGTTTCAACTCGCTCGCCTCGGACAAGTCGAACGTCTACAACGCCATGGCCCTTCAATTCCTCTTTGGCGGTATCCCCACCATGTACTACGGCCTCGAACAGGACATCTCGTTCGGCGCGCACGATCCGGAGAACCGTGCCCCTCTCTGGCAGTACGGGAACTTCCAGACCGCCGGCGACAGTTACAAGCGGGTCGCAAGGTTGAACTTGATCAGGAGGAAGATGGGCGAGCTGGGCGGATTCCATGAGGTGATAGGAAAGGAGGTGGGGGCGACGGATGACGATATTGCGTTTGAGCGGAATGGGGCGTTGTTGGTCTTGACCAAGGTGAGCAGCTCACAGGTGATTTTCAAGGGCAGCGAGCTGATAGATTAGCGTGGTGCTGGTCAGGGCGGCGACTGGACGATCAATAAAGCTGGCTTCCCAACCGATGCCAAGCTCGTCGAGTGAGTCACACGTATCTGGAGCCCCTTCATCCTGGACTGCAGCTGATCTTCCAGCCTTCTCTCCTGCTCTACCGCTGCCGCAGACCCCGATGGCTCCCTCAAAGTCACCTTCAACAATGGCTTCCCCTTCGTGAGTCTCCTCTCATCCCCTTGATACTTCCCTGAGAAGAGCTAAGCTGACTCCCAGTTCTACGTCACCAAGGACATTGCAGACCAGACTGAGATTTGCGGGAAGATACCTTCCAGCGTAAGCACTTAGATTCACTAGAGGATTAGAATATGGCTTTGGATGCACGTATAATGACAGTTGTAGTCCTTTAGCTCCGCGTCAAGTTCTGCGTCACTATCAGCTTCCGCCAGCTCATCAAGCTCGGTCTCGGTGTCAGCCAGTGCAAGCACCTCGGTATCGTCCTCGTCCGCCGGCGTGGCCTCCCCCTCGCCTGGTAGCCCGGTCGCAAGCTCATCCTCCTCCCAGGTCAGTCAAGATCCCGCCTCAACCTCTTGTCCACCCGGCTCCACCCCAAGCGCACCCATCAAGGAAGGCTCAGCCGCAGAACCAGACCAGCCTCAGCCAGGACCAGAAGACCCCTCCCTGCCCCCATCTTCCGATCCCAACGGGCCCAACGACCCCAATGCGGGATATCCAGCTGAACAGCCCCAGTCCTTGTCCTCCTCCGCGTCCGCAACCGCCACCAAAGAAGCAGCCATCGGCTCCCCCTCTCAGCCCGGTATCAACCCCAAACCGCCAGCCAGCTCCGGCTCGGGAAGCGGGAACGGAAACGGACAAGGATCAGGACAGACGAGCGGCGCCTGTAAGCGCCGGATCGTCCGTAAGAGGGGGATGAGCAGTAAGTCTTCTCGTTCTTCTTCTGGTCTGGCTCGTTCTTCTTGAGCTTTGTTCATCCCATTTTTGGGCTATTCCTTCTCTAACCCCTCTGACACCCTTCTCACCTCTTCTCCTTCCTAAGAGTAGCTTCCTCCCGACCCGAAGACGCTGGTCGTCCCCTACTTGCTCTTCCCTCGCTTCTCTTGTTCTTCCTTTGGGTACGGTTTCAAGCTGTTGGCTGAAACTTGCGTTAGCTGCTCTCTTTGCGCCGCTTTTAGGGCTCATTCTGGTCGGTGTCGCGGGCATGTAGGGACGTGATTTTTCGGTTTCGGTCGGAGGATAAGTGGCTGGGGGCGGCATTGTGCGCGATCAGGGGACAGTAGCAGCTTAAGCATTGATAGTTATATGCACAGTGGACAGTCGCGAAAGCTATCTCAGTCCCTCTTCTTTGGATCAGGCGGGAAGCGGAATCAAATTGGTCCCCCCCTCTTGCACTCATCAATGGCAATAGCAACGGCCAACGGGAGAGCGATTGGATCTCTACATACTATATTTATTCTGCCTACAAGGACATCACACGCCTGCCCGCCCTCTTCTACCCAACTTCTGAGTCGTGAAAAATGGCGGTAAGCTCACTGTGCATTCCCGCGGCAGGGCGAATTATGAGCTCATAATCTAGTCCGGATTCGGTTACACAGGAGGTCAGTCCCGAGCCGCATGACACCGCCAAAGCTGTAGATTCCGATCACGGAGCATCTCGGGAAGGAGATACAGCGCCAGACAATGGATAAGGCGCAAGCTCGGAGACGGCGATATATCCATGGGGACGGAGCTGATATGCCGCAGGACGGACAAGATGTTTCCCATTCTGGCAGGAGTTCTCGAAGGTGTGTCTTAATGCAGATGTTCCGTCAGCAGAGTGGAAGTGTAGCCGGGATAGGATACGGAGACATCAATCATCCGATGTTTGGGACCAGCTGATATCGTAGTGCTATGCTAGTGCCGAATCACCACGGGATTGCGTTGCTCAGAAGGATGATTATTTGGAGTGCCTCCACCGGACGAAAGAGGTGCGCTAGTCTTCATTTGAAACGGACAGTCGAAAGATATCAGAGCTGACCTAGATCCTTTTCCGCTTATCTCTACTTACACCATCCTCAATCGCACTATCCTGATATCGCCTTTCCGCGACAGATCGCCCGCGCAAAAGAGATCAAATCCCACTTCCTCCAGAAAACAGCACACGAAGGCTCGGACGCGCGCAAGGCGGCAGAAAAGGCAGCGACGGGGTCGATTGTGAGCTTGGGGCTGGTAGGGGAAGATGAGGGGGATGGGAAGTAGGCCAGGCGAGGTGGGCGGTATGGAGTCGCAGGGGCTGTTAGGGAGATGTATGGGGTTGCAAACTGCCAAAAGGAAGGCTAAGGGGGTTCATGCGGTCCCATCGCGGGGATCGTACACTCCTATTATACCCTCTGGTATGCTATACCCCAGCTCGTCGGTCACAGCAGTCGACTCAGCCTGATCTGGCTCGTGACCCCAACGAAGTTCCACCTCGTCGAATACCTCGACCACCTTGCTGACCCCAAACCCGAGGGATTCGAAGAGTTTGATGGAAGGCGCATTGCTCCTCCCTATCCGCGCGATGAGCTGTTGTGGGCGCATGCTGAGGGACGAGGTCGCATATGCCAAACTAGGCGATCAGCGCAGATACAAGGTGGGCAGAGCGAGGCAACTCACAATAATCTCAAAGCCTCCCCCGCAAATCCCTTCCCGCGGTCAGATGGGGCAGCGATCATGATCTCGCATTCTCCGTCCCCGGTAGGTCCATCGGGGAGGAACATGTTGACGTCGCCGATCATGCGGCAGGATGGCAGCTGAGAAGGGTTAAGGAGAGAGTGTGAGGAAGAGGGAAGGTTGGAGGATCGGGCGAGGAGAATGAAGGTCAACTCTTTTACGATCAGCGTTTCTCAGATGCGCTTCCTGGCTCGATACTGGGCCGTTACAGATAGAGGCGGGGTACGAGCCAGGTTCAGTGTGTGTGGTAGCGGGATGAGCTCACTGTCTTCATCTGTGTGCCATTTCCCTGGGGGAGATCAGCGTACGGTCTGCATATATATTAGATGGTAGCCACCCTCGAGCTCACGCTGCATATCATACTCTTCCTCCAGGGATAGTGGCTCGGAAGCTGTGAGCTCCAGCAGCTCGGGCGACTTCATCCAGTCATGATACGTCTTCAGGATGATCAGCACCTCATCACAAAGGTCACGCACAGCCAGATATGAGACTGACCGGTACATGCTCAGCTCTACACTATCAGCTCCAGTCGATGAGTATAGGTACTCTGCCCGAATTAAGCTTCCACAATAGTCGGTGGGCAGACAGGGCTCGACTGACCGGTATGGCACGAGAATCACCTTATCCCCACAGATCACCGTGTTCTCGTTCAGCCTCATCTTGAGCCACTGGAAGAATCTCCGGGGACGATTGGATCTTGATACTTAGGCCGCGAGTTGACACCAGTGTGCGAGAGCAACCATAGCGGGCCCGGGCGGAAGCAAAATGATCGATAGAGTAGCTCAAACTCCTCATTCCTCGCTCGGAGCCCCGCATCACACGCGCATCACAGTCGCGTCAGTTTTCGCCGATTCTTTTCGCATGCTCATGTTATTCAACCCAGACTAGAGATCGGGGACATTGGAAGAGGGGCATATCTATGCCAGAAAGACCTAGGTGGAGAAATATACAGTGCAGCAAGGATGTCCGGCGCGACGTCACCGAAATCACTGCTCGGGCGACGCGTCGCAACGGGTGCTACTGAGGCCAGTCGAACTTGCCAAGGCCGTCAATCTGTGGACCCCCTTCTTTGGAAAAAGCGGCACGCACATCAGCGCTCAGCGCTGGCTTGAGCTTGGTGTAGTGGTCCCGGACTGGCACTCGAGCGTTGGCGCATGTCTCGCATAGACAAAGTGCTAAGGAGTGACGGCACGTCACGGTGGCGTGACAAAATCAAGCGCGTCTCGATCTTTCGCTCGAGCTTTCCCAACACTAAATCGAACCCTCTTCACCTTCTTCTTTTCTTCATCTTCTCTCTTTACTCTATCTTGGTGCTTGTAACTCATCATCACGCATCATGTCTCCCGACGCACGCGACCCTCTCGGCTCCATCACGCTCAACACCACCCTCCCGTCCTCTTCAGCCTCATCGAGCAGTCGCAAACCCTACGTTCCGCCAAAGGACCGCCCCCTCGCGTCCATCTTCGTGTCGCGTCGACGTGCAGCCCTTCCTGCACCTCTCCCATCGACACCAGAATCATCTACCAGTCGCGCGTCAGGCTCGTCCCCTGCCCTCCCAACTACGCCTATCGCTTCTTCCTCGCCTGACTTGCCGGTACGAAAACGGGCGCGTCTGGATCCAGTTGAGGAGGACGCGTGGGATGAAGATGGGGACGTCAAGCCCGACCGGAAGAGGGCTGAGGAGGTGACGCGGTACTTTGCGCCATCGACGCCGACGCGTGCCGAGAAGCGCTTGAGGCAGGAGGAGGCCATGGAGGTAGAGAAGGAAGAGGAAGAGGTGAAGCCTGCGAATGTGTGGGTGAGGGGAAGGCGAAGGCTGGGCGTCGCTGCATACCGTGGCCAGGTTACAGGGTTTGAGAGCATAACACGTGAGCTACTGTAGACTTGCTGACACGCGGTGACCAAGCTGACGATGCAGCATTTCACAATCAGCCATCGTACCTCACGACCCTCACCCACTCGCTTATGCCCTTCATGCACAACACCCCACCCTCCTCCATCCTCCTCCCGTCCCTCCACTCACCTACCGGCCGACCACGCGACTGGTCTCCTGCCCTCTGTGTCCAGTTCAGCCATACCGCCAAGCTCCACACTGCCGTCTCTGCGAAAGATGCAGGATTGAGGCGGATGATGGCTATTGCGGGCGAGGAGGGAGGGATCCGCGTTATCGATGTGGACGCGCCGCAGGGGCATCACAGGGAAGAAGGCGGATGGTGGTGGCGTGCACATGCGAATGCGATCTTTGACGTCAAGTGGTCGGGCGATGACTCGAGGATCGTAAGTTGCTGCTGAGATACAACAGCTCACACTACAGATGACTGCCTCGGGCGACCAGACAACGCGTATCCACGCCCTGGACGGATCAACACCTACCCTTCTCGCTACACTCCGGGGTCATACATCCAGTATCAAATCTTCGATCTTCTACGACCCCACTCGAGGGAGCGGCGACGCGTCAAAGGGCAGTGTAGTCGCCACTGCCGGCCGAGATGGCAATATCCTGATATATGACCTGCGATGCTCTGGACGTCGACTGGGCGATGGGGCAGTCACAGACGAGTATGATGCCAGGCGGAACGGGAGGGAGAGGGATCGATATTCGGCGGGCATCCCGGGGTTCACGCCACGCAGGGAGGGGGAGGAGGTGGATCCTGTTATGGTGATTAGGGGGGCGCATGCTGAGAGTGGCCGACGGAGCAACTCGGTATGTCTGCTAGTTCACCATAGATCCCGCTTTGGGAATATAGCTGATTTGGAAGCGGACCCTTGCGAGGTCGGTGACGAGCCTGATTGCTCTGCAGGCTATGCCGGGCATACTCGCGTCTGGCGGGACAGCGGACGGGTACGTGTATTCTCTGTATCCATTGGGCTGTGCTGACCGTCAGTATCGTCAAATTGTGGGATCTCCGCTTCCCCACACCGACTAACCGCCACCCCGACCCGCGTCCTTCCCACTCCGCCGCCCTCTTCTTGCCGGACCCTACCACTTTCGGCGCCCCTACTTCCCGTCGACCACGCGGTATCCACTCCCTCGTCGAGTCACCCACCACCGGTGATCTCTACGCGCTGACCGGGGACGCGCGGATCCATACCCTCCGCCCATCCTACGCCACCCTATCCCCTACACCCGAAACGGATGTCTTCTCCGAAGCGATCCTTCCTGAATCGTACGCCTCTGACGAGCTCCGCACGTCCTCCTTCTTCGTCCGGATGTCTCTGTGCCCGGATGGACGGTACCTTGCCGCAGGAAGCGGGAAAGGCGGGGTCGTGGCGTTTGATACGCAGGCCCGGGGGGCGGAGAAGGGAAAGGGTGTCAAATTTGGATTGGGCGACCCCGCGGGTTATTGGCCCGAAGGACGGACGAGGGAGGTTGGTGCGGTAGATTGGGGAAGGGGGGTTATGGCTGCTTGTTCGGACGATTTGGTGACGAGGGTGTGGAGGGCGGAAGGGGGGGAGAAGAAGGAGGGAGAGGAGTGGGGAGCTCTCGGTGCGGTGCCGGCGTGAGCACAGGGGAGAGACGACCGGTCATGACACGGAACGACGACTACGACCGCTCCACACAATAGAGGCGACCGGAACGACCCAGAACCCATTCAACAAACCAGCATCTTCATCTCGCACGGCGCCCAGGCGCCCATTACCACTTCTGGAGCTAGATTAGCTTGTTAATAATTCTGTATCTTATCCATGGCTGTGCAATGATTTGTGGCTGGGGTGTGGCTGTGAATCATTCTGATGGACCTGCGAGCCATGGACGTATCGGTTGATAAGGCCCAAGGGTGTGAGATGAAACTGTCCAAAATTCCGAAACGGATCTGACTTTCCCAAGGGGGCTGAAAACGTCAACTGCGTGTTGACACCATCCACTGCTACGCCTCAACATCGTCTCTGTCTCTGTCAACCTATCAGCCTGGAGCTCTCGAAATCAGCCGCAGCGTATACTCGCACAGCCCGCTGTATTCCCCTCGCATTCCCTTAGCATAAAAGAAGGAACCCTCCGGCAACTCCAGAACGCCCGCTCGGAAGACCTGCGGTCATTAGCCATTTCTCGCCTCGGTCTCCTCGGCCCTGCTGAGCGGAATATACGTTGACGAGCCGCCTCGCAGACGGTACTCAAAGCGGTATCAAGAAAACCGAGGCGGAGCGGCATCTCAACCAAGCCTGCCGTGCTGCGAGGCAGGCGACCAAGGCGGATCGGCCGCTTGTCGCCATCCAACTATTCAACGCTAGTTGGATACAGCGGTCCAGCGCCTTGCAGCATCTTCCTACCAGACCGCCAAGTTTCGTCATCGCCTGGTATATCATCACACACGCTGGCTAGGGCACCATGTCCAACCTCGCCATTCCCAAGCCCAACCTTCCTTCCGGCCTCGCTCTTCCCGGAAACCTCGCACGCCGTCCCTCCCAACTCTCTATATCGACCCTACCGTCCAACGGCGCCTCCGCGTCAAGCACGGCTGGCCCATCCAAACCACCCACGGCGACCTATGCGCAGACACAGGCGGCTATTGCGGCCGCCGCTGCAGGTGCTAGCGGCGTGGGTGGAGCGGGGGGAGCGGGGGATGAGGACGAGGGGGACGGGAAGGGCAAGAAGAAGAAGGGGAGTGTGAGCCATGCTTCTGGCGCTGCGGGAGCTATGCCTGGAGGGATAGCAGGGGTGGGTGTGGGAGACGGGAGTGCGGTAGGGACGGGAACGGGAGTGGGGGCAGGTGGACCAGCGGGGGGCGTAAAGGAGTATCGGTACACGCAGGAGATCAGCCAAATGGTGAGACCCCCCCTTGCCATTGGTTGGCTCTGGCCTAAGTGGAAGGCTGGAGCTACCTGGATTTGAGAAGCTGATCTTGTAGATGTTTGTGTTTGGTGAAGTCCAGGACCCACTCTTAGAGACGGTCAAGCTTGTGGAAGATATCGTCCGCGGACAGATTGTCGAAATCGTATGTTCACTTGCCTCCTCTACGTCACCTCTTCCTGTCCGGTTGAATCTTCATAGAATGATGTACGAGGCTCTGCTGATCCCTCAGATCACTCGCGCCCGCCAACTGACGCATCTCCGCGCCTCCCGCTTCTTGTCCGCCGACGACGTCATCTTTCTTATTCGCGACGACAGAGGCAAAGTCAACAGACTACGGACGTATCTCAGCTGGAAGGATGTGCGGAAGAAGGCGAAGGACGATGAGAGTGGAGAAGCGGGCGCCGAGGTGGAAATTGACGATGCGGGTGAGTACTGCTTGCCGTCGTCGGGAGACGAGGAGACGATAGTCCTTTTATCCAGACCACAGGTCTCTGTGTAGGAGTCAATGCTGACTCTTTCACAGAGAAAATGACCGCCAAGATCCGCAATACAATGGTCAAACTCCCCTGGGAAGTCTTGACCCCTTTCTCCGATGCCCTCAAATCGCTTCCGGGGCGGCATACTCGCGCGGCCGCGGCGGAAGAGGATGAAGAGCAGGATGAGGACGAGATGCAGGCGTATCAGGATAGTATGCAGCGGTTGAGGGTGAGGCCTTTTCTTCCCCCTCTACCTGATATTTTCCGGCTTCTGCCCTTTCCTGCAGAATGTTGTTTCGATATACTATAGCGATGAGCGGAAATGGAGAGGGGAAATCTCAAGCTGACGATATAGGATGCGGATGAGATTACCAAGAAGATGACGAAGGATGAGTATGTACATTATTCGGATTGTCGCCAGGCGAGCTTCACATATCGCAAAGGTATGCGTCTTTTCTGTTCGCCCGTCCTTCACCTTCCCCTGCCTCTCATCTCGTCACTTTGGTCCCTTAGCGTATCTTTAAGACAAGTGGACGAAGCTGATCCCGCCAGCCAAGAGATTCCGCGAATTTGTCAACTTTTCCGCATACCTCGACGTCGGACCCAACGACGATATCGTCGATATCCTCGGATTCCTATCGTTCGAAATGGTCCGCACGCTCTGCGTCAAATCCCTCGACGTACGAGACAGGATGGAACGGAGCGTCAAGGTCGCTTCTGCTGCCTCCGGTGGAGCAGTCCGGCGGAATACCATGCTGGGCGGTAAGATGGCGGCGGGTGGGATCGGGAATGGCGGAGGGGCGGGCACGAAGCGCAAGAGCTTGTCCGTCTCGAGGGACAATGAGCCGGCCTCCACCGCGGCGGAGCCTTCGAAAAGGGCAGCGGTCCCGGCGGCGGTATTGACGGTCTCGCCCGATAAGCTCGACATCGCCCTCCCAGCGACTGGATCAGTGGTCGCTAGTACTACGGGGAAGGCCGACTCGTCTCAGCCTATGAAGAGGACCAAGACACAAGGTAGCGAAACCACTGCGGCCGCCCCCGTAGCACCAGCACCGGTCTCGCTCTTCGCCCCTCCCCCTTCGGCGCGGCAGCCGTTATTGCCGATGCATGTCTTGGAGGCGTTTGCGCAGATACAGCGGGAACAGGTCGGCGGGAGGGTTGGGGGGATGCGGAATTTCAGGGGAGGGGTGATGCGGGGGACGTTGGCTTTGATTTAGACGTGATAGGTAACGGTACCCTTAGCTACCTGTTGTACGTCCAATGATTAGAAGATCTGCCCGGTCAGTAATCTATGAGGCGGCAGTGATGATTCACGCCTTGTTGGACGCGTCGAATGTAGCGTGGGAAAGGGAGATGAGAGGCGAGGTGAACTAAGGGATGGCCTGTCTCCTTCGAGATATGTACCAAGGCAGACGTCAGTATAACAGACTTCACAGTCATGATGACTGCTTCTGTACATCTGTAATGCCTATCGAGTCCTGACCGATACCTTCTCTCTTCTTCCACGGTACGTGACTGCCGCCTAGTCCTAGTCCTCCTCCATACCCTCCTCGAGCGCCGCCCTCGCTTTCCGTTCCGCCTCGACAAGCAGCTCCTGCGGTACCGCAGCGTGCTTCCAGCCTGACGCCTCGCATACCCATGTCATCTCCAGCTCAAAGTCCTTGTCCTTGTTGTCGTCGTGGACTAGGTGAATACTGAGTAGTCAGCGGGTTGTCTGTCTGTGTCTCGCAAGGGTAGGAAAGGGGAAAGACATTAGCGAATGCTGAAGGTGGGAAGAGAAGGCGACCAATGGGTAGACAGAAGGAGATGGAGAAGGACGGATTGATGGTGTAAGAAAGGGGACGAAGGAGAAGAGCCACATGGGAGAACGACCGTAAGCGGGAAGATCAGATCTCGGCTCTAGATGACCCCATTAAGATCCGCCAAATCACCTCTCCCTCTTTCTCTCGTCAATCGCCTCTCTATCTCATGCACGGCGACCCGATGCCCACTCCTCAATCCAGCAGACTCACATTCTCGCCACCTCATCCACCCCCTCTTTGACCCCGATTCCCCCCTCCCTCGCCCCCAAGAGCTTCTCCAACTCCGTCTTAGCCAGCGCTTTGCCTTTACCCGCCGCGGTCGCGCGGTACCCGTAGTGAACGCCGCTGGGCTCGATGCAGAACAGCCGGGGTCCGGTCTTGTCGACGCCGGCGACGAGGGTGGAGATGCCGAATGGGCGGACGGAGCCGTAGCATGTGTAGGCTTGGGTGTAGCCTGAGAGGCGGTCGGCGAGGATCTGGGGGTCAGCGAGAGGACCGGGCGAGCGGACTCTGGAGATGTAATGGGAGGGCAAGGTCTTGGGGAGAAGGCAGTAAGGATTAGAGGATGTACGAGGTGAGATGGTTCAAGTATGGATGAAGGGGGTTCGGTGCGGGATAGGGAAATCCAAGAGGGACGGGAGTTGCGGCCATGAAGAAGAGAGGGTGTGATGCAGTGCGCGCCACGCCCGCAATGTTCTCGCTCCGGTAGCTGATATGCTCGCTGTGTCCGAGCCGTCCTCGCTCCGCCCTTTTGAGGCTCGCTACGCTCGCCATATCAGGCACTCCGCAAACTCACCTGAACCGTGATCGGGTCATTATAATTCTCCCTAAAACTCCCCGCCTCTTCCCTTGCCCTACTCCCCAGATGCTTCCCATCCGCCAACAACCCCGCCGTTGCCATGCCAATATGATCATCTACTGATTGTATCCGCCTGTTGGCGCCCTTGACGAGCAGCTTGGAGTGGAGGAGACGCTCGGTTGCGAGGATGACGCCGTCTGTGCATTTGAGGCCTATTGCGACTCTGACTGTCAGCTTGACTCACATAGTGGAAGAATGTGATCATGTCAATTAGATAAGGTGAAAAGGATACTAACCCGGCAGCTTCGACAGCCTTGTTAGCATATTCAACCTTCACATCAGCGGTGAACATTGGATTTCCGGCGTATTACTTACCTGGAATAATCTCCCATCTGGAGAGTATGTGGAGACGGAGAGATCGTAGCCTGTACCGATAGACGACATGCTGGACTGAGTCTGATTGATGAAGTACAGAAGTGATGAATTGATACCTTTGAACCTGGTGGAGGACGCGCAAGTGACGAGGAATGTGGAGTTGGCTGTAGACTACTAAAAGCCACGTCATGCGGGGCTCCATCCCAGCTAGAGTCGAAGTTGAAGGTTGAAAGAAGTTCCTGCGCCCTGTACCTTACAACCTAGTGCTTTTAAAGCTCGAGCCCCCGCCTTGTGACTAGATATGGACACCCAAGACTCCCTCAAACGATCAATCACCTCTTCTCCTCAACAATCATCCACAGAGAAGCGTCAGAAAACAACAGACACCTCAGCTGGAGCAGAAGCCAAAACTCGCCTTCGACCAGGCAACGAAACGCTTCCTGCGCCAGTCTCCAAGATGGGGCTTGTACCCGCTATCCCTACCATGCCGCCGTCGTTGGAGCTGGTCACTGGCGTCAAGGCGGATCTGAGGGCAAGTAGTGGGCATATAGGACAGGAGGAGGTGGGTGTGATTGGGTATGTGGGGAACGGGATGCCTGTGAATGGTGTGATCAAGCAGCGGTGAGCTACCGCCAGTATTCTGTCGGCTGGGTGGACGTCGATCTGATACCTCAGATTCACAGACTTCCTGGTGAACGAAGTCGGAATGGACGGACATGTCATCCACCTCAAAGACATCACCAAACCCAAGGAGCCCAAACCCGATCCACCCGCAAAACCCGCCGAACCAGCTCCGTCGATGCACGAGGCCGCGGCAGAGTACAAGGAGCCTGAACCCTTACCGGAAGGCTTGCAGTTCGAGACCAAGACGGGATGGAACGACCATACCACCCGAAAGCTCTTGCCGCATTTCGAGAAGGAGACGATCGTGGCGCTCAGGGCGCTGTGGGAGGAGGGGAAGGAACCGCCCAGGAAGCCGGATGCCGGGTGGGGAAGCAGGCCTGTCAAGACCGAGGCGGAGAAGGCAGCCGAGGCGGCGACGGCTGCTGAGGAAGCAGCACCAAAGCCGGTATTGACGGCGGAAGAAGAGGCTATGAACCTCTCATCAGAGCCTGCGGCTCCTCCAGCGGAAGAAACCGCCGCGGAGGGTAGTGGACGAAGGGGCCAGGGGAGGGACAGAGGACGCGGTCGTGGTCGGGACGACCGAGGTGGGCGTGGCGGGCGAGGTGGGCGTGGAGGTCGTGGCGGTGGGTCAGGCGGTTGGGGAGGGAACGTCGTCAAGGATGACAGGGAGGTCGTCTCGCACGTTGTGGCCAGCAAGGAGGAACGGGCGGGATGCCATACGGCTATCCGGGAGGCGTTCGGGGGATTGTTTGAGTCGGGTACGAAGGCGGAAGGAGAGGAGAGTCGGGTGGTCATCACCTATGCTAGGGCAGGGGGGAGTAGGCAGACTTGGGGACCGCAGAAACGTGAGCTTGACCCCATTCATCGATGCGTACAATGATGCGAGAGAAGCTCATACTGTTAGCCAACCACTCGAAAAACCTCCCTCCCTATATCCACTTCACCCTCCAAAAGACCAACCGCGAGACGCAAGATGCCCTCGCCTACCTGTCCCGCCAGATCGGATGTCAATCCAAGGACCTCGGAATCGCGGGCACCAAAGATAAGCGCGCGGTGACGGTCCAGCGGGTGTCCCTTCGCCGGGGCAACAAGACGATGGAGACGATCTGGAAGGCTGTGAATGGGCTGACGGGTGGTGGGGCCGGAGGTGGAAGGGGCGGGTGGAATGATCGAGGTGGACGAGGAGGGCGAGGGGGACGGGGTGGGCGAGGTGGATGGGGAGGTGGAAGTGGAGCTACGGCAGCGAGTGTGTTGTCGGAAAGGGCGGAAAGGGGGGCGAGGGTCGGAGATTTCAGTTATGAGCCGGAAGGATTAGAGTTGGGGTTGTTGAGAGGGAATCAGTTCAAGATTACGCTGAGGTGAGTTTTGCGTCTATTGAGGGAATGGCAGGGAGGAAGCAGAAGACTTTGAACGGAGAGCGAGAGGCTTTGGTTGCGACGAGAGCGGTGCAGTAAGGGCAGGGGGTCAAGTGGGAAGATCCGAGTCGGAGCGGAGCTGACCTGCAGGAATGTACAAGGGGAGAGTGATGAGGCTATCGACGCCACGCTGGCTTCGTTACGGGACAACGGGTTTATCAATTTCTACGGTAAGCTCTCATCTCCTGCGCGCGATCTTGCAATCCCTCTGCACCCAATTTTTCTGCTGGAACTCGCATCGCCGTACCTTCGATCGCCTAGTCTCGCAGATTTCTCTTCATCTCTCCTCTATCCTCACACGGAGGCTCTCTATACCTCTCTCGTCGTTCATACGCCCATCCACTAATCCTCAGGCATGCAACGCTTCGGCACCTCCTCCGTCCCCACACACATAACCGGCCTCTCCATCCTCCGGTCCAACTGGTCCGAAGCCGTCGACTCGATTCTCTCTCTGCGTCAGAACGAGCACCCCGACTGCGTGCGCGGCCGGCTCGCATGGCTCGAAGATCGGGATATCGACGCGGCGCTCGCGGCGATGCCGAGGCGGTGTGTCGCCGAGAGGAGTATTTGGGAGTTCTGGAAGCGGGTTGGGGGGACTACGGATTATCTTGGGGCGTTGGGGACGGTACGTCACTCATCCAGCTGGAGAATGCTCTTTATAGCGAAGGGATCCGAGCTGATACACCAGATCCCTCGGAATCTCCGGACGATGTATGTCCACGCGTACCAATCGTACATCTGGAACTTGATCACTTCGGAACGCATCAAACTGTCGTCGACTAAGCCTCTTCCCGGTGATATCGTGCTGGTCAAGGACGACTCCACTACCGCTGCAGACGCCGATGCCAATGCCAACGGAGACGCCTCGCGATCTCGACCTGCCCTGGAGACTGCGTCCAACGCCACGGTCAAGTACTTGACGGACGCGGATGTGGACCAGTACACCATCTTTGATGTTGTCCATCCCCTACCTGGATTTGACGTCGAGTATCCGAAAGGACCGATCGGGGAGTTGTACGCTACGATGTTGAAGGCGGATGGGCTGGATTTGGCCCATATGCGACGGGATCAGCGGTGAGTCCTGCCTCGACCTCTGTCTCTGCTAGCAGTGCTCCAACTGATATATCAGCGAATACTCCCTCCCCGGCTCTTATCGACCCATCATCAACCGACCTCAATCCCTCACCTGGTCTCAAGTCCGATACACCGACCCCAACCTCGCCCTCGTCCAGTCTGACGAGGACGCCATCCTCGGCCTGAACCCACCCGCGCTCAATGACCCCGAAGGCATGTTCCGCGCGGTCGTGCTCGAGATGACGCTCGGCCCGGCCGCGTATGCAACGATGGCGCTCAGGGAGGTGACGCGGGAAGAGACGAGTAGTTGGTGGCAGACGAGTTTGACTGTGAAGGGAGAGGATCAGGGATGGAGGGATGGGGCGGATGGGAATGCGGAAGCTGGGGCTGAGGGGGAAGGAGATGGGGAGGAGGCGGAGGTGACAGTGGCGGAGGAAGAAGGGGCGGGAAATGAGGAGGAGGAGGCGAATGCAAATGCGGCTGGGGATGAGGTCAAGTAGATGGAGGCGAGGTCAGGTCGGTTAGCGTCAAGCTCAGGGGGGAAGCAAAGGAGAGTAAGAGGCACCGTATCATCCCAATCATATCATGCATCAGCGAGACATTTAGATCATCTAGCAATCACCATTATACAACGCGCAGCTGCAGCCGCAAACATTCCTCGCCGCTGACCGGATTACGTACGCAAACAAAGGTGCCAGAATTTCAAGTGGCAAGATTTGCACGTCCACCTCCAACGTCTTCCCCCATCTCTCTCTCCTCGTTCTACAGTCACAATGGTCATGTCCTACAGCGCAGTAGCGCAGCCCAACGCGGATACTCCGAAAGTCATGTCCATCGCGTCGAAGACCTCGCCTTCGCCTTCGACGGCAGTACAGCCGTCATCATCAGCGACCGAAGATGCACCGGCCTCCTCATCCACCCCGACCCTTCCGGCCTCGAGTTCCACATCCACATCCGCACCAGAAGCAGGTCCAAGTACTACACCTTCCGCTTCCGCCTCTTCCTCAACTCAACCCTCGTCTGCGCCGGCAGGGAGCAGCGCCAAGCCCCAAATCAAACACCTTATCCTGGACGCCGGTCCCTTATTATCACTCACGCCCCTCCGCCACCTCGCCGAAAAGCTGTATACGACCCCCGCTGTTCTGGCAGAATTGAGGGATCCGAAAGCAAGGGAATACTTTAAGCGGATACAAGGTGGGATGGAGGGCGTGAATGTGGAGGTTGTGCAGCCTACGGGAGAGGCTATGGCGAGGGGTGAGTTTGGGTCTTGTACTTGAAGCATGTCGCATAAGGCGGGAGGACAGTCCTGTCAGAGATCGAGGGAAGCGGACGGAATAAGAGGCCATCATGGCCGAGGAGAACTCGAGGTGCTGGGGGCGCGGGTTCAGTACGCTGGAGAGAAAGGGAGAGAAGAAGATAGAGTCATGCGGGAGCGGAGCTGATCAAGCAGTAATCGCATTCGCCAAGAAGACAGGAGACTATGCTGTGCTTAGTACGACCGATCTGGGTGTCATCGCCTTGACGCTGCAGTATGAGATGAAGGAGAATGGACTGGAGGGGATAAGGCTGGAGCCAGGGAAGAAGGGACCTGCTGGTGCAAAGGCGCCAGCTCAGGCGGTTCCTCAGGCGCCAACACCAGCCAGCGAGCAGTACAAGGCTGTGGGCACTGCGGAGGAAGGGGCGCAGGTCACGGGGCCGGGGGAGGCGGATGAGGAGAGCGATGATGAGGAAGAAGCAGAGGAGCATGACGAGGAGGAAGATGGCGCGGAGCCGAATGCAGCAGGGGGAGCGTCAAACGAGATCGAAACCGCACCGTCTGCCTCCCTCGACTCTGCATCCTCAGCCGCTGTGCAGATGAACGACCTCACCCTCTTCTCTCCACCCTCGGCAGAACCTACCTCCTCGAGTCCATCCTCATCTATATCTCCACCATCCGCCCCTGCCTCCGCGCCAGCGCCAGCCTCAGCCCAGGCTGATGACGACGACTCTGACTCTGACGCTGGCGAATGGATCACACCCTCCAACGTCTCGGTCCACCGTTCCCGGGACCTCGGACACCTCCCCGAAGGCGGTCATGCATCCCTCAAAGAAATCACCGCGGCGTGCATGACGGGCGACTTTGCCGTCCAAAACGTACTGCTCGCGATGGGTTTAGGACTGGTCGGTGAGGGCGGGAAGCGGATAAGTAAAGTCAAGAGCTGGGTGTTGAGGTGTCACGCATGTTTCAAGTGAGTCCGTGTCTCTTGCCATTGCCAGGTGTAGATGTTGACGTATAGGACATGTAAAGACCCCTCCAAGAAGTTCTGCCCATCATGCGGCAACCCGACCCTCCTCCGTACATCCACAACAACCACCGCCAATGGCAAAACCCACCTCCATCTCAAGAAGAACTATCAGTACAACCTTCGCGGGACCAAGTTTACTATTCCGGATGCCAAGCCCGGAAGGGCAAAGGGGCAGCTCAAAGGCGGGACGGGGCTGATTTTGAGGGAGGATCAGAGGGAGTGGACGGATGCTGTCAAGATGGAGGAAGGGAGGAGGGGGAAGGAGGAGAAGAAGATGTTGAAGGGTTGGGATGATCCGGATGTGAGTTCTCAGCCGATACAGGAGAGGGAAGGGGGAAGGTGAGAATTGAGCTGATGATAATAGTGGATGCCTGAGATTATCACGGTGGGCATGTCGGGGAAGGGACGGATGGGGTCGCATGGGCTGCCTAATATTGGACATGGGCGGAAGAATCCCAATATCGCCAAGAAGAAGAGATGATGGGAATTGGATCGATGGGGGGGCACTTTGGTGAGCTGGACGTCGAAAGTAGTCTGTGAGCAGGACGGTCAAGCTGACGATGTTAGGTACATATTCTGGCATCTATACTTATGCACTTTGGACGGGACTCAACATGCGGCATCATGACGACATTCCACTGACCGAGCCTTGCGTCTGACCGCTAATACTCATCCTTACTCACAGCTATCATTTCTCACCTCATTTTCCTCTCTTCCCCCGCGCCACATCCCCATCACATCGCTTTGACAATGGCATGACGAGACGCACCCCTTGCTACCGTCTCATCATCCCACCGTTCCCCCTTCCCTAGTGTCGGCGGGGATTGCCCACTACCTCAAAGCGCAGAATGATGTCTCGGTCTGCTTCAAGCAGACTAGCAGACACCTCCTCCCCTTCTGTACACTCTCGCACTGTTGTGCTGCCTGGCGGAAAGGGGGGATGGGAGGCGCTATCAAGGACTCGCCGCTGCTTGAGCTTTTGTGGTGCGGATTCGAGTAGTATTCTGCGCCTACATGCATCCTTGTCTCTTCGTCTCCTCGTTCCTGTCCCCTTGGGAATTGGGTTTATCGTGCGCGGTCTTGCAGGGATTACAAGACTGATCAGCTGACAGCCGATGGGGTATGAAGCTAGAAGACAAGAGACTGCATAGAGCGCAGTCGCGGAACTATCGTATCGAGCGCTTGATCGGGCTAGTGACAACCCAATCGGCATCTTTGGGTGGGCGAACAACTTGCCAGGGCGACCCCACCTCTTCCTGTCCCGCCTCTTGTCCCATTGGAGGGGTAACGGTGCCCTCCCCGCCGCTCGAGCTAGACGACCCGCCTGACACCTTCCTCATCTCACCTCCATCATCCTGAACAATCCTACTGGTTCTCGGGGATGCGGCCGGAGACTTGAGCGGGATGTAAGCGACAGGCTGGAGGTGCCCACCGCCTGTGCCGCCAGGAAGAGGGGTCATTTTGAGGCTGTTTCGCATTCGACGAGCTGATCGAGGGGTGACTCCCTGGCGTGGGGTGAGCGGGGCAGTGGCATCGATAGTGCGTCGACTGGCAAGAGGGCGTCGGGTGAGCGGTGTGGGAGATGGACACGGCTTGGGACGGGAGAGCGAGCGAGGGGTCGGGGACGGAGAAGGTATGGGGGAGGTAGAGGTGGAGACTGTTACGGGCGCGCGGGATGGTCGGGTGGTCGCCGCTGTAGGTGCTGTAGGCCTGGTGATGCTGCGGGTTGGGCTCTTCAGCGGTCGGGCTGAGGATGAAGGGGTAAGAGTGCGGGGAGGAAGAAGCCTGATGGCCGGTCGGCGAGGCGCAAAGGCGTTCATGTGCTCCTCTGTGTACATCAGCGGAATGTACACCTGGTCCAAAACGACTCGCACATTACTCACCCTTGATTCCCTCTAGCGGGTCCGTAATGCTGATGCAAACCGCCCCCATCAGACATTGCCTGGCATCCCCCTCCATCCCCCTAGCGGCAGCTCGCCATTCCGCATGCACAGCCCTCATCCTGTGATCCTCCGCCTCTACCTTCCGAGCTGACGATGTAAGCGGCGAGGCAAGAGGCAGAGGTACTCGGGTGCCAAGGGGCTTGGTTGGGGTGGTCGCGGCGCTCCTGGTGACAGGGACGAAGGGGCTCAGCTGTCGAGCTGGCGAAGGAGTTGACAGGATGCGCGGACCGGTCGATTTCGCAAGAGCTCGGGGTGTGGGCGTAGTGGGTATGGTAGGTACTCTGACGAGCGCCGCAGGTGTAGCGGGTCGAGCCCACCACTCCGAGCTGACCTTGCGTCGTAACCCCCTGATCCCGCCGACTCGTTCCCCTGGTATCTTATCCCCGCTCGCCCTAATCTCTGAGTCCTCCGCTTTGTTGCTGATAGCCGAGCTGGGGCTGCTTGCCGTTGCGGCTTTCGTCAATGCCGATCTCGCCGAAGTGGACGATTTGAGTGAGTTCTTCCACGACAAGGCGAACTTGGAGGAGAAGCCCAGTGTCGATTTGGGGCGGGGAGGACGCGTCGAATCGACCGGAGACGACGGGGCGCCGGTAGCGATGGCAGTGGCGCTATACGTCGAGCTGGGAAGCACTTTGGAAGGGATGGGTGCGCCGTGGGTGAGGGGTCTGCCCCCTGCCGCAGGTCTCGCTTGTGACGGTGTCGTTCCGCGAACCGGGCGATTCGGGTGATGAGACGAATTGCTGCGGAGGAGGAAGGAGTTCATCTTGTTGTATGTCGCCTGCAGCCGATATAGGCGATGGCGTAATGCTGCGTGCGGAGGATGAGCTGGGTTGTTTCCGAGTCGAGAGTACGGATGAGAAGAAGTAGGAAAGGGACAAGCAGGAATGAGTGGCCAAGAACCGCAATCTGAAACCTGTGCGTCATCGGTACATCGGTTTCAGATGTCCCCTCGTGGCTGACGCGATCGCTATAGCTAGAGTTGTGATACTGGAGCACACTTGGACAGCGAGGACAAGTGGAGGGGCGTGATGTAAGGCATGGTAGACGCCTGCGTCCTTCTATCTGAAGATCTACGCCTCCTGCTTCAAGCTATCTATGACCCTCGCCACCGCCACCCGCTCCCTCTTGCCAAACTTGCCCTCAATCTTGCTCATATACCTGCCCTTCGCTCCGCCTCCTCTCACTCTCTTCCCCTTATCTCCCTCCCCACCTAGATCGTCGATCGCAGCTGCCAACTTGTCCTTGATCTCCTTGGCCAACTTGTCGTCCTTACTTTGGACGAGAAGCAAGCCTCCTGGCGTCCCATCCACCGCGGATGTCAGAACCGCCACTCTACCCTCGCTGCCCTCCAGCGCCATCAGACCGCCCGCTACGAGGCCTAGGAACTCAAAGTCGTGCGTTCCTCTCTGGTCTCGATGAACCCAGGTCACGTTGTCCTGTCCCGCCGTCTCGACTAAAAGGCGTACGAGCTCCCGCCGCAGATCTCCATTGATCGCCCCTGCGTCCTTCCGCAGCTCCTCGCTCCGTGCCGCTCGCTCGGCCGCGTTGCTTCGGTTCGCTTGAACGGCCTGGGCGACGCTACTGAGTTCGCGCGAACAGGAAGAGAGGTATCGTGCGGCCCGCGGTCCGGAAGTGAAGAAGAGCTTGGTGGCTGATTTGGAGGGTGTAGTGCTCTCGGGAGCGAGTGACGGTGGGATGACGTGCAGGAAAGAGCAGAGACTGAGGTTGGGGACTTGAGTACCGCAGCAGGCGTTTCTGTCGGTCTGGTCGATGCAACAGTGCCGGATCACACCCTGATTATGAGCTGAGGTCCAGGTTGGGAGGCAAAATCAACTCACTCCCGCGTAATCCTTAGGCAACCCCCTAGACTCCCTCTCTGCATCTCCATCCACACCGTTCTCGTCGCCCTGCACCGAGACCTCGATCCAGATCCTCTTGGCCTCGCCTATGAGTCGGTTGCATTCCACTTCCACCTCCTCGGCCTCCTTCCATGTCAACTGCCGGCTGAGCTCGACGTAGGGAGGTTCCAGAGAGGGATGAGCGTGCATGGCCCAGCTAAGAGTCGGGAGGGACCGGGTGTCGAGTACGGCTGAAAGAAGGTGTTGGGCGGTGTGTAGGGTCATCTGACACATCAGCCTGACTTCAACAGCAGTGTTTAATGAAGAAAAGATGAGATTTACCTGGTCGACGCGCCGTTCCCAGTCGGTCTCCACCTCGATTGTCACCTTCTCCCCTTCCGCAACTGCCTTCCCGACAGTTTCCAGATATGCCTCGTCCTCCGCGGACACCCGGACAAGATGTATACTCTCCAGCTTTTTCCTAATACACATCTCCACCCTGAAGCTTCTCGTACCGCCGTTCGGGTCTGAGAAATGGAGATAGCCCATATCAGAGGGCTGACCACCTCCTGTCTCCCGTCAGCCCTATACTGCCTTATAACATACCTTCGGGGAAGATAACCGTATCCTCGAGCTCCACCTCCCATAATCGACCAGCAGCGACTTCTGGCTGGGCTTCCACTACGGGAGTGGCCGTCCCACTCGTACTGGGCGAGGATTTCTCCTTCTTCTTGAGTCCTTTACCCTTTTGGGCTGGAACCGCTGAGATTGGCGCCGGCTTGGCCGATATGATTCTTGTGCTCAGAAGACGGAGTAGGGGATCACCTGACTAGTCAGCTATCAGACCTTGCCCGCTGGTTCTGTAGGAAAGAGACTGGACTCACGCTGGCATGCGAGTAGTCCGACAATACGCTTGGACGGGACATTTGCAGGATCGAACTGCAGTCGGAGATAGTCCTTGGGCGTCGCCGTCTCCGGCAACGGCTCGAGAGCGAACGACATTTGCTTCACTGTTAGTCACGTAGGTAGCAGAGAAGATGAAACCAAGATAAGAGATGTAAAGAGGGAAGATGAACGAGCTTGCATTGCCGTCATCGGAGTTCCGGATTTAGCCGGCACTACTGCAGGACGAGGCTGAATCCGGTCACAGGTGGATGGCACTAGAGTACTACGGACCATACATGCGGCATAATGGGAGCGTACAAGTGGACAAAGAGGAGGGAGGAACGAGCGAGGTATCAAACGAAGAGGGAAAAGCTACAGAAGAGAAGAGAGGTATGTCCAAAGCGCCCAAAATGAAGTTGCAGAGGTCTGCTGTGGCTGCGCGGTATCCGTCAGCTTCAGCTATGACTATACAAACAGATACAACCACAATGTCATCCATCTAGAGCGCCTGCTTCGCCTCGATAGGCCGACCTGGCATCGCCTGCATATGTCAGCGAAGATCAGCCAAGCAGGTCGACCTGGATCCAGATTCTTTGACTTACCCCGTGCATTGCCATCCGCTCGTACCCTTCCGTACGATTGCCAGGCACTGGATCCTGGAGCACAAGCGTATAGAGAGCTCCCTCTTCAAATCTATGCTAGCTTCAGTCCAGTCTCCAGCCGGTATGGTTATGAGATGCCACTAACCCAAAGCGGACCGTGCGCAAGCTCAGATACAAGGCTCCCGTCACCAAGGGCAGTAGGCGGGCGGTCTGTGACAGATGGGCGAGCGACTCGTGATGGATGTACTGGCCGACACGAACAGGTCGGACAGCTTTCTGTTGCAGAAGATCGAACCAGGTATTGAAGCTTAGGGTCATGGCGGCCATTTTGTCTGCGAGATTATGGAAGTGTAAGATGCAGACCTGTCACAGACGTTGCATCGGCGAACTTATATAGCACTGCTTCGGAGCTATGTCTCATATCATCCAGACATCACGGATCCACTGGGATCTAGGTCAGACGTATGCCTGATCAAAGATATCGCCGTATTCCCGCTGAAGGATATCGCCGTATCCCCGCTGCACGTGATCAGACTCGAGAGCACCGCTCTTCGAGTACGCGTGGAAGATAATAAGGGGTAGTGCCGTTTGAGCATAAGACATGAGGGGTAGAGAGTCGGGCGACCGACACGGAGCAGAATTTGGAATGATGAGATCCGAAACTGGCAAAAGCTCCGGTGGGCCCCGGACACTGGTGGTTTTTTGCGCTTTGCCGTACAGATATTGGTGCTGCTGCAGCATGAACCGGATACATCAGCTTCGTATCATCTTGTAAATGATCTGAGTCAGGATGCTGGGCGATGTCAGACATATATCGGGTCGCTGCAGCGTCTTTGGCAAAGGCCGGGCAGGAGAACGCAGTAGTGAGGCGACAGAGACCAAACGGAGCAACTCCACATTCCTCAAGTGTTTCACATTTCGTACCTGCCATATCTGCCAGCATCTTGCGGCTGTATCCTCTTCACCGGTTATCGCGTGCACATTGATTGAATGCGCTGCTTGGGACGCCGACAGCAAGAGCTGAATATGTTGGCAACGTCGGCACTAGATGATTGAAGAGTCCGATGAAACCCGTAAAGAGCTTTAAGCGCGTTTTCACCCGATCAGTGCGGACCTGAATCAATTTGGGACCCGCTGCGTCCCGATCATATACGGATCTAGACGGAGAGTTCTCACCTTTAGACCGAGCGACCTCTGGTTTCTCCATCTTACACGGGAACTCGAACAGCGGTGCTCCCCTAGTCACTTGCAGTGATATGCGCAGCTGCCCGTCACGGTCATGGCCATGTCTATCGACGTGCAGGTACGCAGGAGACTGGCGGAGACGTGTGAAATGACTCAAAATCAGGAGTGGTATATCCACAAATGCTGGGGTGCCATGACACTGAGCAGCACAAACCACATACCGTCCCTGATATGTGTGGACATCATGCTCCGGCGTCAAAGAGCTTCACGCGCTCAGCCATCGAGCCCCGATGGCTTGATTGGCCAACGTGGTCTAGAAACGGCGGGAATCATCTAGCACATTCCAAACTTACGTGGCATTCTTTGATAGGCTTACGGTCCTGATCACTCTTTTCAGGTTGTAGGGCAATCTAGATCGACGAGGAGGGGGAGATGAAAGGATGAGCATATTGTAAGGTGTGTCACCACCTTATGTACTGGACGAGAAGAGGGATATAAGCTGGATCACTTCCCCCAGTCCCCTCTCATTTCTTGAACACAGTTTCTACAACTCCCAAACACAGCAGACAGTCTACCTGACAGACACAACTTCCCTCCTCTTGCACAGACACTGACATACCATGACCACCTACTCTTCGAACGGGATTACCTATCGAGTGATGTTCGCGAGGAGCATGCAGACCGGTACCGGCACCACGGTGTTGGCGCAATCTCCCGAGACTGATCTGAGTGTCACCTCAGGCATTGCCCGACTCACGGACGATGAGGTCGCGAGACTCAGGAATGCTGGCCGAGTCGCCTTGGCTCTCGCAACCAAACCCGCGGACGGATCTGCCGAATCTGTGGACACGGTCAACGTGGCAAAGGAGGCGGAGCAGGCGTGCCTTCAGGAGTTCGCCGAGAAGTACTTTCCGACTGCCGACAGCTCGGAGGGGAAGGCCTAGGCTGCCGACCTACTCCTGTTTTTCGGTGGCAAGTCGAGTTTCGATGGACAACGAGGTTCAGAGTTCTGAGAGTACGTGATAGCGCATTATGCATGGGTGATCCGGTGAACAGAGAAGGACTGGCCGCGAAGAGTCAATATTCACGCATTACGAGCGGACATGACGGTCTGCGAGATCAGTGTGCATGTCCCTCATTGAAAAAACGCACTGGTCGTGATTCCTCATCCATCGGCCGTGGATGAACGTCTTATGGTCCCCCGTCAGGGAGACTTGGGTGTTGTTCAGCTTACCCTTCACGCGCAACCAAAGGTTTATGCTTAGAGATGTGTTCTATCCATCAGATGGCCTTTGAAGAGCCCTCCTCGCGTCCATGCAGCTGATTAGGATACTCGGCGACTCGGCATGGTGTAGCCGATGGCGATACTGATGGCGTGTCCTCATCCCTCACATTCTTTGCGCCACTTTGTCGGGCTCTCTGTGAGTCGGTTCCTGTCATCCTCTTGCGGAAGACCGTCGCGGCTCATCAAACCTGGTATATGGTGGCTGCGCATGCAGACGTGGTCCAGAAAGTAGCGCATGAGAACTTGAAGTGAAGACGCAAGCAGCGTAAGCGATAACGAGACGAACCAAACAGCCATACATCATCCGATTGTCCAGTTCCGCATCCCGAGCTAGACTAATGATAAGTATGGGTGAAGTATGATGCCACACAATGTGCGCAGGTGTATATAAACAACAAAATCCGCCCTACAGCTAGGGCTGGACCCACAAAGAATTCCAAAGCCTACGCAAGCATCATCCCGGCCAGCAGGACGATGCCACCCAACACCCCTCCGAGAGCAGGTAAGGACCGCGCAGCGCCCGCAGCTGACTTCTTGGCGGACGAGCTGGGGACCGAAGAGGCGACGACGACGGCGGGGCCGGTACCGTTGGCGGCCTTTTGGGAGACGAGGACTTGGGACGTGGGGAGGGGGTCGACAGGGAGGAGGGGTTGCGTGCCGATCTGACCAGAGCCAATCATGATCATCTGGGATGTCAGCTTCCAATATTCCTATGTTTCCGCCCTGAAGGAAGCGTTAAGGAAAGCTGACCTGTCCGGTAGATGGTACGCCGTCGACAACAAGGAATATCATGGCCGGACCAGGCTGGAAGATATTTGCGTTGGCGGGCATCTGCGAGACGTGCATCGTCACTTCGTTGGTGTCCTTCATGAGCGTGTAGGTCGCGCCGAGCTCGAGGTAGCGTTGGCCAAAGTTCATCTACATTGTCAGCTGAGGCTCCTTGCTCGACGAGGCAGTAGACAGTTCAACTCACGCCATGCGTACTGAACCCAGTCCGGATGACAACGACCTTGGTGCTCCCCGGGTCAGATTTGTCCGTCTGAGTGTAGTTCAAGTTCCAAGCCGGTCCACCCTACTTCGTCAGTTGCTTGTCGGGGTCCCGCCAGAAGGTGCAACTCACATAAGTCAACGTCATCGGCCAGTCGCTGGTAGCCTTGGGCCTTGTGTTGGAGTACCAGCTAGGGTACCACCTCTCGACGACGTAGCTCGTTCCCCACTTGACGGTCGTGACGTCCTTGTTCGGGTTGGAGCCAGAGATGAGGAGCGAACCGTCCGCGAGGAGGATGGCGGTCGAGTGGTACATTCGCTCGTGTTGGGACGCAGAGAGACCGGTCCGGGAGAACCGCTTTCCTTTGGCCGCGGACGGGCTGGGAGTATCAGCTATCGCCGAGCAAAATGATCTGCAGACAGCTTACTCGTAGACTGCTGGCATGTAGATAGGGTTTTGACCGTATGACTGGCCAAACGAGTACTTGTCGTCCCCATACCCAGCTGTTCCCATGTTGACACTAAATTATCAGCTCTTTCCCTCTGCATCGTGAGGAAGCTCAAGCTCACCCATTACCCAGCCACAACTTGCCGTCCGGCAGGTAAATCAGATTCCCCATCGACCGCCCTTCTGGCAGATTATCATCATCATAATACTTGGCGTCCCCCTCCGGTGTGATGCGCACACACGTGTTGTCGGCCGGGACAGCCGTGACGTTGAACCCGGCACCGCCGTCCGAGGATTTGGAGAGGTCCGCGTCGGACCCACCGCAAAAGAGTATGGTGGGCTGATAGTTGTTGGCGGGGACGAGGGGGAGCATGACGGATGCGCCGGAGGCGGGGTAGACGCGCTGGGCGTAGGGCATGTCGGCGAGGGGGATTTCGGTCTGGGTGGCGAGGTCGTAGAGGATGGTAGAGTAGCCGGCTTGCATGAACAGGCGGCCTGGATGTCAGCGGGAGGACTGAGAGGGACGAAGGTGACATACCGGACGGCATGAGCCAGGTGAGAGGGAAGAGGTTCATAGGGACGGTAGCGTTCAAGAAGTCCATCTTGATCTGAGCTCCTCGTTTTGGCCAGAACTCGTAGGTTGGGTTGTTTTGGACATAGGTCGAGACGTAGCTGGAGGATCAGCTTGGATTCGGGCATCTTCTGGCCCTGATAACTCACCCTCCGTTGATATCTCCCCCAAAGATGACTATAGATCCATCCCCCAAAGCCTCGACGGTAGGATACCATCGCTTACTCTGCCACATCAGCTCGACCCCAAAACCCTCCTGATCGCAACTCACCGTCATCGTCAACTCCTGCGTCCCCTCCTTCCACGCGCACGACCCATCATCACACGGGGTCAACATCCGAATAGCCTCTCCGCCATCTGTATTCCCATACGGATTCGCACCTGACGGATTTGCTATCTTGTCCACCACCGCCACGCCATCCGTTGTCACCGGCTTGTTTCCGCCAAAGACGAGCCACTGGCCCGTGGCTATTGACATGCCGGCCGCGCAGAAGGTGTTGGAGGTGACGCCCATAGGTGTGGCGACGTTTGTGGAGAGGGAGTAGGAGACGCCCCATGCGGCGCGGGATTTACCGTTTACAGTGACTTGTAATGGGTTGTTTTCGGTTTCTGGGGATCAGCTGTGCTCCACATCAGGGAATAGGGGGACGCACTGTCGAGGATGAAGACAGTCTCTGCGGTACCCAGAAACATCATCTGCGCCGACACGCCTGAATTTCCCACCACCTCGAACCCTCCCAAAGGCACCTGAGCAGCTCGTGGCTCGAGCGTCCGCCGGCCAAGAACGGGGTGAACATCCCGCCTATCCAGCTCGGTATGATGCCGTGCGAGATCCCGATGCCGGGCCTGGCGTTCTGATGCAGCGGGGTTGAGGAGGTTGGATGCCGAAGCGAGGAGGACGGGGAGGGCAAGCATCGAAGCGAGGTACGGCGCCATGATGGGAGGAGCAAGGGGAGGGGGTTGTTTATTATAAGGTGATTATAGTGGTCGTAAAGAGCGTGAACGTTTTGGGCGTGAGAGTGACAGCGACAGCGACAAGGAACCGAGGGTAGTAAAGGTGGAGCGAGGACGGACGAAAGGGGAGGAGGTTGTTTGATCCGCTGAGAGCTGTGCCGAGAATCCGAGCGTCCGAGCGTTGTCGAGCGGGCGGATCTGACTCGGTGTTTACGCGTCGATCAGCTTGGCCGGGGGGAGGGTGAGACAAGAGTGGATGTTTGAGAGGAGATATGAGGAGGGTCGAAGAGTGATGATGGATACAAAGAGTGAGACTGTTTGGCCAAGGGTGCAAAAGCAATACGGCCGGTGCGTAGAGTTGAGCTTGGTTGTTGGTTGAGCGCTGAGCCGAACGATTTGGCACACAAGGTTTGAGTTGAGCAAGGGAGTATGTAATTTGGTACTCGGATCTATTCGTGGCTGATAGGGTCTCGCAGAGTTCGTTATGAAACAAGTTGATCAACCGATGGGACCAGCCACGGTTGTTGACGCGTAGAAATGTGGGGTAGAGGTACGTCGGATGGGATAGGTCAGGTCGAGGATTGGGTAATGATAAGGGGAGTCGGCGAGATGTGTGGGGTAAGGAGGATGGTCAAGTGAGATGATATAAGGAGAAGCGAACAATGCGAAAGAGGTCCATGCACTGTACTATGCTCTCGCCAAAGGCTGCCCTTGTTCCCTCTCGCTGCTTCCTTGTGCATGGCGCGACAATGGATCTTTGTGCAGGGCTCGACAGGGTGAAACGCGACATGTTGTCCCCGCGTCCCGTTTTAGACTTAATCAGGCACGCACCAAAGCAGACGCGTCGAGTGGCCACGTGGCGATCAAGTCCAAGCGTCGACCTCTTGCAAGTACGCCTCGGTCGGCCATACGTATGGGTGATTCGACATCGCGGCTGTCAGAGTACATACCGGACCCATGATCACGAGTGTAGAGCTACGCGCGCGCTCCCCCGATCCCGGGCAAAGCCTCATTCGGAAACAAGTGCGGCAGGTCGTCGTTCAATCGCAGTCGCCATCTTATCTACAGGACCCAGAATCCTAGGCAGTGGGACCAGCTTACTGAGCTCCCTGACACGCTAGAGGTGCTCTCTGAGTACTGAGTCTGCTGAGACTCCTGCCCGATTGCTAAGAGCATCTCTGCCACCGCCACTGCCACTGCCACTGCCACCGCTGCGCGCTCCGACGGTCTGCGCTACATTCCTCGAATCCGAAACCGGCCGAAATGCTCCGAACTGAGTCGGCCGAGGGGATTTACTCCCGCTGAGATGTTCAGTCGAGCGACGTCCAACTCTGACTTTCAACTACTCTATCTATATACTCACGACACCGTCCAAAGCGCCCAGAATGTCAGGCAAAGTGTGAGCTACGGTCTGCGCTAACTCTCGTTTGCAGGGACGCCACAGCTGACCGGTCAGATTCAAAATCACCGTTCTCCCCGGAGATGGAATCGGTATGTCTCCCTCCGCCTCATTTTTCCTCCTCAATGTCAGCACCTGATACCTGCTCACTTTCCGCCACTTTCTCTCTAGGAGGTATCTTGACAAGGAGCTGACATGCAGGACCGGAAGTCACCGCCGAAGCGGTCCGCGTCCTCGAGACCATCGTCAAGCACACTTCGCTCCAGCTGGAAATTACCTCCAAGCCATTCGGCGGTGCCGGGATCGACGCGACAGGCGATCCTCTGCCTGAGGACACCCTGAAGTCTTGCAAAGAGGCGGATGCTATTTTGCTCGGTATGTCTGGCGCTGCTCCTCGTCTGCTGGCGGAAAGGCGTTGAAGCTGGAGCTGACATCTGCAGGCGCTGTAGGCGGACCCAAGTGGGGCGTCGGACCCGTCCGTCCCGAGCAGGGTCTGCTGCGGATTCGGAAAGAGCTCGGTTTGTATGCCAATATCCGCCCGGCGAGCTTTGCGAGCGAGAGCTTGTTGGAGTATAGCCCGTTGAAGGAGGAGGTGGCGAGGGGTTTCGAGGTGATTGTGGTCAGGGAGTTGATTGGAGGTATCTGTGAGTGTAGTGACCTGAAATGCTATCCCAGTGGGAAAGAGGGGGGAATGCGGGAACGGTTGAGACGTGGGATAAGGGAGAGGCGAGGAGCGAGGAATACAGAGAGATCTCACTCCCGGAGAAGGTTGCAGGATATAGCCGGAGCTCCCGGCTAACAAGCTCATTCCATACTGCTTTCCATGAGATATATGATCCGAGCCACAGCTGACCCTCAGACTTTGGCGAGCGCGGCGAAGCCTCGGCCTCTTCAGACGGTCAAACAGCATACGACACCTGCACATACTCGATCCCCGAAGTCGAGCGCATCACCCGCGTCGCCGCACAGGTCGCACTCGCCTCGGACACCCCACTTCCCATCACGTCCGTCGACAAGGCCAACGTGCTCGCCACGTCACGCCTGTGGCGCAAGACAGTGACGGAGCTCATTGAGAAGGAGTATCCCCAGATCAAGCTGAGCCATCAATTGGTGGATTCGGCGGCTATGATTATGGTGGCTAGCCCGAGGAAGCTGAATGGGGTTATTCTGACGGAAAATATGTTTGGGGATATGTGAGTCGGGGTCCTGCTAGATATGCGCGGGATGGATGAGGAGCCTGGGAAGACCGGGGTGCGACATGAGATGGAGCAGCTAGCTGGAGAAAGGGACAATACCGGAGTAGTGGTTGAGAAGTGAAGGGGTAGGAGGGGACCCAGGCTGATGCTCCAGCCTCTCGGACGAGTCATCCGTCATACCCGGCTCCCTCGGCTTGCTCCCTTCTGCCAGTCTGGCAGGTGCCCCTGACCCGTCCAAGACCGTCACTGGTATCTACGAGCCGTAAGTTTTGAACTGTGTTCCGATCTCGCGATGTCCGACAGACCAAGCTGACCCTACAGTATCCACGGTATGTCTCTTTACCACTCCCACCAGATCATCACCGGATCGTGTAGTTGAACGCATGAGACTGACTTGCAGGTTCCGCCCCCGATATCGCCGGCCAGGGAATCGCCAACCCTATCGGTACAATTCTCTCCGCCGCCATGATGCTCCGCTACTCGCTCGGCAAGGCCGCTGAGGCGGACATGATTGAGCAGGCCGTTAAGAAGATGTTGGATGATGGTGTGCGGACAAAAGACCTCCGGGGGGGTGCGGGGACCAAGGAGGTTGGAGATAGGGTGTGCAAGGCGCTGGAGGAGATGCTGAGCAAGTAGGCGGTGAAGTGAAGGAGCAAAGGCGAGAAGCAAAAAGGCGTTGTGTATGCACATCGTGTCGGCCTGATTCACTTCGCTCGACAGCCTGAGTCTTGATGCAATGCTGAACTGTACTTCGGCTGGGGCCGGCAGGTCGGTATTATATCTCGTCAATGTATGAGGCAGTACAACTATGATTGTCCGCAAGCAATTCTTCCGGCTCATGCCTCTTCCCCCCAGGACGCAATGGCCTGGTGATGCCCGTCTCCTCATCTCCCTTACGGTCTGTAAGACTCTCGGTACAGTACCCTGTGGCAGCGCCAGTTGTCGCCTACTCGCTCGCCAGGTTCCACACCAAATTAGCCCATTGCGCTTTCGACCGTGTCTTGTCTAGCGTCGTGGTGTGTACGTCCTCTTTCGCGTCGTTCCCTGCTTGGATCAGCAATCCTGTAGCGGTTCACGAACGGTAGGGAGGGTGACATACGAATGAGGACCTTGACGGGGGCGTTATCGGTCCGCGGGAGTAGTCGGAATCCTATATCATTCAAGAGCTTCAAGCGCAATCTAGGGGTATCAGCACGCTCCCAGACGTTATTGCGATACCCTTCCAGTACTTGCACCCACACATCACTCTCATACCCCTCCTCTTCGCCCACTTTCCAACCCCCAACTTCCTCCCTCTCGCTTTTACATCTCCCCAGCTCCACTTCCTTCTTCCCTAATGTGGCCTGTTCCTCCGTCAGAGCCTTGACGGTCGAGTAATGCTGTCCCTCCAGATGACGCATTTGATCGTTGTGTTCTGAAGGGGAGGGGACTGTAGAGGGCCGGAGAGCGGACGAGGCGGCGGCTGAGTGTTGTTTCTGTAATTCTGGAAGGCTCAGCTTGTGTCCACTCGATTCCCGCAATGATCGAAGGATAGTAGCTGAGATGTTGTTAGTAACGATCACTCACGTCGATACTCCGCTTCCAGCTTGGATACTATGGATGCCCGCTCGGTGTCTCTGGCAATGACCGCTGCTTCTGCCGCTGCGAGATTGTCCAGCTCATCCTCCGCCGATAGGGTCGTTCCGACATCCACTAGAACACGCCTGATCGTCAGCATCGCAGCTCATTCATCATATCGTATCGACATGCAGGTCTGAACATGTCTTGCCGGTGTGTACGTACCTCAATTCGCCCCATACATCCTCTCCTATATCCCCTGCTGTGCCCTCGCTCCCAAAGCTCTTCTGAGGGGAACGGAGGAACGCGTGGGTGGCGGGAGAAGCGATCATCGCCATTTCTTCCGCGCTTCGTCGGAGATACTGGTCGTATCGCTTGTAGCCGTAGGTGTAGCTGTAGCTGTAGCTGAGGCTGTGGCTGGACTGAGCAATGGAGAGATTGTATATAGCGAATATGGGTTCGGCGAGCAAAGCAAAAGCAAAGTTAGGCGCGGATGTTGACTTTGGCTTGACGCGTCTGATTCCGGTTAAAGGGTAAACTCAATTAAGGCTGATGATTGGGGCAAAGTACGTCATACATATCCGAGCGCACCTCGCTCTTGTATTGCGCCTGGAACCTTTGGAACGAGCCTCCTATCTTGGCCTTCACACTATACAGTCTCCAAGGCCAAAGACCACACGCACCATTTCATATTTAGCTTATCCAGACGAGTCTACACATAAGATGGCAGCTCCACCACCTGGCGCAAAGCGCAGGCACACGACAGACAAGAAATTAGGCGAGAGGAGGAGGGAGAGAGTGGCGGGGAGCTCGAGAGATGCGAGCGAGGAGGGTGAGTTTGGGTCTGACGTCGATGAGGAGGCAGTGGTGAAAGAGTGACAGGACTTGCGCTGACTGACTGCTCACTTCACATTCCTTTACCATCTCAACTTTGTCTGATTTATCGTCGCACGTGCCCCTCTCTTACACTCTGTCCCACAGATAACGAAGAGGAACTCTCGGACGTCGGATCTCTCGCTTCCAACCACCACACCCGTCTTCCTCCTTCCGCTGCTGGTGCTGTCAATGCTGGGGCCATCGCCCCTGGGATCAGCGCGGCGCACCGCCGAGCCTTAGGCCAGAAGAAGGTTTCGGGCCACGAGGGCGAGGGGAGTCAAAGCGACAGTGTCGACTCACCAGTGTACGTATGACCGTCCTCTGCCTGATTAGAGGCAAACACGCATGTGCATCGCTAATGGGTCAGGTATGACGGTGATGTAGAGTCGTCATCCACTATCGGCGGTACCCCCGTTCACTCCACATTCCTCAACTCTGGCTCCGGGGTCCCTTCGCACATCTCCGGCCTCTCCACTTCACCCACCAAGTCCCCTTCTGGCCCGAACCGCCTCCCCACGCCGAAATCATCCAAGCCAAACCTCCTCGACTCGGCCCTTGCACCCTCCAACACCCCGCACGACGTGCCCGTAGCGGCCTCCCAGGCGTTGTCGCCCGCTACAAAGTCGCAGCTCCAGCCGCTGAGCACCAAGACGAGCAGCTCGGACCTCGGTCCGCCCAAGATGTACTCGAGGCCCGTCGAGCTCAGTCCGGACGATATCAGCGCGTTTGTCAACCGCGCGATTGAGGGCAAGGGGGAGGAAGATGGTGTGGAAAGGTGGTGGAAGACAAACAAGCCGCCAGGGGATAGGCCAGTCCGGATCTACGCGGACGGCGTGTATGATCTGTTCCATTTTGGGTGAGCATCAGCCGGTTCAGGTCCCAGTGAAGACTTGTGCTAACCTTCAGCCACGCTCTCCAATTGCGCCAAGCCAAACTCTCCTTCCCCCGCGTGCACCTCCTCGTCGGTGTGTGTTCGGACAAGCTCTGCGCAGACCACAAATCCGCCCCCGCCATGACCCACGCGGAACGGTGCGAGTCCGTCCGTCACTGTCGGTGGGCGGATGAGATCCTCCCGGACGCGCCGTGGATCGTCGACCAGGCGTGGATGGACAGGCACCAGATCGATTATTTGGCGCATGACGAGGTGGTTTACCCAAGTAAGGGAGTTGAGGATGTGTATGCTTTTGCAAAGGAGCAGGGTGAGTACTGTCCATACTGAGAGAGGATGAGGCTGATATGTCTAGGCAAGTTCTTACCCACCCGCCGCACACCTTGCATCTCCACCTCGGACCTCCTCGAGCGGATCGTCCGCGGTTACCGAGATGGCTTCTTCGACTCCAAGCTCGAAAAGAACGGACACCCGGAACTGCTCGCTGCAGATGTCGACTGGGATAGCTCGGCCAGCGTGGACAAGCGCGAGCGGAGGAAGAAGAAGGCGTTGCAGAAGGTGCAGTAGGCTGGGTAGGGGTTCAGTTTGGGGGAAAGGGAAGAAGGGAAAATGTGGTTATAAAGATTCGACCGGAAGGATAGGTAGATTTGGGATTTGTGACTGAGGGATATGTTTAGATACCTGCTGGGAACGACTGAGTAGACTTGCTTGGGATGCATACAGGCTATCGTTGCTCGACTGACCGGTCAAGAAGGTCAGACAGGAGCAGAACGACAGGAAAATGTGGATTTTCGAGACCATACGGTAGCTCAGGCTCAACTGCTTTGGCGGTCGGCGGCGGGGGCCGCCTCAGAACCGTTAGTTCTGCCCGGACCTTCGCAAGTTCCTCATTCCTCGCTCGCTTCTTCCTCCATTCTCTCTCTTCAATACATTACCTCCCTACTCCACCAGAATCAGCTCGAGGCATCACTAGCCCCAGCTTAGCCCAAAAGACAACCTCAAAAACAAGCCAACAGCACTCCCATCACGCTCTTTACGACCCACCCCTTCACCTCCATCCTCCCTCTCCTTTCCCAAATTTCAGCTTCACATCGTTACGATGGCAGCTACATCCCAAGTCAACGGGCTCATGTCACCTCCCCCGACGGAGAAGGCTTCGTCAGCGGGCAGTCCGGCGCGCATTGTATTGGCCGGCAAGACGGGGAGGATCCTGTGTGTGGCTGATATCAGGGGAGACTGTGAGTTGGGGTCCTGCTTCTTTGGTCTCTGATGGATCGGGGTGGAGCTGGAGGTACTGTGAGAAGATACGCAGCCAAGGTGTCGTACTGAGGAAGAGGGTCCTCCAGGAGATTGGGTTGTCCAACAAGAGCTAGACTCGTAGACGGTCGAGAGGAAGAAGCTGACTCCCAGTCCACGAGCTCAACAGGCTGATCAGGGAGCACGAGGCGACTGCTGTGATTCACACTGGCGACTTTGGATTCATCAACGCCGAGTCTCTGGATCGGATGGGCGACAAGTAAGCCAGGCTCTTTGCTTTGCTTCGCCCCCTTCCTCCCGGCTTCCCCTTCCTTCACATGCTTCTTCCCGCTCGGGCCGCTCAATCCCAATACTGACCCCCAGAATCCTGCGCCACCTACTCCAATACTCCCCTCTCCTCCCTCCATCCACACGCCAATCCCTCCTCGCGATTCCCACCTCCGCCGGCCGCCCAGCACTCATCAACGCCCTCAACAACTCGTCCGTCCACTTCCCGCTCTCCCAGTTCCCCCTCCTCCTCACTGGCGCCATCACCTTCCCCGTCCCGGTCTTTACGGTCTGGGGGCTCATTGAGGATGTGCGGGTGATGGAGAAGTTTAGGACGGGCGAGTATGAGGTGCATAACCTGAGCGTGATTGATGAGGCTGCGACGAGGGTTTTGGACGTTGGAGGCGTGAGGCTGAGGTTGTTCGGTCTGGGTGGGGCGGTGGCGCCGCACAAGATGTGTAAGTTGGCCATGTCTCGAGAGTGCCTCCATCGCGGGATCAGCTGACATTTGCAGTTGACAATGGTCTGTTCACGAACTCCAGGCTCGTTGCATGATAGCTGATTCCGTAGGAGAAGGATTCGCCACCATCGCCGGCGGACAAGGCACCATGTGGACAACAGCCCTTCAGATCGGTGAACTGGTCGATACAGCGCAGCGTGTAAGCTTTATCCTCCCCTCACCAAGCATGCGATCAGGAAGCTGACCCTTACAGGTGTACGACTCGACAGAGACTCGCTTGTTCATCTCGTCAGCCCCTATCAGCCGGAACGGTCTTCTCTCTCAGCTCTCTGCGGCATTGAAGGCGGACCTCACCATCTCTGGTGGACTTCACTGTGAGTACAGCTGGCAGTTCCGTCACTTTCTGTGGGAATTCGAGACACCCAGCTGAAGTTTTTAGTCCGGTACCCCGCATCATTCAACGAATTCTCAGTGCACGGCGATTTCGAGGCATACCGCCACAAATTGACCCAAGCGAGGGAGACGTTTGTCGGCGTGTATCAGAGCGTAAAGGATAAGGTCGATGCGAGCTTGACGTGAGCTAGCAGACATTTTGGCGGTGATGTCGAGAGCTTCAGCTGACAGATCATAGCGAGCCGCAGTTGGCCCTCCTCAAGAAGGCGCTGGAGGTGGCGCAGAATGTGCCAGAGTCGGATGATGGGACGTGGACCAATACCTGGCACTGGGTGTTGTCGTAAGTTCCCATGCCTGGAGCGAAAACTGGTCCAGAGAATGAGCTGACGTCGCAAGGGATGCTTCATGCGGTCACATGCTGTTCTCCATCACCGACGGTCGTGTCTCGGCAGAAACAAAGAGCTCAGGTCAGTTGACCTATCCATGATGGTTATACAGACTTGAGCTGACGTGTTGAGGTCTCAACTTCTCGCACCGTGCGCTCAGTACCCCCGCGCCTCCTTCCGCCCCAGCCGTCAACTCTACCCAAGTCACGCCCGTTCCCCGCTCCTCTGCCCCACCAGAGTCAAGCATCAAAGCCCCTCCGCCTGCCGCTGCAGCACCAGCCCCGGTCCGACCCGCTGCTGCTGCACCAGCCGTTCGCCCGCCCACTGGACTCAGCAGCGCCAACGCGATCCGTCCGCCCGCTGGACAGATCTTCAACGCCCACCCAGGCGGTAACCCCGGTAACGGTAACGGCTTCCGCCCGCCTCCCGGTCAGATGGGGATGAGGGGTATGAGCCAGCGCGGCGCCGGAGCACTCCCCAACAAGCCCGAAGCGGCCACCACTCAGCCCGCAGTGCCTGCCCCCGGACCAGCAACCACTGCTACCCCTTCAACAGCGCCAGCGGTGCGTCCCAACGTCGCTCAGCCCCCCCGGGGTCCCAAGGGTCCATTTGCGCCAAGCGCGAACACCCCCCCTGCGCCCGCTGCTGGCGCAGGCAAGCTGGATCCGAAGTCCCAATCTGCGGCGTTCGCAAACCGAGCTCAGCCCCAAGCTACGGCAGCGGCTTCCGCCGAAAAGCCAAAGGAGACCTCTGAGGCCGCTACCGCCGAGAAGGCCACACCTGCCGAGCCCAAAGCAGACGCCAAGCCGACTCCAGCAGCTCCAGCGGCGAACGGTACTCTCAACGCAAACGGATCGGAACGGCGTAAGCGCCCTGAACCCCGCTCGGAGCGCTCTAACGCCCCCACTCCCCCGTCTGCGGCGCCTACGCCTTCCCCGGCCCCACCCGCGGCGGGTGCAGCGGCCGATGCTTCCGCGTCGACTCCTACGCCGACCGAGGAGAAGAGCGCAGAGGCTGCGAGCGGGACAGCTACGCCCGTGGCGCCGATAGTTGACGCGCGACCGAAAAAGCACGAGTTGTATATCAGGGGTTTCGTGCCGCCTGTTACGGAGGCAGATCTGAAGGGGTTGTTCCCGGGCTGCGAGGATAGTGTGAGTCTCCATCTGTCTTGTGAAGCGGGAGTGAGAAGTGAAGGGGTCAGGTGTCTGGGAAGCGTGGTGCAGCTCCGTGTGGAGGCAGGGCAGGAGCGATAAGAGATAGTGGTACGACTGAACTTGGGCTGATATAGCAGATCATCAACATCAAGGTGCCGAATGGCGGCATGGGCGGCAAGCAAAAGGTGAGCTGCCTGTCCAACTGATCTCTCGACAGTTGATAGCTGCGGCGGAGCTGACTTTCACCTAGGACTACGCCTACGTCGAGTTCAAGACCGAAGAAGCAATGACGACCGCTCTGGGCAAGGCTACCAAAGTATGTACTTTACTACCCTTCCCAGACTGCCTGTCCTGCGAATAGATAGAGCCGCTGCTGACAATTTCGCAGAAAGTCGGCGAGAAGGACGTCCAGGTGTCGGTCTCCAACCCGCCCGGAAGCCGATTCGGTGCTCGAGGAGGCCGAGGTGGGTTCCGCGGAGCTGGGGGCGGTCGGGGAGGTATGCGAGGTATGGCTAGGGGAGGAAGGGGCATGGGTGGCGGTGCTGCGGCCGCCGCAGGCGGAGATGGGGGGGCGGCTGCTGCGTCAAAGCCTGCAGCTGCGGCGAGTGGGGAAGGGAAGAAGGACTAGAGTGTAGATGGGACATCATGAGGAGTGGGACGTGCGGGATAGGTGAAGAAGGAGAGACGTGGAAGAAGGGAAAGAAGAGGTGGGCGGTAGCGGGTGGCGGGTTTTGGGTTTTCCTTTGGCTTGGGAGACACCCTCTTCTCGCTCGTCTATGTGTATAATAGCATAAAATAAAATCTCGTGCGGTGGAGTCATGTGAGTCAGTAGGGGGGAGGCAAGGGGAGAGATCGATCATGCATTGTCTATATCTTCGAGCGAGTAGGATCTTGGCCGGCGGGGGCTTGGGATGGTTTCGAAGATTCTGGCGAATCGGTCGAGGTGGCACGGGATTAAATGGCAGATCCACCATTTGCTTCAGCTGGTCTCTGCCATGGTACAGCTGATGATTTGTGGAGTCGGATCAAGGGCATTGGACTGCACAGCCCGTCGAGAGGACACCATGCTTCTAGATTGGCTGCCTCGAGAAACTCCCGACTGCAGCGACACTTCAGCTCTTCCAGATGCGATCAATGTCTGTCACTGTAGATATGCATGCCATACCCTAAAGCCTCGTCGAGTCTCCAGTTTGACAACCTGATCCCAGATCTCCATCCCATCATGTCATCAGATCGCTACCTGTCAGCCTCGGATCCTGCACTGACGATCAGCACGACTTACTGTTGTCCTCACCAGCGCCTTGGGACCCTTCGATGCCTTCGCCGTCCTCGGTGTCGGCGGTGTCTTCGATGTCCTCGTCGACATTGCGGGCGAAGGTTGAGGCCCAGGCCCTGACGTACGCTTCCGACTGGAGGGCTTGCACATTCGCCTTCCATTTGATACCCGAAGGCGCACAGCTCCGATTGAGCTCCTTCAGCGGGACGGGCACCACGTCTCGAACTTCCTTTTCCCATTCTGCAAAAGTCTTGCGCGTTTTGGGATCAGTAGACGACTCACACTTGTTCTTGATCAATGCTGTGATCCGGTTATCGAAGCTGACGCAGGCTGCTCTGACGGTGTCGTCGATCTGGGATGCAGCTTCCGTGCCCTGAGTCTCGATGATGAATTTGAACAGGCAGGCCGAGTACTTTTTCGTGACCTTGGACTTCATCCGCTCCAGGATGTCAGGATAGGTCGGCGAGAGGAAGATGTGCATCACGCCACCGCATTAACCGTTGATCGTGGCGACTTCTGAGTCTTCGGCGAGGCCCACGGTCGAGTCCGACGGTGGCGTAGTGACCGGCTGGGGGGTAGTGTCGTTTGTCGAAAGGTCAGACATGGTGATGCGAGAGTGATGTGCTGGACGGGTGATGGTGAGCTGGGTGGGTGAGTGTGTGCGAATCTGTGGGTGAAGGAGAGAGTGATTCTGGGCAAAGACCCTCACATCGCCTGGTATATATTCCTCGGCCAGGGCTGTGCTACTCGAGCACCGCCTCTTCACCCAGGTAAAGGGGCTCACAAAAGGATCTACCCGTTTTTGTGTGTCATCTGGGCTTGAAGCACGCCCTCGCAACGAGCACGTATTAGCAGCAGTTCTGAGATCGGAGCAGAAAGGATACGAAACCCCAAGTGGAGGTGGTTGCACTGCCTCATCAGCCAGGACATCGAGCTCATCAGTGGATGTCGGCGAAGTGCATGGATATCTGCTCTTGAGCACGCCATCGTCGTGGGCACATGCCAACAGCACCTTTGCAATCAGATCCAAGCAAAAAGGTACCACACCGCGAAAAAGGAGTGAGTGCACCGCATCACCATGCAACGAGGAGACCAAGGTAGATAGAGGATCGTCGCGAATTGATGTGTCTCGACTGAACGGACGCCGGCATGAGGGAGCCAGCTCGATAAGTGTCCCGTGAGGAAGTCAAATGGGCTGATGATAATGCTATGCGTTGAGGTCAATGTATCGGCTCTGTCGTGGTCTGTACAGTCACATCTATCCTTGAGGGTCAACCGGGGGGCGACCCCTCGCGTTACATCCCCACCCCCGCCAATCGTCTCTGAATATCGTCGATTGTGACCGGGGTGCAGTGGCTTTTCGATTCGCCGCGTTGGACAACGGCCGTCCAAGTGATGAACGATGGTAAGGAGCTGAGCGTCGCAATCTCGTCCGGCACGATCTCGACTTCAATGAAGCTCGTCCAGTCGTCCACACTCATCCCCCCGCCATCAGAGATAAGCGCAGCTGACTTGTTGGAGATCCCCTGCCTGATGCGGGTTTGTGCGGTTCGGAGAGCAGCCGAGTTGAGCTCTGGGTCCCCCTCGAACTCTTTGCGTTTGAAGCGACACTTGGCTTCACATGAGTCGAACTTGGCGGGTGAGGCTGTTGTCCCAGTTGAGCTCGAGGGGTCTTTTGAGTATGGCCAGATGTCGACGTAGACCGTTCCCTTGCGAAGAGGCCGGCGGAGTTCTCGGTTCAGGCTCAGGGTCTGTGGCTCCATGGCAGAATGAGTCAGAAGTTGCCAGGGTAGTATGAGTGAGAACGAAAAGTGGGAAAGGCTGAAGGAGGATGGTTGGACCTACTGATGAACAAGGCGGGACGGGTGACTGCGTAAGTGAGTCCAAGTCTGCACTGCTGTGCTGCGATCAGACGGGGTCGAGAAAGGATAGCCAAACTTCGCGTCTCATCCGCAACTCAGCTTGAGTCGTCCTGCAAGGTCCTGTAAGACCATAGCCAAAAGATCCAGACAGAAAGGATGCGAAGCACCAGGTGGAAGTGATTGCACCGCCTCATGGCAGCGACCAGACGGGGGCGCGGAAGTGTTCATGGACTTTCGTGTCTCGACTGGACATCAATACAAATCAGCCTGATGAGGTCGTGGGCAGGACCGAGTGAGCTGATAATCAACCGGTGCATACAGGCCATTCTTTCGTCCCCACCTCATCCTATCCGTCCACATTTCAGCCGTGAAGAGTATGTTGTGCTGTGTGGAGCCATCCGCCCTACCAGACCTGTTGCCCCCACTGTCTCAATAGCTCGATTCTCAGTGCGCGTGATTCCGGCAAGCCAGTCCTGTCCGGCACCCCGCGTTTGACAAGTCTCGACCATTGACTTCCGGAATGGGAAATGAGCGCACTCATCTTGTCGGGCAGCCCACTTGCTTCGATGTAGCTCTTCCACTCGTTCTCGGTCAGCTTTTTGTCTTCAGATCTGAGCTGACCGATCGCTTGCTGCAGATCGGTTTTCGCATTTGCAACATCCTGAGAGTCCTGTGCCGGGTGACCTTCTCGATAATGGGTCTCGAAGTGACAGACGGCCGCACACGCGTCGAAAGTTGTGGATGGGCTGGGCGGGGTGATCGAGCCCGTGGGACGGAGTTTGTAGGGCCAAAAGTCGATATACGCGACTCCTGTGCGTGTCGATAACCTGGAAGGGTCCTCCACTTCATCGTCAGTCCACTGGAAGGAGAAAAACAGCGGCATAGTGAAATCTGTTGAAGCAAAGGTAATGAGAAGCAGTCTCGATAAGAGGCAAAGGCGAAGGCGGGTCGTGTAGTGGTCCTATTGGTATGCGGCCTGGGGCGGTGTAGCTCGGTCATCATCAGCTGCTATGATGGGTAGAAAGGATGGGCACGCAACTTGCGCTCCAGTGAGGAGGGAGAGGCTCAGGTCGACGTTTGGTATCTGATCGAGATCCGGACAGAAAGGATGCCAAAACACTATGAAGTCACCACCGGCGAGCGTTGCTGAGTATATGCCAGGTTGGGCCGTCATCAGAGTTGGAAAAGCTCAAGTGAGCAATCTCCGCCTGGTCACTTGATCAGCTGTAGGATCAACTTACAGTCTGAGCGGAGATGTCAATATAGGAGACACAGACTGAGGGCAAGTGGGCTTTACGTCCACACGTTCTCCATCGCACGCCTTGGAGGCATATGGGACATCAAGGACCGTACTCAGACGATGGAGACCCCGAGCCAGTATTCGGCTTGGTGCTGCAGACGAGTTTTTCATGCCAGCGTCAGTGCGTCAGCGGCCAAGCAGGCTTCTGAGGAACAGCTCCAAGCGCTTGCCAAACGCACCTGCGATGCCCCGAAGGAGCAACTCACCACCTCTTGCCTTACATGCCCTCGTACCCACCCGTTCCTTCCGCCTCGGTAGTCTACGCTGATCAGAGAAAAGGATGGTAGTCGATGAGTATAGTCAAAGGCTGAGAGTGATGGTCGTGATATCGTTGATGGGCGCCGCAAAGCGAACGGCCAAAATTTCAGATTTCGCTTGTCCATCTGAGATCCCCTCTTGCTCGTTTATTACGCATTATCCAAGACTTCAAGTCTCTGTCGCTCCAGTAGCCGGCTGATCCATCGTCGCTGTCCTCCACCCATCAGCGAGGTGCAAGCTGTCCAGCTGCTACTTCGCAATCAGGTCCCTGCTGGGGAGACCAGCTATTCCCGCTGTCAACAAATTCCTCGCTCGCCCATCATCTACTTCGATGTCGGATCTACCCAGCGTCTCAGCCTCGGACTCGGGCCAAGTCATCGTTGAGAAGATGGACCTGGACCTGCCTGCTCCGCCAGTGAGCAAGAAGCAGAAGCTGGGTGGATACGACTTCTACCGCTCTATTGGGAGTCCAAGATATGTCGTTGCGCCAATGGTGGACCAGTCTGAGCTGGTGAGCTGCCTCTTCACGAGAGTCTTCAAGGCGGTGAGGCTATAGCTGACATGATAGGCATGGCGTATGCTATCTCGGGCACCTCTGCCTTCCTCCCTTGCTGGTCCCAGCACAATCACACCCCCTACCCCGGAAGGCCGCACATATACCCGGCACACGGGTGGTGCGGACCTCTGCTATACGCCCATGATCCACGCCAAGATCTTCGCGAGCTCAAAGACGAAGTCAAAGGGGTCTGACGGGCAATTCGACGTCACCCACGGAGAGGAGGGTGCGGAAGACTTATTAGCGGGGATAGAGGGCGGGGATCGGCCGTTGTTCGTTCAGGTAAGTGTCTCCAGCCGGTCGCTCAAGTCAAGCGTATACAGTCATCTGCTGGAACCAGAGCTGATCGCCTAGTTCTGTGCCAATGATCCAGATCAACTTCTTGCTGCTGCAAAGAAAGTCGAGGCTCATTGTGACGCGGTGGACATTAACTTTGGATGTCCGCAGGGCATCGCGAAGAGAGGGAACTATGGGGCATTCTTGCAGGACGACTGGGATCTGATACAAAAGCTTGGTGAGCATTGGCATACCGCCTCAGAGGCTCAAGCTGACCTCGCAGTCGGCACTCTTCACACCAACCTCTCCATCCCCGTCACCGCCAAGTTCCGCCTTCATCCCGATCCTGTCCGCACCATAGCCTACGCCAAGATGCTCGAAGCTGCCGGAGCTCAGATTTTGACCGTACACGGCCGGACAAGGGAGATGAAGGGCCAATTTACCGGTCTAGCCGACTGGGAGATGATCAAGAAGGTCAAGGAGGCGGTCAGCGTGCCGGTATTCGCGAATGGCAATGTTCTGTACGGGGAAGACGTTGAGAGGTGTCTGGAATTGACGGGATGCGATGGAGTGATGAGTGCCGAGGTGAGCTGAGAGTCGTGCTGGCCACAACTCTCCGGAAAGTACAGCTGATTCGTACAGGGAAATCTTTCGAACCCAGCGCTCTTCCTTCCGCCGTCTCATCCCCACGCCCACCCCTCAATGACAGTCCTCGCCCACAGATACCTCGATATCGTCGCTTCTCTACGTACACCCACTGGCAACTCTGCGATGAAGAGCCATCTCTTCCGCCTCCTCAAGCCTGTACTCGATAAGCAGCCAGACGAGACCCTGCGGATAGAGATCGCAAAGTCGCGGGATGTCGAGGAATTGCGAGCGGTAGTGAGAACGATAGAGGGGATTCTGAAGGTCAGTCCTGGCTCTGCTTCCTTCCGCTCTTTGATCTTCACCCGTCTTGCTTGATTTGCGGAAAGGGCGTGAGCTGATGATACAGCCCGATGTCGATGCTGCTGGCCCCTCATGGCGTCCTCCTCCAATAGACCCGAAGACGGGGTACCGCGACCTCCCCACCTGGGTAGCCCAACCTTACATTCGCCCTCTCCCAACGTCCGGACCTTCCGATCCCGCTCCCGATCCTTCCGAAGCCACGGCAGCCACCTCAGCTGCCGGACCGTCTTCACCTCCTCGATCGTACTTACCGACCATCTCCCGCTGTATCAACCCCTCGTGTCCACATTCGGCAGCCACTAAGTGCCCTCATGGCGCTTGTCTGACGCATTGCCGTTCCCTCCTCGCCACCCGGGGTGGGATGGACGAGGCGCAAGCTGAAAAGGAGGCGAGTGAGGGTGGTCTAGTCGGAAAGGGTTGCGAGGAACATGAGGCGAAAGTCAGGGCGAGGGAGGAGCGGATGGCGCAGAAGCGGAAACATGCCAAGGAGGCCCGTGGGAGTGGGACGGAGAAAGAGAAGAGGAGAAAGACGGTACATGCGGAGGGGAAGGCGGGCTGGAATGCGAGTCTGCATGGAGAAGCGGGGAACGAAGAGGAGCGCTTCATGGCTGGTCTAGCATCGTAGATGGATGAGCTATCTCGGTCAGATTTGGAGGGGAACCCGAGCAAGGGGAATGCGTACGTGTCAATCCGCCGATTTGAGGGCAGCGCAGGCAGCAGTCTCTACTACATCCACGATCCGCGTGTCCATCAGTGATGATCGCGGCAGTGGGGCTTTCTCATTACATCCCAGCTCGCTAGTCGACTTTCCATCTTGCACTGACACTATCCGCATCATCGTCCGCGTCGAGCAGCAGCTCGAGCGACCAAACCGCCAGAAAGAGTGCTATGTTCAGCCACCGCCACCATGTCTGGCTCCCTGCGTCCAGGACTGATACACGTCAGCCACATCCGCAAGACGCCTGACAAAAAGTGCGGAGGGAGGGGAACATACAGAGTAGATGTGTGTAGACGGCGATGAGTATTGCTCGGCGATACGAGAGTACGACCGTCGTGACCCGCATGTTCTGCGCCGAGTGAGCTAGGTGCATCGTCTGGCGGTCCAAGGGAAGATCGCAACTTACCGCTGGTTCTTCTCCCAGACTCCGCCCATCCCAGAATCCAGGTGTCACACCACCGCCTCCGCCCATCCCCGAGTCGCTCATCCCGTCGTCCCAGCCCATACTGGCTTTCCGGATGACGGGTACGATGCGGGCCGCGAGGTGCAGGACGGCCACGCGGTAAACAAGCGAGAGGAGGAGATGGGGTGGTAATGTTTGAGCACTGAGACTTCAGCCAAGTGTTTGATAGGCTACCGTTGAAGGTCGGCAAAGAGACACTTACACATCCCAAACGCTGTCCATGACGCCGATAACAGCCCGCTTGGCCAGCGTCTGAACCGAATGTTCCGGGACAGACTTTGCAGATGCCCAGGAACTGGATAGCCAGCCAGAACCGAAGGACCGTGGCCTATAATGTCAGCTCTATATAGTCTCCCGGGGGAGGCCAGTAGATCAAGCTTACTCCATGGCTGATTCCACGCCAGAAAGCCAAGCAGAGTACTGGGAATAAGCTCACGACCACCTGAACACAACACAGACGATTCCGACAGCTTACCACAACGTAGACGAAGACCAGACTAGTCTCGAGGACATTTGTCCGCTTGAGCGCGAAGCCGATGGAGGAGAGGAAGACGACTGCTGTGAGAGCCACGCCGAGGAGAAATGCTGGTATAGACGAGTCGGCGGATATGGGAAAGTACTAATGAGTCAGCTGTGATGCTCCTGGTCCGACAGAATAGCGCTCCAGCGCATGGCTTATGCTTCACCAGTCATAAAGGACCTACTTTGTACACTCCCGCCAGCCCTACGCTGTAAACCAAAGCCGCCAGCACCAAAGCGCCGAGGCTTCTCCATTCGAACCCTCCTTCTTCCTTCTCTTCCTCATCTGCCCATCCCTTGCCGACTCGTCCAGCCACCTGAATGACCAATAATGTGCTCACACCCTCCAGCAGCGTGAAGAGGGGTGAGACGACCCGCAATATCTTAGCGTATACGACCGGAAGAACCTCGACGAGCGTATAGACTGGCGACGGTATGAGTGCTGTCGACGATGATGGACTTGGCGGGTGGAGGTGGAAGTAGAATGTCAGGAGGAAGAGAGAGGATGTAATTGTTGGAGAGAGAAAGGAGAGGATCGAGATGAGTGGGGCGAAAGGTGTGTTCTTCAGGAAGAGGCGGAGAGTCGAGTAGAGGAAGTGATGGAGCGTTAGCAGAAGTGAGAGGAGGAGGAAAGATGGCGGCCCTATAACGTCAGCCCACCCCTAGAACTACTCAAGACCTTCAGGTGGCGACCTACCCAGAAGGTCCAGGACCATAGGCAGACCTAGAAGGACCTGACCAAACGTCCCCATCCCCCCAAAATACGACATGGCGGCACCGATGGCCATTGCTGCCCCGAGTCACTTCGAGAGCAGTGCTCTCGCGGTATCAGGCGGTAGCTAAGCCAGTAAAAGTGGCTCTCAGACGCCTCGCTAGGCAGCTGTGAGGCGCTTCTAAGCGGTAAGAGGTGAGAGTATGAGATGAGGTGCAAAGTCAACAATCCCCGACCGACAACCTCCACCTCGACATTTCCCCACCCAACTGCACCTTCCATCGTCCGCACACGATCTTGACAGATACTCCCATTTGTGGATGCTCCGGTCTCGCCATATCGCTCAGGCTGCGGCCATGCCTCTCAGGGCGGCCCCGATGCGGCCCCGGACCCCATACCGCCTGCCTCCTATATCCCTCCGAACCGCCTCCACCTCCGCCCCCCGCGGTCCAAACATCCTGCTCAATGCAGGCCTGGCGGCCGGTGTCTGCGCCGCAGCGGCCGCAGCGTACTACTATGAGACTTTAGCATCACCTTCCGCATCCTCAGAGCCCGCTGCTCTTGGCGGAGACACCTTCGAAATCAATCTTGGTAGCGGACGTCGTCGGCAGACACATACTTTCACCAGGCTTTCGGAAGGTGCCTGCGAGGCGAAACTTACAGAGCATGAGGCGAGCCATGCTGTGGGACGAGCAGGAAACCCAGTCATGCGGTGGGACCGGAACTGGGTGGGATCGAATGAGCCGTGCGAGGATAGGAGCGCGGTGGATCTCGTTCCTCGGGCGAGAAGCGCGAGGGATATGAGCTGGGGGTTAGGCGCCTGGTTTGGCAGCAGCCCAGATCCTTCTGGTGAAGTGCCAGGCGATAACCAGGGAGCCAGAGAGGGACAGAAGGACATCGTCCTGTTCTCGATCATCGACGGGCATGGCGGGTGGGCGACCAGCGAGCTGCTCAGTAAAGTCCTTCATCCGACTTTGACATTGAGTCTGGCTGCTCTCCAGGCGGGTGTGGTGCCTGGGAACGAGGGCTGGGTATCGTCGATGCTGGACAAGGTCAACCCGGCCAAGTGGTTCAGCGGGCCGGTATGGACCCAGGAGAATGTGACAAAAGCTATCAGCACTGCGTGAGTACCGCTAGATCTCTCTTTGTCCCTCTCGCCATCGAGTCCAGGACTTTGACGCTGAGATTTCTCAGATACACTCAGCTAGATGACAACATCACCCAGACCCCAGTCCGCCTCATCCCGACCCTCCGTACCTCCAATCCCGAAGGTCAGCCCACACCTCGCCAGACCCTGGCTGCTCTGGCTCTACCGGCCGACAATGGCGCCTGCTCCCTATCCGCTGTGGTCGACGCAGAGGAGGGCGACCTGTACGTGGCTATCGCCGGAGATTGCCGAGCTGTCGCGGGGTGGGAGAAGGAGGGTGTATGGCGATGCGATGTACTGAGTGAGGATCAGATGGGTGAGAATGAGCGGGAGGTTCAGCGGTATGTTCTGCCAGTGGCAATGTGGCTCGATTGGGCAGGCGCTGATTGAACAGGATGCGGAAAGAACATTCAGGAGAAGAGGATACGGTCATCATGCGCGGAAGGGTACATGGGGGCCTTCAGCCAACAAGGGCATTTGGGGATGCTTCATACAAGTGGACGCAGGGTCAGGCGGCGGTGTGAGCATTGAGATCGTTCGCACGGACGGTGGAATAAGCTGACTGAGCAGTATTTGCGATGCGATGCAAGCTGAGGGAATGAAGGCCCGTCGCCCTCGGCCTCTCAGCAAAACGCCACCATACGTTACTGCTCGACCGGAAATCACACATCGAAAGATCAAAGGCGAAAACGGAGAGAAGTTGCGCTTCATGATCATGGCCACAGATGGACGTAAGTTGACCGTGGATCCCATATGTCGCAGTCGACCCATGCTGATCATCTAGTATGGGACCGCATAACATCCGAAGAATCCACCCTCCTCGTCGCCTCCTACCTCGCCCACCCCACCCACTCCGAAATCCACAAATCCACCCTCCCCACCAAATTCCCCCTCACAGCTTCCCCTGAACCCCGGCCATACCCCGCCGAACCCCTCCCCGGGAGCGCCGAGAAGTCGAACGGGACCTGGGTGTATGAAGGCGATAAGAACGCGGCGACACATTTGATCAGGAATAGTCTGGGCGGAGGGGACCGGAAAGGCCGGAATGAGCTGTTGAGCGTTACGGGGGAGACTACGAGGTGGCTGAGGGATGATATTACCGTCACGTAAGTTGCCATCTTCGACTGAAATTGGAGACAGGAGCTGACTTGACAGGGTTGTATTTTTCGATGACGCTGCATGAGGACGGAAGTACTCGGCCTGCTTTGCGCGCGCGGAACGTACTGAACAGGCCAAATCACTGCTTCCCTGCGATGGGACATGACAAACTTAGAGCAGCCGTGCGTCTCTGTACTGCTGTACACGGAACAGACAACGACATACATGTATCGCCAGATTGTCATCGCTTCTCCATTGTCACTGACTGCCCCTAATCACCTAACGCACGCTACGGGTCCCCTTCCCTGTCGATGGTACAAGTGCAGAAGTCAATCAGGCCATTCACCGCGACCTCCAGCCCGTCCAGCGCCTGCCGAGTGGCAAAGTGCTCCGCCAAGTCCTCACTTGAAACACTGCCCTCACTTACAGCCTCCTTCATCGTACTCATCAGCAGCTCCCATGCCCTACACATCTCCTCCGCCAGGCCTATCACGCGCTGGGCTAGTTCTGGCCTCACTTGCTCCGCAACGACGGCACTTTGCTGAATGACGAAGAGCACGGGCGAGAGTGCATCGCATAGATCTGCGCGCGTAGCGATCGGATTGGAGAACGCTTGCAAGATCTTCCGTCCGATCGGCCAGGCGTACGCCGTCGCCAGATGAAGCGGGTAGAGCTGCTTTTGCTGTTGCGCGTCAGCGTGTTTAAGGGATGCTCAGAGAGAACGTACTGAACGTAAGCCCGCCAGATGCTGCCGACAGACCACGTCCATGCTGCCTTTTGCTCTGCAGTCACCTGTCGCCTTGACCTCCGCATATCTCCACAGTGGATCATAGTACTTGGTGGCACCGAGCCAGACCGCGGCCTCTTGCAGAGTAAATCCGCGCTGGTCGACTCTGAGTGGGACGGTCAGTGCGGCGAGTAGCGCTTCTCGTTTGGCCGTGACTGTGCCGACTTCCACACGACTCGCATCGGAGGAGGATAAATTGGGTTTCGAGCTTGTCGAGGATGAGGCTCGCGGTTTGCGCTCGGCTTTGATCTGCTTAAGTGTTTGGACGAGCTCTGTGAAGGGCAGAGCGGACGGCTGATACTTGACCGGAATCGACATATCGTGTGTACGATGAGCTGTGTGTCCCAGAGTATCGCGGTTCAGTTGGAAGAGCAGATATGCGGTAAAGCGCAACTCATGACAGGTATTGGAATAGGTATTGAACCTGTCCGGGTATCCTTTCACGGCTCTTCGTCCTTTGAGTAGTTGTCCCTCTCCGAATTGCGCATGTCATCGGCCATCAGCTCTGAGAGTATGGATCACGTCGTACGTGTCAGCGCTCGTGTCAGTCGGGCCCCATTTTAGATTGATGCGAATGGCCAGACTCTGATAGGCTTCATGCATCTTCTCTCTGATTACTTCTCTAGAACGCACTGCTAGTCCTCATCTGCTCCAGCTTCTTCAACACCTCACCCACATTCCTCTCCAGATCGCCCGCAATACTCTGCTGTTGCGAATAAGGCAACGAACTGAACCCCTCGCACAAATCTCCATCGACTACGCCCATCACTGGCGCATAGTATCCGCGGTACGCGAGGTGGTCTCGGCCAACGAGGGAGACATTGGCTGCGCGCATATGCTGTAGTGTCAGCTCGGCACTCTCGAGTACTGCAGATCTAGCTGTGAGGGACATACCATCTCCAAAGTAGTCATGACCTCAACATCGTCCATGGATGCGAAAGGAACGAGCGCGCCGACAGCGCCAGAGATGGTCGTGTAGACGAGAACATCCTTCCCTCCCGCCACCAATGCGATCTTGGTTATACTGTATTTTCAGCTCTTGGCCGCACGCTACGGTAGAGATCTGTAAAATGACATACGAAGTGACGATGCTCCCGACATTATAATGCGCAATCAGATCCGACTTGTGCGCCGCACCCATCAAGAATCCCCTCTCGTGCAGAATTCCCGCGCCTGTCGGATCATCATCCACCTTCTCCGACACATGGCTGTTGATCCGGTTAATAAAGATATTCCCAAACTTGTCGCCACACGCGACCGTCTCGTAGTCGACGTCGGTGACGCAGGTGAGCCAGCGGGGCTGCGAGTCGTCTGCAAAGATGAGGAGCTGGCGGGATGGGATGGAGCGGTAGACGCAGTAGAAGGTCGATTCTTGCATGTCGCCGACGATGATTCGGGCGCCAGTGACGTTGATGGTGGAGACGCAAGTGGGGAAGCTCTGTTGGATGTCAGCTTTGACAAGCAGTAGAGGTGTCGTCCAGCTCACGGTATTCTCGCATTTCCGCAGGAGCGCCTTCTTTCCCATCTCGTACAGCCGTAATGACTTTCCGATCCCAGCCAGCAGATAGCCCTGGAACCCAGCGACGCACATCGGGATATCATCCGTCTTTGTCTGTACTTATCAGCCTCATCCTCCCAATTTTCGGATGACGGCAGCTCACCTTGTGCATGAACTCCAGTGTCCGGCCTCCGTCCCGGATAGCATATACCCTCAGCCATCCCTCCTTACATGCGCGAGGGATAAGCGTCGTTTGTACTGCCGTAGAGACCACGAGTGTTGGCTCGCCGCCCATCCGCTCAAAGTAGGCTATTGTGACTGAAAAGGCCGCCTCGTCCTCGTCTAGCTCTAGGGTCATTATTGATTCGTTCTGCATTGTCAGCTGCCGTGTCCCACTTGTAGCTGAAACCAGCTTACCAGGACTGGATCCAGTACTCTGATCAGACTAGCCCACTTTCCAGCCCCAGCGCGCACACGCCCAAACTCGTTCGCGGGCAGATCCAGCATCTTCCGGTCCACACGATCTCCGTTGGCCTCCTTCAAGGGTCAGCTGAATCTCCTAAACATATCTCGTAGACAATGAAGCTCACCTTCTCCTGTATGATCCGCTTGACAGCTGCTGAGCCGTATGTCCGGTGTTCCGATTCGATGAGGTAAAAGATGTTGGCGTAGGGGTAGCTGACGAACTTTCGAGGAGTGCAAGATAAGGGTGTGAGATCTTGCTTGAGCTTTTCGCCCAGCTTCGGAATGGTGAATATCCTGCTATGTCAGCTCTGCTTCCGCCTTTCCATACCAGGGTCCGAGCGAACTCACCGTAGCGTGTTCCCCGAAATCCCAATCAATCCCTCCGGGCACATCGCCGCGTTCAACGTACACGCATACTCCAGCATATCGTAAATCAGCGGCTGGGTCTGCAGCATGTCCTGATATGTGTAGAGCAACCACGAGCGGGAGCTGAAGGCCATGACGGACGGCGAGCCGTGCACTGTCGTACGGACGATTTTGGGCGGCTTGGCACCGAGGAATCGTTGACGGGTATCCGATAATGAGCCGTCGACTGGGTCGACCACGGTACGGAGAAGAACACCGTTGATCAGGCCGATGTTGAGGAACATGGTAGGGCGGTTCTTGTCGATCGAAATGTCGAATATCTCGGCGAGACAGATGGCGGATGGAGGCGCGGTCAGGGCCTGGAGGGAGAGTGTTTCGAGGGTGTTGTCGGGTTCGAGGGAGATGATGTGCACGGTCTGGTTGTCGCATCCGACAGCCTGGGCAGTCAGCTTGCTGGTCCGTCGTGGACAAGAGAGACTCCTCCGAACTCACAAGATACGGCGTCCTCCTCCTTCCCTCCGGAACCTCCGCGATACTGATCGCCGTCGCGTTCCCCGGCAAACTCTTCTTATCCTGGAACTCCGCCAAACTCCCTTCCGGATCCAGCTCGAAATACACAATCTCAGCCGTACTCAGCGCAATGACCACCTGCCGCCTGTTTGTGGTGGCCGAGACAATGGTCGTTCCAGGAGGGCAAGACCACTCGTCCACTCGGTCAGCCGCGCGGATATGCCGCAGACCGTAAGGATGGACCTGAAGAAGTCCGTCGTCTCCTAGTTGCTGGACTGCGAGAGTGGGCGAGGAGGAGAGGAAGCCGGTGTCGCTCACTTCTTCGATGGATTCACCGATGGAGAGGACGAGGGTACCGTTGGGGAAGGAGAGGACGATATAAGCGTCAAACTCGTCTACCGAGTCAGCTTGCTTTGTCTCATTGGGATCATTAGAGCTCACCATCTTCCTTCAGCTTCAGAGTCCATACCGCGGTCGGCACACCCGGCAGTGGACTCGCCACCAAAGGACTGACGTCCAGACCATGCTTTAACGTCCGGAAAGTACTCCGCCCGCCCTTTCCACATGCCGCATATATCTGAGGCGTATCCGAGCTGGCTCCAAGAAGATTAACGACCTTGGCGTCGCAGATAGGGTCGAGGGATGTGAGGGTATCGACGAGAAGAAGGTTTTCGAGGGGTCGAGGGGTGAAGAAGGCGTAAGGGAGGGCTCCGCGTTCGTTGCCGTTTTCGGGATAATCGGTTGATGACCAGACTTGCTCGTCGTCGTCTTCACCGAGCTTTTGGAACTGGTAGAGGTTTCTGCGATGTAAGCTGTCACTCCGTCATAGAAGAGGCGCAAGCTTACTGGTCGCTGAACTCGCTTGCCGCGAAGAGGTAACCGGACTTCAGGATACAAAGACTGGTCGATACAGGTACGGTGTCAAAGTACTTTATCCGTACCGCTCTGACGTCCTCATTCTCATGCTCGATCGTCACCTTGAACAGATCTCCATCTTCTGATTGCAGCAGGAAGAAGAATGCTCCCTGTTTGCTTGTCAGCTTCCATCGCCCAGTGCGTCAGGGAGACCCATGAAACTCACCCTGATCTTGTGCATGACGGCAGCGACGATGATGTTCCCTCTACTGCTTTCTCCTCTCTGGGCGAGCGGATTCCGTCTCCGCGGGATAGGGATGCGGTGTGCGTCCGCGTCCATGTGTTTCCAGATGATGTGGTCTTCGCAGCAGACTAACACGCCGGAAGGACCGTCGAACTTGTCGGTGTTGGCATTTTGACCTCCAGGTACTGGCTGTGTCAGCTATGCTCTCGGCAGATACGAGCGAGGGAGGCAGCTCACCTTGTAAAAGCATATTCGCTCTTCTGTCCGTCGGCTCGCTCCATTTCCGCACGACGTGGTTCAACCCTAAGTCCAGCTCGTAGAAAGTCAAGTACTGCAGCTCAGTACTTGCCCAGCCTCGAGCTGATGAAGAAATTCACCTTCTCGACCTTTTCATAAGCTTCTCCCGTCGGATCCTCATCGCTATCCGAATAGTCCATCTCCAGCGCCGCGTACAGCGGATTGTCGTACCCCTGATCCACGGCAATGATGTGCGTGACGAGAGTATGCGCCTTGTGCGCTTCGAGTGGGGATGAAGGGAAGAGCTTGCCCTCGGCATTTCGGTTCAGGACATAGACGAGCTTGGTGCGTTCCATCCTGGCAGTGTCAGCGTGGTTTCCCACAGGACAATTCCGCGTCACTCACGATCCGAGGAGACATGAACGACCTTTGGGGTCGACAGCGAGAAATTGACCTGGTACGATACGTCTGGAGGATCAACTATGTCCACGTCCTCTTTCTTTAGCGAAGCTTACCGCGATCCAGTCTTCCCGTATGTCTCCTGATACAGACTCTCAAAGTGCGGTGTTGGCTGGACGACAAACTCGATGATGGACAGCTTGCCAGAGTCAGAAGAAATAAGAATGTAGTCTACGTCCAATTAGCTAAGCTAGGCTGGCTGGGTGCCTGAAGCAAGGATGAATCCACCCTTGGTCATTCCTGCTAATCTGAAGCCCTGGACATTCCGAACCACACCAAAAGCCTGCTATGTCAGCCCTATCGGCGCTTTGCCGGTATTCGTAGCTCACCTCAGTCGTACACAAGGTGTCCACTGTATAGGTCAGCTAATGCTCGACTTGCACAAACCCGATCTTCTGGGATACGGCCACCCATAGTCCAGATCCATCTTGCAGTTCCCAGCGAGATGTTGGACTCACATTGCCCACTCGACGTGTTCAGCTTCAGCATCTCCAGTCTGGTTCCTCCCCGTACCACCAATATCTCCTGTCCTTTCGCTCCAGAGAAAGACCCAACGGTCGCGCCCGACACGGCCGTCGCCGGCTGCAGCGTGAGGTTGAGGAGGTGCATTGCGGCAATTTGAGCGGCGCTTTCGGGTCTGGAGGGGGAGCAGCTCGGAGCTTTGTGCGCTCTTTTAGATGTTGGTGCAGAGTACTATGAGCGAGACATGCGAGAGGGAGAGGGACGAGAAGGTGTAGTAGGAAAGACAGCTCTGGCTGGGCCCGCCCAGTCAACATTCTACTTTACAAGTTTCCTCATTTTATCCCAGTTGCTAATCACGGCATAAGGAATGCGGAGCTGACACTCCCGCTCGCTTGAGCTCTGAAGCTCAGGAGCCCATCGAGCAGACGATCATCATAAGCATAAAGGTATAGCATCTAGCCGTGGAGCAGCGCTCAAGTACTCCGGCAGGCCGCCTCATGGACATGACTATTGCTCGAAAAGAAAGATCCGATGAAGGATGGGCATCCTCAGCGCTGCATAAAAAGCGCAGAGGTCGTCAAAGGCCAGGGACGCCTTTGCACACACTGGCACACAAGATAAGGTTCACCACGGCTCACCGACCTCGAGGCCCACTTAAGTGACTCATGCCTTCATCTTCTTACCTAGCTACTACGACTCCTATACATCAGCTCTATCAGCGAGCAGAGCGTTCGACGATCAACGGTCGACTTTGATACCTCGTATTAAACCCAGTTCGCGCACAGCCAAGATGCCGCTTCCCGCATCCATCAACCTACTTCAAACCTCGATCACCGAGCTCTCATTGCTACTCGATGCCGGCACAATCACCTCAGTCGACCTCGTTGGCGCGTACATTGGTGAGCATCCTATCAGAGCCCAGACTGACCTCAGACAACATCGAGAAGAACAACATAGCGGGTCTTGGCCTTCACGCGATCATCCAAGTTGCTCCGCTCGACTCGGTCTTCCAGATCGCAGCAGTCCTGGACCAGGAACGACGAGATGGAGCGATCCGTGGTCCCCTACATGGTATCCCGATCTTGGTGAAGGACAATATCGCGACTGCATCCGAGCTGGGAATGGCTACTTCTGCTGGGAACACCGCTTTGCGTGAGTTGGGATATTTCTGCCAGGTTATGCCGTGAGCTGATGAGCAGTGGAGAGCGTGGTGTCTGGCGAGGCGGAGGCTATCAAGAGGATGAGGAACGCTGGCGCAATCAGTGCGCCGCGCTCTTCGTTTCCCGCCCAGCAATGCTGACTGCCCAGTTCTCGCCAAGACCAACCTCACGGAATTGAGCAACTTCAGAGGCAAAGGCTTACCTCACGGCTGGTCTGCCGTGGGCGGTCAGACGTCTTCCGCCTATGTTCAGGGCGGGTACGCGAACGGCGGAGACCCTATCGGCAGCTCGTCGGGCAGCGCAGTGGGCATCAGCGCTGGATTCGGAGCAATCGGGCTAGGCACCGAGACCTTTGGCTCGATCGTGAGTCCCCCACCCAAGATTGAGCTGACGACAGGTCAACGCCGCCAGCCGAGCTGCGCTCTATTGCGTCAGGCCCACTACTGGCCTGATCCCAAATGAGGGCACCGTACCTGTCAGGTGGGCTCTGCAAGTAGTCACAGCTGATAGTCAGCTATACTGCCGATACCATCGGTCCCATGGGGTTCACCTCCACCGACGTAGCTATTGTGCTAGACACGCTCGCGCAGACGGATGGAAAGTCAGTCTCACAGCCTGCTGAATGCTGATCAACAGGTACCTCCGTGCCGCTCGTGTACCCACGATGGCAGGTTTGCAGATCGGTCTCGTACGTCGCAACTTTCTAGACGAGGCCGACGGACGGTCCATTCTCTCTCAGACCGACGTTGACGAATCCATTGGCGCCGTGTACTCGGCCGTAACGGCGATGCGCCAAGCCGGCGCGGACATCAACGACGTCAACATGGACATCAATGCGGCTGATTGTGACGAACTCCTCAGCATCCAGTTCGCGATCTGGCGGACCGATATCAAGGAGGATATGGCGGAGTACCTAGGACGGCCCAAGACGAGTCCCGTGCGGACCCTGGCGGAGCTGGTCGAGTGGAACTTAAAGCACGCTGTGAGTTTGCCCCTGGCACATCGCTGACAGCAGGCGGAGGAATTGCCCCCAAATGCGCCGAACCAGGACATCTTCGTTCAAGCTCTCAACGCACCGCCCAGAGACTCGGACGAGTACCGGCTTCTCCAGGCTCGCGCGGCGGATATTGCGGTCAAGAGGGGACTCGACCTTATATTCGAAGAGCATAAACTCGACGCAGCCATCTTCGTTACTGAGCTGGGTATACCTTATGTTTTTGCTGCGGCAGCTGGCTATGCTCTGCTACGTCCTCGAATCCTCTTGAAAGACCGAAGCTGATAGACTAGGGTGCTGCCCCGCTCGGGAATAGCAAGAACGGCGCCCCATTCGGTATCACCTTCGCCGTCAAACCGAACGAGGAGGAGAAGCTTATCAGTATCATGTGAGTCCTTTTAGTATAATTGAGCTGATGAATAGGTCTGAATACGAATCGATCACCCCACAGCGACGGATTCCTGATCATATGTGAATGCTGCAGCCATGCCTTTCGGCGTATCCGTCCGAAATGTACCGCTCAAAGTCTCCAGGGTGTACCGTGCGTTCGCCAGCGTCCTTTCTTCTGACCAAGGAAGTCTTTTCCTTTGTTATGCACTCGCGATGTTCTGACTGCTCGATACTTAATACTGATCTCGGAGACCGTCAAGAATCAAACCTTTGGCGTTACACTTCCCTCAGTCAATCAATCTCCAGCAACAATGCCGCTGCCCGCCTCACTCAACCTTCTGCAGACCTCCATCGGGGAGCTCTCCGCTCTGCTCGCAGATGATGCCATCACCTCGGTCGAGCTGGTCCAGGCATATATCGGTGAGCAGCGCTGTTTGACACAACGCTGATAACAGCCAATATCGAGAAGAACAACATCGCCGGTCTCGGACTCCGCGCCATCATCCAGACCGCGCCAAATGAGCTCGTGCTTAAGATCGCTGAAGACCTGCGACAACAAGGAACGATCCGGGGCCCGCTCCACGGTATTCCGGTCTTGGTGAAGGACAGCATCGCCACTGACCCCGCATTGGGCATGGACACTTCAGCTGGGAGCACCGCACTTGGCGAATTGCACAAGAACAAGCCGAGGTTTAGGTAGAGAGAAGCTGATGAGCAGTGAAAAGCGTGGTATCCGGCGATGCGGAGGTGGTCAAGAGACTGCGAGATGCCGGCGCAATTGGTGAGTTGGCCTTCTATGTCTAGTGGAGAGATACTGACGATCAGTCCTTGCCAAGACGAATCTCACTGAGTTCTCCAACTTCCGAAGCGAGCATGGTCTCCCGCAAGGCTGAGACCCCTTCTGCCTACGTCGAAGGAGGATACGACAAGGGCGGCCACGCATATGGCAGCTCGTCGGGGAGTGCGGTGGGTGTGAGCGCCGGCTTCGGTGCAGTCGCTCTGGGGACGGACTCGTCTGGTGCTTTGGTAGGTACACCTTGCAATCTCGCGCTGAATGTAGGTGTGCCCTGCCAGCCGAGCTGCGTTGTATGCGATCAGGCTTCCAGTCGGGATGATTCCAGGCTCGGGCATCGTGCCTATCAGGTGGGTGGCTGCGATGCTCGGGCTGATCAGGCAGCTATACGACGGACACTGTTGGCCCTCTCGCCTTCACTCCGGCTGACGCAGCGATCATGCTCGATGTCCTCTCGGGGAGCGATGGCAAGTGAGTCATATACCTGATCGTGCTGACCCAAGATATCATCGCGCCGCTGAAGCTCCCAAGATGGCGGGGTTGCGTTTCGGTCTAGTCAGGCGCAACTTCTTTGACGAGGCCAATGGCCTGTCCCCGCTGGTTGGCACCTCGGTCCACTCCGCAAAGACAATGGAAGAGGTCATGGCGAAGATGCGACAGGCTGGCGCAGAGGTATTCGACGTCAGCATGGACATCGATGCTGTCGACTGTGAAGAGCTCGCCGACGCCCGGCAGGACATTTTCCGGAGCGACATCAACGAGGATATGAATCAGTATTTGTGTCAGCTCAAAGAGAGCCCTGTTCGCACGTTGGCGGAGCTGGTCGAGTGGAACCAGGACCATGCTGTAAAGTCACTTGTATGGCAATAGCTGATGGCAGGATGAGGAGTTGCCGCCCAAGGCTCCCGAGCAAGACAACTTCATCAAAGCTCTCTCTGCTCCTCCAAGGGACTCGGACGAGTATCGGCGCCTCAACGCCCGAGTGGCGGACATTGCGGTCAAGCGGGGTATGGACTACATCTTTGAGAAGTACAACCTCGACGCAGCTCTCTTCATCACTGAGTTTGAGCTGTCCTACGTCATTGTAGGAGCCGCTGGATATGCGCTGGTATGTCATCAGCTCACCACTGGAAGTCGGTGACCAAGTCACGAAGTCAGCTGACGAGGAAGGGTACCGCGCCAATGGGGTACAGAGCTGACGGCGCGCCGTTCGGTATCTCGTTCGCCGTCAAACCAAACGAGAAGGAGAAGCTGATCAGTATCCTGTGAGTCATCTTAATTGGCCTGGAGGCCGAGCTGATCCTCAGATCCGGGTACGAGGCGATCATGCCGCAGAGGCGAGTGCCTGAGTGGCTATAGAGTAGTGTTACCAACTTTCTGCAGCCTTGGGGTCATCCCGGCTTCGGAGCAGCTATATGCATCGTATCCGTTCCGTATGGTCGTATGGAGGCCGCTTGGTCGATTGTCAGACGTGCGAGGCAGTTGAGCAGTGACTGCTTGATTGAGCGGCTTTCTCAAGGACAATGTACGGAAGACGAAGGAGATCGCGGATCTGGCCTGTTGTTGACGGCTGACCCTGGCCTCGCTTTCTTCTTGATCAGCTCATTTTGACCGATTCATGAGACTTTGCACTCCATCCACTACACTCCTGCTCGCCTCTTCAGACCTCAGTCGATTGACTAGACCATGTCTCCTGAGGCAGAGACGACTGCTTGAGGATCGGGGACCCCTTTGGCTGAGCAGCATCTCTTTGCGTGCTCACACACACCGACCAAACCTTACTCGAGCTGATCAGACTGATCCAACACTTCCCTTTCTTTTCTCTCTCTTTCAAGCCCTCACTCTCACTAACTATTGCAGCTCGTATCTGACCTGATACTACCACTCAATCCGCGGATAGCAAAGACAAGCGCGCTCTTTGAGATGCCCCTCCCTGCTTCCCTCAACCTGCTCCAGACGTCCATCAGAGAGCTCTCTTCCCTTCTCGCCTCTGGGACGATAACTTCCGTCGAGCTAGTCCATGCCTACCTCGGTAAGTTCACCTCACCAGCGAGCGAGGCATATGTGTTACTTAAGCTGACGATCAGCCAACATCGAGAAGAACGATATCGCCGGTCTCGGTCTTCGCGCAATCATTCAGACTGCTCCTGTCGCGTCTGTTCTCAAGATCGCCCAGACGCTGGACGATGAGCGTCAAGCTGGCATAGTCCGGGGAGCTCTGCATGGCATCCCTTTTTTGGTGAAAGACTGCATAGCCACCGATCCGGAACTGGGAACGGCAACTTCAGCTGGGAACACTGCACTCCGTACATCCCTCCTTGGAAATGGCTGATGGGAAGAGCGAAGCGTCGTCCCGGGCGATGCGGAGGTGATCAAGCGCCTGAGGGATGCCGGGGCGATCGGTGAGTCCTACACTGCATCATCCCTGAACTGTGCAGTTCTCGCCAAAACCAACCTTACCGAATTTGCCAATTTCAAGGGCAGAGACCTCCCTAACGGCTGGTCAGCGGTCGGCGGTCAAGCCAAGTCGGTGTACGTGCCAGGAGCGGAACCGCTGGGAAGCTCGACGGGGAGCGCGATGGGTCTCAGTGCGGGCTTCGGGGCAGTGGCTTTGGGCACGGAAACTGCTGGCTCCAACATAAGTCTGCGTTATAAGGCTCTGATGGAAGACATGCTGATAGCCAGGTCGCGTCCGCCAGTCGAGCTGCTTTGTACGCTATCAGACCATCTACCGGTCTGATGCCCATGCAGGGTATCGTACCCGTCAGGTGTGTTCTCTCCGGTTTCTCTGCGGTGCAGCGTGGCATCCAAAGCTGAACTTATAGTGGAGACCGGGATACTGTGGGTCCGCTGGCGTTTACTTCGGTAGATGCTGCGCTTGTCATGTTTGCCATGTCCGGCAGCGATGGCAAGTGAGCCTTCTCTGCCAAGCCCAAGACACTCGGGCTGATCATCAGATACCTCCGCGCTGCCGAAGCACCCAGCATGGCCGGTGTCCGCCTAGGTCTCGTCCGCAAATACTTCATCGACGATGTCCAAGGTCACTCTTCCCTTCCTGGTACCCCCATCCCGACCATGGTCAAGGCGATGCACGACACCGTAGCTACCATGCGAAAGGGTGGAGCCGATGTGATTGACGTGGACATGGATGTCAAAGCCGAGGAGAGGCAGGTCCTCCTCAAGACGGAGCTGGGGATGTGGAGGAGCGACTTCAAGGAGGACATGACGGCGTATCTGGCTGGGCTAAAGGAGAGTCCAGTGCGGAGCGTGGAGGAGCTGGTCAAGTGGAACGAAGACCATGCTGTAAGTCCTCGATTGAAAGCAGCTGACGAGTAGGATGTCGAGTTGCCTCCTCACGCTCCGACACAGCAGTTCCTCGTCGAGTCCATGGACGCTCCTCCGCGCGACTCGGACGCGTATCGTACCCTTCAAGCTCGATCAGCGGATATAGCCAAGAAGAGGGGTCTCGACTATATCTTTGAGCGACACCAGCTCGACGCCGCGATCTTCGCTACCGAGCTCGGGTTTGCCTTCCTCTACGTGACAGCGGGAGGGTACGCTTCAGTGAGTGTCATTCTTGTCAGAGCTGATAAGCAGGGTTCTGCTCCGCTCGGGTATGGTGCGGATGGTGCGCCTTTCGGAATCATGTTTGTGGTCAAGCCAAGCAAGAGGAGAAGCTCATCAGTATCTTGTAAGCTATTTCTAACTGCGCTGGTGCTGGTGCTGATCAGCTAGATCCGCTTACGAAGTTCTCGTGCCGCAAAGGAGGACTCCCAGTACGCTATAGCTGTACATATATGTATACACTACCTGACCGATTCTGAACCGACTGAATGTCCTACTGACCTACTCTAAGCCTGCGGAATCTCCTGTCCCTCCGTGGCCTGGCCCAGAGTCTGGACCTCCGCGCCAGCATGCACCTCCTCGTTCCCCTCCATCGCCATCTCCGAAGCTTGCGCCATTCCATCTGCCGCCTCGCCGATCTGCTCAGCATTCTCCATCGCCTCCGCCGCCGCGCTGATGACCGTTGCGTACCCGTCCATCACTCCCCCTCCCACCATGTCCAGATCGCGCCGCAGTCGCTCGAGCTCAGCCACGAGATCTGCTTGACCTTGGCGGAGGGTTTGAATATACTCGGTAGCTACTATATCAGCTTGCGTCGCGTTCACCTAGATCTGCACTTACCTTTACGAAGTATCTCCCACTTGCTAGACTTGGTCCCCTTCTCCGTCGGCAACAATTCCCGCAACTCGTCGAAAAGATCCTTCATCTCCTTCCGCCTCGCCCGTTCCGCCAATTTGTGGTGCACCTTGAGCTCCGGTGTACGACTAAAGGGCGTCTGCCTCGGAGGATTACTCTCGCTCCCTTCCGCCTCCCCATCGTCCTCCACCTCTGCCGCCTCTGAAGCCGTCCGCTTTGCCGCCCGACTCTCCCCGACGCCCAGACTGGCACCGCTTGCTGCACGTGATCCGCTCGCCCGAGTCGTCATCGTGACCTGAGCAGGAAGGTCGGAGGTCCCTGGAGCTGCCGCACTCGCAGCCGCGTGCGCGCTTCCGGACGCGACCGCCGCGTGCAGCGTGTCCTCCGCGAAGCGCAAGCCGTCCAGGGGCACCTGCATGCCCCCATCCGCAGCCAGGGAGTGCATGTCCTGAGTGGGCAGCGGGGCGATTGCCAAGGCCTCGAGAACGGCAGAGGAGGGTGCCGGGGCAGGCTCAGCAGGCCAGTGGTATTGCTGATTGTAGGAAGTGGTGTCGGCGGGCAGGTGGAAGGTGGGGGTGATCAAGGACGCGTCGGTGGGATTGTAGGTGTCAGAATGGAGATCATCGGTGAGGGAAGGATCAATGTCGCCGATGCGCATGCGCTTGGCTGCGTGTTCGTCTTGGGTGGACATGGTGCTGCAGGGCGAGGAAGAGATAAGATAAACACGTGTGATCGAGGGAGGGAAGATGCATCGCTCGCGTGGCTGCCACGAGGAAAGAACGTGCATTCCTCGCCGGGGATATCGGCGTTATTTGCTGCCGGCGAGACGTGTGGCGGCACCCCCGTTGCCTTAGTCAGCATGGTTGCGTGAGCATCGTCTCCTTCGGTCACCGCGACACCGACTGCTAGCGACTGCTCCTTCGTTCGCCCACCAATCGATGCTAATACTATACGCCGAGGAGCGACTAGACAGGCCGCCGCGGCGAGCTGTAGTGGACATACGATACACCGCTACTAATTAGAGTAATACGCCAAGACGGGAGAGGATGAGATTATCGGGCCCTGCTTAACCGGTCACCGCACCTTCACGCCTTGTCGTGTCTACGGATTGATCGAGCGCCATTAATCAGGATAGGCGACATATGGGCTCGGTCATCTCGGCCAACTGCATACGTCCGCACGAGATGGCCATCATCAGCGTCAGCTCAGACCTCTGCGATCTAGCCAAAAGCCTCCGGGGGCAGATCCACCGTTGATCATTGCGAGTTTCACGGGCTGGGGCAGTGCTGAGAGATGTCAAAGACTAATCAGCTGTCCACCTGATCACTGTACCTGATCGATCTGTCACTACTGAATGACGCTAATGTGCTAATGCCGCCGGTATGCACGATCTAGCAGCTCACACAGAAGATCTCGCTTATGCCCCACTCCTGATGTAATCCCACACATGCGGGGCCCTCGCGATCGACGGGGAACGAGTGGGGTGAACTCGCCTCGCCTATAAGAGTGCGACAGGTCGCACCAGCCCCCCACCATCTACCAACTTCCCCCTTGTCTCTCACTACTCATCCCCACCTATCAAAGCTCAATCACAATGCGCGCCTCCCTCCTCTCCCTTGCCCTCGTCGGCACCGCCCTCGCCTCCCCTGTCGACCTCCTTTCCCGCTCCTTGTGCCTATCCTACACCCTCATCGACACCCGGGGGACTGGCGAACCCCAAGGCCCCTCCGCCGGGTTCATCACTATGAACCGCAACATCCTCGCCGCCAAGCCCGGCGGTCGCGTCTACTCTACCGTCTACCCCGCCGACTTTACCCAATACTCCGCCGCCGGCACCGCCGACATCTTGCGCGAGCTCAGCGCCGAGCTCGCCGAGGACCCGGCGCGGTGCTTCATCCTCGAGGGGTACTCGCAGGGCGCGGCGGCGACGGTCAACGCGCTGGAGAAGCTGCCGGTCTCGGACCCGCGGTACGCGGCTATCAAGGGCGTATTCCTTATTGGGAACCCGGTACACAAGGCGGGACTGGAGTGCAATGTGGACACCAAGGGCGGGGACTCGACCAAGAATGTGAATGGGATTTCGGCGAGCTATGATGGGCCGATCCCGGCGGCGTATGTGGGCAAGTCGCTGGATGTCTGTCAATTCGTGAGTAGTGTGAAAGCTTCATGGGTGTAAGGGTTTGCGCTGAGCCATAGGGTGATGGTGTCTGTGATACCACACACGGCGTCGGTATCAACCCTCCTCACCTCGTCTACCCCAGCGACGCCGGTACTCAGCGCCAGGGCACAGAATTCGTCCTCGCCAGGCTCAGCATTTGATGCATGCTCGGCGACGATGGGGAGGAGCCTAAGGGGGATCTGGCGGGTTACGGCACGAAGTCGGAGGAGGTTTCGCGGTATGAGATGGCCGGAAAGGAATCCAAGTGGGCTTAGTCGCTGTTGATATTTGTACTAAATGAAATGTAGTAAGGCAGGATTGATCTCCCTCATCTCAGGCTATATTGATCCGAGCTCGCTCCTCCCTGCCACACACCGGCTCGCCCTGATCTTCATCTCTCCTCAATCCCAACGGCCACTCTGCTACGCGGTCATTTCATTTACGAGTACTGCGCCCGGGGAATGTGTCGCAGATCGGCTCGGGGCTGTGTATGCGCCCGGTATCTGGAGAGCACGCCAGCGCCTGGACTTTCGCTTCCGCGTTCCTGTTAGAGCACCCTGGCTAGCTCCCTAGCTTCACTCGATTCTGTCAGCATCTCTTGACTTAAGGGGGTCTCGCACCGGGAGGTACCGGGACCACGGCGGGAAGCTTGGCGCGTCGGAGCTTCCGGGACCAGTCGTAGCTTCCCTTGACACAGCACTAAGCCCGCATCGGACCTCCTTGGCTTTTGTCGTAAGGGTACTAGATGGGTGTGCCTGTTGAACGTTGAGAGGAGGCTTGAGCTAAGGCGCGTAACCATCCGCTACCTTGCTACAATTGCGCTAGTGCTTACTGTCAGCGAACTTTCGCTCAAACCCCACCATTCCCCACTTTCCCCACTCCGACCTTTCCGGATTCTCGGACATCTACTCGCCGCGCCCGTCGGAGACGGTGAATATCGCCCTCAGATCTATACCACATGATACGCTCGGGGCGACGCGAGCGAGGAGAGGAGGGTCCAGTCATTCAACGTTGTCAAGCTAGCTAAACTACCGATGCTAGTTACTGACTGGTCTGAACTTTGACACCCAGTCACCCTCCTTTCCTCTCCCATTTCCTCATGGCGACGCGTACAGATCGGGTCGCGCACTGACTGTATTGATGTTTCATCTCGATCGCGAGAGGTCAAGATCAAGATCGGGGGTAAGGGCTGCGGGGCTGACGCTGACTTGATGGAGGGTATAAGAAGGCCACTGACAGCCTCGATTCCTTCGTCATCCTCTCACTCACCTCACACTCTTTCACCCCATCAACGCTACCTCACACTCACTCCACCCAACCAACCACTACTCTCACATCCCCCATCATGCTCGCCTCCCTCCTCTCCATCGGCCTCATCGCCCTCGCTGGGTCCGGCACCCTCGCCACCCCCGTCCCCTCCCCTGCCGATCTCGTCACCCGGCAGACCGGCTGCGCCGCCTACACCATCATCAACACCCGGGGTACGGGTGAGCGCCAAGGTCCCTCGTCCGGCTTCCGCACCATGAACAGCAACATCCTGTCCGCCAAATCCGGCGGCTCCGTCTACTCCACCGTCTACGCCGCCAGCTTCTCCCAGAACTCCGCCGCGGGCACGGCCGACATCCTCCGTCGTCTCTCGTCCGAGCTCTCCGCCAACCCGGCCAAGTGCTTCATCCTCGAGGGCTACTCCCAGGGCGCCGCGGCCACCGTCAATGCGCTAGACAGCATTCCCACCTCGGACCCCCGGTTCAACGCTGTCAAGGGCGTCTTCCTCATCGGTAACCCGGAGCACAAGTCAGGCCTGGCGTGCAATGTCGACACCAACGGCGGGACGACCACCAGGAACGTCAATGGTATCTCGTCGTTTGGCGGTGGGATCCCGGCGGCTTGGGTCAGCAAGACGCTTGATGTGTGCAACTTTGTGAGTCTATGCCCCATCATGTCAGTGTAGTCGAACTTGATCTGACGAGCAGGGCGATGGGGTTTGCGACACTAGGAACGGCTTCGGCATTAACGCCCAACACCTCGCCTACCCCGCCAGCTCGTCCACTCAGAAGCTCGGCACCGACTTCGTCCTCGCTAGGCTCAACGCTTAGGCAGGCTCGACACTTTAGGCCAAAGGTGGGGATGGGAAGTAGTCAGCGGGAGGAGGTCCAGTAGGGTCGGAAGCGGGACTTCCACCATGTATGTAGAAGAACGTCAGGTCAAATGCATAGGGTTGATGGTCGCAAGAACCTAGTCCCGGAACGCACCGGAATACGAGTGGTCGCATTCCTCGCTGCTCAAAGTCTCTCAGCCTTGGCAACATCTGTCATTTCCATCTCACTTATGTCCGCCATTTTGCTCCTCTTGCCCATCTCCTTGACAATCTGATGTCCGGGCCATCTCAGAATCGAGGACGTGGCTATGGAGAGGCATGTTCCCGCTGTCGGGATAAGAAGCGGCGGTGTACGCCTGGAAGTCAGCCGGTCGCGTGCAAACTATGTGAGCGAGATGGAGCGGTATGTGAAGTGATCAGGTGAGCCGGAGAACATGTTGGTAGACATTGTCGAGGCTGATGAGCAGCAAGAGAGTCTCTCAGAAGAGCTCCAGCGAGGCTACTCACTCGCTGGCATCGTCGAGCCCCTCTACTATCCGGAACAACGACATGGCGCGCTCAGGACGGGAGACCTCCTCAAGCGCCCATTCGATACAAGATACCACGCCGGACATGCAGATCGTCGCGGACCGTCTCCAGCCGCTGGAGAGCGCTCTACACTCTGGACCCGACGCCTCTGCCTACGACCTGCAAGACCCCTTCCAATCTGTCCCAAACAGAAGTCAGGCTGGATGGTCCGCTCAAGCTGGACAAAGCTCAACGCCCTCGTACATCTCTCCGGTACCTCTTCCCTCAGCTATACGTCCTGATGAGGTGCTGCTCCAGACGTACTTTGCGTGGCAGTGTCCTCAACATATGCCTGTCGACGAACAGTTTTTCCGCCGTACGTTACATACCATTCCTCGCGCGGGACGTCTAGCTGATGGGTCGCAGGAGACATGCAGAGCAACCCGACTGGTCCCTACTTCTCCCCGCTACTGCTATATACCCTTCAAGCGCAGGCTTCGCGTCATCTTGTCACTGAGGATGGATGGTCATATGTCGTGAGTTGGCAGGACGATCAAGCTGATTACTTAGGAAAAGGCCAACTCATTACTCCTCAGCACACTCTCCGAGCCTCCTTCCATACCGACCATCCAAGCTCTACTCGTTCTGTCCGGCCGCGACCTCGCAATGGGCCAAGCTAGTGCCGGATGGCTCAAGAGCGGAATGGCTTTTAGGATGATTGACGACCTGCAGATCCGGGAGGAGCTCGCCAAGCAAGCGGGTACGGGCGGGGACGGAAGTGAGAGGTCATACATGAGACGCAGGATCTTTTGGACGGCATATACGTGGGACAAGTATGTCGTTCGCGAGGCCTAGCTAACGTTAGATTCTTCGCGCTCACACTTGGTCGTCGACCTGCCTTCTCCTTCATCGTCGATGACGATCAGCTGCCTCCAACACGTAAGTAGCACCGCTTAACTTCGCTGACCCTAGTCTCCTCACAACTGAGCTGGTATCCATATCATCCGATCGAGACGTTCCCATCATACCGTCCACAGCCTTCTTTGGACGGAGAGACCTTCTTTGCGTGAGTCTGCCTCACCCCGCAAGCTGATCTCAGGTCCTGCCTTGTTTACCAAGAGATTGAGCGCATCATCACCAGACTATACCAACCTCATCGAGCATACAGCCTCGAGCAGGACAAGCAGTTCGTCCAGGTCGCTAGCTCTCGCCTGCTGGAATGGAGGCGCAAGGTCCCAGAGGTCTTGCTAGATACGTCGTATCTCCCAGCAGTGTCACCCCCACCCCACATCCTCACAGTCAAGTAAGTCCATGCTATTCCCAGCTGACTCTCAGTATCCTATATCGAGTCGCCTGGATACTCTTGCACCGGCCTATGCGGTACCGCGCGACAAGTCTCGGCGAGAAACAGGCCGCGGCTCACACCTGTATTGCCCGATCTGCCGAAATCAACATCCTCTTTGACATGCACGAACGCACCTTCAATCTACGCAACATCACCTACCTCCTCGCTTATATGGCGTACGTCACGGCGACCATCGACGTTGACGAAGCGATGTCCGGCGATCCTGCTCGCTCAATACCGGCCAAGCAGCGGCTAGAGCTCACTCTGCGCGTTCTCACCCAGGCATCCGCACATACCCCGGGCATTCAGCGAAGTATTCACCATCTGCGCCAAAAGCTCGTCCAGCGACCGGATAGGCTGGTCAGCGGTACTACCACTCCCACGACAGCCCATCCCTCGGCTACTGCCCAAACCCAATCCGGCGATCTCCTGGCCGTATCGGCGGGTATGAGCTCGCTGGCTGAATCTCAGGCTAGTGGCGGGGCGTTGGATCTAGCCTTTGAGCAGCTCTTTGCCTCACTCCTTCCCGAGTTCGCCGTAGAGAACCCGATCTCTTGGAGTGAGTTTGGAATGGAGGATGCGCTCCCCGCGTCAACGGAAGACATGGATTGGTTGTGGTCTTGATCGCTTTTCCTGACGTGATGATACATGTAAAGATAATCGAACAAGAGAGCTGCCCCATCTACTAATGACCGTTGACCCCGTTGGTACCATTGGCGCCATTTACGCCATTCGCCTTCTTGGCCTTAGACCGCGGTACTGAAGCGAGCACATCATCCACCATCTGCGGGGCCGCACCGAGGTAATTGACCGGATCACACAACCTTGCGAGCTCCTCCTTGGATATACGGTCGGTGACGTCTGAACGAGTGCTGAGGCGATCGTACAGTGTCGACGTGCCGTCCTCAATACAGTCCTTGCACGCCGAGTAGACGATGTCGTGGGCTGCGTTACGGCCGACGATGGGTGCAATGCCCATCATGACCGCCTCGCCGACGATAAGGCCCTTGGAGCTGTTGAGATTGACGAGCATCCGACTGATGGTCAGCCACATCCCTCAAACTCGGTGGCAAGACTCACTCGGTGTCCACGCAAAGTCCGCCCAATGCAAAGATCGCCTGAGACAAGGCTCCACTCGCCACGCAGAACGCCTCGGGTACGCACACCCACTCGAGATGCCATGGACCGGAAGCGCGCTCAAAGTCGGCGACCATGGCGTCCTGAGCGAGGGAGGCATGCGAGCGGAGGAGTTTGGACGCGGCGAGGATGGCTTCGGAGGAGATGGGATTCCGCTTTTGAGGCATGGTGGAGGAGGCGCCACGGTGGGGGACGAAGGGCTCTTGGACTTCCGAGAACTCATTGGAGCACATGATCATCACGTCAAGAGCGATCTTGCCGAGGGTACCTCCGACGAGCTGAGCATCAGCTAGAGTCCCTATACTGGTGATGAAGACTCACCGAGAGGAATGAGACAATCTCAGCGACACCATCCCTGACCACATGCCACGAAATGGGTGGGTTCGTCAGAGCCAGATTCTTCGCCAATTGTTCCCGCACCTTCAGCCCCGCATCGTCCGACCCGAGCGACGCCAATGTCCCCGCTGCACCCCCAAACTGAACCAGCAGCGCCCTCGGCTTGAGCTGCTGGAGACGCTCGTAGTGCCTGTCAAAGGCAGACAGGTAGACGGCGGTCTTGTAGCCGAAAGTGATGGGGAGAGCGTGCTGAAGATGGGTGCGGCCGGCCATGGGTGAATCCCGGTATTTGATGGATAGGTCGGCCAGGATAGACCGGAGAGACTGGATCTGCTCTTCGATGACGCTGAGACCGGCTTGCATCTGGAGGACACTGGCCAAGTCCATGATCTACCATCAGCTGAGTCTCTGGCAAGATATTTGAAGACTCACATCTTGCGTGGTAGCTCCCCAATGCAGATACTTGCCGCTCTCGCCAGAGCACATCGCGTCCAGCTGGCGGATGAGGGGTAGAATGGGGTACCCGACAATGTCCGTCTCGGTGCGGAGACGGTCGAAGTCGAGCTTGTCAACCGAGCAGCTGGATGCGATCTGTTGAGCTGCTTCCGAGGGGATGACGCCGATGGTGGCTTGAGCCGTGGCGAGGGCGACTTCGGCCTGGACGCAGCGCGTGACATATGCGCGGTCGGCTGCATGGTCAGCATGGCCGGAGGGGCAGAGGTAGGAACTGACTGAACTCCTTCCTCATCCGGTCGGAAGTGAAGATATTCTTGAACAGGCTCGAGTCATAGGCAGAGATGGTGTCGTTCATGATGGCTGGATTAGAGGAAGTTGATGGCAGTCGAAATATCGCGGATGTCAGAAAGTGGAAGAGGAGGATAGATCACACGGTTCCTATATCATGCTACATGGGCGGCAATGGCTTCGGGGTCGCGGAGTTCGGCTACTATCTAGCGGGAGATGAGGAGCACTAGACATGGATCGGTCCCACTAGAGCGTCTAGTGAGCCAGTGCACAAGCATCTTTGACCGCCGAACAGCGAGTTCTGCCAAGGTATGCGGTATTCGGTTATACTTCGGCGCCTCGGCGTTTCCGGCGCCGAGCGAGAGATACCGTGTAGAGGCATCTCTGATGCGGTATCTCATGCGGTATTCATCTTTCCGCTCCAGCCCTCAAACGCTTTGCTGCACCTGCAAGCGAAGATCATGAAGGTATATAGGGTGTCTGCTCATCAAGACGAGATGCTCAAAAGCCCCACACATCCCCCACATCGACCCCGCTCAACACTCCGAGCCCGATGTCCGCGCCTATCACTCCCTCCCCTATGCCCCAACATATCCCCATGGACCGGTCCAACTCGCTAGCTTCAGACGTCAAATTCACCTCGGACCAGCTCGAGTATCAGCCTGATCTCGATGCCATCAAGGAAGACAACGATCAAGTGGGATACAATACCTTCAAGGCGGCGCAGGAATCGGGTTACGAGCCGGTGAGTCTTGGCCTTGAGAACGAGAACGTTTACAAGTTCTGACATCTTCAGACCCCCGCCGAGTCCAAGCGGGTGCTTCGTCGTATCGACCTCTTCATCCTCCCCATCTTCACCTTCACCCAATGTCTACAATTCATGGACAAATCAGCTCTCAACTATGCCAACTTGTTCGGATACCAAGCGGCCCTAGGCCTCAAGGGCTCCGACTACTCGTGGCTCGGTGGCGGCTTCTACATCGGCTACCTCGTTGCACAATTTCCTATGGGATATCTCCTCGGTCGCTTCCCAGCTGGTCGGGTTCTCGGCATCTGCTGCTTCTTTTGGGGCCTCGTCGTCCTCCTTTCCACCCAGGCCCTCAACTTCAAATCCGCCCTGGCGGTCCGGATCGCGCTTGGGATGATGGAGGCGGTAGTCACTCCGGGTCTCAACCTGATGACTGGGTTCTGGTAAGTGCTCTTGATCACATGTCAGCTTGGTATGCTGAATCGGCAGGTACACCAAGAAAGAAACGCCCAATAGGCAGACTCTATGGTATTCTGCCCTCGGTCTCGGCGGTATCATTGGGGGCTTTATAGCTACCGGTATCGCTACTCGCACGTCTACGCCAGCGGTACCTAACTGGACTGTCATCTTCTACATCCTCGGTGCCATGACCATGGCCTGGGCTTTCGTGCTCTACTTCTTCCTTGCCGACTCCCCCTCCAAGGCATTCTGGCTCAACCAGGAGCAGAAGTACATTGCTGTTCAGCGTGTATCGGCGGGTATGGTTGGCATCAAGGTGGGTACAAGCTATTCCGAGATTTTGACTGCTCGATCAATGGCTGACGGGTTTAGAGCCGAAAATTCAAGCCGGCCCAAGTGTGGTCAGCCTTGCTCGACCCCAAGACCTGGCTCCTCTTCGCCGCCACCTTCGCCACTTCCATCCCTACCGGAGTACTCTCCAACTTCTCTACCGTCATCATCCGCGACATGGGCTTTACCGATCTTCAAGTCACCCTTCTGGACGTCGTGCGCAACGTCTTCCAGATGATCGGCGTCATCGGTGCCGGCTGGTTCGCGACTCGGTTCGCCAACACCCGCATCATCATGTGCACCTTTGGCAACCTTGTCTGCGTCACAGCCTCGGCATGCCTCGCCTTCCTCCCGGACAGCGCAAAGTGGCCTCGTCTCGTCGCTCTCTGGTTCACCAACTTCCAATCTATCGGCTTTGTGCTCGGTCTCGTCATGATCTCCAGTAACATCGGTGGATACACCAAGAAGCAATTCACGTGAGTGGTTCGGACCTCTTTAGCTTTTGGCATCAGCTGATGTTTCAAGATCCGGCATGGTCTTTGTTGCGTACTGCGCAGGCAACATCGCAGGTCCGCAATTTGTCTACCCCGCCGAAGCGCCCCGGTACAAGAGCGCCACCGCAGCCATGCTCGCCAGCTACTCGATCAAGACCGTCTGTCACCTCCTGCTGGGACTCTACATGTGGAACGACAACAGGCGCCGGAACAATAAGGCGGCAGGTGCAGCGGTAGATGAGAAGCGGGGCGCGGAGGCGGGGATGCTGGATCTTACCGAGTTTGATAATCCAGATTTCAGGTATGTTTTGTAGATAGCTAGCAGTGCTGCGATGACGTCTTGGTAATCAAAGGGCTCTCTTCTTCAGGAAAGCGCATGCTCCGGACAAAGCGTATGCCGCACACGATGAGGAATGTGGAGGTCTGCGAGCAGCACGAACGCGAGGTTGAGTCATCTCGGCTGTGATGGTGCCAAAGACGGTAGTGACCCATCCAGATCAGTTTCATGAGCGTGCTCAAGTGACGACTTCACAACACAATGTAGCAGTTATCATCCGTTGCATCACCTCGTAATATAGTCAGCGTCTACTTGAAGTTCTTGCCGTCGGCCCACTCCTTGCCATCAATAACGAGGTCCCACGCCATAGCGCCCTCGAAGAACGCCTTGTCCTCGGCGTTGTCGAGCTTGAGCTCCTTGTAGTCGTACGACTCCCAGTCCGGAGCAGCGTCAACGACCGGCTTGGCGTCTTGTCCGCGGAGGATAAGAGCACCGGAGATGACAGAGTCGTTGGCCTTGCCGAGGACACCGACGGAACCGAACAGGTACTTCCTGGAAGCCTCCAAGCGGTTGAAGAAACCACCGATCTATAGTTTTAGCCAAGGCCAATGACTGGCATAAAGCAGCTTACCTGGTTGGCGGACATGAAGACCTGGGTGAGCTCGTCGTTGTACTTGAAGTCGACACGCCAGATGGAGAAGCCGGCCTTGTCGAACCTGAAAATCAGCCTTGCCCTTTCTCCGTAACACGCGCTGCTCACTTCTCGTAGAACCACTCGAGCGAACCGCCAGCCCCTCGTGTCTCCAAGTTCGAGTACTGCCTCTTCCACTCCTCAAGGTTGAACGCCGACTTCGGGAGGTCGTCGAGCGGGTTCTTGGCCTTGGGCTCCTCGGGCACGAGCGGCTCATCGTCATCGTCGTCCTCGACAACCTCCTTCTTCTTGGGCGCCTTCTCAGCCTTGGGAGCCTTCTCAGCCTTGGGCTTGTCCTCCTTGGCCTTCTCGGCCTTGGCGGGGGGAGTGTAGGTGGCGGTCTCGGTGAGCGAGGGCTTGCCGTCGTCAAAGATGGCAGCAAGCTTGGGCTGGTTGATGAAGCTGCATGTCAGCGAAAAGTGTCTGCAGATAGGATGTGCAGCTCACGTCTCGAAGTATCGCACAACATTGGGGATCTTGGCGCGCATGGACGCGTCAATCAGGCCGGTGAACATGTTTCCGAGAGCGGTGGCAACAAAGACATCGGCAATGGTGATTCGCTCTCCGACCAACCAGGTCTGATTGTTGAGGTGGTCGTTGAGCTGGGCCAAGCGCGAGTTGACGCCGTCAAGGATACCAGCGACGACCTAATGGTCAGCGTCTTTGCAAATAGCTAAGAAACGGTACTTACAGCCTTGTTGTAAGGGAGGTAGTTGCTGAATGAACGGTTGGCCATGGCGTGCTTGATGAAGAGCTGTGCTGTCAGCGTCCACGTACTTATACCGGGTCTAGAGACAATCTCACCTCCTGGTCGGCGAAGAATTGCCATTGACGGACAAGGGCCTTCTGCTTGGGGTCGGAGGGGACGAGGGTGGAGTTGGGGCCGAGCTCAGCGACTAGCTTTCGTCAGCTCCTCTTCTTCCTTCGATCCAACATGACGCAAGAGAGGACGAGGGGAAAGATCAGAGGTATGACGGTACCACCCGCCGGTTAATTCTCGACACAGGTCAATTAAGACAGGGATAACTGAAAAGAAGTCTCATCATAGAAAGAGGAAAGCGAGGATGCAGCCAGAGATGGGAGAAAGACATACCGTACTCGGCGATGGCGCCAGACTCGGAGAGGTAGAAGTCGCCGTCCTCAAGGACGGGGAGGGAACCAAGGGGGTGCTTGGCAAGGAAGTCCTCAGTCTTCCAGTCCGACTTCATCGAGAAGGACTTGTCGAAGTCGAGCTGAACATCGGCGAGGGCAGCGGCAGCGAGCACACGGCGGACTCGGGAGTTGCCTTAAGAATCAGCATAGGCGCTTAGTGAAAGGGTTCGAGGGAAACGTGCGGTAAGGCGGAAGGACGTACCGGCGAAACCGATAAGCTTGGGTGCCATTTTTTATGAATCTAAGCGGTCAGTTTGCTGCTCCTGATACTCTGCGTGAGGCCAGTGGGCTCACTTGTATATAAGGTAGTGTAGATAGGGAGAAGAGGCAATGAACAGGTATGCAAAGGCAGCTTGACCTTGACCTTGACCTTGTTCTCTGCGAACTTTTCTAGTGAACCGTGCCTGAACCAGACCGCCACAGCCGGAATTACCAAATTCATATGTATTCCCGCAAGAGTGGCACTTTTGCCACCCACTCCACCACGTACATGATTCAACAGTTTCATACGCTTCTGCGGATCGTGTTCTCAGCTTCTGACTCGCTCAACGCACAAGACACAGCGCAGGTGTAAGGCAGAATACTAGACGCGAATATACATGGGATGGTAGAATACAATGACCCTGTGCACAGCCTGGCTGGACCTGCACATATTTGCCTCTCGAGCTCCTCGGAAACGTCAAGAGAGTCCATACCTCCTATATTCGTCCCTTCATATTACCCAACGTCCCCTTCTTCTTTCCCCCAAACTTGTTCGTCATACCTCCTCGACCGGCGGCGTATGGGCTGTAGTTACCGGACGGCCGCTGTCCTCCGCCGCCCCCTCCCCCACCGTAATTCCGTCCCCTCTTCCCCCTACCTCCGCTCCCTCTGGGCGAGGACGGTCCGGGTCGTCCCCTGATAGGTGGCGTACCATAAAATAATGCTTCGGATATGGGTGTCCGTATGCGACTGGCTGGCGTGCTCAACGCTGCACCGAATTTGTCCATTGGATTCGGTCCTTCCCGCTCGTCGTCATCATCCGCCGTCTTGTACGACCGGGGAGGTGATAATGGCGCCTGTGATTGTCCATCCGACCGATTGTCGAATCTCGATGAAAAGTGCGGCGTGGCCGTGTTAAGTTGCTTGACGTTCTGAGCCACCGACCGCGGAGTCATTGGAGAACCGTTCCCGTTCCCGTTCCTCCGCGCCTGCAACTCCTTGACTGCCGCCATCGGACCCTTCGCCTTGACGGGCTGCCGCATCGCATCCTCCTCTTCCGCCTCGTCCACCCGCTTCCGCTTTCCGCCATTCCCGTTGACCTGCGCATGCCCATTCGCAGCCGGCGTCCCGTTCCCATTCGCCCGCGGTGGTGGCGCCTGGAACTCCTCTCCCTCCGGTATCCGGATATAGCTGAGAAGATATGCCGTCTTGTCAGACTTGATGTCCCCGAGTCTGACGCCCGACATGTCCTCATCGTCCGCTTGATACCAGTTCCCGTTGGGCGCCCGGACGTATGCCGTGTAGTGGCCATATCGAAGATCGGCACCGCGGTGACATGTGACTCCGAAAAGGCGGTATTTTGTACTTGTTCCGCCAGCCTGCAGCGTCAGCTCAGATCAGGTCCACCATCGATCCCACGGTAGCTCACCTTCGGATCGACCATATATGGCGCAATATCTAAAAACTCGTCAAAGCCGATATGTTGGTTGTACTTGTCCGCTCGAGCTTTCCCGTTCCAGGAGTTGTAGTTCATGCTGAAGCGTTTGAGATGGAGGGTGAGGACAGGTGGTGCCTCGGCGATTCGGAAGCTCTTTGTAGCGTTTGCTTTGGCTTTACAGCTATAGGGTCAGCATGTAGACCGCGTATCGTCTGAACTCAATGAGGCAAATAGGAAACTAGCTCACCTCTCGCAATGATACTTGTTATCACCTTCGAGCTTGTCCTCCTTGACGAACCCCGCCAACATCGCTGTCAGCGTCCGCTTACTCGGCCCGCAATCCAACGACAAGTCCAGAAAGTGGTCGAACGTATCGGACGGTTTTGAGCATTTGGAGCAAACGACACGGGAACGGACGCGGCCGCCCCATATCCGGTGGACCCAAGTGGTATGTTTGACCTTCTCAGGTGTGTCTCTGTATGGTCAGCGCGAACCGATGGTATTGAGCCAGGACGGGAGGAGGAAAGGGACGCACTTTGGGAATCCCGCCAGCGCGCTATTTTGTAACGCATCGCAAGCGAATCTGAAAAACTCGTGCGTGTCCTCCTGCCTAGTCTTGCTGAAGCCCTTCTTAATGACTGGCTTCATCAGCTCATATCGTATCCGGACGAACGATGAGGCCAACTCACGAAACAGATTATTATGCACAAGCTTGGGCTGATACATCTTCTTACTCCAATGCTCCTTGATCATATCCTGCATGATACACAGCAGGCAGAACCTGCTTTTCGTTCGAGTCGCCTTGATACCTGTCCGGTCAGCTGCTGTCTCACTTTGCTAGCAGGACGAGTAGAGGAGATAGTTACGCACAGGTCTCGCTATCGTGCGCTAGGGCCTCCCGGACAAATGGCGGGGTGTGCATCATCACTTGCAGCGTGGCATTCGCGTAGCACGCCATGCTGGGGTTGTACAGTCCCGCTCCAGCCCGCTTGAGGCCAGCGAGCTCCGAGGGGTAATGCAAGGCTTCGTCGGATATGGGATCGTGTAGAGATTTGCCGTCTGTCAACGAGGATGCAACGGCGGGCGTTGGGGGCTGCGCGGGTGCTCCAGTACCGTTCGCCTTCTTGGTGGGCGTGGCAGATGTGGAGGCGGACGTTGATTGCGTCGGTGTGGGGAGAGCAGGAGCAGCTGGCAGAGTAGGAGCAGTTGGGGACGGCGAGACCGAAGGAGAGGCTTTACGGCGTAGATGAGGAGGAGTCGATGGGCCAGCTTTGACCCTCCGCGGTTCCTCTCCGTTCGCCATCTTTCCCTTCCGTGGTGTATTCTCACCCTTAGACTCCTCCTCTCCCGCCTCATCCTCCCCAGTAGGCGTGCTTGCCCCGCTCGCCCCGTTCGCCCCGTTCTGACGGACTGGCTCGAGCCGCAGCAAGGTCCTAGGCGGGCTAGGCGGACCCGGGAACACCTCCCTCAGTCCAGTCTGAGGTGCGAAGGACGCCCGTCCCACCGGCTCCCCAAACGCCAGCGGAGTAGCGAGGAGGTCTCGCAGAAAGCCCGAACCCGAGCCTGACGCCGATGCGGAGGAGGGCCCGTTCGCGGTCGAGCCCATAGGCCCTCGGAGGGGAAGGAGGAGGCTCATCGTACGTCTCCTGGACCGGAAGATACGTGAGGACCGGATAGCGCGCGTTCTGGGTCCGGAAGAGCTGCTGCGTGCGCTGTAGAGCGCTTTTAAGGGGTTGTTGTTGTTGGTCGTAGAGGGAGCGAAATGTCGGCTGGTCAGCTCGGGTGAAAGAAATTCGATGTGGCGGTGCCGGCAGCAGCAAGTGGCACTTTGCCACCATGCCCATATGATCACTGCGTGATCCAGTTCGAAAAGATCAGGACTAGTCAGCCTCACAGCATGAGACCCCCACAGCTGGCGCTCTGTGGAGCCTCTGCGACACATAGCGCGATGCACGTCTCGCCATGAGCCAGACTGCAGATTCTGCTGCCAAGTCTAGCTGTATATATGTCGTGCGGACTCTGGTCTATACGCGCCCCGTCCTCCGCTAGCCTTCCCTTGGTGCACCCCTCCACTTGCTCCCTCTGTTGGCCACCTGGGACCAGACTTCACTAGAAGATTCCAGGTGATCCTAGAGCGTCCCTGGGAACGCGGGATCCTTTCAGGGGGAGAAACAACGTACCTTTCACTGTCGCTGCATGGCCCGACCTGGCCGGACACATGTCTGGGCTAGGCAACATATCTAGCGGTCCCCAATCGTCTCGCTTTTTATACGTTGTCAATCATCTCTGTTCCACTATCCAACTGACTGCCTTTCATTCCCATACCTACACCCCGACAGCAATGGCGCGCCTACCACCATCAATCCGCTGCCCAGTGACTCGCTCACTGCAGAGGACATGGAAACCCAGCTTGACACCGCTCTTTCGAAGCTCTTAGTGTACAAGACCGAGCCGGGCCCGACCGATACCGACCACGTCTACAACTACGCATACCACGAAGACCGCGAGTCCACGCTCATTCCCGCCGAGAAGCTGGACCAGATACACGACAAATGGAAGATCTCCAACGAGATTCTCGATCGGAAGACGAGGCTTATCGACAAGGTCGGCCGCTTGCTCGCTCACATGCGCAGAGTCGGCCTCACCCAGGTAGGATCCAATGCTCTGTGGAAGACCGTTACGACTCTGTACTCGCGGGAGGAGCTATCACTCGGTGAACGGGAGTGCAATCTCTTCCGCGAGGGCATGATGAGGTGCCGTCACTGGTCTCATGAAGAAACAAAAGGGAGACCACCCCTTCCCGATCCGTCGACACTGACTCCGGTGGACGAGGAGATACGCACGATCATACGGGCCCTCTCAGAGGTGCTTCAGCAGAACAAGGATGAGGTGGATACATTCTTCGAGACAGGCCAACCGAACAAGGTCCTTATGAGGTCGGTGGACAGCCAAGGGATGGAGGTTGCCTGGATGGGAGTGCCGAGCGGCCCGGAAGCATCGAGCAGTGAGCGCGAGGATCGCAAGGGCGGGGAAGTTTGGCGTGACGGTAAGGAGCAAGAGTAGAGCAAAGCCTCGTCAGGGTTCTACTCGATCGTTAATGTGCATGATTGTCTGCTGTTTGGCTTTACAGAGTCAGCGACCGTGTTAGATTGGTCAGTGGTTTTAGTATATCAGTGTCAGCTCAAAGTAATTGCTGCGGAGTCACTGGCTTGACCATGTCCGCATCAGATGGAGCAAAAAAGTCAGGCATACAACAGATCAGAGCGCTGAGGGTTGAAGCTTCGGCTTCCCACGCTTCATAAAATGAGGGATCATTGCGCGATGGCCTTCCCTTCCGCCTTGGCGAATACCTCATTGAACCCTCGTCCAATCAACATCCTCCGAATCTCCTGTGTTCCCGCACCGACTGTGTATAGCCTCGAATCACGAAGAAGCCGGCCAGCGTCGTAATCTGCCTGTATCAGCCCAGTCCTCCGACCAGTGCATGTCAGTCAATAATCGTTCTCACCATTAATGTAGCCATTTCCACCCTGAAAATCAGCTGAAGCACTCTCGACGTGTAAGTGCCACTCACGAGACATTGCTGAGCCTCCATCGAGACCTCTACAGCCCGATCCGACGAGTACAAAATCGATCCTGCGCAATCCTGCCGATCAGCACGATTCTTCAATCTACCGAAGACCAAAACCCCACTGACCTGTCTTGACACATTGCCTGCATCACATGCCCGTGCCACCGCATACGTGTACGCCCTAGACGCCGACAGCTTGGTATACATATCTTGCTAGTCAGCTGTGGCCAAGACGATGAATGCCAATGACTCCTCACCGGCCAGCTTGCCCTGCATCAGCTGCATGGTCGCTATTGGTTTCCCAAATTGATAGCGTTCGTGGGTGTACTCGAGGGTGAGGTCCATAGCTGCCTGCATAATACTTGACCGTCAGCTCTCCTTCCCACACACCGGTGCTGAGGTATGCGTGGCGATGCAAGCTCACCCTAATGGTCCACCTGAAAGAACCAAACGCTCCAGGTCAAGACCCGACATGAGTACCGCAGCTCCCTTGCCGACCTCGCCAAGGACATTCTCTGCGTCGTCAGTCAAGATCGCCCACAATACACGCGGAGATGTAGCTGACCTTCTGGTATCTCAACATTATCAAAGAAGATCTCAGCGGTCGGACTTCCCCTCATCTACACGATCAGCTCGAATCACTTCCCCCTACAGCCACACTCACTCCGAATTTGTCCAGCTTCTCTCCGACCTCGAACCCCTTGAACCCCCTCTCCACCAAGAACGCGGTGATGCCCTTACTTGGCGGTCCCTCCTTGTTGGTCCGAGCGTACACGATGAAGGTTGACGATATTGGGGCATTCGTGATCCTGTACCGCGTCAGCTCTTCCATCATACCATGATCCTGGAACGGGCCCCCTAAGCTCACCAGCATTTACTCCCATTCAGTACCCACACGCCATCCCGCTTCTCCGCTTTCGTCTTCATACTGACAACGTCTGACCCGGCGTTCGGCTCGGACATGGCTAAGGAGCCGACGTGTTCGCCTGTAAGGAGTTTGGGGAGGTATTTGTCGAGCTGCGTCGGTGCTGGACGGTCAGCTTTAGTTCCTGCTCGCGTTCCCTGCCGGCAGGAGGGAGGAGGGAGATAACTTACTACCCCATCGCTTAAGCTGATTGACCATCAAGTTTGAGTGCGCCTATACATCAGCTTCAGCTCGGGATCACGAGCGAGGTAGCTCACCCCATAACTCAGCGCGATCGATGCGGACGCCCGACTCAATTCTGCCTCGTCAGCTCAGTCCAAAACTCCGCCTACCATCGGCCGAGAAGCCAAGGTCACTTACCTTCCATAGCCACCGTATGCTCCAGATATCCCAGCCCCAATCCTCCCATCTTCTCTGGTACAGTGACACCGAGGAGGCCCATCTCGCCCATCTTAGGGAAGAGGTCCTGGCTATCAGCTCACCGCTCCGATCGAGACGGAATGACCGTCAAGCCGGTTATGGTATCTCGCCTGAAGACGAGACTGACCTCGGGCATCTGGTTCGTCTTGTCAATAGAAGCTGCCCTAGGAGCTATTTCCTTCTGTGCAAAGTCCGATACGACCTGTCTGAACTGCCTTGATCAGCTCTTTGTCTCTTTACCCGAATGAGTCGAGTATACCTCTTCTTGCTCCGGAGTCAGGCCCGCGACGGCGGCATTGTATGAAGTATACTCTCGCCGCCCAGTTACCAGGACATGTCTGAGTCGGGACTGAGGACATCAGTACACGCAGTCAGTGGCGCCCGTTGGCGCGGAAGCCAGCGAGATGACAACTCACACTGCCAGCGACGGCGGTCTTGATCGCTCGCGCGGGAATCGTGCGGATTGACATGGCTACTTTTGTTCAAGGAGTAGATCAGTATCGATGAGTGAGTTGCTGCTGGGTCTAAGGTGTTTCCCCAAGGTACAGATCCGAATAGCAAGCGCGATGCTGAGCGAGAGTGAGCAAGTGAAGTGGACCACCCGGGTATGGCAAGCTCCGGCCGGCTCTCGGCGCGCGGCTCCCGGACGCGTCGAGCGGACATCACCGGATCACCGGCACCGCGCTTCAGCTCCCTCATCGAGCAAGCGTCAGAGAGCGAGGTGAGCCGGTGGAAGTGCAACGTACAGACTGGTCGCGGTTGAGCGCATTCATCCCAAAATATGAACCCTACCAAGGCTTGACAGATGCTAACAACGTTTCCGAACTCTACTCTAGGCGAAATCCGAAAGAAAATTGCGGTATGGGATGGTAGGGGGTGTATCTATGAAAGGCCGGAATGAATAATGCGAGTGGGTATACCTATACTTGACGAGTCTCTATCTATATATTGTCGGATGTGGTGGGAGATTAGGTATACAAGGATGGGCGTATGAGAATGTGGGGTTTGGGTCGTGATCTATGCTATTGTTTTTGGTTGTTGGGGGTGGGGGAGGAACGGGGGGACGAGGTGGAGCTCGTCGGTGGGATCCTGGTGGATGACCCTAATGGGGAGCGGAGGGGGAAGAGGGGAAGGGATCGGCCGAAACCGCTCAAAACTTGAGCGACTTGGGCTTCTCCCAGTTGTACGCCTCGTTACCGAAGTGACCGTACGAGGCCGTCTTGAGGTAGATGGGCTTCTGGAGGTCGAGCTCACGCACTGACAGTCAGCATTTGCCAATTGACCAGACTAGACTGTACTTACCGATGACTCCCGGACGGAGGTCCCAGTTCTTGCGGATGATATCCACGAGGTCGGCATCGCTCTTCGAGCCGGTTCCGTACGAGTCGACGTAGATGGAGAGGGGCTCTGCGACACCGATGGCGTACGAGAGCTGGACAAGGGCGCGCTTGGCGAGGCCAGCAGCGACGAGGGACTTGGCGATCCACCGGGCAGTGTAGGCGGCCGATCGGTCGACCTTGGACCAGTCCTTTCCGGAGAAGGCACCACCACCGTGGGCTCCCCAACCACCGTACGTGTCGACGATGATCTTACGGCCGGTAAGACCGGCATCACCCTGGGGACCACCGATAACGAAACGGCCGGAGGGCTGGATGTGGAGGATGGTCTTGTCGTCAAGCATGTTCTTGGGGATAACCTTCTTGACAATCTTCTCGATGAGCTCCGTGCGGAGGTCCTCGGTGGAGATCTCCTCGGCGTGCTGGGTGGAGATGACGACAGTGTCGACACGGAGGGGAACGACGGATCCGTCAGACTCCTTCTTGTACTCGACAGTGACCTGGGTCTTGGAGTCGGGGCGGAGCCAGCCGAGCGAGCCATCACGACGGGCAGCGGCCATAGCAGAGTTGAGCTTGTGGGCAAGGGTGATGGTGAGGGGCATCATCTCGGGGGTCTCGTCGGTAGCGTAGCCGAACCTGGTCGTCAGCTCTGGCCGAACATACACGGCTACCAGCTCACATGATACCCTGGTCACCGGCACCGTGGCTCTCCAAGTTTCCGTGGTCGAGACCCTGGGCGATATCGGGCGACTGCTGCTCGATAGCGACCAAGACGTTGCAGGTCTTGTAGTCGAAGCCCTTGTCGGACGAGTCGTACCCGATCTGCTTGATGGTGTTACGGACGACGGCCTGGAAGTCGATGTTGGCACGGGTCGAGATTTCACCGAAGACCTAAGAGTCAGCTAGCGTTCCTCACCGTGGAAGATCAGGCTCACCATGATCATACCGGTCTTGGCAGCGGTCTCGCAGGCGACCTTGGAGAAGGGATCCTGATTGATCAGCTTCTGTGACAGGATCGTCCACGGCTGAGGAAGCTTACCTGAGCGAGGCAGGCATCGAGGATGGCGTCCGAAACCTGGTCACAGATCTTGTCCGGGTGACCCTCACCGACCGACTCGGAGGTGAAGAGGAAGCTGTCATGTCAGCGTGATGCAGAAAAGAACCAGCTTCCTCAAGGCCCCCTTTGCATCGCCATCCCGCCCAGATCACTCGGAGTGACTAGGAGATCGGCTGGCCAGTCACCAGCACCCCTCTGCGAAGCGCCATCACCCCATCAACCCCGCAGAAGCAGCAACGTGCGCTCTCCCCAAACTTTTTCCCTGACCCCCAATCGCCAGCTGAAGCAGGACTTACTGCCCGGGAGCGAGCTCGTGAGACGAAGAGTTGCCGTTAGCTGCGATGGCCATTGTGACTGCGTGTTTAGGAGGATAGGTAAGTAGAGGTAAGGAGGGTATAAGAGAAGTAGATATGATGGAGGTGAAGGGGTTGGGGGTTGTGCCAAAAAGTCCGAGCGTTGGCAGCTGCTTGCTTCGGTGGATGGGCCGATGGCGTGCCGTGTCGCCGTAAGACCCTGAAAAAATTGAAAACAGACGCACGGACTGTGCAGGCACGGAGATTGGCTCACTAACCGTCCCTATTGGGGTGGCGGGTGGCGGCGAGGGGTGGGTAGCGTGCTGTCCACGCTCTATGTCACTTGTTACAGCCTCGCGTGAGCCTGTCACGATCGTACGGAGCGAGTAATAGAGAAGTGTTGCATCTGACAAAAAAAGTCCTCCGATAATTCTCGACTGCATTGGGCTAGTCGAGGTCTGCACCCTCCGGAGCATACTGCAGCCCGCCCGAGTCCCTCATCCTGTTCTTGTACTTGGCGTAGGACCTCTCCGTGGGCTATATCGTCAGTCGTTCCCTCGACGGTGACCAGTCTACACGTACGGGCAAGTAAGGAAGACCAAGCTTTTCAAAGATCTCCTTCTCGTCCTTGACCAAGATCTCTGTGCCCTCCTTGATCATCGCTACCGAGTCAGCTTCGTCCCCGGCGGTAGATAGGCTGAAGGAACACTTACGGACTGTGCCGCCGATAGGGGTGGTCCTTTCGCCCATACCATACTCATTGAGCAGCCAACCCTTACTGTTCGCCTTGGACCGGACGATCTTCATCAGGAGGTCGTCACCCGAGTTGCCGAGGAGCATGTAGGGCAGTGACTGGGTGGGACAGAGGCGGATGTCCATCTGGCGGTGAGTCGAGGTGGGAGTGAGCTGGGTCAGGGCTAGGATCTTCTTCTCGCCTACGTGTATCAGCTCGGCAGGTTTTTAGATGCTGTCGTCAGACTCACCGCCAGAGAAGATCTTCACTTCGTCCAGAATCCCCGCTCTCAGCAACGCCCTCTTCACTTTGCCCATAAGACTGTCTGGTCGGATACCAGCCTTGACCTTCTCGGTATCGCGCTCGACGTAGGATCTAGGGTATCAGCTGAGTGGTCTCTGCCTAGATCGGGGAACATCAAGGAGGCAGCTTACGGGTGCCAGACCACCACATCCATATCCGAACTCAACATCTCGCCCCTCCTGTAGCTCCCCATGATCTCGAACCCGTACTCTGGATCCGCCCTCTTCAGTGCCTTGGTAATGTTGGCTCGGAACATCTCGATCTCAGCGCGAGGCATCATCTCCTCCATATCCTCGTGGTAGGTGAGAGCAAGCTACTGCATCAGCTCTGTAGCACGATGGGTGAGAGTAGGCTTACCTTCTGCGCATCGTACACCTTCCGTCCGAACTCCTTGTCCGTGGAGTTGAGCAGATCCTCATACGTCCTAGCTCCGTTCTCAACGCTGCTCATATCAGCTTCTATTCTCGCACAGCGCAGCCGAGAGCTGAACTCACTATCCCGCAGCCTTGATCTTGCCTAGCCCATGGATCCTGTTGAACTTGACGATGGCCTTTTCCTTCTCATCGAGACTCTCCAGCTCGGAGGAGAAGCCAAACTCGAGCAGCTCGCGGATGAGGCGCCAAGTCACGCCATTCTGCGCCATCAGCGATGTACAGTCGAGTGGTCAGCTTGAGATCGGCAGCCGCCGGGACCGAGGCAGACTCACCTCAAGAGATAGGACACCCTCAAGATCATTGATGCTCATCGTCTCCTTCAGCTTCCCATCCTCGCCAACAAGCGAGTATATAGCTCTCAGAGCCGCCTTGTACTCTCCAGAGTCTGGCCATTAGCAAGGACTCGGATCTAACGAGGTGTCAGGGGCTTACTCGTGTCGTTCGGCTTGATGTTACGGAGAGACTGCATCTCCCGGAGATTGTGAAGTAGCATCTTGGTCGGAAGGGTCTGCTGTCCATACTCTGCGAGATCAGCTGATTGCCCTGATCTTACCTTTGAAGTGACCCGGAAACTCACCTGGTCTATAGTCCTTGATGAGCTTGCGGTAGAACTGGTGCCCGCCCTGATAGGCCTGTAGGCTTGACACCGAGAATGACCTGCCGCTTGAGATGGTCGCGAGCGGCTTCGAGGGGAGGACGCCAATCGTCGAGCGAAGACCAGAGGAGGGAGCGGCATGGCGAGCGAGACCAAGAGGCGAGAGGCGAGCTAGGCGGAGCATCTCGCTAGGTGGATGGGCTATACACAAGCGGTGAGAGGTACTGCTGAGTTATGGGTTGAACAATGCGAAGCAAGATGAGAAGCACAAGTGAGAAGAGCGATGTCAAGAGCCATCTCATATAGCTGCCGACCCCTTCAGATGTCTGCTCGGGCTGTCGGAGGCGCTGGTGGGATAAGGTTCGAGCCTTTCACACACCCACTCCGCTCCTCCCGCTCTTTGCGCGTCCATGCCGAAACTGGAAGGTGAGTCGAGGACGATTGGACTTCCGGGATCGCGCGAACGCCGCATCGCCCTCTTGTGACTGGTATGAAAGTGCTCATGCTCGACAGCGGGTCACAGAGATGCTATTGATCAAGACGAGAGGCAGATAGTGGAAGAGAAGACGCGAGAGGAAAAGCTCCGAACACGGGGCAAATGTTTCAGCAGAGCGTTCTCGTAAAGCGCGCCGATGAGGAATGTGGCGCGTCGCGCGTCGGATTCTGCGAGACACAGAGCATTTCTGCACCATGGACACGCCTGATACTGCCTAATGGGCCGGTGGGTGGTGGTCAGACACTATTGAAGAGATTGCTATTGCTGAAAATTGTCCGTGTGTAGAAGTAGAAGCCGGAGTAAATGTTCACCGAGATGCCAAGGTTTACTGCGCGCAGCTGGCGAGCGGGCCGGCAGCAAGTTGACGATCTTGACGGGGTGGGTGAAAGGGAAGCGGGCCAGTGACCATCTCTATCCTCTTCCGTCTCGTCATACTTATCATCTACCACCATCCTGATCAAGGAACCCTACATGCTGTCCCGCGCTGTCACGCTCGGCTTTCGGGCTCTCCGACCCGCCATCCTCAAGAGCCGGCATGGTTGGATTCGTGCTTCGTCGCTCCCCGTTCCGCGGGCCTGCATTGGCGCCCGGTACATCTCTGCTACTACTGTGCCCCGCTTTGTGTCCCATGAGGACCCCAAAGACGTCGATAGCCCCGATGACGCGGCGCCAGGCGAAACCGACCCTGCGGCTACGCCGGACAATGAAATCGAAGTGTCAGAGGAAGCGAAGGAGGAGGCGGAAGTCAAGGTCATACCGCCGGCCATCCATGAACTACTCCTGGCTATTGGACCAGACTATAGATATCGTGTCCTCGATACTACCAACTTGTTGCGGACGCTCAAGGACGTACAGTCCCTCTATGGGTTCTGCAACAGGAGTACGAGTAAGTTTTGTAGTGCAAAACAACTTTACTGTGCCAAAGGAGATCGGCTCATCAACAGTCCCCGAGGAGATGAAAGCTGTCATTGTGGCGCTACACCCCCTCTGCTATCCCAGCGTCGATGCTGGCCCGAGGGAGAGCGTCAGTGTCAGGGAGATCGAGGACGTCTGGCCCCACAGAGTGGGTCAAATCCGTCCTGTATCTTCGCCTGATTCGTTTGAGTCAAAGTGGGCTGTACGCTGACTCTCCAGTAAGTGATGAGCTGGAAAGTCATCATTGACCTCATTGAGTGCGGCCAATCCAAGGAGATGCTCGCGCTTGACGATACCGAGCGTGCAGCTGTCAGCTTCAACAAGATGCTCTTTTTCGGGTCGGCCTCCGCTGGACACTGGTCAGTTGATCACCATATACCCACACTACTTTTGTGTCTCTCCAGGCTCGTCATGCGGTCAGAAGCTGATATCAAAGCGCTGATACTAGACTGGGGCTCGCACTGTCCAGGAACTCGTGGCTAATTTGGGTCGCGTGGGGGGCGGAAGCTGCAGTCGAGGCAGAAGGTGAGCATCCCCATTCCGGAACTCTTTGAGCGCAGGGAAGGGCTGATCATGTCAGTTAGCAATCAAGTATCACTCCGACATGGAAAAGATCATTCATCGCTCGGAGATCAAGGCCCTTGGAGATCGCATCGCAGACGCCCTGAGGACCTCGGACGAGCAGTACACCTGTGAATTGCTCGGCGGATACAGGCGTGGGGAAGAATACTCGCCGGTCATCAATATCATGATCTCGCGCCCGTAAGCTGCTTTGTGTATACCAGAAGGTCGGACCGCGCTCAGATCAGATCGTACGTCGTGGACGACCCATACCTGCGGACGAAGGGGATCCACCCTTTCGGTCTCATGGGTGAGATCAAGCGAGTACTCGAGGACGGCTACATGCTTCACCCGAAGAAGATCTTCACTGGAGGTGAGCATTTCGACGAGATTACCAGATCAGATGATATAGTCACTGGCGACATCCGGCTGATCAATCCAGGCGAAAAGCACATCATCGCACTCACGCGGCTTGACTCTGACTCACCTCATCGGCAGCTCAATATCCACCTCTGTCCTACTCAGTCGCTGCCCAATATGCGTCTATGGTATACCGGTGACCAGCGGCTTGTGCGATTCCTAATGTCCGAGGCTCGTCGGGGCGGGAACATGTTGAGCGAGTACGCCATTAGCGATATGAGCGGTGAGCAGAAGTCAATGCTTGTTCGTTAGCGGGGCATGACCTGACGCGCATAGGCACGGACATCATGGTCAAAGACGAGCAGGAGATTTTCCAGCTTCTTGGTGTACCTTGGCTTGAGGTGAGCAACAAAGTCGGCTCAGACTGACGTGATAGCCAACCGAGCGCTCGAATGTCAAATACGGGGATGCTCTGGCGATGTTCAACCAGGACAGATTGGACGAGGCAGTGGCACCGATGGCTTGAGGATTGCGGCTGAACCAGGCCTATTTTGCAGGTAGCTGAGGCGATAAGTAGGAGCTATCGTTGCCTAGTCAAATGATGATGATGTGAGAAAGCTGGTCAATGTTGATCAGCGCCAGGTCAATTACATGAGCCGACATCATCTGTATCTGGTCTACGCCTACTCTACACCCTCCCGCGACCCGCACAGACTCGCAGAAAGACAACAGACGCCGCCATGATATGGACGCCTAGATATCAACCTATACAATCAGCATGTCGCCAAATTAGTCGGAAGCATTGCACACGGAGTGGCCAACACTCACCGGTCCACTCTTTACATTTCCAAAATCCCACCCGCCGCATTACCACATTTGCCCGTCCGGTCGTAACCACCTTGGTGAACGATGTTTGCGGGTCCCAGTGATGCCCATACTCCTCGAGAACCCGTCTTCTGATGTCCTTCCTCAGCTTCTCCGCCTGAGCCGGACTGAGACCTCGATCCCAGTCCACTACATTGACTTCCCCTTTGGCCTCCCAAACCGGCTCCGCCTTCGTCTGCTCCGGCTCTGCCTCCGACGCGGTAGCGACAGTGGGAACGGCGTCCGCTTTCCTCTTGCCAGACTGCCCTTCAATCGCAGACACCCCTTCGCCGCCAGCACTGGGTCCCGCGATGTTCGGCTCCGGCTTGAGCGCGACGTTGATATCGTCCATTGTCGAGGGCAGCTCGTCCTCCGCACCACCCACCGCGATGTTCACCTTGTCCACCGGCTCCTCCTTGACCCGCACATTGATATCGTCGAGGGAGGCGGGTAGGGCACTCTGCTCTCGCTCGACCCTGTTCCCCTCCACCCTCTTTTGCTTCTTAGCTGCCGGCTCTTCGCCCACCTCGGCGCTGTCCGCCGGCGCGGCACCCACGGTTCCTTCTGTCTCTTCGCCTTCCGCCAACACGGGAGCGAGCGGTGTCTTCGGGACGTCGATTGTCTCCTGGATAGCGCGCATGATACGCCATTGTCTGCGCTTCGTGAAATGAAGGGTTGATTCGTCGATTTTGAGATGGGGCGCGTAGACGATCCGGGTGGTACCACCGTGTAAAGCGCAGATGGGGGTAGTGGGGAGGACATTGATTGAGGTGATCGACCGTAGCTTCTTCCACCGCCACTTTTCAGTGTTCAAGAGCTCAACAACGCCCGCTTGGTCCTTCCCCTCAGTCTCGCCCGCACCGAAATCAAGCTTGAGATGCTCGAGGGACGGGAGGTCGTGCGTCAAGACCTCCCAAAGCTCCGGATTGTAGGTCACGCCCGTTTCTTGGAAGAGTTCCGGACAGATGGTGAGCGATTCGACGAGGGGGAAGAGGCTCAGCTGCGGATCTGCCACCGCGGAGTCGAGGAGATAGTCCCGCGCCCACGCCAGCATACCAGCGACGTACTCATACGGCCCGGATTTGATGACGGGTGTTTGACGGTCCGGAAGTGACGTAGCCGACCAAGATAGATGCCGACCTCAGCTTCCGAACCGGCAGGTATGGGAGCGCCGTCGCCGCCGGTTCGGAGGATTTTGACGGCGGCGCGGAGAGCCTCGTCTATCTTCAAGTCGATGGCCTCGTTGGAGAGGTGGTGATCAATGATGAGGGTATCTGAAGCCGGTGCGTCCATGACGCCAGTGAGGGACCTCGGTGAGACGGTCGAGTGCATTTGATATTGAAGCTGCTCGGCTTGCCGCTTGATGCTGCGCACAGCTTGCTGTGATCCACGTGGCACGTGGTGAGATACGTTACGAGGAATGTGTAGTGGAAGCATCAGCGATGATCGATGATCGAATGATCGATGAGCGCGGAGAACGCCAACGGACAAGCTGCCGGTATATGAGCTGTATCAGCCTACCAGCTTCTGTAGCTGCACTCTGACAGACGGTAGGGTGTTTCAGTCTCGAGTCAAAGTTCGCACCCCGCAGAAGTTTGCACTCCACATCTGAATAGATATACCAAGCTGCGCCTCCTTGAACGACCTATGCTATCCCGCTATCCGCTTACACTCCCGCACAGTTACTCTTCGCTGGACTTCCTGCAATATCGCCTCCCCATATCTCCCATAATTCTGCTCCACGCCCTTCCTTATCTTCCCCTCCAACCATCCCGTCTCATCTGGAAGAAGTCCCGTCTCGCTTAGTCCTGCGTCGATATCCTCCATCACCACTGTACCATGTACCTGCTCCGGGCCTGGCTTGCCTATCTCCGTCCGTCGCTCCTTCCCTTCGCCATCCACCTGGTCCGCCAATTCCCCTTTGGCTTTCGGTCCGGCAAAGATGCAGCCCCTCGCGGGAGCAACATGGACCGTTCGCTCAATGACGTCCCTGATCCTATTCGCCCTATCCAGCCGCCTCGTCGGTCCTTGAATAGGCGGCTGCCCAGGCGTCATACGCGACTGCCACCCCATCTCGGGCCACCTCGTGCCCGATGGCGCAAAAGTCACGCGGACTTCACCGCCCGATAACGCCGGGATCCACTGGTGATCCGAGATGCCCGAGATATCGAGGACTTGGAGGTGGCGCCATGATTGATTACGACCGTACGAGATGTATTCAGTGAAGTTCATCTGGGGATGGCTGTTTTCCTCCGCCTTGGGGTCAAAGGCGACGTTGAGAGTGTGGAGGTTGGGGAGCGAGCGGGCAAGAGTGGAGAAGAAGGGCTGGAGTAGGAGGGGACGGGTATGGTGGAAGGCTCCTGGGAGGATCTCGAGAGTCTCCGCGCTGGCAAAGAGGTAGACCTTATCCGTGACCGCTGCTTCCGCGGGGTGCGATGAGGTCCGGGCGGAGAGGTGGGCGATGACCTGGCCGAGGAATGTGGTGATGACCGTCTCTGGTGCGGACTCGACCACGATACGCTTGACTGCTTGAAGAGCTTGCAGCCGGCCAAGGTAAATGGAGACCGTAGGGTCCGACCCGGGAGGTATTGCGGGGTTGTCGCCACCCGACCGTAGGAGGTCGACGGCGAGGCGGAGGGTTGCTGTGCCCACGCCCGTCTCGCCGAAGCGGATCACCTCGTTATCGCGGTCTTTGCCGATGATGAGTGTATGAGAGTTCGCTTCTGTCATTGTAGGATTTATCGTAACTGCATGTAGAGGTACGAAGGATGAAGCTGTGTTGCTCAGCGCTCCGTGGAAAGAGAAATGCCATCTTGGCACGCACGGACGTCAGCATTCCTCACAGCTGGCCAGCAAAGGAGACAGCGCTGCAAGGACCCAACCCTCCATCACACCTCAATCTCCAAAACCTTGCCTCCGAAAGCAGATACGAAGACAGTCATAAGCTAAATCTGGACTTCTTGCAATATATAACCCTCCCCCGACTCTCCCCCCGGAAAAATCAGCACACCGCACTATGACGCGAGCAACGCGCCAGCTCACAGTCGCCATCCCCCTCGTCCTCCTCTACCTCCTCATGCTCCTTGGCGTGCTCCCCGCCCCTGTCGTATCAGAGCAGACCGCGTCAGCTATATTACCAGTCGTAAGTGATACGTTTCCTCGGTCTTACTACTACGTAGGAGGGATTTGTAGCTGATCACATATTCTTTCAACTCCTCCTCCCACCGGAACCTCTATACCTCACTCCTACTCCCCGCATCACTCAACCTGAAATCACCTCGACAGATCCCCTTCTGGCTCCTCGTGTCATTCGGTGCCTACTCCCTCTCGTCCCTCGGTCTCGGCCTCTTACGGTTCCGCGACTGTCCCGAGGCGTACGAGAGTCTACTGGCGGAGATCTCGCAGGCGAAGAACGAGCTGAGGGATAAGGGTGTTAGTGTGGACTAGGAGCTATGGGGGAGCAGAAAGACGTATGCAGCGTATGTTTTCTGAGAGGCACTGGGGCACGCAAAAAGAAGCCTGAGAATACTGGTACATGGTGTATGGGTAGGTGTACAAGAGAGTCCAGCCGGCCGGCTATGAGCTGAGCAGCTCTGCCATCTCTTTCCGCATCCGCTCTGACTCTGCTTCGTCCTCGTCCTCGTCCACCTTTTGAGCCTGTCCGTTAGCCCGAGCCAGCCATGCCCCACACTCCGAGAGGGGCGCAGGGACAAAGAGAAGACGTACAGGTAATGCCCCACCGACACGCCCAGCCTGCCCCAGCTTCCCATCTGTCAACTCAAACAGCACCTTATCTACCTCCTCATCTGCTTCCTGTTCCAGCTCCTCATCGTCATTGACCGAGTCGAGCGTTTCTTCCATCATCTCTTCCATGATCCCAGACTTGTAGGTCAGCTTGAGGCCTATCGACGGACATGTCTCCAGAGCCAAGGGCTCACCTTCATCATCTCCATGCTCATCTCGCGCATCGTAGCGTTCAGCTGAGGGAGTTTGATGAGCTGGTTGGTGGTCTTCATGATCTCGGTGGACTTCTGGAACGCCCCAGTGACTTTGACCATAGCTGCGATAAGATCAGTATCTCCTCCCATGATCTAAAGCAGCTAGCCAGGTACTGCGACCTCTCAGCACCAAGGTGGACTCACATAGCTGATGCTGTAGCTGCATCTGTATGCTCTTCATCCTCGCCTGACTCGACATCAACCGGTCCTTCTGCTTGTTCGCGCGTACCACCTCCCGGGCTAGTATCCGCGCAGACTTGACGTCTCCCTTCTTGGCCAGTATCTTCAGCTCCGAGCGTGACTTCTGGGTCTGCCTATCCAGCTGGAACGTATGAGCTCGCTTCCCATTCACGCCGAGACCCATTCTCCAGCTCACATTCAAAGCCTCCCTTTCTAGTTGTCTTTCTTCCTGTCGCAGCTTCTGCTGCCATGCTCGGACTTTCTCTTCTGGGGTTGGTCCGTACACCCATCGATTGATAGACTTCATAGTTGATGGCTGAAAGGAGCGGAGATAGAACGTCGAATGTCAACGTTGTCGCGGACGGAAGGATCCCGCTGATCGAGTAGATTTCGTTCCTCTTCTGATGATTCCTCTCTAATCCTTGATATGCGATTCAGTGAGAAAGGGTCGGGGAGAAGAAGCTTGGGTGATATAGGATGATATAAGTCAGATGTCAACAGTGCATAGCATAGGTGGCAAGCTCGAGCTCTTTACCCCTCCGTCATCGATCCGGCCATCGCCGACGTGACGGACGCGAAGCTCCTGTTGACGAAGCTCACCATCAACTTTCTTTCTACACCAGACATATCATGTCATGAGCTCAGGATGTGGCTCTTGACAGTCATAGGGGCTGTACATGGGCAGCTCAGTAAGCTGTCTTTCTCACCAACGACCCGCTGAATCTGGAGTTAGGGCTCACGAGCCAGACTTCACCTTCGCCCTCGAGCAGGACAAGACCTACTCTATCGGCAAGCATGCGAAGTGCGACATCGTCGTAGCGGACAAGCGGATCCGGAATAAGGCTGGGGAGATAGTGGTCGGAGATTGGAATCCGCTCTATGTGCGTCCCTCTTTCCTCCTCCGGACCCTGCGCAGCTGACTCTGCAGCGCACCACACCGCCCAGAATCACCTTCAAGGTCGAGCCGAAATTGAACGGCGCGTTTCCAGCGTTCGAGACCCTCACGCCTGTCGAAGGCTGCGTAGGGTCGCTCGATTTGGAAGACTATGAGATTGTCACGGTAGATAGGCAGGGCGTCGAGCTGTCTGATCCGGACTATCCCGGACTGGGGGCGAGGTTGGAACAAGGGACCAATGGTGGGACGGGACTCTGGTTCTTGTGAGTATGGGCACGGGCGATTCAATTAAGAAGTAGCTGACTGGACAGTGCGCAGTGGAAGGACATGTTTATTCAGTATGACGGCCTGAAGGACTGCTCAGACGCTGAGGATCTCAAGGCGACAATGCTGAAGTATTGTACGTTATTCGAAATTCGAGCCCGGTCTAGCTGATGCAGACAGGTATCCCATGGTCACCGACATTTGACATCGAGACCGACCGTGCTGCATCAGCCCACCCCGACTCCGTATGGACACCCCCAACTTACGTCCTCTCGCCAACGTATCAGGCCTCGCAGTCCTGCAGCTACGCCGTCTGCTATGGCGTCCGTATCCTCACGCCCACGTACCTCCGCGCTCTCCTCGGTGCCATCGCATCGAGCTGGAAACAGGTCGCGGACAGCCAAGACAGCTTTACATTCCCGAACGAGCTCGCCGAAGAGTTTCAACCGGACTTTGACGCCAAGCTGCAAAAGTATCGACGGGGCAAGCCAGACAACCCATTTGGTGCTTGGCTACCAGATCCTACGCGGCGACAGATGTTCGCAGGTTGGAATATCCTGTTGTTGCGAGGAGATGTTGTGCGTGTGACACATTCCAAAAGGCAGCTCCAAGAGCTGACATAAACAGGCTCCTCTCGAGAGACGGTGGCTCAGAGCTATGGGTGCAACGGTCGAAGAGCTCAACATCATTACGAAACCTCTTCTATCGTCCAAAGACTTCACATCGCGGATCGCAGATTGGGTCCAAGAACTCGATGCGACAGTGGGCCGACAGAGGGGGATGATACTTCACTGCGGTACTGTCAAGGAAAACTGCGCCAAGTTGAAAGTCAATTTTGACAGCGTCATAGCCGCTCCCTTGAAAAAGTAGGCTTCCCGTTTCTACCTTGTCATTTGCTATAGCTGATCTCTCAGCCTCGGTATCGTCTTTGCTGGTGGTAATCTCTGCTGGAATGCCGTCACTGAGGGGAGCGTGCAGGGCTACTTGGACAGAACCAACCCCGGTCGTCCCTCAGCTGGTCCCAGTGAGGCTGCCCGTAAGTCTGCCAGACCATGTAAGGTGGCTGCCAGCTAACTCTCAGCGCCTGTCGCTGCTCGGCGCTCCAAATCTCCCGAGAAGCCACGACAGCCCCCGCCTGAAGCAGCACCCGTCACCCAGCCCTCGCAGCCAGTCAAGATCCCCTCGACCTACCCTGACGAGTCGTCCGGTCCTCCTCAAGCTGGACCAAGCAACTCAGCTCAGCCTGCCGAAACAACAAACGGCGGTGCGCCTGCTCCTGAGTCGACTGCTCCTGCCCGAAAGGTGAGCGCATTGAGGGATGTCTCCGATCTTGGCTGATCAAGTAGGGGCCACTCCGAAGACGAGCGAGAACGGAGATTGACTTGTTTGACGATCTCTCCCCTTCATCATCGGTGAATCTCACACCGCCGGACACGGGAGGCTCTGCTCCGAGGAATGAGACCATACCTCTCCCCTCTGCCGCTCAGCGGCCTGTCGATTCGCAAAGCTTGGTAGGTTGACTCCTGCAAGACTGCGGATACAGCTGACTCATAGATGCCTCCTCCTATCCAGTCCGGTCCACCCAAAGTGTCCCGCCTGAAACGTCGAGCTGCCGAGACACCCTCCCTTTTTGACTATGACGACCGCGCGACCCGCGAGACGCAAGCGAGCCGGACCCAGGAGACTCCAAAGGAGATCCGGGACCTGTACGAAGCGACCAAGCGGGGCGATGATGTTCCGTCACTCTCGAAAAGGAGCCGGGTGGTCTCTGCCGGTTCTGCACGAGGAACAGACGACGACAGCCTCAGCTCTGCTATCGCGCCGGCTAGTCCGCCATCAGAAGGATCGCGGGCGAGGCGACCGATCGTTGTTGATGGGGATGGGGATGGGGATGTGGAGATGGAGGAAGAAGAAGCGCCGGAGCACGAGGATTTTGTTCAGAAGACATTGAGAAGGGCAGCGGCGAATCGGAAAGCGGGTCGGACGCAGTCAGCCCTCCAAACCGACCGAGATCGGGATCGGGCGAGTATGCCACCTCCGTCCCTCGTCCCTGCTCAACGGAGGCGGTCCCCCTCAGAGGAGGTCGAAACCGTCGAACCTGCCCAGTCTAAGCGTGCCCGTCTCGCCTCGCCCGAAAAGCCTGCCGCCGCCGCGACGACCAAGAAGTCCAAAGCCAAAGCAGGCGGGAAGGGCGACAAGGAATCCAAATCCAACGAACCCACCACCGACCCCGCCTTCCTCCTCGCCGTCTCGAAGTCCCGCTCCAAAAAAGCCATCGACGAGATGGACAAGGAGTTCAATAATCTCAAGATCCCGAAAGCGGCTCTGAGGGGTAAACAGCCACAGCAGGTGGATCTGGAGAAGATGTATGTCCCGCCGGACTATGGGATTGTGGAGGGATTCGGGGATGATATGCGTGGGAACTTTATACAGGTCGTCAGGAAGGATTTGTTCAGGAAGGACGGGGGGCTGAAGGTAGTGGAGAGGACGGATGATGGGAAGCCGAATTATAAGAAGTTCAAGAAGGTGAGCTGAGAGTTATGTGGTCGCGCGGTACTCGAGCTGATGCGGTACAGAAGGAGATTATCAGGAGGGAACCGTTACCGCTGGTCCTTGTAGGACCTACCAATATGGACGAGGACGATATTGGCGAGGGTGAGCTATGTTGTTCCCGATGCATATGGCGAGGACAAGCTGATATCTCTAGCATACTGGCCAGGCGCAACCGGCAGACCCAAATCCCAGTACTCTCAGTCCCAAGCCCTCAACGGTGAAAACCAAGACGAACTCCCTCTCCTCCCTCGCGCCCGAAATCGCCGCCTTCTCGCCGAAGACGACGAGGACGAGGACGAGGACGGACCCGGCCCGCTTCCCATGGCATCAACGAATCGGCGTCGCGGGGTCGACACCCAAGCCTCCTCCTCCGCTCTCCCCGCTCGGCAAGCACAACGCAGGGGAACGCGGGCATCGAGCGTCATTAGCGAGGCGGGTTCGGTCGGCTCAGCTGCGCCGCCTGCTCGGGGCCGAGCTGCCGCCAAGCCGAAGCCCGCGGCGACCTCGAGGGGCGGAAAGAAGCCGCCGACTCTTCTGGAAGAAAGCGATGAGGAGGAGGGAGTGATGTTTTCTGCGTCAAACTCGGGGGCGACTCGGGCGGCGACGGGCACGGGGACGGGGACGGGTAGTAGTCGGCGGACGAGAGGGGATGATGCTTCGGCCTCGGCCTCGGCGTCGGCGTCAGCTTCGGTGTCGGCGACTGGGAGAGTGGGGAAGGCGGCGCAAGCTAGCAGTAGCGTGACGGTGGGGAGGAGGAAGCTGCTCGTTGAGGAAGATGATGAGGATGATTCTGGACCTGTGAGCTTTGCAGGCCTTAGCTTTGATATGCCGGGCACAAGCTGACACGTCAGGTAATTAAAGCTGCAACGAAGAAAAGGCGGATAGGATAGGATCGACCAAGGCATAGACGCCTCTGCATATAGCAATACGCATAACCATGCACGACTGACAGTCAGCTCACTTCATGCTGATGGGGCTGATTGTCATCGCTGGCCATGTCGACTGGTCCTCTTTCAAGCTGCAGACTGACGAATGGGGAGTCATGGTTCGGAGACGAGGGAATGGATCTGGCGCGGAAAGCTTTCTTCGGTGGGGCGGCGCAGGGATGCTAGGTCTCTGGACGTGAGCAGTGCAGGGATGGGAGAGAAGGAGTGCTGGAGCAGCTGGGGGAGGCTGGAGTCGCTGCTCGGGCAACGGGGGGACCACGGGATACCAAGATACAGGGGCTCATTTGGTGAGTACGTCCACAGCTCCTTTCGGCGGGGATGTAAAGGAGAAGCTAATGTTTAGGTTGATCTACGCACAAAGCACCGCTGGTTCAGCTGGATGGGTCCTACCGAGATATCCTTGGGAGATCAATATCCTGCAGGACCTGTGCTAGGCCACCACCGGCCCTCGTCCGGCGCATTCATCAATCGCATCAGTCCCGCCGGCATCCCTCCATCCATCATCCCCGCACATTTACCAACATCGTCTAACGTATCCTTCCGGTGGAATAGTACTTCCCAGGCATACGTCCTCGATGCCGCTGGCCTCCAGCTCCCGGGCTCAGAGAAGGAGAGCGGTATGAGCAGACTTCCGTGCAGGACCATTGATGCGTCCGGACAGGGCTGGACAGGGGGCGGGCAGGATGGGAATATTGAGGAGGCGGATGGTCAGCGTGTACTAGCGCCATGAGGTCCACAGGGACGGGTGAGACGTGGACATGGGCTGACTTAGAGTATAATGGAGATTGTACTGTGTGGGTAGCCCGAGGGTCATAGTACGGACGGGGCATCCTCAGCCTGCATTCAGGTGCCTGCTTGCTTGTGCTTCACAATCGTTAAATGTCTTTACATTGTCTGGTCTAAGCTACGTCATCTATCTGTATATACAAGGTCAAGCTAGCTCATCGCGTCCTGAGACCATGGGATGCGTCTTCCCAGAGCCACCCTCTCCTCCCTGCTGTACGCACCGCCCCCTCCCCAAAAGCCTCCTCTCGTCCCGCTCTCCCTACCACGCACTCTGCTGCTCCCTCTTTCGCCTCCCCAGAATGACCCACACCCCGACATCCCTCAAACCCTGCACCGCATACTCAGCCACCACCCCCGCCGCCATTCCAGCATCCATCACGCTCGTATCGATCTCGTACTCGCCCACCACCTTCCCTTCGCCTATGCCCGCACCCCTGGGTCCGCCCGTCAGCCTCAACACCTCATCGTCCATCTTCATCTCCATCAGACTCGCCTCGTCCGATATAGTGCCTCGGGCATGACGGGTCGCCTGGTCGCTGAGCACGCGGGCGACATGGACGGGCGTCGCGCACGTGAGGATGATGTGCATGATCGCGAAGGTCTTGTGGAGGGCGAGGATGGGTGCTAGGAGGGGCCGAGAGGAGTGGGAGAGGGTCGTTGGGAGGATGTAGATGGGCGTGCCGGGGATAGGAGGATGGAGGGAGGAGAGAAGAGTGCTTGTCTGCACTTCAGCGGAGGGGGCGGGTAGGAGGCATACCATTGCCGCTCGGACTTGCTTGTACCGCTCCGTGCCTTCCTCATGAATGGCCGAGACCGCCTGATTGAGGGGATGAATGTCCAATACCTTCGCATTGGGGAGTAGCTCGCTATGCGTCTCAGCGACTATCAAGGGTAAACGTCTGTGCAGACACTCACACCAACGCCTTGGCGACGGTCAGCTTCCCAACTCCGGGATAGCCATTGATGATGATGATCACGCCCGCCATGCTGGATGTGTCAGCCATCTTGACTATCTTGCCCACCGCTGCAGTGCGTCGTATAACGCTCGAAGGATGTGGTCCGCAAAAGGAAGACTGAAGGCCGAAGCTCGGGCCTAGGAATCGATCACTCACCTGCTTTTGCCCGCAAACATGCTGTCCTTATGGGCTCCGAACGCGGAGATATCAAAGGATGTGTGTAATCGAGCTGAAGGGTGCCTAGAAGCTGCCCTGGAGTGATCGTGATGTCAAGGCGGAGTGGAGGAATTGGGTGATGGAGGAATGAGGAGATCAAGCGGGAAATCTGCCCTCATCTCGACCGTCAGACGCGACTCCCCCTCCGTTCCGGCATAGCAAGACATTGATGTCTCACCGCTCGCAGGATGACATGAAGTGCGGATCATGAAGCGCGCTATCACTCGAAGGACCTGTCTTGTATTAGTAGGGTTGCTCAGATAGGCTCTCAGGCACCCGCGGGCGGCATTCCCGTCAAGCTCGGACCCCACACAGCTCCCCACACCCACTCAAGACCCGCTGCCGCACGCGGCGCCGCCGCTGCTGACGTGTTTCAGCGCGTTTCAGAGTTCGGACTGCCTCGGAATCCGGACCCGACCGGAATGGACCGGAATTCCGATAAGCTGAGGATGCCGTTCCGTCCCGTAATTCGGCCGAGATGGATCAGCATGATGACGTTCGGGTCATCATCGCGAGCGCGAACAAAGTGGAGGAGAAATTCGTCTTGAAGCTTTGTTTGTACCACTTGTCTTGCTCAGCCTTGCCACCTCTTGCCTACCTCTCAGAAGAAGGATCCTCTCACTCCACTACAACCACATCAAGTAAATATCAATAACCGACCAAAATGCCTGGCCACTTTGAAGAAGTCCGAAAGGTAAGTCCACCGCGCATTTACGAATCTGCCCCGGCATTCCTCGCTGACATATCAGACCACCGGTCTCAAGAAAGACGACCAAGGAGCCTACACCCAAGCGGTCTACAAGGGAGGATTGCAGGGTACCGCTCTCGCTGCGGGCCTCACGATTCCGCTTCACCTCTTCCTCCGCCGCAGGCCGCAGTACAACGCCATCCCGGTGACCCTTAAAGCGCTCGGCTATGTCGTGTTGACTATACCGTGCATCTCGATCGCAGCGGAGAAGGCGGGCGAGGCGTTCATTAGGAGTACATGGACGGGAACGGGAAAGAATGAGTTGGATAGGGACGCACAGAGGGCGGCGATGAGGTGGGACTCGCTCGGGACGTGGCAGAAGGCTCAGGATTGGGGATCGAGACATAAGTGGGGGTTGATCGGGGCTGCGTGAGTTGAACGTCCCGATCAAGTGGCCAGAGGGGATAGATGCTGACTTCCCAGATGGGCAGGCTCAATGGGTATCTCGTTCGCCTTGGTAGCAAGGACCCCGCAGACCTTCTCTCAAAAGGTGTGTCATTCGATCATTTCAGAAGCTCAAGCTGACCACATAGCTCGTGCAAGCACGTATGTGGGCACAAGGCCTGACAGTCGGCACCCTCATCTCCTCGGCACTCATCGCGGGTGTGACTACTACCGACAACAAGGTGGTTGAAGGGAAGATCGACCACTCGTGGGCCGACATTCTCGGTAAGTCCATATCATCCGATCAGTATGACAAGGGGACAGCAGCTGATCTCTGCAGAACAAGAGGGACAGATGAAGAGGTCTGACCTGGACAGGATCAGGGGCACGGTCGAGAAGAGCAGAGGATAGATGTAGCTCATGCAGACCTGTTCGATACTCTAGCGGCGAAGAAACGAATATCAGCGACCGGACACGAGCTCCGAACTTCTGTGACACATCTATCACTCATCCCCTATGACTCCTCATGGCAAGTAATCGATTCCTAGAAGTATGACACTCAGACAGTATGACACTCAGACTGGCGGCCCGTCCAACTTCTCATCCCCGACCATCCCGGAGCACACCGCCCCTACAACCGCAAACACCGCCGCGAACACCGCCAAGATAACCCAGCTCAACCTCCATCTTCCCTTTCCAGTATGCCTTCCTCCCTCCTCGAACACTGCACCTGGTGTCGTCCGGCGCCAGCCAAACACCCTAGCTCCGGACAGAATAGGCAAGAGCACTAGAGTGATGGCACCAAAGTAACAACCCTGAAATCCCTGGATCGACTCAAAGTGGCGTACGAAGAGGGAGCAGACGGTGAGTCCACCGAGAAGTGCGAGACGGATAAGCGGGCGAAGGAAGGTCTTGAGGGGTTCTGATGGGGTGTATCGAGAGACTGGGCGGAGTGGAGTGCGGTTTCCAAGCTCAGGGTGAGAGATATCAAGGGTGGTCAGAGGGCTGGAGGGATGAAGACGGAGGATAGAGAAGATCGTGTCGCTCAGCTGAATCGTAAGCTACGTTTCTGATCGCTTGATCAAAGGTGGCAAACTTACAGGGCGGATACCAAGGGGAATCTTAGTCAGTGGCGTCAGGCACACCATCCAGACCGCAATCTGCCGTAGAGCCTGGGGCGTCTGACCATAATGTACGAGATCTTTGCTGACCTGATCGTCAGCCTGGACCCTCGACCAGAGAACAGGGAGCTCACCGCATCAGACACGTCGCGTCCGTACATCCGATAGCCTACACACCCGACCGTAAGGTATATGACCGTGCAGATCCCATACGAGACGTGAATGGCGTCATAGGCTTGTTGCGGGTGGGCCATATCGTAGATGAGGTTAGGGATGAGCTCGTGCCCTCCAAACTAGTGTGTCAGCTGATGAGCTATTCAGTCAAGGAATGAGCACTTACGGATGCGAGGAGAAGACCAAAGGCGACGATGGCTTTGGCGATGCCTTGCGAAGGGACGAGGTCGGTCGGTGCGGAGTGAGCGAGTGAGCCGGGGGAGGTGTCGCTGGATACATGTCAGCGCATCTTCCGAAGACGTGACGCTGGAGAGAGACGGACTCACCTAGTGATACCGGTGTATAGCAACACGCAGACAAGGGTACAAATTGCCGTGATTCCCAGGCCGGACGTAAGGGAGAGGTATCGCAATGGGACGAATGTAGTGGGCATGATCCTAGCTAGGTGTCAGCGTGTCATCCGGCTGATTGAAAGAGGAAGACCTACACGAGCAGTCCGACAATCTTCCAGTCGTTACTGCTCCGCCAGGGGAGCAACACATTCAGCGTCTCCGAGAACAGCACCATCAAGCCGACACTGCCGATCAGCACACCTCCTATACTTCGGGTTTGAGGGGACCACTCACGCCCAAGACCCCACGCCCCATAGGAACAACACGTTGACCGCCCGCCGAACATTTGGGCCAAGTCCGATACTCATGATTTCCGTAAAGTTGCGAAGACGCCGATCTTGCTCAATCACGCGGACGATGATCTTGAGGCTGGTAATCAGCACCTTGACATCGCTTAGGGAGAAGGAGGGGCAGAAGGGGGCCTGACGTGATCATTGTGACCATACATGCTGCAGCAAGGAGGAGAGGACCGATAACCCAGCCGAGGTGGGCGATGGCGATAGGGCACGAGAGGAGACCTGTACCGAGGAGATCGCCCAGCATGTTGAGAAGCTGAAGACTTCAGTATCAATCAAGTCTGACGAGCTCTTGACAGGCGTACCGTCTGGATGAAGGTGCTCTTCCCTGGCTGATAATCCTCTAGACCATCATCAGGGCGTGATATCCCCGGTGTGGGACCGGGGTTGGGTTCATCAGGCTTCCATGTCAAAGAAGCTGAAGAGCTGTGTCGGTCGGCAGAGAGGAGCGCTGTATTCTCGCCAACTGCTGTCTGGCTAGAGCCGCTCGAGCTGGATTCCCGCAGGGCCATGACAAGACTAGTAAGCGGAGCCACAGGGCGAATGAATCAAGAGGGGGATGAAGATAGATCAGAGATACTGGTATTACGATGAGTATTTTAGCATGCTTCGGCTGGAGGACGTCGTGTGTATCCCAAGCCCTCCTTTGAGCGGCTGTGGTCCAGTTTAGGTTGGCCCTCATCGCCGCGGTCATCGGACTTGCTGTTGAGACGTTGAGATTGGGCGGGCGGGAGCCTCGCATCCAGCGAACCCAATGTGCTGGTGTTCGGCATACAGAACCCATGATGATGTACACTCGGCCTTCCGCGGAGATCATTGACCTTAGCGCATCAAGGCGCGCGGGGTCGTGGCAGTCGGCGAGCAGGGTGGCTGAGGCGACTTTGGGATTTTCTGATGACATGAGGAGGTTCCTTACGCTTTGATTGTTCATGATGCAGTCTCAATGCCTTGGCTCGGTTTGCGATAGCACGGCGTCCAATCGGCGTCGTGGACGCAGGCCAGTCAGAGAAGCAAGGTAAGAAATGACAAGCTGCGCAAGGTCCTTTGAGACACCGCAACAACACATTCCTCAACTCAAACATCCACCTCTCTCTTTAGTGTACACCCATCACAACCCAGATACTCTACGTGCCCTACAGCCGCAAGCAGGGCTCATAGCAGCGATGGACGACCTCCTCGACCTCAACTTCACCTCCCCCTCTTCTACTCCCAACCACTCCTTCCGCCCTTCCTCCGCAAAACCGTCCACCTCGCTCGCATTCGACAACCTCTCGAAACCCGCCGGCATACCCAACTACTACTCCGGCACCGGTATCTCTCCCCTCCCGTCTCGCTCGCACACGCCTCAGACTGCTCCAGTACCCCAGCTGGCGCGTCTAGGTCAGCCACCAAGACCGACAAGCGGGTCTGGGGATCGCGCGGCCAAACCGTCAACTCCAGCCCTCCAACCGCCGACGGATGCGTTCAGCTCGTTGCTCTCCCTCGGACCGTCGAGTGGGAGTAATGGGAAAGAGAGTATGGCGGAGAGGGCGAGGCGGCTAGATCAGGAAAAGCGGGATAAGGAGGAAAGGGAGAAGAAGCAGTTTGATAATGGGGATTTCTGGGACAAGTTTGGCGGGGGACCGGCGAGTCAGCCGGCTAGGAGCTTGGGAGACGGTACAGGGGCAAGCAGAGCCACCGGAGGCTTTGGTGGCTTTGATGATCTGCTGCAGCCGTCTGCGTCGAGCTCGTCGACCCGGCCGGCGCCCTTCATCGCGCCGACGCCGGCTACAGCACCGCCCAAAGCGTCAAAGGGGACATTCTGGGATATGGAGGCGAGCCTTTCGTCCCCGAAACCAAGCTCAACTTCGTCCAGGGCGTCGCTTGCTCCACACGCGCCTCAGCAGATCTCAAGCAGGACGACCGCTCCTATCGACCCCTTTGACTTTGACCTGCTCGGTGGAGGGCCTTCAACATCGTCCACGAGCTCGCATCACACGGCGATCGGTCCCAGAAACGGAGCGAGCTCTCCAGCAAGGGGAGGAGGTGATGATGATGTCCTGGGAGATCTGGCCAGGCCGACACCGACAGCGAATACATCTGTGAGCTCGAAGATGCTGTTAGAGGTGCAACCGAGCTGACTATTCAGTCTCGCCCACCTCGCGTCACCACCCGCCCATCCTCTCCCCCACCTCATATCGTCGGCCAGATCGTCGAGATGGGCTTCTCTGCCGCTCAGGCTCGTGCGGCACTTGCCAAAACCCCTTCCGGGCTGGACGTGTCCGCCGCCCTCGAACTTTTACTCGGCGCGGGCACTACCTCTCAAGCGCAGGACACGGGTTCAAGCCGGGATCATCCGCCCGAGGATGAGGATGAAGAAGAGGAAGACTTTATCCAGCGCGAGCGGGAGCAGCGGGAAGAAGCCGAGCGGGAACGACGTCGAGCTCGACGGGCTGGTCCGTCTCGCGATGCCATATCCGCTCGGTCCAAGGATGAGATCCGCTCGGCCCATACATCTGGAAGAGGGACTCCGGAACTGGGGGAACAGGCGGAAAAGTATCTCGCACAGGCTAGTGAGATAGGGACGAGCGTACTGAGCAAGGCTACGTCGCTTTGGGCGACCGGGAAGGAGAAGGCGCAGAAGCTGTATGAGGAGCAGAAGAGGGCGTATGAGGCACAACAGGCGGCCAAGGAGGCTGGAGAGGCCAGGAGCGGGAGGGAAGCAAGGACAGGTGGTAGGGAAGTCAGGGATGGGAGGCCGAGGTGGATGGTAGACGCGGAGGCGAGCGGGGCCGAGGGGGAGGAAAGGGAGGAAGGGGCCGGAGGCGGTTTCAGGGACGATGATGATAGTGAGGAGGAGCTACCTGCGTCTAGGCGGAAGACTGGAGGGAACGGAGCGTCCAATGGAACGAGGAGGCCACCATCACCGCCCCAGGAGACATATCGATCTGTCAGGGAGCGCGCAGACCTGCTCTTTGCCGAAGAGACTCAGCCATACGTCCCCGCATCACGCCGAAAAACACCTACTCCCTCGGCGCCGACCTCGGTCCCATCGAGACCCGCTCGGGCTGTCACCTCTGCCCCGCCCGTACTGGTACAACGGCAGCTCGTACCCGCTTCCTCCACCGCTGTCGAACGCGCAGCCGCAGCCAAGGCGAAAGGGAACGGCCACTTCAAGCTCGGCCGCTTCTCCGAATCCCAATCATCCTACACTTCCGCAATCTCCTCTCTGCCGGAAGGCCACCTCCATCTCGTCGCACTGCACAACAATAGGGCGGCATCCCGGCTCAAGCTCGGTCAGTCGGACGGCGCGATCGAGGACTGCGGGATAGTCCTCGCTATCATCGGCCCGTCATATCACCCTTTCAAAGAGGCGCAACTCCCTCCCGAGTACGCCGACGTCAAGCTCGCCGAGTCGATGGGCAAGGCCCTGATCAAGCGGGCGCAGGCGTACGAGATGGGTGAGAAGTGGAAGAAGGCGCTAGAAGATTGGGAGAAGGTCATGGGACTCGACGCGGTATTTTTGGGAGCGGGCACAGCTGGTCAGGGGACCAAGAACATGGCGGCAGAAGGAGCGAGGCGGGCGCGGCAGATGCTGGATGGTGGTGAGCCCATCAAGGCTGCTCCTCGGCCCAATGGGAATGCCGCTCGCGTACCGCCAAAACCTGCACTCAAGCCAGCAGCTCGGTCAGCACCTTCCACCTCGGCACCCTCGACGGCGGTAAAAGAGCTTCGGCAAGCCAATGCCGCGCAGGAGAAGGAAGATGCGGAGCGGCTTCGTCTGAAAGATGCCGTCGAGTCGAAGCTCCTCGCTTGGAAGTCGGGCAAGGAAACGAATCTCCGAGCACTGATTGCGAGTTTGGATACCGTGCTTTGGGAAGGGATCATGGGTGGCGTCAAGGTGGGGATGCATGAGTTGATCACCGAAAAGCAGGTCAAGATCCGGTATATGAAGGTGATTGCTAGACTGCATCCAGATAAGGTGAGTCGGCTTATGGGTCAAGAGCTCGTGGTTCGGAGAGGAGAGTCATGCTGATCCTTGTAGTTGGATGTGAAGAGCACAACGGTCGAGCAGAGGATGTTGGCGAATGGGGCTTTTGGGACGCTGAACGAGGCGTAAGTTCCTATCAAGACCGTCGCTGATGGACAGGTGGCAAGCGTTCCAAAACGGCCCATGATCAGAGGGACATCAGTCTAGCGTTTGTAGCGATCTGCGTGATGGTCGCCGTCCTTTCACCCAGCCCAGGGGAGATGCTGATGCCTCCTTTGTTTAAGCACCGCCTGCGCTTATCACTGAACTAATCAATCGCAAGCGTGACCTTGTTCAACAGCAAAACCCACCAGAGTACCAACACTGAACACTAACGCCGATTCAAGCCAATATGCAGATTCACAACCCCTTCGGCCCTCCTGTTCCGGTCCCTCCCCCTCCACTGCCTGCCGCGTCGTTGTACACGTCCCTCATCCCCGGCCCCTTCATCCTACTCCTTCTCCTTCCCTCGATTCCGCTCTTGCTCTTCTCGATCGGCGCCCGACCGCCAGATACATCCGCCCTGCCCTTCAGTATGACCGAGGTCTTCACCACCGCAGCATTCGTCAGTATCGCGGGAGGCGTGGTGCTTGGACTGGTCGTCTGGCCCGAGATGGGCAAGGATTTTGGCGGATGGCTCGGCGCGAGTAGCGGGGCTGTGGCGCAGGGACGCGGAACCGGCGGGAGGTCGGGATGGTGGACGATGATACGGTCTGGGATGGGTGGGAAGGCGCGCTCGGCAGGTCAGGGATATATGGCGCAATCCTCTTCCCAGGCGGGTCAGGCGCAGTATCAGCAAGCTGTCGGAGTTGGGCGTAGGGTTGCTTCGGCAGCGAAGAGTGAGTGTGCGATTGGCTTGAGCTGACGAACAGTACCTAAGACGCAAGCTGGACGTGCCGCTGCAAGACTGTACGCTATCCGATCAAAGTTTATTCATCTTTACAGTCCTGCTCGAGTCCACACGCCCACCGCACTCGGCATCATCGTCCTCCTCCTCGCCGTCCTTGTCGTCGTCGCTGGTAACCTCATCAGGGGGATATACGAGCTCGACGGGACGTCACCCCCGTCCTCAAGCCAATCAAGAAGCGGCGGGAGCGGCAGACCCGAGACAGGGAGGGACGGCTCGGAACTCACCCCATGGGTCATGTCGGAAATCAAGAAACGGCAGTCCGAGCTCAAGGCGGGCAAGACGCCGGACCAGACGCTCGCTCGGTTCAAGAAGGAGGCAGAGGGGGAGAAGAAGCAGATGAGAGGGAAGTTGGAACATCTGGGTGCGGTCAAGGGGAAGGAGTATCAGGCGAAGAAGGAGAAGGAGCGGGCGGGAGAGTTGAAGATGTTGCTGAAAAGATTGGAGAAGCTGGGGTTGACGACGATAGGCGTGGAGGGCGCGGATGTCGTGAATGCTAAGGTGCCGGGCAGTGAGAAGAAGAAGGCGACAGGCGGAGAGGAAGCGGGAGACGACAGTGGGAGCAAGGAGTCAGGCGAATACGGAGACGGCGGAGCGGGAAGTGAGAAGAGGAAGTGGATTTCGTGGTACAAGAGGAGCGGGGACAAGCCGGTCAAGGAGAAGGAGAGCGTACCCTTCAGCGAGAAGTTCAAGAAGGCGCTGATCCCCGTTCCTCTGAGTTCGGTCACCGCCACCAGTGGCTTGACGAGGGAATCAGCGAGGAGGGATCGCGAGTTGCTCATGGCGGGTGGGGGACCGCCGGTGCCAGCCAGAGGTCCAGGTTGGGAGGTGGCTGATACCCCGGCGGCTGGAGCGGCTTTGGCGCAAAGTGCGAGCAATGCGGAGTCTCTGGCAGCGAGGATGAAGGCTGGGGGTTAGATTCTATACCTGACGACTTGATACCTCAGCGATGCTTGTAGCTGCATCGTCCACCACAGCACCTGCCACATCAGCTCTTCAGCTTCGGGCGCACCAGCCGATTCGGCCGATCGGCTTTGTTCGGCGATGCAGGTTACGTTACCCCGGTGGAGGTTGCCCCAGCGTGCCCCAGGGGGCCAGGACAAGCGCGTATTACTGCTCGAGTCGGCTCCTTCTCACTACTGTACATCTACAACTACAACTGTGTATAGACTGACGTGATCTCGGTAGACTCACTTGACGCGAGAAATCTGACATCCAATTCCTATCATATCGCCCTACCCATCTCCTTCCCCATCATGAGCAACGTCCACGCTGTAGCCGCCAGCGGCTTTGCCTCGGGCACGAACGAGAAGGTGAGTTATGTATCAGGGCCGACCCTCCATCATTTGTCATAGCTGAGGTATCAGTATGATCGCGTTCGCCCGTCATACCCAGCTGGATCTCTCAAGCAGGTATACGACCTCTTCCCGCAAGACGTACACGAGCGCGGACTAAAAATCCTCGAACCAGGAGCGGGGACAGGTATCTTTACGCGCCTGATGGTCGCTCCTCCCACCGACGAGTATCCCACATGGAACATCGACACCCTGGTCGCCGTTGAGCCGTCTGAGGGTATGCGAGAGGCATGGGAGAAGGGGCTGGAGAAAGTCGCGCCGGGCTCGAAGAACGCCAAGATCGTTGACGGGACATTCGATGACTTCTCCAAGGCGTCCGAGTTTGGGATCAAGGAGGGTTCGGTGGATCTGATCATCATCGCTCAGGCATGGCACTGGTGTCCGGATCACGAGGCGGCATTTGTGAGTGCAAACGAGGATGAGCTAACGCCAGACCGAAGCAGCCAAGTACCTCTCACCCAATGGCATCTTTGCCTTCATCTGGAACCTCGAGTCGGGTAGTGTTCCGTGGCAGATGCGTATCCGGGAGCTGTACCAGCCGTACGACCGAGGAACACCTCAGTACTACCGAGGCTGGTGGCGCGAGGGGTTCAAGGCGGCTGCGTTCGGCAAGAACTTCCAGGATCCCGAGGAGAAGCAGGTGTCTTGGTACCGCACGGTCGACGATCAGAGCGTGAGTTCTCGAGTTTTAGCTGTGCTAACGGGCTAGTCGATAGAGAAGATCATGACCAAGTCGTACCTCACGGAAGCCTATCTTCAGGGTGAAGAGCGTCAGAAGTTCATCAAGGACTTCCAGGCCCTACTTGACGAGGCGGAACCGGAGAAGGAGTACGTGGACAAAGAGGTATGTTGCTCGTATACAGCAATGGTGTGTGCTGATGATTCCGCAGAAGGGCACGTACAAGTGGAAGTACGATACTGACCTTGTGATTATGCGGAAGAAGTAGAAGGCTCTGCCATGCATCTAGGTTGTCCCGGGGATGGGCGGATACTGACTACAACCCGGTACTGGGAGCTCACCTGCCTCGGTTTCCCTTGCCGAGAGGCGACCACCGCAGTATTGGCAGACTAACAGCTAGGACGTGCACGCTGATCTCACCTGTTTTGCCTTATCGCACCCTGCAACACGGTCCTCTTCTGTCCGGATTGGTCGTCCGAAACCCGAACGGGTTAGGCTGCCCACACACTGCTCGCACCCAGATACTGGCGCCTAGATCGAAAGAAATCAGTCGCACTCTCTCGTCACCTCCGCTCATCATTCAGAGTCAGGCTCCGCGCCGAGTCCGCTGTGAGACGTGCCGCTCATCCGCTCCGATTTGCATCGAGAATACAAATTGTGGCGGAGCATGCCGGTGACAGTGCCCCCTCCAGGTATTCCCAACTGATCCCACCCGCTTGGCAGTCGATCAGTGATCTCATCACATACCTATAGCTCAGATGTGAGACTCGGCACCGTCGGCAGGAGACAGCCTGCCTGCTCTCATGGGGATATCAAGACTAGTATAAGGTGAGACACTATCGGTGACAACGACCGGAAGTCTCAAGAGGATCTGAGCCATTGCCGCTTGTAGACGGTTACTAGCCTGGCGCTCCTCACATGCTCTAGCGTTCTTCCGACGTTATCGGTGACTAGTACCGGAGGTCTCAAGTGATCGCCGCTGGCACTGCGCTCTTAGGCTCCCTTGCATATGGCTGAGACCAGCCTTGCCAGGAGGAGCGCATCAAGGGCTCCGAAGCAGCTTCAAGTAATAGGGATAGACATAATTCCGGCCCAGGCACCTCTTGGCTGGCCGCAAAGAAGCTAGAAGCGCTAGATGATCTCTGCAATCGAGTATGGCGGTCCGGCAATCAGGCACCTCCAACCTTGTTTGAGGCATGCTATCGGCATATGATTGCGGTGCTCGCCTATCTTATCGGAGCTAATAAGGCTATAGCTAACGAGATATCAGTAGGCAGCGATAAAGTTCCGGGCAGACATGGTCCGATCAACCAAGAGAGGCATTCAATGATGCAATTGATTTTCGAGCAAGCTCTAATAGCCGCTTCCCGCATCAGCTGGGCGTGGGGGCGCTAACAGCTGCGCTAACCCACTTGCGTACTCCTTATCGTAAAGCGATTGTGGGAATCACGTTAAGTTCCGGCTTGAATCTGCGGAAGTTTTCAGTCGGGTGTCTGGGCTATGAGCTTGATCCCAACTACGTCGATGGCGCTGGTTCTGCGGATCTTCACCGAACACACAGATGGTTGTGGCTCGGTGTGGCTCCTTCCCGCTCTGCGCCGGTTTCAGCTTAACGCCACCTTTCGGAGGTGGGGAATGCCGAGAGAATGATGTCAGGCACGGGTCTAACCGGATTCCGGCCCAGGAACGCCGGGGGTTTAACCTTAATTATCCCGGTCAGCAGGCGCAAGATGGAAGGAATTTTACGTCTGAATGCGGCCGGAAACTCTAAATCCTGACCCAAAGCGGAAATTGTCCGGATTTCCAGCTGGCGTCCGCCTTTTTACCTGATGCGGTCAACATTCAGCATGGCGATGTCTTGAATCCTCTTTGTCTGCCTTCTCACTATGGTCCGATGCTAGCCGGAGATCGTGGTCGGATGCGGTGGAGACGAGGCGGGGGCTTGCAAGCCTCGTCGTCGATCTGCACGATTGTAGCTTTTCTCACACCTCCGAGAGCCTGTCACCATCAGGTCGCAGCGGTCCAGAACATCTATAACTTCTACTCATCTCCAGGCTCATTCCCTCCTCATCCTTGTCTCTAACTCCCGTCTGCTTCTAATATCAACATCTCCTGTCTCACCACAGTTTCCATTCCTCAACCAACATGTCTCGCCGCGACCCCACCCACCCCGCTTCGCTCCTTCCCCTCTCGAGTCACAACCGCCAACTGGTTCACTCGCTCAAGAACCGAGTACCCGCATCTTTCTTTGGTGAGTAGTATCACTGCACTATGCATGAGCATCAACTGATGTCCAGACTTTGTCGCCGATGCCACCTCATCCGTCATCCGCATCTCCAACGATGACGACCTCAACACACCTCCCCTTACCCCTTCTTCCGACGTCGGCTCCGACAAGTGGTGGGAGACTGCAGAGGAGGGAGATGAGTTGCCGGAGTTGTCGGACTACATCAGGGGATTGGCGGCGCAGAGCAACGTTCAGATGCCCACTCTGAGCGTCACCCTCGTCTACCTCAACCGATTGAAGTCCAAGTTGCCCACTGTTGCTACTGGTAAGTCTTATCTCTGCATGCCCTTAGGACTTGGCTGACCTCCAGGCATGACCTGCACTCGTCATCGGGTCTTCCTTGCCGTCCTCATCTGCGCCGCCAAATACCTCAACGACTCGTCGCCCAAGAACATGCACTGGCAAAAGTACGGCCGGTTCTTTGCGTCGGCCGAGGTCAACCTCATGGAGAAGCAGCTCCTCTACCTCCTCGACTACAACCTTCGCGTCACCGAGGAGGACCTCTGCGCCCAGCTCGGTCCCTTCTGGCGGGAACAACAGGCCCCCCTCCCCACCTCGATTTCCACCCCCATCATCGCCACCCCTTCCCTCCACAACCTCCGCCGTGCAAGCGAACAGGAGCTGTCCTCCCCCTCCACCACCCCGCTCAAGGTCAGCGTCAACGCCATGCGCAAGTCTACCTTCCAACCCCACCCCACCTGCATCAGCCCCGAGTCACCCGCCGGCCCATCACGCTGGTCCAGTCGGTACGGCAACAACCTCGACGCTGTCTCCCCCAATGCCCTCCCTTCCCGCCGTTCAACATCCCTCGCCGTCTCGGATGCCTCCCCCTACCACCTCGCTTCCCCATCACGGCGTCCATCCCACCTCTCCATCACCCCTTCATCCTACTTCCACCAACTCCACCTCGACGCACCTACACCCGGGCTCGCGCGGCGCGACTCGATGGACTCGCAAACGTCGGCTGCCTCGTCCCTGGAGGACGCACCTGGTACCCTCGTCACGTCTACGTCTACCGGCCAGCTCGCCGTCTCACATCTCGGCCTTCCCCGCAAGGCATCCTACAACGCACATCCCGGAGCCATCTACATGGTCAAGGCGGACGAGGAATCACCACTCCCTTCACCTACCGGTCTGCTCAAAAAGCTGGCCCAGCGCCACTCTACCTCTCTCCGTTCGATACGGCAGGCAGGATCCAAGGCGGGTTACATATAGCGGGGGAGGGCGAATAGAATTTAGAAGGACACTCTGGTAGTAACCTATGATCACCCTTGATGGGCTATAATCTTGTATCATAACTATTGTATCTAGCATGTTTGCCATCTTAGCAATGAATCATCTTGGGTTTTTACACACTTTTGCATGGCATGACATGGTCTGCTTTGAATACACGAGACCCATATCGTACCACGAGGACTTGAGCAGACATGCTACCTGACGCATACCCTCCTCGCCGAGACTCCTACATACCGCCCTGCTACTCCCGCCCCGCTACTCCCGCCCCTTCCTCAATCGCTTCTTCAACTCCATCTCACGAGCCTTCAGCTTCTTGACACGCCCAGCAAGCGATTCCTTCTCTTTCCCCAGGGCTGTGATCCTTTCCTTCATCGTTGCCGCCTCGGTCGCTGTATCCTCAAGCGCGATGAAAGCGTTCTTGAGAACCTCTTGAGTGCCCTTCGCCGTCATGATCCCCTTCGTGAAGCATTCCTTCAGTCCGGCAACTTTCGAGAGGTAGCTGGTCGCGACGAGACCGAAGGTCATATGAGTGGGGCTGGAGGGGTCGACGTAGGCCTCGTCGTCGAATGTATGGCTGGAACGAGAGTGTCTGACCTGTCGATCAGCGTCGGCTGACAAGGAGTACTTAGCCTGGTACTCACTCTCTTTGGCGCGTCCTCCTCCTCTACCTCCACCTCGAGCTCACGCTTGACCGTGGATCTCACATCGCTTCGACTAGGCTGGGGCTCGACGCCGTCGGGTCTGGAGGCGCGCGTCGGGGTCGGCTCAGCCGGAGGGGCCGCTTCGGACCTGGAAGCTGCCTCCGCCAGCCGTCGCGCAGCAAGAGCCGAGAGGCCGCTGACAGGCTTGACGGGGGACTCGCCGCGCGAGGGCGAAGTCTCGGTCTTTATGGGTCAGCTGGGGGGCGCAGGTTGAGGGGACGAAGGTGCAAAGGTGTGCGCACCTTGATGAGCTTGGCCGTGGACCTGTCACTGGCCGAACCGCGCTTGAGGAAGGTTTTGGCCTGCAGTCTCAGTTGGGATGAGCTGCGAGAAAGAAGGCGAGCGTACTTTGGGGATCTTGGCGGTGGGCTTGACGTTGGCAATGCGGCGAGAGGGGCTGGTCCTGAACTGCACACGTCAGCTACGGCGCGCAAGGCGGGGGAGAAGGAAATTGAGCGTACCTTGGGAACATGAGCGGCGTTGAGGCTGGGTCTGGCACTTGAAGTCTTCTTGGCGGACTGCGCGTCAGCAAATGGTTAGGGGCAGATCAAGAATAAGAACATACCCCGGCGTCCTTGATGGCCCCATGCTCTTCATCTTCGCTGCTATCGCTGCTATCGCTGCTATCGCTACTATCGCTGCCATCGCTGCCATCGCTGCTATCGCTGCTGTCGCTGCTGTCGCTATCACCACTGATATCCAGCGATACGGCAGTAGCGGTCTGGCCCGTCAGCTACGGCTGAGAAAGGAAAGAAACGATTCACGTACCTTGCTTTTGATTCTCTTGGAGCCCTTTCCGCCGGCCGTGCGACCGACCTTGCTGCTCATAATGTCTGGCACATCGACGGGAGAGGAAGAATGAGGGACAGCTGAGATCAGTAGGAAGAGAGAAGGATGAATGACAGAATGGATGGTGCTCCGGCTGGAGTGTTTCCCTCGCGCCCGCCGAGCACGCAGCCCCCAAACCTTAATTTAAGAAAGGTTTGATGGGTATTGATGGCTTGATGGCTTGATGGCTTGATGGCTGTAGAGTGAGGGTCCGATCAGCTGTGTATCCAGGCGTGTGTTACGCACACAGCTGGACATCCTGGCTAACACCACCTTGGTTGTATCATCGGTTAGCATGAGTAGATACCAGGTAAGATCGATATACATGACTGGCAGTGTCGCCAGGTGGCTTAGACCTCCAGCTCCACTCTTCTCCGAGACGTCATCTAGTCTCGGTATTCCTGTGACCTGCGGGGAAACCTCCGCCGAGTGATCCGACGTGCAGGACGATGATGAGGTCCGGGCGGTCGGCCTTACGATTAGGCACAGCAGCCACGAGGTCAGAGCAGGTAAAATGATGCCATCGATGCCAGATTATGCCTCGAGCCGCTCGGCTTCGCCACAGCCCAGTCAAAATGGAGATCTGATCGAGCCGTTGATTGCAATGCACAGGTGAAGACAAGGTGAAGAAGAAATGAAGATTGTGTCACGCTGCTGTGACAGGTGATGGTAGCTGTAAGATGGGGGGCACAAATAGACATTCCACCCGCGTCATCGGTGCGGCTGCGATCTTCGCGCAAGCTAGGGTGGTTGGTATTGATCTCCCCTATCGCGTTCCGCTTTTCTATCTCGGACACAGGATGCTGCCCGCTCGCAGAAAAGCCGTCGCGCTGGCAACTCAGCGTCTAGGGCAAATCCGGGCGCAGCATGCCCGATCTACCCCCTCGGAACCCAGCGGTCTCTCCGGCTCCGACAAGCTCTTTGCCGATGCCCTCCTGGAAGAGGCAGAGGAGGTTCGACCTGGGTCATCGCGGGACCACCTCCGCCTGACACAGGGGGAGATATGGACGGGGGACGAGTCCCAGGCGGATGCGGTTCTGCGGATGCTGGTGGACGCGCACAAACCGCTCAGATCGGGAACGGCGCTGAGCGGCGATACGGCCGACAAGAAGATCAAGGGGATGCTGGCGAATCTCATGCTGGACCCCAGGCTGCCATTACCCCGTCCGGCGATCGTCGAGATGGCGGACCCGGAAAAGCCTAATGAGCACCGTACGACCCTCCCTCCGCATCTCCACCGGCCGTGGCATGCGACCTATACCGGCGCCAAGGTCGAGATGGACGAGACACCCAAGGTCAAATACGGGACATTTATACGGAAGCGGGCTACAGGGGACGATCTATCCAATATCCTGGAGCTCCAGCTTCCGCCGGGGGCGGATGGGAAGACGAGATCGAGAGTGAGGGATGCAAGGCGGTCGCATCGCAAGGTGACGCGGCTGGATAATGCGAGGGAGGGAGCGCTGGACTATCGCCTGGGACAGGGAGCAGATGAGTATGAAGAGGGATCGTATGTCGAAGAGGAGGAGGAGGAGACGTTTAGTGGGAACCGGCAGGTCAAGGGGTCGAGTGTACTGGGAACGCAGAAGGGAGGTGCGAGTGGATTGCGAGCATGGCAAGGACTGGTGGAGGATCGGATACAGCGGGCCAGGGAGGCTGGCCGGCTCACACCCACGAAAGGTCTGGGGAAACCAATACCGAGTGACGAGAATGCCGGAAATCCCTACATTGACTCGGGTGAGCTCCTCATGAACCGGATCGTCAAGCGGCAAGGCGCTCTCCCACCCTGGATCGAGCTCCAGAACAATCTCGACGCCACACTCAACGCATTCCGCACTACCCTTCTTCAAACATACACCACCCACCTCGTCCGTAATATCATCGCTAGCAATACCCTCGAGATCCAAATCCCGGATCATGCCGTGCCCAACCACGACGAGGTATGGGAAGCGAGGGAACGCAAATTTCACGAGGAGAATATCAAGCAGATCAACGATTTGGTACGGCGGATGAATGCGCAGGCGCCGGCCATGCTCATTCGTCGGCCGCTGGTCACGCTGGATATGGAGATTAGTAGGGTACGGAGGGATCTGAGGGAGAGCGTTTTGGGGGAAGTGCAGCGGCGGGCGGCGGATCATCGGGCGGCTTTGCTGCTGCCGAAAAAATCATCGCCGTACTATCTGGAGTCGGAGAGCTTGTCACGGATAGGACGCGCAACTCGGCGGTCCCTGTGGACTCTGGCGCATCCGCTTCGGGCCGTCATCGGCAAGGGCAACGTCGGCGGAGTGGGCGGATCCACCTCATCAGATGGCGGGCAAGACTCTGACCTGCCGGACCAAGGTGGTCGGCGTCTCGGCCTCTTCTTCGTTGCTGGGCTCGGTGTTGCAGGTCTCGTCTACCTCCGTCAACCCACCAAAAACGACTCTCAGTTCGAGCACCTCTTCCCCCTCTCCCCACCTCCAAAAGTCGATCCCTCCACCCCCTCCCATATCAACGCTATTTCCCCCGAAGAACCCCTTATCGGCCCCATCACATTCGTCAAGCTCTACATCCTCGAGCCCATCCTCACCTTCTTCCGCTTCCTCCACCTCGCCACCCTCTTCGGTCCCGTCATCCTCACCTCGCCCATGCTCTTCGTAGGCAAGGTCGAGCGCCGGCGGCGCGGCAAACCAATCGACGGGGAAGATGAGAATTGGGGAGCGGTCTGGTGGTATGGCTTCCTCGTCAAGCAGATGGAGCGCGCCGGACCTAGCTTCATCAAGCTCGGTCAGTGGGCTGCGAGTCGTGCGGATCTGTTCCCGGCTTCGCTGTGCGACTTGATGAGCAAGCTTCACTCGAACGGTAAACCCCATTCGCTCAGACACACTCGGAAAGCGCTGGAAGGGGCGTTTGGGATCACGTTTGAAGAGGTCTTTGAGGAGTTTGACGAGACGCCCATTGGATGCGGTGCTATCGCTCAGGTATGTCTGAGCAAAAGTTGAGCTGATCTCAGGTGTACAAAGGGAAGCTCCGAGCAGACCTCATCCCCCCCACCCACGATCACAGCCAACATTCCCCCGATCTCGTACCTACCACCTCGGTCGCCATCAAAGTCCTCCATCCCCGCGTCCGCCAGCTCGTCCGGCGCGATATCGCCATCATGTCCGTCTTTGCCAACATCATCAACCTCTTCCCTGGTATGTCGTGGCTGTCGCTACCGGAAGAAGTGCAGGTGTTTGGGGATATGATGAACCAGCAATTGGACCTCCGGGTGGAAGGATCGAATCTGGAGCGGTTTGAGCGCAACTTTGCAGGAAGGGGCGCGAGGGTCGTCTTTCCCCGCCCGATCCGGCTGGGCTTGATGGGTGATGGGGCGCAGAGGGAGGAGAGTAGGGAGGTGTTGATGGAGGAGTTTGAGGATGCTTTGCCGTTGAAGTATTTCTTGAAGAATGGAGGTGGGCCGTATGATGATCGGATCGCCAGTATAGGTCTTGATGCGTTCTTGGTGAGTTTCGCTTCACAGCTGACGGAGGATGAACGCTGACGACCAGGAAATGCTCTTACTCGACAACTGGACACATGGCGATCTGCACCCCGGTAACATCATGGTCCGATTCTACAAACCTACCTCCTCCGACCTCTTTGCCCCCCTCCTCTCCCGCTGGTCCAAGCCCAAAGAGCAAGACCTCTCGGAAATCCCCGAACACTCCAAATCCGCTGATGCGCTCGTCCACTCCCTCTCGGCGGTCGCGCACGACGGCGACAAGTGGCTGGGCCGCCTCGAAGAGCTCGCTGAGCAGGGGTACGAGCCCCAGCTCATCTTCATCGACGCTGGACTCGTCACCTCCCTTGACGGTCGGAACCGGCGCGACTTCCTGGATCTCTTCCAAGCCGTCGCCGAGTTTGACGGCTATAAGGCCGGCAAGCTCATGGTCGAGCGCTGTCGTACGCCCGAGTACGCCATCGACGAAGAGACATTTGCGCTCAAGATCCAGCACCTTGTATTGAGCGTCAAGAGCAAGACGTTCTCCTTGGCCAAAATCAAAATTTCGGACATCCTCACGGACGTCTTGACGGCGGTGAGGCAGCACCATGTCAAGCTGGAGGGGGACTTTGTGAATACTGTCATCTCGATCTTGCTGTTGGAGGGGATTGGGCGGCAGTTGGATCCGGAGATGGACCTGTTTAAGAGTGCGCTCCCGATTCTCAGGCAGGTCGGGAGGCAGATGGGGACGAGGGAGGCAATCTCGGCGGTGCCCAAGGGGAATATCTGGGCTATGGTCAAGGTGAGTAACGATGTTGTTTACAAGTAGGTCCCGCTGATCCAGCAGCTCTGGGTGTGGGTCGAAGCTAGGCAGGTCGCAGGCGAGGCATCTGCCGTGGATCAATGGATCAAGGTAAGTCCATATCTGAGCGATGCTGATGATAGTATGATCGCTTCATGCCGGCTATGTAGAGCGATGAGGTTTCCTATGGCTACAACAGTCTATAGACTAGATGATTACGGTAGACTACGAAGATGCAATAGTTGTATACGCTCTACTCCTACTACTGTCCATCACTTGCCCTCCTGATCGCATCTCTCTGCGCCACTGCCCTCTGAATCGCAGGCACAGGACTCAAATCCTCTTCTCGCTCGACATACCCCGTCCGGCCCCGCCCCGCCTCCTTCGCCTCCGCCTCACGTATCGCCGCCTGCTCCTTCTTGTGCTCGAACCGACTGCGCAGGATTCGCCCGACAGCATCATACGAAATCCCGAATTTCTCAGCGAGCATCGCCCGGTGGTATAGCTTTGGATCGGCGTGATGGAGTGCCCGGAGGCCCGACATGGCCGCGAAGGTGAGCTTTTTGGTAGGTGCCCAGCCGGTAGGTGTTGGTGGTGGGGAGGTGGAGGAGCCAGTGAGTGTGCCGGCGGATAAGGCGTGGAGGGAGGGGATGTCTCGCGGTGGAGCGGGCTGGGGATCGTCCCTGGGCAACCGATCGCCGAATAGGTTCCGCCCCTTGAATGAGTCCCTCCCAGCTCCTTGCTCTCTCTGCCGCCAATTGCTGTACCCAGGCCGGTCCCCTGCCATCCTTTCCGAGCGCCTCGGCTGAAAGTTCGGTCGATCGGCTTGACGTCCGAACTGCCTCTCCCCGCCTCCCCGCCTGTCTTCCCATTCTGGCTTGCTTCCGTTCTGCCGATAAGGCAGAGACCTTCCCATCGTCTGAGCTTCCTCCGAGCCGCCTCGCCCCGCCCACCTCGACGCGTCCCCGCGAGATGCATCACCTCCTCTGTCATCCCCTCCTTCTCGTCTCCGATGTGATCGCCCTCCGCTTGAGAAGCCGCCCTCACCCCGCCCAGCTGGCCGCTGCCACTCCCTGCCAGCAGCGTGCCCACGACCCAGTAGACGCGATCCATCTCCACCCACCCTGCGATCCCCCTGGCCACCCTCTCGCGCTTCCTCTCTTATCGCTCCCGGGCTGCCTGCGGACCGAGGACCTCTCTGCTCGGTGCCAAAGTCTTTGACCCAGTCCTTGCTATCTTCGCGACGAGGTCCCGAGAATTTGTCGGACGCGCTCGGGCCGCGTGATGTGTATGTACCGGAAGAAGAGGATGAGGAGGATGTCGGCAGACCGAAGGAGCGTGATGCGGCTGAGGGGGCGGTAGAGGAGAATTGGGCGATTTGGGGAGGAGATGACCGGCACGCTGGACAGTGTGACTGGAGGGGGCCTGATAGCAGAGCTCTGAGGGATCTGAGGACGCGCATAGTGGAGCTCTGAGATGGACCTGAAGAGCAGAGCAGAGATTCCTGGAGCTGGCGAAGCTCGCAGGAATTTCTGACCTCTATGAACACTTCCGTCGGAAACTCTGAAACATGGGGTCCCCACAACTTCGGCCTGCCACTCACTTGGCTAGCAGAATGGAGGGCGAGCTGCTGAGCTAGCTTATGGCCTCATGCATATGTATCCCGCCCTTCATGACCAGTATGCTGAGCCTCTGCTTACCAGGAGTATTGTAGACATACCTTGTCCCGGACAAATGCACTTGGCCTTGCGCAATCTGTCCCTTCCGACTCGTTCTTCGGCTTACAAGGCCGCCGGGGATGCCCGAACATCGTACACCCCGCATGTCCCTCCCTATTACTTCTCTTCTTCGCTTACCTTCCCTCTCTATCGGCGGCAATCTAGGTTGTCGTACAGGCTCTTACCTGAGCAAGCATACCCTCCTCTCCTTCATATTCCCGTGATCCGCAACCGCTTCCTGTACGTTTTGTCTACCTCGCCCCGCCCGCCCTCACTCTTTGGTCATCATCACTTCTTGATCCGAACCTCGCTCCAGAGCCCTGTGGTGAGTCATCGAGACAAGCGGTAGTGCGGCTTAGCATCTCCCCATCCATACCTATCAATAGCTGACACCATAGCGATAGCGCCAAAGGGCACATCATCACTCATCTCGCTCGTCATCTCCCCCGGGCATCATCATCCGCTTTCTCGGTGCTTGGCGGCCCGCCCCCTCGCTAGAATATCGGACCCGGGCGTGTTATCCAGAAGTCTGGACTCAGCCATCATACCCGCCCTCGATAAATACCGAGTCGAGCCGAGTGTACCGAGGAGGGGGTATAAAGGCGTATCTTGGATTCTTGGGTCAGGCGTATCAGCTTCACGTTGAACTGTAACATCCTCTGAACCTTGTAAGCGCTTTTCCTTCTGCTCAAACTCCCTCATACCCCTCACTCCTCTCCGCGCTGCGTACCGCTCCATCACTCTACACTCCTTTCACTCCACCCGCTCCTATACGTTTCAGCCTTGCTCGGGCATCACGCCGAAGCTAAAGGGCGCTGAGGCGGTGGCGAGGATGATGTACCCCTTGCCACTTGATGTTTCCACTATGTGCTGTGTCTATGGTGGTCTACTGCACAGCTCGTCTGGAGTATTCAGGGCGGTTCTAGCGTTGGCGGCGAGAGGGATATATAACGATGGGCTAAGCTGACTTTGTAGGCTTCATCATTGACCATCACACTGCCAACATATCGACTACGATAGCCCATCATGCCCCCCACTCCTCTCAATCTCCGGCAGCCCCGTCTGTCACCCGAGATTGACCTCAACTCGCCTCCACCTTTGGCGCACAACCATGCCGCCACCCCCTCCGTCCCCGTCCCCATCCCCATCCTCGGCTACCCGCGCTACTCTCGCTATTTTGACCGCGCACCCCCTATGACCGGCGACTCCACCGCTACTTCGGCTAGTCCCTCCTTCGTTCAAACGCCTATGGCTTCCGGCCCCAGCTCCAGCCGGATCAGGGTGGTCGATCCCGCCTCGCCCAGCCCGGCCGAGACCGTCGTACCTACCGCTGAGCAGATAAAGTGTCTGCCTCACGCCGCAGACCTGCTCGGGAGCGCCACGGAGGTGGTTCCTTCCTCCGTCCGCTCCGTCCTGACGTACCGCGAGGACTCTGGTAGCCCTGCTGCCTCATTGCCGTCCGCGCCCGTACCGGCGGCCGACTCGTCGTCTCGCGCGCACAGGACCCGCGCGCGAGTAGCGGCCAGGCGGGCAGAAGAGGCGGTCGAGACGGCCGTGCACCACCGTTCGCACTCGCGACACATCTTTGACCCGGACCCGCCCGGGCCTAGCATGGCAGAACAACGCCAAGCGGCGGAGAGGGGCATGATCCGGCCCCCTCCTCCTTATCCCCCCACGCGTACCATCTACCAAGCCCCCCTTCACCCAGACTACGTCCCTACACCCGCGGTGTTCAGCTTTGGGCGGGATGAAGATGATGCCCCGTACTACCGGGACGCACCGGAACCGGAAATGGGCTCGGTATCGCCTCGACTGGCGAGCGCGGATCGGTTCCAACCGGTCACAGGTACCCTCGACCGCCGTCATCCGCGGTTCGCGCCGCCCGCTGTATATGGTCGGCCACCGCCCTCTCGTCCCGCCGACATGTCGGTGCTCATGGCTCCATCGGTGTGGAGGCGGGCAGAGGTACCACGGGCCGCACCGAATGTCCCACCTCCACAGCCCGCTCAGCGATGGGGGCAAACATATGGAGACGAGCGTCGATCCGACCTTGAGCGGCCCCTCTTCCCGGGAACGGAACGAGGAGAGCCAAGGGACAGGCTCGTCGCGTGGCTGGGACAGCAGGCGCGGCAAGGCGTCCCTGCTCAGGCGGCGATGGAAGGAGTGACGGCAGATTCGCGAGCGGGACGGGGTCTGTGGCCGGTGCATCTTCCTGAGTGGGGAGCGTGGATACCGGCGTCCCCAGATCTATTAGACGATAGGGACCCTCCACACGCCTTCGAACCCCCTTATCGCCCGTCTACCGCCCAGCACTCCGGAACCTCGGCTCCGGCTCGGTATCCCCAACCCTTCGGCCCCCACTCCAATCAGCACATCTACGACGAACCCCAGTCATCGCCCTTGCTCGATATGTGGAATCGGTCCGTCCAGGAAGCGGTGGACCGGCGGCTCCCGGTTGAGCCCCAGCGCGACGCGAGGATGGCGGAGCATATCGGGGAGGCGTACACTCCGGCTCGACTCCGCGAGCTATTGCAGCAACCACACGCGGAGGATCAGCGGCGGGCAGACATCGCCGAGCGATTCAGAATACCGGGACGGGAGGTGGCGCAGCAGCGGTTTGAGCAGAGCGAGGAGGCAGTACGGCGGAGATATGCGGCTGCGGCGGGTCCAGCGGGTCTATCCGCCGCGGTTTGGGGAGACGTCCCTGTTGACGCGGCCCTGGCCGAGATTGAGGCGAGCGAACCGAGGAGCGCTGCGCATCCCTTCCGGCCCGTCCCTATTCCTGTTGTCACCAATGGCTACCTCCACCCCGGATACGCAGCATACGCCCAGCCAGGTCCTTCCCGCGATCACAACCAAAATCGCGGCCGCGAGCCAGTCGCGGCGGACAACTCGTTCCAGTACTTTGACTGGACCCTGTACAACCATCATACCGGAGAAGAATGGTTCAACTATGCCGCCCTGACCGGCCGGTCGGTCGTTGCGCGCACCCACGACCGCCCGCTCTTTTCCGGATTTGAGGCGGAAGTAGACGACTACTGGGCGCACATACGACAGATGAACGGCCTCCCCCCAGCTCCCCCTCCTCGTGCACCCTCTCATAGCCTCGTTTTCCGTGACGGGCAATCTGAAGCGGAGAAGAGGGCGGTGCTGCTAAAGGTGGCGAAAGTGGTTCATCGGCTAGGACCCATGTCTCGGCGTATTGGCGCAGAGAGCAAGATTGGGGTTTGGAAATGGGGGGATTTGAAGGAGGAGCCAAAGGCCTTGGAGGAGCAGTGTAAGGAGGAAGGAATGTGTGCAGTGTGTTATGAGAATGTGAGTTGCTTCTTGATTGGTGCCGAAGCGGGAAGGCATGAGGAGGAGCTGATGAGCAGTATGAAGACGATGCGCGGGTATCCCTTACGCCGTGTAGGCACGTATATCACAAGGATTGTCTTGATGTGAGTTGTCTCCTACAAGAGCCTCGTAGATCTTGGCTGATATGGCAGGTGTGGTTCTGTCAGCCCAATACGACTTCGTGTCCCATGTGTAGGCGAGATATAGCGGTTCTGGCGTGCGTCGACAAGATGCTTCCGGAGGCTATGAAGTCGGAGGGGCTGGGTCTGTGGATGGCCACAGGCGCGGCGCCGGCGCGATGATGCCAGAGGAGTGGGGCTGTGGGTAGGATGCTGTATGCCTGGTAATGGTAATGACCTTAACGTCTCTTGTTCTTCTAGATGCAGTATCAGTAGTTTGTATATCATGCCATACACGAGGATGTGATAGATGCTCTTGCCAAGAACGATCTGTCTCTCTTCAAGCAGACTGAATATGTGTTCCGTGGAACGCATACTATCGAACAAATACATCATACTCTAATACCACCCTCTCTAAAACACCGGTATATAATCGTCCACCCTATCCTTTGCGTCCTGCGCAATACACTCTGCTATCCAGGTCAAATTCCGCACCTCCTGCTCCTTAAGCTTCACAAAGCTGTAAAACACCGCATACTGGAACTGCTGCAAGAATGACAGCTTGTTGAGCTCGACATCATACTTGAAGAACTCATCTTCGAGGGAGCTCGCCTCTCCCTCGCCTGCTCCGCCACTCCCACCACCGCCACCACCCGTCGCGCCCGCCTTGTCAAAGAAGGCCTTGTACTCCGAAATGTGCTCGACGGCAGCTACGACCTGCTCAATCTCCTCTGCGCGCGCGAGGGCATTGTTGCCCTCGGGGTAGAGCCGACCGATGGTCGGGAAAAGACGGGCCCGTTGGTCCTTGGACAATTCGGTGCCGAAGGAGTTGATGGTGATGTTGAGTGTGCGCCGGTCTGCCTCGAATGCGAGGATACGCGACATGATCTCGTTGGTTGGGGAAGGGAGGGTCTGGCAGAATGCGTGGAAGTCTTCGAGGTAGGCCTTGTACAGCGAGTTCCGGATGATTTCGATATTGAGGTCGTCCAGATCCTGCGCGGACAGGCAGTCCCGAAAGTACGGGGCTGACAGTCAGCCAAATTCATGTACATACCGGGTGACGACTTACCCAAGGGCGTCTCAACCAGAACCGAGTGGTACAACTCCTCCACGTTCGTCGCCACACACAACGCCGGCATGGTATCAAACACCCCGAGCGGGTGACACCGCTCCAGCAGCTCGTGCGTGTCCCGCTCATGCAGCGTCCCCAACGTCAACAGGATGACATTGTCAATCATGTACGCGTACGTGATGTAGTCCATGAATGTGGCGAGGGGCTCGACCGCGTTCGTCCGGAGATAGTGAAACTCGGAAACGAGCTTTTCCGTCGCCTTGTCGGCGATGGTAGATGTGGAGAGGGGGAGGGGTTCGTTGGCGAGGAAGTTTCCATAGTCGGTAGAGGCGAGTTGCATCCGGAAGTCTGGGGGTCAGCCGGGATCGCAGATGTATAGAAGATGACGTACCTTCCAGGTTCTCGCATTGAGTCAGGTTGTGGTAGTTGGCAGTAGTCAACAGACCGCCCTTGTACCCTCGTACTACTCCCTCCAGGAAGCCGGCGTCCATCTGACAGGGTCAGCTCATGTTCTGTTCTGCCGATTGTGGGAACTAACGTTGAAACCTAATGCCTCCATTGTGCAGGACTGAAGTTGGTGAGGTGGACGAGAGAGCGGGAAGAGCTCGACGCTGAGATCTTGGAGATTTCTGAAGCGAGAAGCGCTTAAGAGAGATTACCTAGGGTCGGCCTAGGTCGATGATGATCCGGGTAGGATGGATACGAGAGACAGGGACCGTGGGATGTCCGATGGCGGGATGCTGGAGGAGCTCGCCGCGGCTCTTTCGCTGAATCTTTTTCGGCAGAAATTAAGTGTGGATCAAGGCTAGACTCTCGCCGCGCACAGTAAGCTGTCCTGAATAGATCTATGTGGTTGGTATAGTGAGGAGTAGTCAAGGTATGCGCTGTGGAGATCGCTGAATGGTGGTGGTGGTCAAGTGGTGGTGGTGGTGGTGGTGGCGAGCGTCAGAGCAGAGCCAGAATCTGATCCCGCTGTAGCCAGAGCCACGTGGTCATAATCCGTGCGTGCTGTTTTGGCTGTAGCCGTGCCTGGATCTGCGACGCGACTTATCAAGCTTGCTGGAAATTTTCGCCCATCTCCTTCGCTCTTTCGGCAAAGCACTCACAAAGCTGCAGCCCACCTCTTTATAACAACAAACACAAGATGGCACCCAACGGTATCGCAAACGGAGACGGGAACGGATCACCCGCGCCCTCCAAAACGACTCTTTCGGCCGCGGACGCCATGGCCACGCTCAAAGAGTACACCCGCGGAGATGGGTTGTCAGTCGCGGAGTTGATGGACAGCCGCAAGAACGGGGGCTTGACATACAATGACTTCTTGATGCTTCCTGGGCATATCAGCTTCCCGGCCAACATTGTCAGCTTGCAGACCAGGTAAGCTACCGCGGCAGAAGAAGAGGATTGGGGAGGATGGGATAGGAGGAAGGTTGATTCGTGTGACGCGTCGAAGCTGATCTGCAGGGTCACCCGCAATATCGTCCTCAACACCCCCTTCGTCTCCTCCCCTATGGACACCGTGACCGAGTCCCGGATGGCTATCTCCCTCGCCCTCCACGGCGGTCTCGGTATCATCCACCACAACTGCACGGCCGAAGAGCAGGCGGCGATGGTTCGTAAGGTCAAGAAGTTTGAGAATGGGTTCATCACCGACCCTATCTGCTTGCCTCCTGATGGAACTGTTGGCGAGTGAGTGAAGCCGCATTGCGGATGAGACGAAGCTGATAGTCAGTGTTGTGGAGATCAAGAACGCTATGGGCTTCGCTGGTATCCCTATCACCGGTATGTCTGTCTGTGTGTCTGGAGAGGACCCCGGGGCCGCGCTGATAGGCAGAAACCGGCAAGATGGGCGGTAAACTTCTCGGTATCGTCACCGGCCGAGACGTCCAATTCCGCGACCCCGAACAACCCCTATCCTCCGTCATGACCACCGACCTCGTCACTGGTCGCTCCGGCATCACCCTCGAGGAGGCCAACACCATCCTTCGCGACTCCAAAAAGGGGAAGCTCCTCATCGTCGACGCCGAAGGCAACCTTGTGTCCCTCGTCGCTCGATCCGATCTGCTCAAGAACCAAAACTACCCCCTCGCGTCCAAAGTCCCGGCGTCCAAGCAGCTCTACTGCGGTGCCGCCATCGGGACCCGGCCAGGAGACAAAGACCGGCTCAAGCTTCTCGTCGAGGCTGGTCTGGACGTCGTCGTCCTCGACTCGTCCCAGGGTAACTCGGTCTTCCAGATCGAGTTTATCAAGTGGATCAAGCAGACCTACCCGGATCTGGAGGTTATCGCTGGGAATGTGGTGACGAGGGAGCAGGCGGCGCAGCTCATCGCTGCGGGTGCGGATGCGCTGAGGATCGGAATGGGGTCAGGCAGTATCTGTATCACTCAGGAGGTCATGGCGGTGGGCAGACCGCAGGGTACCGCCGTCTACGCCGTTTCAGAGTTTGCCAGCCGGTGAGTCCTCACCCTTTCTGCCTCTCCTTCCCAGCTGATGTCTCTCCAGGTTTGGCGTCCCCACAATGGCCGACGGAGGTATCGGCAACATCGGCCACATTGCCAAGGCCCTCTCCCTCGGCGCCTCGGCCGTCATGATGGGCGGCATGCTCGCGGGAACGACCGAATCCCCCGGAGAATACTTTTACCACGAAGGCAAGCGGGTCAAGATATACCGCGGGATGGGATCTATCGAGGCCATGGAGCACACGGCGCCCAAAGGCTCCGCCAAAGTCGCGAAAGCGCTGGGTATCGATAATGCCGCGACGGCGCGATACTTTTCAGAGCAGGATGCCGTCAAGGTCGCGCAGGGCGTGAGTGGGGATGTGGCGGATAAGGGGAGCGTGACCAAGTTCTTGCCGTACTTGTTCACGGGGCTGCAGCATAGTTTGCAGGATGCGGGGGTCAAGTCGTGAGTACAGACTGACGTGACGATGTGGCGAGGTTCAGAGCTGATTCTGGCTAGGGTGACTGAGCTCCAGGCGGAATCGCGATCCGGTGGTGTCCGGTTCGAGCTCCGGACAGCTTCTGCACAGGTGGAAGGTGGTGTTCACGGCTTGAACAGCTACACCAAGCGCCTCTTCGCCTAGATCATGCACTGCTGGACAGTCCTTTTTAATGTCGTTTCTCTATAGATAGCTTTCCCTTTTCCCTAGCTGGTTCCCATTCTGGTTTCCTTGCTCTTTCACAAGTGTACAAATATGCATAGGGATACGATTACATCTTGGGTGGGACACTAGGTAGAAGGCACAGAAGCAATCTTCAGGACATCGTCCTCCTGCCGGTGGGTACCGAGCCCATGGGAACGATGGTATCAACTCCCTGCACCCCCGCTTTCCGACTTCTAACCCTCCTCCCTTCTACCCTCCCCTCCACACAGACATACACATCGGGCGGCTGGGGTGCGGGTTGGATGGCGTGGAGACCCGCATAGACAAGGGACGCGGACAAGGGCTCTTTCGCTCTTTCAAGCATAGCACAAGGGCCCTAGGCTGTGCGTCCAGCCTTGCATATTGCAGAGATCCAGTCAGTTCCACCCCCATCCTCTCGTCATCAATATCCGCAAATCGGTCACTCTATGCATAGGCTCACACTAGGCGATCAAACTGTACTCCGTATCTCCAAGTTGCCAACCTCCAACCTCTCGATTCAGATCACCATAATCAAAGCTCGCGCTCAGTCTTCAGGTACACGTAGTCGCCCACATCCTCGTCGCCGTCTCTGACGGATCCAGCGTCACCCTGTGGTAGAGCGACCAACTCGCCATCGTCGCCAAAGTCATCATCGTCCGGCTCCGCGAAAACGGTGGCGGAAGAGGGGCCACCATTCTCCGCCGAGGGTTCATCGTCAGGCGCATTGGGCTTTGTCTCGACCGTGACAGAGACCGCAGCCCCCATCGGCTCGACTCGTTGCGCCTTGCCTTCGGTATCGCGAGTGAGCGTGCTGATTGCTGCAGACATGTCAGAGACCGTCTTGCTCGTTGGCGCGGTCTCCATCGTCACGTCTCCGAGACCCTTCGCGATCCGCTGCCAGGCTTCGGTTGTTGCTTGTTCCGCAAGAGTACGAGTGTCAGCGCCCATCAGTACCAGACTCTCGTCCCGTCTGCGATATCTCAGCACAGTACAAAGTGTGGAGCAGGCGGAGCTTACTTGAACAGCACTTCCATCGCGTCCCTGAACTGTCTTCTGGCCGCGATCTTCTCATCGAGGGAGAATACCGTTCCTCTGCCGCCGACCCTGGCAATCAAGGCGTTGATCGCGCCTCTTTTCGTATTGGCATCAGGGTTCTGCCTCCTGTGGATTTTGAAGAGAACGTTCCAGTTGGCATGCAGCCGTTCATGAACCTCTGACTGATACGTCCAGTTCTTCTTCACGTCACCTGGTGCCGGGCTCAACAAATCCAGTATGTAAGCCGTAAACACGGCACTCGTGCTGTCTCTGCTATCCATTTCATCATGTCGATCGGGGGTGAGCTGACACGCCTGAGAGCCAAATCGAGCGCCAGGGAGATCTCTTCGACACGTTGTGGAAGTCAGACACAAGCTGAAGATTACTCGTATGCCATATACAGTAAGTGGTCTCGTCAGAGCGTAGGGGAGCGACTTTTTGAGATCTCGCGGATACTCACCTGTTTGATTAGTATTTTCAGCCTTCAAGCCAGATATGGCGATCCCATCGCGCTATGTAGCTCGGGGTCACATACGCAATGTCGGAATGCGAGAGACTGTCCCCTAATACCCATACAACCCGCCCTCCACCCCGTGCCCGCCGGGAAACGTTGAGATCCCTGCGAATGAGGCAGTGTAATGTTCGACGCGGCGCGGCGCGATGCTTTCCTCGATTGGCTACAGCGTCGCGGGTACGGACGAGAGTGCGCAATCGATTGTGCTGTCTCGGCGCGGGGCTGGACGAGGGTGACCATTGGACGGCGAATCACTGCTTGCGCTAGTCCGAGGCCGAGATAGGCCTTCTACGCTTTGCGCTTCTTTCCAATGACCTGCTTGCCGGCGTCGTCGGGGTGCATGAGGTCGACCGCGCGTTCCTCGATCATCCGCCTGACCAGCGCCTCTGCTTCCGCCACACCGAAGCTCTCTTCCTTTCCCCCTCCACCCGGTGCGGCCCCCGACGCAGCCGCCATTCCTGCTCTCATACCCGCCATTCCCGCCAGTACGCCCTTACTTCCTCCACCACTTCCGCTCCCTGACCCGCCAGCCGGTCCCGCTCTCTGCGCAGGTTCAAACCCCTCCCATATAGGATACAGGACCACTACGTCCTGTACGCACGCCATGAGTACCGGCATGCTGACTTGGAAGCTCGCGATGAAGGCCGCAAAGTCCGCTGAGGGAGGCGAGGGGAGACCGAGTGCGGGGTTCGTCGGTGGGTGGCTTTGCTGGGTCGAGGAGCGGGTGCGAGGTTGAGAAGCACCTCCAGAGGCAGCAGAGGGGTTGAGAGAGTTGATGGATGTGAGGCAGTAGCCGATGTACAGGGCAGCAAGGGCGATGAGGTATGGTGGGTAGAGGAGGGGGAGGTCGGTACGGTAGGTATCGTTGATAAGGAATCTGGCACTCAGTGAGAGACCATCTCGAGTGTGCGGGCGGCACTTACAGGCAGATCTGCAGTACACCCTCGTCGATCTCAATCAACCCTTCCCCACTCCCTCTAGACATCAACCTCCGAATACGCTCCTCCTCGCTCTCCTCCGCTGCTCCCGGTGCTTTCCCCTTCCGCGCCGCCTGATCCTCTTCCACCCTGGTACTGCTCCATCTTCCCCCGTCCGCCGGCTCTCGACCCGTCATTGCCAACAAAGCTCTGTACGGGTGGAACACAACCAGATGGAAGTCCAGATCCTCCAGTAGGTAGAACTCCATCTCGCCCAACTTGCTCGAATCCGCCGGGAATATCTTGATGCTATTCTCTGCTGATCAGCTCCCACCCTTCCCGTCAAGCCGCCGAAGGTAATGACTCACCCGCAAACACCGCCTTGGCCTCTGCGACCACGCTCTTGATATGAACAGGCGTCTCCTCGATCTTTGCAGCCACGTACGCACACGCCGCCAACACAAGATATGGATTCGTCTCGCATATCGAGTTCTTGAGGTAGAAGCGCTTAAAGAAGACGATAGCGGTCGAGATGGGTACTTGGCGCAGGAGGAGCTTTTTGCCGAGCTTCTGCAAAAGGCCAGCAAAGTAGATATGGAGGCAGTAGAGCTGGCGCGGGGTGCAGTAGGTGAGGTCCAGGGAGCGCGAGGCGAGGATAGAGGAGCGCGGGTGGAGGTGATACCGCGAGTGCGATGAGGTCCAGAAGTCGGAGGACATGGCTTAGAGCGCTAGGAGAGGAGAATGCTACTACCTGAGCAGTACGCTGGTAGCTCTCATGGCAGTATGGACTGCTTGGGTCATGCTAGATGTGGATGAACTGCTTGAAGCTGGCCCTGGCTTGCTGCCCTCTCTCGCTCGTGAGATCATCAGACCGGGACAATTTCCGTCGGAAGCCCCACCTCATTACGTCAGCCTCAGATTTCGCCTTTCGAAACGCGAATTCAACGCGCTCGAGCTTCACCTCCTTCTATAGCATTCCTATCTACACTCAAGGCCATACATAGCAGCTACAGCCTCGGCATATCATCCAGGAGACCTCAGGATACACATTCAATCGACCAAGGAAACCAGAGACACCCCTTACGACCCGCACGATGAATATTTGGGCAGACGAGGTAGGTCTTTCCCGGGGCATAGGACTTGCCGAGCAGCTGCCTTGGTTACAAATGATGAGCAGTAGCTGACTCATAGGCTACCGAGGAGCGAGGCGAGAATGCCCGACTATCATCGTTCGTTGGAGCGATGGCGCTGGGCGATTTGGTCAAGTCGACGCTCGGACCGAAGGGGATGAACAAGATTCTCCGTCAGTTGCGCTGTTTCCGAAGAACATGGCTCTGAGCTGACGTCCCAGAATCAGCGAGCAATGGCTCCATCACAGTGACCAACGACGGCGCTACCATCCTCAAATCCATCCACCTCGACAACCCCGCCGCCAAGATCCTCGTCAATATCTCCAAAGTCCAAGACGATGAAGTCGGGGACGGAACCACATCCGTCTGCGTCCTCGCGTCCGAGCTGCTCAGGGAGGCCGAGAAGCTCGTCACTGTCAACCACATCCACCCGCAGACCGTCGTGGAGGGGTACCGAATCGCCTCGCGCGCGGCCTTGTCGGCGCTGGAAGGCTCGGCGATTGATCATGGCAAGGATGAGGTCGCATTCCGCCAAGACCTGTTCAATATCGCTCGGACGACGCTCAGTAGTAAAGTGCTGTCGCAGGACAAGGAGTACTTTGCGAATCTGGCGGTGGATGCTGTATTGAGGCTGAAGGGGTCGACGGATCTGGAACATATCCAGATTATCAAGAAGGTCGGTGGGAAGTTGACGGATTCATATTTGGACGAGGGTGAGTTGGGTCCCTCTTGCGAGGGTGGGTAGAGCTGACATGTCAGGCTTCATCCTGGACAAGCAGATTGCTACCAATAGCCCCAAACGGATAGAGAATGCCAAGATCCTGATTGCCAACACCTGTAAGCTGGAGAAGGGAGCAACTCGTCGTGAACATCTTAGCTGACAATCTAGCCATGGACACCGACAAGATCAAGATCTTCGGCGCTCGCGTCAGGGTAGATGGGACGAGCAAGCTCGCCGAGCTCGAACGGGCCGAGAAGGCGAGTCCCCCAACATTCACCACCCCCTGGTTCATTGCTGACTACCGTAGGAAAAGATGAAGGCTAAAGTCGCTGCTATCGCCGCTCACGGCATCACCTGCTTTGTCAACCGTCAACTCATCTACAACTACCCCGAATCGCTCCTTGCCGAACAGGGGATCATGTCGATCGAGCACGCCGACTTTGAGGGTGTCGAGCGGTTGGCACTCGTCACGGGCGGAGAGATTGCCTCGACCTTCGATGCCCCGGATAAGGTCAAGGTCGGGCGATGTGATGTCATCGAGGAGATCATGATTGGGGAGGACAAGGTGAGCTCTCATGACTGGCATATTGAAGGCGGACCATTGAGCTGATGACTTAGCTCATCAAATTCTCCGGTGTCGCCGCTGGTCAAGCATGTACCGTCGTCCTCCGAGGCGGAACCACCCAGATGGTCGAAGAGGCCGAACGATCCCTCCATGACGCTCTCTCGGTCCTTTCGCAAACCGTCAAGGAGACCCGCGTGACTCTCGGCGGAGGGTGCGCAGAGATGCTCATGAGCGTAGCGGTCGACGAGGCGGCCCGGACCGTCACTGGCAAGAAGGCGCTGGCGGTAGAGGGGTTCGCGAGAGCTTTGAGGCAGATCCCGACTATTTTGGCGGATAATGGAGGGTTTGATTCTGGAGAGTTGGTGGCTAAGCTCCGGGCGAAGCACTATGAGGGTATGAAGGAGGCCGGACTCGGTGAGTATTCTTGATATCAGACGAGAGAAGGAGCTGATCCGGTAGATATGGATATTGGAGAGGTCGCGAGCATGAAGGAGCTAGGCGTGACCGAGTCGTTCAAGCTCAAGCGACAAGTCGTGGTGTCCGCGAGCGAGGCGGCCGAGATGATCTTGCGGTGAGTTGGCCCTCCGAATGCTGGGCATGTCGTCCTTCGCCAAGGCAACCAGCTGATCTTTTAGTGTTGACAACATCCTCCGCAGTACCCCGAGAAGGAGGGAAGGACAGTAGATGTGGATAGACAGTACAGGTATATGCATCTACGATAGCAACAGGATACAAACGGTAAGGACTGTGGGTAAGGAACGTGGGGTTATCTACATTGCAAGGTACAAGCTACTGATACAACCTAATTAGACCGGGACGAAAAAGCTACCGCGGTGCGCAACCCAGAAGAAAACGAGCTGTCTACTAATTACTCTTCCTTTCTTCCTTCTTCGTACAACGAGAACCTCCACACTCATTTTCTGCTTCTTTTGTCTCCCCGTCCCCTTGGATCTCTCTTCCCCCCTCCGTCTCTGACCTTCCTCCTCCTTGCTAACGATTTCGACATTACCCCATCCCTCTGCCGCCCTTGCCTTCGCTCCTCGCGTCTACCTATAGTACCGGCGTACCGCTGGCACCGGAGTGCGATACACAGTCCATGAGATTCCAGGGACGATGCTCGACGACACCGTGCAGCTTAACACCCTGAACAGGCTTCTCCCTCCTGCTTGATCATGAGGCTCCCCAGTATCGGCCGGCCGATATATGTGTTCTCCCAAAGTACGACTAGCCGCTGGAGGGAGAGGTGGGAGGGGTTTATCGAAGTGCATGGGCCTGGAGACTGACGCTGAGGACGACGATGACGCGGCCGCCGAGGTGGATCGGTACCCGTAGCTATGCTGAGGAGGAGGTGCGGAGGCAGCAAGTACCGGTGGTGGGTCGCGGACCCAGTTCCCATTGTGGTTCTGCCAGATGCCGCCCGGGTCGTCTTGCCCTCGATAAGAAGGAGGGTCGGGATGACTGGAGCTACTGGCCCCCGAGTACTGATTGGCGAGGTAGATGTTGTAGTCGTTGTTGACGAGGGACTCGGAGAAGGGGGGCGGAGGGGTGGGCGGGTCCAGCGACGGGCTGGCGGGTGTGACTTGCGGGATGGAAGGGAGTATGCGGAAACCTGGGGTGGGAAGTCGCTCTTCGTGCAGGTGGGGAGGCGGAGGTGGGGGCGATAAGTGCGCATGAGCGGGTGCTTGGTTTGTGATGGAATTCGCACGGGGCCGAGCTGTTTGGTTGACTGGCCGATCCAGATGGCGAGAGGGAGGTGCAGGAGCGGCCTCGGCTGGTGACCTTGCAGGAACCCGTGGGGTTTGTACGATACCCAAGAGGAGACGAGGGGTTTGCCCGTAAGGTCGAGGGGGGATGGCTGGGGCGTATGGCCGAAGTGGGGCAGGCGGGGTGGTCGATCTACCAGGAATAGGCAGCTCTGCCGAAACCCATCGTTCCACCCTTACCGCCTCCAACGAGTGGGCACCCAATTGCGCCCGTGTTGACGATCCGCCCGACTCGGAGCTGCTGCTGGACCCCTCAGATTCCGAGTCCACCTCGCGCTCAAATCCTCCCATCCGCAACTGCCTCCTCTCCCTCGCCTCCATCCTGATCCGCCGCGCCTCTGCCTTGCACTCTGCAATAGCATCCTCCTCTCTCTCCTTGGCCAGCAGCTCCGGATACGCAGCGTGGAACTCGCGCAGTTCCATATCGGTGTATCCGCCGTCTGACCGCTTCACATTGCCCGTCTTTGCGTGTTTGGCGTTCAGCCAAGTATAGAACGCGAGCGTGTAGTCCCGGAGGTGGTAGTCGGCTTCTGGTCCAGGAGAGTCGACGTCCTCATCTGGTTGAGGAAGACGGATTGTCCCTGGCAGGGGATGCCTCACGCGGAGGATGGGCGCACCGTGGATCCGGGGAGCGGGGTCGTACCAGTCGCCATCTGGCATGGCGTGAGTCGAGACCAGACGGGCCGCCAAGGCTTCCTGGTCATCTGGGTGGAAGTCATGTGAGGAGGGGATGCCGGCGATCCGTCCGAGAAAGGCTTGTACACGGTGTGATCCAGTCCTGGGTACCGAGGTGGTCTGGGTTGCAGCAGCAGTAGTAGTGGGGAGATCGCCAGCGGCGGAGGGTTGTGGAGGGGAGGAAGTCAGGATTTGACTCGTGGCCAAGTCCGGGGAGCCCGTGTGACCAGCAGGATCGATGCGGACCTCGGAGGTGCGGCGTGACCGAGGAGGAATGCTGGTAGGAAGAGGAATGACCGGAGCAGGGATGATCGGTGCTGGGACAGGCACGGCACCGGGTGCAATCGGTGCTTGGTAGGGAGGTATGTGTGAGAAGAGGGGAGCGATCGTCGCCGGAGTCACTGGGGCGCGTCTGGGGATGTGACTGGGCGCAATGGGTGCCGGCAAGGGTGGGATAGGGGTGAAGAGCGGGGCTGGCGGAGGAGGAGGAGTGACCGGTACAGAAGCGGGGACTGCTCTGGGCGCTATGGGCGCTGGGAAGGGAGGGATGTGGGTGAAGAGTGGGGCAACCGGAGCTGGGGTGACCGGTGCCCGTCTAGGGGCGTGACCGGGGGCGATGGGTACTGGGTAGGGAGGTATGTGGGCGAAGAGCGGGGCACGAGGAGTAAGGGTGATGGGAGTTGAGGCATAGCCTGCTGGCATCACTGCCGGGAGAGAGACTTGCTGGGCAACGGAGACCGGAGCAGGGTGGCTGGAATGGCTGGGTCCAGCAGGGACGACGATGTCAGAGGCGTGGCCGCGGGTCGTGACTCCTCGCACAGTGATCTCCTGCAGCTGGCCGTTCGAAGGCTCGGTCGGAGCTCCGGCCGCCCTCGGCGCTAAGGGGACAGAGGGAGCGACTATAGTCAGATTGATTACCCCTGTCATTGCAAGCGGCTCACCTAGTCTCTGGTGGAGTCGCGCAAACTCTTCCATCTGCGCTACCTGATCTGCCTCCGTCATGCCCTGATACTCATCCTCCCAAAGAACGTTCCCCTGCTCATCGACGTAGAACTCTTCCCCCGTTTCCTGGTCCATATAGAACCCCTCCTCCAGCTCATCCATGAACGCCGGGAACCGATCGTAGTCCTCCCCTGCATCGCTGTATGGAGGAGGCGGCGTGTTGCGTCCGGTATCGGCAGTAGCTGCGCTGCTAGTGGACCTGTGCCCCCTGCCGAGGTTGAGCGGGGGCGGGGAATTCCACGGCGGCGGGAGGTCGATGGGTGCGCCGAAGGGTGCGTAAGCGGAGGAAGGGAGGCGACCGGGGACAGGCCTGGTGAAGAAGGAGGACGACATGGTACGTCGGGTAGTAGCTCAAGATACAGGCGCCTAAGTTGCAAGGGGGCACTTTGGCAGATTGAGCAAAAGATGGAAGATGGAACGGTCAGGAATGTCAGTATTTAAGTCGCGCGCGCGGGGCAGGAGGAGGCGGGAGTTGACACGCGGACATGTTGTCAGCTTGTATGGGTCATCCGACACCAACAACCCGCCTCTTCCACAACAAGTGGCACATTCCGCGCCAAAAGTGCCACTTTGCCACTCAAGGAATGTGTGGCAGCTGGACCAGTCCCCGCTCGGGACACTTTGAAACTGATCCTTATCACTCCATGCTTATAGACTGGAGATACATGTAGGCGACACATAATTACAACATCCTCCTACTGGCACATTTCTGCTAAGAGAAGCGATCGTCCGCGCATCCGCCACCCCTCCAGCGAGCATTCCTCGGGGTCTCCAACAGCCGAGGGTGTTTTCCGGAAGATATCCGCTTGCCCAGGCGGGGTTTGGCGGCGTTAGCTGAAACAAACACGCCGACGCGTGTGATTTCCCTTCCTTTGGTAAGCGCAGGTTGGCTGATGCTGTTTACTCTCACATACAAGCACCGACTGTCCATCGATACAGGCATCATAGCCCACAATGGACCGCAAAGAGTAAGCTCTGTAGTCGCTGGCAACATTAAGAGGGGCTGACGCAGATAGTCTGCGGGAACTGTTCGATAGACACGATATTCCTCCCAATCACGCTCTGTCCTATCTTCCCCCTCTGCCTCAGACCCCGCACACCAACCGTCATGCCTTGGCGGAGTACGCGAGCGACGACGCGGATGAGAAGTACCAGCCTCGGTCTCAGCGTAGACGCGGTCCAGACCGTCCGGAGCGCGAATATCCGAGTAGCACGGTCCGACGCCATGCTAATGGCGGAGGGGACGAAGGCCGCTTGCCCCGCTCAACCACCCTTCCCTCCCTCAGCACCGGGAATCGGGCGGCTCCTCGGAAGTCTCAGATCGACTCGCACTACCCTATGCTCTCTACTCGCCAGTCGTCCATGAACACCGCCCGCAATATCTCTCCTGTCAAAGCGGATTTCTTACCCCCTACACAACCCTCGGCTCTCCTCCATCCCTCCTCGGCCGCTACTCCCTCGTCCGCTACGATCACATCCAGGACGATAGTATCCGCGTCATTTATGCTACCAGCTGGGGCGGACATGTCGATGCTGCAGGATGTGACGTTTGGGGAGCTGGGGCGAGTGAGCCTGGGGAATGACACAGTGGAGCTGGACACCAGGGTTGGTATGGCGGCTGCAAGCGGTCACGGAAGCGCTGTCGGTGTGACAGGCGTATCAGCGCCGATGGTCTCACCGATTAAGCGCGGAAGCCGACCACCGGCGGAGCCCTTCGCCCAGTCCAACCTTCTACCCCGTACTCCGGCCAGGGGTTCGTCGACCAGCACGGCCCCCATCGAGCTCAGCCAACCGTCCACTGTCGTAGCGGAATCCCATGGCCGTGCCCCTTCCACTCTCCGGACTTCGCGCCCTTCCGGATCGATACGTCGACTACCCCCCTCCACTTCCTCCAACTTCCTCACTGTGCCCACCCAAGACCACGCCGGTGACGCCAGCACGCTCCTCCCCGTCAGTCCGCTCAAGACCCGCCATCTCCTCTCGGACGAGCACCTCCTCACGCACACCAAGATGGAGGATGAGACTATGCTCAGCATGAGTCTCTTGATGCCTCCGCTGGTAGGCCCGGTGCGTCGGGCATCACCGGCCAAGACGCCCAGGAGCGCAAAACCCAGAACGAGGGCGGAAGGAGCGGATCAGACGATGGATATCCAGCAGATGATGGCGAGGGCGAATCAGGCGCGGGGAGTGGGAGTGGAGGAGAGTGTGGTGGATCTTTTCCGGGCAGATATGGACGATGATGATATGAATATGTGAGTCTTTTTACTCATTCTTCGTGGTGATCATGCTGACTTGTCAGATCTATGGTCAGCAACACCTTCATCCCGCCAGACTTGCGCCCAGGTCTGGTGCGCTCGAAGAGTCTCTCGCGACTGGAAATGGAGAAGCGGGCTACAGACCGGCCTCGAGCCAACGACGCCCAGGCGGAATATACCCGCACCCTGCCCCGCACACGGCCAACCAGCTACATCGAGCTCGGCGCTCAACCGTCCCCAACTCGTACTCGGCCGGTAGTGGCTCCAGCGCCAATCGCGTCCAGGCGAGTCTCGCTTTCCGTCGGAGCGCTTCCTCTCCCCTCCAGCGCGTCTATGCGAAAGCTGGACTCACCTCTTCGCCGCATCGCCTCGCCCGTCAAGCCGATCGCGCGCCCCGCTGGTCCGGTACCCGCCACTCGCAGCGTCCTCCCAAGGCCTGCTGCAAAGAGCAGTATGCCGCCGTCGGCGGTCAAGGCATCTCAGCCCCCAAAGCCTCGAACGGGATCCACTCCCAGCCTCGTTCCCGCACGCTCGTCAACCCTCCCACGCGCTCCTACCGTTCGCACCACCACGGTCCCAGCACAAGCGGCCCGCACCGGTATCAGGCCTGCGCCAGTCGAGCCGAAGCCTACCAGCAGGCCTGTGGCGCGGCCCTTGCCCACCGGATCTTCCGCTCGCCCGACGGCCAGTACTGTTCCCCGGTCGTTCGGCGGGGATGCTGCGGGCGTATCTAATCGGCTACCTCGACCTCCGACGTCCTCCACCCTACCCACAAGAGCCGCTAAAGGGTCCATGGGCCCACCCGGTCTCCCTCGTCCAACTATCCCAGCGGTATCAGCTGCCAAAGCTCGGACACTCTCCACCCCTGCGACTACCGTGATAAAGCCTCCCAGCTCAATCCGCCCCACCACCACTACCACCTCCCGACCTCCCACAGTCCGTGCCGCTGCTCTGCCCACATCTCGGCCCATACCCTCTGCGCGCGTCCCTACAACTAGCGGATCGACGCTTCCCCGCTCCGTCCCCTCGACTGCGCCGTCCTCCACGCATCCATCGGCGACGATAAGCAAGTCCTCTTCAAGGTCCACAACGGCAGCGGGATTGGCGGATATCAGGGCGAGGCTAGACAAGCTCCAGGCGAGACACCAGACCTCCCGGGTTCCCAGGTAGGGGGGAATATATTTGATTTTGGGACTTTTTACTATAACGACTAGATCTAAGATCTTCTTTTGGGCCTTTAGACATAACGACTAGATATGTTTATCATTCCGCCAGACCTCCCGGGTTGCCAGGTAGGAGGAAAGGGGACTTTTACTGTAACAACCAGATCTGATATTTTCCTTCGGGCCTTCAGATGCAACGACTAGACATGTACATCATTCCGCCAGGACCGCCTCTCCGTCTTCCCATGGCATCGCGCAAAGATCCTCCAATCCCGTACTGACCAACTCCAACCATGCCCCTAGATCCTCCACCGTCCGCTCCAGCTCAGCAAACACCTCGTCCCCCTCTAAACTTCCCAGATCGAGCGGACGGACTGGCGGACCCAGGCTGTTCCCCGCAGAGCCAGACGACGAGACGATAGTGGTGGCCGTGAGCGGAGGAGGTGCGCTGAGAGGGGATGGTTGTGGGAAGTAGCGTGGTGGGACAGCACTTGTCGGAGAGGGTGGTAAGAGGTCTTCCTGATCTGGTATCGTCGCTGATAACTGCCCATCAGCCTTGACATGAGATTGACTGACCTTGATGAGATCTCTCAGATTAACAGCAGAGCCATTCATATCATCCGCCCTGCTCCCACTTCGTGTCCGCACCATACCCGTCCCCGTGGCGAACCGGTCAAACCGACCTGCGGGCGGTAATGGAAGACCCCTCGTCGGACTGGTAGAGTCTCCACCTACCAGCGCGAGCGCTTCCGCCTGTGCTTGCGTCTGACTGGCAGCGCGCCCCTCCATGACCGCGACAGAGGCTTGGCGCATCATGGGCGGCCGGCTGGGGCCTGCGATGGGGATCTGTATAGGAGGGGGTTTAACGGGTGATGCGAGCGCGGGAGCTGCGGAGTGCATACGATGAAGCGAAGGAGGCTGTGGGCGGAGAGGAGAGTGGGTGGAGTCCGGCATACGCGGGGCGACGAGGGGGAACTGGAAGCCGCGTAGACCGTCTCCGACTGAGCCGCCGGGACGCCGGACGGGCGGACGACGAGGATCTTCCGCAGGCTGAGACTTGCTAGTGGGAGCAGAGGAGAGGGTGTCCATGCTTGGCCTGCCCAGAAGCTTGGGCGGGGAAAGCATTTCCTGTTCGCCAAGGCGATGGGTGGAGGGAGCGTCCGAGTCGATAGTGGATGTGCTGGCCGAAGAGGGAGTCTTGCCGTGCGACTTTTCGGGAAGTTTCGGCCGGGCCATGCGGATTGTGGAGGGGTCATAGGCCGAGTCCGACTCCATGTCAGGCAGCTCTATGGCGTTTATGGGAGGGGTACGCATCCGTCCTTCTTGTTCGACGGAAGAGGAGCCATCCGTCTGCGGTGTAGCAGGTTGTTGATGGGCGAAAGATTGGAAGGGGTCTGGGTCGGACGAGTCCTCGTCGTGGAATAGGCGCCGCAGGGATTGGGGAGCGGGGCGTGCGGTGGGTGGTGAGAGGTCTGAATCAGCTGAGTCCTAAATTGAGCTCACAGTTGTCCCCGCTGTCACCTCCTAGCATGCTCATCCTGGATCGGACCGTCTGAGATCAGCCCTGCCCGTTCTGGTACTCACGTCAAACGCCCAATCCCCAACAGGCAGCTCGTGATCCTCGTCGTCCACCCTCGCTCCCATCCCCGGTGCGAGACTCTGCCTCTGCCCTCCACTCTCCTTCCAGTGCAGAAATTTGGTGATCAACTCCCCCAGCGACGTGAGCGGAGTCTTGGCCGTCATCCGTATCCACCGCATCCGACTCAGCTCTTCCGCCGGTATCCGATCCCCTGGCTCTTCGTTCAAACACGCCGTCACGAACTCCTTCATGTCCTTGCTCCAGTGCTCCCCTTCGAGGCGCGGCGCTCGAAGCTTCTTGTCGCCAAGAAGCGCTACAGCGCGTGCAGCAGGTTGACCGGATAGAGGCGGTTCTCCATATGCCATCTCGAGGAGAGTGATGCCGAGGGACCAGATGTCCGCCTTGGCGTCGTACATCCGACCCTCGGTGACCACTTCGGGAGCCATCCAGTAGGGTGTACCGACAAAGGTGGAACGCTTCGATGCGGTCGAGGAGAGGAGTGCGGCGACGCCAAAATCGCATAGGAGGACGCGGGTGGGTGATGCTGTAAGGAGGATATTTGCCGCTTGATATCAGCTTGAACGGTATTAGCCTTACCCTTGAGATCTCGGTGGATGACGCCATGCTTGTGCAGAAAGTTGAGGGCGATCAGAGTTTCCCGCATGATGAGGCAGATATGTTGTTCTTTGAGGGGTTGGGCACGGGACTGAATCAGCTATAGCTTGGTAAGGACTCACCAATGTCCTGATACTTCCACCCTCGGCCAGCTCCATGATGATCCACACTCTCGGCCCGTCCATCAAGCTCCCATAGTACTTGATGACGTTCGGCAAGATCCCGTCCTTTGCGCTTCGCATGAGCTGCTGCAACAGGCTGATCTCCTTCTGGATATCCCCGACGTCGTCATCTTCTGTATCGAGGTTGATGATCTTGAGGGCGACGATGTGACCAGTAGAGCGATGTTGCCCCTTGTACACAGCTCCGTATGCCCCCTTTCCCATGATCTCGAGTTTCTACAGATCAGCAGGTGCATCTCTCGAATAGACAGTGCTTACCTCGTACAGGCGGTCCGGATTCGCATCTTTGGGCTGGATAGCCAGAGCTGACAGGTAGCTCTGCTCCTTGGAGCTTGCGCCCTGGACCACCATGGTGCCTTAGTGAAATATGGGTGGATATAGAGGCAAGGGATGATCACGACGCGACCGCGAAACGAAAGAAGCTCCTTGGGCTGGCAGGCCCGTGCGTACGTGTTTCATCTTTTGGACAGCTGTTTCAAGTAACATCCCAACGATTCTCTACTCCAAATTTCCTGCCTTAGGTCGCATGGGTCGCTACACTAGGTCGTATCTGTCCTGAAGACAACTTGTGTCAGGTGTATCGAACAGCGAGTCCGACAAGTCTCGAGGCTAGAGTCGAGATTTTGCGTTACGTAATAGCCCTTTCGGCCGTCGCGCGCGTGCGGTCGCCAGAAATGTTGATGAGAGAACAATCGTTCACATTATTGTGATCGATACAGTCACAATGGACGCAGGTCCCAGCCAGCCTCACCTGACGTTCCCATCTCTTAGTCAGGAGGACCTCGGACGCGTCGCAAATGTAGGTTGGTTCCTCGGCCTGAGCTCATCTAGACCATTATCTATCTCTTTGACCCTTCGACCTCGGCCGACCCTGCTCGCGCAAAGCAGCTCCAAGCGGACTTGCACCAAATACAGTCGACGACTGAGGCCTGGGGCCTAATAGCCGGCTTATCCGCGCACGAGGTAAGCCCCCAGGTGGCGTCACTGATGGCAGGACGCAAATGTCCGGTTCTTCTCTGCGCACACCGCCCAGGTCAAGATATCTCGGGACTGGTGGGTTCGCCCACGGCCGAGCTGACTCTAGGGATACCCTACCAGCGGAACTCCGACCTTCGCTCCTCAACCTCCTCCTTAGCACACTCTCTTCTGCTCTCAGCCCACTGAGCCCACATCCGTACCAACCTGCCAACGGTGTGGTCACTCGGAAGATCTTCGGCTCGGTAGGACACCCCGGCTCGGCCTAGACGCTTGCTGATCGTCAGCTCGCATCTCTCATCCTACGCTTACCTTTCCATCAATTTCCCAGTCCACTCATCACGGTCTTGCAAACAATTGTAACCGCTTCTGGCACGAACGGGAATGAGCATAAGGCGCGCATATGGAGTTTGGAATGGTGTGGTATCTGTGTGGAGGAGCTGGGCCGGGCAGGTATTAGCGATCAGAAAAGGTTAGCACTCAATCTGCCGAGCTGATTACAGAAAAGCGCTGCAGATGCATATCGAGGGCGATATGCCCGCCGTGATGAGCGCAATAGCTGGAGGGATGGAGATGGGCGAGCCACAGGTGGAGAAGCTGAAGGAGGCTGAGGCGGCATGTAGGTGTGCCGAGAGCTGGGTGGGTTATGGGATACGTGCAGAGTAAGTCAAAGTCCGGCTGAGCTGATGTAGTGACCTGCTGTCCCTGCTCCCTGCGCTGTACCGATTACTCCCTCTACCTGCCGCTTCATCCGCCATCACCGAGATCCTCACCGAGAGCACCTTCAAATTCGGCAAAGCTACCAAAGCGCTGACGGAGCCGCTAGTAGCCTGGACGATCGGGCTGGGCCAGGCAGTTCTGGACAATGGCGATTCCGATACGATGGAGGAGCTGGTCGGCGTGACCAAAATGCTCTGCGCTTTGGTCGAGCACTCGTCAGAGTGGCTAGTCACTCGGATCACACAGCCTGATGTCCAAGCCTTCTTTGGAACGGTCTTGCGATTGACGGGATGGACTGGGACGGCTGGTGTCGATGAGGAGGTCTCAGAGGTGAATCCATTCATGAGCGAGCTGACGTAGATAACTCTGGCCACCTACCCCCTCATCCAAGAAGCCATCATGGACTCGCCCCTCTTCTCCTCTCCCCACGAGACCTCGCCCGACTGGCAAATCGCCAAAGCCCTCTTCAGCCAGCTCGTCTCTGTCATACGAACCAAAGCCCGCTATCCCGACGGCAGCATGGACAAGGAGAGAAGGGAGACGTTTGACACATGGCGTCGTGACGCCGGCGAGGTCATCGTCTGCGCCTTCTACATCCTCCGCGACGCTATGCTCGGCGGCCTCACGCAGACCGCTTTGAGTCAAGTCCACGGTCCATGGCAGGACATCGAGGCGACGCTCCACTGCATATCGTTCTCTTCCGAGGCGGTCCCACTGGGCGAGGAGGTATATTTACCAGTCATATTCGGCCAGCTTCTCCCCCAGCTCGCTCAACGGGAACTCAACGAGATCAGGCTGCGGCGTACGGTGGTCGGTCTCATCGCGGCGTACGAGGAATGGTTCAAGTTTCATCCGGATTACCTCTTACCATGCCTTAATTACCTCGTCAATTCGCTCTCCCTCCCCGCCATGGCACCCGCCGCCGCAAACACCCTCAAATCGCTCTGCGACATGTGTCGGAAGAAGCTCGTCCAGCACATCGACGCATTCGCTGAGCTGCACGGGAAGATCGGGACCATGGGGGTGAGTCATCCCAAGGGAATGCTCTGACAATAGGCGGAGGAACAAGTCAAGGTTGTGCAAGCGATCACAAGCGTGATCCAAGCGCTGTCACCAGAGAACGCAATAGGTCCAATAGAGGTGAGCTATGGCTTTGCATTGCTTACCCAGGGAATTGTCACCCCCATCATTGACCAACTCGACGCCACTGTTCAATCGCTTGACCCAGAACGGCCCCTCGCGCAGCATATCGACGCGCTGGCGGCCTGTTTCAAAGGTCTTACTCCTAGCGAGGACGATATCTTTGATGCAGACGTCGATACCACGGCCGACGATGCTCAGATCCGGATTGTCAAGATGGACCCAAGACTAGCGCATATACGAGATCGGGCGGAAAGATCAATAGCGGGAGTCGTGAGGGTATGGACGGGAGACGGGGAAGTGGCGGATGTAAGTACGAGCAAGATCGCGCTGACATCAGTCAATATCATCCCTTCTCAAGCACTCTACCATATCTGAAACGCTCATATCGCTGTCCCCTCTTCCACTTCTTTTGCTTGTCTGCGCAGCAGCGGAAGTTGCACCATCCGCTTTATGGCTCTCCCTAGCATCCACCTTGGTACTCCGTATCAACTCGCCGCCCAGTCCCTTGACGATCAAAAAGGACAAGACGCCAGACGAGCAGCAGCAACATGAAGCAGAAGAGCAGGGTCGATGGAATGTGGTGGCGGATGCAGCTCAGCGGCTTGGCCGAGTGGCGGGGATATTGATAGGCTCGGACGCGGGCATGAAGGAGGTGAGACCAGTCTACGTCAGAGCTAACTGTAGCATCCCGATGTTGTCGAGGCCTTCTTCAAGTTCTCCTCGGCGTTATCGTCGCGATTTCCCGGCGTGCTGCTGCGTCTCCCAGCTCAGACCGTCGAGACGTACATGGCTCTTGGTGTGATGGGCCTCTCGGCGCAAGAGCGGTTCTCCTTGACCACTACTGCATCCTTCTTTGTGAGTCCGATCATGGCTGGGCTAATGTAGGTCGCGCTCTTTGCCAATACTCGCTTCCCATCCCCACTAGAACCCATCGCCGATTCGCTCATCAAGCACTTTGGTCCGCAAATCTTGCGCGCGCTGCTGCTGTCGGCCGGATCGGACGGACCAAGGTCGGCCATTCCCAATCTGGCGGAGCTGCTAGCCGGTCTGATCACGAGGGTTCCCGGTCCGGAAATGTCCAGCTGGCTGCAGACGATCCTCGGCGAAGAAGGATTTCCAGATAGGAGATCGACGCCAAAGTCGAAAGAGCGGTTAAAAACGGAGATCCTAAAGTGAGTTGCCACTTGACGGCGCTGACGAAGATCTCGAACAGCCAAAAAGATGCGCGTTGCTCTGCACGAGTTTGCCCTCATTGCCAGAGGACTGGACAATACGACGTACGGTAACGCTACTGCATTTTGATGCATCAAGTCAAGCCGCTTTCCCTCAGCAGTCTGACCAGCATCTGAGACGCCTTTCTCGTCCGCTCCAGTCCTTCCCAGCTGCTCTCTTCCCCGTCCCAGCCCATGTACTTGACATCTCCGCCGACACCCTCCGGCAAGCATCCCGCCAAAAAGTCTCGCAAGACCTCCTCGGTCTCGCACTCCGCCTCGAGGAAGATGGACGCCGCGGTCTGTGAGGGGAGGTTGTGGATCGTCAGCGTGACGGGAGGATGAGGAGCGGACGGGGGCGAAAATGTGAGCGAGGTGATAGCTAGTGGTGTGCCTGGTAATGTGGTTGGACGGGGTATCTCCGCCGTTGTAGAGGCCGCTGCTCGAGCGGATTTAGTCAGGCCCATGACGAATGGGCTGAGGAGGTTCGTGAGGAGGGGAAGGACATGCGCGGCGGGTCGGACCGCAATAGAGGAGAATTGAGAGGGTGCTGCAGGCTTGATGGTCTGGTCAACCGTTGGTTCCGGGCCATTTACAGCTGGACGGTCGTCGATAATGATGAAGGTGGTGTTGTCTCTAGGTTGGGAAGGGGTTTCGCGTCCAGGAAGAACGGGTGGGGAGTACGCCAAGGTAGTGAGAAGCCGTGTAGACGTGTCGACCGCAGCGCGGAAGGTCCGAAGTTGCACCGTCGTCCGTATAGGCTGGGACAGCTGGCCATCAGCACTACCTGGAAGGGTGTGGAGTACTCACCCCATAATGTTCAAGTATCCGGGTAAGGATGTACTCATTCAGAGGCGCAGTACGTTGCGGTGGATTGTACGTCCACTGAAGTAGTCTAAGATGAGCTTGGAAGAGCTGCAGCTCACATTGTATGGCCCATACTGGTCAAGTCGAATTTCGCAAGGTGAAGGTGAACTGACAAATGTGAACAAATCATCTCTCGACCATACCTCTTCCTCGCAAAGCTACGCTTGCTTCCGGCTTCGAGTAGGATCACACATACATGACCACCGAGCTCGAACAATGAAGGTGACGGTCCTCTCCTTCAACGCTGTCGCTGCGTGGAAGTGGAACGCGTCGACCGAACCCCATCAGCTCTACGCGTACGCCAGTCGCGGTCCGGACGGGCAGATCGAAGAGTACGACGACGACGATGAGGAGGTGTGCGGGATCTGCCAGTCGGCGTTCGAAAGTACCTGCCCAGAGTGCAAAGTGCCTGGAGATGATTGCCCGTTAAGTGAGTCGGGGGTTTGGTAGAGCTGATAATAGTATGGGGGGAATGTTCCCATATCTTCCACATGCACTGTCTACTCAAGTGGCTCGAGACGGAGTCTTCGAAACAGCAGTGTCCGATGGACAGGCGGTCATGGGGTGAGTGCTCAAGCCAGCAGATGGAGTAGAGCCAGGCTGACCTCCAGTGACCGCAGATCGCGCGCCTGACAAGCTGCCCACAACGGTGGATCTGGAGCCTGTCGCGTCCCTCATACCGGGTCCCATCCCTCCGACCGGCGCAATATTGCAGAGTGGACATGCGGAGGGGGCCGTACCAGCGGGTGATCAGAGCATGGAGGTGGACAGCAATCGTTAGGGAGACCGAGAACTTTCAGTTGTATATGCACCGCTTCGCGCCAAGATTTCACTCCTCATTCCTTTGTTGCCTCTCTACCATGGACGGACATGATCCCGAGCGCGACAGCGCACAGGTCGGGACGGACTCTATACGCCCACCACCGCCACCTCCCATGAACGACCTCCACTCGCTCTGTCAGCGCGGCGATATTGCGGGCTTGCTCGCCCTGCAAAGCGCAGATCTAACTCTCGACTACTCGTCCCGAGACGCGCAGGATGTCACCCCTCTCCACTGGGCGTCGATCAACGCGCATATTGGGGTCTGCAGGTGGCTGCTGGATAGCGGGGCGGATGTGGATGCGGTGGGAGGGGAGCTGAAGGCGACACCGCTGCAGTGGGCAGCAAGGAACGGGCATCTCTATGTCGTCCACCTGTTGCTCAGTCGAGGGGCAGACCCCAATATCTTGGACGCTCAGGGCTTCAGCACCTTGCAGCTCATCACACACTCCAGCGCTGTCATGCCTTTGCTGTATATGGTGAGTCGACAAGAGATCGCGCTGATGCCAGCTTCACCAACCTGTTGCTATCGACGAAAAAGACTCGGATGGGCACACTCCCTTGATGTGGGCGGCATATCAGGGCGACGCCATCTCGGTCGACCTGCTTATACGACATGGAGCTTCTACACTGGCGAGGGACAATGCTGGAATGACACCACTACATTGGGCGGCGGTCAAGGGGTCCAAGGCGTGCATCCAGCACCTGGTAGCGGCGGGCGCAGATCTGGCAGCCAAGGAGGATCAAGGCAAGACGCCAAAGGACATGGCTGAGGAGCTCAAGGGGTCGATACCGTTCAATCGGGCTCTTGAGGAGGCGGGGTATGCGGGAGGTGTGGCGGTGGTGCCCAAGATGACCGAGGTGAGCTATTGTTTGACGATGCTGATGTAGCGAAATACAAATATCGCCATCTTTGTCCTGCCCACCGTCGTCCTTGGTGTGATCTTCAAGTCCTTCTCGCTTCTCCCTGGTTACATGAGCTACCCTCTGGCGTTCTTGGAGTTCTGGTTGATGCAATATGTGAGTCCGAGCTCGACTTTGCTGATCAGATCGTCGTCAGAGTCCTTCTCCGCCATCGACCCGAAGAGAACAGGGTGACCTCGTCGCCCTACTTTGCAGCTATCATACTCGCCAGTATGGTTTGGGTCGGCTGGTGTTGGGCAACCAAGCTTGTGCGAGGTAAGCTGGGTCTTGAAATGCGCTGATGTAGGCGCTATGGGCTATCCCTTCCTCCATTTTGCCTTCTTCATGTCATTTGCCACATGCGTTGCGGGTTTCTATAACTCTGTCCGGTCAGATCCTGGCTTCGTACCAACAGCCACCGATGCGGACGTCAAAATGGTGAGTCTAGCGTAGACTGAGCTGATGTAGGCTTTAGAAGAACTGGTCGAGCAGGGACGTCTAAACGGGACAAACTTCTGCGTCGAGTGCCTGGTGAGTCTTGTCTACGAAGTAGCTCACTTAGTCTCGTCGCCCTCTCCGATCCAAGCACTGCCGACAATGCAAGCGCTGTGTCGCGCGCTTCGACCATCACTGCCCTTGGGTGTGGAATTGCGGTGAGTCAGCAAGATGAGCAAGCTGACGATAGTGGGATTCCGGAATCACCGACACTTCCTCATCTTCATCCTAGCTTTAATATCTGGGATCTGTCTGTTCGACTATCTTGGTGTAGCATGTGAGTTGCATCTGAGGTATAGCTAAAGGCAGATATTCTGGAGAACGCTCCCGAGATGGACCCGCCCGGACCCGAGCCTAGTCTCTGCAGCATCTCTGAGACCCTCTGCCGCGCTGCCTCATACGACTCCTTCCAACTAGCAGTGATGTGCTGGGCGACACTCCAACTCACCTGGACATCACTCCTCGCCGTCAGTCACCTGTGGCAGATCTCCCGCCAGATGACCACATTCGAAATCTCCAACCTCGGTCGATATGGTTACATGGGCGGCCGAGGAGGTGCATCTCTGCGAGACCAGAGCGGAGCTATGAAGCAAGCGACCAGTATCGGAGCCGGCATCGGACCCAGCGGTGCCGGCGAGGAGGGGACAGGTGGCATGGTCGTATCGCCCGATGGCATGGCGGCGGGTCATCATCATTCGCACCGAGGAGGCGGTGCGATTCGGGCTATATCGGGGCCGCTGATGAAGGTGTTGGGGTTGGATCGGTTTACCAAGGGCAAGGCGGTGAGCGGGATGCGTAGGGCAGGGAAGGATCAGAACCCGTTTGATCTTGGAATCGTCAAGGTAAGACAATGGCGAGACGGCGCTAACGAGCAGAATTGCCAGGACTTTTGGTCGAATCAGGCAATAGACTATACTCGGGTATACGATATACCTCCGGAAGGGTGGCCTGCGTATCGACGCCGAGCAGCGATGGAGGGAGGGGCTAGCACGGCAGGGAAGAAGGGATATCAGCCTGTTAATAGCTCGGCCGAGGACCAGGTCTAGCCGGCATGTACGTAATACGGAGCGATTTGCTGGAATCGGCCGAGCGGCCGATCGCGCCGGCATGACGTCATTGCTCCTGGGCTTGACCTCCACTCGAAGATTTCTGGCTGACATGACCACATCGAAGTGGGTGATATAAGAGGAAAGCTGCTGTCCCCTTCGTTCTCTTACATCGAGCATCTACCTTCCCCGGCACTATCGCCACATACCTCCAAACCCGTCATTCACAATGCTCGCGCTCACTCTCGCTCCCCTTCTCCTCCTCGGGTCCACCCTCGCGGTGCCCGCACCTATCCCCAACGGCGGCGTCGGTGTCCGTACCAACGACACCGCACCTGTCTACGGTACTATGACCGACTTCGACTACGAGTCGCTCAAGCTAGGCCTCTATCAGGAGTGGATCGAGCTAGACCTGGTACGTCCGCTCGAAGGGTTCCGCTGTCGAGTTCTACGCTGATTTCAGTTCAACTATGGTACGTCGCTCGAGAAGGGTTCCGCTGTCGAGTTCTACACTGATTTCAGGTGTCGCTCGATTCTCCGCTCAGGAATTCGCCGATGCGGGCCTGAACGCTGAGGACATCAGTCTGATCCAGTTCATGGCTCAGCAGGAGGTGCATTGTCGTGACCTCCAAAATCAGCCGTGAGATCAGCACTGATTCGACCAGGTTGGACACGCCACTCTCATCACCAACATGATCAACAACGGCGGTCGCCAAGCCCCCAAACAGTGCACCTACAAGTATGACTTCCAGTCAGTGCGGGAATATGTCGCTTTCTGTCAACGTCTCACGCGGTGGGGCGAGTCGGGCGTCTACGGTTTCCTCTCTCACCTCGACTCCCGCCCGGTCGCTACCCTCTTGACTCAATCCATCACCACCGAGGCTCGTCAGCAGATGGTCTTCCGCCAGTGTGAGTGACTACTCTCAGCTTCATATACATGAGCCTAGCTGATAGCACAGTCTCCGGTGCCCACCCTTTCCCCGTACACTTCGAGACCGGTATCTCTCAGTCCATGGCTTGGTCTCTCCTCAACCGGTATATCGTATCTTGCCCCGCAGGTACTCCCAAGATCGTAAGTCTCCTGTCCACTCCCAAGTTCCCGACGTAGTCTGATCATCAGTCATGGCCGAGCTTCCCCCTTCTTAACGCCACCAATCAGCCCAGCATCCTCGTCGACGGCTACAAGGCGGCGATCACCCACAATCGCACATCGCTCACTCAGGCCGGTCGCAATGTCACCTTCTCCTGGGAGGCTGCCAACAAGACTATTTCGGCGGATGGAGGCTACAACACCACTGTCGGAGGCCAGGTAAACGGCACACAGCCCAAGGTCAGCTCTTTTTGATCACCAACGAGTTCCACGCTGATGATCAGTTCGTCGCCTGGATCAACCAGCTCAATGTCACCTACACACCTCTCACCCTCACCAGCAACTATACCGGCTACGCTACCCAGCCCGGGGGAGTCGTCTTCGACAGCACACCCACGAATGGCATAATAAACGGCACGAGCTTTGTTGGTCTCTCGGTGAAGGATCTCTACGTTACTCCCTACAACTTGTCTTTGTTGAATGACTACCTGGTCGCCTTCAACACCTACCAGTCAAACTGAGCAGAACCGTATCGGAGGGGAGAGTGTAGGGGCGCCGTAGTATAATATCGAAGCTGTAGTTTATAATGCACCCCAATCAAGAGCATATCTCCGCCTCTGCCTCGCTTCCATGTCCCTTCATTCTGCGCCTTTTCGAACCTCCTCCAATGACCGCTGGAGTGTCTCGCGTAATTTGGTGACCATGGGCGCTTCCTCCTTGTCCGGTGGTGGCTGCAATCAGCAAGACTCCATCCTCGACTCACCAGCTGATCAAGCAGGTACCTGCAGCATGAGCAGAGGCACGAGAATGCTGAAAAGTATGACTGGACTCACTCCACCTCGTCAATCGTCTGCTCGACATCTCAGTGATGTCTTCATCTGCTTGACAGCGAGACTTACGAGTACTACGGGGATCCTGCACGTCAGCACATCACTTTCTCCTGTCCCACCTGTTCATGCTCTTTATCTGCTTGGGTAGCGTGAGGGAGCTTGATGTATCAAGCAGAGATGACCCAAGATACGTTCATTGCTTTGGTAACAACAGGTTATGAAGGGCTGGGATCGGAGCCCCGCGGGGCTCGCATTGATGGGTCATAGAAGAGCCACCTGCGCGGTAGCATACTTGCGAGCTTATCCATCTGCTACATGTCTACGGCTACATACTCTGCTCCAGCCCTTACATCGAGAGCTGCCTTGTCTAATGCTATCGTTTCCGCCGCCTCTTCCCTCCCTGTCACGCGCAAATCACACGTACAGACGGATCACTGAGCGCTCCCCGGCCCCTGCTTTCCCCGTCGATGCTGCGACCATCATTGAACCCGGTACCAGAAGAACGTGCCCCAGCTGACAAGTGATCTTTGTCCCCTGCTGACTAGCTTCGTCCGATGCCAGTGACAGTATCACTAAGCGCAGCACACGCCCCCGTTCGGACCATATCGTTTCAACTCCCGTCGCGTCGACCGATCAGGCATATGCTACATCTTTACGCTCCATCTACCATCTACTTCCTGAGGACCAGCCCCGACCACACTCCTATCACCGCTGTGGCCGTACAGACCACCCAGATGAGGTTGCCTCCCCAAATCTGCTTGTCGATAGATACAGCGAAGAGTATTGACGCGCCTCCGGGGCCGAGCGTCCGCACAAACGATGATACGACTTGCGAGTAGCCTGATGTCAGCTGATCCTTGCGACAACTCACCATTGATAGCTCCCAGTGAACGCCTAGATGGAGCCGCCTGGTTGACCATCAAGAGATTGCAGACAAACGCCATATTCCCAATCGCCGCGCATACCAGCGTCAAGGTCAAGCTGACCCATACCATCGCCATATTGCCTCCGCGCGCGATGAGGTTGACAAAGGGGAGACCGAGGAAGGTGGGGATCCAGAAGAACATGAGGATCTTGTACAGTCGCCAAGTACCGATCTTGCGCTGGAGCCAGGGGAAGGCGACGAGCTGGACGACGAGGATGAGGACGGCTCGGACCGACATGGCATTCCCGATGTTCTTCTCGCTGAAGCCTAGACCGCCGTCGATTGCGGGCGTAAAGCAGAACAGGGGATGGATTCCCATGATGGCCGAGCCCATGAGCGAGAGGACGCCAAAGCTGACCATGATGAGGTTGATCTTGGTGGTGAAGATGTCTTTGAGCGGCTCGGGCTCGTCCGGTACCGCGTCGGGGTCGCTGCTGATGGAGGGTGGAGGGAGGGTCTCTTCGAGCCAGATGAAGGCGGCGAGGGAGGAGAGGAGAGGGAAGAGGCCGGCGATGAGGCAGGGGAGGAGGTAGGGGTACGTCTTGAAGATGGGGAAAGTATTGGCAAAGTTGGGGTAGTGCCGGCCGACATTGGCGTACTCGCCGCCGACGTACGACGCGATGAGGGTACCGAGGTTGAGCATGACGGGGAAGAGGGAGAAGGCTCTCGACTCGTTGGTCTCGTCACAGATCTCAGCCCTAGAGGTCAGCTGAAAATGACTCAGGACTTACATTATACACTTTAGGACCGCGACATTCCCGTTCATCAAGCCGTTGAACGAGCGAGTGACAATCATCATGGTGAGAGACTTGCTAAAGCCAAACATGATAGCCGATATCGCAGATCCGATCGATCCCTGGAGTCAGCGCCATCAAGTCTGGACTCACGATAATGAGGATGGGCTTCCGCCCCCATCGATCCGACAATGATCCCCAGTAGAAGACGGTCGTCAGCTGGGTGATGGAGAATATCGATTCGATCTGGCTTCAGCGTTGTCTTTGTGGGAACATACGATTCCTGCTGGCCATCCGACATCTTTTGGGTCGTCTACAGCCCCCACATCCAGCAGCATCTGGTTGAGGAACGGAAAGCAGACGAGAAACGCGATCGGCTCGGTGATCCGGAGGAAACATATCAGCGCCAGTTGAAATTTGGGCAGCGGTGTCGCGCGGCGCTGAGGGTCCTTGGCCAGCAGAGGCTGTGTCTCGGTATCATTAGCTAGGGCGGACATGATGGTGGTGGTGTGTACGATGAAAAGACAGCGCAGAGAAGAACTGGAAGAGACTTGTTCCACCGGTCCGTCCACCGGCGCCGGTCGGACCGGCAACATTCCGCGTACCTCCACTTGCTGCTCTCTTCCCCAGGGGTGCTTATTAGCTGGATTGCCACAGCTTGAGCAGGTCTGAGCACTCGAGCCGACGCAAAGCTATACATATTATAGATGAATACAATCAGACACGAGTCCAGAAGCGCCTCTCTGTGGCGAATCGAGCTAAATCAGCATAACAAAGGTCCTAACTCACCATAGATAGCTAACAGGGCCCCGGTGAATTGCGCACACGCCCCCAATATGATCACCCATTTGAAGGTGGTACGTCCGCTCGCGTCGAAGAGTGCCCCTCCCGCCGGACCACTGATAAAGTTCCCAGGCGCATTGGCAAGCAGAAGAAAGCCGACATTAGTAGCGAGATTTGACGGGCCAAAGACCTGGACGATGATTTGCGGTAGTAACCCGACGTACCCGGGTGCGATCTGCATCAGAAGTGCCAGAGTTGAACTCACCAAGCCGTACATAACCGCAAAGACACAAACTTGCGCGAAGCTCTTGGCGGTGAGCCACAGTGCAAGCTGGACCACGCCCGAAAGGGAGTAGATCAGGATGTAGGTGTTGATAGGGCCGAGCTGATCCGCCACGTATCCAGACAAGGCGCGTCCGACACAGACTGAAAAGGCGAGGAGAGTGGTAGGACTGATTAGCGCATCCCAAGTCAGACTTACATGGCGGTCTGGAAGGTGGGTGTATCAGGAAGATTTACGGCGATCCACTGTGGCATCCAGATGTATGGCATTCTGCCTCAGCCCCATCATGCTGATACTCACGCATAGCCAAGGATAGCAATCAAGAGACTGGTGAAGATCGAGATAAATCTTGGTGTTTTCAGCGTCTTTGTGTCGATCCACGGACCTCTACCGCGTCCTTGGGCTTCGGGAGCTGTTGGGCGGGTACGGATGAGGAGGGTAGCGGCAACCGTTACAATCGCGTTGATAAAGGAGCAGATACTGAGTCAGCACTATCCAATTGGGACTTACATTAGAGTATACTTTGTTCCCAGCGCGCTAAGCATCGGCCTGACCATGAGCGTAGAGAAGCCGCCACCGAGACCGGCCCCGCCGATGGCGATTCCGCTGGCAAGCCCTCGATGCCGGTCAAACCACTGCGAAGGTAGAGACATGAACAGGGGTATGGCCAAGCCTTGGCCAGCGCCCACGATGATCCCCTGCCCGTCAGCTGAGCCTCGAGGAGGAAGTGAGGCTCACCTGCGTCAGAAGGATATGCCATATTTGTGTCGCAAAAGCAGCGCTGAAGAGACCGATCCAGGTGACCGCCGCGGACACGTACAGAACGCGCTGAGATCAGCTTGGCCTCGCTCGACTCACCTTGAACCCGTACTTGTCCCCCATCCTACCGCTGATGAAGCAGACAAGGTTCCCCATAAAGGGCGAGAAGGTGCCGGCCATGCTTAGATATGCCGAGCTTGCACCAGGGAAGACCCTCTCGGCATAATACTGCCATCAGCTTTGGTTCTCAGACATGACTCACGGTTTGGAAGATGCCCCAGTTCATTCCCCAGCCCATCGTCAGACCCGCCAACGTTGCACAGCAGCCGACTACCACCCAGCCGTATCCTCCATCTGGGTAGACGTGAGGCTCGAGCTCTTCCGAAGCTTCCGGTGGAGACTCTTTGGTGTCCTGTACGACCGACTTGCGACTCGTTGTTGGTGACAATTCTTCCCTCAGCGGTACAGGATAGACTGCTCGTGCGGCCCGACCACCGGATCGAAATCTATCGAGCAAGCCGCCTTCAGGAGGAAGTCCAGCGGCGATCCGCGCTTCCCGCTGCCTCGCCTCAAGCTCTACTCTTTCCCTCTGCTGCGTCGATATACGCCGAAGCGGACCTCCTCCTCCGACTGAGGCGGCATCGAAGACGGCGACGACATCTGGAGGATGGACGATGGAGGTCGCTCGGGAGAGCTGGCGGGTGGGTACCGCAAAGGGTGTCTTGGGCTCGATTGGCGCTGCCATCGGGGAGGGAGAGATACTACGGAAGACCAGAGGAATGTGTCAATGTCAGATACAGGTTCCAGGCGCGCTCCAACTTGGCGTGGACGAACAATGAGGTGAATGCATCGGGTCTGGCCGAAAGAATTGACTCAAGCTCGGCCCTGCTCGGGCCGTGAAGAGTGGGGAGGGTGGGGTGAGGGGTTGACAAGGAGGAATGTGGAGAAAATCCTGAAACGCGGGGCCGGGATATTGCCCCGGTCCGAGTGGCAAAAATGCTATTTCCGGCCGAATTGTCCGAGTTCTCCGAATGTGGCGGTGTCAGCAAGAGTGAGCCAATCAGAATCCAGGAACGCGCGCTCCTTTGGCGCTTGGTCTCCTTCCTTCCCTCTCGCCCCTTGCCTTCCCTTCCCTTCCCTTTCCCTTGCCCCATCACCGCACCACGCGCCCTTGTCACCCTCTCCTCTTGCCCCTTACCTTACTTTTATCACCTAAACACCCGCAGCGCCTTCCCTCTACCACGTAAAGCCTATCCAGCGGCGACCACGCTTTGGGAACTGCGTGTTCACTTTCACTGGCCGCCGTCGCACCCCTTTCCTCGCGTCTCGCCCCGTCACCGTCACCAAGCTCAAACAAGCTAGACACACACTATCACCCCTGCGTTTCAGCATCCTAGACCCTGGCGACAAGGCACCATCTCAGCTGGAACCAAACAAAGATCGCTATCGGATAAGATAGTAGTGGCGGGGATGCAGAACACGTCCCATCCCGGGCCATGGGTGTCGGTAAGTTAAACCCTTTGCCTTGGCTGACGATAGCCTCCAACCCTTGCCACCAATCAGCGGTCCCTCTCAAACATCGAGGCTGAGCGCAGCCCTCAGCAGTACCATGGGGGGTTCCAGTACCCGCCGGGCATGTCCTATTACCCCAGTCAAAAGTAAGCATCACCCTCACACCACTCTTGCCGAGCTGACCCTCAGTCTTCCTTACAGAAGACCTTCCGACAAACCCACTACTCCTCCAGCGACCGCGCCTCCCGGTGGCCACGCGCCCACTCCCTCGCCGACCTCCCTCTACTACCCTCGTCAAGAGTATCAACCCTCCTCAGCGCCTCCCATACCCCAAGCTGTCCAAGGCCACCCTTACGCATACTATCCCGGCTACGCATACGACTACAACAATTACCCCCGGCAACCGTCTGGATCTACTGCTCCCGCCCAGTCACCCATACTCGGCGAGCGGTCACCTGCCGACTTCTCCCCTGGCTACCCCTATGATCCCCGCCAACAACGTCCTGCGCAGCAGTTCTACTCCCAGCAACAATTTTACCAATGGCAGGGATACAATTATCCTGCTCCCCCGCCTCCTCAGTCGGCACCGCCGCCCCCGGAGCAGGTCATCGGGAAGCGGTCTCCCGAGGAGAAGGAGCAGGAACTTCCGGTGGACAAGAAGAAGAGGAAGAAGGTGGCCCTGGTGGTGAAGAAGGAGGAGGCCCCCCTGGACATCCCAGGACCAGCGATGAAGTCTCGGCTCAAACCTCCTCGGCAAGCCCAGTCAGCCTGGCAAATGTTCTTTGCCGACGAGCTCGTCCGCGCCAAGGCTGAACACGCGGACCTTCCCGGAAAGCTCAATGTCGCCCAGATCGCCAAGGACGCCGGTACCGCCTACTCCAACCTGGACCCCGAGCGAAAGGCGTTCTACGCCGCCAAAGTCCAGGCGGCCAAAGAGCAACACACCAGAGAATACATGGCGTGGCAGGCGGCATTGACTCCGGAGGACATTCGGCTCGAAAACGCGTTCCGCGCTCAACAACGCAGAGACGGCAAATCCAGAAAGGCGAACATTAAGGATCCGAACGCTCCAAGGAAACCCCTTTCGGCGTACTTTCTCTTTCTCAAGAGTATACGCGAGGACGCCGAGCTGCGAGCAAAGGTGTGGGGGGCCGAAGCAGAGACGACCAAGCAGAGTGTACTGGCGGCGCAACGATGGCGGGCGTTGACCGATGTGGAGAAGCAGGTGAGCACTTGTGGCGATTTAGCTAATGTCAGCCCTACCTCCAACGAGCCGAGGCGGACAAACTTCATTACGATACAACGAAAAGGCAATACGAGGACGATGCGGCGGCCAGATCACGGGGCGAGACTGTACCCAGTCGCTCGGTCGATGTCAAACCACCCAATGTCGAAATACCCCTCTCGCTCAAACTGGCACTCAGTCCGGTCGCTCCCGATCTAGAGCAACTCTCCGGCTTTGACGACATCTTGCCGGATCAGGAGTGGGGGGATTTGAATAATATGATGGGGGAGAAGGACGAAAAGCCGGACAAGGAGTCGTTCAGCGAATTCTTGACGGATCCATAGAAGTATAATTACAAGTCACGGACACTACGCTCGGCCTCAGTTGTATATGATTTATTACCAAGTGCTCGTAAGGTGTGGACGAGGTCCAAGGGTATGTCCAGTTCGTCCAGCCGCTCTCCCATCGTTCGGAGTTTGAAGTCCTTGAAGCCAGGACGACTCGAGATGATCTTCTCGACTCGCGGTATGAGATGCGGAGCGGCAGCCAAGGGTCGGAGAGCGTCTGATCAGCCAGGCTGGGTACTAGCTCACCTTGCCACAGACCAGCTGCCAAGAAGGCATCGGATGCGCTTTCAGCCAGTCCAGAGAAGGGAGGTCTCCACTATGATCAGCTCGGCCGAATGTTTACTTACCGATTCACTCCCTGCTCTGGCCAGCTTGACCCCATTCTCCACATCACCGCAGGCGAGCGCACACCTCGTGCCCGTGTCGATAGTCTCTCGAGTCAGGCGAGCGAGAGGCTTTCCCGGCATATAAGCAGCCAGGATCAAGTCAAGAGCTTGCCGATATGCCCCGCTATAATACAACGTGGTGACTGCGTACTCTAGCTGATGCTTGTCGTCCGAGGGTGGGCGGAACTATCATTAGCGGTCCACCGTTCAACTCACTCCTCTCTCAGTGTACGCATGCTGCGGCTGATACTCCGTCCTGGACCGCTCGACGGCCATGGCGATCCGCGCGGCTCTTGCGGTCGTCTTGCCCTCGTCATGTTGAGCGACTGAAGCATAGTTGTTGGTGGTGACTTCAGACATTAGGCAATGTCAATATCTGAAACGTCTTTCGTTCGTCCATCTATCATGCTGCCTATCGTCGAGCCACCACCACCCGAGGATCCGTCAAGATGTCAACTTCTAGGGCCTACTGCCCTTGCAGTACAGGGAGCGAGTGAGTACTCTGCATGCACCGAGCTGATGACCAGTGGGAATCTTGGTAATCGCCTCGTTGGTGGCCAAGCGGCATTTTGAGCGGCGCAAGCGCCCATGGCGAATATGGCTGCTAGATGTGGGCAAGCAGCTGGTCGGACAGGCCGTCCTCCACGCTTCCAACCTCCTGGTGAGCTCGCCTTCCGACATAGCTGACGTAGATATCCGGATTGATAGCGGAGGGCCAGCATAACAATCCCTGCTCGACCTACTTTCTCAATATCCTCATCGATACGACAATAGGCGTTGCGATATTATACTTTGCGCTCAAGGCGGCGACGCACCTGATGGAGAAGCATACAGGACTGGATGGACTGCAGAGTGGATACTATGGAGACCCGCCCAAGTTTAGAAAGTGAGTCCCAAATGGACATGGCTGATTTCAGCTGGTGGCACCAACTCATCCCCTACTTGACCGCTGTCCTCGTCATGAAGATTGTGGTCCTCCTCCCCCTCACACTTCCTGGTATATCCACCGTCCTCCTCCGCTTCGCTCACGCCACTATCGAGTACCTCTCGCCCAGCCTTCAGGTCATCTTTGTCATGATGGTCTTCCCGCTCATCCTCAACACACTCCAATTCCTACTCGTCGACCAGGTGATCAAAGCTGGAAAGGCGGACGTGGTGGCGGACGGGTATGAGCGGGTGGATGAGGAGGCGATACTGCCCAAGCCTACACCGCAGAACAGCGTTCCGAGCTCGCCCCTATTGGCAGCAGCCGACAGCGTGGGGTACGGGACACAGCCCAGCCCGCTCGGCTTTGCCTCGGCGTCGAGATTGAGCGAGGACTGGCAGCGGGAAGCGAGGAACCTGAGTCCAAAGGCGAGGACGAGTTCTCGATTATCAGAAGAGAGGTTACCTTTATCGGATATCTAGTTGTATGCACTACCAAATCTTACATAGTTCTACAGCGGTCGGTCTGTCTACAGCCTCGGGCGACAACATGGTCTTGAGCACCTCTATATACAGCTCGGGCACCCTGCCCCTCCCATCCAGAAACACCAGGCTGCCATCCTCTGGCGGCGGTGGAGCTATCGATACCGCCGGCCTAACCACCCGCCTCTCCTGACATACGCCATTCTCCGACAGTAAATCCCTCACGAGGTCCCCACTCGATCCCCATCCACCCTTGACCAGCTCCGCCGACCCGTTCCTCGCCAACTTTGGCTTGCTAGGCGCTAACCGCAAAGATCCGCCCCTCTTGACGCCTGGATCGTCCCGCCACGCTGACGGGTACGGACTCTCCCTCGAATCCACCTCGAAATTGTACCTTTGGCCATCCTCATACTCCCATAATCCGCCTCGCCGTACGTGGTGCATCATCTCCATGGCACGTAGACCGCGGTATGGCTCCTTGCCGGTAATGCACTGGTAGAGCGTGGCGCCGAGGGCAAAGATGTCGACCGGAAAGGAGAATGTCTGGGTAGGGTCGACGAGCTCGGGTGCGGAGAAGGGGAGGGTACCGAGACCGACGCCGTCTGTGGGGAGATGGGAAGAATGGATGAGGAGGGAGGAGCCGAAATCAGACAGACGCAGATCGAACGTTGCAGTCAACTACTATCAGCCAGATCCTCGGACACACTCACCAAGAGGTTGGCCGGTTTGATATCCGCATGTAATATCCCCTTCTCATGCGTCCACGCGACCGCCGCACTGCACTGACGAGCCCACCGTATCCACGTCTCGTCGCCGACGAGGTCTGGACTCGTCCGCAGAAACATGTCCAGTGTTCCGTGTTCGGCGTGTTCGAGTAGGAGCGTCGATCGAGATACCGTATCTCGTGCCGCATGCAGTGATGGCAGGGATGGGAAGGAGGATAGATGTTCCGTCGAGCTCCGAGGCCGGTTCAGTACCGTCTTGAGATCCGACGCAGATCGGCCATGTACGCTCCGCCGTTCCGTCTGCTCCCTCACCGCCAACAGCTTGACGATGTACACCCCGCGCGTAGGCGACTGTAGGCGATTGAGGAAGAAGGCTTCCCTCAACCCCATCGTCTGCGACTCCCGATCCACATTCATCCGCTTCGCCGCGCACAACGTCCAACACTCCGGGACCCCCTCTTTGCCCTTTCCTTTCCCCCGATATGACGCCAGGTAGACCCGGGCATATCTCCCTTCGCCCAGCAAATACGCCTCGGACGCCTCGAGCCGAAGTTCGACATCCTCCGAGGGCGGTAGGGGTGGTTTCCACGAGCTGGACGAGGAGGGGGAGAGAGTAGGCGATTGGTGCAGAGGGGAGAGGGGCTCGTCAGATTCGGGCTGCCTCGATGGTGCCCGGCGCACGCTAGATGCTCTCGATAGGTTCAAAGGGGACGGGGCTTGCTGATGACGAGCAGCGGGAGAGGGAGTGGGAGCGGAGACGGTATCGAAGAAGGAGGTGGTCCGAGGGGAGCCATGTGAAGCGGCCATTTCCTCCGGTGAGACAAAGGGAAACGCTGAGAGGGTTGTTGACAGAAGAGCGCTTGGAGCAAAATGGCCTCCAAACCGCCTTTGTCGTTTATATACTCCGTCCGCCAACGCCGACATCCTAACTATTACTATTAATAGTATACACACCGTTAGTATAGTGGTTAGTATTCTTCCCTTCCACTTGCTGGTTCGAGGAAGAGACCGGTGTTCGAGTCACCGACGGTGTACGTACATTTTTTGCGAACTGCGCATGGTAGAGAGGTACTCTGCGCGCAGCGTGCACGTTTTTTGGCCGTTGCGGACCCTCCTGCTAGTCTAGTACCTAGTGCATGGTTGTTGGAGCAGGTCGGTCGATGAGTGTATGAGGGGGGTCGATGAGTGTATGAGGGGGGTCGATGAGTGTATGAGGGGTGAAGGTCGATGGCGGTCGCGTTGATAGGGGAGCGATGGCCAGTGAATGGGCGGCCTGAAGGTAATACCGCGTGGCTGGCCTAGTATCAGTGGACAAGGGTGGCGATATGGAGATGGTCGAAGATAAATGTGATACACAAAGGAGTCTACGAGATATGATAAGGATCAGAGCTAGGTGGCTACGGGATATAGAGAAGATGAAGAGTGAAGGGACGTGGAATTCCAGCGCCATATCCCTTATATATGTCTAGATCCTGCGCTGTCGCCCTCGTCACCTGACCCCGGACACCGCCAAGACCGACCCGAGCGCATGGGCTGTGTGGAGAGGCGCTGAGACACACGGAGAAGAAAGGGGCAGCGCTGGGGGCGAGTGGGCGAGATGAGAGGAAGCGCGAAGCGAGGTGTCGACATTGATCTCCGGGGAGGACGCCGCCGCGTGGGCCGACAGACGGGGCTGAGCACTGAGTGTGCGAAGGGACGATGGTGTTGAAGCGGTTGAAGCGGACAGACCTGAGATAGGACGAGCAATGCGAAGGGACGGGCCGCAAGGGGCAGTATACCCAGCAAGGTCGGGATAGAGAGACCAGCGCGATAGGAGATCGATACGGCGCCGGGACTTCGGGTAGTATCTGCTTCGCTGACGCCTCCATGCGTGGTCTACACATCCAGCCAGGCAGCGGAGTATACAGCCCCACACACTGGCAGATGTACTCCAGCGTTGATGAACACATGAAGGAGAATAGGCCTTGTCAAGTTTCGTCTCAAGAAATCTCCGAGTCATGCCGGCATGGTCCCCCTGTGGTTTCAAAGATCAAACTCTAAATTCCGCTCCACTCAGTCACTCACTTTTACCGCATCATGACTCGTCCTCACCTGACTCGCCCAGAGATAGCCGAACGCATCTGCGGGGGAGCCTCACTCTTCATCTACCGAGAACGCGTCATCAACGCGACTTCCTGGGAGCGACACCACCCAGGTGGAGCTCTCGCGATTCAACATTTTGTCGGACGCGACGCAACCGATGAGGTCGAGGCGTATCACTCACCAGCGGCTCTGGAGCGGATCGCCAAGTACGCTATCGCTACCGTCGAGGTCGATGCTAAGACGGGATGGCGGCCCTTGACCCCTCCAATAGCTGTCGGCCTGGTCCGGCACCCCGACGGCGTTAAGGGGCACTGGGCAAGAGAAGGGAATGTCCGGCTCGCGGGCGCTGCTGCATCGTCCGATATTATCACTCTCACCCCTTCGGATATCGAACCTGCGGTATCTGACCTGGACGCTGCTCGCGAAAAGTCACGTTCGGACGCCTATCACGAACTCAAATCCCGGATAAAAGATGCAGGGCTTTTCGAGCGACCGGGGCCGCTGGGCGGATATGGCTCAGACTTGATCCGCTATTCGTTCCTCGGAGCGATGGCGTTTGGTCTTCATCTAAGGTGAGCAGAAGCGCTTCGCTTGCTAATCAAAGAACATCGGGCTGGATCGGTCAAATGGGCTCTGCCATCTTCCTTGGTCTCTTCTACCACCAGCTTACTTGTAAGTCGCGGAGATGACCGAGTTGACCTCCTGTTCTCGCCCATGATGCCGGTCATACTGGAGTGACGGGGAACTGGTGGTGGGATCGAGTGATAGGAATGCTCGTGGCGAACTGGATCGGCGGACTGAGTCTGGGATGGTGGTGTGATGTAAGTTTAACGAGTGGGCTATGCTGACGGCAGAATCATAACATACATCATCGTGCGCATCAGTCAAGAGCCAGCTGACAACAGTTGTAACAAATCATCCCGAGCACGACCCGGATATCCAGCACATACCGTTCTTCGCCATCAGCAAGGACTTTTTCGGCAGTCTTTGGTCGACCTATTATAAACGGGTCATGGCGTTGGATGGATTCGCCAAAGTCATGGTACCATTACAGTAAGTCGGTTCAAGATCAAGCTAAAGGTAGACATAAACTGTACTATGTCGTACTGTCTCTTGCCCGCTTCAACCTCTACGCCAACTCCTACATATACCTCGCGAGCCGAAAGCCCAAGCGAGATAGCTTTTGGCGATTCGAACTGGCCGGCGTCGCCTTCTACTGGCTGTACTTTGGTGCCATCTTGGCGTCGCAGCGTGCATGGGGGATGCGCTTCGCCTACCTCCTCGTCAGCCATGTCGTGGCCAGTCCAGTCCACGTACAGGTGAGCTTTGGCTGTTTCGGAGCTGATCCAGATCGTCCTCTCCCATTTTGCCTGCTCGACCGAGGATCTCGGTCCATCCGAGTCTTTCGCCTCGCGTCAGCTTCGAACTACCATGGATGTCATCTGCTCGCCTGAGATCGAGTTCCTTCACGGCGGTCTGCACCTCCAAGTCACACACCATCTCTTCCCTCGCCTGCCGCGGCATAACCTCCGGGCGGCCAGTCTGCTGGTCAAGGAGTATTGTAAGGAGCAGGATATTCTCTACCGGGAGCATGGCTTTGTCGATGGGTAAGTTATGGATAGAGCAAAGCTGACAGCAGGAACAAGCACGTCTTGTCAGTACTGGAAGATGTCGCGAAGCAGCTCGAGTTTATCAAAATTGTAGCCGGCGGCGAGATCAAGGAGCGGACTCAGTAGAGCTCTTTTCCCGTCATGTATGCTTTCTTGGTTGGTTTCTGGCCCCATGGGCACCCGCAGCGAGAGCAGAAGAGACAGGTCGCTGGCGCTGGCCGACACAAGAGGAGCTGCAGAAAGCAAGGAGCTGTTCTCCACGTGTCGCGGCGCGTCATCGTTACTCCGCCCGCGTTCCGCACCGCTGGCAGCTGCATGATGTTACTCTTGTCCATCTACCTGCAGCACATACAGCATGTCCTTCTTCAAGCGCAACGATCCCGCAGCTCCGGCAGCGAGAAGAGCGGGTGGAGCTCCTCCACCAAACTCTCAGTACGAGCGCCTACCTCCCGATCAAGGTAGCTATGCTCCTCAGCAAGCCCCAACTCCCCCGCGCCGGCCGCAGCCCCCTAGCGAGTATGCTGCACCTCCTCAGTCGCGACCAAACGAGCAGCGCTATCAGCCTCAACCATCTGAACAGCGGTATCAACAAGATCCATACCAGGAGAAGGCGGACTACCGGTCGGCTCCACAATCTCGAAGTCAAGGCGGAGGTTCTGGGCGAGGAATGTGAGTTGAACCCATATCAATACCTGATTCCAGGTTCAACATTGCTCCCTGTCCGTCTGACCCTCTCGCACTGACCAATCGGCTCGTCGTCAACGGGTCGGACTTCCCGCCTGAGGTCGAGTTTGTCATTATCCGGAACCGCTTCATCTTTTCCATCATGTGAGTCTTGTACGTGTACCGGGCTAATGGTAGTCGGGACCCCACCAGGACACTCCCGCCACGGCACATCGGTCCTTCCAAGATCATACGACAATGGGTCGGGCTCTCGGCTGTGGGCGAGACGGTCGAGTGCGAGCCGTATCAGCCTGGAAATGGGGAATGGGCGAGCAGTGCCGAGTTGGAAATTGGATTCCGTCTCAAGCGCAAGGAAACATCCGACCTATTTGATAGCGAAGAGATGGCAGCGGCATTCATAAATGTGAGTGATAGTCTAGCGTATCTGACAGTAGGCGTTCCCCTCGCTTCCGCTGAGCCCTCTTCAACCGCTCGTATTCGACTACCGAGGCCATGAGCTCAAGGCGACGGTTCGGAGCGTGTCTACCCTGGATGGAGCGGAAGGCCAGACAGGTGTGATCATGGAGGGAACAGAGGTCATCTGGGTCAAGGACCCCTCGAGCGGAATCAAGCTCAAAAATTCGTCCAAGCGGTGAGTGCTATAGTTGACACTGCTGACCATAGCGGCCCTTCCAATGCCATTCTTGCGCCCAACTTCAAATTCGAAGACATGGGTATCGGAGGTCTCGACACTGAATTCTCGGCCATCTTCCGTCGAGCCTTTGCCAGTCGAATCTTCCCTCCCGGTCTCGTCGAAAAGCTCGGTATCCAGCATGTCAAGGGTATCCTCCTCTTCGGCCCGCCCGGTACCGGAAAGACACTTATGGCTCGGCAAATCGGCAAAATGCTCAACGCGCGCGAACCCAAAGTCGTCAATGGTCCCGAGATTCTCAACAAGTTTGTGGGACAGTCAGAGGAGAATATCCGGAAGCTCTTTGAGGACGCGGAGAAGGAGGTGAGTCTAGAGCTTGGCCGTGCTGACGATAGCAAAAAGAAAAAGGGGATGAGAGTGGTCTGCACATCATCATCTTTGATGAGCTTGATGCTATCTGCAAGCAGCGAGGCTCGACTGGTGGCGGTACAGGAGTAGGAGACTCGGTTGTCAACCAGCTGTTGTCCAAGGTGAGTCTCATGTATATCGAGCTGACTATAGATGGACGGTGTGGACCAGCTCAACAATGTCCTCATCATCGGTATGACGAACCGGATGGACATGATCGATGAGGCCTTGCTCCGTCCTGGTCGTCTCGAAGTTCACATTGAGATCTCCCTCCCGGACGAGGCTGGCCGATTCCAGATCCTGACAATCCACACCGCCAAGATGCGGAACAACGGAGTCATGGCCGCGGATGTCGATCTCGCCGAGCTGGCCGGTATCACCAAGAACTTTTCCGGTGCAGAGATTGGCGGTCTCGTCAAGAGCGCTACCAGTTTTGCCTTCAATCGACACGTCAAGGTAAGTCATGATTGGTGCGGAGCTGACGATAGGTCGGAAGTGTCGCTGCATTTGACGATGTCGAGAATATCCAAATCTCCCGGGTCGACTTTATGCACGCTCTTGATGAGGTGCAGGCGGCGTTTGGTGTCTCGGAGGAAGAGCTCCAATCAGTCGTCCAGAACGGCATCATCCACTTCTCGCAGCGGATCAACGTGAGTACGAGCGTGACTCTAAGCTAACAGCAAGGATATCCTCAACGATGGAAGTCTATTAGTCGAGCAGGTCCGAAACTCGGCACGAACCCCTCTTGTCTGCGCTCTTCTCCATGGTGAGTTTTGGTATAAGTAGGAGCTGACGACAGGCTCATCCGGCTCCGGCAAGACCGCACTGGCGGCTACGATCGCCCTGGCTTCAGAATTCCCCTTCATCAAGCTCGTCTCGCCCGAGTCAATGGTCGGCTTTGGCGAAGCGCAAAAGATTGCTCAATTGCACAAGATCTTCTCCGACTCCTACAAGAGTCCTCTCAGTGTGATTGTTGTGGACAGTCTTGAGCGTCTCTTGGGTGAGTCAGCGTTAAACCGGAGCTGATTTTAGATTGGAACCCCATTGGACCTCGGTTCTCAAATAGCGTGCTTCAAGCTTTGGTCGTGCTGTTTGGAAAGCGCCCGCCCAAGGTGAGTCAGAACTCGACTGTGCTGATATCAGGGACGCCGTCTTCTGATCTTGGCGACTACCTCCAACCGCTCAATCTTGCGGGACATGGACGTCGAATCTGCCTTTGACACGGACATCCCCGTTTCGCCCATCAGCTCCATCGAGTCGATCGATCACTGTTTGCGGGAAGTCCGGCTCTTCAACTCGGACCAGGAGCACAATCGCGCCATGCAGATGCTCCGGGAGGCCAAGTTTGGCGAGTCGGGTCGAGGCGAGTTGATGGTCGGCGTAAAGAAGCTGTTGAGCATGGCGGAGATGGCTCGGCAAGATCCGGATCCGGCCTACAAGCTGGTTTCAAGTTTGGTTCGCGAAGTGAATTGATAGTTATCTTGTATCTTTATGCTATCTCATGTCTACCCCTAGCGAACAGGATGTCGCTGCTTGCATCGGCAAGGTGCAGTCGACGCAGCCTACGCTGGGCGCCCTGAAGATCTTGGCGATCATCAAGGAGGATCACCCAGACTGGGCTCTGTCGGAGAAGCGGTTCAAAAAGATTCTCAGCGCCCAATCGTCAGAGAGAACTACGCTTGTCGCTCGTACGGGTATCGATCCTAGCATCGATGTGGCGAGCATTGCGCCAAAGGTCGAGGTGAAGCTATTCGGGAAGGGCAAGGGAAAGGGATTGGTAGCGAGGACGAAAATTCTGAAGGGGGAGGTGCTATGGCAGGAGGAACCATGGATTGCGACCGCTGATCAGTGAGTTTGCACCTCGACTTGGCTAATGTAGACAACTCGACGCCCCCTTGGCCAACAAGGCGATGTGCACTACATGTCTCACCCTCTTCCTCGAACCCTCTCCACCTCTATCAAAACCGTGCCCGTCCTGCGATTCGGCCCATTTCTGCAACCGTCTCTGTTTAGGACGAGCCAAGGAGGCGGCAGCGCATCACGACCTCCTCTGTCCCGGCGCCAACCCTAGCTGCTGGCCCCTACTCAAATACATACGCGATAATGGAGCGCGGCATCTGGCGGCGGTAGCTCGGATCATTGCGCTATGGCGGGGCGCAAAGGCGAGTGGGGACGTGAAGGAGGCGACTCGGATAGAGAAGAGGGTGTGGACGGGGATGGCAAGGATCAATCAGCTGGACAAGGAAAAGGAGCGGAGAGAGTGGTACGTCTCAGCCTTGGACTTGCTGACGTCCAGGTCGATGGTAGCAGAGACACGGTTGGCTGAGCTCCATCACACCCATCAACTATTATTGCAAGCTCTCCACCCCAGCTCGCCCGACGCTCGCTTCCAAAAGCTCATCCGCAAAACCACAATATCCGAGGCAGAGGTGGACCGCTGGTTCTCCTTCGACAGCTACCTAGAACTCCTCGGCCTGGCCGGCATCAACCAGGAGTCGTCCGGCGGTCTGTACGCCCTCCATGCGCACCTGAATCACTCCTGCGAACCGAATCTTCAGGCAGGTCTAGATTGCTTCTATCGCTAATGCCCAGGTACGCAATCTCCCCAAGACCTTCAAAGCGCCCAGCCCGGATCAACTCCCATGCGACCTCCCGCCCCCGAACCCAGCCGGCGTACGGGGTACAAATCGTCTGACCATCCTCGCGCGGCGCGATATCGAAGCGGGCGAAGAGCTCTGTATACCCTACGTCAACTTTAGTCTACCGCGCGCGGAGAGGAGACAGGACTTACGGGAGGCGTATGGCTTTTGGTGCCAATGTCCGAAATGTGTTCGCGAGGATGTATAGCTAGACACCAAAGATGTCGTCCATGGCGTCCTTCTTTCGCTTTTTCTGCCCGCCAGCTTCTTTTTTTCGTACGCCGACGACCGGTGCGGGCGCGGGCACAGGTGCTTCTTTCTCGCTAGGAATGATTTGTGGCTCGGGGGACACAACACGTGTCTGTCGAGCAGGCGCCGCGCTTAGACTGCTCGTGATGGCATACAAGCGACTATAGGTTGCGACGAGGCTAGTGTGGAGCGGGAGGAATTGGCGCAGCTGTATCACGCGATATGAAGCTGTCGCAGCGGCTTCGAGTGCAGTTTGTAGCTAGACATGAGCCTTGTCTACGAATAGCTCACCTTCTGTACGACAGCGGCACTGTATTCCCCTTCTGTCGAAAACAAGATACGGGCCAGACGTATGACTCCATCCAAGCGCCGCAGGAAGATTTGCGAGCGGTGCTGATGTTTCGATCGAGCCCGCAAGGAGACTAGAATAGCTAGCTCCGCTGCACAGTGTGTGGGGACGGAGCTATGGATGTGGGCTACGCTCATGCTGAAGAGATGCAACGTCAAGAGGAAGCTGGAAAGAGTTGACAAGCAAAATATGAAACACGCACGGATCAGCTGATTTGCCCCGCGTTCCTCGGAGGCTTCTCGACAACATCAGGACTCCTTTACATCATCATCTACTCTCTCTTCCACATATGTGATCAGCCTATCAAGATGGGTACGTATTGAGCTGAGTCTTCTGTCAATTTAAGCTGAAAGAGACAGAGACCAACTCGATCAACAGCGCTCGCAGTCTGTCTGCCCTCGGACCGGCCGTCACGTCGCTTCGTCAGCAGGATGATCACTCGGTGGATTCTGGAAGCTCTGGCCGGTATCACCCAGCCAGATCCAGCTCTCTATCACAGCCAGCTCCTAGCAACGCATCGATCGTCCTGTCGGATACGGCGTCGGTCGCCCTTCCATCGTCAAGCGGGCACGGAACGCCTCCGAAAGGCGCGGCGGCGACCTCGAGCTTTGGCTCACGCGCAGCCTCTCTCGCCGGGGACAAGATACCTCCAACTTCTTTGTACGGGAATGATCGTGAGTGATTGAGCTCGGCTGTGGCTGAACCCCAGCGAATCTACTCCCTGCCTCACCTCGAGAAGCTTCTGGAGGATCGCAAAGCACTGGCAGGCGGCGTGCCAATACCAACCGAGCTACTTCCCAGACTACCTCGGTATCAGCCGTCAGTACCAGTCGCGACGCTCGGCCCTCCAAGTCGAGCCGGACGGATCAGCCTGAACTCCCATCCCAAAAACATGCCCGACTCGCCCCATCCACTGCGCTCTACTACACTTCCATACCGATCGACGGGCAACGGCAGGGAATGCGCGCACATACAGCCACCTTGGTCGGTGACCGAATCTGGTTCATTGGTGGTGTTACCGCCAAGCACTGTCGGCGGGACGTGGAGTACTATGACACCTGTACCCTGGAGTGGAATGTCGTCGAGACGGGCGGTGAACTACTCCCGCCGCTCCGGGCGCATACTACCAATCTCGTCGGCGACAAGCTGTATATCTTTGGAGGCGGTGATGGGCCTACGTACAGTAACGAGGTCTGGATATTTGATACATGTGAGTTGTGACCTGCTTTTCAGCTGATGATAGTGACGTACCGCTTCTCTCGCCCCATCTTGACTACACCCAAGCACTCCCTCCCGCCACCTCGTCGAGCCCACACGACCGTCCTTTATCAAAACTTCCTCGTTGTCTTCGGTGGAGGAAACGGGCAGGCAGCACTGAATGATGTCTGGGCGCTGGACGTGTCAGACTCGGACCGATTATCATGGCACGAATGGCCGACCAGGGGCTCGCCGCCACAGAAGAAGGGATACCATACCGCCAATCTGGTCGGCGAGAAGATGGTCGTCTTTGGTGGGAGTGACGGACATGCGAGCTTTGCCGATGTGCACGTGCTCAACCTTGGTAAGTCTCAGAAGGGATGGTACTGATGCTCAGAAACTCTGACGTGGACACTGCTCAATACGGAGCTAAAGTATAACCGGCTGTCACACACCTCGACAGCGATCGGATCATACCTGTTCATGCTGGGTGGTCATAATGGCCAGTCATACGCTCAGGATGTCTTGCTCTTCAACTTGGGTAGGCCATGTCTCCGATGACTGAGAGTAAGCTGACCCTCGCAGTCACCCTGCAGTGGGAATCCCGGACTCCCGGAGGCGTCCCACCGCCTGGTCGAGGGTATCACGCTGCTCTGGTCCACGATGCCAGAATATACGTTTCGGGTGGCTACAATGCTGTATCTGTCTTTGACGATCTCTGGGCTCTGGAGCTGGGAGCAAGCGCTTATCTACCGCAAGTGGTGAGTTCTGCTCAGGCTCTTTGCTGACTGCAGACGACATTTACAATCAACGAGACTGCTGGGGCGGCGAACGGGGAATGAGTCGCGGCCCGAGGTCAGAATGTAATGGCGGGTCCATGAGCTCTCGCGTATCTACAATATCATCTAGTAGCACAATGCATATAATTGAAGGAACTGATACTCATCGAGTGTACTCGGGCTTGATACTGCCGACTGGGGTCCGTGGAGAGAGTTGCTCAGACACGTACATATCGTTCAGATTACCAAGATACCCCTTTACAGACTACAAGCCCCTCAATGCCCTACGCTGCCCACAGGTTCTCCCCCTCATTTACCTCCTCAACTCAGTAGTAGGTACACCCTCGACGTGCTGCATCTCTGCCTTCTCGTCGATGACCTCGTCGTTCTGACCAGAAAGTGCGGCGACTGGGATATCAGCTAAAGCCTCATAACAGCAGAGACATAACGCGACTCACGGTCCAACTTGGTAGCCCTGAACTTCCTGGCCGGGACTCGGTCCTGGAAGAGCTTGTCGAGCTCGAGGTAGGTCCGGTCCTTGGTCTCGGGGACCCGGAAGAAGGTGTAGCCAACGCAGAAGAGACCGATACCGAACCAGAACCAGCCTGACTTGGCGCCCCAGTTGAAAGCCTACCAATCAGCGTTGACTAAAAGCCACGACAGGATGAAAGACGACTTACAGTCGGGGACAGCATGCGCGGGAGGAGCTGGCCACAGACAATGTTGGTGGTAATGTAGGTCGCACGAGCAAGAGCGATGGTCTTGTTCCTCAGACGCGAGTTGGGGATGTCGGCGATGATACTGTAGCAGATGGGACCGACCGACAGCTTGAAAGCGAGCTGGATCATGATCATCATGACGGCGACACCGAGCGCGACGTCCGATCCGCCGGCGACACCGAGGACACCGAGCACGAGCTGGAAGAGGGCAATGGCGGCGGTTCCGTAGAGGTAGGAAGTGCGGCGACCGACGTATCCAGTGAGGAAGATGGCGATACCGGTGGCGACGATATTGACGGACTGGATGGCCATAGAGTAGTTGAAGGCCATGACGGCGGACATGCCGGCTTGGGTGAGGCTAAGAGTCAGCTATGACCTCTGAATCTCCTCAAAGCAGAACTTACTAGGTGGTAGCGTAACCGGTAACGCCCTGACCAGTGAGGGGCTGGATGGCAAAGACAACGCAGGCGATCTCAGTACGACGGAGGTTGACACCGCGGAAGCAGTCAAAGTATGTGGCCGAGGCGACCTCCTCCTTCTCCTTGGCGTCGGTGTACTTGATAAGCTCGACTTGCTCCTGGATCTGGCTGTCGGTGTAGTAGCCGGGACGAGCGAGACGGCGGATAGTGCGAGCAGCCTCATCGTAGCGACCCTTGCGGACGAGGTGCCAGGGGCCTATATGTCAGCCTAGTCCATTTCAGAAGCAGGCTGGTACTTACTCTCGGGGGCAAGGAAGCCGACGATGAAGAGGGGAACAGGCCATGCCCACTGGATGATGTAAGGCATACGCCACGCCCACTCGTCCGGGAGCTGGAGCGACCCGCGGAGGATACCGGCCGCGAGGAAGTTCCCCATACCCCAGCACATGGAGACCCCTGATTGATGAGCGGGATCCCGGCGAGAGACGGCGAGAATAGCTTACAGGTGGTCAAGTATCCACGCATGGCGGTGGGGCAGATCTCGGCGGCGTAGGCGGTCGTGAGAGTCTGGTAGATACCCCAAGGGAAACCGCAAAGCATGTTGCCCATCATGAGCATCGGGAGGTTCTGGGCGAAGACGAGCATAAAAACTGGTGGTCAGTCTACGGTCAGGACGGAGGAGATATGGCGATCTGGGAGGCACAGCACTGGATGTGTGGGGCAAGTACAAGATCCATGACTCACTGGCAGCAGACAGAAGAACCATTCCCAACATATAGATCTTGCGGGAACCGAAGCGGTCGGTGGCCCAACCGACGAACGCGAGACCAGCGACGGCACCGATCTGTTGGCCGTTGTTGATGGCCGCTTGCCAGTCGGCGGGGATAGCCTTGGCACCGTTCGCACCCGCGCCGGGGACACCGAAGCGCTCGACATAAGACGGCTGAGCGAAGAAGTTGTTGACCTGCAGGTCAGCTGTGTACACGTATTGGAGACGGGGGATAGGGAGTCGTATCATGACCGCCGCAGTAGCCCCTTCCCGCCGCCAGACATACTCTACAAGTCGGGCCAAGGACAATTACTCACCAGACCAGTGTCCATCCCGTCCATGATCAGCGCAGCACTGAGAGCCATCGACCAAAGCGCGGCTGGGTAGTAGATGCGGATGAGCTGCTTGAGGGGCAGCTTGGTCTCTGCGTCACCCGCGGCGATGGCGGCCTGGACGAGGTCCGACTCGCGGGCCTGGGGGTCGTAGACATGCTCGTGCTCGAGTTGAGCGAGCTCAAGTTGCTGCTGCTGGTTCTTCTCGTTCGACATGGTGAGTGTAGATTAATGTGGATGAGAAGAAGAGGGACCGGGGAGTTCGGTCGGGGCGGCTTTATCTATACGAGCGCACAGCATGTACCCCAGGGGGCGTCCTCGGACCTTGAGGTCTCCACATCCGGGGTCGGATCAGCTGCTGCCCGCTGCGGGGGGTTTTCTCGGAGGGACAAAGAGATCAAGAGAACTTTTAGGAGGGCAACGCATGGTCCCATAATAGCTGCAAGGAGCAGATCAGCGAGATCAGCGGACTTCGGGCAACGGTGAGAACGTACCGAGCGGTGATGAGAATCCCCCGAACGGTCCAAAAATGTCCCGGCCCGTCCGGACCTCGGAGTTCCGGCGCCGGATGGGTTTAGCCGAGTTTACTCCGCCGGCCAGCAGCCATCAGATCAAAGCTCCCAACGTCGAGGTAGGCATTGCTTGACTTCACCTACTGCAGCATAGAGTAACTATCGCACACTGACAAGATGTGCGGAAACCATCCCGAGTATCCTCAGCGGACAGAGACGGTCAATCACCCGCTCCTGCCCAGAATCGTGAGCTACCTTCGGGTCCTGCCCGCTGCTCTTGACTGACACGTTCAGACTGACACCCGCTTGGACAGGTTCTTCACGGGCGCGTATGCATCGCAGCATCTCGACGAGTGTCTCGCTCGAGCGCGTTTCTCCGGTTCCCCGCACGTCAAGTTGACAGTCTGGTCGGCCCCAAATGGAGGCAAGCCGTCCTTCGATGAAGCTATCCGCAGCTTGAGCGAGGCAGAGGAGCAAGAGATTGGCGTTGGCTTTGTCTTTGGGCTCAGCTGGACGAACCACTGGGTCAAGTGCGAGCTGAGTATCCCGGAGGGCATGCGGAATACAGGGGAGCAGGTGATCTGTTAGTCGTTGTCGCCGAGCTGAAGCACTGGAGCTGGGGCTGACGCCTTAGTCGAGTTCGACCCGTCTTGCGAGGCAATGGTCTATAGCACTGATGGTACTCCTATACATGGTGCGTCCATGACGGCAACTATCGCTGACACCAGGCATCACTGGAGGTCCCAACACCATGAAGGATGGCTCGCCTGGAGAGCAAGAGGACAGGCGCGTTGAGCACATTATCCCAGCCAAGGCCGTCAAGGCGGGCAAGTATACCTGCTACGTCGAGGTCACCTGCAACGGGATGTTTGGTCTTGGGCCTTCTCGCTATCTGCATCCCGACGTGAGTGTATTCAGCTACCCTAAAACCGAGCTAATCATTAGGCCAACCGCACTTTCCCGCTCATCTCTGCCGATATTGTCCTCCCAAATCCCCACGCACGCGGTCTTCGCACCGACTTCCGCATCCTCGCGGAGGTGTCTCGTCACCCGTCCGCCAAGGCGACAGGTCTCGCTCAGAAGGCCCTCAAGGCATGTGACGACATTATGAATGCGTTCATTCGGGGCGAGGGACAGACGGCGGAAGAGCTGGACGAGGTGCTGCAGAGGTGTCGCAGGATCGGGTGGAAGGTTCTGGGGAAGCTTGGCAAGGAGGAGGTACAGTCACTGGCGGTCTGGAAGACGGAGAAGGATCGACCTGCAGAGATCTGGGCTATCGGACACTGGTGAGTACAGCTCGGGCAGACACGCTGGCCCTCCGCTAATGGACAGTCACATTGATACAGCTTGGCTCTGGCGGTATACCCATACTCAGCAGAAGGTGGGTCGACCTTCGCCGAATGGTGAAAGGTGCTGACGGTTAGATCGCTCGAAGCTGGACCTCTCAAGTCGACCTCATGGACCGCTTTCCCGGCCACCAGTTCGCCGCGTCCTCCGCCGTGCAGTACCACTGGCTCGAGACGCTCTACCCGAAAGCATTCGCTCGTGTTGCAGACTACGTCAAGAAGGGTCGCTTCCACGCCGTTGGCGGCGCTTGGCTCGAACATGACTGCATGATGCCATCGGGCGAGTCGCTTATCCGCCACTACCTCTACGGCCAGCGGTACTTCAAGGAGAAGTTTGGGGTGGTCTGCAGGGAAGCCTTCTTGCCGGATACGTTCGGGTATGCCAGTCAGCTTCCTCAGATCTTGCGGTCTGCTGGTTTGAACTACTTCTTCACGCAAAAGGTGCGCTTGTTTACCGCAATGCAGTGCCGAGCTGACTCTGTAGATCAGCTGGAACAATATCAACGTCTTCCCGTACAACACCTTCAACTGGGCCGGCATCGACGGGACTCAAGTCTTGGCTCACATGACCCCGGTGGATGGATATAACGGACAGTGCACCTTGTGAGCTATACGCACTGGAGCCAGACATATCTTGTGCTGATCCGACAGCGGCGAGATCATCAAGGGCATCCAGAACAACAAAAACTTGGGCGTGACCGACCAGTGCCTCTTCCTGTTCGGTAACGGGGATGGTGGAGGTGGACCCACCCCTGCCATGATCGATCGGGTCAGTACAACATCCTGAAGGACAAGTCTAGCACAAGCTGACAAGTAGCTCGAACGCCTTGACTCGCTCGCGCGGACCAACCCCGGCGTTCCCACCCTCAAGATCGGCAGCCCTATCGACTTCTTTGACGATCTCTGCAGGCAGAGTGAAGGCGGGAAGACCCTCCCGACATGGAGAGGGGAGCTGTACTTGGAGCTCCATCGCGGTGTGGGTCTTACCTCTATTCCTCGCATCAGCAAGAGCTTACGGAGTAGACCTACACCACCCAAGCCTGCATCAAAAAGGGAAACCGAGACATGGAGACGCTACTGCGGGACCTGGAGTATTTCGCTACACTGGCTTCGCTGGCTGCAGGGAGCTATGAGTACCCAACGTGAGCGCATTGCTCGTCATCAATGAGTCTAGCTGACGTGCAGAACGGAGATCCGCGAGATCTGGCAGGAGATGATGCTCGGCCAGTTCCACGACTGCCTCCCAGGTACCACCATCAAGGCCGTCGTGGAGGACAACCTCGAAATCTACTCGCGTCGCAGCGATCAGGCTCGCAAGCTTCTCGACTCTGCCTTGGCCGTCCTCCGCACTGGGGAGGAGGGTACCACTGTCATCGAGCCCCTCCGTCTGGCACGTGAGGAGGTCCACGAGTCGGCACCTGGGCAATACAAATGGCTCAGCACCAATGCATCCGGCCTCGGTGCGCTGTCGTCCCCCTCCGACCTTACTCTGCCCTCGGCCGCTTCAGACGGCAGCACCTACACCGTCTCCAACGCTCGGTACACGGTCACCCTTTCCTCCAAGCGCATCACGTCCATCTTCGACAAGCTCAACTCTCGCGAAATCATCGCTCCTGGAGTCGGAACCAGCTCGGCAGGGTTCATGATCTACGAAGACTATCCTCTTACATACGATGCCTGGGACGCAGAGATTTACCATCTCCAGATGGGCAAGGAGGTTGAGTTTGACAAGGTCGAAGTCAAGGAGGAGGGAGGCATGAGGGCTAGCCTGGTTGCTAGCGTGAACTTTGGGAAATCTTCCGCCAAACTCATTGTGAGTATCGTCTGACCATGGAGCAAGCTACGTGCTGGCTAATGTACAAGATCTCACTTGACGCCACCACGCCTAGTACTGTCGCATCCACGCCCATCCACGTCGTGGCCGAGATTGACTGGCGCGAGCAGCACCGCTTCCTCAAGTGTGAGTCAGCTCCCGCTCATTACTTCCTCACTGGCATGGCTGACATCGCAGTCGCCCTTCCCCTTGACATCCACTCGGCTTATGCAACCTACGGGACTCAATTCGGCGTGATTGAGCGCCCTACGCACCGGAACACCACCATTGACCAGGCCAAGTTTGAGGTCTGCGCTCATGGTTTCGCCGATCTCAGTGAGGCGGGCTATGGTGTGGCGATCGCTTGTCGGGACAAGTACGGCTACGCAGTAGAGGGAAATACCATGCGGTGAGTCCATCCGTAAGAGAGCCCCTACATTGACCGGGCTGACAGCTCAGACTGTCGCTGGTCCGCGCTCCCACTTCGCCCGATCCCGAAACAGACCAAGGTTACCACTCTATCCCCTTCGCGATCATGCCCCACGCTCGTCATGTCGCAGAGAGCGATATCGTTCAGCAGACTTTGCGATACACCAACCAGCCGTACAGTGAGTACCTGCCTCTATCTCGATCAATGGGATTGCTAACGATGTGCAGTCCTTCCTGGGTCATACTCTCTCCCCACAGTCACCGTTTCTGGCGACGCTAGCTCAGGTATCGTTGTCGAGACTATCAAGCGCGGAGAGGACGATGAGGCGACAGGCACTAAGACGGTGCTGTTGCGGCTGTACGAGAGCAAGGGCGGTCGTGCGAGAGGCGTGTTGAATCTGTACGTGTGGCTCGTGCCCTATGGGTTTCGGGCAGAAAGCTGACTATCTCAGTGCGGACTTCAAGGTGAAAGAGGCGGAATGGGCGAACGTCCTGGAGCAGACACTGGAGGGTGACGAAGGCAAGTGCGAGGTGACTGAGAGTCAAGGAGCCTGGTCGGTTGCATTGGACATGCGGTCCTTCGAGATCAGGACGTTGCGGCTGGTCGTAGAGTAAAATTAGACGGTAGATCTAGATGTAACGCGAATTCGTCATCTCAATCTGTTGGCTGAGGGAGATCGCAATTCTCATATCCCCAACGACAGTGAGGCAAGCGGGGTCCTTCAACCAGTTAGCTTCGACAGGCGGCTGGGAACGGGCGGTCCGACCGCCATACTCGGCAGCAGATCTGCATCCGCATTCCTCTTATCGCCAAAAGTTTTCCGAGCCGTAAAGCTCAGCCTTTCTCTGCGAAGTTTCTCCCAAGTATCATTTTCACGTCGTCTTCGCTCGTAGCAGTCCAGCTGTACACGGTCGTCGCCCCGCCGGAGTCTCCGGGACATCGACCGGGTGCTCCAGAGGGCCCCGGCCTCTATCGGCGCCGGATGTTTCACTGGGCGTGGGTGGCAGAAGAGAGCAAGGCGAATTGCCAAGTCTGCCAAGCAGGGATCTCGTACGGCGATCTCAATCTTTCCTAATCTTTCCCTTGCCTTCCCCTTCTTCCTCCAGGCACGTCTCTACCAACTTGCCCAAGCAACATCATATCTCCGGCTATTTCTCCGACCATGCAGCGCAACAGCATGAAGAGAGGAGAAGAGAGTACCGGTCGCGCTCGACCGAAAAATCCCGCCAAGAGCTAGCCGCACCGGACCTCTACCGGTACTGATAGGACTGCCTGAAGCCTGCCCATACTTATATACTCTCATTCATCTTCACTCCACCCTTCTTCCCCAACACTTGCCCCGCGGCCCCAATCTACCCCACTTGTCCTCCTCGCACACTCACCATGGATCTCTCAGAGAAAGGACGCGCCGCCCCTCAATACGAGGTCCGCGATGCCATCAACGACAAGGAGTACCGCGAGTCGGATCTCATCGAGGCCGCTATCGCTACCGGCGAGGAGGAGACCAAGCTCAGCCTTCGCGTCCTCTTCCGCACCCACGGCAAGGCTGCCATGTGGTCAATGTTGCTGAGTCTTGCGCTGGTCATGGAGGGCATGGATGTCGGACTAGTACGTTGTCGCTTCTGGCCTAGTACTATAGCTGATCATCAGGTCAACAACTTCTTTGGCCAGCAAGCCTACGTTGACCGGTTCGGTTTCTGGGACGCGGCGACACAGAAGAAGTACATCCCCGCCGACTGGCAAGCCGCCATCAACAACGGTCAGCAGATCGGCGCCATCGCTGGTCTGCTCCTCAACGGCTGGGCGCAGTCCAAATTTGGGTCTAGGAAGATGTACATGTTGGCCATGGCCATGCTGGCTGCCTGCAGTGAGTCGCTTCAGACTATCTGCGGACATAATCATCGCTGACAATTAGTCTTCGTCCTCGTCTTTGCGCAAAACCTCCCCATGCTCATGATCGGAAACATGCTCTGTGGTGTCCCATGGGGTGTCTTCCAGACCCTCACCACTGCCTACGCTGCCGAGATCTGTCCCGTCGCTATGCGCGGATACCTCACGTCCTGTACGTTTCTTGGTCCTCTCTCATTCTCAGATCCCGCTTACATTTGCAGGGGTCTCCATGTGCTGGGGAACCGGCTCTTTCCTCGCCGCTCTCGTCCTCCGCGCCTGCCTCGGCCTCCCCGGTGACTGGGCATGGAAGGTTCCCTACATGCTCCAGTGGCTCTGGCCCGTCCCCCTCTTCTTTGTCGGCTACTTTGCACCTGAGAGTGAGTAGCCTCTTCTTCGCGACATGAGCATCTGCTGATGTGCAGGCCCGTGGTGGCTGGTCCGGATGGAGCGCTACGAAGACGCCGAGATCGCCCTCACTCGCCTCGCCGCCAAGGACCACTACACTCCGCTCATGATGCAACAGCAACTCGCCCTCATGAAGCACACAAACGAGCGCCAGAAGGTCGACGCCCAATCCGTCTCGTACATGGACTGCTTCCGAGGCGTCAACCTCCGCCGGACAGAGATCGCTTGCATCGTCTTCGCCATCCAGGTGTGGTCCGGTCAGGGTATCTGCGCGTACGCTACCGTCTTCCTCCGGAACGCTGGGATGGCCGAGACCATGGCTTTCAACTACTCGATGGCCATCCAGTCTACCAACATCTTCGCAACTGGTATCGCCATCTTCCTGATCGGACGGTACGGACGCCGCTTCTTCTACCTTTATGGTCTCTCCTCCATCACTATCTGGCAGCTCGTCATCGGTATCGTCGGCGTCATCCCCAACCTCGGCAGCTCTACGTCAATTGCTGTCGCTGCCATGATGATCCTCATCAACCTGTCTTTCAAGCTCTCACTTGGCCCCGCTTGCTACACCATCATTTCCGAGATCCCCAACACCCGTATTCGTGCCCACACCATCGTGCTCGCTCGGGTGAGTCCCTCGTCTTGCATGCCAGTAGATATGAGATCATCGCTGATATTCGATTTAGTCCACATACATTATCTCGAATGTCATCTGCGGTCAGCTCATCCCTCGTATGCTCAACGCCGCAACGGCTGCCGCTCCCGGTAACTGGGGCTGGGGTGCCAAGGTTCGTCTGCATATCTCTACCAGTCAAAATAACGCTGACACCTCCAGTGCGGTTGGTTCTGGGTCGCCACCTGTATCCTCTCCCTCACCTACACCTTCTTCCGCATCCCCGAGACCCGCAACCGAACCTTCCTCGAACTCGACTACATGTTCCACCAGCGTGTCCCGGCGAGGCAGTTCAGGCGGTACGAGGTCGACATGTCTGCTCTGGCTGGCGCGAACGACGAGCGCCGCCCTTCCGCTACAGAGTTGGTGGATGAGAAGAAGGTCGATGTGGAGCAGCTCGAAGTGGCGCCTGCTCTGGCCAAGTAGATGGGGCGGTCATCAAGTGTGCATGAGTATCTTGGCGGAGGATCTGTAGGGTCATTGTTGGTATCATAGGTGTATGCAGTATTTGGAAGTTTATGAATGGGTCAGCATGTCTCTCTGCGCAACGGGCATTGTCCTCATTAGCGAGCTAAGCTGCGAGTAAGATCAGGGGCAAGTTGGGCTCAGACGTCGTTCAGACGGCCTTTCGTCAGTAGCGGATCATTAGAGCTGGACAAGGCCGAGACCAAGACTGAAGATATCATTGCGCGGACCATAGCTGTATCTTTCCACTTGTATTCCCTCCAACAACATGATCGACACGATTAGGATGACTCGCAGTCACAGCAGGCACAGCAGTCACGCTGTCGATCAGCTCATGCCCGAATCTGCCAATGAAATGAGAGGTAGACTCACGCATCAGTCCATAATGAGACAATCTTCTCCCCGTTTCCACTGATCACGTCCAGACTCCGCTTCATATTGCCTACGGTGAAGTGTGGGGCATAGTCCATGTTCTGAGACCATTGAGCGCGAAGGATGGTGAGCCATCGGCCGGTCTGACAGTTGTGCGGGATGGAGCGCGCGGGCTTGAAGGTTTTGGGGTCGAGGGGTTGATCAGGCTGGAGGGAGGCCGGATCGAGGTTCCATACTACGCTATCAGTCGGATCTTGACTGCGAAGATGAGGCGACCTACCTCTCAATTTGTCATCGTAACTCGTGGTCAAGACCCTTCTCCCCCAAGGATCCCAGTAGGCCGCGGAACAGCTCTTCCCATGCTGCCAACTCGCCCTTAGCAACCCTTTCCCTTTGTTCGACTCCATATGGCTAACAATCCTATCGTTGGGAATGCTGAAAGTCGGCTGAGTGTTGACGTGCTCGGCTGTATCAGATTTGGAGTCTGCAGGAGGATCAGGGAGAGCGAGATTGTCGACAGTGCGAGGCGTGAGAGAGGAGAGATGACGGGTATCCCATATACGGAGATGCTGGTCGTTGCCCGCGGTGACGATAAGATGAGGCATGAGAGCTGATCGTCAGCTTGATCAGCGGTTCTGCTTGGAAAGACTTACGATTAATGCTGAGACCTCCCAATTTGGCCGCTCTTTCCCCCGACACTACCCATCTCCTTCGTCCACCCAGCTTGCCCTCCCGAAAGTCGGCGTGGCTGATCCCGCCATTCTTGTCCGCTATCCACGCCTGATTTCCGTCTGGGGCGAGATCAAAGTGTGTGATGAGCATGTCCTCGTCGGGCATTGAGAAGAGCTCGCGGGAGATGCAGTCAGAGAAGGAGATTGCGCGGAGGGAGCAGTCATACGAGGCAGTGTATAGCTGAAGGTCAGCTAAGATGCGGTTGGCGGGCTGACGGCTCACCTTCGACCCATCGACTGGGCCTATCTTCATGCTGGTGATGCTGTTCCTCGCGTGTGCTTGGACTCTCCATATCCTCCCTTCGAACCCGCCTTCTGCGTCTGAGGCCGAATCGTCCTCTTCGGCTTTGGTGCTCTCTGCTGCTGGACCGAGTGCGTCCCATCTGTCCGTAAGCCATACTCTGTGACCAACATGCGACGGAACTTACATTCCCACTGTCCCTTGCTTGTCTCCGACACACACGATACACTTGCTCGGCTCGGGATGCACGAGCATACTAAAGACCCGTTCGGTCGTCACCTTGGCGCTGGCTCTGAGTTGCATGTTCTTAAACTGGGACTTGAGCCGAGCGAGCTCATGGTCGTTCTGCGAAGGCTCGGCATAGGCGTCTTTGTCCGTAGTGTCTTCGTTGGGGAACCGGCGAGGTGCCGGCGTAGCAGCGACACCCTTGAGGAAGGTTTCCTGTTGATCAGCTGCGTCTTCCCCAGGTCTGCTGTGCTTAACTCACCAGATCCGCCTTCTCTGCATCTTTCGCATCTTCCAGCATTTCCCCCAGAGGCATCACCTGATCTCGCGTCTTGCGGTTGATCACTCGCAATACCTCCCTCTCCTTTTCCTCCTCATCCGCTCGAGCCTGTAACACCTCCGCGGTCGCGTCGATCCCGGCTATCCGTCCACTCCGCCTTCGGGGTCCCTCCTCGGTCTTTGCAGGCGCCGACTTGCGCTTCTTGGAATTCCCACTCGCGGGTTTGGCTATTGCCTTGGGCTTTGCAATGCCTAGTGCTGCAGCACCTCCACCTTCGAAACCGAGCGAATCGAGGAGCGCGCGATTCTCGGCGATGATTTTTTGGCGTTCAAGCTCACTATATGTCAGTCCGCCCATGTATCGAGGCGTAGCGAATGTCGCGCTCCGGTACTACTCACTAGTCGTTGTCCTCGTCGTCCATGCTGGCTAGGGTTCACAAGCTGTAAATGTAGAGGAAGGGCGTAAATACAGGCGCGTCCGATCTTTCGTCGCGTGAAATTCGCGTCAGATCTCCGAAAGGGGCCCCGCAATGAACACCACCCCTTCAGATCGTTGAAGTCCGCTCGCGATCTATACAAGCGAGGCGCGAGCGTCGCATTCTGATGGCAAGTACGCTCTCTATCGACAGTTCTAGCCTACACTGACGACCGGGACCCACATGATGGGTAGATCGCCTGGTGCGGCAGTGTGGCACCTCTGTCTTGTCCAGCTTCCTTCTGATTGTGCCTTCTCGAGCTAATTTCGATTGCACCATTCGCTTATAGCCAGGCGCCCATGCGTGGAGCTCGACCCCGCCCACTGTCTGGTCCTATCTCGAGTCCGCCCACGGCCTCATCCTCCCCAGTTTCCAGCGGCCAGCTCCCTGCTTTTTGCCCTCCACATTCCTCAGAGCTCAGGCCCAGGGCCTCCACCTTTACCTCCACCTCGGCAATATCCGAAGTGGAGCCGGCGATATCTCCGGGCCGAGCCCATGCAGCGAGGTCCGAGGAGCAGCAGCACAAATAGAGCACCTCATCCTTCTATCTCTTTCCCATATTTGTTCACCTGACCCCACTACTCACTACTGTCCTGCCTTCTGTCTATACCAACGCGAACCCAGATATGCCTTACACACCGCTCGAGTCCGGCAAGAAGAGGGTATGTCTACGCTGCCCGCTCGGCGTGTATCATTGAGGCCCCTTCGCCCCCATCGCTCCTTCTTATCCTCTTTCTCCTAGATTTTACCTCTAGGTAGGCCAAGCTGACACTCAGGTCATCCTCGGTCTCATGACCTTTGGCCCCGACAAGGAAGCCGGTGCCCGTATCACCGACCTCGAGGAGTTCAGGTCTATCTTGGATGTCTTCCAGGCCCAAGGCTACGGCGAGGTGGACACTGCCAATGCCTACGTCGGGACCAAGCAGCAGGCGTTCACCAAGGAGGCGGGATGGCAGGAGCGGGGCCTCAGGCTGGCAACCAAGTTCTACCCCAATCCCCAGACCGGCGGGCACGATGCTGCCAACATCCGGAAGCGGTGCGAGGAGAACCTGGAGAGGCTCGGGTCCAAGTCGACCGACATTTTCTACCTCCACGCGGCGGACCGGAACACCAACTTTGCCGAGACGCTCGGGGAGTGTGACAAGCTCCACAAGGAGGGCAAGTTCAAGCAGCTCGGCGTGAGCAATTTTGCGTCGTTCGAGGTGGCAGAGGCGGTCATGATCTGTACGGAGAGGGGATGGGTCAGGCCGACCATCTACCAGGGGATGTACAACGCTATCAGTAAGCCCAGCCTCATATACTCGTACGTCAACTCGCGCTCATCCCCAGCCCGCAACCTTGACATCGAGACCATCACCGCTTGCCACCGGTACGGTATCGACGTCGTCGTCTACAACCCCCTCGCCGGTGGTCTCTTCTCTGGCAAAATCAAGTCCAAGGACCAGAACCCGGAGGACGAGAACTCTCGGTTCGGAGCCAAGTCGGCCACCAGCGAGAACTACCGCAAGCGTTACTTCCGGGACACAACCTTTGACGCCTTAGCCATGGTGGAGAAGGTTGCGGAGAAACACAATCTCACCCTTCTCGAGATCGCCCTCCGTTGGGTGATGCACCACTCGGCGCTCAACGTGGCCAAGGATGGCGGGGATGGGATCATCATCGGTGTCAGCAGTAAGGCGCAGCTGGAGAGCAATCTGAAGGATCTGGAGAAGGGGCCGCTGCCGGAGGAAGTGGTGCAGGTGCTGGACGAGGCGTGGATCCACACCAAGGCGCTCAGCCCGCCGTACTGGCACGGCGAGCTCAAGTATGGGTACGACACCCAGAAGGCTTTATTCGGCAAGTAGGAAAAGAAGCTACGTCGAAGAGGAGAGGATTTTTGTGCGAGTAAGGTGGAAGGGACGGTGGGGGTGGGGAGTCGAGGCGAAAAGGGCTGCTTTGTAGTGCAGTTGATCGACTATGATAAAGGGATCTTGTTGCTAGCACAGTATCCATATGTCAGTACTAGCATTCGAAGCCTGGACTCAGCGCGGTACCTAGCGGGACAGATTCTTTGAGTTGACGTCTTCACGGTTGGGATCTCTTTGATATCTCGGCCGGCTTGAACCAGCCCGGTCAGCTCCAACTCTGCTTTCTACATGTCTCATCCAATTTCTATACATCATGCAATCCGCTCCGCCTCCCGCATACCCTCGAGGGTTCGTCTATCCAGACATACCAGGGCTTGGGCCCATGCTCGAAGTCTGTTGACGAATGCTAGATCGACCCATGCCGAGGTTGATGTCCCGACTCTCGGTCGGGTCGAACTGCCTGTTGGCCTCTTCATGTATGTGCTCTATCTTTGCCCTTGGCCTCATCGCTTCCTCGATGACATAGCTGATGATATAGAGACAACACCTGGAGACCTGCATCCACCGGCTCTACCTTCTCAACCGTCAACCCCGCAACGGGCGAATCTCTCCTCAGTATCGCGCATGCCTCATCGGAAGATGTCGATGCTGCGGTCAAGAGTGCTCGTCTGGCATTTAAGACGACATGGGGGAACAATGTACATGCCGCGGAACGAGGGGCAGCGTTGAACAGGCTGGCGGATCTGATGGAGAGGGACAAGGACAGGCTCGCCGCTGTGGAGAGCTTGAACTCGGGCAAGGGGATCCGGATGGCTCGGTGAGTCCTCGTCGATCCTGTCCATAGTCTGCATGAGCTGACTAAGCAGAGACTCTGATGTGGCCGACTCTATCGGTTGCTTGCGATACTACGCCGGTTTAGCGGACAAGTTTCATGGTCAGACTATACCGCACTATGGGACCGAGAAGTTTGTCTATACGGTGCACCAACCCATTGGGGTCTGCGGACAGATGTAAGCTTATAAGTCACGCCTGCGAGGGTAAAGCTGACTTCTCAGTATCCCTTGGAATTATCCCCTCCTGATGTGGGCGTGGAAAGTCGCGCCCGCTCTCGCTGCCGGCTGCTGTGTCATTATGAAGCCATCCGAGCTCACCCCTCTCACCGCCCTCATGCTCTGCGACCTCGCAAAAGAAGCCGGTATCCCCTCAGGCGTAATGTCCACCCTGCCGGGACTCGGCTCCACCACAGGCGACGCCATAGCACGTCATATGGACATCGACAAGATCGCATTTACAGGCTCAGTCGTCACCGGCCGCAAGATCAGTGTCGCTGCTGCGGAGAGCAACCTCAAGAAGGTCACACTGGAGCTGGGCGGGAAGAGCCCGATTATGGTGTTTGACTCGGCGCACGTGGAGAAGGCGGCGGACTGGACGGCGATGGGGATATGGTTCAATTCGGGGCAGGATTGTTGCGCGGGAAGCAGGGTATATGTCCAAGATGGAGTGTATGAGGAGTTTGCGGCGGCGCTGAAGAAGCGAGCGGAGGCGACAGGGATCGGCATGGTGAGCTTAATGTCAGCTGTTCATGTGCTGTGCTTATGTCCAGCCATCAGACGATAAGACCTCGTTCGGACCGCTCATCTCGGAGGTACAACGGGACAAGGTCATGACATACATTGAAGGTGGGAAGGAGCAGGGTGCGCGCGTCGTCACGGGTGGAAAGCGCTGGGCAAAATCTGATGGTGGGTTCTGGGTGGAACCGACGATTCTGGCGGACGTGCACGACGAGATGACCTGTGTCAAAGAAGAGGTGAGCCTTCCTGTCCCGTTCCGCTGCTGGAGGGGTTGTGCTGATTTGCAGATTTTCGGCCCAGTCATCGCTCTGTCCCGTTTTACCTCCGAGTCTGAGGCCCTCGAACGCGCAAACTCAACAACCTACGGTCTCGCCGCAGCCGTCTTCACACGTGACACCCAGCAGGCCATGCGGATGTCGGCCGCTCTTGATGCGGGAACAGTATGGGTCAATCAGTACGCCCTTATACATCCTGGTGCTCCGTTCGGGGGCTTCAAGCAGAGCGGGGTTGGGCGGGAACTGGGGACGTATGGGCTCGAAGCGTATACCCAGGTCAAGGCGGTACATCATAATTTGAGCCAGACCGTGGAGTGGCCACTCTAACTAAGGGGTGTATCTGGTGTAGGCGATGTATACTGTCCGAGTCTGGAGCGCGCTGAGGTCTTGATCGTACAGGCAGGCTCACCGAAGTCCACATGTACTGAGGTCAAGCAGAAGCATAGCCCGTGCGTTCGTATCATCGGCGTCATCGTCGATCAGGCCTCCACCAAAATTCGGCCTACTTTTCAGCCTACTTTACATCTGTGCCTACCAGCTGTCATCCTTTGAGCCTGCCCAGGCCGCTCGGCTTTGAATTAGCCCCGAGTCGACCGCCTGAACTTATTATGGCGAACTTCAAGGCAAGCTCCGCGATGAGTGTCGTTGGCCTGGCAAGTTGCCGGGTCAATTCTACCACGTTCCCCCGCTTGCTTTCCCCTCCAACGACATCTCAGGCGAGAATATCGGGCCCATTAGGTATGCGAAGCATCAGGATCTGAAAGAGCGGTCTCGATAGTAGGTCGTAGCTGATGTATAAGGGTTCTCGCGGTATCGATCCCGGCATGACCTATCCCCTTCTCATCCTCAATCCTGCCGTCCCTCATCTTCGACATCCGCCCTCTCACCCCGCCGACTAACATCCTCACGAACGATACCTAGCGCCTTCTTTCGCTCCAACTCCTCTTCGTCAGGCTCGTCGGTGTCGAAGAAGAGCATCGCCGAGGAGGCACACCCCTCGTCCACGCTCTATTCCACCCCAAATCCGCCTCGGTCGATCATCGACCGCATCACGTCGACCTTTGCGCTCTCGGACAAGGCGCAAGATACAGGTGGGAGTAGTGTGAAGAAGCTGGTACAGCTAGCGAAGCCGGAAGGGAGGCAGCTGGGTATCGCTGTTGGACTGGTGAGTTCAGTTGAATGTCGAAGGGGACATCTTCTGGGCTTGACCGGAGCGGACGGGAAGCTGGCGATGTCGCGGAGTGGATCTTCGTTACGTTGACCAGGTGCTGATGGCAATAGCTAGTGGTATCGAGCGGTGTATCGATGCTTGTACCCCTGACTGTCGGAAAGCTGATAGATTTCTTCTCGACTGGTGGTGTAAGTCTTGCCTGTCCTACTCTTCTACCTCTCCAGAACCACTACTGACACTTCAGACCACCTTCCTCGGTCTCTCTTTCCCCGTTGCAGCTGCATTTCTGGCACTGACGTTCTGCGTCGGGGCGGCATGCAATGCTGGACGATCAATAATCATGCGTTTGTGTGGGCAGAGGATCATCGCTCGAGTCAGGTGAGCTTCTTATCGCTGCTAGGGTTTGGGTGAACCCTTGATAAGGACACGCGCTGACCAGCCAGAAATCAAGCATACCTTTCAGCCCTGCGTCAGGAGCCCGAATTTGCTGATCGAAGCGCTGGCGATATCGTCTCTCGCTTGAGCGTTGACACCAGCATCCTGGGTGACAGTGTGACTAGCAACTTGAGCGATGGTCTGAGGTGAGCTAGTCGTTTCTTGGCGGCCATGCCGATCCACAGCTGACTTCCTCAGGGCACTCATCTCGGCTACTGTTGGTGGTAGGCTGCCCCCACCTATGCTGGTTCGAATGTGTCCATGAGCTGACCAACAGTTGCGGCGATGTTCTGGATATCTAGCAAGCTCACACTTGTGATGCTCTGCGTTGTACCACCAATCTCAATCGGAGCTGTCTTTTACGGACGGTATCTGAGGAAGTTGTCGAATCTCACCCAAGAGGCTATTGGGGACATGTCAAAGGTGAGCTAGATCCTCCGGTTAGAGCGCGGCTACTTCTTTGGATCTGGTACGAACATGCGAGCTGATGAGTTAGACCGCCGAGGAGAAGCTCAACGCGTTCAAGACGGTTACCGCGTACAACTCTCAAATCACCGAAGGGAGGGTGTTCTCCGCCAAAGTGAACGAGGTGTTTGGATTGGCGAAGAAGGAGGCGTACATGTCGGGCATATTCTGGGGGATGAGCGGGCTGACGGGGAACTTGGCCATGCTATGCTTATTGGGTTACGGTAAGTCGAGTAGTCCATAAGATGGGAGAATGGCTAGCTGATCTAGCGGGTGGACATCTCGTTTCGCACGGCGAGATCACTGTTGGTGATCTGACCTCGCTGCTCATGTACAGCGCGTAAGTCTATATTTCTGATGTAACAGACTCTAGCTAAAACATCAGTTACGTCGGCGGCTCCGTGTCTGGCTTGACCGGCTTCTTTACCGGCCTGATGAAGGGCGTCGGCGCAGGCGGGCGCGTGTTTTGGCTCCTCGACCGTCAATCCGCGATCCCTCTCGGTGTTGGCCAGAAGGTTCCTCTTTCTCGGAATGGCGCGATCCGATTCCAGGATGTCAAGTTCACCTATCCTAGTCGAAAAGAAGTGGAAGTCTTGAAAGGGGTGACATTCGAGATCAAGCCGGGGACCTGTGTGGCTCTAGTGTGAGCTGCTTGCGTCAATGCCAATACCGGGGAGTCAGCTGACGGTCTCAGCGGATCAAGCGGCAGCGGCAAGACTAGCGTCCAGCAGCTAATCAGCCGATTCTATGACCCCACTGGTGGATCTGTCGAGTTCGACACTGACGGTCAGCATCACATCATGTCTCTCCGCTCGTGTCCTGAGCTAAATCTCTCAGATATCCGTTCTTTCGATGTCGAGTCATGGAGAGACCGCATTGGCATAGTCTTCCAAGACCCCATACTATTCGCCGGATCAGTCCACGACAATATCGCATATGGCTCACCGAACGCTACACGTAGGGAGGTAGAGGAGGCAGCGAGGCAGGCAAATTGCGAGTTTATCTGGGACCTGCCGCAGGGCTTTGACACTCAAAGTAAGTCCTTACATCTCTGCATCTGACTTCCTGTGAGGATCAGAGCTTATCGTATCAGTTGGAAAAGCCAGCCTATCTGGCGGCCAACGTCAGCGCATCAGCATCGCCCGTGCTTTGGTCAAGAAGCCTTCCATACTGCTCATGGACGAAGGTGATTTTGGTCTTTGATCAGTACGGAGGAGCAAGCTGACACCTCAGCTACATCTGCGCTCGACTCTGCTTCCGAGACCGCTGTCAATCGAGCCATCGACGCTATCGTTCGAGATCAGAACATAACAGTTATCCTCGCTGCCCATCGATTATCGACAATTGCTCAAGCTGAGCATGTCATCGTGCTGGAAGGTGGGGTAGTATCTGAACAGGGGTCGTATGCCATCCTGGTGAGCCCTTTCGCTCTGTCGAGATGGTCTAAGCTGACAATGCAGTCAAGAAGAGAAGGAAGTCGGTTCCGGACTTTGATGGCTGCTCAGCTCTTGCTCGAGCAGTCGGGCGATAAGAGGCGAGAAGCCTCAGTGGCTTCGGCCAGGGAGAAGGAAAGGATCGAGCTCGCCAATGCCGCATAATGCGCGGCCGGGGCTGGAAGCAAAATCTAAGGGTGTATCTACATCTCAGCATATGCACATGTGCAGACTAGCTTTAGGGAGAGCACGACATCCGCGGTCGGTGGGGCAGTAGTGAGTGACATCCCCCTTGGCCATCACCTCTAGCCAGTTAGTTTGAGGGTCTCGACTGAATCTGCACAGGCACTAGGTCGCGAGCTATGGCTATCAAGCAAAGCTGTCCACCCTGACATCGGCTCCGGTCGGAACCGGCAGATGAAGAACCCCTTACGGCCCACATGCGCCCTCACGTTTCACCTTGTTTCATCTCCTTTGATCTACACTAACCAAGTCTGTCCGTCGTCAGGCAAAGGCAGCCCCCCCAAATTGTCACCTGGTGACGATCACTGACCCCCTTTTACCACTCCTGCGGTACCTTTTGTACCCTTGATCGACGCCCAGACCACTTGAGAAGCACACTGAACCCTGCGCGGGAAGCTTTCGTGACCTCCTTTGTGCGACCTCAAGGCACAAAGAACATAGATTGACCCTGTGAGTGATCGGCAAGGACGGAACGGGTGCCTTGAATTCGGTAAGATGACAGAAAGGGGGTCGCCGTGAATTCGGGATCGACGTGCTTCTTCTTGGGTATAGTGTTCTGGGCCAGACTGATCTCCTGATTGTCCTATAAGATACGGCACCGGTGGGATCCTGCATCTCCTACGCCCAACTCTTTTCTTCCCAGCTACTGTTCTGGGCTATTTCAGCCACTTACGCTCATTTCACCCACGTTCTTTGTTTCTACATCTCCAAGTCCCACTTCGTCCGATCCACCTCCACCCCTACACCCTATCGCGTTCCACCATCCACGAACGGAGCATCGGCGATGCTATCCCTCACTCTACTCCTTTTGCTCCTCGTCCCCGCACCCGCCCTCGGCCGCAAGATCACCGTAACGAACCGCTGCCCCTCGACCGTCTGGCCCGCGCTCCTGACGCCCAGCGACATTGGCTCGCCAATCCCCTCACACCCTGCCGGCTGGGAGCTGCCCAGCGGGGACTCGACAAGCTTTGATGTCGCGCCAAATTGGACTGCTGGGCGGATCTGGGCGCGGACGGGGTGTGTAAACCAAGGTGGACAGCTGAGGTGTCTAACTGGTCAGTGCGAACCGAAGTCAGCGGGAAGTCTGGAGTGGTGAGTCATCAGAGGAGGGATAGAGTGGTGCATTCCTGAGCTGATAATTCAGTTCTGGTGGAGGAGAGGCGCCAGCGACGCTGGGTGTGTCCACTTCGTCTCGCATCGACTGCAATTGTGGGATAATAGCTGATGCTTCAGCTGAGTTTACCCTCGCACCAAACGGACAGGACAACTACGACATCTCCCTCGTCGACGGTATGTCCTTCCTCTGCAGCTTCGTCCAGCACAGTCATTCTACCTGCGTACAAGCTGATATGCAGGCTTCAACGTCCCCATGATCATCCTTCCCACAGCGCCGGACTGCCCAAAGCCCGACTGTCCTGTCAATATCAACGCCAAGTGTCCCGGCGTGCTGCGAACCGGTCTCGACCAGAATGGCGCGAATTTGGGCTGTGTGTCGAGCTGCATCAGAGGGTTCGGACAGGAGAAGTTTGGAAACAGGGCTTGCTGCAGCGGTACGTCACGTATCCTTATCTCCAGCGAAACACTGGCTGGTTCGAAGCTTACATACCAGGCGGCTACAACGATCCTGCGCTCTGCGCGATCTGCGGTGTAGACTTCTACAATGTCTTCAAGGTCCACTGTCCCAATGCTTATGCTGTGAGCCAGATCTGATTGTATACTAGGGCCATGATCTTAGCGATTTGAGCTGACTTACAGTACGCCTACGAGTAAGCTCAACGTTTCGCTTGGTATGCGTGCACATATAATAGGCTGTAAGCTGACCCCTCAGTGAGAAGTCTGGCTCTGCCCTCTTCACCTGCCCTTCCTCCTCATCCTCCGACTACGAGATCGTCTTCTGCCCCGGTGGCTCAGACTACATCGGCCCTAAATCCGCTTCTGTCGAATATGACAACGATCGCGCCGCTTGCGCCAACAAGGTCAATAGCGGACCTCAGCAGTTCGCTGTGGGACCCAGTCCGACCCAGGGCGCCAGTATTGGCGATATCAAGTACACGGCTGGAGCGGGCGGAGGAGGTCCCGCTCCCAGCGCGGGCAAGTCGGTCCCACCTGGGGGCACGTCGAGTGCCGCAGAAGGTACGCCCTTGGTCATTCCACCATCGGTGGCAGCTGCGGCGGAGACAATCACAACGCGGAGGCAGCAGGGAGGTGGAGGAGGGAGACCCACGGGGACTACGACACGGCGAGGAGGCAGGCCGCGACCTTCGGGGACGGGCGGTGTGATCGGGCAGCAGCTGCAGGCAGCGGCGGTGGGTCCGAATGCGGGGAAGAAGGTCTGCGTAAAGGTCAGTCTCACAAGGAACGTGATGAGAGTATATGATCTGATACAGTACAGCCGGTAAAGCGCGGGTCACGCAGGGTCTGAGGGGATGACGAGGAGGGGTGATAGGTGTTGAGGGGGAACCAGGCGGGCTGATGTTGGACATCTAACGGGACTCGGACCGTGTTTTCCACATAGATCTCTTCGCAAAGCAATATGAATCCTATATCAAGCAATCGCGCTCAGCTACATCGCCTCTAGCTAAGCAGGCCTCGGCGCCTGTACAGGGCACTTGACCCTTCGCATCTCGAACAGCTGAAAGACCGCTCGTTTCTCAAAACTCGGATCCGAAGTTGATTGAGAACTAAAAGACAGAACTTGGCAACTCCACTCCTGGTCACTCAATCAACCTTCACTTCGCGACGTGCTACAAGCTCAAGGAAAGGCGAGAAGGAGAATAGTCTGCGAAGACGTACCAGCTGGAAGCGGTCAGTCTCCACTCATGCCTCAGGGCAGTAGCTTGTATCCTCTCGCTGACTACAATAGCAGATCTGCGATGTCTTTCGACTCGGACTCAGAGGATGAACTCCCGTCCAACTTACGCCTGTCTGATGACTACACCCTCACGGAACGGATCGGCTACCCAAGCTGGGAAATTCGCGTCAGGCTCCTCTTGATCACTCACGGCCTCCTAAAGCACATCACCAAAACCCCCTCCGAGATCGAAACCTCGTTAGAGACCGCCAATCCTCCCTCCTCCCCTTCATCCTCCTCCCCTCCCAGCCCCTCCCACGCCCGTATCGCACTAGCGGCCGCTCGGAGACGTCTCGAGCACGAGCGCTACATCGTCTGCTCGGTGCTCTACTTCGGCCTTTCGAAGAACTACCAAGCTTCGCTCCCATGGGGTCTGCTGAAGTGGAGCGATCCGCAACCCAAGGCCCTCTACGACCACATCAAGGCCACGTACGGCGCCAACGTCGGCTCGGGCCCCGAGTACACCCGTCTCTGGGCCGAGGTGCTCAGCAACGACCTCATCATCCGTGATCCGGAGGACCCGCTGCCCAAGCTGGCCATCATGGAGCGGAAATGGGGCCAGATCCTCATGTCGGTTCCGAGCGACGAGGTGCGGCAGTACGTGCTGGGCCTCGCCCCGCACGCTATCCTGCGGAACCTGCCAGAGTCTCTAGCAGGGGTGAGAATAAATTTGATGTTACGGGAAAAGCTGGACTTTGTTGAGATGTTGGAGGCGATCAAGGGGACCGTGAGCTTTATGCAGTCTAGGGCGCTTTCGAGGCCGAAGGCCGCGGCGGCTGCAGGGGCAGGTGGGAAGGGAGGAGAGGGAGGGATGTGGTGCATCCATCACAAGTCCAAGACACACGACACCATCGACTGCCGGAATAAAGGACATCGAGCTCGGAATCGCGCTTGAGACACGTCCTCACAGATACTCCGGTTCGACCGCGGAGGCGTAGCAGCTGCGCTGCACCAAACAGGCCAGCCTCATGATGGGTGAGTCTTTCCTTCTGCTCTACAAGCACCAGCTGATCTGTCAGACATCGCTATCCTCCCCAAGGCTGCGTCAGCAAGCAGGCCAGGCTCTCACTAGTTACCGACTGCGCAATACGGGATTCACCACATGCATTACCATGACAACCCTCGCCCTTGCAGCCTCATTATTTGCCTCTTGTCGCGTTCTACACCTCCTATCCCCACGCCTGATCGCCTGCGGCGTCCCCATCGCCGCCTCCCGTTTCCCCCTTCGCCACTACTCCGGTTGCAGATACCAACTGGCTCGCCGTCTTGACATGACCGGTGGATCAGACCGCGAGAGCCGCAGAGGCCGTGGGTGGAAGCGCTGCGTGTATCTCCGGCGATGACGGACCGATTGTCGTCCCGGACCAGGGTGGCGCTGGCCCCGAGGTGGGACACGGCAGCGAGGATCGGTCTGCCTTCCCCTTCCGTCGTCGCCTCCCTATCTTCCACACATTGGGTCATCTCCTCCCGCCCTACCTTATCCGCCTGACTCTCATTTCCTCAGCCCCAGAGAAGCCCCCGCAAGATCCACCACGATCACCTGGATAGTCTGCCGGGGTCGAGCGGTCCGCCTCTTCCGACCCTTGTTCCGGCAGTCGACGGTATCGTGCGGTTTTTGACTTGTGGTACTGACACCACTTTCCCGGGCGCGGTGCCACCGATATAGCCGTCTCTTCCGCCGTAGTTGCTGGCACCGATGGCGGGGCCGCCTCTCCGACGTCCGAAGGACCCGCTACCGTCGCCGCCGCCGCCGCCGGTTGGGGGGAGGAATCTTCCAGCTTCACCGGTGTGGCTGGCGCCGATGTTCCCGCCGATGTCTGCTCCAGCTTGATGTCGACATCCTGCTCCTCCTGCGCCTCGTCGAGACCATCCACGTCATCCTGAGTCTTGTCGAGCCCGCCCCCATCATCCTCATCCTTTTCATCCTCCTTGGCTTTCCCATCGTCCTCATCTTCTTCATCTTCCTCGGTCCCCAGTTCGTCCGCCATATCCTCGTCCTCATCATCCTCATCCTCGCCCTCCTCGCCATCGTCATTGTACTGGTCATCATCGTATTCGTCTGACGCGTCGGCCATTTCCTGCGCCCGCTGTTCCGCCCGCGCCCGCCAGCCGCCCATTCTGCCGCTTCTGATCGGCCTACCCTGAGCCTCGGCATCCGGATCTCCTTTTGCTCTCCCCTTCTCCCTCCGATCATACTCGTCCGTTACATCATAGATAAACCCCCTGATGGTGCTAGTCGGATCCCGGACGTGATCCCGGACCATGCCGGAGTACGAGGGAGGGAGCGCCCTTGCGACCGCGTGGAATTCGATGGTATCGAAGAACTGGGCGACGGTCATCGACCCCATCTCGTACCGCAACGACATGATCTTCCCATCCAGCTCCAGCAGCTTCCGTCTCGGATCTTCCCCTTCCTGCACCTTGGTCTCCCATATCTCCGCAAACATCTCCGCCATGGGCGCCAAGTGCGACCGGGGACCGTACGTCTTTTTGAGATAGACGTAAAGCTGTTTCGGATCCGGTCCGTCGTCCCTGCTCGTATACGTCCGGCGGTTCGGACGCATGTATGACGGCAGCCTGGCCTGGACGTCCGGCGAGAGCGAGTCGTACACCTCTTTGAAGGCGTTCTTGCGCGCCCAGAAGAGTGCGCCCCGCATCCGCCGCCGCCGGTCCACGTCGTATGCCGCAAAACTGTAGCCCGAGGGGAACTGCTGATCCACTTCTTCCCGAAGTTTGGCATAGTCCTCCGTGACATGCCGCCAGAGGTCTCCGTGGTCGTCATAGTCTCCGCTGAGCCGCCGGTCGAGCGCCCGTTCCCACTTTATAAAGTTGAGGGGACCGGTGAGGATGATGTGGGCGTACTCGTCCTCTGACGACTCATCCTCTGCCCAACGGTCCGTGTCGTCGAGGTGCGGGCCTTGTAGGGGCGCCGCATTAGGAGGGCAGATCAGCACCTGCGCGTCTTCCTCGGAGGAAGTATCCGAAAGACCGTCATAAGGCGACATGGTAGTAGGGGTTCGCTGGTGAGTGATCTGATCTCTCAGCCTTGTGCTCTGGACCGCGGTAGGATTATGATCGTACCTCGATGAGTGATTGTCAGTTGCCCGAATCACCCGCTTCTTTCAGCGCCTTTGATGCGCGCCCGATCATCTCCTCATTCCTCATTCATGTTCGATCCGCCCATTTACGCGTTACGACTGGGAGATTTGAGAAATCTACCTCCACTCCTTTAGTCCATCTATTACATCCACATCTACCATGTCGAAAGCGCCAGTGAAACAGCTAGTAGTGAGTCTTAATGACAGCTGATAATGCACGGGGCAAGAGCTCATCGCTCGCAGAAAATCATCGTGCCTGCGGGTAAGGCGACGCCGTCTCCGCCAGTCGGGCCGGCGTTAGGTGCGAGGGGTGTCAAGGCGATGGACTTCTGCAAGGAGTTGTGAGTGGATTTCGCCATCTAGGATCGAACAGCAGGTCGGAGGGCTACCTGTGCGGCTCTGGGTACATGTCCGCTGCTATGAGGCCACAGAGACGCAGTCACTCTGGTGGTCAGATATGCCATCTCGGAAGGGTGCCGACTTCGAGGGATCCGCAACGGCCTTGTCCAAGAATATCCCTTCCAGGCCCTGATAGACATATTCAAGATCTCGTACTGACCTCCAGTAACGCCCGAACCGCCCACCTAGCTCCATCTACCCCCACTCCCACGTCAATAACAATCTCTCCCGACCGCACCTTTACATTTACCCTTCGTACTCCACCAACAACCTACCTGCTCATGAAAGCCGCGGGCATAACGAAAGGCTCAGGAACACCAGGAAGCGGCGGGAAACCAGTCGGAAAAGTCAGCCTGAAACATGTGTATGAGATTGCGAAGGTGAAGTGCGGGGATGAGGGACTGGGGGTATTAGGACTGGAAAGAGTAGCGAGGGGGGTGTTGGGGACGGCGCAGACGATGGGAGTGGAGGTGGTGCCATAGCGATGGGCCGCTTATCCGCTCCGCTGGGGAAGAGACAAGAGGAGGGGGAAAGCTGTACAATACGAGCAGATCATGACTGCATGTAATTCCGTACGTCGTACGATCCGATCAACCCAAATTTGCCCCTACATCCACATCCCGCCGATGCCGCCTAGATACGGGGGGACGAGTCCGCCGCTTCGTTATAGTCATTGCCCTTCGCTCCTCTGTCGTCCGCCTGCTGGCCGTATACCTAAAGCAGAGTCAGCTCAGCCCCGCGGCGAGCACCCATTCAGAAGACCAGCACTTGACTGGATAAGCTCACGTTCTGGTTCTTGATTCGGTTCTCGGCGGCTTCGTGATCCACATCTGCACTGTCAGCTCAATCGCTCACCTCTTCTGCCATAGCGAGGGTCACATAATGCAAAGAGTTCTAGTGAGCTTGACTTACCGCCCTCTTGCCTGTATCCCGGCGTGCTCGTACCTGTCTTGTACCCCTGACCGTGCGAGTCATCCTCATCATCGTCACCGAAGACCGCAGGGGACTCGTCTGTGCCCATCTGGTTTGCGCGGGAGAAGGAGGAGCCCTTGGCGTTGCGACCGTAGCCGCCTGTCGAGGTACCTGATGATCAGCTCAGTTCCGCTCGGTCACGCGGACGCTTCACGCCTGAACGACCACTTATCGGACGTATACTCACTGTCATCCTGCTCCATACCCTCATAGATACTAGCCCTGTGTTTCCTCTCCCCCTGCTGCTGCCCTTGTCCCTGCGGCTGCCCGTCCGAACCCTTGGCCAACCCCCCTCCGAACCCTGCACCCCTCACAGCGCCATACTGCCCTTCCTGGCCATATTGCCCCGCCTGACCTGGCTGGCCGTATGCGCTGACTGATGGGGCTTCGTCGTTGCCCTGGGCGGAGCTGTCGACTTGGGCGTCACCGTTCCCGCTTTGGAGCTTGGAGAACTCGGCTTTGGCAATATCGATTGTCTGCGCTGTCAGCTGGGAGGTCCTTGTCCAGTCCCCTGAATGGGCAAGGACATACTTGGTTCATAGTGATGACGTGCTGCTGTAGAAGGTTCAGTATCCGAGTATAGAGTATCTTACAGTGTTTGCAAGCGTCTCAATCTGGGGTCACATATGACGTCAGACTTGTGGCAGCGGCTGTTAGTGGCACCTCGCTCGTGAGGAATGTGGCGCGAGCTGAGGGAAGCATTCTGAATTCTGCATCCATCTACTCTCATCCCTCGCACTGTACAATCAGCTAATCACAAGGATGATACAGTACGTCTGCGGGGCTTACATCACTGTCTTATCCCCCTCGCGTAGAACGCTTCTCTTTCGGCAACCTTCGCAGCCTCCACCACCTCCGAGCCCAAGCGGAAACCGGTCACCGACGCCTTGAGACGCGAGAGAAGCACGTCACCAGTCATGGCATTGGAATCATACTTGCAGAGAATGATCATGACAGCGAGAGTGGATGAGTCGCCATCGTTCCCCCTGATGGACGAGTATTTCGACTCGGCATTGAGCTGCATCTGGATGTTGAACATCTGCGGATATTCTGGGTGGCCCTCCTTCGCATTGCCGATCACCTGCATCCGTCAACACTAGTCCTCTCACATCATATACGCGAGCAAGGATGATGGTAGAAGCCCTATCGCCGCATAGCGCAAAATGTCAGCTCGTCCTGCCCATGCTGAGCAGCAATTGGTATCAAGCCTGACTAGTATGCAGCCTTTGCAGCGGTTGGGGCCTGCCTACCTCGCTGCAGGCAGGGCAAAGCGCCTACATATCAGATCGTCAGACGTAGATAGGCATGCATCATGCAGTGAGTGTCCTATATGATACTCGACTATACCTTCTGAGCTACATAGTAATTACTCCCTACTGTAGCGATTGTCAGGGTCATGTGAGACAAGCCATTCGAAATGTCTCGGACATTCGTAAGCAGTTGTCAGTGGCGGGAGACCAGCCTCGTGCAAGATTATGCACAGAGCCGTCTCCCAAGTTGTGGCCGTTTCAAGATCGTAGTGTCCACACGAAGACGCCTAAGCGGCGATAGGGCAGTGTGAAGGATGGAGAAAAAGTACTCACGCCCTGGAGGTCAAGCCGGAAGTTCCGGTCGCTGAAATTGGTACCCGGTTTCAGCCGGAACAGCTTTGCGTCCGGGATGGAGTCGATTCAGTCTCTGATGATGGCTCTGTGAACGAGGGCGTCCGCATCGTTGAGGTGAGTGGGCGCAGTGGACGAGGAGGTGAGGGATTTGGAGACTTTGGGGAGTTTAGGTGTAGATTTGCCCATTGTGAGCTTGGAAGGGCTGGAAGAGGGGTACGGGGTGGAGTAGGACTTGGGAGGGGAGTGATAGGGAGGCGCAGAGAGTTTTTGACGATGAGAGGGGAGATCGGCAACTTCCACAGCTACTGTTCTTATAGAGACTACACCGGGGCACATATTCTCGCCTCTTCATGCGGTGCTGGCCAAAGACATCTGTCCAGGCAGTTCCTGCTTGTAACGTCGCACCAGCTCTTGGAGCTGCTAGACCAGGATAGCAATGATACATTGCGCAAGTTTACGGCCGACCGAATGCCCATTTCCGCCCTCACACTCACTTATGCTCCGGGGGGGCGGCGCCCAGATAGATGAATATGAGTCAGACAGCGCGGGGAGACGATCCAAATGTTGCGATCGGTCGTCGCTGGTCCTTGAAACGTCTGCTTAGCACGGGCGCGGCAGCTCCATGCCGAGCTTCCGGTGGATCGCAAGCGAGCAATATACCCAGCCACTATGCTTAGCGCATCGAAAGTGCTGGCGCTCTGCATCAGCCGCGCTGCCGAAGGTATCCCGGCGTTTACGAATGATGTATCATTGTGAGACATAATTCTCCCTTTGCCACGCGATTGATTAGGTGGGCTGGACAGGGCTGGACTTTCTCGCCGCTCACTACATTTTGCGGTCGCGTACCATGTAGCTCTTGCATATTCCCTCTACTATACAAGTATCCTGCTTTCCCTCTTCATAGTACCTGTGTACCTATAGCTACCATGTCGTTTGTCAAAGACTTTTGGGAGGACGACCAAATCGTATGGCCTCAGGAGCCGGATACATCATCTATCGAACGAATCTGCCGACAGCGCCTCGCCTTGCTATCAGACGCAACATGCAGTGTCTCTCTCATGGCAGAGGGATCACGCAACAAGGTATACAATATCAACACCGACGATCTCGCGTACGTCATGCGCGTATGCCTTCCCCTCGATCCACTGAAGGTATCTGGCGAGGTTGCCACCATGGAATTCGTCCGACAGAAGGTAGGTCGGCGAAAACTTAGCTCCTTTCACTTGCGCTGATGAAGTAGACGACCATCCCTGTCCCAAGCGTTGTCGCTTTCGATCCCTCGGGCGGCGAGGAGCTGCCCTTCCCATGGATACTGATGGACTTTGCAAAGGGGACGGCGCTTCGGAGGCCATGGCGGCATATGGGGATGGATCGAAAGCGGAAAATCGTGACTCAGTATGCACAGTCGCGGTATGAAGACTGACAGCAGACTTGCAGACATACAGTCTCAGCTCGCCCGCGTCCAATTCTCGGCCATCGGCGGGATCCAACGCTCGGAGGTCAACGGTGACTTCGTTATCGGCCGCGCGACAAACGAGGACTATCGTCGTCCCGGCTACAACTTCCCCGCTATTCTCGGTCCACAATTCTGCTCTCACGACTGGGTGCAAGTCCGGCTCGCGGAAGTCGCTCGTCTTCTCGACGAAACGATCTCGGGATTTCCGACGGCCGAAGCGGGAGACGTTGTGGCCCAACACTTCGCCAAAGAGCTCGCTCGAGACAAGACTCAGGTCGAGGCCATTCTTCCCTTCCTCCCTGGCTGTTACTCCCCCTCCCTCCCCGAGTCCACCTCTCTCTACCACTGGGACCTCCACGCCGACAACATTTTCATCGACGACAACGACACCATCACGGCGGTCCTGGACTGGGAGCTGCTCATTGCTGTCCCCGAGTGGTCGGCAATGGAGTTCCCCAAGTTTCTTCGAACAAAGCATCGGAAAAGAGCACCGGTGCGGGAGGACTACGGCGAGGTTGAGGACTGGCTAGAGGAGGAGGAAAAGTCGGATGCCATGGGGTGTAACCGATCCTATTGGAAGGCGCAGGGGGAATGGGAGGCGACCCAGCTACGCACATTCTACCTTGCTGAGATGGACCGCATGTCTCCGGGGTGGGCGGATAGGCACCGAGCTACCAAGTTCCACCGTGTCCTAGAGCAGCAGATACTCTTTTTGGAATATGGCGGTTGGAATGGGGACGTACGGGGCTGGCTGGAGGCGTACCAGGGAGACGGCCAGGTGCCCAAAGAAGGGCGTATGGATAGTAAATGGCCGACCCTCCAGGAGGATACGCCCTGTGACGCTGAGTTGTATGATGAGTAAGTCCCTTTGGCATCTGTGTGAAGCAGGCCTACGCTGACCATCAGTGAAAGCGACGTCGATGACGAGGCGGGAATTGATGATCGCTCGGAGCACGACCGGGAGAACGCCTCGTTTGTTCCGGTTGTGGAGGAGATGGGGCCGGGGGAGACGGACTGCACGGAGAAGACAGTAGTGGGGCAGCCGAGGACTGAAGAGACTGTAGAGGGGAAGGATGAGTGGGAGCGGATCAGCGAGAAGACACGTAGTGGGGGATCTTCAGGGTTTCAGTTCATCAAGTCATTCTTCAATTTTTATTTTTATCTAAGTGATTAGGCTTCCCGTAGTATTTAGTCATGAGAACATTTAGATGCTGGTCCCATTGTCTGCCGGCTGGAAGTACTCCTTGAACAGCCTTATACGTCTAATGGTGGAACTACTTTGTCAGCTTCGTCCTCGATAGAGCGCGGATAGATGCCGTGACCCACCAATCGCAGCGTGGTGTGGCAGAACACCATATCCATCTCGTCCGCCGCCTTGATACACTCGGCATCCATGATACTTCCACCCGGCGCAGCAAGATACGTCGCTCCGCTCTTCCTCGCGCGGTGCACATTGTCCGGGAAAGGGAAGAATGCGTCCGAAGAGCAAACCACCCCCTTGAGCTGCGCCATGTGCTCCTTCTTCTCCGCTGCTGTCAACTCCTCGGGTACCGAGTCGAACAGGCTCTCCCATTGCGCCCTCTCACCACCCTCGGCAGCGTACGCCTGAGATGTGACGAACAGGTCAATGGCGTTGGCCTTGTCGGCCCGCTTGGTACCCTTCTTGAAGGGAAGGTCGAGGACGCGCGGGTGATGACGGAGCCACCAGTTGTCTGCCTTGTCTCCTGCGAGTCGGGTGCAGTGGATACGCGATTGTTGGCCGGCACCAAGACCGATGACGGTACCGTTGAGGGCGTAGCAGACCGAGTTGGATTGGGTGTATTTCAGAGCAAGAGTAGCGACAGTGAGGTCGATGATGGCCTGCTTGGGTACCTGACCGTCAGCCGAGTCAAATCCAAACTCACCTCCTTGTTCTTGGTGACCACGTTCTCGAAGAGAGAAGCATCGATCTTGCAGTCATTCCGCTTTTGTTGCATCGAGATACCGTAGACCTGGCGGGTCTCGATCGCTGGTGGCTCGTAGTTGGGGTCCATCTACATGTCAGCTCGGTCGAGGGTGCTCCAGAGCTGACTTACCTGGAGAACACAGTACTTTCCGCCCTTCTTCTTCTTCAAGATCTCAAGTGCTTCTGGCTCGTATCCAGGAGCGATGACTCCGTCCGAGACTTCCCGGGAGATGATCTTGGCGGTGGGGGTGTCGACGGTGTGGGAAAGAGCGATAAAGTCGCCGAAGGACGACATGCGGTCCGCACCTGTGCTTCAGCTTAGGTCCCCTCACTTCCGTCTGGATGACCTACCTCGTGCCCGGGCGTACGCGCAAGCCAAGCTTGACAGCTCCTTCAGGTCCTCCACACCGAACACCTTCTTCTCTCTTTCGTCAAGCTCGAGTCCGACCGCAGCTCCAGCGGGCGAGACGTGCTTGAAGGAAGCAGCAGCGGGGAGGTTGAGAGCAGCAGACAGCTCCTTGACGAGCGCCCACGAGTTGAGAGCGTCGAGCAAGTTGATGTAGCCGGGCGAGCCGGACAGGACTGAACTATCAGCTCCGGATCACCCCCTTTAGAAGTTGACATACCGGTGACTGGCATTTCTCCTGTCTCGACGAATGCCTGAGCTGGCTTCTGGTGCGGGTTGGCTCCATACCTCAACCCTAAACGCTGGTAGCCGACCCCAGCAGCGGCCTCCATACCCTTCTCGGAGTCCGGCGAGGAGTACATCTTCCTGAAGTAGTCCGCGATGGCCTCGTCGTAGCTCTTGGTGCTCTCGAAAGCTTTGAGCGCGAGTCCACGCTTGGTCTCATCCGAGACCGACCCCTTGGAGCGCCATTCGTCCAGGATGGAGGTGTAGTCCGAGGGGGATGAGATGATCGAGACGCGAGCGTGGTTCTTGGCTGCGGCACGGAGAAGGGTGACACCTCCGATGTCGATCTCCTCGATAGCCGAAGCAAGGGTGCAGTCGGGCTTGCTGGTCTGCAGGACGAAGGGGTAGAGGTTGCAAACGACGAGGGTAATGGGGGAGATGGAGTTGGTAGCGAGATCGGCAAGGTCGGAGGGGATGTCCCGGGAGAGAATACCTATTGATCAGCCAAAGATCCTTGAGGAGTGAGCAAGAGACTTACCGCCGTGGACAGCGGGGTGAAGGGTCTTGACCCGTCCACCGAGCATCTCCGGTGCGTTGGTGATGGATGAGACGTCCCTACCGCTGTCAGCATCCGCGCGGCGCATTCGGACTTGGATAGACTTACTCAATCTCAATACCAGCTTCCCTGATCATCTTCGCAGTACCTCCGCTACCGAGCAGCCTGAAGCCGAGCTCCTTGAGCCCCTTGGCGAAAGGCAAGAGCCCATCCTTATCGTAAACGGAGAGAAGGGCTATGACAATTAGCTTTAGCTCTCAAGCGGTTCCTTAGCGATGACCCACCGATGGGAGCTGTGTTTTTGGTGGCAGAGTCGGACATAGTGAGCTGATCTATATGTGGTAGATAGATGTATGAAAGCAAGGTATGATACATACATAGGGTGTGTGTGGGGGAAAAGTCGGAGGCCCGGAGAGATTTTCGAGGCAGGTCCGTGCGTCGTCAACAACGGATCTCTTGCTGCAGGACGATCAGAGCGCATCCCCAGTACCTAACAGGCCGAGAGCGACTCCAATGACGGTGGCAATAAGGGTCGGAGCCTGTAGAGCTGCGGAAGAGACTCGGGGGTCCTAATGAGCGATACACGTCAAGAAGCTACAACTCTAAGATGTTCCGACAGATCCCCTCCCCTGACTTTGGCTCAGCCCTTCGTGTCCCGACGATGATCTGTCGCAAAGGTGCTTCCAGCCTCCTCGTCCTTCACCCCCGTGCCGAGTCGTCTCAGGCCTCCCTCTGTGCCTGCCACGCCCGCTGTCCCATCTGCCCCGCCGATCCCACCCTTCGACTCCTCTTCCCCATCCTTCTCCTCTACACGCGCATCCGTCGCGTCCCTACCCATCGCCGCCTCAGCGTCTAGCCTCGCCTGATCCTTGGCCAGCCATCGCTTGAACCACCAGATCATGAATTGACCAACGAACACCTGTTCCACCGTATACAGCACGACGGGGATCTGAATGAGGGACCGAGTCGCGTCGGACGAAGAAGTATACATGGAAGCGAGGAGAGGGATACCGAGGGCTAAGACGTCAGGTAAGCTGCCATCAGGGAGAATGTGAGGAGAGAGGAGCTCACCTTGTGTTTTGGCTGGGCAACAGAAGCAGTAACTGATGACCTCCTCTTTACTAACCCGCTTGAACAGCACGCCATTCCACCGGTTCCATGCCTTGGGCGGACGGACCGTAAAGAAGGTCAGGATCGTGAAGCCGATACAAAGAAGGAGGTTGATGAAGATGATAAAGACGATAGTGGATGTGTTGAGTGTGGAGAGCGAGCCGGAGGAGAAGGCGTTACAGAACGTGGACCTGCAGGTCAGCTCTTGCTCACAAGGGGCTGCAGTAGTGAAGAGCAGTGAAGGGTCTGACAAGTGAGAGGGACGTGGGAAAGCGGAATGCCAGGAAAGACTCACCAGACCAGCAGGAGTAGCATGACCGACCCCACCTTGGCCAGCTTGTACTTGGTCACCACCTTCTGCACGAAATCCGTGAAGAGCGCCCTAACCACCTGCCCCACCACGAGCGGCAGATAGACACTCAGCCCCATCTGCATCATCACATTCCGATACAGCGGGGTGAGATCGCCAACTGCCTCGGCGGGTATCCACTCCCTAAACTTGCCCACTGCCGGGAGGTACAGCCTCGCAATCAAAAGCGGGGAGATGAAGGGTCCCAGCAGGTTCCCAATCGTCACGCTGACCATCGTGGCCGCGACGTCCCCGCCCGCCTCGCGCGTCATGGTGACATTGCTCGCGATGGTGGTGGGGAGGCACCCGACCGCGATCAATCCGATAAGCGCCGAGGTTTCGATATAAGGGTTGGTGCTCGCCGCTGCGGCTATCCCGAAGAAGACTGACGAGGTGATGAGGAACGAGTAGGTCTGGACGATGAGGTGTAGCCGGAGGTTTTTGGCGTGCTTGAGCAACTTGTCGAATGGGAGTGAAAGACCAGAGATAAGGAAGATAAGAGCAACGCCGCCATAATTGACAGTGTATTCCGATCTTATGGAACCGCCGCGGCGACCGACGATGGGGAAAAAGTAGGCAAGGAGGATGAGGAGACCTAGTAGAAGGAGGAACCACTGCTCGATGGCAAAAGAGAGGACGGAGCGGAAGGTGCGAATCGCCAGGTTCCGAGGCTTGGCAGGCTGAGGCGACCGGGCGGGGCTGGTGTCTGCACCAGAACTTTTGGACGTCATCTACAGCAGCGCCTCAGTCACGACGACAGGCGTGGCCGTCGGAGTGACTTTGAGCTGCACAATGAAAATACCAGACTGCGGTGCGAAGGCAAGCGAAGGAGCGAACGCAAAAGAGCGCCAAGCCAAAGGTCCAAGCCAAAGTCGACTCATTCCTCGCGATGGTCAGCCCTAATGACTCCTTCTGAATGGCTGCCGTTTCTCGGCGCAGGGTGCTGAAATGGACGGCAGCATCATCCAGTACCGCAAGGACTCCAGCATGAAAGAACTAAGATCGAGGTTGCCGCGTATTGACGCATGTATAAAAGCCAAGATAGGAGTCTGCTGCATCGGCAGTATCCTCTCCAAAAGCCTTGCGTGGTGCTATGGCTCATTCATCAAGACTTTCTGCCAACTAAACTTCATCAGCTCTGCACTCTCTCGAACAAAGTGCTCAGACTCACCATCCTCGCAAACTCGTCCTCCCCCTCCGTCTCCGCCTCACTCGCCGCCTCCTCGCCTTCCTCCCTCCGCTCCGCCTCTGCTTCTTCGACCTGCCTCTGTATCCTCTCCTTCATCGCTTCGCTGATCTCAATCTTGGTCGAATCACCCTCGTCCCGATCAGGTGGCGGACCCAGTTGAATGGGGCGTTTCCTCTTCCGCTCGGGACTGTCCCCTGATTCGGCCACATCCATCGAAGGACGTTTCGCCGGTGGATCTCGGAAAGACGTGAGGGGGAGATCTTCCTCGTCTGCGTATCGAACGCGTTTGCGAGGTGTTCCGGGAACAGAGCTGGGCGAGGAGGCCACACTGAGAGTCAGCTATCGACATAACTGCAGAGGCCGAAGGGCGTTGTAGGGAGTCGTCAGCTCACCTGCCCTTCTCTGACATCCCATCATCCGACCCTTCCAAGAACGCCTCGAACTCCCTCTCGGCCGCCTCATCCCATCCACCCGTTTCAAATCCCGGATCATCCATCTCCCCTTCTACCATTTCCGCTCCTCCTTCCGGCTCCTTCACCTCCTCACCAGCATGGACCCTCATTCCTCCTGGCTCCCCATCCGCCTCCCCCTCTTTCTCTTGCTCCTTGTCCATCCCCTTGTCCTTCCCCTTCCGACCCGCTGCCGCCTCTCGCGCCTCATAAGCCAGCCTCGCCTTTGTTTGTTCGGGAAAACAATCCCATGGCGCCTCGTCCACCCGCCTCCATTCTGCCAGGCACTGCAACATCCATTCGAGCTTGACGACCCATTTTCCCAACTTTTGGGTCCGGTGTGTCTTTTCGGTTCCGGCCGTGACGCAGACACAGTGGGTCATGGCTGGGGAAGGCTCGACGAGGGGTCGGGCGCCGTAGACTTGGGCGACCATCCAGATCTCGGACCTGGCTATCAGTGGTTGCTCACTTCAAGGTGGCAACATGGGGGGCGACTTACTTTTCCGGCCGGACACCTTGAGGGATTACACCTGAAAAGACAATGCTGCATCCTTCGAGGACTCTCGACTTCATGTCGGGGATGATCAACTGATAAGTCAACTATGCAACCCGTCACCCGAACCGCAAGACCGTGTCGAGCTCGCGTGCAGCTCACCTCTACATCACAGCCCATAGGAGGCGGGTCTTCATCCGCAGCATCTGGTGGACGAGCATCATATGCCGCGTAGAAGGACCGATGTATTTCAGTAAGGATCTGCATGTCAGCTACACTTTCCATCCCATTGCAGCTCCTTGTGGAGTCAAGGGAAGCAGTTGGACGGCATAGCTCACCCGACTCAATCGTCCCAGCTCATAATCCTTCGGATTGAGCAACGGCACATCCGCAGGCGGAGGGCTCCCCTCTGGCGTTGTGCTCCTCTGCGCAATCGTCCCTTCTTTCGCCTCAGACGCCGCGCCCGGCTTCCCCTCTGATGTACCGCCGCCCAGCCCACCTGCAGTATCCCGATCAGGCCCGGCGGCGGCCTCCAGCGAAGCCGCCAACGCCTTCTCCATCTGCTCTGCCAGCTTCTTGAGCGGTCGTTCTTCCTCGACTTTGTGCAGTCGGTCCTCCTTGATGTCGTCCCCGGCCGTGATCCCCGCTTGGGCATCTGCGGTATCGACAGACTGGGCCTCAGGAGTGGTGGGCCCCGCTGCCGAAGAGCTCGAAGCTGAAGCGGGCGAGCCGGATGAAGCGGATGGCGACGATGGTGATGGTGATTTGCGAGATGGAGATGAGCCGCCGACTGTACCGGAGGTTCGGACTGTTTTGTTTCCAGCAGGATTGGAATTGATGTCGCCTATTCCGAGGAAGAAGTCGTCTGTCCAATCAGCGACATGTGACACGAAAGAGCGGCGGGGACAACCTACATGGAATAACCTTCACCAGATTCGGCAGCTCTCCCCATACATCCGCCCGATCGTCAATGACAACCACCATACTCTGGTCTGTCGGGAACAGTCGCTTCAGGCTCTTTGAGCTCAGACCTAATGTATCAGCTCAGCTGTCCCGATGCCATCGGCGAAGATCGACAAAGCTCACTCCCACTCTCATCTCGACTCAATATCCGCCCACCAAAGATCTTCCCATCCGGATCGACAGCTTTACAGATTGCGTCCGCATACGTCCGAGTACCCATCGTATAGACGTGCATCTCGTATAGCTCCGACATGCTCTCCAAGAACTTTGGCAATCCGGGTCTGACACATCAGCTTCTTCCCTTGTACACTTCGGTAGAATCGAGGTAGCTCACCTCGGTTTCGTATAGTACCATCTCTCCGCCCCGCTCCGTCTGCCCGGAGCTGCTCCAGGAGGCATATCATCTTCCAGCTGGAAAGAGGCCACATCCCTCAGTGCCTCGGCGTTCGGATTGGGTCTCCGCTTCACTTTGGCTGGTTTAGATTGGGGCTTCTCGCTCGATCCTGCTTCTCCGCCTTCTGCTGGAGCAGCCTGGGCGGCAGCGGCAGCAGCAGCCTCTTCGGCGTCGCTCCGACGGATCTCTTCTAGCCATTCCCCGACTGTTGGGTCAACTGTTGTGTGGATGATGGTCTGGTCCAGGTCGACGATCAGGGACAGGCGGCGAGAGCTGAGGAGGTCCGTCCGAGATTGGGACTCCAGGCGGGCGGCTTCCTGCATCTTCAGCGACATTCGCAGGGACGTGAAGAAGGGGGTGGGCTGCGGAAGAGATTCCAGGAAGGAAGATGCAAACGTACATTGGAGGAGACCGTAACACCGAGACTATCATGCCCCATTTCGTACGCCCCTGGAAACCTTGATGGTCCCGGTGCACTCGCCGTAGCTGAAGCAGGGGTGATGTAGTCATTCCTATAGAGCATCAGCTCAATCCTCTTCCTCCGATTCACGAGCCGAAGATGAGATTTTGGCTGGAGATGGTGCACCCCACTCACTCGGTCAATTCCTTCCCGCAGATCCCGCACAGCCCATGCAGCTGCACAGGGTGCGTACAAGCCTGTTGAACATAGACCACCGGCCGACTAATCAAGTCAGCTAGCTCATACCTCCCACGAGCACCCCTAAGGCCGACCGCCCCGTCCTTGCGCACCAGTAGAACTCACTTGGCCTGCCGCTTCTCAACCTTCATCCCCACCTCCACCCCTTTGCCCCACTTCACAAACTCCCCCTCAATCGGACACTCCCACGACCCGACCATATCATTCTCCCCTATACCCTCTTCCTCCCCTTCTCCGCGTTTCCGGGCATCTCCCGTACCGGCCGTCCGCTTGGCGAGGGCCCGGCGCGACGTATCGGACGTAAAGGAGTATTCGAGGAGTTTGGTTCCTCTTGCGATTTGATTAGATTCGGGCAATGCCGCTGAAAATGCGGCTGCGGATGAGAATAAGAGCCGGGTGATCGTTATCGGGTATGGTAGGTGGGGCGGTAGGCAGAGGGGCGTTGGGTCGTCCGACATGGTGAGGTTGTTGACAACTGCGCAATTGTCGCCCGATCGATGCCTGACGTCCCGCCGAACCGGGATCTCACTGCTTGAGTATCTCGTCTGTTCCGCAGGTGATCTGCAGCCTCCTTAGGAATTGGAACGTGGTTGTATGTGTAGAAAGTAGAGGTATGATAGGCAGGGGACGCCCATCAAAATCGGCTCCTGGAACCGCTTTGACGAGCCAAAGGTGGAGGTGTAGTCCGTGTGCATTCCTCGTTGGCATGGCCATGGGTCGTGTGCGTGGAGCTCCCAAGCTGTCCTAAAGCAAGGTGCGCAGTACATCATGTAGTGTACAGTCCTACCTCACCAGGCGATACGTAGCAGCTCCATTTCCACTCGGAACTCCCCTCGTGACATCGCTTACGCCCCGATCCCCATACTTCTCCTGCCCAGCAACATCCCCTTAATCCCTCTGACCTCCTTCCGGACCCTATCCCACTCTTCCGCCCTATCGCCCAGCCCCTCTCCCTCCCAGCCATCCTTATACACCCCCGCCGTCGCGCCGCCCGTCGCCCCCTCATTCCTCAGGCTCTGATCTAGCGTCCCCAGCCCATACCCCGTCCCCCACGCGCCCTTGCCCGCTCCCGGCCGGGGATTCCAGAGTTGGCGGTGTAGTGCGGAGGTGTAGGATTCGATGGTGGATAAGAGGGAGGTACGGGTGGTGGCTGTGTTGGAGCGTGTGGAGGTGAGATTCTTGAGGGTATCGATGAGAGATGTGAGGTCGGGGAGGAGGGGTGGAACGTTGGGTGATGTAGCAGGGGAAGGGTCCGATGTATGCGAAGAGGTCGAATGCGCGGAGGATGATATTTCCCGAATCATCGCTTTGGACTCTTCCCCCTTTTCGCCCTGAACCCCCTCTTTACCTTCCGTCTCTGCATCCTCAGCCCCCACCTCTCCGTCGTCTGCTGCTTCCCGCTTGTACCCCGCATGCACCCCCATCCCCCTGATCTCCTTCAACCGCCCCAAAAGCCCCGATACCCTCTCCGTCTGCTGTTCCGCCAAAGCCCGCCTTGCCGAAAAGCTCGCATGTAAGCGAGGAAGCAGAAAGACGCTCCATATCATCGACACAGTCGCGCTCGCGCCGAGGAAGAGGGAGAGGACGAAGCCGATTCGGCGGAGGTACGGGATCAGAGTTGAGGGTGGGCGGGTACCGGGTGCAGGAGCTTGGGCGAGGCGGGTATATGAGGGAGCTGGGGGACGGGGAGGTTGGGGACGTGACTGAAAGTAGTTAGCTACGGTGTTACCACTCCGCTGCAAGTAGGGACTAGCCAGCTTGTAGGTAATGGCCAGCTCACGTTGCTTGTGTTGTTCAGTGCGGCTTCTCTGCTCCGCTTCAAGGACTCCACGCGTTCCCTTGATCCAGCTTCGACCCTCTCCCGTGCGCCTGAGTCCCCACTGGCACCAGCAGGCGGCGACGCCCCATAGAGCGGCTCGCTTGTTCCCGGCGCGATCGACCCGCTTTCTTGCGCCCCAGTTACATCAGAAGCAGCTTTGCTGCCTGATGATAGTCTTTCCTCTGAAGCTGAATCAGGCGCAGCTGTGGTTGAGCTAGGCGAGGGCGTTGTCGGTGCAGGTGTGGCGCCAAAGAGCGGATTATCTCCAGGCTTCTTGGGATCCGTGGAGTCCGTAGGGTCCGGCATAGTAAAGGCTGAATGCGACTCGAGCGTACTTAAGATGTGTTAGACTCGCTTTGTAAGAGGGAGCGGCACTAATTAGGCGATGATCTGACCAGATTAGTCCAGATGCAAGATGTGAGAGGCAAAGACAAGAAGTCGAGGGTCCGGGAAGAGGTTTACCGGCGCACTTGCTCCGCATTCCTCAAAACACTCGACCAAACCTTACGATCAACCACGCATCAACAATTCAACCCCCTTAATCCTACATACCACCTCCTACTTCAGCGATGTCCCTCTCGGCCCCGATCCCAGACGTGACATCTCCAGGCATCGGAGATGGTCAAGCACCAGGTATGTTCCTCCTCTCCCACCGCCTATCTCGCGCCGACAGGGGTCGTTGGGACACGAATCACGCGTCCTGTCGCGCGCGCCCGAGCTCAAGCTCTCAAGCCTGCATATCGACAAACACTGATACCCTGATAGGCCCTTCTCTCGCCGCTTCGATGGTCATCCGGCCAAACGCCATCGCCGCGCTGGAGCACTACAAGCAGAAAGATACGTCTAAAGGTCGGTCTTTCACTTGTCGCCATCATCCATCAACCAGGCGCTCTCTAAAGTTCTTCGCGCTCCTGAAATAGGCGGCAGCAGGCTCAGAAGGAGGAAATGTTGCTGATCACTACAGTCGTAGTCCGCTTCAAGTCCATCGGCGCCGCCCCGATAATGAAGAACAACGTCTTCAAGGTCACCGCGGGAAACAAGTACGCGACGGTGGTGACCTTCCTCCGGGGACAGCTTGGGAGCAAAGAGGGGGATCCACTCGTGAGCTCTCTATTCCTTGTTGGCCAACGCGTTATGATTGCCAGCGGATTCGCAGACTTGGGGAATTGGAAGCGCAGATCAGGATCGTGGATGAAGCAACCCCAGAGCTAATAGCTTCAGTTCACCTACGTCAATGCAGCATTTACTCCTGCACCGGATGATATAGTTGGGAACCTGTACAAATGCTTTGGGACAGAAGGCCACTTGATCATCAACTACAGGTACGTGTGATTCTCAGCTTAAAGATGTCCCTCCTTGTCAGGCGCTGGCGTAGCTGATATGACAGTAATACGCAAGCCTGGGCATGAGCTCTTCTCCTTCCTCCGCGTACATTTCGCCACATCGCATCATCTCCCAGTCGCCTATCGACAGTGCTGAGACTGGTGCTAGCCTGCCTCAACCACGATATCCGGCGCCTGGCCTTACGCAGTCCGGGAATAAACCAGCTGGTCGGAATGGAATGCCTTACTCCTCATACCGAGCGCGGGAGGGGGTTCTGCCCGCGAGACCCATCATCATCGGACGGTAGCAGGAGGAGACTTCTAGAGTATATGCATAATGCCATGCGAGTCAAGCAGGACTCAACCCGGACTAGACTATTTTGTTTCCCTAAACACCAAAGATCATGTAAGCTGGGAGAGCCTATTTGACCTCGAGAAGCTTGACGTCGAACTTGAGGGTCGAGCTGTTTCATCAGTCCAAGTTTCTCACTTTACGCATTCCCCGACTCTGGTAGACAAAACGAAGAGGACTCACTTCTTGGGGATCCCGGGGATCTTCTGGGAGCCGTACGCCAAGTTGGCGGGGATCTGTGAATCAGCTCCTCATCCACCATCATCTCTCCAAAACCTTGAAGGCTCAAGAGATACTCACAGTCAACCGCCTCTCACCGCCGACGTTCATACCCATCAAACCCTCGTCCCAGCCCTTGATGACCTCCCCGCGGCCGAGGACGAACGAGAAGGGTTTACCGGCCGTGTTGGCGTCGAATTGCTTGCCGTCGGTGAGCTTGCCGATGTATCTGCGGAGTCAGCTTGGGATTCTCTCAGTCAGACTGCGGCTACACCCGAGGGTTGTCCAGGATGTGGAATGATACACTAAAGGGAGCAGAAGAGGACATACCGCATAGACAATCGCTTGCCGCCCTTGGCAGCGGGCCCATCCCCCTTCTTGATGTCCTCGATAATCAGGCCGGAAGGCAAAGTGCGCTGTTAGTATCAGCCAGTGTCCCTGCATTTCTCCCAGTCTAAGCAAGAACTATGCATGGTACTAGACTCAATACCTGTCGAGCGTAGGGATGGGGGTTGGAATAGCAAATCGCCAAATTTTCTTTCTCCCTCACTCCTCCCTTACCACCTCCCTCGTGAACCGCAGAAAAGATCTATTTCCTCACCTTCACGCCGGCAGGCTTGGCCGATCCCTCCTTCGGCGCAGCCGCAGCCGCAGCGGGCGCATCCTCCGTCTTTGCCTTCTTGGCGAGCTTCTTCTTCTGCGCCTTGCTCAGCCCCTCGGTGGACTCTGCGGTCTTGGCGGGCGAGTCGATCGCCTCGGCCTTGCGCTTCTTGTCGGCAACGGCGGGAGCGGCAGCGGGGGCAGCAGCGGCGGGGGCAGCGGCCTTCTTGGCCTTGGGCTCAGCAGCGGGAGCAGCGGTGACGGCCTTCTTGGGCTTGGCCTCCTTCATCTCCTCGATGTAGCTGAGTCGTCAGCTTGGCTACCAGAATGAGGTACAAGAAGACTTACGCGCTGACCTCCTCGTCGTCCGACTCGTCATCGTACATCTCGTCGTAGTCGTCGTGCTCGTGGTCGTGCTCGTCATCCGAGTCATCGTACGGGTTGGGCTGGGCGATGTAGTTACCCATGAGGTGGACGGCGCTGAGGGTTAGCGCAGGCCATGGTGACAGCCAATGGTCCAAGGGAAGACCTACTTGTCACCGGTGATCTCGAACATGACAACCTCGCCGCGGGTGAAGGTGATGTTGAGGGTGGCCTGCTCGATCTGTGTTGTCAGCTGTGTTCACGATCGTGGCATCCACTAATGTCAAGGTGCAGCCGGCCGGGGCAGAAACATGTCGCGAAAAGGGCAAGGAGGTAGCGGGAGGGTCGGGGTAAGGTGAAAAATTGTCCAAGGTCAGGATGATGAAGTGCGGGGCAACTGGGGAAGCATTTCCCAGGGATAAGGATGTACAGGAGAGAATGAAAGCAGCAGCTCGGCACAACTAGAAGCTCGACTCACCTTGCTGGCGGTAAGAGCACAGATGACATTGGTGACCTCCTCCTCGTCATCCGAGAAGTCATCATCCTCGTCCTCGTCCTCGTCATCCTCCTCGTCCTCATCGTCCTCCACCATCGACGCATCGCCGTTGGTCCCCTTCTTGGCCTTCTCAACCTCCTTGAAGCCCTCCTCGACATCGAGCTCAAACTCGTCCTCCTCCGGGAGATCATCATCCCCAATCATCATGTCCTCGTCGTCCGAGTCGAGCTCAGAGTCCGAGTCGAACATGGCCGGGTTGGTGGGCACGTGCGTGACCTTGAGGACGGAGCGGCCATCCTTGGACGCGAGCTCATCCGAGAGGGCAGCGTTGGTGATCTGGAAGTCGTGCTTGACGTAGAGGGGGTACTTCTCTCCCGGGACGAGAGTGAGGGACTGGGGGTCAGCGGGAGCTCGCGAGTACGAAGTGATGTACTCACCCAGAGACCGAGCTTGACAGACATTGTATATAGAGGGGGGGTGGGTGTGTAGTGTATGGGTAGATGGATAGATGGAGGAGAGTGGAAGCTTGCGGAACGTGCAGAAATCAAAGTCGCGCTCAACTTTTTCAGATTACGTATGATAATCGGTGGCGGACATCAGTTCGAGCCCGAGTGTGGCGGCGGAAGTAAATGGGAGACCGGTGCGTCATGACGTGATGGTTCCGGGGCCACTCTCGCTCACCACCGTCGACCACCACCTCAGCTGTGTATGCCTTGCTATCTGCTATCTATTCGACTATACCAATAAGAGTAGAGTAGAGCACCATGGTGAGTCCTTGAACGACCACATGGATCGGGGTCTATGCTCCAGCTGGAACGAGTGCGCGAGGAAAAGCAGCTAATGCGCCAGTCCAACACCCTCAGACCATATCTCAATGCTGTCCGAGCAACGCTTACCGCCGCCCTCACGCTCGAGAACTTCTCTTCTCAGGTGGTCGAACGGCACAATAAGCCAGAGATAGAAGCTGCGTAAGTCTCATCACCAGCATTTGGGCCGGTGCGAGGGGAGCAAGCCATTGGAAGCAGAGGCAGCAGATGATGAGACGAGCCGCCGGGATGGGTGATCTCCGGCCTCAATGTCGTCGTAATGCGTGCTTTGTCGTCCATCGGGCTGTGAACATAATGCTATTCTAAACTCCAGCTGACTCCGCAGTGCATCCCCCGAAGTCCTCCTCCACCCCCTCACCGTCTCGCGAAACGAATCCGAGCGGGTCCTGATCGAACCATCGGTCAACTCTATCCGGCTCAGTATAGCCATCAAGCAGGCAGACGAGATTGAGAAGATTCTCTGCAAGAAGTTTACGAGGTTTATGATGATGCGGGCGGAGGGTTTTGTTATTCTTAGGAGGAAGCCTATAGCGGTGAGTCTAGGTCGGCCGAGCGGAATGCGGAGTTGGATGGAGGGGATCTGTATCAGCTGAGACGAGGATCTATGTCCTACGTAGACCTCAGCTGATCGTATAGGGATACGACATCTCTTTCCTGATTACCAACTTCCACGCAGAGTCTATGCTCAAACACAAGCTGGTGGACTTTATCATCCAATTTATGGAGGATGTGGATAAGGAGATTTCAGAGATGAAGTTGAGCTTGAATGCGAGGGCACGTATCGTGGCTGAGAGCTATCTGTCAACGGTGAGTCAAAGGCACCTGAACATAGCTGGCAAACACACAGAGCTGACCCTGAGCAGTTCGCATGATGGGAATCGGGGCAAATATGACGCGGCGATTCAAAGAGTCTAGATTGTATGCGACAAGCAATGGTGTATGGCTGAACCGATCCTGCGCTTCTTGGCTTTGGCTGTATTATTGATCTTCAATCACCCGAGCTGACGGGCAAGCGGACGTCGCTTCATTTGTGCTGACTGGTGCTAACTGGCATATGAAGGACTTGTTCTATCGGCTGATTACAGTATGGATTGACTGGCTTATCTTGAGTTAGATCAATGATCAATCGTGTGTGGTAAGTGGCAATTCGCCATGTGGCAATCTAAGCAAATTTGCCTCTCGAAGGCTGTAACTCCAACGCAACTGCACGCCCGCCGGATTGCCTTGACTCTGTAATCGAATCTTTTCCAGCTGGTGAGTACTGACGCTCGGGACTCAATCACTTTCAACCCAGGCAATCACCTCACTGATGGATTACCCGTCTCAACAAAGCGAACAGCATACATGAAAAACGGCACAACCATGAAACATCACTTCTCGACAGCTTGTGAATCTCTCGAAAATTTGTAATCGTCGTCGTCCTCGGTATCGGCCCCGCGCGCAAATTCGAATTCTTCTGCACTGGGGACCAGCTCGAAGTCTTCGAGATTGTCGCCTTCCGTAGCCGCGCACACGGTGCCCGAAGAGACAGTGCCAGTCTCACTTCCTGCATCATCGTCGTCCGCCTTGGGTGCGCCGTGCCCAGCCTCAGGCTCGGAATCAGCTGTCTGGGCAGTCTGTGTCTCGTCCTTCGTTTCGGGCTTGATCACGGCTGCGGCGACAGAGCTCGACGCCGGGTCATTGCTGAGGACCGGGGAACCGCCGATGTGTAGCACATCGGTGCCCGTGCGGGAGACTCTGGTATCACTGCAGCGGCTGTCGGTGTCACCTGCAGTGCGATCGTAGCCTCGCATGCAACGTGCAGTGAATTGTTCCGCAATGGCGGTCGCTCGGTCACTGCATACGCTTAGCACGGAAGGCCTGCGGTAGACGCGAGTACGGAGACACTCACCCCTGGGTGTCACGCAGCAGCTTTGATGATGCGTCAATGGCTTCTGTCGCCATCTCACTCTCCGAGTCGTAGAGAGTGAGATCGTGGTCGGCCTCGGCGATCATCGCCGTGAGGACATCCGATTTCGACATGTTGCCGTCTCGCCTCATGCGCGTCCTGGGGGGAAGAGTGAGGTCCCTGAGGCGCTGGGCGGCTGCTGGACGGCCAGTACCATCTGGAGCCCGATCCTCCATCGCTTAGATAACGTGTGCGAACCATCCGGCGAGGCTGCCATCGTGGACGACCTGGGCAGGGTGATCGGGATGGGGATTGGGCGTGCAGCAGTCGAGTGGACTGCCGGCGAGGAAGCATCAAGTTCGCTCATGATGAGCTGTGGTTGGCAATTGGCAAGTACTGGCGGCAAGGGATATGAAATGTGATGAGTGTGGTCGGAGGTTAGAAGATAGAAGTATGAAAGAGAAAGAGGGGAAAGGTTGAGAAGAGGCGTTTGGACCCACCGCGAGTGCCTTGATCCAGGCTCTCTTGGGTCGCCCTCAGCCCAGATCCTTTCACGCTGTCAGGGGTAGGCTGCACGTGTAAGAGCCAAACGTCCGCACAAGGGATGAGTGCCACAGATCACATCAAGTCAGGTCATCTAGGGAGTGCCGTGCTAGGTCATCTGTACTGCTCAGGGGTAGCTCATACGCGTCAGAGCTACTTGAAAGGAGCAGATTTCGCGAAGTCAGCGATGGCGATCAAGGAGATTGCAAGTAGCGCTGTGAGGCAGTGAGCAGATCGTAGCCATCAGGGTCAATGCGGGACGCAGAGCACGTGTATCCGCCTGCCTAGCTGCCGTTCACGTATGGTATGCATCAGTCTCACATCATGGTAGAGCATAGGGAGCTCCCGACGCTGTGTCCCTTTGCCCTCCATGTGCGGCCCTGGACGCCCGTCGAGAGCCCCTCCTCTTTCGTCACTTCCGAAGCAGCCAGCCTGAGCTCTTCTTTCTCCCTTTGTGCCTTGATGATCCTTAGCACTTCTCAGCGACCTTCTTCGCTTGTCCCACAGCATCTCGGACGGATGAGCGATACAGGCACCATCTCGAATCCGTCCGGGAAGTCCCGGCCGGGATTTTCGGGTCACTGTCCGCTTAGCTGCACTTCATCACCGGCAATGTGGTAAGAGACAATGTGCCTTGCGGTCAATGAGGACTCACGGTATCTCGCGGACAAACAGGCCGGTCAGTGTGTGCAAGAGATCTTTGTCGGACCGCGACTGCTCGCGAAGCTGCCACAAAGTCCTGCACACTTCGGACTTCATGTCGAGCTCGTCGGTCTTGTGGACTTCACTGAGCTCCTTGGCTGCTGTGTCAATATCGCGGAGTCTCTTACCCGTCGGATCGTATAGAGCCTGGATGATGTGAGAGGCAAAGGTGTAGGTATCGCCATCCACGATCTGGTCAGGCTTGTGAGTGGAAACGGGTAGGCAGCAGTTCCCATATAGCAGATCATCTGTAAGGTCGACCGTCATGCTGGGAATGTTGAGTGAGATTCGGTCGAAAGAGGAAGTGGGTGAAGTATACAAACGGTAGAGAACTTGTGGGACAAGGAGTTGTCCAGAAAGGCAGATTCATCGTCCGACAGCGCCGTGCCATCCTTTGATACTGCAGTGTCATCTGTTGATGTTCTCAGGGGAGCGACGCAGGGGCTTGTGAGACCAATTGTCCATGTTTTGTCGATGCCATCCTTTCGAGCATTTCACAAAAACGCGCCAGAGCTTTAGGATTATTAGTGCACCGTGAGCCGTGTCCTCGTCAGCGGATGACAGTAATCGGAAGCTGGATCAGTAACGATAGTTGCCACTTCTGTATATCTCATCGACAGGCTTACAAGCTTATATTACCAACTCTCCCTCGTCGCTCATTGCTCACTTCTGCTCCTGGCCCTTCATGACCCACTTACTAGCCGCCTTTGCCTGCTCCTCTTCCTCCTCCTTGGTCATCTTCGCTTTGGGCCTGACCGGCACGCCGAGGCCGTTGTATGCGCCCTTACGCTCGGCGATGCGGTCGAGCCATGCCGAGAGCTTGGGGTAGGCCGAGATGTCCTCGACGCCGGCCCAGGCGTGGCTACGAACCCAGCCGAAAGCTGAGCCATCAGCCTGAATCCATTTACCGACTGCATCCCTCCCAATATATTGGGCTGAGGGAGACAAGGTAAGGATGGAAGACAGACATACCGGAAATATCGACGATACTGTACTTGTCGCCAACGAGCCACTCGCCCTTGCCGAGTTTGAGGCCGTCCTCGAGCACAGAGTAGATCCGGCGGGTCTCGTCTTGGTATCGCTTGATGGCGTACGGAATCTTCTCGGGTGCGTATCGGCTGTAGGATCAGCATCCACGCTGGGTAGGAAGACGCTTGGGCATGGCGCTGTGAGGTGAGACCATACTCACTAGAAGTGGTTCGCCTGGCCTTGCATCGCGTTGAGACCACCATGGATGAAGAAGAGCTGGAAGGTAAGCTTGTGTCCTATGACTGGTCGGGCAGAGACCCGATACACACCCAGCTGTTCGCCTTGGACTTGAGAAGCGGGTCGCTAAACCAGAACTTGTTCTCCTTGTCGTAGTTCTGCCTATCAGCGCCGGTCCCCTGCCCTCCCCTGTTTGTAGACTGGACTCACCTCAACGAGCCAGATCATGATACTAGCCGTCTCGAACACATTGTGTCCACCATGGTTATCATCCACCAATCCCGGAATGCGCCCATTCGGGTTGATTTTCAGGTACTGCTCGCTCTTCTGATCGTTATTGTCAAATGACAGCTGGTAAAAGTCGTACTGGATCTCCTTGGCGTCCGGGTAGGCGAGCAGGAGTTCCTCAAGGATGATGGAGACCTTGAAGCCGTTAGGCGTGGGGGCGGTGTAGAGGTGGAGTTTGGGCTGGGCGGCAGGGGAGAGTGAAGCGAGGGACTCGGGGAGTTTGGCAGATGGGAAACCGGAGGACGACATGGTGCGGATAGTATTAGCGATCAGGGCAACGTGAAGGCGGGAGTTGGGAGGTATGCGAAGGGCTGTGGTAAGTGCTCTGCGTATAAGAGTCATGTAAAGTGGATGAGCAAGATGGATTACTAAGTGGTTTATATACTGCTCGCTTTCGAAATAGCTGACACATCACCTCCAAGCTCCAGGTGACCCGATGACGTGCGATCATCTCGGCCGGCGGGTCTGCCCGAGTTGCCGGTAACGGTCCCCCACTTTCTCCCCACTCTGCTAGGGCGCATACCGCAGAGCTCAAAGAGTAAAGGATACCACCAGGCTCGAAGGTCTCCCCGAGAGAGACATACAAAGTCGCTAACTGCGTCCATATTCTAGATACACGCAAGATCTACTGACCGCTCGCTCAGAGCGCAGCCCGCTCCTTGCCCAGATACCGATCTACCAACCCCGCCACCTCCTCCGCCGTACCCCAGCTCTGCTGATACCCCGCCGACCCAAACCCATAAGCATGCACAACTCCCACTTTGATGCCCTTGACTACCTTCCGTTCAAGCTCTATCCGGGCGCCGCCCTCCCTAGCAGGCCTCAAACCGACATTATGGCTCACAATCTCCACACCCTGCCCGCTCCCATCCGTATCACCCATCAACGCCTTACATTCCCTAAGGATCCGCTCTGCTGTGGCTGGGTCGGGAGAGATATCGTGATTGCCGGAGAGGTATGTCCCGCCGAGGATGAAGTGGTGGTCTGGTCCGGGACGTGGGATGATGTATGCTGGATCAGGCAGTTTCTCTACGATACGGTGTCAGCTCTACTTCCTGAAGTGGAGTGGAAGACTTACGTCCAGGAGCAGGATTGAAACCTTCCACATGCATGACGCACACCTTTTTCCACTTCTCCGCCTTCACGAGTATAGTCTGGCCCCTTGCTGCGTAGACCTTATCGTCCTGTACGCCAGGGAGCCACTTTGCCCCTAGTCCCAGAGCATTGATGACCAGGTCGGAGTACGTGTATGCCTCGTCAAGACTCGAAAGTGAATGTCGGATGATAGGTACGCCTGCTTGTCGAAGTTCCGAGGCGAGATGGGCGATATATCGAGGCGCATGCAGGATGAAGGATGTCCAACGCCGGCCGTGCGCCTTGTTTCCGGGGATATTGGTCGTGACGCGCTCGTACTGTCTATCAGCCTGAACGTACTTCCTGTCTTGTCATCCGACAGAGACATTCACATGTACTCACACTGCCAACGATATCCCTGAACCAGACCTCGTCCTCCCCTGGTGGCTTGGCATGGTCCCAGACCGAGTAAAACGGTATCCGCTCGCACAGCTCCGGATGCGCCGTGGAGAGCTTGTCGAGATATGGGAATGTGATTGTCTCGCGTGCGGAGGATGGGGTGTCTCCGGTATTGTCAAAGGGATACCAGTTGCAGCCCTTATCATCAGCTTCATGACGTATCAGGCGGGCAAGACTTACAGCCCAAGGACTGGCGAATGCCGTGCTGGCTATATCTTCAGGGAGGTCCCGAGCTACGATCGCGACCCGGAGACCGCGTTGATGTAGATTGAGTGCGATAGAGAGGCCGATCACTGCGTGTCAACTTCATTCGGGAGGGGCAGGTAATACCTGGCGCGACAGGCAGGCCGATAAATCGAGTGGAAAGACATACCGCCCGCTCCGAGTATGGCCGCGTCGTACTTCTGCTGGCCCATGTCGATGGTCCCAGATGACCAGGGTTTACTGAGATGTAGAGTCCAGGATCTGTAGTTGATTCAGAGGGAGAGTCGATGTGAGTGATCATTCCGACTCGCAGCAAAACTCGCAGAGATAAGGAAGTCTGGAGCGGAGCGACCTCCACTTCGACTAATTTCCGACGGCAATTCATCCGAAGGCTTGGCTAAATCTCACTCGAGTCAAGGCGCTTTGATGCAGGCGAATCGTCTCGGAGACATGGCAGGATCGACATCTTGACGGTCCTGAACGAAGCCTCCGACAAGACCGAATCGAACCCCTATTCATGCAGAAAAAGAAAGATCTACGCCCATCCCCCTCCATCGCCCCTTCCCATCCGCTACGCCGAGACAACGAGAAGCGCGAATCAAAGAGAACGACCGCATCTCCTCCCCTTTCCATCTAGTTTTTGATTGATTACCAACCGCCCTGGGCATCCTGAGCGGGGGCAGCGGTGGGCTCGGCGGCCCAGTCGGCGTTGGTGGGCTCAGCGGACCAGTCATCGGCTACTCTATCAGCAAGAGCCTTTCGGATGCAGTAAAAAGAACGTACCAGCACCAGTAGGCTGGGCGTTGAAGACCTGGTCGGCGGTGTTTCCGGCGTCCCACTCGGTGGAGACGGCAGCGGCAGCGGCAGAAGCGGCTCCCTCGGCATCACCACCCTCGGCAGCGGCAATGGCAGCGGCCTTGTCGGCAGCCTCCTTCTCGATCTCTTCCGGGTCACGGTAGAAGAACAAGTCCGGGAGGACGTCCCAGCCGGAAGGACCGGTGGGTCCGCGGGGGATGGAGCCGCGGAGACGGAGGACCTCTCGGCAGAGGAGGTACCACATGAGACCGATAGAGTGGCGGGACTTGTTGTTGGTGGGGATGGCAACGTCGACGAACTTGAGGGAAGCGTCGGTGTCGCAGAAGGCGATGACGCTGTGGGTCAGCATACGCCCAAGTTTCTTACAGCACATGTCGAAAAAAGCGTTGCGCAGAAGCTGTCCCCTTTCCGCCCACTCAAGACCTCCCACGCCCTCGTTCGTCGACGTCCAGACTGCAGCTCAACTCACGGGATGTTGACGTAGGCAGCCTCCCTGATAGCCTGGTGGTCGACCCGGGGGTCGGTCACAATGATGACCCGGGGCTCCTTGAAGCTCTTGGTGATGTAGTTGGTGAAGTTACCGGGGGTGAACCGACCAGCGATGGCCTGAGCACCAGTGAAGCCGGCGTACTTGAGCACAGCACGGTGACCGTAAGGGCGGGCCGAGATGACGGCGACATCGTTGGGGTTGTCGATGGTCGCAAGGATACGGGCAGCAAGGACAATCTTCTCCCAGGTCTTGCCAATGTTGATGACGTGGATACCTGGAATCAGCTGAGGTCTTGCGGTTGTGCAGGGATGCGGTATCCGAAGGCATGCCCCGCCTGCGCCTGATGCCGTCCGTTGCGCCTCCTCCTTCCAATTCCTCCTCGGACAGCAATTCTCTTCCTATCCGCCCTGCTTCTCCCCTCCCTCCCAGCCCCAGCCCATCCCAATGTCATCCTCCCTCTGCTCCCATTGCTCTGCAGTGAACCTTTTCCCCGCGCCTTGCTCCCAAACTCACCGTCAGCCCTCCTCTTCCAGACATACGGCTCCATCGTCTTGTCGCAGTTCTTGGTACCGAGGTGGCACTGAGCCGAGAGAAGGAGCTGAATGTCCTCCTCGGACGCCTGGAGCGCCGCGGGCAGCTTGTTGTCGTTGGTGGACATCTTTGCGAAAGATTTGTGGTGGGTGGGTGGTGAGTGGGTGGTTGAGGGCTTTGGTGTCTTGCAAACTTGGATAAAAAGGTCTCGATGCGTTAAGCTATCTGCTAGGATTAGCTACGCTCACGACAATGGCGACAGTGGAGCTCACCAAGACGTCTGTTCCAGTACCGGCAAGTCTACGGTGTATATAGGCTGATAGACGATATGGGTGGTCGTATCTTGAAGTCTAGGGGAACGGCTGATCGGCGATAAAAATCGGCGTTTAGGGGCCAGACGCACGGGATCTTCCTGCTTTATTAAGTGGGTGGACGGAATAAGGATAGAGTCTCAATACACTTTCCTTACCGAGAGTGGGCTTTCTTATCAATAGCGGAACCATACCCTAATAAGCTTTCGAGTTATAGCAACAGCGGCAAGTGCCGCTCCGAGCCTTTGTGGGGTAGAGGCGTTTTTCCCTAGGCCTTCTTGCGTTACCCCACACGCTCGCCTGCACGACTCCACTCCACTCGCTTCGACTCCCTAGCTCCATCTACGAGTAAGACCACTCTGTAACAACCAAGTGGCAAATCCATCTCCACCACACCGCCACTTGCTCAGAGACACCCCTGTCTCACCCGGGAAAGCGCTGCCACCGCATCGCGTGCTTGCGTGCTCACAGCTGCCTATTTAGTCAGGTCAATTCCGCAAACTCGTCGGGTGGCGAATCTCGCTCTGGTCCGTAAATACTCTACACCCGCCACCGTATGTACATCTTCTACCACATCTCCATCCCTATCAAACCTCATCATGTCTTCTTGATCTCTCGTACACTTGCTCATCCCCAGCTCCTCATCTCCAAAATACTCAGCCAAAAGGCAAAGCGCAAAAGGCGGCGGAAACGACGGCTCCGGCCAGGCGGTACTCTGCACGGTAACTTATCTGTTAATCAGATAACGCGACCTCGGTCTCTGGTCACCCCTATCTCTTCACGCCCTACGTATCGGTCCATCACCATGGTCTACATGGCCACTTCCGCCTGCATGGCGTCCCTCCTTCTCTCGCCCGCCGAGCTCCGTCTCGCGCGGTCGTAGGTCTACCTCTATCCACCTTACTACTCGGTCACTGGTCACCCTCGTCGTCCCTCGCCATCCCAGCTCCTAGCTTCGGTGCCGACAACGTCCAAGGGCTTCATCTAAAACAGCGCCTAACATCAACTTGACTCCATCTATCGGTACCCTCGATCTTCCGGAAACTATCTACCCCTATCTCTGACTCGGACACCATCTCGTTTACACCAACGTCGAGTCGTACTCGTCTCCCCTGAACGCCATACTCAATCCTTTCACCTCGTCTCCACTCCCACACCGCCATCTCCATACGCCATCTCAAAGGAAGCCCCGTTTTGCTGTTTGAGCAGAGTGGCGAATCCCCCTCACCTCCTCCATCTTTCGCCACCCACCCGACCAAGGCCACATCTGCCTATTCTGCTTTCTTCAGGGGCGAATGAACCGGTAGATCATCCTCATCATAGCCATACCGACCTACCGCACTTCTTCGCCATCCTCCCCTCTCCCATCCGACACCATGTCCCGCTCAACCAGCGCGACCCCTCCCGCGGCGTACTTCCCTCAGCGCACATCCACCCCTACGCTCCGCCACAATGCTCCTCCTGGAACTGCGAGTGCCGCTGCGCATTCCCACTTCAGGAGCCAGCCACACCAGCACAGCCCGGAGAAGCGGGCAGGGAGGCGGATAAAGCATCTTCCCCCTTCTCTGGGAGGATTGAAGGCGCGGAAACAGGCGTCCGCGTCTGTCTCCTTGGACGAGGGAATGGAAGTGGACGGAGAGATGGAGCGACCGGGCAGCGCCACGCCGTCAGATACCGGATCTGCGTCAGGCTCGGCTTCACCGTCGCCCTCGCCACCCGGGTCCGACTCATACGGTTCTTCCCACTCCATCATCTCCGGTCCCTCCACCTCGCTCAATACACCCGCCGGCACAGACGCCTCCTCCTCCTTCTCCCTCCAACAATACCCTGATGACCTGGATGACTTTAGCCGGGACGCGTCAGACGATATCCCGCGCGTCGCCGTCATCCCCTCTACCCCCGCCAATGTCCCCACAACTTCCGCCACCCGATCCTGGGTCCCCCATTTCGGCCTCGGGAAGGTCAAGGCTGTCCTCCCGACGTTCCCGTCGTGGTCTGTCTCTGCAGATAAGCGGAAGAAGGCCCTTCTACCACTCGCACCGATCGAAGTGCCAGTGCCGGTGGTGTGGGAGGTGTGTGCCCGAGAGGCCAAAGAAGGAGAAGGTGTCTTTAGTCCCCAGGCGCGGGCTCTGCCAATTCCGGCGGACTGGCTTATAGGGCTGGATGAGGAAGCTGTCAAGAAGAAGAAGAGGGAATGGGCGGAAGGGCAGCATCTCCTTCTGACGGAATGCGCGAGACTGTGCAGCCAGTGGCCGCAGTCAGGGTACAACACGAGCAAGTGGGGACCGAACGGTACGTCTGACCCTACCTGACACTCCCACGAAGCTGACACTCAGGCGCGAAACACTACTACGAACCCCAATCGTACGGAAACCCAACGCACGTCCAAGAAGTGATGGTCCGGCAATCCCAGCTCGAGGCGGATCTCCTCGTTTCCTCCGGTCTTTTCTACCCCTCCTCCCACTCTCGGTCTCACTCCCGCTTATCAACAAGCACGACCGATTCGGAAGACTCGGAGAGTATCTACAATTCCGCCCCTCCCTCGCCCACAGCGTCCGTCGAAGTGGCGCAGGAACTGCGAGCGGCCATGGGCTCACCACTGCTGGGCTACACGTCCGGTGCCAGCTTAGTCAGCCTCTTGCTACCGCCCATGCCTGAATGTCTAAAGTCGGCGCGGAGTCTGAGCGAGTTGAATCGCTTGGCGCAGAGTATGATTCTCAGTCGGACGACTACGGCGGGAACGGCAGATGGGGAACGGATGGAGATTGATACGGATACCGAGACCTCCATCTCGCTCAATCCCTCGGTCGTTTCCCTTCTTCCCACGGATGAGTCCTCACCATCCACCTCCCTCGCCACGTCCGCCCTTCTCGAGCGGGCCGAGAAGGCAATCACCAGACCTGCTCGGGCTCAATCGTGCGGCTCCAAACGCCCTCTCTCGGCCCATATCCGCCCTCCCGGAGCGTCATACGAAGAGGAGAAGCGCCGAAAAGTGGACGAGGCGGCCGTTGTCTCTGAAGCGGTCTCTTCTGGTGTCATCGTGCCACCACCACCATCCTCTGCCTCCTCTTCCTCCGCCGTCGCCCTATCCTCATCCTCGTCAACACCAGCATCGACAGGTGTAGCGGAAGTCTTTGGCCACGTTGTCAAGACGAGCGATACCCACCCCATTATCATCTCCCCCTTCTTCCCTACCGAGATGCTCGAGATCCTGCGGGATCATATGATTCCTCCTCCGCCGGGCAAAACCGTCCAGCTCAAGTCCGGGATCGATGTTCCGGCTCTACTGCTTTCGCAGGCGCATGGTCAGGCGGAAGGGCCCGCTGGTCAAGGGACGGTCGTACCCTCGCCGGTCGGCTCTTCTTTTTGGGGGGGCACTTCGAATAGCGTGTCGAGCAAGAAGGGGTTCAAGGGGGAGAAACCAAAGTTGGGTAATCTGCTGTTGAGCAGTTGTCCGGGGAAAAGGCTGAGGATGGGCGGACCTGTCAAGGGTAGAGGACCGGTCTGTCGGGATTTAAAGACGGATCTGGGGAGGATCAAAGCGGAGGGAGTGGGCTGTCTCGTCTGGTATGTCTCTTGCCTAATCCCGAAGCAGAGGTTAGCAGTGGTCGGACAAAGCGGGAAGTCGGAATATGGGAAGACGTTGAGGGAGATGAGACCGATGTGGAACGAAGGCAGCGGATAAGAGCCGCGCTGATCATCAGCTGTCTGGATGACGCCGAACTTTTACTCTTGGGTACGCCCTGGGAGACATATCGCGATGTAGCCAACGAACTCGGATTGGATGTTGTCCGGTAAATCATCCTTCTGGTCTCATACCGCCTCGGGCCGGCCGAACCGAACATTCGCTCGTCGTTTGCTCGGTAGACTGTCTGCGGCGACACATTATCGGGTGACCACTTCGCTGACACATTCTCAGTCTACCTATGCCCGATGGCTTTACGCCTTCTTCGCTCGCGCTCTTTGATACCCAGGTGTCGAGGATCTGTTCGGGATATACGCTGAAGGGCGTCAATGTGCTCGTTCACTGCCGAGGTCAGTCTCTTTCTCTTTCGGTCGAGTCGGTTTCTGAGTGGTGAGCATCGAGTGGAGGAGTATCTTAAGACGGGAAGAGGGAAGCGAGGGGATCAATCGCACCATCCGAAACCACGTTGACACCCACCAGGCGGAGTCGGTCGAGCGGGCGTCACAGCCTGTGCTTGGGCCATCAAGATGGGCTTTGTCCAGCCCCACCCCAGCTTGGTTCTCGAGGAAGAAACGGCCAAGCGTCAAACGGCTCAGCTCGCTTCTCTCTCGGCCGCGCCCGCACCAGCCTCAGCACCCATGGCGGTATCGACCTCTTCGTCATCGGGCAAATCCATGATCCCGTTCTTCTCTCAGCGGAATTACGGCGCCATTGCTGGTACCGCCCCTCCTACCGCCGTATCCACCTCCTCTTCTCTCATCACGGCCACACCTGTTCCGGCAGTACCGGCCCAATCAACGAAAGCAGCCGCAGAGCTCGAACATCAGATCGTCATGTCCATTGTGGAACGCGCTATCGCCATGATCCGCTCAAGGAGGGGTCTTAAGGCGATTGAGAGCTTTGAGCAGGTGCAGTTCCTGAAGGTGTACGTGGGGTGGTTGAGGGGGGCGGGGGCGGGGGCGGGAGGGGTGTAGGTGAAGAAAGAAGGGATGGGAGAGCGAGGAGAGGGGGAGAGGGGAGGGATGCCGACGATCTACCGTTTTCCTCATCTATCGGTCATTCACCTTGTCGCGCGCCATCTTTCAGTCTATCCTCCCAGGATGTCTCTCGGTCGGCTGTAAGTGTTGTCTGCGCCCCAGAGATGGGGTGTCCCGAGTTGTTATCGTTCAGAACAAAGTCAAAAGTTGCATAGGTAAATCAAAAAGCAATGCATCGCCTGAACTCCGCTATCGTGAGCTGTCTTCAGCTGCAGTCTGATTTGCTCCCCGCTTCCCCCGGTCCCCTGACATGGGCGTCAATACTAGCTTCTCCATCTGCAAATCTTGGTGTTGACCTGGGATTTATGGTGTCGACCTCGGCCGTTGTAAGTCCCCGAGAATTGTTGAGTCCGCGATGCCGTGAACGGCTTGATGTAGGCTTGCCTCCGCCAGGTTAAGGGGTAGCAGTGAGATCGCTGATCTAGGGGCTCGGATATGGCTTGATGAGACCGGACGGGTGAAAACCAACCGCCTATCGGCTCAAGTCGGCTTGCGCTTCGAAGCGGGCACGAAGTCGGGCAGTGAGAATAGCTAAACGGGTCAGCTCGCTCCACTCCTCCTCTCAATCACACCGGCAGTCCAAGCGGTAGCCAAATCGTCACTATAGTCGGAGAGCTCACCTCGAATATGTTCTCAGCGGACGCGCCCCATCCCCTCTCCCCCTCTATCCGGTTATCCATCCTCGTCCCGCTTATCACACCCACCACCGCGCCAGACTGTGCGTCAACGATAGGACCACCGGATGAGCCGGGCGAAGGTAGAGGGGATGTGAGTATGTAGGTTAAAGAGTCTGCCGTCCCGGGCTAGGATGTCAGCTGATTGTGCTCCCAACAGGCAGGAGCGAAGTACAACTCACCTCGGCCTCTTCCCATAGATCTCCTCTGTAGCCGAGCATCCTCCCCCTAACCCATCGCTTCCACCCCATGCCTTGTGGCCAGGGTCTCGCCGGGCTCTGCTCTCGCTCTCCCGCCTTCCCTGGTGTCGACAGCTCGCGGCCCTGCTCTGCCCGCCAGAGTCTCGGGAGCGGTGGATCAGGCGAGCCGAAGAAGTGGACGAGAACGTCTTGGTCTCGATAGATAGGGTAGGGGCTGACGGGGAGTGATCGCAGTGGGTGAGTCGAGGTGGGTAGGCGGAGGACGAGGAGGTCGGCGCGTGGGAGGGACGTGGGAATTGATTGGACATGTAGTATCGTCGGGCTAAGCGCGTCTGGTAGAGAGCGGTGTGGGACGGAGGACGAGACCACGAAGGTCTGCTTGAGCAGCGATGGGTGACGACATTCGATCTGACAAGTCAGCTTCGCCTGCCTAGAAGCAACCAAGACGCGATGATAGATCCGAGCTCACCTCCTCTAGTGTGTGCGCACAAGTGACCACCATTCTTTCGCCATCTCCTCCTGTCTGGACTACGAGGCCCGAGCAGACTGTATAATCCACCCCTGTCACTGACAGACACGCATGCACGACAAGCACGAGCCCGTCCCCGCGCGCCTGTAAGGTCGAGTCCGGCTCCATCGTATCCGCTCGACGAGCCGCAGCGGGGTATGCCTCCGAAAGCAAGGTCTCCTCGAGAACTTTGTTTGCATTCCGGAGATACTGGCTGTACGAGCATAGCGGAGCCGGTATCGAAGCGGATCGGGCAAAGTGGGTAGTGAGACCAGAGGTAAGATATCGATCTAAATCGGATCGGGCGGGAGTTGCCGATAGTGAGTGGGTCGAGAAAGGCAAACGAGCCGCATGCCGACTACCTGCAGATGGGACCAGGCTGCATCCCCCGCGCCAAACTCCACTGAGGAGCATGATCATGCCGGAGAGAACATATTAATCAGATGCACCCGTCCACCCACTGAGCGCTGAAGGGAGGCTTTCGAGATCGAGCGCACGGACAGGCTGAAACGCTTTACGGCATCGACGAGGAATGAGGAGTAGAGTTAAAGCCAGCCCCCTCGCGCTTGAGCAGGACGAAGGTGTCGTCTTGGAGAGACGGTCGAGCATTGAATTCACAGCGATATACATCCCTGGCAATGCTAAGTATGCCCTAAAGTGATCTAATCACTAAGATAAAAGTAAAAATTGAAAAACGATCTGACCGATGCAAGCGGTCCCAGCCTGACTCCCACAGTTGCCTCCTCCCTCCCGCCAGTCGGTCCTCCAGCCTCGTCTCGTTGGCTCTCGGCCACATCCGGCTCCATCCCCTGTCCCTCTTCTGCCTCTGCTCCCGTCGCTTCGCTGATGACAAGACCGTTGTCCTCTGCAGAAAGCGCCGCCGCGGCCGTAGTATTGCAGTCGCTTCTGTCATCGACATGCTCGTCGACCGCCTCCCTGCCGAGATCAGCTATGACTCTGGCACATATAGATGGGACTCACTCGTCAGATTCCACGTAATCAACCCGACGGTCCTCGTCGAGAAAAGGCCATTCCAGTGTCTCGTGAACCGGAACCCTCCCATCTCCCTTGTACGCAGCCAGGAGGTCTGGCAGATAGCATACAGGGCGTCCGATCTCCAGACGCCCTATCTGGTCCTCCAGTAGCCGATGAAATTTGGTCGCTTCGTGTCGCTCACGGGCACCAGGGGATAGTCGCTCCAGCTCCTCCAGGTAGAAAGGCCGCAGAAGCGTCGCCTCATACTCCTCCAAATCCATCCAGTAACACACACTGATCCCTCGGCAGTCCCGCACTTCTTCCTCATCCAGGTAGTCCTCCGGGTCCCCGTAAAAAGATTGACGCGGCTCCAGCTGTCTCTTCCTGGAGCGCAAGAGCTTGGGTAGACTGCTGGCCATCCAGTCTGGAACGACGCCCAGAAACTCCCAGTCCAGCACAGCTGTGATGCGGTCGGACTCGTCGACGAATATATTGCCGGGGTGAAGGTCGTTGTGGTAGAGGGTGGTGATTTCGGAGGAAGATGTGGAGTAGCAACCCGGGAGGAAGGTGGAGATGGCATCGGCTTGTATGCGGGCATCGCTCAGCTCTGACATGACCCGCTGCCTCTCGCTCTCTGGCAGATCGTCCGGAAGGGCATCAGGAGTCTGATCGAGATTGAGGTAGAGGGCGGCCAGTCGGCTCCGGAGCCATTCTGTCGAATTGAGGTGAGGACCGAGTGTTGCGTCCGTGTCGCCGCCGTACGTGGCGTATCCGCCGTCCATCAGCCGGCCAATGGCGAAGTCTCCCCCGGCCGATATGGATAGTCCGCCGATACCCCGAAATCTCATGCCTGAGAGCTGAATCTGGATGTCGGCGATCCTTAACGATCAGCTAATAACACATCTGAAGGCATTTGACCTACTGAGACACGATTTGCCTCTTCCTTTCGATACTCATATGCCGCCACACTCCTCGCAATGACTGGCCCGGTGCCAGCTCCATCAGAATCCAGGGAAACCCCAGGATGCTGTTGCTTGTCGTGTCATAGGCTATAACGGCGGGGACTGGGATTGTGGTCTAAATCATGAGCTTCGAGTCCGAGTCCAGCGGGGGACGTACCTCTTGCCTTACGCAGTCCATGCTCGCTACTTCGCATGCGACTTTCTCCGGGTCGAGAGGAAGGGCTACTCGCATGATACATGCTCTCCCTGCTGTCTCTACCTTGTAGACCTTATTACGCGCACCCGCAATTGAGAAAGTGACTATGCACTTCTCATCATGCGGCACATTGAGATGCGCGCGAGCGATACTTTCAATTGAGAGCAAGTCTGGCTCGGCGGCCCATCCAGGCGCGCCGGAGGACCAAACGAGGCCACGGGTGAAGGACATGGATGCGGTTGATGAGGCGATTGAAGGGGCGGTTGATGAGGTTGTTGTCAAGGGTTGGCGAATGTAGGCGGAAATGGGTCGAGATGCATGTACAGTGACCAGTTATTAAGCAGTATGGATGCTTTACCCGTCACGAAAGGAGGCGGGCCGTACCGCTGGGGACCGCCCCGCCACCTGCAGTCCCAGGACAAACATGCCGATGTCATCATTGGGATCGGTGGCGAGAATGACGTCGACTGTGCATTATGTTTCGAATTGAGGCACCTTGGTGCACAGCATAAGCGAGGTACACTTACCCCAGCCCCCTCGCGTGAGGGCTAGTGCAGTCAGGACGGGCGACAGAGGATCCCATGCGCTACGCTTGGGTACCGGTGCTGGATTGGCGAGTGTCGGACATGCCGGTCTCATTGAGGCTTCGCAGACATCGTCCATTGTTTGATACATGCGCCATGACCAGCCTGCCTGCCAGCAGCACGACAACGTAGAAGCCTACCGAAGTAGACTCCGAGATATACCTCAAACACGTTGTTGAACAATATCTAGCTTGCCGTTCAGAATGATAGGCCAGCTCATGCCGTCTGTTCCGGTGCGGAACTCAATCATTGAGTGCGCCGCCGTACGTACACCTTCGTCCATGTCTCGCCATTGTCGCATCCAGAGCGGCTGGCCTTCCCGCACCAGTGCCTGCATTTATGTGAACCTCGCGGAGGAAGGCTCCCAGCAGAATGAAACAGGAGGCTGGTGAGGCTGCACATAAATGATCGCGTATCCCGGACTTTTGGCACAGAGATATAAGGCGAGGCGTCACAGCAGAGTCAACAGCACACAGATCTCTTGAAGCCATAGACACCACCGCTATTGTCTAGTCACCACGACACACAATCCTTACCGAGAGAACAAAATGACAAAGAAATACGACCAAAAGCCTTCGTTCGCGATGGCGATCCAGGATCCTGTTGCCAAATGGAGAGACGTTGAGGCGTTTCTCGACTCTTTGCCCAAGGGCAAGCTGCTCAGGTTAGGGGGTCCCGGAACCATCGCTTCGGACGTAAACTTCCGGCTGGACGTGCAAGCGGTGAGTACCTCTGACACGGGACGCGATTACTAAGGTCCAACGTGTACAACGCTGTCGTACTCGTCTGAGGATTAGCACTGTTTGCGTGGCTATGGAAAGTCCGCGATGCTTATAGTCTCTAGAGCTTCGGTAAACACCCAACTTTGGTTCAGCTGGCCGTTCAAGTGAACAGGCGCGCAGTCTTGACATCTTTGCAGGATGCGGGCTTAGCTGCGCAAGGGGCAACTATATGCACCGCATGTATATCCACTGCGTATGATAGGTCCTTCACCGACGAAGATGTCAAGAAGATGATGCATCGTTCCTTCACGGGGAAGGCTTTGGCGTCCGCGGTTGTGGACGCCAATAAGCTAGTGGCGCGTGCCGCGTGGCGGGTCCAGAACGGGTTTCCTCCCGAATAAAGTGAACCTTTTACTCTTCGATGCACAGGAATACAGCTGACTCGACAAGGTTCGTCTTTATTCTGACGGACGGTACGGGGTGTGTATCCGGGTATGCTGGTGCCGAAGGAGGCCCGGGCGAAGTGGGCGGTGAGATGATCGGTAAGTCATTGATCTAACTCGAACGCACATGGTCGTCCAGCCTGAAACATGTTACGGCACGAGGAATGCAGTTTCTATATCACTAGGCTGACAATGGTAGAGTCGCAATTCACGGCGAAGTCATACGTCCACCTTCATTTGCACCATCCTTCCCATCACCTTGCCAACTGCCGCAGTTGATTTGAGACGGTTTGTAGAGAAGATAATAAAGAAGGTCTGCGATGCATTGCCGACCAACCAACCTACTGACTACAATCCAAGTCAATAGCTAGCGCTCCGTATCGATGTAAATTAGAAAGCCTAAGACCGATTTCGCATAATTCTTCACTGCGGAGCATAGACCAAAGAGAATTTCACCGCCTGCGCTGACCCCCAGAAGACCGGCACCTGCTCCGTCCCGGGCACCCTGGCACTCCCAAACGCCTCCCCGCCCGCGATGCTCATCTTCCCCTTGTCATCGAACTCGAAGACGGCGGCGGTATCGGCGGTAAAGGTATCAGCACAGCTGAGGCGATTGTCCGTATCGAGGATACCGCAGAGGCCGCCATTGGTTTTGAGTTGAAAGGAGCCGGCGGGGGAGTCTGCAGGAGGTTTGACGGAAGTGTAGCCCGCGCAGGTGCCCTTGTACCAGGCGCCTGGACCATTAGCTCAGGCTGAGGAGAAGGGGACAGCGAGAAGGGGAAGGAGAGAAGGGGAAGGGAGAGAAAGGGGAAGCAGAGAAGGGTGAGGGAAAGAAGGCGGATTAGGAGAAGGCGGAGGATGATGACGGGGACTGGCTGAAGCACGAGAAGAGAGGCTAGCCCGATGCAGGTGATGCAAGGATGTACTGATTCCAGAATCGCACGAGGAGGACGCGAAGGGAGAGGGAGATCAGGGGGAGTAGAAAGGGTACATGCCGGTTCGCACGAGACAAGCTCGGTTCTCCCGAGTATCATTGCTGTAGGTCGGGTAGACAAAGCCTCGGATGCCAGCAGCGGAAAGTGGAGCACCGATGATCGCCGGGACAGTGGGGTCGGTGGTTGGGGGATTAGGCCTAGGCCCGGGACTGACAGTATACTTCGGCATGTAGCGGATGCCGGTACTGAATGATCAGCTCGTGAATATACAAAAATCGGAATATAAGAGAGGACTCACGGATTGCAGTTACCGGCGTAACCAACAGCGTCTGTCTTGATCATAGACCCATCGACTACCCCGCCCTTGGAGTTGTAATAGTACCACACCTCGTTTAGCGCGCCGGACCGGCATTTGATGACGGGCGTGAAGCCGTACGCCTTCGTGAGCGCCGAGAGGATCTGGGCGCGGGTATAGGTGGCGTTCAATTTGGGGACGATGCCGTCTGCAGCGAGCCAATCGTATGTAGGGAGAGACTGGAAAGTGGAGACGGCGCGCTGGAAGTATGTGACGAGCCCAGCCTTATGGTCAGCTCAGTCTGAGGGGCGAGGGAGAGAAAGAGTACATACATTTTCGCGAGGCTCGGTATAGCAGGCCTTTTTGAGCGAGGAGATGCAGGTTCCGTGCTTGTTCCATTCCTGAGTATCAGTGCACACTCATCCCAGAAAGATGTTGAGACCTACGTGTGTCCACAAGTAGTCGTCACCGTTTCTGTCGCTCTTCCAGTAGATGTCCATGTAGCTCAAGAGATCAGTCTGGTCGTTGTCGACGAGAATAGAGCGGATGGTGGTGAGGTTTCGGCCGCAATACTCCTCCCATGTAGCGTCGCATCTGATTGTCAGCACGGACCCCAACAGTAAAAAAATAGACTCACTTGTCGGGCCAGAGACCGTGTATAGTCCAAGAGTTGTTGGGTCCGGTCGAAGTCTCATCGGCGTCCCAGAACTGGGTGACTGGGGATCAGCTTAGCTCGCGGTGATACTGTCTACGTTGAGAAGGACTTACGCGCAAAAAGACCACCTGGCGAGTCGGTGCAGCACGTCCCACCTGGACCGTCGGGATCAGCAGCGGTAGTGCAGCTCTGTCCAAAGTCGCTCGGCTTGTAGTCACCGCAGACCGAGAGTGTACTGCGGGCGCCGGAGAACGTGGCTTGACTGTCGTCTCGGGCGTTGGCCTTGCGGAAGGTCAGATCAGGAGCGATGAAGTCGCCGTTGTAAAGGTCGGTGGGGTCAGCCGGGGCGGGGTCCGTAGCGATAGTCAAGTCCGCGAGCGCCAAGACGGGGACTAGGAGAGGGAGTAGGGCGGGTAGCGTGAAGGCGAGCATAGTGGGCTGAGCTATGTGTGAGCGAAGGAGAGAGGTATGAATGGGGAAGAAGGAGCGGGCAAAGACGACTCACTCTGACTGTACTTGTATCCCGCTCCCCACGTTCGTTCGCTTCATGCCCGGCTCAGGGGCAAAGGAAGCGCTGCTATGCTTTTCCGGGGCGGTCATAGCTGACATGAGATGAGATGACCCTCCTTTCCCCCTTTGCCTTGCCCCAGGTACAGGCTAAGTTCAGATCTGGTGACCCCGTGCGACGCGTGCCTGAGTCGGAGCCGATTAGACCAGAGATTAGATTGATGACCGCCAAGAGACGGAGGGCAGGGTCCTTAGAAGTTGAACACTTCTGCTCGGCTGGCAACCGCAAGACATAGCAGATCAGATCAGAGCTGTAAGGCGGATCGTGAGTGATAATATACGCGTAGGGTCCGTCCTCGAGAACGCTGGAGGTGCGGTCGATTAGCGGGGCGCCCGTTCTCCTCCGTCATCCCGTCCAAGTCGCGTTTCATCTCTCGCTGGGACATCCTGCGGGTGAGTTACTCCGGATGGTAGGGAGGATGGTCTCAGCTATGATAAGATAGACCGGGAACCGTGACGAGTGTTGGGCGCTCAAGCTAGAGCGAGCAAGTACTAGCTAGTACTAAGCGTTGACGCACGGTCCTGCTCCACTGGCAATGATCTCGTCATCGCCGGGGATATTTGCCACCAGCCAAAACCCGCCGATCCGGTCCACCCACCCAGCATCTACTTCCTTCCATCTCTCTTCTCAAGTCTATCCACCATAAAGCCGCTAACCACCCTCATCCTCACCGTCTCGCTCGTTCTCGTCTCGCTGCTCATCCCGCACATACTCGCCCCGAGCCCCTTGATGATCCGTAACCTTTTCAGCTCTTTGCGCGCTTCATCGTCCCACATGTCACCCAATAAGACACCCCCTGCGCCGACTGTTCCGACGGCGATCAAGAGTCGGGAGGAGGCTGTTGCTGGCGAGGGAGGTAAGCCATCGTGCCTATGAGGAGGTCGAGTAGGATCGTAGCTGATCGGACAGTTGAGCACGCTACTTTCGCTAGCGGGTGCTTTGTAAGCTGAATGTCCATGGTGGACAGATCGGGAAGCTGACAGAGCAGTGGGGAACAGAGCACCTCTTCAGCAAGCACTACTCGCACCTTCCTCAGTTCAAGGCCGAGTCGGGCTACACTGGCGGAGATGTCAACACACCTAGTGAGCTCAACCGAGCTCAACCTTTACACAGGCATCGCGGGAGCTACAGCTTACCAATCAGGCTACCGCCAAGTCTGTTCGGGAAGCACCGGACATGCTGAGGCCGTCCAGCTCACCTACCAAAAAGGATCGGTCGGCTATGGCGAGCTCGTAGAGTTCTTCTACAGGACACACGACCCGACAACGGTCAACCGTCAGGGACCCGATAGGGGATCTCGTGAGTCCTCCCCCAGACGCCCAATATCACTGCTTCAAATATAGGAGCTGACCCAGCCAGAGTATCGCTCGGCCATCTTCTTCCATTCGCCAGAGCAAGAACAGGTCGCCAAGCAGGTGACCAAGGAGGTGCAGGAGAAGTACCTCAAAAACAAGCCGATCGTCACTGAGATTGCACCCATTAGCAAGTGGTGGGCCGGGGAGGACTACCACCAGCAGTACTGTGAGTCGATTTCTCGTTCATTTAGGAGACCTTGGCTGACCTCTGTAGTGGACAACAACCCTGGAGGGTATGAGTGCCCGACGCATCAGTTCTACTGGTAGTGGTAACTGAACATGAAATGTCGTGCTCGGTGCTTCTGTGTTCAATGGTTGCGACTATTGACTGACCTTGACACACTCCGGCTACAAGTGCAGCTGTCTTGATGCAGGGATAGCCATGGTACCGATCACTTTTGGGTCACGAGCGGGGGTCTTTGGAAGGACATGCCTCGTGTGGCGTACTGATGCTGTCTAGAACGGGATCTAGGAGTTGAGGATTCTAAACATGTCTGACGTCCGAAACGATCAAAATGCAGGAGTGGCCCTGAAAGGAGCGGATGCTGTGACAAGGAGTCCCCTTCGCTGACCCCGTCAAGGGGAACGCGAAAGGAAGTCAAGGCTGGTTGTTTACAATTGAAAGCTCACTGCCCGGGGCGACCGCTCTGCGCTCGTTGTCGTTACACATACGTGAGCATTCAGCAACTCATACAGAAGATCTAGCAATCATGGTCAGCTTACGCCCCGCTTCTGCCCTCTGCGTTCTTTTCGGCATCCTACCCGCCCTGGCTGGCCGAGTCCAAGTCCGCAGCATCGACAGCCAAGTTACATTCTGGCTAGGCGAGGCTCCGAAACAGCTCACTGCAAAGGTCGCGAATTTCGATGTGACGCCGGACGGGACGGTGGTGATGGAGGATAAGAAGACAAGGGTGAAGTTTGATGCTTGGTTCAGCGTCGACAAGCCTGGCCATTCCCTTGCGGATGGAAATGGGGTCGCCTTTAAGGCCAAAGTGAGCTAGTCTGACTGATCGATGTGAGCTCGGGCTGATTCGGTCATAGTGCTGGTTCGAGGGCAAGCTGGACCCCACTGCGGGCGATGTCGCATTTGTCTTCACGGCCGACGAGGACTATCTTCACCCGTGCGGTCTACAGAAGCACGGGCTGGCGATAGTGTGTGACAAGACGGAGGATACGCCGAAGGCGCTGTGTCGGGACCCCAACCCTATCACAGACCTCAGCTTCTGGCCGCCTGGCAAGTTCTGAGCGCCGGTATGACAGGTAGCTAGCTGGTCTTCATATAGTATCTGAGTGTGCTCGTGAGATGGAGTAGATGTATGAGTATGTCCAGGATGAGAGGCCAGACTCGAAAGCAGTGCATTGTCCAGCTTAAGAAGACAGGGCCAATCAAAAAGACAGCCCCTCACACCTGCCGCCACCATCCCTCCCGATGTTGCGCCTCGCCACGCCCCACATGATCGGTCCCTTCCCTTTCCCCCGACCCCTCCTCACATGCTCCGGTTGTAGAACCGTCTCAACTCAAACAAACTCCTCCCATGCCTGATCCCCTTCTTCGCGCCTGACTCTTGCGCGAGCGACCCCGTCATGCCCTCCTTCTTCTCATCGCCGTGCTTGTGATGCCACGGGATATTCCTGGCAGGACGGCCGCCTTTGCGCCCGAGCGTCCCCTTCAGCAGACGAAGGGTATCCGAGACGAAGTGGTCGGCGAGGGTGACGAGGGAAGTGTCGGTCGCAGGTCTTGGTGAAGGGGGAGTAGGTTTGGGGGTGGAGGCGGTGTCGGAGGGTGTAGGGATGCTGGACGCGGCAGGCGAGTCCAAGGGGGAGTCGATGGGAGCGTTGGCTTTGGAAGGGTCAATAGGAGGGGGTTTTGCCTTTTGCTTGGACCGCTTGAACCGCGATGTCGACAAAATAGACGGGGATCGCTTGGTCTCGGCCGGCTTGACCCAAACTTCGATTTCTGGCGTAGACACCGCGGACGAGTTGGCCGAGCTGGGCTGACTCTGCCCCTCATCGACGGAAGCGAGGGTATGGGCGAGCGGGGAGGGGTTGACCGCGCCAGTGTGCATAGACCGGTGCTCGTCGCAGATGACCTGGGTGTGCGCGTGGGGAGCAGGGATGGGAGCCTTCTTCTTCCATCCGGGACCGATAGTCTGGCTGGGGTCACGCGTAGCCGGTGCACCGGGAGATGTGGGGTGGCTGGGCGTGGCCTCGACGTTCCCGATACCCAAGCCCCGGCCGACACCGAGGACGACACCTTCCGCTTCCCCCTTGGGCCCGCTGACGCGCACGATCGCCTCCTCTGGCGGTTCGGGCGGGTTGATCGAGATCTCGTGGTTCTCGTTGCGGTCGCGGAGGGTCTCTTCGCCAAAGTCCCATGGACGGGCAGTGAGCGCAGCGGGGATAAACCTGGGATTAGCGCAACCCAAGGCTGAGGACGTCAGACGAACCAGGTAGCTCCACACACTACGCCCTTCCCCTTGTCCTGGCTCTTCAAGAGGTTCCACCTGGACGTCAGCTGAGCTCGCTAGACTCCAAGCAGTAATACTCACTCGTTCTCGATATACCGACTCAAGACACCGACAAAAGGCGCCAATTCTCGAGTACCGCCAGGTACAGCATAGACGATGACCGAAAGGAGGTTGAGGATGGACGTGGCGATGGACTTGGCCCGGTCGAGATACTCCAAGGTAGGAGGTGGCTAGCATGTCAGCTGCATCTCCATGTACGCTCGAGTCTAGCTCACCAAAGCAATCTCAAAGCCCCACCAATCTGCTTGATCAGCTCAGGCAGACACGACCCAACAGCAAGCTCACACGTATAGACACTGATCCGATCCAGAGGAGGATGTATGTTCTTATGACTCGGTCCATCATAGAGGTAGATCTTGCTCTCGGCGTTGATGAGCGCGTCAAACCCCCTGCGGAGGGTGTCTGCGCTGGGAAGCGCACCCGCAAGAGGCCGATGCAGACTCATCGCCGACGCCGGCTCGAACAGACCGAGGGTCATGATATTGCTATCCGCTCCGCTGGCCTGTACCGCCGTACCGATCGACGTCAAGCCCGCGAAGAGCGACAAGAGGACGGGGAGCCGGGGCGGAGGGGGTGGAGCCGACTTGAGCGTGGAGAACCGGTGGGCGTCGAGATGCTCCTCCTTTTGCCGCCTAGCCGCCTCGATCCGCTTGGCCTCGACGATGAGCTGGTCCGCCTGCGACTCTGAGCAGTCGAGGCATACCGCCCGTTCCACCGCTGCGTTGGGCTTGTCGATGTAGAGGTTCCGAGCCGAAGCAATGACCATCTTGGCCTCCTCTGGCTTGAGCAGCTGCGTGCGAAGCCGCTCGACATCCTTCTCCCTGAGCTGCGGGATCTGCGCCGAGCTCTTCCGTCCCTTGGTCCCCTTTTGCGGCATTGGAGGAATGGCCGGTATGGAGAGCGCGACGACCTCGAGCGCGGGCGGGTCAAGGATGAGGGTACGAAGGGCGAGAGCGGCTTTGGTAGCCCGGCGCTCTTTCGACGAGGGGGTGGGAAGGGAGAGGGGTGCGAGGTCGAGGGCTTCCGACAGCCGAGAGAGGGGGAGGGAGAGGTCGACCGGAGGGAGCTTGCCCAGCTTGAGGGATATCCGACCATCGCTCTTGCCCGACTTGTTGGACTGGCCCGACTTGTTGGACTTGGCCGACTTTTGTGACTTGTCCGACTTGTCCGACGTCCGCCTGGGCTGAGTAGTACGACGATCCGCACGCGCGTGCCAGGAGCGCTTGGGGAGTGGGGCGGGACCGGTACTGGCGAGCGCGGCGTTCAGCTGGGTGAGGTCGAGTGAGGGCGGGTCGACCGGAGCCGGGCGGTTGTCGAGCATGGCGAGAAGCATCCTGGGGGTCCCAAAGGTAGGGAAGGCAAGCGGCCGGGGCCAGAGCAAAACGAAGGAGAAGCAAACAAAGAGACGAACGAAGAGACAAGAAGGGCCAAACCGTGATATAACACCCCATCATACCGTCCTTCCCATCGTCACTAGCGGCTTCTTGGCTCATCCTGTGGGGTGAGACTTGGTGCGACGCATCAATGAGGTACCGCCGCCCTCTCAGACACGCGTTCCGCAGAGATTAGCACTAGAGTCCGGCATGATCTGCGTAAACAAAGGTCAGTCATACCAGCCTCGTCTCAAACCGAAAGCTGAGCCTCCGTTCCAACTATCTCTTGCCGAGCAGGGATGCCGATCTCGGCGCAGCTATCCTCCAGCGGCTAGTAGTGTTTGTATTAGCCGACTGGGGATGTCTGGTGTAGGCAATGATGCCGCCAAACGTTGAGACCAGCTCGTCAAAGCTTGCGTCAAGGTCGTGCGCGCGAAGGTGGGCTCGATACCCCACGGGGAATCTTGATCCGGCTGAGGGTGCCCAGCACGCATGTGGAGGGTGTTTCAATCCTACACCTTTCCCGCATTATATAGGCTCTAAGTATGATAGTATGAGATGGCTGATCGCACCGGCGCTCTATGTTGGCCCCTGCTTGGGCCCCGCTTGACCCATCACCCGCTACCTTTTCTCTCTTGCTTGTCGCTCTTCCCACTTCCTTCCGCTTCGTCCTTGCCCTTGCCCTTGTCCTTCCGCTCCGCCTTGAGTCGCAACTTCTCTACCTTTTCCTGCTCCTTCTCTGCTTCCTTCTCCTCCTTCTCCCTGAGCTTCTCGGTCACCTTCTCGGCCTTCTGCCTATCCTTCTGTGCCGCCTTTTCTTCCTCCTCCGTCCCCTTTGACCCGCTTGAGCATATCCCGCCTCTCCTTCTTCTCTGCATCTCGTCTGTGCCGCTCTATCCGCTCCTTCTCCCTCTCATCCTTGTTCGCCATCAAGATCCACTGTGTCCTGTTGCGCTCCCGTCGCCGCGCCCGCGTTTCCGTCTCGAGCACCGCGAACGTATCGAGCAGACGTTGCTTGTATTCGCCCGAGAGCTCCGTCATTGCCGAGCGAGTAAGTGCTTCTCGAGGACCGCGGAGGACGGAGTGTGGGTCGAGATGAGTTCCGAGGGCCGAGCGGACGGACTCGCGGATGCCGCGAGTGGGCAGGACGAAGAGACCGAGGTATCCAGCCAGAGGGCGATTGATCAGATTTGCAACTGTTCCATCAGCACTGCAGCCATTTCCGCTTGGGAAGCATCGCTCACATCCTCTACCCACTCCCTTGCCGAAGCCTGTGAATCCCTCCCGTCTCGCCCCGTCAACGGGCTCGGTCACGATCCCGGTGATGCCGTCCCATAGTCCCAGGCTGACCGCCTTGCCGCCTTCCTTGAAACCAGACTTCCAGTCCGTCACTTTACCCCGGACACGCGGTGTCGATCCCATCATGAGCGAGAGGTTGTCGAATCCTTCGTACATGTCTGCAACGATGCCCACGCTCGCTACAGAGTCAGCTTTTACATCCCATCGACGCAGATCTACAGAGCTACTCACCTTCCGGGATCCCGTAAAACACCTTGATAGTACCCTGGATTGGGCTGTAGAATAGCTGACTCGTCCCACTGACCGCGGTCCCGATGGCGTTGCCGATCCCGCTCCCAGCTCCGCCGATAGGACCGAGGACGTGCTTGACTGTATCGTAATCTTTTGCACCTGCTCAGTCAGCATCTTCGCTCTCTGCCAATCCACCGACGACTGACGATATGGCTCCAGATCGCTGAACATGATCTTTTGCCCAGATACCAACGCTGCTGCCGCCTCAACGGACAGTCGGAGGCTATATCGCGAACACCTCCAGACAGCTACTTTACGGGGATCGACGTCGCAGCTGGAACATCAGCCTTGATCACAGTCAGATTCCAACAGGAACATACCATAGTTCCCGGACGGGCATGTTCCGAGTAAAGCTCTTGACTCCTCTCTCCTCACCCTTCTCCGAGCGGATCGTCTCGCCCAGAACGCCGGCGGCCGCAACAGCTTGCTCGGATACCGCAAATGCGAGGGCGGCGGTGAGACTCTCGGCGGTGAGGGTTTTGATGGGTATAGGAGCTGGTCCAGCGCCGGCATGGTGTACTGCGTCTCCCCAGAACCTGCTCATTAGCTCAAGTCGCAAGGTTCTGAGTATTCTAGACCCACTTTTGATCGCCAAAGAAAGGCACGATCACGGTCGGACGACCATGTCGCAGACCGCACGATGTCGTACCCGCACCACCATGATGACAGACAGCTGCGACCCTGCTATCTGCAAACAGCCACTCGTGAGAGCAGTCCTCTGACTGTATCAGCTAGATCCGCTGTATCACTTGATCTGAGTAGAAGCAAACGTACTGCTGAGAATGAAGATATCTGGGTCGCTCTCCTCTCTGCCCTTGCCCAGTCCCGCCCAGCCAGCGCTGACGATAGCTCTTACACCAGCCGCCTTCACAGCTGCAAAGATCATGTCTGCCGCTAGATTAGCTGTATTCCTTCACGACTGATATAGATGCCATCAGACTCACCAGTCATCTTCTCTGGATCAGGTATGACAACGCTTCCAAATCCGATATACACCGGAGCTCTCCCCTCACCGAGGAATTCCGCGAGATCAGAAGGAGGCGTGAAGCCCTCTTCACTATCCAGGAAGTAGAAACCTGAGATGTCGATATGGGTCTTCCAATCTTTGGGCTTGGGTAGGAGCTCGGGGGACCAGCAGTATGTCCATGGTATACGGAGATTGTCGAGGATGCTTGTTGCGGATCGGGAGGTGATGGCGGGTATGCGGAGGATGGAGGTTCGGAAGTCGTTGATGACGCTGCTGAGACCTTCCCACATGCTGCAACGTCAACGACACATATCCAGAACTGCATCAGGAAAGGACATACAGCATATCGGCGAGATGATAGCCCATCCAGTTTGTAGCCCATTGATCCGCGTTGGACTTCTTGACGTTGACAAGCGGATGGGGGAACGCTGTAGTCGCCGTCCAAGGCATCGCTGTCGCTCAGCTCGTGCCTTGCCGTTGACAAAACGCATAGACGTACTGAATGACATCAAGAGCGGTAGACCTAGCGCCTCCGCAACGTGGATATGCGCAAAGGCAGGCGGATTCGAGATGATCGCATCCGCAGCGAACTCCCTGCCTGAGACGACGTCTGGCGAGAAGGTGGAGCGGTAGAAGCCTCGAAGGTACTCGGCTGCCATCTGGCGTTTTCGCTTGATGTCGCCGTTCGTGAGGGATTCTAGACCTGGAAGGAGTCCGGGATCTGGGTATCAGCGCCAAGTCCTAATAAGCAGAAGCCACACTCACTCTTGACCATATACGCCATGAGCTCTTTGGGGTCGCCTCCTGCATCGAAGAACTCCAGCCGTCCCTCGAGATGTACACCTTCGTGCGTCTTGCCCTTCAGACGAGAATTGGCGGATAGGACGAAGTCGCGAAAGTCGGGGTGAGTAGCGAGGCGGACTCGGTGGCCTGCGTGGATGATGAGAGAGAGGGCGAGGGAGATGTACGGCTGCACGTCCCCTGGACCATCAGCTCCGGCCTACTCAAGCACGATGAGCGAACGTACCTCTGGATCCGACAATAAAGATGACGATGCTCATAGGTGGAGCTAAGGAAGGCCTGTCCTCTCCTTGACCTTTTGCCTTTGCCTTTCCCTTCTCCTTCTTCAACGGCCTGCCCTCCCCTATCTCCTTCCCCTTCCCCTTGCTCCTCACTGTGATCGGCTCCAAATCATCCAGAGAGTCTCGCTTGCCCGTTACCGGCTCTTCCTCGCCCTTCTGATCCTGTCCCTTTGCACTATCGGTAGAGGTCTCCACTGACTGCCTCCTCGACGAACCCCCGCCCGACTTCTCTCCTTCGACCCGCCTCAGACCCCATGGGCGTCGAGGATCCCAGACTTGCCCGTCCCCAGCCGGAATCCCCATCGCCGAGAGGTTCCGCAGATACTTCGACCCATGTCGAACCTGTATCTCAACGCCGATCGTGCCGTCGTCTTCTGCTTCAGCAGCCGCTTGGACAGCGGGACCCGACTCGCCCGATCCGGAGGCCACCGAGCTGGGGTTTCCAGGGGGTTGAGCTGAGGAAACAGGCTCAGACGCGCGACGCTCCCCTGGTGCGGCGAGCGCGTACTCGTCCTCCGTATAATACGCGCGATCATAGCCGGTGGGAGGTGTAGCGAGGGAGGGGGATGTTGAATAAGAGCACTGATGGAATGACGGTCCCGCCGATATGGTGTCGGTAGGTGACCAACCCCCATCCGCCCGCTTGTACATGGCGAGCTCCTCGTTGGTGTGCGCCTCGGAATCTACCGGGCTGACTCCATTTTGGGTCAACCCGTCTCGCTCCGCCGACGCGTAGGCCGATGTGCCTTCCGAGACGGTGTACTGGGGAGCGGGAACAGCATCCCAGCCTGAACCACCGGGGATCTGGAGGAAGGGCATGAAGACCGCATCTTTGCTGTACCGCCGGCCGGGTGAAGAAGAGCCGGTCGCGGGCGAGTCAGAAGCGGAGCCTGCTTCGCCGTCGCTGCGCGGGACAGCTGAGGATGGATCCGAGCTTTGTGGAGGCAGAGGAAGCTCCTTATTTGTATTAAGTGAGGAAGATGAAGAACGGTGGTGGTCCGGTCGTTTCGGGTCGTCGTCGATTCCTCTCATGCCGGGAAATATGCGTTGTGCTTGGTATACACTTGCTCTGCAAATATGCTGGAACTATATGGCAAATCATACGAGCATTTTTTCTGTCTGCCGCTACCTCTATATGAGCTCCACACGGTCACAGCAAAATAGCAGCGGAGGACGCACGAGGAGCATATCGGCGCGTCCCCGTCGGTCTCCGAAGCGCCGAACCGGCCCCCCGACGGATCTGCTCCGCGCCGCACTATCGCCTCTGCGTATCTCGGTCAGGAACTGCCGATGTAGCCTGCGCAGCACAATGCATAGACATCTATATAGAAGTCCGTGTATGATAATGAATTAGACAAGCAAGCAAACAACACATCTAAAAGAACCTATGATCCCGGAATGAAACCCTACTCTCCCTTCTTGAACTCCTCACGGCCCCTCGCGTCGGTCTTGGTCCAGATGGAGATACTCTCGGGCGGGCAGTAGAACTCGGCCCAACCATCTACAGAGTCAGCTATCCGTTATGACCTGTCCAAGATCTGGACTCACCATCACCGATGGTGACTTCTCCCTGGTGCCACCCCATCGCGTCCGTCCACTTCTCACCCTTGTGCTCCTGGCCAACCTCGACCTTCTTGGATCCGTCAGACTTGCCGTTGCAGATAATGGTGACACTGCCGTCAAAGTCATCGTCGCCCTTCCGGAGCCAGGCAACACAGTTGGCTGTGACCATCAGCTATGCCAGTATCGGAGGACGTCGGACTTACGGTGGTCCCAGTAGTCGTGGAGTTCGCCGTGTGCGAAGAGCTTGCGGCATCGGACCATGTCGTCGAGCTGAGAGACCGGGGCCTGCGGGTTCTCACCGCCACAGCCATACAGGTCGCCGTAGAACACACAGGGGTAGCCGTCAACGCGCATGAGGATGAGAGCGTATGCGAGGGGCTTGAAGCCGGACGAGACCCATCGCTCAAGGGATTGGCCGACCTGGGTGTCGTGCTGTCGGATCAGCTCCGCAATCACAAGGGGAATCAAAGACTGCTCACATTGTCAACGAGGGTGACCGCATCGATAGGACGACGCTGCACCAAACTAAGCTGTCAGCAGGGTTTTAGTGTTGGAAGAGATGGGGACTAACGTGTTATCGAAGATCTTTCGGATATCGTAGTTCTCCTTGCTCTCGCCAGCCTCCTTAAAGTTGGCTGCTGATCAGCAGTTCTCAGGCGAGACGTGGGAGGAACTCACCCTGGAGACAGCTGTCGAAGCACGAGAACTGGGTGTCAAGGCTCGATACATACTCGACAAGCGTGTCGACCGAGTCTGGATATTCAGCCTGAGGTCCGTTAAAAGACTCACCGTGCCAGAACTCTCCGACGCAGAAGGCCTTGGATTTGCCCTTCTCCTGCGAACGGATGCGCTTAACAAAGTTGGAGATGAACTCGGCAGAGATGTGCTTGACGGCGTCAAACCTATGTTGATTAGCGCTCAGTCAACGAAACTAAGCAGAGAACTTGCCTGAATCCATATGCGCCTGTCTCCTCCAAGATCCATTCTCCCCACTTGCTGAGATATCAGTCCGTTGTTCGAGCAAGCTTCCCGCAAGTCAGGACCTACAAGCATTCCTCGGCAACGTCGGGGTGAGCATGATCAACTGTACTGCGTCAGTGGGTGGATCGGCAGATGCTCATTCGCACGACTTACTGTCGGCCTGCATCGTCAGCCCAAGGTCAACGGGCAGGTTCCACTCAGTCGTGACTTACAAACATAAGGTAGTCGAAAGATCCATTCTCGTCATCGACGTCTGTGGCCCATCCCTTGCCGTCTCCTTGGATCTGGTCCTGTCAGCAAAGAGTGCGGTTCGGCTTTTGTGCAACACACCATGAAGATAGCATTAGTCTCGGTCTTCGCATCGTAGTCGACACCAGTGAAGTGGTTGTAGTTCTGCCAGATCAGCACCACCCTCTCGGTGCTCTTAGGCTGAGCTGACCCATTTCATGTTGGAGTACTTGTCACCTCGGCCGGGGAAGTCGAACCTGCTCTATCAGCTCCAGCCGGGTCTACGAAGAGATTCGACCGACTTGGTCCAGCCTTGGATGTTGTGCATCTCTCCAACACGCTTGTTCCTGTTGTTCTGGTCGACCATGGTAGCCATGAACTCTTCCTTGTCGTCTGCTCCAGCTCTGGCAGTCAGCACAGATTCACAGCAGAGGAGCATGTGCTTACTTGTGGTTGAGAACGGCATCAATGTAGGTAATGATACCCTTGTCCGCGGCAACCTTGATGGCGCTGAGGAGGTCCTCCTTGCTACCCCACTTGGTTGCCTTGTTTCCCTTCTGGTCGAACTCTCCCAGGTCGAACAAGTCGTAGATGTCATAACCGGTACCGTCGGGCGAGGAGCCCTTGGTGGGTGCTGACCTGTCAGCGAGTCTCGACTCGAGTTTGTTGGTCCAGCCCAGAGCTCGTACAGCATTCGACATACGTGGCAGCCAGCAGGCAGTGATACCCATGTCGGCCAACCTCTGCGACTCGTTCTCATACTTCTTCCAGTGCACACCGCCCCCCTCTGCGTACCATCTGTTCAGTCAGCAAATATTCCACAACGGCACCACCGAGGTACTCACTCGAAGTACTGCATCATCGTTCCATTACCTATTCTTATCAGCTCGGACTCGTCGTTGACACAAGCAGTGGGCAACTTACCCTTCGCTCCCCTCGCCCCTCGGCGCTCTGAGTCCATTTGGTGCGCCATTTTGTTAGATAGCTAGACTGTTGCTATGTGGATGAAGAGAGTGTGAGGTATGTTTGAGCAGCGAAGGCAAACACGTCGACAATATGAGACCGACAAGCTCAAGCTGGCTGACTGAGAGAGTTTGGGAAATCTCGGATATTCAGGGTCCGGGTGAGGAATGACGCGTTTCCATTCCAAAAGGGGAAGTTTCAGGGTGATCAGGCACACCGGTTTCACCCGCGTGCCGAGAGAGGTGACAAGCCCACATTCCTCGCTGATGAGCTCACCAAGCGAGTCGAGCGTGAAAGGTCTGTCAATGGTCAGCTTCATACCTGACGCTTCTTCATCGAAACCGTCCGGGAGGTGCCCCTAATTTGCTCTCTCCTATCTCATAAGGAGCAGGTTGGCAGCCAGGATGTCGACTCCGAACCGGCGGCAAAGTGGTGAGTGCAGCTTCTCGCCTTCGCCTTGCGCCACACATCTAGGAGACGGGCACAGGGTAGTGCTGACAACGCAGCGCCTGGAACACCGAGCGCTAAACCTGTGTTCAAGTCCGCCTTCAGCGTGAAGAAATCTGGCGACATCATCCTTCAAGCGGGAGACCGCTCTGCCGAGTGCTTCTACTTTCGCCTAGGCCTCCTCAAGGAGTTATCTTCCTTCTTCCAGACCCTCCCTCCCCCATCCTCGTCGGATTTCCACGACGGAACACCTCTCATCCCCCTCCACGAAGCATCCAGTGATGGTCTTCTGCTCTTCCTCCTCGCCATCAAATCCACCACTACCTCGGAACTCTTGCAATACCCAGAACACCTACTCGAGTACGGTGTCCAGCCCGTCTGCGACGCGGCGGTCATCGGGCGGACATATGACACTCCCATCATCTACAAACTCCTCGTTGAGTGTATCCAGCAGGACTGGCCTCGGGATTACTACCTGGAGTATGCGATCTGGGCTATCGGGGACGTCCGGTCTAGATTACCAGTCGCTGCTGGCAATACCATACGGGAGGACGCGGGGGACATCACCGAGATCGACGAGTACATCACCGACTTGTGCAGGTCGTATGCTCCTCGCCACTGGCTCCAACTGCAAGACTTCCACCTCCGCCAGCTGCAGGCTCCGGCCCGGTTCCGCCGGATACTGGGGAATGATACCTCCATGCTTCTCCCGTACGAGTATCACAATCATACCCAGGTGGCGAAATGCTCGGAGGCGGATCAGGATCAGGCACAGAGGGTCTGGAACCTGATAAGCGAGGCGGGGACGATGAAGGAGGTGGAGGATTTAAGGGAGAACGGGTACGGCTTGAAGTGCGAGGTGTGCCGGACGGAGGCGAGGCAGCGCTGTGCGAGTGCCTTTAGGTGGCTGGATGGGTTTACGGGACATTTTACTGTCAAGGCTGGCTAGAATCTGGATGGGTACCTGTATCTGGCTTGTGATATCTGGGCTGTCGGGAGGACATAAAGAACCTCCATAACCGGCACAGAAGACACGCTGCACGGACCTCCGCTTCGACCTGATTGCCGCAGCATTCCGCAAAGCAAAATTGGCCGTATTCAGTCGCGTCCTCGCCTCTTCTTTCAGCTGTCGTACTCCTATAGTACGACCAGCGATTAACGGCCATGTCACGCACAGCTCCTTCCAAGCGCAAGCGTGAGTTGAGCGGTCATCCCTCCAGTCATCTCAGGCTACATTGAAGCCCTCCCTCTATTTCTTGCCCACATGGGCGAGGGGCTGGTGTCGCGCCTGTAGACCCACGCTGATATCCCAGGCGCAGAGGCAACGCCCGAACTCAATTTCAACGCGTCGTTTAAAGAGAAGCACGCAGGCGATATCATCCTCCAAGCGGGCGACCCGGCAGCCGAGTGCTTTTACTTCAGCTGCTCAGAGAGCTCTCCTCATTCTTCCACACCCTTCCCTCCCCCTCTCCCGCTGATCTCGTCGACGGCACCCCCTTAATCCCACTCCTCGAAACAACCAGCCCCGGCCTCCTAAATTACCTGCTGGCGGTGCGGTCGACTACTGAGGCCGAGTCGTTCTCTCCCCAGCCGCGCGGCTACTGCCCCAAGGAAATACTGGAAGCGGCGGCGACTGCCAAACGCTATGATACACCGGTGGTCTACAAATTGCTATCCGAGAGCATCTCGCAACATGACCCGGCCACCCCTACCTGGAATTCGCTATCTGGGCGATCGCGGACGTTCCGTCTCGTCTATACGAGCCAGCGCGGCGGACCCTCGATCTTGACGAACCCAATATCACAGAGGTCAACCCAATCATCACTGGTCCATGCAGATCGTATGCGCCGGGACATTGGTCCCAGTTGCAAGATCTGCATCTCCGCCACCTCCAGGCCGTCCAGATATTCCGCAATGCCATCAATTCCCAATATCCGCCTCTGGACGCGCCGTTCACCGGGCATACCCCTCCGGACGCGCCGCCTGAGTGCGCAAATGGGGGCAACGAGGGGCTGGCGGAGGAGCTTCACGGAGTCTTCCTTGCCGCCGCGACGGTGGAGGACATCCTGGAGGTGTTGCATAACTTTGGGACAAATTGCAGGATTTGCAACTGGGAGGCGACTTGTCGTTGGCAGGCGCGGCTCAGTTGGATCGACGATGTCGCCTACAGCCTCTCCTATGAGCTAGATGATTACAGTTTTGTGTAGATGTAAAACGGTTATGGATTCAAGTATATGGTATAGTAAGAATCCCTCTGCTGGCTCTAGACTTTGATCAGCTATGTTCGCTTTGTAGCTTGGTAGGTCAGGTGCCAGCATTGAGCGCTCCCGCAGTGACACTTTTGTGGTAGCCTTGCTGAGCAATCAGAGTGACCTCAGCTCAGCTGCTGCCTTACACGATTGATCCGCTATAACACCTTGTGGGTGTACAGCGCTGAAGCGTGCTGGAGAGTAGGTCCGCGATCCCTCCTGATCGAGCTTCGAAGCTTCGAGGTCGACGTCGAACGTCGCGTCGTGCATCTTAATTTACCTTTCGTACTTTCATCCACAACATGGATAGCCATGCAAACCACCCTCCCCCACCTCTCTACGGGGATCCACGGCTCGGTCTACGCCTATCGCAAGCCAGCCACCGCTGTAGAAGGGCAAAAAGAAGAGCGTGAATCGGTGGATCTTTCAGCTCACGGCCCGTCGGGCTGGGCAGTCGTCAAGGTCGTACGCGCCGGTCCATCGGGAAAGACGCGTGAGCTCAAGCCTCACAATGTTCTGAGAGAGGTGTTAGTGCTGCAGAAGGCGAAGCACCGCAACGTGAGCCCTCTGTCTCCCTCTGTACCGACGCTGCGCGGCTTCTGCCCAATCTCAAATTTAAGCTGACTTTGAGGCAGATCGTCCGAGTTCTCGATTATGCCTGGTCCGAAAGCGTATGGGAACATCAGCTTGCTCTGCCGCTCCTAGCTATCACCTTCCGCGTCCTGCTTGACTCCTCCCTACTCGATGCTGTAGCCTCCAGGGCGGAACAAGAGGACCTACCCGACCTATCCCGGCTTTCCGTCGCGTCCTCGCATCCTCCTTCCGTCCTCGAGACTCTCTTCCGGTCCGTTGCTCTGCAGCTCCTCATTGCTCTCGGACATCTACACGCCCTCGGCATCGCTCATCGCGATGTCAAGCCGGAGAACATCATGCTGGATTGGGACGGGACGGTGGTGTTAATCGATCTCGGGATCGCGTGGGACGAGGAGGGGGAAGATTGGGGTACTGAATGGAAAGAGGATAGGGAGGATATGTGCTGTGAGGTCGGGACGGGGTGAGTACAGCTTCCTATCACAGCTGTAGCGCGATCAGCTGCCACAACATTATGGCTCTCGAGCAGAATTCGGACCTTAACTGATCAAACAGACCATACCGCGCCCCAGAGCTCCTCTTCGGCCCAATCACATATGATGCTGCGGCAATCGATCTCTGGGCGGCCGGCTGTGTCCTCGCTGAGTTCTTTACCGCGTCGGTCCATCATGCTGCGTTGGATATCGACCCGCTCGACCAAGATTCGGACGCTATGGCTGGGGACGGGCAGTGGGATGCCATCCCGGATGAAGGACGTCAGAGCCTCTTCGACAGCACATACGGCGACCTTGGCCTGGCGGGCAGTATCTTTGGCGTGCGAGGCTCGCCGACTTCTACGTCCTGGCCGGTGAGTGATCCGCCTGCGATCTATCATCCAGAACTTCAGCTGATAAAGCAGGCTTTCCAGTTTCTACCCGACTCAAACAAAGTCGCTTTCGCCGCTCGGCCTCCGCGACTCCTCGGGTACGTCCTGCCAGGGCTGGAAGCTCTTTTGGATCCAGTGCCCGCGAGGGACTTGCTTGATGCTCTGCTCGCGCTCGACCCATCGCGGCGAATACCGGCCGCGTCTGCTTTGCTGCTGGACGTCTTCGTCGCAGCGCCCGTCCTCGTTCCTTCCGGGCTAATCCGCCGCGCTGAGTACAGGGAGATAGGAGGCAAGGTCCAGCTGCTGGAGCGCGTAGGGGGTCGGAGCATACCGGATCTTCTGAGGGGTCTGCTGGATCCGGCGAGGCGGCGTTGGGAGTAGATGCAAACATGACCTGGACCCGGGCGCTCACGTTTGACTTTACCAAGGACATTCACAATCTACCACCGAGTCACTCCCTGCTCGGTATCCGTCAGCCACAGTCACCGCCGGTGCATGACCGCTCTCGCGAGTCCTCTGGTCTCCTAGCTGGTCTCCTCCCTACTCGTACTGCGGTCCCTAGCAACTCCTCATTCCTCTTCTCGGCTGAATCTCGGATGAAAACTCTGGCTCCTCAGAACTTTACGTAACGAGTCTTCTCGGGTGTTCGAAAAGCCGGGCGGCGCGAGAAGTTCAACTTGACCTTTCACACATACGATACTCTTCTATTTCTCGTCGGGGTAGCTCAGCTACACCTAGCAATCGTTTTAAAAGCTCTCGGAAACATGTCGGGCTTTCTATCAGGCGCGGCGGTGGATTGTGGCCCGAGCAATGTGCTGAAGAGTGTCGGGGGACGGATGGATCGTGATGTCTCTATGCAGCAGGTACGTGCAATGCGGACTCTTTGGGCAGGCGAAGAAACCGAGCTGACAGTCTAGGATCGCTTTGTCGCCCCGTCTGCTCAAGCCGGTCCTTCTAGGCGTGTAAGACTGTAGCACAGGAGCCACGGGCACAAGCTGATCAACCAGGTCTTTGGAGCTGCTGGGGGCGCTGCACAATACGAGCAACAGCGCAATGGCTCGTCGGGCTCGCAGAAGTCCAGCGGCGTACCTTTCGACATGTCATCCCTACGCAACCACCTCGTCCCAGCTCAACCTACGCTGGCGCCCACTCCACCTCCGGCTTATGCCAACGCCCAATGGGCCGGCTCGTTCCGCCCAGACCAGCAGCACCAGCAGGCTGTAGCAGGACCGTCATCTTGGCAACATAGTCCAGCCCAGCAGCTACCACAGAGCAACTGGGCAGCTACTTTCGACCCTCAGACCCAGACGTCGAGCTCCGCCGCCCCTCAGACTCGTACGCATCAAGGCAAGCCAGCGGGCGTCCCTTTCCAGCCGCGCCTGTACGCTCAGGGCTCCGGACCGATCTACTCCCCCTACCAGCAGAGCATGCCTGGCTATATGCCTACCTCGACACATCATCACCAATACCATGATCAGATGATCCAGCACCCACCGGGGATGCAGCAGGAGCGGGGCGGGGAACAGCAGTGGCCGACTGCGGCGGAGTTTGATGCGCACATGGGGATGGCGTCGTCAGGGACAGCTCAGGAGGAGACAGTAAATGGCCAAAGAGAGGAGATGGAGGAGCCGCTGCCCGAGGTCAACTGGATGGACGACGCGCCGGCGGATCTGGCTTCGGTGCTAGCCGTCCCTCCTACCATCCCCGAGGTCCTCCCTCTTCGGTCGGGAGCAACCCAGGAGACCATTCCCCGTCGCGGTGACCTCAGCTACTCGGACCAATCCGCCCTCCTCATGTCAGACCCTTCCTCATCCACCTCATACCGCCGGAAATCCGTCCATTTCCGCGAATCCAGCGGTGTCCCCTCTTCCCTGGAAGAAGCTCTCGCGCAGTCCACATCCATACCCGGTATGAGCAGCTCATGGGAGGATCCGCTCGTCACGGATCTGTCCGACTTTGACGAGGACGCGTTTATGGCGTTCAACGGGGAGAAGACGGTTGCGCAGGATGGGCGGATCGGAGTGGGAGATCTAGAGGGATGGGGCGAGATGCAGAAAGACTGGGATGAATTACAGCAGACTCTGCCTCAGACGGGAGAGACAAGAGGTGCGGACGGGCGGTACCTTTTCCAAAGTCGGAATCCGTATGCCAGCGAAGGGCTCAAGCAGGATGGGGGCGTCGGCCTGGAAGGTCGGGAGTCTCCAACAATACGGGTTAGTTGAATATTACCTCTGAGTAACGGCTCGACTGACATCACAGGGGGTGTTGGAGCTAGAAGCGGCCGTCCAGAATGATCCAACAGATCATGAAGCCTGGTACGCCCTCGGCCTGAAGCAGCAAGAGAATGAGCGCGAAAGCGCCGCCATTCTCGCGCTCGGCAAGGTCGTCCAGCTCGACCCGGACTATCGGCCCGCCTACCTCGCCCTCGCTGTGTCGTACACGAACGAAGGCGAGCTACGGATGGCGAATAGGATGATGGAGAAGTGGATCAACCTTGCTCCTATGGCGAGTCAGCTATCGTCGGGGCTGTCGACGGAGACGGACCACGATGAGGGGGATTGGCGGGATGCGCAGGATGTGCTGATTGAGCGCCTGATTGGGCTGGCGAGGATGAATCCGGAGGAGCTGGACCCGGATGTGCAGGTCGCGCTTGGGGTGTTGTTCAATAGTGGGGAACAGTACGATAAGGCGGAGGACTGTTTGCTTGCGGCGTTGTCGGTACGACCAGACGTGAGTTCTTATGCCCGTAGCTGAGTAGGCGAAGAGCTGATCAGAGCAGGATTGGCTGCTGTACAACCGGGTGGGAGCGACCCTCGCCAATAGTGGCCGGTCCAACGAGGCGCTGGAGTACTATCACAAAGCGCTGTCTTTACACCCCAACTTCATTCGGGCACTGTGAGTTGTCTGATTCTCGGCACTCTGAATCGTCCGTGGAATGTATAGCTCATTATCCCAGCTTCAACATGGGCATATCCTACATCAATCTCTCGCAATACTCTCTGGCTGCTCAGCGTGTCCTCGACGCTCTCAGGCTACAGCAGGCGGACGCGACCGAGGCGTACGCGGCTGGGACCTTGGGAAAGGCTGCGAAAGGGGTCACCAGCGAGACGCTTTGGAACACCTTACGGAGCGCTTGCTTGCAGTGAGTTCTGACTTTTCGCTTGGGCTCATCAGCTCTGGTTGAGCAGCACAAGGGAATGAAGCTGATGCATGCAGTATGGGCAGAAGTGACCTGGTCACGCTTGCTACGCGGAGGGATCTGAGCGGTATGTCGATGCTTCTCTCTGCGGACCTGCACGCCGAGCTGACATAGCGAGGATTTCCCAGTGAAATTGCGTCAAGCGCTGCATGAGCACTGCATGCATGCATACTCTCGGCCACGGCGTTGCTGGGGCTCAGCATACCTGTTTGCGCCAAAGCCAAAATGTGAGACATGACTGAAACATGACTTCCATCCCTCCAGCCCCGCTATCATGGCTCGCCAAACACTTGATCTACACCAGTCGCAGCTCTACCAGCCGGCAGTACAACGCGATGTTTGTTTGCCCATCCGACGAGGCTTGACACAACGAGCTAGTCTCGCGGGCTCGGACATGTGGGTTCACCGACCAACTCGAACCCTCGCGCATGCCCGACCAGGGGGTGCTTATAAGCTATCTCTGCTCGGTCTATCTGCTTATCATCTTCATCTTCCTTTTCTTACCCACAGCAGACAGTCTACAGATATACGAGCGTCCCACAATCTCTTTCCGCCTTTAACGACCTAACGACTTAACGACCTTCTACGCCTTTACGACTGTCCCTTCCTTCGCCTCATCAACACACTTTCCTCACTCTCTGATCGACACATCTTCCTCCAGGATGCACTTCACGGCCCTCCTTCCCCTCGTTCTCGCCCTCTCCGCCTCGGCCCTGCCCGTCCCCCGGCCCCGCCATGTCCAAGGTATCGACGTCCACCCTCAGGCAAAGGTCGAGCCTACCCCGTCCGCGGCTGTCGGGGAATTTCCCAGTCCGTCGCCCATGCCTCCCGCGGGCAAGATGACCAATGCGCAGAGGATGGCGATGGGCTTGGGGCCCAACGCACCCACCAGGCGATCTACCGGTAAGTCTCAGCAGTGAAGGTTGGGGACTGTAGCTGACCGAGTAGCGCCTCGCAGACGTGCTTCTCCCGTCCCTGTATCCAAGTAAGCCTTCCTTGCCCTTCCTTCCAGGAGTTTAGCTGACGAACTAGCACCAACCAAGACTCCGTCATCCAGGTCATCTCTCAGACCGGCGACAACCTCGGTACAGTTACAGACAACGGGAACGGCGACACCCTGTAAGCCTTCCTTCTTCGTCCTCACGAGCGATTGCTGATAGGGCAGTATGACCTTCACGCCCGGCGGGACTCCCCTTCGGTTCACCATTCCCAAGTCTGCCGGTCCGTTCGAGCTTGCACCTGTGAGCTGTCTGAATCCGGCTGGACTGGACCATAGCTGACCGTACAGTCCGGCGACGAAGGTGGTCTCTTCGGCAGAGCGCGTCGCTTGCTCGGTGCGATCCCTCATAGACCTGACGCTTCTGGCAGCCAGTTGGGTCCGGGCAGTCCCAAGTGAGTAGTGTCGCACTTTAGCGATGATCATAGCTGACGACATTCAGCTTCGCCAACATCGGTCAAGGTTCATGCGGCAAGTCAAAGCGAGATGATACCGCCTACACGGACTTCAGCTGATCTTCAGACCCCTCCAACCCGCTCGGCCTCAGCCTGCCCCCTCTGCCCGCCGTCGACTCTGCCGGCGGCGTCTTCTCCGGCCTCCCCAGCATGCTCGCCAAAGTCACCGGCGGCTCAGGCGGCGGTCTCGGCGGTCTCCTTAACGTCGTTGGGCCTCTCAACATCCTCGGCGGTGGCGGCAGCAACGATGGCGTCGATGACGCCTCGTCGTCCGGTACCGGTCTGCTCGGCCTCCAACTCCCGGACGGTATCGTACCCGAGGACGACCTTCCTTTCGCCGGCAGCCCTCAGAAACTCGCTTCGACTCTGCCTATCCCCGAGTCGATGTTGGCGCCGATGAACCAGCCCGCGCAGAGCTCGATCTGGACATGCGACGCTGTGGGCAATATGGGCGCCATGTGGAAGAACCCCTCTGGCGGTGAGTCACCCACTTCACATGAGAGAGACCTGTAGCTGACACAGCAGAAACAATCCCAGCTACCTTCTTCACTGGCGGTCCTTGCGCGCACACTATCTGTTTGACGGCGGACCTCAGCGTGCTCAAGAGCGTATACGGCGATGATGTCAAGGGAGTGGTATGTCTTCTCCTTGCTCCTGTCTGATGGATCTGGCTGATCTGTCCAGAAACTCGTCGCTGGCGTTCTCTGATCGGCTCGCTCCACTTCCCCATTTCATCCCTTCCCCCTTCACATAGACATTCGATTTTGCCTCCTCTACCCTTGTCCCCCTGAGATACCTTGCCCCGGCTGTATGCATCTTGTCCCGACCCAGCTGTTCACTCTGGCAGCCTTCAGTGCTTTTCTGGCCCATCGCCGTCTATGATGATACTTCACACTGCATAAGCCACAGCTCGAGATCCTCGCCTGTTTTGATTTGTACAAATGGCCATTTTCCCATCATGCCTTAACTCCGTTGGCCAGCAGTCCTTGCGCCTGGATTGCAGTAGCAATAGACTCGACCTATCTCGTCAGCTTCCAACTTACGGCACAATGCGGTATGCTTGGCTCGCCTTATTGCTCGTATCCCTAATCCGATCATCCCACCTTTCCACCCAACTGACAGGCTCAATGAGTTTCTCCACCCGCTCGACGCCAAGACCGCCTGCTGTCCCTTGGGCGTTCGCGTCTGTGTCGTGCTCTGAGCGAGATTCGAAGTAAAGGAGGGAGAGGGGCTGGTCGATCCAGGCTCGGAGACTATTGGTCAGCTCGGAAGGCGGGGGGCGACAATGAAGGGGAGGTGGTGGGAATCAGAGGCTTACCGTCCTTGCTCGATCATACTGTCAGGATCAGCTTACGCTCCGAATACACCTGGAGGCAAGACAGCTTACCGCCTTGCTGTCGCCTCTGCTCCATCGGCATCCAGGTTCAGGATAGACCCCAGGGCCTCGAAGCTGACATTATCATACACCTGCTTGGTTAGCTTGAGCGTTACGACTGAGCTCTTTACAGCTTACCTTTCCACACGCGCCCACATTGTGCTCGCGCACAGCTCGCTCCAGCACAGTTCCCCCACCTTCCACCTTCGCCCGCTGATGATCCTCCAATCCCGCCTCAAACTCCTTGACCTCCTCATTCCGCACGATATACTCCAACAACATCTTCCGCAGCATCCCCGACAGGTGAGCAGCCAGATTGGACTGGACTCGCTCGTCTCGGTTCAAAGCGGCGAGAATGCGGGATCGTTGTGGACCGGCAGGGGCGAGGATGGAGGTGGTTACGGCTGATTTTCTGTACCATCAGCTTTGGCCGACTTTGAAAGTAGACGAGGGCATACAGCATCTGTGTCCGTTCTTCCTCGTCAATGGAAACATCAAAGCTCAGCTCGTGATACTTCTGAGCTGCCTCATTGAACTTCGCCGAGTAGTCGGCTAAACGGGCCTAGACAGTTAGCTTTCTGAGCAAGGTTGATAGAGCTGTGGTCACGTACCTGAGACAGACGATACTGCAGCTGAGTGATCTTGTCACTCTCTGGCCGGATGAGGAGGGATGCCCGGGAGAAGTAGGTCTGTGCTTGACCGGATTCGCCGGACTGAGCGCGTCAGCCGGAGCGCGAGAGAAGGAAGGAGGAATGTGCTCACCTCGAGTAGTAATCTGACAATCTTCATATAGACGGCGAGCTTGTCTTCGTCGGGGACAAGTCTGTGCGTTTCAGCTGTCATCCTCCATTGGTGCTCAGAAGGGTACATACCTGGAACCACCCTCCAGCGGGATCTTGATTAGAGCCCTCGCCGCGCCAATCCAGTCCTCATCAGATTGGAGTATCTCTGAATACAGCTTGCGCAGCACAGTGGTCTGACTTGTCAGCTCGAAGCCATAGCTACCTCTACGTCACATGAGCTCCATCAGCTCACTTGCTCATCGCACCATCCAGCCATCCCAGGCGCGTCCAGCACACCCTCTACCACCTCCCGCCTCACATCTTCCCCCTTCTCCCCCTGGAAGGCGGCCTTCCCAGCTTCTTCCCACTTGCTCTCATCTCCGCCTTCATCACCTCCCGAGATCTTCTTGTCCTTCTCCGAGATAGTGCTTCCACCACAGAGAGCCATCACATAGGCACCAAGTACCCGTCGTCCGACGACCATGGTCATGGTTGTCGAGGTGGTGAAGTGCGTACCGAACGTGATGAGCTGAGAAGCATGCTGAGGTGGAGGATTCAGGAGAGAGCTGAGAAGGCTGAGGTAGGCGGTACCACGGTCGCGTTGATTTCTGCATTATCAGTCAGCAACATCGAAGGTGAGGAGGACGCGAAGGCGACTCACGAGGCTGATGCGATGCCCTCGAGCTGCGAGGTGATGTCTCCTTCGACGTCCATTTTGTCAGAGTACTTCTATGAGCTTGTCCGAGCGTTCTATTGTCTATGTCGAGGTCGAAGTGGTATGTATGGAGCTCGCCATCACAATAGGTGTCTTCGTTGCCCAACTTGGCTTCGGGGTCGCCTCCACCTCGCTCGAGCCTATCGTCGGCGATCGCCGCTCAGAGTTATCTGGTTCCGGGGCTGTTGGTGTTGCCGGACCGGACTGCCCACCTATTGCTCACAGCTATCTCCCTAGCTCTCACATCCGTACATATCCCTAGCATACACGCAGCCTAGTGGTCCCGCTGCTCGCTGTCTTTCATCCTATTATCGATCATTGCCTCGAAATCACAGCTGGGCGTCCGAAAACAGCTCGGAGCGACATCGGTCAACAGGACAGACGTCATAGCTCCCCGCGGTCAGCCAAGCTCCAGCATTTACCGCCCTTGACGCTGTTGGCGTCCACTGTCCTGCTTGATTACAAGAGTCCACAGGGCTAGGAATATCTAAGATGTCGCAGTTCGACAAGATGGTCAAAATGGCCTGCAAGCCCAAAAATGCCCCTCCCAAGCCTAAAGTGAGTGACTTGCCTGGACCAGCAGTGGGACGGAGCTGACAGGCCAGTATGTCGAGTAAGTGTTAGCCCAGCATATCAGTTCCCTGGCACTGCCTCTCATGTGGGCTGTACTGATCTCCATAGCCCTCTGGTCGCAGCGACATTCTCCGATGACGGATCCCTGCAAGATATCACCCGGTCGCTATCTCTGCGGCTAAGAGAGCCGAATGCTGTTGTGAGTTCGGCCCCAGATCCACATCCATCGCAAGTGATACAGCTGACCCTCAGGTCGTCTTCAAAGCCTTACTAGTGCTGCACATGATGATCCGGACCGGCAACACCGAGAATCTTCTGACCTCGCTATCAGCAGGCAACGGTGACCCTCTCCGCCTGAGAAACGTCGCCAACTCCGGCGGCTCCGGTCAGTCGTGGGAGGGATTCACTCCACCGAGCAATATGGGCATGTACGCATTGTATCTCGACATGCGGATAAAGTGCTTCAAGGATCTCAAGCACGACTTTGTGCGGACACAGGCGGAGAGCAACAGGCGGAGTGATGGTGCTGGGGCAAATTGTGAGCTTAGGTCTGTCTGTCGAGAGAAATGATCGCTGATTATGTAGCCAAAGCACGCAGACTGCGTCACCTGGCTGTGGATAAGGGTTTGTTGAGGGAGGTCAAGGCGATTCAGAAGATGCTAGATTCGCTGGTTGTGTGTCGAGTAAGTCCGGTTGCTCGATACATGCGCAATATTCTTAAGCTGATCTGGTAGTTCTATGAAGACAACTTGCAGGATGAGAACACTATCATCGCATTCCGGATGTTGATCAAAGATCTGCTAGTACTGTTTCAAGCGGGAAACGAGGGAGTCTGCAACATCCTCGGTACGTCGCTAGCTGACCTTGGCGGCCATCAGCTAATTGCGCAGAACACTACTTTGAAATGTCCAAAGCAGACGCTACCGCCTCCTTTGACATCTACAAATCCTTCATCAAGCAGACCGATCGGGTCGTGGATTACCTCTCGATGGCTCGGAAACTGCACAACGTCGTCAACATCCCGGTGCCCAATCTCAAGCACGCCCCGACAGGGCTGGTCAAGGCGCTCGAGGAGTATCTGAACGACCCAGACTTTGAGGGCAACCGTATAGAGTACAGGAAGAGTCTCGGTGTGGTGGAGGGGCGGTCCGGCGCGAGAGATTCAAGTCCAAGCAGTACGTCTCGTCCTGCTTAGTTCAAATGGATCCGGAGCTGATATACTGAAGATGATACACCTACACCGCGAGCGGCCGATCCTGCTCCATCCAGCTCAAGCACCTCCGCACCCCTCACCTCAGCCCCGAGCGCCTCAGCCGCACCCACCGCCCCTCCTGGCGCCTCGCAAAAGATCCAGGATTTCTTTGACTCGATACAGACCGATTCTCAGCCGACGATGTTTGGTGGGTCGCCAAGGTCAGTCATCGTTCAGCCTACACATCGCGGGCTCTTGGTCGCTGGGGATAGAGCTGACCCCAAGCAGTAATGGTTTCCAGCAGAACGCCAACATGCAGCAACAGCCCCAATTTCCTTTCCTCCAACAAGCACCACCTCAATTCAACCCCTTCCGCCAATCCACAATGATGCCGCAGCAGACCGGCTTCATGGCTCCCCAAATGACCGGATTCCCCATGGCCGGCGGTGCGCCAATGGGCCAGATGCCCCAAATGACCGGGTTCATGCAGCCGCAGATGACCGGTCAGATGGCTTTCGGCATGCCTCAGCAACAGCAACCGCAGCAGCAATCCCCCTTCATGCAGATTGCACAGCAGCCGATGCAGCAACAACAAACGGGGTTCCTGCAGCCGCAACAGACGGGCTCGAACCCGTTCAGGCAGAGCATGATGATGGGCGCGAATTCCACCGGTATGGGCGGGATGGCTGGGATGGGGATGGGGCAGTTTGGAGCCAGTGGGAGCGGAGGCTCGCCATTCGGAAGCATCAACACCAACGGCGGAACCGGCAGCTTCGGACCCACATCACCCATCAATCGGCCCGGATCTACGCCTGCTAGCATGCCCAGTGCTCAGCAACCCCCAAAAGCGCTCACTGCTCAGGCGACCGGGTCGAGGAATCCGTTCGCACCGGCTGGTGGCCAGCAACAACAGGCTCAGCCGCAGCAACAGCGCGGGCCGAGCATGAATGAGCTAGCCGCGAACCGGTTTAACTCGATGACCTCGAACCAGGGGCAGGGTCAGGGACATGCGGGCGGGATGAATGGTGGGGCCTCAGGAGGAGGAGGTATGGCGGATGTAGCCTCGTCATTTGCGTTCGACCAACAAAAGCCTCAGAACGGCGGAACGGACTTCATGTCCCAATTCGGAGGTCTTTCGGTCAATACCGGCAGCAACGCGGGCGGAATGGGGTCCATGTCCACCGGGAACTCGGGAGCTGGTACGAGCAGCTTTGGCAACTCGCTCTTTACCGGGACTACGAACGCCTCGTCGACACCCACATCCCCCGGCGGAAGTATGGGCGGTGGAGGTTTCATTCAGCCCCAAAAGACTGGATTTGGAGGAAGCGCCGTCAAGCCCTTCAAGCCCAGCAGCTCTTTTGGGAGTCAGCTCGTAGCGGATCTCGGAAGTGTGCCAGAGGCGGGACAGCCGGGCGGCTCGGCGTTCTTGACGAGTACGGTCACGGGTGGTGGAGCCTTGGGCGGCGCTGGGGGATCAGGAGGTGGCGGGATGGGTCAGTTTGGGCAACTGTCCCCACAGTTGACAGGAGGAGGGTCGAATCCATTCCGGCAGAGCATGTTCAACTCGATGGGTTCCCAGCCGACCGGTATGGGAGGGATGGGCGGAATGGGCGGCATGGGAGGGATGAGTGGACAGAATGGGATGATGGGCGGTCAGGGCCAGCAGCAGGGGATGGCAGGCGGGATGGGCAATGGGGCTTTCGGAGCCAGTTCGCCGTTTGCGGCGCAGAACAGAAATGGGGGTGGGTTTGGGCAAGGGGGCCAGCAGAGACAGGGTCAGGGAGGGGGCGGGAGCTTGATCTGAGGGAGAGGGTGGCACTCTGGTCGGGTCTGTCTGTGTTGTTTTATCGGGTGTTTTGATACCTGCGGAAGTAGAAGAAGATGGGGATCTTGTCAGCGTACATCTATAGGTAGCTTAATAATGAATTGGTTTGACATGCTCAACACAGTGTGATTGGTCCAGCATTATTGAATGATGGAATTTGATGGTGATGACTCAAGTCCCAAGTCAGCCGCTGATGACCGACTGCCGGCTGAGGGTAGGACATTGTAGAACATTCTAGCAAATGCGCACCCCAGAAAGGCAGGACAAAGGACCAATGCGCTCAGAGGAGATTCACTCTCCGCATGCGTGAAATAACGATGGAGCGACGCCGCACCACTTTTAAAATCCAGACTGTGTCAGCGATCTTTGTAACCTTGTACATATACCTCGCCTCATTGCTTGTCTACACCTTCCTCAGCTCGCCACTCTATATCAGCATGAAGGTGGAAACAGCCGAAGAGAGCTATGGCGGAACGAACTACAGTCATACCTTCTCTTTGCACTCTGTCAGCCAAGTCATGCCTTCCCGCTTCATCGAAGATACCCAGGTAATCCGAGTCACGGGCAAGATGCAGCATAGCCGTTTCAATAACGATCTGGATTTCCTGCAGCAGTCCGGCTTTGTCAAGACGTGCGGCTACGACTACCCTTTCAAGTCACGAAGATGCAGGCCGAGTTCTGCGTCGACTTACGCCAAACTCCTGAAAACCCGCCACCCCAATGACACGAGCGTGATCGTCATTCATACTGGCCTCAAGGGGGACAAGGACAAATATGTCCTCGAGGAAATGAGTGCGGAGAAGTACGAGACGTTGGAATCAGATGTCAGGGGGAAGGGAGGTCATGTGGGGCCGATGAGATATTCTACGCGGGGCCATCGAGGTCCCCCGCTAAATCCAGACTGGACTTTGGAAGAGCAAAAGTTCTACAGGTCGGCCCTCAGCGGCCGGGGGAGGAATGACAGGAGGAGGATCTCCGAAGCACTCAGAGTGCAGTTCAACGAAGCAGCGGAAGCTCGCGCCCAGTGGCTCAAAATGTCGGTGGTTGACGGAAAGCCCTTGATGACCAGCGGAACGAATGGACCTGGCGATCTTCCGCTTGGTGAGCATTCCGCAGATCTTCACCCACACGTCACTGCGGCATCGTCGGACCTCTTCGATGTCTCCCAAATCGGAGGTTTCTGGACAGAGTGCGGAACGACGAGCTTTGGTACGAACATGGATCACATGTCTTCGGATCAGCTTGATCATCTCCTGGTCGGGCGTGGGGACATGGATCTGTTCCCTACCGACCTCACGATGAACTGGGACGGGCTTTCTCCGCCGGAGGCCGGCGGCCTTTGGAACAATTGGGATTGGAGGGGAATGGTGTAGGTCTAGGCAGACGCACAGCCTGGTCTGTCACCGTAGGACCTAGGTGTACAAGGCGTTGTGGGTTTGACTTGAGCATCGACACAGTTCTAGAATGTATGAGCTCACAGAGTAAAGACACGTTGGGGAATAGCCATGTGCATTTTCTGACCGTCAGTATCATGACATGTCCGACAGATGGAACGTACGAGCAAGCTGACCTCGCGTGTCAGTGAGTATCAAAGGGGTACCGACCCAAAGGAGTCCGTATTTGAACTCCGCACACTCACTGCCATGAATTTTTTTCAACCCACGGCTCTCTTCTCTGCCACTTCTCTCTTTTTGCCAGCGTGCTCGCGCCCGAACCTGAACGATCCCATCATGAGCCATGAAGTACCAAATAATCCGCTGGACCCAGCCCCGGCAACCGATCCTGATGATCTCCTCCCCCTCCACATGACCGCGGACTCCTGTGCTGACGCTGCGGCTACAGCCACCTCCCGGAAGCGGTCGTACCGGCGGAATCGCAAAAGTCGCCTTCCGCCAGACTGGACCGCCGCGGAGAGGGCTCAGCTCGCGGGCCTGTCGGGTCTAGACTGGAAACGCGAGTATATGCGGATCAAACGGGATCGAGAATGGTCGTCATCAGCCGGACCGTCAGAGGGGTCACTGGCCAAGAATGCTCGATCCGTCACGGAGACTCTGAGCCTATTCACGGAAATGGCATCTTACCGACCCCACATCTACGTCATGAAACCGCACAAGGGCAGGGGGATCGATCGGTCAAAGACACGGCCGAGCAGTCTCCGAACGATGAAGGAGAAGATTGACGACGACAGATCCCATATGACATCCATGACAGCGATCCACCACATTTTCTACTCAGACCCGACAAGCAGCCACCGTGCGAAAGTGAAGACAAAGGGAGGTAGTGAATTTGAGACGTGGAAAGAGGCTCAGTGCAAAGAGGGTCAGGATGTGGTCACCCTTACGGAATGGATGGCGGGACTCAGGCCACAAGGCAGTGAAGGGGGGAAAGGCGACAAAGGAAGGATCTGCCGTACCAGCGCCGAGTGGAACGTATCGGCCTGTGAGCGAATGGGAGGATGCCGGGGCAAGCGACAATGATATGGCTGACTCCTTTTCCTCCTTCCTGGGGGCGGAGGACGGAGAACTGGACGGATTCGGCACAGGAGATACTGGAGGTGGAGGCGATCAGTGGCCTGAAGGCTCGGAAATGTCAACTGAAGAGATATCTGATGCTGGTGGCAGTGCGGATGGCGATATTTGACACTGGAGCGTTGGAACGCTAGGAATGAGGAATGCAGAGCGACTTTCTGGGATCGTGTCCAGATATGGAGGCGCTGACTAACGATCCTGGACAGATCAGCTCTGACGAGTCCGTATCTCGGTGATTGACACGGGTGCCCTTACATCTCACAATTACTCAGAACCTTGCTCAGGGCGTTGCTTAAGACCCAGTATTCCTCACTTCCTTGGCGTGTTTCATTAAGTCACGTGCCACTAGTACTCAACTGCTTGTTGCAGGCACACGCAGCCGGAGCCTTAGACCGGCGGCTATTGTCGAGCAGATACAATGCTCCCAGGAGGTAGAAGGGGCGGCGGCCAAAGCGAAACTGATTGCGTCGCTGCTCCCTTTAGGCCTATCTGGAGCGATCCGCTCTCGTCAAATCTCTCGCAAGGTGTTGATACGAGTGCTTGCCTAGGGACACTTCCCTCTCACACCGTAGGTATTGACGAAGACGGGGCTCTGCGAGCGGCGCTGCAGGAATTTGTGCACAGAGAGCTATCGCTGGAGTGAGCGCTGCTGGGGTGAGGACGGGGTGAGATCAGGGTTCGACTGGAGGCATTACCTTTACTTCGCCATGCCTAAATGTCCATACGTCAATCACCTAATCTTTCAGCGACGTGAGTTGTGATCCGACGACTCTACAACAGCAGATCGATGATCTTGCAGCTCCCTCATGTATCAGCTCAGTCAGTGGTGTGGTCGTTTTCCGGCGCCTTCCGTGCGGGCAGAATATCCATGTCTCATTCGACCTTATCCTTTCCTCCCTCTGTGCCCGCTGCGTCCGCCTCTGAAGACTGCACCAGGCCGTCATCCCCTCTTCTCGCTCCATTCTCGTCCAACGTAGGCGACAGACTGGATTTGGTCCTCGGGACAGCCGAAGTTTCCGAGGGAGAAATTGAGATTGAGGGTGTAAAGACGTCTACTAGGTAGGCGGTCGTCAAGCCCAGTACTGGTATGATCAGCTTAAGCCATTTAATCAATGACAAGGCGAAAGCTCACCGAGACCTGAGATCTTTTCTTGCGGGTTGTGGAAGTACGTCGCCGTCATGAGCGTCATCCAGAGCCATAGAACCAGTAGCGCCGTTCCCAGAACGGTCGCCACCGCATGTATCCGCGCACGGAGCTGCTCATTTCCCAGCTGCAACACTGGGGATTGCGCACGTCCCTTATCCGCCGCCACTACATCTCCGGCGCCCATCCATCGCCTCCACGTTGGCAGCAGCCTTCTTGTGAGAAGCAGCGACGAGAGGACGAGGATGAAGACATGCCCCGAGATGTCGTGGCCTCTGAACCACCTTGGGCGGGGGATGGCGAGTGTCGGCCGTTCCGAGTCGTTATATACCGATTGAGGGAAGGGGAGGGCGGAGAGGATGGAGAAGATATCGGGTGCGGATTTGGGGGTGAGGGCAGCCTGGGAAGTGCAGAATGATGAAGGGACGGCGAGGTACAGGTTGTCATCGTGCGGGGCCGAGTTGGCCGTTTCGGCGAGGGAAGACGTAGTTGCGTCCAGCGTGGAGGACAGTAAGGACGCCCCGACAGAAGCAGGTACGAGTGCCATCATCTCCTGTACCTTGTCCCTGTCCAGACCCCAGTTGGTCGGAAGGGCAATGACGCACTTTCCGCCGCTGAGCTCGATGATCCGGTCTCCGAGCCCGCGGCCAAAGAACCAGGTGGTGAAGATTGCCCAGAAGGCTGTGGAGATGACGTAAGACCATAGATGGGGGATGAAGCGAGATGGTGAGGGAGTCGTGAAGAGATGGGGAAGGTAGATGAGGGATGTGTGTAGCCAGGCGAGCTTGACAAAGTATTGGTTGAAGATGTTGGTCTTCTGGGCGAAATAGGCGGTGCGGCTTGGAGAGGGGTAGAGGGATGTGTCGAGAGCGAGAGAGTTGAGGGATGAGTAGGCCGTACCGAGTCTGTTCGATCAGCCCGGTTCCAGATATCCGAGGCGCACATCAACGTACAGGACGATTGTCGACAGCAGGGCAGCCATGCCCAGCAAGGGACGCCTCATTACTCCCGCCAGGCCCCTACTGATCGAGCCCAGTACAGGTATGGGACCCCTCGGTATTCTCCCCTTCATGGTCTGAGGGGTGGCACTCATGCTCATCCGCCTCGCAGCCGGCGAGGTAGGCTTGATGTCCGAGGCAGACCGACGATGCCTCGTTCCCGTTGCGGTCGGGTGAGCGGACGTAATCGGTGCCGCAGCTATCGGTGATGTTAGGACAGCCGCTGAGCCATCTTCTGTCGCTGGCTGAGGCTGGGCTGGTGGGTCAAGGGGTGCCATAGTGGGTGTGACGGCTGCGTATGAACAAGCAGAGATGGAAGGTGCAGCTGTAGGACGCCAGGAGGTGCTTTGCCTCGTCATTGACGCTGAGCATGAGCCAGGCACGAAGCGGCGATCGCCGATCACACCAGGTGGAGGCGGAGGCTAAATTTCAACCTGAACGAGCACCAAGAGGTCCACTCTACCTCGCTATACCAACAATACACCTATAGGGCGCTACTGAATACAAGATGGGCAAGTCATATATGAGACATGGCCCAACACAGGTGAGCTGCTCATCGAGCGAAGAACCCGCGGAGAGAGCTCATCTCCCTAGGCCTTCGGGATCATCTGCTCGCCCACTGCCAACTCCAGCTTCGACGGCCGATTAGCATACGTTCCTGCTTGGGAGGATGTGCTCGTATGGGACGTCAAGACCGGCGAGATGGTGCGCTATCGATCACCCACCATGCGGGGATGAGCTCACCTTTCAGCTCTCCATGTGGCATTCCCCGTCACATACCGCCTCCGTAACCGGTATCCTCCCCGCACCCACACCCGCCACATCCACATCCAACACCCCTCGTACCTTCGCCGTATCGTACAATGACGGCTCTATCCGCTTATGGAACTTCTCCACCTCCGATCCGGCGAGCACAAACGAGGCTGTCACCTTTAACGGGCACAAAAAGTCCGTCACGACCCTCTCGTGGGACCAGGATGGTGCCCGTCTCGCTAGTGGCGGAACGGAGGGGGAGATTGTCGTATGGGATCGGGTAGCCGAGGTGGGGCTATTTAGGCTCAAGGGGCACCGAGGACCCGTGACGAGCTTGCACTACATCCCGCACCCGACGATGAGTGTCAGCTCGCATCCCGGATATTTGCTCTCAACGAGCAAGGACACGTATATGAAGCTGTGGGATCTGGGGACGCAGCACTGCGTGCAGACGGTGGTTGTTGGACGAGGGGAGGTGCTCGGATGCGCGATCAAGGAGGAAAAAGAGGATGTGGAGGCTGACGGAGAGGGAGGGGACGATGTGCGTGGGCGATGGGTCGTGGTCACTGGGAGTGGAGATGGTGAGGGGAAGGTATGGACGATAGGGAAGGCGGAATTAGCCAAGGGATTGGCTGAGAATGCTAACGGAGAGGTAAGCTTGTGCCCTATCATTGCTACGATTCTGCTGACAATCAGCTCCCCAAGCTCATCTCACCACTAGCCACCCTCCCGCTCCCACCAACCACCTCTCCCATCTCGCAAATCGGCTTCCACCCAAATCAGCCTCTCATCCTCCTCCAGACATCCGACCGAACCGTTGTCGCCCTTCGTCTTAGGTCCGCCGAGGAAGTCCAGGCAAAACAGGCACGGCGGAAGAAGCGGGACAAGGAGAAGAAGGAGAAGCGGAAGGATAATGCTGTCGAGGTGGATATGGAGGGGAGCAATGGGGCTGCTGGGAATGGGGAAGTCAAGTGGGAAGAGAGGGTGGCGGTCTTGTGCACTGTGAGGGCCAATGCGAAGATCAGGAGCTTTGCGCTATCGGATACGGATTCCGGAACAGCCAAGAACGGTATACCAGTGCGTTCGCCAGTTTACTAGGAAGTCTAGTACCAACAATTGAGCTGACACTGTAGCTCCTCCTAGCGCTTAACAACAACGCTATCGAGACCTACCTCCTCCCGCCCCCGGTGTCCAAAAAGGCCAAAGCCACCATCTCCACCGAAGGCCCTACCGAACCCATCAAGACGCACTCGATCGAGCTCCCGGGACATCGTCAAGATGTGCGCTGTATTGCCATCTCGGCGGATGATCAGGTCATAGCCTCAGCGTCGAGCGGGACGTTGAAGATTTGGAATTCCAAGAGTACGGCGTGTATCCGGACGATGGAGTGTGGGTATGCGATCTGTTTGAGTTTCCTCCCGGGAGATCGACATGTGAGCTACACCATCTTGTATCCACACCAGTACGAGTGTCAAGGATTTACAGCTGATACTCTAGGTTGTCGTTGGTACGAAAACAGGAGAGCTAGTACTGTTCGATATCGTCACTTCGTCCCAATTGTCGTCCTACAAAGCCCACTCTGGCGCGATCTGGTCCGTCCATGTCAGACCGGACGGGCGGGGTCTCGTATCCGGTTCGGCGGACAAAGACGTCAAGTTCTGGGACTTTGAGATGAAGGAGGTGGAGAGCGAGGGGGACCGGGTAGTAGATCGATTAGGAAGGGAGACTGTGGTATGTCAGCTACTTACCGCTACGATGAACTCTTCTCGAACCATACGAACAAGGCTGACCATATAGTTCAAGACGAAGCAACTCACTCTGGTACATACCCGGACACTCAAGATGACGGACGACGTCCTCTCGGTCAAGTACTCGCCTGATGGGCGGTTATTGGCGGTTGCGCTGCTCGACTCAACGGTCAAGATCTTCTTCCAGGATACTTTGAAGTTCTTCCTATCGCTGTATGGTCATAAGGTAAGCTATCCTCCTCAGATGTACGTACGCCTCGACGCTGATATAGCAGCTTCCCGTTCTCTCGCTCGACATTTCGCATGACTCTCGCCTAATCATTACCTCTTCAGCCGACAAGAATATCAAGATCTGGGGTCTCGACTTTGGAGATTGCCACCGCTCGATATTCGCACACGACGAGAGTGTCATGCAGGTTGCGTTTGAAAAGGGCAGCCATCTGTTCTGGAGTGTAGGGAAGGACCGAACGGTCAAGTACTGGGATGCCGACAAGGTGAGCTAGTCTCTTCTCGGCCTTTTTATTGGCTACAGTCGGGCAGAGCTGACTCCCAGTTTGAGCTCATCCAGAAACTCGACGGCCATCACGGTGAGATCTGGGCACTGGCCACCTCGCACAAATCCGACTATATCGTCACTGGCTCGCACGACAAGTCTATCCGGATCTGGGAAAAGACGGAAGAGCCCCTTTTCCTCGATGAAGAGCGCGAGCGGGAGCTCGAGGCTTTATACGATACCAACGCCGCTGCGGATGCGAATCGATCCGGAGACCCCGCCGACCCCGATGCGGAGGGGGACGAGGTCGAGGCGGTACATAAGACGACGACCGAGACGTTGATGGCTGGGGAGAAGATCCTGGAGGCTGTTGAATTGGCGGATGAGGAGAGGGAGACGGTGAGGCAGTGGGAGGAGGATAAGGCCAAGTTACCACTGGAGCAGGCGGAACATCTGCCCAAGCCACCAAGACATCCGGAGTTGGTCGCGAGGGGAGATATTGAGCCGGAGGAGCATGTGCTCAAGACGCTGAAGGGGGTGCCGAGTGCGCAGATGGAGGATGCGCTCTTGGTGTTGCCATTCAAGGCGGTGTGTAGTCTGCTGGTCTATCTTGACGGGTGGGCACGAGCGGTAAGTCTCCCCTTTCCCTTTGCTCAAGACACAAGCTGATCTCTCCTAGGACCGCGAAACGATCCTAACCACCCGAACCCTCTCTTTCCTCCTCCGCACCTCCTCCTCCCAGCTCATCGCGAACCGTATCCTCCGCACCCAGCTCCTCGACCTCCGTACCCACCTGCGCGACTCGCTCACTCGCCAACGCGACATGATTGGCTTCAACCTCGCCGCGCTGCGTTTTGTGAAGGGACGGTATGAGGATGGGAAGATGGCGGGGGTGTTGGATGAGCAGGATGAGGAGAAGGTTAGAGAGAAGATGGGTAAGGGGAGAGGGAAGCGGAAGAGGGTGGTCATTGGTTAGGGTCGGCGCTGCCTGGAGGTGCGCGGTGTGGAGCTGGGTATCTGTTTGCATCTGTTGTGGCTGATCATGTTTTGATACTGTCCGGGTCTGACTGGCAAGCTAATCTCAAGACTGACGGACCTGCAGCACTGATTTGCCCCCTATCAGCATCGTGTTAATATGAGGGCAAATGCCTACAACTAATACTTCATACACAGTTCTATTCTTATATTAGTGGGCTTGCCCTGTCGTACCTTCTGCGCGCAGCTATCTACAAATACAACCATCCTGCTAAGCTTGCCATCTCGCAGCACCGTTCCCCCTCTCACTCCTACTAGCTCAGCTTCCTTCCTTGCCCCCGTAACGCAACCCCGGCACGCCACACCTGAACTTGCTCGCCATGGTCCCCACATCCCACTCATTCAATGCCGCCTCGAGCCAGTCCTCCCTCTGCTGATAATCTCTTGTCCAGCTATAAGTAACTCTATCCCTCCTCGCCCTCGCCTCCTCCCTACTACATCCCATCTCCTGCAGCGCCCGCGCCATATTCTTCCACAAGTACCAGACGTAATCCCCGTGCTCCTTGCCCGCGTCGGCGTCCTCTCGGCCATCCTCCTCGGGATAACAGCTATCGATATTCTCCGCGCCGACAATCTCGACGGCTTGTCCCCCCTCCAGACCGCCGCACACCTTGAAGATGGACTGGGCCATGTAGTGCCTGTTCCACCGAGCGTCCATGTCCGGGAAGGGAGGGAGGACGTTGCCAGCGCTAGCCATGGAGAGGACGAAGGTGAGCTTGTCGAGCGTGGAGGGGAGGTGGTCCAGGAGGGAGGGCTGGTACGACGTAGCGTCAGGATTGCCCGCGAATATCCCAATGAGGATGATGAGTTCCTTCATACTGCCGGGGATCCCGCCGGACCAGAGTCCCTTGCCGCTTCCGATCGTATGGGTCGTCACGCCGCCCAGGATCAGCCGCGATGGCCGGAGCTCAGCGATGAGGCGACAGCACCCGCCATCCGCGCTGGGGCCCTCATACTGGTGATGGCAGAGTCCACCGTGGTTCTCGTCGTATCCGGGCTGTATGCGGAGCGTGACGAGATTAGGGAGGATGACGGAGGGGAGTGAGGCGCAGATGGACCGGGAGTGGGAAGTGAGGGTGAGGTGGGTGATGATGTGGAGGCGTTTGGGAATGCTGATTTGCCTGACTCGGGGGTTGGCGATGGGAGGACGGATGGGTCCTACGTGACCCGTGTGGATTGTGAGGGGGCCGCGTAGGAGCTCCGAAGGATCGATGGCGATGGCTTTGGCGGACCGGGATCCGGTGATGGATTGCGTAGCCTGGTTGGTAGAGGAGCAGTGGTTGCCCATGATGCAGCTGTATATGATAGCTAGAGTAAGAAAGAGCAGGAGGGCGCAGCGACGCAGGGTCAGGTACTTATGAGGTGTCAGCAGCCTTACATACCAGCAAGATAAGCAGAGGAAGGCTCTTTCTGAGGCGAGTGTACGATTCGCACACAAGCAAGCATCTTTGATAGTCAGCGATCTGTACAGCGGCCCCGGTCCTCAAGGACACAGAAGGTGCCAGAAGGCCAGGCCACCGCGGACTGAAATGACATCAAGGGCTGTCAGCAAAAGCAGAATGAGCGGAACTCTATTTCGCTGCTCACAGATGGCTTACGCTCCATTGCTCCTCGAATTCTCGCCGTCTGTAGTACCTTGGCTACAGAGACTCCACTGCTTTGCTGCTGAGGTTGGGAAGATCGCACAACGGAATGTAGTTGCGACTTTGACCCTTGGAAGATCGTTCTGGAATCGATCTGAAGAGACTCTCGGACTCCTGAGCAAGTCGAACGTCACTAAACTGCTGCGGAATCGCGTAGTCAGACAGAGCTCAGGATAGTTCGAAGCTGACGAGAGGCGATCCGCAACAATCTAAGCGCTACACATCACATACTAATGTAAACGCTGCCCAAAGCCCGCAGCATGATCCGTCGACATCTATACTCTCTTCCCCTTCGCCCCGGGGCCCCCACCTCCGCCTCCAGCGCCCCCATTCCCATACCCCAGAGTATATCCCGTTCCATACCCATTCCCATTCCCGTACCCCGCTCCCTCCGTCTTGGCCTTTCCTCCCCAATCATCATCATCATCTAGCGGGCCCAAGGGTCCATACTTACCCGCCCCATTCGCACTCTGCCCATTCGCCAGTACCCCTCTCCCCCCACTCCGCTTCTTGGCATGCCCACCACCTGGTGTTCGGGGTTCTATGCCCGAAGCGATACTGTTCCCGCTATTTGGCAGAGGAACGGGAATTTCGGTATAGTCCATCCCGTGCCCGTTTGGCGAGCTCCGGCCGCCCCACCCGCCATCCTTTGTCGGGGACGAGTTGGGGTCCCATCTGTTCAGCGGGACAGTCTCGAGCCGTTGTTGATGTAATGGAGAGGGGTTGTAGGATCTGCCGGGGTGTGAAAGGGATTGAGGGACAGGTGGCGGCTCGTCGAAGCCTTGTTCGAGCATGGCGGCCATTTCGTCCATTCCGAGTGTTTGACCCATGACTCCACCGGGACCAGGGTTCGGGAGACCGATAGGCGGAGGAGGGAACGCCGGATTGTTTTCGTTATACTGCCATGTCAGCTAGTCCACCATGCCGGAGATCAATCTAACTCACCCCGCCAATCTCGGCACCCCAGACATCCTCATCACTACTCCATACACTTCCCGTATCGCTATCTCCTCGGCCCGACCCATTCCTCGCAGCCCACGGATGCAGCCCTCCTCCACCTCCACCACCCTCATAGCTCCTATTATGCCCGCCATCCGAGCTCCCACTCCCATCGTCCCCGTAAAAGCCAACATTGCCCAAATGCCGCTCCATCTCCTTTCTCCGCCGCTCTTCTCGCCGGAGCTTGCGCAGTCTGGAACGCTCCCAGTCTTCCCATCGTCGAAGAGGAATCGTAGTTCCGTCAAAGACAGCCGTCTTGTCGTCGTGCGCCTTCGAGCGGACTTCGCCTTCGACTCGTCTACACATATCAGCTCAGTCCCGATGCACAAAGTGAGAGAGCTTACCTTGTTTCGCCCCACGAGAAGTCATCAAAGTGCCAGAAGGCGTACACCGGCAGAACGAAGTTCCATATTGGAAGAGCAAGGAGATAACACATCATCCAGGCGACATAAATGACCTTGCGGGTGGTGATGAGGATGAGGATCGCCGGGAGACCAAGTACCGCACCGAGGAGCATGAGGGGGATAGCCTCCTGGAATGCTTTGGGCGGGGTGATGATTGAGTTGACGATGAGCGCGCCGGTAAGACAGATCGATACGGGGAGGACAACCGTTCCGACCAGATCCATAAAGACGACAAACTGCATGGAAAAGCAGAAAGTCCCGCATAGATTACGGACGCGTACGAGCTCCATGAGGTTGTGGATGGTCGAGTTGATCCATCTCCGCCGTTGCGAGAGGAGGACCGAGAAGGTATCGGGAGCGACGGTGCGGCAGCGCGCTTGGGGGAGGAAGAGGTTTTTGCGATGAGGGAACGTCCGGAGGAGGATGGTGGATAGGAAGCGGTCTTCGCCGAGGAGGAGGAGGTTCTTTTGGTGTAGCGTATGTACCTCGGATTGAGAGTACTCGCGGACGATTTCGGGCTTGACCAGGATCGGTACCCAGTCATTGTCCCAGTCCTTGCGCGCCTTGATGCGGTACATGGAGAAACAACCGGGAAGACAGGTGACACCACCAAAGACGGATTCGAACGCCTTGGCCAGATGGTGCGAGATGAAGTATTCGTAGACCTGGATGGCGGTCACCCATGATTGGCGCTTGTTGGCGATCCGAGTTTCGCCGCAAACGCCCATGACCATGTTGTCGGCCTGCATACAATTGACGAGCATCCGGAGCGAGTCGGGGTAGATCTTGGTATCGGCGTCGACCTGTCAATCAGCTATGCCACTCTGAGGTGATCCACACCACCGCCTTGTGTGCGCCACCACTTCAATAGATGTCCTCCCGTCTCAGACACCTGGTCTGAAAGCCTGAACCGTAGACTCTCACTCACCATCAAGACCACCTCAAAAAAGTCCGGCGTAACGCCCATCAACACCTGCACCTTCCTAAAGATATCGAAATCCAGCGGGCTCATCCGGTCATTATACGTGACCCGGCTGAAGAAGTTCATGAGGATGAGCTGCGAGTCGCGCTTTCCGCGGTTTCCGGGCTTCTTGTCTCGGACTTCGTTCGGCATACCGCATTTCACGACGATGATGGTGGGTGTGCGATGGCCATTTCGAGATACTGCAGGATCAGCAAGGGCCCTCTCATAGTGGTTTCGGCTACTCCCATTCCGCCGTTCCTCAATCAAACCTATCATCTGCCTAACGAGGCTCTTGACTCACCGATATGCCCCGCATAGATCATCGCCCGATTTTCCCTCTTCGCACCACCTCCTACCGCAATATACCCCATCGGACTCGGATTCCCAAACCGCGGATCCGCATCCAACATTCCCACGCAAATATCCGGCGTCGACTGCTTCTCCCCTTCTCCCGTGATCATCCCATCACACACGATCCAGATCAACTTGCGATGATCCGAATAATTTGTCGCCGCTATACTCTCGACCGTCCCGCGGACCGAGTCCTCGCCTTCCGAGTAGCAAGTAACGAGGCAAACTGCGAATAGTTCCGGACCGATGCGCGCGAGCGACATGGTCGGCTCATTCGCCAGCGAGGGGTTGTTGACGAGGGTAGAGGAAGAAGAATTGGGGAATCCACCCTTCTTGCCCAGCTTGTTGGCTCCCTTCTTGTCTGCCCATGGCGCAGTACCCGCCTTATTGTTGACGCTCATGCTGGCGCCTTCAGGCATGACACTGGGACTGATGCCCTGACGCGCGAGGTTCTTGGGCGGCAAGACCAGCCGAGCCGACATGAACCAGTTGAAGATGCACGCCATGGCGAACCGGGCGAGGACAACGGCGAGAATGATGATGAGGGAAGTGTAGAGGAAGAGAGAGGCGATGAAGCACCCGGGTGTAATCTTGTCGATCCGGCCGGCGAGGTAGCGAGATGTCAAACACGGCAGGGCGTCCTGCGTCGACCGCCGATTGTAAAAGAGCCGAGTGGCGTCTTTGCCCGAGGTGCTCTGATTAGAAAGCACCTGCCGGATCGCCCGGTCTACCTCGTCATCAAGGATAGCGTTGGGGTTGGCGGCGATATAAGGTGACATGTTGAGGACGACGCCATCGACGACGAGGTAGTTGGGCAACGCGGCCACCTGATCCCAAGAGTACCCCTCCAGAGCGGAGGTGTTCTGGATTTTGAGCGCGCTGAAGGTAGCATCGCTCAGCCTGGGGAGAGGACAGGCCTGGAGAGTGCCCGTTTCTCTGACACCGGGTGTAGCGGTGGAATTGCAGAGTGGGGTGGAGGCATACCGAGCGGTCCCGGTACACTGCGGAAAGTCGGCGGCCGAGCGGAGAAAGAGGTTGGTAATGTCCTGTCCGGGCATCTGTTTGGAGATGGCGTAAAAGTCGACTTTTGCTTGGGTAAGGGAGGTGGAGATGTTGAAGACGTAGCCGTTGACACTTAGTGTCGCTAAGGATTAGCTCGGTCGGCATACCTCTACCTTTAGCTGGGGACTTACCAGGATTGCTCCCTAAACGCTCAAACAGATTATTCGACTCCCCATCCGGACATAACGCCCTCTGCAATCCCATCGTCGCGAATCCCACTATCCCTCCCAGCATGACCGCTATCCAGCACAGCGTAATCTTCTCCCTCCACGCCTGCCGCGACTGCCTCTCCTTGATCCCAAACCACCCCAACACCACTGGCGGCGCCCACCACGTCGTGGCGTAGCTCCATATTCTCCACCAGTTGAGGCTGAAATCAGGACCTGTAGGAGTTTGGGGAAAGGGCGAAGAGGGGTCCGAGAAGGTCGTAGGGGGCGGAGCGACGAGAGGGGCAGGGGCGATACCTCTCTCTGGGCGAGTAAGGGTTTTTGACCGCTTGACCGAGGCGCCGCGAGCTGGACCGCCGCTTGAGGGGTCGGGGGAGAAGGAGGAGGGATTGAGCCTGGAGGATCCAATATGATGTCGTGTAGGGAGGGGTTTGGAGGATGTAAAGGGGAGAGGAACGTCCTCGAAACGGGCCGGCATAGCGGGTGGAGAGTGTGAGGGATCCGACGATGATGTTATCTACGCGCAGATGTGGCCGTCATGGGTCCGAACGAGATGCGTGCCGTCAAGATAGGAGTGGGATGGTGGAGAGGAATGTGTCCGGAGGCGAGTGCGGTAGGCAAGGTGTCCGGCCAAGCGCGTGGTGCGAGTAATTCGGGCGAAAGGCGAAAGGACCAGCCCTGGACGGATGAACGTGGAATACTACTGAAGAGATGGGGCGTGGAAAGATCGTCTATAGATGAAGGAGCGTGGAGGAGTTGGCGTGCTATCGAAGCAACCGAAGTTTGTTCCCTCGGGCCTCCCTCAGGGATGCGTGGGGCAAGCAAGCAAGGTACAGTAGGCTCGTTTCAGAGCTGTCAAAACTCTCGGCGAGCTATGATTTTTCCGGTCGATTCCTGCACAGCTTTTCGCGATATGAAGCTGTCTGGGCGTCGCTGTGTTGTCGTATTAGGTCGTCAAGTCGTGCAGAATATTAGTGGTGAAGAGCCGAACCAGCCCAGGAGATTAGTTAGAGAACAAGGTTCTATGCTCGGTCACACAAAGAAAGGGTCAGTTATATTAGCGGGATCAAACTCAGGCGCGTCCAAAGTCGCGTCCACAAGCTGATACAAGCTGACAGCTGTATACGAACCCTCAGGTGGATACATGGTACATACAGATAGATAGTAGTGATCCGCCCAGAATGTCCAAAGCTAGCACTATGATTCGCAGCCACTTTCCTGACCCACAGCTATCTGACTGCAACAGCGGGTCTTGCCGAGCCAGACGGCCCCGCCCGTCCCTTCCCTCTTCCTGCAGCTCCCCCTCCACCCGCCGCATCTTCCCTATTCTCCTTGTCCGCGGTATACAGCGCGTTCTGACTTCTTCTTTCCGTGCGCTATCAAATCAGCTCTTAATCCTCGTGCCGGGTCGCATAAGAGAAGCGTAGCTCACTTCGACGACACTGGTACCATCTCTAAATCGCGCGCGGAAGAGGACATTGGCGTTGGTGAACAGCCCCTCTTTGAGCGAGACCACGATGAACTGACTCCCCTTGAATCGATTCCGGAAGAGCTGACCGATATGTTGTGTATGTTGCAAGTCGAGCGCAGCGTCGATTTCGTCCAGAATGTACATGGGTGCCGGCTTGAACTGGAGCAGCGACATGATCAGTGACAGGGCGATGAGAGATCTGAGTTGTCAGCCGAGTTACATTGACGATAATCGAGAGCAGGACGTACCGTTGTCCACCGGACAATTCCGTCAGGGACGCCTTCCAAACACTGCCCAGTCGCACTTTCACCTCGAGCCCCTCTGTCAGATCCTGCCCTTCTGGCGGCTGGAGCTTGGCGAAGTTCCCAGGTAATAACTCCTCGAAGATGAGACCGAAGTCACTGTGCTCATCAGTACAAGCCTTGCGGTATTACGATGAGACCGGGGACGACTCACATGTTGACTTTCTCCCAGGTCTTGGCGAGCGCATCCCGCTTATACCGGTCTAGCTCCTGGATCGTATCCTCAATCATCGCCTTGTCCTTCAGGACAGTCGCCATCATCTTCTTGAGTGCTTGCTCTTTCTTCTCCACACTTGAAATGTCAGCTCTATACTCACGGGGTAGCCAGCCATACGAGGTAGCCAGCCCACTCACTTGTCAATCATGTTCATGACCTTCGTGTTGATCTTCCGCCCCATGCCCTTCTGGGTCGCCTCGAGCTCGCGACACTGTTCCCTAGCCTGGGGGAGGTTGACACCTTGAAAGTCATACGGTGTACCCGATTTTCCAAAGTATCTGTTATATCAGCCAAGCCCCTCATACCCGCTAAACAGAACACTCACCCGGAATCCTCCTTGATCCAGCTAAACTGCCTCTCGAGACCCTCCCGGAACGCCTCCGCCCCCGACTTCTCTTTGACGGCCGACGCGAGCTCATGCTCCAGCTTCTTGACCGCCAGCTCGGCATCCGATATTTCCCGCTTCTTCTTCTTGATATCCTTCTCGAGATCGGCTAGCTCAGTATCGAAGGCAATGAGGACTGCGCGTTCTGATTGGAGCTTGGCCTCGACGGCCTTGTAGTCGGCCTGCAATGTAAGCTCTACAGCTCCCAGGACTTGCTCGAATTGTAAGCTCACCTTCTGCACCTTGAGTGTCTCCTTGAGCGCTTCCAGCTCAGCCTTCGACTTGCCCGCTCCAGATTCCGCCTCCTCGATTTCTGCCTTTGCGCTCTCCACGTCGGTCTCGAGTTGTTCTGACGAGTCAGCTCTCAGTCCCCTCTGTCACAATACACAGATGGTGACTCACGAAGCTCCAACTCGGCAGTCTGCACCTGCTTCTGCCGACTCTTCATCTCGATGCTCCGCTTCGTCTGATCCTTCTTCTTCCTTGCTATCTCGGCCTATCGTGATCAGCTCCAAGTCCCCTCCATCATTCCAATTGTGTGACTCACCTTGATCTCGTTCAGCTTGGAGTCCTTGTTGTTCTTAAAATCCGCCATCTCCTTCTCCAATCGCCTGACTTCCGCTTGAGCAACTTTCTGCTTCTCTTTGGACTGATCCACGATCTGCTTCAGCTCCGCCAGGGACGCTTTGGCAGTCTCCACCTCGGCAATGATCTGCTCGTCAGCACTGTCCTGCTACCCCTGACTCCCCAGCTGCACTCACTTTGGTCGCATTCGACCCATTCACCTGCTCCTCCAACAACCCCACCTCGTGCCTCTTCAACTCCAACTCCCGCCTATCCTTCTTGGCCGCCTCCGCAACCTTCCGCCCACCCTCCAACTCCCTATTCACCTCATCTACTACCCCCTTGCACTGCGCAATCTCCCTCTCCACCTCCTTGAGCTTCTGTACCTGCACAAGCACGCCGCCCGAGCTCGGTGCAGCTCCGCCTGATAGTGTTCCGGACGGGTCATACACGTCCCCTTCGAGCGTGACGGACCGGACACCGACCGACTTGTTGAAGGTAACAGCTTGGGCGGAGGTCTTGTCGGCGCAAATGAAGACGTCACCGAAAACGTAGGCCATGGCGGCGGAGACGGACGCGGGGTGGCCGATGAGTGAGAGCGCGAGGTTGACTTTGCCAGGTGCGAGGTTCTGCGCTGCGGCGATTTTCTGTCATCTCAGCCTTGGTCCCATTGGTTTAGAACAAGTAGACGTACCTCTGCAGACATCTTGAACGCATTGATCTTATTCAAAGGAATGATCGTCACCCGTTTCCTCAACTTGCCCTTCTCCAGCAACATACTGCCGACTTTCTCATCCTCCACCACGACATTGTACAGCTTCCCGCCCGCGCAGATCTCAAGCGCGGTCGACGACTTGTAGTTGGCCTCGTCCAAGTCGATCAGGTTGGCTACCAGGCCTTTGACGAGCGAGCGGTCAAAGTTCGGATGTGGATCAGAGTAGGTGAAATCCGTGGAAGCCAGGCGAGACTTGAGATTGTCGCGAGTCTGGTTCGTGAGCTCATTGACGTCACCAGTGTCAGATTGAGTCAGCTCACCTCCATGAGATCCACCAACTTCTCCGAAGCCCCTCGTCTTCGCTCTTCCATCTCCCTCTCCCGCCCCTCATCCCATCCCGTCCCCGCTACTCTCTTCTCTAAAACCCCGACCTCCCCCTTCCGACTCGCCAATTCCTTCAACAGCCCTTCCCCCTCCTTGGCCGCCTTCTTCGCCCGCGGCTCCTTCTCCTTGATCTCCTTCTCCGCCAGCCCTATCTTCACTTTCGCCTGCTCCGCCTCCGTCCCTGCGGCCGCCAGCGCCGCTTTGGCTTCCGCCACTTGTCCCATATATCCCCCGGAAGCGCCTTCAGTGTCGGTAGCAGAGGATGAAAGACCGGTCAAGAGCGTCTGGAGCAGCTCTTCAATCTTGGCGAGGTCGGCAGCGGCGGTATCGAACGCAAGACGGAAGCCGGCGAAAGCGGCGGTCTCGGTAGTGGTTGAGTTACGCTTCTCCTCCAGACTCTTCTCCAGCTATATTGTCAGCTCTGCGACCAAAATGTTCCGGGCTGCGTTAGCTGATACACACCTCCTTGACAGCTTTCTTGGCCGCCTCGACCCGTTTCAGATCATCCTTGACCGTCCCCTCTTTGATATCCAGCTGAGTCTTGGTCTTGACCAGCTCGTTATCCAGCGCATTGACCGCGTCTGTCAATGCCTGTACTTTACTACCTTTCGCCATTTCCTGAGACCGTCGTCAGCCTGAACCACGATAAGACCTCATGAAGCTCACCTTCTCCCTCTTCGCCTTGATCTCCGCGACTTCTCCTTCCATCCCCTCCAACTCCCTTCCACCCCGCTCGACCTCCTCTCGTTGGCTCTCGGCATCTTTCGTCTTCTTCCCCAGGTTCTCCTCCGCCTTCTTCACTTTGTCCACCGCCAAAGTCCACTCGTACGCCTTGACCAGCCGGGTTAGACGTTCGAGCTCTGAAGTAGCTTTTTGATATTCGAGGTACGACCGCTTCTCCCCTCTCAGCTTCTCGAGCTTCGGATCAATCTCTTCTCTCAAAAGCTGAGCGTCAGCACGACCTCCATTACCTTCACTCAGCACACTCACACTCTCAATCTCCTCCACCTTCTTATCCTTCTTCCCCATAGTCTTGACCGCCTTATCCTTCCTCTCCTCAAACATCCTCGTCCCCGCCGCCTCTTCCACCATCCCCAAAATCTCCGCCGGCTTCATGTTCAGCACCTTTGTGATCTTCCCCTGCATAATGAGGAAGTTCGGATTATTGATATTGAGCTGAACCGACTGGAACAGGTTTTGGAGGTTCTGGAGGGTCGACTTGTGTCCGTTCAAGAGGTATTTCGAGATGTTGCCGACGGAGATCTGGCGCGTGACTGTTATTTCGGGGACATTCTCGAAGCCCTGTGGAGAGGTGGAACGGTCGGTGTTGTTGAAGACGAGAGTGACGGCTGCCTTCGTGACGCCCGCTTGTCCTCTACTGGGTCAGCTGATTCCCTCACGCACAGTGGAGGCAATCCAGCTCACCGCTTGTAGATTAGGTCCATCAGGTTGTTGGCTCGGACCTAAGATATCAGCGGGCGTTTTGGAAAGAGGCAAGTAGTCAAGAGAGCTCACAGATTGCATGTTCGTGATACCCAGGACGAAACAAATCGCATCGAGGATATTCGACTTGCCCGAACCGTTGAGCCCTGTGATGGCGTTGAAAGACTCATCGAAGCCTGACCTGTCAGTCACTCGGTTTTTTCAGGACCCACTCATGGAGCCTCTGGCACAACATTGCTGTCAGGCGCGGACTTACCTTTGATGGTCGTCCGTACAGGGTATGACTTGAAACCTGTCAGATGAGCCCGAGCTCGCTTCGTAGCCGCGCACTCTGCGGGATTTGGTCGTGCAATGACATAGCATCAGAATCCGATGACTCACCATCCAGGATCAGCTCCTCGATACGCATCACGTCTGATGCCTGAAGCCCGCTTGAGGCAGGACGTGCGGAAGTCTAGAAAGAAGCACCGGCTAATCCCTTCTGGCTCGGTCTGTATGAGACCTTCCGGGCTCTCCGATCTTTCAGCTCCACTTTGAGAGGAGGGCGGAGTGATGCGAGCGTGTGAGGACCGGTATAGCAGGGGACAACTGGTAGCAATCGAAATAGAATGAGAGCGAGAGCGATTTGTTGTTGTGAACCTTAATTTGTAAACGCGAAATCAACGCACGGTCCTCGACGCGTCGGCGCGTAAGCTTAAGCTTGAGGTGAGGTATTTACTCCCGTCACACTGCTGTGATGTGTGGGAGGAGCTCTGCGAGGCCTAGCATTGACAGCAGGCAGGCAGCTGGCTTTACAGATGTAGCAGGGCCCCGTGGACCTCTGCAGGCAAATCAGGACAGTGGAGGAAAATCAAGAGTGGAGCGTGGTTCCATCGCGCGATATTGGTACATCCGGTACAAAGCTCAAGAGTACAACCTGCGACTCAAGCCTGGATCCGCATTTCTTGGTCCTTCTCTGTTCATGTCAGCTTTACTATCTGCATACTCATAGCCTAGAAGTGGTAGCAGGCGAAGAGAAGGTGGACCAGCGAACGTACCGACGTTCTTGACCACATCGTGTCCCTGGAGACTGCTTGACTGGAGGGCGTCAAAGTGCTCGTCGGGCATGGAGACGGTCACGAATGGCATGACTAGAAGTGTCAGCAAGAACCCAAGGAGGTCTAGAATGTGCCATTGTCCAAGTTGACAAAGGAGTGTTTGGCGGTGCGACGATGTAGTGCCAGAGCGGGTGGACTGACTGGGAGAGTTGAGGTTGTCATCCTTGACAATCTGAGCGCCTGATAGTTTTAGCTAGCTGCTCGTCGCCTCTGAGAGATGATGACCGGGCGCGACGCATAGCTTACCTTTGCTCTTCAGCTCATCGAGCAGCTTTGACCTGTCTTCAGGGGACGAAGTCTTGTGAAAAGTGACGATGACTGCAGAGTTTCAGCAAGCAATTCTTCATAATCTTCAACGAGAGCTTGACAGAGCGATGTAGTCTGGCGTGCTGACAGCATTGCAAGTGCATCCGTCCAACGCAGATGGAAGTATCGGGTCAGAAGGTCAGGTCAGGCAGGAGTCAGGGGCGAAAGACCATATGAAATGTACACTCCTGCAAGCTCTAAGAGACTGACCGTTCTTGTGGTCTGCCATGATGTAGTGCTGGTGCAGTGACGCTTGCTGGTGGTATAGTTCAAGTAGAGAGATAATAGAGGCAAGTGGACAATTGCGAAGCGGCCTGGCCTCTTACGTGCCTGAGTGAGCTGTTATCGGGTCTACGGCATGGTGACGTCATACCCTGCGCCAAGAGCCAAGCGAGGCCGATGCCCGAGGTCCGCCCAGGCTGCTCGCTGTCGAAACCCAATCTGCGCCTCTGCTTACTCTTCCTCTCAACGTGGAACGTGCTCTCAACTTCACTGTCAGTATACCAAGCAACACTTACATCAACCATGTCGCCGAATCGCCAGCTCTCCTACTCATCCGCTCGACACCCGACAAAGATCCAAGAGGTCTTTGTCGGGATGGCCTTCCACTTCCACCCAGCCAAGGGCGACAGCAAAGGTGGAAGTTCTGCTGACGAGAGCAAGGGCAAGGAGGGGGATATGGAGTACACCATGGTACTGCATGATGGGACTGGTGTGATGGAGTCGGAGACGTTCCATCGGGACTTTGAATCGCACAAGGGGGAAGAGGCGCGAGCGAAAGCTGCGGCGGATTTCGCGGAGGAGGTGTTGGTGCGATTGATAGATGTGCAAGAGAAGCAGAAGATGGATGTAAGTCGTGTTTTAAAACTGATGAGGAAGACAGGCTGATTGCCGCTGATCAGGGTGCTGGCGGTTGCTGAGCCTCTTCCTGAAGAGCTCAAGCACCTCAAGGGCTTGGAATTCGCTGCGACGGTCTGGCTGCATCTAGATGCTATCCCGTATGTCTAGGCGCCTTGCGAATCGCCATCATACTGACTATCAGGTTTGTCATCGCCGCCCCTACCGCTATGTTCACTGGCCTGCCCGCGCTGGCGACGGACACAACGGCTACCGGCGCAATAAGCAGCGCACTCAAGTATCTGCACCCAGTACGTCGGGCTGCTCTGCTATGCACACCTATAATGGGAAGAGATGAGCTCTGGCTAAACTACAGGCCACACATAGTGCCACCACGGTCGATACGGATCCTAAGGACCACCAAGTACTGGTCGATTGCGATGGGAATGTGACGTTGTGCAGCTTGCTGCAATACCAAGAGAGCACATCCCCTGAGGTACGTCACGCCCGTCTCATCAAGTCAGTAGAGCAGACGACGCTGACGGGACAGCTCTGGAAACGCTTCCTCGCCCTCTCAGCACATCACAAATCCCACCACACCACCATCGCCTTCTTCTCCGCCACGCCTCAAGGCGGTGGAGTCGCCCTTATGCGACATGCGCTCATCCGTCTCTGGCGGCTGGTCGGTCTTGACGTCAAGTGGTACACTCCCGAAGGTCATCCAGCGATCTTTGATATCACCAAGCGGAAGATCCACAATGTGCTGCAGGGCGTGGCGGACGAAGGGGAGGAGATGAATGACGAGGATAAGAAATCGTTCGAGGCATGGACCGAGCAGAACTGTGAGTGGAGCACGGGGCAGCTTTATTGGGAGAAGAGAAGCTGATCTGCATAAGACGAGAAGTTCTGGACGCAGGGCGCAATCGATGCGGATCTCATCATCATTGACGATCCTCAACGTATGTCTTTTTCTGGGCTAGACTCGGGACGTGCAGTGCTGACGATCATAGTGACCGCGCTTGTTCCCATCATCAAGAAACATCGGCCAGATGCCAAGATTATCTTCCGCTCCCACATCCAAAGTGATCATATGTCCCTCGGACTGTCAAAGACTTATACCTGATCTCATCTAGTACAATCTGCTTTGACCGACGACCCTTCTACCCCTCAATACCGGACTTGGAACTATCTCTATAACTTCATCAAGGATATCGACCTCTTCTTGGCTGTGAGTAGGCGCTTGATGGACGAAGAGCACTTGCTTACCCGACAGCATCCGGTCAAGGAGTTTGTTCCCGAGAACGTCAGGGAGAAGCTTCCTGTACTCTATATGGCCCCTTCAACCGAGTAAGCCTACTTTCAACCCTCATGGATAGCGCTGATCTTTGCAGTCCACTTGACGGCCTGAACAAGCCGTACGGGACAGCATCGGTCCAGTACTTCCGGCAATACTTCAACCACTTTGCGTCGGAGCAAGGCGGAAACACGATCGACTGGGACAGGGTGAGTATCTCTTGTTTCCAGGCGTTCGCTCGGCTGATGAACCAGGGTTATATCTGCCAGATCGCCCGATTTGATCCCTCCAAGGGTACATCTCCTCTTACGAGGTCTAACCCGGCGAACGAGGCTGACTGAGTCTAGGTATTGACGTCCTGCTCGAAGCATACCTCCAGTTCCGGCAAGCGCTCGAGAAGCTTGATTCGCCACCCGAGAATGGCGGGCCGCAGATGATCATCATGGGTCATGGTAGCGTGGACGATCCGGACGGGACGAGGATCTAGTGAGTCTCTTCTGTGTTCCCTCTGGCCTTGGCAGCTAGCTGATGATGAAACAGCGAAGAGATCCATAAGGTCCGTGGATATTGACCCGGCTATGGTAGGTGTGACTTTTGCTGATGCCGCAGACATTGGACAAAGACGAGTATGAGCTGGTGACGACCGATGTAGCGGTCGTTCGTGCGCCTCCGAGTGACTCTATACTGGGGTGTATCCTGCAGGGTGCCTGGGTGGTAACTCAGCTTTCGACTCGGTAAGCCACCTCAGCGCCCACGACTGGACATGACTGACATTATCAGGGAAGGTTTCGAGGTCAAAGTCACCGAAGCCATCAACATGCGCGTCCCTATCATCGCCTCCGACGCAGGCGGGATCCCCCTCCAGGTCAAAAACGGCGAGAACGGCTGGATCGTACCTTCCGGCGACTCCAAAGCCGTCTCTTCCCTCCTCATGGACATCTACACCGGTAAAGAGAAGATCAAGCGGGACATCTCGTCCGACCAAAAACTCGACAACAAGGACAACGCCGAGTCGGACAAACAGGACGGCAGCAAGTCTGACCCGAACGCCTTTGCCGAGGCGTTCGTACGTGACTTTAAGCGGCCGATGATCCCCATCAAGGCGGACAAGGCGTCGACGTCCGAGGACTTCTGGACAGTCGGGAATGCTACCAAGTGGATGTTGCTCACGAGTCGGGTGCTGGGCCTGGGGATCGATGCGGGGCAGGATGGGGGAAAGGGGACTCGGGCGTTATTGCAGGAGATGGGAGTGGGGAAGGCGCTGGAGCGCAAGGAAGAGAATGTGTGGAAGATCGTAATGGGTGGGGATCTGGTTGAAGGGGAGGGTGCGATCAGGGAGCATCAGTAAGATCTGTAGATCATAGATGTGTAGAGAGTAGAGACATAGAGTGTGACTGGGCAATATCTGTAGAGGTTGAGATGTATGACTCGGACAAGACTCCCGGGCACAAGAGGCCATTCTCCCGATGAGATGTCTGATGAAAGGTCGATCGAATTCAACTAGTGTATACAACTTTGAGCACGGCGCTCTCTGCGTGCCTCACTTCTTCTTCTTCTTCCCCTTGGCCGAACCTGGTAATACGACCAAATCTCCGCCTTCTCCCGCATCCGCCCCGCCCGCTTCCTGTATCTTCAAACCAGCCTCCAAACTAAACATCAAATCCCTAACCGTCTCCTCCAGACCCTTCACTTCCTCCTCCTTCTGACCCCTGAGCTTGCCCTCCACCTCGACCTCCTCGCTCAGCCTCTTGACCCTCTGCGCCAACCCCTCACTCATCGCCTTCTCCGCCTCGAGATTCCTCGCCAGATCTCGAGCAAGAGTAGCAGCTTTGCTAGCCTTCTTCTCTGCCTTTTCCCGCGCAGCCTCCGCTTCCCGTAATGCCGCAGCGGCCGATTCGGCCTGGATGCGGAGGGTGTCGAGGTCCGCAGCTGCCGGAGCGTGTGAAATGGCTTGGGACTCGTAGTGCTGGCGCATGGCTTCGAGCTGCGAGGAGAGGAGGTAGGAGTATTCCAGTGTGATGGCTTCGATGGTAGACATCTTTTCTGCGTCGGTGGAGGATGGTCCGGCTTGGTCGTCAGGTGGAGTTGAGGTGGGATTGGCAGGGAGGGGTCGAGAGGCAGAAGCGAAAGGTAGTGGTCGAGAAAGGGCGGTTACGAGCGATGATGCTGATGGGAGTTCGACGAGCTTGCCGTCCGTCCGGGTCTGAATTAGACGATGGACATAGCTATACAGTCAGCTTTCGAGTTGCCGAGGACTCACTTATCCCCCTTGTAATCCCATACCCGTTGCGTTTCCAGTTCCATCGCCAGCACATGACCACTCTCTTCCCAGTGCCGCCTCGCATGCCCCTTTCCCGGCTCATACCGCCCACAGCCTACCACGCCACATACCACGCAGATCCAGTTATGCGTTGTGCTATCGCACATTGCGCATTTGGTCATCCGCAGAATCTCATCCCGCACGTTCGGCCCACCTGGTCTCGCCTGCTGTTGCTGTTGACCCGAAGAGAGAAGTAGATGGGACACCCGGCAGACGGGACATCTCGAGTCGCCCCATTTGCGAAGACAGTCGCAGTCGAATGTGTGAGCACAGGGAAGAGTGACAAGTCCGGTGACTGTGGAGTCTAGGCGCTCGAGGCAGACTGGGCAGGAAGGGAGTTCCGTCCGGTCCGGAGAGGGAATACCGGTGAGCAAGCCAGAGAGCTCTTTTGCGCGCGAGGAGTAGACCGAAGGAGGGAAGGCCGGTATAGCGGTAGGAGTGGATGCCTTTTGTGTGCGGGAGGAAGGAGACTGCTCTATGCGGTGGAGTACGAGGTGGTGGATCCGGATTGGATGGCAAGTCTCGCGCGCGTCCAGCGTGGAGAAGGCGCGGCCGGTGAAGATGACGAGGAAGTCCGATGCCTGGAGTGGGTCTCGAAACTTGAGCAGAACGATAGAGCGATTCGGAGTAGTAGCTTCTCTGAGAGGCGTGAGCTATGCGCGTCTACTAGACAGAATATTGTGCAACTCACCTGATCATACGAACACCCTCCAGGCATGTTCCCCATCCACCTATAAACTCGAGAAAGTCCGCCGGACGCATCCACGCCGGAACCGCCAGTATAGCAATCAGACTCCCATCTTCCCCTTCTGCTTTGTCACCCGCCCATTCTCCTCCTTCCTTTGATGCCATCCGGCTTGACTCGCCCACCGGGTGCGCATCCAGCGACGCGATCAGGTTCGACGGCGGTGGGTGTCGAAACAAGTGCACCACGCCCCGTCCGACCTGGGTCACGCCCTGAGCGACCGACGAGTCGAGCGGATTTGGACCGGGAAAGTGAGCGAGGAGGGGCTGAAGCGAGAGGTCATCCGGGCTCGGTCGCTTCTTCGCCGAGGGCTTCTCAGTCTCGCTCGACCCAGCCGAGGCCGACCCGGGCACGCTCCGACCTGAGACGCCATTCTTCCGCCGAGCTGCCGAGCTGGGCCTGAAGGCCGAAGCGGACTGAGATGGGTCCCCCATGTCCGAGCTCTTCTCGCGCGTAAAGTCGACCCAGTCGACCTCGATATCGCCTGAGCGCCAGTCTGCAGTTCCCGATGTGAGGTCTTCGCTGGAGTCGGGTCGAATAGCGATGATGATGGAGTAGAGCTGGTCGCGCGTTGCTCCACCGGCTGATACCATGCTATCTAAGCATGATCATCAGTTCGAGGTAGATGTATGGTTGCTGAAGTGTTCGACGGACTTGGGTGGCAAATCAGGTGGAATTTCTGAACACCTTTCCTGTCTTGCCTCTCTACCTCTTACTTGAAGCTATCAATCGCTCTTAGCCATAGCCAGGCGCTGCAGAGCCAGCATGGTGTTCATCACTGGACTGGCGAGCTGTTCCCGCTCAATTCACACGGTATCTCCATCGATGTTGGACGCAGCCGGGCCATTCCTCCGCGGAAGACCACATCGATCATTCCGCTCACCCTTCTCTACTGGTCCACCACCCGCAGCAAGACAGGTCCTCGGTCGCATCACACCAAAGAGAGTAGCTATTCCCATCTCACCAGGCAGTGGTATCCCTCGAGATGCCTCATTACCTAGACCGTCGATCTGGAGACCGATAATCGTTAGTCCACGTCGCCATCCAGACGGCGGTGGGTCAACGCTGACTCCCAGTTCTGCTTAGGCTTCGGCGGCGCAGGCTACGTCTTAGCTGCGGCTTATACCAACGCCGACACCGAGAAATGGACTTCGAGGCTGGGATCTGGGGGAGGGTGGTTCAGACGGGGTCCGATCGTTACCGACCAGGAGATAGCTAGGGCGAAGCAGGTCGACGCTGCCAAGGTGACTCCTGCATGTGACTCCGGATACGGCTTAGCTCACTTTATCAGCAAGCCCAGATCACAGTCAACAGACTGCCCCAGACCTTGTCGTTCCTTCCCAAGGTACTCCTCGTCCCGATCCTTCGGATATACGTTACGGTCGAAGAGTACATCCTCAACACTCCGCCTGCACGGGTCGTCCCGATGCAGGTCGCTGCTGGAATGGGAGTGGTGTTCTTGGCATGGCGAGTGGGGAGATGGGAGCCGTTCATGCGGAAATGGTTTCTGCACCGGCCGGTGCTGTTCACCGGCGGTGTGAGGAGGGAATGGGCAAATTGCGTGACGCTGTTCACTAGTGTGGTGAGTCTTGAGTCGAGTTCTCGGATCGAAGCCCTCGCTGACTGGCTAGATATCACATCAATCGTTCGCCCACTTCTTCTTCAACTCATTCGCCCTCACCTCATTCGGTGCTGCAGCCTACACCTACCTCTCCATCCCCACCCCTTCCGACTTCCCCATGCCCACTTCCACCCACACGCCCCACTTCCTCGCCTTCTTACTCGCCGGCGGCCTTTTCTCCTCCCTCGCCAGTCATCTCTGGACCAACCTTGTCCGCCTTCCCCGCTTACTCCGGACTCTCGCCTCCCCCGCTCGATTATCCTCCGCACAGGCTCTCGCTTCGCACCAGGCTATCTTGCCCTCCCTAGGGGCAAGTGGAGCCATCTATGCCGCGCTGACGGTCACTGCATGCGCATTCCCGGATAGCAATGTCGGTATTATTTTGGTGCCGTTCATCAGCTTCCCGATCTGGGCGGGCGTAGGGGGGATGATAGCGCTGGATCTGGTCGGTCTGATTAGGGGCTGGCAGTGAGTGAACAGCATACGGGTCATTGCGTCGCGCTGACATGATAGGATGTTTGACCATGTCGCACATTTGGGTGGAGCAGCGTTCGGGCTGATCTACTACACGGTTGGCCGGGACGTGTGGTCCTGGGTGAGGCGGACGTTGGGGATGGCGGAAGCCAGATCAAAAGCATGAGAGTCCAGTCAGGGTCACGTCCTACATAAACAGCTCTCTCAGTTTCACAGAGGTATTTGTCATCAGGCGCTGAAACTACTGATCACAAGAAGCTCGTACTGATCGATACTTTCACTTATTCGCTGCGGTAGGGCACGGACCCTCCTACAACCCTCCATCCATGGCCAGTGCGAGTAGCAACAGCAGTGGCGTGATCCTGATGCTGCTTCGAGTGTGTGGCTGCAGCAGGCCTCTATGCAGGTCATTATATGGGGCTTACGTGAAGGCACCGTCTGGTCGACGCACGGATCCCTTCGCTGACTCAAGGTCGTGGGTACGGCGTGATGAGCTACTTATCGAACGCACGTCACCTGGTGGTAACACCTGAAGATCGAGGAATCTCTCCAGATCTGCGTTCGAAGAGGTGTCTGATCGGTATCCGGTACAGCTACCGCGAAACTCGCGACTCAATGCAAACTTGCAAAGCAAAGTATGCATCTGAGCATGGGGGAGGGTATAGACACGTGACCCGGAGAGGGAGTCGGTGACGTCTAGACGACGGAAGCAGGATTCGCGCTCGCAGCCACACTCGTCGCCAGGTAAGCACCGGCTGCTTGAGAACCGTTTGCGGCCAGCAGATTCAGCAACATTTCGCTGAGCGGGTAGTCTTTGAGCCCATCAAACACTTCCCTCGAGATGAAGATCCCGGCGCCTGCCCCGAGCGCGAGATACCCCGCAGCGCCCACATTGCACATTGCGGAGGTGGGTGGGATCTCCAGTGCGCAACGCGTGCTGCATCTGGGAGCAGACGGCAGCAGAGAGTCCGGCCGAGACGAGAGTCAGTGCTGCGATCTCAAGGAGCCCGGTGTCTGGATGGAGCGAGACGGACCATACCCATGCAGGCGGGGCGAGAGTCCAGGCCATCCTGCTGATGGTTTTCTGAGTGTGCGGATCGGGCTTCAGGCTGGAGAGAAGTTCGGTAAGGCGGCTCCCCAGATCAGTGAGGGTTCGGAAAGTCTGGGTGGGCGGGGCGACTGAAGTCAATTCAGTGGGGTCGGGGCGGACAAGGAGCTGGATAGCTTGACCATCTTCGGCGGGGTCGCTCATCTGATCAGGAGCAGGCTGGATTTGGGCCCAGGTAGACAAAGGCGATGCTTGGAGCTGGAGGTGTGGCAAGGAGGCCGGGCTGAAGGGCGAAAGTGCGTTTCTGGAGTGCTAGTGGCGAAGGAGACAGGAGGGGGAAGGTGACCTAGCCTGAAAAGGCAAACTCCCATGTCGGACTTCCACTGCTGCCCCTTCAAACACCTCTCCGCCTCGCTGTCAAAGGAACTGGATAGTATCTTCCAGTGTGGGGCACTGATACTCTCTGAACAAAACACCACCTCATCCTTCTCGGGCCGTTGATACGATCGCGTTCGCGAGGCTGTCGCCACGTTAATAGAATGTGCCACACCAGTGGCGGGGTCGTTCTGTGATATACCTAGTCTCATGCAAGGGGCTTCGACACGCCAACCCCCAGCATTGTACCCCCGCACGCGAGAGACTCCTCTGGCTGGCTTGCCCAATCCGCCTCGCACTGGCTGCTGGACCTATGTATTCTGAGGTGGGTTCCTGGTGTTATAGCTTGAGCATGATTGCCACGTGGGAGATGTTGGCCTTTGTTGTTGTGAGTTCCACCCGGACCGCACCGATCTCGCAGCTTTTCCGGCTTTCTGCTGCGATACTGTGAGCTCGGGACGATATCAAATCGCGTATGCAGCACGAGGAGTTGCAGTACTGGGTCGGCCTCCGTTCTGCGGCTCAGAACAGCTAGGCCACAGCATCAGCGGTTACAACAGCGCTCGTTCTCTGGGCTCCATCGGGGTCATCGGATTTGTTGACGCATTTCGCTTTCAGGGTCTTTAATTCGGTACGGTAACGGAACCTGTCACTCTGCTCCTTCACTCAAACCTGCTAGACACTGTATTGTCCCTTGTTGGTATCCATCTAGTACACAGCTAGACAGGTCTGTAGTCCTCCCCCCCTCCCCACTCCCGACCCACCGCTCGGCGCGCAAAAGCGGCTTCGCTGGACGGAAAGCCACTCGCAGCGAAACTCGTTCACCTCTGTTGATTTCGGACAGTTTCTCGCCAGTCAGCCCAGCTGAGACCACCAATCCGGACAAGCGATCTATCTCTTCCTTTAGCTTCTTACCTCTCCTTCATCTACCAGTCATCTGTACATAGCATTGGGGGAGCTCGCTTCTTGGCCACGTCCAGAGCATGGCAGAATTAGAGACCAGCACAGAGGTAAGTCCAGCTTTCCAGCTCCAGCTGTCCGCATTCCTCCACCACTGCGACTGCGCTCCACCCATCCCTGCACAAAGCCCCATCTCTGCTCAGCAGGGCTCCTGTCGCCTCGTCTACCCCAGCCCCAACTCTCTCTCGCCCACTGCGATACAATCTCAGCAGCCCACCTTTGACATTGGTGCGACTCTGTTTTGTTTACCCTGACGTGGAGCGGGAAGGAGAGGCTGGTGGCCTTTGTTTTCACGTCAACACTCCTGCCTTTCACTCTCTTTCCTTTCTTCATTCTCTTGAGCTCAAACACCACACCTCTCTCTACACCTTGCCGAGCTTGCGCAGTCGGTCATCCACCTCTTGGGCTCGCTGGTCCGCAGCTTTTACTTTAGCTGATCCATTCCAGCTAGTCAATACATCGTCATTCTCCATCGACACTTCATTCTACGGTGTACCTCTCGAGGTCGAGTACAGATCCGTTATGGTCGGCACCGGTACACGGGCGGCCGTTGGTGTCTCTGTGCGTATTCACTTTCTTTGACTGCCTTCGGACTTGGCTGACCAAGCAATAGCAGCCCATCCGCCAGTCCCCGCGGAAAGCCTCCCACCCCTCTGCACCCATCCATAACGCTCAATCTGCTCCACTGGCTCCAGCACCGGCTCACCTCCTCCCAACCCCACTCTCCAACTCTCCCTCCACCTCATCGCTCAACACCCAATCCCGCTACCCGCCCCATTTCGACCAGTCTCACCCCATGCACTTTGCGCCCGCCCCACCAGGCCCCGCTTCTCTCTCACACTCTGTCTCCGTCTCTGCCCGTGCCTCCACCGCCCTGTACACCCCGCGATCGCCATACCGGCCCGGAGAGTATGGCCGTGTTGATCGCCGACCCGAGACCACTAGCGAGCGGACCAAAATCGAGCGGAGGCTGTTTGGCGAGGATGAAGACGAGCTCATGAGAATGCGCGAGGAAGAGGAAGAGGAGGAAGAGGGGTGGAAGCGAAACCGAGGTAGTAGTCCGCTGCAGCCTGCGTTTGAAGCGAGGTTGATCTTGCGGAAAGGTGCACCGGTAGATCTGATTTCTTGGTATGTTCACCTTTCACCTCGTTCTCGCCGTTGATAGCTCCCGCACCTCCACCTTCCCTCGGATTCAAGAGGAGGACGGAGCTGACCTCCAGGCTCCGACGTAACTTCCATCACATCCCATCCCCATCCCACCCCTCGCTCACGTCCTCCACCTCGCTACTCGCTATCCGCGCCCTCCTCGCTGAGCGCTTCCCTCGACTACCAGAGTCCGAGGAGCTCGTCAAGGCCGTCACTGCTGCCTTTCCCCGCGTGCACATGGACTACGGACCGGTCGGATCAGAAGAACCACCGATGATCCGCGGTTTGGTCTGGAACGGTAAAGAGACGGTTTACGAGGACGTCAAGGGGGAAAAGGAGAAGGAGAGGGAGAAGGGCAGAGCGAGCCTAGAGGCAGCTGCTGCGACAAAGGGCAAGGGCGTCGCCGCTATTACCCCGGACAAGCGAGGCGGGCGAGGCCGACAGATCAACACCTCGATCGGCACCCAGCATGCTCAGGGCCATCATTACAAGAATGCCGCTCGACAGCCAACAGCCAACGGCTTCAATGTCAACGGGGCAGTCTCCCGCTCACCAACACAATCTACCCTCGTCTCGCCTACCACGTCCTCGTCTCGGCGTATCCTGCCCAATACGCCAGCCCGTTCAGTCCTGGAAGAATTCGCCGTTCTCGCTACACTTGCAGACAAGAGTCCAGTTCATCGGACCCAGTCACTCCCCGGTGATCGTATGGCCGTACCCTCCATGGCGTATAAGCTGGCCAGTATCTGCGACTCTTTCGGCGGCGAGGGCGACGGTGAGGGGGAGTCCAGCAACGCTCGGGCGTCCTCCAAGCGCAAAGCTAGCGCTAGCGGGGTCGGTGGGAAACGTCGAGCCAGCACCCCACCGCCAGGTCACGACTCGACCACGCCGGACAAGCTCGAGGGTCTGCTCGCTGCTGCGGAGACCATCGAGGGCTCACCCATGGCCTCCTTCCTCGACAACGATGGCGAGGGACGTGCGTCGGGTCAGCACAAGCGCCGTCGGACCATTGGCGGGATGGGTAGCATGCGGGAGATCATCGATGGAGGGTCTGGCCGGAAGGGCAAGGACATCAACGGGGACCGAGAGGGGTCGCCGGGCAAGCGGGGCGGGCCTAGCAGGATGCTTGGATGGGGCGGATCGGGCGGTCTGGCGGGTGTACCCGAGCACGGCGAGGACGAGCCGATGGGACAAGGCGAGGCTGGAGGAAGTGCTGCGGTGGCTCCAAAGGCGAAAGGCAAGGGCAGAGCTGCTGCTGGTACATCCGGCAGAGGGCGTGGTCGAGGGAGGGGCGGTAAAGCCAAGGCGGGCGGTCGTGCGCACGCCGACTCCAATGCCAGTCAGAAGTCCATCTCGGCCGTCTCGGCGCTGCTCCCTCCACCCATTCCCAGCGGCTCCAACACCCCCATGGACCTCGACGGCGGCGCGGATACCTCCGCCCTCGGTCTGGGCCTCTCCGACCCGTCTCAGCCACCCACGTATGCCGCCTCCGGCTCCGGCACTCCTTTCACCGGCAACCAGTCCCTCCCGCCTCCATCTCCTTCTACACCACACCCCAACTACCCGCGTGCGCGCAAGTCGAACGAACTCCCGACCGAGGGCTTGTACCCTGGCATCGACTGCAAGCCGCCGCACCCTTATCACGAGATGATCCGGCACGCGATCGAATCAGCTCCAGACAGGCGGCTTCAGCTCTCGCAGATCTACTCGAGCATCGCGGACCGGTTCCCGTTCTTTGCGGCGCTGGATGAGCGCAAGACTGCGGGGTGGCAGAACAGTATCAGGCACAATTTGAGCTTGAAGTGAGTGTTCTTGACTCATCCGACCACTCGGAAGCATAGCTGACGGACCAGGAAAATGTTTGTCCGCGTCAACAAGGTGGACGGTATCCCCGACGAAGGCGGCAAGGGCGGTTGGTGGACTGTCGAGCCTGGAATCCCGGATGAAGGGCGTCCAGGCCGCAAGTCCAAGGCTGTCGCGTCCGGTCCGGGCACGGTCGACCCGCTAGCGGGACCAGGACCGGCGTGGAAGGGCCGCAAGAGCGATGGGGACGTCAGCGCTGTTTCCGGCGAGGTGGGCAGCGTTCCGCAAGCCGCAACGCCGGCGCCTGCTGAGGGGGACTCCAAGCAGGCGGCGGCTGTGGAGGAGAAGGTGGAGGCGCCGCTGGCTACCGCGTCGGTCGTCCCCGTGGTGGGTGGGGAGAAGGCGGTGTTCGGTCCCGGGGTAGAGGGGAACATGGCGATGGGGCTCAACGCGGGGATGTAACGGCGAATAACGACCGCACTATCCTCAGCGGCGGATCCCGCTCTCCTCACATCAAAGACCACCCGCAACACCCTCATCATCATACATCACACTGTTCCCTTTACCTCACACCTATCGATATACCACAACCCTTATACTTCTTGATACGATCTCACGACCGCAATCAACCTATATACGAATCACCATACCACAACGAAACCTTGGACGTCTTTGAAGGAATTCATCTTGGGGAGGACGGAGGACGGAGGACGGAGGAAGGAGGAGGGAAGGCGGGGAAGAGGAGGGAGATACTAGTGTACTTGCGATCTTGTGTCAGAGGAGAAGGCACATCGCAGTTGTAGAAGATTAAATTAGAAAGATATAAAGGTCTAGGAAGGAAAGAAAGATGAGATGGGTTGTTTGCAATTTGACTGTGCTACTTCTCAGTTCTCACTCGAATCCTATTATTGTTGAGTCAAGGCCAGGCGGCGGCGATATAATCCTGCTCATCGGCATAGCTGACGGAGATGCGGCATTCTATGCTAACGAGCGCCAGCGCTGGCTGACGATGTTGGCGTGTGCACGTGATCTGAATCCTTTCGATCCGGTACGCGGGGAACACAAGGCCGACACCTTTGCGTTGTTCACCCCCCATTCCAGTCACACTCCTCCTCCCCGCGATGTCTATTGGGCCTCAGGAGCACACGGGGAGATCTTGCGGAGAGGTTGAGGCCTCTTGACAATGGATCTCGCTGAAGGCACCGTCAAGACTCATCAAGAGCTTGCCTTGTTCCTCACCCGTTCGATCTCAGACTTACTCCTGCGCTCAAACTTCACGGGCACACGGAGAGATCTTGAGGAGGAAACCCTGGGTGCATGCTCGTGCATGGGGCTCCCTTGTTGCCCACATGTCTCAAGGGGTCATCGTTCGCCCCTCCAAGGGAAACCCTGTTAAGAGGGGAGTCTCGGCCGCCTCCTTTGTGCTAGTTCCGTTGTTGAGACCTCGCACCTGATCTAGGGGTCCTCCATCTCCCATCTCTCCTTACAGGGGAAGGCTGACCGTAAGAGAGGGATCTCAGAAGTCTCCTTTGTTTTCCGCCTCTCCTATGTACCAGTCCTCGCCCGGTCAGCTCCCGTCCGAGCTATAAATATGGGCACCCCCGTGTATCCTGATCTCAATCAGCAGTCAGCACTCCTGCGCATCTCAAGACTATCACATCATCCAGCGACACCCCACGTACATCTACAAAATGCTCCTCTCACCCATCTTCGGCCTTCTCGCCACTCTCGCGCTCCTCCCTTCCGCTCTATGCGAAATGACTGAGCGCCAGGCCGAAGCCCGACTTATTGTCCGCAAAGATCGTGGTACGCGGGGTGAGGGCGTCGAATTCTACCATGGCTTCCGGTACCGGGCGCATCCCGGGATTCGTTTTGCCCTCGACAAGGAGGGCTATCCGATGGAGCAATCGTTCCAGATCAAGTATAAAAACGACAAAGGAGAGGCCCAGAGTGCGGAGGTGAGCCACATCCCTTTCTGAGCAAGTGAGACAAGAGGAAACGACTGAGACTATTTATAGTGTCACTATGACGGCAAGATGGATGAGGATGGATCTTTGGCCGTCTTCGTCATCGGCAACGGTGACAGCTACATGAGCCCTTGCTGGCACAACCACGGCGTCCAGATGATGTGCGATCCGGCACCCTCCTGTCAGCCCAACGGCGTGACGGACTTCTCGCCCAGTTTCTAAGGCGAGGTGATGTAGTCTCAGCCTTATAACAAGGTCTGTGACTGTGTAGGCATATTGTCAATGTAAGATAAATGGCGTCAAGTCGCGGCTAGTCCCACCGCCGCTTCCACACTTACTTGATCGTTCCAAGCCATTCCGCGGTAAATAGCCCTTGCTGACGGGCGCCGCTCTGGAGTTGTTGTGCCCTGGGTCAGTGCTACCCTTCATCGACTTTCGATTTGTCGTCAGAGAGCACGCAATGCCTACGGTGTCCGTCTCGCTGTCAGTGGCTGTGCCGAGCAGTCAACGAGCAGTCACTGAGATTCAGTATGACGGCATCATAAGGAATGAGGAGTTGGCCTGCACCCGGACCGGGCCGGTCTGACCCGCTCGGCCCCATGAGGGAACGCGGAACTGTTGGAGCGAAGATTCCGTCCACTTCTTGTACAAAACGTCTCGAAAGACGCCCTCACTTCGATCTCATCAATATATCCGAAATGACAGAGAAGCTCATACTGATCGGGACCCACGGTCACTACATCCATGCCCTGCTTTTTGACCCGGAGAAGAAGACGCTAAGAATGGGCACGCGGTTCGGGGAGACGAGCAGGGATCCTAGCTGGCTCACTGCGCACCCGTATGTACTGTCCCTCAGCCTTGCCTCACCATATGTTGACAACATCAGAACACTGTCCGATGTGATCTATGCGAACGGACACGTCTACGGTAAAGTCTTCGCTCTGCGCGTGACGGATAAGGAGGGTACGCTGGAGGTCATGAGCGAGGCTCAGTCAGGCGGGGCCGGACCGACGCATATTGCTGTACACCCTCAGGCTGGGATTGTGATTGCCCATGTCAGTATTGCACTCGATAGTGGTCTCCAACACGCCTAGAAGGAGCGATTGCTGATGTGATCAGTACAAGACCGGCAATGTTACAACACTCGCGATCTCCCCGACGGGTGAATTCCTGACCACAATGTCCAGGGGAGGGATCAACTCCTCACCCACATCCAACTTCGATCCTCTTCAACACTTCTCGGCCCTTCCCGCCACCCCCGACTTTGCATTCCATCCCCGTCAGGAAGCGCCTCACGCGCACCAGGTCGTCATCCACCCGCAATCTGGGGACGTCTTCGCACCTGATTTGGGGTCGAATGTTGTCTGGCGACTGCGGTGGGATGTGACGAAAAGGGAGCTGCTGCCAGTCTCTGCAGGTGCCTTGACTGGATTCTCGCCAGGAGACGGGCCGAGGCATTTGGTGTTCCACCCCGATGGTAAGCTGTCCGCCCCTCCCTGTACCCTCGTCTCGTCTCCTTAGAGTAAAGTGGAAGCTGATGGATCCCCAGGCAAGTATGTCTACACGTTGTGCGAGCTATCATCCGACATCGTCATCCACTCTCTCGACAAGCCCTCCTTCCCTATCGCCCGTCACTCCATCCTACCCTCATTCGACCGGTACCCCGCTTCCCCTCGCGCCGAACAGATGCTCGCGTCCGAAATCGTCCTCATCCCATCCCCATCCGGAGGGGAGATGCTGCTCATTGCCTCTAACCGCGACTCGCCTAATCCTGACGGAGACGCGCTTGCGCTGTTCACGGTCAGCTCAGACAACCCGGGACAGATCAGCCCGGCACAGCATCAATTCGTATTTGGTGCAGGCAAACATCTGCGGGGTGTCGCGGCGAATAAAGAGGGGAAGTGGGTATGCGTGACGAGCAGAAATCCGGGCGATGTCGTGATGTATGAAAGGGTGGGTGATGGGAGTCAGCTGAGGGAGGTGGCGCGTACGTCTTTAGGGCGGATCATGACACCCGTATGTCCGCTATGGATAGAGTGATATTTTGTACGCTTGTGATGTACTGCGACGCGGATGAGCCTATCTCCAGCCTGAGTCAGCGGCAGGATAGCCATCAGACCGTTCCTACGGCCAAAGGCAGCGCAAAATTGCACCTAGACTGAATCGCGTGGTGCGTCAGAACAAAGTAATATCTGCGCCTCAAAATGACATTCCTTTGTCTATCGATATCCGCATCGCACCTCTCTGACATGTTCAAGTGCTACTGGAGCAGGCCCGAGCTGCCCTGGGATTCCACACTGCAAGCAGATCCGTCAATAGCCATGTCGAACATCCACCGCAAGGGTATCACCGGCATCCACAGCTGGCACGATCTACTCGCCATCGCCTGCGCGTTCGTACTCATCGCCGTATGTATACAGCCCAGTCTTATCTTCAGCCTCTTCGGATATAGTCAACATCGGTCAAGCGTATGAGCTGCGCGGTCCCGCACTTCCAGCATGTACCGATATGAGTGGGTTGATGAGAGGTACTAGGATCAGGTGAGCGTCTCGTGAGTGACCCGCAGGGACCATAGGAATGGCCAGCACTGACTTCAGAGTGATGAGCTTGTGATGCAGACACGCCCCTCATCCGCTCAGACAATCGTAATGGTGCGCATCAATGGCGAGTTTAGATATTGGATGACAGATGCAACCAATCTCGTTTGCCTGACCATAAGCAGCCCGCACGTACAGCAGCTACAGCAGATATTCATTTCACATACAAAATCCTCTTCATTCCGCCTGAACACCCGCCCCGTGGCCTGCTTTCCTTCCTACGACGAGCTACCGAACACCGAGAACCGCCTGACCAAGCTCGGTCCGTATTCTTCGTAGTCTACCCGAGAGTGCGAGACGTTGAAGAACTCGGGCTGAGATGAAGTCAGCTCATGCGTGTCTGTGATGCAGTCCGAGAGCATGACTCACGGTCGACGCCATCAGACTTCCACCGTACCACACAGCATACCGTTGTCTCTTGTGCGAGATGACGTTGACCTCCACACCGCTCGACTACACTGTCAGCTCGACTCGATCGCGAGTGGCTGTCGTCTAGCTCACCTTCATCAAGCTCCCGCTCCTCGTCTCACTGCCCGCGATTCTTCCATCCACAATGTTCTTCACGTCCCGCTGCAACCGCTTCCCAAAGTCCTTGAACATCGTACTTCCACCCGAAAGCACAATGTTCTTGTACAGTCCTCGTCGGACATCGATAGGACTGGTCTGAATGACGGTGTCAACGACTTCGGGGAGAGGGGTGAGGAAGTCGGACGAGTAGATTTCGGGGTTGAAGAAGATTTCAGGGGCGAGGAAGCGCTCGTATCCGACGTCAATGTCGTATTTCTGGAAGTCAGCTTTGGAGTCTCGTCGATGAGGAGGAAGCTCCTTACTCGGCCTGTCACGCTGTGCTCTCCCGAGAATCGCGCAAAGTACTTGTACGGGTCGGCATCGTACTTCTTGAACTCCTTGACGATATCCTGGCAAACGTAGGTGTAGTCCTCCTTGATCTTCTCGGCACTGCGCAGTGAGCATGAGTCTCGATCTGGCGAAATGAGAGACTTACACCCTCATGGAGTCCTCTGGCGGAATAGACGCGCTATCTCCTCGATCCCTCAGAAGCTGCTGAACAAAGCTGGTGATATCTCTTCCAGCAATGGGGACGTGCTTGATCGATGAGCCGATAACGTAGCCTTCAGCCTATTCCGTCAGTTCCGATTCCTACCCTCAGAGTCAAGTACCACGTACGACTGGGATGGTGTCTGCCACAGGTCAGCTATTTCTCTACATATCGGAAAAGAGAGGCGAACTCACGCGTCACACCGTCTCCCGAATCGATGACCACACCCGTCAGTGTCCTCTCGGCGACTTTAGACGAAGTCCACGAGGCAGCGAGAGCGAGCACAGCCTGCACGGCGATATACCTAATAAATCAGCTCCCCGCTAGCAAGACGTCGAAGACGGAGAAGCTCACAAGCCTTGCACGTTGAAACTCTCAAACATGATCTCGGCGGTGTTTTCTCTGTTCTCAGGGGGGTTGAGTGGTGGTTCGGTCTGTCGAGTCAGCTGCGCCGGCTTCAGAATGGTAAGGATACGCACAAGAAGGACGTAGTGGTCTTCTGGCTCGGCGCGGAGATACTTGAATATACTCTGTTCCCAGAATCGCTCCATATGATCCCAGTTCTCAATCTGACCATGCTTGATGGGGTAGTGGAGGTCATATGTCCTGCCCAAGTCAGCTTTGCCCGTCTGAACAGCCGACCACCCGCTTTAAAAAGTCCAGACTCACTTGGAGTTCACAACCGCCTCATCTCCAATATAAAAGTCCAAATCCTCAATCCCTCGCTTACTCGCCAGATGGCTCGGCTTGCCCGCTACAGGAGGTGGCGCCCGTCCACCTGCTGAAGCTCCACCGCCGCTGGTAGGCTTCGCTCCGCCTCCACCACCGCCTGCCCCGGCGGTCTGGTGTGTTGCGATGACGGTTGGAAAGACGAATGAGGGTTCCGAGTTACCGGCGAACCTAGCGCTTCAGCTGACACTCACCGAATCCATTCGCGATGAGTTGAGGGAAGTGGGTAGCTGATCCATTGCCCTCGCCATGGCTGAGCCAGCAAGCGAGATGCGCAGACTGGCCTGCCGGCTGATGGACCGCCATGTTCCCGAGCCCCTATCTCCTCGCCCTTCGACCTTTCGTTGATCTAACTTACCCCATTTTCGTGTACCCCGTTCCATTGTCGATAACGAGCGGCGCCTGACGAGACATGGCTATGTAATCTATAGGTCTAGTATGGGCACCAGGATGATATGACAACAGCAGGTAGCTTGCTATATGCGGGGGCGATGACGGCGGGGAGCTCGGTGAGCTGCGACGGAACCAATTTTGGCTCAGAGATCAAGCCCGTGCGCAGCATTTTTGAGGGCTCACCATGAAGCTGCTCTTGCTGCCACGTCCACCCATCAAGTAGCGTATGCTCGTCAGGCCAAGGTGCGTGCCCCTAAGGACTGACCGTTACGTTCAGCGTATCGGCAGATGCAAGACATAAAGGAAGATGATGTCATAGATTTTTCGTTCTTCCGTCCTCATCTCCGCCGGCCCGCCGCACTTCCAGACCTACTTCGGTTTCCGCCTAGGTCCCCTATCCGGACTAGCCGTCCCCCCTCCACCCGACAAGCTCGGTCTTCCCCTCTTTTTACCGCCCAGCGGCATGTCAGCCAGCCAGGGTATATGGGCAGCGAGGAGTGGACGGTAGCGGAGGAAAACGGCGAGGCCGTTCTGGTCTCGGAACTGCAGAACGATCAGCTGGGATCCCGATTAACAATTTGACATTTGGGCTTGATGATCGGGGTTGGAACCTACAGTCAGGCTGAGCAAGAAGCTCTGGGGATCGCCCTTACCGCCATTACGGTCCCAGTCGATCAATACGGCTGCGAGCTGCTCGACAGCCACAGTATCCTTCCAGCCAAGCGGCACGTCTGCGACCGCAGGCCCGGAGGGGGGATCGTGGTTGATAGGTCCAGATAGGGGCGACGGCGTCGGACAAGAGACGCTCGATAGCTCGGAAGATGAACGCTGCACATGTCAGCTCATGACCAAGCTCTCAGCATGTTCGGAGAACATCTCGCCAAGGGGCTACATGGATCAAATGACTTACCCGGGCATCCTTCCCCTCCAACGCCCGTTTTGTCCGCTCAGATACCGACCTGCTCGTTGGTGCCTCCGTCCGCACATCCATTTCCATTTCGACCTCCTGACCATCGATCACCGCCTCCGCTGACTGAGCCAGCACGACGGCTGCGCGCTCCGCCTCTGCCTTCCGCTCCTCCTCTGCTTTTCGCTCCGCCTCCGCCTTTCGCTCAGCTTCGACTCTTCGTTCAGCCTCCGCCTTTCGCTCTACCTCCAGCCTCCTTTCTACCTCTGCTCTTATCGTCTCCTGGTACGCCCTTCGCTTCTCCTCCTCTGCCCGTCTACTCTCCTCCTCATCTTTTCGTTCCCGCTCCGCTATCCTCTCCTCCTCCGCCTTTCGCGCCTCTTCCGCGAATCGCATCTCCTCCGCAATCCTCCTCTCCTCCATCCTCGTTTCCTCCTCCAGCGCTACCTCCACCCCTTCGGCGATCCCGACCCTGTAATCTCCCATATCCACCATCTCCCCCGCATCCACGCTCGCCTGCACCCAAAGGTGACTGAGAGCTCCCCGTGACCTCCGCCCCTCGCGTGCCTTGATCCATTGTACGTGCTGACGGTCGGTCGCGGTCTGACCGGGAGGTAAGGGAAGGATGACATAGGCAGCTTCGGCAGGAGGGAGGAGCTCGCCGCGATTGGCCATCTGTCGTGTTAGCTGAAATAGAATACATTATGATGGCGTAAGAACAGAACTACTCACTATAAGCTGCTCGACCTCAGCTTGCAGCTCGCCGGGTGCGACAGAGAATTCCAACGGGATTCCGGACATGACCTCGAACAATCCGCCGATTGGGCGCCTTCGCTCGAGGGTTGGGGCCGGACCTTGCTGCGCCATCTGCTGGTTCTCGACGTGCGGCGGGTGGAGCATCGCTGGGGAAGATGACCGGCGCGGAACGGGATCGGCGGCCTGTCCTGCCGACGAGCTGCCGTGGGTGGTGAGCAGCTCGTCCTCCTCGATCCCGATCTCGATCTCCATGTCCATCTCGCCCAGATCCCCTTCCACCTCAGTCACCGCCTCAATCTCCATATCCATCTCGCCCAGATCTTCCACCTGAGCAACCTCCCCGTTCGACACCTCCGCCTCTCTCTGATCCATCCCTCTCTCATCCGCCTCTTCCGCCCCTGACCCCTCAAGATCCATCTTCGCCTCCACCGAACCGGCTCCAGCGATTTCGTCATCGTCGTTGTGGTCCAGCGACGCCCCCCGAACGTTTCCCTCGAGCAAAAGCAGGAACTCCTCCTCCTCCATGCCGACGATTCCTGCCCAATCGTCCCCCATTTCCTCGTCCGACTCCTGCTCGTCTTGGCCCCCATCGATGTCCCCGGTCAGATCCCGCTGATGCGGCTCGGACCCGTCCGCTCTGTCGCCGGCGGAAGATGGGAGAAGCGGCCTGATGTCATCGACAAAGGCGTCGAGGGCGCGGTCGAGATCGGACGGGCCCGCCTCGGCCCCCGCCGAAGTAATGGGGTCAGACGGCTGATCAAAATCGAGCTGCCCTTGATCCGCAGGTGGACGGAGCACGCCGCCAGCAAGACCTCGAGGAGACGCGGGCCTAAGAGGAGGCGTATCGAGGCCGTTAAGATCGAGCTCGTCCTCTCCATCCGAGAAGACCAGCTGATCCGCGAAGTCCTCGCCTCGCGCTTCCGGCGCAGCTTCCGCCCTTCCTGGGATCTCTTCTACAGCCTCTCCCTCCCCGTCCGAAAAGATCAGCCCGTCCGCGTCTGGCAAAGCCTCGACGGGGTCGACTCGGTCGAGCGGTCCCGCCTCAGCCTCGTCGTCCTCCTCGCTGTCGGAGAACCGCAGCTCGGCGTTCCGTCCGCGAGCCACCTGCCGGACTGGCAGAGGCATCGGTCTTCCTTCCTGCTCGCCCTCCTCCTCTTCGCTGTCCGAGAATTCGAGCTCTTCGTCCTTTGTCAGATCGATGACGGCAGAATCGACCAGCCGAGGAGGCGAATCTCCCTTATTGCTGTCCGAGAATTGCAGCTCGTCGTCCTCTGTGGCGGCTACGTGTCTGGCTGGCCGGCGTAAGAGCGGGGAAGGATTGTCCTCCTCGTCGCTGTCCGAGAAGACGAGCTTTACGTCCTTCATGACCGGCGCTGGAGCCGACCGTCGAGCTTGACGACGACGAGGAGGCTCTGCGTCCGCCGCGCCTTCCGAGTCGCTTCCAGAGCTACTAGCTTCACCGAAGACTGCCGTATAGATGTCTTTGCATTGGCGTACGGGTGCAGCCGCTCTAGGGCCGACTGGGGGATTGGTGCCCATAGGACGTGAGGGACCGCTTGGTGGTGCTTTATTCTGGGGTGGTCTGGGTAGGGGGGTGGGAAGGGATACCCTCGGACCGGACGTCACGGGTCTGGGACCCGGCGCAGCCTCAGGCGCCGTGCCAGATTGACTGCTGTCGGTCCCGGGAGCGGACGATACCCTGCTACGCGGCTGGTATGCCACAATAGGCGCGGAGGAGGCGGTGGGAGGCGGCGAGGGGAGGTATCGCGATGGTCCGGCTGAAGGAGGCTGTAACGAGGTGAGAGGTGTGGGCAGGCGCGATGGACCAGCCACGGCCGACGGCTGGGAGACAGGAGGTGGGACCGGTGGCAGTGCAGGGGGCGGAAGTGCGGGTGGAGGAGGCGGGGGAATCTTGGTGACCAGTCTGGGATCCCAAGTTCCTCTGCTATGTCAGCATGTACACTTCAGGCCCTCTCGTGCTCGTCGCATCCAGCTCCAAGCTTCGAGGAACTCACCGAACTTCCCATCCCGCGTAAAAATCATCCCTCAGAACCTTCCCGACCCTCTCACACGCCTCCACCCAATCTGAGCGCAGCACGACCCCTCTGGGCCCATACGGCGCCGACACGCCCACAAACCCGCCATAGCGCGCCACGAGTCCAGACGTGGTCGTGTCCCCCTGCGGAGGGGCTTGCGGCACCTGTAGCACGAGCTTTCGGGGGTGGGCCCGCGGGGTATCGACGATGATGGTGGCTTGAGGTGTTGGGTGGGGGACGATCAGCCCGCCCCTGCACTACCAGAGTCAGCTCTCCTCGCAGGAGCGGGAAACAGCAGAGAAGACTCACCCGAACGGTGGCTGCATCACGTACGCCGGCAATAGTCAAGCTGTACTCGAGTTCGAAGTAGAAGGAAATGCCCTCGAACATCTTGGATGTCTTTGTGAGTTTAGAAGCTCGCTGAGAGCTCGGCTGATCTGCGCCTTTCAGCTTGGGATCAGCCAGATAAAGAGAGAGGGCTCACTGTGATTGCTGTCTAGGGCAGACATGTTCCAGCGCTGTCCGACTCCGACGATCATGATGGGGCCTCACTCTTGAAGATCCGGGAGGCCCTGATCGATTGCACTCTGGGCCGAGCTCTCGCGAGCGGTTTTGCCTGTCCTGCAGATAGTCGATGTGTCCTATTTAGCATGAGCTAGTAGGAGAGAAGGATGAGTAGGACGTCAGCGGTGTAGTGAAGCAGGTGTTCTGAGTACAGGGTGCCTGCAGTGTAAACACACACACCTCCACACACAGACCGTGCGCGGGCGTGCAGGCACGAGTGAAGGAGGTGAGACAAGAGGGGTCTCAGCTGCGGCATGGCTGGAGTGGATTTTTATCCCGCCATGTACATCAGAGGCGGTCGTTGGCCCGGTATGCGGAAGGCGAGATGCAGAAGAGACGAGTTCACGGTTCGAAGCTTGAGCTAGTTGGCAACTCGCCAGACGCTGCACGCACGGGACGAGCAAAAAGGTTGGGCCAACTATTGTCATGTGTTTCGAATCGACGACCAAAGGGCTCGCCGATTTTAATCCCCCAAGTACCCTTTCTGCCCGGCCACCCAATTAGTGATCGTTTGGCGATCAAGCCGCCCCGTCCCCGCAGCGCCGCTGAATGCTCTTCCTCACTCATCCACCCCCCTCCAGCATATCGGCGAGTTTTGCGAGCAAGATGCAGCTTGACTGGCTCTTCGAAGGGAAGCCCAGCCTCTCGGATTCGACGTGCTCGAGTGTGAGGCTCCCTGCTTTTGTGTGCGGTATGCCGCTTGGGTCTCGCAATCGGTCCATAGGAGACCGTACCAAGCTCTCATGTAGGAGACGCACAACCGCTACTTAATGCCGCCTGTAGCGAACAGTTACATCATACATATATAGTACAACACCCTCTCAAACGCAGAGGTCGATAACAGGCCACCCACCCAAAGCCGACCACAGCGACACCTCGTGCCCATCACTTATTCGCAGGATCGTAGTCCTTGCTAAAGTCGATACCCTACATGTCAGCTCGACCCTCTTGCCCAACAGCTGCAACGAAAGGGCAAGACTTACCATAGCCTTCATATGCGTATTGGTGATCTTTAGCGCCCGTGTCGATTTCTTCTTCTTTTTACCCGCTGGACCGCCGGGGATGGCTTTGAGGGGCTCGGGGACATTGGAGCTGGCTGATAGATCCTCTGTGAGCGCATCAGCACTGTCCAATTCATGGTCTTGATTGGGCAAAGTGGAAAGAGAGCTGATTGATAAGTGAAGGTGAACTTACGCTGAGCGAGGAGCTTGCCGACGTCATCCGTTCCTTCGATGGGAACGTCTGCCCAGAGATGTATGAAGTCTGGGGTGGTCAGCGCGCAGCTCCTATGACATACTAGAATACTAGACGCGTTGCATCGATCATGAAGCTCCAAGTCAAGGGCTGATTTCGAAGAGCGGCTCATCTCCATAGTCACCCTCCGCTTCGGACCCCATCTCTGCCTCTGAGACCCGTTCCCCTATCCTCGACCGCGACTCACCTTCATCCACCCTCTTCCCGGCTCTCCCCCTCCCCCTGACCTCATCCCAAAACACCCCCCTGATCCTAGACGCCCCCTTCTCCAAATCGCTAATCCCCAACCCCAGCCCATTCTTCCTCCCCAATTTCGGCAGATCCGAATGCGCAAACGGCCCAATCGCTCTCGCGAGCAACACCTCGCCCGTCTTTTCGAGGTCCACGAGCCACTCGACGAGGGGCTGGTCCTTGGTCGCTTCTTTGATGGTGGGGTCGCGGACGTTGAGGGATTGACGGGGAGTGGTGTGTAGCCGGATGTGCGTGAGGAGTTGGGTTTGGGAGGTTATGGTCAAGGCGGGCTGGGAGTAAGCTTCTGGCCTCATGTATGCCATGGAAAGGGACAGCGAAGCTCACGACGTAGCTGAGAACTTGATTGGCTTTGTTGAAGCCAACACGAGGGAGACCTTTGAGTAACGCCACCACATCGTTCGCGTTGAGTTCGGGGCAGTTCTCTTGCAGGTAGAAATACGCGTCCATGAGCGGCATAGTCCCTTTCCCCTGTTTGATCAGCAGCTGAGCACTACAAGTCTCGCTGTGGACTACCACGAGCACGTGCCAGCTGTACCCACCTTGAGCTCCTCTTCGAGATCCATAGCGGCCGACCTTGGATCTACAGTAATCACATTATTCACCATACCTGCTTCATCAGCCTACCTTCTAGGCGCCCTGTAGACTCTACTTTGCTGCCTCCTCATCTTGCCATCCTTCCTCACAGCAAAGACCCGCCAAAAGGGCAGAGAACCCACCCAATTTAGACCGCTTCCAATCCCCCGCGCCACCCCCTCCTTCCCCATGTTCCCGCTTCACCCCTCCGAACCCCTTCGCAGCCCCAGCCCCGGATGTCGACCCAGAAGCATACGCAGGGGTCGATACTGTCCTTTGTCCTGGACCAGGAGCGGGAGAGGAGCCTGTTGGCGGGTTGGCCCAGCTGGGTGTTTTGCGCTTGAGTGAGGAGGCCATCGCTGCCTCTGCGGGCTTGAGGCAGCTTTTGATGCACGGAAGCCGACGGGCGACTGGGCGTACAGCGCTCGATATTCAGGCGAGTCCCACAGAGATCGCAGGCGGGTTCGTCGTAGATGATGTCTAGGTAGCTAATGTATGAAAGACAGATGATGGGGCTGGGTGGGTTCTTGAGATGGGTTCAACGAAGGTCCGTGCGTTCACTTCTGTGACATCGGTCCTTCGTCTGGCCATAGGGAGGTCCAGCTGCTATAACGCGTATCTAAAAGGCTGATTGGGTAACTGACATGGAGTTGAGTAGGATACATAGGATTTATAGTTTACAACATAATATGCTTGTGAGTCAAAGCGAGTGATATCCCTCCTTCATCGAGCTGCCAGTCCCCCAGCCTCCCCTCGTCGCCCCCGATACTCGCCTTCGCCCCAGCCCGCTCCACCTATGAGCCTCTCCTACACGATCTCCTCAAAGTCATCCTCATCATCATCCTCATCCCAGTCTTCCTCCTCCTTCCCATCCTCCCCAGCATCTTCCGGATCCCCACCATCTACCTTGACCTCCCCCTTGACGCCCGCGTCCCTCCAATCCGGCCTCAGCTCCCATAGATCCTTGTACGGCCCCTCCGTCACGCGCACCGCCACGTCTCTGAGCACTTCGCGGAGCCACGCGTCGGGCTGGGCGGTTGTCGTTCGCAAGGCGCCGATACCCCAGTAGGGCTTCTGGCGGAATAGGCCGAAGAGGGTGTTGCGGAGCTGCGGGCGAGGGAGGCGGGTGGCTTTGTCCGCTGAGGGCAGGCGAGATGAGTTGGTCTATACATCAGCGACCAGCTGGCGGTAGGGTAAGCAAGGAGGTAGGAAGGAGGACGTACAATCATGCTGCCGCCCATCTTGCTGGTAACGTTCCCCCATCCCCCACTCATCATGTTCAACTTCCCCTTGTTGGTTTCAACCTCTTCCATCCGGATGACGGGGCGCCGAGCGTGCTCCGCTTCCAGCTTGCGCTGCTTCATGATGATCTTGTACTGGTCGTCGTTGATTGGGTTTAAAGAGCAATCGTGTTGGACCGGGCCGAGCAGCGTTGGATTTGCTACACGTCAGCATCAGCTCTGTATCTCCCAACATAATGGACAGAGATCTTCTCACCATTCTCCCGCTTCCGTTTCCCACCCATCATCCCCCCATCCATCCTCAACCCGCTCACACTCCTGATCGTCTCGCTAAACACCCACGTATTCTTCGCCCTCTCCTCCGGTACGTGGAGGTCATAATTTGGCGGTAGCCCCGTCAGGTCGTAAGATGATGACTGGACGGACCGCTCGCCCTTGACAGAGGGACCGTCGATGGAGTTGAGAGATTCGGGCTTGATGTCAGGTTCGGGGATCTTGAGGGAGATTTTCGGTGGGTTTGCCCTATACGTTCAGTATTTAGTACTTTGACCCGTACAGGGGTATGATTGAGATCCCATCTCTAGTGAGGCTTAGATACTCACGAGGAGTCAATAACCAGTGTCCCCAGATGAACACCCCCCTCATCCACCTTGATCCATTTATCGTAAACGAATCGAGGGATTCGGACTGCCCATATCGCGCCTCCCTCCCCTGGGACCTTTATCTGGAGCTGCTCCTCCTCTGGCGGCGGAGCGGGGACGCGGGGCTTTACGTCTGCTGCTTCGGTCATATTATCATAGTGTGTTGTAGCAGTATGAGAGGTAAGAAGGTGCATGGACTGCTGGGTACTCTGCTGGAGAGGGTTCAAGGTGTGCGGCGGCGATCGCCGAAACGCGCTTCTTTAGCGGGTTCTGAGCGACGCATTCCTCATCAACACCTATATCAAACTTATCCATCATATCGACTTGTAGCTCCAGGAGTAGCGTGTAGACGACCAAGGAGAACACGAGGACGCCAGATCATATCGTGTGGTACGAGAAAAGCCAGCGGAAATCGAGCCAAAAATGGACTATATCGAAAGTGAGCGTCGTCCCTTCTATGCGCGCCCCTCGCCCGAGCCTGGGCAGAGGTGTAGCCTTTCCTTGCGCCTTCGGTCTGCCCCAGCCCAGCTTGGAGACGGACTGCAGGCACTGACGAGTCTACTCCATTCACGAGAGAGAGACAGAGCTGATCCTCAGGCCTCGCCAAGCAGGCGCAACAGCTTACGGTGTATGACCTGAAATCATACTACAACCAGGCGAAAAATGCCGTCTTGAACGTCAGCGAGATGGAGGCCAAGGTCAGAGAAGCTACGAACGATGATCCCTGGTACGTCTTCGTCGGCAGGAGCTTGAAAAGACGCAGAGCTGATGGAGTCAGGGGAGCCAGCTCGACGTTGATGCAGCAGATCGCGGATGGGTGAGTGCACAGCTGTCGCAGACTTTATTTTGGAGTAGGGAAGCTGATCTCGTAGAACGCACAATTTGTGAGCTACCTAGATCTCCATCGATCTGTATAAGCCGCTGACCCAAACAGCCAGAACTTCAACGAAATCATGCCGTGTATCTACGCCAGATTCATGGAGTATGTCCCATTCGTCTCGGCTGTGCTCTTCTAAAGCTGATAGGAGCAGGAAAGAAGCTCGCGAGTGGCGCCAGATCTACAAAGTCAGCTCAACTATCCCGTTGTAACCGTCGGTCTCAGGGATCTAGCTTACCTTCGCAGGCGCTCACCTTGCTCGAATTCCTCGTCAAGAACGGCTCGGAGCGAGTCGTCGACGATGCCCGCGCACACGTATCGACCATCAAGATGCTTCGTTCGTTCCACTACGTCGACGAAAAGGGTAAAGACCAGGGTATAAACGGTATGTCCTTGCTTACTTGGTTCGTGCGTGACGCTGACGGATAGTCCGAAACCGCGCACAAGAGATCGCTGCGCTGCTAGTGGACGTCGAGCGAATCCGGACGGAGCGCAGGAAAGCTCGAGCCAACAAGAACAAGTATCAGGGGCAGGGGAATGACGGTGGAGGCGGGATGAGCTTTGCGACTGGGAATGGAGGGAGGTATGGCGGATTTGGGAGCGAGACGGTGGGCGGTGCGGGCGGTGGTGGAGGTGGAAGCGGTGGATTTGACGGTAAGTCCAAGTCACCTTCGGCGGGATCTCCAAGTCATTGCTGATCCTCAGACTATCCCGGCCGTGCACACCGGTCCGCCCGGGACCGCGACACCCAACATCGCGAGCAAACCCGCGAGCGCGAGTCGGACCGGGGCCAACCCCAAGATAACGAATACGACGAGTACGAAGGTGCGGACGATTTCGACGATTCCGGCGCTCCTCCTCGGCGACGCAGCCCCGCTGTTCCCGCTGGTGGCAGCACGCGTCAGGGCGGCAGCAAGCCCCAGCCGCCGCCGAAAGCTGCTCCGCCAAAGAAGGAGGTGAACCTCTTTGATTTCGGGGATGATGAGCCTATTGGAGCGCCTCCGCCTGTAGCGGCTTCGGCTGGAGCAAGTGGGAGTGCTAACATCATGAGTGGTGGTGAGTTGAAGCAATGAGACTTGGGGGGCCAGGACAACAGCTCACACTGTAGATGACGACTTTGACGATTTCCAGACCGCCCCTTCGACCAACGCCCCCACTCCCGTCCCTTCTTTCACCGCTGCTGCTGCCGCGCCGTCTCGGCCAGCAGGTGCGAACGCCAACCTCTTTGACCTCCTCAACGCTACTTCCAAGCCTCCCACCTCGTCCCAGCCCCCGGCGTACACCCCTCAGACCAGTAACTTTGGGATGATGGCCCCCTCCCAGGCTCGGCCCAACTATACCGCTACGGCCTCAACTCCATCTACAACTACCATGGCATCGGCAGCAGCGCCGAAGCCCAAGCCATCAGGCGGCGCGTCGACCTTTGACGATCTCTGGAATACATCTTTGTCGACCGTTTCGTCCGCCCCGAGCGGCAGCGGGGTGCAGGGCAAGCAGAGCCTGAATGAGATGGGGCAGCAGAAGACCGTGGATAAGCTATGGGGGATGGGGGCTTCTGGAGGCTCTGGGTCTGGGCAGAACGGGGGAGCGGCGGCCAAGCAAGGAGGGGCAGGTGACTTCGATGATTTGCTTTTATGAGCGACGGGCTATGGCGGGGGATGCGGGCGGGAGCGGGTGGGAGATTCATGATATGCGAGGCTGGATGTCAGAACGCGTTGATTTATGAGATGACGATGTCCTGTCTGTCTATGACTTGCGGAAGGGCGAGCAGCTGCAGCTTGTGATAGCTAGTTACTCGCACTCGAACAGACTCGAACAGTCCAGTCAGCTCTTGCATTCCTCATTGTAAACAAATCCATGCCGTAACTCGCACCGTAAAGCTTAATTCTGCACGTCAGTCAACTTTAGGGTTGTACATCTGCTTCTTCTACCACATCCCACAGCCATGCCCCCGATCCAGAAGCATGCGTTCCCTAATCAAGTCAGCGACATCTTCTCTGGTATCACCTTCTACATCGAGTCGAATAAAGACAACCATTACCGCGGGCTCCACAAGCTCATGGAGTTGATCAGGGTATGTAGGTCGTCTTTCCTTCCTTTGTGAAGCGACTGACACCACAGACCAACGGAGGCCGACTCTTCTCTGACCCAGCGCACCGCTTCGTTTCGCATATTCTCGTCTTTCGAAATGACCCGCCATACCACGTTGTCGATCTAGGCGATTACACCGAGACCCACCGTAAAACCTTTGCCGAGCTCGTTGCGGGTCCGACGTGGACGCAGGAAGACCTGGTCAATCAATTCTCGCGCCGCGCAGGGGCGGAGAAGGGACCCAGGGCGGGAAAGGTCGTTCTGATGGCCGGATGGATCACACTGTGCGTTGAAGCAGGGCGGCAGCGAAGGGAGGACGATTATTTGGGATATGAAGTCCGGTGAGTAGATCTTAGATCCGGGAGTCAGGAGAATTCGAGATCCGATGGAGAGGACGAGAAGCTGATATTTCAGACTCAAGTCACCTCCAATACGAATGACACCGGCCGCACCTTCCGCTGCCTCCCTCACACCTGCACCCAGACTTCCACCTCCACTCCCTCCCACGGCAACCGCGAATAAGAGGTCGCCAAGACGCTGGCCGGCTCCTCCTCTACCGTCAACTTCAGAGAGCACTGTAGCGGGTCCGTCGTCGCGCTCGGTAGCTTCCGCTCAGAACGCCGTCGCAGGTCCATCCCGCTCGGTCGACACTTGGCTTCCACCCCCATCGACAGATGACCCTCGCCCACCTCGGCACTCTAACGAGTACGGGCGACGCAGGTCCCCGGAACGTCTGGGGAGGGACTATGATTGTTCGCCGCCTCTGGAACGGCGATCCCTGTCATCACGCAGAGACGACGATTCATCCCGCATGGACAGCTATCTCCCAGTCGATCGCCCTGCGGACAGGCGGGAACGTTCTGCGAGGAAAAGCGATCGGGTCCCGGAGTACGGAGAGTCTCCCTCTTGGGATCGGCGGGGCGACCCTGGGGCGATGTCACCGTATCGCCCACGGCGGACATCCTTTTCGCCTCCCTTTCGGCCGAGGGACGTCTACGAGCCAGTCCAGACATCGACCGACGACGGTCAACGCGATCCTCGGCGGTCCACAAATCCTCCCCCACCACCGTCTCACAGACTCGACGGTCCTCCTTCGTCCTATGTCCTGACAACTTCGACCCCCTTCTGGACCCCAGGCCAACAGGACTCCCGTAGGTGGGGTTTCTCGCTCCGTCAGCAGCCCCATCAATCCTCGTCCTTACTACCTGCCGAATCCGAGGTCGAGCAGACAATGTCTACGTCTCATCCGGTCCGTACCGAAGCACCTGCAGGTGTTGCACCGGTGGCGTCGTCCGGAGTGGCGACCACACCTATACCCGGCTTAAGGTCTACGTCCTCACGCGCACAGCCCGTCCAAAGCGTACCTCCACCGGTGCTCTCGCGGTGGACCCCACAGCCCAAAAAGGAGTCAGTCGTCCCTGCGCAACCCACGCAGGATGCGCGTGCGGAAGTAGGGATGGGCAGTCAAGTTCGACCAGTCGCCGTCGACAGTGGCGCAAGGCCAGCGCAGGGAGCAGCTGGGGTCCAGCCCTCGCCGCGCCAGTCGCCAGCTCTGCAGCGACCAGCGGCGGAGCGCTTGCCAACGGGGCTGGTCCAGGCTGCTACTGCGCCTGGATCGTTCGCGGCGGCACGAATGCTCACCGCTGGTCCAACGGTACTACAGTCCGAGAAGGGGTCCACGCCATCATCACGCAAACCCCCGGCCTCGCAGGCGCCAGCTGCACCGCCCTCGACGAAGGCGCTATCATCCTCACAGCAGCGAACAGCGCCGCGCCTGCCAGGAGCGCGTGGACAAGCCCCGCCTCCACCTCCACCATCTGCCATTCGGACCGTGCTCAAACAGGAGGAATCGCCGGAATTGACGCCACCGCCTCCCTCTCGCGCACCGTCAGTCTCACGCGCTGTTCCAGAGAACCAGCGCGAAGCAAAATCATCCCCTCCACCAATCGCTATCAAGTCCAAACTCATCTCAATCCCCTCCAACATCAAGCGCAAGGCGAGCGCGAGCCATGCTCAAGGGGAAGCCTCGACCAAAGTCGCCGGACCGAGCGGGTCCACCAAACCAGCGGTCGTCAATCGACCACCGGCGGCGCGGATGAGCATGGGCGGGAGCAGGGAGTCGTCCGTCATCGTTATCGACGATTCGGACGCCGAGGACGGGACGGGCACAGGTGCATCGGCGAGTGCGGTAGCGAGAGCGGCAAAGGCAGAGGCGAAAAGGGACACTGTAACCTCGGCGAGGCCGAAGGAGCGCCCGATCTTGCCAAATCCAGCTGCTCCTGGGCCTGACCGCCCAAGCGGAGACGGTATACGGCCGTCTATATCAGCGGGCGCATCGGCGCGACGTCCCCCTCTCAAGTCGTCAAAATCATCCTCCTCATTCACTGCAGCAGCCGCTGCTGGGAAGCCTGCTCCTGCGCCTATCCCAAAGCGGAAACGGGACGATACCACGCCAAACTCGGTCAAGCAGGACATCAGCTCAGAGGATGAAACCCCGCTCTCAGCTAAGCGGAAACGATCGTATCACGATCTGGAGCAAGAGCTGCCCAAGGTCGCTATTCGGGAACGCCAGCTGTCTAATCGCATCGTCACGTCTCCTCCTCCACCTAGTAAACGATCCCGGTCCCCCGGTCCTGCGTCCGCTCCGCCTGCTGCGGCCCGCAGATACCCCGATTCGCCAGCCATCTCCCAGTCCGCGGAGGACGGACCCTCGCAGTTCTTTGTGAATCAGTCGGGACTGCCAATGACATTTCACGTCGTACTGGACGAGGCGGAACTGATGGAGCCATTGAAGCATCTCATCGTGAGTATCCTAACCTTCCTTTTGAGACTCTCGCTGACACGAAGACCGTATATGGGGGACGCTTGGTCGATATTGCGATGGCCGACCTTATTATCCTCCCCTTCAAAGCAGGCACGCTATCATCCTCCTCCTTGCCCGCTATTCTCGACTCAGACTCGCTCCGCGCGTGCCACGCCAGACCCCTCATCAGCCATCAATACATCTCGAAATGCGTACAGCAAAAGGCGCAGCTTCATATCAAGGCCTACCGAATCGATCTCGCCGCTCCCTCAGCTGGGTCAAGCGATGACCGAGGCGCTGGATCCAAGAGTTGGCGGACCAGCGAAAGCTACGCAGCAGACCTGTGCACTCCCGAGAGCATGACGGATCGGCATCCAAAAGTGGAGGATCGGCCGAGTTCCAACGGCGGGCGGGAATGGAATCAAGCAGCTGCAGGGCGGTCCTGGGAGGTGGAGCGCAAGGGCGAGGAAGTCATCCGCGTCTCGCCATCCGACGATGATCTGGAGGAGGGATCAGAGTATGGCGAGGAGGACGAGCTGGACAGTGAAGCGGACGTATCGGTCCCGCTCAAATCGGAGGTCAAGTCGAGCCTGTCAAATCCTCCAACCTCTGACTCGGCCAAGCCTGCTTCGGCGAGACCACCAAAAGTCAGACAGTTATCCACGGTTCGACCGGAAGACGAGGCGGACTATATATGGCTGAAGAGCCGGATCAAGGCGTGGGACTTTCTGGGTTCTCGGACGCGTTTCCTTGAATCGTTGAACACAATCGTGAGTTACAGGACAGCACGGATTGTCGAGGAGGGTGTAGGGGCTGAAGATCTGAACAGAAACCGCACAGAACTTGGGGATACTTCTTGCAACGATACCAAGTCATGTACGAGGCGGAGATGCCTAAGCTGCTTCACAAGGCGCGGGTTCATGCCAGGAGGCCGCGCGGTCGAGGGTGAATTTTACGCGGGAGCGGAAGAGGTGCAGGTCCATGCAGGTATCATGTCATATAGCACCCCTATGTGGGTCGGATGGGCCGTCCTTCATCCGTTTAATTGTACTCATGCATTTGACCTCGATGTCAACAAATTTGAGGAGATGACGTGACGTAATAGCATTCCTTTTCCTGCGCGTCCAAAGCTGCTTCATCTATTAACAATCTCTCTCTATGCTTCGCAGGGGTCCTCGCTTCCCTTCTGGTGCAAGCAGTCATGTTTCCTCACAGATACTCCTCCGCGCCTACAAATCTGCGCCAGCTCTTAGCCGGTATGACATTCTATATTGAGTCTCAGAGGAACAACACAAATTACATGGAGATCTTGAGACTCTTGAACGTAGTCAAGGTAAGCTCGCGCACTCCTTGACATCCAGCGGCCAGCGTCAACCGAGTGGACTCGCTGATCTTGACAGGCGCATGGCGGCGAACTCAGCGGGGATCCGAATAGCGTCTACGTCACCCACATCTTGATCTTTCGGGACGGTCGACCGCACGAATATGTTGATCTGGGCAACTATATCGAGACGCACCGGAAGACCCTGGCTGAGCTCTGCGCGAGCCCAGTGTGGGCGCAGGATGACCTCATCATCCAATTTGCACGTCGTCTGGGTGAGGTAGCACCACCGCGGCGGAGGGTGGTTCTCATGGCGAGATGGTTGGATTCATGCGTGGAGGCAGGAGCGGTGCTGAGAGATAACTCATATATGGGTCTGGAAATAGAGTGAGTGGGATAATAAGCTGATAGTGAGGGAGAGAACGCCGGGTCTGTCTCGGTTTTGAATGGATAGTCAGCTGATTCACCTAGTCTCAAGAAACCGTCAATCCCACCCGCACCGGCTATTCCGCCCCCGCCTGAGCCCCCAGCCCCACTCGTTCCCCCACCCATCGCAAAGCCCATCAGCACTTTGCCACCTCGCAGGCTGGCTCCTCCTCTACCCCGCTCGACGATCCCAGCCGCAAGTGCGGGCTCGTTGCGGCCCTCGGTCACCTCAGCGCAGAATGCTGTAGCGGGCCCGTCGAAGCCATCCGTCATCCCGTCACAGAACGCTGCAGCGGGACCATCCCGCCCAATCGATACCTGGCGTTCTTTACAGCTCAGATCAGAACCTTCACGCCATGAGCCTTCCCTGCGGCGACACAATAGCTCCCCAGACCGCTCGGACGACCGGTGGTCTTCGCGTTCTCCGTCTCCGCGGAGGCGATGCCCATCTTCAGAGTCCTCTGATGATCGTCGACGTTCGCGCTCGCCTGACCGTGGGAAGCGTTCGCGGGGCAGACGCGATCGGTCTCCCGAGGAAAGACGGTCTGGTGATGTCTGGCGGGCTGACTACCGGGTCAGGTCATCTCCGCGCCGAGATCCGAGGTCCCCTTCGCCTGTACATCGGATGCAGAATCGGCCACCTCCTCCGTCCGCGTACGACGTCAAGCGTGACCCGCGGCGCCTATCAGATCCCTCCCCACCACCACTTCCTCCTCGTTCCGGCGGACTACCTCTTCCCTCCCTTTCTACATCGCGAGCTCTGAGCTGGACCCCGGGCCAGCAGCCTTCTCATAGGGTGACATCAATGCCTCCAGGCCTCAAGCAGCGCTCAGCCGAGCGACCACCGGCGTGAGCGGTCGATCAGGTAGCAGCTGCGTCTGACACAAGCCGCTCGCAAGCCCCCTCCGCTGCTGTGCCGACTATCGCGCGCGAGGCGGGAGTCACGCTCGGCACAGTATCTGCGCCCGGCCAGCCCGCCCAGGGCTCAGCTCCGAGAGTACCCCGCCAATCGGCGCTGGAAGCGCAACGCGCGCGTGCGCCCATTGAGCAACCTTTGAACGTTCGGAGGGTCGGCGGGATATCGGGGAGGCAGGAGCTGCACGTCAGCACGCCTGTCGGCGGAGTAGCGGTCCCCACCCCCGCCCCCAGTCCGTCGAGACTGCAAGGATCAGCGGGTCCGCAGTGGATGGCGGTGCCGCAAAAGACCGCATATGCGCCCAATCCTGGGCCAGCTCTTGGGCCAGCTGCTACGTCTGCTCCTGCGCATGCACTGCAGAAACCTGCTCCTCAGCGGCCGTCGGTGCAGATTCCAACGGGACCCGGGCGATCAGTGGGCACTGTCTCAGGCCACAGAGCGCCTGCACCCCCAGCCGCAGCCCAGCAGCCAACTCCTGCGCCAACGGTACAGCTACAACGAGCGGTAGCACGAGACAGCCGAGCTCCGCCCTCACCTACACCGTCCGCCGGTCCGAGAGTCACGGTGAAGCGGGAAGAATCCCCGGAATTGACGCCGCCGCCCCCTTCACGGCCGACTTCGGTCTCGCGCACACTTCCAAACTTTGAGCGCATCGTCAAACGGTCCCCCTCCCCCGCCACCACTGCCTCCGTACCTGCCCCGCCGCCAGCGAAGAAACTCGCTCCGGTCACCACACCCACCAAGGGAACGCCCAGCATCGCCCGCAGCAATGGGACTCTTGCTAAAGTCGCTAGGCCGACGGGGTCAGCCAGACCGCCCGTCGTGATACAACTCCCGGTCTCAAGTGCCAGCGGTAAAAGGCAGGCGGCTACTGCCGTCGTCGATGAAGCGGAGGTGGGGGAGAGGACGGATAAGACTGCACCGCCGAAAATGGTAGCACAGGCGGCCCCTTCGGGGGCAAAAGGGGAGGTGGCACCGGCGAGGACCAAGGACCGCTCGACCCTGCCCAAGCCAGCTCCTTCTGGGCCTCGGCGCTCGACCGGGGACGATATTCAGCACTCCACACCGGCTCAACGGCCGACCTTTACTGCTGCCAGATCGGCCTCTTCGTCCATCCCGGCAGGTCCTGCTGAGAAGTCTATCCCGGCGGCAGTCCAGTCGTTCAAGCGGAAACGGGAAGCTGTCACGCCGATCTCCACTAAGCACAGCAGTGACTCGGATGATGATACTCCACTTTCGGCTACCCGGAAGCGCTCTCATCCCGAGCCCGGGAGAGAGAGGCCCGAGATCGCTAGCAGGGGGCGCAAGGTCTCAAATCGCATCATCATCTCGCCATCTCCTCCTCCTACGAGCACTCGTCAGCAGTCTCCCGGTCCCGCGTCAGCTCCCCCTATGGCAGGAAGGCGATTCATCGAATCTCCCGCAACCACGCCCATACTCGGCTCTATGATCCTGCCCCGTCCGCTGGCGCCGGCGCCAGTCGTTGCTCTTCCCGAGGAGCAAGGTCCATCCCAGTTCTTTGTAAATCAGTCAGGCCTGCCGATGACTTTCCACGTGGTGCTGGATGAGGAGGGTCTGATGGAGCCGCTGGAGCAACTCATCGTGAGTATATGGGGTCTGCATCAAGGCAAGGGAGTTTGGGCTGATACGTAGACTGTTTACGGTGGACGCTTGGTCGATATCATTGCGGCCGATCTCATCATCCTTCCCTTCAAACCGGGCACTTTATCCTCCTCCGCTCTATCTGCCATTATCGACCCTATCTCGTTCCGCGCATGCCACGCCAGACTTTTTATCAGCCATCAATACATCACGCGGTGCGCCAAACAGAAGGCCCAGCTCCATATCAAGGACTACCGCATTGATCTGCTTGCTCCCATTGCCGCTCCAAAGGCAGAGCCTAGCGAGGATCGCGCACACGGGTCCAGGAGTCGGAGAACCAGCGACAATTGGACGGCGGACCTGCGTACCCCAGAGAGTATGACGGACAGGCGTCCGAGGGTGCATGCGCGAGCTGATTCGAGGAATAGGCGGGAAGAGAAGCAGCCGACGAGCTCGAGGGACGTGGAGCGCAAGGTTCAGCAGGATCTCCGCTTCTCCTCGTCTGAAGAGGACGAGTCGGAGTCGGAGGAGAAGGACGAGCTGGACAGCACCAGTGATCTCGACGACCCTGTCCCGCTCAAGTCGGAGGTCAAGTCTCGCTCGTTGAGCTCGCCGCCACCGCTCAAATCGGCCAGGCCTGCTGTTGCAAGACAGCGCCAGAGGGACGCCGAAGAGTCGACCGTGCGACCAGAGGATGAGGCGGACTATCAGTGGTTGAAGCGCAAGATTGGAGCGTGGAATTTTGTCGGTTCTCGTGTGGGCTTTTTGGAATCATTGACAACTGCCGTGAGTACTGTGATATAGTTTGCAAGAAGTGAAGCTGACGCAATGAACAGGAACCGCGTAGGAATTGGAGTGGCCTGTTCAAACGATACAAGGTCTTGTACGAGACCGAACTCCCTAGATTGCTCCGCAAGGCGCGGGTCAGTACGAGAAGGCCGAGGGATCAGCAGTAAGGCTTGGAGAAGGGACACTGGATAGCCGGTGCGGGCCATTCACCGTGTATCCATAGTATAAGTCAGAGTCAGTACCTGTATTCTGAATCGTCCAAAAGGATTCTCAGCTGACTTGGCGGGGACTAATCATGATTATTCCCTTGCCATCTACTCGCTTGATACTGATTACAGGTCTTCCCATGTCCGTTCTCTAACAACGCCCTCTTGACGCTTGACAAGAGCATCTCCTCACGCTTCGATATGCAAAAGCTTGTACAGGCCATCAGCCTGACTAGGATGACTCCCACTTGAATCGGTCTAACAGCTTCGATCGGCCACCTCAAATTGGCTCAAGACTAGATAGGCCTTATCTGCATCCGGATCACGATGTCATGACGAGATCGATGAGCGTCGATCTTTCCTCCAAGATCAAGATAAGGAAGCGAGCAGTGAGGAAGCGTGCCAAGACGTCACCACGCGCGGTACCGCCTTGGCTCACTCAAGCCGAGACAATACGGACCGGAACCTGCCGCTGAGACCGCCCGCCTGCGCGAGCTGATACGAGCGGATATCGACGCGTTTCCCATCGGTGATATACAAGCTTGGGCAAGCCTTCCGACTGCCTTCAGTACTTTCAAGTCCAACCGTCATTCAAGCAGCCAGCTCGCGCTCGGGTCCAAGCTGGCCATTCAAGCTCTCCCAAGCCGCCACGCAGCTTCCGCCGCCGGTCAGACATAGATAAGGCTTCAGAGTTTAGAATGTCTCAGTTCCGAAACTCAGGATTTTTTGTCTTTCTTCCCTGAAGATCCCGCTTTTCCCGGTGTCTACCTCGCTTGCGATCTACTACTCTGGGATTTCAGCCTCGGAGCAACTGGAATTGACAGAGCGAAATAACCCGATCGGTTCTTTCTTGCTTGTGAGGCAGGGTTCGATTCGGAATATAGCTCTCGCTTGGCGCTAGAGTCGGCGCTAAAACGCGGGTGGCCCACAAGATCTAGAACACTGATCAGCTCCTAGATCCGCGCCGGAGAGGCAACTCGAGATAGCGGTTGCGAACTTGGGCAAATGCCGCCACGGGATAGGACGAGAGCTTCTCCTTCCAAGTTCCCGGTCGTGTGATATCAGCAGAGACTCCCAATCCGATGAGACGGCGCGGGAGGGCGAGACAGCGGTCTATCGGATCACCTGATAGCCGATAAGGCTACTTTTCCTGACTTTCACGAGCGATAGGACTGCGGCATATAAGGAAGAGGAGACTGATATCCCGCTTACTATTCTTCCCCCCTCTTCTCATCTTTACTCACCAGTTCATCGACCGCCAAGATGGAGGACGACAAGAAGATTTATGGTGACGACCACACCGCCGGTGTCCACGCAGCTGGGGACATCGAGTATGGACAGCGCCAGGAGGAGTTCTACGATCCCTCGCTGGAGAGCAAGTGGACACGTTTGGGTTTGAACATTGAGAGTTTCAAGCGGGCTCCCGGTACCACCAAGTGAGTTCTCCACAGCCGACGCCTATTGGCATGGTGGAGTGGCAGCGCTGACGTTCCCTCAGGGGTCTGGTTGTTCACGGTGGCGGCGCTCCTGAGCTCGTCGGTCATGACAACCCTCTCCTCCAGCAGAAGATGAAGCCGCGCCATTTGCAGATGATCGCGGTTGGAGGTTCTATAGGTACCGGTCTCTTCGTGAGTAGTTTGTGACAATCAGCTTGAAGCTTGCTGATCGACAGGTCGGTTCCGGTGGTGCTCTCGCTCGCGGTGGTCCCCTCGGTATCCTGATTGCTTGGGTTCTCATGGGTATCATGTTGATCAACGTGAGTTCTCGAGACTGTGTGGCTAGTCATCGCTGACGAGTCAGGTCTGCCAGGCTCTCGGTGAAATGGCTATCGTCTTCCCTGTCTCTGGCGGTTTCTACACCTTGGCTTCCCGAATGATGGACCCTTCTTTTGCCTTTGCCATGGGATGGAACTGTAAGCCCCCCATACACAGTACTGCAGTACCAGCGCTGACCTGCTCTAGATGTGCTCCAATGGGCCGTCGTACTTCCTCTTGAAATTACCGTCGCCGGAACAACCGTACAATACTGGACCAACGTTGTGCCCCTCGGGGCCTGGATCACTCTCTTCTTCCTCCTCATCATCGTATGTCTCGTGCATCCATCTTCTGACCACGCTCGCTGACTTTCAGTTCTTCTCCATCCTCGGCACGCTCGGTTACGCTGAAGAAGAGTTCTGGTCATCCTGCCTGAAACTCACCGTCGTCGTCATCTTCGTCTTCATGGGCATCATCTGCATCTGCGGCGGTGGACCCAAGAGCGGCGAGTACGGCACCTACGTTGGCGGGCGGTACTGGAGCAACCCCGGTCTTTTCGCGAATGGCTTCAAGGGTGTCTGCTCCGTCTTTGTGACTGCTGCCTTCTCCTTCGCTGGGTAAGTCAGCCTCAAGCTACAAAGCGGGCGACAGCTGACCTGGCAGTACTGAGCTCGTCGGTCTTGCCGCTACCGAGACTCCCAACCCGCGCAAGTCCATGCCGGCCGCCGTAAAGGGCACCTTCTGGCGGATTACCATCATCTACATCACTTCCCTCCTCATCATCGGTCTTGCCGTCCCCTACAACGACCCCCGTCTGGCTCAAGGCTCAGGCGCCGGTCGCTCCCCCTTCGTCATCCTTGTGGACAAGGCCGGTATCCCCGTCTTCAACCACATCGTCAACGCCACCATCTGTATCTCCGTCCTCTCTATCGGTCTCTCCTGCGTCTACGCTGGCTCCCGTACCCTTACCGCTCTTGCCGAAACCGGTTACGCTCCCAAATTCTTCACATACGTGGACAAGTCCGGCCGCCCCCTCTACTCCGTCCTCTTCATCCTTGCCTTCGGCCCGATCGCCTACGTCAACCTCGCGGATGTCGGAGGTGCCGTCTTCGACTGGCTTCTTGCCCTCTCCGGTCTCTCCACCCTCTTCACCTGGTTGGCCATCTGCATTACCCACATTCGGTTCCGCCAGGCCTGGAAGGTTCAGGGCCACTCGGTGGAGGAGCTCCCCTTCACCGCTGCCGGCGGCATGTGGGGTTCCGTCTGCGGTGCGGTTCTTCTTGTCCTCGTCCTGATCGCCCAATTCTACATTGCCGTCTGGCCCCTTGGCGAAGCTCCCACCGGTACCGCCGCTGCCGAGGCCTTCTTCATCTCGTACCTCGCCGCACCCATCATCCTCGGCTTCTGGGTCGCCGGGTACTTGTGGAAGCGGACTCTTCCCAAGCGCGCCTCGGAGATCGACCTGGACACCGGACGCAAGTCTTGGTTGACCGTCGAGGAGATGAGGGCTTACCGGGCTGAGAGGGCAAGTGCGCCCATGTACCTGCGGGTCTACAGGTTCCTTTTCGGCGCCAAGTAGAGGGATGCCAGGGTTCAGAGGGATTTGTAGAACAAAGTAGTATCCATATCATCATAATGCTACCTTGACATGTTGGGACATTTTGGCTTCGTGCACTACTACTCTATCCCATCGCGAGCTCCTCGCTTGAACCACTCCTCGTACTGAGCGCGTGTATCATCGGGACACACGCCGCAGAACCCAGTAAAGTGATCACGCAAGAACTGATTGACGAAACCTGACGATCAGCCGGGTCCCTTCAAGCTGACCTACCAAGTTTCGATCCCCCAAACCCAGCAAACGAGTTTGCCACCCTCCACCCATCAGCGTATCCCACAGCTACCGCCATCTCGGCGTGGTCCTTGATGGCGCATCGACATGTCTTGTCGTGGGGGTCGGACCCGCGCCGGGGTATCAGGCGATGAGCATTCATGACACTGACAGCGTTCACGGGTAGGACGTCTTCGATATGCGCGAGCGAGGGTTGATCATGGGGACAGTCTACCGTCAGTAAAGCGGTGACACTGACTCACCTATCAAGCGACAGATCGCGCTAGCTGCTGACGATGATGCCCGGACTGGGGCAAAGGATGAGGGGAGAGATCTTGCCAGAGCATGTCGGAAGCACCAGTTCTCGTCGCCATCGCAGCCCTCCGTTTTGTAGCCTGTCTATCAGCTCTGCCCTCGCCTGACACTCACTCCAGAAACTCCAGCCGGCAGTCCAGTCCGCGTACAGCTGGGCTTGAGCTTGGCAGAACTCCGCTCGTCCTGCGTCCTGGTCCTCCATGCCGGATAATGCGCCTCCCGTAAGAGCACAAGACCACTCGTCGATAACGATGTTGCCCCGGGTTTGCTCGGCGGCTTGCTGCAATTCATTGTTGAAGCCGCCGTCTGGCTGTAGATCGCCCATGATCTCATCCAAGTGTCGCTTCTGATCCTCCTCTGATCCAAATACGAAGTCTAGCATCAGTCGCAACCCAGAGCTTACTTACATGAATGATGATCCAGGACGACGAAGTCATCTCGACCCGCCACGAGTGAAGTAAAGCGTTTCATATCATATGCGTCGCTGATGCTGAGTGTCAGCTTAGTCAAGCGCTCGCTCACTAGAAGGGAAACGCGGCCGCTTCGCTGCTGATATTGCGCAGCACGTCGAGGGCATCGTAGTCTGCTATGAGCAAGTGTTCAAGGACAGGTGGAGGATCCACTTACAGAATTGCTCCAAATTTTCGACATTGCTCGGCTCATTCAACAGCTCAATCCCCACCACATTTGTCACGCTGACTAGCCGCTGTGTCAATTCTGCCAGCATAGCAATCGTCTTCTTCATGTTGTCATCGTCATCAAAGAGCCCCTGTTTCCCTCCCGAGAGCCCGGAATGCGAAAGACCGTTCTGACTACCAGGTGCACCTGCGATCAGCCCAGACAGGTCTCAGACTCACCATGCAGGTCTACCAGCACGCCTAGGCGATACTTGGCAGCCCAATTGATCGCTCTGACTATCCTCGGCCAGGCTCCCTCGTAGACGTCCGCGACAGGCTCGAAGTCGGTGCCCGCGAGTGCATTTGCACCTAGATCCCAGCTGCTGGTCAGCTCGGCCGGGGCCATCACTCACTATCCTATTGGTAGCCGGACTGTATTGACGCCTGATGTCAGCTCAACAGGACCTGCTATACTCACCGACACTGGCTAGCCATTGAAAGTCTTCCTCTTTGATCCATTCATCCCAGTGCCGAGCTAGCAAATGCGACGACTGCCCATTCCAGCCCATCGCCACGTCCAGCTCAGCCTGCTTAGGCTCTATCGCGCAAGTGAACATCGTCGGCGACATCCAGTCTTCGAGCACGAACCATGACCCGAGGTTGACGGATGTTTGTTGTCGGTACCGGTAGATGAGCGCCGAAGCGGGATCGTACGGAGCAAACTTGGGCAGCGCCAAATGTAGGTGGTCGTAGGGCTTGACCAGGCATGCGTGAGGTGCAGCAAGCGGTACTTGGACTTGAACCATGGTGAGTGAGAGTGAGAGTAGAGGATGGGACAGCTGTAAACATGATTGTTGTTGTGCATGGTAAACATCCCGCCCCGTCTCATTCAGACGTTGTCTTAGGCTTCTTTTTACGTGGTTGTTTCGGTTTTGACTTTGCCGCCGGGGCAGGTGGCGTCGCCTCGCGTGTCTGTCATCAGCTCTATCCATAGAGTAGCCTCACGAGTTTCGAATGTATGTCCATGAGTTTGCTGTAATTGACACCTTGTCGAGGCCAAAAGAAGGACGCAAAGCTGTCATCAGCGCGACCTCAAAGGGGACTTACACCCAGCAGTGCTTCCGCCACTTCCCCCCATTGAACCCATTCCGCTCCTTCTCCGACACGACCTGGTCTATCTGCGTGCCTATCGCAGAGACACATTCCTTCAGCGCCGAGATCTTCTCCTCGCGGCTCATATTATCGGTACCGGCTTTGAGTTTTTTCTGCCGTCAGCTCATGCCTCTGACTGCACTCACGAGATGCTTCTTGGCCGGCCGCAATGCCTCTTTGACAGCATCCTCGTCCATCGAAGAGCTATTGTCAGCTTGTTCAGCCTAAGACATACTAGCTGGAATCCTCCGAGTCGGTGTACTCTGGCGTCTTCCGGCGTTTGACCGGCTTGGTCGACCGCGAGGGACTCGTAGAGGCAGGTACGAGCCCGAAACCCTGCTTGGGCGGCATCTTCTGGATCATTGCCTCCTCTTCCAGCTGTAGCCGCCGTGTCTCCTCGTGCTCGCGAATAAGACCACCTGAAGTCAGCTGGAGCCAGACTGAGACTTACAAAGGTAGTCCCCTCGCCGGACAAGGTGTATGGGTCCCGGTGTAGGCGGTTTAGGCGCTCCTGGCTCCGGCTTGACACCCTTGGGCTCATCTACGAAGATCTTCTCGGCCAGCTCAAGGGAGGGATCCTGCTATCAGCTCGACCAACGGGAGCACTCACCACATGCATCAGCTCCCAGCTGGCGAATCCATGACGCCATATCCCGATGAGCAAGTGGGCATCATCCTCGGCCGTCCAGTCTACCGACCAATTTGTCGTCGGTTTCAGGCTGTCGACCGGGATGCGGTAGTTTTCGATGTCGCCAACGCGCTTGAAGTGCTCAATGACCGCTTTGAGCTCGTAATATCGGGATGTGATGGTCTCGGCATTGATACCAGCGACGTTCTTGTAGGTGAAAAGTACCGCCTTTTGTCGCAGGGAAGAGCTGAGGGGATCGCCGCGTTCCTGCAGATCCCGCACGTGTGCCTTGTGCTTGGCTACTTGTGCTTCAGCCTCGCTGATGATGTCCTCGCAGGTCTGGATCATCATGACCCGGTTCTTGCCCTCGAGCTTGGAGTCCTTGACCTGGAATCAGCACGGCCTACGGTATCACTCACGATCGGATCATAGCGTTGGCGGATATCGCCCCACTTCTGTATACCCCGGATAAGAACACGCAGGTCTCGCTCTGAACATCAGCTTGAGGTCAGCCCCGTACTCACCCTTCAGCTCCAGCGTCCTCTCGGTGACAGACTTGCGGGGAGCCACATTGGCACGCTTCTTGGCTGGAGGCGATCCAGGCTGGCTCTCGGTACCATCATCATATGTCGTTGAGGGCCGACTAGCCCGCTTCCTCGTTGGCGCCAGACCAGCCTCTGGCGTCTCTTCCTCCACCTTTGCCCGCTCATCCTCCGGGATGATGTCATCCCAGGCAAGCTCATCGTGCTTGACATCCTGGATATCCGCAAAAGACGCCAAGAAGCCCTCGCCACCGAGCGAGGTTCCGCCAGTGGCAGCCTCGGTGTCGAAGGCGTCGGCTTTGGTGAGGATCTCGTCCAGGTCCATCTCGTCCAGCTTCTTGCCTTGGGCGGATTCGTCGGTTTTGAACCTGGAGTCAGCGGATGCGGAATCGCAGACTTACATGTTCTGAGCGCCAAACTTCAGAATAGCAGATAGCTCGTCCTTGGAGAAGTCACCGTTCTTCTCCTTGGCGGCGCCGTTGCCGTTGATATGCGAGCCGGTGGTATCGATCTGGTTGATGACTACGTCAGCTCGGTCAGGGGTGGCACTTACTTGCGTATTCCAGGATCATCTTCCTCTTCGCCCGTTCCAGAATGTCCTCCTCGATCGTTCCTTTCGATACAAATCTTGGGTCAGCTGGGCTCGATGCTGTACCCACCTGTAGATGCTGACGTGTCTCTGCTGTCCTATCCGGTGCGCCCGAGCCATAGCCTGGAGATCGTTTTGAGGATTGTAGTCGGACTTGGACCATCAGCTCAGTCCAAGCGGATAACTCACATCGAAGATGATGACAGTATCAGCGGTCTCGAGGTTGATACCCAGACCGCCCGCACGCGTGGAGAGCAGGAAAGCGAAGTCTGGTGAGTCGGGAGCATTGAAGTGCTGGATTGACTTCTTCCGCACATCGGATGGTACCGTGCCTGCCATCAGCCGAGTTATCGCCGGAAACTCACCGTCAAGCCGTTGATATATGTAGCCCCGAGCCGACATGTAGTCCGAGAGGATGTCGAGCAGGCGGACCATTTGCGAGAATATCAGAACTCGGTGCCCGTCCGCCTTGAGCCTGGCGAGTAGCTTGTCGAGCAGAACGACCTTGCCCGAGTTCATGACCAGTCCTTTCAGGATCTCATTGGCGGCTTTCGAACGGTCCTCGGCTCCGTCAAAGAGGTAAGGGTGATTTCTGCCGTCAGCCAGCACTGCGAAGTGGACTTACGAAGCCTTCTTCAACTCCATCGCGACGTTCATCAAGCTGACCTGCTGGGTTCCACCCTTGCTGAGTACGGCGAAGTTCTGATTAGCTATTGTATTGGATCGATCTCACTTTTGCTAGGATGTCTGAAATCAGCGCTGTCTTCAGGAGAACTCACTTTTGTAGTAGTGCGTCTGCAGTGGAGACATTTCGATCCGCAGTATCTTCTCAGACTTGGTCGGCAGCTCCTTGACAACATCTTTCTTGAGCCGCCGCAGCATCAGAGTGGCCAGTTTGTCGTGCAGATCCTTGATCTTGCCTTCTTGGTCGGCATCGGAGAGGTCAAAGTCGTTGGCGAGTTGGACTGAGTAAGCGGTATCCTAGCGTACACTCACATTTATCGGGCATAAGGAAGTGCATCAAGGCGAGCAGCTCTTTGACGTTATTCTGCAGTGGCGTGCCGGTGATGAGGAGTCGTGAAGCGGTCGAGAAACTCTGCAAAGCTTCGTACAGCTGCGACTCGTGGTTCTTCAGACGATGTGCCTATCGTCAGCTCAGCTCAACACTCAGACTCACTTCGTCCACCTCCAACGCCTGCCACTTGATCTGCTGAAGATCCTGCCTATCTTTGAGTATGAACTCGTACGTGGTGAGGACCACGTTGAATCGGAGATTCTTGAGCGGACCAAACTCATGTTCGCGGATGACCTCCCGAGACCGTGCCGAGCCCATGTAGCAAATGACATTCATGTCCGGCGCCCAGGTCTTGAACTGCATCTGCCATGCCGAGATGGTGGAGAGCGGAACGACGACGAGGAAGGGTCCGTACTGTTGCCGGTCGTGGAAGAGCCATGAGAGGTACGAGACGGATTGGACCGTCTTGCCGAGACCCATCTCGTCCGCCAGAATACCGTTCTCCCCTTTACTCCAGAGGTAGGCGAGCCAGTTGAGACCGGTGAGCTGGAAGGGTTTGAGGTCTCCGCCGAGGTAGCCCGGGTCCGTCTCGATCTTGGTGAAGGCCGGCCGAGTAGCGTACGGGATGGACCGAGCAGGGATCTTGGCCTGCTTTTGGCGTGCAGTGAACTCCGCGACCGCCGCCTCCGAGCCAGGGATGTCATCAGGCGCTGCAGATCAGCCCTATCCCATCTCCCAAACTCACTTTCCCAGGTACACTCCGCATATTGCAAGTTCGTCCACTTGCAAAAGTACTTTCCGTCCTTGCACGCGAGTATCCGCTCGACCGTCTTGTAGCTCTCGTGTAGCTCCTGTGTTCGGTCCTTGTCGATCTGGTACTGCTCGAGCTCTTCCCGAGTCGGCCGCCATTGGTCTCCGGGGTTGCGGTACTGCTGGTCGATCGCCCAGACTTTGGCGATGTAGTTGTCGACCTTTTTGAACCCCTTGTAAGTCTTGAGGAAGGTGTACACCTCGTCGGTATTATGGACATGAGAATACCCTTTCCATTTGACGTGGTATCGCTGAGATCAGCTTCAACCTCAAGATGAACGTACCAAGTTGACTTGAGGCAAGTCTAGGGGGTCCGCTAAATGTTCCTCATGGCGAGTATGGGATAGCACCAGATCAATCTCGTCGGTATCGCCTGCTGTCAGCTATTGCACAGCATAGACTCACCTTCAACGACTGGCGCCTCGTGCTCGCTAGCACTCTCCATGAGATCTTCATTCCCTTGTGTCTCATCGTAAGTGACGACCTTCTTGGTTGCGCCCCTCCGCCATGATCCGCCAGATTCCAAACTCCCAGCTTTCACAAACACCTTTCTCCTATGCGATTTGACCGCATACTCCTCGTCGTCTGATTCGGACTTGGGACGACGCGTCGGAAAGGCCTGCGTCGCGACTGCCTTGGGCGGCTTGGGTGGTCGAGGCGCGCGCTTCTTGACATCGCCATAGTCGTCGTCCTCGTCGTCCTCATCGTAATCCTCAATATCGTCTGCCTCGGATTGCTCTTCTTCTCCTTCAGACTGAGATCAGCTCATATCTCGATGGCCGACTTACGGGATACGCCTCATCCTCTGGCTCAGGTGTGAGGTCGCCATCTGACGACCGTGATGACGGCTGAGGCATGCGGAGTGTGACCCGAGGGGGTGGTATCCCGGGCGAGCTCGAACTCGCGGGAGACATACTGGAGGAGGCATCCATAGTAGACAAGATAGAGGAAGGAAAGGACAGGACATGCAGATCTGCCCTGTTCCTTGCGATGTCACCCGGTCAGCCGCCGACGCTGTTGAAACCGGTTCCGTCGCCGTTGGAATCGTTGTTACCGCTCCCGGACCCCTTCACGTCACCACTCATCCCTACGTAGACCATACTCCTTTGGTTCTTGGCTCTCCACCGTACTTGATCGCCGTGCAGCTCTAGCACAACATGCATTGACTTCACACATCAACATGACGACCCTGCTCACTGTTCCCGCCGAGCTCGTGCCCCGGTTACACAGCGGGATCGCAGCGAGTGCCTTCGCGGTAGCTCTCTTTGCCGGGTACGCGAGCGGGATCTGGAAGGACCTCTGCACCAATGCTGTCGCAGGTGAGCTCGCCTTTACAAGCTGAGCTGATGCCAGCTTGGCCAATAGAGTGGTTCCCATCAGTATCGGCAACGTAGGTGTGACCCAGAGATGGATACTGATGTCAGCATCGGCGATCATCCAGCATCAAGAAGCCCATTTCACATACTCATAGCGCTATGCGCGACTCCGAGGTTCCTGCTCTTGGGTCTACAGTGGCTCTCACATCGCTCAAAGACTACTGGACGGACTGCAGACCTGGAGCTGGCCGTTGGCATGGCAAGAACATTCAGCTGGTGAGCTTTCAACCTTTGTTGACAAGGTGAGGAAGCTGAACAAACAGTGGAGGCTGGGTCTACATCACCTCTCGGGATAGCCATAGTGAGTACACAGTCGGCGAAACTGACTTTAGCTCTGCATGACCTGTTCATGATCATCTACCTCCTCCTGACCTTGCCCTGGATGCTGCTAGCGACTTCGGCCTCGTTGAAGCCCCAAACCCGCAGACGGAGGCAATGGATGATGTATGCCTTCGTGGGGACGCTGCCATTCTTGATCTGGCAGTACTACCGTCATTCAGTCCTCCGCATACCAGGCTGTGAGTGTAGCCCCACACATGGTGATCCGAGCTGATCGCAGCCTACACGACGTATGCCTTCTTCGAGTGGTCTTTGGTCGTTTGGGACATCGCCTTCGACTCGCTGGCCGTTGACGATCTAAGCAATCTCAAGGTAAGTCTCTCGCTAGCTTCCGCTGATGCAGATTGTCATCCTTGACTCGGACGGAAAGAGGTGGGTTCCGCGATCGGGCGGGAGCTTAGCCTAGTCCTACCCTAGCTATACCGACCACACCACAAGAAGTCGACTGGACAACCGATGAGATCACGACTGGTCTCCAAGCTGTCGCTGCGTACCTCAGCGATGTCGTCTTTGGTACGTCTTTTCGCCGAGGGAGCTAACGACAGGAATGACATTCTGGACGGTCTTTACCGCGCTGCCGTTCCAACTATTCTACTGGTCCGTTTGGGAACTTGGTAAGTGCCTCTTATGGCTGAGACTGATGTAGCTCTCGCCGGTTCTGAGCTTGCTCTTCTAGCAAACCTCTCCCCGATCTTACTAGCGAACCGAAACATTCGAATATGGACGCAATCGCGGTCCGGCCTCATCTGGCTTCGAAGCTCGACAGCCATATTCGGTCTCGGGTGCTACGCTGCGCCCTTACCGATACTGCGCCTGGTGGGCGTGGTGATCGGAACAGGAACGGGATGGCTGGCGGTCTTGAGTCCTCTCATGAGGATCAAGGGTGGTCGCGAGGCGAGAGCGGAGGCACAAGGCATGTACACCACTACCCATCATACAGCCCGAGCTGACAGCTCAGTCCTGCTCGTTGCTCTCGCCGCTGCGACTCTTCTCAAGCACGTCAATTCATCTATCAATCCTTTCTGGGCGTCCGCAGATGCCGCCTCGGGCGGATGGAATAAGACTGGCCTAGTCATCGTCGCTCTCTCCATCGTTGAGCTATCGAATCGCTCTTTCGGCCTTTTCCCCGGAGCTCCTTCCGCGGTCAAGGACAAGGCCATACCTACCCAACCAGCCAGTATCGCAGTCGCCGCGGGCTTCGGAGCGCTCGTACACCTCATCCACACCCTCGCTACCGACGCAGGCACAATCATCGCCTGGACATGGACAGGCTACCCCATCAAAGGTCCCACTCTCCACCCCTTCGGCGGCGCTGTCCTCGCTACCATCGCCTTCTCCTCCATCCTGTCGATCGACGGCCGTCTAGCAGCCGGCCTGGCCGCTCTCGGATCTGTCGGTCTGTATGCGTTCCCCAATTGGTCCGGGTTTTCCTCCGGTCTGATTGCCATTGTCGGCCTCATCTCTTCTCTTCCAGGGTACCTACAAACGGTCTCGGGCCTTCCTCCAGCGCATACACTCGGCTGGGCGATGGCGATATACGGCCTCCTCGATGTCATTTCGGTCGTTACCGTCGCCTATGCCTTTGTCCCACTCGGCAATCTCGTTCGAGAACGGACCGACCTCGTTCTCGGCGTATCCTGCCTTCTTATCGCCGCTGGAACGAGATGCGCTCGGCCCGTACCTGTCTCAGATCGAGCAGAGAGGCGGATCAGGAGGACCAACCGGTACTCGACCTATTCGGTCATTCTCCTCGCTGCCGTGTCTGTGGCGCACGGGTGCTGGAAGATGCCGCGGACACAGCCGGTACCTTACTCGAAACATCGCATCTTCAGCGGCGGTATCTGGACTGTGAGTTGCCCTACGGGCGTCCGTCAGAGCATGCTGGAGTGACAAGCTGACATAGCTAGGTCCACTTTGGCGTTGATGCTGCGGGAAGAGACAGCCAGTACCGCATGATGGAGCTGATCAGGGATATGGAGGTGGACGTGGTGGGACTGTTGGAGTCAGATCGTAAGCATTACTTGGGGTATAGCTGACAGTCAGTCCATCGTATGGTATACGGGAACAGGGATCTGACGCGAACTATCGCGGAAGAGCTAGGCTATGTGAGTGAGCATCCAAAACCGAGCTGACGGCAGTACGTCGATCTTGGTCCGGGTCCAAATCATCATACATGGGGTGCTGCACTGCTTTCCAAGGTGGGCATACAATGCCTTCCGTACTTGTAGTGCTCAGCTGACACTCAGTTCCCAATCATCAACTCTACCCACCACCTCCTTCCATCCCCTCGTGGCGAGCTGGCTCCCGCTATTCACGCCACTGTGGATGTTCATGGCGAGAAGGTCAACGTCGTCGTCTCACATAACGGTCAAGGTGAGTCCAGCATGTGCCCCTTACTGACGAGCAGAGGAAGACCCGCTCGATCGAGAGCTGCAGACCACCGAGCTCGCCCGGCTGCTCCGTGAGACTGCCGATACACCTACGATCTTCCTCGGATACCTGGTGACCGAACCTGGCGAGAAGCGACCAGCGCCATATCAGATCTTGATGGAGGACGGGCTGATGAATGATATCGAAAAGTAAGCTTGTGGTGCAAAGGTTGAACCAGCACGTCAGCTGACAGTCAGGGCTGATCGCTCGCGGTGGTGCGAGTACATCGCTTTCCGGGGTCTTTGGCGGATAGGGTATGCTAGGGTCCATGAGAGCGATATAACCGATACGGAGCTGCAGGTGAGGAATGATCATGACCTCAGCTGATATCAGGTCGGCAAGTTCCTCTTACCGTCACCGGGCACGAAGGCGGTCTATGCGAATGATGAGGAGATGTACTGGCACATTGGGGAGACTGATGTGAGTCCTGGCAAGAGAACGGAGCTGATGTAGATACCCGATCCATGGAAGATGCCTGCAATGTTCCGGGATGAAGGAGTCAGGGGTCATCATTACATCGTCTGGATTGGGCCAGTATACTACATGCCGCCCGAGCATAGCGGATTACAGCTCTACGGTCGCTAGTCGTCCTCGTACTTTCGTATCTAATGTACATCATGCTACAAGACGTCCTTCAGGTTGGTCGTCCCTGAACCTCTCTCGAGCGGTTTGGGCTGATTTGGACCCGGCGTCCATCCGATCTGAAGTCAGCGAGTCCGCAGAGCTAGAACGTACCATGAAGACCACCTGGAACGTCGCTGGAATACCCTCCTCCACGCCATGCAGCTCCTTATAGATCGCCTCGGCAGCCAGGAGTACATCCCTCGATACCGAGGTCTTGCGACCCATGATGGCGTTGCTCTCGCCCATATCCCGCAAGTCCGACATGAGCTCCCATATTGACGGGTAGTGGATGGTGATGTCTTCTACGTCGACGGTGGTGAGAGTGAACCCCGCTCGGTTTAGTAACGACGGTGCGTCTGTAGGGTCTACATCAGCTCCTTCCAAAGGTGGACTCACTGATCATGGGCGAGACTCGGTTCGCTATACCTCCTCGCCTCTCCTGCTCGGCCAGCTGAAGCGAGGTCCTACAGTCAGCTCCGCCCGAGGGATCTGCTCACCTAAGTTCGAACAAGCTGTCCCCGCCTAGCACGGCGCCAATGAAGACACCATCAGGCTTCAAGACGTGCCGGATCTGCGTCAAGCAGCCGACGATATCGCCCACCCAATGCAGGCCGGAGCTCACTGCCGCTTCGACCTTGTGAGGGAAAGCCTCGACGAGTTTTGAGGGTGAGGCATGTATCCGAGTGACCGGGTCTGCCATGAGCTCCAGCTGGGGACATCAACGAACGGTCAAAGGTGTCTCTCTGTAGTGCTAGCTCTGGGATCAGCTGAGCTCAAGTGGTGGACGTACTGCTCTCCTCCAAAAGATAGTAGGATCGATCCCCGCCGATCGTTTCTTGCAGAGCTCTCGTTACTGGTCCAGCATGCGCTGCTACCTCTAGTATGGACGCTGGTGGTGTCTTGAGATCCTAGACTTAGCTATGGTCGGGTCAAGGACCCACCTCCATACGCTCAGACAGCCGATCGGCGATTTCATGGCGCAGGTAGTCCACTATGGTGCTGTCTGCGCGAAGGACCGCTCGATCTCTTTGCCGAGCTTTGGACGGCTCATCAAAGACCGTGTACGCCGCCTGAGGTGGTGGTATATGTGGTGAGAGGGTAGCGTAGCCTCTGAGTGATCGAGTCAAAGATCTAGCAAGTAGACGCATGATGTATGATGGAGAGAAAAGAACATCCCATGACGCAGAGTCGACGTAAAAAAGTACACTACTCCTTGACCTCCTCGCGCTCGACCTCGAGGATACCCTGCCTCTTCTCTGCCAGCCGGGTCGCCTTCCTCTCGCGCATGGCCTTGTTCTTGACACGCCTGGCCTCCATCTGCTCCTGCAAGTTCTTGGTCCGAACCTTCTCCGCCTTGGCCTTGTGGATGTGCTCCATCAACACCCGCTTGTTCTTGAATCGGTTACCCTTCGCCTCGAGGTAGAGAGTGTGGTAGCTAGACATCAGCATTATCCCTTGTGCCATACAAAGGATCGCCCGACATACAGGTGCTTGTCGATCTTGCCACCTTCCCGGTACTTCCTCAACAACCGCCTGAGAACACGCATCCTCCGGAGCCACACCACCTTGGTGGGCATACGGGCCTCAGCGGTACCCCTTCGCTTACCGGTGCCGGAGTGACGACCGAGACGCTTGGCGGCGTGAAGCTCCCTCGTGCGGGCGCGGGAGTGGGTGTTGGTGGGCTTGACGATGCTATCTTATCAGCCCCCTATTCCATCCAATCCTTCCTCTCTATTCCCTATTCGCCTAAACGCACATGTGACCATCCTTCAAGAGCTTCCTGACACCAGATCGAGAGTTGGCCTGTCCAATCTCGGCGGCCTCCTGGGGGTCGAGCCAGACTAGATGGGTCAGCGCCTATCCCTATCTCTATCCCGCAATTCCGCCTATTCCGCCCGCTGAAGATCGATTCGAGACGCACTCTTTCGCTGACCGACGCCGGCGACGGCGGCGGCAAGACGCTTCTGCTGCCTAAGGTTGACCATTATGTATATGCTGTTTGTCGAGTGTCGATTGAAGGTCGGGACCGCTCGATATTGCGCTGACCTGTCTCGTCTTGTCGGCTGACTCTGGGTGCGAGCGGAAAGCGTCAGGCACGGGAGGAGACGGAATCAGATTTGGGCATATCACCGAGAAATTCCAGTGTGGCAGTGCATATCCCGCAAGTTTCGGCTTTAAGCGCTTTTTGCTATGACCGATCTTGTCAGCAAGGAGTTGTACGGAGTGCTCTGAATACCATACATCGGAGGTCAAAAAGAGGATGCTGTGCATGAGGTCGGAAAGTACATGTTGGAGGCCACAAGCGGAAGAGGTTGTGTCCTGGCGCACGGCAAAAAGTATTTCTCACAAGTGTGAGTCGAACACACGACCGATCGGGATTTTTCAACCATTACAACCGAACGCTCTACCACTGAGCTATTGCGAGAGCTGTTATTCGCCGTCATGCAGCATATACAAAGGGCAAGATGTTAGGGCGTTCAGCGGATGCAAACACCCCCGCTCAGGAACGAGCCGATCCTTCTCCCTCTCTCGCAACTGCTTCATCTATCTCTCGGTGCCTCTTCTTCTACACCAACTTGTACTATATCGCAACATCATGGCTTACCAATACTCCAACCCCTACATCCCTCTCGCGCCTCCCGCCCCCCGGTCCACCTTCAATGCGATAAGCACTAGCTCGCATGGGAGCCAAATCCTATTCGGCGGTCTACCCCTCGACGTGACAGAGAAGGATATACGAGTATGTCCATACTCTAAGCTTTGTGCTGATTGTAGGACCTCCTCATCAACGACCCTCTCGCCCTTCCTGCCTCCACCACCTCCGCACGCTCCATCTACACCCAAGAAAGCAAGTTTACTGGATTCGCAATAGTCACGGTCGGGAACGACGTGGATGCCGAGCGGATCCGACGTGAATACTCTGGCGAGACTATCGACGGGAGTGAGTCATTACCGTGCAGAGGAAGGGTGGGGATGGAGCTGACGTCCAGCTTTCCGTTTGACGGTTCAGCATATCCTCTCCCCGACTCAGCCGTTCCCTTCCGCTTCCAACGCTCCCCAACCTTTCGCCCCTCCTCCGCAAGCGGTACCGCGCCCACCCCCAGCTGCGCCAGTATGGGCGCCTCAGGCCCTTCCTCCTCGCGCCTCTGTACAACAGCAAGCACCGCGTAATGCTCAGAACGAGAAGGCGCCGGGTCTAAAGCTGCTCGCTCGCCTAAGCGGACCAGGAGGATCAAGTGCCAACAGCCGACAGGGAGCGTGAGTCTTTTACCACCGTACGGTGGAGGAACTAGCTGATCCTTGCGGCAGTCTTCTCGCTCAGCAGAAGGCCAACCTGAATGGCGGCGGACGACCCGGTGCCGCTCTCCTTTCCCGTATCGCCAAACCCAACGCAAAACCCTCCCCCGCCGCCAAAGTCAACCGAGCCAAGCAAGCCATTGCAGTCGAGCGCGCACCCGCAGCCAGCAAGCCGAAAGCCAAGACCCAAGCGGAGCTCGACGAGGAGATGAGGCTGTACACGCGTCAATCTAGATTCACATAGTTAGTTCCCTGTAGGTAGTACATAGGTAATGATTTCATACAAAAGATGTCAAGCAGCGTCCCTGTCACTATCCCGTTTGTACCCCTGGGCCAATACCCATTCGAACCCTTTCCGCCCTGTATCTGCGTTGGAGCGGAACCGGTCCACGCTCGCCTTTTCTATTCTCCGAGCAATCATCGCTGTTGGGAAGGCCGAGATGAGTGCGGCTCGCTGGTGGAACAGCGTATTGCCTTCTTCCGTCGGCGTATAGGTTATGCGTTCGAGACAGGATCTGAGATCAACTTCAGACATGCTGCAGGGCTTACACGTATTGCGCCAAGTCAAGGTTCATACTCATCATGGTTGCGCTCGGGGCGTCTGGGTCGATAAAGACCACCTCCCGGACATATGCTATTGGCGGCAGCGCAAAGAGCTGGCGTCAGCTATTGTCAGCCCCTTGCTCACCTTGGCTATCCATCCCGGCGCGCTTTGCTTGACACCTATGACCCGCTCGGTCCTTATCAGCCCAGACGGGTCTAATGACCGTTCCACCGTGTCGACCGAGACGACATGCGTCGCGTATGGATTTGGGTACTTTTTGTGCAGCTGAATCAGAGTATGTATGGGCGGATCACTACGGTCAGCTCTGGGCTGCTAGGAGGCCTTACTTGTATGTGATCTCATTGACGAATGATTTCATTGTTGAGTGGAGAACGCACGCAAGGCATGCCGTTTTGAATTCCGCAAAGAACAACGCGGCCGCGGAGATGACGTCTTGCAGCTCAAAATCAACGTCCACCTTTGACAACAACTGCTCATCTCACACATAATCGACATGCCGATCAACCAGCCCGGAACACAGATCAAGTACGTCACGAGCAGAGTGGGGCTGATTCCAGGCTTACGAATGTGTCGGTGGTCCGGCTCAAGAAGGGCGGGAAGCGATTCGAGGTGAGCCCCACGTTGAGGCAGGCACTTACGATAAGATCGCCTGTTATCAGAACAAGGTGTCCGAGTTCCGATCTAAAGTGTACGTTCCATGACTCTAGGCTAGGCTGATAGTAGAGAGACGGACCTGTCGGAGATCTTGCAGATTGAGCAGGTGTTTGCCAATGTCTCGAAAGGACAGGTGGCCAAGAAGGAGGATTGGGAGAAGGCGTTCAATACCACCGACCTGAACAAGGCTATCGAAGAGGTGGGTCTATACATGGCTGGAGCTGATGGTAGATACTACGGAAAGGAGAGCTGCAGGTCAACAACCTCGAACGGACTCATAACCTACATGCGCTATCTCGCGAGATCGCTACACTCGTATCAGAAATGACGGTCGACCCGTCTGTTACCCCGCCTCGGAAACATACGGTCGGGATGATAGAGAAGGCCATGAGCGAGGTCGGATACTCGGTCAAGTCGGACAAGGCGGCCAAGGCGCAGGCGCTGGAGCTTATCAAGAAGCTGGCGGAGGGAGATATCCTGCCAATACGGAGGATGAGGATGAGGATACGCGTGACGATGCCGGCGAAGGATGCGAAACGGATAGGGGAGAAGATCAAGGCGGAAGGAGAGGTAGAGGAGGAAGATGCGGGAGAGGAGTGGGAAGTGGTGAGTCAGCTTCAGAGAATACGGCTGATTGGCAGATCATGCAGGTCGAGCCTGGAGCGTTCAAGACACTCAGCGATCTGATTTCGAATGAGACGAAGGGGAAGGGAAGAGTGGAAAGTCTCGCGACGTAGAGGAGATGGTGTATTAGTCGGCTATCACATGTATCTCTAGGCTTCTACGAGGTCCAGGTGCTCGAGGATCAGGCGAGGTGTTCCGCTCAGCAACCCCTGATGGCGATCGTGCTGGGCGATGGACGCGAAGCCAGCATTGATGCTATAAGCGTGGCAATTGCTGATCGTGTGGCGACGTCCTAAGTGTGGACATGCTCATGGCCAGAAATAGATGAAACCTAACTTATGAGAGCAGCGCAAGTGCCGGGTCGGGAGAGCTCGACGCCAAGGGTCAGGCGAGAAACCGGTAGTATCGGTTAGAAGATTATCGCCGACCAAGGAGTGCCACACTTACGTGAAGCCCAAGGGGGGCGCATTTTGGTGCATCGCATAATACCGATTTCCCGAGCGATTACGGCATCCCCCTTTCCTGCTTTGGTTCTCCAGTCAGTACCAGTGCGGTGGTATAGAGTGCTTGGTCGTGCATTCATCCAAAACTATCAGCTAAAAGCTTCCTAGGTGAGTATCTGGCCACTACAGGGCGGAGGCGAGGATATCATGGAAGGGAAGTATGCTGATCTAGCCTTTCTCCTGTTGCCTCACGACCCCTACTCGCAAATCTCCCTTCACATCTACCTCCCACACCTCCCTATACCTACACTTTCGCAAACAGCCATCATGTCCTGGAACAACAAGATCGCTCGGACCGCCAACGCTCCCCGGACTGCCCCGTCCGAGATTGAGCAGCAGATCGCTCAGGCTCTTCTCGACCTCGAGACCAACGTCCCCGAGCTCAAGGCTGAGCTCCGTCAGCTCCAGATCTCGGCCGCCAAGGAGGTGGACGTGAAGGGCGGCAAGAAGGCGGTTGTTGTGTTTGTCCCTGTGCCCATGGCCAAGGCATTCCACAAGGTCCAGCAGCGGTGCGTTTCGTTTGGCGGTTTGGGGGAAAGGGGTAGTGGGGGATAGGGACCAGGGTTGACGGAGGGACTTTTAAGGCCCACCTCCCCTTGTCTCTTCCCCTCTGCCCCTACGCAACCCGGCGTAGAGGTGGACCGTTTTAGCTGATGCCCATTTTAGCCTTACCCGTGAGCTCGAGAAGAAGCTCTCGGACAAATACGTCGTTTTCGTCTCCCAGCGCCGAGTCCTCCCCAAGCCAAAGCGGAAATCCGGCACCGCCAACAAGCAGAAGCGTCCCCGTACCCGCACCCTCACCGCCGTCCACGAGAAGATGCTCGAGGACCTCGTCTGGCCTTCGGAGATTGTCGGCAAGCGCACCCGTGTTGCCCAGGACGGTAACAAGCTCATCCGAGTGTGAGTACTACCCCGTTTCAGCTGTGCGTGGGGAGATGCTGATCCCATAGGTTCCTTGACGCCAAGGACCAAAACTTGCTCGAGTACAAGCTCGACACCTTCTCTTCCGTGTACCGTCAGCTCGCAGGCAAGGATGTGCACTTCGAGTGAGTCTTACCCTTCTCTTTGGAAAGCTGTGCTGATTCTCCAGGTTCCCCGTCCAGGCCACCGAATAGATCATGCATTTTGGTTCTGAGGTGTTCTTATTGGCTTTGGCTGTCTGAGTACTCCCATCCCAGGGGAAATGCTGCCAAAATTTCGAATCTGACCCTATTCTGCCCCGGGCCGTCTGTCTTCCCGCTGGACGCCCAGACACAGCGTCTCCTCTCCCTCGGCATTTTCCATCCTTTCATGTCTCTCCTTTCGCCATGACCCCTGTGCACATACCCAGGTTGACCCATCGTCCATGTCTTATACTACCTCAAGCGTTAAACCATGCCTCGCCTGGACTGACTGAATCATACCAACTGAAAACTAATCATGTCCTACTACCCGCCGCCCGCGCAGCAATGGGCCCAGCAACCGTCCTTCCCCTATCCCGCCCCTGTCGCCGCTCCATCCCCCTCCGCCTCCTCCCCCTTTCCCACACCCCCACTCGTCTTCCTAATCCTCATAGCATTCGCAGGATACCACATCCTCCGGCGCCAAGAATCCGCACGCGACCGCTCCAAGGTGCTCGCAAAAGAAGCAGCCAAAGCAGCCAAGGTCGACGCGGCGGAAATCAAGGCCCTCTCGTCCAAGGATGTACGGGCGGGCGGTCTCCCATCTTCGGGGGCGGTAGGTAATCCCGCTCCGAAGCAGATCTCGGGGAAGGGTGGGGATCCGCGTAAAGATCCGAGCTCGACGAGCTTCCGCAAGAATTACTTTATGACGATGCAGGGGCCAGGGAGGCCGGCGCTGGTGCCGTTCCAAGATGGGTTGAGGCCGAAGCGGGGTGAGGCGGAGGGCACTATGTGGTGGGATAATGTACCGGAGGGTGAGTCTCGCTGTGGACAAGACGGGGAGGGAGAGGAGTGGGGGAAGAGGAGGAGCTGATGACCAGATGTCAAAGATCTGATGGCGGCTCCGCTTGACCCGGACAAGCTGAAGGCGATGATGAAGAATCCATGGAACGAAGCGATGCTCAAGAAGGATATCGAGCTCCTCAAGCTCAAGAAGCAGCACAAGGAGGAGCAAGAGCGATTCGAGAAGGTCGGTAATGTCCTCCATGCCTTGCTGAGCGGTCTCTTGTGTCTTGTGGATATGCGCTTGGGTATCGGTGAGCATCTTACTACCACCAGATACGTGAGCACGGTGGGTAGGAGCTGAACACCCAAGCGTCATTCACATTCTTCCTGTGGCGATACTTTACCGCGGCGCACAAGACCGAGCTGGAGGATAAGAAGGATGAGGTGGAGAAGGAGAAGGCGGAGATCATGAAGCGGATCAGTGAAGCGAGGAAGGCGGCGCCGGATAGTTCGGCGGCGAATAGTATCCAGAGGTTGCAGGCGGACCTCATGAGGTTGTAGGTGGCTATGTATGAGATGAATAGTACGTGACCGTTGAGCTGGCTCGCTTTATGAGTGGGAGTAATAGAGCGGATGATAAACCAGAGACTATATTTGACATAAAAGATACTGCACAGATGATGCTACCGCTAAATACCCTACACATAGATGTTCCCTACTCAGATCGACGGTCCGACTACGCTAAAACACCAACTACTCTACATCGTACACAATGGTCCCTGGCGGTACCGGATTGTAGTCCCATCTGTCCTCCATGCTCTTAAGATACGCGTCAGCGTCGAAGGTGACAACCGGGCGGATCGGACGTCGAGGAAGGACGGGCGGAGCGGCGATTTGGGGGGCAGGAGCTGGAGAGGTTTTGGAGGATTTGGCAGGGGAGTGACGGAGGGGGGTGGGAGGGGCTTTGGGGTTCCAAAAGAAGTCGTCATGCTCGTCGTACATCTCGAAGTCGTCCTCAATGGGCTGGACGACCGGAGAGTTGACGAGCGTGCTGGCGCCGCGTGAAGTGGACGGACCCGAGACGACGGTACTAGCCGTCTCGTAGTCGTCGTTGTCGTCATACTGCTCCTGAAGCGCCGGTAGCTCCGGAAGCTCCGGCAGCTGAGGTAGTGCTGGCGACGCATCCGGCAGCTCCGGGACCTCGGGCAAGTCCTCCTCGGCCTCCTCCGTAAGGTCGACGAGGTCGTACCGTTCCTTCTTGGGGATGATGGGGACTCGGGGGAGTGTGTGGGGGACGATGGTGTGGCGGATGAACGTAATATCGTCATCATATGCGGGCATGCCGCTCGAGTCTCGGTCGTCCTCGTCCTCATCGTCCTCCAGGTCGGTAAGATCAATGATCATGGCCATCCGAGGAGCTTCGACGAGTTCAGGACCACCGAGCTCAGAGTCGTCGTCATCGATGATGATAGCGTCGGGGTGGAGCGGGTCGGCCTGGGAGCTGGAGGTAGAGGAAGAGGAGGATGGGAGGGACGCGGATGGTAGGGAGACGACTCGCTCGGGGTGATTTGGGCATTTACTAAAAAGTCAGTACCCTCCTGTCACAAGGTCTGGCAACTCGAGACTGACCATCGGGCGAAATTCTTTCCAACTGCTGGATCAGCATATGTTCGCGCCACGTGACTTGAGTGTGCAAGTCAACTTACAGTATTCTTTCCCATAAGATGCGAACAGCTGCTCTCCTTTTGCGATAGGCTTTATCGCCCACAGGCTCTGCTGTGTGCAGCCTCTGACCTTGTGAGTGTCCGAGGAGTGGACGAAGCGCCATTCCACATTGGGTGTGCAGCTATGCTAGTCCATCAGCTTCCTTCCATTTCCTTCCTACCCTCTATATAACAGAACCATCGGCGCCTCGACTCACATTAACGAATTTCGCAGGCCCGCATCCGACCGATGCCATCCTCCCACGTCCTTTGAACTGCATCCGGGTGTCGAGTCCCTGCAGAGTCGTAGGAACGCCGACAAGAAGGAACATCGCTCCAAAGACTTCTCCTTCTCGTCTGATGTCTTTCCGGGCGAAGAGCCCCAGCTCGCATGGACCGTAGTCTCGGACGGACTTGACCTCGGCCACCGAGCTGGGCATGTGAAAGTCGCGGTATATTAGCTGGAGGGCGGTTATCGCAGGCTCCAATTGGTATTCTGCGGGTAGGGCGGAATGTCTGTAATCAGCTCTGAGTATCCCTGCGAAAGTTCGAGACTCACGTATTACGAAACGCGTCTTTGGCCGCGCTTCGAGTACCCCCTGTCTCTGGCTGTACTATCAGCTGGATAGATCTGATACGGCCCAGAGGTACCACTCACGGTGTAGTCCAGATTCACGCTCGTGCAAGTCCTCAAACCTGTCCCCACCGCGCCCGAGATCGTCTTTGACAGCTTACTGCAAAGATCGTCGAACGCGCAGATCATGATGGCTCTTTCGCCGGTCAACGGCGGGTGCCTGACCCTTGGCTGGGGAGGCGCCCGCTTCCGCTTAAGTGCCATGACTGTGGTATAGTGTGATATGTATGATGAGTCCAATCGAAAGAGGGAAGGAAGTGATCAGCGGGGCGAAGGGGTCCCTCGAAATTCCAGAGGGACGAGGAAGAGGGGCCGTGCGGATGCGTGTGTGTGCCTGGTTGAGTGACCGAGTGTTTCATGTTGCCTTTCCAGCGCCGGAAGGGGGAGGAGCGGGAGAGGAGCGGGTGGGCATGGTCGGACTGCCCAAGGCCATTTTAGGCCGAGACAGGAGACGGAAAGAGCTTCACATTCCTCCTCTTGTTCTCCTCCTGCCACAAGGAATGCTGCTGCTGCTGCCACTGACGCACTTGAAGCTTGACCCGAAGAAGCGGGGACCGAATAAAGGTGAGACCGAAGGCCACGTTTTCGGAGGGAGCGGCAAATCACGGCTGCGGTCCAAGGCGGGCCGGTCAACCGGCGGTGCGAAGCAAGAAGTCGGTCCAGCTCGTCAAAGCTCGTCCTTATAAGGTGGATCAAAGGAGGAGAGTTACGCCCAGCTTCTTGTCATACTCACAGAAGCCACTCCCCTCCAACCGTACTTCGCTCTCGTACTTCCACACCATGTCTAAGCCAGACGCCAATACTCCCCGGCCCTTGGGCACTAGCACCGAAGCCTCCGAGCTCTCGCAGCAACAAGCGACCTACCTCCCCCCTTCCGACAATGCCCTCAAGTACGCCAAGGGTATCCAGCGACACGTCCCCGCAAAGCCGCACGCCAGTCTCACAGAGACCAAGTCCAACCCGCACCTCATCAAGTCGGTCGAGAGCTTCTATGTCCGCCCGCGCTGGCTGTTTGTCCGGATCGAGACGGAGGGTGGGGTGGTCGGATGGGGAGAAGGCACGCTGGAGGGGCACACTGAGGCTGTCCAGGGCAGTCTGAGGGATATCGGCAGGAGGTGAGTCTATAGCTTGGACAGAGCTGACTCCAGGCTGAAAGGGTGGGATGCGATGAACATTGAGGACATCTACACGTACCTCTATAGGCATCGCTTCTACCGTGGTGGAGAGGTCTTAATGTCCGCCATGAGCGGTGTGGATATTGCGCTATGGTGAGTAAGATAATGGGGCTGAGCTGATGACAGGGATATCAAGGGCAAGGTGCTCGGTGTGCCGGTGTGGGAGCTGCTCGGCGGGAAGGTCAGGGAGGCGTGCCCAGTCTACGGCTGGGTTGGGGGTGATCGGCCCTCGGATGTACTTGAGCAAGCCAAGGCCAGGAAGGCGCAAGGCTTCACTCGGGTCAAGATGAATGTAAGTCCTGCTGTGCTCCGAGCTGACTTTAGGCCACCGAGAGTATCGCATGGCTCGACTCCCCTCACGCGCTGGATGAGACGGTCAAGCGTCTCGCTGAGGTCAAGTCGATCGGGATGGATGTCGGACTGTGAGTACCCCTCTTCGTCCCAGCTGATCTCAGTGACTTCCACGGCCGAGTCCACAAGGCCATGGCCAAGCAGCTCGCTCAGCTCCTCGAACCCCACCGCCCACTCTTCATCGAGGAACCCCTCCTTCCCGGGCACCCCAATGAGCTCAAGGACCTCTACAACAAGACCACCATCCCTATCGCCCTCGGCGAGCGTCTCTTTACTCGCGAAGACTGCCGACCCTACTTTGAGCTCGGGTGTATCGACATCATCCAGCCCGACATCGCTCACGCTGGAGGAATCACCGAGACGCGCAAGATCGCCATCATGGCCGAAGCGTACGATATCGGCGTTGCGCCGCACTGTCCCCTCGGCCCTCTTGCATTCGCCGCGAGTCTGCACATTGGATTCTCGACGCCCAACTTTGTCGTCTGCGAGATGTCATGGAAGGTGAGTCAAGGCATAAATAGGAGCTGACGGTAGATGCACTACAACGTCGGCGCGGACTTATTCACATACATGAAGAACCCCGAGGTGTTCAAGGTCGTCGATGGCAACATCATGCTCATGACCGGTGTCGGGCTCGGCGTGGAGCTGGATGAAGAGCTGATCAGGAAGGAGGCGGCAGAGGCGGCCAAGATTGATCCGTGGATCAACCCCTTGTTCCGTGGTGATGATGGGTCGGTGCGCGAGTGGTAGACGCAGGAGTTAGATGTGTATGTATTGCATTGTTCAAAAGTATTAAGAGCCATCGACACGAGGATAGCCCAATCCAGCCATCTCCGGGACGTCTTTCCCTTCCTTCCGTACCATCACGCCGTGATGTTCTCCTTGAAGAACTGCCATCAGCTTCGCCCCTACCCGGACTCACCTTGCCCAACCAATACGCCGAGTCCTTGGGCGTGCGCTCAAACGTCTCGTAGTCGGTATACACACACCCAAACCGGGGAATCAGACCCGAATTCCACTCAAAGTTGTCGAGGAACGACCAGGCAAAGTATGAGCGCAGGTCTACGCCGTCCTGCTCAACCGCATCGCGCAGGTTGGTGAGGTACCCATCATAAAACTTGACTCGGAGATCATCGTGGATGCTGCCATCAGCTACGCTTAAGGGTAGACTTACGCTTGATCCTTTGGTATGCTCGACTCGCCTGGAGTAGGGTAGCCATTCTCGGTGATATAGATGGGCTTCTGGTAGCGGTTCCAGAGGTAGGTAATGTACTTCCTCACTCCCCACGGTACAGCCCTGTGCCAGTCCATCGACGCTATCCATCAGCCCTGACCATGCCCGCACTCACATTCCCATCCGATAGTCTCCCCATCCTTGGTCACGAATCCCAACTTGGCCTTGCCCGCCGCCTCGTCCGTCCCGCCCGCCTGAACGATGTTGGTCGTATAGGTGTTCGCACCAAAGAACTCTGACGAGTCCTTGAGCAGCTCCAGCTCGGCCGGCGTGAACTCCGGTAAACGATCACCGAGCATCTCCTTCATGGATTCCGGGTAGTGACCGAGGTAGATCGGATCGGCGAACCATCCGACCGCAGCGTCCATCTTGTTCTGCGCGGCTTTGACATCTACGTCAGCGCTGCTCGTGGTCAAGGCTTACTCTCTGGGGAATCATCATACGGCTCGGTCCAATCCCCGTTGAGCGTGATGCCGATGATACCCTTCTGGGTCGGCTTGAAGTCGCTCAGGTAGAGCTTGGCGGCGGTAGCGTGAGCGATGAGAAGCGAATGACCGACGATCCAGGGCTCGGTATCGCTCGTGTGACCCCTGATTTCAGCGAGTTCCAAGCGAGAACTTACGGTGCGAACTTTCCATGATAGTGCCCATGCGCAGCAACGCACCACGGCTCGTTAAAGGTCAACCAGAGCTTGCAGCGATCGCCATATCGTTCGAAGCACAACTTGGCGTAGTGGGTGTAATCCTTGACGATCTCCTCCTGGTTGAGCCAGCCGCCGTACCGATCTTGAAGCTCTTGCGGGAGGTCCCAGCTGTTTGTCAGCGATAGCAGGTGCATGCACGTACTGGTAAAGAGTGATCATGGGCTTGATGTTGTACTTGAGCAGCTCATCGATGAGGTTGTCGTAGAATTGTAGACCCTTTTCGTTGACAGGGTCATTCCGACCGCCTTTGGGGATGATCCTTGGCCAAGAGATGGAGAAGCGATACGAGTTGACGCCTAATTTCGCGAGGACTGATATCAGTCTTGTGGCAGGTCATTACTTACGGGCAACATCCTCCTTGTAGTTGTCAAGATGAGCGCAGGTCTTGTTGACATGCGAACCATCCTCGATCTTGCCGGGCGTTTCGCAGTACTTGTCCCAAATCTACCTGTCAGCGACTGACGTCCCCCTCGCACCGCCGAGGTGCCTAGCTAATCCGCCGAAAAATGAGGGCGAAGATGGAGTGCTCACAGATGGACCCCTGCCCGACGCTGCCTCGGACTCAGCACCCCCACCCTCGATCTGCGCAGAGGCAGTAGCGAAACCCCAGAGAAAGTCCTTGCGGAATGGCATGTTTGGTTATGGCAAGTACGAGATGGATGAGGAGAGAAGCATGAGATAGTTGATCCCTCTGGACTATATAGGAGCCAAGCAAGGGGGGCGAGGGGGACAGCGAAGCAGGCGGAGGAAGGTAACACGCGCTCCGGCGCCGGATGGGTGCATGCGGTGGATTGATGCGGAGGAATGCTGCGGCGCCGAGTATGGGCCGATTAAAGGGAGGGAATAATTACAGTCGACGCGACTTGCTTTCCGGGCTCGGCCAGGTTGCTGCTATATTTCAATTGCTCTTCAGTCCGCCTCTCTTCCTTCTTCTCTTAGCAACCCAGCATACATCCAGTACAGCCTAGCAAACAGCTGCAGACCGCTCTCATATAGCAGCCAAAGCAACAAGACTCTCGCTCACCTCTCCGGGGCTCATCGCTCTCACTCACTCACTTCGGGTCGAACCGATACACTCCTGCCTTCCTTCCTCCCCGTTTCCCCTCATTGCTTTCGCCGCCCTTACTACCGGAATCCTCAAGTCCACATACGGTATAATCACAGTCATCCCTCCGTCCTCTCACACACGCCAGACTTCAAGATCTCGGAAACGGAAATCAAGAAACGTTCTCCGGCCTCTCTCCCGCTCGTCCGTGATCAAGCAAGAATCAACGGTACCGAACTTCCTTCTCTCAAACGCACTCGACCCCATGCGGACCGGCAATTCGATGTCGGAAAACGACTTTGCGGCGGGCGCGGCGGGCGGGACCGCGGCTACGGATGTTAACGGCGGGCTCGAGAAGGTTGAGAGCAATCCCGATGACGATTGGAGCCCGGAACCCCACTCCTGCTCTTCGTCGCCGGTCAGCGAGGATCAGCGGAGCGCAAAGAGGAAGAGGGAGGATGAGGTGAGCCCTAAGAAGGAGGGCTTGAGTCTCGGCTGATGAGCAGACCCTCGTTCCTGACAGCGATGAGGACAGTAGCTTTGATGGCGAAGACGATAAGCTCTACAAGCGATCGAAGACGGGTGGTTCGGTCACCGAGGATGCCGCGGCTGGGAGGCAGGAAGACGGGGAATGTGCCTCGCAGGCCATAGCGGACAGCAAAGACAACACCGTGAGTCTTTCAGTCTGACTCGGTCAAGCCGAAGCTGATTTGCAGGGAGACATCTTCACCGGCGGCCTATACCAAATCTATTTGCTTGCCTCGCGGGGATTGTCAGCCAACGCCCCCTCCGCCGCCTCGGTTTCCCTCATTCCTCATCCGCCATCAACCTGCGGCGACCCCGGGAACGAAGCGTCTCCAGCCATGCATGATATCAACTTCGGTCTCATTGCTTGCGCCACCTACGCCGGTCGGGCCGACAAGCAGACGGCCGATTTAGAGGCCGAATTGCTCGATACTTCTGCCGAGGTCGGAAGGCTACAAATCAAGCTGAAGAGGGTGGAGGCGGATGGGGATCGCATGGGTCGATGGTGGTTGGAAGAACGTGGTCGGCTCAGGCAGGAAAAGGCTGCCAATGTGGCCCTATCCGGGAAGTTGAAAGAGATGGAGAAGATCAGCGCGGAGAATACGAAAGCGATGGCTTTGGCGGCGACTGAGCACGTGGAGTCGGCCCGACAAAGCAAGGCGTACGCCGAGGAGAGAACGGCTCGGCTGCAGGCGGAGGCGGCGAAGGGCGGAGCGGAGGTGGAGAGGGACGACTTCAAGCGGAAGTACGAAGAGGAGAAGAAAGCGCGGGAGGCGGCGGAACGGGGCGGAAAATATGCGGAGAAGGCCAAGCAGGACCTGCAGGAGCGATTGCGGGCCATCAACAATTTGATTCCTGGCGACATCAGGGAATATAGCAAATAGATAGAGCCAGAGCGAGTCCCATCGTCAGTAGTCTGAATCAGTGTATATAGAAGTGTAGCCTCGTTCGTAAATCAGTGTATATAGCAGTGTAGTCCCCTCCGTAGCTCGGTCAAGTTGTCTATAGCGTCTGTGATATAGATAAGCTTATGTATGCCTCTATTCTAACATTCTCGCCCCATATGCTCTCCCGGCCGACAAGATTTACCTTGTCCTTCCATGCCCAGCCTCATTGCGCTTTTCCAGCAAGTACAACCGCCGTCGATAATACCAGGGGCGATATCAGCAGCTGGAGCGATACGAGCTTGACGAGTTCCATGTGCGGGACGATCGGGATGACACCGAGAGCCGGAGCGGTAGATTTTGGTCGGTTCGGGATGTTGGAGAAGAGTGATGTGATGGTGAGGACGATGATGGGTATCGAGTACGCCAGGACGATCCCTACTCCGATCGCCCATCCCTTCCCGACCGCCTCGTACGACCCCCTCGACGCCGCCTTCATCCCCCACATCCCCACATCCCCCAGCATCGCCCCCTTCCCTTGCACCAGTCTCCGTATCAGCGATCCCCATAGCATCACCCCCACCACATTTAGCCCGACATACAGCCTCGCTGCATTCAGGTAGCCTAGTCTGACGACGAGCGTAATCTTGCCTCCCAAGATATCCGCGTCGATATCGTGGATGTGCATGATGAGCACCCTGGCCTGCTCAAAGCAGTACATGGCGCCGAGCATGATCCAGAGGGTCTTGTCGAGTCCGAATTGCCCTATTGTGGGAGCAAAGAGGACGTCCGCCGCAGTGATGAGCCGAGAAGAGGGATGGGTGGCCGTGTAGTAGCCGCTGAGACCCCAGATGACCGATACGGGCGAGAGGAAGAGGGCCGAGACGATCTCGCCGAGGGAGTTGTAGTGGAGCCGGAGGGGAGGGCCGACGTATTCCTGCGACAGGAAAGTAGAGATGGTACCGACCCAGAGGGCAAAGCCCTTGAATGGGGTGGTCCGGGTAGAGGTGGAAGAAGGATTGAGGAGTGGGTCGAGATTCCGAGAGTAGAGGATCATGGCGATGATGAGGAGCTGGACAAACCCGCTCAGCACGAGCGAGACCCATGGGGGGAAAGTACCGTCGTGGATGATCCGAGTGGTGTTGCCCATGATCTTCTCGTTGAGCTCCCGCTTGGTGCTGAGCTTGTCGGTATCGGTCAGCCCCTCCTGGCTGTGCGAGAGGGCATGCCCGCTGACTCCTTCCCTTGCCTTCTCGCCTGAGCCGCCGCCTCCGCTGAGCGCTTTCCGCTTCTCCACCTCCCGCTTGATGGCAGCCACCTGGCCAGGCCGGTCCATCTGCCAGTCAAAGTACTCGTTTCCATAGTTGATCGAGATATTCTGCCAATCAGCTCATCTTCCCCGGGCAGCTTCTTCCGTCGACGTACTGTTCCCCATGTCACCAGCATACACTGAAGCATAGCTATATAGTCGAAGCTTCTGCTGATATTAGCTTAGCCCTGTAACTTTCCCTAGTGCAAACTCACTCGGACGTGGGGAACGTCTTGTGCGAGACAATACACCCAAACATCGTCCATAATGGCACCTCGCTTGCGAGCGGTATCCGGCCAAGCGCAAACAACGCACTGGCCTTCCCTGCTAGGGAGAGCTGCTGTGGGTCGTACATGCTGTCTTTTACTGGTAGAGGTGCAAGTGGAGGAGAAGAGAGCAAAAGCTGACGGTCGTCGGCCAACAGGGGTCAACATGGGCCATACTCAGGCACGACAACGATGACGCAAAGATCGGGATCGGCCTGGAAGCTGGAAGCTGGAAGGCCTGGGCCTGAAGCTTGGACGATGGCCCTCATCTTTGCCTTTCCATCTTCCTCACTTGCATAGCATAGATGCCTATACCGCGGCGTAATCTCAGCTCCATCCGACCGGCGGAAGGCCCCATTCTCATACACTGACCCATGTCCCATACTTACTGCTCGGCGGTCGAAGGCTTCTCTCTCACTCAGCCGGGTTTCTTGGAACACCGGCTATATACTGACCTGTGGCAGCTTGATGAAGCTGCCCGAAAGCAAGACAGAGCGCGAACCAACATCACCTATGAGGGTTCAGGGAGGTCCAGCTGAGTCTGGACGAGCTATTGAAGCGCGCCTGCGACTGTTCCCAAGAAGGCGGAGCGATCGCACCAGGTTGGGTACACACAGCAGTCGTAGCTGAGCGGGTTGTGACATCGAGAAAGGGTACATTCAGGCCGGTAGCCCACAGTGGGCGCATCGAAGGTCACGGTGGACGCAACGCTAACGCATACCCGGGGTGAAAGTCCCTCGGCGACGGACAAGGGCTGGCCAAGAAGTTCCGGATGAGCGAGTCTCTGATTATAACCTGAGGTGTGAGGGTGCTATCACAGTCCTGACCTGCATATGATGCTAAATTATCGCTACGTATATACAATGTCCTGCCTTTCCTAGCAGGATGATGTGATTCTATGATCTATGGAAAATCTACCTGACCGCCCCAAACTCTCCTGTGTTATCTGACTTGGAAGCCTTTGTGTAGGCTGACCTTCCCACTGCCCTATGTCTCCGCCCCAGCAAGTATCACCGCCGTTGAGAGCACCACCGGAGTGACCAGGAGCTGAAGTGAGACGACCTTGGCGAGGTCCCGGGGCGGGATAAGCGGAATGAAACCGGTCGTCGCACCTGTCGATTTGGACCGATTGGGTGTGTTCGAGAAGAGCGAGAGAGAGGTAAGGACGATGACCGGGATCGAGTACGCCAGGACGAACCCTACGCTCACCGCCCAGCCCCTCCCCACCATCGCCTTGGACCCCGATGTCCCCACGCTTCCGAGCATGGCGCCTTCCCCTTGCAGCAACCTCTTGATCAACCACCCCCACATCGCCACCGCACCGACGTTGAGACTGGCGTACAGCCTAGCGGCATTCACGAAACCGACGCGGACGATGCGCGTCACCTTTCCGCCGAGCCGGTCCGAGTCGATATCGTGAATGTGCATGATGAGGATCCTGGCCTGGACGGTGAGGTACATGGCGCAAAGCATGATCCAGAGCGTCTTGTCGATCCCGAAGCCGGCGATGGAGGGAGCGTGGAGGAATGCGTATGCGGTGATGAGGGGAGAGGTAGGGTGGGTAGCGGTGTAGTGTCCCGCCAACCCCCAGAGGAAGGAGACGGGTGAGAGGAGGAAGGAGGAGATGACCTCGCCAAAGCCGTTGTAGTGTAGCCGGAGGGGAGGTGCGATGTACTCTTGCGAGAAGAAGGTAGAGACAATCGCGATCCAGAGCGGAAACCCTTTGAAGGGAGAGGTGTGGAGGGACTTGGAGGAGGGGTTGACAGAGGGGTCGAGATATCGGGAGTAGAGGACCATGATGACGACGAGTAGCTGGACGATGGCGCTGATAGCGAGTGCGGTCCACCGGAGGAAGGTCCCGTCATGGATGATACGGGAGTTGCCACCCATGATTTTCTCCTCCAGCTCCGCCTCCCCCGCTCTTGACACGTCGTGAACTGGTCCGTCCTCACAGTCTCCTTGCTTCCCTGTCGGCATGCCCGCGCCCAGTGCCCTTCGAGCCTCAACATCCCGCTTGATCGCAGCCACCTGCAGCGGGCGATCCATATCCCAATCGAAGTAGTCATTGCCATAATTTATTGATATGTTCTGGGTGATATCAGCCATGATGCGCGATGTCACTCTACGACTTGTTACTTGACAGTACTTACGGTTCCCCAGGTGACGAGCATGCATTGAAGCATGGCCAAGTAGTCAAAGCTCCTGCAGAGTCAGTGTTTCCTCTATACTCAACGAGCTCGTCCAAAGGACCTACTCGGATGTTGGAAACATTTTGCGGGAGACTATACACCCAAAGATTGTCCAAAGTGGCGTCTCGCTTGCGAGGGGGATTCGGCCCAGGAGTAGTAGGGCTCTGGCCTTTCCGGCGAGAGATAGCTGCTGTGGATCATACATGGTCTCCAGTTGAGTAGGAGGGGAAGTGATGAGACGAACGCGTTAGCTCCTCGGTGTGATGCGATGCGCTTCTGATGAAAGGTCGGTCGACTCCTATGGGCGTCGATCTCAGGCACGACGATGACGCAAAGATAACGCGTAACGGTCGATCGACGCCGAGCGCCGCGGAGCTCCGAAACCGATCTCCGAGCATGTCGGTGCTTCACGGAGAGGGTCGGGCTATACCGATACTACAGGAATGGTATTCGGACAGCTCTCGTGAGTCTCCTGACCTACAGCTGGGACTCACATCCTGTCTGAACGGCGCCAGAGCTGGCAGAAACTTTGATGGTCGGATTTGCATACCTCACCAGCTTACGGCACTGATATCGCCCTCTGGAGATCTCCGAGATGACCCGGCTATGGCGCTCCGGCCTCCGTCATCCAGCTCGACCCGAGCTGTTGACGCAGGAGCTGCAAAGTCTACTGGCTGAGTTCTTGACTAGACCACACGCTACTCATCTCTAAGTCATATCCCATCGCTGCTGCCAGACAGCTGCTCTCGCTTCATCAAACCCAAAATCAAGGGCCATGCTCTCCGCTAGACCGGCATGTCGGGCTTGCCAACTGGGCAGGAGTGTTGGGCGGACATTTTCGACTACCCCAAGAGCGGACAAGGACAAGCTGGTTGTGCTCGGGAGTGGATGGGCTGGCTACAATGTAGCAAGGTGCGTGATCGCCAGTAAAGCGATCTATCCGGGTGGTCGCTCATGAATCTAGGCAAGTCGACAAGTCCTTGTATGATGGTGAGGATACTATGGGTCTGCCTACATCGGTACAGGCTGAATAAGTCCAGTGACCGTCGTCTCACCTCGGTCTCACTTCTCCTTCACACCTTTTCTAGCAAGTGCGGCGGTCGGCACCCTCGAATTTAGATGTACAACTGAGCCAATAAGAGGAATCAAGGAGGTCAAATATGCGCAAGGCTGGGCCAATACTATCGGTAAGATTCGGCGTATAGCTCTTCTGATATGGATCTGACGAGTCCAGATTTTGATGCGAAAAAGGTCGAAGTTGAGCCAGCGGTGCCAGCTATGCCTGATTTCGACGCCGACCTGGCTAATACCCCTCATCCGCCTGTGGAGAAGGGGATGTACAAGCTGGACTACGACAAGCTGGTCATAGCCGTTGGAGCATACTCTGCTTCATTTGGTATACCTGGTGTAGGCTCCATCCTCGAAGTACTCCTCGCTCGTTCTGAGCTGATTCATCAGGTAGCAAAGCACGCGCATTTCTTGAAGGATGTGCAGGACTCGCGAGCTATTCGAATGCGTCTCTTGTGAGCTCGATTGCTTCTCTTACCACTGCTGGGGGATGTGCTGATACTCCACAGAGAAATACTAGAGCAAGCTTCTCTCCCCAGTATCTCTCAATCTCAACGCGAGAACCTCCTCCGGATAGCCATAGTAGGCGGTGGGCCCACCGGCGTCGAGTTCTCAGCCGAGCTACACGACTTTGTCGAGCAGGACGTGTACCGCCTATACCCGCACTTGAAAGGCCTGGTCAATATTACGCTATATGATGTCGCACCGCACATCTTGCTGAGTTTCGATGAGTGAGACTACCCTTTCTCTGTGCCGGTTGGAAAGCGAGACTGATCAGTTAGGAGCCTTCGAGATTACGCAGAACGCAAGTTCAAGCGGAATGGTGTGGCTGTACGGGGAGGAAGTAAGGTTCTAGCGGTCGGAGAGGACTGGCTGGAACTAGATGGGATTGGCAGAGGTATGTTCGCACGTGCTCTTATCAGGCAGTAGCGTTGCTGACGTCTCCTCAGAAGCCTTCGGTTTACTGGTCTGGAGCACAGGGTTATCCGCAAATCCCTTCGTCGAGCGCCTCGAGGGTGTATCGCACGATGACAAGACCAAGTCGTATGTCCCTGCTTGCCATCTCCTTCATCGATGACATCGCTAATGTAGTAGGTTGCTGGTCACGCCTCACCTCAATCCCGTCAACCCAGCGGGTCAACCCATCCCCTCCGTCTACGCGATTGGCGACAATGCGACCCCAGCTTCCGGCGATCGACTGCCCGCTACCGCGCAAGTAGCGAGCCAGATGGCCAAGTACATCAGCAAGCGGCTTAACGGGATTGCCACTGGCGAAGTCGAGGGTGAGGGCAAAGGAGAGGGCTTCGAGTGGAAGAATAGGGGCAGTATGGTGTTTGTAGGGGACTACCGAGTAGGTCCCATGTAGCTCGAAGGCTGAATGAGAACCGACGCTGACGATGCAGGCGGTAGTAGATCGCTCGGCATCCTCCGTGTCTGGGATCCGCGCCAGGATCTCGGGGCTGGTAGCGTGGGTAATGTGGCGGTCGTACTACATGACTCTTGCTATGGGGTGGCGGAACAAGCTCCTGGTGCCGAGTAAGTTGGTTGAGCTGTATGGAGAAGGAGCTGACAGAACAGTGTACTGGACCCTCGCTATATTTTTTGGTCGGGATATTACGCGTAAGTGCTGCTCATAGCATCAGAGCAGAGCAAGGTCAGAAGAAGTCAGCTGACGGTGATAGGTTTCTAGATCAATCTCCGAGACTGGCGCTCTACCCCCGTTGCAACGGGGCGGGCAGACTTACAGATTATCTTATGCATACATACAGTGACGTGCTTGCCCACTGGCTCCCTTGACCGCTCCCATCAATTCTGGCCTATATCCACATGTTCAAGTGGTGTCTCGTGTAGTCCTGACCTGACGCCAGATCGCCCGCCGAGCCGAGTTGAGGATAGAAGGGGACGAGCGCGTCCGAAGAGCCGAGTATAAGTGTGTCTGCGGAATCAGCATCATGCTCAAAAGGAAACAATACGAGGGGATAAACTCACTGAATAATCGCCAGTACACCTCCCTCACCCGCCTAGCCGGGTGATACAGCCCCTGCAGCACATAACTCAACACCACACCCGGTCCCACACCCAACCGCATCGCCTCCAGCGCATCCATCATCCCACCAATGACGTGCGGACTCGTCTCGAAAATATTTGGCCAGACGAGGTTCATCAGATGTGTCAATGCCTCCTCGTACCCCAGCCCCGCGACACCGATAGCCAGGTGTTTGACGATAGCCGCTGCGGTCTGACGATGGACGTGGTCCCGGTCCGTAAGGGCGTCCTCGAGGAGTCCGACGACCGAGTGGATATAGTCCTTGCCCTGCTCGCCGACGTATTCGAAGACGAAAGCGAGAGCTTTGAGACATCCGTTCCGCACATTAAGCTCGGGCGTGCGGTATTCGTTGAGGATGGCGGGAACGCAGGTGAAGGGACCACAAGTCTCGGCGACGATGGCTGATAGTCAGCTCTGTTTCCTAGATCAAGACAAGAAGAGGGAAACTCACCGATAGCGATAGTAGAACACACTCGAGACTGACGCTCCTGGACCTTCAGATTGGTCAGGAGCACGCTCAGCACATCCTGCGGACCGATAGCCTTGGCAATATAACCAAAGGAGTTGACGGCCGCCCGTCGGATCGCCTTTTTGTGCGCCTTGAGCAGATCCAGCAGCTCGAAACAGATTCGCATCCATTCCTTGGCTGGAACAAACTCGGCTCCTCGGTCGGCGATACGTCCGATAAGGTTGATGGTCGCCTCTTGGACCTTTTCGTGCCTGTTCCGCAAAATCGGCGTCATTCGGGGAACTAACATCAGTACGAAGTTTCGGTATATAGACCTACGTAGATCTTTGACTGGCGGGTTCATTTCGGACATTCCGACGACACCGGCAATAGCTCCCTCGGCGGCGATAAGACTGGGCGTCAGCTATGCTCAATGAACGATAAGAAAAGTACTCACGATCCTAGCGCATCCGGATACTCTTCACCCAACTGCTCAAAGATGACTATTCCCAGCTTGTTCAAAAGTTGCAACTCCCCGTTGGACATGATGACCGGCGCCAAGCGTGTAGTGAGATCCGCCGCGAGCATACGGACCTTGGCCGACTTGTTGGTCAACCGCCAGAGGATCATCGAGACGATTTGGGGGAGGTATGGCTTGACCCGGATTCCGAGGGCAGCGACGACCGTGCCGAACCCATCGAGCATCACGCTATCCTCGAGTGTCTGCTCCTGGAATGCAAAGATGATACCATCGATGAGCAGCACCTCCAGCCTTTCATCGATATCCGCCGCGCCCGTATTGTTGATGACTTTGGTAATAGTCTCCATGACCATCTTCCGGAACGGCTCCGACTCGTCTTTGAGGTCATTGCAGATCCGGCTGACGATAGTGGCAACGCCCGCCTTGGTCGCGAGCTCGACGGTGGTCTCGACAAGCTGACGGTAATTCCGCTTGTCGAGCGCCATCCGCCGCACCCAGAAAGCACGGAAGAACTCCGGCAACACCTCCTCCCGGATGTAGGTCGGCTGTACACCCTCCGTCATCGCACACTGCTTGATCACCTGCAGCACAATCCGCCTCATCTCCTCGTCCGACGTCTGGAATTCTCGGATGAGAATAGGCATACACTCACGCACATAGTACCCGGCGTACTCGGGGTCCATGAGCGGGATAATGTATCCGATAGCCTTGAGGAACGCGGCGAGCGTCTTGCCCCGATGTTGACGGATACCGAGCCAGAGGGGTTTGAGGACGTCGTCAAACGACTCGATACCGTATGGCGCGGCCGACTCGGCGAGGGCGGCCAGAGCGAGCGCGGTCATGGTCCGGACCTTTTGCTGCTCGTCCTGCAGACCGTTGGCAATGGCGTCGACGAGATTGCGGAGATGGGGAAGTACAGCGCAGCCCATCATGACTGCGATCTGCTGGATAATGCGGATACCGGTATGTCTCGCCTGCCATGATTTCTTGCTTCGGCAGACGGCTTTGAGGAAGGGAAGGAGGGAAGGGATACCGAGGGCGGAAGCGACGACCGAGAAGGCACGGGCAGTGGTGTTCCGGACGTACTCGTCGACGTGGTCGATATCCGGTCGCATGGTGGAGATCATGTGAGCGAGACCGGCCGCCTTGGCGAGGTTGGAGATGATCTCGCGACCTTCTACACGAGCGTAGTAGTCTTCGTCAATCAGGAGGGGTTCGATAACGACGAGGATTTTGTGGACGTAGGGGCGGACGAGGTCGTCGAGCTTGTATAGCACGCGATCAATGACTTTGACGAGGAGGTGCCGCTCCTGATCCTCCAGTGTCCGCTCCATGAGCAAAGGAAGGATCTTGTCGAAGAGTGGTCCGGCGCCAAAGTCCCTCGCCCGATCCGTGATCTGACGAAGAGCCGTCTTTCGCACCGGCGGCGTCCCGTTCTTGATCTTGAGCAACAACCTCATGATCTTCCTCTCCTTCAGCTCATCCAGCGAAAAGTGGACATCGTCCTCCTCCCCGCCTCCCTCACCCAGCACCTTGGCAAAGTACTGCGCGTCCTCGGGCTTGAGGAACTGCAGTGTTCCAATCCCCTCGATCTCGGTCTGCTGGTTGGTCGTTCCCGATATTCCGCCGGCAGCTTGTCGTGCCCGAGCCGAATCCGTCTCCTCCTGCATCATGAACCCCTGCTCGGCCGATTGAACAGGGATCATCTTCCGGACCGACGCTGCCGGCTTGTAGTCCTCGGGCACGGGGCAAATGACATACCCCTCGCCCTTACCGGGAAGAAGCGCGTCCAGCTCCTCATCCGTCATCCGCCTATACCGCTTGTCCTCCACCATGATCACGCCCGCCTGCGCCCCTTCTCCCATCTCGCCCTTGATGACGTCTCCCGCTGCTGGCGTCTGATCCCAGCGCGACTTTTTGGCTCCTGGCGCAGCCTCCTCCTCCGCGGGTGTCTGATCCCATCGTGACCTCCGCTTCTTTGGCGCCGCCGCCAATGCCTCATCCGACCACTCCTTCTTCACCCCATCTTCCTCCTTGACCTCCTCCCCATCATCCCACCTCTTGCGCCGCTTGGATCCATCGGCGGGTGGCGTATCCTCCTTGATCCGACTGGGTGGCGTTTGGCTCCCCTCCGCCAATGCCCGAGGCGGTGTCTTGTCGTCGTCCACCTGCATCGACTCCCCCTTCTCCGCTGCCTCCTTCTCCTGCTGCTCTGCGATCCGCCTGACCCGCTCTTCCTCCCTCTCCAGATTCGTCCGCCTCATTCGATCCTCATAACTCTCATCTTCCCCCTCCCTGCGCCCATCCATCCGATTGAACCGCCGAAGTTGATAGTCGCTCTGCCGAGCAGCGACCTGCTTGATCTTGGCCGTCTCGTCGAATGCGTCAGGCGCGCCTTCTTCCTCCGCCATGGCCGCATGCTCGTCGAGGAGCTCCTGTGGCGCAGAGTAGGACTGCAGCTTGCGGTAGGGCTGTTCCGGCTCTTCCGACATTTTGGCGAACTACGATGGGAGCGTACGCGATGAGAGATAGGGGGCCGTTGCCAGCTAGTAGGGTTTCCGACACAAGCACGAAAGCAGAGAGGTATGAAGGAGATTGAGAGGCAAGCGAGGAGGCGAGCAGCCAGAGGTTCGGCGCTTCAGCGGCAATTGCCGAAAGTGGCAGGTGAGCGGGTGAGTGGCGGAATGAAGTGTGCTTTGCCACCCGCATGTCTCTTGGCCGGTCTGAAGCTGATACTGTAGTGGAACATACGGTGAGCATGCTTGATACAGGAGTATGCACTGTCTACCAGATACATATTGGGGACAGAAAGGGATCTACAAGCTCTGAAAAATCTCATCAACCTCCCACGCCCCCTCCCACCTCTTGACATCCGCCGCTAACTCCGCTTCCTTCCCTTCTTCGAGCATCAAATCCAGCCCCAGATCTTTCCTCACCATCGCCCAGTCCCCAGTTCTGAGCCTGACCATAGGACAGAAATCATTCTTGCCATCACCGACATGCGCAATCTTGTCGAACGCGTCCCATCCGCCATTCTCCCTAATCCACCCGTCGAGCTCGGCGCCTTTGCACATGTTTGGATTGCACATGGTGCAGGCGTGCGGAGGGGCGGATGGGGGGAGATATGGCTCGATAAGCAGCCGATCAGGATGGGTGGGATCCCAGTGAGCGCGATTGCAGAAGAGTGCGGAGAACAGGTCGGAGATGCCGTGAGCCTGATACATCAGCCGGCGAGAATTGAGATGCGCAAGAGGGGAGGAGTGCAGGTAGTCCCAAATCAGACGTACCTCGAGGATCGTATTGATGTAGATCTGGTTCGAGTTGGATAAGCAGACGAATTTGGTGTCTGGCTTGCGCGCCTTCAGGCCAAGCACAGCGCGCTTCATCGCCGGGTGCTGGAGACAATCAGCGGGCACAGTGATCATCGGACGAATGCCTTACAAGAGGAATGGCAGCAATGGCTTCGAGAATCTGATCCTTGGTGATTCCCTCTTCCCAGAGCACCTTCATGGCTGCGTCACTGATCATCAGCTGTGATGCATCTAGTCAGCCACATGCAGCCAGCTGCGGGGCACGGCGGCAGGCGCAGGGCGCTCCTACTTGGCAGTGACGAGGAATGACTCACGTGATGGAAGGCATGAAGCAAGGCGCTTCCTTCTTACCCGCCTGCCATCCACGTCTGGCCTTGGTGGACAGGACCTCCAGCACCCAACGATCGGTATCCTGATCCACGAAGCTCCAGTCAAAGTCGAAGACAATCAGATTCTTTCCCTTGAGTACCATATTTGCGGATACTGTGTGCGCTTGGTGATGATATAAGTATTAGAGACCATTCTTTATAGTGCTTTATATAGCCCTCAGATAGTTGCTCATCCCTTCCATTGTACTGTTCAGCGACTATAGCTCCTTTCACCACCTGCTCCTGCTCGATTTTGCCACCTCGCTCCACCATCAACTGGAAGATACTGGTGGCTACAGGCACTATCCAGCTCTCTTATGGGGCTTTCAGCTTTTGGTATATCGAGCAGCAGACTGTAAGCACTGTACACTTGTAGACCCCATTGAGCAGCACGGCCGCAGCCTGTACCCGTCCAGCTGTACCCATGCCATGCCACTTTCACGCTTCAGGCACGGGTCGTTACGTAAACACCCTTTCACCCGCTGATATTTCCCCGCGAACGATCTCTCCTTCTATCACCTATCGCTCATCCATCATGCCAGCCTCAACTTCAGCCCTCTTATCAGCCATCCGACCCCGAACCGTCTCATTGACGGGGTACAATCACTTCCTTACCCCTTTACGGAAAATAATAATCGATTATGACCCATTATCGCCTTCTCAAGCTGGAATTAGGTCCGCTTTCACCCTGTTCTTGTTGTTGGTCCGAAGAGCAGTAGCTGATGAGCCAGGACATACTTGAAGAGTCCGATGGTGAAGATGGCAGAGGCCAACCCGGACATTGAGGTTTTGGTCCGGAGATTAAGAAGAGGGAAGGCCGCTGTGATTAGGGGGCATTATGGTATGTTCCCTCTCTACCGCAACTTGTCGTCTGCGAGCGCTCGAGTGATTCTGCTTGATGGACCCGGCTTACCAATAGTCAACGGGAGAGATAAGGTCATCTGTGTCAACGGCCTAGAAACCAATGAAATAACGAACAAAGTGAGCTTCACTGTCCTCAACGTCTTCTCACTCATTTGAGAATGAGAAACGATGAGTTCAAGCTGATACACCAGGTCGGCCTTCTTCTTTCAGCCTCGGGAGCCAAGCTCAAGCCGCTCAAGAACCTCACGCTTGAGGCCGCGCCTGGTGCGGAGTCTGCGCGGGGTATCTGGAGCGCCTTGCATGATGAGCGTAAGCCGGGCGGGGGGTATAGAATATAGGAGAGTAGAGAGCATGTACATCTTCGGATACCTATACAGGCAGCGGGAAGAGCAGGGTGAGGCGCAACAGTAATCACTGACGCTCTCCTTATCGGTGGCTTCCCATAAGCCATACTGACTGTTGCATCTAAGGGTACGAGCCGCAACCGCCGCACCCCCTTCCCACCCTACCCTACAACGTCTGGAAGATCTCCTCGACCTCCCAAGCCCCCTCCCACCGCTTCACATCCACCTTCAACCCCTTCTCCGCTCCTTCCTCCTTCACCCTCCCATCCAACTCCATATTCTTCCTAACTAGCGCCCAATCCCCTTTCCTCATCCTCACAATGGGACAAAAGTCATTGCCCCCATCCCCGACATAGCTCACCCTGTCCCATGCCTCCCATCCCCCATTCGCGGCCATCCATGCGTCAAGCTCGTCCCCTTTGCACATGTTGGCCAGGCAGCCAATTTTGCAGCCGTGCGGCGGGGACGTAGCGGGCAGGCGGCGGCCGATGTGTAGGAGAGAGGGGTGCTCGGCGTCCCAGTGGGCGGGGTTGGTTATTATTTCAGAGAAGAGATTGGTGAGGCTGTGTTTCTAGCATGTCAGCGCGAGGTCTGCCGGATCTTCGAGCTGCGAGGCGAGGACAGGAGCGTACCTCCAGGATAGTCCCAATGTAGATCTCGTTCGAGTTGGAGAGACAGAGGAAGGTCGTGTCTGCCAAGCGCTCCTTCAAGCCAAGCACAGCCCGCTTCATTGCGGGATGCTACCGCAGTCAGCCACAGCGTCCTAAGGTGCCGGTCCTGTACCCTAGAAGACGAATAGGAGCACTCACAAGGGGCAGCATCCGCAGAGCATCCAAGATTTGCTCCTTCTTGAAACCCTCGGCATGGAGATCCGCCATGGTCTCGTTTCTGCCATATCAGCTCTTCCTTACATATCTCCTCTCCCAAATTCTCATGACCTCCCATCCAGTCAGAGACGTGAGTATAGTCGCATGAAATGAATGACCTACACAACGTCTGGGGTACACTGCGACCCGCCCGACTTTCTCGTCTGCAATACCCGCCTGAGCGGGGTCGAGAGCACCTCAAATACCCAGCGGTCTGTGTCCTGGTCGACAAACGACCAGTCAAAGTCGAATACTACGAGGTTGCGGGGCATCTTATATACAGGTCAAATGCGATTTTAGAATGGACAAGATGGGGATGAGAAAGAGCTTGTGTTTGGCTCGAGTCTGACTTTTTGGCCAGGAACGTGCCCGGTGGAGGTGTGTGTGTGTCATGTGTGGCAAGTGGCACAAGCCTTGGTGTGCCCCTGCCGCTTCGTATCTCCCTCTGACCTGAGCCTGGCGATGAGTCCTACGCTCCTCCCAGAGCGCCGAGACCTCAAGAGGCTATACTGCAATTGTCCATAGATTACATACTCTACCCCTATCTCCAAAATCCCTAGTGTAATCCCAAGCCCGACCGGACCGCATCCGTCAACGGCCACTCCCCATTTGTCCAGTCCCCGTCTACGCTAAAGACATTGCATCCTCTCAGACCCGCCTGGGCTGCGAATTGGCCTTTGAGGGACATGGACTGCGGGTCGTCGTATGTCACGATCTGGCCCGACTGGGTTGATTTGAGGAAGGGCTATTACATCAGCTAACAGGTTTACACACAAAAGAGATCAATGAAACGGGGCTTACAGTACTGGAGCACTCGTCCCATATCCGCTCAAACCCACCCGCACCGACCCAGTTCCCATCCCAAGACTTCTGCAGCGCACCCTGTCCGACCAGATCATGCCACATGACCTGCCCCTCGGTCGTACTCCACCCCGAAGAAACAGTCGTGAACCGCTTCTCCATCGCCCGGCGCTCACGCATCGGCCACATGTTGCTGGCATTCACGGGCGCCTGGTCGGGCACGTCCCGCTGACGGAGGGAGGTGGCCCAAGATTGCTGGAGATAGCCGTAGGCCGGGACGCCGATGGTTATTTGGGAAGGGTCGAGACCGGCCTGGGTCCAGGACGAGACGGAGGCGTAGGCGTTCGCGAGGGGTTGCGTGGAGTTGCCGCATGCGTCAGAGAGGGGGGCGTTGGGTCCGGGAGTAGATGAGGCTGGGAATCAGCTGGATTGTCTCGATGCAATAAAGTGTACTCACAGCCCCAAATATCGTAGTTCATGATCAAGATCCAGTCAATCACCGCCGCAAAGCCCTTGACGTTGCTCAACGGGGAGCCGTTCGAGCCGGTAAAAGGCCAGACTTGGGTAGCGAGGGTGATGAGCGCTCCGTCCGGCAGGGCAGCTCGGAGATCTTGAAGCATGAGGAGGTAGTTGGCCGAGTCTTGGGGAGAGACAATGTTTCCGTCTGCACCGCCAGCTCCGGGGTACCTAGACATCAGCTTAATTCTCATCTTGTGGTATTATCTACTCACTCCCAGTCAATATCAATCCCGTCCAGGTTGTACGTGTGATACGCGTCCACCATCGACTTGACAAACACCTTGCGCCGTGCCGGATCCGCCGAGATCGGGGAGAAGAACTTGCTTCCCGTCCATCCGCCGACCGATAGCTTGACCCGCTTTCCGTGGGAGTGCGCCGCCTTGACCAAACGGTGGAGGAGATCCGACGACTCGTATTGCGTAAACTCCAACCCGCCGGCTTCGGTAGGGATGGCGAATGCAAAGTCGAGGATGTCGAATCTGCTGTAGTCGACATTCTCGGGGGCGAGGTACCACGAGGACCAGTCGGGATAGTAGCCCGCAAGGATTCGAGAGGGGACGGGAGGGAGGCCATTGGATGGTGCTGGAGAGGGCGAAGGAGATGGAGATGGCGAGGGAGAGGGGGAAGGAGAGGGAGAAGGAGAGGGCGAGGCAGAAGTAGAGGTGTGCGTCTTTGAGGGCGAGGGGACAGGGATGTCCGCCTCGGTCAGGGTTTCCTCAGCGGAAGAGGAACTGGATGTCCGCGTAGACGACGAGTGAGAGGATGAGTGGGAAGTTGAGGAGGCTGCATGTGTGGAAGAAGCATGCGAGTGGGTCGAGGTGACCGCCGCTTCAGTCAACGAGCTCTCCGCGACGACAGATGACGACGCAGCGGAGTGACTCGAGCTGGCATGTCCTGAGCTGGCCGAGGCGTGCACAGACACCGAGCTCGACGCCTCACCCATGTGGGATGAGGCGGAGCTACCAGATGCCGAGTGACTAGCTGATGGTACAGCAGTCGCGCTGGCAGAGTGCGAGGATGAGTGCGTAGTAGACCGAGATGAAGGTGGGGCAGACTCGACGACGATGCTCTGGTCCGTTGAGCTTGAGGCGACGTGGGTGTGCGAAGCGGAGGCAGTGGGCAAAGCCTCGGCAGACGAGGCAGTGACCGAATGGGAGGATCCGGTGTGCGATACCGATGACGCGGATGCCGACGCCCCGCTCGCAGAGTGAGACGACGAGTGAGGCGACGGAGCGACCGAATCGACATGTACGGTCCCGGTGGGAGAAACCGAGTGGCTCGCCGTACCACTATGCGTCGCTGGCGGTGACAGGAGCACCGACGATTGAGACCCCGGAGCGATAGGTATAAATACCGCCTGATCCGTTGGTTGTACCCAGACAGTCTCCGTCTGGGTCACGAGATGCCACATCGTTGTTGTGGCCGTGATGGGCATGCCGCGCTCGTCAAGCCGGACGACGTCCCGCTCGTCATGCTGCAGCTGCGCCGGGTGAGGTCCGACCGGTGGCCGTTGTGCCTGCTGCGCCTGCGCGAGGACGAACGGGAGGGTAAGGAGGAGGGTGGAGAGGAGCATGTTGAGTGAGTGTGGGGCGAGAGCCGGCTCGAGATTTCTACGGAGAAGGGGTCAGTACCAGCCTGACCGAGATGATAGAGGATGAGATGAGGATGAGGATGATGCTGAAGTCGTACTCACCAAGCTCGAAGTTGGCTTTGGCTTTGCTGTGCTCAGTGGACTTTGCGCAGAGGCTTGGGAGGAGAGGAAGGGAAGAGGCTGAACGCATCCTGAGCGCTTCTTTCGACATGGCTCTTTGGATGGACTGCATGGACTACTACTTTCTGATCTGTCTCAGCCTATCGGTGGGAGAGGAGAGGCAGCTTGTGAGGGTCATACCAAGTGATCGCCAGTTTGAGACAAGAAAGAGTTGCATCGGGTGGACCAACCTTCGGAGGGACCGGAACGGATTACGAGAAGAGAAGCCGGGGCCGGTTTCAGTTTGGGTCCGCTAATGAGAAATGGAAAAGCTAATGAGCACTAGAAAACTATTCTTATTAGAAACAGTCCGTGCGCGCACTGGCGGCTGTACTGAGCCAAAAGTCGCAGAACTTGCATTGGTCCTTCGCCTATAGAGTCTCATCTACATACCATATAATATAAGGACAACCGCTGTACCAAGAGACAGTCTGACCAACAGAACTACCAGCCAAAATGGTCCTCCCAAGTCAGATTCTGCCGCAACACCAAACAGATCCCCTCGTCACCCTCCCTCTCCCCTCCCCTCTCCCTCCTTCGCCATTACCCGCGCTCTCGACCTTACTCGCACACTTCGACACCCTCCTCGCAGATCCATCAGGATCCAAAAATGTCGTCCCGCCCATGATGATCGCAACGGCGATGCGTCAGATCAACCGAGACGCACACGCGCTATTGAATGCTGGAAGGGTGGGTGCGGCGGAATCGAGGGCGGAGCTGGATAGGAGGGATACCGTGCTGAGAGGGGTGGAATACGAGCGGAATCGGATAAGAGAGGAGATTGAGCGGTGTCTGGAATACGTGTGCGTATTCCCTGCATAAAAGCGGAAGGATGGGCTGATGAGGCAGGCCGGCATATACGGGTGCGGAATTACCAGATAGACAGGCCTTCCTCGAGTCTGCTTCTGAGGAGGTCAAGTCGGGTCTTCGTGAGTGTCCTGACTTTTCATGAGGGTCAATGCTGACCGAGCAGCCAACGTCGGATCAGAAGAGTACGACTACGCCTTGATCATCGCTCAATTAGAGGAGGAGTTGAAGGAGATCGAAGAGTAAGCTAATGGTCGCCATCACTGACCTCATCAAGCTGACGCTCCGCAGACGGGAAGTCGACGTCGCGGCTCTGACCAAGGACCGGGATAGCCTTATCAAGGCCAAGAAGGAGATCAAGCTCAAGTTTGATTTGACGGAGACTTGGTTGACCGACTATGCGAGAGTAAGTATTAGGTCCAAGTCTTAATAAGGAACATGCTGATAGTCAGTCAACCTCGGTCCTCCTTAGTCGGCTTAAAGAACCGCTCAAAATCAACGCTCCTGCCTTATCTGCATTATCTTTAGCCAGCGTGCCCGCCACCACCACCGCATCTACCTCCGTCACGGAAATCACTGTGTCCTCCCCGACGCCTGCGCCAGCAGCGGATAGCTCGGTCCTCCCCGAACCAGAGAGCTCGGTCTTACCAGAACCAGAAGAGGCCGAGCGGATGGACACTGCGTAGTGCGTGCGTGATGCTGAACCCACGGTGGCTGTTCTGAAGTCCGGGCTGCAAGTGTAATATCCTAGACATTGTATCATCTAGCTACTCCAAAACAGATCTATGAGTATGTACAACTTAATCTAGCTTCCTTCTATCACCCGACACCCCATTCCCGTTCCCCTTGCCCTTCCCTCCATTCACTCTCAGCGTCTCCGCACTCCCTCTCCTGTCCCTGAGCATCATCTCCACCTCCTCCGCCGGGCGCGCAGCCTCTATAGTGGGACTGCCGGCCGTGCTTCCCCTGACGCTCCCTCTCGGGCTTGACCGCGCCGAATCGAGCGATATCCGCGCCGGATTGGGACGGGATCTGGGAGGGGGCACCGATAGCCCTCCAGCCGGCGGAGGGGGGATGAAGAAGAAGTTTGACAGCTTGTCCGCGAGACCTGTGCCGCTCGAAGGGGCTGATGTGGGCGGGCGGAGGCGGACCATGGACCCGCCCGAGCTCGCTGTGAGGCTGGATTTGCGGGATGGGGCGGTCTCGTGTGAGAAGTTCAGATCGTTTTGGATGGATAGGGGTGGTAGAGGAGGTGAGGAGGAGGGAACGATTGGGCGGAGGGATGATGGGGGACGAGGGCCCGAGTCGAATGAGGTGCGGGAAGAGTCGGGAGGTTTTGGGGGTTTTGGGAAGAAGCGGAGCTGTGAAGATGGGATACGAACTATATCGACCGTGCGAGTGTGAGGTGGACCTGCTGCTGGTTCCATGTGTGGGAGCGAGGGAGGAGATGGAGGTCGCTCGTCTAGCGTATCTCCCCATCCGCCGGTCGAATGAGCTGAAGCAATGGGACTGAAGCTGCTCCAAGGATCGACGTCCTCACCCGACAACGCCGCCTCGCTCGTCGAGCGCGTCATCTGTGGCTTCCACAAGGAGGGCGATTGCGTTGCTACCGCCATAGACACAGCCCGCCGATGTCCCTTCTCCATCTCTGCCGAGTCATCGGTCAGATCGATGAGATTCGGCGTCACCTCCCTCTCCCGTCCCTTGCGGTTCCCAGGGTTCTTCGGAGCGAGCGTGACCTGCCCCTCCCCCGGTCCGCGTATGAGCGTTTCGCTCGCCTTGTTCCACTTGCACGCTTCGAGCGGGACGTAGAGGTGTCGACGGAGATGGACGGGATCGGACGGCCAGAGCTTGTTGGTCTTGCGAAGGGTTGCGAGCTGTAGTGTCAGCTCCACTCGGGTGTCGCAGTACCTCAACTTACATCTATCCCGTAGAGGAGCGCTATTCCAGCTAGAGACTCATTGGGCTGGACCTTCTCATCAGCTCGATCCATACCGGACATACCTGATGTATCAACACCTCTACCTCTCCACCTCCCTGCGCTTCATTCGTGCTCATCCGGAGCATGTCCAAACTCCCCTTCCGGCTCCCTTCCTCACTTCCATTCCCTCTACTGCTACCCGCCCTTCTCTCCAGATCGCTAGTCAGCCTCGTGAGATTCGGGCGAGACACATCGCTCAGAACCTCAACATAGCTGTCCTCGCTATGCCTCGGGGGAGAGTCGGTCCGATATAGCGGGTGTCCTTGGCCTTGGGCGCCAGTATCTCCGTTGGTCGGTATAAGGGGTCGACGGCGAAGTAGGGAGGGCTGCCGGGAGTGTGTCTGACTCGGAGCAGGGGAAGGGGTCGGTGGAAGATCAGAGGACAGGCCCAAGCCCCAGATATCGCGCTCGCGCTCTACTGGTCGGAGAGCTGAAGGGGAAGCGGGAGAGCGCCGACTGGGTCCGGCGGCATTCGCGTTCCTCCCGGTGGACGCGGACGACCCGGTGCCGCTCACTGTAGCTGTCGCCATTGTACAGGCTGTTTCCAGAGAGTGCCATGAGCGTGATGTGGGGTGTCTAGGGATAGAGTAGGGTGGGTCGAAGCATGATGGGTAGTGGAGAGACGGATCCGGGCGACGCGCGACCAACTCACCAGATCGTTGGCTGCTATCTCTTGTCCTTGCATCTCCTTTCTCCAATTTACCAAGCGATACATCAAGGCTCGAGAGCACTACTGCCAACAAGATGGTCAGTCTCCGGTATCCTCATGGTATTGGGCGAGAATCAGCTGCTGACCTCCGCAGCCGCCCAAAAAGATGGATGTCCACCACATCACGTTCCACTTCTATCGCTCAGCCGTCCTCCTCAGCGTTCCCGGATCAACGCAAGTTTCCTCTTCTACCTCGCTGTTCCATCCGACCTCCTTCTCCTCTTCGCATCCTCTCGCCGACTCTAGATGATACAGTCCTGCAGCTGACCTCGCAGAACAATAGCAGCCCTCAAAGCCCAACTCCTCCCCGCTCTCAAACCCTTATCAGCCGATCTCCCCTTCCCGCCGTCCTCAGCGGCCGATATAAAGCTCTTTGAAGAGCGCACTGTGGAGGGTGCAGAGGGAATGCGGGATCTGGAGGATGATGAGGCGGGATCAGGGGGGAGTATACAGAGCCTGGGGTGGAAGAGGTGGAAGAGGGTGTTTGTGAGGTATGTACCTTTGTCCGTTCTGTTGGGGCAAGGAGAGTGAGGGGATGGAGCTGGGCTGATGAGACAGCTTTAAGGGCGAGAATGGACTCTTTGAGGAGCCGGTATATACGATACCTGACGTAGACGACGAGATGCCAGAGGGAGCGGAGGGTATGTGATATCAGATCTAGAACTGGTTGGCAGGTTGTGCGACGGCTTCATTGTCGTGTTAACTTCGCGCGATACACAGACGACCTGACCGGCCTGACTCTCGGATGCCAAGGAACGCTCAGCCGCGGAGATCTCACAGGGCAAGAGCTTTCGGGCGGACCCTTGAGACCGACAGGCATTGTGTCATAAGCTGTGATGTACTGACCACGACCGGCTGACCGAGGACATTCTGAGCGCTGAGCCCGCCAGACAGTCTGATCTGAGCACTAATCCGCTAGTCGAGGTCTCATGGAATGTTCTGGCGCCTTCTTCAGGCTGGGGGCGAGTGCCCCAGATTGTCTGAGAGTGACGCTACCCCTTGTGCAGAGCCCGAAGGACAATCTGTCTCAGGGGCTTGTCAAAGGAGTCAGGGATGGGGGGAGTTTCTGGACGGTGTCCGACCGAGGCGAAGAGGGCCACGCCATCGGCCACCGCCCTCTTATCATCCTCACATACAGCTCATACCCAACATCATACAGCATACGACAGATCGAACACCATGAGCTCCTCGACTTCACCAGGACCGCAGTCCATGCAGCAACTCCTCCACGAACTCAAAACGATTGGAGATCCACGAATCTCTGAGGTGACTCGCCGTGCGACAGCCCAGATTCATGCGGCTCGCGACCTCGGCCTCGATCCGGATACTCGGTTCTATGGCCTCATGCGGACGCAGGACCTGGAGTGGCTTCCCGTTTCCATCGCATCGAGTCTCGATGAGATGTCTTACGGAGTCGACAAGCTGGTGAGTGACAGGGCGCTGAAGACCCTTCTGGCAGCCAAGGCTGCCTTTGTCGAATTTCGAGAATCGCAGGGATCCCAGTCAATCGACGAGTGTCTGAATTGGATGGTGAGTCAGCCGGACTTCGAAACAGTCGACACCCGCAGGAAGCTTTCTGCTTTGCATGGCATGCGAGTCATATCCTCAGCGGTCGGACATCCTGTCGTCAAGGCAGCCCTCGACCATGCGGCGACCAAGTTTCAAGAGAAGTCTGCCATGATTGCCGAGCTCCGTACGGACCTCTCAGAACCCGGGAGAGACATGAACATCGCTCTTGATCAAGCGCTCCATTGCTTGTACACTGCGAGGCCGCTTCCGTTCGGAATCCTCGCCACCGAGGTCGAAGCCGACATCTCAAGCTTCCTGCGCGATGGCACTCCGCTGTCGGGTGGTACGTTTGGAGACTGGCCTTTGAAGAAACTGGCGTACGAAGCTGCCAAGGACATGCTCAGCAAAGAGGACCCGGGCGAGAGTAACTTAATCTCCATTGCTGTAGCTTATGAGCTGACTCGTAGGCTGAGAAGACAGTTTTCCCAAGCGCCTCAGGTACTGTACGCCCAGCCTGCGGGCGGATACCGCCTTCATCGAAAGCCTCCTCATCGACCGAGCGCTGGTTCTCGGATCGCGTGGGGAGGTCGACAACGCGAAAGACCGCCAGGCTCTGACTGAAAGGTGGGCACGGGTACGGGAGGTCTACGCTCGTGTCGCCGAAGACGCATACTCTTACATGCCTGACGAAGCCCCGCAGAACCTCGACCAGAGAGACTCTGCACTTCTGACCTGTGTGTCCAACCTGTTCCCCGCTCAAGGAAAGAATCTGGCCAAAGCCATCCGCGCGCTGGGGCTGCATGATCACGTGGACACCGCCGTTGAAAAGCTCGAAGCACCTTTCTACCCGAAGGAGCTTTCGGACAAGATTATGACAAAGCTCAACTCTGACGAATCTGCGAAGCTCAACTTCAAGGTCGACAGCAACCCTACAAGGCGAGACATTTTCGTTGCGTGGGCAAAGAGACGCAATGGAGAAGAGGCTCCTACCGGTGAAGGAACCCATGCAGGAGAGAAACCACTCCACCAGCAATCAGGGAGGGAGGAGCAAAAATCGCAGGATCAGGACAAGTCGGAGTGAAGGATGACAGTGGATTCAGGATGGCTGACAGGAAATTCCTTTCTCGTGCGGTTTGAAATTCTGCAGCTACCACAGATGTATGAGATGTGTATAGATGACTGGATTGTCAGGAGTATCATCATATATTGAGTCAAAGCAGGGCTTGCTCGTGGGACGGCGTCTTTTAGCCGTCTCTCCCAAGTCGCCCGCGGATCACCTAAAAAGTTAAAAGGGCCGAGTGCCACACCGCCACATTCCTCATTTCGGCTGAAACATCCCCGTCCCAAGCCGAAATCTCAAGCCGATCTCACTCAACCTTTCTACATCTGTCTCCCATCCATCTTGATTCCCCTCATTCCTTCTTCCCCTCTCTCCCCTTTTCTTCTTCCTAGAATGCAGCTCCTGCATCACCCCCTGACCCACATCTTCGCCGCCCACATCTCCCCCGATATCGTCCCGCGAAATTACATCCCCCTTCACACCGCATTCGATATCACTCGCCTCCCTCCTCTCCCCCGTATCCTCGATCCTCGACTCAACGCAGCCGCGCGAGATCCCACCTACTATGTCAATATCGTCCCGAACGTGATAGAGTTGGCGCTGCTGGGGGATACGTTGTTGAAGACGGTGATCATTGAGCGGTTGCAGGAGTTGTCAATGGTGGGAAGGGCTGGACACATCGCCGTAAGTTCAACTCCGGCGCTACAGGATGTCCTGACCGTCAAGAACCTCTCGGATCGCCTCAATACCAATGTCGTCTTCTGCTACCTGGCCATGGCGTACGATATGGTCGACGACCGATACCGGCGGAATCTTCCTCAGAAGGGATACGCCGACGTCTTTGAGGCGTACTTCGGGGCGCTCTGGCGAGAATCCAACGACATGGGCAAAGCCCACGTCCGGCAAGTCATCCGTCAAATTTTCTCGCCGGAGGTCTTCCCCATCATCGCGGCGTGGCAAAGCGGGCGGAGGGAGTTTGCGCGGGTTCCACCCGTCGGTCATGCAGCAAAGAGGAAGCGGATGCTGCTGGAGCAGCCCCCGAGGGGGGTGTCGAAGCAGTACATCGTGGGCGGAGGGGTGCACGGGAGGAAGAGGGATCGGACCCCGCTCAGGTCGCCGCCACCGTTACATCGTGCGCCATTGCGGATCCAATTCCCCCAACCCCAGCCGGTCAAGGCATCGGCGCGGGTGGACAACACGGTGATCGACCTCACGTTGGACGATGACGACGACGTCATGGCGGAGGAGTGTAGCATGAACGATGAGGATGGCTCGGACTCGGACTCGGTGGTGTACATGAGCGAGACGGAGTGGAAGGAGCTCCACCTGGTCGAGAAGCCCCCCAAGGCGGAGAAGAGTCAGCCGGTCCCGGTCCCCGTTACGGCCGAACCGCTCGAGGCCGATCGGCGTCCATCGCTCCCGATTCCCGTCGCTGCCGCCGCTGGACCGTCCCGAAGGCGAGGCAACACCCCATCGGTCTTCATCGACGTCACGCCGTCCAAGGTCGGTGCTGTCTTTGTTGACGTCACGCCGGCCAAGGTGGACACGGTCTTCTTGGATACTCCGCCTCTCCAGTTCGGCAACAGGTCTCAACCTAGGTCGGGCGCCACGCCGTCCAAGGTGGACACGGTCTTTGTTGACACTCCGCCTCTCAAGTACGACAACAGGCCTCGCCCCGGGTCCGGACGGCGGTTCTGGAGGCCAGCATCCCCCGTGCTGCCCATCGAGGACTGTCCAGTACCCCCTGGGACCGTTCATACCATCGCGGGCGAGCTATACCTCTCCCCCGCTGGCCAGCATATCCTCCAGCACCCACTTCCCGCTCGTCCAGGCCGGCCTGCTCCCGTCGATCGATCCTTACTCCCGGTCCGCCCGGATAACCCCGCGCCGGCCGAGCTGCCCTCAACCCACATCACAAAGTCTCAGCGACGAGCTATGAGGGCAGCCACGACGGGGTCCCAAAATCAAACCCCCTCCACCGTCAAAAAGCAGAAGCAGGCGTCCAATAGGCGTCCCCATCCCCTCGCTCAGCAGCATAATGATCCTACATCCCACTGGAGTACTCATCCCACCAAGGGACGACACCATCAGACCCCACAGGCTCTGTCGGCTCGGCAGCGCGATCAACCAGGCAACGACCTGGACGTTGCGCTGGACTACGGGGAGCCGACGCCCCGTCGCGCAATGTCGGTCCACTCTGATCTGCTGTCAGATATGGATATCGATAATGGGTCGGACACGGACGTCTCGGACGGCGGACAGCAGGTGGCAGGACCATCCGTCCCGCCTGCCAAGTCACTCAAGAAGCAGACGTTCAAGGCCTTTGCGAGGACGCCGCGCGTCCAGCTCCGCGGCGGGATCCTGGATGAGTTCTCCCCCGGGCAAAGCTTGGGCGGCATGCAGACCCCCTCGCACTTCTCCACCTCCCAATCCACGCTCGACAATCGCAGTGTTCCCGACTGGCTCGCCAGTATGCCCCGGCTCGGCGCTAGCGCCAGCGGAAGCGGAAGCGCCAGCGGTAGCGGTCCTGGTCCCTCCACCATCGGCAACGGGCCCATCACGCCAGCAATCCTCCCGACAATCCAGAAACTTCGCGGCAAGGAGGCGCCGAAATCGCCTCTGCGCAAGCTGGGCGACGTGTTTGGGTCGGTGAAGAGCAAGGTGGAGGCGGCGTTCAGGCGGAGCATGATCAAGAGCAGTGTGGCGGACAAGCAGGAGCCGGAGACGCCAGTGGGCCAGGGGAAGAAGAGCAGGATGGACAAGGGGAAGGGAAAGTCGCCGGGCTGGGGAGTGGGTAGTTGGGCCAAACCGGCGGAAGTGATCGAGGAGGAGTGATTGATGTTGCAGCTTGGAGGTGGAGGTGCTAGGGAGATAACTTGAGGCGGAGAGGGGGGAGAGGACGACAAGTCATGCCTTTTACACTACCTTGCTAGGTACATGCCCATACTTACGATTTTGTTGTACATACCCATCAAGAGTGTCCTGCATGTAATTCTAGCTAGATCTGACTATAGATAATCTCCTCTCTCCATCCGCAACATTCCTCCCTCCTATACCCCCGCGGCGGTCCTCGCGGCCCACATCATCCCGCTGAACGCCTGCGCCTCTGGACTCTGCATCGGCGTCGCCAGATTGATATACACCAAGAACCCATTGGTTCCATCCGGGTCCACCACCTGGGTCACCCAGCCCGACTCGTCAATCTTGTCGACGACGCCCTTGAACGCCTTGTCGGCCTGGTCCAGCGCCCATTGGTTGATCCGGGAGGGGTAGAGGAGGTAGTAGCGGTAGAAGGCGGCGATGATGAGGGCTGTTCCGGCGGTATCACCGTGCGAGAGCTCGGGATTGGGTTCATTCATGTAGTTGGGCACGAGATTGTGGGACTGGACGTCAGCGGGGTCAGAGTTGGAGACTCAGCACCCACGTCTAGCTTGCCGAAGATCGCGTAGAAGACTTGGGCCATCTTTTCCTCGATAGGCGCGATCTGGTCTGCGAGCTGAGTGGCGAAACCAGCTGTGTGTGCACTAGCGATCTGGAGTCAGCAAAGTCTAGGATGTGGACGTACCACTCGCATAGCTCCACCCAGCATCCAGGCTTGCCCGGTGGCCCAGTACCGCGAGTCCCAGTAGTGAACATGGCGGAAGAGGTGATCGTTGGGGTCGAGGAGCGCCGAGGCCTCGAGCGACCACTGGTTGAGACCGCTTCGGATCTGGTCGATGTTGTCGGTCGCAAGTCCGATGTCTACAATGAGCGAAAGCTAAAGGATGGGCAAAGGTAACTCACAAGCTGGAAGAGGCGGGATCATGTACCCCATATCCGCCCAGAGCTCGAAATGACCCTCGCGCTGCGAGATAGTCCCGTTCGAGCTCTTTATCCCATTGCTCAGATACGCCATCTGATTCCCCACCGCCCATGCATAGTCCTCCTTTGAGCGCATGCTGAGGAGACGCCGCACGTCCTCTCGCCCAGCGTATTGCGCGAGGAGATAGGTGCTAGGTCCGAGCGCGGCTGGATCGCCGAGCGCTCCGTCTCCGCCGACGAGTGGACGAGGTTGGAGTGGGGTGGGGGAAGACCAGTCGAGGAACCGGCCGATATCCCCCGTGGTCTTGGAGTCGCTGGGCGCTCCCGACCAGTCCACCGCGTACAGGGACGAGATCGCCACCTTCATCGCATCCCAAGGGATGCTGACGGCGAACGATGACGCATCGTACCCGAACGCCGTCAGCTCTGGGTTGTACACCTCGAGTAGGGATTGGACGAGCGCGCCGAGTTCCCACGATTTGTCCGTGATGGCGACAGCATTGGTGAGGACCTTTGGAAGTAGCCGAGTGAGTTTGGTGTATGCGTCGGAATTGATGGTGAGGGCCGGCGAGACCGAGGAGAGGGAGACCGAGGGGTGATTATACCGGTACCCCGAGTAGTCTGGTGACCACGGAGAAGTGAGAAGGGCGACGGAATGGACCGCGGCCGAGGGGAGGATATCATGCGCGTCAATGACGTTCGCTTTGATAGAGTCGATAATATCCGAGCTGATTGTTTGACGCTTGTTGCGGTGGGGTCCTCTGGGGACGACAAAGGCCGCGCACGAGAGCGGGAGGAGCAAAATCGAAGATGCCAACATGGCGAGGTGTAGATGTCAAACGAACGAAAAATGAGTGTGTGGGGATAGCGATCAACGCAGTCGTGGGGTCGTGGACATGTGAGAGAGTGTTACAAGTAGAACAAAGCGAATCCTTTGAAAGCGAAGGGGGGAGTGACAAGGACAAAGGGGAGATTTGCCAAGCCACGAGGGAGGCCAAAGCAGATTGTTGACAGTTTGGGTGGCGGTGAATGTTTCAGGCACAAAGCAAGGAGATTTAAAGTTACGGCATGACGCGTATGTCCCTGACGTTTCAGATTTTGGCGCTCGATGAGGAGAGATCCGCTTGGCAGTTATGGCAACGGCGAGCTCGCTGCGTCTGACTGCACGACCTCTCACGACGCTCAGTCATATCAGAGGGTAGAAATTCACTTATCCCAGACCTTCACCGACACCAAAAAGACCATTTTCAAACTGTATAGAGCTTTTCGTGCATTCGTCCATAGCCGGAACGGGTGCTACTCTAATCAGCCACCAGATGTCTATTCTCCGAGACGGTACTAATTCAATATTGCCCATGTCCCAGGGACCCAGCAGGGACCCACGATCGCCTCCTTTTCAGACCTCAATAATATTGATAGCAGAGGGCATACAACTACGTACACTCAAGACGTTCTCCAATTCCATATTCCTACATCATCTGAACGGGAACCCTCCTCCCTCCGCCAGCGTAAAGTCATCCCAGAACCCATCCAAATTGAAGTTGACATCCACGTCCACGTCAAACAATCCCTCCAATCCCGTCTGGGGCGGTGTCAAACCCGAGTGCGCCAGTCCCGATGCCATCAAGCCCGGCCCGTCCGTACTGGCGCCAGCGAGAGAGCGGAACGACGGATTCGCCAGGAGGTCTTGCCATGACTCCTCTTTGGGTTGAGATTGGAGGTCGGGACTGGGGAAGCGGGATGGGACGGCCTGACAGTTGGTATGGTATACTTGTGGGGTGTCTTCAATTGAAGCTGAGACTCACGCTTTGGTCTGACAGCTGCTCGAGCTTCTTGGAGAGGAGGCGGAGCATCTGACCGTACCGCGAGGCAGGGTGTTCCCTGTCTGGGGACGCGAGCACAAGAGCCGCGCAGACTTTGTCGACCAGTTCTCGGGTTCTGTTGTCAGCTTCATCACGAAGCGGACCTACTTTGCATTCTCGGTCCGACCAACTGCGCCCGAGTAACCCGCCTTCAGGGAAAAGACACCGCCAAAGACAAAGTTGGTGAGGTAGCGACTCGGGAGATAGCGCAGGACGCCGAGCTTCGACAGGCGGAGACAGATGGAGAGTATCTCATTCGCCGCATCGACCGAAGCGTAAATGTATAGCGCGTCAGGAGAGGTGGCAGAGCCTGAGGTCAGCAATGTCCATTCCGGACACGTACCTCTTGGGAAAAGCTGAACACCGGTAGTCGTCCCCTCCGCCCTCGTCCACGCTCGCTGGACATGCGCCTGGAATGCAAAGCTGGACACATACAGCCGGACCATCTCGTATGTGCACCAAGTGAGCTCCTTGAGGCTCTGATTTTCCCACGTCTTGGCTTGCCAGACCGCTTTGAAAGACTCCAGTGCTCGGCGGAACGAATCAAGAAACTATCATCAGCCCAGCCCCAGCTCGCACTCACCCTGAAGTACCCTCCCTGCCTGACCAGATCATCCGTCCTCGACTTGTTGGGATATAGCGTATCATGCGCATTCGTCATGATCTGCGTCAACTCCATGAGCGCCTGGATCAGACTGGCAGAGTCGGCGCCGGCTCCCGTCCCCTCTAATGGCTCATCATAGAACTCGGCCGGCGTCGGCGAAAGCATACTGGGGAAGTTGACCCGAGCGGCCGTTTCTCCCGTTTGACTGATATGCGAGTAGCCCGAAAAGCAGATGCTGGGTCCGCGCGACCAGAAGGCCAGTCCGGTTCGAAGGCCGATCGTCCGGTCGTAGAGGTAACACCACGTCCAGACAAGTCTGGCCCGTTCCTGCTCTAGCGTCCGAGGCTGCGTTTCGAGCGCCGCTTGATCCAGCTGCAGCCCGTACGCCGCGCGAATAGCCAGACCGGTCATCGCCCATCCACGCCGATTCTCCGTCCCGTGCAATCCGCCCTCCGACTTGCCCTTGAGCAACACCGCCGACGTCCTGGGCTCCTTGGGCAGAAACTCGGCAAGAAGGAGCATACCCTCGACGAGTCCGACGCTAGCTTCGACACCGCCGAAGGTAAAGTCCGCGAGTGTCTCCCGGATGAGACGCCAGACCTTGTCGTGGATCTGCCGAATGGATAGGTCTTCATGGTGCGCCGAGGAGATGACGACGATGCACGAGAGGACGAAGGGGTCTTCCGCGGCGTACCGAGCGAGGGATTGGGGGTCGCGTGGTATCCGAGGAGTCTGGATGATGGGAAGGACGGCGTGATAGTGGAGAAAGTAGAGCTGGACTAGCGCCCATAGTACCGCCTCGGAGATGATCCCTTGCTGGACCAAAAGGAAGTCCGAGATATCCGCCTCGTCCTTGAACTGAACGCGCCGAGCTCTCGAGTCCTCCTCGTTTGCGAGCCGCTCCTTCTCCTCCCCATCCGTAGCTGCGTCCGCCAAGATCTCCAGCGCGTCCGTCTCATTCGAGAAATTAGCCACGACGATCCGGCGCGTGGCATCTGGATTGTTGGTCTGCCTTCGCTTGGCGCGAGCGGCGGGAGAGAGCGCCGAAGTGGAGGTAGAATCCATAGATGCGGGAGTGGCGCCGGTCTGGTTATCGGTAGGGGGGAAGTCGGGGTATTGGCGGAGCTCGACCGGTGCCGTAGGAGGCGGTACGGAGGGGTAGGTAGTAGATGTCTGCGGGGGATTGGGGTAAGAAAAGGCTGGGATGGGATCGCGGAAGATAGAGGTAGAGATGGATTCTGGCCAGCCCTACTTGTCAGCTTGCTCGAAGGGTGGACGTACCTGAAAGGTCTGGTTGGCCGTCTGTAGGGGCACCTGCCAGCTAGCCGGAGGATGCGATGGTCCTGCGCCTGCTGACTGAGGGGTCTGCGCCAGAGGCTGCGGCTGATGGCGGGGCGTAGACATGCTCGCTGCCGCTGCGGCAGCAGCAGCAACAGATAGCTCGGGCGACTGCTCCGCATCCGTATTGGTCTTCCGCCTCCTCTTCTGCTCGTCAATCTCAGTGATTGCCTGGACTCACGCTAGGCAGAAAGACGCAGTTCCTCTGTTCCCTCCTGCAACGCGTGCAAGGCGGCTCGCTCGGCGCATTCACATCCCCAAGGTCACACTTGGCCTTGCGGAGACGACAATGGACGCACGCCCGATATCCCCGCTTGGGCGCCTCGGCCCTCTTTCCCAGATCCCGCTTGCTATCCTCATCTTCATCCCGCCCTTCCTCCGATATGGTCGTGGCCGAGTTGTCGAACGTCTCCGAAGCGGAGTTGAGGAGCGCGCTCAAACTCGTCCCGGCCGGAGGAGAAAGTCGCGATGGTATATTGGGCAACGACATGTTTGCGTCGATGTCAAGTGAGAGACAGCCGAGGGGTAAGGTTACCGTTTAGCCTCTGAATTTGAGAGCGATCGCTTTGACAGACACTGCCGCAATGAGGAGGAAGGGAAGAAAGGACGATCAGGAGGTGCGGAGTGAAAGGGTGGTCCGGTGCCCGGCAGACCGGTGCGCTGTAAGCTCGACAAGGCGTCGGTCGCCCGAGGGACCGGGTTCGCGCTCGTCGGCTTGAGTGATGGTCTGGCTTATTGAGCCAGAGGAGCGGCGCGTCTGGCAGTCACCTAGCACTTGATTTGGGTGGACAAGGGGCAGACACGATATCAACATGGCCCGGTTATCGGTATTTGGCGGGAGTCAGTTGGCAGCATCTTCTGCTCCCGCGGTTGCACCGAAGGGCCGAGATGACATGCATCAATTGCTCATATCACAAGCTGATCACATCGATCACATACTGACCAGGACGCTGCGAAGTGCAAGATGTGCTCGGAGACGGCTGAGAAGAGAGCATAAACAGTTCAAATTCGTCATTTTGGGTGACCATACCGGATGATTCCCTTTTCTAGCTACTATACATGTTCCCCTTCTATTCTAGTTTCGATACATTTTCCACCCACAAGACTGACCTTGCGTCCAGAGTGCCGCAAAGCTAATCAGAGGGTGTCGACAGTGCCCTGGAGACCGGCAACTGTGGGGACGAGGACGGGAAGGCCGAGGCCGGCGACGGTGGGCTGAAGACCCTCGAGAGTGGGGTCGAGGATGGTGCCGAGCTCGCCACGCTTGGCAACGTCGACGGTGCCCTTGAGGCCAGCGACAGTGGGGTTGAGGACACCAAGACCAAGGCCTGCGACGGTGGGCTGGAGACCGGTAAGAGTGGGTTCGAGGATAGTGCCGAGGGATCCGGGCTCACGCTCAAGCCTGAAGATCAGCTGATATTCCTGATGAGGCGAGCAGACAGCAGATAGCACTTACATCTCGATGTGACGCTTCAACACGTCGACGGTACCCTGGAGACCAGCGACAGTGGGGTTAAGGACGGGGAGACCGAGGCCAGCAACGGTGGGCTGGAGACCCTCGAGAGTAGGGTCGAGAAGCGTACCAAGCTCGCCGCGCTTGGCGACGTCGACAGTGCCCTTGAGGCCAGCGACGGTAGGATTAAGGACACCGAGACCAAGACCGGCGACAGTGGGCTGGAGACCGGTGAGGAGGGGGTCGAGGGTCTCGCCGAGGGCCTGGCGCTTGGCGACGTCGACGGTACCCTTGAGGCCGGCCACTGTGGGGTTGAGGACACCGAGACCGAGACCGGCGACGGTAGGCTGAAGACCAGTGAGGGTGGGGTCGAGGATGGTGCCGAGGGATCCTGGCTCACGCTCGAGGCTGATGATCAGCGGAGAAGAGACATTGTGTCAAAGCTTGACTTACAGCTCAATGTGCCTCTTCAAGACATCGACGGTGCCCTGCAGGCCAGCGACGGTGGGGTTGAGAACGGGAAGACCGATACCAGCGACGGTAGGCTGAAGTCCCTCAAGGGTAGGGTTGAGGAGGGTGCCGAGCTCGCCGCGCTTAGCGACATCCACGGTGCCCTTGAGACCCTCGACGGTAGGGTTGAGGACACCGAGGCCGAGACCAGCGACAGTGGGTTGGAGGCCAGTGAGGGTCGGGTCGAGGATGGTGCCGAGGGAACCAGGCTCGCGCTCGAGGCTGATTGTCAGCTGCGCTCTTGACAGTGAGATGCAAACCTACAGCTCAATGTGCCTCTTCAGGACGTCGACGGTACCCTGGAGACCAGCGACGGTGGGGACGAGGACGGGGAGGCCGAGTCCAGCAACGGTAGGCTGAAGACCTTCGAGAGTGGGGTCGAGGATGGTACCGAGGGAGCCGGGGACCGGGGCAGCGGTCGAGGCGCCGAGGATGGACAAGACAGCGACGAGGGTGGTGAAGGAGAACATTCTGGATGGTGTTGTTCAGTGTGGTGGTGGTAGTGGTAGTGGTGGAGTTGTGAAGGTGATACTTGTCGAGTTGTGGAAGAAGTGGGCGAGCGGAACCGCCTTATATATCTCACAGGTCGTCTTGCTGGGCGCCACCCGCGAGCCATGAGATCACGACTAGCACTCCAATCAATCGACGCTTGTCAGTGGACGTGATCGAGTGCGAAGGTTAGCGTATACAGACTCATACAGGACGTCTGAAAGGAGGACAATCACTCCAAATCATTTGGTGGGGCTTTCACCCGACGAAGGGGCATGTATGACGCTTGCGCGCTAAGGTCGCTCATCGAGAGGAATGGGGTCAGTACCAGTGAAAAGCAGTCTAGTACACGTGAAACATTCCTGTGGACCGTCAGGGAGATGAGCACATATACCAAGAGTCGAGCAGTGACTAGGGTGACTAGCATCTGTAAAACACTGTAGAACGACTGTAGAATGCAGAGATTCACCAATGCTTAATGAATTCAGGGCTGTCAGGGCTGTTCCCACGAGTTTCAGACGTGTGACGGTCACGGTTCATGCATCATGGGAGCCATGCCGTCATGTTGAGAGGGATGAGTCACTAGCGCACTCTGATGCTTTCGTCATTGGGTCTAAGCGCCGAGGTGACTAACATTACTTTGCGCACGGCCCCGGGCCCCCTCTTGCCCCGACCCGATCGCAATCTCGGAGCCGTGACTGGATCCGAAGTGCGACATTTGATGAAAGCTATATATTGGCAGATATAGTGGAAGCTATTGTGGACCCTAGATCAGGCGCATCGGCAGCACTCGAAGCACACCTCGGCAGGTCATCCGCGGCCGCCGGAGTGGCTGTGCAATGGGTGGAGCGGAACGACTCTGTCCGACACAGCTGTCGTATGCTTGGACTGTGGTGAGGACTGGACTCGGTGTCGCGCGTGTGTGGCGCATTGAGGCATATGCACAGGGACGTTCGAGTTGGCGCTTGCGCAGAACGGGGTCGAAACCCCAATCGAGCTGTACGAATAGTAAGCTTCGCGGGCGCTCTGGGTGCCCGCTTTATCTACTGATCTCTCTCGCCCTTGGATCTCGATCGTACCAATCGGCCAGACACTAGGCTGAAGAACAGCCCAGAGCATGAGCAGGACTTACTGAGTGACTAACCTGGCATGCGGCCCAAGCGCGCGAGGTGGATTCAAGCTGCCTGTTCTGCCTCTCAATTAGTACTCTGCCGGTAGAGATCGAATCTGCGTGACGTACGTGTGCCCGAGCGACCCAGACATATGTGTGACCTGACAAACCCGTGCAGCACAGCTGGCTCATATCCGCTTCCGCACCAACTTCTCGCCTACCGCTAAGCGGACGAAGGGAGCACATCGCTACCAATTGGGCGGTATCATGCGTGATCCACCTCGCAATAGCTTGTCTGCACGTAGACCGCAGCGCGCTTCATGTCCACCAGACTTACGCGGCGAGCTAGGTGGAGTCAGTTGTGGAGCACTCGACAAATACTGAGGCGCTTACTTCATGGTTGATGGTGAAAACAGATACTCACGCCACAGTACCAGTCCGTGCTCTCCGTTGTGAGGCACGCGTTGCCGTACGTCCCGGCGAGTCTCCTGATGCGGTCATACTGAGGCTCAGCTTTGCGTGTGTCTTGGGCCGCTGCTGTGCTACTCTTGATGCTCGCTCGGAAGGGTGCCGTAAAGATTACTGTCTGACTGATAAGATTAGCAACTGATACCGCTCGGTCTAATATTCCACGTCACGCGTTTACTGGGCCAGCCGAGACCGGGCCGTGAGTTACCGCGCCGGCTTACCGGCCCGCCACGGAGAGTTTCCGGCGCAGCTTCTTCTCTGCTTTCCTTTCTGCTCCCCCATCCACAAAAGCGCGACTTCCACCTTGACATTCACCTTCATTCTCCCATCCATCACACTTGCAATCCCCTCATCTATATACCACCCTCACTCAAACAAAATGGCGAACTCCAAAGCAGTCTGGGCAAACGGCCCTTCGGTCCCCCTCACCACCCCCTTCCGCGCTGACGAGAGCATCGACCACGAGGCGCTCGCCAAGCAGGTCGTCAGGCTCGCGAAGGCCAAGATGGGCATCGTTCTCTTGGGGACCAACGGAGAGGGTGAGTCTTGAGCTACGTACAGGGCTGATCTCAGCTTCCCACTTGTCTCGCGAGGAGCGCCGCTCGGTCGTCAAGACCGGTCGCAAGGCTTTGGACGACGCTGGGTTCAAGGACGAGCCCCTGCTTGTCGGAACCGGCGGTGGATCAGCCGCCACCACCGTCGAGCTCACGCAAGATGCTGCCGAGGAGGGCGCGACCCACTCGATAGTCATCTGCCCTGGTAAGTCCGGATTGACACGATGACTCGATGGCTTTGTGCTGATCCGCAGGTTACTTCGCCTTCGCCATGGGCCGTGACCGTGTTGCCATTGTCGACTTCTTCAAGAAAGTCATGGACAAGAGCCCCATTCCCGTCATGATCTACAACTTCCCGTAAGTATCCCCTTCCAATCTAGCTGACGACAGCGGCGCCGCCTCTGGTATCGACCTGAACTCGGACGAGCTCATGGAGCTTGCCGAGCACAAGAACTGCTTCGGTGTCAAGCTCACCTGCGCCATGATCGGCAAGGGTCACCGTCTCGCCGTACACGTGCAATCGGAGCAATACCTCAAGACCCATGGGTCTCGTCTCCAGGCGGTCTCCGAGGCCGGCTTTGCCATCCTTCCCGGATTCTCCGAGTCCCTCCTCCCCGCCCTCGTGTCCCGCCACACTGGATGCATCACCGGTACCGGAAACATCTTCCCCAAGACCATCCGGAAGCTCTACGACCAGGCAGTCAAGGGTCTCAAGGGCGATGCCGCTGCTCTTACCGAGGCCATGTCTCTCCAGGACAGAAGTGAGTGATGGTGCTGGAACATAGCTGACGATAGTCGCACGCTCAGACTTCATCATCGTGAAGGCCGGTGTCCAGGGTACCAAGTACGCTTTGGACCACTTCGTCGAGAAGGGCATGGGTGGGATCGCGCGGTCGCCCCTGGGCCCCGTTTCGGATGCGACCAAGAAGATGGTCGAGACGGACCTCAAGGAGGACTGGGAGTTCGAGTCCAAGTTGTAAGATATGGGTGATGCATCTTTTGGTACTTGTGCTATACTCAGGTGTGTATACTGCTCCAGAAAGGATATGATATCTAGATCTCGCTTCTACCTGATATACTTCTATATACAACCAGTCTATCGTGAGATATCTCCTCTCTACTACTCTACCTATGCGTGGAGCTACATCTCGTCCCCTCGACCTCATTCCCTTAGTGTGCACATACCCCAGCTCTTTGGAACATCCGCTTACTCCGTATGCGGCCTATAATAATCTCCACCAAACTCTAAGCTCCCTCCAGTCCACCTGTCCCCCTCACTCTTGACCTCCATCCATCCTCCCATCCATCCCCTCTGATACACCTTGACCTCCACCGCGGCCCCAAAGCTCTGCACCGTATACCCCTCGCTATGCCCCGTATTGAGTGGTGCTGAGAGAGGAAAGAACGTCTCCTCTGGCGCCGTGGCGATGATTCTGATCCGGGTGAACCAGCCCCGCAGGTCAATCTCGGCCTTGCGCTGTGGGTACGCAATATCCGATGTGAGGCCGAGCGAGACGGAGAATATTGATGTGGAGGTAGGGGGTTTGAAGGAGATGAATCTGCCGGTTTTGGATGTGTAGCCAACAAGGAACGCCTCGACGCCGGGTATGAGGGACCCGCCCGCAACGCACAGACCCGAGGAGGATGCGTGGTCTCGCGCTTGTAGCCAGATATAGGCGGAGGGGAAGGAGTGTGCCCAGTTCTTTTCCGAATGGACGTTGGCGATCCCCGATCGATCGGCGTTGTGGAGTGGGGGTTCGCGAGAGGGATCGGACGAGCCGGAGGGAGTGAGGGATAGTGTGAAGTCGCACGCGGAGTCTGTGGAGTGGACGTGCCATTGAATAGGGAGTGGGAGGTCGGCTAGGAGGCCCGCTGGGGTGGAGGAGGGAATGGACGGGTTCCAAGGGGTCCGGAGGGGCCGAGAGCTCAGGCTGCTCAGGCTCGCATTCGGGCCGGTTGAGCTGTTGAATTTGACCTCGGGGTAATTAAGCTCCCAGTGAATGATGTCTCCGCCGTCCCAGCTGATCTGTCCCTCCGCCCAGGAAAGCTCAAACCCCCCATTCTCCTTGCTCTTCTGGTAGAGGTGCTCCGGGGTCCATTCCTTCAGATACCACTTGCTCCCCTCCGCCGTGACGTATGCAAAGATAACGAGGTATGGAGCGCCTTTCTTCTCGGTGGTGGCTTTGGTAGACAGCATGGACATCAGCGAGGATGTCCAGCTGCTGCCTTCGCCATCGGGCCGATCGGACGCGGGGGCGACGGACGGGACCGTGCTGATGATGAGGGCGATGGAGGCGCCCGAGGGGAGTCGAAATTTGCTATAGTATCCCTCGAAGGTGGTTCCTGTGTGAGGAGCGAAGTGATTGGAGGGGGAGAAGGGGTACATCTTGCTGGGAAGTGGGTGGGACGATGGACGGTGGAGAGATGGTCCAGTTGAGGAATGTGGACCATGACAGCAATTTTGGTGCCTGTAACCTCAATTCATCTTACCACTAGCCGCTCGTCCTCCGCTTGCAGCCTTGTTGAGACGACTCCCTGCGGAGAGCTCGTAATCTGTACAAGCCGAACGCTTTGACAGAGAACTCTGAGAGACTCAGGAAAAGACCACCGGGCTCGCAAAGCTAGAAGCGGCGCGGCCACCGATATGTCTTCAGTCCACGGCAACATCAATCATGCCATGCGGCAGAACTATAATGAGTTCGGCGTGGATGAAGTAAGCTGAAATCCTGTCTGACCGATAGATGGTCTCTGGGCTGATATGCTTCAGTACTACCGCAAGGTCGCTACCACGTACCGCAACCCCTTCTTCGCTGGCATCAAGAAGGTGATTCCATCTTGAGCGTCTTGAGCGGACCCAGCTGACCAAGCAGGTCATCTTCGCTTTCATGAACCGATGGTGGGAGGCCGAGGGGCATAGTATGTATGATGGGGACGTGGGGCGGAGTTTGCGGATATTGGATTTAGCAGCTGGAAGGCGAGTCTATCTGTCTTCCCGCCTTCTTCACCGGTGCCGGAACCCAGCTGATGACGCAGCGGCGAGGCAACACTGTGTGTTCTGGAGTGGGAAGCTCTTGCTCGTGGTCAGCAACCAGCGCAGCAGCCGTCCGAGGTAGCGTCGGCCGTATCGGCCATATCGAGCACATCGAACGTCCGAGCGCCCTTCATCCCTCCCAACGCCAGACGGGCCGCCCTGACCGTGTCCGGGAAGCCTCTGATCGGCTCTGAGCTATCCAAGCTCTCATCTAATACACCGGATATCCTCATCTCAGCTACAGATCCCGTATGTACCACTGCTTCCCGAGCAAGAAGCTGCTGAATGGCTAGTACACCGCTCCAGCCTACACCGAACGCACCTCCCGTCCTTGCCATCCCCTATCATTCACTGACCTCAGCTCTGACAATCTACCGCCTGACCACCCCGCCCCAGACGCCGATGGGTTCTCATACGACCTCATCATCTGCTCGTTCGCGCTGCATTTGGTGCCCGAGGAGGAGATGTTCCCTATTTGCTACGAGTTGAGCAGGATAGGGAAATGGTTGGTCGTGATTGCGCCACATAAGAAGCCCGAGGTAAGCTCCTTCTCTGAGCTATGATTTGTATGATAGAGATCAAGCTGATACTGTCAGATCAAGGAAGGCTGGGGCTGGGATCGATGGGACTTGTTGGGGTGGGAGGAGGCGGGCGGTAGAGTGTACGGAGGCGGTGGCGAGGATGGCGATACAGAGACGGAGCTAGAGATCATTAGGGAGAAGTGAGTTCGCTAGTGCCGGATGCGTCGACGGGGAGCCGAAGGAGATCACTCCGCTGACTACTTAGGGTGAAACTACGACTGTACCGCAGTGCCAATGCATGAGCGGGCCATATCGCCTCCACCAAGTGATTAACCAAAAGCCATCCATGAGGGATCATGCGGTCCTGGATATACTGACTGGCCGCACAGCTCGGATCCTCCTCCTCAAGGTCAGGTCACTATGTGATGGGCGTAGGCATTGGGTCACGAGGGCTGGGAGTGGTTTGCTGGGAGTGAACCTCCAGAAGGGGAACACAGCGGTGAAGGCGACACTTCCAGTCGCAGATGAGCCGGTGTGGCCCCCTCTAGACGGTCGGTGAGATAATGCTTGTTGTTGTCTAACGGACTGAAACCTGCAAGGCCTTTGGCGACGCGAACACGGAGACTCCTGCTAGTGCCGACCTAACAGGGTATCGACCGATGCCTTCCTTGGCCAATCAAGGGACGCGGTTTGCTGTGGAGCGCGCCCGGCCCGACTGGACCGACCAGGAGAGACGCAGAAATGTGGCATACAGGAGAACAAGATGGGAAAGACTTCTGGGGGCAGGCAAAAGAGCGGGCAGAAGGGTGATCATCACTCCGGCCTCAATGACTATGTCCGTGTACCACCCCGCTCGCGGCGCGACGACAAAGCGTTAGTAACCTTGTACGGGGTTCGACATTGGACGTATATACGATGATGTCTCTCAGATATATCCTAATGGGGCTCAACCCTGCAACGAAGGGTCTTTCCTGCGGAAGATTATCTTTAAGACGCATTGCATGTTGCCTTGCCACTGATTCACCCAAGTGGCTTGATGGATAATATGATTGATATCAAGGCGTGTTTTCAGTCTAACAGAGATCCAGCCACACCATCCTATATGAGACAGAGCTACCGCGAGATCCGAAACATTCTGAAACGCGCGAAGTTACGGCAACTTAGCCTCCGGGGTGTGCCAGGCACGCAAAGGCACAGAGAAAGACGCGTCGACGTCCAAATCTTAACGCGTCGTTGTGGCTTGACATGTGCGCGTTCGATGTGCCAACACTCTCGGCAGCCGAACATCAGCGGAGAGTAAGGTCTGCGTTGTTGACATGGCAGGAGATGCGTTGGGATGTACTGATCTGACAATTGTCCATCATCCCAGTCCAACCTAACTTCTATATCTCATCCCGCCCGGCGCGTCCTCTTCCAGCTCTGGCAGCTTCTAGCACTCCTTCTGCACCACCGCCTGTATCAGCTGCGGACCAGCTCCGGACACGCCGTCCCCCTACCGAAAATGAACCACACAACTCCCACTCTCCCTACCGTCATCATCACTCCCTCCACCCCCCTCAACACCCTCCCCACAAGATCCACTCGCGCCTCCTACACCGCCCCCTCCTCCCCGTCCGCCGGCCGCTCCTCCCGCCAGTACTCGCGCCGACAACACCTTCTCACTGCGCTTGAACTCGGACCCTCCCCCTTCCCCCACCCCGACATCAGCGAGGAAAAGCCCGACCACGCACTCCTCCTCCCCTCTCCCTCCCACTTCGCTCCTACACGGAAACGGCGGCGTAACAATGGGCTCTTGCTGAGCCTGTTGGTATTCGCGATGTTTGGCTTGGTGCTCGTCGGTCCAATGCTGCCTTATCGGTGGTATGCGGGCTCGAGCGGGATGGAGGTGCCTGCTTTCGTCGCGGCGGTGCAGGAACATGAGCTGGCGGAAGTGCCAGTCTTGTCATCGGCGGCGGACACAGTAGCGGGTGACGCAGAGAGCATGTGGGATGCGCATGGAGCTGGTCAGCAGACTGAGCGGGAAGCGTCGGCGATTAGGCGGGACGGCGGAGTAAGGGCGGGACATGAGCGCAGAGCGTGGCGATGGGCGGTGAGGAGGGGATGGGAGATGGCTTTGCTGGACTGAGGGAGGACGCTAGGATATTGGCAGGACATTAGCAGTATCGCTGAAAGTAAGGTAGCGCGGCGAATCTCTTTGTGTATTCTTGGGTCTTAGGAAGTTTGTACCACATATCTTAGCTCGATTCGGAGGCGTAATGTAAGTATGAAAGATGCGGCTGACAGGGGTATCTGGGCTGACACCTAACTTATATTACATTCACTTGCACTGATCGCTCAAAGACTTCCACCGCTAATCTCATCTGGCTACTGAACATATCTAATGCTTCTCAAACATCTCCTTGACGCTAATCGTCTTGCCTTCGATCAACTCGCCCAGGGTCCCGTCCTCGCTGAGAAAGTCACCCTGCCTTGACGCCTCGTAGAAACCCAACAACATGTCCGCCATCCCTTCCGGGACGCCACCGGCCACCGCGCCCGTCTTCCACTCCTCCGCCTCCTTCATCTCCCGCTTGATCTCCTTCCCCTTCGCTTCTCCATACGCCTTCGCCACGTCTGCCATATCGAGCGCCTCGCCCGCCGCCAACGTAATGATCTCCCTCCTTCCCTGCTCGATCCGCGGACGGAGCATGAGCTCCGCTGTGGCCATGGCGAGATCCTCGTGCGCCGTCCAAGACACCTTGCCGTCTTTCGGTACCGAGATGACCCCGGTATGCTGTACGCCTCGGATGAACATGTTGATCGAGTCCATGTAGAACCCGTTCCGGAGTGAGACGTACTCCATCCCGCTCTCCGCCAGCATCCCCTCGGTAGCGTAGTGGACCCGCATGGGCCAGAACGCGCAGGTAGGCGATGCGGCCTGGTGCGAGGTGTAGTAGATGCAGCGAACGCCAGCTGACTTGGCTGCGTCAATGACGGTCCGGTGATGGCTCTCCCCCTTGCCCGAGCGGTCGTTGGACGAAACGAGCAGGATAGTGTCGGCGCCGGCGAAAGACTCAGCGAGGGATGTGGGGTCGTCGTAGCTGCCCTGGCGGACGCGGATGCCCTGCTGAGCGAGGTGGGTCGCCTTGGACGGGTCGCGGACGGAGACACCGATGGATGAAGGGGGGAGAGTTTTGAGCAGTAAGTCAAGGACGAGACCGCCGAGTTTGCCGGTCACTCCGGTGAGAACGATGAGAGGAGCGGAAGTCTTGTAGGTGCGTCAGCTCGTGCAGACGGACATTTATGTACTGCTATCCCATGGAGAACTTACGGTCATTACGATCTGATGCAAAGGTGACAGAGATGAGGTTGATGTATGAAGCGGGGTTTCGCGTGCTGCAGCCTGGTGGCCTCACTGGGTTCGCCTCATTTATATTCATATGCATCGCCGAGGCCGAGCGCCGAGGTCTCGGTCGCCGAAGCCGAGCTCCGTCTGCGCCACATGACGTTCGCGAGGCCGAGGTCCGGCCGCACCACATGATCTTCCTGCGAGAGCTTGACTAGCTTCTCAAGGCCGCAACATGCAAGCAATACAACACCCGCCCCGGTCTATGCAGCAACGGGCACCATTCCCCCGCCTCCGCTCTCCCTCTCCCGCCTGCCCTCCTTGACACAGACCGGACACCCGCCCACCCTCGCTCTCAGCGCAGCCGCATACCCCAGCCTCGCCCCTAACGCTCTGTTCAGGCTCTTCCCGCTCCGCCTTCCTTGACCTTCCCCGCTCATCAAATGCGTCACGCCCGGATTGTCTAGGCGGGGCGGGAGGTCGATATCCGCGTGCGGGAGTGCGCACGTCGCGTGCACGGTATGGCGGCACAGGTAGATCAGGGCCGGAGCGGCAGGGTCGGTAGATGAGGGGGAGGCGGTATAGGTAGGGAGGTCGCAGATCTGGCATTTTGTCGTAGCTACTATATCAGCTTTGGCCCCTTTTGCGGTTCACAGAGGGTTTTGGCGGCTTACTAGATCCGCGCAGACAACCCGACTGCCCCTTGTTCAACCCCAGCATCAGACCCGCCACGTCTCCCTCCAAAATCCGCTGACACCCCTCTAGCAGCCCGACCTGAAGATTGCTCGCCTGCAGGATCTTCATCACGGCCGGCTTGAGACCGGGTATTTCCAGACCATCCCGGATCCGCCTGATGAGCCTGATTGGATTGATTTCTGATCCCACATGTTCCAGCAGCGCTCGGATAAAGTCTGGGGTATCAGCTTAGTGCTCACCGCCCACCGAAGCGCTAATGTAAGCTCACCGGGTCTCGACTCGGAATAGCTGAGGAGATCCTCCCAGAGGTCCTCGTCCTTCTGCTCCTTTGCAAAGTCGATCGCACGCTGTACATCCCCCAACCGCTCAATGATGAGCATAAGCGCCTGCTTGTTGTTGCCCATTCGGCCGAGCAGGAAGACTTGTTCGGGGACATAATCGCGGTCTTTGCAGATCTTGTATGCCTGTTCGCCGTTAGCTTTGCGTGCACACGTTCGGCATGTACGTGATGGCTACGTACCTTCTCGAGATCATAGAAGTTGCTGGAGCGGAGGAAAGGGGTAAGGCGAGGGTAGTCGTATGCTGCGTATAGCTCGACCTGAGCAGTCAGCTACAGCATCATTTGTTCCAGCCGGACAGCTGACCATTCGGTCCGAATAAGGCAGAACCACCTGCGCATCCTTCTCGAACAGCGCGTCAAGGTACATGTATAGGTACTTTGACTTCGCTTCGAGCTGATGTACGACTCGATCGACCTGATCGTGTCAGCTCTGCGTCAACGTCGCTACGTGATCATACTGGCTCACAGGTATCGAATGCGTATGCTCAACCAACAGCTCAATAGCCCGCCCATGTTTCGCCGTACTATTGACCAGTGCAATCTCGCCCGCCTTCTCCTTGTCAACCTCGCCGATCCTCACGCGCTCCTGGTCAAATTCGACAAGCAGGAGCGCCTGGTCCTGGATCGACGTGAACAGATTATGATCCCGGATCAGGTCGAATACATTCGGCTTGCGAAGGCGGAGGAAGTAGGGGAGCGCTTTGGCGGGTTGGCGGTTCAAGACGTAGCTGTATGATCAGCTCGTTGCCGTATTGGGCTTGGCCAGCTGGCAAGGGCACGTACAGCTCTCCTAGAGATTCAAGGAGTAGAGGCTCAGATTTGCTCCCGTCAAGCTCGGACTTGACGTTCGACATGACATTGTTGATATCGTAGATATCGGACGGCCAGGTGGTGATGGTCTTGAGCAGAGCCTGTAGGGTCAGCTTCTTCCGCTCCTCAAAAGAGACATGGAAAACTTACCGGCTTGTCGTTCATGAGAAGGTGATCCAGTATCATTTCGTAGGTCGCCTTCCCCAGTTGTGGCTCTTCGACCGGGATATAAGGGATGATGGCCTGTCTGATGAGCTTTCATTCGTCGATCTCAAGAATACATAGCTCACAGCAAGATGACCCTTGATCTTGAAATCGTCAATCCACTTCTCCCAAGCGGGTACATCGCTCGCAAGCACCTTTGACGCCAAGGAAGCTGCTTGGTCAAAGTCACCTAAGAGTCAGCTATCGCTCTCGGGGTACAAGCGCTGGACGATGATGAGCTCACCCTTGCCGACCAGATGCACCATGTACTTCCGCCCAATAGCTTTAGCGTCCATCGCGCTCCCATGCTGCTTCTCCAGCTTCTCTGCCACTTCCAGCGCCTCCTCAAACCGCTCCCTCTCCAACAACCACTCGACATGATCCGCCTCATCCCTCGGGCGTACGACCACCACGTCTTTCGGACTGACGACAAAGAACTCTTCTCCAGGTCTGCGAGACCTAACGAGCTTGTAGTCATTCCCGCCGAAAAGATGATACTGGCTCAGTCCCAACGCATCCGCCGACGTTTCCTCCCCTTTCGAGATGATGCGCAGTTCAGGCCGATTTGCGGCTTTTCTCCGCTGTTCGGCCGGATCATCCGTCTTTTCCGAGATGATCGTTTCTGGGGGTATGTAAGCGAGGATGAGGTATGCCGAGCCGTATGTCGTGATACCGGAGATCATGCAGTCGACTTGGTAGATCGCGGTCATCTCGATGGAGATGGTGGGGTGGGTGCCGATCGCTCGGGCGCGAGAACGAATTCGGACGACCTTGACGTAGTCTGCCCAGGCGATGATGAGGGTGTTGTCGTCTTTCCAAAGAAGGGTTGGACGGAAGAGCTCCGCTCGAGGTGAATCTGGCGGGCGATCGATGTAGCCTATCCGGGTGGACGTCGAGGTATCGTATATCCTCACTCCCTTCTTATGTCAGCTGTGCCACCTGGAAGGGAGGTTAGTGCTTAACTCACAGTATCGTTCGCCCATGCGATATACGTCCCCCTCCACTCCACAGCCCAGATCGGCCCTTCCCCACTATGCAGCACCTGCTCCTTGTACCCCAGCCATCCCTTCTCCTGCAATACCAGATTTCCGGCTGTACCTCCGCAGACAAACGCTCGAGTATTCTTCTTCGCGAAGCCAGGTTCAAGGGCGATACAGTGCACAGGCCGCTTGTAGTCGAAAGCGTGGTCGTCAGGGGCTGTGAGGGAGTGGATGACGACTCGGCCTGTATGTCAGCTCCAGCCATCTGACAAGTCTGAGGTCAAGCTCACCCTCCATACTGGTCGTGGCGACATAGTCATTCTCCTCGTCCATCCTCAAACAGGTGATACTGTTCGCGTGTGGCCGATACGAGTTGACTTTGGCGCCCTCATAGCTCAAGACATGAACCATTCCATTATGCGTCCCTATAGCCTAGCGTGTCAGCTATAGACCGTGACGTTGCCAGGTGGTGATCACGAGCTCACCAGTACTCGCGGCGATACATCAACAGCTGATGCGGAATCCTTCGCCAGTATCTCCGGCAGCTTGCCCTTTAGGCGGCTGTATTTGAGTACTCTGAAGTCTGTGAGCTGTATCCCAGGCGCATCGAAGCAATTGTAAGGGAAATCAAGCTCACGGCTCATCCTCATCTCCGTCCTCGTCATCCTCTTCTTCTTCTTCGTCGCTTCCGCTTCCATCCCCTTGTCCGCTGGCCTGCAGGATCCCCTCTTTGGTTGAAGCTGTATTTCTAGATGACCCAGCTGTAGCATGGCTACCTGCAGCCGCTGGGGACTCTTGGACGCCTGCTGATGCCGTGTCATTGTCGTGTGCCCTCTCCTTGCCTTTCCGAGAGCTGGCCGAGGACGTCGAAGACCGGCGAGAGGAAGGGCCGGACCTGGACGGTCCCGCTTCGGGCTGAGGGAGCTTGTAGCCTGCAGCTTCGACTATCGATGATCTGGCCGACGAGGCAGCGCTAGCAGAGCTCTTCGATCCAGCTGCTGTGCTCTGCGGAGGCGACATGATGGGTACGATATAGGTACGGGGGCGACGTTGAAGCTGATATAGGTCGAGAGCCTCCACTAGCTTGAGCTTGAGTGAGGTATGACGTCCGTGCGTCTGCGAGCCTAACGCCCCAGAACTCTAGGCTCGCCCCGAGTTCTCGGGTAAATGGCTGACATTAGGCGTGACTAGGCGACGCGCTATAGCCGAGCCGAGACCGGTTAGGAAGATCCGGCCGGGGTCTCCTGCAGCTGGTGAGAAGGAGAAGGAGAGCCCGAGATGATACTCTACCTCTTCTTCACTCACCTCTACACCACCCATCCCCTGACTCATCATGCTCCGCCTCGCACGACCCTCATCGCTCCGCGTACCTCTCCTGACGCGATCGTACGCTCAGGCTGCCCCTGCCCAATCCCAAAGCCAGGGCAAGAAGGGCGGCCTCTCCCCGCTCGCCCAGGCTGCTGCCAAGGAGGTCAGCTCAAAATGGAAGGGTACCAGCGCGACAGGCGGGAAGACCAAGAACTACATTGGTGGGAAGTTCGTCGAGAGCAAGGCGGAGAAGTGGTTGGAAGTACGGGATCCGGTGAGTCGTACGAGACTAAAGGTGGGTGCGCGCGATAGCTGACCCTTCGTAGTCTACTCAGACGGTAGTGACCCATGTTCCCGAGACGACGGCCTCAGAGTTCCAGGACGCCATCAATGCCGCCAGCGAGGCATACAAGACATGGTCCAAGACCAGCGTTATGCGTCGCCAGCGGGTCATGTTTGAGCTGCAACACCTCATTCGGCAACACGCTCCGGATATCGCCAAGTCTATTGTCCTTGAGCAGGGCAAGACGTTTGCGGACGCCCAGGGAGACGTCGGACGTGGTCTGCAAGTCGTAGAGAGCGCGACAGCCATCACTTCGACACTGATGGGCGACAAGCTCGAGGTGTCGTCAGATATGGACACGTACTCGCGCCGACTGCCGCTCGGTGTTACCGCAGCCATCACCCCCTTCAACTTCCCCGCTATGATTGTGCTCTGGTCAGCTGCACTGGCGACGGTCACTGGTGAGCTGACCTCATCACATCCTCCCATGCGATCAAGCTGACTTCCAAGGTAACACGCTGGTCGTGAAGCCATCGGAGCGCGACCCGGGAGCGACCATGATCATCGCCGAGCTGTGCGAGCGGGCCGGTATGCCGCCAGGAGTGTTCAACGTGTGAGCTGGGACGAACACATCCACGATGATCTGGACAGGATAGCGCTGATGTATCAGCGTGCACGGAAGCGCCGACACCGTCAACCGAATCTGCGACGACCCCGCCATCAAGGCCATCTCGTTCGTTGGTGGTGATGTGGCCGGGAAGCACATTCACGACCGAGCTACACCGCTCGGCAAGCGTGTACAGGCCAACTTGGGAGCAAAGAACCACGTCGTCATCATGCCTGATGGTGAGCTTATCATGCTGATCATCACGAAGGAATCTTGCTGACTTATGCAGCCAACAAGAACCTGGCTTTGAACGCGGTAGCAGGTGCCGCTTTCGGTGCTGCAGGTCAAAGGTGGGCTCATCACATACAATTCATCCATCCATGACATGTGCTGATGAGCAGGTGCATGGCTCTGAGTGTTGCGATCTTTGTCGGTGCAGCCAGGGACTGGATCCCCGATCTCATCGCACGGGCGAAAGACCTGAAGATCTCTGGTGGTTTCGAGGAGGGCACCGATCTGTCAGCTGTCTGCCTTGATACATCACGTCTCCGAAGCTGACTCTATCAGTGGACCAGTCATCTCGCCCCAAGCGAAGGAGCGCATCGAGAACCTCATCCAGACCGTTACGGATGAAGGAGGAATCATCCACCTGGATGGCCGTGGGTGCGTGGTGGAAAACTACCCAGAGGGTAACTTTGTCGGACCGACCGTGGTGGAGTGTACGACCGACATGAGCGCGTACAAGTGAGTTAGCAGGATCACTAACCAGAGCCAATGAATCAAGCTCACGAGCTAGGCAAGAGATCTTTGGTCCGGTCTTGACGGTCGTACACGCCGACACGCTCGATGATGCTATTGCGATCATCAACAAGAACAAGTAGTAAGTGAGCGTTCGAATGACCATGAGAAGAAGCTGATTTGCCAGCGGAAACGGAGCTTCTATCTTCGTGAGCTGGGCAATACGGGAGGCATATGGTCATGAGCTGACGACTTACAGACCAACTCTGGCGCAGCTGGACGCAAGTTCGAGCTTGAAGCCGAGCCTGGACAAATCGGTCTGAATGTCGCTGTACCGGTGAGCTCACCGGCCCTCCTTCACTTGAGGACCTTGAGCTGACACATCCAGGTCCCATTGCCCATGTTCAACTGGTCAGGTAACAAGGGTTCATTCAGGGTATATCTCTCCAGCTCAGTCTCACTGAGTATCTTTGCTGATATATTAGGGTGAACACAGCTTCTACGGCAAGACTGGAATCTCGTTCTACACCCAGCACAAGGTGAGTTTGCCATATCTCGAACATGAGGGACTAGGCTGACTTGATAGACTACCACCGCGCTGTGGCCTCATGAGGACGCGACTGGCCAGCGGGCATCGGTGAACATGCCACAGGTCCAGTAAAGTCTCGGGTGGTGAAACTTAATGGGCGATGGTGCGGTCAACGAAGGATCTTGGGATACAGTACAGGTTTGTATGGTGCCGTCGCGATGTTGTCAAGTGGTCGTTAGTCCGTCATCAAGCAGCTGCAGCACTTATTTCTCACGTACCGCTCGTATACTTACGGGACTTCACACTGGACGTTTCGTGAGCACGCTGCGACTAAGTGTGAAGGCCATACAGACTGGCTATCGCGCGATGACGACCTGCCTTCGGTCGCAGGGCGGACTCCGATGCCTGACGGTCCCAACCTGCCGCATGTTTGAGCTTCACTTGGGTCCACAAGTCATATCGACAGGGAGCACCGCGCAGCATCACTTGACGCCATCGTCTTCCTCTGACCAGTGTGACCCGTGAGCGCAATCTACTGACACACTTGGGTCGTAATACCTTTGTTTCCCGTACCCAATTGCCTCTACCAGTCCATGTCCAGGGAATCAAGACAAAAGTGCCCTCTTTTCCCATCACTCCCTCTCGGCCCATTTCATTGCCCCCCACGACATACACCACCCGCAGCCATCATGTCAACCCCTTCAGGCAACGGATCTCGGCCCGATCGAACTTTTCCCGAGCCCTTTACAGTCACTGACGTGATGACAATGGGTCTCTATCCCAAGATCAAAGCCACCATCAGCTGCAGCGAGGAGCTACGGGATGTTAACTTTTCCAGGGACCAGGATGGGCAAGACACTTTTCCGACTGCAGAGTGAGGATGCATTGGACTCGAAATGACCTCCTTATATATTCCAGCCTGACAACTTCCTACAGAGTGTAGGAAGTTCCTACGAGTTCCTACGAGTTCCTACGAGTTCCTACGAGTTCCTACGAGTTCCTACGAGTTCCTACGCCTACGAGTTCCTACGAGTTCCTACGAGTTCCTACGAGTTCCTACGAGTTCCTACAGATCTTCCTACTAGTCCCTGAGATCTTCCTACAAGTCCCTACGAGTTCCTACACGCCATAGGAACTCCTACTGTGCTAGGACTTCCTATAGTCCATACACAGCCTACTTGGTCCATGGCTTCGACGCCCGCAGCGCGCCACATTGACCTGCCGCCAGGGATTTCGCCTACTCAGGCGTCGCACTCTCTGGATCTCCTACTCGACATAGGAGTTCCTACTCGCTACCGAGCTTGCCTCCGAACAGGGGTGCCTCCTCGCTACCTATTCGCTTCCCGCTTCAGAGAGCCTAGAATCTCAGATTCCTAACACGGGACCGCGTCTTCTTTGAACTGACATCCCGTGCGATGGAGTCGCCATCGGGAGAGGGCGACAAGGCGAAGCAGACATTCAGGCCCGATGGGAAGAGCGACGATGCGCGAAGGCCGCTTGACCGACAGCGCCCCCGAGACCCCTCAGCCAAAGACCACCAAGGACCTCAGCCAAGAATTCATCGCTTCTACTGCGCCATTCAGGACTTTCGATTACGAAGATGTTTCCCCGACACTCCGGAAGGCAAGCTACGATGAGCGCTACGCGACAATCAAGACCATTGGCCAGGACCCCGTGAGACAGAAACAGCTGTGGGACGGATACAACCACAGTATCGAACTCGGTCTCATCCATCACCTGGCCGCCCAAACAGACCTGAAATTCCTCGCCAACAAGGCCTCCAATCCCAGAACTCTACTATTCCACTATTACAAGACGGCTGCCGCGCTCATGGCCGATATCAGGACCTACTGCAAGGAGCTGTGACAGGGATGCGCGAAGGGCCTGAGATGTCGGGCGAGGTGGATGTGGACACCGAAAAGGAGGCTCTGGAGAGACAGGAGTCGGTGGACGCGATCGTGGACACTGTACGCCGTTCCGCCCGAGCCTTTTGGGCGGCGTCTCTGGTGTCCCAGGTGTCCCAGGATGGCTCATTATGAGGTGCACTTTGCCGCGATGAATCATATGCCCTTCGTACAGCATGTGATCCAGTGGCGGTTGAGTGAAACCCCATTCCAGTCTGCCTCATATCTGTAAGCAGCATTCGCTTGAAGCATCCCGACCACTGTCAGTATTTCGCTTTACATCATCAGAGAATCAGTACAGATACTCGGGCCGTTGTCTGCATGGGACCCGTTTCATTCGCGAGGCCCATCCCAGCGACACTCGCCGCCTTGCCACATACCGCTATGACCCATTTCACTTTGTGTTCCTCTTCCGCTTCGTCGATCCTCCTCCACCCTCCAACGCCTGCCTCAACTGATTCTCCTCTTCCGAAATCGCCATCAACTCTCCCTGCCGCATCTTCATCTCCTCCTCCGCCAGCATCAATTTCGCCTTGGCCATAATATACTTGGCCTGCCACTTGCTCCGCCCAAACACCGCCCTCTCGCCATACATCCCCTCTTCGCCTATATGCCCCAAGAGCGTCTTGCTCTCGTCCACCCTAAACCGCGCGACGCCCTCATCAAACGAGTCGTCCGTGTCCGGCTCGACGGGCTGGTCTTCCACCCATGGAGGCTGGGGCGGTTGCTGGCGCGCACGCGCGATCCGATCCCGAGGGTATCGGGAGCGAACGAACGCGATGGCCCGTTGGTCCTCTTGGCTGATTTGGACGGTGCCGCGTTTCCGGATCCGGGGGATGACGTCCAGGAGGTCCGGATCGGTCATGAGGTCCGCGTCGGAGCCGTACCGAATGTACGTGACTCCATCGGGAGCGACGATCGGTGGCGCGTTGACCATGGGTGGGAGGGAGGGGCGGGAGTGGGAGTGGCGGCTGGCATGGCCGTGGGAGCGGGGGTAATCGTGGACTGGCGGCTGGAGGGGACTGGGGAGCATGTCGTACGGCGTGCCCTGGGATCCCTGCGGTGCGATATGCCGGTGCCGACTGCGCCCTGAGGAGGGTGCTGAGCGGGACGCTTTGCCCTTGTCCCTCGACTGCGCCGAGTCCGGATGAGGAGGTTGAGGCCCGAGGGCAGGATCAATGAGGTCCATGAAGGAGTCCTCCTCGTCCATCGGGTCGTGACGCGGCTCTTCGCTCATGTGGAGGGGGTTGTAGTTCAGAGTGGACGCGCGAGATTGTGGTGGTTTGGGTTTGGGGCGGGGAGGTGCCGCGCGAGGCTTGGTGGATCGATAGATTGCCTCTTCGGCAGGGACGAGGTGGATGGAGCGGAGGTGCTTGTTGAGGGCGTCCGAGCGGGTGAAGGATTTGGAGCAGTCTGATTGTCAGCTGATTCCTTGATGGGAGACTCGGTCCAGGTAACGCCGGAAGCAAGAGGCTAATGCAAGGTGGGAGAGAGGTATAACCTTTGGTGTGGGATAGGCTGGAGGAAGACATCAACTTACTTGGCTGATTGCAGTCGTAAGGCCTGTGCCCTGTGTGCTTCCTACAGTGCGTAATCAACGAGTGGCGTGTAGACGGCTTGTTGCCTCTGCGAAGGCAATTGTACCATCGACACTGGTATTTTTCGCGGCCGCGGGGTATATGTGCTGATCATTAGCTGATATGTACAAAAGACAAGTTGAGATCAGTGCCGCTTCCTTCTCTTTCCCCCTGAAACACATCCGCGCCCTCCGCACCCTTAAACTGAAACTCCCTCCGTGCGGAATCAGGACGAGCCACTCACTCTTCTCCAAGTGCCTCACAAGCCCGATCTGCTCCTTCCACTCTCGCCCACACCCATCCCACTCGCATTTCCACCCCGAAGTTCCCTCTTCCGCCTCCTCTAGATCTGCCTCGTCATGCGATCCCATCTCCTCGCCATCGTTTTCCCCATCGGACCCGTCGGCTCCACCTTGGGATGCCCCGCGGCCTTGGTTCCCATCTTCATCCGAGACGAGCTCATCGACTTCTTGGTCGCCCTCGGGGTACTGAGGGTAGGCCATGACGGGCGAGACTGGGCGAGAGCCGGATGGGGAGCCGGGAGCGGAGGGTGGAGCCGCGAGGTATTCATACGAGGCAGTCGGCGGATATTGGACGTAATCTGCCGGAGCTGGAGCCGGGGAGAATGAGTTGGCGTATAGCCCTTCCGGTGAGGCTGATCTCGACATGTCGCTAGGTGCTATAGCACAAAGAAGAGGTAGGTGGTATAGGATTAGGGTATCAGAGATAGATAGAGTATCTATCAATTCAATCTAATATCAATAACACAGCTTGAAGCGGAAGGTAGAATTTGATGCCGCTAATCGGTTTCAGATTCCACGTGGGTCATGATTATGAAACGCGCCCGATTTCTGCGCGCGCGAGGGCAGATTCAAGAGGTACCTACGTACCTACACTCTCCACCATACCTCTAGGCCGTCTTATCCAAGCCTGCACATCATGGCAGTGCAGCTAGACCCCTCGTCATCGCGGTCGTTCACCCCGCTATCGACTCTCTCGCTGTCAGGACCGCACGTCTTGCACTCGGCATCATGCAATCCCGCCATGGACCTAGTCGTCCTCCTCGCGCCTGCTCAGCCTGCTCAGTCTGCTTCTGCAGCGCTCAAGGGCAAAGGCAAAGCGACGGATATGAGTGCATGGCGAGGGACGAAGGTGGTGCTCTGGCGGATGTTGGGCAGTAAAGTGTGGGAAGTGGAGGTGAGGGGATGGGTAGCGGGATTGGCGTGGAGCGGTGATGGTAAGTATCATGTTTTCGAAGAGGGGATTGCTGGAATAAGCTAATGAGCAAGGGCTCTACCTGTCCCTACTGCTACTTATGCCCGCGGCGCGGAGAGCCGTCCTCGAACATCGGTCGGTCCACAACGGTGAAGTGGTCAAGATCGTGCCAATAGATCTGCCAGATGCGGCGTGGGAAGCTGGGCCCACTGAGGTACAGCTAGAATGGAGGGATAGCAGCCTGGAGTGGGAGACTGCCAGGGTGATATACATCTTTCATATCGCCCGATGAAGGATATCTGACACCGCAGGATGGGTCCGCTCGGCAGATCATCGCGTCACTTCCTACGGTGACTCCAGTCGAACCCCCTAAACCCGCCGTGTAAGCTATACGTCCGCGATCAGCCGGCCCCAGCTGACCATCACCAGAGTCAATCCCTTCGCCAAACCCATAGCTGCGGCAAATACGAAACTTCCACATCCAGCATTATCGACCTTCCCCTGCCTCCTCTCCTCGACGCCCTCACTTCCGCCCCATACCCTACAAGTCTCACTACCTGGACGAGATCTACATCTCCTCACCGGCTCCTTTCCCTGTCCGTCGTCATCCTCCTCCTCGCATCTTCGATTAGCCCAGAGCGCCGACTCTCTCGCGTCGTTCCTGAATATAGTTCTGCGTGGCTTGGAGGCGATAGAGGCTGCTTGGCGGGATGGGTACAAGCAGACCATGCTGTGGAGGGAAGAGCTGGAAGAGTGCGGAAAGCTACAAGGGAGTGAGTATGTTCTGACGATGGGCAAGGTCACCATAGCTGACGGATCAGTGCCGGTGCGGGATGTACATGCCGATCTGTTCAGGTTACTCATGACCGGTCGATGTCGCGAGGCAATTTCAGAATGGCTAGGTAACAAGCTTACCGGTCGCGTAAGCTTGCCAACCTTTTCGGATCCGCGCCAGCTCATGCTCCAGATGTTGACGAAATGGGAGCAAACCCTCGCGACGAGCCTCCAGACCATCCAGAAGATCGTCGCAGAGAGCGTCTCGCCTGCTTTGGAGAGGGTCATGATTCTTCTTCAAGGGATGAGGGGATGGGAGCGATCGTGAGCTAGCATACGCCGTGTATAGGATCGAGCTGACAGGGCAAGGCAATATCACTCCGCGGGCCTCTCGCTGCGCTCAGAGGATATCGAGCAGAGTATCGATATAACAGGCGGGATGATCAAGCTGATCGAGCGGATACGGCAGGATGCGGAGCTTGAGACTCTGGCTGCTGCGGCGTGGATGGCTTGGCTCAAATTCGGTACATCCCCTTCCGGCCACGCATCGCGGAAAAGGCAGATAGCTGATCAACGTCAGAAACCGCCCAAGCTGGATCAGGAGGCGGCGACGACCCACCCACAGCGACACACGACCTGAAACTCACGTGGTCTTTCCTCGTGAACGGCTTTGTCCGGTCCATCTTCTCCTCATACTTCCCAGACGATACCCCCACGCGCCCACCATCCGACGCGCTCCCTCCTGCCTATGTCCAATCCCTCTCCCTTCAGCCTCCCAGCCGGTCCCTGGACGACGTACTCTCGCACACGCTATCTCGGCTATCCGGGAAGCCTACTCGAACTTCTTTCAAAAGCCCGGTAGTGGAACAGGACGAGGCGATGAGCATGGACCAGTCTAGCATGCTCCTTTCCTCCCCTGCGGCCGATAGTCGGATCATCGAAGAGAGCGGCGTCGACCTGGATATCGAAAGTGAAGGGCCGGACGAGGATGAGGTGTTGACGTCGGATACGGAGACGGATGGGGATGGGGAGTCGGCGAAACACAAGGGGAAGAAGGGTGAAGCAGAGGAGGAGGCGAAGGTGCAGAGGGTGTTGGAGATGGAGCCGTGGGCATGGGCGAATAGTCTGATTGCGACTACAGAAGGAATGATCCGGGCTGCGGTGGGGGAAGAGGCTGGTGGTGTCGTGGATCAGGGGTATGGGTGGACGGAGGGGATTATGACGACCCGGACAGTAGGAGAGGTGGTCTGGGGTGCGCATGTAGCCGAGGCGGGCAGAACTGGTAAGCTGTCTCACCTTTACGTGCTGGGCGGAGCTGACAGCTTTTTAGTCATCCTGGTCTCTCAACATGGACTGGAGTCTCGAGCCCTCCGTATCATCCTCGGAGACGGGACGGCCTGCCTTGCTCTCCAATTCTTCGATGATATCGAGCTCGCTATGCTGCTCGAAACCGCCTCCGGTCGGTTTCACGCGACGACTGCTTTCGCATCCTACCTCGACCATACACTACCCATATCTACCGCTATCGGATCAGTAGGCGATCTCGTGACACTGGCCATGCCGGAAGTACCCCTGGTCATACATCGCTCGAGATACCTTACGAGCGAAGGTGGGGAGGGGCCGGTAGCGCTCGCTTTGAATGGGAAGAAGGGGAGGAGGGTGGGTTGTGTTATGAATGGCCAAGAGGGGGAAGTGGAAGTGTGGGATATGGAGGATGATGAAGGGGACGAAGAGGAGGAGGGGGACGGAGATGATGAGGAGCAGGAGGAAGAGGAGATGAGAGACGCTAGCTGAGACCGGAGAGGACGATGTGCGATCATCCCCGTGACAAGGCATTCATGCTATGACTCGTTATGGACATCTCAGTGCCCAAGCCGTCTCAGCACAATCCTCACTGTCTCCTTCGATTGGGCCAGGCACTGACCAGCGGATCCGCCAATAATCCCTGGAGAAATCGCGCAACGGCCGCACTCCTTTTCGCTTCCTGTGCGAGCTCACTCTGCGCGGCATCGATCTTGGACCGGAATTTGTCTTTGCATTCGAAGCTGCCGGTGGACTGATAGTCACCGATGGCTGGGACCTCGACGTTCCACGGCAAGATGCTGCCATCTTCGGTGAGCATCACTGTTTTTCCCTGCCATTTGAGAGGGCTGTTCAGCGAGGTTGCTTGCGCGCTGGGCATGCTGGGAACGATGTGTTGCTCGAAAAGGTAACCTTCGACTCCAGCCTGCGTCGACTTTCGGTACACGTTGACCCCTGACCAGAAACCTGGTTGAGTGTGCTCGTCGCCGACCCCGCCGACCTTGGCGCGCTGCGTGATATTGCTGGGCTGAAACATGAGAGACTTGTCTGCTGAGAGAATGCAGGTCGCAGCGCTCTGGGACTGGGCCTGACTGTCTGTGACGTTGTCGCCAGGGTGAGTGACGAAGTGAAAGTGGTCTTCGGCTGGTACCGAGAAGATGATGGGGAAGTACTGGGAGAGCGGCATCGCGGAGGGAGTAGATGGCTCGGTGGACATGGTGGATGTAGGGTAATTTTCCTGTGGCAAGACTCCAAGAGAGTAAGGGTTGGTGCAGTGCCCAAAGGCGGAAGTGTTAGAAGGGTTGAAGTAGAGGAAAGGAAAAGGATCAGCCTCGACAGCGGGGACGTATATAGCCCGCAGCCTGTTCAAATGACAAGGTAGGTTAGTCAGAAAGGGTGGGTACCCCAGAGATCGCTAACGAAAGGATCAACGAGACGAGACCGTCGGTGTCCAGATCTGGCAATGTGATCGAACTCATCGGACTCTCGGAGTCACTAACGTCGAGAAGGGGGCGGTGACCAAAGGATCAAGGACGTCCTGTGTATCGATCTATACTGGGCGAGGAGCTCGATCTCAGTTCACTCTTCGAAACGCCAGGGTTGACGCCAGCCGCGCCACCAAGGATTGCTGGCAGATGGTGTTTGACCTTGGGTTTCGAAAGGGGGCAGCGAATTTCTGAAACCAGCAGGCCGGTAGATCTGACATTGACACACTTCGCGCTGACCCAGAACGAGCAAGTGCGGCATGCCTTGTAATTGTCGCAGACATGAGTGGCGGGACGGCAGACTGGTCTTTAGGTTATGAGCGTATTGTCTGGAAGCAAGAAGGGTGGGTCGGTATAGTAAGTCAAAGCAGCGGACGATATCAGACATGGCATCAAGGTAAGCTCACGGCGCTCGCACAACATAGGCGTGCACCCATTGCCAGGGCACAAAGATGCCTAGGAGCTGAAAGGAGAGGGGCATTTGGAAGGAAAAGGTAGAGTGAAACATGAGGCCACTCCCTTCCTTTCACACCCACGCAAAGGTCCTACTGCTGTCCGTAGCCTTTGATCGTCTTTATGCCTATTTCTCGCAAACAGTAAACTCGACTACATTATCATACAAGGCACAAGCTCCTAGGACCATGTCTCGTCCCTTCCAGGACTGTGTGCTTCTCCTCGTTGGTAGACCTTCTACACTCCCGTGAGAAGTTTTAACAATGGAGGGACTGGCTGACTGAGCCCAGGGCGACTCCCTCACCCAAGGCCAAGAGGTCCATGGGAATCTCTATGAGCGGATGAATCGTGCGTCTTCCACTTTGCCTCCTGGCCAGCACCGATATAGAGCTAGAAGTATAACCCTTGGGCAAGAACCCTACGCTTATACTGACCTCCACAGTGGCATACGTGAGGAAGCTTGACGTCCTCAACAGAGGTTTCGGCGGATACAACACAAAGGGGTAAGTACCTTCCGCCCACCCTGACTCTGCGGCTCGCCTGTGGGAAACGCACGCATCTAGGTCCTCAGCACAGCGGCTTACAATATGCACAGCCTTCTCGTTCTCATGGATGAAATGCTCGCCAAGAAGGAACATGCTGCTACTTCGCCCGTGATCAGAATGGTCACCATCTGGCTGGGTAATTCCAAGATTCGCCGTTATATATTCAGGGTCGAGCTGAGCGACAGGTGCGAACGATGCCATCCTCCCGACCGAGCCAGGCGCGGTGCCCTTGAACGAGTTCACTTCCAATCTGAACGCCATGCTTGTCGCTCTGACCTCCGCTTCGTCTCCCTATGCCGCCGCCGACACGCCACTTTCGATCATCCTGATCACGCCCGGCCCCTGCTGGCCGGGCATGTTTGAGCCGGACACGGGGAGAGACGAGTGGTGTATACCTGAAAATATGAAGATGTACCGGGACGCGGTGCTGAAGGTGGGAGCAGAGTGGAAGATGAAGGAAGAGGCGGATCCGAGGAGTCCAAAGTGGATGATTGAGACTGTCGATGCGTGGGGCGATTTGGTCAATGCGGCGGGAGGAGAAGGCGAGGGATTGAGACCGTACTTCACGTGAGTAGCCTAGTAGGGGACCCCCGACGCCGTAGTTCCTGCTGACAGGTCAGAGATGGCATTCATTTCTCTTCCAAAGGCTATTCAGTCCTCTGGGAGGGTATTGCCAAGGTGATCCAGACCAAGTTTGCAGGCCGGGGGCTGGACTGGGAAGTTGAGCGAGACCTGCCGAAGCGAGTGCCAGCGTGAGTGTGGCCTCTCATACAGGCTAGATTATATCACTGGCGAAGCTGACCTGTGACAGAAGCGAAGATGTGGACTGGAAGCGCCCGCAGTCTGTCATCGAGGGCATGAAACTCCCCAAGTTCAGGCTTGCGTGATCCTCGCCTATCATACGCCCACAGCAGGTGTCACATTGTCGCTGACGAGATATGGATGCATACCATTGCGCATGTAGATCTGTACCATTGTTTATGTCTCTCACTACAGCCAGGCTCACAGCTGTCCTGATCTTATCGCGCTATACTAAAGTGCCACATACCTCATCCGCAGCTGAAACGCCTTACGGCAAGGGGCGTCTCATGCCGGTCCATGTCTCCCCAGAGTGGCGGCGTGGCGGCCCGTGGCGGTGCGAATTGTCATGGCCGGGGCCTCACTACCACGCTAGACTATGCAAAGGTAGACTGCCCTACCATACATCATTAGCAGGCGTCTCAATCGATGTACAGTCCCTTAATGACAAGAGTAGCAGAGTGAGGAAGCTGGGAGAAAGGAGGAAGCAGATCAAAGGGAGGCAAACAAAAGACGCTATTCGGGCAGGGAACCAAGGCAGGCAATACACGCCAGGGTCTGATGGCGCCCTCCAGGCATGTATCTTTTCGCTGACGACTATATACTTCACTACGCGTACCGTCATACCAGTTTACGAACGATACAAATACCGTCAGCATGTCTCGCCCATTCCAAGACTGCGTCCTCCTCCTCGTCAGTGACTCTCTGCTCACACCATGACCTTGACGTCCGAGGTCTAAATCGAGCTGGCTGACGGAATTAGGGCGACTCCCTCATACCGGGACATGGAGTTCATGGGAATCTCTACGAGCGCATGAACCGTATGTGGACCCACTTCTTCTCTCCTCCACTGACTATGCATTCTTGCCTACTTTGCCTATCCATTGACGAGTTACTATTGACGCTCATAGTCGCCTATACGCGTAAGCTGGACGTACTGAACAGAGGTTTCGGCTCTTATAACTCGAATGGGTACGTCCACCCTGGAGACACGGTTTCTTGCTTTGCGGAGTCGCCTGACGTCACAGCCTACTGGTCCTCCTGGATCAGATGCTTGCCAAGAAGAAGGTTGCAGCTACCTCGCCAGTGATCAGGATGGTGGTCATCTGGAACGGTAGGACGGACTCCATCGGACGAGCACTCCTCACAAGCTGATGCACCGGTGCAAACGACGCGGTCCTCCCTTCTCAGGCGATGTCCGTCCCCATCAACGTATTCACTCGCAACGTTCAATCCATCCTCTCCGCCTTGACTTCCAGTGACTCGCCCTACGCTGTCGCTGATACGCCGGTTTCCATCGTTCTGATCACCCCTGGGCCCTGCTTACCGAGCATGTTCCCCGATCCCGCAGAAAAGGAGTGGTGCACTCAGGACTCCATGCGCAAGTATCGCGATGCAGTCCTCGAAGTGGGCAAGGAGTGGAAGTCCAAAGAGGCGGAGCAGGCGACCGCGCGAGGTTGGAGCATTGAGACGGTCGACGCGTGGGGAAGCGTGGTGGGTCAGGCCGGGGGTCAAGCGGAGGAGCTGAGACCTTATTTCAAGTACGGACGAGTGGTTTTGAGCTCTGGTCCATGTGCTCCGTCATCCAAAGCTGATCGACTAGGGATGGTATCCATCTCTCTACCAAAGGCTACGCGACCGTCGAGGAGAGGATCAGCCGTGTCGTCCAGACCAAATTTGCGGGCAGGGGTCTCGACTGGGAAGATGAGGCGGACCTACCGAAGCGTGCACCCATGTAAGCGCTTGAAGACGTCTGACATGATCTGCTTCTGTATGCAAGCTAATGTAACAGGAGCGAGGGTGTAGACTGGACGCGTCCTGAGTCTGTTCTCGAAGGCATGAAGCTGCCGAAGTTCAGATTGGCGTGACAGATCGCGCCTGCTGGCGGAGACAACCTGCACACCACTGCCTCGAAGCTATGTCATGTATACTATGTATTGTGTCTCTCAGTACCAGTCACGACCGCGCTCCCCTACCCGAGCTGCTAGGGTCCGACCAGGTCATATCAAACTGATTATCTGCAGTGCCACACTAGTGCCACATACCTCATCCGGTCCTGAAACGCCTTACGGCATGGCGCGTTTCGCGTTCCGCCGCGACCGAGAACAAATTGATCGCAAAGCAGCTGTCAGCGTTCGCAGAGATCTCCTTACCGCCCCTTTCACATCTATACTTGGAGTCCTCTCGTTGGTTGCTTGTCTAGTACAAGATGACGCGACCGTTCCAAGATTGTGTGCTTATGCTTGTAAGCCGCTCGGCGCTGTAGCAACAGGAAGGAGCTGATAGACCTTAGGGCGATTCGTTAACGCAGATGCAAGATACTCCGAGGAACTTGCATGAGCGACTAAGCAGTACGTCTGTACAGACTCCGAGCGCGAGTACCATCCCAAGACGCCGTCTTGCTGATATCAGGCAGAGGCGTATTGCCGGAAATTGGACGTGATCAACCGGTATGATCTCCCTTTCCGCGAAGCTCGGTCTCCAGCTAGGTCAAGCTTGCTCACAGGCTGATGATGTAGAGGCTTTGGCGGCTGGAACTCTAATGGGTATGTCTACGTGATACCATCGATACTAAGGACCCACTGATGACTTCAAGGACGCGCGTTCTGATGGATCACATATTCGCTAAGAAGGGCGAAGCCTCGACTTCGCCAATAGTCCGCCTTGTCACCCTTTGGATCGGTAAGTCCCCGCTCTCGATCTAACGTGAATCCAGCTGACCCACCCAGGCACGAACGACTCTGTACTCCCGCCAAAGGATCAGACTGTCTCTCTCCCCGACTTCGTCAAAAACCTGCACGCTCTCCTCTCCGACCTGACATCCCCTTCCTCGCCCTACGTTATCGCTGACACGCCTCTCTCCATCATTCTCATCACCCCCGGACCATGTTTGACTAGTATGTTTGAGAACTACAAAGTCAAATGGCGCACGCCGGAGTCGACGCGAGAGTTCCGGGACGCAGTACTGCAAGTCGGCGCGGAGTGGAAGGGTCGTGAGAAGGCGCAAGAGCTGAACGGAGCCAAGGAGAGGGGATGGAGCATCGAGACAGTCGACTTCTGGGCGGACCTGGTTAAGCAGGCGGGAGGGGATGGGGAGGAGTTGCGGCCGTACCTGACGTGAGTGAGAGATTTGCCACATCGTCTAGTCTAGGTATCACTAGCTGATGCGAACAGGGACGGCCTACATCTCACATCAGAGGGGTATGATGTGGTATGGGAAGGCGTGTCCAATGCGATCCAGAAGAAATTCAAGGGCAGGGGACTGGACTGGGAGGACGAGGAGGATCTGCCGAAACGCGTACCGTGGTATGTGCCAGCTTGTCATGAAGTGCAGACCTTGGACGAAAACTTGAGCTGATGGATAGGTGCGGGGATGTGGACTGGTCGAGACCGGAATCTATCGTCGAGGGTATGAGATTGCCTGCATTCAGGCTCAGGACCTGAGTAGAATGCGCGCATCTACTGGATATTTGGACGGACATTTCCTGTCACCAAGGATGCGTGTAAGCCCCGTGCTGCGCAGATAATCATAGAGCATAGACAAGATATTGCATTTACGTGTTAAGTAGAGCGGAAGGGCGACTGCTTCATGTTCTCTCCAACGCTTTCGGGGCGCTTGTGGTCCAGATCATCCCATCTACTTGTATCAGCTGAGAACCGGGATGGGCAATCCTTGTAAGATCTACTCACAAGGCCGAGCGGGGAGGGCAGTCTACCAGGTCATCCCAGTCCAGACCGCGGTTCTTGAGAGGACCTTTCACGAGCCTGGTGTACTCCTTCCAGAAGATAGCGTAGCCGGCAGTGCTGAGGTGAAGGCCGTCACTAAGTCGTCAGCACCTTGAATACTACATCCATCCGACCTGCCGAGCGAGGTGAAAAATCAGATCGATGACTGACGTGAAGTACCCCTTCATCTTCTCCTCATCACCCGCCGCATCATCCAGCACCGCCTTCCACATGTCCACACCCTCGACTCTCCACTTCCCACCCTCCTTCTCCCCCTTCGCCCGCCACTCCTTTGCCAGCTCATTGACCACATCAACATACTGCTTCGTCACCTCCGCCTCGCGGGCCTCGGCCAGGACGGGCGGGAGGAGCGACTCGCACATAGGTGCCGGGGTGATGAGGACGATCGAGAGCGGCGAGTGAGCGGCGGCGTAGGGGCTGGAGGAGGACGTCAGGGATTCGAGGAAGAATTCGAGGTTTTGTCGGAAGAGCGGGAGAGGGGTGTGTTGGCCCATCGGATTGTGGGGGAGGCAGGCGTCATTTGTGCCTACGGTATCAGCTCAGATCCGTCGGGGGAAGCAGCATAGAGCTAAATGAAGGACCAGATCAGACATACCAAACCAGATAGTAACCAATCGCACCTGTGGAACGTTCGCAGCCTGCTCCTTCTTCGCGAAGATACTGTCGAACAGCTCCCGAGCAAAGCCGGTGTTGTACCCGCCGAAGCCACGGTTCTGGACATCCAGAGCACGGCGGTAGTGATCTGCGACTCTCAGTCATACCCTCGGCAGGTGACAGGGAAGGGATGCTCACCGGACATTAAGGCTTGAAGGGTTGAGGGGACATCTTGCCTGTTCGTGATCGAGTCACCCTGCAAGCGGTCAGTTCGAGGTCTCGCATCATCAAAGCTAAGGCTATGTTTGCACTTCCGCCCAATGGAGAAGATCAGCAGCTCGTTGGACGAGAGAGAGAGGCCGACGGCTCACAAATAGCACCACACAGTCTTGGAAAGGAAGTGCCATTATGTCCACTTTTTGGTACCTTTGCTGAAGAAGCTGCAGAGCCGAGAGGGATGAGCGCACTGGAGGGAATCGCTCGGCCTCGTACTATATATGCAAACCCCAGTGCGGCGAATAGATGAAGGTAGAAGAGGGATATCGACCGCCGGCCCGGTCGCAACCGGCCCAGAAATAGCTCCTCATTCCTCGCATCGTCTCCCAGGCCCAGGGCCCCTACTTGGCATCCCCCACTTCCTGGGTTGAGCCAAAAACTCTCAGCGGCTGTCTGCCATGGCCAGCCGAGCAGCATAGACATACAGCATACGTCTAGAAGGACTCTTGATACAACGAGTAGTACAAGGCGGTCTGGCCTCAAATCTCACTCCCTCCAAATACAATCTCCCGAGAATGAACCGAAGGTCATCTAGGCAGGCTCGCGACCTCCTCTCTGACCGTTTGTGCGCGTTGCGCTCGTTGAAGCTGTACTGGCGCCGTCTAGTATGATCAGCTTGACATGCTTGGTCCAGCAAGAAACAGCTTACCTGAACAAGTTCGGAGATATTCGCGATAGTATCCTCCATCAACGTCTTCACCTCCTCTTGCCTCGGCGGCGGAGGGACCACGGCCTTCTCCTTGGGTCCATCTATACCGGGATCAGTATCACCTCTCAAGCCTCTCGATTGACTTGACATACCATCTTCATCCTCTCCTTCAGGCAACCACTCCATATTCGTCCTCCTCCGCTCCAGATCCAGATCTACCGCCTGTACCTGCCCCGGCAGACTCTTGCGCAGGACAGCCACCTCGTCCATCCATGAATCCTTTTCGGTGGCTATGGACCACATGCGATGGTCTAGTGCCTCGTCCCATGGCTCGGTGGCTTCGATAAAGGTCTCGTAGGCTTGACCGTTGATGCGGACGTTGGGCTTGGCGAGGTTGAACATGTCTTCGCGGATCTAGATTATCAGCCAAAGCCTGGCACGGTGATGTATCACGACGGCGGAGTTAGCGATGAGTAGGTCAGGGGTCATGCCAAGGCTTGTAATCGCGCCCTCCTGGGACCGCTTGATGCCCATAAGATCTTCCACGACCGCTAACCACATCCGGGGAATCTTGCGATCCCTGACAAGAGTTAAGCGACTCACACGTCCCAGCCTCGCCTCCACCTCCCTCCTCACAGCCCTCGCAGCAGACCCAGTCGCGCCCCCTGGCATCGTCCCTAACCTCGCCTCCATCGTCTCCATCATCGCCCGTTCGATATTCCCTCTTATCTTTAGCCACTCCGCCTCGGCATCGACATTTATCCTTTGAATCGTGGGTTCGGGGCCTGACATGTCTGTCCGGGAAGAATGTTGCGCGCTGTAGATTGCGATGGTATGATGTGAGAAGGAGATCAACGACGGCTTTGATCTTTGTTTTTGAACGCGTCCTAGGGGGTTTACGTCATCCATTGATTTTAAGGCACCACCGTCACCTAAGGAGGTCAAAGCCACATCTGTTGTCGTCGTCCATTCTCATTCTATCTTTATATAAGCCTGAGTGCTTGCGCGCTGATCAGTCACAAGGAGTAAAGAGCAGGCGCGAACAGGTCCAAGCGCCAGGATGTCAACCGGGGCGAGCTCGGACGCCGTGGCAGGGGTGGGGCCAGGGCTTGTTGACCCGATAAGTCGTACGTCCCGCGTCCCTCTCTCTGTCTTCACGCTTTCTCATATACTGACGCGAAGCAGACCTCCAGACATACGTATGTGACAGGCTACTAGTGCCTGGCAAAAGGTACACGTCGCTGACTGCCTAGATCAAACAAGTCACCGCCGACTGCGAACGCCTCACAGCCGCCTGTGCCACACTCCGGACTGAGCACGACTCCCTCACCTCGACTCACTCTGCCGAAAAGACAGCTCTGGCAGCTGAGATCGCCGAGCTCGCGGCCAAGCGCGACGCCACTCGTCTTCAGGTCGAAGAGGAACAAAAGGCCGCCGAGTGGTGGCGCAAGAAAGAAGAGTCCAGCTCCGCCGCCCGCCGTCAGGGCGGGGACGTCTCTGGCCGCGTCGCGCGCGCTGCCTGGCTGGCGGATGAGAAGTCGGCGCGACTGGAAAAGAAGATAGCGGAGATGGAGGCGGAGCATGAAGTTGCGATTCAGGCGGAGAGGAGTATCGCTGCAGGGTTGAGAGATAGGATTGGGCGGATCGAGGGGCGGACGAAGGTGCAGCAGGAGGGAAGGGAGGCGGCGGAGGAGAGGGAGAAGGGTGTGAAGAAGGAGATGGAGGAGTTGAGGGAGAGCGTTGAGAGGGAAGAGGGCAGGCTGAGCGGCGAGGTGCAGGATCTGCGAGCTGCGTTGAGGGAGGAGAAGCGGGTGAAGGGGGAGAAGGAGGCGGAGATCGAGAGACTGACTGAGGCTTTGAGGGATAGTATGGAGGAGACGAGAGGACTCAAGGCGGCTGCAGTGTGAGTCCGCGCCATGCTGACAGTTGGACCTCAACGCTGACCCCGCAGTCCATCCCGCGTTCTCACCCCACTCCAGCTCAACGTATCTCGCCCGCAGACGCCCCCGCATTCACCTCGTCGAAATCTTGGCGTCAAATCACCCTCGACCATGCCCACCACCCCGAAGTCCCAGGCTCGCGCCTATGTCTACCTCGAGAAACGACACACAGAGCTACAGACGCAGCACAAAACCCTCCAAGCGGCCCTCGAGAAGGCTCAGGCGGCGTATACAGAAGTGCTCGAGAAGCATCGCGCGGATAGGGAGAAGTTCCTGGCATGGAAAGAGGTCGAAGATGAACGGAGCAAGGCAAGGAAGCGGAAGAGGGAAGAGCGGCGGCGCGAGCGTGGCGAGAGTCGAAGTGAGGCGGCCGAGGAGGGCGGGAGTGGGAAACGAAGGAAGAGCGGGGAAGGGGTGGATGATCGATCGAAAGTGCTGGTGGAGGCGTCGGATGAGAGCGCGCCGCTACGGCAAGACGAGAAGGAAGCGGAGGCCAAGACTTCGCAGACTGTGCAGGAGGACCAGCGGGCCAGAGGCACGTCGGCGCAGAGGGCACAGATGGACATGGAGGAAGAGGAAGAAGAGGAGCAGGAGTATTACTCGCCCGAAGACGTCTTCGTGCCCGCCCATCAGCCGAGTCAGCGAGAAGAGGCCATGACGGGCATCTCGCAGCGGCTCGATATGGCTACTGCTTCGGAACGACCTGCATCTCGGTCGTCCTCGCGAACCGGTCGAGTCGAGGTCAGGGCAAGTCCTGCTCCTGCGCAAACTCGGAGGACCTCCGTTACCGCATCGGTACGGCCTGCTTCGCAAGCGTCTCAGAGGGGCCGAACTGAGACTCGCGGATCGACCCCGACGCCTGCTGCACGCGGCCGGAGTAGCTCTGTGTCCACCGCCACTCGTTTGGGCCGGCCCGTCCAACCTGCTAGGGCAACGCAGTCCCGCTCAGCCTCCACCGTCCGTGCTCCCGCCACACAACGTCGCGACCCGTCTCCTGACAAGCCCCGGTCTCGACCTGCTGCCTCGCGCCGATCGGCCTCGCCGCAGAAGACCCCGCTGGCAGCCACTGCTCATGCCCCGGCACGCACCACGCCCTGGCTCGGCGGTGGCTATCTCGTTCGGACCGGCTCCAAGTCCAACATCCTCACTACCGCGGACCCGTTTGATCTCTCCCCACCCGAGGCGGCAGAATCACTGCGTGGAGCCGGACCCAGCACTTCCCGCGCCCTCGCCCGCGCCCCGTCGAGCGGATACGGTACGAGTACGCCGGGCACGAAGCCTTCGCTCGTTCGGGACAGAGGGGAGGCCTCGCTCCGCAAGACCGCCCTCACCCGCTTCCCGTCCGGCATGTCCAACTCTGCGCGAGGGCATCAGGATACGCCTCGACCCCGAGCGGCGAGCAGGCTCGGGGAGAGTATGGTCGCGTCAGGCTCGGCGGGTGGGACGCAGTCGCCCAGTCTGGCACTGGAGGGGTTGACGAAGGATGAAAAGGCGAGGCGGTTGAAGGCGCTGAATAGGTTGAGTGCGAGCGAGAAGAGGGAGGTGTATAAGGGGTATAAGCAGGAGGGGGGACGATACCTGGGGGTGGATGAGGTGTGAGCTTCTCTGATCTTTCGGCTTTCCGCGCTCCTCGAAGCCCAGACAAAGAAAGTCAAGCTGATAATTTGCAGTCGCCGACCTGTTACGGAGGCGTACGAGATTGATCCCTCGAAGAATGAGGGGCGGACACACCAATTCCACGACGTCAAGAGGAAGAAGGAGGACCGGAAGTGTATGCACGGCGGGGATTGCGAAGAGTGCCGCGATGTGAGCTCCTGCGCACTGACATGTCTTGCTTGAGCTGATCTATGCAGTGGTATGAAGCCATAGGGCCTATTCCGCGATACAACCAAGCTCCGGCTTGGGGCGGTGAGTCCAAGGACAAGGACGAAGAGGACGAGGACATGGTGCGGGCGCATCAGAATATCGTTTCTCGGCATCGCGAGACGGTATGTCTATCTTCGTCCAGCTAGGTGACGCTAATACGTGGGAGAGGCTAGATAGCTGATATACTAGTGGGTCAAACCGCCTACTCCACCCGGATACTGGTCCATCGCCTTCCCGACGACGCAGGATGTCGAGGCGCAGAATAGGAGGGCGGACGTCATGGAGCGGGAGAAGGAAGAGAGGATACTGAAGGATGCTGCGTGAGTTGGCTTTCCCCCTGAATCCGCTTGTAAAGGACAAAGTCGAATAGGAACCAGCTGACAGGTCAGAGCGTCAAACAGTAAATGGCGCAAGAAGAGCTAGAAGGGATACCCGACAACCAACAACCAATAACCAACAACCCATGTACATTCCCCGCGGTCGACAGTAGATTGTATGCCTCGGCCTCGATATGCTTGCGCGGAATCCACCATGCCATAACGACCACCCACGACCCACAACGAAAACAAAACAAGACGGCGCTGTACAAAGATCCATACTTTTTCTATGTCTCCAAGTCTGTATGTGTGTATGTACAATTGGAAGTTTACGCTAAGACTCAAACAACCAATATATCGATCCAGTGTCCATCTTTGAACCCCCTTCTCGCCACTCAGCCTTGCTGCAATGTCCGCCTCTTCTCCTTCAAGTGCATACTCGGTATCCTTGGCACGTCAGGTGGCGGTGTCCCAAAGTGCGGTACGCTGACCGGCCTCCCCTTTCCTCCGGGCCCATGACTATGGCTCAGACCCGTAGCGGGCGGTGTGCGCCCAGGGGTCGCGTAACCACCTTGAGACTTGGCGAGATTGAAGTAGCCTTCTCCTTCTGCGCCAGCTGGTCCGTCGACCTCTTTGCCCGGGCCCATACTGGATCGCCGACGTCGGAGGTCCGTGCTCTCAGAGACAGGGATTCGCGAGGGTGTGGTAGCAGTAGTACCTCGGGCACCCGCAACAGAGGGCGACGAGCTCGACACGGACATGCTGAGCTGCCGCCGGACCGAGGTGTTGAGCGCGGAGGTAGGCGGGGGACCTCGACCAAGACCTTGGCCGGCGGTAGATGGTCGACGTGAGGAGGAGGATACCGACGCGGAGAGGGTTTGGAGGGTATTAGGACCGGGTGAGCGGGCGCCGGAACGGGAGTATGCAGAGGGAGACATCATGCTTGATCCTGTTGCTGTCGCGGGGGACATGGGGCGAATGGAGCGGCTGACGGAGCGGGCGGAGCTGGATGCGGTAGGGCCTCGCGCAGTTGAGGAAGCGAGGGCGCTCCGGGAAGGCGGTCGAGCCCCTTCTGACCGGCTGGGGGCGCGGGACGGCTGGGACATGGTGGACCGGGATGGGGGGCGGGCGGTAGTGGGGGTGGTAGACTTGGCGAGGGAGGAGGAGTTGGTAGGGATATGCGAGTGGGGTGTGGGTGTTCCATGACCCCCACCACCGCCGTCCTGACGAGCTGCAGCGAGGGTCATCAGCGGTGATGGAATCGATGGCCGAGCGGGGAGACCCCGAGACGTGGTAGCTGTCGAGGCGTTGGAGACGGCACGGGGATGCTGCGCCATCTGCATACTGTCCAGCGGCGAGATAGGGTCGGCTCGGCTGGACGCCATACCCATACCTAACCCGGAAGGATGGGGAGTTGGGGTCCCATCCTCACCGACGCCCGAGTCCGGCTCATCAACTAGTATCCAGCCGTTTGGGGAGAGTATGCTCGATGCCGCATTGCCCGATACCGGTGTCCGCACCGAGTCGTTCGACAACGCGGCTAGGCGAGAGTTGACAGGCTTGGCTGCTGCAGCTTTGCCCGCCGTCCCGGTGTTCGGTCCAGCGGTATTCTCGGCCGACGGGTTGGAAACCACCCTGCGCGTCGCCTTTCCGCCCATCCGATCGTCTGTCGCCTTGATCCGCCTCCTCAGGTCTGTGACCATCTTGGCAGCTCTCGAGAGGGGATACTTCTGCTCGGAAGGCGCGCGCATAGGTGATGGCTGAGGTATACCCGACCGGCTGCGAGAGAGACTCGGCGAGCCGATATTTGTAGAAGCAGCAGCGAGATTACGAGCAGTGTGAGATCGCGCCATACCGCCGAGAGGGGTCCCCGGGATTTGAGTCGTGGCGCGGCGCAGAGTGGGCGAGACGCCAGACAGGCCCGATCCGGATCGAGAGATGACCTTTGGCAGCGGGACAGGTCCTGGAGAAGGGGCTGCCGATGGGGATGAAGGGGCCTCGACGGTCGTGGTGGAGATATCGGCGGTTTCGTTTTCTGGAAGGTCGATCGCGGAGCGGGAAGGTGAGAGTGGGACCGATATGGAGGATGGAGGGGTAGGTAGGGCGGTCCGAGAGAGCTGATCCCGCAGAATGGAGATCTGATCGTTTGCGTCTGTCCGGGTAAGCTAACACTTCCCACATCATGTACGAGAGCCATAAAATTTACCTCTTAGCTCGTCCTTCATGCGCTGGAACTCCTCTTCGACCTCTGCCTTTTGCACGACCTCCTGTTCGAGCAACGTCTTCTCCTCGATGGCTCGATTATACTTGCTTTCCAGGTCGAGAAGGGACGATACTGCGACTCTATATATATCAGCGGACATCCACTAGAGACCTAGGAGCGCAGACATACCGTTCATTCCTCTCGAGCTCGTCATTCCCCATCTCGAGATCCCTCAATGCAACCAGAGTCTTGTCTCGCTCAGAGCGAAGATTGTCCATTTCACGCTGCCCGTTGAGCTTCTTCCCCACGCGCGCTGCTGGAGTGATAGCTTACCTGCATCGCCGACACAGTCGAGCTATGCATCTTCTGCGCACCAATATGCTTGGCCTAGCCCGTCAGCTCGCGCACATAACTGCCGATCATATGTCTCCACTTAGCTCACCTTCCATTCCTCCTTCTCTCCCTCTAGTCGTTTTATGCGGTCCTTCAGCTCCGCCTGCTGCTTCTCCGTCGCCGCCAGCTCCTTCTCAAGCTCATCTTCAAGCTCCTTCGAAGATGCCTGAAACTCATCTACCTCGTCAGCCGGCGCATTACCGCAGTGTGTATGTCAACACACCAAGCTCAGCTCGTGTTTCCTCAAGAAAGTCGGCTACGCGCCGATACTTATCGCGGTAGTATGCAGCTTCGTCGCTACTTGAGTCGAAGCTGTCCAGATGAGCTTCGAGCAGGCCCGTGGGAGCAGATCAGCTCACACCATGTTCTCGTCCGCTCCGCCTCCATCCTCCATCCCCATCGCTGAGCTGCTCGGCATCTTGTGCAGACGCTCGGGAACGGGTCCCGGGCTCCCTGGCGGGAACGCAGTCGGCATGATACGTCGACTCTCTGTCCCCTTCACACTGATACAGGTGGTAGGTCTGCGAGGTACAAGCTATATGTCAAGTAGGAATGCGAACTGGACGGTGTTGACTGGGTCGGGTTGTCAACAAACAGCTGCAGACTTGGGTGGCGAATTAGCCTTTCAATAGTAAATTGTTTGTAATGATATTTGCATCCGCTAATGTAAATAGCTGCCACTCGGAAGATAACGCCGCGAGCTTCACTTTTCCCCACTAGCGGTATTACCTCTATCCCATACCTCCCCCATCCATCTCATACTACCTATTATATCCCCAGTCCTGCAGAGATGAGCGCCGACCTGAAGAGGGTCAGGGCATCCCAGGATGAAGGGCATTCAACTCCGGCGTCAAAAAGGAGGGCATTAACGCCCAGCGGGAGTGGAGGCATGGTCGCGCAGGCTGCAGAGGATGAAGGGGGCATGGAAGATTGGATGCGGGTGGTAGAGGTGAGCCGGGATTCACTTCTGTAAACGCCGCTCAAGAGCTTCAATGCCTCCCGAGCGGTCTTGCAAGATCTGAGGATTGTCAGTGAAGGAGGTGGATTCTCGAACTTTGGTCGTCTGACCAATCTCATCCGAGATGGCCGTTGAACTCATATCACCCTTGCCAAATCATGAGCGAGCGCCTGCTGACTCGTCAGGTCAAGCGCAAAGAGGCCATATATCGCCAAATGCTCGAATACCGTCGGTCCTACGAGACTGAAACACGCAAAGTCCGGGAATTAGAGGAACAGCAAAGACGACTCGAAGCGAGCGTCCAAGCTGTCGAAGTTTGCTGGACTCAGGTATGTCGTTCATAACCTCAAGGTGGGGATGAGCTAACGATGCAGCTGGTTAACGCCGTTCGCAGTATTGTGCCTGATACTGGCTCGTCAGAGGAGGCTGCTCTGGAACGTGAGCTAACCCGCTTTCCACAACATCAGGGGAGACATTCGCTGACTAACCAGCTCTATTGGAGCCATCACTAGCACCGCCAGCTCTCGAACAAGCTATCAGTGCACGTTTACCTGCAACTCTACAGCTTATCAACAGCTTTATGGACGTCGCCTCGCGCAATGGCGCACGGACCTCAACGGAGGAATTGCAGCAGCGATGCTCTGCCCTTCAAGCCGAGGTGCGTCGTCTAGTTCCGATACTGGCTGTCTTGCGCTTATGCAGCAGTCCAGTACACTGCGCTCAGCGAACCAAACCCTTCAATCCCAGTTATCCACCTCTACCGAAGCCTCAGAACGGTATCGATCCGATCTCGCACGCGCTCAAAAACGAATAGACAAGCAACGCATGGATCATGATCTTGCCGAGCAGGAATGGCGGGCGTCTCGAGATCGAGATAGGGAACGGACGGGTACGCCGGGACTCAAGCCTCGGGCGAACGGTCCCGTCTCTGGCGGGTCAGCACCCAACGGAGTATCCGAGGACGATATCAAGCCGAACCTCGAGCGCTCGGCGGGGTTGCTGCAGGATACCACGCAGCTGGAGCAGCTCGCTGATTCTCGACTCAAGGAGCTACTCGCTCTTCGGTCGGAACATACGTCTTTGCAAAACGAGCACGACAAGCTCCGCCAGCACGCCTTACATCCCTCGGAAGAAGCTCTTCGAGCCGCCCCCTTCTTCCAGATCTACCTCCACCAGATATCGCAGCAGTACTCCCGGGCCGAGGCGTACCAAGCCCAATTCGAGGCTTCCGAATCCAAGCTCGATAATATCCGGCAGGATAACGCTGCCTTCCGCGAAGCGGTCGTCGCGGACTGCAGAGTCGAGGCGGACTCATTGCGGAAGCAGGTCCAAACGCGCAATGCGGACCTGGCGCGGATACGAGGGGAAAGGGACGAGATGAATGTATCGCTGGTGGAGAAGACGGCGAGGGAGGAGAGCCGGTTTAAGTGGGTGGAAGAGATGGAGGGGTTGATGAAGAGCCGGGAAGAGCGGATTGGGGCGCTCAATTCGGAGGTGAGGAGGCTTAGAGCGACGTTAGGTGCGGGACAGGGGAGTATGGGGTATCTGGCGTTCCTGAAGGAGGAGGGAGTGGATGGGGACTATGTCAAGTCGCTGGAGGCCAAGTTTGCGTGAGTTCGCTGTGAGCCTGTCAATAAGGGAACATCTGGCTGATGTCTTAGGGACAACGAGGGTCGGATCAGCGCGCTGTCGGCAGCTACACATTCGGAAGCAAGTGCTCGCGCGGATCTCGAAAAGGCAGAACGAGCTCTCGCGAAGTTTGAGCGGATACTCGGTCCAGATCCGACCGCTGCTGCAGATGCCGTCCAATTGGCAAAACAGCTCGAAGCTGCAGATACAGAGATCTCGACTCTTCGCCTCAAGCTTGATACCGCCGAAGCAGTAAGCCTTGCCCGTGATTCCGGTTTGCACTGGAGCTGACATCTAGAATACCAACTCGCTCTACACCGACGTCGAGGCCCTGCACACTCGCGCCGAGACGCTCGAAAAGCAACTCCAATCCAAAGTGTTTGATCTGCGCGATGTCGACGCCCGGATGAACCGCGTGACCACCGAAAAGGCAAAGGCGGACAATCGGTATTTCCAGACGATGCGAGTCAAGGATGCGGTTGAAGCGGAGTGCAAGGCTGCGCAGCGGTCGGTGGACAAGCAATTAAAGTTGTTGGCGCGGGCACAAGAGGTCGAGAGGGGTTTGCAGGCGCAGATTGTGAGTTGACCCTTACCCTGTCAAGCCTGATAGGGATCAAAGCTGACCCAGCAGACTGCGCATGAGAAGAGCTTTGTTGCTGTCAAGAATGAAGCGTCGACTTTGCAGACTCAGCTGGCGAATACGACGGCGGAGCGTACGCAGTACGAGATGCGGTATCAGCAGGCCCAGGCTGCGCTTACCGATGTAAGTTGCCACCTCTCCCGGAGTCATCCGCGTAGCAAACCAGCTGACATCCAGGCTCAACTCATCATGCAACAACGCGTCGCCGAGGCCGCCGCCGAAAAGGAGACCCGAATCAAGCTTCAAGAAGAGGTCGATAAGGCGACGACTGCCCTCCAGAAGCTGAAAGATCGCCAAGAGCACCTTATTGCGAACAGCAGTAAAGGCGGAGGAGGGACGTCGGCGACTGAGCTGCAGATGAAGGATGAGCGGGATAAGCTGCTCGTAAGTTCTTGCACACCCTCAACTGTAGGGGAGTGATAGCTGACAATTAATCAGAAACTTCTTCGGTGTTCATGCTGTGAGCAAAACTTCAAGCAGCAGGTCATTGTCAAGTGTATGCACAGTGAGCTTACGGCTTGACGATATGGGCCGACCAAATCAGAGAGCAACAGCTGACAATCGTAGCTTTCTGTAAACCATGTCTCGACTCTCGTGTCGCTTCGCGCCAACGAAAATGCCCAGCGTGCGGGCTCAGCTTCGCCAAGGAGGATGTGCAGACTCTGTACTGGCAATAGGCGCTTCGATTGCGTCCCCGCTTCGCCATGGCCGGCCCAAGAGGGGTCGGTGGGCATTGAGGGACAAGGCGCAGAGGGCGGGTAGTCAAAATTGAAGAAAGCGGAGTGGAGAGGAGTAGATTGGAAGGGACACATGTGGTCGGGACAATTTGTAGCGCGCTGTAAGCTCGTAGTACTCATGCATGTCCTCTCATCCTCCCGCATGCTACCATCACATGCGAGTATCCGCATCAAGCTGACGACCTCGACCTCAAGACCCGTCATCAGTCTTGAAGCTCGAGTCAGCGTTATACCCAGTTTGCCAGATGGTCCCACACCTTCTAGGTTCCAGTACTTGTGCACATTCCGAGGGGCCGGGGCAGGACCAGCAGGGCTTGCGAACATCACGTAGTGCCCACAGGAGACGTGACGTATAAGGGAGGCAGGTACAGCCAGCCGCCCACCCCGGCGGCGTTTCAAGATGTCTCACTTTTTCCAGTTGCACGGACCTGCCTGCTCAGCTTTCAGCTCACATATTCACTCAGTACTCCCTTGGCATTGTACCATATCACAGCAGACTCGCCGACATGTCGTCCCTACTCGAAGAGTACCATCCAGCTTCTGCGCTTCATCAGACCGCTGCGGTGAACGGCGACGCGCCTCAGCCATCTCCGATCCCGTCCTTCCAGCTCCGGCGGTCCATGCCAAGCGGTGGAGAAGTCGAGCTTCTTATCCAAACGTTTGATGATCGTATTCTCGTCATCATCACGCAGAATGGCAAGGTCGGATGCTTAGTGAGCACCAGCAACACTCGTACACCACATTGGAGAAATTGAGCTGACGCTTAGACCCAAGCTGCACTCCCCGCTGTAGTTCCCCTCCCTCAACCTCCCCGTTCCGCACCAACCTCATCCCTCTCCCACTTCCCTCCACCTCCACCCTCCATCACTCTCACATCACTCCTCGGCTCCCCACCTAATCGGGCCTTACACGAGACATACGTCGCGCATATCGCGACGCTCATATGGTGGACGCTGCAGGAGGTCAAGGAGGCAAGGAGGCCGGTAGTCGTAGGGCTGAGTCTGGAGAGGAAACGGAGGGGAGTGGAAGGGCAGAGTGGGGTGGAGGATGATGGCGAAGAGGGAAGTCTAGAGCTGGACGAGGTGGAGAGGGAGAGGTTCGAAGGGGTGTTGGGAATGGTAGCGGAATGGGCGGGGCCGAAGGGATGAAGCTGTTATCGGGGTGCACGATATCAACTCCAGGCGACAGCGTCCCGACTAGAAGACTAGAGTCTATCAATCATCATATAGCAGCGACTGGGCCAGAGGGCGATCTCTGATGCTACCTGCAACAATCACCGCACAGCTACAATGTCCATGTCGTCCGCCTCTTAGGTTCCAGCGGTCATCGTCTCATCCCTTCGCAGCTCGCTCCCCGGTCGTCCTCATCATCCTTTTCGTGCCCGCCCTACCGCTTCTGGGTCGTACCCTCTCGCCTCATTCCCGCCGTACTCCGGCATCCTGTTGAGTGGCTCCTCGTCCATCTTTTCCTGTGCCGCTGTCGCCGTCGCAGCTGCAATTTATCAGCCCTGTGCGGCAAGCTATCACGACCGATAAACTCACGATCTCCGATACCAGTACGCGTGCCCCATCCAGTCTCGTGTAATGTGAAAAGGGCGTAGATCTTCATTATTGCGCTGAGGAGTCAGCTAAGACGTGAAGATTGTGCTGGTCTGGCTCACAAGTAGTAGCCGAAAATAATCCAAACGGGGATATAGATGATATGGGAGGGGTTGTGCCATAGGTGCGGGAGGAGCTTGAGCGAACGGGTTGCCAGGAGCCATACGAGGTACTACAGTGTCAGCTTATGCGGCGAATCACACTCGCAAGAGAGCTCACCGAGACAACGATACGCCAAGCGGGCAAGTGATACCCTCCCTGATCGATCGGTTTTGTACTCTTGACGATCAAGACGATGACCAATATTGGACCGACGAGGAGTGTGAGGGGATTGATAAATTTGTCGATCATCGTGTAACACACGTAGGGGTGTTTTGTCCAGACGTAGCGCTCCTTGAACACGCTCCGCATATCCGACCGCCAGGTATTCCTCGTCCACCTCAGCACCTGCTTCAAGAAGCGCCAATTTGGCTTCATCGTCGACAGCAGCTCCGCCTCCTTGCACACCTGGACATGCGTGTTCCAGCCATGACTGACCATCCACCTCGTGAGGAACTTGTCGTCCCCCGAGTTGAGGTGGTATTTGCCGAGCCAGAGGTCGTTGGTGAAGCCGTGCAAGAAGTCGGGGTCTTTGAGGATGACGGTCCGATACGCGGCGGTCCGGCCGGAGAGACAGGGTATTCCGCCGTCAATATGTGTGGACGAGGCGATCTCGATGTTCCGAATAGTGAGCCGGAAGGCAGCGAGGACCTCCCAGATCGTCAGACGTTCCCCGCATGGCTTGACCCGCTGACTCGTACCCACCCCGCCGACCTGCTGGTCCTCAAAGCAGGCGAGCACGGTGGGCAGGAGCGTCGACGGCCAGATGGCATCGTCGTCCGCAAAGACGATAATGTCCGATTCGGTATTGCGGATACCATGTGCCATTTGAAGACGTTTATTGGCAAAGGGGACGGTGAGGACGCGGATCTTATCGGGGGCGACCGAATTGGCGAGATCTTGGAGAGGACCAAGCATCTTGTCTTCCGTGACGATGATGATCTCCCGGGGATTTCCTTCGAGCCATGAGAAGGCTGCTTCTGTTTACTGTCAGCGAAATGTCCTCATGCCAGGCTCGCACGACCAGAACGCACCTCTGAACTCCTCTCCCGCATCGATGGTTGGCACGATGATAGTCACATCTTCGTCCGCCGAGTACGTGGGATTCTCTGGCAACGGTACAGGCCGATACGTCGCATAGGCGAGTAGACGGATAATATACCAGAAGTACCGATAGAAACCGATGATACCGAATGGCACGACTGGGGCGTCAGCTTTTCTTTGCTCTTTGTAAACTTCGTAGCGCATCGCGGGGACAGTACGAACAGACTGGGAACTTGTCGGCTGTCAGATATCTGGCGTGTCAGCATCTTGCTCGACTCTTGCATCTCGTCCTCTACTGGATCCCACTCACAACATCTTGCCAAAAACAAGTTTTCCTTGGCGCTACCGCAAGAACCCCCAAGACTTCCGAGCCCAGAAGAACGAGGTCGTCTGCCCGATGTATAACTCGGGTGAAGAAATGTGTTATAAGGTATGGCGAGAAGCGAGAGGAGACATGGGTGCGAAGTCGAGGATGAAGAGCGGTTCGAAGAGGGAGGAGGATGGGATGGGGCGCGTAATTACAGGGCTAGCTGCAATCGTTGGTCGTTGATTTGCGAGACCGATGTCTCACGTCCGAGGCTTTCTATGCTCGGATCATCTATAGTTTGTGCAGGAGGATGGGGCGGCGCTGCTCGATGATATGTACAGTATATACAGCTGGTGACTTCACGACGAGGATATAGATGTGGAGCGGAGCATGCCTTGTGTGCCTTGTGTGCCGCCGACGTCGGCGCATAAACAAAACCTAATCGCGGCACGTCCGTCGCTCGTGCACCGCCCTGCATCGCTTCTCTACCTCATATAGACTCTACGTTACGAGCTGCTCTTCAATGGAGCAGTCCTGTTGGGCATGGTCCGCACCAGTACATCCGCTCATCCTAGCCTTCGCCGCCGATGCAGCACCGCCTACAGACCCGCGTAGAACTTGCCGAGATCATTGGCATTGCCTCCAGCATCCAGCATCCCGTTCGAGTCCTCAAAGTTCGACCACATCCCGAACCAGGCCCAGCGCTTGATGTACGCCGACCCCTCACCCTTCATCCACGCAATGGATTCTTGCATCATCTTGCGGGTCTCGTCGGGAGTGCAGCGCGTGATGCCATCCTTGTTGTATTGGCGGCACGCGATCTGACGGTCAGCCACTGGACTCCACTGGTATGGACGGGTCAAAGCGGAGTGGGGAACTCACCTCGGTCACCCACACAGGCTTGCCTTCGCCCGAGTAAGACTATGCTGATTAGTGCCGCTTCTGACCTCATAGCTGATAAATTCGGCACCAGTCAAGTCACTCACCTTGGCATAATCGATGAAGTCCTTGCTGGTCAAGCCGTAAAAATGTAGTGGGATGAAATCAATCCTGCAGGATGGCCCACAAGCTTTCTTCCAGGCGTCCCAGTACCCCTTGCCTCCGTTGGCGACCGCGATCGACCCGATCTGGACGCTAGCAGGCACATTGGCGGTCCACTGATTGTGCATCTGCGCCGCCTTTTCGATGGCGATCGCGACACCACCGTGCTGCTCCTTGACATCCGCTGAGCCTATCAGCCGGATCTTTGTCGCCCGCGTGCTGACTGAGAGACGTTCAGGATCGAGGCTTGCACTTACGCTCGTTCAGACTCAAGGCGTACTTTGCGCCCGATACCTGCTCCACCTTGAACGCATCCAGCGCATGCTGATAGCCTATCATCGGGACAAACTCCAGTCCCTTCATCTCTTCCAGCGGAGTGGCTGACCAGGCATAGTACCAGCCCAACTTGTTGCCGAACGAGGCGGTCTTCACGTGCGAATTCTCATTGACTCCGAAGCCGCCCTGCATCGCCCCGCCGCCGCCGTTGTTCGGCGGTGCCGGGGGCGGAGTGTCGCTCTTGGCCGGAGGTGGTCGCGTGTCGCTCTTGGTAGCCGCTGGTGCAGGTCCGGGAACCACTGTAGTCGTGGACTGGGCAGCAGCCTCCGCAGGTAGCGCCGTGGAGGAGGTAATCTTGGCTGGAGCGGCGGGATCAGCCGGCGGAGGACCTTTAGGCGGAGGCTTGACGGCCGCTTCATGGACCGGCGGGGGAACGGAAGGTTTCGGTTCGACCGGAAGCGAGGGCGGCAAAGTCGTAGTCGGATTGGCTTCGATGTAAACGGTCGTGGTGGTGAACAAGGCGTTCTGGTTCAGTGTGACAGCCTTAATCTCGCCGTGCGGGCGAGCCCAATGACCGCGCCAGGGGTGCCGGTCCTTCTTGGAGAGGCGGTGTTTGGTGAGACCAGCAGGGGCAACTGCGAGGGCGCTGCTGCTAAACAGCAGGAATCCCAGGAAGATAAAGGAGGAGTTGGGCATGATTGGGACGTGTCTTGCGTATAACCCTGGACCAGTAGAGGTAAAGCTTTTTGTAAGGGTCAAGGTGGTCGATGACGACAATTAGAGAGAAGTGAGAGGATTCCAGACCAGCTGGTATATGTAGGCGATGAGATCAAGAAACAATAAGGATATACAGAAGAAAGAAGGTGAAGTAGGGGTAGGGGATAGATGGCACAATAAAGGCTCGATCTCGACACAATGCAGCGGCAAGTGTATCAACATGTGCCAATCACCCCGCGAATCTCCTTTATACCCCCGACATGTTGCGGTACAGTGATCCTTTGCTGAGTGCCGCTGGAGGTGGCTTGCCGGGATCAGGGGTAATCAGTGATCGCAGGCGTTCAACATCCAAGGGTGAGTTTCCGCAGAATTGCCAAGCGATGGACAACGGTACGTGGCCGAGGTGTATCAAGTGAGCTTGACCCCCCTGATTGTCTACACCAGTATTTGTTAGGGGCGGGGATCCATGAGTCGTAAGGCTTGTCCGGGATGAGAGATAGTCTATCAGTACAGTCCTCGTTCTTGGCGAGGTTCAAGGTGCTTGCGCTGCATGAAGTGCAAAGTCCCTTGAATCGATATTCCGCATAGTCCGCTCTCCAGCTTCTGACTGCTCTATCAGCTCTAGCTCCCTCTCCAGCTACTCGCCGCTCTGAGAGCTGCCGAGACATCTAGACACAGCGGGATGACTCACGAACCACACCCTCCGCACTCTGCAATTGGCATACACCCGCACATAGCTCACACTCCCAAACTGCCCATTCGGCATCCCCTCTTCCCGCTTTCTCCTCTTTGTTCCATCTTCTGGCGCTGTCCTGGGCATGGTCTGGAAGAGCGGTAGTAAAGAAGATATGTTGAGCGAAATATCGAGCCATTGGGTCATGGTTGATGCGGTCTGTGCGGGCAGGGCGAGGGGGAGGTGGATCAGCGGGGGTTGGCGGTGGGGATGGATGGATGGTGTTTTCTGCTGGTCAGCTCTGGTTCCCATGAGGCAACAACGAAATTCCTGAGGCTCACTTGGAATGTGGAGCACCGTATGACCCCCTCCCTACCCTTCAGGTCCAGCACGCCTACTTCCAGCGCGAACCCCCTCGAGCCCAGCCGCTTCAGCTGGAAATGGACCCGGGGCAGTTCGAGGCCGAGTGGTAGCGGCACCCCTTCACCGCCCTTCTTTCTCGCCGTAGCGGAAGATCCGGCCTGAATGTATGTGTCCGCTATTGCGGGACCCTGGACATGGACCACGATATCCTCAACATCGCCCCGCTCGGCCTTGTGAGTGGGGACAAAGGACCGCTCGTCGGGCTGCGCATCCCATTTCCGCTTAGCAGCTCGTGGCCGAGTCAGAATATCAGGGAGGGAGGTGATGATCGATTTGGAGGGGCAGGAGGGGTCGATATGGCTTGTGAAGAGCGGTGAGAGGGCGGGTTGGGAAGTGGAGGATAGGAGAGTGAGGATAGGCGGCTGGAGCGTTAATGAGCCGTCTTGTCAACTTCATCCGAGTTGGTAGTGAGACGTACCTGGACAGTACTCGACAGAAGGGCCGTCATGATGCGCTCCACTGACTGCTATGTCAGGCTGAAGAAGAGGTATAATAACAAGAGACAAGTGCACCTCCACCTCATTCCTCCACCAAAATCCGCTATCCTTCCTTCAACCTTCCATCATCCTTCCATCTTCATCACACCCTTCCCGATCTCACTACGACCACTGATCGAGTTGCCGCCAGCTCGCGATGAGCTCTGACCCTTCCACCGCTCTCCGTGACCTCCGGGACACCCTCCGCCAACCCCTCTCATCGACCGAGGCCCTGACCTCCGCCCTCTCCCTTGTCCTTTCCCCGCTCGACCTCCACCCTACCTCCGTCCCGCCCTCTTCCGCCTCTGCAGCAGCTGTGGCAGCCATCCAGCGTTATCTTCCCACGATCCAGCTCAGTCTATTGACGGACCATCTTCCGACCTTCCTTCACGCTCTTGGCGAAGACGACCTCCTCGTCGTTGAGAGGTTCTTTTGCCCCCCAAAGTCTGCTACGCTCGGGGCTTTGCGAGTAGGAAGGACCATAGCGGGTGTATCATACACTACCCTCCCCTCGTTACTATCGTCGAAATCAGCCGGAGGGGCGGGCAGTACAGCGCTTCCCGCGCAGAGCAGGGATCACCTACTTTCCTCCCTGGACAAGCTCGCGGCGACATACGGGATAGACGACCTCTACTGGTCCATCTGGGCCAGCGGGGGAGAATCACAAGCGGAGAGCTCCAAAGATGGCGGATTGAGGGCGCTGAGGTGGGAGGAGGCGGTGAAGGCGGTGACGAGTCTGCCCGCCAGGGTAGCCAATGCAGCCGGACGGTGGGGTGAGGAGGGCTGGAAAGGGATTGCTCCGGCTGCTTTGGCGTCAAGGTAAGCTACTCTGCACATACGGAGCGGACTTCCCCTCGCGAGTAGCTGATATGACAGATCTTACTTCGGACGAATGATCATACGGCTCGAAAGCCTGATGCACGAGCTCAAGTTGGACCCCTCCTCCGCCGATCGGATCCAGCTCGTCTTCCACCGCCTGGGGTCGATAGGCTTATTGTCTCAAAGCTCAAATACGGATCTCATGCCGACCCTTCTCCCGGCCATACTATCGCACTTACACCCACCGCCGCCCCTCTCGCCTTACCCCGCTACATACCTTCCGGGGATCTTCCTCGGTCTCCCAGCTTCCATGCTGAATCCTGTCGTTTCTTCCCTCCTCACCAGCCTGTCCAGGCACATCGGACCTCTCGCACCCAATTCACCGGATGAACAGGTCAAGCGCGCCAGCGATGCATTATCCAGCATCATCGGATCCGCCAACGCCCGCGGAGAAGCGTGGGACGCTGTCCTCCGAGCGACACTCGCCCCCGGGACGACCCGGAATGATGACCAGACCCGCATCGTCGTGGCGTGGATATCCTGCACCCCAGCCTCGATCCAGCCATTCATCGAAGCGGTACTCTCCACTTGGTCTTCCCCCAAACACATCAAGTACGCCCTCTACTCCCCTCAATTCCAGCTCGCGTACACTCTCCTCCTCTCCATTTCTCTCCTCCCGCCACATCACCCTTATCTGGTGCGCATCGCCACCCGGCCAGACGTACTCGGCGCGTGCTCATCGTACCTCTCACATCCGGACGGCTCGGTCCGGCGCCTAGGGCTGCTCGTAGCAGAGGTGCTGTCAGAGTTGACAATCAAGGAGGAAGGGAACGTGGAACAGGAGGAGAAGCAGGAGACGGAAGATTTGATGCGGGGGCTCGAGATTGATGAGGATACGGGAAGGCCAAAAGGGGTGGATAAAGCCCCAAAAGGCATCAAAAGGTTGAGATTCGGAGGAGGAATGTGGGACGGAGTAGGGGATGGGAGGGAGGAAGCGAGGTGGTTGAGGTCGGCGGTGGGCGTGAGGGATGGCGATGCTGTACTTGCTGAAGGAGGGGATTGTATGTTGGGGTGGAAGCTGGCAACTGTGGATGGGGAAGAGGCCCCGGCTCGAATTCGGGCGACCCCGGTCAATGCGTCGACTCGCGGTCGACCAGAGAAGAAAAGCTCGAAACCTCCGGTCACAAAGCCCAAACCGAAAATTATCATGCTGGACGACACCGATCCCCTCGTCTCTTATTCTCCCCCACATTCCCCCTCATCCTCCCGTTCTCCCTCGCCTACCCCCTCATACCTTGAGGAGATCGCCGCAGATCCCTCGCTCGCGCTCGACGCCACCCAGAAGAAGAAGGTCACTCGTCCGGTCTACATCTTGCAACTTCTCCAGCTCCTCCGCGAGAAGGATAGCCCGGATGCCATCGAGATGGCAATGAGGCATGGAGAGGAGCTCATCCGCGCCAAGCGCGGGTATGGGCTAGAGTTGGCCGAGAATGCCGTACCACTGGCGGGGCATTTGATGGGGATGAGCAATCAGTACGCCCTGGATGAGTGGGAAGAGAGGAGGCAGGGGATGGTGACTGCGTTAGTCGCGTGTGCGCCGAAACCGGTTGCTCCGTGAGTCTTGCCAATATCTCGAGGTGATCCAAGCTGATTGAGTAGGTACCTCGCCCAGCAGTACTTTGTCAACCAGTACTCGCTCCAACAGAAATCAATCATGCTTACTGCGATCTCGATGGGTGCGCGCGAACTCGCCGGTCTCGCCGTCCCGGACATCACGACTCGGCGGGTCGACTTTCCATCTCGCACCCTTCCTCCCGCTCTCCACAAGAAGTACATCAGCGTCGCCGATAATCACCCCTCCCAGCAAGCTGGCAATAACCAGATCGAGGCAGCAGTGGAGGGCGTCCGGGGGATCTTGCTGGATAAGGGCGCAAGACGGGCTGCGGAAGTCCTCCCGGACGTGGCTAGGGAGAAGCGTCTCCGCGTCAACCCATCCTTCGCCGCCAAAACGGGAAAGGGAATGGGCATAGCCGAGGTCGGTACCCTCAGAGACCGCCAGCTTCTCGATCGGCGACACGAAGAAGAGCGACAACTTCAGCGAACCACCCAGACACCCGTCGTTGCGTATTCCGCGGTCGCCGCCGAATACTTCATCATGCCTTTGGTCAACAGGTTCTGGACGCACTTTCAGGACGACTCTGTCCGCGAGTCCCGAGCACTGGCGACGGGGACAAGATTCAGGGGTGCCGGAGCAGGCATGGTTTTCTCCCCGATGGCGCTGGAGAAGTTCCTCATGACGCTTGCACTACTAGTGCACGCGGCGCGGAACTCGGCGGCATTCCTCGCTGTCCTAGCGCCTGAGGTCATCGAGCTGGGACTGACAGTGGGAAGTCGTCATTCTCATCGGCCGGAGATGGACTTAGGCGATGACGCTGAGAGAGGGGACGCCGGGTCCAAGGCGGAAAGTCAGGTCGTAGGGGGCGCGCTGGAGCTGGTGCTCGTCGCCCTGGATCTGAGTGGGGAGGTAGATGCCGGGCGAACGATCTGTGGGGATAAGCCGGAACTGGTGCTCGCTGCGGGAGAGTGGGCGCAAGGTGTGTTTGACGTAGAGAGCAGGGGAGGCAAGGTAGTCGGTGGTCAAGGAGGAAGGGAAGGGCGAATCAAGGGCGCGGCGGCTGGGGTGGTGGTGAGGGCCGGGGAGATGATAGAGAAGTGGGGGTCAGGAAGGCGATAGTCGGAATGTGACCTATGGGAGGGAACAGTATGTCTATCCTGCATCCTGCTCGATAACCGATGGTCTCTTTGTGGTCGGGGCTGCAGAGCTACATCAAGGGGATTTGTTTGGTTCCGCACGTGGCTGTAATTGGTTCCGATATCCGGATAATCCGGATCCGCTGCGGCGATCCGATCCGTTTCCGTATTATTTCAGCCGTCCGTGCGGCGTTGCCGCACTTTGGCCGCTTTTTGAAGGCTAAATTTAATAGGCCGATTCGCCCGATGGAGATAACGATATCAAGTGAGCTCGTCATCACCCTCAGCCACTGCCACCAGCTGCGGTTATGGCGAGCACCGCGCAGGCCTTGTTCAAGACGCTATGTACAATTTTCAGTCATCTACATACTAGACAGTATCTAAGCTCATCATCTACGGCGTACGCCTTATCTAGCAGCCATCTATAACATCGCTCGATCAGAATCATTGTCCAGGACTACACATCGGGGACACGTTTCAGATCTTATCAGCGTCGACATCTTTTTTTGCGCATCTGCAAAGGTCCACCTCGTCCTTCCTCCATTCGCGAGAGACACCCAGAGGGCGTCTCCACTATCAACACACCTACCCCGCAGTCACCCTCCTTTGGTGGATTGATAAGCACCCTCCTTTACCCCACCCGTCTTCGGCGGATCAAACCTGAATCAGAATGTTCTTCGCCCATCACTCCTCCAATTACTCTTCTCGACCTTCCTCTCGACCCGTCTCTCGCCCGGCCAGTCCTACACGGAGCAACACTCGCTCATCTACCCTTTCCTCCAGCTCCCAGCCTACCTCTATCCCTCCTCATGCCGGTTCCTTTCGCCTTCCCTCCGGTAGCAACCATGGTACGCCGATAGACACGTCGGATCTCGATTCGTACCTGGACGGACCTCCAGCGGCAGGCGCGGTACCCGCGTATGGTCCATACACTCCTACGTCAGAGATGAGTTGGAACTCCCACATGTCTTCCGGCGCCAACACCCCCGGCGGGAGCTTCCACGGCTCCCATGGCGGAGGGCATCACGCCCACCACAGTCTGGAGATCGTGCTGGACTCGGAGAATTTGGTGATGCGGGGTGCGGGCGGAGATATGAATCCGGCGTACCTGTCAGGAAGGGTAGAGCTGGATTTGACGGAGAGCATGAACATCAAGGAGATCAGCATGAGCTTGGCCGGGAAGGCAAAGGTGCAGTTTACGGATACCGTACAGTAAGTCCGAAAAGCTCCATGCTTGGTCCAGAGCTGACGACCAGGTCCAAAAGCCACCATCACACCCACGCGCTCGTACACCACGACTGGTCCTTCCTCGAAGGGGACAAGCGGCACAACCACACCCTCAAAGCTGGCCACCACAGCTTCCCATTCCAGCTCATGATCGACTCTGCCCTCCCCTCGTCTATCCAAACCTTCGCCGGTGAAGCGCTCATCCAATACAAGCTGCGCGCGACTGTCGTCCGGCCCGGTTTCACCGCACACAATATTGTTGCTACCAAGATGTTCGACCTACAGCGGACGTACACACCGGACGCACTGGAGTTCAATCAGACGCTCGAGATTGAGAATACATGGCCTGGGAAGGTCATGTACTCGCTTACCCTGCCGTTCAAGGCGTATGCGGCTGGAGACGAGATCCCGGTGCAGGTCAAGTTCATGCCGCTGGCCAAGGGGGTGCGGGTCACGGCGGTGACGAGCCAATTGAAGGAGTATACGCAGGTGCAGACAAGGCACTCGTCGCATAGCGATACGAGGGTGGCGGCTGGGTGCAAGCATGAGTTCAGGGAGGGGAGGGCGGTGCAGGTCTCGGAAGAGGCGCTAAAGCCGCCGACGCACTCGCTCGCGCGGTGGCAGGGCGTGCAGGTACGACGGGCGTCTACCGCAATCGGGATGGGAAACGCAGCGGCGGGACCCAGCTCGGCGGTCGATCCGGCCAATATGACGGACGAGGAGGTGGCTGCTGCAGCGTCGGCGGACGTGATGCACGGGGATGACGAGGTCAACACCATCTTTTCAATCTTCGTCCCTCCCTGGGTCACACCTACACATACCGTCCACCCTGTCACCGTCACCCACAAGCTCAAGTGGTCGTGTACCATCACCAATCCGGATGGACACATCTCGGAGCTCCGGTGCGCTCTCCCCATCATCATTCTCAACCACTCCCTACTCGACGAGGCTCGGTCGGCCGGCGCCAACACCCGCGCTCTGCTCCTTGGTGAGACGGTGGACGAGGCGCAAAACGTGGATCTGCCTAGCTACTCGAATCACGTCTACGATCGAGTAGCGGCGGACTCTGGCCCAGCTACAGGCTATACATCCCGCTCGAGCCGCACGCCCACTGGCACGCATACCCCTGCGTCGGCGACCCCACCACACTCTCGTCCCGTTTCTCGGCCCCCATCTCGTCCCGCGTCTCCCGTCCGCAGAGAGAGCATGATCCACGATCCCATCCCTGGCAATCCCCCTCGTCGAGAGCTGTCCTTCGAGGCAGACTCTGAGCTTCTTCGCGCTCTCGGGGCGCTGGAAGCCCACTCCTCCCCTAGCCCATCTGCTACTCCCGCCGGATCCCGCGGCCCTTCGCGTCCCATCTCCCGTCGTGGTTCATTCACGCGATCCGGCCGATCGTCCAATGTCAACTCGCGTCCCGGATCCCGCGCTGCCAGTCCAGACAGATCACACCCCTCCTCCCTCTCTGGATCGTACGCAGATGACTCGCATGTCCGCCCGGGCCACGGAAACGAACGGCGGAGTACTGGTCTCGCGGCTCGACTGCACCTTCCTAACGCCTTCAAACCCCTCAAACCACTCTCTGCCCGCCCAATCCTCCGCAACGACTCGGACGCCAGCATTCCTCGGAACGCCTCCTCACCCGCCCTCACTCCTGGCGGCGGACACGTCTCCTTCCACCCCAAGACGGCTCGACATGACGGTCGGCGACTACTCGGGACAGGTGGGGGATACTTTGGCGGAGGAGGACGGTCGAGTGGGAGTGGTAGCGGAGCGGGATTCCACCTGGCTTCAGACTCACCAGGCCCAGGTACGCCTGACGGAGCGGACGGCGGGGACACACCACCGGCGATGGACCCGATCAGTCAGGTGCCGTGCTACGATATAGCGCTGAGGGGGTTCGCGTCGGACATGGCCAATGGTCCGCCGACGTATGATACGAGTAATCAGCTGGAGGAGACGGCGAGGACAAAGAGCGAGGTGGATCTGGAGGCGCTGCAGAGGACGAGGAGCGATACGGCTTTGATGGATCTGGCGGCGGGGGAGCCTATAGACCCGGCAGAGGAGGAGCGGGCGGGGCATAGTTGAGAGTCAGGGATGGGGAGTGTTAGTGTGTCAGGTAGATTACTACCATTCTTACGCATAGAGCAGTAGATGTCGGATTCCATAGCTTCTGTAGAGACTGCATTTGATGTCTTTCTATCTCTTGCGCAGCCTGTGGCCTCTCTGAACACTTGACCCCCGCCAGCTCAGTCTGCAACAGCCCCGATCCCGATGCCAGAAGAAGTGAAGTCCGATCGGGAGCGGGCCGTGCCTGACCGACTTCGGCCCGGTCAAACATTCCTCACCGCGGTTGGCTCACAGCGCTCGATAAGAGATAAACTCAAGCTCCTTGTGCTTATATACCTCCCTCTGCCCCTGACCGCTTGTCTTCATTGCCCGCTTGGGATTGTAGCGTCGGTCAGAATGTGTGGGATTGTTGCTGTAGTCTCGGTCGACGGGTCCTCGTTAGATACTCAGCTTGATAGGCTCGAGGGACGGCTAGATGAGGCGCTGGAGAAGATAGAACATCGAGGTCCGGACGGGAGAGGTATCTGGGTCGACGACGCTAGGAATATCGGTGAGTATAGGCCTGAACAACAGTGAGAAGTCCATCACTTATCTTCAGCCCTCGCCCATTGCCGACTCTCCATCAACGACCTCTCGGAGACGGGTCACCAGCCCCTCCACTCCCCCGACCGGACCGTCCACGCCGTAGTCAACGGCGAGCTCTACGACTATGACAACATCCGTCTCTCCCTCGAGGCCCTCGGCTACACCTTCAAGGGTCACTCCGACTCGGAACTCGTACTCGCCCTGTATAGGCAGTATGGCTTGTCGTTCCTCTCGCACATGCGCGGCGAGTACGCCGTGGTGTTGTACGACAGCGGGACGCGGACGTTCATCGCCGCGAGGGACCGATATGGGATCAAGCCGCTCTTCTACAAGGTGGGGAAGGACGGGGTGGTCATGTTTGCGGCGGAGATGAAGGCGTTGTTGCCCTTAGGCTGGGAGCCGGAGTGGGATGTTGGGGCGATCATCGATGGAGGCTGGGGACAGGATATACGGACCGTGTTCAAAGGGGTACATAAGGTAAGCTGACCCAAATATGAGACTGTATAGAGCTGATGGAGCAAGGTCAGGCCCGGCCACTATATGGTCGTCCGGGATGGAATCGTCGAGACTCGCCAGTACTGGGACGCCGAATACCCCGACAAGGTAGGCTCCCTCTCGTTGCAAGAGAGCTAAAGCTGATTGGTAGCGTGTCAAGGAGACCCGCTCGGAAGAAGAGATGATCAAGACCACCCGCGACCTCCTCGTCGACTCGGTCCGACAGCGTCTCCGCGCCGACGTACCGGTCGGTATCTACCTTTCAGGCGGTATCGACAGCTCCGCTATTGCCGGTATCGCCGCCCACCTCGTCGAGACCCAAGGCGTCACCATGGGTTGTCAAGATCCGTCCGAGCGCGTCTGCTGCTTCTCCATCGCGTTCGACGCGGATAGCGGGTTCGACGAGTCGGAAATCTCGGAGCGGACGGCCAAGCACCTCGGCGTCAAATTCCTCAAACAGCACATGTCGGAGAAGGACCTTGCGGAGGACTTTGAGGAGGCGGTGTACCACATCGAACACCATAACCAGGATCTAAACTTTGTTGGAAAGTTCGCCCTGTCCAAGGTGCCCAGGCAACATGGGTACAAGGTGGTCCTCACTGGAGAAGGGGCGGATGAGCACTTCGGAGGGTATCCGCTGTACCTCCCGGACTTTTTGGCGGAGATGGACCATGCCGGTGGTGTCATGTCGGAGGAAGATAGGGCGCGGCTATTTGCGGAGAAAGTGGCGGAGGCGAGAAAGACGTACGAGATGATCGGAGCGGACCCCACGTACTTCGACAAGAAATCGGATCGGCATCTTCCCATCCTCACCCCATCAGCTCTCCTCGCCTTCACTCCGCCTCAGCCCATCTTCAACGCCGCAGCCCACAAGGCCTTCGGACCCGTCGATGCCTTGACGACCATCGCCAACAACATCGACGTCCGCGCGCGCGCCAAGATCGAGACGAGCTGGCACCCCCTCCATTCGGGCATGTACGTCTGGGGCAAGGGTCACCTGTCGAACCAGTTCCTCTCGTGCCTCGGCGACAGGGTCGAGATGGCCCACTCCGTCGAGGCCCGGACGCCATTCCTCGATCACCCACTCACGGAATACATCAACTCGCTTCCCCCAAGCATCAAAATCCGGTATACGCCCGAAGCGGGCTTTACGGAGAAATACGCCCTGCGCGAGGCGGTCAAGCCTTTCGTGACGGATGAGGTGTACAAGCGGCGCAAGCATGCGTATGCAGCGCCCACGACGTACCCCCTCAACGGCCCTATCCAGTCTCTGCTGGAGAAACTGATCAGTCAGGAGAGGGTGGAGAAGCTCGGCTTTATCGACTGGGAGGAGGTGAAGAGGTTGAAGGGGCTGGCATTTGTGGAGAAGGATCAGGATGTCTGGGCGTGGAGGGTCATTCTCATTGTGGCGGAGTGGACTGTATTGGCGGAGAGGTTTGGCGTGAAAACATGGGGCGCATAGTCAAGGTAGGGGAGAGATCCCCGATACACGCGAGGGTAGCAGGTGTTTGCTGTAGAAAGTACATGGTGCATGTTGGTGTCGTTTGAGCGAGATTGGCAGTGCGATGCTCCAGCTAGGCTGAAGGTCCGTCTAGGCCTGCGTGGGGCTCGGTCTGCAGGGAAGACCGGCAGGTAGCCCAACACCCAGTTATGATGTATCCACGCACGGGCCTCCGTTCTTCCCAGCCAAAAAGATCCAAAATCAGACGCGTCGACCGCGTCCACTTCACGCGACTGTATGACTTCTTCTCTCTCCTTCATAGCCAGACAAGTCAGGATGTACCCTCCAGACCCAGTGAACCTGACGCCGATCCCGCATCTCATCGACTCATATGTCTATCACTCGGAGCCGTACCTCCCGGAAGCGTCCTCCTCGACTGCTGCTTCGGAATCCACTTCGGCGGTACTCAAGGAGGAAGATGGGTGGATCATGGGGATAGATGAAGCAGGGAGAGGACGTATGTCTGCTGTCGCATCTATAGTGATGACTGTATGTGGAAGAGGCTTACATGGTAGCGGTGATAGGGCCGATGGTGTACGCTGCTGCTTACTGCCCGAAATCCTTCGTGCCGACATTAGAAGCCATGGGCTTTGACGGTAGGTCTCCCTTACATCGTTCCCGAGGTGTTAAGTAGCCTCATCATACTAACTGGGAGGCGAAAGCCTGAGAGGTCATATTACCAGAGCGTGTAGTAGCTGAATCGCCCTAGACTCCAAAGCGCTCTCACCCGAAACCCGGCAGAACCTATGGGACGCTTTCTCCCTCCATCCTCCCCTCTGCTACTCCTCCGCCACCCTCTCCCCCCAGTCCATATCAGCCGGCATGCTCCGACGTCAGCCTATCAACCTCAATCGGCAAGCCGAAGAAGCTACCATCTCCCTCATCCAGTCCGCACTGGACCGCCGGATCCCCTTGGTCGAATGCTACGTCGACGCCCTGGGCCCGGCACCGCAATGGCAAGCACGACTATCGGCCATCTTCCCATCTGTAAAGTTTACGGTGTGTGCCAAGGCCGACAGTCTGTTCAAAATTGTGGGCGCAGGGAGTATCATCGCCAAAGTCACGAGGGACCGATATATCGAGGGGTGGAGGGATGTGGAGGATAGTAATGCGGGTGGGGAGGATATAAAGATGGACGAGGAGGTGGTGAGGGGTAGTGGGTACCCCAGTGATCCGAAAACACAGGCGTACCTCAAGGACAACGTGGATCCGGTTTTTGGGTACAAGGGGGCGATTAGGTTCTCTTGGGCGACGGTGAGGGTCATCCTGGAGAAGCAGGGCGTAGAGTGCAGATGGTAAGTCACGCGGCTTCCGGGAGGCGGCAGCAGAGCTGACCCCTAAGGATCGACGATAGCGCTCAGCCATCAGCTGCTTCATACTTCGCCGCTGGAGCAGATAATGGACGGCCAAAAGTATGGCGTGATCTTGGCGTGTGGGGTGTTGGCGAGTTGTAATAGATCATCTATCGTACAGTTTCATACACCGTGTTGTAAGCATTTACATCTCATCAGATATCCTAGATCAAGCTACAAGCTCGTCCGCTAGCAACATCGATCCTCCTGGCCTACATCTTCTGCTGCACGCTATTGGGATTCCCCAGCCCCAACTTCCGCCCCTCCTCCTTGACGCTCTTCTCCCAGTACTTGCCCTCGATGAGCAAGACCTCATACAAGCTCGTGGCGAACGTGTTGACCAATTGCGGGTCGTCCAGCTCGGGCTTGTACGTCCCGTCGAACGTCCTCTCCTCCGTATCTAGCAAACCCTCCAGCTTGGCATCCCGACTCAAGAGCGTCGCCACCAGTTCCAAGACCGTCTTGGCAAACGCGGGCGGGAAGAAGAGGGAGCATTCCGTCAGGCGCTTGACGAATGCTGCGGTACGCCAAGGTGGATTTGTAGCGTGTCTTGCGAAGAAGACGGAGTGCAGGCATCGAAGCAGGATTTGGGAGGTTGGAAGGGAGGATAGGGGGGTGGTTTTGGGCGGTAAGCGACCGGGTACGAGGAGGCGGAAGCGGGATGGCCGGCCGAAGAAGTTGGAGGGAAGGGGAGTGTAGGATGTGGGGTCGTCGATACCAGTATCGAGCGAGAGCGGGCGGAGGAGGCCAAACAGGGCATTTATAAAGTCCGAGAGGTCGATGTTGAGCGCTTCACCCTGGCCCGAGAGGATCTCGAAGGCGGTGGCAATAGCCAGCAAGCGAGTACGGATACGCTCCGAGTCCCCAACGGGATCCTGATATATCTCCTCTTCCTCCTCTGCTTCTTTGGCGTCGGTGAGGATGGGCTGAGGCTCCTCCACCACTATCCGGCGCAGAACGGTGAGCAGATCTCGGAAGAACTCGATGTTGATAAAGTGACCAAAGTGGGTGATGCCCTCGAGAGCGGTCGGGAGGAGGGGTGTTCTTTGTTGGTTCTTCAGGATGAGGAAGTAGAGAACGAAGAGGTTCTTGAGCGTTTCCGTTTGCTATCACGTCAGCTTCGCCCGTCTTGTGGGCTGCGGAGAGTCGCAGATGACTCACCACTTGCGCCCTTTCTTCTAGATCAATCTCCGCTTCCGCCTCCTTCATATCCTTCTCAACCTCCTTCATTTCCTTCTCCTTCTTCTTTTGGTTCTTGGTCTGCCACTTCTTCTTGATCTCAGACTTGAACTCCTTCTTCTCCTTGCCGTCCTTATCCTTCCCGTCTCTCCCAGCAAACTTTTTGCTGTTGTTCTTCGCCTTCTGATCCTTTCGGTTTGCGACCATTTGGTCCAGCTCGGTATGCAAACGCAAGTGGAGGAGACATGAAAGTACGTCGGGGTGGATCTGGAACTTGCGCTCCTTTGTCATTCGGGCGATGAGGCGGACGAGGGTCTGCGAGTAGGTGGAGGTGAGGTCCGCCTTGAAGACGGCAATGAAGGTGGCCAAGATGAGGTCAGAGTCCTGCTATGTCAGCGTTTCGTCTCGATGAAAGGCACGCAGCACAGGCTCACCTCGTCCCATGATCGACGACCGATCTTCCCAACCAGAACACCCATAATGTTCTCGCTGAAGTTGAAGTGAGGGATGGCGGATAGCAAGTCACAGTAACACTTGATCGACAGTGTTGACAGCGGTGACTTTTCTGCGCGTATCAGCGGTTGCCCTGCAATCCACTCCGGGGCACTTACTCCTGATCTCCGTTTCCAATGTCTTCAAATACGCCTTGTACGTCCTCACCAGCCCCTTCTCACCTTCTCGCATCCGCTTGACCTCATCTCGCACCTTCTCCGCCTCCTCCGCTTCTGTCAGCTGACGGATCCGGTAGCCAGGGACGAGATCCTTGTAGACTGCCAATTGTGATAGGAGGGAGAGACCGCGAACGGAGTTGGGCACGGTGAGCGGTGTGGAAGAATTTGGGGAGGTGACAGTCGGGAGGGAGAAGGTGGAAAGACGGGTAAGAGTGGGAATCTGCAACTTCAGCTAGGCAAACCCGATAAGCCAGGACTTGACATACCGTATCTACGAGCTCTCCTCCAGCGAGAATCTCCGCGCCCAGCGCCGCAATCTGCTCTTTTGCCGCCTCGAGCTTTCTCGCATTCTTCCATCCTTCATGTCCCACAATCTCCGCCACTCCCATCCGCCCGAATCGCCCCTTCGTCGTTGCCATCCTGGCCGCAGCGCCTTCCTGATCCTCTTCGTCCTCTCCTTCCTCCTCCTCTTCCTCCTCCACCGGCTCGGGCTTGGCCTTCCGCTTCTTTGAAGCCGGTAGCTCAATCTTCGTCGTCCCCTCCACTTGCTGGACCTCTCCTGAGGGCAGCTTGATGGGCAAGCGCCCGACCTCCACTTGCTCTCCGTCCTCCTCCTCTGGCTTCCCGGCCCAACGTGACCGGCCAGACATCTCATAGTCCGCCTCCTCCTCCCTCCTCTTCCCTTTCCGCTTCTTATGGTCCCCCTTGTCCATATCCTCCGAGAGATTGTCGAAAGCGTCCATCACGTCCGCATCGACGTCGTCGTCGCCGCTCTCGTTCTCGTCGCCATCCTCCTCGTCGACTTCTCCCTCGGTATCCACCACTGAGTCATCCAGCTCCGAGTCGTTCAGCTCCGAGTCCGATGGCAGCTCGTCGTCCGAGTTGATGTCAAAGTCGGACATGGTGCTAGCGGATCCAGGCGAGGGTAGACGAGACTTTTGCCGCTTCTTCACCGGCATTTGTTCCTGTGTTTTGGAAAGCTGATGCAGCCGCTTTGTCTCCTTCGTTGTCCTACTCATTAGCTCTGCCGCTTGACGGTATCATATCTGACTCACCGACTCAGCGCCTGTCTGTCCATTCCTAGCAGGAACCCCGCCTCGAGCCCCTCTTCCTCCCCCAGATCCATCAGATCATCTCCATCCTCATCACCGTCATCCTCCTCTTCCTCATCTTCGCTCCCATCCTCCTCATTGTCCCGACTACCAGCGACTACTGGCCGCCTCCGCCTCCCGACATCAAATTCTCCTCGGGGTACAGGAATCACCCCCTGGTCCCTCAACTTGACCTTCTTCACCTGGTCCGGTCTCCGCTTCGGTTTCCCATTCAAGCCAACGTTGCTTTCTTTGGGCGCTTGACCGGGTTTCGGCTTGGGCGCTGACGCGGCAGCGCGAGCGTTCTTGATCGTCTTAGCCCGTTTGGATGGCTGAGGGTCAGCTGAGATTGGACTTCTGTTGGTCAGTCTAGCTCACTTTTAGCACTGGAGGAGCTGCTTTTCGCTTGGGAGCGCCCTTGGGAGGTGGCTTGACCATTCTGTGCAGTTCTAGGCGGCAAGAGGAGTGTTCCAAACAGGTCAAGATGAGGTATAGATGACAGTAGACCCCCAGCTTATAGACTCTGAACTTTTCTGAGCCAAGTGGAGGGATGACGTAAAATGGAGATTGCGCGAAGTCCGTCCCCTTGCACTACTCTTGCGTTGGGCCTGTACATGTTCCCGTTGACCACCTGACTGTACACCCTACACTGCCCTGAAGCTATACTCGGGCCCATCATACGCGCCCGATCAGTCCTCGTAGCCGCCCTGGCCGCTTTTTCCACGATGGCGCAACCTCAAAAACCGCCAAATCTCGATCCGAATCACGTCTACATCCATATTACCTCCCCCTCGTCCCCGTCAACGATCGCAGACTCGCTCGCTCCTGCGACTGGCGATAACTCGCTCAAGTATATCGGACAGGTAGGCGAGCTGCAAGGAGAGCACATCTTCGAGCTGCATCGGCAGGGAGCACCTGTTAAGCGGGATACAGAAGGTGGAGCTGGAGCCGGGAGTGGGGTGGTTACTGCGCTCAAAGGGGTGGAGGGGGTCAAGGGGGCGAAGGTGCTGGAGGTGAAGCAGAGAGCGAAAAGAGGTGGGGAGTTCTGAGAAGTCTCGAGATACCCAAAATCATACGGCTCGGGAAGATTGGCACTGCTGGCACCGCGGTGGCGAAGGCGGGTATGTTTTACGTTATGTCAAGCAGAGGCGATGGCGCTGACGCCCAGCCTGCTGACTCTGTCGCAAAGGTTCGCGAATGATCATCATGCTTTCGGTCTCATATCTCGACATATGCCAAGGCTGCCGGTAGGGAACTCCTCGCTTCGGCCAGGACTTCGCGAGTATAAGACGGCGTTTGGCCTCTAAGGGATATACCTGTATCATCTCACGTTCGGTGCCTATCTGGACTCTCCACTGGTCCCGCTTACAGACTCATCATCTACTGACGTACGTACTGACTCTGGGAAGCTTTGCGTGCTCTTCAGGCTCAATTATCATGATACATCGCAAGATACTATCCGTCAGGCCGCCAGGGCACTCTTTCTTTTTATACACAAGTCGTTCTCTTATCTTATCTACAAGCTTCCGTACAGCTTTCCAACCTCGTTTGCGGTACCGTCCATGTTCTCGAGCCCATTCGCGTTGGTCTGGGCGTAATTAGGGAACGCGCCGAAATACGACCACCGCTCGACAATCTGCTTGCCCTCGTCGCTCCTGAAAGATCAGCCATACCCTGCACTGGAGAAAAGCCAGAGACTAACCGGAACCATTTGATAGCGGTCGTCATGAAGGCCTTGACCTCGTCGACATTGCAGATCTTTCCAGTTCCATAATCATGGCAAGCCCATTCGGTGAGCCAGACTGACGTGTCAGCTGACGAGCTCCCGCTACGAAGAAATTATGCTCACTGGGGGCGTTGAAGTCTGAGTGAAATGTCTTGATATCCTTGATCATATCGTTCGCATTGGTTCCTGACCTATCAGCCTGGCTTACCTACACAGTCAAGAGAAGGACCAACATACCATACCAATGAGCCGGTGTGAAGTCATACTTGCACTTGCCGCCACAAGCGCTGTTGAAGTCCTATATCAATCAGCTTGGTCAACAAAGGGTAGCTGATGCGGAGCATGACTCACCTTTAGCCACTTATTCCCTCCTCTTGCTACACCGGGCGCACCGATCTTGACCCCTTGCGGCACCTTGGCAGTCCACTTTTGATGGAGCGGTGCCGCCTCGGCCGCGCTCATAGAGGAGCCGCCAAACTCTCTGCCAATGTCGGCTGCAATGTCAGCTTCGTCCGCTCAATCTACCGGGACCCTGACACTCACGCTCGTTGAAGCCGAGGATATGAGTTGACCCGCCAGGAATCTTCCCATCGAACGCGTTGGCCGCATCTTTGCCCCAGACCATAGGCACAAACTCGAGACCGTCCGTACCGGTGAGAGTGTTCATGTTCCAGCTGTAGTACCAGCCGATCTTGCCGCCAAAGGAGGCTACGTTTGCCTTGGAGTCGCCGTTGATGGCGAGACCGACGGGTGAGACTCCACCACCGCCTGCAGCCGGCATAGCCTGAGGTGGCGGGGCGGCTGCCGGAGCGGCGCTGGGCTTGGGCTTGGCGGCATTCTCGTTGGCGTCCGCTGGGTCAGCCCCGGCCGCAGGGGGTTTGGCCTCAGCGGGCGCAGGCGCGGCGGGGGACATGGCTGGCGGTGCCGGGTTGGCCATAGGAGGAGCGCCAGCGTCAGGAGTGGGTCGCGGTCGAGCATTGCCCTTCTGCACCCCGCCAGCGGGACGGCCTTTGGACTTGTCCCCGCATGCAGGGCGGGCGTCTGCGGCGAGCAGGAGTAGCAAGGGAAGGAGGACGGTAAAGCTCTTCATCGTGATTGTGTGAATTGTGCTGGGAGCTGATGGTGTATGCTAGTCGTCAAGGAGTGTGGGTAAGGGAAAGAGCGAAGAAATGAAGGCAAGTCTAGGTCACAGACCGTTTATGAAGCCGAAGGTGGGGCAGAAGTGGCAGAAGGAGGGCGAGGATCAGAATGCGTGGAAGATCGGGGGCCTATATATGGGGATACAACGGACCGATATCGGAGAAGTCAAAGCCCCCTCCCCCTCCACACCCTAGAAGATGAAACGTACCCTCAAAGCCAATCTTGAGGATCCACCCCTTATCGTTTCAAAGCAACCGACGGCGACTGGTGTGTTCGCTTCCTCAAAGGCACACCATCGCATCAGGGGAGACATCATCTACGGCTATAGTGGCATGCTTGTGCTTCCATTCCATTGTTGAGGGTCCTTTCATGCCCTTGTGCCGTGAACAGCGGGGGAAATCAAATGTCAAAGGAGAGTCTAGATGCCATCGGTCGGTGGGTGCCTTTGAGTTCGCCATTGTTTCAGCAGGTTTCAGCCCCTCGGAAGGTGTTTGGTAGCCCTTTCAACCCTTCTGGACAGGCTGCGCTCTACTATCCACTGACGGGAGAAGCCTTGGGATGGAGTGGCCAGTAATCGTATGTCAGATGGCCGGCCTATAGCAGCATGCATACCACGCCGACGCTCTAAAGCCATGCCCACGCCTGCAGACCGTCCAATCTCCCCTTAGCCTGAGCATCCCCATACCAAGCCACTCCGGCCGGACAGAACCTGTGCGCCTTGTCACCCCTGTACCCATACTTCCCCCCCATCTCGCATACCGCCTGTACAAAGCCGGCTGTCTCGTCCAGACCCCACGCCCAGACCATATCGCATGGCGGGTCCATCTTCCTCCCCACCTCCCTCAGATACGCCAGAAGTGGCTTGACAAGCCGCTCATCCCAGCCGTCCAGGTAGGTGATGAGCAGCTCGCCGTCTTTGAAGCCGTGAGGTATGAAGAGACAAATCGGATCGGTTGCGTGATACGGTCGAGGGGATTGTCCGGACGGGATAAGGCGGACGCCATGGACCCAGGTGGAGGTGTCGCGCTCGGGAAATCGGTCGCACCCGAGTGGCAGGTGAGGCTTGATGAAGGCAAGCGTACCCTCGCTGGTGGGATCCACGCGGAAAGCGGTGGTACCGGGCGGAATCGTGGTCCGCTCGAGAGCGGACTGCTCGACCTTGGACATTTCGCTCGCGAGGCTCAGCATCTCGCCGTAGTAGATATCGACCGCAGTGTAGCCCGAGTCGCCAAAGGTGGCGGATGTATTGACCCCGTCAAGTTTTCCCCTGACGAAGGCATTCTCGGTGGTACGGCGTTCCTCCCAGCCGAGCCGATGATTCTCGTCTGGCCCGATGTACGCCCGTTCGTAGAAACCGAGTGGAGCCGCCGATGAGAGGTAGGAGAGACAGCTTGGTGGAAGATTAAGAGTGGAGGGGAGGTCGGGTAAGGCGCCCCATGCTTCGGGCCAAGGGGGCAGTGCGCCCTGCGTGCCGGCGAGGACATAGTGGAGCTGTCGAAGGAGCCGAGTAGCATATCCATGCTCTGCGCTGTTAGCGAGACGTCTTCAAGCAAGCAGCAACGTTTCTGAATGAAGAGGGAGACACCTACTTCGGTTTGCAGGAGGAGTGAAGACGTAGACGACCCCGTACATCGACGTCATTTCGACCTTGCCCTCATCGTCCTTGGACCAGCCGTCCCTCCTGACGGTCTCGAGATAGCTCAGCACAGGTCCAGAGGTCCTCCGCTGGATCAGTACCCTGGCATCAGTCAGCTGATGTAGGTCACAGGTATGGGCGAGCTTACCAGCCTATCCACCGCCCGTTCTGAGCGAACTCGGCCTTCAGCTTGCGGTCGTACCATTTCCGATACTCCTTGTGAGTCAGCAGTAGTGCGCGCAAACAGCTAGTCAAGGACTTGAAGCCTTACCTCTGGTGTCGCATGAGGGGCGAAGTCCGGTCGAGCGCCTTCCGAGGCGGCATAGCGTTGCTCGAGCGTCGCGACCTCAATCACACAATCGTCAGGTGATGGCATGGTTGGGTCGGCTGCGGTTGACCATCATATCGGCCTGTCAAGAAAGCTGTAGAGCTGAAGTACAGTCAGAGTCAGAAGGAGAACGAAGATGGAGTACAAAGGAGAACGAAGATGGAGTACAAAGGAAGGTCAGTGTGCGTGAGAAGCGAGCTTGTCCTCGTTGTCAGTAATAAGGTTCCGCGTAACCGGTCCCCTCTCAGCTGATCAACCGAAGGCACAAAAAGCATCACAGTCCTCGCTCAGGTTACTGACAAGCGTGTGTGGTAGGGCAAAGTGAGACCGCTATAGCCGGTCTCACCAGCTCAGCAGCTCATAGACGGCCTGCGTCTTGTAGGCGGCCGCTCGTGACCTGGATTCGGCCGTGGGGGATGCGTGCGGCCATCTTGGAAGGACAGTTCTGTTGTGCTCTCGTTGTATACTGAGTGCAGACGGACTGTCCGTTGACCAGGAATGGGCGACACTCTGACTGGCTTCGGCCATCGAGCTTCATGCAGCTAGCAGCTAGCAGCTTCGCGCCCGATAACGGCCGCATCGGATGCAATATGTACGGTATATACCCAATATTTCCCCGCAAGGTATGCGTCCGCTTCACGGCATGTTTCATGCTGGATTCGTAACTGGATCCGTGCGGCAAACTGAGCGGCACAAGTGCACGACTGTTGCCGGAGCTGCCGCTCGCTTGGTTCTGCACCGCGCTGCGACGCTGGATAAGATCGTACCTTCGTCAGATCGCTCGTCAAATACCACGACAAATAGCCCCTTGATAACGGTTAGTGCGGCTGGCTCAAACCCCGTTTGGCGCTAACGGGCATCTCCGACGGTGGGTTCCGCCGGACTCAAGCCTATCTTGGCGGAGCGATCTCTCTTTTGCCTTCCCATCTACCTCCAAATAGCTCTTTTCATGCGTTCCTCAAGATGGTCCGCGTGGTGAACTCAGCTATCGCAATCAGTAAGCCGGCGGCCGGAGGTATACTTATCGTACGTACCTCCTTTGCGGATCTGGCATGTACGGCAGCCGTAGAAATCGGCGTTCCCACCGGTTGATTGTCTCGTGACCTTATCCAGCTAACCTTACGCTCTCACTGGATGAACCTCCACATCCGCTGCCTTAGGTGAACTCGAATCCGCACATATCTCCCGAGAGCCCGAGATAAGCGATTTGGAGCTAATTGCGGAGCCTGGTATTGATGCACCATGTGGGCACTGACCAGAGATCGGGCTCGTGAACCGACTGTGTGCCGGTAGCGATAAGGGACCTCACGGACACAGTTAAGACGAGGTGCTTGCAAGGCACTTGTCCGCACCCCACACCCTGCATACGCTCGCCACCCATCATGAGCGCCCCTCACGATATCGCACCCGCCAGTCGGCCACCAGTCTACGATGAGCAGATCGACGAAAAGTACGACGACAAGAACGTCGAAATCACCCCTGTCGGCGCGGAGGTCCGGTACCACCTGGACTCATCCGAAGAGGCCAATGTCAAGCAGTGAGTTTTTCGGTCGACCGGGATGCAGCCTGAGCTGATTGGCAGTGATCTCGATGTCAGCAAGGACGAGGTGCTGTCTCTGGAGGCCAGACTTGACGATATGTCGCTGGAGCGTTGCCTCATGGTGAGTTGGATAAGTGTTCGAGCTTCGAGCACCTCGCTTATACCCTCAGATCATTCGGCACGTCAAGGAAATCCACAAGTACGATCAGAACTTCCCCGGCTCCGCCCTCGCCCGGATCAACGAGTTCCTCGGCAACCCAGACATCATCGACCGCCCAGAGAAGTACGAGGACATCATCAACGAGATGAAGATGGAGGCGCTCCTCTCGACCGAGAACTCGCCGTACGCAGAGGTCCGCGCCAACGTCGACAACACGGACAATCCTTCCATGCCCTCCCTCACCATTCGGGTATGGGTCATCGGGTGCATCTTCAGCGCTGCCGGATCCTTCATCGACTCCTTCTTCCTCATGCGCAACCCACCCGTCTACATTGGTGCCAACGTCGCCCAGCTCTTGGCCTGTGAGTCTTGTCTCAGATCGGTCTCAGAGAAGAGGAATGTGGCTGATTCCCCAGACCCCTGCGGCAAATTCATGGCTCGTGTCCTTCCCGACAAGCGGTTCAAGCTCTTCGGTCGCGAGCACAGTCTCAGCCCCGGCCCCTTCAACCGCAAGGAGCACATGCTCATCACCATCATGGCCTCGGTCTCTTTCGGTGCTTCGTACACCACCTACATCGTACCCACCCAGGCCATGCCTTTCTGGTTCAATGAGGCGTACGCTCGCAACTTCGGCTACCAGATCCTCAACTCCATTGGTATCAACTTTGTGGGGTACGGTTTAGCTGGTGCGGGATTTCCTTTTTGGCTGGTACTCCGGGCATGAAGCTGACTCGTGCAGGTCTCACAAGACGATTCTTGGTCTACCCCGCTGCGGCAGTCTGGCCGGCGTCCCTGTCCACCATGGCGCTGAACAAGGCGTTCCACACCGAGGTCAACGAGCCCGTCAAAGGTCCCTTCGGCAAGATCTACACCATGTCCAGGCAGCGCCTCTTCCTCTGCGCCTTCCTCGCCATGTTTGCGTAAGTGGCACTTTTCGCCGGGGGTCCCTTTATCCGCTGACCCGCAGCTACTTCTTCTTCCCTGGCTTTATCTTCCAGGCCTTGTCCTACTTCGACTGGATGAGCTGGATCTCCCCGGACAACATCGCGCTCTCGGCCATCACCTCCACCTACGGTGGTCTCGGTCTCAACCCCATTCCCTCCTTTGACTGGAACATCATGTCGGTCTGGCTGGTGCCCCTTACCATCCCGACCTTCTCCATCATGAACCAATTTGTCGGTCTTTTGGTGGTCGTCCCTCTGTAAGTACTTTCGAAGGGGAGCGTGGCATTTGCGCTGACCATTCAGCACTGCTGGTATCTGGTTCAGCAATGCCTGGAACACCGGTTACCTGCCCATCAACGACAACCACACCTGGAACAACATGGGCGGCCGGTTCAACGTGACCAAGATTCTCACCAACTCGCGGCTCGACGACGCCAAGTACCAAAAGTATTCACAGCCATGGGTCTCGGCCGGCTACATCACCGCCTTCTCGTCCTACTTTGGTATGTGTTGCCATGTCTCAGCGATGTGACTATACTGATCAGCAGCTCTGTACGGCGCGACCGTATCCTACGTCATCCTCTACCATCGTCAGCAGGTCGCCGGCGCGGCCAAGCAGGTCTGGAAGAGCGTTCTCGTCACCCTTCGCCTCCGTCGGCAGGAGGAGGACGAGGACGAATTCGCCGAGGACATCCACTACAAGCTCATGAAGGCCAACTACAAGGACGTCCCCGAGTGGATGTACGGTATCATCCTCCTCGTCTCGATGGTCATCGGCATGATCGGTATCGGCATCTACCCTACCGACACCTCACCGGTCGTCGTCATCTTCGGTATTATCATGCCTCTTATCGCCCTCGTCCCCGTCGGTCTCGTGCAATCGGTCACCGGTATCCAGGTCGCCCTCAACGTGCTCGCCGAGTTCATCGGCGGTTCCTTCGTCGAGGGCAATGCCAACGGCTTGATCTGGTTCAAAACCTACGGTTACATCTCGTGCTACCAAGCGCTCGCCTTCATTAACGATCTTAAGCTCGCCCACTACACCAAGATCCCCCCCTACTACACCTTCGTCTGCCAAATCGTCGCCACGCTCATCTTCACCTTTGTCAGCGCTGGTATTCTCAACTTCCAGATGTCGTTCAAGGACGTTTGCACCAAAAACGCTGCTTTCGGTTTCACCTGCCCCGGTCACAACACCTTCTTCACCTCGGCCGTCTTCTGGGGTACTCTCAGCCCCAAGCGACTGTTCGGTCCTGGCAGGAGGTACAACTTGATGCTTCTTGGCTTCCCCGTCGGCATCATGCTTCCAATCAGTGAGTTGGACATCTACCTGCCGCGCACTTGAGCTGACAGTCAGTCCACTGGGCGCTGCGTCGCCGCTTCCCGAAGGCGGAGTGGCTCCGTCAAGTCCACCCCGTCATGCTGTGCGCCGGTCCCGCGCTTTGGGGTGCTCCTTACAACTTGGGTTACTTCTTCGGGAACGTCCCGGTAGTCCTGGTGAGTCTCTTCCTTCCTCGATAGCGAGCTTCATGCTGATATTCTCAGTTCTCTTGGCAGTACCTCCGTCGCAAGTACCCCGGCTTCTGGTCCAAGTACAACTTCGTCGTTGCTGCTGCATTCCCCGCCGGTATCGCCATCTCGGCCGTCGTCATCTTCTTTGCCCTCCAGCTCCCCAACGGCGGCTTCAGCATCGATTGGTGGGGGAACAACGTGGTCGGGGAGGGTGCCATCGGCGTTCCTCTGTTGGACATCCCCGAAATTGGCTACTTCGGCCCGGAACCCAATACGGGTTCGTTCATCTAGGCGGCATGTGGAGAGTCGCGGAGTCTGCTTTGTATCCGTGAGGAAGTCAATATAGTTATACGAGTTGTGTTGGTATCGTTGAAGGAGCGAGGAAAGTCTTCGGTATCAATTATAGAGAATATAAAATGATTAGTGACTCTGCGCTGTGATCTTGCACCGATACAAGCGCTTGGCGTTGCCAGCCGCCATCCCAGCAAGGGGGAGTATCTGCTTGGACTCCGCGTACGCGCTCGCTACGCTGAATTGGGTACTGTCCTCCAGCGCGAGCTCTCTGGCCCTTCGGCTGGGAAGTGTGCAAGCAGTGCATGATCGCATCTATGTCGTCAAGTCAGCATACGTAGCCTGCACGATGCTCTCCCCCAGTCGTCTAACCCCATCCCACCCTGCACCATTCAGCCTGTCCCACCTGCCTACGCTGCTCACGTCTTGAGTGCAGGCCGCTCGCGAACTTCGTCCGCCAGGTCCGGTAGCTTGAGTGGTCCAGGTTGATAACACATGGTACGCAGTACGTCGAGCTGCGTCCGCTGCATCCAAGTCTGCTCGTGCGGAAGACCGGCCGAGAGAGTTGGCGAGGTAGCGCAGAGAAAGGCGATCAGGTGAAAAGTTTGGCGGTATTTGCAGAAACGGTCGTTTCGGCCCAGTTGAGCATCGTTTCGGGGATCAGAGAGTTTCGACGAAGTGGGGGTACGGATGCGGATGATGATCCGGAAGAGGTAGGTGAGGGAGAGGTGTCAGAGTTGTTGTTGATTGGGGATTGAGGGGTAGGAGGTGAGGTTGGAATGGGCGCGGGAGGAGTAGCGAGGTATTCGTCGAGTTGTTGGGGGGAGGGAAGAGCACCGTGAGCTCCAACCCAGTACCTCCCGAGCGCTTGAATGCCTACATGTGCGAGAGAGTAGTATCTCCAAGAGCTCCAGCCGAAGAGAGAGCCTTTGATGCCGGATAATGGTAGCAATTCGGGATGCGCGACGATCTGCCAGGTCAGCTACGCTGCTTAGGCGAGAATCGATGGGTACTCACCTCTTTCTTGAGGCCCGTTAACACGCCAACCCTATCCGTCAAGATCGCTTGCACGCCCCATCCCATCGCAATTCTCATCTCCCCTGGGTCGTTCACCGTCCACACGCATATCTCTTTGCCCGCCTCCCTACATTCTTGAAGAAACGTCTGTCCAGCAGATGACATGAGCACCGGGAATGCGATCGAGAAGCCAGAACAGGCATCCCAGAAGAAGGTCCGCGCGATCGAGAGGGAGAAACCGATGTGGTAGCGAGTGAGGAGAGGTAGGTGACGCAGGGCTGAGCGGATGAAGAGGGGATGCCAGAGACCGAGGATGAGTCTGGGCGCAAGTGTCGTCTCCCAGTCAGGGTAGGTTCTGGGCGTCAGCGTGCTAGCAAAGCTGTAGGCGATGTCTGATACTCACGCTACTATCCGGGCCATCTCAGGCTGCCGAGTCAGCCAGAGACTCCGCATCCGGCCGAGCCTGTACTCACAAACAGCCTCTCTGGATCATTCTGCATCTTGCAATCCAGCTGGATCATCAGCCTGGCGAACGGCTGAGATGAGTGGTACACGGACATTGAGAACAACATGCAGATTTGCGGGCTGTTTGTCAGCACTATCACAGAGTAGAGATGAGTGAAGCTCCAAGAGGTCGACTTACTTCCATCAGCAGCGCTACCAGCTCCGCAAATAGTGGTATTGGCTGCACTGGCTCCTTCTTGGTCCGGGCATGTCTGGAGGGTTAGCGGTACCCCTCATCACGAGCTCGGTGTCTTACTCGATGACCCCTTCCCAAGGCTGGGTCTTGATAGTCCCTGTCCCGGTTGTGGTACGATCCAACGTTGGGTCGTGAAACATCAGGACGACGCCATCCGAGGTAGCGTGGACGTCTATTCCCTTATCAGCCAGACTCATGGACAGCTAGCTTTCCACTAGCTTACCAGACTCAATACCATCTGCGCCTTCCAGGATCGCAGCTCTGAAACTGGCCAACCTAATATAGATCAGCTCCTGTGTCATTGTCGCAGTCCACGGGTGGCAGAGATGGCGTACGTGTTTTCTGGCAGGTGGGCGCTCGCCCCTCGGTGACCCCAACATTCGATCTCTTTCGGTATCCGAAAAGCCCCAGGCAGGAGCGACGATGCAGACGCGGGAAGGGCGGATGCGGATTCCGACATGTTGGTATTCGCACCTGCTGAGAGACTAAGCTTCCGCGCAGAAGCTCTTCGCCTTGCGAAGTGATCAATTGAAGGAGAGGGTAACGGACGGGCGTCGTGCAAAGTTGATCTTGAACGTGTGCGGGGGCTTATTGTTTCATGGTATACAAAAAGAGAGCCCTCAATGGAAGTAGGCTTGGGAGTCCTATAACGACAGGGCTGTACGTAACGATAGCGTCATCACACGTGGTGGAGTTTGTTTCAGATTTCCCCATGCCGGATGCAAGTTACGCTGGCTGCTGTACAATGTGTACCGAGGGGGAGTCGGCCACACTCCGCGCCGATCCTCCTCGTAACAGGTACCATTCGTTTTGAGCATTTTCTGCTTTTCTCAGCCAGAACGCTCATGAAGCTCGAATTCGAGTAACAGAACCTCCCCAAATACCTACAACAAGGAACATAGGAATAAGTACAGATTCGAAGAAAATATTCTAGTACTTTGTTCACCTCATTATCATCTCTATAATCCCCACTCAATAGAAATCATGACACTGTAACAAAGCACCCTCCCCTTCTGAAGAATAATAATATGCTAAATAGTGTTTTTCCGAATAATTATTTATTTCTACAGTTAAAAGCATATAATAGAGATAAAAAAGAGGGCGAAGGCTCTGCAGCGCGGCGTCTACCTAGCAGGCCATCCCGTCTGAGTGATCTGTCCTGCACTGCCGAAGCACTCTGTCAGAGACTGAGCTACAGCTTGCGGATGTTTGAAGGGAAGAGCCTGTCTTCCCTTCGTGAATTTTATCTCATTCAGATGTAATCGATGCAAATGTACCTAGTCGAGCTCATGTCTTGTCACTCGCTCCGGCCGCCCTCTTCGCCCTCCGTCTATGACTTCGCTTGTCAATCGCCTGAGCTGGTTCGAGACCAACAAGGTCCGGACCCAGTTCTGATTCCCGCTTTCCATACCCCGTAATGAGTATGGATCCATCGTGATCGTACGCCAAGACAGCTTGCTTGTACGTCTGCAGACACTCCCGAAGCTTCCTGTCGAAAGTCAATGCAGTATCCTTGAGTGTCGTGTATTGCGACTTGTCGCATCGCGTTTTCGGCCAAATTGCCTGAAGAATTAGACGATTCATGCCGCTAACGTATCCGGGCTTCCACAAATCTAGCCCAGACGGATCGACACTCGCCACTGAGGCTTCTGTCTGTCCGCTGGCCGATTGCTTGGAAGGGCGGTCCATCCGCAGGCTGACGGTGGCGGTTCGGCTTTCCTGAATAATGCTGTGAGTTTGTTGGTGGAAGCAGAACTTGCGAAAGAAGAGACGATACCTGACGGCAGCGGTATTGTTTTGTCGCTGTCGTTTAGCAGAATTTTTGCTCGGCGGTTTTGCTACCAGGTCAAGAGGCTTCGCAGATCGGCCTGACTGGTCGTTCTTCGTGGACTTGCTACCTCGTGCCGAGGCGAGAGGGCTTGTGGCAGATTGTGATGTGGGGTTTTGGCTCTCTGTATCGCTCATCGTAGGCAGACCATAGGCCGGGGCGGGAGCGATCTCATCAGGAGTCATCAGAGTCAACATGCCATTCTCCTCCGACTCGCCCATCAACAGTCTCCAATCCAGGCCATCGACATCGACAGCCGGCATCGACGGCGCGGAGCCAGACAGTCGCGCGTCACCAGTGTCCATGGACGGGGTTGGGCAGGCATTGCCCTGTGAGGCAAGAATCGTATGCGGCTGGACTTGTGGGCGTCCGGGGAGTGACATGTCGAAGCCGTTGCGTGATGTAAACGCGTGTGTTGGCGTTTCCCCCTTCCGTAGGTACCTGACGGGCTGGTCTGCCGTCACGTGGTCAAAGTGAGGCTGCGGAGGGGTATCATCATTGACAAAACGGAGATAGGCATCCAGATCCCATTGGAGACCGTCAGTGTCTCCTAGATCGGGGGTATGTTCGTGGTCGTCATGGTCAGACATTGCCAGGAAGCTGGTATATTTGAGTACTGAGTGGGGTTGAGGGGAGTAAGTGACGAGCAAATCCTGAAGGAGACTTAGAGATTGCGGACTGTGGGTGTGATGTACAGAGAGAGGATCAGGGGTCACTCAGGTCCCTCTTTTGCCTAGACTGGGAGAGGGCGCGTTCGCTCGACCCACCCAAAGGAAATACCCGTCTTTCCAAGCTGTCCTTTGTGAGGCCCAAACACCAGCACAACCCGACTCCGCATGTCGATGATACTGCAGTGCGTACGTGATGGCACATTCTCATGCCAAACGTCATGATAGAAGTCACTACTCGATGGCGAGTGTATCGTCACGCACGGTGAGGCACTCTACACGAGCAGTGAGATGTGGTGAGTAGTCCTCGGTCCGCCAAGGCCAGTATCTGCTAGCGTCATGCCTACCGCCACCCATGTATATCGTCCTGCTGATACCATCGATCCGCGATCAGCTATTCTCTCTCACTCTCGCCACCACTACTCGCCGCCCAATCCCCCTTGCTCTTCTTTGGCCCGCCCAACCTCGCCCCCTTCTCCCTCAGATACCGTACAACCTCCCCACCCTCTCTCCCACCTCTCGGGAAATTACCCGGCAACTCTGAAACCTCCAATGCCTCTTCTCTCCGATCCACCTCACCCCCATATGTCGAAGCGAGCCAGAAGGAGGCTGAGACCTGAGTATCCCCCTTCTCCAGCTCGAGCAGCACTGAAGCGAGCAGACGAGCCGCCTCGATCCGGACGCGGAGAACGTGGCGGACCAGTACGCGCGATGGAAGTCGCGGCGGGCGGGTGTACTTCTCCGGTAAGGTCTGTGGGGGCAGGCCAGCGACTTTCGGTGGGTTGGGCGCGAAGGAGGCGGCTTTGGGGAGGAAGGCGTTGAGGTTGTATTCGAAGCGGGCGGGAAGCCAGAGTCCGATGAGGAGTCGCCAGGCTGCTACGAGGCGCTTCATTCTGCCAATCAGCGGGATCCTGTTCGATACAGGGACTGGCGTACCCGTCATAGTTGTCGTCGATCAAGGCAGAGTGGTAGCGGCCCAACAGCCAGACCACACCCGCCGCGATGGCCGACCCAAGCGGGATCTGCCTGAACATCGCCCAGAAGGAGAAGAACAGCACCGGGTAGGTGAGGAGTGTCAAGATCATCCCGAACGCCACCTTCATCTGCGCCTGAGTCTCGACTTCATCCTCAGCTAGCCGGCTGCCTAGGACGGCGACGATGTAGACCGGTAGATGGGTGAGGAGGGGTACGAGGAAGAACGGTAACCGCAGAAGGGCGACAAGCGAGTCCTTGATGAGGAGGTAGAGGGCGAAGAAGCGATTCGGGAGGGAGATGGGTGATTTGGGGTCGAGGTTCTGGGGGAGGGGAAGGTCGGTCAGGGCGGCGTTGGAGAGGCGGGAGGTGGTCAGGAGACGGCTGTAGGTGACGAGAAGCGTCTTGAGCTCGGAGATCCGCTCATTCGTGGACGTGGCGAAGAGGTCGACCAGGCTGCATGTCAGCCGGAGTCTCGAGTAAAGCAGGGCAACTTACGTTTGGGACACGTCCACAAAGTCTGATAATGCCAAATCGGTCTCCTTCTCCCACAGCAGCTCTCTTGCCATCTGCGCAGCCAGAGCGCTATCCCTGTATCGTCAGATTTACTCCGAGCTAGCGATGGAGCTAGTGAACGAGCTAGCTCACCAGTCTGGTGCGTTCACAGTAGTCTGCCACATCTCCAACTCGATCCTCCTCGTCAACCGCTTGACCGCCAGCTTCTTGTCTCCCTCGTTCTCCGATAAGAACTGCTTCTCGAACTCCTCGGTCGATATAGGTTGGCCAGTGCTATAGGATCAGCTACAGAATTCTGACTGAGAAGAAACAGACTCACTGCACCGCGACTCTGCTCCTGTACTTTGCCTTGTCGGCATAAGCGATGCTGATGGGCACGACGACCGCCTTGCGCCCCTTCTTGCGTCCCGCATTTTCCGCCGTCCCCTCCAGATACCGCACATACTCCATCGCTGCCCAGCTGACGCCATCCTTGAGCGGGATCATGTGCGGCTCGGTATGTGATGTACCCTCGGGAAAGACACCGACACATTCACCGAGAGCGAGAGCTGAAAGTCAGCTGGACGTCCATTCAAGCTCTACTAAAATGGTCAGCTCACCCTCGAAAGTACCGCGGAACAGGGTCTGATTGTTCTTATTCTTTCTGTCGACCGCTACTGATCAGCTCTGTCTCTCGGGCTGTCTCTCGGGCTTGAGAGCTTTGGGGGGACGCACCGATATTGCCAGCATTCCTGAGCAGAGCGCCGACTGCCGGGTTTTTGAATAGCGAGTCTTTCACCCAATAATGGAGACGATGCTGTTTCGGTACGACATTGCTCAAGACGCAAGGCTGTTTCGTCAGACTACTCCAGTGCAGCAGCGGATTGAAGATGGCTTACATCAACAGCCATATTCGTGTGGGTACACGCGCTTCTTCGTCAGCTTAGAACTTGAGGCCGTCTGTCATTTTAAGCTCACAAGATGATTGGTCCCTCATCCGGTACATTCTCAGCGCCAAAGACCTCTATACTGCTGAAGAAGGTCGTGATGGCCGAGTTGGCGAGCTGGCGGATGGGCTCGTGGGTAAACCCGAACGGCATTATTGCTGAACCCTTGGGCGACTAGATTTTCGTGCAATGGGGTGCTTTCGCGAGCTGTTTCCCGCTGAGATTGCCTGGGTGTAGATCAAAGTGAGATCGGCTGATGAGATACAAGGCGGGTGTATGAGAACAAGTCAGACTTCATGTGCCTCGAGCGCCGAGCGCTGAGCTCGGCTATCTCCCTCGCTCAAAGCCGCGGCCATCGCCGGCCCGGTGCACGCATGGCCCGGAGAGGACCACCTGCAGGCAAGACGGCCAGAGTGCTTTGAGGTGGGTGCGTCCACCATCTCGTTTGGAGCGGTACGGGCTTCACGCGTCACGGCTTGTGCAGTTGGTGCTATACAGTAGCTCCTCAGCGCTCGGTTGGTGATACTTGTCCAACCAAGCTGAACTCATACTTTCCCCACTTGTCTATGCCGACAGGCATCTCCTTCGTCGCATACTCACCCAGATCCACCTCGTTGATACTTCCCACTACGGGTCTCTCCTTCTCGAGCGCCGCCTGAGATCGAGGATGATTACTCAGATGGACTCACAAACTCGCCCGGAGCTGGTCGGCGAGGGCGGCAGCGTTTCTGTCATGAAGAAGATTAGATCCGGCTGCGGCTGGCTACGCGTCGTACCCTGGTGACAGCTGTGCCCGAAGAAGGAATGACTCAGCTCTGAAACATCAGGCTCATCGAGGCCATACAGGCCCCGGACACTCCAACAGATTATCTCCCCCCCTCAGCGTCCACCGCCTTATATGCAACCACGACCACCTTCGTCCCCAGGTCTAGACCATAGCGGCTCGCAGCGACTCGAGCGGGGCCAGCTCGTCGCTCACGTCCGGAAGGCCCTTCTCGTGCAGTTTCATGAGCGTATGTGCGTCGGATGGCAAGGGCCGCCCGGGAGATAGCGAATGCAGTGATGAGGTCCGAGGAGTTCATACGGTAAATGTCGACGCAGGTGGTGGATGCAGTCGGCATCTTGGCTGTCATATTGGGTTGATGTAGGTCAGTGGGTACGGTTCGTGAGATGGGATCCGTCACTGGCCATGAGCAGTTCACTTAATGTAAGTACTAAGGATGATCGCGCAAGGGAAAGCGAGCCGACTTAGCCGACTTCGCCGGAGCGGAACAGGCTATTTCTGTCCGGACATCGCGTGCCTACCGATACAGAGACATGGCGTCACGAAGGTAGCTTGGGTAATCGCACACGCGTTGTCCGCGATTCATATGAGACATGGTCCCTGCGGCTTGCACACCGTCCCGAGCCAGCCTGTTCAGTTGCTCCTCATTCCTCATTGCTAGAGGATGACGTGGCATATCGATCGTCTGGTATCGCAGCTCGGGCAGTCCGTGCAACCGTGCCTGATAATTTTGCCTCCACTTGAATTTTGAAAGCTCTCCACTCGTCCATCCATCATCCATATTCATCACACACCATGGCACCCAAGCAGGCCCCTTCTGCCGGTAAGCTATCCCTTTCACGATACTGAGAATAAGCTCACACTGGCCACAGAGCTCGACTCGGCCGTGCTCGCCTACCTCGTCTCCCGCGGACTAACCAAGACGGTCAAGGCGTTCGAGAAGGATGTGGTCGGTGTAAAGCCCGGACAGGCGGGAGCGCTGCAGAAGGCTTGGGCGAGTACCTCTACTGCGTGAGTCCTGGTCAATGACGTGTACAAAGGAGGGGAAAAGCTGATATGATAGGTCCAAGGAGGATGTCGACATGGCTTCCGGAAGCGACTCTAGTAGCTCGAGCTCGAGCGACTCGGATTCGTCCTCGTCAGACTCGTCGGATGATGAAGAGGAAGTGTCAAAAGGTGATCTGGCCGTTCTTTATCCGCCCTGGCCTAGGGTAGAGGTGGACAATAGCTCATGGACGCAGTACTCGCTCCGGCTGCCGCGTCCACGCTTGCATCGAGTAAGGCTGCCCCTACCGCTGTTGTGAAGCCCGCGAAGCCAGCATCGTCAAGCTCCTCCTCGTCATCTTCGTCTTCTTCTTCATCCTCCTCATCTTCCTCCGACTCGGAGTCGGACGATGATGCCAAAGCCCCCGTACCTGCTTCGGCCACCAGCACCCAGTCATCCATAACCGTCGGTCGACGATCGCCACCCGCCAAGAAGGCTGCAGCGGTGCAAGCGAAGAAGGCAGTTTCGGCCAAGGCTTCCTCGTCTTCATCATCTTCCTCTTCCTCTTCTTCATCGTCCTCGTCTAGCTCGGACTCGGACTCTTCGGATGAGGAAGAAGCCCCCGTCGCTAGGCCTGGGATTGGCGCTGCCGTGTCCAAGGGGAAGGCGAAGGCTGTGGAGGCTGTCAAGGCGGTCGTGGAGGGTGCAAATAAGGCGGTGGATGGTGCTGAAGCAGGTACGCTGCATAGTGCCCCTTTGGCTGGGGAATCGCGACAAGCTGACGCAAATCAGATTCCGAATCTAGCGACAGCAGCGACTCTTCATCTTCCTCTTCTTCCGACTCTGAGTCTGACGAAGAGCCTGCGCCGAAGAAGATCGCCCCCGCCGCGGCGTTGCCGGCCCCCACGCCCGCCAAGCCCGTCGCTGGCCAGAAACGGAAGGCTCCCTCTCCATCCGACTCTGATTCTGACTCATCATCATCCTCTTCTTCCTCGTCCTCTTCTTCGTCCTCCTCCTCTGCCGCTTCTACCAAGAAGAGGAGCAAGGCCGCCCCGACCACTGCCCCTGCCCCCGCCGAGACTCCCACAATCACCATCACCCAGACTATCACCCTTCCGGACGGGAGCGCCTCGACTGTTACGACCAAGGGGAAGGCAGACGAGGCTGCCCGGCCGATCAAGCGGCTCCCGAACCAGCGATTCGAGCGGATCAAGCCCCAGAATGTGACTTTCCACCATGATGGGTTGAAGGACAACTCGTTCCAGGCTAGGGTAAGCTATCTTGGTCGTACGCCATTGGTGACTAGAAGCTGACAGGACAGGAATGGAGCGGAGCGTCCGCGAATGATTATGGAGCCAAGGCGTCGAGGGACTTGATTGTGACGCGAGGTGCGGGTTTCAGGAAGGAGAAGAACAAGAAGAAGAAGGGGGTAAGCTACATCTGACTGATTCAAGTTGGGCTCTAGCTGACCCTGGGCAGAGTTACGCAGGCGGAGAAATCACGCTCCAGACCCACAGCATCAAGTTTGACGACTAGGCCGATCTCAATTGAGGTCCAAGTCGCAAGAGCTCCGGCTGTGGAATTAGAAGTGTGGAGATGGCTGTAGTTACCTGAAGCGTGGGGATGATTTGTAATTTAATGCATCAGATACCATCCAGAAGAATGTCCAGTCATAGTTGGATACGACAGACACTGATGTACAAAATGCTCCAAGAGATATCGATACCGGAGACCGAGAAGGATGCAGTTGGATGCAGGAGGGCTACAATGGGTTTACATGATGAGGGAAGCGGGCCGTGCAGTTGGATGCGACGACCATGATTTTTGGGTGTGAATAGGCAGTTGGATGCTGGGTATAGCAGTGTCCGGGCGATGATAGGAGGGAAAATGGGTTGGAGAAAAGATTAGACCGCTTGGAGGGTCTTGGACGGTCGGATGGGCGAGACGGGGATGGTGAGGCAGGATTCGTGGATGACGTTCAGGGCCCTGACGGCGTCCTTATTTTCGATGACTGAGGTATCAGCTGCTATCCCATGCATTGGGAAGCCGTATTTCTGGCAGCTTACCACATGAGATGTTGATCTCGCTAGCACTGCAGCTCATCAGTGTACGATCTAGCAAGATTGATGAGAGACGCGACTCACCCCTGCGAGATCATCTCAATATTCACAGCCGCCTTTGCTAAGCTCATGAACATGAGACCGGCGCTTCCGATCGCATTGCGCATGTTCCGGCCGACGAGCGACAAGATGGCCATGTCGAGCGAGACGGTCACGTCGCCTATGCGCTCGAGATCACGGATGATGCGGTCGTGTCGCTTCTTGTTGTGGATCTCTTGCATCGCCATGGATACCTGTGGGAGTTAGCTGTATTCTCTGACGATGCAGAATTGGAGTAAACTCACATGTACTTCCGAAGTCGAAATGAGATCCACAACGACTCCCGCCCTGTCCAACGTGCCGAATATCCTCGCCAAGAACCCATGGCTGATCGTCTTGCGATTCGAATGTATGTTGATGACAATGATGCTATCCTTGATAGTCACGGCCGTCGGCATCCTTCCCTCCTTCTTGGCCCGCTCGATCCTCTCCTCATCCTCCACTTCCCCTTCATTTAGCTCCCCATCCCCCTGGATCTGGCGCGCGAGCCCCTGCTCCGTGTCCGGATAAATGATCGTTCCGCCCCCCAACGGATTCTCGACATTCTTGATCCGAATAGGAATCTTTGCACGGATGACCTGTTCCATGGTGAAGGGGTGGATGACTTCGGAACCGTAGTATGTCAATTCGGCGGCCTCGTCGGGCGTGATGATGGGCACGAGGCGGGCCGAGGGGACTTTGCGAGGGTCGGCAGTGAAGATCCCGTCGACTTCTTTCCAGACTTGGAGCTCGCTGGCGGAGAGGCCGACGGCGCAGAGGGCGGCGCAGAGGTCGGTGTACCCCCGCCCGATCTGGGCCAGGAGTGAGCCAGGGACAGGACCAAAGTAGCCTGGTGGTCAGCTAGGAATCTGCATGTCCCACCAAGTAGACCCACCGGTGACGACTGGGATACGATCACCGCATTCGCGTATCCTCTCGCCGAGCCGCTTCGAGAGCTCATCATAAAAGTCCTGGCCCAGCTGCGCGACACCTTGATCCCCGTTACCAGCGGATGTGGACTCGGCGGAAGACATTGCGGCATCGACGATGTTGTCCAGGATGACAATCTCGGAATCAAGGCCCTGACTGGTCAGCTCCTACTTTGATTCGTCGGCCCTCGTCGTGCAGCTCACCCTATCTCTCAAAGCCGCGGCGACGATCTTACATGCCAGCTTCTCGCCTGTACCGACAATAGAGTCTTGACTTCTTGGCGAGATCTCGTCAATGATCTGTCTCGTCAGCTTCGAGCTCTGACAGCCTTCGGTCGCTGTATAACACACCTGAGCAGCCTGCAAGAATCCCCTCAACCCCTCACAATCCCTTATAATCTCATCTTCCAGCTCTTCCCTCAATGCTCCAGCCTTGACCGCCACCCTCGCGGCCTCCAAATGCCCCTTCTTCAAGAGATCTACCGTCTCATGGAATCCCGACTCCTCCTTCTCGCGCTGCCCCCACCCATTTGACTGATTCGCACCCGGCGTAGTCGGGCTTGGGGGCGATCTCCTCCCGCTCGGCGTAAATGGCGATGGGCTAGCACTCCTTATGTCCAGTTCACGCAGGGATGAGATGGAAGACATCATGCTCCCCGACATGCCGTTCGCGGGCGCGCCGGTCGAGGTCTGGCGCGCTGCCGGGCGGTCATCGGAGCCAAAGAAGCCAGAGCCGACGCGCTTGGGATAGAAGGGCGTCTGGGAGCCGCTGGCTGATACGGGACGGGAAGAGGGGGGCTGGAGCGCCTCGCGGGAAGCTTGAAGCAGGAGGTTGGTCGTTCCGAGGGCTTTTGTAGAGGAGGACCGGGCGGAGCAGACCAGCGCTACTCTGGAATTCGGTATGTAGGATCTGGGATCGTCAGCTCATGGCAAAAAGCGTTCTATAGGAAGAGGCTTGTGCGGAAGAAAGCTGAGACTTACTCGACAATCTTGCAGATACTATCCAAGGACTTGCCGACGCTGGTTCCCCCATACTTTTGGACGACCCAGGGAACCGACTCGTCCGTCGAGTTCCGGATGAGCTGTTCTGTCTGCATTGCCGCAGTTTTTCACGTGTGTCGATAGCTTGCGGCTCCGGGCAGTCAAGACTGTGGTGTGCTACTTGTGCTGTGAGCTGTGGGGTTGTATTGACAAAGGCCTTGGTATAGTGGAGATAGAGCTTTTGACATTTCGAGTCGGCATTCTTCGGTTGATCATTTTAGCTTTAAAGTTTGGCCTCGGCTTCCGGCGGAAAGAACAGTCCGTGCGTTCACTCAAGCTTCAAGCCGCGCCGCGCCGGCCGGTCGCGTGGACGCTGTGCAGGGATACCTCTATCGACCATACCTACCCCTCATACAGCTTAGCTACCTGACCCTGTCTATACCTCTCACCGAAGCATCGCCACAATGCTCCGCTGGGCTAAAAGAGACTCTGTCCAAACGGACAAATGGGCACCCCTCGCCGCGTCCGCCCCATCCGGCTCCAACTCGCTCTTCGCCTCGGTCCTCAAACCCTCCAAGCCCAGCGCGTCCACGGGCACCATGGTCGGGCGCTGGCCAGAGAGTGTGCTGCTCAGGATAGTATCCTATTTACCTATTCCGGATCTACCGGCGGTGGCTAGGGTGAACAGATCGTTTGCGCGGATTGTGCGGGCGGAACAAGGATGGGAGTCGCGTTGCGCGTATCTACGGATCAAGCCTGAAGGTGAGCCGCTCCCTATGGGCTGGCTGGCAGTGGCTAACGGTACAGCACCGAAGAGTCTTGAGATACGCCGGGACAAGGCGATGACGCCTACCAAAACGCCCATGAAACCCCGCAAAGACTCGCTAGACGACGACTTTGGCGATTTCTCCACTCAGAACAACGACGTCTTCGAAGAGGTGGACTTTGGGGATCTGACGGGATCGAAGGGTGGCGCTTCAAATGGGAATGGCGCAGGAGCATGGGGAATGAAAGGCATGGAGACCAATCTCATGGACTTTGGGGACTTGCCCATGCCCAACAAGCCTTCCGGGTCAGGCGGGGCCAAAGCTCGACAAACGGGCTTCTTTGCGCTCGTCCCCCCTACTCCGGGCTCGGTATCGGCACCGCTGGGCAATGCAAATCCCGGACCATTCTATCTCGCCTACAAAGCACATCATCTCGCCCTCACACCACTCTGTCGGCATCTGCGGACCTCTCCTTCCCCATCATCGACACTCTCCCTCCTCTTTCCCCCGGATCCGCGGACCTCCCTCCCTCTCCCACTCGCCGCACAGGGTGAACGCCTCCTTACTCTCCTGCTGTTCCTCTCGCCGAGGCTACAGCCGTTGCAGGACTGGGGCTTCCTAAGACAGGCGTTACTCGCTGCGGCGGACAGATTCGACTCGACCTGCCTTGTCGCTTTCGAAGTGGCCGATAGTCGGAAAGATGAAGCGGGGATGGAAGCTGCAGCGAAGGCCAGCTGGGCGGTATGGGAAGCTGGAGGTGGGAGTCGGGACCAGTGGGAGTGCGGCAGAGTATGGGTGGAGAAGCGCGAGGTGTTTTACGAGACTGGGAAATGGGATCCCATGGAGAATATCGTGTAAGCTGAAGATCCAAGGGCCGCGAGACAGACGGAAAGCTTACAAAACAGTAAGGTACCTACCAAAACGGGGCAGACGGTCCGCCAGCTGGACTTTACGCCCATGGACGCATTCATGTCGCATGTCGTGGAGACATTCCGAGCGGATGCCGAGCTGGCTGTCCGGATCTTCCCTGCTCAAGCGAGGGTCGTGTTGTCATTTTGCGACCGCGTCGCCAGCGATGTTGTAAGCTTGCGTCCCCGACATGTTCGTTGCTAAGCTGACCCCAAGATCGGAGAGTACATCTCCTCCCTGCTCTCTTCCGCCCGAGCGATCTCCCCTCGGCTCTACCTCCAAGCAACACCTGCAAGCTTCATCCAAGCCTGGAAGATCGTCGATGCGGCCACCACCGTCCTCTCCACCAAGACCGACCCTATCTCCACGACCTTCCGGGCCCAGATCGAAGATACCATCTTCCGGATGTTCGAGCATCATATGGACGAGTATCTCGACGAAGAGACGGAAGCTATCAAGGCTTCCCTCGAGGAGATCTGCCGCGGATGGGATAACCAGCTCGGGGAGGATACAAGTCAAGGCGGGACCGGCAGCCGAAACGGACCCAATCCGGTCACGCCGACTTTCCTCACCTCGTCCAACCCGGATCAGGTCAAGCGGAACGTCCTTGCCGGTTTCAAGGACGTGTTGCTCCTCCCAGTGACGATTGTTCCCCGTACAGTAACGTTCGGAGTGAACGCCATCGTGGCTGGAGGGAACCAGGCGGTGAACGGTCTAGCGATGCTCAATCCGCAAAAGTGGGGAGGGCAGGGTGGGGCGCGAGTCATCAAGCAGGAAGAGAGCGGAGAGGTCATCTTTGACGTCCCGACCGTCGAGGATGAGAAGGATGCTTCGGTATCAGCGGAGAAGCGCCAGTCGGCCGGATCGCTAGGCGATAAGAGCCAGTCTGGGGCTTCTCTTTCTCTTTCACCGACAAACACGCTCACCGAACGACCACCAACGAGCCGGAAACCATCTATGGCGGACCTGAAGGATGAAAAGTCCTTCGATCGGCTCCAGCTGCTCGTTTCGCTCGATACGGCACTGGAGCTGATTCAGGCGGATCGGGATTCGCTTAAGCGGTGCGAGACGTTTGCCAAGTATCCGGGCAAGTGTGGGGTGCGGGTCAGGGAGGCGATTGAGGAGATCTTTGTGTTGCTTCTGAAAGCTGCGGGGGATAGACATATCTCGCCAGGTTTCCGAAAGTAAGCTTACCCTTTCTCATGGGAGAGTAGCCTGAGCTGATGCGCCAGAGCTACCAACCAAATGCCAACCTACAAACCGGACGAGCACGCCGAAACCACCTCTGTCGCTCCCCTTCTACAATTCTTTGAGCTCGTCCATATTGGCGATACCATCCAAAGTATGGTGCAGGTGTACTTCGACAAGGAGCTTACGGTCTACGTCGACAAGACCGATTTCCTCAACACGGTCATGCGGGAGAAGAAGCGATTCGAGGGGATATTGGACGATGCGGTCGCGGGGGGCCTGAATGCGGGGATTGAGGTGCTGATGAATCAGGTCGGTCTCCCTCCAAGGCTCGATAGGACCATGAGCTGATAGAACAGGTCGAGCACATTATCATCGTCAAGACTGGCCCAAGGGAGTACTACCCCGTCGAAGGCTCGCCGATGGGTCTTGAGCCAACTCAGGGGTGCCAAGAGGCGATACGGTGTTTGGAGATGCACTGTAATCTTCTCAGGGGGAGTACATCCAAGGAGGTTCTGGAGGTGTTCTACCAGGAGGTTGGGATTCGGCTACAACAGTAAGTTCAGGTCTAAAGCATTGAGGGTCTCACTGACAGGCAGGATCCTCCAGCGTCACCTCAAACGCCAGATCATCTCCCTCGAAGGCGGCTTCCAGATCATCGCCGACCTCAACGCCTACCACGCCTTTGTTGCGAGCCTGAAGCAACAACGTATCACGGAAGACTTTTCGAACCTCAAGATGCTGGGGCATGTGTATATCGTCAGCGATGCGAAGGATCTGGCGCAGATTGTGCGGGATGTGACGCGGTATGGCGGGACATTTAGGCCGGAAGAGTGAGTCCAACTCTGTTCTTGGCGGGCACTATTGGCGATGAGAGCGTGGAAGCTGACGAGACAGTATCTATGAGTTCATCCAGAGACGAGCGGACTGGAAGAAGATTGAAAAGACCGTCGATAAGGTCAGTCCTGCCCTTCAGTTCTCCGAATCCGTTGTTGCACGCGCTGACTCTTCCAGGCGATGTACGCTCTGTCGGTCAAGGATGACTGTGTCATCATGTAGCTACTACGACTTGTCTTGGGATCTGGAGATGTCATCTTGTTCGGAATCGACATTTATGGATCCCCTGGCCAATCCAAGGGGTCCGCGCCCAGTTCTCTGACAAAGTCCGCGCCTCAGTTTCTACCATCATGTAGCTGGCCTTGTTCCCCTCATCAGATCGCCCGTTCCCATGCCAGCCACTTAGAGCCCGGCGCTCAGCGCAGCTTTGGCATTGAGATGACACCCCTTAAAGCGCTTGGACGCGTCATTACGGCATCGGTTTCAGGCGAAGTCAGAAGGGTCGATTATTCTCCGAAGCTTGGACATTTGGATCTTCCATTCTGCTTCTTTAACTTCATCTTTACTAGCCATATTTGCCACCCACGGCTCCGCCCGTGCCAAGTCTACTTATATAGGCTTGGGCAATCATGGCGCAAACTCCACCTAGCAAGATCCGCCTCCCTCCTCTCCCCTCCACCGCCGATTTCTCCGATAATGCCATCGCCGACTCCCCCTCCGCGTCCACATCCGCCTCGGACGCTCGGTCGCCATCGTACTTTACAGGCGGGAGCGTGCCTATGCCTCGTCGATCGGCTAGGCAGTCGTTTGCTACGCAACGAACAAGAAGAGGGAGTAGGGGGACAGTACTCATCCACGACGATGTGGAAGATATCAAGCTGCCGAGTTTGGTGCCCGGGATCAGGCCGGCTTATTCCACCCCATTGCCTGGATTGCCGATGGTGGTGTTGTCAATAGTGAGCTTCATCGTCCCTGCATTAGGCTGAGGAGCAAGCTGAAAATACAGGCGATGCTCTCGGAGCTCCTGGCGGCAAATCTGTGTACCCCTTTCATTCTCAAGATGGTAGAAGGTTTCTACCTCGCCGATGGGTATGAGAAGAACTCAGAGACCGAGGCGGAAGTAGGATTGTGGACAGGTCAGCTAATCGCACCTCGAATCCGTCTATGAGCTGACGACCTTTAGGCAATCTTATCTCGGTCTTCTTCATCACCCAATTCTTCACCAGTCTGCTCTGGAGTAGTATCGCGGACAGACACGGTCGAAGAGCTGTCATTGTTGCTTCGCTGGCGGGAAGTGCGGTGGCACTGATTATCTTTGGTACTTCCGAGTCTGTACGTATACCTGCTACTGTTGTTGAGGGAGAGGAGCTGATATTTGTATTAGCTGCCAGAAGCAATCTGTATCCGACTCATCCAGGGCATCTTTGGTGGAGCTGTCGGAGTGGTGAGCTAAGCGGCGCCTGGTTCAGGTGGAGTCAGCTGATGGCATGCAGTTCCGAGGATCTATCCGTGATATCACGGACGACACGAATGCTTCTCGCGCTTATGCCGTTCTGGGCTTCTCATGGGGTTTCGGCGGTGTCATGGGACCTGTAAGTAGCTGAGGGGGTTTTCCGAGAGCTCTAGGCCGCCCAGCTGACAACCCAGATCCTCGGCGGCAACTTCGAGTCCCCTGCCCAGAACTGGCCGGGTACTTTCCTCGCTAATTTCCCGCTCTTCCGCTCTTTCCCATACATCCTGCCTACAATTCTCGGCGCCCTCATCCTCTTCGCCGGGGCCATCATGGCGTGCTTCCTCTCATGGGACGGTGGTGTGCGAGGCGGATCTCGAATCACTCTTCCGGCCGAAAAGGACGAAGCGCTCGTACCCGTTCCTGACGATGATGGAACGCCTTTACGCCCCGTCTCGCCCGCACCGAGCCATGGGACCGCCGTTCCGAGCATGAGAGGTCATCGGGATATGCTCAGTCCCGGGATGGCGGAGACTGCTGCGGGAGGTGCAGGGTATCCTGGGTTGAGTCAGCAGGTCCCGCATGCGAGGCGAGATAGTCGAGCGAGTCTGGGGACGGCGTATGGGTATGTCCGTACCGAAGAAGGAGCTGACAGACAGGTATGGTGGTATTCGATCAAAGCACCCGACGTTGGCGGCGCGGGCGGCACTTGATGCTGCTCGTCGTGTATCGACCGCCGATGGTCCAGATGACGGCGAGGACGAGGAAGAGCAGTCTCGACCGCTCAACTTTGCTCAGAAACTGCTACTTGGTAGGCCTATCATCAGAATCCGCTAACAACAGCCAACGAAGAGAACACCTTCAACATCAACGACCTCTGGGTCTCGGCTGCGGTCGCGCAAGACTCGGCCGTCTTTGACGATGACGAGGAGTATGACAATCGTTCCGACGAGGAAGGCGATCGGACCGATAACGCCACCGAATCCAACCACAGTACACCGCAGCCATCGCCCAGTCTCGCTCCGCCTAGCAGCTACGGTCGCACCACCGGTCGAGCCGTCTCTGGCCGTCGTGTCGCCAGCTCCAGCCTCCAGCGTACCCTTCCAGGACACCGCCTCTCTGTCTCTCACGGTGGACGCCGGTTCTCCACTGCGTCAGGCAACATGCCTGCCATCTTTGCGAATACGGGTCTGCGCACTCCGCCCGCTAGTATCCGATTCGGACACAGCCCGAACGCTGAGGCGAACGAAGAGGACCCATTCTTCTCGACTCCAGCGCCGAGGATGGGAGGTCTTAGTGTAATCGCGGAGAGGCCGTCAGCTAGAGAGACCACGCCGTTGAGTCCGGGCGCACAGGTTATGGAGAAGCAGCCGAGCTCGTGGTCGCTCTTGCCAAAGATGATGATTCTGCAGGTGAATTTTGATGCCGAGTCTCGCATCGGACCAAGCTGATACGCATAGTATGGAATGCTCGCTTTCCATAATACCACGCACGACCAAGTCTTCCTTTCCTTCCTCACCACGTAAGCTGATTCGCACGATTTGGCATCGCGCCAGAGCTTACCGTACCAGCCAATACAAGTCAGGCGGTATCGGCCTCAACCCCGCCAACTTCTCCTTCCTCATCGCCATCATGTGCCTTTTCCAACTGGTGTACCAATTCTGGCTCTACCCTCGGCTCGGCCCCCCTCTTGGCAAGTTCTCACATCTCCAGATGTTCCGCCTCGGGTGCATGTTTTACATCCCGTCGTACATGGCATTACCGCTGCTTCGGGCTTTTGCGAGTCCGGATCAGAGTGGAGGGTTCTTGATTATGACTTGTAAGTTACCTCGCTTGCACTGAGCGGTATGAGGAAAGAACTGACCTCTCCAGTATTGACCATCGTGACGTGAGCTGCACGATCTCTCTGCCCTGCGATCGGACAGTGCCCAAGCTGACATTTAGTGCCGTGCGATACTGCGGCGGTACCCTCGCCTACACCTCCGTCATGGTCCTCGTCAACGCCATGTCCCCACCCAACGTCGTCGGCCTCTCGAACGGTCTGGCGCAGTCCACCGTCTCGTTCGCCAGGTTTTTTGGACCCGTCATTGGCGGAGCGCTCTGGTCTAGCAGTATCAATGGCAATCCGGAGGGATACGCGCATGGGTTTTACATCTGTACAGCGCTGTGTGCGGTGCAGATTGCGGGATCATTCTTGATTCGGTAGGCGGTATGATGGGCCAGTGAGAGGATGGTAGATGGCGGATTGCGGGTGGGTTGTGGCAGTGCGAGTGCGAGTGCGGGCGAAGCTAGGCGCGGAAGGGGATATGATGATGGTGGGGGAGTAGTCTATCGGCTTGAACTTTCTAAATGTTAATCATTTAATGATGGTTTGATCAGTATGCTCTGTCTATGCGGCGCCAAGTACCGTCACTGAAGACGATGAACGCGTCACTGAACACGATGAACGCAATGCGAAGCAGTCGGGAAGGCCCGCTGCCGTTCGCTTGCTTGTTCTTCATGCCGAGCTCCATTTCCGGACGATACTGTCGCTCGGCCCTGAATCGAATCGCCAATTTCCAGTACAGATGCATGCGTCATGCATGCCCGCTCCTTACTTCTATTCTCTATTGAGGACCTGGCCCGTCCGGCTTCAATCTGTCTGGTCAGCTTGCGCTCTCCAGCAGAACCCTCTACTTCCATAAAAGCGACGCGACAACTCACGATGATCTGCCCGCCCGCAAGATCTCATCCGTACTCAACAGGTTCACCGCAATGACAGCGGCCGAATGGAGCATCTGTCTCTTTACGCGATAATTATCCCACACACCCTCCGTCACGGGGTTCATCGGCTCGCCCGTGCGCAAGTCCAGACCGACCGCCTCCTCCGTCTCCTCTGCCTCCTGCTGCAGGCTCACAATCGCATCCTGTACGTCGAACCCGCCATTCTGGGCGAGCGTTTTGGGGATGATGAGCATGGCCTCGGCGAATGCGAGGACGCCGAGCTTCGTGCGGCCCTTGGCGGTCGCTTTGAGGGCGGTCTGGAGGTGCAGGGCACAGGCGATCTCGAAGGCGCCAGCACCGGGGATGAGGCACTTGTCTTCGATGGCGTTCTTGACGGATCGGAAGCCGTCTCGGAGTGCGTCTTGGATCTGGGCCATGGTGTGGGCGTTGGGTCCTAGGACGTGAGCTAAGGACGTAGATTGCGATCACCTTCCATAAAGACTCACCCTTGACGAGCATGGTCACACTCTTTGGCTCCTTGACATCTTCCACAAAGGTGTACTTCTCCTCTCCCAACGTGTGTTCGTATACCAATCCCGCGTATCCCAGCACATCCGGTGTCAGGTCATCCACCGAGTTTTGAGCGATACCGCCACAAGCCAGTTGCAACCTAGTCGTCAGCTTTGATCTTTGCCAGTACAAGGAACAGGAGCCAGCTCACCTCTCCATGTTCCTCCGCTTCGCCCGCCTCAGCGCCAGAATGCCCGCCTTGGCCAGAATATCCAACGACATCGGGTCGATACCCTTCTGGTTGATCATGACGAATTGCTTGGGCTTCTCGCCTGACCCAACAGCAACATCGCACACGGCATTCTTGAACTCGACAATCTTCCTGAGCTTGGCATCGACGAACCGGCGCTCCGACTCGACGAGCTTCTCGCGTTGTTCCGCTGATGAGTAGAAGAAGCTCGAGTTGACCTCGCTACAGGGTCAGCTGTCATACCTCGGAGAAGACGTGGTAGCTCACGTCTTTTCGTACTCCAGCGACACGTTAAGCGTCAAGATGAACGCATTCTCCACCCGCTTCGGCATGTCCGGATGTCTCGCTCCGTGGTCCATCACCAACCCCTTGACCAGCTGGGTGTCCGTATCCGTCTTGTGCTGCATCTTCATCACTTCAATCATGTGGAGGTCGATTGGCTCCCGCATGCTCCCGTCCGTTGGCTCGGGCGCGCGGATGGCGAGGACGGCGTCGACGACGTCGGCCGCGAGCTTCTTGGCGAGTTCGGCGTGGAGCTTGGTTGAGAGGGAAGTGTGGGCGACGGAGATGAGGGTGGAGCGGTCGAGTTCGGGGAATTGCTTGTAGCTGTCGAGGAACTGAAGATAAGCGTATGGCTGCGGAGGGCGTTGGGCAAACTTACAGAAAGAGCCTCCTTCTTAGCCAAGTCGAATCCTTCTCCAATAACTCGCGGATGCACGCCTTCCTGGATATACCGGTCCGCCTGCTTCAACAGCTCTCCGACGAGGAGGACGACCGAAGTCGTTCCGTCTCCTGTTTGCTCATCCTGGGCGACAGCTGTCCGAGCGACCATAGCGGCGGTGGGGTTCTTTTTGATCAGCTAAACCCTCTGCACACCATACGTGTGGGATAGTCACCTGTATTTGCATTTCAGACAGAAGCACCTTTCCATCCTTGGTCATCTTGATCTGACCCGACCCATCCACCAGCATCTTGATTGTCCCCCTTGGTCCTGGCTTGTCAGTGTAACCCATAATCCAGCAAGTCCAAGCGCAGACCTACCCAAGTTGCTCTTGACGACATTTGCGAGACCTACTGCGCCAGCCTGACGTATCAGCTTCTGATGGCCTTGGATAAGACCCGCGAAGCTGAACGTACAGTGTTGACCTGCAAAGCCTGCGTCCGGCGCACGCTCTCCGCCCGAGGGTTGATAAGTTCGATGCTAGACATCGCGTTGTTTGAGCTTTGAAGCTGATTCTAATTCGCAGTATCGTTTCGCTATAATATAGCTCGGTATACAGCTGTATTTGAGCTGTCGGATGGTTGTATAGTGATGTATGGAAGGCTCTAGATTGTATAAACTGAGCACTTCAGAAATAATGTTGGTAAGCAGCGACGCGCTGCACGTCCTCATTCCTTTATTTTCTTATAGCGATTATTGACTTTTATCCGGGTGGCAAATAGTCACGCGGCCCCGCTCAGTTCCAGCGGATCCGGAAGCCCGCGGACTCCGGAGTAGAGTTGCACCCATTCAGCCTCTCCTCCTGTACATTTCTTACAGTCCTACTGCAACTCTACATCTTACAACATGATCATCGCCGCTCACCGCAACAGTCACTCCGGCATTCTGCCCCTGATCGATGGGCCGCAACGCGACTTCCTCACCGATGTATTCGTAGTCGCACGCCGCATATCAATGACGGATGTCAGCCTGGATACGCTTGCTGCAATGTTCAGCTGTCCATGGACCGGCGATGAATCGATCGGCATCGACACGGCGGAGCTTCGGCACCTGACTGCCAACTACATCAGTACCTGCAGACCAGTACTGATCGCCTGCGACGTCTGCAAGGATTGGGGATTCACTGAAGGGAAGCCGCCTCATAGAATCTTTCTCCGCAAATCAGTGAGTTCAGCTCATCTCATCTCAAGCTCCAAGCTCATATCGTAGATTATAGATGCAGGAGGTCGAGCATACAGCCTCCGAGACTCGCTACATTACTCCAAGCATGTCTTCTTTGCCGCTCAAGTCCTGTCGCACGAGATGGTCCATCTGACCCGAATGGCCTTGGTAAGCCCATCTGGTTCATCACGATAGAGTCTGGAAGTCTGACTTCATAGAGCCTCATCACGGCCGGACGGATCGAATACGATACACCTCCTCGATTAAAGATCAAGGGTGGCGGTCCGGGACGAGCCACCCCATTGGGCACATCAGGCGAAGCCGGCTGGGTCATGGAGGACAGAGTATATGGTGGCAAAATCGTCGCTTGTGATCTGGACGAGGGCAATCCGGCCGTACGTACACCGCGGTCTGGCCTTTGGCAATTCTGGACTGATGCTACAGCTTGGGCGACTGTGGATCTCCGGATTGACGGTCCCACATGTCGGCTGGACGTTCGCCCTCCAGGACGAGGTCGTTCAGAAAGTTGTCCACTGTGAGTACATCTACTAGCCATGACTTCATTCTTATGCTGACCTATCAGGCGATCCGGGCTGGGAGCGGGAATTTCCCTTGCGCGGTCGTTTCCAGAATGTGGCCAGGCGGCTGGACAGAGTCAGGTTGGGCGGTCTGGAAAGTCCGCTAGGAGCATCAGTCAGCTCCGCCGAATCGGGAGGAGGGCATGCTGGGGAAGGTTGGCGAGTAGGGAATTGCGGGGGGAAAATAAGCGTGGAAGAGGCATCGGCAACGCCTATCAGGCGGTAGATAGTGCATGAGGACATGTGGGAGAAGGGTAGAGTGATGTAGCGAAGGCTCTAGATTGCATGATCTGAGCACTTGTGAGATGTTGGCACCAGCAGCGGCGCGCTGCACGTCCTCATTCATTCCTTTGTTTTCATATGTACAGCGATTTATTGGGTTTTATCCGGGTGGCAAATAATCACGCGGCCCCGCTCAGTTCCAACGGAAGCCCACGAAGTAGTTACAGCCAGAGCTCCACCCAACATCATACTGCTTCTTTACTTCTCTGATAGACCAGTCTCAGAAGCCAAGACGGTGAGATGTCGCTCAACTCTGTAGTCAGCTCGCTCGTCCGGGCCGCAGCTGGAATCTCGGCAGATATCAGCGACGCCGAGCTCGATGCGCACGTAGCGAAGCTGCTGGCCGAGGAGGCCAAGGCGAGTGAGCTCAAGTGGAGTGAGCTGGGCTTGGGGGGATTGCTGGGTACTGGACGAGACGCGTATGTGCACTTATCTTCTGATATAGTATGTGCACCAACGCTAATCCCATAGCCCTGACGCAAACGCACCGAAGCCCAACAAGCGCTTCCTCGCTAGCGTGATCCGGACGGTGGATGGGCACAACGCCGCTCTACTCAGAGACCAAGCTCGGACAGCTCGAGATGCCCGCACAGGTCGGTACAGGGACGACAGCGACCGCGAGCGGGAGCGCGAGTCGACACGCCGCTCCTCACGGCCTTCAGGAAGCGGCAGCGGCGCATCCAGCCGGCTCTTTGGCGGCGCGATGAAGAGCCTGGGGAAGGAGGAGCGCGACGTCAAGAGCAAGGAGTGGAGGGATGTCTACCGGCGGAGAAATGAGAGGGAGGAATCGATTGAAAGGGAAGAGAAGGAGGGGAGGGAGTTTCGGCATAAGTGGGATCAACCAAAACCACGGCGTCGCTCGAGAGATCGCGATGAGACCAGCGCGGGACCATCCGGCCCAAGACGGAGATCTCGGAGGATGTACGGCTATTCGGATGATGAGGGGTCGAGCCGGGCAGGGGGAAGGGAGGAGGACGAATTAGATGAGGAGGCGTACATGAACGTCAGCAAGCGCAATCCAGACGGGTTGAGGCGGAAAGGCTGGGATGGGTCGAGTCGAGGAGAGTCGAGTAGGCGATACCGCGACGAGGAAAAGGAGGATGGGGAGCGAGAGCATAGAGAGAATAGGCGGGAGCGGCGGAGGAAAGAGAGGGAAGCGAAAGAGAAATCAGAGGGAAGGGGGGACGAGGATGACAGGCGAGATTGCGAGGATGACCGAGGTCATCGCTCCGGGAAGAAGCGGACAGATGAGCGCAAGAGAAAGGAGAGGGAGGACGAGAGCGAATCGGATCGAGACTCGGCCGCCAGGCGGCGTCACCGGGACCATCGACGAAACCGGTCGGGCAGCGAGGACGACCATCGGAGTCGCTATGATCGGTCTCGGAACGGTGTACGGAGCGATGATGACCGGAACGCCGATCAGCGTTCATCTCGGCGGCCGGAGAGGACCCGGAAGGACTCGTCCGACCACGCCGACGACACCATGTCCTCGCGGGGGGGTGAAGGGCGCACAGAGCGAGACGCCATTCGCAGAGATCGCGGGGACGATGCCTCCCCATCGTCCCATCGCAATGGAAGGCCAGAGAGCGGAGAGGAGGGACGAAACGGAGAAGAGGCGGGGGGAAAGAGGAAGGGCGAGGGCCGGATCAGGGACGCGGCCAAGCTGTTTAGCGACGCCATGCGCCAGGCTACACGGGGCCAGTCTCCCGGACACTCCGATGCGGCGGAAACGAAATCTTCACATCTCACACCTGCCAAATTGTCCGACAACCGAAACGAGGACGGTCCTGCGATGGACAAACCAGCCTTCGTCGGGCTCCGCATCCAGGGAGCTAGTCGACCAGTTGCGCCCGTCAAGATTGATTCACCCCCACCCCTGTCGGTATCTCGCAGAGCGTCATCTCCGCCTCTTACCAAGTCCACCCACACTTCCAAATCATCACCACCCCCATCATCACGTCCGGCCGCCTCCTCATCTTCATCTCGCTCGGTCAAACGTCCATCTCCACCTCCAGCCCGGAATGCCAAGCATGCACCGCCTGCACCTCCCCCGCCTCCCCCACCTGCGGAAGCACCGCCATCCCCACCTCCGCCCTCTCCCCCTCGACCATCTCTTTCCAAGATGGACCGGTACTTTGATGGCTCCTACGATCCCCGGTTGGACCTGGGCGAGGTACCGGCCGAGGGAATGGTGGTCTCGGTAGGATGGGACAATATGTTGTCTGTACTGAAGGACCGAGGGCGCAAGGTGAGCTTCCAGGCCAGCATCCTCTCGTTTCTGGAACGGTGACGGAAAGACAAAGCTGACATCTCAGACCCGCCGATCCCCCTCTCCCTCCTCCTATGGCCCACCTCCTCCTCCCCGCTCCGCCCCACCTCGCTCCCCATCACCCGAAACAGCCGCTCGCCGTGCCGCTCGTAAGGCCCGTAAGGCCCGCCTGGCGGATGCAGACTCGGAGGACGAAAAGGACCGCGCGAGGCGGAAGGAGAAGAAGAAGCGGGAGAAGGAGAAGTTGGCAGAGTTCGGGAAGAGCCAGCGGGTCGGGGCGGTCGGGGGAGAGGGAGGTGGGGCGGAGGGGTACGCTTATGTGCCGAAAGGAGGAATTAGGGAGTGGGATCTGGGGAAGTAGGAGTTCGACAAGTCATGCCGTATGATAGCAGATCATGCATCGTGACCTCGAGCCCTGAACTACCCCAAGCGCATCTATGTATTGTGAGTCGACTATATCTACCTGCCCACCCAACTCTTGACCAGCTAAAAATTATCAGCTGTGACCATCCACGGACGGGTAAGCCACTGGGAGACTCACAGTACGCGCATACGGGATATAAGACAGAGAGTACCATAGGTATGCGAGGTACTGGATCTGGGGTGTCAGCGTCGGGCACCTTTCTCGTCTACCGAAACAAGCTTACGATAACAAAGACGATGCACAATATCGCTGGGAGCACGAACGCGCTGACGAATGTCATGGCGATTGAAGCGAAGAGGAGTACAGTAGCAACCACTCGGACGGGCTTAAACATTGTCTTGAGCTGTTTCGAGAAGCCCACGAGGAAGCCTGTCCCGACGAGCGATAGGATCCCGCCAACTGCGAAGAGCGCTAAGCTAGTCAGCTGAGTGCTCCTACATCGGATTGCCTATTGTCATCCTCTTCGATAGGTAAGATTCGCCGCTCACTTGCGAAAGCGCCAGTCGCGCCGAGGAAAAGGAGGATCGCTCCGAGCAGCGATACGGCCAGACCGCCCAAGAAGCCTGCGAACGGTCAGCTGTGTACTAGCGCTCAAATTAGCCGGGCAACTGACAAGCAAAGAACCCTCCTAATCTTTGACTACGCGTCAAACCCAGACTTGAGAACGCTGATGTTTCCTACACATGGTCAGCGGCCGGATCAGACGCGTCAACAATGATAAGCGCGAACGTACCCCGCCAAAGACCGCATCATCCGTCTGCGACTCGAGATCTTCTGATCAGCTAGTCTTTGCGCATCGCAAGGATCTCTAGCTTACTGTACCACTTTCCGGACATTTCAGGCGCGAAGGGTGAGACCGAACAGGGTAGATATGGCGGAGTGTAGACAAAAGTAAACGGTGCTGTGCTGACCGACGCGACTTTTGCTTTTGCATCGGAAGCCAAAATCTGAAACAATCTATACGCGCAGCCCACTTATACACCGCGTTTCATCTCAGAGCCTACCGTATACAATCCGTCCATTTAACGGCAATTCGCCACCCAAATGCTCGCTCTTCTTCTCTTTCTTTCTTCCTTGTCTCCGTCTTGCTGGTGTCCTGGTGACACATATCATCCATCTACAACCCAAAATTCACACGATCTCAGCCCACGTGGCAGCTATGGAGGTCGATAGCCACGGAACCGACTTGTCGGACTCCTCCTCCTCCGCACCCCACCCAGCTCTCCTCGACCCCTCCACACCCGAGACCCATTCCTACCTATCCACTCTACCTGGGAACCTTCGTCCCATATCCCCTTATCTCGCAACCCTACATGACGCCCGACTGCGCATGCTGTCAATCCACTTCCGGTCTCCTATCCGGTGGTGTGTCAACTGCGGTAGTCTGCGGGACACCTCTCTCGGCGGTTCAGCCTCATCGTCGGTCCCACCGGCGGAAATGGAGGAGGCGGGCAATCTAGCTCGAGCGGCGAAGAAGGGAGGAAGATCGCCAAAGAAATCGCCTAAGAAGTCGCCCGCTCGGGCTTCTCCGTTGGGGAGTAATTGTCCAGCATGCGGGGAGCGGTTCAGGCGGTCTGCAAAAGTAGGGGCCAAGGCGGTGGCGGATCCCGTAACGCTGGCGAGCTTGAAGCCAGCGAGGGTGGTGCGGCAGACGAGACTGCAGGCTCAGTCGGGGACTGTGGTCGGAGGGGATGTAACCCCAACATCGATCGGCACAGAAACGCCGGTTCCTGCTTTGGAGACAACCCCTCTCGCCGTCACCCCACTGGAAGATGACCCCATGGGTATCGACACGTCCTCCTCTACCTTAATACCGCTTCCTGATCCCACTCTCCGCGCAAACCCCCTTACTGCCCCCAAACTCCGGTACATCCCCTCCACATCCCCCTCACCACCGACCTACGTACAACCCCCGCCTGTTCGGGCATCTCCTGCGGCATCCCCTGGACCAACGGCAAGCGGGGTTAAGGCGGAAGGCGAGGGCGCTAAGCGAAAGAAGAAGAAGGCGTCCGGACTGGCGAAGTTGTTGGCGCAGAGTAAGGAGAGGGAGGAGGGGCAGAATGGGGGAAAATGGGGATTCGGATAAAGGGTGGATGTGTAACAGCGCGCATGGGGGATCATGAGGAACCTTTGAAGGGCGTAATGAGCACGGGAGGGGAGAGGGCGGTTTCTGTAGCCACACCGTATAGACGGTAAACCATAGAAGTTGTATAGCGCATCGTGACTCGTTGTATAGCACATAATCTATGTAGCCGTTCCCGACCGAACGACCCTTCCATCATCCGCGCACCCGCCTTCGAGACGACGCTTACTTGCTGGAGTACTAGCTCATTAGCCAAGCTCAATCGACAGTCAACAGCTGTCATGACTCACGTCGTAGAATCCCTTGCCGGACTTCCGGCCCATCCGGCCCTCCTTGACCATCTCCTCGAGCATCGGGATGGGCTGCACGAGCTCCTTGCTGATCAGACCCTGCTCGGCCTTCTCGGCCCATCCTTGCGAGATGTACGAGGTTGTGTCGAGGCCGACAAAGTCAAGCAGCTCGAAGGGCTATGCTGTCAGCGGCGGATCTGTGACGTTTTACGTGTCAGCTAGCTTACACCCATAGCTATCGAGTCAGCTCGTATCCATGCCGAACAATGAAAACCGGGGAGATAGCTCACGGTATCCCGCACCAAGCTTCATCGCTGTGTCGACATCCTCAGGCGTCGCCTCGCCCCGCTCGACCATCCTGATAGCCTCGACTATTTCTGTCAGCTATGGGGGTCTCTAAATCGATGGGCCATTCGCAACTCACGCATGTACGGCACAAGAAGCCTGTTGACAATGAACCCGGGGGTATCCTTGCAAGACACGGGCGACTTCTTCATCTGCACAGTGACCTCTCGGAGGGCTTGGAAGGTCGCTTCCGAGGTCTCGGAGGTACGGATGATCTCGACGAGCTTCATGGCTGATTGTCAGCTCAGTCGATTGGTACTTCTCCGGGCGATAAGGAACTCACCAGGAACAGCTGAAGGGAAACGCGTCAGCATATCAGTCTAGACTCGACGCCGTTTACAGGTACTCACGGTTGAAAAAGTGGAGACCGGCAAATCTGGTCCGTCAGCTTCGTTGCATCTTCACTTCCGCGGGAAACATTGAGCTCACTTCTCCCTCCGAGCTGCCTGGCAGGACTCCGCAATCTCCTTGACCGACAGACTCGAAGTGTTGGACGCAAAGATACATGACTCCCTTAAACATCAGCTGGGTCCTACTTTTCGTTGCCACCGCAGCTCACTTGGCAGTCTTGTCCAGCAGACCGAAAAGGTCGCGCTTGACCTTCAAGCTCTCAATAATGGCCTCAACGACCAAATCGGCATTCTCAACAGCCTTGGTGCTTCTTGTCAGCGAAGCCTCTTGTAGATCACAGCTCTCGGAAATGCCAGCTTACGCATCCGTTGTCGTCTCAATGTTCTTCATGACGGCCTTGGTGAACCCCTCAATATCGTCGGGTTGCTTCTTCTTGGCTATTCTCGCGAGCGACTTGGAGATAATAGTGAGGCCGTTCCTACGCAGTCAGCTATCTAAGCATGTGGATCGGAGCGATCCGGTGCGCTTACTCCAATGCCTTGTCCGTCACATCCGAGAGCACGACCTGGACCCGTCAGCTATGCTCTCAAATTGCGAATGCCATGTGAGGTGAAGCGCACCTTCAACCCGTTCTGCGCGCCGACCTGAGCAATCCCAGCTCCCATAAGACCCGCGCCAAACACAGTCATCCGCTCGACCTTGGGCCCCTTGGCTTCCTGGCCCATCATAGCGGTCGACGCGGCGGACGCCATGCCACGCGCAGAAGGGGAAGTACGGCCAGCAGCGAGGGAAGTCATCGTCACCGAGGAAGACGAGGACATGGAAGTGGCTGTGGATGCTCGGAGGGCCGATCGGAGGGGAGAGAGCATGGTCGGGGTGAGAGTCGATATCACGATCGGATAGCTGAGGAAGATGAAGGCAAACTTTGGAGAAGGACCGGTTGAATGAGCGAGGTGATAAGCGGTGTCTAATGCCGTTAAAGCCGCGAGGAATGTGCAGGTTAGGAAGGAATGTGGCGCTGATTGCTGCACTGCTGAGCATCAGATCAGGGCTGAGGGGTCGAGTTCGGGTGAGGCTGCCTCCAGGCGTAGGACCAGATGGCGTCGCATTCACTTGCATCCGGAGACCAGTCACGCCAGCTCGAGATGACGTCCCATATATCCTCAGAACCCTCGGGGCTCCCCTCTACATCTCCCTCCAACAATTCTAGTCATCCTCGGTCTTTCAAGCCTCAGGCTTTACCTCCTCAACCTTCTCAATTCCCAAGGCCCAGTACGAGCGGTACAAGGAACGCACGACCAGCCAGGTGAACGCCAGTCCCAGCAAGTACTTCATTCTGACCGCCGTCAGCTCTTATGGTCCTTCCATCGTTCTGGTAGCACACTCACATAGCGTCACCCACCAACCCATTAGCACCTGTCGCGTTCGACCATATTTCCAGCCCCGTAAACGCCGCTATGACCCACAGACTGAACGCCCACATCGTCCACTCCATCACAATCATCCAAAAGTCCTTTGCGTCGCGCTCCTCCTCCCTCTGTTTACCCTTCTCCTTTGCCTCCTGTTCCAATGCAATCTCCTTGTCTAGCGAGTTTTCCTGCGCTTTCTCCATTGCACTGAGTATGCACGGAGCACAGCTTGCACAGGTGAGCACCTCAAGAGAGCCTCGAGTGGAGAAAATCCGGATGAGGAGGGCCCATATGGCGCACAGGAGCAGGAGGAGACCGCCTGTGCTGTCAGCTTTCAGCGCCAATCTACGAGAGAGGGGACTCACCAAAACAGACAGCGAGGATCAGACCTGATAGTATGATGGTACTATGCCAGATATCTGGCGGCTCCTCGATATAGACGTTATAGAAGGGCTTGACCACGCAAGTACCTCTGCATGGTCAGCGGGAGTCTCACAGGTACGCCGGTACTCACGATGCATCACAGTAGCCCCACCCACCCAGCCTCATCCCGTCTTTCTCGGTATACCACTCCATCCCCTCAAACACTCCAGTATCCGGGATGAGCTGCAATCCCCCTGATCCGATCAGAGCCGCCATGAGCAGCTCTAGGAGGATGAGCATCCATGGTGTCTGTCTCCCCAACCAGCGGAGCGCTTCCGACTTGAAGAACCGCTTGATCCAGCCATAAAGCCATGGCGTGAGAAAGCCGTTGATGCTCCATATGGACCGCCAGGTTGACATCTGGCGATCACGCCTTGTAGTGCGCCTGGATTTGCGATTAGTGAAGCGGTCACCGGCTTCGCGGGGCGGTACTTTTGGCTTTTCTGGCGGTTCCTCGGGAGGCTTTTTAGGGTATATCGGTCCGGTTCTGGCAGGTCTCTTTTCGACGCGGTATGCAGGCACACGGGCTTTGCCCGATTTGGTTTTCGGGGGACGCCCTGACGAGGCGCCGTCTGCCGAGGGATCATCGAGGCCATCATTGAGGCTATCATCCCGTAAGTTTTGGACCGGTGATGGCGGCTTCGGCTTGGGATACGTCTGTGTCTGGAGGTGCTCCCCGAACCGCGAGGGTCCCGTACGCCGTGGTGCCGGTGGTGACTCAGGGTCTGACATCGTAGTCCGTGTGTTTGAGGAGGTTCGGGGCAAATGGTCTTCTAGGCACCATTTGTCATTGAACGCTGATGATGATGATGTAGCTCAGAGGTCGAGATACCTAGCTCTCCCGATGGTCAATCGTATCTCCCGATGGTTAGTCGTCAGTGATACAAGGGGCAAAGCCTGTATCCTTTGGTGACGAGGGTCATGTGGGAGTCAGCGTTGAAAGGATGATCACCGCCCGTGGGGCTGATTTACCTGCCCACGCATGCATCGGCAGGTACAAGCAAGCAATCACGGCTCCTGCAGATCGTCGCTCATCTCCGAGCCCGAGTCGTCCTAGACCATCAGCTCATACCCTGCCCACACAAAGAATGAGCACTGACCTGTCCAAAGAATGCAAAAGCCTTAGCCTTCCCCTCCCGCCCCTGACTCGCATCTCTGCCCTTTGCTCTCCCATGCCCGTGCCCATGAGCATGCCCATCCTCCTTCTCCCTCGTCCGCTGCCTCTCCTTGAGCTTCGGCGTCGACATCCCCGCATCCGCCCCATCATCCCTGTCCGTCGGGATCGCATGACCCGCCTCGGCGATTCTGAATGCGCTCGAGTCGGACCGTATCTCGTCCCGCTGTCCACGCTCATTATCCTTCTCCTTGAGCTCCACACCGGCCGCGGCGAGTTTCTGGACGAGGTGTCGCTGAGAAAGGGGAGGAGGGCCAGAGCATTGGGTAGCGAAGCGGCTTGGGGTGGAGACGCCTGATTTGGGCGGTGAGGCTGCGTGATGCGTTTTCGAGGGTTGATTGGGCTGGGACGAAGATTGCTCGTGATCATCGCTGAACTGAGCGGGCGATGGAGGAGATCCGGTCGCTTCCCCTCCGGATGCGCTGATCAGTCAGCATGCAGCCCGATAGCATCTTTGGGAGGGCGTAACTCACTCGTCGATATCAAATGTATCATCCTCGTCATCATCTTCCTCCTCTTCTTCTTCATCCTCCTCGTCGTGCTTCCTAAGAGCCCTTTGCGCCTCTTTCGGATCATCCTCATTGCCCGCCTCGGCATGCCGCTTGTTCTTGAGCTGCTGCTTTGGCCCGCCCTTCGGTCCGTCGCTCGGGCCCGCGTCGTCCTCCTCGACGACGACAAAGGACTTTTGCTTCTCCCGTTCGTTCCATCGTAGAGTGCGCGAGATGGAGCTGAACCAGTCGGTAGAGGCCTTGTCGGCGCAGACGGTCGGGAACGGGTATTTCGACGCGGTGACTTTGATGTGGTCTCCTTCTGCACGGTGTCAGCTTTGTCGTAAACATGGGTGATGACCAGCTCACGTTTCAGCTCTACTCGGCCCCGACCGTCGAAGCTCGCCCAGGCGGTACTGCGCGAGTTGTACGGAACGCAGATCCGGAGCTCCATCGAGTCGGGAAGCAGCATGGGCCGGAAGGAGAGCGTGTGGGGACAGATGGGGGTGAGGAGGATAGCGGGGATTTGCGGGTGGACGAGCGAACCGCCGGCGGAGAGAGAGTAGGCGGTAGATCCAGTAGGGGTAGATACCGTCAGACCGTCCGCTTGTACCGTGGTGAGGTGATGCTCATCGCCTACATGTCAGCTACTTCCATGAAGCGGTGCACGCGGTAGCTGACTCACCGAAGATCTCCAACAAGCTGACATAAGGACTCGGTCCCCTGTCCACCACCAAATCGTTCAACACCTCAAACTGCTCGACCGGCCTCGTCGAGAAACACATAATCTCCTTGTCCTTCGCCCCTTCCGTCTTTTGGCATGAGGACGGATTACTCGATCCCTCCAGAGCCTCCCATCCCGCCTTATCCACCGTGCTCATGAGGATCTCGCCGCCGGGGCGCTTGATCGCCTTACGCCTGCCGCCACCGGTAGCCTGAGCGGCCTTGGACGCTTCTTCGGGCGCGACGGCGCGGTAGACTGTACAGGTGAAGCGCATGCGGAGGTTGACACGGATACCGTCTTCGAGAACTCGGTCCATGGTCTTGGCGTATGAGGAGAAGTCGAAGTTGGTGAGGAAGCCGAGGGAGCCGAGGGCGAAGGGGAGGATGGGAGGAACTATCTTTTGACTGGTGTGTCAGCTTCGCGATTGAGAATAGGAACCGGCGGAGCTCACAATAACCAGGAAGTGAAGAGAACAGTACCGTCTCCCCCAAGCTGCCGGTCAGCGTGTGCAGCCATCAACCAAGTTGTTTACTCACAGTAATGACGAAATCGAACAGATGCGGCGATCCACTACACATCTCCGACGTCCAATACCTCAGCTGCCCCTCGTCTTCCCTCTTCTTCCGCTGCGCCTCCCCAAGACTAGCCGAGCTCGGGTACGCGCTCATCGTATTGACGCTAACACTCGAGCTGCTTCTCCGCCGATGAAGGGCTTTCGAGAACTCCGGATGATCCCGCTTGATACCCTCCGCGTCGAAGCGTTTGGAATGCCGAAGCTGGGCATCGACATAGACGATCATCCCTCTGTCGGAGCTCCCGGGGGATTGCGAAGCGATGGACGAGGATGACATGGACGATTTGGGTTGATCCGCGCTGGAGCCACCGGACGAGGCGCGCTTCTGCATAAGGTAGATGGCGAGTTCGCGGGTGAGGCGGATGAGGGCATTGTCACGGGCTTTGGTCACGATGAGGACGCTTTGGATGCGAGATCGGACTCGAGTACGTTCTGCAAGTCGGCACAATCCTCCCACTCAGCCCTGGCAACAGGACTCACGAAGCTCTTTGCTCATCTCCCTTACACCTTGAGCAGTCTCCGCCAGCTGCTTGGTCAAGTTCCCTCCCTCTTCATCATAGTCCCCGTCGGTCAAACCTAGTCCGGTGGCCTCGGACCGGTCCGAATCGTACCCACTGGTCGACGCCGCGGAGGCTACCGGGGACGTCCGCGAGCCCCCCTTGTGCGAGGGAGATCCGTGCTGGTTGTGGTGGGGGAGCTGTATATGCGGCTTCGAGTTGTGAACGTGGTGCGGACGAGCGGTCTGGGGCGTCCCGGAGCCCAAAGGCGTGCCCAGCCGTCTGCTGGCCTGGGGAGAGTGGGCCGCGGGTGACTGGGACGATTTGGCATTGACGTAGTCGTGCAGAGACCCGTTGCCGTGCTTGTCGAGGTAGGAATGGATGTAGCAGGGGGAAGTGACGGTCTCATGGGAGAGTGCGGGTGGGCTGAGGGCGACGCCGGGTGAAGGGGGACCGGGTGTGTGAGCAGGATCGGAGGGCGAGCTGACTTTGCTCAATGGAGACGGAGGGGGTGGATTCCGCATACGAGACGAGGAGGACGTGATCGCCTGCGGTGCGGACAACCCAGAGGAGCCATTTGCACCGGAGGAGGACGGAGTAGAGCCGGACATGGAGGCAGGAGGGCGATACTCCATAGGCAGGGGAGATTGGGTGTCGAATTCGAAAGGATCGGTCGGTGAGACGTTGTATACTTGTATATCAGAGAGACCGAATTGCTGAAAGTCAGCCTCTAGTACCTAATAGCCCAAAAGGAAGGAGTTGCCTACCTTCTTATCAAGCTCCCTGTCCAGCTGCAAAGCAGAAACGACGGACCGCTTTCGGTGGATCGACTTTGGAGTTCGAGGGAGCCAACGTGTGTCAATCGGAGTTGCTGGCAACGGCTCGTCGGGGGTGATCTCGATTTCGAGCTGTGTGCTGCCCGCCGGCTGAGCTTCGGTATCTACGGATAGTCGAGGAGAAGAGGTAGGACTCAGATGGATGTATAGTTGGCTACTAGAGAAGGTGCTGACACGCGGACCGGCCGGTGAGCTCATCGTTGCGAAAGAAGACCGAGGTGGAGGCTGATCAAAGCTTGCTTGCTTGCTTGTTGGGGACTCTGATGCGAGACATCTATGCATGGGCTATATACTCTCTCGGGCTACTCATACTGACTACCTATGGGCACCCAGATACGTCTTACCTCTGTATAGCTTCGCTACAGAAGGGTTGTAAGGCAACAATATGATCGCAACTGCCGGCGGGTTTGTAACCAAGAGACCAAAATCAATAGGAAAGTTTGATCCCGCTAATCAGAATTACCCCACATTCCCCGCGATCGCCAATAGACTCAAGAGACACGCTAGCGAGGTGGAGGAAGGTCCATCAAGAGGTCCATAGTCATCTTGAATCCCCTATCTATCTCGAACCTCGGTACCACAGATCTCACAGCCCATCATGACAGTCCTCACAGCGGAACAGAAGCAGAAGTGGAAGGAAGATGGGTAAGTCAAAAGCGGCGACAAGGCGTTTGCACGAGCTGAACCCATCTCAGCTACCTCGCCATCCCGGACTTCTTCAGCTCCGAGGAGACGAACGAGATGATCACTCGAGCTCGTCAGCTGTTGAACGAATTCGACATCGAAGGTCATCCACTAGTCAGCTTTATCCCTGACGATAGGTCCGATGAACTAGCTGACTATCGCCAGACCACCTTCAAGACCGCCGAAGACGGCGAGCACGTCGGCGACACCTACTTTCTCGAGTCGGGCGATAAAGTCCGGTACTTCCTTGAAACGTCCGCTCTTACTCCCGCTACAGCATCTGACCCTGCCAAGCTTCGGGTACCCCCCGCGCAGGCTGTCAACAAGATTGGCCATGCGCTAGCTGTTCTTGATCCTGTCTTCAGGATGTACACGCTCGAATCGGACAAGGTGCGGGACCTGGCGAGGGACTTGGGAGAGCAGCAGAGCCCAAGAGTGCTGCAAAGTATGATCATCTGCAAGCAGCCCAAGATTGGGGGTTCAGGTCAGTCTGCCATCTGAGCGGAGTGAGCTAGCGGCTGATCAGCAGTCCCGACCCATAATGACTCCACGTTCCTGTACTCCAATCCACCAAGTGCTATAGGTGCCTGGATTGCTTTGGAGGACTGCACGCCGTCGAACGGATGCCTGGTCAGGTTGACATCTTCATTGCTGCTGCAATGCAAAGCTGACTCCTGCAGTCCTTTTTGCCCGGCTCGCACAAGACCGCTCGGATATCTTCCCGCTTCGTCCGTGCTGCCGGCGGTGGGACGACCTTCGTCCCCGTCCCCGGTGTCGAACCAAACGAAGAGTCATGGGAAGATATGCCAGGTTGGAAGCAGGCGCCATGTAAAGCTGGAACGCTGGTGTTGATCCACGGTGGGCTCTAGTCTGCACGAGCTTCGCGGTCAAGCTGACAGATACAGGGAGCGTGATGCATCGCTCACCACCAAATCCGTCGGAGAAGTCGAGGTTGATCTATACTTTCCATATGATCGAAGGAGCAGAGGGGTACACATACGACGAGAAGAATTGGTACGTCGTGAATCCTGCGCATGGCTGATCCTCAAGGTTGCAGCCGACTGAGGCTATGCCTTTCGCCTCTTTGCTCTAGGCTAGCTGTGATGTTGTATATTGATCTTGAGATCTGAGGAGTATGACCAGGTATCTGCGTTTGTACAATGATGTACATCAAGCTAAGACACAACTGCAAGTGCGATACAATCATATGGGTTTCAGTACAACGTGATGAACAGCCAATACTGCTTTCGTCAGCTGTGTTCCTTTCACAACAACCCGTGAAGGTACAAGTATACTGACTTTCTCTGTACCTGCAGTGAGCGGGCTCGTCACAGTCTTTGGCTGGAACATTCTGTCGAACACTATATTATAAGCTAGGGGGACCCATACATGCGCAGAGCAGCTTACGGAGCATGATGAATGTCTTTGCCGCAGATTGGCACAGCGGGTGCGGCATGACGAGTGATGGATTGGTAGGGAATGTCTCAAGCTGACGCAGACATCTGAGCATGGTCAGCTGCTTCGTCGCTATGAGGCAACACTCGAGACAGCTGAAGACTTACCTGAAAGCAACGGAAGGCTGAGGCGGACCATACCGGCACACAGCTTGATGCGCCTGTCTCCATTTCTCATCCAGCAACGCCTGACACCGGGGAGAATCGGGACATTCCGGTCTCTTACATAGTCAGCTAATATCGGGGACAGTGTTCCACGCTGATTGACTCACGCAAGCGTATTCCTTCCTTACGTCTATTGTGCCCAGCTTGAGCAATCGCTCCAGAAACCATGTTCTCCTGAGAAATCAGCTTACCACCCTTGACTTCGGTCTTGAACGATCGGTGAACAAACCGCTGAGACAGCTTAAGTTGTGTCACATCGCTCAGCTCGTCCATCTCTTCCGCATTCCAGGTGGCTGGTCGTCAGCTGGGCTTCTAATTGTGCGGCAGAGCTGTAGCTCACATTGATCCAGTACGAATCTGCTAGCTTCCCTGAACAGCTCTGCGTGCCCGTGCTGCTCCGCCAGCGACAACGCCATGACGGGCTTCCCGGATGCGTGGGTGAGGAGGAAGTGCTCGCATAGCTTTTGCAGGGCAGGTACGATGAGCTTGCAGGCTAGAGCCAGAAGCTGTACCGATTAGCTACGTCTTGCCCCTCGAGCGGTACAAGCTACGCAATTGAGACTTACATTTTCCACGTTCGTCCATGTCACCTTACACTCCAAATGTGGATACGCCCAGAACAGGAAGTCATGGAACGCAGAAGCCGACTCCTCGTGTAGCTGTACGACAGCGTCCATCCGGCTGTCCTGGTCTTTCGGCGTCCGACCAGCGGAGGCGCGTAGACGACCGATGGACGGATCCCGCTTACCGGACGCGATAGAGTACTGGGCGGAGGAGCGGCGCCTGATAGGCCGACGCGGACCCGGCGGCGGGCGAGGGGTTGTGGGTTGAGGAGAAGAGGTGGCGTCGAGTGGTGGAAGGGCGGACGAAGATCGTGGTGGTATGGAAGGAGGCGGAGGGAGGGCGGAGATTTCTCCGAGAAGGGGTATATCCGATTGAGGGAGGTTGAGCGACGTTGGGTCGAGGATGGACAGCGTATCCACCGAGTTGGCGATATCCGGCAGGTCCCGCAGATCTCGCATCACGTCCGCCATAGAAGGCCCACTCTCAATCGCGTCCAGGTAGACACTAGCTCCAGGTCCTAGGCTCCCGCACTCGCTGCTGGCCCTTTCCCCTTGCTCGGCGCTTTCCGTATGCACGTGCGCTACCCCATCATGCCCCTCGGATCCCCTAGCCTCCTCTGAGGCCTGCACTCCCTCCGGTAGGCTAGCCAGGAGCTGTGTCCTTCCGACATGATCTTGGTCCGTATCCGTCCCGGCTGAGATGGACTCGGCGATGATGGAGTTGCGAAGCGAAGGGAGTGGAGAAGCGGATGTTTCGTATAATCGTCTGTCGCTCGTCTCGGCCCAGCTACGCAGGTCAGCTTGCCTTTTCGTCCTTCACAGGGCAAAGACCACTCAGCTGACTCACCTTCCTTGCAGCACATCCTGGAAGAACGGACAAGCGAACCACAGCACCTCCTTATGACACCAAAACTCGTATCTCCCCACAATCACCTTTATCCTTCCCGGTAAAGCCGCATCTTTCCGAAATGTCGGGTGCACATCAAAGACCTCATCCTCAATCTCCACCTCTTCCTGATCCTCCTCTTCACTACTGTCGTGCGCTGGATGGCCGACCGGCGGGAACGAATTGGAAGGGAATCGAGCGCGGTCGATATCGCTACTCGAGCTCCCGCTTGGTCCGCTCCATCCGTTCGCAGGCGCCGGATGACGGGCAGTCCAAGTCGGTGCCAGCTGTGGATGGGCAGGAGAGCGGGGATTGCGCGAGAGGAGGAGGTGAGAGGGGTTCGAAGCTTGGGCGGACATAGCCTAGATGATGGTGGGAGCGAAGAGAAGCTTCAGATCTCGCAACCCTCAAGTCGTTGCTAAAAAGCGCACGGATCTGCCATGTTTCATGTTTGGGACCTTGTGGCGGTCACATGTGGCTACAGCGTCCGTATATTGGGGGTAGATCGCTCGGTGGTACGTAGCGTGGCTGAGAGGGCATTGCGGCGGACAGGCAGTCTAAGAAGGAGCCCCCCAAGTATGTATTCCGGTCGCTATCGACAAAAGAAAACCAAGTTTGACTTTGTCCTCTTCTAAAGGTACAGCAGGGCAGGTGTCTACCACGTAGAAGGCGCGTCAGACCGATAGTATGTGACACAGAACGCCCTACGGCAGAAGCACTGATTATTTCCGGTTCATCGCCGCAAGCACTACGGGCCCTAGTGCCGTGGACCCAATAATTACACCGACTATCGTTCCAAGGACCTGTCGATCATGGGCTTCGCCTGTTCGGTTAGCGCAACATCCGCGGATACTCGACTTCGGTACAAGGTAGCAGACTCACACAAAGCTCGATCCTCCGGCGATTCCTCCACTACCACGCGTACCCTCAATCCCTCACGCTGAGCCAGCGATTTCCACGCCTTATCCATGACTCTGACCCATTCTGCGCGGTCGGAGTTGTCGTACAGGCGCACATCAAAGCTTATGCGAGCAGGATCGAAAGCGGATAAAGAGGGGAAGGTCCTGCACGCAGAAGCCAGGTTGTCCTATTATTAGCACAGTGGAGCCGAAGAGACTGCTGACACTGGGCAAACCCACCTCTCTTGTTTGTGCTAAGATACCAATGGCTTTTTGCTGCGGACCAAAGTTAGGGAAGCCCGGAGTATAGGTGAAGGTGACGTTCGGCGAGTCCGAGACCGGAGGCAGGCGGGGGACCGGAGGTGGAGCGGTCAAATGTGCGACGAGGGCTCTGAGGGACTTTGAAGCCGATAGCGCATCATCTGATGCTTGATAATTCGTGGGATCCCTCGAGGCGGTCGGCTCGGAGGCCGAGGGCCTGGGTTGCCTTGAATCGCTCATGATCGAGGACCTGATGTTGGTACTGTGAACGGAGGAACAGAGTGCGGCCGACGGGGTGCAAAAGGGCCGTGGCGTACGCGGCGTGATGCCGCCCGCTCGTGATGCACGTGGAGCCCACCGCCGATCCGCCGTGAAGCCATTATCTTTACGGCATCGATAAGACTGATAAGCAAGCGTCATGCACGAACCTGGCGTATTTCAGCTAAGACTGGGGCGAAGGTGCAGAGACGGAGGTCGGCTCCATCATCCCGCCCCGAGACTCGAGCACGGCTTTGGATCTCCTATGTGTCGCCGCCAAAACAGAAGGACATGCGAAGTTTCAGCCGAGCTTCGATCGACGGATCCTTTGGGTTTGGACATAAAACACGTCGAGCTGCATAACGCTATAATATCGACTGTCCTCCTCCGGGGGACTAAGCCTCTCCTTTCGGATCATACGTGTAATCCTGATACCGCGGTACCCAGAGCTGCTCTTCTGCCCACTTCCGCCTGTCCTCCTTCGGCACATCGCATTTCGCCACTCCCTCCTCGATAGCCTGGTCGAGCACGGCGAGCGAGACTTCAAAGTTGACCGATGCAGCATCTGAGTCATGTTAGCGAGGGCAGCCGAACATCGGGCCGGATCGGTACTCACCTCCGAAATCAGGAAGAAGCGCCTGTGTATGATCCTTCATAGCCGGTGCCAGTTCCGCTAAGCGGTTCGCACCCGCCACGATCATCTTGTCCGTCATGAATTTTGCTTTCGAGAGGATCGTTCCGCGTCCGAGACCGGGGTATATCAAGGCCTAAGATACGTCAGCAGAGAGGGTGGCTTAGCCTGAATTTACTGACGTTGTTGCACTCAGCGACGATGTACTCCTTGTCGGAGCCCGGAATCTTGACGGGCGGGAAGGGCGATCCGGTCGAGATGAGCGCTTTGCCGTCCGACCACTTGAAGAGGTCTTTCGGTCTGCTGATCAGCTACTGCGCCTGCATAGACAAGATACAGCCGACTCACTCCGCCTCACACTTGCTGATCGGGTTACTGAGAGGGAAGATGATCGGCCGGTCGGTATTTTTCGACATGTCGCGAACCTACAGATCAGCATCATCACCTGGGCTACTCCAGCCTAGCAGCCGAGACTTACGATCTCCTCTGAAAACGCCCCGTGACTCGTACTTGTTCCGATCAACACCGTAGGCTTCACCCTCTTGATTACTGCCGCCAATCCCGCATCTGCCCCTTCCCAGTCCTTCTCCTTCCTCACAAAGTCGGTCTCGATCTCATCCCGAATCTTGTCGCCTAGCTCTTTCCGCAGTAGCCCATCCCTGTCTACCATCCAAAACCGCTTTGCCGCTTCTTCAGCAGACAAGCCATCGTCGATCTTGATGGCGTCTCGGAGCTGGCGAGCGATGCCCATCCCGGCGGATCCTGCGCCGAAGATGACAATGCGTTGGTCTTTGAGCTGAGGGTCAGCCTCTATAGAAGCGGGAGCTTGCCTTGCTCTCCGTAACTGCTAACGCGGCTTTGAGAGCTGCTAGCTGAGATCATGAGCTTGGGCCCATCGAGGGTTCGCAGTCGAGGCAGCGCTCACGGTCACTGCTCCTGTGCCTTGGACATCATCGTTGAACTGTGATCAGCTCGGCCGCCTTGCTACGCGGTGGGCAGGGGCTATGCTTACGACTGAGTGCTTGTCCCTGGTTTAGTCAGCTCGCGCGCAGACTCATGGCATCTGGGGGCATCGGAGCTCACCTGTACTTGTTCAGAAGTCTGTTGGCATTTGACACCCCCTAATCATCAGCGCATGCTCCCTCGGAATCGCCTAGCAGACTCACAAAGTCTTCGAAATGCAAAAGGCAGTTGGGCTGATGTTTCCGAACAAGGCCGACGAACTTATCCACGAAGCGATCGTACTTCTCCCCTCGGATACGCTTCTCCTGGTATCCCTGCGAGAGGTCAGCATATCGCCCCTCATCTATCATCGAGCAAAGACATACGAGATACAGCTCATCCTTGAGCAAATCGTCATTATTGGTTCCCACGTCGAGGGTTACCGCGAGCGCGCTAGCGGGACTCGGACTCAGCACAGGCCAATGAGAGGGACAAAAGGATATGCACTCACTCTATACCAGCTGCAAGGGTGTATATGACCGCTTTAGCGGCTGAGATACCAATACCGCCGGATCCCTACGCCATCAGCTCACTGCCCCGCGCGCTGGGCCTGCTCGAGCCCACCTGATCTCCAATGCCCAGAATAGCCTCAGCGTCCGAAACGACTATCTGTATTGTCAGCTCTACCACACAAGCGCGATATTCAGAGCTCACCAACTCCAGCTCTCTTCCCTCAACAGCATCCAAGAAGTCCTCCTCCATCTGATCCTCATACGGCGCCGATAGGAACAGCCCCTCGGACCTCCGGAAGAGGTGCGAATACTCCGAAATCGCCTCGGCTTCGGTAGGTGTGTAGATGATGGGGTACATCTCGGACGTGTGGCGGGAGAGGAGTGCGTAGAAGAGTGTCCAGTTTTGGGCTGAGGGATCAGTATGGTCCTGGATCATCGGGGGAGCAACCGCTTACATTTCAGACTCTGGAGGAACGAGTTCTTGAGGATATCGGTATCTCTGGACTTGTACTGATCGTACGCCCTCTCGCATTGCTGGTCGAGATTATCGATACTGCTCCGTGAGCTCGAGTCCTTGCATTGGGAAGCGCAGCTGAGCTTGCCCGTCGTCACAGCAGTTGTTGGTGTAACCTCACCCGATGGGTAGCCTTCCTCTGATACCAAACTGGCTCCTCTCTTCCGCCGTGAACGCCGTGCCCTTGTTCCATCGTGGGCTCTGCAGAATCTCTGCGCCGCGGAGACGGCACGATACAGCCTGCTTGGCCATCGTGGTGAGTATAGGCATTCAGAGGTTTTGGCAAGGTTGAATGAGGGATGAGGGAGGAGTTTGGAGATGCTGACCGAAATAGCGCATGCACCGCGCGACAAAGTCATGACATCATCAAGTGATGAATGAAACCTGTCGCCTGTGGCATGTGGTCCTTCTTTCGCCTAGCTAGCGACGCGCAAGATGCGTGGCAGATGGCGCCGATACTGCATTGCTGCCTACTTTGCTATCTTTCGAAGCGTCCGCCAGCACATCTCGATCCAGCATCATTCGTACAAATCCCCATAGTCATCATCGTCCTCCATCTCATCTTCCCCCATCTCGTGCTGCAGCCGGCTCTTCGGCCGCCCACCCTGCTCCTCTGCCTTCCTCTTGCCTCCCGGACTCCCTTTCGCCGACTTGGGCGAATTGCTCCCCTTCGCCGAAGCCGATGCCGATGCGGTCCGCATGCGTGTTGCAGTACTCCGCTTTGCCTTGGGGGCCGCAGCTTTCGCCTTCGCCTTGCTAGCTTCCGCCTGGACGCGCCTGTTCATCGCCGCCGCAGCTAGGACATTGGCCGCCTCGAGCAATGCGACGTCGTCCGCCGGATTCCTTTCCATATCTTCTTGGCATTTCGGGCAGAACCACTCGCCTTCCGGTAATTCCTGCGTTATCAGCTGTGCTCCGCGACGCTGCGAAACTGATAGCTCACGCTCAAGGGAGGATTCAGACAACCGAGGTGGTATGGCATATCGCATCGCTCGCACTCGAGCGGGTCGCCCGTCTTGATCTTGCACACGATGCAGATGTCGGGCGTTCTGACATGAACGGGCCACCGGGAGATTTCTGTCAATGCAGCGTTGGGATGAGCGAGGAAGAGCGTACAGAAGGCCCCAGCAGCGATACTGGCTAGTCAGCATGCAGCTTATTGAGCCAAAAGAATCTAGCGCACTCGATGACATCGATACCGATCAGGCCTTCCAGCTTTGTTGGTTTGGTCGAGGATTTGCCGACTTCTGCTCCGAGACCAAGCTCTCCGTATAGCTAGGTCATCAGTCTGAGCCATGCAGTGACGCAGTTTAAGAGACTCACACAGCCCTGCCCAAATCCGACCGTCATTGTTCCTCCGTCCGGATCTGGCGTGGTCAAGAAGTGGGTACATCCTCCGCTTGAGGCCTTGATGACTTTGCAGCCCATGACTGACCATCAGCTCGTCCCTCCCCAGAACATCTGAGGTCTACTCACTATCGTGTATTGGTTTGAATGAGGTGTAAGGTGCACCATGTGAGCCTAGAAGGTCAGCTCTGGCCAACCCCCTGGTATGATTACCGAACATACCGTCACCCGTATTCTTCCATTTTCCAGCCATATAGTACACCCCTTGTCTGTCGATGACAACCGAGTCTGTCTGATCAGCGGTGGTTTCCAACACTGTAACGATCTATAGCTTACTGGTTGGTCCGCAAACAACCGAAGCGCCCCGAGACAACTCGTTCTTGCCAGTGAAAGAGGGGACAACTGTCGGGACCATACTGCTCGTTCAGCTTGAACTCGCTGGAGAGGTTTGGGGATAACTCACCGGTCCTTCTGATCCTGCAGGCCCAGCCTGGAGTATCCCGCAAAGCCCCAAGCGTACACGTATCCCTCATCATCCAAAGCAAGCGAGTGCTGGTTTCCGGATGCGATCTGCACTATCTTCTTGCCGGATAGACCGCTTACGAGCCGAGCGGGCGACTCAACGTCAAAGCCTATCTTGCCACCTTTCAGCAGCCGCTCGCCTGCCAATCAGCGGGTACATTAGGCTAGGTAAGGGCTGACTCACCAGTCTTGCCGCTACCGACTTGTCCACACTCGCTAGATCCCGCAGCGTAGATCTGCCCCGTGCTGGTCAGGAACAGAGAGAACGAATGCCCCGCTGTCACTTGGACGATCTTGACATCGGGCTGCTTGGACCATGGACCGGTGATTCTGGTCCACTTTGGGACTTCAGGGGTGACTGGCTACTCTTGTCAGCTGACCTCGCACCATTGATAGCTCCCATTTGCTCACCAAGCCAAGCTGTCCAAAGACATTATTGCCACACCCCCACACACTGCCATCGCTCGCAAGCAGCATCATGTGGCTCCGCGCCGCCGCACCGCTTATCCACTTGACCTCCCTACCCATCCCGAGTGTCCTCGGCGATAGCTTGCGAGGAATCTGCTCCGAGATGTAGCCGTTGCCTGGAGCGAAGTGGGAGCTGGGTAGGCGGCCGAAGAGGATGGCAATGCCGTGGACTGGACCATCAGCCTTTGCGGTCAGGATTGGGATGGTGGTACTTGCTGTCGAGTGCAATAGCGTAATTTGCTGCTGGGCCGGTGATGATCTTGACGACTTTGATATGACATATTGATCGCAAGATATGCGGAAAGAGTAGGTCAGTGGAACTGATTGGATCAGCGAAGCCCTCTGGGTACGTTGCATGACTGACGTGTCGGCTGGCCGCTCCTTCTTGCCATTCGTGCCCCTAAAGATAGGTCAGCTCACAGCCGACAACTGGTCAGTAGGCTGACCAGGTGGTGCCTCCGCAAATCAGGACTGCAGATCTCAGTTTCACAAGCAATTATGCAGGACAAGGGGACTCACCTCGACCCCATTTCTGCTCTACTTCCTGAGCTCCTGTACCTGCCTCCACTTCTTCAGGTGAGATCTTCTGGAGCAGTTCTGCTGCAAGCTCTGTCTCGACTGCTACCGAAGCAGATGGTCCGGCGATCTGGCTCATGGCTGCTGCTGTAGTGAAGAGTGAGATGCGAGGTATGCGCGAACTTTTGGCGCGTCCGAGGCCGAAACGCATGAGGTTGAGTGAAACGCCACGTGTTATATGAAACTGCTTACGTTTCAGGCACCGGTTGCAGGCGCAAAGCCATACCCGGCCAAGAGGGAGCACAAGGTGCAGGTGCAGCGCTGCTCCTTCATTGTATCGTCTTTCACTCTTTCACTGTCGCACTCAGGCTTATCTTCCCAGCCAAGACAGCTCATCAGACCATTGTCGGATACTCAAATCCTTTTCCAGTATCAAAGGAACCCATCCCTTGTCCTAACTCGTCCATCATGGCTAAATCCCACTCCGTACGTCTTCCCTCCCATCACACATCATGCGGCCTGCTCCACTCAGGCGCATCGCCTACGCTCTGATGCAGAGCACTGACCTCCACGCCTTCTCACCCATTCATGCAGTCGCGCTGAGACCCAAGCAGAATTCCGAGGTCGCATTCGGAGCGGTCTCCGCTTCCAAATCCGGATTGACAACGCAAGAGGTCCGGGACAAGTCGCTGGCCGGTGTAAAGGACCGACAAGCCAACAGGGAGACGGGTGGGCGGATGAAGGGGAAGGTGGGGATCATCACGGGTGTCGGACCCGTTGCTGGTATCGGAGTAAGTCTTGGTGCCAATTCGGGACCTGAAAATCGCTCATCTAGCAGACGGCGGCTGCGAGGATCTACGCTCGGGAGGGCGCGTCGCACCTTTACCTGCTCGACTTCCAGGGAGAACAACTTCCGCAGCTTGCAGCTGAACTGCAGCAGCACTACCCCACGCTCAAGGTGTGTTTCCCGGTCCAGACTGCTAGGGATGTCTGCTGATTTGCAGGTTACCTGGACTCAGGGGGATGCGGCCTCCGACGAGCACATTCAGAAGATCATCAAGCAGGCGATGGAAGAGGAAGGTCGTCTTGACTTCTTCTTTGCCAACGCGGGAATCTCGATACCCAAGCCGAAGCTCAAGGAGGGGGACGACCCCGCTATTGCCGGTCTGAAGGGTATGGCAAAGGGGATGAGCGGTACCGATGCCGAGGAGTTCAATGAAGTCATGCGCGTCAACGCTCTCAGGCGAGTTATACCACTCGATGAAGATAGCGGCTCAATAGCTGATCATGTAGCGTCTTCCTCGCTGTGAAATACGCTTCCGCTGCCTTGGCTCGGGTCAACCCCGCCAAGGGGAAGACCATTCCGGGAGGCTCCCTTGTTCTCACTGCTTCTGGTACGTTCAATTTGTCTTGACCGTGCAGCTCAGCTTACCCCAAAGTCGCCGGCAAGCTCGCCAACGCCGGCCCTATCCCCTACTCCGCCTCCAAGGCAGCCGTCATCTCGATGGCCCAAACCGCCGCATACGAGCTCACCGGACAAAACATCCGCGTCAATGCCATCTGCCCAGGTCTCATCCAGACCGACATGACCAAGCTCGCCTTCGACTACGCCCGCGCCACTGGCAAAGAGCACCGCATGGGCACGCTCAACCCTTTGCTGCGACAGGGACTGCCGCATGAGGTGGCGGAGCTGGCGGTCTGGCTGAGCAGTGACGAGTCGAGCTATGTCAATGGGCAGGCGCTGTCGGTGGATGGAGGGCTGACGGGGAGTATGCCATACATCCGGGCGAAGATGTAGCGGGGTTGCCTTCATCTCGGTCTTGTCTCGGTGGCGAGTTGTAGGGACGAAGCGGGAAGGTTCTCTTGTACTAGTTGTCAATCTCGATGTCAATGATGTTCTGCCTGGACTTACGGTCTCATTTCACGACTCAGGACTCGTTCCAAACGGCACAGCCTCTCGACTGCCATCTGACTGGCGTGGGACACGACACAGAGTAGATCTTCGCCAACGTGCGATTACGATACATTCCCCATAGAAAACTATGTATCAGCCGTTTACGGAAAGCGCTTTGACGCTAACATCGAGCTTCGGCGGCCGGGCACACCAATCGCCTCATCTTCTCACCTTTCAGCTTGCCACAACAGAGCTTTCAGAACAGCCCAAGGCCCGTGGAGATCCCGGACTCCCCCGTCACCTCGTGCTCAACCGCGAAACTAGGCGGGCTGGCTAGATTCCAGCTCCGCCGCCGAGACATCTTCGACCGAAGGAGGTCTCGTCTCGTGACTCGTCTCACATCGTTCGATGTCAACTCTGGGTCTCTGCCCGTAGCTTCGCCATCTGCTCGAGTCCTGCCTACACTCCACCAGTGGACTGCGCTATGAGGACTGAGGGGACACCATTATCGACAGCTCTTCCATCGCCCGCCAATCCAGGCAGACCGTCCTCACCACCGTCCTTTCGGCATCGGCGGAGCGCGTCCAAGCTAGCGACAGCTAATAGTCCCGACTCCACCTGTGCCGCTCCCTCAACCTCATCTCAGCTCCCCTCATCTGCTATGGCGCATCCCACTCGCCCAGCCGCGGACGCGCAGGCGTGCATCGGCCGCGCAGCAACGGCAGCATCAGGTTCGACCTCCCAACCTAGCTCATACGGCTCCACTGCTCCCTCACTCCTCGCCGATTCAGGCGGCGCCTCTCCCGCAGCCCTCAGCTTCTCTTCGGACCCGATCACACCTCCCTCGGCCGGGCAAAGAAGAGGCACCATACCAGCCCATCTGCAGGGATGGAAGCGGGAAACGGTCTCGCGGCGATCATCAATGGAGAGCGATATCTCGCTCGCGGAGGAGGGCGAGGCTAGCCCGTTGTTAGCAGAAGGAGGAGGAGGGGAGGAGGAGGCGGAGAAGTGGTATCAAGGACCTTTGTTCACAGCGGGAGTCAAGTTGGGGTTGCTGTTTTTGGCGTTTGCGGCGGTGGTTGCAGGGACGTTTTACTACGGGATGCCAGCGGTCGATCCGTGAGTCGCCTTATTCGATCCCTATGGGGAGGTAAGCTGACTCCAAAGTGAAGATAGACCAGTACTCAAGCTGCCTCGATCATTCGCGGATCTTCAGGCATTAAAGTGAGTTGACAGTAGTGGGGAACGCTGGGCCCAGCTGACATTCTAGTTCTCTCTTCCAGAAGTATAAGCAGGAGTATCCATACCGCCTACTGGCGGGTGGTGCGGTATCTTACCTCTTGTACGTACTCAGTCCCATGTGGCATCAACTTTGGCTGACCATCAGCGTACAGACATTCTCCCTTCCAGGATCGATGTACATCTCTATCCTCTTTGGAGCGGCATACGGCCTCCTCTGGGGTCTGTTCCTGTCGTGCCTCGTAAGCTATAACAGCCTTATTGGAGCATTCCCTAGCTGACTCGCAAAGTGCGACTCCCTCGGTTCCGTCCTCTGCTATACCGTCTCCTCACTCCTGGCTCCTCCACTTCTCTCGATCCCCTTTTACCGCGCCAAGGTCGAAACATGGCGTATCAAGATTATGGGCGACCCCAACTCCAACAAAGCTGTATCATGGCACGACGTTTTCACATTCCTGCTCATCCTCCGAATTAGCCCATTCCCGCCACACTGGGTGTGCAACTGCGTCGCTCCTCATCTGGGCATCGGCGTGGGTCTATTCTGGGTGGCTGCTTTCTTTGGTGAGCTCATTCACCGTCAAATTCGAAAACGCAGACGAGCTGACACGGTAGGAATCATCCCCATCTCTGTCATCCACGTTACTATTGGTTCCTCCCTCGATAGCATGACCTCCGCCGCGGACTTTCACATCCTTTCCGCCCGGAACGTCTTCGGTCTCGTCGCCGTTGTCGTCGCCGTTCTCATCCCCGTCGGGCTCAAGCGGGTCTTCAAGCAAGATCTGGGCGATCTCGACAACGCTGAGGCGATACTCGCTGCTCAACAGATCGAGGACGTTCAGATCGTTGTTCCTGCTGTACATACGTACGGCGCGGTGGGGGCCGATGCTGACCAAACGATGGGCAGGCGGTACGTCGCCGTGGATTCGGGGATGGATCTGGCGGGCCCGAGTGAGGGGGATGAGGATCTGTATGCTGCGCCGGTCCGGGGGAAGGGGAAGGGGAAGGTGGTGGAGATATTCCCGAATATCACAGAGGAAGCTGAGGAGGACAGCGGAGCTGGGCGGACAGTAGCGGTTGAAAAGGTCAGGACGGAGGTGAAGGGGTATGGGGCTACGGACGTTTACACGCCAAGAGTGGCGCTGTGATCCAAGAGTCGGTATGTACATCTATCTAGCCATGTAGCTTATCTGTCTTGGTGTCCGGCGGTGAAGCTCGGTAGTGGAGAGGAGTACTGGTAAGTCTGATACGAGTGACAGGAGGTCCGAGCGGATCGCCGTGCCTGAAAATCCGTGTGGAAGGTTGATTGACCAATTCAACCTTGAGCTCACTTGTGATCACTCCACTCTTACTACCTTATTCGCACTGACAGACCATACTCAATATGCTGACATGGACATGCGACCGCGACGCCTGCAAGCGAGACTCCTTGCCCTACCGAGGAGAATGCCGAGATTGTCATAGACACCTGTGCGCTGAACACGTGATTGCCCCGCATCATGCCTGTCTTGATCTTGATGCGAGTGCCTTCGACCCATACGTACCTTGCAGACTGAGCTGACCGGACAGGATGATACAAAGAGCGCCTTGACCGCCGAGGCAGAGGCGAACGAGGTCTGCCTGGCAGCGTTAGGGAGCGGGACTTATGCTGACTGCTTCAGCTTGCGTCACTCGAGATCGAACTCAACGCTATGGACCTGGAAGCGCAGGCCGCCAAGCTCCATCCCGGAAAGACCAAACCTCTTGGACGCATCGATGCCCGCTCGCTCGCCATGGGCGGTATGAACGTCCATGTCCCGATCGACTTTGAGGACGGCACGAAATGGCTCGCCAGAATACGGCAAAAACGGTTCGACTCGCCTCCTCCTGCCATCTCTCGGACCATCATGGAGAGAGAGATATGCACCATGCAGGCGCTCAAGCGAGCGGGGGTAGCGGTTCCGGCCGTACGCGTGCCTCAGGACAGTAAGTCCTAGTCGAGCGTCCTCAAGTCGGCGAGGACTTTGCTGATCTTCAGCTGGAAGCCCGGCCAATTTCTTCTTCCTCGACTTCACTCAGGGACGCATGTGCGGCGCACCATTCACCTCGGACTACCTCACACCAGAGCAGATGCGCGCCCGTATCACGTCTTACGCCAAGACCTCTGCTCAGATCGCCAATGTCTCTTTCACCGGTATAGGCAGTCTTCAGCCTTCCAAGGACGGCGAACCAACAGTTGGACCCCTCATCAGCCTTGACTTCTGCAGTAGCGCATATCCTCACTTCCTCGGACCCTTCCGTACCAACAGGGAACGTTATACAGCGCTCATCGACGCCACTCTCGATCAGCTGCGGGACGGTGAGGGGATTAGGAAAGGATCAGAGGGGATGTACTATACCCATCTCTGGCTCAGGGACCTGGTGCAGGGGATAGAGGAGCTTGACAGAGAGGAGCCGACGTACATCAAGCATGCGGACGATAAGGGGGATCAGGTGCTAGTCAATGATGAGCAGGAGGTTATGGGCATCATTGACTGGGAATGGTGAGTGCTGCTGTCTGGCCATTCTGGGAGAGACCGTTAGCTGACTGAAAGGGCATACACCGCACCCAAAGCCGAAGCTTTCGCCGCTCCTCTCGCCCTCGTCAATATCGACGCCTTCTTCAGCGGATCTAACGACCCCTCAGACGAAGAGACACAGCTCGCACATGCGTACGATGCCCTAGGCAGGGTCGACCTCGGGGACTGCGTGAGAGGCGGCAAGCTGTACCAGCGGCTTGATCAGTGTCTGGGGCGCCAGCCGGATCTGGTCATGTTGCAGGCGCTGGGCGAGCTGCTTAGCGGGAAGAAGGGGCATGAGGGGGATCTAAAAGAGTGGGTGGGCAGGCTGAAGGCGAGGTACGGGACGGGTTGGGCTGGCTGAGGGGAGCCCGTCTCGATCATAGATACTACCAGTCGTCGGCAAATCTATCACCGAGCGTGTCATCCCGATGACCCAGTAAACCAAGTGGCGGACCATATTTGTGAGGCTCACCAGTTCTCAATTACTGTACCACACCTTGCCAATGCCGTAAATTGCAGGTGCAAGCTTGATTCGAGGTCCGCATTCCTCGCTCTCCAACAATAGCACGACCACCTTCTATCCTTCAGACTCCATCACTACCGCTTCATCATAGAGAGCGCACCCAGCGAGATCTTCTTGAGCGTGCTGGCTAGACGACGGTCTCGCTTGAGATTGCCATCGGGGCGGCAGACACCTCCCAGTCCACTCAATATTCGCGCTTCAAGGCATTCTGCTCGGACGTCTTGCACGAAGCGATATAGGGATTTTGCCGGGCACGCCGTATCGCATATCAGCTGGTGACGCGCTCTGTGTGAGCACGCGAGTGTCTATTGCGTCAAAGGCGGATCGCCCACCACTGGCATAGCTGGGAAGGACGGGATCCAACGTGCGAGAGCAACATCCGCCATTATCTCTTACCGACTGAGACACTCTTGGCCGATCTCTCATCCACGATCCACTATCCGGAAGGTCAATATTCACCTAGATCTCGGTTCTTATCAGCGCCGAGCGGATCGACGGGAATTTCTGGCCTATCCTGGCTTGATCAGACCATCCCCACATTATCCACCTTATCGCTCCTTCCCCCTCTGCATTCCGCGCGACTTTGCCAAAAACAACGACAATGTCATCCCCGACCACCTCCACCCATATCAGGCCGATCCGATCCCCCACCCCGCCATCTGGCTCCTCCACCCGACCCATGATCCCGCGCTCCCAACCCCCTCGCGCGCACTCTGGTCCCGCCTCAACGTCGACGTCCACCTCCACCTCGGCCGCTTCGGCGCCACACCGACCTCCCCGTCGGCCATCTATCGCTCAGGCGCACTCCCAACCCATGTCCACCGCTACTTCCGCCTCCAATTCCACAGACACCTCCATCTCCACTTCACATACCGACCCCTTCCCCTCCTCTTCCCGACCACCCGGGAGCGCCGCCACACCGGCAACGACCGTGTCTTCCCAGCCCCTGTCGAAGAAGACGCGGTCCGGGTCCGCTTCCTCCTCCTCTGCGTCGATCTCGGCGCTGAATCCGCTGTCTGCGCCAGCACCGCCCATCCTCGCTCCAGCGCTGGCCTCGCTGCAGAGCTCCGCACATGGTCTGAATGGGATGCACAGCAGTACGCTGCTATCGCAAGCGGCGAATGGGCCAACAGGGACACCGCAGACGGGTCTGGGAAAGATGGCGGCCGCGGCAAAGGCAAGATCGGAAGGTGTGGGGATGCGGAGAGGGAGCGAGGCGGCGGCACAGCAGGTGGAGGAGGAGGGGCATCCGCTGAGCGAGAAGTCATTACGAGCGAGGTACGTACCTCTGGCTGAAAATAGCGATGAGATACATCAGACAGCAGCTGATACTTAGCAGAGACTATCAGACCGTACACACCCTAAACCGTCTATTCCACCTCCCCACCCGCTGGCGCCTCGTCCGACCGCTCGGCCAGGGCGCATACGGTCTCGTCATCCAGGTTCAGGACAGCTATACCGGAGAATTCGTCGCTGTCAAGTGTATCACCCGGGTCTTTGATAAGGCCATCTTGGCACGAAGGGCGTTGAGGGAGATTACGCTGTTGAGGCATTTTGGGGAGCATGAGAATTTGACGGGGTGAGTCTCACTAGCGGCTCCTGGGTAGGATCGTCAGCAGTAGCTGATGTTCAGACTGATCGATCTGGATAATGTCTGGGACGGGTACAACGAAATGTGAGCTTCATTTTCTACTCCAGCAGCTACATGCGGAGATGTCATAAGCTGACTATCACCAGATATCTCTACATGGAACCCATGGAGGCAGATCTCCATCAGATCGTCCGCTCAGGCCAGCCTCTATCGAATACGCATATTCAATACTTCATTTACCAGCTCTTGAGAGGTATGAAGGTACTTTATGTCCAGCTGTGCAAGTCTCGGCTTCGGGAGAGGTTAGCTGACCACACAGTACATCCACTCGGCAAATGTCATTCATCGGGATCTAAAGCCCGGGAATCTGCTCGTCAACGCGGATTGCGAGCTCAAGATTTGCGACTTTGGGCTGGCGAGGGGGTATCGCCCATCTCAGAATGGGATGGAAGATGGCGGACTGAGATTGACTGAATGTGCGTCTTCGACTCAGCTGAATGAATCCAGAGCTGATCCTTAGATGTCGCGACGAGATGGTACCGTGCTCCCGAAGTCATGCTGTCAAATTCGTCATATACAACAGCTAGTAAGCTGCGTGGTCTCAGAAAGTCTGAGAAAGTTAGCTAACGTGATGCAGTGGACGTCTGGTCAATAGGATGTATCCTTGCGGAAGTCTTAGGCGGGAAACCCCTCTTCAAGGGCTCCGAGTAAGTTACTATAGGCCTGATTATGGTTCTTCAGGTAGACTGAGCTGATCGATACAGCTATGTGCACCAGATCAATCTCATCCTTGGCGCCCTGGGATCCCCGGACGAAGATACGCTCGTTCGAGTAGGAAGTGAGAAGGTGAGCTCTATGTGATCGTTTCGGTACGGACAAGGAGCGTGGCTGATTTGCTAGGCCTGTGCATATATGCGGACATTACCGCGATATGATCCGGTTGCATTCAAGACGATCTTGCCTGAAGCAGATCCAGATGGTCAGTCTTCCACAGTAGATGGTCCAAGAGATCCGCTTACCCTTCAGCGATTAGCCTTCTCGACCTCCTGCTCCGCTTCGACCCCGACGCTCGGGTCAACGTCGTCCAAGCTCTCGAACACCCCTACGTCGCTACCTACCACGACGAGTCCGACGAGCCGGCCTGCCACGCCGTCTTTGACAAGTGGGAGCAGGTCGAGTCGCTCGAAACTGTCGAACAGCTCAAAGAGGCCATCACGAGAGAGATCGAGGAGTTCCGGGCGGAAGTGCGGTCCGAGACGATCGAGGAGGAGGAAGAGGAGCTCGAGGAGGCTGAATGGGTGTATGACTACAACACCGCCCCTGGCGAGGGCGGTGTCGCGTCGACTACTTCCCCAGCCAAGATGGGGGACCTGGCGCCTGGCCGCCGGCACGACTATGCGGGGTCAGAGTACGGCGTCTCGCCCCGGACATCGTCGATGCCTCTTCCGGCAGGCCAGCGATCTCCCGGAACGCCCCTCTCGGTCTTCTCGGACGACTCGTCCAACCCCAACACCCGCCCTTCCACCGCCGGGATCGGGACAGCCGGCATAGGCGGACCTGGGATCGCCTCGGGCCGATCATCCCGCCGGACCTCAACGCACAGTATGCACGGCCACCGCCGCCCCAACTCGTTCCTCTTCTCGTCGGGATTCGGGGCGGGCATGACGCCCATGTCGAGCATGTCGGGCATTCAGCCCATGACTGTCTCGGCGTCTTCTTCGGGCGGTATTGCAGGTCCGCCGGGTACGGTGGGAGCGGCGGGAGGACTGGGACATGGCCGGACGGGGTCGTTATCGTATGCGCCACTCGGAGAACAGCCGCAGCGGCCCGGAAGGCGAAGTAGGGCGCCGAGCTCTACTATGCCGGCGGACTTTGCGTCGCTCCGCCCGCTTATAAGACAGCTGAGTACGCTGGGGATGGATGGGACGGGCGTTGGTGGGGAGAGGGACGAGTTGGGCAGGAGAGTGGGCGAGGTGCCGCCCATGAGTGTCGGTTCGAGCGATGCGCCGCCGAGCGAGGTATGTTCTTATCATTGCGCGATCGAAGTTGAGGTGATGAGCTGATCAAGCAGGCTCCGAAATCTTTTGCTCCGCCCGAGGCTAAATAAGGGATGCAGGATCTAGCTTGACACACAGGCGTGCAATATGGAAGCAATACCTAGGACTTGTGGCCCCCATGCTATGCGCTTACCCCTCCAGCGCTGCAGCGGCGACCAAGGAAGACCAAAGAACGAAGCATATTTCTAACATGACCAGATCCCACGCGTATTCTGCTTTTGGCTACCTCACTAACTCTGATTCTGGAAGTCTGGAAAACAAGAGAGAAAAGAATAAGGTAGGGTAATGTAGCGCCCCAAGAAAGGAAACGAAAGTAGGATAGAATAAACAGGTCAAAAACCACTAGACACGAAACGATCCCTCCATCCCCCCAGCACATGCTGGTCGACCCCTTCGACGACTGCGCCGATTTGTGTCCTCACCCCCCCCCTTTTTCTAGCCCTCCGCTCCTCCTTCTGATATCCCCGCTCTTTTCGCCTACCCCACTCGCGACCACGCGACGATCAAGCGTCAACGTCCATACCGTTCGCCTTGGTATCTCCGTTCTTCGCGCCTAGGTCCTTGTCAATGACCAACTGCCACTAAATGATATCAGCCTCCGACTCGAGCGAGTCGATGATACAGTGGGACATCTCTGCAGAGGAAATCAATACTCACGTCCTTCATCAACTTCTCGGCGCGGGTGGTGATCTTCAGCTCGTCGTCCTTGGGTATGGTCGATATGGCCGCAATCTTCTTCATGACTAACCTCGTCAGCTACTGGTCCGAGCGATAATCACGGGTCGAAAAGCTTACCCTTGCCGATCTTGGAGTATGTCAGTGCATCTGTTGTCATGCCCTTGTACGCCTCGATATCCTTGAAAAGCTGGTCGTAGCCTGGCATTTCCTATACTCGATCAGCCTGGATTCCTAAACCCCGAGCCAAATCGCAAAGACCCAACTCACATCTGCCTCTGGGAGCGCCTTGCCGAGGAACGCCCGCTGCAGCTTGTGGCGCCAGTCCTTGACCTTTCTGCATTCCGGGTCATTTGACAGTGGGTCTGGGCAGTCAGTATGGCCTTTGGCGCTTTTTTTTTCGACCTGAAGAGGGACAAATCTTACCATCGTCGTCGGCTGCCTGGTTCTCCACAGCAGGCTTTGATTCAGGTGCGGCCTTTGACTTGGCGGCCTTGGGCTTGGCGGCCTTCTTTGACTTGTCGGCGGTCTCGTCCTGGATATCAGCGTCGACCCAACAGGTGAAAGTCGATGATCTCTCTATGCCTTGATCCCCATTCCATCCCGTCATCCCTGATGTCCTCCTTGACTCATCCCGAATAGCTTGAGCCCCCTCACATCTGCACTCACATTCTTCTTCTCAGTCTTTGCCTTCTTCTTACTCCCCTCCTTCCCTCCAGTCGCCGCCGCCTTCTTCCTCTTCCCACCCGTCACAGCTGCCTCCTCACCCTCGTCCTCATCCGCCAGCTCATCCACCTCCTCCTCGCCCTCCTGCTCCCGCTGCACAATCTGCGCCTGTCCCTCGTCCCACTCGGTCGGGTCCTGGGCGGTCTGGTACGCCTCGCGCAGGCCGCCAGTGGCTTTGCGGTGGCCCGATTCGAGGTAGGACGAGATGTCGGAGGGGGTGAGGGAGGTGAGGTCGCGTTGGTTTAGCCAGGAGCTGGGGATCAGCTATGCTCGCAAGGTTGAGAATGGGTGGGAAGGGATGAAGAGGTCTGTAGCGCTGGTGTGGGTGGGATATGAAAACGGGGACACTCACTAGTCTCCAACGGGGAAGTACTGGACGCAGAAGATCATGGGGTTCTTGTTTGGGCGCTGGGCGGCCACTTTCCGGGGAAGGGTGTCAGGGTCGGCAATCTTAAAATATCAGCTGAGTCCGCCCGAACGCTCCGATACCGTACGAATCAGCTTACTCGTGCGGCTGTATATGAGAAACAATAGAAAAGCCTAGGTTAGCTTGGGTCCACTGACGAATATGCCCCTACTCCTGATCCCTCCCGCGCATACTCTCGCCCCGCCTCGCCCTAACGAGCCTGGCACCGCTCGATATGCCACCCATATTCTCTCACCCTTCAGAGACTGAAAAGCCACTCACGCCACGCAGGGTATCCCTTCAGCCTCGCCAACACGATATCCCCAATCTTAAAGTTCTTCTCCGCCGCCGGCGCCGCCTTTTTGCTCCCTCCCGCCGCCGCTCCGCTCACTCGCGGCTTGGCCGTCTTTGGCGCAGCCTTCTTGGGCGCCGGCTTTGCGGCCGGTGATCCAAGCTTGGTACGCGAGCTCGTCCGGGTCTGACCCTTCGATTCGGGCGCTGATGCAGCTGCGGCGGGTGCGGGTGCCGAGGCGGCGGGTGCCGCGTCGGTAGACTCGGCAGCGTGGTCTCCGTCTCCGTTCCCGTTCCCATTCGTCTTAGGATCCTCAGCAGCGTGGTCCCCGTTCGTCTTGGGCTCCTCGGCGGGTGCGGCCTCTGACGCGGCGGGCGCTTCCTTCTCTGCTGCCTTCTCCTGAGCCGCAGCAGGGGCGGGGGACGCCTCCTTGGCGGGCGCAGGCGAGCCAGCAGACTGCTCTTCGACAGGCACGGCAGAAGTCTCCTTATCAGACATAGTCTGCACAGTCAGCATAACGCCCTGATCCGTACATTCCGGGTGAGGAATCTTACCGGCAGGATTTGTTGATGGTCCTGATGAGGTACGGTATGCAGGTGACGGCCCGGGAGTGAACCTTTGGGGTGATGTCAGCAGGTGGATTAGTGTGGGATTAGTATAAGACGCGTAGGGGGACGTACCTGTGATATGAGCTGATATGAGGTAGAGGTACAAAGTGTAAATAGAGAGAGAGAGGGAGTCGCGCGGGGAACAGGCGGCAGGGAAATACCGCGTTCGGGTAGCGGTGGCGCACGGGTTACGACACTGCCACTTTCGGCTTTCCGGAGAAATCACGGTACAACGAATTAGGCGCGTCTCGGAGTGGCGACGAGTCATGTGCCTATTGTACGCTTCGATCCCGCTAGATAGGCTTGAGTCACCCCGGTCCAGCAGCCAGCAGCTCCCTTCCCTCACGCATCGTCTATCGACCAAAGCTCTTATAATTATCTCCTATACCACACCCTACAACAAGTATGCGATCGACAGCCTACTCAGTCCTCGCGGCTGCTCTGCTCGCAACAGCGACATCAGCATTCAAGGACTCGTCTCCGCTCCTCATCTGGTCATCGAATGAGTGAGTCCAGATGAGCTCCATTCTTACCTTGCCGCTGAACGCTGCACACGCGCAGGCCCTGGACATCGTGTTGAAGAGCTCGAGCTGACAGGATGTAGCAAAGAGTCACTACGGGAAGCCCAGGAGGCTTTGACGTCGGGCGTGATTGCGGCAGACGAGATATATCGGACATTACCCACATTGGGATGTGAATGGGACCGGGTCGTGGTGGTGCACATGGACGAGGTAGGTCAAGAGCTCGTCGAGACCCTTTCACTGATCAATCGACTGTATACAATGACTCTAATGCTGATGTGCCAGTTACATCACTCTCACATCCCATCACTGAAGATCGCGTCCGCTGCCGATCTGCACGTTCCATACCTGATCAACCCGGATCGACCATCGCTGGACGGAGCGCTGGGGGAATGGGCTCAAATATGCGGGGCTGAGATCGTGTCGTCCGACTCAGGTGTGGAGGGCGGGAAGCAGATCATTCGGGTCGAGGGCGGCAAGTCTTCCTTGAACGGAGAAGGTACGTCTGTCAGCTCAACGCCGACCGATTACCATAGCTGATATATTAGCCCTCGCAACGTTCCCATCCGCAGACCTCACAATCCTCACCGGAACCCGCCCTGTTAAGCGTCAGCAGCCCGACGAGCTCGAACGCCCCTTACTCTCCGTCACTTCCTCCTCCTCCTCGGCACACCGCCGCCCCACCCACACCGCCTCGTCCTCCTCCACCGCCTCCCACCCTTCTTCCACGCACGGCAACTCCACCACCGTCTCCAAGGACGCGCCACTCTTGGACCGCGTCCAGCTCCTGACTACGCCAATCATCACAGCGCTGCTGATCTCGCTGTTGATCTTTGTGCCGGTGGTGATGTTTGGCGTGTCGGCGCTGGCGGGCATACAGGTCCCGCCGAGAATGCTGGAGATCGGGAAGGGGATGACAGTCGGGAAGGACAAGAAGGACCAGTAGGAGGGCTTCGCTTTAGAGTAGGCCTGTATGCAGATATCGGCATTGTCTTCAGCCCCAGTACGGCTATCCGCTGCACTGAAAAGCTCAGGGACAAATAGCTCTGTACGGTCGAAGATAAGATTATGTAGTGAGGACCTATTATACATACACGCGGGGTAACCATAGTCAAACCAGCTTAGGACCGCGCAGGAGCTATCCCGCTTTTCCCGCATCCCCGTAACCCCTGCGGTGTTCCATATCATCCCGCCTGTTCGCGCCCACTACTTCCGCATCAACAGATACACATTCTCTCCCACGACCACATTCGCCAGATGCCGGAAAGACCCCTTCAATGCCATCAGGAGACCGCCGAACGAGAAGTACGCCGTTCTACCCAGAGTCAGTAAAGTAATGCCCTTATCCTTCCCACCGGGGGAACTCACGTTTCTGCGTTCTCCCCGCCCTTGCCTGAGTCATCGAATTTGTAGATCTACACCGTCAGCTTCTGTCTTATCGAGGGAATTAGGCGCTTCCACAGGCCCAGGAGCTCACCTTTCCAAACATCACATACTCATAATCCGCCGCCAACCCCTGATCCTCACTCCTCCATAACTCCTTCTTGACCCGCTTTGCCCCACCCGCTGCCGCTTCTTCTTCCTCGTCGTCTGCGCCCGCTTCTTCCGGTACGAGATTCCGTGCGATGGCGAGGGAGAAGATGTCGCCTTCGACGAGTGGGTAGAGCTCATTCGCAATGTCGAGGGTTAGGGACATGGAGAGGTTGTTGGATTGGGCTATTATTCTTGAAACTGATCACATCAGTACGAGCATGAGCATAAGCAGAGGCCTGTCAGAGTATGAGCGCACCCCGGTCAAATTTCTTGCCATCCTTGTCGACATCCTACTTCATCAGCCCTAATTCGGAGAGGGACAGCTACAAGACGGGAAGGCTGAAGCTCACGCTGACGGTGAACCGGTCGTCAAATATGATGTTTGTCTCCGCCATTCTGATGCTCTGCTCTGGCTTCGCGGGTAGGGGTCAGTGATATAGGTGTGAGAGAGATGTAAGCTAGAGGTGGACCTTTCTGAAATCTTGCGAGCAGCTTGTCCAGCCTGGGTGGTGTTTCAGAATTCAGGCACACTTTGCTATCTGATCCTCCCTGATTAGATTTCCTCTTTCACCTTGACCTCCAAATCGCTCCGAGAGCTTTTTGCCGCCTACAACTAAACCTGTCACAAGCTATATCCCGTCAAGCCACTAAGCACACCGACACCAGCCTACTCTACCAGGCTCGAGAGAATCACATCAATAGTCAGATCCCGATTTGAAGCTTGACTTCGACTCCAGTCATCGATTATCTGTCAGACAGCTCGCCCGACGCCTCCACCTACCCTCCCTCCATCATGTCACACGGTGATCACTCACGAGACCCATGGTGCGTGTACTGTCTTTGGGATTCCTCATAGATCACCCGGACTGTAGCCGTTGGTGCGCTTCTTGCTATACGTCCGATGCTGATTGGGTAGTCCCTATGTCATTCTTAACGATTTCGGCGGGGCCTTCTCCATGGGCGCAATAGGAGGGGGGATATGGCACGGTATCAAGGGTGCGAGAAATAGTCCCAGAGTAGGTCTACTCTCTATCTTCCGGCGATGGACATGGAGCAGCGATCTGCCGGTCAGGTCATTCGCGCCGGCTGTGCTTGGAGCGCAGCCAGCCACCGTTGCTCGGCAAGGTGGAGAGACCAAGCTGATCATCTTAGGGAGAACGTCTGATCGGTTCGGTGTCTGCTATAAAAGCACGAGCACCAGTCCTCGGCGGGAACTTTGGGATCTGGGGAGGACTGTTCTCATCCTTCGATTGCGCGGTGAAGGGGTACAGGCAGAAGGAGGATCCGTGGAATGCGATCATTTCGGGGTTCTTGACGGGTGGAAGTTTGGCGCTGCGAGGTGAGTCTTTCAGCTATTTTGATGATGTGAAAGTAGACGAGGGCATCATGGGCACGAGAATGGGCGGGGAGGGAGTAGGGCTGGAAAGCTGTCCTTGGCGTTCAATATTTGGGCCTCGGCGGACCTTATGCTGACTTGTGCAGCTGGACCCAGATCAGCATTGGGATCAGCTATCGGTTGTGGTATTCTCTTGGGTGTATTCGAGGGTGAGTACCTCTCCACCCAGCGGGATCTGCCAGTCCCTCGCCTGTTTTGGACCGGGCCCGTGCTGATCTGCAGGTGTCGGTGTAGTCATGAGTCGAGCATTCGCACAGCCTATTCCTCCTATCCCACGTGAGTCTATCTGCTGGCCGACACTCGATCGAGATTCGCGAGACATCCAGCTGATACAGCATAGTACCGGAAGCACAAGCGAGTCCTGCGATTGCTTAGTGCCCTTGTTTTCCCGCCGATCTGCCACCCCTCATATGCATTCTGGTATTTATAGCAAGAAAAGGGTATCATTGGGGCTTACTGCATGATCGAGCTGTCCAGCACTTCGCTCCATGCCCTGGCTGTTCACTTGGACCCGCTATCACTAGAGCAATTGGCTGCATCTTGCTGCGTCATCGGATCGACCGGGGCCCCATTTGCATCCTCGACTACTGCCGAATTTGCCCTCTCTTGTGCACTCTAAGCTTTCATCTTAATGACCGGTATTGCCCTCGTTGTCACCTCACGCACTCTATCGATTTGATCTTCGCTATCATGTCCAAGATCGCCAGAAGGGCTCTCGTAGGAGCATCGCGCTTCACGCCCGCCCCGATCTCGGGGCAGCTTGCTCAGCAGACCCGATCTCTCGCTACATCTTCCAGAATCACACCGGCGCCTACGTCTCGGATACGATCACCTCGAGTATCAGTGGGACGGAGAGTAGGATCTCAGCTCAGCCGCCGAGCGCAGTCCACCTCGGCCTCAGCCTCGCAGCTCACCCGCCCCTGCCCATCCTGCTCCGCCCCCCTCGCACCTTCCACTTCACCCTGCACCTCCTGCTCGACCCTCATCCCTCTTCCTTCAGGCCTATCCCTGCACTCCCTCCTCGCTCTCTCATCGCCTATCCCCTCCCCCACGCCCTCGAGAACACCATACGACATTCCGAGCGAGCTCTCCACACTACCAGCGAGAGGCTTCGACCTCCAGCCCCGCGAGCTCCGGAATAGGATGCTGGTGCGCCAGCGGGATCTCCATCCGGACAAGTTCGGTTCGAGTGGAGAACGGTTAGTAAGCCTAGCGAAGGAGCTGAGTGGGCGGGTGAATATGGCGTATGAGATACTGGCGGACCCGCTCAAGCGTGCAGAGTACATTGTGCGTATATCCTTCTGCGAGGACAGGAGACGGGAGAAGGCTGAATGAATTAGTTGTCGGTACATGACCTACCAATGGAAGAGACCGATAGTCTCACGGACCCCATGCTCCTAGCGGAGATCATGGAGGCGAGGGAAGAGCTGGAGGAGGCGCAGAGCGAGGCGGACGTGGACGGGCTGAGAGAAGCCAATGCTGGTAAGCTACCTTCTCGGCTCTCTGGAGATAGTGTGGAAGCTGACACTGAGCAGAGAAGGTACAAGCGACAATAGCGGAGCTGCTCGTGGCATTCTCGGCCGACCCGCCTGATTTGAAGGAAGCGAAGGATCTCGCGGTGCAGCTGCGGTACTGGATGGGGTTGGAGGCGGCGGCGAAGGAGTGGACGCCGGAGAAGGGGGCAGGGGGGAGCGCTGGGTCGAGTTTCACTCATTCATAGTCACTGCTGATGGGATCTTGCTACATCTTGGGTCTGCTACTTAAGTATAGACTAGAAGCTCATGATACTGATAGATCGTCTTTATTACCAATCCACTTACTATAGCCAGACGAAGGTCGAGCTCAGTGCATACCCACTTCATCAGTCATGCTGATGTCCTGCGACAGCAATGCCACGTCATGGATCGCATGCCGCCACGGATGATCAAAAGGGATGACCACCACCCAGACGTGGCAGCTCCTTGCGAGCAAAGGATGCCGACAATCGGTGTGGCTTGGAGAGCACAGAAGCTGAGCCCCAGCTGCGAGGGACTAGACTCAACGCGTTCCCCTCTTCCCTCTCTGTTTAGCCACCTGACCTCGCTATAGTCGCACTTCAGAAACCCTACTTGTGTCATACTCAGATATTGTGAGAACCTGACATATCTCCAACTCGGCAATATGGACAAGACATCTCTTACGCTTCGACCCAAAGGCAAAGTCAGCTCGCCGAGTACGTGCCACCACAGGGACTGATACCAGTTGGAGGTAGCTGATTCACCCTGGCGATACTGTCGATAACCACGATTCTCGCCCAGGCTCATCGAATCGCGACTGCTGGCGCGATGTTCCCACGGAGGTCATTGACATGATCACGCCTTTCTTGAGCTGCTCTGATCTGAGTTCTTTCGGACACACCTCAAAAAAAATGGCGAACAGCGCGGTGAAGAACGCACGATGGAGCGCTACAATCCGTTGCCAAGCCGGAGACGGAACGCAGGACCCTACGATCCGTTGCGATGCCCGCAGTATCGACCTGCGGGAGTCATTGAGCAGGAAGTTCCTACACCTTCCATGCGCCTCCACGTGGCCCGAAATCCTCAACATGCTCGTTTGGCAGGCTCACCGGTCTACCAACCGCACAGAGATCGCGGATGGCCTATCCTCCACGAACTACAGTGGGCTGAAGAAGACCCTTGCGGACCACTCGTTTCGGCTTGTACTGGTGAATTTCGATGACAGCCATGGAACCTGCGCAATGAATCTCCCGCCTCAGATCTCCCTCCTGGCGGCGACACCGGGTACGACCCTTGTGATATCCTCTCGTTTAGGCCTGCGTCTGAACTGTGATCAGAACATTGACATGGAGGCCGATACTCGAGTCTTCGAGACTGTACACAGCTACCATTGCTCGAATCACGATCTCTCCGTCCTCAGCGCCTTTGCGCACATCAAAGGTCCAAAGAGACTGGGTCTGCTTGTTCGCAGCAAGTACGCGCTGCTGGACGTCAAAAGGAATCTGTGCTCTCTCGCTACTACGATTCTCAACGACAAGACCGGTCAGTCCATCACGGTCGTACTGGACAAGAGCGTGTGGATGAACCCCGAGCGCGCTGCGGACTTGATGGAGGAACTGCAGGAGGAGGTGAATGAGCACCTAATAGGCTTATCGGGTGGCCCCGGCGCTGAACCTGACGAGACCTGTTCGGTCGATTACCTGCTGTCGGACCCGGAGGATCCGTCTGTTTACGGCGATATGATCCGAGAAGACATTCACATCCAGGAGGAGATGCGTTCATAGGCCTCGGCTCGGTAGGCGCTTTCCTGGAAGAGGTCAGTTATATGAGGTGGCGACTGCAGGTCTTCAGGTACGCGTGATCTTAGGCACTTTCATCTTGTACTACTCCTCCGAATGCAACATATAGGAAGGCTCCGCTGAAGATCCGATCAATCGCTGATCAGTGGCCGCCCGCGTTCGGGTACAAGTAAAGGTGAATAGTATACGAAAGAATTGTTACTGATTCGCTGCGCTACTTGCGATCACTAGACATAACGAGCTTCGCAGCAATTGTCAGCGTCAGCTCTGTCGTTCGGACCGCAGTACACCTGTACATCGTCTTGTCCCAAAAAAATCGTTTCTTAGCTCCATTTCGCCAATCAGGCAGGCGCCCCGAGTACTCCCTTCCCCTTATAGTACTTGCTCGCCACAAACGGCATCGCCCTTACGACCGCATCCCTCTTCCTCTTCCTCACCTCAATCTGCACCTTGGTCCCCTTCTTGTGGTGTCCCGATCGGATATAGCCCATGGCGATGTTGGTTCCTAGCGTAGGTGAGGGAATACCAGATGTGATGACGCCTACGGGATCAGTCATCGTCCTCTCTACTCATGGGCTTATATATAGAGAGGGAAGGGACAGACCGATCTCCTCCGCTCCTGACTCGTCAAAGATCTTGCACCCTTCTCTTGCCGGTGCGCCTGTAATCTCGAACCCGACCCGCCGTCTCGAGGGGCCTTTTGCGATTTCCTCCAGGATACGAGATTGGCCTGGGAAGGGGTTAGGAGCGTTTGCGTTACGCCTGTCCTTGCCTGGCAGGTGTCAGCTATGTGTGTCCTGATGAGGTTACACTCAATGATCTAGCTTACCGATGACCCATGTCAAGCCTGCTTCTACCGGACTGACGGTCTCGTCCAGATCGTGCCCATACAGGCACATCCCAGCTTCCAGTCTCAGACTATCCCTCGCGCCGAGTCCGATGAGCTGTACACCGTGTTGAGAGGTGATGAGCTCGGTGATCTTGACTGTTGACTCTGGCGGGATGGAGATCTGCCTATCAGCTCAACCTTCTCACGTAGATCTTCGGGCTCACCTCGAACCCATCCTCTCCTGTATATCCTCCCCTGGCGACGTGGCACTTGACTCCATCAATCTTGACGTCCACGCTCTTCCCAAACGGAATATCTGCAAAGTCCGTCCCCGATAACGGCTGGAGCACCTCAACCGATTTCGGTCCCTGCAGCGCCAACAGGCCCCACCCTTCCATCCTCCTCCACCTGACCTCCCTACCCCCATTCCGCGCATTCCAAGCCTCGAGCTTTTCTTTGAGATGTGCAATATCCTCAGTCGCCCGCCCGGCGTTGGTGACTACATACCACTCGTTCTCGTTGGCTTGCTTGGTGATGATGGTGTCGTCGATGATGCCGCCGGATTCATTCAGCAGGACAGAGAGGGTGGAGGTGTAGGGCGCGAGGGTGTTGAGGGAGGATGGCGTGAGGGACATGAGGAACGCTTGGGAGGTCGGGCCGGTGAAGCGGTGCTGGAGCATGTGGGAGACGTCGAATAGGCCCGCAGAGGTCCGGACGTGGTTGTGCGCCGTTACTATACGGTCAGGCCTGCCTGGAGCCGGCTCAATGGAAGATCCACATACCTTGGCCGACATCGCCGTAAGCGAGGGGCATAGAGTAGCCCGCGAAGGGCACCATCTTGGCCTGCTTCGAGACGTGGAAGTCATACAGCGGTGTCCGCTTCAGCTATCCTGTCAGCCTGGTCTACGCTTCTCCGTGCTGCCTGCCATACGCACCTCTTCCGCGAGTCGCGCAGAAGTCTGCAGCCCTCTTGCTACAGGGACCACGACCGAGCGAACGCATGTTGGCGCGAGGCGAAGCAGTGAGGACGGGGCACGGATAGCGAACATGATGACTAGATGATGACTTTTCTAGCTCGCGGGAGAGATGGACGATGCAAAGATATCGCTGTCGCTGCGAGGGCTCGGGGCCAAGTCGAAAAGAGGCGTCGAGGGATGTCCAACTTTGATGAAGGTCGTGGAAATACCTCGAGATAAGGATTGGAAAATGACCGGCGCGGAGTTCGGAGCTCGTGTTTCGATAGGTTTCAGAATTGGAATTGTGGTATATAGGAGCTTGAGAAGTGTTGTGGCGGCTTGGAGATAGCCAGGATAAAGGGGACACTACATTATGCACCGGTACAAATTATGATTAACAGCCTAAGCTACGGTGCGCGAGGGTACAGCTAGATTATTGGGGTATGTCGAGGTCGCCCTACATTCACCTCGTAAATAAGTCCCTTCGTCTACTCGTAGATCTTCCGCTCCCCCTCCTCGCCCGCCATGCCGCCCTTCTCATCATTGACAGCCTAGAACTCATGATCGAACGGATCACTGCTCTTCTTCTTGGCCGGCTGTGCCCCGCCCCCTGCACCTCCACCTCCATGACCTCCACCACCACCACCACCTGTCCGCCCGCTTGACCCCGCCCGGTCGTACCCATCATCCCCAAACGGCCCCGCCCCACTTCCTCCATACCCTCCTCCCGACCTTCCATTACTCATCTCATCATATCCTCCTCCCCTTCCATACCCTCCGCCGCCCCCACCGGCCGACGCCGAATCATGATAGTCCACCCCGACATTCTCCCCAGACTTCTTATTTCGCTTGAGCGGATTCCGGCTCTTCTTGCCTTTACTCCGGCTTCCATAGTCTTTGCCCCACTCGGGTACGTCGTCGTCTGTGGCTCCGCTCCGAGGGTAGGCAGAGCCGTTCCCGCTGCTTCCGCCGGGGTTGTCCGAATAGGCGTTCCCGCCGATGAGCGCGCCGGTGATAGGGTCTCGTTCGCCCTTGGCGCGTTCCCAGCGGTCGCCGGTACCGCTGCTGCCGGTACCTTTGCGGGCGGGGCGAGAGTCGTCGACGGTGCCCTCGAAATTCATGGGCCAGTGGTGGTGCCGTTGATTTGGTGCTTGATCTGCTGATCAGCATAAGATCCCAATTGAGATGAGTCCATCCTATTCTGCCCGGCAACTCAGAATAGTCAACGATTGGCAGCACACCCGTTCCCTCAGAATCTCCAGCCACGTCCTGCGTTGCGTCTATACACCTGGATATTGACTCACCCTCATTATAGAGCTCCGCATCCTCATCCCTCCACAGCCCCTCATTCCGCATCCTCGCTCGCCTCTCCTCATCCCTCGGATCCATCGGCTCATAATTACCGCCCACCTCCCCATCCTCCAGCTCGGCACCCACATGCGTCGACACATTGTTACGCTCGTCGAACCGCTTCTTCCACTGCGACTTGGCGATACGCCGTTGCTCGTCTGCAGGGTCGACGAGGCCGGCTTTGCGTGCCCATTTGGGCGTGCGGGCCTTGTTCTCGTTGTTTCGGATGTTTTGGACGTAGAAGCTGAGAGATTAGCGTCCATGACTCATCGTGAATCCAAGGGTCAAGGGTGGAGGCTTACTTGTGACCATGGCCCGGGAAGTCTAGAGCTGTCAGCTTTCATCCTGATAGCGCTCGTGGGATCTCTCGCAGAACTTACAGCCACATATCGTCAAGATACTGTTCAGATGTCAGCCACTTTTCGGACGTACATAGAGCCAACGTACCAGTTGACAAAGAAATCATGGCCGATACCGAATCTCGCTGCTACAGCTATCAATGTCAGCTTGAGCCGCTTTATTAGGCACAGCATTGATAGATGGTAAGGACTTACCGATAGGCGGCAAGAGCATGCCGCATAGGAAGATGAAGAAGGTGTACCAATGATGCCGTTTTGGGATCGGGTCGAACTTCTTGGGAAGGTGATGGTTCAGCGACATCTTGGGGGAGAGACCGATGGGCCGAGAGAGCTCAAGACCGAGGTGAGGAGATCGTCGGGCGATGCACGATGGCTGAGCGCTGAGCTTAAGAGCAAGCCTGCGACGCGAGGCGGGTTGCACCGGATTCAGCCGGTACTGGGGATCTCCCTCGCGGTGGGTCGCTGCGGCGGTCTATCTGCTTTCTCTTTGCAGAGTCGTAATGAGCTGGCTATGCAGCGATGCTTTTCGCCTGTAATCTGAGCTGATAGTCGGAGTATACTTGACAGAATCGACAGATGGAAGGCATAAGATGGACGAATTGGGTGGTGCACTCGGGCCCGGGCTGAGTCCAGTCAGGGAAGGACAAGGGAGGCGATGGGGACCCCTGATGACGTGGCATTCCTGATACACTAACAAACAAAGTCCCTCCGTCGGCCTGTCAGCTGAGGCACACACCCACACACAATCCACACAGCCATCTTACAGCCATGTCAGATCTAGATCTAGAACATGCACACCGCACAGGATTCATACTCGAGAGAAGAGGGAGAGAACCGAAGAGAAGCACAGGAAGAAGCAGTGCCATGAGAGGGTATAAAGACCCCCTCATCTGCATATGATAGAGCTCCTTTACTCATCCCTCTGACCCCCTCTCGCTCTCGACCTCCAGAGCTCCAAGCCGAAGCTCTTCTGAAGCACGGCGCTAAAGGACCCCCTCCGCTCCGCTCGGACTTAGATACTTGTAGTGGGCCAACCTTTGTTCCCACTCTCAAACTTATACCTCCAGGCTCCAGGCACGATATCGTCTCCAAGCAACCATCACGACCCGTACGCCGTCGCCTACCCACCCGTCACTGGTCAATACAGTCCTCTGTCTTCTGAAGGCACGATGGACCCCATGGCGAAACATGGCGAGCGGGCGAAGCGCGCGTTGGCGACCGGGACGGAGAAGGCTTATATGGGTATAGGTGAGCGAAATTTGGTCTACGCGCTGGGGAAGGTATTGGCGCGTCGACCCCACTTCCGGCAGAGCTGGGCCAAGGTGGAGGACCAGCTGAGTGGCCTTGCTTTCGTCGGTCGTCACCAAGGCAATGCGGGACAAATTGTCCAAAGGAGATGCTGATGACCCTCAGCCGCCGCTGAAGCTATCATCGTCTCCGCTGTCGCCTGGGCGTACTTCGGTCTCGTCCAAACCAACGTCCCTACCGTCGACCCAAGGACACGGACCGTTCCAGTCTACATCTCCAACTTCATTTTCGCTCAGTAGGTCACGTCAGTTCCCATCCATAATTCCCCAGCTGACCGTTTAGACTGTTCTCGGTGGCGTATGTCTACGATGCGCTCCGAGCAAGGAACTTCATACAGGTGAGTCCCCGACCTCATTGTACTCCCTCGCTATTAGCACTAATAGCTCCAGCTCGTCCTCCACGCCATATTCAACCTCATGATCCTCATCTACGCGTGCCTCCAGATCTCGCAAACCCGCACAGCGCTCTCCGCCCTCCAAGGTAGCGCTCAACGATGCGGCAACTTTGCGAGATGCTTCGGCGAGGGGTCGCTCTTCAATACCATCCTCGGCCTCTTCATCGTCACGCCGATTGTGGTGGGGTTTGCGACGATCGCGTATGCCTTCTTGATCAGGAGATTGGTCCAGCAGTTCGGGTGGGCCGAGTTTAGGCTGGTCGGAGCGAGTCCAGAGATGAAGCGTGAGTTTCTATGGCTCAGATATTTATACCACCAAGCTGATACAGAAAGGCATTCACAGAGAGTATCAGACCCTCGTCTCCTTGCTCAAGCTACTGTTCTTCTTTTCTCTCGCCTTCTGCCTCGCCGTGAGTTCGCTCGCACACCAAGGACCCAGACTCAGCGCTGACATGGCAGTTCCTCATCCTCGTCGTCTCAGCAGCCCCAAGAACAATACTGCCGAGTTTGTCATTACCATCATCGCCATGCCGCTCACGCCCATCGTTATCCTCGCGTGCGGCTATGCTGTGCGGAAGGAGAATATGCCGTATGTCACGTGTCATTTTTCGCAGAGAGGGGCAATCCGCTGATACTGTAGACTGATGATTGCTTGCCTGTCGATGATGATCCTCGGCCTGGCCTACTTCATGTCAGTGTACAGCTTCTTCGCCGAGGTGACGGGTAGCTGACGGCACAGATACAAGCTCACATCCATGTTTCTGCCGTATGCTACGAGGCTGTACATCAATACTCGGATCACCATGGTGCTCTTTGGTAAGTCAGACTCCTTCCGCCGCACCCCAACGCCTCACCTCTCCCCTACCCCGAAATCGCAAAATCTGCCACATTAGCCGAGCTGACAATCCAGCGAGCTTCGCCATTCTCATCCTCATTGTCACCTTCATATACGGCTGTCTCTGCCTGAGCAACTTCGGCAAGGGTCTGATCGAGGCGCACCGTACGTACAAGGTCTCGCCGCTGCAGTCAGAATATCGGACTGACCCCCCAGGCAATCCCGAAAACAAGACCTCGCTCTGGTCTGTCGGTTCGTCAAGGCGGGCAAAGGAAAGCTCGGAGGAGGGTCGGAAGGCCGAGCACGGCAGACTGGTGGTTGACAGCTGAGCAGCAGTCAAGCCTGCGGGGCTCTGGGGCTGATACGCACTCAAGAATTCAGAGGGGAAGCTGGTCACAACGAGGCCTTATAGAATACTGTTTATAGCTCGCAAGAGATTCTGTTGTCTGCGACGCTCGGTTCGCGAGAAGGTCTGATACTTGACGTCAGTCCTGAATTGGATGACCTTGGACGTTCCCCCTTCGACCCAGCTGCAGGCCTTCGTGCATAAACCTCAACCGAGGGGAAGCAGCTAATACTATATCACATATCGAGACGGATAGGCATGAGAAACAAATGATATGTACAGCGCTAAGCCAGTCAGAACCTCAGAACCCACCCCGCCTGTGCTCTTCAAGCAGCCGACGACGAAGAGGCCCTTTCCGCTCGCACAAAATCTTGAGCCTCTCGATGAGCGCGCAAAGCACGCCCGAACGTCGGGTGAGACTCGTCCGCGTAGCACACTGTGAATCGGCGACTGACATCCTTGAAGGTGATCCCGTAGTGTCGGTCATTGAAGAAGTCTTTGACCTTCTCGGTAATCTCGTCGATCTTTGCCTCTTCGGTGTCGGCGGACGCATCAGCGCCATTGGAGGAGCGACCGAGCACCACGGTGACATTCTGCTCAGCATCAGAAGCCTGTGCAAGGAGATCAACGATGTCGTGGTTGATGCGTGAGTTCATGGAAGGCTCGGCGCCGGCGCTGTACGCATGGATCAGGTTCTTTGGGCCGCCCTTGAACTTGAAAAGGAGGTCGCACCTGTCCCTGTTGCTGCCTGGGTCCGTGATCAGCATGACGGATGAATGGTTCGCCGAGACCTTGACGGTATTGTAGCTTGGCGCCCCGTGACCGCCCTCAACGTGGAAGACCAACATGCTGTCTGCCGCACAGGGGAGGGCGTTGATGAGCTCGGTAGGGATGGGGATCTCGAGTCTCCCCGCCTTGGTGTCGCTGAGCGTGGGATGGTAGCTGATGTAGACCACCGATGATTTCTGCTCTGTATTGCCGCTGGCTTGGACCTTGGCCAAGATGGACGGCACTTCAGTCGTCAGTAGACAGGGTTGCTGGACTGTCTCATTGCCGCCACCCCAGCCATCGTGGACTAGCTTGTCGGCAACGAAGATAATGGATGTGTCTTGGACCGCCTGTGATTCATCCTCAGTCACCTCGGCGGAGCTGAACCCTTTCCCCGCACGCGCATCAAAGACCAGGATGCGACCAGTGGGAGTAGGCATGTTCTGCAACCAGTCAGTACGGTACCTCTGGACCAGCCACCGGATTTTGGAACCCTACGTACCGTGCCTTCTGTATGCGTGGTCGAGGTTTGGGGTCCGTTGTTGCATGAGGCCATTGTGCGCCGAGAGTTTGGTTCGAGTACGTTGGGTGGCGAATGGGACGAAGGAAGTATGAAAGAGGGGGAGTGGCGAGTCTGCGGGACACGCTCATGCCTATGTAGCTGGCCCAAGTCAGGCCAAGCCCTGGACATCCTTTCAGATGTACCCCTTCACTGAGGTCGCGTCGCGTTTGGACAGATTGCTCAGATCCTTTCATCGCTAAGCAAGACGTCGCGCGAGTGTGAGTGGCACACGCGTTGGCACATCGGGTGGCAGATCGACGCCGAGCTAGTCGACGAGTCATGCAGCTGAACGCATCGACTCAAGGTTCTTGGCGAGGCTCAACAGCGCCAGATCTCAAATCTGGCTGCTAAACATTTCCGCGCGCGTGTGATTTCAGTTGTCAGGGATCATTAGTAGCTACTCAGCCGCAGCTGCAACATTCGGAGATGTCGTCCCCACCGCTTTGCTCTGATTCCACTGCCGCAGAAGTGCTATCTCGGCATCCAGTGCCTTCTCGTACTCGGTCACATCCCATTCAGCGAGCATCGCCTCATCGTAATCCGAGCCGTCCCCCTGGTTCACAATGCACATACATGATGCTGAGGGTTGCCATCCGCTGCGAAATCTTCCCCGGGCTGAACGTAGCCCACTTTCCTCCGGAGGGACTCACCGGAGCGGTTCTCACACTAGCCGTGATGTCCGTAATGAAATCGCGGTCAGCTTCTGCATCGATCCCAGTATCCGCGGGGCTGCGGTACAAAGCGAGGGTGGTCGATCTGCCCAGAGCAGAAGCGAGGGCCAGCGCCTCTGCCACGTTCTCGATGCACTCCGCTGTGCTGCTCGCCCAGGCGGGATACAGCAACGCGGCGTCTGGTCCACCCACTGTTAGAGACCCTGCAAGGATAGATCTTTCTTCCCATGGTCCTGCGGCTGGATCGACGATCTGCACAATGGTCTCGTAGTTGTTTTTGATACCATCAGGAAGGTGTGAGCCATCCTTGAGATGTCCGACGGGGAGGTCATTCTTCACCGCGAGCAGCTTCGCCTTGAAGTGTGATAGGACCGGGGGGAAGGCGTGCAATCGGCACGTCTGTGATGAGGTTGGGTTTCTCGCATCACTGTGACGATAGTAGACCACACCGAACTGACGGTCCTGAAGATCGGAGGGGATATCAGCAGGATCGAGGCTGTCAACGGTAGCAGGGCGGGACGACTCTGGCTCGTCCGCTAATGAGCCTATCACTTCGGCACGCGAGACAGTGACGAGCGTCTTAATGGATCTGAGAGATGGATCAGTAGGGCATGCTCGTGGCGAGAAGTTAGGGTGGCGAGTATCCCAAAATCGCCGTCCTCGCCAGAGTACGCGCCCGGCGTCTCGGCTGAGCTGTCTCAGTAGTCGGCTTGTGAGGTAGGTGGTCCTGAGGGCGGCAAGGGGTAGGCGCTGAAAGATCATGATCTGAAGTTCGGACGGGAGGGAAAGGAAGTGGCTGATTGCGGTTTCTCCAGCAGGATCCCGGCTGTTCTGCCGTTGTCAGAGGTAGTTTCGACTGATGAGAGCCGACGAGACCAGGTAGTGTACTCACGGGGCTTTGAAGTGGAGCCATCCCGTCCATCAATCACAGACGCGGTGTGTAGGGACAACGAATGTGAGCAATCACAATCGAAAGAATCCGAAAAGAGGGGGCGGTGGCGTAAGGTTCTCCAGTAGAACCCCCAAAACGCCCAGTGTCGGTCACTAGCCGATCATCCTTTCGCCCAAAAGCTTCATTACGTCGTTCTTTGCCATGTCATCCCTTTGTTTACACCACTGAGCGTGAGTGGCCGCCGCGTCTTAGTAGGATGAGAAAGCTAGAGGTCATATGGCACGTATCGAACATACTGAGTCGGCTACAAACAAGTAAGCTGGTGTGGTCACGGCGATAATGGTATCGGAGTCGTGTAGTCCGAGGTCGTGAGGATATGTATAGCTCTAGGTGAAGAGTGTGCAGGTCGTAGCGTTCGTAGAACTATACAGGACGTGAAGAATGAGGCAGGGTCGTAAGGGGTGCGTGATGGGGCGTATTGATTCGTGCGGGTCATGAGGTAATAGTCGTTATTGTATAGCAGTCATGACTGGCAAGTCAGCCGTGAGATTATACATGCCTCGACCAGCAGGCAGATACCCACCAAGTTCGTCTCGTTCGTTCGCAGAGGTCTTTCCTCATCCGCCTCCCGCCGCCACCCCTTGCTTCCTCGTCTCTCCATACCCTCCCCAATCTTCCGCCCTCCACAGTTCCCAGTCCTTCTCGACCAGCTGCACCTTCTTCAGCTTTCCCTTGTCCCCTCTCCAGCTCGCTCCTCTATCTCCACCTATCCCGCCCATCCCGATCTGATGCGCAGGTAGGAGCGCTGCCGTCTCCATCAGCGCCCGATGCTGCCGGACTGGAGATCCGTCCATCGAGCCCGGAGCTGATGAGGCCGACGCTGATGCCGAAGCGGATACGCCCGGATGGGATTGTAGGAGAGGGAAAGGGATGTCCTGGACCCGCATAGGCATGTGCGCTGCCCTCAGGCCATGGTTGTGGAGGTGGGAAGGGGAGGTGGACGCCATGCTCACGCTCCGAGCGCGACGGGCGGCCGAGGGCGAGCGGGACGAGGTGGATGTACCCGCCATCGGAGAGGAAGTACGCGTGTCCTCCTTGGCGCGAGTGCGCGGCCGGGGATGAGATGTAGGTGTATGGCAGGGCGAGGCCGGGTGATATTCCGATATGGCGCGCTGTCGGGCGGCGAGAGGGTAAGGATGGGATATTTGGGTCATATTCCCGGGGCACGAGCTAGGATGGGGTCTAGGACGCGAAAAGCAGCTAAAGAGGCCGCCCATCCGATGCCTTGACAGAGCTCAGGGGGTATGTGCTGCTCCTGATGGCGGTGAAAGGGTACGTGATGCGCGCGTTCGCTTGCGCAAAGATCGGTGGATTATGACCAATTGCGGGGTCGTAAACTGGTTGTTGCGTTTCTGAGAAGCGTATGGGTATAACTATAGGTATTATTCGTTAATTTGAGCGCGTATAAAGGAGGCAAGGGTATCAAGAAGTGAGATGTATAGACGCTCGTTTGTCTTTAACTTTGAAACGCACCCTCGACGCGAGCTTGGACAGCGGAATGAGGAGGTTACGTCATTTTAAGGGTCCACGGAGATGGACAGCCTGCCCGATCGTCAGCTTGGCGACCGCAGCGAAGCTCTCCTGCGTTCTCTGCCTCATACACCGACCATGCGGCTCACCTCGGCGCTGATTTACAGCCTTATATCAGCCATGTCCGCTCTCGCTCAATCTCAGCGACAGAGAACACCACGGGTGCTGGTGTACACCGCCACCAGGGGGTATCGACACGATTCGATCCCGACTGCTATTGAGGTGCTGGGGAGTAGGGCGGCAGATGCTGGTGTGCAGTTCAGCTTCACCGAGTGAGCTATGCCACTCAAGAAGAATGCTTCATCGTATGCAGAGCTGACCTTCTGAAGGGATCAAGGACAGTTCACCGATTCTAATTTGGCTGGATTTGACTGCCTGATGTTTGTGTCCAATTCCGATCAAGGTACGCCTCAGCGAACGAGCATGCGGCTACACTACGCAGGATCCTGCTGATCCGTACAGTCCTGGATACAAGCGGTGAAGCAGCTCTACAGAACTACTTCAGATCAGGTGGAGCCTATGTTGGCCTCCATGCCGCCTCTGCCTGTCTGCAACAAAATACCAATTATCAGCAGGCTGTTGGGGCTATCTTTGACTATCACCCGGACCTCCAGCCCGCGGTGAGCTCTTGCCTACACGATGAAGATCCAAGCGTGGAATATGCAAGCTAACAGGCTAGACCTTCTTGAGGGTGAATAAGACGCATCCTGCGACCGCTAATGTACCGGACGAGTGGCGCTTTGTGAGCTTAGCCACCCCGATGGAGATAAAGGGATTCCAGCTAATCAGATAGACTGAGGAAGTGTACAATTTCCGGAGTGACCCGAGGAACAACGGGGCACAGCTGTTGCTCTCCGTGAACGAGTCGAGCTACACCAGTAAGCTACATCGTTTGATCTGCTGGCTTGGACATCCTGCCATTAGTGCACACATCTGACCTAGTAGATACTGGATCAAGCACCGGATCATATCCATCACAAGGCAGCCCACATCCCATAGGCAGGTAGACAACCGAACTCTCACCTCGGCAGATTGCTGACAGCCCTCAGCTTGGTTCATCGAATCGCCACAATCCGCTCAGCCGCTCAACTCCGGTGCGCCCAAAGCAGGACGGTCATTCTATACCTCGCTCGGACATTCCAACGAGAGTGAGCTAAACTGCTACTCGCTGCGCGAACCCCAGCTGACAAGACAGCATGGCGGAACGCAACCTTCCAGTCTCACGTTCTTGGCGGCCTGACCTGGGCACTGGATGGCGCAAGTACAAGGTCTTACGGGGTTGGACTTGTCGGGAACAACACTGGAGGCGCCGCTCAGTCTGGCTCATCTAACTCCGCGTCGCGGACGGCGTCAGCATCAGCATCAGGCGGGACCGGAGCGTCTTCGGGATCGATAGCGCCTTCCGGGACGGCGAGCTCTAGTGCCGCGGCCGGTCAGAGCAGTCGGGCCGCAGCTGAAGGGAGAGTTAGAGCTGGAGGTACGCTCGGAGCGGTGGCCGTCGGGGCCGGAGCGGTTGCGCTGGGAGCGATGCTGGCTTGACCGAGCGAAGGGGGGCCGACACGATCTTGCGGACGCTAGTCAGTCTTGTTCGTCAATGTAGCTATAGGAAATGCTCGAATTCTATACATTGGCGCGACCACCCCCTGTCGCCTGTAGCAGTAGCGTATCTCCCTAGCCTCGTCCTCCGACCTTCCCCGCCGGAGACTTTCAAACCATCATCACCTCCCCATCGGAACCCACGACGCAGCACGACCACCCGCTCCCTCAGCTCTTCCAACACTATACTCCGTCTCCCTAGTGCGCCGCCGACCCCTCACCATGCCCCGACCCGTGTGCCGCCCCATGCCCATGTGCCGACTTCTTAGCGATCAATTCGTCGTAAATCACATATGCCGAAAAGGCGATGACTGCTGTGCCGAAGCCTGGGAGGATATTTCTGAGACGGATCAGCTAAATGCCCTGCTTGACCTGGAAGAGTGGCCATAAGCTGAGAAGCGGAGCTCACCTGAACATGGCGCGGTTGGAAAAGATGGGTGATTTGCGCCAAGCTTCGCGCGCACCCCAGGGGTCTCGATATAATGGGCCAGGCATCTGCCAATTAGGTGCGGCTCTTGCGCTGTCACAGAGTACCGGACAGTGATCGACTCCATGCTCATCCCAAGGGAACGTACTGTAATTGTATGAAGGGGCCGCGGGGAAGGGAGGAACGGGTGGAGGTTGCTGTAGGGCTGTCGTGTTTGCTGAAGTTTTTGGTAGCTTTGAGGGACCTGTGCTATCTTCTGCCAGGCGACTGTGGCGTCGGAGCAGAGTAGGTATAGATAGCTTTGTATATAGACTGCTAGAAGGTGAATTGAGTGAGCTGTAGATGGTGGCTGCAGCTGGTGCGTGCCTGACCAGCGAGCGGCGATGTCCGGGATTGTGTGGGGTTTACGAGAGAAATGTGATTTTTAGATCCCGGTGCTAGCGGCGACGTCCATGCTGCAGCCAGCCAGCACAAGCGACTAACGAATCGACCTCTGACCTTGCTTTGTTGACCCTGTCCACTTCACTGTTATCAAAGCGATAGACACACTTCACAAACACGGCCAGCTCGGCGGCCAATACCGCAGCTTACCACAAAGCGGCGTCATCTCTCCTCCTTTCAAGACAGAGGAAAGAAACGATCCCTTCTCGTCCCTCTCGCAACACGTCCGGTAAATTGGGACACCGGATGAGTCGCTCAGCTACCTACGCTCGCGCCCTCCCGGTTTCCGCCTAAACGTCTCCACCTACCTACCCGTCAGATCCACAACGATGGGTATAGGTGACCTCCTCGACCGTTCTCGCTCCGTACTGGCGGACGCGGCCGAGGGCGTCCGGGGCCAGCTCGTCGAGTTGAGGCACAATGACAATCCCGAGTCGTACATCGGTCAATTGCTGGGGCTTGAAGGGGACGCGGTCGAAGGCGTACACTTTGACCTCGTCTCGTTCGTCCCGGACGCGGAGGATGTTATTGGGGTGGCGGACACGCGATGGGCGGGCCGGCTGTCACGGGGTCTCGAGATGCTGGGGATGAGGAAGGTGGATGTGGATCTGAGGCAGATGCTGTTCTGGTTGGGCGTGCTTGCGGTGATGATGCTTGTCGGTGAGTAATAGTGCTTTCAGAGTAGGCGGAAAGAAGCTGATCCCCTAGCGGTAATGACCAACCCGACCGAGGCGTCTTTCCGGACCCACCTCACCGAGCTCTCTTTCCGCCGCCACCTCGCCGCCATCCGTTCTACCGATGATCACCCGTCTGACCCTACCACGTCATTGCCAACTGCTACCGTACCCACGTCCACCGGCCATACCCCACATACAGACGACAGACCTGACAAATCACCCATACCCTCCATTGTCACAGGTACCGACACGCCACCCATAGCGCCCTTCCGCTTTTCCAACCATGTCGCCATATCACTCCGCACACCTATGCTCTACTTTCGCTCCCTCTTCTTCCTCTCACTAGCCATCACTTCGCCGATCGGACCCCCGGCTTTTCTGTCCGATCCCCCAGCTGCCCACCTGGGCAAGAAGGGCGTCGTGGCGAGAGAGACATTGGTGCTTTATGTTGGATATCTGCGCTATTGGGTGCAGATCGGCGTGATACCAAGAAAGGTGGAATGGGCGTGGAAATTGGTCACGGAGGGCAGCAGAGAGAAGGGGAAGAAGAGAGTTCAGGTGGAGAGGCCGGGTGTACTGGAGCTGCGGGCGATGCCAGGAAAGGATGACGCCTCGGCCAGTACCAGTAAGTCGTTGCTTGCCATTCTGTAGGATCATCGCTTATGTCAGGTTCGAAAGGTGCTGTACCCCTCAATCCCTCCAAATCGAACAAACTACACCGCAAACCCTCCAATAACGACCTGCACGAAAATTTGTCACTACCCCTTCATTCCCTTCCTTCGATTCCTATACCCACTCAATCCGACTCCCGCCGACCTTCCCTCGTCAATCTCCTGCCTCCACCCTCGACCGCTTCCGAACCTGCCGACACACCTACCCTCCTCGCGCTCAAATCCGACCTTTCCAGATCCCAAGATACGCTGCTGGATCTGAAAAACCAGCTGCTATCGCACGAGCAGACCGTCTCTGACGCTCATGCGAACCTCCAGAGCACATTGGATGATCTACGGAATAAGCGGAAAGAGGACGATGTGGAGCGGCAGGAGCTTAAGGGACGGACCAAGACGTTCGAGGAGCAGAAGCGGCAGGCCGAGTCTGCGCGGAAAGAGGCAGAGAAGCGGTTGCGGGCTGCCGAGGCGGGTCGGGATGGATTATTGGCCAAGATAGAGGGAGCGAAGAAGGAGATGGTGGATGTGCGCGCGCAGATTGCGGCGAGTGAGCGGGCTCTACGTACTGTGAGCGAGGAAGGGGCCAAGTTTCTCGTGCAAACGAGGGAGGCGGTAGAGGGGAGGAAGGTGGAACTGGAGAGATTAGAGGAGGAGATGGTTCAGGTTGAAGTGGAGCAAGAGGAGTTGGGCGGCAAGGTCCGGGAGGCGGAGGAGAGGCTACGAGCGACACAGGAGTCGGTCGAGGCTGCCAAGAAGATGGGGCCAGAGGAGGAAATGATGATGATGGCGGCGGCGTATGAGGCGGCTGCGCAGGAAGGGTACATGTACGGCCAGACGCAAGGTACGGGGACGGGACAACATACACCGGCGCACCCACACTCGCATGGCGGACATACGCCCGCACCCCATCCTGGCGGACACAATACGCATACGGCCAACTGGGCGAGCCAAGCGGCGGCGTACATGGCCGAAGCGGGCATGCCTCTCCTGGATCAGAGCTATACGGCGCGGTCCACCAACCCCACGCCCAATCCAGCCCGGACACTCCAGGCGGCGGATATGAAGCGGTTGGCGGATCTCAGCGGGTTTGAGGACTTTGGGCCAGGACCGCACCCTCAGGTATCGGGTGATGGGTTTGGCCAGGTACTAGGGATGGCGGCGAGTCGGCTGAACCACACGACTCCGCCAGCGGTCGACTATGCTTCGGAGTCGGACATCTACGGTCTAGACCCCGGGTCGCCGAACGGCGGGATCTCTACCTCGTTCTCGGCCAACCTTCTGCCTCAGGGCTTGTTCCGCTCGCTCGTCGGCGGTGATGTCACTCCTATCGACGACGAGGCGGGCTCAACGCTGTCCGAGGCGCTGAACTTCGACCCTCCGCCAATGACTCTGCCTGTCCATTCGGATGCGCTGCCAGTCCACGACGCGGCGCACGATGAGCACCACCACTCGGGCTCGGAGGATGAGGATGAAGCGGAGGATATCTGGCGATCACCCATGACGGAGCCTCGGCTCCCCGCCGAGCCGGAACACCCTGTCCTCCCTCCCCCATCCGCACGATCCAAGCGCTTCTCCTTCTCCCGCCTGCTCCCACCCACGTCCACACCTCCCGCCGCACACGCAAACCCCTCCATCCTCTCTGGTCTCCCGGCACTACCGGGCTCACGCCGCTGGTTCTCTGGCACCAACTCTGCGTCGGCCGAGAACCTGCACGCGTTCCCGCTGTTCCAGACGAATGGGTCGTCCGACTCGCTCGGGAACCACGCGTCGCTCGGTCTGGGCGGAGACAGCCCGTTCGCGCCGAGCGAGAAGGAGAAGAAGCAGCTTGCCGCCAAGTGGGGTCCACTGTCCAAGTATCGCTGGGCGGCGCCTGCTGGAGCTGCCGAGTCTCCCAGCGGAGGCGGTGGTGGTGGCGGTGGTGGACTCGGCAGGTCAACGAGCATGGACATGGGTGCACCTCACACTCGTGGTAACTCGGCACCTACCCCTTCCGGCTCGCCTCTTCCTGAGGCCGGGACAGGCACAAGCCCCGGACAAAGCTGGATGGCGCGGCACCTGCACGTCAACGGTTCTGGCTCCCCCTCATCCCACGCCAATAACGTCCACGCCAAGTCTAAATCCCCTCTCATCCCATCGCCGAATCGCGATTCGTCAGACCTGCTCGCAGAGGACGAACTCGACTTTCATTCGCTCATGCCCGCTGCGAACGCGCTCGGTTCGTCGGCGGATAGCAAGGAGGACAAGAAGAGCTTCAAGTTCTTTTCGTTGCGCAAGAGTCAGGGCGGGGCGGGGTCGAGTCCGGGATCATAGGGTGGCAGTGATGCGATGGTGGGGAAGGGTGTAGGGGGTGTGGTGGGATGCGGGGCTGAAGGGCAGGCGTGTAGCTAGCATTGTCTTGTACCGAGTGTAGCTTCCGGTAGGTAGATTTAGTTAGTTGTGCGCTGGTCTGTAGGTTTTGGGTCTCGCTGGGCTCTTGGTGGAGGGATGCAAGTTTAGTTCATCTGGGGCATGCCCTGAAGATCCACCTGATAGCTGTAAACCCTGCTTCATCACCAGCTGCTCTACCCTACTTCTTGATCTCCACATGGCCCCCCTCCCCGACCTGCACATCCCTCACAAACTCCTTGGCCTCCTCACCGCCTCCAAACCCTTCATCCCGACTCTCCACCTCCTCCTTCCCCACCTCTGCATCGCTCACTACCGTCTCGTGCTCTCCCGCCTCAGCTTCCAGCTCGCCCGTCTCGCCCTCCGCAATCTCCGCCTCGCTCTCAGCGATGGTCGGGCCAGTCTGGATCCAGGTGGGGATCTCGGCGGTATTCCGCAAAGCGTCGATCCCTGCGAAAGGGTCGGACGAGGTGCTGGCGGAGAAGGGGACGTTGGGAGCGGTGGATTGATAGGGGCTGGCAGCTGCGAGTAGGCCGAGTCGGCGTTCGTTGAGGACATACTTGATCCGGGCCATCGATTTGCGGCACTGCGGGTCAGCTTGAGTTTGGATCGTGGAGATGTCAGCAGTGGATGCCATCGACTCACGCGGAATGCCCTCTTGGTGATCAACTCTCCAGCTTCCCTTGCCATGATGCCCAATCTCCGCCTTTCCTCCCTTTGCGTGGCCAATACATTCAATTCCTTCAAGAGCACATACCACAAGGTATGCAGATCACCGAAGCTCTTCTGTCTGAGCTCTGACGCAGCCCACGATCGGCCTGGGCAGTAATCAGCTCCGTCGTCTACCCTCTCGGCGAACTAGCTGGACATACCTGACCGCACATTCCCCTCATCCGCAGTATACGTCTCCAGACTCCCCCCATCCCTCGGGGACTTGACATCCGCGCTCAGCTTTCCCAGACTGCTTTCTGGCACATGGAAGAACTGCCACAGGGGATGGGGCGCCCTCTTCTGGTTTTCCATCCCAGCGATATAGTCCTCCGAGGGGGGATATGACCTCGGCTCGGGGTATCCTGACGGCAGAGCAACAGGTACAGTGCGTGCCGGGCGGGAGATGATGGGTTTCCCCTTGAGCGTGTACTTGCGGCCTAAGCGAGAAGTGGAGGATGCGGGGTGCTGGAGCTCGGATGGGTCGTGTATGGCGGGCTCGAAGTCGAGGATGGGGGTTTGAGATTCGGGCTGGACGGAGGGGAGGGAGGAGTGAGGGAGTGGGGAGGTGCTTCCCATCCCTGGGGCGCCGCCTTGGCCGGGATTGGCTATTTGGCGCCCGGAGGTGTGCATCAGGCGGACGAAGCGGGTGAGGCGGGACATGTCGGCTATGCTGTATGAGTAGCTAGGGAGTGTAAGAAGTCGTAGTGAGAGAGGTTGATGCTGGGTGGTGAAAATGTCGAAAGCTGTTCCGAGATTGGGTCGAAAGTGGCGCCAGTATCTCGAGGCCCGTGCGTAAGTGCCACACCTGTAGGCGTGAGGCCTGCTTAGGCCGATCGAACAGGGCAGAGTGTCGACGTCCATTGATCTTGGCCATCAGCCAGTGGCATGCGCCGTGGGGCAGGGGAAAGGATACGAATGAAACTTTCCTTCTAGGGTGCCAGTTGCAGAAGCACCGTGCAGTGTGTCAAGGTGCGATATATCGACAGAGGGGGATGTAGTGGTCTCGCCACTTTACTTCTCAACCTCGATCCACAGCAATGGCGTCCAGTGGTCACTCCATAACAGTGAGTAGCCCTTTCAGGATATCTGATGCCACATCAGAAATCAGACCTACCCCGGCTGATCAAGTAGTATACATATGCCGATCTCGTCAAAGCGGACGCACGCTTTCCGCCCGAATTGGTGCTGTCTGTCATGTCGAGTGTTCCTCCTTGGCTACTGCGAGCCTTGTCGGAGGGCAAGGACACGACATCCAATATCCCTGCCCTCGCCAAAACGGCACTCGAAGACTGGCGTCGTCGCAACTCCTTCAATGATGTTCGAACGTCGACTTTGCCACTCGACAGTGCTATCTCCCAAGGCTCCACTGTTGTCGGCAAGCTCAATTCGATGTCCCTATCGTTCCAGGTGGAGGTATGGCTCCGTGGAGCATCGTCAAGTCGCAATCCGCCGTCCAGTCTCATCGCGGCTACAACCACTCTGTACTCTGGCGACTTGAAGACCCACCGATTTGGCACTGTTTACATTGGCGCATGTCCCTCGCGCGAGTATGGCTCGCGAATGAGCTTCTGCGAGCCACCAGCAGCTCATATTCAGTGTCTCCAAGGCAACTTGCTGGTCTTCGGAGATCACATCAGCGGAGACTATCAGGAAGGCGGGAACGGCCCGTTTGCTGCAAATTTCAGCGAGATTGTGCATATCATCGACGTCGAGCAGGAACGAGGCACCAGTTTGCTATGGAGCTTCGCCCTGAACAACGGTCCTCGCTTGTCACAGATTCATCATTGGAGCAACGTGCTGAAGGAACCCACAAACATTCGCTCGCATACCTGCATACGCACCATCGCTCGACTACTTCAGGATACCGTGAACACCGGGCAGCATGTCACACTAGCCGTACCCAGCGGCGGCCTGGATCCCGCAGACATACCTGTTTACAAAGCAGAGGTGAGGTCCAGAGTGGACGCAAGGATGAGAGAGGCTCGGATGGGGCTGTCAGATGATCAGATCGCCACTGCGCACAATCGATTTGACATTGAGTTCTTTGCTTGGGGAGACGAGTCTCGGTACGACAAGGCGATGGAGCTTCATGAGGAGGCACAGGTTTACCTCGAATACCCGGAGGAGACTGGGGCTGTCTCTATTCTGGAGTGGGTTGAAAGCTTGGGCGGATCGTAGCTCTGTAGTATACACTGTTGGACTCCGCTGTTCATGTCGTTTGTATTAGTACGTCATAAGTGAGTGTGACAGTCAGCCCGTCCTTCTGTACAGGGTGACTTGCGCGATCACCCTACCGTGTAGCATACATCATAGCATGAGCCCGCTCTCGGGGATATCCCAAGCTTGCCGAATCCCCGACATGGGCAAGCTCCAGACGCGATCAGCAGCCCACCCGAACCCTGAGAGCGTCTGGCACTTTTGAGCACCGATTTTCGACTCTGCGGATATATCGATAGCTTGGTGGCCCATCTTAAAGACCCATCATATGGCGAAACCCCCATCCTAGCGTCGATATCGACTTTACAAAGGAGGCTGACATGAAGACGGCCGCCGCTCGCAAGACAAAACTTAATGACAAGCTGATGGATCGGTACGGGTACTAGTACTAGGAGTCAGTCGATTTTCCAGGTTTATCGATGTCAATAAATGCGCCGGTGCCGGGAAGAATGAGCGGTTCGGCTGGGCGTTATGACAAAGCGAGGTAGAGCAGGCTCCTCAGCTGCCGATGAAGAAGTAGTCTGTATCGCCGAGGATCAGCAAATCATCAGCTGTCACTTCTCGGAGTTACCGATTTGTGTATGCATCACGCATGGACCCTTTGGTTATATCAGAGCAGACAAAGGGCACGATCAGTCTGCTCCTCCTTTCCACGCCGGAGAGATTACCTCGATCTTTGCCCTCTCCACCAGTACGTCTGGAGTGAGATTATATAGCTCGTCGATCAAAGCAGCCCGGAACGTCCCCGGCCCCTTGACATCTGACCTAGCAGCAGCCACCTCCGCTGCTATGGTAATGACCAGTACTCTATTTAAATCAGCTGTCGTTCTTCATCACCAAACGCAGGTCGGTCTTGGACTGAGTCGGACTGACCCCGCCAAAGCGCCCATTAGCATATCTCCCTGGACGAGTTGTGACTCCTCCTCAAATGGATCGTGGTTCGCCAGATGATATAGTCGAGCCGCGGCGCAGAAGGTGGTGACGAGCGTGCCGGTCATGCAGCCCGAGCCGGTGATGACGCCTAGCTGATATCATCAGCTAATATCGCAACATGACAAATCACCAGGTACGACTGACCAATTTGTGCCCATTTGAAGCTTTGATGACTGTCTCGCCGTCTGAGATGTAGTCATGTTCGCCAGTGAGCACGATGATGGCCGCTATACTATCAGCACAGCCGGGCAGGAATTAGGAGAAGGACTTACCGCGCCGTCGCGCTAGATCTCGGACCACCTTTGCTGGGTCGCTGAAGCCTGAGCCGACTGAGTCGACCCCGCGAGTCGCAACCTATGTACAGCATCAGCCTCTACCTCTGTGTCGTGAACTCGAGATGATCTACCTCGGCAGACTGCGCCAAAGCACCTATCTCAGCGGCGTTGCCCTTGATGACTGTAGGCTGCCAATGGGCTAGAAGCTCTTTGGCAAGTGAGCTCGTGCGTCCTTGCCGAAGGTCGAAACGGACAGGGCACTCACCTTTTGACGTTTCCCGCCTGTATGACGTAGCCCCAACAGCGACCGGATCAAACACCACCGGTTTCCGATTGACATTCGCCTCTCGACCAGCGACCATCATCCCTTCCTTATCGGTGATTGTGCCGAAGTTGACGAGTAGCGCGCCGATGGCTGGGGAGAGGTCCTTGACGTCTCGGGCGTTGGTGGCCATTATCGGTGATGCGCCGACGGCGAGGGTGGCGTTGGCTGAATCATTTATGACCACGTTGTTGGTGATCTGTATGGTCAGCTCCCGGATCTCGACCCGCACGGTCGAGCAACACCAGACTCACTTGATGTATGAGAGGCGTGTTGTTTCGGACGATCCGCATCAAATCCCCTACTCTCGCTAAGATCCCCTCTGTATCCCTCGGCGACTGCGCCTTCGCGCAGAAGATAGCTTGTGGGTGATCGAGCGTCTCCCTGGACCGCTTGAAAGAGTCCACCACCTTCCTCAGGCCCTCAGAGGCCTCTTTAGGTATCCGAGAGCCAACGATGTCCGAGATGATAGCGATACCTGCGAGATGATTCCGGGAGTTCGGGGCGATAGATGCGTGAAGGAGATATTGGAGATTTGGTGGATGTATACCGCCTATACCATCAGCCTGTTCGTTTGACCCCTATAGAGCTCCTGTGGCTCCATCAAATGAAAAGAGACACACCGATCGCGACCGCCTCAACGCCCGTTCCCGCCAGTGCATCCAACACCGCACCGACTCCCTCCGGACTGAGCAACACCTTCTTGCTCACGTCCTTACTCCCCGTGGGCCAGACAGGACCTATACCCACGTAGTCTGCGCCCTGTGCGACAGCGCGCTTGGCGTCGGCAGGGGAGGAGACGGAGACGCCAATGATGGCGTTTGGGCCGAGAAGCTGGCGCGCGAGTGGGAGGGGGCAGTCGGATTGGCCGATATGGATACCGGCGGAGCCTGAAGTATTAGCACAGGCTAGCATGGCCTAGATGCTAGTACGAGCGCAGCGCATCTACACCCGGGTCTGATGTTGGAAGGAGGCTTACCTATGGCAAGGTGGACGTCGATACGGTCGTTGATCAGGACCGGCACTTTATACTTCAACGATCAGCTGCGTCTCTTTTGGTAGATTATGCAAGGTCATACCCGGTCACATATCTCCTTGGTACGCCTTGCCACGTCGATGAACTGATCCCTCATCAGTCAGAGCCCCATACACACTCGGCACCAGCGATCAAAGAAGGAGTACTCACTTCGCCGGTGTCTGTCAGCTTCTCTCGTACTTGGACGAGCGTCACTCCGCCCTGGAGAGACTGTATGGATCAGCTCGTCTCTCATGGCAGAGCATACGATTCGTAGCAGGCGAAGGAGAGCTACGTACTTCCTCGAGAGACTCATAGTAGTCCTACAGGTCATCAGTCGCGCCGCCTCTACTTCCGTCCGAGACATTCGACCGGGCTCACCTTGCCGGGCGGTAACAGCTCGCGGCCTGTTACCAGGTACAGCGAGTAGTCTATCTTCGGCTTTGAGGAGCTCATCAAGGGACACTCGTCTGCTATGGTGATGTGCAAGCAGGTCAGCTGGATTTGATCGCTGATGTCAAGCTCAGATCTCAGAGTCGTCAACCCGGACGAGGAATGTGGAGTTGCGTTTGGATCTGGACGGAGCTCCGTAAATAGCCGGGGGATGGATGATCGATCTCCAGTGTTGGACTCCGCTGGTAAGCGTAAGCCCCAACCCAACCGAGGAAACATATAGCCATCCGATAGATGCTAAGTACATATGGGTACAGATTACTCGCTAGCTGTTCATACACGCAGTATACACGCTACACCACTTCCCCTCTCCCATCTCCCTCTCCACACCTTTAGCACCTCGTCAACTCTCCATCTTATCGCCTCGAGCCCTTCCCTCGTCCCCAGCATCTATCCCCTCGGCATATCGCAAATCGTACACTTCTCCTTTGCACTCTCCGGGTTCTCAAGCATACACGTCCCGCACGTCCACTTGCCCCCTGCTGCCTTATCCTCCGGCTTCTTTCCACCCGCCGCCGCCCAGTTGAACCCCTGGCCACCGCTAGTACTCGCAGCTGAGGCAGGAGCTGAAGCAGGTGCAGGTGCAGGTGCAGACGTGACCGGCCGATCCGCATCGCAAATTGTACACTTGTCCACCGCGCTAGCGGGGTTCTGGAGCATGCAGAGCCCGCATGTCCAGGGCCCGTCGCTGGCGGCAGGGGCGGACTTCGCGGGCGCCGGAGTGGCAGCCGGTGCTGCCGCCTTGGTAGCAGGCCGAGGTTCCTCACAGACCGTACACTTCTCGGTGGCCGTGGCGGGGTTGGACAGCATGCAGAGATTGCACGTCCATGGTCCACTGCTAACCGGAGCCGAAGCCGATACCGCGGGCGGAGACTTGGCGGGGACGAAGGTGAATGCGCTGGTCATAGGCTTTGACGCGGGTGCAGCCGGCTTCCAGGCTTCCCCATCGATTGTGAACGTGAACGCTGACGGGTCGATTGGGCGCTTGAGCGCTTCTTCCTTTGCCCGCTTCGTCGACTCCGAGTCCGCCGGTGCGCTGACGTCGAGGAAGAATGTAAAGAATGGGAGAGTCTCCTTTGCGACCGCCAGTGCCGTATCCTTTGCACTGAGGAAGATGGACGACAGGTCCGCCGACTTGCGCTTCTTGGGGGAAGTCCGGACCGCCGAGGGAGGGGAGTAGCCGAGACTGAATTTCGGCTCGTCCGGGACGATAGACCTCGAGAGGGGACTGGGAGTGAATTTAGGCGCAGGGGCAGCAGGTTTGAGCCCCTCCGAGCTGGTCGCGAGGGGGACGAAAGTGCATGTCGAGGTGGAAGATGAGGATGGTAGCTCGGGAAGTTTGGACTTCTCCAGCTGAGGAGCGGTCCACGGCTTGAACGGCTCCGGCGCGGGTTCCGGCTCGACTATACGAACGCGCTTGGGTGGGCTGCCCATACTGTCATCGCCCGAGGCGGCTTCGTCCGACCGCCGACGGTGCTTGTCTCGAGACTGCACGAGGTCCTCGACCTCGCTCGACTCCTCTTCCCCATCCACCTCCATTTCAGGACTTGCGTGCCGTACCGCCTTCGCCTTGCCCTTCCCTTTGCTCGAGCTCATATCCTCCGACCCGTTCGATCCCGAGCGACCGACCAGCATCTCCAGAGCGGTCAACTTGCTTGGGCTAGGCGCGGCATTTTTGGCCTCCTCCAGCCGCTTGGCCGCGCCCCGGAGGGGGGTCTGACTGCTGGACGACAGCTTCAGGATGGACTTCCGTGGCGTGCCATTCCGGTATGGCGAGGCGGGAACTGGGGTAGCAGCGGCCTTGGGACCGGAGACAAGAGTCTGCGCGTCGGGGTGGTAGGGATTGACGATGAATGGAGGGGGACGTTCTGGTTCTTTCGACTTGGCCATATCGGCGTTAAGCAGGTCAAGCATGATGTCTGCCGCCCGCCTCTTTCCGACCGATACCGGGTCCGCCTTGGGGGATGGCTTGGCGGGAGAAGCAATCTTCTCCGCGACCTTCGGGGTAGACCTGGAGGATGACGCAAAGTTCGGCATAGATATGCTGCTTGGCAGTGCCGGGACAGGAGGGACGTCTTCGTCCATCCCCACCTCGAACTCTCCAGTGCGCCGCTTCTTCGCGATCCCCTCATCGCCCAGATTGAAGTTGAAAAGCGGCTTCAACCCAGACTTCTTTTGCGGGTACAGCCGCCGCGCGCTCCATCCGGGACCGATGTATCGGACTGAGCCGGGGCTGTCAATTCGGCCGGGCGTAGACGTGCGGGAAGGGCTAGCGCCCACGTTGAAGGCAGGTGCGGGCGTCCCGAACGCTGAGCCAGCGGGCCGAGCGGGGGTATAGGTGGAAGGAAGGGGTTTGATGGAGCGAGGGGTGAAGCTGCCAGCTGCCCATCCGCCCACTTCTGGCTTGGACACATTCCTAGCGGATCCAGCCTCGGACTCCTGCCGAGCGTTGTCTGTGAGCGACTCGATGACCCGGAGGTCCTCAGCTGACAGAGGCTGACCATCCTTAGCGTCAAGGAAGGCTTTGAGCGCTATGGATGAGGCGGAAGTTGAGTGTGGGATAGCGCGGGCCCCGTTTGAATGTGCAGCGACCGGTGGGGCCGGCGCGAAGGTAGGAAGGGGTGATCGAGCGGGTAGTGGCCGTTCTGGCTTGGTGGGTGAGAATCGACGCTTTAGCGAGCTGGTGAGGTTGCTGACAGCGTTACCGAACGAGGGAGTGGAGGAGTGACCGAGTAATGGCTGGCTGACAGTACCGAACGAAGGCATAGACGGGCTGTGTGTGAGGCTGGGTGCGAGATGTCCTGGCATAACGGGGGAGATGAGCGGCGGGTTGCCATTGCCGTTTGCGGTGATCTGGACGTCAGCAATGCACTTTAGCTTTGCGGAGGCGACGCACCTGAAGATTACGCCGAGCAGTATCTCTCCTTCCTCCGACGATCTCTCCCCTAGCTCTCCACTTGTCCGCGCGATCCTCCAGCTCGGGTCCATCCCGTCCCGCCGCCTCTGCCAGATCAAATACATCTGCCTCCGCCATCTGCTGCGAGGGCTCGCCGTTCCACCCGTCCTCTGAACCTGATTCCGACTTCTGGTCGATGTCCTGATTGGTGATAGGCAGGCCCTGGGTCGATGGGGATCGGGCAAATGGGTGGGTGATGTAGGACACGAGAGAGCGGATCCCGGGGAAAGACTGGTCGTCAGCGACGGCTTCGGGAGACAAAAGAGTAGCAAAGCGTACAATCATAGATGATGAGCGTTTCACCTTGGCCTCGGCAGGACGGGCATAGGGGCTGCTACGCTCTAGCCGCTCGGCGCGGGCGATACGGGCGGGGGTGGAGCGATTCATGGTGTTCATTGTCAAGTCAGGGTGTACTTTCGAGGGGGCCGAGGGGATATCAGGGTAATGTAGGTTCGCGGGGTCTTGAATTGACTCTCTCCTGTCGCCTCTATTGTTCACTGTTGTATGAGGACGCTGTACTAGGTGAGTATATATGGTGAACAATAGAGAAGCAAGAGATGGACGAAACGGCCTTCTTCCCCCTCGAAGCGGACACCTTTTGGGCGGTGACGCTTTCTTTGTATCTGCTCCACCCATTTAAGCCACGGGTTGGAGACCCCACAAATACCCTCGACGCGACATAAAGTCAGCGCGACTGGTCCACTTTCGATATGCTTCATAATCCATCATCAGCTACTGGACATCGGGCTAGCACACCATGAGTGGTGAGTAGAGCTGGAGGTAGACGTGATATCACGCTCACAGCTGACCGATAGACGGAGAATCGCCAGTAAAGCTCGCGACCTCAGTGGGGAGGAAGAAGAAGCGGGTCATCGATCCAGACGAGGACGAGGAGGAAGCTGCGCCCGTTGCAGCGAAGCACAAGGCTGAGGAGACGAAGACCCAAGGCGAGCTAAGCGTACCTCGAACTCGTCAACAGCAGTAAGCTGACTTGAGAGACTCAGCTCCTTCACCCAAGAAGGCAAAGACATCGCCCAAGCTCGCATCGTTATTCTCTCCGCCATCGAAACCGCCAGTCAAGGCCGCCGAGTCTAAGCCTGCAGTGAAGGCAGAAGCACCTTCGTCCAAAGCTTCCTCGTCTAAGGCAGCAGCCTCATCATCGAAGGCAAAGCCCAAAGCCAAGGAGTCGAAGCCTGTCGCATCGATCTTCGCCAAACCTACCCCGGCAGCCAAAGGGAAGAACGGGGACAGTAAGCTCAAGGTGGAGCCTGCTGCTGGTGACGACGAAGAGTACAGCGATAGGGCGTCGCCTATCAAGAAGGTGGAGGAGGAAGAAGGTGAGGATGAGCTCGATGATGAGACAGAGGATGAACAGGAGGGAGAGGCGGCCGTCAAGCTGTAAGCTCACGAGCGCCCATCGAGCAGAGATCGGCTAGCTGACTCTGCAGGGCGTCTATCTTCACTAAGAGCCATAAGGCAATACCAGTAGCCGATCAAGGATGGAAGGAAGGAGAGCCGTGCGTTCTGTTCTACGCAAACTTCAGGTGTCGGTCCTGGCTGACGGTATTAGTGTCCCATATGCCGCCCTGGTGTCCACCTTCGAAAGCATCGAAGCCACCACAAAACGTCTCGAGATCCTGTCCCTCCTCACGCAATTCTTCCTGGTCGTCGCAAAGCGGGACACAGCAACCGACGCCAAAAACTCTAGCCTGCTCAAGGTGGTGTACCTCTGTATCAACCGAGTAAGTTCCCTACTCTTCCATGTTGAACAAAAGAGGCAACTAACAAGATCAGCTGTGTCCGGACTATATGGGCATCGAGTTGGGTATCGGGGAGTCGTTGATCGTCAAGGCGATAGCGGAGAGTACTGGTCGGGCGGCGCCCAAGATCAAGGACGATTTCAGGAAGGAGGGGGATTTAGGCAAGGTCGCGATGGTGAGTTTTTATGGGCTCCAGTATGGACACAGGAAGCTGACCGCTTAGATGTCCAGAAATACCCAGCCAACCATGTTCAAGCCAAAACCACTCACCGTGCCTTCAGTCTTCCAAAATCTCACTGAAATCGCCAAAGCGACCGGGAACTCAGTACGTGACCCTCTCCATGCGCGTGGTACTTTCACTGATGATCAGTCCCAAGCTAAAAAGGTCGGAATCATCAAGAAGCTCCTTTCGGCGTGTCAGGGGATGGAAGCCAAGTTCATCGTGCGGTCACTGGAGGGGAAGTTGCGGATAGGACTGGCGGATAAGACACTGGTGGTGGCGCTGGCGCATGCGATCGTGCTCAAGGAGATCGGTAAGTCTGGCTTTCTGACGTTGTGGCATGTGGCTCATCCGGCAGGTGATAAGAGGATGTCGCCGGAGAAGCTCGCGGCGATGCTGGAGCAGGGAGCTGAAAAGGTCAAAGCGATATACAGGTGAGCTGAATCCTGTGAGGCGCAGCTGATATATAAGTGAACTACCAAACTACGACCTGATCGTGCCTGCTCTGCTGAAGGGCGGAATCGAAGGCTTGGCCGAGAACTGCAAGCTGACGCCTGGTGAGCTCAGATCAAGTCATGGAAGCTAGCGCAAGCTGACAGCATAGGTGTGCCCCTCAAGCCGATGTTGGCCAAGCCTACCAAAGCTATCGGAGAGGTCTTGGACCGATTCGAGGGGAAAGAGTTCACCTGCGAGTACAAGTACGATGGCGAGCGAGCACAGGTGAGCTGAGCGGAGTACTTCCAACTCAAGTTATGAGGAGCTGACACGACAGGTGCATTTGCTGGAAGATGGGACGGTGGCGGTCTTCAGTCGGAATTCGGAAGATATGAGCGGGAAGTACCCAGATTTGGTGGAGCAAATACCTCGGGTCAGTTACATGGTCCTGAAGTGGCGTGACTCAAGCTGATCCCTAGTGTGTCAAAGAGGGTGTCAAGTCATTCGTCATCGATGCCGAGGCTGTCGCGTACGACCTCGAAACCAAGAAGCTGCTTCCTTTCCAGGATCTTTCCCGGAGAAAGCGGAAAGACGTGCGGACGGAGGATATCACTGTCCGGGTGCATCTCTTTGCCTTCGACCTGCTTTATCTGAATGGCGAGGTGAGCAAGGCGATTCTCTCTCCTGAGGATGAAAGCTGACATGTAAGTCTCTCATCACGAAAGACCTGAGAAGTCGCCGTGCACTGCTATACGAAAACTTCAAGCCTGTCGAGGGCGAGTTTGACTTTGCCAAATCCAGCGACGGGACGACGACCGAAGAGATCGGCGCGTTCCTGGAGGAGAGTGTCAAGGATGGGTGCGAGGGCTTGATGGTCAAGATGTTGACAACGGAGAACTCGACGTATGAGCCAAGTCGGCGAAGTATGAACTGGTTAAAGGTGAGCTAGGTCGCGCTGATATCCCCAACCATGACCGCAAGCTGACATTCCAGCTCAAAAAGGACTATCTCGCCGGTATCGGCGACTCGCTGGACCTGGTCGTCATTGGGGCCTATCACGGCAAAGGCAAGCGTACATCCGTATACGGTGCCTTCCTCCTGGCGTGCTACGACCCCGATTCGGAAAACTACCAGACGATCTGCAAGATCGGGACGGGGTTCTCCGAGGAGATTCTGCAGCAGTTTTATGAACAGCTACAGCCGCTGGAGATTGCGGTGGTTAGAGGGGATGTGGAGGTTGGGGGTGCGAAGCCGGATGTGTGGTTTGAGCCAAAGGTGGTGTGGGAGGTGTTGACGGCGGATCTGAGTTTGAGTCCGGTATATACCGCCGCGCATGGTCTTGTGAGTTGACTCGATCCCTTGGAGCTTGTAAGGAATAGCAACTGATATTATAGGCCGACGCGAGGGGCATCTCTTTACGGTTCCCGAGATTCATCAAGGTCCGAGATGATAAGAATGCGGAAGAGGCGACGACGGCGGAGCAGGTCAGCGAGTTTTATCAGCGCCAGGTCACGGCTGCAGGTAAGAAGAAGGGCGGAGGGGAGATGGACGAGTTCTGGTAGACGCCATACTATGATTAGCATCATGCAGTCCATACTATGCAATCTCATCCCGCATCTCTTTCATTAAGCTTTACATCAGACAGTCTAGAGCTAGATCTGAAACCCCTCCGCTGCCCCCTCTCGCTGCAGGTCCTTGTTCTGCAAGATCCGCCTCCTCAGCACACCCCAGCCCCCTTGCTCCCTCATTTCGTTATCGTCAAGTTCGTAATCCCCCGGACGCCTCGCCTCGTACTCTCGCGTCGCCCTCATCCCTCTCGGTCCCACATTCAGCTCGTCAGGCCCACGTCCCGTGCCCAAGAGATCCTCCATCCGCGGGAACAAGAACCGCCGCTTGACCTTCTCCCATTCTTTGGCGACAAGGTTTGGCTTAGTAGGCTGGTTCTGGTCGCCATCTCCCTCTCCTGCTCCGTCTGAATCGTGATCGTCGTGATCGGAGTCGTGGTTTTGTCGGCCTCGGCTGTAAGGCAGGGGAATGTCGCGGGTGACGCGGTAGGCGTCAGCATTGCCGAGGTGCTCCGTCTCCACGCGGACTGACCGTCAGCTCGTGCTCCTCGAGAAGGCAAGATTTACTTACAGAAGTTCCACTGGAATCTCCGAAGCATCTCGAAGAATGCAAAGATCCACGATCGGAGACGAGTATGGGAGGCACGGTCAGGGATGTACCATACGGTAATGAACCGAATGAGGGTATTGGTCATCATGGCGAGATAATAAACCTGACGGCAAGTCAGCACCAAGCACATTGAGAAATTGGAAAGACGAGGTGGGACTCACAGAGCGGTTCTCATATCCGAGATCCTTACGAAGGCCGTACGTTCCAGGTCGGAAGAGCGACCAGTCGACGATGATGTCCTGTGCAATGAGCCCAATTCGAACCAGCATGGATAGCAAACCATACCCAAGACGTCTGACAGATAGCTGTCACCATCGCGATTGTGATCCAGCCGACAAAGACGTTGTCTGGGATCGTACTTCCTGATCCCTTGTCAGCGGTAGGCACAGTGGCGGTGCATGCAAGACTCACCACGGCTGCGCCACCACACAAACATAGCGTACTGGGCCACGGCAAGCAGGTACTTTACAGCCTACACGCCATCAGCGTCCATCTCCCAACTTCTCCGCCGGACGGCTTAGGCTCACGTTGACAAGGTGGATCTTGATCCTGGAGTCGTAGTATCGCCTGCAACACTGGATCGCTCGGATAGTAGCTGGAATGGATAGCATCAGGATGTACGGCCACTGCCGGCCGGATGGGCAGACGGTGTACACGTTGGTAGGCCAGCGATTGGCGTCTGAAACATGAGTTGTAAACCTGTCCTGCGAGGCTGAAGGAGCTCACATGCGCAAGACATAAAGAGGATACTGCTGAAGGACTGCGCCAAGCTATGCTGGGTCAGCCGGGCTCACTGCACCGCCACATTACTCACCTGTTCAGCTCATCGGCGATGAAGAAGATGATGAAGTCCACCCGTCTGAAGCCAGGCGTGAACACCTTCCAGAGTATGCTGAGCACCCAGAACCTGGTACGGCGCCGGCAGATCGGGAGCGGATTGATGACAAATACAATGACGAAGACAAGCCAACACGCCGGCCATCTGCTTTGTCAGTCAACCCAACATAAGAGGTAAAGAGGGGCTCACGATGTTGGTGCCACCGTCTCGGCGCCTATCTGGAAAAAGGAGAAGTACATGCAGACACTGAGGGTGAAAAAGAGGAAAGCGGGAATCTGACAGGTCAGCTCGGGCGAAGCTCCTGAGCGAAGCTGTACTGACTTCCAGGTACGATCGGAAATCGATGGTTGGGCGACTGAGCTCCATCACAAACTGGCATGTCAGCTGATGCTCTTCCTGGTACCGTAGCGGTGCAGCTTACCTCGTAGTTTATGCGAGCCGAAACAAAGACGTCAAGGTTGATCTGGAAGAGAAGCGCGAAGATCACCGGCAGGTAGAGACCGCCATATACCTGCAGCAGGCCCGCCCAATAGTCAGACACCTCGTCGTATTGGCGCCGTATCGCTGGCAATCCTCAGCTTAGGGCCCTTCTGGCAGATCAGGGAGCTGACCTTCTACTACGCAGATGATGGCTAATGGGAGGCCCACGCCGATCATCACTCCCGAACGGAACAAGCTGGCATAGTGCTAAGGCATCAGCGCATGACAAAACCCACCGCTAGATGATCACTCACAGTGTAGCCCATATCCCGTTCCCGGAGACGACTCCTCGCTTTCTTGATATTCCCATGCTCGAACCGCTTCGTAAAGAGCTCCTCCACGCTCTTGAGCATCTCCTCGACATCCTCGCCCTTGGCGAACGTCTCTCCGCTGATGCGTTCCTGCGTGAACATCTCGAGACAGTGGATGTTGGTGGTCTTTTCGAACTTCTTGAGCGCTTTGCGAAAAGCCGTCAGGTTGACAATCTGCATGATTAGCTGACATTTAGTGGATGCAAGCAACGACCTAGCTCACGCGATAATTCTTGATGATCTCCAGATTCCGATAATGCTCCACCGTGGCCTTCCGAAGACCCTGCTTGGACTTGGTATACCGATCCGCAGTATACTGCTCCTTGTCCCGCTCGGTAAAGTCGATCTGCCTAGCAGCCGCCTTCTCCCCCTCCTCTCCCCCTGCCCCTTCATTCCTGCCGCCTCCATCGCGGGAATGGCGGTGCAAGCGCTGTGCTGCACTCGCTATTCCCGCTACCGTCGCGTGCGCCGCTGCGGACCCAGCAGCAGGTAAGAACCGCTCGACCTTGGTTTCCCACTTTGGCACGGGACCGGGATAGGACGCATGGTATAGCTTCCGGTGCTTGGCGAGCTCGTCCAGCTGTTGTTGGATATCGTTTCCCCGCTTGGCCGCGTCTTTCTGTCGGGCGAGGTAGAACTTTTCGACCTTTTGCAGTTCACTCTCGAGAAAGTCAAAGAAGGCCTTCTCGTCAGGCTCGAGAGTGGCGTATAGCTCGGCGAATGATGGTGCCGATTTGGCGGGGATACGAGGTGATGTGATTGATTCTGTAAGGTCAGAGGGACACTCTCGAGCTATGGGGTACGTGACACTGACTGATACTCCTCGCGCCTCCCCTGAGACTGGCAGCACCGGGGCTTGCTGCAGCTGAAGTACGGCGTCCATACGCTTTGAGTGCGCTCCGAGGGCTCGTCGGCGCCCGTGATGACTTGTCCGCCTCGTTCCCGGGGTTGAGCGGCGAAGTTGAAGAACCCGCGGAGAGCCTCCATCCGTCTGGTTCACTCGCGTCTCCCTCCTCCGCCCCTGTAAGCGTCTCTGAGCTGGTCGCTGCAGAGTCTTTGGATTTGTCCGAGCCGCCGAGCCGCCCGTTAAGGCCGCGCTTGTGCGAGTTGGAAGCGGAGGCGCCGGTGTTGTGATTGGGACGTGACGCGCTCATCTCGCCATTGTCATATGGAAGTCCAGCCTCGCCAATATCTAGGTGAGGTGGACTGGCGGCGGTAAGGTGAGATGAACGAGGTGAGAGGTTCGACGGCTGCCTGAGTTGCTGTATAGGACTCTTCCTGGCCTAGATGATCGTCAGCTATGGCTCAGCGCATGTTGTGATACGAGCCGCGTACCAGGCAGACTTACTGTAGATTCATTCCGAGGCGACGACGGGACAGCTCTTGCTGCACCCACCTTGGAGCCATGAGACTGCTTCTTGGGAGGGGCAGCGGGCCCATGGTCTCCATCATTGTCGGAGCTATCATTCCCGCTACCTCCCCCGCCTTCCTCGATTGTGCGTGCGGAAGTCTCCGGACTGCCCCTGTTCTGCACGCGGGCACCGATGGTCTTAATGCGCTTTTTGCAGCCCTTGTAGTCCACATAGGCATCGCGCCATTCTGGAGTGAGGTTCTCCTCGAGGTAGCTACATCATAGTCAGCGCGCGCACCCCGTTCGAGCGGCACTGAAGACCTGAAACGGGCAGGTCAAAGACTCACTGGCCAAACCTCATGAGACCAGTTTTTTAGAGCGGCGGGATGCTGTGGCGTTCCAGCGATCATGATCAGTGCTATTTCACGCTTTAGGCGATATCGATGGGTAGAGACAAGTCTGTACAGAGGTGGAGGTGGTCGTCAGACCAAATCCCTAAGATGCTTGATCCAGGCAGGCACGGGGACAGACTGAAACATCTCCGCAGATCTCGGTAGGGCGATCGGTACCAGCAAAACGTCATGATACCGTCGCTACGGCCGGGACAACGATATAAGCGGGCACGGCTGTGATATACCTCTCTTCTCATTGGCTCATTGTCGTGCCCATTGCCATAAGGCAGCCTGCGGAGCTCTGCGGAGTCACGAAGATAGCAGCCCGAGGTATCACGACGCTCTCAAGTGCCGTGATCGATCGGAGCTCCAGACGTTTTGGCGCCGAGCTCGGGTCCGATTCTTGATCTTTGAACCTGAGGCAGTGCTCCTCCACCTTACTATAAACGTGAGGCAACGTCCGCCTATGCCCTCGATCGCGAGCTTGACTGTGTAAGGTTGAGAGTGCCTGATGCCAGTGGCGCGATCAGACTCCTCATCCATCACACATGGGCACACATGGGCATCAGCAGATCTGAAAGGTGTGTGTGTCTTTGTGGCACGATCGTGTGGTGCGTCCTTTGAGCTGCGACCTTGTACCTTGTGCCTAGTTTGAATCATTACGCTCAGAACAGGCTATTTCAACTCACTTCTCTCTGACCTGATAGCACTGAGGCGAGAGACTGGGACCTCGCCACACATGATACACACTTCGAGGTCTAAACAGGCGTAAATTCTACACGGTACCTCCTCGTGTTGTCATCCTCCTTCCGCTGGGCACGAAGCAGACCGAGGTTGCGGGACATTCCAACTAGCTTCTTGTGCCTGACCTCATCGCTGACTGCTGACGGGGCACACAAGTCCTCCTTCCTCCTCACTGATCGACTTGATATTCGAGTCGATTTTCAGAGCTCATATCATGCAGGAGCTCGAAGCTTCTACCAGATGTTACCCATCCCAGATATCCTCATGCCAGATACAACCGACCACTACTCACACGCAAGATCCCTCCCGCATCAACTAGATCACGATGATACCCAACATAACCCATCCCCTACCCTCTTACATTTGCTATACAGCCAGCAACTTTTCCGTCCGAAATGCTCTTCTGTCTTTAGTGGCAGGTTGCATCGTCAGGCTGGTACTCTGCCGCTGGTGGGCATCATACGGTTCCAAGACGCAGATAGACCCCAATGTTCCTGGTATGTGCTGCTTTAGCTTGCTGTATCTGGCTGTGCTGCTTCCATCATGATGCAGCGATGGATAACGTGAGCTGATTCATCAGGCCCTAGTACTCTCCAATGCTTATGGGCCAACATCCAAGAAGTCACCCGCCACGCGCTAGGCGACAAGCATGTCGCTTGGTCCGCTCAGTTCGGCAACAGTTACCAGTACCGGACCCTCCTCGGCCAGAATCGGATCGAAACCTCAGACTTAAAGGCGGTAGCCTTCGTCCTCCGCGAACATGGGTGTTCCTCAAATCTAAGCTTAGCAATCGATACTTCTCGCAGGTACTCGGGTACGAGCTCACCCTGGCGGAGGACACGGACCATAAGAGGCAACAACGTATCCTCGGTCCATTCTTAACCCGGCCGGAATCCCTCGCCAATCTTCTCCCGATCTGCTACGATACAGCGCAGCAGATGCGGGACATGATGCGAGACTCGGCGGGTCCGATCAACATCGACGACTTCACTGGGCGCTGTACTATGGACGTCAGTGGGAGGGTCGCATTCGGCCGCGAGCTCAACGCTCTGACCGCCCAACAACAAGATAATCCGGGCATTTGGCGACCTCACCATGACGACGCAAAGCGTCAGCTTTAGAGCCGCCATCTGGCGTCTGCTACCGCGCTGGTTCGGTAAAACCGTGAGTGTTACGTGGATGCCGTGCCTGATTGTGCTCAGCCATACGCTGACGTTTCAGCTGAAGCCAACAAAGGTCTCGTTCTGGCAGACCAACGCCACGATGAACAAGTTAAGCAAGGTAGGTACATGGCCTTCCTTGGTACACCGGACTCAACTGACATCGCAGGAGCTGTTAGCGGAGAGGACTCATGCTCTCGAGCCAGCGGATGGATCCGACCATTTTGAGGACTTGCTCGCCAGTTGCAGTACGTTCTGATATGCGCGAGCGGAAGAGGGTTCTGGGCTGATCGGTAGTGAAAGCTAATAAGCGTCTTAAACCTGGAGACAAGGATAGACTTACCGATAAAGAGTTATTAAACCAAGTCACTAAATTTGTGAGCTGCATCATCTCTTGCTGGCCTTTTATCATTCGAATGTGTAGCTGAACAGCAGATGCTTTCTGGGAGCGACACCATCGCGACCACTATAACCTGGTCCCTATATCATCTTGCTCAATACAGCGATATACAACAGCGCCTCCGACAGGAATGTCTCTCTCTGAATGATGAGCGACCCTCCCTGTAAGCTCCGTTCTCTTTATCGTGCGAGGGAAGCGTCGCTGACCATATAGCAACGCGATCGACGCACTTCCCTTCTTGGAGGCTGTGGTGCATGAGATCCTGCGGCTGATTCCGCCTGTTCGAGCGGTCAGCCGAGGAGCAGCGGATGATATCAGCGTCCCCCTCGCAGAGCCGATCAAGGGAAGGGATGGCAACATGATTTATGAGCTTGATGTGGCGAAGGGGACTTCCTTCTTCATACGTAAGCTCGATCGCTTGTGATCAGACAGACCATCATCAAGGGACTATGCTGTTAAGACAGCGGTTGACAGAATCAACACGTCCGAGCAAATATGGGGTCCCGATGCGAAAGCGTTCAACCCCGCTCGCCATCTCAACTCCTCATCTTCAGGCGACCGCCCCGCCGACGACAGCAATGTCCATGGACGCTGGGGTAACATCCTCACCTTCCTCGGTGGCGCCAGAAGCTGCATCGGCTATCGGCTCGCCCTCCTTGAGATCAAAGCGATCTTGTTCGTCTTGATCCTGGACTTGGAGTTCGCCGAACTGGCGGACATGCCGCACATAGAGATGGCAGCTGGGTGAGTACGGTCCAGTCTTGGCTGTTTCGAGAAGGAGTAGCTGCCTTGCATTGATCCGGACAAGGCTAACATTATAGGCTGGTAGTCCGACCTAGAGTTAAGGGAGATAAAGGGGGCGGGTTTCGGCTGCCCTTGATGGTCAAGGCGATTGAAGGCGAGAAGTGAAGGTCGACGCGGATTGAGTGATTAGTGTTTATACTTTGGAAATCATAATATATATCGGTATGCTCTTGACAGCTTCGTGATATTATGGTGCGGCTTGTCCAAGTATTGCCCCTGCGGTTAAGGTCAGATCAGATATCTGAAACACGTTACGTGATGAGGAATGCTGAGCTCATGTTTCCGAATCTGCCTTCTCCGCTGGAGTGACTGCCCTCGACACTGGCTCAATACACTACCAATCAGATCGCACGAGGGGGCTGTAACTCTGAGCTGAAGCGATCCTCCGCCTATTGTGCCAACCATATCATCGCTCTCATAGCTATACTGAATCCCCCATTGACCCGTCCCGACCCCCCTTCGTCCTCCGTATCCGCCTCAACAGCCCATCCCACCCTCCTGCCCCCGTACCACCCTCTTCTCCCGCCTCCACATCTCCTGGCCTCCGTGCCTCGTACTCTCTTGTCCCTCTCCTTCCCCTCGGCCCCACATCCAACTCGTCCGGACCCCTCCCCTGCCCCGCGCCGGGCTTGACGAATTGCTTCTTGAGCCTGTTCCAGCGCGTGGCGACGCTATTCGCCTCGGCGGCCAGCTCGGCTTCTTCCTCCGAGTCGGGGTCGAGACGGCGGTAGGGGAGGGGAATCTCGCGTGTGACTCGGTAGGCATCGGCGTTTCCGAGGTGCTCTGTTTCTACTCGGACTAGGGTATCAGCGAAGGCTCGCGCTATCGTCAGGGGAGGGGAGCTTACAGAAGTTCCACTGCCATCGACGGAGCATCTCGAGCAGGGCGAAAAAGAAGCTGCGTAGTCGGGTATGGGATGCTCGAGCGGGGATATACCAAACAAAAATGAACCGGATCAGGAGGTTGGTGACCATGGCGAAGTAGTATACCTAGATCGTCAGCATATGCTCCCTGAGAAACAGGGCGATGACATACCGAGCGACTGCTGTATCCTCGGTCTTTCCGCAAGCCCGCTGTGCCGGGTCGGAGAAGAGACCAGTCGACCACAAAGTCCTGCATGATCAGCATGCGCTCCAGCTGTGCAGCTGATATGCGGTTCCTTTCAAGCTCACCCAAGAGGTGTTATAGATGGCGCTGATCGAAGCGACAACCATCCACGCCGCAAACACAGAATCTGGGATGTTGCTTCCTATTCGAGCATCAGCCCAAATTTCCTCCTAGCAGGTGAGGCCGACGTACCGCGTATCCTCCACCACACAAACATGCCATATTGGAGAACCGAGAATGCATACTTTCCAGCCTGATACTTCAGCTGCCTTCCCTGGTTCGGTATGGCTCTTGACCTACATTGATCAAGTGGATCTTGAGCATCGAGTCAAAGTATCGCTTCAAACATTGAATCAAGCGTATCATCGCTGGAGCGGCCAAGACCAGGATATACGGCCATTGTGCGCCAGAGGGGCAGACCGTGTACAGATCATCAGGCCATCGATTGGCATCTGGGTAGATCAGCTCCGTCTCAGCTCGTTGGATATGGAAGATTCAGCTTACATGCGCAAGACAGGAAGAGAATGGTACTCAGGGAGTACGACAAGCTATTGGGGTCAGCGGTGTCCTCATGAAGGCACGGACTTGGCTCACCTATTCAGCTCATCGGCGATAAAGAAAGCGATGAACTCTACTCGGCTCCAACCGGGCGTGATCACCCGCCAGAGAACGCGAAGAGCCCAGAACCTAGATCGTCGACGAAGTATCGGGAACGGGTTTAAGAAGAAGACAGCGACGAAGACTAGCCAGGCGGCAGGCCATCTGCGAGGTCAGCTCAGCTCTGACTAGACACTCGTGGACGTACGTGGTAGGCGCAACGTTCTCAATGCCTATGCGGAAGAAGGAGAAGTACATGCAAACACTGAGGGTGAGGAAGAGGAAAGAGGGGATCTGATGGCATCAGCAGTCGTCACCATCGCGGGAAAGAGGAGAGGGTCAGCTGACCTCCATGTATGATCTGAAGTCCACGACAGGGCGAGTGAGCTCCATAACGAACTGAAAAGTCAGCTTCGAGCGCGACCAACAATGGCCCATAACCTCACCTCGTAGTTGATCCGTGCAGAAACGAAAGCGTCAAGGTTCAGTTCGAAGAGAAGAGCAAAGATGACCGGGAGATAGAGGCCCCCGTAGATCTGCAGCAATCCAGCCCACGAGTCGATGGCCTCTTCGTCCTGTACGCGCAGAGCTAGAATATCAGCTAGAGATCCCATCCAAATGGGCAGGCGACGGACCTTGCACAATCGAAATAATAGCTGTGGGTAGACCGACACCCATCATGACTCCAGACCGGAACACGCTCGAGTAATGCTATGCTGCGTCAGCTGCTTTCACCCTTCAGCAGATTGAAAACTTACCGTGGCGACGTAGTCCTGCTTTCGCAATCGATCTCTCGCCTTCTTGGTATCCCCATGCTCAAAGTGCTCCGTGAAGAGCTCCTCCACGCTCTTCAACATCGCCTCGATCGTTTCACCCTTGGCAAATGCCTCCTGCGAGATCCGTTCTTCGGTAAACATCTCGAGACAGTGCACCTTGGTCGTCTTTTCGAACTTCTTCAGCGCTTTTCGGAAGCCCGTAACGTTCAAGATCTGCCTTAGTCAGCTATAGCTCTGAAAGACGAAGCTTGGCCCAGCTCACCCGATAGTTCTTGATGATTTCGAGATTCCGATAATGCTCCAGCGTTGCCTTCCGCAGTTCGTGCTTGTACTTGGTATACCGATCCGCCGAAAACTGCTTCCTATCCCTCTCGCTCAATTCACTATACCTGGCTGCACCAGGGCCCATCCCGATCTCCGCCTCTGCCCGCTTCCTGTCTTCCGCCGTCTTCGCCCCTCCCAGCCCTGCTCCATTCGGCAGCCGCTGCTGCAGCTTCTGAGCAGCATTGGCCACGCCAGTCACCGTCGCGTGAGCAGCAGCGGAGCCTACGCCCGGCAGAAGCCGCTCGACCGTGCTCTCCCATTTCGGTAGTGTGCCGGGATAGAACTCGTGATACAGCTTTCGGTGCTCGGCGAGCTCGATTAGCTGCTTCCGGAGTTCTTTGCCCCGCCGAGCTGCGTCTTCCTGGCGTGCGAGGTAGAAGGATTCGACCTTTTGGAGTTCGGCCTCGAGGAAGTCGAAGAAGGACTTTTCGTCCGGCTCGAGCTCAGAGTACAATTCCTTGAAGGAAGGTGCAGATCTGGCGGGAATGAAGGGGGATGCGATGGTCATGGATCCTGGCGTGTCAGCTCAGCGTAAGGCGAGATGAGAGAAGACGTACGGATACTTCTGGTCCCTGATCTGGAGTTAGCCACGGGGCCGGTAACCGGACTCGGCGCACTTGATCCTAATCCATCAAACGCGCTGAAAGCCAGCCGTGGGCTCCTAATTGACCGCGATGGGCTTCGAGCTAGACCGCTCGGCCCGCTCGTGGCAGCATTGAGCGGCGCAGAGGGGTCAGACAACGCAGAGAGCCTCGAGTCGTCCGACTCTCCCGAATTTCCCCTCTTCCCCTCGGCCAGCGTCTCCAGTCCACGTTCCGCCTCGAGCTCCTCCGGAGACTTGCTGAGCGCCGCTCCGGCGTCGGCGGCGGGAACGAACGAGACCGTACCATGTCGAGGCCTGCCGGAGTTTGAGATGTTCTGAGCGATGCTGGGCTCGCCAATATCCAGAGGAGGCGGTATAGACGTGATCCGGTTTAGCGGTCGGGGTGAGAGGGTAGTCGAGCCGTAATTTGGTGTCTTGTTCGGACTTTTGCCAGTCTGTTACATATCAGAATGACTCCAGTAGGCCATCTACACGCAGCTGGACTCACTGGATCCTTGCTTCTCGGTGTTGGAGGAGTACCCCTAGTCGAGCTGGCCCGCATACTCGGAGTGAAACGCTTGGGCGGAGCAGCGGGTCCATGATCCCCATCATTGTCCGAGCTGTCATTTCCGCTTCCATCCGCCGCCGCCTTGGCCGCCGCCGCGTCCGCAGTGACCTTAGGACTGCCTCGATTCCGAATGCGAGCATCGATGACCTTGATCCTTTTCTTGCAGCCCTTATAGTCCATGTATGCGCGGCGCCATTCCGGGGTGAGATTCTCCTCTAGATATCTTGTAAACAAATTAGCACGTTCCTCTTTGCAGCTCTTCCAATGGGCATAGGGGAACTCACCGACCGAACTTCATCCTGATCAGTTTTTAGCGCCGCTATGGACGTCTCAGATGGGCTATGTACAGTTCATGGGAGGTGTGTGTGATGGCAAATTTGCTGGACAGATCACAGAAGCAAGAAGGTTTGAGGGTGGAGGTGATCCTCAGCCAAATTCGCGACATGATCCAGGCACGCGCCAAATCCAAACAGGCTTGGCATGACGCGCTGGGAGCCTTCCCTTGGCCCTCCGCGGCTGTGACATCTTTCGATGATGATGCAATGCGGAGATTCCAGGACAGGTATGAAGGGCTGGACTATGTGCTACATGCATTCGCGTACCTCTATCTGAACTGATATTCCCTAACTAGATGATGAGAATCCCACCAGCACTACTCCCTGCCCCCTCATCCATTTCCAGATGTATCCCTCTTACATTGATCAATACCGACCCTGCTCTCCTTGATTCGTCTCGAAATACTGGTCCCTGCTCCACCTCCTATTATCACCATTCCCAGCATCCCCCATCGGCGTAAAGTACTGGCTCTGCCCCGTCCGCGTCGTACTCCCAGTAGACATCGGCCTAGTCGATGCCCCTACGCCCGCATACCCCGCCAAAGGAGTACTCGCTCCGCTCCTTGAGACAGGAGGGGCAGAGACCCGGTTACCCCGTGCTGCTGCAGCATAGGCATTGGACGAGTCTGCCGGCTCGTTGTAGTATCCGGACTGCTGTTGCTGCGGGTAGGGCTCGTACACGTTCGAGACGGGCTCCATGACGGATGTCCGGCGGTGCATCGACTCGCGCGGGTCTTGGTATGTCGATTCGCGAGGGGTGGGAGGGGTGGTTTGAACCATGGCGGGACGGAGAGAGGAGTCTTCCGAGGCGACGTAGCGCTGGACCTCAAAGCCGTCCTCGATCCGGTCGTCGTGACGGCGCCAAAGCCAGCCGTACCCTACAGAGTCAGCCTCAGTTCACGTCAAAGCATGCAAGAGGCTCACCGAGGTTGAAGAGAAGCCCAAAGAACAGCAGCACGGCGGGGATACCGAACAGCACGATGATCACGAATCCGATGATTGTCCTTGGGATCGGCCTGACGCCCACCCTGGGCAAGAAGGCAATGAGCAGACCAAACGCCGCCAGTCGACAGAAGCTGAGGAAAGGCGCGAGCCAGTCCCCCTTCCTGTCCTTGTGCGGCCGGCAAGCGAGCAGCGCGACAAGCACGATAAGCTCGACGACGACGTTCCCGATGACCTGCGCAAACCCGTCCTGGGGACCGAAGGCGATGAAGCCGGACCTTGCGATGATGGCGAGGACGAAGATGAACCAGAACCAGTGAAACTTCTGGCGGTAGGCCCGGTAGAGAGCGCCGCCGGAGTGGAACCAGTTGTACGAGGTGTACAAGAAAGAGACGCCGGGGCTAGTGGAGGAGCGACGGCGGTGGCGGATGATGGTGAAGATGAAGACAAAGAGGAGGGGGAAGAAGGTGAGAACGATAGCGAAGACGCCCCAGAAGATGGCGAGTGCGGAATCGCGGATCCGGAATTGGAAGAAGGCAAAGAGCCAGATGGGGAAAGACCACATGAGGCACTATTGGTCAGCAAAGACCGGACATTAAACTCACCATCAACAGCGCGTTACCGGCCATCCAGAGCCAGAACTTGCTCCTGAGATCCTGCGCCCAGATGTTCCGTCCGCCGATCCGAGAGATGGCAAAAACGATACCGTGGAAGAGGAGGAAGATGCCGATGAAGGCGAGGAAAAAGAAGAAGACGGTAGTCATGACGTTGGGATAAGGGATACCTTGATTTTGGACGTAGATTGGAATACCCGTGGTGTCGAGGCGGGAGCCCACGTTGGCGACCGTGCTGGTCACCCCGGTGATCTGTTGTTGCCTAGCCTCAAGGGCCCGCTTGGATAGACCTGGGATGCCGAAGCCCGATAGAGCATTGGCCAACGCCTGGAGCTGCTCGATGATCTGGTTGATGTTGACATAGTCGTTGTACGGACTCGAGCTGCGGTCGATGTACCGTACATTGCTGGTGATGTCGCCGTTCAAGTATCCGCCGGTCCGGTACCGCATCTGGTTGATGGTGTTCTGCATCCCGCCCGATCCGAACAGGGCGTGCGCCCAGGCAAAGTTCCGGGTGAAGGCGCTGTACGCGGCAGGGTAGTTGAGGTTCATCATCCCCGTAGCTGCGGCAGCTTGGAAGAGGAAGAGGATGTCAAACCACCGGTACTGCGCGGGCGAAGCGGTATTAGCGGCCGAATGGATGAGACCGACGAGGAGTGCCACGGCGGTAAATGCGCCGGTGGCGATCTTGACGGCGAGGTGCTCCGTGGTAAGACCGTTGGATAAGGTTGTCTGGACGCAGAGAGCGTTGGTCCCATTAGGCTGACGCAGCTGCAGGCGGGCCCATGCTTCCAGATTGGGAACGGTATATGCGATAGCGGGAATGTCGATGTCATTGGGTAGAGCAAACGTTCCGTACGCTGTAGATCAGCTCGGCTATCACTGCGGACAAAGATGAAGACATACCTGAGATGTTCAAAGTTGGCAAAGGGCAAAGTGCCCCTCCGATCAATTGACAGATATCTACCGTCCGGTTGATAAGGTCCATCCCGTACGCATTGACGTAGATGTTGGCGTCGACATTGACGCCCGAGGCGGTCGATGCCAGGTTGACATAGAAGACGAGAGAGTTATTGGGCCGGTGATAGGTGACCGCAAAGTCGTTGATGAGGATGGATGTGGGCGGAGCGCAGTAGGATGCCACATCGCTGTAGAGCGTGTCTACGGCGGAGACAGAGCTGAGGAAGGGGAGGGCGGCGAGTAGGAGGGGAAGGCGGAGGGAAGAAAGGAGGCGCATGATATTCTGAGGGTCAGCCGCTGCTGATCACCTAAGTCTGGAGAACTTACCTGGACCGAGAGGTCAAGCAAGCTATGTGAAAGCGGGGAGCAGGATCGGTCCGCTGGCTTGGCGGAGCTTTTGTCGGGGAAACGCCTCAAGTCCTTCTTTGCGAAGCGGCTGCCTTGCGCAGCAGGCGATGTGCTGAGCTGAGCTGAGCTGCGGGATGAGATGGATGGATGTACAACGTCAAGACACACGAAGAGGCAGAGAGGACCATTGTCTCAGCTGGGCTGTACAGAGACCGCTTCCCGCCAAAAGTTCTGTACAATACGTCATCGGGCTCCGTATCCGTCTTTTGCCTCTGGGCATCGACTGCGTGCGCTCTCTTCCGGCGGGAGGGCGCTCTTCCAATCCCTCTCCGGCGTTGCGAACAACGAGAGAGGTACGAGAGACATGCGCAGATGCATGGGGACTGCAGCCATAGCTTCACCTGCTGGGCGATAGAGTGGGGGAGCATCTGCGCCGAGATGCAGGTCGGCGACTCCGCCACATTCCGATGCCGCGGACTTCCGACGGAAAGAGGCGTTTACGTAAGCTCGCAGTTGGACCATCTTTTGAACGGTGAGCTCGAGATCATGCAGCTCTACTTCCAATCACTTGATCCTGTTCGCAGCATAGGCACGACTTCAGAGACTTCAGATGTTCGCCTTCAGACCAAGCTCAATATCCTGCAGTGGATTATTATGGTTCGTCACCCATTTCGACATCGCCCGAGCGAACTCTGAGAGCTGATATCTGACTAGGAAATCACCATGGCGACTTTCATCAACGAGAAAGGCGAACCTGCGAAAGAGGCTTAAGGCGGTCGATAGGGTCATTGCGGCGGTGGCAGAGTCCGGAGTGCAGACGAGGAGTCTGGTCAAGGCGTTGGCGTTACCAACGGAGAGCGACATGGAGGCGAGAGGTGAGTTCACTGGATTGACAGTGTATGATGTGATGCTGATCGTGCAGATAAGTACACGACGTTCGACCCGCACGGCAGAAATTTCAGGAAGTCAGTACATAAGGTACCGAAGTGGACGAAGGTGGGCCACCCCTTTTCTTTATAAGAAGAGGCTCGAGCTGACCCGATAGTTAACGCTGCGCGAGAATCCCAAGGGCTTCTAGACCAACCCATCCCACTCTTTTCCGGTGTACCAGCAGAACGCATCATGTAATACCATTGCATTCCTATCGTCGTCTCGGTCATACTTATTCGTCTCACTATCAGATATTTTAATCACAGATCGGTTCGACAGATACAGCGCCGACCCCACCTCGGATCAGGGCGTTCACCTGCCCCACCCGGTACTGCCATACCAGAACCCACCCATCGAATTCTGCGCCTGCGCTTGCGGAACAGGCGAGTTTCCGTGCCTGCCCGGATACCCCTGCGCCCCTCCGCCAGGCGACCATGTGCCATACCCATACCCTCCGCCCTGACCCTCGCCATGACCGCCATACCCCTGCATACCCATGCCCATTCCGTGCATCCCATAAGCGGGGTACCCGAAGTCGCTCAATGCGGGTGAGGGGTAGGGGTTGTACTCGTAAGCTTGGTGCTGTCCGGTCCAGCCGACCCCGGCGTGATTCTGCCAGGCTTGCTGCGGCTGGTGGACGTATTCGTAGGTCGGAACCGGGCTCGAAGTGGGGTGTGATCGGGATCGCGAGTGACGGGAGTGAGGTTGGGACCGCTGAGCGGGGTTGGGCTGGGAGTAAGGCGGTGCGAGAGGTGATTGAGGGGAAGGAGGGGGTATGATGTTCAGCGGGACTGGCTCGCTCGCTTTTGGTCGCTGTGTTGTCAGCTTGGATCCTGGCTCAACAGATTGGCATGCTCACCTCGTCTACCGATCGGACCAGCCACGACGCCATGCACTGCATCACTGATGGCTCTTTTGCTTTGCGATGCAAAACAGGCGAGCATGACGCGCTGGTGTAATTTGAGTTCTGCTGATCAGCTAAACGCGAGGTCGGACTGGTGCAAATCTTCTCCTCAGCCTCCTCGTCTCGTCCAGGCTCGCTTTGTGTGTCCTATCCTGATCACTCTGCCTGATTTGATCTCAACCCTTGCCCACGTATCTCGCCTCCCATCCTCAAGCACCCCTCCGCCTCACCATCTCTCAACCCGCGCGTCCACCTTAACCCCCCTGTCCCCAACCCGTCCACCTGATCACAATACCTCATCATTCTCGTCTATTCCTTATATCTATCTTCCTTCACGTGAGGTCTGAATACTCACGAAAGTTCCGAAAACCCAATACTTCAGATTCGTTACCACAAAGAAGAACACCTGGTTCTGCACACAAGCATCATATACCTCCTAGATTCAGCTTGATCATTTGCTTTCAGGAGAAGCTGATGTCTCACCTGAGCCTGCAACAGGTTCGCCTGCCCCACGTCCCCAGTGTACGCCTCGGAGGGCAACATCCACCATTCCCTCCTCGGCTTTGCGAACTCTCGCATCACCGCGCTGGATACGATGCCCGGCGGCCTGACCTCCAGTATCATCGACCGATCGCTCGAATTGTCTTTGTGTACCGAGACGAGGGTGCCGAAGCCTTCCCACAGCGCGTGACTATCTTTCGAGCGGGTACGGCGATGCTGCGGCTGAGGCGCATATGGGGGCGGAGGTGAAGGGATGAGGTGGAATGCGAAGGGTGAAGCGGAGTGGCGCAGCATGTGCAGTACAGAGGTGGCTGTTTGAAGGAGCTAGATATCAGCTTGAGTACTGTTTCAAAGAAGGTTTGCCTTACCGATCCAGTCACCCAGCTGAGCAGACCGTTATCCGGCGTACTCTGCGCCTTCTCGTCGTAGAATTCGAGCGTCTGATACCCTTGCGCAGGAAGCGCGAAGATTTGCTTTCCCCACCTGTTTTCGGGATCGACCGGCTCGGACGGGACATTTTGCTGACACCCTGACGTATCAGTCCGAGTTCTTCACATTGGGACTTACAGTCGACAATCTGCCTGTCCCAGAATCGGTCCAACGTGCCCCAAGACGTCAGAGCTCTCATGCCCCGGCTCCCCTCAGCCGCCTCTGCCCGGCGGTACCACTCCCACCCCGCCGCGCCGTTCTTTTTGGACATCACGCCTCGCTCCCGTTTGCTTCCACCTTCACCAGGAGGAACAGGCCACTCCCGCCATTCCGCCAGATATATAGTCGCAAGATAGGCAAAGAGGTTTTCTGCAGGCGGGACGAGCAAGATGGGCGAGTGGGGACGACGAGAAAGACCCCCTCCACTGCCGCCGAAGGGCGCATCGTCAAAGTTGAGGTTGCGGGAAAAGGAGGAGAATAGGGCGCGGAGGGAGGGGCGCGGTGGAGCTGTTTGAGCTGGAGGCGGAAGAGGGGAGATGGGGGAAAGCTGGTCCGGCCAGGCATTCGAGGGTGCCTGGAATGACCGAGCTCGGATAAGCGGGAAGTCGGGTGAGGTCTGGGGTCCGCCGGTCCTCTGGGGAGAAGTATGGTGCTCTGCCGCTTGTTGGCTGACAGAGTCGGTAGGCGAGTGGGATGTAGCTTGGCCTGGAACAGGACGCCGGAAAGAGCTCGGCGGACCCCGCTGGTGCCGCTGCGGCTGGTGGTCCCGGTGACCATTCTCTGGCGGAAGGCTAGGCCTACTACGCAGCACGTCGATGACGCTCGATACGATGCTCCCTGGCCGTCCAGGAAGGGGCTTGTCTCGTCCACAATTGCCTCCCCCGCCGTGGGAGGTGGTAGTGAGGTCGACCCGGCTCGACATGGCTGATCTGAGAGCGGGCTTGAGCATTTCGCGCTTGAAGATGCGATGGCGGGGCGTCTTTCTTCCCAATCCTAGCGAAGATCAGCTAGGATACTCTATAGTAGAGATCATGTCAGGCGCGGTCCAAGCCTCTCGATCGACTTCGGCGAAGAAGTCGGCCCCCCTCGTGAACTGAAGTGAGGGGCTTGGACCGAGCCTAACATCATGTAGCTTACCTATCACCTCGATGGCTTCCCCCGCTGCCCCTATCCCCTGTGTCGCGCCGAATCCTGGTTCCCACGCCCCGAGGGTAGATCGAGGACGATATCCCTCCTCTCCTGACGCATCACCTTCTTCCCCCGAATCACCTCCCCTCCTCCTCGACAAACTTCCATCCTCAAACGACACCCTTGACCTCAAACTCCTCCCCGACGCTTTCCGCCCGATCGCCTGCCTCGTCGCGTCCGACCCGCTCTCCCCTCCCGATCCACCGCCCGACCCCGCCGTACTCTGACTGCCTGACCGCCGTCTCGCCCGAGACGTATACGGGGTGGGTGCCCGCCGATGAAAGGGGTTCCCCACCCTCTCCGCCTGGAAAGCAGCCTTGGCCGCCTCTGGATCCTCATATACCCTCTCCGTCGGACTCAGCCGCTGTCTCGTTCGCACCTTCCTCTTCCCCATTTCAGGCGGTGGCTCGTGCAAGCGCAGTGACCCCCGACTACTGGAGCGAGTGGGACCGCTTCCGCCTTGGTCCTCTTTGGGCGTGACGGTCGTCATCTGACTCGTCTTGGCTGGATCGGCGCTGAGTTCGCCTCTCTCCGTCTTGTCGCTCGGAACGGCGGATGTCCTGTGATGATGACGGCCGGTACTCCCTTTCGAGCTGTGGGTCATTTTCGTAGGATCTCCGGTGAGAATGCCGTCTTTCGCGGTTATCGTATGATCCCCTCTTCTGACTCTCCTCCCTATCCTTCTTGTCCCCGTAACGAGCCGAGCTAGCGGACCGCCTCAGATCAGGTGGCGCAAGCTGTAAGCCCAGTGCACTGTCCCGGAAGCTGTGGTGACCCCCTTGACCCTGCGGGTAGTACGTATCTATAACTTGCGGGCCAAGGATATAGGTTGGCGCCGAGAGGTTTCGAGCGAGGTTGGGCGGTGGGACCGACGGGGATTGAACGTTGACGGGGTAAGGGACGGGTACGCCGATATAGGATGTAGAATGTTGAGGCGGATAGACGATGTAGGATGGATGAGGGATGAAAGGCGGCGGAAGGGCTGTGGGTTGAGTGATGATGGGTCCGACGGGGAGGATAACCTGGGGAGGGTAGACTGTACAGTCAGCAATCGTTCCGATGAAGTCCATCATCATCCTCTACTACGGCTGTAAGAGCTCACCTCGTTGTCTATCGAAAGCGTAGCAGCAGCAGCAGCACTCGTCAGAGCAGCACGGCGCCCCACACGAGTCTTGTCGCTGATATGGGCTTGGGTATGAGCGACGACAGCACGAGCCTGTGTCGTAGTGAGGAGAGCAGCAGCCTCGGTCGTCGCAGTCTCGGTCGCAATCACAGCAGCAGCAGGCGCCTCCTGGATGGCAGCAGGATCCTCCTGGGTGACCGTAATCCTTCTTCAGTCAGCTTGGGAGCTAAAGTCTAGCGTTTTGGATGGAGGGAGGATGGAAATGAGACTCACGGACGAACAGCAGAGGCCCATTCCCCTTCTTTTTGAGGTGTCAGCGGGTCAGAAGAAGGTGAGGAGTCAGATGTGGAAGATGATGGGGGAGATGCGAGGCGGAGTTGTAAGCAAGTTTGGGGCAGGGAGGTCAACATGGCACGAGATGGAAGGGCGGGGAGGGGGAGTGTGTGGATCGTGTGTGCGTCCCATGCGAGCTTTGCGTGCGTGGTCAGTGACTGCTTAGCGCTTTTGTCCTCCTTGTAATGTCCATCGTCGCTCCTCAGGCCTTGATACCTCGCCCGCGACCTGGTGAAGAAGAGTCTGAGTCATAGCAGCGCTCCGGAGAAGCTCTTTGCAGAATGCTGGAAGGTTCGAAGATTGAGTTAGGTTTGAAGCTGTGTTGAGGCGGATGTCGCATGTCGGTCTTGGCGCCGTGGTCGACACAAGGAACGCACCATCCTCAAAGCCTCCTCCTCCTTCAGCCGCAAACATCTACCTTCCTCCATCAAACAATCATGGGCTGTTTCTCATCAGTGAGTCATATTCCTTGCGCGCTATGCGGCGTCGGAGATGTACGAGCCCGAGATGGGGGATCGGGAACATCGCGAGCCCTAAGACGCGTGCGCGAGATGGAGCTGATATAGCAGAAGCACCAAGAGATCGTATACGACAACCCCGGCTACACTATGCGGACTGTCGATAAGAACGGCCGGCCATGCTCTCCCACCTGGGCCACGCGAATATCAGGGGCTGGGAAGGGATATGGGAGGAAGACGAGAAAGCCGGGAGGGATATTCGCGGCGGCTGGGGCGATGGGATAGTAGCGAGCGTATGAGGGAAACCACCCGCCGACTACCACAGAACGGGACAGTCTGAGGGACTACCGAATGTTTGCAAGGAGCATCCGAGGAGAGACGAAGGGTTATGCGTAGTCACTCGCTGGGAACAATCCGGAACTTGAGATCTGCATGTATGAGTCGCCTCAGATCGCTCGCTCCGCACTGTTCATTTTCGCCGGTGCCCACATGACGGCTTGACTGCTGTTCTGCACCCTGAATGATCCTATGTTCATCGCTATCATATCCGATACAAACAACTTCCTTGCCGAGTTCCCGATATGACCAAGCCCAACCTAATCTTTGACCTCCTGATGAGCCGCCTTCGGCGTCATCCCCCCATTCTCCACATCCTTCTCCAACGCCTTCGTCACCCCACTCGCACTAACTCCCGGCTCGGGCGGTGGTGGCGCACCGCCCGGTGGAGGAGCTGCCGACGCGCCAAAGTAGTCTCTTGCCACCTCGATCTTGGCCACATCGGGATGAGCGGCATTTTGCTCCGCGTGCTGTTCGGCCATTTTCTTGGGGTTGGGGCGGTGCGTGTCGACTGCGGCGATGGGGAGGGGGTAGCGCTCTTCGTGGCATCCATACGCCATCGGTGTGATTTTGATGAGGGTATGCAGGGGGATCTAGCGTTAGCTGAGCGCAAGCAGGGGGCTTACTTTGATGTATGGGAGTTCTTCTTGAGAAAGAGCCATGAAGTACGCATAGAGACTTCGAAGGATGGCCTGTCTGTCAGCTGAGACATCATCAACAGCTGATACCGAAGAAGACTGACCTGATGTGCGATGATCAAGATATTCTCCTGTCTCTCCAACTCCATGATGACCGGTTCCAGCCTGACCACCACATCCCGATAACTCTCTCCGCCCCTGTATCGATAATTGAACTTATCTTCGTCCCGCGCCTCATAGTCCTCTGGATACTTCTCCTCGATCTCCTCATACGTCATCCCATCGCACACTCCCGCATCCAGCTCGTCCAGCGACTTCCAGGTCTTGTGCTCGAAAGGGAGGAAGGAGCCGGTCTGGATGGTCCGCTGGAGGGTTGACGTCCACACTTCGAGCGGGCCGTCGCCGATGTTTTGGCGTACGAGGTCGGGAAGGGCCTTGGCGTACTGCCATCCCTGAGGCGAGATGTCTGAATCTCCACCGATCTTGCCCGAGACATTGTACATGGACTCTCCGTGCTGTTGGTCAGCAATATTCAGCGCTAAACTTACTCTTGAAAGGTAGATATGCCGGGGCTTAAGATGCAGGTTCATGAGGTAGAATGCAATCCGAGATTGGAGGTACCCGTCGATCCGGTTGATGGTCACCTGTTGCCCGACATTCAAGATCCGGCAGAAACTGATCCCTGGCTCCGTGATGGTTTGGTATACCCGCTCGTACGCCTCGATACGTTTCCGGAAATCCCGCTGGGCTTCCTCCTCGGACATACCGGCGTAGTCGGGATCACCAGACCGGGCTTTGAGGACGACGTTCGCAGCGATGACTTTGGGATCATTGCAAAAAGATTCGAGGAAGAGGAGTTGGAGTCCGGGCTCCTGAGCGACCCGCTTCCGGATCTTTTCGCGCCGGTCAAAGGTACTGTTGGTTGCGTCTACTTCGTCAGGTCCAGCTCGCTTGTAGAGATCAGGACTCACCCATGATCCCAACATTTCCCTCCTTCTTCAGCCAGCTAATGAGACTCTCCAGACTCTCCGACGCCAGCTGTTCCCGTATAGCTTGTCCCTTCTCGTTCGAAGCGCTGAAATAGTCTGCCGAATGGTCGACCTTTTCTCCGCCCAGCTGCTGCTCCGCTCTAGCCTTGGACCGACGCAGCTGACCGACGTTGAAGACGTCCACCTTGTACTCGAGCCACTGCGATGTCAGCTAGCGCTCAGCTCAAAGCGAGCGACCCAGCTCACCCGAAGATATCGCATAAGCCTGTTACTGAGGTATGACTTTCCCCTTGCTGGCAGGCCGACCATAGCCACCACAATCTTCGCCTCCGAATAGTCTGGCTTCTCCACCACCGCTCCGATGCCTGATACCGACGGTGCGCGAGTAGGCGCCTTTGAGCTCTGCCTCAGCACCTTTGTAGCGTCATCCAGTGTTTTCAGTCTGCTCATCAGCTCCTAATCCAGCTGGTACTCTAGGGGCGGGACTCACAATTCTGATTGAGCCCCAAAGTGTGGTGTTCCCGGAACAGAGATAGTCTTCCCTTCCAGCTTTCCCTCCCCCGCGGGCATAGCCAGGGGATTTTGCTGTATCAACTTGTCCAGCCCTTCCAGCTGTAGCTGTCCCGGCGGGTTTGGGCTATTTGACCCGCTCACGTCCGGGCTGGTAGCTGCGGAGGGCGCAGCAGACCCAGCAGGCGTTTTGACCGACTGCAAAGTGTTGAGGTTCTTCATCGCGTTGGCGAGATCCGAGGGGTCCACCGGCGGCTGTCCGTCCTCCTTGGTCGTGGAGGTGAGCGGCTTTGGGGCGAGGTATGGGGATCGATCCGCGGACCTGGGCTTTCCCGAAGTGGGTACTGGGGGCGTGCTGGACATTTTGGCTAGCTTCTCAGCCGGCGCGGGCTGAGGTGGCTTTAATCTCTTTTGCTGTGGTAGGGTGTTGCTATGATAGATGAAGAGATGGATATAGGCGGCTCGAGTCAAGCGATCCCGCACTGATCCAAGTCCAGGCACGAGCGTGCCGTAATTAAACTGGTCACACGTGGCTCGGCGCTAGCGTACGCGTCCATGCAACGGCTTGAGCTTTCGCGCCACAACTCACAACTCTCTTCTGTCTCACTTTTTGCATTCACCAGAGGGGGCAGGTGCCAGATGTCAGAGACGTTAGGGTCGAGGCGGCGGGACAGTAACGTTACATACACGAGGGAGGAATTCAGCCTAACTTTCCTGACTTTCGATATCGATTCACCCACTCATCACAGTTCCTACCTCTTCCTACCCTTTCTGCCTTTCACCCCTCAGCTCACAGATACTCCCTTTCCCCTCACGGACGCGCCGCAAATCACATCGGACCCCTTACTCCATCACCTCAAAGACACAGACGTTATGGTCGAGAACGCAGAAGACGACAGGCTGCGATACACAGTCAAGTGGGTGCGTACAAGCTCGGCTTGCTTCAGAATTTGAGCCTAGACAGACTACAAGCTGACTGTCTAGGAACCTGGCCATATGGATCCCACTTGCGCCTTGTACTATGGCTTCACTCGCCTTTCGCCTGCCTGGCATCATCCAAGCCGTATCGAAAGATGCCTCAGATCGATTTCCACCCCAGCAGCGCTCAGCTACACCCCGCGAAGACCGGCCACCCGGCTACGGCGGTATGGGAAAGCAGGCTCGTTCCGGCTCTACGGCGGATGCTCGACCGCCTATCCGTCACTCGGGCGGTCCTTCATCTCGTCCGCATCTCGCGTCCGATCAATAGTTCCATGGACTGGGAGACAAATTCGCTCACCGAGGTCATCGTCTGGATCGGGGTGGACACGGATACCGCGCCCGAGCTGGCCAGCGATCTGGTCGCTGGGACTCTAGCGGAGTTGCAAGCGCTGGAGCTCGACAAGGTCGAGTGCGAGGTGTTTACCTCCCGCACCATCTCCTTGGCGGGTCCTCCTGTCTATGCTGGACCTACCTTCCGGGAGGACGGCTTTCTTCCGGATCGGGCTCAAGAAATCGCTCGGCAATTCGTAGTGGGCATCGGTCTCGACATTACCCCGCACGGCTCTCAGCTCCAGGGTACGGGTGGCGTATTTGTCAAACTCGAGGGGCGCACCGGTATCTATCTCTTGACCTGTCATCACCTCCTGGATGATGATCCCGGCGCGGAGAGGCTCATCGATGGATACCGGACAGGGACGGCGGTCAGCCTCTGCACGGACGCCAGCTTCAGCAAGCATATGGATGACCTCGGCGAAGCACGTCGATATGCGGGATCGGAGTTGGAGAGGAGCAAGGGGTGGATGGAACGGGCGGACGGGGTCGCGGGTCGCCCGCGCCGTCGCAGCTTGGATGCTAGGATGGTTGAGCACGCAGAGAAGAACGTATTGGAAGTGGACGCACTGCGGAGAGCACTTGAGACGGAGTGGGCGGGGTCGGACAACCGGATCGTCGGGCAAGCGGTCTGCTATTCTCCCGTCGAGGTGTCTGGCCAGGACGGTGGCGCTATCTCCCCGGATACACCTGTCGCGGAACAGCCTCTGCGGTGGGAGCTGGATTGGGGGCTAGTGAAAAGGACGAGGCCAAGTTAGGGGACGTGCGGAAACCCAATCGGAGCTTCCTCGACGGTCGTAGCCTGCCCGGTCTGGGCGATGTTGTCCTCGATCGCGATTACTACGAAGACTGCGCCGTCCCCGTAACAGGCATCGTCTCGATATGCGAGATCGGTGAAACGCAAACTCGCGTATTCAAGCGGGGCGCCGGAACCGGATTGACATCGGGCGTACTCAATCCGGTGCGGTCCGTTCTACGGGATCGTCGGATGTGCGACGGCCAGATGCAGGTGGTCGACACCTGGGAGATTTGCGCCATGGCATGGTCGCGGCCTAACAATACGTCCGGACACGATCGTAACGATTACGGGCCGTTCTGTGCGCCCGGGGATTCGGGCTCGATCGTCGTCCGAGTGGATGGGCGCGCGATCGGCATGATCTCTAGGGGTCTAGCCGGTTTCGATAACAAGTACTATGGGGACCGGTGCCATATCGCACTCGTGACTCCTATCGACCTGATCTTCGAAGACATGGCGCGTCGGTACGGTCTAGTGGCGTCGCTGGCTTGACCGCCGCGCAGGGAAGGGCAAGGGGTAGAGTGAGGAGGGAAAGGGTTGAGCAACTTGAGGTGGACGTGGCGAGTCGCAGGAACGCGTGACAGGATGAGGAAGGGACACGAGAATGCATGCTATCGTTTCTGCGAGCGAGGCACAGAGCTAGATCCTGCGTCCCTCTGTAGTAGTTGCAGATCCTCGTACAACCACAGTCCCGCGCTGATCTAGTCCTGCAGCTGGGTCCAGGAAAGTCCAGGCACGTCCACCTGCCGTAACGGCCCAACATTCGGCTGCAGAGCTGCAGCATGTATGAGCTCTGTTCTGTTTCACATATCACCATTCACTATGAGAGGAGGCGAGCCTCACGCTCGAGGTGAGTGGTCCGGCTATCCACGCTACGCGCTAATGGCGAGGGCGAGGAATACAGCCCAATATCTCTGATATTCAACTCCCATTCAGTACCATTCTTACCAAGCCCATCATCGTGCCAACATTCTATCCTCAACTCACCCGTACTCTCCTACCCTTCACACCCCAGCACAAAGCACCTCGAACACCTCCTTCTACCGGCACAAAGACACAGACATCATGGACCAAAGCGGAGAAGACGATAGGCTGCGATACACGGTCAAGTGGGTACGTACCAGTCTGGCTTAATCGGAAACTTGATCTATGACCTACAAGCTGACAGGGCAGGAACTCGGCCATGAGGAGACCACGTATACCTTGTACCACGGTCTTCACTCAAGGCCCGACTGCCTCGCATCATCCAAGCCATATCGGAAAATGCCTCAGATCGACTACCACCCCAGCGATGCTCGGCTTCTGCCAGCACCACTCGGCCACCCGGCGACAATCGTATGGGAAACTCAACTCGTTCCGGCCCTACGACGCATGCTCGACCGTCTATCCGTTACTCGCGCCGTCCTGCATCTTGTACGCATCGAGCGTCCGATCAATTCATCGATGGGTTGGGACCCGGAGAACTACCTCACAGAAATCATCGTCTGGATCGGGGTGGATAGAGACACAGCTCCCGAGCTGGCCAGCGGTCTAGTGGCTGGTACGCTAGCAGAGGTCCAAATCCTGGGACTCGAGGACGTCGAGTGCGAGGTCTTCACGTCCCGCACTATCCCCCTGGTCGGACCTGCATTCCGCGACGACGCATACAAGTACCTCTCGGATGAGGCACAGGAAGTCGCTCAGCAATTCGGTGTCGGCGTCTGTCTCGACATCACCCCTCACGGTTCCCAGGTGCAGGGTACCGGTGGAGTCTTTATAAAGCTCGCTGGACGCCCAGGAACCTATCTCCTGACCTGCCAACATCTTTTGGATGACGATCCTCACGCGGAGAGACTGATCGATGGTCCACGGACGGGCGCATGGGTCAGTCTGTGCACGGACTCCAGCTTCGGCAAGCATCTGGAGAGCCTTACCCGGGCGCGCCGGATACAGGAATACCGATTGCAGCGACATGAGCGGGTACTGCAAAACGCAAGCGAGGAGACGGGCGCAGGCTGCGTCAAGGAGTTGCATGGGCGGAGAAGGGGATATCGCAAATCGACGCGCTGCGAGTCTCACTGGAGACTGAGTGGAGTCAACCGGACCATCGGATACTCGGCCAAGCCGTGTCGTACCGCCCAGTCGAGGTCCTGGTTCCTGGCGAAGAGACAGATGGTACTTCCCCGCCCGTCGCGCGGCAGGAATTGGGCTGGGAACTGGATTGGGGCCTGGTGGAGCTAGACGAGGTCAAGCTAGGAGAGGAGCTGGATCACTGGGACGGGTCCAAACGGAACCGCGTCTTTGTCGGATGGCGAACGCTGCGAGGGTCGGGTGGCATGCTGCCGAGATCCTTCGACGGCGACGCCGTCCCCATTACCAGCATCGTGTCGCTGTGCGAAACAGGGGAAACCGAAATACCCGTCTTCAAGCGGGGTGCCGGAACGGGTCTGACGTCCGGGGTAATCAACCCCGTCAGATCGATTCTACGGGATCGTCGGATGCAGAGCGGTCAGATGCAGGTGGTCGATACCTGGGAGATCTGCGCCATGGCGCGACCACCACCGATATTCAGCGATGATCCGAATAAGGCGTTCTGTGCCCCGGGCGACTCTGGCTCAATTGTTGTCGGGATGGACGGGCGGGCGATTGGGATGATCACAAGAGGATTTGCGGGTCACAGTGACAGGTGCGACATGGGGTGTGTGACACCCCTCGACCTTATCTTCGAAGACATGACGCGGCGGTACGGCTTGGAGGCTTCGCTTGCATGAGCTCGGATGGCGTGTCGGATTGGAGGGGTCTGGAGGGACGGGGAAGGGGAGGGAATGGGGGAGGTGCAGGGGGGCTTCGGGAACGGGGGCGGTGCTTGAGCAGAGCAGGGGGCTTAACATGGGGCCAAAAGCGTGGGACGAGATGAAGCAGAAGTCACATGTATGGCTGGACACATATACAGCTTAAGCGCCTGACTTGATAGCTACTGATCAGCTAATTTCGCTTGGCACCCCCGGATTAGCCTCATTGACCGGTTCACAGTTGGGCTAGAGCCATCCTCGAGCTTTTAGCCGAGCTTCTCATACCTCGTCTACACCGTTTCTCCACTCGGCGAGATACCGCACCACAGTGTCTTCCAACTCATGCGCGGTCAACATACAGACAACACATAGGGCAAAGCTAAGATCAAGCTCAAGGCAAGCAGATCAGGCACGCTCGCACGGACATCACGGAGCTCGCCCTGTGGAGCCCCGGTATTGACGCGACCACCCTCAACCACTTGCTCAACCAGCATCTTCTCAACTCATCTTCTACTTGACTTTGTCTTCTATCTGCGCAGCAAGCAGCTTACACCATGTCATCTTACTACGGCGAACGCTCAGGTGGGATACCGACATGGGAATCATTCGAAGCAGGAGACGACGACGAGGCTGTCGATATCTCCGAAGTGAGTGGTACTTCTTCGTTGATCCTTTCGCAGCTGAACATGTACAGTATCAATACGCTTCACGAGACCATCTCCTGTTCTGTATTGATGCATCAGAGTCTATGCACAAGGTTCGGCCCAAGAAGGAGGACACAGACGAGGATGAGGGGCCGACTAGGGGCAAATCTGCGCTCCACCAGGTGCTGGAATCGGTCGTGCGCTTTGAGAAGGGGAAGGTGATCACTGGACCGGCGGATAGTGTGGGATTGTTGCTGTTTAATATCGATGTGAGCTATGAGTCTGAGCCTCATGTGTAGGAAATAGCTGACGTTTAGGCTGAGAAGGTCAAGAACACCAGCGGCAACTACAAACCCGGCACGCTGGTCTACCAGAACCTACGCACCATCAATGCCGAGGAGATCAAGAAGATCATCAAGCTCGTCGAGCAGGCGGACGAGGAGTACAGAGAGATGGACGAGGAGGCAGAGGAGGAGCCGGCGATATTGAAGGAGACATTCCCATCTGCCAAAAAGGGGGACGAGATGAACATCGCGGACGTGCTGGTCACCTGCAATTTCCTATTCCGTGATGCGTGAGTTTCTGTCGCGCCCTTGGATGTCATAGAAGGTCTAGGCTGATCAGTTCAGAGGGACCAAGCTGGCCGGGAACAAGCGAGTTTTCCTGGTCACCGATAATGACGACCCACCGGCGGCAGAGACGACTCTCGCACCCGCCCAGACGGTGTATGGCGATCTCCAGACATACGGTATTACCGTCAATACCTACTTCATAGACCGACCAAATCATCGCTTTGACCCGAGAGGGTACTGGAATGTGAGTCCATCACACGCCTCTGACTCTCGCCAATCACTCCGCCCTCATCGCTTGTTCTCATCGAGAGACCGGGTGACTCTTACATCTGCCCCTCTCACTGTGCTCACCCCGCTCTGGCCTATAGCCATTCAATTCCATATCTAAGCCTCTCCGAGTAAGCTCGCGCTAACCCTGTAGACTGTCCTGAATAGAGAAGAGGATGATGGAGCCCCTACGGCCGCTGCGGACGACGGCCTCGATGCACTGGCTGCGATAATGGATGATCTGATCATCAGACAAGCGCCAAAACGCAAACAATTCAGTATTCCGCTGAAGTTGGGCGGAAAGGACGGGGAGATAGAGATTGGAGTCAGCGGGTGAGCCAAAGCGGACTACGTTGAGTCTGAATCAAGCTGATATATCCTAGGTATTCGATGATATCAGAGCAAGGGAAGGGACAGCCAAAGTATGTCCGCATGCGCGGACAGGCAGTGGAGGAGGTCATGACCAAGACCGAGTACACCTCTGCAGTACGTCCCTGTATCTCCGCTGTCTTCATGTGATGTCAGCTGACTCGACTAGGAGACCGGCTCTATACTCCGCCCAGAAGAAATAGGGCAAGCGTATCAATTCGGACATGAAGCGACCATACCCAACATTCTCGATCGGAATTGGTGGGAGTCTGACGAGGCGGTGGAGCAGCAGCGAGCGGTAGCGGAGGAGGCGCTCCGACTGGATGAGGAGAGGAGGGAGCGCGAGGACAATGGGGAAGAGGTGGATATGGCTGAGCTGCGGAAGACGGCAAATGGGGAGCCGATGAAGGGGGAAGGGACGAAGACTGGGGAGGAGAAGAAAGTGGTAGCAAGGACGAGAGTAAGTGTTATGTCTCCCTCAATTGATCTTCAGGATGGCTCGGAGCTGACGCTCAGCTCCAATTCAAACCTGATGAAGTGAAGGAGCTGAAGACGCTTGGCGTGCCAACCCGTAAGTTTGCCTTGTGAGCTAGCTAACTAGTCAGAAATAAAGATCCTAGGTTTCCAGTCAGGCGGCAATCTCAAATTCGATGAGAATATCAAGCACTCGTACTTTATGTATCCAGATGAGGATGTACGTTCCACCTCCTTATTGCTACTACCTCTCCCTCCCTCCCCCCCTCCCTTATCTCACTACTTTCACCTCTTCTCTGGCCCTAGCTAACGATCAGGCATACACCGGATCCACACGCACCTTCGCTGCCCTCCACAAGTCCCTCATCAAGCTCCAGAAGCACGCCCTCGCCCTCGCTCGCTTCCGCAGTAATACAACACCCGAGATCGCCGTCCTCATTCCCCAAGAAGAAACGTTCACGAAGGAGGGAGCACAAGATCAACCTCCTGGGTTACATGTCATCTGTATGCCGTTCGCGGATGATATGAGGAAGCCGCCCAAGGCAATCACGGAGAATCTGCTCGGTGAGTCATCGTCAAAGAAGAGAGCTGATGGGAAGCGACAGACAGACAGACGGAATTGATGGCTACCATAGTGAAGCGGTTGAGGTTTAAGGGGGAGAAGTACAGGTCTGAAGCCTATCCCAATCCAGGTAAGCTAATCACTGCCGACCGCGGTGTTCCAGCTGACGAAGTAGCCCTCGCCTTCCACTATGCCCAGCTCCAGTCACTGGCGTTCGAGGAAGATTTCGATCCGAACGAGGCTACCGATCTGGACAAGACACTTCCGAAACATGCGGGGATGCACAAGGCGGCAGGCGAGTTTATGCGGGAGTGGAATCGGGAGATTGAGGAGGATGAGCGGGCGTCCATTACTCTCATCAAGCCGGGGAAGCGGTCGGCTGCTGTCGAGGTCAGTCCACGTATCACGAAGCGGTCTGAGAGCAATCAGCTGATAGCGTAGGTATCGGAAGCAGACCTGGCGGACATCGAGGGGATGTGGAAGAAGGGCAAGCTGGACAAGGTGAGCTGGATGGTCCTGCATTTAAAGATCTAGGGGTTTGAGCTGATATTGTATAGCTCAAGGTGACTGAGCTGAAGGATTACGCCAAATTCAAAAGTGAGCTTTGCAACTCGGATCTGTGCCTGGATGCGACCCGTGTAGATCAAGCTGACGCTGGCAGAAATCAGTCTCGAGGGCAAGACGAAGAAGGCGGATTTGGTGATTGTCATGGACGCTTGGCTGAAGACGAACGTTGGCATGGGGAACAAAAAGGCAAAGAATTAAATCAAAGAGGAGGGACTAAGGTTGTATCATACGGAGCCGTCGGCATTGGGAGTCCTGTGTATATCACATCTGTGTAGCGATGCTTCTAGGTTATGCAAGCGGGACGAAGGAACGAAGCCCGTGTTCAAAGTCAAGCCAAGAATACATGCAAACAATCGACTATAGAGTACAACATCCCCTATCCCTTAATACCCTTCAAAGCCCGCTCATGCGAACACTGGCCCAGCGTTCTTGACATCCTCGCCAATGGCATCCTCGTACTTTGCAAACGCCTTCTGGAACATGCCTCCGAGCTTCTCGACCTCTGACTGGAAGGCCTGCTTGCTGGGCCAGACCTTCTCCGGGCTGAGGATCTCGGATGGAACGCCCTCGACCGCCTTGGGGATGGCGAGGTTGAAGATGGGGAAGTTCTCAAACTCGGCCTTGGCGAGGGACCCGTTGTGGATGGCGTCGACGATAGCACGGGTGTATTTGAGCGGGCAACGCTTGCCGGTACCGAACTTGCCGCCGGTCCAGCCAGTGTTGATGAGCCAGCAGTCGGCCTTGGTCTTCTCCATACGCTCCGCGAGCATCTTGGCGTACCGACCGGGGTGCAGGACGATGAAGGGCTGACCGTAGCAGGTGGAGAAGGTAGGGGAGGGCTCAAGGATACCGTCCTCGGTACCGGGGGTCTTGGACGTGTAGCCGGCGACGAAGTGGTAGGAGGCCTGCTCGGGAGTGAGGCGGGAGACGGGGGGAAGGACACCGAAGGCATCACATGTGAGCATGATGATGTTGGAGGGTTGACGGTTGGCGATACAGGGGATCTTGGCGTTGGGGATGTACTCGATGGGGTAGGCGCACCGAGTATTCTCGGTGATGGAGACGTCATCATAGTCCGGCTTGCGGTCCGCCGGGTTGTAGACGACGTTCTCCAGGATGGAGCCGAACCGGATAGCGCCAAAGATTTCTGGCTCCTTGTCCGCCGAGAGGTTGATGGTCTTGGCGTAGCACCCGCCCTCGATGTTGAACACGCCGGTGTCCGACCAGACGTGCTCGTCGTCACCGATGAGGAGACGGTTGGGGTCCGCCGAGAGGGTGGTCTTGCCGGTACCCGAGAGACCGAAGAAGAGGGTGACGTCCCCTTCCTCCTGGCCTTCCGACGATTTGGCCTGGTTGGCCGACGAGTGGAGCGAGAGCTGGCCGAACTTGACCGGCTGGAGGTAGTGCATGACCGAGAAGATACCCTTCTTCATCTCGCCGGCGTACTCGGTACCGAGGATGACCATCTCCATGCGGCGGAAGTTGATCTCGACCGAGGTGGTGGAGGTCATACCGGCGGTGAAACGGTTGGCGGGGAATTGGCCGGCGTTGTAGATGATGAAATCGGGCTCTCCAAAGTCGGCGAGCTCTTCTGGGGTAGGGCGGATCAACATGTTGTTCTGGCCAGTCAGCGCTATCCGACAAGTCCAGGCTGGAAGCTACTCACCATGAAGAGGGCGTGGTATGCACGGGAAGCAATGACCCGGACCTTGATGCGGTACTTGGGGTCCCAACCGGCGTAACCGTCAAAGACGTAGACGTTGTCGCGGGTGTTGAGGTAGTCGATGGCACGTTCACGGTTGATCTCGAAGGTGTGCTCGCTGTTTGTCAGCCTAGCTCTCCCGCTCAGAAGACAAGCTAGACTTACTCCATCTTGATGTTGACGGGACCCCACCAGATCTCATCCTTGGATGAGTCCTCAAACACGATACGCTTGTCCTTGGGGGACCGACCGGTCTTCTTGCCCGAGAAGTTGATGAGAGCACCGTTGGACGAGATGACGGCGCCTTCGTTCATGATGGCCTCTTCGTAGAGGGAGGCGACGGGAGCATTGCGCTGAAGGTCAGCCACAGCTCCAAGCCACGAGCGGGAACCTAGCCACTCACCCTGATGTGGATCCGGTCCAGGTCGAAACCAGCCTGGGAGAAGTGCTGGAGCTCCTTGCCGAGGAACTGGTTCTTCTCGAACTCGTCGTGGTGGTGAGCGCGGTTGACCATTGTGATGGATGTGGGTGTTTTTGGTAGAGGTGTAACTGGCTTGTCAGCATGAGCGCGGATAGCGGAATGGGCGAGCGCGAGCGGGGCAAGGCGGAGAGAGCGGTAAGCGGAGATAGCCGGTGGGAATGAGGGGCACCGCAACTGCTCACGCGACCGACCAAAGGAAGGGGAAGGAAGGGACGGGGTGACTCACAGTTTGGAAGGAATTCTAGTTTCTAGGTGGGAATGGGATGTTGTGGGAGGGAGACAGAGGGGCGCGGGTGTCTCTTCTATATGTACCTGCTGAGCTACCTCTCTACCTTTGCCCGGATCACTCCGAGGAGCTGATTTCGAACACCTTGACCCGTATCCGGAGCTTGCCTCCACCTAACGTAACGATGGATTCGAAAAGGACACCCGTCGGCGGATGCCGAAGTCGCGTCTCACCACCCAAACGCGCTTTACATAAGTCGGTTTAGCTCGGATTTGTTCGGGACTGCTTTGAACCGTTCGAAATCAGCTTGAAACATGCTCCGAGAAAAGCCGATGGAGGCCGAAGGGCCGCGTACAGCCTGAAACGGCTCGCCTGCTGCCGTCGACTATCGGCCCCGACACCGAGCAGCGGACTACCGTCGCGGAGTGGGCTGGAGGTATCGCAGACAAGTCCGAAGGCAGCGGCAAGCTGACAGAGCGCGAGAGATTGACCGAGAATGGAAGAGGGCACAGCATGCAGTATGCACTGTGCTATCCGTACGCACTACGGCGCTCATGCCTGGGGACTCTCTCTCGAGACCCAGTGTTCATGCTTGTATGCATGCCAACAGTCCTATGCAAGACCTACAGATCCCAACTACATCAAGATCACTCTACAAGGTCCGCACCTCCTCTTCCCCCTAGTACCTCTGACCTCCGGACGGACGCTGCACAATGGCCAAAATCGCGTCTTTTGCTTGGTTCACCGAGGATTCATCTGTACATCAGCGTCAAGTTCTCCCATCCATTCAGCTCATGGCCGACTACCCACCTCCAGTGATAGTAATCAGATCATCGTCCTTCCCGACCTGGATGTCCGCGCCGGTATCGGACCTCAGACGCGAGATCGTCGCGCCCTTGGTTCCGATGATCCGAGGGAACGCCGAACGGGGCAGACCAGTCAGGAGACCGACTGCAAGTATCAGCTTGTGTTCCCAGTATGGGGAAGATCGTAAGCTCACCATGAGTCGCAGCCTTGGCCCCATCCAGCGCGGCCTGGAGCACCGCCACCGCCTTGTCCAGATCCTCCTCTTTACCCCTGACGACCCAATCGATCGTCTCGTCCCCCTCGGCGCCCTCGGTGTGGTTCTCCCTGACCTCCCAGTTCCCCTCCTCGGGCTGCGCCCCCTCGTCCCCGTCCGCATCGATCCGAGCCGACTTGGCGGCCGAATTGGCGGTAGCCGAGGGCTTGTGGCTGGGCTTTGGCGGCGCCGGCTGAGGAATAGTGAGGTATCCGCCGGCAGAGCGGATCTGACGCAGGAGGTTCTGTTGGTCTGCGAGAGCGTGATAGTACTTCTTGGGGATGGAGAGAGATCGAGATGCCTGGTCGGGTGTCCCGCGGCCGGTGTTCTCGCGAGGCGCGCGCTGGACAAAGGTCTACATGTCAGCTCTACTCAACTGCGCAGAAGGCAGAAGCTCACCTCGAGAGACTCCTTGGCCTTGGCAATAGCCTCCTTGGTCCCAATGACCTTGACAATGTCCGCCGCGTCCGTCTCGGCCGGGAGATCATTCTCAATCTCTCCGACCGAACCATACTGCCTCGACCCGGGGAAGTGGATCCTGCATATCAGCTCATGAACCCCACATCTCGTCAACCTGAAAAACTCACGTTGCGCCCGACTCCCTCTGCAGCGACTGGAGCGCCATACCCCCTCGACCAATCTTACTAGCGTGCTGATCTTTCGGCACGACCACACCCTCAATCTTGGTCTCCTTGAGCTGCTTGACCTGCTTCTCCAACTCGGCCTTGATCTTGGCCACCAGCCCCTTCTCCCCGCGCAGCTTGACGGTGTCCATATCCTCATTCCCCTGCCTCGGGAATGTGATGAGTCCGGACTGGCGGAACGTCTCCTCTGGCCCGCCACAGCTGACAATGAGGTCGCGCAGCTTTTGGCCGCCTTGACCAATAAGCGAGCGGTGGTACTTTTGAGGCACCGAGATTTCTGCCGACGTCTCCTCCCCGACCGAGTCGGACACGGCGAGGATAGCCGCCTTGGCAGCCGCAATGGCCTTCTTGTCGCCTCGGCAGGTGATGGTCGTCTTGCCCCCCTCGCCGTTCTTGTCAATGTCGATCTGAGCCCCGCTCTCATCCTTGATCCCGTTGATCACTTGTCCGCCCTTCCCGACCACCTGCGCGACCGCACGCGTGGGGATGGTGAAGGTCAAAGACTGCCTAGATTCAGTCTCGAACGCGGCAGCCTCAAGGAGCTCGGCCTTGACTGCCGCAACTCCCTTCTTGCCACCGCGGATGACCACCTCGTCCGGGTTAGAAGGTGCCGTCCCGTCCTTGGACTCTCGGGGGAAGGACAGCTTGACGCCGTACTTCTCCTCGAGCCGGATGGCGTACTTTCCGCTGGAACCGATAAGAGCCGGCTGGATCGCGCGCTTGATCGTGATAGTCTCGGTCGTCTCATCCTCAAGCTTCTCAATCTGGGCAATGATACGCTTCTTGGCTTCCTCGACAGCTTCCTTGCGTCCGACGATCTATCATTAGCTCCACCCGATCGGTAAACTCACCTTGCAAGCGACAGTCTTCTTGCCCTTCTTGTCCTCCGCATCGTCAAAGTTGACCTTGACACCCAGCGTCTCCCGAAGCTTGTTGATGGTGCTACCGCCCTGCCCGACGAGGTGGGGGACGTGCTTCTTATCGACCGAAAGTTCCGCCGTGAAGCCATTGATGATATCGTCATTCTTGGCATCCTCGACGATCTGCTTGATCTGCGAGATGACACGGTCAACCTCGGACGAGGGTCCGCGGACAGTGACGACGTCCTCGTTGGCGTTGGATCCGTCGTCAGCCTTGGCGCCGACCTTGACGAGCACCGCCTGGTCCTCGCCGATCAAGGCGTTGAGGACAGTACCCCCGGGACCAATGATGGCGCGGTGCCACTTCTTGTCCACGTCTAGCGTCTCGGTCTTCATGTCTGCTGCGCCGCGCGCGAGCTCCTGAAGCGCCGCCGAGGCAGCGTCGAGAGCAGAAGCCGTCGCCTTTTTGTCGGTCGACGAGCCGGTGTAGACGAGGACGACCTCGGACGACTCTTCCGCTTGAGCGGGGAAAACGGTCGTCACGCTCTGGGCCGACTCGAATTGAGCAATCTTGGCGCCCTTCTTGCCGATCAAGAGGGCATGGACGAGCGAGTCAATCTCGACCGTAGTGACTGATGAGGGAGGAAGGGACTTGACGAGCTGCGTGACCTGCTCCTTTGCCTTGGCAACCGCCGCCTTGTCCTCGCCGACAATGTCAATGACGACGTTACCGGACGACGAGATGGTAGACGCAAAAGGAGGGAAGATCTTGACGCCCTCGGAAGCAAGTTGACGCAGCTTCTGTGAACGCTGGAAGAACCGCACGATGCGCTTGGCGTGAGCGAGGGCATCCGAACCGCCGGACCGGTGGAGAGCGACGACATCCACCGTCTCGACGGCGACCTTGTTGGCCTCGTCCATGACAATGGTCAAGGCCGGGATAAGACCCGCTTGGGGACCGCGAATGACGCAGACGTCGCTCGCGTCCTCGACAGAGGGGAGCTCGACGATACACTGCGTCTGGGACAGGATCCCATCCGCGGTGGAGCCGACGAGGAACCGGTGTTGGCGCTTGGGGATGGAAATTTTGAGTTCGCGCATCTGTTCCGAGAGATCCTTGTACTGGTTCTGGATCAAGGCGACGACCGCCTTGACATTCTCCTTGTCCCCCTTGATCTTGATGCTGACGTCCCGCTCGACCGCTCCCTCATCCTCCTCGCCCTGCTTTTCCAGCGCCTTCCATACCGCCGGGGGTGGCACGTGGATCTTGACATCCCCATACCGTTCCTCCAACTCGCGCACCTTGCTCCCCTTCGGCCCAGCGATGAACGGGTAGAAGGAGGACGGGATGTTTTTGATGGACGCCGACGACTGGCTGACTTTGTGGCTGATCAGACCGAGGATCTTGGCCTTGGCGTCGGCACAGGCCGCCGAGGGGCCCGAGACGGTGATGTTGACCTGAGGCTCGTCGTCCTCGTCCTCGTCCTCATCATCCTCATCCGCCTTCTCCTTGGGCTCGTACGCCGGCAAGGTGTCCCGCCGGGGAATGTCGATCTTGCACTGCGTCGAGTCCGTGATCCCCTTGAGCGTGCTGCCCTTGGGTCCGATGATCGTGCCGAGGGTGGAGATAGGCACCTCGACCTCGATAGTGACGGGCTTGGAGAGACCCCGCTCAATCATCCGCCGAGCGTACGTCAAGCGCTTCTGGTCCGCCGCCTTGATATAGAACGTCTTGAGCCCCGTAGCCATCTGCGTGGCGCTCTCGACGATCGCGCCCGTCTGGTCCTGCACCTTCTTCAAGGTGTCGGACAGGGTCTTACCGGTCGCGACGTCCGCCGAGGGCATCGAGAAGGTGTCGGAGAACGGGTGGCTGTTGGCCGTGGGAGCTCCGGACCGGCCGAGACCGCCGGGAGCGGTAGCCTTTGACTTGGACGTCTTGATAGACGAGGGACCCTTGGCCCAGAGGGACGCCGCGGGCTGCGCGATAGACTGGGCGGGAGCAGCAGAGGAGCCGAGCGAGGGGAAAGCATCGACCGAGTCCACCGCGGGAGCAGAAGAGCTCGAGTCGCCGTTACTACCATTGCTGGCGCCGTTGCTCTTGGGACCGTTGGACTTGGGAGTGGGAGCATTACCGAGAGTGGGGAACGGATCGGGAGCGCCCTCAAGCCCGTGCCTCTGTGCTGTTAGCTCCGAGTCAGGGGTAGATAGATGGATGGGTCGAGCTCACTTTCTGGAGTTCTGCCGCTGAGAATGCCATTTTTGCTTGACGATGATATAGTAGCCGTTGACCGTTGACCGTTTATGACCGTGTGGACCGATTGTATGCTTTGTAGATGGAGTATCCCTAAGCTCTACTATGAGTGGTAGTTGTTAGAGCAAGGGGTCCATCTCACCCTGGTCCACGCGCACACGCTCGGGCCTGGACCAGGCCATCGTGACGTGGATTTCCGTCTGGAGCGATGCTTATCACACGATCCTCATTCCTCGTGTCAAGCTTAAGCTCAAGTCGACAAGTCTACGCTGCCTGCTGGACAAGCGGTATCGAAGGAAGGTATATATGCATGAAAGTAACTCGAACGAAGCCCGGAAACACAACAGGTGTATCGAAACGCATAGCCCAGATCTCCGCCGACTACTTTGGCCGCCTCTCCTGCGCCTGCGCCTTGATTCGGCGGTCATACGCGACCTTGTCGGATCTACAGCATCAGCTAACTGACCCGGGACGGGGGCGCGCAGTCAGCTCACTTGAACATTTGGTACGCATCAATCTGGGCAGGATCACCGATGTTCGCGTTATCCAGAAGGTCCTGGATACCCAGAAGAAGCTAGAGGGTCAGTGTTCACTTCGGTGACGCGAGTTTGGGGAAGCTGACGGACCTGCTTGACCGTGATCGATGGCTTCCAGCTCTTCTCCTCGTCCAGAATAGAGAGACAGATGGTGCCGGATGGGTAGACGTTTGGGTGGAACAGGGCAGGGTCGAATTTGCCTGGGCAGTCAGCTAGTGTCTGCAGGAGAGTTGCAGATCACCTAGCTCACACTTAGGGGGTTTTGTTGGGTACTCTGAACTGTCAGCAGGGATGGGCTGCAGGGTATGAAGGGGACACACCATCGGGGAAAGTCATGCGTACAACATACTGTCCATCGGCCCAGTTGGTCTATCACGTCAGCTTCACTCTCAGCGTGACTGTCTGAGGCCGATGAGCCCTCGAGCTCGGCCTGACGCGAGGTTGCTTCCAGTGGAGCATCCCAGTCAGAGAGGCAGAGCCCCTCCGGCCAGAGTCAAGGAAGGAATCCTACTCACATTTGCTTTCCCTGGAATCCCACATTCCCAGACCATCATATTGAGCGAACCATCAGCATTCTTGATCGGACGCGCATAGAAGCCCTGCGTTGTCAGCACCTAGCCTGGAGCCTTATCGCGACATGTCCTGTGTAGCTCCTTGAACTCCGAATGCAGCGCCCCGGCCAGAAGGAAGAGCTTACGAATGGGTGGTCCCTCCGCCACTGCTTGCGCTCCTCTGCTAATCTTGCCTGGGCGAGTGCGGACTGCATATGATCAGCTCAGGCTCTCCTTTCGGACAGATAACGTTAGCTGACCATCGTGTTAGTATATCAAGGCAAGTCTCCGCTGTTGAGTACCTGAAGACAAAGTAGAAGAATGAAATGGTCGAGTGACCTTTGCCTCCACCCACGCGCTCTTTGTCCTCGTCACCTCGCGCTGCGTAATCGATCCCCTCCTTTTAGATCATGCCGAGAGCGAGAGTGACTTCTGTGAGCCAAAAGTCGCTCAGCGACAACTACAAAGGGGTTGATATTGCTTCTCTACTTGTTCTTGATGACATAGCATAACACAAAACACAGCAGCTCAGTACGATGGGCGCACATACAGTCATCAGCGCGGCGATAAACTCCAATCGTCAGCAGCAGCAGCAACAAGCCGCCTCACAGCACTCTGCCCGGCCAGACCAGTGGTCCCCCTCCATCCCACACCTCAGGCAGATCGAGGAGGAGCAACGCCTACACGACCTCCAGGACCAGCGGCAGCGACAGACAAGCTACGGTGTGACTAGCAGCTCCAGCAGTGCAAGTGCCTTGGTTTCTCCGCCATTGCACACTGCGAAAGAGTCGCAGGCTGTACCGGATTGGCGGGACGAGGAGGATGAGGATGAGCTGGAACCGTATGAGGTAGAGGAGGTGTATGAGCCTATCATTGACGGTAAGTCGCTTGCGAAGATGATGACTCCGGGCTGACCAGCAGTGACCTGGAGATATATGAGCAGAATGTACCTCCTCGTACCAGTCTTTACGATGTTGGTCTTCATCGGTCTTGTCCTGCTCGTCACATACGCTTGGTAAGTCCTTGTTGCGATTTGAAGCTGACGGCAGGCCACCAAGTCGTCGTGAACGAGAAGGCGGACAGTCATACCCCCATGCGATCCTCCCGTGGCCGTTCCTCACCGGTCTCTTCGCATCAGTGACGGTCCAAGCTCTCCGAGTTCCGGTATGGGTCGTGGTGTCTTGGCTCCCTCTGTCCCCCAGACTTGTGACGCTCGCGTATGTCCTCCTCATTGTTCTCGCGTCATCCGCGCTGATCATGTAGATCCACCATCATACATACTATCCTGCACGAGCTCCTCCGCCTCGCTACGCTCCCCATGATCCGCCCCTCCCCTACTTCAGGCTTCCACTCGTCCTACTACCTCGGCCTCGGCTGGTCTGCGGCCGAAGCAGCATGGGGCATCGTGCAGGGGTGGGACCAGCTGGCGCTCTATGAGGACGTCATGCGGCCCGAGGAGGGGAAGGTTATCGGTTTGGGATTAGAGGAGGATGGTAGGGAGGGAATGGAGGAGGTCATGTCGGAGGGTTCGGAGGGGGAGATGGATGAGGCGGAATTGGAGAGGAGGGTGGAGATACTCGAGAGAATGAGAGCTAGGAGAGGTGAGCTCTGGAGCCTCCTGCGTGGCCGATCCAAAGCTTACAAGTAGATCTCGAACAGGTCATCGGACAGCCCTTTCCAGTGAGCTTGTGATCAGGTTATTGTCGCCGTAGCACCAGCTGACACCTCAGAACATTCCTTTCCCCTTCCACCTCCTCTGGCGACTCGACACCCTGCTCCTCAACCTCGGCCTCACCCTCATCCTCTCGGCGTACTACTTCAACTCGTACCCCATCTATCGCCACACCCCCTTCCCCATGCCCGGAGACAAGGCTGGGCTCATCGACGCTCTCTCCCGGCCACCGCGGCCGGCGCACCAGCAAAGCGAGTATCTCTGGGTGGTCTGGGGTCTGGTGGTTCTGCTGCATGTGGCGGTCAGCTTGGTTTGGAAAGTCGTGGGGAGGGTGGGGATCGGGGCTGTTACTTGGGGCGTGAGTACCACTTGCTATTCTGATCAAGTCTCCCGGGCTGTCCACCGTCTCGTGAACAGCCTCGCGTCAGAGGGCCGAGGAGAGTATGCGCGGGTGCATGTCGAGGCCGCGAAAGAGTGTTCTGGAAGGCGAGGATGGACGGGAGCGACACACACCTCTCCGCTGTGGATATCTTCGCCCCTGAGACTGCCTATGAACGCCATAGATGCAACGCTGACAGCTTAGGGACTGATTGTATCGTTAGGAAGCGTTTTTGCCGGTCTTGGAGGCTGGGGCGGGCTTGTATGACCTCGTAGCAGGCTCAAATGTACAGTACTTCACGACTTGCTCCGCTTAGGTAGGATCGGCTCACCTGTCCTGCTATCGCCCATCTAAAACATCTGCGGCTTCTCGCGGCACGGGAGCACTGACACAGAGTACAAGCGAGAAGCTGCCTCTGCCGTCAAAGTACAATACAGCTCGTTTACGCTTACATCCTGCTATGATCTACCGTTGTCGCTTACAGACCCACCCCTACCAACCCCAGGCCTACCAAGACAACCATCCCCGCCCTGACCACCTCTCCCATCCCCGCTGTCCCGTGGACTCTCGCCGCGCCGGTCACCTGGCCCCCACCTGCGGCTGTATTCTGCTTGACGGTCAGCGCGTCGGGGATCTGCTGGTCCATCACATTAGACCAGTTCGGGGTATCGCCCCCGCCGCAGTCGTTCTTGAGGTGATTGCCGAGCTCCGATGTGATGGATTGACTGCGGGTATTGGGTATGAGGAAGACGCTGGGGCATCAGTGACTGATTCCATCTTGGACGCCAGTGGAAGAGAGGGAAAAGGGCAACAGGAGGGACGGGTTGAAGCACTCACGCGGCCTTGTACAGCTCATGCATACATCCGCTACACTTCGCAGACTTGAAGACTGTATCAGTGTACTGCTGCAGATTATTGCCCGACACAAGGTCCATGAAAAACGTCGGGGAGTTGGCGGCCTTGTTACTGCTGATCGCCTCGGTGACGCAGTTGTCTTGCGTCCCATTACTAGTGCCATTAGCTTCTTCTCCGCCCCTTCGCCCAGGCTACCAGGCATCACTAGCTCCGTGACTCACTAGAAGATCGAACACGCCAGAGTCTTGTAGCTCGACCCATAATTCGTCAACATGGCCTGCACAGCCGGAATAAGTCCGCCCCCGCTCTGGCCCTGGCAGTCCCGTCCCAGCTCCGCTTGGGCCGTACTGATCTCATCGGCCGTACATTGCGTCCCCTTGCACACTTGCGCCAAGTACCCGTCGAGCCCCGCTGAGAAGTCGGCCGAGGCGTTGGCGCCCGTCGTGCCTCCAGGGATGAGCAGCGGCGCTAGCTTGTTGATGCCGAGGCAAGTCCCGATGGGGGTCTGAGTCATGTTTACCAGGGTAATGAGGCACGACATGGAGGCGACTTGGGCTGCTTGCATGGTCTGCAAGAAGGGGACGATGCCCTTGGAGCTGGAGGTTCCGGCGGTGTTGCTGGAGTCATCGGCGGAGGCGGCGCTGGAGCTGGAGCTTGCAGCGGCGAAGGCGGCGGGTAGTGCCATGAGGAGCGGTAAGATCCACCTCATCTTGTTTGTCGCGCTATGTGAGTATGGACTCGGTTGTAATTTGGGGACAAGGGCACGCATCATGCAGCTAGTCCCATCAGCATGTGACAGCTAGGAAGATTGAAAGGATGGTGACTTACCTTTGAGAAGAGTGTGAGGAGGTCAGGAGGGACGCGACTATGATATGCATGATGCATGTGTGAGCATCCTGAGTAAGGGGTGACCACTGTGCATACAATGTACAACAGGTTTCGAGCTTCGCCGGGTCCACGAAGACGATCAGTCGCAGCTGCGGCCTACGCTTCCTGATAGATTAGCTTGTTCTCACTTCGTACTGAGGGACCAAGCTGCCAGATACAAAGGTTTTACTTACGCTCAGTGCAGACGCTAGGTACGAGAGTTCTTGCCGCCTCATCACGTCCGTCCCCCTTCAGCCTTCTGAGCGACCTGCACTCTCGCCAATCTCTCTTCTGCCGCCTTGATCTGAGCTTCCAGCTGCGCCAGCTCCGTCTCCAGCTGAGGAAGCTGTGACTTGCTAGCATCGTCAGCTCATCCGCTACGCACACAGGTACGTGCCCCAGAGCTCACCGTCGATCCACCTTCTTCTGTAGCTCAGCTACCACCTCGTCCCTTTCCCCTTCCCCTGCCTCCTCGTTCAGCCTCGAGTCCGCATCACTCAGCACGTCCCAGCTCTCCGTATCCGCATTGCTCTGATGAGAGCGGCTCGATGGTGTGCGCGACACGCTCTTCTTCGGCTTCCGCTTGAACAGGACTGTCGGCCCTGGAGGGGGAGGGGCGCGAATTGGGCTGTTGGAGGGCTGTGTGGGTCCGGCGGGGGAGGGTCGCGATGCTGCCGGTGCATCATGACCAGCGGAGGGCCCGGGGGGAGCTGGACCGCCAAATATCGCGTCCATGAGGCTCGACGCGGACTGTCGGGCCGCTGGGAGGTTTGGGAGGTCAAATCGCGTCTGGGTGGTGGGGGAGAGGTGCGAGATGGAGGACGCAGGCGATGCGGAGCGTGGAGGGCCCTCTCGAGGTTGGCTGCCGGTAGCAGTCGAGGAGTGAGGAGACGCCTTGATAGCATGGTCTGGGCTGAGAGTGTCAGCTGTGATCAAGTCGTCAACATGAGCGCATTCAAGAGGATTTGCCAAGCTTACACCGCGGTATCCCTCGCGTCTTCTCTACCGGCCTCGCTGAGCGCAAGATTTGGCCGCCTGGCTGACATGGTCTTGGTGCAGTCGGTGATCTCCTGTGACTGAGCGATATGATCGGAACGCAGGTCAAAGCTTAGATGGTGGAAAAGCTGTTGATGATGATCAAAGTCATAGCTATCTGAGCGCGCGCGAGCTAAACCCTAATTCTCAATCTGAAACGTCATCTAGCACGCACAGCTGTAATCTTATCAGTCCGCGACTGTATGCATCACCTCGTGCGCCTTCAGAAGCAGCACCATTCTATAGAGGCCGACCAACCATTGATTCTGCAGAAGCATCACTGCTCTCAGGGTGCTCTTGCATTCGGAGCAGCAACAGCTCAATGGTGCTAAGACAATGCCAAAAGAGGCAAGTGAGATGAAACGGTTGCCTTACGAGGGCCCTTGTTTCACCTTCGGTAGCGCCTCACCTCTTTTTCGAAGATTGTCCTCTTGATCGTTCCTCGTTCCTTGTTCCTTGTTCCTCATTCCTGTCCCCATCAGTCATCGACACACAATCAATCTCAGTCGCACACAAGATCCATCCCTTTGGCACCCCACAGTTAACGTTATGCCGTGCTGACAAGGCACGTCTCCGACAGATAAGCTCCGTCCGCGGACAAACAACAAAACGACTAATCTATCTCCAAGCTTCAGGTCCCATCAAACAACCATCAGTTCCCATCAGGATCTGTACACTGACATGCGCTTGTGCTGAACTTACACAGGAAAGGGAGGGTGCAAGTCATTCCCCGATGAGGCATGTCTGCAGACAGCATGTGTAGCCTGCCGCGCTCCATCTACCGTGCCTGCCGATTTAGCGCCGATCTGGAGCGGCTGACAGCGGTCCGGGACTGAGGGCGAGAGATTTGGGGTGTTGAAGTTTGACATCTGGGCGGGAGATGGAAGATGCTGGAGATGAGAGGTGGGGGAGCTGGAGGGTAGATGAGAAGCAGAGAGGAGGGGATATAATTCGCCAGCTCTGCTCTGACCCCCTCGCCTCATTCACTTTCTTTGATAACTGGGCTACCTCTTATCCACCCATCTTGCCCTTCGATCTCTGCTTTGTAGCTTTTACCTGTAAGTTTACTCCCTGATACCCCGAATGACGTACGGGTGGAAAGCCGCTGATGCGTCAGTGCGACACCCCGCCCGCCCATCGCCCAAAATGCTTTTCCTCCCGCTTCAACCGTGAGTCCTACCCTGGATCCCTTATCGATCCCTATCAGACCCTGACTGACGGTATAGCTGCGACTCTTCGCCCCTCACACCGGCTGACAGGGACATCTTGAATCAATATCGGAGCGTGATCCACGTCAGACCAAGCACATCGTGTAAGCCACCCTCGCTCAAGTCATTATCCCAAGACGTCAAATATCCTTATGCTGATCACATAGCTGCCCACGACCGTCTCACCCTGGCGACCTCCTCATCCGCCTCCATCAAAGAGCCAACCGATCGACAATTCTCAGTTTTTGACTGTATCGATCCGCGAGTCCTTCACTCGTCTCCCTCCCCCGTATCGACTTGGTCCACCACCACGGCTACTACACTCAATGGGAGCTATACCCAGTTATCTGCCGTCCTACCCACCACACGCGGCCCGATTCCTCCAACCGCATCTATGGTTGAGTCATCGCTGGACGACGTGGATACCGCCTCCGAATCGGACAGTGAAGAGGAGTATCTGCCCGAGCTCGTGCCCAAGTCCACGCAGACCTCGCTTCGACAAGCTGCTATCATCATCGAGCGGGCAGCAACTCCACTCCTGAAGGTCGAGGGAGGCGGAGCGGCGGTTCCACAGGGTCAGACAGCCCCTGGTCCCGCTCGAAAGGTATGCCATACCCCTTATCGATAAGCCAGAGATACAGGCTGACGCAATAGACCATACTCAGGGGTCTCAAAACTCGGCCGAGTCCCTACTCGCCGGTCAAGCCCTCCGCCACTCCGAAGACCGGATGCGACACCGCACCTCCCGCGCCCGCTCGATCTGCCATAAGGGTCGCCCTCCCTACACCCTCAGCCACACCCAGCGCGAAGCCCGGCAGATCGACCGGTGCGTTCACCCCGACCGTCGCCGAAGGTCGACAGAGGCGGACCACTTCCTCGTCACCCGAAAAGATCAACGCGGCCATGGCGCCCACCCCCTCCCCGACTCCGCCCCGGAGCGTGCGAAGGCGGCGTAACCCGATCTACACTCCCACCCCACCTCCCTCGTTCGATGCGCCCGCCTCCTCTGCTTCGCCGGAAGGGGACGACGACGGAGAGTACGAAGGAAGCCCCGCGCCGACTGCGGCGACAAAGCGGAAGCGCGCCCAGGCTGGTCGGGACTCCGAGAAGCGGGGCCCGCAGAACCAGAGGGCGCAACAGAGGTATCGGGAGAAGAGCAGCACGATCAACGGAGTGGTGAGTATTAGCTTGCCCATCTACTACGTCATCGAGTCCGGTGCTGATGCGTTTAGAGCCGCGAGGCTATGGCTCTCAGCGCGGCGATGCTTGACTTCCTCGCCCCGTGCCCGGCTCTCAAACATCTGCGCAAGGAACTTACCCGGTTCACTGCGGTCATCAAGGGTGAGTATAAAGCTCCTCGGACGGGTGATACACTTGGACCAGGAGCTGATGGCCAACAGACGCAGACGGACCGAAAGGTCTGCAGACCGTCGCGTATGATCAGAAGGTCCGCGACCTCAAAACTCAGTTGTCGGACAAGTTCGGCAAGGCCTAATTCCGGTGAGATCAATCATTGACGGTTCAAACATACTCTCACTGGACCGAGCTGATGTTGACAGTAGCATCTGAAGCAGCCCTGCCCCGCATCCCTCACGCATCTCGCCAACCTGGCTACCGAGCATCAACACCTATCATCAACAATATTTAGTATCCAATACCTATCAACACCAGATATCTAGCTAGAGATCACCATATCTATTAAACATTTCATATCATTATCATATCATAGTTAGGCGTACAGCGTATATATAAGTATAATCAAGTCATCGCGATACCCACTCATGCAAAACTATCATCATGCCCCATCTTCCTTCTGCTCCTTCTTCGCCTTTGCCTTCCTCTCAGCTCTCTTCTTCGCGTCTGCCTTTGCCTTGTCCTCGTCTTTCGCCTCCCATTTACCATCCTTCTTACTCGGATCTCCCTTCTTGCTCGCTTGTTCAGCTTTCGCAGCTTCACCCGCTTCCCTCTTCTCCGCCTCGGCGAGCTTGGAACTGGGCTTTCCGGGCACCTGCAGATCAGCTCGACCTCTCTCTCCTCGTACGAGACCTGACACGCCCGATGATTACGTACCAGTGCCGCCTTCCCAAACCACGGCCCCGCCAATACAATCCCCGCACCCACCCTCCCAATCTCCCACACCCCCCTCCACCCGGGTCTGAAACACCTGACCATCTCCCCCACCCATCCGAGCCCCACCCACCCAATCCAAATGATCACCCACTGCACCACATCGCCGGACCCACCGCTCCCGCCCTTGCGCTTATCGTGCGCCGCGCCGATACACCGAAGGGTGTTCTGGAGGGGTATGAGGAGGGTGATGGGCGCGGCGATGTGGGGTATCCAGGATGCGGGCGAGAGGAGGAGGAGGAGCGTCAGGAGGAGTAGGAGGAGGGTGGCGAAGTGGGGGATGGAGATTGAGATGGAGGGGGAGATGGTGAGGAGAGGGGCGGAGAGCCAGGCGGCGTGGGATGTGACCTGATGCGTCAGTAGGGGGGATCATCCAGTGTTGCGACGAGACACTGTAGGAGGGGGAGGATGGAGGATATGGTGCTTACACAGGCCTTGACAAACGCGTCGTACTCTTCCGCGCGGATCTCAGCGGCTGACTGTTTGCTGCTCTGCCCCTTCCCGCCTTTCTCATCTTTGCCGCCCCTCTGATCTCTTCCGCCCTTTCCATCCTTGCCGCTCTTCCGATCACCGCCTTTATCCTTGCTGCCGTCCTTCTCAGACTTGTCGGATGGCATCTACCACGAGATTGCAGGGATAGATGGAGCTGCAGGTCTGTTCGAGACGTGACTGCGAAACGGAGCTTGCGGGATGTGCTGTATTGAGGCCATATCAGCCAGAAAGGAACATCAGGGTCAAAGGAAGGTCAAAGTATCAGGGGTGGTCAGTAAAGTCAGATCGTACATCGGGTGCATTTAGGTATAAGCAGCCAAGCACACGCATGCGCCAGTCTGGGCGCTGCTGGCTCCGTGCGCAGAGTCAGCCCTAATGACCGCTATCCTCGAGCGCAATCAGGTCGTCTAGCGTCATCCGCCTCTCCCGCCCCTTTGCCGCCTCGCCACCTTTGTCTTTGGCCTGCGGCCCACCATCCAGCGCATCCGCATGATGCGGAAGGCGGACGAGCGGGACGTGCTCCTGCTCCGCGAGGCTCCCGTCAAGGATGAAGGCGGGACTAAGTGCATCGTCCGGGTACGCCTCGCCGTCAATTGGGTCGCGGCGCTCCGACCAGTCCTCGTCCGATTCCGGACCGTTGTTGCGCGCGGCATGGTGGTCGGGGCGGGTGTGAGCGGTGTGGTGGTCGGTAGCGGTAGAGTCGAGGAAGGCGTCGAGCTGGTCCCCGGGTGACCGGGGCGGATGGGCGCCCGACGAAGGATCTTGGCGGAGCTCGTCGAGTTTGCCCAGGTTCAGCGCGCCTTGATTGTTGGACTTGGGGGGACGGGCGGCCGGCTCGACGACGGTGAAGGGGCCAGCGTTATCCCGGAGGAAAGCGGCGGTGTCCACGGGGCTCTCGGTGGTCTCGCCGCCGGAGTAGGGGCCGGCGCCGTGCAGAAGGGCGGAGAGGGAGTCGGCGATGGGAGATGGGGAGGGTTCAGGCTCGGGAAGGGTCTCACCGTTCGACCGGGCTTTGTTGGCATTCTGCACGATCAGATGTGTTTCCAGTAGCAAGGTTTGGAGGATCGGCTAACTCACGAGCGTGAGGCCTTTGGGGGCACCAGCCCTCCCGGCCATGCTAGCAGTATCGATCGACATTCATACCGCCACCCCAGCCATCCCTTTGACCAACCACCACACGGGTATGAGCCCGCCTACGACCTCATTGCTAAACACCTGCTCCAGGACGAAGCTAGTGCCGATACACACCCAGTAGTCGAGGAGGAACTTGCCCTGTTCCGCCTTGGCGAGGCTGACAGAGCTATCGACGTGGCGGAGGGTAGCTATGGCTGGTAGGAAGGCGAGGACGTTGGAGATGCCCGGAGCGATACCTTCGGGGTCGAGCAGAAGGATGGAGGTGAGGATGGCGAGGAAGCCGAGGAGGAGAATTGTGGGGTCGCGGTTCAGACGTCGAGCAAGAGAGATGAGAACAGGGTTGGAGTGGCGCTGAAAGGTCAGCGGGACTTTGCCTTGAAGAGGGTAGACTTACTGCTTCTTCGAGCGCTGCTCGAGCCGCCTGAACGCCAGAGGTAAAGCGGACGCTGAGTGGGGTATATATCTGGCTAGCCATCTTGTTCTTGCCTGTCATAATATTGCAAAGATGTGAGGTCTGCAGCAAGCGTCAGTCGTACATTAGCTTGTTCGGGCACAAGCCTGCCCGTTTCGGTGCATCCTTTGGGTCAATCTTCCTTTGATCCGCCGCACACGGGGTATCTAGGGATGAATCAGGATGTGTGAGAGGGTACACTCGGTGTACCACAGCACCGAAGCAGAATAGTCTTTGGGCTCTTGGCGAGTCCGAGTGGCTCTGTGGGGATTGCCATGGATGTCCAAGCTCTGCGGTACGAAAGCAGGAGCAGACGCGCCGACGCGTTCTACCTAGCCTGAAACGTACGCACGGACATCGACGCGTCTCATGTTTAAATTGCCACATGCGCGGGATTATCCGGGATTACGCGAATACCTCATAAAAAGTTGAGGCTGCCCCGTGCCTGACTGCCTGCCCTGCCTTCCTCCCTTGTGTAGCTCGCCTCCTCTAGTGTTACTTTTACCTTTCATCCGACAAAGTAACAGTCAGACAGCTTTTTGGAGAGAGAGTAGTCTTACAGGTAAGCTGCCGAGTGTGCAGAAGGGATACAGCAGAGCACAGCTCACACCTCAGTCCCTTTGCAAAAAACCCACGTAAACGCCATCAACCAAACCCTACGTGGTCGATCCCAATACACGAACACCAGCTTGAGTCGAGCCCAACCTCCTCAACGAAACCACTCGTAACAACAAACCAAACCAACCAAGATGTCCACCGAAGTCGCTGCTGCCACTCCGGCCCCGGCCCCGGCTCAGACCAAGCCCGCTGCTGAGGGTGCTGCCGCCGCTGCGCCCGCCGCCACCCCGGCCGCCCCGGCTGCTCCCGCTCCGACCACCACCAGTGGCTCGGGCGCCAGCCTCTACGTCGGAGAGCTCGACCCCTCGGTCACCGAGGCCATGCTCTTTGAGATCTTCAACATGATCGGCCCGGTCGCCTCGTGAGTTTAGGCATTACCACCGGTGTGTAGCCAGCTGACCCTCCAGCATCCGAGTCTGCCGTGACGCCGTCACCCGTCGTTCGCTCGGGTACGCCTACGTCAACTACATCAGCGCTGCCGACGGAGAGCGCGCGCTTGAGCACCTCAACTACTCGCTCATCAAGAACCAGCCCTGCCGCATCATGTGGTCCCAGCGGGACCCGGCGCTCAGGAAGACTGGTCAGGGGAACATCTTCATCAAGAACCTCGACGAGAGCATTGACAACAAGGTGAGCTAGCTGGAAGTTACGGCGAGAAGCAGCTGACAAATAGGCCCTCCACGACACCTTCGCCGCTTTCGGCGATATCCTCTCGTGCAAGGTCGGTCTTGACGATGCTGGCAAGTCCCGCGGATTCGCGTAAGTTTACTCCATTTGTCAAGCTTGAACCTTCGCTGATCTCCAGCTTCGTCCACTACTCCACCGGCGAGGCTGCCAGCGCCGCCATCAAGGGCGTCAACGGCATGTTGCTCAATGACAAGAAGGTCTTTGTCGGCCACCACGTCGCCCGCAAGGAGCGCCAGGGCAAGATTGAGGAGCAGCGCTCTCAGTTCACCAACGTCTTTGTCAAGAACCTCGAGGGCGAGATCACCGACGAGGAGTTTGAGGCGCTCTTCTCCCCCTTCGGTTCCATCATCTCGGCTGCTATCGGTCGGGATGAGAGCGGTGCCAACAAGGGCTTCGGGTTCGTCAACTTTACCGACCACGAGGATGCCAAGAAGGCCTGCGACGAGCTCAATGACACCGAGTTCAAGGGCAAGAAGATCTTTGTCGGGCGGGCGCAGAAGAGGAGCGAGCGGGACGAGGAGCTCAAAAAGGCACACGAGGAGAAGCGCATGGAGAATGACGCCAAGAGCGCCGGTGTCAACCTTTACGTCAAGAACCTTGACGGTGAGTTGAATCATCTAGATACTCGGACTGAGCTGACTCCACAGATGAGTGGGATGACGACCGTCTCCGCGCCGAGTTCGAGACCTTCGGTACCATTACCTCGTGCCGGGTCATGAAGGACGACAAGGGCGTCTCTCGCAACTTCGGTTTCGTCTGCTACGCTTCCCCCGACGAGGCGACCAAGGCGGTCTCCGAGATGAACGGCAAGATGATCGGCACCAAGCCCCTCTACGTCGCCCTCGCCCAGCGCAAGGACGTCCGTCGCCAGGCGCTCGAGTCGCAGATGGCTCAGCGTGCCAACCAGCGCATGCAGTACGGCGTCCCGCCCAGCTACATGGGTCAGATGGGTCAGCCCATGTACGGCTACCCGCCCATGCCCGGATACGGCCAGCCCATGATGCCCATGCGCCCCATGGGTTACCCCGGCGCCCAGCAGCCCCAGCAGATGATGCAGGCTCGTCCCCGGTACCCCGGTCCCCAGCCCGGTATGCCCATGGGCCCCTACGGTATGCCTCCCCAGATGGCCGGCTACCCCGCCATGCCTCCCCAGCAGTATGGCGCCCGCCCCGTTCGTCCTCCCACCCAGAACGGTCCTCAGATCAACGGTCGCTCCCCTGTCGGTGTGCCCCAGGGTCTCCCCGCTTCCCGCGGTCAGATGCCCAGCCGTCCCCAGCAGGGCTTCCAGGACCAGAACCAGGCCCAGGCCCCTCGGTTCAGCGCCCAGACCCTCGCCCGTGCCAACCCGAACGAGCAGAAGCAGATGCTCGGCGAAGTCCTCTACCCCCTCATCCACGAGAACCAGCCCGACCTCGCCGGCAAGATTACCGGCATGCTGCTCGAGATGGACAACGGAGAGCTCTTGCACCTCGTCGAGTCTGCTCCGGCACTCCAGGAGAAGGTGGACGAGGCGCTCCGCGTGCTCGCCGAGTGGGGCAACAAGCAGGATGGCGAGGAGCCCAAGGCGGAGGACAAGGAGGAGACCAAGGCAGAGTAGGGGCGTTTTAGCTAGCTCCACTACTTTTTCCTTTTCTTCCCAGTCTGTAGTACCCCTCTCCCCTTTCTGACAGTGGTTTTCTTCTTTCTTTCTTTGTCCTTATTCGTGGGGACACCTAGATGAGCGCGTGGTGAAGGGGCATGTATATACTATTCTCTCCTACTTGGCAGTGGACTTCGTCGACAAAGCTCAATCAAATCAGGATACATCACACAGATACAACAGCTTCTCCCTTCTCCGCTTCGCTCGACTCGCTCAATACCTATACCGCCTCATCCGCCCTGGCCAGAAATGATGCGTGTACTGCTCGCGTCGGTCCCACTCGCCACTTCGCCCTCGCATGGGGTGTCCGCTCTGCCACCCAAGCGGATTCCGCCGACCCGGGAAGAAGCGATATCGACCCGACGCTATCATTCAGCCTTGCACCTACATCTTCCAACATCCGTAAGAATGCTCATGACAGCCTGACTACTCACAGAGAGGTATCCTATACCCGCATCCATAACACAGAGACTCATGTTTCGGTTCCAGCGACAACAAGGGGATACCGCAGAGATGTCCGGTCCGATGTGCGGTGGTGGTCTGCATGCGACCACCGCACTGGGGACAGCTGTACGCGGGGCCAGGGATGGGAATGTCCTGTAGCTCAGCGCCCAGTTCAAGGGATGAAGGAAGGGGGACGTACCGAACGATAGACGCCGATCATTGTGGGTAGTGGTGTGTGTGGTGCCTGGATGAAAGTGGGTGGCGAGGGGATCCTGTGGACAGCGAAGGGGACGGACTGGGCGGAATATGCTAGAGCAAGGTGTTCCTTTGTAAGTAGGACAAAGGAAGGCTATGACGTCCTTCACCGCCGGCGTAGTGTCTCGGCCGACCCCTTGACGTTCACATGCCATACCCAAGTACTGATCACAAATATCGCTCATCATCCCGAGAAAGCACATAGATTTCAGCTGCGATGTGTAAGTTCAATTCTCAATCACTCTCAAGGATGAAAGGGCCAAGCTGATGTCACAGCAAATCAACCCAAATCCCTTCCTCACACATTCACCCTCCCCCCTCTCCGACAACACTTCAACAAAACCCCCAACCCCGCAGCCTCCAACAAGCTGATCGACCTCCCCGGGACCGAGTTTCTCGGTACCGAGGAGGAGATCACGGTGATTGCCGCGGCGCTGTGGGTGATGGGTGTGGAATATGACAGGATCGCGGAGACGGACCGGCCGAAGGATGTGGAGGGTCAGAAAGTGGATCATTAAGCGGAGGGGGGAGGTGGTGGGGAGGTTGGCGGGGAAGATTGAGCCGCCATTCAGTAAGCAGCTGTGCGAGTCTTGGAAAGCACGTACTGATCACTAGCTGCATACTCGATCGATCAGATGCTCAAGGACGTAGGGGCGATGATGGAGGAGCTGCTGGTCAAGACGCTGGTGCAGGAGACCGTCGTGGTGGGGAAGACATGAGCCAGACTGGCACGGGGGTCCTACTGCTTCTGCTCCATGGTAGCTGCGATCCTGTTCCGCCACAGTCAGGTGTATAATCCTCACCCATGCACTTCCTTTGAAAACACAACGGAATCTGGTGGACAAAGCAGTCCTCGGTGGCTTGAATGATCAAGCCTGCAAATCAGCATTTTCGGCCGACATTTGCTCAAGCGACTTGCGAAGAGCAGATCGTCATCATGTCGGGCAAACCACCAGATAATCTGCCTTCCGAGGTGTCTATCCTCAAGACAAAGGCGGCAGCGAAGAAGGGGTTGAATGTGACGCCAGAGAAGACAGAAGTGGTTTGGCCAAAACCTGAGTTCGTATGTCTGACCTCTCGGGTCAATCAAGCCCTTGAGCGGCTAGTAATAATCTGTGGCTCTCCGAGCTCATGTACTCTCGTATGAAAGCTGATGAGCAGGGGCCAGGGACGAAGATCCAATTCGTGACGGACGAGGGCCAAGAGGCGAAGGGGTTCGTCGTGGCCGCTGGATCCATGTTTCCACTTGGGTCAGTACTGCTCATGTCCGGGGCGGTGGAGTAGAGTCGGCACTGAGTTCCGCAGTGCAGCTATACCCGCCAAACATACTTTGCAGCATGGCCTATACCTCCCGCCCGGATCGATGGTCAGTCTCGCCTCTGCTGTCGTAGATATCAGCGCTGACTTATAAGCTACCCGGTGGCGCACTTGTGCCTATCCATCAGCGAATGGTCAGTGTGCAGCCTATCGAGACAAAGAAGTCACTTCCTGGGCCTGCCGAGCCGGTTTGCAGCATTCAGTAGCTGTGTAGACTATGCAGACATAGTAGACTATGCAGACATAGTACGACCAGTACGTGATCGAGATCATGATCGCCCACACTAGTCCGAATCCTGCCTGTGCGCCTGTCGGCCGAGCTGGAAGGGAGACAAAGAGGGATGACACGCCACTGCGGCCCTGACCTGGAAGCAGGACAGAGCACCGGTCTTTTCGGCCGGTCAGTGAGCCTTTGTGCGGGTCGGTCGGTCCCCTGAGTCCTTTCATGATACGGGGCCTTTGATCCGAGGGTCTGGTATCAGTACTGTCCATGAGGGCGGTGGAACTCGGGATATAAGGGAGCTCCGGCTCCTTGACATCATCCGCGTTTCTCAAGTCAGAAGCAGACCTTCAGTCTGGATCTGTCAGGACCGAGTCCAGGATGGCCGCTCCAAGACTAGATTCGGAGGTAACGATTCTCAAGACAAACGCAGCTGCCAAGAAGGGCCTCAGGACCACTGCAGACAAGACAGAGGTGATCTGGCCAAAGCCACAATTTGTGAGTAGGGGATCACCGTCCCTTATCAGTCGTAATCACGCACACAGTATGATGGCGACGATGCTGATGGTTTATAGGGGGCGTCAACGAAGGTGGACAATGTCACGGACGCTGAGGAGGCCAAGGGCTTTGTGGTCCCGGCTGGAGCCATGTTCACTCTAGGGTGAGGTTCCATCCGACCGGGCAAACGAGAACAGGGCGATGAGCTGACGGGCACCCAGGGCGGCCATCCCGGCCGGGACGGCCTTGACGCATGGAATGTACTTCCCACCGGGGACCATGGTGAGTGAGAAGAATCAGCGAGAGGGCGCCTGCCTACTGGACCGAGAGTGATCCAGCTGAACCTAGCTCGTAGTTCCCCAGCGGAGTCCTCTGCCCCATACATCAGCGGATGGTATCGTGTCAGCCTATCCAGAGTTTCAAGATGCCCGCGCCAGCGGCTGAAGCTGTCTGCTGTATCCAGTAGCTAGTTAGCAGATCAGTAGCAATACACCAGGCGTGCGATGTGAGACTTACCCATCTATGCTGTCTATACATGCAGTCATCACCCAGATACCTGCTACCCCGATGCGCGTAGCGGCTACGCCCACCCCATCCGCACGCCCACCTGATTTGCCCCACCCGCCGCGTGCAAAACCTCCTTCTTTGCCTCTCGCTTGTCCACCTCGGCTTCGAGCTTGGCTACTTGCTTCTCGGGAAGATGGGCGGCTTCGGCTTGTGCGAGAGCAGCCGCTGCGAGGGCGAGTTGGCGATTGTTTAGGTTATTCGACCAGGAGAGGAAGATGTTCCAGCCTGACTGTCAGCTCCTTCCTTATCGCAGCAAGAGCCCGCCTCGACTTGAGGTGGAAAGTGGATAGCCAGCGAGCAGCCGAGGAGGGGAAAGAGACTTACATAGTCCGACACTCTGCAAGGCGAGCATCCGCAGATGTACAGGTACCAGCGAGAAGTTTACTATTTGCGTTGGACCAAAGACGCAGACGGCTTTCGAATAGGTAGGCCACCATACCTAGCTTATCAGTACCTTGCCAGCTTATGATGCCGTAGGATAGATGAAAGACGAACCATCTCGACCTTGCGCTTGATCTCGGCAGGTCTTCGACCCTCTAGCGCGCCCTGTACAGTCGGGAACACTGTCAAGTCAGCATCGGCGAGCCAAGATGATCTGGAGCAGAGTGGAGGTGGTTGCGACTCACTTACACCCACGAAGGGGCACCATAGTAGACTGTCGAGAGCTACTCTTGAGGCTACGGCTGCGCAGGATTAGCGTTGCGTTTTTGGGGGAAGAGAGCAGGTAAAGCGCACTCGACACTTTTGATGCGAATTTGACTCGCTCGAGGGCGTTTAACCAGATGTGGCCCAGGGGAGCGAAGACTAACATGCCATCTGATAGGTTAGCCTCTGCTGTCGATAGCTCCGGTAACAGTCCCACGCACAAGCAGTCATGCGCATAGTCCGTTGTATCTGCCTGTTAGCAGCCTCACCCACGAGTCGAGCTTATCAAGCTGTAGCTCACATCGTATCTGCCTTCTGTATCTTCCACCTCTGCCCGTGCAAACATCCGCTTATCCTCAATGCCCAGCTGCGCCGTCAAGTCCCCGACGACATACAGTACCCCCGAAGAGATCATGCGCGTTCGTATTGGCTTTTCCCGGAGGGCGGTGGTATACCGATGCCAGAGCCGGACGGGGAAGGACGCTCGTATTGTGGGGGCCGACATGATGGCTAAGAGAGCGACGTGGCAGTGATGAGCTAAGAGGAGATATGAAGGGATGCTATATCATGCTTTGAGGTGTATGGTGGACAACATTAAAGTAAGAAGACTTGGGCTGGACTTGGTGTTCTCGGACTTTTTGAGTCGTTCGGCTGTCTCGGGTGTTTACGTTGTCGATCGCCTGCTGACGTCAAGTGCCCGCACAGACTTGACAGACTAGAGACGCTGAAGTGCAGCATAGCAGTACCAGTACATGGTCATATATCTACATAGTGTCACCAGTCTCACAACAGAGAAACCCTATCACGGGTCGGGGGACTTGGGGAGCGCGATTCGCGCAGGGGATAGCACAATCTCTACCGTTTCCGCTTCCACCTCTCCTTCTGGCCCCTTCTCCGTCTTTCCAGCGACCAGCTTGGCGATCTGCTTCCCGTCCAGGCTGCTCCGTCTGGGCGGTAGCTCGCCATCGGCACCTCGCGAGACCGCCGAAGGAGGAGAGGATGAGAATCCTTCCCAGCCCTTGAAGATTTGCCCGGGATCGGTATGCGGCGATTCGGCTTTGGGTGCGAGAACGGGAATGGCCGGTGGGGCGGGTGGAGGATGGTGGTGGGAGACCAGAGTAGGAGATCGGGCCATAGCTAGCTCGATCGAGTCGGGGCGCTCTTTCTTCTTCGTCGGGGAGCGGGGATGAGGGGTTGCAGACATGGGCGGAAGAGGGGTAGTGAGCGTCTCCATCAGCTCAGAGGGGGACATACTTGTTGATGGGACGATGTAGGATAGGTGCATCGAGAAGCGCTTGTCTTGCGGTGATCCAGGGTCCCTGGTTGCTGAGCTGGTAGAGGCGGACCCGGCTCGAGTCCGGGTCGAACTCGACGCAGGGAGATCATGGGCCTCGGGGATGGACGGTCGCCTCTCCACACCTACATGCCCATCTCCCATCTCCGTGACGATGAGCGTTGTCGCCACGTCGCCACCTCCAATCGAGATACTAGCGGTCGATCCCCGCCGCGTCCGCTCTTGCTGCACCGCAGTCACGTCCCCCAGTGTGGAGACGACCGAGCTGACGCGGCGGATCTCGTCCATGTGCGGGTAGGCCGAGAGGCGACGGACCGAGATGACTTTCTCGGAGTGTGCAGGCAGCTCGACGCTTGGACCGAGTATCCCTGGATTGGGATCATTGGAGGCAGAGGAGTCCGCTGCGAGGGTCTCGGCGTGCGGGGCTTGGGCGGAGAGCAGGGGAGGAGAGCGCTTGTTGACGCGCCGGCGAATGAGGAGGCCTATCACCACGAGTGATGAGAAGAAAACGACAGGAGAGACCACGACCACTTTCGAGTCAGCTATCGGTGCGGATGCAGGGACCAGGGCCAAGTGCGAAAGCTCATTGCGGCCTAAAAAGCACGGCCGGCCAAAGCGAGGGGGACTCACGAACGATCTTGACAGTGTCTGATATCATGCTGTCAGTCTTCAGTAAGTGTTTGATGTGCGTCAGCCGCATGAACGCGCTCAAATCAAGGCCTCTTGAGATGAGCGCAGCCTGTACTTGAGGGGACTGAAGCAGAAAGGACGATTAGGGGGTTAGCTGTTAACCGCCACACGCAAGTTTCAAGCAAACGCGTCAATGCGCCAACATTCCTCATTCCTCAAACCTCCAAGAGCCAACACCTGCCTTGTTCCCCTTCGTGTTCATCTTGATTCTGCATCTACGGAGCCACCTTGCCGCCATCATGTCAATATCAAGCTCAGCCCGTGCCGGCAGCAGCCGCCAGCCGATCAAAAATAGGACGGAGAAGTGTAGGTCATCTCTCGGAACCCTCAAAGACAGCAATTCTTCCCTCCCTTGCTGTCCACCTCAAAGACAAGAGCTGACTCGCAGTCACCTTTACATTAGGCAAGATAGATGCTGGGATGTGCGTTCTCATCGGCCCCAACGCGCATCTACTGGAATTCCCCTCCCTCCTACTCCCCACGCCCGGCCACAATTCCCCGCCCCTCGGCCCCGGCTCTATCCTCACCATCACCGTTTCGCGCGACCTGGAAGCTGAGGCTCTCGCCGAACGGTCTTTCCTCGCTCTCCAGCAGTCCATACTCGACACCTATACTCTTTCCCCTACCGCGCCCAGACTCAAAGTCCGGAGCGTAACCCAGACGTCGGTCGTTCTGGACTGGGACAAGATTGATGTGGGAAGCGCAGACTTCAGGGCGTTGGAGATGTGGAAGAATGGGCAGCGGATAGGACGCGTAGGCGGCGAGTACGGGAAGAAGGACAAGGAGAAGCGCGAGTGGAAGACGGGCGGTCTACAGGTCGGGGAGGAATTCACATTCCACCTTGTCCTGAAGACGACGGCGGGGACGCTCGCGTCGAGCAAAATTAAAGTCAAGACGCATACGATGGACAATCTCACGGGGATCAATATCTACTTTGGTCCCATACAGCCCGAAAGTCTTCTGCAGCAGCTTCGGAGCTGTCTGTCGGAGATTGGCGCAAAGGAGAGCAAGAAGCTGGAGATTGATACGACGCACTTTGTGTGCACAACGCCGCTGGTCGGTGGGGATGATCAGGGGCGGGGCGGAGCGGTCAGCAGGGAGTATGCAGAGGCGGTACAAGCGAATCTGCCGGTAGTGGGGCCGGGGTGGCTCATGGCTGTCGCGGGCGAGCGAAAGTGAGCACTTTCCTTGACCTCTGATGACCTTTTGCTGACCTCCAGACTCGTACCCATCTCCTCCCATCTCCTACCGCCCATGCCGACCAATGTCCCCATCGCCGACCCCGCACCATTCAAGCGGCCGGAACCTCTCAAACGCGCTTCCCTCCCATTTACGTCCTCCGTCCCCGGCAGTCCTATCCAAGAACAGCCGCCCCGCTCCCCTAGTCCCGAAACCATTGCCCGGATGAGCTACACCCAGGGCATCTCTTCCGGTCCCGCTCCCCGGCAGGACAGCCTGGACGCTACTGAGCGGAGAAGAAGTATGCCCATGGAAGGGAGTAAGGAGCGACGGAGGAGTAGGGAGTCGACATACCCGCTCGATTCGGCTCTGGTGAGACCAAAGAGCCCCAAGCCTGAGGCAGATGGCAAGCTGGACCGGTAAGCCCATACGTCCTAATACACCAGAGCATGACAGCTGATAAGCACAGAGGCTTTGTCTTCCCGGTGGTCTCGCCTACAACGCCCACTTCTGCAAATGGCGGATCGAGCTCGGCAGGGACGGACATGCCTGTGTCGGTCTCGTCGACCGGGACAGAGGAAGTCCTTGCCCGCGCTCCCCTCATCAGCGAGCCAGAAGCAGTGGAGGACAAGGACTCGTCTTCTGCTCCGCCTGCACAGGAACTTCCTCCTTCCCAGCGAGCCAAGGCCAACGAGCCCAGCGGCGGCGGCGCTATCCCCGTCAACATCCCCTCATCCACTGCCACGGATTCTGATACGGCATCCAAAGCTGAGCCCGCCTCCATCTCACCCACGGTCGAGTCAAAAGCTCCAAGAGCGTCGACTATCGACGAAGCCATTTCCAACTTCCACGACGCAGTCGTCACCCCCCAGCCTCGGTCGCCCGTACTCGAGCAGCCAACAACACCTACCATCGAGCTCAATGGCTCGCCCCTACAAGACGGGTTCGAGCGAGTCGAGCTGGGGAGAGAGGCGGAGGAGAGCGCGGGCGCTGCAGAGGCTGCGAAGGGGGGCGGAGAGGAGCTGTCGGAGGGGATGGAGGCGGTAAATCTTGAAGATGCCGCTCCGTTGGTTTCGGCGGAAGAAACGGACATCGAGTCGAATGGCGGCCCGTCTGTTTCTCCGTCACCTGCGCCAGAGGAGGGTAGCGGAGAGAATGAGAGCGGACCAAAGACTGCAAATGGGGCTGCAAATGGGGGAGAGAAGCCAGAGGCAAAGAACGGCGGCGGCGGCGGAGGAGGTGGGGGAGGTGGGAAAGGCAAGAAGGGGGGTAAAGGACGGAAGGGCGGGAAGGGCGGTAGATAGCTAGAGATTTATCGATGCGATGCGCCCTCTAGGACACCGAATACGTTTTGCGTTGTGGCCTCACTTGTGGCGGCCAGCGGCGCCAGCTGTCGGCCCAAGGTTCATAAGATCAGTGATGGTACTCAAGAGCGTGACATGCAACATGATATACCTTTACAGACATCTGTCTATGGATACATACTATAAAGCCCGATCCCTCGAATCCTCCAAAATACCCCTAGAACCTGCTGTACAGCTACTGTTCTTGAGGAACCCAGCGCCACATTCCCCACCCCAGCCCCATCTTGTCTACCCCAACGTATAAAGCTTCCACCTTGTCCTTCTCATCCGCCGCGGCGACGGGTACGAGGAGCGGGAGCAGGTGTTCTGGAGTCGGGTGGGCGCGCTTGTAGTGTTCGTGCTTGAACAAGCCGAGTGCTGCTTTGACAGGTGAGGAAGAGTGGATAGCAGAGTCGGTCGCCGCCAGGTAGGGCTCGGTGTATGGTGTAGGGGCGCCGCTGACTGGGCAAGTCAGCAGGACTCATCTCATATATGTGGACCCAGTCATGTCAAACGAAGGCAATGAAGCTTACAGGCATCGCGAAGATTGTGCACGATCTGCCCTGACCCAATGATGGTGTACCCCTTCCCTCTCAGGCCAGAAAGAGCCTTGCCGAGCTTGGCTGCCGAGTCTGGGCTCGAGTTTCCGGGTAGCGAGACCTGAATGATAGGGATACTTGTCTTGCCATTAAAGGCCACTTTGAGCGGGACTACAGGATCAGCTCGGTCCGCACTCATGGTAGAAGAGTGATGCTTACCCCATAGGCCATGATCTGCCCCTCGAGATACCTGCTCGACCGGTACCTTGCCAGCTCCGAGAGCCGACACCACGTCGTCGAGCATCTCGGCGCTACCATGTGAGGTGAATGTCTCACGGTAGTAGTGCTTTGGGAAGCCATAGAAGTCGTATATGAGGGGGTTTGTTGGGTCATTATTGACTGGAAAGTTAGCCCTCCCCTTGATAGAGTAGGGGGCTAGGTGCTCACCTTGTACACCGGCTGTGTCAGATGGATTCTCCCAGTGTGCAGAGACGACGATGAGGCCCCTCGGCTTTGCAGCTTCGACAGCCTGCCCAAAGGCCCTCCAGGCCTGGTACGGTTCTGAGCGAGTATCGAACATGCTTGGTGGACCCTACCATATCAGCTGTAGCTCCTCCTATCTTACACCACGGCTTGTACTCACACCATGTGAGAGAAAGTACACCTCGCCCCGCTTATAGACCGCAGGAGCTGACATGATCTCACCGCTACCCCCGACTTGTGGCCGGACGATAGCAAATTTGCGACACGACCTCAGTTGCGTGGTGAGAAAGTTGGTAGACGAGTAGAGGACGCCAAAGGCCGCGACGAGGTTGGCTATGACTGCAGGGAGGAGTCGGAGACTGAGTGGATGGGGCATGTGTGGGTTGTTGTTCATGGGCTGTTTGGGTATTTATACTGCGCCCCGGGGTGATTGTCGTGGGTCGGTCAAGAGTGGATGATTAAGCAGTAGTTATAAAGGGGGACTTCCGTGGAGTTTCAGCTGATGACTGATCTTAGGAATGGTTGATTGATAAGAAGGACGCGAAGCAACCCGGCGGCCACCCCTTTGCCCTTTGCATGACCTTGCTGAGAGTATCTACTCTATTGAGCTGACCGAGGGAGGACCACGAGGGCGGCGGGCGGTATTGATCTGAGTAAGCCGGATGCGAATCAATCGTTACGGCAGAGCGATTGGGTTTTACCAGATCTCGGCCATCGGGCACAGGATCGTACCGGCCGCCGAAGCCACGGCTCGGACCGCGGAGCGGACTTTGCTCGAGGCAGGTCAGATTGTCAGAGTCCGTACAACGGCTCTTCAAAGACTAATAGATGCCATGCATTCCTAACCTATCTCATGCTTGATCCGACAACAAGAACACTGAGCCCAAATACCCCTCTTCGCCTAGCTATATGGGCGCCCCCTCCCAGAAGTTGGTCCCGTGCGTCGTCTCCTTGATGATCTTACTCCTGATCGTCCAGTCACCAAAGTGCTCTCCGTCCTCCCTCTCGACCGAGTATCGCTTGATGAGGCCGCCAAGAATATCGAGGATTTCAGGCTCGGTCACGGATGATTTGAAGGGCTTGGATAGTCGGTCACCCTTGTGGGAGCCACCAAGCATCATCTGTAGAGTTAGCTTGGTCCACATGGAGACCGGTTGAGAGAAGGGGAAGACATACAAGGTAGCTTCCTGGTGCTTTACCGACAAGAGCAATCTCGGCGTTCCACGGTCTGGCACACCCGTTAGGGCATCCGGTCATCCGCATGATGAGCGAGTCCTTGCGGAGCCCATTGTCCTCCATGATCTTCTCGACCTTGTCGACGAGGAGAGGAAGGTATCTGGACATCAGCTAAATTCTCCACCACAAGCCGAAAGCAGATGACTTGCCGCTCAGCCTCGGCCATGGCCAGACCACAAGTCGGCAGAGCGACACACGAGCTACTGCTCAACCTCAATCCCGAGTGATCCACCTGATCCAGCCCCCACTTCTTCAACAACCGCTTCATCTCCTCCAACTGATCTTGTGGTACATCCGCCAAGATCAAGTGCTGGTTGGCCGTCAGGCGGAAGTCGCCCTGGTGGACCTTGGCAATCTCGGCGAGACCCGACTTGAACTGATGCCGCGCATTGTCCTCGACACGGCCGTTCTCGATGAACATGGTGAAGTGCCACTTGCCATCGTGGCCCTGGATCCATCCGAACTCGTCGAGATTGGAGTCGAACGTGAAGGGGCGGGCTGGCTCGAGAGGCTTGCCCATCCGGCGCTCAACGTCCGCGACGAAGTTCTTGAGGCCCATGCGGTCGACAGTGTACTTCAGACGCTGGCTGTCAGCGCAGTCCCCGCGACTGAAGAGTAAAGACTTACTGCGTTCTTGCGGTCGGCACGGTTCCCATTATCCCTCTGTGTCAACATGATCTTCTCCGCCACTAAGCATCCATCCTCTGCCGTCACGAAACCGATAATGTCACCGAGACGGGGGTACGTCTTCTTGTTGGAATGGGTGACACCCATACCACCACCGACCGTGACGTTGTACCCAACGACCTTGTCATTCTCGACGATGGCGATGAATCCAAGATCGTTGGTGAAAATGTCGACCGCATTGTCTGGGGGGACAGCAACGGCGATCTTGAACTTTCGGGGAAGGTAGGTCGGGCCGTAGAGGGGCTCAAACTCCTGCACGGCATCGCCTCCGACCTTCTTTTTGTCCAGCCAGATCTCGTGATACGCCGAGGTACTGGGCAAGAGGTGGTCCGAGACGGCGATACAGAAGTCGTAGACCGTCTGGTGGATGAGGGAGAGGTGGGGGTTGACCGAGCACTGGATGTTCCGGTTGACATCACCGCAGGCAGCGATGGTGTCGAGCAGACTCCGGTTGATGGCCTGCATAGCAGGTTTGAGGTGCTTTTTGACGATACCGTGGAACTGGAAGGTCTGACGGGTGGTGAGTTTGAAGGTGGAGTTGCCGTGCTCGTCGGCGATACGGTTCATCTGACCCCACTGGGTAGGGGTGCAGACACCACCGGGCATCCGGCACCGGATCATGAATGAGTAGGCGGGCTCGAGACCCTGGGCCTTGAGCGAGTCCCGGATGTCCCGGTCGTCCTGCATGTAGGTCCCGTGGAACTTGGTCAACTGGGCGTCGGAAGCTCCGATTGCGCCAGTCGACTTGTCCTCGAGACCTTCCAGGATGGTACCGCGCAGGTAGTCTGACGCGATCTTGATGTGCTCATTCGCGACCGTCTCCTCCGCCACCTCGGTCACCTCGACGCTGTCCACGCCGAGTGCGCGCCAGAGACCCGCCTCGAAGGGCTTGTAACCGGTAAGGTATCCGTCCGGGTCCGAGTCATCTCCGAGACCGAGGGGGTGAAGTTCTGCGGTGCCAAGGTTCATCACTTTGGGGAAAATGTCCTTGGCCGCCTTGTTGTAGTAGATGTAGTCCTCCTTGCGGGGCCAGTAGTTGGAGTCACCCATACCAAAGACGGTGACCTTGGTTTCGGCGAGTTTCTCCTTGGCCGCGTTGGCGTCCACCTTGCCGAGAGCTTTGAGGAACTCTCGGCCGTTCTGGGGCGCCTCACCCTGACCGGCTGTAGAGGTGATGATGAGGACGTTCTTCTCGGCGGCGAGGGTGTCGACGATAGATTGTGCGATCTCATCGAGGATACGGATGGAGGCGGCAACACCACGCATCTTTGCCCGACCGACAAGACGCTTGGCGACCTTCTCGGCGTTTCCGCCGTCCGAGGCGACGAGGACGAGGAGGCCTGGGCCGTCCAGCGAGTTGACGAGCGCGTCGTACGCCTTGCGTGCCTTCTCCTTGCGCGCAGCAACGACGTCCTCGCCGACCGATGTACCGACCGCCTCAATCTTGGGGGTAGCGAGGGTGAGCTGGGAGAGGTGGGATTGGCGGTCGAGGAACTCGGAGAGAGCAGTTTTGATGTGAGGGCTGTCGAGTGTGAACTTCTTACTCTCCTCCAAGGACGGGTTCCAGCGGAACATGGGCCACCAACCGCCCGATACCGCCCGCTTGGTCTCCCTGAGCCTCTCGAGAGGGCCGACGCGCTCGACCGAGTCGACATCGCTAGACAAGACCTCGCCGTCCTCGCGCTCACCCCATGGGAGGTAGGCGAGCACAAGACCAGGTCCGTCATATGCCTCGGCCTCGCGCATGGCGTTGATGACACCAGCATAGTCGGCGTAGACCGCGACGGACGACACGTAGACGTCTCCCATATTGAGGGCGTACAGAGCGAGATCCTTCTTTCGGTCCTTACCGGCTTGGGGCTTGGCGTTGGGGGAAAAGGGGGAGGGGGCGGTCTCGTAAACGAGGAGGTTGATGTCGAGACCGGAAGCGAGAGCGTGGTGGAGACCGGATGATGCGAGGTCGTGCGCCCACGAGTTGGAAATGACGATCCAGAGTGCGCGCTTCTCCCAGTGTCCCGCCTGGCCAAGCGCCTTGATCTCCTTCTCTTCGGCAGATCCGCCGAGCACACTCTCAACCTTCTTTCCTGCAGCGACAGCTCCGGCGCCGTCACGAGCAATCAGCCAAGCAGAGACCGCCTCGTGTACCTCTGGCTTGGTCTGGCCCTTGACAAGCGCCATTGCCAGCTCGACCAGCCGAGCCCGATCCCGGCGAAGAGCGACGGCCTTACCGAAGGCGTACAGCGGGGAGGTCGACTCGCTCTCCGACAGCTGCTTGGGATCGTTGAGGATCTCGAGCGGGGAGGGTGTGTCGGAGAGAAGGGTGGTGTAAGACTTTTCGGGGGTGGGGATGGAGATTGAGGAAGATGGGATGGAGGGGGCGGTAACGGGGGAACCGATACGAGCGACCTGCTGCATTGATTTGATAGCACCAGAGACGTCGCCGCCCGAGCCGACCAGGACCGATCGGACGTTGCACGCCAGTCCGTCCAGCGCATCGACGACGCCAGACCAGGCCTGGCCGAATTTGCCACTTCCGCCCTCGACCACTACGACCTCTTCCGCCTTTTGCGAGACATATCGCAGCTTGTCCTCGGGAAGAGGGGATGCGAGGGATATGTTGATGACGTTCTCGGCGTCGATGGAGTAGGGGAGGAAGTTGACGACGACGGTGGAAGATTCCGATGCCTGGTGGGAGAAGGGCTTCTGGACCCGCCGGGTCACCTTGAGGAGGGACAAGCTGATCGACTCGTACGACTTGGCAATGTGGTCCTCGGGTGTGGCCTCTGCCAATCCGTTGAGGTCGGGAGCAGATGTAGACAGCCACTCCGAGATGTCCGCCTCGACGACCGATCCCGAAACATCCGCCACATAGTGGTAGACCACGACCTTCTCGTCTTTGGCCAGCTTGAGCGCGAGGAGAGCATGGTCATACGCCTCCTGCGCCGATCGCGAGATGATAGCGGCGAACTTCTCGACGCGGGGGTTGGCAAGCGACTCCGCGCCAAGGACGTGGATGATGGAGCCGGCGGGCGGGGTGGGGAGGGACGGCAGGAAGGTCGAGTTGGTGAACAGCTGAGATGGCCCAGGGAGGGGAAGGTAGGGGTTGAGCTTGGTCACCGATGGTGCCGAGTCGATCGGGTGGGTGTAGGAGGGGAGGGGCAGCTTGGTGAGTGCGGTAGTGAGCGACATGGTCTGTGGGTCAGTATTGCCGCCGTTTCAATGAAGACGAGCCACTCACGATCTGAAAAGTGGGGTGTGGCGAAGAGAGAGAGGAGAGAGGACGATGTAAGGGTTGCGCTGTTGCAGGGATATCTGCGCGCCTTTTGAGGGTTGTGTAGAGGGATAGAGGTAGATGACAAGATGCTCGATCTCGATGCTATGAACTTTCACTCTGCTCTTGACAGCCAATCGGTGACCTGTTGTTGGCTGCAGCAGCGATCACGTCTTCAAGCGCAACTTTGGCCAGAATTCCGAACAGCATGCCGTAAAGATTTAAAGCTAAAGCGTGATCGGCCCGGATACATCCGGAGCGGTAGGATTAGGACCAGCAGCTGTCCAGCTGTCAGCATGTCAGTGCCACTGCAGTGCCGAGTTACTGGCTGACTGCGACTCGTGCTTCATACGAGTATACATTCCTTCTTCGGTTTGCCTTCTCGCTACCTACAAATTTCCCCCTCTTCGTTTCAAGATCGCTCGCACAAGAGACCCGCCCGCAAAGGCCCGACATCTATAAAGGTAAAAAACAGGAGACGCAAGAAGGAGGTGATATCGGGCTAGCTAGATTGGGTGGGGGTAGATGAGGTAGATGCTAATTGATGGTAGAGGGTGTGTGTGTGGTATGGGTAATAAACAAGTTACAGTATGGTTTGCAGTCAAGGGAAGAGAAGGAGAACCGAAAGCCCGAGAGTTGTAGCTTGAGAAGTGGACCGATACGTCGTCCGTCGTCCTGGTCTGTCGTGGGGGTTCGTTATTGACAACTAGTGTGGTAGGTAGGAGCCGTAGATGATGAGGATGATGCAGATGGGATGACGAGGGTGAATCACTTGGCGACCAGATTTATAGTCGACCAGTTGAGTTCGCGTGCCTCTTCAAACATCGCCTCGACGTCCGCATCGCACCGGAGCGAGATCTCGTCCCCTTCCGCGTCGAGCCACTTGATGAGTAGTGGAGCGGCCGATTCGGGTCCCGAGATGCGGAAGAGCCGGATTTTCTTGGCGATCTTTTGATGCAGCATAGGATAGGTGATCTCGGATGGGACACCAAGGGAGAATTGGCACTAGCTGATCAGCACAATCCCTTCTGACTATTTGGTTGCAAGACTTACTTCGCCACATTTGACCCTGATGAGAATAGCTGACCCGCCGCCGATGCCGCCCATACCCAAGTCCCCACTCCCGTGCCTCTCAACCTGGACTGAACCCCGCAGCTCGCTAGCATTGTTGGCGTAGGGAGTAGCCGGACTGGGTCCCGAGCTAGACTCGGACGTCTCGGTGGATTGGCTCTCGCTGGACGAGCGCTTGCCTCCGCCCGAGGTCCGGTTGCCCTGATACTGCCCGCCGACAAGAGTGGACGAGCTCGACATGCCGACCGAGTCGGTATAGTCGTACTCGGCCGTGCCGGGGAGGATAGGGGTGTGTCCTGATGACGGTGATGGCCCGACATGAGGTTGTTGGAAGACATTGGGGGAGGATGCGGAGCGGTTCCGGAGAAGAGAGCCGGGGTAGGGGACGGTAGGTGGGATACCCTGTGATGGAGCCCGGGCCATCATACCTCGCTGCGAGGGGTAGCGTTGCGAGTATGTGGCGGTGTGATCCGACCCTTCGTCCACCTCTTCCGAGGGACCGAGGCGGGAGGTGCTCATATTCCGATTGATACTGCCTCGAGGGGCGGCATGACCGAAGCTCGCCTCTGACGCAGCCGACATGGACGACTGTGCCGACACCATGCGTGGCATGGGTGGCATCTGAGGTTGTTGCCCCTGCTGCCGCCACTGCGTCATGGAGGGTCCGTTCTGGTCCTCCGTCATCGCCCGTGCCCGAAGTTCCGCATGGTTCTGAGGTGGCATGCCCTGCTGGGACTGTACCCGCCGACCAGCATTGGTGACGGTGGGGTAGTATCCGTGGATGGTCGAGCTACCGCTCATGCTGGGTGTCGTACGACCGCTCCGGAAACCGAGGTCGTCATCGTCGTCCTCGGCGAATTGGCCGCCGTGCCCAGGCAGCGGTGGTGGGAACTGGAAGGGAGGAGCTTCGACCGCCGGCGTGGGTGGAGCCCATTGGGAGCTAGGGAACTGGGATGATGCCGACATGCGACCGTTATTCCGTTCCCGTTCCGTCCGTATCTCGTCCTGCTTTCTCCGGTCCAGCTCGGCCAGCTCCATAACCTTGTCTGCCCACTTCTTGAGTGTGTCGTCCGACTTGCCCGTCATGACAAAGTAGTCCTCGACGTCCTCCGCGTAGCCGCTGGGATGACGATGTGGAACGGTCCAAGCGATAGTAAGCTTACCACTTGACATGTCTGCGGGTCAGCCAGGTTCTTCTTCTTGGGCACGGTCCAGACTCACCAGTCGTAGGCACAACGGTCGCTCGGTTGATATTGCAAACGAATATCCGCCCCTTGAGCGCCAGCCTCTTTGGCTCCTGCACGGTATTACTCCTCCCCTTGGTCTTGCGCAGCGCCGACTTGGTGTTCTTCTCCTTCCGGTCCGGCGTCACCTCCTTGCAGCACAGCATCATCTTTTCAAACAAAAAGACGTGGTAGTCGCGTGGTTGGTCCGCCTTGGTGACGGTAAAGTGCTCATCGAGGAAGAGCTCGCCGAATTTTACCACATCGTGTCCCTTCCAATCCTCGACGCGGCCGAGCAGGTCGTTGACGATCTGAAGCTTGGCTTGCTTGTCCGTCATGTCGTTGATCTGCATGGCGACTCGGCGGATGGCAGCTGCGCCTTCTTCCAGCTCGGCACGGTGGGGGTAGTCGTGCTTGGCAGTGGTGTTGAGGATAGCCTGGAATCAGCTCTAGTCCACACAGACTGGGGATGGACCGACATCGAGGAGAAGCTGATACTTGGTGATCCGCTGAATAGGCTTGATCATGAACGCCTGCAGCTCGCGCTCCGGGTGGAGACACGGCCGGTCGGCCTCGCCTAATTCTTGCCCACGCTGGCCATCAGCCCTGCCCCTTGCGCTGACTCACGAGTAGATTTGGCATCTGCTCATTGACGATCTGCATCGCCAACAGGTAGTTGGCGCAGTACGGACCATACACCGCAAATTCGTTCTCGCTGGTAACGAACGGCAGTCCCCATCTTCCCTCTGCCCATGCCCGGGGTCCCGATGACTGCTCGACCGGCTCATACTCCGTCTCGAGCTTGATGAGGAATTTCCGGTGAAATTCGAGGATTTTGTTGAGGTTGCAAAAGATGGCAAAGCACCGGTCGGTCGAGATGAGTTGGGCGTCGACCATCTCCTGCGAGCACCGCACGACGATCTCCAGTTCCTGCACATACGACTTTTCCGACGAAACGAGCTCCTCGACGGATTTGAACGCGTTCGCATCGGCCGACGAGTTGCTCTGCCGCATCGCCTCCGGTGTGGATTCCGCGTGGATGTGTACACCGCCGTTCATCGTCGCCGCCATACTCGCGAGTGCCGCCGCTCCGCCGACGTTTCCGGTGACATTACCGCCGAGCGTGAATGGGACGTCAAATGATGGCTTGACAAAGTGCCCGTGATGTGACGAGCCGGCCGTATGTGGCGTGATGGGCGATTCCTCGGCCATGGCCGATAGAGGTAGATTGTTGAGCATCGTCTCGACCGTGTTGAGCACCTTCAACAGCCCCGTCGAATCGTACGTCTCTGCATCCTCCCCCGTCGTCTTCCCCCAAAGCTCATGCAGCGCCCATGACTCGCCATGCCATCTCCCTTCTTCTGCTCGCTGCTTCATCGCCATGCTGAAGATCGCAATGTACTTTTGGCAAGTCTTTGCGTTCTCTGGCCGTTTCGCCCAGTTCTTTATCCCTTGCCTGTCTGGTGCGGTGATAAAGTTGGGGAAATCGTAGACGATTTGACGGGGTGCGGGGAGGTCGGCGTAGACGCCAGAGGTAGGGTCGACAAAGGATGGGATAAGGAGGTTGTACAGGTGACAGAGGGAAGAGCCGAGTCGAAGAACATGGCACATGTGCGAGACGATGTCCAGGCGCTCGGCGTCTGGTGGCATTTCTGACGCATCAGCTCATCCTCGAACAGGCGGGTGGATGGACATACCGAGAAACCCCGCAAAGTCCTCTACTCCGCCTAGTCGTCTCTTAAGTTGACTACATATTTGGTATAATGAGCGATTTGAGGAGAGAGCGGCTGTTTTTATCGCCAGGGCGTTTTGACTGGATACGTCAGCGCAAGTCCCCGCGTTTGATGAAGCCTTGAGCGACATGCGATCAGTGGCGGTGAGAGTAAGACTCACGGATTTGATGGCATTTGGATGGTCTGCATGTCGAGAGGAGGGAGTGATGATTGCTGGCTAAGTGATCCAACGCGTTTGCGCGAAATGGAACCAGGTCCAGACATGATAATGGGAGATGGGCGGTGGTTGCATGAGCTTAGCCTCGGTGGCTAAGGCGAATGCGTGGGTACGAAGGAGGGCCGAGTGGGCGCGTGTGGTCGTGCTGTCGTTGACAAGGGACACGTTTTGAGGGTAGGTAGGTAAGGGTTGCGGGAGATAAAGGAGGGTGAAGGGGTGGACGCTAAGGAGGCCCGTGATTGATTGATGGGTCGAAAGGGAGGGTAGGATATTGCCTTTATAGTGATGGTCGGCGGAAGAAGCGTGACGGTGTACGCAGATGAGTGACAGATGGAATGTAACGATGGTCTGGGCATGATCAGCGTTCCATACCAAAAGAGGTTGCGTGATGGCGTCGGAATGCTCCTCCCGGTCCCCCAAAGTTTCCAAGCTAGCAGACTATGGTTTGCAGATAGCATTGGGCGCCGAGAAGGCTGTGTGTGCCAACTCACTTCTAAATTTCAATATCTCCCCGCTCGGACCACCTGATCCCTATGCCACCCTCGAGATCTCCGAGCAATCGAGCCGCTCTGAAACTGGATCTACAGCCTATTCTCCCTCGGGAATGAGGAGTGCCTTGCAATGTGACTGCGCAGGCCAGATCGGTCTGGATGCGTCTGCTGGAATCGCCCTGGTGCCTGATTCAGACGCCAGGATACAGTGACCCGGTCCGCGGGCTGCAGCGCAAGCGAGGCCGGTACAAGGCGGATGTAGCGTTGGACGGGCCTGGACTCGGCAGCGCAGCCGAGATGTCGAATGGGAGGAGGTAACGGTGGAGGTGGAGGGGTTGAGAGGTACAGGCGAGAAACGGCGCCGACTGGGGAGCCGACCGTGTTCGTGCCTGGATACGAAGGTGGAGTGAGACGCGCTTGCGGATGGCGGCGCCGAGGTGGTGCCGATGGATAGGGAAGGAGGTGTCGGAGGAGTCCGAAGAAGACAACAAAGAGGTAGGAGGAGGAAGAAGTCGAAGGTTGAACGAAGAAGGGGTGCGCGGCGGAGGTCGAGGGTAGCGGTCCGAGGGTCCAGCAGGGACCGCGTAGGAGTACAGAGGGAGAACGGGGGGTAGCGGCGTTGCCTGTTGATATCTCGTCCAAAGAATGGGACGATGAAGGAGTAGGACGGGGCTGGTGATCTGTCGCGCCTGGGCTGTTGTTGATGATGTGACTACCACGAGCGAGAGTGGTGAAGTGAGAGTGGCGACAGAGTGAGGCGGAACCGGGTGGCTTGTGCGGGTGTTTCAGATGTAAAGTTGAGGGTCCCGAGCTAGCTTGTCGACCGCGAAATGGGGTCGCGAGCTAGTTGACAGCGATGTGACGGTTGGACAGGGATAGGACTTGGTCTATGCAGCAGCTGTGCAGTGGCGAGAGAAGCAGTGTCCGCGTGATGTCGATCCGTCAAAGGACCTCTGATCGAGGGACCTTTGGATATTTGCTGGGTTTGCGTTTGGAGAGCACGGTTGCACGCGCCGTAAACCCGAAAAGGCGCCACTGGGGTAAAGGAGGGAGAGGACGTCCGGTCCAGCCTTTGCCTCTCAGATAGGATGTAGCGGGCGATCGCGGGTGGCACCAGCGTCGAGAGTAACGATAGATGTGATGAAACAGAAGCACAAGCAAGCAGAACAGCAGTGAGTGACTCTCAGAGCTCAAACCCCCTTGTTCTTCGGCGAGGGAGGAGGAAATGTTTAGCGTTAAAGAAAGCGCCACTGTTTGAATACGATTTGCTGCTTTGGGAAATTCCGGAGATTAGTACGAGGGATCGACAGCGGACAAGACTGGGACCCAGACAAGCGAAGATATAAGCTCGGAGCATGTGTGACGGCCAGGAACAGCATCCGAGCAGTAGCAGAGGAATCAATCAGGATGCAGCGCAGCATCGTCTGTAATCGACAGCGAGGTTTGCACAGTCAGTAGCTGCTCGATGCTGAAGGCGGCTGGTACCATCCGCAATCGAGATCCGCAAGCTGTGTCGTAACCGCAGCATTCCTCTGCGGAAGAGATCTTCAGCGTCGATTGGGGACAGCTTCATGCCGAGGGTGATGAACCTGCTAAAGAACGCCCTGCCGCCGCGATTCCGCTAGCTACATCTCCTCCCATCGAGACAGCTCCATCTCCTTTGCCAGCCTCGGCTTGACATACGGGTCAAAGGTCTTCCAGTACTGCCCAGGTCAATGCCAGCTATCGCACCATCGGTCCGAGCGCGCATGATATCTCGATCGACGGCTAGGGAGAACATACCGGGTTATTCAGGTGATACTGCTGGCTAGACTCTTGCTCATACCGCTCCACAATGCAGAACTTGGTAGCGTCCTTTGGGTCCTGCATGACGTGCCAGTCAAGCGTCTACACGGGTCAGCTCCCCTCCGCCAACTTACTATAAGCTGGTCTTAATGCCGGACATCCCGCAAGTCCGCATCAGACTTACTTCTCTGTCTTTCCGGTACACTTCAGCAGCTTCGATCAGCTTCGCCTTGACCTCTTCGACGGTGTCCTGGGCGTGAGCTGTGGGTCGCATCAGGCATCGATGAGTGGGTAAAATCTGCGTACAGGCTTTGATTGAAGGTGGACGACGATTGTGTAGACCATGTTGCAAGTTCTTTAATCAGGGTGGTTGAGAGGCAGTGGTCAATAGACTCGCAACAACAGCAGTATATATCAGATAGCAGGACAAAGGAAGACGACCCTCCCGCAGCCTTCAGCTTCACCTCTGCTCGTCGCGTCTTTCTTTGGAACCCCACGGCGGCCGACCATAACCGCGTTCCTCATTCCGGCATCCTCCATACCCGAACTTTCCGGACGGAGCTCAGCCTTGCCTTGCCTTGTCTTGTCTTGGGCCTTACCTGTGCCCTTCCATCTCGACTTCACTACCCTCTTCATCCCCCCTTCATCGTCAGACTGACCTTGAGACAGAGCCCCTTGAGTAAAACGCAACCGAACACGACAGCGACGACCGCAATGGACACCTTCCAGAAAGACCTATTCAAGGGCAAAGTCCTCTTCTGTACCGGAGGTGAGCGTCTCCGTGACTCGGGTCCTCGGTCACGCACTGACCCTTGCAGGCAGGTCAGGGATATGCTACACTATCACAGAGCAGATGATGCGTCTCGGATGCTCTGCTGCGATTGTTGGGCGAGAGTAGGTCTCCAGTCTTTGACGGAATAGGCCTCTCGAAGGGAATTTCAAGCTGAACCTTCAGCGCCAAGGGCCTGGAAGAGTCCGCTAGGGCGCTCGAGAAGTCTTCGGGCGGTAAGGGAAGGTGCATCGCTACTTCTGCCGATGTCCGAGACCCGTCTCAGGTCGGACGGGCGGTTGAAGCTACAATCAAAGAGTTTGGGAAGATCGACTTTGTCATCTGCGGTGAGCTGGCCTGATTATGATTATGCTGGCTCCAAACTATAGCTGACCAGACAGGCGCTGCTGGAAACTTGTACGTCCCTACTTCATCTTTACTGCTGTCTCTTTGCTAATCTTCAGCCTCGCACCCATCTCTACCCTCTCCGCCAACGCCTTCCGAACCGTGATCGAGATCGACCTTCTCGGGACATACCACACCATCAAGTCTACTCTCGCGCACGTTCGCAAGTCTCAGGGGAGCTACATCCACATCTCGGCGACGCTACACTACCGCGGAGTGCCTTTCCAGCCGCATGTGGCCGCTGCGAAGGCGGGGGTGGACGCGCTGAGTCAAGCACTGGCGGTAGAGGAGGGGCCGAGGGGCGTCAGAAGCAACGTGATTGCGCCTGGGTGAGCGGGGACGTCTTTGAAGTGGGCACGTGGATGGGCGAGCTGACTATAATAGACCTATCGGGGACACGGAGGGCATGTCGAGACTTACGCCTAAAGGGTCAAACGTGGAGGCCCAGATCCCTCTCGGACGCATGGGCAAGAAAGGTACATCAGCTTGCTCCTCCGTATCAAGTGATAGTCAGGGTAATGCATGGCTGATACCATCAGAGGATATCGCTCAAGCCGCCACGTTCCTCTTCTCCCCAGCTGGATCATGGATCACCGGCTCAGTAATGGTATGTCTGACCTATCTGCCCTCTCTCCGAGCTCTCCCTCTTTCTTCGCAGCCACGACGGGAGCTGTGGCTGATGTTTCAGGTGGTCGATGGAGGCGAGAGCCACATCAGGGCTCCGATGCTGCCGTATCCCTCTTCGGTGCTCGACCCAGACAGCGTCAAGAATCTCGTCAAGGCGCGCATGTAACGAGGATTGCTGAAATCTGGAATTTGGAATGTATGAACAGTTGCTGTCTCCTCACCTCTCCTCTGGTCCTTCTTCACTTCCGCATGCTTGGAATATCGATCAGACAGCGTAGCGTGAGGTATGACTACCGTAACGCCCCTGCGCTGCACTGCAGCGGATCACCATATTAGATCACGTGCGCCCGGCTGCATACGTAATCTGCTCGCAAGCGCCAAATTCCTCTCGCGGCGCTTTTCGATCTGCCCTTCCACCTCTCTCTCCTCCACCATCCACCACTTAGCACCATGTTCAGAAACGCAGTAGCCAGCTCTTCCAAGCTCACCCTCGGCGTAGCTGTCCCTCGAGCTGCCGCTCGCCAGTCGTCAGGCTTCGCGACGTCCGCTCGGGTCACCTTTGCCCGTTCCCCTTCCCGCTCAGATGAATCCTCCACCACTACCACCCTCCGCGAAACTTTCCCCAACCTTGCTGCTCTGACACCCACCCCCGCCGCCACATCCACCTCATCCGTCCGCCCACCCCGCTCACCCACATCCGTCCCTGGCGGATCCCGCATCCCCACCATCTCCTCCCTCTCACCAACGCGCGCCCCCTCTCCCCCTAAATACCGGTGGGACCCTCTTCCTACCACCGACGACACGCCCTCCACCCACACACTCACCGTCATGTCCACCCGCAACAACCTCCTTCTCACCCTATCGGACCGCCAAGGCCCGCTCTTCCCGACCATCACCGGCGGGACGGGGAAAACCTTCAAGAATGCCGCTCGGTCAGGCTATGAGGCGGCGCACCAGGCCGCACTAAAGATGTTTGAAAAGATGAAGGAGGTGTCGAGAGAGGCGCCCGTACGCGGAAGCAGAGGCATTCAGATCCGGCTGGCGTATAAGGGGTTTCAGGGTCAGGGGGCCGAGGCGTTTTCGCAGGCTCTGGGCGGGAATGAGGGGGGAGATGTGAGGAAGATGATCGTCAAGGTGGAAGATAGGACAGGGGTCAAGATTGGAGGTACGAGGGCAAGGAAGCCAAGGAGGTTGTAAGATGAAGAAAAAAGATTGTGAGTTGAATGTGCTTGCCTCACCCCGCTCGAGGCTGAAGCTGACCGGATAGGTATCCAAGCTCATCGATGTATCGCGCCTCGCTCCATGGTATCGTCGCAGTACTGATATACTCATCTCTTCGGCCGTCACCCTGCTCACCACCCACCAGGGCCCAGCAATTTTCAATTTCGCCTTACTCCCCCTACCCATGCCTCTACTTCTCATCTCATTACATCCTCGCCTCCCCTTCCTCCCCTCACCCTTCATCCCCCCGTGCCCTGCACACTGGCTCTTTCGAAGCCCCTCCCATCGCTATCACCGATTCGAGGGGTCAAAAAGCAGCCCAAAGCGACCCAAAAGCCGAAACCGTCTAACGGCGGCTGTCCTTATTTATTCCTCTTGACCGACATCTCTACCGGTCGGGAGGTATGCTTAAAGGATACACCACCTCCATCTCCAACTAGATTGATATATACAGTAAATGCATGCGAATGGACTCTGCTACAAACTCGGGCGTGCGGAACTACAAAGGCGGAAGGAAAACATGGAGACATGGGACACTAATCTACTGCTAATCTACTTGACGCTAACTACCGTACAAGGTCGTGTCGAGCTAATCTATGAAGTCGTGCGGATCGTGGCTGGGTGGCGGTCGTACAGTGGAGTGGTGTAACGGGTATGTTACTTTTGGGTGGTCTCGACAGACTAGTCGAAATGGGAAGGGAGCGGAGTGTATGCGTACAATGGGGAAAGCGAAATCGAAGTGGACCGGGCGGGAAGGGAAGCTAACAAAGGTGACCGAGCCGGATTGAGGGAACGAGCTAAGCGGGCCGGGGCGCCTTGCCCTTACCCGCACCAGCGACAGTCTTTGCCGAACCCAGAGGCGCCTTCGCCTTTGTACCGGCGACGGAGACGAGAGGGATGTCTTCTTTGTCCCCCTTGCCACTGTTGCGCTTGAGCAGCTTGCCGGCGCCGGGGGTACCTTTGGACTTGGCGGACGATTTGCGGACGTGGCGCTTCGGCACGGCGTTCTCGTCCGGCTCGCTGGCGAGGTTGATGAGGTCCTCGACGATGGCTTCGCTGCTGGTGTCGGCCTTGGAAGGAGTGACACCAGCGTCTGGGGTGGCTGGGCGAAGAAGGTCGAACTTGGAGCTCGTGAAGGGGCATTGGGAGATCTCCTTGACCGCCGGGTCTGCGTGAGGAGGAGTGTTGACCTTGATGGTGAGGGGACTGAGACCCTGAAATGTCAGCGCGAGCGATACAAGCAGACACCAGCTCACTTACGCTGGAAGGGGCAAACTTCTCAAACAGGTTGTCGATGGTCATGTGCGGGGCATCGTCGCTGCGGTCCGATGAGGGCGTGTACCGATTCTCCGAAGACGGGGGTGCTCGAGGAGTAGCCTGATTGGCCGGTGTCTTCATCCTCCAGTTGACGCTAGCGTCTGCCTTGCTATTGGCCAGGATAGCCTTGGCAGCGCGGACCTCCTCCTCGGTAGGTGGTACCCCGGCGGATTTGGGCGGGACGGGAATGGGGATGGCAACCTCGACGCGCTGGATGCCCTCGCCGGAAGCGTTGCGAGGCGCAACATACGTCCTGGTATCGCTTGAGGTCCTCTGCGCGGCGTCGATGGATGGGGCGGTCATCGAGAGGGAGCGCTTACGAGCCATCTCGAACATCGGACGAGGGACCGCGTGAGCTGCGGTCTCGACGATCGACTCGAGAGGTCGGTTGATCTGCATGCTGCTCATCTGGGCGCGAAGGACCTCGGACGGGGTGCGCTTGCTGTCGGGCTTCTGGTGTGTCAGCGCGATACTGCGAAGAGAAGGTCCGCAAAACTGACCATCGGCTTGGAGCTGTAAATTATAGGTGGCTGAACGGTCTCAGGCCTCTTGTACGCCTCGATGCCGGCCGCGCTGGACGGGAGGTGTGTCATGTCGATGTGCTGCTGATAGGGAAGACGCGAGGGAGGTCGACCCATACCGTGGTAGACCGCCGGAGGCGGTTGACGCTCAGTGTAGTTTTGGTTGGTAGAGGGATGGGGAACGAGAAGATCCGCCGTGTCCGAGCTGGTCTTGGCGCCGTTCTCGTGTAGGTTGAAGGTTGCAGGATTGAACATGGCCTCGTCTGGGATGTGAGAGTCGACTCCACTACAACGTCAGCATGTGCCCAATGCGGGAGTTCCAGAAGGACGGAGGAGGAGGAGGAGGAGAGGAAGCTCACCTGGGATTGCGCGCATAAGGAAGGTTGGCCTGTCCATGCAGCGTAGGGACGGAGCGGATGACGATCGGCTCGATCAGCCTTGGCGGGTTCTGCCTCCGCAGCTGCTCCTTCCTCCACTCGGTAAGCTGGACTGGCTTGGAGGCAACTTTGGGAGCGGGAGGAGTGGTAGGATCTCGCGGGTCGCGGATGGTGATCGCTTTGCCTCGGCTCGCGGTGGACTGCGAGTGTGCACTGGACGCCTTGATGGGGGATCCTTCAGCCTCGAGGGCCTGCTGGAGGAGGAGCCGCCTACGATGAACGAAGGGGACACCGCGGGGGAGAAGAATGTCGGTTGGCTCAGACGTGGAGGAGGTAGTGATGTCGTAGCTGTGATCGCCGTCGCCGGGGTTGAAGGGGGAGGATGAGCCATACGCGTCATGCATGGAGGTGACGGGGGACGCTGGAGTGGGCTCGGGCGCGATGCGCTTACGTGGTTCATCGGCGGCGGGGGCGACGGGGGAGGAAGGTTGAGTAGTAGGTTTGCTGACCTTCTTCTTGCCGTTGTCGACAGCCGAGGCGGGAGCGGGAGGGGCGGTGGCGGCTACAGACCTGAAGAGCGCGTTGAAGATGCTGCTCATGATGCCGAGTGGGAGGTATGGGACAGAAGAAGGGGGAAGGGTGGAAGCAATGTAAAAGAAGGTAAGGGGAAGTACAGCTAACTTCTCTACTCTACCAAGAGTCTGCTCTCTCATGTGAGCTATACGAGAGAAGAGGGGGACTGAGGTGACTGTTGGAATGGTCTATGCTAACTTGTAGTAAATGGTCATTCGCGCAAGAAGAAGGTAGAAGTATGGATGAGAGATGAAAAGAGGGAGATCGGGTGGTACTTATACCCGGTCAGACGCACAGACCTTCCTTTTTCAGGAACGGGGGTGCGGATGAGTCAACTGCATCTGAAACCGCCCCAAACTGCCCAAAGCGGCAACTCTCTACCCTATCCTGCTACATCTATGGCTTCAATCGCCATATCTGCACACCCCCAGTCTGGGTATTGACAGCATGATACACCTGACTGTCAGCTGTGACCTCGAATTATAAGGTTCAGTCAACTCACATTGACCAGGAAGGCATCCCCGAGGATCCACTGCGTCGTCAGCCAGCCACTCGAGCAGGTGGCGAAGGATGCCCACATTGCTGTTGCCGGGTATCTTTTGTATCCTCGGCTCGCAATACACACCAGTACCATTGCCAGCGAACGGCGTCCCAGCCAAGTCGATCTCTGGACCACTAGACATGGTCAGTAAAGGCTATGCTCATCGCTGAGACGTACTAGAACCTACACGAGGTCTTTCCATGGCACCGGGAACGCCACGCCGCCAAATGTGAATGACAGTGCCTCCGCTACATTCCCTCGACCCTTACAGGGGATCATCGCGGTCTTGAGTTGAGGATGCATTGGGACTTCGGGTTCCTGCACCAGAGCTTTCAGTATCCACTCGTATTTCTGTCAATCGTCAGTACTGGCTTGCAGTGAGACCAGGGAGCACGAGATATCAAGGCCACGTACCGAATCAGGAACGACAATATTGGAGGTCCCAGTATCCAGCAGCATTCCGCTATTGGTGATGAGCGAGTCCTTGACGGGCTGACCCATGATGGCAAAGCTGTCCAAGGTGACATTGTACTTTGTCCCGCCGCCTTTCCGCTGCGGCAAGTCGACGTGAAATGCGCTATCGCCGTACGTTCTGGGGGTGTCAGCACCGCCAACAATAATATGAAGCATGTGACAACGCACGATTTCAAGGCGTTACCGAATATAACCTCGCCTGTCGTGTCAGCAGATAGTCGTCATCGCTCATCACACCGACTGGAGCGGGACTTACTGTCTCCCTCCCCTTGCCGCTGCAATCTCAGTCCCACCCAAGGATCATCTACCAGTCCATCGCTCAGCATACGGGACATGGGCGTAGTCGTCTCGATTCTGTCCACCATGGCGAGCCCGAACATTCCGCTACTCAAGTCAGTCTGGTCTTTTACATTGTTGTGAAACTGAAAGCTCGCCTGAATGACTTCCCGTGCGCAGTCAACTCATCCCCGACGTCCGTCGCCGCCGCCATCGCCATATTCTGCATCTTGTACGGGCCAAATTCCATCGTGGTATTCACCAGACAGCCCTTGAATCCGCCGGTCTTGTAAGAGGTCTGGTATGGTGTACACTGCTCCGGATTGGACGCGAGGGCGCCGACCATCCCTCCTGAGATACAGTCCGCGCAGGCCTTGTCTGCGGCCCAGAAGGTGTAGGAGCCCGTATCAACCTGAATATAGTTAGCGTCATACAGACTGGAAATGAAGATATACTCACGAGCATGGGTACAACTTTGCCCTCTTGGCCGAGCTTGACGTCGATTGTGTATACCCAGGCGTCAACCCCCTTGAGAGCAAGGTCAGTAGGCATCGCCGCGGCTGGAGGGACTGTCTTCGAAGTCGGACCGGACACTGTACTTGATGAGTCAGTTGCGGAGGCCGGCGACCCGGATGAGGAGCTTGTGACTGGTTGGTTCGGAACATTAGGCAGCCCTGTCGAGGATGAGCTGCTGGTAAGGCTGGGACCGACCCCGCCACTTGAGGTCGTAGTATCGCCATTTGGTAGACCAGTCGAAGAAGCCAAGGGAGTACTGCTCGATGCTCCTTCTACCGCATGGATTCCCCCACCTACACCCGAGCTCGGCGTCACAGTCACATACACCTTCACTGTTGTATATATCGTTCCGCCGCCAGCCGCCGGTGCGTCCTGTAACGATGTGCTCCCAAGGTCTGATGGAGGCACATCAGTCGCACTAGGCTGGACATATATCGTCGTCTTTACCGTAGAGTAGATGGTCCCTCCGCCCTGCTGACCAGCAGGAGCGACAGAGGATGTAGGTATGGTGTCTTGTAGATTCCGCTTCTTGCCCGCTTGGATGTCGTGATGGACTGAGGGACGAGACGGAGAGAGACCGAGGTGCCGCCGCTCTAAGAGGTGCTCCGAGAGCCGGCATTTGGTCAGCTTGATGGATGCAGAGGTGGCGAAGGGGAGAAGGAGGAGCAAGTAGCGCAGCCACATTTTGGGTGAGTCTCGTACGCGCGGTCGTCAGGTACAGGTCAGTAGAGCGCAGACGTTCTGGGACCTTGAGGGCTATTGGTGGACATGCAGGTCGGCTGAGGTGTACTCGAGCAGATAGGGTGCCACTGGACTATGGACATACCCCGGCACGCTCACGCACGGGAACAAGGCAGCCGAGCGAAACAAGAAAAGCTGAAAGCCACACAAGTCAGAGAACAAAGGTCCTTTGATGTCCTGCCCCGACAGCAGGGCTGAGGGGGTGTCAGTGGTAAAGGATGAGCGAGTAACAGCGTATGTATCAGAGAGAGTATGCAAGCGTCGCGACCGTGCATTGTTCGGGTCTGTAACACATGGACAGCTGCGTCTGCATGGCCTACATGGATCAGCGGGATCCGCGTGCCATCAACCTTGCGATCCGGACTCACTTTAAAAGCAAGCTCATGGTCCGGTCGTCCCCCAACCCGCTCTCGCCTCAGAGCCAGTATACATCATCCTCGTAGTCAGGCTCCGGAGGTACGCCTCTTTTCCGCTCGCGGCCCTAACCAGCCTTCCCGGGGTGGGGGCTGTTTGTCTCTTATCCGACTGCTAGGAGGTCAAGTCCCGCTGTAGATCACTTGCTTTTCGATGAAGAAGGACTCACCTCGTCGCCGCCTCCCTCCTCCTGAGGCTCCTGCCCATAGCCGCCGCGAGGGCGACACAGAGTTATCATGAATAGTTAGATGCAGGGACGCCCAGACTGGCAGCATACCCACCAGGGACAGATCGAGATGGGTGGTTCTGACCGAGCTCAAGAGATCCATGGCCACAGGTATAGGTGCGGCCATCGAAGTAACTAAGAGCAGGAGGACGAGTTCGACCAGGTGATACCGGAGCAGCTGGACCATTTTGGTTAAAATTGAAAGCTGACTCGGCGGACGGATAGGTTTGAGTACGAGTACAGATGCGGTCAGCGGTGAGAAGCGATGAGCGATACAATGAACAGCTGGTCTCGAGATCAGACAAAGAGCATGGTCCAAGGTACCGGTCAGCCCGCTCCTTTGTCCCGGCGGCATCCCGTTGACGAAGCGTTAGAAAGGGCGACACGTCGGCGGTACGTAGCGTCGTTCCTCCCGGATCCACCTTCTATGGCAAATGTCGAACGTGGTGGCAGAATGCTGCAAGGTCTTGTATTGGGGGAGGGTAGCAGAGTAGAGATGCCAGGAGTGAGCGCTTTCCACCCAGCCCCCGAAGTCCCGGAGGCAATTAGTGCCTCGGCTAAACTCGGATAAATGCTCTCACATCCAACCTAAAGCTAGTGATAGTGGGCATGTCGTCTCAGAGCAAGATTGAGTAATGTCTGTGGATCGCAAGCGATTCGGTGGTGGCTGCGCGCGACGGCAATCATTGCGACTGTAGCAACCCGCTCGAATCACTCCAGCTGAGAGCTCATTGACAAGGAATGTGGCGGTGAAGTCCTTACGGCAGAGCGCGTGGTTCCCGCCACTCAGTCAGGCACGGGGACCATTCTGAACCTTAATTTTAGGTCCAAGCCAGAAGAACAGGAACTCGGCACAAACTGGCCGAACCAGGAACAAAAAGACGGGCAGCCAAGTCGACGGTCCGCAGCTCTCCTAACTGCCTAGATAGTTGGCGAGATCATGTCTCTCTCTTCATAGCTTCATACTGCCCGTGGGCCGTGACACTTGTCCGTAGTCGATAGGCCGGCCGTTAGTCCCCCCGGTGAGAGGGCACCCCGAAACTTGTTTCATCGCTAGGCACCGCCCTGTCCGTCTCGACTCTCCATCGGCCGTCCGCGTCGTTCCTGGTCGATCCGTCCCCGTGCTATACATCGAAATCCCCTTCACAACAGCGATACAGGCACCGATCCTCTCACAGCAGCCCCTCGTGGCTGTGAGAATCTGACAGGCCTCACGGATCGCGGTCTTATTCTCCTGGTGGGCCTCGCCTGAGACATTGCCGAGTCAGGCACTATTCGCCAGCAACACGGTCAGGGCATGCCACGGTCGTCTTGAGCGTGGCCACAAGTCCCCATCAACCGATCCTCACCCACACGGCCGTCTTTCAGCAGTACTTTGGGTCAGGCTCGGTCGATATGAGGAGAACACAGGCAGCCGGTCCGCCTGCGCTGGAAGGACCTTCGTCATCCTCCACCGTTCCCACCATGGCTTCCCTGCGAGAGGGTTCGCGTCTGGCGCAGGCGGGAGATCATACTCAAGATGACGAGCCCCAGACGAGGCAGGCGCTAGTCAGGAAGGCAATGGCGGGTTTGCAGCGCTTCAAGCAGAGCTGGAAGTCAGTCATGCTGCTGAAGGCTGGCGTCGGGTTGGGTCAGGTATGTCAAGTGGTCAACTTTGCGCTATTCGTCTGACCCCATCAGGTCTTGGTACTCATCGTACTCCTCATTCTCGCGACTTCCCTCCCCTCACCACTCTTTCCATCGCAGAAGCAGTCTCAGCCGTCCGACGCGTGCTCTCATCCTGGGCTCTTTCAAGCTTGGATGGGCGTGCAGATCGTGCGCCTGACGGTATGCTGGAGCGTTAGCTGCTGGATGTTGATACGGACTGAGCGACGGCGGCGAAGACGGCGAGAAGAGCGCGAGGCGGAGGAAAGGGAAGAAGCACGTCTGGCTGGCCCGGATTCTGCGCAGGGGCCAACGTCCGTACAGCAGAGGTACGTGTGGCAGAAGCACCGAGAGTACTAAGCTGACCGTCAGTGGTGTCGAAGTCCGACACAACCAGAATTCCTTCTCCTCTCGCACCGCCCCCTCCCTTGTCCACTCCACGTCGTCCACTTCCACCCTTCTCAACACGCTCGTCTCCGCCCCTTCCACCCCACGGCCCAATCAGGCATCCACGTCCCGGCTAGACCTGACGTGCGTACTAGAGCTGGAGAGCATCACAGATCAAGACGAGATCAGTCTGGCCGACGGGACCAAGACGCGAGATGGGAGTCTGGCGCTCCCTCGGGACTCGGTCGACATGCTCGCTCCGCCTGCTGCGGTGCAGGCACGGGAGGTGCGAGAACGGCAGAGTATGCGAAGTCTTCGCCAAGCTAGGGGGATGCTGAATGGAGCGTCTGGGGCAGAGTCTGTCGATGCGCCAGCGAGGGGTCTATCGGGATGGCTAGATAAGCACGCATTGAAGTGGGTTGTCCAGCATCTTTGCTCAGGTCAAGCTGATAAGCAGCATCTCCCGCTCACTAGGCGTTATATCCACCATTCTCTTCCTCCTCGGCAACATCCTCCTCTTCTATCCACCGCCCTCTAGCTACTCGTGCTACTCAGCCAGCCCAACACTCTGGTGGGGAGTCCTCACCGTGACCGCCGTCGGCTGGGTTCTACTTCTTCAGGTATTCTTTGTGGTTGTCATTGTTGGTCTCGGGGGCGCTGTCGTCTTGGTAAGTCTCACATCCATGCCAGCTGACAGTATAGCACGCCCTGCAGCGTCTTGGCGTCATGCCCGCTCCAGCCGAACCCGAAGCGCCCCGTGCGGCCCAGCCCGACCCCCTCACCTCCGCAGAGCTGGACCAGCTGAAAATGGTCTGCTACCTACCCGAAAACTCCCTGATATCCGCCACTCGTCTGCCCCTTCCTCCTGTCTACCTCACACCACATCAGTCGACATGTGCCATCTGCCAGGAGAACTTTGAGGAACCACAAGAAGGACGAACGATCTTGCTCAAGGCGGACAAGTTGCGTCAGCTGGGATGTTCGCACGTCTACCACGTGAGTCCTTCTGCTGTCGCCTCGCAGTGCGAGCTAACGGGTCAGATGGACTGTATCGATCAGTGGCTACTAAAGGGATCGGGCAACTGTCCGTCCTGCAATGCCCCGGTCCGGCCTTCACTCCCCCCTGTACCGGCCACAGCGCCCAGCACGCCCCGAATGAGCAGGGGATGGCGGAGTAATCATACGAGTCCTGTGTAATTCTTGTATATATCGTATATAGTTTGGGTCTTCGCGGGAGCCAGGGTCTATAGTTCGTAGGTCTTGCCAGATACATGGGCAATACACCCAAAGCGCGAAGGCTGCAGCCCAAGTCGGCAATCATTAATCAGTCGCGTCTACCATTGCACGAGGAACGATGACGAAACGCCTGCCTTGCCTTTGCCCCGCTTGTTTCGTCCCTCTCCTACATCCCCAGATCTCCTCATGATGCCTTCACCGTTGGACTCATAGGCTGCACTTCACACTACAGCCGTCGTCGTCTGGGAAGCGCGGCTCGACCAGCTACAGCTGCCCAAGATGGACCCGCACGCCTTCGACTCGGATGATGGTGACATTTCGCTGTCCCTCACGACCGCCTCTTCCATGCCTACACTGTCCTCCTTGTCGTCCTCAGGCTCGAGGGACTATTTTCCATCACAAGCAGCTCGTCCCTCGGCCTCTGTGTCAGCCTCAGGCTCGAGCTCGGGAGCTCGAGAAGGAAAGTTATTGGGAAAAGGCCTCTGGTCCGCTCCTTCCTGGTCGAGCTCCTCCGTCCCCTCCGGCTCAGGCGGTCATGAGGTCAGCCTCGACGAAGAGCCACGAGGCTCACGGTCTCCTTCTGGGTCATCTCCCTCATCTAGTCCGAAGTACTCGCTTCCTCCACCACGAGCAGACCAGCGGGTCGGTCTAGGCATAGTGTCCGTTCCTGCCCCCTCATCAGCCAACGACCTCACTCCAACCAAACACCGTCCTGGACCGCTCGCACCCACCCCTACCCGCCGTGTCTCTTCCTCCACTTCCATCCACTCCCTCAACCGCTCTCGCTCGCTCGGAAATCGGCTCTCAGTCCCCTCAGAGAGCTCTCCTACGCGGAATGGGAATCGCACGCCCTCGATGCGGCTCGGCTGGTCTCGGCGACCCGGAGAGCCAAGGCCACCGCCTATGGTGGAAGAGGGTGTCAGACAGAAGATGGAAAGATGGGTCAAGGAGATCGTGGTGTGCAATTTTGACCTGGAAAGGGGGCCAGTGGTGGAAAGACGGGCGGTGGGCAGACGGTGGGGTCCGGGAGAGAAGGAGAATGTGTGAGTCTTCGCAAGCTATCAGGAGGGCGAGAATCCAGCTCATGCGAGCAGTGCATTCTCCTCCTTCCCAGATACATCCCTCTTCGCAGAAGGCTCGATCCTCTTCTCCTTCAAAATCCGACATACACCTCCTGATCCCATCTCCCTCTCTTACCCCGAGCCACCGTCTCCCATGCCAGACCGCCATGGGGAGTCTCACATACCAACTATCGAGCAGTCCCTCCTCAACCTGTCGACGGACGATGATCAACCCGCATCTGCTACTTCTTCGGAAGGCGCAAATGGGCTCTTATCCCCACCTCCGAGCTCGGCGAGCTTTAGCAGCTTGACGAGTAGCAGCACCCTGAGCGCAAGCCAGAGTACGCCTGCACTCATGTCGGATGGCGAGCGGTCGCTGGAGTATCGGAAGTGGGATGAGAGGGGTCGCGAGTGGTTATATGGCTTTGTGTGGTTCGAGCAGCGCAAAGACAGGGGAATCGCGAGGGGTTACATGCAGGTAAGCCTCGCCTCGATCCTGTAGAAGCTCGCTGACGGCCAGAAATCATTGGTCATTCTCACTCACCTCCCGTTCCCCTCCCTCTTCTTTGCGACACTCAACCACCTCGCCCCCGTCTTCTTTGAACACGGCTACTCTGCCCTCGAAGCGGGCTGTCACTCTATCGCCAACTGGCCAGATCCACAGATGGGCATGACGCTCGAACTTCCCATCCTCTCGGACCTTATCACCGTCAAGCTACCTGACGAAGAAATGCCACAACTAGGACCCATTCAGAGCTCTCCGGTACGTCTTGATCTAGACCACGCTAACGTCAGATACTGGCGTCACTGCCGCCATCTACACCTCTGCGGGCTTTCGCGAACTGTCTTCCCGCGTTATGGAGCTTGTGGGAGTGTCTAGTGCTCGCGGAGCCTGTACTTGTCATCGCGCCAGATCCAAAGACGTGTTCCGAAATAGTCTGGTGGCTGCGAGACCTTCTTCGACCGGTAAGCTCATCATTGTACCAAGCTGATAGTAGATACCTCCAGCAGGCGACTTCAGGCCGTATCTTCACATTCACGACCATGACTTCTCGCTCCTCGTCAACTCGAATAAGCCCCAACCTGGTACCGTCGTCGGTGTAACCGTAAGCTGAGCTATCACCGCGCGAGATAGAGCTAGCTGACCAGTCAGAATCCCTTCTTCCGAAATGCGGCGGCGCACTGGCCAAACGTCATCTCGATCAGCGACAAGCAGGCGAAGCGCGCTCCTAATGGCCTGTCCAGCCCAAAACTGGATGCGCCCGAGGGCTTTGTTAGCCGGCGGCAACGAGGGGTGTTGAAGGACCGGGCGTTGTTGAAGCGGTTAGAGGCATTGGTGGCTGAGGGGAAGCTGGATGGTGAGCTTCTAGTGTCCCCCTTGATCGTAGAGCATGAGCTGATACATCAGATCCCGGAGGCAACGCCGCTCTCCGACTACACTTTCAGCAACTTACCGAACGCTTCCTCGTCCCGCTAAACCGGTACTTCCAGACGCTCGTTCCTACTTCCTCCCCCTCTCCCACCCCGTATGCGGGAACTCAGGCCCAAATCAAACCCTGGTCCATCCCCAACTTTCTCTCTCACCTGAAGAATCACGGTCCCAACCCGCTCCTCTTCCGTACCAAAGGTCTCTCTACCAAATCGAGGGTGGAGAACGATTTCTACGCGGCGTTTTGCATGTCTGCAACGTTCGCAGGGTGGCTGAGCGGCAGGATCGAGAGTCAGGGTCTTGGTACGGGTATGGGAAGACGAGCAGGTGCGGACGGGATGAAGCTGCAAATACCTCAGAGCAGGCTAGGGAGGGGCGTATCGCCGCCGGGGTCGGTAGAGGGCGAAAGGACCAAGGAGAAGGAAGAGGAGGAGCTCCGACAGAGCAGCGAGGAAGGGTCGTTTGCTTCGCATTCGCATGGCGCAGGGTATTGGCGCGCGAGCGAGGAGAGTCCGAGAGGCGGCAGGCTGGATGCGTATGGAAGACGCGCGAGCGATGGGGCGGTGAAGGCTTTGGCGGGGTGACATGATCTGGCGGATGTCGGAGGGACCTGCTTGACTTGTATCTATAGCGCATAGTTTGGGGATCCTAAATGCTTGCATTGCCAGCGTGACTCTGGAGTGTTGCCTGTACAACTTGACTTTAAATCACACTCTACCTGCTACAATTCTACTGTTTCTCTTCGTGTCCTATCTACCTCTATGCTATGCTAGTCATTTAACGCAGCTATCATCCGCCTCCGCTCGTCCCTATCCTTCTTGTCCCTCTCTTTCCACCTGATTTTGCCCTTCTTCCCCAACTCCTCCGCCCCTCCCGCCTGCTTCACTGCCCCAGAACGCGAGTACCTTGCCCGCCTCTGCGCCTCCAAGATTTCTTCGTGGCTGTGCGTGACCTTCTTCCGCCCTTCTCCCTCCTTCAACATCGCCTTCCCGCCTGATTTCCTCTTGGGCCTATCGGCAGAGAGCCGATGGCCTAGTCCTAGCCGATCCAGCTTGAGAGTAGTAGCTATGGGTGCTGTTCGCCCCGGCCCAAAGACGGTAGGCGGGAGATCCTCCTCGTCCTCATCTTCTCCCGAAGGCGCAGAGTCGTCCGAGTCCTCAATGACGATAGCGTCTGCCCTGCTCCCTTCCGCCTGGCGTTCTTCTACTACCCTCGCCGGTGGCGCCGGAGGCTCCCATCCTTCAGGCCTGCCCAACCCGCCTCCGCCCCATCCTAGCCGCTCGCGCAGGATTTGATGTCCGATGTGGTCTGGTCCCAGGGCGTATACCGGTTCCGTAGCGCGGTTGACGCGGGTGGGAATATTGAGGAGGGAGCTGATGGAGCTGGTAACAGCGGGGCGGGGTGGAGTGGGAGCTGCCGAAGCGGACGAAGCGAGCGCGCGGCGGATGAACCATTCGTTCCGATGGACCCGGATGGGGGCTTGTGCTGCACCCATAGCGGGCTGGGATGGTAAGACTATGTCCTCATCCTCATCATCGCCGGTGAGGTCGATGACTGGCCCAGGACTGCGCGCTCGCGGCTTGGACGGCCCCGCTTCCGCGTTCCCTCCTTCCTCGCTGACCGACACTCCTCGACTCCGTCCCGCCAATGAGTCATACCACTCCGCCACCTTTTCCCCATCCTCCCTCCCCTCCCTATCTTCTGCACCTGTGTCCACCTCCGCGTCAAAGCCGTGCAGGATAGACCTTCCCAGTTCATCGTACTTCAGCTGAGAAGGTACGAATACCGGCGGGCCGGTCGATCCTTCCGGCCCGTGATGCGCGGGATTGATGTGCCATTCTTTCCAGTGGGCATAGGAGGGATAGCCTTGAGGATAGCGGTTACGGGGCTGGGCGATGATGGCGTTGGCGCCGGAGAGAAAGTCGGGAGCTACTTCGGACTGGTCAGGGGAAGAAGGGGCGGGCAGAGGATTGGCGAGAGGAGGGTATGGGGCAGAGGTGATGGTGACAGCTGGAGGGAGGCCGAGGCCCGCTCGGTAGACCCGTGAAGGGGCTGTCATGGTCTGTGGGGGAGGAGTAGGGCGATGAGAAGCATGATGTCGCGGCTGTGGTAGATGGACAAAGTGAAAGTGTACCAGCTGGAGCTCGTCGCCGCTGAGAAGTTGGGTGGCGAATTCCTGCTGCGGTTTGAATGTGGCAGGTGGCACCTGCCCCCTTGATACCCTTTGCACTAGGCCGATGCAAAAGGCGTACAGAATCCCGCAGAATGCTCCAGGCGTGTGCTCGCCATGTCAGAGCATAGAGTGGATACAACGGATCACCCAGGCCCTGCAAGATCCGAGCCGCCATTGCCGCCACTCCGAGTCGCTTCCTGCCCCATGCCGCCCGGTATAGGTTGAGGTCTTATCGCACATCCTTTGTCCAGCCTTATCTATGATGACCTGTCGAAGGGTTTCAAGCCGAAAGGGGCGGTCAATGACAATCTCATGCTTAGCTTTTGACTTCGACTCCATACTTTAGCCATACATATCCCAGCAGTCCTGAAGACGTCGATCAGAGGCCTGCCTGTTGACATCGCTTTCGACACTGTATGATCTGGCACCCCTGCGCCCACACCAGCGGTACATCACATCATCCCAAACGCCACAAGCCCCCGGTCTGAAGGGCGCACGAGTGAAAGGAATCCATAGCACGCCACCCACAGGCCATCTGACGCTCCCCAACGCCATTTCATCGCCCGCTTCACTCATCGCATCCCCTAGTCCAGTCGTCCTCTTCTCCCTGGTCCACTCGTTCCCTCCTCGGCGATCAGCATCCCCTACTCCCTCTGTCTATACTTCACCGTTCCCTCCATCTCGAAATGCCGATCGACGCCGACGCTTACATGGCAGGCGCCATCCCCGCCCTCTCCCGTGGCGGGTCATGGGTCCCGTACGACACATCAGCCACTTCCCAAGCTACACCCACCAGTCCCGGCGCCGCCGGCAGCGCGCATATGCCAGTGAGCCAGCCCTCGATCTACGCCGGTATGCAACAGCAAGCGATGGGCGGCTTCTTCCAGAATCCGCTGATGTTGGGCCGGATGGCGGCTTTTGGCGGTTCTGCAACGGGCCCTCCGTCTGCCTCTACCGCGCCCGCGAGACCCGTGTTGAACAGAGGGGTCTCGGGTGGAGGTCTGCGGCGGTTGCCTGAATCGCCCCATCATCGAGCGGGAACGGCGAGTGTGGCCGGTCAGAGCAGTCAGGGGAGTCAGCCAGGCAGCCCTTTGCGATATGGCGGGTGGTCAGGAGCGTCAGGGGGGCGTATGGAGCCCGGGTCACCAGGGGGCTCGATGAATCAAAGGAGGGAAGGCGAAGGAGGAATCTCGCCGTCTGTCGTTTCGAGGGCCGTTGGAGGCGGTGGTATCAGCAACAGGGGGAAGAGAGCCAGATTGGATCCGGACAGTTGGGAGTCGGGGTCAGGTGCTCCAATGCCGATGAGCCCAGAGGCGGACTACAGGGGGAGCCTGCGTCGGCCGGCGGTGCCGAGAGCTTACCGCTGAGCGAGGTTCAGCGGGAAGAGGAAAGGAGAAAGTCCCGCTCTCAACCCAGGATGAAGCGCCCAGACCGGCTCGGGCTGAGTGTGACGATCGATGAGCGGGTCGGGTATAGCCCGTCCAGTTCAGTGTATAGGCCGTCACCACTTAGTGCGAGCTTTGCAGACAAGGAAGATCGCTCACCCTTCTCTCCGCTTCACAAGTCGGCTCGTCCCACCCGTCCAGCACTCAGTCGGCGACACACCGAGCAGGTCGGGACACCCCCTCCGCCCCCGCCGTCAGCTCGCGTCAGAGTCGTGTCTAATCCCCATCATTCTTTCGACATGCGCAACATGGTCGATGCGCTATCCCAGAGCGACTCTCGTAGGCCGGAGAAGTACCTCTCGCCCTCCGCTGCCGAGGGTTACGATCGATACGTCGCCCATCCGGCCATTCCATCCCCTACCACCATCGACAGATCCGCCCAACAGCAGCAATTGCAGCGCGAGGCGTTCGGTAGTCAGCCAGTCAGCGGAACGCAGAACGCAGAGTATATTCCCCTGGGGTATGCGCGGCCAACCAGAGAGCTCGAGTGGAACAGGGATGGGCCAGCGATGAAGACGCATGGAGTGGCATGGAAGAGGGACGCGGCGGTGCTTGCTTCCGCGCCGGAGGGGCCAAGATGGGTGCAAGCCAGACCGCCGAGGGAAATGGCGGTGCAGGGAGGGGGTTGGTGGGAGAGCGGAGGCGAGTAAATGGGTCTTGCTGTATGTCTTGAATTGCTATACTATATGTTTAGAATGTATGTCTGTTGGTTGTGCACCTGAGTGGGGCTTCGACACCCAGGGCCTAGGGTCAGCTCATACCAATTGGACGTTGTACCTAGTCCACGACTCAGTCGCAACGGATGAGGCGAAGGATCACTGAATAGGGGTCGGATGTCCTCGCTTGAACACTGGACTACTGCGAGTAGTATAACAGCAACATCACCTCGGCGACTCGCTGGGCCGGAAGAGCATGGTGTGTGTGGTGGAGGTGGGGGTGGTTGCGTCATCGGCCGACCTCCCCACCTGCGCCGTATATAGCGTCCAGGGGCTCTGCTGTTTCTTCTGCGTCTATACATGCTCTCGACACGTACCATCATTCAAGCTAGAACAGCATTACAAGCTCGTGAGTCCATCTGCCCGCTCCCACTCACCGGTTATCTGAGGGAGAAGGCGATTGCGAGGCTTAGATCGTGGACAGTCGTGGTCAAGTGCTCCACGGAGATACGAGTATGCTGACCCCTGTCCCCAGCTCTCTTCGCTCGTGCCATCAACCCCATAATCGCTCGCAAGATGTCTGGCCAAGCTACCGACGTGTCGGTGTACAAGTTCAACCACACTATGTTCCGAATCAAGGACCCCAAGGTCTCGATCCCGTTCTACGAGAACGTTCTGGGTATGGAGGTGAGGGTCGCTCTTCCCGTCTTTGACTGCCTATCAGAGCACGTAGGTATAGTACTGATGCCGGTGTAGAAGTTCAAGGAGAGCGCCGGGTCGGACTTTACAAACTTCTTTTTGGCGTTCCCGAACGGCTGGCCGACCGAGGGGCTTAGCGCAAAGGAGAAGGAGGAGGCGTTCGGGAAGCGGGAGGGCGTGCTCGAGTTGTGCTGGAACCACGGGACTGGTGAGTTGTCAATCGCGCTCGAATGTCCGCTTCGGCTGACCGAGACCCGAGCTGACGCACCAGAATCCGATGACAGCTTCAAGGGCTACGCATCGGGCAACGATGAGCCCGGACGTGGGTTCGGCCACATCGCCATCACGGTGGACAACCTCGAGGCTGCCGTGAAGCGCTTCGACGACTTGAAGGTCAAGTTCAAGAAGAGGCCCGAGGATGGGCGGATGAAGGTGAGCTCTCTTCACGCGAGAGATAACATACAAGGCTGATCCCAAAGAGCATCGCCTTCATCTACGACCCGGATGGATACTGGATCGAGGTGCTCGAGCAGAACAAGAAGGTGGAGCACAAGTGAATCCCGGCTGCGGCCACTGGCGATGAGAGCGCTAAGACAGTAAAGGGGACAAGTCAGCAGAGTAAAGCAAAGTATTGAGAAGTTAGTTGATGCAGAATGGGTAGCTGTGTCAGATTGTTGGCCACGATGCAGACAACATGCATGTGTTGATCCGCCTATTCTTGTCGATATATACAGCCACTCCATGCAGGGAAGGGAACGCAACTACTGCCAAGGGGGTATGAGAGACGAAGAGGATTACTATGCTATACGACAATCACGGTGCTGGCCGGTACGGATTAAAGGATGTGTGATGGTCGTGATGAGGTACGGAAAGGCGAGCGTGTATGTGCGATCAGTCGCGGGGAGATGAGGAACGCCGAGAAATGTTCGTGATTCGGCGATATACACACAGTGGATGTGATACTGCGCGTTCAGAGCGTCCCGTCGAGGACGCCCCGAATGTCGTCGACCGCCGCCAAATCCGTTAAGAATGGGCAGAGGTCGGTGAGTTCCGTGTCGTGAGGGTCATTGAACCATGTAGAGACGGGTACGGCGTTGTTGGGGTGGAAGATGTATGAGGCGGGAGAGTTGTCCAGGATGATGCAGGTCTCCATGGTCCGGCCAAGCTGTGAGAGGTCCTGCAGCTGTCAGTAGCTGGACTAGTACCTGCAAGACAGACGGGAGCGCACCTTGACGTAGTTCCCCTTGTGGTTGTAGCAGCTCTCACGGAACAGGCGGTGCTTGACCACACCGTTCGGGTCGAGCATATCCAACACGGGGTCCGCATACTGAAACGTCAGCTCTCAGCGCGACACAACAGCTCGCATCCGGGAAGCTCACCTTTGACAGACTGGCAGTGAACACGACCACCTCATATATCTTGCCCATCTCGGTCAAGAAGTGGTCAACTCCGGGACGCTTGATGACATATACGTTATGTGTTTGTGATTCGATCTCGACGGGGACAATGTAGTCTGCGGATTGAAGCATCTGACTGTCAGCTACAGCCTTGTGTCTACACGGCGGGGATCCCATGCTCACCTTGAAGCTGGAATGTAAAAGCGTTTCATCTAAATCGAGCACGAGACACTTGCGGCCAGTATGTTCTGGCGCTATTGGCGGTAGGAGTGGAGCGGGGCGTCCATACTACATTGTCAGCTGAGGATCTCTTCCTTTTTGTTAGAAACTGGCTCACCTCGTCCAGCGGAATTCCAATACCTCCCTGAGCGATCAACCGATCCTCTTCGTCCTCGTATTCCTCCTCCACTCCATACTCCTCCTCTCCATCGGCGTCCGCATGCTCCCCATTTTCGTCCCTGTCCTGACTGTCCGTGCCTTCCGTCTGCAGCATTTCCGTGTATCCGCCTGATGACGTTGGTTCCGCAGAAGGGGTGCCTGCCTCTGATTCGCGGCGAACGGCGGTAGGCCGGGAAGGAGTGGTTTGTAGGAGCTCAGAGCCAGATCCCGGAGGTTGCACGGCGGAGGAGGTCATACCAGCGGTCTATTTGGTCAGCTGGGGAGGCTTTGTCCTGTAGGCAGATGCCTCACCTCGTCAAGTGGTGGTGAAACAGGTTCGGCAGGCGGTGCCACTACCTCATCCTTCTCCCGCTTCCCTATGGCATTACCCAGCACAAGACCGCCAGCCCCTGCAGCAGCTCCTGCGGCCGCACCAGCAGCCACACCCGCACCATTCACACCCGTACTTGGCGCCTGCTTGACTTCTGCCGTCTTGCTCCCCTCCTGCTTCTCCTTGACGACCGGTGCCGCCGCTGCCGGTACGGGCTTCACTTCCGTCTTGCTGCTGCTCGCTCCACTCTTACTTGCCGCCGCCTCCCTCTTCTTGACATCCTTTGGATCATCCTCAAACTCGCTCGCCGACAGGCACCCCATAGAGAGGAGGAAACCCGCAAAGCCCTTCCGTCTCCGCTTCTTCTTCTGCGCCGGTGGCTTCATTGCTGATGCTGTGGGCTTTGCCGATGCCGCGGGGACGGCAGGCGAGGTAGTGGGTTTCGAGGAAGATGCAGCGGGTGTGGCACTAGACTTCTCTGATGTGATGGGGATGGGCACCGATGTGGAGGGTCCGGGCGCCGCCGCGTTGGGTGATTTTTCCGCCATAGCTGCGATGGGCTCCGTGGGTGGCTGGGTGGTTGGAGGGATATTCGAGCCAGCAGCTGTGACCGGTGTGGAGGGTATGGCGGAGATGGTGGGTGACGCAGAAGAAGATGCCTGCGTAGGAGATAGAGTTTGCGTCTGAGCGGGGACCGGATTTGTTGTTGTTGACGTTGAATTCGAGGCGGACGTGTACGCTGCCTGGGGGCTGGTCATATCGGCCTAGTATCCTTTCTAGCGCTGGATGCCTACGATGGTACGAGGATCCGTTACGCTCAAGAGATGAATGGGGCTCTGCGGTCGAGCGTGAATAGGAGGGTTGAATTCGCTTAAGACCGATAGATGAGGACCGAGCGGGAAGGTGTGAAACGGACGCGATTCGCGAGGGCAATCAGCGATGATTCTCGATCCCTTTTTGAGCTGCTTTTCGCTGCGGTATCGCTGCTACTCGCAGCTGGTGAATGAGAGTGCTGTATATGTATGAAGCTGATGGTCGATGGACGATGTTGATGGGATGGTCCATCAGGGGAGAACAAGAAGGGGGCTTCAGGGTCGCGTCCACTTCTCGACAAAGAAAGGGGAATTACGAGAAGGAACCGTGCCTGACCAGCCAACACAAAACAACTCAAATTGCCACTCTGGGAAAGAGGCAAGTGAGTGTGGCACTTCTGATGTTGTCGAGCGATGCTGCGGCGCTGAAGCGCTGGAAGGTGTGTGTTATGGAGTAGGCTGTGGAAGATGTGTCCTGAGAGCTTAGGTTCAAGGCCGAGTGGCTGTCTGACCTAAGGATGCATGCTGGAGATCGTGGGGACATGATCTACTGCTTGTAGGTAGAGGCCCTTGCAACGAAGAACCACATCCCCATGGAAGCAGCAAGAAGCGCGACCATGAGAGGCTGCAAGACCCAGACACCGTGCTACACAGCTTCAGCTTTGCTTCCCATTGCCATAAAGGGATGAGGACTCACCCTGTCTGCTATAGCACCGGTGATGAATGGCATGATCGCACTCCCGACGACCCCGAGACACGCAATGAAGCCGATAGTGCCGGTATGGAGATCATGGGGCATGACCTCGGTGATAATCATGACGCATGAGGGGTACATGGGCCCGATGGCAACGCCGACGAGGGAGAAGCAGAGCGCCGAGCCAATGAGGGAGGGGACGAACCAGACGACGAATTCGAGACCGATAGCGATGACAGTACTGGAATCGTCAGCTTGACTGCGTCGTTACAGGAGGATACCGAAGCTACTCACTAGATGTATACCGACTTGCGGTGACCCAGCCAGTTGGTGACCGGAATGAGGACGATCCGACCGACCGTCAGACCGCCAAAGAAGCCGGACGACACGTAGCCTGAGGACGAGTTGCCGCCTCGTTCTTCGATAAGGAAGGTCGTGGCCCAGCCGCCGATGGTGACTTCCACTCCCATCTGATCTGTCAGCCTTCCCTCACCAGAAGTCGGAGTGCCACTCACATAAAGGAAAATGTAGATGGCCAGGAAGTAGGCCCTCGGAGTAGACAAGATCGCTTTTAGCTTCTGGGAACTCCCTCGTACTTCTAGGTCCGCCACCTCCCCAGACTCCGTCGGGACCATCGTCACATCCTTGGGCTTCTCCTCGTTCGCCCTCGCCTCACTCTCACCGAGAGCCATCGCGCCCGGGTCGGGCACCGGTATACTCGGCGCGTCCACCTCCGCCCCCTCATTCACGCGCTGACCGACGATCTGATCCTCTGATCTCCCTTTGAAAGTCAAGAGCAGGACGACGACCGTCCCAAGCGCCAGGGCGAGGGAGATTGTGAAGTAGAGGTAGAAGCGGCTGGTCACCCGTTGGACAAAGGCAGTAGCGACGAAGGGCGACACGGTGGCGCCGAGACCGTACACGGCGTGAGACATGAACATGACGGTCGTAGCGTGCGGCATGCGAGCGGCCAGCGAGTTGACTTGAGCATCCTGCCAGTCAGCCTGGAGTTCGAGCTTATGGCGGAAAGCAGGACGACGTACCTGCCATCCCATACCGAGTCCCGCGAAGATGTATGCGATGACAAATATGGGGTAAGGCCCGCCCCAGCACATGAGGACATAGCCGATAGACTGTACGAACGCTCCAAGCGGAGTCAACTGCTTGATCAGTAAAGACCCGCCGTCCAGTGGTCAATCGACGTACAAGACCGAAGCCAAGGATGTCCGCAAGGTACACGTTGGAGACAGCAGCCGCGACGACTCCGACGGCTATAGCGATCCAGATGAGCGAGATGATGACGTAGTCGACCTGGTAGTACTCTTGGAGAAGAGGAAGCAGGGGACCCTGGCTAGCGTCGTTCCATCCCACGATGAACATGACCATGAAGATCGCAAAGCTGGCTTATCAGCTCCACTCGGCACCTGGAATAAGACCCGCAGCTTACATCATAAGATACAGCTCGTTCTTTCCAGGCAGAGGCCGGTCCTTCTTGAGCCTCCCCAGGACCCCAGCGGTACGTCCTCGAGCTTTCGGCACATCGACGGCACCCTCCTCACGAGCCTTTTCAGTCGTTCCGCTCATCTTTGGAATCTTCTATTCTTTGTTTCTGTGATACTGTGATGTCTTGGTGGTGAGAGTAGATGAGAAGAGCGAGGTTCAGCCACGTCAGACCGCGCTGCCTTGGCCAGCTTTATAATGGATGATGCATCCAAGACATGAGAGCAAAAAGTGATGATGTGGAAGGAGCAAAACCAGCGCCGATGGTCGGGCCGCGGATTTTCCGGCCGCAAGCTCCGCATTAGATCTCCGCTCGTGTGGGGAAGGGGAAGGTCCGCACTGTGGCAGTGTGGCAGGCGGCAAGGGCAATGAGTGCTAGGAGACTGAGACCGATGCACCGGTCCCAGAGGACATTACTGCAACTAGACAAGACTCTATGGAATAAGAGTGAATATATACATCGCAAGAACTAGGATAGTTCCTTTATATCACGGCTTGTGTGCCGACGCTCTAGCAACCAGGAACCACATTCCTATCGATACAGTAAGAAGCGCAATCATGAGAGGCTGTAGCACCCACACTCCATGCTACACAAGTCAGCCCACATACTAACGAGCTCAATGACGAAGTATGAGGAGCTTACCCTGTCCGCGATGGCGCCAGTGATGAATGGCATGATGGCACTCCCTACAAATCCGATACAAGCCATGAGGCCGATGGTACCGGTGTGGAGGTCGGTCGGCATCACCTCGGTAATGATCATGACGCAGGATGGGTACATCGGACCAAGAGCGACACCGACGAGGGAAAAGCAGAGGGCGGAGCCGATCAGAGATGGGACCAACCAGACGATGAGTTCGAGGCCGATGGCGATGACTGTGCTAGATTGATCAGCTTACTCACATCGTCCAGTACCGGCTCAGCCGGGTCACTCACTATATATACACTGACAAACGATGTCCCAGCCGATTGGTAACTGGGATGAGAACGATCCGTCCGACCGTCAAGCCCCCAAAGAAGCCTGAAGTCACATAGCCGGATGAGGAGTTCCCTCCTCGTTCTTGGATGAGGAACGTTGTGGCCCAGCCACCGATGGCGACTTCAACACCCATCTGCACGGTCAGCTCGAGCGTCACCTGAGCTGGCTCGCGTAGACTCACATAGAGGAAGATGTAGATGCACAAGAAATACGCCTTCGGAGTAGACAGGATCGCCATGTACTTCGCAGAACTCCCCCTTGCCTCGGCGCCGGTCGCTTCCCCGAGCTCGGTAGGCAGCATGATATCCCCCTTAGACTCTGCCTCCGCTGGCACTGCTCCCTTGTGCTCGTCCAGGGGTGTCGTACCAGGCTCAGTTGCGGAATTCAGCACGCCCGGTACAGCCTCCAGACCCTCATCCGGGCGCTTCCCAACGATCTGATCCTCCGTCCGCCCTTGGAAGGTCAGGATCAACGTGATGACCGTGCCAATGCCCAGACCCAGGGAGGTGATGAAGTAGAGATAGAATCGGCCGGTAACGCGTTGAGCAAAGGGGGTAGCGACGAATGGGGAAACCGTCGCGCCAAGACCATATGCGGCGTGTAACATGAAGGTGATCGTGGTAGCGTGAGGCATCCGCGTAGAGAGAGAGTTGACTTGAGCATCCTGTTAGATCAGTGAAAAGGTCACGATACCATATAGCGAGACTGACCTGCCATCCCATACCAAGCCCGACGAAGACATAGGCAATGACGAACAGAGGGTATGGGCCGCCTGCGCGATCAGTCAAGCCAGGTCAAGAGCTACTCGGCGATCACGGCGCGAGCAGCTCACCCCAGCACATGAGAACGTATCCAGTAGATTGAACGAGTGCTCCGAGTGGAGTGAGCTGTCCGTCAGCTGAGAGCTAATCACGACGGCACTCTGACATACCAGTCCAAAGCCGATCCAGTCGGCGAGATGAATGTTTGAGACGGCAGCGATAATGACCCCGATGGTGATGGCAATCCAGATCAAAGATACGATGACATAGTCGATCTTGTAGTACTCTTGCAGGAGCGGTAGCAAGGGACCTTGACTGCCATCGCTCCAGCCAACGAGGAACATCACCAGAAAGATGGTGAAGCTGTATGATGAGTTTGGGCCATCGAGGTTTGAGGTCTGCAAGAGCGTCGGTCAACGTACATCATGAAATAGAGGTGATTCTTTTCGGGCAAGGGCCGGTCACTCCTCAGCCTGCTCAGAAGACTGCCTGTATTTCCTCCTTCATTGCGGGCAACGACCGCTCCGTGTCCTCGCGAGCCCCTTCACTCGCACCGCTCGTATCAGATTCCCTCATAGCTCCAGATGTCGCCCTTTGGTTCTCGCTGTCGGTCATCAGGAAGAAGTGAGAGCCACTCGCTGCCTACGCCAAAGGGACTGGACCCCGCTATGTGTGTGATACATCGAAGCGACCTCCAATAAAAGTTGATGGGGAAGAAGCGAAGCGAGCAAAGTTACATCGGGAAGCGAGGGTCCGTCCGAGATTTATCCGGCTTGCTAGCGCCGCTCTATGAAGCTGATCGCTGAAGGCCTGCCCTCTAGAGCCATCTAGGCCATGAAGACATGACATAGTACACGGTAGTAGTCCGACTCCTTATCGAGAGGATGAGAAGGTCAAAGAGACGGCGAAAGGCCTTTTGAGAGACAGACCCGCATCCAAGTCGCCCCTTCCTCACACCTTGTGCAGACTCTCAGAGAGATACTGCAAAAAGATCTCCGCTCATACTATACTACTGATACCGACAACATAGACTGGCGTCCTCATCCACTATTATAAGACATCTAGTAAGGAATCCCACTGCTTGCATCAGCTAGATTCCTTCATGCCAATTTTACACAGCTCGCCAACTCACTTTTGCAATTTCTGGAATCTATCATACAGCCCACTTCTCATATTCTCATGCGCATTGCGGATCACGCCCATCATGTAATCCGCCGCTGCCCTTTCGCCCAGTTGCAGCTGGAACCGCTGTCGCAACCGCTTGATGGTTGGTTCGCCTTGGAACGATGGCAGTTCCGTACCGAGCATGAGGTGCGCCGTGTCGATGAGCTGGTCGGCGTGCGGCCGGATGGCGAGGAAAGCCTTGACGGTGAGTTCGGTAAACATCTTGTAACCCGCCGAATCGCGTCCGCCCATGACTGCGATCATCTCGTGGTTGAGCTTGAACGAGTTGGGCTCGAACTTGATCCCGCCCGGCCCGATGTCAAAGAGGAAGCCAAAGTCTAGCTCCGTCAGCTTAGCTTGCAGGTCACGCACAAAGGAGAGACGTACCGATATGTACAATGTGACCATGGCCGTCAATCATGATGTTTCCATTGTGCCGGTCCTTGATCTGCAAGATGTAGCACGCCACCGAGTACGCCGCCATGGATTTGATAAAGTTCAAGCGGGCAGTTTTGAAGGTGACAGTATCGACCGAGCCATACTTGTTGATGAAGTACTCGTAGAGATCGTTAACCTGTGTTCGACCCATCTCGTCCCGTGATGTGGCGTCCGGTACAACATCGATCACACCACACTGTATAGTCAGCTTGTCCCATCATGTCAAACGAAAGAGTACTCACTCCCGGCGCAGTGGCAGTTACTCTATACGGGAAGAGATACAAGAACAACCCGATCCCCTGAAACACATTCTTGAACATTGCAATGATCTGCAACGCCAGCACATCCTGCCGGCAGTCATCCCCAACCTTGAAGATTGCCGACTGCCAGACATCGTACTTGTGCTTGATCATCGCGACCTGACCCGCTCCGACTGCAGTTGCCTCCGGCGCAATCTCCCTGCGCTCCTTTTGCACCTTGAATGTCGCCATGAAGGGCGCTTTGGCGTGACTCTGTAGTGGACGACCCGAGAGCCGATCGATATCGATGACCGTCCCGTCCGGATTGGAGGGGAGATATACACCGACCGAGAGCTCGATCCGAGCCATCTCCTCGTCGATTTTGGCCTTCTTCTCGGGCTTGCTCTTTTTGATGTATGGCTTGAGTTTGCCCGAGATCGACGTGACCTCGGAGAAGAAGTTGAACTCGAGATCGTAGAAGGCTTTTGCTTTGCCAGAGAGGCCTGCGACGATCATGTTGATCATCCGGTCGAGTAAGGGTTTCATCGGATCCTCTTCGGCCTGAGGATTAGCTCGAGCACTATGCTGCTACCCTCTCAAACTCACTCCGTCATCTCCTCGGTACGTGTTGGCCTTCATATTCCATATAATCTGGTGGCAGAACAGCTGAGAAATTTTGGACGTTTCGAAGATGAACCGTTCGACGTATCCTACAGGATTAGCGGTATTCATTCTATCATAATGGAGCGACCTACCGAGCGCGTCCGTTCTCAAAGCTTGCACCACTTGCGGAACAAAGAAGAAGGTAACATCGACTGGATGCTGTTCCAGTACTCGCATGCCATATTGCAAGATGAGCGGGTGGTTTTGGTATCGTGGTTGGAAGTAAACAAGCGCAGTGACTGGCGGAACAGGTGCCCAGACGGGCAGCCACTATATCGGTCAGCTCTCGCACGTTCCAGACGGTATCCTGCGAAGCTCACCTTTAATGCTGCCCTCGACTCTGGCCCAATGTGGTCCCCAATGACATAATGCAGAGCCTCTGGGACGTGAACGACCTGCTTTGGATTGGCGCGGACGAGCTTGGTGATCTCCGCCTGGACATTGGCGTGCTTGAAGCGTTCGCCCAAATGGACCGCCATAGATGGGGATATTCTCCATGCTTTCCGTACAGTCCTTGGCCATTCCGCCTGGTTAAATCAGCTTCATTCCTATACGAGGCCAGAGCTGACCTACTGTTGACATGCTCCTCTCTATCTGACCTTGCGCCACTGATCTTCCACCCTCCGCTAACGGATTGGACCAGACCTCCAAACGCGCAATCTCGTTCTCAATGAGCAAGGATAACAGCTTGACTCGATCCGTGTGTTGGGAAGTGTAGTCCTGAAGATCGGTCGATCCATGGATGAGGATTGCCGGAGGACGATCACTCATGGACGACGTGGAGTGGTCGGCGCGTATCTGGTCGGATCGGACGGCAGAGATGAAGTCTTGCAATAAGCGAATTTCGGCCCCAATTTTGTCGCGATTACTGCCGAAGGACCATCTGTACTCTCAGCGATTTTGCCCAGCTAGTGGGTGGTCTTTACTCACTGAGGACGGACGGAGAACCAAGAATAGGCAGCTGAAAACAGCCGATCTCGTAGCCTGAGTTCCAGCAGCGTCTCGAGCCTGACGCTCGCCAGAATCCGGAAACCAAAGAGTAAGAGCGAGAACCGAGCTTCTCGAGCGAGCGGATGGGTGCTACCGGATCAGCATCGATTCCGCCTTGAAATGATCTACTGCTCACCTCATGTGTGACGTTGGCGCCACGGATCGCATCATAAGCCTGATAATGGGCATTACGATCTCTGGCTCGCTCTGCTTGACCGTTTGGTACTGGCTGGATAGGAAGTTGATGAGAAGAAGATGTGGTGAAAGGAGTCGTCTGGCTTTGGAGAGCTCCAGATTCATGATGTTCTCGTCACTTGGCGAGTACTCGACGGGGGCCACGAAGGGGTCGTGATAGCTTGAAGGTAAGCCCAATTTTCCCTCTGCAGCAGACAGACAGTACTCACTCCATAGCTGCGCTGAATAGACCCTTCTTACTCTTGATCGTCTCCAGCCAAGCCGCAGAAATCTCGCCAATAACAGATGCGAGAGCGGCAGGGCGCTGCCGCAACAACTGAGTCCAGGCGACGATACCTGCAGTGATGCTTTGGGTGGTGAAGGTCGCCATGGGGCGCTGGACGAGGTGGTATATGATGTCGTTGTACATCTGAAAGTCAGCTACCGCTCAAGTCATCTGATGCGTATGTGACTGACGGGGGGCGGAGCGAGCAGTGCCGACACGGCTTCTGAGAGGAAATGGCCGAGTCTACCATTTTGCTTAGCACCATCTGCGACTGTTTTTGGTGACTCCTCGAAGTTGCCGTTCAGCAAAGCAGCGAGCGTTATTTCGCCTGCCTGGGCGCGGGTCTGTCCAGCATGTTCGGTATTGGCCAAAGCAGCCAAGATCTGCTCGCGCAAGGGCTCATCTAGGCTTTACAGCGGTCAGCGTGAGCCCGTTTGTTTTGTGGTTCTTGCAGGAGGTCGACTCACTAGTCCATTGCGGCGGCTGAGCATGTAAGGTAGCACAATATCTGCGGACAGGAATCAGACGTATACTAATTAGAGAAGAGTTGATAGAGTTGAAGCTGTAGCTAGATCTAGCTCGTAAAGCGGCGGGCGGGCGAGGTAACGTAAAGGCAATTGTGATCACGATAACTCATGCAGCTGCATCATGACATCGCTCATACACCCCATATCAGTACGGGTCCCAAGACGGGATGTCCACAAGCGCTCGGCCAGTCGCCGGTCTCTCTTCCTCTGCCGCAGCGTCTTCCCAGGCCAAACCCGACAGGCTATATATCGGCAATCTTTCGTCAACCGTAGATGAGTACACCCTCATCCAGCTCCTACAGCGCTATGGCAGCATCACCAACCTGGACTACATGTTCCACAAGTCTGGCGCGCTCAAGGGCAAGCCAAGGGGCTACGCCTTCGTTCAATTTTCTAGTAAAGATGTAAGTCGTCCTGCACTTTGACTGGACAGGCAGGACAAGCTGACCGTGCTTCTTCTCCTTCTCTTCGCCCGTTTTTCAAGGACGCGTTAAAAGCTATGGTAAAGCTGCATGATCGACTACTGAGGGGAAGGAAGCTCGTAGTTACCTACGCAAGCTCCGTGAGCTGCCCTCTTATCACCTTTGTGTTTGGACAAAGCTGAAACGTAGGCTCCTCTTACCGACTTGCCACTTGCTTCTAAAGGCCGTCGTTCTGAACCGGCCAAGACGACCACCCTATCCCTGCTCAAGAGTCAGAAGAAGCCTCACAGGTGAGCTACTGGATATCTCCTAGTCGAATGATCCAACCTGACACGACAGTGCGGCTGCCCAAATTGCAGCTATGGAAGCTAAGCTCGCCTCGATGCAAAGCCGGAAGCCTGCGGATGAAGATTATGTACCCGGTCAATCCTTCCGGGTTTCACCGGCGGTCGGGTCGCCGGGACCCTCCTCTCAGCGCGTGCACGAAGATGATGAGATGGATCTAGAGGAGGAGCTGGGGCTGGACGCGGGGAGGAGGGCGGCAGAAGATTTAGAGAGGGAGATGGTGGCTGAGCTGGAAGGGAAGGGGAAGGGGAAAGGGAGGGGAAGGGCGAGTCCAGATAGGTCGCGCGGACCATCTAAACTAGCCCCTCCTACCACTACCCCAGCCGAACCGACTTCCTCATCTGCAGCTCCCGCCGACCACGGCTCCGGGAAGTCTCCTCACCTTCCAGCCCATCGCGGACCAACGCAGAACCTCTCGCCATCAAGACCTGCAGCCCCTCCAAAAGGTCTCGCAAACTTGCCGAAGAAGCCATCGTTCTTGTAGATATACCAAGTCTATGTATGCTTTCATAGTCCATACCTGACCTTCATCGCTGCCCATACCGCCGCGACCTTTTCCCTGTCCATCGTCCAGGCCTCATCCGCTCCAAATCCGAGCTCCTTCCTACGCTGACCCGCCGGAGACGCCGCAGTGGATAGTACGACGGTCGAGCTGCCCGTCATATGTACCTCCCTCACTGAAGCTATTTTGTCTAGCATACCGCCCACGTTGTCGGCATTGAGCCCTGAGCCTGGGAGAACGGATATTGACCGGCCCGAATGCAGCCTGTGCATGGCGCAAAGCTTCGAGAGGATGGACAACCCCGGAATGCCCTCGGGGGCAGTTCTTGCTTGTCCGCTGATCCATCAATACTAGCCAAGAGTCCAGTCACAGATGTGCCACGCACCTAGATAGAATCCGCGTCACGCCGTCTATTGTCGCTATGTTCCAGAAGCTCCTTGCGAGATCGCATGAAACGTCAATAGCACGGTGGAAGGTGATGTCGAGGGGATGGGCGGCCTTGGCCAATCTCACGCATGTCAGCTAGATAGGTGAAGCTGGTGTCTGGAAATCCAGTGAGAGTGGGACATACCGACTACACGCTTTCATGTCCACTTCGCCTTCCTCAGTCAGGCATCCAAAGACGACGCCATTCACACCTTCAGACTTGAATGCGAGGATGTCCTGCTCCATGACGCACAGCTCAGTTTCGGAGTACACAAAGGGACCTATTCGGGGTCGGATCATTGCCTGTGTGTCTCAGCCATGTATAAGGTCGCTTGTGGCATTTTGGCAGACGTACCATGAGCCTTGCCTCTGGGTAGCGGCTTCTTATCGCTCTGATTAGACCGATGCTCGGGGTCAGGCCTCCACCTGCTACATCAACACATACCAAAGCCGGTATATGACAATGAGCCTTGCTTACCGTGTATGAGGTTGGAGCACACCTCGAACCTATTCTTCCCTAGTCGAGCGATATCTAGAACTCTGTAAGATCAGCGCAAGTTGCGAGAACGGTACTTCTTCGACTCGCCTTTCGACCGACTCGAGAGAGTCCACGCAGATCTCGAGCGCGACCGGGCTGCCGTCTTTAATTCAGTCTCAGCTTACTCTAAATTAGAGCTGCCTATCTCACCTGCGCTCTGAGGATCCTGCTTGTTTGACAGCTCCCTGGCAAACTTGCGGGAAAACTGTTCGGAGACAGCGAGGTCGCGTGGATCGGCCGCGGCATGAGGTTCCGCTAGTGGATTGAGCAGGTCTTTTGGAAGAGAGTTGCCGTCAGCGATGAGACGGCTCATAGCAGATCGCTAAACAGGCCAGAGAGGCACTGAGCAAGGCTTGTCATATGAGTATATTTGCCAGAGGTTCGGATCAAGCATGAGTGGACCAATGCAAGTGCCTGGAGCCGCTGAATATTTTACGTGAGGAATGCGGAGCGTGCCTGGTACCTGGTTTTACGCAGGTTCAGCCCTGAATCTGCCCGGGTAAACCTTTGACTGGCAAAAGCGAAATCAAGCACGCCCCTCCCTTGTGCACACTCGCGGCTAGACATCGCACGCTCAAGGTATCGGCTATGGTACCGAGGCTCCCCCTCGTCAGACTTCCGCCGTGCGCGACGGTGCACAAGCTCGGCGCAGCGTCCTTGACGCCCTCGACCGCCCTTTTGAGATTTGGCGACAAGGGGTGGACGATACCGCATGGCTCTGAGAGCAAGGGCAGCAGTCGAGCCGGATGGGCTATAGTCGGAGATAGCGAGGGTAGGCGACTAGCTGTGGAGGTGCGTCTCCGTCCCGGTCCATGTGTGAAGCAGCTGCTCATGCACAAGGCAGACGTTGCTCAGTAGATACCGCATACATCCATCCCCGCCTCCACCTGGCGCATTCCCGTATACAAACTCCCTCCTGGCGTCAGCCGCTTCCACCTCCGAGATGACTACTCCCTCTCGCCCCATCAGACATCTCGCTTTCGCGCGCCCACCCCCTTCCGGCGAGTTCACAGACTTCACAGCTCGTTACGGCGCTCTACAAGAGGAAGACAAGCTCTCTTTCCGGGAGACCCTCCTCGCCCTTGATCCTGCACCCTCAGAGGCCGACATTGACCGGGTCGCCACACTCATGCGGATAACACACCTGCTCGACTTGCCATCGGTGTCGTTCTCGTCTGGGCAGACGCGGCGGGGCCGGATCGCCGCTGCCCTCCTCACGCGGCCGGTACTGCTGTTACTGGAGGACCCCATGGCGGGTCTGGATGTGAAGTCTAGAGCGGAGGTATCTAAGGTGCTGGGAGAGCTGGATGGGGAGGGGGAGATCCGGGTTGTACTGGTCTTAAGGGGCAAGGGGGATGGAATGCCAGAATGGGTGGGGAATGTCGCTGAGGTGAGGAGCGGGGATGTTTGGATTGGTAGCAGGGAGGAATGGGAGGCAAGATCCATGGCGACGTCTGGGGCAGCCAGGATAGAGCCTCTCGAGGATCATGCGGAGACCGTTCGGACAAGCCAGGATGGGGAGCGGAAAAGCGGGAAGGCGGTAGTAGAGCTGAACGGCGTGACCGTCAGCTATGGCGAGGGAACGCGAATAGTGCTCAAGGGGATCGACTGGACGATCCGTGAAGGGGAAAGATGGCATCTTCAGGGGTCTAACGGTGAGCATTAGTTCTATTGTCCCGTATACTCACTAACGAGCTAGGATCCGGCAAGACGACTCTTCTTTCCCTCATCCTGGGCCACCATCCCCGCTCCTTCTCCCTACCCCCTTCGTCCCTCCAGCTCTTCTCCAAACCCCGCCGCTCCACCCCCACCCCCATTCTCCGCTCACTTATCGGTCACACCTCGCCTGAAATCTACGCGGCTTTCCCGCGAGGTATGGGCCTCACCGCCGCACAAGCCATCGGGACAGGATTCGAGGGCGTCTTTTCCCGTCGGCCCTTGACCGCTCCGCAGAGGGACCGAGTCATGCAGCTCCTCGAATTCTGCAAAGACTATCTTGTACCCGCAAGATCAGCACAGAGGGGCACAGCGACACTGGAGGATATTGCACGCACCAATTTTGCGCATTTCACTCCGGCTCAACAGGCCCTGCTGCTCTTCCTGCGGGCGCTTGTCGGCCGGCCGCCGCTGGTGATCTTGGATGAGCCGAGTCAAGGAGTGGATGAGGCGATGTGGAAGCGGTGCGTCGAGCTGCTGGAGCAGGAGTGGAAGGAGCGGCCAGAGATGAGTACGGTGGTGGTCAGTCATTATGAGGATGAGGTGCCATGGGGCAAGGGCCATGGCAAAGTCTTGCGTTTAGATGATGGGAGAGGGGAGGTGGAATGAAACATCTAGATCTAATGCAGAGATATATCTATCAGACGATACTGGTACACTTCATAGATCTGTGTTTTCTTCTTTCTATGATTTCGCGTCTGACGGATCTGACTCCCTTGATACCTGCTGACATTACACCTTCTTTCGGTGCTCCTGCAAGGCGTGAGCGTCTCCCTGAGATACAAGCCACGAGATGACAACTCACAGGCTTATGGTCTACCTCATGATCAACGTGCACAAAGCACCGATCTACATCCGGCAGAGCCTCGATCTGATCTTGCAGATCTTGAGAGAGATCGTGAGCTCGCCAGAGGGGCATGTCAGGCGGGAGTACAATGTCGATCTCGACAAAGTACTGGGGACCGCTGTGGTAGATCTTGACTGTGTCGATGGAGGTGATCTCGGGCGAGAAGGTCATCGCCTGAACGTCAGCTGCCGTACCTAATCAGAAGTGAGGCGGACTGACCTTGTAGGTGACGAGATTTTGATACTCGGCTGGAGCTGTGATGCCGCACAACTGCTGGAACTCTTCTACCAAACATTAGTCTTTGCTCTACCGACAGCGGGCCGGTAAAGGTCAAGCTCACTGTAGGTGGTCCTCGCCCAGATCGCCATCACGACCAGAGCGATGGTCATAGCTCCCGCCGGGTCAATCCACCAAGCAATTTTGCCACCTCCAACGGCTGCCAGGATACCAAAGCCGTTTCTGAGCGATCAGCGTATGCGACCAAGAAGGGCGAGTCAATGAAGAATGACTCACGTGAAGAGGTCGTTTCTGTGATCCTCCCAGAGCACCTGCACTTGGCTGCTCCATTTCCTGATGGCATAGCACATGATGAATAACGAGAGCTTAACGCCAAACGCCACGCAGACAACAATGACACTGGTCAAGTTGAAATTGTCCACGTCCGATCCGTCGTGCTCGACAAACTCCCGAATGGACTGGACCACCAGGATAAGATTGACGGCGAACATGAGGTGTCCAAAGATGATATTGCCGGCCGTCTCGAACCGCGATCCGCCGAGTGGCCATTTACGCTCCTCGGCCTTGTTGGCCGCCCGATGTGCGATCCATAGGATGAGATTGGCGATAGGGTCGAAGACTGAGTCGACCATGGTGGCGAAGAGAGCGAGGGAGCCGGAAGTGATGGCCGCGTAGAGCTGGAGGACGGCTAGGATGCAGTTGCACCCAAACGATATGTTGACGGCGAGCTTGACGCGGAATGCGTTATCGGCGGCATCCTGGGCGCCCTCGGCCGAGAGGGTCGACAAGGGTTTGAGGAGGGTGTCGATATGCTCGTTCTGCGTCTCATAAAAGTCCGCCACCTTCTTGCCCTTGCGCCTGGACTTGTCGCGCCTGGAGCGAGTCAGCCGGTAAGTCTTCTGAAAGAAAGGCAGGTCAGATCAAGACGTACTGTCTCAGCCCCTCAATAGCGTCATCGCTTATGACCTTGTCGCGGAGGAGTAGTGGATCCCGTTCGCCCGCCTCCCGCCCCACGACGCTATGCATGCCCATATATTCCAGGTCCGTCTCTCGGTCCGACTGCGGAGAGTTGACGTCGGGAGCGCGGGACTTCCCCTTTGACCCCGAGCCAATCTCGGAGATCATTATTGGCAGTTCGACATGGGCGGCTGCAAGGTGTGCCATGATGTGTGTTTGTTCGTCGCACGCAGCAGCTGGGGTAAGTAGAAAGATAGATCTGCCTGCCTTGCGCTAATTGCTTCGCATGCAGATAGTAAAAATTATAAAATTTGCATTTATCCTACTGTTGGAAATCCGAGCTATTCAACTAAGGTCTATGGAACTATACTATAACTATCTATTCCCAAGTTACAGATCTAGCTCTCGCCCTCACGAACCCCAGCGATAGCCCCCGTAATAACGCCGCCCACTCCCAGTCTTTCACCCCCTCCTCCCATGCATCCATCTGCTTCTTTGTGTCCTTCTCCATGAACCCCCCGCTTGTCATCACGACCGCCGAAAATTTCCCAATCCCGCTCGGAGCATTCTCCCTCGTCTTCGCTGCCACCGCCCTGAGGTATCTGTCCATCTGCGCCTCAATCTGGTCCCAGATCGGTGTTGTAGAGGTGGATGAGACTGGGTGTTGGGGATCTTTGCCGAAGGAGGAGAGGGCGGATTCGCTGAAGATGGAGTAGACTTTGATGTCGTGTTCCGAGGTGGCCAGACCAGAGCCGTCTGAACCCCAGACCCGGAGATCGTTCCTTCTCAGGGACTCTTCCGTTGAAGTAGGCTCGAGTTCTACCTTGACGCCCCGGACGGACGAGAGGGTTTGGCCGATACCGCGGACGACCATGTTGTGACGGGGGTACTTGCCGTCAATGTTGCAGGTCTCCGGATGGCCGAGACCCTGGCCATCTTTGCCGCACCGGTTGCAATGATTGGAGAGGGGGAGGAGGGTCCGATAGTGAAGGGCGACGCTGATTTGTTGATTTGTAAGTTGTAGCGCTTTCGTCCAGGGGATGGCAGACAGCCATAATCTCCCCAAGGGCGACCCGTTCTCCCTCATTCCCTTCCTCTCCTTGTCCGTCAATTTCGCCAGCAGCACCTCCCTCCTCGCGTCCAGCACCACCAGACATCTCTCGCTCTGACCGACGACCTTCTCCGCCGCTCCCTCCTGCTCCCACTCGTCCGGCTCCAACAGACTCTTCAAGGTTATGTCCGCCATCTCATCCGCTGCCGCCCTGGCTATGGGCGCCACCTCCTCGTGGGACAGAATTCCCATACCACCGCTCCTGATGGGTAGAGACATGATCTCGTCTTGGAATCGGTGATCCCCATCACTCGACCTGAGAGAGATGATGCTGTTCCAGAGCGCGGTGTCTAGCTCTGCCCAGACGTGTCCGAGGTCCGAGGTATCGAGGCACCGCTGCAGGTGGCGGAGTTTCTGCTGATACGAGAGCCGGAGGATGAGGAGGGCGTGCTGTGCGTGGAGGGAATCGAGCTTGTCAAGGTTGAGGGAGAGCTCGGCGATCTTGGCCCTGAGGAAGGTCTCTCTCCCTGCTCTGGGGCCGATAAAGCTGCCAAGCACCTTGATCCCGTTCGACCGTACGTCGTCGAGTAGCCAAGACTGGCACTTGAGCTCGTTGAGGGTAAGGTGGTGAGGGCGGGACTGGAAGAAGGTTTTCGTTTTAGGGAGGGGGTCGAAATCGGTGGAGAGGATGTAAACGTCGTCGAGATACGCCAGGATGAGGCAATTGGGCCCCAGCTCCCGTTGGAGATCCTCGAGGACGACGCGCATGGCGATAGAGAAGAGTAGCGGCCCCAGCGGGTCCCCCTGGCGGACTCCCTCCGAGGAGAAGATGACGTCTACCCATTCGTCCCCCTCCAGTCTCGTCTCCAGACCGTTCACCACTAAAATCGACTTCCGCCCATACGCCCACTTCGCCGCTCGGTATAGACCCGGCGCGTACTTCTTGACCGCCTCTGCGATAGACCTCCGCGACTTGAGATTGAAAGCGTTCTTCGCGTCCAGACTGGTTACCCACTTGTACTCCGCCGGTAGCTTCTTATCCGCCGCTCGCTGTATGACCCTCAGAATCGGCTCCACTCCCCCCTTTGTCCCTACACCGTACTGATTGACCCCCAGCATTGAGGGATTGAACATCTTGCGGACGATCGCCTTCATGAACGTCCGGAAGAGCAGGTCGCCCACCGCGATTGGTCGAATCCCTCCGACATCGTCCTTCGCTAGTGGGGTGATGCGGCTAGCGCAGAGCATTTCGCGTCCCGGCGCCGTGCCGGCGGCGATCATAGAACAAAGAAGGGTGAGGAATTTGAGGACCGCGTCTTTCTTGGAGACGAGCCGGAGGAGGAAGACCGACCAGCCCGATATGCCGCCGGACACGTCGCGGGCGAAGCTGGCGATAGCCCTTAGTATATCCGCCTCGTTCGGGACCACACTGTTCCGCGGTCCGTCTGATGCGTCCCTGTCGCCGAATGGGTGTTCCTCGCCCGCGGGATGTAGCCCCCTTAACTTCTCCACCACCTCATCGTTCAACCTCGCCACCTTGCTCTCGCCTGCCAAAATCCTCGCCGCCGTGCCCACCCTACCCTTCCCGACCAGCTTCTCTACCTTGGTTGATACATCTCCACCACTACCGCCCAGTCCTTGCCCCTCCCTCTTTACCGCCTCCGGCCACTGAACGTCCGGATAGCTCCTGAGACGCTCCACCGCGCCGGGCCCCTTCAATTGAGTAGCCAGAACGCCGACTTTCGGGAGGGCGAGAAAGTCGAGCAGGTTGCTGGCCGTCTTGTTGGCCATGAAGCGGAGAGCGCAGCGTTCGGCGGCGAGGGTGTAGTCGGGTCTGAGATGGGGTGGCAGGTCTACCAGCATAGCCGGTATGTCCTTGAGAGTGAGGAAGAGGGCGAGGAGGGCGGAGTTGGACATGGGTGGCCTCGGCTCCCGAGCTGGTCCGGGGAGCTGTTGAGCCGCCTTCTTCACCCTCCACGAGGGTGCGTAGTTTGCCTTGCCCTTGCGGCGCGGAGTGGGGCCAGACGGGTCTGCCGGGGCGGTCGGCGCGGTATCTGCCTCAGTGGTCATTTCCGTCCCCGCGTCCACCTCCATCTCTGCTTCCTGCTCCCTCATAGCCTCTTCCACCAGCCTCCGGCGTTCATACACTCCCCTCAGCGTCCTTTCCTTCTCCTCGATTATCCTCTTTTCCTCCCTCGCCCGCCGTAACTCCTCCAGATCTACGACCGCCTCCTGCTCCTCAGCCTCCCCTTGGCCCCCACTCTCTCCCTCACTCTCGCTTACTGCCCCAGTGGGGCCGGATCACCTCCAGCCGATCTAACGGGACTCGGGGAGGGTGGTTGTTGTGGACGGGCCGGGTCGTCCGAGGTGGTGGCCGTGGTGGCGGCGATCGCCGAGGTTGAGGGATTTTCCGCACTGCCTGCTTCTAGGGCGTCAGTGAAGAACTGGGACGCGTGTGGTCTGAGCTGCCTGGCCGTCTTGATGACCGTGCGCTTTGCCGAGAAGGACGCTTTCCGAGTAGGGGCTGTACGGGTGGGGGTGGGCGGGGAGTAACGGTTGGGCCGGTTCCTGCGGCGTGGAGTGATGGTGGGGGTTTCGAAGTCGACCGGGCCCGAGCGGCGGGTCATGGCGTGTGGCGTCGCCATAATGGGATCCGGTTGTCGGTCGAGGCGGCGGCAAGACCCGCCGGGCCGGGGGGACTACGTAGTCGGGGCCAAGGACTGGGGGGATGTGGTGTTCGGTGTTGTTTGGAGGTATAAAAAGAGGGTTGAAAAACGGACGAGCCGCGAGTCCGCCTTGATCCGCTGTGGAGTCTGTGTTGGTTGTGGAGTGGTGGAGTGGTAGAGTGGTAGAGTGGTAGAGTGGTAGAGTGGTAGAGTGGTAGAGTGGTAGAGTGGTAGAGTGGTAGAGTGGTAGAGTGGTAGAGTGGTAGAGTGGTAGAGTGGTAGAGTGGTAGAGTGGTAGAGTGGTAGAGTGGTAGAGTGGTAGAGTGGTAGAGTGGTAGAGTGGTAGAGTGGTAGAGTGGTAGAGTGGTAGAGTGGTAGAGTGGTAGAGTGGTAGAGTGGTAGAGTGGTAGAGTGGTAGAGTGGTAGAGTGGTAGAGTGGTAGAGTGGTAGAGTGGTAGAGTGGTAGAGTGGTAGAGTGGTAGAGTGGTAGAGTGGTAGAGTGGTAGAGTGGTAGAGTGGTAGAGTGGTAGAGTGGTAGAGTGGTAGAGTGGTAGAGTGGTAGAGTGGTAGAGTGGTAGAGTGGTAGAGTGGTAGAGTGGTAGAGTGGTAGAGTGGTAGAGTGGTAGAGTGGTAGAGTGGTAGAGTGGTAGAGTGGTAGAGTGGTAGAGTGGTAGAGTGGTAGAGTGGTAGAGTGGTAGAGTGGTAGAGTGGTAGAGGTAGAGTGGTAGAGTGGTAGAGTGGTAGAGTGGTAGAGTGGTAGAGTGGTAGAGTGGTAGAGTGGTAGAGTGGTAGAGTGGTAGAGTGGTAGAGTGGTAGAGTGGTAGAGTGGTAGAGTGGTCTCGCATGCCGTTACTGACAGCCATTGCGTCATAGCTATGCCACGTGGCCGACTGCACCGCCCAGCCAGCCGCCACCACCGCGCCACCAAGGGGCACGCTCCGCATACCTCACATCACAGCTAATTCCCGCATCTTATTGACTCTATTGTACATCTATCATACACCCTTCACCACATCATCACCTATAGACTGCAGAAACACAATGGGATTCGCTAGCAAACTCGGTGCGTTCTTTCCATCCTGTTCCACGGAGCCCTTCGGCCTCGTCCCTTTGAAGCGGTCGCTGACTCTTGGCAGCTCAAGCCAACCAGGCCGCCACCGCTATCGGTGGGATGGCCGGCGGACCGAAGCCCCCAGGTGCCCCTGGAGGTTATGGTGCCCCTGCTCCCGGCGGTTACGGTCAGCAGCAACCTGGGCAGTACGGCCAACAGCAACCCGGCCAGAGTCAGTACGGTCAGCAGCCCCCGCAGGGCCAGTACGGCCAGCCACCTCAGCAACAGCAGTACGGTCAACCCCCGTCCGGCCAGAGCCAATATGGTCAACAGCCGGGTCAGCACCAGCAGTCGGGACAGTACGGTCAGCAGCCCTCGCAAGGACAATACGGCCAGCAGCCTGGTCAGCAGCCCGGACAGGGACAATACGGCCAACAGCCCGGACAAGGTCAATACGGCCAGCAACCAGGACAGGGCCAGTATGGTCAGCCGCCTCAGCAGGGGCAGTACGTTCAACAGCAGCCGGGCCAGTACGGGCAGCCCCAGCAAGGCCAGTACGGTCAGCAGCAGCACCAGCCGCCTCACGGGGTTCCTCCAGGCCAGTACGGTGCCCCGCAGGGTGCTCACGCCGGTATGGGCAGCGGCTCTCTCAGCCCGCAGATCGTCACCCAGCTCCTGCAATCCTGTGTCCAGGACGTGAGTGGTCGCCCTCATTACAGTCACCGGAAGCCGCTGATCAATGCAGCAACACCTGAATGCCTTCTACCCGCCTGGGTCGGTCGAGCAGATCGCTCAGCGCGTCTCTCAGTCTGGCGTTCTCGACAAGCTCGCGGCCGCTTGGCGTCTCCCCGTCGAGCTCGCTGCGGACCTCGTCAAGATTGCGCTCTTCGACGTTGTCATCCTGGTGGACGACTCGGGCAGTATGGCATTCGAGCAGAACGGCGAGCGCATTGATGATCTCAAGATGTGAGCTCTTACTGGAGACACTTGTGGCACGTGGCTGACCTGCAGGATCCTCGGCAAGATTGCTTTCGCCTGCTCCTTGTTCGACCACGATGGAATGTAAGTCAGATACTGCTCATCGTACATATACCAGAGCTGACCAGTTCAGCCAAGTCCGATTCCTCAACTCCAACCTCCAGGGGAACAATATCAACTCGGAGCAGGCTGCCCTCCAGCTCGTCCAGCAAGTCAAGTTCAGCGGTAAGTAATCCCGTCCTGGATGAGGAAAGAAAGCTCATGATCAGGTCTTACCCCGCTCGGAACGGCTCTCGACCAGAAGATTCTGCAGCCGCTCCTTCTCGGTCCCGCCAGGCAGAACGCGCTCCAGAAGCCCTTGCTCGTGATTGCTATCACTGATGGTACTCCCGCCGGCGAGCCGTCCGACAAGAGTGAGCCGCAATGTCTCGAAGCGTACCGTGTGTGTGGCTGACCAGACAGTCATCCAGGTCATCGTCAATGCCAACCGCGAGCTGCAGCAGTCCCGCTGTATGTCCATCTCTCTGTCCGGCAGCAGATTGATGCTAATAAGTTACAGACGGACCAGATGCGGTCTCCTACCAGCTCTCACAGGTCGGTAACGACCAGAAGGCCCAGCAGTTCCTCACTTCGCTGGATGATGACCCGAACATTGGTCGTCTCATCGACCAGACCATGGACTACGAGGCGGAGCAGGCGCAGATGATGCAGAAGACTGGGCAGGACATGAGCCCTGATATGTGGATCATGAAGTGAGTTGCGCAAGGTCGAGCGTAGAGCATGAGCCATGGCTGATTTGCCAGGCTTCTTTTGGGTCCCATCGATACGTCTTACGACAGCAAGGGTGAGTTGATCTTCCAGGATCATATTGTGCAGGACGATCCATGCTGACAATCCAGACGAGTCCGCTGGACGCCGTTAAGTATAAGGGGCATACAGTCCGATGGACGACGGCGCGGGGAAATTAGAAGATACGATGTAAACAAAAGCTATAAAGCATGATATACTTGTCTCGCACAGACTGATTAGAACCTTGAATCATGATCAGAGTTGCTGACAACCTCTGCCTCAATAGTGATACGCGCTACCCTGATGTCCCGACAATCCCCCACTGATACTGTACAAATCGAATGACTCACCACCACCGCCTATCTATGGATCACGGTAGCCCAACGTCGGGTCGACTTGAGCCGTGTCGGGCATGCTGAAACCAAACGGGACTTGCGCCCCTATTGCCCCTGGTTCTGTCCCATAGCCACCACCCCTTCCTGTCTGATCAAAGCGTTGCCAGCCTGCGCCGTCGATGTTAACCTCCAGATCACGAGGCAACAGGCGGCCAGTCGATCCGGTCCCGGGATCCGATGCACGCGACCGCACTTCGACCGACTTGCCGGAGGCCCATGGCATCAAGAGACCGGTCCTCAACGGCTCGAACCATGTGCCGTGCCAAGGTTGGCAGGAAACCGCTTTCTGGCGCCATTCTTCAGCTTCAGTGGCCTCCATCCTGCGCTTCTCTGCATCCCTGGCGTAGACGCCACGATTATCGGCGCGCCGCTTTTCCACTTTGGCTTGTTCAGCGGCGGTGAGGTGCGACACATCCTTCCGGGGTCGTCCGGAAGACTTGTCGCGTTTATCCAGCGCGGGATTCGCCCATACGTGATTTTCCGTCCACAGGTGCTTCGCCCAATCAGGAAGGCTCTCGTCCACGTTGCGAGTTGTATAGGGGGCGCCAGTGCCCAATACGCTGGTGGTGTCTGTTGGGCGATCAGCCATTGTGGCGTATTGAACTCCATCGTATACCTTGAGAATTTGGGCTGGTTCGATCGTATCCCATGTTCGCTTCCTTGACTCCTTCTCCCCGACACTATTCGGGCGCAAGGTCAAGCAACAGCCCGCCTCCAGATCAGGCGCAAGCCAGTCGAGAGGATCTTTCCAGGTCTGATGTTGCTTGACTTGGGCTCGAAACTTTGTCACTTGAATCTCGCGCTCCGTCTCCAGGCGTTCGCGTCGCTCTTGCGTCCTATGCCGGCTTTCTTTGTTTTGCGCCAGTTTCGTCTTTGGCGTGATTGTCGGCGTGGTCCTAGCGGAGGACTTGCGGCGATTTCGGGACGGGGCTATTGGGAGTTTCATTGGGGTAGCTGAATCCTCGGTCAATTCTGACGGCGCTGCATGTGTTGAAAGCGGAGAGCGGTCGGAGAGTTGCGAGCCGGCCGCCAGAGGAGATCTCCAGTACTGCGACGGCATCCACAGCCGATTATGGTCCATGGGAAGGCCGAGTGATTCTTCGTCGGGTACGCGGTGTCCCATCTGGTACTGCACAGGTCCATGCAGGGGGTGGGGATTGGTATCGGTCAGTGCGAAGAATCCCGGTGATAGCGATGTATCAGTATCTGCTGGGATGGACTGTGGGAAGGCAAAATTGTCGCCGGGTCCGAAGTACCGGTACTGCTGGATTTCCTGTTCAGGCCGCGTATCGGCTGGGAATGGTTCGAAAGGCAGAGCGAATTGCTCTCCCACTGGCATGTTCGAGGTAGGCAACGTTGAAGGGAAGGCATCAGCAGGCGGGCGAGTACTTGGAAACGGGGCGAGGTTGAGCGAGAATTGCGCAGATCCGTCCGGGATAGCAGATCCCTCAAGGCCCTCGGAAGAGGGAAAGTGTCCGAGACTGAGCGAGAATCGAGGATATCCGCTCGGCATGACAGGTACGTCAGTGTCGTCGAGGGGCGGCGCTGCATTCAGCGTCTGAGTGAAGTCCGTACCATCCCGCTCATACGAGAAACCAGATGAAGTTGTATTATAGTCGTTCCATCCAGAGTTGGACATGTTGCTGTGGAGGGCTGGAGCTGTGGGGGGTTCGGGGAGTAGGGAAACAGAAAAGGTATGTGGATAATGGGCGATTGTGAGCTGCTTTTCGTGGTGAGAGAGGCGAAGAGTAAAGCGTGGGCATATCAGTGGCTGTCTGCTATGTCTAGACCACAAAGCGCTTCCTTTCACGATGTCCTGAGACGTAGTCCCACTCCGCCCGGAACAAAGGATCCGCGCAGTATGAAACGGGTGCCTGGCCGAAAAGCCTAGAATGTGGCGGCTCACGTGACACCCAGCTTGGCTCTTGACGGAAGCGACTGAAGGGACCAGGCTGGCGTCGGGCGAAGTACGCCTTGCTCCGCTCCCATCAGTCCAGGTCGGCTGGAAGATGAGGTTTACGCTGCTTCTCCCTGCCCGCACTGATTCAGGTCGACGTTGAGGTGGGAAGAGATATCTGCTTTCTTCGTCTTTCAGCTTCATTGTCAACGGCTATGATATGCAGACCAGGTGCGCCGGCTTGGACGTCAGTACGATCAGTACTGTCCTTATCAAGCACGCAGTCGTCCGCAAGAAGTCAGAAGATAAGTGCCGTCATATGCGCCTACCGATGGAAATTGAAGGATTTCGAGCCAAAGTCCACCACGACTCTGCGACGTCGATCTCAAGGTGTACATACAGCTATCATACACATCCGATAGACACCGAGAGCGTGTGGACGCTCTAGAACTGACTCTTGCGCTGCTTTTCTTGAGAAGCTCGCAGTTTGATTTGTTTGTCACGAAGACTGGCTGTCTTCTTGCCTCTGATCCGGTTCGACCTGATGATCAGCAAAGGTACCGCAGGAGATTATGGTGGAGGTCGAAGATGGAAAGGGAACGGAGGAGGGAGGGGGATAGATTCAAGAGAGAGATAGAGGGCAGAGATAAGGGGGAGAGGGGATGGTGAGAGAGGGGGGAGAGAGACGGGACGTACTGTACAGCCATCATCAATGGCTTGCTCCTCAACTTCTCCCTATTCGTACTACTACTCTTAACCTCCTTAGTCTTCTTCCCCTTGGAGCTTCCAAACTTCTCCCTCCCCTCCCGACCCTTCTTGATACTCTCCATCCGCTCCTCATAATCCGCCTTGGTCTTCTTCCGTGGCCCCAAGATCTCATTCTCCGTCAAGAACCGGTCGGCCTCGTCCTCCCCTACGTGCCGCTTGGACGCCTCGAGCGCTGCCAGCTTCCGCTTGGCACCCGAGCCACCGCCAGATTTGACGAGATCCTGCGCGGCCTTGAGGCGGAGTTCGTTGAGGAGGACAAAGTCGGCCGGGGTGAGGATCTTTTGTTGGGCGAGGAGGGAGAGCTTCTTGGTGACGACCGAGGCCTCGGTCGCCATGCTAGGAGCGACCGAGACGACCGACTTGGAATCGTCATTGTCGTCCATGTCGACACCGGCGTCCGCTTCGGGCTTCTTGCCTTCTCCCCGCTTCTCCGCTTCCTCCTCTTTCCGGATAGCCCGCTTCCCCTTCTTCTTCTCCGGCGCCTCCTCGTGCTCCTCGGCATCGAGCTTCCGCTTTTGCCTGTCCTTTCTCGGTCCCTCATCTTCGCTGTCCGACAGCTGCAGATCCCCCTCGTCATCAGAGACATCATGCCACCCGCTCGACTCGCTGTCAGCATCGCTGTCGACATCCCAATTGTCCCAACCCGCCTCATCGTCCTGATCCGCCCCCATCTGCTCGTCATCGCTGACTCCCCCGTTCGCCTCTTTGCGCATCGCCGCAAAGTGATCCTCGAGGAGGTCGAGACCGTCGATCGCCTCGGCCTTTTGACGGGTATGACCGTATTCCGGAACCTGGGTGACGCCGGTGCCCATCGTAGCGGTCTTTCCTCGCTCCCGCTTCTTGAGCAATCCCGGGTTGACCTCCCGGAAGAGCTGCAGCAGACCCCGGGAGGCAGTGACGACGCCCTTGTCTTTGGACTTCCGGTAGTCGATAAGGTCGCTCAGGAGGTCTTCCTCCATACACCATGGTTGCCTCCGGCAGATCTCGCGGATGGCGTTGATACCCGCCGCGATAACCTCGGCGCCAACACCGGGATGGACGAACTCTTGTGCGAGCTTGCGGACGACGGGGGTGAGGACGTCGGGAGGGGTGAGATCGTGTACGGATTGAGCGAGGGAGACGAGAATGAGGGTGACTTGGAGTTGGTGGTAGGTCAAGTATCTGCAATCAGCGCGTGCTGGGACGCAGGCTCACTTGATGATGTAGCTGTAGAAGCCGAGGATGCAAAGCTTGTGAGCGCCCATGACCCGAGATAGTAGCTGCATGATGAGAATCTTGTGGTCGAGCGAGAAGATCTTGTCGTGTTTGTGCAGGTTGTCGTAAAGCTTTTCGCCAAACGTTTGGGGGTCGTGCAACAACTCGAGAGCGGGGAAGTTGGGTTGTACGCCTAGACCAGCTTGCTTCTTGGAGCGTTTCTACAATGTCAGCTCTTGCGGAAAAATCGTCAAAAACGGGGCTCACCTTGTTCGCCTCCCGCTTGGACAGCTTCAACAGCTTCTCCTTCTTCCGCCCCGACTTGCCCACATCCAGACTATGCTGCATCTTCTTGACATCCTTCCTCGCCTCCCTCACCTCATCCTCCTCTTCTTCTTCCGCCTCCTCATCGTTCTCCGACCCGAGGAAGAAGTGGATCGCCGCGGCTTGAACCTTGGTATTTGGGTGGAATACCGCGAGCGAGACGATCGAGACCGTCTTAGCGTCTGCCCAGACACCCTTCTTCCACAACTCCTTGACCATCATGACCGCCCACATCGCCTCCCCGCCCTTCTCCTTGCTCCCGTTCTTGCCCTTCCCTTTGCCCTTGTCGCCAACCACTTCATTGTGCATGCCCGACTCGACCATACCGAAAAGGAGCGACTGGACGACGCGGTTGAGACGATGGTTCTTGGTCTTGGCGTTGGACGTTTTGAGGTCGGTGAGGATGGTCTGGCGGATGATGGAGCGGAGAGAGGAGGGTACATGAGGAAGAAGGGGAAGCAGTGTCTGGAGGAGTCTGCATCATTAGCTTGCTTGCCACCATCCCAGATAGTCGGACTCACTCGATAGAGTCGATGACCTCCTTGTTCCGCAGCATGACCAAATTCTTCACGGCCGTCTTTCTCAGATCTCCCTTAACCATCGTCGACCCATTCTGGCCCAGCAGCAGCCCCTTAAGCTGCGCCGGGAAATCCTTCGTCTCCTCCGGATAACACTGCGCGACCTGACTGATGAAGGTCACCAAATCGGCAAAGAGGTCGTTCGACTTGTCCTTCTCTGCACCAGTGGACGAAGAAGCTGTACCGGCCGCAGCTACCGAGTTGAGGCGGAGGAGCGAGAGGTAATGGTTGTATTGCGTGAGGAATTCTTCCTTGTACCCTTTGGGATCGCGCTGGGCTGTCAGTCAAGCCCGGCAAGCTGATCAAATTTGCTACACACCTTGATGAGATTCTGAAGCTGCGGGAGATTGGATGTGAGGAGCATGCCTCTGCCTGCGCGTGACTTGACCATGGTGGGCAGGTGTCGATGTGTATAGTGTGATGGGTGGAGGAGGTGATGTCAAAATTCTACTCTACTCTATCTGTTACGAGATCCGAGGGGAGATTGTCAGGTCAGATCTGCCCATTCGGATAATCGCGGCGTTATTGTCAGGACAGAGGTCCAGTCCACCGATCTGTAAGTACTGACCTTCTCATCAACCTATACAGTAACCCATCCTTACATATCTTGGGAGCCAGTATACACCTCGACTCCGCCACGATGCGCTCAATCACGCCCGCAGCTGCTCGGAGAGCCCTCTTGGCCGTCTCAGAGCCCTCGACTTCTCGAGCAGCAGCAGCGATCCCACGTCGGGCAGGCCCGATCCTCGATTCTAAGCGGGTAGCTGGTCCTCAGCTCGTCAGGCGTACTGCTGCTGTTCGCACGTATGCTACTACTGCGCCTGGTCCTTCTAGCTGTGGAACCGCCTTGCCGGCGATACCAGCGGAAGACACCTTTGATATCGTCATCATCGGCGGAGCGAACGCTGGTCTGGCCTTGGCTTGCGCTCTTCGTATGTCCTCAACTCGGACAGTGGATCCAGCTGATGGACTAGTGTCGAAGCCCTCGATTAGAGAGACGAGTAGGATACTACTGCTAGAAGGTGGAAGTTTAGACAGGGTACGGAGCTGGACAGGCGAAGACAGATGGGAGAATCGAGTCAGCAGTCTGACCGCAGAGAACGTTGCCTGGCTGGACAGTGAGTACCTCTCCCTCTCGAGAGGGCTGATCTGACGATCAGGTATCGGAGCGTGGAAGCATATCGCTCAGCATCGATCATGTCCTGTCGAAGAAATGATTGTAAGCTCTAGCCAAGATCTTAGCTGACCTTAGATCTGGGCAAATCCCTCACCCGACTCGTCCCCCACTGTCCACTTCCCACCCCTCGGCCACCCCATGGCGCATATGACCGAGAATACCAACCTCCAACGAGCCCTGCTGCGGCGTATCGACGAGATAAATCCCGGCTCCTTCGAGATCCGCGAGTCGAGCCGGGTGGCCGAGATGCAGCTGGGGCCGGGTGGACGATGGGTCGGACTGCGAATAGGGGATAGATGGGTCAGAGGATCGGTCGTTGTCGGTGCGGACGGACCCAACTCGCCCGTTCGCCAATTCTCAGCTATCGATAGCTATGGTCATGGCTACAATACGCAGGCTGTAGTCGCTACGCTCCACCACGACGAGGACATCTACCCCAACAACACAGCGTTCCAGCGGTTCTTACCTACGGGTCCGCTGGCGTTCCTCCCCCTGAGCCCGACAGCCAGTACGATGGTCTGGTCTACCCATCCAACCCATGCGGCGGCGTACAAGAAGCTCTCGCCAGAAGCTCTCGTCACCGTCGTCAATGCCGGATACTCGCTGCCCGAGTCCACGTTGGCGGCGCTGAACGAGCACATCATCAGTTCCGATACACCTCTTTCCGCCGAACAGATCAATACCCTGCTCGCTCAACTCCCCCTCCCTGAGATCCGAGAACAAGCTACCCTCCCGTCGGTCGTCAAAACCATCGAATCCGTCGCTTCCTTCCCCCTCAAACTCACTCATGCCGATTCATACCTCGGCGACCGCACAGTCCTCGTCGGCGATGCAGCACATACTGTTCACCCTCTGGCGGGACAGGGCCTCAACATGGGTTTGGCGGACGTGCGGTGTCTCGCCAACGTGTGGGAGGAGTGCCGGCGGACGGGCGCAGATCTCGGGAGTCGGACGAGTATGGCTCCTTACCCTCGGGAACGATACCCCGCGAATCAGCTCCTTCTCAATACCACAGACACGCTGCATCACGTCTTCCGGTCCCGCTCAGGACCGGTCAATTGGGTACGCGGTCTCGGGCTGGATATGATCAACGAGATCTCGCCGCTCAAGCGGATCCTCATGTCCGGCGCAGGGGCGGGCGCGGGCGGGGGGAAGAGGGATGCAGTGGGGAGGGAGTTTGGCCCTTCTACAGCGGATCAAGTGGGAAGGGGACAGGCAGGGGGATGGCCAGGCAAGGTGGCTAGCGGTTTAGAGGGGTGGTTGAGCTTCAAGTCGGCGGCGGGGATGGCGGCAGGAATGGCGGGTCAAGCTATCGCGGGGAGGTTACGAGACTTTGCGCAGACAAGGGGGAAGTAGATTATTTGTACATGCTGGTGTAAATATACAGGACATTCTGACTCACTCGCTCATCTACCGCTGACGTATCTGAATTGCGAGGTGTATATGCAGGTCTAATATCTAATTTCTACTGATTTTACCAAGTCCCAAAAACCCCTGGTATCTCGCGAATCCCTCTCGGCAACACGCTCTCACGCTTCCCACAATCTTCCACTATACTCGTCATACTCCCCAATGCTCATCTCCTGCCCCGTAGGTCCACCCATCGGCGGCGCCGAAACTACTCGCCTGTCCGACGGCGCGCCCAAACTTCCAGGTACAAGTCCCTGACCCTCCCCACTCCATACTGGTGGTGCTTCGGATTGCCCGCGATACGGCTGCATGTACTGCGGATCGTACGAATACCCCTGCATGTGTTGTTGTTGCAGTTGCTGTGGGGGCTGCAGGGATGGTTTGGCTGGCAGGGAAGGAGGCAGAGCGAGGTACGTGTCTGGCTCGGCGGGATGGTATAATTGACCGTCCGGTGGGGAGATGTTGGATGGATATGGGGAATGAAGGGGCGCGGGCATGGGGTAGCTGTAGTAGAGGCCGGCGGAAGGTGGTGGTGCAGGTGCCGGCTGGACGGAGGGAGATATCGGCTCGGGCTTGACGCTTGTGGCCCAGTATTCGGACGACTGGCCGTACTGGGGGTCGAGACCGCCCGAGGAGGTGGAGCCCATAGTGGGATCGCTACTGGACGAGCCGTTCCCATTCGATGTAGCATGGGGATATGGGACCGGTGGGGGCCGGAAGGAGGTCTGGGGATGGGGAGAGAAGTCGTCTCCCACCGGCGTGCTGGCACCGCTGCTATGGCCATCCCGGTCTGTCACGGCGAGCTGATGGGGAGGAAGGGGGATGGCCGACGGTGTGGGTGGAGGAAGTAGGAGGAGTGAGATGACGAAATAGACCTTCCCGAGTGTTTCAGGCCGCCATAGCGATCCGCCGAGCCCGCCACCGAGATGCAGACGGACATTGAAGACCGAGTACTGCTGGTCGGCGCGCATGACCCGGACGTTTTGGTTCGGATACGGCTCCTTCATCCCCGCAACGGGCGATTGGAGCTCCGCTTCTGACCGCTGGGACATGGACTCTTGGGTCTCGCGGTCCGAGTGGAGGTGTCCGGGACACATGGAGTTGTTCATGAGTCGCCCATGTTCCATCTCGAGGAGAGGTCGGTCGTGCGGCATGACCCAGTCGAGGAGGTTGGTATTGATGAATTCTTGGGGAGGGAAGCCAGTGAGGGGGTAGGACGCGCGCGTGCACCGCAAGATCCGAAGGTCCGTGGTGGTAAAGACGGTAAAGAGGGGTGGGGAGGGGAGCGTGATGGGCGTGCTGGTAGAGGGGAGTCTGGCTATGTATGGGTTCTGGTCCACGCGGAGGGAGGGTTGGGGAGGCAAGGACTGGGCGTATGGTGATAGGTTCTGGTTGGATGGTCGGCGCCACTTCCCGCCACCGCCACCGCCACCACCACTCGCGTCCACTTGCAGCGGCATACGAACCCTCGAGTATGGATTGCCCATTGAAGCTTTGGGCACTTCAGATCGTCCTCTCTTCTTATGCTAGGAATCAGCCACGCCCAGACTCGAGAGCCAAGTTGGACTCACCGGTACGTCCTCGCACGACTCTGCTTTCCCCGCCACCGTACATCTTTTGCACGGCCTACCCACGTCGCACGCGAGATGAGCGCGCTTACATGGTCCGCACGCCGATGCCACATTCGGCCTGCCTCCGACGCGTCTGATTACGGCCTGAACGTGTGTGGTGGGATTGTGTGCGTCAGGCGAGTACGAGCCAGACGTAGAGGACGAGGCGGAGGGACCGGCGCTCAGCGGTTCGGCGTAGGTGGACGGCCCGGACGAGACAGCGAGTAACGCCCCCTCGCTCGAGTGTGTGTGGACGAACATGTGTGTGCTGGGTGTGCTTTGCCGCGGAGATATGTTTCAAAGTGGGCGAGATCTGCACAGACGTCAAGGGGGAATAGGAGGTATACGAGGTAGGAGATATAGGAGGTATACGAGGTGGATAAGATGCAACAGGTATATGCTGCCGGGCGCCCAGAGTCCGCTGAGGCAAGGAGGTTTGTTGGCGTACTTGCACCGAGACGGCCGCGGGCGGGACCTGCCCCCGTGCTCGGAGAAAAGCAATAGTACGGATACAAGTCACTGAGCCCCGCCCCTCGAAAACCTTCGTTTGGTGGCTTCGGCTTGCAGGTCAGGCTTTCGTGGCCGCCGGCCGAGGCGCCGAGCCCTGTGACGATGTTACAGACTGACACATTGAGGAATCCTACGATCGGGTCTTCGGCAAAGAATACCGCGATACACAAGGACACCAAGAAGAGGCGGCCTTGGTTCCGCCAATAGCGGGGTTTCAGAGTGGTATTCCTTCTGGCGATCATCAGGGGGCTCACATGTGGGCTAGACCCAAACCTTCTATTTCAGTATCCGACTACGCTTACCGCTCGCGTACCGGAACTGGGCTAGTAGCTCCCTGAGCAGGCTTAATGCTGCCGCTGGGATGAGACTAACGACCCGCATGGACCTTTGAAGGTCTCAAAGCGGATTTGTGAAGACGACTCGGTTCATCGGACCCCGTCATATCGGGTCCAGCTGGTCGGCCTTAGCGCAGAGATTAAGGTTTCAGGGGAGATTCAAGACCCGGCAGTCTATCGGCTCGATGTTTTACGGTCTAAGAAGGTCCAAGATGTTCTCGCCCGTTCTAGCGCCGTTCCTAGATGGAAAATGCGCTTTTTGTTCTCTGGATTATTACGAGACTGCCAAGGCGTGCATCATTTGCCCCCGAGGTTGCTTCGGATAAATCGCTGTTGCCGTTGCGTCGATGCGCAGTCGCAAGTTCGGTAGGTTTACAAAGCAGACGACTCTGCCGGGGCCCGGGAGGGTGCATGAGGTCGTTCTCGTCATCGGGACTCGGCGCTCGGGCGGCTCGGGAGTATACCCTCGAATTTTGGTTACTACTTGCCGCCTCATTAAGGCGATCAAGCATACTCAAGCAATCTGACGATCTGCGCTAGAGCGCGGTATGTAGTCACCTTCACTTGGGATAGACACGACTACGAGGCCAGTAGGACGGGCCATGCTTGTCATCCCCTGCGGGTAGTATCGGCCCGGGCGTGGAGCTCGGGGTCCTTGGGCCTATGTAGAGGAGGATGGATAGCGCAGGCATGGACGGTGAGGTTGACTGTCAATGCTGTCGCCACCTTGCATATTCGCCAGCACCTCTATGCTAGAGTCGCGATCCGCGCCGTAACAACGCTCGGCTCAATGGATTTGTGGTATCTACCTACTCCGCCAAGTGATCATCATCTAGCCTACGCTCATAAGCAGGATCGGAGCGAAGCTGTCTCGGCTGAGAGGTTATCTCCTCGATCTCCAAACATCGTATGGCGTGAGTCTGAGATGAAGTGAGATGGCGTGCCAGCCATGTAGTCTATCCGAAGCGCAGCTGGACCCGGCATTGCTCACCAAGGCTCTGATCGCCGCTCGGATCCGTTTGCCGTGGTATCTCCGCTGACACAGCACGTGCCGACCTTTGCCGGCCATGATGCATGATGTCGATCTCGATGCGATCAAGGGAGTGACAGTTTTTCCGGCCTGGCGCTGGAGTGGTGGTGGTGATGATGATGTCAGCTCTGTATCATCTTCTCCGTGTAAGAAATCTGCATCAGCGGTTAGCCTTCCCCCGATCGTTAGCCCCGATGAAACAGATCGACGGTGTTCATGCTGCTATACCTGGCGACGTCATAATCCGCGGGTACTCCACTGTATCCTCATGCGCGACTGACTTAGACACTTGTCCCCGCCAGTACCTCCTGGACGTCCTCCTGCGTCTCATCAGCTCCCGACCGACGCTAACGCAAATCGCAGGACAACTCACGTGCTCAGCCTCCTGTTTCCTCTGCTCAATCTCGGCCCTCATCGCCTCCTTCTCTTTCGCCGTTTGGCCACCGATGGTATTGTGCCGCTCAGCACCGCCCTCCTTCAGCCTATTGACAGCCATCATACCCATCACTGCACGTCGGACTGAACTATCAGCGCTGACCTGCTTCCCCGTTCGAAGCAAAGCAAAACTTACAAGTCTTCCTAGCGTCAAAGCCAGCCTTGACGTTCGGCAGCAAGTCCGTTCCCTTATCTTCGCCTGCAGCGGCAGCAGTGGCGGGCTGCTCGTACATCTTCAACCAAGGATGTTGAAGCAGCTCGGCAGATGTCGGGCGGTTGGCGGGATCAACGGTCAGGCAGGCGCGCACGAAATCCCTAGCTGGCTGCGAGACGTTTTGCCAATACTCTTTCTGCGCCGATCAGTTGGACAATCGGGCGAGGTCTGCCAGGTGATGGATACTGACTGGCTCAAACTTGTAGTCTCCCCGGCAGATAGCTTGCATCTCCTCGTATTGCGAGTCCCGATCGAAAGGTGTGTAACCACAGAGCAAGAAGTAGCTGGAAGATCAGCACAATTATACCAACCGGCGGATGGACCAACGTACGTGATGACGCCGATAGCCCAGATATCGACTGGCTTGCCGTGGCCCGCCTTCTTGAAGATCTCGGGCTACTGATCAGCTGTTGTCATCGCAGTAGTATCGATCCGCTTCCTCGGAAGGCAGGGCACTCACAGCCATATACCCTGGTGTCTGATGCATCAGCTGAAGGTCCATACAGGAAAGAATCAGCTTACTCCACAGGTCGTCGTCAAGATAGAGAAGTTGTCCTCCTCGAGCACCTTGGACAGCTACGACGATCAGCACAGCCATAGAGTTCTGTCAGCTCTACCGAGGAACAAACCCCAAAGTCAGCCAACAGCAAGTCCGAGTTCTCCTCCTTTGACTTGAACAATATGTTCTCCGGCTTCAAGTCGCGGTGCACAATGCCCTGATCGTGCAGGTATTTGACGGCGTCAGTAACGGTCCGGATGATCTGCGCGGCATCCCTATCTGTAAGCTGATGTCATCCCAGATGGCAGAGTTCAAAACTTACTTCTCGAAGTAGCTGCCCCTCGCGCAGATCCGGTCGAACAGCTCTCCGCCGGTACACAGGTCAAAGACGAGCTGTTCCATCAGCCCAAATGTCCGACCTGGGGATTGCAGGGGTAACGAACATAGAGATTATGTGTGGTCTCGAAGAAGTCGTGCAGTGAGACTATATGCCGGTGACCCGCTGAGACGCGCTTGAGGACGTTGATCTCATTCCGGACCTGTCTTCAGTCAGCTGGGATATGATCGCTACGCGAGAAACTGGTCGTACCATGTGTTCGCGACCAAGTAGGAACTTCTTGTTGAGCACCTTGCAGGCATAGTATTCGCCCGTCTATGTGGATCAGCTGAGCTCCCTCCTCATAGTCTGCCAGCTAAACGCACTCCAATATGTACACATTCCTTCACCACCGCACTAGCTATTGTGAGCTCGATTCCTTGTCGGAACCCTCAGAGGTTACTTGATCAGACGCACTATGTTCCACTAAGCGTTATCAGTTGGAGTCCACAGGTAGCCAAAGCTGAGGATAGCTCACCTGCCTAAGGTCTTGCCAGTCTTGTACTATACGGGATCAGCTGCAGTCCGTGTTACTGGTTAACACCATGTCGGAAGCTGGAAGAGAAGGTTGAAGGGAAGCAAAGGGAAGCAGGGCCTACCTGACACGGGACCGTTGCTGGAGCCTTGGGCTTCTGAGTTGGGGTCTGCATTTCCTGAGTAATGTTTGCTCAAGGTCGATTTGGCTCCTATCGAGCTAGCTCTTTAGTCTATGGGCGGATTGAAGGGCTATACGAGTATCGTTGATGATGAGGAGTATCTGGTTCTGCTTGGCTCGAGGTTGCGGTGCGGGGCCGCGGCGCCGGCTATCGGATGAGTCAGAGGCATCGTGGGAAAGCGTCGACAAGTTCGCGTCGACCATTGCTGAAGACGTTGATGATGACATTGAAACCTGATGATACCCTATAAATGCCAGCCTTCACCTTGACATAGCATACAGGAGCAGAGACATACGCTCAGACTGGTCAAGTTCCCCGTTTGGAAGAGAGGGATCGACCCCACAGCTCTCGAGATCGACTCTATCTCCAGCTCGTCCACCTGGATCATGATCTGGGATGAGGATTCTCACTTGGAACGTGGTAAGTACCGAGAGAGAACCGTCGCGGAGCTCTGGCTCATCCGTAGAATGTCTTGCGGACATGTATGGACTACCACCCGTGAGCTCACACCTTGTGAATGACGGCTTTGAGCCGGTACTGACCTCCAAGATTCTCGTCGATGAAGAAACGGAATGTGGAGGGACTGCTAGATGAGCTCGGCGCCGAGATCTTCTGCTTCCAGGGTAAGCTTAGCGTTCTCACGCTTCCTGATCAGCTTCAGGCCGCTGGCTGACGAGCAGAGCACAAGACTCGTCGGCCCACTTTGGAGAAGTCTATGGCCTGTCCGGGACCCTATGACGGCTTCTGGACCTTCCCGCGCAAAGGCACCGGCTACTCTGGCGTATGCACATTCGTCGACTCGCGGTATTGCGTGCCTCTGAAGGCGGAAGAAGGAATCACTGGTCTCCTGCTGGATGACAAGGCAAGCACGATGCGGCCGGCGTGGACGATGGAGGAGCGCATAGGAGGATATCCCGAGGTGGAGGGGATGAGCTGGGTGGACGAGGAAGGAGCGGGCGCTTTCGATGTCAAGAGGCTGGACATGGAGGGGAGGGCTGTGATGTGTGACTTTGGGTGAGCTCGACTATGCAGATGGGTCACAAGGGAATGCTCGAGCTGACACCCAGCCTGTTCATCCTCTTCAACCTGTACTCGCCAAACGAAACCAACGACACTCGCCGGCCGTACAAGATGAACTTTCTTCACGCCCTTCAAGAACGTGTCCGCCTCCTCATGGCCTCCGGACGCGAAGTCATCATCGCCGGTGATCTCAATATCGTCCGCGCTCCTATCGACTCGGGCGAGGGCGGGATCCGCTCGTCTGCGGAACAGCACTACGAGCATCCCGCGCGCGTGATCTTTAACGATTGGATCGCGCCGAGGGGTCCTATGGTGGATGTGGTCAGGGAGAGCTTTCCGGACAGGGACGATATGTTTACGTGCTGGAATCAGAAGTTGGACGCCAGGTCAGTCGCATTTTCGGCCTTGTCAGAGCGAAGCTGATTCCAGGCCGTCCAACTATGGCTCCCGGATCGACTATATCCTCTGCTCTCCCGGTCTCCGTCCCTGGATCAAAGGCGGCGATATCCTCAACAAGGTGTACGGCTCGGACCACTGTCCCGTCTATATCGACCTTCACGAGGAGATCGACCATCCCACTCTCGGCCCGCTCAAGCTCAGGGACATGCTCGATCCGCCGAACAGAACTCCGTCGACCGCCCCGGTGTATCCGAATGACGTACCGAGGGAGGCGCCAGAACCGCCTCGGTTCGCTACCAAGTTTCTGGATGAGTTCTCGGGGAAGCAAACGACGCTGAAGAGCTTTTTTGGGGGAGGGAAGAAGGTGGAGAAGGAGGATAAGGGAAAGGAGGCGAAGGCGGAGAAGGCCATGGCTCAGGGTAGCGATAGGGCTGCGGGGGAGGCACCGGCGCAGGTGCTCCCGCCCGTCAAGAAGGTGGAGGAGGCACCTTCTGCGCCTTTTGCTCTTGCTCGGGCGGCTTTTGACTCGCTGGACCATTCCATCGGATCGGCGGAAAGTTCGAGCTCGGGTCGGAAACGGTCGACCACCTCAGCCAGTATCGACCTGACCAGCGAGGACGATATCGAGATGCTGCCGTCTGCCTCACGCTCGAACAGCGCCAGCGCCAGCGTAGGTCTGAGCAACGGCCGGCCATCACTCCAAGCCACCAAAAAGCCGAGCAAGGAGCCAACCAAGTCCAAGCCAATTACCAAGAATGGCAAGGCAGGAGCTCCCGCCCAAGCTAGCATCTCATCCTTCTTCGCCCCTCCTCCCAAACAACGCTCCGTCTCCGCTTCCTCTCCACCTCGCTCGACGAAACAACCTTCTCTACCCCTATCTACCACGTCGACCTCCCAAACCTCTTCTATCGCCTCTTCCTCCCGCACTACCGCAACGCCTCGCCAGACCTGTCCCTCCGAATCCCATCCTCATCTCGATCCAGACCCGGAGGACGACGCGGCCATAGCAGCCGCCATCCTCGCTGCGGACAACGAGCGCTCTTCCGCGCGCGACGCGAAAAAAGCGGAAGTGGCGCCAATATGGAACAACCTCTTTGCGAAGAAGTTGCCGCCTATGTGCAATGTGCATAATAAGCCATGTAAAGACTTTATCGTCAAGATACCGGGACCGAATAAGGGCAAGAGGTTCTGGCTGTGTTCATTGTGAGTCCTTCGAGGGAAAAAGGGCTGGGGATGATGGAGAGGAGCTGATGTCCAGACCGGTCGGGGCGGGGTATGATACGGGAAGGACAAAGCGGAAAAGGGAGGATGTCAATCCGGAGTTTAGGTGTGACTTGTGAGTATCAGATCGACTGATATACTTCAGCACTGGAATTGAAGCTGATGAGATAGCTTCTTGTGGGATTCAGCCAACTCGCGGAAGGAGATACCTCAGAGTTCGCCGAAGGGATCGGGCTGATCAGTATGGATCGAGGCCCAGTATGGGAGGTGTGATGGTCTGGGGACCTACTAGTCATGATGGCGCACATCACCGCCTAGGCCTTATTGCAGTTGGTCCAGAGAGAATACAGTAGGAACCACATGTAGCATAGAGTTGTATTGTGTACAGCTGTGAATAGTGGAGTCTGGTGTCGAACATCCAGTCCAGGCTCAACTTTTTGCGCATGAGTGCATAGAGCGGTACGAGCGATAATACTGGCTGCGACAGAGGGGAGAGACGAGGCTCAAGCCCAAAGCCGGCCGTCGAAGTCGAAAAGGGCTATTGGGTTATACACATTCGCTGGCGTTATACACATTTGCTGGTGTTATACACATTTGCTGCAACATCAGCCCCACTTCTGAATGATAAGTAGCTGTACATGGAACTGACCGAAACATAAAGTCATCGGACCGAAATGGGGCGGAACATACTGCAACTGTCAGCCGTGACTTGGGACACATGGAAACTCGAGCAGATCTTACTCACGACCAGTCTCAATCCCGCCGACCCGGCCCGTTCCGGCAAGCTGATAGCATCCTGGAAAGTCAGCACCGGACTCTAGTGAGTCATACCAACACTGAGAGGAGACTCACAAGCTATATCAAGGCCCATAGCGGACATCCTCCCTCCAATCCCTTAAAACCTGCCACGGGACATCCCCCACCTCCAACCCTCGCCCTTCCCAGTCCGCCAAATCCAGCCCTTCCGTAGCCAACACCTTCTTGATGATTTCGAGAGGCACAGTTGCGCCCTCGTACTCGGTGAAATGCCGCCACTCCGGCGGTGTCTTCTCCCACGATTTCGGGCGGATTTCTCGCTCGAGGTAGATGCGGATGTAAAGGAGCTCCTTGTCCCCATTGCGGAGGGACCGCACAACGCCGATGATATGATCCTCAGGTGGGATAGAATCGGTGGGAGGGGCGAATAAGTCCGCGTCCGGGTCATCAGTGACAATGTGCCGCGAGCGGATGGTATGCAGCTCGGGACAGCCAAGCAGTCCACGGGCGAGACCATTAGGCATGTGCTCGATTTCGATCCCGTTTTCGGACGGACCGTCCTTATCAGGATTCAGGTGATTGCCGCTTCCGTGTCGCGATGCATGAGGAAAGGCGAGGATTTGCAGCTTCGGGCATGGAGGTACCTCTTGTATGAGCTATGGGCGTGTCAGCATCAGTCCATGCGCCATGTCGTGCCTCCGGAATCACTCACGACATCGATCCACGTGCGCATGTCGGTATAGACTAGCAACTCGAGCTCCGGAAAACCGGCAACCCCAGGCAAGGTGTGTTCCTCGTCCTGGTGAGACTGGCCGCCGTCCCACCGCAGTTCGCGGAGTTTGGGGAGTTTCCGGGCAGTTGAGAAGAGGCGGTTGCTATAGTAGTAAAATAAAGAGACAGGGTCCCCCTTTCGAAAGTATGGGAGTATGAGTCGCTCAAGGCGCGAACAGCGCCGAAGGAGGACGATGGCTGGGTGATTGGTGATGTCCTCACACCCAGCATCCACCGTTTCCCTGCGTTCTGCCCCCGTACCTCTGATTTGCGTGTAGTTTCGATATGCGAGTTGGAGTCGTAGCGTCCGGATGTTGCTATCTCGTACCATATCCGGAAAGGCCGTTTGATCAGGACGGGGCACGAGCACCTCAAAACCGAGGTGAGCATCGAGCGACGTGAGATTGGGAGACGCATCGGAGAGGATGTAAAGGATCTCCGCGTACTGGATGGAGCCGGGGCCGAGATGGACGTGGGTGAGCATAGGGAGGTGAAGCTGTGTGACCAGCAGCTGGTATTCTAGGACCTGATGCTCGCCCGCGCCGTCGTCGTAGATCCGCCAGTGGTCGGCTTTGCGTACGACGTACGGTGACTGGACGAAGCTGAGCGTGCGCAGCCGCGATGCGACCTTCTGGAGGATCTTGAGCTCCCCTTGCGCCGCCTTGGGCCTTGGTCCCAGCTTGAGATGCCGGACCAGCTCCCAGCGCCCTCCTTCCGCCGCCGCCCGCCCACAAATCGCCTCTACCTTCTTTCTCAGCCCGGCCTGATGCAGCCGGTCGGCCGCGAGAGCGGGTTCGCGATGACGCAAAGGGTGGTTACCCAGGTCGGTATAATCCAGCCACGAGTACGGTTCGTCATCCTCGTGGAGAGGAAGCGGCATCTCGCCATAGTGTGGGTTCACCGAGAGGTCGACGTCCGACCATAAGCGAGTGCGGGCGGTGAAAGTCAGGGATGGGTGGACTCTGGCGAGACTGAGAGCGGTGGGTTTGTCGAGAAGGAGGGAGATCTGGAGCAAGAGCTCCTCGGGCAGGGTAGTGAGGTTGGTACGGGGAGGATGACTTGGAGCATCGATCTGCCCATCAGCTCAGCCCATATTACTGCCCTCGAATCCCCATCAGGGAACGTCGGCACTTCCGCAGCTGTGCCAGACTACACGTAGGGTAGGGAGTCATCTCTGAGTCTGCCTAAAGCAAGAGCGGATGGGGAATGGCTAGGAAAACAAACGCAGACAGCTGGCGGACTTACCTGATCCTGGCGGGACGACATCTCTGCTTCCTCCCCTCCTGCGCTAGCGACTAGGACCCTTTGTAGGAGTCGCGATTGAGATGACCGCTCTCGAGGGCGATAACAGACGCCGGCGGAGATCTCACTTGGGCTGTTGACTATAATGGCGGAAGAGGTACAAACGAGGAAGATTAATGGCGGCTTCAAGCTGCAGACGAGCTGCAAGATCCAGATCCGTGCGCGTGTTTCAGGTCAGGGGTCGGTGATGCGATCGTTCAGCAAGCCTGGCTGGGGCGACGGCTTCGGGTAACCCTTGGTATGTACCACGACAGAGTCCAGATCGACCCAGGCCCAAAATAAGAACGGATCAAGGCCATACATAGGCCTGATTCGGCTTATGTTTCCCCTGGTGCGCGGAATCCGTCAAGACGCCTGATAGAGTAGAGCTCGGTCGCCAGCCTATATTCTGGACGTTAGCGAAGTCCGCTCAAGCCCGGGCTGATGACTCAGTGCAGTAGCTCTCAGATCTCGTCCTCCACGCCTTCACTGTTTCCGCTATCACCACCGTCCCCGTAGCCCGTGCTGTCCTCGCCGCCCTCGCTCTCCTCGCTACCCTCTGCTTCCTCCCCAGACGGGCTTCCCTCGCTATCCTCGCTATTCTCCCGATGCTCGGCCTCCTCCCTATCATCCGCCATCCAGTCCGTCAACAACTCCCATGCGCGATCTCCTACTTCCAGCCCTCTTCCCGTCCAGTCCGCCAGGCCTAGACCTTCGGCCGCCAACATTTCTTCGATGATCTCGAGAGGTACAGTTTCGCCATCGTACTCGGAGAAGTGCTGCCACTCCGGCTGCTCCAGCTCGACATAACGCCAGTCCACCGCACCGGCATGATCAACCCAAACGGCCTCACTCTCATAGTCCCGCCAATCTGCCGAGTCGATGCGGCCGTCGGCGAGATAAAGTCGAGCGTGAAGTACTTCCTTCTCGCCGTTCCGCAGGGAGCGTATGACGCCGACTGTGCGATTGTCGTGTGGCTCAGGAGCATCGACAGAGGCGAAAAGGTCCGCATTTGCATCCTCCGTCAGTATATGGCGTGATCGGATGGTATGGAGAGCAGGGCAGCCTCGTAGTCCGTGGGCGAAAAGGGGAGGCATCTCTTCCGTGTATATATCGGCCCATCCGGTGACGGAACCGGCCTGGTCCGTGACATCCTCCTTGAAGTACAAGAAGTGAGTGCGCTTGCGATAAGGTGCCCACTCAAAGCGGTTGAGTGCAAGGACCTGCAGCTTCGGGCACGGAGGAATTTCGCGCTGGAACCGAGAGGGCATTAGCATGTTCAATTACACATTAGGTGTCCTGACTCACAATCTCGGCCCAATTGAAATCATCATAGATAAGCTGCTCAAGCTCAGGGAAACCAGCAGTCCCGGAGAGGCTGACTGGCACTCTTTGCTGCGAGCGGCCATAGTGACGGCCAACATCCCATCGTAATTCACGAAGTTTGGGGAGTGCCCAGGCAGGCGAGAAGAGAGCGTCAAGATAGCCACCGGGAGACCATCCGCCGGTTGGTTTGTGTTCGTATGGGACCGCGAGCCGCTCGAGCCGCGAACAGCGCCGAAGGAGAACCAGCGCCGGGTGATCGGCTGCATCCTCCATGACCCATTGATCCCCGGCATTCCTGTATCCCTGCGACGTGTACCTCCGTTCTCCACTGGTTCCTCCGATCATCTTGTAGCATCGCCGGTCGAGATGCAATCGCACCGTCCGTAGATTACTGTCCCGCGCCATGTCCGGGAAGGCAGGCTGATCCGAAGTGGGGACGAGCACATTGGTGTCGAGGTGAGCGTCGAGCGACGGAAGATTAGGGGATGAACCAGAGAGGGTGTAGAGGATTTCCGCATACTGGATGGAGCCGGGACCGAGGTAGACGTGAGTGAGCATAGGGAGGGAGAGGTGCGCGCTCAGCAGCTGGTATTCCAGGATCTGATCCTGGCCCGAGCTTTCGTCCTATATCCGCCAATGGTCTGCTCTGCGTACGACTACCGGCGCCTGGACGAAGACGAGCGAGCGAAGCCGAGGCGCGACCTTTTGAAGGATTCCGAGCTCCCCTTGAGCCACCTTGGGTCTGGGCCCCAGCTTGAGACGGCGTACCAGCTCCCATCGCCCTCCTTCCGCCGTCGCGCGCCCGCAGACCACATCTACCTTCTTCCGCAGCCCTGCTTGATGAGTTCGGTCAGAGGCGATAGCGTGTTCCCGATGATGCAGATAATTGCGATCCAGAGCGAGATGGTGCAGCCACAAATCTGGGGGATCGTCCTCATGATAGGGCAGGGGTGTCTCCCCGATGTGCGGACTGATCGAGAGATCGACGTCCGTCCGTAAGCGGGTCCGAGCGGGGAATGTAAGGGAGGGAGCGACTCTGGCGAGGGAGAGAGCGGTACGCTTATCGACGAGGAGGGAGATGAGCACGAGTAGCTCTTCTGGAAGGGATGTGAGGGTTCTTTTGGAAGGGGACCTAAGCGTTTCCGTCTGCGCGTCAGCCGAGTCCGGTTGATCTCTGCCCGCCGCAATCCCGCCGTCCACGAGGTTGGCTGTACCTCCAGGATGAATTTGGGAAGGGGTATAGTCTCGGTGGCCAGGACAAGTGATTGATGGGTACTGGACATACTTGATTCGTGGGCTGAAGGAGAGGCGTCCCGCCCTCCTTCTTGCTGCGAGTAATCATCGTGCTTTCGTCGCTGCGTGACGGGGATGTTAAAGCGTGAACCGAGAGGTCGGCCGGCTGGACAACATATGCTCGTAGTTGACAGTTCGACGAAGCAGGATCACAAGCGGCATTGTGGTCTCACAAGCTGGTCTGAGATTAAACTTCCCAAAGAGGAAGAAAGTCAGATTGACGCGACGCGTCGCTGATCGATGATCTCTCCTGTGCAGCTGGACAGCTATGACCGAAAACCACATGCTTAACTCAGCCCAAATACTATGTCCATGTGCCTGGCCTGACGTCGTGCCCCTCATCACACCCCTCCACTCCTTAGTACAGCTGCATCTGCAACCTGCCAGCAAGCGGAAATGTGATTTACGGCATGTCGCTCCACATTCCTCCATCTAGGTTTGAGCTTCATCATGCATCGCATCCGCCTCCACGCTGTTACAGCTCGTTGTTTTGCGCTCACACGTCCGTCTTCCTCTCCGTTCCTCTTGCAATGTGCTCTTGGGATGACCCGCCTCTTCTCCATACGCAAATCTCCAGGACGATAGATGATGTGCCATCGACCATCAGTGCACCAGATCTGGATCCGCGTGATGCTCGTTCGCCCGCGCGCTTGCCCGTCGAGAAGTGAAACACAGCTGTGTGTGCCTTTGGAGAAGGGGGTGCCTTTGTCTGTAAGCGACGTGGAGCAAGCGACATCCTTCAGCGATTGATCTACACTTCTCTCATCTATCTCTCTCGCCACTTCTCATCTCACAATCATCGGCTCAGTTGCAGCTCACGAAAACTCTATTCCACTGAAAGGGGGAAACCGAAAATCGCGCTCGATTACCAGAGGATCAATCCCGCTCGAACCTCACTTTGCTTGACGACCAGTCGCGTGGCGGACAGCTTGTAAATCTTCGACGAGCTCGTCGACAGGCACAGCGGGGACAGTGATCGCAGGCGCAGGCCACGAGAGGCAGGCATCTCCCGAGGACTTGTTATTCTGTATCTCCACAGGACACACAGGTGGACAGGATGAACATCACTGTATGCTCGTCCCGCCCGACATCAAGGTTCCGAAAGCTGATAGCTTGTAGATAGATGACTTCAGTCCTCGACTGCAGTTCTTCTCGACCGCGCCAAATGGGAATCGGACATGGGTGCGCAGCGAGAGTAAGCCCATCCAGCACCTGTCCGCCGTACCAAGTTGACTGACCGCTCAGCTGCCGACCCAGCAGTGGCTTACTGCTACCGGAACAGCTTTACCGCTACTGTCGGAGAGGTACGTTATGCTGGATATGGCTGGGGATGGATGAGGCGTCGGAGCTGGAGGAGGCTGACGTACAGGGCGATCGAATGGTGTTCACCTTCAATGGATCGGCGGTATGGGTCTACGGTACGAACTGGTTCAATCATGGTGCTTTCTCAGGTACGCTCCCTTTCGGTGTACTCTCCCAGGTCTCTTCGCTGATGACTCAGCTCGGATCGATAATAAGGACCCGGTCGTCAAGACGGGCACATCGGATGATCGGATCTTCCAGAAGATCTTGCATTACGAGGGCGATTTGGATGTGAACAAGGAGCATACCCTCGTGAGTCCTCCCGCATCACACTGTGATCTGCTTGTCAGAGCTGACTTGTCGCAGACGCTGACAAATCTACCGAGCGCATCGCAAGGCAAGACCGGTACCGACTTCTACCTCGACATTGACTATATCGTCGTTCAGCAGCCCATGTGAGTTGTGCGGGCTCTTGATCTGCGCTTTAGGTCCTGTGCTGACAGCGTACAGTGCCAAGAGAATCTATACTACCGAGCTCGACGACTTCTCGCCCCTCATCCAGTACTCGGGCCCACCTGCTTGGGACGCCCGCTTCCCGACTGCGCCGGTACATCACAATCTCACGCTACATGCGACGAGTACAGCTGGGAGTACGGCGACTCTGCAGTCAGTCCATCTATGTCTGATATGATGATGCTAAGGGAGCGAGCTGACAGTCCAGATTCAATGGGTCTTCGGTAGAGGTGTTTGGCAGTTTGAACGCGGACAATGGCAATTACTCGGCGATTATCGATGGGGTCAGGAAGGGGACGTTCAACGGGACGTGGTCTGAGCTTCTGCCGGATACATCCTGTACGTAGCTCCTCCCTTTGGCCGAAGCGGCTGTGAAGCTAACGCTATGCAGTGTTCGGTGTCTCCGGTCTATCAGATGGTCCGCACACCCTCGTGTTGACCAACATCCCCTCTGGCGCTTCCGCTGGCCGTCGGAACTTCAACATCGACCGCATCGTCTTCAACTCCACTGTCGACCCCTCCGGCCGAGGTGGCTCGGCGCCACCATCCTCCTCATCCGGCGGACAAGACGATTCCAAATCCACCACGCCCATAGCCGCCATAGCTGGCGGCGTCGCCGGCGGTGTCGTGGCGCTCGCGATCATTGGCGGTCTCGTCTGGTGGTTCCTTCGTCGGAAGCGGAATATGCGGGAAGGCGGTCTGGGCAAGGCGGCGCAGATCGACCTGACGGGGGATGAGGTCAAACCTTTCCGGAACGAGGGAGGGGTATCGCCCCTGGAAGGCGTCTACAGCGATGAGCAGTCGAGTTACATTCTGGTCCCCGCAGCAACGGCGTCACGTGACTCTATGGGTGGACTGGACAATCGGAATCTACCTCGGCTCAACATCCCCGCTCCTCCCGGATCAGACGCGACGTCCTACCCTCCCTCAACAGTCGGCAGGTCAGCCGGTCCAGCCACCGAGACGCCAATCCGGCCAGGGTTCTATCCCGAGCAGAATCCCTTCGCCAGCGGCGCCAGCACCACCTCCCTGCCCTACGTCACCACATCCACTCTCGGCTCCACCTTTAGTCCCACCCGTTCCGACAACCTCTCTCCCTCCGACAGCCGTTCAGTCTATAACCCCAATCTACCGCCAATCAGCTCGCGTACGCTTAGCGATATCAGCGCTGTCGGCATCCCGCATGCTGATGGTCTTCCGTCCGCAGTTCAACGCACGAGCCCCACCAACACCTCCAGCGCATCGAGCACGGCTTATCCTCGGGACTTCAAGTCACCCGAGGCGGCTTCGCTGGTCGAAACTCTTAGACAAGGCGTCATCGGCGAGACGCGGGAAGGTGTCGCAGGGGATATGGCGGGAAGCCCAGGCAGAGGTAGAAGAGAAGCTGAGGCGGACTTGCTCACCTCGTCTTGGAGGTATGATCAATTGCCGCCGCCGTATAATAGTGCTCGACCGGAGAGTCAGTCTTAGTGCAGTTCTTTCATTCATGTTTAGCAAGGGATGAGTGTCGGCTGGGACATGTACGAGTAGATAGTAGACGGTCAGGTATTCTAGATCAGCGACAAGTCATCTTTTCGGGTCCGGCAGACTGCTCGTAGTCACCGTCAATCATATCTGCGCGATTTTGCACCCCCTCAGCCTCGCAAGCAGTACTGTACCACTTTGGTTGCACCTGCTCGTAATTAGCAAGCTCTTCCTCCCCTGCTCATCGCTGCGTATCTGTTTGAGCGGCTGCCTCTCGCCGTCTTATCGTTGAGATCTCTGTCCGCGCTTGGGGGATACCCGAAATTGCCGAACCGGAAGCCTCGTTCGACTCAAAAAGTGGGAAAAAAGCTGTCCGCTCCCATCTTTCTCTTTGCCATCTCCTCTGCATCTTGATTCCCTATCTTGGATTCCATCTGAGTCTCCTCCCATCTCCACATTGCCCTTCGTCCGCGCAAGTCAAGATGCCCAAGATGTCAGACGTGAGTGATCAGTTCCCAAGATTGCCTTCGGAGGCTCCGTCTCAACAGGGTCCAAGCTCACCTCGCAGCCCATGGCAGGCTTGGTATTCCCTGTTGGCAGAGAGCGCCTCGTCCCGTTTGACGCGGACGACCACGAGAAACATGAGGCGGTCAAGCGAGCACAGATGGGTCAAGGTATCACCCACGGAGACCACGGTGAGCTGTCATCAAGTGCCGGTCGGAGATTTGCGCTGATTGGCAGAACCTATCATGAGCTTGTCCGTCGATAGTCAGGCACTCGTAAGTAACATCTCCTCAGTGACACCCGATTCTGCTTTCCAGGCTAGCTCGAGGCTGATAGCGGACAGCCCCGGGTCTCAGAGCGCGTATGCGCAGAGCTCCAGGCATCCTCTGACCATGGGTCGTGCGACAAGGTCGAGCTGCAGCCTAGCTGTGAGTAATCTCCCCTCCGAGAATCACGCTCGAGCTGCACGGCGCTGACTCATCAGCCGTTTTTGACATCAAGGAGATCGCACTGCCTGCAGCCGAGCATACCTACTTCTCCGATGCACACCAGGAGATGATCAGCGGCCCAATGAGTGAGTACCACCTTTCTGGATCCCTGGTCGGCTGCTGTGACCTGTGGCTGACTCAGCTGACCTTACAGCATTCGCTTCGCCTGATCTGGAAGACGGCCGCTACACTCTGGCCGATACAGCCCTTCCTCAAACCGGAGCGAACGGCGCGACCGCACTCGGCATCTACAGCATCGCCGTCGGGTCCAGCTTCCCTCCGTCCGGCTTAGCGCTCGCTCCGCGCGACGGGAGGAGAGACCGGCACTTGGATAGCCGCTTGGCATGACAGCCACGCCATAGTCGGGACCTTGGATGGGAGCCTCCAAATCGCGGTGGTCGTTGTTGGCGCAATTTTCGCTTATAGACGTTCGGAGGCGGTGAGAGAATTCGTGGGAGAGTTGATGGAGGGGCTGAGAGCTTTGCGACGGGGACTGAGGAATTTGCGGGGGTTGGTTTTACGCGGTCTCGCTGCCACAGGTGGAGCGATCGCCCCTCGGTTCGGCCTAGAGATGCGGTTGCGGGCAACGGCCCCTGCCGACGCTGCCTTTTCGTCGACGGCGCAGCCCACCCACGCGGGTGCGAACCCAGGTTCCGGTACCCAAGCTCACGGAGCCGTGCCCGTCGTCCCTGTCGTGCCCGTCGTCCCTGTCGTCCCTGTCGGTCCTGTCGGTCCTGTCGGTCCTGTCGGTCCTGTCGTCCCGGTCGTCCCCGTCGCTCCCGGCGTCTCACTCATCGAAACGGCGCCGGTATTCTCCCTCAACACTACTCCGGATGGATCGACCGCTTTTGACTTGGACCGCTCCGAGGACCCGAAGGGTGCCGCCCTCGCCCCCTGCCCGTCCTCTCCATCCCCAAGCCGACTCGTCCCTGGCGCAAGCGCAGTCAAAACCCCTTCTACTCATCTTCCCGCTTCGAGCGGACTGGCAGTGGGGCAGGCACCGGCCCCTGCCAACGCTACCCTTCCATCGGCGGCGCAGCCCACCCACACAGGTGCCGACCCAGGCCCACTCTCCGACCCGGCCACGGTATCCTCCCTCAACACTCCTCCGGATGGATCGATCGCTTCTGACTCGGACAGCTCCGAGGACCCGGAGGGTGCCGCCCCCTGCCCTTCCTCTCCAATCCCAAGCCAACTCGTCCCCAGCGCGAGCGCGGTCAAAACCCCTTCTACCCATCTTCCCGCGTCGAGCGGACTGGGAGTCTCCCTTGAGATGTCCACTCCGCCCTCTGCGGGCAACGCGGACCGAGCTCGGTCCACAGCGGCGTACAAGGCGGGCGAGGCGGACGAGGCGGACGAGACGGACGAGGGCGAGGGCGAGGCGGAAATCGGGCAGGAGAATTGAGATGCGGACTCGTCGAGCTCTGCACGGGGTGTAGGAGGGCGGGACTGGCTTGGAGGCGAGAGCGACGAAGGGACAGGAGCGGGCGATGGGATGGATTGAGAGTGTGAATAGTGTCTGCTGTGGGGACCAATTTCTGTGGGGACAATTTCTTTAGTTCTTTATCATACTCGTACAGGCCATCAGCTTTCTTGCAAATATTTCAGGATCATGTCGAGGAGATCAAGTCCACTGCTGAGGATCAACGGGATCAGCGCATTGCTATGCTTCGCTAGACAAGGTCAGCCCTTGTTATGACGCAGAATTGGAGTATAAGTAGATCAAAGACTGTTTACTACTGCTGCCAATGCAGAGAAACACCAGCTTGACCCTGCTGGACCCCCATTCGCCCGGTCATCGGATATAGTAAGCGGGAGTCCACGTGGTCTACCCCACTCTCCCCCACTGCGGGGTAATGGAAAAAAAGTCAAAGTTAATCACGCCATTCTTCGCCTTCTTGAGTGCCGAACAGCTTGATCAGCGCAGCTTTGCTTCACACCGAGATGATGACGAGCTCTCTCGGGTGTCTCGGCGACGGAGCCCAGCGGATTCCAGATAGCACATCATGCAGCTTAGCTTCACCGTTAAAAGCTGAGAGAGGATCACGAGGGTCTTGCCATCTCTACTTTACTCACTCCAGCTGATTGAAGCCACATCGCTCCCATTACATCACACCTCGACCCTCTTCTACACACATCAACAATGTCCAACGCACCCCACGGCGGCCAGCTCAAGGATCTTCTCGTGCGAGATGCCCACCTGCATGACCAGCTCAACGAGGAGGCCAGGTCGCTCAAGGACATCTTCTTGACCGAGGTGAGCTGCCTCTCCAGGCTCCAGTCTACACCCGAACTCGGGCTGACATACTCAGCGTCAACTCTGCGATCTTGAGCTCATCATGAACGGTGGTTTCTCCCCTCTTGAGGGATTCATGAACGAGGCCGACTACCTTTCGTACGTTCTGTCGGCGGAGGAGAAGTGTTCTGGAGGAAAAGCTGACAATGCAGGGTCCGTGACACTCTCCGTCTCGCCAAAGTCGACGGCCAGCGCCAAGGCACCCTCTTCCCCATGCCCATTACCCTCGACGTCTCCCAGTCCTCCATCGACGCCCTCTCTATCGCCCCCGGCGCCCGCATCGCCCTCCGTGATCCGCGTGACGAGTCGGCTCTCGCCATCCTTACCGTCTCTGACATCTACTCGCCCGATAAGGCTGCCGAGGCTGAGGCCGTCATGGGCGCGGACGACCCCGCTCACCCCGCCGTCACCTACCTCCGGAACTCGACACACGAATTCTACGTTGGCGGTTCCGTCCAAGCCATCAAGGCGCCTACGCACTACGACTACGTCGCTCTCCGCTACACGCCCGCCGAGCTCCGCGCGCACTTCCAGAAGGTCGCATGGAGGAAGGTTGTCGCGTTCCAGACCAGGAACCCGATGCACCGGGCGCACCGCGAGTTGACGGTTCGCGCGGCGAGGCAGAGGAGGGCGAATGTCCTCATTCACCCGGTAGTGGGTTTGACGAAGCCGGGAGATGTCGACCACTACACTAGGGTCAGGGCGTATCAGGCGTTGATGCCGGGCTACCCAGAGGGGATGGCGCATCTCGCGCTCTTGCCCCTCGCTATGAGGATGGCGGGGCCAAGGGAGGCGCTCTGGCACGCGATTATCCGCAAGAACTTCGGCGCGACCCACTTTGTGAGTACAGCATACTTTTCCTGTTGGTGAAGCTGACAGCCAGATTGTCGGTCGTGACCACGCCGGACCCGGGAAGAACTCGCAGGGCAAGGACTTCTACGGCCCTTACGACGCGCAGGAGCTCGTCGCTCAGTACAAGGACGAGCTGCATATCGAGATGGTCCCCTTCCAGGCCATGACCTACCTCCCGGGCACGGACGAGTATCAGCCGGTGGACGAGGTGGCCAAGGGGACACCTACGGCGGACATTAGCGGGACTGAGCTCCGCAAGCGGCTCAGGACTGGTGCTGTGAGTCTGTCGAGGTTGAGAATCGGATTGCAGTGCTGACGACCAGGCCATCCCCGACTGGTTCTCCTACACTGGCGTCGTCAAGGTCCTGCGCGAATCCTACCCTCCTCGTCCCAAGCAGGGCTTCACCATCCTCCTTACCGGCCTCCACAACTCTGGTAAAGACACCATCGCCCGCGCTCTCCAGGTCACTCTGCAGCAACAAGGCCAGCGGTCCGTCTCCCTCCTCCTCGGCGAAGAGCTCAGGCACGACCTCTCTACCGAGATCGAGGTCCACCCCACTCCCGAAGAGAAGCACGTCAATCTCCTCCGGATCGGGTTTGTCGCTTCGGAACTCACCAAGGCCGGCGCTGCCGTCATTGCCGCCCCGACCGCGCCGTACACCCGCTCTCGCAAGGCCATGCGCGAGCAGATTGCGGGCCAGGGAGGCAACTTCTTCTTGGTGCACGTGGCGACGCCGCTCGAGTGGTGTGAGAAGGTCGACAGGCGCGGGCTGTACAAGCGCGCGAGGAACGGCGAGATTAAGGGCTTGACGGGTGTGGATGAGAAGTACGAGGAGCCCACGGACGCGGATCTGGTTTGTGATCTCAGGGAGGATACTGTACCGGAGATCGTCCACTGTAAGTCTATCTTGTATCATCGTTGGGACAGGGCTGACGATCAGCTATCATCATGATTCTCGAGGCGCAGAGCTTGCTGTAAGCGGGGTGTCTGTGGACGGCGTGCGATGAGTGATTTGTAGACCCTCTAGATTCCCCTTGCTATATGCACTTTGCCTAGTCTTCGGATTCTTTCTCTTCCAGGCAATCTCAGCTCTTATCACTGTCACTAACCATGTACAGTACAGTTGTACAGCTGCTTCATCCCCTCTTGTATCGAACTATGTAGCAGGTGCCACTTCCGCTTTGATCGGCTCCGCCTGAATTTGCCACCCAACTCTCTCCGTGCGTCAGATCCACAACGACCGGCCTCCATCTTTTGCCTTCACCCCTTCACTCACATCCTCCATAGCTTCACCTTCCCAATCACTTCGTCTTCCGCCTAGCAAATTTGCTAGCTAGGCATATAAGAGGTCCGCCACTTCCTCATATCACCCTCGCATCGCCCATATCGCAGCTAAAATGCGTTCCGCTACGTTCAAACGAGCGGTCTCGATCCCCCACCTCCCTGCCCCCCGGACACTGAGCACCTCCCTACCCCGCTTCGCTGCTGCTGCTGCTGCTGCCGCTGCTCCCGCCGCCGCCGCTGCGCCAAAAGGGGCCGCAGTCCCCGCCCGGCCGTACACCCGCAAAGTACCCACCGCCGCCCCTTCCCTTCGGCCTGTCCGGGCATCCGCCGCTGCCCCATCTCGGGCCGCAACAACTCGCGCTCCTGCTCCTGCTCCTATGGCCGCCGCACCTGCACCAGTAGTAGACGCATCCTTCGATCTCTTCGATGGGGTAGAAGATGACTATTCTCTTCCGGACGTGTCGGCCGGTATAGATGACTATGCAGCCCTCGCCCCTCCCCCTTCTTCCCCTGCCGTCGTACGCCGTGCCCGTACATCTGCACCAGCACCAGCACCATCAGCGGAACAGCCTACTCCGTCCCCTCCACTCTCCGCCCTCCCCGTCGGTCCCTCCACACTCCCGATCGTAGCATCTCGACAGCCGGACATTATGGGCGAAGCGCCCGCAGGTGGGATCATGGGCGAAGGGGAGCAAGATTGGAGTACGAGCTATGCGGGGCTGGGGCAACGGCCGTTCCCTAAAGAAGTGGGGGACGCGCTGTTGAAGGGGTTGGATCCGAAGGATGTGGAGGTGAAGCCTGGTACGTCTAGATTTGTCGAATGACACCGGGTCTGGGTAGACTTGGGAACTGGACTGGAGAAGGGGATGTGCTGATCCGATAGATGGGCTGCTATACCTTCCTGAGATCAAGTATAGGCGGACATTGAACATGGCGTTTGGGCCAGGCGGATGGGGTTTGGCGCCGAGAGGAGAAACGAATGTCGGTCCGAGGATCGTCAGCAGGGAATGGGGATTGATTGCGCTGGGACGGTAGGTCTTTCTGTCTGCCTCCTGATTTCTGACGTCTGCTTCAGGTAGTCTGACCTGTACGATGATAGTCACGCGTGCGGAGATTAAGCTGATCATCAAGACTCGTCTCTGTTGCCCGAGGCGAACAAGAGTACTTTGATCCTTCAGGCATCCCGACCGCTACCGAGGCGTGCAAGAGTAACGCTCTGATGCGGTGCTGCAAAGACTTGGGGATTGCGAGCGAATTATGGTGAGCTAGCAGCCGCTGTTGGGTGTGGAGGCAGAGCGATAGCTGACAGGACAGGGACCCCAGATTCATTCGCGAGTTCAAGGCCAAGTACTGCGTCGAGGTGTTCACGGAGCATATGGTCAATAGGCGGAAGTGAGTTTTTGGACTGCGAGCGTGGCTTGGCAATAGCTGATGCCTCAAGGAAGAAGATGTGGAGGAAGAAGGACGCAAAGTTCGACTATCCGTACAAGGAGGGATAGGGGGATCTTGATCTTGCACTGGGGCTGGACTTGGGTTAGGGTCACCATCTCGGCGCTTGTATCGACCATAGAATATACAACACACTATCTGCTCAGCCCAATCTATGTACATACAGCCCTTCACGCCCTTCACGCAAGAAACCCTCCTTTGACCTATGTCACCGCCCTCATCTCCTCCTTGACCTTGGCCAATTCCTTCTCCTGCGCAATCAACTTCACCCTCCAATTATCCATCTCCTCCACTATCCGTATCCTCGCCTCGTTCAGCCGATTCCATTCCCCCTTCTCCATCTCCTGCGAGAACTCGAGCGGTACATCCGCCGATCCCGCCTCTCCCGGAATTCCCTCCTTCGCCAGCGCCGCCAAACCCGTCACCGCCTCGCCTGACGTTGAGGCCGCCGTGGGCTCCCGACTGTGACTGGGCGTCGGTCCGAGCGTCCTGCTTCCTCCGTCTACAGCGAGGGGACCGCCATTGACGCTCTTGCGCCCCTTCTTGCCTTTCCGGATATCAAACTCTTCTCGCTGGTCCCGGGCGCGCCGGTTTCGCGGGGGAAGGGCGGACGGGGGATGCTCGTTGAGCAGGGAAAGGAATGCGGCGGAGGGGTCGGAAAAGACGAGTTCGTCGTATTGCCATGAATGGACGGGGTAGCGCGCCGCGATGGAGATAGGGGTGGTAGCGGCGACGACTGTCGCCTGGAGGGGTGTGGAGGGGTCTTCCGTTATGGGTGCGACGGAAGGTGGGGGAACAGAGGGAGAGGGGTCGACGACCATACCGTCCCCGTCCCCGGCGGCAGGAGCGGGGACGGCGCTTTCCGGCTCGTTGATGGTAGGTATTGACGGTACGGAACCCGCCGGGAGTGGTGATGGTGTCGGAGCCGCCGCTTCGGAGGGTCCAGCCTCGCTCGGTTGCGTTTCTGGAGCTGGGGGAGCGACGACGGGCGAAGCTTCGATGGGTGGACCCCAGTGATGTAGCTTGATGGGGTGTGCGAGGTTCATAGGCTTCTCGCCTGATTCGGGGACGAATTGGACCCGGATAGTGACGGTGAATTCACCCCATCCTGTCTCTGTGACCTTGAAGGGCGGCTTGTCGAAGACTGTGTGTCAGCTAGAAGCCTCATGGGTCCGACACGACCTGCTAGCTCACCTCGCGCGGGGTTCGTATACGTTTCATGTAACCTAAACGTGACCTTCTTGATCAAGTAGCTCAAATCATCCGCCCCGCCTGGAAGGTAGTCCATGTCCGTCTCAGGCGGCGCGACATTGGATGAAGGGGGTATCTCTGGCGGTGGGGATGTGGCAGACGTGAGGAAGACGGTCCATCTGTGGGTGTCTGATGGTTAGCTCGAGCTGTAATTGAGGGTGACAAGGGGAACGTACGGCCCGCTGGAGCTAATTCTTTTTCTTGCTCTGTGAGTAGTCGAGCGTGTGAGCCGTATATGATGGGTCTGTATACTTGTAGTCCGCGTATTCTCTCATTAGCAGCCATCGTAGATAGAGGTCAAGTATCAAAGTCACGAAGCTCTGCAGGCTCTGGACCATGGAGTCGCGTCAACATGGAAATGCCACGTCATGTGTGTAATCCGGCTAGCGAGATCCAGATGACGTACCGCACCTTCCCTGCCTGCTTGCCCCTTCCCCGCTGAGCCCCTATCTATAGCTATCGTCTATACATCCCACTCATACAAACATACTGTACACTCGCCCAAGATGTCGCACGCAGGCAACTACATCAAATCAGGCATGGCCTTCCTCAACAAGCTCGAGGAAGGCAAGCCCCATACTTCCGTCACAGACTGGATCGAGGTGCTCTCGGGGGATAGATACGATGAGCTCAGTCTGGATGGCATCCCCGAGCTCGTGGAGAGTGTCAATATCCAGGGAGCTATCGGAACACAGGTCAGCTACCTTCTTAGGACTGACCTAGACCGATATAGAAGGAAAAGTCAGCTGATTACCCCAGGAAGCATCTAGGGCGATCCGCAAGAAGCTCAAGTACGGAAACGTCCACCGTCAGATCCGCGCCCTTGTGCTTCTTCGAGCACTGACCGAGAACGCCTCGAAAGGTTTCCAGCTCAACTGGGCCAACCCGCAGATCGTCGAAAGGCTCAAGGAGATGGCTACTGATGTGAGTCGGGGCTAAGAGAATGACGAGGGTATTGCGCTGACGTGCAGACCCTGCTCGACCCGAAAGTCAAGAAGAGGCTTATGCTCGTCTTTCACGCTTGGTCTATCCAGTATGCGGTGTGTCAACTGTTCTGGAAGGGCAGATTGGCATGAGCTGATCATCAGGGCGAGAGTCGGATGGCGCATATCCAGCGGATGTATGGCCAGTACAGCGGTCAGCCTGTCCGAAGGGTAAGCTCGCCGTGACCCAAGTGGATGATCCTAGCTGACTCAGTAGGGCTCAGTGGCACCCGTCTCCAACACCTCTTCCGGATACGCCTCCACTCCCGCCTCGCCCACCTCGGCCGCCCCTCGCTCCCGGCACGCCTTTGGCGACATTGACGATATCTACGGCCACAAGTGGGAGCCATCCGCTGGCGCCCGCGCGGGCGGAAACAACTACTCGGACCTCGCAGCCGCCAAGGCGGACGCTGAGGCGCGTCGGGCAGCCCGAGACCGCCAGATTCTCATTGAGCAGCGGGAGGCTGAGCTCGAGCGCCGCGAGCGCGAGATGAAGCGCAAGGCCGACATGGCTGCTTTGGAGATGCGGCGGCAGAAGGACGCGGCGGAAGAGGCGGAGCGAAGGCGGGTCATGAAGGAGAACCAGAAGAAGGGGGGTCCGGCGGCCAAGCCGAAGCCGAAGCCCAAGTTCGACCTGCAAAAGGAGAAGCCGAACATCATGGTCAGCGTGGCGACGGCGCTGCAGGCCGCTAATAACTTGGTCAACTCGATGAGGGTGAGCTACTACAATCACGTATAACAGATGATTACAAGCTGATCCCGTAGCACCTGAATCGAGAGCACGAGAACTTGGTCGAGAGCCCTCGAGTCCAGGACAATCTCGACAAGGCAAAGGCTGCCCGCCGTACTGTCATCCGATATGTCCAGGTTGTGAACGACGAGGAGCTCGTCGGTACGCTGCTTGAGGCGAACGAGCGGGTCGTCGAGGCTATCCAGATGTACGACAAGGTATGTTCGCACTTCCCCCTTGCACTAAGGCTGCGCTGATCGTCAGCTCTCCAAGCCCGCCGCGCTCGACTCTGACTCGGAGAACGAAAGCGACGGCAAGAAGGCCAACGCCGAGAAGGAGATGGACGCCCTCACCCGCCGTATGGAGGCACAGCGGCTCGAAGCTCTGCGTGGAAACGAGATGCAAAAGATGCAAGAGAGGCAGAAGCGCGAGTCGGCGCGCGAGCAGCAGAGGCGCGAGAAGGGCAAGCCGACCCGGTATGAGCAGGCGTACGGGAGTGGGGGTGGGTCGGGGTACGGCAAGGATCTGGCCGATCTGGACTTTGGGTCGGGAGGCGGGAGTGGCGGTGGAGGTGGAGGTGGCAAGGGGCTGCCGAGGCCGCTCAGCCCCGATTCGGACAGGGGGAGTTATGGTGGCGGGTGAGTTGACCAAGCCAACTGGTGATCGGGAGCGCAGCTGATCCAAGCAGGAACCTCTCGGACTTCTCAGACAGCAATGTTGACTATGACTCCTCGGACGAGGAATACCGCCGGTCCACCCAGTCCAGGCGCCAGTCGCATGTCCCCTCGAGCAGCCGCTCGCAGTCTCGCCGACAGAGCATGTCTCAGCCGCAGCAGCAGCCGCAGAGGCGTGCGGCGCCTGCTCAGCCGCAGCAGTACAAGAGTTTGTTGGATGACGATCCGTTTGCGGACGACGGGGAGACGCCGGTGCAGGAGAACAAGAGGATGCAGTGTGAGTTGAACCTTGCGGATGAGAATCACGAGTTCGGGTGGTAGCTGACCAGATAGGGGCGGAGATCTAGTATGTCTGGCTGGAGAAACGAGGTTAGTGAGGGCATACGGTGTGGTCCTGGGTTGTTTTGGTACTCTGGGCGATGACGGGAACGGACGGCTGGGCCAGGGCAGGAAGGAGGGAGGGCAAAGAGCGAGAAGAAGCTATTGTACACGAGCCAAGACGAATGGTGTCGACTTGGATGATGGGTAATCAGTAACCAGCGGTAATGAAAATGTTGGCCATGCAGCGCTCTTGATCCCTAGGCGCGTCACAAGAGTCACTTCGATCGGTGGAAGAACGACCAAAGTTGAGGCCTGGAATCCGCCTTTACTACTTGATCCGCTTGATTGTATGAGTGAGAAGGCGGACTCATAGAAAGCCTTCCCTATAGGTCGCCATCACGGACGGCTGGACGATTGTGCCAACTTTGTGCACTACATGCACTGACAGCATACAAGTAGATCGAGACACTATGCAGAGTGACAATTGCAGTGAGTTCACTCGGAGGATCAACCTTGCCGAATGCTAGCGGGTGCTTGCCAAATAGTAGGACCATTCATTGTACTAGCTCAGATGTCGACATTACCATCATGTCCTCTACACAATACCATTTCCTCTCATCACCAAGCTATCCTCGCGAGCAACCCCTTCGGGTTCGACCTGATGCGGTACTTGCGCGCCTCATCCAGGAAGATCATAACGACAGCGAACGCCAAAGGGAGGAAGATGAACTCGACCGGTACGCCCTGTGCTCGTCAGCCAATTCCCACGTCCAGCTTCGCCCCCCCAGCCTCCATCTCCGCGCAGGTGAAACACTCACTCTCGTTTGAAAGGCTCGCTGCAAGAATGGGACATAGGAGAAGAGGAACAAGAATCCAACGCTCGCAAGCATGTCCAGATATTACTCCGCTCGGCCGATCGAAAGTCGAACGGGTTGGTCTGAAATATGAAATGGCGTCGGGTCCGGGTCGAAAGCAGATTGCCCCACTGCATCAAGACGAGGGTGAAGAAGTAGGTGGACTGGGCGACGCGGACGGCTTCGGCGTATGCGTCGAGATTGTACGATTCGGGCAAGTCGCCATATGAGAGTACACCGAGACTTCAGCTAGATCCCTCAAGACAGAAACACAGAAAGAGTGGGGAAGAGCTTACATGTCTCGGAATAAGAAGCCCTCGCGATTGAGATACCAGAACGCCATGGATGCTGCGCACAGACTCTCCAGCAGCCCCAAGAAGACGTACGCGTGTAGGAGCAGCTTCCAGTCTACCAGCCGGTCCGTCTTGGTATTCCTAGGCTTGCGGAGCAGCAGTCCCGCCTCGGCCTTCTCGAAACACATCGAGATGGCAGGGAGGACATCGGTGACGACGCAGATGAGAATCATTTGGATTGACGAGAGTGCTTGCGGAACCCCCAGGATGACGCTCAGTAGGATCGGGATGAGTTCCGAGAAGCATCCAGCGGAGAGTAGGTACAGGACGGTCTTTTTGAGATTGTCGAAGGTCAAGCGGCCGTATTCGACCGCGACGACTATAGAAGAGAAGCTGCACGTCAGCTACCAGCATAGGGGCAGAGATAGAACAGTCGGCAGAGTAAGACAACTCACGGATCGAGCAAGACAAGATCCGCAGCTTCCATCGCCACATCGCTCCCGCCACCCATCGCAATACCGACATTCGCCGCCTTGAGACTCGGTGCATCGTTCACCCCATCTCCAGTCATCCCTACAATCGCGCCCCGCCTCTGGAATTCCTTGACGATTCGCAGCTTCTGCTCTGGCATCGTCCGCGCAAAGACAATCTCTACGTATTGACACGCCTGCTCCCACTGAGCCTCATTCATCTGCTGGAGATCCGGGCCCGACAGCACGAGAGACGTGATAGGCACCTCGTTCTCCGCGTAGACGTCGTACTTCTCCACAGATCCCATCTGAGCATTCCGATCCAGGTCGCCGAGCCGATGTACGCGTGAAGCATCCGATATGACGCCGCATTGCTCCGCGATAGCCAAGGCGGTGGTAGCAAAGTCGCCGGTGACCATGAAGAAGCGGATACCGGCGCCGCGCATGATCCGGACCGTCTCCGGGATATCATCTCGGGGAGGATCGTAGAAACTGACCATTCCGACGACAGTAAGGTTCTGATGAAGGTGCTGGTCGACTAGGTCGAGAAAGGCGGGATCATCAAAGATGACGCCGGCGGGAATCATGCCGGGCGTAAGAACACGCTTGGCGAGGAGGAGGACGCGCTGACCCTTCCGTGCCCAGGAGTCCTGTACGCGAGACAGCTCGTTGAGGATGTCGGGTGTGAGGGGGAGGGGAGGACCGCCTTTGGGGTCATTGACATATGAGCAGCGCGGGAGGAGGACGTCTGGCGCGCCTATGCAGAGGAGGAGGAGCGAGGCGGCGGTGAAATCATCGAAGGGCGAGATAGGGACAGGAAGGGCGTCAGCCAGAGCAGGTCGGAGGATCTGACAATCAGCCTGATTCTGGACGTGAAAGCTGTAACTGTCACTTACTTTGAGCATGAACTTGGTCTTTGAGTTGAAATCGATATTGAAGACTTCGCTCCACTCGGCCTGGCAGTCGCGAAGAGGATGTAGCGACTCGGCCCAGCGCAGGATGGCAGAATCTATATATCAGCTCAATCCCACTTCGAAGCGGCAAGGATAACTCACCAGTAGCATCGCCGTCAATGAGCCTCGACTCGATAGGCTGGTCTGACGTGCTGTCGTCAAAAACCGCAGCGTTACATATCCCCGCCACCGCAGCGAGCTCCTTGCATCCCTGTCCCTCATTTCCTCCGCGACCAATCCTGTCCCCAGCTTCCTGCGGCGACATCTCTTCGTTCAGGATCGCCGCGCTAGCGACCGTCATCTGATTCTTGGTGAGGGTCCCCGTCTTGTCCGCGCAGAGGATATCGGCCGCGCCGAGCGTCTCGACGGTCATGAGGGTTTTGCAGAGAATCTTGTTCTTTGCCAAGCGGCTGGCGACGACCGATAGCGAGATAGTGACGGCTGATGGCATTCCCTCGGGTATAAACGCCACGCAAACGGCGACCAGATTGGTCACGGCGCCTGAGGAGGTGATGAAGCCGTAGTGTTGTTTGTTCAGCCATGCGGCCCAAAGGACAGTGACGATGAGACCGAAGGAGAGAGCAAAGACAACGACGATGCGGACAAATCGGGCGATCTCTGCCTGGAGAGTGGTGCGGACGGGGGCACCGGTAGATGACAGCTTGGCGATTCGGCCAAAGATGGTATGACGTCCGGTCTGGATCACCACACCTGCTTATCAGCTCGCCCTTGTCGTCGCAAAAGTAAGACACACCTCTTCCGGAGCCGCCGACGCAGAGAGTGCCCTGAAGACCGATGTTTTTGGTCTCGAGCATGTTTGCGTCGGTGGAATTGAGAGTACCCGCGACCGGCTCCGACTCGCCAGTGAGGACCGACCGGTCGAGCTTGAGATCAGAGGAGGTAGCGATGAAGCGGAGATCGGCCGGGAGTTTGTTACCGAGGGAAATGCAGACCTAGGTGTCAGCGACGTCCTGTTTGAGGGAAAGGAACACCTACAATATCGCCAGTGACCAGATCTCGAGCAGCGAGACGCATCTCATTCCCATCTCGAATGACAAGGACTTCGGAAGGGAGCATACCGGTGATGGACGCCATGACTCGACTGGTCGACCAATCTTGCCAAGCATTCTGGCCGTCAGCGCTTCTAGCCCGTGAATGCGATAGGGGAAGATTCACAAAGCCAGCTTGAACGCAGACAACGATAATGAGTACGACAGCCAGCGCGAGATTGTCCAAGGGCGGATCAGGCTCGCCGAGGGGTCTCCTATACAGTCAGCTTGGTAAGGACCGCAAAGCGGGAACGACCTCACCAGGCAATGAAGCATAGGATGCAAGCGGTGATGAGTATACTACCAAAGCCGCCGGCGAAGTAGAAGAAGATCCTAGGGGATAAGCTTACGAACGATGCACACGAATCTTGACAAGAGGGACTCACTTCAGGAAGACATTGGATTTGTGTGGCTTGATCTCGTTAGGCCCATCCGCTGCTAATCTCCGCTTTGCCTGCCCGGTGTCCAGTCCATCTGTCGCGCTGGTACTTAGGCGCTGCAAGACCTCACTCTGCGAGAGCGTATGCCAGTCGAGATCCGCTAGCTCCTTGATGTGGCTGCTGCCCTTCACGGCGTGTACAGGAGACTCTGGACGATGAACCAAGTCTGCGACGTGTGCGTGGATAGTCCTTACGTGTCAGCTTACCGCGCAGAAGGAATGAGACTGAGGAGAAATGGCTTACCTGAAGTCGCCGATGATCTTGGGACCGAGATTGGCGCGCCGCGGTCCCGCGCTGAAAACTAGGGAGTGCTGACGCCTGAGCTCCAACTCCCGCGCAGGTGATAGACTGCGGCGACTGAAGGGCTTGTCGGCGGGCCCGGACGAGAGGGAGAGCTGTCGCGCTGGGAGACGTGGTCTGGAGCGGTTCTCCTCGGGATCGGGCTGGGTGTCAGATCGGTGGACTGGAGACATAGCGAGAGCCTGCGGACGCGCTGGGATCAGTTAGTAGGCGATGATGAGCCGGCCTGTCTAGGTAAGACTGAGGAAAGCTAGGATGGATGGTCTGAGCAGTGAATTGCTTATCGTCAGCCACTTGATACAGCGACAGGATAATCAGCGCTGTCAGCATTTGTCCTGCAGATCTCGAGCAATCCAGCGAGTCCGCATGTCGACACGAGGCAGTCGAAGCCTCCACGCACGGAGACCGTTGGGGATAAGATTACGATCAAGCTCAGAACATGCAGGAGGATACTGTAGTGTTGAGCAGATGCAGCTCCACTGAGCTAAAGACCGCCTAAAGTCGCACCAGGAGCACCGGAAACAAGAGCTTTTATTAATTACATTCCGGATCCGACATGATTCGCCGGATTTTGGACTTTGCACCACATTCCTCGAGCCGTCTTCATGTCGCACGTTGCCCCATGTCTGATGCCCATCTACACCCGACTCGTAGCTAGCCCCACGCATCGGATAGGGGGCGAAGGCGCGTCAGCCATGTCCCCAACCAGAAAGCCTCGAATCGGTCGAGGTCTCAACCTCAGTCGCAGCCGCCTTCGTCGCTGGCTCATCCTCGTCCCCGGCGGAACCCTACTCTTCCTCCTCCTTCTCGCCTTCCTCCACCCATACGCCTTCCGTACCACCCTCTCCTACGCCACCCGTCCACTCTGGGATACCCTCATCTACCCTTCCGCACCCATCATCAACCTCGCGTCCGCCGAGCTCTTCTCCTCCCAATCCCCCGACTATATCTGCCGGATCCATCATTCCACTCCTCGGACCAAACCCGTACAGCTCTGGGACGCCATCATCTTCTCGCATGAGCTGGACATGCTCGAGATCCACTTGGCGGAGCTGTACGACGTCGTCGACCAATACATCATCCTCGAAAGCACCGTCACATACTCTGGCCAGCCCAAGTCGCTGCACTACAAGGAGAACGCACAGCGGTACGCGCGCTTCAGTGACAAGATCCACTATGCGACGTTCGAGGGGTCCGATACGGCGGGCTTCTCGTTCCGTCCTGGTGATTTTGCCATTGAGACGCAGCAACGGGGATACATGACGGACATCATCAACGACCTTTACCGTACCTCCGGCGCCAAGCCCGAAGAGGTCCTCGTCCTCGTCGCGGACGTGGACGAGATCCCATACGACCATACCCTCCGTCTCGTCAAAAGCTGCTCCCTCCCTCCTGTCCTCCACCTGCAACTCATCCCCTACGTCTACTCCTTCGAATGGATATCCGGCGACCTCGACTCATGGCATATCCAGATCCACACCTGGAACCCCAAGTCGTCATACTACAAGCACTCGTCCAAGTCTACCGAAGACTACATTACTTCCGCCGGCGTACACTGCTCCTTCTGCTTCGCCAGGATCAGCGAGTTTCAGTGGAAGATGAAGGCGTATAGCCATAATGATCGGCTGGGGGATCATCCAAAGGCGCTGCTTAGGCCAGAGAGATTGCAAAAGGCGGTATGCGAGGGAGATAATATATTTGGGATGTTGCCAGAGGCGTATACATGGTGGGACCTGGTGACGAGGTGGAAGGGGCATCAGGCGAGAAGGCAGACCGCTGTGAGTACCACTGTTAGGAAGAGTGAAGGTTGAGCTGACGGTGGTAGATGGAAGCGCCGAGATTGGTCAAAGCTCAGCCGGAACGCTTCGCCTACCTCCTACCTGGAGGATGCGAGAGACCGATCGAGTAGACGGCGAGGTGATTAGCGACCCCTGCACCGCACGGAGGACAATGACGCCGCGCGCTGCCCCGACGCAACGTTTCCCACGCGGCGTATCATCCCCCTGCTCGCGACCCATCACAGCATTACTATCGTACAACTCGCGACCTTGTCTCGGCGTGGGAGGAGAAGGTCAATGGTGGCAAGTACTCGCGGATTGGGGCAGCCGGCGAAGGCAATGGAGTCGACCTCGCTAGCGACATGATATAAGGGGAGACCACAGTACTCTGACCATAGCTACGGGCAGATTATGACGATGGTGGTTTGAGGTCGAGACCGAGTACCGGACTGCAGCTCGTACGTGTAAAGACAGTACTGCCGTGACCGGCCGTGACGGAGGCCTGAGCGATGCTGTGGCGGAAAAAGGCGTGCCGTGATGAGGAATGTGGGCGTTTGGGCCGTTTGAGAAGCTCTGAGACTGAATCGACTAGGATTTCTTGGGATACACATATATCAGTAACGCTGAGAATAGTGGCGGACACTTCAGCGAGAGATGGCGGAGCTCATAAGTCTCGATACACGCCAAAGCTAGACGACCTGAATGGTGGCTACTCGGGAAAGACCGCTCGGCCAGGCTCGGCCCCCGCGCCGGACGTCCACATGCTGCCAATTACCTCATGCCTCTGATCTCGCACGTGCATGCCGCTAGTGGCGCGCACATGCCGCTCACGTGCCGCTCAGATCCAGATCCAGATCCAGCAGTGAACGTATGAATAGATTACCGCTCACAGCGCTGACACAGTCTGCTATGCCGCATGCTCACCGACTTGCCTCGGCTTCGCGCTTAGGCCGGCGCTCCGCCGCTCTCCTCCGTCAGCGCTTCAGCGTCGCAGCGGAGGCGTCGTGCAAAGCAGGTTCACTCTCTTTGCGTGTCAATTGCTGTGACTGCGTCGGCTAAACGACTTTCGCCGCCCGCGCCTTGCGCTTTGCTCAAGAAAACACATCCCTTCGACCTGCGGCTTGCCATGCTGGGCGGTATCAGAGCAAGAGAGCCCTCACTTCCAGAGCCCACACCGGATCCAGAGGCGAAGCCAAGCGACGAGCCAGTCGAATCGCCCCCACAGCTGGTGCCCATGATAAGCGAAGGAGCCGCACCCATTGCGACATTCGGGATTGTGGATGGAGCAACGCTCGGTCCTCTTCTTCCGAAAGCTCGGATGATCGTGCTGGCGACTGTTCTGATGATGACCGTCTTTGTCGAAGTACGTACCCTGCTAGTCTTTCTGGGATGTTTGACTGATTTGGCAGACAGCGGGCAGCACGGCGCCGACATTGCTCATCCCGCTCATGGCTCGAGATCTTGACATCCCAGAGATCGAGACGCAATGGGTGTCATCCGCGTATATCATCGCCTCCTCCTGGTATTTCCACACGCCCGCTCGCGGAGCAGAGCATCGCTGACTGCGGGCATAGCGGGAAACTCTTCTCGGGTCGGATGGCGGACATATGGGGTAGGAAGCGCATGTTTCTGATCGGTCTGGCGATATACGCTGTCTTTGCGATCATTACCGGGGCCGTTAAGGTAAGGGTCAATCGTAGAGAGAGGCTGATCCGGGAGAATATAGTGGTTATAAGTGTCACTCGAGCACTATCGGGGATCGGCAACTCTATTGCTATACCAGCAGGATTTGGTCTTATCGGCGCGACAATCAAGCAGGAGCCTGCGCGAACGATCGTGTTCTCGATGTTTGGTGAGTGGCTGGCCAGCGGAAGCGTAGGACTACGTACTGACCTACTGCACAGGTCTCGGCAGTCCCGTCGGATCGGCAGTAGGGAACTTCATTGGTGGCGCAATGGGAAGCATCGGACCGTGGGTGATCTCCCGCTACTCGGACTGACCGGCAGGGGCGCATGGTCTTACCTCTTTTTTCTTCTGGCTGGTCTGAGCGTGATTACCTTCGTCGCCGCCATTGTGGTCATCCCGTCCGACGTCCGCGTAAGCACCGATCAAGACACCCGCATCGATTGGGTCGGCGGTGCCTTGGTCACATCTGCAATGTGCCTCTTCACCTTTAGTCTCGCAGACTCTGGTCTCGCCCCAAAAGGATGGCGAACGCCTTGTGAGTTCGGTTCGCCTCGCTCGGGCCTGATGCTGATATTCAGACGTCCCCGCTCTTCTGGTCACATCCCTCCTTGTACTGCTCGCTTTCGTCCTGTGGTCCGTACGCCTAGAACGCAGGACCCCGGCGTCCACCCCACCCATTCTCAAGATGTCGCTCCTGAGCCGTAAAAGTGGACTCATAAGCGTTGTGTGTGGTAATTGCTTCCTTGTGTCTATATCAGTCATGGGCTGGGTCTACACATCGACCATATTCTACCAGAATTACAAGGGACTCACCACTCTCCAGAACGCAATCGCCATATTGCCATCTACCATTGTGGGAGCTTTGGCCGCTGTAAGTCACCATTGCGTCCATCCGCTCGGCCGCCGTCTAGACATCCTCGTCGTACCTGCAGCTGACAGAGCAGATGTCGGTGATGTACCTCGCGCCCCGGGTATCGGCACGTCATCTTATGACTCTAGGCGCGGCCTTTACTAGGTACATCCCCCATCGAGCGTCCGCTGACCACAGCGTCTGCTCGATCTTGTACGCCACTTGGCCAGTGGGTCTGACATACTGGGCAATGGAGTTCCCTGGTCAGGTGCTATTGCCGTGGGGAATAGATCTGTGAGCTAGCCGTAGACCCTGCAATGGCTGACAGCAGCACTTTTGTATTGGGCAACATCCTTATATCCAATCTGGTCGAGGCGTAAGTTCCGGAAGCCAGCCTGCACTCCGCCGATGAGTCCACTGACGTTACCAAGAGAGGATCAGTCGGTCGCAGGTGCACTCTTCCAGACCTCGGGAGCATTAGGATCAGCCCTGGGAATCTGTATCACAGCGCTTATAGTCGGTCAGGTGGGTCAGCAGGCAGGAGACGTCTTGCGGGGATGTCGGGCAGGGTTCTGGTTCGGAGCTGGGGCTAGTCTTGTTGGTAAGTGTTCGGCAAGCACGCACGCTTCAGGCTGGCGCTGATGAGTATAGTATCGGCCAGTGCGTACATTGGCTTCAGAAAAGTCGGGCTGGCAAAGGATGTCGGGAAAATTAGATAAGGTTTGCGAGCTTTTCAGAGTCGCAAAGTGAATTTGGACGATAGCCGCAAGGAATTCTCGAGGTCTATAATCTCGCGGCTCTGCCTTGTAACGATAAATGATGATTGTAGATTGTATACATTGCACTAGCCCAAGTCAGACTGATATCCCCTTCTAATTATTATGCTCCCTGGACCCTTCTCTCGCCACCCCACACCTTTACCACGCAAGCCTCGCCGCCAGTCCCTTGGGATACGTCCTCACGCAGTACTTGCGCGACTCGTCCAAGAAGATCAACGCCAGCCCGAACGCCAAGGGGATAAAGATGTACTCGACCGGGACGCCCTATACCCATCAGCCGTGCTCTTTTTTTGGCAGTCAAGCGGAAGTGCTCACCCTGGTCAAGAAGATGTTTTGGAAGAAGGGAACATATGAGAAGAAGAATAAGAACCCAACACTGGCGAGCATCGCCGGGGGGATCCAGACGTTCCGGTTGGCCGAGTGGAAGCCGAAGGGGTTGGTCTGGAAGAGCGAGAGACGGCGCGTGCGGGTGGAGAGGAGGTTGCCCCATTGCATGAAGACGAGGGTGAAGAAGTAGACGGACTGGGCGACATAGACCGCCTCGGCGTAGGCGTCGAGGTCGTATGTGTCGGGAAGACCTCCATAAGCCAGAACACTACATGTCAGCTTGGACCCTTGCGGCGTAGGATGCAGAAAGAGAAAGAGAGCTTACAGGTCGCTGAACAAGAAGCCCTGACGGTTGAGGTACCAGAAGGCCATGGCCATAGCGCACAGACTCTCCAAGATACCCAAGAAGAAGTAGGCGTGGAGGAGGAGCTTCCAGTCGACCAATCGATCCGTCTTGGTATTTCTCGGCTTGCGGAGAAGGAGACCGGCCTCGGGCTTCTCAAAGCACATGGAGATGGCGGGGAGGACGTCGGTGACGACGCAAATGAGAATCATCTGGATGGATGATAGAGCCTGCGGGAGACCGAGGAGGACGTTGAGGAGGATTGGCATGAGCTCCGAGAAGGATCCGGCGGGGAGGAGGTAGAGGAGGGTCTTTTTGAGGTTGTCGAAGGTGAGACGACCGTACTCGACGGCGACGGCAATGGAGGAGAAGCTGGTCGTCAGCTAGGTTCCGGGAAGACAGCACAAGAGAGAGGGAGCTCACGATTCGAGCAAGACCAAGTCGGCAGCTTCCATGGCTACATCGCTCCCGCCGCCCATCGCAATACCCACATTGGCCGCCTTGAGACTGGGAGCGTCGTTGACACCGTCACCCGTCATGCCCACAATAGCACCGCGCCTCTGGAACTCCTTGACGATCCGCAACTTTTGCTCGGGTGTGGTCCGCGCAAACACAATCTCGACATACTGGCACGCCTGCTCCCATTGCGCCTCGTTCATTTCCATGAGGTCTGGACCCGAGAGGACGAGGGACGTGATGGGTACCTCGTCCTCCGCGTAGACGTCGTACTTCTCCACCACGTCGACCTCGACATTGCGGTCCAGGTCGCCAAGGCGGTGTACGCGCGATGCGTCCGAGATGATGCCGCACTGCTCGGCGATGGCGAGAGCGGTAGTGGCAAAGTCACCAGTGACCATGAAGAAGCGAATACCGGCACCGCGCATGATACGGACGGTCTCGGGGATATCGTCCCGCGGGGGGTCGACGAGACCGACGAGACCGACGACGGTGAGGTTTTGGTTGAGGGTTTGATTGACGAGGTCAGGAAAAGAGGCATCGTCGAAGGAGGTACCGGCCTCGATCATGTCGGGGGTGATGACGCGCTTGGCGAGGAGGAGGACACGCTGGCCCTTGCGGGCCCAAGACTCCTGGACGCGGGAGAGCTTGTTGAGGATGTCGTGCGAGAGGGGGATAGGAGGGCCACCTTTAGGGTCGTTGACATGCGAGCACCGCTTGAGGAGGACATCGGGAGCACCCTTGCAGAGAAGAAGGTGAGAGTCGGCAGAGAAGTCGTCAAAGGGGGAGATGGGAGCGGGACGAGCGTCGCTCTTGGCAGGGCGGAGCATCTGGGAGTCAGCGCAGCTCAAGCTGAAGAAGGGTGGAGATATTATACCTTGAGCATGAACTTGGTCTTGGAGCTGAAGTTGACCTTGAACTCCTCAGTCCACTCGGCCTGAGACTCGCGGACGGCCCGGAGCGACTCGGCAAAGCGGAGGATAGCAGAGTCTGAAGGTCAGCTGGGGTCCACGTAGCGACGAAAGGGAGACGTACCGGTAGCATCCCCGTTGACGAGCCTCAACCCGATCGGCTGGTCCATGGTGCTCTCATCAAAGAGCGCGGCGTTGCAGATTCCAGCGACCGCCGCAAGCTCCCTGCACCCCTCGCCCGCATCGCCACCGCGCACGATCCGGTCCCGAGCCTCCTGCGCCGAAACCTCGTCGTCCAAGATGGCCGCATTGGTGACAGTCATCTGGTTCTTGGTGAGGGTACCGGTCTTGTCGGAGCAGAGGACGTCGACGGCGCCGAGCGTTTCGACCGTCATGAGCGTCTTGCAGAGGATCTTGTTCTTGGCCAACCGGTTCGCGACGACCGAGAGCGAGATGGTGACCGCGGAAGGCATACCCTCGGGGATAAAAGCCACGCAGACAGCGACGAGGTTGATGACGGCGCCCGAGGAGGTGATGAAGCCGTAGTGCTCCCGGTTGAGCCATGCGCCCCAGAGGACGGTTACGATGATGCCGAAGAAGAGGGCGAGGACAACGATGATACCGACGAACCGGGAGATCTCGGCCTGGAGGGTGGTACGTGCGGGAGCGCCGGAGGAGGAGAGCTTGGCGATACGACCAAAGACAGTGTTGCCGCCCGTCTGGATGACGATACCTGACCGTCAGCCAAGTTCAAGCGATGGAGGATGAGACTTACCCTTGCCGGACCCGCTGACACAGAGAGTACCCTGGAGACCGATGTTCTTGGTCTCGAGCATGTTGGGGTCGGTCGAGTCGATAGTCGCAGAGATGGGCTCAGCTTCACCCGTGAGCACAGAGCGGTCCAGCTTGAGGTCGGACGAGACTTCCATGAAGCGCAAGTCGGCAGGGAGTTTGTTGCCGAGCGAGACGCAGACCTGCTGATCAGCAAAGCTTTCCTGCTTTGAAGAAGGAACAGGCTCACGATATCACCAGTGACCAGTTCCCGAGCAGGGAGGCGGACCTGCTGCCCGTCCCGAACGACAAGGACATCCGAGGGAAGCATGCCGGTGATGGAAGCCATAACTCTGCCGGTGGACCAGTCTTGCCAGGCATTCTGCTTGTCAGTCTACGGTCTAGTAGGCGGGGAGAGCGGAGCACTCACGAAGGACGCCTGGATGCAGACGACGACCAAGATGACAACGGCAAGGGCAAGGTTGGAGACCTGCGGGTTGGGCTCTCCAAGGGGTTTCCTGGCTGATCAGCTCGGTCAAAGAGGTCGATCAAAGTCGAGCTCACCAGGCAAGGAAGCAGAGAATCGACGCGATGAAGAGGATGCTACCGAAACCACCAAAGAAGTACCAGAAGAACCTGCCAGTCAGCTCGATGAACGGTGAAGGGCGAGGCGGAGAGCGCAAAAACTCACTTCAAGAAAACGTTCGGCTTGTGAGGCTTGACCTCGTTCAGCCCATTGGTCGCCAACCTCCGCTTAGCCTGCTCCGCATCCAGCCCGCTGGTTCCGCTGGCGCTGAGACGCTGGAGGACCTCGTTCTGCGAGAGGGTGTGCCAGTCGAGCTCAGCCAGCTCCTTGACGGTGTTGGTGCCCTTCTTGGACTTGATTGGGGCGCCGGGACCGTGGATGGAATCTGTGACGTGGATGGAGAGAGTCCTTGCTTGTCAGCCTGTGTGATTGCATCCGACAAGAAGAAGGAGACATACCTGAACTCGCCGATAATCCTGGGACCGGCGTTGGGTCGCTGTGGCCCAGAACCGAGCGAGACCGAGTTCTGACGCCTGAGCTCCGTCTCCCGCGCCTGCGAGGGAGACTGATCATCCTGGATGGTGATGGTACGAGGGATAGCAAAGGACGCGTGCCGAGCGTGGTTGTAATGCGTGACCTTCTCGGGGTCGGCCTGGGTGTCGTACCGAAGCGTAGCGGACATGGCGAGGGAAGGGGAGATGGGGGCTATGACACAGTCGGTAGGTGAGTGAGAGCTGAACACAGAGACGGATGGCGAGGGGGATGGGTGAGCAGAGAAGAGCTCGCGTGAGTTATATACCTCTGCATGTTGTCCCCTAGTTTGCTCTGCGCAAGCTCCAACTGCCCAACCAGAAAATCACGCATCGAAATGGGCAACTCCAACCAGGCTGGCTCCTGTGAAGATCATTGGATTTCTGAAGTCCGGTTGACCACCGTCAGATCGGACCGGGTGGATTTGAGGGATGAGGAGGTTAGCTCAGTGAGTCCTGTAGTGAGCTGTTGTTGTCCCTCATGCTGCAAGAATAGCTATAGCCAATCACCGATAAATCGCTCACCCATCCCTCTTTGCAACTCCTTCATCTATATGAAACGCGTCTCCTCGAACAGAGCCAGATCACCCTTTCCCCGCGTTGAGGGTTGGGGTGATTGGCCATAGTGGCAGTACCGACCGGTAGACTCGGGAAAGGGTGGCTAGAGCCTAGAGGGCAAGGGGACGCGTCGGTGGATACGAGGACAAAGACTTCCCGTCGCCAATCCCGGCGAGTTGTGGCTTGCGCTGGGTCTCTGCGCAAGGTAGCGCGCGCATCCCAGACGATTTGAATATGGCGGACGCTCTTTGTTGCGCGAGTGAGGGGGCTTGCCCTATTGCATATGAGCGAAATAGCAAGAGGGGCGAAGGGCGAATGAGAAATCGCGCAACGAGCTATTTTGAGTTTGGCCGCTGTTGGCGATGCCGTAAGGTTGTCACCTGTAATCTTATCTCGTCCTCCTACTAACGGCAGCAGCTCGGAGGTGGCAGCACCATTAGCTACAGCAGCAGTTGCGCTATAGCTGCTAGATGCATATCCGTCCTGATCACAATATGGCAAGTGGCTCAGACTCGTACATCCCCTGCGCAGATGCCATCCACCCTCATACTCGTCGCATCCCCTATTTCCGCTTCGTCTGCGTAAACTTGTTTTTCTTCCCTCTCGGCACCCCCGCTTCAACAACATCATCGTCCCTATCCCGCTCATCCCCCTCCCTTCCTCGCTTCCCGCTATCTCTACCCCTCTTCCCACCTGACCCGCCAGTCCCGCTCTCCCGCATCTCCAGCGCTGCCTCTCTACTCGCTCGCGCCACACTATCCGATAGGACTGCGACCGCCTCCTTGTCGACGTCGAAGGATTCCATCTTCTTACCGATGTGCGCTTCGATACGTTGGAGGATCTCGACGTCGTATTGCGTGACGAGGGTGATGGACTTTCCGGACCGACCAGCTCGGGCCGTACGACCTACTCGGTGGACGTAGTCTTTCGAGTTGGTCGGCATGTCGTAATTCTATAGTATGAGCTGTACTCACAGTCTACTGGGCGCAGCACCCGGCGAATCAACTAACGATGACAAGGTCCACTAATGGTATATCCAGCCCTCGACTCGCCACATCCGTAGCCACCAGGATACTCCTCCCGCCCGACTTGAACTTATTCAGACTCGCCAGCCGCATGCTTTGACTCATCTGCCCATGAAGCGGGATAGCTGGGAAGCCAAGACGACGGAGGATGATCGATAGCCGTTGTGCATCATTGACGGTCCGGGTGAAGATGATCATGGAGGATGAGGCGAGCTCGGTGGTGAGGTAGAGGAGGTGCGAGTCTTTGTGTTTCAGGGGAAGGAGGAGGTAGTGTTGCAGAAGGGTGGATACGGTCGAGTATCTGAGAGTCAGCGATGGAACAAGCGAGGAGAGATATGAGCTTACTTTGAGGAGACTTCCACGCGGATAGGCTTGTTCAGACTTGCTCGTTGCAGCTTGGCCACCTTAGTGGTCATTGTAGCCGAGAAGAGATATGTGTTCCGCTCTTTTGGGATGACTTTCAGGATCTTGTCGATGATGGGTCCGAAGTCCATGTCCAACAGACGATCCGCCTCGTCCATGACCTGCACGTCAGCCTGACCTTGAGGACGATTTCCTGTTGGGCTAGCTCACCAAGTACTTTAGCGCCTTCAACGAGAAGCCCTTCGTATTCTCCAGATGGTCCATCAAACGCCCTGGAGTAGCCACAACCACATGTGGACGCTTAGACAGAGCGATAGATTGGGACATCATATCCATCCCTCCGACAATAGTGGCTGTCCGCACGCCCAGCGGGGCACCGAGTGATGTGATCTGCTGAGCAATCTGGTAGGCCAGCTCTCTTTACCGTCAGCTTCGAGCTCGCCATGTCAATGCGCGCGCTAGCTCACCTTGTTGGCGCCAGTATCAACGCGTAGAAAGCCGAAGGATGTGACCACAGAGTCTGCAGAATCGGCAGACTGAACGCCGCCGTCTTTCCAGACCCTGTCTGCGCCAGACCAATGACATCCCTGCCTTCCAGTGCAGCCGGTATCGACTCCACCTGAATGGGGGTGGGCCGCTTGAAGCCGAGAGTAGCGCAGGACTCGCATAGCTCGGGGATGATACCGAGCTCCGCGAAGGTCTTAGTGCTCGTCTCCAGGCCATCCACTTCGGGCGAGGGAGACCGGGACCCGGAGGATGAGCCTGAGCCCGAGCCCGAGCCTGATGCTGATGCTGAGCCCGATCCTGATGCTGACATTGTATATGGTGTCAAGGTAGGTGTCAGAGGCAAGGCTGGGTGGCCAAAAAATGGCTGAGCTGGTGATCACCTCCACTTGGCGGCGATCTCCGGAGCCCACCGCGGCTGCTTTTACTTTTTTGATCCCGCTTCCTTTCCGTTGGCCAACTCACCAAAACAACCTTCTCTCAACTGCACATCTACCTCTCTCAAGCTATACTCTCACTCGACCACACCCATCAGCGCACACATGACCTGCATATAGTCCACAGTGACCACTTCTACCATACGTCTGAGTAACGATAGCTCCGCCGGACGCTCCGTCAAGCCGCACTGTCCCCCGCCTGAGACACCGGACACTCTACGTCAACGTCAACAATGCTTCCTCGCCGGGCAGCACCCGCGCCTCCCAATGGTCTCCCTCCAACGTCCTCCGCCGCAGCTTCTTCCTCCTCGTCGTATGCGGATGCCTCCGAACTCGACAAGTATAAGCTTGTCTCCAATATCGGGAAGGGGAGCTTTGGGGTGATCAGCAAGGTCCAAAGGGTGGACGATGGGCGAGAGTTTGCGCTCAAGCAGCTGGACTATGCGAAGATGACGGATAAGGATAGGAAGCAGATCCTGGCTGAAGTGTGAGCCAAGACCTTCGCGCTCGTGTAGAAACAAAGCAGCTGACAACGCAGGGCGATCCTGGAATCGCTGAAACATCGCAACATCGTCCAGCTTATACAGAAGATCAAGGATCCCAAGAACGAGCGGATATACATCATCATGGAGGTGAGCTTCGCGATTTCTATGTTGTCATACGGCCGGACCAAAGCCGAGTGTCCAGTACTGCACTTCAGGCGACCTCGGTTCTCTGATCCGCAAAGCGCAGCGGTCCAATACCCCACTGAACGAAGATAAAATCTGGAACATCTTCCTCCAGATCGTCCAAGCGCTACATCACTGTCATTGGCCTAATGAGCGGAGTCAGAGCAGTACGACCGGAAGAGGAGCTCTGTCGAGGGGTACAGCGGCGGAGAAGGAGGCGAGGTACCAGGTGCTGCACCGGGATTTAAAACCTGAGAACGGTCAGTCCGTGTTCTGAATCTCCTTCCACGGCATGAGCTGATGCGAAAAGTATTCCTTTCGGATGACTTCGTAAAGCTCGGTGACTTTGGCCTGAGCAAGGATATGGGTACTGCAGCGTTTACGTCAACTTACGTCGGAGTGAGTCTGCGTTTGCGCGAAACTGCGATAAGCTAGCTGACTCTTTAGACACCGCTGTATATGCCACCCGAGATTCTCGCTGAGAACAAATACGACACCAAGTCTGATATATGGAGTCTTGGATGTCTAGTATTCGAGATGTGTGCCTTAACGTGAGTGAACTTGACGCATTCGGGATAATTTTTCGGCTGACAGCATAGATCGCCCTTCTCAGCCGCGACGACCCAAGCGGAGCTCATCACTATGGTCCGGTCCGGCCGAATTCCCTCCATACCTCCTCAGTACTCTGCAACGCTACGAGATGTCGTCAAGGCCATGTTGACCCTCAATGTGAGCTTGGCGCACTGGTACAGCGAGGACGTATAGCTGATAGAAATAGCCTGCCAAGCGACCTACTACGGGGCAGCTGCTCGAGCTGGAAGAGATGAAGCTACACAGAAAGCTATTCTCTGTGCAGAACCAGTAGGCTATCTTATGCGCCGCTCTGTCAGTATTACAGCTGACACGCCAGGACTCAATTGCTTGTTACCAAGAAGGACGAGCTCCGGAAATACGAGGAGTCGCTGCATCATCGCGCTCAGCAGCTCAACGAGCGGGAAGAGCAGATCATAGCACAGGAAGCGACATTAGCGGAACGGGAAGAAGCGTGCAGGGTGAAGGAGGAAGCTGCGGGGGAGACGCAGAAGAGGCTGAATCATGCGGCGGACACCCTCAGGGCGCAGTGGGAGAAGCTGAGGGAGGAGAAGGCGGGGATGGGTCTCGGTCAGGAACCACTCGGTGAGCTTCTTCAGCCACATGAGGCAGACAGGGTAGCTAACCTCTCAGCTATCCGTCGACCGTCCATGCCTCCTGCCCGGCCGCCATTGGAGGAAAGAGCGTGAGTATATATCGGCCCGAAAGATATCGCCCTGAAGGAGAAGGAAGCTGACTCTACAGTACGATGCCTCTTCCCTCTCTTCCACGCCCTCCCCGTCCACAACACACCTACTCCTACGACGACACCCCCTCCAAGATACCCGTCCCCATCTACTCGACCCCCTCATCTTTCTTCTCTGGTGCACGCAACCCTGCCGGTTCGCTCCGCCGAAACGCCTCGAAATCACTTGGTAACCTCGCTGCGCGTGCCCAGGCCGAGGCTCAGGCAGACGCTAATCGAGCCGCTGCTGCCTCTGCTATCGGAACGGGGCTTGAAGGGACGCCAGCGAAGCAGGTCATCAGGGGCCATGTGCATCAGCGGAGCAGTATCGGATCGCCCAATGACCTCCAAAAGCAGTACGACCAGCTCGTCTCTGGTGGACGGTCCGGGGCGGCTGCGTACTACGGCGCCTGGTCGGACGACGTCTCGATGGCGAGCCCGGCGCTCTCGGTCGCTGCTGCCGGATCACCCTTCATGCTTCCCGGCGGCAGGCGGAAATCAGCCGGTATTGTCCGGCCCTTCCCTCTCGGCCCGAACGCCACTGCTACTGGCTCCGGGTCTGGATCTGGATCTGGCTCAGGCCCACTCCGACCTTCCGGAAGCGCCACGAGCCAGGACTCCATGTCGTCCGCCGATAGCGGCGGGAACATGCAAGCGTACAACCTTCATACCGTCTCCCAACAACTTCCCACCCCGGCCAAATGGTCTATGGAGGATCCGGACCTCCCCTCGCCCTTCCTACGCCGGATACCTACCGCACCGCCCGTCATTCCCAGCCAGCGCGAACGGCAGCCGCTGGGAATGATCAATATCCCGCAGGCGATGCCGATGCCGGCTCCTACGGGTGCTGGGGGAGTGGGGAAGAAGGGGTCGAGCACGGGTATACCACGGTCGAGGAGCGGAAACCTGCATCAGCACGTGTTGAAGCAGAATGCGGCGCAGGCGCAGCAGGGCGAGAACAGACGGGAAGGAGGCGGTGGGACCGGGACCGGGAGTGGAGGGCCGAAGGCACAGATCAGGCAGGGCGTGGCGGGCCGTTGATAGCCTCCGAGCGGTGCGCTGTCTCTGGGACTACCCCTCCTCTCTCCCTTGAGTTTGGACGCACGTCTATCCATGTATTGTATTGACAAGTAGATATTCATATGTATCCCGAGGGCTGTGTTCGCTGTAGACGGCTGACGTCTCTCTGAAATATTGCTCGATGCAGAGAAGTCGGTTGAGAGCAGTCCTGCACCAACTTGTCAGTTCGCTACCCGACTTCTCGCCGAGCTCTCACAATATCGCCCACTTGCGCTCGGCATGTACTCGTTGGGGTCATGACATCCTTGATACGCCGTGTGGCCTTCTATGCCTTTGTGGTACTGATGACGTGACTTGACGAGATCAAAGATGCTCAGGGCACCTCAAAGGAAAGGAGGCCAAAGAGGTAAGGCCAGCTTCGTGGGCGCCTGGACTATGGGAACTACTTCCTGCCAGGTTCTTGCTGATGCCCCCCACTACCCCACGCATACCGTCATCCTACTCACACTACTGTTACCTGTGCACTCGCCCACACAAGCACCTCACATACCCAACATGGACTCAATCCCCTGTACCGACGAGCGCTGCTTCCACGCCGGCTACACAAACGCATCATCGCTGATCCGGGAACTGCCGATGCAGGATTTTCTGACGCACCAGCCATTCCTCTGGAAGAACATCGATATCGCTGCGTCCCTCGCGAACGGAGTCACCCCTTCTACGGTGATCGCGGGTGACCGCGGCAGCCAATTGGCCTACGCCGCCATGATGCGCGGTATGGCCGCGGGGAACATGGCTACTCTCAAGGGGTCCGAGGACGTCAATCAAGTCAAGACGGTCTTCTCGTGGTACCTAGCCTGCATGTCCTCGGCCGCTCTGTCCGAAACCAACCACGCGACGTGAGTAGATCAGGGCACGCAGGCTAGACATCTTCTCTTTCTGCAGTGGGTGTGGGACTGACAGGTCTAGTCTGCTCCTGAAGCCTCGGGCGGTCACGTCCAACGAAGGGACTCACCCTTGCCGAAACTCCAGCTGCCCTCATCTCGATCAAGATCAAGCGTTTGAGAAGATGGGCCTGCTCGAATTCCTCCTTCATCAGCCGGTACTCTACTCCAACCCGGCTGCCGCGACGGCCACCTTCAACCGAGCCGATGCTTCGGGTCTGTACGAGCCCGCACCCTACAACTTCCCCTTCCTGTCCCGCTGGAACAAGACCATGGCAGCGGGCGAAATCGCCAACGTCTCCAATTCGACTGATGTTCAGCACGCCAGGGCAGCGGTCGAGGCCTACCTCAGCTACATGTCGAACGCCAGTCAGGCTGACATCAACTTCCTGGAGTGAGTACATGGTATGATGTCGCTGACCACCAGAGTCGATCACGACACCTTGAGCATGGACGTCAAGACCGGGCATGATGAGGAGGATCTTGATCGTGTGTTATGACGAGTTCCGTACGTTTATACGCTGAGATAGACCGGGCATTCTGAGGGGGATCTTGATCGAGTGATATGATGAGTTTCGTATGTTTATACGCTGGGATAGGCTACCTGATGCGAGATGCAAGTGTTGCAAGACAGGCAGTGGCACCCTGCCGCCGCGACATCAGCCTTCGTGTCAGACCAGGAACGCTTGGCCGTAGAGTCAATCCCTGCATAGCCTCTCAGCTCAGCTTACTGGCCTTCCCACCATTTCCCTCATCTCGCCAGCACCTGGAACGCACTGCCTCCAGATCGCAACGCCAACATCGCCACCTCCCTCACCCTCTCCAAATAATCCACGAGCCTTCCCGCCCCCTCCATTCCAAAGAACTCCTCATACACGTGGTTGTCCTCCCGGGCGACCACCTTGGTCAGGTCCAATGCCGTCTGGATGAGCGATGGGAAGAGGGCAGAGTGGGTGATGAGGAGTGTGTGCAGTCGGAGGATGAGGTCAGGGATGAATATTTGGCGGATCCGGCGGAGCTCTTTCAGGCGCTGAGAAGCTGAGATGTCAGATCATACCGGGCAAGCTGAGGTATTGCCCTGAGAAGGGGATGAGAGAGGGGAGACATACCATTCTCGGAGCCGGCGGAGAGGAGAAAGCGGAGCCAGTCGGAAGTAAGGAGGTCCACAGTGGCAGAATGGACCTTCTCGATCGTGCCCTAAGATGTCAGCTGCGGATCAGTAGCCAGACAATGTGGTGGCCAACTCACATTCAAGCTCTTGCGCCAATTATGCTGTTCCATCCTCGTAGCTCTGGCATGGTGAGCTCTGTGGCGCATTCTGAACACCAGAACCCGGCTGTTGAAACTCACGTTGCTTTCGGCGCCCTACTCAGCACCTCATCCACCAGCTCATGGCACGCAAACACCCCAAACAGTCTCCCGACATCTTCGTGCTCGAGCAATTGATAGTCGTTGTCCTCGTCATCGTCCACCGCGGAGGTAAGATTGGGGGGTAGGGTCTTGAGCAAAGCTTGAGCAGAATTCGCTTGACCGAGAGCTAAATATATCAGCTGGCCCGTCTCTACAGTGTCGGAGTTCGCGGCGACTCACATAGAAAATACCGGCCCACATCGTTCGCCTTAATCACCGCATCCTCTGCCGTATCGGTGAGAATAGTCAACCATTCGATGGACCGGATGAGGTGCACATCCCGCTCCGTCAGGCCGGTAGTGAACATGGTGATGTCCGGCTGTTCTCGAGATAGTGCGGGTATGGCCTAGGATGTGTCAGCTGAATCGCATGGACTGGATCGCACAAATGGTAAGTGACGTACAGCGAAGGCCTCTTCTAGCGTCAGGCGGACAGTCTCCCTTGCTATCGCCGCCACGTCCAGGTTGTGCGTTTTGGCCCTTGACAGAGCCTCGATCCGCGCCTCCTTCGTAGCAGTATGGTCCATCGCTTGGACATTAGCCAGACCCTCGGCACACTGTACCGATTAATATCAACTCACCATACAGGAAACGGGCGTAGCTCTCCTCCCCGCTTCCTTCCCGCAGACAAGCAGCGTACATGGCCACAAGCTGGTCGTTCCCCTCTCGTTCCAGTATCTGGAGATACGCTTGCAAGATCGCATTTGCGGGAGTCTCGGGTACCGGTCGGTTGAGATTACGCAGGATGAGAATGAGATGAGCAAAGAAGCGGATCAGAGGACCAATGAGCCTGGAAATCAGCGGAAGTCTGGGACCCGAGCCGCTCGGACTTACTCTGGTGATGTCTTTTCTTCTATGCCTGAGAGTTGACTCGCGAATTGCGATAGAAGAGCATCTGTCCGGCCGAGCATGATCATCCGCTGAGCGACGTAGTATGGGTTTCTCGAGGCGGCCCTGACCAGTCAGCCCTCATTCGCCGACCGAGGCGACAACTTACGCGACATTGTCATTCTGTACGCCTGCCATCTCTCCAAATACCTCCTCCAGTCCCCCGCTGGGTCTGACCTCATCCTCATCCCCGCCTAGAGCCTGGCTCTCTTCTTCCCAGAATCCGCCTAGTTCCCGCCACTTGCTGTCTAAGCGAGCTTCCACCCGTGCCTGGAGATGCGCCCAGAGGTGATCTTCCCATGTCGAACAAGCGGGAAGGAGGGTGGGGAGGTCGGAGGTGAGGGCAGCGTAGAGATTCCGTTCGGAGGGAGATAGTATGGGCTAGAGTATCAGCTGGGTGCATGGCGCTGAGATGAGGAAAAGTACGCACATTCTTTGCTATTGATCGACAAGCCTTCTTCCAGAGATTCCTTCTGCGATTCCCTTCCAGCGCCATCTCGCCTGAATCATCACCAGCCGCTATTCAGTCAGCACTGCGCGCCTCTCTCAGACGGAGTCACTTACTCAATCCCGCCATAGCCCATCTTCTCCCGCCCATCAGACTCGCCCCTCTCCAAGGCTCCCCGCCCATCTCGCACACTTTGACCGCCTGATCTAGCTCTCCATGCCGTACCAGATCAAACAGCGTTTCCAGCAGAGGATGCTGATAAGTCTGATCCTCGCCCGCTAGACCTTGCCCTTGCGGTTCTCTCAGCGTAAAGTCCGGGTCGAGCGAGTCGGGCCGGCGCGGACCGGCCGCTGAGCAGTGTTGCTGGTTCTTTGCGCGGCGGAGAGTGGCGGGCAGATAGCCATGTCGGGATTCGAGAGGTGGGGAGGAGGTGAGAAGGGGGCGGGATTGGAGATGGTCCACTAGTGTCTTTTCGATCAGCTTGAGTACCATAGAGTGGGAGTCGACAACCTGGTACTCACCGCCAGCATGCTGAGCTCTTCATCTTCGTCAACGAAGAGCTGTATGAGATCGCCGGGGGTGATGTATGGGTTGTCTCGGAGAACAGCCTGTGAAGAGGCTGGAGCAAAGTCTGCTTCTTCCCTTGGTAGGCGATTACTGCTTTATCAGCTACAGCGCAACGAGCTTATCAGCCATCTAGCTCACTCAAACACTGTCCTGAGCAGCTGCCATGTCCTGTGTTCCAGCAGTAGAGCCCCCCGCTCGTCCGCTGTGAACCCTTCATCCATTCCGCTATCCCAGCTATTGGACTGCTTTGACCGAATTCTGCCCGGTCAGCTTCCCTTCCAGCCTTCAAGCCTGATGTTTAGCTTACTCTTCCTCTAACGCCCCCATCAGCGAGGCCAGCAGTCCACCCTGCTCGTCCAGGACCGCATCGTACCGGATACCCGCGTCTATTTGACGGTTGGACGGACCGGGCTCCGAGTACTGGTCATGGTACGACGTAAATATCCGTGCGAACGCCTGGTACGTCGTTGCGCTGGCTGCCATCCTGCCAGATGGGGCCGCTATAGCTGTTGTTTATAATGGAAGGTGATGTATATAGGTGTCAACATGGCAGCATACCAGAGCTTGACTTCTACGGGTGAGGCTTGGGTGGATGACGTGGGATTTATTCGCTGGCCAGGATTGATAAGCGGCGCGCAGGTGGAGGCCGGGAGTGGTAGGTGTGTGGAGGACCCTATCAAGTCAGCTTCTCTCTCCTCTCCATACTCATACATACTACTTACTCATCACTCACCGACAGCCCCGCACGGCCTGCGCAGCTCGTTCCGCACCCGCAATCCGGCTCAGGATCCACCTCGTCACCCCCGAGTGACCCCTTCCGCCACTACCCTCCTTCATCCGCCACCCTGAAGCGCCCACCCCAATCCGCGCCCCACTCACCATCGCTTACACCCCCACCTACCGAGCTCTCCACCAAGGCACCGGCTTCCAAGAAGGCGCGCAAGGAGTCCCCCGTCCCGCCGTCCCCGGCTGCTGTGGCGCCCGTGCCAGTACAGCAGCTGCCTAGTCCGACCAGCCAGGCCGACAAGATGTCGTCTGATGGGGAAGAGGAGTTTGAGTTTGAGTTTGAGGATGATGATGAGGGGTTTGATGTTGGATCTGGAGAAGACGGATCGGACGGTGGAGGTGAGCCGATGGTTCTCAACAGAGGAGTAGCCAGAAGCTGACTCAGCAGGCGAATCGATTTCCGATGCGGAGGCTTTCGATATCATGAGTCCAACGCTTGAAGGTCGGTTCTTGCCCCTGTATTGGTCCCAGAGCCGAACTGACTCTACAGAACCGCCAGAGAAGAAGCCGTACGATGTAAATTATCGCGTGCGGACGATGCAGGAGATCATGGATATGCAGACCAAGGAGGTCAAGAAGGTGCAGAGTCTTCTCGAAGTTCCGGTGAGCTTTATGCTAAATTCGATTCCAGGGAGACGTATCGCCAGAGCTGACTCTTCAGGCCGACACCGCCGCTACCCTGCTCCGATATTACGCCTGGAACTCGGAGAAGCTTCAAGAGCAATTTTGGAACGACCCGACCGCCGCCCTCGTTTCCGCCGGTCTCTCCCCACCTTCTTCCCCATCAACCAGCACCCAGCCGCTGCCCTCTCCACTCGCCTCGCCTCGTCGTGCTCGCAACGCTCGGACGCCTCTGACTCCTTCCAAGCGATCCCGCTCCTCAGGCCCCTTTGAGTGCCCGATCTGCTGCATGGACTATACGAAGGAACAGACGGCGACGCAGACTTTGGCGCTGGGTTGCGGACATCGATTCTGCCGGGGATGCTGGACGGAGTATGTCGTTGGAAAGATTACGACGGAGGGAGAGAGCGGGAGGATACAGTGTATGGAGAGTGGATGTAGTCGGATCGTGAGGGCGGAGCCGATCGACGAGCTGGTGACGAGTGACGTTTCAAAGAAGTGAGTTTTGGAGGGAAAGATCTGGTCAAATCGACCCAATGAGCTCACGCCGCAGATATCACAACCTCCTCAACCAAGCCTTCGTTTCCGACGCCCCCTCCCTCCGATGGTGCCCACACCCAGGATGCGAGCACATCATCGAGTGCTCCCAGGCGCCACAGAAGATGCTTAATCAGCTCGTACCTACTGTCACTTGTCGGTGCGGGAATGACCTATGCTTCGGGTAAGCTGCTGCGCTCTCTCCCGGGAAGATATCTAGCTCACTCTGCAGTTGCGGCTACCCCGCTTCGCACCGGCCCGTCATCTGCCGTATCGTCAAGCTCTGGGAGAAGAAGTGCGCCGATGATTCCGAGACTGCAAACTGGCTTCAGGCGAACACAAAGGAGTGTACCAAGTGTCAGTCGACCATTGAGAAGAATGGCGGGTGCAAGTGAGTTTAAGCGCAACTTCTGAAGGACGGAGACCGCCAGCTGACAATTAGCCACATGACGTGTAAGAAGTGTAAATGGGAATTCTGCTGGGTCTGTATGGGCCCCTGGTCGGAGCACGGGACGGCATGGTATCAGTGCAACCGGTTCGACGAGAAGAGCGGGTCGGACAACAGAGATCATCAGGCCAAGAGCCGGCAGAGTCTCGAGCGGTATCTCCACGTACGTTCAGCTGTGCGTTTCAGCTTGTGTGACCGGGAGCTGACATGCCAGTACTTCAACCGCTGGGCAAACCACGAGCACTCGGCCAAGCTCGACGCGGATTTTTACAAGTCGACCCAAAAGAAGATGGAGCAGATGCAGAGCAGCGCCAACATGTCGTGGATCGAAGTGCAATTCGCCAAGCAGGCGGTGGATACTGTGATTGCGGCGAGAATCACGCTCAAATGGTCTTACTGCATGGCGTTCTAGTGAGTTTACCTGGCCAAGAAGGCTTTCAGGGCAAAAGCTGACGCTTTAGTTTGAAACGCAATAATATGACGGAGCTGTTTGAGGATAATCAGCGTGATTTGGAGCGGGCGGTAGAGACTCTCGGGTATAGCTTGGAGCAGAATATTGGGGATGTGGGGGCAATCGCCAAGCTCAGACAGGAGGTGACGAATCAGTCGGTGAGCTCGTAGCCTACTCACAACTCGCTTCATAGCTAACAGTCTAGGCGTATGTGCAGAAGAGGCATGATATCCTCATGGACGATACGCTCCGCGGGTATCTGGAGGTCAGTTGCGCAGAACATCACGACCAGTGGGTGAACGATAGCTGACTCTCTGCAGCACCGGTGGGAATTCACCGTCTGATCGCTGCTCGACCTGTACTATATTGAGCATTACACATGCATTGTGCTTATATATCAACCTCAAGTTCCAGAATTTGATCTACTCTCTACATCTTGCTCGACCCCTGCCCTAGGCCTACTGCCGCCTGATACGCCTCGTCATCTTTCCCTCTCTCCCAGGACGGCCTGGGCAGATCGCAGAACCTGTGCCGAGTCAGCTCTAGCTGATCGTCAGGGACAGATATGTAGGATTGAGGGAACTGACTGTATTGACCGAGCGTAAGACAATCCTCCGAGCCGGGCCATCGGGCGAAGTTTCTCGGGCCGGATCTTCATCGGGTCCGAGGGATCAAAGAGGAACTCTTTCTGTCTGGTCAGCTTGTCGTCCAGTGCCTCGTCAAGGAGACAAAGTGATGGGCAGGAGTTGGTTGAAGCTGGCCGCTCAGAAGGACCAGAAGTGGCCGGTGAGGAAAGGGGGAAGGATAGGGAGGAGGACATACGGCATGAAACCGCTTTATCCTCCCAAAGACAACCATGTTCGTCTTGACTCCTTCGTCGGTCACGAACTGATGATAGTGATCCAGGGTACATTCCATACTGAACGCTGATTCGGCGACATGGGGAGGTTTGACTATTCTGGATCGTCAGCTTTGTACCCACTATGTAGCTCTCCCGACCTGGCCCAAAGCATTGGAGAGCTTGTGCGGAAGATGAACCTACTCTGATGCCCGCTTTGTCAGCCCAGACAGCTTCCATTCGTCCAGATGCGGAGGGAGGTCCATGCTCGTCATATGTGACGCCTCGAGGAGCGGTTCACTTATGATCGAGACGCAGAACTGCTTGGTCTCGAGGATGTTCAGAGCGGAATCTGGGCGGATCAGCTCACCATCCTCAGATACCAGTCAGGCTGCCCCTGCGCGAGGTATAAAGCTCAGGTACAATGGTCAATAGCTCACCTTTCAGGCCTGAGGGGTTATTGGGGTTGTCCTGGATGCTGATCATCAAGGTAGGGGGCGAGGCGCTGACCATGTTGAAGAGCGAGTACGGGGCTAGCTATGGTCTCAGCTCTTCGTCCTTCTTTCAGAGATCAGATCGAGCTCGAACACCCTCACATTGTGCTGGCCTAACGAAGAGATGGTGGAGAGAAGAGCGATAGGTCTAGGGGTCTGGTGGATCAGCTCGGTACGCTTCTGTTGCTGGAACAGGCTCCGACACGCACCACAGCGGAGATCATCAACTATAGCGATATCAGCTCATAGTCTTGCTCGGGGGAATAGGGAGTCAAAGAGCTGATGCCCACCTTGTACACCTCGGACCGCTCATGCTCCGTCGGGTCAATCCCTCTCCATACCGCATTCTCAGGCCGGAAATCCTCGCTATACGGCTAGACCAGTCAGCTCCTGCTCCTCCAGCCAACGAGCAGCTGGCTATATATAGAGAACATAACATACGAGGCTGTTCAGGCCACCTCCAGGCTGGAAGTTCACCTCGGGGACTTGGGTGTAGTGCGGTCCGTACCCCGAGTCGAAAGCAGGCCGTTCGGCCTCGACCTCTGGAGTGTCAGCCCTCTGCGTCGGCGTGTATTCAGCGCATGCCGACTCACCTCTGAATGGGCGTCTGGCTTGTCCTGACATATCCTGGAGTGATGAGTGCTATCGTGAAGGTTGAGAACAACGTTGGCATTGTCGAAGTCGTCGGGATCGTCTCCCGAGTGAGGAATGCTGCAGGCTGAGTCAGTCAACGTAAGGCCGATAAGAGATAAGCCGCTATTATAGCTCTCAATGACGACAGTCAGGGGTGGGGGCAGGCCAGAGGCCTCTTCAGCGCTCGGAACAAAGTCTGCGATACTCATCTCGCTTCTGATTTACTCTGAGATATCTCATCTGGCCTGACGGTCAGCCCTCCCTCGCGTCCTCACAGACCCGCCGTCGCCTCCCTCACCCTATCTTCCCTCTCCTTCTTGACCTCCTCGAAAAGCGCCGCCAATCCCGCAGCGTTTGGCCACGACATCTTCAAGACCGTGAGGTCTTGGAAGCTGGGTGTGTCTTTGACAAGGCACTGAAGTGGGGCGTGGCGCCAGGTGGTCCGCGCTTGCCTGACCGCGTCGAGGATCACCGCGCGAGCGATAGGCTCGGGGTTCAACGCACACTGGGCGAACGCGCTGCTGACCTCCTCGAAGCTGTCATTCTCCGTAGCTGCGATGACCCAGTCGAGCGGGTCAAGGACGCAGGCTCGGTTATACTCCTGCTCGATAACCGGCAGGAGGCGGTCGCAGTCCAGGTGCTTGACGATGCGGAGGAGCCGATTGAGCTGGACGACCGAGTGCTGGCTGTACTGGATAGCGGCGAGGGTGACCGCGCAGTCCAGGAAGAGAGAGATGGTGGATCCGGCAAAGTCGACGGGGATGGCGTCGGCGGGGTCGGTCATGCGGGTAGTAAGGAGGGTGTAGAGCATGGACTTGAAGAGGGAGCTGAAAGGGTCAGTAATGTTCCATAATCTAGCATGGCTTAAATCATGCTGAGTGTTGATACAGCCATCGCGACTGATGGTGACTCACCTCTCGCGCTTGAATACGAACGAGCTGCACTGAGGAACACCGAGTCCGAGGACCGAATGATCAAGTCGGCGGATGGGTCGCAGTGGACGGGATGCCAGTCGATCTTGGGAGAAAGATCGGCGGTGGCCTGGCCGGGCGCGAGCGAGCCTGACGTCTCGCTGACGCTCATACCTTCAAACTTGCGGAGAGTGGACTTCCACATGCTAGCTGTCTCAAACTGATGATGATGATGGGGTACGTGAAGTGGTGGAAGTGCTGTTGTGAAGCTGAATTCCTGATCACCTGATGCACGCAGATAAACAAGGAGCGCTTTGTCCCTTATCGTGTGTGTCTGCGTGAACTCAAATTGCGGAAGACGCTACACGCGTGGCGTGACCCCTGATCGGGATGCTCAATAGCTCATCGACTGATAGACATGGAGCGCGATACGACCGAGCCATAACTAAGCGCTCATCGTGTAAACTCTTGACGGAGGAAGATAACCGATATCGCATTACGAGGTCAATTGATGCTATGGAGTTGATACTACCTGCTGGTCTTGGGTGTCTCACTATCAGCCGCACAACCCCTCATCCTCGAGCTCCATGCCTCCTCTCCATCGGACGCCTAACATCCGCCGCAATCGTTCTCGAGACCTAAAACACCTGTCATCACGCCACTGCCGCTACCGCCCGACCTCCGTCCCCGTCCCTCGTCCCGATCCTTCCCTTCTGGATCTCCGTGAGAAGTATACTGATCTTCTCCTCGGTCGGCCAAGCGAAGGGGCAAAGTGCCCTATCCGGGTAGAGAGGCGTATCGGGCGTAAATGCGCAGAAAAGGGGCAGATGCCACGCCTTATCCACCACGCGCGCGATCAGGCCCTTGACCACGGTAAAATCGACCCCCTTGCCCTCCCGAGCGGAATGCCGAAGAGCGTCCGCGACCTCGTTAAGGTCGTTGAGCTCGATGGCCGTGAGCAGCCAATCGTGCGGGCTGCGGACGCAAGCGCGCTTGTACTCCCGCTCGACGGGAGGAAGGAGACGCTCGCAGTCTGCATGCCGGACGATGTGGAGGAGGCGGCCGAGCTGGAGGACAGGGAAGGTCGCAAAGTAGGGGGTTATGACTGCGCGTGCGTTGACGCAGGCGAGGAAGATGGTGATTGTGGGTGCATCAAAATCGAGGGGGATGGCGTCCTCGGGTGTCATGTGCCCGACGTTGGGGATCATGGTGAACATGCCATTGTATAGCGATCTGATCCTGTTAGCTGATGATCCTTTGCCACTTGAGGCTCAGAGGAACGTCGTGATCCACTTACGTCTCCTTCTTCAGAGTGTAGCTACTTGCCCGAAAGTACACGTTATCCACCGTCGACTTCAGGACGACGTCCAGCGTCTGATCGCCGAAGACCTCATCCCAGACGACATCGGCTGAAAAGCTGGTCAGCTCCTTCAATTTACGGTATCACTCCGATCATCATACTTACTGGCAGAGGAGGATGAGGGCTCGGACATGGTGGGTAGGCTGGATGATGTGATGTGGTGATGTGGAAGCCGGAAGGCGACCCGCAGCGCTTTGTTTGGCGGGGTCAAAGCTCAGGTCCGCGCCCAGGATGGACGCGTGTGTCTATATGTGTGCGATCAAACCTTGCTCACTGCACCGCTTGGCACTGACCCCAGTCGCTCACATAGATCACTTCTACTGCTGGTCACAGCTGTGATATGCTTGTAGTCGGACGAAGCAGAAGCAATATGATGAAAGAGAGGGCTGCTGAAGATCCGCCGCGACCGACTTCCGTGACGGTGATATCAGAGCTGTACCAATCTACCGTGCGGAGATTATGTATAGATTTCCTGCCTGGTCCTATGCTTACATGTACTCCAATCTCTACATCTGACACGCCCACATTACGCCCCGAACGTGCTGATACCCATAACCTCTCTACCCTCCTCAGCCGCCTCCCGCCTGTTCCGCTCCACGTCCCTCCCAAACTGCCTCGCCCTCCCCTTATCCGGCCACTTTGGCGTCAACCACTTGTCATGGCCCCGGTGCAGGAGGCAGACCGACATGGCATGACGCCACGCGGGTCTGACGCACCAGAGGAGGTCCGAAAACTTCGCCGAGTCCAGCGCGATATTGACGCGCCCACACCGCCGCAGCGCCCGCTTTGCCTCCTTGACGTCGTTGTCGCTGCTGGCCGCCAGAAGATGCTTGACCGGGTGTTTCCTGCACACCCGCCTGTATGAGGGCTGGACCTGCTCGACCAGGCGTTGGCAGCCGAGGTAGAGGACGAGTTTGCGGTACTGGTAGAGGGCTTGGAAAGGGAGGGTGGATAGGTTGGACGCGTCGGCCGATTGACAGCGGGTGAGGAAGAGCGCGACGGTATCGGCGGAGAAGTGGAGGGAGATCGCTTCCTGGTCACCCATAGGCGGGTATAGCGCAGGATCGAGCATCCTTTTGATGACGGTGCTACAACGGTCAGCTTTCTGGTCTTGGCAGCTTCGTACTCGACTACACGGTCCGTGCTGCGCGACTTACCTTTCTCGCTTCAGCACCCAGGAACTTCCCCTCAAAAGCACCCCGTCGTTCGAGTTCAGCACAATGTCCATCACCGGATCATTGTGCCACTCGTGCCACCTGAACTTGGGCTTATCCGCCTCCTCCTCCGCCCCAAGGGCATCCTGCTTCAGAGCCGCGACCGCCTCCTCGTTCGGCCTTGGGTGCTCTTGCGGCGCGTTGGGATTGGCTATCTCGATGGGATCGTCCGATTTGTCGTCGATAATGATCACAGCGTAGCCGGACATTGTGACCATGTAGGCGAGATGTATGACAATAGCATAGCTCGGTCGAAATTTGCGCAAAGGCCACCCGCCGATGGGACCCTGAGAAGATCGTGTGTATACACACAATCCTACGTGCCCCGTTTCATAGACTCCCGCTCCTTCGCCCGTCCTCGTACCCTGATCGTATGGCACAGCTCGGACAGAAGCACCTCTCACACACCTTAACAGCTGTAACATCGCGTGAGGGGGTAGCGCGGGACGTATTGGTTCCCTGTGGTGACCATGCCAAAGGTGGCTCGCAGCACGACGCAGCTTGAAATTTGGCTGGTGTTTCGGAGTCCGTGCGTCATGTTTCATGTCGCGGAATGAGGAGCGGTCACGGTCATCCAAGGGGAGGGAGCGCTTGGGATGCTGCCTGCATCTTCAAGTTCGTCTGCGTACCCCCGTCAAGCTGCCCTCGTCGCTCTTGTTCCCGATGCGGCTGCTGCTTAGTCCCTCCTCCTCACCGCCCAAACCCTGGTTGTCCACATTGGCCGCCTTGATCCTCCCGTTCTGCGCCCGCCCATACGAGCGCCAGGTCCTGCGTCTATCTCCGGGCGATGTTGGACACTGATCAGGTTGTAATTGGCGTGCCATAGGATCTCCTAGCTTTGATGTATTGGCAAGCTGCGCGCGGCGCCGGGATCGGTCACGTCGGATGACTTGACGAGCGAGTAATGAGGATACGCATACGAGGGTGGGGATGGTGGGCATGGCATATGGGGCGGCGAGACCGAGTTGACCATCGGTCACTGGACTCCGGAATCCACTGCTGACGTGTGCTCAGCCAATAGCGCTATCCAGATCAGCTGAGTCCTGTGCTTCACCGTATTGCCGCCGACTCGGCGGCTAAACCGTCACACCGTGTCTCCATCGGCAACTGCCGCATCCTCTCGTCTCAAAGACAGGTACGCCCCCGAGGCGAGATGACGGCCCTCCCAGCCTCAATCGATTCATCCGTGGCCGCATAGCCGCTGCGGACTTGTGCTGAGCTAATATAGGTGACGTCATCACCGTCTCGTAAGCGGTACTACACCGCATTCCTCACAACGCTCCAGAAGCTTTTACCCGGATAATATCGGCGGTGACTCTGTGTATCATGCTAAGTATTCCAGGTCATCGAAGAAGCGATGGCACTGCTTGAGATATCGGTCGAGAGCTTACGAGCAGGGGCCGGCTGAAAGGGCCGAGTGGGGCAGTACTAGCGTAGATTTACTGTCACGTGCCGCTAGTCTGTTCAGCCGGCCCGGTCCGGTATATCCGGCTGGTAACCATTGCCTCTGCCTCAGCTTGTCCTAGTCCGCCCCATGTGCTACTAAGACAGAGAAGCGAAGCTGTGCCTCTCATACTCATCCTCAATATGACTGATTCAAAGTATAAACACCTGACCGACACAGAAGCCCAGCACTTTCTGGAGCACGGCTGGGTCCGCATTCCGAATGCCATCGATCCCCAGTACTTCTCTTGGCTGGACGACTTCTGGCCGAGGGCAGGTATGGACCCCGGTGACAAATCGACCTGGGTGCCAGAGTACATCAAGCTTCCTCGACATCGTGAGGCGCGGTGCGAAGAGTTTTGCCCCGAGGCGTGGCCAAAAATCCTCGATATCGTCGGTGGTGAGGACAAGATTGACCCAGTCAGGGAGAGGTGGTTTGGGGACCAGTTCATCGTGAACTTTGGTACGGAGGAATGGAAGACAAAGGAGCACACTAGGCAAGATCTGCGTGGCTGGCATACGGATAATGACTGGTGAGTATGCATTGGGACCGGGCTGATGCTAGGTACCGTCAATTCTTGGACTCAAGCGGGAACGCCCTTACCCTGATCTTTTGCTTTTCGGATGTCCCGCCCGGGGGCGGAGGGACTGCAGTCATGGAGGATGGCATTGCTGGCAAGTTCACGTTCTGAATTGAGCTGATCCCAGGCTACGCAAAGCAGCTATATGAGGCTCCCGAGGGAATTGATCCCCCGCTGGAGCACCTATATACCCATCTCGGAAAGTGCGAGAAGCTCAGCACGGTAGTGGCCAACAAGGGGGATCTCATCATCACCCACTCGCTTCTACCACACACGTATACGCCCAACCACTGTCATTTCCCTCGAATCATCACCAATCCCCACGTCAACCTGGTTGAGCCTTGGGACCTCAATCGCCCAGACCGGAACTACGTGAGCTCATCCATCACATCTGCGAGTCCCAAAGCTGAGCGCTGATCCTTAGACTCTCTGCGAGCAAGTCATCCTCCGCGCCCTCGGGCGAGAATCCATACCGGAATACAAGCCAACACGCGAGCGATTGGCTTATTATCCCCGGACAGCCTTCTTCAAGCGCGAGCGTGTCAAGGGGGAGTTGGAGCGCATGATCGCCGCGGCCGAGGCCAAGGGAGGGTCCAAGGCGGACGTCGACTCGGTATACCTGAGAGGGGAGGAGGCCATCAAGGAGCACGAGCGGAGGAACGGGTACGACAAGGAATTTGGGCCGAATGGGGTGTTGTCCAAGTACGACGTTGATGGGAAGGCTCGGGCTCCTGTTACCATCACCAAGCAGCAGGTAGTGTGAGCAATTCTGATAGCAAAGTATCGAGTTGTAGATGTACCCGCTACATGTTGTAGGGATTGTGGACACCATTGCCAATCAGACTGTTTGACGATGTAGATAAGTAGTGGACTGTTCCTCTCTCCTTAGGCTAGGCCATCCAACGTTCAGCTCAGTCACCACAACGTGGCTCACTCAAAACGTGCTGCAGAATGCCTAGCTGGTATGACCGCATCTGGCAGGAAGTCACACATAAGACTTCTACTCGATCTCCTTGGTTCCCTTCTCTATCGCCGCCTTATACTCCGGGAGATCCTTGACATCGGCCCAAGCGGGTCTCGGCAGCTCAGAGTATCTGATATATCAGCTGGGTGTGCCACCTTTCTCTCTCCTTGCTTCGGTACTCACTGTGTTGAGCGGGCGTAGGTGATGCCACCTAGACGGGATACGGGCCTCAACTTCTCTGCAAGCACCTTCATCTTATCCTCCGGGTCAAAGATGAACTCCTTCTGGTCCACATCAGCTTAAGATCTCTCCCGTTCAGCTGAAAAGAAAGGACTTACAGTCTGGAACCGCCTTATCCGGCCCAGAACGACAGTGTTGGACAGCTCGCCCGCATCATTTCGAAGCTCGTACCAGTGCTGAAGCGTGCACTCCATGCTGAACGCAGCTTCGGCCACATGGGGGACATCTACAGATCTGTCGAGTCAGCTGCACCCGGCATCAACGATCTCCCATAGTCCGCGAAGGGCAGAGAGCAGATTCCATCCAATTCACTCAGACTTCCGCTTGGTCAGACCCGAAAGATCCCATTCTTGCATTTCTGGTGGCAGGTCAATCGAGGTGACATTCGCCGCTTCGAGGAAGGGCTCGGAGATGATGGACACGCAGAACTCTTTGGTTTCTCTTATGTTGTACGCCGAATCTGGCTGCATCAGCTTTTACACTTTTATGGCCGGGCTCCCGAGACTCAGTAGACCGACTCACCTTTCAAGCCAGAGGGGTTCTTGGGATTGCTTTGTATTGACACCATGATGGTCGGTGGGTTGTGGCTGATCATGTTGAAGTAAGAAAAGGGAGCGAGCTGCATACATCAGCGTCTGACCTTCCAGCAGCAGGCAAGGTCGACGAATCAAAATCACATTGCACTTGCCCTCTGGCGATTTTGTCGAGAGGAAAGCGATAGGCCGAGGTGTCTATGTGCCTCAGCCTCGGATCCAGGTGGACTGCTGCTGGGACGGCACTGTTGACTCACGATCCCCGAAATCATCAGCTGGAGAGTCAGCTCAAGTCCCATGCGGATTGTGGAGACGTCCTCACCTTGTACAGCTGTGGCTTCTCGAAGTCTTTGGGGTCTATGACCCGCCATTGAGCATCCTCCGGCTTGAACTGCTCGCTATCAGGCTGACATGTCAGCTTAATGCCCTCTAGCGCCCGACGTATCAGGTCGACCAGTTGGGTCGTATGAGTATCTGAGCGCTGAGCAGCTCATCCGGTCTCACTGACCAGATTGTTGAGGCCTCCGCCAGGCTGCCAGTCAGGCTGAGGCACCTTTGTGACGGTGTGCTGGAAAGCATCATCAAAGTCGGGACGGCTAGCTTCAACTTCTGTTTCGAGTGAGCCGGCTGCGTCTCCCCTCGCATCCTCCGCCGAGGTAGAACGTACCCTTGAAGGGCGGATGGGGAGCCATTCTGGATGTCTGATGGGGTCGTTTGGTGAAGATCGCTCGACAAAGAGAGCGTTTCATGCAAGAGAGACAGAGCAGGAGAGCCCAAAGCAAGGCCAAAGGCAGCATGACGTCGGCGAACCAGCTGCAGTGCGGCCGTAACCGGAATCATACCGTAATCCGAGGAATGTCGGCTCAATTGCTTGCCGAGCCCGAGGTGGGGGATTGATCGATTGGGTGGGGATGTCCAACAGGTCCAGCCCAGTCCCGCCGTCTTGTCATGCTTGTGCTTGCTGTGTGCTGGACGCGGCTCAACGTGGACTGTTGCCTGAACATAGCTTTATACCTTATACATATACATGCCATGTAGACTGCCGCACATCCTTCCTTTTTGTGACCATATCTGGACTGCCTGATTATACTTTCGTTGTTCCTCTCTTCCATCAAGATCGCCTTTCCGGTACTCAGCAGGTGTACTTTATGTCCATATCCAGCGTCGGAACCCCCTGGAATCCCTTCTGCACATAGTATGTAACTGGGTAGGCTGCTTGATCAGCTCGATCCAGGACAAGATCACAGATTCAGCCAGGCGAGCTCACTTGGATCGCCCGCAAGAGTAAACTCTGCGTATCTCCCGATGGTTACGTTCATGCCAGGATGGTTGACCGTGACGTTGAGACAAGGTAGGTTGTCAAACCCATTCATCTGGAAGATCAGCTCGAATCTTTGGTACAGTCAGCCCAAGGGGGACTCACCACTTTGCCAGCGTTGTTGTACTCTGCCGGGATCCCAACAATGTAGAATTGCATCCTGTCGGTGCCAGCCTGAGTGGTATTGGGGTACGTGATGCGAACGTGATTCTTGGTGACGGTGGCGTTGATGGTGGTGGCTGTGGGGTACAGCTGGAAGAAGGCGACTTGGGGCCGCTCGGGAGTTGCGGATTCCGCAGCCTTCCAGTGAGCGATCAGGGGCCTGTTGATCATCAGCTCTTGACTCTACATGGCCGGGCAATAGTGAAGACATACACAAACTGCCCTCCTCGGACGACCTCCTCGGCCAGCTCTTGCCCGCCCACCATGACGTTAGGACTGATCCACATCGTGTCCGTCCGAGTGGTCTGGTTGTCAATCGAGTCCCGCACGAACCTCTTTGTAAGGTAGTCGCCAGTTCGAGGGGTGGTGAACTTGTTGATGACATCCTGGCTGACGACCGAGCGGACAGTTGAGCCGAGCAGGGCGAAGCTGGGCTACTCAGCTTTAATCCTGCAGCGAATGTAGAGTAACGCTCACCTTGCACCTTGATGAGCATCGTACAGCGTGCTTCCTGCGCCTTTGGGAGCGACCGCCGCTTTCTGACGACCCAAGAGTTGCCAGAACCAAAGAGAGGTGATGCTGTTGTCCACGAGCCTGTCCGTCAGCCATGTCTGGTCACCTCAAGGAGTAGTGTACTTACATGTTGCGGTGTGCAGCTCGGTCATAGGGACCGACGATGTTTTTAAGGTTGCTATCATCAGCCACGGATAAATGGGCACTTACTAGTTGTACAGATCGGCGATATCCTCCCACTGCACAGTCAGCTAGGTCATAGATCGGCGGAACGTGGTACTTACCAGTTTCGCCAGCATGAACTTTGCCTTTCCGGGAAGGGATGAACCTGGAGGAGCGTGACGGATCCACTGAGCAAGCAGTGCAATGTCCTCGCCGTAGTACGCTAGTCTATCAGCTGCCAGCATGGGACCGGGTCTAGCGACTTACTCAAAGCATTGTATTCCGCACTGCCAGGCGTCAGCTTGATCCATGGACATCACATGAAGTTAAACTTACAAGGTGTTGTATCCCTCCGCCGTAAAGAGATCGTACACTTCTTGAGCATACATCTCCCCAGCACGAGTGAGATTCTGGTCGAACAATCGATCCCCGGTCCAGCTGACGAGTATAGCTCTACCAAGAGCAGGGTTCCTGATCGTCAGCACTGCACTCAGAAGTGAACTCACGTGTAAGCTGTGACCAAGTTGTCTCCGTTGTACCCCACTCGAGCCATCAGACCCCTACTGGCCCGGTAACAGCTCTTGACGATGGCTTCTACGAGCGCTGGCTCAAGCTTGGATTCGAACTCCTCGACGAGCTGCATGAACGTGACGCCAATGAAGAAGCTCCAGTTGGGGTCGTAGGTGTTGTAGATGAGAGGTTTCCATGATGTGGCTGGGTCAGGAGCTGAGGCGTCAGTCGTGTCGAAGTGGTCAAATGAGAGTGAGGCTTACAGTTCGCTGCGACCTTGTAAGTGCCGTGCCAGGGCTCGGAGAAGGTATCATTGACGAATTGGGCCGAGATGCTGTTCTTGTCAGCTTCATCCTGCAAGAGCGACGACGGGACTCACACGTTACGAGTAGCTCGGTGTGCCCTTGCAACATCTCCGGGACCACCTCGATGCATGAGACCGACAATGTACCACGACGTGAAGCGAACATCGTAGACTCCTATCCAGCCGATGTCCTCATTCCACTCGAGATCACCAATAGTCATCGAATAGTCGAAGAGCTCAGAATCATACTGGCTGAGCTGGTAGGCGGGCTTGCCATTGTCCCATCGAGGTTCGAGGGCCGAGCGGCTGTCGAGTTGGGATGGTGCAGCAAGAGCAGCGGTGCTCAAGAGGAATGAGCCGAGAAGTGGGACTAGAGATGAGAACCTCATGATGCGATGAGTATGGGGTGAAGGAGTGTGGGGAGATGGTAGCTGCAGTGGGGCCTCATTATATCAAGCGGGGAGAGGTGAGGGGGAGTGGACCGAAGTTCGGGATTCGGCAGGCCTAGAATCGACCGAAATGACGCTAGCGCCGGGCCGGCGGCGGATGGCGCAGCGCCATGTGGAATGTGGGTGCTTGGCAGTGTCTGCATGTGCGGTAAGGCCGAGGAATGCTTGGAAGACGCTCGGAGGACGGATGGAGTTGCTCGTTGGTAAACGAAATCGACCGAAGGGCGAACCGACCCGGATATAGGATAAGCGGCCCTATAAGGCTACTTCCGGCTCCCCGCGGTATTTTGGGTCCAGCGCCCCCTTCATCATCAAGGCCACCACGACGACCAGGGTGCCCAAGTGCAGGGCAACGTGCAAATTGAGAGGCGGAGGCGTACCTAGTGTCTGGTGCGAATTGCAATGATGTCGCGGAAGGCGAGGGCCTCGGATACGCCGCTGGACATACGGTAGGCAACGAAATGAGCTCGAGAAAGTGGCAGCGTGTGGGTGGCATGCCGTGGTGGATCATCTCCCAGGCACAAACTGGACACTGACACGCGGAGTGCTGAGCTGATGGTGTAGCGAAATGACGGGTACTGCCATCACCCTCCGCCGAGGGTCAGTCGACTTAAGTGGTACCACGAATGAAATGAGCTGTGTCGGTCCCAAGGAGAAGTGAAGATACTTGCAGGACGGGGATAGAGTCGAGGAATGGTGACCGAAAGGGGAGGCTTGGGGCATGCCATCAAGTACGAGTAGTCGGATAGGATACATCGACATGTCGCTTCGGATCATGCATCATGATGAGGCATCTTCGTGTAGTAGGACGTACTCCCTGGAGGAGGTCCCGAATTTGACGACTATCAGTCAGTGACGGCTTCCAAGCTCTCTCGGAATGGGCTAACTCACCATCAGTATTTCTCAGCTCATAATATCTGCAGACATGAGCTCAGCCCTCTACTCGGCGGAACCCAATGAGCGACTCACCTGCTCTTCGGTATCTCTGCGTCGTTGACGTATGTACCGTTCGTCGAGTCGAGATCAATGACGAATGGCCTGGGGATTAGCAGTATCACACGAGAAGGTGATAAGGCGCTTACTTGATGGATGTTGTCGCGTCGCCATACTCATTCTTCTCGGTGATTTGCCTGTACTGGATGACGGCGTGCTGTTTCGAGCAGGAGGGATGTGCTATGGGTATATCTGTGACCTATCAAATCAGCTGTGTTCCTTCGCACCGAAGTCTTGAGGCAACTGACTATCTCGTCTCGACCGACTAGGTATGCTGATTGGCGGTAAATATGGATAAGGTCTGCCTCATCAGCTCTTGACCCGCGTAATCAGGTATCCGGCAGCTCACCTATCTGCTCCTTCCCCTTGAAGACGTAGAGTCTCCAGTTCTTGAGCGGCTTTCGAGCTTCTGGTGGCTCATTGTACTTCATTTGCACCCCCTTGACGGTATTGGTCTCCTTGGCGAGCAGACCTGACTGGTTGAAGTTCGGTTTTGGAGGCTCGACGGGCTTGTCGCCTGCCTGAAAATCGGTAAGCTGGACGTCATGGTGCTCTATTCCTCTTCCTCTTCAGTGCTGGACATGGTACTCACCCCTTCGTCGTACTTCTTCCTCTCTGCCTCCCTCTCCTTCTCTCTATCTCCCTCACCATACCCCTCCTCCTTCACCCTCGTCTTCCGCCCCTCATACCCATTGTCTCTCGCCTTCCCGTTCCCTCTCTCCTCCCTCTCTCTGTATCTATCTTCTCCTCGTGGCGGACGAGCATCCTCTCTCTCGCGCTTATGTGGGCGTCCAGGCGATCGACGCCGGGATCCTGCTCCTCCACCTTGCGTCTCGGTCTCTCGCGTTTCGGGCGAGCACGAGTCGCGTCTCTTCCGCGAGGCGCGCGGTGGGGAGCCATCCTCCCGTCGGATGGAGGGTATGTACTTCTGTGGTGCGTCTAAGGACATCGTGCTGTTAGTGATGATGAGAGGAGGGAGCAAAGCCTGACTAGATGTTGCAGTCGCGAGCTGACTGGGCTATCGCCTAGCCAAAAGCCACGTGGCCAAATCTGTCCACCTGCTGCTGTAGCTTAGCGCTGGCCGCCGCATCCCTAGACTTGTGCGTTTGCATCTATCTCATTGTCCATCGTTCATACGCTGAGGCAGTTCACTCAGGGCCAGGTACTTAAGCAGCTGCCCAATCGTCACAGCGAGATAACCACCAAGTCGGTCCAGGCGGCTGGGATCCCAAAAGTCGCGTCAATGTCTCGCAAAGCCCTCGAGCTACAGCTCGCCGACGCCCGCACTCAGCTCATTGAAGCTCAGCGCGAGCTCGAGCTCTCCACCTTCCTCAACAAAGGCGTCCTCCAGTCTAATTCGGAGTTCAAGCTTCGTATTGCCGAGCTAGAGCAGGAGAACTCGGTGCTGCGGGTCGCAGAGTCGCGTCTAGCACGGACGGAAGACAAGGCGGAGCTGGCGGAAAGGCGGGCCAAGGAGGTTTTTGAAGAGATGAGGGACAAGGAGGCAGAGTGGGAGAGTGCGGTACGGGCGGAGGTGGAAGTAAGAGAGGGATTGGAAGTGGAATTAGAGTCGCTGAGGGAAGAAGTGAGGGGATGGAGGGAGGTAGGGGAGCGGATAGGCGGATTGATGGCGAGGTCGAGCACCAGGGGGGAGAGGAGCGTCCGAAGGACTAATGCTGTTGCTGGGCCAAGCAGGGTGAGTCTTTTCTGGAAGAGTCGCATAGGCGACTGCTGAGTCCTAGCAGTCCCAAGCTACTCGAGCGACCCCTCTTACTCCTTCATCGAGCAAAGCGTTGTCCAGATTCGAGGCGTCGGCACAGCGCAGACCACCGTCCCCGACAGTGTTGATCCAGTCCACCCGAATATCGAAGCGGAGAAGACGCATAGAGGATAGCGGGAGTGCAACCGAAGAGGACAACGCGGACACTTACGCTGTAAGCTGTTTGATCCCTGTCGTATCTCCAGGATAATAGCTGACTGGCTAGCCTTCATCGCCAGCAGCCGACCGTACTCCTCTGAGACCAACAAGACCTGCGGCCGTCCGAAACACTCGGGCCAACTCAGCCAGCACGAAGAAGCGCGACAGTCAACCTGCCGTCAAGCGAGCTGATACGGGCCGAACCAGGCGGTCTTCTCCCGCGCCGCCTGTGAATGAGGTCAAGGTGGAGGAAAGGTCGCCGGACAGGGAGTCCGAAGAGAGTGAAGATGGTCAGCGGAATCTTTGCTGAGCTAAAAGGTGCATGCTGACGAAGACAGATCCGTTGTATATGGAATAGACTGTAATAGTAGGGCTATATGTACCGTGACTTGACATGTCAAAGGTATGGACATTGTACGCATGACAAAGGCTGATGCTCCGTGGTATAGACTTACGGCTTACATGTCTGATTGCTGGGCAAAGGGATCATTTACTCAGTCTCCTTTGTCATAATCACTATCTCCCTCACGAAGGCTCGACGTCTGACTCTCATGTTACCTGCTACTTGCTATGGCAGCACCTGGCGTTTGCTACTCTACCGGCTATCTGCTATCTCCTCGCCTAGCTTTCTGCCCTATGACATCGCCTACTTTTGACATGTCGAGAGTACAGCTAAACGACGGCACCTATATGCCCAGCACAGGCATCAACACCGGTAGGTCCGTCTACCCTGATACACCTGGGCCAGACAAGCTGATGTTATGCCCAGGCAACGGTCTTGTCGGACTCGAGTGCACTAATCTTATCCTATCGGCTTTGAACGCGGGATATCGACTGATCGACACCGCTCCGGACCATCAGAATGCCGAGTCTGTCGGGGCGGCTCTCCAGCGATGGAGCGGCGACAGAGCGGATGTGTACATCGTCAGCCAGTGTGAGCTCTGCTCAAATATGCGGAAATTGGGGCGTTATTGATTTCCAGTTGGCTTCAGGGGCGGTAATGGCGCAGAACAGGATCCCAGGACAGTCCTCCTTGAGGAAATGAAACTGGTCAGTACATCACAACCTGCCGTCGGACGAAGTCGCTGATCAGCCAGATGCAAGTGTCATATTTGGATATGTGTAAGTGCTTGAGCTCCTAATGACGACTGCAGGGTCACTGACGAGCCAGATCTCCTTCCTGGACTGTACGTGAGTGCTTATCGCTGCAGTGCATAATTACGTGAACTATAAGCTGAAGCTGAGATATACAGGCCACGAGCCCGCACCTCGCAGACTATTGGAAGACTATGGAGCAACTGCAAGCCGAAGGTCTGACCAGATCTATCGGCGTCAGCGACTTTCGAGCGGAAGACATTCTTGAGCTCAAGAAAAGCTGGATCACCCCGCCCGCGGTCAACCAGGTAGGTCTAGTCCAGCATTCATTTGTTACCGCTGATTAACGACCATTAGATGGAATACCACCCTTACGTCTACCACGCGCCCAACATGCTACGCCTCCGCAGTATCATGGATACCGAGCACATCAAGGTGATAGCATACGGTCCCCTCTGCCCGATGTTCCGATCGAAAGACGGTCCAGTCGATCCGGTCGTGGCCCGTATTGCAGACAGACATGGCGTGGGCCAGGACGAGGTGCTTTTGGCTTGGGCTACGCAGTATGGAGGGGGAGCTGCTGTGACGTTGGTCAATGTTCTCATGGAGATGTGAGTTTGAAGACCGTCTCTTCTCCCCAGGACCCTGCCTGATTGAGCTGATGACGAAGACATCGAGACACACCAAGGAAGACTGAAGTACCCTCTAATGAGGCTGTGGACGGGATGATGCTTACGCAGGAAGATTTAGATCAGATCGCTGAAGCGGGCAAGGGGAGATTCTTCCGATTTGCGGAGGCGGAGGTATGGAGGGATGCCCTACCGTGAGGTACCGGTCCGGTATGTCGATCCATCGATAGTCTAGGGACCAGCTATACTGCTCTGAGGTCGGCGTGCACTATGCTCTGGCGCCATATTCCTCAGCCCTCTGAGCTCACTCCCTGCACTCCCTGCATCCCAGCGCAAGCTCGTGCCCGCAAATACACCACCCGGACGAGGCCGAGTGGGGGACTCCCTTGAGTGGGGTGGGTACCTTCACCGGTTCCGAACCCTATTTCTGGCATCACCTTTACTGTTCAGCGATCACTTCCCTTCCCTGCTTCATACATCCAGCATGTCATCTTCCCCGATCAACCTCAACGACGGCACCATCATCCCACCGATTGGCTTTGGGACAGGTCAGACCAACAGCTTTAGCGGGGAAGCAGGACTGACTGTGAAGGGACCGGCCTGTACGGCTCAGAATGTGCCGATCTCGTTCTTTCCGCTCTGAACGCAGGATACAGATACCTCGACTCTGCACAGATGTACCGTAATGGGAGCTCTATCGGGGAGGCGCTCAAGAGATGGGAGGGTGGGAGTAGGAAGGACGTGTATATTGTGACCAAGTGTAAGCCTTCCTTTGTCCTTCCCTACACGGTCAAACGCTGATCGGACAAGTCGGGCAAGATGGGCTCAAGGAGGAGGATTGGGAGCCTCGGAAGGTCCTCAAGGAGCAGATGAAGCTGGTACGTACGGAGAGTCTGCTATTTGGGCCGGTAGCTCACCAGATAGATGGGCGTTGATCATGTTGACCTATGTACGTGGACCCTTTCGTACTGTTCCATTCTGCTTGCTGATGATCGCTAGACCTGATCCACAGCCCACTGGTGAGTCTATCAATCGAGTCAAAGTCGACGGGGACCCTGTGCCGTGGGCCTTCTCACGCTGACCCAACAGTTCGCCAAGCCGAACCTACAAGAATGCTGGAAGACCATGGAAGCGCTTCAGAAGGAAGGCCTGACCAAGTCGATTGGGGTCAGTAACTTCCGCGAAGAGGATATCTTGGAGATCAAGAAGGTGTGGACTGTCCCTCCTACGGTCAACCAGGTACGTCCAGCTTTAACATTTATCATGGCCTCGTCCCGCTCCTCAGCGCTCAGCGCCCGACTGACACCCCAGATCGAATACCATCCCTACGTGTACCACGCGCCGAACATGCTCCGCCTCCGATCCCTGATGGACGCCCACGATATCAAGATTGAGGCATACGGACCTCTTACCGCTCTGTTTAGGTCCACGGGCGGGCCGGTCGAAAAAGTGATACGCGGCATTGCGGAGAAACACGGGTCGACCGAGGCGCAGGTCCACTTGGCTTGGGCAAAGCAGTACGGTGACGGAGTCATTGTGACGTACGTCCAGCCCTCCCAATCGTAGAGGGGTAGAGCTGACAGACAGTACCTCCCGTAATGAAGGACGGCAGAAGGAGCAGCTCGCTTCACTCGACAAGGTGACTCTCACCGCGGACGAAGTGGAACAGATCGCTCAGGCGGGTAAGGGCCGTTTCTTCCGTTTCTTCATGAAGCACATATGGGACGAGGCGAAGCCATGATGTCAGTAAACGAAGATGCAAGCTCTGAAGGGCAAGATGCATCTTACTTTGGGACAGGAAACGAGTAGTCCCCCGCTTCAAAGCGAACTCGTTTCCCTTCCCCAAGACTCCGATATGGCATGAGCCAGATCACGGCGCTCCCTTCTCCCTCTGCTTCCGTCCCTGCTATTCTCCAGCCATTTTCTCCTACCCCTCCATCCGCACTCGCCCTTCCTTCCTCCAATTTCTCGACTTTCCGGCTGAGCCGCTCCCGCTCCACTTCCCAATTTCCCTGCGTCCACCCCCTCACTTTCCACCGCCCCTGCGCGTACATTTCCCGCCAAACGACATTCCCCATACTCAGCGTCGTCATCCCTTCTTCCGCGCCTCGGGCCATACTGCCCAGACTGACAATCGGGAGCGGGACACTCAGGTCCGCTACTTTCGGTACCGGTAGCCTGTCAGGGCGGAGGAAGGTCGGCAGGTCCGCGTGCTTCGTATGGAGGAGAGAGGGGTCGGCGACTGTGGCTGCTTGTTCGGCGAGAAAAAGGCGGGCGGTGGCTGCTGTGGAAAGATGGAGGGAGCGTAGACCGTCTGGGCTCATACGTATCGGCTCGTCCGATCCTGATAGTGGTGGTCGTTCCGGAAAGATCCGAAGGTTCAACCCCGCCAAACACCCCTCTTGGCCCTCATATCTCGATCCTTCCCAAAAGTCGCCTTCCTCCATCCCGATCAGGCGCCGCATGCGCTGCTGCTCCATTCCCACGCCCACGACCGCCTTGTTACTCATCGCCTCCTTGAGATGCAATAGCGCCGCTTCGGTTGTCCAGAACTCGACTGCGCCGTTCCCGCCCGCGTTCTTGTCCGCTAAAATGGCACGCTCGAGCGTATCCCGTAGCTCTTCGATGAGCGGCGCGCGCACCTCGTCCGTCGCTTCTTTGAGCAATTCTCGCGAGTGCTGAGACTGGCGCGCGTCATCATAGCCGTCCAGCCAAGCCTCGCGGGCTTCGCCTTCCAGGCCCGGAGTGGCCAGGGGAGTGGCCGTCCCCGACCCGGAACCCGCTTGGTGCAAGTACCGCCTGGGCCGGAAGTATCGACGGCGCGCCTGGTGCATGTCTCTCGGAAGAGCGTGGTGTAGGGCGTCTGCGCATATCCCGACGAGGGCGGTGGGGTCGATGTTGATCTTCAGGCTGGGTAAGAGTTCCTTTGGGGGTGGAATGGGCGGAGGAAGGGAGGATAGGGGTAAGGAGGACAGATCGCCGAAGAGAAGATTGATATCTAGCGAGCGGAGGACGTTGAACGTCTCGTTCACCCGCGGATCCGTTGCGCCGTCGGACGAAGGGTGGAGGCGGGTGAGCCGAATAGTGATGGATGGAGGGGAAGTACCGGGTGGACGAGGTGATAAGTCGGCGAGGGAGAGTAAGGCTCGAGCGGTAGTGAGGAGGGAATTGGACAGGGCGGGTGTTGCAGGTCGAGTGGAGGATGATCCCGCATTGTCTTCCTGATCCGAGTCAGACCAGTCAGAGGTAGCATACGAGTCCTGTTCCCTGAACTCCGCCAACATCTGCGACTCTTTCTTTCTGCTCATCAGCCCTCATCCCCAGTTCACAAACACCGCCTGACCCGGGAACAGACTCACGTCCACAGCTTGATCCACTCAGCTCCACCCCTACATATCACATCAATGACCTCCTCCTCTCCTCCTCCGGCGCGCGCCTTGGCCTGTCCCTGCGCCTTTGACTTGCTCGCTTGTTTCTTCCGATCAAACGTCTGTCCGTTGATCTTGGGCGCGACGGAGCTCATCGTTACGCGGATCCCTGTGATGGGTGTCGGAGCGGACAGAATGGTTTTGGCGAGTGTGAAGCTGGAAGAAACAGGTGGGAGGGGGGAGTCGCGGGGATCGATACTGTGTGCTCGGGACTTTTGCTACGTCGTCAGCCGAATGTTCGACCACAGCCTCTCGACACTCTTGAGTCATGCGACTCACAGTCTCCAGCGCCAAGTACTGTTTGTCCAGAGCTTGGAGATATCGACTCCACCCCATGATATCCAACTGCGCCCACTCGGTCCGTGTCCTCCCCTTCCCCTTCGCCGGTGCTTTTCCCTTCATCTGCCCTCTACCCCCTTCTGACTCTTCGACACCATCTATTTCGGCTTCAGATTCCATCTCCCATCCTTCCATAGGGATCGCAGACCGCAGGACCTGCTTGTCGATCACGGCGGCGCGATACATCAAGCGCGAAACATCGAGGGCGCGCAGGTGCGAAATGAGCTCCGCAGATAGCGCCAGGGCCTCGGATAGGTCGCGATGCTGCGTGGGCTCGGACATCTTGCGACCCTAGAGATCTACCCGGGCCGACCCAGGAGAAAGAAATGAAAGAAACAAGATGGCAGATTGAAGTACAATAGATGCTGCTTGACGAAATTTTGAAACGCGTTTGCGAGACTCGACGAGGAATGAGGAGTTGGGATGGGTGGGGCGATGATCGATGCCCAACGGCTCGCAGAAGCGCATCCGACCAGTGCCCGTAGCCAGTCGGTAGCCAGTCGCGGACGTCCGCGAAAAGACAGCAGGCGCACTCGGTACATACACTAGCGTACAACACATGACTCCCTGACTCTTGTCTCCAACCATTTACTCCATGCCCGCAAAGAGCCCCTCCCCATGTAACCCCCGCAACTCTTCCTCAATCGTCTCAAACCCCGTCTCATCCATATCCACATGTGGCGCCTCACCCATCCCCACTCCGCCTTCCAACCCATCATCCCTCATAGACCCTTCGAGGGCATTCAGCGCATCTCCTGCTTTTGCCAGCCGCATCATCTCTTCATTCCCCATCCCCAATCCCTCCCCCATATCCTCCTCATCCTCTCCTAGCGCACCTGGTCCGTTCGCCTCGGGTACCGCCAGCGCGGACGGTTCCCCCTCAGCGATGATGGCGGGATCTATAGGACCCGCCTCTGCCGCTCCTTCCGCCTCTGCCTGCGCTTGTTCTTTCATTTCGTCGGCGTTTTGAAGCATCTTTTTGACTTTGCGATTCCGACGGCCGTCCTCTGGTCCGTTGGCCGCCCGGCGCTTTTTGACCGCTTCGCCATCTCCCCACAGTGAAGGCGGACGGATGACGCCGAATTTACGATGGTATAGGCCACAGGCTGTATGATAAGCTGCCGACCATCGAATATGACCAGAGCCTGCAGGTATGAACATACCGTTGCACACCCTATAATCTTCCCCGCCAACAAGAATCTTCCTCCACACACTCGTCTCTGTTCTCGCGCAAATATCGCAACTCCCCGGTCCGCCCTTCTTCAACTTTGCCAACACCGCCTCCGTCCACTCTTCACTCTGGAAAGCCGGATCCAGGGGGAGTCCATCCGGACCCTCCCTCTGCCCAGATGCCTGGCTCGCCGCTGTTGCGTTCAGATGGGACAAGATGTACTCTTCCGCCCCGGCCGCAGAGAGGGTGTCGACCGGACCGATAGCTGAGGCCGCAGCGGCAGCCGCGGCGGCCGCTTCGCGGGCGAGCTTGTTTTTGGCGTGTAGTCCGGGCGGCGCGCGTTTGCGTTTTTGGGGACCCGAGGTATCGGGAATGAGGTTGGCGGTGGAGATGGGAGAGTCGAGAGGGAGGGTAGGATAGATCATGGAGGCGTGGTTGTATCGAAGAGGGAAGCTGTTCTTCGGGGGTCGGCCACGACGCCGCCGGGCGATGGCTGATGTAGAGAAGGCCGTGCCGTGGAGGGTGTCATCCGGAGTAGGCTGTAGGTCAGCTTGGTACTACGGCACAGGGTCCTAACTCACCTCTTCTTCCAGTCCCCAGATATTATTCCCGATATGACCGCGTATAGACTTTAATATCTCCATAATCTTCCCGCGCTCCTCCTCATCCACCGCCATCGCTATCCGATGTAGCTCTTCCACACACTTGGCCACTTTATCCTCCTCGGCGCCTTTGGCCTGCCTCGCCACCAACACTCGTGCTCTCAGCAGCTCGACTTCCGTCTCTAGCGCCATCCGCTTTTCGTCTACTGTGACCAAAAGGCCATCGACCGCTTCTTGGCTAGACGTAGAGATATCCTCTGGCAGTATCACCGACCCATCGGCGACCTCCACATCCTCGCCGTTCGCCTTGGCGATCTCCTTTCCGATCCGCGCTACCGCCGCGCGAGCGAGCGCCACCTCGTCCCGGACAGACTTTTCGATTTCGGCATTGAGGACGACCGCGACGGCACTGGCGGTAGCCGAAGCCGCTTCGGCCGAGTTGTAGCTGAATTCGTGCATTTTCTGGGGGAGGTTGAGGTCGATCTTGTCGTCGAGGAGCTCTTCGGCGAACTTGCCCAGAGTATCCTCCGACTCGCCCTTGTCCTCCGCTGGAACTTCCCTCTCGGCCGGCGGCGCAGGCTCCATCAACTGCGGGTCGATAGCCAGGTCGTGCTGCGCCTGTTCCTGTTCCTGCGCCTGCTCCTGCGCTTGCTCCTCCTCCTGATCAGCAGGCACAGCCGCTACCGCCGCCAGCTCCCCCAGGCGCCCAGACGTCTCCACCTCCTTCATGAGATTCTCGACGCCCTGGACCCAATCGTCGCCTACGCCATCAAACGCCTCCATCCCCATGCCGCCCGACATCAGTGCCTGGAGAATACTCCTCTCATCCCTCTCCCCGCCACCACTCTCCATCTCTTGCTGCGCCACCGCAATCGCCGCCTCCACCTGGGCTTCCACCTCGCGCTGCTCACGCTGCTCCCGTTCCTCCCTGGCTTTACGCTCAATCTCCGCCGTAGCCTCGTTCGCTACCGCCTCAATCTCCGCTATCGCCTCCGCCAGACCATCGTGCTCCGTCTTGAGCAGCGCATATGCCTTGTTGAGGGCGATACGCTTCTCAGCGACGCGGGAGCGAGATCGTTCGGCCGCGAGGCGATTGGCCTCTTTTCGCTTGAAATCGGCCGCGGAGCCTTTGGGGAGGGGTTTCCGAGTCCGCTTGCGTTTGGGCTGGGTGGAGCCAGCGTCCGATCCCTCGCCGCCGCCGCCCCCGCCTACGGACGGAGGAGCCGAGTCATCCTGCGTTGCGCTGGCTGTAGCTTCGACATCGGCAGGTGGCTGAGCTGGATCTGAAGAATCTACGCGAGTCAGCTTTGATCCTTGATGAAGGATACTGTATATAGCTAATCCTCACCTATAATGGAATCGAGAGTGAGCTGTATGCTCGGGCTAGCTGCCATAGTGTCACTGTATGACTCGCTGTGTGGGTGTGGGAGAGAGAGATCACAACAAAAGGCGTGGCTTTCTTTGCAAAGTAACTCGACCACTCATTGAAAATTACCTCTTGCGGCACATTCCTCAGCCTTGTAAGAAAGCCCCCCACTTTAGACTCCCGCGCGTCATATTACTCTCTCAGCCACTCTCTCCGCGTTCGACCTACTCTATACCTGCAAGATATACAACACACTAGGCCTCCTCACAGCCCTAGCTCACATCAAAAGAGCATAAGAAACACGCGAAACCCGTAAAACCCTGTCCCCAAAACGATCATGTCGGCCACTGAGGAGCAGCTGTATGTCCCGCTTCCTTCACAAGACCGACCTCGAAAACACGGCTGATGGCTTTAGGCAAAAGCTGAAGGTCACCGAGCTGAAGGAGCTCCTGGCGAAGCACGGTCTTGCACAGACTGGTAAGAAGGACGACCTTGTCAAGCGGCTGGTGGAGAACAACATCTCCCCGGACGCGGAGGAGGAGCTAGAGGACTTGGTAAGTTGCATAGGCGTTTGGCTGATTTGCCTGAAGCTATAGAGCCGCAACTGACATCCAGGCTGAGCCACCTGCGGATGCTACTGGAGAGTCATACTCTGCTGCTCCTGCTGCCCCGGCCGCTCCATCAGGAGGGGAATCAGTAAGTCACCTCGCTTCCAGGCATGACTCTAAGCTGATTCCCAGCTTCTCACCTCGGCTGAAGATGCGCCAGTACCAGTCGCACCCGCTGCACCGGAACTGACACCTGAACAACAAGCTATGAAAGCCCGTGCTGAGCGATTCGGCGTTCCCTTCAACCCGAACCCCACGCCTTCAGCCAAATCGACCCCTGCTGTAAAGCCCGCTGCGGCACCTACGACAGATGCCAAGCCCAAAGCAGGCGCAATAGATAAAGCGAGCGTAGGGATCTCGGACGAGACGCTGGCGAAGCGAGCGGCGAGGTTCGGGCTGCCAGAGAAGAAGGCGGAGGAGCCAAAGAAGGCGGCTGCGCCTGTTTCTGCAGCCAAGCCAAAGTCGGCGGCTGCGGAGTTGACACCGTACGTCGATTTAAGTCGGTCATCGGGATTGACGCTGATGAGTTAGTGAACAAGCGGCAAAGCAGGCGGAGGACGAGGAGAAGAAGCGGAAGCGGGCGGAGAAGTTTGGTGCGGCGTCGGAAAAGCCTGCATCGAGTGAAGCCGAGCCGGTCAGTCTTCTTCGTTAACCCTTGATCTGTAATGGTAATATTAATCGTACAGGATGCAAAGAAAGCGAAAGTGTAAGTGGGTTTCTCTGGGCTTCGTGTAGTTTGGCAACCAAAGCCCAAAAACGGGATAGAGCCTATGCACCAGTGTAGCTGTGTTTCATAAAGGGGAGGACGCGCTCACCTGACTAGCTGACGACCCAAAGCCAAGTCTCTCCTGCTCACATGATCAGACACTGATGACTATGCAAGCGCATCTGCCAGCATGCGCCGGACCCAGTCAGGTACTACCACTACTTTGTATTTGGATCTGCGGTCGTGGCTGTGCATGCGAGTCTGACTGTGGTGGCTGTCACTTTTCTCGTCGCTCGGTCAACCCGGCCTTTTGCCCTGGTGTTTCTGCAGACACAGCCCCTGTTCTGCTCACTCCGTTGTCTCCTCTTCCCTCCTTGGCCCTACCTTCAATGTGGCAGACCAAGTACGGTATTCGGAGGTTACGGCATTGCCGCTTAGAGCGCTTCGCGGCCGGTCCGATTAGAGCGAACCCATTCGCTATCTCTTCTGCCCATCTCCTTTATCTCTCCTGTACATCGGTCATATACTGTCGATCTGTGCACTATGCGAGTTCTTATTCCCGCCCTCTTTGCGCCTCTCATCGCTTCCGCCTTCCCAACCTCCAAGCCCTTTGGGATCCAGGATGGGTCGTCCGAGCTCGTCGGTGGCAATGGCCACGTCAACCTGCACAACGATGTGCCGGGGTTCGACCTGGATTTGAATGAGCTGCGGCTGGTGCAGTTCTCGGAGGATGAGCCGCCTGTGTAGGTCATGACTCCCCGGCAGTTGCGAAATAGCCAGGGGCTCGGTGTCTGGGTGTACTGGAGCTGATAGCTTAGGTGGATCACTGAGCTCCAGAAGATCGAGGCGAAAGGCAAGGGCAGGAAGCTCATGGACATGTGAGCTGGCAAGATCGCTGATAGCCTGAGCTCGCTGCTGATAGGATAGTACCGATACTCCCACACTCGGCTTCTCCAACTTCCTACTCCCTTCCTCGGTGACCACCAAGTACTCGTATCCCACCCCGGGCAACTACTCGGCCGAGGTCAAGGGGTTGCAGAAGGGACTGAGCTTGGATCACATGAAGGATTTCTTGAAGGAGTTCACCTCGTGAGTATCGACCGAGGAAGTGGAAGGGTCAATGCTGATGACCAGTTTCCGGACTAGGTATTACCGCTCCGAGACGGGTAAGGCGTCGCAGCAGTTCCTTTTGAAGACCATCAAGGAAGTGAGCTTTCTGACCTGAATATTGATAGGGTTGACAGCTGACAAGTGATAGATCTCTCGGGACAACAAGCACATCACAGTGCGCGAGTTTGACCACACGTGGGGCCAGAACAGTATCATCGCCCGGTTCCACCCCAAATCAGACAAGAACGAGGACAAGCCGGTCGTCATCATTGGCGCGCACCAGGACTCTACTAACCAGTGGCCGTTCCTTCCCGCACCGTGAGCTCTCTGAGCCGATTATATGACAATACTGCACCGAGCTGACATACGTAGCGGAGCAGATGACGACGGATCCGGAACGACCTCTTCGCTCGAGGCTTTCCGCGCGCTTGTACATGGCAACTTCACGCCCGAGACGCCCGTAGAGTTCCACTACTACTCTGCCGAAGAGGGTGGACTGCTCGGCTCGCAGGCTGTCGCCAAGTCGTATGAGGATGCGGGGAAGAAGGTGCTCGCGATGCTGCAGATGGACATGACTGGTGAGCTCTCCTCTGCGCGACTATTGTAGGTACGAAGGGTCAGGGCTGACCTGATAGCGTGGGTTAAGAAGGGTACCAAGGAGTCTGTGGGGATCATCCAGGACTTTGTCGACCCTGACCTGACCGACTTTATCTACAAGACTGTGGAGAAGTATCGTGAGTTCCTACTCATTTGGGCGCGTAGGTGGTCAAGCACTTATGGCTGTGCAGTCGATATCAGCCCCGTCAAGACCCAATGTGGGTACGCGTGCTCGGACCACGCCAGCTTCCGCAAGGCAGGATACCAGTCTGCGTTTGCGTAAGTCTTTTGGCAGATCAAGCGAGAGACGGGCTGTACTGATCGGGCCAGAATCGAGAGCACTTTTGAGAACTCGAACCACAATATCCACTCCACCCAGGACACGACTGACCACCCCGAGTTCTCCTTCACCCACATGCGAGAGTGAGTTGCACAATGCACGACGCCGTGCAGACGCGTACATATGAGCCGCGGCTAACATGATCAGATTCTCCAAGCTTTGCATCGCCTTTGCGATTGAGTTGGCTGGGATCGCGTCCCGCTAGGTGGTAGAGTGTTTGGTGTATTGTAGCGTAGCAGCTTGAGACGAGGTTGGCAGGTCCATGCGAGGGACAGAGAGACTGTATTGAGACAATATCCACTTGATCCATGTAAATTGTACAACAGGGCAGAGCGTACTCCGGGTTTCATCCGATAAGTGATAACCTCCGTAGCTATGTCTTGAATACGATGATGAGAAGGAGGAGGATCACGATCAAAGCGACGATAGTGATCGTGCTCCCTATCAAGTCAGCACTTTGTTCAGCACTCAGCACGGCCGATATCCAGTCAACCTACCGTATTGCTTCGCATCGTTTGCAACCTTGTCTAGCCGTTTCCTGGCTCCACCTAGTCTGGCGGCTGTCCGGTCCATCGCACCGTCCACGTCTTCCAGGAGCTCATGGTGCTGGTCCAGTTCAGATCCTATTTGGATGGAGAGGTGGTTTTGCCGCCCGATCGAAGTGGAGAGGAGGGCTAGGCGGTCGTCTTGGTCTGTACATATCAGCCTCGCTCCACTCTATTGTCGTCTTCCCCGCACTCCTGCAGCATCGACGGTGCGAACACGAAGAAGGGTGGGGTGAAAGTGCTGCCACTCACCTTGCATGACCATCTCCTGACTGTCCATAATCTCCCGATCATCCCGGTCATCCTCCTCGTCCTCGGTGTACGCATGCGGGAACGTCCTGTCCCCTGACCGCCTCCCGTCCGGATAGTCTCGGAACGGCATGTTCGGGTTCCCAGCTGGCGTCGGTGGCTCAATCTCCACCCTGGGGATGGCTGACGTCGGTCGTGATGGGTTGTTGTTGCCAGACAGCGTGGATGTGAAGATAGGGTCGGGAGTCACAGGGTTCTGTACGGCGGTGGACCTAACAGGTTAGATTACAGTACCACGTCCATAGTCAATGATAGCGGCTCACTGTTTTGGCGCTCGCCGCAGTATCTTGGCCTTCTCCCTCCCGACCTCATCTTCTCCAAAAATCTCCACCAGCCGGTCAAACGACTCGCCCGCTTCTCTCAACTGCCGCGCTACATCCCCCTCTCGGCTCTTCCCGCCCTTTTTACTGGGCGTGTCCCGCCCGCCGACGCTGAGCCCAGACGACTCGAGCTGGAGCTCATCTTCGAATTTGGCGAGGTCGTTCTTGATACTGGTGAGATTGCGGACGATCTGGTTTTGCGAGGATGCGGAGGGAGGGAGGTTTAGCGAGATGACGCGGGAGCGCTCGAGAAGGAGGGAGGAGGTCGATGTGAGGCGTTGGGAGAGGGCGAGGAGGGCTGGATTGGACATGGCGGTCTCGGCAGGTAGCGGGCGGGAGTCAAGGTACGGTTTGTTGGTTGGCTGTTGGTGCAAGAAGAAGTAACGACGGAGGATGGATTGCGTTGGCTGCGGTGTTGGCTGCGAGCTAGAACAACAGAGCGGGGTGAGGTCCGTGCGTACACTTTCGAGAACTAGGGGTCTTGCTCGGACTTGGACGCTATGCCTGCTAGCATAATGCTAAGCTACAGCCCTGGATCCCCCACAGCCCGCCGTCTAAGCCTAATCACCTGCTTTGGCCCCGATATCGTCTCAGCCACGTCGCCCGACGAGACCTTCCCATCCCCCACAACATCCGCCATGGAGTCCAGAACCCCGAGCTTCGCACTCCCCCTATTCATTTCCCGCCCCATCTTTGCACTCTCTTCTCTGCCCTTCCTCAACCGGACCTTGAAGATCCAATACAGCACCCCTTCTGCGACTGCCACGACCACCGCCGCGAGGATAGCCAGCAATAGTGCTGTTTCCCGGCTGTACCCCGCCCCGCTGACGCCTGCGGCGTAGACGGCGCCGGCGGATCCGAAGATGCTGAAGAGGATATTGAGAGTGCTTGCGAGGTTCCGAGTGAGGGCGCGATATTCGCTGCCTAGTGATGGGGGTTTGGCGGAGAGGTAGGATGGGAGGAAGGGATCTGGCTATGGGAGTCAGCGTATGTGTAGGCGACCACATCTTGCCGACATTATTCCCCTCAGGACCCTTCGAGAGGCCGGGTGGAAGACAGTCGCCGATACAGAAGGCGACTCTCACCTTATCTGGGTTGTCGGCCGCTCTTAAGCGTGCCAGGACAGCTGGCGGGAGATACACCTCCGTACCGGCTAGCAGAGAGATCAAGGAGTAAGCGTCAGGATCTACAGAAATCAGCTGAACACATAAGAAAGCGGTTTCGTCCGACTAACCAAGACCCTTCCGCTTGAGTGTGACTCGCCCTATACCCGTCGACGCCCACTTGGACAGCGCGACGAGCACCTCTTCATCTATCGTCGGCGGGGGCTGATCGGGAGCATCACCATCCTCTTCCAGCCCCGGTTCGCGTAGTGGAGCGTTCCCAAGAGATGCCTCCCCGACATCGACGCTGACTTTAGTACCCGACAGCTCCGACCAGCGGGCCGCAAGTGCCGAGGCGAGTCTTTCCTGTTCAGCCGCCGAGGCCGAGACATCCTGTTGCACCTTTTTCAATCCTGCTCGGATGTTCGCGTCTACTTTATCGCCGAGCTTGGCCGCCAAGATCGCCTGGATCTTTTCGACCAGGTGCGGCGGGAGAGTGAGGAGCGTGGTCATGGCGGGCAGTCTCAGCTGTCTACAGAGCGGGATAGAGGGTGAAAGCAAAGAGGATTTTCGTCTGGACGCGTGCCTGTCTCGTGCTCATTACGTCATTGGCCAACTCCACATTCCTCAAACGCTACAGTATTGGGTTCGACGCGCAGTCGCCAAGAACAGCCTTCAGCTCCATTGTCCTCTATCCTATCAACCTCCTATACCATTTACTGCACGCGATCTCTCTCTAGCTCACGGTCTACTCGGTCAACCAGTAAATCTCTTCATCAATATCTCTAGAGACATGGCATCTGAACAGCCCGTACCGCCTCCAGTCGGAGATGTCACCACCGCGGACACAGCGCCCCCGGCGCCCAGAGTCATCGACGAGAACACCGACATGTCCACCTTGACAGATCAGGAGATCATGAAGCTAGTAGAAGGGATGGGGCAAGAAGATGTTACGAATAAGGTACAGTCACATCTGACTTGTACGTTGGGTGATCAGGCAGCTGATATGGCAGCCACTTATCAGCGCCCCTGTCCCTCTTCTGGTCATCCGCGAAGAATACCAGAACGGCTCGGTGCAGGTCTTGAAGAAACTGGACTGGCTTCAGGAGCAAGGCTGGGACCAAGTCTGGCGAGCAAGAGGGGATGGAGACTGTTTCTACCGATGTGAGCTGGCACGTCCGCCACGAATTGAGCTTCGCATGCCAAAGCTGACGACGCAGCCTTCACGATAGCATACCTGCTGAGAATACTACACGACGCCTACTCGGCAACAGCGGCGGACCAAGCACTGGAGACAGTGTCAAAGGCGATGCCGTCGATGAAGTCGTGCGGGTTCGACATGGAATTGGTGAGCCCCTTCATGCGTGAAGAAGCAGAGATGTTGACAGGTCAGGCACAAGACTTCATCGACCCCTTCCTCGACATACTCCGCTCCTTCAAGGCGAAGGATACCGCCGATCGGCCATCCGAGTACTCTTTAATCCAATTGCTGCAAGACCCAGAACGGAGTAACAGCATTGTCGTGGTAAGTTCCTACTTCCCTCCCTCCCTTCCGTCCTTGACCTCTTTCTTACATGGTGGACCGACAGATCACCTCCGGCTGACAGTTAGGCTCTCCGTCTTGTCACTTCCGCCTACATCCGCACCCACGCCGACCAATTCGCCCCCTTCCTGTTCCACCCCATAACCTTCGAGCAGCTAGACGAGAACGAGTTCTGTCGCTCCGAGGTCGAGCCGTGTGGCAAAGAGGCGGATCAGGTGCAGATCACGGCGTTGTCCGAGGCGCTGGATGTGGGTGTGAGGATCGCGTATCTGGATAGAAGCGATGTAGGGGCCGGAGGGGACGGCGGGGATGTAATAAATTGGGTGGAGAGTGGGAAGGTTGGGGAGCGGCCTTTGACGCTATTGTACAGGTGAGCAATAATGAGCTCGACCACCGGGCTCTAGAGCTAATACAAGCAGACCGGGACATTATGACGTGGTGACGAAGGACCACCTGCCCACCGATGTCCCAGACATATGATGGATGAGATCAGATCTAGCTGCTTTCTGCATCCCCTCATGATCGATGCAAGATCCCTATATCAGTAGTCCAGCTTGGGCCCGAAGAGCTACCGCCGCTCCAGCCCCCTAAGGGCATTGCTCAGATCACTCCTCCCCGCTCTCACACCCTGCAGTTCCCCCGCTGACACCGGCTCCTCCGTGGCTCCCCGTTCCGACCTCGGTCTAGCCAATTCAGACCTGAGGCGCGAATACGCCGGCTCACTGAACACAGATTGCGCATCTGCTCTCCCCTCGCCTTCCCCTTCATCGTCGGGAGCTGGCGACGCAGGCTCAGTACGTAGATGCCTCTGGTGCGAGGTGGATGCGGAGCGAATATGTCGAGGGGTTGACAGGGTTTGCGGTGGGGTAGGCCGAGCGGAGGCCGTTGCGGAGGGACGATAAGGCGGAAGAATGGGCGATCTCGCGTTTCCGTACGATGTCGTACGGTAAGCTGATGGGAGCGCAGTGCTCGAGGGCAGACTAGGCCGATGTCGGCCTCGAAGACGACTGAGCGGGTCAGCTGAAAGAACAAGTACAAAAAAGTAGTAATCACTGACCCTGCTCGCGCAACCACTTTGGCCTGAGTTTTCGCCCGCCAGACAGCTAGGACATCCTCTATCGCGCGTCAGCTAGTCGTACCACTGCCTCACCCGGGAGGGAGCCGGAACGAGCCAGCTCACCAAGTAGTCGATGATCCCGCGGCCCTCCAAACTCCTTCATCGCCTTGGCCCGGTCCATCGCTCTCAACATGCTTGACCAGGCCTTTTGCTTGATCCGGCGATTATCGAACGAGATGGCGGGTAGAAGCTGGACGATCATCAGCTATTATCCCGCAGAGCAGGATGAGATGGCTCACTGTTGCTCTGTCCTTCCACTTGTCCCATACCCGGAACAAGATCGCATCTTCGTGCCTGATCCCAACTTCTTCTTCCTACAGAGATCAGCTCGAGTTCACAGCATGGAAATACTGCTCACGGGCTACTCACGATCGGCTCCAATTTCCTCTCCATCGCTCGATCCCTCCAGATCTCCCAAGCACCTCTGACCAGCCTCTCCCTCCGCCTCTGCTCCGCTAACACCGCAGCCTCCCTTCTCTCCCGCTTCCTCGCCGCATTATCCCTCCACACGCTAAAAACCTCACGAGCAATCTCTTCCCCTTTGACAATAACGAAGCTGTCTGCCAGGGCTTGCGCATCGGCGATCCGCCTACGAGTTGTGACCCAGCGGGACAGGGTCGATTCGAGGAGTCGAGCATCACGAGCCTCGGAGACGTCGAGTTGGCGAGATTTGAGAAAGATGACGCGGTTGGTCCATTGAGATAGAGTGTCCGCAGTGAGGCGCTGGAATTTTCAGCTTGGCCGACGGGTATTCAAGGCTGATACAGTTTACCTGGTCTGAAGCTTTTCGGAACTCGTCCGCTAGCTTTTTGCCATTGACACTCCGCTTAGCCTCAGCCCGCCATTCTGGACCGTCAGCCTCCACCCTGGGCAGCACACATCGATCGGTTCTCGTAGGCTTACCGTCGAACACCCTTCGCATGAGCTCCACACGCCTCCCCTCCGCCCAAGCTTCTTGCCTCTTCCTCTCCCTCGCGACTTTCCACACCCGCACAACCTGCCGCAAGACGAAGAACACCCGAGCTTTATCTGCCATATCCCGATCGCTTTCGATCTTCCGCGCGGCGGTGCGCCATATCGCGAAGGCAGACGCGAGGCGGTGCGCATTGTAGGTATCTTGAGCGCGAAGGAGTTGCGTACGCTGGGCTGATAGGGCTGTTTGCCAATTCCGGAGTGTCGCTTGGAGGACCGCACGGTTTTTGGCCTGGGTAAGCGGAATGAGGCGGTCTAAACGCTCAGCTGACTTCTCTCGTACCGCTTGCTCGATGCAACACATACCGTCCAGTCTCCTAACCCCTTCGAGCCGGGATCGCCAGACAGCCCAATTGCTCTTGGTTGCCCGTTGATCCCGGACCCGGCCGAGCAAGACCTCCCGCTCCGCCACCGTCCACCTCGTGAACGCCTGCCGCAGTACAGCACGTTCGCTGACTTGCCGAAAGATGACCACTTTCCGCTCAAGTGACTGGTATATGAGCTTCACCCAGAAAGACGACCGGGTTCCGTCCAACTCACCTTCACGGTAGAGTGAGCCTTTTTCCATCTCCCCAACGCCGCTCTGAGGCTGGCCATTCGGGCGATGTCATCAGCTTGGGTCGCTTGAGACCTATCTCGTCAGCCCAATGACCACCGTAACACAGTAACGACTTCGAACATGAGAAACAACTTACGCTAACAGCTTCCAGCGATCCCAGATCTCTCTCTTCACCCTCTCCTCTTTGACATCCCACCACCCCGCCTCGGCCCTCCTGATCATACCTTCCTGGACCCACCGATCCCACACTCCGCCAAGTACCCTCTTATCTCTCGTCCGCTGGTAAACTGCCAATTGCCCCTCGAGCCGTTCCTTCTGCTCCAGGCGATAATGCCACGCCTCAAAGGTCTGGCGGAGGAGTCGGTCAGTATCGACAGATACAGCAAGCCGGGTATCTATCCGGGTCCTCGTCTCACCCCGCCAACGCTGCAAGTCAGTTCTTGGCCGGCTAAAGTCCATGGTGCGGAACTCACATCCAGCACGTCCTGCACCAGTACGGTTTCTCTGGCCTTGACGAACCGTTTCTCCCGGGATTTCATATCCCTCTCCCATCGCCCTGTTCTTTTCTTCGTCAACTCCGCTCTCCACCTGCGCCACGCCTTCTCCATTGTCGCTCGTTGTCCCTCGATCGCGAATGCCTTTTCCCGTTTCGCCAGGCTGAGATCCCGATACCTCCTGATCCACTTGCTCAGTGCTGATAGCTGGAGGTGCTGTCGGCGGTGCGCATCGGCGGTATTGGGCAGGAGAAGCACACGGTCCTTCTCGGCTTTCCATTTAAGGAGGTTTTGGCGCAAGAGGATATGGGCACGGACGGTATCGATTTGATTTGTCGTTTTCTGTCATATCAGCTTTTCCGCATGCGTTCGCCAGGACCCCATTCATGCTTCTGCCAGCTCACCTGAATCCAGTCATTCGCCTGCGCCCAGACATCAAAACACCTCCCCATCAGCCCCGTCTCGTAGAACTGATCCGCCCTTCTCTCCATCTCCTTGATGACCTCCTCTTCCAGTATCCGATCTTCCTCCCAGTCCCGGGCACGCGCCTTGGGGGTCACCAAACCCGGAATGAGCTCTTCCGTCAGGTCATAATGCTGCGTGCCGATATCCGACTGGGAGACTGACGCAGAGTACGGTGGCGGTGTGGCGTGTACCGCTTGGGCGTGCCGGTGCTGCTGATGTGCATAGATAGGCGTCGAGGTCCGAGCGGGAAGAAGATCTAGGCCGAGGCCGGAGAGGTCGACCGAGTGGTCTGGCGTGTACCCCACGAGGGACCTCGAGTCGTCCGCCCCTTCTTCCCGCTTGTCGAAGGCGTTCCGGCCGGGCGTAAACGGTGTGTAGCTGACCCTGCGAGAGGTCGGGCCTGACAGTCTACCGGGCGTCTCTGAGCCGGTGGTAGATTCCGCATCGGCAGAGTATGAAGTCTCTCCTTCGCCAAATGCATCGTCCAGGTCCGAGCTCGCCCCTGCGAGGAATGGGACCTTCGCGCGGACGTCTGCCAACCGGGGCGTCATTCCTACTTTCGGAGAGACGCCTGGCGGACCGGAAGAAGTAGCGAGCTGGGTCGCCCGCCAGAGGTCCCATTTCTCGCCCCATGTTCCTGCACGGATCACCTGAAGCTTCAGGAGGAACTGGTAGTACGCCGTGTCGTCCGCTGGGGAGATCCCACTACAGTCTCAGCTCCACTCCGCTGGACATGTCAATTTGAGCATGTGAGAAATGGGAACGTACTTGTCCTGCAAGACAGATACATAAGCTTTGTATACCACCGGGAACGCCGTGGCGCTCCTCGGACTCCGCTCGATGATTTCGTCCACGACCTCGAGGTCGACCGACTCGCTGTACCCGGACGAGATGAACGAGTGGGACATGCCCGATTGGGACAGGGAGAGCATCGCCCCGGATGCCTCTGCAGGGGCGGAGGGGTATCCAGGCTGCTCTGCGTATGTCGCTATACTAACTGAAAGAGATGTAAACAAACACAGGTGGGGAGAGTTTTGGGTGGACCAAGACCGGTCGCGTCATCAGGCGCGTACCTCGATGGTTCCGGGGGATTCTGAGCTGGAACTTGGTCCTCGGTGTTGACATTCCTCGACCTCCTGCTTCACTTGATACACCTCTCTGTCACCTAGAGGACCTTAAGCCACTAGACAGGCCTGTCCCGGGCATAAGAGCTGCTCTTACATACTATCTACTAGACTACAACGCCCCGCCGCGAACATGGCGGAGCAGAACTTCTCTGCCGCGCTGGCAACATGGAAAGGTGAGACTGCTCAGTGTGGCGGCGGCATGCCCGGACGGCTTAAGGGCCTTGCCGTCAATGCTTCCGAAGCAGGTACTGACGCGAGCAGAGATCGGTCTGAGCGAACTGCAGCGGAATCTCGATACGACCGCGTCCGAGCTAGTCGAGAACCAAAAGGAAAATCTCGTCGGGCGTAAGAAGCTCGCGGACCAGACCAGGGGTATGTCCACTGTATCACGCCGCTTCCCGTTCCCGCGCTTGTTCCTCGTCAGCTGACTATATAGAGTTCAAAAAGCTCCCAGATGAGCCCGAAAAGTTCAACAGCATCAAGACTCTGCTCAAAGCGTATCAATCCGAGATTGACGCCCTGACCCGCCGGTCCAAGCTGTCCGAGACGTCCTTCCTGAACCTGTACAAACTACTTGCGGACGCGCCAGATCCGTACCCACTGCTAGATGCGGCAGTGGACCAGACGGTCAAGGTGGCGGAGGCGCGGATGATGGCTACTGAGCTGGGGAGGCTGCGGGAGGAGAATGCGGATCTGAAGAAGCGGGCGGAGGAGGGACGGGGTGTGGAGGATAGGTTGAAGAAGGCGGAGAAGAGGGCGGATGGGCTGGAGAAGGAGGTGAGTACAGCGAACGGAGATAGGGGGAAACGGGAAGCTGATGGGCAGATGGAGGATATGATATCGGAGAGGGTGCTGGCGAAGCAGAACGAGCTCAATGCGGAGTATGACGAGCGGCTGAGGAACTACGATGAGCGGTACGTTGCAGCTTCATCGTTGTCACCTTTATCTGGCCGAGACGTAGCTGACTGTTCAGGGAGAAAGACCTTCAGCGTCAAGTCCAGATGCACAAGACCCAATTGCGCGACATGCACACCTCGGCAGAGACGACCGAAGCCCGTCTGCTCGACGCCAGTCACAGGCAGGAACAGGATGTCCACTCGCGCCTCGCGGAGCTAGATATGGTCGCTGCGGATCTGACGCGCGCGAACGAGAGAGTAGCCGTCGTGGAGCGGAGAAATGTGAGCTCTGGCCAGACGACGCAGAGGGATGGCATAGGCGCTGATAATGTAGGAACTGCTTCGTGCCGAGATCGAGAGTGTCAGGTCAGGATCTCAACAGGCTGAGCGGTATGTCTTCTCGCTTCACCATAACTGTGGTAGTCCATGCTGATGTCTACCAGCGTCAAGACTCTCGAAAGCCAAATTACAGACCTTGAGTCCGAGGCCTCCCGTCTTCTGCGGGCCCTGGACTCTGCTAAAGAGGCCAAGTCGGACGTGGAGCGGACCGAGAAGAAGCGGGCGGACGAAGCTGCCAAAGAATTGGCGGTGCAGGTCCGCTCAATCATCCTTTGCATTTGGCAGGACGAAGCTGATATCGATAGGCTGCTGAGATTGAGCATCTCAGGACGAGGGTCAAGGAGTTTGCGGATTATGATGAGATCAAGCGCGAGTTGGAGATCATGAAGGTGAGTTGAGCATGCGGATCTCTTCCCCTTCACTAGGTCGATCCAGCATAAAGCTGACGAACAGTACGTCGAATTCTCAGGTGCAGACCTAGACGAAGAGCCCTCCCTCCCTTCACCGCTGCACACCTCTTCCGGTTCCGGCAAACAAGGTCAATCCCTCGAGAATCTCCTCGTCTCGAAGAACCGCCGACTTCTGGACGACCTGACCAAACTTCGAGTGGCATTCGAGGAGGTCTCGACGGCGCATTCGAGGAGTGAGGAGTATGCCGAGGGACTGAGGGAGAAGGCGGAGCGGATGAAGGAGCTGAATGAGCGGTTGGAGGGGGATTTGATTAGGGTCAATGGGGGTGGTGCTGCGGAGGGCGGGGCGGGGCGGGGGGAGAAGGGTCTTGCTGGGCTGGATTTGGGGAGATCGACTGTGAGTCCCGGAAATACGGATAAGTGGAGCAAGAGCTGATAAGATAGGACGGAAGAAGTTCACCTGCGCCCGCTGCTGGACCAGATACCTCCATCCTCCCTATTGTAACGAGTCAGCGGGACAGATTCCGCCAGCGCAATGCCGAGTTAGAAGAGGTGTGTCATCCAACTATTGTCTGTATCGGTCCTGAGCTGACGTGCAGGAACTCCGAAAGCAATTCGAAACGGTAACTGACCTGCGCACCGAAATCAAATCCTTGCAGACGGACAACCTAAAGCTATACGAGAAAGTCAGATACGTCAATGCCTATCGTGATGCCCCCAACTCTGTCGCCGGGCCGAGCGGTACGTCGGGCCATCAGTCCAATGGCGGAGGAGGGCTCTTGGGCGGGGTGATGGGAAGGAGGGACGAGGAGATTGGGCGGTATAAGGATAAATACGAGGAGAGTATGAATCCCTTCGAGGCTTTCAAGGGGAGGGTGAGTATCCATTTTCTGACAAGAGGGAAGAAACAGAGCTGAATGTGTAGGAAGCGCAGAGGGCGTTACAGGCGCTCAACCCGATGGATAAGGCGGTCTTTGCATTGACTAGGGCTATCATTGGAAATAAGCGAGCGAGATCCTTCTTTGTCTTCTACACGGCGGCACTGGTGAGCTTGATGGTGCTGCTACAATTCAGGGAGAGCGATAGCTGACTGGCGTAGCATCTCTTGATACTGTTTGTCTTGTGGGGCACGATGGCAGCGAGCGATTCGGGCCATGCGGCTATACCAATAAAACCGATCGGATGAGCGAGATGAAGCATGCGATTGAAGGGTGTCAGGTTGATCTCGATGAGGCTTTGAATGGATCCATGTAATACAGATTGAGCCTCTGTTATGATAGAATGGACAGATTCTAAGCCCCGAACTTGGCCAGTCGCCTTCTACGTATTTCATCTATACAATGTCAGCTCTGCGTCCTTGAGGCGGCACAATCAACTCGGACAGCTCACCTTGTGTCAGCTCCTCTGTTGGGCTAAGCGGCGTCCCATCCTCTTCTACCGCCGCTTCAGTCGGTATCTCCCTCAACGGCGCCCTTGGCTCTGTAGCCCCTCCAGCCGGCCTCCAATTCTGCGCTGGCGCCACTTCTGCCGGAGGAGCCCGCTGAACAACCGATACCGGCGGCGTTGGCAATTCCCTCTTGACCACCCCTTCTCCCGCAGTCTTCTTCTTCCCAAAGTCAGGCGCGACCCATCCCTCCGGCACATCCTCCATACTCGCTCTCAGTGCCGCCTGGAACGCCGCATCCTCGTCGTCGTACGCCCGTGTATGGTTGGCAAAGTCCGACGCGCCGGGTTCGTCGCCCATCTCATCTTCTTCCAGCGTATCGTCATCGAAGCGGGATGGCTGGGCGGCTGAGGAAGATCCCGGCTGTTGGAGGAAGGGATCGTCAGAGGGTATGGCGCCATCCAGGTCTTGCTGCCGTTTCCGTCGAGATTTGGGTTGCGCGGAAGACGACGGGCCCGCAAGGGACGATTGGTCCACTGATGGCTGGTCCATCGTCGTAGCTGATCCCGAACCGAAGCCGCCAGACCGACCGACTGGCTCCCCAAGCTCCACAGCCATCGTATCCGCCAGGCACTCCGGCAAAACTCCCACACCACCGTCTCCCCATCCCTCTCCTTCAATCATATCCGTCTCCTTCCCCTTGTCGCCCGTTGACGCCGTACCTGCCCTCCGGACCACGAAAACAGAGTATCCCTCCTGTTCCGCCTGGGTGAGAACCATTTTGAGGTACGTAGGCGAGATCCATTCCGGAGCGCCGAGGAACGAATTGAGGTTGTACCATCGCTTTACGGCTGATACGTGTGGTGGAGAGGGGGCGAATCGGCGGAGAGGAAGCCAGTGCTGTGCGAGGTGAAGGATGAAGGCGGATTGATCCCTAGAAGTCAGCTCGGGCGCGGAATTCAGCAACTGAGAACTGACTCTGGCCGGTCTTGGTATGGCTTCATCGCCTCGCCTCTCCATCGAACCAGCGTCAGATCCCAGACCTGCAGAGCTCTCTCGAGAGTTTGCAGGGAGAAGAACCCAGTGTCGTCGAGGTTGTATGACTTCTTGTTCTGGTTGGCGACAGATAGGGCGGCATTCTCGGCAAAGTCGAGCCTGCAATGTCAGATTGCATAAGCATCCATCAAGGCCAAACTGACTTTTGAGCAATATCGGCCAGATCGAACTCGGTATACGTTCGCTGCTGGAGGATGTTGTTCCTGCGCGCCGTAAGCTCTGTACGGGAAGGTCCCTGTCGCCACAGCTCACAAGCAATGTTGAGCACCTTTACGAATCAGCTTCTGTTCCTCCTCCTTCTGACATTTGGCGACTTACAGAGCTGAGACCCCTGCTCCTGACGCTCAAAGTACATATCTGAGCGCGTCAGTTTTGCTCCCTCTCAGCGGTCTGGTTATCTCACAAGGTATCAAGTCCATCTTGTAGGAGTAGCTGCTTGATGTATATGGAGGATTGAAGTATGGTCGCAAAGCAAGAGGACCGCATCAGCCTCTCAGAGTGGAGGCTGGCTGAGGCAGTGAGTGACGTGGCTTTTAGGATCATAAGGTATCATCTCGGACTTACTACGTCATTTCGGCGGATATAGGGAGTTCGGCGCAACCGGCACTGAATTGACCGGGACCTCCACTTTGTCTGCACCTTTATTATAGACCACGCTCCACGCTGCCCCTCCCCCCGCTCGATCCTCCTTCTTCCCTACTCCTCAAAACTTACTAACACTCACAACAAACAACCAAGATGTCTGCCGAATCCCCCCAGTTTGACCCCAAGAACATGATCGTATGTCGATTCTGGCCGGAGATTGGCGGACTCGTGCTGACGTTCTAGTACAGGAACATGGGACCTACCGGTCTCGTACGTCCCTGCCCTTAAGGACCTTGTGGGGTCGATATACTGACCCATATAGCGTGTCCCTGTCTTCTCATACGGAGGATGGTTGACGTGAGCTCTGCTTCGAGCCAGTACCTCTACAATAAGCTGACATGGCAGCGTTGGCGGTACCCAGAAAGGTGACATCGTCAAGGACCTCATGAAGACCTGTTTCGACAACGGTATCAACATGTTCGACGTGAGGTAGAACGTCCTCCGCGGTGAGACATGAGCTGATCATCGTAGAATGCCGAGGCCTACAACGCCGGCGAGTCTGAGCGCGAGATGGGCCGTGTCATCAAGGAGCTCAACTGGGTATGTCACCTTCTTCCCCGATGAGCACTCAAGGAGACCACAGCCCGTCCGCTCAAGGATCGTTCTGATCCGGCACCAAAGCTAGTCTCATGAGTGATGTAACTGATCTTCGCAGGACCGTCGCGATGTCATCATCACCACCAAGATCTTCTTCGGTACCAAGCGCACCGACACCAGCAACACCCGCGGTCTCTCGAGGAAGCACATCGTTGAGGGTCTCAACCAGAGCTTGAAGAACTTGCAGCTTGACTATGGTGAGCTTTTACGGCGAGTGAATTGTCACTTGAGCCCGAAGCTGACTAAAACAGTTGACATTGTCTTCGCGCACAGGCCCGACAGGACTGTCCCCATGGAGGAGGTGAGCCTTCTTTGCAAGTGCGTATGGAGCTTTACTGATGAGATAGACCGTCCGCGCTTTCAACCACGTCATCGACCGTATGTCCGCTTAGCGATTGGCTGAATCGACCAAAGTTCCGCAGCTGACAGCTATCAGAGGGCAAGGCGTTCTACTGGGGTACCTCGGAGTGGTCTGCTAGTAAGCTTATTCACAGCTGCTCAGGTGAAGACTCAGCTTACACTGTACAGTGGAGATCCAGCAGGCTATCGAGATTGCGCGTCGTCTCAACCTCGTCGGTCCCTCCGTTGAGCAGCCCCACTACTCGATGATGCACCGTGAGCGATTCGAGCAGGAGTACGAGGCGCTCTGGAAGTACGAGCGATATGGATCGTAAGCTACTACCTCTCACGCGATGAGAGTCCAGCTGACGTATCAGTACCATCTGGTCCCCGCTCGACTCTGGTCTTTTGACCGGCAAGTACAACGACGGAATCCCCGAGGACTCGCGATACGCCACCAACAAGGAGATGATGTCTTCCAACATCAAGCAGCTCACCTCTCCCGAGGGCAAGGCCAAGATTGAGAAGGTCAAGAAGCTCACTTCGCTCGCCGAGTCGCTTGGCGGGTCGATGGCCAGCTTGGCTCTGGCTTGGACCCTCCTCAATCCCAACGTCTCCACTTGTATTGTGAGTCGCCTCTGCCGCAAATTCAAGTGGACCTCCAGCTGACCCAATCAGCTCGGCGCGACCAAGCCCGAGCAGATCCTCGAGAACCTCAAGGGTCTTGAGATGTACAAGAAGATTGCGGACGACAAGGTGACAATCAAGAAGATTGAGGAGATCTTGGACAACAAGCCGGAGGCCCTCGTGAGTTGAGCAGAGATCTGAATGGCGGAGTTGCAGCTGACATTTTGCAGGAGGGCTACGGTCGTCGTGGTCCCGATGGCAGCCTCATCTAAGCGCGAGGAGGAAGGTTCGGCGCTTGGGGGAAAGCGCGTAAAAGCAATAGATGCGCGGTGTGCATGCAAGAAGTGAATTGTCGTCCATATCTCGGCCAAATCGATCCACTGCTGCACTCTCTGTCAGGCAAGAACGATATAGCATATACTCATACAGCAAGATTGTCTATATACGCACACTCAGGCCAGCTCACTATATCGAAGTTTGGTAGTACAAAACACAGCACGTCTAATAATGTCCTTCTGCGCAGATCATCCTCCTATCCCATCGACATCCCCCATTTCCTTCATTGGTCCGCCGCAAATGGGTTTCTCCTCGGCGTCACCGTCTCCGCGAACACATTCACCCCAGTCTTCAGCCCACCGCTCCCCGTCCTATCCATCGCCGGCCTACTATTCTCCTTTGCAACATCACCGCCTGCTCGTGCTGATGGCAGCGGCGCGAACGCGTTCCGCTGTGGCGTAAACCCAGCCTTGATTGGCGCTTTCCGAGCACTGCCCGGTGGGATGACCGCTGGCGGTAATGAAGGGGGCTGCATGATCGCATCCGCCGGCAGCTTGATTTCGTCCGCTCCGTCCGTATCGCGCGCGCGCTTTGTGCCGGTGAGTTTAGGGGCTGGGGCAGAGGAGAAGGAGGTGGGCATTTGGGATTTGTCGAATACGTTGACGGAGCGGAGAGGCTGGCGGTTTGCTGCGTTGACTGGGGATGTAGTGGTGGAGGTGGGGATGGGCGCGATAGGGTGGGCCTGGACCGTAGGCGTAGGCCGCGTCGAAGCTACCGACGATACCGGCGTGGACGAGGTTGAAGCCGGACGGGATACTGGCGCGGGAGGAGGGGCCATGGCCGATCCCGGTGCTGGTACGGGTACCATGTCCCCCTCCGTAGGCTTCATAAGCAACAGATTCGCCGCCGTATTCCTAGCCGTCTCCTCCTTGTCCTTCTCGGCCTGCAGCGCCAGGATTGTCTTCTCCAGCTTGGCGATCCGCCGTTCGAGCTTGCCAATCTTGACCAGCGCCTTGTTCTTGTCGACGACAGCGGCGGTCATTTGGTCGGTCGCGACGTCGACGTCGGTGTCTTTAGATTGACATATAGTCTGGAGCTCTGCGATACATTAGCTCGGCCCTTGCGCCCATGGGATAAAAGCGACTCACCTTGTAGTTGTTGCTCCAATACCTCAAGGGCTTCAGATGAGGCGGCGGAGACAGGCGTAGCTTGCACAAGCTGAACTTCGAGATCGGAGTTCTTGGCGGTCAGAGCGGCAAGCTCGGTCTGTGCCTCCTGTAGCTGCGCGGTCGCGACACCGAGTGCGCTCTCGACGGCGATAATCTGAGCACGAGTGCCGCTAAGCTGGATAGATCTGCAGTATCAGTGGTGTCCTGAATCATTCGGGACCAGGGACAGAAACTTACAGAAGCTCCGACTGTCCTCGGTGTTCCGCCGCGTCCTTCTCAGCATTCGCCAATCTAGCCTCCAGTGCCTCAAGAGACGCTCTCAGCTCTCCAGCTACCGCCACCTCTGCATCTGCCGCCAAGACCGCTTCATCAAGTTTGAACTGCAGGGCCTCCCTGGCTACTTCGGCATTGACAACCTCCTGACCGCTCTCACCCAGCAGAGCCTGCACGTCCGCTTGCGCCTTCTCCGCCATCTCGACACGCCCTTCCAGCTCCGTGATCTGCGCTTGCATGCGTTGCTCCAGGTCGTCTCGCTCGGCTTGTGCAGCCACGAGATCTCGACCAGCGGCAGCCAGCTTCGCTTCCAGCTGATCCAGCTCAGCTTTCTGGCTAGCCCGCTCGCTTTCCGATCGATCCGACTCCGCGCGAAGGGCTGTAAGGTCGGACGTGGCAGTGTCCAAGGCCCGAGTGAGGTCGAGCACCTCCCGTTCGAGCTTGTCGATAGTCGACCGCATTGCTTCGGCTGCAGCGTGGCCTGAACCCTCCGCTGCATCCCTCGCTACCGCCAGTGCCGACTCTAGCTCCGCGATCTTGACGCCCCATTCTGCTTCCTTCCGCTCCGCCAGCTGCACCGCCCCCTCCGCATCTGATTTTGCAGAATCTCGCTGAGCTGTAGCAGCTTCCACGGCCGCTTCGAGCGCCGAGAGCTTCTCCTGCATCTCCGCCTCCTTGGCGTCGACGATCCGTTTCTGGGCGTCTAGCTCGGTTTGTGCGACTTCCAGTCGGGTGGCATGGAGCGCGAGGTCGGCGGTGTATCGATCGGTCGAGGCTAACGCTTCCGACTCGGCATCCGCCAGCTTGGCCGACAGCTCAGAGACTTGGCCGGCCGATGTTGTCTGGACGGCTTCGAGCTCCTGCTGCAGTCCCGCGAGACGAGCTACAGCTTCGGCGGTGGCAGCCCGGTAAGCCTCCTCTGCAGCGAGAGCGGCAGCCTCGATCTCCGCAATTCTCGTCTTGTCCTCCTCGGCCGATTGCTCCGCTGTCAGCTTCTCCACCTTGGCTTGCTCCTGTGCCGCGTCTCGCTCAGTGGTCACAGCGGTCAAGCCCGCCTGCAACTCCGCCACCTTGCCCGATGATTCCGCCTCCATCTCCTCTGCCGCCCGTCGCTGCGCCTCCATCTCCCCACTCAGCCTCTCCAACTCAACCTCCTTTTGCGCGATCTCGGCCGCGTGGGCCTCCTCCGCTGCTCCCATGTCCATCATAAGCGTCTCCAACTCCCCTTCTAGCCCTTTACACCTGCTCTCCAGCTGGGTAATCTGGATCTTGAGCGCCGACTGCTCCAAGAATAGCTTCTCCATCTCTTGTCGAGCTGATTGTTCTTCCGTGCCTGCAGCGGTCTGGAGGGACTCGCGTTCCGACTCGAGCGTGATGATACGGGTTTGGGAGGACTGGACCTCTGCTTCCAGCTCAGCGATGCGGAGAGTGTGCGCTTCGGACGCCGCTCGGGTGGTGGAGAGGGAGGAGTGGGCATCGGTAAGGGATTGGGTGAGAGTGGCGATGGCAGCGACAGATCCTTCCGCGGCGGCTTCAAGCTCGGCGATCCGGCCAAGATGCGTATAGACTGCGGCCTTACCGGCCGAGCACTCCGCCTGGGCTTCGGTAAGCTGGGCAGTAAGATCGTCGAGAGAAGAGCTCGCTGCCTGCCACGCGGTGTCTAGCTCAGCAATCCGGGCGTTGAGCGAGTCGATAGTGATCTGCTTGACTGCAAACTCCGCTTTGGACTCCTCGAGAGCGGCGGCCACTTCTGCGAGGGAAGCCGTGGAGCCCTCCCTGGCCGAGATAGCAGCACCGAGCTGTTCCCGCAGCAGGTCCGCATTTCCGGTAGCATCCTCCAGGCGGCCGGAAAGGGTCGCCATCTCGTTCACCGCCTTTGCGAGCTCAGCTCGTAGAGCCTCAGCGGTGGACTCGGCCGCGACGAGGCTAGCCTGTGCCGTCTCCAGCTCGGCCTTCGCGCCAGCGAGATTAATGCCGCCGCGGGACATCTCCTCCTTCAGCTCCGCCACCCTGAGGTCGTGCGAGAGTCGGGCCGCCTCCGCTGCTTCCTGAGCTTCTTCAGCCCGCTCGTCCGAGTCGTCCCTGGCGAGCTGCGCGGCCATCTCGGCTTTCTTGACGCGTTGATGAAGACTCTCGATGGCAGCTGGTCCGTCAGCTCTCCCCTGATCATTAATGGAAGATAAGGACTCACCCTCTCTCCGCTTAACCCTCTCCTTCTCAGCTGCCACGTTCTCCCTCTCCTCCTTCAGTCTCCCCTCCAGCAGCTCCAGCTTCTTCAGCTGCTCCAGCGCCGCATGATCCTGGAACGCCGCAAGACTTGAGCGGCGCAACTCCCTTCTGATACGTCCCTCGATAGCAGTCTCCACTTGCCCGTTGGTCGAGGTGCTCATCGACAACGCCGAGGACGCCACAGGGCGCATCGAGTCCATCTTCTCAAGGCACTCGTCCCTCTCCGCTAATGCCACACTCCTGGCCTTCTCCACCTCGGCCAGCCGGCGCTGTGTGTCCGAATACTGCCCCTGCAGCGCCTGGAAATGTGCCGTGAGATCCGAGTACCGTTCCGCGACCGCATCATGTTCCCGCTGAAGCTCGCCATGGCGCGTGAAGAAAGAGATGGAGCTTTCGCGCATGTTCTCCCGGTCGGCTTTGGTGTTGTCCAGTTCCAGCTGGAGTTGGTGGATCTGCTGGTCGAGCGCGTCATTTTTCTCCGTTGAGAGCTCCGCCATCCGACCGCGGAGGCTATCGAGCTCGGCGGAGAGGGTGTGGACCTGGTCCCGGTGACCTGAGATCTCGGCCTGAAGCTTCTCCGTGTCGAGCGTACGGTGCTTGAGGTCGACCTTGGCCCGCTGGAGCTCCTCCATTGCCGACGCCCGGTCCGCCTCGGTCGCTTGGAGAGCGAAGCGGTGCTCGTGCTTCGAGAAAGACATGGTTTGACGGAGCTCGTCGCGCTCAATCCGAAGCTTCTCGATCTTTGCGTGGAGGAGGTGTGCGTGGGTGGGGGCGGGTACCTCAGTCGGTGGAAGACTTTTGACCTCATCCGCCGCAGACCGAGCAGCGCTGAGGATCGCTTCCAGCTCGGCGACCTTCGCACTGGCCGCCTGCACCTCCGCTGCTTGCGCCTCCAGCTCCGCCTCCTTTACCTGCATCTGAAGGCGCATGGCCTCAAGGTCATCCTTCAGCTGGAAGACCTCCTCCTGCCGGTGTTGCGCCTCCGATTCGGTGGACCGGTTGGCCATGCCCTCTTCGAGATCAGCGTTCCGCTGCTCCAGCTTGGCGATATCGGTAGCGGCGATCTGGAGCTGGTCCGAGTATTCTTCCAGCTCAAGTAGGCGGCTAGCCAGACGCTTCTTGCTGTCCTCCAGCTCGACCCGGACGGCCTCGACAGTAGCGCGCTCCTGCTCGACATCGTGCAATGCAGACCTGTTCAAAGTAAGTTGCCATTCTGCACCTCCGTAAAGTCGCTTACCTTTGTGCCTCCTCTGCAGTCTGCAGCTCCGCCTCTACCACTCCGATACGCTTCCTTGCAGCGTCCCTTTCCGCCCTTGCCTGATCCCGCTCCTGCCGAGCCCCAAACTCTAGCGCCTCCATCTCTCTCAAAGCAGCTTTGAGCTGCTCCACTTCCGACCTGGCTCCGATGAGCAGGTTCTCAACCTCGACCAGCTCGGCAAGCTGTGCCGCGGCGTCATCTGCCCGCTGCACGGCCGACTCGAGGGCGCAGCGTGTAGACGATACCGCAGCTTGAGCCGCGGCGAGCTCGCTGCGGCAGTCCGAAAGTTCTCGCTGGATCTGCTCATTCTCCGCCAATCGAGTTTCGAGGTCGTTTCCGAGAGCCAACGTTGCGATTTGTAGGGAGGATGTAGCTTCAGTCGCCGTGGCGAGCTCCGCTGTCCTGGTGACGAGGGATGATTGGGCGGTTTCGAGTGTTGCTTGGGTAATCGATAAAGCGTCTGAAGCAGACTGCGATCATCAGCTATATCCCAGTCACGCCTTCATGCACCCCGCGGAGACCTACCTGGACCTCGCTTCTCAGAGTCGACACCTCAGCTTGCCGGTCTGCCTTCTCCTCCGCATTGGCCGCCCTCATCCCCTCAAGCTCTATCTCCAACTCCCTGACCCTGCCCCGGGCATCTGCCAGAGCGTCGCGCGCAGCGACCAAGTCCGCCTCGTCTGAGCCTCCCTTCTTCCCTCCCACAGCTCCACTAGCCTTCAGCTCTTCCAGCTCTTCCTCGAATTCGTCCCGCTCCTTCTCTGCCTCCGAGACCATCTTTTGCGTCAAAGACAACGCCTTCTTGAGCTTGCGAATCTCCTTCCGCATTTCCGTGAGGATCTCGAGGTCGTCCTCTTCGTTGGTTTCGGCCGGTTCGGACTGGGCTTTCGCGAGGTCGGCCTCGAGAGCTGAAATACGGGCCAGTAGGGCGTCGGTGTCCTCGACGGATGCAGCGGGTCCAGGAGATGACTGCCGGTTTGGCGACCCCGCGCGCAGAGTTTCGAGCTCTCTTTCCAGCTCTTCCACCGCCGACGCCTTGCCCTTCAACACCTGAATCTCCGTCCGCGATTCCTCCAGATCCCTCATCAGACCTTCTACCGTGCCCTTCAGCGCGTCCCTCGTCTTCTTCAGCTGGTCCAGCTCCCCCTTGCCCAACCCTGCGCTGCTAGAACCCTGGGACCGGTAGAACTCCAGCTCATCATTCGCCTCGTCCAGCTTCCGCTCCATGTCATCCACTTGCTTCTTGGCTGATCTCTGCGACGCCATAATCTGATTTTCGGCCTTGTCCAGCTTGGTCTTCGTGCCCGCTAGTTGCGTTTCGAGCGCTGAGATCTTGCTCGAAAGCTCGACTTCGCGGGAGCTGGAGAGTGAGGTAGATCGGCGGCGGCTGGACGAGGATGAGGCGGAGGCGGCGGAGGATAGTTGAGGGATCTTGGAAGGAGCGGGGGACGGCGTGGGAGCGGCGCCGAAGAAGTTGGCGTTGGACGATCTGGATGGAGGGCGCTTGAGGCGGGGGATACCGCTTGGAGGTTGCTGCCTTGTCAGCTGGGACCATGATGTCAATCTGAATTGCGGCTCACCATGCTACTCTCAGCAGCGACTTTGGCATTCGCCGCCTTCATGCGAACTTCCTCACTGTCTCGACGCTGCAGCTCTGCCTTCAAGCTTTTCACCTCCGATTCGAGCTTGGCCTTCTGCTCCAGTATCCGGCGCGATGACTGGTCGCTACTCGATCCAGCACACTGGAGCTCTACTTTATCAGCTCCTCATCAATGAGCTCTTTGTTGCGAAGCGACTCACCGTATTCTAATCCCTGATTCGCCTTCTCCAACTTCTTAATGGTCTCATTGGCGAGCCCGAGGGCAGTTTCGCGATTCGTCAAATTTTGCCTCAGTATTAAGACTTCCTGTATGATCAGCTCGGTCTTCTGGCGCAAGCAAGTATACTCACATTCTTCAGATTGGTCGTGTCCTTGCTAGAGGTCTCCATCCCCCTCGAATCTTGCTCCATCTAGTCATATCAGCCTGGCACGACGGAGACGAGACAGCTGACCCACCTGATATTGCAACGCCTGCTTAGCTTTCACTTCCTCCGCCAGCATCTCAGCCTTCTTGACCAGCTCATTCCGCACCGACGCGAGTTCCGCATCTACCTGTCAGCTGGAGCATGAACCGCCTTCGCTCGGACTGACCTTTACTCTGTAATTGACTGGTGAGCTGCCGGATCTTGTGCTCGGCGCCATCCATACCGATAAATGACATGGCCGCTGAGTCTGTCAACGCCTATACCGCGTTGCTATCGGCGAAGTGTACGTATATGTTGGAGAGATGAATGATGGGCGCAAAGGAAAGTCGGGCGCGTGAAGGCTTGTTTACGCATGCCGTAATTTGTCACGCCGATCGAAACTCGAAAGTGGCGCGAAGAGCCAATTTGCCACCAATATTGCGGTCAACTTGCGGGGCGCGAGGGGCGTCGAGGTGGGGTAGGGGTATGTGGGTGTGGGATAGGGGGGCCCAGTCTGATGCGTTAGCTCTACGGCTCGCTGTCGTGAGCATCGGGGGGTCACACACACATCATGGCCCAATGGGGAGGTGGACGTTCGGCTTGGGATAGGGTACGGTAGTAGGTTGGAGGAGGATGAAGGGATTGATGGCTGCCCGAGGCTGTTGAGATCCGCGTTGTGAATGTTTACTATCCGTCAGCTACATAGGAGATAGTGGGAGACCTCGTCGAGGGAGATGAGGCACTGACAGTGGAGGGAGGAGGAGAAGGAGAGGGAGAGGGAGAGGGAGAGGTACGGTGGGGGAGAGGGAGAGGGGGGATCGAAACGCAGAGAGAGGGGAACCGAACGGCAGGACAAGAGACACCGAGCCAGTACCTGTGCTGTCAGATCGTATTCCCATATAAGCTCGTTTGAGGTTCAGTATACGAAAATGAACATACAGTTATCACTTCAGCCTACTGCGGACAGGAGCGTCCTCCAGCGCCCTGAACAGCATCTCCATATAAATCAGGTTCGCCGGCCGGCCGGGATGTATGCCATCTACCGTGAAGTTGAGACCCTGACCCTCAAAGCGCTTGGCAAAGGCGTGCGCTTGCAAGCCCAGCTTCTCCGCCAATTGTTTCTGAGCGTTTCGGAGTTGAGCCTGACGCAGCGGCTTGAACGTATTGCTCTGCTCGACTTGCGATTTGACTTCGCTCGGGAGGCCGTGGTTGTCCCAAAAGAATGCTGGACCGGTGTCATGGAGCAGTCGAGCGAGTATCGGAACGTCCCGGCCGTAGACCTCGCGCAGGTATTCGACATAGCCCGCGTAAGCCGCACCGTACTCCACGATCCACTCCAGCGTGAGACCTGGGTGGTCGTCCTTGAGGTCACTCAGGTACGCGAGACGCTGGAATCCCGCCAGATCCCATAGGCCAAAACCGAGCGATATGGCGTCGTACCCCTCGTCAAACTCGTCTGACAGGTCGCCTCCGACTTGATCTGCCAGAGCTTCGGTGGTGAGCGCTGTGGCGTTTGGGAAAGGATGCGGCAGACCCCCGTTGATGAGACCGTGTGAAAAGACAAAGTCTATACGAAGGTGGTCCGGCGACCGACGATGTTCCGAGGTGTAGCGGTCGATATAATGGGCGTGCATAGACTCTCCCTCGGACTGGGAGGTGCTAGGTCGTACCGGTATGATGGCGACTTTGCATGAGTGCCGCAGGTCACGAGCCTCTAGCCCTTGCCCCGCCCGAGTCTGGGGCTGAGCGGTGTTGACATTTTCGTAAAAGCCATGTGTCATCTCCACCAGATTTTCGATCCAGTAGCGATCCAAGCTATCGCCAACGATGAGAAGCCGCTTGCCCGCTAGGATGGAGTTTGAGTCCGTTCCGTCGATCGTCCCGATACCGCCTTCTCCAGTCCCTTTCAAAGACGCCAGCAGGCTTTTCATGATCCGCAGAGGGCTTCGGCAGACCGTGCCGTTGCCAACTTGTATAACTTCGTCGCACTTGTACCCGCCTTCTATGCCGATGACGTCGTATTTGGACTGCATCTCGTCGTCGCCCCGGTAGTCCAAGAAGCCTCGGTCATGATGCCAGGCGGAGGTAGATCCGATGATTGGGGGGGACGACTTGGAAGATGCCAGCCATGTGACGGGGTCTGCGCGATTGTAGAGAGCGGCACTCGACAGGACGAGTAGGATCGAGGCTCCCGCGATGTAGTGACGAGGTGACAGCATGATGATCTACCGAGGACTGGTATATGTTGAGATGATGTCAGTCGAGCAATCTCTCATAAAAGTAAAGCAGCATCTACCTTGGCTTTCGGGCTCTTGCGGGGCTGGAAGGGGCTGGACCGCTGGACACCGCTTACGCACTTCCGGCTTGAACTTATTTCCCTATCGCTTTCCTGATAGCGCCTCTGTGGTGCATAAAATAGACGCAATCTGAATGAGCATTACGGCATTGAGACCCATTCCGAGACATCATTCGGCATTCGGCTGACGGCTACATTCGGCTGTCGATCAAAGCTTGTTTCGAGCTGCCTGTCCAGGCCTGTCCAGAGTCTGTCCAGGCCAGCAGGCCTGTCCTTGTCAAGTGATCCACCGAAAGGGCAACCGAGCACCTGCCCGTGGAAACGTTGAGATTGAGACGTCTTACAATCCCAACCATCCAGATCAAGGAATGTCCCTTCCTGCTGCGCCTCTAGAAGCGACTCGAGTCCTCTCGAGTTGAGCTGTTTGCTGAGCTGCCAAGCACTAGCAGACTGCAGTGAACGACGCCGTCTCTTCCCTGCTTTGTCGTCAAGCCGTTGAGAGGAGATGTGTGCATGGTACTTATCAGATACCTTTCGCCTTGACGAAGAGATCGGCAGAGGCCGGTAGGCGGAGATCCCACTCGGAACGACTGAGCCAGTCCTGAGACCTGAGATACGCGCGGCGCGGGCAAGGCGCAGGAGTAGTCACAATATACAACATCTACATGTGCCCTATAGACCACTCTAGTCTATGCATGCAATCTATATGAGTCTATCACATAATGCTATCATTTTACACCCTGAAGTCTCTCTTACAAGCTGGAAAGGGACTCTCGAGAGCCGGCTATACGCAGTGTACTCCCAGTGAGAGCTTGAGCAGGTTGCGCTGAGTGGTGTTCTCGTCAAAGGCTGGCATCGTATGACTACTGCTGAGTGAGCCTGAGTGTGAGTGGCTCACAGAGACTGGCGAGGATGGAAATGTGGCGAATGAGTGTGGCGTTACGGCATGGCATGTGTGCCATGTCCGCAAGCCAAAGGAGGCTTCTAGTTATCGATCTTGTTAACGATCTTGTTAACGATCTTGTTGGCGATCTAGCTAGCGATCTAGCTCGAGTAGACGAGCGAGGGAGCTAGCGCTCGGAGCGGAATATATAAGGCAGCCAGATTCATAGAACTATTTCCCTCAAGGAAAGAGTTCTCTTCTATACTTGCCTTACATGCAATAGTAGAGAGTAACGCCAAGACCTATCACAAGCCAACAGAGACCAGCCCGCTCCGGGTTCCTTCCTGGTCCAGTCCCAGTCCCAAGCCCTCACCCTACTGCCACACTCAACTCCACATTCCTCATTCGCCACCCAGCCACGTGTCTACCCCTGTCGACCCTCAAGCCAGCACCACGAGTCCAGATACTCTAGTCCATTAGCTTAGCAGCCGTCCACCCCTCGCAGCTGCCCCTCTAGGTCTACTGCGGGTACGGTCGTTACATGTGGGGATGTACACTGCAGAAGATACGATGTACCTGTGATTGAGGTAAGGGAAGGTGTATGGTGTATCTGATCTATCTACACCAGGGCTCCCATGTGGTAGTCGAAACACGTCAGAGCCTGCTCACCCTTCGCTCTCCAGTCCCAATCTGAATCCCTTCAGCGCCACCCTTGCACGACCTCAAACGTCAAGACTGCTCCCAACGCGTATGAACGTGCCCAACCTTTGGACCTTGGCCCCCTTCCACGATCCTTTTGTGAGCCTATCTCGCTCCTCCTCCAGGCCCAGCGGGCCCTCGAATGCCCCAGGGTTGCTGCTGCTATAAGACCCCACGTCCCCACTGGGCGAAAAAAAGGTATATAAGGAGCGTCCTTTCCCCCTTGTCCCCCCGCTCATACATATCACATCCCTCCCGTCCTTTTCCTCTCCCATCACCACACATTCTCACACTCTACTACACACTCATAACCTCACACTCAGCCACGCTTGACCTACACCAACGGCCAAACTCATATTTGCACCAATACTCACAGGCAGATTGGCGACAATGGGCTCGAGCCAATACCTCCATCTCCGGGGCCCGGGGGTTGAACGAGGTGCCAAGGCTGTTGAGCACACTTCCAAGGCAAGCAGTCTGCAAGCTACCAACCACACGCACATGAACGTGGAGGAGGCGGACGGGTGGAGCGATGTTCCGAGTGACGACAGTGCGGAATCTCACAAGGATGGATCGGGTGCGAGCACAGATGAGTGAGTCCAATATTGAGATATGCGTTTCGTACTCCCACTTGACGACCTTCTCCTTCCTGACGCTCACAGATCCCAAGGTATCTGCAATTGGATCGGCAGCACGGTTCGAGACACCGCGGGCTGGATGTGGCGGGGCCCCGGGAAGACCGCCGTGGCGCTCACCACCCTGGCCGCAGTGACCGGGATGGCAACTGGCTTGATCGACCAGTCGGATCCTACTCGAGGCGTGCTCGGGCGTGACTTTCAGACTTGGATCGACGACATCAACGGTTCGACAGCCGCTGCGACCGAAGGCCTAGGTGCGATCGAAGGCGCGACTGAAGCTGCGACTGAGTCGGCAGCTGCGACTGCAGCACAATGGACCGGTACTCAGATCAGTCTGGGTAAGCTGCTCGGTACGATCGACCCTGTATCGCCCGAGAAGGCGGTATGGTTGGTGGAAGCGGCAGTGACAAAGTGCATCAAGACACCCCCCGACCTGAGAACCTTCTATCAGAAAGAGGTCTGTGATATGGCGGAGCCATTGGGCTACGATCCCTGGTGGGACTTCGTGGCGTATCCGCGGGTTGAAACCGAGTACACTGGGCCGTGATGTCCGACACAGCGTCTATGTCCTATGATCAATATGTACTTGTATTGTGACGGGGGTAGACCGGTCGGAAGCGAGTGTGTTCAGGAACGGTGACGGGCCGGTAGTGGCGGGTGTTGGGGGAGAGCGTGAGGGGAAAGGGGTCCAGCCGTCCAGGTTCAGCTTCCGGACGTCTCTAGCTACCGACTTATGAATACATGACTTCGCAAAGAATGTCTCAGAGTTTCCCGGAGACCACATACCTATCAAGCTTTACATTCTCAGGTCCAGGCCTTCTGCTTCCTCATTTCACATCTTATCAGTGTGTCAGCTGCACCAGCCAAGAACAGCAAGCTGATCGGCGAACGACACTACGATAGCAAATAACCCCAAATGCGGTGGATCATCTCGACCGAGCCACGGATGCAGTCGCCTTGGCGTCACTCTTTCAGTTGACTGCTCAATGCTCAGTCGATCAGCCCCGCATACGCGTGAACCGACTAAAGTCAGTAGTGTCAGACACGACTACCAAGCTCCGCAATAGGTCAGCCGTAGACCATCGGGTCTCCGGTATCGGGTATCGAAATCGACCGGTCATCCTCACTCCATTTTCATTCTCCGTCCCCCTTAGATATCTGTCCATCCTTCCTCTCAGATCCGCAGCCTTCTGACACTTCTATCTCTGACCTCGCCGTCCCCTTCTGCTCCTGCTCCGCCCCCTTACCCTCGCCTTGCACAATCTTGGGCCTCGCCGGCAAGTGCTCCCTCCACGTCCTCATCGCCCCCTCCATATCCTTCTCCAGCGCCCTCATCCTCGCCTCACTGGTCGGATGCGTCCTCAAGAACCCCACCATCTGCTCGATCGACTTGGAGCTCCGCCCCGACCGGACCGCATCCTCCTCTACACAGCTCATGAGCTCCCATAGATCCAGCGCCGCACGGGGATCGTAGCCCGCCGTGGCCATCAGCTCGAGACCTACGGCGTCGGCTTCTTCTTCGAGTTTGCGAGAGTAGGCGCGGGAGGCGACGACGTCGTTTAGGTAGTTGATGAACATCCCGGCTGAGTCGGTCACGCTGAGAGGTAAGCGCAAGGACTGACAGAGGAGAGAAGTGCTTACAATGGGAAGGATATGGTCAGAGCGAATGAGATGCCTCGTAGGACGTCGAAAGCAACCGCAGCGACATTGAGGAACTGTCACGTCAGCTCTGGAATACTTCCCTGGGAGAGTGCGCTCACTCCGAGATTCTCCACGCTGTGCCGTTCCATCACATGCGCAATCTCATGGCCCAGCACTGCCGCCAACATGGCATCATCGTCCGGCAGCGTATCCAGCAGGCCGGTGTACACGAAGACCTCCTTGCTAGGCAGGCAGAACGCATTGATAGACGGCTAAACAATCAGCTCGTCTCGATACCTGACTCTCCGCCAGACTTACCGAGTCCACCACATACAGCGTCCAGTCCGCCCCCTCCAGCATCTTCAGCGGATTACTGCTCTGCGGTCTGAACGGCATGAATGAGCTATGCGCAATCCCGCTCGGCGCATACCGCTCCGAGTGGTGATGATGCCCATAATGCCCCAGCGCATCCTCTCGCTCCGCCATGACCCGTGCCAGCTCTTGAGACCTCGGCGGCCACGATGCACCCGAGACGACGTGGTTGTTCTGCTCTTCGAGGGCGGTGATGAGCCGAGATGTGACTCTGGCGACGCGTTCTGAGCGGGGGTCGGTGGGTGGGAGGAGATGGGGACCGTCGTTCTTGAGTATGTCGGCGTGTCTTTCGGTCAGCTACTGTACTGTGACAGATTGAAATATGCGTAGCCCACTTTCTTCCTGACCAGGCCATCTCTTCGCCCTCTGTCATGAGTAGCAGCCTCCATCTGCCTGTTCTTGGGCTTTGATCCAGACCAAGCGCGAAGACGATGCAAAGGGCGAAGATCTGTCTGATTAGCTGTGCTCGGCTATCACAGGATGTATACGCACTGGAATCTGGATGAGCAGCCATGAAGTCCGTCTATACTTCTTCCATAGCCTATCCGTCAGCTGAGTCCCGCGCAGACAAATGCGGCGTGGCCAGCTCACTTGTACCGGAATACAAACGGCAGAAACAGCAGACTAGCTCTTGTTATACCCAGCAAACCGCTCTTTAGCGCTGGGAAGCTCGCAAAGAAGATATCTCGCCGAGGAGGGGAAGAGCGGAAGTCTCTCTTCCATACGGATGATGGGGGCCGGAGGAGGGTCGAGCGAGGCGGAAGCGGCACGAAGATGGGCGTTCGAAATGCCGCCCACTTGGGCAACGTGCCTAGATTCCGAGGTATGCCGGGCCTGGGAGCCAGTCTGGCGCACCCACTCCTGCTGGAGGAGGCTATCGCTGTGAGGAATGGCATGTCTAGGATGGACGCAAGAATGAAGGGATGCAGTACTACTTGGATCTGTTGACAAGCTTCGGGCAGCGGGCACTAGCGGGCTTCCGGGTACCTTACCCCGCGGGGTAAGCGGATCAAGCGGACCACGCTTTGCTCAGCACTGGCGCGCAGCAATGCCCCTCACCACGTACAGACGCTGTAAGGGACCAGTACAGACGGTAGATGACCCGGCCGTAGCCCACGCAAGCAGGGTACAACATCAAATACATCACTGCCCAAACCCCTCCCCGCCCACTGCACCGCGCACCTATCTCCTCTTCTTGCCCGCCGACGGGGCCTGCACGCTCCCCTTGTTCCCTACACTGAGCACCATATGCGCCTCCCCCGTCTTTTGCTGTCGTCGCGAAAAGGCATCCGTCATTCCCGTAGGTGTATCGGAAGCGAGCATCTGCTCTTGCTTGCGCTCCTCGGCGATCTTTTTGAGTCGCTTTTCAGTCTTCATCCGGCCTGATGTCTTGCCGCTATTATCGTTAGCTTGCCCCTAGGACACAACGAGAGGGGTACTTACTGGAACTTGTGAGAAAGAGACTTCCAGGCTTCCTTCGGCGTCATCGCTAAGATAGTCAGCTTGATCCCTGCCCATAGCCGGTAGGAAAAAGGTACGTACTCCGTCCAAATTCGTCGTGATACACGATATTGATATCCGGCTTGTAACTCTCATACGCCCTCCTGGCCTCCTCCGCCTCCTTCTTCTCCCTCATCTTGTTCTCCCACTCCTTTTGCGCCTGATCCACAGGCTTGTTCCTAGCCTGCAATCGCTCCACCTCGCGCTTTGCCATGCGTGCTCGATGATCCGCAATCCAGAGGTCGTACTTGACTTGCGCTTCCTCTCGCTCGGCGTCCTCCGTAGATCGTTTCTGGAGCGCGCCGGATTGACGAAGAAGGTTGAGGTAGCCGGACATACCGGATCCGACGACGGGAGCGGATGCTTCTTCGTCCTGATGATCAGCTAGCCCTCTGGCGGTGTATAGCAAGGAGTAGCTCACCTCTTCTGGCTTCAGTTCCGACATCTCCTGCATCTGCGCGTCGATCTTCATCCTGTACTCGGCCAGACTCATCCCCTCACGAGCTGCCATCTCCGCAAGACCCTCATCCTCGTCCTCGCTCATTACCTCATCTTCGTCGCCTAGCTCTCCGTCCTCCGGGCGCTCGATCTTGACCTTGATGATGGTCGGCTCGGCGGCAGCAGGTGCGAAAGAGGATGAGGCGTCGGCGGTGGGCTGCGCAGAAGATGCCCGTTCCCGCTTGACGGGGCGGGAGAGCGAGTCGAGGGTGACGTTCCGGACAAACTCGGAAGTGTCATCGAATGTGATACGGCCGTCCTCGTCGCCGTTCTCCTGGGGTGCGGCGGTCTCCTCGTCTTGTCTGCTAGAAGCGACTGTACCCATCAGCTTATATCCCGCTAAACGAAACGATCTAGACTCACTCCTGGCAGCCATATCCTCCGCCTTGACCTTTGGCTTTCTCCTCGCCGTTTCCCTTCTACTCCTCGCCAGCGCCGCCTGGAGATCATCATCATCCACCAGATTCTGCGGCCCATCCTCCATCTTCCTCTTGCCCAACCTCGGCTCTGAATCCACCTCCATCCCGTCATCCTCCTCATCCACCTCCGTTTTCCTCGTAGACCGCTTCGCCTTCTTCTTCTTGGGCTTCTTGAACCCTGCCTCGCCCTCTTTCGCATAGTCCCCCACCTCAAAGTCCTTGGCATAGTCCAAGTTGAGCTTGACCTTGGTCATCGGCGCCGACCCAATCATCTCGGTATCCTCCTCCACCTTCTCCTCCTGCTTTGGCGGGGCGCCCAGCCTGAAGCCTTCCGACCTGACTTTGCCGGTGGCAAACGAGTCGTCGTACTTGCCGAGGATGTCGGCTTTTTGACCGATACGACCCTCGTCGAATTCCTCGTCGTCGTACCCGGTGTAGGCGGCCTGAGCCTTGCGTTTCCGCTCCTTGGCAGCTTTGAGCACCTCGTCTTCGATAAGGTTAACGTTCTGCAGCTCATCCTCATCACCGGCGAGGACTCGAGAGTCTTTGAGCGTAAGGATGACCTCTTCTCCAGTCTCGAAATCGTCCGCGGCGTGGTTGACTTTGAGTCCAGCTACGTCCCCTATGGTTATCAGCTGACGGCCTCTGTGCTGTAAGATACCCCTTAACTCACGCTCTCCATACTCTGCCGCATCCTGCTCTTCCATGTCCTTCGCCCGTCTCTGCGCCATATCCCGCTCATTATCCTTCGCCCTCTTCTTTTGCTTCTTCAACCACGCCTTGGCGCTGAGCGCATCGTCCGCATTGGTCGAACCGAGAGTCGTGCCCTTGAGCTTCGAGTTAAGCGCCGATCTGTTCCGAGCTCTAAGATATCAGACCAGTCCTAGGCATACCGAGCGGCCTAAGAGGATAAATTGGCCGCTCGCAAAGAAAGTGGGAATGACACTTACTTGTCGATCTTCTCCTTCAACTCCCGCTCCTTCTTCTCCGCCGCCATCTCTACCCGCCGCTGGGCATAGTTCTCCTCGGCAAGCAGGTCGGTATCGACAGGTACATCCTCGCCTTCCGCAGCAGCCTCACCAATGGGCTTGAGGCCGAGAGAGACTCGGACACGGTTGGTCTCTTCGAGAGTCAGGGAGTCCGAGTTGACCGGGATATCGGACGACATTTTGGCGAGCGTATGTCTCTGCTGGGTCAAGCGCTGAAGAGCCGTCTATATGAGGTAGATATAGAGGTAGAAGAGAGAATCGCAATGGCAGGGTGGCTGATGTTGGGTGGCGAGACCAGGGGAACGTCGGCGGCGATCGCCGCCAGTCTTCTCGACGACGAACAGCAACAAAGTGGTAGCGAGCTCGCGTCTATAGCTTTTATACATCTTCTCACCCGTCACACGCCTCACCAGCAGCACCCCTGGACAAAGAGCGTCGCAGATCTCAAGTACGGTCAATCATCCAGAACCCCATACCGAAAATGGCACCGAGAAAGAATGACCTTCGAGCTTGCCTCATCTGCTCCATCCTCCAAGATATCAGCGAGTTCAATGACGATGGTTGTCCGAATTGTGAGGACGTTGTCGAGGTATGTCTCGTCCTGTTGCCTCTTTTGCCTTTGTATCATTGACAAATGTCGTAAAGTGCGGCTCAGTCGGCTGGCCATGGAGATCTCAGCTCGGAGACATGGGAGCTAGGCTGATCCCTCATAGATGAAAGGCAGTCTCGAGCGAGTCATAGAATGCACCAGTGTCATGTGGGACGGGATGATCTGTGTGATTGAGCCGCAAGAGAGCTGGGTAGCGAGATGGCAGAGAATAGGCAGGTCCAATCGCATTCATTTCATGCGCATGAAGCTCCGAGCTGACTGTTGCAGATAAGCGAAGCCGAGGGCTGTATGCTGTACGAGTGACGGGAGTCCCACCACAAGACGTCATAGATGCTATTAGCTCGAAGGGAGGGGTGTACAGGTCACGGGACGCGGTGGAAGACTGAGCACTGGATAGGGGGCGACAGAGGGGACGAGGCAGAAAGGGCATACTCGTAGATAACATTGTTGTATCCTATACATTCGCATAGTTGGCAGATTGGCAGGTGAGCAGCATCACATGTACATGCTCGATACCTCTTCCTTGCCCAGCCCCGCGGCCCCGCCCCGCCCTCCTGACCTGCGCCCACCGCCCATGCCGGGTGCAGAGAAGGGCTCATCATCCGCTTCGTCCCATCTCGCCTCTGACGACTTCTGCTTCGCCGTCAAGAGATTGGCAAGGGCAGGTGCTGCGGAGTCGAAGGCTGATGAGAGGCTAGTAGAGTCGATGCCTGAGAGTGGAAGAGGGAGGAGGATGGTAGAGAGTGATGCGGAGTCAAGGGCCGAAGCGGGATGCGCGGCCTGGACGAGTCAGCTTGGGCTCGGACGAGTACTTGGCATCCACCGTCGTTCCAGATAGGAGTATCACAGCCCTATTTATCGATAAGTCTTGCTGACTTACTGTTGAGACGAAAGCACCGGGCAGACCGGTCAAATAGTTGGGCGAATCCCAAGAAGCAATCCCAGCAGACTTCGAGCTCGAAGGTGATGCAGCAAAGTGGCGGACGGGCGGCTGCGACGAAGACCGACTATCGCGCTCGGGATCTGGTATATACATCGATGGTACATAGGCAGAAACGACAGTCCTGCGGGATCAGCTTGATTCTCAGTCGTCTATTCATCGCCTTCTGCTAAATCCGACCAATGTTAGGGATGCACGTACCATCTTTCCGCCTTGACCTCTGCGGTCACCTTCTCCACTATCCTCCAAGCCTCATCTCCCTCCGCCTCTTCTAGGACCATCAACAGCGTCCCCTTCATCACCCAGCCCCGTCCAACCTCTTCCCCACCCAGTGTCAGCACGACAGCTGCCTTCTCGCTCCCTTTCCCGCCTGATCTCCGCCTGAGATATCGGCCAGACTGGCCAACACCGATCACGACCTCCTTCAATCCCTTTTGCGCCTCTGCGCCCTCCCAATTTATCCTGACCTCTGGACTGGACTTTGAGCGTGCTCCCCGGCGGGAAGAGGAGGCTGCATATTCGCCTTGTCCCTCCTCGTCGGAGGAGTCCGATTCGAGGAGGTACCGGGGTGGAGGCGCCGAGATGACTGCTGTGGGGTCGTTCATGATGTTCCCAGTTGATGACAATTCTAGGAGAGGCAAGCATCAACTGCAAAAGTCGGACCGCAGGCTCGCCGCGCGTTGCGAGAGAGCCAGCTACATTCCTCGCGCCACGTGGATGCCAGTGCTTGCGGCCGCTGACGTAACGTGTTTCAGATGTCTTTGATTAGCTCGGATTTCCAACAGTAGGATAAATGCAAATTGTTACTACAGATGTCTCTCATTCCTCAGCGATAACTCCTCGGCTTGCAGCACAGCAAACTTCTAGCTCACTCGCGATATAGAGCGCTATGAAGAGATATATGTGCATGACTCCCATTGCGATGCTCTCCGACCAATCCCCGCGAAAATCGACAGCATGCATCGCAGAGACAGATCAGACTTGACACGCTTGATAGTCGATTCTATACGTACAATCCCCTCAGGTCATCACGTGAGACCTCCCGAAGCTCATCGCAATCCGCATCATCCTTGGAGCGGGTGAGAGTGCCTCCACCTTCCGGAGCCCCCTCCGGAACGTACTCGATCCTTCCTCCCGGGCCCCCCAAGAGCACCACCAGTCCTTTGAACAGCTTCCGTTCCTCAGGCGTGAGTATGCGATCGGGGACGCTCTCGTCTGCGCGGTCCCTGATGGATCTCTGGATGCTGCCGTCGTCTTGAGTAAGGTTTGAGTCCACCGTCTCCCACTTCCCCGCTCGGAGTTGCGTCTTCGGGTCAGTCTTGCTCGTCTGCACAGGCCGCAGCACGAAGATATCCAACTGCGCGCCTCCCTTGGTCGTGACGACCAGGGCGTTCTCGCACGAGAAGAAGTCATCCTGGTCCACATCGTCGACTTCCGTCTCCTTCAGGAATACGGAGTCGGTCATGGGGCGGACGGCCAGTACGTCCGAATGGTGCTCGGCGAAGGCCGTAGCATGCGCCATCGCAGTGGAATTCGTGGACGCCATGGTGTGGGTTGTTTGGTTGGAAGGTCAGTGATCAAGTCTGAAAGTGATTGATCAGATGAAAACCCTGAGTGTTTGTTGAATATCGATGCGTTTAGGGGAAAGTGGCGATAGAAGAAATGTGGATCGGCAGACCCACATCGCTCGCCTTATGACCCGATGGGCTCTCACCGTATCGCTCGCTGAATAGGGACAAGACGTCAAAGGAAGGACCTATCATGCACGTTTGACGCTGCACAGCATTCACAGTAGAGCGGATATCCATTGTTCAAAGCTGTGTTGAGGTCGGGTCTGTCGGCCGAAAGCGGTCGCTGCCGCCTGATCATGAGTAAATCAGTACCCGCCCTCGCCACTAGCAAGAATATACTGTGCGCCTGTCGAGACTAAGAGATGAGCGAGCTCGACAGCCGGGTGCCAGAAGTCAAAGGTGATCAGTCCGTCCAAATGTATCATTGGCGCCTGGCCAGCCCACTTGCGCCCCAAAATCCATCGTACCCCGCTACAACGCCCCCAACGGCAGCCCATGCGGGTCCTTCACCACCCTCACATTCTTAACCCACGTAAACCCCTCAATCGCCCCTTGTCCATTGAAGCGCCCCCACCCACTCTCCCGCACACCCCCAAACGGCAACGTCGCCTCATCATGTACCGTCATCCCATTCACATGTACCGCGCCACAATCGACATGTTTCGCTAATGCCACCGCTGATGCAGTATCGCCAAAGATGGACGCGGAGAGGCCGGTATGTACCGAGTTGAGCTTTTCGAGGAGGTCTGTCTGGGAAGAGTAGGAGGTGAGGGTGAGGGTGGGGGAGAAGGTCTCGGTCGACCAGATGGAGGAGACCGGAGGGGGATTGGAGATGATTGATGGGGTGGCGGCGTGTGCGGTAGAGGGTGAGGGAGTGATCCGCTTGGCGCCCTGGAGGATCAGCGGCCATATCTGAGAGGTCTGCGCTTCGAGCAGAATCAAGCAGCGACATACCTGATCGATCGCCTCTTGCACCAAACCCTCGACCTCCCTGATCGAGTCCGCTCTGACGACGTCAAAAGATTTGTCCTTGACTTCGCCCCACTGCGAGAGCAGCTCAGCCTCCAGCGCCGGCATGATCGACTCCTGTACCAGTACGCGCTCTGTCGACATGCACACTTGCCCCGAGTTGAAGAGTGCGCCAAAGAGGATCTGAACAGTCAGCTGCACTCCGAAGGGACCCTCAAGCGAAGACTGGACGGACATTATTGGCTGCGACTTTGAGGTCTGCGGATTCCAGAACGATAGCAGCCGATTTACCCCCTAGCTCCATGATGGAGGGTCTGGCATGAGCTACATCAGACCTCTCTCAAACAGCAAGTAGGCTCACTTGAGGTGTTTGCCACACTGAGCAGCCAGTATTCGTCCGAGATTGGTCGATCCCGTGAAATTGACCATCTGCTCATCAGCCTCTCTTGACGCAAGTCCTCAGTAAAGCGGTAGACCTACCCGGACATCAGGATGAGCAATCATCTGCTCCACCCGCTCAGCAACGTGCTCGTCCGAGTAATGCAGTATTTGCAGTGCACCAGCCGGGAGACCGGCATCCGCAAAGAGGGGGTGTAGGAGGGCGTGGATTTGGGGGATATACCGCGAGGCTTCGTGTCAGATGGGGCCCAGCTGGTCGAAAGATGCGATGTTGACGTACTCTTGAAGATGACTGTGTTGCCACAAGCCAAAGGGTCGACTATCACATCAGCAGAAGCTCCGCGCCCAATAGTGAAAGTGACCGTAAAGCCCACAGAGACGGGGACGCACCGATTGATCGCATAGCCAGTGTCATGGGGAAGTTGAAGGCTGGAATACTAAGGACAGGCCCAAAGGGCTCGCGGGTGGTGCTGACTTCGCTGCCGTCTATTGTGGGCGGTATAGATCCCTGACGTTCAGCTATGTCTGCAATTCCACGGCCAAGCCAAGCCAAGCGACACCGCAGCTCACCTTGATTGAGATCGCACTGCAGTATCAGCCCAATCCCTTTCCAGCAGCTTGTACGGCGAGTGCAGCTCACGTCTGAGCCGCTCCGTCCACCAGTCCCAGCACAGACTTCCTATCCTGTCCGATCGCAATCTCCGACATGCTCACGTCTGCCAGTAAGGCAGATCTGTAGGTATCGAAGCGCTCCTGTAGGAGACTGAGGACCTGGACCAGATCAGCATTCTACACCCGTTCCAATGACTTGAAGGTCTATCTCGCCTTGAGAAGGATCTTTCTCCGCTCGTACGGCTGCGTATCGCGCCACACCCCGAAGGCCTCTTTACTTGACCGGATCGCATTGTACCTGGAGCTCAGCAAGAGCACAGGCCCGGCCCCTTGTCGATGTCTATGCCGACTCACGTCTCCTCTTCTCCAGCTACGACAACCTCGCAACTCTTCTCGCCCGTCTTGGCATGACAGTTTGTGACCGTCCCCACTGAAGAGCTCTCGACGGCCCTGCCACCGATGTATAACGGGACACGAGGGAGAGCTGCTCGAGTAGCAGAGGAGGAGAGATGGCGCCTGCACTTGGACACGCTGGCGTTGAGGTGCCGCGACGGTCGACCGAGATATCTGGGGATCATGGCTGTGATGGGAATGATGTTGTCCGAACAGCTGGAGTAGCTCGACAGCTTTCGTTATCGATATGCACAGGGTAGATGTCTACGATGCAAGCTCAGAGGAGAGATCCTGGCTGTTACTGGAAATCTCGTCGCTTCGGCCGCAGCCGGGCCGGCGGCACTTTACCTCAGGCCTCACTGCTGGCGCTGAGACAGCAAGATCGCTCTGTTCTCTGGGCGCTTCGATCAAGACAAAACGTTACCATCATACATAGTACTACAAGACGTCTGACCAACACAGGGACTGTGAGACCACCGAGCGAGAATTTGGTTGGTTGGGATCGGAAAAAGCGTCGATCCGCGAGGTAGGGGTGGGGTTGGGGATGGAGTGGGGCCGGCCATGATCGCGGGGATGCCATGACATGTGGGACCGGGGTGGACGCCGTATCGAAGGGAAATGGATGGTGATGTCCCGAGGGGATTGTGAGGGTGAAGCCGAGTTGTGGTGGACGTGGCCGCGAGGGATGACTGTTGATACAAATGACGAGTGTGGTGGTAAAGATATTATACAAATTGCGCCTGTTCCCCCACTCTCTACCTCCGCCTGCCCTACTGATACGCCTCAGCAGGAATCGTCCCCTTGATCTCCCCATAGTTCCGAAGGGCCACCTCATAGTCCCATCCGTTCTGCACCATGCACATGGTCGCAAAGTTGACATTCATCCCCGTCGCTTGCCGGAGCCGGGCGACGAGAGCGTTTTGGTCGGGTTCCGACGCGGACGCAGTGGGGACGGCACCGACACCGGCAAGGGGAGGAAGGACCGCGGTGGGGCCAGTACTCTGGTCGATAGCGACGGGTTGCGGAGGGATGATGAGTGCGCCGTGCTTGGCGACAGAGCGGTTGTCGTCGAATGCCTCGGACGACATGTATTGATGTACGACCAGGGTATCCGAGAGGATTTGAGCTGGCCAGCCGGCTTGATTTGCGCTATAAAGTCAGCTCAGGTTCTACGCGGATCTCAAAGACGAGACTTACGTCGTCCCCTGGATAGCATCGGCCAAAATGAAGGTGCGGGAGAAAGATCGGTAACAACCCGAAGGCACTGCTTATCAGCTTTGATCAGACACTGAGGCGATACCCAAAACTCGCTCTCTTGGAACTGCCCCTGAATCATAGCACACAGCTTCGTCGATGATCCCTCTCCATCCAGAACCCATGTGTCGACACACCACTTGGTCGGATCCTCGAGTGGATGCTTGGTCGCCGGGACTTTGGCCCACCAAGCCCGAAGCTCGTCGTTGTCCATCGGACTCTTCAACGAGTGGAGCCGCGCCAAGGCCGAGGAGACTCGGAAGAGGTTCCGGCCGGGGAGGTCCGTCCAGGGTGCGAAGGCGGCGGTGGGCGGGCGGGATGACTTGGTCTCTGCGACTTTGTTGGCGAGGAAGGACCGGGATTGGAGGGTGTTGCAACTGGCCGAAAGGGTTGCGTTTGGCGCGTACGCCGAGATGAGTTCTTGTCGGTTCGAGTCGAAGAGGGGGAAGAACCTGCATGATCAGTCTGGCTCAGGGGGAGCGGGATGAGGGTAACGCACTTGGCGCAGAAAGCCATAACGAACGACTGAGCCAACTCATTCTCTACAAATCCGCCTTGGACATCGACGGGGAAGGAAAGGGGTATGGCTTGGAGCTCCCGCTTTTTATCGTCCGCGAGGACTACCTTGGGTTTACGCTCGATGGGGAAGACGATCCGGTTGAGGTTTACCCCATCCAGGATGAGAAGACCAGGAAAGCGGCGGAGAATTTCGCTGCAAATTAAGCCCGGCCACTATGTCAAACATCGGAAGACTTACTGTTGGTACTTCTCCTCATCATTCTCCTGACCCAGCAAATTCTCACGGAAGGTACACCCGTTGAGTTTGAGCTCGACAAGTGACTTCAAGCTGCCCGCTCCTGCCGTCGCATTCCCCTTCTTCTCCCCGCGCGCGAGGAGAACATCGAGCTCGTTGATATTCTTGACGGGATTGTTGCTCAAATCGAGAGCCCGAAGATGGGGGAGGGAATGGGCGAGCTTGTCGAGCTGACCGAAATCGCGAAGCTCATTGTCCGCGAGGGAAAGAGTGTGGATGACGGCTCCAAAGTGCTGAAGTATGAGCGGTTGCGCGACTTCCGCTCCAAACAAGAGATCTTACCTTCTGCACTTCAATGTCAATGAGCTTCCAGAAGACTGCTCCGACAATTGGAGACGCATCGCGGTGGCCGGGGGCGATGATATCTTCCTGCTTGAGGTAGGCATCAAGGGGGAGTTTCTGCGCTGTCAGCTCTGATCATGTATAGCAAGAAATGCGTCAAACTTGCCGACATGTCCATTGCGCCAGGCGCAATCACACGCGCTCTCAGCCACTCTTTCGTTCCCTCATTGCGGAGCTTGTTGCTGAGGTTCGCCCTTTGAGTTTTGTGGGCGGTCTCATCTTCGGCTGCGCTGCGTCCACGGAGGAGAGGCGGGGTGCTCTCTTGGGCTCGGCGGGTGCTGTTGTTTGATCGTGCACCGCCTCGGCTGAGGCGAGACGCCAGACTGCCGCCCGAGTTGGATGGACCTGCAGATTGTCCGTGATCTCGGTCGGCACCCGCTCGAGGGGGGCGGTTGTACGGCGCATCGTTACGCACGCGTGGTGTGGGCCGCGACGACTGTCGATGCGAATGATGATGTGGATGATAGGTGGGATAGAGGGAGAGGTTTGGTCGAGTGGGGACGGGGTGAAGTCGCGGTTGAGCGGGTGGCGAGCGAATGGGAATAGCGCGAAACCGAGTTGGTGCAAAGGGTGGGAGGTCGGGAAAAATAGGTGTAAGCGTACGATCTATATCCATATTGAGTCGAGCGGTGAGGATTGAAGGTGAAGTGGATGGACGAAGAGGCGAGGGATATACGGTCGACCTCGAGAGGCTGAAAGGAGGGACATAGAAGGGATGTCGACCTCCGTCCGACCGCCGCGCCCCGTTCCGACAGGTATGGATGGCGGACGTAGGAGCTCATACTAGCATTAAACCTACCTGATCAAGAGGTCCTGAAGCCCGTCCTCTGCCCCGTCCACCTATGGTTCTTGCTGGACGGCCAGCTCCCCCTTCCACCTCCATACCAGTCTCCCGGCTGATACCGGCTGACCGAAGGGCATTGGTCAGACCGCGAGTGGAGGGAGCCCCAGTGGCGGCTCCACGGATAGAGAATGATGAGCCACTGGGAGCGGCAAGAGCTTGCTGGAAGGCAGACATGGTGAATGCGAGGGGTGCGGGCGAAGAGGTCGGAGAGGGGGGTTTGGGGAAAGAGTAGCCGGCTCGTGATCCCGCCTGGCTGAGTACGCGAAGCCAGCACTTGGTGGTCGGTCGCAGGTTCTGGTGTGCTGGGTATAGGTACTGGCTAGAAGGGAGGTCGTTATAGTAGGTAGAATGACAATGAGAGAAGGGCAATCAGAAGCGGAGGCTGGCTATAGATGGGTGGCGGAGTCATGTTAGAGTAAGCTCTCGCGCCTATTAGACCGGAAATTCAACCCGGATTCTGAAATTAGGCGACCGGAATCCGTAGATTATAGGCGCGGACGAGAATCTCGCCTCCTTCAGTCCAGCAACAGATACCTTGACTTTGCCCTTGTACTTGTACATCAGTGCTTTGTTGAGCCCTTTCCGCTCGACCTACAGAGATACCATGGCCGCTAAAGTCGCCGCCAAGGCCAACGGGTCCGACTCGAACGGGCACGCCAACGGTGATGCCGCCAAAGTAAAGTCTTCAGCGGCAAAATCGAGGGGTGCACTCAAGCGGCTCAAGGCAAAGCAGAAGGGAAAGGGAGGTGGGAGCGTATCTGGTGCAGAGGCGGCAAGTGATGCTGGAGCGGAGAGCGATGCCGAGGTGAGCTATAGTGATGGGATGAGGGTCTCAAAGTCGACCGGAGAGCTGACTCGGCAGTCCGTCGCATCTGTCTCAACAACGGCATCCAACTTCGACTTTGGGCCCATCCTCGACCCCTCGGATCCTGCCTTCGCGGCCTTTGCAGATGTATTTGCCCATTTCCAAGAGCAGGACGAGGAGGGGTTTCCGGTGGATGGCGTACCGGCAAAGGGACAGGTGTATTACTCGGACGATGAAGATGAGGATGAGGAGCAGGCTGAGCGGCGGAAGAAGGCGGCGGACGAGAGTGGAATGACGAGGCGGGAGAAGAGGAAGGCTGCTGTGAGCTCCCCGCTTCACCTTTCTCGTGAGCACAAGCTGACCTGCCAGAAATTATCAGTGGCGGAATTGAAGCAGTTGGTCGAGCGACCAGAAGTGGTCGAGTGGTTTGACTGTGACGCTCGGGATCCTCGGCTGCTGGTGACTTTGAAGTCGTACAGGAAGTGAGTAATGACTTTCACTCTCTTTGCGCTACTGAAAACACTTGCTGACAGACAGTACCGTCCCCGTTCCCGCCCACTGGAACGCCAAACGGGACTACCTCGCCGGCAAGCGGGGTATCGAGAAACCGCCATACCTCCTTCCAAGTAAGCTCATACCTTTCATCCCAGACTACTACAAGAGTATTGGCGCTGACCACACAGCCTGGATCGCCGACACCGGTATCGGCGAGCAGCGTGACGCCGTCAAGGCCAAAGAGGCCGACCAGTCCCTCCGCCAAAAGACGCGGGAACGGGTCCAACCCAAAATGGGCAAGATCGACATCGACTATCAAAAGCTGCACGAGGCGTTCTTCAAATTCCAGGGCAAGCCGTCCATGTCGAAATTCGGAGAGGCGTACTACGAGGGCAAGGAGCTCGAGACGGACCTGCGGACCAAGAAGCCCGGAGAGCTCAGCGATGAGCTCGTCGAGGCGCTGAGTATCCCGCCGCTCGCGCCTCCTCCGTGGTTGATTGCGATGCAGCGATTCGGGCCGCCACCGAGCTATCCCAATCTGCGGATTAAGGGGCTGAATGCGCCGATACCACCAGGGTGAGTTCATGATTTCCCTGTCTCTTGGGATGACATGGAGCAGTAACTGACCGTTTCAGGGCTCAGTGGGGCTTTCACCCCGGAGGATGGGGCAAGCCACCCATGGACGACTTCAACCGCCCGCTATACGGAGACGTCTTTGGTGTGCTGCAGGGAGCAGAGATTGCGGTAGGTCTTCCCTTCCCTAACCGCCTCCAGGGTAACATAGCTGATCCACCTCAGCACCAGAACGAGATCAATCGCGAACTATGGGGCGAGATTGAGCCTGCGGATGATGGTGAGCTGACTCTTTTTCATCCAAAGCCGAGATTCCAGCTGACATCCCCAGAAAGCGAAGAAGAGGAAGAGGAGGAAGAGGAGGAGCCCGAGCCCGAACCCGAGCCTGTCCCTGCTCCTCGCGCAAACGCTCGCGTTCCCACTGGCGGTACCGAGACCCCCTCCGGCCTCGCCACTCCCTCCGGCTACAACTCGGTCACGTCCACTGTTCCCGGCGGTCTCGAGACCCCCGACTTTGTCGATCTGCGCAAGAAGCGAGATGGCACCGAGTCGGAACCTAGCGGTCCGAGGGAGCTGTACCAGGTCATTCCGGAGCGAGAAGCGACGGCGAAGGGGTTCATGGGTAGTTCGACGGCGTATGATATGTCGAATCTCGGCAAGGCGGGAGGGAGGAGTGGGGCGGCGATCCTTGGTGCTGAGGACAGAGGGAACAAGGTGCGCTACTCGTTCTTAAGCGGGGTGGTCCTAGACAAGAAGCTGACATCTCAGCGAAAAGTCGGTGATGTGGATATATCTGTCGAAGGTGACGATGATCTCACGCAGGACCAACTCAAGGCCAAGTACGAGGCGAGTCGGGCGTCGGCAAAGCAGATACATGTACCAGGGGCGGATGTGGACAGGAGTGGGTTTGAGGATGTGAGGAATGAGGAGATGAAGAAGAGGCAGAGGAAGGAGGATGATAAGGGTGGGAAAGGGAAGGGGAAGGATAAGGGCAAGGGGGAAAAGTTCAAGTTCTAGGGCAGGGTCAGGTAGCGTTCACTTTAGAGTATGGCACATGTAACGTGTTTCAGCCAACGTCTTGACTGGACATGGTACAATTAATCATAATGCATGCGTACGAGACAAGACATGACAGTATCATACCTACTGCTACTACTACACCTATGTCACGCTACGAAATCAGACTGCACAGGACTATCTAGCTACTACAAGATCTACAAAAAGAGAGCGATCATTATGGACGACACTAGTCTAAGCTTCTCCCCGAACCCTCCCTGCCATCTTACTAATCCTCGTCCTCGTCGTCGCTGTCCAAATACGGGACAAGCGACACGATAGGCGCCACTTTCGAGGTAGATGGACCGCTCTTGGGTAAGGCAGCGACGCACGGGCCGCTGGTGGCAGTGGCGCCACAGTCGATTTCCCTTCCCTTGCCTTTCCACCGCTTAGGCTGCTTCACCGGCTCACTATCCTCCCCGCCAGAGTCCCCATCATCGGCATCTGCCTCGTCATCCGCCTCGCTCCCTCCATCTGAGTCTTCCCCTCCGCTATCCGCCTCCGAGTCGTTCTGCGCCGGCTCAGGATCGCCCGCAAGAACGTCGATCTCCGCCCGGCTCCCCACAGCTTCTTCGTGACCCACCTGACCTTCCTGATCCCTGACCTCCACTGCGGCTTCGTCGCGCGCTAGAACACCCGCCTCAGGTTCAGCCGGGCCAATGTCGGGCATACCATATGGAGGGCCAGTCCCGATAGTTCAGATACGTGCCCGGGATGGCCATGTAGGTCTTCGAGGGTGCGGGCTGATCGGCGGACAGGGGAGGTGTGATGTCTCTGCAGCGGAAGATGAGTGGGCCGAGGAGTTTAGGGATGTCGGGTGCCCTCCAGATCCTTGCCATTGTGGCAACGTACGAGCTGAATTCCGGATATTCCTGCTGGCAGAGGGTGAGGGCGATGCCGTTGAGTGGAAGAGGAGGAATTTTATGTCGGCTCCGGTGGACGAGATCGAGGGCGGCTCCCTGTGTCTCGATTGTGTAGACCAGGCGCGCGAGGTCGGCGAACGTAACCCGCTCGTAAGCGGGATGCGCCAAAGTCTCTGCCTGGAGGTAGGCGACGGCGAGGATGTAACGCTTGTCCGCGTCGCGCTCCGGCTTGTCGTGCAAGACATTGTGGAGGACAACACCCATCATCTACAGATCAGCTGCATTCCTCAACGGCTGAAACACTGCAAGAAACATACGTTGAGAGCGGCCTCAAAGTCCTTCGCGAACTTTTCCCATTCTGCGAACGCCGGCGCGCTGACGTACACCTCCAGCGCGGAGTTCTTGTGGAAAACGCTCGCATTGGCAGCGGCGCAGTAGGAGAAGATGCGGCAATTCCCTCTTGGATAATCCCTGGAAGGCCGTGCATAGACTTTGCCCCTTGATCCAACAGATACCCTTGAAGATTCACACCGACCCATATCACCGAGTTATCGACAAGGTAGGTGTGAAAGATAGGGAGCACGATGTGTGGATGTTTGGCAATTTGAGTGGACGGTGGCTGCTGTCAGTAAAATCCGTGCAAGGAGCTTATAAGGCTGTAACGATATCTAACAAGCCCTCTTCCTGCTTTGATTCAGAGGGAATGCGAAGTAGGGGCAGCTCAAGCGGTAGATGCAGAGGTCAATTGCTAGTTTACACTTGAGTTCTGGCAAATCAGAGTGCGAGTGGCAAGTGATTAAAGCGCTTGCAAGAGGTATATGGGGGAAAGGATGTGAGCGGCGAATAAGTCACAGATACTGATCTTATACATCCTTCTGGAAAGCTGTGAAGTGGCGGGTCATGTTGATATTCGTGCTCGACTCGATTTCGCTCGATAACTATATCAAGCAGCGGGAGAAACCCGAAATGCTGACTGTCTGTCAAATCCCATTCAGACATGATGTGCGAGATATGCCCAGGTGGACTTGGCAGTGCGCAGTCTCTATAAGCGGATCATCTGACGTGATGCTGAGGGCGGCGGTGCGCAGGAGTCAGCACCGGAGCCGAAATACCGCTCTGAGGTCAGATGCCTCTGCGGGAAAATTCGCGCAGACTGTTTCATCGTGTCCACTACTGTCTCACTATGCTGAGCCTCTTAGCGGATTACAGCGATGACGAGTTCGCCTCCGCTTCCTCCACGACTCGACTCGACTTCCCATTCGACGGGTGCCGAGCAGAGAGACAGCAAAGTGCCTCACAGCGAGAAGCCGAAATCGCCGGTAGACGCAAAGCAGGATGGAAGCTGGGGGCATGACCAGCCTCCAAAGAGACATGGACATCCGGCACGGAGCGGTGTTTTGGAAGAGGGGTAATCAATTTGATGCCTTCTGATTCGGCATTGCGTCCGTTAAACGGACAAGACCTATGCAGTATCGCCTAGGTGCTCCAAGAGTGTGCCCCACCTAGTCAGTCCTCGGTCCGACCAAAAAAGCAACACCGAGGGCGAAAAACGGAAAGCAGCATATATCGTCACCGGGCTAGCTACAACAGGAAGATTATAAGGGAAGAGACGACAAACAGCGCTATGGATACCGGCGCATCGGCAAGCAGCAAGCAGTATGTCCGGGAATATGGGAATAACGGGTGCAACGAATACGGGACAATCGACAGGCCACGAACGCAGACCCTGCGCGGTTAGGTGATGAGGCCGGATGTTCGATCAGAATTCCTGATCTGATCTTTTGCTAGTTGATAGCCTCAGGTCTAAACAACGCAGCACTGCAAAATCCGGAGCGCACGCCATTGAGAGCAGGTGAAACATGTTGATATCGCCCGATAGGGTAATAAGTCGATCAGGTGACCAAGCCGAGCAGGAAACCAGCAGAGTGCCTCAAAGCGAGAAGCCGGATTCGCCGATAGACGCAAAGCAGGATGGGAGCTGGGGGCATGACCAGCCCCCAAAGAGACATGGACATCCGGCACGGAGCGGTGTTTTGGAAGAGGGGTATCAATTTGATGCCTTTTGATTCGGCATTGCTTCCGTTAAACGGACAAAGCCTATGCAGTATCGCCTAGATGCTCCAAGAGTGTGCCCCACCTAATCAGTCCTCGGTCCGACTAAAAAAACACCGAGGGCGAAAAACGGAAAGCAGCATATATCGTCACCGGGCTAGCTACAACAGGAAGATTATAAGGGAAGAGACGACAAACAGCGCTATGGATACCGGCGCATCGGTAAGCAGCAAGCAGTATGTCCGGGAATATGGGAATAACGGGTGCAACGAATACGGGACAATCGACAGGCCACGAACGCAGACCCTGCTGAGGTTAGGTGATGAGGCCGGATGTTCGATCAGAATTCCTGATCTGATCTTTTGCTACCGTAGTTGATAGCCTCAGGTCTAAACAACGCAGCATGCTGCACATTCCGGAGCGCACGCCATTGAAGGCAGATGAAACATGTTGATATCGCCCGATCGGGTAGTATTCCGCATACCTCACGATGCCATCATCGGCGGATCGCGGCTGTAGCTTCGATCCAGCTCCTGACATCATCGGCTGACACCTGACTGTACGGGTACACTGCCGTCGCTGTGTATCGTCAATCCAATATCATCCGGTCCAACTAGAATCGACCTATCCCCATCCAACGTGAGCACAATGGCAGGAAAGCGAGAGGTGAGGGATCGCCCTGTATGATTGACTTCCCTCCTTTCTCCCGCTGACACCCCTAGGACCACAGCGACCTTGCCGACCAGGCCGCGAGCGCCAACAAGTCTGCCAAGGAGACATTCGACAACCAGCCTGCCCAGTCCGCCAATGTCGTGAACGAGCAGGACAAGAAGAAGGCGCACACCAACATGCACGAGCAGTTCAAGGAGGCCAAGGCGGACGCGGGGAAGGCGGTAGGATCTGACGGGTCTGAAGCTCTGGGATCCAAGTAAAGTGTAAGTTGAGAGAGTTCCGAGGTGTCTCGGTGCGAGAACAGAAGTTGACCTATCCAGGTGTCTCCGATTACAGTGGATCACTTAGCACAGAGAAGAGCGGTCCGATGAGATGCAGCAAGTCAACCTGCTGTGATGGCTGCTGTCTACCCGTCCATTACGCACAGCGCACACATCAACTACTGCGATACCTGGACACTCCTCTCGTCTCGCGTCATGACATCGTGGTTCTATGACCATAATCCCGCAAAGCTACACAGAGATCCCTTCTCATGATCAATCTCTCTCCCCCTGTCCTTGACTCCCCTCCCCGCCAAGCTCAGCTCGGATCTCCCTTGACACTCTACATCTGCGCCCCCCCATCTACCTACCCCTCGCTTCTCCTTCCGCCCTCTTCCACATCTAGACCCCGTACTGCTGACTCCTCCTCTGATTTCGGGGACTCGCCTGCCCCTGCGCTTGTTGCTGTTGTTGCTGCTGCTGACCAGCGAACGGGTGCTGAGGTACGCCATACGGCCCCGAGAAGCTCGCCCTTGTCTGATGCTGCCCCATCCCTCCCCCTCCATAGCTCTGATGCCCATACGCCTGATTCGGCTGCAATGGTGTATATAGCATACCCATCCCGTCCTGGCCGCGCGGGTCAAAGACGTCGAAACTCGGGGTCGATGAGTGGGTTGCCGCGGGAGGAGGAAAGGTGGGAAGGTAAGGTCGAGACCCGGAGCCGACGGACGCGGACGCCGAGTGGGGCATATCGTATTCCGATGGTTGACGGGCGTGGTAGCCCATCCCAGGACTAGTGGGCGATACGCCGATATGCGGCTGCATTTGGTATTGCGCCGCCGAGGATCCGCTGAGTCGAGTCCGATGGAGTCCGCCGTTTCCTCCTCCACCGCCGTATTGACCGGGCATCATCCAGCTTCCGCCCATCGCCGCCAGCTCAGCCTGTTCCTGCAGGTACTCGAGCTGCGGGTAGCTCGTCTGATGCATGCTCGAGTTCTTGGCGTGATCGCCTCCGCCTTGACCGCCACCGCCTTGGCGCCGCTCCCATTCGCGATAAGGATCGTCTCCGCGGTTGAGGACCGGAGTGAGGTTTCGATGCCCTGACGGGTCCGGCATGGACATGTGCGTGAGGCGGGCAAGAGCAGGCGGGATGACGTCCATCTGGTTGATAGTGTTTGACCGGTTGCGCGAGGCGGGGTAGTACGAGTTGGGAGGCGGGTTGGTATTGACTACCATAGGTGGCGGGGGGTTCTGGCGGAGTGCGCCATGCGAGGAAGAGGTCGCGAGTGATGATGAGGGGATCCGGGGTTGATGGTATGTCGCAGCGCCTTGTGGTGGACCCATGGGATGCCATTGACCCTGACTGGGCATGCGTGCGCGATGGCCAGCGCTCGGGGGTGGGTCGTAAGCCGGTGAGAAGGGAGCCGGACGGGCGGCGATCTGATTTTGATTGTGGGTCTGGATTGGCGTGGGGTAGGCCTGCTGCTGCTGCTGCTGCTGCTGCTGTTGCTGCTGGGGGATCTGCGGGTTGTACAGTCCCGCATCCGAGTAAACGCGCTGACCTCGAGTCGCGGTGGCCGTGGAAGGAGAGGGACCGGGTGTGTGCTGAAGACCGCCGTACTTCTTGGAAGGAGATTGAACGGGCGCTGTCGACGCAGTCGGCGTGGCAGGGAACGTCTTCTTGCTGGGTACAGAAGGTGGCTTTCCTGTCAGCTTTTGTGCAATACCCATATTACGAAGCAGACTGACCTGGAAAGGACCCGTAAACTTTTCGCCGGTGATGAAGGGATGCTTTGCCGCCTGCTGAGGCGACCACCTTTTGATGGGGTCGAGATTGAGTAGACCCTCTACGAAGTCGATGAATGACCGACGATGTGCCATCTCTAGGCGTTGTCAGCTCGTACACGGAAGGTATATGAGAGGCCAACTGACCCTTATCGACCTCTGACTGCCGAGGGTTCTTCTTCGACATCGGATACTCCATAATGATATCCCTCAGCTTCGTCTGCTTGAAGTACTGCTTGCTCGGCTGCTCCTTGGTCCGATGTTCCTGCGAGTATTGCTCGAGCGACTTGAGCTGATACTGTTTGCGACCCTGCGCGTCGACACCGGCGAAGTTGAAGAATTCGTGTGTCTGCTTGCCGACATCCAGAAGATGGCCGGGAGGATTGCTGAGTCGTTAGCTGCGAGCAATGAAGGCAGAAGCGAGAGGAGACTTACCCGAGCATATCTACTATCCGAGAAAGCTGATTGTACTCGCTTGTTCCAGGGAAGAGAGGCAACCCCAAGAAGAGCTCCACTACTATACACCCGAGGGACCACATGTCGATACTGGTCGAGTAAGGCAGACCGAGCAGGACCTCCGGTGACCGATAGAACCGGGACTGGATGTAGGTGTATACCGTCTGCATCTCGTGGCATGCCGAGCCAAAGTCGATGATCTTGATCTGAGGAGATTGGAGGCTGATAAATCAGCTACGCGTTGAACCCTGTAGTGGTGGCTCTAGCTCACCTCTTCAGCAGAATATTTTCCGGCTTCAGATCACAATGAATCAACCTCGCATCCTTCAATACCGCCAGGCATTCCAAGAGCTGGTGCGTGAACACCTTCACCAGCTGTGTACTAAGCCCCTTGAATTGATTCTGCTTGATCAATTCGTAGAGGTTTGACGAGAGGCACTCGAAGACGAGGCAGAGGTGATTTTTGTGGATGAAGGATTCTTGCATCCGGAGGATATGATGTTGGTCGTGAGGGTCGTATTGCGTGTTCAGCTATGATTGTCAGCTTTGGCTCACGTGTCTCACGAGGGAAACCAGACAACTGACCAGGTCCAGTATAGCCACCTCCATCTTGCTCTGATTCAAGTACGCCGGCTTGTTCTTGACGACTTTGACGGCGCAGATATCGTGCGTGCGCATATTTTGGCACTTGACGACTTGGCCGAAGGTGCCTTGACCTAGAACGTCCAGGATGAGATACCTAGGACATCAGCTGGGCGCCCGTAGACAGCGTTGTCAATTACAGGGACTGGCCAGCTCACCGATCACCTCCGTGCTCTCCGCCCAGAACGTCATTGACGTATAAAATGTAATCCCAATCCTCGTTATCCACTCCATCATTATGCACGCTCTTGCTCGGCTTGGTGAGCACCCTTCGAGGGTTGTCGCTGCTTTCATACCGGAATTGCGAGTTGCACAGCTGATACGTTTGCGGAAGCGCCGAAGTAAGGCATTGCAGAGGCTACACTTGTCAGCTGTGTCCAAGCGTTACACGATCGCCAAACTGACACTGAGGAATTTGCCCGGTCTGAGCGGATCCGCCCTTCGTCCATTCGCCTTCTCGCTCCCGATAGGCTTGAGATCGTTCCACCCCTTAACGTCCCTGAACCCCTGCCGACTTGGCTGCTTCGCCCTCGGATCCCTTGCGCCTCGTGGCGGCCCCAGCTCGTACTTGCCGGCAGGAGTCACGGGTTGGCTCGATGGGTACGTCTGTTGTGACTGCGATCTTGACGGCTGCGGAGGACGCATGCTGTTTGTAGGGGACGAAGGATATCCGGCCGCCCATTGTCCATTCGCAGTACCCGGCGCGGGGGAGGAAGACATGCCCTGGGCCGAGTAGCGAGGAGAAGAGTCGTACGGGTTGAGCAGAGGAGAGTGCGGGGAAGGAATCGCGTCGGATGAAGTAAGGAAGGGAGACCGAAGGTCCGATGAGGGTTGAGAATGGTATGATCCAGAAGACGGCATCCGCTGATTGGAGTCGGAGCGGGGATACTCCCATTCCGGCTGCTCGTCGATCTGGATGGACGGTCCCGGGTCCGAGCTCCGAGGAACGTAGGGATTCGGATTGGCCGAGTACCGAGCGGGCGAGGATCCGCCCGAATCTTGCCGGATGGGTTGGGTAGGCGGGCGGGCGTACTGATTCGGTACAGGTGGGGGCGCCATCCCGGCCCGATTGGTAGCCGAGTATGGCCTGCTTCCTCCTCCTGAGGACATGCTCACGTCCATCCCTGATCCCACTGCCCCATAGCTTTGCCCTGCGCCTCCTCCGCCAGTATTATTGTTATACCCCGGCCTGCTCATCTGCCCGTATCCCTGCGCTTGTCCCTGCATCCCGTAGTCCCCGCCGCGCATGTCCATCTGACCCAACCCAGACTCCACGTCGTCAGACGAGTAGCTATACGGGTCCTTCTTTCTCGCTCCTAATGATGCGCTCCGGGCTAAAGCGCCGAGACCGCCAGAAGATGAAGAAGGGGGAGGTAGTAATTCCTCTTGCCGCCTTCCGATAGCGTAGGGACTGGCGAAAGACCCAGTCTGCCGGTTTTGGTTGGGAGGAGGAACAACACCTCCACCGGCAGAATGAGGAGGGAAGCCTTGGTTGTGAGAGTTTCCGTTTCCGTACACGCCGCTAGTCGGTGTAAAGGGCGTTTGATGCTGGGTCATAGAGTGCCGGTGCTGGTGACTGGCGGAAGGAGGGGGAGGAGGAAGGTGAGACGGACCGTCGTTCGCGCTGGGACGCGTACCGAGGGGGAGAGGAGGTGGACCCGACGATTGGTGCGGGTTGAAGAGGGGAAGAGAGAAAGTGTCGGAGGATAAGTGGGCAGGGTCGTGGAATGATCCAGGGCGGGACATGTCGATACGCTATATGCTTCGGTGCCTTGCGTCGGTGAATTCGGCCCTCGTGTCCGAAGGAAAAAGGAGGGTATAAGCAGCGGGCTTCTTTCCTTGTGCTTGACGGCCTGCAAGCTGCAAGTTTCAGCTGCTATCCCTCTGTGCTGATCGACCCATGCTGCTCGGTCCTTGGAGATTGAAACAGCAGTATGAGAAGGCCTGAGGAAGTCTCTACTCACTTGCGTGGTCTAGAAGCTGGATATACTCCCCAATAGCCAGGACACCGCTCTGCGCGTCCTCGAGGCCTTTCGAAACGTGCGCCGGTCCTGCCCTCGCTGATCCTTTCGGGCTTCTTTTGGCTGGCGCAGGGAAGCCTGGTGGAGCTGCAGCCTGTTCCTGTATGTGTTGACGCTAGATGTATGGATGATAGAGCATTGAACGATGTGATAGACAGCAATGATAGTGGTGAGTGCGGAGTTGAGCCGGACGGACGGCCGAGAACGTGAACGCGTAGCGGCAAGCTCCGCCCAGACAGCCCCAGCTTGGCACCGGCCTCCAAGCGAAGCTCATTCTGCTATGACCTGTTGCTATAGGTAGCAATCACCCAACCGCACAGTATATGGTCCGTGTTCACTCTCATGCATAGTTCCACAGTTTCTGATATACCCATACAAACTTTCCTCCTTGCCCCCGTCCCGCCAGCCGTCCTCCCCTTAATCCCCTCGACCCAGCTTGTCCAGTGCTCGGACACCCTGCTCGTCCCATTCTTCTTTAGTAACCCAGAACTGCTCCTTATCCTTCATGATATCCGCCAATACCGCTCCACCGAGGAACACCATGTGTTTACGTCTGGGAGGGTCCTCGATACGGATTTTGAAGTTCTGCGAGTATGAGCTGGCGATCCACATCTTTCTCAGTGGCGAGCAGCTCACCTTCAGCCTGGACCCATCGCCGCCAAGGACTTTTGTCATATACAGCTGCTTCATCTCTTTCTCCAGCCGGGATGGGAAACCGGGATACATAGAAGAACCGCCGGAAAGGACAATGTGCTTGTAGAGTTCGGTACGCGTGTCGACGGCTGCTGCTTGGATAGTCTGGAAGAGGAGTTCTAGGTGTCAGTATCGGTATAGAAGCAAGAGATGAGGGGACTAACCTGCAACACCGGGTTGTTCGACGTCGACGAGGTGGGGCTGGAACATGCATTCTGGGGCCTCATACCGCTCCGAGCCGACCTTGATGACTCGTCCATCCGGCAACTACCCTAGTCAGCTCTCATCCTCTGCATTAATATTGTCCGCGGACCAACCTGGTAGTTCTCTACCAACACAGTCGTCTCCTCGCTCAGCTTCTTGTCCAGCTCCAAATCATAACTCATAAAGCACAACGCCTCCTTGATCCCTCGGACCGTCTCAAAGTCCGCCGTCCGCTCGAACGCATATCCGCGCATGAGGAGCAGCTTGATGAGATATCGGGTAACGTCTCGGCCGGCGACGTCTAGACGGCGAGTAAGGTGCGGAAGGGCAAAGCCGTCGTATACCGGTACGATATGGGTGACACCGTCTCCCGAGTCGACGACGACACCGGTTTGCAGACCTGTCTGTCAGCTCAAGGGTATTACAGTAGTATGGAATAGAGCTCACCCTGTGCGTAGAGCGTCAATACCGCCTGGATAGCAACGTAAACGCCCCCAAACCCATACTCCTCAAACATCACCTCGGCCATCTTCTGCCTGTTCACCTTGGGATTCATCGGTGGCTCCGTAAGCAGCACCTTCATGCCGTGGGTGTCCACCTTGAGCTTCTCCTGGAACGTATAGTCCCACAGATGCCGCATGTCCTCCCAATTCTTGACGATTCCGTGCTCCATCGGCTGGGTCATCTGGAGGAACGACCGGTTCTCAGCCGCGTCGTCTCCGACCATAATATCGCGGAGCTGAGATGTGCCCAGGCGTTCTTCAGCGCGGAGGATGGGACGACCGATGACGGAGGGGAAGACTGGGCGTTAGCGGGGTCCAGCTGAGTTCGGAGAGAGGCGTGGCTTACCATGTTCAGGGAAGTTGGAGCCGGCCCATCCGCACTTGACGAACTAAGCGATCAGCAGTGAGACTGCTCAAAGCTGGAGCTGTACGCGAGCTCGGCGGCAGTACTCACTCCGGTACCGTTGTCCACAACGAGGGGTCTTGATGCGTCCATCTTGTCCGAGGAATGTAAGCTCCAAATTGGTCGCTTTTGCCTGTACTCTTCGATGAGGTGTTCCGGATTTGAAACCTCGTCGGTACCTGAGAGTACTACCGGATATTGGGTTGTATGGACGATGACAAGCTAGCGAGATAGATGTCAACGCTCTGGCGGTGTGAGCGGACGTCATGGCCGGCTGTGGCGGTGACATGGTCCACGTGGGCATCTACTTCCGCTGATCTTGCCCCCGGAACCGTCGGCCTGCCCCGCGGTCAAAGCAAGGCGAGTTGGGTGGCAAGCCGACCTTAACGTTGCTCACTCATCAACTCTCTACCTCTTCTTTACTGATAATCCTATCAAGATGGTATGCAAGAAGTGCGAAAAGGTGAGCTCCTCTGTCTCCTCTCTCGATCGATACCCCACACTCCATGCAAAGTAACAGCTGACCCTTTCAGAGACTCACGACAGTCGCCGCTCCCGACCCATTTCAGCCTTCCTCGTCCACGCGGAAGATAGGCGAGAACAAGCTCTTGACGGCCAGAGCCAGGGCGGCGCCATATGTGAAGCCAGGGGCAGGAGGGGTGGGGAAGGGAAAGACGAATACGATGGGGAACAAGTGCATTGATTGTAAAGTGAGCTATTGACGGCAACACCTGAGCCGAGGAAGTCCAGCTGATAGAGTAGCTGTCATGTCAGCAGAACGGGGCGATAAGATGTCACAAGTGCGCGTATAAGAAGGTAAGCTAGTTTTACTCCGATGAGAGGTACAACGGCGCAGCTGACAAAAATAGGGCCTATGCGCAATATGCGGCACCATCGTCCTCGATACCAGCCGGTATAAGCAGACTGTCAAGTAATCATTCCCCCAGACTTCTTGTACGATGCACCCATCCCTACTATAGTATAGTCGATCTCCCGCAGACTCCCGTTGTACCCATATGCAAGTACATCAACTTATCAATATGTACTGCACAATCTCCCCAAAACGGCTTATACTCTAGATCTACTCTTCTCAACCACTTCAACACTCCCCCAACACTCAACTCGCCCCCGAGTCCCGCCTCATGATACTGCTCAACCGCTTCATCATCCCCTTCTCCTTTTCCTGCGGAATATCCAGTACCATCCCTCTCTCCCCATCAGCCATCTCGGTGTATGTGCTCTCCCTTCGTCCACTCTCCGTCCTGACGCTATTTCTCCGACTCTCTCCGCCGGAGCTGCGGCCTATACTCCCTGCGATACTCATGGCGCGGCTAGAGAGGCTCGGCATGATGTTCCCTCCGGCGTTCGTGTTGCCATTGGCCATCCCGTGCCCATTCCCGCTCCCATTGCCAGAACCGGATGGCGGTGTAGTGATAGACCGGAAACTGGACGTATCCGTCACTGGTCTCGGAGAACCAACAGTGACCATAGGCGTAGCTGCCACTTCGTACGGGGAGGGTGCGAGTCGAAGGGGTGGGAACAGCTGGTGCGAATGCGAGGACGAAGCGGGAAGGGAGGGCGCAGGCGAAGTGACCATAGATTGCCGGGAAGAGGATGAGACGAAGGATGGTCGAGGGGAAGATTGGAAAGCTTTGAGAATGGAGGAACGACTACGCGGGGTGGCGTCCACGTCGGCAGCGTGCAGGCTGGGGCCGGAAGGGATGTCGGGAGAGGTGGGGTAGGATGATTCGGCCAGGCCAGGGAGACGGTCTGATTCTTCTGGGAATGCCTTGTGGAAGTCCACGTCTCATCAGCTAATGTTCGTTCCGGACCGCCATCAGAGTAGACGTACGATTCTTCAAAGCCTCGTGGAATGCAATATCCTTGCACACCTTGCCATGCAGCTGTAGTCCCCCATGCACAGTCTCCACATACTCCTCATATACCGTCCGGAACTCGTCCAGCTGGGTCGCGTCGGCAGGGCGGTCCCGGATGTAAGCCGCATCGAGGAAGGTCTCGCGATACAGCTTGACCCCGCCGTTGATGGGCGAGTCAACCGCGCCGTTCAATGCTGTTCCGAGCTGCTTCACACTGATGCGTCAGCTGATCCTCGTTCCACAATGAGGCGTGCTCAGCTTACTCGAGCTTCTGGCCAGGCTTGAAGTGGAACAGATCGTTCAGACTTGACGTTCCCCGCTTGATCTCGGCGATAGCAGAGGACAAGGGCGAAATCTCCTCGTACTGAACGTCGATGACCTCGGAGCGGTTCAGCAAGCCCGGTAGGATATCGGCAGCTACCACATCAGCTTTATGCCCGGGACCATGACTCCCTACCGACGGAACAGCTTACTTGTCAAAGTCGTCTTCTCGGTCCATGTCAATACCCCAGTCCCGCCTCCTCCACCCATTCCGAGCTTCGGACTGCCCACTCCATCCTTGACGAACGGCCTCGAGCTGCAGAATCTCCTGACTCCATTACTGCGATGGTATGCCTGTATATTCGGATGCACGCCCGGTCTGAGCGCAGGGTGCGACGCGTCCGGCTCGGGATGAACAGATGTGACCCAGATGATGTCGCCTGCTTCGATCGCCGCGGGAGTTGGGGCGATCTTGGAGCGGTGGGTTGTCGAACGAGGGAACTTGACTTGGATGCTCTCGCAGCTGTCAAGTCAGCTTGTCGACTCTGCCGCAGTACCAGGTCAAATAGGGCCGGAAGCTCACAAATCGACATATCGCTGCCATGGAAGACCACGGACAATGAACTCCTTGCCCTGGTTGACGGACGCATGTTCCCCATAGTACGCCTACAAGGTCAGCTACAGCCCGCGTAACGGACTTCCGCGTACTCTTAGCAGACTGACAATGCGGAAATACTCTGGCTTGGGCCGCATACTCTCGCCCATCCGTTCCCAGAGCCTCGCTTGATGCGTCAAGAGCTCGGTGATCTTCTTCACATCATACGTGAGCGCCATGTGCTGGGTGGTGAGTTCTTGGCATAGCTCCAAGGCGTATTCGTACGCCTCCGCTTCGGCTAAACAATCAGCTATCTCCTCTGTCTTGGCCCGAGGGGGATACAGGAAGCTCACCAAAGTAATCGATAGCGTGGTAATACAGACTCTCCCGCCTCGCGAACTGCGTCTGCGCCGGCAACTTGATCCCCTCCCCACCCCAGCGATCCACCAGTCCGCCATCCATCGTCCACTCGTACGCCTCACCATGCATCCGCATAGCCAGCCCAGCACCCAACCAGTCCTTCGCTTCCAGGTTGATCGTGACCAGCTGGTGTACAAAGCGGACATAGAGCTCGCTCCTTCCCACGCGCTTTATATAGTCCATCAACCGATAGATGGCGCCAGCGCGCTCATCTTTCCATTCAACAGACTCAGGGAGGTCCCGAACGGCCAGGAGCAGGTCGATGAAGAGCTCAACTTCGTCCAGGAAGGTAGAGAATTGAAGGGCGAAGGCGGGATCGGAGGACGGCTTGGACTCGTATGCTTCTCGAAGCTGGGTGATGAAGTAGGCGCGCATGGTGCTGTCGCTGGGGTCGGCGGTAGCTGCTGACTTCTGCGAGAACTGCAAGTCAGCTTGCTCTCTTTCTGTTTCTTGGTATAATTAGCTCACCAATCCATCGAGCTTGGCGAATATCTCGGTCTCGATCCCGCTGAACTTGCCAAGCAAGAGGTACTCGGCATAAATCATCGAGTAAAGGATCTCCACCGCCGTTTCGCACAGCTGATCGTGGCTCGAAAGGCACAAGCCGAGGATACGTTCCGCTAGACCGGTGAAACGAGTCTGATACTGCTTTGTCAGCTGGGCTCATTGACTCAACATTCGAAGAGATGGGGTAGCTTACTCCGCCATGCCGCAATCCACTTCCTCCCTCCTCAGACCATCCTAGTGCCCCCCAGAGGTTAAGCAACAAGCTCGATCCCTCATCCCTCAGATCACCCGCGATGATCCATCCCGCCCTCCTCTTCTGCTGCGTATGATCCTCGAGCGCCAGCTCTTCAGATCCGCACAAATCACACAGGAGCTCGAAAGTAGCCATGAAGAGACTGGCGTCGAACCCCTCCGCCTCCTCCAGGGGCGGGATGAAGTCCGGACGCTGGAGAAGGTCGATGATAGGGTACAGGAGCTTGATGATCGCCGAGAAGGCCATGAGGGAGAGCGAGAGCCATTGTTTCGGGAACGCGTGGAAGTGGATGACCGAGCTGCAGAATGATATGATACCCAAGAGGCGGGCCGATGTCCGCTCCTTGCCCTCGATATCGAGCATCTCGAGAAGGTATCGATCGATATTGGCCCGAGGGGTTGCGAGCACCAAAGAGAGGATGACGACAGCGCATTCGGCAAGACCGCAATTGAACGTCCCGATCTCGGCTAAGCCGGACTCGTCGCCGTGTTGGTTTTGCGCGAGGAGAGAAGGCGGGGGGAGCTGCGAGACGAGCGAGAAGGGATGGGAGATAGGGAAGATGTCTGGAGTCGCTTTCCAGATGCTGCCTTCGGTCTTCTGGCGGCTAAGGGTTGATTGCGTAGAGGAGTTGCGGAGTTCGGCGTAGGAATCGCAAAGACTACAATCAGTAAGACCCCACCTGAATCCAGAAGCCGCCGCTCACTTGGGTAGTAGAGTCAAGCAGTACTCCAGGTTATCCTGCTCTTGAATCCGCAGATCCTCCGATTCGAGCACTACATCCGAGTCGAGCCACTCCTGCAGGCTGTTGATGGTCCAAGCGATAACCTGCTTGTCAGCTGCATTCAGCAATTGGACTCACAGTAACTGCCAGCCGATTACATTCCATCCACTTGATCCGCTTCATGTCCCTAGCTTTCTCCTCGCCTGCTTGACCAAACCCCTCTTCATATTTTCCCAAATGCGGCTTTACCCACCGTACCAACGCAGGGATCAACAGCCCCCGACTCGCTGACGAGTCAAACACGCTCTTGACGACCTGCAGAAGCAGTAGGAGCTTGTATATTGCCATAGATCCCTTCGCCGGAGTAAGGGTGTCTGCGAACGCGATGATCATTTGCGCAATCTCGACGGGCGGGAATATCTTTGCAAGAGAAGGCAAGACGTCCGCGTAGTGCTGCACCGCCAATGTCTGGGTCCCGATCAGGCCCTGGTCCGACGACGCCATAAGCGCGTTGATATCCGAGAGGACCGACTTGACTTGACGTTGAAAGTCCGCCTCAATATGCGCCGAGGTCGCGTCGAGGCCGACGCCCCGCGCCCGATCCAGCTCCCGCGAGCGGATGATGAAGCGGAAGAAGAGGTGCCAGACCTTCAAGAAGGAGCGATACGACTTGGTGTTTGGCGTAGACATGACGGATTTCATGCTTGCCAGGAGTTGCGAAGCCGAGGCGGGCCGATTGAATTGCTGAGAGATGTAGACGTCGAGCGCGGCGGTAAAGCTGGGGAAGCGCCGGTCAGTCGACATGGAGAGGACCTTGACGATGGAGGAAAAGACGAGGGCGTCGAGCTCGGACCGGTTGGAAGTGAGGATACCGAAGAGGGCGTCAAGGACCGAGGGGACAAATTTGGCGATTTCGTCTTCGCTGACAAAGGAAAAGGTGTTCAGGATGGAGGATAGAGCCGGGACATCCAGGTTCTGCCAGGAGAAGAGGGCGCGGAGTGTATCATCCTGCGAGTGGACCGTAGACGCAAGGAAGGTCCGGACCGTCACGCGATCCCGCAAGGCAGTCATACTCCGGCTGAGCGCTTCGTTGGCGGTAGTAGTGGGAGGACAACCGAGGTAGACGTTCGGGCCCGGCACTTGCTGCTTGTTCAGGCGGTAGAGGACTAGATTGTGCGCCCCGTCCTTGATTGCTCCGCCAGCGCTGACGAGGGGTAGATGGGCAACAGCAAAAGGCCGCTCCAACTCTCCCGCATCGGCATTGAGATGCCTGTCCTTCCCTCTGCTCCGGAAAGTGAGGAACAGATGCGCATCCCCCACCGCCGCTGGCAAAGACACCTTTAACAGCTCGCCGTACGTGGGTCGGTCCGTATGTGTGAAGCACATTGAGTGGAACTGGGGTATTGGTGGCTCGCCTGACCCACCAGCAAACATCGCACCGGGAATGAGCGCTCCGTCGGCCTTGCGCACCTCGACCGATATTTGGACGTTGCCGAGATTTGAGGGAACGATGGACTTGCGGAGCCGGATAGAACCACCGCCGCCACCGGCCGAGGGGAAGAAGGAGGCGGACCAGAGCTTGACGTAGATGTCATTTCGAGTGATGTGGGGTGGGACGATATCCGGAAAGCCGAGACGAGCTGAGATGGGGGTCTCGGCTAGAATGGAGGGATGCTCGTGCACAAGCTGCTCGACATCGCCGTGTAGGACTCGGACGCCAAGAGCGATAGCTTCAGCCCTGGTGATCAGCGCTTCCCCTCGGACATAGGCGATCAACTCACCTTGGGGAGCTGGCCACATCTTTCATCCGCCCATATATGATGTCCTCGTGTAAGGTAGCAAACGATTCTTCGCTGAGAGGCGCAAAGATCGGGATCGAAAACTCCATCCCGCCCTTTTCGCCACCATCACTGAGCATCTTGTTGCCTCTAGGTAGCTCAAGTACCGCGCACCCCAGCGGACGGCGGAATGACGGTCGACCATCCACTATGCTCCCGGCAGCAGTATAGGATGTGTCGGCGGTGTTGGTGCGATGACCTCCGAAACCCGAGGTGATGGACCAGGAGTCGTCCGTGATCATCGACGCGACTGACACCTTGCTGCGAAGCGTCTCGCTGTGCGGGGAGAGGTACGTCCCGGTAGGTCGAAGGGTGCTCGGCCGACGAGAGGTCGTGGAGTCGGCGTATCCCGACCCGCTGGAGCTGGCCTCGAGGCGAGTGTTGATGGCGCCGTTCCGGATGAGCCGGCAGACGAGGTACACCTGGCCGTTGACCTCTTCTCCCTTGAGGTCAACAAAGAGGGTCCGAAGTCGCCCGAGTCGCTGTTCCGCATCCCGAGCGGGACTGCCGAGGTGGTTCAGGATAAGACAGTATTCTTCAGTGATGAACTGATTTTCTGCCTTGCTGAACAAGGAAAAGTACAGCTCGGCTGTTTCGCCAGGTGCGCATGGCGACGCGACGAAAGCGCGAAAGTCGAGGAGGAGGTGGTAGAATGAGCCGGGGAGGTTGAGGCTGGGCTGAGTGATGGTTTGGAGTGATCGGCGCGGGTCTGCCCGGATGGAGGAGGGCATCCGGCCGAATAGAGTATCGAGAGGTATCAGGTCGATGTAGGCGAGCTATCTGATCAGCTGAAACTGACGTCAAGGCGTGGCCAGGACTCACCTGTACTTGATACACATATGCGGTGATTCCAGTCATGTATCCCGATGCGCCCACCGCTCTGCTCTTGTCCACCACCATGACGCTCCCATCTTCCAGACTGCGCACGATCACCTCGAGTCCCTGAGCGACATTGCACTTGACCAGCCTCGATACGCATTCCCGCCGCACACGGATGAGCTCGTCTGCGCTGAGGGTTTGTGAGAGGAGTTGACGCCGACCAAGGAAAAGGGCGTCGATGTGCTGGACGACGAGGTTGAAGATGCGATATTCCCTGTTCGCGAGATAGGAGGGTATACGCTACTTCGTGAGCTCAAATTCCATAATGGCCTACAACGGAGGTACTCACACCGTACCACTCTCGTATAGCACACGCTATCTCATCGATGAGAGGCCACTGCTGCCCCGCCAATGTCGAGTCGCCGGCTGTCAAAGTTGGCAACGGCGGCTGCTCTTTCTCATCGTCTGGATCGAGGTTCGTCCCCGTCAATGCCAAAAGAGACTTTGGCCTAGGCTTCCCGTTCAGGCCGTTCCCTATCGACCTCCGCTTCCCATCCGCCTGGACTTCCACCACAACTCCATCCCCGCCCAGGCCAGGACTGACGAGCGTCGACTTTCCCGGCGAGAGTTCAGACTCGTCTTCCTCCTGTACAACGCCCATCCCGTAACCCTTGACAGCGTGCCGAGAGCGCTCTTCCGCCATTCGGACTGCGGTTTGGTATGCCTCTGACGGCTCGCCGGGGTCTTCGCCTGTCACGGGTCGCGCCTGGACGACTGAAGCAGGAAATATGCCGACCAGAACTGATGGCTCGGGACGAGGGAAAGCGGAAGAGGAAGTGAGAGGTGGATTAGGTCGGGGGTTGGGCATAGGCGATAAGGACAGTAGGGATACTGCCTGGATGACATAGCTGCTGATCAGCGCTGATCAAGCTGAGCCCTGGTGTTGGATGTTCCCAGAGTTTCGACGACCTCACTCACCCTCTGTACCACACCTCCCCCTTTCCCCCTTCCTCCCCCACACAACGATACTCCTCGAAGGCAAAGAACTCATCCCCCACATCCAGCGGCACTTCATACGCATTCGTCTTCTCCCCGAATCCCTCCCGGACATTCCCAGCATTGGGAGACGCCAGCCCGGACCATGAAAATCGATTCCTGAGGCGCGATTTGGCGGATGAAGGGCCGGGCTCGCCAAGCTGGGTCGGAGAGCCGGGCGGTGTAGGGTAAGGGTGAAATGGGTGGACACAGTAGCCCGAGACTATGTGAGGGAGAGGAAGCCAGCCTGGCATCTGTGAACGATATCTTCGGAGTCAGCTTGAGATAGAGAGGCGAGCGGGCGGACTTGCGGTGGGTAAGGTGGAAGGTTTGCTGCAGGAGATCCGAGCGCTCCGAGCGTTGACATCGCGAGTACGGCCAGTCTAGCACTGCTTCCTTCCTTACTAAGGCGCTACGCTGCGTCTTGTAGGGTAGGGTGAGCGATTCCTCCCTGTAGCACCGCTGTTCAAGCGAGAGAGATGGTAGAGATGGTAGAGATGGACGTTTCCGTTCCCGTCTCCCCGAATGGCAACATGCCTAGAACCAAAGAACCCGTGCCTGAAAAAGCCGAGGAATGTGGCGCTGCTGCGCGATCAGCTGCTCGATCATTCAGCTGTCAGTCAACCATCTCTTGCCCTGTTCAAGCTTTCTCTTTGACTTTGAGCTGATCAGCAACGCTGCCGAGATGAGGTAGCGACGACCGTTCTGTAGCTATCCGCAGTCGGGAAGTTGGGCCGCACACAGATTCGAAGGCTCTTCCGAGCTGACTCGTGGCCAAGATGTCTCACGCGCTGTCTCCTCGGAGCCGATACGAGTCAAGCGCACTGGGAGGCGAGTAATTACGCGGGGGGCCTTTGGATAGAGACGTATGTACAATGTCCTTTTTCATTGTGTGCTTTTCTCATCGATCCGCACTCTCCCAGTCCAGCCCTCAGCTTGTCTTGCCCTCGCCAGAAGGCGAATTGTTGCATCGACAAAGCATCGCCGAGCAGATACAGGTAACTATCAATCCGCAAACTCTGCTGATATCGCTCAGGGGCCTTGGTGTTAGATGGTGAATGACGTTGAGGAAGCTTCGATTGCTGTCACCACCCTCGATATCCGCTTCAGCCGACTCGAGGACCGACTCGTGGCTCGACTCGAGGCTCGACTCACGGATCGACTCGAGCAGTACCTCGATGAGATGCGCGGCGGACTCAAGCAAATCCGCGAGCACCTCGACGAAGCCAAGAGAGAGAGGGGCTGTTGGTCGGTTGGTCGGTTGAGCTGAACTATCAGCTGGCGGACATCAAGCAAGAGCAGGCGAGGATAGAGCATGACATAGAGGATGTCGAAGCAAGACTGACATACTTGGAGGTGATATCGTTGTCACCTGCTTGCTGACCCCCGAAGGGCGCAACGAAGCCGCACTGGCGGCTTTATCCGTCTGAGGACGAGGATACGACTGGGCACTTAGGGCGAAGTCAAGACTTGGAGGGGGAGGGGTACAGCTCACTGCCCGGCGGATCCGAGAAGGAGGCTGTCGTCGAGGGCGTCACCACATCGATGCCAGATGTAGAGATAGAGGATCTCTCCCAGCTTCCTTTCTGGGTGGAGCTCGGAGACACAGACACGGCGGGCGGTAAACGCGGGCGCGGGGATGACGGTCGGGGTACCTTAAAGAAGTTTAAGCTGTAAGCGGATACATGATGGCGGTCGAGGCGGGTACAATGCAGCGAGGGAGAGCGTTATGTTGAGGTGTATGCACGTATATGTAGTCAGGCCACGCTCGCCCCACAGCCATTGACCCATTCTTAGCGCCCAACGCGCTCGACTCTGATCTGCAGTCCGTCGAAGTTGACTGATCACCATTCTGTTTTGGGTGAGGGTCAACTCTGGAAGAGGCAATACTGGAGGTTGGGGACGCGGGTGAGGGAGTAGTGAGGCGTAAGGACGACGAGCTCAACCTCGTGTGTGAGTAACTCTTTCAAGCATCTTGTGCTGTCCAGATCAGTACAGCCTAGCCATGTACATCTCCGACAAGCTATCTCCCCGCGCCCTTCTTGACAAGCTCCAAGAACCCCTCTTTCGTCAACTCCTCCTTACCCCCTCGACCCATGATGTTGCCCTTATCCTTCTTCCCGTATCCCTTCACACCCGCCGCCGCCGCCGACTTGGCAATCACCGACGCTGGGTCGTCCGCCGCTAGCGTCTCGTCATTGCGTGAAGCAGTCAGAATGGCGTTGAACAGCTTGATGACTGATTGTCAGTTGTTTCCCATCCAAAACGAGATGTAAGCTCACCACCACGCTGTGCAGTCTTCCTGAGCCCCTTCTCAAACTCCAAACCACCAATAACCTCCCCCTCTCCCGGTCCCGCATGACTCCACCCCTCTACGACATCGCGCACCCGCGCTCGATCCTCCTTCTCCTCCTTTTCGCGCTTGACCGCTCGCGCGGCCTGCCGTTCCAGCTTCTCGGTGGTTGCTGTTGGCGGAAGTTTGGCTCGCGAAAGGGACAAAATGGGCTGGACGGTCGTTTTGGCCTTTTTGGCTTTGGGTTCTGGGGCGGTAGGGAGGGCGGAGAGGGGTGTGGAAGCAGTGATGGCTTTTTTATCCTTGGGCTTGGTGGATTCGCTCAGAAGGGACGTCAGGGCTGATCCGAACTCATCCGCCGTGGTGGGCCGTTTCCGTTCTGTCCATAAGTATGCCTCCAGACCGCAAGGTGAGAGGTTACTCACTGACAGCAGGCTTGACTTTCCCGCCTTTACCTTGCGCCCTCTGAATCTCCTCATCGGTTCCTACTTCGTCCTCATCATCATCGTCCTCCATATCTTCGTCCTCATCTCCATCTTCGTCATCATCATCGTCTTCCCTGACCACCTTCTTCACCACCTTCCCAGCCGGGCCCTTTCCCTTTCCACTCTTCTGCGCGATCGAGATGGACTGCTTCGGCTTCTTAGATCCCGACGGCTTCCCATTTCCCTCTCCTCTCGGTTTCGATGGTCCCGCCGTGGATGCCTCTGCTCGCTTATTGCCTGCGAGAGGCGCTTTGCGCGCCGAAGACGACGCGTTGGGCTTCTTGAGTATAGATTTGGGCGCCATGGTGTATGATGGTCGAGGTTGGAGAATGCGTGAGCGATGCTGAGTGCACTGAAGCTGAAATTCTTCTTCCGACGGAATCGCTTACTTCGCCAACGCGATCCGCGGAGTCCTGCTTGCTCCGCGGAGATATGATAGTGCGTGGTGGCAGCCGCCAAAGCCTCCCTTCTGCGTGCTGCGCTGCACATGGTGCATCAGTGCATCAGCAGTCACCTGTCAGGAGGGATTCCATTGCTGGCAGATGATGTACGAAGCAAGAGTCATCAACCTGCAGCACTGCAGTTGCACGGCTACTGAGACGGATATCGGCTGCGACCCCGAGCTCCTGTTCGGCATCGGATGGTCGCTTGTAGCCTTAGCTGTCGATATGTGCAGCAGTGCTCCACATCGGTGCTTAGGCATACTGGCCCAAGCCGAAATCCTTCACGGCTGTGCCGGCGGTGAGGAATAACTCTGAGACATAACTGCGCCGAATACCTCGGTGCCTGTTTCACTTGATCGGCCGGGCTCTCTCACTGCGAGACTCATACTCCGGATGCAGCCATCGACTATGCTATGTAAACTGGGGGACTGCTGGCGGTGGCTTGTCTTATACAGGGACTGAGCAGGCTTAGGTGTACCATTGAGAGAAGCTTACCGAAGATTTAGAAGGGACGAGCGACGATCTCTGCCGTAATTGAGCCGAATTTATACTTGTTCCGGCTTTCAATTAGCCTTGATTAGTAAATTAGCTTGACCGTTTCCTGACAAGTCCAGACCCCAAATGCTCGTTGTTCCCTACATTACCATACTACACGGCTGCATAGAGGCCTTACTCACAGGGCCTGCACCGCTGTAGAGACAGGGAAGTCCAGGAATGCTGATGTCTGCTGACGGGTCCGGGCGTTGTGAGTAGTAATTTGGGGCGCGCTCATGCGCTATGATGGCGCAAGCTTGGCTGGACATGGGCTTACTGGTCCCTAACATTCCCTTGACATCCCTGTCCCATTGGCGTCGCCTTCATTTGAGGAAGCGGGCATGGTATGCTCAGACCAGAGGTCAGGCCGAGCGGTGTCCTCTGCCTCTGAGTATTCACAAAAAACATCTACCCACTTTACCGTCCACCTTCACCTCCCTCTCCGCTCACGATGCTCTGCTCCTCCCGCGCTCGCCTGCTTCAGCTGGTTCTGGTCGGCTTTGCCATCATCCCTACCTACGCCGTGAACGATATCTTCTCTGGATGCTACACTATCCTTCCAAGCGGATCCGCCCTCTCCAGCCCTGCCACCCAGTCGAGCTCCAGCGCCTGCACAGTAAATCCCATCTCCCCTAAATCTGGGTACGACTGATCCCCAGCTCGCCTGCCCAAATAACTCACATTCCTACTACAAAGCCGACACACAAGCTTGCTATTGCAGTAACGGCACACCGAACGAGCAATATCTCGTAGCGGGCAACAGGGACGGCTGCGGTACCAACTACGAGAACCGGATCACCAAGACGTCGTTTATGGAGGTTCAGCCGCTGTGCTATGCGTCCAAACCGGCCGGGATCACGACAGCTTCTAACCAGTATCCGACAGGTCTAGGAGGATGTTTGAATGCGTGCAGGTTCTCGCTTCGAGCTCACTTCTTTGCGGACACACCTGTATGTTAACGTTGTCCTTCATGGGGGTGTAGCTGACGGTGCAGGGGAACAGATATGCGTGCTTCTGCGGGATGCCAACTAGCTATAGTAACCCAGTGACCTGCGGTCCAGATACATACTTTGTAAGTTCGACGACCCTCACTGCAAAAGTCTACAGCTGACACGCTAGTCATACTACCATACACCCGAAGCGGCAGCGTCTGGACTGGCGAGACGTAACCGCAGAGAAGAATTGGCGGCGAGAAAGGCGGAGCTGGCGAAACTGTTTTGTCCGCTGGGAAGGACAGCGTGTCGAGTACAAGGGGTGGAGGATGCGTACGAGGTGAGCCGATTTCGACGTCGTCTGTGTCTCTCAGGGATGAGCTGATGTCCAGTGTATCGACACCAAGACTGAGCTGGAATCATGTGGTGGTTGTCGGTGGGGAGAGTATGCATCGTCGGCTTCGTCGAACGTCACCATAGGGGAGGAGTGAGTGACTTTTCTCTTCCCTTCTGCTTGTCGCACATCTCAGCCGAGGACGCAGTCCTGCTTGGTAAGGCTTGCGCTGATCACGCAGTTGCTCCTCAATGACCGCCATAGCACGGGGAGGGGCAACCTGTACCAACGGTAGATGTACTGCCTTTGCATGCCGGCGAGGGTATGAGCTAGAGGGAGGGCGGTGTACAGCTGGCATTGTACCGATATGACGACCGGCTGGTTTCGCGGCGCCGGTTCCTGGATCCTGCTCTCGGGGTGTGTGTAAAGCTGTAAATCGTTACATAGACGGACATTTTCAGCTTGGTATTGAGGTACATTAGAGTGCATGGATGTCAGCATATTGGGACAGGGAGGCTCCAGTGCTCATCGGTCGGTGTGGGTCCACTGCGACCAATATACGTATACAAAGGCCCGATCTGGTGAACAGCTTGCAGCATATCGCAGGGATAACCAGGGAAGAAAGAGTAGCAAGGTGGGCGCAGCTCAGCTCCACGCATCAGAGATCGTGTCATTGCTGGCTACCGTTCACTGCCGGCCTGGCATGCGACGCACCCAAGGCACGAGCGAGCTTACTGTAAGAGCTCGGGCCCAGGCAGCTTGTATGCCGGCTCCGTGAAGGTATTTGTTCGGCAAGGATCCCGAGTCCCGACACCGCGACACCCCGGCAGCAGGTCGTGACATCATCTTCCTCGGCACATGTATGACTATTTTAAAGCTTGAAGCTAGCGAGCTAGCTTACACAATGATCTGCGATGTCTCCCTTTGCACTAAATTGTTCTGTGAGACCTTCTGAGCCTTCGGGAGTGAGTATCTGGTTGGCTTGCTCCCACTTTGGCTCATCGCCCGAAAGAGCTCCTGGAAGTCTATTGACCAAGGGATGCACCGCGAGGTCTCTAATCGTCATGGTTAAGGTTTATGCGACAACGTTCATCGGCGATCTGCAGAGACTGTGGAGCAATAAGGTTATCTCAGCCAACACCTCATAACTCGCAGATCTTTCTGCCGCTAATTGTGGAGCGGGAGAAAGTCGGGGGGATGAGCTCCGAATACCGAAGCACGCCCTTGCTCATGTATGTCGGCGACGTCAGGCCGTCAGGGCCAAGGCCCAGCCACGGATCTCGTCAGCTCAGACGGGCCAGCCAATGACGTGATGGGTGTACCTGATTCGGAACATCTCTGCGCAGAACTTCCTTTTCGCGTTTCCACCCTCTTTCCCACCTCCTACTTCGGGTTTTGCTGCCGCGAACATGCACACTCCGGATCGACAGGGTCAGCGCGGCCCTCGACGCCGGCGGCTCCACTAGCATGAACTATCCCGGCGCCGCTGATCCCACACCATGCACGACTTCGCGCATCCACCGATGCGGCGGCAATGACTTCTTATTATGCCTCCGAACGGCAGCTCCCGTTACCCTGTCTGCCGCCCTATAGGGTGTAGATCACTGAACAGCCCCGTATGTACCCGTCGAAAGACGATGCCCGGATAGGCCCGGATCCTCCGGAGGTGCTGCCCGAGCTTGAGATCCGAAGGCGTTCCTGGTGCCTGTCCATCCCATGCGCTAAATTATGACTCATAGCCTGGCACGAGGGATGACGATGATCTGCAGAAGATCCAAGTCAAAGTCTGGTCGGGCAACGATGATCTCGAGATGTTCTGCGAGTAGACGCTAACTCCAGCTTCCTTCTGTCATCTGGTCTAGTGGTCGTCAGACATCCATGACAAGGTATATTTCTCCGCGCTAGGTCCAAAGAGTGCACGCTGACGCTATATACAGGTCATCCGCTCCCTCCATTCCCACCTCATTCCTTGATCCCGTCTAGCCACGCCGCATCAGTGCCGCCGAGATCGCAAGCGCCGAAGCCGACCTCGTCCGCGCACACACAACTCTGAAACGAGCGGGCGGCCAAAGGAACAGCGCCTCCACACCATATCTCGCCCGTCGAAGATCACTCAACTTTGGGTAATCTTCCTCATCCCGACCCGTCCCGGATTGTGTGTGTCGGACCATCACCTCGATCTCTCACACGACCGGGCTCAAGCGAACTTACATCCGCTAATCTTCGCTAGTGACTGGTAAGTTCTTGTCTCGAGGACGGATGCAACCTTGTCCTTGCTTCTTTTCGGTTGTAGAGGAGGCGCATACTACTCAAGCTCCGGACTGAGGTATCAAAGGCGTATCGGGGGAGGCACGGAAGCGGGAAGGCGGTGTGTGCGTGTGTGTCAAGTGGGGAAGAGGGAGGCGGCACGGGCCTTGAACACCCGGAAGCTGCTTGCTGACACCCCCTTAGCGGTTGCTTCCTTTACCTTCCAGAAGCGGGCGATACTTGACCCAAAGGGAGAGAGGAGTACACACGCGGGCGCAGGGCAAGTGGTGGAGCCGGTGAAGGTTGAGCTTGATAGGATACACACAACGTGAGTGTGAGAGTGGGGGAGATTTGTATTCTTTGATGGCGTGGCGTGGGGGCCGATAGGTGACTTGCCAACTGGCTGTGCACCTGTCCCTCTCCCCCACTCTTAGCTTACCAATTCTTACTTGGCCCTTTCTGACCTCTCCCTTTCTCCCCGCCCGTGCCCCTCCCCCTCCCTCCTCCCCGTGCTCTCCCTTCTACTCCGTGGCGTCACGATGCCGGCGGTACCAATGGCCTTCATAAGTACAAACTATCCTCTACCGCGAAACTGTTTCATCTCTCCTTTATCTGCTCGTCTACTTTGTCGTCCACCGCCTCACCTTCCAGTGCGATCGGCAGGTTGAAACGGTACGCTGACTCCTTTCCAGCTTCTACTCTCCCCCTATACCTCCCTCTTCCCCGATCAACTCAGTCTGATGCCCATCTTATAGGCCATCCCATTCAGTGTCACCCTCCCACCATCACATCTGACTCTGCATGGCCGCATCATCAGAGTCCGCCTCGCCCGAGAGGTCCAAACGACGCCTCTCACCTCCACCTACAGGCGCAAAGAGACATCGGCCAGACGATGGAGCCGACGGAGCCGATGTCGACTGGGGAAAGGAGTCGATGTCCCAACCCCGCCGGACGCCTTTGCATCCGCAGGGCGCATCCACCTCCTCTTCCCATTCCTCCCTTCCCTACCCGCTCACTACTTCTCCTAGTAGTAGCGGGTCGGAGGACCCTGCCACCGTCAATCTCTCCCGTCGGCGCATCTCTCGGTCCAGGCAGATGCCCGACGTCCCTCCTTCCTCCGTCCCAGGAGCTGAACCAGACCGCCGCTTCTCGGGCCCACGATGGACGACCGCCCAGTCCTCATCAAACTCGTCCAGCTCCTCTTCGCACCCACGCCCACCGCCAGTCACCGACGGCGTCAGCGGGGACGACCGACCTCGCAGTCCTCCTACTCGTCTCACCCTCTCCACAGGCCAGCCACTCGTCAATCCACCGCTAAAGACCCAAGCGGCATTCGTCGGAAAGCTCTTCTCGATGCTTGAGGACGAAGAGATCGGCAAGACTGGTCTAATACACTGGTCCAGCGGTGGATCTACCTTTACATGTCCTAATCCTACCGAGTTTGCTAAGTAAGTCTAAAGCCGACCAGAGCTGATATCAGAACCGTCCTTCCCCGATTCTTCAAACACAACAATTGGCAGTCCTTCGTACGCCAACTGAACATGTACTCGTAAGTTTCCAAAAGTCCACTCGCAATGCTTTTGCTGATTTTCAGGTTCAATAAGGTATGTTTCATCTCAGATGACAAAGTCGCCACTTTTGCTGACGTCCAGGTGAATGACCTATACGCAACCTCTGACCCCCTCGCGTGGGAGTTTCGGCACCCTCTCTTCCGACAAGGCGAGTCTCACCTTCTTGCATCCATCAAGCGCAAGACCACCCGTGCCACTCCCGCTGAAGCCCTCTCGCCCACGGACGAGATGGTCGATGCCCGTCCCGTCGCCGGGTGGATGAGAGATGATGGCTTCTCGGGTGGTCCATCCTCTCCTCCTCGGTCTATCGCTACCGCCCCACCCGTCCCGCGCTCCGAGGTGTTCGGGTACAACATGATGACGGGCGAGACTATCCAGTCTAGGCCATATGATCCGGCATATCGCGGTCTTCAACCCGCCCCGACCAACCGCGGTCCAGGCGGAAAGTTCGCGTCGGATCTGGCTAGCTTCAACGAGGTGCGCTCGTCCTCCGGCCATCCACCCCAGCATCCGGCGGCGCAGGATCGTCCATCTCGAGCACAATCGCAGCGATACCACCAGGTCCCCGACTTCCCACCCGCCTCCGCCCACTCGGACCGCTCCACCCTCAACGTCAAGCCCCATCTCGACGTCGGTCCCGGCGCGTACCCCGACTCTGGCCAGTATCCCCAGCCGAGCATCCCCAGTCCTTCTCCCATAATGGCCCTTACAAGCCAAGTCGCATCCCTGGAAGAACGGATCGGCAGGCTAAGCGATGCCCTCTCGGTCGAAAGGGTCGAGAACACCCGGACTCAAATGGAGATGCTGTCGTATATCGCCAGTATGGCTCTGTGGTTGCCAGGTAAGCTTGCTTTTTCGGACACATTGGCGCAAGCTGATCAGCAGATGCGCCAGCTCGCGAGATCTCGGCCCTGCGCGATAGCCTCGATCGCCAAACCTCCGAGCTCAAGCAAAAGTATGACGCTCTCATTGCCGTCGATACGCTTGCGCAGCTGGCGAGTGGGCATGCGGGACAAGGTGGGGGTGGCGAGTACAGAGGCAATGTCTCAGATCGAAGACCGCCACATGGTATGTCTCGCCACTTTTTGCCACCCATCCCGTCTGGACCAAGCTGACTCTCAGAAGCCGATAATTATTCTTCACACCGACCGCCATCCGGTCAGCCGGGTATGACCAGTTCTTACCTCCCTCCACCGACTCGCTCGTATCCCGATCAACAGCATCCGCAGGCGCATTCACAGCACCGGCCTACCCCTCGCACATCGCCGATCAACCATACCCATCCCATTCTTTCACGGCGTCCGAGCATCACCAGCTCAACCACTCTCCCGCAAATTCCCCAGATGCCGAGCGGTGCCATCCTCCCCGTCCCCAAGACCTCCGAGCGCCCCGCCACGTCCTCGAACGCCCTCGTGTCTTTCGACCAGCCCCCCTTCTCCCGCTCCCCGCTTATGCACCGTCCAGCTAGCACCCCGCACATCCCCCAGATCGCCGCTCCTGCAGTCCAGCAAGCACGACGGGCGAGTGCCGTCCCTTCCTCAGGAGCACAGCCAGGTCTAGGCCAGGCGGATGGGGAAGCAAAGAGGTTGGGGGCGAGCTGGGACAGAGAAGAGGATGAGAGAATGGATGGGAAAGGGAGGACTCCGTCTGTACCGGGGATAAGAGATCTGTTGAACTGATTTTAGTATCGGTGCTTGGAATCTCGATCTGGAAGCTTGATCTTGGTCATGATCTTGATAGGCTTATCAGTGGGCACATCCAGAGGACAGCTCTCATATACAGGATGGAAGATCAGAGGGTCAACGGGTGGATGGACATTACCTTGTCGATAGATCAGTAGAGGAGTAGAAGTAAGCAGAAAAGCAAAATGTGTATCCAGTCAGAATTGCAGAATTGCATAATCAGGAGGGTCTCCGATGACGGTGCCTCTACAAGGGAGAAGAGGCCAAGCAGGACATAGCTATTCTCACAGATCGACATTCCCCTGGCTTCCCATCTGCTGCTTCCTACTTGCCCGCCTTGCCACCCTTCATGGCTGCTATCCTCTACCCGTGTCAGCTCTCTTCCACAGCAACCCTAGAAAAAAAGACTGCACTTACAGCCTTCCGCTCGTCCCGTCTCCTCGCCATTTCTTTATCCTTCTCCTCCTTGCTCATAGTCGCCAAACTCGCAGCCGAGGCCCCAGCAGCCGAGGTGGGTCGCGGCGGAGAGACCACCACAGCAGGTGAGGGTGCAGAGGACGTGTCGTCGTCGTCCCAACCGTGCGAGACAGCCACAGGCGCGGGCGCGGGGGCAGGGGCAACCGAGGCGGCGGGTCGTGTCTGCGCTGGTTTCGTTGAGGGCTGGGAAGATGAATGTGATCGAGAGGTCGGCGCTGGTCTAGCTGGTGGGGAGGTTGGAGTCCGGCCATTTGTCGATGCGGAGGCGTAATAGTTCTGAGGTGGTGGGACAACGATCTCTGGGACAGGCGCGGACTCAAAGGCCGCTATAAAACATCAGCTCTTTTCTCCGTCGATAATCATCGAAACACGAGCTCACCCCAATCATCCTCGTCCGCGTTGACATCAATGAGATCCTCATTCCCCCACGCATTCTCCACCTCATCCCCCTCGGAATCATCCCATTCACTCGTGAATTCCGCCAGAGCAGACTTCTTCTCCGCCTTCTTCACCCCGCCTAGCTTCATCCCTCCCGAGCCTGAAGCTCTGGCTCCAGCGCCAGCCCCAAAGGTCGAGACTGCCGAAGCTGGCCTGGATGGGGCGGCACCGAGCGCACCCCCATGTCCGGCGTCAGAAGTGGGGCGGGGCGTAGCAGGCGCGGAGCTTACAGGTGACGCCGCGCGAGAGGCGATACTCGGTGGTGCAAGGCCCGGGTTGGATGGCTGTGCGGAGAGTGTCGAGTGGACCTCGGCAGCGGCGAGCTGTTTTGTGAGTGATGAGATGGCCCAGCCGGCGAGAGCACCTGCTGCGCCCGTGGCGGAGTAGACGGCCGCTGAGGATGAAGAGGAGGAGGCGCTTTGGGTGGTCGTTGTTGGTCCAAGAGAAGTAGGGGAGCGGTCGTCTGTGGAGACAGAGTCAGGCTGTTAGGTCAGCATCGCTCCCCATCGTCTCGATGGGCCAATTGAGTTAGTCGCTTACCATAGCAGCCACCATGCCTTCTATACGCTTCATGAACATCCCCATCGCCTTGAACGCCTGATCTCTTACCAGCCTACCATATCAGCTTGGTCCCCAGACTTTCAATCCGAAGTCGTCGGCTCACTTCTCCTTATCCACCATCGCGAAAGCCATATTCGGAATGACTTTCCCTGCCAAATCATCCCGATCAAAGCACTCTACAGTCGCCATGAACGCCATCAATCCCGCCACTCTGGCATGTACGAATGGGTCCTTCAACGAACGCGCGAAGGCAGGGACAAGGACCTTCTTTTTGGTGTTGGGCCCGAGGATGGGGGCGAGGCGGCCGAGGAGGATGCAGGTATTGGTTCGGATGGAAGGCTCAGTATCTGTTTGGGTCTTAGCGAGGAGGCGGAGGAGGTCGTTGTTGAGGATACGGTCGTTGAGCTGTGTTATCAGCTGGACCGGAGGAAGGGACGAACCTTAGAGGATATGGGATAGATGGCTTTGACGGTAGCTTCTCGGATGACCGGGACAGTATCGGCGAACCCAGTGATCTATGAGGTCAGCTCTGGCTGTGTCCGAAGAGGGAACCAGCGAGCTCACCAGATGAGGCCATATCCGATCCGAGACCGTTCGTTGGTCGAGCTTGTCCGCATACTCCCCTAGCCCATCCAACAGCGCCATCCGCGTCCCCCGATCTGGGCTCGCATACAGCTTGATCACAGGATCCAGCACCATCTTCGGATAATCGCCAGGAGGGACCATCTTCCCCAGCTCCAACACCAGCGGGAGCATCGCACCGCTCGGCGCAGTAGGCAAAGATATCGAATGCAGTAGACTCGGGAGGACGCGGTACAGCGTAAATGGTGCGGGAAGGCCGCCGGCCGTAGCTGCGTCCTTGATCGTCCGGAGAACAGCGAGTTTCTCGCCTTCTGATGCGAGCTCGAACCCGTCAAGAGACTCCACGAGGGAGGTAAGGGGATTGTCATTCCAGAAGCCCGCCGAGGTGGCTTCGGCGATGAAGGCGGTGGTGGATAGTCGAGTGCGGGGATTTGGGTTCAGCATCCGTTTCCAAAGTGGGAAGAGGGCGCGGGGGATCGAGCCGGCTGAGGAAGGTGTGGGCTGGGCGGCGAGGTTGGGGAGAGGGGAGTCGGGGTTGTATAGCGAGAAAAGGAGGAGGGCGAGGAGGTAAGTGTCGGACTGTGAGGGGTCGGCGCTGCGCCGTTAGCCTTGAGTATGTGGAATTAGAGAAGTAGACACACTCTCGGAGCACAGTCCATCCGCCTTTCCGTACTTCTGGTGCGCTCCGTTCGCCTACATCCCCCGGTGCGAGTCCTCCTAGTCCCCATAAGACACCAGCCGAGTCATCTTTCCCTGTCAACAGCTCGAATCCGCCCAATCGCCATTCCATCGCCGGGGTGATGAATACCGTTGAAGGGAGAAGGTAAGCATGGTGCAAGTTCAGGGGTGAGGCATTGAGGAAGGCCAAAGCGTTCTGCCTTATGAGCTGAAGCTTCCAAGCGTTAACTAAGGGAGACCTACCGATATGCTCCGCACACCCCATCCGACCCAGTTCTCCTTCCCTTTGCCTCTAGCTCCTGACAAGCGCCCTCCCGCATCCCAGTCCCGGAGCACACCAGGAAGTGGTCGGACCCGCTCTGTCGCTATATAGACGTGCGTATCCGTCTCGGCCGATTCGATATACTTTACGCTGAGGCATCAGCTCAAGCCCAAGCCCCCAGCGTCTCAGACCACTCAAGCTCACACGTCAGGATGCCGGATCGTCCTCAGCTTCTTCAGAGCATTCCTGGCCAGCTGAAGAAGAGCTTTCCTGTCCCTATTCCCCGGCTGCAGAGGTGGCAGGGTAGAGTCAAAGATGAAGAGCGTCAAAGGTGTTCCGTCGTCCTGAGCTCTGTTAGCTATAGCTCGGATGATGTACGGGCACCGAGTCAGTTAGCTCACCTTCTTCGTCCCTTCTTTGATATCCCATATAGATGCCCCAGACTCCAACCCCGGTATCCTTTCGCCAATGGTGAACGGGAAGGTGGTCACCCCCGTCGAGCTGAGGACGGTGGAGGTAATCGATTTCAGGTAATTCATGATGGTTTCCGACCGTTCTTTTTCGGGTGGATAGGTATTTTGATATCAAAGAGCAGCTCTTGAGCCTCCTCCGGCGGTCCAGGCAGGTCTCAAGGTGTAGCAAGGCAAGGTATGGAGGGGATATCGCGCTGAAGAGCGGTCGTGGTGTTGTCAAGTTACGCACGGATCTCGGCGGATAGTTAGTTACGTAATGCTCTCAGATTTCTACTCGACCAAGCGAATTCGTGACTCTTTTAAGGTGTTGACAGTCATCTTGATCCCCATATAGCGACTACGGATCAAGTACTGGTGAGCTACAAAGACCACATACAGTGCGTTCAGCTGATGCTCGACAGTCCTATCGCAAAATACCGCCCAAAAGCTAGGAAGCAGGAGCCACAATCGCCGAGAAGAGCACGTTCCGGGCGAACTTTTGAACGTGTTGAGGTATGCCCATGCCCTGCTCACTGACGATCATCGCTGATGCGCATAGCATCCACACAATGCTGGCACTCACTGGATCTTCTGCGGTGTCTACCACCCGCCGGACGACCCTCCTCGCTGCCTTCCAGGGCGTTGTCCCCTCCATCACCTCGCTCGACGCTGTCCACCTTCACTTGGTCAATACCGCCTCGTCCGCCTCCGATAAGACTCTCTCGTCCGCCTCCTCGGCGGAGCGCAAGATTCTGGATGATCTCTTGACGTACGGCGATGATGTACGGCTGGATACGACCAGGTCTTTTGTCGAGAGCGGGATGAAGGTGTCTGAGGGGATGATGGCAATCTACGTCTTGCCTCGGGCAGGCACCATTTCCCCCTGGTCGTCCAAGGCCACAGACATCTCCAAGATCTGCAACCTCGGCGACCACGTCACTCGGCTAGAACGGGGTACACTATACCTCCTCGGCTCGTCCGCCCCGCTCTCCCTCCCTACCCTTCGACCCCTCCTCCACCTCATCCACGACCGGATGACTCAGCTCGTTCACACCTCCCTCCCTCCCTCCGACACCATCTTTCCCCCCACTCCTCCTCAACCGAATGGGCTCATCTCCGTCCCCATCATCGGCTCGGCGGATCCCCAGGCTGTCCTCGCTGAAGCCAACGTTCGGCTCGGTCTCGCCCTCTCCGCTGAGGAGATCCCATACCTCGTGGAGTCGTTCCTCGCGGCCGGGCGCAATCCCACAGACGCCGAACTCTTCATGTTCGCTCAAGTCAACTCGGAGCACTGCCGTCACAAAATCTTCAATGCCAAATGGACCATCGATGGGGCGGACAAGGAGCACAGTCTGTTTGGGATGATCAGGAACACCGAGAAGGTCATCAACTCGGCTGGGACCATCTCGGCGTACGAGGATAACGCGGCGGTGCTGGAGGGATACACGGCGCCGAGGTTCGCAGTGGACGAGGGAGTCTACGGGGCCAAGGAAGAAGCTATGCCGATTCTGATCAAGGTCGAGACGCACAACCACCCTACAGCCGTCTCGCCCTACCCTGGAGCGGCGACCGGATCGGGCGGAGAGATCCGGGACGAAGGCGCTGTCGGTCGAGGATCACGCCCCAAAGCGGGTCTTTCGGGATATACCACCTCGGATCTGCTCATTCCCGGCTTCACCCAGCCTTGGGAGTCTGATATCGGTAGACCTGCCCATATAGCTTCCGCCCTCGATATCATGCTCGAAGCTCCCCTCGGCGGTGCGGCGTTCAACGACGAGTTTGGCCGGCCCGCTCTCGGCGGGTACTTCCGGACATTCCTCATGTCTACCCCGTCGGCGTCAGGCGAGCCAGAATGGAGGGGATACCACAAACCCATCATGATTGCCGGTGGTCTGGGGAATGTTCGGCCGCAGTACGCGCGCAAGGACAAGATCACGCCCGGCGCAAAGGTCATTGTGCTGGGTGGTCCAGGGATGCTCATCGGTCTAGGCGGAGGCGCGGCGTCGTCCATGGCGTCAGGCGCGAGCACGGCGGATCTGGACTTTGCGTCTGTCCAGCGCGAGAATCCCGAGATGGAGCGGAGGGCACAGCAGGTCATCGACGCTTGTGTCAGTCGAGGGGACAACGGGAACCCTATCCAGTCGATCCACGATGTGGGCGCTGGCGGTCTGTCGAACGCTCTGCCCGAGTTGGTGCATGATGCTGGACTCGGGGCGGTGTTCGAGATCAGGGATGTCCTGGTGGACGACCCAGGGATGAGCCCGATGGAGATCTGGTGTAACGAGAGCCAGGAGCGCTATGTCCTCGCCGTCTCGCCGGAGGATCTCGCGCTCTTTGAGTCGATAGCAAAGCGCGAGCGATGTCCCTTCTCCGTTGTCGGTACCGCCACAGCAGAGGAGCGACTCGTCGTCACCGACAAGCTCATTGGCGACTCGGTCATCGATATCGCCATGTCGGTGCTCTTTGGCAAGCCGCCAAGAATGCACCGGCAGGGAACGACCATCTCGCCCAAGCGGGAAGCTTTCGATTCGTCCCTCTACTCTTATCTCCCGGTATATAAGGGCGCACCCGTCACCTCCTTACTCGCCGAGACGATCAACCGCGTCCTCCGTCTGCCCTCGGTCGGCTCCAAATCCTTCCTCATCACCATCGGCGATCGATCCGTCACTGGTCTCGTCACCCGAGACCAGATGGTCGGGCCCTGGCAAGTCCCCGTAGCGGACGTGGCGGTCACTCGCTCGTCGTACGGCTTTGACGTCAAGGTCGGGGAGGCTATGGCCATGGGCGAGCGTACCCCTCTTGCCCTGCTAAATGCCGGCGCTTCTGCCCGCATGGCCATCGGAGAGGCACTTACCAACCTCGCCGCTGCGTCGGTCGAAAACCTTGGTCTCGTAAAGATGTCGGCCAACTGGATGTCTGCGGCCAGCCACGAGGGCGAAGGAGCCAAGCTGTACGAGGCGGTCCATGCGGTCGGGATGGAGCTGTGTCCCGCGCTCGGTGTAGGGGTGCCGGTCGGAAAGGACTCGATGTCCATGTCGATGAAGTGGGCGGGGGAGAAGGGGGAAAGGAAGCAAGTCACCGCGCCTCTTTCGCTCATCATCACCGCATTTGCACCCGTGAATGATGTCGAAAAGACCTGGACGCCGGCGTTGCAGACAGGGGACAAGATCGGGGAGACGGTCCTCATCTTTGTTGATCTGGCCCGGGGGAAGCAGCGGCTGGGTGGATCGGCGCTGGCGCAGGTGTTTTCGCAGCTCGGGGACGAGGCGCCGGATGTCGAGGAGGCAGGGGATCTCAAGGCGTTCTTCACGGCGGTCCAGGCGCTCAAGTCTACGGATATCGTTCTGGCGTACCACGACCGATCGGATGGCGGGCTGTTCACCACCCTCGCCGAGATGGCATTCGCGGGTCGGGCGGGACTCGAGGTGTCTCTTGACGCCATCAGCCACGCCGGTGACTATATCGCTTCTCTCTTCAACGAGGAGCTCGGCGCGGTCATGCAAGTGCGCGTGGCGGATCTCCCCGCATTCACCGACGCCTTCGTCAAGGCCGGATTCCCTACTCGGTACACGCACTCGATCGGCCGGGTCCTCGGACACGCCGACCAGTCCATCAACCTCATACATCAAAGCGAGGCGATCTACACGTCTACCCGCGGGACCTTGCAGCAGCTATGGGCGGAAACGTCCTACCGTATGCAGGCAATCCGGGATGAGCCGAACTGCGCCAAAGAGGAGTTTGACTCTATCCTCGACGACAGCGACAAGGGTCTCACCTATACCGTCAAGGCTCCCTTCCTCCCTATGGTCGCCCGGCCCTTATCTTCCCCACCCAAGGTCGCCATCCTCCGGGAACAAGGCGTAAACGGTCATGTCGAGATGGCGTTTGCGTTCCACGCCGCTGGGTTCGATGCGGTCGACGTCCACATGTCGGACATTATCACTGGCGCCATCTCCCTCGCGGGCTTTGCGGGCCTCGCGGCCTGCGGAGGTTTCTCGTACGGAGACGTCCTGGGCGCAGGAAACGGATGGGCCAAGTCGGTCCTTCTCAACTCCAACGCCCGGCGCGAGTTCTCAGACTTCTTCAACCGGGAAACCACCTTCGCCCTTGGGGTGTGTAATGGCTGTCAATACTTTTCGCAGCTCAAGGCGGTTATTCCCGGGACGGAGAGCTGGCCGGTGTTCAAGAAGAACCGGTCGGAACGATTCGAAGCGCGCGTCTCGAACCTGCTTATCGAGGCGACCGACTCGATCTTCTTGAAGGACATGGAGGGGTCGATACTGCCCGTCGCGGTGGCGCATGGAGAAGGGAGGGCGTCGTTCGCAGAGACAGGAGACAAGGCGGCGTTGGATGCGGGCAAGCTGGTGGCGGCGCGGTATGTCGATGGGGAAGGGAAAGTGACGGCCAAGTACCCGGCGAATCCGAATGGAAGTCCCGAGGGGATCGCGGCGGTCAGTACGCGCAGCGGGAGGGTGCTGGCCATTATGCCTCATCCGGAGCGGGTGATTTCGGCGGAGAGCAATAGTTGGTTCTCGAAGGAAATGGCCAAGGAGATGGGCTGGGAAGGGAGGGGACCGTGGTTCAGGTTGTTCCAGAATGCTTATAGGTTTGCGACCGAGGAGAAGTAGAGTCAGAGTAGTGGATAGAGGTGAATCTATTGGTAGTTGGTTGTTCATAGGGTCTTCTTATTGGGTCATAGCTCGTAGAATCATAGATAGGCAGGTAGGAATGAAGGTCTTGATCTGGACTGCGGCTCGTTCCAGCGATAACAGAGCGGACTGGTCCATCTCTGGGGTGCTAGATGACACGACTATAGACCAGCTACATCCACCCATGATCCCTAGTCGCCCTTACACTTCACTCCATCATATCTCCCTCCCTGCCTTCTTCCCCTTCCCCTTCCCCCTCGCCTCATCCCTGACCTTCTTCGCCGCCCTCCTCGCATCTCTCACCTTCTCCCTCGCCTTCTTCCTCGCCTCCTCCACCCTCACTTTCGTATCATGCGCAATCTGCGCCGGACTCCGGGGGACGTCTTCTTCCCGCACGCCCGTCCCGCCCAGGCTGGCACCGCGGATCCGGAGGCGGCCGTCCTTGAGCGTTTCGGTTATTATGGGGGAGGCGGCGGGGCGGTATTTGAACTCTTCGGAGTATCTGATAGATCAGCGGAAGTCCCCGGGACGGGAATAGCTCGGAAGGCTGTTGCAGGCCAGGCAGTTCTAGGTAGGAGCAGGAAAGGCCGTGCGCGGTCTGTACAAGTAAGAAGCTCACCTCTGCGCATAAATCACTCTCGGCTTGGGCCTAGCCACAGAGAAGCTAAACCATCCGAGGCCTAGTATCACAGCGAGCAGCAAGAGACGCTTCCACATGGCCGGTGGCTGGCGGTTGAACTCTGCTTGGACCGAAGCGCGGAGGGGACGGTGAGTGTCGACATCATCTGCGTCGACGTCTAGAGAGGTATTTGTTTCGGGCACTGAGGGGTCCGAGGGAAGATGAGAGTCGGTGTCGGAGGAGGGGATGGGCTGGTAGCGCGCTGAGGATGACATAGTACGGTGGTAGATAGAAGGTGGATGATAGATGGTCTTGCGATCTTCGAGCGAGGTAATTTAGGCTGTGCTCTGCTCTTACGGCAAGAGCGCTACACCAGCTCCAGCAATGACTCATGGGCTGCTCGCTTGGGACCGCTGTACTGACTTGATACTGCTTCTTTGCTCTATACATGGCTACTATACACACTCAGATACTATCACAACCCGCCCCGATGACCTGCAAGCGGGAAACGAGCTTCTCTATGCCCTTTGACCACCGCTCACAGATCCCGCGGCCGCTTCGCTCCCCTTGCCTTCTTCCCAAACGCATCATCAGCCGACATCGGCCCTACTTTTGTTCCTCTGCCAAACATCAGCCCACTCCTTATATTGCTGGACGGAAGGAGCAGAGCGCACCCACACGTTCCGCGAGAGCATCCCTCCAATCCCACCCTTACTGCCGCCACCCCCGGCACCACCGGCATCACCTCCAGGCCCACCGCCGCCCTCTGTTCCCGCCGAGTCCAGTCGTTGTCCTCCCCGCTCATTGCTCCAGCCGTCCTTCATGAAATTCCGACCCGACGAGTTGCGCGTCTCCTTGCTCGACTTTTGGATGTCACGGTACTGCTCGTTCCGGAAGTGCTTGTAGTCGGCGAGCGAGGCGGACTCGTGGTGCGCCGCGGAGCGGACTTCGGCGATACGTTCGTCTAGCGCAGCAAGGAGATTCTGAGCAGTAGAGCACCTGAAGTGTCAGCTCGCGCTACCCGCATTGGCCGGGGCACGTGAAGCTGGACATACCAATCTTCGAGACGCTGCTGAACGAGCGGCAGATCCCGTTCGGCGATATCCCGCCCCGCGACCCAATCGATATGGAGTACAGCCTCGTGGTGTTGCATCTTACCCGCAAGAAGGCCAGAGTACATCACGTCAATGATGAGATCTTCCAGCACGCGGACCGAGGGGAGTTGAAGGCTACTGAGGATATCTTGGTACGGTATTGACTGGTGATGTCAGCCTGTCGCTTTGAGAGGGTCCGTGAAAGGGCGTGAAAAAGACGAGCGAAGAACTCACTCGACGTTCAAGCGCCATGGAGACGAGAGAGAGGTGTTGAAGCTTGAGTAGGTGCGCGGGACTCAGTGGTGGGAAAGACTCCTTGTTGGCTGTGATGTCAGCACATGGATGAGAGTCACCTGTGCCGAAGGTGGCAACAGCCTATGACCGAGCTCACATAAGTACAAATGCAAGTTCCCGTACGCGAACAGCTCAAGAAGCTGATGTGATTTGGCGAGATTTGCATCGTTAGCGAGCTAGGAGGATGAGCTCAAGCCTAATACAGACGAGGGTCCTCACACTCCAGCTCACCTCTCTGATCCCAGGAAGATCCAACAGCTCTCCAAAGATGTAAACCCCCGGCTGCATATGATCAGCGAGCTATTCCAACGTGATGCGAAGCGAGAAGGGGAAGGAATGATGACGCACGGCGGCCGTCGCGTCCGAGATGACCTTTGCGGCTGCTGCTCCTTTCGTCGAGCGAGCGAGAAGCAAGAATGGCTCCAGTCTAGCTGCGTGATCGTAGTCTGCCATGATGCTATACTGATAGAAGGTTGTATGATGGACAAGAGAGGCATGATGCATGATGTACGCGCGCGAAGTTGGCTGTGGCGGGGTCGTTACGTAACACTTCTCCAACCCATGCCGATTCTTCCCGCCCAAAGCCACCTCAGCTGCTATCATATACATCTCCCTCACCAATAATAGACAATAGAGACAGCACAAAATGGGTGCACAGCAGTCCTCCCAGGCTCCCCAAGAGCAAGTCTTCCAGTCCGAGCCATCCACTTCGGTCCAGGTACGCGGCTCTTTGCTCTCCTTCGCCTCGTCCGACCTGCAGCTGAAAAAGATAGTTCTCCCCCTCCCTGATTGATCGACTCTCGTCCGCCGCCCCTTCTCCCGATAAATCAGCCAAATCCAGCTCCAGCGTCAGCGGCAGCTCAAGCTCGAGCACGGACGATATCGTCCGTAGAAGACTCGCGGCAGAATCAGCACATATCAGACAGCAAGAGTCGGAGATCCTGTCCAAGATCTCGGCGGCGCTCGAGAAGGAGAACATGGACAAGGAGAAGCCGAGGATGAGCTCGCAGGTGCTCAGTAGGGATATTGAGGAGGTGAGGGAGAAGGTTGGCAGGATGAAGAGGGAGAGGGAGCAGAAGGAGGGAGAGGGGGTCAGGAAGGCCAAGGAGGGGGTCGTTGCTTGTTATGCGTGAGTACGGTTCCTGCTGTTGGTTTCTGGATCATGCGGAGGGCGCGCAGGCTGTACGGATGACGGAGCATTCATGGTGGATGATTCTCCTTCCTCTGTTCTGGGCAAATGACTACACACTTCTATATCATCTGCGTCGCTAGGAGAACCCCTTACGCTGGTTTGTGATAACTATTTGATACCCCGCTGACGTCCCAGTGCTAAGAAGGACCGACCATTAGATTGCTGGAAAGAGGTCGAGGCTTTCAAGTTCGAGGTTTCAAAACTGGAGCAGGTCAGCTAGGCGACTCGTTGTCCTCACGGGTGGTAGCTGATCCAACAGGCATTTGTCAAGTCGATGCAATAGACATTTCGAATGCACCTAAGTCAGACATAAAGTCATGCGCTAGCCACACAAGGAGGCCGGACCAGCGCTGCTGCGTCTTGAAGGTCCAACGGAGTCATGACGGCCTTCTTTTCTCCGTCGCACGTTGGACATGCCGATTTCCACATCAAAACCCCCTCGCCTCGTGTGAGGCCAGCTAAGGGAGTATTGACCTTTCTCTCGGCGACCCTTGCTCCACCTAAGGCCTCGAACGCGTCAGCTCCACGCCTTGACGTGTCTCATGTCCCAAACGAGGAGGCTATCCGAGGAGTCACGTCAAAGGATATTTGCGGCAAGGGAGGTGATACAAAGGATCCTCCGACTGATACACCTGCTCCTTGTCGCAGGCCATCAATCTGCCTCGCTCTGACGACTATAAGGCTAGCCCGCAATCGCTAAAATCCATTAGACGGACATACACCTACTGAATCCTGCTAAGCAGACCAGACTCTCTTTTAGCTCAGATACTGACGCAGCACCAAGATGATCAAAACCATCGGCCCTGGCGTCGTGATCGACACCAACCCCCCATACAGGCGATGGGACGGTAATCAGGCGACCTACCTCTTCTTCCCCGTCTTTGCGTCGCTGGTGCTCACGCTCATCGGGACGCTGTCAGCGCCCGTCATTCCTGGCTTGGCGACGGTCGAGGTGCACTCCAAGTATGGCGAGGGTGTGGTGAAGCTCGGCGCTTGGGGCATGTGTATCGAGGACTTTCCTCACTACACGTAAGCTCTTGTCTGGTCCAAGTCTGGAGCTTTGGGCTGATCTATCAGGTCCAAGTGTCTCTCGTACGGTATCTTTGGAAACAATACCCAGGCACTCGCGGACTTGCCTACTGGTGTGCTGGCTATGGGTATCCTCCCCTCGCCGGTGGACGACTCGTACAAGATCGCCAATGGGATCATGCACGTACTCTGTAAGTGGTGTACTCAACCCAGAACCGAAGAGCCGTCTGCTGACCATACAGCCTGCTTCGTCTCGTGGCTCGCTGTCACTTGGGCCCTTGCCGCATCGGGCGAGTTCGAGAACAAGGGCGCGCACGCCTGGGACTGGACCAGATGGGCTTGGTGGGGGAATACCGCGAGTCTGATCGTTGGGATTGTTCCAGTAAGTCCTCATTCTCTGTATCATCTGTAGAAGAGTATACAGCTGATATGTCAGTTCGCGCTCGATGTGGCGCTTATCCCGAAAACGGCGGGATCGATCAAGCTCGAGGACGGGTCCCACGGCAAGGTGTATCCTGGGTATGTCTGCCTTCTCTCGAAACCACGCTCACTGCTGATATCGCAGCTCTACCATTTACATGTCCGCCGCGGCGGTCACTCTCAACCTCATCACTCTCTTCGTCCGCTACCTTTGGTCCCGCCGCCAGCCCCGCCCCAGCTGGACCGAGGGCGACTTCCACGTCAACCCCTTGCCGCCCGCGCCAGGCAGCGATCAGGCCGGACTGGGAACCAACAAGGATCTCCCGGCGGTGCCGTATCCCCACTTTGGGGAGTCGGTGCAGGATCAGCCGCCTAGCTGGTAAGTCCCCCACCAGAGCTGATGATGGGTAAAGGCAACAGCTGATATCGCAGGGAAAGCCTCAGCATCGATTCCGCGCTTCAGGCCAAAGAGAAGGAGTGGAGCAGGGCGGATGACGCCGTGCATGTCGTCGAGGAGAAACGAGGCAGTCTCGTCAAGGACGGCTATGCCGTCTGAGCCTGAGCTCCACGCCAGCCGTATGGCCCAGGTTCAACACCTAGCCGCGCAGTATGTACATAGATGTAACACTACAATCTTGCCCGTCAGCTGTGCTGTCATGTCACATATGCCTTCCCGCACGCCGGACCACTCCAGTGCAATCACTCGCGCTCCACTCCAGCTGCAGCCTTGATAAGAGAGAAACGAGGAATGAGGCGCCAATGGACGCACGGACATGGGCTAGAACAGGTGGTAGACCGCACAAAGTCGGAGATTCGCGGCGATATAGCGAACGAACAATTTCGGACCGACCTTCGCGCAGTACTTGGACCGCAAATGGTGTGATAGCTCTGTATTATTACATGCCGCTGCCCGAAGCGCGTCCAGATACAGGATCGTCGAGCAGCTTGCCAGTCCATCTGAGTAATCATCAGCGGAGCGACCTAGACGAACCCAGGAATCGCTGTGTCGGAGCGACACATTCCTCAAACGCTATAAATAGCCTTCTCCACCAACCCCATGCAGTCCGCGCTGGCCAGGTTCCTCTGGCACTTGTAAACCGTCAATATTATTCGTACCCGAATTAAAGCTCAATTTCGCTTCTTAATCCTCCGTTCTTTCGACGTACATGGTCTGAGACTCAATCCACAACTTTCTGTCTCTTCAGTTTTTCCTTATGCATTAGTTTATCTTGAGTTGTACGAATGGCTCATTTTGCCTTGATCACCTGAATCTGAGGGTTATCGTTATCGTGGTCAAACGTTACGGCAATGTGGAGGTCCGTGCGTGTCATGCATCGAAGGCGAGAGCTAATTTTTAAGAAGCATATCCCTTTGTCTTGCTTCACCTTGACACGTCTCCTCTTCTACTTCTTTCTCGTACACACCATGTCCCTCCCCGTCAAATGTTGCTGTGTTTACGAAGAGCAGAGCCGAGGTCGCCCAGTCGTACATTCTTCTGTGAGTTTCTCATGAGGCAGGTTCCCACGGTCTACCAGTAACCCCGCTGATCATCCAGCTGTGCCCCGTACACTCTGAGACTTCGTGAGTTCCTCTTTCGCAGGGGAGTCAATGCGGACGCGGATATCTTGGTCATGTACCTGGATCGTCAGCGAATCTGATCTCTAGCATTTCCTCTGTGGGATGCCGTTATTGTTACGTGATGATTACGTACTTCGTTATATCATGAACACACGATAAAGTCCCCTCTCCGAGATACAGGAGCTTGCGCCGTCCCCATCAACCTCTGCAAAGCGGAATCCGACGATCGTTCCGTAACTCCCGTTGGTGACGCCTTGGGGTGTCGATATGTTGGAATACAGCAAGACTATCATGCCGAGAGTGAAGAACACTACAGACTCGAGACCGTCATGTACCGACGGCGACGCGTTCCGCAGGCTATCCTCTTGGTCCGGCGACGGTGTGAGAGTATAGAGCGCGCGGATGCGATAACACGGCTGGCGGTAAGCCCGGGCGAACTCGACGGCTATGGGGACGGCGGGGCACACCGCCTTCGCGGCCGGTCAGCGTACAGGTCTCAAGGATCATGATGACTTCGACGCCACCGTCAAGCATACAGCGCAGGTGGTCGAAGGAATCATGGGTCCTGGCGCTAGGATCTACCCGTGAGTATTGCGGCCGAATACCCGTACTCAGCTGACTTGCCAGTAAGGAGCCCAAGGGACGGATCTCCTTTACACACAAGTTTGACGACGAGGACAAGATCGCAATGCTCAAGGCCCACTGTCACAGGAAGAGGCGACGAGGATGAGGGATGACTGCGCGGCGATAGTACTAAGGTACATGAAATGCTAATGTCCGCCTCTTCCTGTTGTCATTAGCATTTCATGTAACTTAGTACTATCGCCGCGCAGTCATCCCTCATCCTCGTCGCCTCTTCCTGTGACACCCACAATGCCAAAAATTCTTAGTAAGCCCGTTCATCCTTATTTGGTTGATATGTGTTGACGATTCAGCTGGTTCCCGCATATCTACGATGCTCGCCAAGGCCTCGATAACGCCTTCGCCATGTCTGACGTGTCGATCTTGTAAGGCAACCCGGATGTACTGATCCAATTCAGCATCAAGGTTTGGAAGCCGACCGGTACAAGCAAGTCGGTTCCGTTCTGGCAGGGTTACTCCCCTTTGGCGTGAGTGCAGTTCATTCGGTTGACTCAATAAATCGAATCTGATTTTAGAAATCCCAAAGCCAACGTTACGGGGTGGTCTCAATCGTATGAGCTGAAGGCGATCTACGTCTTAGGACACAGCGCAGGCGGTGTTCCCCGGGTCAAAGCCAGTCCCAAGAAGCCCAAGGGCCTCGGCAAGGCTCGGTGCTAGTAGCATCGTGGGACTCGTGTGGTGTTGTTATCGGTTGTCATCTTCATTAGTATGCATCTGGTGATCATCGCTTGCTATGTGATATAATGGTTTTGACACCTAACTAAGATTGAACTTTTGAACCAGGCCATGATGGGGGGAGCATTTACGTTCAACGGCACCACAAACCCAAATCCCCTACTCCGCGACGCACATCCTCTATTTGAATACTGACTCTAACACTGCCTACAAGTTTGCAGATAACCAATCATCGTCATCATGTCAAGCCTGCCCATGTATCGCCGCGAGGCCGACAGTCTCGAGTCCGCTTCTCTCGTCAAGGGAGATGAGCGGCTTTCGTTCGAGCAGCCGCCCACCGTTCCAGCCTACCCGCCTTCCGCGCCGGTGGCCGGAACAGGCACCTCGACCATCATCACATACACCTTTGTACCTCGGTGGCCCATCAAGGGCTCTAAGCAGCATGCTATCGGCCCCCTCGGGCACAGCAAAGAAGTAAGTGCCGCTCCATCCGATCTGCGACTCGCCTCCGCTCACCCAATTCAGGAATGCATCGACATCATGCAGCGCGGGATCTACTCCTTATCCAAATATCACCCAGATCAAATCGAGATTCTGGCACCGATTAACCCTCTCCACACGCATCTGGATGCTCATGAGTGGGGCATCGTGATGGCTGAGGCTTGGGCCAGCTTTCACAATTCGCCACCCAAGGGTCTCAAGGTGCAGATCAGGGACGAGCCAGGCAATGAGGCTGCGAGTGAGTCACAACTTACTTGGTTCTTTCAGCTGGTGCTGACGCCTGCGTACAGGGAACAGAAGGGAAGTGTTCCAGATAGTCGCGTTCATATCTGCTTGCATCGGACTCCCGATCTTGGGCGGTCTCATTGCTTGGCTCTGTCAAACGCCAACCGATAAATAGCGGTTTTTGCTGGTCTACAGGCTGGCATGTTGTAGGATAAAGCTATCGTTGTACCCGTATACGTGCTAGGCGATTTGATCTGCTCGGAGGGCGACAAGGCTCCAGCCCATCAGCCGAGAACGACCTCCATTCTCGACTCGGCAGTAATGAGGTCGGGTTCGAGTTGAGGATCGAGTGATGAACGCGGGCTCTGACTCAGCTAGCTGTCCACCAGCTTTGTGCAGGACACTCCGCTGCGACTCGGTGGAACGGTTTCCGAGCTTCGGACGCCGAAGTCCGAACCTGGCAGAGCGGAGCCCCCAGGCACTACCTCCACATGCGACAGCTCCGATTCCCGTTAAGGTATGCGAGATGGGCGATTTTACAGAGCAGTCACGACGCTTGTATCCGCTTCCATTTCGCTCAAATGGGATCACGTTGTACTGCCCACCTCATCACAATCTCATGCGCTCCGAATGAGCACTTGAGACATGTCGAAATTGCCAAAGTACCGCCGAGTGGCCGCCGCTGAAGACCTCGAATCAGCCTCACTTGTCAAGGGAGATGGAGATGAGCGATTTTCGAATGAGGAGACGGTCTACCCGCCTTCGTCTTCGCGATCGGCTGGGACGCTCGTAAACGGTAACCCTTGGTTTCAGCCAGGGGAAGAGGCGGTACGATCAAGCGGGGAGTGTGGGGAGGTCAAAAGCACAGTCACGTATACTTTTGTGCCGCGATGGCCGGTGAATGGAACGAAGCAGCATGTCATTGGCGTTCTCGGTCCGACAAGAAAGGTGAGTGGTGGGTCCCTTAGGTTTCGGATCCCCTTCCCATCTGGCGATTGACGTAGCAGACCAGCATCGCTGTGGTACAACAAGGCATACCTGCGCTTGCAGCTTATGCTCCCGACCAGATCGAGATCCTCGCGCCCATCAACCCAAACAGGGTCGACGTCGAGGGCGACGAGTGGGGTCTAGTGATGGATGACGCTTGGGCCAGCTTCATTTGTGCCCCACCCAAGTGCCTCAAGGTCCAAATAAGAGATAAGCCTGGGGATGACGTCGCAAGTGAGCTTGATCCCCTTTTCGTTGGCAGGCGATGGGATCCGACCTTCACAGGGCGCAGACGAGAACATTTGATCGTGTTCGGATGGCTGGCCGCCTGTATAGGAGTCCTGGCGATGATTGGGCTCACCACTTGGGCGCTCACGAAGTCTTGACATTAAGGCCATGTCAGTAGAGGGACTGAGAGTACATCTTTTGTATGATCATAGTCGGCAAAATCTCCCGTAGAATAAATAACCTTGTATGTAGACAAGCCCTACAGATATGCATAGATTGTATAGTACAAACCCTCACTCGAGATGATACCTGATCACCCCGCCCGGGTCGTCGACCATGCAAGACTGATTGTGACTGTACCGATCTACTATTCCACACTCCTCTTCACCTCCGTAAACGACATCAGGACATCCTTTCTCATCTTTCCTCCGCGAACACGCTCGCAGCGTTCTCCACCATCCACTGGATACACATCGCCTTGCCGCCCATATCCCCAAACTCCCTATTGGGGTCTGACGAGCGCATGAGGGTCGCTACCGGATCAGTCTGGTCCCTCCCATATCATCGGTAGCAGCAGTACTCACGTCCAAAGACCACACCGAGATTCTGACTAGTCATAAGGTTGTTTCCGCTAGCGGCCGTCACGCGATTCAGGTGAAGCATGAGGGCGCGGAGGGTGTTGTAATGCTCCTTGGGGAGTTCTTTCAGTAGCGCAGTGAGGGCGGTATGGCGATTTGACATATCCTTGATGGCTGATTTGTCAGCTCATGGCCCTCTCATCTCTCATCGGCGAGACTCACTGGCAGCAGCGACAAAGCTCTCGTGTAGCGCATGCGTCAAGAGCGGATTTGGAAGTTGCCGGAAATATGTCTTGAGCGTACTTGTCACGCTCGAGATGTCGTTGAAGGCCTCGACATCGGCGAGGTCGAAGGCATCATAGTCACCACGCTCAAAGAGCTGTTGGATCTGCTTGGATTGGGACGAGCCGCCTGTCTTTCGGTAGATACCCTCATACTCCATGCCTATGTTATCAGCTTGCGTAATGGTTGAAAGGAGCAGGCAAGAGTAACGTACCGACCGCCTCGACGGCTGATATGCTCTTGGTGACAATGACCGGTACATCTTGGCGATCTGCAGATGCTTGTTCGGCAAGCTCTCGACCAAACATGGATGGAGCTGTACTGTTAGCCATGTCACAGGTCCAGTGCCCGACTCCGGCAAGAAGCGACTCACGAAGTGGTCCGTCCATGTGATCGTGCACACCGCTCTTGCTTCCCGCACAGCTCCTCGGGAGCTTCTCAGCGCATTTGGCGTGACAGACCGTTCCGCATGCTTGATATGTCAGCTGAGTTTTCCTTGACCTCCATAAGGACCTGAACTCACATGTACATCGTACCTCTTGCAACCCCCACATCTTCTCGGCACACAGATCACACCGCGCAAACCGCATACTCGAGTGTTGCTGGAACGAGTGCTCCCTCACGCCAAACTCGGTACTCGGTCGCTGGAGTTTTCGGTCCAGCCCGCCCGGACCTGGCAGGCCCAGAGCGAGCGGCCTCGATATGCTCGCTGAAGAGATAGGCTCCCCGCCGACCGAAGGCCCCTTGGACGATTTGTAGCCGTACCATTTGAATCGACGGGCTGGGGCCGCCTCGATAGGCTGTGGGTCGGGCTTCGTAACTTTGACGACGCGAGCCGTTTCCTCCGGTACCTCTTGGAGCGTGGCAGAGGTGGCGAGCGATGAGAGGCTCGGCGAGTTGGAGGGATGGTGGCCCCGCTTGGGGAATACGGTGGGACCGCGCTGACGTGCCAGGTTCTCGTGCATCGTCTCGACCTGGCGTGAGAGCTGGGCGTTGAGCTCGGCGAGGTCCTCGTTCTTTGCTGCGAGCGCGGTAGACTCTTCGAGAAATTGGTCACGCGTCTCGCGGAGGTCGGCGATTTCGCGCTGGAGGGCCTCGCGCTGAGCTGTGAGCGGCTCGAGCTCTTCCCGATATTGCTCCTTGATTGTGTCGAGCCGGTGAGTGAGGGACTGGGAGAGCTCGGCAGCCTCGCCGACTTCTGTACCCGCGCTGGTAAGTCAGCTATGACCTCGTCCACCCGCCGGCATGACTCACCTATGCCTTTTCTGCAGCTCTTCTACCTCCGCCAGCGTCATATCCCTCTGCGCCCTCAACCTCGAGATATCCCTCTCCAAACCCGTCAACGAATTCGCCAAATCGTGACTTCTCCGTCGCATATTCTCCTGTCTCCGCTCATCGCCCGAGATGACGCTTAGTCGAGCCGTTTGCGAGTGGACCGCCGCTCTGAGCCGGCTGATCTCCGCTTCGAGATCGTGTCGGAGCGCAACCTCCTTGTCGTACTCTTCTCCAGCAACAGTGAGACCTTCGGAATACTGCTGGGATGTACGCTGTTACGTGAGCACGTTTCCGGCCTCGCCGGTAAAGACAGAACTCACCTTGGCACCAGTATACTTGTTCCTCAATCCCGAAATCACCTCCTTTAGCTCCTCCACCTCAGCAACGATCCCACTCAATAGTCTGACGTCCACCTCAACCCGCTCCTTTGATCCCTGTTTAGCATCCGCAACCAAGCCCACCACCTCTGAGAATGCGCTATCTGGTCCGAGGCGGCCCGAGATGGAATGTGTGGACTCAGCAGATGGTTGCCGAGTGCGTAGGGTAGGCGCGCCATTTCCAGGCGATAAGCGCGTGCGTACCGGGGAAGTGTTGCTACCATCCGCCGCCCGGAAGAAGGCAGAATTGGATATGGGGGGAGAGCGGGAGATGGGGTCGGTAGCGGGTGATCCCGGCGGGGTGTCGTCCAGGTCGATCTGGGGCTTTGACGAAGACGCTGGAGGTGCATTAGGCGCAGGTACTGGAGCTGCCTGGGCTGGCTGCTCTGGGGCCTTCTCCTTTAAGGTAGCCTTTGGGGATTGGTTAATTCCATTCAGGATGAGCGCAAAGTCCGGGTCCGAGAGGGAGAACGACATGGTCGGGAGGTCCGGCGCGATAAGTTTCGGGGTGGATGAGGATGCCTGGGGACCCATTGGTGTGCTCTCCTTAGGCTCTTCTTCCCGCACTGGCATGGTGCTCGCCGTTGCAGAATGTGACCTTGTCCGCGAGTTGGAGATGCCCAGATTTATATCCGTTAAGCTGGACTTGCGAGGAGGTGGGTTGTCGCTTCCTGCGCGGACGTGCGAGTCGGGCGTGGTCGACCGCTGTAGTCCTCCGCCCGGGGACTTGAAGGGGAATCCCTCCGCTCCCAGGCTTTGGTTGATGGGCGATGGGCTAGTGGGGGATGTGAGAGGCCCGTTGGCCAGCTTTTGCATGTCGGTAAAGCTTGCGCGGAGGGGAGAGGGTGGGAGAGGGGATTGACGTGATTCAGCAGCAAATGTGCTATTGGACGCGTCGAGGTTGAATGTCATAGCGGGGTTGATGGACCGCCGACGATCCGATTTGGTGCTGGGCACGCTGAGGCCGCTGCCTACTGGTCCGACGCCGAGACCGACGTTGCCCGACTGGGAGCGCGATGCACCAGCTGGTGACAGATTGGGCGACGAAGCGGTATTGTTGAGGACGTTTGGGTTGACGGGTGGACCAGGCGATGATCTACCCCCGTCTACCGCCCGAGGCCGAGCTCCGAGATTATATGATCCCTCTGATGGACTCTGCGGGAGAGGGGGAAGGGATCCATCATTCCAGCGCGAGACGTGTGAGTTTGGGCTGGGTGCCCTCCCCAACATCGGCTTCTCCACGCTGAGATCGCGTGATCGTGAGCCGTTGACACTCCCGCCTGCGGCCGAGTGGCCATCCTCCGACGAGCCATTGATGTGCGGCGACGGGTTGTCCGGGAAGCGAGACGAGTCTTGCGTGTTGGGCGTAGCGTAGGGGCTAGCGGTAGGCGAGGTGGTCGAGCCGGGGATCGGACTAACAGATGCGAGAGGGGGAATGTTGGAATTGGGGCCGAGGGAGGTGCTGGACATGGACCGGCCGGGGTCAGACCGCTGGCGATCATCGTCCCTGCCCTCCCGCTCCTTTTCTTTCCGAGCCGCCCGTTGGCGTTTAGCTTCGGCGTGTCGACGGGATTTGGCCACGCGCTCGTTGTGGCAGGCCTGGATGTCAGCTTCGCCCTCATTATGGATTATGGTAAGCTCGCCATGCAGTAGATCCCTTGGCTAGTCTTGGCAAACACCAACTCCTCTATCCGCTTCTTGCACGTCCGGCAGGTGAAGCAGTGCGCGTGGTAGCTCTCGTCCCCCGTCATGATCGCCTCCTCGGTGATGGCCTGCTTGCAGACGAAGCACTGCGAGTCAGCAATATGGCCAGATGTAGTCAGGTCGTAGCTCATAAATCACCTGATATGAGCAGTTGCCGCAGACTGGTGAGCCATCGCTGAGAAGGAGGAGGTTCGTGTCCGCCGAGACCTTCTCCTTGCACTTGGTGCATTTGAAGCAGTCGACATGCCAGAGCGAGTTGCTGAGGGGTCAGCCAGGTCCAGCCAGTGTTGCGCGCCGAGCGCAGCCCCACACCATCCCAATCACCAGCCTAGAGAAGCGGAGCGACAGCGCAGGAGCACTCACCCGAAAGCGACCACTATCCCGCCATTATCCTGCTCAATGACCCCTGCGCATCCCCCACACTTCGCATCCATCTCTCCCAGACTCGCCATGCTCTCCCCGTTCTTCCCACTCTGTCCTGTCATATGCGTATGTGCGTGCGCATGAGCATGGCCATTGGGTAGTGGTTGCGCCTGATACGCAGGCTGTTGGGAAGCGGGAGTATGGGCTGACGATTGAGCGGCGAGGGATGCGGATAAGGGTTTGGGGTCGGGAAAAGCCACCGAAGCGGGGGAAGAGAGGGTCGCCATGATCAGCGACGGCGGAGGAGGCTGGGGAGGACGAGCGACGAGGAGCGGCCAGACGCGCGGTGTTGATACTCGCTGATGAACGTTGCGAGATCTCGGACGAGGGATATTCTGCGACCGCGACCGCAGCAAAGCCCAAAGGACTCCTCTGACCTCCAGTGCTTCGCCCGATCTGGTTGACGTCCGCGCTGACACAAGCGCAGCGGAAGATGGAGGTCGAGGTCGAAGGAGGTCGACCAGTCCTTTAGGCGTCGAGACGCGTCTGTCCGCGGCCGAAGCGGACGTGTGAATGGACGCGCGTGGACCGGTCGCAACTCCAAGTCGTGAGTTGACAGCCGAGAAGTCGAGGCAGTTAGGTCGAGCGATGGATGATGATGGAGATGACCTTTGTTGATGATGTTCGACCAAGGTGCCAAGTTGTTGAACGCGAGTCAACAGGCAAGGCGGCCGAGATGGATTTCCCCGCTGGTTCCAGAGTGGGTCCGTGTCCGAATTCCCGATGCCAGTACAGCAGTAGTGCTCGACCGTTCGGCTAGCGGTGCGCCACTCGGGGTGTTGATGAGTAAGCAGCTGGGTGGGCGTGATAGGGCGTGATGTAGTAGACACTCCGAGAATGGTGAACCTTGCCTTTGAGTTGGCACGAGCCCCTCCTGCCCAGAAAGACGCGCCGAGCTCCGAGAAGAGCGTTCACGGCACCCGGATTAAGGGAAAAGGCGCGTCGTAAATGATACAATCCTCCGGACATGCTACTTGTGGTAATTTGGGCTTGTTTCGTAGGCCAGAGCATACCATGGTCACACCCAACGGAGATCTGTGTACTCGCACAGCTATGCCGACTCCCATCCGCCCCTACAGGCATCAAGCGTTGAGAACATATGGGGCACCGAGATTGAGACCGCCGACTCATCGAGGAGCTGGGGCTCGGAGGCAGCTTCGAGTCAGTCCTTACCGGGAGCACGTGTAGCCCAGACGAGATCCGCTAGCGATACTTCCTAGGATCGCAGATCCGTCCGTCACCCCGACTTGGATGAGCTGAGGTAGAGACAAGTACATTGGATTACACTGTATCTTCCCATAGACCTCTCCGTTCCGATCCTACCGTCAGGTCCAGCCCGTCGATTCACCATCGTATCGTCTAGCTCACACTGGACGTCCAACCTGCTTGTCATATTGACCTGATAAGAGTTGTCAGCCACAGAGGAAGGGGTAGACTGTGATGAGTGTCCGAACTGACCAATGAAGTTCGGCGAGGGATCGTAGCAACAGGCGGTGTAAGTGCCTCCGCTCTATGAAGGGTGTCAGGCGCGCCGGAACTTGCAGATTCAATCATCTCGACGGCGCTCACCTCGCACTTCCCCGTGGCGCATGCGATAGCTTTCACATTCTTCCAGACTACCGCAGTAAAGTGCCCCACCACCTTCCCACCTGCGGTATGGGTCAGCCTACTCATTGGGAGGATAAGGACGACTGACCGTGGTTTCCATTGGGATCGTTGTAATTGAAGTCCTTGGCTTCGTTCATGAAAGCCCGGACCACATCGTTCGCCTTAGTCACCCCGTTTCCGCCGCTCCCACCCATCAGGTTTTCACCGTACTTGCCGTCGACAGTGTGGTCGAGGTGACAATTGTTCCTGTGTGCATCGACATTGGCCTGAGCTTGGGCTAGCGCACCCTCACTCCACGTCACCATCCCAGCGCCGTACTTGGCACGAGCGTTGTTGTGAGCAGTAATCCAGTCACCTTGCGACATGCCCGATCCGTCCGCCCCGTTACCCTGAGGAGCAGGCTGTACAGGCGCAGCGGCAACGGCGGGTTTGGTAGGCTTGGCCTTTTCAGCCGCGGGTGTCGTCTTGGTCTGCTGCGGCGCTGGGTTCGGTTTCTTGGTCTCCGCAGAGTCGGCGGGGCGGCGCATGACGACGGTGGTAGTGACAACGGTGAGGCGTGCGTTGCCCTGTTGAGCATCGCCCCCGAGCTGGCCGTCCTGCTTGATCTCCGCCTTGCCTTCGGCCTGCGGGACACCTGCGGGCCGTTCCCCTTTTCCAGTGCAAGGCTTGCCATACCGCCCACTGACTGCAGCCTTGGGTAGGGTACTTGATGTGGTCAGAGCTGGAAGATCAGCTGGTGCGAAAGGGACTTGAGGGGACTTGGGTTTACATGCTTTGCGTCGGACTCGCTCGACCCGGGTCGAATTGACACCTTGGACGGGTGGTGAGATAGCGATTGTCAGAAGCGGAAGAAGCAAGAGGCTGAGAGCGGACAGCTGCATCTTTGCAAGTAGTGGGGCGCTAGACGAGTAGAGCAAGGGGTAAGGAGTGTGGGGTGTCAGATACCAGATCTTGACGGTCGACCGGACGTTGCGGATTGCTTGACGATGCTTATATATCGCTGCTATGAGAAGGGAGTGAGCGTGAGTGCAGTCAGTCGATAACACCCTTGTCCATGCCGATTATAGATGAGCTAGTGAAGAGGGGTAAGATCATCTCAAGGACCCTCGTACCGCTGAAACGGGGGTCGCAAGGACCTTTACACCAGTCCCTCTCGCCCCCTGACCGGTTCCTTTCTCCCTCAATGTCATCTTGATGCACGAGGCTATCCCTTTCGCCAGGGGTAGAGTCAGGCATCGCTTGCTGCAACATGTAAGGACTATGAGCGCTATGAGCGCCGAGACGTGAAGCCGAAAATGGTGAACGCAGGAGCTCTGTAATGCCGCATAATGCCGACCTGAGCAAAGTCTTCGGTCCTCCAAATTCCTCGAAGGCTGCGATAACGCCGCTAAACTCCGTCTCGACGACCCTAAACCAACCTCGATTTTGTTGAATCGAGGTCACTTTTTGGCTGGACCCAAACTCCTCGTTCAATCACCCTTCTTCTTCCTCTTGTCACCTATGATACGTGAGTACTTCGCCTTTCGCGTCCCCTCCTCCATCCTTCCCAGGTCTAGACGTGAAGATGAGCATTTTTAATTAGACTCCGACCAAACCAATGGGGACTAAATACACTGAAAATCCTGAGCATCTAGACCTTTCCCCCTCCTCCCTTCATTCTGTCCATTGTTTGGGGGACAGGGGCGTAAGCTGATCATACAGACATCTCTTACCAGACTGGGTCGCTCAGCTGTGTACATTGCTCATACCCCGATTAGGCGATATGAATAGTAATACAGATCACCCCCTGCGCAATACTGCCCCTCCGCTGCTTTTCAGTAACGCAGCTCACCCTTTCAACTCCTCCCCCTTGACCCCTAAGGCCTCCAATGCCTTGATCAGCTGGTCCTTCGCTTCGGTGCACGCAGCTGTCGCCTCTATGATTCGCTTCTGGAAGTCCTCACTCTCCTCGAGAATGGCATCTTCATCCTTGCATCTCTCTTCGAGCTCGTCGGGACCAATGTACCATCCTCGTTGTGCTGCCTCGTTCTGGTGCATTTCACGAGTAGCCAGCGTCGCTCGCGTGATCGCTGTGACGCTCCCAGCAAGGCTCGTGAGGCGGTCTTCGAGTCCGTCCAAAAGCCACTGCTCGGTAGCCGTGCGTGACCGTGATTCCCCCTTCTCGCCGAGGCTCGTACCCGCATCCGCACTCGCACCCGTAGGTCTGATCTGGCTCTTGCGCAGATGGTCAACGTAAGTGCGCACTCTTTTGACCGTTGCCTCGTCCGCAAGAAGGTCCTCCACTGCCGCAATCTTCTGATCGATCAAAGACCACGCTCGGTCTGCCTGTTCCGCTGTTGCACCGCTCAGGACGGAGTTGGGTACGCTGCGCATTGTCGTGGATGTTGATAGCAGAAAAATGAAGATACCGCGGCGGGAGTGTGGTCCTGTGTGAAGAGATAGCTCGAATCATTGCAGCTGTCCTGGGTCATGGACAAGGGCAGCTCAACCTGAAAGAAAAGTTGAAGGGGTACGCGAAAAAGGATCATCTGAAAGGGAGCTCGACAAGTTTCCAGAGGTGCCTGGGGCCAAAGTGGTATCTGTTACATGCAGCTGCCCCCTAGGCCCGCCTACCTCCCATAATACCAACTCTCTTCCGCCCATCGACTAAGCCGCGCCCCGGTATGGCCCCGCTAGATTTCATAGCCGTCTTGAAGAAGTTCGTCCTAGATTGAGCGCCGGCTGGCTTAGAGGAGCGTGCGGGCATGATGGGAGGGAGACCGGTACCAGGCGCGGGTAGGTCGGGCTGGAGGAGTTGTAGATGCTTGCCATTCCTGCCCAGTCAGCCAGCTGTCCCGCCATGATTGGAGACCGACCCATCAGACTTGCGGAGCTGCGGGAAGGAGGCTCACCCAATATCCCTCACTATCTCCTCCTTGTCCACTTTTCTCCTCTTCCGCTTATCCCTCTTCGTCTCCCTCTGCTGCTCTTTCCGTATCCGAGCGGCCTCTTGCCGCCGCACCTCCGTATCGGCCTCCTCCGCCGCTGCCGCCTTGAGCACCTTGGCGGACAGCGGCCTTCCGAAGCCAGAGAGCGGCGCCAGATCAAAGTTATCCTCTTCCTCCTCGACCGGTTCTGCCTCTGCCCGTCTCTTTCCGCTCTTCAAAGCTGATTTGGCCGCCGCTTCCGGTTTGACCGTAGTAGACGCCGCCTTCTTGGATTTGGCGGGGACGGAGACGCCAGATCGAGCCTCCGCGGCCTCCATCATTGCCTGCATTTGCGCGCGCATCGCCCGTTCCTTCGCCGAGAGGGGTCCGTCCTTGAGTGTCTCGCTGGAGTCCGATTCGGCGCCGTCGTCCTCCTCGTCTTCCTCCTCGTCCTCATCCTCCGAATCGGAATGGAACGATCCCTCTCCATCTTCCCCTTCGCCATCATCCTCGTCCTCCTCGTCTTCCTCTCCGTCCGAGACGGTGTGGAATGATCCCGCCTCGCTCCCCTCCCCATCTTCCTCCTCGTCGTCAGACTCATCATCTCCAGCAGCCATGGCAGCCTCCATCCGCTTCCTCAGCCTCTTAGCATCCGCATCATCGCCATCGTTCTTCTCCGCCTCGTCCGCGCCCGCAGACGCGAGCTTCCGCTTCGTACCCGCCGGATTGGGCTTGTTGACCGTTGGCTTCTTGGCGCCAGCCTTCAGCGCCGCTTTGGCATCCGCGATGGCTTTGGACCGAGCTACTGCAGCTTCTCTCTTGGCTCGTTGAGTACTGCTATATCAGCCTCCATTCAAGTTACATCAGAATGAACAGTCGGACGTACTGGGCGATCTCGTCCTCCTGACTCTTGATCCCCTTCTTTGCCGCCCCGACGGCTACAGCCTCCGGCGCCTCGTCGTCGTCATCATCATCCTCTTCCTCATCGTCTGACATATCCTCGTAATCTCCCTCATCCTCCTCGTCTGATCCATCTGAGCCCTGCGAAAAGCCCAGACGGAACCCCTGTCCGGAAGACGGCCCGGCGACGGCGATCTGGTCTTCGGATTCGTCGAAGATTTTCCGCTTGCCCTGCGCGGGCTGGATAGCAGCTGTCGGCACCTTCGGGCGAGGCATAGTGGTTTCTTTGAGGACGTGGGAGGTGTGTTAGTTCAGATAGCTGAGCAAAGGCGCGCTGCAAGACCAGCGCGAGCTGATCATGAACTTGGGTGGAAATTTGAGTGCCGTAATAGACCGGTTCCGACGGAATCCACATCTGGTGCCTGACGTCAGTCAGCCACACCGCCGCCGCTGCACAGCACAGCGATACTGTCTGACTGGCCACTCCATCTCATTCACCACTACATCTGTACAGATCTTTCACGATGGCCCGTCCACCAAGCTGTGAGAGTGCTGTCCGCTGTGTGAGGGTGCGATTGGGCTGACAGGATAGCCGGAGGGGATATAATCCTCTATGTCCTCGCTCTTCTGATTCCCCCAGTACCAGTGTGAGTTTCGTCCTCATGGCCTTGACGGGACTAGAGGCTGACATGTTCAGCTTCATGAAGCGAGGATGTGGCGGGGATGTGATCATCAATATCTTGTTGTGGATCCTGGGGTGGTGAGTCAGGAGCCCCTTTCCACCTCTCCATCCCTCTCGTCTCCGATTCCTTGCTGAGGACGTGCGACAGCCAGACTGACCATCAGGATCCCAGGCGTGATACATGCGTGGTGGATCATCTCAAAGTACGAGGTGCCAGCTGTCAGAGGATACTAGAGAGAAGAAGGGGAAATGAATGCAAGTTGCACCGTGATCTGGGCCTGGGAACGGCGTGGCGCTCAGATACCGGTCTTCTGTGATTCTGAGGCAGAGAACGTTCCGCAGTTGGAAAATCATTGATTTCAAGATTGAGGGGATCCGTCTGTAAAGAAGACAGAGGTTCGAGCAGAGTATGGCGGCACCGAAGCCAGAGTGGGTGACAGCTGGATCCAGCAGACAGCTTGCGGGCCCATTAATTGTTGCATGCTCCGAGCCCCGCTCCGCTCCGTAGTCCGCCGTGTACCTCCGCCGGTCGTCTTTATCACTCTCCTCGTAGCTCTCTCTCCGGTTATCGGCTACGGTTCCGCTGCAAGGCACATGGGCATGGCAGGTCCGGCCGCGGAGAAGCCCGGACCCGAGCGGGGGCGCCTGGGTCACCGCTGTGGTGCCCTCCCGTTCGGCCGTCTTTCTCGATCGCTCACATTACTTCCATGGAGTAGTCTACGCAAGGCACTAGCGCAACTTCCACAGTGCGCACCGTACAAGTGGCGATCACTACGCGCCTTCCTTCTCGTTGAGCAGCTGTCAAAAGTAAGCATGGTGATATCATCGCTTAGCCCACGTCTGCCTGCCGATGCGGCACTCTGGAACTTACGTCCGTCGTTACGAACGCTCCATCTAATCTCAGATCCCGACTGTTCCTTTTAGATCTCCTGCGTAGTCGGTGCCAAAAAAGTTGGCTCGGGAAAGTCAGCAAGATGAGGCACACGACGTGATCGTTGGTGCTAATTTGGTGTGGAGGTGATGTCGACTAAAGTGTGCGGGGGAGGATGGAAACCGGTAATGAGGGAGACGATATAGCTGGTCTTGAACAGCTTCTCACCATCCTCATATATATCTGCCAGCACGTCAAAAGCTACACCTAGAGACCACTCACTCACCTACCCATACCCGGACTACCTCAGCCAAAATGCAGCTTCTCGCCAGGATGAAGCGGAAGAACTGTAAGTCCCGATGTCCCCTACTTTGTGAAAGTTGAGCGGAGCTGAAATCCCAGCTTCGGAGAAGACAGACCATGCCCATCAAGCCATCAAGAAGCCCTCCACCTCCACTCCCTCATCTTCGACTGTAGACGTACACGTCAAACCTGCCACGAATCGGTCTCGATCTGCTTTCCGGATCTTTGTCCGATCGACCTCCCCCTCCTCTGCTTCTTCCCCTCCCAACAGGTCTCCAGAGTCTTCATCCCCCTCCTCCCCTGGCCAAATCCCAGACGCTCTACCCCCTGCATACTCGGCAAACGCTGCGTCAACACCTGCGCCCACATCGGCGGCACCAGCAACTGCGACTACTGCTACACCGGCACGGCCTAGGCTACCGGTCAGGGTGCCTTCGCTGCTGTACTGCCCGGTGCTGGACAAAGATGGGAAGGGTTATGGGAATGAGGAGAACAGGCGGACGACGGAGCTATAGGCAGAAAGGGGAGCGTACAGAGGCGGATGGATGGGATGATGTCGGCGGACCGCGGTGAAGGCTGTTGTACCTGTAGTAACGATTTCCTCCTGCATCTAGACACCTGTTCATTGTATGTAATCACATCAGAGCCTGATCCAGCGCATCCCTTCATCCACATCCCATGAGTTTGCGTGCAGCGTGAGGGAGAAGACTACAGCATGGCTATGGCCTGCAACCCACTGTACGTGTCTAGTAGGGCAGGACTTTTTACGTGGGCGGCGTAAATAGATTCCTCCTTTTGCTGCAACAACACCGAAACCCCCACCCAACTCGTTCCATCCCTTGTCTTTTGCCCCCACTCGACCTAGCAATGAGATGAACGAGCAAGCATTCGTCCAGCAGTACACGACGCAGGAAAAGCTTCTCCTCGCCCAGGCGGTGCACAAGCTCGGCGCGGTACAATGGGAAGCTATCAGCAACCTCCTGATGGAGCATCCCGTCTTGAGCGAGCGGGCGGCACCTGAGCGCGAGCAGCTGTTCAGCGCCAAGGCGTGTGAGGAGGGGTATGTGGGCTTGATGACTGATATAGGCATCAATGTGTACGTCCATCAACGACAAGAGGAGGAGGAGTCGAGCTGACGAGGTAGACCCGCAGAAGGGGGAACCAAACCCCACGCGAAACCGCATCTCCGTCTCGCCCAGACCTTCTATATCGCCCGGGTCGCAGAGCTCAAGGAGACGATCCAGACATACGAACAGCGCTTCAAGACCCTCATGGCGGAAATCCAGATGATCAAGTCGGGGGAGATGGACGCGGCGATAGCGAGTGAATTGAGGGGGGTGTTGGCGAGGATGTTTGGGAAGAAGATGCTGGATGCGTGGGTGCCGGAAGTTGGAGATGTGCAGGCGGCGGTGGAGGCTGGGGCGGTGCAGGAGGGGGAAAGGGAAGCTGCGGCCAGGGCCGAGGAGGAGAAGGAAAGGGAGGCAGCGAGAGACAAGGAGGCGGCGGTGGAGATGGAGACAGCCGGGCCCGCATCCGACGCGCGCGTCGCCGAGGCTCCAGAAGCGGAGGCCCCTGAGGAAGCGGCTGAAGCTGCTCCGTCGGTCCCCGGACCAGATCCAACGGTCTCGACTACAAGGCCGACACGCGGTCGGTCCGAAAAGCCGATATCGACAAAGAAGGCGGCAGATGCGGACGCAGCGCCAGTCGCGGTGGAGACGGGAGCGGCGGAAGTGGAGGTTGAGGATGAGCCTGACGTCACAGCACCTCCAGCCGAGGCAGCCGTGGAGACGGAGGAGAAGAGCGCGGGTCCGTCGGAGAGGCCAAAGAGGGGGAGGAAAGCCACCATATCCGCCCCTGCTCCTCCTGCGAAAGAGCATGAGCCCCCAGTCTCCGAGGCGGACATCGTCGCTCCTCCCTCACCTACTACCTCGAAACCCACCGAACCCGCTGCTCCTCCCTCCCCAGCACCCGCCGCAGCTGGTCGTCCCACTCGCAAAGGCAAGACCCCCGCTCCGGAGAAGACACCTGCTCCCGAGCCCGTCCCGGACGCGGCGGAGGACGAGGATGTTGTAATGCACGAGCCTGACGCACCCACAGCCGAAAGTTCCGTCGAGGTCCAGGCGTCCTCATCCCGACCGGACACCCGGCGTCGGCCATCACGAGCCGGCGCTACCCCCGCGCCGGCGCCCCCGGCCAAAGAGTCCCGGTCGACCAAGAAGCCCACCACTCCTCCTCCAAAAGCCGTTTCTGCTTCCCCGGCCGGCTCGCCACTCTCTGAGCTGTCAGAGGCGAGTCCGGCTCCTGCCGCAGCTGCGCCTAAGGGGAAGGGGCGGAAGCCTGCACCAAAGCGTAACTCGCGAGGCAATAAGGAGGTCACGCCTGTCGAAGAAGAGGCGGAAGAGGAAGAGGCGGCAGGTCCGTCCAAGCGAGGAGGCAACAAGCGAAAGGCGTCCGCTCCCGCTGCCGGTGCACCAACGACCAAGCGGAAAGGAGGGAGAAAAGGCGCTTCGCCGGCGCCTACCGTCGTTACTGTCCCCGACTCGGAGGCGGACCACGAAGAGGTCAACGAGGAGGAAGGGGCCGAGGAGGAGAAGCCAGCCCGGCGCGGTCGAAATAGCATGCCCGCTCCTCTGCTCACGGCGGGTACGACCGCTCGTCGTGGTCGACCACCCAAAGCCTCCCCTGCGCTCTCCACAGGTCGGACAAGGGGCTCATCCCCCTCGGCTTCTCGCCGGGCACCGTCAGTCAGCTCCACGACCTCGGTAGCTACGCCTGCTACTGGACCTGCTAAGCGCGGTCCCGGCCGACCGCCCAAGAATGCGAAAGCGAAGGAGGAGGAGGCAGAAGAGCCGGCAGAGGAGGAGGAGAAGCCGACCCGTGCAAGCGGAAGGAAGCGGGGCGTTGAGGTGGATATGAGCATGACGCCAGCAACGACTGATCGGGCAGCGCCAAAGCGGGGTGCGGCGGGTCCGGCAAAAGAAGAGGAAGCCGCGACGGATAAGCGGCCAAAGCGGGGGTCGATCCGAAGTGAGTACGCCTCACACGCAGATCACCTATCTCCCGACGCATCACATCACATGGTGCAGGGTTGACGCTGACAGGTCCCCCTCCCAGCACTCCCACCAACGCGTCTCGACCTTCCCGAAGAAAGTGAGCCGTCGGTCTCGGCGGCGTCCCTTTCGCCACGAAAGGAACGGGGTACGACCGGGGTCTCTGATTCTGGAAACGCGGTGGCCGGGCCGTCGACTTCGGCTCGGACGTCTCTCGGTGGGAGGACCGTCCACAGCCCGGCGACGCGAGATAGGAAGATGACGGCCAAGCTGCTCATGGGTTTGCTGGATCAGGTTGGGGCGCACAAGAATGGGAATATATTCCAGAGACCGGTCAAGGAGGTCAGTACCATACTTACCTGTGTGAGGACGGAGCTGATGAAACAGAGTGATGCGGAGGGGTATCATGATATAGTCAAACAACCGATGGACCTCAAGACGATGCGCCAGCGTATTCGAGATGGGCAGATTGCGAGCGTTGACGATTTCGAGAGGGACATGCACCTCATCTTTGCGTAAGTCTTTGTAGGGGCGACGTATAGGCTGGGCTGATAGTCAGAAACGCTATGCTGTTCAACGGAGAGGATACGCCGGTATATGACATGGCGGAAGACATGCTCAAGGATGCCGAGTCGCACTTGGCGCACTTTAGGGCGATGCAGCAGGATCTGGGGCGGTAGGGAGAGGAAGGGGCGGGAAGGTCCCGACCTGGTTGGACGGGATGGTGATAAGGATGCTGTGCATCTGAGAAGGGAGATCTCGATAGACAAGTTGTGTAATAGGACAATCCATGTGTAGGTAGAGGTAGATATCGATGGAATAGAAAGTGTGTAGAGACATCGGGAGTCAAAGCTGAGATTCATCCTAGATACACACGTTGATCATCGATCCCCCTCGCTAGATTGGCTAACCTATACAAATCGTCGCCTGCTCACAATATACAACGGACTCTGGCCCTGTAGCCTGAAGATCCCTTTCTGCTGACCCATACAATCAATGTCCATAGCGCTTCACCGCGGGCCCAACGCCGCAGCGTAGCTCAAACCCTCGATACGCCGCATCCCTACCGCCTCCTTCTTGTCCACCACATCAAGCCCGTCCATGTCCAGTTCCAGCTCGCCTAGTATCATATCCTCCGCTTCCCGATCCGTCCCATCCAGGAGCTGGACATGCTCCCACTCGTCTAGTTCCTCATCGTCTTCTTCCTCGCCAGATGACCGGGATGCAGCCTTGGGCGCGGACGAAGCGAGGAGGCCGGGTGTCTTGGGCGTGCTAGCGAGCGATGTGGGTGTCGACCTGCCGGGAAGGATGATGGAGAGGCCGCGTTTCGCTGATGCGGGGGAAAGAGGGGAGGTGGGCTCCGTGTCGGGCAAAACGAGGACGGAGGGGGTGTGGATGAAGTCAAAGCCTAGGGTCGCGGCTGTGGTAGCTGTATGATCAGCTCAGTCCTCATTCCTGCAAGCCAGAGGGGCCAGAGGAGCCAGCTGAAAGCATGCCCGACTCACCTCGCTTCTCTCGCTTGCCCTTTCCATCCAGAATCAGTTCCTCCAGTCCGACCTCCCTCGCCCCCTTGCTTTGTGTCCCACTCATATCGCCGACACTCCCGGGTTGACCATGAGCGACCTCCCTATCCTTCGTGGCCGCGTGCATGATTGCCACGCCGGCAGTTGTGGGCATAGAGAATGCCTGAGCCTTCCGGGACGCGGCATAGCTATCGAGGAAGGCGACCTCGGCGCGCCAGTCCAGGGTGTTGGCGCTGGTAGGTGAGAGGGTGGACTTGGGCTTGTGGGGTACCGAGTGTCCGGGGCGGCGCGATGGGATGGGACGGGGAGGGATGGGCATGGTGGAAGATGAAGGGGAGTAGGATGAGTGGCGAAAGCGGTGTCGGGGAGGGGTCGGGTATGTATGGGCGTGATGGGGTATCGCGAAGTGTAGGTAAGGTAGAAGAGATCCTAAGGTGGAATGAAGAAGGAGAAACAAGAAGCAGGGTCCCTTTCTTATATGATGTGCCGAGTGGGGGAATGACGCACGGTCGCGCAGGAAGCCGAAGAAGAAGGAACGTGCCGATGATGAGGGGGAAAGAAGCTCAGAAGGTGGAGTTCGTAAGGAAGGAGAAGAAGGGAGAGTCAGTGGGCGCGATAGATGATGATTGATGAAGATGAGCTATTACCTTGACGCTTCCTCCGCCCTCCTCCATCTCTTATCTCTGCTCCGAACGACGTCGAGGCGGTGTCAACAAAGAATGGAACCGATCGAGCGACGCGTCTCGGCTCGGAGGTGGGTGGCGAATACAGTTTTACGGCACTCCGCTTCTCCGAGGTGTTTCAGATTGGATCTGACGTCATACACCTGCGTGCAGGAAAGTGGCGGCAGTGTGGCGGATCGCCACACCCAAGTGCCACATCGAGTGCTAGCAGGTCAGCACCCTTTGTCGTGCAACTCCTTGCGCTCCTATGTGCGGCGGGACATGTTTCGCGTTTCAGACTGGCGAGAGACGACCTGATCACCACTGAGCAGGAGTCACTGCCTCGGCATGGCCTTACATTGTCTTTCCACCTCCCACGACGACCCATACTCACTCACCTTCATCACAGCAACAAGGACTCTGGCTATGGGCATCAAATTCACTGCACCCAAGACCGTGGTGTCTGCATCCGAACACAGACTGATTCGGTGCCAAGGAGGTCCTGATCCTCGGCGACGGCATCCTCCTTCCGGATGGAACATCGTAGACGACCTGCGCAGCTCGACAGATACGCTGGAAGAGAGGCAGGCCGTGACACTCCTGGGCAAGGGTGCCCTCAGTATGTGGTATGATCCAAAGACCGAGAAGGATGCAGACACACTGGTGCGGCTCAAACAAACGAGGCAGGAGCTCGACTCTCGAGTGAGGACCTACAGAGGCTTGCATCACGGCACGGTTCATGTCAATCCCGCCACCATTCCGGAGGATCTACAGGAGACGGGCGCGGAAACAGTCGAGCTCACTTGGAAAGACACTCCCGAGTATACCGAATGCTCTGATGGCTCTACCGCGGCCCGCTTCAAGCGGACTCCCGAGTGGGCCACGGCGCCCGGACTGAGGGGCTCCCGCGTCATCTGGCTGATGACGGGCATGAGGGATGCCGTGGGGCAGCACACACAGGGCTCCTCCATGCTTGATGCCAGCGGCGTGTCCACGTTCGAAGGGGCCATCTACCACTTGCCGCTTGTGGTCACGGAGACTGCATCATCTGTGGTGTCTGCTGGGCAGCAGAGAAACCAGCAGCAGAAACCGAGGAGCGTGCGGTATGATCAGGCGGACATACAAGGGTGACGAGGCGGGTCGAGACGCTACCCAGAGCGAATGTATGCACGGTGCTCTGTCTTTAACATTTCATTTTCCTCTCAGAAAAATGTCGGCACAGCCTTTGCGTAGCCCTTGCCAGGGAGACCTAAGTCGCGGAATCCTTTCTGCTTACGCTGCAATGAGATCGTCCTTTCACACCGGTGGCGAGAAGTTGCACGCGCGGGGGCGAGAACCCTTACTCAGTCCTCACAGCAGGGTTTCCTTTTCCCCCCATACATCATACTCTGATACCCAACCCTCTACTCATCATAAGAAAGTACTACCAAACCAGCAATGTCTTCCGCAGCTTTATCGGAGCAAGACGTGGCGAAGGATGAGCTTGACTGGCTGAACGGGACGTCGGGACAAGCAGCTGTGCACGCCGGAGCACGGGAAGCAAACACCAAGAGGCTGACTGATTTGGGGTACGGCCCAATCGGCTATGGAGTCGTCACTCTCACAGTCTCCACCACTGGAAGGACGTCATCGTTGGGGCTGCTCAGCCTCAGAGCGGGAGAAGCCTCAGCGGTGTCCGTGTCGGAGATGTGCCGTGGGGACCCCTCGCGCTCGCTCTCCGTCACTCTGCCGGAGTCCAACAATGACTGGCAAAGCGGCCTGGACTGGACATGGCATGCCGACCAGACCCCGATTGGGCTGGCAAGGCTCAACAACGGAACTGGGATCGTCACTCTCAGCTTTGGCATTGCGAACCCCCACGAGAGCCACTTCACCACGCTCTGCTTGGTACAGAGGACGGTGCCTGAGGATCAGCCCGAGGTCATCAGTGAGGGAGTCCCCTTTGTCTGCATGGCAGATCTATGGGCCCCGCAGCGCGAGATTCTCGAGATGTTCCGCCGACTGACCGCGCAAGGTACTGTGAAGCCGAGAGCCAGCGGTACAGCGGATCCGGTCCCTGAAGACGGCGACTCGGAGACGGGCGGCGAAGACGTCGGTTCGGAGATGGATCCTGGAGACATCGGCTCGGAGACGGGTGCTGAAGACTCGGAGACGGAGGCTGAACACCAGCCAGGTGACATCTCCCAGGGCGTTCGCATGGCAGATTTGAGCATAGTGTAGGATGGAGATCTCGGAAGCTTCACCCGTAGTCACTTGTGCGGCCGGAGCGAGATTGACTGACTAGCCTCTCCTTGACCGTCTCGAAGATGTACCGCGCATGCATTTCGCTCACCCAGGTCATGACGACGCCTCGACCGAGCAAGGCATGTAATGACTTTGACAACATACATGACAGTTATACAACTTGTAAATGAGCTGGACCCGTCCGCGTTCTGAGCCACAACGACCTCTCAGCTATGTGATGACTGTACTCGTCAAATACTTCCTCTTGCCTCGCTCATGCAGCGTCAAGGGCGCGTCTCCCGTAAATGCCAGAATCTGATATTCCGCATGGTACCTGGAGTGATCAGCGGTCTAGTCACAGGTCCATGTGGCCGAACCTGTACTCACCCAAGTGTACTCAGATTCACCCTGAAATACCCCAACCCCTTCCCTACTTCAATCTCCCCTACCCCATTCCCACCTACTGCCGCACCCACAGCTGCGCTCGAACTCGCACTACCCTTCCTCTGATTGTCCCTTGGAACACCCAACGCCGACATCCCCTTATCCCCCGTCAACTTCTTCAACCTCTTCCTGACCCACCCGCGATCATCCATCTCCTCATCCTCCGCTATATCCGCACTTCCGCCATCTAGCCTCCGTGGCGCGCTAACCTCTGGGTGCGACATCATCGGAGACGAGTTGAGTGGTGTATCGCATATCGCGGTGATTTCGGATTGACCGTTGGTGTATGGTGGCGAGAAGTGACGGGCTTCGTGTGAGGCGGTACGGGCCGGTGGGGGTTTGAATGTGGATTGCGAGGCAGAGCGGGAGGCGATGTGTCGGAGACCGGCTTGGCGGATGTTGGTGGGGACGGTTCTGTGCGGATCAGCCATCCTCGCGATACTTGGCCGAAACGAGTTAGAGGCTACTCACTTGCCCGGATCAAACATGAGGAGATTCAGGTCTCCCCTTGAGGTCTCCTCATAGCCCACGACAGTCCGAGAATGACCATTATGCTGAGACGTCAGCTTACCCATCATCGCACCAACAGACGATGATTCGGCGAGCTCACCTGCAGTATCAAGGGATACCTGTCCGCTCTTCTTACCGCACTACCCCTACTTCCCTCTCCATCGCGCATGAGCACGTCGAATGCATTGACTGAAGTTGAGCCATCACGTCCAGGAGCACTCGATGCACCATGGCTGGCAGAAGGCAAGCCCTCGTCCTACGATGTCAGCTGCTTCCGCAAGAATGAACGGCGATCGAAGCTCACAAAGTACTGCTTGACCCATTCAGTCAGTGCTTTGTGAGCCGGCCGAGCGCCTGGATTCTTTGACTTTGGGAAGTCATCTAATCCATCAGCGGTGCCTTCGTACTGTTTCCTAGGATGCTTACAGAGATCGCACCTGTACTATCAGCTCTATGCTGCGATCACCAAGGGTCATCACGCAGAAACTCACGGTACCCCCTTATAGCTGAACATCGCACACAAATCACCCGTCCCGACCCATTTCCGACCTCCTAGGACCTTGCCTCCAAAGTGCGCCTTCCCCTCCGGATCGAAGCCCTTCGCCCATGCCTCATCTAGCCATCCTTGAAGCCGGCGGACGCCCGGATCAGAGGCGTTTGCTTCGCGCGAGAAGAGCTTGGCGAGCGTGGGCGAGTGCGAGATCAGGGAGGAGATGGACATGAGGGCGTTTCTGTAGCCGCAGCCCCAGGCTGTGCGTCAGCTTCGCACGAACAGGTGACAAAGCAAGGAACTGAGAGACGGGGACGTACTAGCATCAAAGCGAAAGACACCTGTGATGGAGACGGCATCTCTGCCGAGCACGGCTCGTCTTGTTATGCCTTTATGTATCGAGCTCTCCAACAGTCCCGTCAGAACAGATATCAAGCCTGAACAGATCAGCTACCATCCCTCAACTCCCATATCGACTGGTCCCCCACCGCTGGCCAAGACATACCAGGCGAGAAATTCTCCGGCACATCCCCCACTCTCCCCTTTACAGGATCCCACCACCCATCCCCCTTCTCCACCTTCCTCCCCTCCCCTCTCCTCCACTCGACATATCCACCAGGCCGCGCCGGCCCCTCCCACTCATCCGCAATCTCCACATCGTCCCTCCCCGCCCCTATACTCTGCTGTATAAGCTGATCCGACAGCTGGATCGTCGGCGACAGCTGAATCTGAGTGGATGTCTCCCGCTCCCACGGGATACTGGCAGGACCGAGGGCGGGGTGGTCGATCGGTATTTGGGCAATGAGGTGGTAGTCGGCTGTCAGGGTCGAGAGGGTTCGGGAGGGGCGGTGGGTGATTGTAAAAGGGATAGGGGAGTCGGGGTTGGGGATGGCGGCGGTATCTGCCGGTCAGAATGAGTCTGACGGATCAATTGGACCGAGCCTACCCATACAGGCATTGACGTGTTGAGCTCGATCTGCAGCGCTCACCCCGCTGAAGAACGGGAAGGCGCACAATGGACAAGCATCATCAGCGAGGCTGTGCATGTCAGCTAGGTGCTCATACCATACAGAAGATAGTGGAGAGGAGCTAGCTCACCCTTCCTCCTCTTCCTGCTTCATCACAGACAACCTCCTCTTCCTAGGCGAACTCGGACCAGCCTCCCTGCCCACGACTGACCGCCCCGCCCCATCCTCGAAGTGCGAGTTAACATGGTGCTGGAAGGCCGTATCGTCCGCGTACTGTTCTTCGCCGCATACGGGACAGGGCTGGATCTTGTATCGCATCGCTCTGGCTATGCCGGAAGTGCTGTACAGGGTGTTTACACAGGTAGAGAGGCGTTGATACCACTCAACCGCTCGCAGCTCGCTCAGCTCAGTGGCGATCGCTCGGGTCCGACAGTGACACCGCTTTTTGGCGAGATAGGCGAGAATAGGCGTGGGTTCATATGGATGAAAGTTAGGCGAGCTGGACTGAGCTGGAGGGAGAGCAGCGCGCCTATCCTGTGCTCGATCCAGGACCAGAAATCCATCGCTCTCGAAGTCAAGGTCGGGAAGAGTACCATACATACCCGTATATCACTTGCTCAGATGTCAGACACAAGAGCAGAAGCAGCGCAGGAGATGGTAGAAGCAGGTCTGCAGACGGGAATGGAGGATACTCTTGGCGTGAGCTAGCCATGTCCCTCTGGTGACGGATAGAGCTGACCTTCAGGCCTCTCTTTCCGGCTCATTCGCCCCTCCTCCTTCCGCGCATCCCCATCACCCCGCTACAGAGGTTGGGACCACCCAGGCCTCCGGCGCATCTGCTCCTGAGCCCGAAGCCGAGTCTACGCCCGTACCAGGAATGGACGACTGGAAGCCTACATACGACGCCTACGTGAAGGACTGGCAGCACGAGGCCGACATCGCGCGGGAGAAGGCACTAAAGAACCGCAAGTTCTACGAGGACGAGGCAGAGGCGAAAGAGAAGGCCAAGAAGGACGAGGAGGCGTTGAAGAAGCGGAGGGAGAGGGAGGAGAAGCGAGCGGAGGAAGGGAGGGAGAGGCTCAGGCGGGAATTGGCGGGTGAGGTGAAGCCCGCGGGGGGTGGAGTGGGGAGGAGTAAGGAGAAGACTAAGGGAGAGAAGGTCAAGGAGGCTTGGGAGATGGTTAAGGCTTCGGAAGGGAAGGAGGCAGGCGAGGGGAAGGAGGTGGTCGCGGATGGAAGGGGGGTAATGCCGCAGGATGTCCGGGCGGGACAGGCTGTCAACGACGGCGAAGCCAGGTCGAAGATCCAGCAGGTGAGCTTGTTTGTCTGCCAGGTCGTGGCAATGTCAAGCTGATTTCCTAGACAATGTACGACCCCACAACCTCCACCGAGCCCATGCCACCATCCATGAAGTCCTCCCCGCCCTCTGGACCTTCTTCCAACCCTACCGAATCGCAAGCGGCCTCCCGGCACTCGGCGACTTCGCAGGCATGGGAAGAAGTTTCTCGCCCTGGTACGTCCTCCGAGGATCTCTCGCCGAGCGGAAGCGGATCCACCTCGTCCGCATTCGACAGCGCCACGCAGTTTTCAAACGCCAACTTGCCAGAAGTCTCTGGAAACTCTGGAAACTCTGGCACATACGGAGAGCCCGGTCAGACGGACAAGGTGCCCCACCCTCTCGACGCAGCCAAGAACAGAGCGTCTTCCCGTTCGTCCCTCGTCCCCACCTCTGGCGGCACTGCGTCCGGTCCCAACGGCAGCGGCAACGGGAACGGGAACGGGAACGCCCCACCCACCCAACCCCCATCCCTGACTCTATCCCTTTTCACCGCCCCCTCCAACCTGTCCCTCACCCGCGTGATCGCCGTACTTGGCATCAACCTCGTACTGCCCTTCATCAACGGTGTGATGTTGGGCTTTGGAGAGATCTTTGCAAGGGAGGCGGTCAAGGTTGGGGGAATGATCTTTAGGGGGGAGAGGAGGTTTATGGGCTGGGGCCGCGGAGCGGACGATGGGCAGGGGAGACGGAGGGGCGTCGAGGGGGTGGGATTGAGTGGGAGTGGGGGGTTCCCGTAGAGAGGAGTCGGCGGAGGGTGGTCATGCATATCATAGCGTCTTGCAATATCACCTGCGCACAACAAGTCTGTATCTGCATCTAGGTACACATGGTCTACCTACACAGAACCTATTGCGGACCTGCGCAATCTACCATACTCGATCTAGTGTAAATGTCCATGGACGCTTGTCCGCCCCTCGACGACCCCCGCCGACTATCTCGCCTCCAGCTTCCCCACCAACCAGTCCATCCCTTCGAATAGCCCCTCCCCACTCAACGCACTACACCCCATGATCTGCCATTCCCTCTCGCGCAGGCTGGTCAGACCCAGCCCTTCGGAGACTTGCGCCGGGGTGAGCTTGTTGGGCAGGTCTTGCTTATTTGCGAGGACGAGCAATAATGCCGAAGAGAGTTCCTACTTCGTCAGCTCTTGCCTTACCCTTGCCGGCTCAGGCTAATCAGATCGATAGAGGAAGAAGGAGCTGACTTCATGCTTGACAAGCTTGTCCAATTCCGACTTGGCCAGCGCCATCCGCCCCGCATCGCTCGAATCAATAACCAGTATAATCGCCGTTGTGCCCGTAAAGTACTGTGCCCAGCTCCCGCGCAGGCTTGTCTGGCCCCCGATATCGATCAGGCCGAATCGGACGCCTTTGTAGTCGTATGTCTCGTGGTTGCTTCCTACTGTTGGGGCACTGGCGACCTGGCTGTCAGTGATCCGATCCGCTTCCTGAGTGATTGAGGGACAGTGAAGGCGCCTCACAACTGAGCCCATCGTTATTCTATAGAGGATCGTACTCTACGCTATCAGCTCAGGTGTCTCTCTTTCGAAACGAGCGCAGCTCACCTTGCCCGCATTGTCCAGACCGAGGATGAGGACCTTGGTCTCTTTCCTCGCAAAGAGCCTTCCCCACATGGACGAGAAAGTCACTATGTGATCAGCTTGCTTCGAGCCTTTTTCGGACCTTGGAAAGCTCACCTCCCATAATGCCTAGCTGTGGTCTGTCTATAAGCTGCTTCCTTGTCGTTTATGGGCAACTTTAACACCCCTCTTTGCAGCAAGGACCACCTCCACCGCGAACCGTGCCTTAAGCTTGCCACGTACGCACGGACCATCGACGCGTCTTCGCTTTAAATCGCCGCTTTGGGTAATAAAAATGCTAATTCGTGACGTTCGCGCTGACTTTCTGACCCGCCTATAGAGCGCATATCCTCCTTTCTCACATCCTACATATACCTTCAGCTACAGGCTGTATATGCTCAACCGCCTTCCCTTGGGTCGTATCGTATCAGCCTTCAAAAACTTATCGCCTGCCTATCGCCACGGCCCCATTCGATCTCCCCTCCCCCAGCTTGCCCGATTCGCTCACGCGAGCCCCTTCCTCCTTCTTCCCGCCCGACCTTACGCGTCAGACTCGGCCAAGATGGAGTCTATGATGCTAGACCAGGACGAGCCGATGGCTGTTGTTGCTCCCGACCTGACATCGGACCTTAACGTCCAAGCTGCGCATGTCCCGGTGACCGTCGACTCGCCAGCTGGGAAGACGAACGGCACAAGTACCGGCGCGAACGGCACTGGGCACGCTCATACCAATGGCAATGGGAACGGGAGCGTCAAGAAGGAAGAAGAGGAGGATGAGGAGATGCCTCTGGCGCGTAAACCTGCGCAGACGAAACGAGCTGTGAATAGCGGAAGTAGTAGTGAGGAGGACGAGCGGCCATTGGCGAAGAAGCCGCGTGGGAGTGGAGGGGGAGGAGCAGGGGGGAGGAGGCGGATCGTAGATAGTGAGAGTGAGGAGGAGGATGTGCCTGTGAAGAAGGAGAAGGTGGTCAAGGTGAGTCTCGATACACTTCTCAGCTGGACGGTCCGCAGTGATCGCGGGCATAGCTGATATCGTTAGCCAAGACCTAGTGGGGCGACCACAGCTCGACCCAAGACAAAGAACGAGTCGAGCGGGTCGGACTCGAGCGTATCGTCAGAGGATGAGAAGCCTCTCGCCAAAAAGTCTACGTCGAACGGTACCGCCCCCGCCAACGGAAACGGGAACGACAAGGGGAACGCGTCCGCTTCGTCCTCTACGTCCAAGGCGAAATCGACCAAATCTGCCTCGTCAGCTTCTACTAGTGCAAAGAAGCGCGGCTCTTCCTCGGAGGAGGACGAGAAGCCTCTCGCAAAGAAGGCGAACGGGACGAACGGCGACACCAGTGCCAGCACGAAGTCCAAATCAGCAGCGGCGGCCAAGGCAGCAGCCGCCAAGAAGCGGCGAGAGGACGAGGAAGAGTCTGACTCCCCTTCGTCAGAATCGGATCTATCGGAGTCCTCGTCCGAAGCGAGTTCGGAGGATGAGAAGCCATTAGCGAAGAAGAAGGGTGCGGCGGCCAAGAAGGCGCCAGCGAAGAAGGCGGCAGCGGGGTCGGCTTCGGCGAAGAGTAGTGGGAGCAGAAGCGCGACGGGGACGCCTAGGAAGGGGATGGCGGCGGCGAAGGCGAACGGTGGAGTGAAGAAGGAGGAGGGAAGCTCGGAGGAGGATGAGGTGCCGCTTGCGAAGTCGGCAAAGGGGAAGGGGAAGGGGAAGGCGGTTGATGGGAAGGGAGGGAAGGTCAAGAAGGAGAAGGTCAAGAAGGAGGAAGAGTGAGTTACTTTTTGGTCCTTGCGTGTACGACGTTGAAGGGGATGGAACTGACGAAATCAGTGGTGATGAGGCAGAGGACGGGAAGTACCAGTGGTGGGAAGACGCAGAGAACGATGGATCGACCAAGTGGAAGACGCTGGTGCATAATGGGGTGTTGTTCCCGCCGGCTTATATCCCATTACCGAAGGGCGTCAAGATGCGGTATGATGGTGAGTGTCGCTGTTCAAGCAATCTTGGACATGGGACGGACTCTGGGCAAGAGGGTAGCGTGGGGAGGCAGGAGAATGTAGCGGAACGTGTAGTGCCATTCTGAAAGCTGATATCGTAGGCACCTCCCTCACCCTCCCTCCCGAGTCAGAAGAAGTCGCGGGCTTCTGGGCAGCCATGCTGGAGACGGATCATGTCCAGGACGCTACTTTCCAATCCAACTTTTTCAGGGACTTTCAGACCATTCTCAAGAAGTATCCACCAGTAAGTCCGGTCATCCTGGAGGGTTGCAGTGGACAGGATAGGCAGTAGCTGACGATTCGCAGAGAGAAGGCATCAAGGTGGAAACGCTGGAGAAGTGCGATTTCCGGCCTATGTTTGAACACTTTGAGAAGGAAAAGGAGAAGAAGAAGTCGATGACCAAGGATGAGAAGAAGCAGTGAGTGCTGCGTCACGTAGGGCAAGGGAGCAGAGCTGATTGGCAGGATCAAAGCGGATCGAGATGCCCTGGAAGCTCCCTACCTTTACGCCATCGTCGATGGGCGCAAAGAAAAGCTCGGCAACTTCCGCGCTGAACCTCCGGGGCTCTTCCGTGGTCGAGGCGAACACCCACGCAAAGGAACGCTCAAGTTCCGACTCCGTCCCGAGGACATCACCCTCAATATCGGTACCGACGCCCCTGCGCCCAAACCCAACATTCCGGGTAAATGGAAACTCATCAAACACGACCCTACCGTCACCTGGCTCGCCGAGTGGAAAGAGAACGTCAACAACAGCACGAAATACGTCTTCCTCTCTGCCGCCTCGTCCTGGAAGGGTCAATCCGATCGGTCTAAATTCGAAAAGGCCCGCCAACTCATCAAACACGTCGACAGCATTCGAAAGACGTACAATGCGGATATGAAGTCCAAGGTCATGGCGGATCGACAGCGTGCGACTGCGCTGTATTTCATTGATGAGCTGGCGCTGCGTGCGGGGAATGAGAAGGGGGAGGACGAGGCGGATACGGTCGGGTGTTGTTCGCTCAGGTATGAGCATGTGACGCTGGAACCGCCGAATCGGGTCACGTTTGACTTTTTGGGCAAAGACTCGATGAGGTTTTTGAACACCGTCGAGGTTCAGCCGCAGGTGTTTAAGAATGTCAAGATTTTCAAGGCGGATAAGGAGAAGGGGGATCAGCTGTTTGATCGCTTGACGGTGAGTTACAGTCTGGGTAATGGTACTTCCTCGCCTGATTTGAGCTGACTCGCCAGACCGGTATTCTCAACAAGTACCTGAACGACTTTATGCCCGGTCTCTCCGCCAAGGTATTCCGTACCTACAACGCCTCGTGGACGTTCCAGCAGCAACTCCGGAAACTTACACCCGCGGACGGATCGGTCGCCGAGAAGATTGCGGCGTACAACGATGCCAATCGGGATGTGGCCATCTTGTGTAATCATCAAAAGACGGTGGCCAAGAACTTTGCCGAGAGCTTTGCAAAGATGGGGGATAAGGTCAGTCCTCTTTTCCGGCTTTTCTGTTGACCGAAGGGCATCGCTGACACTCAGGTCCGCGCGCTCAAATACCAACGCATGAAACTCCGATTTCAGCTCTTCACCCTCGACCCCAAAGCAAAAAAACGGAATCCCGAGCTCGCCGATGACGAATCCGACATGGACGATGACTTTATGGAGCGGCACGAGGCGGATCTGCTGGAAAAGGCGCTGGAATCGGCCAAGAAGAAGTTTGAGCGGGAGAATCTAAAGTTGGAAGAGGCCAAAGAGGACAAGAAGCCCAAGACGGATTTAGAGGAGAGGTTGAAGGAGATCAAGAAGGAGATGAAGGAGTTGACCAAGGAGAGGAAGAGTAAGAAGGTGGAGTCGAGGAAGGGGGGTGAGTACTTTTTCTGAGAGGTGTGGGGTTGGAAATGGGAAGTGAGGAATGGATGAGAGCTGATCAGGTAGCGACTGAAGAAAAGCTCTTGGATCAGATTACCAAGATGGATGCGAGGATAGCGGTGGCCAAGACGCAAATGGGCGATCGGGACAAGACGAAGGATGTTGCGCTGGGGACATCCAAGATCAATTATATTGTGAGTAGCACCAGGCTGGGTATTGCTGTTCAGCTGCTTGTGGCCCGGTTATGTGAAGCAAGAACTGATCTTTCAGGACCCACGTCTGACTGTCGCGTGGGCAAAGAAGTTTGACGTTCCGCTCGAAAAGCTCTTCTCGAAGACACTGTGAGTCATGATGCTATTGAGGTGGTAGAGGAGCACAGGGCTGATTCTTCAGACGCGAGAAGTTCCCATGGGCTGAAGCAGAGGCGGATGAGGACTGGGTGTTCTGAGCGGGAGCGAGAAGCGAGGCGGGGCGAGGCCGCTGAGGATGCGCTGCCCAGGCGCGGGAAAGATAAGAGGGGAGGGAGCCACACACGCCATATGTAGATTAGTTCTCATGCCCATCATCAGCTGTACGCATGTCACAGTATCCCATGTCATGCAGCGCGAACGTTGAGCTGTCCATGCAATATCATGCACGCAGACAAAGCTCTACATTCCTCTACCTATAGCGGCGATTCTATTGGTTCGGCCGAGATCGGAAATATAGGTGAGCGGCATCCTCCGCCTTGTCGCCAACTGACAGTTACCGGTGGCTACAGATCGAGATCGTTTCTTACTGTCTGTTCTGTCTATACATCCATCTACTACCTCCTTCCTTCTCATACATACTACACGCCCTACAGGCGTCCCACTCCACTCAGCCCCGACCCGCAGAACTTATAAGGCCCAGCGAAAAACTCCCATCAAGATGATGCGCTTTTCACGCGCGATCTCCCGGCCTGCCATCGCGAGGAACGCGGCGATCAAGGCCAACACGAGAGGATTGGTCGTTGCTAGTCAGACGAGCAGGGCGAAGGAGGCACCAGTACGTCCTCTTTCCTGGACGGTGGATCGAACGGGAGGAAGAGATAGGTGGCGTAGAAACGAGGCTGGGGAGCTGATACTGGGCAGAATTTCGGGCAGTACAAGGGATACCCAGTTGTAGACCATGAGTGAGTGGCGCTTCGTCAACCTAGAAATGAGGTGCGGTGCTGATAATCCAGGTTCGACGCTGTAGTTGTGTGAGTTCCAGAAATCGATACGATCCCCAACAAGGGAATGCACGGGTAGTAGCTGACCATATCAGCGGTGCTGGTGGAGCAGGTCTGCGAGCGGCTTTCGGTCTGGGTAGGTCTTTCACTATTTCGATGATGCGCCACTCGATCTGGTCCTTTGGAGGAACAAGATCGCTTACTTTGCAGCTGAGGGCGGTCTCAAGACCGCATGTATCACCAAGCTCTTCCCCACGCGTAGTCATACCGTCGCGGCGCAGGGTGGTGTCAACGCGGCTTTGGGAAACATGACCGAGGATGACTGGAGATGGCACATGTGAGCTATCTTGAGCCCTTTGAAAGCCCACTGCAGCTGACGATCAGGTATGACACCGTCAAGGGGTCTGACTGGCTCGGAGACCAGGATGCTATCCACTACATGTGTCGCGAGGCACCCAACACCGTCATCGAGGTGAGCTCCTTGATGCATTCGTACCGGAAATTGAAGCCTGAGCTGACAATCAGCTCGAGCATTACGGTGTCCCCTTCTCCCGGACCAAAGAGGGCAAGATCTACCAGCGCGCCTTCGGTGGTCAATCACTCCAATACGGTAAAGGTGGTCAGGCGTACCGATGCGCCGCCGCTGCCGACCGTACCGGCCACGCCATCCTCCACACCCTCTACGGCCAGTCTCTCCGCCACGACACCAACTTTTTTATCGAGTACTTTGCCCTCGACCTGCTCATGCAGGACGGAGAGTGTGTCGGTGTGATTGCGCTCAACATGGAGGACGGAACTCTGCACCGATTCCGCTCGCACAAGACTGTGCTTGCTACCGGTGGTTACGGTCGAGCCTACTTCTCGTGCACGTCCGCACACACCTGCTCGGGTGATGGTGGTGCCATGGTGGCGAGGGCTGGGTTGCCGCTGGAGGACTTGGAGTTCGTCCAGTTCCACCCCACTGGTATTTACGGTGCTGGATGCTTGATCACTGAGGGTGCGCTGCGCCGTCTAAATTTGCGCGGGTTTAGCTGATCTTCAGGATCCCGTGGTGAGGGTGGATACCTGCTCAACTCGGAGGGAGAGCGATTCATGGAGCGATACGCACCTACAGCCAAGGACTTGGCATCGCGAGATGTCGTGTCCCGGTCAATGACTATGGAGATCCGTGATGGTCGTGGTGTCGGTCCTGAGAAGGACCACATCTACCTCCAGCTCTCTCACCTCCCGCCAGAGGTCCTCCACGAGCGTCTCCCCGGAATTTCAGAGACCGCCGCCATCTTTGCCGGTGTCGACGTGACCAAGGAGCCCATCCCCGTTCTCCCTACCGTCCACTACAAGTAAGTCCTCCGCTCCGATCCGTTGGATAGTGCTGATCAAGTAGCATGGGCGGTATCCCCACCAAGTACACTGGTGAAGTCATTACGGTCGACAAGCAGGGCAAGGACCAGGTCGTGCCCGGTCTCTACGCCGCCGGTGAGGCCGCCTGTGTCTCGGTCCACGGCGCCAACCGTCTCGGTGCCAACTCGCTCCTCGACATTGTCGTCTTCGGCCGTGCGTGCGCCAACCACATCAAGGAGAACCTTACCCCCGGAAAGCCACACAAGCCGATGAAGGACGATTTGGGCAAGGAGTCAATCGCGGAGCTCGACAAGATCAGGAACTCGAGTGGACCGCTCGCGACTTCCAAGATCAGGCTGGATATGCAGAAGGTCATGCAGACGGATGCTGCTGTGTTCAGGTGAGTTCGGGAACAGAGATGGGAATGAGATTGGTAGCTGATTGATGTAGAACACAGGATTCGCTCGACAATGGTGTCAAGCGGATGAGCCAGGTGTACGACTCGTACAACCAGGTCGGTATCAAGGACAGGAGCATGATCTGGAACTCGTAAGTTCAGCTGGCGGATGCGTCGTGCAGCGATACTCCGATAACAAGCTGACACTGTTTAGTGACCTGATTGAAACCCTTGAACTTCGAAACATTATGCAGAACGCCGTCCAGACTGTTGTTTCCGCAGCAGCACGGAAGGAGTCTCGTGGTGCCCACGCCCGTGAGGACTATCCGGACCGTGATGAGTGAGCTCGACCCTTTGCGATATCGTCGGGAATGGCATAGCTGACAATTCTAGTGACAAGTGGATGAAGCACACCCTCTCCTTCCAGCACGATATCGAATCGCCCAAGGTCGACCTGCAGTACCGTGAGGTCATTGCGACGACATTGGACGAGGCGGAGTGCAAGGCCGTGCCCCCGTTCAAGCGGACGTACTAGGCGGGAAGGACGACGCGGACAGGAAATGCAAGATTTCAAGTCTGTGATTTGCGACCACTATGAGTATGTAGGGCTTGAGATGTAGCTTTGTTGTCGTGCTGTCTCGTCTCTTGACCCAAAAGCTGTACCGGTGTCATCGCTGCTGATGTTCTTTCGCATCTGTGGAGAGCATGTGGTTCCCTTTCATAGCCCTAGCAATGGCCACCCCCACCCCCTTACCGGTTGCGCGGATGCACAGATGGAGTTGAGAGTGACCTGCTTCAGCTTCATCACCACCAAGAAGAGCTCGTTCTCCTAGCACAAATCGCAAGGGGACAAGGGGACAGACAGGTGGACAGGCACCGAATCCATCCGAAAACAGCCATCGGGATCTCGTTCCGACAGCCGATCTTATCTTGCCCAAATCTGGTCCACCTGTCCCCTTGCTTATCTCTCTACAGCTTCAAAAAGATTGGTCACGCTCTCCTTATCTATCAGCAGGCCATCGGGAAGCGCTGCCGACCACGTCGATGTGATCCCTTCTCGCTTCGGAATCCCGCTGCAGGCAGGTTGTTCCGGCCCGAGTAGGCGAGTCGGAGAGGTACTTATAGCTCTGCCCCGCCAACTGCTCTCCCTCCTCCATCTGTATCCTCATCTACACTCACCGGTCACCATCAATCTACCAAGCACCTAACTTATCTACCTCCTCTCAAGATGGTTCAAGCAGACCAATACACTGGCGGCGAGACAGGCACTTGGTCTGTCGACGAGCTCACCCACTCCCTTCCGCGTGATTTCCGTACGTACCCCTTGCCCTTCTCCGCTGGCTTATCTGCGACAGCAGCTGATGACATGCAGTTGGCTACGGCCGGGATGTCCCCGAGTTCAAGCTTCCTGGCGGTAAGAAGCTCGCCGTGAATTTGTGAGTGGTCTCATCTAGCCTCCTGCTAGTTCGACAGGCAAGAGAGCTCACAAGTCAGCGTCATCAACTACGAGGAAGGCGGAGAGCACTCGCTTGCTCATGGCGACTCGGAGGGAGAGGCTATGCTGCAGGAGATCGGGACCGGCAAGACTCCATACGTCGGACAGAGAGATACCCGTGAGTCCTTCATTTGGCTCGCGCTAGCGCCCTCAACTCCCCGGAGACACGAGCTGACAGGTCAGCTATGGAGACCTCATTCGAGTACGGGTCCCGGGTAGGCATCTGGCGCCTGCTCAACCTCTTCGAAAAGCACTCGATGAAGGTCACCATGTACGCCGTCGGTCTCGCCCTCGAGCAGAACTTGGTCGCTACCAAGGCGATGCTTACTGGTGGCCACGAGATTGCCAGCCACTGCTGGAGGTGGTTCAACTTGCAAGTCTCGAATCTCCACTATCCCTAAAGCTCCTCATCACTCCCCTCTTCACACGCGTCCGCCTCATGCTGGAACCCGGCTGACATACCAGCGAGAAGATGTCCGCCGGCGAGGAAGAGTGGCACATCCGCAAAGGTATCGACTCGTACATCGCCACCACCGGCAAGGCTCCCGTCGGATGGTATTACGGTCGTCCCTCTCCTCGGTCCCGTGCTCTCATCGCCAAGATCTATGAGGAGAAGGGGCTCGAGCTCCTCTACGTCTCGGACGACTACTCGGACGATCTGCCCCACTGGAGGCCGTCGCCCGCTAACGGCAAGGGATTGCTTCACGTCCCGTACTCATATGTGAGTAGCATCTTCCCTTCTATTCTCTCTCAACCTTTCTTGCCCTTCACAATAATACTTCTGGCTTTGGGTCATCCCCTCTCTCCCTCTTCCCCCACGCAAGATGGGGTGCCACACTCGTCATAATTACCCCTTTGGGTGATTTGTGGGTTTACGGCATACCTTGAAGTCGTCCGTGGCAGTGTGGCACCTTTACCTGCAGCGTCTCCTCCTCTCCTTCCTCTTCCCTGCACCTCCGATACGTCGACTTTCTTACAGTATGAAGGATTTTTAACGTTCGCAGGCCAACAATGATTTCAAGTTCTTCATGTGAGTCGCTTTCTGCATGCATGTAGCTCGAAAAATGAGCGAAAACGAGCCAAAACTGACCCCTACAGCGCTCCTGGATTCGGCAGCACCAAGGCGTACGAGGAGCACATCATGGGTGCGGTCGAGACGCTCCTTGACGAGGGCAAGGACGGAAAGCCCAAGATGATGACTATCGGTACATTATTGTCCTATGTGAAGCATGGCTGACAGTGTAGCCCTCCACGCCCGCCTGATCGGCCAGCCCGGTCGATTCCAAGCCATCAAGCACATTGTCGAGTCTCTGTCCCAGAACCCCGACGTATGGGTCGCTACCCGCGAAGAGATTGCGAGACAGTGGGCGGGCCAGTACCCCGACCCCTACGCGGGCAAGACGAACGGTACCAAGTAAAGAGCGCAGAGGGAGTTGTAACTAGATCTAGATAGGGATGCATTTGGGTATTTGAGCTTTACTTTTGGCTGTACTGTCCTTTTGTCTTTCGGATGGGTACTGGTCAAGATGCGATGTTGACGATACCAGAACTGTTCATTCCTTTTGCGACGCCTTCATTTCGCGGATATGTTCGTTGACGTGCCCGCGTTCTTCCAGCTCGGAGAGAGAGAGGTATTTGGCGCCACGTATAGATTTGAGGCAGTTCTGTAACATCAGCAAACATTCTACTGAGATGCATACACTCCGAGCCCGTGCATACCGTCTGCCCTCTCCACGCCTAGTTCCGCATAGACAGGTCAATAGCTGTGTCCTCCCCTTGCGCAAACTCCCTTGGACCTCGTCCGAGATGCACCGTGAAAGGGGACGACTGCCTGGGTATTTCCCGATATCCCCGTTGAATCCCCGTTGAGACGCTCGAAGATGCGGGCAGAAGCCCAGCCAAACTCACGGTCGCCCCACAGTTACAGTCGAAGCCCTGAGCCATATCCCACTCCGTACTTGGGTAAAAGAAGGTCATGTCCTGTCCCCGCTGAATTCCTTGTGGCCCAGCTTTGACCCGCCATTCCGAGCTTCGGTTGGGAGGGAGGGCGACGTATACAGATGGGGCGCAAGAGTGGTTCACTGCCAGGGTCAGCTGCCGTTACTTTTCGGCCTGGCGGGTCCGCGTGCGATGGCTGCAGAGTTGGGCTCACTGAATAGCAGATCCGAGTTGAGCTCAAAGTGGTCGTTCGGACCTACACCGTGCTGGACGCTAGAGTACGCCTTGACTGGCGCTCTGGAGAGGTTCGTCAATTTGGTGATGTCCGAATTCGGCGGAAAGTCCTGCTGTATCAGCATTGTGAGCTGCACTGCTCTTCGAGAACTAGCCCACCTCCAGCGCCACCAGCTTGCTCGAGAACGACTCCTCGTCGCCGCCCTCGTTCTGCTCAAAGACCACCTTGAACAGCTCGGAGTGGGTCGGCTTGTACAGCTTTCCACCCTTGGTGTTCGCCGACGTCGGCTTTGTCCATGCCACAGGTGGCTCGGCGGGAAGTGAAACGAGTTCCTTGGTCATCTTGCGGGAGCTAGGCTGTTTGTTGTTGCTGATAGTCGATGGTAAGGTGATGTCAAGATGATGAAGAGGTTGCATGCAAGATATACCTGGCCATGGACCGGACCGGATGCGGCATAACCGAAACCCGGAGCCAATCACCGCCTCAGTCTGCCATGACCCTCGGATGATGAGCAATATGGACTGAGACTGGTCTCGAGCGACTTTTGGATACGCACAGCTCGTCTTGAGTGGCCTCCACGGCGTCGGGGTGAGTGACGAGTCCGACGCGATGCCCATGTCAGAAGTCAGCATCCCCCACGTGAGCACGTTGCAGCCCCACTTTGGTGCGAAGCCGCCGAGTCGTTCATCTCCGAAATGACGAGAGCGAGCGATGGATCGCACCGCGAGGTATCTACCGAGCGCTAATGGGGATGGTCGAAGTTTTTCAAGTGCACTGATCACACTAGCGAGCTCAATCTCCGCCCCCTGAGGTCGGTCAAGCCAAAGGAACCCCTCCTCTGTGCCTGAGACGTGTGTGTCTTCCTGAAGATCTCGGACCCGATCATCACGGCTCCCTGGAGTCGACACCTGATCGCAACCCACTAAGCGGCCGACTGGCTTCGACACCAATCATATCTGCCCATCTCCTTGCTCCCGGCCAACATGCAGGTGCCCGACTCGACTTTACACTACCGCCGGTCCCCCTCCCCTATTCCCATCCCCCTCTCGCCCCCACCCGCGATCCGCCTACCCCTATCGCCCGATGGCCCCTCAGACAACCCCGTACCTGTACCATGGCGGCAGCTCGCCCCTCTCCTCTTCTTTTCGGTATCGGACGCGATGACCTACGCGGTCATATTCCCTATCATCAGCGATATGGTGACCTCTTTCGGCGTCCCACCAGATAAGATCGGGCTATACGCGGGAATAGGCGAGGGAGTGATGATGCTGGTCGAAGCCATAGCAGCGCCAACATGGGCGAGGCTGGCGGACAAGTACGGGCGGCGACCCGCTCTGATAGCTGGGTTCTCTGTCTGCATGTTCGTCTGCCCCTTGGTTGGATTCAGTGGGGCGGTTTGGCATGTGGTACTATGGAGAGCATGCCGTAGGTCACCAGTCTAGATACGGATCAATAGCTGATGGACAGTCGGCCTGAACTCTGGAGGAGTCGTCACCAAGCTCATCGCGACCGAGCTATCCCACACCTCCAATCGCGCCCAGATCTTCTCCATCCTCTCACCGTCCTTCTCCATCGGCATGCTCTTTGGCACCTTCCTCGGCGGCGAGCTGGCACATCCGTACGGCCGCCTCCCGTCCTGGCTTGGCGGTGCAAGCGAGTTCTGGCGGCGGCATCCATTTGCGCTCCCCTGCATCCTCGTCGGCGTGATAGACGCCATCGCCGTTGTCGTCGGCCTGCTCTTCCTCGTCGAGACCAAGCGCGCATCCCAATCCGGTTCAGGCTCCGAGAAGCACCAACCCAAAAGCCAATTCTCGGCGGCCCTCAAAGTACCCGGCTTTGTACTCATGACGGTCGTCTTCCTCCTGTTCCAGGTCTCTACCTTTTCATGGGATGGGATGTACACCGTCTTTACGTATACCCAGCCAGCACAGGGTGGGCTGGGTCTACCGGTAGATACGATCGGCCTCCTCTATTCCGCAAACTACCTCTTCTCATTCGCCATGAACCCGATCTTCCTCCCAAAGATGCAGAAGCGCTTCGGGTCGACACTGGCGCTGGGCATTGTATTGGCGATGTGGCCGACGCTGGCGCTGCTCATCCCCATAACACAATGGACGGCGGTACATGCCAGGTGGGCAATGTGGGGAGTCCTGCTTGTGCAGTTGATCATGCGTGCGGTGGGGGCATTCGGATGGGCGTATGTCATGTCTATGTCGTTCATGAGGTGTTGAAACTGACTCTCAGGATGTGCGATATCCTCACCATGACTCTGTTTGACGATTACCCAGATCTCATGGCGACCGCCAGCGCCATCAGTATCATCAGCGGGGTAAGCTATCCCTGATACCCATGTCAAGCTCTGCTGACCACATCAGGCTGGCGGAAGAGCTATCGGTCCGGCAGTGTCCGGTTGGCTATTCTCCATCTCAACCCAGTACCCAGCGGGCAGCCTCCTCCGCCAAATTTCATGGATGTACATGGTCGCAGTGACAATACCGGCGGTGCTGCTCGTCCGCTTCATTCCGAGGGACGGGTCGAGACCGAGCAAGGAGGAATACGAGGCGGTACCGATGCTAGAAGCAAGTGAGCGGGAGGCAAATGATGGGCCAAAGCGAGCTCGGACGAGTGCCATGGAGGTGTAGGTAAATAGAAATGTAGCATTAGTGTTTATAGTCAGTAGATTAGCGGGGCATCTCAGGGCAACCCTTTTAACAATGCAATTCTCCGTTTCCCAAGATCCATACTCTTCCTTTCCCTCTTTGTTTAACCCGCCTTCTCTCATTGCTCCTTTCCATCATCGTCAATTCCTCTTCGCGTCCTGTGCCCCAGCAATCAACTGCGCACCCGCCGTTTCCCATAAATCTCCCGCCTAGAAATTGAACGGCAGATTCGGATCCGCGCCCCAATCCTGCCCTGCCGCAGCGATCTGACTCCAAAACTCGCTTGTTCCCAGATCCGTCAACACCCCAAACTCATTCCCCTGCTGTCCCTGTCCCATCGTATACCCTGTCCCCGTCCCCGTCCCGACCTGCGGACTGCTCTGCACCCACCCGCTGTTCCCATCCGCGAGGTTCGGGGTAGACGGCACAGTCTGCCCTTGACCCGCCACGGCGCCAATTGTAGGTCCCGCATCGCTCAGTAATGACATTTGCGGTTGTTGTGATGGACCCGCGCTAGGCATGGGATTACTGGTGAAGGAGGTATCGGGGATGACGGTCTGCCAGAGCGAGGCAAAGTCATTGTTGAACCCCTGGAGCATTTCCAGCCCATCAAAGTCGACGCCCCCAACGTCGAAGGTGTAGTTGACGGGCTGTAAGAAGTCGGTAGGTGAGATAGTGGTATAGCCCGACTGAGACTGGGGTTGATGAGGGTACGAGATACCGGCCGATCCAGGTCGGTTCTGGTAGGACCGTGACCGCTCGGGAAGAGCCGTACGTGTGTCCGAGGTTTCGTATGCGTGAGCGCTGCCCGGCCGAGCTGACATGGGCGAGCGCTGCGCTTGCAGCGCACCCCAGGGTGCCGAGGCTGAGGTGATGGGTGGGCTCCCATATCCCGTAGATGAGAAATACCGCTTGTCCCCGGCCGGATGAAGCGAAGGCCTTTTGGAGCTGCTCCCTCCCTCGGGATGAGAAGACTTGCGCCGTTTCTTGCTCGATCGATCCATCCCCGATTTCACCACCTCCTTGCCCCTCCGCTCCGCCTCATCCAGCAGCTCCTTTAACTTCTTCGCACCTGGCCAGACTGGCTCGAGCGCCTTCAGCGAGCGGCGGCATGAGTCCACCTGAGGCCCGACCGCGTCCACCACGACCTGATCCTTCGCCTGCACCTCGCACAGAAGCAGCATGACCGCTGCGGACCAGAGATACTGGCAAAACACCGCGAGATGATGTGAGGGAGGCAAGAGCACCCTCGATTGCGCCGCGATATGGATGACCGACCGAGCCGCTGCAACGCAGTGCGAAAGACTGGTGGAAGAGGGGAGTGGCCGAGGTCGACCCGAGTCCAGACTGGGCGGTAGGAAGTTCCGGTGCAGCGTGATGAGGCACGCAAAGTACGTGTTGCTCAGGGCGGCGGAGACAAGCTGGATCGCGCTGTCCTGCGACTGGTCCTTGTACTTTGGCGAGACCTCGTGCGCAAGCCAGTCCCGCAGAGCCTTGTCGAGCTTGTCAATGGACGTCTGTTGGGCCGACAGAAATCCCGGGTCATCCGCCGACCGACCCTGCGATGGGCGGTATAGGATGTGGCTGATCTTGCCCGAGATCTTGCACAGCTTGGTGAGGGCGACGAAGCCGGACATGGTAGATGGCTGAGATTCGGCGGGTACGGGCGAGTGACCGGCGCTGCTCTCGCCGGAAGCGGAGAGGGAGAGGAGGGTATCGTCATCGAGCTCGGCGGGGTAGGGGACGTCAATGTCGAGATCATCGACGCCGGGCGGCCGGCCGAGGGTGAGCGATACCATCCGATCCAGACCGTATGCGCTCCACCAGCACCGGGAGCGGACTTGCTTGTCGGCAAAAGAGAGCTTGAGGCGGGCTGCAGAGCGCTGATGATCAGCCCGGTCTATTCCGTATCAGTTGATATGACTCACGTGCAGACCCAGATCTTGCGCCATGCGCAGCGCAATCCCACACAACAACCACGACATCGGCATAGCGTTCACGCTTGCCTGGAACGCAGCCATGAGAATGAGCGCTTGGATCTGGTTCAGACTGATGTCGGTGATACTTGTGTACCGTAGGATCTGGGATCTGTAGATGTAAGCTTGAAGCACCTCATCCCGCTGCTTCGTGGAGCTAGCTTACCTTTCATACCAGATGACCCCGGCTTCTGCTTCCCCTGGCAAGACCGTCTCCTCGTCAGATTCCCGCTTCGCCTCGTCTCCAGGCGAGGCCTTCTGTTTCTGTTTCTCCCTCTTCCAGGCTCGCGAGGTCACGATGACCCGCTCGCCTAGAGCAAAGATGGCGAACACCATAGAGACGAACTAACTCGTCAGCTTCATCCTCACTCCGGTAAGGAAAACTCACCATGCCCGACTTCTCCAGAACGCCCGCACTTCTCCGCTGCATGAGAGCCGCATATGCCTCCCTGAACTCCCGCTCAATCATAATCGGCAAAATAGGGTGTATCTCCCTAAAGTACGCGTCGATCATCTCCTCCGCTGCTCTCGCCTCGGGATACACCACTTCATCCACCGTGGGCAAGACATTGATAACCCCGGACCCCGCCACAGGAGCGAAATATGGGTTATCCCCCGACGTTGGTTGTCGGCCGGGAAGAGGTTCCGGGCGTTGGTGTGGCGAAGTAGGGTTGAAGGAATCGAGGAGGGAGAGGGTGTTCGACGCGCCGATCCACCGATAATTGCCCCGCTCGTCCTGCGTCATTTGGCCGTTATTGTGCTCGTGGTCAAACTCGTCCCCGTCCGCGTCGGGATCGTCATCCCCGTCGTCGGCTTGAGCTGGATGGTACCCCGTAGGCTCCTGATGGGGATACCCATACCGCTCCCCAGCCCCCTCCCCATTCTGCATGACCTTCAGTTCCATCCCTTCTCCCCTCTCAAATGCGTCAAGCATAGGCAGCAGCCTCGCATTGACCACCTCGAGCGCCTGTACCCTACTCTCCAGATTCTGCACGTACTGCCGGGAATACGCCGCTCGGTCTCTTGTCGGCGGGTATGTGCACTCAAGGCTCGCCTGAGTACACTGTTGGCATGGTCCGGGTGGACCATTGGCATCTCCCCCCTTCGAGGGGGCAGAGGGACCCGGAAGGCATTTGATCTTCTTGAGCCGGCACGACTTGCACGCGGCGTACGCCCGGACCTTGGTCAAGTCGGGCGGGCCGTCGAAACCTGGTGGAGATGATTCGATAGCAGCGTGTGTGGGAGCGGATTGGGAGGCGCGCTTCTTCTTGGGAGCAGCGGGCAGTTGGAGGACGGAAGGACCGGGTAGGGAGCCGGAGCTGAAGGGTGCACCGCGGCGGGGGTCAAAAGTCCGAGGATCCATGATGTTGTTGCTGACACGATTCAAGATATAGTGACCGCAGTGCTGAGCGTTGACGCGTTCGTCCGACAGAGTCGCTCGCCAGAAGCTGAGATCGCGATGAGATGGTGAGATGATGATGGCGAAAGGATGATCCACGGCGCAGATAGAGCTTAGCTTGTTCTTCTTTGACGCACCACATTCCGTGACGTAAGGCGGTGGTCTGGCCCGCGTGGGGCACCTTTCGGCAAGTTCCCCCGTCAAACCTGACCGGGCTGACCTCAATAGGGTATGCTCTTATGCTCGCCTACATGGCCGCCTGATCAGACATCCATGTAGCGATAGTCTCCCAATACAAGCATTTGCTGTAGCTGCTGAGAGCGCAAGGGGGTACCAACTGGGGTTCTCACATCTAATAGCGAATGTCTTCCTTTCTCGGAGCTGCACGTGGTGGCACTGGGTCGGGGCTACAGAGTAGGCCAGTCTCTGCTCCCCTTGCGATCACTGGGAGAAAGGCTGGCCAAGAGGTCTTCATTATAGCTGAAGACCTATGTCGACTGATGACTCGATGTCTCTTCCCCTGCGGCCTCAACTCACTCCACCCACGCTCCATGCTTCTTATGCCACTCCTCAATCCCCTCGCCCGGCCCATATCCGTCATACGCCTTCGCCCCTTCTGGTATCGGCACAGACTTGGCACAAGAGTCCCTCTTGATGGCCAGCATCGTCGTCCCCTCCGGCAGCGCAGGGAGCGGGCCGGGCTTGTCGATGCTCGCGGCGAAAGGATAGATCCAGTGGGCCCACTCCTCGTCGTGTAGCCATAGCATGGATGAGCAGTCGGCGCAGAAGCTCCGCTTGGAGTTGACCCGCTTGGTGGGCTTGTCGTCTGCGTCGAACTCGAGTACAGCGATGTACTCCCTGCGCGGTCAGCATATTCTCGGATACGATAGTCTGAGCCGAGCCTGGCTGGAGACATACTTGATCTTCTCTTTTCCTCGGACTATCTTGAGCGTATCGGTGTTGCCCATGATATTGACACTCCCCATGTACCCGCCGGGCTTGCGGCAGATGGAGCAGTAGCAGAGCTGGTATGGGACCGGAGTGTTGGATTCGACGGTGTACTTGACTGCCTTGCAATGGCATGAGCTTCAGAATCAGCAATCTTGCTCTTCGCTTTGGGGACAGTGATCCGGCTACGTACCCTTCCAATAGGACTGGCATGTTTCTCGAAGGTTTGACGGGTGAGAGATGCAGTCAGATGGCTGTTCAGTGCGCATCAGTGCAGGGTTACAACCAGATCCACCCGATGACGCAACTCGGAGGTGACCGGTGACCGCCTGGCCTCAGCACAAGGGATGTCAGAAGCAATTACTGCTCTGGTGTCCACTCAGCGATTCCCAGGCTCCATCACGCTGCCGAAGAGTATAATACATCGCCTGAGAAAGATGACAAAAGAAACCTAGTAACCGCCCCGACCCCTACTTGAGAATCCCCCCCGCCCGCCCCGGTCACCACCTCCTCCGCCCCTCGAGAACCCTCTTCCTCCGCGGTCCCCACCGAATCCGCCCCTCGATCCGCCCCTGCCTCCTCGGTCACCACCGAATCCACCCCGACCTCCTCCACCGCGAGGTGCGCCTCTGCCTCGGGGTGCTCCGCGGCCGCGCATACCCCCTCGTCCGCCCGCACCCGCTGCGCCAGCGCTGCTTTTCTTCTCTGTGCGATATCAGCTAACGGACCACTCAGCGGGTTCCAGATAGCTGGTAGTGCCAGAAGTTGCAGCCGGCAGACTCACTCTTTCCATCCTGCCCGGGTACTTTTGGCTTGGGCAAGAACCGCTCAATTGGCAACAGCTTGTCCCCTCCAATGAACACCTTATCCTCCTTCTTGAAGCTGCTAGCCAGCATACCCTGCTCCATCTTGACAGTGAAGAAGACCTCGTTGATGGGACCCAATATTTCATCGACCTTGCCGATTTGTGTCTTGTTCGACAGGTAGATAGGGGCGTTGAAATAGGGGACTTTGGTGGGCATGGTAAGGGAGCAGAGCATCTCTGATTCGACAGGGTGGATGAAGGATCCTACTTCTGCATAGCTTCAGCTGAGGCCCCTGTGCTCTGACCGGGAGGTAGGGTACCGTTAGCTGAACAAACGTACCGAGCACAGTATCAGGCGGTCCGAAGTCCCTCTGGCCGTAACCCCCACGTCCACCACCTCTCCCTCCTCCTCCGCCCCTGAAACCTCCTCCGCCGCGTCCTCTGTCACCGCCGCCTCTTGAGAATCCTCCGCGTCCGCTCATTGTCGATGCTGTAGGTGTGGATAGTAGTGGAAGGTGTGAGTATAGCTGCAAGTGATGGTAAGGGGTTGCTGAGCGGGGGTGCAGGTGAGGTAAATTCTCGGAGAAGTATTTTACTGATTTCCGGCACGGGAATTAGCGGCGTTATCGCTTTCTACTGCCAATTCGCGCTCGTGCCTCCACCCGCCAAGTCCAACCGTCTCTTGCAACGTACATCTATCATGCTTGCTTGATCACTCTCTTTACTATCCTCTCGGCCTGCATTAGAAGCACACAGGCACGCTGAATTACGTCCAGCAGCATGGCGTCTTTCAAACAGGCTCCATTGGCTTCGGCGGGCCAGTATAAGGCTGCCAAGGAAGCGTTTCACGCCAACAACGTGGGGTCGTCTATCATGAACATCAATGTGCTTAGTCTCACTGCGTTGGTAAGCTAAGATGACGCATATTCCGCAAGACTCGAAAGCTCACGAGTAGACCGCCTACGCTATCTACGCCGCAACAACAGGCAAGCGCCGTTCATCCCCCATCTTCGACTCCGCCACGACCGTCCTCCCGCTTCTTCTGGGCGTCACCCTGTTCGCTACTCAGCCATCCACCTTCAACGCGGTTCTGATCTGTATCTTTGGATTACTGTTCAATCCTACTCAGCGGGCACTCCAAGAAAAGCGGTACGCCGCGGGTTTTACTCGGCCGTCGACCGACCCAGCCAAGTCCAAGGGCAAATGGCTGGAGGAATCGGACTCGGACGAGGAACCTTCTCAACCCGCTACGACCTCCGTTCCTGCTTCCCGCACGGGGGTCACGCTTCCTTCCGAGGTGATATCGGCCAGCTCGACCGCTACTTCGCCGGATCTTTCAGTGGAAGGCTCGCCCGACCGCAAGGGGTCCTCGCGCAGAAGACGGCGCTCTGCGTCGCCTGCGGTGGACGGACATACCGCCATAGACGTCATGGAGACGCCGGAGATGTTGGCGAATGGAACGATGCTGCGCCAACAACAGGCGTACCCGTCTCCGTTGCAACGGAAGGGCGAGAAGACGTCTACCGGCAGCTCGGGCAGACTGCCCTTTCTCTCGGTCTATCGAGCGCACATGATGATCATGACGATACATTGCATCCTCGCAGTGGATTTCCCGATCTTTCCTCGCTGGCTGGGCAAGTGCGAAGACTTTGGGACTAGTCTTGTGAGTCACGACGCCCATCAACTGCCCATGTCCGACCAAGAATTCCCCCATCCCTTCAATCCCCTCCATCCCCGCAGACCGTACATCGCCGCCATCCGCATACTCATCTCCTCCTGACTCGTTTGGTCTATATCGCCACCGCCACTCGACACCTTCGTAAAGGGCATCGAGCTGACTTTACAGATGGACGTCGGGGTCGGGTCTTTTGTCTTTTCTCTGGGCATCATCTCAACTCGGAACTATACGTCTGAACGTCAATCCGGAAACTCGATTCTGCGCAGCGCGAGGAAAGCTCTTCCGATCTTAGCGCTGGGTATGGTGCGTGTAATCATGGTCAAGGGGGTGGAATATCCCGTACGTTCAGCTTCATATACCGCTCAGATTGCGTCAGAGGGCACAAGTAAGCTGATGGTTGTAGGAGCACGTGTCGGAGTACGGAGTGCACTGGAACTTCTTCTTCACACTGGCCATTCTGCCATTCATGGGCGCGCTGCTGTGGCCATTACGTCGACGGGGCCTGGACTGGACGATTCTCGGAGCTCTCATCACAGCTTGTAAGCTACCTCGCCGCGAAGGACGAGCAACGCGAGCAGCTCACACTTACAGGGCATCAATTCTTCCTCTCCTTCAGCCCTCTCCAAGCCTACGTCCTGTCCCCGATCCGACAAGGCCTCCTCGGCGCCAACAAAGAAGGCCTCGCATCCTTACCCGGCTATCTCGCTATATACCTGCTCGGCTTGGCTACAGGTCAGCACATACTCCGAGCGACTGCTCTCGGTCGACTGGAGAAGGTTTCGGGCAAGTCGTCGGCGGAGCAGGCGGAAGAGAGGTACAGGAAGAGGAGGACAGAGCTGGCGTTGGAGCTATTTGGGTACGCGGTGGCGTGGTGGGCTATGTTGGCGGTATGTCGAGTTGGGGGAATGGGTGTGTCACGAAGACTGGTGAGCTCCCTATCATTTTGAAGGGTCGTCCCCTTCTGATGTGAAGCTCACAATCCAGGCGAATCTTCCCTACGTGCTCTGGGTCGCCGCCTTCAACTCTACCTTCCTCCTCGGCTATCTCATCATCGAAACGCTGGTCGTCCCACCTCATCCCGTCTCTCCCCCATGTCCCCCTCTTCTCGAAGCCATCAACAAGAACAGTCTTCCACTCTTCCTAGCGGCAAATCTCCTCACTGGCGTAGTCAACATCTCGATGCGGACAATGTATGCCAAGTGGTATACATCTCTAGGCGTTCTGGTGGCGTACTCAGGGTGCTTATGCGGTCTGGCGTGGATGTGGCGGAGATGGCGGCTGAGGATATGAGTCGCACCATGCGGTATGAATGAAGTCAATGCTGCCAGTTCAGGTCTAATACTTATCTCGAAGGAGTCGTGTTCCGAGACCGAGTACAGCGGCAGCCACAACAGAGTCAAGACAATGCAGACACTATCATCGGCTATCTAACGTGTATGAGCCGGCCAAATTATACTAATCAATACCAAACTACAAGACAAAGGAGCTGAGCACCTCGTGCACCATGTCCGATCCCATGGACAGCTCTTGCCGACTACCCCTTGGCATGATCATCCGCCTCCTCAGCCTCCCCAGTCTCCCCATCCTCCGCCTCCTCGTCGTACTCCTCGTTGTCATCGTGCTCATCATCGGCGTCTGACCCCTGGTCAGACCCGAACGAGTCGCTGGACTTGTCGGAGCTCTTGGACGGGTCATGCGCCTCCTCGTTTCCCGCCTCCTCCTCCGCCTCCGGAGCGACGTGTGACGCCTCACTGAAAGTGAGGACTTCCACCTTGCCTGTGCCCAGACAGGCTCCGCAGTCCTCCTTGACCTTGTCGCCGATCTTGCTCGACCCAGCCACCGCCTCGCCACTCGCCTCCTTGACCGACTCCCTTTTCTTTCCAGCCCTTGCAGCAGCCAGAGCCGGCCTTACAGTAGACTCGGAGCTCTGGCTATCCATCTCCACGTCCTCTCCATTGTAGGAGGAAGATGATCCAGATTTCATCTCGATATCGGGCTGGTTCGACCCCATACCAGCGAAGATGACAGGCGGGACGTCGGCTCCATCTAACCCCTGGCTCCGAGTGAAGTATCGACGAGGGCGAACGAGCGCAGCCTGGAACCCGCTGAGTGGCAGGGCAGCGGGGATGGTGGTGGGTGTACCTGGAGCTGGCCAGCGGGCGAGGTACTCGTCGATCTTGTGGCCGAGGAGTGGGTTGGCGGCCGTCATGAGCGATATGTGATACGAATCGACGGGGAAGCCACTGGGAGGTGCACCGAGCTTCAGACTTTTGAAGCCCATAGCCTGCACCTCGGACCGCCATACGAGGCGAATCAGATCTTCCCAGCAGAGGGTGTGGAAGGGGATGGGAGCCAGGAAGTCGAGCGGGATCTCATAGACCGCCCAAATTGCACGACGATCCGCGAGGAGTGGAAGATCGAACGGCGGGGTGATGACCAGGATGCCCCGCTGCTATACGCCAGTCAGCTCGATCCTCAATTGTGAAACACAGATGAGGCCGGTGTCGCTTTGAGGAATGAATACTTACACGTAAAGCCTGCCTCAACTTATCCACCAACACCTCGGTCCCCCCTCCGATCTCATTATCTACGTACACGGCAAGATTGGAGTACTTGTGTAGAGCCCGCGCAGCCTCGTCGATGAGATAGGGGAAGAATGAAACAAGCCCAGTGTTGCTCCCAGTGGCTCGTCTTCCCTGGCCCTTCTCACCAGAACCGCCTTTCGGCTTCTTGGCCTCCTTGGCAGGCAATGCGGACTTCTCGGCCTTGGCCTTGGGCATTGTGGTGTGGGAGCAGGATGAGGAGAAGAAGTAGGAATGTAATGTGGCTGTGTGAGGGAAGAGATACGAGGCGGATCAATCTCCGTTGGTGTATGTGAAAGACGGGGTCTGTTCTGTCAGCGTTCACAGTCCAAAGGTGCGCGCATCACGGTGTTACAAGCTCACTGGATGGACAGTATCTAGGCTCCTTTATAAGGCGCACAGAATACGGCGTGTGTGGATGGTTGTGGCTGTTAAGGAGGCTAGAGGTGGTGGGCAGAGGGTGCTGCTGTGGATTTGGTTTGAGTGGGTAGAAGGGGAATGAGGTAACAGATGCATAGGATCGTGCTTTCCGCCCTTGATTTATACCCATCAAGCTGCTGCTCGCCACCTTTTCGTTCCCGCTGTTGACATAGATACTTTCGACTCGACTTCCGCTAGTGGACCGCTGGACAGCGGAATCTAACAACTGAAACATGTTAGGAATGAGGCGGGCAAATCGTTCAGCCAATCACAGGCTGCCAGCACGACACCGGATCTTGGTCATCAGACATCATACGCGTCATACTCCGTCGTACAGACACCGAGGCCGCTAAGACACATCGTCATGCGGTGCACCGGTACCAGCCGCACAGGCTAAGCCGGAGATCCACGTGTCAGAGCAAAAGGCCTGATGACGATGGCACGGCTGGTCCCGCTTGCCTGGCTGGCAATCGCCTCAATGCCAAGTTCCGAATTCGCCGATAGTCGCAGAGGAGGGACGGAGGGCTGCAGAAGATGATGGAAGTGTCATGACAGACATAGGATTCGGTGCAGGGGTTTTCAAAAGCCAAGATTCTATGAATCCGAACCGTAATTCATCCCGTAGCCGTTATCCGGACAAGCCTAATGGCCAACATCTCTGCCCAGTGTTGGTGTAAGTAGTGTGAGCTCCACGCCTTTCTATTGCTTGACTCGACGACAAATACGACAACTCCGACTAGTACGACGATTACGACATGTACGACCGACAACGGATAATAGGGGACGACCGACAAATGAATATATGCATCATACGGAAATCCGACCGGACTGAAAGATGCACGACAGAACGCGAGGACGTGGGTGGCCGGACGACAAGTCAATCCCAGGGGCGTGTTGATTATCCTATGTCCTCCATTCATCAGAAGATGGGTGGAGATCTCCTTTTGCCTCCTGCTGCCTCCTGCTGCCTCCTGTTGCCAGACGATGAGACTTGTTTCCACGTGCTAACAAATGTACTGCCTCAAATGATAATTCCGCTTTCGCCGATGTACGCACATGGGGGTATTATTGCCTTCAGCCGGAGAGAGCTACTCGTATCATGCATAGGATTCGGTCGGGGGATTTGAAAAGCCAAGATTCTTTGAATCCGAACAATAATTGGTCCCTACTTCCGCTATCCGGACAAGCCTAATGGCCAACATCTCTGCCCAGTGTTGGTGTAAGTAGTGTGAGCTCCACGCCTTTCTATTGCTCGACTCGATTACCACCGACTATGCATACGGCCGATTGTACCAACGACCTACGAATGACGCGAGGACGTGGGCGGACGAACGACAAGTTGATCCCAGGGGCGTGTAGAATATCCTATGTCGCCTGCCCGTCAGGAGACGGGCGGAGCAAACAATTTTTTGGTCATTCAACGCCGGAACATGCCCAGGGGTAAGTGTGTCAACATGTCTCACCTTACGCAAAAGTACATGACGGTCAGAAGTGGAGGCGCTGCAGCGTGATCATCTTTCACAGCACTTATGGCTGCCATCCTACACATATCGCATGCACCCTATATGCGCACATCAGCATTGGTGAGTGTGGCAGAGATCCGAGCGGCGTGGCGCCACTTTCGCGTCGGTCCGCCACACGCCTATCCCAGCCACGTGGAGTGGTCCGAGCGCCGCATTCCTTGTCTTGGCTCCGCTCGAAGCCCCGAAGCAAAGCTCTGAACCTTGTTCCGCTAGCTCTGCGATACTTCAAGGCGCCGGACCGGATCAGATTGCAGACCTATCAGCATGCATGGCTACAGTCAACTCGACCCTCTCCTGCCATGCACGCCGAAGCGGGACACAGCGAGGCATGTCATACAAAAGGCGATGATGGGTACCCCTCGAGGACGGGGTTGTGTGCGCCCCTTGCCCCGCTTCCCCCGGAGGACAAAGGAGTACCAGCTTGGCTGAAGCATGTAAGTCTGCAGTGCAAAAATGATCCGATCTCTCTATTCTACATCGCAACTACCATATCAGGTCACCTCAGCTTCTCCTCGGTCAAGTCCTCTTCCACCATTTCCGTATGAGCGGTCGACTCCAACATCTTCGGCGGATCTGAAACTGCCTTTCACTCCGTCACTCAACTTTCAGGCACGACCTCCTCTTAAACTATCGACGTCATATCCCCTTCACTCCGTCTCGCCGTCACATATAACCAACTCTCTCACTCCATCATGCCCCGCAAATCCATCTTTCGCTTCTCTCTCCGCTCTCCTCGACCCGAATCAAAGGCAACCCCCGCTCCACTCGTCCCAGATATCGACGAGGTCTCCCTTCCTCCCGACCCGGAAGCGCGATACATTCCTCGTCAGTGGGCGCCCAATCGTCTTCAGACACTCTACGTCACTCCCTCGGAACAGAATCTCTACCTCGCAGCTATGGCGCAGCTCGACCGAGCCCCGCCTCCACTTCCACTATGGTCGGACCCCGCACCGACCCTGCCGGCCGTTCCGCATCAGGCGCCCATGGATCCTACTCCTCCGTCGGTCAAGAGTCCCCCGAGGGTCGAGTCGAGACTTCCGGGGATGTCGTCCAAGCTCGTCATGTCGCCCGGTATGCCTGTACAAGGTTTATCGGTGCGAGAGGAGTTCAGGGCAGTACCCGGTGCCTCCTCGAATAGGCCGGGAGAGCATGCCCTGTTGGCGCTCTCGGACGATAGTCAACTGCGGTTCCACAACTTCCCTATTGACGTTCTAGTGGCGGTCGACGAGGCTCTCACAGAGGCGTGGCCGAGGGGGAGGCGGAGTGCGCATCCGGCGCTGACCGACCTGCAGAAGAAGGCGAGGGAAGAGTCAGGACCGTATACCTGGATTGTGGTGCTCAAGGGGAAGGTTTGGAGGCAGGCTGGGAGCTCCGAGTTAGAGTGAGCCGCCTCGGTCAGCATCTCTCGGAATAAGCTGACAGCTCAGCTCGATTAGGCTCATCCTCAAGCTCCTGACCGCCCTAAGCATACATGGCTGGACCCTTGTGGACCGTATGCAAGCAGCCGGCGTAAAGTACGATAATCACAATCTCCTCTTTGCGCACTCTCCCGAGATTCAGGCAATGCCGCCAACATACTTTGCTCTGTCTATACCTCGTCAATTCCCTTCTTCATTACTCTGTCGGATGAGAGCTAATCCTGCAGTACCTGATCGTATCTCCCTGATCTCCCCGCCTCCAAAAGCGACACCCATCATCATTTCCTCCGTTCGCGAAGCGATAGAATCGCAGACTGCAGGGTCGAAGCGGAAAGCTCGGCGCGGTGGGCACAAAGTCGGCGGCGACAGGACTTCGATAGCAAGCGGGAAAAAAGGCGTAGAATGGGATGCTTGGAAAGGCAGTAAGCTACTTCGACTTGAGCATCCCCTAGGTAAAGCTGATGCAGTCAGATATCCGACTGGAAGGATGGGTGCATGCTGGAGTATATAGATTCTGGTTAGGAGGCATGAGGCGATGGCTCGGAAACGGGGTCAAGTGGCGTGTCGTTGAAAAGTGAGCTGCCTCGTCCTCTATGTAGGGACGAAAGCTCATACTGAAGGCTACATCCAACCCTGATTCTCACCCTCATCAACTCCCTCTCCGCCCAGCACTTCACCCTCCTCACCTCCCTTCCCCTTCTGCCGCTCGTCAAGGGTCGCGATATCCTCATTTTTGCCTCACAGCCTTCCTCTGGCCTCACCTATCGCGATACCTGGAAGACTCAGCCGTCCGCCTCAGGCAGCACGACCCGCTCCGAAAGCCCAGTGTTGGTCAATACTGCGGACGCACAGGTCCGGCCGGGATCCCGCATCCCCGCGGAGCTGCATTCTCCGGCTGGACCTCCAGCCGGTGCAAGGCAGGATGCGGCGGGAGTGATGGCGGAAGAGCGGCGACAAGCTGCTACTCTCAAGTCCAATTCACCTTCGGCGCAGACATCCCCCATTCGGCCGAGGCACGCTAGCCTCATCCCGGCCGCTCGGGATCCGTCTCCCAACCATCCCATCGAGAACGTTCAGCACGGGCAGAACGCATCTTCCAATCCCCAGCCTCTACCCCTCACACCTGCAACCGTCTCCTCTCCCCGTCAGCGCAACATCCTCGTCAAGAAGGCTTCGCTCAGGCGGGACCGGACGTCCAGCCAACCCGCCTCGCGGAGCAATTCGCTCAAGCGGAACGACGCTCCTCCTTCCAGCCATCAGCGCTTTGCGAGTCTTGACGCAGGGCGTCCCGGCACCGAGGAGTTCTCTGCGGCCCGCCCGGACAACGTGCATATCACGAGTCGGCATGGCATTGGGTCGGACTACTCTGCTCCTGGCACGCCTGGACCAGATGCGGAGTGGACGATGGTGGAGTCGCCCCAAAAAGATGGCGATGGGCTTGGGCTGAGCATGTATGCCCCACAGTCCGCCACTCAGGCGGCGGCGGGAGCTGCAGAGCATGGCACAACTCGCACACCTGGATGGAGCGGGGTGGAGGCGCGTATGCCCCCTCCTCTTCCGCCAAGGTCGCATCAGAGGGTCCCGCAGCCGGTGATCACACCTATCAACCCCGCCACGAACCAGCCGGACCTGTCCCACTCGTACGGGCTGATCCACGCGCCTCTGGATGTTCACCCCCCCCGACCCAGCTTCGACTCCGAGCGATCCATCTACCAGGACGCCCCAACCCACACCCAAGATCCCCGGCCCTTACCACCTACACCCCGTTACGCCCATATCGGACCCACCGGTCTCCGCACCGACTCTGAGCGGGATGCCCACTCCGTCCCTCGTCAACTGAGCATTGCAAACCCCACCCCGCCTCCCACCATCCCCCTCCAGCAGAGCATCATGGCAACCCTAGACATCCCCCTCAGTCAGCCCACATCCCCTATGCGCGGTCGAGATGCTATGGTCGATGTAGGCCACGGGACCGGGGCCGAGAGTATGCGCGGAAGTGTGGGATACATGCCGAGTCTGGCGAGTCAGAGTGTACTCGGCTTGACGCCCGCTCTAAGTGAGGGTCCGATCTTGGCGGCCTGGGATGAAGTCAAGCCGACTCCTGGAGGCGGACCCGCTGGTGGTGGGGTACCAATGCCAATGGCGGCGCCGCAGGCAGGAAGTGGGATGGCAGGACAAGAGAAAAGTCCGGATCGGAAAGGCAAGGGAAGGGAGGCGGTGCGAAATATGTTTGGGTTTGGGCATCATGGAGGAAAGGCTGGCGATGAGCTCGGAGTCGGGAATGGCGCGGCTGTTGGGAACGGGGTAGGAAGCGCAAGGACGAAAATCTCGATGGGTGCTTGAGGTGATGGAGAGAGGAATGATGCGGGCGATCTTGACGAGTGACGAAACGATAAGTAATGGACAAATCGGGTTGTGTATCTAAGTTACTTGTATTCCATAGATGATGAATGTCTATAATTGTGAATGAAAGCATGAGAACGGTCACTTGCAAGTATCTGCCACTCCTCTAACAGAGCTCTCTCCGCAGCGTTTGCTATCGCTCATGACTTATTAGGGCCCACGTCGACTTTCGCTCTTCCGACGCATCATACTTAGCTTCTCCGCATGCTGTATCGGTCACCGGACCGTTAGGTTTTCAGTGAGCATCGACAAATCAGATCGGAGAGAGCGATTTCAACGAGCAACGAAAGGGTCAGTGATGACAGTGAGCATATGATTGCTACTGTGAGCTACAGAATGCATCCCCTGCATGCTCTCGCCACTCTACCAAAGCTCTCTCCGCTTGTCCCGCTTGGCTCTCGCTAATCTCTTGTTGAACCCCCATGTCGACTTTTGCTCCTCCAGCGCTTCATCCTTCTCCGTCTGCTGCATTGGCGATAGAGGTGCGACTCGTGATATCCGCTGCTCGTGATGCGCAGGAAGAGAAAGACTGGATTGTCAGCTGGACTCTAGCGAGATCGCGCTTGAAAACGGCAAGGGAAAGAGGAGTAAGGATTCAACTACAGTACGGGGACGAGGTGCGGAGGCAAGGGGAGTTGTTCGCGCACGTGGTTGTTTCTCCTCCCGACTAATAGAACGGAGATGATGATAAGGGTAATTGACCCGCGGACACGTCGACTCGAAGTGAGAAACTCACGACTTTGCGATCTCTTTCCTGCTCATCCCCCTCTGCCGCATGTCAATGATATCCGCCTTGACCCCTTGATCCCACTTTGGCTCCTTTCCGTCCCCTCTCCTCTCTTTCCGCCTCGGCGCAGCCTCCTCCCCTGTCAAATGCACCGACTGGCCCCCTATCCATTGCAAGAACGGAGGGACAGCCCCAGTCGTGTAGGACGGCGCGGACGGTGGGGGCGCGTGGTGGAATGTCAGACCGCTGTCCGCGAGTGAGGAGGAAGAGATGGGAGGGATTGGATGAGAAGAGTCGGGATGTGCCTGTGGTGTGGAAGTGCCAGGTGTGGGCGAGCGGATCTTGGGCTGATGAGGTGAAGGCAAGATGGGGGTCCGTGGAGGACGAGCATTGTGCAGGACCGTGCGTTTTTGGAGGATAGGCTGAGCGGTCCGAGATGGAATAGCCCGGGCTACTGTGCGTGAGGAGGAAGCTAGGCAGGACGACATGGCCAAGGTGTATGGATACAAGGTGAGTAGAGCTATAGAGCGGTGAGTGAGCTTGCTGCAGCTGCTGAGGATCGAACTTTTGACGGCGATCGCCGCCAGCGCAGCGGGACCTTCTATGCTCTTACCTAAGCAGTCCACGCGTGTGACGTTGATTTTCCCATCCGACAAGCCACAACCAACCTCCGCTTGATATCCCTCATCCGACAGGCCATCAACATGCCTAATCCGCCGCCACCGCCGCCGAGCGGTCCGTCGAGCATGTCAACGAAGCCGAGAAGAGGAACGGCCTCTGCCCCCACGCCTTGTGAAGGTCCGACCTTGGCACAGCCTCAGACTCATCGGAGGATGCCACCACCAACGACGACGACGATGGAAGAATCAATTCGAGGTCGAGCTCGTCTTCAACCTTCCATCCTTCTATAAGCTCCCTTTCTCACCTTCTACTGACTTGTAGGACTGTCGACCACCCTTCGCTAGCCGAAGCGGTTCCCATTCTTGCTTGTCTCTTCTCCCCCTTCACTGCTCGACGCAGACCTATAATACACAGCCCCGGTGGCTCTCTACTCTCTTTTCGAGACTCACACACCTACCCACCGATATCTCTAGACGAGATGAAGCTCGCTGTAGCCTCCACACTGCTGCTCCCGCTTCTGGCGCTCCCAGTACAGGCGTTACCGGCGAAACGAGGCGAGCGGTCTTCCTGGAGGAGATGGCTGGAGAACAGGGAATTTGCAGGGACCGGACAGTATGCTGGGGCAGGAGATGCGGCAGCGAGCGATGCAGCATCCAGCGCAATTGTGAGCCCTGTTCCTATCAGAGACCCGTTGCACGAGCTGACACCTAGCCATTTGCTGCTGCGACCGGCTCGCCTTCGGCATCGACTAGCTCCGAAATCCCAGTAGGGACGGTCGGTGTTGCCTCGCAGGTCAAAATCCCGGTCGCATCCGCACCGATCCTCAATGACCCCTCTCTCCTCCCCTCCGCATCCATCTCTGAACTACTGGCTAGTACCGCCGCCTTCTCGACTTTCACCTACACGCCTTACACCACCGCCGCGGCGGCACCTTCGACCGCGGCGTATGCGGCAGCTCCTTCTCCAGCACCGACTGGTGCGAGCTCGGTAGCGGGCGGAAGTGGTACCAAGGGGGGCGCAGCGGAGGGGAACATCTATGAGCAAGCAGGAAAGGCGGCGCAGGACTATATGAACAAGGTGGTGGGGCAGTCGTTGCCCACTGTTACGCTTGAGATCGTTATGATTCCTACCCAGGTGAGCTCACGTCATCGTTTGGAATGCTTAAGGTGAATGTAGCTGACGATGACAGGAAGCAGATGGATCTTGGGACTACGTCGTGTCTATCGGCTCGGACGGAACTGCCACTGCCGTTCCCTCGTGGACCACGAGCTCTCAGGCCAAGGCGACGTCTCTCCCCCCCGCCAACCTCGCACCTCCGCCCTACACGACCGGCTCATACCCCATGCCGACCGGAGCAGGTGCTGCGCAGGGAGGTGGGAGTGGTGGATCTGCCTCTGCGTCCCAGGCAGTAGGCGGGTCAACCGGTTCGTCAGGCTCGTCGGGATCCTCCGGCTCGAGCTCGTCCGGCCAAGGCTCTTCAGGATCATCAGGCTCGTCTGGTTCGTCTGGTTCGTCTGGCTCTTCAGGCTCGTCCGGCTCGTCCAGCCCCAACGCTGCCGCTCCCGCTCCTGCAGCTCCCAGCCCGAGCCCAAACTCTAACGCATACACCGCCGGCCCCGTCACTCTCCCCGCGGACGTTTATACCCCTCCCTCCGCGCCTAGTGCATCTGCCAATGCCGGCGCTGCTTCCGGATCGCCTTCCACTGGCTCATCGGGGTCATCGGGATCAAGCGGATCAAGCGGATCAAGCGGCTCGAGCGGATCGAGCGGCTCGAGCGGTTCTCGTCCTGTCGGCGGGAGCGGCGACCCCTCGCCATCTGGGTCATACGGCCAGACTGTACCCGCAACTGGCGATCAGTCCGGCTCAGGCTCATCGTCTGGCTCAGGCTCGGCTGACTCGGGCTCAAACTCCGGCTCTGCCCCAGCTGCTGGCTCCTCCCCTCGTCCCGCCAACTCCATGCACGTCCCCATTGTCGTCATCCCTTCGTCGACCGACGCGGCATCATCAGCCCAACCGACCGCTTCTGGCAACCAGGAACCCACTGCGCCGAGCGCGTCTGCCGTACCGGTGGACTCGGGATCAGAGTCGGCCTCCTCTGCCGCCCCTACGGCTGCACCCGTTCCATCAGCTTTGGACAGCGGAAAAGCCGGTGACCCACCACGCATGACCTCCACGTCCGACTCCGTCCCCACTCCCTCGCAGACTGAGGGCGCAACGCACGACTACCCACCCTGGGCCAGCCACCCCGTCAGCAACGAGACCGTGTCATCTACGGTCTCGGCGGACGGAGCGGCGCCGACCAACGGGACTGACGGCGGGGCCACCCATGACTACCCCCCTTGGGCCAGTCACCCGGTCAGCAATGAGACGGTCTCGTCGACTATCTCCTCGGACATGCCTATGCCCACCAACGGCACGTCCGTCGGAAATGGAACGGCCGGAGACACGCACAACTACCCGCCTTGGGCGAGCCACCCGGTGTCTAACGAGACGGCGACCATGACCGCATCGGCTGTACTCCCGGGGGCGACCAACGTCACTCTCCCCGCAAACAGCACCCTGCCTGCCAACGCTACTCTCCCGGCGAACGCTACTTTGCCTGCCAACGCAACTCTGCCCGCCAATGAGACCGCGACGTCGTCCATCGCGGTAGGATCGGAAGCGGCTTCGACATTCGTCCCCTTTGAGCCTATCACCTCGTCCACCGCGGCTGCAGCCAACGCCACCGCGTCAGCCTCGGCTCCATCGGTTAACAGCACCGCCGTCGCCACTCCTACCCCTTCTTCCTCTGCTGAGGTCACCGCCGTCCCCACCGCGTCCGCATCGGCTAGCTCGGTCGAATCCTCCTCCTCGTCCGTCGCCGCCCCTTCCGCAAACGCCACGGAGACCATCTCCTCCGCCCCCGCCTCCTCGTCCGTCGTACCCACCTCGAGCTCCACTGTCATCAGCGAGAGCTCGGTGATTCCTGCTCCGCAGCCGACTACTGCTCCGGTAGTAGAAGGCGTCAGCACAAATGATAACGGGATCGCCACGGAGATGATGACCAGCACGGTGGTCTTCAATGTGACTATGACCCTCCCCCAGGCATCGGCTACCGCCAATGCAACGGTCAGCGCTTCGTCGGTAGTCCCCTCGGCTACGTCTACGTCGGTGGCCGCTGATGTCAGCTCGTCAGCTGTCTCCGCTAGCGCCGACGCCAGGTCTACCGCGGCAGCCAGCTCGGACATGGTCTCTGCGTCTGCCTCCGCGTCGGCCTCGGCCTCAGCCTCGGCCTCGTCCAGCACGGCCAGCATAGATCACACCAGCATCCTTGGCGGGAACTACCATGCGACCCCCGGTCTCGTCGCACCCTCCAGTACCTCCTCTTCCGCTGATTCATCGAGCGCCGCTCCCTCCCCCAGCGCCTCAACTGAGTCATCATCTTCTTCCTCTTCGTCCTCCTCCGCCACACCCATCGCGTCATCCACCTCAACCACCCCCTCTTCTACCGAAATACCCCTCCCTGCCCCGACGGGGGCAGACGAGGACTGCCTCGACGTCACAGCCCGTAGTCTCGGCCTAGACGAGGATGGGCAAGAATGGGAAGAGGTCTGGGTGGACGAGGCGGAGATTCAGCCGGGGTGGATCGTGTTGGAGTAGAACCTTTTCATGGACTTTTTAGTTTGGACATTATAGGTTGTTAGAGACGTATAATGCATCGCGCTGGTCGCTTACTTGTAGAGCTCACCTTACTGGCGGATGTGCGGTTGCGGGAGCGCTACTGCAACCCGCTCGCTTGCCCGCAGAACCAAAAGACGCACGGACATGGATGGACGCGACTTGCTTCGCTTCGAACGCGTCCGAGGACACCTCCTCTTCTCTTCTTCATCGATTCATCACCTAATCTTTTCTTATAGCTCACCATCATCATGCAGTACATCTCACTCATTAAAGGCGGTGAGCTTGCCGGCTTGCACCGAAGGTATGCGCTCGTAAGCTGACGGACCGACAGATCTTGACCTATCTACTCAACCGCACCGGTATCTCCGCCTGCCTCATCCTCGAACAGGTCAGCTTCTTCATGCTCATAGTCGGAAGCAGCCCAGCAGCTGACTGGCGTAGGCTTACCTCAACTGTATCTCACCTATATCTCCGAAGGCCGGGATCGCATACTCGAAGCTAGCAAGATTTCTTGCGGGTCCAGACGGACTTGGTTCGTTGGCGATTCCCAAATCGACAGTGAGTTGTCTGTCCACTTGTCGAGCTGGGCCATGCTGATATCTCTCTTCTCAGCTGGGACTATTTTGGTACATCATCCTGTTGATCCACTGTTTCTTGTCATACCTATAATAACTACTCTTCTTGATCAGGTCAGCTGTCTCACGCATCCAGGCGATTGAGCACGAGATCAAGCTGATCAAAGCAGACTTCTACCTCTATGGTACCTTTTCAACCGCTCTCTGACCTCATCACCAATGCCGCCTCCTTATCAGCTTTCGCCCTCCCCGAGGCGTTCTCGCGTGCCACAAACGGCAAGACTGAGCCCGCCAAATCGGAAGGGATGAACGAGGATATCGCTCGTCTTCTCGCGCTCAAGTCTGTGCGCAAAGTCTTTCGACTATGCTGCGAGCGCAAAGGTGAGCTTCCCATGGCTCGCTGGAGTTTCGGTCCAAAGGGCAAAAGCTCACTCGATGTAGTCATCCCGCTCGCTCCGCCCTCGCCGCCAGAAAACGGCGGGTCAGGCTCAGTACCCAAAGCAGCCAAACAGGTATACTATCGGCCAAGCCTGGAAAGGGTCGTCGCTCTTCTCCAGACCAAAGTGGACTACTTCTCCGCAGTAGAGCGATTCGAACAGTTCGATCATCTTGTCCGTGGGCTCAGCCGGGATGGGCTGCTCAGTAGCGACGGTGCCTCGGAACTGACTGAGGGTGAGCTGCGCGAGTACCTGATTCGCGAGAATCCAGTAAGGCGGAGCTGATTCAACAGCCGCCCGGCGCAAGATGACATGCGACCACCTCGGCCAGTGGCTCCCCGCACCTATCCTGGCCTCTCTCATCGCCTCTCACGACTTTGCTGCCCTATCGGAATATCTCGCCAATAGGACAGCGGCGACTCTGGCGGCTCAAGCTCCGGTTGTCACTGTCAAGAAGGACAATAAGGCGGATGCGAAGCGGAAAGCGCCAGCGGGGTCTAGGGGTGTCGAGGTGAGTTAGAGACTCCCTGGATTGGGTGCAGGAACTGAAAGCTCACCTGCTAGGCTCTCAAAAAGGTCAATACGGCTTCAATGAGCAAGTTGACCAATTTCTTCCGGCCAAAAGAGGGGAAGAAATGAGATTAGACGAGAGGCTGGACTGAGCCAGAACGTCGCGTCGGTCCGGATGGTCTCGAGCGCAGCTGGGTGTGCTTCATCGTAAGCTGTCCGCAGGTTTCGACGCTAAGCGCAGCGAGCTGATCTTTCAGATATGAGGCAGTAAGCGACATCCAGGACAAAAGATTGGGCCTATACAGGCTGCCATGGGGCTGCAGGTTGATCTCTGGGCTACTACGAGGACCCGCAAAGCCGTGATGATCCTATACATGCCATGTCAGATCGCCCGCCCGTCCAGCGAGCGCAACTCCTTCCTGCTATGCTACAATCGAGGACCAGTCCCATGGCTCCTCCTCCCTGCAGATCGTATACTGAGAAATCCATTCGATACCGCCCGGCTCAGTCCTGTACGATCAGCTATCAGCTACACACATGCGCTGCCAGCGCGAGATCTCGCCCAACTCACGGTTCATAGATCTTGCCCCTTGAGTCTGATCCATCGGATCGCCTCTTTCCTCTGGCGTCCTCGGCATCCCCATCGGCTCGCCCACGATCCCCCCTACACCACCTATCGTGTTCGCGTCCCTTCGTGCCCGTCTATGGCTGATATCATTCAACGCCCAAATATGCGTCCGGGAGCTGCTCGGCCCGAGGGAGACGCTGCTACCTGGGCCAGAATGCGGCGGGACGAGGCTATGGCCCCGGCCAGTAACGCTCGAGGAGACGGATCGCTGGGATATTGGGATTGCAGATACGGCTGTGCCAGATTGAGCTTGTGCGTCCGTTGTTTGTCCGCGAGCGCGGGAAGGGGCGGGCTCGGTCCGTATTTGCGAGGCAGAGCGGGGAATGGGGTTGGAGGTCGGGGCGGATGTCATGCCGAATGAGCGACGATGGCGTGGAGTGCCCGGTCGGTCGATCATCACCTCTTAATCAGTCGGCTTACTGCCCCTTCAATCGAAGAGGCAAAGCAACTCACGCAGTCGTATGGTGTTGACTATAGCTCGTAATGCGCCGACCTCCTCCAAGATGCGCAGCGACTCAGTCATGGTCCGCCTGGGATGGTCAGCTATCGCTCGAATCATCGATTAACACCAGCTAGCTCACACTTCATTACGCCGCTCCATAGTATCCAGGCCCGACGCGAGCTGCAGCACCACCCGCCTCAGCCTCGATACCGCCACTTCCAGCGCCGCCAAAGTCGATGGCATCGGATCGGAGAGGTGATGGAACGCCCAGTCCGCGTAGGACTGGCGCGAGCCGAATGAGGGAGAAAAGAGGGAACGAGGAGCGGCAAAGTCTGCGGCGGCGCGAGCTGTGATTCCGGCTGGAGGGGGACTTGCTGTATTCTGCGGTCCCGTAGTAGACGCTACAGTCTCCGACGGGTGATCCAGCGTGTCCGAGGGCGATAGTCCGGAGTCAGCGGCATCTCCAGGACGTGTAGCCCTAGCGTCGCTCCGAGCCGTCTCTCCAGCAAGCATCGGCTCGCCCCTCAGATCCAGGTACCGCCCCTCCGACACCCTCCATCCATTCGTCCCCGCCAATGCCCGTTCCGCCTGTAATCCCGACCGCAGCATCGCCACCTCTTTCACGAGTACCTCCTGCCGCTCCTCCATAGCCTGAAATCGCGCATCGTTGGCGATGAAGAAGGCTGGCATGGCTTCGAATGGACAGAGCTTGAGGTGGGCGTCGAGTTCGGAGCGGGGAATGATGGCGGGGCACCCGCGGGTTGTGTGTGTACAAGGAACTCGGGCGGAGGGGCAGGCCCATTGATGAAGCGTGGGGCTGGTATCGTCTGCTCCTTCAGCTGAGCCTAGTCACAGGGTTTGGGAAGACTTACACTTCTCTCCGCAGGCTTCGCAGGGGTTATGGTCGACATGGGGTCCGCTCCGAGATGCGCAAGGCTTCAGATGGCGAGGCTGGGGAGTCAGCCGGAACTTGAATGATGACTAGAGGCACTTACGGTTTGATCCTTGAAGGTGAGGAATACGCCGCACCGCTCGCACTCCATTTTGCGCTGAAAGCACTCGTACGCCCGGTGCTCCGAGACACGCTGCTTTGGCATCTGACGATGAGTGAATGACCTTATGAACATTCATCGAGACGTACCTTCAAACCGCACTCTCCATCCTCGCACATCGTGACAGCCATAGGACACGTTCTTAGATGCGCCAAGAGCAATCCCCGCTGCATGACCACCCCGCACCCATCTGCTGCGCATCGTACCTTCAGCTCATCCAGCATCTGGTCCATCAGTTGCTGGATGCTCCAAGAGGGAGAAGAGGTCCGCTCACCAGCTTTACGAGCTGTTCCGTCTCTCTCAGACTGTGCGTCGTGAGGGCAGATCGGTCGATAGGACACTGCGGATTGACCGCTATTGCTCGCTCGATGCAGTCTCTGCAGAACGTATGTTTGCACGAGGTGGTAGTGACCGGGTCGACTAAAGCTGATTGACATATCGCGCAGACCTTACTGATCAGCTTGTATATTCGCGAAGATCGTAGGGCAGCTCACCAAGTTCGCGTCGAGCTCTTCGACATAATCATACACCACCTCCGGCATGAATCTGTGAGGCGCCATTTCTTCGCGAGATGGGTCGTCTATCCGTTCGGTATAGTCTGCAGAAGCCGCAGAGGTAGATGATAAATGTCAAAGGTGGCCGTTACATGGAACATACGGGGTCAGAGTGGTGTTGCGAAGTGACAGACACAGCGCTTCCTCCTCCCTTTGCGTCAAAGCGCGACAGACAGGCCCGAGCGATCGGGTGCCTGAATGAGAACTGAGGAATGTGGAGCCCCGCTTGTTTCAGCTTAACATGGCTGAGAGCACTGAGGTAGTGGCGCCGAAGCGGGGGATGGGACCATGAGTAGGCTGGCCAGGTAGTCGAGCAGGTCTTGATACTGAGCCACTATTCTGTGATCGACCTGTGGGTGCAACTTACAACGCGTTCAGAAAGCAGCTCGTAATGGGTCGCTTAGCGACTCCGTGACAAATGTGCCACACTTGCGCAAGTAGGATTGCCAGCGCCACACTCGTCCCAAGTTCCACGTGTACAGTGCCACAGTGCACAAAGGGCGATGGTACTGGGGCTAGCAATGAAAGGTCGCGCGCTTCTACCTGCAGGCAAATGACCATTTTTTACTTTTTTGTGTCAGATATTGTAGCCCCGTCGCAGACCGCCCTCAAAAAGGCGATCCCCTCGCCACTTTGATCCAGACTCCATACTTCCTCCTCTGTTCCACGATCTGACTGAAGCATTCTCACACCCTAGGATCCCGCTTCTGTATCACAGCGCAGGTAAGTCACGCTTCAGAGCGCACTGACAACCCTTTAGCCCCCCCTCAATACACAAATCACATCATGTCTACGACTTTCGTATACTCCATCGAGCACGTCTCGGACACCTTCAAATGGTACACTCAGCTCCGAGGATACAGCGCAGCAAACTGCCAGGAGATACGCACCGGCACCGATCCCGCTTGGGATGGGACACGCAACGACATTGCGCTATTCAGAGACCGACTCAACGAGGTGCACATCAGGGAGGTATGCCTGACTGGCGACCCCGTTCTGAATGCTACGCAGAAACACAATTGGCGAGAGCAAGCAGTGGGGGTGATGATGAATGAGTACAGAGGGTGAGTTCGCGGTAGCATGAATGGAGCACCAGGCACCATCATCGCTAACGAGACTTCCCCCATGAGGACGGGCCCGGGCAGGTGCTGACCTGTGACATTTCAGCGCCTGTAACTATTACCAAGCCACCCCAGATCAGATCGATGAGAACGCTGCCTCCGCTACTGCGACGAATCTCATGGAGGAGGTCTACACCGATAATTCCGAGCCCGGTGTTGCGTAGAGCAGCTCTCGCTTCCACCCCTGCTAGACCCCTGCTCAGCGCACCGTCTGGACCCCAACGTTCCCTCCCCTTTGACGTGATGAACATGACCACTGATATCGATGCATACTTTGAATGAACTTCTCTCTTAAAATTTTTCCGTACATACCAAGTCAGCATACTATGCCCTAGCAACCATCCCCGCCCCATCCACCCCCTCCCTCCACCTCGGCTCCACCAGATACACAACTCCCAGCCCACTCGCCGTCCCCGCCGCCAACATCCCCGCCCGTGCTATTCCCGACCCCTCATTCCACGATACCCTATGTACCCCGACCTCCACATCCCAATTCCCCGCTTTCAGACCCTTGATGTCGTCGTCAACGGTCTTGACGCTCTTTTTGGGTCGACGGCCATTAGCTAGCTCCAGAGGTATCGTCTACTCTATCAGCTCCGCTGTAGCCCGACTGAAGAGAGAGGAGACGTACCTCCCCGCTGAAGTCGTCGGCGAGGCGATAGTGTCCGGTGACTTTATCATAGTCCATCTCGAGCATCCTCCAGACGAACATCGGCTGTCACGATCAGCTATGTCCTTTCGTGCAGAGCGACAACAACTGACAGCCCTCTTTGACTTGTAGTACCCGCTCTGCGCCGAACCGATGATGACGGACCCATCAGCACTCGCGGACGCCACCATCGTATGATACTCGCTCGTCGCGATATCCTATACCCTGTCAGCTCCTGCTTTTCATGAACTCAGAGAAGTGAGTATGTAGGGAGACTTACCCAGATAGGACCCCTGTGCGGCGTGATCTGCGCCTCCCGCTGCGTTGGTATACCCCGGACTTTGAATAGCTTGGCATTATAGTCGTTATCTGACATCATGGCGGATTGATTCTGAACGGACCAGCCGACAGTCAGGCTCGGCACTGATGGTCAGCCACTCCCTTCTTCGAATCGCCGCGCATCTCGCGTCGAGAGGCCAGTACGTACACCTTTGTCGTTGTAACAAGACGGGATGTCCCGGATCGCGCACATCCAACAACGTCGCCGTGCCGTCCCAAGACCCAACAACGAGGAAGCGGGGATCTTGGTCGTATACCGGCTCACCGGCCGAGTCGGCAGGCGGGACACGCCCTGTCGCTAGAGATGAGACGCAGGACTGGGCTATGCTTAGGTACATATGCGGCAGGACTGAAGCATTAGCTGCGCTCCGGGCCTGAGCGGAATAGCAGAGGTATTAACTTACGTTCTTCTTTCTGTTTGGTGAGGAGGGCGTCGGCGATGTCCCATACCCCTACTGACCCTTATGGATCAGCTGGGGCTCTCCACGATCTACACGAAAGTATGGACTCACCGTCAGAGAACCCTACAGCCAACTTCGAGCTCGTCATCCAGTCGACACAAGACGCAGCCGCATCAACCACCTCAATCCTTACTGAAGGCTCATGGCATTTCACTAGCTCATCAGCTCTCCACCAACATCAATATCAAAACCCGACTCTGACCACAAGGTCACTCACCAAACAATGGCTTTGCCGAGTCTTCCGCAGAATCTCCCTTCAGATGCCTCACAGCGAGCGGATGCGGCACAGCATGAACCCCAACCGAACCATCAAGCTGCACCACTGCTAATATACCCAATTTTGGTATCCTGCCCTGATCAAGCTTGCCCGGGTCGCACTGCTCTGTCAGCTACCATCTCCTCTATCTGAGCGGCAGGACCCGAGAACGAAGCTCACATCGTCCCATGCACCCAAAGGCATCCACTTGCACCCCATCCCCGCTCCGCCTTGAATACACAGAACCATCTCGCATCCCATTCCTCCTGCTTCGCCTGCGGAGGCGGAGGAGTTGGGAAGGGAAACGGACCAAATCTGAATGGCCGCCTTGTCGCCGCGGGGATGTTTGTGGCCGATGGTGGGGGAAGCGGTGAGGTCGGGAAGGGCAGTGATCGCCAGGAATTGGGAGTTGCCGTAGTCTGCCAAATCAGCTCTGGTCCCGTGAGAGCTCGCAATGATGCAGTCAAGGGAGATATTTCGGCGAGATGTATGGAGGAAGAACGTACGTGCTGCTTGAGATTCTGGGAGAGGACACCAATCCAGACCCCATATAGGTCCCCCAGCGGAAAAGATAAAGCCCTCTCTCAGGTCCGTATGTAGCGCTACTCGCGTCAGCTGCCATATCCCCTGTCCACTCAGGGGACGTGGATACGTACAGACATCGTACTGCTCAAACATCCGCATCTTGACGGGCTTCTGCTGGTCGTGCGGTCCAAGATGTACAGTGATACCTTCTTGTGGATTGGGCAAATACTTGGCCGCTTCCCTGTCTCATCAGCTCTTCTCCTCTCCTCCTCCCTGATAAATAGCGACCATGGCAGACCTACTTCTCATCCACAGATTCCAGCTCGTCCATCCCTCCCCGGGCCACATCGTCCAGCCCTATCCTCACTTCATGCCGCAACGTCCACCCCGTCAAGCGCTGCGATCCCCCACTTCCGCCAGCTTTTCGTTTCCCTGCCGCTTTCGACCCCTCGCCTACCTTCCCCAGTATCCCATCGCTAGCACCGTCACCGGTGTACATCTCAGGCCACCACCCCTCCCCCTCCCACGCCTCTCGCGGCACACCCCCCAGAATCCCCTTATCCACCGCCACAGCCCTCTTCCGCCTCGTCACCTGATCTTCCGCCTTCTCCACCACGACCTCCCACTTCCCACTCCCCTCCTCTCCATCCACCTCCATCCCTCCAGCCCCACCCCTCCTGACCAGGCGCGTCGTAAATGGCAATCCACTCCCAGCTGGGAACCCGTCCAGCTCCGCCCGTCTCGTCTTGTCCGCAACGAACGCCTTTGCCTGGGTCGGCTTCACCATGCCCTCCGCGGACGTCTTGATGAGCGCGCGGTAAGCCGGAGGAACGAGGTTGATGTCACTCTGCGCATAGACGGGAGGGGCAGCGAGGGGCTGGTGTGGATTCCGGTCGGATCGAGGTGGGACGCGCCGGGAGTTGGTCTTTGGACCTTTACCGGGTGTCTTGGACTTGGGTGGACCGGTGGCCTTGCCCGTTCCCTTGCCTTTACCTTTTCCTCTGGGAAGATCGTCCTCTTCCAAATCATCGTCCCCGTCAAGATCCATCCCCGACCCCTCTTCATCATCCTCATCACTCCCCAACTCCCTCAATTCGCTCTCACTTCCCGAACTCCCCATCCCCGCCCCCGCCCCTGCGCCTCTCTTCTTCATGTCCAGCCGACCTGTAGCAGGTCCCTTCCCCATCTTTTTCTTTCGTCCGCCCTCGGACGGTGCAAACTCGCTCGAATCCCCCGAGCTTACACCCTCATCATCTGAATCCTTTCCGACCGCGCCGACCGCTTTGGAAGGTCCGACCGAGACACTTCGCGCTGTGGATTCGGAGATCCGACGCCGTCTGATCTGCGAGACGGCCTTGGAGCCTGAACCAGACGCTTCGGGCTCAGCATCAGAGTGTGAGTCGGAGAGGTTCTCGAGCCCCTGGGGAATGTTGGAGTAGGACGGGCGGGCCGTTCGCTCGCGCAGCGAGACCATGCTCGGCAGCCTAGAGAATCAGCTACATTACTCCGTCCCGAGTCTACTAGCTCACTATTAGAGCAGGCCTGAGCCTGTGGTAAAGTGCAGGATGATCAAGATGAAGTGGAGTTACAAAGGTTTGGACGCCCTCCACCTTGTTCTTGTTGACTCCGCATTCCTCGACGCTGCTCTTCTAGCCCTACAGCCAGCTCCCCAAGCGATAAGGCGTCGATGACGCAAAGGTATAGTGTGCATGTACAGCCCAGTCTGTCGAAGGAGACTCAACCAGGTCTAAGCTCAAATGTCCATTGTGGGGGGTATAACGCGCGTGTAATGTAGTCGTGACGGTCTCCTGTTCTCTCCTCTCCTCTCCTCTCCTCTCCTCTCCTCTCCTCTCCTCTCCTCTCCTCTCCTCTCCTCTCCTCTCCTCTCCTCTCCTCTTCCTACGCCCCTCCTCTTCTCCTCCTGCGACCTCCACTCGACGCGAAACATAGGATACAGTACGCTCGTCCCGCCGACGCGTGTTTCTAGATCGTCCCCTCTGACCTTCCCCCATCCCCCTCGCTCTCATCTCTCCCTGCTCCCTTCACCTCATCTCCTCCCGCGCACATCCTCTGTCAACCCGACCCGCCCGACATGCCCGACCCGCAGATTCCCGCTCGCTCGATGGGTCCTTCATAACATCCCCAATCCCAATCCCGCGGCGCTGACCGCCAATCCTAGCAAACCCGCCAGCGCGCCGACATCCGAGCCGATATATGCCCGTGCGGGCGCTGAAGAGCGCTTGAACAGGTCGGCGACGTTTCGTCTTCTGGTGACGGTCTGGCCGGAGGCCTGAGGTGTCAGCTGGTCCCACAAAAACTGCGGCTATGCGCAAGGTCGAACTCGGGGGCAGAGCTTACGTTGGTACCGGTGAGGATCTGGGTGGGCATCATGTTTGGCGGCTTGGCCTGGAGGTACATCTGTCCCGTCAGCTTTGTCTTGACCTCTACGAGCACCGCACAACTCACATAGGGCATCTTGGCACCGTCGAATCGGTTCATCTTAAGCACATAACGTCCGCTGGTAATATCCACCGTGATTCCCCAATCAGCATAGATTGTCTGTCCATCAGCCCATACCCTTTTCGCCCCTTTTCCCCAGATGGGCCAAGGACGTACCTGCTGGTTGTAATACGTGATGATATTCGTCACTGCCGCGCACGGATCCTGCACCTGGATCCGCCCGTCCGGACCAAAGGGGTACATGGTGATCGAGCCATTGTTGTTGAGGCGGTACGTCCCATGTTGCCAGAAGATGGTGGCTTGGATACAGGCCGGGTTGGACGCGTTGGAATTGTAGCGGTATTGTGCTTCTTCGAAGTAGCCTGTGTTGGTGCTGGATATCAGCTAGTCTTCACTGATGAAAAGGGCGGAAGGACTGACAAGGAGTAAGAAATACCCGTGTTATTGGGGTATGTGAACCGCATTTCAGCAGGTACACAGAAATCCTGATCACGTCAATACAGTCAAACATGCCGCCCAGTATGGTAATCACTCACCCGTCCAGTCTGTACGGAAGGGTTACTGCTCCATGTCCCCTCCAGATCCGTCACGTTGTTTGCCGCTGACAGGTCGCCCTGCGCGCGGACGTTGGAAAGGAGGCATAGTGCCAGCGTGAGCGCGTATTTCAGCATCGTACTGATCTATACGTAGGAGAGGAGATTGACGGGAGTCGGCGAGTTGGATCGACAAGGGCCGGTAAAGATTGTTTTGGCAAGGTTGCGATACGTAGATATGGCGTGTATTGACGCGCCCGAGCGGAAAGGAAAGGAGCGGCGGCGATTCTTTTACGAGTCTAATTTGGTCGAAAGTCTAAGCGGAAGCTGGTGATACCGGATCGATAGGTGTCTGTGGAGTGGAGAAGTGTAGATTGTAGGTATTGCTAGACTTGATTGATGAAGGAAAGACAAAGACAACAAGGAGATACAAGGCGAGACAAGTGAAGCGGTGCGCGGTTTGGTTGGCTCAGCGGCGAACCAGGCCAGCCAGGAAAAAGGTTAAAATTACCTTACCACATTTCCTATTGGAATTGCCTGATCGGGAACATTTAAAGCTAGTGACCCCTATGTCATTAGGAAAGAGACCCTGAATTCAAAGGCAAAGCTGCACTTGGCTCGCGTCACTGACAAGATCCATCACGCACCTTTCTTCTGAAGTTCTGAGAGTCTTGACTCTTCGGTCCAGGCGTGCACCATAGCTTTCGACCGCTCGGCACTTATCTCATCGCAGGAGGTCCCGTCTCTCTGACTGCCTCTGCATGCTGATTGCATCGCTCGATGCTCTGAGTGGGATCTGTAGCGTGTGAGCGTAAACAAATCTAGGTCCGTGTATCATTGACGTAACATTCCTCACAGCTCTTCGATCCACTTCGTCATGCGAACAGCCTCACATTGTGCTTTCTTTGACTGAACCTCACTCCACTACGAGGCGAGACAGGATGAAGCTCTACGCAGCCGGATCGAATGGCTCCGGACAACTTGCTTTCGGCCACCTGGACGATGTCTCCACATTCACCCCCACCCGCTTCTCCTCATCCCTCGACTCCATCCTCCCCCACTCGACCATCATCGACTTGGTCTCGTCCTCAACCCACGCCCTCCTCCTCATACATTACAAGTCGGACACATCTGTTCCCGGGCGAAACATCCTGGTGGGTGCAGGAACAAACACCCTCGGTCAGCTCGGTCCGAAATGTCAGCTCTGGAGCGACGTCAAGCCGGACACCGAGTGGAAAGTCGTCAATGCCCTGCCTCGAGGACTGGGCGGGAACGACGAGTGGGAGGCAATGAAGGTAGCGGCGACATGGACGACTAGCTTTGTGGTCTATCGGCGGAATCCGGTCGGCGGCGTGGATCGGGAGAAGGAGATGGAGGAGATGGTGGTTTCGTTCGGCTCCAATGACTTTGGGGAGCTCGGCCGACAGGCGGGCGATGATGAAGAGGAAGAGGAGGATGATGTGGGACTTCCAGCGGTAGTTGAGTTGGGACTCGGTAAAGGCGACACGGTGGAAATGCTACGAGGGGGACAGAGGCATGTTCTGGCTGTCGTCAAGGGGAGAGAGGGCCAGAGGTTGATAGGATGGGGCGCGAACAGGAAAGGCGAGCTCGAAGTCTCGACCCTCGACAGAGCCACTGTCGGGCAGACAGAAGAGAGCTACCTCGGAGATACCGCCAAAGGAAAGGGCAAGGGGAAAGGGAAGAGCAACGCCCGACCGCCCTTCCTCCCTCCGACGACACTCGCCCTTCCCCTTCCTCCCGGCACACGTATCATCGATATTCGTCTTGGCGCATCTCACTCTCTCGCTCTGCTAGACACAGGCGCTATCCTGGCGTGGGGTTCCGACGCCAAAGGACAGATCGCCGGTCTATCCTCCATCGCCGGCGCGACAGGCATCGCCGCGACCTGGGGAGGGAACTATGTCCTCCAACGTACCTCTCGCGATACCGGGCTGCTCTCGCAAGGAGCGAACACGTACTCGCAGCTCCTCCGTCCTAGTACGGCTGGGCAGAGGGGGCCGCACAAGGTAGATAAGCCGGAAGCGAGGGAGATCAGGACGATAGTGGCGGGCTCAGAACATCTTCTGGTGCATCTCACTCGCCCAGATGGCGGAGAGAAGCTGGATGAGCTGTGGGTAGGAGGGTGGAACGAGCATGGGAATCTGGGACTAGGGGACCAGGTGGACAGAGCTGCCCTTACGAGGGTAGATCTGAGTGGAGAGGGGGCCCGGCTACGGATTGGTGGCATATGGGGCGGATGTGGGTCCAGCTGGGTTTGGGTATTGGAGGACTAGCCGATATCCAGGCTCTGATCGGTCCCTTCCGGAGAGGCATGAAGAGGGACCATGGACGAGGGCGGGGGAAGTGGGGTGTGGGGACCCCATGGACCAAAGGAGGGGTCACCGAGGAATGTGTGTGTGGAAGATCACTCAACCCGTTCCTCCCCTCGAACAATAGACCTTCGTCTCGTTTCAACATCTGGTATGTCCCCCTCTTGTTCCCTTATGGGCCTGACTGACGCCTCAGTGGCCCCCTCTTTTGGGCGAAAGAAGCCGACATGCACACCCTTTTCGACCTCGCGATCACCTTGGCTCATCCGATGCCCGCCCTTGCGTCCTTATATCTACACACACATCTCCACACGTCTCGCTTCGCATCGCTTCTTTCCGCAAAATCTTCCAACTCGGCCGGCACCACCCGGGACCCAGTCAGCCAGGCGTATTTCGGGACACCCACCTACCTTTACGACTTGCCCACACCGCTGCGCGTGCTGGAGGGGCGTTTGAGACGTGTCTGTTCAATAGAAAGAGGACGAGAGCGTAGAAGGTAGAAGATTGGATAGATAGTAAGCTATCATCCTCCCTTCACTTACTCACCTATTGAGCTGACCCTCAGACTAGACGATCAGCTAAGCATACACAAATACAAAATATCATGGCCCATCCCAGCGCGCCCGCTCGAGCTCCTGTACCCCTTCCCTCCTCCCAGACTCAGCCTTCAGCCTACATATACCCCCAAACGCATACGCCGACCCCATCTCAATCCCCTTCATCGTTCGAGGCGTGGCGGAACAGGCCAAAACGGACACAAAACTGGTCTCAGGCCCTCCCGCCGCCCAGAGACCCAGGCGAGCAGAGCTGGGGTAAGGGCGTAGGGGTCGGATCGGCTGAGTGGAGCGGGACGACAGCGGCGAGTAGTCAGCGGATAAGGGAGGCGGAGGTGCGGGCGAAGATGCAGCGGATGGCGGAGGAGCGGGATGCGCTAGCGCGAGCAGGACCTGATGTTGGGCCGGGATTGGATAAGACGGACGGAGGGACGGAACCTACCACTTTCAAGAATGGTCGGTTTGCGGCGGTGGAGAAGGAAGAGAGGGCGGGCGAGGTGGTCAGGGAACAGAGGAGGCTGGGGTCGCAAGGAAGCAATGCGAGTCGGAGTGTGGTCAATCTCCCTCAACAGCCAGGTCGAGCTTCTGCACTCGTTAAACCAAATCTTACAATACCGATCCGACCCCCCGGCGGTTCTGTCGTCCTCCCCGCTCGTATCGATCCTCGACCACCTCCTACTCCCTTCCTCGCGCTCCCGTCCCCCGACCCCGCCCGGCTCCCCTCACCTTCTCATACCCCAAAACGACAGCCCCCGGCATCACACCTCGGAACTCGTCCCGTTCCTATCCGCTCGATAGGCTCGGACCATTCTGCCCATTCTGGCACATCGGCCAGATCACAGCGAGACGCGTTCATCGAGTCGGCGCTGCATCTACCGATCGAGCTGCTTAGTGCTGTTCAGGCTGAGCAGCCCAATTCTCGGGCGCCTGCCGAGCCGGTACGTAAGTCCAAGTCGAATGTTAGTCAACGCAAGGGCAAGGAGGCGGAAGCGCGGAATGTGGGACGCGGAGATGGGGAGGCCGACACAGTAGGCGGGTCGGCGATTGCGAAGGGGAATAAGGGCGAGGGAAAAGGAAGAGCAGGAGGAGCGCCACTCGAGCCGGTCAAGACCTGGCCGAGGGAGACTCCGCGGTCTACTACTAAGGCGGAGATCGGTCATCTCCAGATCCCCTCGGCCCGTACACTCCGGTCAGCGCCAGCTCAGGCGCAGGGACAGTCTGGTCTACCGGCTCGGTCTTCGTCTATGAACGTCCCGCACCATGTCTACGCTCAGAGTGGTCCAATCGCCTCACCGCGACTCGCCGTCCCCGCCCTACCAGCCCCAAAACGTACTCCTTCACCCATCCATATCCCACCTCCCTCGGCATCTCACCTCCTCCTTCCCAAACACACGCCAAATCTGCGTCCTGCTCTTTCTCGCGGCGGGTCGGCCGATGCTCTCGGCCGGAGACAGCGGGATCCGAGCCTCACCAACTTGCTTCAGACGCGCTTTGAGCCGAGTACGTACCCGCTCCCGCCGAGCAGCGTGGAAATGAGTCCGGTGCGACCAGATCGGCATGACCAGCAGGTGAGCTTGCAGCTGCGGACAGTGTGAAAAGTGAGCTGACATAGAGATAGCCTCCAGTGCGAGCTTTGGGCAGTGCCGCTTCGCACAAGGCCATAATGCCGATTCGTGTCGAGGACGACCATTCGCTCACTCCCGGATCATCGTTCGACCACAATCACCGGAATCCCGGTTCGACCTCGCCACTGCCTCGCCCGGGCCATCGGTCCATCGTCATCGACCCTCCATCATCCGATGCCCATCTCAAGTTCTCCCAGCCACGGTCGTCCCAGTCATCACGTCCCGGCGCGCAAGATCCCACGGGGAATGAGGGAGACCGGATTTCCTTCGAGATTCCCTCCGGCACGCGCGGGAGGCTACGAGTCTCTCTCGCTTGGTTCCGAGATTCGCCGAGGAGGTGGAAAGACCGAGTCAGGTCGCCGAGGAGTGAAGAGCCGCCTCCGCTGCCAACGAAAGAGGGGCGATGGGCGAGAGAGGATCGGATACCGGTCTCACCACGACCCCGAACAAGGTCGCCCGGGGATGATCGCTCCCCGCCCCGCTCACGACCGCACTCGCCGCCCTACCCTCCCGCCAGGTCCAAGGAGCATCTCGCTCCTCCGGAACGAGACCGGGTCCGTTTCTCTCCTAATCCACCGGACGTCCGCTCGCCACCTCCTTGGCACGTTCTGCCCTCCAACCCATACCTTCATCCCGGAACGCCCTTCATTGGCTCGCCCGTCGCCTACCCGCCCCGTCCCGGTCCGCCGATTATGCCATACCCGCAGCCTGCCCCGGGCTGGCAAGGCATGCCGTACCCTACTCCCGGTCGTTTCCCGCCACCGGCGCCCCCGTCTCCCCGACCCAGCGTGGATCCGTCCTCGGATGGCTCGCCACCTGCTCTCAGGCGGCAATTCCCATTACCGCCTCCTTTAGCTGGATACCCGGGCGGTAGGAACGGTTTCGGAGCGCCGTCGCAATTCCCGTATGAACCCAGCATCGTCGGGCGTGGCCGTGGGCAAAGACAAGGACAGGGGCAGGGGCAAGAGGGTCTACCGTGGTCCGGAAGGCAGACTATGTGGCAGCGCATGTTTAGGCCGCAGAGGGATGACGAGCATTGGAGAAATGGGCAGAGGCAAGGCCGAGATGGGAAAGAGGGGTTGATACGGAACTGGAGAAGAGAGGTCCCGCCTGAGAAGGCCGGTACGACTTTCATCGGTGGAGAAAGCGGGTACGAGGGGAACAGACGGAGGCCGATCTGGCCATTCGGAACCGCCAGAGCCGGTCCATCTCAGACTCAGGCTGGATACCCCTCGACGTATCCACCACCGCCTCGAACTACCGCCGCGCGGACCAACATCTTCTCCCGCGCCCCTCGTCCCTTCAATCGCTCGGCCATACCCGGTCGAGCCGGCTCACCCATCCGCGTATCGGCGGAAGACGTTAAAGCTGCGCGTCGGGCCGAAAGGAAAGATCGTCGGGATCGTCGGAATGCGATGCAGGGGGTAGAGGATGGGCGGACGACACTGCATCCGTTTGACTCGGTCACGAGGGCAGGGGAAGGCAGGCGGTCGCCAGTCCTTCCTGCTCGAATGCGCCAGCAGCCTCCCCAACAGCAGGAGCAGCGGGGACAGAGGGGGCAGCAGCAAAGACAGCTGAACCCGATGGGGACGGGAAGGGCGGGCGGGATGGTCCGGGATTGGGTGAAGCGGGTCTCGATGCAGCCACAGCCTGGTGTGCGGACAGGAGGGTCCAATAGAGCGGGAGGGGCGTGGAAAGATCGCTTAAAAGCCCGAGGGGAAAGAGGAGGTATGGCTGGAGGTGGCGCTGGAGTCGGCATCGGAGCAGGAGCAGGAGCCAAGCTGCGCAGGGGAGACAGTGGACGTCAAAAGCAGACAGCTGGGAAAGGGAGTGGAGGGGTGAGAGGAGATAAGGGAGGGATGGGGAGGATGGGAGGGATCTTGCGGATGAAGAAGGTGTAGAGGGATCTCGAGAGTCGAAAGTGAAAAGGACGGTGGAGATGTATCTGTCGGTAATTGTCTGACGCACTGACGTTCCGACGATCAATTACGCAGGTATAGGTGCGTATGTACGCGTAGCCTCAACCACTGATGCATCTGACATTTCTCACCTGGTACATACGGCCTGAGTAAGGAGGTTATCGCATTCGGGTCCACATGATCCGAGTGCTTGCACCCCTGTGATGCCGACCACCACGTCCTCATGCTCGCTCAAATGATGTCCAGCAGAGAGACAGCCCTAGCGTATCGCCGCGGTCGCGACGCCAGGTGCGATTTCAAGCACGTGTGTCTACCGCGATCATACGTCTGCTGATAGAGGCTGCTCCTTTGGTTTCGGTGAAACGCAAGTCCTGCACAGCTTTTCCAGTGCATAGATCACAGAACAGAGGATCGCGTGCCGAGTTGGGGAGATCCCGGCCTGACTGCGATCGAGATCTGACTGGATAAAGTGCGATAGGGGTTCAAAGGAATGTTGTACAAACGCGTAGCATACACTCATTATAAGCTGATATCCTTATCTGCTTGCAGGGGGTACATAAGCGTCGCCAGCTCTACGGGGTTTTCTTATCGCTTCTCATCCTCCCCTGATCTTTCAGCTTCACTCGCTGGACGTCCCCATTTCCGACCTGCAGCCAATCCTCCCTACCGCGCCATGCACTCCACCATGCCACACCGTCATGACCACACTCTGCATGATCGAAGTCATCAGAACTCGAGCAACCCCGCCTCAGCTCGCACCAGTCGGCAACACACAGGCCGTTCGAGTCGTTCAAGCGCAAAGGATACGTCGGTGTCGGTTTCGTTCAACGTTGTGCCCGAAGGGGGTAACCGATGTCTCCTCGAAGAGGGCGCCCTGGCTTGGCACACTTTGGACGCACAATTGAGGTATGAGGACGAACAACGACGACGTGAATCACTGCAGGCGAGCGAGCGGCGGGGTCATCGCCGCAAGAACAAACGGCACAGTCGACATGGTCAGGCTCGGGAGAGAGGATCATCGCCTGATGGGCGGAACTACGGGTCAAAGAGCGGCGCATCTCGCGGGACACAAGGTGAGCGTCTGTCTTGAAGCAATGGTCCAAGCTGATGAGCTCGCTAATGAAGTAGCCGGACCGCACTCGAATACCGTTTCAACGGCTACGAGGACCCTATCTGCCCCCAGCACCCGCACTGAAGTTGACCCATCTATCGCGACAGGACAGCAGTACCTGACATACGGATACGAATCGCCGCAAAATGCTCAGCCGGAACCTTATCAGATGTCCATCGCTTGGCCTGGGAGTTACGGTCCTCCGCAAACCGCAACAGAGCAGCACGAGGGAGTGCCGATGTACGACCCCTCCCAGGATGGAGGCGGCCAGTCCATGCAGCTGCAGCCATACTGGCCGGCGGGCGCAATTCAGGGTGTCGGCGTGCCCATTGATGACGGGACCGAGGAGTATTGGGTGGAGTAGTGCATGATCTGTGCCATGCCAAGACTTCAGTGCAGGGCCGGAAATTCCCTGGTTCTGCCCCTGCGCGTATGATTCCGGCTGTGAATGCGAATGTGGCTGCCAGTCTGTCTATAAGAGGATCTGATGTATGAGTCCAGTGGATTGCTAGTATACCAGCGTGTACTGACCCAACGAGGAGGGGGTCTCAGGTCTTTCGAACATGACATGTCGGGCAGCGCCTGCTGTGCGTATGCTCTGACAAGCCTTCCAGTCTCCTGCAGCATCTCGGTCGAATTCTTTCGCGATCGCTGAGTGCACGTGGCCTTGAAGCTCATTGACGTCTTCGAAGGCGTTTTCCCGTCACGATAAGTGGCGTCAAAGTGGCAGACTGCTGTGCAAAAAGGCTGTGCAGGTTGAGCGCCGATGCTAGAGACACAGCGGTGGCCACAAAGGATACTTCATGACACTTTAGCTCATCCTTTGACTTTGAGCTACCCTGAGGATTCAGCACCCAGCTATCGGCACTGGGTACTGGGTACTGCACTGTCTGACTTCCACATGCAACACGCCTGCTGTATAGTCGGCGAATTCCTGTTCTACGTATATCTGAGCACCAGGTGTAGGTATCACGGCTATAGCCGGCGTGGCCAGAGGCGGAGGGTCCGCTTGACAGATGTGCAGTCAGTCAGGAGACTGATTGCCATGGCGTAAGGCGCCATATATCCCCAAGTGGCAATGAGTTCTGAAAGGATCGAGCAAGAAAGGTGGCCTGTAATTGCGCGTTTCACCTTGGGAAAGCACACCGCTGCAAGCGATACATAGGCACATCGCTCATCCCCCTCCCTCCCCCCTGTCCCACTACATGCCTCCTTCCTCTCTTCTTCTTCTCGCCTCATCCCCATTTTGATCTGTCCGAATTCACGCACGATGGCATACCCATACCAGTACTATGTTCCCAACGGGTTCTATTACCCTCCTATTCCCACGCCTACCCCCAATGCCACGTCGTATTTCTCCGCTCGTCACGGCCCCTCGACCCTACCGTCAGCTCGTCATTCAGGTCCCCCCCACCGGACGCCGAGAGACTCGCAAAAAGGTCGTGAACCTTCCATCCCGGCGGCGACGACCTACACCGGTACCACCATGCCATCGGCTCGCCATCTGGCAGTGGCGCCTTCTCGAAACCGAAGACCTCCTATGGCCCAAGGTGGCTATGCGTTCAAGCCGTCATCGCGTGATCCACAGACGCAGAACACGACGCGCAGGTCACGACGGCAGAGCGCAGCGGGTCAGTATCACCCGCAGCACGATTGGGAGCATGACGAGTGCCCTGCCCCCTCCGACGAGCTACCGATTGAGACCGAACACTACAGCATACCGGGACGCCGGGTCGGCCGATCCAAGACCACGGGGCCGGCCTCGCAACCACCGGGGAGCATGCCATCTGTTCGGGAACTTCTGTCACACGACCCATCATCGGATCCCCGTCGACGTCGTTTCTTGGCTCGACTCAACAAGGACATCGTCGAGCTCAGGGAGTCTCATTCCTGCCTTTTCGCAGAGTATCAAAGGCCTCAGAATGTGCGAAAACGTGTCGACCTTTTCACGGAACGCCTCATCGACTGGATGAGCGATACCATCAAAACAGCCGAGCTCAGTCCCCCTGTCCCATTCGACGCGTTGATAAACTGGGGACCCGAAGAGAACCGTCAGTTCTGCGAGTCAGTCGCCTTGACGCAGGAGAGTCGCCCGTTGCAGAAAGAGATCGTCGAGGCGTACACTGCCTTGGCGAACTTCGGCATGTCCGAGGATCAACGTCTGGACGCTACGAGTCCTTTCCACGTGATGGAGCTCGCAGCGAGGAGTGGCAAGCATGAGACCGAGCAGGCAATGAGCGCCTCCTCAAAGAAGAGAACTTCGAGAAGCGGGCCCAGCGGTGTTCCGCTTTCCAAGATCCTCTTCATGTGGGACGATCTGCTGGGCCAGATTGCGCGTGCCCGGGTCGCGCTGGATCTTCCATCCGCATCGCGAGAGTCTTACGTGTCCGAAGACGATGGGGATGAAGCGGAGGGAGGTGATTTCTGGGTTGACGGAGGCACTGATGACATTCCCGGAGAAGAGAGCGATTACGAAATTTGGTGAGCAGTCGCGCGAGCTTGCATGCGTCATGAGAACGCTGGGAGATTTGGTACGATTTCGTTACACGTGTGTATAAATACTCGACTGTGATCATGATCTTTGCATGCTACGTCTACACATGACTCGGATCACTTCTGAATCGAGGGGCTTTGCCCAATGCCTTATATGTCGTCAGATATAGGGTGATCAGGTGTTACTCCGAAGCCTAACGACGGCCAGCGACACATTCCTCAAAATGCGATGAATGCCGTCACAAGTTTCAGCCCCTCAAGTTTCAGCTGCTTTTAGTAGCTTTTAGTCAATATTGATGCCCCGTAAGCTCCCGTATGTTCACATCTCCTTGTCACAACCCTCGGCTGCTGCCTACCTTGCGGCCCAGCCAGACGCTATTGGCCGATAGAGGATTGTCCGGGAGCGTCAAAGGGACGCCTTCGGAGGCGCTACGCTGACTGATTCATCTGCGCTTAAACTGTTAAACAATTAACCTTAAAACCGTTTATCTCCGTCGGATGCTTTGTCATAACAGTCAGCAACGTGATCAATCAGCTAAGGTATTCAAGCGGAGAGTTCAGCAGCATGCGTGCATGAGGTATAAAGAGGCTGAGCAAGCCCCTTTTCCCCATTCCCACACCTACTTATAGCCTCTTTTGCAATAAGTATACGAAAAGCAACGAAGTCACACAATGTCAGTCCGGATCCCCTTCACGTCTCGTCCGTCGTGCTGACTCTGCAGGTCGACTTCCACCAAGCCCGTCATCGCCGTCGCGTTCTACTCCACCTATGGCCATATCGAGACTCTCGCCGAGGCCATCATCGAGGGCGCCAGGTCCGCCGGAGCAGAGGTCAGGCCGTACTTCATGTGAGTGGTCAGAACATCAAGCCCCACGCACGCAGCTGATGATGTCCAGCCGTGAGACCCTGCCCAAGGAGGTCCTCGATAAGATGTACGCCGGCTCCTCTCTTTCACCGAAGTACCCTGTCCTCACCCCCAACGACCTCAAGGAGGTAGACGGCCTCATCCTCGGCGCTCCGACTCGGTACGGCCGGGTACCCGCGCAAGTCTCGGCGTTCTTCGACGAGTGTGGTGGTCTTTGGGCATCGGGAGGGCTGGTCGGCAAGTTTGCTGCTACCTTTACTTCTTCAGGCGGTCAGCATGGTGGACAGGAGACTACTGCTTTGACGACCATGCCGTTCTTTACGCACCGTGAGTGTTGATCAGTTCGAGATTCGGGATGTAGCTGATAAGGACAGAGGGCAGTAAGTTTTCGTCTCTCCTCCAAGCCATACTCTTTGTCCTCTGGGCCGCTTCGGAGCTGGCCTTCGCGCTCTGCCTTTCTTCCAGACGGATCATCTGCTGACCCATCAGTGATGTACGTCCCCCTCGGCTATACCCACCCCTACGTCAACGACTACGCCAAGAATGAGATCCATGGTGGCTCTCCATGGGGCGTCTCGACCGTCGTCGGGTCCACCGGTGAACGTTCTGTGCTTCCCGAGGAGCTCGAGCTCGCGCGTCACCAGGGCAAGGTGGGCTCTCTCGTCTTGGACGGACCCCGATTTGATGATGAGCTGACATGCTAGTCCTTCGCCGAGACCGTCGGGACATTCGTCAGGGGTAAGACTGCGTGAGTATTGCTGGAAGCAGAATCAAGGGATCGGGCGGCTCGCCAGTACAAGTGAAGAGGCGGTATATAGCTCTTTTGCATCTTGTACGCGATGTCCCTGGTCCCCGAAAGTCTGCGTCCCTGCCTGGTAGCTACCTTCTCCCATGAGCCCAGGCTGATCTGGTCAGTATTGCTAGGGAGCGTACCCAAGGTCAAGGCAACGCCAGCGTCGCATCCCCTACTGCGGACGCTCACCGAGCCGTCCCGGCAAAGACCACCAGCAACACCGCGGTCAAGGGTGCGTACCTCAACCTCAACTTGAAGGCGGAGTCATCTTGCTGACGTCCAATAGATGAAGGTTTCGCGGTACCGCCGACCGCATCAGCCGAGCCGGCAGTGCCCAAGCCCGCTCAGAGTCCCACTCCCGCCGCCCCAACCGCTGGAGCACCTGTCAAGCCAACTCAGCCCAAAGCCAAGGGCGGGTTCTTCTCGTGCTGTGGGGCGAAGGGGATCGATCCTTAGATCTCATAGCTGGTGATAGTCGGCATATAGATGGACAGATACAAGATGTAAACAGCTATGCGTCTTCGGTATACCGGTGTCTCATGACGTCAGCGAGTCAATTCGAAGCTCGAAGTCGACGCGACCCAAAAGTGCACACCGGCTCTCACTCATCCATCTTCACCTCTATCACAACGTCTGCCCTCGGCCCCGAAGGAGTATGATCCGCCCAGCATGGGCTCTGCAGCAGATAGTGCCTCCTCTGGGTCTGACGTACTTTTTGTGAGCCTTAGATTGAGCGAGAGCCGCGGGATAGGGCTGATAGGCAGCACCGCCTGGAGAGTGTGCACCTTCGACCTAGGCCGTGAGCCTCACTTACCTTTGGCGGACTTGAATAGATACTGACTGGTCTGTAGCTCGCTATATCACCTCGCTCACAGGCCATAGTTATGCGGGTCGTAAGTCGTTTCGAACATTTTATGACCTTCCACGACACCGAGTTGATCATTAGCGTAGATGCCTACTCTGTTTTTGCTACTCTCTCCATCGGGTGCATCTCGATGCTCTACCTTCGACTATACTTCCTCCCTCGAGACCAGTCACGACCGCCCTTCAATCCACCCGCAGCTATACAGGCCAATGAGGTGATGTACGAATGTCTCTCTCCCGCCGAGGCTGCGGCGGTACGTCTCGCCCAGCGCAATTCCGCATCCGAACCCGCAACGGAGGTCACTCCGATGGTACCTGGTACTTCAGGGGAGGCGTTCTCAGCCCCGCTTGTCAATAGATGCTATCGCGATCAATGTGCTGGCCGGTGGAAACCCCCTCGGACGAGGCACTGCTCCCTCTGTAGAACATGCCGGAGCGGATTCGACCACCACTGTGCCATATTCGCCAACTGCCTTACTGCGCCACATATCCCCTCGTTCCTCTCGCTCCTCCTCTGTACACCGCCGACTGTCGGGCTCCTCATCTCGCCCATGATGTTGCCCTTGCTTCGGCGGACGAGGAAGGCATGGGCCATCGCATGCGTGGACGAGGGAATCCGGGTGAGGTGGTGGAATTGGAAGCCTAGCTGGGTGATTGCGGCCGGGCCGATGGGACGATGGGCAGGCGGACTGATACTGGGTTGGAAAGCCCTGGATAGGGTAGACGGTGGAGGGGCATATGGAGAGGTCAGGCTGAAGATTGGGGTGTTGGTATTCTTGGGCCTCCTCCTCTCCGCGGTTTGCCTGGTATGTCCTCTTCTTTCCAGGCAGACGCTTCCATTGACCATCAGGCGCTAGCATACGCGACGATCCAAGTCATCCTAGACGGCCACCTCACCGTCGACCGTGAACGCGCCCGGACTCATTCTCGCGCTCGAGCTTCGGTCCTCGCTCTACAGCAACAAGGACGTCCCGTCCCGTCTGGTCTCATGGAACAGATGGAGCGCTATGCGGAGCGGCGATGGTTCTTCGTCCCTGTCACACATGGTCCCAGTGACGGAGTGATCGTACCGACGTTACCTATAGACCGGGCCTACGATCTGGGCAGGAAAAGGAACTGGGCGCTCATTATGGGGAAGGGGTGGGGCTGGGTTTTGCCCTGGAATGCGGTGAGGCGGGGAATGGACATGCGGGCGGTGTGTCAGTGGCCGATCGCGGGGGGCACAGAGATATGGCTGCGTTTAAACGCAGAGAGGACAATCATAATCTCCGCCGCAGAATGGGCTTCAGAGAGTGAATGACATCTTCCGGGGTCTATGCATAGTTGATTCTACAAGTTGTCGAAGAATGATAGATCCTGCGCAGATAGTCCGCCTTTCCCTCCAGGCGCGCTATTTCCAGCAGGCCCACCAGTCCCTGGTTGAGCCGATCCTAGCCCAGAAGGCGTGGAGCTCCGTGGTGGCGTACTTGCCATCCCCGACATCCCCATACCCATCGCCATATCCATACCCATAAAGCCCTGCGGTGCCCTAGTGACATTTGCGGGACTCATCAGCCCCTGGGCTCCACCTTGTCCCTGCACGCTGGATCCGCTGACAGGCGAGTCCAGCGTCTCCTCTCCACCCAGAATGTCCACTCTGCCCGACCTAGAGCCTGGCCGCGGAGGCGGTGGCGGACTGAGGAACGGGAATCCCGCGCCAAATGACATGTTACTGCCACCTTGGCCCGATGGCGGTGGAGGTGGGAGGTTCGGGACGTCCGGCGAGGGCGGAGCAGGCCACCTCTTCCCCCGCGTTGCAGAAGCGTCATTGACAAGATTGAGGGTAGGCGTGTGATCCAGGCTCTGACGGGGTTTATGCGTCTGGATGGAGGGTGTGGAGAGGGATGATAGACGTGGGAAAGGTGCCGGCGAGAGGTGTGAGGAAGGTTGCGCAGGGGTGAAGAGGAACGGGATGCGCTGGGATGGGACAGCCACGGTACTGGGCGCAGGGGCAGTAGGAATGGGGGCGGGCGGGGTCGATTCGAATGCTGAGAAGTCACCGAAATCGTCGAATGTGCCCGAAGAGGTGAAGCTAGGCGTGGCGTTTTGAGGGTCTCCAAAGTCGTCAAAGTCGGAGGATGAGGAGGTGTGTTGCGGGATGGTGGGGCGGGTGGGTGCTGCCGGTGCAGGAGAGGGCGAAAGGAAAGATGCTGGATTTGGCTGCGGTGTAGGTGTCCTGAAAGTAGAACTGGACTTCGGAGGCGCAGGTGTGGGTCCTAAGAAGTCATCCCATCCGATGGGATCCCTGCTACTTCCTCCTGCCGCTATGGCACCCTCCGCTTGCCCTCCTGAATCCCCATCATCATCATACAGCCCCGACAACAAGTCCATGTCATTCCTCTTCTTCTGCACTCCTCGCCCAGCTCCACCCCCGCTGTTCTGGCGTGAATATACAGGCGCCGAGAATGCCGGCGGAGGAGCCAGGGGGGCAGGTAGCGGGGTCGGTCTGGACGCAATCATATTCTCCAGATTGGCCATCTCGTGCGTTCTTGGAACGTGCTGATCCAGCAGATCAGGGGGAGCGAGGGAGGGGACCTGATTGAGGAATGAAAAGTCGTCCTCGCCTAGTTCCAGGTCTTTGGCGTTATCTTCCGACTCGGGTAGAGGGCCGGAGGAGGGGTTCCGCCGCAGTCGGCCAAAGAAGCGTGAGACCGCCGAAGGAGCTGGCGCCGGTGCGAGCGCAGGTGCAGCCACGGGGGGTGCGGGATGTGCAGTAGCTGTCGGAAAGGCTGTAGTGGAGGACAGTGGGGAGGTAACGACGGAGACAGGGTTTGGACCTGTCACGTCCACCGGTGCTTCGAAGAGCGATGTCCGCCTCGACCCGCTTGGCGATTGCCCAAATGACGACCGAGCAGGAGTCATACCCGCCGACTGCTCACTCGCCGACTTGCGCAGGTCCGCCGAGCTCGGTCCAGCTGACAAACCTGCACTCATCCCTGCAGATCCTGGCGCTGCCTTCTCCAGCACCCCACCGCCGGATGTCGTCAACTGCCTCTCGGGCTGCGGTCTTCTGCCCCAGAACGCCCACCGACTCTTGCCCTCCTGCTCTGCTGGCGCAGCCTCGACGGCTACCGCCTCTGGCTCACCTAGTCTGGAGCGGCTGAGCCAGGCTGTATTTTGAGCTTGTTCGTCTTGTGTCTCGGTGCGCCGGGGCCGTTTCGTGCTGTTGATGAGCAGCGAGGTGGATGGTGCGGGGTTTGGCCGCGATAGGGAGGTGAGGTATGTGGTGTGGGTAGTCATCGAGGATAAGATTGGTGGGTAGGTATTGATGTCCGATGGGATGGACCCGAGGGATCGGAGGGTGTCGTCTCTGCTTGTCAGCGCTGCGATTGGATGTTCAAGCAGTCGCAAATCTGAGGCCTACCTGTCACTTTCCAGCTTCCTCATAGCCGTGCTGATACTCTCAATCTCTTCCTCACTCGGCATCGGCAGCTTGTGCAGTCCAATGACCGCATCGGCGACCTCCTTCCAGCCCGTCTTTAGTCTTTCCAGCTTATCGTGCGGCTGCGAGATCAGCTGAAGTCCCACACTTACCCATGAATGTACTCACCACCAGACTCTCCTGCATCTGGATCTTTCGCTGCGCCGCCTCCCAGTCCTGCTCCATTGCCCTCGGTTCCTGCACCTCGACGGAAGCAGGACGAGCGTATCCCCAACCCTCTCCGCTTTCCTCTTCCTCCCCATCAACCCTCTCCTCTGCCCTCAGCTCGGCGTGAGCATCGCCTCCCCATCCAGTCTCCACCTTTCCGCCCCAAGGATCCCCCAGACCGCTAGAGAACCCGCCAAAGTCGCCCTCGCCAAACGAGGGCGATTTAGGCATCTCGAACTTGGGCAAGTCTGATACGGACGTGTTCCGCGGTAAAGCAGCCGCAAAGGCCGCTTCTGGATCTTCCTCATCCGCGATGATGTTGGAGATGATGGGCGTCATCGACCGAGCTGGGGAGTGGTATGACAGAGGAGATCGAGGGGAGGAAAAGGACGGTAAGGCGGAAAAGGGTTTGGGCGGAGTGTGATGAGGCGAGCTGTGTGATGGGGCTGCCTCGAAAGACAGTCGAGGAGGAGGAGAGGTAGGCATGTCGAGGACTGTGCCTCCCCAGCTTGGCATGTCGTCTGCCTGTCCCAGAGCGGACGCGTTTGGTAAAGGGGAGGGAGATTCCGGTGGTCTGGGCACAGATGCCTTTGCACCTCCCCAGCCCGACTCTTGTCCCCATCCCGGGGTCTCTGGAGGCGCTTCCGACCTCTCCGGCGAACCTTGCGCAAAGCTAGGTCTGGACAAAGCGGTCGCGGCCGTAACTGCAGCCGGGGCACCCCATGGGTCCGACACGTCGAACGATCCCGGCTGTTCTGGCGGGGGCGTCATCCCCGTCCTTTTCGGTGGGGACGACGATGAAGGCTTGGCTGGAGTAGACCATGATGGAGCGGCCCATGGATCGTCCATATCGCTCCTTAGGTCGAGTGAATCTGAGCTGAGGGTGATCAAGGTGAAGTTGAGTGTCGTGTAAGGTATTTGGCTGTGAATCTGTGATCCGCAAAAGGCTTCCGTCGGAAGGACGTTTACGTTATTTCGGTGTCCAGGCACGGGGCAGCTGTCATGTCAACAGATGCAGGCGACCAACTTGAAACCATCATCCACCCATCATTGATCTATTATCGGGGTAAAGATGACGCAAGAGCGTGAGGCACCACCATTTTCCACACCGAATTCCGCTCGGATCAGGCATACTCCTGGATCCAGCTCGAAGACCCCACAACTCGCACAAGGGTCACCATCAAAGAGATCAACCCCCATCAAGCCCGAAAGCCCACCCTCGCGTACGCCAGGTAGCGCTCGGGCCGGGCCCGTCGACACGCCAGAGCAGAGCCGGCGAGCGCTCGCGATAGCCGCGTCTGAGGCATCACGTCGGCTGGCTCCAGCTCTCTTTCCACCGCGGTCGGAAAGTGCCCAGAGCACGACAGGGGAAAGGGAAGAAGGCGGGAAGAGTCTGAGAGCGAGGAAGGCGGTGAATTACAAGGAGATACCGCCGGAGCCATTTCCTCCTGCAGACAGGCTGCACTTGGTTCCTCGGGCGGAAAGTGAGTTTGACTACAGACACTAATAGACTATAACGAGCTGACTCTAGCAGAGACACCCGGTGCAGAAGCGAAGAAGAAAGCCCGACCCGCTGCTACAGCTACCTCCACAGACCTCACCTCTTTGACTGCCGATGACGCGCCTCCAAAGCGTCGGAGCGGGCCTAAGAGTACTTCGACCGACCCCAAGGTACTGGCGGCCAATAAGGTCAAGCGAGAGCGGTATGCTGCAGAAAAAGCAGCGAAAGCAGCAGCGGCGGCCGCATCCGGGACGGATACAGCGGAGCAGATGGCAGAAGGGAGTGCCAGTCGGGCGGGAAGCAGCTCTGGGGGAGGTGGCGGTGAAGGTCGTCCAGAGCTGGCTCAGGCGGGATCAAGCGAGACAAGCGCTGCGAAGGGACCAAAGTCGGCCCCGGCCCCTCGCCCTCGGCCGACAAAATCCAAATCTGCTGCATCGGCGGCCACGAGCCGGTCTGTCCCTCCCAGCGATGGACCGGCGGATACGACATCCCAGCTGCCGGTACCCGGCTCGGAGATGCAAGGGTCCCCCTCCTCCTTCGCCACGGCACGTACCAGCGCGACCATCCCCGCACCCAGCGACCCCAAGGGGAAGCGCAAAGCATCCGACTCTGCCTCAGCCGCACCCGCGGACGGAGAAGAGGCATCCCGGGCCTTTAAGCGGATGCGCTCCAACGGGCTTGCGTCCCCTGCTCTCGGACTGGAAAGCTCCATCCCATCCCTACCCGTTCTCACCCCTTCCTCTACCGCTGTGAGCCTCCCTCCACCGGTCCCGCCCTCTCCTCTCCCACGGCGTCAACCACCCGGCAGACAAGGCAGCTCTGCTCTCCCTGGCCGGACTGTGTCGCAGCAGCTCGAGGTATACTCTGCCTCGGCGCTGGGATACCAACCTCGGCATCCGCTCAGAAGCACCAGCGGAACGTCCGAGCCGAGCGCGACAACGGCGCCTGGCACTTCTCTGCATGTACACTCGGCCGGCGACGAGGGCAGATACAAGCCCATTCCCAATCCCATGACCCTCGCATTTGCCCGCGCGTCCCTCCTCGACCCCTCGTCGGCCGATCACCTCCCGCTGGACATGCAGCACTATAAACTCCTCGAGGACATGTTCACGTCAGACCAAGCGCGCTTCGCGGGCACGCATCAACTCGTGCAAGACTGGGCGGCGGAGTTTCTCCGGATCGTCGCTACGCGGCAACATGTGGCGAGCGGGGAAGAGGCGATGGCTCTCCGGATCATCGAGCTCGAGGCCGGAGATGCGGACAGGGAGGAACGGAAGGCTTTTACGACGCATCAGGCGAAGCAAGTGTCTGAGCTGTCTGAGCGGGTGAAGGCGATGGAGGCGAGGGCGGCCAAGCAACAAGCGGAGGAGAAGCAGAGGAGGGATGCGGAAGCCAGGAGAGGAACGGAATTGGCGGACCTGCGGAAAGAAGTGGAGAAGGCGCATAAGGATAGGGATGAGGTGCGGGATGCGGCCAAAGAGGTTGTGACGAGATTGGAGGAGAAGCAGGCAGAGTTGGAAGAAGCGAGGGAGATGTCAAGAGAGTATCTCAAGACGAGAGATGATGAGATTGATAAGAAAGAGGAGGTGGCTAGGGAGAGAGATGCGCTGAGAGCGAGGGTACAGGAGTTGGAGGGGACGGGGGCGAGGAAGCGGTAGACCGAGTTGCTGTGCATTCTTGGGCGTGGAGGAGACAGAATGGGGCAGTGTACATAGGGACATAGCTCTTATGATCTAGTATCTTGTATTGCATATATGCTCCTGCTCTTAGCTTGGTCAAGCGGCCATAGGTGGCAGGTCTCCAGCTAAGAGCGCACATCTGACGAGGACGACGCACGGACGAGGCATCTGCACCCACGAACTCCTGTGACCCTTGGGATGTGTGGTTGAGTCATTGACCTCTTGCACCTCAATCCCAGGCGGAAACATCTACTCCGACCACTCCCTTCAGGTCAGAAGTGGGAGGACCAGAGACCAGCCTATATTCCTCCCGAGAGATGCTCTCGCCAATGTCGAAATCCGCCCTAAAACTCCCCTCCCTCTCCTCCCCCTCCGAACCCCCCGTCTCGCCCCACACCCGCCAATCATCCCTCAATATCGCCCGCTCCCCACTCATCTCCCCCTCTACTTCACACTCATCCATAATGCCGCCCTCCGGACCCATCCTGTCCCCCGGTATAACAGGCACCCACTCGCGCAAGGGCTCCTACGTCCCGTCGAGCGGGATGGACCGGACATCCGAGGAGCTTCCCGGAATGCGGAAGGCGTACGCCTATGGATCGAGGGAAGAAGGTTTGGATGACAGTGTGGGAGATGGAGAAGCAGGGGAATTGATGAGAGATCCAGAGGCGTTCGATATGTTGCTGGATATGGATGGGAATGGGCAGGTCGAGAGACGGGGCGGCGCCAGTGAGGTGCGATATGAGGGACCCTTCCAGCCTCCGGTGGGGAAAGAGATGGTCGTGATTATTGCGAGTTTGGTCGGGGTGCTGGTATTGGCGGTAGCGGCGGGGTTTACGACGGTGTATGACTGGGTGCTGTAGTCAGTACGACGGTGGAACTGGAGGGTACGTCACGCATAGCTCATACGTGTATACTGTATGTATGGCATCGCTAATAATTCAGATTCAACACTTCCAAGATACACTACAGCTATAGCTACAATCTGGACTGGCCCTCCTGCTCGACATCCAAGTCCGCCCCTCGGATACGCCGATCCGTCGCCCGGGCATACAGCTTGGCTTCAATCTTGTCCTTGACGAATTTACCCGTCCGCGCGATTTTCAGCTGGAAGATGCCTTTATGCTGGGGTGTCAGCGGACTGAAGCGAGGTGTGGCGCTAGTCAGGGGCGGAAAGAGCAGAGATCATGATAGGGAGCATGGAGACTTAGACTGGGATAGCATACGATAGAGAGGACTCGACTCACGCGTTTATGCAGAGCCTTCTGGTGCGCTCGACTTTTACTCATGAATCCCTCATCGCTATCCTCATCGCCCACACTTCTCGCACTCATAGCACTCGCCCCAGCGACACTCCTCCCGCTCGGTGTCCTCTTGACCCTTCTCTCAGCTCCCTCATCCTCACCATCACTATCCGTCTCCTCCCCACTACTCCCCTCATCCTCTTCATCTATCCTCGCCGTATCTCGTCCCACACCCAGCTCTTTCCGGACATCCCTATCCGCCTCCCACGCTTCGTACACCTTATTGAACCGCATATCCTTCTTTGCCAACTTCCTGTGCGCCCTACTTACCCCTGGCCTCAGCGCCAGACCGAGCGAAACAAAGCCCAGAATGGGCACCTCTCTCGTTGGCGCCCTGACGAGCGGGACCCCATCCTTGTTGGCTTGGACCTCGGCGTACGCCTGTCCCGCTACGATCGCGTCCTTGACGGACGACGTCGCGAAGATGGGTACTGTCCGCATAAGGTCCGTATTGTCCTCCACCTCGTTCAAGCGGACACTGGCGAGCCCGACAACGCGCTTCTTGCGCATGACGCCATGCCGGGTGATGAATGACACGAGGACCGAGCAGGAATGGCGATACTCCACCGCCAAGCGGATGGGGCGGGTGATATCCCACTCCATCTCGCCATCTTCTGCTGCTGCGCCATCAATACCAGGCGAGGGTGGACCGGCAGATCCGGGTCCGAAACCAGGCGAGCGGGGAGAGGAGGTTGACGGGCGCGAAGGGGAAAGGGCGAGCGAGTTCCGATTACTGGTGGGCGTATCCGACGTATCTGACCCCAAGACGAACTTGTCTGCCTCCGTCTCGAGCAGGACCGAGATGCCCTTCTTGTCCGCTAGGTGCGACAGGTCCGTTGCGGCCAACGACTTGATCTCGAGGGTGGCAATCTCGAATGCGGAGACCCGGGGTGGTAGGTGGATGTCGATAGGTTTCCAGAGCAGGGAGATGCGGATTCGGCCCCACCCTAGTCCGCCCACGAGGGGGTACCACCTGCTCATCAGCTTCCTTCCCCTCCCCTCCGGTGGTTGCTCTATAGGTATACTCACCTGGTGAACTGGCTGCGCTCCTTGAAAGCCTCCTCCAGCCTCAACGTGACGATACCTAGAATAGGATCATGCTCCCGATCTCTCTCGTCCCTTACCACGAACACCAATTTCGCCGACCGCCAATCACGCAAGAACCGCTCGCTCACTGCATTAAAGTACGGGAGGGGCGTGACTTGTTTCGTTCGGGTACGGAAGACCATCCGGTCGTTGAGATGTACTTCGACGTACGAGGATGGCGGATCGGGGTTTTCGGCGGCAGTACGATCGGTGAGGTCCGCGAGAGCCGGTCGGCCCCCTGCAGCCGACTTTCGCGCCGAGGAAGAGGCCGAGTACGTCCCGTCTATACTTTCCACCTCCAGATCTGGTTAATGAGCTTCGTCATTTTTGTGTACCATATGTGAGAAGCTGAACTCACCGACACATTGATGTATATGGAACTGTAGCACCCCACTCCGATACCCCTCCGCCGGCTTATCCATGACCTCCATCTCATCCTTCTCCCTCTCGCCCAAAAACCACTTGGCCGTCTCTTTATTCCGCTCAGACCGCTCGCCGACCCATTCAGGCTTCTCTCCCACAACTCGCTCCACCCAGTCAAACCACCAGGGCGCCGCCTCATCGCAGTCTCCTTTTCTTTTGCCTAGCTTTCGATGCTCTTCGACGCGCCGCCGAGCCTCTTCTGGCGGGAGATGCCAGAGCGGCGCGAAGCGGACCGACCAGGTCAGGGAGCCAGAGACGCGCATACCGGGCTTGTCGGACTTGAGGGCGTCATTGCGACGGATGGGGTCGGAATGGGGCGAGGAAGAAGCGATATCGAGAAGGTCGGCGAGCTCGACCTCTACGATACCGACGGCATCATCGGCAGAGAAGCGGTCGGCGTCGCAAATGCGCAAACGGAGGCTCTCGCCTGACTCGACCTCGTCGGATGTGACCAGCACTGGAAGGTCAGGATGACATCATTACTCGTCGATACGCGAGCCGTTCAGCTCACCGAATGCAGGCTCTTCCCATGTTGGGTTCTGATTATCGATGATTGTCCGCGTGCTGAACACTGACCATCAGTATTCTGCGTATAACAAGTATACAGGCAAAAGCTTACTTGGCTTGTGGTACTTGGCAAACCCGACGGCGACATACGGATCGCACGTGCCCATTGTGTCCACCTTTGGCAACCCCTCCGCCGAGTGGATGATGATATGCAGGACCCCAATACTGGTCGTCCTGAATGCTGCTTCTCGACCGAGAAGTAGCCGATCCACGTCGAGCGTGTAGGACTCCGGCCGTACAAACGTGCGAGCGACATCCGCTATGGACGCTTGTACTGCATGGTCAGGTTCGCCGCCCCTCCAAGAATTTGAACAGACTCACCATAAGGCTTCATCCCCGGCAGACTCATCGCGTTAAACGTCGACCTTGTAAGCGGTTTCGCCGAGATATCGAACTCCGGCAATCTCGGGAAGCTGATCGTCGCCGTGCTCGCAAAGGGCGGAGTAGCGGATAGTAGGATCCGAACATTGATCGTCCCCTTGATCGCCAGCATATCGATATAGACTGGCAATTCCGTCCTCCCGAGGCCCTTGACGCCGATCCCAAAGTAGCCCAGGACGTGCAGACCATACCCCTTTCGGTGCTTGGTCGATTCGGGCCGAGCGTACGAGAAGCCGATTTGGAAGTTGACGTATTGGCCTGCTTCTTGCGGATCTTCCTCCTCGTCCGCGTCGATGTCATCGTCATGGTGCAAGGGAGATATGAGAGTGGGGGAGTCCGGACTATCGCCGGTGGGGTGGTCCTTGAACGTCCTCTTGACACGCCGCAGGACTCGATCCCGCCGCCTCCGCTTATCCGCCTCGTGCCGACCATCCCCTACATCCACTGCGCTCGTCAGACTGCTTCCAGATGCGCTCCTCGATCTCCCCATCCCTTCTGAAGGCCCAGCCGCAACCCCGTCGCTCTTCCCTCTCCTACTGCCCTTCAACATGTCCCCCAAATGCCGCCCGCTCACGCTCTTTCGGTGTGCTTTGACTTCCGGTGTACCGGCTGCAGTCTTGGAAGATGGGCCAGGCTTCGAGACGGATGCGAACCACTCCTCGTCGCTCATGGCTCGAAGAGAAGTGAGAAGGAGGGGCTGGCTGCCTAGTGCGGGAGCCTCGAGCCGGACTGAGGTGACGATAGGGGGAATCTGCTGGATAAGGGCATCTTCGAGGAGGTCGATAAAGGGAGTGAGGACGTCGGTGGAGATGAGCGGAAAGAGAGCGTAGAGAAGGTGATTTCTATTAGGTGTCAGGGGCGTTTCATGCAACGCTGAAGTCACTCACACCCATCCCACAGCATGCTTCATATCCGCCCTATCTTTCCCCAATACCCGCACATCCTCCTCATTCTCCACTTTCACTGTCGCAGCCTGAACCGTCGCCCCTGCCCCACCCACGCCCAGCAGGATCAGCCAGAGCGGCACTATCCTGAAGTAGGCCAGAATGACCACACCGACCGTGACCGCGATCCAGGTTGTCACGGGTGGCAGACTCTCGGGGATCGCCAGGGGGACCACGAGCGGAGAGTCGGCGGCTTTTGTAGGTCGGCGAGGGAGAGGCGGGGGTACGGAAGAAGCTGCGGGTGGTGGGGAAGAGGGGATTGTAAGATATGGGGGAGCGGTATGGGGAGGTTCGGGCAGCTCCTCCCGAATAGGCGGACCGGGCAGAGTGGCCGTAGCTGGTGGTTCGGGCACTGTATAGTCGATCTCTCGCGCTACCGTGACGGAAGCAGCTGTGACAGTGGTGGACGGAGGTGTCACCGGCGAAAGGATCTGTGGTGTCGCCGGGGTGATCTCCACCGATATTGGCCGTGGGGCGATGTGCGGTGCTGCCTTCGTCTCGGTCTGGAGTGGCAGCGCGGCTTGAAAAGCCAACGGTGGAGCGAGAGGCGAAGAGGCGATCTGCCTAGGCCCTCGAGGTGGGAGTGGAGGTGGTGTAGACATCGCCGAGTCCGAGTCCTCACCGTCGGATGGTAAGGTGCTGGAGATTGGCTCTTGTGGCTGCTGCAGTGCCGACGGCTTGCGTGGGGGCAGAGCTGGAGGGAGAACTTCGTTTGTCGACATTGTTGAGGATACAGGTAGATATGGAGGTCTGAACAAGAGGGGATGCCATAGGCGGAGCTGAGCAGCCAAGGAGACTAGCAGGGTGAAAGGAAGGTCGCCAAGAACCGAACAGCTCTGCTGAGGACAGCAGTCTTCCCTCCACTATCCCCTTTCTGTAAGGTTTTCCGAGGACGAGGTACTACCCGGATCCGATGTGAGGTGTAGTGGAGAGACTGAGAGGCGAGTATAGCAGACGGTAGATGTGCGCTAGACTTGGGCGCTGCACCGCTCACTGCAGCTGCGGCGGGCGGCCTTAATTTCAGGCACCGAAACGGATGACGCAATCGCCTATTCTGAAACCAGGTCCGTGTGTCACATTCCTCGTGTGTTCGGGCTGAGGTTGGGGCTTAGCCCTCGGACATCAACGTCGGAGTGTGTACAGCTACAGTCCATGCCATCGAGCGAGTCCTACTATACACTCTCGTCTATCATCTACATCATCACAGTAACGCCCACCCGCCAAGCATTACTGCTAATGTCACTACCACCGCCATTCCGCCACCCATGCCGGGTCCCGCCTCTACACCCCAAATCACCTTACTTCCATAACTCTCGCTCCCATTCCCAGTCCCATTCGTCCCATTCTTCACTCCGCCGGGCACCGTCATATTCCCGCCTCCCGCACCACTTCCTGAGGGCTTCGGAGCGGCCGATGCGCCCGAGACGCCGCTGACCGAGCCGGACGCGCTAGGGTTGGTGATGAGGTTGGTACCCGAGACGTTCACTGGCTGGACACCCGTCAATGCGCCGTTGGAGGGCGCTCCAGACGGCGCGACGGCCGAGGACGACGACGCAGTAGGACCAGCGCCACCTGGACCGCCAATTACGGTAGGTGTCCAGGTAGTGAAGCAGCACTGACCATTACTGGTGGTCGTCGTTTCGTCCCTCTTCAGTATCAAGCCGGCTCCGCCACCTCCGCCACCTCCGCCACCTCCACCACCACTTGAGCCGCTCGATGATGAGGAGGGCGGAGCGGAGATGGACGAGGGCTTGTCAACCTCGACAGCTGCGAGAGCCCCGCTACCGAGCTGCGTCATACCCTGCTGGATGGTCCCGCCCGCCGAAGCCGAGCTCGAAGGACACGGTATACAGGTGGGAAACCCGACCCAGCTAGTGGACGGCGATGCAGCCGGAGGAACGCTGGAAGCCGAACCTTGAGGCTGGGGTGGTGAGTGGTCCCCATCGTGACCGCCATTACTGGGAATGGAGCCGGTCTTGCAGTCTTTCCATTCGGGCGCCTTGTCGCCTTGTTGAGCCGGGGGGAGACCGTCATCCGATGTACATGATTGGAAAGTCCCGCTTGCTCCGACACCTTCTGACAGGAGGACGTAGCAGCCCTTGTCGGCGAAGTTGGTAGGACAGTATCTGGACATCAGGGCTGACTCCCATATCGTCGGCCCACCACCAAAGCAGACTGTACGCGAGGAGGAACAGGTCACGGGGACGGGCACTCACGCTTTGTCGCCAAAGCAAGCCCGGAAGCAGAACGTATCAGGCGATATCATAGTCTGTATCATCAGCTTGCCTCACAGCATAGGTATTGCTCGTCATGGTCTCATGGGAAAAAGGGAAGATTACGCACCACCCAGCTAGATGCCTCCTTCTTGTCCGCCCCGCCAAACACCTTCGCCCCATCCGGGTGATGTTCGGCCGAGTCAAATTGACCGCCCCAGTCCCCTGGCTTGACGTTGATCTTTGTGAGGTCACCCCTAGACTGATCAGCTCTGGGCCACCAAACAAAGCTGGCAGGGACTAAGCTCACATGCCCGAGACTTGAACCCAATTCTGCGCCTTCATATACGTCACCCCCGTCACCGCACCGTGTGGTATCACCCTCGTCCCGTGTCCTGCCTATGTAATATCAGCGTCGTGTCACCTAATATGATCAGAAGCGGGACTGACATTGCTGCACCAGCTGACCACGTCGTCGTCGCTCTGCCACAATGGGCTACCTGGCGACTTTGGGGCGTAAAGGCAAAAGTCCTCATGGCTGGCTATGAAGACTTCTCGACTATTGGAGTTCTGTGCCTACTGGTCAGATATTACTCCATAAAAAGTCTGGGAATGAACGCACGTCATCTCGCCTTGATGGTGCTCCAGTGGCAGGGATATACTGCGCACTAGCCGGTTGCAGCTGTGACAACAAGGGCAGTATGGCAATGAGGATTGAAAGAGATGTTGTCCAAGCATGTGATCTGAACATCGTGGAGGACTGAATCTGACAGCCTTGGCTGGACGTGTTGGTCAGCCTGTGAGTTACGGTCTCGCAGAGTGTCAGCGTAGGAAGTAGCCGTGTAGTCCGTCGCTATAGCTATCGTTGACAGTGGGGAGCGCAACAAAGCCCCCTCTGATGCATGTCTCGTCCGTTCCCTCGCCACTTTAGGGAGATCGACGAGAAAGGATATGATTGTCGCGAGTAAGGGGTTTCGAGGGGAAGATAAAGGAGCAAAAGGTCAGTGCTTTAGGGGCTGCGTTGGATCATGAGGAGCGCCCGAGCTCACTCGTTCGCCTAAATCTGGAGGACGACAGGAAGCTGGATCAGCAGCCATACACGTTGCTCCTGCCTCATTTTGAGGCGGCTGGCTGGCTTGAGGACATGCAGGGCGAGAAGGGAGGAGGTACGATTACAAGAAGAACAGAGGCCTCTGTCTGACGGTTGTCAGGCTAATCGATCGGCCGCAGTAGTCGGATAACGATTAGCGGGATCAAATAAACGCGTTTCTTTTGAGGAATGTGGAGCTGAGCGCTGCACCTACGCATCTGAGCTCTGAGCGATGTACTCATTGCCTTCCAGCCCTCGCATCTTTTAGACCAGCATGAGGCCATTCGCAACGCTTGCGCTGACGCTGGCACTCGTCCGCGATGTACTGGCGGGAGGTGACGATGCCTCGGCGGACAGCTTCTCGCACATGATCGAGAAGGTGCGTCTCGCCTCATGTGCCCCGGACCGCTCGGTTGGTGCGGCGACGAGGCTGACAGCCAGGTCAACAATCTGAGGACCCATTCGCTAGCTCCTCCTTATGTGGATAGTGATCTTCAGAACCGATGGTAAGCTGAGTGTGGTGTCGAGCACGACCGGGAGCGAGCTGACAGGCTAGGTGGGACTTTGGCGCAGACACCATCATAGTACGCCTATCCCTGGGTCGACATGGCGCCTGACCGATATGGTCTAGCATAAGATCAGACTGACTCTGTAGAATACCAACAAACACGTCCGACTGGTACAGGACAAACCCTCTCAAAATGGCTACCTCTGGTCCCGAATGCCTTTGTCGGTCATGAACTGGCAGATCGAGTTCGAGTTCAAGGTGGATGGGTCCGCTCACAACATATACGGGGATGGCTTTGCTTTATGGATATCGAAGGACAGAGCGAAAGTGGGCCCGGTATTTGGAAGCGTCGGTAGGTCTCCCTGGCGTCTTACAGCTCGTGAGAATGAGGCATTCGATCGAATCAGGAGCTAATGAGCAGACTATTTCACTGGACTGGGCATCTTCTTTGACACGTGCGTCATCCACTAGTCCTATCTTTCGCGATGGAAAGAGTGCCAGCTCATCAGATAGCTACGCAAATTCACGACATTCGTATTCTTGGCCCCGGATATCAGCTATGATGGGGGATGGGAAAACCAAGTATGACCACGACAACGATAATGCAGACAACGAGATCGGTGGATGCTCGGTTTGTCTTCCACATTTGTACCGTCCGGCAGGGTCTTGCAGATGCTGACAGATCAGGAACACTTCAGAAGACGAGACTTCCCGACTAAGGCTCGTTTGACTTACCTGAAGTCTAGCTTGCTGCAGGTCAGTGCGTGTGCAGCAAGTGAGTGGATTAGGCTGACCTCAACAGCTGCAGGTCATGACCCGGCATCACGACGAGTGGTCTACATGTTTCGAGATTGAGGCGAAATTGCCGGACCAGCCGTATATCGGCTTCACAGCCGCCACTGGGGACGTCTCAGATGATCACGAGTACGTCGCACCTTTTCCTACATTCAACGCGGCGATTGCTGAATTTGTAGTATCATCACCGTCACTACCAACTCCATCACGCTCACTCCCGAACACCGCCCCCACTCCAGCAACTCCGCCAGCGGCCAAAAAGTCGGCGGTGCAGTCCAGGCGCCAATGGCCGTTCCGACGGATGCTGCGGGTAAGAAGGTCAAGCGGAAGACGAAGTCTGGGAGTGGAGGAGCGGCAAATGCCTTCTTGTTTGTGTTGAAGGTGAGTAATGGCTCTTGAGTGCGGGGAAGGGAAAGAGGATGTGTGCTGAATTGATAGATGATCGGGGTATTGGCGTTTATCGCTTTTGCTTGGGCTGCACTGGTGAGTCCACTGCAAATGACCGGAAGGATAACGAGCTGAGATCCTCAGCGCACATATAACGCGCAGCAGAAGTCGAAGCGGACTTGGTAGTGATCTCTCCCGAAGCACTATGTGCCTGTTAATCAAAAAATTTCTCACTGTCGGTGAAACTCACAGCTGCTAACGAGCTTTTGTTCTGCTCACGATTTCACGTTCTCGTGTGGTTGAGTAACAAGCAAGTAAGCGTACTGGAGCACTGACGAACCCACTGAGCCAGATACGCGGGAAGAGACGTTACTGAAAGGGGAGAAGGTGTAGGTGGGAGGGGAGAGGGACATGGGATCTCACCGGGCAGGTGTGCAGTACAGCAGTAACATCCCCCTGCAGCGTTCGTCATGGTCGTACGCCTCTAGATGCGGTCATCGGTCATCGTGTTACGCCAGAATGTTTGCATGTGCACAGTCGTTCCTCACTTCTGACCCGATATTAAGCCCGAGAAGTACCTTGCCGCCTTTAAGCACCCAAAAACGCCCGACGGTCTCACAAAATGACGATATTCTCACAAACCCGGAAGGAGCCATCACAACCCCGCTGCCAGTGCCCGGTCAGATCGTGGTAGAGGAGCTATATTCTGAAACCAGTGGATACCAATGCTGGGATGACCTGCTCCGCGCGACCGCGGTCAGTCGCGTAGACCCCGCTGTAGATCGTTTCGCGGTTGAACGGGTCAAGAAGTGACCCTCCGCCTGGTTCCTCTGCGTCTAGGCTGGCCTTGAGAGGAGGAGTCAGGTGCTCGCGCAGTGATGCTAGGTCTGTCCGGATCACCTTGTCTTTGGCGGCGGCAATCATGCTGAAGTGTTCCGCATCATCTGACCGAACAATCAAGGGCTCATCGAAATTCGGCGTAGGCACGGGAGCTCGAGTGAGGGTCAGGAGGTAGTTTAGGCCAGCCTGGTGATGCTGATGCTGCGCAGTGCCGCCTGTAGGAGTCAAGGTAATGACTGGGAAGATGTTGTAGCTCTGGATCGGATGGTTCCTCTTTGTCTTGATTGACACATACCTCCCGAACCCCAGATAAGCCGTGGCCTGGGAAGGAAAGGCCCAGAGCACCGGCTCTTCGCAATGCGGATCATATTCGTCATCAATGGGCTTGGGTTCGTCGATGGCTCTCCATGCACCAGATGCACCCGAACTCCGGCTAACCTCAGCCCACCGCAAAGAGACGCTTTGGAGTGTATCGACGAAGCTAGCAAGAGGGTATTCAAGGCCCGGCTCAAAGCTCGTGCTCATTCGGCCAATCATGTCGGCGTCAGGGTGATCTCCCGGAAAGAGGCTGTTGATGGGTATGTTGATTTGCGTGTCGAGTGACTTTCTGACCTCTGGCGAGAGTCTCACCCCGTCAGAGCCGGCCCTGATCTTCGACCGGATCTCATTCCTCTCTGGGGCATAACGGGGCGGTATTCGAAGGCATGTTTGAGCGCGAAGCTGGGACTTGGACCGCTCCGATTGCAGCTGGTACGCTTGCGTGGTACTCAGGTAAAGTATGAGCGGCTCTGTGCCCGTTGCGGCGTCTGTGACTGTAGCAGTCGACCCGTACTCTGTGTTCTGGAGTGTTGTGGCTGAAAAGATCGACGCCGAGTCATCATTCTCAGTTGATATTTGTGGAGTGTAGGAAGACATATTCGCGCGGATTCTCAAGGTGTGAGTGGGTGAGGGAGACAGTGATCACGGTGAGCGAGTAAGTTATGTAGCAAGATGGTATGCTCGGAGGGCCCAAGTGCTGTTGCAATAGTTGAGGCAAAAAGCAAGGAGTTTCGGCTGGTACGGGCTGTAAGCTGTAGGTATGTGATATGTACGGACGGAGGGGATAGCCCACTCTGCACCGCTCTATATAGGCAGACAGGAGAGGCTCGGACACCTGTCCTCCTTTCTCCCCCTGTATGACGTGCGAGCACGATCGCATTCTAGCTATAAAATCCTTTGTCCCTTATCATCTACCGAAAAAGAACAGCGCACGTGCTTTAGTGATCCTACTTAGGCTGAGAACATTCTAGTGTCGGTCAGTCGCAAGCGCATGACCACCCGGAACGATTGAGGGATCTGTAAGTAGTATGTGTAAGAACCATTGCTATAATAGCTCAGCGCTCAGCCTCCAAGCCCGTAGTAAGTCGCATACCATCTACCTAGACCCAGAACCCCCAAACCACAACCCTCTGAGACCCCTCACAAACTGTGATAGTCATCAGCCCTCCCCACTAGTGCCGCCATGTCGACGTAATCTCATTCGCCAGCTTCTCCAGCTCCTCCGTCATCCTCGTAGTCTCCTCCTCGTCCATCATCCCCCCTTGCGCGTCCCCATGCAACATCGCCCCTTCCCCCTCACCTCCTCCTCCCTGATGCGCCCCGCCCGCATGCCCATGTCCATCACTATTGTCAAGAAGCAGCCTGGCAGTAGCCGTAGCCGCAACAGCGGCACGGAGCATATCGGCGTGGGAAGGCTCGATATGCGGGACAGGAAGCGAGGATGTGGGTGTACTGAGGCTGGGATCGATCATTGCCATATCAGAGCCGAGGAGGTCCGACGAGGTGCCAGCAGGGAGATGACCGACTTGGGATGCGGTGTCGACGGGACCGATGGAAGCCGAGGGACCGCCGAGGTGATGTAAGGAGTCGTCGAGATCCGCAAAGTTGAACTCTTCCGCGAGGTACAGTTGTTGATCCGTTCCCGCCTCCACGCCGCTTTGACCCTCATGTGCCGCCTCGGCGTCGGACATGAGATCACCCAAGACCACCTCCTCCCCTCCCGCCTCCTCTGCCTGAGCAGCCTTGCCCTTCCCCTTCGCCCGCTTAGGCCTCGATGCCTTCGCTCCTCCCGCCTTGCCATTTCCCGGTCCCTCCTCGGCCGCAAGCCCGTCCCCATCCTCGTCATCCTGCTGGACCTTCCTCTTCCTCCCCTTCTTCGTCGCCACCTTCTCCGCACCCTCGACTAATGGCGTCGACGCCCCGCTCCCACTCCCGCCCGCTTCCGCCTTCTTGCGCCGCAATGGCGGCCCGACCTTCCGATATCGGTTGTACAGGTCCGGGTACTTGATGTTTAGTCCGTAAGCCATGATCGGCGGGAGATCCTCGTCTTCGTCCGCGACCGGTTCGCCGGCTGCGAGTGCCTCGGCCCGTCGGATCCGCTCTGCCTTGACGTCCTCCTTGACGTTGAGGAGAGCGAGGATATCATGAGGTTCCTTGCCTTTGTTGAATTGAGTGACGAGCCAGTCGTTGACGGGTTGGGGAAGGCGATAGGTCTCAGCTTCGTTATCCGCGAATGGGTCTGTAGTATAAGCTTGGAGTCCTCCGTGAAAGTGAAGAGCTCGGAGCTCACCGTGCCCATTGTGCTTCCACCAGAACGCGACCTTGATCTCCCCATCTTCCATCTCGTTCATCACGACCCGGCTCATACAGCCACATTTGACCGATACCTTCGTGTTCATCCGCTGACGCTCTTGAGGCAAGTCGCTGTTGTGCTGGGACTCGTACCTGATGATCAGCTCGTCTCGGGCCAGGTATGACTGGAGGCCGAAGACCTACTTTCCAGCGTGATGGCATGTATAGGTGATCTTGTGCACCACAGCGGAAGTCCGACTTCGATTCCGTTTCTTCAGCGGGGGTTCTCGAGCTGCTTCTTCCGGGGTCATCGCTATCCTGATCAGCCGTAGTCCTCCAGGAAACTTGGATATGACCTCACCCGCTAGCTTCCGCTCATGCGCTCTATCCCTCGCCTTGGCACGCTCATCCGCCCTCTTTTCCGGATTAGTGATCCTCCGCTGGACATAATGACACCAGCTACTTTCGGCCGCCATCCACACGTCAAACTCCGCCTTCGTCGGGAACACGTGCTCCTCCGGATAAGGCGTATTGTCGTCTCTTTGAGGCCGCACCAGGGGGTAATGTAGATTCGGCTGGGGCGGCAGGGTGGAGGGTCCCGCTACTGGCTTGGCAGCCTCGTCCAGCTGCTCCGCGTCCCCTTCCGGCTCGGGATCCAGTAGCGACGGGTCAATGACGCTGTCCGAGTTGAGAGCAGCCTCGGCAACAGCCTCAGCTACAACTGCCTCTGCTGCCTGCGCCTCGGCTTCAGCTTCGGCCGCAGCGGCCGCGTGAGCCTGGGCAGCGTTCCGGATGGACGCATTGATGATTTCCGCGGTAGCCGCGTCGATATCTTCTTGTGCGAGTGCTGGGTCTAGGAAGGCTTGATGATTGTGGGCTGCTACTGCGCTTGCGAGGGTCGAGTGGTCCATGTTGGTGGAGGTTGATAGGGGGGAGGAAGAAGTAAGGGAGGGAGAAGAGAGAAGGATAGCCAGCTAAAAGGGGGGGATGTTTCCATTACATACGACGTCCGCGACTTCCGCTTCAAGTAATTTCCAGACAGCACGGAGTGTGGCCTATCTCCGAGGTTTAACCGAGATCACCAGTAGGCGAGTGGCGAGGGCCCGATTAGAAAAGTCCAAGACCACTTCTGCAGACTTCTCCATGAACATTTAAACCTATACTCTAAGTCGAAAGAAGAGCCCAGTATGGCGTTCTCGGGCGCTCTGGTGAGAGTCTGATGACTATCTGGCCTGCGCGCGAGAAAGAATCCAGCTGATAGGGCAGACGATCACTGATTTGGACGATTTCTTGACTCCCTCTCAGGCGTGTATCATCCCTGTACGCAATGGTAAGGCTCAGTCGGACATGACAGATGGCTCGGTATGTCGTTCTCAGCTACAGCGGAGGCTTCAGATGGCTCTTACCGCATCGCAAGTCTGAGCTTAGCTCATTCCCGCAGACCGAGATCCATATTGACAGCGATAACAACTACTATGAGGTATCGACCTATTCTACGGCCGTAGCTGGGCCGTCAAACCCCAAAGCAGCTCTAGAGAAGAAGGCCCTGGAAAGGGCAGAGATTAACCTGAATGACTGTCTAGCGTGCAGGTGAGCTTTCTGGTGCGCTTCACTCGTGCAGGAGGTCGTCGCGAAGCAGAGCTGACAAATCAAGCGGTTGTATCACCTCCACCGAGTCCCTCCTCATCACCCTTCAGTCCCATCTAGAAGTACTCACGTACATCAACTCTATCTCGTCTCCCTCCATCGACGAAGCTACCCCACCCGAGACTCGCCGGCCATTTCTCTCTATATCCCCTCAAACGCTCGCCTCGCTCTCAGCATACCACTCCGCCCTTACCTCTCGTCCCCCACTCCCTCTCGGTCTCCTTCTCCGCCGTATTCGGCACTTCCTTTCCGCAAAAGAGCGCGGAAGTTGGACAGTCGGCGATACGACATTCGCGCGGCACCTCTCACTCCGAGAAAGCGTACAGGAATTCGAGGAGCGTCGGGCGTACGCCAAGGGGAAATGGGTGGATCGGACAGGTGGCCAAGGGGGATATACGCCCGGCCCGTTCCCTGTTTTGGCGAGCGCATGTCCGGGATGGGTGTGCTATGCCGAGAAGGCGCAGGGGGATTTGTTGCCCCTGATGAGCTCGGTGAGGAGTAGTCAGGGCGTCGCGGGTGCGTTGGTCAAGCAGTACTGGGGTGAAAAGGCGGGACTGAAGTGAGTCATCTCGCTGGCTGGACACGCTCGTGTCGGCCTCTAGCTGACGTGTAGACCGAACGAGATCTATCACGTCACTGCCATGCCGTGCTACGATAAGAAGCTCGAGGCGTCCCGCTCAGACTTCTACTCTGAAGCACACACCACGCGGGATGTCGACTGCGTCCTCACCACAGGGGAGCTCGACCTGCTTCTCCAGGACCTCGGTTTCAATCCATACGCCCCTACGCCACTCGATCATTTCTCACCTTCCTCCTCGGCATCAGCCACAGCACCATGGCCAGACCTTCTCACTCCCGCTGGAACATCCTCTGGCTCATACCTCCACACCCTCCTCGCACACATTTCCGCCTCCCATCCACGACCTTCCGCGCTCCATACCCGAAAATTACGCGATTCGGCCGACAACGAAGAATACATCCTGTACGACCCAGACACCAACGAAGTCTTGTTCAAGGGAGCGAAGGTGTATGGATTCCGGAATTTGCAGAATCTGGTACGGCGAGTCGGGAAGGAGACTGGTTTAGGAAGAGGAAAGGGCGCAGGAAAGCTCGGTGCGGCTGTCGCCGCCCGGCGAAAGAAGGCTCGGGCGGGAGCCGAGAGCTCGGCGTCTACGCCAGGGACCGGAGCGACCACTCCTGCCAGCGGGACCGGAGCGGACGGCGTCGAGGTGGGCGCGGAGCTGGAGAGGCTAAAGAGATGGGAAGAGAAGAAAATGGACTATGTGGAGGTGATGGCGTGCCCGTCCGGATGTGTCAACGGCGGAGGTCAAATGAAGCCTGTCACCCCGGCGGCGGCGGCTGTGGCTGCTGCGGTGGCCAAGGAGGGGATTGAGCTGGTCGTTGTCGGGAACAAGGGAATGGAGGTGGATGAAGAGGGATACCCCCGACCCATGCCCGATCCGGGCACAGATACTGCCAAGCCCAAGCTGGGGAAAGAGGGCGGGGAGGATGGCGAAGAGGGATGGAGGTGGTCTACGAAGGAATGGGTGCAGAGGGTGGAGGAGCTGTATTGGGTCGGCGAGGGAGGGTTGTTGACGCCTCCGGGATCGCCGGGATTGACGGGTGGCGTGGAGAAGGCGAGAGAGGGGGAGGCGGAGGTGAAGGCAGATGAACTGGCGGAGAGGATATGTCGGGATGTGGAGGACACCTTGGGTCCGCAGGGGAGGTGGGAGTTCCTTCGGACACGCTTCAGGAAGGTTGAGGGGGACGTCCTAGGTGGGGAAGGTGGAGTGACCCTTGAGGCTGTCACGTGGTAGTACCCCATCTGTAGCTGCTGGATCTACGGGATGATGTACATGTAGCAATTCGTCCTGTCCAAGCTGTGCCACATGGAGCGCTGTACCAAGCACGATGCGGTGGATGCCACACTCAGACGGCGGGCGCCACTCTCGCTTCCAACACCTCATTCCTCGTTTTGCCACCCGCCCAGGTGGGTTCGTCTGCTACCGAAGTCTCGTTTGATTCCGTTACAACCTTGTTGTATCCTCCTTCTTCTGTCTCTATTATTCGACTCCACCCCACCCCACTCAACCCGCTACCAACGGGCCCCTCAGAGCAAATCTCGACCATGCCTCCCGCCCGCGCCGCAATATGGGACCACTTCCACAACATCCGGGAGGACATCCAATTGCCCGAGCTCGGCATCGCGCTCAAAGCAAAGAAGAACGCGTCGTATGATAATGCGTGGTGCAGGGCTTGCGTGGACAAGATGTTGGAGATGCCGGAGTATGGGCTGTGGATGCCTGGTGGGGGAGGGTATGAGGAGGGGGCAATAGAGACCATGAGGCAGTATCGAGGTGAGTACATTGTCAGAGCAGAGCATTAGGTCGTGCGGATGGGGAAGACGAGCAGAGGGGAAGGAAAGAGGCTGATGCGATTAGTCTTCGCAGCTACAGAAGCGATCAGGGGGCAGCCCAAGAACATGGAGCGCCATATCCGGCGATGTCAGTATACGACTGTCGTCCTTCCTCCATTACCGCCCCCGGTGTCCAACAGCAAGAAGAAGGCAGCATCGGCAGTCCCCCCCGAGCCTGTCGATCCGGCCTTATCAATTGCACGCGCAGGTCTGGCCGGTCCATCCACGTCAACCCTCACCTCCCTCCCCACCCTCGATTCCTCAGTACCAGCTCCGGCTCCAGGCACGTCCACATCCACGCCCACAACGCTGCCCATACTACCTGCCGCGACGTCCATACCTCCCGGTGCACCCGCCACTCCCTCCCACACCCAACAACGACCAACCTCTGGCTCCGGATCCGGCCCCACACCCCGTCTGACGAGAGAACGCCAGGCGGAGCTCGATGCGGATATCTATAATCTGTTTTTGAGCCTCGGGGTGCCGTTTGACGCGAGGACGTGTCTCGTCTTTGGGCAGTTTGTGGGGAGGTGGATACCGGGGACGAGCTGGGGGGAGGATCAGCAATAGGACATGAGGTGGAGGCTGTGAGGTCGATAACCAAGATGGCCAAGACCGCGAACATCTGGTACGTCGCGGTTCTCGTTTTTGCATCCTCCTCCTTGCTGGTTGCTACTACATCAACTGACGCTGAACAGAAGGGCTCAGCTGTGGTCTGATTGGGTCGGAAACTACAGTACTCTGACGGCACTCCTTTCCGATAACTGTCCCAGCCAAACGGTCTCCACTTCCTAGATGTGGCTCTCACTCGGTAGCCGGGCTGCAGCAGCACAGGGGCAGATAGCTATCTTATGTTTGGTATCAATCGTACGCGCACAATGCTGCGCTAGTCAAGGCTGATATTTCCCCATTCATTACTCATCAGTATTCTTTGACCGGCATTGATCTGACAGTATGTTCTGACTTATACTCTGGTGATCAGCTCGAAGTTGCCGCCGCTCCAGCTCGATAGGTGCATAGCCGCAGGCGAGTGCTTAGACCAGGATATGGCGAGTTCTGCTCACAATGTACTCGAAACCTCAGCCCCGCGAAGCCATCAGATGATCAGCGGCTGGGCACATCGATTTTGGTCATACCATATCAGGAGGTGCTGTGCTCGTGGCACGCGACACATCACTTCGCCCGTACACCACCCATTTGTGTCTCAAAACATCGCTTTAGGGGTGACTGTGGACTTACTTTACCTCATATCATTGCCTACGAAGAGTAACGAGTCCTATCGGATGGAATTCTCTTTGCAAGGGCCAAACAAGGCGCCGACTGAGGAAACCGAGGCCGGGTGTGCCCCTGACGGCTTGGCCTGCTGTAGACGCTGGAAGTGATCTCTATAACCACAATGGTCCGCCGCGCGGTTCTGGTGTCCATGAAGCCAGTCATCCAAGATAATGCACCCGAAGCTAGCTCTATACATATCATCAGCAACGAAATAGCAACTCCCCTACAGCCGACTACCGCGGACCTCACACTCCCGCCAAGTCGGAAACCCATGGAAGATCGGCTAATGCTGCTTGAAACCACGTCATGTCCACTAAGTCAACACCGGAAGGGTCGTCTTCGGCTGCCTGCTCGATGATCCAGTCGAAATGGCGCCGCACATATCGAGATTGTCCGTCAAGTCCTGATGCTCATCGTCGGACAGCCCCCGGATCGACTTCACGCTGTCCCGCTCAAGATACCACGGCAGCACCTTCCGCGGTCTGTCGCCTGGGCGACTAGTTGGAACTCTAGAGTCCGGTAGACCCCAGGGCCAAAGTTTGCCCGTTGTCCGACACGCCTCGATGCCAGCCTTCGACACTGCGTAGCACGCAGAGCCTGACTCCCTAGTCGCCGCCCTCTGTCTCAACGTCTTCGCGACTTTCTCTCCATCGGGGTAGCTCTGTGATATCTTCCCACGACGCTCGATATGATCTGCCTCCTCCTGCCCATGACTTGCGAGGTACGTATCTTGCCATGACTTATGAAAGTCCAAGTCCTGCGCACGCCAGGTCGCAATCGCCACAGCCTCCTCCGTCCTGTAACGCCACATTGCATCATGGCGTCGCCTGTGATTGTCGTGCGCATCCTGTATGATAGGGTGATCAGACTTGTAGACTGCCCTCAGGCGGTCCATGAGCTCATTCCTGTCATACGGAAACCTGCCGAGCTTCGCAATCGCCGCGCTGTCAGCAGAGGTTTGAGCGAGCTCGGTGATGTAGGATACTTGTTCCGGAGCCGTGCGCTTCAGCACCTCACGACTGATCGCCAGCAACCGCTCTGTGGGCTTTTTGACCATGTCTGACCGTGCGAAGACACTTGCGAGTTTGGCATTGCTGAGATCGGAGGCCGCCAGAGTTCGGTAATGCTCGGGGGCGGTAGAGGTGGTGGGCGTGGACATGTTTCACTGAATGGAAGTCAAGAGGATTTGAACAATGACCGATCAACAGGTGATCACTGACCTGATCTCGAAAGAGGTTGGGCGATTTGCGGATTGTAGAGCAGTATTGATTCGCGGCGAGACGAGGAAATACGTTTTCTAGAGGGAAGTATACTTGTAACGCGAGCGATCGCCGCGTTCCGATCAACGAATGTATGTATACCAGGGCCCCTATGGAGTTGAAGTGTCGGAGCTTGATTTTCGCCAACCCTTTCGAGTCAGCATATGTGCGAACAAGTCGAGGAGAGAGAGTGGTAGGCGCACCAACATCCTAGAAGGTGTCAGTCGACTGATAGAGATGAGCTTGACAAGAGGCTATGAGTAGCGAATACGGGTGGCGACCTCGGGTGGCAAGTTCGCCATTATACCACTCCTTCTTCACCTCGACCTTCGATACCTCCTGCCTGGAGACGGCAGCTGGCTCTGCCTTCTTGGGAACCGCCGCCAAGTCGTAGCGAGGACTAGAAAACAGGGCTAGAAAACGTCGCTAGCGGACGGCGCTGGCACGTTGCTGCGACGGCTCGACGGCGCATAGGGCGGCTGCGGGACGGGCAAGTATGGCCAAGGCCCCGTTGCCAAGCACATCTACCCGTAATATGCCTATGAGACGGAATCAGAGGACTCAGGATGCGCAGAGAAAGTGATGGGCCGCCAGTATCATAAAAAGAGGAGCCTTGCAGGGTCCAATTGCATGTGATACACAAGAATGACTGCAGGATACCATGCCCCGTCGTGTCAAGCTGGCTTTTGATACTCTATTGACCTCGCCAGCCTCTCGATCTCTTCCGCTGACGTACATTACTGACAGAATTTGGAATCTTATCAGTCGAAGCCTCCGGAATGAGACATTGCAAGCCGGGCTGCCTGTCTCCTGGGACGCTGGCGATCATAGATGACGATAACATATAAACACTGGTCAAGATCCCACCTCCCTACTTCACACGCGACGAACGAATATTGACAGACCCATGTATACCAAATTCATATTCTTTGTTCCTGAGCAACATTGCGGTTATGCACTTCCTTCTGCGGTCGCGACAAGGTCGCCTGCTGGCATCACGTTGATAAGTTCAAAAAGCTTCTCTCCAGGAACGCGTCGAAGTCGGAATCGGAATCGACATCGTCAATGTCAAAGGTGGCCTCGGCCTCCTCATCGCCGAGATCCACGCTGTCGTCCGCTGAGCGATTCGGCTGCCCGGCCAGTCCTTGATCCGGAAGAGGCACCAGGGAGCCGGATTGGTGAGATTGCTGATCGTATGCCAAGCCTCCGGTACCACGACTGTACTCAGGTGACGATGGACCTATCCCAGCCTCCCAGTCTTGCAACATTGCCCCTGAAATGAAACCCGTGGGAAGTCTCGGAACGTCAGGCGGACTCCACCCGGAAGTCTGCTGCGGAATGGAATTGTGCGAAGTAGGCTCATTTGGGTCTGCAAGTAGCTGTTAGCAACCTTCCCGTCCAGTAAAGCAATGCACTCACTCTCAAAGTCCTCGCTGGTGTCCATAGGTGAAGCAGAGCCATCAATGGCGCGCTGTTTTTGCTCCTGACGGTATACCTCGAGCTTGGCTTCGCATTCTTCCAGCAGATCAAGGATGGTTTTGCCGTCGTCTGTTATGCTCCTGATTCCCCGGCCTCTGCGCTTCATACCAGGCATCGTCATCACGACGTCACGCTTCATGAACCAGGGCCGCTTCTCTGCCCACGGCCACTCGGTGGTACCGTCCCGGTAGGCCATCAATCCCCAGAATGCAGTATTGGTAAAAATGGCCCGCTGGTAATCCCTCACTTGTCGGTTCCTTTTGGCATCACCTTCGGGATTTGCCTTTCCTGAAGTCTGCTCCTGCTCATCCTCATCGCCTGAAATTGTAGGACAATATTGCGCCAACCATTGATCGACTGTGCTGTCTTCCAGGAGCGACAGTGCCGCCACATTCGGGTTCATGAAGTGATGAACGATATCACGCAGCGCCACGCTTCTCGACTGACCATCCGTGTCTTCTGCAAACGCAGATGCAAACCTTGAATCCGCTGCTTGAAACAACCCCCTTACGAAGTCTTGGCGGCTTGCCTGATCCGGGAGGGATGTGACTTGCTGGCTGATATCTTTCCAAGCTTTGGGGATGTGAGGAGCTGCATTGCGCCGTTCCGCAAAGTTTGCGTCGACCATCGATGCGGCGCTTCGATCCCTCGATGAGGCGATGAGTCGTGATGATCGAGTGATAGGTATGGAAGAGGACGAGCCGGGTGGCAAAACCCCCCTTTTGTAGTCGAGAATGGGGGGTCCGGCATGTGACTCGAGCGCAATTCAGATCATCCCTTGTCCATACTGCACAGCTTTGGTTGATACGAAACTCGTAATCTTCGCTCCCTTTCAAGTCTATCCCCATCCACCACTCAGGCAAGGGAAAGTGGCAGGCCGTTGCCAGCCCTACTCGAGCGATGTGGCACTTTGGCAAGCCAATTTGCCACCCGATAGCAAGGAGGCGCCACCCCTAGCCACGTGGCTGGGCCCTGATATAGACCTCACGTCCCTGCTTCCAATGTCGCGACGAAGACAGAGGGTGCGCCGAAGATATAAAGAGTCGATACGAGCCAGGAATTGCGAGATGAGCAAAGCTCAGGGGCGCGACTGACCTGTAGCTTCTATCATCAACGCGAGATCCTCTTGAGTCAGCCAGCAGACTAGAGGTGATACAAGGGGAGAGGCCAGACGTAAGGCTAACTGCACCGGTACTCTAGAAAATACTGGGAGGCTTGAATCACAACGGTCAGTACGCCATCGATACGGATTGAGGTAGGAACGACGACATGACTTTTATACACATGGTATCCGCTCTGATCGATCTCTCTATGTGCACCTCGCTGCGAACGCATGTACAAATCGTATGCACTGCCTTGGGCCTCTACACCGCTACGTTCCACCCTGCCGTGAAGCCTCCGCATCCGTACCGTCGTTGCCAATAGGTTCCTCACAACAAAGGATCCTCCCTTCCGCGGAGTTTGTCTGGCATTCATTCTCATAGACCCGAGCTCGGAGGTGGGCCCAGGCCGAGTCCTGCGAAGGTACCCTCGGGAAAGTCATCCTCAGTGAATCCTCCGTAGAGGAGGCCAGTGTCGCTGCGGCATGCGCTGCCCCCTTCGCTGGCCCTGTCGGAAAACGCGGGCGACGTCCTCCCACTGTTGATGCTCGCTGATCCATACCCCTCTCCCTCAAGCAGTACACCGCTCCCTGGTATGGTGTCGGCCCATGATATGAGAATATTAGGGACCTCTTGCTGAACCGTGTCATGGGTGATCGGCAGGTCTTCGTTCGGGGGTATCGGGCCTGACATACATCAGCTATCTGCGCTTGGCCTGTGCACAGCACTTCAAACATACCTGATTCCCCGCTCGCTTGGTTCTGTTCAGTGGTATGGTAGCCAGGAAGAAGGTGACGCCCGGGTATCCTGCTGATCTCCTGGGGATCATTCCACCAATGACCCACACAGTCCCCCTGCGAACATGCCTCACAGTATGGAGCGCGATGTTGGTACTGCTCGCCGATAAGGGCAATACTTCGGGTGAGGATTGCGGCAAAGAGCCGCTCGTCCGAAGTTCTCTGAGCAGCCATTCTCTGTGCCTCCAAGTGAGCACGTGTTGCTCGCGGTGCCCGAACGCTGCGCCTCCCTTCCGTGTCACCTCTGGACGATCTACCGCGCTCCCTGGATCTGGCTCGAGAACGAGCCCTGGCTTGCAGTCCTCCACTGGTAGACTGGGTCGAGGATGCTGCCTCTTCCTGCTGCGTGTGTCGCCATTCGTCGATTCTCTCTCCAGATCCGGTGAGGATTCCGATAGCATAAAACCTCCGACGGTCCCACTCAGCTGCCAATACTGTATGGCTCCCCATTCCTCCTCTCTTTCTGTGCCAAGCGGCGTCCGACACGCGCAGATGCTCTCGCATGGTCTCGCCCCTCTCTTCCGCAGTGCTTGAATCGTATCTGATAGCCTCAGTAAGGTGGCCCAGTGGAATATGGGCACCTCCGTTTGCGCGACCGGCAAGCTCGATCTTGGCAGCGGCCAGTTCAAGACTTCGTTCGTCGGTATACTGCACTCCGTACAGTGGCGACTGTCTCGTGGCTGACTGTTCGTCTGCAGGGGGTCTGCCAGCGGCTGCGGATGCTATCAGCGCGGCGATCTGGCTTCTCTGTACTGCGCCGGTGCTCAACATCAAGGTGTACAATTCCGTCCACGTGGCTTCGTCGATGTCGCGTGCTCCGTACTTGCACCCTTTGGGATTGACGTACCAAGGGAGAACGTCCTCGTCGTACCCCGGGAGCCACCAAGGAAACTCCGAATCCTGTTTTTGTAACGCGGTATGGGCCAGGTTGATTGCCGTCTCCTGTATGTAGCCTTCTTCCACCCGTCTTCCCGCGAGCCTCCACTTCTCTTCCTGTGCCTGGTACTTCTTCTTCTCCTCTTTGGTTAAGCTACCGAAGTATTTCGGATGATCCTCTTCCCTCTGCTGCCGGTGAGCTGTCTCTTCGACAGAGACACGCGTCTTCCCCTGCCAGTCGCGATGAATGCGAGACCTGTGAGACCTGCCGCGACTTGCGATTCCTGTCGCCTGTCGCAGCCGTGCACGATACAACTTCTTGATATCTGCCTGGAGGGCCTCGCCCACTGTCGATGCCGTCATGGCTTCCGCAAGATCGACTTCGTGATTCAATCTCGCCATGAGCTCATCACAGCCCGCCTCGTCCAGCGTGTACATCTCGCGCGTGATCTCGACGAGATCAGGGTTGGCCTTCTTCACTCTCGTGTCGGGGTCCAGTTGCCTGATAATTTCGGTGGTCGAATATTCCTCGGGCGTACTCGACATGAGCTCATCATACCTTTCATCTGTGACGGTACTCATTCTGATGTTTGGGTGTCGATTCAGTAAGGGAACGGCTGGTATCCGGGATGGGCAAGTGACAAGTATGAAAGAGGATGAAATGGGTGGCGGATACCCCCTTTTGTAGTCGAAAAAATGGGGGCGTCTGCGTCTGTCTGCGTGTCTCTCGAGCGCAATTTGAACCATCCCTTGACCCAGGTGCACAGCTTTGCTTGAAATGAAACCCAAGGCTGTCGCTCCCTTTCATGCCCATACCCCGCGCCCACTCAGGCAAGGCAGTGTGGCAGGCTCACACTACTTGAAGACCAGCTCGAGCGGTGTGGCACAGCAGTGTGGCAAAGTGGCACACACATTCGCCACCCAGAGGCTCAGGCGCCACTTTCCTCTACGTGGTCGGCCCCGGGACAGAGTCCGTGCGTCCCATACCTCGCGTCCGCCCAGAACTCGCTTTGAGCCCTTTACTTTTGTCCATTGACCAGCGTAACAGCATGAAGTAAGCACGCCCACTTTTTACCCCTCGAGGTGGAGCCATCCAGAAGCTGACCTCTCAGCTCGATCCAAGAAATCAACCGGATCAACCAGCGCGAGCTAGAGCTCGGCCTCACAGGCAAGGGATCATGGCACCATCAGTACAGCGATTCGGCGTATGTCCACGTTGGTGGGCTGAGCTTTGAGATGACGGAGGGGGATGTGCTGGCGGTGATGTCTCAGTGAGTTTCTCTAGACTTCAAAGCGCTCCTCGAAGGGGTCAACTGAGGGAGTCGAGCTAATTCGTAGATGGGGTGAAATTATGGACATCAACATGCCCCGGGACAAGGAGACGGGCAAGCCCCGGGGTTTCGCTTTCATCATGTATGAAGACCAACGGAGTACTGTGCTGGCGGTGGATAATATGAATGGGGCGTTGGTATTGGGACGGATGTTGAAGGTGAGTCTGTTGCCTATGCGTGTTGCTGCTCGAGCAGACTGGAAGAATTTGGAGACGAGCTGATGCTGTAGGTGGACCATGTACACAAGTACGAGCAGCCAGGGAAGCGGGACGAGGAGGGCAAATATCAAAAACCGGAGGAACCGACGTATAACGCCGTGCCGCCAGAACTTTCCGGTGAGTCTTCTCGTCTACTTCGGAGAGAAGGTGTAGCTGGGCTAGAGCTGATGGATGTAGGCTCGGACGACTCATCCGGCTCGGAATCGGAAGAAGATCCCAACTTTGACGCCGACGACCCAATGGCCGCTTTCCTCCGAGAAGAGCGGAGGAAAAATAAGCCAAAGAAGCTCAAGGATGGGGATAGCAAGGAGGCGAAGCGGCGCCGGAAGGAGGAGCGGAGGCGGAAGCGGGAGGAGAAGGAGCGGAAGAGGCTAGTCAAAGAGTTGAGAGCGAAGGAGAAGGGCAAGGGAGTGAAGCGGGAGAGGGAGGATGAGGGGGAGGGAAGCAGGGCGAGGACGAAGAGTCCGAGGAGGGAAAGAGAGAGAAGTCCGGGGAGGCGGCGAGGTGGTGATGAGGCGGAAGGGCGGGATGTGAGAGAAGGAAGGAGAGAAGAAAGACCTCGGTCTAGAGATAGACGAGATGATGGAGGAGGAAGAAGCAGGGATCGGTCAGAGAGGCGGGAGGAGAAGGCGATGTCACCGCCCAGAGTCGCTAGGCAGCGTTTCATCCATCCAGATCGGATGGCTCAGCAGGCGCCAGCTCCCCGCAGCAATGGTGAGCGCTTCGAGCCAGGCGGAAGAGACAGCAGAGGCGGGCCACCCGAGAGAGCCGATGGGAGGAACGGACATGGATACAGGGAGGAAGGGAGAGATGGGAGAGATCGCGACGACAGGGAGGGGCGGTATGACGATCGAAGACGAAACGGAGACGAGTACGATAGACGAGATCGCAGATGAGTATATCGTCACATAGTGCAATATGTTATACATTGTATGCCTATGATGGTGGAGACTCGGCAGAAGCAGGCTGCGCAGCACCAGGTGCGAGATAGCCATGCTTCTTGGGGTTGGAGTAATATCCTGAGAGGGATCAGCTGAGTTCGCTTCTCTCAGACCGTCCGGTACAGCTACGACACTCACTGATATCCGCCTTTCTGACTGGCAGCGCATCCTTCCCCTCCACCTTCTCCGGCCATACCTCCTTCCGCAACGCCAGCCTGTTCTTGTACACCGCCAACACCTCCCCTCCTGCCGCCTTGACCACCTCGGCCGCCGATTTCGAGAACCGCGATAATTCCAGCTTTAATGGCGGGAGCGGTAATGCCGGGTCATGTGGACCGAGAAGCTTCACCCCTGAGAAGCCAGAGATACCGTGTATGATATTGGAGCGGACGATGGAGCCGATCGTTATTGTTTCGGAGGGGTCGAGCTTGCCTTCCATGAGGTAGGTCTGGAGGCGGGATAGAGGGAGGGGAGCGTATTCGCGAGCGGTACTACAATGTGTCAGCTAACGTGATCGGTTGCCAAGCGTCATCCGCCTGCCAGCTCACAAGTTGACGAAGCCCTTCTTGGGGACTAGACGGTGCATGGGAGTCTGACCTCCCTCGAATCCAGGTGTGGGCTTTCCATTCCCTGACCGAGCTTTCTGGCCCTTATGACCTCTTCCTGATGTTCCGCCCTTCGTCGTCCCTTGTCCACGACCATAACGAATAGCCTAGCAAGTCAGCTGAGCTCAGTCACAGCGAGTCAAGCAGCGCACATCTTTCGTGGACCCCTTGATTGGCGCGAGGTCCCCTAGCGATGCTCCGGCCGCTGAGTGCGCCGAGCGAGACGTCGATGGACCGGCAGCCATCACGCGCGACCATAGACGGGATGACGAGGCTGCGATGGACATTGTACTTGGAGTATGGTTGAAGTATAGAGCTTTGAGGCATAGCTTGAAATAGTTGGTGCTCAGCGAAGATCGTATCAATCCTGGTGCGGGGCGGGTGTTGTAACGGCCTGGAATGCCACGTCATGATTTCGCCCATAACCCCCGCCTCAGCCACCAATTTCCCCGCTATCTCGACTCGCTCTCATCAAGCTCAAACCTCTCTACATACATTGCATGCTCAGAGCCTTCAGTAGAGCTCTAGCCGTTTCAAGTACATCCAGATACGCTCCCAGCTCGCGTAGCTTTCCATCGATACCCAATTCTCCCGCACAGCGCCTACCGCTCGTCCGCACATTCAAGATGTCCGCTCCGGCCGAAGCCAATCTTCACAAGGATGAAGTCACCGGCGAGATGATCTCCAAGGGGTACGCAGAGATATTTCAGGAATGAAGGATCACTGCTGATGACTAGAGAGCTCAAGCGTCGGCAGAAGGACCGGGCAAAGGAGGCTGCCAAGGCTGAGAAGGCGGCCAAGCAGCCCGCTCCTGTCCAGAAGGCCAAGAAGGACGAGGCGGAGCCAGAGGCAGAGCTGGATGCCAATGTGAGCTATTGAGGTCTGTCATATCCACCCAGATCTGAGCTTATGCTTCCAGGCTTTCTACGACTGGCGGTACAACCAGATCAAGACGTTGAGGGAGACCAAGAAGCCGGACCCATACCCGCACAAATTCCATGTGTCGCAGAGCATCCCATCGTATGTTAGGGAATGGGGTGTCGAGGGGAAGGTGCCAAATGGGGAGACTATCAAGGACTCCAAGCCTGTGGGTGGCAGTCAACCTGAAGGCCACAAAGGAGGCAAGCTGAAGCTATAGATCTCGCTTGCTGGACGTGTGATGAGCATCCGCGAGTCGAGTGTCAAGCTCCGTTTCTACGACTTGAAGGCCGACGGGCAAAAGGTTCAGATCATGGCCAACGCTGCGTGAGATATCCAGCTCTCACCCACGATGATCTAGCTGACAATCAGAAACTCCGCATCACCCGAAGACTTCCAATCCACCCACACCCTCATCCGCCGTGGAGACATCATCGGTGTCACCGGCATCCCCAGCCGAACCAAGATGGGCGAGCTCTCCCTTCAAATCACCCACATCCAGCTCCTCTCGCCATGTCTGCACCAGCTTCCCGGTCGGGAGGGCGTGACGGACCAGGAGACACGATACAGAAAGCGATACCTCGACTTGATCGTCAACCCGTCAACCCGGGACATCTTCATCACTCGGAGTCGGGTCATCAACTACATTCGCAAGTTCCTCGACAATCAGGGATTCATCGAGGTGAGCAAGGTCTTGTGCACGTATAGACCAGTGCTGATTGCAGGTCGAAACACCCATGATGTCCATGATTGCCGGCGGAGCCACCGCCAAGCCCTTCGTCACACATCACAACGACCTCAAGCTCGACCTCTTCATGCGGATAGCGCCCGAGCTATACCTCAAGGAACTCGTCGTCGGCGGTCTCGACCGTGTCTTTGAAATCGGACGCGTATTCCGGAACGAGCAGATCGACATGACGCACAACCCCGAGTTCTCCATCTGCGAGTTCTATATGGCGTACGCGGACATGTACGATCTCATGGACCTCACCGAGTCGTTGGTGGAGGGGATGGTGCAGCACCTGTATGGCAAGACGGCCATCACGTTCCACCCGCAAGGGAAGGGAGAGGGCAAGCCATCCTACGAGATTGACTTCAAGGCGCCATGGAAGAAATTTGACATGATCGAGGAATTGGAGAAGCAGATGGGGTGCACGTTCCCACCAGGAGAGACGCTGCATGATGAGAATGCCAACAAGTTCTTGAGGGATTTGTGCACCAAGGTGAGCACCTAGCGTAATATGCGGACTAGACGCGAGCTGACATCTCAGCACAACGTCGATTGCAGCGAACCCAAGACCAACGCCCGGATGCTCGACAAGCTCGTCGGTGAATTCATCGAGAACCAATGTATCAACCCCTCCTTCATCGTTGGCCACCCCCAAGTCATGTCCCCCCTCGCCAAATACCACCGCTCCCGTCCCGGACTGTGCGAGCGGTTCGAGGCATTCGTCGCTACCAAGGAAATCTGCAATGCCTATACCGAGCTGAACGACCCGTTCGACCAGCGCGAGCGGTTCGAGGAGCAGACCAAGCAGAAGAATGCGGGAGACGACGAGGCGCAGGGCGTAGATGAGACGTTTATCAATGCGCTCGAGTATGGTCTGCCGCCGACGGGTGGGTGGGGTTTGGGGATTGATAGGCTCGTCATGTTCCTCACGGACTCGGCGAATATCAAGGAGGTGCTGCTCTTCCCGGCGATGAGGCCCGTGGTGGCGAATAGCGTGGAGGCGGTGGCGCCGGCGGTGACGGCGACGGAGGCGGCCAAGGCGGCTTAAGCCTGCTTACATGTAACGGTTCCAGGACGAGGGCCCGGTAGACGTTGACGAGATCTGCTATGGCATACTCTTTCTGCTTTCTGCTGATACCGCTGACACGTTGAACTTTGACACTGATGCGATGATCACTGTCCATACGATCCTCCCCGAGACTATAATTGGTTGCAGTGCGAAACCTCACATATATTACTGACGTGGTATTTTGACATCAAGTGCTATGTCAGCGAATGCTGTGCTCCGTTGTGGGGAAAGCGCAGGCTTGACACAATTCCGCCACACAACGAGGAATGAGGAGGTCCGTGCGCAGCACACTTGCGAGGCTGACGAGAGCCATGGATGGCTAAGCGTTGGATAGATCGTCAATCACCGTACATAGCACTAGCCACATACATGTTCATGTAGCTCTTGCTCTGTCTCACCTACAGCTTGGCCATTCGACACTCGGTGCTACTCCCATCGACATCTATACGGCTCGGCACACTCCTCGTATCCCTCTCATACCCCTCTCCTGTGCGCCAGTCCTCCCTGGTTCACCTCGATCTCCTCTCTTTCGCTTGCCATCGATCCGGCTACCACCCTTTTTCACCACACCGTCCATACGATCATTGGGCTGATACGCGAAACACCGTTGAGAGTCAGAAGAGTGAAAGGGGTGAAAGGGGATCAAAGGGACGGTACGACTGGTTAGTAGCGCGCCAGCACCGTGCTGTTGGATTTCTGCCAGTGGCTCTTTTCCCTCTCCTCCATTCATCATATATCTCATCAAGCCGGCCATCCCATTCACTCTGCCTCTCTCTCACACAAACACTCAGCCAATCTCTGCCAGACGCCATGTCATCGATCCCACAAGACACCGATGTATCCAGCGTGACCACGGGCTCCGACTTCATTTCGCCCCACTCGTGTCCAGCCCCGGACACCGACGACGACGGGGAAGTCTGGTACCATTGTACAGCTGGATGCCCTCAACAGCCGTCTGAACTCACGAACGACGGCCAATACACCAGAGGGATGGGCAGTTGCTACAGCCCCACAACACGCGCCGAGATGTTGGAGCAACGGTACCATCGAGTTCTTGACACTGTCTCGGCCCGGCTCGAGGTTGAAGGGAAAGGTCTCTTACTGCCCCGGCTACAGGCAGCTCTCACCGCACTCAAAGCCTCAGCGAAGGATCTGACATTCACCACCATCGGAGAGAAGCTGTCGGAAATGATCGAAGGTCGCATCGTTTCGTTGCAGGACCCCGGAACGCGGCCATGCCGTTCCGCCTACAAGTCGATCAGGTTCAGCGACGGCTGGGATGAGCTCCTCACCCGGGATCTCGCCAAGGCGATCATCGCCACAAAAGACACACTCAGCATCCAGCAGGTTCTCACCGACGCGTACTGTCTTCTCGCCGAACCGTACCGGTGTGCCGAGGAATACAAGGACGCTTGGCCATCACTGAAGTACGAGGTCGAGAGGCTTGTGAAGCTCCGAGGGACTCATGTCGACGAGGCCATGGAAGCCGAACGTCAGGCAGAGCGATGGGCTCCAGTCATCAGCACTGAACTGGAGGAATACTGTGACGTAGAAGGCTGCGACAGCGCTACGACTGCGATTGGGGCGGAAATGTCCGAGAATCAAGGCCTCGTCCAGGTCAAGCATCACGATGAGTGGTCGGCGTTGGGGAAAGAGCGCTGGGACTGTGTGCTGCACTTCTCAAAGATCATTGATCGGGTCAAGATGGCTATGAGTGCGCTCCCCGACCCCCCCTCGCAGGAGACGCAGGAGATGGACATGGGGCGTGGGTATGAGGAATCTGAAAGTCCGAGGTCCGACTGATCGATTGCATGTGGTCGCACGTACTGATAATCATATACACCTCTTACTGGATACCGACTGTACTGCATAATGATGTCTCATCTGCCTTGTTATCCTGTGGCTACTGACTTGTCCTGTCTAATCGAACAGGCTGATGATGGAGGGCAGCATTGTACTGATTCGACTCCGGCACGACGAGAGCGACGGTTGTGCCAGATAGCATGGCCTGTGACCGTGGTTGACCACCTGCCTCACGCGCATACCATCGCTCGTTGAGCGCGTCATGCTGAAGCGTTTCAGGGGACTGAGTCACTGAAAGGACCAGGCTCTGCAAAGGAGAGCTCTTGCGCACTGCCCTCCGACCGAGAGGGCCTTGGCGTCCCAGAGGGGCCTCCATGGTGATGGCCCCATCTTTCCTGCGTCTTTCTCATACTTTCGACCACACCTTCGAACACTCCTGAATATTGCTCTCTAGCATCCTCGGCTAATCAGACCTTCGCCAACCGGCCGACAACATACTCAGCACGATCGGTTTGCGATGCCTGCTTCACAAGGCGAGACGTTGTCCTTGAGAACGTCCTCACGGGCCCGGGGCTCTGTATTTATGTCTGAGTCTGATATTGATGAGGGAGGTTCTCAAGTCTCTCTCGACAGCGCAGCCTGCACAACTCGAAATTTGATCGAGGATACAGTGATACCTCTAGTGATCGCTCACGCCACATGCTTACACTCGCTACGAGACGAGTTGGGCCAACTCCGGTCTCATCCAACCCGCAGGACCCACGGCCACGACCCCGACGATCCCCGCGATCTCGCAATGGACAAGCTCTTGGACCTGCTGCAAGACAACATTGATATCATTAAGCGTGATGTCTTGGCTTATGCACGCGGAGGAATCTCCCTTGTCGACCTCGAGGATCCTGATGTGTGGTCCGAGGAAGACGCCTGTACCTTCGCGCGGGCTATCATTGAGACAGCCGGTACCGACGCGCACGGCTCGATTACGGCCGCATACTACCTCCTTCGCAATCCCTCGATATACGATGACAACGACAAAGACATCCTGCCCGGGCTGACTGCAGATAGCGCGCAGGTGAAACAACAAGCAGAGCCTCATGAGCCTTTGGAGACGCAGCATGTCGCGCCGACATCGGAGGCGTCTCAGAATATCGTGGAAGACGGAGCATAGGAAGTAGCGGCAAGGCAGGAGGGATGGGTCCACACGAGCGAATACCTGAACAGCATGGGGCTGTGCGAGCTGTTGGAGAAAGCGCCTTGATCACTCGCTGAGCGCAGCGGTATCTAGGGAGAGGATGAGAGGGTATGCACAGTGAATTGACGGGGTAGGTAGTCCTTCGGGCTCAATATTGTCCAATATACGATGTGCTGCTAAGATACTGGTTCGCCACACTGTAAAAGCCACGTTCTCCACTCAGAGTTACTGCGACACACAGGCCTGAGGGGTGAAGGGGCGCTCGTCCTATCGCTGTCGCGACTATCCATGATCAGCAGAGATAACAAATTGAAAGGAGGTGCGACAAGCCCGTGCCTCTCGTGATCGATAAGCGGGATCCCAAACCCCAAACACGTTTGAACGTCGCAATCAGTGACGATGAGCACGCAAGAGAGGCCTTCGCTGACTACACATCCCTTGACAAACGTCCACCCTGCGATAACGTGCATACTTGAGTCGGGCGGCGAATTCGAGGCGAGAGAGACTAGCTGCACTCTGTATCTCACCTGGAGACCTGTGTCCCGCTCAATTCCCCTTATCATCACCGCTTACCTTCCGACCTCGTCTTAGCCGTTTCTCACCTACACAAGTACGCATACACCCCCTCATCCACCATGAAGAATACGCGCGCGATGCAGTCGACCACCCTGGCTCTGGCGGGAACAACGATGCCCAGCATCAGGTCCAGTGCCAGCCGATCATCCATCGCGCTTAGGCGGGAAGCCCTGACCCCGTCCCTTCAGCCCTTCGCTTTTCCTGTCCACGAGGGCGGCAACAGGATCCAAGACACCTCTGTCAACATGAGCATCGGCGACACGCACATCACCTACCAGTATCCCAGCCGTGGGATCCCTGAGCTGAAGTACGGTACGTGTGACATCGCTGTCGAGCTCGACAAGCTACGCAGGAGTCAGGCAGTGCTCCAGAAGACCCGTCTCCAATCGACGGAGGACAGCGACAAAGGGACCAAGGAGAGGGCCGCACTCGATGGCATGCTTGAGTACTACGCGGATGCGATCTCGTCGGTACAGAAGACCTTCCTGCCATACAGCAAGTTCGCTGAGGAGGGATGGCAATTCATTGAGCTGCACGATGCCATCAAACAGGCGGAGCCGGACGTGCGAGACATCCTCACCCAAGCGATGGAGGTCTTGACCAACACCATGCGAGATGTGAAAGAGGCTCAGACGGCGTACAACATCCTGCAGGGTCATCACGCCAAGTGGAGCGCGGGCAGGACTGCTGCAGAGTGCAGCGATGAGAGTCTCGCATGTCCTCCGTCAAGCATGCAGCTTTCTACGTCTGACGATGCCAAGTCGAGGATGATCGCGCGCATCCAAACGAGGAGCAAACGATTGTCGTCCATGGCGATCGAAGACGAGTCGGCTGCTGGGGGGGTTCTCGCTGCTATCGCCAGCTTGTGTCCGTGATTGCAAGGCGGAGGATTGGGATCCCGTAGCATGAGGTGGAGTTGCGGGGGTGTGTCGTTCGGGACTTGTAGATAACATATGCATCAGTGGGTCAGGGCCAAGCTCTACGCCGCTCAAGGTCCGTCAGAATGTCAGTGAATACGGATCAACAGTATTATATTTGTGTATCTTCCTGTTAATAATCGGCCATGAGCTGCATCCCTCATTCCGCCGCCTAGTCCTCCACGAAGATATGATCGACCCCCTCCCAGCTCTCCGGCGCCCTCTCCCGCTCACTCCAAAACAACACCTCCCCATTCTGAGCCCTCCTCGGCTCCCACATCCGCTCCCCCGAATCCGGATCCACCGAACTGCTAAACCACCTCGGCTCATGCGGCGGCAACTTCCCTTGCGCACGTGCGGCCCGGGTAGAGCGCTGTCGTTCTTCGTTGGCCGTCTTGAGTTCCTGTGCGCGCTCATAGTTGGCGTTCTCGAAGGCGCGTTGGTCGGTCCGGAGACGGCAGTCGGTGGGTGCGAGATAGGGCTCAAGACCGAAGGGGATATCATTCTGATGATCAGTTAGAACCCTGATGACTTTGGTCGCAGGAGGGCAGACTCACAAGGGTGACAGCGAATGGAGTGAGGTTGAACGGCGCAACAGGCTTCTCGCTATTCCGCCAAAGCAAGAGGTACTCCTTCTGAGCCGGCTCAAAGTGTGTATCAACGTCAAGAGGAGCGGACCGGGCACTAGCAGCCCGAGCGATCAATTGTGTATCCCAACCTGAACATCAGCTATAAACAACGGCGAAACTCACGTCCTGCAATATCCCAAGCTGTCTTGCCGGCAGAATCCTGAACTTGTCCCTTGATCTCGAAAGCGTCTTTGCCGCGCCATGTGCGTGGCTTGAAAGTGAGGGTACATGTCTCGCCGGTACGGTGATTGGCTACGACATTAGCTAGATTCCACAACAGTGAAGTGGAGTGCCCAGCTACTCACTGACGACAAGATCTCCATAGTGGTCGATGATAGGGTTGCCCATGATGAAGTTCGACACGTTCGTCACCACCTTCTTCCACCTGCTCATCAGCTCAAGCCCCTCGATCAGAGCGAGAGCAAGACGCACGAGTAATGCTCCACGACATATCCCTCCTCATACTCCGGCCCAGCATCCGGATACTCAAGACCCGCCTTGACCCATTTCCGGGGAATGATGAGATCGGCATGTGCCACACCCGTAGGCTTGATCTCGAAGCTCCGTCCCTGGAACTTGTTCTGGGCGTCGACCTCGCCATAGTACTTCCATGTCGGAGCTTCGGAGTAGCAAGCAGAGATAGGCTATACGTCAGCTGCATCCCAGCCGGAAGATTGGGAACGACTGACGGGATGATGCGAGACCTGCTCCGAGATGTAGCGATACCTGTTCGGAATGGCGTATTCGAAGCTCTGGCTCAAGAGGGGGTTGAAGGGCTTGGCGATCCGCCCAATCGTTGAGCTGTAGTTGGACATGGCGAATGCTCCGACAAAGGCGATACGGCGGAGAGAGTCCTCTTCGGACGCAGCAACCGTCAAGCAGGCATCGTACTCCATGTCCTCGGCTGAAGATTAGCTATGTCCACGATTGAACTTACCCATTCGCTGAAGCATCGAGGTACACTCGTTGAAGCTGACGGGGAAGGAGATCTTGGTGAGATCTTTGCCAACCGAGCTCTTGAGGATACCCCACACTATCGTCAGCTTAGCCGAAAGTTCCACTCACAGCTGACGGAAGGACGCTTATCGTCATCGATAGGCAGCTTGTTCCGGACACCGTTGTACGGCTGCAAACTCTCCCGCCCGAGGTACTCCTTGATGGTACCTGCCGACTGCAATGAAGTCGCCGCTGCCTTTTGCTGCGGCAGCTCCAGCTTCTTCTCGACGTTGCCGACCGCAGATGGCGTCCCGGGCCTAGCTCCGTCGGGATTGGCGATCGACTCGTACTGCTTCATATTCGGAATGATGCCCGTCTCGATCGCGTCAAAGAACTCGTCCTCGTCCTCGTCATCTGAGTCCGCCTCGGCCAGAGCAGCCTTGACCTCCTCCAGATTACTGATGGACAGACTGGCCCCTCGCGTCCGAGCGGTATTGTACGAGTCGGCGGTGACGAAGCTGGCCGCGGTCGAAGCGGTAGGAGGAACCGGTAGGGGCTTGGCCGGAGCGGAATACGATTCGTCAAGACCAGGAGTTGGTGGCAGGCTCCCAGCTGATATTTCACCCAGCACGCCCCTGGCCTGCTTGAGCGCCCGCTTCTTGCGCTCATTCTGCCTCGACGCCTCGGTCAACTGCCGATCCATCTCCTCCTGCTGCTTTGCCACCGTCAACATGTTCTCCTCCCATAGCTTTCGCGCCTCGATCTCCCGGTCGATCCGGCCGAGCAGGTACCGTTCCCGATCCTGCGTCATGACCTGCAGCTGGCTGACCAGGGTGGCGAGAGTGGAGAGGGAAGATCTGAGTGCCTCCTTGATTGCCTGTTGGCGGGAAGGCGTGCGCTGCATAGCGACGCCCCGCTCGGGCGAGCCCGGTCCGAGGTAGAGCGAGTCGACGAGCTGCTGGGTCAACTCGAGCTGCGCCTTGATGTTGATAACACCCATGTCGAAGGTGGTCTCGTGGGGGATACCGGTCGCCTTGTCGTCGACCGTGAGGATACTCCGGTCATCCGCCGCTTCCAGTATGGAGATATTGTCCGCGTCAGCGGTAGCTTTGGTGGGCGAGCCCCGGCTGGCAGGGAGTTGAGCGATACTCGCCCCGCTGAGACCCGTCGTGGAGCGGATGAGACCGGGATTGAGGAAGTTGTCGGTAGGAGGTAGGGCGCCGAGGGTGCCGCTGATGCCCTCCGCGGTTCCGCTGCGGGGGAGAGCTCGGGACATGGAGGGCTGCCTGCCGGTCTTGGCATAGTATTCGATATTGAGCCGGATAACCTGGACCCAGCGAGCGATCTCACCGCGATGTGCGGATTTGACCATGATCTTGGGTACGGATGAGGAGGCCTTGGAGTGGAGCTCGAATCGAGAGTTGTCGGATGAAGGGGTGACGACAGCAACGGCCATAGCGATGGATCCACGGCAGGCGACAGGCTCGTCCTCTCTTTGACGGTCTACATCAGCTTGGCTGTAGGTAATACTCACAATAGCTTAGGACCCCATTCTCAAGGACAAACCACCTAGTCCGCCAGCCACTCTTGTAGTTGGTCCACTTGCTAAGGTACCCCTTGAGATCTGGCGGCGTACCGTCGCTCCTCGATTGCACAACGCCCTCCTGGTTTGAGACTGGCCATAAGCTATGTCCACTTCGATCACTCACACTGCCGCAAGAATGCCTTGATACGATCATCGGGTGATTTCTCGCCTTCCAAGACCCGTTTACCCTTCTTGTCCCGCAGAAACACGTCCGCACCCTTCTTGACGGCTTGCTCGACAAGGCGGATATCACGACGACTGAGGTCAGCATCGACTATCAACTTGACTTACCGAGCAGCTTCGTGCAGTAGACTGGTTCCGCTCTTCTCGTCCAAGGTATTGAGGTTAAGGATCTCGGCGCGCGGATTGTCAAGGAATGTGGACATGGTGTTGCTTTCATCGGGGTTGCTGAGCGGACTGGCAATGTATGCGGCCAAACGGTGAAGATAGAGGCCTTGGAGTCTGGTCCGAGATTCTGCAATTAGCACGGAACAGATGTCGGCGTACCTTCTACGAGTGTGGCGACCTCGGGCGTACCCGCAGCCTCCAGGACGGTCCGTCCGTGCTCATCTCGAATTGTGTCGTTGATCTTGGGCTGAGCAAGCAGAAGCAGGACTGGAATCAGCTCTGTTTCAGTCTTGGCCTACCTGCATCGGTCCGCCCGCTGTCTGCAGCTGTATGGAGCGCCGTGATCTTGGTCCCCTCGGAGATAGGCGCGTTGATATTGATGTTGGGCAACGCAAGAATGGACTGGATGATGGGTACTACCGTTAGGTGGTTCTCCGGTGTGGACTCACGAGTTCCTACTCTGACAGCCATGCCTAGTAGGGCACCTGTCTGAGCTGGACCGGCGCTCGCAGCTTCGTCCAAGAATGGCTGGACCTGCGCGGGATCGTCGGACCTGAGCGCCGCCAACAGGCGGAAGTTGTACAGAACGCTCGGTGTGGACGCCATCTCGGAAGTGAATCACTTGAAGGCTGATAAGTGCCCGTCTGAGCTGTATGGACGAGGTAGCTATCTGTATGTAGAGGACAAAGGAGATGTATGGTACACTGATAGCACCATATCATCGTGCATCAGCTGTAGCGCGCGCGCCAAACAGCTCCAGCCACCTCGTTACGTAACGAATTCGAGCCAAATACAAAATCCGCGGTCGATGACGTCGAGTTCAACTTTCAAGGTGCTTCGCAGCACTATACATCTACCCATGTCGCACCCAGCTCGCCTGTCCCTGCGAGCCCCGCCTCATCTCCCCTTCGTACAAGGTTTTCCAGGGATTCCCGGCGGAAAAGACCGGAAACAAGCGGCTCTCTGCGGAACCGTCGAAGTCCGGGTCGGTGCGCAGCCCATCAAGGCGAAATGGGTTCGGGTGGAATGTCGGAAACACGAGTCGCTCCCGGCTGGCTTCCCGGCGCAGGCGCAAACGGACAGCTGGGAGCTCGTCGGAGAGATAATCACGCTCTGGCAAGCGCAGGGGAAGGAATTCGATACTCTCCAAACGGCCGACTTCAAATTCTTCCTCCCCCTGCCAGAGACGCTGCCGCCAACGGTGGAGATGGCAAAGGGAACGGGTGTGTGGTATGAGCTGGTCGCGGCTCTGAGCTACAGGAAGAAGGGAGGGATCTTCAAGTCGGACTCGGCAACGATCATGAAGATTACGGAGCCTATCCGGGTCACCAAGCACGAGCTGCACGCGGTCTGGCCGGTCTACAACCACCCGGATCAAAAGTCGGTCGCGGGACAGGACCTCACCATGACGATACAACGGCCAGGCGTCGCTTTCGGTCCCGCCGACCGGATCCTCCTTACCGCTTCCCTCAAATCCGCGCGAGCTCTTCCCTTCAAGCTCCGCGGCTTTGAGTGCACCCTCCTCGAGGTCGTCTCCTACATCCCCGAACCTCTCATCCCGTCGAAAGATGGCAAGCGCAAGCCTAAGGGTTCTTCTCAGCCCGTCGTCAAATCTCGGCCAATATCCCAGGCGAGATGCGCGGTGGACGAGAGCGTATTCTCTGGCGGGGAGCGGTCGGCGAGGATAGATATGGCGGTCCCGGCGGATGTGCTGGTCACGGTGCGGGACGCCAAGACGCTGGAGGTGGGGTATGAGCTGCAGGTCAAGGCGGTCTGCGATGGGTTCGAGGGACCGGTCGTCCCGGGGATCAAGTATGTGGTGGGGCAGTATAGCAGGTCCTCGGCGCAGCAAGCCATGAGGTGAGTTTTGGTTCTGGCAGAGCTGACGGTAGTGATATTGGTCATATCGATCAACTATGTGGTGGACCGCCAAGATCCGCACGACCTCAATCGTCTATCTTCACAGTCAATACGCCACCCCTTAGCGCGAACGGCTCTCCTGCACCGCAGGGGTTCGTCGCTCCGGACCCCCGGCGCGTCTCCACTTCCACCATCACTACAGTCACCACCGCCGAGCGCGCCGGCGATTTCTCTCCCACTCCCTCCACTCGTCCCTACTCTACCGTCCCCAATCGCCAAACTCTCACCTTCCCCATCGCTCAACCCACCCCCATGCCACTGCCCGGCAGCCCCGCTCCGGGATCTATCAGCGAGTTCTCGCACTCCCAGATGGACGCGACAAGCGATACCGGACATACCAACCGCTACTCCACCATGACCACCGGAACTTTCGGAAAGTGGGATCAGACCCTCCGCAGCAACATGCAGGCGGCGCTCACACCGCCCATCACGCCGGATCTCAGCTCGGCTTCCAAACCCACCTGGGACTCGGCTGAGCGGGAGAAAATGGACCTTTACACTCGGGCAAGGCAGAGTGCAGCGTCTACTCAGCACTCCGGCGGAGCCGCGCTGGATCAACTCGGGCTGGCGGACATACCGGACATCGACGTGGCTCCGCCAGAGTACGCGCCACCCGTCCCTGCGCTGCCGGGCGGAAAGTATCAGCCTCCCGTACGGCCCGTCTCGGCCTACACGTCCCCGGATCCCAGCACGTCAAGTGCGGTGCCCTCGCCTGAGCTGGATGGGCCGTCATCTCCGATACTCTTCACGGCGGGACCAAATGGCTCAGGCGGTATTGCACGAACGGAGAATGCGGGGTCACCGAATGCGGCGGACGTCAGATCGACCCTACCAGCCGCCGTCGGAGCTGCAGGCGCGGCTGGGACTTCCGAGAGCCCGGCGCGTGCCGATCTGGCGTCTGGATTGAGCGAGAAGGAGCAGATGAGGCGGTATTATGAGGCGAAGGACAGGGTGAAGAATCGGGGCGAGGGATCATCGGCCTATGTGCCGGCAGGTCCATCGCCCGCGCCCACTCCGGTGCTGAGCGAAAGGGAGCAGATGAGGCGATACTACGAGGCAAAGGACAAGGTGGACAACAGGGGTGAGGGGTCGTCGGCGGCCGCGTCTACGTCCGCACCAGCTTTCGCCGGCTCTTCACCAGCACCAGTACCTACTCCCGTCCTCAGCGAGAAGGAGCAGATGCGGCGGTATTACGAGGCGAGAGAACGGGTGGAACAATCTCAGCAGGGAACAGCGTCGGGGTCAGGGATCGCGCCGTCAGGGTCAGCACCCCCAGCTGGACCGGTGGCATCCGGATCTGGCTCTGGCTTTGCACCAAACGGGTCACACGCCTATCCTTCAGCGACGGACGAGAAGGACGCGATGCGGAGGCGGTACGAGGACGCGACTACTCGGGTTTCGCGAGGCGGAACAGCCAGCCCGGCCATCATGGACTCGCCCACAACCTACTTCCCCCCAAGCACATCCACCCAACCACCGCCCTTCTCACCATCAACTACCACCGGCTCCTCCGACCGCGCACCTATTCCAACATCATCTTACCCCTCTGCGACGGACGAGAAAGAGCGCATGCGTCGTTTGTACGAAGATGCCAACCAGCGCGCTTCTCGAGCACGGGCTTCGCTTAGTCCCCCGCCAGAAGCCCCGCCTCGATTCTCTGCACCTCCTGCTGTCCCTCCATCACCCATTCCTGGTCCGAACGGCGTATCCAGCTCCATCATGCCGATCGCACCGCCCACCCCATCCTCCAACCCACTTGGCTTCTCGTCATCCTTGGACGCTGGGCCAAGCTCATCTGCCGCTCCGTCCACCACTCCGGCATACCCATCGGCGGAGCAGGAGAAGGAGAGTATGCGGAGGCGGTACGACGATGCCAGCTCGGCAGTCTCGCGCGCTAGGGTCGCGTCGGGAGGCGGAGGATCTGAAGGGATGGCGAGGGGGAAGATGGGGAGCGGAGAGAGCGCTAGGGAAGGATCAGGCGGGGCAGGAGAGGAAGATACTGGGGCGCCACCGCCGCCGTTGCCGTCTAGGCCGCCGGCGGAGTATATCAACCTTTTGAGTCCAGTGGGGGAGTCTGCGCCTTGGGGAAGGGATAGGTAGGACATCTAGGAGGTTCATCTTGTAAGTAGTGAAAATGTATACATCTACTGAGTACAGTCACTGACTGAACTGATCTAGGCTTTATTGTCTCCGGCGGAGTGCTGGCCCAGCTAAAGACCAGGCTTCCTGACTTCTCCCACCCAACGAGTTATCCCACTCATCCGTCAAAACATTCATCAAAAGATACAAGTATATACACACTTGGGCGAGACCTCCCAGATACCGCCACTTTAGCCCCCTTTTTCGCACCTGATCACGGATCCTCGTACTTGCCCTTAGGCGGGATGCATTGCACGCCAGGCTTACTGGTATCGTGCTGATAGGATTGGCGACCGAATCCCATGATAACGTTCCCAATACGAGTGTTGCACGGCCCAACCTCACATCGTCTGCACTTGCGATTCCCGCGGTAAACAAAATACCGAGTCCAAAAGATGATGATAGCTATGGCGAGGATCGCGCCGACGGCTAGTCCTTAACCGGGGTCAGCCTGTATCCCAAGTTCTCCACTTGACATTGAGGCACTTTCGCCAAGGCATGATTTGACTTACCGATACACGGACCCAACTTGGCACTTCCGTTCGCGTTGGTCCAAAATGATCCTTCATCCCCCGAGGCATCGCCCGCCGCAGCCTCCGCTCGCTGTTGGATATATGGCATCTTTCGGAGGGTATTTGAAAGTGTCGAGAACGTCTGATGCTACGCTGATGTTCGAGAGACAGTTTGCTGGTCACAAGGTAGTGGCGCGAATGTCAGTTAATAATCATTCCAAATGGCAGCAGGCCACCCATCATACTGTCAAAACCAGTCTCCTTTGAACCTCGTCCCTTTCCAGCTCCTGGACCTAGGGGAATCTTATGATAAGAAACCTCTTTTGACAGCTCGCTGACCCTTTCAGCTTTGACTCCTTCGTATAGATTCGCCCCCTTCGCAATTTAGGAGGCGGGAAAAGGTGTGAGTGACACGGACACCATGTTTGATCCCTGCCTTGAGTCAGCCGGGGTACGAGCATACGGACAGGTTATCAAGGCATCAAAATACAGTATGGGTTGATTCGTGATTCATATCCTGAATGATGTACATATTCGGAGATATCGCATGGAGATCGCATAGCTGACGGCTATGCGCGGCCGTAACATGGGATGTGCAGTGTCGAATGTAGAAACATGTAAGCCATCAGTCGTCGGGCGTTCACCGGACCGCAATGAACACCGTTCTCCGTTCTACTTGGGAAACTGAACGTCTGACATTTCACGGATCCACGGATCCACAGATCCACGGATCCACGGAGGCCCACCTCTCAGCCAAAAGACAGTCCTTGACTTTCTGCCGTATGCTTACCCGGTGTCCCGGACTTTGGATCGGACGTTAGGGACCTCTGGGCGACATAGCCAGGGCCCAGAGGCCTAGAGTCTCTCACTTTACACATGGCACAAGTGTGATTCACAAGTACAAGTCGCATTCCTACGTGATCACCTGACTGCCTTGGGAGCTTCGTCCGCCTCTGCCTTTGTAAGGCACTTCCCCCCGAGGTGCTGATAGATATTCCGCCCATACCCTGTGATGCGGCCGCGCACCAGCTCGAAGCCGCATCCCGAGTTTGACTTTACGCCGCAGAGTCTGCATTTCACTGTTCCGCGATAGTATTTCCAGCGTCCGATACAGATGATGAGAGATAGAGCGAAGATCCCGATGATGGTCAGGCCTACGTATCAGCACATGAAGCTCTAAGTAGCCTGCAGGGGCGGCCACTTACCAATAATCAGTCCCACATTGTAAGTACCGTTTGGGTTGCGCATGCCTCTTTTCACTACCACTTCGCCAGCCCAGACTTGCCGCTGCTGGAGGTAAGGCATGTTCAGTAGAGCTTGAGGGGGCTGATTTCGTGCTCTGTGCTGAATCTTGAAGCACGCAGAATGCTAATGCGTTGACACTTGACCGATACCGGATGATTGTCATGTCGGGACACTCGTGGTCAATGGCCGTACAATCCAGCGGCTCCAGGGTGATGCCTTGTCCACCCAGAGATCCTTTACCATGTCACCCTCACGATCCCCTGGAAGAGAACGGACACTTGATAATGGGATGTGCTTCTGAAATACTCCGGCGGACCTTTCATAGCCGACCCTTGGTGGTCTCAGCGGGCCCCTCGCAATCACACATAGTGAGACCAGATAGGCGTGAGTGATGTATGATACTCGTCTCCAGCTTTCCCCTCCGGGAAGCCTAGGCTAGGCAGGATGATGCTACTGATCAGATGTCATGACGAGCCTATCAGGTAAGTCTGTCAGGTACTGCACGCTCGACAAGGATTAAAGGTTCGGCTTCAGACATGAGCTATGCTAGCTGGATCTCTCGAGGCCGGCACTGAGTCTGCCTCTGCGTTCTGCCCCTTCATCCGGTCCTCATGATCTACACATCTCGCACAGTAATAGCCACGCCTTCCAAAGCCTCGCAACAGTCCCCTCGGCTGCCTCATCCCTTCGTAGAGCATCTCATACGATTTCTCTGGAGTCTCGCACCAAGCATGTGAGCAAGTGATTTGGTTGCGGTAGTGATGCCAGCGATAGGCGAAGACGAGGAGGAGAAGGATAACGATACCGCCCCTGATGATGCCTGAGATCAGGTCAGTATGTCAGTGACGTCGTCGCGGTGCTGGCAGAACGGCCTCGACTCGCCTGTAATCAGACCGATGTCGGTGCTGCGGCCGACTTTTTCGACTTGTAAGCCCTCTTCGGTGACATCGTCGTTCGGTTGCTCTTGTCGTCGTTGCAAAATATAGGTCATCGTGAGCCAGCGAGGTGAGTGTCTGAACCGTCGTCACTTGGTATAATGATCAGTGTCCCCATGCACCTGACCGTAGTTCACATCCTTTCTTCTGTTAGTGAACAAGGGAGGAGTCGAGGGGCGGCCAGTCAAAGGTGGAACATCGCGTGAATGAGCTGAGGCTGCGGACCTTTGTGTCAGGGCCTGATGTGGTTATGGAGGGCCCGTCAGCAGCGCCGTAGGCAGCCAGTCGCTTGGAGTTCTGCCCATTAGTATAAACACGCCTCGAGATATGAGCACATCAGGCTAGTCCCAGCATGGTCATCCAGAGCACCAGCACTACCTCGCCCACCGAGTATTCCCGATGTCCTTCGCTCATATTGCGATATCATCGATCAGCACACTGAGGCCACATCTATGCTGTCTTGTCCTTCCTTGCGCTCCGCCACGCCCTTCTCGGTCACCACGCAACCTGAGTCTCAGCTACAACCCTCGCCCAAAATAAGCTGAAACTCACTGATGAGGTCAGCCGGTGTTACGTCAAAGCTTGGATTGTATACACCCTGCCATCGCTCCTTCCCCGATCCGACCCCTTCTGGTGTTATGCGCACCACCGACATCTCGCCCGTCTCAATGTTACGTCCGCGGACGAGGGTGGCTTCTACGGGTGGTCGTTGTTCGATGTGGATTCTGGCTGTCAGCTGAGAAGCACAGGTGTAGATAGAGCTTACTCTGCGCCGGTGCTGAGAGATAGATCTACCGTGGTGACAGGGGCGACAACCATGAATGGGACATTATGCCGCTTTGCAAGAACAGCAGCCTGGTATGTCCCGATCTGACATCAGCCCAATCTATATAAGAACCGACCTTATTGGCGGTATCTCCATTCTTCACCACCCTATCGGCACCAACAATTACCCCGTCAATGTCTTCCAGCTGCATCAAGCTCCCCAGCATCGTGTCGCAAATCATCGTTGCGGGTATCTCCAGCGTCGTCAGCTCGAGCGATGTCAAGCGGGAACCTTGGTGATATGGTGTTGTCTGGGCATAGTAGGCGGTATCGAGGTGGTCGTGCTCGAATAGCGCAGTGATGACCCCGATGGCGGTACCGTAGCCGGAGGTAGCGAGTGATCCGGTGTTGCAGACAGTGATGACCTTGAGGCCCTTCTTGTCTGACCCCGCGCGCCGTTTGGACCATAGCCATTCAGCTCCGAGACGCCCCATCTCCATGTTCCGCTTGAGATCCTCTTCGTGTACCGCCCCGCAGAGGGTCTTGACCTTCTCGACCAGGTCCTCCGCGCTGACATCTGTAGAGCTCTTCAGGAGAGCACGGATACGATTCATGGCTTCGCTCAGGTTGACTGCGGTCGGGCGGGAGGATTGGAGGTGGTCGAGGATGGGGTTGAGGTGGGAGATTACATCGGAGGTGGAGGAGAAGGCGGATGCGGAGGATAGGTATGACCGGATGGAGAGGGCTGCAAGGGAGGCGATAGCGGGTGCGCCGCGAATCTATATCAGCTATGCAAGAGCTTGACTCACCTTCATCGACTTGATGGCATCATACGCCTCGTCAGGAGTGGACACCTTCTCCCAGGTCACAGTATGGCTGGAGGTCAGCTCCGAATTGATCATGGAGTGAGGAGCTCACGGAAGCAGCAGCTGGTCGATGATCTCCACCTGTCCGCTCTGGTCTATCCTGATGGAGGTCATCATGTCGGGCAGCGGCTTCTTGCCGGAGGGCGCTTGTGCTACCATAGTGGCTTGAGAATGCTGGAGGTGATGTGGTAGATGACGAACGTGGACCGAGCAAAATTCTGAAACCTGATTCCATATTGGAGATCAAACATTTTGCAGCATCTTAGGAGGCTCAGTTCAGAGCAATGTAGGCGGCTACATGTCAAGCTCGCGGTTGAGGGCTTCGCTCATCGGGCACCCATACATACGAGTACTGTTCGATTTGCTCGCCCATTTTAGGCGGTCACACGCGGGACGGAAGGGCCGGTGCAAAAAAGGACACGTCTGGTGACAAAAAGAAGTGCTTTTGATTGGAGTGGGATTCGAACCCACGCCCTTTCGGACTGCGGTTTTGGGGGGTTTTAATTCACCTCCTTAACACAGCACCTTAACCGCTCGGTCATCCAACCATGAACAGTCTCTAAAATCCCTTTGCAAACGCGGTATATCAGCACGAAATGACAATAAAACGGACATGAGCGAATGAAGCCTTCCGGACGCTTCCATCCCAGCGAGCACAGTCATTCGCGGTGGTGCATGCATGAACACAGCTCATTGCAGAGATGCAGAGTGACAGACCAGGATGGTTGATCAGACTCACTTGGCTATCTCCTACGAAGAGTTTGCGAGACCTCATTTGAGTGCTCAAGCATCGACCTGCATGCCACATGCGATCCTATCCGCCCTACCACGTCTGCCCCAGACATCTGGGTGAACGGTAGGATCGGCACCTCGTATCCCGCTTCCTCAGTTCCGGCTCCATGGGTTCCAGCTCATCATGAAACCTCCCTTCTTCACCTCTTCTTCCGGCTGTTCCTTTTTCGCCCTCTTGTTCTGCGTCACCTCCTTCTCCTCCTCCTCCGCCCGCCGTGTCTTCCGCTCCCGCCACATGACGTACTCCGCTACGATCACCCATATGACACTGAAGACACTTGCTACAGTGGACCTGCAATCAGCTGGGCAGGTGTCTTCACTCACAACCAGAATGACCCCTGCGTCTCGACCGTCTCGACATCATCCGCTGCGCCTATGCTCGCCCGGACTGCAAAGTCCGCTATGAGGGCGCTGAGCATGAACAGGAGGAGGAAAGCAGGCGGGAGGAGGAGAGTCAGATATGATACTGTCAGAGAGCTACGATCTTGTGGACGGAGGACAAGCACGGCTTGGGTCATGGCTGTAGCAAGGAAGATGACGGCCACTTCGTTGTCAGCAGCGCTACGCACGTAACGTACCTGCGAGATGCCAGATCAGACACCCCTGGACTGCTCTACCATGTGGTGCGACGGCTGTACAGCTACCGTCAGCGCGATCAAAGGTCCACTCACGTCTTGTTCTCATCGCAAGCTCCGAGTCCTCCTAGAGACCACTTCGCGCCAGCCTCACCAGGCTTGGCATCCGCTTTGAGGACGATCTTGAGCCAGTAGTACTTGGTTCCAGGACCAGATACCGCGCTAAAAATCAGGAAGATGAGTATGAGAAAGACGAGGAAAAAGTAGAAGCCGTGTAGGGCGAATCGAGGGTGAGCCATTAGGCCCTTCAGCTTTTCCATTTTTGGATACTGCGGAGGTCATATATACTGACTGCGGTATGATGTTGCAGCGCAAAAGCGAGACAGGCCTGAGCGAGCCGAGTGAGGAGCGTTAGCTGAAAGGATATCTCAAAGCTCGGGGAAAGCGGGATCAGATGACCTCGAGCAAACTCCTCATTCCTCGTGCATCGTGCCTGATGACGTGATGGGCTGTCGTCCTACGCGCTTCTGTGGCTGGTCTTAGTCCAGTCAACAGCGACCAGCCACTTCGACGCTCCTTCTCTATCAACCATAAAAGTTCATTTGTGCTGAATAGTGAGATGTGAGGTAATGATAGTATGGATAACCTAGCTAATAGATCACTTCTTCCCCTTCGCTCCCGGCACCGGCCGCCTGCCCGCCATCGTCTTTCTCGCCTGATCCAAGTCCTACTTTGCGAGCCATTCCGGCTTCTTGCTCACCATAATCGCCGCGTACACTCGTTCCGCATCCTCTAGATCCTTCAATACGTCTTTGTGCTGCCGTTTCTCCCTCTTCGCCTTCAGCCCAAACCAGCGGGGCTGCAGGGATATGACGTTCACCTCTTCTCGAGGATCCCCCTGCCTGCGGGGACAAAATCTCCGATCCTTCAGGGCATCCAGCTGTGACCTCGCTCTCCAACCGGCGGTGATCTCCGCGTATTGCTGATTTTGAGCCCGTTCTGGTCCCGACCAGCTTTGTATGCGGGCGTCGTTCCAATCAATGGGACCGACGTGCCGTTCGGTAATATTGACGAGCGGCGAGATCCCAGGGCTGCCGGCGGAAGAGGATGATGGGGAGATCCAGGAGGTGTAAAGCTGATCGAGCGCATCGGTTGGTATGGGGTAGGATGTCCGGTCGTCCTCGGTACCGATTTGGACGAACGGAACGTTGTGGTGCAAAAGGGTGGAAGCCGGATCGATGGCTAGCGAAAGAGAGGAGATCGAGGTGAACCAGGGAGGACTGGCGCACAGGAGAGGGGTATGAGAGGGATACGAGGAGTGTGCCGAGCCGTATAGATGTCGATGGGAATAGCACCGAGTGTCGATAGGTCAAGCTGCAGGTGGACAGAGCAAGAGCTACATGAACATGTATGTGGCTAGTGCTATGTACGGTGCTTGACGATCTCCCTACCAGCTAAGCCATCCTTGGCTCTAGTCAGCCTCGCCTGTGTGCTGCGCACGGACATCCGCATTCCTCACTCTGTGTGACTCCTTTGGTACTGAACCTGCGCTTTCCCCACAACGTTGAGCTGTTCTTCTGGTATGTATGACCCCGACTCCGTATAGTAGCTGCCAAAATGATGCTCTTGTGGTGACATGAAGCGAGGGAGGGAAATGCGACACCTCGATGCCTGTAGATAAGCGATTGCAAGACGGAGCAGAGGAACAGGCTGACCTTCTCGTCATGGGCCTCCATTATAGTCTCAAAGCGCCGATCACCGATAGTCATGACGCCAATGTATATGGGGAAGAAGATGGGGTAGCATGCGAGCTACAATCAGCTTGCCTTCTTGGCTGGACTCACCATAATCTCCTTCCACCGGCTTTCATCAACGTCCGTCACATCCCCGACATCTTCCTACTGGGCCGCTGTTTGGATGTCCGGAAATGAGGACAGCTTCAGCGTGCAGTCGGTGAGCGGCCCTGACGGGGACCAGGAGGAAAGGGGCGGCGGTGATTTTGGGTGATTGCGAAGGGGTGAAGGTAGACTTCGCACGCTTGACCGGATTGTGCAGTGGGAAGGGGGAGCGCTGTAGTCCCACTTGCGCTGAGCCAGTGATAGCTGCCGACCGTATCATAGTGGCTGATGAGATGAGGTGGAACAGACTTGCCGGCAACTGGTTTCAGGACAAGCTTATCTCGGACGCGACGAAGGGGGATTTCGTGTCAGCTTGTTTTATGCGCACGGACCATAATCTACCCTACAGGGCAGTACTCCTGAGGTGGCATTTTGTCTCCACATCACCATGTGCCCCTCCGGTTTTACCCTAGATGCATCCTGATCACTTCTTTCCCTCTTCCACTACCCGCTTCGCCTCTTCCCACTCGACCAACCACGTCGGCTTCAACCCGAGCAGCTCCGCCTTCGTCTTCTCCACATCCTCCTCCATCTTCTTCTTGATCTCACTCATCGGTCGCGGCTGTGCCCCAACGTCCCCTTCAATTTTGATTAGCGCCTGAGGGTCCGCGCCATCTCCCAGCTGCGACTTGAGCTGCGCAATCCCATCGAGTACGCCCAGGCTCTTCCATACTTCCTGCGCCTTGTCGTAGTATTCGTAATTCTGGTCTCGCTCGACGCCGGACCAGGATTGGATGCGTGGGTCATCCCAGTTGATGGGATCGGTGATGTCCACGAGGGGAGATGGGGCTATTGAGGTAGAGGAGGACGGAGCTGGGGAGAGCCAGGAGGTGTAGGCTCGATTGAGGGAATTGGGGGACATGGGGGGCCCGGCGACGGTGGGGCGGACGAAGGGCATGATGAGGTGCGCCTCAGGGATGAAGGGCGCGGGGTTGACAAAGTAATTGTTCATGAAGCGGCCAGTCTCCAAGACCTCTTCAGGAGGCGGCCATGATGCCCTGCATTGACTGATCTCTCCGTCAGCTATGATCCATACGCAGACTCACGTCACTGTCATGAGCATCCATGATGACGGGATAGCGCCTGTCTCCCTCTGGCCGCTTCTGCTCGAACTCGGCGACGTAGATCGGCATGTAGATGGGATAGCAAGCGATCTGAAATAAGCGATAATCCCATGCTTAGGGGGAACGCACCATATGCTCCTTCCACCTGGTCTCATCGATCGCCAGCTGTTCGAATGTCGCTCGCTTGCCCACGACACGCCTAAGCTTGTCTACGACCGCAAAGGGCGAGACTGCGAAAGGGACCGGGACGATCTCAAATCCCTCGCCCAGCTGCGTCAGGTGCTCTTTCGGGTCGTATTCCGGCAACCCATCCGGTAGTGGTGGGACCGCGAAAGAGAGGTACGATAATGGAGCCCACGCATTGCCTGCTCATCAGCATATGTGAGATGAATAGGGGAAGGCGCAGCTAGCTACTGCTGCAGATCAAGAAAGCGACCAGGCAGACAACCCGAATCGTCGCAACTCACCAGGTATATACGCCTCTTGTACCGCCATGTACGCCTTCAAGCCAGGCCCCTCCTTGCCCTTACTCTCCACCGATCCTTCAAGGAGCGCATCCACCCGCCAGACAGGCCAATATACCGCCTTCATATTCCGCATCTCTACACTATCACCCAATCCAAATTGCTTTGCAATGGCTCCGACACCCGGCCCGAACAGCTTCAACAGGGCGGCGAGGAAGAGATTCGACCCCTTGGCAGAAGCAATGAGGGCATTCATGTGCAGCTTGTGCGCCGCGGCGGCGGGATCGAGGAGGAATGGTGCGGCACAAATCTTGGGGGATTGAGATTGGGATGACGGGGATTGGCCGGTAGATTGATAGCGCCGTATTGGGCGGAGGTGGCGTAGCGGACACCGCAGCGCATGGCGCGAGGGACCTGCGAGGGCTTCGACTGCAAGCATCTTTTCTAGAGCTAGACTGAGGTTGAAAGAAAACGTCAGAGAGGCTTTCTGAACGAACGCCTTGAGCTTGCTGACGATTTAGAACGCACGGACGTCACTCTCTCTCTGCGCTCCTCAATTTAAGGCCTGTATCGCCAGCGCGATGGAGAGTCTGGTACCTGCGCCCTATACAAAAGCTAGATCCAGCAGTAGTGCTACATTAATCGATAGAGTATACAACTTATCCTCCTTGCGCTTTGCAACCTCTACCTCAGCCCTGCCAGCATTCGCGCCCGTTCGGCATCCCCCTTCCAATTGGTCTTCTTCTTCTTCGGCACCTCCCACAGCTTCCACAACCTCAGAGTCTCATCGCACGATATAGTTGCCACCGTGCACCCGTCCGGGCTGCTGACCGACGATAGTACACGCTCGCTGTGTGCCGGCTTGTCGTAGACCTTTCTCAGGCCGGGGTAGCTCCACATGGACAGGTAGTTGTGGGGCGAGCCGTGAGTCGACAGCAGCTCCTGCCTATGTGGCGAGAAGAGGAGGGAGGAGACTTGCGACCCAGCATAGACCGACTTGGTGAGGGCGCCGGTGGACGCAGACCATAGCTTGATCGTTCGGTCGGTGATTCCACCGCCAGAGGCTAGGAGGTTGTTTTGCCACGGACACCATGCCAGCGCCTGATATAAGCTGGAGCAAGCAGGAAACTAACCTTGACGGCGCTCTTGTGACCACGTGCCGCCCAATTTGCACTGGCTTTCGGTATTCCGTCCGTCGATTCCAGAACGGAAGCGCGCGCGCGTGCACTGCCGTCAGCTCTCATTCGGCTCGTTACTCACTCCCAGCATCGAACAACATCGTCGTTCCCTCCACTAGCCAGAAATCCGCCATCCGGCCGCCATTTGAGACCGCATACCTGATCATTAATACAGCGCCGCCAAGCATGAAAACGACGCACCTCAAGAGTATGTCCCTGCAATTCCATGACCTTGTGCTTCTCCATCCGCACGTCATGATGCCATATACTCCCGTCTTTACATCCCGACGACAAGGTATGCTTGGACCAGCTCAAGCTCGGTACTCGAGCAGAGTGACCGCCCATCGTTCGTATCCGCTTCCCCACGCAAATGTCCCAAACCTCGACATCGCCTGTATCCAGACCGACCGCGAGAGAGCTGTCCGCTGCGAATGAGACCGACGTGAAGGGTGTTCTCACCGTGCTCGGCCTGGTATCAGCGTAGCCGGAAAAGAACTCACATCAAGCTTGGCTGGGTCAAGGGGTTGACTTTTTTGGCGGTTGCATCATAAATGTAGATACCGTGGTAATCCAGAGCAATCGCAATGTGATTGCTCGGGCCCCAGTCGACAAGATTGAGGTAAAAGTCGTCCGGGATGCCTGGCGCATCAAGGACCCTATCGGCGTGATAGGGCGCTTTCCGCTTCTTTCTCTGCGCCTGAGTAGCAACATAAGGAGCGACGACAGATGTCGCAGCCTCGCTATTGCGCTGATACTCGAGATGATACGGTGCGTGACGAGGTGGAGGGGTGCGAAAGGTGAGCGACCGGCGCTTGGCGGGAGGGATACCGAGGGAGGTGGACAAATCGGCGTAAGGCGTAGTTGGCGTTGGCTGGTTCATGTTTCTGAGTGACAGGACTGGCGTAGAGCATGAAGCGTCCGTGTTGGGCCGAATGGGAATGAAGCGGTCCATCTCGACCTAGATGTCAGCCACTTCGCACACGGGAAACAAATCTGACCCACCTCCCTCGCCTTCCCCTTATCCACTCGCGGCGTTCCATGCTGAGCGATGAGATCAGTGGCGCCCATCTATCCCTCAGCCTCTTCGCGATGACCGAGTCAGCCTACAGCTCTTCTGTGTCTTTCTGTGTACGGTCCAAGAATAAACAGTCGGAAGCTTCGCCTGTGAACTGGTGTTGACAAGACACGCGCCGAGGAATGTTGCTGATGTCATCGTCATGACTCACGCGGCTGTACGTAAATTCCGGGCTCTTTTCCCCGGATTAACCGGAACCCACGAGCAGCTTCGAAGGGCCAAGCGCGAGAGGCTTTCCACTTGTACTCACTCTCATCATCACAGCACAGCGCAGGATGTACAGGATACAGCACAGCTTACGAGCTGTCGTCGAGCCTATCCCTCCGATACTCGCCAAGAGACTGGAGCAGCCTTCAAGCTCAAAGCGGCCGGCCGAACAAGCTGCGTACGCTTCGAAAGAGCTATACGCTGCGCTCGTCTCTGCGCGTCAGAAGCAGCGTAACACGGCTAAAAGAAACGGGCATGATGATACGGAGGAAGAGTATGTGGGCGTTGCTGTGAGCTGGCCGAGGGAGAGGAGGCTGGAAGGGAAAGGAAAAGGCAGGGAAGGGAGTTTGGTGATATGGGTGGTGCCTGTCTTTGACGACGTCAGTTTTCATACGCTTCATCCCACTCAGTAGTGCTCTAGCTGATAATCCAGGTCATCACGGAGGGAAGAGTTCTATATGTTCCGCAGCAATTGCTGCCACACTGCGCAACACCGCCCTTAACGGTCTCGATACACCTCCACCAACCAATCCCTCTCACCTCGGTCATCCTCCAGCCTGTCGCCGAGTCGCAAGCTACTGCAGCACTTTACTCGGATGGCGATGGGGACCTCGATACTATACGACATCACATGCTTGATGGTCCAGGACCCAAGCACCATATCAATGGCAATGGCAACGGTCACCATCCCCGGCCGAGCCGTATTATCCGGGAAGGCGAAATGCTGGACCCCTCAGATGGCCCGGGCTACCGCATCCTCATGCTGGAGCCTGTCCGCCAAGGCGTATTCTCGCCCGATACACGCCTAATCATCTCCACGACACCTTACGTCCGGTCGGCGCAAAGCAACGGCTATGACATCGACGACCATCATTCCGAATCATCCCACCCTCGTACCCATCTCTCGCTAGACGACTTTGATCCGGACGCCTTCCTATCTGCCTCTCTATCCCTTCCCCAACCCATCGATATCCCGGATGGCGAATCCCTCCCCTCGGCTTCGCTCGGCTCTCTGACAAACGGGTCAAATACCAGCGGGTCACTCACGCCTCGTCCAGGCGACCCCCAGAGTCCCGTCATCCCCGTCTTGGGGCCGCGAGACGAGGAGGATACGAACGGAAACGGCCTAGAGACCGGTATCCGCTTCTCTGCTGTGCGATCAGCAGGTCCAGGCGAAGGAGGGGACGAGGTCTGCTGGGTCGGCGTGGGCGGATTGGGCCGAGCTGGGATCTTCGAGGGAGACTGGGTGTATATGGCCGGTAAGGGGGAGGGGCGGCTGGTCAAGGTGCTAGCGTGGGAACGTCTCGACCTATACGACCCGGACCTACCTTCAGATCCCATCCTCATCCCACCTGACCTCTTCCGCTCGCTCTTCCCTGACCCGTCAAGCTCATCTACGGACATCACCATCTCGCCCACTCCATTCGGCGCGCGAACTCCCACTCTACCTACAGCAAAGACGATCACGCTCGCGCGGATAGCCACAACCGAGGGCGTCGATAAGCGGTATGAGCGGTCTTGGCTAAAAGGGCTCCGGAGGCATTTCGCCAAGGCGTCAGGGGAAGAGGGGAGACTGGTGAGGAGAGGGGATGTGCTGGCGGTGCCGACATGGCAAGATCGGCCCATGTCGGAGGAGGAAGGTGTGTCGGATGAAGAGTCAGACGAGGAGGGAGCAGCAGCGGTGAGAACGCTCGCGACTGCTGTTGCCTACTTCCAGGTCACGTCCCTGTCATTCGATCCGCTCGTCCCCCTCGACGAGGACTTCCGGTCCTCGCTCTCGTCAAAAGCTCGGGCCGGAGAACTAGGGGTATGGGCGGATGTGGGGGGAAATACTCGGATGGTGCTGACCGGTGTGGAAAGGGGCAGGGTTGTGGGTCGGTCGGGAGATCTGGCTTGGTGGAATATCGGCAAGTTCATCTCTGCAGAAGCATGGGACTTAAACTGATGGACAGCACCTCCGCCTACTCCAGCATCACTCGTCGCCACCGCCAAGCTGCGTGACCTACTATCATCCTGTATCTCTCGTCCAGGTATGGGCGCCCTCCTCCAGCTCTCGATATTGCTGCAAGGCGCGAGGGGATCCGGGAAGATCAGCCTGATACGGTCTCTTGCCGATGAGCTCGGCTTCAATGTCATACAAGTAAGCTCTATTGTCGGATACCGCTGACGCCAGGTTGACTGCTTTGACATCATTGGCGATACCCAACAGAATCTGCAAGGAACGCTCCAGGCTCGCGTCGACAAGGCCAAATCTACCGCCCCATCCATCATTGTCTTGCACCATATCGAGGCTCTCGCCAAAAAGTCCGACTCTGCCGCTACTGGTCGTCCACCTACTATCGTCAAGGTGGTTGAAGATGCGGTGGATGCGTTGAGGGCGGCAGCAAAGGAGACTGGCTGGCCGTGTGTCTTGATGGGGACCGTGGTGGATCCAGATGTCGTCCCTGGAGAGCTGTTGGGGGTGTTCAAGCAGGATATCGCCATTAGTGTGAGTGTCGAATTGTGGTCTCAGCTGATACCAGGCCCCAACCGAGGTCGAGCGAAGAAATATTGCAGAGAACATCTTGTCCGAGTCTCATCTCGCCCCGGACGTCACCTCATCTGTCATCTCGAGCCAGACCGCTGCGCTCCACGCGGGTGATCTGCGCGCCCTGATCGCGAAAGCGGAGAACCTTGCCATTGTCCGCGGCACCACTACCTCCTCCCGCCCCGCTCTGGACGTACGGCTCGCCGGCCTCAGTCTTACTTCCGCCGATATTACATCTGCTCTCTCATCCGCCCGCTCCGCCTACTCGGACAGTATCGGCGCCCCCAAGATCCCCAACGTCTCCTGGGACGATATCGGCGGTCTCGCCGGCGTCAAGGATGAGATCTTGGAAACCATTCAACTCCCCCTTGACCACCCTGAGCTCTTCGCTTCCGGTCTCAAAAAGCGGTCCGGTATCCTCCTCTACGGTCCGCCCGGAACAGGCAAGACCCTACTCGCCAAAGCAGTCGCTACCTCCTGCTCCCTCAACTTCTTCTCCGTCAAGGGCCCCGAATTGCTCAACATGTATATCGGCGAGTCCGAGGCGAACGTGCGTCGGGTGTTTCAGCGGGCTCGCGATGCGGCGCCCTGCGTGGTGTTTATGGATGAGCTGGACAGTGTCGCTCCGAAGAGAGGGAACCAGGGGGATTCGGGTGGAGTGATGGACCGGATCGTGTCCCAGCTGCTCGCGGAGCTGGATGGGATGGGATCGAGCGGAGGCGGAGACGTTTTCGTCATGGGCGCAACAAACCGGCCGGATCTGCTCGACAGCGCGCTCCTCCGGCCCGGTCGATTCGATCGGATGGTCTACCTCTCGCCACCCCAAACGAGGGGCGAGCAGCTGAGCATCCTCCGCGCTCTGACCAGGAAGTTTGCGCTGCACCCTGACCTGGATCTCGGGGCGGTGGTGGAGCGCTGCGGGTACAATCTGACCGGGGCGGACTTTTACGCGCTCGCGAGCGATGCGATGTTGGGCGCGATGACGGGGGCGGCGGAACGTGTGGACGGAAGGATACGGGAGTTGGAAGCGGGGAGGAAGGGGATGAATGGAGATGCCGCGGGGCATAATGGGGAGGGTATGGCTTGGCCGTCCCCCTTGACACCGCAGTACTACTTGGACAGGATGGCTACGCCGGAGGAGGTGCAGGTGGTGGTCGGCCAGGAGGACTTCTTCGGGGCGCTGGCGAGGCTGCGGCCGAGTGTGAGCGACGAGGAGATGAAGCATTACGAGAGGGTGCAGGGGGAGTTCAGGGGTATGAGTATGGGGAATGGGCTCAAGGCGGGGAGCGGGCATGATTAGAAGTTCTTGATCTTGATAAACTCTTAGGCTCGCCGTCGTCGGTGGTTGACGCAAGGAACGTGATGCTTACTGACATGACATTTGATCCAGCTGGCCTCACACGAGATCTCCTTAAGTATTCGGCTCACAGATACTGATCATCCAGTCGCCACTCGTGATCTGTTCGGATCAAAGCGACCGATCGCGGCCTGGATCAGCAGCTGTTAGGCTCGGCTCACTTGGCCTTTTCTTAGTGTGATAGCTGATCTGCTCCTGACAAGTACCCTCGTTTTGGTAACGGTAAACGTAGATATGCATACAGTGAAACAGTCGTATCCTTATCCCGCATGCGTCTAGAACCCCAAACGTCCCGCGAGAGCAGAAAGCCCGTCGATCAGGGGTTGGGCGACGGACCGCGTGGGGTCGTACTTGGCTCTCAACTTTACAGCCGTGGCAGGATCGTCATAGAAGAGTCGGCTCGCCTCCCCTTCGCAAATGTCGTGCTCTTTGTCGTGAGTCTCACATTGAGAGGAGTCGGTCCCATTGTTTCTCGCGTCCGAGCGGCACTGGAAGATTCTGGTGTGAGCAGTCCCTGACCTCATGAACCGCATCTCCTCGTCCTCGGAACCCTTCGTGCTTGACAATCGCTCGTCCTTCTGGATCAGTTTGACGAGTGCGCAGCGGCTTCGTTGGAGTGTGAGGTCCAGGCCCGTGAGGTTTCCGTTCTTCAAAGTCTCGTCAAACTCGCTGATGAGGTCTGCCAGATCGCCCTTGTTCGCCCTGATTCTTGCCAGATGGGTAATGAGGTCATGGAGTGGAACACATGGACTAAGGCTTGCCAGCTGCTTCTTGGAGTGCCCGCAGGTATCGATGAAGCAGGCAGAGTCTGCGTATGATCTCGCAGGATTGTTGGCGGCAGACGAGGTAGACATGTCGGGTCAGCTGTGAGTGCGGCTAGGAGGGGATGAGTGATGGGTTGAGTATTGATGACGGAGTGACGGAAGATGTTTGACTTCAGGATGTTGTATAAAGCCAAGAACGAGGGCAAGGCCGGTCCTTTATATAGGAAAATCGGATCGGTGGGGATGAGTGACCTGCGTCACTCTGCCCTCAAACGGTCTGCCCCGCCCAGCTCTACGATCAGCACAAAGGTTTGCGCTATAGTGCTGCTCTCGCTGGATTGAGGCAAGGAGCTCGTATGAAAGGATCTCTGCCCTGGCGCACGCAGTCGCGCGCAGTCCTCGAGGTTGACCTGGTCAACTGCTCTGTGCTCGGCTTAAGAGCAGGCGAGTGAGCCTTGCGGTGTCCGTCGGCCGAGGCTGCGAGCTGTGAGCAAGGTTACGTTCGGGTCCGAGGACCCGAAGTCCGATCCGAACTTCGGAGGCAAAAACGCTATCAGATAATGACCCTCTTATCCCCCTGCCTGTTAAAAAGCATCCTCTTGTCGCGCTTCTTCTCCCCATTCCCATTCCCCTTCAACTCTCCATCACCTCACAGAATGAGTCAGACTCATCCGCAGGATCGCGCATACTCGGCTCGAGACGCCGCCATGGCCTCCGACGAGAAGACCAGCCACACCCGAACCGCAAGCGGGAAAAGCAGCGAGGACGAAAACTACCAGGCGGACGTTACACCGATCTTACCTCGTCAAGCCGTCGTCAATGAGCACAGTGGCTTATCAGAAGAGAAAGACCTCGACAATCTCACCGATGAGGCTGGTCAGAGGGCGGTACCTCTGCGCCACATCCCTCGCAAGTACCAGATCATGGCGTTCTGCATGATCATTTTCTTCAATACTAGCTCGTCCTTCTCCGAGAGTACTTTGAGCCCGCTCAAGTCTACCATCAGGTCCGAGATGAAGATCACCAGTGAGTCAGAGGAGACCTTCAGGTAGCGCAACGCTGATGCAATAGATGCTCAGTACGGGGTCATCTCTTCCGCGTCCAGTCTCGCCAATACAATTTTACCCGTGCTCGGTGGGATCGGTAAGCACTTTTTGAATGACATAGAGATCAGTTTACTGAGCTACAGGTATTGACTACTGGGGATCCACCTATGCCGCCATCATCTGCTCGTCCTTCATCATGGTTGGCGCCATCATCTCTGCTGCGGTAAGTGATCCTGCTCTTACATCGCCGCGTGTGTAGCTGACAGGCAGGGCGCGAGCACCATGCAATTCGGTCTCATCGTCGCCGGTCGTATCATCCTCGGCTTCGGCTCGATGGTCATCGAGTCCGCCCAGATCAAGCTCTACGCCCACTGGTTCCAAGGCTCTCACTTAGCTTTGGTCATTGGTCTCGACTTGGCTTGGAGCCGAGTCATCAGCGTCATTGCTCGGACCTCGGCAGTACCCATGTCGATGGTCGATGGATGGTGGGGATGGGCGCTATGGTGAGCATCAGAGAGGATCCGACTGATGCTCAGGATACCTGCGTTCTCGACGGTCGCGAATCTGCTCATTTGCCTGGCTTACTGGGCTTTCGAGCGGCGTTTGCCCCAAGCGTACCGCCCACCTCTGGGTAAGAATGCGCACATCGTCGAGGGGACACTGAAGAAGTCTATCAACTTCAACACCCTTCGCAGGCTGCGAGTCCCGAATCATCAGACGTGTGCTCAGGCCTCAGCTGATAGTCAGGCCGGTCTTCTTCTGGATCTTTGCTGGAACCCGTGGGTCACTCTCACTTGCCCTTGACCCTATCACTGATCTGTCCAAGAGCTCTTCCAAACGTCGTGCATCGGAGTGTACAGCATCAACCTCGCCGATATCCAGACCCAGACAAGAGGCACATCGGCTCTCGCAGCAGGGTACAACTCGTCCCTTCAGAGCGTGGTGCCAATCGTCTTGATCCCGCTCATCGGGGCCGTCTTTGACCGATGGGGCATGAGGATGTTCTTCAGTGAGTCCAGCACATCGGATTTGCCCCATTCATACACCGCTGATGCATAGTCTCCTGGACTGCCCTCCTCTATGTTATCGTCTTCGCGCTCATCGGCCTGACCAAAGTCCACCCTATCGGACCGATCCTGCTCAGCTCGTTCGCCTTGTCGACCTACGCCATCCCGCTGTCGGCTTCGATACCTGTCATGATCGGCGATGATGCGCTTCTGGGAACAGCTATCGGGGTCTGGAAAGCTTTCGTGAGTGATTGCCTGGACGTGTAAAAAAGGGCCTAGGCTGATAGCCAAGGGTAACGGCGGCATCATCGTCTTCGACATCCTGGCTGGCGCTATCGTGAGTCTTCTCGCCCTCTGAGAGTAGGAACAGTGGTCAGCTGACCCCATCAGCAAGACCGGTCCGGCAACAATTCGTACACGAATGTCATCATCCTCTTGATGTGTTACAAGGGCCTGCAAATCTTCCTCCCATTCGGCTATGACTGGCTTGACGGCAAATGGCTCGGACACTCGCTCCGGAAGGGCGAGAAGGAGCGAGTTGCGCTACGCGATAAGGTACTGGCGGAAGGGATCGAGATGAGGGGGTGGAGGCCGTCCAAGTGGGGCATGATCATCGTCATGAGCGAGTTAACAGCGTTGACAGTGGCTGCCTGGGCGGTAAGTCTCACTTATCTAGCCCTAGTTGGCAGTAAACCATTTCAGCTTTGGTATTAGAAGCTGATGGATGTCAGGTGTACATTGTCTTCTCCCTGGGCAAGTAGCAGGAAGAGGGTGAGAGATCTACATATGCTCAACTAGGGATGGCTCGGGGAAGGCTCTGCTGTCGGATGCATTCAATAAGTGGTCCTTCACATAGAGTGGAGATATTCAAGTCATGCGTCTCAGGGTGAGAGTGGTAGTATGCAGGAGACGTGATTCACCGAGGGTAAAATCAGTGATCAGTACTCATCAAGGGTCTCAGTGTGCCATCGCGCCGCACTTTGGTCCGGCCTAACATACAGTGGTTGCAACAATACATACCTCCCTCCTTTATCCCAACATCTCCTTCGACATCGCCTGCACCCTGTCCTCACAGCTCGTCTCTCATCGCCCCGCACTTTCCCCCGCCGCCTCCCTCTTCTTCCTCCTCGTAGCTTTCGCATCCATCTCATGCCACTCCCCATGTTCCCCCAGATCCGGCTTCTCCATCCCTGGCTCCTCTTCCGTAAAATACCGGCTCTTTAGCGCATCCGCCGCACTGACCCGCTTGGCCGGATCATACGCCAAAAGCTGCTCCGCCAGGTCCAAACCCGCATCTGTAAGGTACTTCCCGCGGAAGCCTTCCCGGAACCGGTTAGGAAGGGTGGATTTGGGCCGGACGAGCTCGTACCATGGTAGTTCAACCATGGTGGGCCAGGCGGAGAGGGAAGGGGTACCAAAGATTTCGTATATGGTTTCCAGCTGGTGGATCTCGTCTCGGCCTTGAAAGATGGGTTTGCCGGTAGAGAGCTCGAGCATGATACAGCTGTAGAGTCAGCGTCTGTCTTGGGCATACCGGATAATACGACGCGGGGGGAAAGATGAGACTCACCCAGCAGACCAGATATCCACCTCCGGGCCATACACCGTCTCCCCCAACAACAGCTCCGGACCCCTATACCACAGCGTAATGACGCGATTTGTATAGTCGTCTTTCCGCCGTTTGCTGTAGAACCTGGCCAGCCCAAAGTCCGCGAGCTTCAGGGTACCTCGGCCGTCCAGGAGGATATTGGAGCCTTTGAGATCTCGATGCAGGATGGAGTGGGCGTGGAGGTATGCCAGTCCGTCGAGCATTTGGTAGTTGAGAGATTTCTTCTGGGCGGGGGAGAGCGTCAAGTCGGGCTTGGCGAGGAGACCGGTGAGGTCGTGCTCCATGTATTCGAATATCATATAGACGAAGCCTAGGGGTCAGCTATGGCCCATACTCAGTATCTGAAGGCGTAAGTAGGGGGAAGGTATAGCTCACCTTTCGAGACCATCATCTCGACCAGCCCAATAACATTCTCATGCTTCAACCCCTGCAACAGCTTGATCTCCCGCATGGCCGTGACCGGGAATCCGTCCTTCTCCCCTTCCATCCGTATTCGCTTCATTGCCACTACCGAACCATCCTCCGCATTCCGCGCCTTGTAGACTTTGCCGTATGTCCCCTCGCCGACGCACGCGAGGCGCTCGTATACCTCGCCCGGAGGTAGGGTCGGGCGGACCTCGACGACCGGAGGTGGCGCGGGCGGCGGAGACGCGGGAATAGCCACGTGCTTGACTGGAGCGATGGGGGAGGCGGAGCGACGAGGTATAGAGTTCCGCTCAGCGAGGAGCGATTGCATCTGCGCCACTTCATCCCCGTTGGGCGTACGCCGGAGGTGCATGCCGAGAAACTCGAGGAGACCGGGTGACATTCTGTCTTTGATCCACTCATTGAAGGCCGTACGGATGTACGGAGCGATGGAGGTCCGGTCATCGCTATATGAATTACGCTGATCCGGGCGTGCAGGAGAGGGAGATCGTTGTCGCGGGGGCTGGACATGGGGAAGTTGTGGTGGGAAAGGTGGAAGCTGTGGAGGGGGAGGAGGCTGGTGCGCCGGAGGGGGAGGAGGGGGAGGTCCCGGCCGTTGAGCATGACCATTGCTGTAGCCGTTGCCGTTCCCGTTCCAGTTCTGCCGAGGCGGAGAGGACCGGATGCTAGCTGTGGTAGGGGTGGAGGGGGTGGACTTGTCGTCAAAGAGGTGCTGAACGGCCGACTTCTGCACTGGGGCGCGAGCAATCGCGACGTCGATCTTGAGTCCGGACGAGCGAGAATCATGGGAGAGTCCAACATTCGACATGTACGCGGGAGCAGAGGGGGAAGGTACTGGAGGAGGGATGTAGTGCTGCTGGGGGTACTGTGATTGTGGCCTGTCTGGAGGGAGAGGGCGGTATGTCGATTCAGGTGATGGCGCAGCCGGACGTGAGATGGACTGGCGTTGGTCTTGGAAATCCGATGGTACCGGCTCTCCATTCCCACCCCGGCCTTTAGCCACCCCCTCGGCCCACCTATCCCGCGTTGGAGCTTGCCAAGCTTGCCTGTTGTCAACTGCTGGTCCTTGCGGCGGCGGCGGCGGTGGCGGCGGACCGTTGCTGAACACGGCACTCTGATCTGGCAGTGCCTGCCTCCCCCATCCTCTCGAAGGAGAGGTATGACGGGGACCCCTGGGAGCGGAGGGAGGGAAAGGTTGGCGTCCGGGACCTGGACCTGGACCCGGACCTGGGCCGGGCGGAGGTGGCTGCCTGGTATGTGAATCGGCAGAGGGGTGGTACTCGCGAGGTGGAGGTCGGGGCGATGGTGAGCGCCGGCGAGGAGGTCGGGCATCTGTCTGAGGGGGTTCGACAGGATGTGACCGGCTGGGATAGCTAGCGGATGCGGTTCGGGACTGGTGAGGCGAAGTGGACGGTGAGGATGACGCCGAGGAATGACGACGTCTTCGATGAGGTGAGGGAGAGCGGGAGGAGGATGGCGAGCGCTCGCGGGCCCGTTTTGCCGCAGGCAGAGAGGGAGGTGAGCGGTCTCGATGGCTAGAGCGGGTGTGCGACGAGTCTCGATGGGAAGAATGTTGCCTACGGATCAGCTATCATCTCCAGCTCAGACTAAAACACTCACTGTTCTTCCGCGTCCCTCGATCGTCCCCGACGATGGTCACTATCGGATCGTTCTGCCCTTCCGCCGACACCATAGTCTGGACTCGCCCTTCCATTCCGCTGGTCGTTCCTGGGTGGCATTCTCGTCCTGTCCGGTACTTGTTGTACCGGCTGAGCCGCTGCGCCCCACGACCTCCTCGGCTCTCCAGGTCTGAACGAGCTCGTCGTCTGCCCTCTCCCTACCATAGCCTCCGGTCCTCTGCTGGAGTCCGCCCAAACATCCTCTTCCCTCTCCGCCCTCCTTCTTCCGTTCCTGTCGACTCCTGCAGGTGGCGCGACCCCTCGCCCATCGCTCGACGGTTGCCCTTGCTGGCTCCGCGTCGCCCACGATCTGTCGTTCCCCCCGATTCCGCCGCCGGCACTCCGAGGCGCCTCCAGCCGGTTATACCGATTCCCACTCCCAATCTTGAAATTCCGCCTCTCCGTCTCCGCTGACGAAGGGGGACTTTGCCCCCTTGGTCCTCGAGACGATCCAGACGGCGTGTCCCAGCTTGGACCAGTCCGATCCCCTCCGCCCTGGTCACGAGGCGTCCAGCTGCTTTGAGCATTTCTCCCTTGGGGACCGCCAGCCGGACGCCAGCTCTCCTTCTTGATCGGTATAGCGCCGTGGCCTGTTCCCGTCTGGAAGTTCTGCCGGGCTGCCGAACCAGGTGGAGAAGGAGACATGGCCCATGGATTCTCGGCCCCGTTCGACCGGGACATTGTGTATGAGAGTGAGAGGAGGAAGGATGGAGAGGGTAGATGTATGCAGGCGGAGAGAGCTTCAAAGGCAAGCCAATAGAGGTCAACTATTTGATACCGCTAATGATCGCCGACGCGTGAAATTCACATTAGCAATCTTCCCCACCACTTGCCACTCGCTATGTATGCTGCTCTTCCTACGTAGAGGTGTCCATACAGTGCATGGTACCATAGGTGCTTCCTTGAGGTGAAAGTAAAGTGATATATGCATGCACGATCCCACCAGCTATGGGTTTGTGCGCGATTTGCGGTGGCCGAGGAACGCGTTTCGTTTGTCTCCTTGCGGGAGCAACTGCGTCCCTTTGGAGTTGCCTCGCAACATTCACTTCATCCACCTATCCCACCTCGCAGTAGCTGCCTCGCCTTCACACTGCACCTTACGCCAACTCGATGAGCACGATACAGCTCTTCACGCGCATAACGACCTAACGACCGAAATCTTCTTATCCACTATGCCGCCCTCAGGCCCCAGGTCGCGCGCCAATCAACCACCCGCGCCAGCTCGGACCGCCAACGTGCGGAATGAGGCCTTTGAGAGCATCTTTGGTCGGCCGGCGGGAGGCCATCATATGGCTGGCGCACCGCCTCCTCAACAGCAGCAGCAGCCTCAGCCGGGCTACCCTCCGCAGACGCAGCAGGGGCCGTACGGGTATCAGCCGCGTCCGGCTCCGCCGTCGGGATACCTTCATCCCGCGCAACCAGCATACCCACCTGCACAATACCGCGGGGCGCCGGGATTCCCACCACAGCCGCCTCAGCAGCAATATGCTCCCAGACCGGACTTTGGGGTCCCGCCTCCCCCGCCATCACAGCAGCAGCCTCTGCAGCAGGACGGATATAGGTCGTATTCTTCCCACCCAAATGTGAGCCTTCCCCTCCTGTGGGAAAGGGTGCCTGCTGACACCTAGTCTGACTATCTCGACCGGCGCGCATCACTAGCCCCATCGACATACTCCAACTCCTCCGCATCCTTCTATTCGCCTACACCCGACGCTGTCTCCCCACCCACCCAGACTGCTCGTCGAATGCCAAGCCAGACCTTCCCTGCCCCTTCACACCGCATAGATCCACCACCCCGATCTACAAATGGATCTCTCGCGCCAACTCCCGCGCAGGCATATCAGGCAGGCTACGCACCCTCGCCCACATCATCCGTCTTCCCCTCCCGACCCTTCCCGACCCCAGTCGCTGGCCCCTCCAGGGAATCGTCCATGTCCAGCTCGCGCGGCACGCCGGCCCCTGGAGCGAGCTCGCAGATGTCCAGACCAGTCTTGGATGTGGATACGAGGCATCAGTCACCGACGGCGGGGATGTATGAGGATTTCAAGGCGATGGGTTTTGATGGAGCTGGTGGCGGACCGTTGGATGTGGTTCCGGGGATACCGAAGAAGGGGACAGAATCGCCTGTAGCTGCGGAATTTGGGAAGCTCGCAGAGCGATATTCGGGAGATTATGATAGTGAGTACGTATAAGAGATTAGGCTGACGGTAGACCAATACACCCATCGGAGAACAGATACGAGCGCGTCGAGATCCAGCAATGGAGCGCCGGGAATGCACAGGCGGATGGCGTCGGATTCGAGCATGAGCAGTGGGGGATATACGTTGACGGGGATAGGAAGGTCTATGGCGTGAGTCAGAATCTCGCTTTATATTGAGGGCCAGCTGAGCAGCATAGACCCCTATCTCAGATCGACTCGCCCACTTCACCTGAAACACCCACGGACGGATACAGTTTCGCTGCACAAGCGAACGCTCGGAAATCAGTCGACTCGACGCGGTCAGACGGCCTTCCTCCTGGTGCTGGGGTGGGCTACGACCGCTCCACCTCCTTCTCTGGCTCCTCTACCACTCGAAAAGAGGCGACCGCCGCCACACGCTCAGGCTCGGTCGGACATGGCGCCACTACCCGCCGTCCTGTCCCCGGCCCTTCAGCTTACGCCTTTCCCACTCCCATCCCCTCCAACCGGTCCCTCCACGACACCCTTCAACGCTCAACATCTTCCCCACGCACCGTCGCCATCTCCTCTCTTACCATCCCCAACATCTACCCTGCGCTCCTCTCGCGCGTTGCCGAGGTGTTCAAGCAGCTCGTCTCCCTCACAGAGCACGTCAAGGACGGCATCACGTACAAAGACGCCTTTGACGGTCGTACCGCCGTCAGCATTATTGGCGATATCATCAAAACGCCAGATCGGAATCTCGCACTTTTGCTTGGTCGGGCGCTCGACGCGCAAAAGATGTTTCATGACGTCACGTATGACCATCGACTCCGGGACAATCCGCACGAGGTGTATCAGTTCAAAGAGCGGCTGTCCGCGCCGTTCATGCCTGGCGCGATGCCAGCGGATTCGCCCATGTCGCTGTCGGACCACCAGCAGGGGTTGGCGCGGACGACTAGTTCCGGATCCACGTCCATCATGCGCCGACCGGGACCGCATCCTACGCCCCAGACACCCGAGTCGTCCTCACTCCAGATGAGCGACAGTCAGGCTAGTCTGCCCACTACGGCGGCTACGAGCCAGGCGAGTCTTCAGACCCCACCCGTCGTCAAGGCTGGAGCGGGACCCGAGGATGAGGATGGAGAGGAGGACCTGCCAGTCGGAGTGTTTACGCTTCTCACGGATTGTTACTCCCCTACTTGTTCTCGAGAGAGTCTGTGTTACTCCATCAACTGTCCTCGGCGCCTGGAGCAAATGAAGCGGTTGAACATGAAGCCGACGGGGCTGAGTCGCAAGTTGTCGGAAGAGAGCATACACGATGTCAAGGTATGTCCTTTCCTCTCGCAGCTGTGGCCGAGCTGACGTCCAGGAAACCGGGACGCTCTGGGTCCACTCTGTCTCTCAAGAAATCCTCGATAGCGTCGACGACCGCGAAAAGTCGCGTCAGGAAGCCATCAACGAAGTCATCTACACGGAGCGTGATTTCGTCCGGGACCTCGAATACCTCAAAGAGAACTGGGTCAAGCCTCTCCTGTCAAACGACATTATCCCCGCGGCGCGCCGGGAAGACTTTGTGCGGCAAGTCTTCTGGAACGTCCATGATGTTTGGAATGTCAACCATATCCTCGCCGAACGGTTGACGAAGCGGCAGAAACAGCAGCCGGTGGTACAGAGCCTGGGTGATCTGTTTTTGGAGCGAGTGCCCCTGTTTGAGCCGTTTGTGGCGTACGGGGCGCATCAGCTGTTTGGGAAGTACGAGTTTGAGAAGGAGAAGGGGGCGAATCCGGCTTTTCAAAAGTTTGTGGATGTGAGTGCTTCTCCAGGCTTTGGCTGCTGTTCTCCTTTTGTCCGTACGATAGGAAGGCAGAGAAGATCCGGTACGAAAGGAACAGAGCTGACCCCCAGGAAACCGAACGCCGTCCCGAATCCCGTAAACTCGAATTGAACGGTTATCTCACAAAACCCACTACCCGTCTAGGTCGATATCCCCTCCTCCTCGCTGCCGTCCTCAAATACACGCCCGACGATCATCCAGATAAGGTCGACTTGGCGGAAGCGATCAAGCTCATCCGGGCTTTGTTGACCAAAGTGAACATCGAGAGTGGGAAGAGCGAGAATGTGTTTGAGCTGGCGCAGTTGGAGACGCAGCTGGTGTGGCGGCCGAGCGAGACCATTGTGAGTTCAATCCTTCTTTGTCGAAGAAGGAAAGGGCGGTAGTGATGGAGTGGCGATGAGGGCGTGGAGGCGATCAGAACGTCGGGGAACATAGCTGATAAACAGGACCTGAGACTGCGCGATAAGAGCAGAGAGATGGTACATAAAGGTCCGCTCAAGCGGAGAGGAGGTAACAGGGACGAGATTGCGGATCTGCTGGGGTTCTTGTTTGATCATGCGTTCCTTCTGGCCAAGCCAAAGCATGTCAACAAGGCGGAGCAGCTTCGAGTTTATCGACGAGTAAGCTTTATTTCAACCTTTCTGCTGGATTCTAGCTGACTCCTAGCCAATCCCCCTCGAGCTCCTAGTCGTCATCACCCCTGACGAGACCTACAACGCCAAGCTCTCGGGCGGGACCGCCGCCTCCGCCGCCGCGGGCGCGCGAGGCCGACTCGTACCCCGCCCGTCAGCCGGAAAGTCGGCTGCGGCACACGTCCCTCCCAAGCCTGAGAGCAAGCACGGCTACTCGATAACGATTGTCCATCTCGGCAAGAAGGGGTACTCGATGCAGTTGTGGGTGGATACGTATGTGAGCCGAAAGAAGTGGCTGGAGGCGATCGATAAGCAGCAGACGGTGCTGAGGGAGCGGAGCTGCGTTTTTGTGCCGGAGACGATTACGGAGGGGTGGTTTGTCGGGTTGAGGAGGATACACTGCGTTTCACCTTATGGTAAGTTCTGCTTTAATCTTGAAGAACGGAACGGAGCGAGGATGAGGAGGTGGTCAGAGTCGGGATAGCTGGGAGGCAGGGCATTCGCAGATGGGGAGGGCGAAGACCATACCTTCATCAAGCTTTGGCTGACCCGCAGACAACGGCAACCGAATGATCTACGGAACCGACGACGGCGTTTACTTTTCCAACCTCCGCGACCCCAAACTACGAGAACCCGTCAAAGTCATCAACCTCCTCGACGTGACACAAGTAGACGTCATCGAGGAGTTCCAGCTCCTCATCGTCCTGCACGAACGCAGCGTCACTACATTCCCTCTCGACTGCCTCGACCCCAACGATCCCAACGCGGCCATGAAGCGCGGCAAGCGGATAGCGAGCCATACCTCCTTTTTCAAATCGGGGTTGTGCCTCGGCAAGATGCTCGTCGCGGTAGTCAAGAGCTCGACGTTGAGTTCGACGATCAAGGTGCTGGAGCCGGTGGATCCGATGAGGGGTGGGAAGAAGGTGCAGGGGGGATTTATGAAGCGGTTGAATGGTGGGAATGAGGCTTTGAAGCTGTTCAAGGTGAGTCTGGCCTGATGACCGAAGAAGTGGGAGGGTGCAGCTGATACTTCAGGAATTCTATATTCCTACAGAATCGTCCTCGGTTCATTTCCTCAAGACCAAGCTCTGTGTCGGGTGCACGAAGGGATTCGAGATTGTCGATCTCGAGACGCTCGACATGCAGGGTCTGCTTGATCCCAGCGATCAGAGTCTGGACTTTGTGCTCAAGCGGGATAATGTGCGACCTATTGCTATTTACCGGATCGAGGAGGACTTCTTGCTGTGCTATGACGGTCGGTCTCCCGCTGCTCAGTTCACTGGGAGAATGCTGAGCTGATTAATCAGAATTCGCTTTCTATGTAAACAAGAACGGGTGGCGGAGTCGGCCAAAGTGGGCTATTATCTGGGAAGGCGTCCCTACCGCTTTTGGTGTGTCTTCTTTGGTTCGGAGAGGTAATCCGAGCGGCTGCTAACCTATCAGCCCTGCAGTTCCCCTACGTCATCGCGTTCGAGCCGACCTTTGTCGAAGTCCGCTCCGTCCACACAGGCGATCTCGTCCAAATCATTCCCGGCAACAACATCACCTGCCTCTTCGCCGATACCCCTCCTTCCCGTATCAATGCCGCTCCTGTCCAGCCCAATCGTCAAATGATGTTTCCCCCTTCCTCCCAATCCGGTCCACCTGGATCGTATCGACCGCCCAATGGGCCCCAGGGGTATCCCCAGGGTTTCCCCGCTCCTCAACCATATGCGAACGGCTTCCGCCCTCCACCGGGAGCAGGACAGCAGGGGTATATGCCCCCTCCGCCAGCGCCACCAGGGGGTCCGGGACGATTTGTCAGGGATCAGATCATCTTTACGAGCGAGGAGGGACATGTGCAGTTCCTGAAATTGCCGCCGCCGGGACAGAGGGGCAGCTTTGCGTCAAACACGTCGGCGGCGACGAGTACGACCACGCTAGTGAATTTGTCGGGTGCACCGAGTGGGCGGCTGGATTCGATCAGGGGGTCGAGGTAGGGATTATGAGGTTGGGCGAGAGGATTAACGAGCTGCGGATCGAGCTGCGGACGTATCATAACCTTATCAAACTTTAGCTGTACCTTCCCGGTCTCCCCTCACGCTAGACAGTCAGATATACACGCCATTAGTCATGTCTGATAGTTCTGTATAGCTTTCAGTGTTGTAGTTCTAGAGCTTCGATGATGGTCACGGGGATGTGATTACTGCATTAGATGTTGCCTGCCTGCCTGCCTGCTTGCGACCGTCTGTTCAAGCCTCGGTCCTGCTCGAAGTCCCCTGTTAACTCTTATGGTGTCGATGTCATCTGCCCCCTCCTCCGTTATATGACCTCACGCCGCCCCTTCCTATCAGTCTCGCGCCGCTCTTGTCGTCCAGCCCCGACAAGCCCATCTGAGGGGCCATGATTTTGATATTGCGCTGAAAGTCTGATAATGCAGAGTTCAGCTGGCCCTGTTAGGTCAGCTTTGATCCTAACAGCAGTCATGGTAGTGCAGCCTGATGGGATGCCGCCGATAGCCCGCGAGTGGAACTCACGATATCTGATACGAGGCGAAGACGATCTATGTCCGATCGGAGCCAATTCAAGGTCTCGCGTCTCGTCTGCGGATCCGGCAGAGCTACAAGAGAATCAGCTTGGCTTCTGATGGTGACTTCAATTGTATGGCTATTTCCAGTCTGTACTCACGCCTAGTGGCTCGGACCGCACCACGATATGCCTGCAAGAAGGAGGATTGGAGGACGAACTGCAGCTGTCAGCTGAGGCCTTCTCCCATCACGGCCCGCCCTGGCCCGCGATCGAACTGATCCTTCGAGGTGCGGATATCACTGACATGCTGCAGGCCTAGTACGGGGCCGGTCGGCAAGACTCTAGGCATGCTGAGAGCTACATGCAGTGAGATCGTCTTCCCCATGCAACTCTTGAGCGAGAGCGGTAGATCGGCAACATGGAGTTCCGCCAATGCCCGCTTTACCATAACGTAAGCGAGAAATCTCCCAAAGTAGCAGTGAAACCAGGTGAAACGTCCCCATATCACACACAAGGATTGCGGAGTGGAACTGGTTCCAGCGGGGTGGAACAAGATGAGCTGAGATAGAAGTCTGGGCAAAGAAGTCTCAACTCCCCTACCATACACGGCCACGATAACGACCTGTCCGAGTCTACTAGGATGAGACGGCTCTAAAGACACATCTCCGCTCCGCTCCGGGGTAAGAGGTCTCCCGGCTCCCAGCCAGTCAGGGGGGCGGTGAGTCATCAAGAGTTTTAGAGCTCTTATCGGTACATCTTGCGAAGCACATAAGCTGAGGCGAGTCCAAGGATTGAATCTTCCATCCTGCCTTTGAATTCCCTCACACTCTTGATCATCCTCTCCTCTCCTCCCTGTCCTATCCTCGCTCTTGCCTCGAACAACGCCGCCCGCGCCCTGACCCCACAACCCCTCCCTCACCCACCTCTTTCTCGCTCCACCCCCAAAATGCGGTTCTCGTCCTGCTTCCTCGCTCTCATCGGCACTATCTCCTCGGTCCAGGCCATCCCTCAACACATCTACGGCCGCTCTCTGGAGCGCGGGGCCGGTCCGGTCGCACCTCGGGGCTTCGCCCTCAAGCAGGCGACTCGGTCCCAGATCGTTGACTGGGCCGCTCACCCGCGCGACCTTCGTCCACGATCCAGTCCACTCCCAGTATTGACTTGCCCTGGGTTCGTCCAGACGGGCACCGTCCCCTACGCCCGGTTCAGCGGTGTCGACTACAATGCGCCCATGGATGCGGAGTTCTTCAGTATGGTCGACACGAGGGAGTTATGTACCAAGATGTGCGAGCTTGATAGCTGTAAGTCTGCCTTTCTTGTGCCTCGTCCTATGCAAGTGCACGATTGAGTGGCGGCTGATCAGATTAGCCTGTATCGGCTCTACCTACAATGCGGGCATTGACGGCTGCTTCAAGGTCAGGACCAGCGGGGTGTTCTTCGAAGCCGCATTCGACGTGACCCTCAAGGGGACCACATGCGAAGCCAGCGGGGCTGATCGTGAGTGCTTACTGCCTTTGACCAGTGGTATTTCAACGCTGATGTGACAGTATCTCAATTCCCTGGGTCGTCTTGCTGCACCGAATATCGAGCCGCCACTCCCTAGACTCTCCCTATCAGCTACATCGGGGCGTCCGCTGCGGTGTCTGGAATTCAGTTTTGGGTTACTGCAGGCGTTGGGTCAAGGAGGTCACTTTTTGGGATATTTGCGAGGTCAAGCTCGATCAAAGTACTTTTATGGACAATACTTTAGATGGACATACATAGCTACTCTTCTGCCGCATTGTGACGCGTCGGCCTGTCTGCTTCATCCCCGTCTCGCGGGACGCTTGCCTGTAGCTTGCAACTCCACATTCCTCAACTCGGCGACCCCCGATTACGGACCTGTACCAGATTCAGCCGTTGGCGATCGCTGACTATCCTCGGTGTCACCCCACTATGCCTCGGAGAACATTACAGCCCATACCTCGGTCACTTGCGTCCAACAGAGACTCCACGTTTAGGCGGCAGAACGTCCTTTTTGACCAAGGGGTCTGGGAGCGCTTGGATCAAGTCCAGGAACTCGGTACGGAGACCGAGGGACATGGAGGGTAGGCCTCTCCGTATCTCATTTGGAACCAGCTGACTCAGGCGAAGCTGTGTGAATGCCCTCAGCTGGTCCGATGATGGCTCGACCCTCCTCTCCGGCTCAGATGACAGGCGGTACGTATCCGTAGCCGCTCATCGACGAAGCTCATCACTAGCTGATGGGTAGAATCTGTATCTGGGGCCCAGACACCAACTCTTCCGCCTCTTCAATTTCAAGCCCTCATCCTCTGAAGCTCATCGAGACGATCGCCACCGGTCATCGCGCCAACATCTTCTCGGCAAGATACCTCCCCAACACATCGACACCAACGATCGTCACCTGCGCAGGGGACAAGCAGGTCCGGGTGTTCGATGTGGAACGGCTGTCGAGGCATGAGACCGGTGTAGCTGGCGGAAGCACTGATCTTTATGGCGTTACTGGACCGGGGTGAGCATTTTCCGACGTTGCGCTGGAGAGCTGGTAAGCTAACGAAGCAGAGTCACGGTCCTGCGATGCCATCACGATCGGACCAAACGGATCGCCACGGAGAACTCGCCTTTCCTCTTCCTTACCGTATCGGAAGATGGTACGGTCCGGCAACATGACCTTCGCCGACCACATCAGTGCAAGTCGGAGTGTCCAGAACCGCTCTTTCACGCGCCGAGGGGGGTGGACTTGTACTCGCTCAGCGTCAGTACGGTTACGCCTCATATCTTCGCGGTCGCAGGTCGGACTGATTGTGTGAGCTAGACATCTTGCTCGCTGTCTATTGGTGACTTTCAGCTGACATCTCAGGCGTTTATCTGCGATCGTCGTATGCCCGAACATCACTCCCCTTCATGGGGCAACAACATGAAGTCCTCTGGTCAAGTACATTGCGTCCGCCGACTGGGATTACCAAATTACGAGTGGGAGTCAGTCGAGCGGACTCCAGAGGGGAGGATGAGGCGGCAAGATAGGCATATTACCTGCGTCAAGATGAGTCAGGACAAGGCGGATGAAGTAAGTCTGATATTGCCTGCTGCGGGATACCGGACTCTAGCTGACTCGACAGGTGATCTGTGCGTTCGCCGGCCATTCGACCGCTCTGTTCTCGATACACGACGACCCCTCTTCCACTTGCGCACGAGTGCCGTCTCCATCTCCTATCGCTACCAGCTCCAGACCGAAAGTCTCGGGTCATACCGCTGCGGATTTTCTGCGCACGCCGCTGTCCCTCCCGCCGCCAAGCATGCCGACTATCGCTGAAGCTGGACCTTCCAGGCTGCCTGCGACCGCTGCACAGAGCTCGTCTAGCAGTCCGAGCAGGCGGAGACAGAGGAGCGCATCTTCAGATCCCGAGGATGGGTCAGGGAGGTCAAGCAGGCTCAGATTGGGGGGCGACGAAGAGGACGATCGGCGAGAGATGGCCATGGAGGCGGACAGTGAGTATCCCATCACAGACGACAGCTGTAAGAGAGCTGATTCCCAGACACGGACGACGAGCTTCAGCGGCTCATGGCTGGCTTCCATGACAACACGGCAAGTGATCCACCCGGTTCGACTCCGCCTGGTTCGGCTCCAACAGGTCGGCCACCATCAGCTTTGCTTCCGACACTAGAATCGCGGCATCGTCGGCCTGGCAGTGATGACGGGTCTGACGGACTCGAGATGTATGTGACAGGCGGACGCGGTCCCGAATATCTCGACCTGGATATGCCGATGGATGACGACTCTGACGACGTGAGCGAAGACGATGACGATGAAGACGACGATATGGACGAGGGTGTAGACGAGGAAGACGAAGATGAATACGGCGGGATGGACGTGGACCCCTTGAGCGATACGGGCGAGTTTGGGGATGTGGAGAAGATTATGCCGAGGCGCTGCTACAAGGGAGCGAGAAACGTCAGGACCGTCAAAGACTGTGAGTGATCTCTGTAGTGTTACTTGCCTTATTCAGCTGCAATTCCAGCTATGACCAGCAAGGGCAACCGAGCTGACAGTTCAGGCAACTTCCTCGGTGCCATGTCGGACAAGGTGGCTTCTGGGAGCGATGACGGGAACTTTTTCGTTTGGGACAAGATCAGCGGTAGGCTGGAGGGGATCTGGGAGGGAGATGGGGATACGGTGAATGGTGAGCCTCAATGTCTTGGTTCGCACGTGTTACGGACTGATGCTGACGGAGCAGTCATGGAGCAGCACCCTACCTTACCTCTCGTGGCAGTCAGCGGTATCGACAATACTATCAAGGTGAGATACCACGGTTTCGGTCTCAATCCTACGGAGATTTCGATCTAATCAACGCAGATGTTTGGTCCATTATCCACTCCACTCCCGGCCACCAGGTCCATGATCCGGACTTCCGACCAGGACGCCATCGTCCAGAGAAACCTCGAGCCGCGGCGCGCCGCTCAACCTATGTATAGCGCCGCGATGTTGCAGACGCTGGCGAATAGCGGGATCATGTTCCGGCATCGCGGAGGCGCAGACGCTGAGGAGGAAGGTGCGCCCCAGTGCGCGACGCAGTAAGAGATATGCTGTAGGCTATGCAGCCATTAGCGGTCAGCATGCTATACGGGACCCCGTCGAAAACAGAGCATCACCTTGCCGACCGTGTCAATGGCCATGCCAAATCATACACTGACGGCATTGCATCGTCAATATTGGTAGGCTTGCCCTGATGATATAGTGAAGCGCCCAGTGAGAATCGAACGGTGTATTGCATCGGTAAATTGCGCAGGTCCAACGGGCCAGCTAGCTTTTACCCCAAAGCGTCTTCCAGTTCCGCTTGAAGGAAGACTGATCGTACAGTGCAGCCATTTCCCGCTGCTTCTGATGGGCCTCTGCCCACGATTCGCAGCTGGAGACCGTGATCGGGCCCCAGTCCTCCATCTTGGTGCCCATGATGGTCCCAACCAGCTTCGGGAGCTTCGCCTCCCAGTCCTCCACCAAGGTCCGCAACAGGACTTCGCACATTGAAGGCTCCTCGGACCAGCTCGCTCCGACCGTCTCTTTCTCCATCTTCTCCTCGATATCCACAACCTGCTTCGCCGCCTCTGCCCGGCTCAGCTTGTCTTTGAATTTCGGCGGACCGCCAGTGGACATGGCTCGGTACACCTGTTCGGGTAGGCGGGACTTGGGATTGACTGTGCTGGGGTAGATGACGAGATCGAGCGACCCCTTTCGGGTGGCTGTGGATGTCGTAGTGTTCTGCGATCCGGACCGTTTCGAGAGGAACGCAGACCACCCAACTCCCACTCGTCACTGTAGGGCGTCGAGGCGGTAGATCTTCCGGGAACTTTGTGCTGGCCTGTGTGTTGTCAGATGTGCTCCGTGATTGCTTGTCCATGGTGAGGGTGTCGTGAAGGTGGTATATGAGTGGGCACAGGTGAGGTATGTATGACATGTACGTTCAAGATGTCGGGACTGCGTTTGACTCTCGTTTGCGGCTGTGCTGCACCTCAGTCTACCGACACCGCACTCTATTGGCCCCCAGGGCCGATTTTTCAAAGGATGAAGCAATTGTGACGCGTTCGGACCGGCCTCCCGGGAGGTGTGAATGCAGCATGTATGATGGTGGAGCAGTACAGGTCTACAGTGAAACTTCTATCATGTATGTTTTAGGGTTGTGGGGAATGGTCAGCTCGTGTCTGAAGGGTATGCAGTGCTAAGAGGCAACAAATCGTTTTGCCGGAATGCCTGCTTGCAGGCGAGCGTAGAGTACAATGATGGCCACTGCGGGGTACCGGATGAGCCGGCGGGCGGCTGAAACATCCTGAAACTCGCCTGAAACGCTATCAAGGATGTCATCATGTATTGGATGACACCGTGCCTGTGCCTGAACTTACCGGGAATTCTCCGAAGACGATGACTCATGACGAGCTTTTTTTCATCTGCTGCCTCTTCCACATTCGCTACCACTTTGATCACCCTCGCCATGCGACTGGCGTAATGCAGTCAAGGTACAGCCCAATGCGGCAGACAGAAGACTCGCCTTTGAACTAGAATTGACGCTTGTTCCTTGCGCAAACGCCGCAAGGAATGGATGAAGTGGATGAAGCTGAAGGCGCTCGCTGTATCGCTGTGGAGCCGTTGTCGGCGCCGGGAGGAGAGCGGCTTTGTACCCTTTAGCGCCTCCGAGCGATGCGGCGCGGTTTTATGGGAATCAAAGCTGACCTGGGCCCGCCGGATCGCCGAGGAATGGAACGCTACTCGCGCGTCATCATTGTCTTACAGTTTGTCTTGCCGCAAGGGCATCACAGCTGAATATGGAGAATTTTCGAAGTGGGCCAAGACAGACCGATTCTTATCATCACGACGATCTCTCTCGCCCGGTCCCTTATCGCACTTTGCTTCTCTACCTCACCTCTCGTTCCCACCTGTCACTCCAAGCACAACATGAGCGAAACCAACGTCAACACCAACATCAACTCGGTCGTCGACAACTTCAACGGCGGATCCGTTGGACGTGATGACCTGGCTCCAGCCATTGTCTTCGCTGTGGCGGTAGGTTCAGTCCTTCTCTCCTGCACTAGCTTCGCTGATCATGTAGCTCGCGCTCACTGTGCCCCTCATGATCTGGCGCTTCATTAGCAAGAAGCACTCGTCCAAGATCTTGATCAACGCGGTCGCATTCTTCGTCATCCGACTCGCCTCTCTTATCATCCGGGCGTACATGGCTCGTAGGGCCTACAACACAGGAACACTGAGTGAGCCAACCCGCCTGATGACAGGACCCTCCGCTGACTGTTCCAGTTGCCCAAGCCGTCCTCACCTCTATCGGTTACCTCCCTCTTCTCAACGCGTTGATCGACCTCTGGCAGGTCAGGGCGGAGAAGGGCGACCAGAACGACCAGTCCTTTGATGCAGTACACCGGGCGAAGAAGATCAAATGGGTCAAATACGTTGGATGGTCAGTCCCGCGCCGTCTTCATGGCTTTGGCGACAATGCTGACGCCCAGGTTCCTCCGCTTCCTCCTCCTTGCCTCGCTCGCTACCGCTATTGCTGCCGGTATTGTGCTCAGCCGCAATTATGACAATGAGCGTCAGGCCAACATCATCCGCAACTTGCTCAAGGCCAGCTATATCGTGTCTCTGGGTGAGTCTCGCAATTCCCTTGTGACAGAACAGTATACTGACTCCTGCAGCCGTCACCGTCATTGGCATGTTGCTCAAGGCTACCAGCACGATCATGAACCACGAGCCCAAGCGCAAGACTGCTTTGCTCTACGCCTACTCCATTCCCCTTCTCATTGTCAGCATTTACCGTGTCGTGAGTCATTCTATGCTCTCAACTCTTGGCACCTTGCTGAAATACCAGATTGAAGTCTTTTCCGGCTACCGCGCTACTCCAAATGCCCTTGTCGCCTTCTTCGTGGCGATGATCCTCTTCGAATTGTGAGCCCATTCTTCCGCCTCCAATGTGAAACGCAGCTGACCCGACAGTATTGCATACGCTGTCCTCCTCGCTATGAACATCAACAAGATGGTCAACAAGTTCCACCACCGTCACGACGATGACGCAGAGAAGAGGGGTATGCGATCAGCAGAGTCTGACGCTGCCACCCCTCGGGAGTCCATGGCGACCCGTCATTGAGCTCCTGGCTCGGGATGTTGAAGGGGAGTAGAGGCAGGGGGGAAGAGGGAGCAGCTCCAACGCGAAATGTGTACCTGGGTGCACGTAATTACTGTATCAATAGAACGTAGACTTAAGCTAGACCGACATGTATTTTTCTCAACCTGTTGCCGTCCCGACTTTCTGTTGATTAGCTCGGTGCCGCGGCGTCGCGCCCTCCCAGAATGTCAATCATAGTCCACAGACAAGGGGTCCCACTGCAGGCCAGCAGGCAATAGTCGTGCCTTGAAAGCAGGGTACAATACATGGTATACAAGCTCTCCGCAATGTCCATATCATCCCTTCGGCGGCACTCCGCGTCACCTCCCCTCCGACAACGTCTCGCCTCTCCGGCTCCATGCCAATCATCTACCTCAGACCCGCCGTCATCTTCCCCCGCCCCTCCCCACTATCCTGTCCCTTCTTGCCCTGCGGTACCTCCCATATCTTCCAGAATTTGAGATTCTCATCACTCGCCGCCGTCGCCACCGTACACCCATCCGGACTGATCGCCGAACACAGCACCCTCGCATCGTGCGCTGGCACATCATACACCCTCGCCAGGCCCGGATACGTCCACACGGTGATATTGTTATCGGGATACCCGTGCGTCGAGAGTAACTCCTTTGCGTGCGGGGAGAAGACGAGCGAGGTGACTTGCGAGCCGACCTTGAGGGAGTTGGTACGTGCTCCGGTCGTGCTGGACCAGAAGTGGATGTGCTGGTCTGCTGATCCACCACCGGTGGCGAGGAGGGAGTTTTGCCAGGGACACCATGCGAGAGCCTAATAGTCAGCGGGGCCAGAGGCTGGGAAGAGGGACAGACCTTGACAGCAGCGGTATGGTTCCGTTTTGTCCACTTTGCGGTGGCTTTGGGTACCCCATCATCCGTCTGCAATACTGACGCGCCGATACGACCACTATCGTCAGCTCCGCTTATGCCTTGACTCACTCCCAGCAATTGACGACATTGTCGTTCCCTCCACTGGCAAGCAACCCTCCATCCGCTCGCCATGTCAGGCCACATACCTGACGTCAGCTTCGTCCATGCTGAGACATACTTCTCCAGTATGACCCGACAGCTCCATGACCTTATGCCTCGCCACTCGGACATCATGGTGCCATATACTGCCATCCTTGCACCCACTCGACAAGGTATGTCCGAACCAGCTCATACTCGGTACTCTTGCAGAGTGACCCGTCATCGTCCGCATCTTCTTGCCTTCTTCCACATCCCAGATCTCCACGTCTCCCGTATCGAGTCCGACAGCGAGGTAGCACCCATCGGTAGACCACGAGACGGATGTTATTGGTATTTGAGCGGATCTGTATTTAGCTGTGCCCAGGGATAGGACTTACGTTCCCTCTCCGAGGGAGGTGACACTCCCGGTCTCCGCATCCCACACATACGCCATATCCCCCAGCGCGATCGCCACGCGATTGGCAGAGCTCCAATCGATGAGGTTGAGGTAGTAATCATCCTGGAAGCCAGGGGCATCGAGGACCCGGTCCGGAATATATGGTGGACTCCGCTTCTTTCCGCTCGCGCCTGGACCGGTGGTTGTTGTGCCGCGAGACGCGGACGCTGAGGAGTGGAGGAGGTAGTTGCGTTGATAGTCGAGGTGAGAGGTTGCGTGTGAGGCTCGAGGTGGAGCTGCGCGGAAAGAGAGGATCCGGCGCTGTCCGGTAGGGATACCGAGGGAGGCGGATATTGACGCGGATGAGACGTCGTGTGCTGATTGGTCGTTAATCGATACGTCAGGCGTGTCGAGCGCGAGAGTGGGGAGAGTGATCGAGGAGTGTGATGAGTGATGGATAGATGGTGGACGCGATGGGACAAATCGGTCCAGCTGCTCATCAGTTGGGCCGATGTTAATGGTGAACAGAACTCACATCCCGCCCGCGTCCGCCGTCTTTCCCCTTCTTATCCTCCCCAGCCATCCCACCTCCACTAGATGTCGCGATGTCCATCCGGCCCAGCCCCTCGCGCAGAGCAGCCATAGGATCATCGTGATTCTCTCTGTCCCTGTCCCGGCTCGCCGGACGAGACTTGGTCGGAGAGAGGCATTTCGCCATGAAGGGGTTCGTCCTGCTTGTCAGATCTCGCTCAACTCTGCGGAAAAAGGGGAATCAGCCTACATGTCGGCGGAGATGTTCTGCGTATCGCGGTCATTGAGCATTGTGTAGATCGTCCAGGGAGTACTTGTTGGATAGATGAAGAGGGTTGACTGACTTGTTATTGCTTGGGCGGGAAAGGAAAAGCAGCCGCGCGGAGATTTGATCCCGAAATTGAACCAAAGGCTGCTGCATGATAATGCCGCCATTCTCCGTCCCATACGTACACTTCGAGTCCGAGGCTCACCGGACTGCGAATGACGTCACGCGATCGACATGCAGCGCGCAGCTTGAACTCGATTGACTTTATCGTTCACCTGTTACAGCAGTGCTACAGCCCTACCCGCTACAGCCATCATGACCGCAGCCTCGCTCATGCTCAAGGCAGCGCAGCCACTACTGCCGCACTTACATCGCCTTCCAACCCCCCTGCTCACCCTCCCTCCAACTCTGCTGCTGCACCTGGGATCGACCACCTCCCCCTCGCCCCTCTCCCTCCTGCGTGACCCGCTCGCACATCCTCTACACCTCCCTCTCATCGCACTCGGAATCTGCATCCCCGTGACCTACCTCCTCGGACATCTCACCAACAAGGTATCATGGGTCGACAAGCCCTGGCCATTCTACCCGCCCTTCTTCGCCTCGCTCCTCTTCGCATGGGTTGCCTTGAACCCCCAGGCGGGTGTTTACGGGCACAACCTCCCGCGCCTGGTGCTCATGTTCACCATGCAAATGGTCTGGTGTATCCGTCTCTCGTCGCATGCTCTTCGGCGCGGCTTTTTTGAGCTGCACGAGGAGGACTACCGGTATACAGTCGTGCGTCGGCTTGCGCCATGGCCAGTCTGGGCAGCTATCCACCTCTTCGCTGTTGCGATCTTCCAGCCGGCCCTCCTCCTCGCGCTCACTCTACCCATGCACGCCGTCCTCGTCCTCCCTCCGGCGGAACTCTCATCCGGACCACTCAACCTCTCCATCCCCTTCAGCTGGGTCAAACCCCTCCTCCCCTCCTCCTTCCACTCCGCGGCGGACTCTACTCCCGTCCTCAACGCCGGCGACCTCTTCGTCACCCTCTTCGCCCTCGCTATGGTCTACCTCGAGTATCGTGCGGACAATGACCACTTTGCGTTCCAGCAGGCCAAGCACGACGCGCCCAAATCGGTCAAGGTGATCAAGCCGAGACATACCAATCCCCCCAACTACCCTCCGGCAGGAGAGTATCCGGAATCTCACCACCCTGGCTTCATCACGAGCGGGATGTGGCGGTGGTCGAGACATCCCAACTTTGCGGGGGAGCAGCTGTTCTGGGTCAGCCAGGCGCTGTTTGTGGCGGTGGCGGCGGAGACGAGCAAGGTGACGAGGAGCCGATGGGTCGGAGGGGATGTGTGGGGGCCACCGTTAGCTGTAAGCTCTGCATATCTCATCGGTTTTCCCTGGTCATAGCTGACAACTCAGCTGAGTTTGCTCTTTTGTGGAAGTACCCTTCTGACCGAGTGGATCACACAGCAAAAGGTAAGCTCGGGCTTTTATGTCAACTGATATCAGTACCCGCTCTACAAGGAGTACAAGAACCTGGTCGGACAGTTCCTTCCGCAAGAGACGGTGCTCGTCTATCTCTGGGGCACGATCCGAGGGACGCGCAAGGCATCGAATGAGAAAATTTACAAACCTTTGAAGGCGGCAGGGGCGGAATATGGGTCGACCGGGACTACCGCACCGCGGAGCTGAGTTTGTACACGATGTATCTGCTGTCGCAAGTCAGAGGATGTCCCACATATCCGAGTTTACATTTGGCTACAATGCCCTGAGCACGTCCGATCCTATGGGTTGTTCCAGCTCCAATTCCGTACCCCTCTCTCCTCCATCAAAGCCACTACCCTTTCTCCCACCTCCCTCTCCCTCTTCCCGTCTTCCCCATTCGCCCGTTTGAAGCTCCTCAAGTTCGCATGGATCTCCTCAAGAGTCTTGCACCCCACCACAGCGGGCACTTTCCGCCCGTCCCGCATCCTCAGCTCCTTATATCCAAAGTCCGTCGCCACATCTTCTATCGCCACGCCATCCTTATCGCACAGCTCTACCGCCTCCCTGGTCACGCCGAACAGATCCGTCTTCCTCGCAGGATGCCACTCTGGTCCCCCGCCTTTCGTCAACAGACCCATAGCGAGTGGTCCTGCATTGGTCACCGTCCCGACCTGAGCATCCTCGAAAGCAGCCAAGAACCCCTCGGATAGGATATGGTTCGCGAGTGTCTGATGCGCGTACGTCTGTACCACATCTATCGGCCTCCCAGTGGTATGAAGTACCAGCCGCGCAAAGCGGAGTAAGGTTGGCAAGGGGTATCCGGCGATCCCGACGTGTAGGACTTTCCCCTCGGCCTGGAGGAGGCGTAGTTCCTCGATCGCACCGAGGATCTCGAGGTCGCCGTCACCTTCGGGCGAGAGCTGATCTGGGGCAAGTCCGTACTCGCTCGCATGGGCGGGCTGGAGGGCGCGGAGATGCTTTCCGGCTGGACAGGGGAGGGAGGACCGGAACTCCACATCGTGAAGATCTGATATCAGCCTATCCCTCTCCACCTTTGCCTTATTCTTGCGTGAAGAGCTCACAAACGACATCCAGGTGATCTGTCCCAAGCCTCTTCAAGCTCCGTTCTACACACCGCCTCACTGACCCCCTCTCAAAAGTATGCATCCACCCCTCCGGCCCATACTTGCCCACCTTGGTGATAAGCTTATAGCCCTCCCTCGGCCATTCTTCCTTGAGCACCCTCAGACAATTGCCCAAGACTATCTCGGAAGGATGATAGTGTGGCGCCGTATCGAATGCGGTTATTCCGCTAGAGAGGGCGAGGCGGACTATCCGGAGTGGGAGGTCTGAACGGACAGAGGTAGGGGTGGTGTATATGTTATAGCCGAAAGTGGCGCAGCCGAGCATGAGGTCTGGGAGAACGAGGGAATCCGGGGATGGGGAAGGCGGGGCCTGAGTTGTCAGTATTGAGGATTGGAGTGAGAGTGAGTGGGGGGAGGCAAGGGACAAACAAGTAGTATTTCAGACGAGACGACCTGGTCCTCTGCCTCGAGAGGGGGAAGGGAATCGTACCCCGGGATATCCTCCTCGGGGCCGGCAGGATGGTTGGGCGGTAGCTTGGACGAGGTGTTCATGATCCTTGCAGGTGGGTCACCATGTATTCACAGTGCAAGTTGTAAGTCGTGCAGCGGCTGGAGTGGGGAGATCGATCGACACAGAGGAGCTTATTTCTCCGACATTCATCCGGGGTGGGGGTGCTGAAAGTGGCGAGATGGTCATTGGTGGAGAATGCCAGATCTGGGTAGGTGGGTTCTCGAAGCAAGGATACCGTATGCAATAATGACACGATGGATATACCCAGTGTGAGGTCTCGTTATTCGAAACCTGGCGCGTACTAGGGGGATATATACATGCATGAGAGCTGAAAGAAGTTATGGACAGCTTGAAGAGCCTGATGCCAATACGAGAAAGCGAGACGAGTACGAGTATGGAATGCAGCAAGGTCACGTGTAGAGATGAGGGTCGCCGCTTCAGTCTTTGGGCTTCTTCTTCCCGCCGAGAAGCCCAGCGAAGCTGAAGCGCGATTTCTTGGTGCCCTGGCTGGAAGTCGCGGAGGTGAAGGTTTGCCCATGAGTCGGAATGGGGCCGCGATATGCGGTGACTCGGAGCGCAGAGGGATCAGTGACGGGGGTCTCGCGGCTGGTCGATGTCTGTGTGGACTTGTGCTTGGCTTCCAGGTCGCATGTATGCTCATGCCACGCAAATGCGTGGGGGTAATCGGCAATGTCATCGAAGTTCCAATCGAGATTCAAGTGACCGTACGCGTTCCGGACTGCGGACTCGAAGATGCGCTTCCTGAACGCAGTCATCTGGTCGTCGTGTTCCTCCATGGCCGCAAGTCCAGCCTCACCGATGTGTTCCACCTCCTCGTCATGGCTGGCCTGGATGAAGTCCCAAAGGGTGGCGTCGGCCTTGGAAACCTCCTCTTCTGACACAGAAGGCTTGCAGATTGTCACTGACACACGGGTCTGAACCGTATCAGTCTTGTGGTCAAGCCACTGGCCCGCATGGAACAATGCGTGTGAGCAGTCGGGCTGAGGGATATGTTTGGGTTCAGAGTTGAGTGAGGACATGATGAGGACTGGTGGGATCAAAGGATGATATTGTGGTGCTCACTGCTCGTATAAGAGTATAAATATATGTGAGTGGCGAAAATGATGTTCGATATGGGAAAAAGAGGGGGAAGCTAGGAAAGAGCGCCCCCTTATATCGTCGAGCGTCTCGCGCAGATCTGGATGAGGCGGTGCAACCTCCATTGATACGATGTGTATCTGAGATCTCAAACGCGGATGTCCAAGGGGAGCTGAGATCAAAGGTATATATATTGCCCGATGGGGAATTTCCTGCTTTCTATCCCTTGTATTAGCGAGAGTCATGATCTTGATTGCGTTTGAAGAGGCGAACCCTTGTGGAGGATCCCCGCAATAATTGGACTGCGATCTCGATTGATGCTCTTGGTGGCGCTGCCGATGAACACACTGATCACTTTGGCCGTGGCGGCGCATAAGACGATAACAAATGAGCAAAGCTTGTGCACATAGCCAGCGTCACATCATGAGTCAGAACTCCTGGGCTAATTCAGACTCACTTCAACTGTAAATCAGCTGTGTGAGAAGCATGTCACGGCGAGGCATACCGGCCACATGGTCAATTGTACGTGGCCATGTACAGATTGAGCCGGCCGACCAGATCTCTCGGTCTTTCAGCTCCTCACGCAGCCAGACCCTGCATCCTCGCCCTGGAAGATCTGCGATGTTAGAAGCGGCGTTCAGGCCGAGTGTCAGGGGAGGCGTGAATCTTGCGCTCAGCGTGTGGGTAATTTTTGCGATGAAAGGACGGTTGTCTGGGAAGACAGCGGCGTGCGTTGCTCCTGAACCGCGTGTATTAGCACCTCCTACGGGATTGCAGCATTTAAGAGACAGTCGAGTGACCTTCGGTCATTAAATTCCGAGTGTCAGTCGACTGGACGCGCCAGCATTGACAGCTGTAACAGAGTGTTTGTACACTATATGACCTTCGATGGGTCAGAGCTTCGGGATCAGCGATTAGTAACGCTTGCAAGGTATATGAAACCGATCGGCCATCTTATACTTCCCGATCCTGATCTCCCTTATGCTCCTCGAACCGCTTGACCCAATCCTCCACGCCCGCCAGTTCCTCCTTCTCAACCGGATTCTCTCGCGGTTGCAGCGCTTCTGCCAAGACAGGCATCTTGACTTGCAGCTCTTCTCGCATCTTGCTCGTGAACTCGTTCATCTACTCTATCAGCTCCTATGATTACACTCATATATCCAGGCAAGATGACCCACATCCTTCACACCTAGCAGCTTGGCTACCACCCAAGCCCCCAGACCCGCACTCCCAAAGACCACCGCCGTAGCTATACCCAATGCCTGTGCTCCCAGCCAGGGCGACACCTGTTCCATCTCTCCCTCCAGAGATCCATAGAGCTCCCTCTCCTCTTTATCGTTGAACCTCTTTGCTCTCGCGGCTGCAGCAGGCATCTCCGATTGAGCCGGGAGAGCGTGCAGGTCTTTACGGGCGATATATCGATTCGAGAGGAATTGAGGGGCGGACGTCATTCTTGCCGCTTGACGGACGTAAGGGAGGATGAGGAGGGTGAGGCCGGTCGTTATGGCAAACTATAGCATCAGCCGGTTCTCGAGCAGAGAGCTGGCGGAAGGGGTGGAATGTACCGTAGCTCCGGCCACGTAGACCGCTACCTTGGGCAGCTTTTTCGGGTTCCCATTCTCATCTCTGGGCGGACCCCCCAGGAGCAATGAGGCCATGTCCTCTAGGTTGTACCGAGCATAGAAGATTGTATAGTGTCAGTTGAGTGGGGCAAAGTTGGACAGGCAAGGTGGAGGCGGAACCAAAATTTTGGCTCAGAAAGTGGAGGTCATGTTGATTTTGGGTGTACCTCTTACCTCTATACATCTATCATTCCACTATGGCAGGGACAAAGACAGCAAAGAGGAAGGCAGAAGGCTCAGGAGGGAGCTCGGTATCGAAAAAGGTCCGTTAAAATCGCGAGAATACGCGGTGTGGAGCTGATAGTCCAGGGGAAACAGCCAAGTTCGCCCGAGATGGACGCAGCTGCTGCACTGTACGAGGACCCTATGATCGACCCTACCGACTCTTCAGGTTCTGAGGAGGACGGCGAGGAAGAGGATGGGGATGATGTCGAGGACTTTGACGGAGAGGGACTGCTAGAAGAGGACGACGAGCCAAACGAGTTCGCTCCGTCCGCTCAGGCGGGCCCATCCCGACCTCGCCCAAAGAGCCTGTACGCTCCACCAACAGCCCAGGAAATGGATCGTCTCCGCTCTGCCGCTGAGAACGGGAACACCTTCACTCTCCAGCTCGAAGCCCTGCTTTCGTCCACGCTACTACCTACCACTCCCGCACCACGGCTCAAGGCAATCCTCTCCCGCATACACGACCTCATCCTCTCGCTACCCTCGTTACCGGCTCTGTCGGTGCGGGAAGCTGTCAAGCGCACCAAGGAGATACCCTTTCCTGGAGGAGATATTTGGTCGCCTTTGAAGCAGGATGTCAAATGGACATTAGGTTGGGAGAAGCCGGCGGAGGTGTTCGTGGGTGGGAGCTGGTCGGTGTGTGGAGGGTACAAGAAGGGGAAGGGCGTCATGGGAGATGTGGACTTGGTCGTTGTCATGCCAGAGGTGAGTCAGTCGATAGACTAAGGCTGATCTTAGGATATGTTCACCCCGAAAGATAGGATGAACTACCGTTACTTCCACAAACGGGCTCACTACCTCGCAGTGGTCAAGGCGGCAGTCGAGAAGGCTATGCTTGGGGATGAGGAGCTCAAGGATCTGGAGGTGATATGGGGAGGGGATGATAGGCGTCCGATCATACTGCTGAGGGCTGGAAAGGGTGAGCGAAAAGATGACTGGAGCTGAACCCAGGCCAAGGACTGAAGCACGCCGTCGAGATCAAGATTCACGCTTCTCTTCCACCCAATACCTTCCCTCCTAATACCATCTCTCCTGCCAAGACCCTTCTCCGAGTCAACGACGAAACCACCCCTACTCCTCTCTACGCCACATCCCTCGCGCACGACACCACTCAGAAAGCGCACCTTTTGCATCTGCACCACCTATCCCAGAGCTTGCCGGATCGCCAGGTCGACTTCTTCCTCGCTCTTTGGCGGATATGGGCATCTCGCCGAGGCATCTCGAAAGGTGCGAGCGGCTGGTTCGCCGGTATGCTGCTCGGCTGGGTGGTCGAAGGCGGGGAGCAAGGCGGACAAGGCGGCGTGAGGGAGCGAATTAAGGTCTCGCGCGGATTAGGGCGAGGGCTAGGGTATTGGGGAGCGTTGAGAGCTGCGTGGGAGTTTTTGGCACATACGGACTTCACCAAGACCCCTATCTTCATGGGGAGCGGGGATGAGGCAGTCATCACGCCGACGGAGTTCTGCCGGGCATCATCAAACGTCTTTGTCGACCCAACGCGCTCGGTCAATATTCTGGCCGACTGGGAGGCGGGTGAGGTGGACCTGCTTAGGCATCACGCGAGAGAGACGTTGGCAATGCTGGAGGACAGCAAGGTTGACCGATTCGCGGAGGTGTTCTTGCGGAATGTTGGCGGGATGAGCGTGTTTGACGAATTTATCAGGTGAGCTATTCTAGGCGGCTGTGCTGACTTCAGGTTGGATATGAGCCAGTCAAATCATACTGCTTCGGCGATGGAGCAATCGGAACAGCCATCTCGGATGCACCTCCTCGCCCACGCTGTTGCCCAGACTCTCCGGCGTGGTCTGGCCGACCGGGCCAAGCTGGTGCATCTTCAACCTCGGGGCGAGCACCTCGACATCGGTATCGTCTATGACTCGCAGTACGCTACCCGCGTCATGGACATGGGCCCTTCGCCCGACCAACCCACTGCGGGCGACGCGTTCCGGTCTTTATGGGGCGAAAAGGCAGAGCTCAGGCGGTTTAAGGACGGGAGCATAGCCGAGTCTGTCGTCTGGGACCTGTCACGACCAGAAGACGCCGCACTCATCCCGGGCTGGATCGTCGACTGGCTCTTACGCCGTCATTTCGGCGTTACCTCGGCGGACCACCTCTCTTCGGACCCCACTTGGCTATCCACTATCCAGACGCCTCCCTCCGCCCGGAACGCCATCGCAGTTGCTGGCTCAGAGAAGCTCGGCTTTTCACCCGTCATGAAGGCTTATGACGAGCTGTATAAGCTTCTCAAATCCATCGACCCGGAACTACCGCTCGCCATCCTCAACGTCACCCCATCTGACGAGATGCTGCGGTATTCCAGCACCTTCATTCCCCCCCCCATCGACACGCACCGATACCCCTCCGCCCCCGACTGCCTCAAGCACACACCCTCGGCGGAAGTCATCGTCCAATTCGAATCGTCCGCCAAGTGGCCAGATGACCTGTCTGCGATCCAGAAGGTCAAGCTCGCTCTGCTGGAGAAGCTGGCGCGGATTGTCAATCTCCAAATGAAAGGTGCGCGGGCGGAGATTATGTTTGATGGGGAGAAGAGCGAGATTGAGGATCAGTCGGGTCTGGAAATCCTCCTTCCTGCAGGAGTGGCGTTCACGCTTCGGATCCACCACGAGAAGGAGCGCGTACACCTCGAGCGGATCCTCACCGAGGACGCACCCGTCTTTGGAACATCCCTCCCTCGTCCGTCTCGGCGGCTCGCTCAGCCAGCGCTTGAATCGTACATGCGCCGCTTCGTCTATCGCCCAACACACCACGCGGCTCTTGCACCGATGCACCACCGATATCCTTCCTACTCATCCGCCACTCGGCTCTTGAAACGGTGGTTCGCAGCACATATGCTCTCCCTGCAAGTCCGCTCGGAAGCTATCGAGCTCCTCATGGCAGCGGTGTACCTCGACCCCCTCGCCCTCTCCACTGCGTCAAGCGCTACAGTCGGCTTCGTGCGCGCCATCGAGCGTCTGGCGAGCTGGGACTGGAAGGCGGAACCTATCTTTGTTCCCGTCTTTACTGCTTCGCGGGAAGCTGCAACGCGCTCGGAGCGGACCCGACTCAGGTTCCCAGCGGACGCAAGGGAGGAGGCGACTCGCCTGTTTGGGCAAATGAGGGCGAAAGATCCGGAAGTGAAGCATGGGGCATGGGGGATCGTGACGGAGGAAGATGTGGATGGGTGGAGGTGGACCCAGGAAGGGCCGAGTAGGGTTGTAGCGGGAAGAGTGACCGGTCTGGCAAGGGCGACCGCGGAGGCCATAACGCAGGCGAACGAGGGTGCAGGCCTGAATGTCAGGGTGAGCTAAACCTCCGGCATCGTTCCCGCTGGGTCGAAGCTGACAATAGCAGAGTCTGTTCAAGACGCCTCTACACCAATACGACATCCTGCTGCACCTTCGACCGGCCTTCCTCCCGCGCTACGCCCAGTCTGTCGATCCCTCATCGCGCGAATGGGACGACAAGCTCAAGTTCCGGAATCTGCAAGATGGGGGATTGTACGGCTCAGAGGTCAAGGTGGACTTTGACCCTGCCTGGTCATTCGCCACTGATATCCAAGTAAGCTACAGATTTCCCACTGCTCTCGCGGCTCATAGGATGCAGCTGACATTGTAGCGCCTGTATGGCGACGCCCTTCTGGTCTTCTATGATCGCCAAGGTGGACCCACCATCGGTCTTCTGTTCAACCCGACCCGCAAAGCGTCCAGAGGTTTCAAGCCTTTTTTGGGCTACTCGACGAAGCCGGTGCAGTCCGATTCGGCTTTGGTTGAGCTGAATACGGAAGGGGTGGTGGCGGAGATTACGAGGGTGGGCGAGGGGCTTGTTGAGAAGGTGGAGAGGGGAATGGGGATCTAGACTAACTCTTTCGGATGCAGTGGAATGCGACGGAACAGCTGACACTCGATACTGCCCCTCACGATCTAACTAGACTAACGGTACGGAAAAGCTGGCAGCTTGATGTCTTGCTCACTTAGTTGCACATGCTGGCATGTTCCAGATCTCACATGGACAATCGGGATCGGGAGACAATCCTTTGATCATGGTGCCCTTGCTAGCGTATTCCTGTGCACCCTGCCCCTGGAGATAGTGAAGGGAGGCTCGCTCTACGCCTCCTGCCTCGCTCGCCGAGACACTGATTTGGATATATGGTTTCTTCCCTCAATTCCTCCCCCACCTCTTCTTCCCTATCAATCCTCTTTATCCTCTTCGCCACCTCCTCGCTCAATCACAACAGTATCTACGGCTCAGCGAGATCGAACAAGCCTTCGTCCATGAGACACATCGCGAGCATGCAGATCAAGACCCCCTCGAGTGCCGACACCGATCCCTCCTGGAGTCGCGCTTCGTCCGGGCCGCAGCATGCTTTCAAGCTGCACATCGGCCTCGCGAGAGATCCCTCGTAAGATCCTACCGCCAGTCACAGGATCGATACGCTGGCGGTGAGTACATCCCTTACGGGACCCATGTCGGCTGAGGAGAACGCGAAACGAAGGGAAGACTTCCTATCCGCCTTTGAAGAGAACATCGCCGGCACAGCCAGGTCTACCGGGGTCTCCCCCACGACGCTCTCCCACCAACGGCCGGTGAACATTTTGGCTCTCCAGCTTGCCGCCCGTCAGGTTTACGGTGATCTGCCGGATATGCAATGGCTGCCACCCCACGTCGATGAGTACGGATCAGAAGCGGCCTGGCACAGCTATTTGAGGGATGAGGGGGTCATTACATCCATTCCTATACCCAGCCCGGACTCAACCAGATGGTCGGGGCCGCAGACAGCAGACGACGAGGGCAGCTACTATGATCAGGAGGATTGTGACTCCTATGACGACGACGACGACTGGGAATCTTTTCACTCATCCCCGGAGGGCACGGCATATTGGTAGGACTGAGGTGTCAGGACTATGAGGCAGAGGCATTGAGGATAGGACCTACTGTTCTGGCGAACACCGAATACATGCCTGAGCTCGGAAAATCATGACTGGGGTTTGGTAAGAGTGTTCATGGTGCGGTATGCAGTGTATGCCCAGCAGTTCCGCAGCTTTAGCCAAACTATACCCGTACTCGTTGGAAAGGTGAAACATGTCGCGCACGGACCAGTGTTTCAGCTCGGCAAGGTCCGGGCCGGAGCAAGGTCGGGAACCTTTGATGCAGCATTCCTTGGTTAACTCTCCGCCTATTTACCGAGCAGTAAGAAGGGAGAAGAGAGGGCCGCAGGGGCGCAGAGGGCTTCGATCCGCCTCGGCCATTATCTCTCTCACCTTCCTCACCATATCACTATCTACTCAGCGCGACCGAGAGGATCGATCAACATGACTTCAACGCCCCATCTGCGATCAGCACCCTCACCAGCTACCCCCGCCTCCACCTCACCACTGCTCTTCAGCATCCTCAATACCCTTACCTATCCCCACATCCTCTTCATCGGCGTGCCCTCTCTCGCCTACTCCACCCTCAAGTATCTGCTCTCCCCCCGACCCTTCGCCAGCTGGTCCCTCTCCGAAGCACTCTTCATCAGGTACAAGAAGGTCCAGAACGGTCCTTCATCCTTCGTCCTCCCTCCTCTCCCGCCCTACTCCGAAGAATGGACCGTACCCGCTACACAATTCAACACGGTGAGCCAAGATGAGCTGAAGCGGATCGACATCGAGGTGGTCAGCGTTCCGCCTGTCCCTGCGGGGATGCAGACGGGGATAGCGCTCTGTCCGGGGGTGGAATCGGTTCTCAGGCCGGGTTTTTGGTTGACACCTGATACCTCCAAAGGCCGGGCGGACGAGAAGGCCAAAGAGGGGGAGAAGGTGGTCCTGCACCTCCATGGCGGAGGATACGTTAGAGGACACCCGCTCTGGATCGATTGCCCGCACGGGATCGCCCTGACCCTGGACCAGCGTCTGTTCTGTGAGTCTCTTTAGCTCGCCCTCATCGCTGCGGTACCGGTGGGATTTGCTATCGAGCAGCTGTTCATAAGCTGACATTTCAGCGATGAACTACCGCAAGTGCCTATCTGACTCCACCGCCTTCCCCGCACCCCTCCTCGACGCCCTCGCAGGCTACATCTACCTCACACGCACCCTCTCCTTCCCACCCGAAGCCATCACACTCATCGGCGAGTCCGCTGGCGCCCACCTCTGCCTCATTCTCTCCCGCTATCTATCAGACCTCTCCCTCCCGCAGCCAGGCCGACTGGTCCTCATATCCCCTTGGGCGGACTTTATGATGAACCCTGCCGATCTACGAGGGACATATGCTTCTTACGCTGATTACGACTTTCTCCTCCCCGATCGGCTCGCGATGGGCGCACGGTCGGCGACGAGGCACTATACGCCGGAGATGGTTAGAGGGGCGTACTTTTCGCCTGCGCTTGCGAGGGCGGGAGAGTACACCTATCTCGGAGATTGGGACGATGCGAAGCGGACGAGGGTGATGTTGGTCTATGGGACGAAGGAGGTGTTTGAGGATGAGGACAAGGCGGTCGTGGCGGGTATGATTCGGGATAGGGTGGATGTGGCGGTGTACACCGTGAGCTGAAGACCACCTCATGGTGCTAGTAGAAGCTGACTAGCAGGATATCGACGGGTGGCATACCAAGGTCTCAGGCGAACCGGTCGCGAACAAGAAGTTCAGGCAGGGACTGCTTGAGTGGAGCAGTGCGGCCTGAAGGAGGGCACGGATGGTTTTGTACATATAGATTGCATGGCTACACAGGGCATATACACGGCTTAAACGCCTATCTACTGATCTATTGATAACGATTCGAGACAATTCTAGTATGAGATGATTCTTTGTGCACTGAGTCGTCAGCTGACACCCTCGCCGTTGGTATGACTGCGGGGAGGCAGGCAGCTCACCGGTACTACCCATTCGGTCTGAACCACTGCCGCTCGCTCATCTGCAGAGACTCTCGTACTGTTTCGCGAGCTCGGTATACAAGCCCCCAAACTCGAATTCCCTCTCACTGCTTTATCAGCTTGGACCCCTCGTGCTCATTCTGGGGGCAGCTTAGACTCACTTGAACAGCTCAATCCCCTTGTTGTGGCAGAAAGCATACAGCCACTGCACCTCATCCGGCGGATATCGCCTCCCGCTCTCGCGTACCACCTCCAGTGCCCGCTTGAGCGCCGTGTACTGCTCCGGAATCATCTCGGGCTGAGACTCGAGGAGATCGATCGAGAGATGAGCATGAGTGGCGTATCGGTCGACTGCGGCGGGATCGGCGGAGAGAAGACCAAGGGCAATTTCCACGAGGCGGATAAGGGCTAAAGACCTCAGCTTTGATCTCGATCACAGGGTCATGCAAAGGGGAGCTCACTTGGCACTGGAGTTCCGGGAACGGCATTGAGCCCATCGACTATAGCTTCGAGCATCCGGACATCGGCGTACTTCTGCCTCATACCCTGATCTCAGCTCCAGTATGGCCTGAACATACCTCGACGATCCGGTCCAGCTCGTGCCAATTCTCCATCTGACTCAACGCCTCAACTTTGGCAGCCTCCAGCGAGATCTGGATTCCCTGAACCATCTCCGCGGTCGCTTCGATCGCTTCGGCGGTGGCGACTCGGTCTTGACAGATCGGAATAAAGTCGTAAATCACGGCGAAGGCGTCAAACTTCTCCCTCGGATCGCTGACCTCCCGAGCGATGAAGACTATGTAACGGTCAGCTCGATGCAGGTAGAACAGCTCGCCGAAGCTCACGTTTGCAGCACAGGCAGGCGTACATCGCCGTGGCAATCCGGCCGGATAGAAGCGGGTCTGGGTCGGCCTCGTGTGGCAGGTAGAGCTGCATGAGCTTTTACATCAGCCCATAGCCTTAGCTATCTGAAGAGAGAATAGGAGAACGTACCGCACTAGCAGAATTGTACAAGTCTGCAAGGACAGTATTACCGAGGGTCTCCATCCCGCTATTGGCCGTGTTGAGCACTGAGCGGTCAGTTCTGGATCAAGCATTATCCGTGCCTCATCTGCGAGCTCACTGGTCTTCCACAGCCAAGCCACGATCTTCAGGTCTGCCATGACCAGCACCTCGTCACTGGAAAGAATGTCCACCACTGATATCAGCTTCCTCATCTGCAGCTGACCTACCCTTCCCGCAGTCGGCAGCCAAAGTAGAAGCGGCCTCGGTCCACTGCGGACTACCCTCATCAGACAGCTCTAGGAGCTTCACATCCGCCTGTATCAGGTATCTGCTTGAGTCAGCTTTGCCGGACGTCAACTCCGAAGCTGCTGCAGCTGCTCACCTCGACACAGGCAACACTGCCTTCCTGAGCCCTTCATCTCCCGCCATAACCAGAAACTCCATCATCCCCCTGACCGCATGCTGCACCACCGTATCACCCGCCTTCTCCAGCGCTAGCGACGCCATGAGCTGAAGAATCTGGCTCGAGACATCTGGACAATCAAGAATTGCTTTGATCGCGTTGATGGCTGAAGGATCAGCTTCTTTCACAAACTTTGATTCTGCCAAAACACGTACCGCCAGTTTCCCGCTTCTGCTCGACGGCAACGAGAAAGAGGAGGTACTGCGTCGCAGCTTCGGTGGGGTTGCAACCATCGAGCATATCTTGCGCTTTGAGGAAGTCACCGCCTGTGATGTATGCCAAGGCAGCTTTTCTAGCTATCAGCTGAGGAGTGCTCTGCAAACGCACCTTCTGCAGATACTAAAGCTGGGACCGGCGGGTGGAGACAGGACTGTATGGGTAGCAAGGTGAACTAAGTTGTCAGCTTGTGATACGCTAGAAGGGTCAACGGAAGCTGGATATACAGATCTGCCCCGCGAGATTCCACTCTGCCAGCTTCTGCTGCGCCTCGGCTAGCTGCCATAGCATACTCCCGCATGCTGCGATCCCGTCGACTTCGGTCGGAGCGTATGCGGGGCAGGAAGCTACGATCTCTAGCGCCTGCGTCACTTCCTTCAGCATGATCTCGACGGTTGACCCGGTCTTCTTGATCATACTGAAAAGAATCGAAGGGATGTGCGAATGACCGGCAGGTTCGGCGAGAGCGGTATCGAGGAGGTGCCTATACGCATCAAGTCTTGAGGTAGATCTGATCAGCTCATCCGTGCGGACAACGCACTCCTTCATCCCATTGATAAGGTTTAGAACCCTCAAGTCAGCTCAACTTCTCCACCAGACGGCAGTACTCACTCGTGCACTCCCTCTTCCGTCCAGTCCATCGAGCCTATCAGCTCCTCGACGAGGACCTCCATCCGCTCTTGATCCCCAGCGGGCATACACCTGATCTGAAGAATCTTGATTTGCCGCAATTCTTGAGGTGTGGGCGCGTACGTAGCATCGTCAGGGTCCGCGTGAGGGGTGATCATCTCGATGAGTTGATTTAGGACTTCGCTCGCGCTCGCTTGGAGAACTGGGTCGGGGCTTGAGAGATATGCATGGGCTGGATTCAGTCTTGGGTGGGGGAGGGAACATACCGAGATCTTGAAGCAGCGCGCTCTATCATTAGCTCTGCCACTCCAGGAACTCACCCTCAGCGCTCGTTTGCCTGCATCCCCGACGACGGGGAACCGGCGTGAGCAACGGTCAAGTACCTGTAGTCCAGCTTCGAACCAGGCTGTACCGTCTCCAGAGGCGTCAGGAAGGCAGTCGAGGAGGCGACCGGTCTGGCGGCACTGGGAAGCGAGCGAAAGAAGCTGAGACATCAGCTCAGTTGCTGAAAACTCCTTGATGGCCGTCATGATGAAGCGAGGAATTTAAGATGTACATCATGGTACCCGACACCTTCTTGTCCGCCAAGGTCTGGCCATGAGCACTGACACAGCCATGCCTTACCGAGCGCCTTTGAGAGATGCATCTTTGCCAGCAGCCCATTCTTGTCCTCCATAGACTGCTGTCAGCTCACTTCTCGCCTTATGAGAGTGGAGAAACGTACAATATCGATCTGGGCAGTGTAGTACCGCAAAAGGGCGTCGGTAGCCTTGGGGTCATCCTGGAGCGTTTTGACACGATGCTCAAACTATGAAATCAGCTTTATCCCATGCATGAGCTGAAAATGATAGCCAGCCGGGAAGCTCACCTCAACAGCTTCTCCGAGTACAGTAACGGCGATATCGTTCTTCCCCGCTTCTTCCAGTTAGTTGTGAGGCCAAGCTAGACCTACTGATCATGTAGAGAGCCGTCTCTGAGCTGAGAACGAGCATTCTCGTCACCCCTGCGTATCAGCTTTACTCTGTCCAGTCCGGCTCACAGCAAGTAGGAAATACAAGAACTTACATCTTGGACGGAGCTCGGGAGAGATTGCTGGCTCAGTAGCTTGGATGATACGGGTAGCAGCCAGACGAACTACCAGTAAGCTCTAGATACAAATAGCGGGTGGTCATGGCATCACAACTTACGCATAGCAGCCAAAAGAGGGTCCTCCTTCTGATCATCTACGCCGTCCACTGTCGCCCTCGTTGAGTGTGACGCCACATTCCAGAGACTCGTGCCTTTCGGTCAGCTCTGCAACATGTCCGAGGATCCCACCTGAGGAAGGACGAAGCAGCTCACCCTGCGCGTCCAGCCATGCTGCCTCAGCCAACACGTCTTCCTTCCTCCCTCTCAACCCCGCTCGGCGAAGATCAGTGATGTACACTTGTGTGGTTTTCCGAAGGACTTCGACAGCTCGCTTGAGCTTCGAGCGGGACTCGGGCGGATCCGCGAGTCTGATTGGGAGGGTGGCGAGGCGAGGGAGGAGATCGGTATGCGCCGCTGCAATCTCAGCTGGATCCCGAGGGCGAATGGAGCTTGATCTGTACGGTGCCGAGCTGAAGGTAGTCATCCAGGAAGAGAAGCGCCCACATTGCCTGGGTACCGCACTCTACGGGATACCATTCGTACACTGCTAGGAAGAAGAGAGAGAAGGGCAAAGCCGCCGGAGAAGGAAGGACCGATAGACATACCCTTTAGCGCGAGAAACTGCTTCCTCTCGCTCATCTCGTCTCAAGGTTCTCAGGTGGGCGCTGCCTCTTGTTGGGAGGCAGACGGATAGGATAACAGCGCTGATCGGTGCCGTAGGCAAGGATGATGTTGTTGTTGAATAAAATGTACGAAACGAAGAGGGTCGTCAACCGACCCAAGGCGAAGCGAACCTCCACCCCGCACGTCCACCATCCATTCCGGGGGCGATTACCGAAAGAGGAAATTCGGCCATGTTTCATGCTCGATACGATATCAAGTGCCTTGCAAAAGGCTCGGCCATTGGGGCAACCAGGCAGCGACTCTAGCCACCGGCCATACCTATCATGTCTCAGGAGTAAGCGCTACAAATCCTCTCATTTCCTCGCCCTCATCCTGTCGGTCCATTTATTACCGCCTCCACCTCCACTCCCCATCGACCCACTAGCAACACTATCCACCCTTCCCCCTGTGCCCCTCAGAGAACCCGCATTCCCACCTATCGGAGGCCGCGCAGTCGGCCACCCATGATCTATCCCCAGATCCTTGCTCACCACAGCGGGGACCACCATTCCCCATCCATGCGTTATCCCACCGCCACTTGCCTTTGTCACTACTGGCGAGGCGGTCTTCTTCTTGCCTGGCGGTGCGGGCGCCAAACCGCCTTTAGGGATCGTAGGCCGATCTTTCGTTGCCTTGACGGGAACGCTTTGAGGCTGGGCGCCTCCTGACCCATCTGCGCCCTTACTTCCGCCAGTACCGCCCAGTAGTCCTCCGATCCCAGTGGCATGCCGGACAGGCTTCGGCTTCGTGCCCAACAGCCCATGTATCTCCGTCCCTAGTTCGCCCTTCCCTTCGTGCGCTCCATAGGTGGAAGACGAAGGAGGGGGCCAAACGGCATCGACCGTCTTGCCTCGGGCGGGCATGCGGACTCTTGCTGGTGGGGGGATTTGCAGTCCGCCCTGGGAGCTGGCGGAGCCTTGGCGCCGGGGTGTGGGGAGGGGGTAGGAGGATTGGCGAGCGGGAGTGTGTCGAGAAGAGGAGGAAGTGGACGAGGGCGGGCGGTTCGAGGGGGGTATGAGGAGTTGTTCTGCCAGTCAGCTCTGCACTGCTCTACATTCCCTATCCCGTACGTCTACTTGGCTTGGATGCACCAAGCGATACCGAAGAGGACTCACGACTATCTCCCGACCCCATCCTCCCTTTCCCCCTCCGCTCCTCTTCCAACTCCCTCTTCAACCTCTCCAACTCCCGTTCCTTCTCCAGCGCCAACCACGCCACCTCCTTCTCAATCTCCCGATTCGCCTCTTTCACTTTCGCCTGCCTAATCGCTTCGATCCGCTCCTCATCCTCCAATTGCTTTTTGAGCTTTTCAGTCATCTCGGCCTGTTTTAAGCGCACAGCCGCCGATTTCATACTTTGATATGTCGAAAAGACGCTGTCTCGGAATGACTTTCTTTTGCCCGTAGCGTCCCGGGCTCGAGGTGTTGGTGACGGCGAGGGCGAGGGAGAGCGGGGTCGTCGATCTCGATCTCGATCTCGATTCCGGCGGGATGACCGAGCACGCGACTCCCCATGATACGAGAAATCGCTCTCGTCCGAAGAGTAATAGTCCCTCTCCCTATCCCTTCCTCGACGGCGCTTCCACCTCCCCCTTTCTCTCCGTCTCGGTCTTCTCCTGGGCCGGATCGTCCCACCGTCCGAAAAAGAATCATAATCGTCCTCGCTATCCCACTCACTATCCTCTGCACTCTCGCCTCCGCCCCCCTTTCTGCCCTTCCCCATCCCTGTCGCGGCCTTATCCACGTCACCCTCGGTGGCCTTCCCGGCAGTACTGGCGCCAAGCTCGGCCTTCTCCTCCTTTTCTAGCGCCTCGACCTCTTTCCTCCTCTCCTCATCTTCCCGCTTCTTCCGCCTCTGCCTGAAAACCGCCCATACCCCTACTCCAATACACAGTAGCCCCGCGATAGCCACACAGATGAGCTGCCACCATGACAAGTTTGAATTCGCCACTGCCCGACTCAAGATGTTTCCGTCATCTTGGCCTGCGGCCGCTTTACCGGTAGACGTAGACTTGGGTACAGTGCTCGACGAGGGCCGACGTGTCGTTATGTAGATAGTTCCCGGTGCTTCTGATGCGTCGGCGGCCGCTGGGGACTCGGACGCCACGACGGGAATCTCGCCAGGCGGTGCGTTCATAGGCTTGACATTCGGTGTTGAGGCTTTCGGGGCGGTGGTGCCCATGGATGGTGTGATGGCTGATGCTGCTGTCGCTCCGCCACCTCCTGCGCCCGAAGCGGTAGCGGCGGGGGTGGGAGCGGCACCAGCGGGCGTGCCGATGTCCAGCAAGAGCTGTCTTCGCCAGGCCATGGCTGGATCGTGTTGTCGTTGATTGTCATCGGGGCGGATGGGGAGGATCATGCCATCCTTCCTGTCTTTAGCACGGGTGATTGCTCCAACGAGCTGTCAGTATTGTGAGGTAGGGTGAGCAAGCAATGATCTGATGATAGTGCTTCGTACAGCGATGAAGAGAAGTGGATCGATGCGGCCTCGTGCCCTCGTGCTCAACGCTACGCTGCCCTCAACAAGAGCAAGGGGCGATACATCAGCTGAAACACGCACGAGGTCGAGCAGAAAGGAGGCGATCAGACGAAGGACGTCCCGACCCCTCCCGTGTACCAGCGATAAAGACCAGACAGCACTGTCACCCCGATGTCCATCCGCCACCTGCCTTGCTATCGACGACCCATCTCCGCCTCAGACCCGCAGCAGCAGCGGCGTCCCGCACGATGCTCATAACGCAGCGACCTCACGGGCCAGCGCATCAGTCCCCCTTCTCCCCCCTCTCCCCCTCCCTCCTCATCTCCAACCTTCCCCCACACGTCCAGCCCAAACATCTCACCCACATCCTCTCTTCTCGTCCCAGGCTGCAGAGACAAGTCGGGGACACGACCCGAGGGGAGCATGGGATCTGCTTGTGAGTCATCGGTCGGGTACGAGATCCCGGTTGAGTGAGTACTGATGAGCAGTATCCGGATCTATACCAAGCCGAAACGAAAGCCAAGGCCGGCATTCTTCACTCGGCTCTTCTCGGACCTGTCCATCAGTCCCCGCGCTAATGTCGCTCTTGCTGAAAAGCCCGCTCTGCCCGCCCGAAAGACCTCGTCTACTTCGGACGCCGAGCCTGCGCCACCCACTCTTCCCTCTGACGCAGCCGCTCTGCGGACAAGAAGCAGAGTCGAAGAAGTCGTCCCTGATTCTCCTCGGCCCATATCGACGAGACACAATCCTAAGCAGGAAGACGAAGACGAAGTAACCATCGCCGAGTTACGCTTCAGTACCGAGTACCACCGTACGTATCGCTCCTGCCAAACATTCCGGAATGGCTCGAGTGGCTGATCCCCAGGATACGCCGCCGCGCAGCTACTAAACCGATCGACGATTGACGGGCGGAAGGTCGGACTGAAAATGAAAGAGTGGGATGGCGCGGCTTTGAGACGGCTGTGGCGGCGGATGACCTGATCTATGATTGTTGCTGATGACTGTGATAGACAACCTAGACATTGGATGTTAGACGTTAGTTGGCAGGACGGGTATGATACAACAACCTATATATGAGCTATCGACTGATATGGCTTACAAATAACAAGCTCCTCTATATGCCGCGCCCCGTGCCTGCTATTCGTCGTCACTCCCCTCCTCTTGTGCCCCTCCCTCCTCATCGCTCCCATCCCCGCCTTCACCGCCGAAAACGATTCCCCCATCTCCCTCTCCGCCTTCCTCCCCGCTTCCCTCCCTCGCTTCCCTCTTCCTCTTATTCTTCGCCTCCATCTTCGCCAGAATCTTCTCGGCCTTGGAGAAGGTACCGTTCGTGGCTGCCCCACATGCGTAGCATTTAGGGGATTTGATGAACCGCGTGACTGCGCAACTGTCTTTGTCAGCCTGATTCCTATGTGAATCTCCCTTACGCCCAGGCCCCAGGCAGACAGGCATATCACTCACTTCATGCAAAAGTAGTGCCCACACTTGGTGACCACCGGCTCCGTGAACGGCTTTCTGCAAATCAAGCACGCAAACGGTACCTCCTCCTCTTCATCCTCTACCGCCTGCTGTTGCTGCCCCATATCCACCTTATCCATCTGCCATCCCGCCAAATAATCCCCTCTGTCATGCATAAACTTGCACGAATCCCCATACCCACAGAACCCCGTCTCCTTGTAATCCTTGCACACATCCGGCTGGTAATCTACCAGCGTGATGGTCCGGATATTCGCCGTAGCCCGTATTGGCGCCGTCTTCATCTTAGAATCGGTCTGTTCCCGCGTTTTGTTGATGGTGGGGAGATAGCCGTTCAGACCGCGATATAGCCCATCGTCTATATCGCCATCTTCGTTCAGCCGGACCCGGTCTGTCGTGGAACGCTTTTCGGGCGGAGGGGCCGATTCCAGGTCCCAGTCGCTTGCACGCGTGGCGTAGGTGTCCCCTTTTGAGAGAGACGAGTCGTCCGCCCGGTAGTCGAGCTCTTCGAGTCCACCGGGACCTTCCGAGTCATCCACGTCCCGCCGACGCTTGGTGCCTTGGATGAGGGGGTTGATGAGGGACTTTTTGGTGGGACGGACGACGGAGGTGGAGGGGCCTTCAGTATCGAGGGAGGGGGATGTGGAGCGTTTGCGAGTGGTATTTGGCCGACGGGGCGCCTTCTTGAAGGATACGAGGGGAGCGGACATGTTGTCTGATGTAGGTGAGTGATTGGTAAGGGAGCTGTAGAGAGCTTATAGGTCGGTGTGCTTGAGCTTGATCGTTGCCACCAACAGTCAAGAGCGCACGGACTGCTGTTTTCCCACGATTGCCCGTCTCTTTCCGGAGCTCGCCGCCTCCCGCCCCAACAAGCCAAAGTTGCCCCAAGCAGCAATTCCCCTGGTGACCCTCCAGCGCCACAGCGGACTTTTGGCCTCGGCGGTATAAAGGGTGAGCAGAATAGCCACTCTTCCCCTCCTTCTTGTCAACTCCGCTTTCTCCGCCTGCGCTCCTACTGCCACAACGGCGTTACCTCCTACTTCTCCAGCTACACAGACCTCCACCTCCAAGGTCCACCCTCGGCTACTCGGTCAAGCATGGATACCCTCAACACACAAGCTCAACAACAAGCAGATAATGACGCACTCGCTACTGCAGTCGGCGTCGCAGCTCAGGAACTCGGCATGGTCGATGAGGATATCAATCTCAATCTCGACGGCAGCGTCGGGCTCGGTGATGGCGATGGCGACGGCGACGGGGTAGATGAGGCGACACTCAATGTGTTCCATCATGAGCTTCAACAGCCAGACTTTGGGCAGCATACTCACGAGTCGGAGAATGGCGAGAAGGAAGAAGGGGAAGAGGTGGATGTTAGTGCCCTGAACCTCCCGGGGGATGAGGATATGGGAAGTGACCTGGGGCTCAACCTGGATGATATCGACGGTGGGGAGGATAGGCCATTGTTCTCGAGGCCGCCCAGTATCCGCAAGGGTGAGTCCAAGTGTGGTCAGAAGCGTAAGATCAACAGCTGATACTATAGCATGCGACCTTTGTCATGCGGCCAAGCAGGTAAGTTGTACCCCAAGCATACCTTGTCATCTATGTCGACCATATTCCTTTTAATCACTTCACCTTCAACATCCATTACTCTTCTTCCCCTCCCCTGTGTCTCCTCTGTCATTCGCAATCAATCATCCCCCGAGACAATCATCCTTCGCCGCTTCTGTGCAGCCCCTTCTGTCACCTTCACACATCCACACCGCTACCTCCCACTTACCACCTCTGTCCTACCTCTGTCCTACTCCGTCATCACCATCGGACTTGGCTGACCTCCAGAAATGCAGTGGCGACCGCCCCACCTGCACCCGCTGCGCCGCCGGCGGCTGGCAATGCAACTACGCGCCCCGTCAACGCCGACGTACCGTCCCAAAGTCTGAGCGTACCGCATCGGTCCCAGCGCCGGTGGGGCAGGAGATCGTCCGTGTGCCCGAGGTCCCCCGCGAGCTCCCACCGCCACCACCTGCCAAGAAGCGCAAGATCGAAGCGCGCCAGTCGGTCGCGTTTGAGAGCACGATCGATCTCAAGGCGGCGATGGCGGCGCTGGATATGGGCTTCGGGGAGGAGGAGGGGGAAGAGATGTTGGGGTTGTCGGACGACCAGATGGTGAGTCTTCTCCAAAGGTGATGGGGTCGGACCAAATGCTGACTGTCCAGCTGGAATCTATCGCTATTGACGGGTACCTCGCGGACCTGCCTCTTTCGACGTTCGTCAATAACCTCCCATACACTGGACCGGATGGCAACCACTTCAACGGGGACGATCTTAACGGTGACGGTTTCCCGGCGGATATCGACCAGCATACCACCTCGGCCCTTCGGGATGCCATCTTCTCGCTCAACGAGAGCACCAAGCATGCGCACACGGACGCGGACGAGAGTACCGAGGAGGTCGACCCTCACGTCGCTCTCCTGGACCTGTCTCACCCGGAGCAGCACGACCCTTCCCACCCCCATCATCAGCACACCAACCAGCACGACCCGCACGACCTCCTCGAGCTCAACTTGGGGTGCAGTCACCCTCCCCTCGTCCCCCACATCCTCGCCCTGCTTACGCAACACGGCCTCGAGCCCAAAGCGGGCTTCTCCACTCCTCTGACTCTATCCGTCTTCGCACCCCTCGCCCGATCTTTGCGGTTATTCCAACTCATCACCGACTGCCCTACCTGCTCTACCTCCCCACAACAGACACTCCCCCAACTCGCCCTCCTCAGTCGAACCACCACCATCCTCACCTTCCCGTTCCCCCCGTGCAACTCGTCCGCCATCGGCGGGTCCGCCCAGATTACCATCCATGGTGCCCGGCTCGCCGGGACGGGCATCAGCGAGGCGATCGAGCAGCACATCGTGGGTGTGGTGTGGGACAGTTGGCGCGCGAGTATCAGGGAGATCTTTGCGCTGTTGGATCGCAAGGCGCAGGATGTGATTCAGGCGAGTAGTACGGGTGAGGGGTTGCCGACTACGAGTGCGGAGACGCAGAGGGCGGGGCTCTTCTTCCAGGCCATGGGGAGGTTGGTTACTGCTATGGATGAGGTGGAGGGGGCGTAGGCGGATAGGGAGCGGGGTGACTGGGCGAGTCGGGCGGAGGATATGGTGGAGAAAATGTATAGGAAGGTGAAATGATTGACGCGAAGGACAGGGGGAGGGTGTACAAATAAAAACAGGCGACCGCTTCTTCTTTTGGGTACATCAAGTTTGTATCAGTCTCCATGTAGAGCAGAGCTGGGTAGAGCTGGTAGTAAGAGAAAAGCGTATGTGATTGTTAGTAGCTCGCTAGCGGCTTGTGGCTTCCCGCTCTAGTCTCGCCCAGGAAAGCTGGAAGGGCAAGGGGAGGTCTTATCTTTGGCCGGATCCGAGCTCCGAAGCGACCTCGCTTCGTGTCCGGCGCACCCTTTGACGTCGTCTATAGCTTCGTCGTCTCTCCCTTCCTCTGACGGCCACGCTGCATCGTCATGCCAACCTCGATCTCATTATCATGGACGCGATCAATCAGATAGAACTTGTGCGCTCGCGTCCTCATCTCATCGGTGGAAGCTAATGAGCAGACCCTCCCAATCGACCAAATCAAGCCCGTGCTCTCCGCCCTCATCCTCTCGATCCTCTTCCAGCGCACCCTGGACCCGTCCGAGCCGCAGACGATAGAGGTCCTGGGTCGACATGTGGCCATACCTGGTACGACCGGCACGGGTGCTGCAGGGGTAGAGGGGGAGGTAAGCGGGAGGGTGGAGGAGTTTATGGGGAGGTATTATGCTAGTGGGAGGCAGGAGAGCGGGCAGGTGAGAGCTTCTCTCTGACCAGAAGGTGGAAGGGATAGGTCTGGGATTCTCCGGGGTCGAAGTGGATAGGGAGAGAAAGGGTACCACAGACTGGGCTGATAGGCAGATCGCGGTGATTTTTACGCAGAAGAAATCTAGGAAGGGTTGGTTTGGGATAACAGAGGTGAGCGCTCCCCCTCCTTCCCCCGCCGCCGTTCAAAGCTACAGCTGGCTGGGCCATATCCAGCTCACTCGCCTGGGCCTGGGCATATCTCTGGCCTTTTTGTCCATCAGCCGGAGCAAGATCACGAACTAACAGGCGTAGGAGATCGTCCCGTGGGAAGCCCACTTTATAACCATCCATCCCGACTCTACAGCGCGCCATTCCGCCCGATCTCCAAATTCAGCGGCTACGTCAGGCCTGTACGACGCATTGATGCGGACCATCACGTTCTGCGCGGCCCGGGCGGACGCTATGCCGTCTGCTACGCCCGGAGAGGCTGATCGGCTCGCTCATCAGGTATGTCCCTTCCTCCCAGCCTTACTTCTCACCTATCGCATCACCTATCGCAAAGAGCTGCCTAGCTACATCCGCGCCGAAAGGGTACATGACACACAGCTGACTCCCACAGATCATAGTATCCCCTCCACCCCCATCAGACCTCTTCGCCCCCTCCCCACCGACCGCCCGATCCCCGCTCACTCCGCGCGTCCCACTCGCCCTCCCCGCCGCTCTGACACTGGGCACCGCATCCTCCTCCCCTTCTTCCAGAGCTCGGCGGGGGAGCTCGCCCGGGCGCGCGCCGGGTAATGAGCAGAGGGAAGTCCAGGTGGGGTATTTGGAGCAGGCGAAGGATGTGTTACGGGCGACGGGGGCGAGGGCGGGTGCTGTTGCTGGATGGACGGCGGGAAGGGGAAGGGGGACTTGACCCGGAAGGGGCGCAGGGGCGCGAGAAGGCCCGGAGGTTTCTGGCATCAGAACTTGGTCGTCAGTCGTCAGTAGAGATTTGGTAGAAGAGAAAGTTCAGTTGTACAACAGGGTTTACTGATATGGATCCCCATGTATCCAGATCTAGCGCCGATACCTACCGAGAGCAGTAGCGACCGCGCCTCGGCGTCGTCTTTCCGCCCTTCAGTCCCACTCATCCGCATCTCTCGTCCCACTGGCCAACCCATCCCTTATCCCCGTCTTCCCCCTTCTCAATCCGTTCCCTCTCGAATTCCCCGCCCGTCCCCCTTCTTCCCCGTCATCATCTTCCTCGTCCTCCCCCTCGTTTCCACCACCCCTACTCCCAGCTCCGCCGCCCAACAGCTTCTGGTCCAAATGCCCAGCTAGCGTAATCTTCCCACTAACCAAAGCCCCACTCTCCTTCAGGCGCACCTCTAATGCCCGGGCCGAGAACCCATCATCGTGTCCTAGATCCTCGAAGCCTATTAATCTGTCGACACACCGGCCGTCGACGAAGATGAGGACGCAGGGAAGGACCTGAATGGAGAATTTGGAGACGAGGAAGGGGGCCGAGGAGACGGAGGTGGAGAGGAAGAGGGTGTGGGGGTATTTGGGGGCGAGTTCCTACAGGGTCAGCTTGGTGGGACGGGCATATGGCCAGAGGGCCCGGCCGGATGAAGGAGAAGGAGCGGGTTTGTAGACTCAGTTGACATACGTCTAGTCTTTTGTCCATGATCCGACAGCGGTGAAAGTCTGGATGTATGAAGTTCAGGAGGCAGTATTTCTCCTTTCTGAAGTATCAGCTCAAAGTCCATACTGGAGCATTTCACGACCTCGCTAAAGCTGCCATGACTGCAGCTCATATCTCAGGTGAGGCGCTGTAGCCAGCCGGATATATGAGGTACAGCCATGCGGCAAGGACCCCGGAAAACCGGGACATCACTCACGCCATCCGCTCAATCAACTTCTTCTCCTCCCCATACGTCACCACCCGCCCATACTCGCTCGTCTGCAACGTCTGCACCTTCTTGATCTCTCTCTGGAGCTCTTCGAGTCGCCGTTCGCGGTGCGCAGAAAGGTCGAATCGGGGGTCGTCCTCTAATGAATCGAGGAGAGCCGAGTCGGAGAGGGTGGGTGAAGGGGGTGCGCTGCCAATTAGCTCTAAGAATCAGGTTGGTCAACAGGGAAAAGATATACCTCATGGTCAGCCGGCTGGCTGCAGGTGGGCTAGACGAGGGAAAATGACCTGGCTTGTGGAGAAGGACGACGTTGGTTGGACGCGATTTGCGCTTGGACGCGAAATTCCGAAACTTGGCTTGGCTTGAGGAATGTGGAGTTGGCCGGAGAGTGGCGCCGCAGGGTCCCAGTCGAGACAAGAGGTGGCGAGTGACCGCCACACGGCCGCATGCGGGCCTTGGGCAGTCTACGCCGGATCACAGTGGTATTGACCGCAATATGACCCAGCCAAGCTCGCCTACCTTTGAGTCTAGGCCCCGAACGCAGCCTGTCTCAGGGTTTCTACCTCCCTTCACCTTCAGCTCCGGGTGCGCGGGTAAGGGAGGGCGAGGCAATAGGTAGGGATGGATGATAGGCAGGGACTGCAGCTATCATAACTAGGTATCATCAGATGACGGAACGAACCGGAAACACACCTCCCAGCGAACCAGCCCAGAACCCCATTTTTGGGAAATATACCTGGCTGCCTCTCGTGCTGTGTGCGTATATCATATCTCTTGCATCTCATGGTACTGCTACAACTACAAAGAGAAGGCTGATGCTAGGTAGACGCGGTCATTGCCATATTAGCTATCGGCGTCATACTCTGGCTGTTCAAGCTTTGGAGGCAGGGGCGATGGTGGCACCAAGACCGTTGTGATAAATGCTATCACGTGTACAAGAAGAGTGAGATGGATGCGGAAAGTGGGAATGTGCGCAAGAGTGCCGAGCATCCTGAGGACTGCCAGCGGACGCCAAAGGTGTGGCATGGGGGCGCGTGGTGTGGCGGCCAGATGTCAGCTAGCAAGCAGGACAGAAGCGAGCATAGTTGATAAATACATTGATAATGATCTTGTGCACCATCTGGCTGGCTTGGGTACTTTAGGACCTCTCTATCTCGCAAGAGGTACAGGGGTCCCAGCTGGGAGCTTGTATGAAGACACTTACCCCTGATACGCTGCTGTGAATCATTTCCTTGACTTACCCCTCGACGCCGGCTCGCGGTACTTAGACTGCATTATGGTCTCCTTTCATTCGCCTCCCCCTGTGGCTGAGCAGACCATTTGCCCCGTCTTGATCCCTGATAACTGCATCCGATGACGCTCCTCTCCGCTTCCAGCCCCTTCAAACAGGAGCGAGGCCTGTCTGACAATGGGAACAAGGAGTAGATGGCAATAAGAGGCAGTGTGAACGCAACTCTTCCAGCTGTATCTGTACCTCATTGTGCAATCAGCGTATCGTGATGACACACTACAAAGATGGACAACACCAAGGTATCAGGCTCAGACACGGCGGATGCGGGCATAGTAGACCGGGCGAAAGACTTCTGGCATGGTCTCAGCGTGGGTGGCCAAGTCGGTAAGTACTGGTGATCGTCTCTGTCTGGTCTATATAGCTGGAGCGCGGAGCTGCACTGACAACCCAGGTGTCCTAGTCGGCTCTGTCGCAGCAGCAATCATCCTCATCTTCTTGATCGTCGTCATGTACATATACGGCTACTACCCCTTCGCTCACAAGTGCTGGAACTGCAGGAAGCGAGTCCGCAGCAAGGACACGGTCTGGGTACCTCGAGTGGTACCGAAACAGACTGGAGCTTTAAAGAAGGACGATCCCAAGAGGGTTTGGGATTGGACTAAGAGGGCCATTGAGACGGACAATGAGGGCAACAGCAAGATCTACATGTGCTCGCCGGCGAAGGGGTGCGATGGTAGAAATCTCCTAGGCATGTTGTTCGGCCGAAAGAGTAAGATGCCAGAGGACCCTGACGAGAGGTTCATCAGGGATAGGGTCATACCCCATAGATAGGAGGCTCAAAGTACGCTCGTATCGTCGAGGAACAACCTGCGGCAGGCAGACCCTCGCAGCAGGCAGATGTAGGTAGTCTATATCCGAGTAGAAGTATCTAGTGTGTAGGCGATGTAACAGTGGTGACCTAAATAGGGCATTTGCGCAGCAGTACTCAAGCGAAGGACGCCTCGCAGATAACACTGCTGACGCCGGCGGAGTCCTGTACTTGACATCAATTCTCGCCTTCTCCTCCGATGGAGCTGGTCGAGGCCGGCAGTGGTGCTGACGGCTGCAAGCTCGTGTACACCTGGGATCCCTAGGCTTGTTCCTCCACCGGGTTCGGCCCTGACGTACGCGCCGTACGCGCCCATAGCGTACGTCAGGGTGGGATTAGTCAGTCAGAGGACATCTTTAACCACAGGCCATAGCCAGGTACCACGTGTAGCTTATGAGACACCGCACAGCGGCCGTGGACGCTCCGACTTACCAGTAGTCTGCCCGAATGGTCTGCCTGGGGCATTCTAGTAGGCTTGAATCAAGGTTCATTTGGCAGTTCGCCACCCGCTGCCACACTGCCACGTTCACATCACACATGCAAGCTGCACGCGCCTTGCCGTCATTTCAGGGACGGAACACCTCGCTTGACCCGAAACCGCACTTGCCGCCGGCCTAATCAAAGTCCGAAATTTCGAATCTCCCCACACGACTCGTCTTCTTTTTTCGAACTCTGCACCTAAACACTGTGGAGAACCGCATATCTCTCACGAAATCTCCACTCTCTCCACCACCTCCAGTCCGACATCACCCGCGTCGCCCCTTCCACAGGGTCAAGCCAGTTCTAAAAGAGGGGCAACAGAGGGGCTTGGCTTCGGGCGTCCGGGACGATGTGAAAAAGCTCGTCCGAGAGAGAGGGGGTCCGAGGGGCATATAAGGGGGAGACAGCGCCCCCTTCTCTTCCCCCATTTCCCCCCTCTCCCCTCAACATGTCGAATCTGCAAGACGACCGCGCGTCGATCAAAGCGCCCTCGACGATGGCCGCGGAGGCGGACCCCAAGCTTGAGATGGCCGCGGTCCAGGATGAGCGCCGAGCGGTCGTGGAGAAGAGCTTGAAGCGCAAGCTGGATCTGCGGTGCTCACTCTTCGTCCTGATCTACATCATGAGTGAGTACTGCCGCAGGAAGGTAGGACGATGCTGATAGACAGACTACCTTGACCGCAACAACATCTCGGCGGCGCGTCTCCGAGGTCTCCAGGAGGATCTCAAGCTCAACGACCAAGAGTACTCGACCTGCCTCTCTATCCTCTACGTCGGTTACATTCTCATGCAGGTCCCATCCAACATGATCATCAACAAGATCTCCCGGCCTAGTATCTATATCGGTGTCGCCGTAAGTCTAGCCTCTCAGTTGAAATGGCCGAGCTGACCCACAGATGCTCATTTGGGGCGCTATCTCCGTTCTGTCCGGTATCACCACCAACTTTGGCGGTATGGTCGCCACCCGCTTCTTCCTCGGTTTCGTCGAGGCCGCATTCCTTCCCGGAGCTCTCCTCATCCTCTCCAAGGTCAGTCGCAGTCTATATCCCTGCAGCTTGAAATCACAGCTGATATGGCAGTGGTACACCCGTCGCGAGCTCACCACCCGTAACGCCATTCTCTTTGGCGGTAACCTCATCTCGAACGCTTTCGCTTCGCTCATCGCCGCTGGGATTCTGTCAAACATGCAGGGTGTGCTCGGTCACGCTGCTTGGCGTTGGATGTTCTTCATCGGTACGTTTCTCGTCCTTTCCATCCCTCAGGATCTTAGCTGATCAGACAGAGGGAGCAGCCACCATGCTCATCGCCCTTATCGCGATGGTCATGCTTCCCGACCTGCCCACCAACTCTCGCGGCTTCACCGCCGAGGAGCTCCAGGTCGCACAGCTCCGTCTCGTCGAGGACGTCGGAGAGGCAGACGAGGACGACGTCAACGCCGGCGCATTCGACGGTCTCAAGATGGCCGTCAAGGACACCAAGATCTACCTCATGATGTTCACCCTCACCGCCTATGTCGTTGGGCTCAGCTTCAACGCCTTCTTCCCCTCCCTCACCGGTACCCTCGGTTTCGGATACGTTCCGACTCTCCTCATGTCCGCCCCGCCATGGGTCTTCGCCGTCATCGTCTCGCTCGCGAACGCTTGGCACGCCGACCGGACGCAAGAGAAGTTCTGGCACATTGTCGTGCCAATCTGCTTTGGACTGGTCGGGTTCATCATTTCCATGTCGACTCTCAACACGGCTGGTCGATATGTCGCCTTGTTCCTCCAGGCTGGATCGTATGCCGGCTTCATCGTCTTCTTCAGGTAAGCTCTCTCTTCTCAAGCCCGAAGCATCATCGCTAACGATACAGTTGGATCTCCTCCTCCTTCCCCCGTCCGCCGGCAAAGCGCGCAGTCGCCATCGCAATGATCAACGCTTTCTCCCAACTCGGCAACATTGCCGGATCCTACGTCTGGAACCTCAAGGATAACGGCTACCGCTCGTCCTACGGGATCGTCACTGCCATGTTTGGGATCACCATCGTCGGCGTCATCGCGTTCCGTCAGATTCTAGTGGGGCTCAACAAGCGGCTGGATGCGGGCGAGGCGGCGTGGGAGCCTACGCAGGCAGCGCAGGACAAGACCAAGGCGGTGCAGCATCTGGAGAGCGATGATGAGGCCCTCAGGATGCGCAAGGGGTTCAGGTATCTCGTTTAGAGGGTTCCAGCTAGATTTGGGTAGACTATAATGCATAAGGTATCTGCATCAAGACGCCACTTCCCCAGGCGTTTGGGCCCTCGACCGCTTGATGATTCTGCGCATTCAGCTGATCCTATGGTATGAGACCGAAAGACTCACGGTGACCTAGAAGAAGAAGGGGATGAGGAGGCTCACAGCACACTGAGCCATGCACGTCCCCTGAGACGCAGAGCACAGTGGAGCTGCGGCTGACGTGATCAGCTATAGCGCGGCTTGAATCGCAGAGGAGGACTCACCGACGGCTACTGGTCCCATAGGCATACCTGCTGCCGCCCTAACACAGGTAACGAAGCCGGTGTTGCATGCGGTCTGACATGCGCTGTAAGTCGATGTATCGGCTGATCTGACGGCGGCGAGCGAAAGGAGAGCCAGGGCAGTGAAGAGCTTCATGATGAGGTGATGAGGCGATGAGTTGGGAGTTTGACGTGTAGACTGGCTGAGTAGTGGCTTGGTATGGCTGACGGGATGTGGTGAGATCGTAGATATTGACTGGAGGGGGAAGAAGAGGATCCGCGAAGTTTATATACCCCTCATCCCGACGGGCAAGTGACATCGTACTGTGAGGCTCTTGGATGCCCGCGTCAGAGATGCGCCGTCCCAGAAGTTAGCTGTTCCTGGGTCACACGCCCCCGTTCCTTGTTCCTGTACCAGCGCGTCCTTGCTGCTCAAACCATCCCCGGCAATTTAGGCACGACCGGCATGAGGGGCGATAGGAGGGTGTTACCGAAACTGACGATTGATGAGCAGAGGAGATTTCATCTAAGCACGATCAGAAGTCAGCTGCGCGCCTGAGCGGACCACGGCATCACGCCACCGCATCATGAGCCGATACAGACTGCATAAATGCCAGTCCGACCCTCCACGCTTACAATCCTTCCATATCGACCCCCTTACTTCTTTGCCTTCTTCTCATCCTCGTCCTTCTTCTCCTTCCTTGCCTTCTCTACATCCTCCGCCTTGACTCCCGCCGCCTCCGCCGCAGCTTCGGCCTTTTTCTGTTCTGGCGTCTTGGCATCGTCCAGCTCCTGCTGTGCCATCGAGATTCGGTTGTCGACTATACGTATCAGCTTTTCTGCATCTAGCACATCGGCGGGAGAGATGCGGATAACTCACTCAATTCGTGCAGGGCTAACACGGTCCTCACCAGCGCGCTCAGATAGACCACCATACTGCTATCATTCACACCCACTCTGAACGCCTTGCCCAACTCCGCATCTCCGCCCAATTGCGGCAACAGCCCCACCACCTCCTGCACCTGACTGATCACCTGATGATTGATAGGCATCTTGCCAGCACGGACGCGGTCGAGGTACTCGCCGATATCGGCAAGGCGGGCGTGCAGACCCCGGAGGGCCGAGAGCTGGGTGGTGACTCGCGTAGAGAGGGATTGAGTGGTGAGGAGCGAAGAGGAGGGTGCGCCAGAAGAGGATGAGACGTCTCGCAGGAGATGCTCGACACCGATCTCCTCGGCTTCTTCGGCTTCGATGGTGGTGGGCACATGGGTGAAGGTGCGCTGTGTGGCGGTTCCGTCCTTGGTCATCAGCTGCAAGCCCGGTCATGGAGAATTTGCCAGCTGAGGGCAGGTGGACATACGTCTCTAATCTCCTCGACGGCAAAGTACGCGTCTGTTGGTATACCCGTCTCTCCCCTTCCACCCGTACTCCGCACATCCACGATCACCATCACTGGCCGATCGCAGAATCGGCGGATTAGATCGCTGATTTCGAGGTCGGATGACCGGAGCCGAGGTCCAGAGTGATAGAAGCCTACAGGCCGTTCCTTAGCTATGAAGTCAGCTATTATCCGAACAGCCAAGTGGGCGTCGAAAGGGTAGGCAATCAAGGTAGTGGGGGAGAGACCTACCGTTAACTTTCCGGAACATCCTCCACATCTCCTCAACATAGTCCAGATCCAGGAAGAACGTCTTGGGATCCCGGTCATCCTCCTCGAATGGAACAGCGAACCTACCTTTGTCAGCTACGCTCTATATACATCCCGGTGGTTGCAGCAGGAGGAGCTTACGAATTCGCGACATTGATTATTCCGCCATTGTCCTGTCCGAGAAGTATGCCTAGCACACGTTTATTGCGTGAGAGAGGGACTCGAGAGGCGTGGTCGACGACCGAGAGGAGGACGAGAGGGTGAATCACCCTACCTGAGTCAGCCCGAGCTCGGGGAAGAGGGAAGGGTTAGGGGCTCTTACACGTTGGTCGAGGAAAGAGCGGTGACCTGACTTATTAGCTCAGCTATCGGGGATATACAGGATCTCGGTAGCTCACCTGAGCTGTGGTGAGTCCGGGCATCGTGCTGTATGGCTGTATGGAGTACTGGACTTCTGGTGATAAAGGTGAGAGCTTGGGTGATAGAGGTGATGCAGGTTGAGGCCTAAGGAATGTGGTGTTCACCGCGCAAGCGCAAGCGGGCCCATAGCGGCGATCGCCGCCAGCAAGGCATCCTATGAGGAAGCGCGCGTCTTCTTCATCTCATCTGTGTGTTCTACCTAAGCTAGCCTACAAGCTGGAAGCGACCACTTCGGCTCCGGCCGTATAGCCGAGGAGTTTCCATCGACAGACGCCTCAAGCGGGAGAACCGTTCTCCTCCAAACGGCCGAGTGACGGCTGGTTGGCCTGACCAACTCCAATGATCTGGGCATGTGTCAGCCTTGTTCTATTGGGATGAGCGGGGCGCAAAGACTTGATCTCCTTTCATGTAGTAATACGCGTATGAGCTAATAGCCGTACTCCAGTCCTTCCTGTCAAGCCACTTACTCCGAATTGTCACTCCGGTCGCACGTCCTCAGAGTCAGCGGACATCTTCAACTGCCAACGCGAAAAGCGCCCTCTTCCGCTTGGCTTCTGGCGCTGCCCTGCTATTGCGACGCAAGAGCCCGTGTTGTCACGGCGCAAGAGCCGGCCGTTACTTACACATACTCACTCCATGACCATTCGTGCTTCTCATCTGCAGTTGAAAGATCGCGTCTCATGATGGAGTGAAAGGAGGTATAGGCGCCGTCAATCCAGCGCGGGCTGAATACTGAGACACGCAGAGTAGGCATCCTTACACGTTCTCACCCATTACTGATGGACTGGTCGACTTAACAACCTTTATAGACTCCGCTTATTGCGCCTCATTAGGTATAAGAGTGGACTGCGATCTGCTGTTAGCTCTAGGCCCCACTTTCCCAGCTTCACCGGCACCCCATTCCATCTACTCTCAGAAGCACATCGACAGCAGAATGCCTTGCGATATTGGCATTGCGGAAGTTCCTGACAGTGTCAAGACCTCAGAGTACAGGAAGACGGTTGTGGCGAGTATCTGGAACACCGGTCTCTTCCCCGCGCTAACGGACCTGATGGAACATACAAGGTCGACCTTGCGCCCATCGAACACGACGTACGACTCCACCGGCAAGGAAGAAGATTTCACCGATGCTGAGGTGATCGAAGAACTCCTGGGCCGAGGACGGGTTACCAAGGGTGATGTCTCTGGAGTCAGGATGCTCGTTGCAATTCAGAATGGCGATCTCACCGCAGACCCACGGGGAGTCGTGCTGTTTGACGACGTTGCTCCGGGCGGGAACATCCACAGGGCCGTCAGCATGCTCCACGTCGAAAATACAGATCGGGATCTGTTCCGAAGGCTGCTGAGGAGGGTCTCAGGACTCGAGAGTGGAGACGAGGAGAAGACCAACGTTGTGCCCAAGCCTGCGACGGTTCTGGTCACGTTCGGGTCTCTGGCAGACGCCTCCTACTCCCAGTGTCTGACTCAGGCAGGCTTCACCGTTCTCTCGTCTTCGGGCGCAGATTCCGACGGCACGCCTGGTCGGACGATATGGAGCCTGGGTGTCGAACAGTGAAACCTTACGATACGTGTTCAAGGACGATACTTGTTCAAGGTGGCGGCGAGGGGATAGCTTGTGCCAGTATATGAGCGATCTTGGTGGTGGGAGGGGTCTGCGTGTCTGGCGCCGAATGGATTATATGCCCCGATCAGCCATGCCGATTCTACTGATGTCCAAGCTGATCAGGCAGGCCGTTCCAGAGCGTCAGCAGGAAGACTGCCACATGGCACGCCAAGTGGCGAATATTTGGCGTAACCATCCATTCAAGTGCCACACTTGCCTTTAGCTCACAATCCTTTGCAGTGCACGGGACGCGCACATGACCGTGCGGTGCCTCTCCAGGGCGTGGAGCCTTAGATTCGTCAGGACTCGTCTGTCAGTCTTGCTATTATACCTCAACATCAGCAATTCAGTGCAGACAGCAATCTCCCAGCCCATCCTATCAGGATCCAGCCACATCAACGAGAATGTCTGTCGCGACTGACCCAAGTGGTCTCAGCACAGGGGACGACTCTGGAACCCAGTCAACCGCCTCCAACGCCATCATCATCGAAGAGATCACTCACGGTTCCAGCTTCATCTCGAAGCTGAAGCAGATCGACGAGATCTTCGCGGCGAACAAGTAGCGATTCCCCGTTCTCAGCGAGCGAAAGGAAATGTGCGGCCGGAAGTTGTTCCTTCACAGATGTTTCACGGGAAGCTTCAATTCTTTCTGGGATGTCCAGATCGATTTCAACCCCAGCATGGCGGCTGTGCTCGCAACTGAGGATCCCAAGAAAAATCCTATCCGTGTGCTGTTTGCCAGCACACCATCGACAGTCCACGCGGAAGAGATTGAACCGGAGGGCACTGTGGCTTTCTACGACATGGAGACGGCGAACGGCAGCGGGAGGACGGTGTTATTCCTTCATGCGCGGAACAGCAATGCCGAAGATTGGCTCGTGAGAGCGATGATTGGGCAAGCGGACGACGCCTACAAGGTCAAGCCGTACCCCTCATCGGTGGATTTCAGGTACGACTGGAGCGCGAACGAGGAGGACGGCGATTCCCCGAGTGAGGAGGAGGACGAAGAAGGCTCGGACATGGACGTTGATCTCGATCCCAAGTCCTCTGGATCGGGTGATGCTAAGGGTGATGATGAGTGATGCATGAGGGCGATGACGAGGGCGATATTGAGGGCAACAGCAACGAGGCGTGTCAGTGTGATATCAAAACGTTACGGTTTTATGCTCTATCTCTCATGCTTCTCAGACGCAAGTCAGGTGATCAAGTGTCTCGGATCACAGGATGGATCTGTTCAGCGATCAGTATTCCTGAGACTTCACGTCAGCTATCGGGCCGTACCCAGCAGGAGCTATACATATGCGTGCCCGCTCATAATACCCTCCCACCCCATTGAACCAGCCCCTCTGCCATATCCGCCAGCCCCTCCCCCAATCTCTTTACAGTCCCCTCCAGCGTTTCCTGTCTCCTCACCTCCAGGACCATATCCTTCCCGTTCCTTCCTCGTCCATACGGCATCGCCCATCTCCAGAGCTGACACCATGACGGCGTAAGCGTTACGCTAAGATGTGTATGCGGAAGAGGGAGAGTGGTCGTAGGTGCGTCAGGTGCGGTATGCCTGGGCTTGACGAGAGTAATGGGAATGTAAACCGGTAGGAGGTCTTCGATTCGGGCAACGGGCTGTATCGTCAGCTTGCGCTCGTGTTGATTCTGGCACTAGAGACACGTCGCGCTAGCTGAGACTCACCTGGAAGCGGGAGAAGATCTCCTGCGCTGCTCCACTTTCCTCACTGAGCGAGCTCTCGACCGACCGCAGTTCCTCGCCGACCCTAATGGCGATCCATCGATCAAAGACCGCCGTTTCTCGGGACCGACCAGCAAGTACCGACCCAGTCTTCCCGGTCGATGCCGGAGTTACTGGACCATCTTCTTTACTGTCAGACGCAGGAGTAATTGCAGAGTCAAAGTACGACGGGTGGGAGTCGTGGGGATACGCGTCGGAGGAGTAGCCCGGCTGGATTAGGTTGAGGTACGGCGGGTGATACGTCGTACGGAGGATTGATGTCGATACTAGTACCATCAGCAAGGTCTACAGACGTCACCTATAGGCCATAGTACTGTTCAGACGTTCCGCAGGAAGGCTCACCTAGCCAGAAACTCCGGCAGACTCCTCTGAGTGCGATAAATAGTCCCCATATCCGCCTCACCTTCTCCTCCTCCAGGTCCGTGATCCACCTATTTGGTGTAGCGCGTGGGTCCAGCGTGTAGCTGATGATCTTGAAGATAATCGGCAGAGGTAGAGCTGAAAGGTCCGAGGGCTTGATTAGAGGTTGCGATGGGGTATAAGGTGGGGGCGGGACTGGAATCAGCGGGAGGAGTTGGCGAGATTGGTTTCGAGGAGAACTCACGAGGCATTTCGGCCGAGAAAAGCGGACGCTTCGGGGGCCAATCAGTATAGTTAGCAATAGATATGCTCGGATGAAGATGAGATACAGTCAGTAGAGTCTGTGCATGAGGGACAACAAAGTATATCACCTGCTTCTGCTGCTGCTGCACCGCTTAAGCTTGGCTTCTTATAGGTGGACGGGCAGAGGATCAATCTCCGTGCGACGGTGACGTCATGATGGATGACCCCGGCTCGACCTTGCCGATCCTCGCCCATGGCCTGGACCATGCACCTCTCATCTATCCATCACCCACAGTACCACTCACAAACTCCTCTTCCATCAAAGCACAACCAAGCACAGCACAATGTTCACACGCATCACACCCACTCTCCGCGCGCTTCCCCTCCGTTCGGCCTCGCGCCCGATCTCCACCTCCCTCCCCCGATTTTCGGGCAACCACCCCCTCTCCCCCGGGCCTACCACCCCGCCCCAGAACCCCGCGACTACCCAAGGTCACGCGTCCGACAAGAAGGTCCAGAAGGACATCCAGAGCCAGGCTGTCCAGGAAGGCAAGAACCAGCATGCTCAGGGCGATAAGAGCGCAGCGGGCGAGGGCGAGTCTCAGCCGTTCGACGCGGCGAGGATGAGCGGGGGAGAGAGCAAGTCGGCAGAGGGGACTGGACCGTGGAAGGACCAAGTGGGCGGTCAGGCGGGTGGCAAGCAGGGAGGAGGAAGTATGGGGGAGAAGGTGGATGCGAGCGGGGAGAGTAACACTGCCAAGGTCACCAAGGCTTTGGGCTTGAAGGTGAGTCGGTGGTCCCCATCCATACACTGTATACGATGTGGTTTCCCCTCCCTCCTTGACTTCACTATTTTAGTCCGTCTCTTAGGTGCTCAGCTGACCTCCAGTCCTCCCGCAAATTCTCCACATCCGCCCGCGCCTTCCTCCCCGCCTCCCCCGGCGGATCAGGCAACACCATCCCCGGCGCGCGCGACACGCACGAGGACGCTTCCAAGCTCCACGGCGAGCAGAACGAGCACCTCAAGCACCAGTCTGGCGGCAAGGACCACGCCGACCGCAAGGGGAACGCAGCGGACGAGCCGCACCTCCCGAGCAAGTCCAAGTCGGCCAGCCCGTCGGGAACGAAGCGGTTCCACACTTCGGCGAGGGTCGGTGTGGAGGGCAAGAAGTATGCCGGGACGCAGGAGGGTGAGGCGAAGAAGGCGGGGTATGTAAGTTAGGTTTCCTTATTGTATGAACGAGAGAAGAAGTACATGTCGATTCAACCTGGAAGCGATGGAGACGATCGAGGCGCAGACGGACATAACGTCCCCCTGATATAACTCACTTGCTGTGGACACCATACTGACTCTCCAGAGCGTCCCCTCCGAGGCCCTCCCACAAGGCATCTCCTCCGCCTACGCGCCATCCGAGGCCGCGCCAACCGCGCCAGCAGGAATGAAGCCTAGCTCAGAGGTTGAATTCTCGAGCTCGGCTCAGGACCCGCCGAATGATGTGCTCAAGCAGAAGGTGCTTAGTGGGGATATGCCGACGAAGAACCCGCAGCCGAGTGGGGAAGTTGGGTGAGTTATGCCGAGGCGCAGTCTATCGAGAGAAAGGGGTTGAGCTGATGTGGATAGTAAGCAGGGATTGAAGGAGGGGTGGAAGAACCGCAAAGCATGAGAAACGAACAGAAGAACCGCAGCAGTGTGAGACGTATGTGTACCTTATGTGACTAATGAACCTGCCGGAAGAGAAGCAGTCGCCATTCCTGCATGACGCCGGACAGAGCACTAGCGCTGACTATGCTAATATGATGGAAACGGCACTTCAAGACGAGCAGGACCCTACATTTTGGATGCTCTCAGAGATACCTGCGCCGCGTGCCAAATGCTAACTCAATATCAGATCTGGCAATTCTCCTGGGCAGTGATCGCGAAACACGTTCCAGCTCAGTGTTCCTTTGGGCAACCCCAGCTCATTTACGCCTTTAGGCACAACGCCTGCAGGTGGCTGTACTGAAAGGATCCGGTGCGAGACGAGTGCGAGATTGAGTGATATATACTAGCGCCTGCCAGGACTCCCCTTCTGTGACACATCCACCTCATTCAACCAGGTCTCGTCCCTCTCCATCGATGCGCGCGTACGCGTCACTCACCATGTCGGACACATGCACAGAGCGGATCGTCGACAAGGCGTACGCGAACCTCGACATCCTCTGGGCTGACTCGACAGACCTGCCCGATTTGCCACTCGATCAGCGTCTTTTCATCATTGTCACCAGCCCAGATTCCACACCATCCGAGATCAAGACAGAGCTGACCGGGGACGGCAGCGTCGCCAGGGTCCAAAAGCTGGACGCCTACCTCTCCACCGTGATCGCCGACATTGTGACCAAATACCCCGAGTACCTCTTAGATTCAGACGCATTGGTTGAAAGATGCTTGAGCGATGGCATCGTTAAGGCCGGTGGTACGGACGCCTTTGGCGGGCTTGAGGTCAGGTGGTATCCGGAGGTCTGGTCTAAGATGGACATGGACACTGCTCGGCAGCACGCGGTGGAGTTGAGGGCCGCTGGATGGGTGGCAAAATCAACATACAACGGGTCCAGGAGCGAAAGCCGGATGCCCTTCTTTTCTGCCGCTCGAACCTTCCTTCAGCGAACCATCTTGTGCGGTTGGACCGTTGATCGCGCCTAGACCTGTCTTTCTCATGCATTTCTGTTTCTTTACCTCTCAGCTGGGCAGACTGCCTGTTCAGCTTGATTGCATTCGATCGGAAAGTCGATATGCCGGTCCAGCGTGCGAGGGAGCGATAGATGTCGCTGCTTTGTCGTTCCTCTTTCAACTAGACACGCAGATCAGCATTAGTCATTCCGGGCCGAAGGGGTAGGTCATGCAGCCCCCTCAACATAGTTGAGAATTGACATGTTTCGATCCCCGTAAGCGACGCGGAACTCAGAGCCCTTCCCGAGCAGACTTGGACAAGAATACCACTCAGTCCATGCTAATAATGCTGTTTGATAACACTCCATATATAGGCCATGTCTATCGCGAATGAAGGTCGAGCTTGAAGCTTCAAAGCAGTCCATCCAGACTTTGTCCAGACTCATCGCCCAGACCTGCCTCACCTGTACACTTCGCGTATGACGATAGCCGGGCTAGTAAGCGGTTTACCGGTGCTCCAGGCGGGAGTTGCCGGCGGAATGAGTCGGATCTCGATCAGCTCGAAATTGGCAGCATACAACCAGCTATAGACACTCTGCGTTATACATCTACCTATATCATACACACCTTGACACTACCTTGCATCGGCAGCTCCTCGAGCGAAAGACAGAACATCCAATCACCAGGAGAGATCTCAAAGGAATCAGCGCTCTACGTCCGCCACAAAGTCAAATACACCTCGCGGAAGGCTGGTCCAGGTCGTTCTGCAACCGCTTACACAGGGGTATTCTTGCCCAACAAACCTCTCGGATCTGCTGCCAACATTGCGGACCTTCATTTCGCCATTGGATCCTATACGGCAAATCACCTTACCCGCCAGCGGGCCCTGCCGGTCGCTCATCGTCTGCGTTAGATTGGACGCGCCATGTCCCGCTTCAAGATCTCCTCGGCCCTGTGGGACCGTATAAACCACTTCGCCTCCTTCCCACAGACAGGTGGTATGTCTCAATAGCCTTCCGAAGCGCCTATACAGCCGGAGCTAACGCCTCAGTCTCCCTCCAGCAAATGGTGCTCTTTGGCCAACATCCCTCACAAGGCACCCTCCTCAAAGCCTCCCAGTTCCTCTCCGAAGAGCTTCCTATACGGCTCAGTCATCGCGTGGTCGAGCTGGAGAGTCTGCCTGATGGACTGAGCAAGATGCCAAGCATAGAGAAGGTCAAGGAGTGGTATGCGCAGAGCTTCGAGGTCAGTCTTGAACAGATTTGCAGGCGAGGATGGGCACGGGGCAGAGCATTGGCGTGGACGAAGAGCCTTCCAGGTGGAACGGGGAAGATGGCACCCATTGCTGGTAGCAATTAGCTGACAGTCAGGAACTGATCACCTTCCCAAAACCCAAGCTGTCCAAAGAGGTGGAAGAGCTTCTCCGCGCCCGCGCACCAGAGTGAGTTTCGCTTACCGTTACTTTCTTGCTGGACGATGCATCCGCTGACGCCTGGTAGACATTTCCCACCTGCAACACCCAATCCCTCTCTCGATCCGCGGATGCACGAAGGACCGGCCGGCAGTGGACTGGCTTCGGACAGGGCCATATGGGCGGGTAGAGAAACGGTGATTGCGAACGGATCGGCCCCTAGGCTCAGGATACCGATTGAGCGGAGGTGAGCATTTAAGCCTTTCCCTTTGGACTCGCGTTCCAAGCTGATCTTCAGATACTTCTCACCACCTCCCGCCTCCACCCTCTATCCACCCGACGTCCACACCTACAACGAATCCTTCACCGGTCTCCTCCAAAACATTAAAAAGCGGCACGATCCCACCGTGACCAGCGTGGCGCAGGGTGTGCTTGAGTGGAAGCGGAAGAACAAGCAGGCGGGGCCGGTGGGGCAGAACATTCAAGAATGGCTGGATAGGTTTTATCTGAGTCGGATAGGGATCAGATTCTTGATTGGACAGCGTGAGTTATGATTCAGCTTTCCGTGTGGTTGAAGGGTAAGCCGCTGACGCCTCAGATGTCGCTCTGAATACGCTAGCGCCACATCCAGACTATGTGGGGATCATATGCACGAGAGCGGTAAGTCCAGCTGGCAGGCTCTGGGGCGGCCAAGCTGATCGTCCAGAACGTGCACGACATTTGCCACGAGGCCATCGAGAACGCCCGATTCGTCTGCGAGGACCATTATGCCCTATTCAAGGGCCCGCCTATTCAGCTCCTTTGCCCGAAAGATCTCACTTTCGCCTACGTACCCGGACACTTGTAAGCTTCATTGGACCCTGCCTCAGCAGAGCCATAAGCTGACCTTTCAGGTCACACATCCTCTTTGAGTTGCTCAAGAACTCCCTCCGAGCGGTAGTCGAGCGCTTTGGCGTCGACAATGAGGACTCGTTCCCGCCTATCAAGGTGGTAGTTGTCGAGGGGAGTGAGGATATCACAATCAAGATTAGTGATGAGGGAGGAGGGATTCCAAGATCGGCCATCCCGCTCATTTGGACGTGAGTCGTCTTGAAAGGCCTGGGTGTCACCAAGTCGAACTCAAGCTGACGTCCAGATATCTCTATACCACGATGAGTGATGAAGGGCTCGAAGCGAACATTGAGAGCTCGGACTTCAAGGCACCGATGGCTGGATTCGGGTATGGGTTACCACTGTCGAGGCTTGTGGGTTCCTGATGCAATGATTGGGGTCAGATGAGCCAGTATGAGCTGACATTAGTAGTATGCTCGATTCTTCGGCGGAGATCTGCGGTTGATATCGATGGATGGTTATGGGACAGGTATGTGCACTGCTCGCTATCGCCGTAACTCGGTCAGACAAAGGCTTATGCGGCAGATGTGTATATTTCGCTGAATAAGCTGTCTTCGAGGTGAGTTCTCCCTTCCCCGGTTTGAATCAAGTTACTCATGATACAGTCGGGAACCACTGCAATGAAAGCTGGAATGCTGTGGTGGAAGTGCCGCCTCCAGTCTTGGCGCGGACGTTTGTATCTGCCGTACTAAGGCTTGTACTGATGTATCCGCATGAGCTTCCGTTCGCTTGGTGCAGTCTGGGCCGGAAGCGACCAATGGTTTCATTAATCCACACTGAATAATCGGCACATGCTGAAACCATTCATACCCGGTCTGCGATCTCACAACGCATCAACCCTGACTCCACGCTTCAACGTCGTCATCCCGTCACCGACGTATCTCGTATCGTTACCATCATATCGCACTCCAAAGCCTTCCGCTGACTCCGGTTCCGGCCTGAACCACGTCAAGATGAGACTCTGTTGCGCGTCCCTGACCACGTGCTGATGACCGACCCGTTCTCTTCGATGACCTCTCTAGTCTTAAGGAAGCCCATCTTCTCGAAGAGCTCTGCAGCACCCTCCGCTTTGCTCGACACACCTTCAACGTCAAGGGTGTCACCAGTGTCCCCCATGTGAACAGCGCCCAGGACCTCCTCACCGAGGAAGAGCCCAATGTATTGCCGCCTGGCGCTCTCTGAGACAAAAAACGAGTTGAGCATGCACGCGGTGGATCCTGGCTTGTCAATCTGACTTCGAGGTGCAATCGTGTAGGTGACGAAGCCGATTGGCGCGCGGCTTGTACCCGTCTTCGCGACGAATCCCCGCAGGTTTCTGGCTTGGATTCTGCTCGCGATAGCGGTCTTCTCAATGGACTTGCGCCTGCTCATGGAGGCCAAAGTCTCCTCGGCTCGTGTTTCATGGGTCTCAGCATGCTGAGGAGCCACTCCGGGGAAGAGTACCGTGTCTGTCGCGATGGTGTCGATTATCCACTGGACATCGTCTTCGTTTGTCAGCGGGTAAAAGTACACCTTGGAGCCATCGGCAAGGGTAGGCGAGAAGTCGATCGAGGGCAGTGAATGTGACATAGAGTAGTGCTCGGATCGGCAGGAGTTCGGTCACTCGGAAAGCTTGAAGGCGACCGGGATGATGTGTGATGGATGAGTAGAATGGGCTTCATCGAGCTTTATGTGTAGGGCGAAGCGGGGTCTCACCGTGCTGCGCGCTGAAGCAGAGGAGAATGGTGTCAAAGGGAAGTGCTCAGACTGGACTGCATGGCTCGGCTTTACTCGGCATATGCAGCCACTTCATGAGGGTACTGATTTCGTGCTACAATAAGCAATTGGTCTGCACCGATCATGTCCAGCTGCGTACAACGCGTTAACTGCCTCTATCATCCAGTTCGATGCGTGCACCTGACCCTGGTCAACTGTCAACCGTCCATCGTCAGTCGCCAATCGTCAATCTCGGCTCCTACAGTCTTTCAGAACGTCCGAGACCACTGCGTCGCCATCGCCGCACCCGTATACAGACTCGTACCTGTCACGACGAAGCCCAGCCGCTCCAGCCACTTCGCACTTCCCCGCGTATGGTCGGTCCTGCCGATGACATGAAGATTGAGCCGGCCTTCCGGGATCGATTGCCTGGCATGATTGAGCACCTGATTTATCAAGGCGGTTCCGATCCCCTGACCGAATGCGGATATGGGGACAGCCACAGAGTTGACCGTACATGCGGTCACATCTGCTGCAGTCTTGTGAGTTCTGTAAGTCAGCGAGCCGAGAACTTCGGTGCCGACTGCTTCTCTCGCCACGATGGCGTGGATGTTCTTGGACTCGCAAGCGGCCTGGACAGTCCCGCCTTCAAGACACGCGTACAGATCGGGGAAGATCTCGGAGTGAGGGTACACCTCGTTGCTGATCCAGTCAAAGTCTTCGCCTGTCGCGGTCTTGAAGTTGACTGTGATTCCGTTCGGTAGGACAGTAGTGAGCACGGTAGGGGTGATCTCGGTCATAGTGAACTGACTGGAAGCGGTTCCTTTGAGCGATACGGGTAACGGTGAGGTGTATGAGGGCCTCTCGCATCCAAAACCGTCTCAGCTATATAACAAGACCGTGAGTGCTCCCCTCGTGAAAGGGAGGTCAGCGACGAGAAGAAGGCAGCAATGACGACACCCCGAAGGCCTATGGTGTGACGACGGGAGGCTCACGTCATGACCGAGTAGTAATGGAACGAAGGGGGCGCCATCGAGCCCTGCAAGGCGTATCTCGAGAGGAAGACCCGAGTGTCCCTGGGCTGTGGCGACCCCGAATCTTGCTCGACTGGGCGTTTCTCGCCGTGCTGACCTTACTCAAAAGCTCGTAGTGCCGCCGAAGTTTGCTATTGCCCCCGACCAGAAATCTTGATATATCGTGGTGACCCAATCAGCACGGTATCTGTAGCTCTCGTTGAAGAGGGGAGTCCTCCACGGATCCACGTCCATGGTGCACCACAAAGCGGCAACGTCCGCTACGAGGAATGAGGAGTTGCAAATCTGGTCGACCAAAGCAGCACAGGAGTCAGCGGGGGAGACGACCACTGGACCGTACCTCACTTGTGTCCACTAGGTAGAATAGTGGGCACTGGTGACTGGAACGCAAACACCATACATGCCCGATCGCTGCACCAGCGCCTCAACGGACAGTCACCTCATACGAGAAGATCCGTTTACTGTCTCTGCCACCCGCTGACCATCACCCCATCAACTCCCTTCCTCGGCGGCAACACTTCCTCAAGCCCACAGTCGAACAAAACACCCCTGCTCAGCATATCGCCCTCCATGCTCATCCCCCACAGACTCGCAGTCACTACCGGTCCCTGCTCAGAGCGTCGGACGATGTCGTTCACCAGTCTGACACCGAGCTGCCGGCTCTGGGCCGCGTTCGCGCCCGGAACGAAGATCGAGTTGATGATGCGCCTGAGCACACCCTGCGTCTCTTGTGCGATCGTCACCGTCACCGAGCCGACGATGGTACCCGCTGGGTTGGTGGCGATCAGCGCGAAGAATCGACCGTTTCGCGCGTGGATCTTGGTTGTGGCAGAGAGGGTGTGGATGTCCCCGTTGGACTCAGTGAGGCAGGTCTTGAGGTCTGGGTAGCGGGAGGCATCGGTACTGGAGAGGACGTTGGAGCTGATCCAGTCAAGAGCCGGGCCAGTGGCGACGCTGATTGTGGGCTGTACGATGGATGTGGGAGCTGATGATGGGGCAGTGTTGATGGAGATGGACATGTTGAAGATGATTGAGATCTTCTGGCGACACGATGAGCGGCGAGCGGGTCGCAGAATTGTCTGGTGAGTGTATGTGGAAAGTAGCTAGTGCGTCCTGATTGAACACCAGCTTATATGCCGCTCGTCGCCTCACTAGTCTCGTGACGACATGCAGCATCCGGCCCTCCAGAAGGCCATCGACACACGTTCGTGCTAGCATTACTAGTCAGGTCTAGGACAACACGCCGCACTCCTTTCGCCCATAAGTATGCGACCTGTCCTGTATAGTGGCGCAGAAACTCCGGTCAACCTTCGTATGACTCATCAGCGCGCGATGGACCTTCCATCGAAGGCCAGCAATGTCCACCATTCAGGCACGTTGTCGTAAAAGAATACATAGAGGGGTATACAGACTCGCAAAGATACACACAGAAAGTTGTCGATTGAGGTGGGGTATATACAATGATGGTGTTTAGAAAGGTACAAACTGGGAAGGAGACAGAAGCAATATACACAACACAATCCCTGAAGCAAGAACCTCGCAAACCCCCCTTATCCCTAACTTCGCCAGCCGCATGATATCCCCTTCACTTTCTTCTCTGCGTCCCTTGAACCTCTCGACGTCCGGGCCGGTGGTGCCTCCGCCTACTCCGCCAGCTGCATGAGACCCGCAATGGTCCCCACACTCCCCAGCGCCGCGCCGAGGACAATCAGCCCCAGCGCCGAGCCGACCGCCTTGAACCGCTTCGCCGCCGGAAGAGGAGAGACCGGCTTGGCCACGACGGCGTTGTACTTGGGCGGCGAGTCGGACCCAACCGCGGTCGTACTACTGCCGCTAGGCGACATGTTGAGGATAGTGATAGGCTCGTCCAGACCTGCCTGGTCGAAAGACCGCTTGAGAGGTCGGAGGCGGTACTTGGGGGTGACGGGTCCATCGGACGAGTCGCTAGCGCTTCCAGAGGCAACGACGTGGCTGCGCTCAATCTCAGGGATGGGAGCCGGTGGAGGGACCGAGGAGGGGCCGGTGCCGGAAGTGTTGGAGGGACCGGCGACACCGGTGATGAAGCGCGAGATGGACGTCATGTTCTGCCATCGGGCCTGGCGGTCGTTGATGGTCATTCGTTCTACTTGATCAGCTTCTGTTCTCCACTAAGAGACATCGACGAAATGGAACTCACTGATGACAGCCCGGTCCACCGCTGGCTTCTCGCTCTGATCCTTCCGCTTCCTGTCCCTCCTCTTCTTGTGCTTGTTCTGATTCTTGAGCGAGCCTTGCCCGGGGGCCTTCTCCTTGCCCTTGCCTTTGTCATTACTGAGGTATTCGCGCGAGACTTCGTCCGCGTCGGCCTCTGCGTCGATCTCAGCGACGGCGTTGGCGATGTAGGCCATCTCTGCGTTGTCGGATGAAGGCTGAGAGGTGACAGAGGCGGGACCGAGCGAGCCGGCAGCTCCGGCGGTCTGTCCCAGAGTGAGGCCGAGGGAAGAAGGCTCGACCGACGCGGGGACGACGGGCTTCTCGGCGATGCTGCTGGATACCATACTGGCTGGCTGAACTTCTTGATCGACAGCGGGAACATCGCTAGATCTATGAGAGTCAGCTTCATCCATCTCGAACACGGCAAAAGAAGAACTTACGCATCAGCGGCTTCCTGCTCGTCTCGTACATCCCCGTCTTCCTCGTCTTCTTCCGCCTCCGAAGCATACTGCACGATCGGCATAGCTGGAGCCCTCTCATGGGCTGGCCATTGCTCCTTCTCCTCCTCGGCCGGTCCATCCTCCTGCATAGCCCACCGCTCCGCAAGGACTGACTGGGCGATGCTAAGTGTCCGGCTTCGCTCTTCCACTGCGGTGTCTGGCTCGGGCACCGGCTGAGCCTCGAGGTCGCCGTCGCGCTCGACATGTTCGATGGGCGTGATGCCGGCCTCGACAGGGGCTACCGCCTCGTCCTCGTCGGCCTCGACATGACCGTCCTCCCCCACCTCACCCTCTTCCAGCTCCTCCACCTCCACTTCCGCCTCCTGGTCCAGCTCAACGCCCTGATCCTGGAAGCCCTCATCATCATCCTTCTCATCCTCATAGTACACCTCCTCCCCAACCTCTCCCATCCCATCATCCTCCTCGACATCCTCATCTTCTCCATCGAGGAACTCGTCGTCGATCCAGTTCGAAGCAGGCTGGTCTTGGTTTCCCTCTCCCCCCTCACTCTCCTCCTCGTCCTCCTCATTGTCTTCCTGCTCCTGCTGGACGTGAGCCGCCTGCTCGGCCTCCTCGCCCATGTCGATCTCTTCCGAGGACGGGACGGGGATATAGTGTCGCCTGGGCGAGCTGTCCGGGAAGCTCGACTCGCGGAGGATATCCCGGGTGTTCGTCCACGCGGTCATGGCGGCCCGACAAAGTCGGCGAGCCTTGAGGGATTCGAGGGTCGCGCGGCGGAGCTGGAGCTCAGTCATCTGATCGCAAGTCAGCTCTCAATCTCGTGCCCAAAGTAGAAGGTAGCTCACCTCATCCTTGAGGTACTCTCGTCGCTCATCTTCCTCCACGTGGACCGGAGCGTAATCGCTTGACTCGGGGAACCGCTCCTCCTGATAAGTCAGCCCAAATCCAAGCACTCGTGGATAGGCGGGGCTTACATGACTCACGGTCTCGGTAGAAGCACGAGCATCCCGCTGCTTACCCTGCATCCGCCCAATCCCGCCCTCAACATCCGCGGCCTCGTCCTCGGCCCACACAAGGTCGGAAGTGAATTTCCCCTTCTTCTGCTCCACCTTCTCCTCCGCCTCTTCTCCACCTCGAATGTAGTCCCGCCAGTGCCCAGGAAACGCGTACATCTTGGGCGACTCGACAGGGCTAGCTGGCTGATAGGCCGGCGAAGACGGCTGGACCCGGACTTCAGGCTCAGGCGAGCCGGAGGGAGAAGAGTTGATCTCCCTGGGGTCGATCTCGCCGTGCTCGAGGGGCTCAAGGTCTGGATCGTCGGCGTCTTCGTCCTCGTTCTGAACCTGGACTTCCGGGGCGATCCAGCGGTCCGGCACGTAATCGACTCCCCCGTCCGAGTGCGTGCCTTCCGACTCGGCGTACGAATACCAAACTCGGTGATAGGCGTCCTGCCTGCCGGCTTCGGGCTCGAGCTCCGCCAGCAGGTCGTGCGGGTCCGAGGAGGCGAAGGGGTCGACGGGAGCGGCGGGTGGAGAGGGCGGGTAGTAATCCTCCTCGTGGCGCTCGTCCTCAATCCATGCCCCCTCGGGGAGGACGACCGCCTCCTCCTTGTCCTCCTCGTGATCCGCCGCCTCATCGGCATCCTCGTCCTCCGACCCGGGATAGTAGCCGAGCTCCATCCCGGAAGGACGCTCGTTCGAGCCGTCGTCCGACCCGTGGACTGAAGTGGCGAGCTCGTCCTCCTCGTCCGGATACACCCGAGCGTTTTCTACCGCGCCCTCGTCTTCTTCCTCCTCGCCGTACAGCTGGTCCAGCGGCGAAGCCTCCCTTCGAGCCGCCGCCACCCTCTGTGCCACCACCTCATCCTGGAATGCCTGCCAGTCCTCCCGACCCGCATCCGAATCGGAGGGGATGAGCATGATGTCGTTAGGCGGAATGCGGCCCTTGTGGAGAGGAGGAATGCCAGGCGAGGCGGACGATGAGCGAGGGAGGGGCTCATCGTCATCATCCGTCTGGTATAGGATGGACGTGGGGACGCCGTATTTCCCGCTGGAGGAAGGCTGGGGTCGAGCAGGGGAATCGCCATCGGAGGACACCGAGACCGCGCGCACGGGGCGACTGGGGCGGGTAGGGCGCGACATGGGTACGTTAAGAAGGGAGTCGTCGTCCGAATCGTCGATTTCGATGGGTCGCTCCTGCCTTCGGACGGGGTAGACTTCCGGCATGTCATCGTCATCATCCCCGTCCGAAATCTCGATGAGTTCGCCCGCTGACACTCTGAGACGAGCTGCCAACATATCCGCCGCCGTACACGTCTTGATTATCTGCAGGACCTGGTCCAAATCCTGACCGCGAACCATGTCCGCCTTGATCCGGTACGCCGGCAGCGCTATGGCCTGGCCTGAGGCGCTAGGCTGACCGAAAGAGGGGTACCGGAACCGGACGGTGAGGCTTAGCGGCTCATGCTGCTCGTCCCCGGTAGCGACGTGCTTGCCAAAGGTGATGACGTCGCAGTCGAAAAGGCGGACGGGAACTTGGGGCTTGAGGGTGATGAACAGGGGACCAGTGGGTGTTGTGGTCCTGAGCCGAGCGGCGGGGGAGGTGAAGAATGGGCCCGAGCTGACGGTGGTACCGTGGGACGAGCCGAGGTCGGTGATGTAGAGATGACCCTGGACGGTGACATTTAACGCGCAGTGGACCTTGGAAACGACGGCGTTATTGAGTCGCTGGAAATCAGCGGTAACTTTGACTCCTGTAGCAGGAAAGATGGCTTACGTTGACTGGCTTATCGTCCTTCCCGCGACCGAGGACCAACCCGTAGTCCACAAACAACTCGGGCCGATCATCCCCCTCGATGTAGTCGGCATACTTGGAGGAGGGCTGACGAATCCTTTCGAGGTGCTCGAGGACGGCCGGATCGATGGGCCCCATCAAGTTCGAAAGGGTGACGAGTTTCACTTTCCGGTCTTGGGTGAGGGGGAGATAGCGGGATTGGGCAGGGACAGGGTAGTCGAGGGAGATATACCAGTCTGAGGGGTCAGTCATGGTTCGTAATGAACTGTAGGGGATATGAGGATAAGAGAAGCAAAGGAAGAGGAATGTAGGCAGAGGGAAAGAAAGAGAAACGGCAAACAACGGGGCTATGCGCGCCACCCCAGGCAGTACACACCGCGGAAGTGAAGGTGGATAGGAGAACTTGAGCAGTGAAAGAGGGCGATAATGCGATAGAGAGGGATGGAAGATGAGATGTGAACATACCATCATCAAGAGGGTCGGGCATGATGGGCAAAGGAAGCTGCCTGAGCCTCCTTATCAGGCTCGCTGAAGGCGACGGCGGAGTGGCGATACTTCCGCTATGGGTGTTGTCCAGCTCTTCTATCTGATGCGCAACTACAGTACTTGGTACAGTATATAAGGACTACTGGCAGAGTTTGTAGTATGAGGTATGAGATGTATAGATGATGGAGAAAGAGAGAGAGAAAGGAAGGTGTGAATGGGCAGGAAAGGAGGCTGGGTCCGAGTGGACATCCTAACCGGACTTCCCCGCGACCGAAGCTGCGGGGTCTCCAGACAGAGGAATGTGTGGCAGGTGGCAGTGTGGCACCAATTGACGTTCATCGTATGGCGAGAAGAATAGACATGAACATGTTACAAGATGAAATACTCTCAGCCTGGATCAGATGATCAATCGCCGACTCAACCGCTCTTCCCACCACAAACTCGCCCTGAAACTTGCCGCTCGCATCCCCTTGCCCGCGTCCCCGCACCTATAAATCCCCCTCATTCCCATCCCGTCCTCCTCCCGGGAACTCAAACTCTGTGAATGCCGCCGCATACTGATCATTCTCCGGCTCATAGTGCTGCCCGAATATCCCGGGGAGCTCGTGAGGTCTTGGAGGGGGATATCGCTGGAAATTTTGGGAGTCGCCTGGGAGTCAGCATAGAAAAGAGCCGAGTAACCAGGCCTGGACTAACCGGTACTCGTGACCCTCGGTACGATCGGCGCGCCAATCTCTTTCCGCTCCAAACTCCCCCAATCCACACCCGCAAACCACGCATGCCCCATCACGTCCTTCGCCCCACCTCTCAGATTTCCCAACCGCTTACTCCTATCCGCCGTCAACAGCCCCCTGATCAAATCCTTCGCATACGGATCAATATGGCTCGGGAAGGCAATCTCATTCCGGAGAATCTTCTCGTATATCCCCAGGGTATGATCATCAAAGAATGGCGGGTACCCCGCTAGCATCTCGAATGCCAAGATACCGAGCGCCCACCAGTCCACGGCTTTTCCGTGCCCCTGCGACTGGATGATTTCCGGTGCGAGGTACTCGGGCGTACCGCACAGAGTGTACGTCCGGTCCTCGATGAGTTTGGCGAACCCGAAATCCGCGATCCGGAGGTACCCCTGCCGATCTAGGAGGAGATTCTCGGGTTTGAGGTCCCGGTAGATGATATTGCTGCCGTGCAGGTACTCGATGGCTAGGACGATACTGGCAAGGTAGAACCGAGTGACGTCCGCCGAGAACCGGCCGGCTCGACGGAGGTGCGAGAAGAGCTCTCCGCCGGGAATGTAGGAGAGGAGCATATATACGTTCAGGGAGTCCTGATATGTCGCGTATAGCTCCACGACGAACGGATGACGGACGCGATCGAGGATGGCGCGTTCCGAGTTGATATGCTCCACTTGCTTAAGGCGGACGATTTCGGACTTTTTCAGCACCTTCATGGCGAAGTGGGGGAGCTGACCGTCTGCCGCTTGTGTGGAGGAGGGGGATGGGGAGAGGGGGTCAAGGGATTGAAAGAGGTGTGGGAAGATGGGGTGGTAGGATGTCGGCCGGTAGTTTGGGCGTTGACGGACGAGGAGGACGCGTCCGAATGTCCCTGTGCCTAGAGTTTCGACAATCTCCCAGTCCTCCAGACGCGCTTTCCCGCCCGACTGGTGTGCCTGAGCCGAGCCGCCGCCTGTACCGAAGGTATAACCCCCAGATTGTGGGGGAGGGACGTGCTGATGAGACTGTTGTCGACGTGCCCATTCCCGAGCAGCAGTGACGGACGATGGCTCGGTCGGCTGGCCAGAGGATGACGAGACCGACATGGCGTCCCATGATGCCGGTGGGGTAGAGACAATGGATGGAGGAGGGGAGAGGGGGAGATTTTGGCTGATTGTCACAGGAGGAGGTGGAGGTGGCATATAATGATGTTGTTGCGCTATCCATCAGCCAACATCCCCACCGGTCTCGATGAAAAACTCACTCTCAGACCGCTGTCTTCCGCTCTGATCGCCCATACTGCTCGTCTGCCGCGTACTCTTCCCCACCGCCGGGCCAGTATTCGTATTCCGCACACTTGCCTCCCACGCCTGATGTCCCGAGCCCGAGTAGAATCCAGCGCCCTCCCCTTCCCCACCCTGCTGCTGCCTGTGCTGCTGTTGCTCCTGAGCGCGCTGCTGCTGCTTCTGCTGCTCCCTCAATGCCCGCTGCTGCTCTTTTTGCTGCTGCTGATACGCCTCGCGCTCGTGTGGGAGGAGCAAAGACATGGGGTCGAGCTTGAATTTGCTGGTGGATGGTTTCGGGGTGGATGAGGCGGAGGTTGAAGAGGAGGCAGAGGAAGGAACGAGGTGATCGATGTCCATTTTGGCTGGAGGATGGGTGAGAGAAGGAGGGCGAAGATGATAATCGTTGTTGTTGCAAGGGGAGAGGGGTGTTGAGGAAGGGGAACCAAGGGGTATTAAGCGCAGGAGGGGTACCTCGACGATCGACGACCGTAACCGCAGTGACCGAGCTCACGGGCTGTCCTTTGGCCTCACCGTGGTTGTGTCCGAGCGAGCGAGCGAGCGAGTGTGGAGCTCGTGCAAGCTAGGAGCTGCGAGGGGATGTTGTCGAGTCGTCAACGTTCCCCGCGCGCAATCTATGCGTGAAGGGAGAGATGCGCCAAGGGGTTCGATGAATAGAGCGAGAGGGGGAGCGGGGCGAAACCGACGGAGGGAGGTTGATACAGGGCTGTCAAAGGGGGAGGAAGGGGAGGGAGTATAAGGGTGCGTGCGGTATGTTTCACCTTGGCCCCCTTCCTTTGATTGATCGCTGCTTGGGTGATCTGTGATCGCCAGTGCCGCCGCTCTGGGTATGGACTGTGGACGCGGCTCCTCCCCGAGATGAAGCCAGAAGTGTCGATCTATCGAGATCTATTGCGCTAACCCCGCTAACCTCTGGTCTAGTGCAGCTGGTGTCGATCGTAGAGTAATAATAATCGCAAAGACAGTAAAGTCAAAAGCGGTGGCCGAGTAATGACGGGAAGGTGACGAGATGGGGCCCTCTGAAGGCTCTTGATATGGCTCTCGGCTCTCGTCTGGCCTTCTTGGGTGCAGAGACAGCTTGTGAGGATGGTGGGTGAATGGCAGAGCTAGCTGAATGTGAATGAGCTGTTTCTATGCATACTTGCTGCTGTTCCTGCTGGCTGTTGTTGTTCTTTGTGCTTCCGAGCGCAGCGGCCGAGAGAAGAATCTGAGATCGAGGCAGAAATTACCCAATCCGGTGAGTGCCTGAACCGGCCCCACACGTGTACGGCATCCCTGCTGATGTGGCACCTGGTTACCTGCCTCCGAGGAGTCGCGCTCTCTTCGCCGCCGTACATCGTTGAATGGCCTTATGCAACAGACATCGGTCGCCGTCGCCCAAAGTTCGTATATAGGTGAATGGCGCAAAAGTGATAAGCTCGTGCACCGACCTGCCGGAACGCTATAAGAAGAATTTGCCTGGTCATGGCCGTGCTTGTGGCCGTGTCGCCGGCCAGCACTGACGACTGTCTGTGTACCGGCGGCGGTCAAAGCTCTGTCAAGTGCTCCCGGAACGACACTGGAGCACCGAAAGGACTACTCACGCCTCTCTGACGTGCTGAGCCCTTATTGAGCACCCTGACTTTACAAACAGGCCAGAAACTTGAAAAGGCAGATAGCTAGATGACAGAGCAGAAATACATTCATCGCGGCTCATCTACTGTATACGGTGTCCTTGAATTTTTATTACTACAATACTTTAAACTCTGCGCAACTTCTATATCCCCGCTTCAATTCCAACCTAGAGAGACTGGGTAGTGCAGGAGCTGGGGGCGATACCTGATACGATCAGCTCGATCTCCGGATCTCCCAGTAGACAAGTAATACTACTCACCGTACTGCGCACACGTGCCGAGGACGGCCGACTGATAGTCCGTCTGACTCTGACTCCCGTCCACGATGGCGTTGAAAAGGTAGCATGTCCTGGGAGGGCGCTGAGTCGCACCGGCCAGGTCGAACTGGTTGCAGTCCCTGGTCCGGTCGCAGGCGGCGCCGCACTGAGCCAGAGTCTGGTTGGCAATGCTACCAAGAGCGACCTGAACTGTCAGCGTACTCCTGAGACCGAAATCTGAAAAGGTAGACATACGATGTTGATGCCGAGACCTGTGTACACCCTGCCAGTGAGGACGGCGTAACTGCGACGAGCGACAGTCTGCCGCTCCGTCAAGCCCCGCTCCATCTCCAGCTTTGCCCTGCGCTCCGCCCGGCGGGCCTTGCGCGCCTCGCTCCGAGAGAGGATCTCCGTCCGAGATGTTTGACGGAGCGGGGCCGGCTGAGCGTCCCAAACCTCCGCCTTGAGGTCCGCCTTGGCCGCCTCGGCGTCGTCCAGCGTCTCGGAGTTGAGTTGGCGCTTGGACCAGGGGAGGACCTCGACGTTCCGACGGGAGTTGGGGGTGCCGGCGAACATAGCCGCCACCGAGTCGGCGACGGCGGCGTCGGAGCCGCTGGGGGATGACGCGGAAGAAGAGGAGGAAGGGGTGGCGTCGTACGGGCTCGTGCCGTCAGAGGGGACAGCAGCTCGAGTGGGGTAGATGGAGGAAAGGAGGAGGAAGGTAGCGAGGAGGGTGGGGCGCATCATCTTGACGACTCTTGGTTGTTTTTGTTGGGTAGTTGTTGTGGGGGAGGTGAAGTGGCTTGTCAGTGAAAGAGATGCGAGAGGTTGGAGAAGTGTGAGATGTCGACTCCCAAGCCTCCTCGGCCCCCCTTATATCCTCTCTGCTGTCCATCGCTCTCCACATCCACCTATCGTCAGCTGAGACCTATCGCATCACCGCCCACAGCGCTTGGCGACGCTAGCACCACCAATATCCTCTGAAGCCGAGTCAGCAACGCCCTCGACAGGTGGGACACCGCCCTGCGGGAGACCTAAGTCAACCACCGCGTCCTAGGTGAACAGATGGATGAGACGACTCAACATGCTTACCAGGGATGGCAATAGCGACTGAGCGTAGGCTCGATGTTTCTCCATCCCTGGCGAGGGATGAGTAGCGGGATGTGCCGCGTCCCGCAGGAGCGGGCAGAAGCCTGGTTTTGGAGTCGGATATCAGGTCGTTGATGCGAAGGGGAGCAGCAAGGTGCGTAAACACGCGTGTCTCACCTCATTCATCAGCTGAAACATGCGCCGGTCCCGTCTCTTCTGGACCAGCTGTTCCAGGCGCAACGTCCCTGAGGTGAGACATCCGAGACATCAGGTCATCAGCTTATCAGGGCCTTCAGAAAATTCTAGCGCCGGGACCTGTGCTCCAGCCAGTCGAGGTGGAGGTGGAGGTGCGAGATCGTGCCGCCGGCGACAGAGGTGTTTCAGGTAAGAGTAAACACGTCATCCTTAATCCGATCATCCGGCCGAGCAGCTAAGGGTCAGTCAGTTTCGGTGATGCATGCACAATCCTAGCACTTGACAAGTTGACAGCAGGACTGGGCGCGCGATGCGGTGCTGAGCATGACGGATCGATCGAAGGTCCTTCAAGTGACGAGGATCCCCTCTGTGTTCGTACTCTGATCGACTGCATCGACGCGCACCAGAACGCAGCGAATCGCAAAAGAGGACAGACGTACAGCACACCTGCCGTACGCCAGCGCTAGCATGTACAGATGCTGCATCTCATTAGATTGCTCAGTCCACTGGATCTTCGTCTCCATTCCCATCCGCCGCGCCTCTTTCCCCGGTCCTCCTACCCGCCCGCCGAGCTTGAGGTTTGAGATCTCGCAATCGTTTCTTGTAGTAGTAAGACGGATGACCCGATTAGACGGTTAGGCGATCAGTCGATCAGTCGAGCATCTCGTGCTTGAGCTGGATCTTCATATCGACCTGCACCATCCGATGCCATCGGGAAGTATCAGCTCAACTTGTTCCTTCATCCTGATTGAACCAAGCGGATGATAGAATCGTACTTGGCCGCCAGACTCGCGAGATTTTCACTTTGCGCTGTTCCGTTAGCTCCATCAAGTTGGGCCTGCGCTGCATTCTCCACTGGTCATACGAAAACTTACCCAGAATATCCACAACTTGTCTCGCTGCGCTTCTCTTCGTCACCCCGTCCACTTCTGACCTCCATTCGTTCGTCGCCGCACTTCTGCTCGATCAGCTATGTTCTTCACCACATAAGGTCAGAGAGGATCGAATAACATACATTCCCAGCGGCCCCATCAACTCTTTGATCATCTCTTCCGCCCGTCCCTCGAAGCCTTCTTTACCCACATATCGGGCGTATTCTTTCACCCAATGCACCCACTCTTCCCCGCTTCCCAGGGCTTCAGCGCCCTTGATACGCATCTCCAAATGACCGAGCGTCAAAGCTTCATCCCACCATTCCGGCCGTTCAGTGCGGGGAACACTGGCCAGCTGGGCTGCATCCCGAAGATTCTTCTCGATCCGCGCGAGAGGTCCACGTGGGCCTAGCGGGCCGGCTGAGCCGGAGATGGGTGAGCCGGTAACTTGGAAGGGGGTGATAAGGGGGATCCAGGACGTGGAGAAGGGGTCGAGCGCGTACGCGGCTGGCTCAGATGTCTGGATGACGACCGCGCCGGTAGGATGGACATCGAAGTGTATGATCTCGAAGGGAGTGGCGGTGGAGCTGTCGAGGAGGTGTCCGCATGATGTAGGCGTGCAGAGGGTCTTGCCAGTCTTGGCCGAATAGACGCGAACATTGCAGTCGTCCGTGAGAATCGCGACATGGTGGCCCGAAATGGAGATTTCGACGGGCATATGAGGTATCCGGAGGTTGAGAAGACTAAGAGATCAGCTTGATTCAGCTTGTAGACCAGATCAACCTACTGTCGTCCCGCTGAAGAGTATACCACAACCTGCCCGTTCTCACACCCTACCGCGGCACACCGCCCTCCTACCGCGAGCGCCACCGCCGGACTCGGCAGATAATCGACCCAAACATCCTCCTCGCCCACCGTATACGATAGCATATTCTTCTCTCCCGCCCGGCCCGCATTTCTCGCCTCCAACATCATAGCGCCGTCTGCAGCCGCGCCTCCTTTGCCCTCTCTGGGCTTTGCCCGCAGCGTCGCCTGGATGACCGGAGTTGGTAATCTCTGCTGGGTCCCGCCCGCACCTTCTGCCTGAGGTATCCTCGCCGCCCGGATCTCCCTGACATCCGCCTCCCGCCTGACCCCTCCGCCCATCATCCTCCCCTTGGGCGCGCGGTCATCATACAACGCATCGGCCCTCCTCTTGCCACCTGTCTTGCTGGGCGACACAGCTCGGCCTTGCCCAAACGCCGACCCTGCATCCCGGAACATCCGCGCCGTGGACGCCTGGGCCTGGGAGGGGCTCGCAAATTGTTCGATCGGTGCGTCAAACACGGAAGGCTCATTATCTTGCCCTTCGCCGTGGGACGGTCCGTTAAGTCTCGGTCGCGCCAGCGGGGCTCGGGATGGTCCGGCAAGGGCGTTGGACGTGACATTGGGGTCGGCGCTAGAAGAGGAATTGGGGAGATTGATGCGACGACGCTGATCCCCTGGCTTGGCCTTTCGCGCTTGAATGACGTTGACCACACCAGATGCAGCGGCGGAGGCGCCTCCGAAACCATTAGAGACAACCGAAGGAGGAGGGGCGATCCTCCGCTGCTGAGGGACATAATCGTACTCCGCGAGGATCAATTCCGTTTGTGCGGGCGTACCGAGGTCCGGGATCTCTTCGTCGTCGAAGGAAATGGCGCAGACCGTGCCGTCCTCGGAGCAGCCGTAGAGATGGTGACCGTCATTTGACCTAACGAGTCAGCTTGACTTGTACATGCTTCAGCGCAGGACATGACATGAGCTCACCAGCATAGATCGAGCAGGGAATGTTCGAACAGGTTGTTCAGAACGACCAGTGGCACATGCGCGGTATTCCTCCAGATGGAGATACTGAAGTCGTCCGCGCCCAACGCGAGCATGCACGAGGCGGTCCCTCGAGTCGCCGCTTGGCCTGGTGGGAAGAACAGCCTGGGATTGAAGGACTGATCCCGTCAGCACATTGCCCCACGACGCAAGAGGCAGATTGCTACTCACGGCAACCTGTATGGTGTTGGCGTGCCCGACAAACGAGATAGGGTGGGTCCATTCGTCCCTGAAAATGCATGTTGCGACGAAGACGGGCCCGTTCTTGGCGTTCGAAGCGGCGATGAAGGCGCCATCAGGCGACCAGCTGGCAAGTCAGCGCTGGACTTCGTACGAAAGGGTGATAGCATACCTCAGCCGTCGGAAGAAGGTAGCATGGCCGGAGCCGGCGAAGGGCTCAGCGACGCTCTGGACCAGCTCCCAAGTGTCGGTATTCCAGATCTTGACGGTCTTATCGTCGGACTTCTCGTCAGCTACCGCTAGCGCACTATCCATGACGTGAAGCTCACCTGGGTAGCGAGGAAGTTCCCGACCGGATCCCAGCAGACTCCCTTGACGAAGCCCTCGTGCTTGTCCAGCTTCTTGATCCGATCTGAAGCGTAAGCTGCGGTCACATGCGGCAAATCCGTCGTTTATACAACTCACCAAAAGTCCGCCCATCCCAGATCCACACGGTGCTGTCCAGACCGACTGAAGCAAGCATGGAGTCATCTCTTGACCACGCCATGTCGATGATATCTGAAAGTGAGCTTGACACCTGTTAATGAGCATGGTCTAGCTCACCAGCAACATGGGCGACAAGCCTTGTAAGCGGCTTCCACTTTTCGACGTTGACTTCGTCCGATCCCCAAAGCCTTCCTCCTCCGTCTCTGAGTTGAGTCAGCTTCTGTCAAGCAAGTTCACCATCAGTGAAGCTTGGCTTACGGGTCTAGTCCCCAGATCATCCCTACTTGATCATCAGACCCACTGGCCAGAAACCGACCATGATGCGCCCATCTCACAGCCAGAACAGAGCCTGGAGAGTCAGCGTGTCTATATACGATGCGGTACTGCTCGCGAAGACTGACCTGTATGCTCTGACATCGTGCAGAGGAGTTTGTGGTTCTCCTCAACCTTCTCCGCCTCCGGGTCCAGGATAGGCAAAGTCGACCAGATCTTGATCTTCCGGTCTGATTGATTCAGCTCGCAGCCCAAGCAAAGCCGGCGGATCATGTCCGCAGCTATACGAGATCAAACTCACCCATCCCTCCAGTAGCCAGCCGCGTTCCGTCCGGGTGGACCGACATGGAGTATACGGGACATTTCGCCTTCTTCTCCCCGCCTGACATGTGTCAGCTTCGGCATCTGCGTAGATCCAACGTGTAACACATAGCCCACCAGTATGCTCGACCCAGTTGGGCTTGATGACCCTCATTGTATGTCTGCTTGCTGCAGCTATGCGCTGTAAGCGGGAGGGGACAACCGCCGGATTGTTCGCTTGAGCGCGGACCTCCGCTTCCCGAGCCCAGTTGAGCTTCTACTCTGGAGCTGGTACTTTGAGTCAAAGGCACAGGGAACGAGATGTCCTATGGGCGAAGAAGGAAAGGCCTGCGTAGCGTAAGCAGGATAAAGTGCGAAGGCAGAAGAGCATCTGGCGCCTGGCTTCGGTCGACAGTCGCGCGCAGCGCGGGGTGTATATTGTATGCCGTAAGGCACGTGATCAAATCTACTTGTCAACAACACCTCAGCTCGAAAGCTCAACGCTGGTGTGCATCGTGCATCTTCTACCCTTCACCATATAACTACTCTCCTTCTAGTATGCCGCCCCGCAAATCACTGTCGCGCGCCTCGGCTCGAGCCGAATCATCTACAGCTGGATTCTCCAAATCCGCACAGCCACAGCCGCACGCCGGTCCAAGCCGCCCCTTGAAGCGTCTACCCCCGCTGTCCATGCCCGAAAGCGTCACGCCCGCATTCAAGCGACAACGTACGGAAGGAAGAGAGCTGGACGATGAAGAAAGGGGGATACTGATACATGAGGTCAGCTTGCATCGGGTCTTGCGGCTCAAAGAGCGACAAGAAAGGCGTTAGCTGATTGTGTAGTTGGTCGGATTCTATCCCCGGAAGTTGTGTGATCTAATCATGGAGGCCGCTCGGCAGAACGTGTACGATACGGTCGGGCTCATTGAGGCGTGGGGACAGAGTAAGACGGGAGGAATGGGGGACGAGTATAGGATGGAGCTGGATATAGTGAGTGAGAGTCATCATATCGCTCGGGAGAGGGAATGCAACGGTGGAGACAGGAGTGAAGGCGGACTGGACTTTGGGTGGCAGCTGACATCCTGTAGGGTCTGCACTCACTCGAAACACTACTCGAGCAACATGTCGACAAAGCCTTTGACAAGTTTACCGCTTGGGCGTTGCGGAACCCGTTCGACGCGCCTCCAGATCTTGAGCTCGTACTCGTAAGTCCCTTTTAGCAGGTCATATCCCATACCACTTGCTCGATACGTACTGACATATTCAGCCATGGCACAAAGACCTCGACTTTGAGCGCGGGCAACATATAGCCTCTCTCCCACAAGGCGAAGCCTCGATCCTGTCCGAGCTAGACGACCTCCGTCGTAAAGTTGAGCAGGTCAATGGCTTTCTTCTTCCTCCGCCCAAGCGCCTTTTTGGCGGCTGGTCGACGTGAGATGTGCACCTTGCTGACGCTCTCAGTCGCGCTATCTCTCTCAACAACTCGAACGCGCCGAAAAAGCCCTGGACCGTCGACTCGAAATAGCGTCGCAGCGAAAAGCAGAAGTGGGGTTCATATCGGATACTATAACAGCTGCAAAATGTACGTGCCCAATCACCTGTCAACGTCCATCTCCTTTACACTTTTCGCCTCCTCGAGGTTAACGGGAGACACGCGCTGATCTCCAGTACATCCCCTCGCACCCAAATCCGACTCTTACCGCACCTCCCTCCTCGCACTCAACTCACTCCTCGCACCGATGGAAGATCCGCACCCATCGCTTCCTCCCGCCACTGGCTCTGGTGCTAGCAATCTCAAGGCGTGGGAGTTGGGCCGTCAGGCGTACTTGTCATGGGCGGTAGGTAGGGCTGTGGGGCAACATCAGCTCGAAGTTGGGTCTTCGACCGGCGGAGGAGTGCCCGGTGCAGTCGGGGCGGCCGGGGCGGAGGAACTGGATGTTGTGGAAAGGGAAGCAGGGGAAGTCGGGGGTACTGAAGGAGTAGAGGGGCTGTTGAAGGCGATAGCGAGATGAGGTTTTGAGATCAGCTAGCTCGACTGGAGTTGGACCCATATCCGGATCCCATGTTTTCACAGACGGCCCGTGTCACACGCAGGTGCTTGTCCAGGCTTTCAAGCTTCCGACAAATTCATTTCCTTCTGATCGTTCTAATTAGGCAACAAACGCTATCTGTCATTTTGGATATCTCATGTCCTCCCTGCTCTCTCTCCCTCTTCACCTTTCCTCCCTTCCCGCCTGATAGAGATGGTCTCCGAGCCTTATGCTTCTACCCAATCAGCTCTGAGCCCGCCTCATTCAGCGCTCTATCACTTACCCCCATGCTTCATCTTCTCCCCAGCCTTCACTTTGGCATCATCATGGCTCATCTTCCCACTCAAAATCTTCACCTCTCCCTTCAACTTCTTCATGAACCCAACCTTCTTGCCGGGCGTTCCGGAGCCCGTGCTTCCCGTCCGACCGTGAGCTGGGCTCTGGCCCTGAGTCTCCATACTCTTCCGGGCGGGGGTAGTGGGTGTGGCAGCAGTGGAGGACTTGGTGGGTGTCGCGGTGGGAACCGCCTTGGCTGCCGAGGGCGAAGAAGCGGCTGCGGCTCCGACTACCGGCGTGCTCGACGTCTCCGTAGCGTGACCAGAAGTGGACGTGGCGCCGGTCTCGGCCGTCGAAGCGGGTGCGGTACTGCTAGCGACCGACTCGGACGCATAGCTCTCTTCCCTCCCGTGGGAGCCGTGCCCCGCAGCAGCAGCGGCGCCAACAGCAGCAGCACCTGCCGCTGCGGCAGGGTATGTGCCCGGCGTGCGGCTCGTACCTTCCTTATCCCTCGAGCTGGGGTGTCCAACACCATCCTCCTCCGCACCCGGAGAAAGGCTGGAGGTGTGGTTCGGTCCTGTGCCCCGGGTGGTGCTCTTCAGTCCCTCATCGCCATTGACCCCAACAATGGAGGACGCAGACTCGGGCTGAGCAGCGAGAGGCGAGACATCCGCCGAGTGATCCCGGTCACCGGCGGTGCCGTGCCGGATCGCAGTGACCGAGGCCAAGCTGGCCGTCCGGTCGTTGGGCTGCCGACCGGGCGCCACAGCGGGGAGGAGCGAGTCGGTAGGGCTGGACTGCGCAGCAGAGGCGGCAGAGCTAGGTGCGGTAGTAGCGGGAGCAGACGAGGTCTGGACGCCCGGGGTGGCTTCGAGGTTGGTCGCACCGTGAGCGGCACCGGTACCGAGGACCGTGGCGGGAAGGGCGGGTGCGAGACCGCCATACGAGCTGCCGGTGGTGCCAGCGGTCTTGCTGAGATCAGGCAGAGCGGAACGGGATGCGTCGGAAGCGTTGGCCGAGTGAGCGTTGATGTCGGAGGCGCCACCTTGCTTGGAATCACCAACAAGCGCGGCGACCATGGCGCCTGCACCAGCGCCGACGCCAGCTCCGGTGAGGGCGGCCTTACTCGAATCGTGTGAAGCAGATGGGGCGGCTGGATAATTAGCGCTTGGTCAAAAGATCCCTCGAGAAGGGTGGAAACCTACACTTCGAAGCCACAGACTCGTCGACGGGGATTCCCGCTGCGCTCAGCTTGCGGAGCAAGTTGTCCGCACCCGCAACCTCTCCCGGACGGGCTCCCTGGTTTTCTATGGAAGTGACAGAAGGACCGGAAACCGAAGCTAGTCATTAGCTATTGTCCTCATCGCTTGACGGCGGGAGACATACCTCGAGGTCCACCAGCAGCGATACCTGTTCCGAAAGCATAGCGACCGGCAGGAGCTATCTCATCAGCTTGATCCAACCTGAGAATGAACCTGCAAGCTTACCAGCAAAAGTGGTGTTCTCGGGCGAATCACCGGGAGCTTGGAAAGCATCGTGAATGAATCCCTTGACTTGGTTGATCACACCGCCCTCGGTGTTGGCACTGGAGTTGAGCGTCTGCTGCACATCCGTGCTCAGTCGCTTGGCCTGCTGCGTCACGCTGTCGATAATGGAGGGCCTCCGAGCGGCCGCCGAGTTTGGCTCGAGAGCCGCTCCTTGCGCCGACAAGTGAGGAACGCGCGGATCCTTCAGTCCTGAGGTGGTTCCGCCAGGAGCGGCGGCCGTTCCAGGCTGTGCGGGGTTCTCGAAGTCCGCGACGATGGCGTGCTGGATGTTTTGGACTGTTGTCGCCAGGCTCGCGGCCTGGGCCTTGACGGTGTCAATGAGGCCTGGAGGTCAGCACCAAGTCAAATGTTGACTTCGGGAGAAGTAGTAGCTTACCAGCGGCAGAGCCTCGGCGAGCGCTGATGGTACTGCTCGGCTGGGCTGAGAATCCCTGGGGCTCCCCAACAACCACAGGGACCGCGACCACGACCGGGACGGCCTTGACAGGGGACGAGCTTGGCTCAGCCAGAGCGCCCTGGACCGAAAGAGGCGGTACGCGCGGGTCCTTGAGGCCGGAGGTGGAGGGCGCGGTTGTAGCGGTCCCGGCAGCACGGTTCGCCTCAACAGGGCCAGGCGAGTTGAAGTCTTCGACGATAGCGTGCTGGATAGACTGAACTGTAGTCGCCAGATTGGCGGCCTGGGCTTTGACGTTGTCGAAAAGAGCTACCAATCAGCTCAGTCTTTGAAGGTAGCAATTGATCTCGCTCACCAGCAGCAGAACCACGACGGGGCTTGATAGCGCTCCCCTCGACGCCCTTGCCCTTTGGCTCAGCAAAGAGATCCTTGACGGCTACGGGGACAGCTTCATAGGCCTTTTGTCCGAGACGCGTGACATTCTTTTCAATGTCCTGCCAATCAGCTCGGCTCCGTATTCAAAAGGGAATGCTTACCTCGACGATGGAGCCCTTCAGGGGGTTGGGCGAAGCGGGCACACCTAGTCCTCCACCAACGAGCTGAGCAGCCGCCTGCTGCCTGCCTGAAAGATCATGGACATCTCCGCTCCCACCTTCCAGCAACCCTGCGCCCCTCGACTTGATAGAGTCGAGCTCCGCGCGAGTGAGGCCAGCCGTATGGGGCAGACCGGTCGTCGCATCGATAGAAGAGCCCGGAGCAGGCACATTCGGCGCCGTCCCCAGACCGCTCATGAGACCGGAAGACTGCGCGCCGCCTGCCGAGGCAGCTTTGCGAGCTTCGAGCTCAGCCCGAGTGATTCCGGCCGTATGAGGGAGACCGGTGCTGGGGTCGATACTTGATCCCGGAGCGGGTACGTTGGGAGAGGAAGCGAGCCCTCCACCGTAGCCACCGAAGCCGGAGGAGAGGGAAGGGTTGGATACTGCGGACGGGGCGGAAGAGGAGGAAGTTGCGCCTGGGACGGCGCCGGTGCCGATTCGACCGGAAGGGTTGAGGTCGGCCAGGACGGCGTTGACGGAAGCTACGGGTAGCATCTTGTTGTGCGGTTCTTATTGGTGTGCAGTATAGGGAAGGGGCGATAGCTCTAGTGGATCTAGGAGGGAATATGACCTGTAGATACTTGAAAATAGATGTAGTTACAAACCAATACATTCTCAGCTGCCCAGCAGAGCCATGGGTCTTTCTGGGGCCGAAGTTACGGTAAGGATCTCCCCCTGACGTCATCCCAGTCCTTAGCGCCCTTTTTAGCTTGTTTCGGCAATATCCGGCTGCAGATCTGCCAAAGTGGCAAGAAGTGGCACCTTGCCAGAGGGTGCCACCTGGTGCCACACTCAGAAGTGAAGGCTAGCCAGTATATAGGCAGCATAGCAGGATGATAGAGGTAGACTTAGTAGGGATGGGATGGAGGCTAAACAAGCGGAGCGGACGACCCCTTTGAAGATAACCTTTTTGCTGGAGCTCCGCCGCCGGCCCCTATCCCCTTAGCCGCCGAGGGCTCCTTCCTTTGGTACCTGCAAGGGTGAATTACAAAGCAGGGCGAGCCTGAGTGGGCTTGGAAAGGCGGGGTGTGGCTATACAAGCAGCGTCTAGGCTCAGCACGAGAGCCACTTTCTCGAGACAGAGTGCATCATCGCCAATATGTCAAAAACCGTACGTCCCACTTCGATGCTGTACCGCCGCCCCTCGCAAGAAGCCCTCCTCCCCCGACCGCTATCGACATCAGCGGCTCCAGGATGGGGATCGAGCAGTACGGTAGACACCATCCACCTTGAAGACAGTATGGAGACGCTTGTCTCGGCCCCGCTAAAGTCGAATGAGGAGTCTCGTCAGTCGTACGAGCAGGACCAGCTAGACTTCAGCAGAGCCCGGAACAGCGTCGGCGGAGAGGTGTATGGTCGACCGTACTCCGCTGCAGTGGGGTGGAACTCAAGCACGACTCTTCGAGCGAGCTCATCTTTCGGATCCTTGAAAGCAAAGGTGGAGCAGTCGGACTATCCAGGGGGCGGTCTGGCGGAAGGTGGCGGACCGTACAAACAGCCAGACACGAGAGCCATACGGATCAGGTATGCCTTGATGGTGAGCATCGTATCACTATGGTCTCTACGACATGAGCCGCTGACCCACCGCTAGTTCTGGCACGCCACAATCTTGGTCGCCAAGCTCACTCTGACCATCTATATCCGCGATTCTCTCATGGTGATCCTGCTCGCGATGGTTACTGTCGCGTTCATCATCTACATTCCTACAGCCTTCGGACTCAGTCTCGGAAGAAAGGGAAGCCATTTCGATCATGCAGGCGGTGAAGTGGCGTACCTTGTCGTTCAGGCTGTTCTTTGGCTTGGTGAGTTACCTGCTTCTTCTGATATCCACCACATCATATTGTAGCTTCAGCTTGACTCGTCATTTTCTGGGAAGAACTGACAGCCAGCATCGGCTTACTGGGCATTCGACTATATCGCCGGTACAGACTGCCATCAGACCCGAGACTGGTTTCAAGGAGGCGAGTACGCCGGGACATGGGACGATATGGCGATGTGCAAGTGCCAGGGCGCATCTGGCGTCTTGTCGCTCGTGCATACGATGCTGATGTTGGGATGGGCGGGCTGGGTGGTGTTCATTGTTGTGAAGAGGGGAAAGGCTGAACCGGGACACCACGGGGTGAGGAGGTGTTTCCAAATATCGACCCATTGGTTGATGCGAGGATGGGCGGTGACGGGTGGCGTATCTGGCCCTCCATATTGATTGCATCTGTACTATTCAACACTGCGATATAAGATCTGTCGGTCCCCCTGGAAGACCCACAAGCAAGGACATCCTTATGTCGACCCACCTCATTACTCTGTCTGCCTCTCAAAGCTCAGAGCTAGCCTCTTACAGGATTGTAGAATCCCATTGATTACCAGACCCCCGACAGATGTCCGTGTGTCAAGTCCGAAGAAATGTGTCTTAGGTCGACACACCTTTCGCGTCTCCCGCCCTCGCTACGACATAGAGGTGTATCATTACGTCAAAGGATGCAGCACAGCCCCGCCAAGCGGCTGTCTCTTGCGTCTCCATATAAGTCTGAGCAGCTGCCACTCCCCCCCTCCACCCCAGTCTCCACCCGCTTATCCCCTTTCAACGATCCTGCTTACATTCCCATTCCCTTACATCTTCCTTCCACCTCCCCCTCAGTTCCTCGCGATGTCCAGCCAGCACCAAGGTCGGGCATACTTCAGACTGAACGCCCCCATCGACGCCTCCTCAGAACCCACCATCGGGATCGTCGCGACGCGTCTACTCGATCCCATCGGGTCCTTCGGCCAGACTGAAGACACACACAGAAAACAGCTCCAGTCCCTCATACAGAATCACCTTCACACACTGACTCACAATTCTGCTGACCAGGACCGCACACTTGTGGCAGTTGCCAAATCCCTCATGAGGATGACATGTGCCGCGACGATAAGTGTTCCCACCGGTACCTGCCCTGATGATACCGAGACGGTGAACTGGGAGCTCGCCGCTATTGACCTGAGCGTGGGAGGCGAGACATACGCGACCGTTCATCGTGTCCCTGAGTCTCCTTCGATCCTGCAGACAACATACAAGCCGCTTTCCGGAGACCAACCTGCATCTGCTCTTCAGACCCCTTCGTCCACGCACACAAGCCCCCAGCCGGCCCCGCAGACCTCGGCCCCAATCAACGTCGCTCTCCACATCGGCGTGATCAAGCCTGGTATCATTGACGGAGTCGTTCAAGACATGTACCGTATCCAGTCTGAGAGATATACGGTGAGAGGGACAGAGGGGGACGACGAATCGAGGCTCAGTGTCCTCAATGGATCTCTCGCAAAAAGTGTTCAGCGAGCGAATGGATCGCGCACGAAGGATCTCACGATATCCTGCGACGCGGCCAAGAAGATGTGCTACGCTGCAGGGATGCGCGCGTTATGGAAGGGATATGGCGATCTGACTGAGGATAGGAACGTCGTCGTCCAAGTGTGCGACACCGCGGAGGATTGGGAGACTCACAAGCAGCACGCCCTCAGCGTGTACCAGGAGGCATGGGGTTCCGCTGCCACCGGAGAGACCCCTTCTCCTTCCAATCAGATTGATGAAGCTGGTGGGGGAACCGCCGCGGCCGAATGTCAAAACGATGAGTCCGTCAGAACCAGCGGGTGCAGCCGTCTGACCAAGGTCGCTGGCATTGTGGCGGTGACTGGCGCCGTTGCTTCGGCTTTGTACTACAGTCTGCGCGATACTTTGAGTGATGAGTAGTTGAGCTGGGCTGAATGTATCAGTATGACATACACGAGGTCTCATCAGCTTGTGATGATGACGTGGATCGAGAATGCTGTAGAGTCGCTGTCAATTGACCATCGCACAGTGAGGCTTAAAAGGGACGACGATTAGAAGCGAGTAAGACCGTCAGTCCAGATCTCATGACCATACATTTCCTACCTAGTCGCTATCATCTCCACTCCCATACCCGCCCAACAACGCCATCCCCACCGGCGCTGCCTTCTTCTTCTTCGCCGCACCCGCCGCACTCGCCCGACTCTCCTCTGCCTGCTTTTTCGCCATCTCGGCATAGTACCGCAGGTTCTCCATCGCTTCTCCGCTCAGTAAACCCCCTCCTCCTCCGCCACCGCCACCATTCGTTATCCGCCTCTTCTCCCTGCCGTCTACTCCATCATCCTCATTGCCATTCCGTGGACGTTTTGAATTTGCCGAGGGACGAGGAGGGGAAGGCGGTGGGGATGGCGCGGACGCCTCGATAGGGTAGAAGTCCTCCTCGTCCCCATCTTCCAGCGCACGGATGGTCTGCGCGGCCTCGACGAGTCCCTCGTCCAGCATGCCTTTGATGGCTTCTTGGCCGAGGACTTTGATGCGTTGGGCTTCGGAGCGGATGGCTTCAGGATTGGGGTCGTCGGTCGCCCATCTGTCAAGTCAGCGCTGGCCCCCATGACGAGGTCCCCTGTCCTACTCATACCATACCAGACACCACCCTTCTCTCTGCACTAGTCCCCCAACCGAGACCCTAATCTTCTGCTGACTCACCTAACATTCAGAATCTCCTCCAAGTCCATACTCTGATTCGCCATCGCCTCCTTCGCAAACTGCGCCGCCAGCTCGCTTTCATATGTCACGAACGCGATCCCCCTATTATACAGGATGTTCCACTTGGCAATTTTCCCCCACTCGCCGAAATGCCGCAGGAGCGTCTCCTCCGTTTGCTTCTTGTCGGGACTTTCGGCCATACGGGCGATATAGAGTGTTCGGTTGACGCGGTTGAAAGAGCCGACACCGCCCATGTCGTCTCTGTACTCGCCGTGCTTTTCGCGTCCGAAGCAGTCGCGCGAGTTGTCGGGGAGTTGGTCTGAAAGTTCAGCCAAGGCTCAGTCCTACGGGATATCGGCGTGACCTGTCTCCACGCGTATACCCCGGTCAGAGACTCCGGCAGACGTACGATTTGGCAGTGGCAGCCGATGCAGGAAGTTGCACTCATGTCCATATGGACAGCATCCCCTTGCAAAGAACAGGCAGCAATACTTGTTGTTGGTCATATCCGCGCGAGTGTACCCCGCATCCCGGATAATCACACAGCGGGACTGGGATAGTGTCTTGCTGCACCGGATCAGCTAATTCCCTTCTTTGAGCTCTGCAGCTGTACTCACTTTGACAGAGGGTCCTCTTTATCTCCTCCCGCCCATTTGTTATACCAGACGTCTATAGCTATCAGCGATATCTCGGGGCAAGAGCCGAGAAGGACGCACTGTATTCCTTGCCAGCTTGCGGTCCTTCCGTCTTGTCAATCTCGCCCGGCGCTACTTGCTTTCGGGCAGGCCGAAGCTTGCGCTTTGCAGGTACTACTGAGCTCTCCGACATGCTGCTTGAGTGGTCCTTCCGGTCAAAGTTGATACAGGTAAGATGGCGAGATGATTTGGGTGGTGCGACGCCGCGGGTGATTTGGTGCGGGCGGTCTCGTTACGTAATACACCCATCGATGATGCAGCGAAAGCGAGATTTCTGGGCAAGTTGACGATACTCTACACTTCACACCTCATCTTTCTATATCATATAGAGCTTGGACATCATGACCGGCTCGATGGTCAACGGAAGCGGAGCTAGCGGACAGTTGGACAAAAAGCTGCTGCGGACGATCAGCGACCCATCCTCCAGTGATGCCATACCTCCGGCGGACCTCGCTCGATCGATGGGTATAGGCGGACTGCCCTCCAAAGAAGAGGCTATCAAAGCTTTGGAAGCCGAAGTTCTGGCACCGGTGAAGGATCTGAGTGGCCCAGAGCTCTGGAGGTGGCAGACGTGAGTCTTCCCTTCTCCGCTGACGAGCGTTGGCTGACGGGACCAGCCAAGCGCCGATCGAGCTCCCTCTTCCCCGCATGACCCTCACTCCCCTACCTCCGACACATCAGATCCTCCCTACCACTCGCGGCATTAACGGCGTCTTTACACACTGGCGTTCGGCTCTCGCTCCTCGTCCGCCCGCTCATCCTGCACTATCGAGCTCAACGAACCGAGCCTTTGGAGACAGCAAGAACTTTGTTCGGGGGAAGGGGTCGTACGCGCCTTTCCTGCCTGGCGGTCTCGAGCCAGAGACGATCACCCACGACGAAGATGAGAAGGAGGAAGAGGACGAGGAGGAGGGCTGGAAGACCCGAGCCCCAGCGTTGAGGAGGGGTGCGAAGTTGGAAGGAGCGGATGAGTTCTTGGCGGAGATGCTTGGCCAGCAGGGTTTGGGCGGGAAAGCAAAGCGAAGACGGACGGACGGGAAAGAGGAAGCGGTGCTGGAGATTAAGAGGATGGGTGATGAAGACGGGGAGAAGAAGGAGAATGGGTTTGGAGGGGTGAGGAAGGTGGATGATCTGCTGCCGATCGGGGTACGCTTTCTGGTCCCTCTGCTCACGCGCAGTACAGGGTCAGAGCTGATGATGGTAGCGTCTCCCTGCTCCACCTACCTCCAGGAAGCAATACCGAGCTCCGACGAGGAAAGAGTGGGCCCATGTTGTCGATGTCGGACAAGAACTCACGAACGTGAGCCGCACCTCAGTGTACGTGTCACGGGGCAGATACTGATGATGCAGTTCGACGAGCTCGTGCCTGAAATGGCGAGGGAGGTAAGTCAGAAAGCCCCGTTCTGGGCCGAACTGCAGCTGATAACGTCCAGTACCCCTTCACTTTGGACAACTTCCAAAAAGAAGCAGTCTACCGACTCGAGATGGGCGATTCTGTCTTCGTCGCTGCGCACACTTCGGCCGGAAAGACTGTCGTTGCCGAATACGCTATCGCGCTCGCCGCGAAACACATGACGAGGCGAGCTGAGCTTCACTCCTAGCACGGGGTCGAGCTGACAACCCAGGGCGATTTACACCTCGCCTATTAAAGCGCTCTCGAACCAGAAGTTCCGGGACTTTAAGCAATCATTCGATCCTTCGACCGTTGGTATCCTGACGGGAGATGTCCAGATCAACCCAGAAGGGAGCTGCCTGATTGTGAGCAACCCAGGGCTCGTGCGTCTGCAGGACATAGAGCTGACAAGACAGATGACGACAGAGATCTTGCGGAGTATGCTTTACAAAGGTGCTGATCTTATTCGAGATGTCGAATTTGTAATCTTCGATGAAGTACACTATGTCAACGACGCCGAGGTGAGCTCTCCGAATAGGGCGAATAGTATCTAGCGCAAAGCTGACATGTCAGCGAGGTGTTGTCTGGGAGGAAGTTATCATTATGCTTCCCGAGCACGTCAATATCATCCTCTTGTCCGCTACCGTGCCGAATACCAGGGAGTTTGCAGATTGGGTTGGGTGAGCTCTCAGCTTCGCATTTTCCGGTTGTCCAGCAGAGCCCAGCTCACACTTCAGTCGAACGAAGAAGAAGGACATCTACGTTATCTCAACTCCCATGCGTCCAGTACCGCTTGAGCATTTCTTGTGGGCCGGAAAGGAGCTGCACAAAATTGTCGATTCCAAGTCCCGCTTCGTGGGTGAAGGGTGAGCTCACATCCCCTCAAATGTGTCAAGCGAGAACGGCAGCTGACCAAGCAGATACAAAGCTGCCACAGAGTCTACCCGTCGAAAGCAGGACAAGGAGCGAGAAGCGGCCGGCCTTCCCCCTGTCCAGCGTACAGGCGGGCGCGGGATGCCACCCACTCGAGCCAAAGACCTCCCTACCGGTCGAGGGGCGCCTTTTACACACATCGGCGCAGGTCGAGCTCACGTCAACCGGAATGGAGGGAATGGAGCTCCCGGTGGTGCACCTCCACGCGGAGGCGGGGGTGGTCGAGGTGGCGGGGGTGGAGGTGGAGGCGGTTTCCGCGGCGGTGGTGGTGGCGGTGGAGGAGGAAGAGGTGGCGCACCCCGACCTGGACATATTCTCGATACGAACGTCTGGACACATCTCATTAATCACCTCAAAAAGGCACACCTCCTTCCGGTTGTTAACTTCGTCTTCAGCAAGAAGCGGTGCGAGGAGTATGCGAACAATTTGGGGAAGATGGATCTATGTGATGCCAAGGAGAAGAGCGAGGTGCATGTGACGTGGGAGAGGGCTCTGAATCGCTTGAAGGGTGAGCTGTTTGGATCTTCGGGCAAGTATAGGTGACAAAAGCTGACATCGCAGCGGAGGACAGGCAGCTGCCGCAGATCACGCGGATGAGGGAGCTTCTCGGTCGAGGTATCGGGATCCATCACGGTGGTCTTCTCCCCCTCGTCAAAGGTAAGCTATACAGCGCGTATGTGTCCCTCGAGCTATAGCTAACGTCCTCATAGAAGTCGTCGAGATCCTGTTCTCCCGCGGAGTCGTCAAGGTTCTATTCGCCACCGAGACCTTCGCCATGGGTGTCAACATGCCCGCCAAGTGTGTAGTCTTCTCTGGAATCAGGAAGCATGACGGGACGTCCTTCCGGAACCTGTTGCCCGGAGAGTATACCCAGATGGCGGGACGAGCGGGAAGAAGAGGTCTGGATACGACGGGTACGGTCATCATTCTCAGTGGAGACGAGTTGCCGACTGTAAGTTCCCGTTTCTGGGGATTTGCCGAGCCTGAGCAAAGACAAAGAGCTGACAAGATAGCAAATTGAGCTACAAGAGATGATGCTCGGCGTCCCGAATCGCCTTTCCTCCCAATTCCGCCTGACGTACAATATGATTCTCAACTTGCTCCGTGTCGAAGCGCTTCGAGTGGAGGAGATGATCAAGCGGTCATTCTCGGAGAACGCGACTCAGAAGATGGCGCCGGAGCAACAACGCCAGATTGCGCATGTACGTCCCTCAGCTGAGGGAATCGTGGAAAAGATGCGCGACAGCTGATCTTCTAGACCGAGAAGCAACTCGCCAAACTCCCCAAAGTCAGCTGTGACCTCTGCAATACCGACATTCAACCTTTTTACGACCTCTCGGCCGAAGTCGTACGGCTGAACCGGGAATTGTTGAAGGTTGCGAGCTGGACGGCTGCAGCTTCGAAGATCTTCTCGCCAGGTCGAGTCGTGATATTGCGGAATGGGGTGAGCTCATATTTTGCCAGGTTTGTGCTAGTGGACTAAGCTGACAAAGCAGCACTATCCTGGAAACCTGGCTATACTGCTCCGGAATGCGCCTGCTTTGATCAGCGGGACCGAGAAGAGCGATGGCAAAGCATTCCACGTGCTTGTTTTGCTCACTCCGGACCAAAAATCTGGTGAAGACGGTGAGTTCCACGACCGATATGACTTGATCATCAGCTGACACGTAGACGTCAAAGCGTCCGAGCTCCCTCCTCTTTGGCCCGCTAGACTCCCCTCCGGCTCCCTGCCCAACGCGACATACGAGCTCGCCGCTGTCGACACTACCTCCTTCTCTCTTATCCTCAACCGCAGCATCAAGACAGACCCTTCCGGTATTCTCGACAAAAAGTCGACCGAGGTGGCCGAGAAGGCCGCCCATGATCTGTCGATTATGCATGAGGAGTATGGTGGACTGGGCTGGGGCGAGATGCCCGAGGTGGACTGGGCGCGAGTCAAGCAGTTCGAGTTCCAGGATCAGCTCAGGCAGCGGGCGGTGTTGATGGATCGGGTGGTCAAGTTTGGGTGTCAGCTTTGCCCTGACTTTGACGATCATGTAAGTCGATTTGTGCTTGACAGGAGCATAACTGACGGAGTAGTACGCGATCATGCACCAGACCAAGGTGGTCGAAGCCAGCTTGACTCAACTCAAGCTCAAATTGTCGGACCAAAACCTCGAGCTGTTACCGGACTACGAGAGTCGGGTAGAGGTGCTCAAGCAGCTCAAGTTTATCGATGACAACTCGACTGTCCTTCTCAAGGGCCGAGTCGCGTGCGAGGTGAGATACATTCTGAAAACCCCCGAATCAAGCTGACACATAGATCAACTCGGCACATGAGCTTATCCTCACCGAGCTTATCCTGGACAACATCCTTGCGGACTATACCGCCCAAGAAGCCGTCGCCCTCCTCTCCGTCTTTGTCTTTGTCGAGAAGACCGACTCGCAGCCTCAGATCCCCAGCAAGCTCGCCGATGGCTTGGACGTCATCTATAAGATTGCCGAAGATGTCGAGGCGGTCCAGATCAGGTGCTCGGTGGCGCATGATGAGTTTAGGGAAAAGTTCAAGCCGGGGCTGGTAGAGGTTGTGTTTGAGTGGGCTGGGGGAATGGTGAGTCCTTTGCATGATCTTGCTCGGGCGAGGGGAACGCAGCATGGCAGAGGATGGGAGCTGACCTGATCAGCCATTCCAGCAGATCACGGAAATCACCGATATTCAAGAGGGTACTATCGTGCGCGTCATCACTCGTCTGGATGAGACGTGTAGGGAAGTCCGGGACGCGGCACGGGTTATTGGTGATACTGAGCTGTTCAACAAGATGGAAGAGGCGCAGTCGCTCATTCGGAGGGACATTGTGTTTGCTGCTAGCTTGGTGAGTCGACGCATTTGCTTCGAGCCACTGATGGGAGCAACGCTGATAGACACAGTATCTATAGTCTCGTCATCGTACAAAAGGGAAGGAAGGCATGAGGAGGCGCTTCGCCTACGGGAAGTAGTGCTTCCTTCTGCACAAACTCATGCATTGAAGGCAGCATGTCATCGTCATCCTCCCAGGTCATTCCCGGGTGGAAGTGCTCACCAGTGATACGGCAAGGCGCCAAGTCCGGCGAGGGGGCTCTGCACGGCAACTTTCTCTCCATGCTGCCAGGAATCGGCCCAATCCTGCCGAGTCCGAACAGGTCCGAACGGCAGAGGATCTTCGGCGCCGTGTCTGAGTGCCTATAGTCACAGGCACGCTGGACGATCGACATGCTTTGTCATGCCAAGCTACTGCATTTGGCACCACATGTTGGGTGTAACACGTGCGTACGGCCAGCTGAAACCGGAGTAACTGCTCGCTTGCGACTGATAGTCTATACGGTCCGTTGAGCAGCTATTCTGAAGCCTTCCTTGGGGCTCCATATACTCGAATGTCTGCTCGTTGCGCGAGGTCTCCCTGCACCAGACCGGGAGCTGTAGCAGCCTGGCACTGGTTCTGCCACTCTCTCAAGCTCTGCCACAATGAGAGGCTCCAACCTGAAACCGACGCACGGGCATGGAAGATTGCTCGCCTGGCACGTTCCTTCGGCCCCTCCCCTGATCGACGTTTTATCTTATCTTTGCCAGAACGTGTAGCTCAACTCTCCCTTCCATGCGGACCTCTTTCACATCCTAGTCCAGGGCTGGTCGGCCAGCGGGAAGGGATGACCGAACGGCGGCCAGGAAAAGGGAGAGGAAGACCCTCACCGCTCGGCGGAGGAATGGGCCGTCCGCTAACCACCTCCTCACCGTTCCTCACTGCGCCCTTAGGTCTCTCCACCTTCCCTCGTCAGCCCTCATCTCAAGCTGCCTGACCCTGCCCCGGACTTCGGCATCGGCCTTCGGAACGGCGCGCTCTCGTCAGTCTCGGAGGTAAGGCCAGGTCCAATGACACGGCCTGCCGGGCCTTGGCAGTGTTCTCTCGTCAGTATCTACTCCACCGAGGCACGGCCACCATTTCTATGGTTCGAGGGGTGCACGAGATGGGAAAGAGGGTCAGAGCTAGAGGAGCTGGAAGGGAGATGTCTCACAGCATGAACGTGGGTGCATGGGGGTGCTAGCGGAAGACAGGGCGGAGGAGCTATAAGAACGGTCGTCGTGAGTCCCATTTCCCACCATCTCTTCCCGCTCATCTTCCCGCCTCTCCCCTAATCTACCGCTCACAAATCCCAGTCCACCATGCTCGCTCTCACCCTCCTCTCCCTCCTCCCTCTTCTTGTCCCCGCCTCGGCGCTCACCGTGAGGACCCGCGCCGCCGACCCGGTCCCGGCCGACCTTACGCACCTCTCCAATGGCGCCCGTATGGCTCGTGGTCTTCCCCTTCGCAAGCCTATCGCCCGTGACGAAGGTGCTCGTCTCCGCGCTCGTCAAGCCACTCCGTCTGGTACCGTCGGCACCCTCTCCGTCTGCGGCAATTACCAGGCCAGCGACTTTGGACAGAGCTGCACAGCTGCCGCCAACCCCGCCGGTCCCGGTGGGACCTGCTGCACGGACTCGCCAGGTGGTCTCATGCTGCGTAAGTCTTCTCTAGTCCAGGCAAATAGGCGTGGCGAGGGGCTATACTGACGACCAGTCACCCAGTTTTGGGACGCTGGAGCTGCATCGGCCGGCCCCGCCAACTCGTGGACCCTCCACGGTCTCTGGCCCGACAAGTGAGTCTGGGTCCAACACTGTGGGTTCGTGCTGATCAAACAGCTGTGACTCCACTTACGAGGAGTACTGTGACCCCAGCAGGGAGCGCTCTGCCATCCGCTCGATCCTGACCAACAACGGCCAGACCGCTCTCGTGAGCTACATGGACACCTACTGGAAGAGCAACAACAACAACGACGAGTCCTTCTGGGCACATGTGAGATTATTCTTCCCGTCTGTGATGAACCTCGCTGATGATCAGGAATGGAACAAGCACGGAACGTGCATCTCTTCGCTCGACAAGGCATGCTACACTGCCCCTCGCGAGAACGTATGTCCCTCTTTCTCCTCCACTCAAGGTCCCAACTAATGCTCAGGGGGAGCTCATCACCTACTTCCAGCGCTCCGTCTCCACCTTCCAGTCCCTCCCATCGTACGACTGGCTCGCAGCGGACGGCATCATCCCTACCAACAACGCCACATACACCAGCGCCCAAATCCTCTCGGCCCTCACAAAGTCGTATGGCTTCACTCCTGTCATCAGGTGCCAGTCTGGCTCGCTCAGCGAGGTTTGGTACTTTTACAACTCCAAGGGTGGTATCGTCGACGGGTCTTTGGTCAAGACTGGTGCCGTCGGGGACTCTAGCAACTGCCCTGCGTGAGTCCGCACCCACCTCGATGCTCGGAACCAAGCTGATCATACAGTACCGGCATCCGCTACCTGCCCAAGTACACGGTCAACCCCAACCCACCTTCCACCGTCCCGGCGATCATCGGCGCTCCTCCCTCTGCCGCCGGTGTTCGAGGCTTTGTCTACCCTACTTACAGCGATGGCAGTCGGGAGGACCGAGCTTGTCTCATCCGAGTCGGTACGTGCTGTCCCCTGCCGATCCACTTCTGTTCCCCTTCATCTTCCCCTCCCCACTTCTGTATCTTCCCCACTCCACGCATAGTACCCTATTTATCCCCTCTGCCCCCTTCCCTCCCGTCTACTTTCGAACTACCCCTCCCTCCGTTGCCCCTTTACAAGTCACGGACCTCACCACTTCACTCTATTTTTGTTTGGCTCACCACTCTCCGCGCTCTCATCGTTTCCGTATGGTCCCTCACGATGCGACTCAGCTGACATCATAGGCGTCTGGTTCAAGGGCACCTGTGCTGGCTACACCTCCGTCACCCCTCCCGCTGGCTCCCCCGCTGGATCCTTCCAGCTCCAAACCGGCGGTGGTCTCTGCGGGATTCTCGCCGCCGACAACCGCTTCAGCTGTGCCGCTAGCTTCACCGCGGCCACCGCCGCCGTCTTCCAATTCAACGCGGAGGGCGAGATGAGCATCATGGGCCAGGAGGCATTCGGCAGTACCAAGGTACCGGGGACGGACCAGGTGCCTGTGTATCTGGGCCCGGCTCAGGCCGTGGACTATTCTCTGGTCTTTGTGCCGCAGTGATCAGCTTGGGTCGTTGTGGAATAGGATGCTTAGTCTTGTTTACTTTGGGACTCATATTGGGAGTGGACTGCTTATAATGCATCGCAGTCCTTGTACCACAGCTTGCAACATCCACCTGCCTACAGACCCAGCCGTCCATATTACAGACCATTGGCGCCTGGACGTGGAGCTCACTAGCGTCCCCAGCGCCTCAACAGCTGCGCCGGGTGGCAGGGAAGAGCACTGTAGATCCCAGCTTCCTGCAAGCCTCTTGAGTCGGAGAAGAGGAGGTACGAGTAATGTAGGCGCCTTGCAAGACGGAAGAGAGTTACATGTACAGCTGAGCGTAGAAAGCAGAGGAATCGCGATTGCGAACAAGAACGCGTGCCCTTCTTTCAGGCACTCCGCTCAACGCGTTGGTGCAGTACTGGAAGTGAATCACACAGGATGCCAATCGTAGGCGATGTTCACCGTATCGACGCGAAGGCGAGGTGAAGGAAATGGCAGAGAGGGAGACATACACCTTGAGGGCACCTGCCAATTTGATGTAGACTTCTTCATCTGTTTGCATGCTTCTTTCGTTCGCTACAAAAACTAAAATACTCGCCAACCATCAAGCGCTGTTAGGCAACTCAAAGGTTCTTGGTGTTGGAGCCGGCGGCGTTGTTGTTGTTCATGCCGAGGGCGTTCTTGGCAGAGTCGAGGAGCGAGCCGGAGTTCTCGTTCTGGTTGCCCTGAGAAGTCAGCTCGCGTCCACTGGAGCATGGAGGGGCAGATGGGAGAACTTACCGAGATGGCGTCACCAGCCTGCTGGGTGAAGGACTTCTGGGACTCGGGCTGGCCGGAAGAGGCGGCGGAGTCGGCCTTGCCCTTGATGGTGTCGGCTGAGGGAGTCAGCGAGGTGTGTGGAAATGAGATGAGATGGGGAGAGGGGCACTTACTGGCCTGCTCGAGGTACGACTTCTGCGAGTCGGGCTTGAGGGCGGCTCCGGCCTCTGGGTGATGTCAGCCATGTTCACGTCAACGAGGTATGAAGTGGCGACGAGGAACGCGAAGGGGAGGTATGGGAAGCAAACACTCACTGTCCCCAAGCGATTGACGGCCCATGTCAGACATTGTTGATGATTTGTTTGTTTGGTGGTAGGTTGGTAGATGGTAGAGTGTGGTGTGTGTTGGATTGATGTGGATGGAGGAAAGAGAAAGAGATTGGGGTCCGGTTCTCACACTATATAGCTGCGAGTTGGGTGCGGTATCGACGTGGCATGATATGATGTCATGCCCGGCAAGGCCTCGTCACATTGCCGACTAGTTTGCTACTTGCAGTAATTTCACAAGTACCTATGACGCGTACATTCAGTAGATCTGGGGCTCCTCAGCTGGTGGCGCAAGAGGAATGACAGCTGCAGGAGGCCCGAACTCGGTGTGGAAGCCAGGCGCGAAAGAGGCTGAAAGACGGCAAGCTAAGGACAGACCAAAGGACGCGTACTAGCTATATAGCAACCGTTTCATCAGGTGGCAAAGAGCAATATCAATTATTCAAGCGCCACTCATCCGCCACGCCGCACCAAATCCCCTCGCAGTCGGCCACCATGACCGCCGCAGACAAGCCCGTGCCCTACCATATGCGAGATGACTCGGACGTTGAGGACGCGAATGAAGCTGCCACTGCCGACGACAAGCAGTCGACCAGTCAGAATGCAAAGGAGAAGCGGCAGAAGGACGTCGCGGAAATTACAGGCGGGCTGAAGCAGCTGTTCGGAGGCAAGAAGCCACGGTTGGGCAATGTCGAGGTGGATCCAAATATCGGTATGTCCCCTGTGCTCTCCAAAGCCCGACCGGGACCTCTTGGTCCGAGAGGACTGATGAACGTAAGCTAACCCCTAGACTATGCGGACTGGACGAAGGAGGGACCTACCCTCACTTCCCGCGCCAAGATGGAGGCGGACGGGATGATCAATATCTGGGTAGACCTCAAGAAGGCCCTTCCTGATCTACCCAAAGACTACGCTCGGCCAGTCAAGGAATGGGCGGTGGATCCAGTGGGAGCGAAGGATTGTCCGCCTATGAACATTGTCATCTTCATTGTCGGATCAAGAGGTGAGCTGTTCCACCATTGAAGGGGGAGGGAAGCTGATCTACAGGGGACGTCCAGCCATACCTCTCCCTCGCGCTCCGGCTCATCATCTCCCATGCGCACCGAATCCGAATAGCCACCCACCCCGACTTCAAGGACTTTGTTCTTTCCGCCAATAAGCGGCTCAAGGGGAAGAAGACGAGGGGTATCGACCTGGAGGGGAGGCTGGAGTACTATGATGTCGGTGGGGACCCGAAGGAGCTCATGGCGTACATGGTGAAGAGTGCGTACATCACCCTCGCTATCCGGCACCACACTGACTCGCAGACCCCGGCCTCCTTCCCGCCTGGGAGACAATCAAGTCCGGCGAGATCGGCAAGAAGCGCGAGATGACCCAGAACCTCCTCCAGGGGTTCTATCACTCGTGCTTTGAGCCAGACGGACCAACGGGCAAGGCATTCGGCGCAGACGCGATCATCAGTAACCCGCCTGCATTCGCGCATGTCCATGTGGCGGAAGCTTTGGGCTTGCCGCTGTTGATGAGCTTCAGTAAGCTGCCTCAATCCGATGTCAGAGATGAAGCTGACAATCAGCCATGCCCTGGACATCAACAACGGCGTTCAAGCACCCACTTGTCAATATCGCGTCGTCTAACGCTCAGGCGGGACTGACCAACTACTTCAGTTACGGTATGGCCGAGATGCTGTATGTCCACCTCCTTCTCACTGGCTTGAGCTGTTCGCTGACGAAGCAGCCAATGGCAAGGTCTCGGGGACGTCATCAACCACTTCCGGACCGCTACGCTCGGTATTGAACCCCTCATCTCCCGTCATGGCGCCGGAGCGGTCGAGCGGCTCAAGGTGCCCTGGACGTACTGCTGGAGTGAGGGACTCATCGAGAAGCCTGAAGATTGGAAAGAGCATATCGGTGAGTCCTCTCTACTTTCACCACCATATTGTGCTGACAAGGCAGACATCTCCGGATTCTACTTCTACGAGGCCGACTCTGACTTCGAACCCGATGCGGACCTATCGGCGTTCCTCGAAGCTGGCGAGCCGCCAATCTATGTCGGATTCGGTTCGGTCGTCGTGGAGGACGCTGCGGCGATGACGAGTGAGCCCCTTCTTGAAGATGCCTCGTCCACATTCCTCCGGGAAGGAGAAATAGCTGATCCAGACAGAGACTATCTTTGACGCGGTAGAGAAGGCAGGCGCGAGGGCTTTGGTCAGCGCCGGCTGGGGCGGGTTGGGCGGAGCCGATATCCCGGAGAGCGTCTTCATTTTGAAGGGTAGGTCTGCTTGGCCGTACACAGCGAGTGGGGAACTGATCGAAAGGAAACATCCCGCACGACTGGCTCTTCGCCGACGGCCGAGTCTCCGCAGTTTGTCACCACGGTGGAGCGGGTACAACCGCTATCGGACTACGAAACGGGCTACCGACCATTGTGGTCCCTTTCTTTGGTGATCAGAAGTAAGTCTCGACCCGAGCCCCTTTACTCGTGCGCGGAGGATGAGCTGATCCCGAGGTTCTGGGGAGATATGATCCACCGCGCCAATGCCGGACCCGCACCCATCCCCCAAAAGAAGCTGAACCCCGACAATCTCGCCGAGGCCATCAAGGTCGCGCTTAGTCCAGAAGCCAAGACGGCAGCCGGGAAGATGGGGGAGCAAATCCGGAAAGAGAAGGGAGAGGAGAAGGGGGTGGAGAGTTTCCATCGGCACTTGCCTTTGAAGAATATGAGGTGGGTCGGGTCTCGAGGAATGCGGCGAGGGAGAAGAAGGGGTGGTCAGATAAGAGTTAGAGCTGATGGGCAGGTGCGATATCGACCCGACCAAAGTGGCGGTGTGGTACTCCGAGGAGCTCTTCTTGAGACTTTCTGGCGAGGCCGCGGGTGTACTGGCCGCCGAGGCCAAGTTGGACTTGCGAAAGCTCAAGCCGTTGCGTGAGTCCGGCGAGCCGCTCAGGAAGGTGTGAAGCTGACTTCTAGGCGCAAGGGAATACGCCACTCGTCTCAAGGCTCGCGACCCCATCTCGGGCGGCTCACTGGCCGTGATGCACATTGTGCAAAACCACTATGCCTCCGTCGCTCAGATCTTCTATGATCCACCCAAGGGGGTTCTCAACACCATGTTCAGCGTACCGCAGGGTGAGTCTCATCTACGGCCTCTTCACTGCGCCGGCGCCGGAGGGGATGGCGGGAGCTGACGATCAGGTATCCTCGACCTGGTCATTGCGATGTATGAAGGCTTTGATGCTCTGCCTAAAGCGATGGGATCGGAGATCCGGCAGAAGGGACCAGTGGACGATTTCCAGTCTGGGATGCGGGAGGGCGGGAAGGGGCTGTTCTTTGGGTGGTGGGATGGGATTACGGGGCTGGTGACTGAGCCAGTAGCGGGTGGGAAGAAGGAGGTAGGTCTCGCTACTTTGTGTCAGGTCGGGCTGTGCTGATGCACAGGGCGCATTGGGAGTTATCAAGGGCATGGGACGGAGCTGTGAGTCTAGGAGTTGAGACGAAGTCAAGGGGCAGGAATAGTTGCTGACAGACAGACGTGAATGTCACCGCCCGACCCGCTGCGGGGATCCTCGGCGTAATGGCCCTTCCCATCTCTGGCGCCTGGAAGTCCATCCGCCGCGCCGTCGGCGGCGCACCGACCAAGGCACTCGCGACTGCCCGTCGGGGCATGAGCGAGGATATGGCCTCCAAGGTCTCTCCGGAAGGGAAGAAGGAGATCCTGGCGAAGTTTAGGGAGTTGGAGAAGGGGACGGCGGAACGAAAGGAGAAGATGCAGCGGAAGGCCAAGTTGTTCATGACGGGCGACGAGAAGGCGTTTGAGGAGGAGATGGGGGAAGAGGGTGGGTTGGGTACGACGAGTAAGGATGAGGAGGGGGCGGCAGGCAAGGGGATGGAGGGGAAGCAAGGAGAGAAGGGGGAGAAGGATAAGGTGATACAGTCCAACTCGGAGATGATGCGCGGGGAGATCATGCAAGGGGTGCAGGCGCAGATCGCGGCGGAGCCGGAGAAGGGGGATGAGCTGGAGGAGGCTGAGAAGAGGGGATATGAACGGGCGCTGGCGGAGTTTAAGAAGCAGCAGCAGGCGGAGGGGCAGGGTAAGTAGGCTCACGAGGATCTGTCTGTATTACGGCTGTAGTATACTATCATGACGGCTTGTACTTGTATTTAGGCGTACCGGTGGTGCTGGACACATGCGAATGCGACTGTACAATGATCAGCATTCCGGGGGGAATCGTACTTGTGCGCCTTGCTGGGCGGTGGAACGAGTACTGGCTATGAATGATATCAGTTGTCAGTTTGGACTCCGACAATCGTGCACAGTCATAGCTCCATCCAATGCATCTGGATGTCCCATGAAAGTGGAGCGGCGGAGTTACTGCAAGATCCATGCACCAGCACGTGCCTGTCGTGCCGATCATTCGACGCCCACTTGCCGGATCCAGCCTGTACCGAGTCCTCGGATGGCGCCGAGAAGAAGACCGAGAGCGCAGGCGCACGAGCAGAGGCCGCGCCGCCGACCCCGCGGAATACCTTACTCGCACCGCCCGAAAGATCCGAAGATGGCCACTTTGGCTCGAGATGGCGGCCGAGCAGCTGTGCATGTCAGGTGTCGAGGGGGACATCGGATAGCTTGCAGGAGTCCATGCAACCTCCCAGCTGCGTCTGTGCTACATACCTCCCACCCTATAGCATAGCTCTGCCCGAAGCAAAGCGACAACGACAAGGTTAACATCCCCGATCACCTTACTCCGCGTTACATACAGCTTGCCCTGAATGTGAAACCGCCCGTGACAGCAGAGTCAGACGCAGCTTCATCTATCTATCCACTTCAGTCACTAGTCAACGCTCTCAGCATACACACCTACAGCAATAGCTGGGCCTTCAGCCGACAAGCACGACTTCGCAGGCAGCTCCGCATACCCCTTATCGCCATCGCTATCCCTTTCACCGATACCCCTGCCCCGCCTGTCCCATCGCCTCCACCCTCGAATAACGGTCTCGCCGGAGAGCGGTTTCAAAGGAGTGATTCACCTCACTTCGCGTGGCTGGAGAGTTTGCGCGGGAAGGGGGAGGCGCTAGCTTGGGTACTGGGATATACCTTCACTAGCCACCACCATCGCTATAGGCTTTCAAAGCACAAGGTTGCCTGTACTCGGACCCTTGGCACTCCGACGATCTATCCTCGCATCGCCCGCCACCTTTCGGCGCTCGGTCCATATCGTCCCTTGGGCACACACAACAGAAGACGCATCACTCCTTCAATTGGCGCTAGTCTCACATCGCCCTCCCGCCCCCTCACATCCACTCATCTCTTGCAACTTCCCTTCTTCCCTTCCTCATTCCTACCTACATCTACCTTCAACCATACCATCGACCATGTCGACTACTACTCTCCGCCCAGCAGCGACCGCCTCGCCGGCGTACCAACCTCGTACCTTCCGCCCAGTCTCCCCCTTCCCTCCGACAAGCACAACAGTGGGCGGCAATGCGGCGCCCATCCCAGCCCCTCGCAACCCCACTGTCGTTCCCAAGCTCGACTACCCTCTTCCTTCCCGCCCTATCACCCCTATGCCTCCTTCCCAGCCCGCTCGGCTGGGCGCTGACCGAATCGGTGCCGTCGCGCCTGCCGGTCTGCCCATGCCAGCCCCCACAGATGAGCGGCTACACCACCATCGGAGCGGCAGTTCGCTCCGGAATGAAGTCAAGCCAGGCGCATCGGCAGAGAAGCGGCGACACCAGCCATGGGGCCGGCCATCATCGACCGAGAGGCGGGATGGAGACAGGGCAAAGGCATCTCAGGAAGTGGAAGATGGAGAAGTGCGCGAGGTGACGGCGGCGATGGAGAAGAATGCACACCAAGTCCTCCAGGTGAGCCTCCTTCCTCTGCTACTTGGACAATGCTGACCTCTCAGATGCTCGCGGCGCTTCCAGCTCCCCTGCCCGAGATGCTTCCTCCTACCTTCCTGCCTACGCCGAGCTCTACTCCATCGCCTCCATCCGGCTCGTTCACCAGCTTTGCTCGAATGATGTCCGCGTCAACCTCTCCCCGCTCATCCGCCGGCTCATCTAGCCTGGGCAAACGACGCCGGTCCTCGTCGGGCGGCCCGCCCCTTGTCGGTCTGGGTCTGAGCGGCGCCGAGTCATCCACAAGTAAGAAGGCTCGAGGAAAGGGTGGGGTCTCGATGACGCCCACAACATCGACTTTCGGGTTCGGCGGAAAGACCATATCCCCCGAGATGCGCCGAGCTTTGTCAGGCGGTGCGACGGGTATCAAGGCGCCGTTCATCGAAGGCAAGGATACCTGGACGAAAGGCAAATGGACCTCAGCTTCCTCCTCGTATGTCCTTTCTACTCAAGCGTGAACTCGGCTAATGAACAGTTATAAAGCTCGAGCGATACTCCTCAAGCGGCACGGTGATGCCCATCTCCGACTCGCTGGCGCCAAGCCTCAATTCCTCCATCTCGCCGCGGACACCCTCATGGGCCTGCTGTCCTTGACAGATGCTGTCCTCCTCTGGCTTTATGCCTATTGGTGTGACGAGCAAGCCGAAGGCCGAGTCTCAACGAAGCCATACAAAGAGTCGCAGGCGCTGCGGGATTACGTTAAGGTCGAGTGGGAGAAATGGGTCAGGAAAGGATGGAGCGAGTATGCCGGTGTGGAGGAGCATGAGCGAGAAGGGTTGAGGGAGATGGGGAAGGGGATGATTGGGTTGATGTGAGTTCTGTCCTCGTGTTTCGGGGACAATAGCTGATTGGCAGGTACCTCATCGAAGCTGTAGTGTATTACCATCTTTCCGCAGAGCAGCTGCACCATCTGAATCGCCGATCAGCGCAGATCAACGCCCTCGCGCCGTCCGCTATGGCCCCGACCACCTCCATCCCAGGGATCGCCGGTCCCACACCAACTCTTTCATCCAGCTCCACTCTCCCATTACAGAACGCACCCGGCGCCCATACCTCCCCAAACTCCGAGTCCCCATCACAGTCTGTGGGGCCTTCGCCCCACTCGGCGTCGTCCTCTAGCCACCCCGAGATCCCAACCGAGATCATGGGCCTCATCGCTACGTCGACTACCCAGTCTTCGCGCGCGGCCTCCAACCTTCTGCACTCGCGACACCACCTTCCGCTCTCCCTTCTCCGATCGCGCTTCCCCGGGACATATGACCTCGCTGTCAACTCGGAGCTGGCGGACGAGAGCTTGCCGCCCCCTAACGATCCCCTCGGGGCGGCGCGGAAGGTGGATATCGATACCCTCGAGCGCTTCGTCTGGCCCATCGAGCTGGGTATGTGTGCGCCCATGGCGCACATGACGATTTTTGGGCGGGCGCTCGTACGGGAGATGGCGGAAACGGCTGGGAGGGAGTGGGATACCGAGATCGGGGTCGTGCCATAGCGAAGGCGGAAGAGAGGGAGAAGAAGGGCGAGAGGCAAGGCCTGAAGATGCGGTGAAAAGATTAGCGAAACGCTGAGGGGATAAGGGGCGCTGTGTGCTATGTGGGATTTGGGTTGCTCTGCGTCATCATCGTTTTGTACATACTTCTCTTTCTTTCACCCATCCCCGCATTCATTATGTTGTCGCTATCTGCTAGTATAATTTGTATTTCTCTGTACGGTCTGGTATGCACGTCGTTGCGTTCCCCCTCCAGCTGTAGTAGGCATACAGCATGCATAGGTGACCAGCTCACAACTAATCATAGTCCGGCCCCGAGGCGATGCCCAGCCCATAGTGATCGTACATCTCCTGCGCATACTCGGTGTTCCCATCGCCCATGGGATCATCGCTGTCGTAGTCATCGTAGCCGTCTGCCTCGTTCCCATACGGATCATAATAATCATCGTCGTCCTCATCTTCTGGTTCCTCCTCAGACTCGTCTGCCGAATCCGGCAAACTGCCCTCGTCCGCGCTTGCGTCGCTGACCGCGTCTTCTTCCTCCGCCTCTCTCCCTGCATGGGCTCGCCACTCCCTCAGAATGGCCCAGGGTTCGTTCCCCTCGCCCAACGATAAGGCCCGCCCGCCCTCGAGGAAGTCTGGCGATTCCCCGATTGCTTCATACACCGCCGATAATACCTCACGGGGCACGGTCATTCCATCGAATTGGGTCCAGTCCTGCCATTGACGCCGGATTCCCACGTAAGAGGAAATGTAAGAATGGGGTATCGTCCGCGATAACGTGCGCAAGTGCCATAACGTCGGTTCTCCGGTCCGCGTGTATTCCCGGATCACCGCGCCGCGCAGTCCGTCCTGGACCCAGGAGTGGGGCAGCACGAAGAAGTCGTGGGCGACGTGGTGCGAGTCGAACAGGGAGGGACAAATGTCTTCGGCGAACATGAGCTGTATGGTGGACAGGGAGGGTGTGCGGTCGAAGTGACGAAGAGCAGCGGGATGAATACGACGGATAGGTTCGGGAGTGTGGCCGACAGGGAGAGCCGCGTACTCAGCCATCGAGGGGCTCCGGCCGGTGATGATTGTGAGATGGGTCAGATCGGTCGAACGAGGCAGGTATAGTCGCTGCATCATCAGGTTGATGCTCTGGCATATGAACAGAGCTGAAAGTCACCTCAAAACGGAGCTCGTACACCTCTCTCCAGTCCGGTATCTCCACCACCGCTTGTTTGACCTTGAGCGGCAAGCGCCTCGTGCCAAACTCCGAAAAGTCTATACCACCCTCGTTAGGCGGCTCCCTATAAGCGAACAGCTGCAACGAATCCAGCTTTCCTTCTCTTCTCAACAAGCGTAGCGCCGCATCCTCGCTCTGTGGGATCCAGCCGCCTCGGAGCCGTAGTTCCGCCAGATTTGGAGCCAGCCGCAGCAGAATTGCGAGCAAGCGAAGGCTTTGGTCGTTCTCCTCGTGCGATAGATGATCAAAGGTGAGCCGATTGAGAAGGGGGAATGGGCGCCTCATGGCACGCGGGCCGAGGCTCCAAGGGTCGCCCTCGAAAGAGCCGCAGGAGGACCCAAACTCGAGCGATTGCAGCATCGGTAAGTCCATCTTCCAGGGCAGGATCACCTCTGCGATGTCGTAGTCCGCCCCGACAGCGAGCTTGAGATGGGTGAGACGAGGAAGACGGACCGAGTGGCAGGCGGCGGTGAATTTTGAGTGAGCATATGTACGACTTTCCGTGGCGCCTGGTAGGGGTATGATGTCGAGCCGCCTGAGACGGGGAGCGACCCAGCGCAGGAGCCTGGCGAGCGAAGCCAACATTGCCGCGGGGACTCCGTCCGAAGGCTCGACCCGGAGTTCCTTGACGTACTGTTTCCGAACGGGGTATGCCTTCAACGCCTCGAATACGCGCGAGAGCTTCCGCTCGACTATGGCGGTCCGTTCGCGACGCGACATGATGCCTTCATCGCTATAAGCTTTGACTGCTTCGTCTGATGTCATCAGAGAAGCTCCCTGCCTGGAATGCAGATCACTCACCATTCCAGCCGCTGGTCACATCGACATGCTCCCACACCTTGACTTCTCCCGCATCCCGCAAAGATTTGCAGGTCCGGCTGAGATTCCGTGCCGAGCCGAGATCGAGGTGTTGGGCGAGCTCGATCAGGACGTCTTGAGGGATATGGATCATCTCCCGCGGAGTGATGCAGGCCGTACTGCCGTTCTTGCTGATATCGACGCGATATGACAACGGCAAAACGAAGGAAAGGGCAGGGATTTGAGGCGTCTCGCGCAGCCAACTCCACATTCCTCGTAGGATCGTCTCACACAGTGCAAAGCTCTCCTCCTGCCGACCCTGTCACCGACGACTAGCCTTCAACATCGCCCTACTTCTTGATATAAGCAAACCAAGATCCATCGCTCTAAGTACTCATCTGCACCCAGACCAAGAAATCTCGCTCTCAAAACCCATCGTCGCTATCTAGCTGTCCCCCAGGTACCCCCAGCCCGAAGTAGGCATACATGTCCTGCGAGTGCTCATCCATCCCGCTCCCCATGTTTGCCCACGGATCATCCTCGTCGTATCCATCGTACTCATCCTCGTACGCGTACGCGTCGCAACCCGGCTCGGGATCCTCCTCCTCCTCCTCCTCCTCCTCCTCCTCCTCCGCCTCCTCCTCCTCGAGTTCCTCGTCCTCCGCGCTCGGCTCATCCGCCGACTCGTCTCCTGATTCCGCCGAAATTGACTCTTCCGCGCTCGCCACGCTAACATCGTCCGCAATTTCCGTCTCGGCCTCCGCACCGGTCCGCCACAGCCGCAGGATGGACCAAGCCGCATCCCCCTCGCCTAGAGGCAACTCCCGACCTCCCTCGATGAAGTCCGCCGCTTCGCCTATCGCTTCATACACCGCCGACAGCACCTCGCGCGGTACAGTCATGCCGTCGAACTGTGTGAAATCTTGATAGTGCCGCTGTACGCTGACCAACGCATTGATGTAGTCATGGTGGAGGGTCCTCGATAGCGTACGTATGTGCCATAACTCCCTCTCGCCTCCAGCTTCGGTATATTGTCTGATGACTGCACCGCGTAGACCCTCGGTTACCCACCGCTGAGGCGGCACGAAGAAGTTTGGTATTGCGGGATCGACGGAGTATATGGAGGGGACGAGGTCGTCGGAATGCATGAGCTGTATGGCAGCCAGCGAAGGGGTGCGACGAAGGTGGCGGATTAATTGGGGATGGATGCGACAAGTGTCGATTGGGGTGGGGCCGATCGACAACGCTCGATATTGCTCCGGGGTCACTCTACGGCTGGTACAGATCGTGAGGTGTTGAAGATCAGGTGCTCGAGGCAATTTGATTTTCTATCAAGTCAGCTTGCCCAACACGCAATAGGCAAGGCAAACGGCTCACCTCGAATCGCAATTCGGTTGGCTCCGTCCAAGTTCTCATCTCCACTACCGCCTCCTTGACCTTCAATCCACTCTTTCCGAACTTGTCAAATTCCATACCCAATACCCAACTCATATCAGGACATTCCAGCAGCTGCAACGATCTGAGACCATCTGCTCTCCCGATCAAACGCAGCGCTGCATCCTTGATCTGAGGGCGCCATTCGCCCCGCAGACTTAGCTCCGCGAGGTTCGGAGCCAGCCGGAGAAGGACCGCCAGCAGTCGAAGGCTTAGATCATCCTCTTGGTGCGATACACCGTCGAAAGTGAGCCGCTTGAGGTGGGGGAATAGACGCCGCTCCGATCGGGGACCGAGGTGGTGTTGAGATCCCATGAAGGTCCCATCGTTGGATGCGATTTCCAGCCTCTCCAGCAGGGGTAGATCCATTTTCCAAGGGAGGATGATATCCTTACTCTTACACTCGTTGCCGAAGCCGATTTTGAGATGGACGAGCCGAGGGAAGTGCAATTTCGTGTGACATTGCGCCGCAAAGTCCGAGAGCGAGTCATGGGCGGAAGGAGGATATGAATATGGCAAGGGGAGGATATCGAGTCGGTGGAGTTGGGGTCCAATTTCCCGAAGCAGTCTGACGAAAGAAGAGCATCGGACAGAGCGCTCTCCATCCGACGGCTCGATCCTGACGCCGACGATGTACCGCTGCCTGGGACTGTAGGTCCGTATGGCAGCGAAGACGCGCGATAGCTTGGCATCGACGATCCGGCCGCGTTCCGCGCGTGAGGGGGCACTAGGCTTGCAAGCCTCGGATTCCAGACGAGCTACCTCTGAGCACGTCAGCGATGTTCGCTATCCCAAGGAAGTGACACCACTCACCGTCCCAGCCACTGGTGATATCCACCAAACGCCATACCCTCATCTCGCCCGCATCCCGTAAAGATTTGCAGCTCCTACTGAGATTTTGCGCTGATGGCAGATCCAAGTACTCTGCGATCTCGGCTAGCACCTCATGAGGTATATGAGGCAGAGGCCGCGGGCTGAGTGCTGCTGCGTGGTGGATTTGGCTCATACTGATGTGGTAGGACAAAAGCAAGCAAAAGAGATGAGTCAACCAAAGCTCCGCAGCCACCAGCACCACATTCCTCGCCACATCTGTCATTGGAAATTGCCATATGCGTCGATATCCCAAGCTCCATCATCCGAAGCTGCATAGGGTGCCCTCAGTACAGACCGTACTCCTCCTCGTCATCATCCACCCCATATGTATCGTACCCATAGTACGGCTCGTGCGCCTCGTACTCGTCCTCATCATCATATACCCCATCGTCGTCCGCGTACGTCCCGTCTGCTGTGAGATGTGGCCCCATCATGAACAGTCCGTCCGGGTCTCCTCCCTCCTCACTGACGATGCTAGCGTCGTCCTGATCCTCCGCTATCAGATCATCATCCTCGTCTTTGCCGCCCACGCTCACCCACCAATCCCTCAATAACGTCCATCCGGCATCGTCTTCTCCGAGCTGTAGATTCCTCCCGCCGTCCAGGAACTCCATTTCACAGCCTGACGCCTCGTAAACCTGCTGTAGGGTCGCCTGAGGAACCGCCAAGCCCCTATACCGGGTCACGTCCTGCCAGGTCCGCCGAAGGGAGACGTAGGCGTGCCCCGAAGGGTGGATGAGGGATCTCGAGAGCGTACGGACATGCCATAGCTCCTCCTCCGTCTCGTCGTATCCCATCGACCGACGGTAGTGCCGAATGACAGCGCCCCGGTGCCCCTCCTCGACCCAACGATGAGGAGGCACGAAGTACTCGGGATCGGAGTCGTGATATTCCTGGTATGGGTCCGGCTGGAATGGATGCTCGATGTAAAGGAGGATGAAGGTGATGAGGGCAGGGACGCGGCGTAGGGTGTAGATGGAAGCGGCCACCAAGAGCGCTCGGTCTGATGTGTTTTGACCGATTGACAGGGACATGTAGTCGGCGTTGCTTGGGCGAGGGGGTGTAATGATGGCGAGGCGTTGAAGCGTGACTGAGCGCGGGAGCTCCGTGTTCTGCTGTATCAGCGTTCGCCATCATTATCGCGCGTAAGCCAGGAAGATGTCAACTCACATGTAGGTATAGTTCGTTCGTCTCATCCCATCCTGGCGGCTGTATGATAGCTTCCTCATACTTCATCTCCAGCCGCCCAAAGTTCCGAAATCGAAGCGTGTCCTCAATCATGACCTGGGGCTCCTCGTACATCCATTCCGCCTGAGACACCATGATAGTCCGAAGTCGCTTTGCCCGGCTGATCGCCTGCAATGCTGCATCAGACCGCCTGGCGCTCCACGTCCCCTTGATACGAAGGGTAGTCAGGTTTGGCGCGTTGTTGATCAAAGCCGAAAGGACGTTGGTCCGGGTACCCCCACGATGGACGTTGAGGTCGCCGACGGTGATGGTCTGGAGTAGGGGAAAGTGATCTGCTCGCTGTAGATTGACTACCGCGGAGCCCGTTTCCTGCAGCGTGAAGACCTCGAGCTCCCGTAAGCTTGCCATACGCTCCAGCCAGTTGTCCAACCAGCTGATGTCCAGTTCCACACCGCATCCGTATTTGAGGTTGGACAGGTTGGAAAAGCTGAGATTGCTCTCGTTCAGCTTCTCCAAGAAGTGCTCGGACGAGTAATTGTGCCGTTCGCCTTCGTTCAATAGGCGACTGAGAGGGCGCGGGAGGATCTCGAGCCGGCGGACCTGCGGTTCGAGGGTGATGAGGAGCTCGATGAGGGATTGCGCCCGGTGGCACTTGGGTCCGTCCGAGGGCTCCAATCGGATAGCAGTGATGCAGCTACGACGGAAAGGGTACGACGCCAGGGCGTTCTGCGCATGGGATAGCTTTGAGTCCACCCGATCTGCGCAGAGCTTGAAATCTGAACGCTCCATGACCGGGGACATGGACCGCCCTGCAATAGATCAGCCACGACTCGGAAAGCCCGAAGGTCGTCAGACATCATTGACTAGCTCACCAGATGTCAAGTCCAGTGTACACCATACACCTAGTTCCCCAGTATTTCTCAAAGCCTTGCATGTCAGGGCAAGATTGCGAGCTGACTGCAAATCGAGAAATGGCCGAATGGCATAGCTGATCTCGAGCGGGATGTACGGGAAGGCCTTGGTTGTCTTCGAGGCGCAGCTGCTTGCCTCTCGACTCCGCACAGGTGAGAGTTGAGGCGAAACAACCATGTTCGAGTAGGTCACTCATATGAGAGAGAAAGTGCAACTGAGAGAGCTTTCCAGGCGGCGAGCACTCGATAGTGGTCGGCAATCCGTGCGGTCAGATCGCATGATTTGTGCGCCATGCCCAGGGCCGATAGGTAGGCCTCTAATCATGAATACCATTTGGTGGGGCGGCTGACTAGCGCCGACTGGATGAGCCGGGGACATGGCCATCACATTACGGTGCATAGCGGTAGCCTCAATCTACCCTTGTATCACTCATCGTCAGACAGGAGGTCATCATCTTCCGTCCCGTCCAGCACGAAGTTGTCCTCCTCATCCGTCTCGTCCCCTACAGTCCCTCTCCACTCCCTAAAAATCTCCCACGCCCCGACCCCATCCCCCAGCCGCAGCCCTCTACCGCCTTCTTCGAAGCTTGACGCCATACCCGCCTCCTTGTATACCGCCTCCAGAACATGCCGAGGAACCCGCCGACCCTGGTAATGGGTCTGGTCCTGCCAGTATCGCTGTATTCCGACGTACGATACTCCCCGCTTTGACCGCCTCGCCCGGGACAGGATGCGTATATGCCAAAATTCCTCTGGCGGTTCCATGCCTCGTGGGCTTTCGTACTCGCGGATGACGTGACCTTGATGGCCCTCGCGAGCCCAACGGAGGGAGTTGATGAAGTATGTCTGTTCGGTGGGGTTGGCACAATATACTGAAGGGAACGGCTCTTCGATGTGGAGATAGAGGATGGAAGCAAGAAGGGGCGATCGACGTAGTTGATGCATGGATCTGCGCGGTAGATGCGTTGTGGCGAGTGGAGTTGGTGCGACACCGTCCCCATGGCCCTAGGGCTCCTGCTCGTCTATCAGATCGTCATCTTCGGCCCCGTTCAGGAAGAAGTGATCTTCCGCATCTGTATCGTCCGCCACCTCTCCTCTCCATGCCTCCAGTACGTCCCACGCCGCATGACCAGGCCCCAACTCCATATCCCTGCCACCCTCATCAAAGTCCGATTCCATCCCCGCCGCCCTATACACCGTCTGGAGCACATCCCGCGGTACTCGGCGACCCTGGTACTCCGTCATATCCCTCCAGCATCTCTGAGTCCCGACATACGCCACTCCCCGCTTCGACTCCCTCGCTCGCGATAGTATCCGGACGTGCCAGAAGTCCTTCTGTCCTTGAACGCCTGCCGGACTTTGATACGACCGGATGACGCAGCCTCGATGTCCCTCGCTGACCCATCTAGAGGAGTCGACAAAGTATGCCTGTTCGGCCGGACGTGGATTGTAGGTGGAGGGGAAGGGCGTCTCGAGGTACAGGTAGAGGATAGATGCGAGGTGAGGGGTACGACGTAGTTGATGGAGGAACCTTCTGGGGATATGCGATGTTGCTGCAGGCGTGGGCGCCAAGCCGAGAGCGACGTACTCGGACAGCGAGGGTCGCGGTGACGAGAAGAGTGTCATACGCCGAAGCGCGGGGGCTTGTGGAAGTCTCAAGTCCTGCCTTATGAGCTCGACGACGTGCAAGCATAAATGTGACGCTTACATATAGATGACCATCTCTGCGCTCGTCTAGTTCGTCAAACTTGGCCGCCAGCTCCTCGACGACCAAGTCGCCCTCCCCCATCCCTAATCTGGACATTGTAATGCCCATGAGTTCGTCGTCAGATGGGTCCGCCTCCGCCGCCTCGAAATCCACCAGGATTATCGTCTTCAGCTTGTGCAGTGTCTCCATGCTCTGCAACGCGTAATCACGACGTTGAGGGTCCCATTCTCCTCTCACACGTAGGACCTCCAGCTCTGGCGCGATCTCAAGGAGGGAGTGGAGTACCCCGTCGTTGGGCGCGTATAGTCTATCATCCTGGTGATCGACCGATATCCGCCGAAGATTGGGTAGATCGACCTGGGTCCCGACGAACGGTCTGCTAATCCGGTAGCTGCCGATCGAGGAGCAGAAGTCTATCTCCTCGAGGCTCGACATCCGCATCAACCAGTCACCGACCGGTATGGCCGCTTGGGGTGGATAGGCGTATTTGAGGTGTTTGATACGGGGGAATGCCAATACCGGTCCGGTAGTGGCCGCCATGAAGCGAAAGAAGAGGGTACATCCGGTCTTGTCGTACCCGACCACGGTCCTGGCTGGATCCATGGGCTGCGGTAGGATGTCGAGGCGCCGGACTCGGTGTGAGACCTGCGTTAAGACCTCGATGAGCTGGTGCGCAGTCTCGCCGATTGCGCCATCGAAAGGCTCAAGCCTGACAGTGGAAACGTATTCCACGCGATGGGGAGATGCCGCGAGGGAGACCATTAACCGGTCGACCTTGGTGGTGACGATGGCTAATCGCGCCTCCAAAGTTGTGAGATCAAGGGGAGAGTATGGATTGGGTTCCGCTTCCTCTGCATTGTTAGCGGAATGCTGGCGGATGAAGGCGTCCTTCATTCAGACTGGACTGACCACCCCATGAACCTGTCATGTCCAGTGTCTCGTAGACCCTCATCTCACCCGCCTCCCTCAAAGCCTTGCAGACGCGTGCCAATCTCAGAGCGGATTGTAGGTCGAGATGGGAGGCAATCTCTCTCGACAACTCTTCGGGGATGTACTCCATGGTGCGAGACTCTGGGGGAGGCTGAGACTCAGACATGATGTGCCAAACTAGTGTGTGGGGTCGACGAGTACAGGAGTAGAAGAACGGCTTGGACGCGACGCGTCTGGAGGAAGCAAACAAGGAAAGGCGGACCAATTGATTTGAAGGGTGAGCTCGGGAAAAACTTTGCTCAACTCCGCATTCCTTATTACGTTGTTCTTGCTGCACGTTCCATGATTCAAAGACTTGCATGTGCAATTGACCCCGAGTGTGCGCCGCTCCGTATGCGCGTCACTCAACGATTAATATGCCTCTCATGCGACTTCAAGACGCTCGTGGAGCTCAGTCATGTTCTCCCACGCGGAAAATCTGCAAAGATCGTGGCAGAATGGTTGAGCTGCGCTCATATGAACGACGCACGTGCGCCGCCCTTACACCCGGATTTCCTCCGCCCAGCATGGTTTTCGCGACTCACATGGATCGACGCGCTCTCAGTTCCGCTTCTCCCGTCCGCTCAGCTTCCTTTCATCTCGCACGCGATCTCGACCATGTCAGACGACCACAAGACCGATCTTCAAGAGAAGCCAACCTCGCTCGTTCCGCGTCAACAAGATGATAGCGAGTCGCTCCGCTCGGAAATGTACACCCAGGCCAAGCGGGAGGGAGTCAAGCCTGCCTTCCTGGCCAAGGTGCATCTGATCAACGAGGCGATAGCTGAGACTGGGATGGGGAGGTATCAGTGGGAGCTGTTCTTTACGAGCGGCTTTGGGTGGATGGCGGATAACCTTTGTGAGTCCATCAGTCCCGCGCACGGTCCATAGCTGACTCTGCGAGGGCTACAGTCTATTGCCATCGTCATGCCGGCTGTGGCCAACGAGTTCAAGCCGTACCCATATGTGCGGCTCTCTACGCTCGCTCTCTACGCGGGAATGATCGTTGGGGCTACGTTCTGGGGAATGAGCTGCGACGTTATTGGGTCAGTCCACCCCCCTGTGACAATACTACCTCCCGGCACTTCTCCGGCTATCTGAGGTGGGCTGATCAAGTCAGCCGGAGACTAGCATTCAACTCCACTTTGTTCCTCTCCGCAATATTCGGTATTGCAGTCGGCGCCTCTCCAGACTACGTAACCTTCAACGTCCTCATCGCACTACTTGGCTTCGCTGCTGGTGGGAATCTGCCGGTGTGAGTGTTCTTCAGGCTTTGTAGATGCTATGTAGAGATCGAGGACAGCATTCACCAGATCAGCGACGGTACCATGTTCCTCGAATTCATTCCCGGAAGCAAGCAGTACCTTCTCACTTTCCTCTCGGTGTGGTGGGCTATCGGGCAGGCAGTCGGCTCGCTGATTTCGGTGAGCCTCCAATTCCTCATACCTTCGCGAGTGAGGGATTGCAGCTGACATGACAGTGGGGGTTCCTCGCCAACTACGGGTGTCAGACGCGTACGTATCACTGCACGTGCCATTGATCCCCAGCTGAAGTCGCAGCTGCGGCGGGAACATTCTGCTCCAAGGAATCCAATATGGGCTGGCGATACACCTACTACACCCTCGGCGCCTTCATACTCTTCCTCTGGGTCGTTCGGTTCTTTGTGTTCCCGGTGCACGAAAGCCCCAAATTCCTCGCGAGCATTGGTCGCGATGATGAAGCGGTGGAGGTGAGCTATCACTCACGCGGAGGAGTGTCCGAGCTGACGTTCAGGTCATCCATAAAGTGGCCAAGCGGAACGGCATCACCATCAACCTCACAGCAGACGATCTCCGCCGAGCAGCCGCACCCTACCTCTCCAAAGAAGAGACCGCCGCCATCGCTGACGCCGACCAAAGCACCAAGATGACTACACTCGAGCTCATCAAGCACTCCTTCTCTCAATGGTCCTTCGTCCACATCACCGCCCTGTTCTCCACCCCACGCCTCGCCTACTCCTCCTCACTCATCATCTTCTGCTATGCCGCGCTCGGACTCGGCTATCCCCTCTTCAACGGCTTCCTCGGCGGATACCTCGCGACCAAGAATGCTAGCCTGGGGGTCATGGATCTCGACGCGACATACGCGGCGTACACGTACCAGGCGGCATGCGGTATCCCGGGCTCGTTGGCGGCGGCTTTGCTTGTCAATTGGAGCAGGGGCGGAAGGAAGTTTGCGATGGCCTTCTTTACGGTCGTATCAGGCGTGGTGCTCTTTGGATTGACGCAATCAAAGACAACGATTCAGGTTAACGCTCTGATCAGTATCGCCAGCTTTTTCCAAAACGCTTTCTGTGAGTAACACTATCTACCTCTTCGCTTTGGGGATCGAGCTGACAAGTCAGACGGTTGCCTATACGGCTACGCCCCGGAAGTCTTCCCGGCCCCGCACAGAGGGACAGGCGACGCCCTCGTCTCAGCCGCTTCACGTATCACCGGTATCTTCGCACCCGTCATTGCAGTCTACAGTCCAGCTGCCAACTCGCCCGAAGCGCCCGTCTTTGCCGCAGCTTCAATATTCGTCGTGTGGGTCTGTTAGTGCTATATATCAAGAAGCGAAGCTGATTACCAGGACTGGGCTCGTCATGCTGTTGCTGCCAATCGAGACGTACGGCAAGACTGCGATCTAGGCGGGTGCCGACAATGACAGCGTAGGCGGCGAGGGAGGGGTCTCTTGGTATGAGGGCAAGCTCAACCAGTCGTAATTACGTATGGTTAGCGTTACGTATCGTCCCCTTTGGACCCTTATAGAAGTTTTTAGCCATACCTTGTAGTCTTCTCTTTGTACCTCTAGAACATAGATAGATGTGCTGAGTAGACTCCAGGTACGTATGCATACCTCTAAAACATAGATAGATGTGCTGAGTAGACTCCAGCACTCTAGAGAGTACCCATATCAGACACTACAATCTGTCTCAACCTTGTCCGCTTTGTTATCGTTGGGTCTAGTGATTTATAGTGGTATCTTTGTCTTGGGTGACCGGAGCGTTACATTTAGGTAGTGTCGGGCGCATAGCTTACAGCTGATGTCAACTCTGCAAATAGCTGGTTCGGCTGGATCCTGCAGGCTCGTCCCAAGGGCCATGGCCACACCGCATTCCTCAGGTCGGCTTTGTGGTGCCCCGCACTGGCAGCTGGATCGGGTTCGTGCTTCTTTTTGGTGATGTGTAGTCACCGCTTCTCATTCACCCATACTCTTGCTTGCACTGACTTCGAGCACACTGGCTTGACTCTTACACCTCTGCAGCTCGCCTTCGCCATCTTACCATGTCATCGTCACCCGCTCCAAAACCTGCGGGCTCGGTCGCCGAGCGGGGGACGAGGAGAGATTTGCCGCTCAAGCTTATCGCTGAGCGAATCAAGTCCAACAAGGGTGAGCTACCTCACCTACTCTGAGGTCGCACAAGGAGACAAGGAGAAGCTGAGCCGAAGGGCAGCCAAGAACATCGTCGTCCTCACAGGAGCGGGTATTTCCACCTCAGCCGGAATACCAGACTTCCGATCGCCCGAGACTGGGCTGTATGCCAACCTTGAGAGGTTGAACTTGCCTTTCCCAGAAGCCGTATTCGAGCTTGGATATTTCAAGAAGAACCCTGTGGTAAGCTATTCGACCCAGCTTTGCCGAGAACGAGGCTGATAGGATAGCCGTTTTGGACGCTGGCGAAGGACCTATACCCTGGCAAATATCTGGTATGTCAATCCTGAACGACCTGTGACCAAGCTGATATCTCACAGCCTACGCCTACACATTACTTTCTCACTCTTTTACACCGCCGCTCCGTCCTCCTCCGCACTTTCACCCAGAACATCGATACGCTCGAGACACTGGCCAGCCTACCTCCCGAGAAGATCATTGAGGCGCACGGGTCTTTCGCTTCTGCGCATTGCCTCTCATGCGAGAAGGAAGTGTCCCGAGAGTATGTCCTGGAGGCGGGAGTGAGGGATGGCAAGGTGGTCAAGTGCGATGAGGAGGGTTGTCGGGGACTAGTCAAGCCGGATATTGTCTTCTTTGGGGAGGGTCTACCAGAGCGTTTCTTCGAGCATATGGGAGTGAGTTGAATGGCCTACTCGGACCGGATAGTTTCCATCAGCTGATCATCTCAGGACCTAAAGAAAGCCGACCTCGTCATCGTCATCGGCACCTCCCTGCAGGTCCAGCCCTTCGCCTCTCTCGCACAGTATTGCCGTCCAGGTACCCCTCGGCTCCTGATCAACCGCGAAGCTGTCGGACCATTCGCACCGCCCCGACGCAAGACGGGCAAAGAGAGCCTCGGGACGCTGCTCAGCCAGCTTGGCATCAGCGAGAGCGACGTCCCTGAGCTGGAGAGTAGCGACGACGAGGCGGCTGGCGGGTACGATTACAGCTTTTGGAAGGGTGATTCGGATGAGGGGATCAGGAGGTTGGCGAAGGAGCTGGGGTGGGAGGAGGAACTGGATGAGATGATCAAAGAGGGACATGAGGCGCTGAGAGCCAAGTGGAGGGAGGCGGATCCGGTCGGACAGATTGAGGACGGGAGGGGCGAGAATAGGGATTTTGCAGCAGAGGCGGAGAAGCTGGCCAAGGATGTGGAGGCATCGAGTGAGCAGAGGGATGATGTTGACCCAGAGCTTGATAAGGCGAACGGCAGAAGCAGTGACGAGGACGATGAGGACGACAGCAAGGTGCCAGACGACGAGATCAAGGATATGGGTAGGATGCTTGCGGAGTACATGAAGAAGGGGGCGGAAGCGAGAGGGCGTGAATGAGCGAGATCAGGATGCCGATAGGACGAAGATATCTGTAGCATAATGTCCAAATTCGAAAGGGTATATGATTGCGAAAGTCTCGCTACTGCACAACTGCGACGCCGTCCGCTACTGGCGCGAATATGATCCCCAAACCCTTATCCCTCCCTTGTCCCCACCCTACCTCCCATCTCACTCTTCTTGAACATGATCGCCTTCACTTTCACAACACCACGCATTTCTTCCCGCGGACCCCCCTCCCCTTCTTCCGCAGACTCTCCCTGACCGCCCCGTCGAATACCTCCCGGACTCCCCTACCCATCTTGGCCGAGCATTCCAGATACCGCCTTGCGCCTATCTCTTTCGCGACCTTCTCGCCTTCCAGTGCGGTGATAGGGCTTGTACCCTGAGCGGCCATGAGAGAGGTGGTGGTGGGGTCGTCGCGGAGGTCGATCTTGGTACAGATAAGGAGGAGGGGGACGGATTCGCAGAAATGTGCCATTTCGGGATACCACTGGCAGATCAGCATAGCTCAGAGCTGCATCATTCATCTAAGGTCGCCAGGACGCGCAGAATGTCAACTCATGACGTGCGCGCGCCGCTCTCGCTTGGAAGCGGGACTAACCTTATCTTGAACGTTCATCAAGCTTGGTCGGTGGTTGCACGCAAACACCACCAGTATGACGTCCGTATCGTTGTATGATAATGGTCTCAGCCGATCAAAGTCCTCCTGGCCGGCCGTATCCCATAACGCGAGCTCGATGATTTTGGTAGGATCCGTAGGTGAAGGTATGCGCGTAACCAGGTTCTCGAATACTGTTGGTACGTATTCCTGTCAGATAAGCTATTGCAGGGCGAGGCAGAATCGCTGGACGTACCTCTGGGAAGCGATTCTCCGCATAGACTGTCAACAGGCATGTCTTCCCACAACCTGGTCATCAGCACACCATTCAGAGAAAGGAATGGCGGACCAAGCGTACCTCCGTCCCCAACTACCACCAGTTTCCGGTTCATATCTGGCCTTCTGGCCGGTCCTGACGGTTCGAAGCCTGACATCCTGGGCTATATGCGCTGTGTGAGAGGTGCACGGAGTGAGTGATAGAGCTGTGAAGTGCAAAGTATGATAAGTGGTTCCCGCTCGAAAGGCAGTCAGAGATCAAACGCGTCTCAGCTCCACGTGGGAATGAATATCCGGGCGGAATTCTGGACTTTCCGGAAATGGTTTGTTTGGTCCCGGACACATTACAGCCCGAACAGCTAATTAATCCGACCACCAACCAAGATTTTCACTTTGATACATCTATCTCGCGCAATACCTTGATCGTCATGCTCACCCTACAACGCTCAGCGACGGCTGGACCGTCAGCTATAGCGGGTCCGTCCCGCCTTCCTACTCAGCCGCCAATATTGGCGCCGACGCCCAAGCGGGCAAGGTCTAAAATCCGGTCGCCATCTTTCTCACCCTTCGAATCGAGCTCTTGCTCAGTACCTCCTGCGACGCCAGTCCGTCCCCGTGCGACCACTACGCCGTCCAGACCACCCTCGAGGACGGAACGGAGATATCAATGTATTCATGCGGGGTGCGATAAGGCGTACTTCAAGCCGTCCAGGCTGAAGGAGCACGAGCTGACCCATACTGGCGAGGTGAGCTGACTCTTCTGGTCGACTCGTGCGACTTGGCGGCCTGGGTGTAGAGACGCAGCTGACATATTTAGCGACCGCACGCATGTCCACATTGCGATCAGACCTACCTTCGAGCCTCCCACCTCACCGCGCACATGCGGACGCATCTACCGTCCTCCGCTCGAAGCTTTGAGTGCAGCTACGATGGCTGTGACAAGGCGTTCTGGACCGCTACGCATCTCAAGCGGCACCAGGAGATGCACGAGAAGGTGGAAGTATACCCAGTGAGTCCCGGTCTGGACTGAAGCTCTCAACTTGGCTGACGTGATAGTGTCCGCATTGTTCGGCTTCCTTTCACAAGGCCAATCAGCTGCGTGATCATCACGCTATGGCACACATGCCAGCCGGGACAAGGTCGTTCATATGCCCACATGAAGATTGCTCAGCATCTTTCGCGATGCGCCAACAGCTCAAAGCGCACGAGAAGACCCATGATGGTGAGTTTTGTCCCTGTCAAATTCTGCGCAAGGGTGTGCAACTAACGGTATAGCCTCGCGCTATACCTGCTCCCATCCATCACACCAGTCCCACCCTACCTTCCCTACCTGGTCCGCTCTCCAAACACACCTCCATACCGATCACCCCCCGCAATGCCCCCATCCGGAATGCGGTGGCAAGATCTTCAAAAGCGCTCAACGGCTGAAGGATCATCTGAAGGTGCATGCTCTGCGAGCGGAGGACGCGGTATTACGGATGGAGTCGGGCGAGGAGGATGATAGGGCCGACGCGGCAGTGCTTGCTGCGGGGCGGAAGAGGCGGCGGAGCTCAGCAGCTGGGCTTGACGGTGATAAGGGGAAGAAGAGGGTCAGGCTTGCGAAGGTCGACGAGGCTATCGAGAAGGAGTTTGGGTGCGAGGAGGAAGATTGCGACCGCATTCTCGCCTCAGTACGTACTGTTCTAGTTACTCTGAGCACAAGCTGATCTACCAGAAATCCTCACTTAAGAAACACCGGCAATCCGTTCATGCTCAGGCCTCGCGAAGCGTTCCTCAGCAATTTTCCACGTCGGCCACCAAGCCTGCCTCGGGCAACGTCGACATCCTGACAGGACCAGTCTCCGCCAAATCTCTGGGAGATACGAGGCGATACGGCTGCCCTATCAATCGTCTTCCCGATGCCGCATCGGATATCGGTGTGCCCACTCGCCTGCACTGCTACTCTCGGTTCTGGCGGGTGTACGATGTTAGGCGGCATTTGAAGGCGGAGCATGGGCTTGAGTTGGATGATGAGGAAGTACGGGAACTGCTTGTGGAGAAGCCATGAGCTCTGGACCGGATTGCCCGATCTTTTCTGGCAGGCCTCGCTTGTGCGTCCTTCAACGTCTTCGCTTAAGAATGCATCTCTCAATCTCTCATTCTCTGCCAGAGCGGTCAAGTTGAGAGAATCTCAGCGAGCAGGATAAGGGCGTGGCCAATAGAGGATTGTCCCATATAACGCTCAAGGTAGCCTGGACAAGGTTGAGGACCGGCTTCTTGATCAGGCCAAGGACGAGGTCGGCAAGGTGAAGCTCAGCGACTTGGTCGAGGTAGAGGCCGGGATAAGTCAGGGACATAGTTAGCTCGTAATTGAAGCTGGAAGAGAGAGGTCGAACGGCTTGAGCCTATATTTCTGCTTTCTTCATGTCCGACTTCTACTTCCTTTGTTTCCTTATGCTGTGCCATGATAAGTCATGCGTACTGAGGCGGAGAGTGAAATATTCCCTATGGCCCACTGCCTGTATGCTAGCAAGACATATCATATTACAGCCGACCAGGATTCTTTTGCGCGAACTTCCTGATGATCTGATCTGACGAATTTGGGGATGTTCCCTGTTCCCGGGTGACCTCACCTACAAACACCCTCTGCATGAGACAGCACAAGAGTAAGACCAAGGTGTTCTTCACCGCACTACTAGATCGTAGCCCGCAACTCTCTTTACATCTGTCAATTCAGTGCTACGTAGCTCCCGTGACTGTGTCTTGCGACTCGTCCGAGTCGTTCCCGGAATTATCCTCGTACCTCAGAAAGGCACTGTACTCCGGCGGGGCGTAGACGCGCCAGGTCGGACGCTCCTGAGCCGAGGGCTTCGTATAGGTATCTGCCTTTGCGATGAGGCTGAGCGCCGCCAGGCGCGTGTCGTCACCCTCCTCCCTCGTGATTGAGTCATCACGCTGCTCGAAGTCGAACGATATCCTGACATCCAGGTTGTCGCTGGCGTCAACTTCGACATCTCGGAGGTTCAGAGTGGTGATGATCGCGTAGTCAATGCCCGACAAGGCAGCTGTCCAGACTGGTACCAGCTCGCTGAGAGCATCTTGGACTTGCGAATGGAGCCACTGCGCCGCAGCCTCCGCGGCTGCTTCAGTCGGGACGTCTGGGTGAGCTGCGTCCTGGAGCGCACCTGCAACGATGTTGAAGAAAAAGCCGTCCTTGCCGCTCTGCTTGTCGATCGCGTTGAAGACTAGGTCGATGAGTAGTTCGCGCAGGACAGGAGACGCAGATGTCGGGACGGCCATGGGGACTGTTGTGGTCTTGCAGGGTTGGGATTCTTTTCTGTCGTGGTCGGTGAAGCGAGCTGCGAAAGTCGTGATAAGTACAAAACATACTCTATGTATCCATTTTGTAGGAGTTCCCGACCGTCGAGAGGCATGGCCGGACGGAGAAAGGATGGGCGTGGGCCGGACGCCTGAGTTTCAAATTCAGGCTCCTCCTTAAATTCGGTTGTATGCTGCATAAATGCTCTCGAGACTGGTGAGCGTCCGTCCGGTCCTAACCCGCAAGTTTGAAACCACACTCTACCTTCACTCTCAGTTACTGTCAGTGAGCTGGCATGTTGAAGGCGGGGGGCCGATCGATGATGAGTCCACGTATCGTCGACGCTTTCAAGTGGTGATCAGCTGTCGAAACTCTGCCCCTGGCCAACCTGTACTCGACGGGTTGACCCTCTACTCCAGGTTTAGCTTGCTTCCAGTCTAGATAGCTTCGAACTGTGAGGAACCCATCGACACGACGATCCGAACGAGGAGGACAGGTACAAGTCCGTCTTAGTCTCCTGCAATGAGTAGTGGCTCAAGGATGCAGAGTGTATCCTTTACTCTCTGTTGCCCTCCGCTTCATGTACTATCCCTCTGCTCGTGGACCTTCGACTTCAGGTGGAGGCGTCACAATCCCCATATCCAAACACCGCCTGATCGCCTCGACCTCAGGTCCCGTATTTGTCCTGCTCCATCAGCCGTGCGCCCAATGGACTTTCAGCACATTCACTCACTTGACCAGCTCGTCAAGATATGCCCTCAAAACATCCCCTGCCCGCTTATCCATCTTGTCCACCTTGTCCAGCTTATCCGCCCGGGTGGGACCAGTGGTGATCATCAGGACAGGCTTTTCTTCCTCCACGGCTTGTTTCACGAGCCGGTAGGCGGAGTAGGTGGCGAGGGAAGTACCGAGGACGAGAAGCTGAGAGGCATTGGCAATAAGGTCGAGGCTGGACGTCAGCTATACCCTACCGGTTGTAGCCAAGTCGACGGGGGATCATGGCTCACGATTCATCCTTGACTTTCGGATTGAGTGTCTCTCCCTGACATACGGTCAGCCATTTTCAGAAGGCCTGATGATACTGATACGGCACGTACGAAGAACACCACATTTGGCTTGACGACTCGCTCCTTCCGCCCCTCACCCTCGCAAATCGTACAAGGCGGAACAGTAAAGCTCGAGAAGTCTACCCCGGAAAGCTCCACCTGAATACATCAGCTCGGCTCCTCTGAAGACTGTAGAATGAGGCTAGCTCACATCACCATCCGGGTTCGTCCTTGGCCTCACGCCCGTCCGTTCCGCCTCGAGCGCCATCTCCTCCCATACTGGATTCATCTTGGCCAACTGCGCCTGATACTCGTCTCGCGGCTGCTCGTGCTTGGCGTGCAGGCAGTGCACTTTGGCTAGCGTGCCGTGCAGCTCAACGATGGGGGGCACTGTATGTGGGCGCCGGCCGCCGTTGCGGGGAATCGACTCAAGAAGGAGTGAGCGGGCTTTGGGGTGGAGATTATCGACCTGTGATCGTGAGCTCAGGATCACTCTTCAAACGAGAACAGTCCAAAAGACTTACATTCTGAGTGATTAAGTTGGGAGCGAGTCCGAGCAGCTGGAGTGCGGCGACGTAGACATGAGTCGGATTTGGTCTAGCATCTCGTACAGGCGGATACTACAGTATCAGCACGGTACCTAGGCTGCCGGTCTATAGTCCCTGCTGAGGGGTCCAGCTGGACTTACACCTAAGAAAGATCTTGCCCAATCTATACAGCTTGTATCAGTAAGCTGGCGCCGATACCAGAAGTTGCACAAGCAATAGACGTACATCTCTTCCTGAACATCTCGCCGCGAGGTGTCTCCTCGACTAGCTCATGGTACAGGATTGGTCTGCCCGTCAGCTCCATAGCTTGACCTCTCTCCCAGCCCCCGCCAAGTCGCAGTGACTGATGATACTCACTTGTAATTGGGATTACTATAGTGCCCCTCTTTACCTCGGTAGGCCCTAATTCCACTATCCACGCTGACTCCCGCTCCAGACAGAATCACCGTCTTCCCCTTGCCCTTAACGAGGAAGGTGTTGAGGTACGCTGCTGCCTCTTTGAGCGGGAGCTTGGTCAAGGCCGATGGAGGTAGCGGAGGCGTCAGAGGTAGTGTGGGGATGGATATCCTGACCATGGCGAGAGGAGTGAAGCAGGATAGATACAGTAGCTGGAGACAGCGAGCAAAAGTTGGCAGTAGCGATCGCGAGGATCGGCGCACGAGCAACGAGTTCCGTTGGAAGCGATATAAGGAATGCTGACGTCACAGACGTCTATAGAGTTCTGCCTCTCGCACTCACCTTACCAGCTCTGAAGACAGAAGACAAGAGTTGTGCGATGGCTTCTCATACACCCTGAAACAATGCCCCGGATATTCCTAGCTTGGACGTACATCATACATAGCGTCTACAGGTATCACAACTAGAGATACTTCACACCAAACTAGACAGCGCAGCACTCGAGAAGTGCTGCCTGCCGTCCTGCTACTTCCCCCTTCCGTCTATTAACGGTCATTCGTGTTGTTTAGCTGTCCAGTCAGCATATAATTCTGTGTACAGCAGAAGTCAGGTCATGCTCGACTCACAACGCGAAGCACGCTCAGGAACAGGTTGATGGCGTCGAGGTAAAGACTGAGGAGTTAGCCAGATCCTCCAGCGCATTCAAAATCTTGGGCTACTCACCTCAGCGCGCCCAGCACGTACTCGTCCACCGACAAACGCTTCATGATCTGCTGGGTGTCGTAGAGCACGAAAGCGGAGAAGAGGAGGACCGAACCACCGGCGAGAACTAGGTCAAAGTTTGCGTTGAAGGGGAGGAAGATGGAAACGACGGAGGCGGTGATAAGGCCCCAGATGCCCGCGAAGAGGAAGGGTGCAAAGGAGGAGAAGTCGTACTGCGCCATCAGCTCAGTATCTCGCATGAGAGCGGCAGACGAACTCACCTTGGTTTGGAAAGTAAACAGGGTCAGGCCTGTAAAGACCCCGAGAGTAATAAAGAGGGCTTGGAGGACCTGCCTGTCAGCTCCCAGCTATTGTCTCTCGTTTATTCCGCATCATCTTCCGTCCTCTCCCAAGCCCGATCCCCTTCGGACACATCTCTCTGTAGGCCCTTTTGGATCTATGTCCCTTCGGAGCTCCCTTCATTTCCCTCGATGCCCCTTTTCTTCATCACTACCATCCCTTCCGCTGCATTCAGGCCCGAGATAGCCAGCACCTTCGGGCGTCACGGCGGCCGGAAGGTGCAGCTCGGAACGGTAGCATGATCAAACATGGGAGCACACTCACTATTCTGCTCTCGTAGTAGCTCGTCACCGACCCAATCATCACCGCCTCCAGGAGCGTGAACAGCCCCACAAGAACGAGGTTGAGCGGGTGCTCATGCCTCTTCCAGTACACCCCAAAGAGCGCCACCAGACTCCCGAGCATCGGAACCCACATGGTCCATGGGTTCGCGTGCGTAAACTCGATCGCCGCCGGTAGACTCATGGCGAGCGCCACAAGCGACGTAGCGAGGAGCTGGACAAAGAGGATCGAGTAGACCTTGCGGATGAAGGCAACGCGAATCTCGACATCGCAGTCAATGACGGTGACGCCGACTTTGAAGTCATCAGGCAGGTCATCGTCGGCTGCTTGGTCCATCCAGGCGTTCCGGCTTGCTCCGGCCGCCATGGATGATTGAGCGAGGAGGGGCGCGGTGGACGGGACATCGCTGGGTGCGGTGGCGCCGTATTTAGACTTGGAGCCCTTGGAGGAAGGAGGAGAAGCGGGTGCTTGGTCGCTGTACTGGGGTGGGGCGGACATGCTGTCCATGACTAGTGAGATGTAAAGATTGAATGACGATGATATAAAGGAGATGGAGATCTCTTCTTCGCTCGTACTCAAGGCGCTGCAGCTGCAGTCAAGGTGAGTGGCGAATATTACGTCACACGGCCAAATTTGATTCCGGGTGACGACAGCGAGGCCTGGAACGTCCCAGAGCACTCTTTCGACGTTCATCTCCATCTATCACTCGATCTCACAGCACATTCAGCCAATCTCACGCTACAGCCAACGCACAACAGTGCTACTCCAGCCCGCTTCATACAGCACCCCTCTTGCCACTGGGCTAGAACGACCATACTCCAGCGATCATGTACGCCTCCCAGATGACCATGTTCTCGAGAAATATACAGCCCGTGTAGGTCTATGAACGCTCCACAATAGAGTCCCAGCTGACAGTCTAGCGGTACCCTGGGCAGTGCCGACGCGGGGCCACCCCTCCCATTCGCTCAGCACCATCATGATGTTGAGAATCCCTTCTCGCCTGTTCTCGCTATCGCGAGGGTCGGCGGCGAGGGCGGACCGGTGTACGTCTACTCGGAGGAGCAGGGATCTGGGTCTGGAGCTACGTGGGCGGGCGGTGGTAGGCGGTGGTTTTGAGGAAGGCAGGAGGGGGTTTGTCGTGAGTCTGTCCTTCATCTGCACAAGGACCCATAGGCTGATCACCAGAATCATGACGCAGAGAGCCAGAGAGCCTCTCCGACCCCCTACCTGTTCGACTCATCTCTCCCGGCCCTCTCCCGGTCTTTCTCCCCCGGCTCAGATACTTCAGTCACGGCTACCGGCTCTATCGCTATCGGCAATAATCACCTCCGCAGTGCGCTCCTCACCCCCTCCTCGTCCATTTCGGGCGACACCTACATTGCGCAGTCTTCCTCTACCACTTCCTCGTCCACCCTGTACGGCTCTATGCCCAGTTGGTCGAATGGCTCTACCATTCCCAAACCCTCTTTTACGACCACACCTGTATCAATAACACCTCGGAACCAGCCGGCGGCGCTCACCATCCTCCTCTCCTCCCTCTTCCCGCACAACCACCAAGCGATTCTCGCAGCTTGCCACGCGCTCGAGATCGTCACGCCTCCCTCGCACACTCTACATGGGTTCCTCATCGACACCTCATCCGCTCGCACAGCCTTCATTCACCTCCCTCCCCCGCACTCGTCTTCGTCTCGCCCAGAACACCTCTCGGCCAACTTCTCCGAGGTGCTCCGTCCACACGATCCACAAAGGCTGCCCAGACCTTCCGCTCTGTCGTCACTGGCGGATGGTCTGGACATCCGGGAAAGTCTGACAGCTCTGCTGGACCTGGCCGCGGACAGCCTGGAGGCGAGCAGGATGGTGCTGATCTTGGACAAGAGGGAGCGCGGGGAGGAGGGCGTTCGGGAACTGGTCCACAGCCTGATGTACGCTGGAGGACAGGTCATCAGGCCGGGTGGGATAGAGGAGGGCTGGGTCTGGGATCCGGCGAGGTGGGCTATGGTGGGGATGGAAGTCTAGGCATAGTCTGAAGCCGTTTGTAAAACAAGTAGTGTACCAGTATTTGCCCCGCTTATGACAATTGATTTGAACTGCGCGAAGACACACGCGCCGCATTCCCAGAGCTGCATCCGACTAGTCTACTGGCCCTGGCTCATAATGAGCAGGGCCGCAACGGCAACCTGCTCCTTGTCCTCCACGCTCTCGGCCACCTCCTCCAAGCACACGGAGAGGGCGTCTGCATCTTGTCAGATTGATTTCACCCTCGTTCTGTCAGACATTCCTGGACATACCATCTTCATCCTCGAGCCCCTGCTCTCCTTCCTCCCGGACCAGGACCCAGTGGAGCCGGCCGAGCTTTCCCGGGTTGGGCTGTTCATCGACCGTACAGGTCGACGAGGAGGGGGCCCTGTTTCGTCAGCACCCGGCAGAAACGTAGAGTGAGTCCACTTGCATGACCATACTGGATGAGGCGGAGGACATGTTGATTTATTTTTTTTTCGTTTTTTTGTTTTCTGGGAGGGTTGCGGGGACGGTGGTGGCGAGGCCGAGGATGTTCTGAGAGGTTGTGATGAGAGGAGAAGAGGAGAACAGGACGTACCGTCTTATATGGCTGCCATCTGAGACGACCTCAAGAGACCTCTCCACGTCAGTCGATGCGGGCCATTCAAGCAAGCGAGTAGTCGCCCGTGAATCAGTTACATCGCCCGTAGGATACCTCAAAGACCGATGAAACGATGATTGAAGGGCCTAGATCGACTCGAGAGCGCGAGTTGTTGGGACGAGGAGTTTAGAGCGTGACCGGAGGTATAGCGGGGAGATTCATTTTCGTATCTATCTTCTCGAGTACTGCTCGTTCGTCCACGAATCAAATTCGTACATGTTGCCACGGCTCGTCGGAGTCGAGAGGTACCGGCAGGTGCATAGGTCGCTTGTACGGTCGTGCCGCTGTCGAAGAAAACGGTATCCAGAGCGTGACGAGCGAGGGGGGTCTCACTTATCGCGTCGGTTCCGCGGGTATCCACCTTGCCGGAGATTCGCCCGCATAGGTTTCACTATGCCTGGCGATAGTCCTTCGTACGATGGAGGGTCGTTAGACATGCTGACCGATGACTCGAAGGTGGCCTAGGCCATGTATGACGTCTTCGGCTGCTTGCCAGCTCTCGATATGGTGCGTCATTCGCGACAGCGCAGCGAGCAGGAGCTGCTAAGGCCAGACTCGCTGGTGTTGTTTTGCTTTCGCCCGTATTGACGGTATTGACCGGTCATACCCGGACGGTCTCCCATGTAATCGATGATACATCCGTATACATGTGCCGGACAGCTCGATCGATGTCCGGATGAGCGGCGTAGATGCTGCCATGAGCAAGAGCCGGTGCTATCTGCCCCGAGCATGCCGATGCTATCGCATCGTGCATCGTCATCGCTGCGGCGCTGCGGACGTAATCGACGTTTCGGATCCGACAAGTCCGCTCTGGTTTCGTACGCGCTGTTCGCCTTGGATTTGACTTGATAGGTGAAGCGATACCAGCGGATGTAGATGGTGGTCGCCCAATGGAGACATAGCCGTCGTACCAGTAAAGAGCGTAGCGATATCCTTTGCTGATATGCGTGCCTTATGAAGAAGCGGAGGTTTGCGTCGGTGCGCTCGGAGAGGTCCACCTCGGTGAGCTGGGGCTGTGGTCGGCCCAAGCGAGTTGCTGTTGCTGACTGGTATGATGGCGCAAGCGGCGTGGCTGTTGCAGAGGCTGCTTGGATGATGTAAAAGAGATCAGTCTTGAGTAAGCATCAGCTGGGCGTTATCGTGCTCAGCGGTGGACGTGCAGGAGACCCGAGCGGGGCCAGGAAGAAGCTTTCACGTGTCCGTGCCTGAGTCACGATATGGCTGTCTTCTTGAGTCTGTGTGGCTGCGTTGTGGCATCGGAGTACCTGTCTCCGAGGCGTACCGGCGTGACATATACATGAGTCAGTCGCCCAGCATTAGCATCTCCTGTGCGGGTGGTATCAAGTGATTCACAAGGGCCTCGTACCTAGCGAACAGATGAAGTGTGAGCAGTACAGGATCAGTGGATCAGCGCTTCTTGAGCATCAGTAGCACAGCTGCGACAAGTGCGTCGCGGTGACATGTCAGCGAGGGTAGCAGCACCTAGGCGATGGAGAGAGGCGTCCTGAGCTGCATCAACCTGATGCATACCCAGGCCTGGGACATGCATCCCTGTTTTCTTGTCCTGGGATATCTAAAGTCGGATATCGAGACCGCTGCGCACCAGCTCACAAGGACATGGCCTTTACCTCGTCGGCAACCTCGAAGTGGCACACCCGCCGTGATGAAACGCCTCCGCCACATTCCTCGCACAGCACTGGAACCTGCCGTCATCCCATCCCTTCGACCCTCCTTTGCCGATATACATCGAATCAGGCAGCTAAGGGGGTACTTACTAATGGGCTGACGCGAGTCGTCAAGCGTAGAGAGGAGTGAGGGCGGTGCTCAGTGGGCAGGCGGGGTGCGGGGGCCAGTTGAGGAAAGGGTTGGGTGATGTTCTACGCCGTCAGCGCATCTCGAGGCGGACATCAAGGTTATCGATTCCCAACTCATGAAGGTTACCGATTTTACTCACTCCACGTTGAAGTCACGACGGAGGATAGCATGTACGAAGAGGTTGTCCAGCAGGCCTTGTGGTAGCCCGGATAGAGGTAAGGTTGATTGATCGCATATGGGCGGCTACGCCTTTGCGGGTCTGGCGCATGGTGCCGGCCTAGTGATAAGACTGATCAGGCTACTTGGCGATCAGCACTGACAGGAAGTGGATGACTGAGCAGTAGCAACGCTAGGCGGATAGCAGGGACAAGCTGTGAAATAAAATCAGCGATCTTGTCAGCCAGGAAGTTTTCGGTATTTAATCAGTAAGGGTGAGTACTGGCCGCGCAGGCTACCCTGTTACTCCACTTATACCTGTGCCGAAACTCATGATACCCAGGCGGGTCATCCAGGCAGCTGACGTCCTCATCTCACCGACCCTCGACTGAAATACCCACCAGGATTTGAGGTCCGTGCGTGAGTATACGATTACTTGACGCGCAGGGCGAGCTGGCAGGACTCGGCCGTCCCTCCGAGATGCGAGGACGAGGCAGAGGGAGTATAAAGTGATGCCCGACGAGGGGTCCAGATGCGAGGTTCGTCCGTTCAGGGGTTCGAAGGTCGCCGCGCGGTCCGATGCCCTTCCGTATCTCTGACCCCACTGACCCCTGCGCTCATGCTCGCCTACCGGTTCCCGCCCCGCAGTACTACCACGTTCGCCCGACCCCTCGAGAGGCCTTGCTAGCCGACCCATGCAAGCCTTGACCTTTCCCGCAGCCGCAAGCAAGCAGCGAGCAACTCATCCCAGAACTTCGTCTCCCGCCCAATGTCGTCCGTCTCCCTTCTGTGGCGCCAATGTGGCTTCAACTTCTACACCCTGCCACCGCCACGGCCTCTATACCCAGCCACAATGACCTCACTGCCAGCAGCAACGCGCTCGGTCTGAAGAAGACGCCCTCGCGTGTCTCATCCGCCCTTTCCCCTCTCGCTCTCTCCCCCTAAGTCCGGCATAGCTCCAGTGTCCCCACCTACTGATGAGGCACTGCATCGATACCTTTGCTCATGTGGGGCTCGGCCTCGCCTGCCTGGAGATCGGGTGTCGGTCGTAGTGTGGAGAGCGAAGGAGGCTGTCGGATCAGAGGGGTGGAGAGGAAGGGGAGACGACTTTGGGCGCTCGATGATGGGTACGCTCGATCGGGCGCCACTGGTACCTGCAATGATCAGCTGCTGCGCTCCTGACCCTCACCAACCTCCCGAGACATGCTGACGAGTCACGGCTCCGCCTGAATGAAGGGCTTCTCCCGCCCCCTTTATCTCGACTCCAGCTGTGTCCTCGACCTCCTATCGACTCCTGGCTGATCTATACGCACATAGTTTGCTCGTGAAGAGCTATGATATAGGTATAAGGTGCATACTGATCAAGCCAGGATGTTTACTGCTTGTAGCACAGCCACCTGATACGTGGGTATCGACTCAGCATGCGGCGATGCCCGCAGCCGGATATGAATTGGGCCGAGGTGGAGGTGGTCCACCTGTAAAACTGTTGCGGCATGAGACATTCACTCGTCACCAAGGCTCAAGACCTCCAACTCGGGGTCCAGATTGTGTCTAAGCGAGTCATACCAGACCCGACTGGCGCAAAAGAACCCAGCTTCATGGATATAAGAGTGCCGGACGACGGGAGTGACCGGCAAAGATCCGGGATGAAAATCCATAGAGAAGGCTCCCGGACAAGCTCAATGTATGACTCAGCGGACCGACCCGAGGCTGAGTGCTTGAGCTCCGGCAGATCTGATTCTCCGGAATATGTAGAGTTGTCCAAAGCTGTGATGGCGGATCCCCCAGGTGTAGGGGCCGTTGGCCAGAGATGAGCAAGAACAAGATCACAGTGGACGATAAAGCGCCGATCCTCCGTGATGCACTTGGACCACTCAAGGCACTAAATAACAAGCTGCGGCAGGTCGTTCTACTGGAGACCTGTCCGGACCTTACAAAAAAGCTGGAAGCCGTGTCCGATCAATCGAGTGGCGAGGGGGCACATGTACAACTGGGGAATCGCTGCCTGAACCAAAACGTCATTGATGAGTCGATAGCGGGGTTTCCTGCAGACCGAGACAGCTATGGGGACCGTGATTCCGGCCCTCTTTCCGGTAGAGTTCATACCCGCGTCAGTCACAGGGTCATTCGCGGGGCTGTGCAGAACGCGGGGCAGTGCACGCGGAGCAAAGCGTCATAGTGAGACAGCACCAATATACCCTGATATTAGCCGCGGGAGTTCAAAACATGATGAAAGGTGTCCGAATCAATGGCGATTTGAATTGCCATCACTCATGAGCGCTTTCGGCCCTTGTCAGTCTGGCGGATGGGTGTGCGCTGCCCAGCTGCAGCTGTTCGCTATCCTCAGCAGCACCTCTGATGGGTGGCGAAACGATGCCGTAAACGTCGCGAACCCGCCTCGCCGTCGCGGGCTCGTACTGTAGCATGGAGAAACGCTGAAGTGTGTATGCTATAGTCGTTGACATGTACTCGAGAGCTGGACACGATATGGCTGAAGGGAGGTTTGTGGCCCAACGAGGGTTGAGAAGCGTTTCCTCCTCTTTGACCCGAGGCTGCCACACTCTCCGTGTTCGGCTTTTGCCGAGTAACGCCGAGCTCTGCCAATAGCAGCAGCAAGGATCATCTTGCTTCCCCTCCAGGTATCTTCCATTATGAGCAGAGACGAACTTGAAGGCATAGCTTCTGACCCTCCCTTGGAGACTGATCTCAGCCTAGCCCTGTCCGGCACGAGCTGCCGAAACTCACGCGACTCAAACTAACGCTTGCATTCCTCACTACTGTTTCAGACTGCGATCCCCCATCAAACACGACCGGATGCGCCGCGGTACACCTGAGGGCCAGCCAGAAACCTGGTCACATGCCTGTCGAGGCCTCTGGGCCCCGGCGCTTTGGATGCTATCTCCATCTAGTCTCTCGCATGCGCTATCCTTCTTTCCCCCCTTCCTCTCCTTTTCTCGGACCCCCTCTTTTGTTTTTACGTTAGGTCAAGCTGGTCTTGCCCGTTCCGCTCCTTCTCCCCTTCCCTCCCTTACCACAGCCCTGCGGGCCCAACTCCTCGTCCGGTACGATGCGTCTCTCCTCCCTCTTCGCCCTCCTCCCTCTCCTTCCGGCCTTTATCGCCTCGCCCCTCCCTCGACCGGTATGCAACGGACGACCGCTCGCTGCCAACCCCGACTTGCAGCCTCCGTCGGACGTTCCAAAGCTGCTGGATATCAGCCTCGACCTCAACATTGGTCTCAACCCAGGAGCGGATCGATACCAAGGGCTCGACGTCCTTCACCCAGACTACGACATTGCGTCCTACAACACTACGGCGGAACAGGCACCCTTCAGCCTGCTCAACATTCGAGCGCGGCCGCTGAGGCGGCACTTGGCGATTGAGGAGCTGGGGGCTGAGATGAAGGCGACAGTCGGCAAAGTTGGCGGGGGCGAAGGAGCATGGAGCAAGCGGCAGGAGGAGGAGACGGCGCCACCGCCATGGACGGAACCACCGGCGGAAACGGCGCCAGCGGAGGATGCACCACCTCCAGAGCCAGAGCCCACGCCCGAGACCACTCCGGAGCCCGCGCCGGAACCTGCACCCGAGCCAATCCCAGAACCCGCTCCAGAACCCGCGCCGGAACCCGCTCCAGAACCGGAGGCACCCCCCTCACCTCCACCCTCTCCCGATGCGCCGTCCCCGGAAGCTCCCACGGCGTCGACCGAGACGCCCGAACCTCCCGCCGCAACCCCTGACACACCCTCCACCTCTACTCAGACGCCAGACACCCCATCTACATCCACCGAGGCGCCAGCGGCGCCATCTACCCAAGCGCCAGACGCGCCCGCCCCATCCACTGAGGCTCCAGCCGCTCCTTCGACGCAAGCACCCGAGGCGCCGACTTCTACGCAAGCACCTGATGCACCCTCCACGCAAGCTCCGGATGCGCCCAGTACCGCCGCTCCTTCCGCTCCATCCACCGAAGCTCCATCTGCCCCATCCACTGCCGCTCCCGACACCCCTACAGCCTCTACCCAAGCACCCGACGCACCATCCACTCCCACAGCTCCCTCGGCTCCTTCATCTACTCCGCGACACAAGGGTGTACCGGTCTTTTCGGAATCTGCCGCCCAGCTCATCCAGGCCGAGCTGCAGTACGTCCGCACAAAGTACGCCAACGCAATGAAGGTGCTGTACAATGCGCCTCTCGCCGCGGTGGACGTTGTGGTCGATGGAGGGCAGCCGGTGGAGGGTGTAGACGGCGGAGAGGTGGGAGCGAGGGTGACGCTCGTACCGGGGAAGGAGGTGCTCGAGCCACAGGCGACAAGCACGCAGCGACTCGAGGGCGGGGAAGAGCAGCCAGCACAGACCGCTACGACTAAGTCGGGGGAGGTCAAGGAAACGGGCATCCCAGGAGGGGAGGCCGGCGCGAGGACGGGCTTGGTGGAGGCTGGGGACGCGGTGGAGGCAGCCGCGGCGCACGCGATGCAGGTCGCTTGGTCTAGCCGCAAGACTAGGCGTGGAGCGCCTCCTATCAAGCCCGCTCGGAGAGCGATTCCGCCTCAAGCTCAGCGGAAACGGCTACACCAGCAAACTCCAGCGGCGAGGAAGCGGACAGTCAACTCGCCGGCTGTACCTCTTACCGATTACATCCAGGGGAGTATGGACGTGCTGTACTATGGGGAGGTCGGGATCGGGTCACCAGAGCAGACAATGACGGTGGACTTTGACACTGGTTCCGCGGATCTCTGGGTGAGCTACTATCCTGCCGCTTTTGGCCAGTGATGTTCGAGGGCTGATATTGCAGATACCCTCGCAGTGCAGCTCGTGCAAGTCTAGTCAATTCAACAGCCCGCGGAGTAGTACCTACCGGGATACCGGCAAGCCTTTCAGCGTGGAATATGTGAGCTACCCTGCCCCTTTCATTCTCCCCGCTGGAGGAGCAATGTCCGCAAAGCTGACAAACCAGGGGTCCGGATCCGTCTCTGGCCATCTCGCCCAGGATGTCGTCCGCCTTGGTAATACCGCCGTCAAGTCCCAGTACTTTGGCGCAGTCAACGAAGAGTCCGAGGACTTTACAGACAGTCCCCATTCTGGCGTCATGGGTGAGTTGCTCTCCTTCCCCCTCGGGTTTTCAACGCTGACCAGCAGGGATGGCCTTCTCCAGCATAGCCTCTTCTGGCCAGAAAACCTACTTTGAGAACCTGATCGACCAAGGTTCCGTCAAGGTCCCTATTTTCAGCTTCCACCTTGCCCGACACCAAGAGCATGGATCTCAGGTACGTTCCTCCTTCGGGCTTCCCGTTGTATTTGTGCTGATTCTTTAGCTCTGTATTGGCTGCTATGACTCGTCCAAGTTCACCGGCGCCTTCACCTGGCTTCCCCTCGTCAGTAAGACCTACTGGTCGGTCAGTATGACCGGTTTCTCCGCCAAAGGAGCGAGCATGAACGCTCTGTCCCAGACTCTTATCGGCGTGAGTAGCATCTCAGCTCAACTCCTCCTTTCCCCTCCTTCCCTCTCTTCCCTGTTCCTGTTCTTGCCAGACTGGACTGGAGTTGACACCGCAGGCAATCGACACAGGTACAACCCTCATCTACGTTCCCCCCCGGATCGCCTCGCAATTCTACGCCCAAATTCCCGGTTCCGAGCCCGCATCGCAATACGGCGAAGGCTTCTTCCAATACCCTTGCAAAGCAGATGCGGAGCTGAAATTGCGGATTGGGTTCAACAATAAAGGGTTTGATTGGAATGTCAAGGATTTCAATTTGGGCCGGACGGGGAAGGGGAGCCAGTGAGTCTAGTCCCAGCTCTGACAGTGTGGAGGCGCATTAGGGAAGAACAGAGCTGATCTGCTAGCATGTGCGTTGGTGCGATTCTGGGCGTGAATGATGGGTTCCCGGATGATCTTGCTATCATCGGGGATGTCTTCCTCAAGTCTTGTGAGCTCCATCATCCCCTCCCTTCATTTGGTACGAGAGAGAATGTTGAGCTGACGATCTAGGGTACTCGGTGTATGACCAGTCTCAGCGCGCCCGCGTTGGTTTCGCATCGAGTAGCAATAACGCGCCTCCCCCCAAAAGATGATCCGAGGGAGCTAGTCCGGCGCGATCCTCTCGGCGTGATCTTCAGAGGATGCGCCAGGTCGAGGTAGTACGTACTCGTAGTAAAAGCGCTAGCCATGCATTGGCGAATGGAGCAATGAGCCAATAAGTGCGTATAGTCATACGGTATACATCATCAACGTGACTACTTGACTGACAAGGGACCGAGTGGGCCGAGATTACGATAGATCAAAGCCCCATACAAATTATAGAAAAACATGGACTGGGAAGGACTAGACAACAGTGAGATCCAAAACATGAAAAGAAGGAGAACTAGGGCTCGGCTTACAGCCCTGTTTACAATGATGATGAAGACGAAATGTGAAGGTGAAGGGGATGAATATGGTGATGATCAATGATCGGATCCGGGGCGCGCGGGGTGGCTGTAGCGAGGATAGTAGATGCTCGACCCGCGGGTCATGAATGCTGGCTGATGCGAATGGCGGGGAGCCTCCGGGGATGGGCAGAAGTGATGTGTGGGATGGACGGGTCATCGTCGTCCGATGCGTAATCGCGCCGATGGCCGGTAGGGGTGAATGAAGAGTAGATGGGTAACCGGGGCAAGGGAGATGGGGTCGGGGGCGATTGCGGAGTTGATGGGATTGGTGAGGATGGTTGAGGAGATGATCGATTATGGCGAGACCTTGGTGTCCGGGATCTCCTCGTGGTGTTCTTGTCGTGAGCGCTTTCATTTATCTGACGTATCAGCTTGATCAGACACGCAGGGATTGAACAATGACTTACCGTATATATGCTGCTGATCATACCATTGTGCTCGTCCGTGTCTCGTAGTCCCTCAGCGCCCTAGGAAGGTTGACCTCGCGTCTACTTCTCATCGTGACACCGCCCTCGCTTCCCTGGCTCCCCGTACTATCCCTCCTATTCCCAGCTGGCTCGCCCGCCGCTGATACCACCCTGCGCATACTTGTAGCGCCCGTACTAGAAGGCTCTAGCCCTGCCGAGGCGGTAGCAAGAGCGACACTGGATGCTCTGTTGCTCTGCCGAGTGGGAGCGACTCCGGGGGCAAGACGACTGGTAGCAAGGGGATGGGGCTTGGCGTCCGGGAGTGGCTTGTTCTTATTGTTATTGGGCGAAGTAGACTTCTTCCGACCTCCAGCCTTGGACGGACCCGCCTTGTCAACGGGTGGCTCGTGTGTCCTGGACCGCTTGACTCGGCGGTCAGCCCCGTCCTCGATATCGGCCGCGTCGTCATTAGGACCCGTGACTGCCTTGAGTGGCGATCCGACTCCCAGATTGCCCGTCCCGAGCGCGTTGGCGAGCGTGGTACCGACGGCCGAGATCCCGGCGGACCGAGTCCGCTTCAGCGAGCGCGCCGCGGGTGTGATAAGGGGGCTGGACTCGGCCGACGCCGGCTGATGGACGATCGTGGGGAGTACCTCCCTGCTGAGCCCACTTCCGCCGAGCCCGAGCAGGCCACGAACCTCATTGGAAGGGCTGGGACTCCGACCGGCCGCGTCCTTCTTGTACGCCTTTGGACCCGGACGCTTGTTTTTCCGCTTGGCGGCTATGGCCGCACGGGCCACCGCGATCGAGTCCTTCTTGACCTGCGCCTTCTCGTGGCTGGTGCGCTGGGCACGGAGGAGCTCGCGGGGGGATGGATTGGGAGAGCGGTCGTTACCGAGGTCGGTGCGGCGGGAGTAGGGGTGAATGTGGGATTGTGGGGGGGCTGACTGGGATTTGGAGCTGGTAGCCTTCCGAGGGGAGATGGTCACGGTGGTAGCGGGGTTCGAGGCGAGTACGCACCGCTCGATGATGGCCGAGACGAGGGGAGTGAGGGTGACGAATCGCCCAGAATTGTCATTGGCGGCAGGGGAGCGGTGGGCGACTCCCTTGCGCCGCGCCGAGGCGGAGGGGCCGGATGATGAAGAGGAAGAGCCGGATGATGCGCCTGGTAGGGGTGCGGCGGGGATAGTGGACATGGGAGGAGGGGAAGGAGGATCGAGTTGAGCAGGAGCGTCCTCGGACGATGTATGCGGTTTAGGCTCAGCGATAGAGTAGTACATGGGCTTCTTGCCGCCAGTATAGCCGATTGGGGGATTATGATGGGAGACCCGGCTGGAGAACTTGAGCGGGATGGGAGGCATGATGGCAGTGTGTGATGCTGTAGGGTATGCAGGAATGGAGGATGGGAGTGATGGGTGGATGGATGTCTGGCGAGTCAGCTCATACCCCGCGCAGCCTGATAGACCCCTCCCCGCCTTTCAGTCTCGGTAAAACCTGCTCCTTTCTGATACGACCCCACGTCGCCCCCGGGTGATGCCGACAGCGCGTCCACAAGATCCATAGAGCCAGTAAGAGAGAATCAGGACTTACAAGCTCTCTGGGCTGGGTGCTCACGTAGCCACTGCTAAAAGAAGCCGGGCCCAAGCTGATAGGAGGGGTGATTATTTTTGATCCAGCGAAAAGTGTGAGGGGGTTGAAGCTGTAGCTGAGGGAAAAGGGCAAGATACCGTCTGCTATAGCAGATAATGGTGTAGTATAGCAAGATGGTGACTGAGGGATAAGTAGGGAGGATGAGTTGAAGCTGTTGGATGCTGACAAGAGGTGAGAAGACTGAGGGGAAGCTCGGTGGACCATATCGGCTGTGTCGGAGTTGGCTGCACGGGAGAACGGTCATCGCTCGCGGCTGCCATGCCGGCATCTCGACACGTGGTTGGTCCTGCTTTCTTCCGGAGTTCTGCCGAGACGCGTCGAGATCTTGACGTCAGCGGCAGAGACGCGTCGCTGAAGGCAGGATCGCTGGACCCAAGGCTGGACCTGCGATGAATCTCACAGCCTCATCTCTCTGCTACAGTCAGCAGCCTATAGCACTCAAGGCAGGCCAGGATGTCATCAGGAGCTTCAGGTAGGCTAACCTGTTGAGTGGAATCCCGATCTGAGGAAACGCAGCTCACGAGCAGAACCATGGGAGGAGAAATGGTACGTGCAGTCTCGCCAGTACTGTACACCATCCCACATGGCCTGTTTCGTCAAGACCCGCACCCAATGCGGATCAAGGGCAAGCAACGAAGTCTTGGTCCAGATGATCTCGGACCATTTCTCCCGACAAGTCCACAACGGACAGCGCTGGACGGCTGATCCACCGGACTGTTCCAACTGATGATCGTTAACACTCACCCCAAGCTGACGAATGCAGGGCCGCGGGCCGCACGGGGTGGGACCAGGGTCAGCCGCATACTCCCCTCGTCCGCTTCCTCAAATCGGAGAAAGCGGCCGAGTTGGAAATCCCAAAGGAAGGCAGAGCGCTTGTACCTGGATGCGGCTTGGTAGGTTTGCCTATATTGGACTGTTATATGGTTCTCGGCTGAAGCCCAGGGATACGATGTGCTCTTATTCGCTCAGAGAGGACTAGATGCGACTGGCCTGGACATCTCGCCGACTGGCGCGGCAGCAGCGAGGAAGTAGGTATACATGTCAAGCACTCCCGGGGTCGGGGGAATGTCTAAGTCGCACGACCGATTCCGGGTCTTAGGCTGACTCTGGCAGATGGCTGGAAGGCCAGAGTTCTGATGACTCCGCTGTGCGAAGTCGTGTCCGCGTCACACTGGCCAACTTCTTCGAGTACCATCCCAAAACACCAGAAGAGCAGTTTGACCTGATATACGACTACACGTACGACCTTCCTCGCACCTCCGTTCTGAAGCCAAGCTGACCAGTCCAGATTCCTATGCGCCCTAGACCCATCACTAAGAGAAGGATGGGCCAAGCAAATGACCGCCCTTGCCAGACCCGGCCCATCATCCCGCCTCATCACCCTAATGTTCCCCTTGAATGGCAAAGACGGTGGTCCGCCTTACAGCCTTTCGGAGGAGATCTACCACCAGCTTCTGGATGGCAGGTGGGAGCTGATGTGGAGCGAGGATGTCCCTCAAAGGGAAAGGCGGCCTGGGATGCTGGGTGGGGAGAAGCTGGCGGTGTGGCGGTTGAGGTAGCGACGGCGAGACTGAGGGGGTCTGATGGGTTCTGGGGCGGAGAGTGGATCGGTCTTGGCTATGCAGAGAAATCAGTCTCTTCTGGACCCTCTTCAGCTGTAGTACCTCGTCCGCCGGCCGTGCAGCACTCAGAGATGCATGATGACTGGGCCAGCAACTCTGCCACAACAGAGTTTCGGACTTATCGCGCGCGATCCGAGCGCAGAAGCTTGTTGTGATTCCCCTCGACCTCTCACAACCACACTACAGCCCAGCACTTCTGCCCTTGACTCTGCACATCCTCCCTACTTAAATGGCCTCCATGCAGCCCGCCGATCCCCTGTCTGGCTCATTGAGGCCCTTCAATGGCTTGAGCACGCGGCCTCTCTCCATGTCCAGCGAGAACGGCTTCGACGACCTCTCCCTCTCCGACAATGACGAGCCCGTGGCACCAGCTCCGAAGACCAAGCTCGCCCCCCTCGCAGCTGTACCTACCGTCGAGGACGACGAGGAGCCAGTTTACGTCCCAGACGAGCCCAGTCCGGACCCATGGCGCTCCCCAGACCCGTACCCTGCCGCCTCTCTGACAAGCCGACAGCCTTCCGACGAGAAAGAAGCAGCTGCAAGCCCGCTCGGGGCGCCTTCGAGGGGGAAGCAGAGGGCAGAAGCCAGGACAGGGGACGTGCCTATCATACTGGGCGTAGCTGTAGTGGACTTCAACCACCTGGTGAGCTGAAAGCTGCTTGTGTCGAAAGCAGACTGAGCTGATATGGCAGATCGGCCCAACAGTCGAATTTGCGTACCCTCCCTCCCTGGAAGCAGCTATCGAGGATGATCAAGACTTGTCGAGGCTGCTACCCTTCCTCGCTTTACCTGATGGTGCCCACTTGGTATGTTCCTCCTTCTGAGCTCGGACGAGGCAGACCGCAGAGGCCCAAGCTGATGTCCCAGAGCGAAGAAGACTACTCTTATTTCGTACGTCTGCTTACAAATGACCTCTCGCTTCCGGGACGCTCTGACGTCTCAGCACTGCCTTTACTCACCTTCTACCGGCGCGTCCAGCTCGAGCACCGTACCCTCAAATACCACACTCTTTGGCATATCGTACGTCCAGCTACCATCGCCGCAACGGCTCATTGACACATAGCTGATCCCACTCAGATGTAATCGCCAACTCGCCTCCAAAGAGCTCCTATACCGTCCCGAAGACGTCACGCGAACGACAGTCCAGAAGGCTGTGGTCGTCATGGCCTCCCAGCCGGTCTTTGTATGTCCTTTGTTCAGCTAGCGCGCGATCCGGAGCGGTAGCTGACCCCTCAGGGCCCGATACGGGACAAGCTCGGCGTGGTTACTCGGGCATTCTTCGCTCAGCGGGACTTCTCACAGACGGGGATCTTGAAGGAGTTTTACGACAGCTTGGAGGAGGGATTGATAGGGAAAGATAACGAAACGTTCATTGCTATGGGTGAGCTGAGCCGCTCCTTCCCGTGAGCGGAGTATAGCTAACATCGCCAGGGACGAGCTTGAGAGAGCTCATACATAAGTTCAGACATCGGACCTTGATCATGCTCAAGATGCTCATGCTGCAAAAGCGGGTGAGTTCTCATTTCCCCTATGGCGAGGGGACATCAGCTGACCGGTATAGATCATGCTGTTTGGGTATCCGGTGGAGAAGCTGTGTACATATCAGTACTCGTTGCTATCGCTCATGCCCGGTAAGCTTCGGCTTCAAAATTGCTCTCCCGACCTTGTCAGCTGACCCCTCAGGACTGCTGCTCGAGCTCCAAGATTCAGGCTCACCGGACCTGGACATCCGGCCTCGCAGACCCAGACCGACCTCTTTCAAGTCTAGCGATCGCAGAAGCTTGCTGCGGTATATGGGTCTTCGTAAGCTTCCCTTTCAAGATACACCAGGGTATAGCTTACCCTACGCAGCTCTCCACCTCTTCGGCAAAGATGCCTTTTTTCAGCCTTACCTACCCCTTCAGCAGGTCGACATGCTATACGCCAAAACCTGGTTGACGGGCACGACGAATCAGATCGTCACGCAGCAAAAGGACTGCAAGTATGATTTGCTCGTCAATGTCAGTTGCCCAATCCTCAGTGTACCCCAGAGGAGGCGGAACTGACGGTCAGATCGATACGATGACGTTTGAGTTTGCGGATCCAAAGTTGGAGCGGATCGTAGCATTGACAGCGGCGGACAGGAGGTGGATGGACGATGTGGTCAGGACGGTGGAGGAGACGTGGGACCTGCCGGATGTGGAGAGATCGTCGTGAGTGGATTTCTCAGCTAGGATAATGCGCCTGACGACGGCTCGTCGTGCGATGCCACAGCTGAGACCAGCAGGTTCCGGGGAAGCGACGATGACCTCCGAGCTCGATTCGAAGAGTACATCTGCGCCGCTTTGGCTTCTCTGAAGCTGGAAGACTTTGTCCGGAAGGGCAAGCAGGGAGATACGGCTATCGTCGGTATCGGTCAGTTTATGTCCCACCATTTTTTGAGACCACGACCTGACAAGACAGGAGCAGAACAAAACGTCCTCGCGCCATTCTCGGAAGCATGGCTCAAGGAGTTCAAGCTTACTTCGGCATACGAGACATGGGATGCTTGTACCGATCCAGTCTTATTCGATATCTGCGAACCCAAGCATCCGTGCGAGGTGCCAGTGAATGTGGTGTCGGATCTGGGGTTACGCTTGACCGGTGCGTAGCTACCAACCGCCCTCCTGACATCTGGACGCCGTCGCTAACAAGTATAGAGGGCATGCACGACCTCAAACTCGACCAACATCTCGCTACAGGCCGAGATGCCGTCGCATCAGCCTTTGTCGCTGGTTCTTCATCCCTCTTCAAAGCCTTCGACGGGGTCCGTACAGAAGTCTCCTCCCGCCTCAAGGAACGCGAAGCAGCTGCGGCCGCCCTGGCTGCCGCCTCCCCACCTCCATCCGCCGCCCATGACGCTGGTCGTCGGGGCAGCCAAAGCACCCTCGCATCCTCCGATACAGCCATCTCATCCTCCACCCTCCCCGTACAGCACATCTCCAAAATCACTTCGTCCTCTTCTTCGTCCACTCCTGCCGCGTCGAGGATACCGATCCAGGCGCCGCAGATTGCGGATGTGCGAGCGACGTTGGGGAATATAGGAAGTGGGATAGGAAGCTTCTTTGGGAGTCGAGTAGCGAGCTTCCGGGCACCAGCTGTAGGGGCGACGCCACCGGCGGGAGGGGTGGAGGCGGTCAAGCAGAATGGACTGAGGCCGATGAGTCTGTCAGGGAGGAGTCTGAGTGATAGAGCGAGACAGGGCGGAGTAGACAAGGGCTGATGCTGACATGCGATATAGACATCTTTGGGAAGGGTGATCCTGCCTCCGGGATGTTGCGATTCGACTGAGACGGGGTGTCAAGCCCAGTCGCTTTCCGCATCTTGCTCACACATGCTGATTGTGATCTTCCTCTCGATCTGCAAGTCTTCCTTCTATGAAGTGCTGATTCTGGCCGCGTCCCCAAGGCGGATGGACAGCTGTTCTCTCGTCGATCTTCGTTTGGGTGGCAGACCGGAACAGTCTCGCTACGCTATCAGATGATCTGCAGTCTTCAGAGGTAGAACTCCTTGCTCCGAGCACGCGAGGGGCGGCACCTCGCCCACGACTCGCCCAAGCTCAGAGCTCAGGGCGAATTGCCCGCGGTGACGGAGCAAGACGGAGCGGGAGGTCATCTGAGACCTTCTGGGACACATGAGGACGATGGCGAATCGCCGGAAGTAGCGAATTTCGACAGGCACATCCATAGTGAGTAAGCACTTGCGAAATTGTCCTTGCCGGCTGCTTATAACAGGGGTGTCTTTTGCCCGCTGCTTATACCAGGGGTGATGAAAGCTGATGTGGCAGATCTGACCCACACTCGACCCACTCATCTGCTTCCTTGGGCGAACAGGGGCTTCTGTAGCCACTCATTCCTCACCCCGTGATGCCGTGATTGTCAAACCTTGATCTAACCTACCCATGTCTACACAGATCTACACACTGTTCACACACACAACGACTCCCCGAGCCCCTCGCTCCGTGTCCGCCAGATGCGTGCTTTACACACTGATGTCGGCGTGGGGGCTTCGGTCGCGCCCGCTCATTGTCCGAGCGCAGAGGATCGCGTACGTTAGGGGTAGCAGCCGGGCGACATCCCCACAGCGCCCCTTCTCCTGTCACGATATGTGTGACTTTTGGGCTCTCTCACTTGTACCTATCCCCAGTACTTCATCGCAGCATGCTGGCCTTCCTCCGACTCACCACCCTGGTACTGACCGCACTCGGCCTACTTCTTGCTGCAGATGCAACGAAGAAACGTACTCCCTCGGACTCCTCCTGCAAAACCAACGCCGAATGCATCCGCGCTGGTCAGCCTCTCCTCCGTCCTCGAGTCCGATTCGCCGACACCATCCTTCACGAAAGGCGCCAGAACACAGGCCAGGCCTTTGTACCAGTACAGACCTCGTCCTGCGGTACCGCTCAAGAGGTCTTTCTGCCGACCGGGACGTACCAGGTGCAGCTGAACGGCGCTGCAGGGGGTGGAGATGGAAGCGGGATATACAAGAATCGAGGAGGTCTGGGAGCGACAAGTCCGGCGGAGTTCTTCGTCAGTCGCAACATCACGATCGGATACTTTGTGGGATGCGCAGGCAGACAGAACGCTGGATCGGGAGGTGGGGGTGGTTCCTTCGTGTACTATCTTGGTCCAGGTGAGTGGCAACCCCACGGATCCCGACCAATCACTTTATACCTCTTATTCTTCTTGCTCGATCATGGCGACGAGACCGGTTCAATAGATCATCTCCGCCAGTGCGGGCCTTTGTTTAGTTGCGTGCGGTGCAGTCGCTGACTCCCTCAGAGCAAGCCTACATCATGATTGCAGGGGGTGGAGGTGGTGCCGGCTACAACCCGAACTCACCAGGTGCCGACGCCGGTTTCTACGAAGGGCAAGCGACCGTTCCCCCCGGTCAGAGCGGCTACGGTGCCCAGGGCGGAAGGGGCGGACTGGCTGGCGGTGTAAAAGGTGGAGCTGGTGGGGGTGGCTTCGTCTCCGCCGGGGGCAATGTGGGAACCACCGCGGTAAGTCGTTCCCTCGTAAACGCATATCTGGCACAGTCATTGATGTATCCAGTATGGAGGTAGCCAGTCAATCAACTACGGCGGGACTTTTGCAGGCGGTGTATGGAATTCGCAGTATGTATCCAACGTGAGCCTTAATGTCCAGCTTTCTCGTTGCTTGTTTTCACGAGCTTACACTTACAGCAAGCAAGCGGTGGAGCAGGGGGCGGAGGTTCAGGAGCGGGCTTTGCCGGCGGAACGGGCGGTGGCGGTGGTGGTGGATACTCAGGAGGCCAAGGAGGGATAGCCACCTCTTACGAGAGAGGAGGAGAGGGTGGCGGAGGGGGCGGCTCCAACGTCCAGATCAACCCATATGAGGGCGCCATAAAGGTGTCGTCCGATCTGAGGAACCCGGCAAGCGCAGGCATGGGGTCTCTGACCATAATCAAGGTGGCATAGGTATCGCGGAGTTGGTAAAGGTGTCTTGGGTGGGACTGTAATGTGCTTGTCGGACGTTGGGTTTTACGGTTGCGTGTGACTAAGATTGTCATGCATGATACTTCCGAGATGAGACCTCTTCCGAGTGGCCGAAAGGTTCCCCAGCCCAGATGCCTCATGCGACATTTATGTGAGTCAGTAAACCGCTGCCCCACCTTGCCACCTCGAGGTGCCACAACCGTGCCTGACGCGTTTCATCTTGTCGATCGATATCTCGATGCCGTAATGAGCAAACTCTCCCTTTCGGCGCATCGCCTTGCATCAATTCTGCTTATAACCTCTTAAGTTCTCCTCAATCCTGTTAAATCCTCTAGCCTCTCGTCCCTTCCTCTCTTCGCGCCGCCGCAGTCGATCCGTACGGCTGGAATCACCCTCCACGAATCAACGAAACAAGCCACAACGCTTCTTAAACCCTACGCGTCCTCCCTTCCTTCTAACCCCCTCACGGCCGACCATCCCTCTTCCCCCTCGAAAAGTCACGCTCTGACACGCTTCCATCGCCTGACATCTCATCATGTCCTCCTCAGCATCCGCTTCCGCTTCGGCATCCGCCTCGGGGTCTCAATCAGGCTCTCAATCGGGCTCCCAATCAGGCTCAGCGTCGGGAAACGCCACTCGTTCGGTCTCTATCCCAGCTACCGCGGCTGCTGGGGGTATCACCATCACCCAACCCCCATCGACAGCTTCCGCGAGCTATTACAAGATCGCGGAGCACGAGTATATCACTTTTGGGTGGAATTTGACTTCGCTATAGTGAGTGCTCCTCCTCCTCGGTGCCTTGTCAGCATCGGCTTCATGGACGACACCCGTTTGTGGTCAAGTCAAAATCGACTTTGGCTGATTCCCAGCGTCCAACCCCAATCCCTCACCGTCATCGCCTCCTGCGCCGCCAACGGCAACACCTACGCCGTCGGCCCTACAAACGGAACCCGCAATACCATCTCTGGTAATGCGACCCAGGTCGTCTGGAACCCCTGGCAATGGGAACAGTCGCCCGGCGCGACACCGTTCGCACAAGCGACGTATGTGCTGAAGGTGTGGGATGAGCGAGGGCCGACGGCGACTGTCAGAGGAGGGTATCTGAGCCCGTATGCCGGAGGGCAGTTTGCTATGTATCGGCCGGCATCGTATACGCCATTGAGTGGTGAGTCTGAGCTCTTTGCATCGCGTCTGCAAGGTGGGGAGAGGCGCTGGTCAAAGAGTGGAGGAAGGGGCAAGGGCTTAAAGGCGAGGCAGAGAACGGCATAAGGGATGGAGGAAGCGGTCGCAGGAAGAACCTAGACTGACCCAGCAGACTGGAAATGTACCACCTGCTCAGCGGCCATGTCGACACTAGGCGAACCAGCGGGTATCGCAATCTTCACGAGTCTCATGATTACGCTCTTTACGATGTGGAACGTCCTGCGGCGGTGATGAGGGGCAGGCGGGAGATAATGGTAATGAGCACGACATGCGGGGGCAGTGAGGAAGGCGTAGAGGCGATTTGACATGGACATTATACGTAGCTTTTGCTAGACGACTTGTTTGACGTAGATTCTTCACGCTGTACAGATCCTTTTAGACTTCTGCGAGAGATGATCGGCACCGGTATTGATAGATATCTAAATATCGTCTACCCCGCTTCCCCCTCGATGGCCAGACAGGCTCAGACCTCCGTGTCGCATACGCTACCACTGATCTTTCGTCCTGTTCAGGTAGAGATGCGGCATGGGAGAGGACTAGTGATCGATCCTGCCTATGATGTACCTGCGCGAGTCTGTAGTCAGAGCAGGACAGAGAACGTTCAGTGCTGAGTTGAGTCTGTCGAGCCCGAGGTAGCAGTCGCACGCGATGGTCACTTGACACGCTCAGGCACTGGGAGCAGCTGGGAAAGACACGACGACCCTGGCAGGGTATGCGCACGTCTCCCTCCGCTTTCTGTTCCGCCATCATCCGCCGCCCCTCAGGCGACCGACCCAAAACATTGCTCCTCGTCCCGTCCACCCAAACATCCCCATCTCAAGACGACGTGGGTCCGCAACCCCCGCATCTCCCTGCGCACGATCGCGATGCACCGACATCCCGAGTTTCCTCGATGCCGTATCCTCCAGCCCTTGCTGCGAAGCCCGCGCCCACTTCGCCCTTCAAAAGTCAACGAGATCTGCTCGTGGACCACCTATTCCATCACCCCGTCACCCATGTCAGCTCGTCAGTCGTTACTACTCGGTGGCCCATAGCAGACGCCATCCCGACCGATCCTCCTTCCCGAGTGCGCATGAAGGAATCGAAGAATACATGCAGTATCCAATCTCTACGACCGAGGCTTCTCCCTAATTTTGTCAGCAACTACCCTTTGACAACTCGAACAGCACGACTCACTTCTTCTCCTTCCAGAGAGCCAAAAGACCGACACCCGAAACCTTGACCACCTTGAACCGCACACCTGGGATATCTCCCTTTGCCTTTCCTCGACGACCGAAACCGGAAATCAGGACCTCGTCGTTCTCGTCGGTGAAGTTGAGACAACCGTCATTGGGGACGAAGGCCTGTATGTCAGCTTTGTATAGAGGGTGCGCGCAGACGTATACACTTACAGTGACCTTCTTGCCGTTCTTGATCAACTGGACACGGACACACTTCCGGATGGCAGAGTTGGGCTGCTTGGCCTCAACACCGACCTGTCTGTCAGCGATTGCCCTCCTGAATCGTCCGCACCACCAGCCGCTGCGCGCCTCCTCTTGTATCCTGTGCTCATGCCGCCTATCCGCCATATCGTCGATAGTCCCTTGCGCGCGTCCTCATCCTCCATCCCGCAACGCCCCTGACATTTCCCCTTCTCTCATCTCCACATCCCCCGTCCTGACCGCATACGCCATCACAACTCACCTTCTCCAGCACAATCCCCTTGGCGTGCGAAGATCCACCAGTAGGCGAAGTCTTGTAGAACTTGCCGAGCGCCCTCTTCTTGTAGTTCTTGTCGGCCCATCGGTTTGCTCGACGGTCGGTTCGGAGCTTACGCGCGGCCTGGAGACCTCTGGGCTTGCAGGAACCCATGATGTATGTCGATTGTCGAAATTAGGATTAGGTGGATAGAAAAGCAGCTAGCTAGCCTTGACTTGACCTTGGTGCGCAAAGATCCCACCAGCCAAAACGGCAGCACCAAGCGAGAGCGGAAGCAAAAGAAAGGCGGCGCTCGCCGATCAGCCGGGATTAAGACGCTTGGCTGAGGGAAAGAAGCGTGTGGCGCATCGAATCGGCGTTATTCTTACGACCGATGTTGCCGCTGATGTATCGGCCAAGTCCGATACCGGCAAGAATAGCCGAGATCTGTTTGGTCGGCCTCCACTCCGCCTTTATCGTGGGCCGTGGTCAACAGCAGATAAGAGCAGAGCTACATGATCTCGTGTGTCCTCTACAGCTTGTAACATATCGTACCGCGTATACAATGTCTCCCATCGACCACAGCCGGCTGCACCCTTCTTACGACCCAAAATATGCCCACTTTGCGTCAAGGCGGTCGACCGTCTTCTCCGCAAAGGGAGCGGTTGTGACCTCACAACCTCTTGGCAAGTGTCTGCCCCATCTTGGACTTTATTTGCTGACGTCTCAGCGTGCAATGCAGGGATAGAGATTCTCAACAAGGGAGGGAATGCTGGTGAGATCAATAGAGGCCCAACTTGGCCAGACGGCCAGCTGACGCTGCGTAGCCGACGCCGCTATCGCTGTTGCGGCAGCTATGAACGTGACTGAGCCGGTCATGACTGGACTTGGAGGCGGTGTGCTCTTTTCTCGCCTGGAAACAAGGCTATAGCTGAGGTTGCAGACATCTTCTGCTTGTTCTGGGATGCCAAGGCAAAGAAGGTCCGTGGGATCAACGGGTCCGGACGCGCCCCCAAAGCCTTGAACCTGGAGCTCCTCCGCTCGCAAGGCGTGCAGGGCGATGAGGTGAGTAGTATTGGTCGATGGCCACGACGAGTTGAGCTGAAGTTACAGATCCCCTTGAACAACCTCAACTCAGTAACGGTGCCTTGCGCGGCGGCAGGCTGGATCAAGACGGTCGAGGAGTTCGGGTCTGGCAAGTTGACCATGGCCGAGATCCTCGAGCCGGCTATCCGGATGGCGAGGGAGGGCGTGCCTGTGCATGAGATCACTAGTGATGCTGTGAGTACACTTCCCTCGATGACCGAGCTGAGACTGACGGTCTCAGTGGCAGGGCGCCGAGGCATTGCTGAAGCGAGCTTCGCCCAACTCCGCCGAGTACGTGTATACCCCCTGTCAGAATTGCCAGAGGCTGGCTGACGACCATCAGGATGCTGATGCCGAATGGAGTAAGCCTTGCTCTTCTCACGCTGGCCAGCAGATGCTGACATGACAGAAAGCACCGCTGCCCTCGCACATCATGACCCACCCAGAACTAGCCGATTCGCTCGAAGCGATCGCTAAGGACGGTCACAAGGGGTACTACACTGGCCGTATCGCTCAAGGTGAGTTTTCCACCTTGGCAATGGAGAGCGCAAGCTGACAATGTCAGCTATTGTCGACCTGGTCAAATCTGGTGGAGGGGTTATGACTATGGAGGATGTCGCAGAGTGTGATGCGGAAGTGATCCAGCCTATCAAATACGACTTCAAGGTCGGCGAGGGCGGAGATAAGGGTGTTTCGCTGTGGGAGGTACGTCTCCAAAACCCCTCACGGCTTAGGGCAGAGCTGATCCAACAGTGCCCCCCGAATGGACAGGGTCTGACTGCGCTGGTCGCGCTGGGTATCGTCGAAGCCGTAGAGACGCAACACGGCGTCGACGTGCTTGACCTGGAGCACAACTCGGCGACGTATCTTCACATCCTGATCGAGGCTATGCGTCTAGCATTTGCTGACAGTGCGTTAGCCTATGTCTGCGATGTGGGTAAAGCTGATCCCTATAGCTCGATACTATGTTGCTGATCCCAAATCCGGCAATGTCCCCGTCGATGAGCTACTCAGCAAGTCCTACCTCGCCTCCCGCGCCGCCCTCATCAACCTCAAAAAGGCCACTCCGGTCCAGCGGGGTCAGCCCGTCAAGTCAAGCGACACCATCTATCTGGCGACATCCGATAAGGACGGGAACTCTTGCTCGTTCATTGCGTCCAACTATGCGGGTGCGCAGACCCTCGTCTACATATGCAGTCCAAGCTGACACGAGGCAGGCTTCGGAACTGGCGCCATCCCGAAAGGTTGCGGCTTCACCCTTCAAAACCGTGGGACCGGCTTCACCCTAGCAGAGGGCCACCCCAATTGCGTCCAAGGCGGCAAGAGGCCATATCACACCATCATCCCCGCCATGGCTACGATTGGAGACGAGCTCCTGATGAGCTTCGGAGTGATGGGCGGGTTCATGCAGCCCCAGTAGGTGTACCTATTGGCCAGCAGCAGAGTGAAGCTGACAGTATTAGGGGACACGTCCAAGTCCTACTCAATAAGCTCCGAGGCTTCTCAGCTCAGGCATGCCTTGACGCACCTCGATTCTGTATCTCCGCTGGTCTGCCAGAAACAGGTGCCGCACCCAGTACGGCCGGGAATATGGACTCGGAAATCTGGTTCGAGGAGGGTATCCCTACAGAGGTCATCGAGGAACTGCGAGGTCAGTAGACTCGGCAATTTAGCGGAATTCAGGGCTGACGAGATCAGGAATGGGACACAACTGCGAGGTGGCCACCGGCTTCAAGCGCGGAACGCTCGGCAAGGGGCAGATCATGCAGCAGATCAACGACCCGTCTGGTCGGCGCGTCTGGGCGTGTGGATCCGACTTGCGTGGAGATGGAGCGGCGATGGGTCAGATCTGAGCTTGTGTCAGCGTTGTCAGATGAGAGCCGCAAGGTGTCAGATAGTAGCAGCAAACCCTCTAGAAAATGCATCAGAATGTCCATCCCTAGCCCGGCGTAAGATCCCCAACGACCCACGACCTCATATCCACACTCCACTGCTATACCCTCCGACCCGCCAACGCCGCACTCTCAATCTTTTTCAACATCGCCTTGAGATTCTTGCCGTTCTTCTGGCAATTCTCCTCCAGCCACGTCTCGAATTTGGTCCGGATAGCGCCGAGTTCCGACGTGATAGGGAGAGATCGGTCCGAGCGGACAGTGGTCGAGTTGAGCAAGGTATCGAACAGCTCCGTCCATATCTCAGTCTGCCAGTACTAAAGCGTCAGCTATATTCTCTGGCTCTTTACAGATGATTAACTTACCCGCTTGAGCGGAGTGGTGATCTTGCATCGATCTCCAACAACCTCCGTCTGGATATACTTCCCAAACAAGAGGCAATACGCCACACTCGCCAGACCCGCATAGTCCGTCTGGTAGCTCCATGCCTTGCCCTCCCTCATCTCCCTACAGTCCCTCTGGTCATGCGGCCAGTCCGCAACGAAGGTCTGCTTCTCGCCCGCTGGGAAAAGGGTCATGTCCACCCCTCTTCCAAAGTCAATGAGCTTCACCCCCTTCTTGCTCCACCCGCTCTCCCCGCTCGCAGAGTACTGCATGGACCACGTCTCTCCGGGGGCGGTCGCGTCGAGCCGGACGAGGCAGTTGTCGATTTTGAGATCGCCGTGGATGAAGCCGGAGGAGTGGAGGGACTCGACGAGCCGCAGGAGCTCAATTATGAAGAAGATAGCGAGGAGCTCATCCACTGCCGCTGGGGCGCCCGCGGTGGCTGGGGCGATAGACAGCTGGGTCGCCTTGTTGACGAGGTCAAGTAGTGTGCCCTGGGACGAGTACTCGAGGAGGAGGTAAGACTCGTCCGCGAAAGCGTAGAGCTCCTTGGTGCGGACGATACCGGCGCGCAGGGAGGGTGGTAGGCGAGTGTGGATCCGGTCAACGATGACGGCTTCCCAGATGGAGGGGGGCGATTCGACCTTGATCGCGAGCATGAATCCCTCTTCATCCTCTTCGTCCTCGTCATCTGACCTAGCGTCTGCCTCTTCTCGCTTCGCCAGGTCGATAGCGAGGAAGACCGCCCCGAATCCGCCCTCTCCTATTTTATCGACAACCTCGAAGCTCCGACCCGCGAGCTCCAGGTCGAGGCAGTCGTCTCCTCCCGCCGTGGACGACCGGCTCGTCTGGCTCGCGCGACGCAGCTTGGCCTTGCTGTGCTTCTGAAGCAGTGCGAGCTTCCCGAAGGTCTCCGAGCGCCGATCGACGAAACCCGGTAGTGATGCCAGAGGCGGCTCAATCCGGGCAAGGAGGGTCTTGACAACCTGCTCGTCACCCGGATTGCAGGGATTCGGGAGGTCGCCGGCATTGCCGATATCAGGCAGACCAGCTGTGGCGGTGACGAAGGGGCCCGTCTCCTCGCTATCCGCCTCCTCAGCCAGGACGGCAGGAGACAGACCGCGCGAGAGCCTCCCGGTCTCTGGCCGGTCGGTGATGGCCATGGACCGATCAAAGTTCTCGGTCGCCCCGTGGATAGTGAAGCCTTCCGGCATCTTGAACGGTGGGTCGACCGAGACCGACCGGTCAAACTCGTTCTGCACCGGCGAGGTGGTATCGACGTAGCCCATCGTTGGCTCGTATGATGCCGAAGAGCTCCGATCTGGCCGTCCCTCCTCGGCTACCTCATCCACCATATGGAGAGCGGCGATCTCTGCCACGGGTGGCGCATTCTCGTCCTGCTCCGAGATGGGCTGGTCGAGCGCGGTACTGGTCCGACGAGTAGACTGACCTAGGACGCTACCGGAGAGAGAGGAGAACTGGGTATGTGAGGTATACTCGCACGTCCGTTCCGTAATGGGCGTCATGAGTGCGAAGTTCGGTATCCGCCCTCCTCTCCGCCTTGGCACGTCTTCTTCAGCCTCCTCCTCCTCTCCTATCCGCTCCTGGGTGTACTCCTCCTCTGCTGCAGGTAGCACCTGCTCCTCCTCCGCTACCTCCGCCTCTTCCGCCTCATCAGCCTCGTGGATCGTCGAAACCAGCATCTGCCTCGCTGGACCAGGCCGGCCCGTAGCGGGCGTGGCGAACGGGTTGGAGTGCTGACGGCTAGCTGAAGGCGTCTCAGTGACACCCCCAGCATCCTCATCCGAGAAGATCCCGAATCCCCCTCGTTTCGCCGACCCCTCGGGAGCCGGACGAGCAGAAAGAGGGGTCCGGGCTGGTGTCTCGGCAAAGACGTTGATCTTGCCCGGCTTGATAGCTGAACCAGGGACGTTGTTCTCGTCCGCAAAGATATTGAGACGGCCGTTTGTGGGTGCGTGCGAGGCGGGAGTAGGTGTTGGAGGTACGGCCGAGTGTAGGGGGGTAGGCATAGAGACCGGCCGACTTGGCGGGAGAGGCGTAGGCCCTACGGCAACGGGCTGAGCCCCCTCCTCGTCCGAGTCAGAATCGCTTGACTCGGAGTCAGAGTCGCGTACTTTCCCGCCATGGATGGTCTGGTCGAACATGGCTGCAATTTCCCGATTCGCCAGCTTCGTGTTGACGGTCGGAGACGGTGGTCTGGCCTTCTTTTCTGCCTTTTTCGGTGTAGTTGCTAATCGTTAGCTGGTCCAGAGGGTGTTGGATTACGAGCTCACCTCCAGGCGCATGCCAAGTGCGCTCCCAAGCCTGTACCTCCCCCCTCCACTCCTTGCCCAATACACCCCTCTGCCTCGCCCGTACCTCCTCAAAGCTCCACTCCTCCCCATTCTTATACACCTGATCCCAGTCAAACACCCTGCGCTCCTTCACCCTGCCCTTTGAGTCCTTGGTTTCTGGCCCGTCCGTTGGAAACTCCCAGGTGGTAGGTCGGAACCCGGAACCTGATGGTTTTGGGCGAGGTGCTTTGCGAGCGGAGGGAGGTGGGGGCATGGATGGCGCGGGAGTATCGGCAGGGACGGAAGCGAGATTATAGTACCGCAGCGGATCGGACTTGATGAGCTCGGCTTCGGTCGGTGGTTGTCGAGACCGGCTGAAGATGTTGTGTGCGGGTCGGATGGCTGCGTTATCCACATCAGTCTGCCTAGTCAGCTTCGTGCCTAAGAGAGCGCGGGTCTCAGCTCACCACTTCCTTGAAGACCTCAATCTTTGGTGTCCTCGGCGCTATTCGCAGCTTCGCCGCACTCTGAGGCATCGTCTCTCCCTTCCATGGCGTCGCCTCCACAACATTCTCTTTCCGCCTACTATCCCTCGTTCCAAAGTCCGCCCATTCTCCCGAATCAGCAGGCTCAGCCGGCCGACCATCATCCGAAAAGATGGCCATCCTCGAGCCGTTGTTCTTGGTAGACTCCCGTAGACTGGGGGCAAGCTGCACCGCACCGGCGATACTGCTAGACGGTCCGCCGGTTGCTGATTGCCCAAGGATGGCTCGACCGGGAGTGCGGGAAGCTGCTGATGCTGAGAGCTGAACGGGTTCGTCCTCTGGTATGACGCCGTTGACGGCCATGATGCGCTCGAGGAAGGATGCATGACGCGCTTTGAGCTTCTCGAGTGGTTGAGCTTTCCGGGCTATACCGAGCTTGAACACCTCGTCGGCCTTCTTCTTCCTGCCTGATCAGCTCGCCCCAATCAGCGAATGAGCCCCGACCTACCTGCCCAATGACTCCAGAGCCATCGCCCACTCTTCATAGAACAGCGAGTGCTTAGTCCCAATGTCCCGCGACTCGAGAAACGCCCAAACCTCCTCCCTTCGCTCAATCAGGCGAACATACTGTACCCATAGCTTCAGATGTCGTAGGTCCTGGTTGTACCGGTCATCCGCTACAAACTTCCTCGTCGTATTCTCCAGTAGCGGTATGAGATGATTAGAGGATGTCGGATGATGTTCGACATTGAAGGCGACATATCTAGCTCATCAGCCCAAGCTCAGACTCCAAGGTGGGAAGCTCACCGATTGTGCACGTCCAGCACGTCCAGTACTCCATCCTCCATATCCTCTCCTTCCAGCTCCCTTCTTTCCGCCTCAGCTATTTGTCGTCGGAAGCGCTCATGCCCTTCTTGTATGCGCTGATCCGCTACCGCATCCTTGTCCAACAGGGTGGAGAGGGTCGCAGCGGACCTACCTGCCGGTGTTGGGCGGATGTTCTCCTTTTGCGCTTCGATCACGTCAAAGTCTGTGGTGGGAGCGTTTGGAGGTGTCGTGGAGCGTAGTGCTGTTGGGAGGGGGGAGAAGAGGGACTCCATGCTAGGTAGATGTTGCTCATGCACAGAGGTTTGTTGTTGCAAAAGAAGTCGCGTGGATCGCGTGTTTACCATGCCATAGGAGCAAGCGGGGTCAGTTACGTAATGAACTTTTAGAGTGGCGGTTTTACCATGCAAGTGCTGGTTCCCGCCACATGCAGCTGGCTGAGCTGTACAGGCTGCCACATTCATGGTCTGTCTTTCCCTCATCTGAACAGATGGCGAGGCGGTGTACCTTTCGATTCGCACACGTTTGAGCGCCTCCAACCCTTCATGTGACGATCATAACACGCTAGAAAATGCCAGGGAACACCGCTCCCTTCCCGATTGCTCTGTCACAAGCTCATACAAGTTGCATCGCTTCATCCTTTCACGACCACATGTCTTGGCGTTTCAGCAGATGTAAGGAGCTTGGAGCGCAGCAGATTGGTGGACCTATAAGACAGGTTATCCAATACCCCCCTGTCTCTCGACTCACACATATCCCCGCAAGACATCCCCTCCGCCTACTTCTCACCAGTCACATCTTATTCTCGAGCATCTCTTCACAAGTCCCTCACCCGTCTCTCACGAATCACACGCAATGGCTCGCCGGAACCAGCCATCAAGCGCCAGTGGCACGAAGTCCACGACGGGCCGGTCGACTATGGGCCTCCTCGGCAAGGTCGCTCTCGCCACCGGTGCCGGTGTAGGCGGTTATCTCCTCTACAACGCTTATGAGCAGGATCCCGCGGCGTACAACGAGGCAGCTTACCAGGCTTACACCTCCGCCTGGGATGGTGCGAACGCCGCCCGGGACACAGTCCAGCCGTACCTCTCCACTGCCCAGCCCTACCTCTCCACTGCCCAGTCGTACCTCTCCACTGCCGCCAACACCGCACGCGAGTACGGAACGTCTGTCTGGTCACGCGTCTCTGAGTACGCTCCCATATCCAAATACGCCTCTTCCGTCGGGCAGAGTGTGGCTTCCGGATGGTGCCCTGAAGCTACCTTGGGTGCGGTCGGATTGGGCGGTGCGGGTGTGTTGTATTCCCTGTGGCCGACCGGGGGTGGCCATTCTGGAAAGGCGAGCTCTCAAGGCCAGTATTCCGGGTCGGAGACGGATACTCAATCAGCACTCGCCGCTCACTCAGCTCAGAGTACGGGGACCTTCCGGTTGCGGACGAAGCCGGAGGGGGATCAACAAGTCGAGAGGACGAGGGACCAGCGTCAGAGCCGCGCGGGAAGACTACCAGGGACAAGAAGCCACCAGACGGGGAGGACGGCAACGGCCCGGGCAGCTGCTGTCAGGGGTTACCCGGTCCCCTTGGGCAAGTCGGCGCACATACAGTACTGTCGCCCGCGCAGAGAGGGAGCGAGGTGAAGGGGGAAGCGAGCAAGACTACGTGTTGTAGAAATCCAGATCGACATGTACGGTACGCGTATGAGCTGACGGGTGGCGGATGAATCATCACCCCGGCCGGTGTTCAATTTAGTAGTCAGGATCCCACTCGGCACCAAGTCCAACAGGATCATGAGCTGCTGAGAAGGTGACACATTGACTGCGAACAACAGTATCCTCATACGCTCTCTGATCCCAGCACTGCCACAGATGATGACTCATGGCAGGTCGAAGCCTACTACTTCTCATGCTGTGCTCGGACGATGGTAGCGCGTTCTAATACAGTCAGTCATGCCCTCGTCTGTTCCGTCTGCTCTGACTGGACGTCGAATGATATTCCTTCCAGGCCTTGGATGCAATCACCAATCCTCCTTTCCTTTCATCCAGATGTCCTTGCCTCAGAGGCTTGGAGTTTCACAGTACTGTAGCAGTGTAGGTGTTGGCCTAGAAAGTCCGCTTAGTCATGGCCGATCCGAAGCCGAAGCCCGCTCTTCCTTTCCCCATCATACTAAGTTACCCCCACTGTGCCCTTCCGGGCCCCAGCCAACGGCACAAGCACCCTCCCCCCTCACATTTGGACGATTGCCATATATCTCACCATATCTGAAATGGACATATCATTCACCGAAGCCTTGCGCACCAAATGTCAGTCATTTTTGACTTGACCACATCCAATAAATGTCCATGCGTCAAGTGGACCGTCCAGGTCGACGCCACCAGGGTGCTGAGCGCTGACTGCGGTGTGTGTCCGAATCGCAGCGAACAGGATCGCCTCGCCTTACATCCTTGAGATGAGGCTCTGTACAACCCTCAGCGCCTGTCGGTAAACGCGTCCGATACGTCAGTCACCGTAAACGGACCGGCCCGCGCGTCTCCACAATTAACGGCTGCAGAGTGCTTGAGAAGGGGGCCAAGAGCGCTAAATGTCCAGAGACCGCTAGCAGGACTGTATTAGTATCCAGCCGATCACCGCGTTCCACTTCATGCATTTCTTCTACTCCGCCCCTCAGTGATTCAGATAAATCAGTTCGACTGAGCCTTCCCCGCCCTTCCGCTCACCCGTTCTCATCTATCGGCCTTGGTCAGCACTCCGCGCGCACCCCTTTCCCCGCCAAGCTCCTCGCCCCCAAGATCCTCTGCACCAACGCCCCCACATTCGCATCCGCCACCACCACGTCCGCGCTCAGCTCCACCCCAAACGCGTGTTCGCATAGCCCCACGATCCGCCTGGCTTGCTGTTCGTCCATGATGATAAAGTCATCTGGGTCGCCTTCGGGGGACGAGCTTGGGCTCGGGGACTCGTCTTCGTCGGGTTCAACGCCGAGGGTTGCCTCAGGTGGGACTTGAGAGGACGCCGAGCCGGCCTTGTCACTAAAAGGGGCAGCCTTGTTGCTCATCCCGCCGTTGGCAGCGTCGATCCCATTCGACTCGATCGGACTGGCCGAGATGACGCTTGAGGCGATGACGCCCAGTCTCGGCCCCGGAACTGTGCCTCCTGTGTCCTCCCGACAGATAGTCGATACCCGGCGCTTGGTACAGTGGGGCACGAGCTTAGGGTCTGAGTCGAGCGAGAGGGTAACGATATCGAGGAGGGTCTCCCTGACTGCGCGATACGAGTCATTCTCCGGTTTGTTGACTGCTTCATCAGCTTTTGTCCTCCCAAAACCGCGCAGGGGGCTCCATTAAGCTCACCATAGATATCCACCGGCGCAACACGGGACATCACATTATGTTTCCCATCATGGTGATACCGCACCTCGTACTTTCCCGGAGCCCAGGGCAGCTGGTTCCCCTTGAAAACAACCGTCCCCGCATCCTTCTTCTCCGTCTGCTCGGTCGCCGGCGGGCTGATCTGCGTGTCCCCATCGTACTCTTCCTCGTATATCGGCATCCACTTGCCGACGGACGAGAGGCGAGTGACAAGCTGAGACTTGCACGAGCCGAGACGATAGATCCCGATCCAGTCTTTCCGGGAGTGGTTGGACGGGGCGGTCCAGGAGAGCCGGATGGGCTGGCCGACGTGGTAGCGTGGGGTCTGGGTACTGGAGGAGGTGGCGAGGTGGAGAGAGTAGCGGGAGGTATCGTAGGAGGAGATGTCGTGGGCAACTCGCCTGGAGTATGAGCTTTGTGACCTTGTCATGCTTTAGCCAGTCTATAACCAGCTCACGTGATGATCATGCGCTCTCGGGACTGCTGCAACAAGATCTTGGTGTCGTTTACCATATCCGAGAACATGGGTCGGGCTGGACCATCAGCTCCCTTCCACACGCTTGAGCATGGACTATAACTGACCATGCTCCAAAAAGTCCTCGACAGCCTCAGTGACCTTCTCTTCGACCTTCTCAATACTCCCCTTGACCTCCTTGACCATCCTCTGGATATCGGGCGCATGACGCGCAGCCTTTGACCCGAGCGTCTTGCCAGCGACCGACTTGAGCGTTTTGGTCAGGCCGCCGTCTTTCCTGAGCCGGTCGCCATAGAGGCGGTTCATGTGAGGTCTGCTTAGTCAGCTCTTATACCTTATCTCATCAAGCTCGAAAGAGGGGCTGGCACCTCACCGTTCAACGCAAGAGAGAAACCACCAGTGACTGAGATGACTGATGATCGCAAGCGCTAGAACGAGCTTCGAATAGCTGATGAGCCAAAGTCCAAAGAAGGCCGCTCCGCCCATAGATCGCTCGGGGTTGTTGAGGAAGCGGTAGATCCCGGTATAGGCCAGTCGGGCGGGGATTTGCTCAATGAGGAAGAAGTCCGAGTAGAGCCATCCTAAGTGGTCAGCTTTCATCCTTGGGCAGCTTCCGCTGGCGCGATAGTGTAAACTCACCGAAGTCGCCAAGGGCTTCGTACGTGGATGAAGCAGCCCAGACGTGTAGAGCAATCAGGAGCTGAGGGTCAGCTGTTTGATCCCCGTGCATAAGCAGCGGATAGCTGAACATACCGAGCCGAGCACATGCCGCAGGATCGTACCGCTAACAGTCCAATCCGAGGGCAGATGATACGTCTTCCAGACAAGACCAGCAAAGGACACTAAAAGTCAGCTACAGACCCAGTCATCAATAAGGCCGATCAGCTCACCGTATGTCATGACAAGACTGATGTTATAGCCGACCTGCCAGTTCCCGAACGCCTCCTCCGTCGCCCTTTTGACCACACTCTCCCTCTCCTCGGTCTCTTCCCCAGCGACGTTCCCCGCTGCAGATGAGCTGCCATGATAATGGTAGTGCTTGAGGTAGTGCCGAACGAGCCATTTCGACTTGCTCTGAGCCCGAAGAAGGAGACCGAGCCCGTACGAGTGGAACAGGCGCCAAGAGAGGGCGTGGAGGAAGTGGGCGGTCAGTGCAAGTCGGGGTGGCAGCGGCGGTACCAGGGTGGTCAGGGCGTATAGGACGAGAACGACTAGAGCAAAGTCGGTCGCTCTTGGACGGTCAGCTTTTACGGTCCCAAACCGACTTGGAACCTTGTACTGAAGCTCACCGGAAAACGTCGATCCGCGAGAAAACAATCACCGGCTTCCGGAAGAACCGGTTCGTCAGGTCGTGCATGGTGAGCGTCCTCGCGCGCTTCCGCTGCGGCCTGGCCTGTCCTTTCGGGAGGTCGAGCACCTCTCCGGGCGAATCAGAGATCATGCTGTAGGACGAGTCGGACCGGGGCTTTTGACCCCGCAGCTCGATGACGGGCTCGTCCAGGTCGGGCGTCTCCGGCAGGTCGCCCTCAGTCTCGGTTTCGCCTGACGCGTCAGCAGAGTTCGAAGTAGGTTGTCAGGCAGACTCACCATCGGTCACTGCTGGAGTCGCAGTGTATGTGGTCGGGACATCTTCAAGTGGAGATGAGAGCTGCTCGACGGGGGTCTCAGCGGCCGGCGCGCGTGCCGTCCGACCGACCGCCTCTCCCCAGTCGAGAGGGACTCGCGAGGCCAGAGGCTTCTTGGCTCCGCCGTATGTGCGTTCGATATCTACGGTATCAGCTTCTTCGCCCGGCGTTATCTCCGCTCGCGGGAGCTCACGAGGGTTCTCGAACCAGAGCAAGAAGGCAAATTGGGCAGCATGAGCAGCAAGGGAGACGAAGAGCACCGAGTAGCTTCCGACAACTAGGACTGTCAGCTGAGGGCTCACGTACAGTTTTCGCGCGTTTGTAAGCTCACCCATTGACAATCCGTAATATCCGGCATACCCCACACTGTACATCGGGTGCGGCGCAATCTCATACACCCCATCAAACACCAAGTCATTCTGCATGACCAACATCCAGAAGGCATCTCCCCAGTACCACGCATAGTCCTTGACGACGCGGTGGGCGTCCATCTTCACCCAAAGGTTGAAGAAGATGAGGGTCCATCCGCCTATCCACCGGGCGATGTGGAGGGCGACCGAGTAGTTAGGGGGGAAGTGGAGGTTGGACCAGGCGAAGCAGGTATAAGAGACAAAGTCGCTATACCATTAGCTCAGGGTTCCAACAGCCTAGCCTGGTGATGGGTTTCGACAGCTCACTTGAGAAGTACGATATCGACGAGCTGTCGGAACATCAACCACGAGTTGAACTCGGCGGGGACGTCCTCCCACTTGTATCCCTCGCCCATTTTCATCTCCAGCTCCTTCTTCCACCACTTGGCCCATTCCTTGCCTTCCTGGTTCTCCTTTTCCTTCTGGCCAAGATTATCGCCGCTACCCTGCAGCCATCCCCACTCCCGGAGGAGCCGGACAACCCAGCGCCGCTCGCTCTGCTGCCGCAGGACCCAGGCGAAACCAAAGTCGTACGCGCCGCGCCAGAAGATGAAGTAGATCAGGAAAAAGGTTGACCGCAGTGTGGGAGAGTTTCGAAGATACCAGAACAGCATAGGCTGCGCGATGAGCGAGAGGAAGGTCCAGCGGGTGAGAGATGACCGGTGCAGGGTGGACAGCAGGGTAGTGACGAAAGAAGTGGTCTGCGGGACTTTGAAGACTGCCTGTCAGCTCCTTTGTCGACCATGGACGTACCTAAGCCAGCTGGTGTCTTTCCGAAGCTTGCCTCCTCTTTGATCAAATCATCGCTGTCCTGAGCGGGGACAGGCTCGACAGGCTCGGACTTGAGCACGGGCCTCCGCTGCCGAAGCAAAGAGTCGCTACCGAGATTCGCTAGAGTCGGTGTCACGCTCGGAGACATCGGAGCAGATTGACCAGTGATCAGATCAGGCTCCGGTATGGGCTGTGTAGTCATGCCAGAGCTATATGAGCTCGATAAGGAGCAGGGAGAACGTCAAAGAAGTTCCAGCGATACGGCGAGCTTTGGGGAGCTAATGCAATTAACGCGGAGCTCCTAGCTTAGCGGGCAATACGCACGGGCATGCGGAGGTTCCGAGCGATCTCCGTGGCCATATCGGCGATGTCCGAGCGGGGTCTCCAGCGGCGTCGCGGATGGTGCTAACAAGACTTGCTGACATCGACTGTACTTCAGCTATAGTCTTCTACACTACCCGCGCGCACTATACAACCTCGCTTATACGCCTGGAATGTCGCTCGTATTCCCTCCTGGAACCACACAGGACCTTTTCACCAACTACAAACCGTCCACAAACGCCCATGTCGACTTCTTATCGGAGGGGTCCGCGAGTGGATCGGGCTCGAGCCAGAAGGAAGGAGTCAAGACTGTCAAGCTTGCGCTGAGAGGTGAGCTTTCCAGTACCGATACTGCGGAATTACGAGCTAACCCTGCAGTGCGGCCAGTGCAGCCAACATCAAAGGAGCTGCTTGACACTCTCCTACCGGCGATCCCTCTGATCCTATCCGGAAAGCCGACAGCGTCTTCCTTCCATGCTCTCTCGTCAGCATGCCACCGGCTCGTCCTTCCACCGCACAATCTGGGTCCCACGATTTATACGAAGGTCACAGAGGAGCTGGAGAAGAGCGTACAAGGTCTGGCGAGGGAATGGAGAGGATCGATCATGGGTCGTGAGGCTGGATGGCTGGACCGACTCAGCCAGGGGTGGAGGGAATGGGAGAGCAAAGTAGTGAGCTGTCATAAGCCTTGTGGAAGGAACCACCAGCTGACGAGGATAGGGGATGCTTTCGGCTGTATTTGTCTACCTCGACAGGGTCTACTCGAACGGGACGACCGGAATCGCATCGATCCGAGAGCTGGCGATCTCCACCTTCCAGAAGGGGATCTGGGGAAATGAGCTTCTCTTCCAGAAGACTCGGGATGACTTTTTGGCCTGGGCAGCTGCGGAGAGGGAGGAAGGTAAGCCGGACGAAGGCGCTCGACCGACCATCATCGCCATCACTGCTCTCTCGAAGCTTCTTGATCGATACACCTCCATCCTCACCCCGTATCAGAACGACGCTATCGGATACTACACTGCTCAGGCCGAGGTCAACATCGGGGCCGCAGCTTCGAAAGACCAAAGCATGTCCCCGACACGATACGTCGAGTGGGCGATGGAGAAGGTCGAAGAAGAGCGGGAACGGGTGGCGACCTGTCTCGGTCCCGACTCGACAGACAGGCTGGTACTGGGACTGAGGGTGGTCTTAGGCGGTCAAGTCAAGGACAAGATCGTCGGACGAGGTAAGTCTACTCAGATCTGAAGCGAACGCCTCCGCTGATTCTGCTCTAGCTCTCGACGAGGCCATGAATCTAGCAGACGCGCAAGCCCTGGCTCGACTGTACAAGTTTAGCGTGGACGCCTTGTTCTTTCCCGACTTCTCACTTGCTTTGCGTGCCTACATCGAAGTAAGCTGATTGTCGCATAGCGTTCAGCGGTCAATAGCTGACACTTCAGAACCGCCTTCGGACGCTCATCCAAGACCCCAACAACGACCCGCACATGATCGAGGAAACGCTCAAGCTCAAGCGCTTCACAGACAAGTCCATTGCTGCGCTCTTCGCCTCGCCCAAAGCCGCCCCTGCCGAGAAGCTGCCCTCAGCGGCTGACCAGGACGAAGAGATGGACCTGGACGAAGACGAGGCGGAGGAAGCAGAGGATGACGCAGTGATCGTCTCGGGTCCGATGCGGGAGAAGCAGCTGGATCTACAAGATGCTGTCAGGACTGGATTCAAGGCCGGGATGGGGTCCAGGCAGAATGCTCCGGCAGAATGGATCGGTGAGCTTATTCAGCTCGTCCTTTCCTGTGGCAATAGCTCAAAATCTAGCCAAGCATCTTGACCAGGTCATGCGCCGCGGACAAGGATCCGGGACGGAGGCTGCCTTCAACGCTCAGCTCGACGAGATCATCGCTCTCATCGGATTCACTCGGGACAAGGACGTCTTCAAGGCATTCTACTCGTCCCAGCTGGCGAAGCGATTACTGTTGAACAAGAGCGCGAGTGATGATATGGAGCGAAACATGATCATCAAGTTGCAGAAGGGTGAGCAGCTTGTCCAAGACGCGCTGCGTATCGATCAAAGCTGATTCATCAGAGATGGGGGAGGAGTTTACTACAGGAGACGTCATGATGAAGGATCTTGCCCTCTCCGAGACGTGAGGCAGCTCCTCCAAATGATCCGGATTGAAGCTGACTCCTAGCCTCGTCAAGACTTACCTGACCCACCTCGCCAAGTCCGCCGACGCCTCTGCGGACCCCACCGCCCTCTCCGCCAACGTCCTCACCGAGTCCGCCTGGCCTGCCTACCCTCTGCTCAAGGACGGCTGGGCCTTCAAGCTTACGCCCGAACTGCAGAGCTCCGTCGACGAGTTCACAAAGTGGTATGCCACCCAACACAAGAACCGGCAACTGTCTTGGCGATGGCAGCTGGCGACGGTGACGCTTACTGGACGATTCGGGACGGGGCGGTACGAGATTGGCGTGAGCTTGTTCCAGGCGGTGGTTCTCATGGGATTCAATGAGGAGGATGAGCTGGATTTCAAGACGATCAAGGACCGGACGGGTATCGGTCAGTTCTCAACTTGTTCGTGTTGTCAACGAGATAGCTGACGGGAGTCAGAATCTACCGAGCTCGTCCGGACCCTCCAGTCCCTCTCTCTCGGCCGGAAAGGTACCCGCGTGCTCCTCAAGAAGCCAGCCACGAAAGAAGTCAATCCGACCGATACGTTCCGGTACAACAAAGCCTTCACGTCCGACCGGATCAAGTTTAGGATCAACCAGATCCAGCAGGACATGTCCGCCGAAGAGAGCAAGAAGACGAATGAGCAAGTAGCGGTGGATAGGGTGTCGGTGCTCGAGGCGACAATTGTACGGATTATGAAGGGGCGTAAGAAGGCTTTGATGGGGCAGTTGATTGATGGGGTGGTGGGCGATGTGAGCAAGCGGTTCCCGCCCGATGTGAAGGAGATCAAGAAGAGGGTGGAGAGTCTGATTGAGAGAGAGGTGAGTTGACTCTGGTGCTTGGTGTGGGGAGCGAAGCTGATAATGCAGTTTTTGATGCGAGATGAAGGGGACAGGAATCTGCTTCATTATCTCGCCTGAAACTGTATTTGCAGCAGAGTCCTTTCCAGCGCATACAATGTATACCATACTCAAGCTCAAGCTTAAGCTCGGCATCCGCCTCGCAGCATCGTGCCATACGCGCCGTTCAGTCCAGGCTGACTAGCACTGCACCACCCCTGACGGAACAGTCATACATACGCGACTGACACACGGGGGAACCCGACCTTGCTATACACACTGCTCCCTCTCGACAGCTGAAGGGGTCCCATCCCTCCCCGATCTTCACTCTGAACACCCCGCCCTTCTCGTATCCACCCCCTTGTAGGATCCACCTCCTTATCACATCCACCTCCTTTTCATATCCACCTCCTCCCAGGCAATTGCTCATCCCTTATGGCCCTCCATATACGCCGCCTCATTTCTCCTACGCGAACAAAGCGGGCCGGAGCGGGCCGGAGCAGCTAAGCTGGTACCCCCGACCCGCATGCTGGGCAAAGGGGAGTGTCCGCCGAGGGAAAGAAGCGGACCGAATTTCCTATCAACGGCTGAAGTCCGTCCCGCCCGACGTACGCTTTTTCCAGCACTGGCCCGAGCGCTGTCGCCATGCTCCTCTGCTTTTCGACGGATTGATGTTGGCCGCTGGGGATGCTGTCATGATGGGAGCAGAGGTCGAGGCTGCGAAGATAGAATGGAAAAACGGGGCCCCTTGCCCATCCGCTCGAGGAGCAGTAGATCTCCATGTCCACTGCGTCCGACCTGGTCGCAGTCCCTCCAGTCTGTTCGTGGAGGATACGTGCGAGTATCTGCCTGGCCAGAGACGTGCTCAGGGTCGCCAAGGTGCTTGCCCAATTCTCCGTTGACGAGATGTCGCTGACGTATCGCATCGGCGAGCCGAATATGATGGGAAGCTGATCGATGTCCTTGTTGAAATGGACGATTGAGAGGATGCCGCGGTGAAGTGAGCCGGCGGAAGAGGCCAATTGGAGAGGGGATGTTGAAAGAGGACCGTGGACCTCCCGATTACAATAGTGCTTGGCTCCAGTATTGGAGAGGAACGCCTCGCATTCCGCCGCACAAAGATCGAGGATAGTCTTGTCATCCCCGAGGTACTTGGCGAACCGGCGCCAGAGGTCCGACTCGGTCCCGTATATCGATCCGATGGCGACCGTTTCCAGCTTTGGAAACACCTCCTTTGCGCCCGCCTTATTCAGCTGTTGGAGGAGCCATCCGAGATGATCCGCCTCCACTTCACAACTCTGCATGGCCAAGGCCTCCGGTACCTTGTCCATACCGATGTACGACCATGCGATGTGTCCTCCGTGCCTCAATAGGTCGTACAGCGGGAGGTCGCCACGCTGTACGGAGTACTCGATCTTGAGGCTTTTGGTGTAAGAGAAGCGGGGATGCATAGCTGGATCGATGATGTCTTCGAGGAGGAGGTGAAGGGCATCGGTCACGATATGGGTATAGAGGAGGGGATATCCGATATTTGCAAAGTCCTGCCTATGTCAGCTTCCAGACCACCGCAAGTGAAGTCACCTTGTGCTCACCTTGCATACCAGCATAAAAAGGCAAATATCTCCCTGACCAAAGACTGATCGAGAGGGTTTGGAGAGGGGAAGGGGCGCTGGCCTTTGGAGATGAGGGGCGATCAATGACCAGATCAGGAAGGGTAGGGTGCTTGGGGCGGGCGTCGAAGGTGTGTTCATTGCTGTGTGAGAAGCAAGCGATGTCACTTAGAGGTAGGTCAGGTGGAAAGGAGGGAAATGTGAAGAAGGAAGGACGATGTGGAGAAGGAAGTTGGATCAGCCGGCAAGGGATAGAATTCGATGGCGTTTCAGTTTGGTTCCGAGGCCAATCAAGGCGAACGCACAACCTGTCCATCCTCTATCCATAGCAGCACCTCCCTCGACAGCACGTGGCAAGCGCCTGACCATCCTAATCAGGCCTCTGTGTTAATCCGCGCCATCGCCTCCCTTCCCGAAGTCCTATGATCGCCTCCTCTCCGCAGCTTCATCGACTCCTCCCCTACTTCCCTAGCGCCACCCCACGAGAGTGACCTGTGCCTACTCCGGAGGCCCCATCCCGCATGCGGGACAGATAGGAGTGTCGACCGAGGGATGACACCGAATGCTGTCCGCCAGCCGGCTTTCCTCCTTGAACGTCTTGGTGATCGCCTGACTCATCTTATCCGTCATCCGCCGTTGCTCCGCCACCGTGAGAGCGGTCTTCTTGGATCCGCCGCCGGTGAGCTGCGAGGCCCACTGCCGAGCGATGGGATTGGCAGTCTGAGAGGGATAGGTCGCCGTCGAGCAGTAAAGGTCGATATCGGCAGTATCCGGGCAGAACCCATGCCTCTCCCTACTCTCCTGCCGACTACTAGCCGTACTCAGAACTTGCTTCCCCAACGCCCCGAGTACGTCCACCCACGGCGTCGTGGTTGGGGCGTCGCACGCCCAGACCATGGGTCTGCCGCACACGATGACGAGCTGATGGACCGCCGCCGAAAAGTGGCACGTGAGCCCGAAATTGACGCTCATTGGGTCCCGTTCCGACTCGTTGAGGATAGGAGAGATTGACAGTGGCCCTTCCGAGTTTCGAAGGCCTACGTGCCGAAGTTTACCGGCCGCGATGAATGTATTGAACTGGACCATCCCGTACATACCAGCCGTGACGGTCTCCCGGCCGTACGCGTAGCGATGCCAGAGGTCCGGTTCCCGGCCATAGACGGACGCGACGGCGATCGTTTCGAGCCGAGGGAAGATCCGCCCGACACCCATCCGGCTGATGGGAGATAGGACGGCGAGGATTGCCTGTGCCTCCGTCTCGCATTCCTCCATCTCGACCTTTTCCACCTGCTTTGCGTCCATCCCCACCTTCAGCCATCCCTTCCCCGTCTCCACTAGCTTTTGGTAACTGGTATCGAGACCCTTTGGGCAGTACTCGATGTACAGGCTTTTAGTCTTCGCGAATCGCCGATACATCGCGGGTCTGCGTGCCTCGTGGAGGAGAAGGGGGAGTTGATCCGTGTAGATCCGGGAGTACAGGAGCGGCTCGCATAGTGATGCGAAAAGCTGCAATGTCAGTAAGACTGTACCATCAGGCCTCAGTACGAATGCACCTTGCACGTCCTCGAGACTGCTACCAGATCTGGCTGTTGGAGGGCAGACCTCGGCGGGCTCGAGAGGGGCTTGGGAAAGGGTCTCTGGAGATGGCGGAAGATGAGGCTCCACACGTCGCCGGGCGCTTTCCGACTGCCAGAGGCAGCCTCGGGTTGCGACTCCATTTCTGTTGATTGGTTTGTGGCGGAGAGGGTATTGGTGACCGTATAGTAGAGGAGTAGCGCGTCAACTCTGTCAACAGTTTGGCTGAGATGGCATCAGATGGCGGTCAATCATCATGGTTGCATGGCCCTGGATTACGGCAGACGTTTCAGATTGATCCTGTTGGGTGTGGCAGCAGCGGTATGGCGGAGTGTGGCAGAGTCTTGAGCAGAGCTCGGCGAGCTCGGCGCTTGTTGGTGAGATCACTTGAGCCAGGGAGTCCCAGCGGAAATTCTTGCTCGTTAGTGGACGTCGTATAACATCGGGAGGAGGATGTTCAGACGGGTCTCCTTAGAGCCACCCTTTGCACTGATGAGGCCTGTACTCCTTTCACTTGTCGACCCTCCTCCATACACGTCGTGAACAAGGTCAACCTTTCACGATACACAGCCCAGCTATGCTCTGGCTCTCGACGGTATCTTCTAGTGCACCCGTCCTCCTCGCTATCGTATTTCGCACTTCTTATCCCTCCCAACTGCTAAGAACCACAACTCTATAGATCCTTCCAAATCCCACTTTCGCCTCGCCCTTCTTACTACACTACCCAAATTCCTCGTCCAGCTGAGTCGCTACTCAGCTCATTGTGTGACTTCCTCACATCCCATCATGGTCAATCAGGATCATTCGATCTCGCAGGAGTTGTCCTTCTTTCGGCATCCCGATTATTTGGGGTACCCCTCCTATCTTGACTCGACAATTGTGTACGAGAACGACGAATTTCACACACCTTACTTCGCACATTCCTTCGATGCAGGAGGAGGCAGTATAGCCACAGAATACGAACGTGTCCCCTCTGCCCCGGCGACCACCGAAGGCAGCGGATGGGTGCAGCCTTTCCTCATTGGGGCCGCACTCGCCGCTGGGGGGTTGTACTTCTCGACCAGAGGGAGTACGGCTGCTTTCACCGCTGCCTCAGAAGCCCTTCCTGGAGGAGCCACCTTCTCGCCCACTGCCTTGGGCGGGTCGAGCTGGTGGCCGTCCATGGGGGTAGGAACGGTCATCAAGGGCGGCTTGGGCTTGGCCTTCTTCAACGAAGTGGGGAAGCAAGTCCAGGAGGGTCTGGCCGGGAAGTCGACTGTGGGGGAGACGGCGGAGGAGAGTACAACAGTAACAGGGCGAGGCAAGCTGCTGAAGAGACGCAAGGCCAAGTAGCAGCGATTCTGATTCGGGTTCTGTACTATTTGTTCCATACTGTAGATGCATCGGCTGCGTTCACTTGTACTTGCTGACCACTCAAAGACTTTGCCTCGAACGCTTTGGGCTTATAAACGCCCTCACTAGTCACCGAGCTCAATTCGATCGGGTGTATAGAAGACAGGAGCGAGACTGAGAGCTCTGAGGATCTTCGCCGTGTACGTCCTCGGGGAAAGCAACCCTGGCTAACAGCCCCTTTTGTGAAGAGGGTCGAGGAAGAAACACAGCGCCAGCTGTTCGGTGGAGCTGCCCCATCATCGATAACGCACCTGCTGGCTGGTCGCTTCAGTGGGCGACAGTGATTAAGTAAAGGCGACTGGCGTCTCATCTCTTCCTGTCTCAATCCCAACACGGGCATCGTCGCTGTTCTGTCTGCCATCAAACCCGAAACCCAATCAGGTCTTAGCTAGCTAGCTGTAACACAATATGTCCTTGCATATATACGGCCAGAAGCTCCATATAGCTACAGAGCAATGCTACAAGATGAGCTTTCCCCCTCCACAAGATCTAAAAGATCCCCGACCGCTTCAATGTTTCTGGGCTCTTCGGCCCCAAGATCCCCTTCCCTCCCAGCGTAATCGCACTCGCCTTCCTCCTCAATATCCCCTTCACACTCCCGCCTCCTTCCTCACTCCCATCTCTGTCGGAATTCCCGGACCCCTCTTTCCTGTTCACCTTCCACCACTTCTTCTTGCCACTCTCGGACGCCGGGGAGGCGATACTCGAGGGGCTCATGAGCGGAGCGGAGCGCTTCGAGTCTGTCGGCGACGGTGGTGTCTCCGAGCGTGCGCCGTTCTCCCCGCTGCCGGTATCCACCGACTCTGATCGGCTCTCAGGGTACAGCGGCCGAGAGGGATGACGGGATGGGACACGCGGAGACCCGGGCGGAGATACGAGGCGGGAGGTAGAATTCGACGCCGTCGATCTGGTCTCGTCCGATGCCTCATGGACGGAGTGGACGGCGCGCCGGAGTCGTATCTCATACGAGTCGGACCGGAACTGCGGGGCCGGCTGAGATGGGACTTGCGCCTGATCCGGAAGCTGGTTGACCAACGGCGAGGTGCGGATACCGGGGGAGGGGAGAAGGGACGAATGGAGAGTGGAAGAGATTGATACCGGCCGGATGGGAGGAGGCCCGAAGGATCCATTCTCTTGCACAGAGGGGAGCTTCGGACTCGCCATCGACGAGCGGGACGAGTGTATAGCCACCTGATCGCTCTGCCCCAGAGGTAGGTCCAGCGCCGCCGGCATGACCGCGGACGACATCGACGCCGGTGTCCTGACCGATTGAGCCGGGTGACGTCTCCCCGCCTCTTGCGCCTTGAGCCAGGCGAAAAAGTCATCTGGAATCCGCCTGAGCTTGTCCCGCGAAGGGAGGGTGTACTCGAACCGACGGGTCGAGGAGAAGCTCGTCCGGCTCGCTGACCTGTCATCCGAGAGGAAAGGGGAGGACGCGGTAAAGTTGGTGTATATCGCCTCCTGCGCTGGCGTGGCGATGAGGTAATTTGGATCGTCCGGGAGCTGGAAGGGCAGCATGAACCGGCTATCGAGAAGCTCGCCGTAGCTCTCCGGCCCGGACGACGGAACAAAGTCCGCTAGGCTGACCGACCCGTCAAAGAGCGCATCGACTGACGTTCCGGGTCGGCCGACCTCCTTCCCACCCTCCTGCTCCGCCTTCAACGCCTTGACGCTCGTCTGGACCCGCCTATTCTCCCAGTCCTTCTGGATCTGCCCCATATACGCCACGCACTCGTCATCCATCCTTCCCTCCGACACCTCAAACTTGTAGTCCCGCACCGCCCGGCGCATCTGCAGCGGGTTCAGCCGGCGCAGACCTTGCACCGTCCCGATGAGGTCATCGAATGCGTGGATATTCGACTGGGTCTGTAGCCATTGCAGCAGCTGCAGCACCGGCTCAAAGTGCTGTACCGCTGTCTTGGCGGGAAGACCATGTAGCCGTACCCAGTCGTCCAGCGCCGTGATGTTCATCCGGATCTGGACGGCTTTCGAGCGGCAGAGATACTTTTTACGACTGAGGATACGGTTGAAGAGCTCCGCCGCGATCCAGAAGAAGACTTGCGAAAAGGCCTGAGCGGTGATGGCGGGGTTGACGTCGTATAGGTGGAGGACAACGAGTACGCTGGTGAGGATATCGGTGACTTGGGTAGGGGAGTTGGGATTGGGTTTCGAAAGGCCGGGGGAAGAGGGAGGGGGCATGGATATGGAGTCTGTGGATGCCCTTGCGAGTTCCTGGACGGACTGCTGTCGCTGGGGTGTGGTAGGCGCCTTGAATGGTGATTTGCCTCGAAGCGAGTTGAAGATGGCGCCCGGTGTACCGTGCTCCCCGCCATTGGTTGCCGCGCTGACCGCGTCGTTGAAGACTTGGCTAGCTTTGGGGAGGATAGATGCCCGCTGCTTCTTGGTCCCAAATGTCCGGAAGAGTGTCCACTCGCCCTCGAAGCGAACGTCGTCAAAGTCTTCGAGGGTCTCAAAGTCGAGTATGGCTCCATCAAGGACTTGGTCGATCCGGCGCTCAGCAACACGAATGACGAAGACTGCTGGTCAGTCTCTACTCTTTGAAGCACGATCATCCCACTCACCATGTATGGCATTGATCAGCTCCTCCACCATCCCCAGCAGCCCTAGCTCATCGCACGGCGTCCGTAGCTCATCGTCCGAGACCAGCAGATACAGCAGTAGAGTTGTGTTGTACGCCCAGAATGCGAGATACGCCAGATCCTCTATGCTTCCCTGACCGTCAGCTGGACCCTAATCGTTGCTCAACCCTGACTCACATAAACGCCCTTCTCAATCCTGTCTACTGCTCCTTCGAGCAGTTCCTCCAGCCAGGTCACACTACACTGCTTGACCGCGAAGCGGGCGTAAAGATAGATCATATTGGCCGGTAATGCTCGGCGGGAGAGCGGCTGGCATACGGGCTGATAGGAGGTGATAATCGTGTCAAAGATGGCGGGTAGATTGGCAGGTGCAAATACGAGCTCATCGGTTGGGTCTGCGCTTGGACGGCCCTGCGCTATCAGCCAGTCCCCAAGCTCGTGATGAAGGCACGTACAGATGAAGCAGGTGTGCCGCTCTCTTCCGCATCCGAGTCATCCGAGTCCGCAGTCATATCTATGCCCGAATCTCGCGAACTCGCCGACGTGTTCTCTGGTCCTGGTGGGAACAAGATTCCAGGGTCGATTCCGATGATTTCCACCTTTTCCCGCACCCATCTTTCCCTCTCGGCCTCTCGCTTCTTACGCCTTTCTCTCTCTTCCTGTCTGGATGACTCCCTCCCCGCTCTATCCCTTCGACGACGCAGGAGCCGCTGCCGGCCCTCACTCAGCTTGGCGTACGCCGGGACCAGCGCTGAGGCTGACGTACCCTGGTTGGACGCCTGCTCGAGTAGGGCGGAGATATGCATCCGGTCGGGCATGCCCGCGACGAGGTCGAGAGGGGTGAGGCCACGATTGGTCATGTCGTTGGGAGATGCGCCGCGAGTGAGCAGGAAGGAGATGAGGGGTGGTGTCGAGATGAGCGCGGATAGGTGAAGAGGGGTCCAGCCAGCTATACCATCAGTTCTGTGCTCCTCCTCAATCCAGAGAATACTCACTTCGATCTCTGCCTCCTCTCGGTCCGCATTGTATACCCCATCTCCCGACAGCAACACGGACTAGCTCCTCCTTGTCCTGACGACCGCAACTGGCCTGAACAGCCATCCCAATCAAACCCCAGCCTTCCTCATCCTCCATGATCGCTACCTCCGCGTCCAGTACAGAGCCCTGACTGTCAGCTTGCATCTAATCACAGCATGTAGGATATACATACCCATCGTCCAGTCAGCTCCGCAAGCCAATCAACGAGCTCCACATCTCCATGCTCGATGCCCCATTGAAGAGCATGTCGGAGCACCAAGGGTCCTCGCGAGGACTTGTCCGTCGGTGCTTCCCGTTGATCTCGCTCCTCTTCTTCCTGCAGAAGCGATAGGATAATCTCTGGCGAGGGCCGACCTGCAATTGTCGGCAGGAAAGTAGGAGGAGTCAGAGCGCTGCCACCGTTAGCTGATTATTCGTCGCGCTTAGTTGAGCTAAATCTCACTGGGCGAGAGATGAGCTTGATGCTTCTCCCCGGAGCTCTGGGCTGACGAAAGTGTCGACGATGAGGGGAGAGTCCGGAAAGTCGTGGTGATTGAGGTGAGCCATGTTTGTTCGTCGGGACGACGAAAACACGGGCCTGGGGCGCTCAACTGCCTGACGGCCGTCTCCCGCTTGGCGACTTTGCTAAGGGCGCTGGTGAGGCCGCTGCTGCCCCTCCGTACAGGTACAGGCGGCACAAGGAGCAGCACAGATGGACGACGAAGTATTGAGTATGTGTGAGGAACGCAACCAGTTGTTGTCTTGATCAAGCGCTCGTGTGATTTCTGATTACAGTACAAGCACAATTGCCTCTTTCGGACGATTTGAGTAGGTTAAGGGTTACGGCATCACCGGTTTCATCGACAGCTTCTGCGCTTCTGCTTCACTGACAGTCCTTGAACATGAAAGGAGGGAAGCGGTTATCTCAGCGCAGATCGGGGACCAGTATACGAAGAGGACATAGCACTTGTATTATATGGTCATGCAGCTTCATGCAGGATCCAAACTCGCTCCGTACAGCGCTGAGTTTGAGTTCTTGAAGATGAAACCGGCGGTTCCGAGGAATTGCCGGCATGAGTGATCGACGTTTTCTTGTGCAGTGGCGCAAGTGGCTGATCCGCCTTGTCTCACTCATCGAGCTGGACCAGTTGATGCAGTTTCCATTTATCCCAATCCGGCCTTCCTGCGATACCATCAGCCAGCATCACGCTCAAAGAGTCTAGACAAACGCTGTAATTTCGGACTAATTGTTAACAAGCTTGCTAGAAGAAGGTCGTCGTATCTTCGATGGGAATCTCCGAAATTTCGCTTCGGCGCTTCGGCGACGCCGCCTGACTCACATGCTGGAAGAAGACGGCTTTGCGGAGAATAGGCGACACGAAGGGCGTCATTGCCTGACAGCCTGTTCGCGTTAGGTATCCCTTTGCTGTCGAGAGGTCGACAAGTAGATCTCAACTATCGACTTCAACTCCACCAGACTCGATGTCGCGCTCATAGCAGGTCTATCTACTCAAAGGCACTCCATACCTCGACGCAGTCCCTACTCACAACATATACACACAGCACCACTCGCAATGCAGACGACACAAGAGATGGTCCGGCGGGCCTGCACGGGCATCGAAGCCGTCTCACTGGCCGTCAATGTTTTCATCCTCGGCACGAGCTTATGGGTTCGGACAGTCCCAACGGCGAAGCACCATACGCAACGGGTGTCCTACACCATCATTATGTGGGCAGTAGCGATGCAAATGGGGTACGATATAGATCGCCTCATACTATATTCTGGCGTAAGTCTTCCCTCTCGGACAGTGCGTGCGGAATCTGAGCAATTGCTGACAGCCTTATAGGACGATAGCCGCTTCAATGTCCGCCCCGCCTCCTGCGCGACTGGGATGTACTTCTTCCTCTCCCAACTTCATATGTGAGTCATAGTCCGCGTGGCCTGCAGACGACTACTCTGATAGCCCAGTACCAATTTTTTGATCACATGTATTGCCGTCAACCTGATGCTCATCGTGTGCTTCGGAGTCAACCCCATCGAGAAGAGTGAGTACCACTCTGGCCACACTGTAGGCCTCTCCTTACGCTTCGCAGAGCTACTGAGGTGGTATGTTGGGGTATCTATCGCTCTAGGCGCCTTCATCCCTATTATCCCAGCCGCTTTGGGTCACTTCGGTCCGGACCCGCTTTATCGTCTATGGTGAGTCTGATTTCTTTTCGACTCGTCAGCTCAAACTGACCAAGCAGCTACCTCACACCTCTGGAACCGACCGAGCGAATGAGGGTGGTCGTACTGGATGTGGTATTATGGGAACTGCTCGCCATTGTGGTCGCCAGCCTGTCAATGATCGCCGTACGTCAGCCCCGTCTTTGCCCTTGTTCGAACTGAACTGAATCTGCAGGTGCTCATCACATTGTTCCGGTCCGGCCGCTCTACCGCGCGAGCCCTCATCCGAGGCAATCCCATGAACGCCCAACTCAGTACCTCGTCCGGATCTGCCCCCAGCGGCAAGAGCGTGCGGCGCGGATCCAGCTCAACGTGGCGAAGCCTGGGCGTCTGCTTTGGTCGATCCCGCAAGGAAGAGACAGAGAGTGGGCTGCAGCCGCTGCAGTCGATGCACACGCTTCAAGACCAGTTCTTGGGCATCGCGCTCAAGATCAGCCTCTATCCCATCTTCCTCATCATCGCCAACGTCATCATCTCTGGTGAGCCTGGAGTCCAGGTGCTGCAAGGATTAGGCTGATGCGATAGTTGCCGATCTCTACTTCAACTATACACTCCGGAACGGCGTGACCTCAGTAGCGTTCTTGGCTGTGTATCAGATCCTCTACGCAGGGCGGGGATTCTGCTTTGCAATCGTACGTCCCTTTCTCAGCCTGATGAAAGATCGCACCTGACATCCCAGCTGTGCATCTTTGTCGACCCCTCATTCCAAGCAGGTGTCAAAGCCGCCTGGTATGCTCAGCGCGACGAGCGGATGCACGCGCTTGGGCGACCACCAATGGCCGTCCTCGGCGGAGCTGTCCCGGACCACATGTCGTTCGGCCAATTCCTCAGCTCGGTGCCTGAAACATCCAGCGATGCGCTCAATCCACCCGCAGACGGTAGCCGGCGCGGATCCGCAGCGACCGTCGATCTCTCCTCCGCTCTGGCCTCTCTACCCTACACCGCCGAGCACGGCGTGCCTCCACTCGACACACCCCCAGATGAGTCCGTCTCGGCCTACCTCCGGATGCCTAAATCTCCCACACGGTCCCAGCACTTCACACGGTCTTTTGCCGGCGTAACGAGCGGATCGCTCCCCACTGGCCTATCGGACGACGTGGACGTGGATCTCAGATTGTCGTACGCCCCCTCGCCGACGCGGTCTACGTTCTCGCCCACAAGGTCGACGTTCTCGCCGACGAGGTCTACCTTCTCGCGGGATACTGGGCCCCTGGCGGAAGGCGTGAGCGAGCTGGACGAGAGCATGCTGGATGAGAAGACGGATGCGGAGGTGGCGACCGAGGCGGCGACCGAGGCGGAGGTGCAGGCACAGGGACACGCAGCGCATGCTCTTTTGCAGGCAAGGCGGTCCAGTGAGATGCTGCAACCTGGGAGGAGGGGGGAAGTACGGGCTAGCGCGGAGGTACGGCCAGCGAGACACAGGGAGGGCTGGTCATCGGGCGTCGATGCGAAGAGGCGGTTTGAAGAGCTCGGCAGACAATTGTAACGGATTATATAGGTCAGGTTCACGAGTCGTTCAGACATGTATTTCGGGTCACGAGTCAGCGTCTTGCGTGGTGCTTCGCTTGAGCACTGAGCGTTACCCTGTCTCGCTGTGTGGCTCTTGACTTCCCCGCAGACCACTTCGTACACGGCGGGTATGAAGCGATGACGACCTCCACCGAAAGCGGAATTGTGCCTGCCGACCGAGCCTAATCCGCTCAAATAGCTCACCTTGGCGACCCACCTTGCCTTTTCCATTCACTCCGTCTGGTCCAGTGGTCGAGACCTTCTCGCTGATCAAGTTCGCGGTGGCAGACCAGGCCCGTCGATCGTACGGACCCCTTTGACATGTGCTGATCGTACTGACAGATTGGCTTGCCTGACCCCGGCTTTCGGTACTGGTAGGATGTCTCATTCGCTTGTCCTTCGATCTGAGACATGCACGGGTACCTGGCCGCTACAAGCGGAGATCACGAGCACAGATTTAGGCACTTGAGTACTATCAGCCGCGCCCTGGCCCATCAGAGTCATGGTCACAAGCACAGGTCACAGCAGGCAGCCGACCCACCGCACGACCTTATCTACAGGTACTACGCCGCGCCCACCCCCTCGCTTTGGACTCTTAGCGAGCTTCAGCGAGCTCCTCATCCGACATCTCCTCATACGGTCTACTAGTACCGACAAATGGGTACCTTCGTCTTCACCGATGAGCTGGACTATGTGAGTCTTTCACCAGCTCCCAGCCCGGGCTAAGAGCTGATCCCATCCTCAGGCAGCTCAGATGGCCTCGGTAGCAGCCGCATCCGTCTCGCTAGCTATCAGCCTCTTTGTCTGTCTCGCCTCACTATGGATCTACGCAACCCCTTCAGCGCGACATCATCTCGATCGAGTCTCTTTCCGACTACTGCTATGTTCGATGATCGTCGAGGTGGTTTATGACACCGTGTACATCTTTCTCTATAGCGATGTGAGTCTATCTACAGAGCTATCCTCTCCTCCCTTGCCTCCCTTGCCCTTTGTAGGGTGCAGCTGACAAACAGCCTGTCCCGCGCACTGCAAACTCCGTGTCGTGCAGTACGGCGGTCTACCTCCTCCTGGCGACGATGGGCGTCGCGAACTGGCTCTGTACCTTTATTGGGGTCAATCTCATGCTTGCCATCTGCTTTGGTATCAATCCTGTCCGAGCGCGTAAGTTCCCCGTTGACAGGACTATAAGCTAGCCTGACGTGAAAGGTCTGGAACGGTGGTACATCCTCATATCGCTTTTCATGGGCTTTGGGATTGCACTCGTCCCGGCCGGTCTCGGACATTTCGGGGTAGACGAGGTATATCAGGCGTGCTATTTCACTCAGAGTGCGCTCGGCCTGTTCATGCCTTGGGTCGGAGAGCGCTGACAGGGTAGCGGACCCAGCATTGCGGATCCGGGACTTTATGACCGACCTAGTGAGCTTGCTCGCTCTTCATCTGACGGAACCTAGCTGATGGTGCAGTACGCCTGGCAGATTCTCTCCAGCCTCGTCGCGGCCGCTAGTGTTCTAGCTGTATGTGCCTTCCACTCCTTGGTCACCCAATACAAGCCCTCTGTCTGACATACAGGTACTCGTCACCCTCCTCCGTCAATCCCGAGCGACCCAACGGGCTCTATATCGGGGCAACGACCTGAACATAACCTCCCACGACCTTCATACCATCGCCTCCACATCCATGTCCCACTCCCCCTCAGATGCGCCTCGACCGTGGTTTGCCCGGCTCATCCGCTCGAGGCCTAGGCAGGGTACTTCAAGCCTCCACCGGCTCGAAGACAAATTCATCACTATCGCTCTCAAGATCTCACTCTATCCTCTCGCGCTGATCGTCATCAACGCCTTCATCACCGGCGAAGACCTGGCATATACGGGCAGGGGCGGGGTGGAGTCGCAAGGCGAGTATGCGGTGTACTGTATCTACTACTTCCTGTATGGAGGACGGGGTTTGTTCTTTGGTCTGGTCAGTCCCCCCGCTATTATTGGTCACCATAGACAGTCCATAGGAGTACAAGCTGACGGAGAAGATCGGGATACTGGTCGATCCATGCATCCGCAGAGGCCTCCCAGCGGCTTATCAAGCGACATTTCGGCCTTCCCGCCTGGGCGACACACCCATCACCACCCTTGCGTCCGGCTACGACGTCGAGAAGGGTGCCACTGTCTCGCACGACGTTGAAGCCGAGGCAGCCGCAGAGACTATCACCGACTTCTTGGCCTCTGCGCCTGGACCTGAGCCGTCTCTGTCCGATCTGCCAGCGGGACGGCAAGGCCTCCTGGGGCTCTTCGAGAAGCGCCAAGACCTTGCAGGGGCGGAAGAGAGGAGGAGGCCGAGCTTGCAGGTCGTGTATACTCGTCCTTCCACACCGGTGACCGTACTCAATCCGCCGTCCGATCCCCTCACACCAGCTGCACCTACTCCGACAGACGTCATAACCCCTTTATCCCCGGCCCATATCGTCCTGGCCTCTCCCAAGACCCCCTCTCATACCGAACATCCACCCCTCACCCCCGTTGCTCCATCCACCCCGCGCAGATCCCGCCAGAGCTGGCTCGAACCACTCGCCACCGCCGTCCTGGCGCGGCATGACTCACCACTTGGTCCTCGCCGGTCCTCTGATCCTGCTCTGGGCGATACAGCTCGGCGGCGGAGGGAGCTCCGGGTCGCCGCAGAAAAGATGTACGCAGAGGTACAGGCGCAGATGTAAACGATCCAGATCATCAGCACGTCAGGATCAAGTTGTATCAGTATATCAGGATCAGTAGACACCTATGTCAGATGTCGTCAGTACCAGAGCGACTCGACCGATCAGCACCGCGCATGACAAGCCGATCCTCAGACCGCGCCAAGACTACATACACATAGTACACACAAGAAAAGACATAATACAGCTATATAGCAAACTAGGAAATCTATAAGCAGGTCAGGCAATACAGCCAAGAAGCGGAGCCACCCCTTCCTCCAATCCGTCACGTTCCCTCTCCTCCATTTTCGTCGAGATGGCGCCGAACCCGCTGATGTACACGTCTTGTTGGGGCGAAGGGGGCAAGATACAAGCGCGGTAGTGTTTCGGCGGGTCGTCGAATTGTCGTGTCGTTTGTCGTTATGCGTGATCGTCCCCTCCCCTCTTCCCCTTAGTGTATACACAAAACACCCATCTCCCCCGCCCCCTTCCTCAGGCACAAGCACCCTCATCCCTCCAACATCTCCACGTCCCCTTCCTCGCCTACCGTCCCCATCCCCATCCCCATCCCCGCCTCCGTATTGATCGCATACCCAAAGCCACCCAATACACCGCTCAACCACCCCTTACTCTCCGGCGCGAGGGCCGCCCCGCCCGTCCTCGCCCTTCCGATCACCGGGTGATCCACGACATTCTGGCTCGTCGGTCTCCGATGCGGATCAGCGGCCATACAGCTCGTAATAAGGTCCGCGAGCGCCGGGGAGAGGGGGGAGAGATCGACGACGGTAAAGTCGTCTGTGCGTAACGAGTGCCATGCGGGTCCGCCATCGGGGACGCAGATATTGGTGGAGACTTCGAGGACGACCAGGCCAAAGCTAATTATCAGCTATGTTCTCCAGGCAATGCCAAGGTGGGGGAAGCTCACCTGAAGATATCCGCAGGCATGTCAAACACCCCCCTCAGCATCTCTGGAGGCATATACACCCTATCCCCCTCCCTCTCAATCTTCTCCCATCCCCCACCCGACGCTGCACTCTCACCCGCCATCCCGCCCAACCCCGACCCCTTGAGGATCTCATCAGGCGTGACTCTCAGGACGCGGGACGCCATCCCAAAGTCCCCAATCTTGAGCGTTCCCGCATCTGAAATGAGGATATTGGCGGGTTTGAGGTCAAAGTGCACGACGCCGGCAGAGTGGATATGGTGGATCCCGTCCGAGAGCTCGCGGATGATCTTCCAGACCCGGGCTTCGTCGAGCCGTTCGACGACTTGTCCGTATTCTTCTAGGAAGAAGGCGAGGGTACCGAGGCAGAGCTCGGTTTGGATGAATAGTTGCCGGTTTTGTTCCCAGGCGGAGGCGAAGCGGATGACATGGGGTGAAGGGGGGAGGGAGAGGTGCCGGAGGATATCAACTTCTTCGAGGTGTCGAAGTCTGGTCGTCAGCTTTCACTCGGCAGAATCCCGCTCACCTGTCGCGAACACCATCAAACACTCCTCGCGCCTTCTTGACCGCATACAGCCCGTCCCCATGCCTGTCCTGTACTTTGAACACCGTACTGAACGCCCCTTTCCCGAGCGTCTCGAGCGTGATGAACCGGGTCTCAAAGATATCCTCCTCCTCCTGGACATCTTGCGGTTTGGTGGCGGGGTGAGACTGGCGGTGATGGAGTGTACGGTGGATCTTGGGGTTGGGGAATGCGGGAAGGGACATGCGCGGGTAGATCCCGCTCGAGGATGATGTGTGAAGCGGGACGGGGTGGGCGTGTGCGGGCGGTTTCGAGGGTGTAAGGCTGAGGTCTGGTCGGCCGGCTGGAATGTCAGCGGAAAACCTATGCGTTGTGCCATAAAAGGGCTCACCTGCTAAAGCGACCTTCTCTCCTCCGCCCTTGGTCGGCGTTCCATCACTCTCGCTCCCGCTATTGGTCCGTAACAATCCCACCCTTGTCTTCTCCGCCGTCATCATGACCCCCTCGCGCTGAGCAACCCTGACGGTCGGACTCGAGCATTCCGCCTCTGGACTACTCGATCCCGGTCCCGCCCCATTCAGCGTCAGATGAGGGACCATGCCCATCATCGTCCCCATCGTCCCCGACTTCTTCCTCATCGTCGGCGGCGGGACCTTCCCCTTTCCTTTCCCTTCTCCGACCAGGACCGGCGCAGGCTCCCCCATCATGACATCCTCTACCGCCCCTCCTGATCTTGAGCCGCTCCCCAGACTTGGCTGACTGGAGCTGTGGCCCATGCCCCGCCTCCCACCCCCATTGAAGTGATTCCGCTTGACTGGCGTTCCTGGCATTTCAGGCTTCTCCTCCTCCTTCTCCCGGAGCATGACGGGTAACCCGGCTGCACCGAGAAAGTTGAACGCGGCGACGCCAGGCCAGCCACTGTGCTGCGCGGGCTCGATGGGAGTTTCGAGAGGCCGATCCCTCTCGCGCTCGTCCCCCATGGACGACGTCCGCTTGAGCATGGGTGGGCGCCTGGGTCGAGACGCCGCCGACGGCCGGAGAACCGACATGGGCGGGATCTTGAGCCGGTCATCCTCGCCATTTCCCACGCTGACGCCTGAATCTCTTGGCTTGAACTTTCGGAGCGCGGTCGATGGCTGCTCGAATGCCTCTTGGAGAGGCTTGACGTCCTCGAATATGGGCGGTTCGGCGGGTGAAAAGGTGGATGCGGGGGGTGTCATGTTGGTGGTGGAAAGGGAGGAAAGGGAAGAGTTGGAGTGGCTGAAATCAGGGAGACCGCCGAGGGAGAGGGCGAGTCCCGACTTGTGTCCTGTCGACCGAGACATGGACGCCTGGACTGTATTGCTTTGGTCGCCCGAGTTGATCCGCTTGTGCCGATTGGCCCCGACTTGACCTTTGGACATCCGCCTGGCATGGCCTAGGGCAGCAGCAGGCGCAGCGATAGACCCAAACGCCTCGTCCTTGTCCACCATGGCCGCCTGGATCCGGTCCAGCGAGATTGCCTTTTTCTGACCCAGGATGCTCTTCTCGTGGTCCATCTGACTCCCGGTCGACGCGCGCGCACGCAGGGGGTGCGACGCGGACAATCGGGGAATCTTGGACTCCTCGGCGCCGACTCGCATGGATTTGGAGGGCGCAAAGATGGACCCGCTAGCTCGAGACCGGAGTTCTTGAGAGTGGGACCGAGGAAGGGGGAAGAGGGGTTGAGGGGGTGGTCGGCCGTCCCCCATCATAGGCGTCGAGGGGGATGCTTCGCCGTCAGAAAGCGGGATATTGTTGAGGTTGTTTGTAGCGAATTTGAGTGGGCTTGGTGGTGGCATCCCCATTCTCCCTTCTGACGCTCGCGCCATCCCCATCCCGCTTGTCCGCCTGATGGGACTATCATCATCCGCCAGCTTCAGCCTCGCCGCCGCGTTCGCCATCCCGCACGCCGGAGTAGGACTGTCCTCGATGGGGCTGGACGACATGTCTGTCATGCGGCGTGATTTGGGCGATACCTGAGGATGGGACGGGTGGACGGGGGAGATCATGACAAAGTCCTCGTCCCCGCCTTTACTGGGTGAAGGCGAGGGGGAGAGCCGATGTTTGGGGTTCCGAGCGACCGAGAATGGCGCTGCGAATGGGTTTCCTGGCGATGCGGCAAATTGGCCAGTCCCGCCGAGCGTGGAGTGAGAGTGGATGCTCGAGATGGATTGATTGGAGCCGGACGAGGAGGATGAGGAGGTGAGGCCGAGGGGAGTATGGCGCATCTGCATATTGTCGGCGGGAGGGGCAGTAGATGGTCCGGCCGAGAAACAGGTGGTGGGGCGCGGGAGTGCCTTGGTGCGAGGCATCTTGAACCCGTTGGCGGTTCCGTCGTGCGCTGATGATTTGGCGGGATGAACGGCAGAAGAGGGCATGGTGGATGAGATGGGAGTAGAGATGTTCGTTTGGGAAGGGGGCGAGTCGAGACGATGTGGCAAGATGTTCCGGCCGAGTCGAGTCGGGTCCGGTGGACCTTGGCGATAGGTAGAGATCGTGCTTGGTGCTCGCTCTTTCCGACAGAGCACGTAAATACAGGTACACAGATGTATGTGGGTCCCTTCGCGTCGACTAGGGGAGCGACACGTTGGTAGATATTCTACGATCAGCACGGCCTATCCTTGTTAGAAGAAACGCACAAGGTCGAGTGGAGTCCAGCGTCAGAGCACCAGGCAGAGAGGCAAGAGAGAGTGTACCCGCTGGGGGTAGTTGTTGTTTGGTAGTATGAGAGACAAGGAGAGACAATGCACAGAGGACGCGTTTGACTTCTCTTTCCCCCCTCGAGCGCCCACATCCCCGCCACCCGTTTCATAAACAAAGCCTGCAGCTTAAATTGCTTCCGGTGGAGCGTCCAGCCCGAGATGCCGTAAGCGATCGAGAACTACAGGCGGCAAAGGCCGCTTGCCTCGCCTGGTCACTGGACCATCATACGCCTTGCACCATGCGATATACACTCGATAATGGTATATATTGACGCACGCAGTTGCCTCTGGAGCAGATCGGTGACAGGTCCGCCGTCTCGCTGAGACGACTGAGCCGAAAATCGCAGTTGAAACGTCGAAAACACCCCCAACCGCGTTTTTTTCGTTATTTTTATAACTGCATGCTGTTCTCTTCTTCCCCAAGTCCCCCAATGACCGCCTAGTGCTTCTTGGCAGCAGCGGACTGCGCTTTTGCTTCGTCCATCTTCGCAATTATGTCTGCCTCTGATGACCCGTTAGCTCGGCTCAGAGGCTTGTGAAGGTGGACACTCACCCTCGTCAACGATCTTCTTGTCGACCTTGGCACCCCTGGACGGCTCGTTACCGTGCGACCGAGCGATGGCGGTAGGGTCCTCCTTGGCCTCGGCCGCCTCCTCCTCAGCCTTCTTCTCGAGCTTCTCTACGCGGGCGGCATCGGTGATGTTCTCTTTGAACGAGCGCTCGTCCTTGCCGTCGAGACGCTTGTGGGCATCCTGGGGGGCGTGCTCGTGGGCCTCACCGGTCTGGGGGTTGCCTAAGAGTCATCAGTATTTCTGCGGCGTCAAGGGGGGGCGTAAGATGAAGGGAACGTCTGATGAGGTGTGAAGCGGGTAAGTGTGGGCCGAAAGGGAAAGGGGAAGAAAGAAGGGCGACCTTGTCCAGCTGAGTCGCCCAGCTGAGGCAAAGGCCAGCGAGCATGTCCCGGCTGTCTTGACACGGGGTCGAAGGTAAGACCAGAGTCATGACTTACCGGAAGTACCAGTGGCGGGGTTGATAGCACCGTCGTTTGCCTCGGACATTTTGGTTTTGGTTGGTAGGTTGGGTTTGGTGGTGAGAGGGGTAGAGGGGTCTTGAGAAGTCAGTTTCTTGCCCTCCTCTTGCTGGTTCTTGACTTCTTGCTTGGTCATGTTGGGCATCAGTTGGCTTACTTGTTTGTTGGCTGATGCGGGATGTAGAGAGGAAACAGAGAGATGAAGCAGTTTCGCGCTATAAGGGGGTTGGGGTTGCTAGGCGGGGTTAGTGACGTCATGATGGACAGCGGAGTAGCCGGCATTTGTTTTATAGAGGTTTCTGGACTTTATCCGGTAGTCCGTGCGTCGCGGCAGAGGTCGGGCGAGATTTCGGTCCAGCAGCACCAGCGACGATGTGCTGCACTCTCTCTCCGTGATATCTCTAATACGACCCTCTCATCAACGCCCAAGAAGGCGACATTGAGCTACAGCATCGCAGCAGACAATCCTGACTTTTATCCACCGACGTTCGAGCTACATCGACAGAATAGACCGGTCTATTGCCTCCCAGATCTGATCCAGCTCTGACCATCTTGAATTCGCCTCCAGTCCAGATCTCGTCTCGGTGCCATGGTCAGTACCGATTTCAGCTTATGCGGTCAGAGAAGCAAGCTGATATGGTGGCAGTCTATCACACGAGTCATCGCCGAGCTGGTTCTCACCGGCGCAAGGGTATTCGGAAAGGCGACTGCTGCTGCCGGCGCACAAGCTGTACGGAGTGAGTCTGCCTTCGGTCAAGCTAGCACCCTCGCGAAAGACTATCAGAGGCAAAGGCGTGGGCATCAGCTGATACACCCAGACTTCAAGCACAAGCCTGATGGAGCACCCTCCAACGCACCAATAGGGACCGGCGGCTCCAAATCGCAAATAACAAATCAGCTCAACATGTCGCTGGACGAGGCACATTTGATCTTGAATGTGAAGAAGGAAGATCCATTAGAGGTCATTGAAAAGGTCAGCTACTCGTTTCCCTGCGACCACTTGTAGTCTCAGAGGCAAAACTGACTCTAGCAGAGTTATGACCGAATCTTCGCCGCCAACTCCCCTCCCGCTCCCCCATCGACCACCCCACCCGCAGCCGGTGCACCTGGCGCCGCAGGAGCTCGTCCAACTCCAACACTCACACCGGCGCAAGCGGCAGCAGCGAGAAGAGCGGCAAAGGTGCCGACACATTCACATTACTTGCAGAGTAAGGTGTATAGGGCGTTGGAGCGGATAAAGGCGGAGAGGGAGACTGGGGCCACACCACCAGCAGGACCAGCGGCGGGCGAGGCTGGGGCGGCAGGAAAGGGAGAAGCTGGGTCATCATCATGAGGGAGTAGGGGTGATGTTGGCCGATTTGGGCTCTGAAACGGATACGGACTGGCAGGCGTGCGGTGGGCCTGGAGACTATAATGTCGGATATCACATCTCCACCACCGCTGCTGATCCCATCTCGATCTCACGCCTTGATCTGACCGGCTGGAGGGCATCGGGTGATGTTCACGCTCACGCCCCTGACGTCCTCTTGTCGACTTTCGTCGGGATGCCCACCAACCAGTACAGGGAAACCACCAGAATGCACGACCGTGAGGCTGGCTCATCCTTTCTGTTCGCCCTCCTTCCTTCCGGATGATCCTACACGTGACCGCATTCAATCCTTTATATCACCTTTTCGTTCGACATGATCGCTGGGAGCTGTGCAAGAGTCGGTACATACATAATTCTAGGCCTTTCCAGACTGCTCGCTCTCTTCCCCACCTCCATCCCGCACTTCAAGTCCCCTCCTTTACCAAAGCACACTCTACCCTGTCCTCAGCGACCACCACTCATACGCCGCAGACACCCCTCACATCTCACACATATCTCACTCTCATACCTCTCACAAGCCACTCACTCCAACACAACCACCATGGGCAGCTCCAAAACCACCAACGAGTCGGGCTATACGGTGACTGCGGTGAATGCGGTCTGGGACAAATTGTCATCCTACTGTGCCTCTGACGCCACCGGCACCCCTGATGCGTCAAGCTGGTGGCCCAGCAGCCACGCCGAGCCGTCGTCCGGCGGCGATTGGGGCAGTACGCTATCGGCCTATGCGGCCGGGGCGGCGGTCGCAGTCGCCTCTGCGGCTTTCTTTGCTGCCTGTTCATATGTCTCGGGGGCGAGCGCGCTGGACCTGGAGGGTACACCGAGTGATGAAGATGACGAGTCTCGGAAGTTTTACAATGAGGACCGGACGATGCGGCTCGGTCGCGTTCTTCCCGAGAACATTCCAGATCCGGACAATCCAGGGCGTACGGTTGTGGAGATTGAGTGGCAGTGGGACGCTGACTTGGCGAGAAAGGGATATCCCGGATACGATCGCTACGACCCGGTGTGGAGAGCTTGACCTCGTCGGCTTATCCGATTGCTCCGTACCCCGCTGGTATATTCATGTGCGAGCTTACACTGTTACTCGGCCACACCACGGGGCTGCGATACATGAACATTATCTTACCGGAGTCCCTGACCATGGACCACGTCGACACGGTGCCCAGCAGTCTGACACGGCTAATTACATCATACCGACGCCCTGTCTGACCGCAGCATCGAGTGACAGTGTGATCACAACCTCCAAGATTCAGCTGCAATCTGATTGCATATACTAGCGGGAGATCAAACTTCAGTCTCAGATTATCCTCGCTCAAAGCGCCACATCGGAGCTCGCAAACTATTCATGCTTCAGCGAGGATAGGTAGTGAGGCTAGTGAGGTGCTAGGGCGGAACGTGTCGGGTTACGGCTGCCCTCACCCGGCCCGTACGTGGGCAACCCATCCTTTGTGACCGTTCATCCTCATGCCAGACCGACGCGACACGTCTGAACGAATGATCCTTTACATTGAGATCCCCGGATGTCGGGCTTCAGCTCGTTTGCTGTGCACTCGCTCCTGGATACCTGTCACATTGAGAAACCCTCACCACCAATCAATCCATCCTGACCACCACGTACTGGCTGTCTCCCATACCCCCTCGCCAATATCTACATGGGTTCACCGCTTTCTCCCAGCAGGTCCGACAAACGTACCCACTCCATTGGTCATTCCATCAATATGGGCGAAACAATAGACCTTCCTCCCGCCTAGGAGAGCGTTGCCGAAACAGCAGGAGCCAGCACGATAATGCAAAGCCCCACAACTCCGCTGCTCTCCCTCAGGCCTCGTCCGACCCTCACTCTGCTCAGCAATCCCGGGGATGGGCATTACCCATCGGCCTCGGCTTCGCAATCGGCGTCGGGATGTCTTAAGCTTTCCACTCGTTATACTGCTCCGCGAAGGAGTCTGCCATCGCTTCCGCATCCACTTACTGGATCAGTCACCCTCCGTCCTCCTCTGCCAGGTTTGTTGGGGGTACAGTCTTAGCCTGCGCCATCTTGGCTTTGGCGGCGGGTGCAGTACTCGAGATTCGCCACAAGGTCAGGGATGTCTGCGAGAACACTACTGGGGGTATTGCGTGGCATGGCTGCAACACCAGTTACACATACACCGACCGGAGGGGGAAGAGAACAGAGGTGACTGCGTGGCACCTTCCAGGCGTTTCTACAAGGAGCGGGTATCAGAGCAGACGTTGATCGATCATGTAGGGCGGACTATGTGAGACAAGTGGGGTCATTGACACGAGCTTGGCTTCGAATCATGCAATTATTTGCGTCCCTGATCGCGATGGTAAACCCTGGCATCAGTTTGTGACAGCACACTGAGCACCTATATGTTCGTATCATACTATCTGGCGCGCCAAACGTGAGCAGCGTAACCGAAACACGTCAATTCACGTTTGCTGCGCCGTTGCTACAGAGTGTCATTTGCTTGACCTTGTTGGTCATTGGACGTCTTTCGCCTCAGAATGTAGGGCGGACCTGTGGGAGTCAGTAAGGAGCCATACCAGTGAGTGTTGCACGAGTACCCTCAATATACACAGTGCCCTCATCCTGGCTCACACGGACTCCTGCATCGCCAGGGTAAACGCCACGTCACCTTCACTGCCACACCAAAGTATGTACGGCACCCACAGAGCTAGTGCAACTCATTCCTCATCTCGGAGGCAAAGTTTTGGCCAGTTAGTTTTCCCTGTGACCCTGTCGTCCCTGTCCCTGCGTAGACGCTCACAACTCACTACTGTATCCGCCGCTAGTGATTCGTCAATCGCCTTCGGTCACTTATCGTCTCCCACATCATCTCACCTATCACTACATCTTAAGGTCAGTAGCTGGTCACGACTCAGTCGCCACAGGAAAGACACCGCCGGTCCGCCGCTCCTCCATCGCTCCGCACGTACGGGCAGAGCAAGCATGCCTCCTAAGCGCCGCCCTCCTCCCAAGGCGAAAGTTCCTCCCAAGGAGAAAGCTCGGCGAAAGCCTCCGACTCAAAGCGTACCCTCGGACATCTGGCATCTCATCTTGCCGTATCTCAGAAACCCTACTCCAGCTCCTCTGTCCCGGCCGCCGCGGTCCCAGATGTGTCAACCAGACCTCTGTTCTGCTTCCCTCACATGCCGCGTGAGTCGAGATCTAGGCTACAATCTGCCTCAGCTGATAAGTAGCTATTCGCAGAGATTGTGAACCCTCTCCTCTACACCCATATCACGACCGACCAATTCGCCCTCCTCTTCCGCGACATCAATAACCCCACCTTTTACCGGCGGTTCAGGCAAACAAGAAGTCTTCTGATCGAGTATATGCCGACGGGTGAGGACGCCGACTATGGTGATTTGATGGCGGACGAGGGGCGAAGGTGGTCAAAGCTGGGCCGAACGGAGGAGGAGATGGATGCGGCGACATTCAAGGAATGCGGGGATGAGGCGGAGGGGATCATTGCCGCTCTGGGTACGGCCAATCGCATCGGCATGGCGAGGGCTCTCCCTCGGCTCGAGAGAATCGCTATCGGATCCATCTACGGAAAGCAACACAGCGCCTTTTTGAAATGAGAGGACACGATCCAGAGGGCGGGGGATGAGACCACTCAGACCCCGTCGTATCTCGGAGCGCTCGCGTTTCGGAAGTTCCTCTCGTCGGGTGGCCTTAAACATCTCTGCCAGAGAGGCGACTTCCATCCCCTCGGAGTCTTCCCCTTCTCGTCCGCCAAGGACCCAAGGACACCCACCGTCAACTACACTCGGACCTGTCACATGGCGCCCAAGACCAGCAATCTCTCTATCTCACTCGGCCTCCCCATGAGGTGGGCTAGCGACTACGCAGGCGAAGAGCACTGGGACGAGATGGCAAAAATCGCTTCGGATTGCGTCGGCCAAGTCGCCGGTGCGCGGGCGAGGTTCAAGGACGTGCCGGATTACAAGGCGGAAGTGGTGGATCTCGAAGTCTGTTGCACGACAAGACCGCCAGCGGATGGTTGGGGTGTAAAGCCTATCGGGGAACGCCTGCAAGCGCGATTGAGAGCGACGGGACATCCGGAAGATAGAGTGCGGTGGTACCCATCAAGCGAGACGCCCATCTGCGAGGCGTGCGGGTCGGGTGTGCCGCTTGAGTAGGGAGGCGTACTGGCGTGAGACGGGGTAGGCCATAAAGGGGGAGAGAGAATCTGTCGTTGTCGGAGAAGGGGCGAGGCGATGATATCAGGAGGTACGAGTAGGTGCAGAGATCCGCCTAAATCGAGGCTGTGCTGACCGTTCAGTCATACGAGCCATCTCTCAGATGTATAGGTCCTATGCGGCGCATTGCGCCGAGGCTATGAGGTGCGCGCAAAAGACCTCTTCGCATTCTGTCGGCGAGCTTTCAAGAGCTTGCTGTTAGATCCACGTGAAAATTCTCGTTTGCGCTCAGGTGTAGGCTGTAGGCTCGGAGCCAGTATAGACCGGCTCAGGCAGATGGACAGCTCAATGCGCGTATATGAACGCAAGCTTGAGCGCTTGAGCAGTGTTGGCCAAAGAGTGCCACCTAATAACGGACGGTCGCGAACTCCCGTCATGGCCAGGGTCAGGGGACTATGTATCGGTTCCGGCGGAAGCAGGTCTTCCGCGCCCGATGCTGAGAGCTCAAAGTGGCGCTCTGAGTCCGTTTGGCTGCAGGCCATGATTCTTAGGTCGATGAAAGGAGGAACTCTAGCTATAAAACAGGCTGCCTTGTCCAAGCCCGAGATAAATTGTCCCTTGACGCCTCATCCACTGATCAGCGTTGATCAAGCCGCTATCGACCCACCTCTGCCTTGCCTGTGACTTGCGTCTAAAGCGGCGGCTGACGGATTGACCGGCCTCTGGTCGTCCGCCTCGACACGCCTCACGCCTGACCAGCCCAGATCACATGCTGTGTGCGAGGAGTATGTCATGACGAGATCGCTTGAGGGGGGTCACGGACATGTAGCGACTATTATTAATCGGTTGCAGAGCTCATGATGAGATGGGTGGCGACAACCTCGCTACAGGCGGTCTGTGTAACATGTTTCATAGTTGACGGAATGGTGTGTTTGCCTCTTATCTTCTGTCTTCGAGGGCTGGATGCCGCTGCAAAGACCTTGCTTGTATGCGCGAACATGCCAAGCGTGGCTGGCGAATAGTCTACTCGCGTCAGCCTTTTCTCTCTTGTCTTTCGTCTCTGTAACCACTAGCCTGGTCGAGTAGCCTAGCGATCTACATTGCCCCTGGACAGATAGCCACTTGATACGTTCGCCCTTTGACTCGCTATTCCTCTTCTTGCACATCGCTCGCACTCTCGTCCCTCGTTCCTCGACGCCATGTCAGGACCCAGATCACCACCTCCCCATTAGGTCCTGTCATCCCTCGCACGCCAATCCCAGCGAGGACCATTCAGGACCCACTCCATTCTCGTACGATCCAGTCAACCTCGTATGATCCCATACTGCCTCGTACGATCTCATACTGCCTCGGACGATCCCATACGGTCCTATACGGTCCTATACGGCTCCCAGGCGGTACTATGGGAGTGAGGTTGCCCAGGGGTATAAAAGGCGGGATATTTCGCCTTGGATTGCTTCTTCTCTTAGAATTGATCTTTCATAAGCTACCTAGTCAAGATCTACCTAGCTCTTACCTTAGCTCAATATATGTCTTGCCTTGCACACCTTCAAAGCCTCGAAATACCTCAGAATCCTCCTCATCCCCATTCGCCGATACTCGCATACCTCCCCGTCTAATACAAGTCCAGAGACTAGACTCCTACCCCCTCCGTCTAGTTCAAGCTAGCCTCCCTACGACCCGCCACCGTCCGCGCCGTTTCCGGTCCCAGATCTCTGGGTACGGGTCGTAAGACGCCATCCTCGCTTCGCCTTCTTTCCCCACACACCTCCGTCCCCGTCCCCATCTCATATGCTGCACGTCTCTTCTCCTCGCCACAATCTCCCGCACGACAATTTCTGATACTCCGGGATATTCGGTCAGGCACAGCATTCACGCATCTAGTTCTCATGTTTTTCAGATCTTGTGATTCTAGGCGTTCTGAATGCATGGAGTGGTCCTACTGCAGGATTATCAATCTACCACTCCTCAGAATAAGGTGAAAAGCGCAAGTGTTAGTTTCTCGCCTCATCGCCGTAGCCGTAAACACTCCCGTCCGCGTAAGACCAGCCGAGAACAGCCAGGTAGGATTGCGACGCAGTCATGTGCCTGCAGTGAGCGGCAGACTAGATTGACGTGGTGTCGGTCAGATCATCAACGTGCCCCTGAATCTTCATACAGTTCTACATGAGGTCCTACCGAGCATGCTAGCTCGCGGTGAGGGGAGTATGCAGTTAGCCGTACTTGTGAGATTGGCCGGGTTGACCGGTGGAGGCCGGCTGAAACGCATGCATGCAAATGTGAAACACGCGCACGGACTTTTTCGAACCGCGTCATCGCGTTTTCAACCTCACCTGGCCAAAACGCATTCCCTACATCTCGACATTCTACTATGCACAAGAGATCCCTGAAAAACCTGGAAGGTGGTTATGAATCTATCGAGTCCATAGGCACCTTAACATCGAAATTTCGAGCGATATTGGGCAAGCAAGGTGCGATCATAGTTTGAAATATCAGCAGCAAGGTACCAGGGTAAACCCTGGCCATGTGCGCACGGGCATCGCTTGGCTCGAGCTAAGCTACAAGTATACAAACTCCTAATCTGAGCTCGATTCGTCCATCATCGTTGATATCATCTTACACTACTCTTCCTCTCAACCTCCTAGAGCTCAGCTCGCAGTCAGGCTAGTATGCCTTCGAAAGCGCTCGAGAAACTCGGACCTGAGATATGGTATCTCGTCCTTCCCTACCTTCGCAACCCAGTTCCCCTCCCCTTATCGCATCCCCCTCGAACACAGATGCGCCAGCAGGATCTTTGTTCTGCTGCTTTGACTTGCCGAGTAGGTCCACTGAAATCACGAGCCAGTACAAGGCTCACGATTCAGCTATTCGCAGATATCTGCTCCCCTCTGCTCTACACACACATCACGACCGACTCGTCCCCGCCCTTTTCATACATATCAACAAACCTGAGTTTCATCGGCGATTTCGTCGCACCAAGAGCCTGCGTATCGAATACGCAGAGCAAGGCAACGAAGCGACGTACGCGCAGCTTATCGGACTAGGCGGTCGGATGTGGAGGTTGGCGGGACGCTCCGCGGATGAGCAGGAGATGGACGCGGGCAGCATCCTGGGGTTCGAGATGGAGATGGAGGCCATCAACCATGCTTTGACAACGGTCAATCGGGTCGGTATGGCGAGGACGCTACCTTGCCTCGAGACAATCGCTGTCGCATCCGTTTACGGCGGGAATCATTCCGCTGCATGGTCCCGGAGGGTACGCGAGATGCAGGAGAATAGAGAACATCTTCTCTTCATCAACGGGATGTTTGAGTTTGATGTCTTTCTCGCCTCTGGCAATCTCAAACATCTCTGCGTGCGAGGTGAACTTCATCCGTTGGGGATCTCACCCGTCTCGTCGACCAGCGACGAAAATATACCGGACGTCCGTTATTCGCGCACCATTCACTTCGTACCAGGCGTTGACAATCTCGCGATTCCCGTCGGACCTCCCATCAGATGGGTGGGGGATTCTCCCGCTAGGGAGAATTGGGCGGACTCGATGGTGCCAGTGTCGGAGTCAATAAAGAGATACATCAGGATGCGGTCGAGTTCTGTGCGCGAGGAGCTAGACTATCGCCTGGAGCCGGTCGGGGTCGAAATCTACTCGTCCACTCGGACCTTTTCGCCGCCCAGCATCGGAATCGGTTCTGAGACATCGGGGACGCCCGATCAACAGGATATTTCGGTGGCGTCGCAGAGGGGGAGATGTGCCATCATGGGCGAGAACTCCCAGGCCGAGCTCAGGAGGACTGGCCGCCCGGACGATTGGGTGAGGTGGTATCCCTCGGTCGATACGCCTGTTTGTATGGCGTGCGGGTCAGGCGTGCCGGACCAGTCGTAGCAGATGTCGAGGGCTGGGGAGCTGCTTGCGAGAATGGGATGAGGGCGGGTAATCGGGACGGAGGGGATGGCTGGCCAATCGTCGAGCGAACTTATCAGAGTATGTCACGTTCCCTGGATGCCCATGCCTACTTCTATCCCACGCAATCGAGATCATGCTGATTTTGACAGTCGTGATATTCTCAGACCTGCGAGGCACCGGTCTAGCGCGTCGCCCCACCCAGTCGTCCCTGACAATGCAGGCCGAGGTCATTTGTTCCAACATCTCAGCATCTCTGACCGCGTACTGACCCGTTCCGTCCAGCTCTGCGCATGCCAGGGTCGCTATACGCTGCGCTTGATGAGCAGGCCCGGTTACTGAGGTCCTTGCTGAGGTCGGGTGCCACTTTAACCTTTTGCCACCCAATTAGCGGGATCAATATTTGTGTGTTGTGTTATGGCCGTGCAAAGAGTATCTTTCGTTTGTACATCCTCTTATACCATAGCTATACCTCTCGTGTAGCACCCCAGAGAGCACCCTCAGCATAGCTGTGATGCCTATATAGCATGTCCGACGCGAAAACCGAAGTGGACTCGTCCAGTTCCCGCTCGGCGGAGCTCGCTACCCCCGAGCTGCCCGGTACTTCCACTGCGATGGACACGGGATTCTGGGATGCGCTGCACGCCGAGGCCGATGCGGACGAGAGCGGACCATCAACACCTCGGCCAGATACCCCGCCATTGTCTGCCGGGATGACCTCTCGCAGCCAGTCGGTCGGTAGAGGCGGAAAGGACGACGAGGAGACGCCGCGCAGAAACGGCAAGGCCAAGAAGGAGAAGGAGATCTTCGCACCGCCGCTCATTGCGGACCTGCCTAGCGCATGGGATGAGGCGCACGAGAGCTTTGCGGTGCTGGAGAAGTGTGTGTACGAGTCAAAGAGGATGGGAGCGAGCAAGGAGCAGGATGAGATGATGGTTTGCGATTGTGTATATGACCGGAGTAAGCTCTCTTCCTGGCTAGACTCGTATAAGGCTCGGACGGCTTGCCAGAAGGAGGTTGTACAGACCGGAGGGAGATGCGGTCCTCCGGACTTGTTGCGGGAAGAGGCTGACGCGAGCAGGAAATCCGGACAGTGAGCAGTGCGGATCTCACTCGGACTGTGTCAATCGGGCTATCTTCATCGAATGCATCGCAGACCAGTGCAGGGCGAAGGGGCAATGTAGGAATCAACGGTGAGCATACGCTACCCTGACAGCATGGAGGGAAGAGCTGATTTGTCAGCTTTAACAAGCGGGAGTTTGCCGACCTCGAGATCGTCAAGACGGAGTTGAAGGGATTTGGCTTACGAGCTGGTTCGGACATCCCAGCGTGAGCCCATCTTAGCCCACAGATTCATCGATGATCAGCACTGAGCACGTAGTGGTGACCTCATCTACGAGTATATAGGAGAAGTCGTCGGCGAGACTACCTTTCGAAAGCGGATGGCGAGCTATGGGGAGGAAGGGATTAAGCACTTCTACTTTATGATGCTGCAGAAGGAGGAGGTGAGCTTAGCATATGCCTGCAGTCGCAGCAACGCAAGCTGACTTGTTCAGTACATCGATGCCACGAAGAAGGGTGGGATCGGCCGATTTGCAAATCACTCGTGTAACCCCAACTGTGAAGTCCAGAAATGGGTTGTAGGGCGGCGGCTGCGGATGGGTATCTTCGCCAAGAGGGATATACATCACAATGAGGAGATCACCTTTAACTACAACGTGGATCGATATGGGTGAGTTCAGAAAGCTATCTTTGGCCCGAATTGAGCTGACTAATCCAGCCACGAAGCACAGATATGCTACTGTGGCGAGCCAGGCTGCGTTGGCTATATCGGCGGCAAGACTCAGACGGACATTGGTGGTATCAATGATCTTTTCCTGGATGCTCTGGGTATCACGGATCAGGTCGAGGCGGAGGGGATGAAAGGGTCCAAGAAGAAGAAGGCTAGACATCTGGATGAGGACTTTACCGTCAGTCGACATGGCTATCTGATATCCGGATGGCTAAAGCTGACACTCTCAGCCTGTGCTGAATCCGATCATCGAGCCCGAGGTGCAGAAGGTCGCCGCGGCAATACGGCAGAGTATGGAAAATCAGCGGATGATGCGGATGCTGCTCGAGCGGGTTGCGGTGAGTATTCCAGCAAGCCTTCCATGATCTCCCGCTGACCCGATAGATGACAGAGGATTACGCCATACATCGACAACTCGTTCGGATGCACGGTCTCAGTTTGATGTTCATGATCCTGACGGAGCTAGGGGAAAATCGAGAGCTGGTCCTATTGGTGAGTCATCGAGATCGGTAACAGCGCCAGCTACGCTGACAGCCAGGCACTGCAAAGTATGACGAGGTGGAAGCTACAATTGCGGAACAAGATCGAGGACTCGAACATTGAGGAGCCGGTCAAGCGCTTGCAGGGGGGAAATGACGCGGAGCTGAGCACTCTGGCGCAATTTGTGAGTCATCAGGCCTATCGATATGACTTGGTCAAAGCTGACTAAGTAGCTCCTGGATCAGTGGGCCACTCTTGAGCTTTCCTACAAGATCGCTCGGGTGTCCAAGATCGCCTCTCTGGACGCCGAGGACGATGCCAATACCCAGACGTTGGCCGAGGCTCAGCCCTTCACCTACAGTACCGAGCATCGCAAACCACACGCGTGGGAGAACACGAACACCGTCGAGTTCACCGTCGCGCCTATCAAGTATCGCCCACCTCCACCATCCTTCGCTCGTCCACCCCTTCCCCCTAGCACGCCGTCAAACACAAAGCCCAATCCAACCGTCGCCCGAGACCGCTCAAAGCTTGACGCCATCATCGCGCTGGCACAGCAGCAAGCGGCTGCAGCTGCCGCGGCTACTCCAGCCCCTCAATCCGCTGGCGTCGACAGCCCAGCGGAGAGCTCGCGCTCCTCTGCTCGTCGCGATGAGGATACGCCGGATCGAGCCAAGCGGGCCAAGATCAGTCATGCGGATGATGATCTTGGCTCGTACGGCGGCGAGGCCGACATCAAGCAGAAGGCGGAGGAGCGCAAGGAGAAGCGAATGGCCAAGCTCATTGGCGAGGTGGTGGTGAGTAGCATGAGCAAGTATAGGGATGTCTTTGAGAAGGAAACGTTCAAGAAGTACGCCCGTGATGTGAGTCTTCTTATTCAGCTGGATGGCCTGGAAAATCTGAGCTGATCTTGCAGTGCGCAAACGTCCTCCTCGAAAAGGAGAAGCGGCATACCAGCTATATCAACCACCGCAAACCTACCCTTTCAGATGACAAGAAGGCCAAGATCAAAGCCTTTACCAAAGAGTTCACCCATAAACTCATGAAGCGCTTGAAGGAGAAGGGCAAATTGAAGCCCGTCCCATCTGCTTCGGAATCGCGGCACCGCTCGAAACACGCCTCATCCTCTGTCGCTTCAACTCCTTCCGCTATGGCAGCCACACCGTCCACCTCGGCGGGTACGGTGCTGGAGACGCCACGGACGAGTGCCGAGGCGGATGAGCTGGACGACATCTTCGGCGTGGACGATCCAGAGGAGGCTGGCGATGATGCGGAGGAGAGCATGATGGATGTTGACGTCGATGCGGAGCTGGCGGGGATGGATATGGCGCCATTGAAGCCAGCGGGAGATGCGGCGGGAGGACCAAAGGGGCGGCTAAAATTCCTGCAAGAGGCACGGCAGCGGCGGGAGGATGCGGATGACGAGGAGGATCAACCTGTCAAGGCGGTCCGGCCCATAACACCACCCTTACCCCCGTCCATCTCGATGACCAAGGTGGATACGTGGACGGTGGGCGCGGCGAAGAAGCAGAACGGAGCGAGCAAGGTATATGTCCCACCCAAGCAGGATGAGGGGAAGGACACTCCGATCAGAACGCCAAATAGCACATGATAACATAGCTCAACGTGTACAATAGATGCGACAATGCATGTTGTTGTCTTGGTCTTTTCTTCCGCGCGATGGGATTGCCAGAAGACTGCATGAACTATATACAAGACTGATGTGAGGCATAAGATACCTTTCCACTGGACCGGATGGTCTTTTACTCCCTGCCGCAGGATACTATACTAGATACACTCCTCCCTACTGGGCTTACTCCTTCTTCTCCCCTCCCGCCGACAAGTCCTCTCCCGCATCCACCTCCGTTCCATCGACCTGCATCCCCTCATCCTCCTTCTCCGGTGCGATCACACCGTACTCCTCTCCCAATCCACTCTCAACCTTCTCCCCGGTCTTCTTTCCCATCATGACTTCCAGCGAGTCCACCTCGGACACAGTGTCTGTCACATCCGCCGCAGCAAGCGCCTCGGTCGCCGGATGCTCCGCGACCGGTCCACGGAACTGCGCCTGAGTGGCCGCCCGCAGATTGTCGTAATTCATCCCGTCATCGGACGCTGGCGGACTGGGGAGACTGCTGTTGAGATCTGTACCGAACGAGAAGCGTGCAGGCCCCGCCTGGCTCGAAGATACGCCCCACTGAGTTTCGCCGTATGGCATGCCCGAGGTGACAAAGTTTTGAGTGGTGAACTTTTTGTTGGTCTGGAGCTCCTCGTCGCTCGAGTCGACGTTGAGATGCAACGTCGTATTGTCTCCAGAGCGGTTGAAAGACGTGGGCGGACTGTGCGTCCCTCGCTGAGAGTAGCTGGGAAGCCGGCCGTCGTCGGAGGTCATGGGGGACGAAGACCCCCGAGAGTCGGCGGGTGATGAAGAGGACTGGGCAGGCTCAAAGCTGCTTCGAAGATTGGAGGGGAAGGGGTGCGGCGGCCGCGCCATGACAGGCGATGAAGGTGCTGGCGAGACGGCGCGGGATGGGTTGCGTGAGAGTGCCTCTTCGGCTTTGATGCGAGAGATACCGCCGATGGGGCGGACGGTCCGCCGACGGTAGAACAGCAAGTAGGCCGCGCGCGTCTATATGATCAGCTGCGATCCTACTTTGCTTGGCTTTTGCGCATGACCCAGCTCACCTGTATTCCGCTCACGCTCGCCGGGGACACTCGCGAGTCGTCATAGTTGTACCACTCGCCATCCTCCTTATTCTTGCAGAACGCAGTGTAGTGACCCCCGCCCAGACCACCAAAGTGATTATCCACTCCGTAGAGATCATACACCCAACTCTCCTCGTCATCCCCCTCCATCCCAAACTCCTTCGCCTCCGCCGCAGACAGCTTCATCTCCTTGGCAATCTTCCGCTCGCCGATCCGCTCCTCCAAATCCAGACCCTCAATGGGGAAGTTGACCAGATTATCCAGCTTGTCCGAGAGTCGACGGGACGATCCAAACCGCTTGATGCAGATGACGAGAATGTCGGGCGCCTTGTAGATCTCGAGCCGCTTGGTCGCCGCCTGGTGCTTCTTGCAGACGGGGCAGAACCAGAGATCGTCCGCGCCGAGTGTCTCCTGCTTGGAGAACTCATCCAGGCAGTCCTCGATCGAGATCGACTTGCCCTCCTTCTTCTTTGCCCGCTCCTTCTCGATCGCCGGATCGACGAACTCCTCTTCCGGCCGGAGGCCACCCTGGAGATACTCCTGGTATGCTGGGATGGACCACTCGCAAAAGATCGCCTCGCCGGGACGAACGACGAGAGCGGACGACGCGCCTTCCTTCTCCTTCTCCTTCTCCTTGGTACCGTTTGCAGCAGACGCTTCGGCGTCCTCGCCCGAGCTCCCTCCCACGATGGACGAGATCCCGCTCGTGAACCTCCCCAGGAGATTCTTCTTTGCCTTCCGCCTAGCTTCGAGCAACGACCAGCTGTTGGATGCCTGCCTGGGACTACCGCCTTTGTAGACGGGGACGACGGTGTCTTTGGACTTGAACAGCCCCAGGCTGGAACCACCCTCGCCAGTCGACGCGTCGGCGACGTGTACCTTGTACAGATCACCTCGAGGGACAATCTTGCCGGATTTGACGGACGCGAGGGTGGAGAGCGAAGCCGAGGACGCGTTGTTCCGGATCAACGTGGTGTGGATTTCGTTGAGCGGTGAGGCCGGCCGAGAGCCAAGCTCGGATCCTTCGCTTGGTACGGGGATCTCGGCAACCTTGGTCTCGTCACCGTTTCCGTTGACGTGTTCTTCCGGTCCCGCTGCGACCCCGTTCGATGCACCCTCCCCTTCTTCCTGCACGGATGGCACGCCAGCATGCTTGGACCCGCTCGGTACCCACATACCAGCGTACGCCTCCTCCTCGATGAAGCGCGCATACCCCTTGGCGATGGCCTCACGGACAGCGCTAGCGTCGGCCGCCTCGGCGCGTGAGAGCGTGATGAAGAATGGCATGATATCGCCCTGGTCGGGTATGTCGCCAGCTCGGCCGCGGTATCCCTCCTGGATCCGGAAGGTGAAGACGGGGACAGTGATCGAGCCGTCTGTAGGAAGGATCCCGGTGGACTTGCGCGTAGTGGATGTGGGGACGCCAACGTCCTGGAAGACGGGAACATCGTGATCTTTCGCCTCACCGTTATGGTCGGAGTCGTTGTACCAGGCATATATGCCGTTTTTCCACAGGTCGAAGCCGAGGAGCTGGTGGTCAGCGATATTCCTGGGATGTGGGAAGGACGTACATGATTGGGGTTGCATTTCATCAGGACAGAAAGCTTCTCCTTGACCTGAGAGAAGGAGGCGTTGGCGGGGATGAGGAGCTTGCCCTTGACGATCGGCTTTTCCGGGTCCCGGGAGAGGTATTCGTACTTGAGCTCGCGATGTTGAGCGATCGGCAGAGGGACAGTGAGGTACATGAACGGGTCCATCGTGATCGATTCCTGCCAAGTCAGCCTGTCCGACCTCCCGCCGCGGGTAAACTGACCTTGTGGCATTCTGGGCAAACTAGTGTGCTCATCAACTGCCCCTGGAACAGATCGACAATGACCGAGTCATTCCGCTTCTTGTACCCGCCCCAGCACTCCTTGCCCAGCTCCGCCAACTCTTTATTGCCTCCACCCGCCTTCCAGTCCGGCTTCTCGACATACGGCTTCTTCTGGATCCGGTTGAGATCCTCGTGCAGACCATCCAGGAGGAAAGCGATGAATTCTTGGGTGTCGTGTTGGCCGTACCCGGCGAATTGGGGTGCAAATCGGGATGTCGTCCCCTTGAGCTGACGGGGCGAGAAGGAGGATGAAGGGTTTGGCGACCAGAGGGACTCGACGACGCCGCCAAAGGCTTCGGCGACTTGACCGTGCATCCCAAGAGGGTTGTCCCGGTTGAGCTCTTCGCGGTAGACTCCGGCTGAGATGTCAGCTATGTCCCTTCCGTACAGGAAGTGCACAACTCACAAAGGAAGTAGTCACAGAGTTCGACGGTGTTGCTCAAACACTGAGTCGCCGAGTTCATAAAGCAGGTATTACCCAGATTGACCAGTCCCACCAGACCCCTGGTCTTGGCCACCTTCTTCGTCTGCGCCCGGGTCGTCATCCCAAACATCCCCGTTGACGAGCTCTCGCCGGCCGTGGATGTGGTGGGAGCACTACCGGGGAATTTGGCAGGCTGCGAGAAGAGTGGCGATGGAGCGGTAGGAACAGGCGGCATGCTGATGGTAGGCTTTACGACCGCCTCTCCCTTCATACTGACGTCCATGACCCAGTCTGTCTGGTCTCCGCCGAGCTTCTTGCCGAACTCGAGGATGAACGAATCACCGTCCTCAAAGTTACGGCTGGCACAGGTTTCCGCCGAGTCCGTCTCGCCCGAGGAAGCGACCATTTTGCCCGCCAGTCCTGGAATGAGCGCCGGCGCGATCGTGCTAGACTTCAACGCGGCCTTGGCGGCGGGGTCGTTGTTGTCGAACGCCATGAGCGTCTCGAATGCCCAGACACGGTAGGCGGCGCTCTTGTCGACTGTGGCTGTCTCGGCGACGAGGGAGCGGAGGAGGCGGACAAAGATAGGGATGAGGGTTTCGGTGGGGCAGGTAAAGCGGATAGGCGCAGCCGTAGGAATGGGTGCGGGACCGCCGGGAGCTTGTACCTGGTAGAGGGTGTAAATGGGGAGAGTAAGCTGGATGCGGTTGCCGGATATAGCGAAGCGCGACAGAGAAGGGCCACTCTCGGCTCCCAGCCTATATAGTCAGCTTCTGCGGCAATAAATCATGCACATCTGAACTCACGCCGTAGCAAGCGTCTTCCAGCCCGATGTACTGATGTACACAAAGTCCTCGTCCTCCTGCAGACCCATCTTCAAGCTCCATATCCTTTCCTTTGTGCCCTTCGGCGCCAATGAGGTCGTCCCGTCCGAGTTCTTCTGGTTGTCGATAACATAGACCTCTTCCCCCTCGAGGTCGGCCAGCAGGGGCGCCATGTCCAGCTTGACCGCGCTGCTAGCGGACTCGGCCTCATCGCTGAAGGCGGCGGATTTGAGGTCGTCTCGGAGCTTGGCGGGGATGATGTAGTACCGGTTGAATGCGTAGAAAGGCGGGGGCGATGATCCTGGCCATAAGCCAAGGTCACAAAAATATCGATAGGGAAAAACTCACCTAGCAGCTCGTTGTACAGCTCAACGTACTTCTCCTTTCCCAGCCGCTTAGCTCTTTCCCCGCCGTCGGCACCTTCCCCTTTGCTGCCACCATCCAGATGAACATCTTCCGTCATTTTCACCCACTCTCCTCCATCCCCATCCACGTCCGTGCGCGCTGCATCCTTCCCCACAGCCTCGCCCGCGTGATCCTCAATGCCTGTCATGGATTCCTCCACCAGCGTCGAGTTTGCCAGCGGGGAGACCTCGAGCCGTACCGAGCCTTCCAGTGCGGGTACGGGAGAGCCGTTCGTGTCCTCCGACGCGGCCTTTTTGGAGCTGGAAGAGCCGGTAGGCGAGGGTGGGTTGGAGGAGGAGCGAGGTCGCTTAAGGGTCGGGAGGACGGGGAGGGTGGGGTCGGGCATTCCGACGCCCGGCAACCGGGTACGTGGGCTGTATGAGCGTTATAAGGACTGGCTGAGCTAGCTTTGGCGTGTGTTGTAGCTGTATTTTGGGTGTTGTTGATGGTGGGTGTAAGAGGAGAGTGAAGGAGAGAGGTGGTTGGGTGAAAGATTCGCGTCGTAAGCGATTACGGCATAAATAGTGTGGCGGGACGGAATGTGGCACCAAGCTGTAAGCCGGCTCCGCCAGAGCGGAGAGAGAGGGAGTTGGAGCGAGCGAGAAGGGGGAGAGGCGGGTAGAGGGTCTTAAAGGATGGAGGTATAGTGAATGGGGCGAAGTGGGATCGCGTCATTGATCACGGCTCGTACACGAATCATGAACAGGCTATGGCCGGATCCGACCGCAAACGGGGCTGGTACAACCGACTCGTACCGCGTTGACGAGCTATAAAGAGGGCCGGAGTTGCCTTCTCCCTCCTGTCATCATCCCTACCCATACCTCCTTCCCTTACCTCCACAAATCTACCCACAGCCTCACATCATCACAGCAAATATCCTCCGGCTCGCACAGAATGGCCGATTCCACATCCCCTTCGATAGCTCCAACCTCCGGCCTCAAGTGGGTAAAGAGATTCAGCTACGGATACGACCCGCAGTGGTCCATCGAGCCGGAACACTCCGCCATTGAGCTCATAGCCCGCAAGACCTTCCCCATCCCTCCGGACGCCGACCTCTCGGTCACATTCTTCAAGGAAGGCGCGCTAAACAAGCTATACAAGGTGAATGTCGGTGAGGCCAGCTACATCATTCGTGTAGCTCTGCCCTTCGATCCCGCCAGGACGATGAGCGAGGTGACTACTATGCGGCTCATCCGAGACAAGGTAAGCTCCCCTTTATTGATTGGGTTGTGCCGTCGCTGACCACCTAGACGAGTATACCCATTCCTCGCGTTCTCTCCTACGACGCCACGAGCCACAACGAGCTCCGGCTCTCATGGGTATCGATGGAGATCGTCCCAGGTCGACGACTATCTGAGGCTTGGCGAAAGATGCCGATGGTGGCCAAGAGGGCCATGACAGAGCAGTATGTTTATATGCCAGTTTTGATGCTTGCTGCCTCGCGCTAAAAAACAGACTTGCGGGATATCAAGCCCAGCTCCTCACTCTCGGCTTGCATGCCATCGGCTCGGTCGTCCCTATCAAAGAAGCGGAAGACCATCATCACACAGTCCTCACCTGCGTCATCCTCCCCTTCGCTTTCGCCTACGCGGTCATCGCTGTCCTCATCCACCGCATCATCCTCCTGTACACCGGCTTCGACTACATCACAACCCATAATCTCGGCCGGCCGACCACGCCATTGCACCTTCTCGGCGCCAACGCGGGTCTCCCGCTCGGTCCGTACTTGTCCACTCGGGACTGGCTGAGTCACAGACTGGCAGTGCTCCAAGCTCGCACTGAGCAGTCATTACACTTCTACCGAACGGCCAAGTTGGCATCCGGGCTCAGCGCGAAGGATCTGGAATCCCTCGAGGACAATTCGGTCCTTTGCGAGGGAGATCTCGGCATCATCTCCCTCCTTATCCAGCACCTCCCTCGGGTCTTCCCTAGACATCGATCCGAGCGGACCATGCTCTTCCACCACAACCTCAGCGAGCGCAACATTATGGTCGATTCGGACGGCGTCATCATGGCCGTTCTCGACTGGGAGCATGTGTGTGCTGTGCCATTCTGGTACTGCACCCAGTTCCCGGGTGTCCTCATGACCATGAAACAGAAACTCAGGCCCCGCCGGAGCGAGTACGGACCCGCCGAGAGCTTCTACTTGGATGATCCGGAGGAGCACGGGGATCTCGACGGAGTATCACTTTTGTACTGGGAGTCGAGGGAACGTTTCGAGAAGACGATACTCCGGAAGGTATACATGGCGGAGATGGACCGGCTGGTACCTGGCTGGGCGGCAGAGTACAAAAGGAGCAAAGGTCAGAGGGAGTTTGAGGACTGTATTGCCCATCTTGAGTGGGGAGGTCACTATGGCTTGAAGGGATTCGAAGACTGGCTGGAGGCGTATGATCCTGTGACCGGTGAGGGGTCGCCGGAAGCATGCGAGGACCGCTGGCCGATCTTTGGCGAGGGACTCGAGTGAGTTTGCATTTGTTGTCATTTATCAAGCAGTGGGGACACCCACACCCATGGATGCGTCTGTCTGTCATCTTGGCCTGAGCTGACGGTTTTAGTTTCTACACAGATGGAGTCGAGTACGACACAGATGACGAAGAGGATGATGAAGGCTACGACAGTGATGTGACTGCTGTAATGTATGAGAGAGAAGAGAGAGAATAGGAGGACAAAGCGGCGGCGATGATGAAGCTAGCATTGCGCCTTCTTTGCTTCGAATTCACTGTAGTCCCTGTGCCGATCCATGATGTACGTACTGAGTAAGCCTCGCTGTTTCTTGCTATCTTGCTAGCCCAACCCTATTGACTTTTCGACCCTAGACCAAGAGGCAATATACTGTTCCGACAGCAATGTCTCAGATCACAGAGGAAGCAAATCCGCCATGGATGGGTGGCAATATGCCACATCTCAGAACGCCGGAAACAGCGCAAGTCGCAAGGATAGAGGTCACCATCTCGGCTGCGCAAGCATAGCTTTCACCGGGCTCCGCTGCCCATCGACCATCGATTGCCTCGAAAAACCGAAACTTGTTTAACTTGACTTACGACTAGGAACCTGAGCGGCCGCGAATGTCCGAATACATAATGGTCACTTTCTCGTTGGCTTGGAACAGTGTTGCCTAGGCACGCAAGTCATTCCCGCTTCGACAACCCCTCCAACCGTCATCAACCTTCTAACACAAGCAAACAAAGCCTCACTCGGTCACGACTCACCTCATCGTGGGACGTGGCCGGGCGTGGGGTTGGGTTTAGATCCTAGCTGGTAGTCCTCAGAGACCCTAAGCGAGAGCTGTACAGGGAGTGGCTTAGGCAGAGAGAACCCCGGGTTTGGCCAATGAGGTGCATGTGATGAAGCACCTTGAGCCCCCCATATCTTTTTGCCACCCTCGACCACCACAACAGAAGGAAGGGTTCCGGCGGAATGAGGAGTTGGATGGGTGCCACGTGTCGGGGATAGAGCAGGCAATTAAAAGTTGGCGGCGTTTCTGCTCTGCTCTATGCCTTGCATACATATCATCACCAATACAGCCCAGTATGAGAGCAAGATCATCCGCACGTATAGCCACAGCTAGCCTGCCTAGGTCGACCTACCCAGCCACTCTCCCCCGTTTCAACTCCAACTCCACGTCCTCGTCCGAACCCGGCCCATCCTCCTCCTTCCAGCCCGTCCTCCCTCCAGGCCAGAATCCAGCATACGATGCCGCCCTCTCCTACCTCTCCTCTCACTGCTCTTCCCTCCTCTCTCAAATCACACACCTCCGATCGACCAACGCCCCAGCGGCGCAAATCGAACATCTGGAAATAGCGGCGGATGTGAACGATCCACTCACACGGCGGACGTTCCGCGAGACGGGCGGCAAAGGGATGATGGGACAGGCGGTGATGCGTCATCTGGCGGAGCGGGCGTGGAAGAAGGAGGGAGGGCTCGATCTGCTCATGCAGCGGATACATCAGATGGGAGTCGTGCCGGATCTGGTGCCGGAATTGAAGGGGACGGCGCCGTTGACGATAAGGCTGGAAGGGGAGGAGGTGGAGCCGGGGAGTATGCAGTCGGCGGCGAAGTGGGGGGATGCACCAAATATGTCGTTGCAGCTGTTCCACCACCCAGAGGAGGGGAAGGAGGAGGGCTTGTATACGTTGCTCGTGGTAAACACGGACCACCCCTCGCCGGAAACCCAATCTTTCGTCCAGCGGGTCCTATACGCCAAATCGGACATCCCCCTATCGGTCCAATCGGGCGAGACGGACCTCTTCACTGCTCCCGGTACTACACACCTCGAGTGGGAACCTCCCCTCCCCGCAAAAGGCACCGGGAAGCACCGATACGCATTCATCGTCCTCCGCCAGCCATCCTCCTCTTCCCCTCTCACTGACCGATCCCCCTTCAACCTCCGTACCCACCTGTCATCCGCTTCCCTCTCCTCGGCGGACATCGTGGGCATCTCCCTCATCCGGTCAGAATGGACCAAGGCGGACGAAACGTATCTGGCGGACAAGTATCGCGAGGTGCACGGAGGGGAGATGGTGGAATTTGGGAAGCCACCCAAGGAGATGCGGTTTGGGTACCCTATGAGCGCGAATCAGAAGCGGGCGGAGGCGATCAGGGAGGAGGCGTGGGATAGGGCCGTGGGTGGGTTGGCAGAGGGATTGGAGGGGGAGGGAGTTGAGGTGAGACAGGAGAAGTAGTGTAGAGAGGTGGAGGAGTGGGTAGACCGGCAGGACTTAGTTAGCGCAGAGCGTAGACCCAGAGTAGTTAGCAAGCAGAGCAGTAATGGCACGAGGGATCTAAATTGGTAGAAGTCATAGCCATATAGCCTAATGCAAGTAGATCTACAACTCTATCCCAGTCTACCAGTTACACTATAAGCTACAAAGCACCCATCGCCTGTTCTAGTCTACATTCTACCTCGCCTACGCTACTTCTACTTCTAATTCTACAGCCCGAGCCAAGCTCCCCGCTTTCACCCCGATCACCCCCATCCTGTCCGCCTTCGCCACTGTCTTAGATCGCCAGGTTGTCCGCCTCACCCTCTCCCCGCCCTCTTTGCCGCCCCTCCCTGCTTTGACTGCTCCCACCACTCTTTCACCCTCCGCAGCAGCCACCTCCACTACCGGCTCCACCAAGCGCTTGGGATGCTTCCTGCGCAAGGCTGGCTCTGCCGCCCCTGGTATCACTCTCTCGCCCGCCTGCCCTTCGCCCACTCCCTGCAACTTGAACCCCCTCGCGCCCGCTCGCTCTACAACTTCGTGTACCTCTTCCCACCGCTCCGCCTTGAGCAAGATCCCCTTGATAGCCTCATACGTCTCCTTTCGGGGCTCCGCCATCTTGACGCCGGGCGCAATCTCTACGCCAGCTTCCATGCCGCCCAATATCCCTTGTAGACCTGCCCACTCGCCCCGGCCCGCCATGGAGAAGAGGATCGCCTCATACACCCCCAAGCTCGGGAGGATGCCCGCATCGACCATATTGCGCAGACCGAGCAGGCCGGCCGATGGACCCTGGAGGAACGTGATCTCCCGAAGGAGGACGATGTGGGTGACGGTCGTCGGGCGGAGCCGGGGGGACAGAGTCGACGAAAGGGAGAGGTAGGATTTGTGGAATTCGAGCGGGGAGGGAAGGAGTGGGAGAAGCGCCCGGAAGACCGTACTGAGGATATGAGGGGATGCGGTGAGTTTTGTATCCGAATAAGACTTAGATGTGGCGGGATCGATGATACCGAAGGCTAGATTGGTAGGTGGGAACCCGACCCAGAGGAAGTGTTGGTCGAATAATTTGATGATGTCTTGGTTGGACCATCCCCGCCGCCGACCGAGGAGCATCTTGGCGTGCCACCATGTTTCCCGCCGACTATCGTCCACACCCCCCGTGACCCGCCTCTCTAGTATCTCCAGCAGGCGCGGGCGTTGATTGATCTCCAGCGCTTCGATGAGGTTCGCGAGATTGCTCGGCGATGTCTTGCCCGCTTTGGCCCGGAGGACCCGCTCGGCCAGAGAGACCGCTGCGTCTGAGGCCGGCTCCGCCTTGGCCTCACCTACCGCCTTTCTCTCCTCCACGTACGCCCGAGTGAAGTCTGTCCACCCTTGACCGTCCTGTAGCATATGCTCTGCCTGGTATTTCCACCCTGCCGCCGCCACGGCCCGCAAGAACGAGTTCCGCATCTCCTGCACCCTCAACTGGGCATACGCCGCATGTGCAGCCGCCCTCGTCGACAGGGACCGCCTCGACGTTGTCCCCGCCAGGTATACCTCTTCCAGCCTGCTCATCATCTCCTGCAGCTCCCTCACCGGGGTAATATACGCCAGATGCCGCATGATGGGGCCGAGGACAGTAGGTAGAATTCCCTTCCTTGCCGCTAGGAAGAGGAAATCCGAGAGGAATGACTTGTCCGCCGAGTACTCGTTGATAAGCCTATCGACGACGGGTTTCCAGACGCCCTTGATTCCAGGATGAGACCGGACGGCTGGCCGATTAGGGACGAGCTCGAGCCAGAAGAGAAAGGCCGCCTTGCCTTTGTCCGACGGCCGGAGTACCGCGACCGCCGCGGTGAGGTATATCGCCCGGCGCTGGATTCCAACGTGGAGCTCGGAGAGCTCGTAGTGCATGCACCGGGCGGCGCGGATGTCGCCGTCATGGACTAGACGAGCGAGGGCGTCGCATCGCCGAGTGAGGGGGCGGGGGCGGATGGCAGGGGTGGAGGAAAGGGGGTAGAGGGTCGCCCATTCCGGAGTGAGGGTGGGCTCCCGGGCGGTGAGGGAGAGTGCCGCGGATGAGTATTCGTCAGAGGATGGCTCGAGGAAGTCTGAGGTGGGGACATCCGAGGAGGCGTGTCGCGGGTCCCAAGAATTGACGCTTGGACGAGCGGGGAGAGTGGGTTGTTGCGGGAAATAAGGGTGGACGGCTACTGAGAAGTGCCTTTTTGGTGTTTGGCTGGGACTAGGCATGTCCCGAAGCACGAGCCTGACGGCGTGTAGTGCCCTCTGCGATGTCTGGGCGATGTTCATGGTGATGTATGAAAGCAGGAGATGGTCGAGGCGAGAAGGACTTTTTCGACATGCTGAGTCAAAAACTTTATGCCGCATCAACTCGTGCGTGCCTGGAACCGTTTACTCTGCTCATGCACCATCACCATCTATATAGCTATCCAGCACTGCAAGTACGACCGAGACTCATAGCCTGAGATTCAGAGGCAGCTCACGAGGCCGCTATGAGCATGTCGAATAGCCCAGCACGGCGGGGGAAGCCCAAGATCGTATGTTCATCAGCTCGCTCCCATCGAGGATCATTCGCTGACGATGACAGAGACCGCCCAAGAAGGTGAGCTATACCGCCCTCCAAATCTCAGGAGATGTCAAGGGTGAGATTGTGGAGCGAGAGCTGATCCACTAGATCGGCCCAGAAACGTCCATGAAGGACACCTGGACCAAGCTGTCTTACGCGATCAAGGAGATTCAGAACCATAACGTGTCCAAGTTGAGCTATGAGGAGCACTATCGCTATGCCTACAATATGGTGCTGTACAAGTGTAAGTGACTAGCTTACAGCCGAGCTGGAGACCAGGGCTGGCGGTCCTATCTGTGTTTCTTGCCCAGCTATGATTGGCTCTGGAGCTGCTAGACCAAGACCAAGCTGATCAAGACAGCCGGTGACCAGCTCTATAACGGCGTTCGCGAGCTCATCACCGAGCACCTCAACCATCTTGCCGAAGAACTCATTGTTCCAGCCTTTCCACGGTCGGGGGGTACGGCGGGTCTAGGGCGCTCAAGCGGAGGTGGTGGCGGCGCCGAGGCGGTCGAGCGGGCATTGGAGGGGGAGCGATTCTTGAAGAGCGTGAAAGGCGTATGGGAGGACCATACAGGAAGTATGAGGAAAGTGAAGGACGTCCTACGCTACATGGTGAGTCCCGTTTTGCGCTTGCGGACATACAGGGTGAGGCTAAGCTCCAGGACAAAGTCTACACCCAAGCACACTCCGTTCCGATCATATACGAAGTCGGGCTCCACCTCTTCCTCTACACCATCATCCGCTCCACCTCCCCGCCTATACATACCCACCTCATCGGCTCGCTCCTTTCGCAGGTCCAATTAGAGCGTGACGGGGAGACCATCACGCGCACGACGGTGCGCGATTGCGTGGATATATTGCTGCGCCTCCAGGATCCAGCGGCGCCGGGTGCGGGCACGCAGCGGGCGTTGTCAGTGTATCAGACGGACTTTGAGCCGGAGTTTCTAAGAAGGAGTGGGGAGTTTTATGAGGCTGAGGCGGGGGAGGTATTGGAGAGAGGGGATGCGAGTGTGTATCTGAAGAATGTGAGGCTATCTCTGTTTTGCAAGTCATGTCAAGGATGACCTGCTCTCTCGTGTAGACTCCAGCTGATGCCCAGGTCGAAAAACGCCTATCTCAAGAATCAGATCGAACAGCGCACTACCTATCCCCCTTGACCTCTCCCGCCCTGCTCGCCTTGGTAGTCTCCAAGCTTCTGACCCCTCACCTGACCGCTATCCTCTCCATGCCCGGAACAGGTCTCCGGCCTATGCTGGACGCGGACCGCCTGCCTGATCTTCGGCGTCTATACACCCTCTTCATCCGCGTTCCGGATGATGTGGGGCGGAATGCCCTGCGCACGGCTTTGAAGGGCGATATCGAGGAGAGGGGGAAGCTTATCAATGAGGGTGGCGTTATACCTGCTGGCGCTGGGCCAAGCCAGGATGGCGCGGCCGCGGAGGGTGGCGCGGAGGACGAGGAGATGGAGGGGAAAGGAAAGGGGAAGGCGAAAGAGAAGGGCGGTGGTAGTGAGAAGGCTGTGGGTGGAGCGGGCGCATTATCGCTTGCGCTGGGATGGGTGCAGGGGGTGTTGGATCTGAAGGACAAGTTCGATAGGGTGCTAGATGAGGCGTTTGGGGGAGATAAGGCGATACAAACGAGTATCAACGAGGTGAGTTTGTATCCTCGAGACATGAGGTGCAGGAGCTGATCTCAAGGCCTTCCAAACCTTCATCAACGCCAACCCTCGAGCACCCGAGTATCTTTCCTTGTTCATCGACGAACACCTCAAGAAGGGCACGAAAGCGGTACGTCTTACACCTGTTACACTTATTGCGGCCTGTCCGCGCCAATCCCGTTTGGAGTTAAGCTGAACTCGCAGAAATCAGAAGACGAGATCGAGATCGCCCTCGAAAAGACAATCATCCTCTTCCGCTTCTTGTCTGATAAAGACAAGTTTGAGCGATATTACAAGACACATCTCGCAAAGCGGCTATTGTATGCTCGGAGCGCGAGCGATGATTCTGAAAAGGGGATGGTGGCTAAGCTCAAGATTGAGATGTAAGTCAAGCTGGGTGCGATGCCGACGAGAGAAGAGGAACGTCCGCTGATCGCTAGGGGATTCCAATTCACTCAAAAGCTGGAAGGTATGTTTACAGATATGCGAATATCGGCCGAAGGGGCGAACACATTCCGGAACTACCTTAATCGACATGGGGTATGCCATCTGATTTCCTCCCCCGAAAGCTGATTCGCTAATCTCTAGGCCCTCCCCCTCGACCTCCAAGTCTCAGTCCTCACGACGTCCCACTGGCCCCCATCCGTCATCGCCACCTCACCCCTCATCTTCCCCGCCCCGCTCACCAATACCACCTCCGTTTTCCAGGCATACTACGACTCGCGCCATTCCGGCCGACGCCTAACGTGGCAAGGGAACCTCGGGACGGCTGATGTCAAAGTCAGGTTCAAGAATCGGAGCCATGATGTGAATTGCTCGACGCAGGCTTTGGTGGTCATGCTGGCTTTTGAGGATGTGAGGGGGGAAGAGACGCTGGGATATTCGGTAAGTCATCCTTTCGCAAGGATCAGAGTTTAGGCTGATATGGTAGGACCTGAAAACTATCACGGCACTCCCCGACGCAGACCTTGTTCGCACGCTCCAATCCCTCGCTTGTGGCAAATATCGTATTCTCTTGAAAACGCCCAAAGGCCGCGAAGTGTCTCCGTCCGATACATTCGCATTCAACGAGGCGTTTACGTGTCCGCTGGCGAGAATAAAGATTATGCAGGTCGCGGCGGCGAGGGTGGAGACGGGGAAAGAGAGGGAAGAGACGGAGGGGATGGTGGAGGAAGAACGCAAGTTCCAGATTGAGGTGAGTTTGCCCGTGGACAAGATGGGGAAGGTCGGAGACTCGGGATGAAGGATGCCGTGCTGATAACCCTAGGCGTGTATTGTCCGGGTCATGAAGAATCGGCAGACGATGGGGCACAATGACCTCGTTTCGGAGGTGGCACACCAGCTATCCAGTCGGTTCATACCGACTACTTCGCTCATCAAGAAACGGATAGAGGGGTTGATCGATGTGAGTACTTGGCTTACATTTGCGCCGGGCAGATGGCTGGATGAGTGACCACGCTGACGTGTCGCAGCGAGAGTACCTGGAGCGGGGAACAGATATCGGGACTTACAGATACCTAGCATAGCTCTCAGCAAGTAGCATATTTGACATTACATCCATGTAGCCTAACCTTAGTTCTGTATTACTACTTTTCTGCTAGCTCTTTCGCCCGGCCAGCACAGGAGACCGTGCTGATCCCATATCGCTAGCCCAATGTTCGGCACGCGACATCTTGCAGACCTCGTACCAGCCTGCTTCATACTTTGATCGAGTCTTGCTCTAGACACATCCACCTAGTCCTCGCAGTCCCCAAACAGCCCCCAATCCGCTATTCTAAACCCCCTCGCCGCCTCTTGGAACCACCCGTCCACTTTCCTTCTCTCGTCTTCGCCCTGCCCGCCCTCCGCGCTGAGGTTGACATTCACACTCATCACCACGTCAGCCTTCTTCCTCCCGCTCCCTCCGCTTCCACTGGCCATTCCAGAGGGTTCAAGCCAACACCGCCATAATGCCAGCCCGATCCAGACGGTATCCGGGTCGTCCTCTTCCCTGCCTGGTCGAGGTGCGCCAGTAGGGTTATGTGAGAATTTATGGATGACCTGCGTTCCTTGCAAGATGATCGGAGTGGGTGTTGAGGAGGCGTCGGAAGAAGGCCGGGAGGGGATGGAGGGGGATGGAGGGGAAGTGAGGATGGAGGTGGATAGGGCGGAGTTGTCGTGTGCTAATGAGGAAAAGTGGAACCTGGTCGGATCAGCTCAAACTCACTCTTCTTCGGAGAAGATTCGGGGGTATGTAGCTCACTTGGCAGCTTCCCATAGATCCTTCCCTGCTTCGCCCTCCTCTACCATCGCCAGCACCTCGACGACTACGCTCGTTTCGGACACGGGCGAAAGGAAGACCTCTTGGTTATCAGGGATCTGGCGCAGTTCACTGCACACATCAGCCCTCCGAGAGATACAATTTCAGTAAATGAGATCCCGATGTAGCTGCAGGACAGCCACGCACCTCGCGTCGAGGTAGTCGAAAGGTAGGGAGAGTTGGATGGCTCCGCCGAAGAGGTCTCGCTGTGCGAGGCGCACGGGCCCTGCTGTTGCTGTATTCGGCATGTCTTTTTGCTGAGTGTCCAGGAAGTACACCTAGAGGTGGTCTTTGAGCTGCAGGTGTACCGACCGTGGTGTCAGTCTAACAGGTAGATGGCAACGTAGCAACTCTGAAATCTGCTGCCAGTAAGCAAGTTGCGGTGCGGATAAACGTTTCTCCGCGTTTCAGAATCGCGAACTCAACGTTCTGCGCGTTGCGCGAGCCGCGACCGTCTCGCCTTCACTTTCAGCAACATCCCCTGCCCTTTACCTACTCCTTTAGCTCGCTAATTATCAGCCACTATGGCACTCCAGACTGAGTCCATACTGCCATTCACGCTCCGCCTCAATGCGTTGGAAGCAAAAGTCATCGGCGCGTCGAGCTATCCCAGCTCGGACCCGCGCGATACCGCCCCTCCCAAGCTGGGCGAGTCGAGCAAGACTGCCCTGAGGCGTGTGAGGGAGATACATGAGGCTTTGGAGAGAATAGGGGGCGATAATGAAGGCTTGAGGCGATTTATTGGGAATTGTGAGCTCAGCAACTGCGCTCTATGTGAACGCGAGGAGGAGCGAGCTTATCCGTTTAGATGAGGCGTATCTACCATTTCTGTCCCTTCCGGATCCTTCCAGCGCATCAGGAGCACAAGGAGATCCGTCAGACCCGTCGAGACCAGCGACAGGCCCGATAGCGGAGTACGACCTCGTACCTGATAAAGTCAAGGTGACGATGCTGCTTGAAGCAGCGGCGGATATCAAGGGGGTTGAGCGGGATTTGAGGGAGGTCGAGCTACTGAAGGGAAGAGGAGTGGAGGGTGCCGGAGAGCTTGAGAGTGAGTCATCTCAGACTGGACTATAGGCTCCATGTCCAGACAGAATGGGAGGAATGTCGAAGGAGCGCTGACTTTGCAGAGCTACTACCTTTGCGGCCACAGCTTCTGGATCGGACGCGAGAGTCACAAAACCAGTCACAAGCTTTATCGGCAGCGAGGCAGCAGACGACTAATCTACTTGTACAGTATAACGAATACGTGAGCTCTTTACACCTTCCGCAAGCCCCGCTGAGGGGACGCTCGCTGACTTCTGAGACGAGCGCGCTATCCGAGCTGTTCCTAGACATACATCGGAGGTTGGAGTACATGGAGGAGGCTGTCAGTCGAGTCGAGCGGAAGAAGCGCAGAGAGCTGGCAGAGCGATACTAGGCAAGCTCTGGAAAGAGTGTGATGGTATATCTGAAACACGACGCACGGTTGAGGGGAGCTGACTGGACCACACCAAAGTATAAAAGCGCTCGACTTCTACTTTTTCTCTCTCTTCCTTACATATCAATCCTCTCACCCTATTTTTCTTTCGATATCATCTAATCCATCACAAACATGAAGCAGATTCCCCTCGAGGTCAAAGCTCGCATCGCGGCGCAACTCGACCTCCCTTCCGCCCGAAACTTGACCGTGAGCTGCAAGGCGTGGAGGAATGCGGGAGAGATGGCGGTCTGGAATGAGGTGGATCTGACCACGGGATGGTATGGTGAGCTGCTCACTTACTCTATATCGGCCCCAGCTGACCCAAGCAGATAAGCCGGCGTGTACCGAAGACTTCATCGACGAAACGGAACACGACATCCGGAACGGCAAGGTCGACACCAAGCTCGAGCGCATCCGCGACTCTCTCAAGGCGTACCCCTTCCGCTGGAAATGTATCCAGTCGATCCGCATCGAGCCCTCGGACGGTGGTGAAGACGACGGGATGTGTAGCGCCCCCCAAGCCAAAGCGCTCATCTCCTTCATCACACGCGTCGCTCCCCGCCTCACTCGGATCAGCATCCTTCCCCTTCCTCTCGCTGAGGACCTCTTGGATGAACAAAGCTGCGAGATGTTCACGTCGATGCTCGGCTCGCTCAAGCTCAACTTCCCAAAAGTCACCCACGTGCAATTTGCGCGGGGCTTCGCATCAGAGGCGGCGATCCCGACCTGGATCTTGCGGATCAAGACCCTTCAGCACCTCGAAGTCGCCCGGCCGGACGTCTCCTTCGTCGCCGATCTCGGTCACATCAGTACTACCATCTTAAGCGGTATGTTCCCGCACCTCACGACCGTCACCGTCCATCGCATCGGCAAGAATCACGATCAGCACGCTCGCGAGATCATCACTGCTCTGCTCGAGGTGGCGCCCAAGCTTGCAACCGTCCGCATCACCGGTCTCTGGGAGCGGATCGAGAGGGACAGTCGGGGATATCTCCCGGAAGTCTGGCGGCAGACGAAGCGGTCTCGCACAATCTCGATCATTCGGCCAGACAAGCTCGGCAACGGCGGATCGGCGTTCGTGCACGAGACGAGGGAATCTACACCTTCTTCTACGCCGGTCTATCGCGATTCAGACGACGAGGATAGCGATGATGCAAGCGAGAGCTACGGTTATGGCGGAAGCGAGGGTGGGTACGGGGACGGATTTGGCGGGGGAACAGGAAGGCGGCTGTACAGCGACTCGTGCGCCAGTGACGATAGCGAGCGGCTCGCATGGAAGGACAGCAACCTTCCAACAGAAGACCTATTGACCGAGAAGGAAGTGTTTGCGGGCGGGATCAAGGTCAAGTTTCTGGAGGAGGCGGTCATCACGATGGATCTGGCAAAGGGGTGCGAGGAGTTTCCTTACGACGTGAGTTGTTGGCTTTGATTTGATCGATCGTGCTGATGATACAGACCATCATCGTGGAGAATGACAAGACCGTCTCTCGCCTCACCGTCGTTACCACTCCTCGCCTCACCGGGGCCACCAAGCACACCTCCCAGTCCCCCGACCATACCGCCGCCATCCTCGGCCCTCTCCTCACCACTCTGCGCCGCGTCCCCGAGCTATCTGTCATCTACATTCCCTCGGCTCCTGGTCTCTTTTCCTCTGACTTTGTCTCCCCCGCTCGGGACGCCGGCCGCTTCGTACACCCCAATTTCTGGACGGACGGTCAGCGAGGCGCCATCATTCGCCACTACGTATCAGGGAACGACGTCCTTTGGCATATACGAATCCGGGACGGCTGTTCGGCGGCGGACTCAGGCGGTGCGGTCAAGCCGGACGACGACTGCAGGACTGACCTGGCATGCTATAAGGACCGCGTGCTGCCCCGCAGCGTTCTTCAGGCGGTCTACGAGAAGGCGGCACTCGATATCGACAGTACGGAAGGCGGACGGCGGCTATCACTCGGAGATGGGTCGGCATGGGACATCCTGCGGAATTGGGCAGAGAAGACGGAGGAGATGTAGGTCGGAGCTATGTGATGTATGGGAGCAGAAAGTTGGATCTGAGTCGGTCGCTTGCAGGTGGAGATGGGCTTGATACTATCGAGGTGGCTGGAACCGGAGTCTTTTGTACAGTACAGCGGGTTTGTGAGTACTCAATCGTTACATGCAAGTCTGTCCATGTTTCCTGATTGCAAACGAGCGGTCTACCGCGGAGCCAAGCATAGGTGAAACTCTCGATCTGGGCACTGGGGTGCTGTCTGCTTTGGGCCTGCTGAGGCTGAGAAGCAGGAGAGGCGGGATAAGTTGGCAGATCTGAAACGCCTCGTAAGGAATGCTGACTTCGATCCTTCGCGCTTACACCTGCCTTCACCAACCCAATCAGCCTCTGTTGTTGCCTTTCTGCCTCATACAACTCTTCCCAGGTCATTACCCGCAGAGAGCCAGTATGAGCATATCTACCGATATGGCAGTTTCGGGCGAGTCGGAGCCAAAGCGGACGATCCCCTATATCCCCCTCAAAGTTCAGATCAAAATCGCCCAGTGGCTCGACCTCGAGTCCGCTCGGAGCCTCAGCACGACCTGCAAAGCGCTCAGAGACGCGGGAGAGATCAAGGTGTGGGAGATGCTGGATCTGACTAGCGGATGGTGCTGTAAGTCCGCGGTGGCCACTCATGCAGCTTTTGGCGATATAGTAGGGTGGACAAGAGCTAGGTGGCGAGGTTGGCTGACGATATAGCGCCTCACTCGACCAAGTATCAATCGGAGATGGTCATTAACGACCACGAGGCTCGAGCCGCCGTGGTCTCCTCCAAGCTCCAGCATGCTCTGGATGCCCTTGATGCCTACCCTTTCCGCTGGGAATGCATCAAGGGCATCCGCATCGAGCCGTCTGACGGACCAAGCGGGGATCGCGCTCGGTCCCTCTTTGACCTCCTCGTCCGGCTCTCCCCTCGCTTGGCTTACGTCGCCATCCTCGCTCTACCTTCTCGGACCGACTGGTCGGACGCCCACAAAGCTGAGCTCGGCTGCCAGAACTTCCTATCCCTACTCGACTCGGACACTCTTTGCATCCCCAAGGTCACACACGTGCAGATCAGGCGGGGCACCAAGACGAGGAGTCCAGTCCCTAGCTGGATCCTTCGTATCAAGCGCTTGCAAAAGCTCGAGTGCGACCACGGAGACATCTCGTTCGATTGCTACACCGGTAGCGCCCCCTAAACCAAGTTCCACCCCGAACTCAGCTGGGTCAAGGTCAATCAGGTCAACGACCGTATCGCCGAGGGGGACTGGATCCTCGACAATGTCCTCGGCCTCGTACCCGAGCTGGAACACTTTCAGGCGACCGGCGGCTTCTACTTCTTTGGCGACAGCCCAAAGCTGGAGGCGGTCGGGAGGACGGTGAGGCAGAAGATCAGCGGAATCCTCCACCTCAACAGGCGGTATGAGGACGAAGAGGATTTCGAGGATGATGAGGAAGAGGATGAGTTCAGGATGCAGGATTTCGGACTTGGGGCTGGCTTGATGCCCCTCACGTTTGACAGCGCGGTGATGGAGTTCAAGATGGGGGATAAGCCCGTGTTTGACTATGAGGTGAGCCTTGTGCATACTATCTCTGCAGCATAGGCTTTCATCACTGCTCGATTGAGGTCCAGGCTGATGACCGAGTAGGATCTCGTTCTTCAATGGGACCGGACCCTCTCTCGGCTCATCATCCTCACCGATCCTCGCCCATCCTTTACCCATATGCCAGTCATCCCGTCCACCGGGGAGACTCAGCACCTATCCACCAACTTCATCCGACAACTCCGCCGCATACCAGCCCTCACATCCATCTGCATCCCCTGCACCAACAAGGCCTTCCCCACAGACTACACCCCGCCCTCTATCGAGACCGCTCACTACGTCGGCCCACACTCGTGGGACACGGATAATACCCAGGGGGCCATCATCCGGCGATTCAAGACCGATATCGTCCCGGGGCAGATGGAGCCCGCGGACGAGTTTTGGCATATCCGGATCCTGGCCCAGGTCCAGTCGGATCAAAGCAGCAGCGGCAGCGCGGACAGCGGAGAGCGGGTCTGGCGAGATCTGGTCCGCTTCGAGGGCAAGACTGTCCCTTGGAATGTACTGGAGGCGGTCTACGCGACGTCGATGTATACTGTCGATGACAGTAGGGGTTTGAGGCGCCAGGGTTTCGGGAAGGATGAATCGGGGTGGGATATTTTGAGGAAATGGCGGCAGACGGCGGGGGAGGATAGCGATGATGAGACGTTCAGCGAGTGCAGTGGGGACTATGACGAGCACTCGGACCACTAGGCGGGAACATGACGGGATACCGGCGAGGTCTAAGTGGGGGCATCATAGCAAGGCGAGGAGGACACATACTATTTTAGGAAGGAACGATTCGGGAGCTGGAGAAGCCGGAACACATGCGGATTACTATTATGGCAGTAGAGTAGGGGAGACACAATATCATCACATGCAGAACAGAAATCCATCATGCGCACACTCTCGGTAGTCCTGTAGTTATTTCTGCCTCACCGCCTCACCTGGGGCCGCCACAGCCACACGTCACACCGCTGAGGAATGAGGAGTTAGCGGTTCCGACGGAACTTCCAACCTTGCGCTTGCGCGTTGCGACCGCGCGATCAGTGAGAAGGATACAGTCAACTTGCAACTACGCTTGTTGATATTTCATACATTCTGAACCTAGAAGCTTGATCATGACAGAAGACAATGATGCGCCTGAAGCGGGAGCCACCCGCCAGATGCCATATCTACCTCGCGAGGTGCAGGCGCAGATCTCACCGCATCTCGACCTATCCTCTGCTCGCTGTCTCGCAAGGACTTGCAAAGCGCTCAGAGACGTCGGTGAAGCGAAAGTATGGGAGACTCGTAAGTCTTCTCGTCCCAGCGACGGGGATGCGTGCTGACCAACAGTCGATCTGACTAGTGGGTACGACTGTAAGTCGCGCTCAGAGATAAATCTGGAGTGTGATTGTTTGACTGACATAGAACAGCGGACGAATATGCCACCTCTATACCTCTTCGGGAGTACACAGCCCGATCCAGAATCGTCAACATCAAGCTTTCGCACGCCCTCGCAGGACTCAGATCTCATCCTTTCCGCTGGGACTGTATCGACAGTCTCCGGATCGAGCCGTACGACGCGGGCGACGAGGGTGAGCGTCTGATTGGCCTCATCCGGGGCCTCTCCAGCCAACTCACACACCTGGCTATTCTGCCCTTACCATTCGGTCGTCAGTCAACATCCAAACTCGTTCCTCTCATTGGCCATGGCGGTTTCTTCCGGAACTTCGGACGCGGAAAATGGTCTTTCCCCCGGTTGACCCACCTCTAGTACGTCAACGACAGCGGACCGGTGGAACGATGGATGTGCGGGATGCCCAACCTCACGGTGCTCGTCATCTGCGTCGGTCGGCTTGACCGTTCGTTCGCGTATCCCCCCGACGCCGAAGACGTCGTCCTCCATAACCTCAAACATCTGACTATCACCGGTATCGGCGGCGAGCCCGCCCACCGGCTCCCGCGTTTTCCCTATATATTGGAAGACACTCCCAATGTCGAGGTCCTTCGACTCGACGGCCACTGGAGACCTCATGATCAAGACTCGGCGCTCGACACGATTTAGCGTCTTCCCCTAAAATCGATAATCCTAGCGGGGAAAGCGCCGTCGCGAGACGTTGATGACTCCGATACCGATTCGGATGACGACGAGGACGAGGACGATGACGAGGGCGTATATGGGATCCATCTCCCGTATGACACAGAGCTGCAGGTGAGAGAGGCAGCGTTACAGGCGACCTTGAAATACAGCGAGCTGGTCGAAGTGGACTTCCACGTGAGTTGGCGGCACAGGTCATCTTGATGGAGGCGCGGCTGATGATGCAGAATGTCGATGTATATTACATGTCCATCCTTCAGCGCCTGACAATCTTGACATCCGCTCGGCTGCCTCTCGAGGCCTACGCGTCTTTGGGGGTCGACACCTCCCCCTCCTCCACCGTCGCCGTATCGACCAAAATGAGGCGGTATCTTTGCCGATATCCCTGTCTCGACATCATCCTCTTCTACTTCCCGGAAGACGGACTCCCCATCGTATACGGCACGCATCTCCAGCCCTCTTTGTTCGTCGACCCATCCCAATGGGAGTCTCTCGGTCATCGCGGAGCCATCGTCAGGCAATACAGACCGCCAGACGACCCAGGCGTCTCGACCGGGGACCCGACGGAAGTTTTCTGGCACGTGCGCGTGTTGACGCGAGTGGCCATCCACCACACGGGCCGGAAATTTGTCGGGGCGAAACGACACTGGCTGGACATGGCGTACTTCCGGGGCAGGACCGTTCCTCGCGACGTCCTCCAGGCGGCTTACGCGGCGCATGGCGAAGATCCAGAGTTCTTGCAAGGCGGTAGAAGTCTGAGGATGAAGGAGAGGGCGTGGGATATTTTGAGGAGCTGGCGGGCTGCTCAGACAGAACCTACTGGTGGCGATGAGGGGGAGGACTCTGCGTCTGGTGACGACGAGGCGCATGAAGGCGGAGACGAGGATGAGCAAGCAAGTGACGATGAGGAGGAGGACGGCCTCGGCGACAGTGACCAGCAGGCGCTGGACATGTACAGCTTTGGGATGCAGTATGGGATCCCAGAGATGACTAGTACTTGGGTATCTGGGGGAGTAGGCATAGGCTGTAAAGGAGGCAAGGAGGATGAAACGTCGCTGGTAGACCATGGTATGCAAGAAAGTTTCATGTCTCGCCGGTGCGCATCTCTGGTCGTGATTCAATGATCGTCCTCCTCCGTACCCGGACATCCACCTGCGCCCTCCATCTCCTCATAGCTGCCATATTTGTATCCACACCAGAAGCAGAACAGGTGCTCGTGCCTCAGCTGGGACAGTAGAAACGTGAAGTACGATTCGGTCTGAGAAATCAGCTATACCCACCACACCGGTGTGAACACTCACATCCATCGACAAGACCTTCTTCGTCCCCGACACCTCATCCTGCCACATCACACCCTTCCAGTCCCCCTTATCTGCCTGCCCATCCTCGACTTTCTCGCCACCATCCAGCAACCCCAGCTCTCGCTTCCGCTTCATGATCGGGTCTTCCTCCCCTTCGTCCAAGCTCGACAGCATGTCACGCCGCATCTGCTCGCGCACCTTTTCGGCTGCGGTAAGAGGCTTTTCTCGCGATGCGAAGAGAGGAGGTGGGCTGGGCGATCGTTCCGGTCCGGCAGCGGGAGGCGGTGAGGGCGATAACGCGAGAGCTTGGGCTGGGTAGATGAGGATGAGGAGGGGACGAGGTAGGGTAGATAAGGGGTCGAAGGGGAGTACGTGTAGCGGATGGAACTGCTTGTCAGCGCTATGTACCCGTGATATTGTCAGAAGAACTTACTTTCACTTCCGTCTCCTTGTCAAAGCCAACCAGCAGATCCCTAGCCTTGGCCGCCTTCCGCTGCATGTCCTTACTCCCAAATTGCCGCCTGTTAAACTCCCGAAAGCTATCCGTCTCCTTTCCTAGTCTTGCCAGCTTCTCCGGGTCTAGATGATCGACGTTCCGACCCGAAGACGGCGGAAGCGGAGGCGGTGAGGGCGATCGCGCTGAAAGACCCTTCCGTCCGGCCCAGAGCGAGACTCGTATCGGCTCTATACGCGGCTGCTTGGCTTGTGCCGGTCGAGCTGCTCCGATCCCTCTTCTTGGCGCCTCGTCCTCTTCCTCCGCCTCATCGTGTCCCCTCTTCTGCCCATGCGGGGGCGATGAGGATCGCTGCCGTCCCAGCCCTTCCCCAACTTTCCATCCCATCTTCTGCATCATCGCCATCGCCTTATTGCCGCCTGCACTCAATCCCGCGCCAGATTCAGAAGCCGAGCCCGATGCCTCAGCGGACGCGCTGTCGAACAGGCTTCGACTCAGCCCCTCGGTCCGCCGTTCCTTCTCTAGCTGGACGAGTTTGGGCTGATTCTTCGCCTGGCCTCGTCGTTGCGCTTTGAGTTGATCTGCAGCTCGCTGCTGAGTGTGCGTTTTCGTGGGGGCAGTGGGAGCGTCGACGAGGAACTTGTCCGACATGAAGTCATCCTCCGAGTCTGACATATTGCCGCCGGCTTGTATGGAGGAAGATGTAGGGATGCAACAGCTCTGAATCACCCTCGTTGCCGCTGATTGCTCGACCGTCAGCGGATGGAGTTTGAGCTGATCTCCATCCAACTCCTCATTCCTCAGGTCAGCCTTCGCGATCCAGCAAGCGATCCAGCGATCTCCCCCTCTTGACATTGTCATTCAACAAGCTGCAACAAGACAGCCACCACCGACTCATGGCCTCTCCCAAGCATGTGACGATCCTAGGAGCCGGCCTCACCGGGCTTGTCACCGCTTTTCGCTTATCGCAAGCTCTCCCCGCGACCAAAATCACCATCCTCGACAAGAGCTCCCGAGCTGGAGGGTGGGTGGGGTCATCGCGACATCCCGTGGCTTTCAAGGATGAAGACGGCGAGGATGTAAAAGGAGAGGTCACGCTAGAGAGTGGTCCGAGGAGTATCAGACCGAGAGGTAGTGCCGGCGCTGCTGGCATGCTGAAATTGGTTAGTCAATCCAGGCCTGGCCCGCGCTCTGCTGACCATCCAGATTAGAGATCTAGACTTAGAGGACGCTATCATACCGGTATCACTATCATCACCGGCAGCAAAGAACCGTTTCCTGCTCGATCCTACCACCAAAACCCTGACGAAGCTCCCCTCGTCCCTCCTATCCATCGGAGGCCGACAACCGCCCCTTCTGCGCGGTCTCCTCCCGTCCGCTCTGGCCGAGCCCTTTAAATCTCGTCCACCACCGTCAGTCCATGATGAGTCGGTCGACTCGTTCATCCGCCGCCGTCTCGGCCCGGGCATTGCAGAAAATATGATCTCGGCGATGGTACACGGTATCTACGCCACAGACTCGAGGAGGCTGTCCGTGCGGGCCGCTTTCCCCAGTATGTGGGACGCGGAGAGCAAGGCGGGGAGTCTAATCCTGGGAATGCTAAGAGGGACGAAGAGCAAAGCGGACAAGGAGGAGGAGAAGCGGGAGTGGGCGGATCTGGGGGTTTTGGGCAAGAGTAGGGAGAAGTGGAGTCTGTACGGACTCCAGGGTGGGCTGGGGACTTTGACAGCGAGGCTGGACCGGGAAGTTCGGAGAAGAGGGGTCGAGATGCGGATGGGCGAGGTCGCGACGGACGTGGAACCAAGTCGCGAGGGTTTAAAGGTACGTGACTGAAAGGATACCCAAGGTTCGCAGCTGACCTGCAGATGATCACCCCCACGTCAAGCTTCCACACCTCACACCTCATCTCAGCTCTCGCTCCCCCTACCCTCTCGACTCTCCTCCCATATCTCCCCCACCTACTCTACAACACATACACTACCGTCGGGGTTCTCAACCTCGTCTATCCCCTTCCACCCGCCCGCATCCACCCAGCCGGCTTTGGCTACCTCGTCCCCCGCTCCCCTACATCGCTCAACCCCGAAGGTATCCTGGGCGTCATCTTCGACTCGACAGCCGTACCTGGGAATGACGACCTGGCGGTCGAAGGCAAAGTCACCAAGTTGACCATGATGATGGGCGGACCGTGGTGGTCTAGCTATCCCGTATCGGAGGGACGGACGGTCTCGCCGCCTGCTAGCGCAGAGGAGTTGGTCCAGCCGGCACTCGAGCACCTACACCGGGTCTTTCCGGTACTCAAGGACGCCAAGCCGCTCATCGCCATCCCACAGATCCAGAAAGACTGTATCCCGACGTATCTTACAGGTCATGGTGGGAGGCTGAGGGAGCTGCACCACTACCTGTCGGATGCTGGAGATGGGAGCGGAGTGCAGGGCAGGGTGAGCCTGGTGGGGAATGGATATGGCGGAGTCGGGGTAAATGACTGTGTCTTGTCGGCAGAAGAGGTGGTCAGGGGTCTAGCAGCGGGAGGCAGACCGACGGGGCTGGAGAGATGGGCGCACTGGGAATGAGGTCATGCGTTATAGGGCGCGGGGAGAGGCTGGGAATCCACACCAGTCTCTGTCGGATACTAGAGACGGAGGCGGGACCCAGGCCACGTTAAGCCTCGTGGGCAGCGCGTATTGAGAGGTCTGAAGGACTGGGTTCTGTCTCTGTAGGAAGTGGTGAGGGGTCGGCTTCGGGAGGGAAGCCGACGGGTCTAAAGAGGCAAGGCGCAATGTAATAAGGACGTGCCGGAATATTGACATAGCAACGCTGCATGCACCTCCTAAGGTACCTGATGTGTACTGACTAGTCCATCGGATTGTCTATCACAAATAGATCTTGAGCCTGAGTAGACACTGATCTACTTTTCCTTTTCCGGTCCACAATCAGCAGAAATTTCGGTCTCTTCCCCTCGTCCTCAGTCTCCCTCTCGACCACCTCCCCTTCCTGTCAAACCTCGTTCTCGTCCGAATCATTCCCACCTCCTTCACCGGGCGTCAGCCGCTTCTGAAAATCCTCAATCGCCGAATGTACCGTCGCCATAGTATTAAACACCTGCTCCAGCCGCTCTGCAACCATCGCCGCCTTGTAGACCGCCGCCCGTAGATCGAAAAGTCCGCTCAGCATCTCAGCGGGCCGGGCGGTAGTCGAGACGCCTTGGAAATGGGTGGTCGCTTCGAGGAAGTCGGCCACTATGACCTCGAGATTGGGAAGAAGGTCATCGCGCGTCGTCTCGTCGAGATCCGCCGCCATATTCACCCATTCTACCGCCTGCGTCACGAGCCGACGCTCTGGACGTCCCCTATCATCATACCCCACCTCCATCACCTCTTCCGCCGAGGTCGCCTGTAAAGATTGGACAAAGTCGACGGTGGATAAGTATCTGCGGCGAGACCGAGATTGCCTACCAGCATCAGCCCGTACTGATGAGAAGGATGGAGGCGACTTACCTTCGAAGATGAAGAAGCAGGTTTGAGAGATCATCGCCATACAAAGACGAAGAGTCCCAACGGTTGACGAGGCGGATCTTGGCGCCCTTCCGCGTGAGATTGCACAGGTACCGCAATGTGTTGAATGGTACCGGAGTCCGAAAGGTGAACTGGCCGCTGATGATGGTGAGATCCCTGACTGGACCCCTCTGTTCCAGCGTATCCCTCTTCAACCACCCTTTGCACAACTCCTCTGCGTCCCCCACGTCCTGGTGCTAGTCCAGCATTGTTATCACCAAGACATGTAGGTTTGGCAGATTGCCGCGAATCGAATCGATGAGCGAAGGTAGATCACTAGCCGACAGCGCCGACGCCTGATATCCCTCGTGCCCCGCCAGGGTGAGATTGCGTAGGGTCGCCGGCGCGATGCTGGCGAAAGCGGTAAACGCGTCGATAGCCCAGGGAGCGCAATGCGTTGCGATGATGGCGCAGAGGCGATCCGGCTCGCCCGACGACCGCAGTCGAGAGCAGATGGAAGTGATGCTTTCGAGAGACACCGGAGCGCCCTCGATGACCAGCCGTGTGTCAAGATTGACGAGGGACGGACTGTCCCGTAGTAACACGTTCCACCGTTCTGCAATGGCGTTATTGTACCAGCCTTCGTCCGACTTGATCCGCAAGTTGAACCGGAACCGAAGGATGTTGTACCTCTTGTGGATGATGGGGCACGTGATCGCTTCCGGCAATTCCTCATCATAGAAGGACAGCGGTAGCACGACGTCTAGATCGAGCTGCCTCTGGTCGAGATCGGCTTCGGTGACCCCTTTGACGTGTACGAGTATGCATCCCGGCTCCTGATCCTTGGCCTGGGGTTGGACGATCCGCACTCTGCGCAGGTTTGGGCAGTCCCGCAGGAATGGCCGAATGCGTTTCTCCCGGATTTCGTCCGCTGCTGCTCCTTCCTCCGTGACGAGCGGTTTCCCGCGAAGGAAGACTGCGGCGCGAATGTAGTCTCCGACCGAGGTGTGATGGACTTCGGCAACTGCAGCGAGGTATAGCTTGCGCCTTGCCTGTGTGTTTCAGCGTGATGTCGCTTCCGCGCAGGACGGCGGCCGTCGTGCATGACTCACCTCCGGAAGCTCCTTTAAAGACTCATTTCGCGCCGCCGGTACAACATCATACAGCACCCTGATAGCGTCATACATCCCCGCCTTATCCACCCTCGCACATCGTGCTAGTCCAGCCTGCCCGACGTATTGCAGGATCCGATACCGCACGTAGCCGTTCTGGTATGCCTCCCGCGCGGCCGAGCGGATCATCTGCGGTGCGGAAAGAGGCGACCCGGCGGGCGCTTTGACCCCTTCACGCGTGTCATCCGCTCCGTATGATGACATATGGAAAGAGGTACGACCTGTCTGTGGGCGGGGAGTCGAAGCGGGCAATAAGCTCGAGGAGCAGATGGCAGAGCAAAAAGAGGTGTGCACTGCGCGATGATGGACGCGCTTCCGTCGGAAGTGACTCCGAGAGGTGGTATGGTGTTGATGCAGCATGATGTGTGCTCATTGAAGTCACTGCACCTGCCTGCCCAGGGTAATCTACAACGGAGTATACCTATGAGATTGCGACACAGCTAGCTCAGTACAAGATAAATACCAAGCAGATAATGACAACGTCTGACTACACGAGCTTTTTCAATCATCCTCCAGCATCTCGTCCACCTCGTCATCGTCCCCCAAAAGCATCTTCATCTCCTCAGCCTCAGCCCTGATCCTCGTAACCACAGTCTCGACTAGCGTCATCCTCCGCGTCATTCTCTCCGCCCTTTCCGTCGCAGCCAGCAACTCCTTGATGCCCGCCAAGAGATCAGACGCTGAGCTCCGATCTCCAACGACCCCTTGAAAGGTCCTCGCTGCATCAATAAATTCCGCCACACCGTCCTGCAGATCGTTGACGAGATTATCCCGCGTATGAGCATTGAGCTCAGTCGTGAGCCTCCCCCAGCCTGCCGCCTGAGTACCGAGTCTGCGCGTCGGTCGGCCATCCTCGCGGTATGTGAGGGTCAGGACTTGCTCAGGGGCGGTTATGTCGAGCTCGTCGCGGAAGTTGACAGTGGCAAGGTAGCGACGCCGTTCAGCCGGCTGTCTGTGGTATATCAGCTCGGTACCCATCGATCGAACAGAAGCCTTATAACACACCTGCGAAGGTAGCGAAGATAAGCATTTAGGATTTTAAAGCCCCACATCGTCTGCCCCTCCCCGTCATACCACTCCCCAGAGCCATCGTCATACCATCCCCCAGAGCCGACATGCTCCTCCTTAGGAGTCACCTTGATCCCCGCGTCCCGACGTGTACACCTCGCGAGGAAGCGGAGGGTGCTATATAGCGGAGTCGCCTTTGCCCGGGTGAAGATCTCTAGCTGTAAGATACTGCCTTCCAGCTCGAGCGCGTCCGCCTCCAGCCACCCCCCGCAAACAGCTTCCGCCGCCTCGACATCGTGCATAGCGAAGGACAGTGTGGTGAGATTGGGTAGCGAAGACTTGATGATGTCGCTCAAACCAAGGAGGTCCATCGCAGAGATGCGGACACCCATCTGGTACTCCCGGCCGAGCATGAGGTGGACCAAAGATGTGGACGCAATCTTGCTGAAGCTGCGGAACGCCTCCAGATCGTAGGGAATGATCTTGGGCGCCTCGATAGTCTGTAGCCGATCCGTATGACCCGCGGCGGTTTGAGCCTCGTATATGGAGACGAGGTCCTCGAGCGCGACGGGCACAGTGTCGAAATTGAGCTGCGATGAAGATTGGCGAGGGAGGGGTAGTCCGCGAGCAGGGGAATCCATCTGTGCCGCTCGAAGCCGTCCCGATCATCAATCACCAGATTGCACCGATAGCGTATGATCATGGTGTCTGACGAGACGAAGGGATTGACGATCCGTTTTGTTACGCGGCTCAAGCCGTAGCGGTATGGTGTGTCGACGACGTCGATGTGGAGGGGGTGACGGTCAACGCCAGGTGAGACCGAGGACGGCGTTGCGGGGTCGAGATGGAAGAGGATGAAGTTCCCGTCCGTCGCTTGGTCCTATGATACCCGTAGGGACCGGAGGTTGGGGCAGCTCTTCTGTATAGGAGCCAAGAGTTTGGTCCGGACGTCCGCCTCGGTGAAAGGCGAGGCTTCCTCCTGGGCTGGCTCGGGATCCTCCCTCTCGCCAAGAGCATCCATGCAGCGGACCAGAGTGTGGCTGTGGTCGATGTAGAGATTCCGAACAGACGATAGATACATCTTGTATCGGTCCTGCTGGATTCAGCGAGATCACCAAACAGGAGGCAAGGAGAACTCTGCCACTCCGCTCTAGGCGACAGACTCACATTTGCCGAGTCTTTGAAAGTTCCAAGATTCTTCGCCCGTGCATCTCGATAGATGAGCGTCGAGACATCAAACATCCCCATCCGCGCGACGGTCATACACCGCGCCTGATCATCCTGGTCCAGCAAGCGAAGGATTTGCTGCCGGACATACGGGTTTCCCCATAGCTTCGCGCCGGCTGAGCGGGGAGCGGGCGTAGCCGCTGAGCCGACCACAAGGGGTTGAACGGATGGAGGGGGTTCGTCGCGATGGCTGAAGAATGACATGACGACTGCTAGCTGCTCGGTCTATAGGCAACGCAAAGGCAAGAAGGGCGGAAAGGAGTGCCGAGGATCCAGTAGCGGCCGTCCGAAGCCAAGACGTCCGCAGTGGTCAGGTGGGTAACGTGTAACACGTCATCATGGATCGAAAGTATTAAATAGGGTCACACGATGCATTATTCAATTCCCCACTTCAAGCTGTCTAGCCACTACAACTAGATCGCCTTGTGCTTCTTGGGAGTAGCCACCGCCTCGGACGAACCGCCACCAGCGGAGTATCCAATCAGGAAGTGAGAGATAAGGCCGTACGACACGCTCCACCCCTCCGGGCTACCACCGCGGTGAGTCCGGCCGCCTTTGAACGGTGTGATCCCATCCCCCTTCCAGACCTTGGCGGAAAAGACCACGGCGACGTCGGGACCATTTTGAAGGAGCGCGCGGTTGGTGAGGAGGGGCGAACCGTTGAGACTAGTGAGGCCCGTGGCGTCGTAGACATTCGGGAAGGTCCTGATTCGTCAGCGGGGTGCTAGCGAGATGTAGTAATGGTGGAAGGACAAGATAGAAGAGGGATAGCGTATGATCGAGGGAGGAGGGTGTAGATCAAGGGGAGCACGGGTGTGGAAAGGGATGAGGGGAATATAGACTCACAAATTTTCCCCCGCCATCTTGGCCGCCTCGACATCCCCCTTAGGGACATCAGCCTTGAAGAATATATCACCATGGGTGCTCTTACTGACAGATCAGCGCATACGATAGAAGCACAGGAACAACTCACGGATGAATAGGCCGCTCTCCGTTGTCGATACCTTCGACACCGCCTTGGAGCGCCTCAAGACCCGGTGAGTGATCGGCGACGTTGACACCGGACCCAGTACCCGTAAGAGACCATGTGGCGTATTGCGAGGTTGGGCGGTGAACGAGGAACGACTGGAGGAGCTTGAGACTCAAGACAAATTGCTGATGATATTAGCTTGTGCCCCAGACCACACTATCACAGATCGATAAGACCTACAGCGGCCTCTCCATCCTCCATGACCATCCCGAAGCCGTACCCCGGCCCCTTACCCGCCTTCTCGAAGCTCAAGGACCGGGCACCCATGTTGGCTGGGTGGAGAGGACTGGCACGAACGGTTTGCATAAGACTGAGGGTCAGCATGTGTATAATGGACTACAAGTGAGTGGGAGTGGGACTTACTGGCTGATCTGGGCTACGTCGGTGGGGATGGGTATGCCTCCGACGGCGGGGCTGGCACCTTGACTGGCATGACCGAGGAACAACCCCGAGTTGTTGGTGGGGGAAGTGATGACTGCGGCGGTTTGGAGGGCGGGAGGGGTTGCAGTTGAGGCGTTCCCGGGGCCGGTAGCGTTGGCGGTGGACGAAGGAGCAGTAGCTGGACCAGCTGCGGCGGGAGGAGATGATGTGGGGGCATCAGCGGCGGGAGCGGCGGCGGCGACCTCGGAGGCGTTGATGTCGGCGTCGATGGCCGCATCAGTGGAGACGTCCTCGATGCCCTCGAAGGAGGTAGCGGAGAAGGCGAGCGACGGCGCGGGGACGCAGCGCGTTTCTGGGGGATGGATCTGGCGGTGGACTTGGACTTGGCCATTTTGAGCAAGGGGGTTGTGGATGTGGATGTGGATGTGGGAGGTGTGGTGGGTGTGGAGAGTGAGATGAGAGAGATGGGGGAAAGTTGAACGCTTCTTGCCCCACCTTATATCTTTTTCTCATGAGTCTTGGTATTCGAGGACATACCCTTGAAAAACTGACTCCCTGACGGATCTCGCTTACGGGACGAGTACTACGCTTGTAGCACAATCCCCGTCCACCCCAAAATGACCGATCCCCCTGACGATTGCTAAGACAGGTTGACCTTCTCATGCCCAATTCGGCAGATCAAACTGACGACCTCCACGTATGATGTCAATCTGACGGTAGGCGGGAATACTATGACATCTCGGGGAGAGCCTCTGTCGGTATGCCACTGTGCTATCAGCTTGCGCCTGTGCTCTCGACACGGACTGAGTCTGTCTCACTGCACAATTCCCCTCAGTCTGACTCGGACGCCGAGTCCTAGTCTGGACCCGAATCTGACTCTGACTCTGACTCCGACTCCGACTCTGACTCTGACTCTGAATCCGAAGAGGCAGAGGACGACGAAGCGTCCTCATCGGACGAGGATTCCTCATACACCGTATCACCTTCCGCTTCGATCTCCTCCGCGACCTCCACCGCGTTGATGAATTCCTCCATGTCCCAAGCCACGTCGCTAATCGCCCAAACGGCTTTTTCCGCCCTGCGTTTGGCCGCCTCCGCTTTGCAAGACAATTCGTGAGCAGCCCTCATCATCTCCTGCCTAGTTGACGCAGTGCGGCAGACGTCTTTGAAGTGTTGACATTTCTTTGGCAACGTCGAAGAGCCGGGAATCCAAGGTTGGTTCGTTGATGTTTGATATGTCCCTCCGGGCCGTCCCGATTTGCGCTTGCCAAGCCTCGGCTTTAGCCTCCCGACGACGCTTCGGCTGACCATCGCGGTCATAGATGAGCTCATTGACGTGACCCGGCTGGAAGACATCGAGGTCTCCGAAGTCGACCTTACCGAGGTGGAGACGTGAAGACCGAGATGCTCTGCAGGCCTGTAAGCAACGTCCACCTTAGCCAGCGATCGGACTCACGATTGTAGATAACGGACAAATTTATGCTGAGCCTTGCGGTCCCAATCAGACGAGCGATGCCTGGAGATGTGTATTGATGCCCCCGCTTGGCAGAACGATGACAAGTAACGCAATGTGTTGAATGGAGGGGAGCGGTGGCGGGCGGTATGGATGGTAAATTTCCGGAGAGGACCGTGGTTGATGAGGGTATTGGACGAGAGGAGGTTTCCGCAGACCTCTTCAACAGTCTCGCCGCCCTTGAGATAGACTGCGAGGTTGAGCAGGGAGGTGAGGGAAGACGAGATGACCGCCTTGATGAAGGGTAGATCGCCGAACGAAAGCCTGAAGTCCGCTTGCTGCCGTCTTGTAGAACGACCGGACACGATGGTCTGTACTGCGGCCGCCCCGGGGCCCGCAGCAGCAGCAAAGCTTTGCAGGTCCCAGACCGACCATGGTAGAAGAGCAGGAGCAATGATGTGCCCTATGCTGTCCTCGAGTCCAGCGTCGCGCTGACGCTGGATGATCAGAGCACAGTCCGCGAGACTGATCGGGAGATCAGCTGTGCTGACAGTGCGGTGCAGGTGACAGGGCAGATCGTTCCGCAGGGCTGCGAGCCATTCGTCGGCTTTCGCCGCGCCGGAGGAGGGAAAAGCAGGCTCAAGCTTGAGATTGACAAGCAGTCGCATGGTGTAGCCCGGGACGGGCGATTGCGGGCGTTGAAAAGAGGAGGAGGTGGGTGGCAGCTGAGATAGGGAGAAGGCGCGCGTGCGATGAAAGTCGATATGACCAAGGATCCCGGCCGCATCCGCCGGCTGGCAGTACACAACCGGGAGTCGGGCCCGAACGCTTGGTCGCCAAGATCGGTCCCGAAGCGGATAACGCGTAGCCGAGGGCAGTGTGTCCGTAGGTAGGGGACCAGAGCGCTGAAGACCTCCGGCCGCCAGACTTTTAGCCAGGCCTGGACATCGTGGCCCTTCAGCCGGCGAGTGAGGTCGAGCGCCGTCCAGATTCCAATTGGTAGGTCGAGTCTAGGGCGACAGTCAATAGCTGTGATGCTCGAAAGGTAGGCCTCCCGCCTGGTCTGAGGTAGGTCAGCTACAAATCGCAAAGGCTATCGGCGACCGTCCGCTTACATTGTCCCTTGTCCTCCACAAGCAATTGAACCCCTCATAACTGACGCTTGCGTATAGCACTCGAGCGACGTGTTCCACCACACCACGCTCCATCCTCATGACTTTGAACAACTCCGCGTCGTCCAGCAGTCGCAATATGCGATCTCTGATCTCCACCACCCCAAAAACGACTTGGCCCGCCGAGCGCGAGGGGGATGGCGGAGCCGCGGCCACCTCCAAAGTCTGCTCACTCACCGACGCGTCATCCGCGACGACGCGTCGCCTGCTGCTCCTTGTGATGGGCATAATGAGAGCCAGTGAGGGTGGGGAAGAGATAGAGGGGAAAGACAGCATCAAAAGCGGCCAAATCGCGTCGCACGAGCAAGCTGGGTCTACGGAGTTCGCGTTGAACTCCACGAGTGGCTCTCATCATGGCGCAGCAGTTTGCCAGCTGCAGTCTCTCGAGTTCCCAGCCAGTGCGCACGCAGAGGGTCATGCTGAGATGGGGTTGTTCGCGCGTAGTACACGATGAGCCCTTGGGAGGCAAACCCGCCCAGGCCGTAACCCCTACCAAAAGTGGGACACAGCCCGTATGCCGCCGCTCATCACCGATATCACCCTTTGAACCACGCTCCCATCTAATGTTGCATGCTTAGCAGATACCACTGTCACGCCTCTTATACAGATCCACCAAAAAAGGATTCGCCATACTAGTCCATGGATACCTCCTCTTCCGCCTCAGACTCGGCGTCCGCAGCCGACTCCCCCGATTCCGAGTCCTGCTCCGAGTGTGTAGATGATGATGACGCAGAGGCATGCGCAGCGCCGGTCGAGGTATCCGCGAGGGTTCCGAGTAGAAGGGGTTCATCCTGCGCATCCTCTGGCATTGCCGGTATGACCGAGTCCATAAAGTGTTGTATGTCCGCCCGAACCTGCTGGGCCAAGGAGGCTGCTTGAACCGCTTTGAACTCGGCATACGACGCGAATTCCCGGAGCTGCCGAGCTTCTCGATACAGGACGTTCCGCCCAGCCGGCAGGCGCGACGACTCTTGGAATGTCTTGCTCCCCTCGGTAAATTGGGTCAATCCTGCCAGAGCCTCGATGCTCGCCTGCTTGATCGCCGCGGCTTGCTCTGTCCACTTGTCCGCCTTGACTTCTCGTAGCCGATTTGGTCGGCCCTCTTGGTCATAGGTAAGATCGGGGAGGTTTGCTGGATCGAAGATATCTAGGCGGGCGAAGTTGACATTCCCGAGGTGCCGACGCCTATGCTCGTCCTGTCTGCAGCTGTCAGCGATGTGCTCTAAATGGACACAAGCTGCAAGACCCACAATTGGAGGTATGCCTGGTAGGCATACTGCGCCTCGCGGGACCAGGTGTCTGAGCCTAGACGGGATATGGTGACAGTTCCGTCCCGTCTGCAAAACGAAGAGAGGTAGCGTAAAGTATCGGAAAGCGGGGTAGGGAGTGGCATCGAGGTGATGGTGAGGTCGCTGAGCGAGCCGTGCGTGATGAGGGTGGTTGAAGATAAGAGGCCGCCGCAGACCGTTTCCGCGTTTTCGATGCCAATGAGATGGAACCGGAGGGTAGCCAGGCTGGGTAGAGACGTGGTGACCGTTGCCATGATTTGGGGTAGATCGTCAAATGATGAGCCAGCGGCTTCGCCGCCGAATACGTCCGTCTGGCCAAGAATGAGCGTCCGAAGAGTTCCCGGCGCGACCGCTGCAAAGCTTTGTAGGTCACGTACCGCCCAGGGACGGAGAGCTGGGGCGATCACGTGCCCCAGCTGGAATTCCAGGCGAGCGTCCTTTTGGCCCTGGGCAAGCCGAGTGAGATCGGCGAGACCGATGGGGAGGTCTGATGTATCCACGAGACGATAGAGGTGCTCCGCGAACTGTGGGTCCTCGCGCAAAGCCTTCAGCCATTGGTTGTACAACGGAACGTCTGGAGGTAGAGCAGGTGTGAGCCGGAGGTTGAAGTGGAGTGTGGTGGTGTAGCCTTCCGAGGGGGGCGGGGGTGCACTGATAGTAGCAGGAGGGCTGCGCGCCAAAGTGAAGGTGAGGGTCCGATAAATGTCGATATGGCCGTGAGTGTCGTCTGTGAAAAACACGGCAGATCCCGAGCCCGGTGTCGCAGCTAATCGCGGTTTCTGACAGCGCACCGTCCATGCCTCCCGGTCCACGTAGCCCCGGACGTGCTGGCCAAAGTAGATGACCCGGAGCCTTGGGCAGCTGCTCCGGAGATATGGCACGATCACCTTCATTGCGGATGGATGGTAGACCTTGAGCCAGTCTCGAAGGAGCTCCTTCTTATCCGGCCCGTCCGGAATGTGATGATGGCGATCGAGCGCTGGCCATAGCCGCTTGGGAGGTACCATATTGGAGCCGGCTTTGATTTCCAAGATGGATGACAGATATACGTTCCGCCTGTCCTGACAAGATATAAGCGAGAGGTTCAGTAAGGGGCTGGATACGACTCACCTTCGATGCTACCCTTCGGACAAGATCATACACCCTATAGCTGATCTTCTCGTACAGCACCCTCGAGGCGTGCTCCATAGCTTCCTTGCTTGCCCTCATAAAGCTGACCAGCTCCCGCTTCTCCAGCAGCCGCAAGATGCGGTCCGATATCTCCACCACCCCGTAGACGACGGCCGATGAGGTGAGTGATTTCGGGATCGCGTCTCCCTCGGTCGGTTCGCCCGCCAGCTCGGGGTCCGTTCGCTGCTTCTTTTCTTGTACCTCAGACATCTTGCGAGTCAGGATGATGAGCGGAAGAGTATACAGGCTGAAGGTAGAGGAGATAACAGGAGATAACAAGGCCTTCTATCTCTGAGTTGCCTGCCACCTGTGCACGGGCCGGGCCGGCCGGCGCGGAGCGGAGTACAGACAAACTCCGAAAGTGGCACTTTGTCGTTAGTTCTGGGTGGCAAATGGCGGATAGGTGGTGTGCTGACGATGCTATATTCACATGTAGGACCTCTAATACTACTGCTCCCGATACCCTACGCCTCCGCCATCGCCACCAACGAGTTAATGTATCGCTGCACCTCCCCCTCCTGCTTCTGCACCGCGTCCACCATCTCCTGCGCCTTGATCCTCGCCTCCTGTAACGTGTCCAGCAGAAGCAACGACATTTGCAGCATCTCTGGCTGCGACGCCGTGGGTGAGATGCCCTCCAGCTGAGATGCCGCCTCACCGATGTTGCCGATGCAGGGTACGACGTCGGTGAATGTACGATACTGAATGCTTTCCGCTGATTCCGCCCATTTCGCCGCTTTGCCTTGACCACGGCGGTAGGGGTAACCCCTGGCGTCGAAGGTGAGTTTGGATACCGATTGGGGGAATGTGACATCGAGGGAAGTGAATGAGACGGTAGATAAGTGGGTGCGCTGGTAGGGAGGTAGGCTAGATGGTCAGCGTTAGACCAAAGGGGTAAGGGCAGAAGCGCTGTTACTCACACCCGGAGATGTCGCATGTAATCGGTCTGCTGCTTCTCTCCCCATACACTTGGCTGCGTGTGTGAGATATTGATTGCCGCCCGCAGACGATATAGCACCGGAGCGAGACTGCGGATGGTATCGAAGAGTGGACCAGAATACGGCGCGCAGTAGATAGTAAGCCGCTTGATGCTGCCGCTCTCCGAGAGGATTTCTGGGTGCAGGGCCGTCCGAGCTACCGTCTCGGCGTGCTCAACCCCGGCGAGGGAGATGATCAGCTCGCTGAGGTTTGGCAGATGCTCCTTTACAATGACGATGAGCGTCTGCAGGTCGTCAAAGCCGAGTCCGTCTTTGTCGCCCCGATATTTGCTAGCGAACTTTGCGCAGACCAGGGAGGCGCCCGCCACGGTGGCGAATGACCGAAATTGTGGGATGGTGTACGAGTCAATGTACCGGGCGCTGATGGTCTGCAACCGATCGCTCCTGTGATACCCGATGGCGTCCTGGTGCCCGTAGAGAGATACCAGGTCGCCGAGGGTAACCTTGAGCTTCCCTAAACTCGCCCAATTGTGCAGATATCCTAGGGACGCATTGTCCCCGAGGTTCCGCACCCAGGCAAGAGCAGCGGGCGCTTTCGGGTCAAGATCACGCGGGATTATGAGGTCGAAGCGATGACGGAGGGAGTAGTTCTTGGGCGGACTGTGAGGGAATGTGATGGGTTCTAGGCGGTCGGGGAACGCGGTCAGGGTATGGGTGAGAGAGAAGTTGACGATGGTTTTGGTCTTGATATCACCGCTTCTGTGGCTGGCCCGGTCGAGAGATACGGTTACCGTATCATCACCACCCATTTGGCGACGGTCTCCGAAAACGATCCACCGAGCATTGGCGAAATGCTGTTGTACATGAGGAATCACCGTGTCGAGTTGGACGAGGTGGTCGGAGATAGGCTCTTTGTGATTGTCGACCCGAACGACCGAGACTGCGCTGTGGTACATCTTGTCTCGCTCCTGAATTATCAGGACCAGGCGTACTTCATCGACATCATCAAGCAGATGCGCTCACCTCGTTCTCACTCAGTACGCCTTCAAATTTGCTCACTTTGACCGAGTAGTAGATCACCCTCGCCACATCCCTCATGCACCCCTTCTCCGCCCGCATGAACCCTATGAGGTCGCCAGCGCCACAGAAGGAGAGGATCCGCCTCCTCAGCTCTCCTATTTGATATACATCTTGAGCTGCGCTTCGCTCTGAGCCGGGGAGGGGTGGGATTGGATCGTTGAAGGCAGCGAGAGCCCTTTCCGCCCGCTCGGCCGCCCGCTTGATGTTCCTGTGCACGTGTCCACGAGCCATGCCGATGAAGGAAGGAGCGATGATGTTGAGTATGTATACAGGCGGAGTGAGGAATGGCATCAGAGGTGTGGCAAGAAGGCCAACATCAGGAAAGAATAGAAAAGAGGGGGCTGGTCCCAGGCCAGCGGCGTTTCAGCTGAGCTTAAATGTTAAATGCCGTCAACCGCGAGGAATGTGTAGCTGGCACGTGAGATTCAGGTCAAGGCAGCTAATGAGGCACATCGTGGATGAGACCACTAGGATGTAGACCAAAGGCCAAGGGGAAGCACCATTCCCATCAGCTGAAACCAGCTCTGTATCTGGGTAGGGTCCATGTCTTCTCATACACGGGAACTTTAACGATGCCCGCGCCCGTCCTCTGACGGTTGAATAGGTCTCGCCTCATGCTCCTCGAGGCTACAATCGAGGTCAAGCGCATGATACGGAACATGATACGTATTCATCTAGTACACTTCACTACAAAGACTCCCCATCTACGCTCCGCCCCCCGCAACCAGCGAATCGATGAAACGCTGGACAGCCTTCTCCCTCCCCCGCAACGCACTCTCCACAGCCCGCGCCTGCTTCCGCGCATCCCTAAAACCCTCGAGCAGATTGAGAGACGTCTCAAGAATAGCTTCAGCGTCCACCGTCGGGGCCAGCCGCTTGAATGCCGCCGTTGAATAATAGACGCGCCGCACGGCCGGTCCGAGGTCAAATTGAACCTGCTGCTGGATCATGACCGCCCGATCAGCCCACTTGATGGCTTTAGAGTGTCCCCGACGAAGAGGTCGTCCGTCTATATCGAAGGCTAGTCCGGTCACCGAGCGAGGATTGACGATGTCGAGGTCGAGGAATGGGATAGTCGAAAGGTGCTTGCGTTGGTGAACAGGTGTTCTGAGCCTGATCAGCGCTACTTGTGTGTAAGAGTCAGGTCAGGGTAACTGACTTGCGGAGATTGTCCAAGCATGTACTCTGCGCCCGTGACCCCCACACCGTGATGTCTGAATGGGCAATATCGATGACGGTGTCCAGCTGGCGGAGAGCTGGAGCAAGACTGCGCAGAGTATCAAAGAGGGGTCCCGAGTATGGCGCGCAGAAAATGGTAAACCGCCCGATACTTCCGCTTTCCGATAGGATATCTGGATGTAGAGATTGGCGAGAAGCGGTCTCGGTGTGCTCGATGCCCGTAACGGATAGCTGAAGGGTGGTGAGGTTGGGAAGACTTTCGCGGACTAACGCGAGGAAGGGATGTAGATCGTCGATGCCGAGGCCAGCCTGTTCGCCGCGGTATCCTGCCGCCAGGGACAGGTAAGTCAAGGAGGCGCGCGCGACGGCGGCGGATGACTTGAACCGGGGCAACGTGAATTGGGTAGCGTGATTGGCGTGAATCGTAACGATGCGGTCGTTCCGACGGTACCCGAGCGCCGCTTGCTTATCGTACAAGCCAGCGAGATCTTCGATGCTGACCTCTAATTGACCCAGACTGGCCAAATGGTGGATGTTACCGAGGGACGCGTTGTCCCTCAGATTCTTCAGCCAAGCCAGCCCCGCTGCGCTTTTCGCCCCGACCGCTTCACCGATGACGAGGTCGAAGCGGTACCGAAGCGTCCAGCCAGGCGGCGCGGCGATGGGCCGGATGAATGCGGGGGGAAGTTCGGTGGATAAGGAGACGGTGTGGGTGAAAAGATAATCCGCGGTATGCGCAGCCGAGATGATCGCATGCGGCTCGAGGTGGACCACTAGGGAGTCTTGCCCTTGGGCCGTACGATGACAGCCGAAGATGACCCTGCGCGCGTTGCGGAAGCGGATACGCAGAGAGGGGATGAGAGTGTCGAGTTGACCGAGATACGACGCCAGGGTCTGGACCGGACGAAACACTGTGATTTCGGTGATACAGGCACGATACAGCTGGTCCCGCTCCTGGTCGTATCAGCTACGTTCCGGTACAGCACATCATATTCTTCACCGGATGCTATACGTACCGTGCTTTCACTTAGCGCCCCCTCGACTTTATCCCTCTCCATACTGTAATACATGACCCCCGCCACGTCCCCCATACATCCCTTTTCCGCCCGAATGAAGCTCGTCAAATGTTTCGCTTCGCAAAAGGATAGGATCCGCCTCCGCAGCTCGCCTATCTGATAGACATCCTGCGCCGCCGTCCGGGGGGTGCCGGGAAGGGGCGGAAGCGGGTTATAGAAGGCGGCCTCGCGTTTGGCGTCCCTCCGTTTGGCAGCGCGTTTAAGTGTTCGGCGGGCTTGCCCGGACATGTCGAAGAAAGCTGTTTATATGCTGCGCAGATAACGGCGGTGGGGTGAGAGGTTCTCGCTGAGGTTGGCTTTATATGGTATAGGAGGAAATGGGAAGAGAAGCGATCGCTACAAGATGGAAGATTGGTTGACTGCCGTAAAGTCGCGTCAACCGATGAGGAATGTGTAGCTGGCGTGGCGACTGGGCGGAAGCTGTAAAGGACAGAAGCGTGTGGCAGCCCATGTAACTGTGACTAAGGATTCCTCTGAGAGGGGAGACCCGCTGAAGCCCGCTCTGTGTCTGACCGCAGTCCGCAGTGTCCGGAACCCGAAGGCATGTGCAGAAGTTATGAGCTGTGCTACAGGCTGGCTCAGTCGACCGGGATCGGGCCGACGGGGACGCCTCTCTCTGAGTATACACAGACATAAGCATACTGTACAAACGAAGCCGCATATGTATCCGAAACATGTCGACCATTCCTTCCTACATCCCGGCCATCTCCAGCAGAGAATCCACAAAGTTCTTGACCTGCTGCTGCCGCGGCTGCAACGCCGCCAGTATCGCCTGCGCATGTCCCGTCGCCTCTCTGAAGGCATCGAGTAGCGCCAAGGAGTGCGCGAGCGTCTCGGATGCGTCCGCCGTTTCCGCGATGCCCTCGAATCTGAGTGCAGCGTCGTAGAGGTTGCCGACGGCGGGTACGAGGGAGGGGAGGACTTGCACATTGATGCGGTTGGTCCGATCAGCCCAGCGTACGGCTTTACCGTGTCCCCGGCGATAAGGTCGGCCGTCATCGCGAAAGTGAAGGGAGTGTACCGAGTGTGGTTGCATGACGTCGATATCGGGGAAGGAAATCGTCGCGAGGTGCCTGCGCTGATGCGGAGGCTGACTATGGGAGTATCAGCCACGGTACAGTCAGAGCAGGGCAGGGAGACACTCACGCTCGGATGAAGGCAAGGTAACTATTTTGCACCGGCTTTCCCCACAAGGACTGATCCGAGTGGGCGATATCGATCGTAGCCTCCAGCCCAAATAGCACTGAAGCGAGACTCCGAACGGTATCGAAGAGGTGACCGGAGTAGGGCGCGCAGTAGATGAACAGCCGCTTGATACTTCCGCCTTCCGAAAGGATATCTGGGTAGAGTATCTGACGAGACACAGCTTCGGCGCGCTCAATGCCGGCCAGAGAGAGATGGAGCTCGTCGAGATTGGGGAGGTGTTCGCGGATGATCGTGATGATGGGATGGAATGCGTCGATGCCGATGCCGCCCTTTTCGCCTTGGTACTGCTCAGCCAGCTTGAGGTAAGTCAAGGACCGGCCCGCCACGCTGGCGAACGAGCTGAATTGGGCGTTCGAGAAGGGCTTGATGCGGTCCGCATGAATGACTCGGATCCGGTCGTCCGAGCTGTATCCGAGCGCTGCTTGACTCTGGTACAGGCCAGTCAGGTCGTCGAGATCGACCTTGAGTTTGCCCAGACTGACCGAGCGATGAAGGTTTCCGAGGGACGCATTGTCCTTCAGATCCTTGAGCCAGATCTGGGCGTCCGGGATGTTCGCCTCGAGGTTAGTTGGGATGACGAGGTCGAAGCGAGACGTAAGGGACCAGCCCTGTGGAGCAGTGACAGGGCATGTGATTGTCGAGGGAAGGTCGGAGAAGGACTGGAGGGTGTGGGTGAAGCGATAGTCGGCGGTTTTCAGGATAGCGTCAGGCTCATCCGCCCCGAGATTGACCGAGAGAGACTCTTTGCCGTTATCCTCGCGGAGGCAGCCGAAGACCACCGAGCGCGCATTATGGAATAGGTTGCGCATTGGGGGAACCACGGTGTCGAGCCGAGTGAGGTGCGACGCCATCGACTGAGCCTGGTTAAAAGCAGTGATCTCTGTGACGGCGGCGCGGTAGATGCGATCTCGGGTCTGATGGCGTCAGCTATAGCCACGGCCACAAAGACCATATCAGTCTCTCAGGAACGGACTCACGCTATCCTCGCTCAAAGAATAATTCACCTTCCCCTCGTCCATGCTGCAGTAAAGCACCCTCGCCACATCCCTCATACAGCCCTTTTCCGCCCGGATAAAGCACGTAAGGGATTTGATGTCGACGAATGATAAGATCAATCTCCTGAGCATCCGTATCTGGTAAACATTCTGAGCTGCGGTCCGCTGTCCGCCGAGGAGGGGTGCGATTGGATCGGTGAAGGAACCGAGGGCGGATTCGGTGAGCTCGGCATCCTCCGCGGTCTTTTGGCGCTTGGCGTCTGAAGTATCCATATTGACGTGCTGAGGGTTTTTTTTGTTCGATGAGCGGTCGAGACGCTGTGATGTCAGAGGTCACTGGAGTAAAGTAGAAAAGCAAAGCAACGCGAGGGAAGGACGCAGTTGCGGTAGCTAGGTATCGGCTGATGGGGCTGCCGTAAAGTCGCGTCACCCGCTGAGGAATGAGTCGCAGGCTGCTCGCCACTGATACTGTAGCACTTGAGCAGTTGCTGACCGGCCGCTGCGAGCGCGGGTTGTCCTCGAGCAGACAAGCAGGGCGTCGGATAGCATACTTCAGGAATGCACCAATAGCCCATAATACAACACCAATTCTCACAAATGACTGTCCCACCCCCCTCAATCCCCTGACTGGGACGCAAGATCTCCCAAAATCTTCCCCACCGCCTCCACAGCAGCCACATGCACCCCCATCGCACTGTCCATAAACCCAAACCGCTCCCTTCCCAGATATACCATCCGCTGGAACTCCCTCGACAGCACCTCATCCAGCTTCTCCTCCTCCTTCCCCGGCGCCGGCTTGTGCGAGATAACGTGGTAGGTTGCGGTAGCCGTCGTGGACGGGCTGGTAGCGATGGTGAGGGTGAAGCTGAGGGTGGGGTAGACCGTAGCTGTTCCACCTGCTCCTTCTCCGGTGAGAATGAGTGGAATGCGATGAGGGAAGGTAGACGTATGTGCAGCGAGGGTGTTGTCCGAGATCCGGGTATTTGGGTCGGAGATGACTGGAGCGGGCACCGGAACGGTATTGATCGAGTGTGGAGTCGTTTCCGTAGTTGAGGCGACCGGATCATGGACCAAGAGCGTGACGTGCGCACCGCCAATAATCCTGCCCCAACTGTCCATCTCGTCCTTCTTCGCTGAGCCTACCCGCGTCATAGTCATTCGCCACTCGATAGCAGCGATCTCTGCAAACCCCACACAGAACTTCCAGATCTTTCCCAGCCGCTCCGACATCTTCATCCCTTCCGCCCTGAACGTCTTGACCTCGTAATTCTCCCCTTCGGCGTCAATAATGAACATGGCCACCAGCCCGGACTCCTGATCGTAGGTGTATGCCCCGTGTACGTACCGCCACCGGTTGAGGATATCGTATGAACGCAAAGGCCATTGCAGGGTGAGCTCCGGCTTGGGTGGCTGGTCCGGGGCGAGGGTAAAAGAGGGATATTGTAGGTATGTCGGGGAAGCGAGGCCAGCATGAGAGGCGGAGGGGAGCTGATGGAGAAGACGTGGAATACGATTGTAGACGTCGAAAGCCAAATCCGGCAGCTGGCGAGGTTGAATAGCCGAAGCGAGGACAGTGTGGATGATGACCGTCTGCGGCAGGGTTTGGCCAAGGACTTGCAGGACAAGTGGGGTCATGGCAGTCTCGTGGTCCAGTAGAAGGTAGATGACAACATTGGTGTCTGCATTGATGCCACGGGTGATCTCACCTGTAGTATCAGCTCAGATCTCCTATGGTAACACGGTCTCGACTTACGGATCTTGGCATCCAAAACTGACGCCTGGACCTGCAGGACTCCCCCTTCCCCTGCTTCTCCGCTGACGATGTGCTTCCCGAGCCGATGCTGCTCCCATACCGCGCTCATCCCCGCCATGAACCGCGCCGCAGCTCGCTCCAACCCCGTTCCGGATATGGTGATGACTATCGCTTCCACCTCCTTCTCGCCACCAACTGGCGACAGACCAAGCTGGCGCCAGTATTTGGTACCGGCTATCGACAGACGCATGACATTGCCGGCGAACCCAGCGTGGACATTGCAGGGCAGCAATATGGTGCTGGAGTTGGTGCTCAGCTGGCCGACCGAATCCGTCCCACCTTGCGAAGGAGTGATGATGTCCGATAACGATTGTGCAGCGCCAAGAAGGCCGGAGGCGGTGTCCGAGCGGGTAGTTCGCGTCCTTGCCCGGGCACGATAGTATCGATTGGCGATGATTTCCCGAGCGATCCGGTCCAGATCGACATCATCGCCCAGCGCCTTGGTCTTACCGGCAGGCGAAGTAGGCGGCGACGGCAACCTAGACAGACCAGGGATTAAGGCGCCCATCCCAGCCGCCCATTCCTCGTTCCATGGCCTGCTGACCGCCTCCCAGACTTTCGGATCAGCCGCCATCCAGAGCATCTCCGCTCCCAGGCATCTGAGTCCCTTCCACTCTACCACCACCTTCCCAGTCTCCCCATCCTCAGCTCTGCGTGCCAGTCCACCTCGTTCCGAGATCTCATCTTCCACCGTGCCGCTCTCAGACATCGGAGTCGGCGGCGCTCCGGAATCATCATACTCCTCCTCCGCTTCCGTCTGATCATCGTCGACGTGCCATGCCAGAGCGTAGTCGGTATCTCCCTTTTGCCGCTTGGCTTGCCGTAGCCGCTCGATCAGGTCGTCTCGGAGGTTATGCGCCTCGGGTGTCGGCGCGGGAGTGGGGAAGGTATAGATGGGATTGGGGAGGGTGGAGGGACGCGCGATGTCGAGAGGGGATACGATGGAGGGCACCAGATCATCGGGCGGGAAAGCGGGTCCAGGTAGTGGACGGAGGTTGTGCCCTGATGATGGCTCCGCTGAAGCAGCGGTCTTCTCCCCTTCCGGCTGGGGTGGACTCGGAGCTCCGGTGACCGCGCTTGATCTTCGAGGTGGCGCCTGCACGGGCGATCCCGGAGGTTTCGACAATGTAGAGGCAACAGCGTCGCCGCCGGCAGTGTCTACGCCAGCCAGATGGTCGCCATCGATTACCTCGCCCGCCTCGGTGGTCAACCCCTCACCGCTATCCCCAGCTGGAAGAATCGGAGGGGCAGCGGGAGCCTCTACGGTCTCGACCAGCTCCGGCACCTCCAGACTTTGGTCATCATTCACCTCCTCCCGATCCCCTTCCCCCTCGTCATCCTCATCCGCCGGGGAATCCAGGAACGCGAAATCATCATCCGTGATCATCGTCGCGTTCGCCTCATCCGCTCCAGCATACGCATCGTATCGCTGCGCATATCCTCCCCGAGGCTCTGGAATCGCCTCGGGCTTCGGCGACTCCATGTCAACATCTTTGTCCAGCTCCACCGCGGGCGCGCCCTCAGGGGAAGCCGACGCTCCGAAGAGGTCGTCAAAGTCGTCCGCTGTTCCCGCCAGCGGCTCATCTGACGGCCGTGATAAGAGATCAGGACGAAGCACAGGGGAGTTCGGCTTGGACGCAAAGAGATCATCATCTTCGTCCATCCCGATGTCACCCGCTTGTACGCCGACGCCCGGTGCCGCGATGTCTGGGTCGAAGGGGATCTTGGGTGTAGACTCCGAGCCAGACGGACCGGTCTGAGGGGTAGGAAGATCGGTATTGACCAATGCGACGGGCTCGTCCGAGTCGGGACTGGGCTCTTTTGGCGGAGAAGGCTCTTTGTACGCCGAGAGGAAGTCGAAAACGCCAGAAGCGATACCCATCAGGTCGCTTGCCTCGGGAAAGGCGGTGACAGCGGCGATTGGGCGTTTCCGGGGTCTGGAGGCAGATGACGCGCCGCTGCCAGAGGAACCGGGCGAGACGAGGGTGTTTGGCCAGACGACCAGAACGCCTTGATATGTCGAGGGTCTCGCTGCATCGATAGCTGTTGGAGATGCGGTCCCGTCCGCTGCGGGCTGGATAGTGGCACGCGTGGCACCGACCCAGTAGACTGCCCACTCCACCTTTGCCTCTCCGTTTCCATGACTCAGGATAGACTCGCCGCCTTGACGACTCTTCCATCTCGGTCCGAACGATTGGGTGAAAGAGCGCTCGAGATCCTCCAACTGGGCTGAGGACGGGTCAAAAGTGGCAACACGCAGAGCGCTCGTATATGAGGGATAGAGCGTGACGGATTGGGGTGGTGGGGACCGTATCCGGCGAGATGGACGGTATGTGAGGTCCAGCGACAGGAGGAGGTGTTGGGTTGCGAGTGGACGGAGATTAAGTCCTGGGGCTGAACTACTTCTGTTTCATCAGCCTCTGCACATGGTGTTGAGAACTTAAAGGACACTCACGGAGTTGCTGTATCTCTCCTGTCCCCCGCGCAGACCCTTTGGCCATTCCTCCAGGCGAGCTTCTCCAGTACCGCGCCTTCGAACAGCTTCCAAGCTCTGGCCAGCCGTCCAGGCTGCCAGGTCACCGCGCAGGCAGATGTAGGGTCCTCCTTGGCAGCCAGGCACGAGATGGTACGACCATGCGAGCTACACGACAGCAGATCCGAGATTTTGAAGGTATCTGTTCCACCTTGAACAGCTACAGGTATGTATCAGCGGAATGCTTGGTGCTCACCAGTCGGAGATAATGACTCACGGGTCAAGCCCTCGAGCGCCTCGTTGTGATACTGATCCGAAGCGGACCCGTTTGGCCCTCGTATCTCGAAGAGCCAAAGTTCTCGCTTCCCCGCCAGCGGTCCCTCTCCAGCGGTGACCACTGCACACGGGGAACGCAGGACTCCCATGACTCCCTTCCCAGCTTCATTTGCGCCTATACCGTTTACGGCTCTCCATGCCTTTTCGAGCGCATCATTCCCATCGTGTGCTGAAACTGCCTCGAACGCTGCGCGACGTATAGCATCCGCTGAGGATTCCGCGGGCGGGATGGGGAGGACGAAGGGCGAAGTGAACCGCCGTACCTTGACCGACGAAGGGGAGAAGGGGAGGTCGACAAGCCATTGTACAGGTTTGTCGCCAGTCCCGTAGTGTTCCATGTCGCTTGAGAGGGCCATAGTGGTGGCGTCGGCGCTTACATGCTACAAGGGTAGCCTCGATCAAGATAAGATAACTGGCTTGAGAGTTGAGACCGGTCAGATCTCAGATCCTCAGATGCCCAGTTGGACCAAAATCGCCCCCGGAACCGCGGCGAGGCGTTACGGCATCAGGCACCGCCCAAAATTGGACACAGCAGCGCTGCGAGAGGTAGAACTTGAATTGACCTTGTACATATGGTGCCCTGGCAGTGAGCCTACTGCCTGTCCATAGGCAGAGTGCAGTGTGAACTTGTGGACTCACAGAGCGCCTCGAGACGTCCGAAGTCCGAGCCAGTTTCCATGAGGAATGGCGCTTTGATATGTGATATCGGCCAAGCCGATGCTGGCCGATGGCGCGATTTGGCCTCCACAATGCGCAACCGCCCCTTCCTGACTTGCCTACCATACTGACACGCTCCATTCCAGCAAGGTCACGATGGACACTCACTATGGCAGGAACTACCAGACCTATCGTACGCATCGCGGTCATCGGCGCCGGCTCTGCTGGCTTGGCCCAAATCAAGCAGATTCTGGACGCCTTCAGTCGCCCCGGAGTAGAAGAGCAGCTTGAGCGAGTTGCTTTCGAGACACGAGACGATGTGGGAGGCCTATGGTGAGTATCAAATCAACCAAGCTGATCTCAGGAACTACGATGATGCTCCAAAGCCCTTTGCTAGCGTGATCATTGGTGATACACTCCACACCTATCCTCAGAAGGATGACGATCCGACGCCGCTGTACGAGGGGCTTGTAGCTACGCTGCCATAGGTGAGTGCTGCGCAAGAGAGAGCTGATCTAAGCAACTCATGGCATATCGCGATCACACCTTTCCAGACGGGACCAACCCCATCCCCACGTCGGCGCAGATCACCGACTATCTCCACACCTACGCTACTCGCTTTGGGCTCCGGCCATACATCCGCTTCCGCACTCGCGTCGAGCGGCTACGGCGAGGTTCGTCTCGGCGGTGGAGGACAGATTCCCGAGGTCCAGCTGGAGCTGTATCCGAGGAGTACGACTATGTGTCCATTAGCAACGGTCACTACTCGGACCCCTGGGTCCCCTCCATGTCCGGCATTTCGTGGTCCTCGGGCACAACGGCGAGGGGGCCTCCGCTGATTATAGCTCCTTCCCTGGCCGTCTGATCCACTCCCGCGAGTTTCGGCGCGCGAGCGATTTTGCCGGTCAAACGGTACTCGTAGTCGGGTCCTTTTCGTCCGGATCCGACATGTCCCGTCTTCTCGGCTCGCTAAACATCCGCGGTATCCCCACCAAGGTCTACCAGTCATCCACTGGTATTGGCAACTCTTCCACCGCAGACGATCCCAACGAGCCCTGGCGTCCTTATATCAACAAAGTCCCCCTTATCGATCGCTTCGAGGCGGACGGAGCCAAAGGCCGTATCCACTTCAAGTCCATCCCCTTCATCCACGAGCCTATCGACGACGTCGATGTGGTCATCTTTGCTACCGGCTACTACAATCCGCTTCCCTTCTGCAAGAAGGAGGATGAGCCCTGGCGGTCCACCCGCCTGCTGGAGGAGGAGATCACGATCAAGGATGGCGGGGATGAGAGGGACTTGGGCGGTATGAGAGGCTTGCATGTCGAAGGACTGGACGAGATGCTGCTGTTCCTGGCGGATGATAGGAGTCTGGCGTTTCCTGGTCTTCGTGAGTACGCCCTCCGACAACGCTTATAGTAGCCTATCAAATCGTTCCCTTCCCGTTCGCCGAAGTCCAGTCCCGCCTCGTTGCCCTCATCTGGGCCGGTCTCGTCGATATGCCTCCTGGCCACACCCCGCCCGTCAACGCCGCGAACCGCTTCGTATCTCTAGCCTCGGGCCAATCGGTCGATGCGGACGGACCGATTCGATATAGCGTCAAATCCCGCAAAGTGTTCATCTTTCCGAACCCCTATGAATGGGACTACACGGAGGACATCTTTGCTCTGCTAAGGGAGGTGGATAAAGGTGAAGAGGTACCGCAATACTAGAGAGAGGTGGAGCCGTGGCGCAAGGAACTGAGGGCGGATGTAGGTATGCGCAAGCGGCCTTGGGTTATTAGATGAGCGATGTATCAATAGTCAAGCCTGACGATCCCGTCACGACGTCTCATCTGCAGCTGCCTGTCTGAAGAGGTTGTCCAATCCAGGCTGGGGTGCAAGACAGCGTGTGCCGGAAACGGTGCATCTTCTATACGTAGTACTCTACTTTGTGACCCATGATGTCCTCCACCACCTTGCCGTTCTTCTGCTTCGCGTTTGATCGTCTACAGTCAGTGCTGCGCGGTCAAGGGACTTACAAAGCTCGTTCCCGGTCCGCTTGATGCGCTCGCGGAGCCACTCATCCTGCGTCGGAGCTTGACCCCCGGCATCGATGCGGTCTTGGAAAGCGTTCTTGCCGAGCTTCGCGACAAGGGGTGAGTCCCAGATAGGGTTGAGAGGGAGGTCTCGGTGCACACGGGCAAAGTACATGAGGATGTACCGGATGATGTCGGCTTGGTCATTCGGCGGGCGCATGACGCGGTGTCGAGTGGCTTTGAAGAGACCGCAGGTAAGGAACTGGAGTGCATCGGCGGTGTTGACCACGACTAGAATCAGCACCGGCCGACCATAGGACTCACCTGCACCTTGAACATGCTTGACCCAGCGCCACTCGTCGTCGTTGGTCAAAATCTGCAGGGCCGTGATGGGCTGCGAATAAAGCAGGGAGATGCTGTTGTCTATCATTAGCCTAGCCTGATGCGCACCTACAGTCTGTATGTCCCTTGCTCCAGATCCCCTCAGTAGCCGCCTCATCCTCCTTCGTACGGGGGAAGTACCCCATAAACCGCTGACACGCCGCGCCGAGAGCTCCAGTCTGATCATGGAGGCCCCAGAGCAGGTAGCTCGAGCGCGAGGGAGATGAGCTTGAGGATGCGGTAGACGACATGATAGTAGGTGTGCTCGGCAAAGGCTCGGATCTCGGGGAGGTAAGGGAGGAGTTGAGGAGGATGTTGTCCCTCGGGCGACTCGAAAGAGGATGATTCCAGGTTGTAGTGCTATGATCAGCTCTATCAATAAGAGACACTCACCTCGAGATTGTCCGGTACGCCGCCCTCCTTCTTGCAGATTCCTCGCAGCTTGTACCCCTTGTACGACCCATCTTCCAGCTTGGCGGCGAACGGGGCCTTGTCACCGCTAGGAATGCCCGAAATGGCATATTGGGCGATAGCGAGATTGCGCCGAAGGGTCTCGTCCGTGACGCCGGTACCAGTGACAAAGAGGAAGCCGTCAACTGTGAGGGCCTTCTTGGCGCTGGCGACGAGCTGGGCTCGAACCGCGGGATCCTGGCGGTCGAGCAGGCGGAGGTCGATGGATTCCAGGTCAGCCCACGGGACTGCCTATCAGCTTATCAAAGACTGAAACTCACGATTCTCGGCAGTCACGGGAGGCTCTACCCATGGCGCCAGCTTGGCTGGTACGCGGTGGTCAGTCTCTGTGAGTGCGATGGGGCTCATGATGTAGATGTTGGTGACTGGGCTGTGACCGGTCGCATCTCGACCTCCAGCTTCCTATATGGTGCGGAACTCCGCGGGTAGCGGACTAGCGGTTGCGCGTGATCTCATGTGACTATGGCGTTCTTCCGGCTCTTTGCCCGCTGGGCGGCTGCGAGGGGCCGATGAGAGTCCGCCAAATCACATTTCAGCGTTAGAGTATGGAAGGTATGCATATGGCGACAGTATGGCGTTTCAGCACGCTTTTGTCCGAAACACGCTAGTGGAGCTTCGGGCGGCACTGAAGCGAATCGGCGATGGTGTTTCGGGTTTCGGCTGTCGTCATTGCTATCAGGAGTGGCGCCATCTGAGGTATGGCGAATCCGGCTCGGATAGCTGGGCGAGCTGCATACAGCAGAGTATATAGCAGGTAACACATGCATCACGTTTAAGCTCACTACCACCGTGGACCCCTGACGATGTCTGTATCGAAGCCATGGTACTACTACCTCTGGGACTCCTTCGGGAAGCCCAAAGAAGGTGAGCCCAGCAATGGGCGGCGCTGACAGCAGAACGACGGCTGCTCCGCAAGCTGGACGCCTCTTTACTGATCTTCTCGGTGGTAGGTCTGATCATGCGCTACGTGGATCAGACGAATCTCGCGACTGCCTTCGTATCCGGCATGAAGTGGGTCAAGTTCCGCCCACGTTCCACCACAGGATGAGCTGATCTATAGGGAGGATTTGCAGATGTATGGGCTGGAATATAATTACTGTGTCACGGCTTGGTCTGTGTGAGTGCGATGCTGTATTCTGCTGATCGACAGAGGCTATGTCATTGGGCAGATACCCGGCAACGTCCTTCTCAACCGCTTCTCACCACACTAGTATGTCGCACTCTGACCGAGCTGACGCCTGTATCGTCTTTATACTCGAGTTTGGCTGGTCGATCATGACCCTCTGCACAACTTGGGTCAAGGACTACAAGCAACTGGTAAGTCGCTCTAGTACCTTAGCTGATGAGGCCGGTCTTCATCCGCTTCATGGTCGGGCTCTTTGAGTCTGCCTACTACCCCGGCCTTCTCTTCCTCATCGGGTCATGGTACACGAAGGACGAGCTCGGCAAACGCTCCAACATCTTCCAAGCTGCTACAGCTGGTGGAACTCTGCTTTCCGGCGTCCTTCAAGCGGGCGTCCATACCACCCTCAATGGCAAGCAGGGGATGCCGGTGAGCACCTGCCCAGGCCCAGGCGCTGACGTCAGGGTTGGCGCTGGATCTTCATCATCGACGCGGTCATCAGTATTCCGGTAGCCGTTGGCGCGTTCTTCTTCATTCCCGTTCTCCCCTGGTCCATCAAGCCGAACTGGATCTTCCATCAGTGCGATATCGACCTCGCTCGTAGACGCGTATCCAGCCTCGGACGCGTGGGACCCGCCAAGAACGGACTCGGTAAGAAGGCTCTCTGGAATGTCATCTCAACGTGGCACATCTGGATCTTCACCGCCACGTATTGCCTATACATCTTCTCGCAAAGTGAGTGCGACCGTGATGGAGCTGATACAGACCCGCAACAATCCATGTCGTTCTGGCTCAAGTACTCGACCGATCCGGTCTACTCCATCGAGCAGATCAACTAGTCAGTATCCGGTCAGCAGAGGAAGAGAGGCTATCAGCTGATCAGCAGCTACCCAAGTGGCATCTGGTTAACCCAGATAGTCTCGGCGCTGGCATTTGCCTGGATCAGCGACCATCTCCTCCAAGGGCGGCGCTGGCCGCCACTCGTCTTTGTGGCGCTTTGGCATGCACTCGACTGTGCCTTGCTTGCCGGCCTGCCAGTCTATGCGGACAACCGAGCAACGCGATGGGTGAGTCGTATGTATGGTCAAGCTGATGTCGGGTCTTGTACTACATGTCCGGCGTTGTCAACTGCACCCCTGGCTTGCTCTATGCTTGTGAGTAATGGTCGTAGCCGAGGCTGAACTCAGGCCCCGGGGTGCACTGAGATCATCGGTGGCTCGTCCGAGAAGAGGGGTATCGTCATGGCCACTTTCAACTCCATAGCATGTGAGTGTTATCAGTGACTGTACAGGTCAAGCTGACCTTCAGTCTCCTTTAACGCTTGGCTGCCTTGTAAGTCCCACATTGGTCCTTGTTGACGTACAGTGCTACTCTTCAAGCAGACCGACCAGCCTGCCGTCCGCTCTGGCAACATCGCCGCCTCCGTGGCCAGCTCGGTCCAGGCCGGCTTCATCATCCTCATCCTCTACCTGTCGACGCGAGACGGAAGTGTCTTGCCCTCAGCGCAGGAGCTCGAGGAAGATCAGTCGGCTGTGCCCTCTTTGACCGGTGAGGAGAAGACCGAAGGAGGCGGACCACCATCGCGGGGAGAGTGGGATGGAAAGGGCAAAGTTTGATCTAACTCAGTATGATTAGACTCAAGATTAGACTGCCGGGATCAAGCAGGTACATGCTGTGGATGACGGATCGAGGGGTGAATCCTACAAATCAGCGAAGTCCATCGAGATAGTACGACGCCAGATGCAGTTCGGCTACGTACTGTACATCAGTGAGCGCTTCAGAGCAGCGAGACGAGTCTATCGATCGCATCGTATGTGAGTGGACGCTTGCCCCACTTGTGAGTGACCATGCCATGGTCCATGCCGAGCCTTCATTCGCCTCGAGTCGGCACCACCAGAGTGTACTCACCTAGGCCACATTGTTTCCGGGGATGATCAGGCTGCTGGGTATATACATATAGCATCTATGTCAGTGTATTGTACGAAGTATAACAGAGCCGAGACTTTGGCTCAATTGAGCGGCCAAGCCAAATCCGTGCAAAGGTCTCAGGCTGAAAAAGGTCAGATCCATGTCAACCTCCTCATACATCTTGACGTTGCCTCCCATCTCCATCAATCTTCGTCCTCCCCTCCAGGCACTATGCCCCCTCGTACGCCCGATAAATACCGTGCCAGACTGCTAGCAGCGAGACAGCAGCACTCACCAGCCAGCCGGGGAGGAGGTCTGGAAGGAATACCCGGAATTGCGCCAACTCATCCTCGGCTTCGTACCGCTTCGGAGGCTGCCTAGATTCATGCTACTGGGAAAGGAGTATATGGCGGACGTAGCGGCGGTGATGTATCATACCGTGGGATGGAAGCAGGTCCGGAACAACATGACTGTCGCGACGGTATGTCTATCTCGTTTTGACAAGTGATGTAGGGCCTGGAGTACCGTCAGACTAGCACGGACAACAGCTGATCAGCAGGCTCGCCAACGTTTATACTGCGCCGCCGTTCACACTATCGACGCCCGGAAGCTGGAGCCTACCCCTGCCATGCTGCGTGACCTCGGCCTGAACAAAAACATCCCACGAGACCGGATGTGCATCCGGCGGATTTAACGCTACTACGATGCAGACCTACACGACCTCATCGTAACGCAGCTTCGGCGGAAGTTTACGCGGCTTCGCTGCACCCTATTCGGTACCACGCATCATACGTTCGGAGGGGACGAGTGGACCGTCCACTTTGATGAACCTGCCGATGGGGACCAAGGAGATGAGGGCGTATTTACCGTCTACCATACGCTCGCTTACAACGTCTCGGCGCCCCCTCCATCAGCGGTCCACCTCCATCGCGCACCTCCTCCAGATCTTATCGAAACGGCGCTCTTTGATCTAAACCTCGCCGCAGGGCCCGGACGACGCAGGCTCCCAGGACGACGCAGGGCAGTGGCTGCATGCCCTACGCGGTCCTCGCTTCGCTGGTCTCTGTGCGGGGATTGATCTCGCCAATCTACCAGTATCTCTCAAGGACCTCGTCAAACTATATCAAAATCAAACGGCGGCGGGATTGGACGGGCGATTGTCTCAAATCGTCGCGAAATCGCTCATCGGCTTCACCGTCCCCCTCTTTCGGTCATTCGCGGCGGAGGCGGGCTCGGCGCTGACCTGCCTGAGACTGTCGTCTGAGCGGACCGGCGCTGCGTCCGGAGTTGCCTTCCAGGATTTGCCGCAATTCGTGGGCATCGTCCGCGAACACCTACCTTCGCTCGTCCAACTCTCCTTCCACCTCCAGATCCAGGAGGAGGAGGAGGCAAATTGCGTCCTCCCATACGACACCCTTCGGTCCGGCGGAAAGGTCAGAATACTACGCATCACCACGGACAATTACAAGGGGTCCATGTTCAATCTGCTCCGACTTCTGGTCCCTATGTGCACCGAAAATCTGTCGAGATTCGCGGTGGATGTCCAGACTGAGTATGACAACCGGGACTGGCGCTCATACCAACAGTCAGAGTACATCAAAGAGCTACGACGGTGAGTCTGAGATCCTAGTCGTCGCGCATGATATTTCGGCAAAGACAAGGCTGATGGCGTAGCCAGCCCGCGATCCGGCGAACCCACTTGGCGACAATCGACTGGGCTACTCTCGGTGTCACAAAGCCTTTGGAAGTCGCGCATATTGAATACTCTGCGGATGGACGTCCTCAACATCTTCAGGAAGGCGCGGCAGTGTTGCGGTTCAGCGCGGCCAATGATCTACGGGACAAGCTCGCGAGGGACATCGTCCCTGGGTTACGGCGGGCTGCGATGCGCCAGACCGAGACGGCCCAGGCATTTCGAACTGCCGCATCCAGCGCAGTCGAGCCAATCGGGACCGTCAAAGAGCTGGAAAAACTGGTGGTATCCATCAAGGATTTCCAGAACGTGGTGGGACAGGCCCGCGAGAGGTTCGAGACGATCGACCGCGTGAGGACGGCGTTGAGGCGGGATAGGTGGAAGTTGGAGTACGAATTGGGTAGGGGAATGACGGAGGAGGAGTAGAGACGGTTGCAGGACGGGACAGGTTGCGTCCACTGAGCCTGGGAGGGTGGGACCGGTGGATCAGGGCGAGAATTCGAGGTGGAACTGGTATGGGGAATCAACTGCAGGTGGAGCCTGGGATCTGCGTTCAAGGACGGATTGGAATTTGCATAGCCCCTATCCTATACTATCTTTGTCATCATGGATGTGAACAGCGTGATCCCTCCCAGGCCCAGGAGGTTTGGTGACCTGTTGCGGAGAAACATTATTCCGATACCTGAGTCAGACTGAACTGAAAGCCTGAAAGAGAACACCTTCGTCTTTAACCTCTATCCACCATCTACCCTCTACCAGGCTCTCGCTCTACGCTGTGCACCTCATCCCACGCTCAGATGCCCCCTCGTCGCACTGGGCGTCGCTCGCGCGTCGATGCCGCCGAGCCCGCTGAGCCCCGCTCGGCAGCCCGCGAGTTCTATCTCGTGCCCGAATTAAGGGAGAGACTGTTGGCCAACCTGGACCAGGACTCCCTGGCGCAGTTTATGAGAGTGGAGAAGAAGTGTAGCTTTGATGTGGCGAAGGAGCTGTATAGGGAGATCTCTTATGATCACGCGAGGCGGATGAGCTCTGCAACAATGAGTCTCCCGCAAATATTCGGATGTCAAATTACACCACCTAAATTCTACTCTGAGGCTGATGCTGCAGGCCAGACAACGCGTCTCGTGCGCTGCTGTACAAGCCATCGATGCTACCGGCATGAATCTCGTCCAGAGCTTTCAGCGGCAGCTCGGTCTCGAGGAGCTCTTCGCTGGCGAAGGCAAGAAGGATCGCCTGGAAGAGTATTTGGGTCGCTACAACCCAGAGCTCACGCGGCTGGTGATCCCTCCTCTGCGGAAGAAGTTCCCCAATCTCCAGGGCGTACACTTCGGGACGTACTACACGCAACTCGGCGCCCCAGTCTGGCGGATCAACTTCAATCGGCCGGTCCCCTCGGCGAATCCTCCACCTCGAGGCGTCCCGACAACGTACAAGGACGGTCTCGATCTCGGCGGCAATCTCTTCATCGTCCACTGCTACATCCCCAAACTCTCCGACTTCCCCTATTCCGTCGGAGCAGAGCCGCTGGAGGCGCCCTGGCGGCACTTTGGCGGGGACCTTTTCTTTGATGTCCAGTTCCAGTCGGCGGATCCGGAACTCGGACCGGGGACAGTACGCGGGCTGGCTCGGCTATCTACGGACGGATCCCAGGTACGGTCAGCTCTACGAAGCTATCGATTTAGCAGAGCTGCCGGTCCTGATGGAGGATCTGACGCGCCTATACCAAAGGCAGATCGACTACGGCTCGCCGTATCGGCTCAAATCCATCCAAGCTATGTTCTGCTCGCCATGTCGTCTGGAGGACTTTCAGCTCTTTGCGCACGTTGCGTCACACTCCCTGGTCCAGCTTCAATTGGCTGGCGGGTTCCGTGACGACGTGCTCCTCTCCTTCAAGGACTTGCCGGTCATGATCGAGACGATCACAACGCTTCCTCCTCAGCTGGAGCAGCTCTGGATCGCCCTCAAAGGTATCGACACGGCCGAGGAGGACTGCAAAGGCCTACTGAACGCCCAGACGCTTCGGGACGGCGGAACGCTCAAAATCCTCTACATCTTCACCGATACCATACCCGGTCCGCTCTGGAACCTCATTCGGGCCGTCTCGCCCATGTGTGCAGCGAACGCCCAGGTGGATATCTCGGATCGTTACGGGATTCGCGCGGATCAGCAGAATAAGGATGCATGGAGCGAGGAAACGCAGTCGGCGTACCTCCAATGTCTCAGAAGGTGGGTCTCGCATCCTCTCTCAATTTCACACCGCGCTTCGGCTGACATGGCAGTCAACCTGAGCACGCCCGAGCTCATCTTGCCACGGCGGACTTCCCAAGCCTGGGCTTCGACACGCCTGACAAGCTTCCGGGGCTGCAAGTTGGCGCGGACGGAAAACCCCTATCGCGTTTCTTCAGTAAGGCGGAGGATTGGCTGGATAAGTCCGAAAAGAGGGCGGAACTTCTGAACGGGACGATCCTCCCCAATATTGACCTGGGGATGCGCCAGTATGCTGAGGCATGCGAGGCGTTCGCTCGGACAGCGGTTACGGATACCCCGGCGGAGAGGCTGGCGCAAATGAAGATCATGCTGGCGACGTTGGATCAGGTGGAGACCGCGGAAAGGCAGCTGTTCAGTATTTCGGAGGAGCAGGACACCACGGAGGCGCAGGTAAAGCAGTATATCAGGGAGCTGAAGGGAGAGCCAGAGCCGTCGACCTCGCGTCGATGGGGAAGCTAGCGTGTTTCTGATTCCATACCCGTAGGAGAGGGTATCTGTATTTTCTGCTGTCGGAACTAAGCATGGTCGTCTCGGTTAGGTACAGTGCTGGGGTCTGCTCGGATTGCGAAGGATCGAGCGTCACCTGGCATTGGCTGGCTCCGCGATTATCGACCTACACATCCGCCGCTCGTACAAGCCCCATCTCATGCCCTTGCCCCGTAGTCCTGCCTGTACTTCTCCATCCTTCCCAGCTCCTCATCCATGCCCTTGACCCGCATATACGCCATGATATCCTCCATCCTCAACATGGCCTCCACCGGCACGCCAAACTCCTCCTCCACCTCCATGACTGTCGACCGCTCTCCCACTTGGCCCCTCTCCTGCCTATCCACAAGCTGAGCAATTCCGACGAGCTCGGCGCCTGGGTTGGCGCGGATAATGGCGATAGCCTCCCGGATGGCTTTACCGGACGTGAGGACGTCATCAATGATGACGATTCGGCCTTTCAGGGGTGCGCCGACCATCGATCCACCTTCTCCGTGCTATCCATCAGCTCCACTCCGCACTTCTTCTCAGAGTCAAACTCACATCCTTGGCTTCTTTCCGGTTATACGCGTAGCTCACATCCCGCCCGCTATCCCTATACAGACTGACCGCAGTAATAGCAGCGAGCGAGATGCCCTTGTACGCCGGCCCAAAGAGGACGTCAAACTCTGGTATTCTGCCGCCGGTGAGGATGGCCGAGAATGCCGAGGCGGTCGTGGAGAGGAGGGAGGAGGTGTAGAGGAGACCGGCGTTGAAAAAGTAAGGGGATTGACGGCCGGATTTGAGCTTGAAATCGCCAAAGAGGAGGACGCCGTGCGTGATTGCGGCTTCGATGAAGGCTTGCTTGGTAGGGTCGAGAGAGGCGCTCATGGTGCTGGCTTGGTCGTGGTGATGCTGATGAGGAGAAGGTGAGAGGCAGCTTTTCCAACTTTTTTTCAGCTGCAGATCAGGCAACGGACGCGACGTCCGTGCGTACGTTTCAGATGACGTCGACGCTTGTGGAGGCGACAAAGGAGAGGTGGGACGCGACGAGCTATGCTGGTGAGGACAAAGAGAGGTGCGGTGCGATGCTGGGCTCATGCAGGATAACATAGGATAAAGAGCCTCAAGAAAGCCCAGGTGCGAGCCCCACGAATCTCAGAAATGGTCCAAACCATAGACGTCTACCTGGACTCTGGGCTCATCCCGTCCCTGTCTGGCGGGTCCGCCGGCGGGGTCGACCACCACGCGCTCATGGGTCGGCCGATCCTACCTAGAGCCACGCCTATGGTGAATATAGCGGCGAAGAAGAAGGGCACGAAGCCGCTGGCGATCCCGCCAGGCCGATCGGATAGTAGCGCCAAGGCCAGGGGAGGACCGGTGGGAAGAAGCATGGAGATGAGCGATGAGGAGATCACGCCGAGGGCGAAGAGGCCCAGCGAGGGCAGAGGTGAAGATATGGATAAGGGTGGGGGACTTAAGGGATTGATGCGTATACGGCCGCCGGTACATCGCCGCACGTCGAGTCTGGACGGACGGACCGGCGCGCCCACCGTTGGCGATATAGTCGGTCAAAAGCTGGGCGGGAGCAAGCTCCACCGAGAGGCGTCGACAAAGCAGCCTTCCCAACCTCGATTACTTGGCATCTTCCCTTCTGCTACATCAGCTCCTCAACCCGGTCAGATCCTCTCCCTCCCTCAAACCCCCAAATACACGCAGAAAAGCTCGCCACCGATTCGGAGCTCGCATCACCTCTCGCCACCACCTCAGACGGCCCGACATGCCCGCTCCAGCTCATGGGCTGCCCCTCCTACGGCCCGGAACAGCTGTATACCGCTATTCCCCTCTTCCCCATCCCCCCCCTCCCGCCGGACGCAGGACCCCATCGAACTACTCACCAAGCTACACCACCTCGTCCCTCCCTCACGACTCGACCCGCTCGCCCCTCCACCCTCTTCGTCTACTCTGCACCCTCCGACCCTCCTCGCTGGCCTAGCCTTCATCCTCGAAGCACTCGTAAGCGAGCGCCAGATCCTCTCTTCCTCGTCGACTTCGCACCCCGCCTCTCCACTTCCCCTCCTTCGGAATAGGACCGCTATCCAGTCCAAGTCGAGGGATCTAGACTGGGCCGCTACGCACGCGTACCTCCTCTCGTTCGGCCGGGTCCTGGAGGGCTTGATGGGTATGATTATGGCGACGGAGGTGTGCGAGGCGACGCTGGGGCTGGTAGAGATGATCAAGACTCATGTCGACAAGATGCGTAAAGTGTTCGGCGAGGTGGCGGGGATGTATATGGAGGGGTACAGCTTCGTCAGTGGATGGTGGGATGAAGCAGGGATGAGAGGGAGTGCGAAGGAAGTGGGAAGGTGGGGCGAGCTGGTAGGGGTAGCGTCGAAGCCGTGATGCTTTGCCCTTGTGATCTGTATCAATAGTTAATAATCAGCACGGGCATACCTGATATACCTTTGCGTGTCCCGGTCGAGATCGTCACGCATCATGCATGTCCACCCATCATCCGGCCCCAGTTGGCCAGCTCCGTAGATAGCAGATTCGCCCCTTCGCCCTTGAACCAAGCGACAATTTCATGCGGCGTAAGCGTACACCGTACCTTCGCGAACTGCGCGCTAAGCGACGAGTGGCCAGTCGGTACAAGCAGACCCAGATGTAAAAGATCATCGAACGCCTACGGTGTCAGCTTCTGCTCCATGCGGCTCTATGCCCCAGGCTTCAGCGGTCAGCAGCTCACCACTCTCAACACCCCAATAGGCCACCGGACCTTCCCACTACCCACCAGCCTCGTCCTCGCAAACCTCAGATACTCCTCCTCGACCTGCGCAAAGTTGAACTCTTCCCTGCCCGCATAGGCGAGATGCTTCGAAATGACCAGTATGGCCTGTTCGGGCTGCGCAAGCCCTTTGAGCTTGGTATGCGCCAGACCCCAGCCGGCGAGCTCGATCTGGGAGAGGACGGAGGCGGTGAGTGTGCGGACGCCGATGGTATTGAGGGAGGCTGCGTATTGGACGAGTGGGATGATCTGTGGGTCAACTTGGCGCACGCGAGAGCTCCGTCCGCGAGCAAATGTCAGCTTACGAATGGCCGATACAGATTCCGAACGTCTGTCGTCAGCCCCGTCAAGCGGTCAAGGTATCGCGCCATGTCTTCGTCGTCGAGCATGATCTGCAAGTATTAGCAACAAATCGCATTGCTCTCCACGAAGCAGACACAGGCATCCTAGCTCACGTCGACTAGATCCCTCCAATCCCTAAACCAGCGCTCCTCTTCCGTTTCTACCGGCTTGACCCGCCCATTCTTCTTGGCTGGAGTAGAAGCTTGGGGTGGCACGATACTAGGGCACAGGGTGGACTTGAGGAGGACCTTCCAGCCTGGTCCGCCTGGAGCGAGCGGCGAGTTGACGCGCCAGACTCGATGGGAAAAGCGGGATTTGACGCGTTTTTCGAGAAGAAGCAGGGTGTCCTGGCGTCATAAGCTGCAGGTCCTAATTTGCACAGAGAGATGTGTGCCGGACAACTTACTATCCGGGAGGTGAGACCTATGACGGCCACTCCTCGGCCGGTAGACTCGACTGGGCCCGTCTTTACGCTTTGCACGACGTCGACTACACATATCAGCTTTGATGACCTCTCAGCAGAAGATGCAGCCTTAATGAGCTCACGTAGGCAGTACAGTAGAGCCTGACGAGCATGCTCAGTGAAAAGATCAAACTCCTCCATCACGATGATAATCGCTCGGGGTGAAGGCACAGTAAGCAGTGCGAGCAGATGCGACGGCAGAGTGGTAGGCGCGTACTGTGGGTCAGCTCCTGCGCAGCCAGAATGAGAGCGTATGAGCTCACTTCCTGATCCTCTCCTTCTGCTTCTTCCTCCTCCACCTCATCCCCGCCCGCCTTCTCGCCCTCGGCCTCAGCGATCTGTTTCCCCATCTCCCGGATCGCGAGCCGGTCGTTCGTCTGCGCATGCCCCGAGAGGCGGACAATGATAGGTGCCGAGGTAGAAGTCGAGGGAAGAAGCTGAAGAGCACGCACCATTGTCTACCGCATCAGCGTGGTTACTCCTCAAGTCACGGAGAACGCTTTAGCGCACCCTGGTCTTCCCAGTCCCTCTCGGCCCAACGAGCATCGCAGAATTTCCCTCTCCGCGCTCTACTGTTCCCTTGAGGAGATTCGCCAGCCCTTGCAGCGCCTCGTTTGTATCTTCGTCAGCGAACGGAGGTGGATCTCGGGCGATGCCGTTCCCCGTGAGAGTCGAGAGGATACGGAGGATATGTTGCCGAGCAGCGGGGAGGAGTGGTTTGAGCGCTCCCGGGTCCGGTGGAGCTGGTGTATCGGGCGTAGCGTGTGCCACGCGACCGGAAGGGCTGTCGACTGCTGGAGCAGAAATATCGACATCCATGTCGATGTCGGGCCGTTCCTCCTGTCGTTCCATGCCGAGCATGTCATCGTCCTCCCCCTCTCCATTCCCAGCACCATAGGCATCCGCCTCGGCCCCGGCCCCATCCCGTTCCCCTTCCTCCGTATCCACCTCCATCTCTCTCCGCCTAACGATCTTCCCGCTTCTAGTCAACTTCGGCGCGTCCGCATCCCCCTCATACCGGAAATTCCTCGCCTCCCGCTGCTTTCTGAGCGACTCATTCGCCCTAAACACCTCGGTCGAGATCGCTTCTCCTCCGCCGAAGGGATCTCCGAACGCCTCGTCAAAGTGACGCATTGGAGGTGTAGCCTCTGCCCTAGCTTTGGACAGTGTCGGCGAAGGAGTTGGGAGGGGCTTCATGGCCGACCCGAGGGTTGAGCGGGAGGGACGAACGGGTGTGGGCGTTGCGGCTGATTTCGAGCCCGGCGTGGCCTGTGATCGCCTGGTAGAAGGAGCCGAAGGTGTAGCGGCGCTGTCATCCTGGTTCAGAGCCTTCTCTTTGCCTTTCCTACTCGACCGGGTGGTGCTCGGAGCGGGCATCTCGTCCTCCTTCCGCGTCGACGCCGGGGCCTTCACCTTCTTGGCCAGTGAGGCGCGGGGATCAGGCGAAGCCGCAACATCCTCTGTAGACCCCTGAGTGGACTTTCGCTTCCCAGTAGCGAGTACAGAGGGCTTGGTGCCCGTGCGAGGTGTAGGCGTGGGCGGACCTGACCGAGGCGTTCCCCGAGTCGCTCTTCGGCTGGAGGAAGGGCCGCTCTCTGCTTCCGGCGCTGGTGATGCGACTATACAGTCTTCTAGTGGCGCAGCGAGTGGGTCTGGGGAGGATGAGCGGCGCTTCTTACCTGCTCTAGGATGCATAGCTAGGGTTGTTATTGTATAGTTGACTGAGGACATGGCTCTTTTGAGTGGAGGAGGGTGGAGGTCAAAGTGGGGGGACCGACTACATCTGGTACCGGCCTATTGTTCCTGCCAGCGCCAGCCATCCTCGACTTCCTCATTTGTACTTCTACCTCCTTCATTATAGTCGCCTGTATCTAACCCCATCTTCACCTATATCAACATGGATCTCGACAAGCCTCTCGATGCGCTCATCGCTGATAAGCGTCAGCCCGCTCAGACTGCCCGGCCTGCCGCGAGAGGCGGCAGAGTCAGCAGGGATCGAAAGGATGCTGTCCCTTACTCTGTATGTCTGCATCCACCCTATTGCACATCTCTTTGCTGACCGATAGCGTCCACCACCGAGGTCGACGGGCGATGCGTGGGTCCACGATGCGTATAATGGTCCGAACCGCCCGCAGCGGGGTGGAGGTGCCCGAATGGGCGGACCGCCAAGGGTCGGCTATAATCCTAATTCGGGAGAAGGATTTACTGGGATCAGCCCCAGGATCGAGGTATTGGGTTTGCACTATGAAGTGATGCCTGGAGATCTCAAGGTGAGCTACAATGGCCGGATGGAATGGCGGAAAGCTGACAAATAGTCTATCTTCAGCCAGGCGGGAAACCTTGTGCAGGGTCCAGATATCCGTGTAAGCGTCTAATTCAGCCTTCAGCTTCAGCCTCTCAATGGCGCCTCCGCCTCATCTTGGTCGACTCCTGGTCAGCTCGGTACCAGGATCCAGGGCGGTAGGCCGAAATCTGCCGGACATGGGGGATCAGGGGCCTGACCGGTGGATCCGGCGGTGATATTTGGAGATCTCGGTAATGGAATGGGAACGAATGCTTATCATTGTCTTCTCTCTATCATCACCTTGTGAGTCCTGCTCGTTCCACGGTACAATCGCAAGCTGACCAGTCAGTTATCACTTCTTCGCCTTTTCTCATAACGCTCGCCCGTGCAGTACGACGTATCCGGCCGTTCTACCGGGGAAGCCACTATGGAATACTCTTCAGTCCAAGAGGCCAAGATTGCGATCAACAAGTTCGATGGCGCCATGACCAAGGGTGAGTTGACGAACGCCTCTTGACCGCAAGAGATCGGAAACTGACGCTAAAGGCCAAACCATTTCGATCCGCTTCCTCCCGCCCGTCCAAATCCGCCCCCCTCCTGCTCGTGCTTCAAGCTACAACGCGCCTCCCGCTGGCCGTCAACAGACCGGCGCGTCTTTGCTCGCTCGGATCGCTCCTCCGCCGAGGGGTGCGCCAGCCGGTCCGCCGAGGGGTCAAGGTGGTCCCGTCCGGGGACGTGGCGGGTGAGTTCCCTTGTTTACTCTGTTCCGAGACGAGAAGCTGATCCTATAGACCTGCGCGAGGTCGAGGTGGTGCTGCAAGTGCACGCCCCGCGAAGTCGGGACCGCCGGACGCTGGCAACCTCGATGCCGAATTGGACTCGTTCATGAAGGGCGATGCTGTAAGTGTCCTTTGTCGCCTTGAAATTTGCGGGAAAGGCGCTGACCTGTCAGGCCGGCGATGTGGCGATGGCTTAGAAGACTCAGTATCTTGGATGTGCTCTACTATAAGCTAGCTGTTCGTGTAACAAGAAGATGCAAGCTCGAATACCTGTTGACACCCACTTGATCAAAATTGCTGAAAGGAGTAATAATTATATGCAACCCGTCGTCAGCCGCGTGTCTGTTCCTCAACCTCTTTCATCTCCTTCCTTCTCTTGCATCCACTCTCTACACTATACATCCATTCTCTACCGGCACATATCGATCTCGCCAACCCCCACACCGACATCGACCACTCCCATCGACATATACCGCCCGCTTTCCCCCTCATGCCCCGCGAATAATCTCAACGTCCCCTGTCAAAAATTCCGGAAACAACAACAACCCCCTTCGTCGACTGTCTCTTTTGAAACAAGGGCCCCCCTCCTGGGCCCAAACATAACCTTCTTCCTTCTTCCGGGAAGGGCAATTGCTCGAGCAAAGAAGGCTCGCCGTATCGTCATCGTCATCGGCTGCACAGCCCGCCGTGCGCCGTCTACGGAGTCCGCTCGGTCATCCCTTCACCTGAGCACAAGGTCAAGGCGAAACGAAACACGGGGTACAGGTATCCTCACCTCCACCCCCACCGTCCCTCACTGGCCGCCCCTCATATACTCTCTTCGCAATGTCACTGTACACGCCCGAATCGCTTCGCGCGCCGGCTCGGACCCCTCACTCCCCTTCATCCGGAACGCGCTATACGCCCACAACGACCACAAAGGGAGCCGACGTTTTTGGGGATATCACGGTGCCTAATATGATTAGGAGCAGTCCGGTCTTGACGCCCGGGAGAGATAGCCCGGGGTGGGGAGGCAAGGGGAGGATGCGGCAGGCAGGGGGATATGGGGATCGGTGAGTTGTCATCCATTGGGCATAGGGCGGGAAGACTATGGTGGGGAGAGGCGGGCTAGTGGACGATAGGTCGGAGCACAAGTCGGTCCAGTGAAGGAAGGTGCTGATGGTGCAGCTTCATCCCTACTCGAGATGGGTCGGACATGCACGCCGCATATCAAATAGCGTCAGGCTCGGCGGATGGGAAGCCAAAAGGGCGGAGAAGGAGCCCAATCGGACAGTCTACCGATGTCGAGACGAGAAAGGGTGTGTCTTTCCTTCTCACTCATTTTCTCGTCATATCTCCTACCAGTAGACCTCGTGCTAACTCAGAACAGAAGAAGTGAACGCCACCTTCACCCAACTCCTCAAAGAAGAGCTCTTCCCTCCTTCCCACTCGCCTTCCCGCAAAACCCCCTCCGCCAATCCGTCCACTTCACGCCATAACCAGCTCCGCCGGCCCATGACCTTCGATAACTCCAACATCCCTAATCTCCCTTCCGCCAACTACCCCATCTCCTCCGCTGGTACCACACCCCTGCACCACCACCCTCCGCCCGCTATTTCCGGTATGGTCGATCGGGAGCGGGGCGAGCGTGAACTCTCCCCAGCCTCCACATTACCTCCTCTTCCCCTACACGCGCCCGCTACGCCCACATCAGGACACGCTCGAGCACCCGGAGCAGGCCCCAGCGGGACCCATCACCGAGCCCATCAGTCCCAGCTCGCCCTAACGTCTTCGTTGGGGCGGAGCGGCACCACTCCTCCGAATTCCAACGAGCGCCGATCAGCCTTCTCCCCTCCTCCTTCCAACACAAATAATCCAGGATCGCCCTCCACACCCAGCAAGAAACGGCTTCTCAACTTCTCGTCCCCCGCCGGTACGCGGATGACGCAGTTCACGGCCGGGCTGGACAGTATGGAGCATGAAAAGTACAGTCTGAGTCCGGTGGGCAAGAGGAGCCAGGAGGTGTTGCTTAGTCCGAGGAAAAGTGTTAGGCAGATAAGTAGGACGCCGTTCAAGGTGCTGGATGCGCCAGAACTTGCCGTGAGTTGTTGAAATCCGAGCGAACTCGAGGGGAGAAGCTGACCAAACAGGACGACTTCTACCTCAACCTCGTCTCGTGGTCTTCGTCCAATGTCCTCGGTGTTGGTCTGAACACTTGCGTCTACCTCTGGTCGGCGCAGACTAGCAAAGTGACCAAGCTTTGCGAGATGCCAGTGACGCTAGTGGGCGGGGAGGAAGTCAGCGATGTGGTGACGGGTCTGGAATGGACAAATAAAGTGAGCTGGCAGCCTCGCGTCTCAGCGGCCGATAAGGGCTTCAGCTGATAATCCAGGGATCCACACTCGCCATCGGAACCAACCGCGGAACCGTCGAGATCTGGGACGCCGAGTACTGCAAGCGCATACGAACCATGACGGGCCATACCGCCCGCGTCGGCTCTCTGGCATGGAACGGCCATATCCTCTCTTCCGGCTCTCGCGATCGCACCATCCTCCATCGAGACGTACGCGTTCCGGACCAGTACATCCGCCGGCTTGCCGGGCACCACAAGCAGGAAGTGTGCGGGCTGAAATGGAACCCGGATACCGACCAGCTCGCGTCGGGCGGGAACGACAATAAGCTGTTTGTATGGGGCGGAACGGATACTCGGCCGACGTGGCGGTTTGGGGAGCATCGTGCGGCTGTCAAAGCAATAGCGTGGAGTCCGCACCAGCGGGGCGTACTGGCCAGTGGAGGAGGGACGGCGGATAAGAAGATTAGATTCTGGAACAGTCTCACGGGCGGTCTGGTCTCAGAGTGGGATACAGGATCTCAGGTGAGCTACTCAATCTACATTACGTTGAAGTCGGGAAGTATAGCTGACGCTCAGGTCTGTAATCTCATGTGGTCACTCAACTCTAATGAGATTGTATCGACACACGGCTATTCCGGCGGACCCGTATCGAACCAAATCCATATCTGGCGGTACCCATCCATGACCCAAGTCGCCACGCTCACCGGCCACACCTTTCGGGTGCTGTACCTAGCCATGTCCCCGGATGGGCAGACGATCGTCACCGGTGCAGGGGACGAGACGCTGCGGTTTTGGAATGCGTTTCAGAAGGGGAAGGGGAAAGCGTCGGTCGGTGGGGGAGAGGCCAAGGTTGGGTTTGGGTCGGGGTTGGGGAAGATCCGCTAGGCCCGCGATAGCGGGTTCAGGGCCGGAGAGAGGCGAAGAGAGGGACGGAGGTTGTATTAGCTGAAAGTGGACATCGCGGAGTCTGAGTAGCATTAGTAGACCTTTCCTTTCCCCTTTTCTTTCCTCGCTTCCCCTTTCCCTTTTCTGGGTATATGGGTACCGAATCTATATGTCTCCTGTATCATATCTACTACGTTAGGGCACCATCTGTAGTACCTCCTCATGCACTTCCTTTCCCGGTCCTCGGCGCTTCGAACTCGCTAGATGACGTTCCCATTGCATGATGTTCATGATCCTTGAGCTAGGTCCGCCGCCTGCTATCTACTGGTTATCTGGCTGTTATACTTGACAGCATGTATATGAATCTATTCTATAAGTACAGATGACTTGTTCCCGCCCAAAGGGTATCCCAAAGGGTATCAAGAGACCGCTTCGTATCAAACCAAATCTCCCCCGCGCCGGCTCAGGTCTACACATACGTCCGCCCGTCCACCTCGTGCCCCTTCCGGCCCATAGCGACCCCGAACGTATGCGCACTCTGCACCGAGTCCCTCGCTGGGCCCAGCGTCACACCGAGCGTCTGTTCTTCCATCGGCGTAGATAGTACCGAGCCCATCGAGACTGTCGGCGGAGGGAAACTCCGGCGAGGCTTGTGAGCGGGCGTAGCGAGGAACCTGTTCGTCGACGTGGAGGTGGATGTCGAAGTGGACGAAGCGAGGGAGGTACGGCTGGACATGGAGTTGGGAGAGTGACGCTCGAGATACTGGATTTGTTGGTGGATCGGGTATTGGAGGTCTGGGTTTGGCATCTGATTATCAGCTTGAGTTTGTGAGTAAAGGAAGAGACGATGAACGTACCAGAGCCGCAATCTGCCTAAGAAGCCAGATGACCCTTCGCTGATCCTCCGCGTCCCACCCCGATCCCAGCTCGTCAGCATACTGCATCTCCCCATAGACGAACGCCGTCGCCGCACGAGCGACATCTGCTGGGGTCGTGCCCTCCCTGGCTCCCCCGACCGCCCCCGTCTGACCAGTGAACAGCGCGAGCAGCTGCGCAAGGGGCAGGTCTCCGGGCTGGGTAGGTACCGACTCGTCGATGGAGTTTAGGGTGGAGACGCTCGCGCCAGGAGCGGAGGTGTATCGCCGCCGAGTGGGCTCGAGAGTGGGCGTGGCCACTTCCTCGGGAAAGTCTTGGTAGTGCCTATCTGGCGACAGCTCGAGGTTGTCCACGACGACGCACTGGCGGTTCTGCTTCCGCCTGGCTCGGTCGCTGGCGGGCGTAGCCGTGTCGGGAGGGGTAGTAGGTGGGGAGAGCGTCGAGGGGTCCGGGAATCTGTCGAGCAGGTCGGCGGGGATCCGGGTCTCGAGGTCGAGCGCGGAGAGGAGGCTGTGGAAGGAGCCGGCAGGGGAGGATGAGCGGGGAATACCGAGATGGCCGCCCGAGGATGACTGCATACGGTCGATACGGTACCGCGCACCGGGAGAGGGAAGGGCGTACGCGTCATGAGGGGACGACTCGGAGCGAGAGGGGAAGAACATCCCGAGTGGGGATGTCTGGGAGGGGGAGGCGAGGGAATCGTCCGATTGGGAAGCGTGGAGGTGACCCTGATCGATCGTGCCGATCTTGGCCTCCCGGATGGAGAAGGTGTAGGTGGAGAAGAGGGATGAGCGGTTATCGGTCGCCGGAATGGTGAGGGCGTCGGTATTGGTGGAGAGGTTGCTGCTGAGGGAGAACTGGGATGATGCGCCGGTGCTCTTCCGCCGTGCCTTGACCGTCTCGGACGACGACCCCCTCGACTCGACCGTCCGCTCCTCCCTCTCAAGCTCCAGCTCAAACTCGTCCTCCTCCGTGATGTGACGATGGTAGTACGAGTCGATATCGAACGAGACGCCCCGACTCTCAACGATATCTTGCGGGACGTCCTGGTGGTACATTTGACGGGTAGTGTCAACGAAGGGAGGGTTGATCAATTTCCGCCTCTCCCTGATACCGATACGGATTGGGGATCCGGGAGGAGGGATATCGAACTGGGTTCGGATCTCGCCAAAGACCGCCGCGAGGTCCATGACGTCCCGCTTGCCGACGAGCCTACCCTCGAGGGTGTCGAGGGTGGACGCGGCCGATTCCCGCCCGGAGCCAAAGTACCAGTCGGCCCCGCCTCCGCTGTGCAGGCGGTACCGTGACTCGACGATATAGTCGAGGAGGATGAGCCGAACGTCCGACGCCTCCGAGAAGGTCATAATTTGCGACAAGAGCTCGGCGACGTGAGGCTGGCTCTGAGCGATGATCAGGTCAAAGCTGTCGGAAGATTGGAAGCTGGTCAGGCTACTCGAGGTGAGTGGGCTGGAGATGACGAGGCGATGCGGGACCTGCGAGGGGGTGACGGGGAGGGAGGGGCGGCGGTCCGGGTTGAAGCCGGCGGGGAAGAGGAAGCCGGAGGGACCCTTCCTGGGTGGTTCCATGGTCTTGCGCGCAGCCTTCTTGCTCGAAAAGAAGCCGAACACCTTGCTTGGGGTGGGCGGGGAGACGCGGGGGAAGCTGAAGGAGGGAGAACCGGGAGAGTCGTCCTGGTCCTGGGTGTCCTTCTTCTCCAGCCCGAGTTGCTTCGATACCGCCTCGACGACGTCCTGGATGGCCTCGTCCCTGACGCGCTCGCGGATGAAGACGAGCTCGTCATAGACCTTCTGAGGGGACATGCCCGAGTTGAGCCGGCGGAGCGCCCAGGCTTCGATGAGATGGTGCGGGGCGTGGCGGCTGGGCATCTGGTTGAATCGGCCGATAAGGGACTTCAGCCGCGAGACGAGCTGGAATGAGGTGACGAAACCGATACTGAAGCGGATCCGGCGGACGATGGGGAAGATGAGGGTGCGGAGGATGGAGTGGGTGCCTTGGCATTGCATCTGGTCGTCAGCGTAGTTCGCCCAGAGGAGAGGATGGCTCACCTCAAATTCCAGCTCGACCAGCGCCTTGGCAACGCCATCGGCTGCACTGAGACCCGTGATCTCATCGCTCGCCATCTGCCGCCATACCGCACCAATGTACTCGAGGACGAGCTCGGTGACCGGCGCGGCGAGATCATCTGGCGAGACAATCTCGCTCCCCTCCAGCAGGCTGAGAACGGTGTCGACGAGGGTATCGCTATCGAGGGACGTGAGCTGGTCGGCGGGGAGTGTAGGTGGGGGGTAGATGAAGTGGGCTTCGCAGCCATTAGGGCCGGTGATGAGGGAGAGGAATGGGAAGAGGGTCGCGAAAGCGGGTGTCTGCAGAGCAATGTGGAGTTCCTCGACGATGTGAAGCTGAAAGTCAGCCCATGTTCATACATCGGCTAGAGGAAGACTGTCGCTCACCTCATCCAAAAGAGTCCTGAGGCCTTCGCACCAGTCCCGCACCCTCGTACCCCGCAGGACACCCCTCCACGCGTACTCCTCGAACGCGCCGGCAATAACATGGGTGGTAAGATCTCTTGTCGCGAGGAGACGATGAAGGCCGTCCGTATCCGCCGATAGGGTGTGTACAGAGGACGCGTTGGTGTAGATCGAGCCCCGGGATCGCGCCGACATGGGGAGACTGTCGCTGGATGGGGAATGCGGCATGTTGACGGAGGGATGTATGAAGGAGGGAAATGATGAGGGATGAGGGATGAGGGAAATTTGGTAAGGCGGCGGGTATGTTGTATACGCTCGACGTGGATGCGAGTCAGTACGCGTAAGGCCTAGACCGGGAGCCGAGTGGTGAAGGGGGATTTGGGGGTGTTTCGAGGTGGACCAATGGATCTGGTGCTAGCCGATCCGAATGGCGTGAGGATGTCTCACTTTGGGTGTGATCGACGAGATATGGCAGGAATCGAGGGAGGTGGGGCCCGGTGCGTGTCTGGGTGTGTGAGACAGTGTGAAGGATGTAGTCAAGGAGGTGAAGAGGGAGGGACCTACTTATAGCTACGATCTGAAGCGTTCTCCCTCCGATCTTGTGTGCACCTCATACCTCGGCTCCAGCTTCGGTCGTCAGGCTCGTCCGCTGACTTGATACCTCAAACACCGCTCCCCCTCCTCGCTTCCCCCTCGCCGCTTCATCATCAGCGTGTCAGGTGAGAGAGTAAGCCGTACTCCACTGCGCCCAGGTCAAATTTTCGCCCCAAAGGACGCTCGACGCGCAGATGAAACGGGTCGGATCCGTCAATACCCGTCCACACAACACACATCATTTGTGCCTGGTCGTGCGGCAGACAGAAGGGGGTAGTACTGACAGACCCCGCGGAGCTACCATCCTTTCTAACAGTAACTTCTAGCGGAGATGAAGAAGAGGCTGACCGAGAGGTGCCGAGCGGGTCCGGATCGATTCGATGACCCCCGATCGCTCTTTCTTCCGCAAGGGCGTGATCTAGTCAGGATCGCGTCCGTGTGTGCTTGCTGACATCCAGTCAGCACACATAGTGAGGTCCAGGCTACATAGCAATCGTAAGTATAGCAGTTGAGCTGATGTATGATGGACACAGTATTCACATTTCCCCTTGGCTCGACATTCCTCCTCTTGCCCGGACGAAACTCCTCATACCGAGGCAACGCTGCGCTGGAGGCTGAAGCATCGAGCATATCCAGGCGCCTCTACGCTCAAACGCTGTGGCGATCGAGTTGCATCGCTCCCAGATGGAGATCGCCTGCTATACCCTGGAACCTTGCTGATGAAACGTCCCTCGTTTAGCCCTCCTTTGGCCTTTTGCGTTTCATCTACCCCTTGATCCCGCAGTTGCCGCAAGGCATGCCTTTGAGACGTCAGCCTACCAAGACGCCGAGATCTGGTGACATACGCTGGAGGCTGACGGAGATTTCACTTTACTCTGACTTGACATAGACACTGCCAAGGCCGTTCGGAGCTGTCGTGTACAGCTTTCCACTTGGAACCCTGAGGCCTGTGCGCCTGTAGCTCATTGGCATATTTGGGAGGCTCCTAGTCCACCTTGACCACGACCGCGCACATCTCGCCCGTCCTCAAGTCCCGCCGAAGCGACCCCAGGACCCCCATCATCTCGCGCAACAAGGAGCAATGGCTCGTCACGCTCTTACCTATCGATCAGTTTACACCCTTCCATCAGGCAGGCCCAGGCCGACTATGCTCACATGCTGACTCCCCACTATCGTCCATGATCCGGTTCAAAGCCTTCTCGGCGCGCAAAGCCATCTCCCGCCCGTTCTCCATACCCCGCATAGGCCGCTCTAGTAGCTGTGGTGGTAGCGGCGCGTCCGCTCGGTCATACCTGCAGTCTGAGCTTGGCTGCCAGAGGGGGTCGACCTCGGACGTATCGGCAGGTATCACCAGTTGTGACAACTCTGCTTGCAGGAGTGAGACATTGCGCCGGGCATTACAAAGGTGGACATGCAGCTCTTCGCGGAGCTCCTATCCGTCTTAGCGGATGACCTACGCGAGGGACATTGAAGACCTAGCTCACTTCAATGACGGTCGCTGATACCTCTCCTTCTCCTACATTCGACCAAACCCCCGCCCAAGTCTGCACGGCTCGCCTCGCTGGACTGACGTAGTGCTTCGGTACAGGCATACCGCGCTCCACTTGCTGGCGCACTGTAACTCCGAGCTGATTGACTTGTTTAGTTCCGGCGGCAGACAGACTGGGATCGAAGAGAGGCCACTCTCGGCCGACCTGGTTCGATCGGCTATTTGTTGTACTCTATCTATCCAGGATCGTCATTCCAGCGCACTTACTCTTCTTGATCGTTCGAGATGGTCTGCTGCCGACAAACCTAGCGTGGCTGGAACCAGCTTCTCACACAGCGCATTATGCTCGCCTGCTGCCATCAGTGACCGCCTTCCCGTCTGTATACAGATGTGATTTGCCTTGACCATGTCGAGTGAGTAGCAGCAGCTTGATCTGCGACCGGGGATGCTCAATTCGCAAAGCTGCTCATCAGCTCAGGGCATCAGGGATCGCGTGGGGTATGCGCGGTAGAAGAGCTCAGTATTGGGAGGCTCACCTTTTAGCTGGTTCTTCAGTACAGTCCATGAGCCGCACACTGGCATCACCGCTTGGGATTGCTACGCCAGTCAGTCTTGCACTTCTGGTGGGTCAATGCGGAAACACACCTCTGGCGTCGTTGGACCTTCGTGAAAGAACCCGGGTAGGATTGCATATCGGTACCCCTCCATGACGTGCAGGTCCATGTGATCACTTGATCAGCTGGTGATGCGTAACACGTACAATGAGTATGCCGGCCGAGGTCAAAGTCTCGATGATGAAGCAGCTCAGGGCTGTGAGTTCTGACGCTCCTTTGTCTCGCTGAGCGCGGTGATATCCGCAAAGCGAGTTCTTTCCGAGCGAACATCGGTTACTGACACAGGTCGTATGATCATACCCCGGTATGTCAGCCATCAGACCCAAGGCTGAGTCGTCCATGAACAGTGTTGGATGCGCGAACGAGCGGGTCAATCAGCTGCCAAAGTACCAAGTACTCGAGTAAGCACAGAGCGAGGCGCGAGGAATGCGGACCTTCTGACGTCATTGTCATTCAGCATTCCTCAGCTGCAGAGCTATTCCAGACCCTTTCAAAGCGACGACTCTCCTGTTGCATCTCCATAAAGAGATACTTCATCATACCCCCCAAGGCCTACTTACACGATGCGCAATCCTACACTGATAGTCCACGGAGCTTCGTCATTCACAGCCAAAGAGCTGCTCCGATACCTCGACACTCATCCCGATGGCGGATCGTTCGAGTTCATTCTGGCCGGCCGAACGAAGGCCAGGCTGGATAAGGCGAACGAGCCGTTGAAGCGGAAGAGGGAGGTGATCGTTGTGGACCTGGAAGACCGGGAGAGTGTCAAGAAGCTGGTAGCCAAGGGGGATGTGGTGATCAATCTGGCTGGTAAGCTCGCTGACTAGCACTTGTTTAGTGGAGGGGCAGAGCTGATGTTTAGGGCCTTTCAGGTGGTACAATGCCGAAGCGCTCATCCGGTGAGTTATTCAGCTGTGATAGTATGCCGTCGACCAAAGCTGACTATATTAGAGAATGCGCAGAGTCCGGCAAGCACTATATCGATCTCACGGGCGAGTCGACCTGGCTCGCAAGGGACATTATTCCCAAGTACAACTACCTCGCCTCCAAGACAGGCGCTTGCATTGTCCCCAGCTGCGGCGTCGACTCGATTCCATCGTCAGCTTTATCTCCGCCCACTCCAGCATGTGAGATAGGCCGTGTAGCTGATACAGCAGTGATATGGCGCTCTACTCTGCGTTATCGCTCCTCAAGACCTCCCACCCCGATCTGAGCATCACAAAGTCCACCGCGCTCTTCAAAGCCGCAGGTACCGTCTCTGGCGGGACAGCAGCCTCGCTCTACGCGGAGATCGAGATCCCTGAGGAGTACAAGGCCCGGCAATATCAAGGCGAATGGTGCCAAACACGTGCGCCCCTCCCTCTTTACTTCTCGCTGCTCTTGCTCATGATCAGCCACATTCCGCAAGGCATCATCCATCAAGCCCATCGTATCCCTTTCGCACCCCCTTCTTCCCTTCCCTGAGCGCATCGGCGCCTTCTTCGTTATGTACCCGTACAACTGCACCGTTGTCAGGCGATCGTGGTACCTATCCCAGCTCCCCGACAACAAGCGCGACCCGTTTGCGGACCCGTCCGCCAACTCGTCTAGCGGGGAGAAGGAGGAGCCGGCACATGGAGATGAGCTGGTCTACGAGGAAGGCATGGAGGTGGGGAGCAGTAAGCTCCTCGCTGGGGTGGCGAGCTTTGCGCTGTTTGGCTTCTTTGCGCTGTTCAAGTTCTCGGGTCTGGTACGTTCCGCTAATTGGAATGATGAGAGGAGTCAATCGCTGATGAACCAGTTCAGGAAGCTGTTCAAGTATGTCATCCCGGCCCAAGGAACTGGATCATCAGACAAGTGAGCACCCCTTTATAAGCAAACTCGGATCAAGCTGATCGTTCAGGACGCTTCAGAAGGGCAATCTCAAAGTGACTAGCTTGTCCACTACGACCGACCCCAACGTCGCGGTCTTGACGACCTACACGGGCAAGGGCGATCCTGGTTATATCCACACTTGCCGTATGTCTCCCAATACCCATCCATGACTCGCACACCTGGGGAGGCATAGCTCACACCACAGACTTGTTGGCTGAATCCGCTCTGTCCCTCGTCCTACCCCCACCGAAGGGTACCACCCTGCCTCCGCTGTCCAAGCGTGGCGGGTGCCTTACCCCTTCGACCGCGATGGGTCAGGTGCTCATTGCTCGGCTGAACAACACGGACCATACTGCCATCAAGAGCGAGTTGTTGGTTGGCGGTCAAGAATCAAGAAAGAGGCGATGAGGCGGGATATCATAGCCTAGATGATCAGTTGTGTTTATGTTCTTAACGTTGTGTCTCAAAGGAATCCGCCGGACTTCGAAGGCACTCTGATCGTACCCCTTTTCTGACTCTTTGCGACAATGCTCTGTCGACTAAAACAACTGGAGGAGGATTGACTCTTCATGGGCTCCTGATAGGCTGACCCGGTATCATCTTATTCATCACCTGAGTGAGAAGACCCGAGCTTGTTTCGATCACTGTACCCGCTCCCCTCGTCATACGATGGCTCACGTTCAGGCTCTCTCGGCCTCTTGGGTTGTGCCTTCCACGACAGTCCAGTCCTCGTCGACCTTGTCTTTGGACTGGAAACCATTCAGCTGACTGATCTGCGATCTCTCGTACCACCGCAGCAAAGCCTCCACGTCCGTCACCTTGTCATCATCTGTCAGCTCCTTCGCGTACGCGCTTGGCTTCTCATCAGCATCTTATATACACTCATTAAGGCGGCAACGCTGATCGTACGAGACTCACGAACGACAGTCGGTGCAGCTTCTCCTGCAGGAGCTAAGTGAGAGGCCGGGTATCCTCGTTCGCCGAGAGACCTCCGTCAGTCTGGCTTGTCAACTTTGAGAGCCTTTCCCAGTATTGCGGATAGCTCCCGAGGCCGGTCCAACCCTGGGAGCAGAGTCCCGAGACGAAGATACTTCGCTGGCGATCCTGAGATTTGGCTGCCCTCGTCAACAGCCCTTGCAGAGCGATCTGCCGCTCTGATTCGGTCATACCCTTGATGCTATCCTCAGACTGGTTATCAGCGAGTTGTCCAGTCAGCTAGTCAGATATGAGGCGTCCCTAATGACATACTGCATCAGTGACGCGCGCGAGCTCCTCGAAGATCGCCAGCGACTCGCGTGCACTGCTTTCGGCCGCTTCGCAGAGGAACCGTCCCCGCATTCTGTAGCCCCTGCTTGGATTGAGGGCGAGCCCTGCGATCTGAGCATGCGGAAGGCTGACGGTCTCCATCCCCTTGAGCACGACACGGTGGGGGCAGTATGTGGCTGCAGTGGAGCTCATCATGAGTAGAGAGTATGGAGGGAAAGGTGACTGAGCCGAATGATGAGTAAGCCAGTGTGCAGTGTCAGTGAATTTGTAAGTGGCAAACGGGACAGGAGGCCTCGAGCAGCAAGAGCCATAGTCCAAGCTCAAAGGGCGGCTCGTAAACGGCCACGAGGTGCGAAAGGATTATCCCGCATCAAGGGAAGTCCGATAAGGTGGGGGATCATGCTAGAAGTCACGACTGACGTGATGGCGCTGTCCGGCCGCTGTGCTGCCTGAAGACGTACTGGCTACAACCGGCAGTGTCTGATGAAGCAAAGACGCAAAAGGTGATGCACGAAGAGAAGCTTTGTCCTGCGGACAAGTCGCCAGCTTTTAGCATCAGAGATCAGTCAGACACGACAGATTCCGTGCCCAGGTCTTGAGCGGTCAGGATCCTCAGTACGTCTCGTAGGAACTGCCACCCGTCTTAGCAGCCAAGTTGGCGGTCGTAGCGCACCTGGACCTGCAATAGTCCTCATCTCATGACACGAGAGTGGAGCCGAAGTATAGACCTACTATGATGCCTGGTCCGAGCCAGCTGACAGGCATGACCGACATGCATGGGCGAAAGTGCATGCGATGCAGCGTGGAATATACGCGGCGGCATCGTCGGCGTTACGCGAAGGTGTTTAACGGCGATGAGGTGACGTGCCACACGGGGTTTCGGCGATACCAGCCGGGGATGCCGGCATTTCTGTTGGCTGGCTGTCGCGCTGAGTGAGGATTTTGATTCCGCTTTGGTGCTGGGCGCAATTGTATGCTCTGGTTGTGAGCGGTCCATAGTCTTCCTCTTCATCCATACAAGTGAGTAACAACTTTCACCTACAGCGGACATTCACAGCAGGGCAACAGGCGAGTGCGACGGACAAGCGGTGGATAAGCGAGGGACCGGAAGGTTGGGGGGGAAGGATAAGACGGAGAAAGGGAGATGGAATTGGCGGACAGGGAGGAGGGATTGCTGGAGCCACACCATCGCAGGAGCCTATGCTGATCCTACAGAATGGGTATCGCACGAGACACGCGCCACAAGCGCTCCGCATCGGGTGCCAGGCGGGCACACTAGTACGTCTGGTCTTTTGGTCAACATGAAACCCGCGCTGATATACCTAGCCGTAAGAAGAGAAAGTTCGAGCTTGGGCGTCAACCTGCCATGACCAAGCTGGACTCGTCGAAGCGTGTTCACGAGGTGCGCGTACGTGGTGGTAACACCAAGTACCGTGCGCTCAGGCTCGACACTGGAAACTTTGCCTGGGGATCCGAGACGGTTACGAGGAAGACGAGGTTGATTCAGGTGGTGAGTGGGATATCTGCTTTGGCGCTCGGGACTAGGGGCGGACATGCTCTGGGCGGATGGTGTCAGGGATGGAGTAGCACAGGAGGATGTAGACATGGGGAGGCTCTGCCGAAATTTTGCGAGAATATTCGCTGACTCTCAGCGATACAACGCATCCAACAACGAGCTTCTCCGTACCCAGACCCTTGTCAAGTCGGCCATCGTCGACATTGACGCTACCCCTTTCAGGCAGTGGTACGAGTCCCACGTAAGCTTTCACCTCCGCTTTGTAGTACGGACCAAGCTGATTATGCTAGTACGCCCAGCCCGCCGCCCGAGGTGGAAAGCTTGCCGAGGCCGACCCCGAGGCCAAGCAGTCCAACCACGTCAAGCGGATCCTCGACGAGCGCAAAAAGACTGCCAAGCTCGACCCCCTCCTCGAACAGCAATTCAAGGCTGGTCGTCTCCTCGCCGTCATCACCTCCCGCCCTGGTCAGTCCGGACGCGCCGACGGCTACATCCTCGAAGGAAAGGAGCTCGAGTTCTACAACAGGAAGCTCCAGGCGAGGAAGAGCAAGCACGCCGCTTAAGAGTGGGGTGTGGTTTGTAGAGATATGGATTGGGCTATTTATGCTTTTGGGCAGAAGGGAGATCAGGTCGGATATCAACGGAGCCTTGGCAAAGTGGACTTCCCGCACCTCGTACTCATCGCCAGGCACTGGCTGACACATCACCACTCCTCCGACGACATGAGACTCATCATGGTGTGTTTGCTTTCTAAATTGGCGAAGCGGACAAGGGAAAGCATTACCGGTAGCATTAATGCATTATAGGGGTCACATTACGGGTCGTATGAGGTCGTACAATATGAGAGAAATGTCCATGAGGCTGGCTCGGCAGAGTGCGCCCTTATCATACAGCCTCTACACCAGCATGCCCACTCCTGCGCCTACACACAGCATCACCGCCGCACCCTGTGCGAGCAGGGAAGAGAGCGAATCGTAATTCGGCTTGAGGCCCATGGCTGCTGCGCGGGAGGATGAGGCGAAGGGGTTGGCACTGCTCAAGTCAGCTCAGCGCTGATCGATGATCATGAACACGGCCATCCGATGTGACGTACGTGTTGGACTGAGCATTAGGGATATTGTTATTGGAAGAAGGGCTGGCGGTCTGCGAGCTGGGCGGGGTGGTGGATGTTGCAACTACCATGGTGAGCCGTAAGTCCGGCTGGCCGACGAGCTGCTGACAAAAGCTCACCTATGCCATCCTCGATCCTGAACGGCTGACTAGTCGCGAATACTTGCGATTCGTTCGTAGAGTTGACAAAGTACACGACGTAGCCGCCACCCGATGGTACACCGGGAAGGAGGACGCGGACGTAGCTGGCTGTAGCGTTCGCTGTCGGATCAGCTATATGCCACCTGGGACGGTTCCACCGGGTCAGACAGCTGGAAGCACCTAGGCGCAAAGCCACAGGACTCACTCTGATCAGCCAAGCTCTGATTGGTCGCCAACAACCCCGAATCCGAGTTCCCCAAGAAGGTTCGGAAGAAGTACGTGTCCGTCGATGGGTTCGTGGCTGTCCAGTTCAGAGCGACCGTGTTGTTCTTGTACCACACAGTGTTGGTGTTTGGATAGAGGATGCTGAGGGCAGCTGGACGCGTCAGCATCAGCATTTGCTTTCGACGCGGTGGGGCAGTCGGAAGGACGGACCGTGCGCTGAGGTGGCGAGGAAGAGGAGGGGGAGGACGGCGAACAACATCTTGATTGATCAAAAAGGCGAGGGATGTATGGAGAGAGAGAGAGAGGGGAGGGTGTCACAGGTGAGGGTGATGTATGGAGGTGAAGTCGAAGCCAGATGTCTGAGACCAAACAACCTTTGCAGGGTGGACTTGCGAGATCGGACGCACGGATCACGCAGGTTTCAGATTATGATCAGATTTCACCTCCTCTACAGCTCTCGGCGAGCTAGGCGACAGTGGACAGGGTAGGCAGAGGAGACAGAATACACCTATCACGACCATGACAGATGAGCACTACAGTCCTCCATCTGATATCAATGATACCAAAGATTACGCCAAAGTCCCCATCCTCAGTCTCAGCTAAACCCCCCATTTCCCAGATATCCCCGATTACGGCCGTCATCTGGCAGAATGTGTGAACAAAGACTGAGAGCCTGCGTACCGAGTAATTCCCAGCCCAAGGCGATCCGTAGCCTTCAACACGCCCTTCAGCGGCTCCGACGAGCGGCCCATATCGACCGCCGCCACCCAAAGCATCTCCGCCCCGGCCTCGATTTCCGCCTGAGTCGCTGTCTCTGATCTCTCCTTGAACCGCTCCGCCTCCGCCGCCAATCTGCGCAGGCTCGCTTCGAGATGGGGTAGGATGGTATCTGAGACGAGCCCAACAGCCTGCTGGGCCTGTAGCGCCTGCTCGGCAAATCTGGCGGCATAAGACTCGCACCGCCGGAGAGGCTCGCCATTAGGGTGAAACTCCAGAGCGAGGGCCTCTTTGTAACTGGTGACGCCGAGATGGACGAGATCTGCGACTGCCAGGTGACGCCGTCGATAGATGCCCTGACTAATGATCAGCGCTGAGCACACATACTCTAGGTCGTCATGGATGAACAGCAATGGATGACGTACGAAAGAAGGAACCTGAGGTATCCGGTCTGCTCCTCCCCGTCATCGCGCGGCCGCCCACGAACAGACCTGCCGATATGAAGGTCGGCGTCTGGGTGGCAGATCCGAGCCAGAAACCGGATGACGCGAAGCAAGCGCTTGGGCTCGACGGTGGTCCGGATAGAGAGCTCTTTGACAGAACCGGGAGAGTCAAGGTGATGCCGCCGCATCTTCTTCTGGCACGCCGATGCCGCCCGCGAGATGACATCGGTAGATATGGCGAGGAGCTGAAGATTGGGTAGGTATTTGCTGGTCTTTGACACCAGGAAGGTAAGGTCTTTCGCCGAGACCGTGATCATGCGTTCGCCGGATCCGCCCGCTAGGTCCAGGTGTGTCAACGAGGCCGACGCAGCTCGTGCGAACTTGCCGAAGTCGACCCGACTGATTGTTGGGACGTTGATGGCAATGATGATTCCGAGCCTATCCATGTGCTCGGCGGACGATTGCCATTTGTATAGCGCGGTGATGGTGGGGAGGCTGACCTCAACCTCGCCAAAGTCGATGGAGCGGCACAAAGACGAGCACGATTTCCCGTTGGAAAAGGCGCCCGTCCAGCTCTCATGAATGGGACCATGAGCGGAAGAGAGCTTGAGGTCGAAGCGGGACCGCACCGCATACTCGGGCGAGGGAGCAGCCGGTACGGTCGGACTCCACCGAGAAGGGACCGGTCGGGATGTGTCATACCTGATGGCGTAGATGTGCTCTACATGCCATGGCTTGTCCGATTTCTGGGCGGGCCGAAAGTGTACCTCCCACGAGTCGTGACCGAAGGGCTCGTAGGCGCTCCCGAGCCTAATGGTGCGCAGACTGTTACATTTGGCCCGGAGGTGGGGGACGATGAGGTTGATAACCTCGGGACGATACGTGCGGAGCCACGCATGGACTTGCTCCGGCTCTGCGTTCTCCAGCACGGGGGCGCCGAGGTCGTGCAGCATGGCTGATGAGAGTGTCATGGAGGTAGCGTCGATGATTCGGACTGCTGAGCAGTACATACGCTGTCGCGGCTGCATGATCAGCTGATAATCAAGCTCGACAGAGCTCAACCAAACAAGGAGGAACTCACGGTTTGGATAGACATCCTCAATCGCACCTGATTATACGGGACCGTATGGTACAATATCGAGGCTACATCGTACATGTAGCCCTGCCTCACCCGCATGGAGATCGCTAGGTCATGAGGAGAGAGTAGACTGAGCAGGTGTTGCCGAAGCTCGGGGACTTGTATGAACCGCCGCGCTGCACAATCGGGGTCGGACGTGGAGGAGGTAGATACGAGATTTGGGGGAGGTATACTTTGACTCGCCCGCTTCCGGGCCGGCGGGGAGAAGGTTCCGCAGGAGAACATGATGGAGGGCCGGTGATCGGAGTCGTGCTGACGGTAGTGGAGATGAAAGCTCTCGCTGAAGCAGGGTGAAAAGCGAAGAGAGAAGGCAAAGTGAGATCTGCATCTGCATTTTGCTCTTGTCCAGCTCGTCCGGTAGATATCAGATCCGGATCCGGTGAGGCCGGGCGGGGGAACGAGTTGCGTGCTGATGGACGATGCTACGAAAGCTGGGACTTTGACGAGCATGCGTATGTGAGTGTTTATACGATTTATATAAACATCTACAGAGTACGAAGCGAGACCTGAGCCTGAGCTATTCGCTATACCTGCTTGATTTGCTCGTCCTAAATGTACAGTTCGCCTACCTCACGGTCAACCTTCCCACTCTGCCCTGCAACCCCTACACCTCCCGTCCCGCCTGCATCAATCCCTGACAATGAGCGATCCCGTCCTGCATCCCCTTCGCCTGGTCCGCTATCGCCCCGATTTGCGTAGAGATTGGACCGAAAGCCTTGACAGCTTCGAGCAGCGCCGCCGTCTCCGCGCTGATGTCGTCCTTTTCGACGGATTTCGAAGCCAAGGCTGCTGCAGCTCGCGCGAGCTGTGAAGTGGCCTCTTGGACGCCGGAGATGATAGTCGACGTAGCGAGCATCGCGGATGCTTTAGCCTGCGCTAACCATTCCGCCGTAAGTCGAGCTGCCGGGCTGATCGGACGGCCGCTGCGGTGATACTCGAGTTCGTAGACTTGTTGAGGGGTAGTGATGCCCATTGACACAAGGTCCGCTGCCGCCAGATAGTACCGTTGCGTCGCTGGACGACTATGTTGATCAGCAACGGGCTTACTATGCGCATCAAGGGGCCAAGTGAATCGAGTCTCACCTTCGAAGATATGCCAGTAACGCAGTTTGCTGAGACCAGCTCCACTCCCCACCGACAGAATCACCGATAGCGATCTCAGCCCCCTGAGCGCAGGCCTTGTATAGTAAGCGGATGATATTGAAGCGTCGGCCGGAATACGGCTCGGTGAAGATGCTGAGCTTGACGATGGGGCCAGGTCGTGAACTTGAGAGCTTCCCGTTCCGAAGCTTCTGCTTCAGCGAATCTTCGGCGCCGGCGATCCCGCGCAGTGCGATGCGAAGAACTTTTAGATTGGGCAGTCGACAGCGGATGGTGTTGATCAACTCCGGAAGCTCTGCGAAATCGATCGAGGCGCGGGAGGAATCGTAGCGATCCACCAGCGATAGATGCGTTAAGGACGAGGAAGCGATCAGAGCGAGCAACCGGAAGTCACTGGAGCTGTATGACTTGACCCGATCCGCCGTGATGTCATGCAGGAGTTTTTTATGTCCAGCGTATTTCTGGAATACGTACAAGAAGGACAACGTGTCGACGTCAACCGGTAGATTGCCGAGATTGATGGCACCAAAGACGTCACTGAAGCAGGTAAGCCCACGCCTGCCGACGTAGGTCTGCCAGTCTTCATGTATCGCCGGCCCACCCGATGTCAAGACAAGGTCGAACCGAGGACGGATAGCGTATGCGGTGGACGGAGCTTTCGGGTTGGGAAAGGTGGTGAGAGAAGGCAGAGGGAGCGATATGTCGAACTTGATAGTGGAGACGTAGACGATATGCCATTTGGCGGTGACGGGCGTGCCTGGCTCGTCCCAGCGCGTATCCGTGGCCGGCCGAAAGTAGACAGTCCAGGAAGGACTGCCGAACGCCTCGTACTTATTGCCGAACTGGATGCTCTGCAGCCCGGGGCATTTGAACAAGAGCTGAGGAACGATGATATTGATGAGCTGAGAACGAAAGTTGGTTCGAAGCCATTGGGCGATGCGTCGCTTCCGCCCCGATCCGCTTTCGGGGAGATTCCGGATGTTGAGCTGCGAGATGACCGTAGGTGAGAGGGTCATGGTGGTCGCATCGATGTTTCTCACGCAATAGCAGTACATCTTTTGGCGGGGCTGCGGAAGTCAGCTTCAGCCGTCAGCGAGTCGTGGCAAAAGCTCACCGTCGACGAGCTGCTCATGCGAAGTCTGACCTGGTCATACCCCACACTGGCATACAGCAGACTTGCCGCATCTTCCTGAAAGCTCTCCTTCACTCGCATGAGCCTTGCCAGGTCGTCACCGGGAAGGAAGCGGAGCAAGCGCTGGCGCAGCTCCCGATTGGCGACAAGTTCGGCGCCGAATAACTGCACTTGAGTCACCGCGGTTGTAGGCCCGGTCTGAGGCGCGGCCGTGGTGGTCCTACGCTTCTTGGACGGGCGGTCGGCCGAGGACGACATGATGGAGGGAGAGGCGGTCGGTCAGGGCGATGGTACTACTTGCTCTTGTGCGAGAAGGAAGAGCAAACGCAAGGTCCGTCTGGCTTGCTTGCTGCCTTCAGGCGTCCGGAAATTCCGGTCCGGAATCGGAATTCCGGACTTTGCGTGCTCCGCATTCCTCGGATGCTGCGGAGTGAGGAGGCTTGATGAAGCGACAAACATGATAGCTCTGGTGGACCAAGCCGTACCACGACCTCTGCAGAGTGGCTACATGAGTATTATGGTGAAGTATCATACGCATTGTACAGTACCTGTGTTGCTTGGGACTGCAGAATTGACCCCGGGCCCATATACACATCTCGCTTAGTCCCACGCCCTTCTCCGTCTCAGTGCCCGCCGTGACCCTTACAATCTCCATCACAAACCTGGCTCATGATGCGGCCCCTGCCGACTTCCCAAACTCCGTCTTCATTTGAATCTCCTGACACTCCCGTGCGGAACCCGTCCCCCGCTAGCGCCGAAGCTAAGTCGTGTTGCCGTTGCTGGGATAGAGGATGGCGCCTGGGGCACCGAGTCGTCCGGGAAGTAGGTTGACCGTAGAGGATGCAGCAGCTGTCTGAGCGGTAGTCGATGGTGCTGACGCAGGCCTGTCGCGAGGGGAGATGGGTCGACCATCCGGATAGTAGCTGAGGCCAAAGATACTGTGGGGCATGGAGATGCCCATGCGTCCGAAATCCGCAATCGCCAGGTGATATCGCCTTTGCTGTGTGCTACTAGGATATGATCAGCATCTGCAATAATACTTGGCAATGAATAGCGCTCACCTTTGGAGGTATCTCAGTAAATCAGACTGAATCGTACTGCCCCATACCTGCTTGAAAGAGTTACTGATATCCAGCTCGGCTCCTTTTCCACAGAGACGCGCCAGTATCCGGATTGTATTGAACAGCCCGCCGGCATAGGAAGGCTCCGCGAAGATCTTGAGAGTGCGAATTGAACCGGGTGAATCGAGAAGCTCTGGAACTAGCTTGTCCTTGAGGAGCCTTTCGGATTGGGCAATTCCGCTCAACGCAATGCGAAGAACGCTGAGATTGGGCAGGTGGGATTGAACGAGAAGGATGATATCGGGGAGTTGTGCAAAGGATAGGCATACTCCTGATGCATCGTAGCGATCCGCCAAAGCGAGATGTGTTATGGATGTACCGGCGACCCGAGCGAAGATTTGGAACGCCGCGAAGTTGTATGGCGCGAAGTACTCGGCGACGACCCGCTGCAGGCGTTCGGGATGACCGGCGGACCTTTGACGCTTGAAGAGCGAAGTGATTAGGCCAAGCTCGACCGGTAGCTTGCCAAAGTTGACGGCGCGCCAGATGTCACTGAGAGGCTTCCGGCCTTTCAGACCACGGACAGTCAGCCAGTCGGCGTGTACTGTGGGCCCGCTAGCGCCCAACATCAGGTCGAACCGAGGGCGCATTACGAAGGCCTCCGAGGGAGACCGAGGACGACTGGGTTGGAACCTCTTTGGGGGAGGCAGAGAGAGGTCGAGGGTACGCGTGACCGCGTACGTGATATGCCAGTCGGCAGTGACTGCCTCGTCTGGCATGTCCCAGCGTTTGCCCATGGCGCGGCGAAAGTGCACGGTCCACGACCGTTTACCGAAAGGTTTGTACGGGCTGCCGAAGTGGATACTCTGGAGGCCAGAGCACTTTGCCCGGAGCTGAGGAACGAGGACGTTGATGAGTTGAGGCCGATATTGTGAGACCCACTTCGCGATGTGGGTCTTGCGCGCCGTCCCGCTTGCCGGAAGGTTCTCGATGTTGAGCTCGCGCAACACCGTGGGCGAGAGGGTCATGGTGGTCGCATCGATGGTGTGAACGGCGTCGCAGTACATCTTCTGACGAGCCTGTGCATCATCAGCGTTGCTCCTAAGCCATCGTATGACACAGAGCAGGCTTACACTTCCCGACTGGCTCATGCGCAGCCTCACATGATTATACGGCATGGTGTGATACAGCACCTTGGCTGTGTCATACATGAACTCCCTCTTGACCCTCATGAAGCTTGTGAGCTCAAGGGGGGAGAGGAAGCCCAGCATACGCTGACGAAGCTCGGGGATGCCGATGAACTCCTCAGCTACCGGACCGGCGAGGGGAGTCGAGGGAGATTCGTGCGACGATGATACGGACGTCAGATCCGGTTCCGATTCGAGCTTGCGCCGCTTCGGGGTCGAAGGGGGGAATGTGCCGCCGGAGGGCATGATGAAAAGGGAGGTCGCCGAGACGGGTAGAAGGATGGCGAGGTGTGAGGTCTACTTTGGTAGAATGAAGGAAGAAGGCAAGATGCTTTGGGAGACTTTGGGTTGAGTTCCCGCTCCACATTCCTCAAATTGGACTGGCTGGTCGCGCCCTTTGAGCTTCTTTGAGTCTTCGATACCACCCTCTCTTTTTGCCACTCCGGTCCCATCCCTTTACATCGGCTGAGGATCTCCCGCCAGACAGCAATGGCACGTCCTCCTTCTCCTGCCTCCAAGTCAGAGCAGTATGACTTCCCCGGCCTCGGCGACCGTCTGACCGGCCACCTCAACATCACCCTCCACCCCCTTGAACGCACCTTCCACCCCTTACTCCGCATCACGGTGCGCCCGTCCCCCACCACACCTCCTCCACGAACCAAAGGATGCTACGCCCTCATTTCGGTCGCTCTTCCAGACGCGGTCTTTATCGACCGGGACGAGCTGGCGGATCGATGGGGCATGATACCAAGCATCCTCCGCCCGGCTCGGTGCGGTACGGTCGGATCCTTCCCACCGCGTCTGGCGGCAGGCGGTGATGATGACAGAGCTATGAAGGCCTGGATGCTCAAGCCTGATATCATTGATATTGAGCGCCCGGTCCGCACTGTACCGGTGATGATCACGAACCGGCTGGGGGAGGAGGTGGAGGAGATGACGAGGCTTAGTGTCGCGCTGGAGCTGAGGGCGGAAGCTCTGGAGCTCGAGATTCCGCTTCATGGGCGATATCTCGCCCCAGGACTGGGCGGAGAAGGGGAGAGGGAGGTGATAGTGTTTGGAGAAGGAGGAGGAGAGGTCAGGGGGAGTTGGTTATGTGCCATGTCGGAGGATCCTGACCAGAGTACGTCTCGCTCACTCCGTCCTCTCCCGCCGGTATCCCGGCTGACGATTATAGTCTTTGCTATTCCACCTGCACCTCACTCTACCGGTTCAGAAAGCAAAAATTCCAGACACTTCCACGGCGAGATCCCGGTGGCTCAACCTCCGGTCATCCAGTTCGACCCTAGCGGAGCGCCCATGACGCTTACTCTGCCGGTTGGGCATGCGGAACACCAAATCCCGGTCGAGATAATTACCGCTGTGGCTATCTGGCTAGGATGGGCGTATCTCGTCAGGAAGATCTGGCGCTTCAGCCGGAGAGCAGCCGCGCCGGTACAACGGGGCGAGCTGGCGCCAGGGGAGACGAGGCAGAAGGTGGATTGAGGTCGGGGAGATAGTGCGCGGCAGCTCCGGTCGCGTACGCAGAGGAGGTCAACACGTCAATTCGTCACATTTACACCTACAACCGGACCCCGATACAGATGTCTTCCCAAATCGCCCTCCCGAAATACCAAGCTCCGTGCCCCCGGCTCACCACCGTCCCGCAGTCGGCCCAGAGGTCGAGACGCTCCTCCTCGCCAGACTCGCACCCAGTACCTCTCCTCCCTCAGGTTGCCGCCTCACCACCCGCAACCTCCCCACTCCCATCGAAGCGAGCAAAGACGGCGCTATAGACTTGTACGAGTCAATCTCGGCGGTCAAGGCGGATATCTGGGCGGTAGATGCGTTAAGGTGATGACGAGCAGTGGCGAGTTCCTTTTCGTCAGCTCCTAGTACCAGTCATGCCCTATGCACTCACGTGCTTGACCATAGCCATCTCCCTCCGCAGACCCTCGACGTAAGAGATCTTTTGGCCACCATTCCCATGCCCGATCAACTCCGCGTTCTGCATTCCTAGCCGATCTGCATCTTCCAGCGCCATAGCTTCGCGCGATCGGAGTATATCCGCTTCTTCTACGAGGGCGTCGTATCGCTCCTGTACGTCTTCCGCATCTTCCAGAGCTTGTCGCAGCCTGATAGTCAGCTTCCTGCTGCCCGGATGTGAAGCGGATCTGAGCTCACATCTGCGCCTCGTCTTCGAGCGCGACCTTTGCCGCCCCCCACCTCGCCGTCCCCTCGTTTGCCCGTCTCAGCATCTCCCTCTCCTCCGACGTCCGCATCTCCAGCTTTTCCAGCTTGACACGCATATCACATAACTCGCTCTCTAACCGACACTCCTGCGCACTCGCCCTACTGGCTTCTGTACGCCACTCGAAGACCTGGTCCGCACAATTGGCATGCACGAGGCGTGCTTCTTCCAGATCGGCCGACGCCGTTGATGTCCTAGCCTGAAGGTCTGCTAGGGCGGTACGAGCTGCCGAGAGGGAGTATAGGGCCCGGCTGAGGTCGTGAGATAGTGATGAGATGGACGTGAGGTGATAGTCGGAGGTGTTCTGGTGGTGGGAAGTGATGATTGCGATGTGGATACTAGCCAGGTCAAGGAGCTGGAGGGTGTCGGCGGTATCGGAGGGGAGGGGCGCTTGGCTGGCGTATGGCGGCCCGACGTATGTTGTGCGGAGCTCGCGGTCGGCTTTCCGCTCTGCAAGGAGAGTAGCGAAATCGCGATGCAGGACATCCTGCTCGCTTTCCATCTCGGTCACCCTCGTTCTCAGCTGGCCGTTCTCTTCCTCGAGCAAGCGGCACCTTCTTCGACTCGCCCGCCATGCCAGCTGGGTCCCGACTCGAAGCGACCGCTCGATCGCCAGTTCGTCCCTCGCCTGCTCACACAGCCGACGCTCCACCTTCCCCTCTAGCACCCCAGCGCACGCCTGTGCAGCGTCCCGCAGAGCTACCTCCCGCCTTGCCACGTCCGCCTCCAGCTCTTCCACCCTGATCCTCAGCGTTTCCATGTCTTCATGACCGTGTTTCAGATGCTTCACCCTGGCCTCCAAAGCAAGCTTCTCCTCCCTCCACGCCCGCCGCTCAGCCTTGAAGCGATCCATCTCGCCTGCCTTGTCGGCTGGCGGTGGACCCACCGGTTTGGAGCGGATGATCTCAAGCTCCTTCTTGAGGATAGCGCGTTCGCCGCGGAGGTCGGTAATGGTCTGCTTGTCCGCAGCTTTGGCTGTCTCGAGAGCCGAGATGAATGATTGTAGAGTGGTGTTGGATGATTGAAGTTCCTGCACTTCTGCGTGATGCTGTATTGAGTCAGTCTCACAATTCCCTCGGCAAGGAGGACAGAGAAGCCAACGCACCTTCGCCTTGTACTGGTTGTGCTTATGGACCAGATCCTGCAGCTTGGCCTCGATACTGCTGGTCGCGCTGGCAGAAGATGTGGCTGAAGCCGCGGATAGTCGCATAATCGTGGTCTTTTGCGCCTTGATCTCGGCTTGGGCGTATTCGAGCTGAACATCAGCGATCCATAGCACGATAAGTGGCATTGTAAGACGGACTTCTTGCTTGATGAGAGTCATGCCGGCGCCCGCAGACTCTTTGTATCGTTAGCTCCATATCTTATGAGCACCAAGCTATAGCAAGTCTAGACTTGCCTCTGTCCCGCCTGAGAACCTCCAGCACTCCCTCAACCTCGGCCCGCTTCCGCCTCTCCCCAGCTAGACTGGCGAGGGCTTTGTTAAGCTTGGCTTCCAGATCCACCGCATCGTGAGCTCCCTTCATCGCCGTATTCTCTCTTCTTGAGGTCGACAAGGGTGGCCGAGAAGCCATAGCGCTGACTACAACGAGGTTGGTTGACGATGTCAACAAAGGTCGGCGGGCCTGGGCGGGTGGCAAAATCAAAAGAAGAGAGGCGCGTGATCGGCTCACAGGGACACTGTGGGAAAGCTGAAATTTCAATGTGGATCAGGTCCAGGTCCACCTCGCTCAAAGCACTGATCTCTATACTTCCAGCTTCTGCCTATATACATCTAGCTACAGTCAGCCCGGAAGAGCTCAAATGAAGTCCAACTTCGCCTTCCAGAACCTGTGCGGGACGGTTTATCGGCAGGGGAACGTGGTGTTCACTCCGGACGGAAACTCGGTCCTCAGTCCTGTGGGGAATCGGGTATCTGTGTTCGACCTTGTCAAGTGAGCTTCTCCGGCTGGCGACTTCTAGCGTTATGTCTACAGGCCGGAAGGTCCAAGAGCTGACAAAGTCTCAGCAACAAATCTCGCACATTAGCCTTCGAGAACCGAAAGAATATCGCTTGTATCGCTCTTTCACCGGACGGGCAGCTCCTGCTCTCTATCGACCAAGGTCAGTCGACCTCGGCCCGCCTGATTCAGCAAAAGCTGACAGAGGCAGATGGAAGAGCACTCCTCGTCCACTTCCGAAAAGGCACAACCCTCCATCATATCACCTTCAAAGCGCCTGTCTCGCACGCCGCCTTCTCTCCGGATGGGAAATACTTCGCCATCACCCACGGGCAGCAGGTGCAGGTGTGGGAGACGCCCTCGGCGATCGCAAGAGAGTTTGCGCCATTTGTGCTGCATCGGACATATACTGGGCATGCGGGGGATGTGGTCAGCATTTGCTGGAGCAAGACGTCAAGGTCAGCTGGCAGATGAGCCTTATACATGGATAGCCGAAAGCTGACGATAACAGATATTTTATCACCACGTCGAAAGATATGACTGCTCGGCTATATACTCTGCATCCTGTTGAGGGATTCCAGCCGAAGAAGTTTGGTGGACACCGGGATGTGGTCATTGCTGCGTTCTTTTCGGACGACGAGAAGACTGTGAGCTAGCACGTTTGCCGCCAGGGCGCCCCCAGCTGACCCGCAGATATACACTGTCTCTAGAGACGGCGCAGTCTTCACCTGGGCGGCCAAGAAAGCCATCGACGAGGATGACTCGGACGTCGAGATGGACATCCTCGACGCTCCCTCCACTTCCGCTTCTGGTCTCAACAACAGTATCGACCATACCGTTGCGTACACCCGCTGGGGTATCCATGGACGCCACTTCTTCAACCAGCCAGGTACCAAGACCGTCTGCGCTACATTCCATCCACGCACCTCCCTCCTCATCGTCGGCTTCTCCACCGGTGTCTTCGGGCTATGGGAGATGCCGGACTTCACCCCCATCCACACCCTCTCCATCTCCAACGAGAAGATCTCCTCCGTTGCCGTCAACCCCTCGGGCGAGTGGCTGGCTTTCGGCGCGTCCAAGCTCGGGCAGCTTCTCGTATGGGAATGGCAGTCCGAGTCATACGTCCTCAAGCAGCAAGGGCATTACTACGACATGAACACCCTGGCGTACTCGGCGGACGGGCAGAATATTGCAACAGGGGGAGAAGACGGCAAGGTGAAGCTCTGGAATGCCACCTCGGGCTTCTGCTTCGTCACCTTTCCCGAGCACTCGGCGGGGATATCAGCCGTCGAGTTTGCCAAAGGGGGCCAGGTGCTCTTCTCGGCGAGTCTGGACGGAACCGTCCGCGCATTCGATCTCGTGCGGTATCGGAACTTCCGGACATTTACCTCACCCACACCGGTACAATTCAGCTCCCTCGCCGTCGACCCTAGCGGAGACGTCGTTTGCGCCGGCAGTCTGGACACCTTTGAGATCTACATGTGGTCTGTCCAGACCGGTAAACTCCTCGATATCCTGTCTGGTCACACGGCGCCGGTGTCCGGTCTCGCCTTTTCGCCTACGGGGAACCAGCTCGCCTCGTCCTCATGGGACCGCTCGGTACGGCTGTGGTCCGTCTTCGGCAGGTCGCGAGCCACCGATCCGGTCACTGTCTCGTCGGAAGCAACCGCTATTGCTTTCCGGCCGGACGGGAAGGAGGTCTGCGCCTCCACGCTGGATGGCCAGCTCACATTCATCTCCATCCCGGAAGGCGAGATCACCTCGGTCGTCGAGGGCCGGAAAGACATCTCGGGTGGACGGAAGATCGATGATCGGCGGTCAGCGGCCAACAATGCTGCATCGAAATACTTCAACTCCATCACCTATACGGCGGACGGGGCGTGCATCATTGCGGGCGGAAGCAGCAAGTATGTCGTCATCTACGACGTGCGTGAAGGGGTCATGGTGAAGAAGTTCCAGATCTCGGAGAATCTGAGTCTGGACGGGACGCAGGAGCTGCTGGATTCGAGGAAGATGACCTCGGCTGGTCCGATCGACGGAATCGATACCACCGGGGACGCGTCGGATCTGGAGGACAGGCTAGACGTCTCTCTTCCGGGGGCGCAGAGGGGAGATTTGAGCAAGCGGCGGTACAGGCGAGAGGCGCGTACTATGTGCGTGCGCTTCTCGGCAACCGGTCGAAGCTGGGCGGCAGCGAGCACGGAGGGACTTCTCATCTACTCGCTAGATGAGAGCGCCACCTTTGACCCCTTTGACCTCTCCCTTGACCTCACACCCGAGACCATCCTCCAGACGCTAGCGGACGGCGACCACCTCGTTGCGTTCATCATGGCGCTCCGGCTGTCGGAACTTCCTCTTATTCAACGGACCTACGAGTCTACCCCACCTACAGATATCCGCCTGGTCGCGCAGCAATTACCGCAGATCTACGTACCGCAGGTTCTCCGTTTCATTGCGCACCATATCGAGCGGAGCCCGCACGTCGAGTTCGATCTACTCTGGGTCGCGGCGATATTGACGTGCCATGGGCGGTATCTGAGGGAAAGGAGGCAGGAGATGGGTGCGGCGTTTAGGGGGTTGATGAAGGGCTTGATGGGCTTTGAGAGCAGTGTCACCAAATTGTAAGTTTCCTCGGATCCCTCTCTTGATGGAAATCGGCAGCTGATGTGAATAGGACGGAAGAGAATAACTTCTCACTTGACTACATATTGGCGCAGGCGGAGTTGGCCAAGAAGCTGAATGGTGTCAATGGGGATGAGATGAACGGCGGGATGGAGATCTCGATTTGAGAGCTTGTATAGTGAACGTCATCTGTAGCTATCATCCAATGCATTGATCTATCCGTAGGCACTCAACAAATACAAGATCCTATATACTGGTACTCAACAACCGGAAAATGAGCCTGATATCGTTATATTATAGCTTGACACTCTGCACCTTTCCATGGTTTCCGCCACCTCATCTCTCCTATGTTCCCCGCATCCCGCTCATCATCGCCAGGGCCTGTATGAGGCGTTGCTTGTCTATAGTCGAAGAGCCTTCCAGTGCCTCGAGGATAGCGGAGAACCCTCCGAGCTGTTTCAAGAACTGGGCAAGTCAGCTCATGACCTTGACTTGCGAAATGACAAACTCACCAAGCTAGATATGCTATTCTCCATCCTTGTCGTCAAGCTCTCAATGATCAACCCCAACTCCTCATCCGTCATATCATCCCGCACAGCCGGCCCCAGATATGCCGGCGGATTCTGCCTGGCGAGTGCCATACCAAACACGCTGCTGACTTCCTGACTAGGCGAGCCGAGCAACAATGGTGAATTGAGCGGCTGGATCGGTCTGGCCGCCTCGATCATACTCGCTGCCGACGGCGACGTAAGAACCTCGAGGCGAAGGCAGACCGAAATGAGCTGGCGAACTTGGTCCACGTCGATCTGATTGGGTTCGCGGATCATGAGAGGGAGCGCCTTGGCTTCGACTGCCTTGTTGATGTTGGACGAGATTTCGAAGCGACCCGCGAGGAGCTTGGGGTACAAGAGATGCAACTTTTCAGGTACTGCTCATCAGCGCCACCACTCGCAGCAAGACATGTAGAATCACCTTCGAGACCCTTCAACTTTCGCTCTCCCATATCCTTCACCTCCAGCCCGATCCGTCTCAGCTCCTGCACCTCCCTCTTCATCTCTGGCGGGAGATCGCTCAAACCCTCTTCATCCATCCCGTCGAGATACTCCCTAATCGCCGTGATCTCCCCAATGACATCTTGACTCGCCATCAATTGCCCTCCGTCCGCCGAGGCATTGATCCTCGCCGCTCGATTCACCATTGGCCCGTAGTAGTCCATCCTCCTGGTGATAGGATCTCGCTCGCACGCCGGTGCGCCCCAGTGCACGCCCATCCTGACACGCAGACCCCGCTGCACGATGTTGCCCTCGGAGTCAAGGACGACCTTCCCGTCGTGCGCATCCAGCAGCTCCCGTGGCCATTCTTGCTGGAGCAAGAGGATCTGGCAATTGAAGCACCAGAGCAGAGCGGACAGGACGTTTTGGAAGGAGACCATAAACGAGTCGCCTTCCGTCTTGACCTCGTATCCGCCATCGAGCCGAAGTTGCCGACGGAAAAGATTGTGGTGGATCTTGATACTGCTCGGCATCCCGGGGTTGGTATCCCAGAGATGCGTCGAGTTGACGATATCCGTGAAGACGATAGCGATCTGGCCTTGAGGTGGCTCAATCTCCTGCTGTAGCCGATTGAGTGTCCGGTCCCCGACCTCCTCGTATCGCCTCCGCATATTCCGCCGCACACCCATAATTTGATCTCCTTCCTGATCGATCGGACCGCCCGCGCTCGTCAACGCACGAGACCGGTGATGCCGCGCAAAGAAGAGGTCCGAGACATTGATGACCATGACCATGACGCTCCCGTCCGCGCCGTACGAGATGGCAAAGTCTCGAAGCTTCTGAGCGGCCATCATAGGGTCGTCCCGTTCCGTCCGCGCGATATCGACCGCGGTCTGGTAAGAACAGCAGTTCCAGAGCGACCGGTTTCCGATGATGAGGAATTCGTCCGATTCCGCGAGGTGACGAACCGCCACGTCCGCCGAGGCATTGACAGCTGGGAACTGATGCCAGTACCCAAATGCCCGCGAGACATCCAGCTCCTTGTCCTCGTTGATCAGCCCCTTTGGACTGACCCACGCCTCGGCTCGCCGGATCCGAGCCGTCTCCTCCCGCTCCGTTGGGTCATGCAGCTTGGTCAAAAGCTCCGCCTCTCCCTTTCGCGAGATGACCACGAGGTTGGCGCCGACGTTCCCGATATACAGCGTCTTCCCTTTGAGGTAGATGACAGCCGCGGACGATCCGGTGCGCAGAGGCGAGTTTTGCGCGGGCTGCCAGTTCTTGAACATGCTGTCCGGCCCCGCCGACCCGTTGACTGAGCGCTTCCGATGAAGCTGCTCGTTCATAAAGAACTCGAACGTCTTTCGGTTGGACAGCAAGAAACTGCGCCGAAGGGCCTCAACAGGCGTTTCGTCCGGTCCGAGAATTTCCAGCTGGTTGACAAGCGCATCCGCGAAGGTTTCCTGGAGGAACTTGGCGATCCGGCCGCAGGGATTGATTGGCTGAGACCGGCCAAACATCCCAAAGAGGCACTCGTCGTCCCGACCCCGGAAGTTTGGGTTGACCATGTCGAACAGTGCGAGATGGTCATTCGTACCGAGGATGTCCGAGATACCGTACCGCATCTCGTTGACCTCGGCGAAACTGGTCCGGACCCGCTTGGATTCAGTCTCGTCCGGAAGCGCCGAGATACGGAGGGTGACGTCCATGAGACCGAGGACGCGGAGATGAGTGAGTGCGGTAAAGTCCGAGAGCTCTTTGCGGAGCGCAGGGGTATGAGACATCTCCTGCGCGCTTGTTGGCTTGATCTCGAGCCGCTTGTTCCCGGAAAGATTGAGGTATCGCAAAGCGGTATTCCAATTCCTGCTCATCAGCTGGTTCCTGAGGAAAATCTGAGCAACTCACCAGTTCCAGTCATAGGGCCAATTCGCAATGTTGTACTTCAACACATTGCTCCCCACATCCAGATGCTGCAGTGTCTTGATCGCCCCCAATTCCGACGGCAACGTCTGCAGCTTGTTGCCGTTGAGATGCAGGATCGTCAACCGCTGCAGCTTCTCCAGATCCTCGCTCGGCAGACTGGTCAACTTGTTTCCCGACAAGTAGAGCGCCTCGAGCCGATTGACACTCGCCAATGTCCCCGGCGGAATCTCGTAAATGTCATTGAAGGAAAGGTTGAGAACCTGGAGATTGGGCATCTCGGCGATCTGGTGGAAAACATCGTCGTTCAGGCGATTGTCGGCGAGGAAGAGTTTGAGCAGGGATTGACCGGCGGGCGGAAGGGGCATGACGATTTTGGCGCCCGGTTCCGAGATGATGGACATCTTTCGCGCGGCCACCTCGGCCGCTTCCGGTCCCATCATCCCCACCAGATCCTCCGGCGGCTCTTCAAACTGCTGCAGCAGATTTGAAGACGCATTGAGCTTCTCGAGCGATCCGCACCCCCAGATATCAGATGGGAGGCTCCGCAGGTTGTTGTTGTGCACGTTGAGCACCCGCAGCTTTTGCATCTTGCCGAAACCCACCGGGAGATCATTCAGCATATTGTCGGTACAGCTGAAAATCTCCAGGTTGGTCAGGCGATCGAGAGTCGCCGGGAGCCGCGTGAACTGGTTGAAGTTCAAGTTGAGATCGACGAGGTTTGTCAGGCCCGAGAACGCCTCGTCCGCCAGCGTGGAGATTTTGGCATGGGAGAGGTTGAGGTTGGTCAGGCTGTACGTGACGGCCGTGGCGCCGACGATAGGGGCGAGCGTGAACCGAGTGATGGAGTTGTGGGGAACCGAGAAGGTCTTGACCTTTGCCCCGAGTTGCGCGTCCAGCGTGACGATATTGTTCCAGTCCGCCTGCAGCCGAGTGAGGTTGGGCAGGGCGTAGACCGCCGTCAAGTCTGTCAATCGGTTCCGCCGTACGTCGAGATCCCGGAGGTTCGCCAAAGTGGAGAATGACTCGGGGAATTGGGAGAGCTCGTTACCGAAGACCGCCAGCTTCTCCAGCGACTGAAGGTTGGACATTTCCGACGGGAGCTCCGTAATGTTGTTGAAGGACACGTCGAGATCGACGAGCGTGTCCATCCCGCAAACGACCGCCGGGAACGTGACGAATTTGTTGTTGGAGATGTTGAGGTACTTGAGCGCCTTCATCTGCGCAAAGTACGTCGGGATCGAGGTGAGGATATTGTTTTGCACCTTGAGCGATAGGAGGGTACCGATCTCGTGCAAATTGACACTCTCGAGATCGGCGATCCTGTTACTCGAGACGTCCAGCCGGGAGAGACTGGTGCTGGCCCGAATGGATGCGGGAATACGCTTGAGAGCATTATTGGTCATCCGCAATTCCTTGAGCGCCGTGCAGGCCTGAATGAAGTCGAGCGGGATGTCGGTCATGGGGTTCCGCGAGAGGTTGAGGATAATGATATTGTGGGCGTGGAGGTGGAGGAAGATGGGGATGGTCTGGAGGTCACGGCCGCCGATATCGATGAACTCGAACGAGTCGTACTGGTTCTCCTCGTCCTGATGATCAGCTCCTGTCCATATCTTGAATTCTGAGACTTACCGGGTCCATGACTGGTAAGACTGGCGTTTGGAAGATGAACTTGCACAGAATCATCAAGTCGTCCTTGCCCAATTCCTCCGGCCGCTCCGCATCGGTATACCCAGCCTGTCGAAGTCGTAGGTCTTGGATGACCAACGGTTTCTCCAGTGGTGACAGCATACGATCTAGCTCATGAGCTTTGCTTCCTACAGAAGCTCGACAAACATACCTTGTCCCCTTTCTCGCACAAACAGCTTCATACTCGTCGTCACCTTCTTTCCCGCCGGCGCATCATTAGCACCCGATAGGGTATTGATGATATCCGCAGTAGGTGTTTGTAGGGGGAACGACATGACCGCGAAGGTCCCGTCCGCGCGGTAGATCCGGACCCAATGCTAAGTTATTAGCGCCGTCTCCAGCATTGACGTCAGTGGACTTACTGGTACATTGCTAGCAGCTATACTGCCACTTGTCCCAGGTCGACCCCTGTCGACCTTGTTGGTCGTACTGGGTCTGCCTGTACCCGTTCTTGGTCTTCCCCTATTTGATCCGGTCTGGCCCGACGTTCTGCCAAGCGAACCATGCCCGAACGGCGGAGGCTTGCGCGAGATAGTTTGGATGTCCTCCGCCGTTTCATCCCCTGATCCGCCCACCCCATCGGCCATGTCCCACTCGTCCTCGTCGCCGTGGGATGAGCCAGACTCTTCTTTCTGCTCTTCCTCCTCTTCCTCCTCGTCCGCTTCAACACCCCATGACTCTGGAGCTGCCCAAGCCGCGGCATCCGCACCAGCTCCAGCAGGCGCCGATGCGTCCGCAGCTATGGGTGCAGCAGGGAATGTGCCGTCAAATATAGCTTGGGGAGTGGTGAAGGTGGACCCGGCGTGGGTCGAGGCAGGCGAAGAGCCATCCGCCGTGCGCGGTCGACCCGAGGCACCGAGGAACGGATCGTTGAAGACCGTCTGAGTCGCCGGACCCGCTGCCGCCCAGGCGGGCGCAAGGGGCTGGAGACCCATTTCCGGTAAGTCCGACGATCCGTCCGAGTCGAATGACCCGATTTTGACATTCCGGAGCTGACTTGGCCGACGAGGCTGGTTGTGCATTGATATCATCGGATGGATACCCTTCGGCGACAGGTTCTGCGGAGACGGGGGCGTCCCCAGCCGAAAGTCAATGGAGCCGGTGGGCGAGCCGGAGAATGGGTTGGTCCGCATGAACTGCTGCCCATTCCTCTCCGCCTCGCCGACGACCTGTCTGCCTGGCGCAACAGCACCCGCGCTGCCCGACGAGCCGCCGCTCGAATCGGTTCCCGCCGTAGTCGCAAAGCTATCGCTTGTCGGTGCGCTCTGCAACCCCAACGAGCTGAAGTAGGTGCTGTTTTGGGTGCTTGATATGGATGATGCAGCACCTTGCTGAGCCTGGGGAATGCTCCGGCTCGTATCGACGATGCCAGACATATCCTCCAGGTTCATATCGAGGTATAAGCCTGTGTCCATCCGCGCCTCGTCCGCCCGCGCCTCGGGGATAGTCCCAAAGTCCATTCCCTTGCGCTCGTCCGTAGGCGAGGCCATATCTTCCATGAAGTAGGACTGCTGTCTCGAACGGAGGTCCATGGGGGACACTGGCGACATGTCGGGATGAGACCGCTTGTACGCTAAGGAGGAGGTCGATCCCCTAGACGAGGTAGAGCCGCGTTGCGAGCCATCTGACGGTCCAAAGTCGGCTAGCAAGTCAGCTGCGCGCCTCCTTCAGCAGTACACGGCTGGAACTGACCGATGTTTGTAGGCACACCAGTAGGCTTGCGCTTGAGAAAGCCCCCAAACAATCCCTTGCGCTGCTTCCCACTGTCGGCGCTTCCTGTGCTCCCAAAGTCCGAAGCCTTGCTGCCCAATCGCAGTTTGCTCCCAGCAACGCTCCCTCTGCCTCCGCCAGGCGCCACAAACTGATCTCCGAAGGGTTGAGGCATCTTTTTCAGTGATGCCGGTTGCTGGCCGCCCGGGAGGGTCTGTACCGAGTCTGTCGAGCCGTGACGCGCATGCTGGTCATTTATAGACGATGCCGACGAGTCTGGGGGAGGTACCGGGAAGATCTCGGGATGACTACCCGACCGCGACGTCGAAGAGGAAGCCGCCCCGTCCGCCAGATTCTGCTCCGTCCCGTTCCGTCTGACCTGGGGCAGCGACGCCTGCGAGCCGTACTGCGAAGCCGCAAAGTCTCCGGGTGTATGTGTACCGCTCCGATCCGCCGAGCTCGAGCGCGACTCGTTTGCCTTGTCCTCCGCCAGCCACGGGGCGATATTCGGAGCGGGGCCCGAAGCACTATCGTGCCGTCCGTCCTGCCTCGGCTGAGAGAAATCAAGGATGCCATCCATTTCGCCGATCCCGACCGAGTGCTCCCCAAACCCAAAGCCTGGTCCGCCAATACCGCCCGCAAACGATCCCAGCACGACGCCGGGGTACTGCTCGCTCGTCGCCTTCTGTCGATCAGGATGGTCGAGGATGAAGGGAGGTTTCTCGCCGAAGCGCTTGGCGAAGACGCGAGCCTTGTCCTGCTCCACCCTAGAGCGCCGCCGGGGATCCTGCTCCACATCCGCTTCGCCGCCATCTGCAGCAAAGGAGCTGCTCCCTCCACTCCCGCTCCGAGCTAGCCCATCGTACAGCCTCCGAGCAGACTCATCTGGCGTCATACCGCTATGACGACTCCGAGGACTCGCGGGAGATTGAGACCGAGGACTCCGGTTGCCATCGTACCGATGACCAGCATTGTCCTCCGGGCTGCTCCCCTTGTATCCTCCCTGGCTACTCTGGCCGACCTTGTACGTGTACTCCGACCTGCTATCGTCGGACATCTCTCGATTAGGGTTCCCGCCCATCGAAACGGGACTTGCGCTGGGCTGGCGCACGTCCGCGTGCGGTGGACCGAGGTACGTCTCGAAATGGTGGTGCTTGGCGTGGGGTGTGGCGAATTGGGGGAGGGCTGGGGGTAAGGCGATAGAGGTAGGCTTTGTGCGGGACCGCGACGAGCTGGATTGCATGCCGCCGGAGCCTGAGGCGGAGGGCGGCAAGTGCGGAATGGGGTTGTCGTCAGGATGGACCTGACCGTGGGACGTTCCGGGCTGGGCGGAATGCTGTCCTGCGCGCGCGCCATCCGATTTCGAGCCATCCTCATGAGGCCGTCGGAGGAAGTTGGGGACGTGGTGCATGCGCGACATGGCAGGCGTAGGTGCAGGGCGATGCCGGCGATGTCGTCAAGGTAGTGTAGCCGTCGATGCGCCTGCTTCTATGCGAGCGCGCAAAGGACGCGGCAGGTCCGCCTAAACAAAGCAGCTGGACGAAGCGTTCTGGCTGTCAGCAAGCTGCTGCACCGCACCGAAAGGACCTTCGATCTACCTGGCCGATCCGTGAGCAGCAGCAGTCGCTCCCTCTCTGAGCTCCTTGACTTGTATTCGCTGCTAGTTACCAGCCCTCTTGTGGGATGTATTTTAGTGTGCTTGACTGAGCGAGCTGGATCTCTGGCTCGGAAGTCGCACCAAACTCTAAACGTCGCGATCGGGCAAGATTACGGCAGTGTATCTATAACCCCCACTTATCCCCACCATGGACGCCACGTCGATCTCCCGGTATGCCATGGAGATCGCCCTCTCGTCATGCGAGGGGCATGCGAGGCAGCGAGGGGCTGAGGCGCTGAGGTGAGAGCAGAGCAAAGACAGTTCTATACGCGTGCAGTACCGTAGATACTCCTGAGATCGACACTAGCCAGATGGATAACTACAACCTACACTCCCTCCTGCCCCGCTTCCCCTGATCCCGGACCCCTACAGCCTCTGCGTATATCTGACCGGACTGTTCTCTGGCGAACTCTCCCCATCTCCCCCTCGTCCCGGTGGACTCCGATACAAATCTTCGCTTGGCCGTCCATCAAATAGCCTATCTCTTTCCTCCCCCTCATCGTCGTGCTTCTTTGCTTTGGGGTACTCGTGCAGGTCCGAGCGGGATCCCTTTGGTGATGGCCCGTTACTGCCACCGCCCAGATGAAACAGTGACGCCAGACCGCGCGGGCGCCGCGGCTCGTCTGCGTCTGTGTCTGGTAGGGGCCGGTGCTGATGTTGAGACGATGCCGGTGTGAGGGTCTGATACGGATCAGGGTAGTCCCATGGGGATGTTTCCGCAGCGGCGAGGTATTGCGCCTGAGGCTGAGCAGGGCTCGTCAGTGCCCGAGGACGGTTGAGATCATTGGGCGAGTCGGCCTCCTCGTCCATCGATTCCAGGATTGGGGGATCGGTATGAGTCCGCCGATGAGGCGGAGGGTGGGGCTGATGGGTGGAGATGGCAAAGTGGGGTCGATTTGGGTCGTACTGGTGCACCACGTCTTCTTCCTCAAACTGACACGTCAGCGTCAATGTCCAACCAACCGTAGAAGTCCTGGCTGACCTTGAGATGTGACTTGGACCGCGGAGGAGGGAACTCATGACTATGGCCCTGACTAGCCAAGCTGGGTGAAGACAGCGGTGATCGATGCTGCGCTATCTTGTCCATCGCATCATGCGGCAACGGCGTATCAGAAACTGCACGTTAGCCTTGCAGTACTCTCCCAACTTCGCCAAGCCCGAAATAACTCACGCTGGTATCTCCGCAGGTTCTCCATCCCGTGCGTACTGAGATTACTATCGCTCGGACTGATCTCATACCACCTCTTCCCACCGCTCAATCCCGCCTGACTCAGACTCATCCGCCTCGACACACTCCGAGCCCGGATGATACTTCCCACGGCGCCGAAGCCTCCACGAAGGGCGTCCATACCCGGGTCCTCGAAATGTGTGACTTCCTCCTTCTCGCTTTGCGCCTCAACGGGCTCGCGCGCGGCTTGCATGAGAATGGTGGTGCGCCGGCCGAGACCCTTGAACTTGGTCGGGTCGACTTTGGACATCTGGAGGAGGGTGATACCGAGGCAGATGGTGATGAAGCCGAGGACCATGGTGATGAGGGAGACGGCCGAGGCTTTGAGGCCTTGATAAAGACTGCTGGTCAGTAGAGGTCAAGCTCAGATGTATTGAAGCTTACATGAAGGAGGTGATCATGACTGCGGTGGTGAAGGTGCAGAAGTAGACTGGGACGACCATCGACGTGTTGACTGGGGTTTCAGCGCCGTTTCCTGCGCAAGGGGCATGATGATAGCTGAGACTCACATAGCTCGAGGGCCTTGTTGAGGTAGTTGATCCTGCCGAGTCAGCGAGATTGCGGCTTCCGTCTACTTGTCAACTCACTCGACCAGCAGAGTGACAACCACTGAAGACGTCAGCTCATGACCCACACATCGTGTCAGAACAAGCTTACCGAACACAAACAAGAACCAGAAGAACCAGTTTCTACGCCATCAGCACTGCACAATCTTCACCCGGTCCCCCCAGCTATCCTACTCACTTGACCTGATTATTCCTATCTTCGTCAGCCTTCACACCACCTTCTTCTGAAATCCAAGACTCACCCTCCGATACTCGTAACGATACTCGCCCCTAGTCCCTGCGTACAGCTCACGCTGACGCCCCCAATCAACGAGCAGATCGTCACATACACCATCATGTGCGTTTTGCCCCACTTCTTGGCGCCCCAAAAGGCGAGCACGAGACTGACGATGATGCACAGCGAGCCCCATACGAGGAAGCCCGGATGGAGGAAGAGGTGCTTGAACCCTTCGATGGTGGTTACGCTTTGTTGTTCGGGGGCGTTGAGGGCGAGGATGGTGGCTCCGATTATACAGAGGATGCAGCCTATCCAGCCCTGGCGGTTAGCGAGCGGCCTGGATGGATATGAACCGAGGAAAAGGAGCTTACGAAAAGGGTCAAGCTCTCTTTCAGGAAGAAGTGCGAGAGGATGGCGGATATGACGACGGATAAGGCGCCCATAGGCGTTACGAGGATAGCTTCGGTGAAAGCGCTACGAGTCAACTCTGCGTCCCGACTCCGACAAGCAGTGAGCTTACTAGGCCACAAAATTGAGAACTTCCCCAACGATCATCATTATCATTCCTGTGATCATCAGCTCTTCACCCTGCCCTTTCGACATGGCCAGAACGTACCAGTCCACCAGATCCAGTTCTTCAAATACGCATGCCCCTCCCCTGCTACATTCCCCGACTTGGTCGTAGCGTTCAACAGACCCTTCTTCTTGATTACAAAACTATCTTATCAGCTTCCTTTCTCGCCTTTTTCATCATAAGCAGCCTGTAACAGACAATAAGGAGACTCTACTCACCTCGATCCAATGAACACCCCACTGCCTATAGCCAGGCAAATACCCACGATCTTGAACGTAGGATTCGCCTTATCGCCTACTAATGACGCAGCCGAGGCCGACGCCGAAGCAGACGCTGATTCCGCCATCGTGTCGAGCGAAGAGCGGTTGCGGGAGAAGAGCGACGACCGAAGGTGCTGATGTTGCAAAGATCGCGTCAAGCTGTTCTCGCTTGCTTTTGTTTTGGTTGTCGACCTCCTTTTCCGCCCCTAGTGTTGAGTGTGTGTGCAAAGCCCAGATCTATACGCTATACAGCGCAGAACGCAGCAATGCGGTCCCTGTCGAGCTTCCGCAGCACCGGTCGAGAGGACGAAGCGGAAAGATCACCGCTTTGACCGCGCGACTTCACAGCTGTGTCACTCTTTCTTTCGCCGCGAGGGTTTCGACTTTTCTTCCCTGTCGAACGAGCGGAGATGGCAGCTGTCTAGAAGGTGTACCAGTGGCAAGGTGAGGTATGAAAGCATCAACCCATTCCACCACTTCTCTCTGTCTATCGAAAAGGGGGATCTCGCTGGTGCATGGGGCTCTGGGCGGTGATCAACGCGTTACGACATCTCTATTTTGGCGCCAGCCAGGCACGGTCCAGGTCCTCTTACTCGTACGCTCTGCTTCACCATCACTTGGGCTTGAGCTTGACTGCCAATGCCAGATGCCTTGCCCACTATACCTCCCTCCACCATAGCTCAACTCACATTACGGTCGTACGCGGCTTTACCCAAAAACCTCAAGCCCACGGTCCGTTCTAACGGTATACCCGAATGGACCATCCTCGCGTCTATCGTCCTCTCCCTTCCTATCCTCCCGGTTCCTGCCGCCGTCTCTACGCTTACGCCTCAACATGACCTCCGCCTGATCTCGCTCGGATCAGGCGTCAAATGCCTCCCGACGAACAGACTCCCGCCGTGTGGCGATACCTTACATGACTCGCATGCCGAGGTATTGGCCAAAAGGGGGTTGGGGCGATATCTCGCCGAAGAGGCTATTGCGCTAAGTAAAGGCGGAGGCAGCGAAGTATTAGAGGCTGTAGAAGAGCATCGGGAAAATGCGTTCCGGTTCAGGATGCGCAAGGGGGTAGGGGTGCACCTATACGTCTCGGCTTTACCTGTATGTTCGTCCTCAATACGCCGAAACAGGATGAGAAGAGGCTGAGGAAGCAGTGCGGAAACGCCTCTACGCTATACACAGCCGCTCACCAGCCCAAAGCCATGGCTGTGTTGAAAGAATCTACTTCATCTTCCCGTCCTCCAGCCGAGATCGAGGGCCCGCCAGCAAGCGCAACATCTCGCGGTCGAAACGGCTACACCAACACCTCCTCCCTCCGAACCAAACCCGGCCGTCCCGATTCTTTCCCTTCAATCAGCATGTCCTGCTCTGACAAGATCGCAAGCTGGAACGTCCTGGGTCTGCAGGGCGGGCTGTTAGGCAGATGGATCGAGCCGGTATATCTCGACAGTGTGGTCATTGGGGGCGTGGGGGATGCTCCGGCCGGACAGGGAGAATTTGAAGGAGGGGATGTGGTAGGCTGGAAGAGCGCGGATGGGGAAACCTGGGAGGAGGCTATCAAGGCTGAGGTCGAAGAGGCTTTGTATGGCCGCTTGGAGACCCTAGAACGTAAGTGATATCTCTCAACTATAATTCTCCCTTCTTGTCAGCATAGTACTTGGAGAACCGAGACTGATCAGACAGCCCACTTGCACGCGCCGTTCCGTCTCGCCCGACCTGCAATCCACCTCACTCCCCTCCTGTTCCCATTCGACAAGCCCACCATCTCCTCCCTCCATCCCGGATCCGAGCCCTCCCCCCAGCCCACTTCTGTCCTACACTACCTCTCCCCACAGGGATACACCACCGAACACCTCTTCAACGGGTGTGATCGGCGCGTATCGTGGAAGCCGCCGGGTCTGGTCCCGATTGAAGAAAGGCGGCGGAGTGGGGTGTGTAAGTTGGAGATGATGCGCGCCGGGGCCAGATTGGAAGACTGCATGTCTGGCGGAACAACGGTGGAGGTAGACGGAGAGAGGAGGAAGGCGAGGGGGTCGTACTATGATAAAAAGCAGGGGACAGCATACCAGTCGGTCAAGGCGCTCTTGAGGGGAGTGGCAGGGCCGCCGAGGTTGATACCCGGCTTTGAAAAGTGCGGACCATTGTCATCAACTGAGGCTCCGCAGCTCGAGGAGATAGGAGGCGAAGTCAAACCGCCTTTTACGGGCTGGATCGTGAGCGGTGCCAAGTGGGAGTCGTTCGACGAGGAAGGTGAAATAAAAACATAGACCCCATAAATATGAGCTACAACATGCATGAGTACAGATCATGACTCGCGATAAAAGTACACAACTAGCTAGCTACCATCGACCTCCTGAGCTTTGCCCCTTGCTTTCTACGCCGCTCCGCCTTCCTTGGCCGCCGCAGCGCTGGCGTCTCGGGTACCACTAGCTTTTGCCCCCGCTACCGCCGGCGCCTCCTCCTCCGCCTTCTTCATTGTACGCGGAATGACAGCCCTGAGCCGCTTTCGCTCCTCCGTATCCACAGGTAGATGTAGGGGTTTGGGTACATGCGCGTCAAAGCCGGGGACAGTCATATGATATTGCTTATCTGTCATATCAGCTGATGCGCGCCTTGACCTGATCTGGGTTGCACGAGGGACTTACCGACATAAAAGGCTAGATCCTTCAATTCGACCTTGTCTGACTTTCGATGCTTTGACAGTCTGATCCCCGCGCGCGTGACATCCAAGATGAACTTATCAACCACCTCATTCAGAATCTGATCATATCAGCCTATATCCCGCCGGATCTGACAACCATAGGGACTTACCTCGTCCAGCCCCAACTCGACCTCCAGTCCAGCACCCATCTCCGCCGTCCACTCCCTATACTTCCTCTTTCGCCTATCTGCCTCGGGCTCCTCTGGGATCCGCCGCGGCGCAGGCGGCATCGGCGGCGGAGGGACATACGCCCCCGCCAGCGCTGGATCGAGGTGGTGGTCTCGCAGTGGTGGAGGTGGGTGAGATGGGCCCGCTGATCCCGATCCCGCGTTCGCGCCGGACGGGCCGAAATTAGACGAGGATTGCAAAGTCGATGTAGACGAGCCTTGGCCCTGAAGAGCATTGTTGGAACGGGGAGGAGGAGGCTGTGCGAGCGTAAATCCGGGATTGCCTAGGACAGGCGTAGGGTTGGAGCTCTGGAGCGTAGGGGGAAGAGTGGGGATCGCGATTGTAGAAGCGGAAGTGTTGGTGGGTGGGGGACGGGCGGGTGTGGTCGTGGTGTTGGGCTTGGCGAGTGTGGCGGATGGTTGCGAGTTGGAAGGTCCGGCTTGATTTTGTCCGGCTGAGTGGCCCGCTTGAGCTTGAGAAGCCTGAGCCTGCGCAGCGGCCATCTCCTTTGCCCTCGCTTGGCCCCGATACCAATTCACCGATTGTTCGAACCTCCGCTTCAACTCGGGTTCCTGGTTCGTCAGCTCACATATCTGGACAATGACTACTCCCGGCCACTCACATTTCGCATATGCTCGACCCGCTCGGCAGCTGGCATGCTAGCCCATCGCTTCAGCTCATCCCCCTTCATCACCCCCGGCGGCGGTGCCTGCCTAATGATCGCCGGCGCGAGGAGTGGCGTACCTGCAGGGGATGGCGCAGCAGATGGAGCTGGCGAGCCCGCCCCCGTTGCTCCTGCTGGCCGGACCTGTGGCCTGCCCGCCATGGATGGCGGCCGGACACCTATAGTCGTCGACGCGGGGCTAGAAGCTGGCGTGGACGCAGTCGAGGCCGAAGGCTCCAGCTTGGGAGCTGTGAGGGTTCCCTCTGCAAGTTTTTGCCTCGCTTCGGCCTCAGCGGCAGTGATCAACTGCGTCCACTTGGCCGGAGGGATGAGGCTCGGCTGGCCCATTGGCATCAGACTCGGGTCGAGCGATTCGGGGATATCGAGCAGGGGGTTGGACTTGCCACCCTTGATAGCGTGGAAGATGATATATCGGTGATGTTCCAGAATAGCGCCTCGCAGCTAGGTCGTCAGCTACCAGAGCCTAAAGATAGCCAAGAAAGGATGGCCCCGCAAACGTACATAGGTCGAACTGCCGATGTTCAAAGCCCCCTTTCGCGCGGTGATGAAAAGCTGATCAACATTGCTGAGTATAGAGCTCATGTTGCCCTTCTGCGTGGCGGCTTTGGTGGCTTGCGAGCCTGGCGTCCCAGCTGGGGGCCGGGCGGGAGTGGGCGCCATCCTTCCTCTGAGGAAGGGGTCGATACGGGGTTACGTGGTGGCGAGCGTGGTTGAAGCTGTCCCACCATACACCTTTCGGACGGCCTATCAGTCTCTCTGGAGCAGTGGCCAGGATGTTGTATAGCTGTCTGATCTGGCAACTGCTATAGCGAGTGGGATGGAGGAAGACGATGTTGCTCACAGACTAGAGGCTGGCTTGCAGCAGCGAGTTATGCGGAGACACGGGGATCCCGCTGAACTCCGTCATCTGACGTAATCCTTCCCACTCTACGCGTTTCTCCCACCCAAAACGCGAAACTCTTTCTCTTTCTCTCTCTTCCCGCACTCGCTTCTATGCCGCAACATGGAGGTGGAGTATGAGCCCGCTCCTATGCCAGCCGAGAGCCGCCTGGCTGGCCCATCGTCATACTCTGACGACGAGGACGACGCGGATGTAGACGCTGAGGCTGAGGCTGAGGCTGAAGTAGAGGCAGAGGAGGCGCCTGGGGCCGGTGCGGAGGACGATGCCGAGGCTGAGGAAGAAGAGGAGGAGGATGGAGGAGAGGCACAGGGTGAGTCCTGCTCTCCGCTGTATGATTTGTGATTGCTTCTTTTGCAGCAGAGCTTCAGCTGATCTTCCCAGCTGCCCCAAAAGCAAAAGCTAAACGAGTCATCAAGTCCCGCCAATCCCTCGCTGAGAAACAACCCGGAACCACCCTCTTCCCCATCGCTCGCGTCAAGAAGATCATCAAGGCCGACAAGGACGTGGACACCATGAGCGCCGAGGCGACTTTTCTGATTGCTGCTGCTACTGTGAGTCGCGCTTTCTCGCCGACACTGGCGTTCGGGAAATGGGAGAGGATTTGGCTGATGAGCTAGGAATATTTCATCAAGCACTTTATGGAGGAAGGATACACCAAAGCTCGGCTTGACAAGCGGAAGATTGTCAATTATCGCGACATGGGTATGTGGTTTCCTCCAGCGACCCCTACCGTTGCTAGTCTTTGCGCAGGTGTGCTGACGCGTCAGCTTCCGTCGTTGCCCGTTCAGACGAGTTCAGCTTCTTGCAAGGTAAGCTGTTCTTCTGCCCACTCTCTTGCCAAATCACCTCCCTACCCGCCCACCCCGAAATGATGAATACAAAGTATCAGAATCGCTTGGAGGTCTCCGGACCGCAGGACCCAAAAATCTTCTTACTGATCAACCTCCCTCCCTCCCTCCCTCCCTCCCTCCCTCCCACCCTCCTTCCTCCCTTTCGACCTACCAATCTTGTGGTAAGGTCATGAGCTGACGGAACAAGATGTCATCCCTATGCCTATGCAGATATCGGAAGCTCTCGAGAAGCGGAAACAGAAAAGTAAGTTTCCACCCATCCCCATCCCCTATACCTGTCCTTCCAGCCAGTCGCGGATGAGTCCCGATCCAAGCTGACTGCCAGAACTCCGCGACGAAAACCCTACGATCCACGATGAAGACCCCTCCTCGGTCGACGCAAACGACACTCTCCCCGCTCTGACCGGCTCCAAGAATCCCCTATTCCCCAATGCAGTCATCAGGCGTCCAACCAATACCCACGCCAAAGGTTCAACCAAAGGTGGTGCTGGTCCCTCTGCCGCCGGGCCATCTTCTGACTTGTCGGATGAGGATGAGCTATTGACGGGCGGGGTCAAGCCGACGGGTACAAATGTAAGTGCAGCTGTCGAGATCCTTCCGAGTTCCGGGTCGAGGAATTTTAGCTGACTCTATAGGGAACACCGAGTCATCAGCACGGGACGAGACGAGCGAGGCAGAGCGCAGCTGCAACAGAGATGGTGGCCGATTCGGATGAGGAGAGCGGGGCGCAGGGGACGATACGCGCTGAACCTTTTGATGACGAGGTCGAGCCTATGGATGAGGATTAGGCTCGATGGCAGTAAGGTAGAAGTTGTAAATTGTATCGCTATCTAAACAATGAAGATGACTAAACTCATAAAGTGGACCAGTCACAGAGTGCAAGCCAAGATAGCGAATCAGTATAGCATGCGAAGACGAAATGAAGCTACAACGGTTCCATAAAGTACAAGTACCCAGCCTAGCCACCACTACTCCCCCTCTTGTACCCTCCTTCCCCCGACCTCCGCCTCTTTCCCGCCCTCCTGCCCTTGGGCTTCTTCCCCCTGCCTCTATCCCCGTCTCGCCTCATCTCTCCAACTAGCTCTGCCCATATCCCGCCATGCCCGCCTGCATCATCCCCTGCTGGATCATCCCCTGCTGCTGTTGCTGCTGTTGCTGCTGCATCATCTGTTGATACTGCTGCTGCTGCTGCTGCTGCTGTTGTTGTTGCTGCTGCTGCCCATTCATCATTCCGCCCTGGAATCCCTGGAGTCCCATCTGCGCCGCAGCCGCCGCAGCCGCAATCATCGCCTGGGCGTTCATCGCCTGCGCAGGATTATAGATCGGTGCCGGGGTACCTGGCGGCATGCCCTGTCCCTGTATATGGCCATTTCCGATGGGGCCGCCGTATCCTTGCGCCGGCTGTACTTGCGCCTGCCCGGCGGTACCTCCCGCTCGTTTCTTGGGTGGCCCTGAAGCCTGCGCGGGGTCGTCGTTCCGGCCAATGCCCGCCGCCGCTCCAGCTGGTATGGTGATACGGATAGGCTGGGGCTGTTCCATCCTGGGCGGCTCGATCCGAGGCGGCCGGGCGGATAGCGCTTGGATAAGCATATCCCCGACATCCGCAAAACCAATATTCGCGCCCCATGAGGTAGACCCGCCAAAGTTGCCGCCGCCGCCGCCATACGTCCGACTCGCGACGTTCCGCTGACGATTCCTCGCCGCGGCTTGCGCTTGTGCTTTCGCCTTTGCGCCCGAGGACCCCGGCGCCGGATAGTGTAGTCGCCCGGTGTTCCCGCTTGGTGTCGCCCCTATCGATCTGACGATGATGGCACACCGTTCCCCTGCCATCCGCGTGAATTGTACCAACTCCCTCCCTTCCGCCTCTCCCATCATGCGCCCACCCGTCCCATCGTCCTCGTCCCCTCGGGACCGCCCGTGTCCCTTGTTGCCTCCCCCTCCAGCGCCTGTTCCGACCGCGCCGGTCCCGCCCGCCTTCTTGCCCGGAACGTACTTTGTCGGCTCCTTAAACTTGGGGTTATTGATCCGCTGCCACTCGAGATAGAGCTCGTCGTAACCCCTCGTACGGCCAAGAACGGCTCGTTTAGCCCCAACAGTATGGGTCTTGCACGTGAGGGATCGCGCACACGGGTGGCCTTTGTCGTTGATCACACCGCACTGCTTGTCGAGGTTGATAGGACCAGATACTAGATGTCAGCATGACCGGCGCACACCTTAGAACGCTGAACTCACCCCGCATCCGTTTTCGCTCCGCTGCCTCTGCCTTCTCCTTGTCCTTGATCTCCTTCTTCTCCAATCGTTCCTGCTCCTTCTTGATCTTCTTGATCTCGTTCTTCTTCAGCTTGGCAGCCTTTGCAGGCTCATCTCCGCCAGCTACAGCCTTGCCGGAGGTGTTAGCACCAGCAAGAGGAACATTGATAGATCGGTCGGTCGGCTGCTTGGACGGTTTCTTTCGGGATGGGCCGTCTTCCGAATCTAGGCGTCGTTAGTAGTGATTCTTCATAGCGAGGCGAAGACATCCATGTCTGAGGAAAGCGAGACCTACCATCCGACGCCCTCCGCTTCTTGCTCTCACTCGTCTTGATACTCTTGCCAGACGTTGCTCTCTTGTTCGCAACCAGCGGAATGCCCTCAATGACATGCTTGCAGTTCCCTATCCGGGTCAATCACTTGCGCTTGCGTCTGCTCTCGCATTCGTGGGTCTCACAACTCACGCTGATGCTCTCCGAAGCTCGCCTCCATCGTAGACCTCCCACACTCTGGGCACCTGACCAGCCCCCTCCCCAGTTCCTGTCGACTGCCAACAGGGTGTGCGCCGAACATCTGCATATCGCGCTCGGGGAGGAAGTCAGCGGGTGGCCGAGATGCAGAGGTGGATGAGCCGGCTGCAATGCTGTTTCGAATGGCGGGTTGGGGCGGCTGAGATAGGGAGGGGTAGGTGAAGGGAGGGAGCGGCGGGCGGGGGGTGAGATTGAGCGGCATCTTGAGGGTTTGTCGAAGCGGTGAGAGGTGCAAATAAGGGGTTGATATGTACGGCGAGCGATAATCTTCGGAAGGGTGTGGATGGTTGCTGATATGATCAATGTACTGTGCCTGATATGTGTAGAGGCTGAGGACATCCTTCAGTGGCCTGCTTCCTCTGCACCAACTCGCTGCAGGTCCGATGAAACCCGAGTCCGTGCGTAGGCTTTGGTGGGGGAGGCCTAGGGGTTCTTGTGCATGACATACATTGCCTTGCCATGCAAACGTGCAAGTAACGCCTGCCCGCACGGAGCTGTGTGGCACGAGACAGTAGCTGGAGCTACCAGCAATCACACAAACCCGGAGAAGAACAATATCATGTCATTCTGAGGCGGATATACCATTACGATCCGCCAAGTCCAAGACCCCCTCCATGTATGCTGGACTATTGGAGACGGCTCTGATTACGTGTCCCCACTTCGCATCTTGCTAGCAAATATGCTGAACGAAGAGCCCATATGCCGATCGCATACAAGCTCACGCTACCAAGCTGTACGAGTAGAGGTGAATAAGACGACACGCGACGCGTCTAACCTGCTGTAGCTCAAGTAAAGGCGGTGTAGGGTTCCCGCATCCGGTTACAGACCGGATATATGTACTCTCCTTATCAGAGTCACGGAAGAATCTAGGCGATCTGTCGCGGAGTAGACTGGTGTCACAGGGGAAACGTCGCCAATTGAGGCCATTTACCGCCTGATTTCCAACACGATCTGACCTACATAAGGGATGTTCCAATCCATGTGGACCCCCTTGATTCTCCTTCTCGATTCCATTCTGCCCCTATTCCACCAAGTCCCACTGCCCGTTGTCCGGTTATTCGAGTACTCATACCTCACCGATAGCTCCATGTCCACGACTGCTTCGTGGTATCAAAATTGGGTGTGGCGCCACCAACTCCGCCAACTCCTCATTCCTCATCTGTCCGCGCCCTGTACTCCTCATGCACGTCGTCTACGCCCTTCGCAGTGAGCTTCGTACTGACTTCTAAACGGACAAGTTGATGTATGATACTCTACTCTTTTTTGGAACGAGCTCACCGCTGACTCGAAGCTAACATCGGGATTAAATATATCCCTCACTAACCCCTCGGCGATCTGACACCGTTGACTCGCCACCTTACTTGTTGACATCCCACCGGGTCTCACCGTTCTGAACGGTCTAATCCCACAGACCGGCAAGTCCCGCACTATCAATAGTGTCTCCGCAAATGCCACGCCATGGGAGGCGTGCACGCATGCTGTGCTGAGGGTGGCAAATGACACGTAACGAGTGCTGATGTCACTGGCCCTGTCTGTCACTTCCTCTTTCTCACGCATACCTGGAACCCTGCTCGGAGGCATCACCAACATCGACGCACTCTTCAGTCCTGACACATTCGTACGATGGGTCCTGATAAGACAAGCAAAAAGGATCGCCGCCCTCGACGTACTGGTGGGGGTGACGGCTACATCACCTCTATGTGTACCCGGAAGGAGGCCCTGGAGAAGGCCAGGCAGGTACGAGAGCAAGCGGAGTACTGGAGTTCAGTGTCTGTGGTTCTTGATGGCACGGAGTACATTTCCTCGTGAGTAGCATGTATGGGAGCAGCAAAGTCCTAGCATACTTGCCAGAACTGAGCGCGGTTGTCTGCCTTGTCTCCATGCCGAAGGCTGATGGGAGCTGCCTATTCCTCGCCCGCGCTGACGATATCAGGCAGTCCACACCGTCATCGCTGGAGCACCAGGAGCTTGACCTCTCATACCTGAACTATCTTGACTATGCGGCCCTAGCGGAGGAGAAGATGTGGTATGACCCGTCGACCCTCGAGGACCTCGACCCGGACTCCCACAACCAGACTTTCGGCCCTTCCCACTACGCTTCACCTTCCTCTGCCTATTCGACCAGTTCCTTATCCTCTTCCGCATCCTCCCCAGCTTCCGCTTCCTCATCACCCTCATCATCATCATCGTCCTCTTCGTCCGCAACCTCCCTCACTTCGGACCATCAGTCGGACCCTTCCGCCAATCGTAAAGGCACGCCTCCCACTCCAAATCCGTCGAATCAAGGATTCTTCGGCCCAGCAGGCGAGCCCAGGATCATGCATCAGAAGGAATGGACGGAGGTATTGGAGGCTCATAGGATGTTGGTGCCTTGGGTCAAGGGCAAAGTGTATCGGCCAGAAGAACTGGAGCCGATCCAGACAGGTCCTCTGGAAGGCGAGCAGCAGATTGAGGAGCAGGAAGTGCAAGATCAGCCGGAAGATCTGGATGCGGAAGGAGAGGTACTGGGGATTGAGGAGTGGGATGACCTTTTAGCGAACGAAGAGGTATGGCGGGTAAGTCGATCTCTCTTTTACAGTACTCTAGATTCAGGTGGCCTAGAGATTAAAGCTGATGACTCAGTCCTCTAGCACATTCGTCTGAGGGTTGGAGCAGCTGGGTGTATGAGCGTGGAAAGTGAGAGATCTTCCTCATGTCGGGCGCGCGTGTGACGACTGACCAAGCAGACAGCTCTTGATCAGAGAGAAGCAGGGGACGCGTACGGTTGGGCAGGTCAGGGGTCTGAAGGGAGGAGAGTGCTGTATTGGTGGATGCCCAAAAAGAAACACTGTATCATGCTCAATTTGTACTCTATAGCGTATCTTGTTACCTTCTTTTCGCTGCTATACATTCGCATGGTCGTCTTATGCTCTCTACGTATGTGCATCTCCTATATTGCTAGTGACGGAGCTCTGACTTTCTCCCGCAGATCCCGTTCAAATGATGCTAGAGTGCCCTCGAAGCCCGCTACCAGCCTGGCCAACCTCTCGCCCACTCCCTCGCCCTTCAAACCCTCCTGTACCCTACCGATCTCCCATGCCTCTATACCTCTCCGCGCAGCCTCTTCCGCCTCGTCCCGCTCCTTGGCCCCTTGGATGGCTCCCCGTATCTGCCGAAATTGCCGCTGTGTTGCGAGGCTATGGGACGAGTGGGCGTGGAGCGTCTCGCGAAGGATCAGCAAGGTTGGGAGGAGGGGGTCGGGGTGAACATCCTGAACCAGCCGCGATACGGGTGTCTCCTCTGCCAACAAGCCATCACCCTCCACTTCTAGTGCGCCGCCATACCCCACCCTTTCCCACCGCTCCGCCAATCCCTCCAGCTCTCTCATCCGCTCGTCCAATCTTCTTTCCCGCTTCTGCATCCCCACCGCATACCCCGTCAAGCGATCCACGATGTCCATCCCCGCATACCCCGCCGAGTTGTCCGTGATGGTCCCTCTGGACGAGACCGACGATATAGACCGCGCCGACGTGGAAGTGGACAGCGAGAGTGTTGTCTCCGAGGTATGATGAATCCCCTTCAGCCCGCTAATCAGCCTCGAGGTGCTCGCTATGCACTCTTCCAGCTCGACTAGCGGGTCTCGTTCGAGCGCGGGGGTGTAGCGGGATGAGGAGTCAGGTGGACGTGGAGGAGGTGACCGAGTGGACTTGGGAGAGGTGGGTCCTCGAGCGGGAGGCGTATGTGGGGATTCGAGAGGCGGAAGATCGAGCGAGTCCTCCAGCAGGGGATCCTCGCCAAGTAGGTCGCTCATCCCGCCTGATCGGCTTGATGAGTAGGATCCCCGTCGCTTGGATGAGAGACGACCGGTGGGCGTGGGAGGGGTGCCGAGGTGGGGTGTGAGGAGGATAGGCGGATTGGGGGAGGTATCTAGGGCATTGTCGACCTCGTCCAGCGAGCCTAAACAGTCAGCATGATCTACTGTACGGTCCTATCCGATGATGCCGGTGGGTGTCGAAGTGGGCTGAAGAGTCTTCAGTCCGCTATGAGCCACTCACCGTCCCCCTGTACGTCCTCGTCCAAGCCAAAGTCCAGCCCAAACTCATCAGCCAAGCTCCGCCCACCCGTCCCTTCGCCTTGATCAAACACATCCGCCAGCTCGTCTGCGAGGCTCGAGAACCCCATCCTTGCTGATGGTGTGGATAGTCTGCAATGATGATATGAGTAGTCTGCAAGTATGGTATCAGCGAGATATGGTAGATGAGTAGACGTGATGGCGAGGACAACGGACCTTCACGCACATCGGACCGTGCACTCGTTGAGCTTGTTTCCCCGTGTTTCAGATAAGGTTTGCTCCCGCTTGTTTCATCCATTGTCCTCCCGCTGCGGCCAATGGACCAGTAACCAAGCTCATACATCGCTATTCTGACTATTGGAGGTAGATAACACATTAGAGAAAAAGTCACACAAAGAACACCTCGTTGGCCCTTGCCCGCCTCGCCCCCTCCGTTTTTTCCTACTACATACCCTACACCGCCACCGCCTTCCGCCTCGCCATCGCCGCCGCTGGTAGTACAAGTTGATAGGATAGGTTGATCGGATGAAGGGAGTGGTGGAGAGGTCGGAGATGAGGATAGGAGATGATGTGGGGGACTCGATCAATCGTACTTCTTGATGGAGGGATGACCGCGCACGCGGAACTGCGCATATACCGGGATATGACTGGATAGTCAGCTTCGTTCACGTCTGTGGCGTGTGGATATAACTCACTCGGATGGGAAGTGAGCATTCGGGAACCCGACCACCTTGTCCAGATACGTCTGATCCACATCCCCCAGCACGCTCGTCACCTTGAGGTTCCGAGGCGTGTAGAAGATATAGTCGATCGTAGCCGTAAAGGCGGGAGTAAAGTTGGTCATCTTCATCTCCCCAAAGCTCGCACACGCGCTCTTCAGATCCGCCTTGTGCTCCAGACCCTTGGCAGTGTACGGACCGTACCGATGGGTCATAAAGTCCTCGTGGTCTGGCGGGATATCTCCGTTGGATAAGAAGTCATATACCGCCGACCCCGAAAGCGAGTTGAGATCCACGCAGAGGATGAAGGGCATGTCTCGGCCTTCCTCCGCCTTTTCGTACGCGGGCGGTCCCATCCCGTTGGCATATTCCGAGTCGAAGGATTTGGTAGGGCCGAGGAGAGCGAATTGCGCCGTAAGCTTTTCGAGCTCCTCCATGAGCATCCCGATCTGGACGAGCTTGACGTCCCGGAACCGGTGATCCCAGTAGATATGCGAGTTGGCGACCAAGATCCGAGCACCAGAGGCTTTGAACTCGAGCATGGCGACGACCGCGATGTTGTCTCGAGACATGACCCGGTTGAACATGTCGTCTGTCCGCATGTCCATCTTTTGGATGGCGACCCGAGCGAATTCGACGACCTGATGTTCGATCAGACGGAACCTGCACATTAGCCCAGAGCTGCCAAGCTGTTCGGAGCACTCACTTCTCGGCCTTCCAGAAGATACAGCATCCATCCACCTTGGCCTGCTCCTCCGGCGTCATGGTCTTTGCCCTACTCCTGGGATAGTGCGTTCCCTCATACCCGTGCTCCTGCAACGCAGGGAGCAGGTACTCCGAGTAGGTCGCCACGTCCACTTCCTGCAGACAGACAACATCTGCTGACGCGTTTGTCAACTCGTTGAGGATCGTCTGTTTCCGGTAGTTCCAGTCGAGCGCCCAGTTGGGTGTGTACTTGTACATCGCCGTTGTGGCAAAGTGGGAGCAGAGGATATTGTAGGTGAGGACTGTGAAGGATTCCTGCTTTCCGGAGGAGGGCGAGTCGATGTCCGCGTCGACATCCACCCACTGCCGTTCAGGGGGAGACGTCGTGACCGGCGAGTTGTCCCGGAAGTGTGCGACCAACGCCTCCGTTCCGTCATCCGCAATCATCTTGCGCAGCCTCTCCTCGATCGGGTTCCCCTCAATTCCCAACGTCACCAGCTTGAACAACATGCCCACCTCGGACGGCAAGGTTGTGATGTGGTTGTCGAAGAGCAGCAGCTCTGTAAGGTTGAAGAGGCAACCGATCTCCGCCGGGATGGCCGTGAGCTCGTTGGCCGTAGCATCGAGGATAGTGAGGTGCCTTAGCCGGCCGATACCGGGAGGGAGGGCGGTGAGGTTGTTGTGATTGACGTAGAGGGCGGTGATGTGGGCGAAAGCAAAGATGGCGGGGCTGAGGGTCTTGAGATGGATACCCCCTAGATCCAGACCGTACCATGGCTCCGATGGTCCCTCATTCTCCGTTGGTGCTGGTGCTACTCCGGGATTGGAGGGATCTACCACCGAGACACCGGGAGTGGTGGCCGTATCTGAGAGGTCGGGGGTGACTGAGCGATCGGGAAGGGGAGCGATAGAGAGGGAGCCGTTCTTCTTGTGGACGCCGTTGGTCTGGAGGTTAACGACCGAGGCTGGACGGCCGCTATCGGATGGGTTGGCAATGGTGACCGTGGAGGGCTTGTTGGTCATTCTCGATGCCATCGCCGCTGTCCTTGCTCGGTGATGAGGCGAGTTGGCAGCTCGGGATGACTGAATGTCAGCTAGAATTCCATGGATAGGTCATCATACTGCTCACCTCTGCTCTCAGCAATTGCTGCTGCCACAACGCCGTCATCGGCATATCCCTCTCATTCCTTGGCGGACTCCCCTGCCCATTCCCTACAGCTCCAAAAGCGCCCATACCACCGAATCCGCCTGCTCCATTCTGCCCAAACATGCCCCCTCCCTGTCCTCCGCCGAGATGCAACCCATTCCCGCTCCCAAAGCTCGGATGGCTCGGGTGCGACCCATTCACGTGGTGACCGACGTGAGGATGGTTGCTGTGTTGCTGATGATGATTGAATTGGTTGTGATTCGAGTGATGAGGTTGATGGGAATGGTTGGCGTGATGGGGTGGGGGAAAGCCGAGCATGCGGGGGTCGTTGGGAGGGAAGCCGGAGGATGAGGGGAGAGGGAGGGGATTAGACGGTTGGAAGGGATGTCGACCCCATCCCGACTGGCCGTTCACGCCGGGAGGTCCATCGTGGAGCTTGCCTGCTCCGCCGGCCACCGATTGGCCGGTCGAGCCGTGGTGGTAGTACATTCAGTGGTGGGGGTATCGGTGAGTCTGTAGATCAGCCAATGTACAGATATATGGGCAAAGGGGAGGCGAAGGAGTTGAGCGGGCCGGCGATAGGATGACGTGTCGACAGTCACTTACAGTCTCTGGTTGAAAGGAGCGGTTGAGGCTCAGGAAGGGGTTGTATGCGAGGGATGGGAGGAGGCGGAGTATCTGATCGATCCAGCATGAGAGGTTGCTATACGCCTCCCTTCAAATAGCGACGGCCCGTGTGTAGTCGATCACTTGGCTTGACTCTAGCGAGCGAGTAGGCCAAAGGTGGACCGAAAGCGGGGTGGACGGTATGTAGCGGAACGAGATGTGTGAACGACAGATCGTCCTCCCGGGATGTCGGAATTGTGAGGGGCAAGATCGCGGCTCAAGAAGCTTCTGATAGTTGGCGACAAAGGGGGCGCTGTTCGGCTGCTTGACTGCTGTTGGGTATGATATGGTATTGTTCTAGGGGGTCAAGTGTGTCAGGACTAGGAGAAGAATAGGCCCTCTATGCTGCAGTGCTGCCTGCTGCGTGACAGCGACGAGCGAGCTCCCTCCCAATCTGATTCCGTCGGATCCCGCGAGTGGCGGCAGCTGAAAGTGGCACTCAGGGTCACATGCCACAAAGGCCAGTTTACGGCGTTTCAGCAGCCGAGAGTGGCAAGTGTGGCACTGCATCGGCTCAAAGGTGCGCAGGATAGCGGTTATGCCTCGGCTTTAGAGTGGTGCGGTGCGTGCATGGCCAAGGACATCCTTTCGTCCCCTGCCCCTCCGCGAGACTCCTCTGGGTGCAACATTGGACTGTTGGACACTGCTCTCCCCGTCAGACCGATCCTACCTGCTCCTCAGTCTTGATCGTCATCCATCAGCACATTGATGCACCGACCAGTACTGACGCTCTCTGTTTACCTTCCAATGCCAGGCAAAGCGGTCTCTAATTCCTCTGAGACTTCAACAGCTGGGCCTAACACGCCCGACGAAGACATCGACGCTGCTGAGGACCTGCTTTGGCGCATGCGGGCAGCCCATACCACAAATGACACTCTCTCTCGACTCTCTGAGAACCCTAACTTCGCACGCCGATATCATCCCGCAGAAGCCATCGATTCTCTTACTTGTGTAAGTAGGGCGCTTATCAATAAGCCAAACACTAGCCTCAATGCCTTGCATTGGCTGACTATGCAGCTCCTTGAGGGCTTCACCCCCGATGGTAGTTCGGCCCTGCCGTTTGGCATCGATTTCGCTGCCGAGCATGGAGTACAACTGCGGAGCAGCGAGCAGAATTATCGAAATGTCGATCGCGCGGTTGTATGTCACATCATGGATCTGACGCATATCTACACCGCGTTCTCCCTACTGGAATATCCGGAGCTGTGGAGAGGACCGGTAAGTCAATGTCTGCATTCTCAAATGATATACGCACGCCTAGGGAGTCTGTGACCCATTGCTGACCTTTTCGGAAACCGTCGGACTCGCCACGTACGCCTACTACCGATGTACGACTCAGCGAGCTCACAGGGTGGTACCTCGATCCGTTTGCGCATACAACCAAGGAGGAGAAGAGGACAGCTATTCATCGGATGATTGACGGCTATCTTTCGCGGGACATCGACCGCGAGCTCGCGGCCGACATGGGGATCCGGAGATGGCCAGAAAGTGGGTCCTGGAGGGATCTGAGGAGAAGTGACTATTCGAGACTGTCAGCCGTTGCCGCTGATGCTTGGAATATCAGCCGGCGGATGGTGGAGTTGAGCGGACTGATTGAGCGACGGGATGCGGCGTGGCAGGAGTCGCGGTTGAGGGAGGAATCACGAAGTTCAAGGCTGCCAAGGTCCCTTGGGAGGCGGAGGCCGAGGCACTGATGAGCTGGTCAGACGTCCCACTTGGGGGAGCTGATCTCGTGCGGGGGCGGGATACACTCCATGGGTGCAGAGGTAGCGATGATCATGTTCAAGCTCCATTTAAAGTCCTGTACAGCAAGCTGTCTGAAGCCTGACCGAGCGAGCTTTTCTTACAGCCTACCCAGAGTCAACATTATACGTGTATCCATCACACTACTTTTCCGCTACGAGCTATTTCAAGGATATCAACCACTAACTACCTCAACATTTGTCTACACTTCCCTCGAAAATTAGGTCATAGATCCCCCTTTTCCCATTTTGACCCCCCACCCCCCCCACCACTGCCTACTTCTTACTCTTCACGCTCCCCGCCCTGCTTCCAGCCTTACTCCCCGCCTTACCAGTCGTCGTCTTCTTGTTGTCCTTGCCCGCCTCCCCCTTGAACTCCCCATTGTTCCGACTCAATCCCTTCCTCGCACGGGTATACTCCTCATCCCCATCCTCCTCGTCCGAGGTATCATCCCTCATCCGCCCTATCCTTGTGTTCCACTTTGGCCCATCCGCGGACTTAGCTCCGGGCTCCGGGCTGTCCTCGCGGTTGACGTCTGGCTTGTCCGGATAGCCCTGCGTAAGAGGCGCAGGGGCATGGACCGTGTCCATCGGCGAGTCGGGTGCGGTGATACGTACGGATTTGGGCCGGCGGGACGCGCGGGACTGACGGTCGTCCTCGATTTGGTTGTGCGGAGCATTCCCAGCAAGGGCGGTATCGACGCTCTCATCCTCCGAGAACTCTTCCTCGTCCTCGTGGCCCCTAGAGCTCATCTTCTCTACGGCGGGCGGACCGACATTGATCCCCAACCGCTTCACCCGCTCATTGTCAACATACTTGTACTTCTTGGCATTGTCCTCCTCCTCGCTGCTGCTCTCCTCGGCGTGGTCACGCCCACTGTCGCCATCGACAGCAGACTCGTACACGCTCGCCCCCTCCTCGGTGTTCATCGAGGTGTAGGACGCGCGGGTGCTTGGCCGGGGCCGATCCGACTGGGACGGAGCGATAGGGAAGGACGACGGGACCGGCTTGTCTTCCCTGGGCAGGTCGACTCGGCCGGGAGCAGTGACCGAGATGAGCGTCTTGGGCATCTCAAGCGGAGGCGCCAACGGCTGCGGGGACGACGGCCGCAGCGCCGACTTGAGCGGGGCCGGCTGGAACCGGGATGGCAGAGGGGTAGTGGACCGGTTGTCCTTCTCCACCTGCGGGACCTTCTTGAGCGAGTTGGAACGCGAGATGGATTGGTGCGGGTACAGCTCATCCTTGTTGACGACCTCGCGCGGCGCGTCGCCCGGTCGGACGATGGACGATCCGGGGGCTTTGGGGAGCTCCATCTGGGGGTTAACGTGGCTGCGGGGAGCCTTGGGGACGTCAGGCATGATGGGGGCGGACGGGTTCTTGGGGTCCGACTTGGACACGAGCGACATCATGTTGTTTTGGCTCGTAGCGGGCTGAGCACCCAGTCCGGCTCCGCGCGAGATGGACCCGTTCGGCCGGGTCTTCCTAACCGAGCCGGGAGACGACTTGACCGTGTTGGTGGTCTTGGTCGTACCCACCGATGCGGTCGACTTGGCCACCGACGCAGTAGACCGGACGGTGTTGCTGCGTGCCATAGCAGGAGACTTGGCGCCGGTCGCAGCCCGGCCGGAGGGATTACGAGCCGTGATGGTGCTCGTACTGCCTGGAGCGCGAGAGCCGGCACCGAGGTCCGACCGGGTAGGCTTGGCGGGGATGAGACCGCTCGCGACGGGAAGCTTGGAGTTGCGCTTCGAGCCCGTTCCGCGGCCGATGGTGTCGACCGAGAAGGTGCTGTTACGGTTGTTTGAGACGCTGACGAGGTTGCCATTGTCCTCGTCAGACGAGCTGTCATCGTTGTTGCGCCCCCGGGACCGACCGGCGAAACCTGAGCCCGCGCGCTTCAGGTTGGTGTCGGTCCTAGTGGACCATCCGCCGCCCTTGGAGTTGGAGCCGTAGGGCGGAGAGTCCCGCCCAGACCCCTCCCTCTTCTTGTTACTCTTGAAGAGCCGCCCGATAGACGCAAAGAAGCCCTTCTTCTTGACGGGTACGCCACCGCGAGAAGAAGCGTTGGAGTTGTTGGAGTTGGTCCGGTTGAGTGCGGCGCCGGGCTGGCGGTCGTCAGACTGCGCGCGGCGGAGGGACCGACGCTTGGTGATGGGCGTGTAGGACATCCCGCCGACATCGCTGGCGGCGCGCCTGCGAGGAGGTGCGTCGCTGTCCGAATCGTCACCGCCACGGCCGTACGCCTGCGAGCTTGGCCTGGGGCGGTAGTTGGTAACGCTGGGCACGCCGAGTGGGGCGGCCTTGAATCCACTGCCACCGTTGGTGCGGGTAGCCTGGGCGCTGGATGGGCGGGGTGTAGCTGCGCCGGCCCTGTTCTCGTGTACCGTCAAGTTGCGCGGTGCGTCGTCGTCCGAAGACCCCTCCTCCTCCTCGGCGATACTGCCGGTGATCGAGCCGGGACCGTGGGGACCGTGAAGACCCTTGGGGAATCGACGGTGGGTTGATCCAGCGTCGTCAAAGCCGATCTGGGAGGCGGATTGCGAGGGGGCAATCGAACCGTTCGAGTCGAGCTCGAAAGCGTTGGGAGGGAGGTCTGATCGTCAGTTGCGTCACTGCAGTGTCAAGGTATGGGTAGCTTACCGTGCGCCTTGTCGAGATCCGCAAGACCCTTCTTGGCCTGACTGACCCACATCCGCCCTACCGCATCCATTGCCCTGAAACGCTCCTCCAGTCCCCTGAGCATGACCTTGTTCCTCTCCTTCTCGATCCTCACCTCCAATCCTCTCAGGTGCTCCTCGCACCCAAGCAGCTCCGCCTGGGCATCCGCAAGCTTTCCGGCCCGCTTGCCCTCCTTGGTAGCCGCTGACCCGTCGCTAGTAACCGAGATGGACGAGGCACGGGACGACATGTTGCTCTGGCTGTAGCTTGAGCCCATGGCCGCGAGCTCCGACTTGGTCGGGCGGGACTTGGACGACTTGATCAAGCGAGTGACGAGAATCTCTCGGTCCCGCCTGACTCTCGACATTTCCTCCTCGAGATGGTGGATCTGCTTGAGGTCCTTCCGGAAGGCGTCCATGCTGGACATGAAGGCCGCCCAGCCCATGGTCTCGTCCACGCCCCCGCCGACATTGCTGCCGATTTGCGAGCCGTGGGCCTCGAGCAAAGCGCCCGAGAGAGGCCCCTCGAAACCAGAGTGTCGGACCGCTTTGCGGACGGGCTGAACGACGCCGGGAGAGGAGGTTACGTAGGCGAGCAATGACGAGGTTGAGGGGTGTGCGTGGGACAGAAGAGTGAGGAGAGCGTCTTTGAGCTGCTTCTGCGAGTCCCTTGCGAGTCAGCAAGGTTCGTAGTGGGATGAGATTTGCAGCTCACATGTAGTTGGACAAGAGTCTGTCGGAGCTGCTCCGGTGAGCATGGCCTGGGCGAAGGACGTCCATCATGTCTCTTTCGCTGCCGGATTATTGGTTGTTGATGGAAGGGAAAGAACAATAGAAGGGGACACTCTCTCGCTGCAATATAAGCGGGGAGGTGTATGAGTATAGGCAGAGGCCGAGTATAGCAGAGTCGCCAGAGTGGCTGGCAACAGCAGACGGCCTCGAGGGGGAGGGATGGCCGGGATGGTCGAATATCCGACGTCATGGCCGCCGCGTTTGGATAAAATACCGGATCGGCACACATGGAGAGATCTTCCCTGAATCAATAACGGCAGCGGGAATGGCCCATATCAAGCAGAAATGAGAATGCCACGTCACAGTCTCTGACCGCGTCCGCTGGCGCTGCAGCGACCACCATCTATGAGGTATGCAACCTTGACACCTATCCCTCATAGACCATCTCAAAAGGCTTATAGGCAATATGGCCCCAAAGGCCAGAACGCCAGCAAAGGCTCAGCCTCAAGCGGCGACCGCAAAATCAGATCCAACGCAGCATCTCCTCGTTGACGATCTGCCTGCAGCTGCGACCGAGCAGCAGGTCCCGACCGCTTCAGCTTCGACCTCGACACCTTCAGCATCGTCCAGTAAAGACTCAGCTGCAGTGCCGTCGCGGAATCTCGCCTATCCTATACCGAAACATATCAGCCATGCGACGATAGTCAATACAGAGTCGCTGCTGCGCTTTGTGATCCTTGGCCTGATCAGCGCTGCGGCCGTAGCGAGCCGGCTCTTTGCGGTGATACGGTTTGAGAGTGTGATCCACGAGTTGTGAGTTGATTTTCCATCGCCGAAGCGAGGATAGGCTGACCCAGTAGCGATCCATGGTTCAACTTGTCAGTTCCGTCCATCTAATGCAACCACAGCAGCAACTGACGTTCCAGCCGGGCATCCAAAGTACTCGTCAACCAAGGCTTCTACGTGAGCTTATAGCTTGTGAGAGCGTGAGCGTAGCTGACCTTCAGGAATTCTGGAACTGGTTCGACCCAGCAGCATGGTACCCCCTCGGCCGGACCGTCGGCGGAACCGTCTACCCCGGTCTCATGGTCACTTCCGGCCTGATCTGGCATCTCCTCCGCCTGATCAACATGCCGGTCGATATCCGCAACGTCTGCGTCATGCTCGCTCCTGGCTTCTCAGGTCTGACTGTCATTGCAACCTACCTGTGAGCTTTCTTGTGCTTTCTGGCCTTAGCTCCAAGCGCATCAGCTGAGGATCAGCTTCACCACCGAAATGGCTCCTCCAGCGGCCGGTCTGCTAGCTGCCGCTTTCATGGGTATCGCTCCCGGCTACATCTCCCGGTCGGTCGCTGGATCTTACGATAACGAAGCTATTGCCATCTTCCTGCTCATGACCACGTTCTACGTCTGGATCAAGGCGCTGCGGCTGGGAAGCGCCATGTGGGGTGTCGTGGCGGCGCTATTCTATGGGTGGATGGTGGCAGCATGGGGAGGATACGTCTTCATCACAAACAGTGAGCTAGCTGGTGCAGGATAGCTGCGTCGATGCCATCAGCTGACATGCAGTGATCCCTCTCCACGCCTTTGTCCTCATCCTCATGGGCCGCTTCACCAACCGGCTCTACACCTCCTACTCGGCCTGGTACGTCATCGGCACCATCGCGTCCATGCAGGTGCCCTTCGTCGAGTTCCTCCCCATTCGAACATCCGAGCACATGGCCGCTCTCGGTGTGTTCGGTCTGCTCCAGCTCGTCGCGTTCGTCGAGACCGTCCGGAAGCTCGTGCCCGGCAGGCAGTTCCAGCTGCTCCTGCGTGCCTTCGTGGTCGTCACGTTCGTGGTCAGCTTTACGGTGCTGGTCATGTTGACCTTCTCGGGGTGGATTGCACCGTGGACGGGACGGTTCTACAGTCTGTGGGATACAGGATACGCAAAGGTGCACAGTGAGTTGGATGCCTCTCGGTCGAGAATGGCAGAGCTGACTCCTGTAGTGCCCATTATCGCCTCGGTATCCGAACATCAACCCACCGCCTGGCCATCCTTCTTCTTTGACCTCGAAATGCTCATCTTCTTCTTCCCCGCCGGTGTCTTTTGGTGCTTCCGCGAGCTGCGGGACGAGCACGTCTTTGTCATCATCTACGCGGTCCTCTCGTCGTACTTTGCCGGCGTTATGGTCCGGCTTATCCTCGTCATCACCCCCGTCGTCTGCGTCTGCGCCGCCATTGCCATCTCGCGGCTCCTCGAGGCGTACATTGACCCCGCTACCCCCGTCGCCACACCCGACGACTCTACCGTCACCAAAAAGGGCAAAAAATCCGCCGCTGCCGCCTCGGCGCCCAAAGACCCATGGACCGGGATACTGGGCACCCAGTCCACGCGCGGGATCTGGGGGCTCGATACCCGGTTCGCAGTCATCTCGACGATGACCCTGTTCCTCTTTGTGTTTGTGTACCACTGTACATGGGTCACCCAGTCGGCATACTCGTCCCCGTCCGTCGTCCTTTCCTCGCGGAACCAAGATGGTTCGCAGAACATCATTGATGATTTCCGAGAGGCGTACTATTGGTTACGGCAAAACACGGCGGAAGATGCGGTAGTCATGAGCTGGTGGGACTATGGATATCAGATCGCGGGCATGGCGGACCGCCCGACCCTTGTCGACAACAACACCTGGAACAACACGCATATCGCCACGGTCGGCAAGGCGATGGCGAGTAGTGAAGAGGTGGCGTATCCGATCTTGAGGCGGCATGATGTCGAGTATGTGCTGGTCATCTTTGGGGGTCTGCTTGGGTACTCAGGGTGAGTCATTAGCTTTGGGTAGTGATAGGAGACAGCTGATGAGATAGGGACGACATCAACAAGTTCTTGTGGATGGTACGGATCGCGCAGGGAGAATGGCCAGATGAGGTCCAGGAGGCCAATTACTTTACCCAGCGGGGCGAGTATGCTGTCGACGCCAGAGCGTGAGTGCACCCCTTGACTGTTCGCTGCACATTATGCGCGGGCACCCGCTGATCCTACAGCACGCCCACAATGAAGAACTCGCTCATGTACAAAATGTCCTACTACCGCTTCCACGAGCTCTTTGGTGGTCAGCCCGCCCAGGACCGTGTCCGAGGGCAGACCATGCCTCAGCAGGGTCCGGTTCTTGATACTCTCGGTACGTCCTTCCTTCTTCCTCTTCTGATCCACCCCTTCACTGCGCCCTTCCAAGCAGACTGGACGGTGGCTGACATCATCGCAGAGGAGGCATTCACATCCGAAAACTGGATCGTGCGGATATATCAAGTCAAAAAGGAAGATCCCTTCGGGCGGGAACATAGCGCTGTGAATGCGTTTGATGCGGGGAAGAGGTTGACGAGAAGTAAGAGCCAAGGGCCGGTCAAGAAGGGGAGGCCGAGCATGTAGAGTAGGACAAGTAGAAAATGCATAGAACTGTCGAGGCGCTATTAATCTGATTGTCGTGCGCAATCTTGATATCTTCCCGAATATCAGAATATCAGCGCGTTCGTTTCTGTGATCCGCTTCCAGTGTCTAGCGGGTCATGCGGCCGAGGAGTGAAAGGAGCCTCAAGCTATATCAGTAGCATCAATACGTGCGACAGGACGACAGGGACCTCTGTATCATCGCCACAGCGCTCATCACCAGCCTGGACCATCCTTGAGCAGCTCTATCTCCTCAGCGGTGCTTTTCCTGCCTAGCGCCTCGTTCCGGCTCGGATATCGGCCATACTTCTCGAGCACCGCGCCTGAGCCACATCAGCTCATCGTCTCTGCCCGTTTTTGAAAGATATACGGTGTTTCCCCTCAAAACTCGATATGTTGTCCAATGCGGCCCGCTCTGCTTCGGTCTGGACCTCTGCACTCCGTTTTTCCAGTAAGGAGGCGAAGAGGTCGTGGTCAGAGATATTCTCGCTGTGCATTACTGGGTCTCAGCCAGCGCAGCTAGGCATGAGGAATGAGGGAGGACTCACAAGGCATGTAGAGCCACATGGACCGCGCGAAATGCGGGACTGAACTGTCAATCCTGCTTTCACGCATGGATACGATGAGTGTACCCACAGGCGTCTCTACGGCTGTAGTCTTTATCCACTAGGTAGTATTTGGCGAGATGGACACCTTTCGGATCGTACAGCTCGTACACCTTCAGTACGTCAGCTATCCCACTCCATAACCCTAAAGCAGACTGTACGCCCTCAGGAGGGCTGCAACTCACCTTAGCCGCCTCTGTCCCCCTAAAGATATTCCGCGGAATCTGGTCCAGTAGCAGAACAGCTCCAACAGCCTCTTCTGGAGTCTGCACGATCCGCCCCACTTCCTCCGGACTCAGCCCCTCAGCCTCTTTTACGGCGGAAGCGTACTTCTCCCTCTTCGTTAGCCCGTCCTCTACCAGAAACGCACCTGCACAGCCCATCTAGCTCGGCGTCGCTAGTGAACCACCGCTTGAAAGTCTCCATACCTACAGGCTGATCATGCGCTGTCGGTACGCCCTGCAGCCACCAGTCATATAGCTCGTTCAAGAGCGGCCGGGAGAGGGTTCGCGATCGGGAAGATGCCGAGGAGGTTTGGGTGGACATCCTTCGGATGAGGGTGGAGAGCATTAGGGGGTCGGGAGTGGTGAGTAAGTAGGCGATTATCAAGACAGGGAGTGTGAGTAGAAGAAGTCGCTGGGCCATGTGAGGTAGGGTAACTAACCAACGCTGCCGACTTGCTCGTCACAGCATCGCTCAGCGCTCATCATCCGTGGGGACATCCTACCTCTCGTAAGGCCGGATATACGCGGACCGCAGCGGCGCATGGACCGGACTGTGTGTACTGGCGAGGTCATGCACTACATGCTACGGCTTTGGCAGGCCTTCCCACCAGCGGTTTCATGATGCCCAGTAGCTCTGTGGCCGTCGACACCGAATTGGATACGGTACGTTCAGAGCGTGGACTTTATAGCATGATATCCTATGTGGATATACACCTGAAACGCGACGGATATACTCCGCCAAGCTGAGCCGAAGTTTCTCCTCGGCTCGGGCGGATATGGACAGCCGGACCGGACCACCTCCACCGTACAAGGTGAGTGTGGGCAGCAGAACGATCTTACCATCGTCAACCATCCCAATACCCCTCCCCTTCTGCCCAACCATCCTACTCAGCTTCACAAACGACAGCTTCTGCCAAAAGTGAGTTCTCCTGACGCTCAGCGCTGACAATAGTGCTCAAACCCATCGATTCCTCCACTCGCGAGATCAAGTCGCTTGACGGTCTCTGGCGCTTCGCCCCCGCGTCCGACAATCTCGCGGAGCCCTGGAAGTCTGTCCTCCCCGGCGACCTCGAATGCCCCGTTCCCGCTTCCTACAACGACATCTTCCTCCTCCCTTCCCTTCGCAACCATGTCGGCAAGGTCTGGTACCAGCGCACCGTCCACATCCCGCGGGGCTGGAAAGACCAGCGGATCTTCCTCCGTCTCGACGCGGCAACGCACGAGGGCGAGGTGTACGTAGGGGACAAGAAGATCGCTAGTCATGTCGGCGGGTACACGCCGTTCGAGGCGGATCTGACGGAGCATGTCAAGCCGGGAGAGGCGGTCCGGGTGACGGTCGGCGTGGACAATATCCTCACGCATGAGACGGTGCCGCCTGGCGAGGTGGTGACCAACGCAGTGGGCAAGAAGGAGCAAAAGTACTTTCACGACTTCTTCAACTATGCCGGTCTGGCGAGGAGCGTACGGCTCTGCTGCGCCCCCAAGAACCGGGTGGAGGATATCACGGTGACGACGGATGTGCGGGGATCGGCGGGGGCGGTGGAGTACAAGCTGGAGCTGGAGGGCAAGGGGCGAGCGGAAGCGGAGCTGTTGGACGCAGAGGATAAGGTGGTGGGCAAGGCGTCGGGCCTGGAGGGGTTGATCGACGTTGCCAACGCCAAGCTTTGGCAACCCGGAGCGGCGTACCTCTACTCCCTCCGTATTCGGCTTTACGCCAGCGATACCTCGGACGAGCTCGTCGACGAGTACTCTATCCCCGTCGGTATCCGTACCGTCAAGGTCTCGGGCAAGAAATTCCTCATCAACGACAAGCCCTTCTACTTCCGCGGGTTCGGCAAGCACGAGGACACCCCGGTCAAGGGGAAAGGCCACGATGACGCGTGGATGGTCCACGACTTTGAACTCATGCGGTGGATCGGCGCCAACTCGTTCCGGACCTCGCACTACCCCTACGCCGAGGACGTGATGGACTATGCGGACAAGCATGGGTGGGTGGTGATTGGGGAGACGGCGGCGGTCGGGTTGAACCTGGGTATCATCAGCGGTATCACGGGCGGGCCGAAGCGCAAGACGTTCGCGCCCGACTTTGCCAATGACAACACCCAGGCGGCGTTGAGGAAGGGGATCGAGGAGTTGCTCCAGCGGGACAAGAACCATCCCTCGGTCGTCATGTGGTCCATCACCAACGAGCCCGATTCATCGGAAGAGGGCTCTCGCCCATTCTTTGAACCCCTCGTCAAGCGGGCGCGCGAGCTCGATCCCACCCGTCCCCTCACCTACGCCAACGTCACCTTCTGCACCCTCGAAAAGGACATCCTCGCCGACTTGTTTGACGTCATCGGACTCAACAGGTACTACGGCTGGTACGAGTTTACGGGCAATCTCGAGATTGCAGAGCAAAAGCTCGAGGCGGAGCTGCTTGCGTGGGAGGCAAAGCACCAAAAGCCGATGATCATGTTTGAGTATGGGGTGGATACGGTGACCGGCTTGCACTCGGTGCATGCGCAGCCGTGGTCAGAGGAGTACCAGGTCGAGTACTATGAGATGTACCACCGCGTGTTTGATAGGGTGGACGCGGTGATTGGGGAGCAGGCGTGGAACTTTGCCGACTTTGGGACGGGGGTAGGGATCTTTAGGGTCGACGGGAACAGGAAGGGGGTGTTTACCAGGGATAGGCGGCCAAAGGCGGCGGCGCATACGTTCAGGAAGAGGTGGACGGGCAAGTAGGGGTGGTCAAATAGGATCTGCAGGAATCATGTTAAAAATGTCAGTATGTACATTAGCTATTTCTTGGGAGTCGTCACCTGATGATCGTGTCAAGATTAGTCGCATCCGTTATATACCCATCCCTATCCCTAATTCCCATTCACATGCTTCGCCTTGACATTCTCCCTCCTCTTCCTGACACCCTCCCTCAGCTCATCCAAGAGGGGTACAGTCTGGTCGAACGAGATGCACGCGTCCGTGATGGATACACCGTACTTGAGAGCAGAGGGTCCTTCGGCGGGGATGGACTGCTTGCCTTCGTTCAGATTGGATTCGATCATGACTCCGAGGAGGGAGGAGGCGGAGGGGCCGCCGGATGCCATCTGTTGCGCCTGATGGGTCAGCTTGCGTGCTAGAGTCAAAAGACTGAGGCACAGCAAGCTGAGACTTACAACGTCCCGGCCAACCTCTATCTGCTTCTGGTGCTGTTTTGACGAGTTACCATGCGAGCAGTCAATCTGAGATGTAAGCTCTCTCCCCAGTCCAAGGACCTGTTACTCGGGATAGCTCACCATCAATCTGGGGCTCAAGCCCGCCTTCTTCAGCTTCTCACCAGCCGCCACAACGTGCTCCTCGGCAAAGTTCGGCCCCTTGCTGCTTCCGCGCAGGATAACATGTGTCGAGTTGTTTCCTGATGTCTCGACGATAGCGGACAGACCCTGCTTCGTGACCGAGAGGAAGGTGTGGCCGGATCCTGCGGCCTTGATGGCGTCGACGGCGATGTCGATTGAACCGTCCTACGACTGTCAGCTGTGGGAAGATAGTATCCCGATCCGACGAGCTCACTGTTCCGTTCTTGAACCCCACGCTCATCGACAGAGCGCTGGCAAGTTCTCGGTGTACTTGAGATTCGGTTGTTCGAGCGCCGATAGCTCCCCAGGAGTTGCAGTCGGCGAGGTACTGTGGTGAGATGACATCTTGGTTGGTGAGCTTCATTTCAACCTCGGCAAAGGCAGTCGTTAGCTCACCCAGGAACTCTCCAGCAGCGGGCAGACCCATCTCCGTCAGATCAAGAAGGAGCTTCCGAGCAATCTTGAGACCTCGGTTGATCTGGTACGATCCGTTCATGTCCGGGTCGTTGATAAGACCCTTCCAGCCGACTGTCGTTCTTGGCCTGATTTGTAAGCTATAGACCGAGGTGGGAGACTCCTCTGGATAATGTAAGCTTACTTCTCGAAGTAGACACGCATGACAATCATCAAGTCATCCTTCGACTCCTGAGCGTACTCATACAGCTTCTTGGCGTAGGTGATAGCCTGTTCGGGGTCGTGGACTGAGCATGGGCTGCCTAGTCAGCTCGCGCTCGCAATCCACAAGCTATATGCCTCTGCTAGCTCACCCGACAATGACAAGCAGTCTGTCGTCGTCACCCTTGATGACGGCCTCTACCTGTCTTCTGCCTTCGAGGACGGTCTGAGCTCCGCGCAAGGAGAGGGGCAGCCTATAGGTAAGCTTAGCCTCGGCAGACTCGACGTGAACCAGACAGCTTACTCCTCGTGAAGGATCTGTGGCCTGAAAATCAGCTGCGGTCCCTGCGGCCACGGCTCTCAGACAACTCACGGGATGAGGGGCCTGACGGACTTGACCCGCCTGTCATCGAGGAGTTCCATGGCCTAAATCGTCAGCTATCCTGAGCGCCTTAATGCTACCTGCTTGACTGACGTCTCTGATAGTGTGGGTGTAGTTGGACATGTGCGCTATAGGTTGTTATTGGAGAGTGGAGCAGAGAAGTGTCAAGTCGAGGGAAAAGTTGGGAAGCCGAGTCGGAGTGGAGGTCCCGGCTTGAGATAGGCGCGTCAGAGTGGCGATGACGACAAGCTGTCCTCAGATAGGCGCGCCTGTTACCCCGTCAACTCTGGCTGCTCTACCATCCTGTATCTACTCTACTCGTACTACACCCCTTTACAGATCACCAAGGCCCCGAACTTACACTCCTGCAGGACGCTCAGTCGCATATTCCAAGAGATTTCTTAATCATGGTCGGCGGTCTGAAGAGTAAGTCTTGCTTCATGGCAATGCGCCTCTCTCGTCAAAGCGGACACCGCATTCCTCCTTTGTCAACGGTACTACCTTCCTTCCGGCTTAAGGCAAGGGGGCTGCCTTGGTCGCACAGAGATCACACGTTCTCTCAATCCCAAGAATAGTCCAATTCACAATCTGACATTCCTAACTACACGTCTCGACAGTCCCTTCATCCCGCGGCAACGATGCCGCTTACCAACTCGCCGGGTCACACGCTGACCTTCCCAGCGGTCATACTCCTCGCTTTCGTCCTAGCGGCAGGCTTCTTACTGGTAATACTGTCGTGTGCGCTCTGGGCCAATTGGTTGCCATTATTCGTCGGTGAGCTTAGACGTCGCTTACTATGCCTCTGACTGTGACTATCTCCATAGTTAGCAACAAAGCTGATAGTGTAGCTCTCACCTTCATCCTCGCTCCTGTTCCAAATGCGATCTGCGCCCGGAGAGCTGGGATGGATGACTTCTCCGAGGGGAACTCAGCATATATAGATTTCGGACGATTCGTGACCGGCATGCTGGTTGTAAGTCACACCTTCTCTGGCTCCTCCCCTATCCTCGCACAATCGGTCTACATTGCGCTACATCCACTCTTCACTATTAAGATAGCTCCTGCTGATATATCAGACGACCGGCCTTTCCCTCCCCCTCCTCCTCGCTCATTCCGAGCTCATTCAGCCCGCAGCATGCTGGATGTCCATAGCCGGCGGCGGCTTGGTTTATGGCACGATATTGGTATACTCAGGATGGTTCGGCGGGGGCGGAGACGACGAGTTCTAGCGAGTGGTCCGGAGACGCGAGGTCGATTGTAGACTGTACCATGGCTAGTGGTGCGCGATAAGAGGGGATCCCAGATGTATAGAACTGCAGATCTGCCCCGACATCCCTTTCGAGCGAAACCAATTCTCGTTCACTACTTTGTCGAGGACTCAGCGCTGGCGACACAGGAGGTCCGCCGTCACCGCAATTCGCGCGCCCGCTGTGTCCGTCGAAGCTGGGGGTCCTGCAAGCTATCTGCCGCGAAAGGCGAAAGGCACCATGCGGATCGGTCATCGGGCATGTCCGACCGGTCCGAGCCAAAGAGAGCGCTGACTGATCGCCCCATATCCCTCGAGATCGATAGTGTCCCCCATCTACCTCTCATCTCTTCTGCGCAGATAGCTGACACTACACCTACTGCGTGAGCGTACTCGCCACACGGGAACCACTCTCAGAAAGCGGCTCTGCCCAAACCCATCGCCAATCATCCCAAAGCGGCTCCCTCGGCGGCAGGGCGCCCTTATCTGCGGGGGTCCTAGCGATACTCCTCATCGCTGTGCATAGCCCTCTACTCGTGTACCATACGAATCCTATCCGATCTGAGCATCCAGCTCAGCTGATCTGCTCCCCATCGACACCAACATGTCCCACAAACGCGGATCCGCTTCGGGTCCCTCCCCCTCCCCTATTCCCCCTCACATCCGTCCTCCTGTATCCCGCCATCACTCCTCCTCTTCTACCGGCTCTTCGCGTCACCCTCATCCCCAACAACGGGAGTACGTCCCCTCAACCCTCGAAGGCGGATTCTCAGCCGAGCCGGGAACATCCGGGCTAGGGGAGCGATGGGCGTTCGAGCACGCAGAGCACCCTGGGCATGCGCCGCATGCGCATCGTCATGTCGAGGGGCAGGGCCAAGGCGAAGACGACTTGGACGAGGAGGAAGAGGATACCGGGTCCGAGGCGGATTGGAATGCCGCCAAGGAGCAGGCGGACGCCCGGCGGCCGAAATGGCGCAGAGCGAGCCCGAGGTGGCTGTACCCTTTCGTCTCGGGTGCGACGCTCGCCTTGGGCATGGGCATGGCGCCGAGGAGCGAGCTATATGTCAATCTGGCATGTCTGGCCCATCCGCCTCAAATGCCCAGCACGCTCACGGCGGAGGCGGTAGCGGAGCCCCCGGTGGCAAGAGGGTTTGGGATGTACTCGTTCCATTCGCTCTATATGGACTCGCTCTTCAGGGCGACAACGGAGATCGGGATCGGGGAGGGGAACCTCACTGATACAATCGGCATACCTTCCGTTCCGGAGGACGTCTCGCCCGCGGACCGGTGGTTCTACAAGCTTCAGAGGGATATCTACGAGTACGAGGCGAAGCACCAGCATCGTGACAAACAGCCGGCCTGGAGCACGTCCGTCGTCTCTACTCCGACGGATCACTCGTCTCGGGTGCCGAAACCAACGGAGACTGTTCCTGCTAGGGAGCAGCCGAGTACGCCCTCCGGCGGAAGGGAAGCAGGAGAGCCAGGCACGGCCGGACCGCCGTACAGGCAGATCGACCCCAAGATCTGCAAGCGGGATCCGAAAGTGCAAGCGGCAGCAGCGAGACTGGTGATGAGTGAGTAACCCGGTAAAGCAGAGGCAGTAGGGAGAGACGCTGATAACAGTGATGACCCTCACCATGGGCATCTTGGCCGCCTTGACTACTGGCTACTGGGGACAGATGTCAGACAGGATCGGCCGGACCAAGATTATGGCCATCATGGAGACTGGGCTGCTACTCAAGTAAGTTCTGCCAATGGCTCTGCTTGAACTAGGCGCTCACGGTCCCAGCGAGGCCTGCTTTATCATTGTCGCTACCTTCCCGTACCGCGTCCCTGGCGGATATCGGGCACTGCTCGTTGGGCCCATTCTCGAAGGCTGCCTCGGCGGAATCTCGACTCTCACTGCGACGGTCAACGCGTATGTCTCTGATACGACGCCCGATGGATCCCGGGCGTCCATCTTTGCCAGGCTAGGCGGGATCTTCATGGTCGGCTTTGCATGTGGGCCGGTCTTAGGAAGTGCGGTCATCAAGGCGACTGGCAACATGTAGGTCTTCTGATCCATGGATCCGGCTCAGAGCTGACCACTTAGCATGACACCGTTCTACCTAAACATCTGCGTCCATCTCTTCTACATCACGATGATCATCCTCGTCCTTCCCGAATCGCTCTCGAAAGAAGCGCGGACCATCCTCAAAAAGACCGCCAAGATCGCCTCGGACGCGCAGAAGCGACAAGACACCCTCGCTCGCGAATGGGAGAACGAGACGCCCGCGGCTGGTCCCGAGATCGCAGACCCGTTCTTGACCGCTACGCCTGGCTCGACTAGCGGCGTATCCGAGTCAGAGAGGCCCGGCTGGTCCAGGCGGTTCTCGATGTCTGCGCCGAATGCGCAGAGCTCGAAGCGACACAAGAAGTTTGCGGGGCTGCTGAGGCGGACATTCAGAACGGCGACCGCTTTCTTGCAGCCGCTGGCGGTGTTTTTGCCTACGGAGAAGGAGGATGGAGGGAAGGATTGGAATATGACGGTCACGGGGGCTGCGCTGTTTGCCATGTCGTTCATGATGGTGAGAATCAGCTGGACAGAATTGAAGCTCAAAGCTAATCGCAAAGGGTGTGTATCAGATCAAGGCGTCGTATACCATTTATACTTTCGGATGGACATCGGCGCAGGTACGTTTACTGCTCGTGCGACGAGTGGCATAAGCTGACTGTCAAGCTAGGCCCATTTATGTCGCTCCTTGGCTTCTCGAGAGGATTTGTCATGCTTGTATTGCTACCTCGTGAGTCCTTTCGAAGAGATCGGAGACAGTAGGTACCAGACTGACGTACAGTTTGCATTCGCTTGGCCAAGCCGTATTTCATGCCACCACCGCGAACCGCATCCCCCGACGCTGGAACATCCGGCTTCAGCGTTCTTTCCGACGCTACCGCCCGACCCTCGTCCGAGAGCTCCCCTCTTCTCGCATCTCCACCGGTCAAGCCGCGCCGCCCGGCGACCCTCGACCTCTGGACCGCCCGTATCTCTCTCGCATGGGAAGCGATCCTGTACCTCATTCTCGCTCTAAACCTGCCCGAGATCCCCTTCATCATCGTTTCGACGCTCATCACCCTCTCATCCGGATCCAATCCCGCTGCCAACTCCCTTGCCCTCTCTTTCATCCCAAACAGCCGAGAAGTCGGCAAGCTCTTTGGCGGTGTAGCCGTTCTGCACGCGCTCGGATCGACACTGCTCGGCCCGCTGGCTTTCGGGACGTTGTTCTCCGTGACAGTTGGGAACTTTACACCGGCTGTATGGGCCCTCGGAGGCGTTGTGCAGCTTGTGAGCTTGGGATTCATGTGCTTTGTGAGGATACCGGTGGATCGGGGGCCAGAGGGTGGGGCGGAACGGGGGAGGAGTAAGCGGGTCAAGACGGTGAGGAGTAGCTCGGGGTTGAGAAAGTGAGAGAAGCGTTCTCAAGAGCTTATGCGCGATCAGAGGATATTATAGTATTGTATTATCATACACGTATACAAGACTATGGGTTCATAGGGGAGTCGGTCTCCATCATCTTCTGGCAGCATCTTTGGTGGGGGCAAGAGCTTTGTAATCTTCGAAGTGCTCTCTCTCTTCCACGCGTCTCCTGGACGTACTCTGATAAATCCCCCATGGGTTCAACGGGACTTGGTGAACAGCGGCAGCGCCGGTATCATTGAGCAGAAGTGAGACTGCTCCACCCCGAATGAAGCAGGATGAAGCTGCTTATGCTGCGTCATTGAGGCAGTGTTTCAACGCGTTTCAGAAGCAAAGATCGATTGATCGAGCGCTAAGGATTATACTCCCGTTAATGCTTATTTGAAGGCCTATTCCTAATCCCTGAGACGCGTCTAGAAAGAAACTGCCCAAAGGGGTAACCGCCACACTCGCACGCTCCTTACCCCGCCCAAATCCTCCTTTGACCTGTGCACGACTTTTCCCCGACCAATCTCCTCTTCTTCTGTCACCTACACCCAAGCGGTGCATCCATCTCCCCCTCTTCCTCACTCGACATCCACAGCGCGTCGATACATCGCCCACGACAGACGCGTCACAGAGATCTCGGTCGATTACCAGGCAGAAAAAAGTCAATTCCCGCAGGGCACAGCTCCCTGAATCTGAACCGCATTCTCGCCCGCGTGGCAGAGGCTTTGGTGTGCATCTCAGCACCTAGGCCGATATATTTCCTCCTCCACTTCTGTCCATCGACACTCCTCACACCGACAGAGAGTGAACAACGAACCCATCTCCTCCTGCCGCCCCCCTCACCCCCACTCCCCCCTCGACCATCCGTACCATCGCGTCCACAATGCGGGCAGGACCCAGCTCGCGATCGCGTTCGGCGGCATTTCCCCTCCTATCCCCACTCGCGCTCCTCTCTGCGCTCCTATTCTCCGCACTCGGCGCTGTCGCGCTCAAATATAACGCGACGCTGGACCCGTGGAATATCAACAAGAACACTGGTGAGTCGGCCTTAGAGCTCCTGGGGGGATGCAAGCTGTGCAGACTACCATCTGCCGCTCTGCCAATCTTCTCCGCTTGAATGGTGCTGATATCGCAGACCCCAACGCCGCTATCCAAGACTACACCACCACCCGCGCCAACACCACCTACACCAAATCCCCGACAAATTGGCGCGTAAGTTGTCTGCCAAGCCACTAGAACCCTCCGGTCTGGCTCAATCGCTAACTCGTCAGTCTCTACCATGTTACACTCTTTTGCTCGACAAGTGGATGGACGGCAAGCCCGACAATAACGACTTTTTCAAGACCCTGCACGAGTATGACTGGAGAGAAACGCAGATGCGGGCGGGTGGTGACGCGACGGGATTGATGAGCGCCCGGAGTCTGGATTATTTGCAGGGAATAGGGTATCAGTGTATCTATATCGCCGGAACACACTTCCTCAACATGCCCTGGCAATCGGACGGTGAGCTTAGTCATGCTACGAAAGCGGGATGGAGCTGATGGACAGGATACTCTGCCATCGATTTCACACTGATCGACCCGCACTACGGAACGGTCGAGGACTGGCGGAAGATGATTGACGAGATGCACAGGCGAGGCATGTACATCATCATGGATTTCACGGTCGGGACTATGGGAGATTTCATCGGTTTCAAGGGGTGAGGTGGTACCTTCTCAAACGCTGGGCCAAAGCTGATTCCTAGCCATCTCAATTCGTCCACTCCCTGGCGGCTCGACGAATACGAGGTTCAGTGGAAGCGTCCTCCTTACGCGCCATGGGGCTTTGATTACTACCCGGACTTTGACTTCAACAACGGTACGTCGATCTGCCGTAACGAAGACCTTGGCTGATTTGCAGAATACAACTCGTCCTGCCAGTACCCCACCTTCTGGCTCGAAGACGGTACGATCTACGACCCGGGAAAGACTGGATGCTACGCCAGTAACTTTGACCAGTATGGAGATATCGAAGCTTTCGGTGTTTTGTAAGTCAACTCGACTCTTAAATAGACCACACTGACGATCAGCCCCGATTGGCAGCGTCAATTGGCTAAATTCGCCTCCGTCCAGGACCGTCTCCGAGAATGGCAGGTCCGGGTCTCGGACAAGATCAAGATGTTCGGGTGCTTGACTATTCAAGCGCTCGACATTGACGGTATTCGTATCGACAAGGCCACCCAGGTCACGGTCGACTTCATGGCGGACTGGTCGCACCATACGCGTGAATGCGCCAAGAACAACTTCGGCAAGGACAACTTCTTCATTCCAGGAGAAATCACCGGTGGAGACACCTTTGGCGCCCTCTACATCGGTCGAGGCCGTAGTCCTACCCTTCGTCCTTCGGATTTCAACACCGCCGTCAACCTTACCCAAGCCCAAGGCCAGTATTTCCTCCGGGATGCCGGTTACTCGGGTCTTGACGCTTCCGCGTTCCATTACTCGGTATATCGAAATCTGGCGAGATTCCTCGGGATGGACGGAAATCTGAACGTCGCGTACGATATCTCGGTCAACTTTGCCACTGCGTGGTCAGAGATGGCGGTCAGTAACGAATTCCTCAACGTCATGACCGGCGAGTTCGACCCGCGGCACCAATATGGAACGACCAACCAGGACGTGTTCCGCTGGCCCGGTCTCGTCAACGGTACACAGCGTCAGCAGCTCGGTCAATTCGTCTGCAACCTCGTTCTCCCCGGTCAGCCGCTCGCGTGGTACGGAGAGGAGCAGGGCATGTACGCGCTGGACAACGGCGCTGCCAACTATATCTATGGACGTCAATCCATGGTGTCGAACCAGGCTTGGCAGCGTCACGCTTGCTACAAGCTCGGATCGGAGCAGTACTACAACATGCCCTACGCCCGCACCTTGACCGGTTGCGACGACCCCTGGAACTCGCTCGACCACTTTGACCCCACCGCGGAACCCCTCCGCAGCACCCGGAACCAGCTCTACCTCCGCTCGCGGTATCCCTCCCTCCAGGACGGGTTCGGTCTGGTCCAGCTGGGCAACTGGACTCACTTTATCCAGCTGCCCGGTTCCAATACCACAAAGACCGAGCTCGGACTGTGGTCAATCAACCGTCAGCCCCTCAGCTCCCAGCAGGGCAAGAACGGTTTCCGGTCGAACGGAACTATCGGGCAGTCGGTCTGGATGCTCTACACCAACGAGAACCACACCATCACCCACACCTTCGACTGCAAGCAGCCCGACTGGATCTCTTCTCCCTTCCAGTCCGGCACTCGGGTCAAGAACTTGTTCTACCCGTTCGAGGAGTACACCCTGCAGGACTCGCAGGACTCGTACTTCAAGAACCAGATCGCGCCCTGGACTGGCTGTCTCGGCCAGGTCACCATGCAGCCGTTCGAGTACAAGGCGCTCGTCCCCATCGCGGAATATCAGCCGCAGCGGCCGAGTATGACCAAATTCACTCCCGGTCATGACGCTCGTATCCTCCTCAGCGGTACCACCCTCGACGTCACCATCGAGTACGACTCGGAGATGGAATGCTCCTCGCTCCAGGGCGCCATGACCTTGTCGTACTCGCTCGGCGGATCGGACGCCAAGCCCGTCATCAGCGCCGGCTCGTGCGCGGCCATCCCTGCCGCCCAGCGACCGATCCCGACTTTGGTCGCCACCGCCCCCTCTGCGTGGCGGTGGACGGGTCAGATCACCGGCGTCGTCGAGGGTATCTACGACCTTCGGATCGGGAGCGTCAACGCCTACCAGAGCACGCTCAACACCGGGCGCACGGATCACCTCATGTTCCGAGTCGGTCAGGCAGGCAATCCCATGGTCTTCCCCCTCGGCGCCGACTACAGCTCCACCCTCCTCTCGCACAACGGCGGCGTCTACTCGCTCAACCACTCGGCGCCTGGTGCGGACCAGTTCAGATACTCGGGGAACTTTGGTCAGGACTGGTCAGACTGGCAGGCGTACTCTCCCCAGACCAATTTGAACGACTCGACGTTCAAGAACAACTGGTGGAAGGGAAGCCACGTCATTGTCCAGTACTACTCGGAAATTGCCCACTCGGGTCAGCACATCCAGCACGCGGACGCCGAGTACAGCGGCTTCCAGCGGCGGTTCCCTCAGCTCCTCGCTCGCGGTCAATTCAACAACTGGGGTTATGACCTCGGAGCGTCAGCTTCATTCAAGCTCCAGGAGTCGTCCAAATGGGTCATGCCACTCTCGTCCTCGTGGCCGTCCTACATCCAGCTCAACGTCTGGGCGTACGACGACTACTTCTACGGTGACACGGACGGAGATGGAGTCATCGACCGTCTCCCGCCCAACGCGCTCTCGCCCAACTTTATGAACATGTCGCAACCCCCGGCTCCCTTCCTCGCCTGGAACGTCTTTGTCGATGACCACACCGGTGCCTGGTCCGTCGAGCCCATCGGAAACGAGCGGGTCAGCATCATCGCCTTTGCCCTCCTCCTCTCCATCCCCATCATCACTGCCTTTATCGCCGCTGCCATCTTCCGGTACTCGTTCTACTCGATCAAGGTCAACAAGTGGGGTCTCAAGCCCAAGGGCAAGGAGACCAGCTACTTCCCGATCATTGGCGGAGGCGAGAAGAAGGAGAAGCACATGGATGAGAAGGGCGCTATGGTGCTAGCGGACAAGCCGCACAAGGGATCGGACAAGATCATCGGGTGGCCGGAGGACCCCAACAAGCGGAGGAAGGTGCTTATCGCTACTCTCGAGTACGAGATCATCGACTGGAAGCTCAAGGTCAAGATCGGTGGTCTCGGTGTCATGTCGACCCTGATGGGCAAGGCGATGACGGATGTCGACCTGATCTGGGTTATTCCCAAGGTCCAGGACCTGGAGTACCCTCAGGGAGACTACGCCGAGCCGATCGAGGTCATCATCTTTGGCGAGCCGTACCTCATCGAGGTGGAAACCCATCAGCTCGATAACATTACCTACATCATCCTCGACTCCCCCGTCTTCCGCGCCCAGACCAAGTCGGACCCGTACCCCCAGCGAATGGACGATCTGTCCTCGGCCATCTTCTACTCTACCTGGAACCAGGCTATCGCCGAGACGGTCCGCCGATTCCCGGATATCGACATTTACCACGTCAACGACTACCACGGTGCCCTCGCTCCCCTCTACCTCCTCCCCAAGGTCCTCCCCATCTGTCTCTCCCTACACAATGCCGAGTTCCAGGGTCTTTGGCCATTGCGGACCAAGGACGAGATGAAGGAGGTTTGCGCAGCATTCAACATCCCCAAGGAGGTCTGCAGCAAATACGTCCAATTCGGAAACACCTTCAACTTGCTCCACGCCGCCGCCAGCTTCATCTCGATCCATCAAAAATCGGTCGGTGTCGCCGGTGTCTCGGACAAGTACGGAAAGCGGTCCTGGGCGCGATACCCCGCACTCTGGACGCTCAAGAACATCGACTCCCTCCCCAATCCCGATCCCACGGATATCGCGGCTCTTGATGAGCAGCCCATGGCGGTCGAGCGGATCGAGGTGGATACCGAGGCGGAGTCTAAGCGGCCTGAGTTCAAGCGACAGGCGCAGGAATGGGCGGGAATCAAGCAGGACCCCACTGCGGACCTGTTTGTCTTCGTCGGTCGTTGGTCTAAGCAAAAGGGTGTCGACCTTATCGCCGACGTCATGCCCTCTTTGCTTGACAAGAAGCCAAAGATCCAGCTCATCTGTGTCGGACCGGTCATTGACCTGTACGGTCGATTCGCCGCCGAGAAGCTCTCGCGGCTTATGGAAATGTACCCGGACCGGGTCTTCTCCAAGCCGGAATTCACCAGCTTGCCACCCTACCTTTTCTCGGGCGCCGACTTTGCCCTCATTCCGTCGCGAGATGAGCCGTTCGGTTTGGTGGCTGTCGAGTTTGGAAGGAAGGGTGCTTTGGGTGTCGGAGCGAGGTTGGGTGGTTTGGGTCTTATGCCGGGATGGGTGAGTCTTAGCGAGAGGGCTTTGCTGATATCTAGTGGTTCCCTGTCGAGTCGTCCGCAACGGTCCACATGCTGTCGCAGTTGACCAAGACGATCAAGCTGGCCTTGAAGTCGACAGAGCATGAGCGTGCCATTCTTCGTGCACGATCTGCCGTCCAGCGTTTCCCGGTCGTCGAATGGCGTCAGCGTCTCGAGGACTTCCAGAAGCGGTCGATCAACGCGTCTCGAGGCATTGCTAGCGAGCATGCCTGGGGTTACGACCTCGTCGGCCAGGGTGCACCTCTCGGCGGACGGACTGGCTTCTACGCTCACGAGATGGGGTCCACTACCTCGCTCGCCGGTGGAGAAATGCCGCCTGGAAACCGTCCTATGTCTGGCGCCCCGCACCTCGACGGTCAATTCGATAACAATCAACTTTCAGCCAACGGTCCCGCTTACCACGACCGGTTCAAGCAGTCTCAGCGGAATCAGAACCGCCAGTCTGCCGAATCCTTCTACGACGAGGACCCGAACGCGGAGCCCTTGTACTATGGCGACAAGCGCCGGTCCAAGAAGTTCTTTGCTGGCGGGCAGGACGACGATGCCTCTTCGAGGGGATCCTCGGATCACGGCGAGTCGACCGCGGCTGCCTCCATGCGCTCAGGAGCGGGCGCAGGTGGTGCCCCATACGACTCGTTCTTGGCTGCTGCCAACAAGCAGTTCTCCAAGACGTCTGGGAACCGGAACGCGCCCGACCCGCTCTTTGACAGCCGTCAAAGCGTGGATGCCAACTTCATGCCTTCTCGGCCGTTCTCCATCCACTCGCGCGTGTCGAGCTTCGACTCGATCAGCAGTATTGTGGAGGACAAGGGTGCCAGTTCGCCATTGAACAAGGCTATGGACTCTGTGAGTGAATCCGGCGGTCAGCAAAGAGGGCAACGCTGACTTTCAGTTCACTGACTCTGATGGTGAAGTTGCCCAAAGCTTCGTTCAGAAGCTGAGGGATCTGTCGGCGGACAACTCGAAGGGCGATCTGTGTATCGAGAAGTTCTTGATCAAGTCTGAGAAGGCGTTCTTCACCGAGATCAAGAAGGAGAAGATATCAGGTGCGTCTTGCTTGCCTCGTATAGGATCCAAGCTAATCATCAGCCATGTCAATACGCTCAAGCCGAGACTCGTTCGCCCAATCTCGCGCACCAAGTATGATTGACGGTTTCCGACCAGAATGTGAGTATTTCTCTCTTGAGTATCCGCGAAAGATCGGTCTCTTATCTCCTTTTCCCCGTGTAGACTCGCGCCAATCATCTTATACAGCTCCATACCAACATTCGGCTTCCGGACACGGTCACGATGACGGCTACATCGACAACTACGGCGGCGGCGAGATGTATGATGATGGACCGAGCAACGAGGCGCGCATGACCCGACTCCAGGTCTTCATGCAGCACAGCGTCGCTGGCTGGCCATTATACACCATCATCATCGCTCTGGGACAACTTCTTTCAGCTGTGAGTAGGAGCCAGGTCAACGTACGAAGATCATTGTGCTGATATGCAGACTTCGTTCCAGCTGAGTCTACTCGGCGGTTCAAATACCCTGAAAGAGGTCGACCTGTACATCGTCTGCGCCATCTTCGTCGTCGCCACCGTATTCTGGTACACCATCTTCAGGATGTTGCCGTCCGTCTGGGTCTTGTCGCTACCATGGCTTGCGTAAGCTTAGTCGTCGCGGAGAGTAGACGCCCCAAGCTGACGTCCAGCTTCACTGTTGCCTTCCTGCTCATCGGCTTCCCTTCACTGCACGGTCCCTTCATCGGTCCTCGGCTCATCATCACCCGGGTTGCCACTTGGGCCTACGCCATCGCTTCGGCTGCTGGTTTCCTCCAGTTCGGTCTCAACTTCGGAGAAGAGGCTGGAGCCGCGACCGAGGTCTGGATCACTAGGGCTTGTGTCGTCCAGGGTCTGCAGCAGATCTGGGGTAGGTCTACTCATATCCTCGCTAGAAGTGCTTTTGCTGACTTGCCAGTCTCCGTGCTCTGGTACTGGGGATACACGCTCAACGGGACTGACCCTGCCAAGTACGAACCGCCACAGTTGATCCTCTACATCGTCTGGCCTTTGGCTGTCATGTCGCTGGCATTCTCGTGGTTGCTCTTTGCAGGTCTGCCAGAGTACTACCGACAGGTAAGTCTCCTGGTCCAGTGATGACCCGAGGTGGAGCTGATTTCCAGATCCCGCCTTACGTGCCCAACTTTTTCAAGACCCTCGTCCGGCGGAAGTTGGTCGTCTGGTTCCTCATCTCGGAGGTTCTGCGGTCGTACTGGCTGTCTGGACCTTATGGGCGGAACTGGCAATTCTTGTGGTCGGCCGTCGGCGTCCCGTCGTGGGCGGTGGTCATCATGATCACCGTCTTCTTCATCGGTATCTGGGGTCTGCTTATGGGTATTCTTATCAGTGAGTTGATGTGCACATCGATAAGACTGGACACCAGCTGACGTGCGTAGAATACGCCAAGATTCACTCGTGGTTGCTTCCCGTCTTTGCAGTCGGTCTCGGTGCACCTCGATGGTGCCAGATGTGGTGGGGTACCTCAGGCCTGGGGCTGTACGTTCCCTGGGCTGGTGTTGCCGGACCATACGTCTCGACCTGTCTCTGGCTTTGGCTCGGTGTGCTCGACGCACTCCAGGGTGTCGGTCTGGGAATGATTCTCCTCCAGACCCTCTCGCGTCTCCATGTCTGCGCTACCCTCGCGGGCGCGCAGCTCTTGGGTTCCATCGTCGTCATGGTTGCTAGGTAAGCTGGCTTATTACCACAATTTCGAACCCAAGCTGACATTAACAGGGCCACATCGCCATCAAAGGTCGGACCTGGAAACGTCTTCCCCAATCCGGCAATCTGGAACCCGTCGACCGGCGAGAACAACCCCTTCGTCCACTGGGAGTTCTGGCTCGCATTGATATGTCAAATCGTCATTGTCATTGGCTACTTTGTCTTCTTCCGAAAGGAACAACTGGTATGTTTCGCCGCTCTGCTGCCCTGTTCGAAGCTCGAGCTGACTCCTTGCAGAGCAAGCCATAGTTGCCGAATGAGGTCGAGGAGGTGGAAGTGGAAGAGAAGAAGGAGAGGGGAGAGAAGGGGGATCGGGGGATGATCCTTCCTATGATGTTGAAACGAGAGGATGAGGGAACGAAAGTACCGATTCTTATGATATTGATGGACACTTTGAAAGGTATCTGGCCTGCTGTACTCCGTGTATCTCACGCTCGTTTATGATTGCTTTGATTAGAGTAACATGCATATACAGTTCTGTGGACTGGACGTGGGCGCGCTACGCCGCTGACCGAGAGGAGCGGGTTTATGAGCATGATGGTGCATGAATACTACCTCTCGATCCAGCTTGATATATACAACCCCTACTTTCTGCACAATTGGCTGTCCCACTGATACTCGTCCGCCGATCCCTATACAATTGACCACTCAGTACTAATCCCTCCACACTGTGAAACCCGTCTCCCCGCCGCCTACCGTATCGAAAAACCCCTCACCAAAGTACCCGCCTCTCCCCTCTTCGCCCCCGCCGCCGGTACTCCGCGCTTGCTCCGAATCGGCCCCGCCGCCTGTAGCTCCTGGCGCTGTCTGCTCAGAGCCTTTGCTACCCTCCACCCCCTTGTCCACGACCTGCGTCCCGCCCCGACTCCAGCTTGCGGGCACCCTGTCAACCCCCTTCTTGTTCTCCGCCCCACGTCGAACTGGCCCCTCTTGATCCTTCCACCTGACAGTCTTCTTTCTGCCTGACCCCTGTGCGCCAGCCTCTACCGCCACCGCCTCCTCCTCTTCCTCATCCTCCTCGATGACGGGTGAAAGCCCCTGTCTCCCCTGTCCACCTCCCCACCGATCCTCCTGACTAGGCGACGAGAAATTCTCAATCTCCTCCCCTGGCTCTTGATCCCCCTCTTCCTCCTCTCCCCCCGAATCATTCGGGCTTTCCGACCGAGTAGTAGCGTACGGTAAGAACTTGCCGTGCTGGTCCCGTGGACGCAGTTCGATTGGGAGAGGGACCGATTTCGTCCGGTGCGATCGTCTACGAGCGATGGGGATCCGCCGGCCGCGATCCTCGTACTGGACGAGATGATCGGGAACGTCGTATCCTGCCCAAGCGCCCTCCGTGACCCGGATTTGACGCTCAGGAGCTGGGCTGGGTGACTCGGAGGTATCGGATGGGGAGGTGAAGCTGTCTCGTTCGGTCTCAGAACCGGAGGAGAAGTCGGTCTCGGTTGAGGAAGGTGGATAAGGGGGAAGAGTCCCATATTGACGAGGATCGGTATGATGGGGGCGCCGCCTATCTCTTGCACGTGCATTGGCGATTCTTGAGTCTTGAAGCCGATCATGGGAACGCCGACGGGTCTGACGGGCGGGGGGATCATAAGTAGAGAGCTGGTCGAGCTGGTCCAAGGAGGAGTGACGAGGAGACCGATGGTGGGGCTGACTCCGCCTCTTCTTGCGAAGCGGTTCTTGATGATCTCGTCGGCGAGTGTGACCGCCGTTGCTCCGCTCACCACGGTGCGCCGGCTGGACGTACGACTCCGATTCACCGTGCTCTTCATCGCCCATCTCGTAGACGATAGGTTTCTCGAGCTCATATGAGTCGTCGCGATGCTGACGGTCCCGCTTGGAGGCGCTCAGGATGGACTTTGGCTGGACGCTCCTGGCAGCTCGACTGGGCGGAGAGTGGACGGGCTGACCACCGTCGACGAGGGGTCTGCCCAGCTATGGTATGAGCTCAAGCTTCGCAGAAAGTCAGGAAGAGGATGTTAGCTCACCTCATCTGCCATCTCATAGTTACCATTCAGCTCCTCGTCCCCCGATCTTAGATTCAACTCATCCGCAGACGAACTGAAATCTTCCACCTCCACCTGATCCTCCAGGGACTGTACAAGTTCCCTTCCCGTCTTTGCCTGCCGATCATCGGAGCGTGATGGCGCCCGACGAGGGCGAGTAGGAGTCTCTAGCGTCTGGAAGGCCTTGGTGAGGGAGGAAGGTATGCCTGACGAAGATGGGGAGGAGGACTCGTGAGGGCGCTTTGACTGGCGCAGGCTGTGGTCGGGCGGTGTGTGGGCCTCTGGGATCCCGCCTGGGAGCAGATGAGAGGGTGGGAGAGGTTGAGGAACGAGCACCCATTGACCGGAGCGGGGATCGAACATGGGTACCGGTGGGGATAACGGGTCGAAGAGGGGGGGCGCTGGCAGAGAGGGAGCAAGAGCGGGATACTGCCAGGGACCCCCGAATGTCGGGATAGAATAGGATGGAGGGGCGACAGGATGGAATTGTTGTCGAAAGTCCTCCATGAAGCTGTCCGCAGTCCTAGGCACCGGAGTCGGTGCAGCGTGGCCCTGATGTGCGCTGGGGAGAGGAAGGTAGGGATGACGGCGTTGAGCGAAAGCGGCTTGCGCGAGAGGGTGCGGCGGCGGAGGCATGTGGCTGTTGAGATTGCTCGCTCCGCCGGGATATTGCTGAGATGGTTGGTGATCCGGTCCGGGCAGATAGAGAGAAGGCGAAAGACTGTGGGAACCATTTGGGAGGTAGGGGACGGAGGGTTGCTGGAAGGGGGTTCCTTGCTGGTGATGCGCTGTCGATGATCCCTGATGATGCTGGCCAGCTACACCCGGCGAAGCGATGGGTCGGATAGTGCTTCCTGGGTAATAGAGCGGCGGAGGAGGAGCTCTTGCAGGTGCCTGCTCGGAATACGCCGAGGGCTGTCTGGAAGGAGGAGGAAGCTGTTGTCCAGCTGTTGGCTTGGGGTAGAGGATATTCTCGAGGTCGGAAGGAAGAGCTTTCTGTCGAATGAGCTCGTTATACTGGGGTCCCTAGCGGAGCTCGATCTCTTATGTGATATGGAGACTTACCGCTTGCACTGGAACTTTGATCTTCCGCCAGATATCTCCCTGATTCCCCTCACCTCCCTCTCTTCCCTCAATGCTCTGCTCGCCTTCAGCACCCCAGCCGCCAGATCCACCCGGCCTATAGCGGAAGCTGTCGAGGTTCCTGCTCACTGGAGCCTGAAGGGCAGATGTTTCGCTTCGCATAGCGAAGGAAGGCTTGGGAGGAGCTCTATCGAAGCTCGCGATGTTGCCGAGATCGCGATCGTACCGAGAATTCTGCGAGTTCCGTGCTGTCTTTCGTACTGGCGCCTGAGGGGGAGGGGCATCCCATCTGGAAGTTGATCAGCTCATATAGCTCATCGAGGATCACCCGAGTAGCAAATAGACGCAGGACGACGGCACTTACCCGCTCTCGGACTCTGCTTCCCGTCGTGCCCGAGCCGCTATGGCCTCTTGTGCCAAGCCGAGAAGCATACTGGAGAGCCACGATACCTAAGATTGATATCTATAGGAGAGCATGCGTCCGGAGGGAGACGCAGGAGTCATACGCAGAGAAGGAAGAGGGAAGAAGGAAGAGGAGAAGGGTTGCGCTGGCCTTAAGCTCAGGGGGTTACGTTACCCAAGCTACACATTCCTTAGTTTCCCCGCGTTTCGGAAACCGGAATTCCGGGTGTCCGGGAAAAATCAATCCGTGTACGCTGAAAAATCCCCACCCATCTATGCGGCAATGCGATTCCATACTATTGGACGATCGACGACCCCAAACAGGACGCAACGATGTAGCAGATACGTGCCAGCTGTTGGATGTGTGATTTGTGTTGGTGGTAAGGCTGTGAGGGGTGAGAGAAAGTGGATATATACGGGGTCAGGTATGCAGCTGCTGGTACGTACCGCTCCGGTTATCCCTTGTCCAGTGAGATAGCCGTTTCCTTTGAAACATCCCTGAGACTGGAAGACAACACCCTGTATGCCCATGTATCGCATCTACTTCATCCAGATATATAGCTTCCAAGCCAGTCTTCCGTGGAGTCAATCCATCCGCCATGTCGCCTGTTATGCCCGATCATCAGGCGCCTCACCGCTCTGTGCGCGTCTTCGTCCGCGCTATCACCGCAACGGCTCTCTTTCGTATATGGCCCACCCTGATCTTCATGGGAGGATGGTCATTGATGGTCGTCATGGTGAACAGGAACACCGATGTGGAGTTCACGTTTCCTGCAACTATGGTGACAGTCCTGGTTAGTGAGCATGCCACTCGCTTCTTCCGTGGTCGATAGTGAAGAAGATGTGCTAAGTCTACAGGGTGTCTTGCTGGGTCTGACACTCAGCTACCGTACCTCGTCTGCATATGACCGCTACTGGGAAGGACGAAGACTTTGGTCGCAGATTATCCTTGCATCGAGGTCATGGGCCAGAATTGTCTGGATACACTGTACGTGTCTGTGCGCGATCGTCATCCGCCCGTGCCTCTCCACTGTGTTCTTTGCCTGGTCTTTGCTGCGCTCGTACCTGCTACCCTGTCATACTCACACCCGTCGACCTCGATCTTCCCATATACCCTTCCTGCAATACCTCTCACACAAATCACCCGGAAATGGCGGACGTAAACTGATAGCCAGGTCCTGATAGCCTATCCGCTGTCCCCATAGACGATGTCGACGGGAAGGCACTGGACGAGACCCGGGCGGTGATGGAGAAGGCGACAATGGTGCATATGGCTCTGGCATTTGCGGTGGCCGTGAAGCATTACTTGCGCGGAGAAGAGGGCATGTGAGTTAGCGTTCCGACCTCACCATCGTTACATACAAGGACTCCCAGCTCTGCAGCGCTACGACCTCAGCTTGGGACTCAGCTGATCCACAGCTTCTACGAAGATCTGTACCACCTGGTCCGCTTCATCCCCTCCCTGAATCTCCCCTCCGGGATCCCCTCTGGCATCGAGGCCAATATCGGGTCAGACCCCGCTCGGCGCCAGGTTCACAAGCAAGGTTCCGCTTCCTCCTCGCACATCTTCGACTACCCCTTGTCCGACCGATCCACCTCTCCCTCTGTCCACAAGCCCGACGATGGCTGTCCTCCCCTCGACCCGGCACATAATCCCCCAAAGTTCAGATGGGCCGATGTGTTCCCCGTCAAGTTCTTCCTCTCTCGCCGTCACCGCCAGCGAGCCGCTCAGCGTCGTCAGGACCTGAAGTCTCGCGCGCGAGCTGTCGCCTCGAGAGAAGGAGGCGGCGTCGGCCATAACGTGCCGCTCGAAATCAGCATGTTCATGTCCGTCTGGGTCGCCCAGATGCAACGCCGCAAGACTATCGACGTGCCGACTATCAACTCGCTACTGGCGCCTATCCAGCAGATGGCCGAGGCCCTCGTGGGTTTGGAGCGGATCTTGACAACACCGATTCCATGGAGCTACAATGCGCATATCTGGGAGGTGACGTGGGTATATTGCTTGCTGTTACCGTTCCAGCTGTACGGGGCAGGGTTCAAGTGGTTGACCATCCCAGGTACCATAGTAAGCCATGACGTATCTGGTCAGATCTGACGATGCTGACGTATTAGATCGTCGCCTACATCGTCATCGGCTTCGCCGAGATAGGGGAAGAGATTGAAAATCCGTTTGGGTGAGTCTGCGGACCTGTCTCACAGAGATCTGGAATAAATGACCGAGGCGCGCGGGGGTTTTTGGGAATTTCTGCCCATCTGTCTCAACTTCGAACTCGTCGCACTAACTTGATCTGACGAGACAGGTACGACCCGAACGATCTCGCCCTCGACACATTCACCCAGAACATCATTGCTCGCGAGCTAGCGGCGATCGTTGCCCGTCCGTTTGCTCCGCCCGAAACGTGGATTTTTTCTGCCGAGAACAAGGGGTTCGGTCCGACCGGTGCGGGTGACATGCAATATCAAGGCGTCAGCGAGGTGAGGCGGTGCCTGGCTAGATCTCTTGTGAATGGGGGGGTGAGCGAGGGACCGGCAGTAAGCAGGGGAAGTGGGGAAGAGACGGTCTGACAGACGGGACCTTTGTTTATCGTGCGGCGAGGAGCGCCTTACCATGCATGCCCTTCTACATGGTATGCATGGCTTCCTTGTGCAGACCTGGGGACGCGTCGAGGTGCGGGTGAGCTGAGGCCAGCGAGGACATGAGCCTCAGTCGCCTTCGCGCCGGCATGTTCTACAAATCTACATGCCGCGATGACGCCAGAAATTTCCCATTCTGGCAATTTGGGCACTTGCTAGCCATGTTTCAGGTTTACCGCCCTCCACCCATATGGTCCACCGTCGGCATCTACCCTGAGGAGGCTGCAGAGAGCGTTGTTTGGCGTCCCAGGGGTATAAGTAGGCCCGGAAAGAGTGGCAAATGATGCATCCCCCTGCCCATCTTACCGCATCCACCCACCCAGACGAAGCCCCACCGCCAAAATGGTCTTGACGAAAGTCTACGAGTTGCGCTGCGCCGCCTATCCACCCCTCCTCTATTCCTTCATCGACGGACATTTAAGGACTGCCCAGCAGACAGTATTCAACGGTCACGCCTATATCCTCGTCACTGAGTATCCTGCTTCTTCCGTACCCTTGTCGATGTCGATCGGTCTACCCACTGCCGGGGCCGTAATGGGGCGGCTTCCGCGAGAAAATGGTTCCGAGCGGACCTTCAAAGTCTTCGAGGCCTACCCGCCTATATTCCTGTGAGTTACAGCCCATACTACTCGATATTACTGCAACGAGCGACGCTTATTTGTAGTGGGTCGGCGAACGAGGTGGCGAGCATGAGAGTCATGGCGAGTCAAGAGACAAAAGAGCAGAAGGTCTGTACTCTCAAACATCCTGATTGACGGCATTCTGGGACGAGAGCTGATGTCTCTTAGGCCGAGAGTCTGCGGGTAAAGGGGACACTGTTCTCGAAGACGTTGGAGATGGAGCCCGAGGACCCAAACTCGGTCTACGCTCTTGCCGCTAGGTCTGCCGGGCAGCCGGTTGCGGTCAGGACTGCTAAGGTGACCTTGAGCTCAACTTCCCAGCCGCTGGTAAGTTCCAGACAGTACACCCTGTTTCCATCACTCACACTCCAGTCCTTGAAGTCCTCGACGTCTAGCTCCGAGCTCGACTCCTCTCCCACCCAGCCGTCGACTCCACTTCCTGAGCAGCCAACAACCTCCTGCGCCAAACGCCGACGAGCGGACGACGACACGGATATTGCCAGCCCAAGCAAGCGGCAGCGGGGCGACGAGAAGTAGGAGGGGCGATATCGTGGGCACGAGGCGTCTCGGAAGAGGACAGAGCAGGAGATGTCGTCGGGGTTTTTTGTCTGTTGCGCAAGCTTTTGCCCTTCGAAAAGTGGGCCTGAGCCACATTTTGTTATAGCTTTCTTCCTCTTCTTCACTCATATGTATTGCCTTTCTCTTATCAAAGATCATGATCTACTCATTCGTACAGGCATCGCAATCTTCAAGTCGGATCTTGTACACCCACTTCCCCTCCCTCTATCCCTTTTGAGCTACCACTCTCAGGATCTCCATCAACGCCTTCCTCAGCCCGGACGGCACAGATCATGTTCTACTCATTCATTCAGGTATCGCGGTATTCAAGCCCGATCTCCTACGCCCGCTCTCTTTCTCTTTCTCTTTATCCCTTCTGCGCGACGACATCCAGGATCTCCATCAACGCCCTGCCCAGGCCGGACGGCTCATTCCCCACACGCTGAATCACCCCGCCCAGCACGTTGCTCACCACGGCGACGACCCTCGGGTAGTAGCTCGCCATCTCGGGCACCCTGGGATCAATCAAGCTTGCAACGCGCCGCTCCCACTGCATCGCCCGGACAAAGGTGATGTCGTTGGTTGGGAGCTCGGCGAGGGCGAGGGCGAGCCGATGGTACAGCGTCAACATGACCGCCGAGGAGAGGGGAGGGGGATGGGAAGGCGATGGGTTGATGGGAAGGAGGTAGTCGGTGATGTTATAGTGGGCATTGAGGAGGTTGATGGTAGCCGAGACGTGCGGGCTGGCTAGGGCGGCAAGGAAGGCGTCTTCGAGCTGCCGCGGGTCAGGCATAGGGGGTGCGTGAGGTGGGGCCGGGGCCGGAATGGCAGCCGCTGGAGGTGCGGGAGGTGAGGCTAGGGCGGGAGGAGCTGGAGGAGCAGCTCGGACTTGCTCGGAAAGGGTCGAAACCTGACGACGAAGTTCCGCCATCGCCTCAACCATATCTCTGAGGCTCTGATTCTGCGCATCGGTCGAGGCCGGAGCGAGATCTTTCCTCATTCTATGAAGTCAGCTTTGCCTACTTGTGATCGGCCGAAGGCAGTATTAAGCTTACTGAGTCATCTCTGACCTCAACTCGACCGCAAGTCCCTCAAACATCTTCCCCGTCGCCGTCGTCACAGCCGGCACCACGACCCGCTTGATCGAGTCCTGCACCGCCCGGTCCACCGTCTGCTGCACGATCTTGCTGATACTGGCCTGAACGACGGGAACGAGGATACGCTCCAAGTCGGCAGGGACGGTCTTGAGCGAGTCCTTGATGGACGTGGAGACCAACGTAGGAAGCGAGGATGTCAACTGAGACTGGACGGTGGTGGTGATAACGGGCGTGATACTGAGTTGTCAGCTATGCTAGCCTCATGGGGAATCCCGGCATCAAAGCTAACGCACCTCTTCTTGACCTCATCTCGGATCAGAGTCGTCATCATACCCTTCAACTCCTTCTCCACCCTGACAGTGATATCCGTAGCAAGCTTGTCCCCGCCCATCGAGTCGATGCGGCTATTGATACCGCCAATCTGACCAGAAAGAGCCTGGCGGAATTGAGTGACGATCCGGTCCTCCATCTATCGTATCAGCTCGATGGTTGCACAAAGGAAGGGTATGCTCAGCTCACCTTCTTCATCTGCTTGTTCGTCTCCTCTGCCAGAGCCTTCGGACTCGTCTTCTCTACAATGACCGGCTCGTCGTCCGACTCCTCCTCAGCAGTAGCGGAAGCGACAGGTGCTGTCTGCTTCTCGACGGCTCGAGGGGTCGGAGCAGCCTGCTTGGGCGTGGAGATGGTCTGCTTGGGCGTCTCCTTGTGCTCGACGATTGGTGCCGGTTGTGGCTGAGCTGGGATCGATGGTCTGGGCTGGGCCTCTTCGACGTTCGCCTCCTTTGACGACGCCAGCTCCGGCTCGTTCTTCTCCTCGGCCAAAATAGACGCTTCCTTCTCCTGGTTGACCTCAACTTCTCCATCCTCGGTCGGGGGTGCCGCCAGAGCATCCATAATTCCCTCCCCAACAACAGCCATACTGATCCCCTTCGGATGCACATAGATGATCTCTTGCGCCTCTTCCGCCTCCCTCGCCTGCGCAAGACTCAATACCGCATCCAGCGGAACATCCACCATCTTTGTGAATGGTATGACCGACTCGCCTTCGGCGGTATTGACCGGCGGGCGGCCCTTGAGGGCGTACTGGAAGCCATAGAGCGTCCCGCGGGCCTCGGGCGCCGTCACCCACAGGACGGACCGAGTGGTGTCGTATACAGCTTGGCAGAAGCCGAGAGGTGTGCCCGTGGAGGAGGTGAGATGGAGGGTACCGAGGACGGAGATGGAAAGTGTGATCTGAACGACGTCGAGGATCGTGTTGTTCTGCCGGCCGATGAGGAGGTTGGTTTCGCAGAATTGGATGGAGGAGGGGTAGTCGGAAGTCTGAGCGGATCCGGTCGGGGAGGAAGAACGGGGGAGTTCCTTGTGGAAGGCACGCTTACGAGTAGCGACAGAGTAAATGGTGAGGTAGTTCGAGTGGGAGATGATAGCGAGAGCTTGCTGAGTGGCATTGAAGCAGAAGGCGGCCGAGGGCTACTTGGTCAGCTGTGCACTTTCTTCAAGACTTCAAAGCTTACCCCTTCGCTCTCCATGATAGTATTCCTGCGCACTATTTCCTCCATCGCAACATTCCCCCTCTCCTTCCTAGGGTCTAGCAAGACCACACCCTCACTTCCCCCAATAGCCAACAAGCTCTCCTCGCCCCTGTCCACCCATTCGACCTGACTGATCGTGCCAAGCGCACCGTCCGCGTCTTCCCCGGCGATATGCAGGACCTGGTCACATGGCGGGTCATCCTGACTCCAGGACGTCGGAACGCGGAAGACAGTCACGGACTGGTCGGCGCCGAGAGCGGCAATGTACGTCGGAGCGACAGCGAGGTCGAGGACTGTTCCGGTTTGAGCGGCTTCGGGGAGCTGGAGGACTAGTCGGGAGCCGGTATCTCGGTCGATGAGGCGGAGTCTCCCTGTCGTATGAGCTCATGCCTGTGAATGCCGTCATCACCGCAGACAACTCACCAGCAGATAGCGCATAGACCATCCAGCCTCGCGTGAGACCGACGACCCGACCAGCCTGGGATCGTCGGATAGGTGCGTGCTTGAGCATAGTAGTCGGGATGATGTTGACTGCACCAGTCTTGGGGCCGAGGAAGGCGTGGGGGTCTTGAGTATGAACATCGACCGTAGTGTCCTTGTTGACAAGGTCCAGTCTACTCGGTAAGCTAGAATCCGCAGTAGGAAGAGCGTAGCTGAACTAACCCCATGCCCTTCTTGCCTTGGCTGGCCTGACCACCTCGCGCACGCGGGACCGACTTCTCGCTAATGACCGACGCAGGAGCCGTGGAGGACACTGCGTTCTTGGCCGACGCTGTGCGTTTGTGTCCGCTCTGAGCGCTGCTAGCAGGGCTAGCGGCTCGGGAGGACGACGACTTGGCGTTCCCGTTCTTGAGTAGCGTACTAGCCGGGGCTGGTGCAACAGCAGCAGCGGCAGTAGGAGCTGTAGTCGCAGTCACAGGCGCAGAGACTTTAGCGTCCACAGCAGCCAGCTCCTCCTTGCTCGGCTTTACGTCCGCCACCTCTGCCTTCTCCTCCTGAACCGCCGGTGCAGGGTTCGATGCCTTCTTCTGAACGGCAGGGGGAGCAGAAGGAGGAGGGAAATCAAGCGAGACAGCCGGGATCCCCGCCTTGCTCTTGTCCAAAGCCGACCCGGGCCGCTTGACGCCATGCGGGACCGTCATTACCATCGGCAGCGCCGGAGCTGGCTTGGGAGGGGGACTGAAGGCATCAAAGGGGGAGACGAAGTGGAATGGGGATCGAGCGGGCGGAGGGGGAGTAGGCGCCGAGGGGTTGGGTATACCGGTGTTGGTAGAGTGATCGCCGTTGGCCTCTCTCTTGATTTGAGAAATAGCAGGGTCGACCGGCTCGGCCTGTCTCTCGACGATAGGGGCAGACTCGGGCTGCTTCGGCTCGGGAATGGCGAGCTGGGAAGCTTGCTGTGCTGTCGCGCTACATCGATCAGCTTGCTCCACGCTCCACGCTCCACGCGCCTCTCAGATGAACCCACCTCGAAGCACTCTTAAGACCGGCCAATAGCTCCGTCACCTTCCGATGCGCCTCCGCCTCCGACGTTGTCGCAGAGGCAGACCCATTCGCCTGCGCATTGACGGTCTGCGCGATGGGCTGAGCCGGAGCGGGCGCAGGAGCGCCAATCTTGCTCAACATCCCTAGCAATCTGTTCTGCTGGTCCTCCTTCCCCTCTGTAGGCTGTGGGGATCTGGCCGACGGGGCACCAGTAGCAGTGACCGAGCTCGCTGCGGATCCGGACCTCTGTGGAGCCGGTGCGGGCACTGTGGTACCGTTAAGACCGGGTGCCGGGACGGGACCTCCAGGGGCAGGAGCGATACTCTTGAACAGATCCTGGAGCGAGATCGACTGGAAGCTCGGACCAGGGGGCGCCGGGGTGGGCTCACGGGGCGATAATTGACCAGAAGGGGGCTGGGGTTGAGCGACGGAGGTGGGGTTCTGAGCGGTGGTTGAGGGAGAGGAAGAAGGGGAGGGAGAAGCGGTAGCGTTGAGCATGGCGAGAAGGCGGTTGGGGGTAGCGGATGACATGACGCGTAGTGCGAAGGCCTCCAGGCTGGTGCGTGGAGAAGGTGCGGTATCCTTTGCTTGAGAAAAGAAGAAGTAAGAAGGTGAGGAGTACTGGGATACGTCAGTTGAGTTCGCCCACTTCGCCCGAGCGATCCACGGCGCTTTACAACTCACACGCTGCTGCTCGAGGGGACGTACAGAGTAGGCTTGAGTATGCTCCGACGCGGTAGCAAAGGGTATACTCGGTTGTGAGGTATAGGAAGATGCAGAGGTAGAAGGAGGAAGGGGATAGGTGTGTGCCTCGAGGTCGTCGGTTGAGATTTCGAACCTTCGATCGGCCTCCACTCGCAAGAACCCAGCTGGGACCGACACCGTCAGCCCGTGTCTGTGCACAGCGATCACAGCGCAGCTTCTTTGGCCAAGCCTCTGCTGTTCATCCCACAGCCGGTTCTTAAAGCACAGACCGCAGCTCCCATGCTTCTCCAGGTAATTAGTAGCTGAAGCCTCAAAACCACAAGCAGGAAAAGATTATAGCTATATATCAGACAAATACGGGCACTATATGTATGGCTGCCGACTGTTCTCTCTTCCCCCTTCTCCCACCCTCCTCTTCCTCCTCTCTACGCTGTCTCCCGCTCCAAAAAGTGTTCTAGGGTGAATGGTCGGGTTTAAGGATATTGGAAAGTCGGATCCCCGGGGAAGAATGAGTGGGGGGAGGGATGAACAGGTCAACGAGTAGCTTAGTACTGCGAATGTCAGCTGGGCTCTCTCATCCAAGCCGGCAAAAGCTAGCTCACCTTCTCGCCGGCCGCACGACCGCTAGCGAACCGCCCGAAAGCGCCGCAGAACGAAGTGCAGGTGGCGAGGAAGAGCGCGACGACTGCTCCGACGGTGAACCAGTTACAGTTCCCCTGTCCTGTCAGCTCATGTCCTAACCCCCAGTAATCTGAAGCGCAGAACTCACGAGCTCAGCCACGTTGCCCGAGTCCCTGACCCTGTTGCGGACGAGGATCCAGAGGACCATGTCGATAACGAAAATGACGAGGGCGGCAACGGCAGCGATGGCCGAGAAGAGGGCCATGAGGATGGTGGCTATCCGGCTGGCGGCGAAGATGCCGATCAGGCCAAAGATGAAGGCGAGGAGGGCGACACCGCCGGCGATGGGGTGGATGATGAGGGCGTTGGTCAGGCGCTGGAGGGCGACTTCGTTCGAGAGGTTAGGGCTGGGAGTCAGCTCTGGCCGACAGGTATGAATTTGGGGAGAAGAGGAAGCAGGTACGGGCCTCCCCATGAAACTGCGAATGCCTCCCTCTCCTCTATGCCAGAGGAAAAACTCACCCTCCGGGGATCTGCAAGTCATACCCAATGCTCCTGGCGGTGCACGCCGCGCCCGAGACACACCGGCCAAAGACACCCCAGTATGTGGTCTGTCCGCCAGCCGTGGTGGTCAGGAAGTTGACAACGTTCCACGCGGGCGGCGAGATGGACGCGAAGAGGAGGAGGACCATGCCTGACTATCAGCGATCCATCCCGGTGCACCGAAAAAGAAGGTTTGAACTGGGCCCGAAAGCCCAGCCCATGTCAACAAAAAGCAAGACTTACCGGCAAAGGCGAAGAAGAGACCGGGGAAGGCAGGAGAGAGACCCATCGTAGCTGTCGAGTATCGGTCGAGGTTGGTCGAGTGAGTTGAACGAGTATTGATGGATGAGAGAAGAGGATCTTCCCGCACAGACGCTTGGCCTAAAAAAAGGGGGTTGTTGACGGACGCAAAAAGGTGTCGACAGGTGTCAAACACTAGTTTCTTCCGGAGGTTTCAGTTGGAGACGGTACTGGAAAAACACACTGGGTTGAGTGGGTAGCTGGTATTATATGGGGGATGATGTATGTACAGTCGCAAGAGCAGAGAGCAGGGGGCAGGGGCAATGGGAGGGAGGTATGAGGGGGTGAGGGTGCAGCTGTCCGTCATTCTCGCTGCAAGTGGAAATCCGGGTAAAAATCGCCGAATTGAGTAACAATTACGGGCCGTTCCCGCATCCGCTACGTCATTGCCGGGTCCAAATTCGGCTAATTTCTGACGGCTTTACGTGATTCGGCTTCGTGGCGTTCAACGCTACCGATAAAACTGCTCGAATCGAAGAAGACGGGCTCTGCAGCTATTACCCTGCGTCATAGTCATGGCTGGTAGCCTGGTACACCACGCTTTAGGCAGAAGAGACCCAGGAGACGAATGCATACGGTCGACGGAAGAGCGACCTTCACCAAAAGGGTATATCCAGCAGCATAGACCAATAAGAACAGGGGCGTATAGCGTATAGCACAGACAACGGACGGAAGCAGGGTATAGGCGAGGCGAGGCCAGGCGGGGACAGGTGCAAGTGCAAGGGGCGCAGAGCAGCGCAGAGAGATCCGATCTGATGGAAGGCGATGATGGGTGGAGGTAAATTAGGCGGAATGAGGAGTAAGGGCGGAGACGGCGAATTGAAGTGGAATCATGATTTCGTGCCCTTGACGTTCTGAGAAAGCCATTGGAGACCCTCAAACAAACCCTCTCCTGTGGTAGCGCAACTGAAGAGTCAGCTCGAGCTCACGGTGCTGGTGTAAGGACACTTCTGAGCTTGACTTACCTTGGGTGCACATACCACGACCGGTCCCGCATCTTGTGCAGCCCCAGCTTCTCGGTGACCTCGGCAGGGGACATGGCTGAACGTCAGCATTACCCAAGCATGACCTGAAGATCGCCACAGCCGAGCTGGAGCGTATGCGCAGAGTCTCTCCTCTCAGCTCATCTCTGCCTCTCTTGCGCACGTCGCTGGAATCTCCACCGAGATCTGGGATCACACCCTCGTCACGCAGACAGCGCACCAACCACCTCCAACCATGACCTTCGACTTCCTGCCCTCAATCCCTCCCAACTGTGTATCTCGCGGTTTTCCCAGATCTCTCTCCCAAACCCATCCAATCCCAAGCTAGCCCGCTGTGACAGATCCAAAACTCACCTCCAGGTAAATCCTGCTTGTTTGAAAACACCATCAACAGACAATCCTTCATCTCCCTATCCGACAAGATCCTGTCCAGTTCTTGCCGCGCTTCGTCTATCCGGTCCCGGTCCGCCGAGTCGATAACGAAGATGAGACCCTGGGCGGTGTCAGCTCTACCGTCTCTCTTGCCAAGGGCGACGCGGAGGTGGAGCTCACCTGCGTTCCGGTGTAGTAATGTCTCCATAGTGGACGGATCTTGTCTTGTCCTCCTACGTCCTAAGAGGTCAGCTTCTGCCGAACTCGATTGCGCTGGAGTCCCGACTCTATGCCCCACTCCTTGTCCGTTCCATTCTCCTGCCTGTGATGACCCTCTTGCATCCCCTCTGTTCTAGCATCGAAGGTCCCTCCCGCGGACTTTTTGATCCCCGCCAGTTCTCTTCCCTCAACCTGCTCCTCTTCGCAGAAACCCCCTCACAGCGTTAATGTTGCAGGGGCACAGGCCAGGATACGGTAAAGCCTTAGGTGCCAGACTTACCCATACGTTGAACTTGACGTTCTTATACGTGACCGTCTCAACGTTGAACCCAACCGTAGGGATGGTGGTGACCGATTGGTTGAGCTTGAGCTTATACAGGATGGCTACAGATTATCAGCTTCTCGGAGCCAGTAGCTCAGATCCCTTCGATCCCAGTGAAGCTCTCTTCCCTTGGACGACCGCTTGTGCTTGACCAGCACCGCCCCTTGCCCCTGCCGTTGTTGACACCATCCACACCATACGACTCCGGTCTCTTGTGCACGCCCAGCACAACCATAGAGACATCACTTACTAGTCTTCCCCGCAGCATCCAGACCCAACATCAAAATCCGCATCTCCTTATTCCCAAACAGCTTGCCTATACAGGATCAGCATTCCACCCCTTCACATTCCTGCTTCGCTTTCCAATTTGTCAGAAAGGGTTGGACCTACCGAGCGCTTTACTAAGCTGACCACCCATCGCTTCTTTACGCCTTCGCGAGTATTATATATGCAGTGTAGATTGCCTATTGGGCAAAGCGCGATCGATGTACAAAGCGCGCGATGGGAAGGGGTCCGAGCGTTGAGACTCCTTTTGATTGTTGACAGATCGTCCAACGCGATTCTGCTGGACGTATATTTCAGGTAGATGGTGGTAGCTGACTCCTCGTTGAGTGTGGTGTAAAGAGCGTGATAGTAAGCGGTGAGAAGACCCTTCTACTTTGAATATGTATGAGGTGAATAGATGTTTGAATGCGAAAATAGGAACCAGCGCGGGCGGGGGACGAGCCAAAGCTCGTTTCAGAACCGCGAGGAACGCGGGAGAGCGCGCGGGAGAGGCGAGTAACGTAACTCTCCGCCACGTGGTGTAAGCGATGGGGCTCCACACCAGCTAGGAGCATCGGAACCGCGATCGACACCAAGGACACCGGTGACGACTCGAAGGCTCTCTACGTCGACTTGAAGTCCTCAAATGGTAACGCCAGTAGCCTAGACATCCTCGAGCTCGCTGTCTTCGCGGTCCGCCATTCGCCTTTAGCTTATCTCATCCGCGCAGCTTCGTAGCTAGCTCACTATGGCAACCCCGACTGATGCACCCGCACCGTGAGCTGTTCGCCGGGCATGTCTTCCTGCACGCGCAAAGCTGACCCTCAGGCTTCGTCTCCCTGCGATCCTCCAGAACCCAATCAGCTCTTCGCAGCGGCAGATCGAAGCGCACAATGCTCAACAACGCGAGAAGCTCGCCGCGCGACGAGAAGCCAAGTCTAGAACTGGATCGACGGGCGGAGGTCGAGCCCCAGGTATAGGCAAGCGGGTCGTCAGGCGGTCAGACAATGGTGAGTCCTCGCAAAAGCACAAGAAGAATATGAGCCTGACCAGTCAGCGGCCTTTCTTGACAACCCCCATATTGTCGCTCCACGCCGGACCGATCTCTACCCCTCCGTCCCTCTTCACCCACGGCCCACACGCGCCTCTTTCCCCCCTCAAGCGCTCGACCGGTCCACACCCATCCCTGGTGTGCCTCCACGCGATAGCGACCCATTCTCAGACTCGAGCGTCAACGGGGCATTCACCACCTCCCTTAAAGGTACCCGCGCGCTCCTGCGGAAACGGGGTCAGCGGGCTGAGGGCGTTGTCGGGCGCGTAGAGGCCGTTGTTCGGGGTTGGCTGGGCGGGGACTGGGGGACCGGACAGCAAGGGTGGAAGGTCGTCGATGAGATGTTGGTGGACCTGGAGGATGGGGCGGTGGATCAGAGTGGGCAAGCTGGGCAAGGCGGAATGCCGAGCTCAACCACCCCGTTCACTGGGCAGTTAATGGTTTCTGCCCAGTCGAGGAGACTGCCGCCTCAGCATAGGGTCACGGGAGTCTTACCGGCTCTACCGACTGTGCAGGGTCTAGCGGGGCTGCAGGTGGCAGCGGTACTCGAGCTGTCGAGGAGCGTCGCGCATTTGACTCTGGCGGCGATGGACCCGTTTGACCGGTTGGTCATACATCTCCTGGCGAGATACTACGAGTGCCTCTCATGGAGTGAGTACTCCCCCTTCTGAAACCCTCTTTGTTCTCCGGCGTAGCTGACACCTCAGGCGAAGAACACCTCACGTCCCCCTCCCGCCCTATCCGCCTCACCCATCTCATCATCCCCTCCATCGCCCGTCCACGCCCCACGGCCGCCTCTGGCCTGCTCACACCCGACACTACGGACATTTCGGACCTTTCTGGTCTCTCCAGCTCAGATGCGTCCAGCTCCGACCGCGCATCCGATACAGACGGGTCCGAAACGGAGACCGAGACAGAGCGGGGAACCGAAGTTGATCCGGACGAGACGTACCGCGTCGATCATGACCATGGCCACGCCGACGACATCTCGGAGGACGGCTCGGTCGGCTACTCTCTAGTCCCGGGATCGGACGGACGGGGACCTGGACTGGCTTCCCGGCTTGATCAGCTGCATCTTCACCGGGTGGATTCGGCCAGCTCGTCCGCTTATGCCTCGTCCGAGGCGGAGTCGGAGAATAGTAGTGCGAGCGTCGGGGCTATGGGGGATAGCATGACGCTCTTCCCGCCGATCCCGCCGGCCGGGTCGGGGAGGGCGGTGTGGCTTGAAGGGGACGATGAGGGGTCGGAAGCGGGGTACGGCGCGTCGGCGCAGAGGATGGGCGCGGGTAATGGGCTGAGGAGGGCGGAGGCGCTGGTGCCGAGGAGAGAAGTGCTGGGGTGGGCGGATAAGCCGACATTCTTCGAATATCTGTATGGTGCTTGAATATGCAAGGTCAGGGCAGGAGTCCGTTCGGGGGGAGAGCTTGCAGAGGCGGACGAGAGCCCGGTTCCGACTTATACTGATCTTACTACAACAGCTTGATCGGTCAAATCTGATAGTGCTGACAATCATGCGGTACCTCATACAAGTGCGGGCCAGGCGCCGTAGCCGCCACAGTCCCTATCGGTATCTTGCTGGGTGTAGAGGTATGTAGCTCCTTTCACGCGTCCGGATGGGTGGGCTACTGAAACACCAAACATGCATGGTGAGCCTTCGTCAGGCCGGCCATGACGTGCTCGATCTATCGGACAGCGTGACGTACCTTTGAATAAGGCTCTCCCTCTCTTTTCGCCACCCCGTGCCGCTGTACTGATACGCTTTATACATATCGCTCACAGACGACGGCTACCTTCCTCACGATGCCTGAACAGACAAATGCCACTGTGTCCACTACAGGTTCCACATCCCACACTCTTGACATCGACACTGCCAAGCTCACACTGTACCTGAACCAGCTGAAGACAGTCCTCGCTCACGCTGACAAGGCTGCGCGTGCCAGCGTCCGACCGCTGCCCGCCAGGGAGCTGGAGAGCCTACGAGGCTTGCTTCAAGCTGCAGCGGTGTCAACCGAGCTGTCATACATCGAAGTCCTCTCATTCGAGCCGACCGGCAAGGCTGAGACGATCAGCGAAGATGCCGCGAGTGAAGTCGCTGCAGCCGCCTCTGAGACCGAGGGGGACCTCAGTATCATCAGGGCAGCGCATCCCGATGCACTTCACGCCCTTTGCACAGCTTTGCAGAAGGCAAGCACCCAGTGCGGTTTGGCCCTCAACAAGGTCCGGGCTGAGGATGGGACGATCGATTCGGGGCATGCCTCCTTCCAGGACACGGTCTCGATCTTCCCTGGCCTCGAGGACCAGCGAAAGAAGGTGAAGACGGCGTTTGGCGGCTACACGACTACCTTGGCTGCCGTTGAGAAGAGCGAGGGCAAGGGCAAAGCGTAACGCGTAACAATGGGGACGAGGGCAACTTTATGACGCTTACCGGGACTTGCAGCCTCTGTTCATTTTCCCCCTTATGCATCATATTGACACCTGGCTGAGCCAGAAGGAGCGAGGGTCGCACAGGCCTACTCTTCTTCAGCACTCATCTACCTAATGCATAAATATGCTACCGTTCAGACTTGATGGGTGGCAATATTCTCACCCACTCACAAGTTGGCCAGTGGTCGGCAGGCGAAAGCTGGTCTTCGCGCAGCTGAGCTCCAACGATCTGAGATCTGACAATTTAGCTCCCACGAAGCCCATACATGCAGTACGCCTCACCGTGCCTTCTTGCTGACCATGGCGTACGATGGCGCCATACTGACCAGCTCCTTTCAGATCCAGGCACAATGTCCGGTCAACACCAGTCCCCGCCTTCCCCGACTGATCACGCCAGATCACGCTGACGAAGCCCCATCGCCCGTACGCCAACTATAAATTCCCTCCCTCCTTCCTCGTTTTTCCTCACCCATTCCCACATCGATCCTGAGGGTTCCCCAATCATCTTTCACCATGACTCACGCCCCTCTCCAACCCTCATCGACCAAGACCACGTGCTCCGCGTCCGCCTCGCAGCCCACTCTCGATGCTCTCGATGCCCTCGACACCCAGCTTGACGCTACCCTCAAAGACATCGAGACATGGCGTCGGGTGCGTACGCCTTTGGAGTGCTGTGCGTTGGCGGATGAAGTCGCGTCGAAGGCCCGAAATCTCGATGGCGTCTTTGACAGCGTCATTGTCGTGTCTGACGACCTCAAAACTGCGTTCGAGAACGCAGCAGCACTCGCCCCGCATTTCTATGCACGCCCGAAGGCATCGACCAGGCTCGGAGGTACTGATCCCAATGCGACCTCATTCCCCACCACAGTCCCCATGACCGGATCTGGTCCGTCCCTCAGTCTGGAAGAGCAGGTGGTCGCTGGACTGAAGGGGATGTGGGCGACGGTCTTCCTCGCGAGCGTTCAGACGAAGGCGGCCAAGACGACCCTTGAGGCGGAGGACGATTCGGCTGATGACATCAAGTCGAGGCTGCCCCAGGTGATGCGAGTGCAGAAGCGGAAGGTGGCGGAGACGTTTCAGGAGCTCTTGACTGCTGTGGGGGCCAATTGCGATGCGGAGACAGCTATGGAATGACTGCTGAACACTTCCACATACCTGCATTCGTACATATCCATGCAGCATATTGAGTTACATGGCAAATGTGATGCGCTACTGACCGATGACTTCCAGGTGACATATGAGGACTTCGAATCTCGCCACAAGCAGCCGAGGAGGGCATTATCCATTCCCAGCGGACGAGTTGCATCTCGCACACTCTGTCCCGGCGCTTGAACGACAGTACATTAGTGAGTGTGGCTCTGGGGGTCGGAGCGCATATAGCCTAAGTTTGCCACCTTCCCTTATATAAGGGGAGACTGAGCGGTTAAGTGGAAGGAGGTGCAGACCACCGGTCCCCGAGTCCGCGAGCGAGGGTCAAGAAGCCCGGTCCGCCGTGGTCTATTAGCACTCCAGGAGTTCCTGCAGGGTCGCAAACGATGCAGGGTGAATGTGTGAGCCAGATTATCGCTGATCAGACTGGCTCGTGTCATAGCTAGCTTTGGGACTGATCATGAAGAGACTAGGACGACTCTACGGACTGTCAACCCCGCGCCAGTCAGCACTCCCGCCGCTCGCCGTACTTCTTCACATATAGATCAGTAGGATCGCGTTCCAACGATCGATGGATAGCTGTGTTGTACTCCTCGCGCCATCTCAAACCATCAGCCTTCAAGTCTCGCAAGACCTCGAAGACGTGATCATCGCACCAGCGACTGATCTTCTTGACGCCCCTCGTGGCCCAATTCGTTCCGATCTTTGACGCACCCGATCGGAAGGCGGCGCCGCTTGTCGCACTTTTCGAGGTGTGGCCCTGACTGGTACACACACTGCGACGAAACGATGGAAAGTGAGACCAGCGCGACGGCAATCGCGTAGCCTTTGTAGTGGAATGGCCGGACCCATAGGTGCTGGATGGTGCGAGGGAATTTGTGTCGGTGACATCGGTGGGCTCAGCCGAAGATGAGTCCGAGGTGACGACGGCGTTGGGGTCAATAGTTCTCGACATGAGACAGTCATGCAGGCGCTCGCGGGGCTCATGGCCATACCGTCCGCTTACAAGGACGGGCTAAGCACACCGGTACCTCTTCCGCTTCGAGAGCCGGGCCGTTGGAAACGATGGTACGATAGACCCCAGCTGCTTGTAAGCCCACCATTGGGTACCAGACATCCAAGAAGCGTCATGTATGGTGTTGAGTTCAGATCTCTGTTCACCGTCTCTGCTGCTCATTGTTCGCCCACAAGAGACCGACACTCGGGATACTGGCGCAGCACCTCTCCTCGCTGGTCAGAGACCGGGCATGTTTCGTCCGGGCCAAACCTTTGTTGCAGCTGAGGTCAGACCGTTTCGTTTTCCTTTGTGCAGTGGGCAACTGGGCGATCGCTCACCTTTTGCCACCCACCTTTTGCCACCCTGTCTTCATACATTATCCACCCACCTTTTGCCACCCTGTCTTCATAAGATATCCCAGCCACATCTTCAGTATCGCCACCAGACAAACCCCATTGGCCCCGTATACACATCCGATGGACTCGACAAACCCAAGTGGTGGCTCAGCTACCTCGGCCGGGACCTCTTCGGCGCCCATGAGCAAAGCTGAGTTGGACGGTGTCTCGGACAACACGAAGTTCCTTCTCGGGCTTTGGCAAGATGGAAAGATCCACACGAAGGAAGAGGTACATGCCAAGGCTTACGAGCCTTCCCTCCAACACCTGCATAGCAGACTTGTTACCGCCAGGGAAGACGTGAACAAGATGCTCAGACTCTTTGACACTGTATCGAGTGCCTGGCAGAGCTTACTGATCCTTTGCAATCATCGTACAGGTGTCAATGATGCCTTTCGTATCGCAAGCCTCCTCGCCTCGAAAGTCCAAAAAAGCGATACCAACGGCCCTTTACCCTCGATGACCTCCGCCATGGGGACTGTTCGCGGTACACAGTCCGAGACGGAGCCCGCGCGGCGGAAGCAGACTCTCAAAGACCTGTCGGCCCAGCTCTCTGCGGTGATATTGCAGACCCTGGTACTGATCGCTGATGCTGGGATGAGTCAATCATGGGAGCTTGGGACGTGGGATGCTCAGCCCCACATCAAGAGCCTGGAGTCAGATGCAGATGGTTCATTCGCGGGGGCCATTGCAGCGCAGGAGGCCCATTGGGAGGAGGACAGTGTCAGGGACGAGGGAGCCAGTGGGGACAAAGCCTGAAGGCCTGATGCCCGCAGAAGGTCTTCATCTTGTTGTCTCCCGTATCATATGACCTATCAGTGAGAGGCGAAATGTGCACCCCTTACAGAGTGTTCATAGTATTCATACCCAGCTTGAGGGAGCCACTTGAATCGGAATGGAGCTCCCTGCTGCCTCCGTCTTGATTGGGCGAGAGAGCGGTGTGAGCCTCGCTGCGAGTCTTCCCTATCAAGTACTATACTCTGGATGGGATAGACCCACCCCTTCGCCGAATGACACGCCCGCTGCCCAGTCGCTGCAGCACTGACCTGCCCGTTGTCTGCCTCAGGCCGGGGCATGTTTCATCTTTGCCTCACTCATGGAAGATGTCAATCAGGTACGGTTTCGTCGCCAAGCTAAGGTTTGGCTCACGGAGATATTTCGCCAAGGGTCACTCCCTCACGTCGAGCTCCGTGTTTGCACAGTTACCTTACCTTTCACCTGGGTCTGTCCTTTGTACATACTCCGTCGCTGGGCATATCTCGCAGCTATAGCTACAACTCCACGCTCTTTTATACATACATATACCATCCCGAGAAAAATCACGGAAACGGACACGGACAAGAGGAACGTGGACGACGTCACCATCAATTATCAACTATATTTCGAGATCGACCTTCTCAGCTTCTTGACGACCTCCGATCTCCGAGCTCAACGCTGCGCTCAACGACGACCCCGATACTCCTCTTCATCTAGTCTATACCCGCAGAAGCGACACTGCCGCACGATGAGGCTCCAGGTCCTTATCGCGGTGCTCACGCTCGCTGGAGTATGCGACGCGACGCACCTCTCCAGTGCCCGCTTGTCCCAGGTGTACGACAAGATGAACTCTTTCGCCAAGTACTCGTACGTCCCTTGTGCTCTATCTCCTTCTTCGCCTTAAGAACGAGCTGACCTGATAGGTGGGAGAACGGAACGAAAGCCCAGGCGATCCTCGAATGGACCTACCCGGACTTATCAGTCTTTTCCACTGCATCCTCCTCAAATCCCTTTCCCGCCTCCTTGTCGTCCAACCAGATCCCCCAAATCGTGGATATTGCCCGAACGACCATGAACAACCGACCGGCAACGAATGCGTCGGGCATCATGGGTGGGAGCCCATTACTTGAGGACGGAGCAGCGGCGGATCCGGCGAGTCTGGGCGGAGCGATATTGCTCGCGAATGTCAGCACGGGCAATGCGGCGGTGAAGAATGTGGGGTATGGGGATGCTGCGCGGATGGAGGTTGCGTATCTTCTGTACGGAGTCCCAAGGGTGAGCTTGTCTCTATCACATACTCACCGCTATGCGAGCTCGGCTGACCCATAGTCAAATACAGGCGCTATCTCCCACCGGACCGAACAAGCCCAATACTGGTCCGACTTCACATTCATGGTCCCTCCCTTCCTCGCCACCTACGCCGGGTTCAGCAATAACCAGACATACCTCCAAATAGCATACGACCAGTGCAGGCTGTATCGCGATCGCCTAAGGCGGCCGATGAGCTCCGGCGCGCTCTGGGCGCATATCCAGGGCGGGACGGGGAATCTCGATCCGGGGCTGTGGGCGACAGGAAACGGGTGGGCGGCGTATGGCATGCTGAGGGTCATGGCGACCATTCAGAAGAGTCAGTGGGCGGGGCAGATGGGTAGTCAGCGGGGGGATCTGGCGAGTTGGGTGGGGGAGATCATGGACGGATGCAAGGGATACGTCGTGAGTTAGCGATGGACTTGTGTTGTCCCTTCACAGGCTGACTCGTCCAGACTCCGAATGGCCTGTTGCGCAACTACGTGAATGACACAAGCTCTTTCGAGGAGACCTCAGCCTCCGCTTTGATTGCAGCTACCGGACTGTAAGCTATCTTTCACTACCAGAATCCTTCTTCCTGGAGACCAAATGTTGGCAGTCGAGCTTCCGATGAGACTCTGTCCAGTCTGCGCCCGCGCCCTTGCTGACTCCCTAGCCGCCTCTCCACTCTCGGCGTAACAGACTCCTACGTTCCCATGGCGCTCAACCTCCTCTCCTCCGCCTCGCGCTACGTCTCCAACTCAACCGGTGTCCTCGAGCAAGTCGTCGACCCCTTGGACTGGAGCAAGCAGGGACAAGACTCGCCAGAGGGGCAGAGTTTCATGATTATGGCTTATGCGGCTCATGGAGATTGGGACAGAGCGGGCAGGAAGGGCGCGACGGGCGTAGATGGGGATGGGCTGGGTGGGTACACTTCGGGCGCGGTGGCGAGGTGGGGCGCCGGGATGGGCGCGACGGCGGTGGCAGCGCTGGTGGCTGGTCTGGCGGTGCTTGCTTGAACGAGAGACGCGATGTCTGCAGTATCGGACTTTCTACTTCCATTGTTGATCATCACTTTTATCTAGATGCTGTATGAAAAACCTCTGCTTGCTCATTCGTCGATGTATTGTTTATACTGGTCACATCGCGCTATGACTGCTGTCGCTGGCTCTTCTCTCGCCTTCTCCTCTTCCCGCGTTTCTCTCCCTCAGCAGTAGTCCGCGCTTGTCCGCCTACAATGACCTCGTACTTCCCTTCGACCCACTTTTCTTCTGCTCCAACTTCACCATTTCCTGCCTCTACCCCTACCCACCGCAACTTATCCCATAAGCGCCCATACGTCCTCCTTATCAGCCTCGGCCGAAACTCCCTCGGTGGGCCCCAAGTACTAGGGTTCATCCGCGTCTCACCGGGCCGTGGGCGGGGGTAGGTGTCTTCCGGCGCGCGAGAGGGGGGCCGGACCGGGCGACGGGGTATGAGGAGGCGGATATGTAGGGGTAGGTGAGCGTATGTTGGGAGAAGGCGGGGAAGGTGTCGGGGTGGATAGATTGCTTGAAGGCGGAGGAGGTTTGCCTCGGCTGATAAGACGGGCGTCGTGGTGGTGGCTGTCGGCGGGGGAGGAGGAGAGCTTTGTGCTACTGGGGCAGAAGATGATGCGGGATCATCGCTGGGCGAGATTGCTAGATGATCCGGGCGAGACGGAACGGAGTCCAGACCGGCGAGCATTCTCAAGCCTGCGAGGACACCCAAGTCCTCCCAGCCAGTCCTCCATCCCGAAGAATTGGGAGGCAGGACGAGCGGCACACCAACAAGGCGCCAGTCCCGCTCCGAAGCTTTCTGGGCGGCCTTGCGGACCGCGACGTCCGGTACAGGCCGCAGTCGAGCTGGTTTATCTCGATGAGGTGCGGTCGGCGGAGGCTTGAGAGGCGCAAGCGGTGCTGGAAGGGGTATGCCGGGGGCGATAGGCAACCGAAACCCAGATGGGCTGGATTTGATCACATTCTGCCTGTCAATCACAGTTTCACAGCTTGTAAGGATGGGAGGAATTTACATTGATGAGTTCCCATCTGACTCTACCGCATTGTCCGTATGACTCCTCGAGAAGCCGCTTGAGTGCGTGGGGATGGCACGCTACCGCCGCTCGAAGCTTGTTCAGCTCCTGCTTTGTCAGTACAGGGTCAATGGTATCAGGTCGGACTTGTCGCACCTTGTGGGCGCGAGCTAGACCTCTCGATCTCTTGAGATCATAGCCATCCTTGGGCGCTGCTTCCAGGTACCCGTTGATCTTGAGTTCGTCCCTGGGCTGCTTGGAAGGGCCACCGGGCCTATCTACCAAAGACCGAAAATACGGCTGATGTGTTCGCCATACGTGCGGATCTGATATATACCGCAGGTTCTTGAGGTATGCGCGGTACAAGATGCGCGGCGCGGGTGGGCTTACCATCCCATGCTGCCTGTATAGAGCTGATAAGGTATTAGAGATGTAACGCGTTTGGGCGTGGACGTGCGAAATCTGGCGCGAGTGGAGGTCTGCATACGTAATTCACAGCCACTGCACGTGGTGAATGAGCGGGCTCGATGACATCATCGTCTTCCCCTGCACTGCGCTGGCGCACTCTAGATCGATGAAAGCCGACCCAATCCCATCTTCATACCTATAACACCCAACACCGTACGTCCCTCCATCTCTCCTTGACTCACACTCAGCATGTCTCGCACATTCACCCTCGCACGCGCGCTCACCCGCCCAGCCACACGTACAACACCCAAACCCACACCCACCCTTCGACTCTTTTCAACCACACCCATCATGTCTGACTCATACTCCAAGACGGCGTCCGAGGAGCCCGGACTCACCCAGAAGCTCACCGACGCGCGGACGTTCTTGGGTAACCACAAGACGGTGCTACTTACTACAAGGGCACCGAATGGCGCGCTCCACGCCAGGACGATGGCTGTCGCGGAGATCACGCCGGACTGGAAGTTCAGGTTCATCTATGACAATGAGAGCTACAAGGAGAAGGAGGTCGACAATGAGTGAGTGTTGGTCGCTGAATCTACTTCGGCGCGATCTTAGGCAGGGGAGGAGATGGACACCTTCCGAGCAGCTTGATCAATCACGCAGCCGGAGGGAGTGGTCCTGCACGTCCTTATCGATCTCATTCTCCCTCATCCCCGACCTATCTCCATCTAGTAGCCGTTCCGCGCAGTCGCTTCAGTGCTGACTATTCAGCAACCACTGCAACATCGCTGTTGACGGCACCGAGAAGAACGACGGCTGGATCTCCATCTCCGGCAAGGCCTCGTAAGCCCTCCTGTACCCCCACTCACAGCTCGATCTATCGCTAATCTGCTAGTCGCACCAACGACGAGAAGATCGTCGAGAAGCTCTTCAATCCCACCACAAAGGCATGGTTCGGTGACAAGGGCGACGGAGTGCACAATGGGACCCCCTCCGACCCGCGCGTCGCGGTGATGGAGATCCAGGTGGACGAGATCCGTCACTTCCACCAGGTCAAGACGCTTGTGGGCATGGCGGTGGATGTTGTGTCGTCGGCCGTGGGCGGTTCGACTGCCAAGCCCGGAGAGATCAGGACGATCACGGGCGAGGAGATTAAGGCTGCGTGGAGCAAGGGGGAGCTGAAGGAGGCGTAAATGTCCAGCAAAGCGAAAAGGTTGAGCAGTACGAACATGCATCAAAGTCATCATGATGAGGCATGAGTCCAGGACGAGATGCCAGGGTGCTATCGCGTGACAGGCGCATCAGGGAGCCCAGCACTGCATCGTGGGAGCTTCATGGGCGGAGACGCGTTATTCGGCTATCGCCACCCCGATTACCGGAGTGACCACCCAAGCAACGCATTCCTCGCTCCTTTCTCGGCCCTCCTCTCATTCACAACTAGCCATACTATAGAAGCTCAGCTTGTAACATCGCACACTCCATCAACCCTACTGCATAGAATCACAATCATCAATAGCATGTCCGACATCAAGGAGCCTGGATTCAAGGTGCGCTACGACCGTTACCACCTTGCAGCTTTTGCTTGTTTGGGACAGAAGCTGATAAGATGTGTAGACTAGCGAGGTCCTCGCTGTGAGTCCTTTGCAGCCTAGGCCAGAATGATGTAGCGTCTCGGCCTCATGACTTATGGGCCGGCTGCTACAGCGCGGGGCTGTGACGCTTGAACAGTAGCTGACACCTCCGCAGACTCTCGCACAGGTGTTTGAGAAGATGCCAGAGGCAGAGAAGAAGAAGCAGATCAAGACGGTCAGTCAGCTAGTCCTGCTTTCACGGAGCTGCACTGATCCTGCAGACGAACGGGATCTTCCAGCTTAATGTTAAGAATTCTGAAGGCAAAGAGGCTATCTGGGTGTGAGTTTCTGTTCACCGCCCTCGGTGGACCATGGGGCGGACGGGCGGGAGAAAGGAGCTGCTTCCAGGCAACGGAAGAGCTGGGGTGCTCGATGCTTGTGGACCAGAGCGATTCAGACCCAGAAGCTGACTTTGGCAGAATTGACCTGAAGAATGAGGGCAAGGTCACGAAGGGCGCAGCCAAGAAAGCCGGTATGTTGCGCTCATGACCACCCATCCATGTGCCCCCCTCGGTCCCTTCTCCGACAATAGTGGAAGAGCTCAGCTGACTCGCATAGACGTCACAATGAACCTGACAGACGGTAAGCTATCCCCTATGTGCGAACAAACCCCTTTGCCGCACCACGGATCTATCCCCGACACCACTGCGCCGGGCCGAGCTGACCCTCAGACACTTTCATGGGCCTCGCAGATGGCAAAGTAAACGGTCAGAAGGCATTCATGACCGGTGCTCTCAAAGTCAAGGGGAATGTCATGCTTGCGGTGAGTTCACTTCTCTTCGCTACGACCCGGAGAGACACGAACTGACTGTCCCAGACCAAGCTGGACGGTGTTCTGAAGGTATGCTGGCTCCCCCGTAACCGCGCATCGAACGGAGCACGCTGACATTCACAGGGTGCCAAGGCCAAGCTATAATCAGCTCATTGCGGTCCTCCACTTCTTGCCTGTCCTGTATTATACGCTCTTTATGTCTACTCGCCAGGCCGTCCGTCCACGATTGGACTTGTAACGTTTCGTTGTTCACCTATGCAAGTCTTACACCTTACACTCTCTTCCCATCTGGCGGACTGGACTCCCTACCCTATCCTCACGAGAGGTGAGGCGACCAGTCGGCCTCGAGGTCTGCTCATGATCAGCAAAGATGCATCGCGAATTCTTCCGCTTGATAGACTATTTACAAAGATCTCCCTGCTCCTAGATAGACCCTGATCCCTCTCGCGCTCTTCTGTCCTGACTATATCGTCCCTATACCATCCCCTCCATTCTCCGCTCTACAACAAGATGTCAAACCCGCACGGGTTCTTCCTACCGCCTCTTTCCGAGCTAGGCCGCCGAGTGTCTGGACAACGGGGACTATGAGAGCCTAGTGATAGCTTTCCGATCCATGGGAGTGCCTAACGATATCAGCTGGATGATCTTCACGTCTGTCGCCGTGACGGAGATTTCGCTAGCTGGACTCACCGTCAGGGGCGATACCATTCTTGGCGAGAATGCGATTATGCCTGATAAGACGGGCTTGGTCGAATGTACACCGCTCAATTGCCCTGGGAGATCAGCGCCAACCCAACAGTACCTGCTCGGTCCCATATCCCTCCAACAGGCCCAAAGCTCCTCCCATTGGGTCTTTCGCCCACCCTCCAGTCTCGCACAGCGATCACCCCTTCTTACGGGATCGCTTCTGACAGACCTCCCAACCCAATCGTCGACGTTATACTCACATGATCTTCCTCACCTCCTCCACACCCGCCTCATCAAGCCCCACTCTCCCCTCCCCACTCCCCTCCGCCATATTCTCCTCCAGATCAAAGTTCCCACTCGACATACCCGCCGCCGCCTGGTCCGCGAAGGCCGAAGAGCGCAGCGGGGTGTAGTTGCTCATTCGGGCAGAGAGCTGGGTGGGGAGCACGCGGGCGAGGAAGTGTGTGAGGAGGGGAAGGAGGCGGGCGCGATGATACACCAGGACTGGCGGTCAGCTTCTGTATGCAGCATCGAGCATCGGTCGGACGGATAGGCTTGGCGCGCTGCGCAACCGTGATGTGAGGAAGTCCAGGGATTGGGCTAATGGTAGCAATAAGTGGGACGGCACTCACCAGCCGCGATGACCAGGAATACAGACGCGGCGGACAGATGGAAGAGCATGACTGCTTAGGTCGACCGAGTTGAGTGCAAAGCGGCGAGGAAAGCGAAGGGTGAACGTGCGGGACACGCGTGTCTCGGGTTGGATGATTTCCCCTTGCCGGATTCCCTGGCAGTCTCCACGGATTTTCGTGAGGCTAGTGCGACTGAGATGATTCAGCTTCTGCTGAGAGACCCGGAGCTGCAGTATGAATCAGACAGAGTGAGTATAGCAAGGATGAGAGGTGGATGGACGTGTTGCTCGTTGCCTTGGCTTGAGTTGGACAAAAGAAGGTTCAGGCACAGGCACATCGGCGCAGTCCGAAAGGAGATCAGCTTCCAACGGAAAGCAAATTTCTACAATAGCACCAGCTTGCTGCTCACTCTAGTACATCACCTTCCATCTATCTAAAACACCAACAGCATGTCCCGCCGCTCCGTCCTCTCAGCGCAGCTCGCACAGCTCACCTCCTCTGGGCCCTCATACGATCCCGACGCGTCAGACAACCTCGATGGCCTGACTCGCGGCGCAGCAGGAGAAGGGGAGGAAGAGGAGGATAGGAGGGGTCATTATGTGGATGTGGGACCGAGTCGGCTGAGAGGACAGATGGGGGCCATGGCGGATCCGGAGGGGAAATATGGAGGGGCGGTCAGGGGACGGCAGAAGATCTTTGATGATGATGACGACGACGAGGATGAGGAGGAGGAGGAGGAGGTGGGTGATGATGAGGAGGGAGAGTCAGGGGATGATGATGATGCGGACGATGATGAGGAGCGGGGGAGTGACGATGAGGATGATGAGGGAGAGGAGGACGATGATGAGGAAGAGGGAAGTGAGGATGACGCGGAGGAGGATGAAGAGGAAGAGGCAGAGGATCAACCGATACACTCCGCTCCAACCTCCTCCCGCCCTCTGGACCCAATTGCGGCTTTGCGCGATTCTCGCCAGAAAGACGTCCTCAAGGGCCAGGCTATCCGTCGACAAAAAGTGAGCTCGGGTGTCCCTTCGCTCCTCGGCGGCCCACACAGCTCACACCTTAGGCACTATTCGAATCCCTTCTCACCATCCGCATCACCTTTCAAAAAGCCCTCACGGCGCTCTCCAAGCTCCCCGCCACCCTCCCGTCTGCTACCGACTCACCCGAAGAGCTCGTCGATGCGCGCTCGGACGTCCTTGCCGGCCTGGCGGAACTGAGCGAGGGGATGTTTGAGCTGCGCCAGGAGATCGCGCTGCCGGGGATGGAAGTGCCGGAGAGCTTGGGGCTGGGCAAGCGGAAGCGGGATGATAGTGCGGATGTGGGATATTGGGTTGGCACAGCGGAGGATTCGTTGAGCCTCAATAATGCGTGGGTCACACCGTCGATGTCATGAGAGTTGCAGCTGATTGGTGCAGAATGAAAGAGCAGATGATCCCGATTCTGAACAAGTGGTCTACCAAGATCCAGGCGGCGACGCTGTCGGTCGGCGGGAAGGCTGCGGGGAGCAGCAAGTTCTTGCAGGGGACCAAGGGGCAGGGGCAGATGGGCGTTGTGGAGGCGATAGAGGCGGGATTGTCGAACAGGGTGAGCTAGCGTCTATTCGCAGTAAGGGCGGGAGTCTTCTAGAACGCACGGTCTGCGGCGCTGTGACCTGCCCCGAACAACTCCGGCATGCCCACTTGAAGTCTCCGCTGACTCTACAGCGCAATCCCGGCCCCCAATCCCTCCTCGCCCTCGAAGAACCGCACTACCGCGCTCTCCTCCGCGAGATCATCGATTCGCGTACCACAGGCTCCTCGCACCTTCCCGACACGTCCTACCGCCTCGAAAAGAAGAAGAAGCGCGATGCCGAGCGGGGCGCAAGTAAAGGCCGGAAGATCAGGTATACGGTACATGAAAAGGCGGCGAACTTTGCCGTGCCGATGGAGATCATGGGTGGGTGGGGGGAGGGACAGGTGGATGAGCTGTTTAGTAGCTTGTTGGGCGGTGCGGGGATGGGCGGTGGGAGGAGTGAGGGACAGGGGGCGGGGATGGAGGGGATGGCGGCGGCGGATATTGGGGAAGGAGGGGGATTGAGTGGACTTGGAGGACTGAGGGTGTTCTAGATGTAAGGAGACATGTATCTCAAGCTGGAACTGGAGAGTTTCTTCGACTCATAAAGGCGCAGTCTGAACGATCGTGCCAATCGATACATCATGCTGGGTACTCGTAAAACCCCTTACCGCCCTTCCGTCCAACCCAGCCCGCATCCACCATACGTACCAAGAGCGTCGCGGGTCGATACTTGGTATCCCCAGACTCAGTATGTAGCACACGTTGAATAGCGAGGCAAGTGTCCAGGCCGATCAAGTCGGCCAACGCGAGTGGCCCCATGGGGTGACCCATTCCCAGGCGGAAGGTCTTGTCGATGTCTTCTGGTGAGGCGATGCCCTTCTTTGTCAGCTTCGACATCCTTCACGCCGAAGGTGACTGTGAGGTCGGACTTAGGACATACCTTCTCGAGAGTGAGGATGGCCTCGTTGATCATGGGCATCAAGATGGCATTGGCGATGAATCCAGGAGAGTCCTTGGAGACAGCGATCTCTGCGCCGTGTTAGCTGTGTATCCACCTCGATGTGTATGCCCTGTGACCAGCTCACCCTTCTTACATGCCAGTCCAAAGGCTCTGGCGCGCTCGAGCGTCGCGTCAGAAGTCTGCAAGGCAGGTATGATCTCGACCAGCTTCCTGCATGATCAGCCGAATATCCAGTCCTTCAGCCTGGACCGAGCGTCATCACTCACATCTGAGGCACTGGATTGAAGAAATGTATCCCCACAACCCTCGACGCACTCTCCAAGCTCTCCGCATCTGCAGGTCCCTTCCCACTGGCCAATCCAGCAGCAGCCGCCAGCTTCGTCAGGGATATCGAGCTGGTATTGCTCCCCAGAATAGCTGGGGCTGGGAGGATGGAAGCGAGATTGCGGAAGAGAGCGAGCTTGAGGTCTGGTATCTCCGGGATAGCCTGCCTCGTCAGCTTCCGCTCCACTCTGCCGAGGGGAGTCGGGGTGGTTGCTAACTGACCTCGATGACTAGGTCGGTATCCCCTTCTAGTCCTGCACCTCCGCCTACAAGGCTCCCTTCTACGCCCTTGATGCGTGACATGGCCGCCTCCCCATCTTCAGAAGAGATCCGCTTCTTCTCGACGTCTCGTGTGAAGAGGGTTTGGAGCTTCTTCAGGGAAGCAGCGAGGACGCGAGGAGAGGGGTCGTGCAGTGTGAGTGGGACGCGCGCGTGAAGAGCTGTCACGTAGCTGTGGTGTCAGCATGAAACTGTGAGAGCTTTGGTGTGAGTTTGAAAGAGAGGTGAAGCTCTCATGAGGCGAAGAGAGACGAGAGGTCTGGGGAAGAAGACAGCTGGACTGGACATACGCGATACCCATGCCCATTTGGCCTGCTCCGACGATCGCCGCGCGCTTCATCGGTTGTAGCCCGGCCATTCTGATCGTATCTTGAAGCTTGAAGACTGTATCTCCTTTCTCGGAGACGGTGATGGGTAGGGGTAAAGTAGCCCTAGTCTTGATATGGGGAGAGTGATGGTGAAATGCAAGTATTACTACCCGGCATACCAATGCGCAAGGTCCGGCCGGTAACGTAGAGTCCGGAATCCGAAAGTCACGTGGCCACCTGCGACAAGTCAAGCCATGTTTCAGAATTCGCCACTCACCTTCATCCCTCCATCACCTCTCTTCTTCCTATACGAGCTGAAAATACCTCGTATCAGCAACGATGCCATTCAAGAAACATTACGGGAAGGACTATAAGCGTAGAGGACGGGATATACGTTCGGGGAGGGCCGAGAAGCGTTCAGTAGGTACCTATTCCTGTTCCAGCGAGTTCTGGCTGCCTTCCTTCCTTCCTGCCTTCTCTCTTGCGACCTTCTGCAGGACCCATTACACAATCAGACTCATCTATAATCTTCTATTTTAAAGATTCCGGACGAATGATGGGCTGACCTGCAGACCCATTCAAAGACACTCTCTCCATCCAAGACCGTCGGCCGGGACGAGTCAATGCTGCTCTTCGACGTCGGCACTTATCCCCATCTCTTCGACATCATCTTCGCATCGTCTACCAGGCCCACACTCGCCACACTCCTTCGTTGCAGCAAGGCGCTCTTCACTGCGGTCTCGCCACTGATCTACCGAGATCTCTCGGTCGATGATAATCAACTCAAAGCCCTCACGCTTTCGAGAGGACCGCAGGCTGGAACACCCTCGGGGGCAGAAAACGGATTCAATGCCGCCTTCCGTAGTACGGTGCAGCAAGTCCGGGCGATGCGGCTGCGGCAGTCCAGCGAACGTGATATCCGCTCGCCGGGCGAACAGTGGCCGGTCTCACGAGTGGCGGAGTGCTTGACGGACGTGTCGATTATCGTCCTCAGCCCCGTTCCGTGGGTCAAGGTCCGGAATGACGAGCTCGCTTTGCTGGCAAGGATATCCAGCGCCTCCCAGCTCGTCATCCAGTATCGCGAGGACTGGAAGTCCTACGAACCCCCTTTTCCCCGTCCCACCGCTTTCCACCTCACCGTTCTTCTCCCCTTCACCCGTCTTCTCAGGCCATACGATCTGTACTCGTCGACCCTCAGCTCCGGATCGGACCGGGAAAAGGTCGTCACCGTCGTCCTCCAACCCCCGACACCGCAACAGTATCGCCAGATCCAGCAAGCCCCGAATCAAGAGGATATTGTTCCTTCGCTCTACTATCAGATGCTGCTTGACTCGAGGCTCAATCAATTCCACTTTATCGGTAGCGAATTCCTCGGCCTTACATCCATCGCGCTCCAACGCGTAGAAACCGATATGCGGAGAAGGGCTAGCATCTACCGGCCGAAAGAAGGGGAATGGCGCCGCCGCATCACGCTTCGGACATTTGCGTCATGGCTGGAGGAGCAGGAGAAGGGATTCCTTTCGCAGTATTCGTTGCACTAATTGGTCTAGAAATCGCGGTTTCTCTAATCCAAGCATACGTATTCTGTGTTCTGACATGTAGCTACATCAAAGATGCGATCGAACTGATATTCACACTGGACGAAGAGGCCGGAGCACAGACGGGCGAATGACGCGATCCTGGAGTATCTCAAGGCGGAGGCGGAGGCGGAGGTGAGTCCCCTTCCTCTTTGAGGCGATTGTGGCTATGGCTGATCAGCTGCAGGGCGTCTAGGGCAGCTGGTGTCATCGGGAGTGTATATGATCGGCGAGAAGAAGGCGGTGGCCGGGAGAGGAAGCAGACGTGTGGAAGTAAAACATCGAGGGCAAGGGGTGGCGGAGAGCGGCTGTGAATTGTGTACTTGAGGGGAGTCAGCTAGAGTATGTAGAAATCACACATGTACATAGATACGATCCGCTGAGAGTATCTTCGAGCAGTGCCGTCCCATGTCGTCACGTCCCACTATGTCCGCGAGGTGGGTACCTCCGTCCGCCTCACATGGCTGACAGGCCAAGAGACCAGATCAGAAAGTGCCACTTTCGCAAAACTTTGTGCAATGAGGAATGAGGAGCTGGAAGCAATTCGTTCTCGATGTGACCAACAGCTCTCTCGGTCCTTTCACCTTCCACCGCATGTCTACAAGTATGCCACCCAAGATCAAAGGAAGAGCAGGGAGGCGGAAGCCTGCAGAGAAAGGGGCGAAGCCGGCGAAAGTTTCTGAGGGAAGTGCTACCTCGGTGAGCCTTCAATTTGCGGTGGACTTGTCCCCTTCGCGTCTACGCTCCGCTTCACATTCTTTTCATCAGTCAGACGCGAGCGTTGCACTCTCTGCTCCTCCACCTCACCCTGCTATATTATCTACTGTGTGGCTGCCCTTTAATCTTCTCCGAGCAGCAGCTGATTTCAAGCAGACATCACAACAACCGGAACCCACGGCGTCCATCGACATCGCGTCATTCCCCTCCCTGTTCTCCCTCATCATTCGCTATTCCTGCACTTCGACACTCGCTACCCTCCTCCAATGCTCCCAAGCTACGTTCAAGCAGGCATCACACATGCTCTACCGGGAGCTTCGCATCACGCTCCCGCAGCTGGCGGCCATGATCGAAACGGGACGGGGACCGCTGAAGAAGGGCGTCATCTCCGGGGCCCTCGGGCGCTCATTCAGCCCATACTGCCGGCAGTGACTGGACTACGTACGGACACTCCACCTTACCGACTTCGACAACTGGTTGGACGATATCCCCACCCTACCCAGAGGTATCTTGTCCAATGTCGGTTCCATCGTAATCCATCACCCAGCCCACTGGCACGGCTATCTCACGCAACTCCCTACGGCACTCAAATTACTGCCAGCCACTCAAATGTACATCCACTACTCGGAGGCCGTCATCCGCGAGGTGTTCGCGGGGGTACTGCACAGGCCTTACTTCGAGGCGACACTCGATCGAGCGCCGCTCAAGACACGGAGCATCACGTTGCTGGTTCCCTCCGCATATCATCTGACTAGCGCTGCATTCTTCGACCGGTGGATCAATGAGCATGATGGTGGAAGGATCTCACGGCGGCTCTCACGGCGTCTTACGGTGGTAATTCTCCCCTGGCGCACGATTCCCGGCGAGAAGCTCGACCGCAAGGTGACGGCTTCAAAATGGTCCGCTGCCCGGTCGCAACAGTCACTTTCAAATGTGACTCGATATGTCGGTGCGGAGTACATTAGGACGGACCCTCTTGACGTTCGGCTCCCTGGCGTCCCAGCAGAGCGGTACAGCGAAACGGGTGGACTGGGAGCGCCCAATCTATACATCCATCTGGCGGACTCGTACATCCGGTCACATCCCCAAGGCGATGAGGAAGTCTCGCTCTACGTCCCCCACCTCCCCAAATCGATCCGGGCCGTTACCCTCCTCGTTCCCCTGGCGTATCTCCTGCACACCGCCCCGTCGTGCAGTCTCCACAAAATCGATGCTGGTCGCGGCGTCACCATGACAATCGTACTACTGCCTTGGAAGCAGACGGACGAGACAAGGTCTTTCCAGGCGGGGACGGAGGAGCTCTGGGCTGTGGAGCCGGGCAGCCTGTCCTTTGACTCTTACTTTCACCCCATCCAACTCGTCGGAATCGAGCATACGGGAGTCGCAGGCGATCCATCGAGTCTGATTCCCTTTTTTGAGGGCGGCGCGGATCTATCGGGCAACCCAAGCCAGCAGCTGTCCTACACTGCCTTCTCCGAATGGGTCACATCTCTTCCGCCGGAGCATCCCTTCACTCCGGCCGAGAGAGCAATCCTGCTGGTCAGACATGCGCTATTGAACATGAAAATCGCAAAGGACGGCGCTCGAGAAAGACGCGATGTACGTCTAACGCAACTTGTCTACCCCGCGTACCCCGCGTAGACTATGCTGATAGACAAACAGGCGGGGGTGCAAGAACCAGCCGACCTTGCTTTACTTGCCACGCTCGAGGCGGCTGCGGACAAAGAGGCGGATTTGCTTAGGAAATTCGGGGAGGAGTCTGACGAGCCCGGGATCCGCGAGCTGCTTGACGAGTTCAATGCAGAGACGAGTTAGATGCGCCGGATATGATGACACGTTCCAAGACCTATGCTCTCTGTAATACCTACAGTGCCCCACGGCCCGCGCTGAGCAGCTCGCGAGGGCAGATCTGCAGCAAGACCGAAGCTCCGGTATGTATATACGCACGACATCGATCCGCAGGTCGAGATCTGACGAGATCACATGCTTCACGAAACTTGCGTTTACGCTTTTACAAGCTTCCTACATCATCCTAGTCATCCGCCATGTCAGGAAAGGACAGAAATAGCAAGCGGCGGCAGGGCGAGGAGACTGCAGCACTGGGACAGCAGGCAGACACAGTGAGTGCACACAGTAGCAGCCGCTCCCTGCTCCATCCTCCAACCCTTTTCTCTTGGCTCGTCATGACCTTCTTCGAGCTCATTGTGACCTTGCCATAGCTGCAGCCTGTTGACAATTGGAATGAGCTGATCATCTTCAGATTCCACTCGATACCACTTGCCCCATCCCCACCGCATCGCTCAACATCTCTCTCTACCCGTACATCTTCTCCCTCATCCTCGATAACTCAACCTCGGGCACTCAAGCCACCCTCCTCCGCTGCTCCAAGACGACATTTGAGGCCGTCGCCCCCCATCTCTACAGGAGCTTACGCGTCACTCCAGCTCAGTTGGCCACCATGGTCGAGACGGGCTGGGAACCAAAGAAGCGCGGCATCACCGCGGGGATCCTCGGTCGGTCATTTAGCCCGTACCTTCGCGAAGCGCTGTCTCACGTTCGGACCCTCCATCTCATAAACTACTCTCGGGAAGTATCGCTCCCTCAGCTCCCTCGGGGCTGCATGGCTGCTGTCCACAGCGTCGTCCTCCACTGTAACGGCTATCTGGGCAGGAAATGGGCGCCGGCTCTTCCCAGGCTGCTACGCTCGGTCGGTGTGGTCGACCTGTACATCCGCTTGTCGTACAACTACATCGTACGCACCCGTTGGCAGGAGGTTCGGGACACTGAGACCATCGCGGTCAAACTCCCTCCACTACCAAGATCCGTCCGGGCGGTCACCCTCCTCGTGGCCCAAGCGTATCTCCTCGACTGCGCGCCATCGTGCGGCCTGCACGCTGCGGACGTCGGGAGGGGCATCATCGTCACGGTGGTGCTGCTTCCTTGGCAGCCCACTGATCGCAACATGGCCCAGCAAGCAGGAATGGTGTCGAGATGGACCAGCAATCAAAGCGGTCTAGCGGTCGACTCTGTTCGACACCTCGTCCGACTCGTAGGTGCCGAGTATACCGGCGTGCGTTACATTCGTGGACGGAAGAATCTCGACCTCATCCCTGCGCTCCCACAAGGCGGACCTGCTGGGTCATCCGGCCGACAGCTCCTCTTTCTCACTTTTGACCTCTGGCTGGGCTCGCTGCAGCCCGGTCTTCTCTTCACACCGTGGGAACACGCCGGTATCTACCTCGCTCACATGCTATTGGGAGCACGGATGATGGAGGACCGCCTCAAGAAGTTGCGAGTCATGTATGAGGAGGTGACACAGGTAAGCTGCGTTCCCCATCCGCTCACCACATCTGAAATGAACGCGTACTGATTATCCAGGCTGGGGGGACCGTACAGATGGGTCTTTGTGATTTGAATACGTTAGAGGCGGATGTTAGGAGTGCTCATGCGTCGGTCAAGAGTATCGAGGCTATGCTACCCTTTGGCAATTTGGAGGAGATATTGGTTGAACGTGTGATCTAGAGTGAGGACCTCAGTAGAATAAGTATTATCCTGCTCTCCGAGCAGGCTCGAGTTCGAGCCGATCTGTGAGGAGATCTGTTTGTTCAAGGGCTCATGAATCACCTTGTGAGCATGCTCCTCAGTGCGGGTTCACATATCAATAATCGAGCCTCTACTGGCCGGGAAGCTCCCTCCAACTCGAAGACGCGATCCAGGACCGGTCGACCGATGCCGGCATCCCCCACGCGTCCCAGCGCGCTGAGGGATTTATTGACAACCTCCTTCCTTGTTCTTGTATCTATACCTTGTTGCGCTCTGATCTGTACAGTTCAGATATATCCCTCGCTGCTTACCAGGAGCAGCTCTGACGAATCATCACATCGCAAAGTAAAACCAGCGAAATAGTGCAAAATGGGGAGGGAAATCATCAGTATCTCCGGTATGTTTTTGTCATTTCGCGCACTGTCCTCTTGCATCTGAAGGACGGTCGCTGATACTACAGTCGGTCAAGGTCAGTCTTGAGCTATATCACAGGCAGTAGCGGGGATCACATAGCGATCGGTGCTGGCGCAAGGAGGGTATACTGACAGTATAGCCGGAAACCAAATAGGATCGGCGTTCTGGGATAACATCCTGCAGGTCCGCTCCTTTCCTTGCTTTCGTAGGGTTGACTGACGTACTAGGAACATGGTCTGGACAACACCGGGAAGTACATCGGCTCGGACAGACAACAGCTAGACAAAGGTGCGGTTCCCGACCAGGCGTTCAGGCGTCGGAGGATTGAGTTGACCTTTCAGTCGATGTTTACTTCAACGAAGCCGGCAATGGGAAGTACGTCCCCCGGTCCGTCCAGGTCGATCTCGAACCTGGAGTGCTCGATATCATGCGTTCAGGACCCATGTCCAAGCTTTTCCGACCCGACACATTCGTACACGCCGAGAGCGGCGCCGGGAACAACTGGGCGAAGGGGTACTACACCGAAGGCGCAGAGCTGGTGGACAGCGTGATGGATGTGGTTCGGAACCAGGCGGAAGGCGCGGATAGCCTCCAGGGGTTCCAGTTTCAGCACTGTACGTCCAGGATGGGAGGATGGGAGCCTTTGGGCGAGAGCTGACCGTGCAGCGCTGGGAGGAGGAACTGGTTCTGGCTTGGGCGTACTGCTGCTCAACAAGGTCAGGGAGGAGTACCCCGACCGGATGCTGGCGACGTTCTCGGTCTACCCGTCGCCCAAGGTCTCGGAGACTGTTGTCGAGCCTTACAGTAAGTACCTCCGCTGTGTCGGCCAGGATATCAGCTGATCCGCTAGACATGTGCTTGGCCACACATCAGCTCATCGAGTCGAGCGACATCACGACTTGTCTGGACGTAAGTCGTCGTCCGCAACAACGAGATCAATATGTTGATACCTCTAGAACGAAGCTCTGTACGATATCTGCGTAACAGGCTTGAAGCAGAAGGAGCCGTCATACAAGGACTTGAACTTGCTCATCGCTCGCGTCATGTCCGGCTTCACCTCCACCCTACGGTTGTAAGTCAAGTCTGACCTTGACTCAGGCAGTTTGCTGAGCTGACGAATAGCCCCGGACAACTGAACTCTGATCTCCGGAAGTTGGCCGTGAACATGAGTGAGTTGCGGACGCTGAGAAAGGATAGTCCCATGGCGAAAAGCTTATCATCCAGTCCCCTTCACTCGTCTCCACTTCTTCACTGCCGGGTACGCTCCGCTCGTCGCCAACGCCAGTCGGCAATACACCGTAAGCTTGCTTGCTCCCTTGGACCTGGGTCTCTAGTTGATGCATTGTTAGGGAACCTCCGTTGCGGACCTTACCGCTGCCGTCTTCCAGAAGAAGTCACTCTTGGCTGCTATCGATCCAGCGCTCGGCAAGTACCTGACTGTATCTGTCGCGTACAGAGGCAAGCACTTGAGCATGCGAGACAGTGAGTATGCGGAAGCTCAGGGCTCGGCGCCTGTAACCACCGAAACTGACACCTTCAGTCGAAACTGCGGTATACGACTTCCACAACAAGAATTCCGCCTACTTTGTGCCCTGGGTGAGCTTGCCTGCTTCCAGGTGCAAGTCAGAACAGCAAGCTGAATAATGTAGATCCCCAACTCCTCGCTCACTTCGTTGTGCTCTGTACCACCTGTTGGGCAAACTTCCGCTTGTACTCTAGTTGCCAACACGACTGCTATCTCCGGCGAGCTAAGAGATGGAAACTATGGTCTCGAGTAGAATCAGCAGCTGACGTGGAACAGAGGTGTTCAAGCGGTCTCACGCCCAGTTCCGGTCGCTCTTCCGCCGCAAGGCCTTCTTGCACTGGTACACCGGCGAAGGGATGGACGAGATGGAGTTCACCGAGGCCGAGGGCAACTTGGCGGATCTCTGCAACGAGTACGACTCATGTGAGTTGAATTGATCGGACGGGATGAGGCATAGCTGATGCTATAGACGCTTCTGCGGACATCGACGACGGGGAGGAGTATGCCGAGGAGGTCGGTGTGGCCGAGGGCGAGTCTTACACCGAAGAATGAGAAGAGGGGGATGAGTAGGTTTTGAGTTTCGGTTGCGAGTCGGACTTTCGCTCTTCGAGGTCGTGTCAGGGCTACGGCGGGAAATGGGCGATGAAAAGGTGGGGTGGGCATGTGTGATATCTGAAAGGAGGTTGTGACGCATCTAGAATGCATCGGAAATAATGCTCGACTGATCTCGACTTCACCACTGACGATCCTCTTGTGTCTCGGATTGACGGACTGATAAGCTGATACGGCACGAAAGAGGTCGGTGGTGGCCCCAGCGATCATGGTGATGTGAGTGGCGGACACGTTGGCGCCACTGTCTGTCCGATCGCCCAAGAAGATCTGAGACACTTGTGAAACATCCGGTGCCCCTGTTGCCACTTTCGGATGGCGTTGACGCCCCGCGCCATTCCCGACGCCCAGGTATGCTCATTCCATTCTGCGCTAATGGACAGCTGCTTACCCGCCATGTCGTCGATTGTCAGGGACAGGAACAAAAGGCACGGTGGGACAGATCATTGTAGGAAGAGGCAGGTGTGTGCCCTGCGTACCCCAGGAGCGGGTAAGCGGACCTTCACCGTCCACCTCTGAGTCTTAAAGCAGTCCCCTCCAATTGCCCCTTGTATGAGATGATTCTATCATACCCCTGGCGGCACCAGTAGGAATCACCGATGAGTCCCGCTTTCTCAAGCATCGATTTTGCCCGAGTAGATCCTGCCTCTTTGATTCATGCGGACCACCTCCACTTCTAGTAGATAAGTTACATGTCGTCATCTTAAGGTCAACTCCACCACATTCCCCGGCCAGCTCCCCTCAGCGGCCGCGAGTGGTCCAGCGGAGCGACTGCACAAAGCGGCCCGAAAATGGCGCTAGTGATGGAGTATGCGTAAATCTGCGGCGGCAACTCTATTCGAGGGTGGGCTGCTGATCATGCCATAAGCATTGCATCCTCCCTCGCCATAATTCAGCGACAAAACGCCGGTGGTGCAGTATGAATAAGGAGGCGCTTTCGAGTGACACATGGCCGATATGGACTTCCCGTCGTCATCTCGCGGACGATGAGGCCCGAGAGGCCCGAGAGCTGCTCAATTACCTCCCCGCCGGCGATGCATCCAACCCATTCTCGGAACCGAATTGTATACGGGATGCACGCACTCCATACTAGAAGGGACGTGCTCCTCTCTTCTTGCCAGGGTCAATGCGTATGCAACTGAGCCGGGAAGCAGACGTAAGGGAAGGCGACTACCCGCTGTTCCCACTTTGCCACCCTCGTACCTTGTTTATGCCGGCATGTTCAGGTCTCGGCTCAATCACGCAGCCGTAAGAGATCTCGTACCGAACTTCCCGCCCGATCCTCCCTTTCCCTCTCACCCGCAGCCAGTATAGGGGGGCCACCCGGCACTTGCTGCGATCACTGGCAGAGTCAGTGGGAGAGGCAGAGGAGAGTATCACACCGAAGCTTTTTGTACTGCTGAATCAGAGTTGTAAATCCACAAGCTCGGTGGGGACGCCTGATCGTTGTAGCTCTCTCTCAAGCTGTACCTATATATCTTTCCGCATACCTCGCTTCACACACCTGTTGTCACCTGTACAGCATCATAACGACACGCTATCTCGACGCGTCCGGTGACGCCGAACCCGAGCCGGAATACGGAACGGAGAAGGGAGGACCAGCAGGAGGCTCAGCGGAACACTTGAGAGAAGGAGGGATCATCCAGGACGGACGGGGCCACTGGCGTGTGGCTCTGTTTCAGGATTTCGAGGGGGTCCTTTGGACACCGCCGCTCCGAAGCGAAGTCCGCATCGATACAGTCAATAAAGAGCGATTCTTATCCACTCATCCCCTCATCAGTCATACTTCAACCTCAACATAAGGGCCAGATGCTTGGTCGACAGCGGAACCGATAAGCCCTGGCTCCATTGAGCCGCACCACCAGGCAGTCAGGCGGGAGACTACCCGCATCTGATTCGAAGAAGCGACACATCCGTGTTTCAGCGGTACGGTCCCCCTCGCTTCGCAGGAATGCTACCCCTGTACTGATCCTTCAGTCAAGATGGATCCCACGCCACCTTCCAAGCGCCGGCGGTCGAGCTCGCCTTCGGCCGCCGCCGCTCCCCGGCCATCTGGCTCCCCCTCTCGACCACTCCTCCCCCCTCCCACACCGTCGGCGCATGCTCAACCTGGACTATATCCTACGTTTGCACCGCCGCCACAAGGTGCCGCTGCTGGCCCATCATGGGCAGGCTGGCCGGCCGAGCGGGATGCGGAAGCGGGGAGGGCGCGAGCAGAACAGAGGCGGTCAATGGATGCGAGGAGTCCAGTGAGCGACGTGGAGAGCACGAGGATGGAGTTCATTGACGAGGGGAGTGAAGGCGGGATGCTGTTCGCCAGGCACGATGGAAGCAGGGCACCGAGGAGTATGATGGCGTGTACAAGGTGTCGTCGGCAAAAGTGAGCTTGTCTGTGTTACTGTGTAGCGACTTCCGAGCTGATCCTCAGGATGAAATGTGACGGACCAGGCAATCTACCATGTCGCGGCTGTCGGCAGTCCGGCCAGCCTTGCATCTTCGAAGCTCGGTCCCGCCCAAAATCCATATCCGCCTTACCCTCCCGCGCTCCGCCATTTCATCCCACATCCAGCTCTCTCGCTCGGCCCGGCTCGCCTACCCCAGTGCCGCAGCCAGGTCCTTCCATGTCGTCCGGCTTCTACCCTTCACATTCTCAACCCGCACCGCCCGTCACTTCTCGCAATCATCCCCCACCTAGCGACTCGTACATCATGCGCTCAGCTCGCGAGCCTCTTCCACCCGCCCCTCCCTCCTCCCTCTCCGCCATGGCGTCCTCAACCTACGTCGCACGAGGTCATGCCTCATCCGCCTCGACCAGCGCAATCCCCACCGGTCCCGTTCCCCCGCAATACTATAACCATCCTTCCCACATGCCACCGGTCATGGCTCGTCCAATATCACCGACCGAATCCAGGTGGCGGAACGTCGAAGGCAGCTTGCGGTCACTGCAGGGCTTGCCTTCGACCGTGGGCGCGATACAGTCCAGCTTGAATTATATTCAACGCTCGACCGAGTCGGTCCTATCTGTAGTCTCGGCTCGTCCGGCCACAGGTCAATCATCAGGACGGCAGGAGGTCCGCGCACGCGAAGCAGCCCCAGACATATCAGATATGGCATGGAACAGCTATCGCTCGAGTGCGTGGCCTCTGACACCCTGGCTCGTCGGTCTGCGCGAAGCGGGAGGTCTGCCGGGCCTCGTTGTTGCCTTCCTGGGCAAGCGGACGTTGATGGATCGCACGGATCAGAGTAGGCAGGATTGCGGAGACGCAACAGCGGCGGTGTATGCGGAGATCGCTAGGTTGATGGTGGCGCGGCTGGACTGGACCAAGGAGGAGATCAGGGCATTGGGTGTCTTTGGGTAGGTCCATCGAAGAAGTCAGTGAAGGTGGAGCTGACCATCAGGACTTGGCTCAATGACACCTCGCTGTCGTGCTTTGCACTGGGTCAAGCCAGGATGCAAGGCCTCGATCGCATCATGATGCCTCGCCGGTCTCATGATGACTGGAGAGAGTGGATCTACCTCTCCTTGATGGACAAGCTGTCAGTACCTTCTTGCTTTATTCTGGCCCACCTGCTGACCCCCAGATCACACGTCCCAGACTTCATTATGCCCCTCTCCATCGACATCCTCTCACATGCCTGGCGTGAGCGGCTCAACACCACAACATCCATAGACCCCGCAGTCCGGGATCGAGATCTCAAGCTGCTCGCTTGGCTCGAGTACTCGGAGTACCTCGTCGAGATCCTCAAGGCGCAACAGACGACGCGTTTGGTTGCCGCGAATGAGGCCGCGGTGTCGCCGAGGATGGAGGGAAGACCGTCCAGTACACGGCCGGAATCAAGTGCCCAGCGAGCGACGGGGGAGGGAACTAGTAGTCAGAGCAGCAAGGCGATGGAGTTGTGGAAAAGATGGGGAGGGCAGTGGGAGAATTGGGCGATGGCTTGGAATGTCAGGGCAGATCCGTGAGTGCCTGTTCTGCATTGAGGAGAGCTGTCAGCTGACAGACAGTATTCTGTCCCTTCATTACAACTATGCTCTGCTGTTTACACTCTCGCCTGTCTTCTTGTGTAGTCCGAGTGTGTGGACAGAACTGGCCTCGAGCCATGAGGGATCGCAACATCTGGACAGAACGAGAGATGCCGCTTTCGCAGTCATCAAGGCTATCTGCTCGGTACGTCTACTCTCCCTGTTTGCTCCATTGCAAAGCTCATCCCACAGCCGGAAGTGTCACGTACCCTGCCCTTTTCATTCGCCCTCTTCCGCCCCCTACTCGGCCTCGCCGTCCATACCCTTGTCTCCCTACACATCGCCCTGCCCAACTCACCCATTATCTCCCCCGCATACCTCGTCTCCGTCCTCCGCTCGACACACGAGACTCTCTATGCCGCGCACCCCCTCGATGCCTTCTCGGCCCCAGCGGCCACTATCGTCCGCTCGCCTGTGGCTACGACGACTGGCTTGGCAAGGCCGTCATCTGTCCGTCCGAGCTCGAGGGCCAGTCGGATCAGTACGGCTGACCGAGGGTCCACTGGAGGCACGACCGCGGGCGCGCCAATGGGAGGGGGAAGTATACCGGAAGAACCTGGAGAAGGGGGTTTGTTGAGAGAGATGGTGGAGGGCGGGATCGGAAGAGGGAGGGATGTCTGGGGGCAAGAACCAGGAAGGGAGGTGTGGAGGCGGCTGGTGGGATGAGGAAGTCAAAGAGAGCATCCGGCCGATTGGCATCAACGAGTGGCATCGTCTACTTGGGGATCATGCGTAACGACAAATTTACGATGTCCGGGACGGGGAAGAAGGATCTATACAAGCGATCATTACATGCATTTCCTTATATTTAGTGTTCCTGTCTGTTTGGGTATTTGGGTATAGAGGGGGGTGGGCATCTGGTATGCATCATCTGTAGGCCTGCTTTATGGAAGCTCTATTTAGGGAACGGTACTGATGAGGCGATCTTCTTTTGCTGTAGTATACTAGCTTACTCTACATCCTCTGCACACAGTGCCGGATCGACCCAGTAAGAGGGCCCCTTCGATTCATCTCCCAAGCGCCCCTCTGCCACGCACTTATTCATGGCAGCCCTTCTTCTCATCTCCCTCTCCTCCTTTGCCGCAAGTATGACCCCCGCTTCCTGTTCGTCAAGCCATTCGTCGAAGCGCCTGAACGTGATGTATGGGGGGTTGTGACCCGCTGGCATTCCCGCCATGAAGAGCTCCGGAGTCAGGAGCTTCCCGCCCGGACCAGGAGCGTTTTCGATACCGACAATCTCGATATCCGCTGAGGTGAGCAAGGCCCACCGATTGATACCGCGGATCATGCCATCGACGACCCGCGCAGGATCCGATTCGATACGGAGGAAGGCTTGGGACGATTGGTCGCGCCTTTCCAACGGCAGGAAAACGAATGAGGTGGTTCCGCCTACGCTTCCGAGGCCGCCGAGTGTTGCAGGACTGAGGGCGGCCGGTAGCTCGTAGAAGTTGTGTCCCACCACCGTGATATGGTGGAGACCGCGGGAGTCATCGACCCCGGAGGAGAGGGTATCCAGTCCGGGGGATAGTAAATGGTGCGCCAGGCTGGCCGCCAGAGACATACTAGGGCCGAGGGGCTTCAGGGCCGGATCCGAAGTCGGAGTTATCACCGCCGCATAGACCGAGGGGATAAGTCGTTCGATCAGCGCAGGGCCCCGTGAGTCCGACTCTGGACCCCGCTCGACGAAAGAGAGATGTAGGATGCGGCTGTCCCCCGAAGTGGAGCCGAACTCTATGAACCTGGTAGGGAGCTTGTGGCCGATCAAGCTGCCCTTGAGGTCACCGAGCCTGAGTGACCGGATGTGACGAAGCGCCAGCGACATTGAGTAGTGTCCGGGGGTTGTGTCTGCGGTGGTTGAGCTCGCCGTGCTTCCCGAGCTATCGGGCGTGACGGTCTGAAAGTGCTCGAATCGCCTGTTGGCGGATTTCAGATGACGATACAACAGCGGGATCGCTTGCTGAAAGCATGATTGAGAGCACCGGAGGATGGTATCGAGTGTGTTGTCCGACGAGTAGGTGAGTATACTCTGAAAGATGTGGGGGAAAGCTTCGACGTCGAGTGACGGGGTGGAGGAAGGAAGGGGGATCGCCTAGAGCTATCAGCTTGATTCGGCTCGCGACAAGCTTATAATTCACCGCTTGAGCAAATTGTGACTTAAGCTCTGCACTTGTCTGCGGGGTGGCGGGATCCAGGCCTGACATACTGGCTGATAGCGATGTCGATGTGCGAAGTGGGGGGGTGGGCGGTGTGGAGGGCGAGTTGGGCGTTCTTCCGGACGCGTCGTTGGGTGACATGAGCCACGTGGCATTCCTCGGATCCGCCGGAAAGGAGTCAGAGCTGAGATTTCAATGACCTTCAGCTTCAAGCTGCCTACATACATCTCTCTCTCTCTTCTCCCTTCCTCTTATACCCAGCTTCAGGCACTTCCAGCAGCCGAAGGATAGGTACGATGCCGCTTCAAGGCTATCTCAAGGATCTCTTCGACGGGGCTGGGCCGAGTAGCGGGCCAAAGTACGCTGAGCTCGAGTCTGCGTGGCTCAAGGTCGTCGATCAGGAAGGGGGCGAGTAAGTCTGCCTCTTGGACCGATGGGGTTGAGCTGAACGGATAGCTATGAGCCGTCGTCAGATTATCTACGGTCTCTGGGTATCCCAGATGAGGACATGGCACAGGTGGCCGTGCCACATCTGCTCGACAACCTCGGCATCGACAGCATCGAGGACGGCCAGTCGCGAGACGCTTCTGCGCTTACCCCCTCGATAGCTCAATCGCCCCACCTTGGACAAGGATCATCTTCCTCACCTGTCATCAGGCAGGCGTCGCATATGAAGGGAGGATACTCGCTGCATGACCGGATAAAGATGTAAGTTGACCCAGAGACAAGTTGAACGCGGCTGACGAGAAAGGCACCTCCCCATATCGTCCACATTTAGCGCGCTCATTGGACTTCTCGCTGGAAAGCGAGTCAATGAGGATATCCAGAGCGAGCTGGTCGAGATTCTTGGGTTTGAAGGGAACGGCCTGAGCCTGGTGGAGGAGCTGTTGCGCCCGGGGGCAAGAGATAGAGTTGTGGAAGACAGTGGACTGCTCGGGGTGAGCTACAACCTCAGATGCCTTTGCGGTCGAGTTATCACAGCTGATACTTTAGAACAAGAAGGGCGGCGCAAATGGCCAATCCCAGTCATCAGGCAACACCTACCTCCCCTCCTCCCGGCTGAATGTTAACGCTACGAAGGGCAAGCAAAAGAAGCAAGCCATCGACCTTTCAGAGATGATTGGCTCTAGCGAAGATATTGCTAGGAGGATACATGCGCAGCTGGATAGACCAAAAGCCTTGTTCTCTGATGATGGACCGGTACGTCCCGCTATGCCAGCGACCACGTACTCGGTAATTGACGTGTCAGCGCGTCTTCGAGCAGGAGATCTTGCCTCACGTATATACCACATCGTCCGCTACCTCTGGCATGTCGATGGGAGGGAAGCTTGCCATGCCTGCTGGGACAACGAGGGAAATCTTTGAGGTGGGTTCTTCAAGGCTTGATTGGGGACTACCGCTGATGGTGATCTAGACGCACGAATCGGTGGTCATCCCACCTGTCATGGCTGTTCCGCCACGAGTCACAGAGCGCCCAGTCCGGATACATGATCTGCCTCCAATGGCCAAGGGATGTTTCCCCGTAAGTGTCCCTTCCACTCTCTCGAGCCAGAGCTGACTGGCAGAACTACGTCACCCTCAACCGCATGCAGAGTATCGTGCAGCCAACAGCCATGAACACGAATGAGAATCTCTTGATCTGTGCCCCCACTGGTGCTGTAAGGGATTTTGCTTGAAAGTAGGCGAACGTCAAGCTGATGGGATTAGGGTAAAACGGATGTAGCACTCATGGCAATCCTCCGCGTTCTCAGTCAGAACATTCGAGAAGGCCCAACCTCCCACGGATCCGGTTTCAACATCGACAGGGACGCGTTCAAGGTCATCTACGTTGCTCCGATGAAGGCGCTCGCGGCGGAAATCACCCGGAAGTTTGGGAAGCGGCTGGCATGGCTTGGGATCAAGGTCCGGGAATTGACGGGAGACATGCAGTTGACGAGGCAAGAGATCGCGGAGACACAAATTATCGTGACGACGCCGGAGAAGTGGGATGTGGTGACGCGGAAGCCAACGGGTGAAGGCGAACTTGCATCGGTAGGTCGGACCTATCTCAAGCGCGGATACAGCTGATCTGGCAGAAAGTACGACTTCTCATCATCGACGAGGTACATCTTCTCAACGAAGAGCGAGGAGCCGTCATCGAGACCATCGTCGCCCGCACCCTGCGTCAAGTCGAGTCCAGTCAATCCCTTATCCGTATCGTCGGTCTTTCCGCTACCCTTCCCAACTATATCGACGTCTCCGACTTCCTCCGCGTCAACCGATATCAGGGTCTCTTCTTCTTTGACGCCTCGTTCCGTCCTGTCCCGCTCGAACAACACTTCCTCGGTATCCAAGGTAAGGCGCGATCTCAGCGTCAAGCCCAAAACATGGACCGCGTCGTCTTTGACAAGGTGTCTGAGCTCGTCCAGGAGGGACACCAGGTCATGGTGTTCGTCCATGCCCGCAAGGAGACTGTCAAGTCGGCGACGAAGTTGAAGGAGATGGCGCTGGATGAAGGGGTAGCGACGTTCTTTGAGAACATTGAACATCCGAAATACCACCAATATAGGCGGGACATCGCGACGAGTCGGAATAAGGAGATGAAGGATCTGTTTGAGGCGGGGTTTGGTATACATCATGCGGGGATGTTGAGGTCGGATAGGAACATGATGGAGAAGATGTTTGAGGATCAGGCTATCAAGGTGCGCTCTGGCTGTCGGCTCTGACAGAGCTTAGCTGATAATTTAGGTGCTATGCTGTACCTCGACCCTGGCGTGGGGTGTCAACTTGCCCGCTCATGCTGTCATTATCAAAGGCACGCAAGTGTACGATTCGTCCAAGGGTGCTTTCATGGATCTCTCCATCCTCGACGTACTGCAAATCTTCGGTCGTGCCGGTCGGCCGGGATACGAAACCAGCGGTGTCGGTTACATTTGTACCGCTCACGATAAGCTTGATCATTATCTTTACAGCATCATGTCGCAGCATGCTATCGAAAGCAAGTTTATACCGGGTATGGTGGATAGTCTGAATGCGGAGATCGCGCTGGGGACGATTGCGAATGTGCAAGAAGGGATCCAGTGGTTGGGCTATACGTATCTCTTCGGTAAGTCGTGCCAAGTTTGAGCCTTGGGAATGGAGCTGATCGTGCAGTGCGTATGCGCAAAGAACCGATGATCTACGGAATGTCGCACGAGGAACCCAGAGACGACCCGCAGCTCGGCAACCAGCGGAACAAGCTCATCATCCAAGCTGCTCGGCAACTCTCAACGGCCAAGATGATCCGGTACGACGAGGTACACAACGCCTTTGTCATCTCGGATCTCGGTCGGATCGCTGCAAAGTATTACCTCAAGTACCAGACTATCGAGATTTTCAGTAGGTCCAGCTTCGCAACAAGGAGACGGCGCAAGCTGACACCCTCAGATGAGCTGTTCCACCCCAAGATGAAGAACGCAGACATGTTCGCCATGCTCTCACAGTCGACCGAGTTCGACCAGATCCAGGTCCGCGACAACGAGATCGAGGAGCTCACAGCGATCTTGAAGAGTGACCATTGTCCGATGGAAGTCAAGGTAAGCTGCCGTGACCAGCATCGTGACATCACAATAGCTGACCTGTAGGGGGGCGTCACCAACAAACACGGAAAGGTCAACATCCTGCTCCAAGCGCACATCTCCCGCGTCTTTCTGGAAGACTTCGCCCTGGTCTCGGACATGGCCTACGTCGCGCAGAACGCTGCCCGTATCATCCGCGCTCTTCTCGAGATTGCGCTCAGCCGGAACTGGGCCAATAACGCCATCCTCCTCATCGACCTGTCCAAAGCTATCGAGAAGCGGATGTGGCCGTACGAGCACCCTCTCGCCCAGATCACCACTATCCAGCGGGATACTCTCTTCAACCTGAAGAAGTGGCAGGACGATACCGAAATTTCCGAGCTCAGGCTTCTTACTCCCACTGAGCTCGGAGACCGGATCCACATGAATGAGCGGCATGGCGGGGCTATACGGGACGCGGCGCTCATGTTCCCGACGGTTTCGGTCGAACATGCGCTCAAGCCACTCAGCCATGAGCTCCTGCAGCTCTCGGTCACGGTCACACCGGAGTTCAAGTGGAACGCCAAGCTCTCGTCCACGGCGGAGCCATTCTACGTCTGGGTGCAGGAGGAGGGAGGCGTCAATATCCTCCAGTGGCGGAGCATCCTCATTCGGCCGGAAACATCTTCAATCAGCATCGACTTCCTCATCCCTTCCGGCGATAACCCACCCGAATCGGTCACCATCGTGTCCGCTTCGGACAGATGGCTTGGCTCGGATACCAACACCGTCGTCCCCCTTACGGACTTGGTCGTTCCCCAACCTCCTCCTGAAGCGACCGAGCTCCTCGATATCCCCTTCCTCCATATCTCGGCGCTAGACGATCCCCTCCTCGTCAAGTCCTACTCTCGGATCATCACCGCTATGAATAGCTTCCAGTCCCAGGTGTTCTGGCCGGCATACCATACCCAGGCGAACCTCCTCCTCTCCGCTCCCGTCGGAAGCGGGAAGAGCTTCATCGGCGAGATGGCTATCTGGCATGCTTTCAGGCACGAGCCAGAAGGGAGCGTCATGGTGGTGATGCCCACCTTGGGCGCGATGCTGGAGATGGCGGCCAAGCTTCGGCACATCTGTCCCGTCCCAAAGCGGCTGGAGGTGGTTATCCTCAGTCGCCATTCGGACTTTACGCTCGCCCTCAGCCGAAAGGGTCAGATCGCTGTCACGTACCCCGGTGCTATCATGAACGAGGAGGATGAGACTATTCTCCGCTTCCTTCCTAACTTCGGATTATATGTCTTTGAGGATCTTCACCTCCTCGACGACCTATACGAGCTGGCTATCGCTCGGATCCTCGTCGTCGCTCGTCCTATCCGATCCCGGATCGTCGGTCTCACGGCGAGCCTGAACGACCCGACCGACCTCGGGGAATGGCTAGGCGTAGACGAGGTCAACCGCTTCAGCTTCTACCCTTCGGACCGGAGCAGCCCCGTCGCCGTTTCAGTCAAATCCTTCACGATCCCCCACTCGGCATCGCTGATCAAGGCTATGATCAAGCCGGCATATGACGTCCTCAAGGCGTCTCCGGGAGGGGCCATTGTCTTTGTCCCCTCTCGCGCGGCTTGCCGGACTGTGGCGGCTGATCTAGTCACACAGTCCGGAACCGAAATGGACCTGAACGGCTTCCTCGGCGCGCCCAGACTGGACGTCGAGCCGTTGCTGGAGCGTCTTCGGGATCAGGCGCTGTACGAGCCCATTCTTCGCGGGATTGGCTACGTCCTCCCCACAATGTCAGCGGCGGATACGTCAATTGTCCTCGAGCTCTTCGCCTCGGGTATCATCCGCGCACTCATCGTACCTCGCGAAGCCGCCTGGTCATTGCCGCTCCGGAGCGATGTCGTCCTTCTTCTCGGAGCGCAATACGTCAAGTCGGACGCTACCAAGCAAGACCGGCAGATCACCAGCTACTCGCGCGTCGAGCTTGTCCGAATGCAAGGGTTCGCCATCTCCTCGGCCAATCCTCAGAGCGGCGGAGGGCGGATGTTCGTCATGTGCCAGGCGGAACAGGTCGTCTCTATACAATCTACGTTATCAGACGGTCTCCCACTCGAATCCTCATTCCCAGAAATCCTATCCAAATCGTCCTCGTCCGGTCGATGGGCGGGATCAGGCCTCAACCGGATGTTGAGGGAACGTGACGCCCCTCCTCGACCGCAGCTCCACCGGCCCCGTATACCCGATATGCGCAAGAGGGACCTTATGGACCTTATCGGCTGGACATTCTTTGCCAAGCGGGCTCGGTCGAACCCAACTTATTACGGTCTGTATCCTGATAATGAGGCCGAGGGGATTTCGAGAATACTGGACAAGTGGTTTGAGGGGAGGGAGTGGGCACAGGTCAATTGGCCCGTCGCGAATGGCGAGAAGAAGGCTGCGGGGAAGAAGGGAGTAGATGGCGTCAAGGAGGAGAAGATTGAAGGGGAACATAGCACTATCATTGGGGCGGAGAAGGTGGGAGGTGATGGAGCAGCGGGAGTGGAAGGGGAGGTTGCCGCTGACGAGGTGCTACCGGAAGCCGGTGTGGGGGAGAGAGATGGAGAGACGGTAGAGAAGCCATAATCCATAGCATCATCACAGCATCTAAACATGTGCATTCATCGTGAGAACATCTGCTAAACAACTTGTATATTTCCTACTATAGCTACAACCGCAAGCCCGACCGATCAATCCAGGCCTTCCTGGACGGGTACCTGGCCCGCTCGCTGACTCCCTCTCGGCTCGCTTGGCCCGGCCCTACTTGGCTCACCCGGCATCCCCTCAGCCGGCACAGCGACCGGCGTCGCTCCCCATTCCTCCCCTTCATCCCTCCGCATCCGCCTTGTCCGCTCCGGTCTCCCTCTCGCCCTCTCTCTATCCCGCTCCTCTTCCTCCTCCCCGCGGTTCGTACTCCCAAACCAGCCCTTGCTCCACTTATCCTTGTGTTGCTTCTTTGGCGGAGGCAAGAAATCACCCCCGTCAGGCATGAGCAGTATGTGGTACTTCGCCGTGGCGGATTTGCCGGTAAGTAGCCAGTCTTCGAGGAGAGCGAGATTGCGGAGGTTACTTTTGAAGAGGTTGTCGAGGAAGTCTCCGAGGATGGGGATGATGCCTACGAAGACGTCGATGAGGACATTGAGGATCTGGTCGTCAGCGATGCACTGGGTATTGCGGGAGCAAGTAGGCTGACCATGAGGCCGAGGATGTTTCGAGGTACACCAAAGACGAAGGACAGCCAGACTTGATACAGCTGCAATACTCCGGCCACGATGTCGCCATAGATGGGAACGAGGGAGATCACATCGTCCAGACCAGCCTATTTTGTCAGCTTTGCCCTCGATACGCCTTGTCGACAGGGTGTGATGGGGAGAAACTCACCTTGAAAGGGAGGCCAAGATCAGCCAGGACAGGAGCAGCGTCAAGCCAATATGCGACCGTTCGGACGTGATTGTACAGTCTAGATTCGTCGGCTGCGATCCTCTGTTGGAGAGACTTAGAAGAAAGCAGGAGAGAGATAGCGGATCAGGGGTTGTAAGAGCTGTCGCTCGTATCCTCACACGCTCAAAATTGAGAGAATCGGAGTTGGATTGTTCATTAACATCATATAAAGTGAAGGAGGGGGGACCGGAGACGATCAGGATTGTAAGATAGGGAGCACGACATACCTCTGAGCTTCGGCATCCGTCCTTGGACGCTTCACGGCCCAACCTGGCGGTCGATAAGTCGCAGCAAAGGCCCCAAATCTGAGAGGTTTCGCCCTGGATCCATGTCAGCTGGTCTTCACCGACATACAAGTTACTCGGCTGACTCACTGCCTGTCTCTTGTAGCGTTGGGCTTGTAGGCAGTACCTATTGCCCATAGGGAGCTGAGTATACCCGGCATGATGAGCAATGTGAGTATGGGGAGAAGGCGAAATTATGGTTCATGACGATTTTGCGCTGATCCACATTCCTTAAGATGACGTGGTTACATTCACCTCGCACTGCGCCATATCGGTCTCCTTCCTCGTTGGTGACTCTGCGTTGCCTGTCTCTGTCTCCAGAAGCCCAAGAATCGGCAAGCAGCTCTCTCCTCATATGGTTACGCTCACGAGTCCACTGATCTGGCGGCACTGAAACCGTAGCGTCGACTGTGCCTGATCTTCAAGCTCGGGCGATCGGCATGGCCTGATATGGCGTGATCCTGCAACATCTCTTGGCGGCCCATACCTCTTCGTGTCCACTCAGCCAGCTCGCACGTCGCCAAGCAGATCTCCACGTCCTGCTGATACATCTTCACCGGGGTCCAAGACTCTGCGCTGACGAGGAAAGGCGGTTATCGCCTCGACTATTCGATCTTGCGTCAATGAGCGCCATATATTGGACATATAGCATCTTTTGAGGTATCTGACGCTCGCACTTGCTCATCTACCTTCTCGGTTGCATTCTCGGATCTCACAACTTATAAAAGAAAGAGGCTGAGCAGTGCCGAACACCCACAGCCCTTCCCCCACGCCGTTCAAAGTATCAAGAGCAACTCATCATGTCCGTTTCCGAAAAAGACTTGGACCGCTTCTCGGCCCCAGCGACGGAGGAGGAGGCCGTGATGCTCAAGTCGGACTGGACGCCAGCAGAGGAACTGAAGGCGAAGCGAAAGTGAGTGATCCCGAACTTACCATATCATCCGGCGTCCCCTCAGAATATCAGCATGCTGATCTGCCAGGATGGATATGATTATCATGCCGATTCTCACTCTCGGCTTCTTCTGTCTCCGTGAGTGGTTATACTTTCATCCGCTAAATCACGGATCCCAGCTGACACAAACAGAGCTCGACAGAGGCAATATCGCCAACGCCATCACGGACAGGATGATGCCGGATATCGGGATCAACCAGGATCAATTCAACGTCGGGCAACAGATGCTCTCCCTGGGTATCGTGCTGTTCGAGGTGCCTGCCAATATGTGCCTCTACGTGAGTACAATTGACACATAAATCCCGCAGGTGACCACGCTGACAAGGTAGCGCTTCGGACCTGGTAGATGGCTCACCCTCCAACTCTTCCTCTTCGGCATCGTTTCCACCTTCCAGGCCTTCCAGACCGACTACGGATCCTTCATCGCCACTCGTCTCCTCCTCGGAATCACCGAGTCCGGCTTCATCCCCGGCGGTCTCTGGACTTTGTCGACCTGGTACACTCGAGAAGAGACAGCGAAGCGGGTCATGTTTTTCTACTTCGGCAATCAATTCGGCCAGGCGTCGTCCAAGCTCATCGCCTACGGTGTACTACACATGCGCGGCGTCGGCGGCAAACCAGGATGGTTCTGGCTCTTTGCACTCATGGGAGCCTTCACCATCCTCAGCGGTTTTGTCTTCGGCTTCTTCCTCCCAGACTCGTTCAAGAACCCTACCAGCACCTTCCTACCTCGGCGCAGACTCTTCACGGAGCGGGAGCTTCACATCCTGCAGACGAGGGTATTGATTGATGATCCGATGAAGGGGAAGAAGAAGTCGCACATCGGCTTGGGCGCGTTCAAAAAGGCTGTGAGTTATATCCTCGATAGCCATATTCGAGCTGACGACCAGTTTGGCTACTGGAGACTCTGGGTCCACCTCCTCATCAGCTTTGCCAACAATGGTCCTCAGCGAGCTTTCGACACCTATTCCCCAACCATCGTCGGCTCATTCGGATTCGGTGATCTTCAGTCCAACGCTCTGGCGTCGGTCGGGTTCTTCCTCCAGATCCCGGTATCCTACGTCTTCAGCTACGTGTCAGACCATTTGTAGGTCATGTTTCTTTACTGGGCTGGGGCTAGGGCTGATTCAGCTCGTAGCAACCTCCGCGGCCCCACCGTCATGGTCGGTCTCACTTGCCATCTAATCGGCTACGTTTTCAACCTCGGCTTCACAGCTCTCTCCGATCGTAATGTCCGGTACTTTGGTGTCGTCTGGACTCAGGTCTTCGGCACCTTCTCCCATCCACTCAATATCGCCTGGATGTCCCTGACTGCTCGAGACTCGGAAGAGCGTGCTCTCGCCATGGCTATGTAAGTGATACCGCCGAGTTTATGATTCCTCAGGCTGACCGGCTAGGGTCATCATGGGAGCCAACACAGCCGGCATATACGGTGCTCAGATTTTCCGCGCCGACGACAGACCGCTCTACCGGCGCGGATTTAGCATAAACATCGCCATCCTAGCAGTTGCAATTGGACTCGCAGCTGTTCGCTTCGTCGATGATCTCAGGCGACGCCGGAAGCAGAAAGGACTGAATGAGCTGAGTGAGGAGGCGAGCAATGAGGCTGGAGATGTAGTCGGGGCTGAGGCGTTGTCGAGATTCAGGGAGGATCCGAAGGCGTGATGGATGAGGCCGGTTCTGGTTGTTCTGAGGATGTCCCGACAGAGACACTGACGCATATGTGTTGCACACTTGAGCGTGTACGCCTTCGACTGACTGGTACAAGTACATGCCTTTCCACATCATATCCTCACTGACACAAGGACACGCTCACTCTACCTAAGCATTCTGCTAATACGATCGCTCGCAGGAGAAGCTGATGTCTGCATCCTCCACGCGATGACCGCCACGTCCCGCCTGTCCGGCGGCCTCCGCAGCCCGTATCGCCTCAGCGGTCGGTACCGTGAATTCGACCGAGCGGGTCATCGCTCCATGATGACCAGGAGGAGCGCGATGAGCAAACTTTTTGAAGCACTACTGGGGTCAGTCATATCTCTCAAAATCCATTCTACGGCTCGGGGGCGATTGCGGAGAGAAAGTTGACTCACCACACCTTTGAATGGCTCCGCTTTCTGCTTGACACCATCCGCTTCAAACGCCTCCTCATACCGGAAACTCTGTTCCTGAATCCATGACCCGGCAATGCTGTCGAACTGCTCGCCCAGACCTCCGACGATGATCTTGCGTGAAACATGGCCTAGAACGTCTCCGCCCCAATCGTGCTTCTCCTCGGTGCCGGACGCGGTGCCAATGGAAGCCCTGCCATCCTTGATCACAAACTGCGGCCCGATGTTGATACCGATGTTGTATACCGTGTCTGCGCGAGCGACGAGGCCTGAGGGAGCAGCGAGCGCCAGGTGGCTGGCGTAGGCGGTGAAGAGAGCTAGCAGGGTGAGGAATCGCATCTTGGGCTGAAAAGACTGACGTAGGTTGGTTTTATACGACGATAATCGATCTTTGAATCAAAGTGCGATATCAACATCGGCGTGGCGATGGAGGGAAGAGGGTCGAGGAGACCTGGAGACGTAGCACACTTATGAATAACGCACCTCGACAGACTGGCTGCTTGTACGTGCAATAGCCCGGGCTGAAGTGAAAGGACCGGCAAGGGGTCAAGGAGGGGTCAACCAGCTCATATGCCAAAGGTACCTCTGGTGATACAGGAGTCGATATCATTACAAGAGTAGCATACTGTCTGTGACATGCAGTACTTTGGGGGCGCACGGGGCTGCAACTGCTCAAGGGATGCTCCATTGCGCTACGAGTCACAGATATTGGGGGGTCCTGGCAGATGGTCCACGTGGGTCAGGTGGTTCACTTGACGTCCCTCGTGAGAGGCATGTGGTGTCTCCTTTGCACGCCAGGACGTGGTAGGGCACCACATTCTCAGACAGACCCAATCACATAAATGTCATAACGCTCACATACAGTAAACGGTGTTTACACTACAACCACCTTGCACCCATATACTCCTCTCCCCCCCGGATCCTCAATTCCCCACGACATTTGTGTGCAGTAGCCCGCCAGAAGACGTTCTGGTGTGATCGGATCTTCAGTCGTCCATCTGAGATATGAGCGTTTTTTTTTGTGCGTGATACGCAGAGCTCACAATCTTGAACCAGTACCTGCTCTGCCCGAGCAAATCCCTATCGTCCAATCGCAGCCCCTCCCTCTCCTCCTCCGAGAATGCTTCCTTCCCCTGTGGGCTATCCAGCCATTCGATGAATGGATGGTGGGTATGGGGCGGCAAGTCGCCGTTACGCCTTTGGGTGCCCAGCCAGGCGCGCCCGTCTGACGTCTCGCGGTAGTATTCCGCACCGTATATAATCAGTGGGGCTGTAGTCGACTTGGTGATGTGGTAGGTGAGGAGGGAGTATCGATTCAGGAATTGCTTGGCCCATCCGCTATGGGTGTCCGGTCGCGGAAGTTCACTAGGGAGAAAAATGACCGTAAGCGCCTTTGCTGCCGCGAGGCCGGTATCCGTTGGTCCTGCAGGGCTCCAGCCGGTAAATGTGACGGCCGTTGTACACGGGATGAGGAGAGTGGCTTGATTGGTTGTGGCAGAGAGCTGATGCTTGATTAAGCGGGCTAGCGCTAGGGGCTCGTTCTCTGAATTTTGACCTTCTTCGGGAAGGTGGAAGAATAGGTTGGCGTTGGGGAAGAGGGCAGGAGGGAAGATGTGGTCTGGCCAGTGCACCCACGCATCCGTAGCGTGGATGACCAACGTCTCGACCCCTTCATATCTGCTTTCCGGGAGAGCAGGTAGAGCCGAGGTCGAGTCGTAGTCCGTGATACGAAGGGACTTGATGCAGTCCAAAGCGAGCTCCAGGGCTGGCGAGAAGCCTGAAACCCACTTCTCCTTGGTCGAATCCGTTCCGACCGCGACCATATTCACGAATTGACGATGGGTGACGCGCACATGGCGGTAGACGAAAGGATTGACCGCTTCGTGCAGCTTCTTGGAAGTGAGTGAGAGGGCATGGCGGGTAGCGTGAGGGAGGTCGTTGATGATGACGAGCTTGACGTAGGGATGAGCCAGGACGTCGATTAGGGAGGGACCGCGAGGACGACCGGTTCCGTCAGTGAGGTGGGGGTGGGAGAGGAAGGCCTTAAAGTCAGCAAGACCTCCTCTCCTTTCGGACATAGCTTCCCCACACCCCCGCCCAGTCTCCGACCTGTTTTCGAGCTCCTCTCTAGCGGAGCTTCTATCTCAGTAGGGTGCTACCCCCACTCTCCCCTCAACTCACCGACTGTGAAGGCTCCGGCATACAATTGGGAGCCATTGTAGCTGAGGTATCAAGGATAGCGGGATGAAGTAGATATCCACCTGACGTGCTGAAGAGGAGAAGAAGTAGACAGCGGACAGGAGGGCCGCGACGCTCTTTGTTCTCGAAACCAAGGAATGTGGTCTTGGAGAGTCCCACTCCACTGTCCATAGTGTACAATCTTATTGTCCTGAGCCGGTGGGAGCTGGCATGACCTTGCGGAATCGCAAGGAGCTTGCTGCTCAATAGTGCAACATGATAGGCCAGGACGCAGATGCGGAAACATGACTCGGCATGCAGTCAGAGCTGATCGATTGATCTCACCGCCTCGGTCCCTCCTGCGTCTGCGATGAACTAGTCCACCTCCTACTACTCGCCTCCCTGCTCAGGTATTCTCTGATGTATACCTTCCAGCCTGTCACGTCCGGTCCTATGTTCATGTGGTATCTCATCCTTGCGCAGCAGTACTCGCCTCCTGAGGCGATCAGTATCGTACAAGCAAGTCTGGTATCGAGGGCGACTCACGGTTACTTCCAAGCTCGCCAAAAGATCGACGTCCGCTTCCCTCAGCGCCACCTCCTCCTCCTGAGAGAAAATAGCGCCATGCTCCTGCTCGTCCAGCCAGTCTGTAAATCGAGCAAATGAGATCACCTTCCTGCTGCCTCCCCATGTAGGTCGGCCTTCCGGGTACACGCCGTAGTACTCTGCGCCAACGAACCGGATCGGGTGCGTGATCGAGGACCGGATGACTCTTGACCAGAAATTTCCTGGTAATGATCTAGGTGACGGAGGGACGATGGCTTCCGCTTCTGATGTCCGCGGAAGGAGAACGATTGTGACCGTCATTTTTGTTGGCTTCCATGTAGACTGCTCCACCGCCGGGGCTTGGGGGTGATCCCAGCTGAAAGGAAGGAGCACGGTGGTCCTTTCCACACTAGCAGCGGGTATGTACAAGCCGAAGCCGAATCGACCGGGATTCTGAAAGCCCTTATCCGGAAGCCGAATCACCAGATCAGGAGGGTGGACCGAGAGTAATCTCGGTGGTACCGCTGCGGTTGACGCCCAAGTCGAATGTAGCGACGCATGAATGATGATGGTGGAGAGATTAGGTAGGGCGTGCCGCGGAATGATCGGCAGTTCGAGCTTGGGATCGATGTCGCGCAGGTGCAGGTACTTGGTGTATTTCCAAGCCTCCTTAAGCAAGGGCGAGTATCCCCTTCCGAGCATGCCCGCCGTCGATCCCTGTTTGGACGCGTACCCAGCACCGATCATGCCAGCGAACTTAACGTACGGAACATCGATGTTGCGATAGAGGACCGGTGCGGCGAGCTGGAAGAGGTGCTTTGAGCAGCGGAGGAAAGTTGCAAGTGTGGATGGGGAGCATTCGAGGAGGACTTGTTGGAGGATGCCGGGGTGTGGAGTGATGTCGAGGGGTGTGGAGGGTTCCGGCTGAGGGGGAAGGGTAGTCGATGAGACCGAGCTCTTCCTGTCAGCTTGAGCTCATCTTCGGTGCTACGGACACCGTCACTATTCCGGCCTCTGGCTTGGACCTTCGTCCCCGCCACATGAGAACATCCCCGGCTCTTCGCGGAGCAGACTTGAACTCACGAGGATTGGAGCTTGCGTATACGCCCTCTGCACCTTTTTCGCCCGTCCACCGTCATCCTTTGACCGCTTTCTGGGAGGCATACTGACACCACCTGATCTGTGCCAGGTATCGGTAGCTGCTTCTCGGATATATGTAGACAGTCAGCATGAGCGAGGAAGTCCGCATCCAATCCGCATCCCTACCGGTTTAAGGGTAGATCATGCAGCACACGTGGCGCCGAAGCCCGTGCGTATGATGTTTCAAGTTGCATTCCTCGTGTTTCGGGTGACGAGCCTTGAGTGAGAATGAGTGCTTTACGCAGCCCTATGTGGACGGACATTATACGTGTCCGTTAGGTTGTATAACACCTGCCACCTGACGCCTCGGGCTCATCATGACGCGGGGAACGACGAGAGCTGATCGTGAACTCGGTCTACAGCGGTGCAAGGCCACAAAGGGCGAAGGTTACATACGACAAGGGGTTCAGGCGGACTCAGAAGGGATGCCGGGCTCGATACGCGTCGCAGACCAAGAAAGTCCGCCAATGAGCGTCAGATCTGAAAGAGAGGAAATATACATGGGCTACGCACTGGATCCCTCCTTCAATCCTTCGTTCAACCCGTTCCTACTTCACTACACGAGACCCGCTAGACAACCATACTCTGTAAGACGATTTTTTCTGGATGGGCTGCGCCATAATCTGCTGCTGACACTGCGCTAGCGACTGAGACCAAACCCACATACCAGTCTGAACGCAAGCAATGACCGACTCCGACTCCGGCCGGGCTGATCTCGACACTCACATGACGGGGACGGAAGCGCATGATGGCAACGCCACAGGGAACTCCACCTCGGAGCCGCAGAGCCCTCCATCGACCCAGACCAGACGCTCGAAATTCAAGGGATGGTGGATTGGCATACACCCGGACTCCCTGGGCGGACAGGGCCCGATGCGATACACCGACCCAACAGCCTCGGTGAACCCTGCTGTTTCGGACGGCAGTACTTCTGCCAAGACCGAAGATATTCTGGAGATTGGCTATGACAGTCAGCAGGAGACCGGATGCAAGCTGGAAGAGGCGCCCGAAACCTGCCAGGTCGTCACAAACTCAAAAACGACCGCAGCGTCCTCCGGCAAGGGTGGCGGAAAACCATACTGCGATGCATTCTGGACTTGACCCTTGACCCTTTACAGCTCGATTCCTCACGCCAGACCAGCAGCATCATGGCATGATACAAAATCTATATATGTATCACCTCCATCTACTACATAGCCCGGCATTATACAGTCTCGACGTTACCGTACTCGCTCTCGAGTCCCGGCTCCATGAGGCAGGCGTGACCCAGGATCAGGATTGCAGAGGAGCCGACCAGCCAGAAAAAGGTTGAGACTGGAGATCCGAGGTACAGTAGCGGCAGGCCTGCATCATGAGCTACTTCCCCATACGCCAACGTTTCCCACCTCGCTGGTGACCGAACGGGGCGCAAGGGTATAGATAGTCGCAACGTACCGATGACGAAAAGGGTGATGTAGAGCGACTTCTGGGTGATGACCATGCTTCCTATTTGTATAGGTTCGGAAGCTGACCCGTCAGCCCGAATCTCCACAGCAACAGCGAGTATAGTTGATATCACTCACCAAATCGGTTGATAGCAGCGAAACCGCCAGCAAGGAAACCCAAGGAGATGAGAAGCAGGGGGTTGGTGAGCCTAAATAGTGTCAGCTGTGTCCCGCTCCACCGTGCGGCCTGCTTGCACGCCCCCTAGACGTACTCCAACGGCCCCATACCGTTCCCCGGCAGAGGGACTGACTCCACTCACATAGCATAGATGGCGAGAAGTGCGATGATGAGCAGATAGTTTCCAGAGAAGTAACGCGTATTGTGCGTAATGCGCTGTGCTATCAGCTGTCACATCCTCGGCAAGTATGACTGAAGATCAATCAAGATTAAGATGGTAGTCAGGACTTACAGATGTAGCTTCAGTCAGATCTTTCGGTCTAGACACCTGTCTGTGATCGAACTAGCGGGGAGTCAGCCCACATCCCGCGCTCCGGCCTGACAGGCAGGTCCGCCTCTTCCCAAGCGAGGGAGAGAAGCTCACAAAGTCCATTGGCGACTTGAGCGTCGACAGCCTTTGTTCCTGTGCGTGTCAGCTACCCGTCCTATAGGTCATCAAGTGCAGCGAGATATTGGGAACGAGGATGCGGAATGAAGCATTCCTCAGCTGATACTTACTCTGAAACCGCGAACAAAGTCGCCGACTTTCATGAGCTGCTCCATTTTTGCGATCTGTTGACTGATAAAGTGAGACCAGTGAGTAATCTGAGTAAGAGCTCAACGGGATGACTAGCTGATAGAGATGAGAAAGGAGAAGAAAGCGAGCGGTTCGCTGCGAGATGTGGCTGAGCCAGCACCGCCTGCCGTAATTCCGAAATTTCCGGATAAGGCAATTCTACCTCGTCGCGTCGTGGACGTCCGCGACAATGACATCTCTACATCGTCCATCCACCCCCTAATACACCGCCATGATCCGCTCCAACCCCACCGCTATCCCTCTCCGCGCGTCGGACCTCAAACATCTCCAAGGCGAGCTCGAGAAACGCAAAGCCCTCGCCGCCGGAACAGCGCCTACCAATCAGTCACAGACCGGTGGAGCGGGCGGGAAGCCGGGTGCTGGAGGGCCGATATTGGCTCCGAGAAGCGCAGACGACGTGGTGCAGGCTGGAAGGTCGGGGAAGAGCGTAGCAGAGAGGATAGGGCTGTGAGGAAAGGGGGAATACAGCGAAGGGCAGCTGGCAAGAGCCGTGGATATGCGGAGCCGCTTTGCAGTGTGAGCTCGTCTCTCGTTGGTGTGTCAAACATAACCGGACTGATAGCGTCAGATCATGGGGCAAATCACTCAGTGTGACTCGGACACCAGGCCTCTGTTCGCCTCGAAGCACTCGGAGAGGGACCTGCCGCGACCAGAGTGGTTGAAAGTTGGGTCAGCAGGAGGGCGGTATGCTTGATGTGATCAGCGTCTAGCGGAGCGGGTGCCGGTGATATCAAGTCAACTGCTCGCTGCTACATAGCTTCTTGTGATATCAGAGATTCGGCGTGTACAGTCCATTCCAGCAGACCAAAGAGCTTTGCAAAGCAGTCCTAGAGCCCGTCCAAACATCCGGGCCGGCGAGACTATAAGACAACCCAAATGCAGGTAATTTGGCTCCGACTTGATCCACCTCGCACTCGTTATACTTCTTACTCCTTCTGGTCCATTGTTGACACTATGAGCGCTAGCCCCCATACATCCGAATACTCTGAATATGTGGCGCAGTTCTACACAGATGCGATAGGCGCGCAGTACGAGCTTCGACGCTGATTCATTGGAGGCGACATCACGTTGATATCGGACGGCTGTGCGTTCCAGACAAGAAAGGCACTTCTGGCGGCTGTCAGGTACGCCCATATGCAACCTTTACTCCTCTCGCATGTACTGAATGTGTAGCCCAGTTTTCCGCGACATGTTCGCCGGCGACGCCTACCAGGGAACCGAGATCCACCTCGAACAACCGGTATTTGAAGTCGGATACTTCCTATCTTGTATCAATCCCGCGACGCGCCCAAGCTCTCAGCCATACTGGCGCATCATGGCCCTTGTGCCTCTCGCTCGGTTGTACGAATGTGACGACCTCTTAAGCAACGCCCTCTTCGCAAGTACCCAACAGGACGCGGGCGACGATCGCTTCGATGCGTTCGTTCTCGCCTGCCAAATGAATCACGTCCTCGCCGCATGCCGGATACTTCATCACGGCGGCGAAGGGGAGGAGAAGGAAGCCATCGGCCCGTCATTGCTTCCATCCAGATGGACGCCGGCAATGGCTGCCCAGCTGTCCATCAAGTGGGTCTGGGCGCTGTCGGTGGCGGTACAATGGGCGGACAGTACTGTACGGGCTGTCTGCCCGGGGGGCGCGGCGGATCAGAATTACTGGAAAGCCGTGATCGGGGAGTTTGTTGTGAGGTTTACAACAGAATAGGTGAGTTCTTCCCCTCCGACCGAGATGGCTTCAGCTGATCTGTTAGGGTGTAAAAACGAGATCAGGGCGGAGGAAACAATTCGAGAGATTGCATAGAGCATATCAATCAACGACCTGAACGACTAGATATAACACAAGCGGTCTGAACGTTGTCTGAGAGGATCTACTGACTGGCTAATTAAGCGCTAATCTCCTTCCCTGCAGACAACCTACGCAGGCCACCAATCCTTCCCCCACCACCACAGAGGCGGACACAACGACGCCAGCAGATTCGGCAGCAAGTACCTCAACAGCGCCAATGGGTTCCCCTGTATCTTCTTCCCCTTATTCACCTTCATCGCCACGTACTTGCCCTCCCAGTTGCCCTTGCTCTGCGCCATCTGAATCATGCCCCTCGCCAGATCCGCATACGACAGCAGTGGCGACGCCTCATTGATATCTCCCGACAGCTCCACCTCGTGCACCTGATCATGCACGATTCCGCCGGGGCAGGCGATGATGAGGGGGACCCAGGGAGCCTGTTGGAGAAGCTTGATAGCGGCCTCGAGGTCGTCATACACGTGATGCAGGACCCAGTGTATGAATCGGAAACCAAGCTGGTCTCTCGCTGGATTCCGAGGGTCGACCGAGCCCGACGCGAGGAAGACGAGGGATGGGATGTCTTTGCCGGCTTTACGAAGTGGCTCGAGTGCCTGAATGACGGCTAGGGCAGCCCGCTGGGCGACGGAGCAGCCCGGCTCATTTTGGTTCTGGGCCACCGTGGAGAGGATGACGTCCGCATTGGAGAGGCAGGAGGAGAGGAGGGAGGTGTCGGATAGATCACCAATGAACAGGGTGACGCTGGGGGAGGAGGAGATGGAGGGAAATTTGGCTTCCAAGCGGGCGCGAGATCGGCAGTACAGGTTGAGGTGGTTGGAGGTGGGGAGGAGGGCTTTGACGATTTCCGAGCCGGTCTGACCGGTGGCTCCGAGGATGGCGTAGGTCGGCATGACTGTTAGAGCAGTGTGGGTGTGCGCGCTGATGAGAGGACATGGCGAAGTCCCTTATATAGCTAGTGAAGCAAGATCGGAGCAGAGATGGTGCGTGGAAAACTCCCCGCGGACATCCGCGGCGCACGTCATTGTCGTCGTTCCTCGCCGCGGCGCCTCGGGCCTCGGCGTCGGGCCCGGTGATGCAGGTTGGAGTTTGGAGCGCTTCGCTGTACTAGTTCTGCTGCGGTGGGATCCGTAGTACCAGTGCATACATGACAATACAACTACCTTCTCCGGTAAAGATCATCGATCACACCTCTCGCATTGATTTGGCCCTGTGGAATTCTCCCTGGCTAGCACGCCCCTCGGCATCGTAGCCGATCGATCTCCCTCTGTTGCATACCCAGCAACTCCCGCTGCCCGTCCAGCTTCTTAGATAATGGCAGCACCGCCAACTTGATTTGTTCCTGGACATCAGCTCACATCCCCTGCATCTCAATCAAGACGCAACTGACCTTGAGATCCCGGTTCATCCTCAGCATATCCAGCTGCATCCTCGCCATTTCCCTTCTGAGATACACCACCTCCTCACTCGACCCTGACCCTATCGCTGCACCCAGACTCTCATGCTGTGGCCGAGGGGCTCTGATCCCTGCTGAACCAGCCATCGCCCATTCCAGATGCAAGTCCTCGTCCTCTCCCTCAAAGTCGTCCTGCTCCTGCTCCTGCCCCTGCCCAGCCTGCTCAGCCTCCACAGCTTCCGCCACTTCCTCATCATCTTCCTCTCGTATTGCATCCGCTGCCATGAGCGCGTGCATGTCGTACGCTGTGTGGGTAGGAGGAGGGCCGGTACTCTCTCTCGACCGAGTGTGACCAAAGGAGACGGATCTCGAGCTGGACGCAGCTGCTGATCGGGTGGGAAGGGACGACGTGGAGGGGGCCGAGACGACTCGGGTCGAAGAGGAAGTAGTGATCGGAGGTTTTGTCACTGGCGACGCGGAACGGAGAGGTGGAAGGGTAGTGGGCGAGGTTGACCTGGATGTAGCGCCTGGGCGATCGAGCAATGGCGTCACCGAGACCGACCTCCCACCATCCGCCTTTGGCGCTTCCGCTGCCTTCTCTTCCCAGTCTCGGATCTTCGACCCAGATGACGCCCGACCCATCTCCCCGCGCAGATTCGCCAGGCTGCTCGATGCTGGTACCGCCGCTTTCTTGCTGACGACCACCTCGGAGCGTGATCTGGGCATGGCGTCGGACGTCCGGACGGCCTGCTTGCCCTTGCCGGCTGACAAAGCGATGGCGATGGGTGGGGTCGGCGCGTTGGAGAGGTGGCGAGATTCGCCGAGGATGCTACGGCGCGAGGAGGAGAGGGAGGGTGCGACGGAAGAACGAGGGGCTTTGGACTAGGCTGTCAGCGCCTTCTTACAGGATTTGATGACACTCGCTATTAGAGAATGACTGACAATCTGTGGGAGGACATGGACAGCAAGTACCGGCTCGTTCAGCGGTATCGCGGCCGCAGATGCCTGCGGATTTCTGATATCCATGGTAACCATACCCCCTTTAAATTAGCTTCAAGTCCGTTTGGTCCACCTAGGTGATATACAGCTCACCGCTGGATGTAGCTCCGACTAGCGTAATATCATTTAGGAACGTCAGACCCGTCAAGCCTTGCTCGAGATTGATGAGTGTCGTCTCTCTAGGCTTGTCAGTTGTGGTCGCACTTCCTGTCCGCGAGCAACTCACATTTCTGGTTCGTCAAGATGTATCAGAGCTAATCTGCCTTCTTGGCCGAGCACCGCACATATTGGTGAGTTGGCCTGTCCGCGGGCGTTAGACGACGGAGAGACGGCTAGGCTGAGGACGGCCGACTGTCCTGCGCAGAAGGACGTGATGGTGCGAGTGGCATTTGCAGATGCAGAGGAGCCGTCAGATCGAAGCGAGTGGATGTGCAGCTTATCTGCGGTGGCGATGACGAGGGTGCGAGGGGACGAGGAGGGGAAGACCATATCGACGATATCAGCCTAGTCTGTCAGTCTCGGCTTGCATCCACTATCACCGTGCAAATACGACGCGCCTGCTGAGTCACCGAGAGACCGACGTCTTCGCTGGTGCCCATTTCAAGGTTGTACGATGTGACTAGACCGCCCCTGACAGCTACAGCGACATATCGCCCGTCTTGGGAGGCGGCCAGTCGTTCAACCCTTCCTTCAACCTATCAGCGTCAGCTTTGGCGTGAAGGTGCTAACTTGCCGATACACACTCCGCAGCTTACCTGATAATCCTTCACACTCGTCCACTTCCCCTCACTGCCCTTCTCCATAACCTTCCATACCCCTTCTCCCCCCACGGCCACCCTCTGCTTCCCCTCATCATGACCCGACTTTCCAATCGCCACCACCGACCGTACGCCTTTTCCCACTTGCATCTCCCCTATCCTCCTCCCGCGTGCATCGTACTCCCACACCAACGATGATGACTTGGCCCATAAGAACGAGTGACCTGAGGATGGGGAGACCGTAACCTGCGGTGTAGTCTGAGCGGGGAATCGAGAGGGCAGGGCGAGGTGTTCTTGTTTCACCTCGAATCCGGTCGGGGTCGAGGGAAGGGTGACGAGCGAGAGACCGCGTGGGTGCGTCAATATGGCCGACATGACTGCAGCTGCTATCCGTTCCGCCTGATCTTGTACGTGCAGATTGAGTGAGGGAGAAGGGCAAAGTCAAAGTCAGTCGCGCCTTTGTGAGCGTAAACAAACCACCATCCAGATTTGCTTCCGTTCTTCCACTCAGCAAGCGAAGCCTTTTGAACTCGAAACACCTCGACCTCTTCTCCGCATGTTTCATGATTCTATACATCTTCTCTTTGTCGTTGGAGCTCATGGCGGTGCCAGCAGTAGCGGGAAGGGAAGGGAATTCTTGTTCCTCTGACTGGAAGCGGCTAGGATCAGGGGCCAGGAAGGGAGATCGGCGGGCAGACAAAGAGGGATGCGGCATGGCCCCCGTCGCGCATCGACCCCTTGATCGGAGATGGGATATATGACGGGCTCTGGGTACTGGCACTAATCAGAGCTTTACATCTCATTTGCTTACTGATCATCTACATCATTCATCACAGAACAGAAGCAACACCATCGCGTCGCACCTGCCGTTCAGTCGAGGACGCCGCCGCAGACACCCAGTCTTTCCGGTTGAGCGATCTTCTACGCCGATTATCAGCAGTATTTTCGACGACTTGCTCTTTCGCCAAAGATCCTGCTCTCTTCGACACATTCATCTCAGCCAGGCATGCCTCCCTCCCAGCCCACCAACGGTCAACCCGGCTTCAAATCCCGCTTCTCCCTCCTCACGCTCCTCCCCTCCCGACATCCCCCTCTCCACATCTCTCAGCCCCAGCCGCTCCTCCCTTCCGAACTCCAACTCCGTTCGGTTCCGCGGTACGACACCCACCTGTCCTCACGGCATACTAGCGCGGGCCCCTCGGGCAACGGCCGGATAATCAGCCAATACGCCAGCCCGCTTACAAGCTATCCGGAGACACCTATGCTCCCCTCGGAGGAGCGTGGCGGGTCACCTGCCAAGTGCAGACGGCCGCCCCCTATCGACCTCACTCGGGTTCGCGCGGCTTATCCTACCGAGCAAGCCATCAACGGTGCTCCGGCCTCGAGGGAGATCGACCTCGGTACCCCTTCTACCCCATCCCCTATCTCGCCATTCGCCAGGTCACGTCCGCCCGTCTCGCCTCCTATCCTTCCTCCTCTCCCACCGGCTCTAAAGAAGAGCAAGGCGAAACGGGAGGCCAAAGCGGTCGTTGACGACCCGTTCGAAATAGCCGTCGTCGAGTCGGGACACCGGTACGCCTCGTGGCAAGGCGGCAAGGTGGACATCCGGCCGGGGCAGGTGATACCCCGGGGCCTGGTGGAATCGCATGACTCGCGGCAAGGGCAAGGGGAGAGGCGGAACACGATCCAAGGCGAGAACCCAGAGGAAGAAGGGGAGGTCTACGACTCGGTCCTCCAGCACGTATTGCTCACGCCGACGTACCTCCGCTCCTCGCCCTCTTCGACTCATCATACCATATCGGGCAGACGCGGCCAGCGCGAGACGATGCTCGAGAAGGCAAAGCGGCTGTCTCGCTTCGTTCCGCTCTTACCGAGGCGGGACGACCCTACGGCGCGGGCCGTGCGTGATATGCGCGAGCGAGAAGGGGCAGAGATGGACCGGTTCAGGCGGGTAGGGCTGCAGTTGGGGTCGCGGTCGGCGCTTGATCTAGGAAGTCCGGTCCCGAAGGGAGGGAGATCGCCGGGGCATATCGGGGAGAAGGAGGAAATGGTCGGAGGGGCCGAAAGGAGGCAGTATGAGCGATACGATGTCAAGGATCTGCGTGACGTCAAGGGTGGTGCGCTGAGGAAGTATGCAAAGGCTGAACGGAGGAGGGAGTGCTGGGGATGGGGAAGGACGAGGAGGAGCAAGGAGGAGGTAGCGGAGTTGCCATTCATGAAGAGGATGTTCCATAAAGTGAGTCGATCCGCTATTGCCTGAATGACCTTTGCTGACGCGACAGTTCCGCCTGCTCTTACTCATCCTTCTCCTCGTCATTGCCGCCATCGTTCTCGCGGCGATTTTCCTCACTCGCAAACCAGCGTCCTCAACCGGGTCCACGCCTTCTCCCTTGGACAACTCTACCAACTCCGCTAACCCCGCTCCGACCCAGTCTGGCAGCGCTTCAGCCTCCATCCCTCCCTCTGGATCAGCTACAACCGCCGCTCCAGCCCCAAGCTCCACATCACGTACCCTCCAGACATGCCTCGACCTCTACACTTCCTCCTCTACCGCTCCGTACCCATGCTCAGACTGCACACCTCTCCTCCTCGGCACGACCAACGACTTTACCACCCCGCTCGTCAATGGGAACTCGACCGGCATTGGCGCAGCGCTCCAGTACTGCACGCTGATGGATGTGGTGGCAGCGGGGAATCGGAGTGGATTTGAGGCGCTGGGATGGACTGGGAAGGGGGCGTGTGGGTGGAAGGGCATAAATTGCGATCCGAGGGGAAGGGTGACGGACATGTAAGCTGTCGTTATAAGCTGGGTGAATGAGAAAGCTGACACGCTGCAGAAGCTTGACATACCCGAATGTCCCGTACCGCTTCCCGACGACTATTGGGCAGATACCCACCCTCACCACATTTCGCATCAAGGGTAACTCTTCGATTCCTTGTATGTGTTCTCTCGCCTGAGATCTGATACTCGTCATACAAGAGATCGCAGCTGACGCCACCAGCCGGTCCCTTCCCTGCATCTATCATCTCCCCGACACTCGTCACGCTCGACATCAGCGATACCGCTCTCCAAGGCCCAATCGCCTCGATAGACTTCAAGCCTGCTCAGAGCTTGAATACGCTGTACTTAGCCAACAATCCTATCTTGGGTAGTGGAGTACCGGATCTGCGGACTAACGGGAAGCTTTTGACACTGTAAGCTGCACATCGCAAAGGTGACTGGAGGGAAGCTGACACGATATAGAGCCATGACCGGTCAGCTGCTCAGCAATGTGACAGAAGCGAATCTACCCAGTAGCTTGACCTATTTGTGAGTCGACTGTACTCATACCGCGCCGGCAAAGTGAAAATATAGGCTGATCAGCTAGAGATCTTTCGTACAACTCTCTCTCTGGCCAGATCCCCTCCTTCCTCAGTCTATCGGGCTTGAAGACTCTGTAAGTCCTCCATCAGCTACCGTTCCCCGAACCGGATTTGCGAACTGATGAACCAGATACCTCGAATCCAACCAATACTCGACCTCCCCCTCCGCTCTGCCTTCCGCCCTATCCGACTTAAAGCTAAACAACAACCCCTCGTCACGCGGCGAGATGCCTATGGGAGTATGCGGGAGCACTCTTTTGGGGAATTGCGACCTAAGGAATACGGGTCTAGGCGGTGCGGCGGGGAGTGCGAATGGGACGAGGAGCTGTGGAAAGTGTTTGTTCTAGGGCCAAGGTATATCTCTGGTAGGTGATGGTATATATACACGCGCTCTTTGGCTCTGAATGTCCGGGAGTTGCTCTCACCGCGACGATCATGGGCTTCCTCGGAGGACGGGGTGTAAGGAGACGGGAACAAGGTTTGGGCGATCTGATCCCGCACAACTGGCTGGCCAGCCCCCTTGATGCGAGCTTGTTGGGCTAGCCGGCTTCGCCTTGTTGATCTATCCGCAATCAGTATCTTCTCGGTCTGTATCCTGTACATACGCGCCCCTGTTCCTCAAGCTATTCTTGTGTCGGTTTCTCTACCCATCCGCTTGTCGCTCGGACCACAGCCGCGCCTACAGCTCCACATTCCTCAGAACAGTCGTTCCGCTTCACCGCACCGTCCGTGTATAAGATGTCCGGCCACACACGTAATAAGCCCTCGCAGTCTTGGGCGGACGACAACGATGATGAGGACGAGACGGAGTTCCAAGCGAAGATGGCCATTCCAGCCCCAGCCCCAGCCAGCAGGGGCGCACAATCCGGCGGGAACGACGGTGAGCTTTACCTTCATACACTCCTGCGAACTCGTGGGACGAGGTATGAAAGCAAGATCAGTCGCGGTGCTCGGCGTCGGAGATGGAGCTTCTGTGTGTCCGAGGTCGCCGGGGGAAGGGTGCCTTTGAGCTTTGGCCCTGGACCAGGTGGGCCCCCACCTGCAGGCCGCACCCAAAACACGCTACAGTATTTTACGCACGGACCGCTTGACCAACCACAATATATTAATCCGCGCCCTCGAGCTTATATCAACCTTCCTCCTCTAAATTTCTACCTTGTCTACCATCATCTTCCTTCCTTACACCTCCTCGTCTTATATAGCTCACTTAGATCAGCCTCAGCTCTAGCTACTGGCATATCTGAATTATCGACAAAAGACGATCAGCGTCAGTCTTTGACCTCTCATCAAAATCCTCTCGATAGAGCTGACCCGTCAGCTCAGATTGAACGCGCCGCTTCTCCAGCAGGACGGGCATCTACCTCGGTCGAGGCAAACTCGGCTTCAACAACTTCACGACAAGAACAAGAACCAAAAATGGCGAACGGTACGTGGCTACGGGCGATCTCTGCGTTCCATCAAATCTCGGCAAAATCAGGGTTTGAAGGAGGTTGATGGAGGATACGGAGAGGTGTGCCGACACTCCACATGACGAGGGTCATGAGCTATGGGCGGACCTACATTCCCGGAATGCTGTCGAGCTCCATAGATAGCTCCTCCGATCTGCCGGCGTGTACCATCTGACCTCCGACTGTGACAGATGAGCTGACGCTTCTGTAGACGACGGCGGATGGGGCAATGGCGGCGGAGACAGCGGCAATAACGGTGGCGGTGGTGGGGCGGACGACGGATGGGGCGCGCCTCCGAGCGGCGGAGGTGGGGGTGGGGGTGGTGACTCCGGATGGGGAGCGCCCCTTGGATCTGGCGAAGCCCAGTCCGAGTATGGAGGCGGTGGTGGCTACGGCGACTATGGTGGAGGTGGAGGCGGAGGCGGAGGTCGGCGAGGGCGTAACGAGGACTACCAGGCAGCTCTGGCTGAGGAAGTCGAGGACGCTGGGTTGACTTTCAACGATTTCACCGTTGAGGTGAGTAGATACGGTCAGGTGGGCAACTTTTTATTGGCTGACGACATAGGTCAAATTGGCAGACATGCAGGAGAACCCGGACTCACCCCTTTACTCTATCAAAACCTTCGAGGAGCTCAACCTGTAAGACTTGCCCTCTTACCGTTCGACCGGATCATAGCTGACGGCGCAGCCACCCTGATCTCCAGAAGGGTATCTACGGTGTCGGCTTCAAGAAGCCCTCCAAGATCCAAGAGCGCGCTCTTCCTCTGTTACTGAACAACCCGTTAGTCTCGGTCTACATTACCAGGAATGTGACTGACGAGTTAGTCCCCGCAACCTTATCGGCCAGAGTCAGTCTGGTACCGGAAAGACTGCCGCCTTCGCCCTCAATATGCTCTCCCGTATCAGCCAGGACATCCAGACTCCCCAGGTACGTCTGATCAGGGCTGTCACGTGATGAGTACTGATTAACAGGCCATCTGCCTGGCTCCATCCCGAGAGCTGGCGCGGCAGATCCAAAAGGTCGTCGACGACCTCTGCAAGTTCACCGACGCCAAAACCTTCCTCGCCGTTCCCCGAAGCTGGCGCCGAGGACATGCAATCACCGCCCAAATCCTCATCGGTACTCCCGGTTCCATCCTTGACATGCTCAGTCGGGGCGTCGAGATCTTCGACCCGGAGATGATCCGCATGCTCGTGCTCGACGAAGCGGATGAGATGATTGCGATGCAGGGGCTCGGTGACCAGACTACCCGGATCAAGCGGTATGTTTTTTAGCAATGCGAGCTGGGCTTGGGCTGATGTCCAGATTCCTTCCGCCCGGAACCCAGAACGTCCTGTTTTCGGCTACCTTCACCGATGAAGTCCGAGAATTCGCCCAGGAGTTCGCGCCGGAAGCCAACCAGATCTTCTTGCAGAAGGAGGAAGTTACGGTGGGCTCGATCACCCAGCTTTACATTCTCTGCGATGGCGAGGAGGCCAAGTACGAGGCGCTCAGCAACCTGTACGACGTCATGAGTATCGGTCAGAGTATCGTCTTCTGCAAGGTAAGCTACAGAACTCCCTCCAAGTGGTTGGAACCGCGAGCTCATCTGATAGAAACGTGACACCGCCGACGAGATTGCTGAGCGGCTCACCGCGGACGGTCACGCCGTCGCCTCGCTGCACGGTGAAAAGGCGTCGGACGATCGAGACCGCATCCTCGACGGCTTCCGTGATGGCAAGACCAAGGTCCTCATTACGACCAACGTCGTAGCACGCGGTATCGACATTCAGCAGGTCAACATGGTCGTCAACTATGATGTCCCCAACCTCGGTCCCGAGGGCGGGTTCCAGCCGGATGTCGAGACCTACATCCACCGGATTGGTACGTGCAGTCTCTACTACAGTAGTGGTCGGGATCATGCTGATATCTCAGGGCGGACTGGTCGATTCGGACGCAAGGGCTGCGCCGTCACCTTCGCGCACGACGGTCGGAGCAAGGGCGAGATCGACACCATCATGGAGTCGACTGGTCGACCCATGAAGCGGATCGACGCGACCCGGACGACCGACATTGAGCACCTCGAGAAGGTGAGTTCCACACATGACTGTGCTAGGTGGCGATAGCTGATGCTGTGCAGGCTCTCAAGGCGGCCATGCGCGGCCCGGCGTAATCGCCAAGAACTGCGAAGAGGGCGCGTGGCGTGTGCATAGAAGAAAATCAGAAATCTGCATTTCTATGGCGATACAGTAACGAAGCGATCGAGGGGGAGAGGAGAAGAGGTGATCGATGATCGACATAAATATGCAAGCCATGACATACGCTCACCACTGCCTTGATTGACCTGGGACTTTGCTCACGAGGGCTCTGGCGTGTGGTAACTAGTCGCCAGCGGGCGGACCATGTGCTGAAACTCCACCTGAGCGACTTTCTTTGCGCGAGACAAGGGATCACAAAGCTCAAACCTGCCCCGCGCGCGGAGTTCTGATGTGAGCAGTCAGCAACTGTACTTGTGCGGCACCGAGGGATCCACAGAAGGAGCCTTCTACTCATCACTTGATCCGTTTCCCCTCCCTCCGCAACACCATATCTGGTCCTCATTCCGCAGACAAGCAACCCAGCCAGTCGGGATCATGCGCAACTCGACACCATCATCACAGCCTTCTCTCGGTGAAGCAGAGGATCGCCCTGCGTCTCAATTTGTCGACTTGGCATATTCAGGCAGCACGGTCGCTCCCGTACACACAACACAAGACGAGCTCAAGCTCGCACTTCACAAGGGGCCCAAGGAGGTCGGCGAAGCAAAATTTACGAGGCGAAAGACGAACGCGGAGACGAAGAGACAGCAACGCCTCAGAGAAACGAAGGAGCTTAGCGACCTCACGCAGCAGCTGGCATGGTGGAAGGAGAGGTCAAGGACGCATCCCGATTGGAAGCTGTACGATGGTTGTGGTACGTGTGTCAGGGGGGCTACCACGCAGATTCGACCGGGCTGGCCCATTCGAATTCAAGCGTCCTGCGATCAGTCACAATGGCACCCAGTCATAGGGGGCTATGTCTTTGATCCGAGCGCAATACTCGTCTGGTCAGTCTGCAGCAAGGCCGACGAGATGGAGAGGAGCGCAGCCTCCACCACAGATGCGCGGCCATTATGGGGAGCGATAGGAAGGTCTCAGTCGCTGCACGCAGGCACTTCTGCGGTCGTGCAGAGCCGAGGCGGTCCCGCATCCTTCGTCCCGCCGCAAGTCACCTACAACACGATGACTAGAGAGCAAAAAAAGGTCTACGATCAGGAAGCCCAAGCGAGATGCACGCAGAAGAAAACAAGAAAATTGAACGAGCTCAAGGAGGAGCTGAGGTCATACGAACAGAAGGATGCGCGCTGCAAGCTGTTCTCTTCAGAATGGAGAAACTGGATCGAGTCTGAGTTGGGACCGGTGGCGCACGGAGTACCATTACAGATCGATGTCATGGAGGGTGCTGTGCCAAACAGCTTGAGCACTCTTTATCCCTACCGCTCCTTCGACCTCGTCGTATCCCCGGTCGAACATGATCTGCTAGATCATAGAAACTATCAGCCACAGAGAGAGCCCGACACGAAGTCAACACCATTAATCTCTGAGGGAGGACAGTCGATTTGGACCGCCCCAGGACCGACCTTGGACAATGCTGACAGGGATCTCGCTCGCAAGATGAAGCAGCGACAGTACACCGAGACCCATCTTTCTCGACAAGGGGTCATGTGTGGCTTCTACCAGAGGTTGCAGGAATGTGCTCTGCGGTACGACTCAGCGATTGTGACTGATACCATTGTCCCGGTTCCTTTCGCCGCCAAGACTCATATGGCTGACGACATCGAGCAAGACCGGTACAGCATAGCGCCCGGGCAGGGCCCAAATCCTCGAGTGACCGGTGCTACGTCGCCTGGACAAAAGATCAATTTCAAGAAGCATGGCGTCAAGCAAATGGCGACCAAGTTCTGCGAGGAGCTCCGTCTCGGTCTCGCTAGTCACGGATCAATGCTGGTGCATTGTGACACGGCGGGCCGTTTGACATCTACGCACCCCATGGAGGGCGCAGATTCGGCTGTTGACCATTCTCTGCAGCTTGCAACGCCGTTGTAGCACCTCGATCGTGGGACAAGCGGCGAGAGTGTCAAGACTCAGCATACTACTGCGAAGCGTCTCTGGGAGATGGGAGAGGTCTAGAGCGACTTGTTAGATAATTCCGGGAAGAACGTGATACCAATGGTTAATGCTGAGGGGCTGCTATGGGAGTCCTGGGCTGGATTGTCATACAATTGTATATGACAGCGGAATACCGGTCTGGACCGGGGGTCTTGTTCAGGATTCACAGTCACAGTCCGCGTATCTCCTCACATCTGCGGTACCCATCTATCTTCTATCTGCTATCTCAGAGTCCTTAAGCACGGTAGGCTGCGGAGACGCCATGGCATCAACCCTCTCATCATGCGCGGCGACACTCTGTCACGCCGCCACACGCTCCGCCGGCCGCCACACTGGCGGACATTTTTACGTCATAACCATGAGTCATCGCCGCCGCCCCGCTGCAGCTGCTATGGCTGACCGTCGGGTCCACTTTTAAAGACTCATTCTTTTGCGACCTTTCTTGTCCTCCCCACAGCTCAACAATAGCGCATACACGCTCCTTTCGCACAGCTTCCCTCACCACGCAGAAATCACCCATCATGGTCGCTCTCATCCGTACTTCTCTTCGCGCATCCTCCGGCTCGCTCAAACGGAACATTGTCAATATGTCCTCGGTCCGCGCAAAGCACTCCCTGCCTGACTTGCCGTACGGCTACGATGTGAGTAGATAGCTACAGCGACCAACGAGAATCTCTCCGACGAAGCAAGGCAGCGGCTGACTCCACAGGCGCTCGAGCCGTCTATCTCCAAGGAGATCATGACTCTTCACCACACCAAGCACCACCAGACCTATGTCAATGGCCTGAACGCCGCTGAGGAGAGTCTGGCCAAGTTCCAGTCGAGTGGAGATGTCAAGGGACAGCTCGGTCTTCAGGCTGCCCTCAAATTCAACGGTGGTGGGCACATGTAAGTCTCTTCCTTTCGGGATTTCTCACAGGGTATCTGCTGACTGAGCAGCAACCACTCGGTATGTCAATGTCCCTTATGATATCTACCGCCCTCCCATACCCTGTTCTGAGCGAACATGGCAGCAGGAAAGCATGTCGCTGACATTCCAGCTGTTCTGGAAGAACCTCGCTCCCTCCTCTTCCTCTTCCGCCAAGCCGGACGCCGCGCCCACGTTCGTCAAGCAGGTCGAGAAGGACTTTGGATCGCTCGAGGACCTCAAGACCGAGATGAACACCAAGACTGCCGCTGTGCAGGGTTCCGGATGGGGATGGCTCGGGTACGATAAGGGAAAGAAGAGGTTGGAGGTTGTTACGACTGCCAACCAGGACCCGCTGCTCAGTAAGTTTCGCTTACTCCACGACAGCCCCATCACCACGATACCTTCAGACCTCCCGCCTCGTCCGACGACGTGAATCAAGCTGAGAACATAGCCCACGTCCCGATTATCGGCATCGATGTCTGGGAGCACGCCTTCTACCTGCAGTACAAGAACGTCAAGCCTGATGTGAGCCTAGATTTCCTCTATGCTGTCTCGAGTCGGATCATTATGCTGATCGCCAGTACCTCAAGGCTATCTGGGATGTCATCAACTTCGAAGAGGCTGAGAAGCGGTTCACCGCTGTCCAGTGAGGGGTGTAGGGTATGTGACCAATCCGCAAGAAGTAAATAGAAATTTCCCGATCATGCAGTTCTCGCGTGCTAGATTCTGTTGATGTGCTACTTACATCCGGTCTGGGTTTACCATGCCATCCTCTTCTCCAGCTCATCGTTATCATGTTCGCAGAGATCTCGATCAGGCCCGGGACGCAACTCCTCATTCCTCGTGAGCGGGACCAATTTTGCCACCCAAACAGAGATGTTCTAGCTATTGCTCGTTACCTTTAGACATATACCTACACAGTAATAGCCTCATCAGCGTCTCCCCTGAGCAGTCACAAAGACAAAACAAGCCCATTCTAAGCTATCCCGGCTCAGTAAAGGTCTCTCAGCTAGCCTAACAACGATAGAAATCAGCCGAGATGTCGTACTTTATGACTCAGTATGTCTTCCCCTCCCCTCCTTCAGGCTCGCTACCTTCGAGCTAGAGCTGATGGACAGTCTCCACTCGGGATGGCACGTCGACCAAGCGATCATGGTGGAAGAAGACCGCGTTGTGTGCATGCGCTTCGGGCACGATTACGATAAAGACTGTATGGCGATGGATGAGTCTCTGTACTCGGTTAGCGAGAAGGTGCAGAACTTCTGTGTGATCTACTTGGGTGAGTCTTCTTGAGATATGGAGGTGAGGAACACCTCAATGGGAATGTTCTCTGAGTGTGTGACAGGTGCAGTGGCTAGAGTCGGATGAGAGAGCAGCGACGGGCGGAGACGAAAGGCGCCGCGCCGGTGTCGACCTCGCTCAGACAGACTGAAGAGGGAAGGGCACTGGCCGGGAGGCCGAGAAAGGCAGAGTGGCGGACATCGCAGGAGACTGGACCTTTGCCAGAGAGTGCCCTGCTTACCATACAGTTGACATAACCGAGGTACCAGATTTCAACAAAATGTACGAGCTGTACGATAATACCACTCTGATGTTCTTCTTCCGGTAAGTTGCCCAACCCACTTCAGGCCCAAGATCTGGGCAGATAGTGAGAGATCATCAGCTGACATTGGTAGTAACAAACACATCATGATCGATCTGGGGACTGGTAACAACAACAAAATGTCAGTTTCACGCCCGATCCGCCCCTTCTAGAGACCAGCTAACCTCTCAGAAATTGGCCCATTACAGATAAACAGGAGGTGAGCTTCTCGGCCCTTTTGCTCCGCGGGTCCATGCTGATTAGCGCAGATGGTGGATATTATCGAGACGGTATATCGAGGTGCATCGAAGGGTCGTGGTTTGGTGGTGGCACCAAAAGGTGAGCTGGAAGCTTCGTCAGTAGCCGCATGCCCTCAGCTGACGTTCATAGACTACTCCACACGGCACAAGTACTAGACTCAGTCTGTCTACCCGGTTCATCAGATCCGTCACCCTCTGTCTTATCCCCGCCTGGCTCGTCACGCAATGGCTTGCGGGACCGAGCAGCCTCTTCCTTCCGCCATTGTACAGTTCAACTCATATAGATGTATGCATTATAGTCCTTCCCACTATCGGCAGCTCTACTCTCAGCCGGCAAAGCTCATTGTGAGCATCCTGGACATGTATGTAGCGTGTCGTGGATGTACAGGTCGCAATCCCCGCAGAAGTCGCTCTTGCACTTTGCGCATCTAATCATGAGCATTGCATCCACCAACATTATGCAGAAGGATTTACCTATATCTACCTGTAGGGCTCACACCATCCGCTTGCGCCGCGACGCCCATGTTCAAGCCTAACTCGTCCACCTACGATGGTCAGCTGGCAACCCCGCTCTGAGATTTGCAGAGTAGACTTACGGTCGGGAAGTCGACATCGCAACCGGAGCAGGTCGGCGATAGCGAGCCAAATTCTTGCATGCCCACATCATAGGGTAGCGTGTCGTAGTTGGCGACGGGGAAGAGGAACCAGAAACTAGTGTGTCAGCTTGGTCAATGCAATGAGGCCATGCACTGTAAACTGACCTTCTAGCCAGATGTGGACTACTGACGACCATTAACCCGCACACCTCGCAGTCCGTCGGCACGTCACATAGCTTGCTCCCGCACCGGGGACACATGTACCCTCCCTTCTTCAACAGCCCGTGACACACGCACATCGTCTCTCCGCCAGTAGGCAATCGCGTCGGAAAGCCCATGATCATCAGATCTCCAGCGGGAGGTGGCTTCCCCTTCCCGACAGCTCCTTTGGAGCCGCCTGCAGCCAGAGCGGACCGTACGCCCATCGTGCTCGCCGCGACCGTCTGTGCCGGCGGGGGTATACTCTCCCACATGAGCTCCCGGAGATGATCTTCGTCCATCGCCACGCCGAACTTCCCGCCTGTCCGCTCAGCGATTTGGCGGCAGATCTTGATCTCGCCCGAGAGACTGATGATGCTGCTCCGGACACGGGCTTGGACGAGGTCGTTCAGGAGTTGATGGATGCTGTAGGAGCCGTCTGGGTCCGAGGTGGAGATGGAGGAGAAGAGGGTGAGGGTCTCGAGGGAGGAAGAGGAGGGTAGATGGCTACGTTGTGAGCAGGACGCCCTCTGCCTGTAAGAAGTTGTCTCAGCACTCACGCCATTCCGCCTTTGGCCATCAGGAGACCATTTTGTAAGGACGCTTCGCCAGATGGCTCAAGTTTACGCTTATCTGACAGAGCCGCAAGGATATCCTGAGGATTACCTAGAGCGTCAGCTTGCGCTCCGGCTGAGAACAGAGTATAGAGACGAAGCTCACCTCCCATTGGCACCAGCGTCTCCGCCAGTCTATCTCGAATGAGTACCACCCCGACCTGGCCTAGTGGATTCTGGTCGAACCATTCGACAATATACGTCCGCAGATATGTGAGGAGGAGATCAAACCTGCGAAGGGTCAGCTTCCACTCGTGTACCACAACAGGAACCATAAGCTCACCTAGTAGGTCTGAAGTCTTTATCCCTTACTGATTCTGACAGGTCTAGGATGATGAACAGATGCCGGATGATAGATCTTCGCAGTGGAGTCTCCGATACAAGGGCTCTAGACGATCAGCTACGCGACTTTAAGGGGCATGTATAACATGGGCAGCTTACCGTTTCCTTCTTCCCCTCGCTATCAAGCTATCCACAGCGGCCTGCAACCCGCCTTCTGCGTCCTCCTGTACTACGTCCCACGACCGCTTATACATCCCCTCCCACGCCTGCCTACCCGACTGTACATATCAGCGCTGACGTGATCGCCGCCATAGGCTCAATGGCGGGAGTGTCGAGCTCACCTCGTCCGCGCCATGTTCCCTCGATCTGACGGTCTTGCTCTTTCGCTTTGAGGGTCCGGGGCGGTCATCCTCTGAGATAGCGTCTACATCGTCGGAGCCTGGAGATGGAGGTTGGTACGCCGTATCTACCGCCATTGTAAGTGAAGAAGCTGGGGTATGTCAAGGTAGAGATGCAAGAGCCGAGAGCGTTGCTGTTGCTGCTGCAGCTGCTTTGTCGGTGACAAGATGTTTGGTTCCGGGGGATCCTGAATGTGAGGAATGCGGAGCTGGGAGCTAGCTGCTGACAAGGTGGGATAGGATGCCGAATCTGGCTCTTGTCGCATGATCGCGAACACTGCGCCACGAGCCAGGGGACAACGCAGTGGGAACAGATCCAAGGCTATGTGGCATAATATTAGATGCATGATGTTGTTGATAGGCAAGCAGGCGCCATGCGACACGCCGTGGCCATGATTGGACGTGTCCCTCCTAGATGAATGTCCGGCATAGATCCGACCCGAGGATCCCACCTGATTTCTTTGCTAGCCACCTCGTCCCTCAAATGCAGCGCATCTCTTGATTTTCTCTCCGTGCGAAGATCCTTCAGGGCCGAAAAATCTCTAGGCCGTCCCATTCGCGGTCTCGCCCAGTGCCGCCGCGATGTCGTCGCAAACCATCAGGACCGCCCCGCTTGGTTGCATTTTCGAGTAGAAGTTCTTGATGCTACCAGGTCAGCCTCAATTCGCACAGATGCCTCTTCGTCTCCTATGTTCGCGATGTCGTCTACCTCGCGCGGCTTTTACAGTATGGGAAACTCACGTTTCTGTTTCCCTGAATCCCATTCTCTCGTAGAATCGCTTCGCCGAGTCATTCCCGACCTGAACATGGGCAATAGCCCGCTTGACCACCTTCCGTGGTGCAGCGACGGTAAGCGAGCCGCGGGTGTTGGCCTTGTCTGCCGAGGGAATGGGTGGGGCGGGGGTCGCGGGGTGGAGGCAGGCAGTGAGGGCGTTTCGGAGGAGGGCTGTGCCTAATGACAGGGAGCGATACGGGGCAAGAACACTATAATGTCAGCTGAGAACCTGAATGAAGGAAGGGCGTCCCCCAGATGGGAGCTGTCTTCTCCTTTCTGATCAAGAGAGGAGTCAACAGCAAACCGCGTCCAGATTGTGATGACTTACGATAATGTCAGGATGACCAGTGTTGGTGGCTTCTCCTTCGCAGTTGATGTGAGGCTTTCAAAACGACAGCAGATAGCACCGACAGGTATATCGGCGTAATAGACTGTGATGTCAGCATCATTCCACATTGACAGCGATAGCCAGATCATAGCAATCCTCCATTTCCCTTGGCCCCTTCGAGCTGCCGCGGCCAGCACTGGAGACAGAGTATGACTCACTGAGCTTGTTCACATCGTCAAGCGTAGCATCCAGTATCTCCTTGTAGAATTTGTCTGAGTAGACCAAGGGGAGGACAACCGAGTTGAGTTTACGTAGAGTTCCAGCCTAAAGAAGGTCAGCTGATATGCTTGATCGCCGTAGCTGCCTCGCAAGGCCTTCTGCCCTGTACAGCCGCATCCCTATAGCCTTCTGTACAGGCAGATGAGACTCACGTTGTTGGTAGTCAAGCTCGTCAAGGTCACCTTGACCTTCGGCCTGACCGTCTTCCTTTGGCTCTTCCCCACTGCGAGGTCGACCGATACGTGCTCTCCCTGCGGCGCCAGATCCAGCGGGTTTGACACTGTCCCCTGCGTGGCGAAGGTAGCTCTTGAGGTGGTCGCTGCTGCCATGTTGTATATAGTGAAATGAAGGAGAGAGGGAGCTTCGACTTCCTTGATCGACTTTCGTTCGGTGGGCCAAGTCCGCTTACGTACATCCGATTTTGGTGCAGCGAGAACGCCAACTTCTTTTAGCTGGACTCCTTCATGCTTTGACCTTATACGTCAGTGAAGTAAGCACCATGAGCATAGCCAGGAACATCAGGATGGATAGTGAGCCTCTCTGTCTCCGAGCCGTGGGACTCTCTCTGACGTTCCAGACCTCGTACAGCCCATAATCATCTCCCTGATTGCCTTCGCCCTCGGCTACCAGGCCAACTCATACCTTCGCTCCGCCTCGCCCGTCCTCTCCTCCGGTAGCGCCAGCTCCAACAAGAAGCGCAAGCTTGGCGCGTCCGCCGCTCCCAGCGTGGCCAACTCGGACTCCGGGAGCGACAGCGAGGGAGCAACCAACCCTGAATCAGACAGCGAGGATGAGTCGGCCGCGGTGTCTTCGTCGGATATAGCGAGTGTCAAGGCGGGGATGGGAGAGGAGGTCAAGCTGGTGCTGGTTGTCAATGACAGCTTGAAGATGCAGAAGGGGAAGGTGGCTGCTCAGGCGGGTCATGCGACGCTGGCGTGTGCTTTGACGCTACAGGCGCAAAACCCAAGGGTGAGCTCAAATTGCTGTGATCTTGCTGGGTCGAGGCTGATTATTTAGCTGTATAAGAAGTGGCAAGCTCAAGGGTGAGCTATTGTTCTACCTCTCGTGTAAGAGGGACTGAAGCTGACGTTGAAAGCCAACCCAAAATCGCCCTCAGATGTGCGACCACCGAGGAGCTCGAATCGCTCGCGGCTCAGGCGAGGAGACTGAACCTTTGCGCCAGGACCATACAGGACGCGTAAGCATCCACACAAAGTGCAGCACAGGGATATAGCTGATTGCGCGACAGAGGTCGGACCCAGGTTGCCCCCGGTTCGAAGACGATATTGGGCATTGGACCGTGAGTGACGTGCGGCTTGCTCAGCGATCTGAACCAGCTGATGATGCACAGCGGTCCGGCAAGACTCATCAACACCGTCACGGGCAAGCTCAAGCTATTGTGATTGGACCCATCACGTGTGATGCACAGTATTTTTCGTGACGGCTCCGGCTGTTCGACTGATACGGGGTCCATCCTCGCTCGAATAACCGCGTTGATCCGGAGAAGGAGAGGGGATGATGAGTCCAGTCTGCTAATACAGAGTGTATGCATCTGGCCCTCTAGTCTGTCCAGGTACTGATCTCGGGCTACAAGCTACAAGTTGACTACTCAAACCCAGAAACAGCATTGACCGAACTCCATTCAGCCTCAGATCTCCCACCACTTCCTCCGTCGTCCGAAGCGGTCCAAGCTTGCCCATTGTCCGCCAAAGTCAGGAGGGAAGGTGTGGCGACTACCGATGGGGAGGGGGTCGTTCGGCCTGTTGGATGCCGGCGACGCACCGCGATCGTCCCTCTGATATGGGTGGTGTCGCAGTGGGTGGCTGGCAGTAGGCGTAAGAGTAAGTGAGGATCGTGGGGATGGGGTGGATATCGACAGCAGCAGGTTTACATCGATCATCTTAGCGTCGTCCGTCGTAGCCGTAGACGCCGGTGGAGCCGTCGGTGGAGCCGTCGGTATCGGCAGGATGGTTTGGGGCAGGGATGCTGCGGGCATCTCTACCGGGACGATGACTACGCCTTGTCGGCGTCGGTTCGCTTCCCAGTGTTGTCGCCTCGTGGGGTGAGTGGGAGGGAGCGGGACTGCCGGGAGGATCCGGTCGGGTTTGTATGCGGGGAAGGGAATGACGGGTCGAGTGCCGGAGATGGGCTGAGTCGCAGTGAGAGACACGTTCGGCGCCGCGAGTAAGGGAGAGTGAGGTACCACCGCTGGTAAAGGGGTCTCGCGCGCTGAAGAGTAGGCGAATGACGCAGTCCAGTCGGTCGCTCGCCTGCCAGCGGACTGCTTCCCTTCCTTGGTCTCGCCTAGTCCGTACTCGCCCTTCCCCGCGTCGGTACCTCCTCCCTCTGTATCCTCGTCCTCGTCCTCGAACAGGTAGTCTATACTGGTCGAGGGAGATACCGGCCTCTCCATCGCCTCGTCGAACATCTTGTCCCATTCTTCGTCGACGTCGATCGTGGAGATGGTGATGGAGCATGGGGAGTCGGGGGGTGTGTATGGCGGAGAGGAGGTGTCGGAGGTGAGAGGCGGGGTGGGAGATGATGATTCGTGCATTGTGAAATGGTCGAGGGGGATCTGACGGAACGCTGACGCGTAAGAATGAGACTCGATTATGGCTGACAAAGGCTTACCCAACGAATCAACCGCTTTCCAATAGGTGCGCAGTCGCTGAGGCCGGAGTCTGCGGCCGTCTCAGAGACAAGATGATGCTATCACGCTGCGGCTACGGGTCAGCTCGATGCAAGTACACTTTGGTCTGGAATGTTACCTTCAGATACTCTGTGTCTTGAGTGATCACCTGATCAACGCGCAGCTGATCTACTGGCTCGACCTTGACACAGCAGCGTCTCGCTCGGGTATGGAGGGCGAGGCAGTGGATGGGGCTGGATGCAGCGACGATGCTGGGTGAGCGATGTGGGTAGGTGGGGTATCGCAGGTAGAGGATGAGTAGAGGGGTAGATGGAGGGATGAGGAACACCGAGCGAGCGAAAGCGAAATCAGTCGCTTCTTTATGACGTAACCGCATGGGAAGTTGCCCTTTTGAGCAATTCCGCCATGTTTCACCTGCACCTGCGGTATGCCGCGGTGGGTCAATGGCTCAACGCAGACTACATGCACTACATTGGGGCGAACAACTACAACTACACCTACAAGCACAACAGCTAGCCAACGTCTACAAGAGCCGAGAATGTAAAGAGAGTCGAGGTGTAAGACCGAAAGAGTGTGCCGGACTGAGCGGGAACTGTGAGATTATCACAGGCGGCGTGCGAGTGGTGGCAGATCTATACGTTAGCGCACAGCCATTTCAACGGTCGAGACAGTGGCCTACCCTTATGGATCATCTCCATCCTCTGACTCAGGGTAGACTTCGGGTAAATAGCGAGCGAACCCAGTTCTGTTCCCGAGGGCGTCGTGGACATTGCGCGTCCAGACTTGGATGCCGAGCTGAGCGGTCGATGAGTACGAAGGGGTTCCGACCGGCGATGTCTCTTCCACCTGAGCTATAGTCCTCTGAGTGCGCCGGGCGGCGATGGGTAGGGCGGGCGATGATACGATAGGCTGCCAGATGTGCTTCCAGGCGTGAACAAGCGAAGGGATCCGGCCCGCCGGTACCGGGTGGTCGTGTCGAGCCTTGTCGGTGTACTCTGGCGCCGGGCCGGTAACGAGGGCGGCAGTCTTCACGTAGGATGTGACGCGTGTAAGGGGATTCGCGCTGGTCTCAGCCGTCGGGATGAGGGTTTGGATGGCAGCTGAGCTGGGGTAAGTCGTGACAGTAGTAGCGCCAGCTGTTTGAACGACGGGCGAGGTATCAGATGGAGGGGAAGGAATTGAGCCTGGCTTGACGGTGGGAATGCTTGCCAAGAAGGCTCGATTGCGATCGTTGAGACCGTCCGCGCCTGGAGGGGAGTCTGAGGACTGGGTAGGGGCGACGGGGCTGTCAGCCTTGGGTGGCGGCTCCAGGCTGTAACCGACGACGGGAGCGGACGCTTGTGGTGCAATGCCAGGATGATGATCGCCCACGGTGAGGATGGGGTCGACTCGAGGGCGCCGATTCCGTCGCGTTGCCGCCATCATTGCCGCCGCCGCTCTTACAGCCCTTCTCTCTGCCGCCTCCTTCTCCGCCGCCTCCCTCTCCACCGCGCCCGTCTCTGCCTGGCCCCGCTCGGCCCCGTCCCTCTCTGCCACCTCCCTCTTTGCGGCGTCCCGCTCATCAGCCACCTCCCTCTCCACCTCTGGACTCCCACTTACTTGTTTCCCTCCCCCATCCTGAAGGAAGTGTGATATCTCGAGACGGACAGCCTCGAGACGGAGAGCGAGATCGTCGGAGACCAGCGGACGCCGCCTTTCCCCGTTTCCGTGCGACTCGTCTGAACAGGTTTGGCTGCCACGACGAAGCACACGACGCCTCGCTTGGCGGGAACCGGGCCTCTCGGCATCTTCGTTGGGCGCAAGAGGCGAGGGGCGTCCGAACATGCTGGCGAAAGCATCTGCCATGGTCTGATCCCTTCCGGGAGCGACGATCGCCGAGGTGACCTGGTCGGCACTGCGTGCGCTGATCCTCGCCAGAGTGCGGCTGAGCGGGGTAGGTCTAACGGAGGTGTTGAGATACGGGGGATGATAGGCGACGACTGCAGGCTCTCGGCGTTCCAGGGCACGCAGGATGGTCCCTACGTCCCGATACCCATCGACCCGGCTCCTTGTCCGCCCGAGCGCCGCCGATACGGATCCGAAATCGAGGTATGTGAGCTGGCTCCTCACCTCTCGCCAATTGTCTGCAGGGATGAAGTGTACATCGTCGCATCCGGGGGAGTAGAAGACGAGGATGTCCCCCTTGAGTTCCTTGGTGCGGTCGAGAACGTAATCGTAGGCCCGGCATGCGCGTTTGAATCCATCTTCCTCGGTGATGGTGCCAACTTTCCGCGCCGGCATCGTCCTTATCTTGTCTGCTCCTGTGTGACCCCAGCTGCGGCCGGGGCCGACCTCGCCATCAGATCTACAGTGCTGTCAGCACTAGTCACGGCTCGTGACTTCTAGGTACTTACAAGAGATACGATTCTCGCGCGGGTCTGTTCAGGTACGTATCCTGTCCCATGTTCTCGTCGAGGTGAGTAGTCGAGAAGAGAGACAAAGTTGATGGAGGAGACTCCTCTCGAGGACCTGAGTAGACCAGGGTGCGAGTCGAAAGCGAGGTAGGGGATGGGCAAAGAGCTGGGGGGATGAGGAGGAGAAGAGCGAGGTGAGGGCCGGGAGAGGTAGGGCTGGGTGTGGTCCAAGCTCGTGAACAGGGAAGGATAGCACCGCGATCCCAACGAGTAAAGGGAGCGGATTTGATCTGTAGACTGGTCAGTCTGTGCCCAGGCGCTGTAAAGAGAGATATCACCAAACCGCAAATCACTTCGGTTGACCTGAACGCCCAAGACAGGAAGAGCCCGACCTTTGGGGCTGTTGCGCTTGGCTCGGGAATCGCTGGGTACGGGAGGAGGGATCGTACGAGGTGATAGGGGAATGCCTGGAGTATGTGTGGAGTACGGCAAATAGGGGATGGGATGAAAGACAGATGGAGACTCAGCGACGCCAAATCGAGCGAGAAAGCGAAATCAGTCGCTTCTTTATGACGTAACCCGTAAGATTTGCCTCTTGGGGTAATATTGCTCTGTTTCACATGCTACTGGTACCACAAACGAGACGGCGGCATACATGCACTACAGATGGGTACACAGGTACAATTACAGATACAAAGGCCTACGGAAGTGTACAGCTTTGCGAGGGTTTAACGAGTGTGGAGGTGTAAGACCTAGAGAATGTGTCGGACTGAGCGGGGTATCAAGCAGGTGAGGAAGGAGCTAGGGTATATCATCGAATCGTGGCGGTTTGAATCTGATAGTAAGCGATCGGCCGCGGAACTATAGCATAGACTGGACCTACTGGATCTCTCTCTATTGGTCCTCCTGGCTGCTGGGCGAGGAATGAGACGACGATGTGCCCGGGTCGCTGCCGCCCTGAGCTTGCTGGACGTCGTGGCTCCAGGCTTGTACAGCGGCTTCCCCGGGTGTTGGGGAGGGAGGAGCCGAACAATCTCGCGGGTCTACTGATGGACGAGTCTGAGAGACAGGCACCGGATCGGTATCGGTGCAGTTGGGGGCTTGATCCGACCGGGATAGACCGTCTGGACGCGAGGTGGTCGTGACACAGGGGGTCCGTTTCCGCCGAGACGGGGTGAAGTGCAGCCCATCATCTTCCTCCGCCGACTCCGGTGTGTCACCCACCGGTGGATATGTAGTGGCCGGTTCCGCCTTATGCTCCGATCCGTCTGCATCCGCGAGGGTGTTCGTGCTGTTGACAGGGGAGAAGAGGGTCTGCTCGGCGAAGCTGGAGTGACTCGTGAGGATGGCGCCTTCGTCATGGGGGACGACTAAGAGCGGGAGTGGGACGAAGATGCCTTCTGCCTGTGCGACAGTAGGTAGGCTCTCCGGAAAGGGATCGGTGCCGGTTTCGGTGTCGAGTACGTTGCGGGCGCACTCGGGCGGGGAAGACGATGCTGTCCCCTCGGTGGCCTGGTGTCCAGTCGAGGTAGAGTGACGGGTACTGTTCACTTCATGGTAGTGCACGACGACCGGCCGTAGGCTCTCCAACTCCCTCCGTATCACGTCTGTGTCTTTCCGCATGTCTGCTTCCGTCCGCCGCAACGCCGCCGAGACCGACGCAGACTCGGGGTACTTGCCCTGCCTCCGCCCCTCCTCCCACTCATCTGCAGGGCACATGAAGTGCATGGAGGCGCAGCTGCGGCAGTAGAAGGCGAGTACGTCCCGTGCGCGGAGGATCGATAAGTCTACGGCGTAGCCGAATGCCCGGTCGGCAAGATCGAAGTCATCGTCCATGGTGTAGTACTGCTCGGTACGATTCAGCCAGGCAGCATGTTGGACCTCGGGTCCAGGAGGGGGGCGACCAAAGATGCACCGAGGGCCGAGGGGGTCGTAGGATCTACATCATCAGCGATCGTAAGCTTGTCGGATGGTACGAAGCTTACAGGTGATCCGACATCACGTCGGAGGTGGTGAGCAACATCGCTACTTCCGCCCGGTCGTCAAGGTTGGGAGATCGCGCGAGAGGAGGGGTGTCACGATGTGAAGCCGCGGACTGATCCCAGACGGATCAGCGAGGAGGAATGTGTGAGGTAGCCGGGACGGGGTATACGGCGCGAGAGGCAAAAGATAGGGGGAACCCAAGCTCTCGCTCGCGGGTTTCTCGTAGGCTGCATCTCGTCAGCCATAGTGCTCATGTCGAGATGCGCGACAGATGGTACTTACAGTAGCTGCTGGAGGAGGACGGCTGTGATCTATCGAGGCCTAGAGAGAGCAGCTGCCCTGCCTGCGGTCGTTGATGGGAAGGTTGAGTGATGAGGAGCGGGAAAGGGGAGGGAGCGGGGGTGGGTCGACGTGGAGGGAAGTAGGGGACTATACACGTTGTATGAGGAGGGGTATGCTCGCCTACAGGATATGCACAGTACGGCTGGCGATCACAAGAGGACGATGTACGGATGAGAGTGAATCCGGGATTGAAGGTTGGAGCAAGAAGCGAGAAGAAGCAGGAAATGAGGATCTGAAACAAGGAACTGGAGACCGAATCAGGCACCTCCCGATGACGGGTGGCGAATATCTAGGACATGCAGCCTCCCAAGCAAGACATCCCTACTTTAGCGTGCTGACGACATGTAGCTGACAATCCGGGATGATACATGCGATGTATACAGGCACAAGCCGGCGGAGTTTTGAAGACGTGTAGCTCGTAATCCTATTTTGGGTTGGTCGTTAATAAGCCGTATGATTATAGACATCTCCCCCTCTCTCCCTTCTCCTTGCAACATTTCCGAGAGAGACCCTAATACCCAACCTTAGTAGAGCTCTGCTTCTATCAGCTTCGCCATCCCGCAATACTCCGAAGAAGCTCACCATGTACGCGCTATTCCTATGCGAGACGGACTGTGGCAACCTCGAGCTGCTCGGCGCACCTCCCGCGCGGGGTGCCGAAGCAGGCACCTGTGCTACCCGAGCCACCAGCGGCGTAGGCGGCGAGATCACGAGCTGTTTCTTCTCGTTCGATTTGGTCTGCGAGGTCGCAAGTGTAGTCCGAGGTGGCGCTGGGTAGTTGCTCGACTCCGATCCGCGACTCGGCATCGTGACGGGTGGGGCAGGAGCGTACCTGCGTTTCCCCTGCAAGATCCAAGGATGACGCATGGCGGGCTGAGGCTTGAGTCGGCGATCCGGGTCCCAGGTGAGGCACTTTGAGATGAAGTCGACAAAGAGCTCGTCTTTGCTCTTGAGGACTTGGGCGAGGGTGCGAGAGGAAGGACGGCGGCGCTTGCCCTTGGCACTGACGAAGGGACGAGGCGCGCCAGTAGCATCTAGGTGATCAGCGCAAGGTACCTTTATGTGAGAAGCGAGACCTACCGAAGAAGAGCTTCTTCCTCTGGGCGCGATTGACGATATCCTTGTCTGGAACGCCGAGCACCTCCATGATGCACGCCAGCTGCTCATGCTCATTCTCGCCCGGGAAGATGGGAACGCCAGTGTAGAGCTCGGCAAGGATACAGCTGTAGCGTCAGCTCTGGTGCTGCTGGATCAGCTCAAAATAGCTCACCCTAGACTCCACATATCAATTGCCATAGCGTAATTCATCCCCAGAATGACTTCCGGACTTCGGTAGAACCGAGACTGGATATAGGTGTACACTACCTCGTCAGCTTCTCGTCCCTCTCGATGTGGCTGGTACTCACCCTTTTCAGTCTCGTGACAACTACTACCAAAGTCAATGACCTTGATCCCAGCCTTGCATGGGTGCATGAGCAGGATATTCTGCCAGATCAGCCACGCCTCCATTACACTGCTATAGAACTCACCTCTGGCTTCAGGTCACAATGTACGATCCGATGACTCCGCATCAATTGCATACTCGCCAGCATCTGTGTCGTAAATCGCCTGATGACCGTCGTCGAGAACCCAGCGAATTGATTTGCCTTGATGAGCTCGTACAGATTGATACTGAGGAGTTCGGTGACAATGCAGAGATGAGAGCGGAAGTAGAAGTGGTCGGTCATCCGGACCATGTGATGTTTGTCTTCAGGATCCTGTATCATCAGCTTGGCCTTCTTACTGTTCACGATAGAGGAAGCGTACCCAATCCACAAGCTGCCCAAGGATCTTGACCTCCACCAAAGCTTGCGAGTGGAACCGCTTCTTGTTCCTGATGATCTTCACCGCGACACTTCCGCCCGTCATGTGATCTCGGCACTGCGCAACCTGTCCAAAGCTCCCCTTCCCGAGAATCTTGATCACTTCGTATCGATAACACATGTGATCGCCGTCCACGACGAGGTAGTCGCCCCGCTCGTCGTCGTACCCGTGATTGTAGATCGCGCCATTCTGAGGTTCTCGGACGATCCGCTTGGAGGGAGCGTAATAGATCCGGTCGTAGTCGAGTACCTCTTTCCGCTCAAAGTCTGACAATGAAGAAAGGTTCTTCGAGATGAACGCTGAGGAGTCAGTCTGAACCCATCCCGGAGCAATCGCTTGCTTACCTCGTTGGGATTGAGGCTCCGCTGGCTGTATGTCATCCGGGAACTCTTCGACATCTGCCAGATCATCCTTCTTGCTCCCAGCCGCCACTCTCGCCTTCCTCCGTTCGACATACGCCATCATCTCCGCGTCCGCCAAGGTCTCCTCATCATCCGCAGGACTGTCCGCCGGGCTATCACTGACGAGACTTGTTTTCCGGTAGCTCAGGCCCGGAGCGCCGACGGATGAGCTGGATGGGATCCGCGTTCCGAGCGGCGGAGGCACGGCAACGAGGTTGGAATGCAGGGATTTGCTGGGTTTGATGAGGTTTGGGTTGGAGTTGTCTGAGCTGGATTCTCGACCAGACTCTTTCGAGCTGGTGCGCGACATCCCGGGGACGACGTCTCGAGAGGACCGCTTGTTCTGGGCCGAGATCGTCATGCCCGTAGCGGTCGGCCGAGGCGCTGCAAGGGGCATGTTCCGGCGAGAAGGAGGGATGTTGGAGGGTCGATCGTTCCGGACAGCCGTCTCGATGGGCTTGGCAAACATGCGCTGCTTCGGCTCGTGACGCATAGACATGGGAGCTAGGAGGCGAGACCGCTGAGGATCGTTCGAGGGGACTGGGCGCATGCCGCCAACCGCTCCAAACTCGGAGACGCCGCTCCGCTCCATCGTAGCAGTACTGCTCATAGTCTTGCTATGCGCAACAGGACCAGCTTGCGGCATGCGCGAGATAGATTGGGAATGAGGCATGACGGGCGGACCCATCGAGGTCCGTCCGGCTGGACTATCCGAGTCCCGGTTGACCAGCCGGGGGATCTTGGTCGGGGTGGAGCTGGGAGGTGCGCGATTTTCCCCAGCCCGCAGAGAGCCCGAAGATGGAACGGCGCGGATGGAGGGAGTATTGGACGTGGTGGGATAGCCAGAGCGGCTGGGTCGGAGGGTCTGCGAGCCATACTGAGTGGCCTCGCTAGGCGTGGTGGAGCTGCCTTGACGTTGACCGAGCGAGCCATCGATAGAAGCCTGATTCTTGGAAAACGAATTCTTGTCGTTCGACGTCTGGTAGTGGTCCGGTGCGAGCGAAGTCTTCCTTGGCTGGAGAGGTCCGGAGATTGACATGGTCTACACTATCAGCTCGACTCCTCTTATTCATAACCGCACTCACATTTCCCCGATGCCTTCCTTTCCACCCTGTCGTTGCCGCCTTCTCAGGTAGCTCCGCCCTGATCTCCACCACCTCCTTGTTCTCCGGCTGAGTCTCCAGCTGCTGAGACAAGTGCCGCTTGCTCGTTGAACCTCGCAGCATACTTGGAAGGTGCATACCCAGCATGCTCTTCCTCGTGTTCGAGGCCGGAGCAGTCGGAATTTTGCTAGGAGGCGGCATTGACGTCTTTGGCGCATCAGGCACAGCACTGGTAGACGCCGACGGCTGGAGGGAGGAAGATGAGGTTCGGCGGAAGAATGGGATACCGGAGGGAGTGAGGCGTTTGTTGGAAGATGTGCTGGGGTATCGTGGTAGGGCCGATAGAGGAGGAGCGAGTGTCCCGACGGAGGTGTTGCTAGATTTTGACCGTGTGTCCTGTCGAGCAGTAGCATAGCTGGACGTGTCCGAGTCGAGCCGGGAGAGAACAGGGCCAGTAGGCGGTGGGGCGAAGTCCGCGTAGTTGACCTCTGACCAGCCAGCATCGGGCGAGTCATCCGATCGAACAGGAGGGGAAGGAGTAGCTTGCGATGGACTACCAGCGTCCTTGTTGAGCTTTAGCGACATGGCCGAGGAGAATGACCACTTTTTGTTTGGTTTTGGCCGAGCGGGGTCTGAAGGCGGTGTACCGACCGGTGAGACCTGGTCGGTCTGCGCGTCCTGCAGCGGGACGTAGCTGGGCGCGGGGGCTGCAGCTGCCTGAGCCAGACCCTGCCGCATCGAGAAGTACCCCTTGGGCAATGGCGGGACGGGCGGCACCGTCACCTCCCCAACCTTTTCATATGACCCGTTCGCGCCCGGCCCATTGTCCATTGACGCCTCGCTCCCTCCGCTAGCACGTCTCCCTTTGCCTTCACGAACGCCTGCTGTCGATGGGGGAGTCGTGACTGAGGTCTGCAGCGAGTCGCGCGATGTTGGCGTCCCGACAAAGCTCGGCGAGGATGAAGATTCCCTTGGTTCGACAGGGACATGCGGTCGTTCGAGCTGACTGACCGGAGCGCCATTGACGGTTTTGCTCCGGCTGCCAAACGAGCTAGGCGCAGCTTCTTCCGCGCCAAGCTGAGCCCAGTCGGTCAGAGGTGAACCGGCATCACTGAGCGCGGCTCCCCTCAGACTCCCATAGCTCGACTTCTCTGTCAAGCGCCTGTCCTGCGGCGGCATCATCGTCCCCTTGCCCTTTTCTTCCTTCCGCACCGTCGGCGGCGTCGCAGGTCTCGGCGGGCCGCTCGACAACTTGCTTTTCCCCGCGCTCTTGCTCCGCCCTGGCGTCCCGCCCAGCCCATCAAGCTTCCGCATCGCCTCCGCAGTCTCTGCATCCATCTCCCACCCCTCCTTCTGGCCTCGACCAGCCGCCAGATTCTTCAGCTTCTGGCTCCGCTGGCTATCGGACCGCTGGACCCCACCCTTCTGCGGCGTGGGCTGAGCGACCGGCATAGGCATAGGCGGACCGCCAGGTGAAGTAGGAAAGTATCCGCCCGACATGGACGTTGCCGGTGGCGTCTTCACTCCCGGAGAGGTGACGGAGGAAAAGTTGTTGATGGACGAAGAGGCTTTGAGGAATTGGTTGATACTGGCGCTACTGGGGGACGGGGGTAGATGTGAAAAGTCGCGCGGAGCAAAGTGTTTGAGGATATCGTGGGAGGAAGAGGGGGAGTGTTTGGCGCGGGGCGCAGTATCTCGGGCTGCACCGGCAGGCGGTGTCTTTCGAGCATCGCGAGTACTGCGCGGTCCATACCCTTGCCCCTCGCTCGAATGAGCAGAGTTGGGCGGGGTGTACTTTGACGAGGACCGCTGAGGAATGGCGCCCGCCTGGAGTGGGGCTGGGGGTAGTGGAGGTTGGTATTGTGATGAATTCGCCTGGCTGAGCATAGAGGCCCGCTTCTCCCGCTCATTTCTCCGCGCGTAGATCCTGGCGCGGGCGGAGCCGGGAGAGATCGGTATACCAGGCTGCAGATTCTGCTGCTGTGACTGCTGCTGATATTGTGGCTGATACGACTGCGAAAAGTCGGTATCGTTCCGCTGAACCGGGGCCGGAGGTGATGGCGCAGACCGAAGTCCATCAGGGAACCGGTAGTCCCCCTGTGACTCGGTCTCCTGCTCCGCTTGTGGTTGCTCCTGTGCTCCCGACGCATCCGGTATCGAGAGAGACGCCGCGATCGCAGCCGCCATAGACGAGTCGAACTGAAAGTCGCCAAAGTCGCCCAGATCGAGTAGATTTGAGGCTTCCGCGCCCTTGCTCCGGCTCAGAGTGGAAGATCCGGTCGGATACCGATCGGTAGAAGTTTCCGGGACGCGATGTGGTGGTGCCTGCTGCGACATTGACCGGGCCCGAGCACCCGACGCCATCTTTCGCTGCGGTGACTCCTCCTTGACACCCTCCATAACGCCTACACCCAACCCGTACCCACTCGCCCCTTGACTCCAGTTCTTCTGGGATGAGGGATTAGCAGTGTTTGGCAGAGGCACCGTGGGCTCGTTGCCTACGCCAAACACGCTCGGCATAGACGGTGTTCGCATATGTTGGTGCGAAGTGGTGGTTGTCCACCGAGGGGTGGCGAGCTCGCCAGTGCCGACCAGCCCGCGGCGGTCCAGCGTGCGGGGATCCGGAACGCCGGGTGTGACGGGCCCGAAGGAGGTGCTGGGCATAGTCGGAGTCAAGGGTTCACCTTGCGGGCTCTGGGGGTATGTTCCGAGATAGTAGCTATCTATCCGAGTAGTATCGATACTGCCTGTCAGCTCCAGCTCCTGCAGCCCATTGTCGCGACTTACGATGGTCTGCTCTGGCCCACTCTTGTCCCCAATGTCGAGTTACTCTGCCTCCTCTCCAACTCTCTCCTGTCCATTTGCCCCACCGCTGACAAAGGCACATTCAGAGGCATTGATGGCGAAGCCGGAATACTCTGCCGCCCCTGGCCCGTTCCACTGTCTTGTCTCCTATGCTGTCCGTAACTCTGGGTTGGACGGTACGGGTTGGCGACAGGCGGGAAGGAGGGAGAGTAGGGCATTGACGTGGAGCGCATCGATTCGTCCTGCCGTCGTGAAGGATTTGAAGGCGGCTGAGGAAGCGGTCTCGAGCGATGTTGGGAGTCCTGTAAACGTCAGCTTGCTCTACCGAGAACTGAAATTCGACACACCTTTATTGATGAGTCTGTGACTACGCGTCTTCCCTGTCCCTCCAACACCTGAGGCATTCCCAACCCCAGATTCGAATACCCCTCTTCCCCTTGCGAGACTGCTGACTCTTTCCTGCGGTCCGCCTTCGGACTGAGATCGAGGGCGGCAGGTGCTGGGGCCCTCTTGCCCCGTAGACTGGCCGACATTGAGGTCTGAGAAGAGGAGTGCGGAAGCCGGTCTCGGACGGGTTCGCCATAACCCTGCTGCTGCAAGTACTGGCTCTGCGCATCAAGCGCATGCGGGAAGCTGTAAGAGGGCGACAGGGAGTGTGAGGGTGGTGTAGCTTCCGCCGAGTATTTGCGCGAAGGGGTAGCGGACTGTGAAGGGCGAGTCTGGGATGAGGAAGCTTGTTGGGAATAGCCGCGCGAAGTTGATGAGGGGAGGGTGGCAGGTTGTGCGTATTGGTCGGGGCGGCCAGGCTGGGTTTGGGTGTACCGCGTCCGAGAGCTGCCGGCTCCAAAGTCGTCCATTGGATCGTCCATCCTCATCCCTGACTGCGAGCTGTAGCCGGAATCCCCTCCCGAAGGGGCAGCAGGAGGGCGCCCCGCCTGCCGAATGGTTGACTCCCCATGCTCCCCTGACGCCTGCGAGTAGTCCATCGTCTCGTCGCCCGCCGCGTCCGAGAACCGCCCAGAATCGCGCTGGCCATGTCTTGTACCAATGGGCGGCAGGAGATCTTGCTCGCCATACCCCGAGGACGTCCGCCTGTCCCGGCTAGCTTGGCCTGATTGGGCTTGCGATTGGGACGTGGACGAAGAGGAAGAAGCGAAGGGGTGCCTGATTGACCACGAGGGCGACATCGCTGCTCTTCAGTATGTATGCACGACGCGTAGAGACGTAGCGGTAAACTCACTACCCGATCTCTCCTGGCCTGGGCCGATCAATCAAGATGAGACCTGTCTTTGGCGGGACATGTGCGCGCGCACGAACGCGCTACCATCTGCGAGCTGTCGCCGGGGTATCGAGCAGAGGAGCTGAGGGCTTGTGTATGATGCTGATAGGTAGAGATGGCTGATTGACTTTTATTTGGTGATGTTGTGAAATGCTAACCGTCCTTTACGCGGAGGAAGCTCGGTTACGCCAAAGGGAGGGGGTGGATGAAACGCGGTGGTCCAAGCGGGTAACGGTCCAAGCAGCTTCGATTCCGTCGGTTCTGTGAGACACTGATGCGAAGCCGTACCTACACTGTAGGTGTTTGGTGTGGGCTTGAGCCTACTGTGTTGTCTGTCAGCAGCGATGTGTATGATCTTGCACCTTTCATCTCTCTCTCTGGCGCGCAAGCTCAAGATGGAATGGAGTTTCAGGGTTCTCGGCATCGCCTCAGAGCGTCACTGCTTAAGGCACGTGGCAAAAGAGAGGTATGCAAGGTAGTAACGCTTAGCGGCGTGATTCCATCGCACCTCGACTCATTTACCATTACAGCGTACCGCCGGCTCTATGAGGTAGCCCTCAGTCGAAATTGCAGCCCCGAAACTTATGATCTTGGGGGGCAACCGAGTGAGCGGCACGCGTCGCGAAGCTTGCAGTCCACCCGGTACCCATCTTGTCTCCCAAATCTGTACATCTCGCGGGCCGACTTTCCCGACCAGAAAGTACTAGACCAGAAGAGCTACTCGAATCAAGACCGAGTGTGATGTACACTGATGGGAGTTGAGCGCTGAGCGCTCTTGCCGCGAAGTCAGGTCGATGAAGCGGGGCTCCAACAAATGGGTCAGATAGCTAGCCTCCACGTGACCAAAATCCGGCTTGTTACGTAATTAGTCACGCTTGAGCCAAACAACTGACTTCTCTTTGCTCCAAAGGCCAGCCCTTCCTCTCTGCTTCGTATCCATCGTCCCTGTCAACCTATCTCCCGGACTTCACTTGCTCATACTCACCGACACCTGCTTCGGAGGGCCATCCAGCAGCGACGACATGTCCTCCCAAGCAATATCGCCAATACCTCAATCTTCGCCGAGCAAGGTCCGCTTCACCCTCCCCATCGCCTCCTCTTCAACTTCCTTCCATACCGACGCGGACGATGACTATGACTACTCGGACTCGGACTCGGATGATCGGGTCTTCTTCGGGTCGCCGAAACATGGCGAAGAGGAGCTAGTCGCCAGGCTGTCGAGGGCGGTTCCGGCGACGCCGAGGAGTCGGTTGAAGAAGCGGGATTCGAGGGAGTTTTTGAGGAGACAGACTATATTGGTGACTCCTCCGCGCCGCATGATGCATTCGGAAGCTGAGGCAGAGGCTGCTGAGGTGGATGACCCGGCCGAGGACGGAGAACAGGCAGGGAAGGGGAAGATATGGCCAGGCGGCTTTCATGAACGGAGAGAAACGGGCGGGTCTAGCGATATCGACTCTTCTCCCTCCTCCTCGCGGTCGTCCTCCCCTACACCGGCCGTCTACTTCGAGACTCCCGGTCACAAAGCCGAGGAGGACCATTGCGACCTCACCCTCGACTTTTCCCGCTTCCGGGTATCCGAATCCCCGCTGTTAAACACCCGCTCGCCAGTCCGCCCCACACCTATACGGCGGCCATCACTCCTCTCCGGCCCGAGCGCGCAAGCGGAAGATACAAAGTCGGACGCAGAATCATCTGCGAGTGAAGGGGAGGAGGAGGACTGGTCAGAGGATGAAGGGGACGACGATAGCGATAAGGAGAATGCGCCTGCGCCGATGGATGGGGCTGCTGTGTCGGAGGAGGAAGAGGTGGTGGAGTATCCGTTGTTCGAGGGACCGTTGACGGGAGGGAGAGCAGTCGCTATGGACAGTGAGGAAGAAGGTGAGCTAAGTACCACCTCTCCACGATGAAGCGCTTGTAGCTGACATTTCAGATGATCTTCGCGAGCTGGATATGGGCGGTCTGCGGCTGGGCGACTTTGCAGATCCCGAGCTGGATATGGGGGATCTGCTCGGTACCGCGTACAACAGCGACTTCGGCTTCTCGAGCCGGGAGCCAAGCGAGGACGGGTTTGGCTCGGAAGGCGGGTCGGCCAGCGCGGATATCTCGATACATGAGGATGCGGACGCGGAGACCATCAAGCTCGTTGCGGACCTTGCTGTGCTGTGCGAGCATTCCTCTGAGGCGGTCATTCTCGTAGCTGCGGTCTCAGACGAAGTCGACATTCCTTCAGCTGTCACCGACAGCCCACCGTCTGACAAGACCATCCATAGCCCGCCTACACATGTAGCTGCTCTCGACACTCCACCATCCCCCTCACCCTCCTCAGCCAGTCTCGACTCCCCCCTCCCCATCGCACGCGGTGGGATAGTCGTCATCCCAGCCTACCACAGCCCGATTCGCGCCGAGTCGGCCTCTCCCTTCCGCTCCTTCCCCTCTCCCCGCTCGATGGAAACCTCCACCCCACCGACACTCGCAATGGAGACGACCGGTCCATCTCGCCTTCTCGCGTCAACTATGCAATTCTCTCCTCCCTTCTCCTCCTCCACTCTGCCGGACACGTCCATGACCCCCACGGCCCGCCCATACAACCCGTTCGACCCCCTACAGCACCAGGCGAAACAAGCCCTCAAATCGTCCAGCCTCGCCGGATCGACCGGGACCGGGCCCCCTTCGCTCGCTCTGCCCTCGCCGCTACCTCTACCGGTAGTCGCGTCGACTCGGGAATTGCCGGAGGAGGAAGCGGCCAAGCGAAGTGAGGCGATCAAGAAGAACCTGGCGAGCGTATTTGCGGGCAAGTCGCTCGGACTTGGGGCGCCACAGAGGAGCGTATCGTCCAGCTCCAGTCAGGGCAGCTCGGCTTCCGCGTCGAGCTCGATGGGGATGGGGCGGCCGCCGAGTCGGACTGGCGGGGCTTTCTTGGGGTCAGAAGCGGCGAAGGGAAAGAACAAGGTCACTTTTGCTTCTACCTCTGCTTCAACGGGTCAAGCAGGCCGGTCAGAAATGGACGGCAAGCGGAAACGACCCATGCCTACCTCAAGCCTGACCATGGCCAAGCCGGGTGCCCCAACCGCCGCTTCAGCTCCGCTATCATTCGCAGCTATGCGTCCGGTAAGCGCCTCTATCGGCGCCCCTAAGCGTCCTCCCACCGCCGCGGCTCCCCCTGCTCGACCCGCGCTCGCTCCACGAGCTTTACCATCGACTCAGATTACCGCCCCAACTCGCTCAGTCCCCAAAGGCGCGATCGCGCGACCCCCTCCACCCGCTATGGCCGCCCAGCCCGCTAGGGCAGGCCCCCGCCGATCCCTTCTCGTCAACATGCCAATCTACACCTCGACCCTGCCCTCCCCCCCATCTCCCGACTCCGCTTCGGGCTCTGCACCGAGCTACCCTTCTCACCCAAATCCACTCAAACGGCCGCTCCCATTTTCCTCCCATCCCATCGCTGCTTCTCGATCTGCCATATCAACCGGTCCTGGTGCGACACGACCCACACTGGGCCTTCCGTCCCGCGTGGTCGGTGATCAGGTCTTCACGCTGAGCAGCTCGCGTATGGCGTCTCTCCGCGAGACGTCACCGACTGCGCCTGAAGCAACGGAGTGCGGGGTCGGGTCATCCTTTGGACCTGCGCCTGCGTTCTTGGTGGGGACCACCGGAGGCGGCGGAGCGAGGTTCCGCTCTCCGGAACGGATGACGGGGAGGTTATTGGTTGGTGGTGGAGCCGTGAGGGGTACACCTATGTCTGTGCGTACCAGCAAGGTCAGTTCCCTTGCTCATTACCTCCTGTCCGGGGCACAAGCTGACATGCCAGTTCGGAACCCCGTCGCGGATGAAGCTGGGCACGCCATCGCGGCCTCATCTCGGTACGCCTAGCCGGCCGTTCCGTAAAGGCAATGGCCCCACGATCCATGTCTACTCGACCAGGCCTGCGGGGTCTGCCCCTGCTCCTGCCCCAAAAGACGTGGGTGGCGTTTCTGCTTCACCTACCGCTGGCCCTCCCTCCACCAATACCCGTTACTCCGAGTCTTCAACCAGCGGCCTAAACGGCGTCGGCTCCTCTTCGCTCGGACACCGCGGCTCGAGCGAGGACCACGAGGACGTCTCGTTTCTCCTCCCCAATATGGGTGCTGGGTCGAGCGATACCGCCTCGTCGCCCATCAAGACGCCCGCAGACGCCAAGGTCAAGTGTTCGGGTACGGACCATGTCGAGATCGCCCATGACAGCCCGGCGGCCCACACTCGCGCTCACGGACGAGACGTCCATCCTTCCAAACTCGCCTCCTCGCCTCCTCCCATCCCTTTCCCCTCCAAGGCCCGTCCTAAGCGCACTATCAAGCCCCCTGCGCCCCCTCGTCCGCTTACAAAACCCACGCCAGCCACGACCCTGTCCATCGCGCCAAATCTGTCCGAAAAGGAGCTGAAGGCAAAGACGTTACTCAACACGGCCAAGAATGAAAAGTACGCCTGTGCGATCGATAAGCAGGTGGTTAGGATCGGTACGGCCCGCCCGCCGAGTCCGACGAGCACCATCCCGACCACGGAGCAAAGGGAGGAGGAGGCCAAGAAGCGGGATAGGGAGATGCGGGCCAAGCGGCGCAAGGGACAGGGCAAAGGTAAAGGGAAGGAAGGGGAGGAGGAGGATGAAGAGGAAGAGGAAATAGAAGAGGTGATGCCGCTTATAAAGAGGCTGGAGGGGGTGGAGGTGGATTGGAAAGGGGATGAAGAAGGGTGGGATCTGGATGAAGGGGAGCAGCGGCCGGCAAAGAAGGCGAGAGTGGGAAGTTTGGGTAAGGAGAGGGAGGGGAAGGGGGTAAAGTGGGACAAGGGGTTGGTGGTCATTCGGGATTATGGACTGCCATATCCTGAGCGGAAGAAAGGGGATGCTAAGGGGCCGAGAAGTGTTTTGAAGGTTGGCAAGCAGGTGGGTTCAGCTGTTCATGCTTCTCCCTCCGGAGTTGACCTCAAGCTGACTCTATCAGGTCGAGCTGGATGCTCACGGCAACGTCCTTGCTTCCCGGCCGAAAGAGACCATCAAGCCGCACAAGGTCTTCGTTTCTATCCGTGTTTTCGAAGGTGAAGAGCCCAATCTGCCGATCAGCCAAGCGACAAGGGCGAAGAAGAAGGGGTCGGCGTAACATCAAGGGAGAGGGGGCAGTATCTGTGTCTATCATTGCATCTTTCATGTTTTGCCAAGTCGGGGTCGTTTGTATGGTGAGTAGGGTATATAGAGGGGTCACTGCCCTGTATGGACACCCATTCGAATCCGACGATCCGTTGCAGAGGCAGAGCCCAGTCCGTGGCCCGTGGGAATGGTGTTTCAAGAGTGTCGAAAGGTACCGTTCTTCCAGTACCGCTCCACATACAAATGGCGAACTCTGCGACAAAGCTGAAAGCTGCACTGAGATGTGCCGCAGCCAGCGAAGACCCAAGATATCGGATATCATCATGCCCCATCAACTGTCTCCTCCACCTTCTTCACATTCTCCCGTTCTTCCTGCTTCACCTCCGCCTCTTTCTCCCCCCCACTCTGCTCCTCGGTCTCCTTTTCCCCACTCTGCTCCTCCGCCTTTTCGCTGAACTCCTTTTTCAGCTGTTCCGCCTTCTCCTCCACCTCCCTCCCCATCCCCTCTGCCGCCTTCTGCATCTTCTCCCCTAATGCCCCCAACTCCTTCCCGACCTCCCCTACTTCCACCCACTCAAAGACCTCCGCACGCATCCCCACTCCCCCAACTCCATTCCGCCTCAGGTACCTCAACCACAGATCTATCGCCCCCCTATCTGCATCCCACACCTTGATCACTCGGCGGTGATTCCGGCGCTCAAAGTTCTCTTGCGACTTCTTGTGGACGAACGGCGATTTGGGAACGGTATACAGGGAAGTGACGGTAGGGAGGGAGGCGGGGTTGGAGGTGGGTATACCGAGCGAGTGGGCGGCATGGAGGGAGAAGGAGGTGTATAGGTCGAGAGGGTAGGGGTGGTGTGCTGCCAAATGAAGCGAGGCGACGTGGATACCATGTGGGCGAGGGAGGGGGGTGAGTTTGGGGAAAGAGAGGAGCTGGACTCGGGATTGGGTGAGGGCGGCCGCGGCGGGAGGTTCGACGGAGTTTGTTCCCGCTGGAGCGAGGTCAAGATGAGCCGAGGGTGTCGTACTGTCCGAGTCAGCTTGAAGACTCGGAGTAGGAAGCTTCGAGCAAGCTCACGAGATGCCCTTGGAAATCACTCCTGATGGCCGTACTGAAGCGATTCGTCTTCTGGAAGAAGACGCGATACTAGAAGCGATGAAGCCCGACATATCTGGTTCTGTTCCGGAGTTGGCTTGATGCTCTAGGCTGTTGTTGTATGGTCAGAAGCGATGTATAGTCGCTGGACGCTGCTGCAGCGCGAAATTCCGATCAGCTTCTCAATTGGACGCACGGGCTAATTAGCTACCGCTAATCAAATTCAAGCTAATCATCTCCCAATTTCCTAATCGCCCTAACATATCTATTTTGGTCTCAGATCTCAAGTTCCGTTGGAAGGCGGCGATGTTACCGGCTCTGCTGAGCCTGGCACAGCCAAAGCACAGCAAGCCAGTCGCCTCGCGAACACCTCTAGACTTTTCGAAACACGCCATATAGAAGAGCTCGCGACAGCACAGTCCGCCAGCGGCTGCTCCGAGCGAAAAGACAGTCCGACATGACCGTCTTTGGAGCGACTACAGCCGTCGTGGCGGCGACGCCGTACACCCCGCCCTACAAGTATGTGACGAGCTATGCGCCAGCTCCTAGCGTGACGGGGAGTATAACGAGTGAGATTGTCTCTCGAGCGACCACGAAAGGAAGCAATAGACTGATGAGTTAGAGCCGATATCGAACAATCCTACTGTACCGGACGGTACGAGCTCGGCTGACTATGCCTGGGCTTACCTGTCAGCTCACATGATGAGGTGGGTCGTAGCTGTAGAGAGTAACTCGAGCAGGGTTGACACAATAGCTGGCCGTCTTACCGGTACATATATCTCCTCTGGATAGTCCTTGCGGTCATTGCGGTCCTCTACATCATCTCGCACCAGGCCCGGCTCGGCGCCTCATCTACCGGAGCTGTCCTCTCGAAATGGGCCATCCGGCGTCAACCTATCGGCAAGCGGCGCTCTGGAGGCGCTCGAGGTCGCGCACTAGCCAGCAACGGTATTCTCCTCATATCGGCTATTCTACTGCTCATCGCACTCATCCTCACCTTTGTTGGACCAGACTACATCGCCCCGACGCTCGGCGTCCTCTCTTTCCGGAAGCGCCAATTCCTATCGCCTGGCCAGATCCAGTACGCCTCGCCAAGCTACACTATCCACAAGTCCATCTGGACCATCGCGTCCCGGCTTGGCGACACCGCTTTCGCCCTTACCCCACTGACTGTCCTCCTCGCGATGAAATCGCCGCCCGTGGCCATCCTCGCGTGGAGGGGTCTGGCGCACCTCTATTCGGACAAACTGGCGACGTTTCACAAGGTCACGGCGTGGATGGTCTGGGGAGCGACGACGGCGCATGTGGCGTTATGGACGGTGCAGCTGTTTCTGGATAGGCGGAATGGGTCGGCAACGTGGTTTGCGATGTGGACGAATTATCGGTTCATTGCGGGTGTGGTGGCGTATACGGCTTTGACGGGTGTCATGGTGGCTAGCTTCAGGATAGTCAGGCAGAAGCAGTACGAGGTAAGCTTTGATCAAGAGATCTTCTCCCTTTACAAGCTGACAGGCAGTTCTTCTATGTTGTCCACGTCGTGCTGGTCTTCCTCACTATAGCTCTCTCAGCGCTACACCACCCGGTTCTCTGGTTCTGGATGGCCGCGGCCCTCGGGATCTGGGCTCTCGAGCGACTGTTCCGCCTCTTCCGCTTTTGGCGAATCAACAGCGGATCCTCCAAGTCCTCTTCTCGGCGGGCCAACAACTCCACCCTCCTCGCGAGCCAATACGAGGACCTCCCCCAGTCCGACTCGTACGCCATGGCTGACCTCCCCTCGCGTACCTCTTACGTCGACAAGACACTCCCTCGCCCGCCTGGGCTGTCTGGTCTTGATTCGCCCGGCGAGTGGTCGCCTGCCAGTACGCCCCGCGGGAGCGTGGATGGGGGATACGGCGGGCGGAAAGATGACTTCGGGCAGCACAGCCGGGGCGCAAGTGGCGGGTATGCCGAGGGGAGTCTACAGCCCCTCGGTGCATTCGATGGGCGGTATAGCACCGCTGGATCTACTGCGGGGTCTACAGGCCTAAATGGTGGATTTGTGGATCCGTACGATAAGCCTTCGGGAGGATACGATTCGCCCCAGAACCGCCGGTCGGGCGAGATGGATCGGTCAGTCAGCGGTCCTCGGCAGACCGAGGGTCGACGCCCTCCAAAGCTGAATCTGGCCCCTCAGAACCGGATCACTCACCCGCCAGCATCATCCACCCCCGCTCTTGCTCCCATCCCGGTTGGCCTGGCGCTCGCTCAACTTCTCCCCTCCCGGACTATCCGCCTGACGATTCACGCGGGCCGTCTAACGAAATGGGCGCCGGGGCAGAATATCCTGCTCTACCTGCCTGATTTGTCCGCTATACAATCCCACCCTTTTACGATCACCAACCCGCCAAATTCCGATGGCGAGATCATCGTACTCGTCAAAGCTCGCAAGGGGCTCACGCGGCAGCTGTACAATATCATTCGAGAGCGATATCAGTACAATATGTCCGTTGGGGCTGGGTCTGCCGGGCTGAGGGGAAGAGACGAGAAGGGTCGGGGGCAAGGTAAGGAGGGCGTGGACGTGCCGCCCGTGTTAATCAGAGCGAAGGTGGATGGGCCCTTCGGGTCTGCTGTACGGGTAAGGTGGGGAGATCACGCAACGGTGGTCATCATCTGCGGAGGGAGTGGGGTGAGCTTTGGTGTGGCGGTGCTGGAGGGAGTATGCAAGAGTATCAGGGAAAGGAAAGGCGGTAAGACGAGGAGAATCCGATTCTGCTGGATCGCGAGGGAGTATGGTAAGTCGGGCTGCCTTTCATGTGGAGGGAGCTCGCTCATTAGGCAGCCGAGATTGCATGGGTCGCGCATCAGCTTCAACGATGCCAAACCCTCCTTCCGCCCGCCCAGCTGCAGATCGAGATATACATCACCAACTCCGTTCCACTCCCCTCTCGTTCTCGCCAAGCTCTGTCAACCCGGCAAGGCAAAGCAGCATACGGTCAACCAGCAGACGACCTCGCACCTCCTCGTGCGGCATTCGCTAAATCGACCCCTCGTGCCTCTTCACCCGGAAGCGACCACACCCTCGGTCGACGTTCCGCTTCGATGGACTCGATCGCTTCCGTCGCGTCAGATATGTCCATCGACTCGCCCATGGGTATGGGCTATTCGGACCATTTGGAAGTGGACGAGCACCTGTCGGAGAACTACGCGGACGTCATCGATTTGACGAATTATGAAGATGAGGAGGATGTGGCCGATCCGAGGGAAGAAGCGCTCAGTAGCAGTGTGAGGGAACAGGGGAAGATTCGGCGCGCACGTAGTCGGCGTGCAGCGAGCGGGCGGGGTCAGCCCGGTCAAGGCGGAGAGATGGGTGGAAGAAGGGGGAGTGCGCTCGTACCGCCCGTGCCGGATGGGTATGGGGGAATACCGTCCCGCCTTTCAGGGCTGAGTCAGGATGGGGACAGAGACAGAGACAAGGAGAGGGAAAGAGGGAGGGGTATGGCTCAATCCAGGAGTGCGCCGATGGGGTTCTCGGGCAGTCAGGATCAGGGAATACACCATCCCCCTCTCAGGTCGGGACGGTCGAATCTGGCCTTGTCGGCTTATGATCAGCTTGAACCTGCTGGATCGCCCGGTCAGGGTCGTCGTTCCTTCGACCATCAACCATCGCCTTCGCCCGACGCCCGCCAACCCCGTCCTTCTACCTCATACGACGCTTCTCCCCGCCCTTCCTCTTCGAACCCGTACGCCCAGCCCCGACCGAGCTCGTCTCTCGCGCCCCCGCCCGCCACCCTCCCCGTACACCAACCCCAGCACAGCAAGCGCAATTCCTACGCTTCGTCGTATGCTGATTCTTATGCCGCGTACGACCCCTTCTCCGGTGGGCACGGAGGAATCCGCGCCAATTCGCCCGGATCGAGCATGCACGGCGGGTATTTCGGGGACGACGACCGCGGGTCTATAGCGGGGGACAGCATGCGCCCTATCCACCCGAACGGACCCGGGGGATATGGGAGCGGGGCGGAGTCGCCTGGTATAGGCGGGTTCAGGGCGAGTCGGACGGGCAGTATGGTATTGCTTGATGAAGCGGCCTTTGGGTCTAATCGGCTCAGTCAAGCTGCGGGCGCAGAAGCGGGCGGTGGAGGAGGTTCGAAGGGGTTTAAGGCCGCCGCATTGGGTGAGGGGCTGTGGGTCGATCAGGCGGACTATGAGGCCATGGCTACTCTCAGCGAGTATGCGATTGCGGGCAAGCCAGCGCTGGGGACGATGCTAGAGGAGGAGATTGCGAGTGCTGTGGGGAGTCTGATCGTTACGAGTGAGTCGGCATCTTCTACAAATGTGCGGCACGCTAGCTAGCAGCGGTGCTGACTTTATAGCTTGTGGACCTACCACGCTCAATACGGTTGTCCGGAACTTGGTGTCAAAACACATCAGCCCGTCCAAGATCCGGAATGGGGACAAGAGTGGGCATATCGCCATTTACAGCGAGGACTACGACGCATGACGAATAGCTACGCTTGTGCCTTACTACACTGTATCTCATGTCGGATGTGTGTACCAGTAAGATCATCTTGGCGAGACCGGACCTTGTGGACATTCAGCCTTAAGCTCACATATGATAATGCTTCACACCCCTACCCATATGAAACCATAATGCCCATCGTGTCCCTGCTGACATCTGCATCACTGACCGTATCAATCACTATGACTATTCGTGATCGTACAATCCCACCTTGCCGTCTCCCCCTTTGAAACCGCGCTCCTCCGTAGCACATCTAACCCATCTGCGCCCGCCCCCCCCCCCCCCCCCCCCCTCCCCCTCTATCTACTCATCTACGTCAACCCTCCCTCATCCTCCTCGAGCGCCTTCTTGATCCGGAGCAATACCCCCGTCTTCCAATTATCCAACTTGGTGACCTGATCGTACCCAAACACTGCGCCCGTGAACCGCTCGACATCCGCCTCTTCGCACGCCTGCATAAGCTCGTACGCGAATTTGGCCTCGCGGGTGGAGGGGAATGTAACGTCTTTACGGGCGAAATCGTCTAGGAGGCGTTGGGTCGTTACTAGGTCCTAGTCCGTCAGCTCTATGTCCTAATCCAAAAGAAACGGAAATGTGAACTCACACCCATGGCCATACTGCACATGGCAGCCCGTAACCAGTACTCCTTGACCGAGTACTTTGTCAGTGCCGAGCTCAGACTCCAGTCCGCCACGGTGGTATACAGCTCCATCGAGCGTTGGTACTCGCCCATATCGCCTGATAGTTCTGCGGCCTGCTGATAGCATTGGTTTGCGGTACTACCATATCAGCTGCGTTTCTGGGGTACGAATTGAGCGCAAGCAAGCTCACGCATTGGCATCCTCTTGCTTGTACCAATCTCCAGCACGAACAAAGCTGTCTCGGGCTTTAGCAATGTCGAGGCCGTCCTGCGCGTAGATACCCGCAATCTAAGATCAGCGCCGCCTCTTGGTACACAGCAAAAGACACACCTCCTTCTCCCTATCGGCCGCCTGCCGGAAGTTGCCGGCCTGGATGAGAAGCTTGATAGCTTGGTGCAGCGCAGAGACAGCAGCTAGGCCATCAGCTAGGGCTCACTATGACATAGCATCCGACCGTTCAAATAGACAGGCCACAAAGGATGTCCCGGACGTACCCTCGGGATTAGTCTTCTTGTACGCATTCGCGGCGTTCTTGTAGGCATTCATAGCGTCGTTCGCCTCGTTGGCGTGCTGCCGACATGATGCTTCCCTATTTTTTGTGAGCTGCAGTCCCCCTCACTGGCGTGAGCAGTGTGGGTCAGCTTACCGCTCGAATGCCGCCCCCGCTTCATTCCACCGTTTCTCGACTTTGAAGGCATTGGCAGCCTGGCGGTTATCAGTTTGTGATCGTCGCCTTGGCCTCCACCCGTGTCAGGCCATAGCTCAGATAGGCGACTCTGTCGGTAAAGGCCAGGCGAGACGAGACCCACCTGGGTAAACAGATCTCCTGCTTCTTCCCATTTCGAGCTTGAACTGCCAAACCAGCCGACGCTGGATCCTGCTTTCTTTTCGGCCTTGGCGAGGAATTCTTCTCCGTTTGATTTGGGCATTGCGGATGTGCGTAGCTGGTCTAGGTAGGGTTAGATACTGAGTGATAGAGATGAGAAGGGTGGAGCTAGAAGCTTGGCTTGCAGCTGCGGTGACGCAAGGCAGAGGTCCACGTGGCGTTCTCGGCTCTACGCGGGCAAGGGGTCCAATCTCCGCTTACTAAGCTCATCATCAAGAGAGCTCGAGCTCAATTGAGTTGTTGCTGCCTTTATTCTCTCTTGTCTTCTCTCCGCCCGCTACCTGACATCCATTTGCTGTATCTACCTTTACCGCTCACCGTACCGTTCTGACAGCATTGAACCTGAACCCGGGAATTTATCGTCAGAAAATACAGCAAAATGGCTTCACATCTCGCTAGCATCTTGTAAGTCCCCCTTCGACCTCCACTTCCCACCTGCAGCTGGCTTCCCCTCCTCCACTTCCACTTACAAACATCACCGTGACTCTTGATTTCGGCTCGCAAGACACACGCTGACACCTCCAGCGGCACAGAGCAAGACCGCGTCAACTGCTCCTTCTACCTCAAAATCGGCGCCTGTCGACACGGCGACCGCTGTTCGCGCAAACACATCAAGCCCCAATTCTCGCAGACGATCCTTCTGCCGAACGTCTACAACAACCCCGCGCACACGCCCGAGGGGGCCAAGATGGGCCAGGCGGAATTGCAGAGGAACTTTGATGCGTTTTATGAGGACTTTTGGGTCGAGTTGTGCAAGTATGGGAATCTGGTGGAATTGCATGTAAGTGGGGCCTTCGTCCGGGGCCTGTGAGGAGTCGGGTGTCGGAGGCGGTGTTCTAGTGATGGGTTGCAGGAGGCTCTGGAGACAGTGGATGCGGTATGAGCAGGATGGCGAGTGGGACCGGCGGAAAGCTCGTTAGAGGAAAAAGGAACTTTCCAGAATATCGCACGCCGGATTCTCGTGTGAGCCCAGCTGACCCGCAGGTATGCGACAACGTAGGAGATCACCTCATGGGCAACGTCTACGCGCGCTACGAATGGGAAGCGGAAGCTGGACGGGCAACGAACGAGCTGAATGACCGGTGGTATGCTATGCGACCGCTGCATTGTGAACTCAGCCCGGTATCGGATTTCAAGGAGGCTTGTTGTCGCCAGAACGAGCTGGGCACGTGTACACGTGAAGGGTGAGTCTCTCTCTTGCCGGGTCCATACTGGGGGGCGGGAGGTAGTCGAGGGCAACGATGAGGGAAAGATAGGCTGACTCCGCAGATTCTGCAACTTTATGCACCTGTGCCATCCGACCAAATCACTCGTCACCTCCCTTCAATCAAGTCAACGCATGTCGCGTCGGAAAGCAGCAGCCGCGGGGCTGGAAGATAAAGACGCTGGAGGGCATATGGGGTGGACACCGGGCGCGGCCAAGGCGAGGCAAGGGGGCGGAAGGAGGGATTGATCATTAGGCCCGGGGCGGGGGAGATGATCTGTGTAGAGTATTCTGTATTGGAGAAGTATTCGAGATGGTATGAAGTCATCAAAGTAATCTCAGAGCTCGCGATTATGCAGTAGCCTACTGTGGATGTATGTCATGCATACATCATGGTCACCTTGGAGGTACACCGTCTGATAGTGAATATGAACAAGTTAAAACAAGTGAAGCCTAGCTAGGTTACACAAAAGATACAACATGGCCCGATGGCGAGAGCGAGGCGAATGGAAGAGAGACGAGTCGGTACTCGAGTCTCAATGCGTCGATATCGGTGCGGATCCAGCGCGAGACCGCTAGCATTGCGGTCGGATCAGACGACGACACCCAGCACCGCCTCCACGTCGTCCTCGGTATCGGTACCTGTTTCCATCTCGCCTAAATCGTCAAGCTTGTCCATGCGGTTCCGCTCCTGATCTGGCAGCTCGCAGTCGGAGCGGCAAGTGAAGCGATAAGAAGAAGTGAAGGGGATGGGTGCTTACCGTCACTCGACGCTTCCGATACTGCCTCTTCTCCGCCAGTCCCAGTGATCAGAGCCGCTTCGTCTCCCTCGTCCTCATCATCGTCATCGTCATCATCCTCATCTTCATCCTCCGCGACCTCGCTCGACCCCTCCCCATCTTCACTGACCTCCCCCGGCGCCCCTTGCTCCATATCCCACTCCCCTGCGCTCCCCCCCAACCCGATCCAATTCGCCCCATCATCAAACCCTACTCCCTTCCCGCTTTCCTCTGGTAGATCCCCCCTCAAATCCACCTCTACAGCACTCATGACCTGTTCCCCCTCCAGCCCATCCTTCTTGGCCGCAGCCTTGCCCGCGCCCGAATCCGCCCGGAGAACATGCTGCAGCCCACACGCTTTACCGCGGGAACACCGCCCGTGCTCGCGCCATTCCTGGCACTCCCAGACATGGAGATTGGGGCATGTCCCAGCCGGAGCGGGACACCATCGCTCGCGCGCAAACGCCTCGCAAACAGGTGCGGTGGGCGAGACGCGGATGTGCGGGTACAGGCAGGTCGGGTAGTGGCATGTCGACGTCGCCTGGAAGCGGACGCAGGAGGGCGTGTTGTGCGAGGAGGGCGTGTGCGAGAGGGTGCATGGGACACCGTCGTGCGGTCCGCGGTTTCGCAGGAAAAGCGGGCAGATGGCGAGCCGCTCAGGGTCGTGCTTGTACGGGCAGACATTGGCTCGCGTGCATTTGCCTGTAGGGTCGAAGATTAGCATGAGAGTTAGTAGCATCATCAGGCGGGAGCGGAGAAAAGGCACAGATGAGGTGAACCGGACGAGGATGCGGAGAAGGAAGCGAGAAGAAGGGAGAAGCAAGTGTCAGTCTCGCTCGATACCCTTCGATGGACATACCCGTCTTGGTGAAGGTGGGGCAGTATTCTCGGACAGGCCGACTGATGAGTCAGCTCAGTCCGAACATAACTCGCGGATATATTTTCCAACTGACCTTGGCGTGGACACAAGATTGCCGAGATTGGTGCGCCTGAAAGAACCACCCTGAAAGTCCAGCTTTCTTCTCGTCGGTGTCGAGTTGGCCGCGGATGCAGCAACCTCTGCAGTGAATGAGCTCTCGAGTACGCCGAGCGAACGAAGTTCCTCTCTTCTTTAGCTCACCGCCTATCCGCGTCAACTTCTTGCCTCCTGGCTCGAATTGGAAGATGACGCCATCCACCACGACCTGCTGAGATCCATTCGGCGTAGATGTCGAATTTAACATCTGGATCTGGGCAGGCGCTGCTCGTTTGCGTGGACGATATACCGGGGGGACGTAAGTCGAGTTGAGCTGTTGTCTGCACGGAGTCAGCTTGACTCCCTAACAAAGTCCAAAGCACATGGGGATCGAAGAAGCTCACCGTTTCTCCTTGGTCATAAGGCTCATATTCGCGCCATTCGACTTGATCCATGATGAGGCCTTTCCAGCAGCCTTCGCCGGCGGTGCAGGTACCGCGGGCACTTTGGTCGAACCTGGAAGATCGGGAGAAGGCGTTGGAGAGACTTCGCCATCCTCCTTTTCTTTTGCGCTCAATCCTGTATTGCTAGTCGGTGGCCCTGCTTCCGATGTAGCGGCTGGTATATTGGTCGACGGGCCAGCCGAAGCATTCGCAGAAGTCGCCTTGGCGCGATTGATTTCTCTCAAATCGAGCCGGGTCGAGCTGTAGGTACTGCCGCCTCTGCTTGACCCTCGACCTCGGCTGGAGCTGCCTCCGCGGTAGGTGCTACCCCGTGGAGGGCGATAGGGGTGGTAGGCGGTATGTGAGCGGGGTTGGTATGTTGATGACGAAGCGGTTGAAGCGGAAATGCGGCCTGCCAAGTTAGCTGTCTTACTCCTCCAAGTGTTTCCAATCTGAGCGGGCAGAGTGGTATCCGTAGAATAGCGAGAGCTAGGAATGCCTCGTGCACCGTCTTCTGCTTTGTTTGAAGAAGCAGAATCTCAGAGGAAATGGGAGAAGGAGGGAGACGTACCAGACAGTTTTGCGATTTCCTGCTGCAACAGCAGCTTCTGCCTCTCTGCTGAAGTCATTGCGGTCAAGAGGAGGACTAAGTGACTCTTCTGGATGATCCTCCTAAGGATGAAGGTTATGGCAAACAAGGGTGAAGGGGAAGAAAGGAGTAGTGGTTGGAATTGATTGATCAGTTGATCAGAGAGGCTGGGCTGACTGGACCAAGACAATTCCATTAGGATTATTTGATCCCGCTAATACCCACCCCCCAATCTCCCGCTTTAGGCAATTTGGCCAGTTTCATGTTTATGATCCGTGCGCTGAAGTGGGGGAAAGGAAGGGGAGGAGTGGGGGAAGAGCCTCGAGGTTGAGCTAGGGGCGTGTGTGTGTGTGTGCGGTCGCCGCTTGGAGACGCGTCTGTTCCCCTCCCTCTCTCTATCTCTTTCCTCTTTCTCTTGACTTTCTACATACACCTCTTTCCTATACTTTCTTCGGCGCTCATAAGATGTTCTTCGAGGACGCCAACTTTACAAAGAAGGACAGCCCGTGAGTACCGGATGCAGCTCTGGACCCCTAACGCCTGCTTGAAAAAGAGGGAAGGTAGTCGGCTGACGCTTCAGAATCGGTATAGCCTGGTAAGCTACCCGGTACCCCCTACCTCATGCGGCCTAAGCTTACTCTACAGGCTCCTCGCAACCCTCGGACCCAAGAATCAAGCCCGCAAGATCTCCAGGAAGGAACTCATCGCGTTCAACCTCGAGAAGGCATGCGAGTACATTTCTCAGCCGCCCGAGCCCCTTGCGCTGAGGACGAGTGCTACTCTGCTCTATGGTGTCGCCAAGTAAGCTAGCCTCTTCTTCGCGATCAGACAAGCAGAGAGGGAAAGCTGACGTATCAGGGTGTACAATCAGCACTTTGAGGAGTTCTACACGGTGGGTACCCGCTTTAGGTTCTCGTCTTCCTTCCTTCAGTTCCCCTTTCCTTCTCCCAGCTCTCTTCCTCAGCTTGTCGGATGTCTGTTCTATGCACTTCCCAGAGCTGAGCCAATCTGTAGAACGTCAATACCTTCCACACCACCCTCACCCGCAGCATCATCACCGACTTCACGACCGGCGGGAATGGAGGTACAGGCGGAACGAGGGGTATTGACCTAAACGACGACGGTAAGAGCAGGTAAGCTCTTTACCGACCCCGCATTGTCGGTGGAGAATCAGCAGCTGATATTTCAGGATCGACCAGATCACGTTCGGCGGTATCGACCTCGGATGGCAGTCAGGTCTTGACTTCAACTTTGGTCTTATTGTAAGTTGCCCGGCGCTCGGAGAATCGCACCTAGCCTTGCGCAAAGCATCAGCTCACGCTCCAGGACTGGTCAAACCCCCTTGGGCCTGCCCGACAACGCCGCGCCAGTTCCAAGCTCGACTCGCAGCCGTCTCAGCAGTCCGCCAACGGCGAAGAAGAAAACGAGGAGGACGAATATGCGTCAGACGATGAAGCAGGCGTTGCGCGAAAGCGAGCGAGAAGTAAGCTACTGCTGTCTGTCATGTACGCTGTTTGATGGCTCAAGCTGACCTTACAGGCGACTCCACTCCAGGCGTCCACGACCACACCCGCCGGATCACCTCCATCCACCACCGCTCCGACCGCATCACGCCCCAGCTGGACGACTTCCAGCCTCCCATCGACCTCGACCTCGGTCTAGATGACTTCGCCGACAACCCCGACACGAGCTTCTCCATGCCTGGCGAGGCGTTTGGGGACAACATGGGGGACTTTCAGTTTGATGCGGGTGCGGCGGACTAGTAAGCTGGGTTTGTTCGATGGGTGTCGGTCACATATAGCTGACTTATCAGCAATATCGACCGCATGACTCCCCAGCAAGACGACCGTCAATCCTCTGTCGATCCCGAGGGCAACATCATCGCCGCCTCTGGGACCAAGAGCGCTCTCAAGAAGCGCCGTCGGGGGTCTGACGAGTCTGGCGAAGACGAGGAAGAGGAGGCGGAGCCGCTCGAGCGGAAGAAGAGGGTCAAGAAGCAGCGCAAAGTCAAGTGGGATCAGGTACGTCTTGTCTGCTTCCAAGTCACCATTTGGCCTTCAGCTGACCAACTAGAGCCTGGAGATGTCTGATGAGGACGAGCGGAATGCGCGTCAGAAGTATGCAGAGAACATGGAGGCTCAAAGAAGGGAGATGTTGGCGAAGGAGCACGAGAAGGCTGTACAGGGCAAAGCAGACCAGGTGGTCGATAGTGCCGGTGGATGGCTTGAGTGTGAGTTAACGCGAACCCTTTATCTGCAAAGCTGACGATGTAGTCTTCGATCCCGGCATGAAGGCCATGTTCGCGACCATCACCAAAGCCGGGAAGTGGAAATGGGAGCTCGACGTCGCTGCGCAGCGAGCAGGCAAGAAGTTTGTCCCTGAGGAAGAGGAGGAACAGCGGGATGGGCCTGTCCATGATCAGGCTCAGGGTCAAGATGGGAATGACAACCTTTACAATGATGAGTTCGATATGGGGCAAGGTCAGCAGGGGGATGGGCCGGATATGACGCAGTTTGAGGTGAGCTTTGTCGGCGCCTCCCAGGCGAGGTCCACAGCTGATTCCTATAGAGCGGATACGAGGACGTGAGCTATCTCCTGGGCGAGGATCGTTAGGAGACCAAGCTGACGCTCATTAGGTCTTCCACGACACCATGCAAGAGATCGTCGATCCCAATAGCAAGCCGCGTCGGAGTCAGGTCAGTTGTCACCTTGTGGGGGAATTATTCCAGAAGGATATGAGCTGACCAGCCTAGTCGACCGATGTCGAGTTAGGCCGAAGGGCAAGTCAAGCTAGTCAGGTCGTTCTGCCTGTAAGCTCAGTCTTGTGCCTCCCTGGTCTGGCAGAGCACAGCTGACATAGGCAGTGGCACGACAGCCGATATGAAGACGACAACGGTCAGTACATTTCATACCGAGTACTCTGCGATAGACCGGGGTTGATCACCAGACTTCGCCGCTGCTCCCGACTCTGGCTTCTCACCTGGCAGTCTCCACTTCAGCGCCATGACCCCTCAAGAAGCTAGGTGAGCTGTGTTATGCGGATAGTCTTTCATTGTCTGGACTCGTAGCTAACAGACAGACTTCGACTCTACTCGCGCAGCAAGTCCGGTACCGGCTCGCGTATCCCTACTGGCCCGCTCGGCCGTCGGGGCAGGTCTCGGTCTGGGTCGGTATTGCAGGACAGGGCAGGTGGGCCGGGCGCGATGCTTGTGGATGGACCAGAAGATGAGAGCTGTGAGCTAGAATGTGGCGTCCACTTGCTCGAAGGCTCACAAGCTCACGACTCTCAGTGCCGGCGCAGGAAGTCCTGGACCTAGCAGAAGAGCCCAGTCAGCTCATCAGCGACGTTCCCGACGCGTTCAGGCCCGAAAGTCTTGCTACTATCGAAACGCAGTGCCGAAACTTCTTGACGTGAATCAGCTGTACCGGTCGCGTTGCACTTAAGGCCTGTCAGCTGATAATTATCAGCTACGTTGAGAAGAAGATGATCAGCAATAAGACGGACGAGGTCGACTTTGACGATGTTGTGGACTATAAGACACCCCGCCGGGTCGCTGCTACTGCTTTCGTGAGTGCTTCTCGACAATCTTGAATCCTGCGAGGTATGGGCGCTGACCCCTCGCAGTACAATTGCCTGAGTACGCTGCGTAGCGCTGTCTATTCCCGAATAAGCGCATCAGCTGATGTCACAGCACTCGCCACCAAGAACCTGCTCAAGGTCGATCAGGCCGAGGCATTCGACTCCTTCTCCATCCGCTTCACCGCCTAGACGGCATCTCTCATTCCCTCCTCCAGCCCAGCAACGCATTATCTGCCTCCATCAGTACCATCATCGTCATTCCTCACTTTGAGCTTCCGGTCTCGACCGCCTTTGTATAAGTATCGTAGATCACAAATCATGCCAGAACCAGAATTGTAGGCAGCGCCTGCCTCACCCATGCATTAAAGTACAACTAGACAGTCAGCTTCTACTCTCAGCCTCCCTTGAAAGGGAGGGGAAGTGGGAGGGAAGGGGGAGGGGGAGGGGAAGGGAAGAGCTGACCATAAAGAATCTTCCTGAAGGTGTTCCCTGGCTCACCCTTGCCTGAACCCCATCACTCCTCCTCCTCCAAACTCCTCCCCACCTCCTTCAACCCCTTTCCCCCAATAATCATCCCCATCGCCTCATCCCGTATCCCCATACCCCCCTCTTCCAATCTCGCCCCCTTATCCGCCCTTCCCGGCCCATCCTCCTCCACCTCCTTCTTCTTACCCCCAATCGTGAACTTCAACCGCTTTGCGCTTCCTCCACCGACAGCGCCGGTGCCGGTAGGTGCAAACGGATTCGGTGAAGGAATAGTAATCATCGGGCTGAGCGGTTTGCGTTTGTTATTATTGTCCGTCTGGATGACATCGCCAAAGACCATATCCCGATCGGCGAGCTCTTTGTTTGCTTTGAGGGATTTGGATGCGCGGAGGGAGGCTTCTTGTGCTTCTTGACGCTGTTTTCGCTGCAGGTACCTGTTACTCAGCTCAGTATCGCGCGCATCACAAACTACTTGCCAGATGTGACTCACAAAGCAGTCCCGGGCGTCTTTTCGGGATTGGTACACCCCCTCAAACGTTTATCCACCCCCTTCACCCCCTTGACATCCACTTCCGCCTCCCCCGCTCCATCTACGCCCACACTTTCGATCGCCGACTTCACATCCTCTAGTATCTCCAGCAACCTCTCTTGCGACATGTTATACGCCGTTGGAAGGGTGGAATAGCGCCAGTCCAGGAAGTTCCGCACGATCGATGGGGCAGAGAGTGACCAGCACCCAAGGGCGATCTGGGAGGGCGTATGGGTGAATTCGAGGTCAGTCAGGCGGGATCGAGAGAGCGCGAGAAGGGTACTCGGGAGAGCGGCTTGGAGGGCGGAGATAGGAGGAGAGGGTTGTTCCTGCTGATCAGCAAGACTTAACCATGTCATGCCGGAGAGACGCATACTTGGAACTCGAGGAACCATCCCCGTACGCCTTTATCCGCACCTCGGACCCAAAATTCAAACGCCAGACTCTGAGCGACGAGGAACTCGGTATCGATAATATCCGACGCCTGGAGCTTGGCGAACTTGGGGATAAAGGCGTCTATGAGAACGGGGTAGTTGGTTGTCTTCGCGGCGAGGAAGAGGCAGGTCGGCCTGACTGTCAACTTGGACTTCATGGGGCGATGAGAAAGTACGAGCAGCTCACATGATGGTCTTTGGATGCCACTCCATCACGCTATTCTTGAGGTAAAACCTCTTCAGATAGCTGATTGCCGTCGCCTCAACCACCTCTGGTAACCCAAAACCATGTCGACAGATCTTGGAGACCTGGATACAGTAGAAGCGAAGCAGGAGGAGCTCATCATCGACCGAGAGATATGCTGCTGCCGGAGCGGGCTCTGTTGGATTGTGGTTGAGCTCTATTTGCGCTTTCTGACGGGTCAGCTGACAATCCTCCTAGCACAGAGAAGCGATACGACTAGCTTACTCGCTCAAGGTCCTGATTCCTAGCTACCACCTCGACGGACTTTCTGTTCAGTTCCGACCGGATCTGAGCGAGCTGTTCGGGCGAGTATCGCCAGTGTCGGAATTGCGAAGACTCGTGGTATGTTGACGGGCCGGGCTGGAAGCGGGCTGTCGAGGGGCCCGCTTCTGCGTTGGCTGACTCAGAGATGATGGCTGTAGTCATTGCTGGCAGGGTCCTTTGTAGAGTCGTGCTATATGTAAGATAAAGTAGACAGAGGAGCTTTGCTCAAGCTTTGCTTTGCTGCTCTTGGCTGCGCGCAAAGGTGGTAGCGATCTGTGTTGGTTCCGGGGGCGATTTAAGCGGCGAGAACGACTGGAGCGGTGACGCCGAGCTGACTTTGTCCATCATCGACCTATCTACAAAGCTATACCTATCCCCCTCTTCGCTCCTCTAACTTCGCCCGCACATCTCACTCGCGATCCGGCGCAAAAGGCACGATCAGCAATGCGTCTCCACGCCCTTCCACTCCTCCCTCTCGGACTCCTCCCCCTCTCGTCCGCCTTCAAATGCCTCCTCACAGCTTCCGACATCACCTACGATATTTCCCCACTAGGGAACTTGCGGACGACAGATAGCGAGACGGATACGCCGCCGACAAGGAGTGCGGCCAGGGTCAGGATGGATCTCTGTGGGAAGGGTGTAGGAGAGGAGGATGGGGTGGAGGATGAGGATCAGGTGAGCTGAGGAAAGAGCAAAGGGAAGCTGCAGACCTACAGCAGGGGATTTGCCCCATCCCTTTGGCCTATAGCTGGCTCTATGCCCCTAGCTGACCTTTGCTGACGCCCAGTGCCCATCAAAAGCCCGAGTCTGCCTCAAACTCACCAATATGAAACCACCACACGCCGAGCGGGTCACCTCGGTCGTCCCCTTCTGGCTCACAGATACGTCCGACGACGACGTCTGGACCACACCAATGGGGAAGACAGGGCAGGACGGGCTCAAGATATGGGTCGAAGGACCAGAGTATGCTGGGTGAGCTCAACGGTCGTCATTCTTGCCTTAGCCCCTCGCAGCTTATACCACAGCGCCCCACAAAACCTAAACCTTACCCTCCTATGCGACAAATCAGCGAAATCGACTGAACCTCAATTCGTTTCATACACTGCCGGATGTCTTTCGCTGGAATGGGCCTCACCGGACGCATGTCCTCGAGACGGGGACTACGAGAAGCCGCCAGGTACAGGCGGGGGCGGAGAGGACGGGGATGAGGAAGGCGGTGGAGGGTCGAGTAGCGGAGGTTGGGGGTTCTGGGGGTTGATGAAGTTCTTGTTCTGGATGGCCATTGTCGGGCTGATGGGGTACTTTGCTATCGGTAAGTCAGCGCTCATGCGATACTATCGATACTCGAAATGCCGCAGAAAATAACCCGCAGGAATTTTCTACAACCGCCAACAATATTCGGCAAGCGGATGGGACATGATACCTCATCGCGATTTCTGGCGTGAAGTCCCGACAATAGCGCAAGACCTGGTCGGGTACGTCTTTACCAATGTGCGGAATAGCGGGCCGGGCGGAAGAGGGGGGTATAGCAGTCTGGGCTGAGACTGGGGATCGGATCTAATCATTATAGATAGCCTAGTGTATATACGATCTACGTGATACATCATTAAAGAGATCGATTCGAGATATTCCTCCGGCCGCAACCATACTCTACGCCCTCGCCTTCATCCCCGCCAGTACCCGCTGCATATCCACCCACTCGCTATCCCGCGGCTGCACCAGCTTCTCCGCCAACTCGTACACGTAGACCTTGCCATCCGCTCCGCCAACTGCTGCTTTTCGAGATAATGGTGTCCGGTCCCACGCGAGTTTGTTGAGCGCACGAGGGGAGACCGTAGTGGAGATGTGTGGGACCTGGAAATCAGCCAAGTTTCGATGAAACGACAAGCACATACCTCTGTATCCTGGTTCAGATTCCACAAATCGAACTTGCCCGACCCATCTACCGCGCCGAACATGGCCGGGTGGTGCGGGTGCCACTTGACATCAAAGACATAGTCATCCGCCGATTCGAAGGAATGCAATGACTGCTGCCCGACCGCGGCTTCTTTCGACGTACTGACGACCCGTTCGCTCGCCGACCTACTGTATGCCGGAGCCGCGGGCTGCGAGGCTGCTTTCTGAGCCGCGCCCTTCCCGCCCGCCCCGGCCCGCCAGAGCTTGACGCTCCAGTCGACCGAGGACGTGAGGAAGAGGTCTCCAAAGTCGATACTGCCCGTCGAGGGGTGGAAGTGCAGGCCCGTCACAGGTCCCGCGTGGCCCCGGTAGATATCCCCTGCGGAGGTGGAGATCCCGGCTTTGCGCGAGGGCTGGTCGTATCGGTTTGCTTGGTATATCGAGCCTTCTTCGGTCCCGACCCAAAAGGTGCTGGTTTCGGAGTGCGGGAAGTCTAGGGCGGTGATGGAGACCTCGTCCGTCTTGCTGTGATTTGGTACGGTCAGGGGTAAGGCTTCCTGCATAGGTCAGCTTTGTCCACCAGCTGTGACTGAGGATGACCTACCTGGGGCTGCGCCAGCATGTCCGCCAGCCAGCTGCACACCAGACCATCCGTACTTGCCGATACCAAGCTGTTGGCGTTCTGCGTACCGACCATCTTCATCGAGTAGATTGGGTACGTATGTCCCGAGGCAGATAATGGGGTCTTGAGGACGGGGAGGTGCTTGGCGCGAGTGTCCCAGAGGAGTACCTGGCCGGAATAAGAGCCGCCAAAGACGAGAGTGGGGTGGAATGGGGAGAACGAGATGGAGAGGATATCCGACTGGTATTGTAAGCTTGTCTGCTTCGGCCAAAGGTCGAGTAGGATGAGCAGAGCTTACCGGTGAGTGAAAGATAAATTCTGGTCTTTCCAGAAGATGCAAATTCCATATAGCTACGATCCCGTCTGGATCGTTCGGTGCTGCTGGATTTTTGTTGTATGATGCGGCAAGCAGCTCTGGGAACTGGCGCAGTCAGCACAACATCCGCGATTGGAGGCGATAGGTGGCGTACCTTCGAAGACCAGTCCAGACCTGTGACTGATCTCCCAGCCGTCCACCGCTCGTCCGAAAAGGTGCAGACTAGTTTGACTTTCTGCCCGTCGGCGTCATCACTGTGCAATTAGCTATGTGACTTATCTCTTCTGCATCATTCGGACTCACAACGCCCCATCCAAGCCTATTGTGTAGTCCTTGACATAGTCATAACCATCACTCAACGCCCTTTGCGCTATTCTCGTAGACGCCTCAATGAATGCTGAAAAGTCTGGAGCAGTGAAAATCGCCTGCTTCTGCTCAGATGTAAGATCTGCATGCATGAGCTCATGACCAAGGCGCATACCAAGGGGAGTGGCTCACCTCCCAGCTTCTCTTCTCTCTCCTTCAACTCCTTAATCTCTTTTTCTACCTCCCCCCGTTCCTTCTCTATCTCCTCCAATATCCTCCGCCGCATCTCATCCTCCGTTTCCCGCCCGCTCCCTCCGTCTCGTCTTTCCCGACGTGCACCATCTCCTGCTCGCCCATCTTCTCCATCCGACTCGATATCTGAGGTCGATGTGCCTGTCGACATACTGGCCGTCTGCGTCGACTTTGAGTATAGTACTGGCGCCGGTTTTGCCTGTGTGTCAGCTATTTCCACTGAGAGACAGGAAGGGTGCGAGACATACCTTTGTAGGCAGTTCGTACAGCTCAGCCGAATGATCCACATAGTCCACTCCAGATGATAACGGAGACGCCGCTCTTTCCCTCGTCCCATCAGCTTTCATCCTCTAAGGCAAATCAAAGACTTACCGTATCACATCAGCAGGATTAGCTAAACCAGAATCCAATCTCTCCCTCCCCTGTCCCCCACTCCCGTTACTGAGTCGACTGATCCTCCCGCTCGGTGTGGGCGGAACACTTCCGGGTGGTGTAGAGACACCATTGACGGCCTGGCCGAGCGAGCTGGACGCACGAGCGGGATTAGGGAATTGAAGGGGTGTGGACCGGCCTGGAGTCGATGCGTAGGGCGATGCGGGGCGTTGGAGGAGAGAGTCGACGAGGTCGTTCACGTCTTTGCGGGATGTAGTCAGAGGCTGTCCCTGTCAGCCTAGGAGCCAGGCTCCTCTACGGAGGGGGGATGTAGCTCACGGTGGACTGAGAAGGTCCGGGCGCAGATTCCGCCTGGGCGAGCAGAGCTTTCCGCTCGTCTCTTGCGCGACGCAGCTCAGCTAATTTGGCCCGCTTTTCGTCGATCTCTTGTCGTCTCCTGTCTGCCATAGTGTGCTCAAGATAGTGGGCATGAGATAAGGGGATGCAGGAGTGTCAAGCAAGGCATCGTGCATCAACATCGACCTCAAAGCGCGTCCGACAGGCGCGTGTTTCAAAGCCACGTGGGACGAGGAATGTGTATCCTCGATGATGAGACTAGATGCCTGATCATGATCAGATGGCCCTGAGCCTGGCTCCAGGCTCGGTGGGCTGCATGTCGCAGCGGACTGACATTGAGGGAGCGGCTGATCATGATGCCTGAGTGACCTGCATAGAACCACTCAATCTAAGGGACGAACATGACTGCACGATCGCATATCAAGCCCTAGCTACCCGCTCCGCGGTCCCATCGGCATTAATCTTCTTCACGACTCGTGCAGGATTCCCGACTGCCACAACCCGATCTGGAATATCCTTAGTGACCACTGAGCCAGCTGTGACCGTCAGTACAGCCTCTATACTTTGGGCAGAAGGAGTGATACACTCACCCCCGATAGTTGTGCCGTTCCCGATTCGGCACGGTCCGACGATGACCACGCTGCCACCGATCCAGACATCATCGCCGATGATGATCTCCTTGGCCCACTCGGGACCTTGCAGGCCGTTCCGAGCTTCGGGCGAGATGGGATGGGCAGGGGTGTAAAAGGAACAGTTTGCGCCGACCATCGTCCGGTCGCCGAGCGAGACTGTCTCCTCAGTATGTTTGGGCTATACAGACGGGCCGGCCGGACTTACTTCGAGTCACGTCGATAAAGGTACAGCCTGGCCCGATATAGACTTCGTTCCCGAAAGACAGATTGAAGCCCTGTCAAGGTCAGTTGCTCTTCCGGTTGCCCCGTCACAAAGGACAAGCTGTTCACTCACATACTCGCTAGGCTAGTCAGCTGCATTCATCCTTATAGTATATCGCACCTACAACATGAACGGCGTCATGATATATACCTTCCTCTCGCCTTTTGGGGGCATACCCACCACGCCATCCAGCACGTCCATGCGCTTGTCGGTATCTCTGATCGAGTTGAACTCGTACACCTTATCTTGAGCGACGTCTCTCAGGCGCATGATGTAGGGGTCTACCGCAATGTAGGGCTCGCCGCGCTGCATGACTTCGAGCATATGGGTGGTCTCGTCGCCTTGTGGAGGGGGAGCGTTGACTGTGATGGCGGGCATCTTAGCGGGCTGTGAGGGATGTCAGAGTTCGGGTTGTGGATGGAGCAGAGAGGAGTATGCGCAGATGCAGGCTCCTGTCCTTATGGTCTAAGAAAAGGCTCTACATATGAGTTTTACATGGTCTCTTGGCTCGAGTACGCGTGGAAGATATGGTCCGCATCACATCTCCGCACGATCGGTCCGACCTTCGGAGGCTGTGGGGCACCGCGGGACTCCACAGATCTAGCCGGCTAATCCCTGGGCCGGGACGACCATGACATTCCCAGCAAGCTAGTGAGTGGCACCTTGTAGACACTCGATCACGGTAGCGTCTTCTGTATTGGGGCATGGGGAGCCGGCTATTCCCATCTAGACATCGTACTTCACACTCGGAAAATGACTACCCAAGCAAGAATCACACCGACATCCGTGGCGGACGTTCTGTCTGACCATCAATGGAACACCCTCCTCGCGATCGCAGACGCCTTCGTCGGGACCTCCACAGCATCTACCAACCCCCTCGAGGTAAATCCATCGGAATGCCCTGCCTTCATCGAGCTCCTGTCGGAAGCTCTGACCATCCGCCTCCCGCCCTCGTCGGTAAAAGAGATGGCGCTCTTCCTCTCCCTCGTTTCGGGCTACACCGGGTATGCCTTCAACGGGACCTCGACATATCTGTACGATCTCCCTCGTGACCAGGTCGAGGCGATCATCCAGGGCTGGATGCAGTCCAGACTCGCTCCGATCCGGACCGGCGCAAAGGCAGTCGGGAGCATCATTCGTAGCATGTGGATCAGGACTTGTCCAGATCTGCTGCCAGCGATCGGTCACCCCGGGCACATTGTACCCGCCCCCAAAGATCAAGGCGGCGAGGACCTGCTGGGTAGCGCTCGCTCGGCAGAGTTCCAAGGGGAGCAGGTCCAAGAGCTGATCACCGGCGTGCTCGTCATCGGCTCCGGATCGGGCGCTTCATCATTCACCCACTCGCTCGTCCGCAACCTCAAATCGCAGAATTGGCAGTCGCTCATCTCCTCCCCCTCCAACATCTCCGACGTCCTACTGTTGGAGAAGGGATCAAAGCGGACTCCTCATCCCAATGGAACGCCGCTCACGGGCGACGAGAACGAGGCGTTTGACAGCATGATGGAGAATGGCGGTGTCCTGATCTCGGACGAGGGGGCGATCCAGGTTGTGGCTGGCTCGACCTGGGGCGGCGGGTCGCGCGTCAACTGGAGCGCTTGTCTTCAGACCGACCGGATCGTGCGGGAGGAGTGGACCAAGCACATCATGAATGATATGGGCAAGACAGGGGAGCCGCACGGGAGGATGTTCCTCGGGAGGGAGTGGCAGGATTGCATGGAGCAGTGAGTCACTGCTGGGATTGAGCTGATGACAGTGTGGAAGACCAACTTGGTGTCCAGACGCCTGGGCCTGACGACCACAACGCCGCCAATCGGACCCTCATCGACGGCTCGCGCAAGCTCGGCTATACCGTCAAGGCTGTCCCGCAGAACATTTCAGGCTCGTTTGCCGATCATGCCAAGTGTGGCGCGAGCTGTACCATCGGGTGCCGGGGTCACGCCGAGGTCGCCGAGAAGAAGGGCAAGATGTCGGGGTGCAGGGCGTTCCTCAACCCGCTGCTGGCCGAGGGGGATGGACCGGTCGTGAAAGGGCTGGACGGGTTTGAGGTGGAGCGGGTGCTTTTGGAAGGAACGCCGAAGCGGGCGGTGGGCGTCGTGGGATGGGCCCAGCGCGGTCCGTCAAGGGTCAAGGTGGTAGTCAGGGCGAGGGTTGTAGTCGTCAGTGCGGGGACACTGAACAGTCCGGCCGTGCTTTTGCGAAGCGGAGTCAAGGTGAGTCATAGTCCGACCTAGCTGACGGTAGAACCCCCATCTCGGATACCATTTACACCTCCACCCCACCGTCATCGTCCAGTCGCTCTGGCCTCAGCCGGTCAATCCGTGGGAGGGCACGATTCTTACCACCGTCATCAACGAGTTCGCCAATCAAGATGGCAAGGGGCACGGCGTCAAGCTCGAGGCGATGTGCATGCTGCCGGCTCTAGCGCAGACTTACGTCCCGTGGACTGGGTCGGACGCCTGGCGGAAGCGGATGCAAGACTTCCCGCGCACGATGGGGCACATCGTGCTTTGTCGTGAGGAGGCTACTGGCCGGGTCTATGTGGACGGCAAGGGCAGGGAGCGGATCAGCTACGTCACAGGGAAGAAGGAGCGGGAGTGGATCCGGCATGGCTTTGAGGGGATAGCCAAGCTACTTCATGCTCAGGGAGCAGAGGAAATCTATACCAGCGGAGCGGGGCTGCCGATCTGGCGCAGGAACGGCAAGCATGGGGATTGGGCGGACGATCAGTCATTCCTTGACTTCCTCGAGGCGTACCGCAAGTCCGGATTCGACATTGATCGGATCAGCTTTGGCTCAGCGCACCAGATGGGGACGTGTCGGATGAGCGGAGCTCCCAGGTCAGGGGTGGTAGATGTCAGAGGCAAGGTATGGGGCATTGAGGGGTTGTATGTGGCGGATGCGAGCGTGTTCCCGAGCGCCAGCGGGGTCAACCCGATGATCACCACCATGGCGTTCGGAGAGTGGATCGGAAGGCGGGTCGTTGAGGGCTTGGTCAAGGGAGTTGAGGCGGAGGGGGTCACCCAGGCCAGGTTGTAATCAGTAGGATCAGTCAAATTTGTCGGAATCTAAGATTTGTAGTGATGTTGTGCCTGTTATATGTCCCGCTCAAACTCGTCCAGGAGCTTTCCTACCCTAATCCTTTCTCGCTCATCGAACATCCCCCCTACACCCCTTTTGACCAGCTGCACCATCTCCCTCTTCTTCAATCCAAAATGCTGCCCGACCAGCGCATACTCGTCCGACACCCACGCCCCAAAGACGCCCACATCGTCAGTCCCGATACTCATACCCCCTTGTTGGGCATACCACCAGCCAAAATGATGTCCGCCTGGATCCTTCGATGCGTCCGGCAACATCCCAGCGAGGATGTTACAAGTCAAGAGGAGCTCGACGGGGATGTTGCGGTCGAGGATGGTCTGGCGGATGTTTGGGGGGACGTGAATGACATGACCGAGGCGGGAGGGATGATAACCGAGTAGTTGGGTCAGTTCGGCGTCGGATGCGCGGGGCACCTCGGCAAAGTGAAGGGAGATGGGTAGGTTGGAGGTGTGTGCGAGGTCAAAAGCGGCTTGATAGTCCGGCAGGGGTCCGTGCGGGTCGCCCGAGAGGTCTACGCCAACGACGGGTAGGCCTTCCGCTCGCAGCCTTAAAGCGAGCTGGACGATCTCGGTGGCTTGATGAGGGGAGTGCTTGGACCGGTCGATTGACAGTATGAGGCGCGCCTTCAGAGCGTGCTCCGAGGCGTTCCAGGCGGTCATCACGTCCAGCACGACCCGTACAGCGTCCTCGGCAGACAAAGTCTCCGTCATTCGCCGAGGCGTAGTGCGTATTTCGAGGTAGACGACTCCATCGTTGGCGAAGTCTTCGAGTACGCCTTTAGTGGTATATGCGAGGGACTCGGTCGAAGAGATGAGGTGGTAGATGTAGGTGTTGAAGTGGGAAAAGAAGCTGCTACTTCAGCCCTGCCTTGACAACCGAAGCACTTGCCAACTATTCTCACTCCTTGATGCTCTGTCCTCTATCGCTCTTCGCATACCATACCTCAGGAGGTTCAAGGCCCTGGCCGAAACTTGGATCTGCCACTATGCGCTGGTTCCAGACCTCCTGCAGGCGCTGCGGCGTGACAGAGCCGGACAGGTGCGCGTGGAGCTACCGGTCTCGTCAGCCAAGTCACGGGAGATCAGCCGTTAGTAGCGAGACGCTGTCTCGACTCACTTCGATCTTGGGAAGGGCACGACAGAAGTTCAGACTTGGCTGTGCCGATTCACCCATCTTCAGGCAAGGGCAGAGTATGTCAAGACGCAACAGTGGTGCTGGGCCGAGGTTTGGCTCCACATTCCTCGGAGGAAATTGAGCTTCGCACAGATATCAGATACGCGCACAGACCTCTGCGTTGCCTCTGCGCTCTATCATGCTGGACCTTATAATGGACTACGGGGCGCCCCGCAATGTGTTAAATGAAGGCCGAGAGTATAAGGGTACACTCCAAACCGTCTCAACGAGATGCATACTACTTCTGATCTGAGCACAACCCGCCACGCCCGGCAAGCTCACACCGAGTTGGAATTATCCGCGCAAGAGAACGGTCTACGGGGTTAAGCTCAGCGCATAAATCTGAGCGCTAAACGACTTACGATGTGGTATTCCCGCTCTTCAGACTGTCGTTGATCGTAACACATGCTGCGTACGTCCCGGCCACCATGATGTAGAAGCCGGCGGCAATCATCAAGCTGTTGAGAACGACGAGGACTTTCCATCTTGTGGTGCGTTCGGCATCTTTGTAAAGCCAGATCCACATGTACCCTTCCAGGATACTACAACATCAGCTAGAGTCTCGCGATCCCGAAGATTGGACTCACATGCAAATGAAAGTGCCGAGTAAGGCACCGATCAAACTGAGCAAATCGCCGAAGAACGGGATGGCCTCTGCGATGATGAAGCTGATGGCGCAATTTCCAATCACGCAGCAGAGCCAGATCGTCCAGTGTTGCCATGTGGGAGTGGAGAGGTGCTTGCTACCGCGGAGGATGCGGACAAAGATGCCTTTCGCCGCTGAGGGATCAGCGTGGATCTGCAAATTGGACTCACGGAGATGGGTGTAGATGATGCAGCCGACAAGCAGTCCGGGGATGGCGATTCCGTAGCATACTCGCTTCATGAGAGGCCCTGCAGATCCAAGAGCGGGGGATGCAATGTATTGTCCGACGTAATGATAAACGACACAGCCGATGATCTGACCAGTCAGCGCCTGGACAATCGAGACCACTCACCAAGTAGACAGCAGTGACGAAAGCCTGGCATGTGACGACACTCTTGGTGTAGTCTCGCTGGTGCTTCATCTCGCCGACCACACTGACAAAAGTCGGCCCGCCTGCGTAAGCGAAGACGACAGTGTTACTGCCAGGTCAGCCAAAATTCGGGCGGGACAGGGCTGAGATAACCTACACGGCGTTCATAGCCTGGACGAAAGAGGTCTGACTGAAGGCGTTGACTTCCTTGGACCATGGTCCCGTCTGCGGAGCACTGGCCGGTCGGTCTTGTACCCCAACGGACACGGCCAGAGTAATGACCGCTGCGATGATGGATACGAGACCGACCCAACCGACCCAGGATATCCGGTCCAGTGTCCGGAGCGAGGACACCAGTGCGGTGGCTACGGCAGCGACAACGACGAATACCACGGTACATGTTCCGTGCAGCGAGACGGCGTTCAGACTGGTCTGATCAATAATGTCTCGATGTGCTGAGAACAGAACACTCACGCTGTTGCTACTCCCACGAAACCAGCCCCCGCGATGGCAGTCATTTCGAGCTGCTCATCAGCATGACCACTTCTTCTCATCAAGCAAGGATATACCCTACCCAGTAGAAGAAGAAGACGACCTCGCGTCCGATTGGTCCTGCCATGTGGTAACCAACACTGATATGTCAGCCTGAGCCCGATTGGGACGCGGCGTGAAACTCACTCTGCCAGCGTGTAGACATCTGGATGTCTCCGCTTGAACACCCCAATAATGTAGTCTGCCCCTGCGCATGGGTCAGCTCTGGCTCAATACCTTCAGGATACTGGATGTACATGTTGTAATGACAGCTATGACAAGCTGATGAATAAGCGCGAGTCGCAATGAAGAGCTAGGAACTCACGATGATTATGATTCCTGGTACCAGTCCGACATTGTCCATCACTAGCGGCAAGCCCAGTATACCCAGCCCGATCTGTACTCAGCTTGCATTCATGCGCTTCGGCTGGGCCTGACTCACTTGAGATTTGATCATAATGATGGCCGCGCGTACCCATGACAAGCTCTTATAATTTGGGCTGTTCCCATCCAGCTTGCCCCAGACGGCATCCACCTCCTCCGCACCCTCGTTCGATGCTGGCCGGGACGCAGCATTCGTAGTATCCCCCTTCTTGTCGTGCAGGTTCCTAGGCGAAGGGGGGCCATTTATCGTTGGCGAGGGTGAAGACTCCATCCTGAACGAGATGTACAAAAGGCAGATGAGTGTCCGGAGCGACTAGTTTTCGACGGCCAGCACTTTTTTGGGCAGAGACAGATGTGAGACAAGATAAGACCTGGACGCGAGAGTTAGAGATAGAGATGTAACGCAGAGAAAGGCATAGATACGCCTCGACCCTCTCCCCCTTAGATACCCCACTACCCCTCGCGTTTAGACTGCCTGGGCCCCATGGTCGACGGCACTGCCGCCCATACTTTGGTCCAGTGAAGGATTTACCTCCACCTTTGACGTGTGTCGATGCTGTCATCGGCTCCGCTAGATCTCCGCGGCCGGAGCTTAAATCTAACTCCGACTCCACGTGTCGGTGCCACTGCCGCAAAAGGCTTTGGTCGGGGGCAGTCGCAAGTGTTCCCGAAGCCTGGAGAAAGCAATCACATACGCGAGACAAAGGTATACTCTACAGCCACATCTAGGCATCAATCAAATTCTCCTCCTTCTTCTCCGCCTTCTCGGCTGGCTTCTGTGCCTTGCCTTTCCGAGCGTAGAACTCGTTCAGGATCTTGGGGTTGATACGGTTCAAAGACTCTGCGATCGCGTCAGCTAGTCATTCAACATTGTATAGACCCCACATACCCTTGGGGAAGATCCGGAGCAGGTCCCAGGCGATATCGAGCGAGTCAAAGATACTCCTCTGTTCGAAAGAGCCCTGGTTGACAAACTCAAGCTCAAAGCGGGTGAGGAATTCGAGGGCGAGCTTGTCCTCCGCGCTCAGGGCTTCTTCACCGACAACACTCATCATCGAGGCGGCGTCTCGGCCCATGGCGTACTTGGCATACTGAGTTTGTCAGCTTCGGTGCCTCAAGAATGAGGGCTGATAGTCAGCTCACCAGCTGGTTGGACACGTCACCGTGATCCTTCCGTGTCAGTCCCTCTCCGATAGCACTGTACGTCAGCAAATTCCTTTATATCGGTAGGGAATCCGCATACCTCTTCATCAGCCGGGACAAACTGGGCAACACGTTGATAGGGGGCATGACGCCCTTGTTGTTGAGTTGACGGTCAATGAAGATTTGTCCCCTGTACCAGTCAGCTGCTTCCTTACTTGCTGTCCTGTCGGGCAGACTGACTCTGTGATGTAGCCGGTCAAATCAGCTAGATAAGTCAGTAGCCATTCATACAATAGGGACGTCAGGACGAGATGATCAGCTCACGGATAGGGTGGGTGATATCGTCCTGTCTTGTCAGCATAACCGCACAGTCAACCCGAGAGGTAAACGTACATTTGGCATGGTCAAGATTGGAATCTGCTTTGTCAGCGCTCATCCCTGAACAGCAACGGATCTACACACCTGGGTAATCGATCCTGGCTTCCCCTCTACACGTCCGGCTCGCTCGTAAAGAGTTGCCAAATCGGTGTACAAGTAACTAGGCAGGTCAGCTGAAATGCCGTTCGAACGGCGCGCAGCTTACCCTGGGTAACCACGACGACCGGGCACTTCCTCTCGCGCCGCTGAGACTTCACGCAAAGCGTCGCTGATTCCATTAGCGTCATGTCTGTCATCAAGATGGGGGGACTTACGCGTATGAACTCATATCAGTGATGACGACCAGAACCTGCTTGCCGAGGGTGTACGCCATGTATTCGGCGGCAGTCAAAGCGAGACGGGGTGTAATGATACGTTCGATGCTACATGATCAGCTTCGCACGCAGGCGGGGACGCAGGAGCCAGCTTACGTAGGGTCTGAAGCCAAGTTGATGAACAGGGTGGCATTGGCGATAGCGCCAGACTCCTGGAATTCCTGCAGAGTCAGCTTGGCTCGAGGAAGGGGTCGATAGTTGACTGACCCGCATGAAGAATCGAGCAGTCTCCTGGTTGACACCCAAAGCAGCGAAAATCAGGTAGAACTCTTCCTTCTCACCGCCCTCTTGTCCTGGCTGTTCGACCAGGCCGGCCTGTCGACAAATTTGGGCTGCGATCTAAATAATCAGCTGCTAGATCACCAATGGATCTTAGATACCGAGCTCACCTCGTTGTGGGGCAGACCGGCAGCACTGAAGATTGGAATCTTCTGCCCTCGGGCGATAGAGTTCATCACGTCGATGGTGGAGATACCTTGAACGTCAGCTGAGAATCTGGGCCTAGGTCATGCTAACTGACCTGTCTGGACCATCTGAGTAGGATATGACCGGGAGTAAGGGTTGCTGCGAGGTCAGTCGAATGTTGACTTTGCCTGAAGACCAGCACATACATGGGCATGCCCTGGATGTCAAGGAACTCAGTGCAGAAGACAGGGGGACTACATGATCAGCAGAGTCCCACAATTGCTATCTGATTGGGCTCACCCCTTGTCAATCGGCTTTCCAGAACCATTGAAGACACGACCTGGATGATCAGCGGAGGCCAAAGATGTAACGAGCAGGGACGTACCAGCAATTTCCGGAGAGACTCCGAGCGTCATTGGCGAGCCAGAGAAGGTGATCTTGGTGTCTTTGGTGTCGACACCGGTAGTTCCCTCGAAGACCTGCAGACATCAGTCTAGCCCCCAGGTCCTCCATCACAGACGTGTAATCACCTGTACGACGGCCTTGTCACCCTAGATAGTCAGCTTTGTCCACGCCAAGCCCGAGCGCCAATTCAGAGTTCTTCCTCAAAGATGCACTCACTGATACTTCCAGAACTTGACCAGTCCGGACCTCTCCGTTTGGCAGCTGGATGCTGACGATCTCGTTGTACTGCGCCATGGAGACGTGGTCGAGGATGACCAGCGGACTGCGGGCATTCAGCTATCGGGTCCACGTTCGACCTTTCCTCCCCTTTCCTCGTTCACCCCACCATGCGCAGGGTCACTTCTGTTGACGTGTGACTTTTCGCATCTCTGTTCTCTCCACCTCTCTCGCGTCCGGACTAAGAGGACATACCCGTTTACAGCAGCCACTAAATATCATCAGCGGCCGTTCCTCCTTTCATCCCATTCCGCCGAACCTTCTCACTCACCCGTCTGGTAAGACTTGCGCGGCTCGGCCGTGACGGCCTGAACGTGAATCTCCGCCATCTCCTTGTCGGTCATGCTCTTGGAGTCGGTCATCGTGAGGATGCGTTGTCTGGGTGGGAGTAAGAGTGTGAAGATGGTGCGTCAATGGGTTGCAGAGCTTGGTTCAGCCAAATGACGCTCGTCGTCAGGCACAACCGGGACCTTATTCGATCCCCCACTTACTGACCCAGCCAGCCCTGCAGATGGAGCAGATTCAAATGCGAGGGCTGCTGCTATATAGGGCCGACTCGAGAGCAGGCATGCATAGGAATATACAAGCGACTACAGGGTGACTGCCTCATCTACAGCGAGTAATATATCCGGGTCCTTGCCATCTGTCAGCGAGAGTTTGAGCTTCCGAACCAGCGACTCCTCCGGCCCCGCCTGGCTGTCCACCTGCTTCAAGAGCGTGACCATGTTCGCCTTCACCTCCCTGCTCGACACTTCCTGCCCCTCTCCCGGCGCCACGATCTCGCAAACTCTCTGCAGATGCGCAGTGAGCCCAGTGCGTATTGACGAACCTGGTCGTTAGCACCTCTCAGCCTGCAAACTCACTTGTCTCGGCCGAACCGAAGGTGACCGATATTGCAAGCGCAATGATGGACTCGTTCGCTAGCATGGGATATGGGCCGCTCTCCTTGAACATGTCGAGGAGGGCCGATAGGATCCGTGGATCCTCGAACTCGGGGACCACGTTCTTCTCGGCTGCTCCGGCGGAGGTGACGGACCGGATGGCGTTGACAAAGACCCGGGTGGCTTCGAAACGGATGGCAGGATCGTCTGCACGTTTGTACAGGCCAAGTATCTGATCTATGGCCTTGGGGTGCTCTGCCAACATAACAGAATTTGACACTACATGTCAGCGGAATCCATGATCTCATCTGAGACGAGCTCACCATTCCCTCTGCACAGATTCTTGACAATCCCCACTGCGCCACCCTGCACAGACCCCAATAGATCCCTCTCCTCAGTCCATACACCCAGCTCGACGAGCTTATCCAAAAGGTCCGTCCCGCCGAGAACCACCTTATTCGCCTCCGGAATGGAGAGATTGCGGATGAGGCCAATGATGGAGTGTAAGACTTGGGCGGTTATGCCGGGTTGTAGGATGTGGCGAATCGACGGTAAGAGAGATTCTTCTCCCTGGAGGAGTGCTGTTGCGCTGGCGTCTTCCCGGACGCGGTTACCGAAGGACAGGAGGGCGCAGCAGAGGAGATCATCCCGAGCGCTGGAGTTGAGCCAGAGGCGCATCCTAGACCAAAAGATGGCGTCGGTGGCTGGTATGGAGGAGCTGAGACCGACGAGGACGTTGATGACGTTGCCTTTAACCTTGGCGAAGGCCTTCTCGCCGGCCGCGGTCGCAGCCTCCCCTTCTACCGCCTCGTCTTCGTCATCCTCATCGACTTGATCACCCCGGGGCTGAGCGCATTCCACGAAGTCGAGGAGGGTCGACAATGGTACAGTAGACTCCGACGAGCTGGATCGCAGGTATGGCTCCGCGCTGACGGTCTCGGCGCCACACCAAGCGTCCAGTATGTCGGCCGCGGAGGACAACACCGCGATAGCAGGGGGTGTCCTTGTCTCATCCTGATGGGTGATGAAGGGAAGTATGATACCAGGGATGAGGTTGTCGTTCGGATTGTCTACCGTCAGCTCCAGCCGACCCTTGACGCACCTTCTAGAACATGCAGAAGTATTGCCCATGTCCAGCCCAAGACCTGCTCCCCGTCGTCCTCGGCTACTGCCCTCCCTAGCAGCTTGGCCGATACTTTCAGCACCGCTCGACTGTGCTCCTCCCGAGCGAGCTCCTTAACGGCCCGTTCTGTAGATCAGCTTAGAATACGCCAGCTAAAAAAAGAGACATACCATGCCCCTCCACGACCAAGTTCAACAAGCTAACCGTCAGTGCCTTGACGGCCGCCAGTGATTGGTCAATATCGGCACAGCACTGGGCTAGGATCTGGCAGCAGCTGTCGATGTAGCCTGAGTCGACTAGTCCATCCCGCCCGGGGTCATTGTTTGCGGCCAAGTTGGCTGCGACTCGACCGGCTTGCTCGATGAGAGCGAGGGGCGAAGCACATCCATGGCTTTTGGCAGCTTTGAGGACTGTAGTGAGCTGTCGAGGAAGGGCGGATGAAGTGAGAGCGCTGCGTGTCTCGCCTGAAAGTCAGCACGACAGGTCGTTTAGAATGCGAACCTACTTGACCGCAGCTGGACAGCGAGCTCGCTGAGAATTCCTGATGCTCCTTGGTGTGGTGATACCTCTTCTGTGCTGATGTTGAGCCCTTCCAGCTTCTCTACCAAGGCTAAGGCCTCGCTTGAGTTGGACATCTCGCTGATAGAGTCAAGTCATAGATGGTGGGCATCTGGGTGTCTGGTCCAAGCTTAACTCCACATTCCTTGCAGCGGTGATCGCCGAATAACTTCTCAACGCGCCTGTGGCCAACTTGGCCTCAACGTTCCTTCGCTCACCTTCTTTCTACCTTTAATCATCAGCGAGCAGCCAATGCTTGCACACGATCATGAAGGTCAAACCATCTAGAAAGACATACGCCAAACCCTCAGAAGATGTCGTCAAGTACGTCGACGAAATCGCAAAGGCGACAGACGATCAGCTCGTCGGACTTTTGGCGAGCTTGGACGTCTGGCGCTTCGCTCGTGGCGACCTTCACGCCTGGATACCTGCCCTCGACCGGTTCGATACCACGCTAGAGGTCATCGTGAAGAACTATGAACTCGACAGACCTCAACTCAATCCCTTCACCCCCCTGGATCAACGGCTCCTGCTCGAAGTCCTTCGGGTCTACCGCCTCTTGCTGGAAAATTGTACCAGCAGGAAATTGTTCGCCTCCTACGATGTAAGCACAAGTCAGAACATGGCTGACGGAAGCGATGCTTTGACCTTCTCTGCACCACCGATCTCGCCGTACTCCAAGCAACCCTCTTTGTCCTCCTCCGTCCTGCTCAGCAATACCTCTCCGACACCCCAATGGACGCAAGTCTAAAGATCAGACTTCGCCACCGTCTACTATCCCTCTCGCGCGGATGGGACAAGCTCAAGACACACGGGTGGGACGTGGTGTCTCTGGCGTCCAAGGAGGACTTTGAGTCTCCCGGGGACCCTGTCACCATTTCATTCTACCCCAAGAACGCCGCTAGCTCTTCCAAGGGCGATGCGTCGGTGACGATGGACCTCTCGGGTCTGTCTCAGCATATGTATGCGGACGAACTGGCGGAAAAAGCAAGGGATAGCGGGATGCCAGTGGAGGAGCACTTTTCGGCCTCTATCGCGCTTCGGATATCGTTCATGCAGGACCGGACGGAGAGGAGGGGGCTTCTCGCCGCTCGGCTCATGGCCATGGCTGCCTTTGGTGAGTTGATGTGACGACCATTGCTAACTCCAGTCTGCCTGACCCGAGAAGAAGCCGTCAACAATACCCTCTGCCTATACGAGCCGGACGTCGTTGCGGAAATCAGCGAACTCCTCCTCCCCTCCCGCGATGTCAGCGATCCGGTCCGCTGCAGTGCCCTCCTCGCCCTTGACGGTTTCGCTCACCACAAGACCCGTCTCGTCGAGGTCCTCACCTCACTCAACATCAGCGCAAACTACGGAGTCTTCATCACCCTCCTTCGCTCCATTGCCAAGAATGAGCACTCGCTGGATCTTGCTGACGCAATGTTGGGGTTCCTCGGGTTCCTCATCAGCAGTCCGGCGCACAATGCCGTCCTCGTCGGTGCAGGGGGACTCACCACCCTCCTGGACTTCCTCAATATCGAGGATGACAAGCGGGTCAACTATATTCCTCGGGTTTGCGGGATCATCGACAATATCGTCCTCACAAACCAGCAGGCGCTATCCACCTTCACCGGGATCGACGGTGTAAATACCATCGTTTCACGGATCAAGGCGGAGATTGATCGGCCGATCGAGATGCCGGTCCAGAAACGGGTGCTGGTCTCGGAAGACTGCATGGTCAGCTGGGTGATGGCGCCGCTCAAGGCGCTGTTGCGCACGGTGCAGCGCCTGATGCAGGCGTCAGGCGGGACGGACGGATTGCGGAATTTGGTGGACGGGGATCTGCCCAAGGCAATCAAGCGGATCTTTGAGGAGCATGCCAAGTACGGCCCGAGAGCCTACTCGATCGCCATCAACGTCATGGCCACCTTCATCAACAACGAGCCCACCTCATTGAGCATCCTCCAGGAGCTCAAACTCCCCCAGACTCTTTACGAGCAGCTCGAAAAATCTATTCCCACCTCCACCGACGTCCTCAATTCGGTCCCCAACGCCATCAGCGCCATCTGCCTGAACGCAAGCGGTCTCACCCTTACAACGGAGCACTCGGGGATCATCGTCAAGCTCGTCAACTCGTGCGTCGCGCCGGCGGCCACCGATCACGTCTCACAGCAGACCGGCGGAGCGCTAGAGGAATTGGCACGGCATCAGCCGCCTTTGCGGGATGTGATCGTCAAGGCGGCGCTGGACCTGCTCCTGGCGACCCTGAAGGAAGGACAGGACTTCCAGATCCCAGAGGACAAGCAGCATCTCTACATGCTGGACAAACTCCCTAAGGATGGCAAGATCCCCAAAGAGGCGCCATCCAACCCGGCTCTCGAGAAACTCAGCAAAGTCATCCAATTCTTTGAGGGATTCCTCCGAAACGCGATGATCTGCAAGGAGCTCGTCAATGATAACAACATCCTCGAGCTGTTTCTATCGGTCTCGAGCCTCCCGTGTGTACCGACTCGGTGGGGAACGACCGATGCGGCTCACCACCTATCGCATGTCTTCCGCATCATAGGCGAGCATGATCACCTCGCCCTCGCCGAGCATGTCATGGATGGAGTCGACGCGGGGCTCAAGGCTTCAGATCAGCTCTTTGCGCCGGAATCCCACCATATATGGATGGCGTTCCACAAGGGCGAGGCGACACCGGAACAGCTGCAATCCTTCAAGCAGCTCCGGTCGGCCGTCATTCGCCTGACCTACCTCGGCGAGTCGTTCACAGGTCAATCCTTCTCCCATGCTCGTACCGCCACGTCCCTCGCCAAGATCCTTCGCAAAGCGCCAACATTCGTTCGGAATCTCGGCTACCTGCACCGAGCGGCGGTCCGCGTCCACGCCATCCTGCGTGAGGATGGCCCGATCAACGAGGTGGACTTGGTGGAAGCGGACAAGGAGAATGGCAAGGAGAGCGGAGCCAAGTTTATGGCGACACGGATATTTGCCGTTTCGGACATGTTCTTCAGGGGTGAGCCAAGGTTGACGACATAGCTGACAATCAGCCTCTATTCGACTCCTCTTTGTCAAGCGCAACCCGGATGGCAGTCATGCCCATGAAGCCCGGAAGCTCTCTGACCTCATCGCGGATGTCCTCGTTGCCGATGTCGACGTACAAGACTACCAGCTGGTAGAGGGGAAGGAAACGGCGATCCGGACTTTTGCTCTTGGCTCTGCGGTGTCTCTTCTGTTTGATGGTAAGTCTAGCAAATGGACGGAGCTGACCTCAGAACGCGGATACGAGGGCTACTTCAATACCATCCTCTTGGTCGCTTTCGTCAAGAAGGGCGGGCTGAAAGCAATGGAGAAGCTCTGCCGGGACCTCCTGCAGGGCATCACGACCGGTACGGAAACGCGGAACGGAATCGACAGCAACCTCCTCGTCGTCACCATTCTATCCGGCTTTGTCAACCCCCGGTCCATCATCGAATCGCCTCAAAGCGCATCCCTCCAAGCTTCCACCCATGTCCCGCTATTCTCCCCCAGCGAGCTCCTCGTCCGTATCCGGGCCAAGCTCTTCCCGGTCATCCGCGAGGTATGGAACGCAGAATGGCTGCTTTCTGCCAAGCAGGAAACTGTCAAGCTCGCCATCAAGGCGTTCTTATCCGTCATCGAAGCCAAGGCGGAGACGGACATGGCCGCGCCAGTACCCCTCCAAGTACCAGCGGCGGCTATACCCGTCCCTCGCGTCCGCCCCGCCGCAACTCCCGCTCTCGTCGACCAGCTCGTCGACATGGGCTTCGGTCGAGGTGCTGCTGTCTCTGCCTTGATGCGTGCGCACAACAATATCGCAGCAGCTGCGGAGCTCATCCTCAGCGCTCCGCACATCTACGCCGATATGCCCGAGCCTGCTGCACCGGCCGCAGCTGCCGCGCCCGCCGCTGCGGATGCCGCTCCTGCTCAACCAGAGGCTGAGGGGTCGGCCGCCCAGTCTCCAGCTGCCGAGGTGGACGACCCGATGGGAGCCGCCCCAGCGGCCAAAGACGACGTCGCTGCTCTCAGAGCCACACTGGACTCGGAGAGGCAGGCGAGTAAGGAGGGAATCGCGATGCGGGGAATGAGCATCATGGATCACTCGGAAGACCTGATCTTCCAACTGCTCCCCGCCTTCCCCGCCGGCCAGGACGGAGTCCGCTTTGTTCTGGACCGACTGGAAGAGGTCTCGAAGGACGACGAAAGCTCTAAAGCACTCTCTGCTCGGCTTCGACTCGGCGTCATCACTCTCAACACCTTCAGCGCGGAGGTCACTCCTCAGCTCCAAAGCCGAGCTCAGGACGCCATGGGCTCGATCAAAATCAACTCCGGTTCAGCCCGCCCAGCCTGGACGGCCGGCTATCTCCTCTTTGGCGAGACCCTACTTCGGCTTTCGTCCACCATCAAGGAGGCCAAGCTCGGCGGAGACGGTACGGCGGCGATTGTCTCGGAGAATGACTTTGTCGAGCTCCGGGAGACCCTCTTCACGCTCAGCATTTCGCTGGTCGAGGACCCGGAGAGCTCTCGTCCAGACTTGCTGGCCGCTATGCGCATGCTCGTAATCCTCTCCAGGAAGGACGCCGGTATCATCCAGAAACTCCCGGTCATCCTCGCTGCTTTTGCCAAGCCGTCGGCCCGGCTGCGGGACTGCCACCCGCTCCTCGCCCTCATCATACGGCACGCCTTTGAGGACACCGCTACGCTCACGGCTGTCATTCGTCGGGAGATCCAAGCGTGGACCTCGCCAGCCCGAAACAAGGTCACGGACATCACCCACTTTGTTCGACAGCTTCGGCAATCAGCCTTCCGGGCACCAGACATCTTTGCCAGCTTGGTCGAGGCGGAGTGTACCCTTGTAGATCCCACTCCCCTTACGTCGGTCTACCATATCCGGAGCAAAAACGCCGATAAGCCTGCCGAGGCTTCCGACCCGTTCAAAGACAAGCCGACCAACGAGTCGGGTAAGGCGGTCTTTGAGACCTTGCTTTCCGAGCTCAACAAGGCGGTCGCTATCGTCCGGGCCGGGGAGGGAGAGCAAAAGGACAAGGAGAGTACGCTCAACTATGTCGGCCTCCTCGTTTCCCTCATCACCGAGGTGCTGGGGTCGTACGTCCCAGCCAAGCAATCCTTTTTGACTGTCCTTCGATCGACCGGCGAAAAGTCCAAAGGGATCAGCGGACTCCTCGCGGACCTCGTCGGCGACATCTCGCTCAAGGACACTGGGGATGCCGTACGCACGCCGGAGTCCGAGACGCGCGTAACCCTCTCCCGGTGGGGCTCGTCTATGGTCATCGCACTCTGCTCGGACATTGCCACTACCCACGACATCAAGGATCTTCCGGAAGATCTCATCTCGGTCCGCAAGCAGGTTCTCGATGCCATCTCCAAGGCTATCAAGGAGAGCGGCAGCATCGCCGACCTTGACGCTCGGTACGGTCGACTCCACGCTCTCGGTGAGCTCACCTACCGACTGCTCGTGTCCCGCCCGGCGGTCGCAGCCAAGCAGGACGAGTCCGGCACACACATCGCCAAGACCATGATTGAGAAGAACTTTGTCGGGACTCTCACTACCGCTGCGGGCGAGGTGGATCTCAACTTCCCAGAAGTCAAGGGAGTCCTTGGCTCGCTCCTCAAGGCACTGGAGTACCTGTCCAAGATGTCCATCAAGTGGAGCAAGTCGGATAAGCGCAAGGTGGAGCAGCGGAATGAAGAGGGCACAGATACCGAGTCTGAAGAGTCTGGTATGGACTATGATGAGGAGGAAGAAGAGGCGCCGGATCTTTACCGCAATTCTGCGCTTGGAAGGTGAGTCTAATGTTATAGCTATGGGCTACAGCTGATGATAGACTGAACGGTGGCGTGGAAGAGGAAGAGGACGGGGACGACGATGAGGAGGACGAAGATATGGTATGTCTTTTTGCCACGTGCGGCTTCGGCTGACGGTGTAGTATGGGGACGAAGGGATGGACGACATGGACGATGGTACTGGGAGCCAACCCTTGACGGACGAAGATGACGATGATGAGGACGAAGATATGGGCGAGGGGGAGGATGACTGGGTATGTCCGTCCTATCATGACAAGGCGAAGCTGACGTATAGTCTGACGAAGACGAAGAAGATGAGCTCGAATCGATGGGCGGAGACGCGCCTATCTTTGAGGCGGGCGCCATCATGGCTGGAGGCGATCCGGAGAATCCCGACGACCAGTGGGACGTCGACGATCAAGCCGATAACGAGGACTTGCTCACCGATGAGGAGGGCGAGGGGCCATTCCCGGAAGATGAAATGTATGACGAAGAAGGCGAGGAGATTATGGATGACGAGGAGGGGTAAGTCATGGTCTCTGGCAGAGCTGACATCAGGTATGACGACTTTGATCTCATGGACAATTACCCCGAAGAGGCGGACGTCTGGGGGGACGCCCCGCCAGAGCCGATGGGACCTTGGGGCTGGGAACAGCCTGGAGCAGCCCGAGGTGGCTCTCGACCAGGTCGCAGCGAGGAGGACGTTATGTCTGCCTTGTACGGCGGTCCGCCTCGGCCAGCGCCTTCGGCTGCGATCGCGGCTCATCCGCTCGTCGCACCACCTGCAGCACCCGCTGCGTCTCGGCGTCTTCCGCGCGGTCTCGGCGGCGCTATCGGTCTCGATGCGTTGCTCCGGCACATCCAAAGCAGCGGAGCAACGGAGGCCATGGCAGCTATCGACTCAATCACCAACCAGCACCGCTACTCCGGCGGCGAGCCGGTCCGGATCGACCTCACCCAGGAACCAGACGGGGCTATCAACCTTCGGATCGGTCCTCGGAATTACCGCGTACCAGCTGCTGGTGCGCCACGCGTCGAGACGGAAGTTTCGTCCGAGTTTATCCCCCGGCCTACCACCCAAAGGTGGCAGGAAGAATACTCCATCATCCCCGGCCGAGATCTGTCAGCTAGTCTAGTGATTCACCTCATCAACCGTATGATGCCCGAGGCGAGGCGTATCGCGGCGGAAGAAGCGGCAAAGCAGGAGAAGGAGAACGAGGAGGCCGAAAAGGTCCGGCAAGCGGAGGAGAAGGAGCGATTGGAGAAGGCGACCAGGGAAGAAGCTGAGGCGGAGGCGAAGCGACAAGCCGAGGCGAAGAAGTTGGCGGAAGATTTGGCTGCGGCCGCGGCGGTTGCTCTCCCACAGTCTCGTCCTGCGACTGTGCCCCCCCTTCTGTCGGACGATATCGAGATGGGGTCAGCCGAGGCTGGTCCGTCAGGCTCGACCGCAGAGGTGGCCGCACCCGCCGCTCCCGTTGCTTCCTCTGAAGCGGGACCATCATCAGCTGCCGGACCGTCCGATGCGATGGTTATTGACGGCGAAGCACCTGCGGCGGAAGCAGCGCCCGCGGAGAGCCTGGCTCGAACCGTCATCCAGGTCCACGGCCGGGACATCGACATCACGGACACCGGTATCGATCTCGAGTTCCTCCAAGCTCTTCCGGATGACATGCGCGCCGAAGTCATCGACCAGCACATGCGGGAGCAAGCTCGGCACCAACGCCCCGCTGCAAGTGCTGCTGCGCCCAACGCCCCCGCTGCGTCCTCGCAGATCAATCACGAGTTCCTGCAGGCTCTCCCGCCTAGTATCCGGGCGGAGGTGCTCATGCAAGAAGCGGTCGAGAATGCTCGGCGGAATCGTCCTGCTCCCGCTGCTGCCCCAGCTGCAGCGCCGGCGGCAGCTGCCAATCCGCCCCCGATCCCCGATCTTTTGGGCATGGCCGGCTTCGATGCCGGGCTGCTTGCCGGCTTTGACGAGCTGCTCATGCAGGGATTGGCTGGCTTGCCAGCTGGTCTCGGCGGACCGCGTCTAGGCGGCCATCGACCGCCAGCCATTGGCCGTCTTGGCGGGCCGGCGCAAGGCGTGCCGGATGATGCACCGGTACCTTCCAAACGGCCTCATCGGGAATCACTCCAACTACTCGACAAGAACGGGATCGCCGCGCTCGTCCGGCTCCTCTTCTTCCCCGAAGCTTTCCGCAAGGCGAATCTCTTCCGCATTCTCGTCAATCTCTGCGAGAACTCGACCACCCGGGCGGACCTGCTCAACCTTCTCATCTCGGTGGTTCAGGATGGGTCGGGCGACCTCCCTGCTGTAGATCGGAGCTTCCAGCAAATGTCGCTTCGCGGTGTCGCCACGCCCAAGATGACGCCCAAGGTCAAGGCACCGGAGACCCCCGGCCCCATTGCGCTCCCCATCTTTGCGCATCTTCAACCGGAAAATATCCCCACCTTCATCGCGCAACGGTGCTTCGAGGCGTTGACGTACATTGTCAGCGCGAACCAGCAGGCCGTGACCTACTTCCTCACGGAGCATGAGCAGGCGATCGGACTGCGCAAAGCCCCGTCCAGGAAAGGCAAGGGCAAGGAGAAGCTCCTTCCGCAGACCAAATACCCGATCGTCATCCTGTTGGGTCTGCTTGACCGGCCGGTCTTGCTCAAGACCAACACGATGATGGAGTACATTACTCAGCTATTGTCGGCCATCACGCGGCCGTTGACGGCGCTCAAGCAGGACAAGAAGGAAGAGGAGAAGGCGGAGGAAGTAATGGAGACGGACGCGCCAGCGGCTGCCTCTGCAACGGTCGCTACACCCGCTGCAGCCGCGCCCGAGACACCCGCTGTCGCTGCTGCTGTCCCAGCTCCTGACACTGCCGGTCCATCCACCGCCCCCGTCGTCGCTTCGCCCACCACCCTCACAAAACCCCCTATTATTCCCGCCAACATACTCCGGCTCGTCGTCAACTGCATGACCACCGGGGAATGCTCGAGCCGGACTTTCGGGCACAGCCTGATGCTCATGCAGAACCTCTGCTACGTACCGGACGGCAAGGAGATCATCGTCCAGGAGATCCGCGCCAAGTGCAAGGAGCTCGGCCAGCATATCCAGGCTGGCTTGCTAGACCTCGCAGCGGAGCTCGAGACGGCCTCGGAAACCGGCAAGACCGATATGGTCAGCAAATTTTCGGCGGCGTCATCCCACCAGGCCCAACTCCTTCGTCTGCTCAAAACGGTAGACTTTTTGCACACGCACAAGGCGGCCGACGTTGACGTGGCGGCCGAGACGTTGTCGGAGAATGAGCAAAAGGTGGCGGATATCTTTGCGTCGTTCCAGTTTGAGGGGATGTGGGAGCGGTTGGGGACGTGTCTCAAGGTGGTCGAAAAGACGGAGAGCACCGGGTCGGTCGCGGTCGTCTTGTTGCCGCTCATTGAGGCGTTGATGGTCATCTGCAAATACCGACCCAAACGCGCCGGCCGATCACCGTCCGTCCCACTCCCAGGGACTATCGAGCCCAATGACCTCTTTGTGGCATTCACCACGGCCCATCGGAAAGTCCTCAATGCGATCGTCCGGAACCACCCATCCCTCCTCTCCGGCTCATTCTCGCTCCTCGTCCGCAACTCGCGAGTCCTCGAATTTGACAACAAGCGGAATTGGTTCTTCCAAAAGCTCAAGCGGAAGAAGGACCACCACGCTGGAAGTGCCCTACACCTCAACATCCGGAGGCAATATGTCTTTGAAGACAGTTTCCACGCGCTACAGAGGCGGACAGGGGATGAGATCAAGTATGGGAAACTCAACATCAAGTTTTACCATGAGGACGGTGTGGATGCGGGTGGTGTGACGAGGGAATGGTACTCTGTGCTCGCGAGGCAGATCTTTGATCCCAACTTTGGTAAGTCTTGCCCTTACAATGGTGGAACCAACTAATCCGTAGCCCTCTTTGAGCCTTGTGCTGCGGACGCGCAGACCTACCAACCCAACAAGGCCTCGGCGGTCAACGGCGAACATCTCGCCTACTTCAAATTCGTCGGCCGAGTCATCGGTAAATCCATCTACGACGGCCGTCTCCTCGACGCCTACTTTAGCCGAGCATTCTACAAGCAGATCCTCGGCCGGGACGTCGATATCCGCGACCTGGAGTCTATCGACCCAGAGTACCACAAATCCCTCACGTGGATGCTGGAGAATGATATCACGGGCGTCATCGAGTCGGAGTTTACGATTGAGGATGACCAGTTTGGGGAGAAGAAGATTGTCGAGTTGAAGGAAGGGGGAGCCAAGATTCCGGTCACGGAGGAGAACAAGGCGGAGTACGTCAGGCTGCAGGTGTCGTACCGCCTTGACAACTCTATCAAGGAGCAAAACAAGGCGTTCCTCGAAGGCTTCTACGAGTAGGTTTGGCGGCTCCAGACAAGGGGATGTGGCTGACAGGTAGTGTGATCCCTCGACACCTTATCGAGATCTTCGAGCCGGACCAGCTCGAGCTACTCATTTCGGGTATCACCACGGTGGACGTCGACGAGCTCAAGAATGCCACGCAGATGAGCGGATGGAAATCGACCGATCCGGAGATCGCTTGGTTCTGGCGCGCACTACGGTCATTCTCGCAAGAAGAACGCTCGCGCTTCTTGATGTTTGTCACGTCGTCCTCGCGGGTTCCGCTCGGAGGGTTCACGCAGCTCCAGGGGGCGTCGGGGATCCAGCCATTCCAGATTCAAAAGGTGAGTCATGAGATCCACGATCAAGGAAGGCTCGAGCTGATAGGTTTAGCTTTACGCCAAGGATGGAAGTCTACCCCAAGCGAGTACATGCTTCAACCTCCTCCTTTTGCCGAAATACGAGTCGTATGAGCATCTCAAGGATAGGTTGATGTTTGCCGTGACGGAGACGGGCGGGTTCGGGAAGGCGTAGGCGTAGGTTAAGGTTAAGGGAAGAGCAGGGGGAGGGGGGAATTCAGGGATGACAGAGGTCAGAAGTAGATAGGGAGGTGTGGTAGTCAGTGCATACGAGTATGATTTGCATATATGTATCGTGATAGTGATAGCGAGGGTGTCAGGTATTGGTGAAGGACCGGTCCCTCAGCTGGACAATTGCCTACCGGGAGGCTTGGACTGGTTCATATGGCTGGAACCAAATACAACCGGCGAACTTTGCTCCGCATTCCGCACCAACTTGACCATCCTTTGGCCAACCTACAATCCACCTTGTCACTTGCCGAACTCGTCCTACATTCACGCTACTGCACGTCCTCCACGATGCTCATATCACCCTTGCGTCTCCATCACGACCTCACCTCCATTCTCTCCCCAACAATAGACGCCGGACCCCACACCGCCCTCCTCATCCTACCCGAAGGCCGACTATTGTCTTCCGCAACGAGATATGACGAGTTGTACGCGGAGGAAGCAGAAGGGGAAGCGGAAGAGGCGGACAACGCGCCGGATATGAATGGATTGTCTGTTAGCGGGGGAATTTCGGGCGGCGCGGCAGATGGAGGGGAAGAGGGCGAGGGAGAAGAGGAGGAGCCATACCTTGATGAGCCGGAGAGAATACGGCTGCTTTGTGGATTGGCGAGTCAGTGGGAAGAGGATGAATCGCCTAGAGTGGAATGTGAAGTAAGTCTGCTCTTTCAAATGGATCGGTCGTGCAAGCTAGTTCAGGATCAGGCGACTGGAGATGCTGATCATATAGCTCGGCCGACTGCTTCTCGTTCCCATCCCCCTCCCTTCAGCTGGCGCACCGAGCACGATGCCTCAGAATTTACCGGCTGCGAAGGGGTTGCAGCCGAGGATGTTTGTGCTCGTGCTGAATGGGACGAAAGGGACTGCGTGGAGTGATATGACGAGCAAGGTGAGTCGAGGTCTGGAGCGTTGAAGGCAAGATAAACGCTGAGCTAGCAGGCTGAGGAGTTCAAGAGAGTATGGGAGAACGGATGTGGGGCCTAAGCGCTATAATGGAGTCACGGGCGCAAGGTGTAGCGCCGATCCCATGGGGGCGAAGCGCGGTACATAGCATCATCTCAGACATCATCAGGCAGACATAACATCCTTACATCCTTCGCTCTAGCTTGAGAAATCACTAACGCACTCCCACCCCTTCCCGACCCCTTCTTTCCACAGACTGACCTTCCCATCTCCACACGAGACCGCCAAGATGTTGCCGGCAAGACTCCACGAGACGCGCCAGACCGCGTCGGGGAAGTGGGGGTCTTTTGATTCGGGCGCGCCGGGGAGGAGGGGGGTGGAAGTCCATGGTGAGCCGGGCGAAGGGCGGGAGTGGATCAATACTGTTCGGTCCTGCCTGTCAGTACTTGCCCGGAAGGAGTGTGAGGGGACAACCGCAGAGTGTCTCAGACTTACCTGACTGGCAGAAGCAATGTACATCCCTGGCAGACCGATATTCGGTGCCCAGGCCGTATCCCTCACCCAGTCTTCATGACCCTTGATCACCTCCTCCTCTCCCCACTTTTTGGCCTCTTCATCATATAGCCAGATCCGGACCATATTGTCCGATCCACCCGATACGAACCGTTTCTGGCTGACGGGCGCGGTCTGACCCTGGCTTTGCTTGGAAGCGGGAAGGACGGACGGTGCCCATGAGATGGCATTGGCGCCGGTACCATGTGCGGGGAAGACGGACGCGTCGGTCGAGCCGTCATTTTGAAAGTTGATGACGGAGATCTTGCCGTCCGAGGAGGCGCAAGCGAGGATCGGGCCGAGCTCGTATGGTGCCCAAGCGAGCGAGTTGACTGAGGGTGAGCTATACTGACTGCGACCTACGTGGAGTTCGGCTTAGCTCACCACTGGCAGTATGCAGGTTGTGCTCCTTGATCCGCTCCCATCCATCCTGGACTTCTCCGCCTGTCCCCTTCCCTTGCCCAGGCCCGACCTCTTTCCAGATAAACACACGGCCATCGTAGGAGCACGAAGCGAGAATGGAGCCGAATGATGGGTGTGCCCATGCGACCGCCCAGACCGGTGCAGTGTGTCTGGCAGATAAGTCTAGGTCTTCCTTTAGCACGATAGCTAGACCTACCCCTTCAGGATGACGGGGTCGCCCTTGGCCTGCCCATTCTCCACCTTGAATATCCGGATAGTCTTGTCCGAGGAGCTAGTAGCGAGACGCTTGGAATAGTAGTCGAGCTGCGCGTCATGCTAATACGTCAGCTGAGATGCTTCTTAGCTCGTGGCGAAGCTGATAGCTCACGATAGCATCCTCGTGCTGCGTCTCAACTGGGACGGGAGCTGCGGGCGCCATGTTGCAGGTTTGGCTTGGATTAGGCTTTCAGGCTGCGCTATTGCTTCTTTATCGAGCAATTCAGGATTCGTGGGGAGCCTGGGTGTCCATGTAGCTGTGAGAGGGGAAAGTATGGAGTCTAGGGGGTAAGCAGTGAGAGGTATACAATGTAGAGATATACTCTATGGTATACTTGGGTGGGGTTCCACATCGTCAACGAGCGAGTGAGGAATGCTGCCATATATATCCAATCCTCCCATTTAATTACCTCCACTCTGTCGACGCGACAAAGACGCGTCTGCCTTCTGATCGCTTTCAACTTTTCCCTCATCCACTTACTACAGCAGCTATGCTCGATATCAAAGACATCATAAGGACAGCGCTCCAAGAGCACGATGGAGAGACAGGTAAAGCTTTTCAGTTCCGATACCGGTGGCAAAAGCTGACGATGTAGGGCTTGAGCTGGAAGACTTCATCGGAAGCATCAGCGCACGCTTGGATGATGTAGCATCAGTGAGCTGAGCCGGACTAATCCGAGGCAGCGAGCTGACAGGGTGCAGATACCAGCGTACGACCATACGTCGAAGCCGCTCTCGCTGGTCTCGTTCAGGTGTATGCTGCAGGACACGGGGTATCCCATGGAGGTGTACCTGCCCGGCGAGCAGCCACAGGAGGGGCAGGAAGTGGACTGGAGCAAGCTAAGAGAGCGCTGGGTCGGCTGGGGCGTAGAGTGAGCCTCGCAACATCCCTGTTTCCAAGCGGGAAATAAGTTGACACCCCAGGATCCCAGGCGAGAATGACTGGGTCAAGAACCCCTCTTCCGACAGTTTGAGCAACGGCCTCGCCTCGCTACACATGAACGGCTCGACTGCATCTCATCCTCCTGCGCTACAGAGCAAGTTCCACCTCTCATCGCAATCGGCCAACTACCTCGGCGCTCTCGTCAAGGTATACGACGACGTCTCCTTCCGGCCCGCCAGCACGCACACCTTTGTCGGACTGCTATCCACCGCGGCGCTCCCATCGCCGATTTCTGCGTCGGGGAACGAAGCGGACGAGGCTGTCATCGTGCCGACCATACATGTCCTGCGTGGACCATTACCTCCTCCTGTTGAAGAGTCAATTAGGGATGTTGAAGCGACCCGATCGGCTCTGCTGCAATACCTCGCTAGCGAACTCCCAGTGGACGCACTATCGGCGGAATACATCCTACTCGCTCTGCTCGCATCCCCCTCAGTCCGTCCACCCGCTTTACAACCCCTTGGTACTCTTTCTCTCAACCTCATTGGCGCCATCCCTTCCCTCTCCGCCACTCTCCGGCGCCTGGTGCCCGCCACGGTCGATCTCCCGCTCACACTCCAAACCCTCCACTCCACTTCCTTCACCCCATCATCCACCACCTCTTCCGCGTCCGATTCGTCATCCCTCTCATCCGGCCTGCTACAGCTCGCAGAAGGCACCGTGCTCGTCATTGACGAAACAGCCATGGGGGACGGCGGCAAGCTGCTCGAAAAAGCAGTCCGGAACCTCCAGGCATTGACGGAAACGATGGCGGAGCAAAAGGTGCGGTACGAGTATCCCTACATGGATGGGTTGAAGATGGATGCGTGGATACGCCCAATCGTATTGAGCGATGGCAAGTCGCTCGTCCCCGTCGATATCCACCTCCCTCTCCTTCCTTCCACCTCCACTCCCTCCCCATCTTCCTCGACTACACCCGACCTCCCAGCCTTTAGATCCTATCTCCGGAAATACGGCTCCCTCGCACACGCACGCAAGCTCGTCATTCCCGAATCGACAGCCGCCAAGATCCAGGATGACTTTGTGACATACCGGAGAGCTCAAGGGGTAGGGGGCGACGCGGAAGAGGTGCTCAAGCGGCGGATGAAGATTGCGAGGCTGGTGGCTGTTTCATATGAGGATGCGGTGCTGAGTGAGGAGAGGTGGGCGAGGGTGATTGAGATGGACGAGGAGGCGGAGAAGAGGATGAAGGATAGGAAGAAGTGTGGGGCAGGGAAGTAGGGATGTTGATCTAGGGGAATGCATTGTATATAGTCTTATCCTGACGTGCTGACTAGAAAATGCTGATGCTGTCGCATGTGACATGACTATCTTTCTTTCGTCAACCTGACGGGCTGAGCTAGAGTAGTGGATTCGGAGGCCCGATCTGTGCTGTATATGTACTGACCATATGCAGAACGATCGTCATTGAACACCAGACTTCGCGTTTGGGGCTTGAGCGGGCTTGTCCCAAACTCAACTCCGGGTCTTGGTATCTGACGGGCCATCCTAGTCGATTCGACTCATGAGCTGACGGAAAGCGCCGGCCGTCAGACTTCAACCGCGTTCGTACTAGGCGAAGGGCGTGTCCTCAGAGGGGCCGGTAAGCTGTTGGTGCTATATATACGCCGGATATCCAAGGTTTTCACCGGGCGAGGCATCGTCTGGGGGGGCTGAAAAGGAGGGGACTGCTCATAGGTCCTGTTCATCGGCTTTTTGCTACTAGCGACAGGGCCGAAGCAGCCATGTTCGAGACCGACCGCGGTCAAAGGAGGTACCCGGTAAGATTGCTTTTTGCACCGTTTCGCGAGCGCCAATCAGACAGCCTGATCACCGTGAGCTGTTTTGGCAGGCGGCAGTCATCGATCTTCACTGACGCTCTGGACAGGTCGGATATCTAACGTCGTGCATCTCGACTAGATGCAACCCAGGGACGATAGCAAGCGGCTATCGACGCACGGTCAAGTTCCTGGGAGGAGACCAGCTGGCGCTCCACAATCATTGACTACCGCTCCGCACCCGCTTGGCCGCTAACGATTCGGGTAGGGTAAGCGCGTAGAATATGGGCAGGACATGGCTTGAGGGGAAGGAGCCAAGGTATCGTCCGTGCATGGTCATCTGTGGTCTACAATGCAGGGTATCAAATGCTACTCAAGTGCTACAAACCGAAACATAGCTGAAAAGGTGACTACAAGCTGTCCTTTCTGGGATCTCACCGTTCTTTCCTACTCTCCCCCTGCACCTTCTCACCTTCCCGGTGACCCCCTTCCCCATCTTCCTCATGCACATCATACCATCCTCTCTCGCCTGTTCCCTTCCGTGCCCCTTCTTCTCCACTCTCATTCTCCCCCACTCCCTCTCCCGCCCCCCAATCCCACTCCCCACCCTCTACCTGCCCGACCAAGGGACTGATCAGATCCAGATCCAGGCTCGGGAGGTTCATATATCCCCACGCCTCACTCCTCATATCGCCCATCATGCTCCCCACGCCTGGGTGCGTCGGGCCCATACTCGGACTCCGGAGTGATTTGAGGCTTTGCCTCGAGGCGCGGCGTTCCCTCTTGGACCACGGATGAGGAGCTACTGTATGCGAAGAGAGGAGGGGTGATCGGGTCGGATCCCATCTTGGACTACCTGCCTTGAGGTCCGGACTCATCGCGAGTATTTCGGGCGATAGAGTGATAGCGTCCGCGCTATCAGTAGGTGTCACGCTGCCCGAGCTGCCCGCGTCGTCCGACAGCAAGTCTCGGAGCCAGACGTCCATATCCGCATACACCTCGGCGGCCTCCTCGGACTGCCACGGAAAGATCATGAAATCATGTACGCAATCCACGCCCTCGGTGTGCTTATCCGGGGTGGACGCGGGTCGGCCCTTCCTCGCCTCGTCCGCCTTGCGCGAGAGTTGCAGGCGCGACCAGAATGTCTCGATGGATGTAGACAGCCGCTCCGCCGTGCCGTGGACGACGTAGCACGGGGGGAAGTCTGCGAATGTCCGGGGGTGTGAAGGGATAAGCAGCGAGGCGGGGGAGAGGTACTCCGATGTGTGCATGAGGGATGGCGGGAGCGCTCGAAGGAGGAGCGAAGTAGCGAATGGGCCAAATGAATCGTCGATCAGGTCCGAAGAGGCGTTATGGTATTTCCCTTCTCCCCAGGCGGTTGTGAAGCCTACGTCGACCCATGGAGAAAGCAAGACCAGGCCTTTCGGGCCAGAGTAGCCGAGCTGGGCGCCGGAATCCCGAAGCCAGCGCGTGAGGGCGAGGGCGAGATGTCCGCCTGCGGAGTCTCCGATGAGTATGATATCCCCCTCGGGGACCCCTTCGACGTGGACGAGGTAGTGGTATGAGGATATCGCGTCGAGCAGGGGGAGGGGCCATGGGGAAGTGGGTGCGAGCCGATAGTCGACCGCAAGGATATGATGGATGGGTGAGTGCGCGACGAGGGCTTTGGCGATGGAAGAGGTGAGATCCGTTTCGGCCGCTGTACCGCAGAGGTAGCCACCACCGTGGAAATGGATACCGACGGGATCGCCGGGTTGGCGGGGTGGTAGCGCTAGCCTATCAGCTTGATTGGTTCACCTCGTACCGGGGAAGACGTACAGCTGGTAGGTCTCTCTTTGGTTCCAGCGAACCAGAACCCCTTGACCGCCTCAAACCCATACTCCTTCTGCCTATCGCCGACGTCATTCCATCGTCCCCACGCCGCCTCAGCATCGGGGTTAGAACGATGTACCATCTTTGGGATCCAGGCACCTCGGGTCCGATGTAGCTCGGCCAGAGTCTCGGCGGGGTGTCCAACCAGGTGAGTAGGGGGTGCAGGAGGGATGTCGAGTGGGTGGGAGTGGGACAGTCGGAGGGGGTCCTTCTTCTTTAGCTTGATTCTATACATCTCGCACACAAGAGCACACTCACCAGGTCTAGATTCAAGTCCCGACCGAGGTAGTCCACCTCGCATCGCGCTACCAAAGCACATAGAGCCCTAGACCATCTCACCCTCAGACACCGCTGAAGCGTCCATGATGCGCGCGGACGGTTCGCGGGGGACAGGTAAAGAAGGGTCCAGTAAGGGAGGTAGAAGAAGAGCGCAAAGAGGACATAGGCTATCAAGTAGGGTTTGCGAAGGAGAGGATGTCGGAGGAGGGCATTTCGAGGGGCAGAGGCAAGCTGCTGGGTCAGCTTGTTATTGGCACATGGAGGGACAAGCTAGGCGTCGAGGACTTACCGCTTCAGCAATGATGGCCTCGGAAGTCATTTCTCCCAAATCCTCCCTGACCTCCTTCTCTGTCTCCTTGGAAGAGCCCATGGGCTCTTGACCCTCTATGGAGGCGGTATATGTCATCTTAACGCCGCGGCTGTGTTGCTCAATCGGACCATGAGGTATCGAGGCGGGTCGGAGAGTGAAGATTTTGTCCGTTGTGACTTTGACAGGTGCGGCTAGGGTCCTTGCTACAAAGGAGCTTCGAGCTGCGGCGGTATGATCAGGATCAGTATGCTACGAAGCGGAATGCAAGCTGCTTGGTGGACTATGTAGACCACAGATGGGTGATGACTGCTTTAAAAGTCGAGCCTGTCGACTATCGACTGTCTGATGGCTGGGCACACGACCTCGTGGCTGATTTTGAAACGCGCCATGACGTAGCCCCTGCACGTTCGACCTTACTGGCTACTACTATATACAACCATGTTCGCTGACTATGTACGCCCGCTACATATCGATATCCATATCCCCCGCCTCCTGTCCCTCCATCTCTGCATCGCCCAGCGTCAAATCTTCATCCTCATCAACCACCTCGAACCGCCCGCTATCCCCTTCCTTCCCCGCCCACTCCCTCACGATGCCCCGTACGTCCCCTTGATTCAGATGCTGGCCCGCCTGGATACCCAATGGACGGTACAGTACGAGGCCCATCTCCCGCTGTTGTGGGAACTGCGTCGGGAAGGGGATGGAGGAATCTTTCGTCGCAGCCAGGAGGCGCGTAAGCATCGAGGGGGAGATGGTGAAGCCATTCGTCCCCGGCTGGGATAGTTGGACCGGTGGGGAGGAAGAGCGCTCCCTCTCGGACGAGCGAGAAGGGGACTCGCTTAGTCGTGTATATATTATACCTACCATGTCAGCTTCGGTCCATAACGAGATGTAACGATGAAGATGACTTACGATCTTTTTCTGGCTCATACCACTCTGAACCCCTCCGCCCTCTCGGTATCTCCTCGATCTCTGTCCCCATATCTATATCCATCCCCTCCCTCATCCGCTTACTCCCTCCCTGACGCTCATCATCCGCATCCACCGACGTGGATCTCCTTTTCCTCGATCGAGGCGTGACATCCTCGACCCCCAGATCCTGATCCACCTCTACCGCCTGAGGCTCCGGCTCATCCATTGGCTGCTCGACCGCATCCGCCTGCTGCGTCCTCCGTCGCCGTAAGCGAGGGAATGTGGCAGTCGCATCAGAGTCCTCGGTACCTTCGGACGAGGATGAAGTGGAGGCGGTCCGGTGCGGGTGTCGCATACGGTAGGGTAGCTCCTCCACCTCGACGTCGTTCCGCGCAAAGAGGGAGTCCAGGCCGGAGCTGCCTAGATCTTCGTCGGTGTCTTCTGTACTGAAGGGGAAATCAAAGTCTTCCCGTTGGGATTGGGAGTAGCTCGGGAGGGAGGAAGGTCCGGGCGCGTTGGGATCGTGTGTAGGTACATGGGAGAGGGAGAGGCCGGAGAAGCCATTGGTGAGATTAGGGCGGCGCCGCTTGGCTGGAAGAGGAGCGACGGAAGGGTTGTCCCATCCTCCCGTAGCGTATTGAGGATCAGAAGGAGGTGGGGACGCTGCGCGCCGTTTGCGGATGCCCGAGGGAGACGGAGTGAAGAGGGGAGACGAAGTGGTGGTTTGGGGGAAGACGCCGCTCGGCGAGCGGGCGGGCAAGGTAGCAGCCATATTTGAGTAGGCTGTGGTTGGCGAAGTTTGAGTGTGCGCGTGTGATGATGAGTCCATGAGTGAGGGATAGCTCCCCTTGTTATATAGGAGTGAGGGGTGAGTGTAAGGTGGACCGGGAAACGTCTAGAACTTGGCCGAACACAAAGGATACTTAAACAGCCGGGTTTAGCCGAGATGCCGGCAGTCAGGGCAAAAGGGGGGACCAGATAAGTACAGGCTTATCAGTCCACTTTTTCTGCTCTTGTCCTCTTCACTCTCTGCCATATCATCTCATTGATATGGACCTAGACGTGGTGCCGCACCGCGCCTTAGGCCTTAGGCACAATACTCCCTAACTGGGCATGCTGCATCATCTGACTTCCCTGCTTTGCGACACTGACCACCGTCCAGGATCTCTCTTAAGCTCTGAGGTCCGTCGGAACCCCGACCGCGTTCCGCCCAAGACGAGCGACCGCAAGGGGACCATACAGAAGCTCCGGTCTCTTCAAGACCTTCCTGCCGGCGATGGATCGTGATCACATCTCCGCGAGGAGAGCGTGCGGCGTTTAGGAGGTCTTCCTGACAGATGATCTCTATCGATTGCAATATCTCGAGTTCCGCTGGAATGCGGCAATGTCAAGTCGCCCTGCGTCGACCCTCGTCGAGTCGTCGGCATGTCGCAGCACAGCTCGTCTTGGTAGATCTTACTGCACCGTGTCGTCAGAGCAAGGGCAGTTGATCCCATGCATACTTGGAGGAACGAGGGTGGGTGGCATCAGAAGCCGATACAGGAGAGATCTTGCTGTTCCGTCGGAAGAGACAGGACCCCTTCCCCACCGCTGGCTGCAGATGAGCCTACCTCATATATCATATAAGCTCAGCTCTGCCCATATAATACCTCTTCCTCACAAGTCACCGAAAGAGCCCTTGAGGTCCCCCATATCCCACGCTCGGCAACATGTCGACCCCTCAGACCAACCCCACCGACCACAGTTGGCGCCCCTCCCCGCTCATGCTGCCCACACGACCAGGCCCGGTCCCTTTAGCAGGCGCCTCTCCCAATCTCACTCCTGCGTCCGCAAGCGGCCACCCGCCTATCCGGCGCTTCAGCACCAGCAGCTTCTCCAAGCTCTCCGACTTCCACCTGGACAGCCCGCTCGAGGACCTCGACCTCTCAGCGGGCATATCGCCCGTTCCCACCCGCCAGGACAGCTATTCGGGAGGTCCGAGCCGCCAGAACAGCAGTCTGAGCCTGAACGGGGAACGGAGCGGCGTCAAGGGCGTGCGATATGTCGACCTTAGCCTGGACGCGGGGGAATGGAGACATCCAGTCTTCAAGCAGAAGGTGTTGGCTATCCTACGGAAGCTCGTAAGTCAACCTGATAAGGAAGGAGGGGTCATGCTGATGTGTAGCGAGTCCCTCTTTGGAACGCTCCGAATCTCCTCCCATCCTATATCCACCTTCAAAAGGTGTCTGGAGCACTCACGAATGCCGTCTTCTTTCTATCGTTCAACCCGTCCCGAAAACCCACATCCCCCAGCATGAGCCCCATGCTCACTCCCACCATGCCCCCCTCGGACCCCGACCTCCCCCTCCTTCCGGAACATTACCCCCCTACACTCCTTCTCCGTATCTATGGTCCCTCCTCCGACGCTCTCATCTCGCGCACTGAAGAGCTCCGGATCCTGCACGTCCTATCTACGCAATACGGCCTCGGTCCCAAAGTATTCGGAACGTTCGAGAACGGTCGAGTCGAGCAATTCTTCCCTTCCCAAGCGCTCACTGCCGACGAGCTGCGAATGCCGCTCGTATCCCGCGGGATCGCCCGGCGCATGCGGGAGCTTCACCATGTCGACCTCAAGGCGCTTGGGTATGAAGATGGGGTAGAGGGGGATCCAATCGTGTGGAAGTGCTTGACGGACTGGGCGCCTATAGCGAGTGAGGTCCTGACCACTCTGGGAGGGTATGGAGGAAGGTGGGAGGTCTGGGTAGAGACGTTCGGCCTGCACAGGCTGGGCGAGGAGATCAGGGTGTATAAGGAATGGGTGGAGAAGAACACTACCAAAGGATTGGTCTTTTCTCGTAAGTACATCCTCAATTGCAGTGCTGAGGACAGATAACGACACGCAATATGGAAATCTGCTCAAGCTGGATGCGGTCCTTCCCAAGGGAATGCCAGACCACCACCGCGTAAGTATTTCCTCCCCTCAATGCGCATCCGCTGACCCTCAGTACATCGTCATCGACTTTGAATACGCCGCGCCCAATCCAAGAGGCTACGACCTCGCCAACCACTTTCACGAATGGCGCGCCAACTACCACCACCCCACTCTCTCCCACTCACTCCAGCCGCACTTCCCATACCCCTCCATGGCCGAGCGCGAGAACTTTTATCGCGCCTACCTGTCCATCGCACTCGAAGGGAAAGAGGAGACGATCCAGAAACGTAAAGATGTGGATGCGGACAAGGTGGAGAGGCTCGAGAGGGAGGTGAGGGTCTGGAGTCCGGCGTGCTCGGTGTTTTGGGCGCTGTGGGGGATTATCCAGGCGGAGGAGCATGTGGGCAAGATGGTGGATGATAAAGAATGGGCGCCGGACTTTGATTACTTGGTGAGTCTTCTGTCCCGTGGGAGAGATCTGCGTGGACGCCAGCTGATGAGGTAGTCGTACGCCATGGAGCGTCTGGAGATGTTTAGGAAGGAAGCACTGGAGCTTGGCGTGCCCCTCCCGCAACCGAAGTAGGGGCGGAGATGAAAGCGGCCGCCAACCTCAGCTGGACCAACTCCCTCCCAGGAGTGATCAGTCGGAAGACGAAGGACGGGGTCACCTTCAGGACTTCCACGAGAGGGAAGGGCAGGAGGTTCAGTTGCAAAAGGTGATGGGTAATTAGGAATCTTGGCCTTTGGAAGATCCTGCATGCATATGCGTATCTGAAGTGAAATAGCGCAACTGCCCTTGGAGGAAGGGCAGGGAGCTTGCGAGGCAGTGGACAGCATGGACAGCCTGAGAACCTGCGCATACACACTCTACGCACTGACTGCTTAGCGCTTACGGAGCTACGGAGAATAGAGGCCATTCAGGCACGGAAGACTATTTAGCCGACGAGATCCGCCAACCAGATCTGGTGCTTGCAGCAGCTCGCTCCACCGCCAGCAGAGTCAAGCTATCTTGCTGTTGTATACCCAACTGTGGATATCTATTACTTCAATATAGCTACTACCCGACCACCACTTCCATCATGGACGAGTCTTACACCTCTCAGTACGACGAAGGGGGCACACCTCCAGCAGGAGCAGGGAGGGACAAGATAAAACGGTCTTATCGTGCTTGGTATGTCTGGTTGGTGGCCGCCTGCCTTGTGGCCCTAGCTGATAGTACAGTCTCCACTGTCGCAGTCGGAAAGCCAAGTGTGACCTGGTCAGCTGGTCACCGCTCAGGCCCTACGGACTTATGCTAACAAACAGGGCGATATCGACGCTCCCTCCGAACCCCCCTGCGGCCGCTGTCGTCGCGAATCCCGGGAATGCGTATTCGCCCCTTCCAGGCGAGGCGGTAACAATGCCAAGCGCAAGCAGAAGGATGAGTCCCAGGAAGGCTCAGAAGCGGCACCTGATAGTGTCCGCCCTCAGAGCGCTACGCTGCCATCAATCGGTGCTGAGCCGAGTCCTGCTGGTCCAAGCCGGAACGCCGGTGAGGGCGGCGGTGGGAGTCGACCCTTCACCGCCTCCTCGCTGGACTACTCGAAGATGATCAGGGATCCGCCTCAGCAGCAGCAGCAGCAACAGCAGCAGCCACAACCTTTCGGCAATCGACCTCACTTCGACCCCAACATGCCCATGGACCCGCGGCTACAACGGCGGTTCGGTGCGCCTCTCAACGACATACTCCAGTCTCCCACTCAAAACCCCTATTCTCTGGCTCTGGGAGTAGGCCAAGACCCATCTCCCGCACACACCGTCTCCCCCGCGCACTCGACAAACCAACCCCCTACTCCCCACAATCAGAATCACCAGGCCGGGGCTGGGCGTCACCTTCCTCCTCCTGGCGAAGGGTCGACCAGTCCCAAACGGCGACGCCTGCACCTCAATCCCCCACTTCACGCGGCCGACCCAAGCAGCATCGTCGTTGCGGACATGCAGAACGAGTCGGACGCGCTGCATATCCTCGCGATGGCTTCGGATGCCGGACGGGGAAAGGGGAAAGGGCAGCAGCGGCGCAGCCGGAGTCCGTCCAAAGCGGCTTCCATCTCAAGGGGGCCTCGACCCATCAAACCGCTTACCGAGTTCCCGTTGATCAAGCTGGGGATAGTCAGGGAGGATCAGGTTGTGATGCTCAGCGAGGTCTTCTTCCGGTGTCATCACCATCTATACGTGAGTCCTGCGCAAGGCATGGCTGATGATAGCCTATGGTACCCTCGGCTATCATACCCAGGACCCCAGAGCAAGTCGCGGTCTTTGCGCAGAATGAGCGATATCTGCTCACTGCCATCATCATCATTGCGAGCCGAAACGACCTGTCCTTGCGTGACGTACACGACAAGTCCTGGGCCGTCTTCAGAGTGAGCACTCTCAGGTCGTCGTAGACTGCTAGCTGATAGATAGGGCTGGCTATCGGACATCCAATGTCTCGGCGCTCCTCCCACGATAGGTCTGGTCGAGGGCTTACTATTACTGGCGGAAAACCTCCCTCGGGATCCCGCGCGAGCGAGAAAGTCCGACCCCGACCTCCACGCTATAGGCTACGGAGATGACGTACATGGTGCAGAGAACCGGCAGGCGTGGATGCTTATCGGGGCGGCTATCCGAAACGCGTATGGCCTGGGACTTGAAAAGGCAAGTCTAAAGACTACTATGTGCTGATAACAGATCGCTGCCAGGCTCATCACCGACTCGGAGCGGACGCTAGAGGGGGAACGAGCCAGACTGGCGTGGACTTGTGAGTCTCCTCGCGAGCGAGACTGACCGTAGATTGTTACCTTTTCGACAGGCACGTATCGCTCCGCCTCGGCTTGGCCTTCTGGTGCCGCGGTCCGACCCTCTGTTTCCAGGGCTTCTCCTCTTCCGCCCAGACCGGTCCACCCGCTGGCGCCCGCAACTTTCCCTTCCTCCGCGAGATCCGGCCAAACGAGGGGGACTACCCGCAAGAAGACCTTGCGGGTCTTCTCCAGGCTCACGTCGAGTTGACTCAGTTGATGAGTAACGCACACGACGTGCTGTACCCTAATGCGGCACGGACAAGGAGTCTCGTCTTGTGAGTCCATAGGCTATATGGAGCTGACGAAAGGTATGGCGAATACTTCAAGTACCTTGATGAGCTCTCCCGATCGCTTGACGGGTTCAAGATCCTCTGGCGGGACAAGAAGTGGAATATCTTCCCGCTGAATGATACGGTCTGGACCATGTTTTACTATGTCCAGCTGTATATCTGTGCCTTCTCATTCGTACGTACTTAAATCGGTTTGAAAGAGTCCTGCTGACGTGTCAGCAAGCACACGTGGAACGGGCAGCGATGCGAGCCGAGGAGGAATATCGCGTATTGGACGAACAGCACCATGCCGGTGGAGCATCCAACGACCTGCCTCGTCCCCCACTCAGTCTCTTCCCCCGGGGAGCGGCGGCCAGCCCCGATGCGCGGTATATCTTCCAATCATGCGAGGCGGCTCGGACTCTGCTGCATATCTGCGTCAACAGCCTTTCGCCTGGAGGAGCACTGCCATTCCTGCCGAGCCGGTATCTGCTTTGGTTCACCTACGCAGCGATTGTGCTACTGAAGGCGCTGTATTCTGGAGCGATGCTCCGGGCGGACCATGCCGAGTTAGTACATGATCATGACGGAGTGGACGGTGCTGATGGGCAGGACACTGAAGCTGGTGGATCGGCTTTGTGGCTGCTTGGCTGCTGCCTCGACGGACGAGGAGCATCCCGCGGTTCGTTATGGGCGGCAACTGGAAGAGCTGAGCAAGAAGCTAGCGGGCCAGGGCGATACTGTGAGTATCTTCTTTGAGCAGAGCTGATAGAAGACGACTGGATCTCCAACGGGCGGCCATACAGTCCCCCTTCCGCCCATGCAACGCTCACGAAATGGGGACCATCCCTCTTCCCATCCGTCCATGTCCTCCTCCTCGCTCCCATGGCTCAATCCTAATCACCCCACACCGCAAATGCCATTCTACCCCCCGTCCTCCTCTCCCAGCTGGACCTTGCCTGTCGCCCCAGCCGACAATCCTCAAATGAACTTTGCGTACCCCTCGACTCCGCTTCCCCTGCAGTCCTCGTATATCCCACCGCCGGGTCAGCAGCCCATGTCGGACCTGCATGGACTGCCACATCCGCATTCGGATGCGCTGGGGCTTGGCGCGGGGCAGAACCACCTTGGATTCGTGCAGCTGGACGACTGGTTTGGGACGGGTAATCTTGGCGGTGGCGGCGCAGGCGGTCCGGCAAACGGTGCGGTCGGAGGAGATGATGATGGGAATGGCGGGTTTGGGGCGCTGGATTTGCAAGATTTCTGGATGAAGGTGGGACCAGGAGAGGTGAGTATGTCTTTTGCTGGCTCGACAAAACTGATCAGATAGGCACAAGGCGGATTCCCCTTCCGTTAAGACAACAAATCTTGGTGCGCTATGCATATTTTACTGCTTCTTTGGCCTCTCCCCAAAGATCTTGGTGCCCACCCGTACACTACTGCTTCCCTCCTTGATCGCCTTGGCGTAATCCGCGCTCATGCCCATACTCAGCTCCAGCTCATCCTTAGACTCGTGTCCCTCGTCCTTCAATATCCGCGCGAGCTGGTCGCGCGTCTCTGTCAAGCACGAAAAGTCAGGGTTGGGCTTTGACATGTCCTCGTGGCTATGATCCCAGCTTCCGATGGTCATCAACCCGAGCAGGTGCAGGCGGTCACAGTTCCGAATGACGTGAAGTGCGAGTTCGGGTAAAGGGTCCGAGGGAGACGAAGAGGAAGTGAGGGGTGGGAGACCGGACTTGGCATCTTCGCCAGAGGTGTTTACTTGGATGTACACGTTGAGGGTTTGTTCGGCGGAAAGGTTCTTTTGGAGGAGGTCGGCGACTTTGATACTGGAGAGGGTCTCGAGGAGGTGCAGGTTGGGGATGGCTACTGTCAGCTAAGCTCGGAGTAGAGACTTACAAGCTGCAAGTTTTGCTTTGTTGGACTGAAGTGCGCCGACAAAGTGCCACTTGATATCATTTGGCAGCTGCAGATCAGCTCATGGTCCTTTCAGGCTGCACTGAGTGGGGTAGACGTACCACAGGTGCCTTGTCCGCTAGCTCTTGAATGTAGTTCTCGCCAAAGTGCCGATGTCCCGCATCGTACAACGCCTTGATATCACTCGCCGGCTTGATCTTTGATATGGGCACTAAGCGAGCCTGAACGTCAGCTGCTGCTCTGGAATCCACACTTGATGGAGGACATACAGGCTTGAAGGGCGTAATATCCTGCGAGGCAGCCTTGATCTCCGCCAGAACCTCGGCGACATTCTCTTCGAGCTCCGCGCGGCGCTCCGGGGTGTAGTCGAGGGACAGGTCGGTCTCCATTTTCTTGGATGCGTAGGTTCTGATGGCTGATGTACGAGGAGAGAGACGAGGTATCAGACGTGCGAGGGGGCGGGTGAACATGCAGTATTATGTAGGTGGATGTAGAGGAGAGAGACTACTGAAAGTTGGAATTGCATCGCGGTCGATCTGGCTGCGGTACGTCATCAGGCTTCAACACGTGGCGAGTAACGGCATGAGGAATGCGGAGCAAGCTGTCTGCAGCCAAAGAAGGAGCAAGGGACTAAAGCGTCTTCGACTCAATCGTGTACAGACTGGCCGCTAGCGATAATTACTCTACCCTCCAGAGCTTGGGCCATTCAGATGTCTCGATATCTGGCATGGGGCAGTAACATCACCGGCTCGCTTGATCCGCTCAGTGGAGATCAAACCATCCGCGAACCTCGGGATGTGACCGGCTCTATTGGCTCTTCTGGAATCGTCTGGACAGGTTGGGCCAGCACTGTCGCGAGGAGTAAGCTCTGATGCTGAACAGCAAGGTGGTTACTGACGTGCCAGCTGCGGACGGACTGAAGATGTGGGGAGGCTCCCCACTGAATGATCCAGGACCTTTCACTGATCTGGCTCTCGGTGCGGTCAAGCGGGTCCTGGGCTTTGACAGTGTGCTAGCCTATCTTGACGGAGAGGGATACGTGCGGAACTTTGAAGGCCAGAAATCAGCTCAAGCCTGGAATGATGTGACCATTTCAGGGCTTGGTGTAGTATTCGCGTTCAAACGTGAGTTGACTCTATCCGGCTTCTGCTGATCATATAGATGATGCTGGAGTCTGTTTCTTCCCCACTCTAGACGACCTCTTCTCCCCCACTTCCAGATCCGAAACACCGCTCTCCTATCCCACCCTCAACCCCTCCCATCCCGCCTCTCTATACAGCATGGAATCCCGCGCCTTCCTCCATTCGGCCGGACCCATGCATCAGCTCTTCGAGATCATCTCGGACGACCGGGGCAAGCCTTGCCCACCTCGTCTAGAACTCATTGAGGACCTCGAAGGGATGGAGTTCCATATCGTGCCGGGAGCAAGAAACCGCTTAGGAATCGTGACAACTGCGGGGGAGGCGTATGTGCTGGACAAGCGGTCGGTCGAGGTGGAACTTGTCGAAGCACCGGGGGATGTGAGGCTACTGGGCCTTGGATCGGACTTTGAGGTGGTAGTGACGGAGCAAGAGGAGGTCTTTGTCAGGGGAAGTAGTGAGTTGTGGTGTAGAAAAACGCTGACGGTAGACCAGTTTGGCCAGCTCGGATTAGGCGATACCGAGTCGGAAGCGGATTTTGTCCAGCTCAAGGTGGACGGCAAAGTAGCGTCGATCAATTGCTCAAGATGGGCCACGATCCTGACTATGCAACCTACTACATGACCCGTCCCTTCCCAGCTCTCAGCGCCGCTATCATGGCTTCGCAGCTCGCTTCAAAAGCTCGAGTCATCTCTGCCTCACCGTCACCCGGGGTCAGCGCGAGGAGATTTTCTTCCGGCTTCACCTGTCCTTCGTCGACATCGCCGTCGGAGAAGAGGTGCTCGTGAGCCTTGATGTAGGCTGGCCACACTATGTGCTCAAAGTACTGTGGGGGATCGGTCCATACGTCACCATCTTATCGTCAGATTTAGCGGGCATGTAGTATGGGAGAAACGTACCATGCAGGTGATATGTCCGCCGATCTTCCCGTCTCTGCTTCAGTACGTCATACGGTACTCGCAAGAAGACGTTCACGTCCAGCTGCGACACCACCTCCTACTACATCAGCCATCATCCCATCTCAGGACATACCTTGTCCCAATACAAGATGAACCCGTCGACGATGAACCAAACGATCTCCTCTCCCCTCTTCGCCGCCTCAGCTGCGGCCTGCGTAAATTTCTCTTTCCACCTCCTACCGACTTCCGGATCTATTCCGACCGAGGCCTGAGTATTGAGCTGGTCGTGTCCGGTATGACCAGGAGGAAGTTCGCCGGTCTTGCGGGCATGTTGTAGTGCAGCCCGAAATGCAGGCCATAGTATCGCTGTGGAGGGATCATCCCAATCACGTACGCCGTATTTGGGTGAGTAAGGGATGTCTTCTTCGCGCTACCACTGTCAGCTACTGATGGCCACATACTCTTGGGGAGCGTGACGGACGGGCGCAAAGTCGTCCTGATGCAAGATATGGGAGTGGGTGGGGAGGGCGCGTTGGATGTGCTTCGCGAGCAGGGTTTTGCCGGAGCAGCTGGCGCCACTACATCGTTCAGCTCCACTATGGTCAAATGGGCAAGCTCCTCACCCGATGCCGACGATGATGAGACGCTTGTTTGCCATGATGAGCGCGGTTGTACACGGAGGGTTACTAGAGCGAGGTGGACATGTGTCTCGGCGCCTGATTGACTTTCTAGCTAAGGAATGTGGAGGTAAGCGGATGTGATGCTCGCCGAGAGGCATGATAGACGATACAAAAACAAAGAAGACTCCAATGACTATCGCGATATCCTGACAACCCTGTCGTAGCCCACACTAACCACCTCCCACTCGGTGTCCCCGAGGTTCACCACTGCGCAGTCCCTGATGATCCCACTTGTCGCCGCGCCCGCCGCCTCCTCTGGCAGCCCATGTACCCGCAGACTCGTCCGGATCTCGCCTGATATGGATAAGAGATGGAGCAAGCCGTTCGGCGAGGTCGTTCTAGCATCAGCATGAACTTTAGCCTATATGCTTACATTAGGCCCGTTCCGTCAGGCAACCAGCTCATTCTCGGAAGGACATAGTCATCTGTATCTGATCCGGTCCATATACATCCTAGTCGCTCGGTCTGATATCAGCCCCCGTGCTGATGATGAACTCACATCTTCGGCGTCTACGCCGTATAGTAATATCCGCTCGCCCGCATTCCCCGCATGATCCCCCGTCTGGCAAGCAATGATTTTGCCGCTGGGGTGTAACGCCATGTTGAGCACCGAGAAGCTGACGTGCGTATCGTAAGCGTGATGATTGAACGACTTGGTGCGTATGGAATCGGTAGCGCTTCCGAGGAGGACGTAGTATAGCTGATGACTCGACCGGGTGGTGTACATGAGCCACTGAGAATTTGGGTGGAAGAGCAAGGCTTCGGGATTATGGTCCACTTTAATCCGGCGATACTCGGTATAGCGGACACTGGGCTCGCAGGCGAGGTATGGGTCGTCCGTATCGTCCAAGACCTCCTCGGGCTGGTCATCGGATGTCAGACGATAGATGACGACATGCTTGTCGTATGAAGCTGTCGCTAGCCACTGACCGCATGGGCTGAAAGCGACACGGACGACAAATTTGGTGGACCGGAAAGTCTGGACGGGTTGCTGGGTGATCAAGTCGGTAAGGACGGTCCTGGGATCAGCGTTATAGGAGAGGCAGACTCACGTTCCGTCCATGGAGCCAGTGATGAGATAGCGCGGCCGCACAGGATGTTGAGCCATGCTCAGGACTGCTGCCTTATGGGGCTCAAGGATGTTAGTGACCTGTCGTCAGCTGGGATAGCTCGTCAACCTACTTCTCCTGTCTCATAGTCCAAGATGGACACCGTCTTGTCCACCGAAGCTATCAGTACGCTGAGGGTGGAGCTACATATGTATCTACCGTCAGCTTTGCTCCCAGCTCAACTTACGCTGCCGTAGACGTATCAAATCGTCTCTTCGGAACCCTTGCGACAATCACAGCGAGCAGATTCGCCGCGCTGATGCCTTCTACATTCCGCCTGACCTTCTCCAGCCGCACCTCTGGCTTGAGCTGAAGCCCAGATATGTCCCTGCCCGTCCATCTGTCCCAGCTCCCATCTGTCGCCTTGTCATCGATCGTGACCGCCTGGACAGACTTGGCTAGCTGGCTCGAGAGATAGTCATGCGCGAGCGTCCTTAGATCTGGGTTGGGCGGCCTCGAGAGATCCGGAGGGGCCAGACCTGTAGCATGGAGGAAGGACGGGAGGGCGGAAGGGTAAGACACAGCGAGATAGTGAGCGATAAGGGGTTGTAAGGTGGACATGGTAGATGGACAACGTGGAGTGGAGGTTGTCCACCTCAGCAGCTTTCGTCACTCAACATCACCCCCTTCACTCTATCAATCATACAACCTTCTGCCTCAATTCCACAATTGCTGTGCAATGCAGCTACTGACCTACGGGCAGACCATATGGGACGTGCTCGATGACCTCGACTCGGAGGGGTACTTTGATACCACGGAAGACGCCATTCGGTTCGCCGACCAGGTCAAAGCGGAAATCAGACACAAACTCGCCCTCCCCCTTCCATCCCTTCCAGCGGCCCGCTCGCCCCCTCTCTTCCTTCCAGACGTCTCGACCGAAGCTGGCCCGTCAGCTAGATGCGCCAGCCCTACCTCGTACGACTTTGACGCCCCGACTATCAGTACACCTGGGGACCGCTCGGCCGTGATCCGTCCCCCTCCTCCTGCTCCTCCCACCGTTCGAGCGTCCCCTCGTCGGCTCATCTCCACCTTCGCTCCAGAGGTCGCGTCGCCGATCGATACGCCGACCACCAGGAACACCCCCTCGCGGTCATCTTCGATTGGCGAGGGACAGGGGAAACGGGATGACCCCGCTACGCCCGTACCCCTCGGCGAAGCAACCTTTGCCAAGCTACGCCGGAGAAAGGACTTCATCGCCGTCTCGGGGCACTTCGCAGCCTTCACGGAAGGGCTGATGAAGAGCAAGGAGCCCATTGCGCAGAAGGGCGCGAAAGGGCGGAAGGGCAAGCAGCCGGAACGGGACGCGACGCCAGGCGGGATACTGGACGGCTGTATAATCTGCCTACCCATCGAGAAGGGGCCGGTACCGGTGTCTAAGCACAAGCTGTTCAAGTTCAGATGGGACTTGGTGAGTCAGCTCGACGGGTACAGCTGATACAGATCGACCAAATGGGCGGTCAAGTCGTCCTCCAGCCCAACACCGCTATCACGCATGTCATATATGACGGGTCGTCGGCGTCCACACTGTGTCAGATGCTCGGCATCGACGCATTGAGTGATTTACCGGAGGGTACCGTATGCGTCAGCTGGAACTGGATTGGGAAGTGCAAGCTGGAGGTACGTCAACGGAAGGGCTAGCCTGATGACAGCGCACTCGCCTAGACCCATCCACATGGCTCGCCTTCAAGCAATTCCCCTCTCGCCCCCCGGCGAAATCCCGCACCTCCAGTAAGCTGAGGGAGGAGATCACCGTGACTGAAACCGTGTCGCATAGAAAGTGAGCATCCGCCTTGTTCTGTGCTGACAGAAGACGCCGCGAGCACACTGCCTCCGACTCCGAGACCGAGTCCTCCAAGCGGCAGCGGCCATACACCACTCGCTCTGCCCCAAACGTCAAGGCCTTCTTTGTCTCCTCCCCCGAACCAGAGTCTGAAACTCTCGGCGAGCGGAAGCGGCACTCCTCTCCCGCCAAAATGACCTCGCCGGCCAAGGACAACAGGACAGTCCACGATGCGCCGAGAGGGCCGGGGTGGATCGAAGGGACCTCGGGAGACCGAGATGGGCTGGACGACCTGATCTCGGGGATCCAAAGTGGGGAGGTGGAGGCTGAAGATGAGGACCCGGTGGAGATTGAGGGGAACCCGAATCCTTGGGCCAACAAGTTTAAGTGCGGGCAGGCGCACGATGGAACCGCGGCGGAAGGGCCGAACGAGTGGCTCGCGTCCAAGTTCGACGAGATGTACAATATGTACACGGGTGCGAAGCACAAAAACCACTTTCAGCTCCGAGGATATATGCTTGGTGAGTGCTGCTTTGTATCGAGCTGACGATAGCTGCTGCTGCAATCCGGCGGACTACTTGGCTCATTAAGTCTGGCGATGAGGCGGCCAAGATCAAGGGAATCGGAGAAGGCTTCAAGACTCGAGTGAGTGGTATCCTGGTCGTTGGAGTCGGCGTCCGTACTGAACGACAGATCGATGAGTTTCTGCAGGGTCGACCCGGCCGCCTGTTTTACGATATGGACGAGCAGATGCAGGCGACCCAGGCATTCGCCAAGATCTACGGTGTTGGTACGTCAGCAGCACAGGCAGGACTGACAAGTAGGCAAGAACCTGGCCTACGACCTGTATCAGAAAGGCGCTCGGACCATTGCCGACCTCGGTGCTCCCTCAAACCCGTACAACCTCAGCGGAGGCCAACAGATTGGTATCCAGCTTTACGACGATCTCAATACCCGCATCCCCCGCGCCGAAGGCAAGTCGATACACGACCTCGTCCGAGCCGAAGCGATCCGAATTGAGCCTAAACTCTGGATTGAGATCATGGGCTCCTACCGCCGCGGGCAAGAGAACAGCGGGGATGTTGATTTCCTGATCACTCGTGATCCGAGTGTCGATGGGATCACGCACGCTGGTGTACTGCGGAAGCTCGTACAGAACCTGATGGATCAGGGATTCATCACGCATGAAGTGAGTCCTGGGCTTAGCTTAGCTGAGAGAAGCTGAGCCAACCCCACGATTGGTCAGAGCTGGAGGCAAAGTGGATGGGGATATGCCGGCTCGAGAATGGGTTATACCGACGGATAGGTGAGTCTGAAAGCAGAGCTGAGCTGAGGTAGACATCCTCTGCATACCATTCGAGAGCTGGGGCGCCTCCCTCATCTACTTTACCGGTAAGTTCCGACCCCCGACATCGCTCAGAGCCGAAGCTGACCATCAGGAAACGATATCGTGCGTCACTGTCGACGTCCCAGCTGATGACAGTTTAACCGATCCATGAGACTCTATGCCCGCAAGCAGGGTCTCTCGCTGAACCAGCGTGGCCTATATAAAGGCGTCATCAGAGGCAAGGATGGGTTGAAGATGACGGAAGGTGAGTATACTGCCGGCGCTTGCTGATGATCAGGCGAGATTGTGGCAAGTCGGACGGAGCAGGATATCTTTGAATACCTTGGGTTGCGGTGGCGGCCGCCTCATCAGCGACGACCGTAGCGCGATTCATGAGCAGGTAGATGGGCGTTCGACAAGGGCGTTGAAGGGTTCCGGCCGAAATTGAGGATGGGGTCATGAGGGACCAGCGGTTGCACATATTTGCCCTATTCTTCTTTGTAGCTATACAATCAGACATGCCTTCCTGCTATTCTCTTCTAGACTCGCAGCGCTCTCTCGCGCATGGCATCAACGCATACCGCCCTGCAGTCGATTTGTGCAGCTGCTGAGCGAATCGCCACCTGCGCCACCTCGTCATGCCGGTCAGGCACGCGACGGCGAGACGCGAACTTTTTGCGGGGGAACGCGTCCTGAATCTGGGGCAAAGGGGGACGCGTCTGAAACTGGCAAAGGGGTAGCAAGCTCAATCTATGGCCTATGGCTGACAGTCGCGTGCTCATCTAGTCTCCATACTGTATATCTAGGTCATCTATCACTCCCCGCCTGTCCGCAGAACGTACAGCAGAGCCAGTCACACGATGCGTCTTGCCGCTCCGACCCATATTTCTCTCCCACCGCGCGTGATGTCCTTGTCTGGGTAGGTCCCTTATTGCGCCGCCTCTGCTATAGCTAATCCATAGATGTCTCTCTGCAAATGATCTGGCATCTTCCAGCGGGCCTTTTACGCCCAATCCCCACACACCGCTACCGTACGAGGGGTCCGCGCTGGACTTCGATACCGACCGGATAAGAGACGCTATTCAGCTGGACGAGGGGTCGAGCTCTGCCGGAAAGCGGAGTAGGGAAGAGGAGGCGCCTCAGGACACGGAATGGACAGAAGAAGAGATGGAGGTGATACAGGCTGTGCGTTTCCCAACTCCCACTTGAGACGGTACTGATCAGTCAGACAGTTAGACATCCTTTCCGACCCTTATCGAGCGCGTTCCCGCCTGGCGAATTACCGCCACCTAGGCTCATTGACGAACTCACCAACCAAATCCTCTCGCATGGTCTGCGCGGGTCACCCAGCGGGAAGACAGTAGGGGACGGCTGGGTACACGGCTGGGACGCTACGCGGAAGAGGGTGTATACTGCTGCGCTGGATGCCAGCCGGGTGGCGCATGGGATCGAGAAGGAGAAGCCGTCCCGGGTTGAGCGGGCGAGTCGGCCGGGATTGCGCAGGGTGGACAGCATGGACTTTCTGGATCAGGAGCGAGAGACCGAGTGTTCTAGTGTGGGCGCGGCGATCAGGTGAGTCTGTCACTCTGCAAGAGAGGCCATGCTGATGGAAGATTATCCACGTCCCTGCAGAATAGTGCAAAGGCGGCCGCACCGGCACCGGTCATGGCTTCCGAACTGGCTACATCGCCACTGAATGAAGCAGGTCCGTCCGCCACCTCGTCTTCATCATCATCTTCGTCATCTCTACCGCTCGGCTTCCCCTCCGCCCCAGCGGCTGCTCCTCCACGCAAGAAGAGCACCCAGCGCGCCTCGCTCACTCGTGCTGCCCGACCCGCGTCCCTCCTACAGCGCGGAAAGAGCTACACGGCTATCGAGCTCCTAGCTGAAGGCAGCATCTCCCCACAATCCCCTCAATCCCCCGCTATGCCCGTCCTCCCCCACGCTCCTGCCCCTCCACAACGGCCTGTCCGCATCACCCGCTCCCAATCCTCCATCATGGCCTCCAAGCCCGCGCCGCACGCTGCGCGCGACTCGTTCATGCACCAGCCGCAGCCAAAGGCGCTCGAGCAGTCATTCACATTGGATGTGCGCACGTCCAGCTCGCCCAGCTGGAGCGACTCGGAGGACGACGACGAGGTCAAGCCAAAGCGGACGCGTCCGATCGCTCGGAAGCCGGTACGTCCGAAGGAGACGGGGAGGGGATCGGAGGGGTCGGATGGGTCACTTCAGAGTCCTTTTGAGGAGCAGAGTAGCTTCCTGTAGCATATAGCCCCGTATCGCGTTCCATATTGTCTGCATGCCATCAATACCGTATCTTCGGGACCGATCTGCATGGCGTTTTAGAGTTTGGAGGCACACGCCCATTACGCCTCTTTACGTACCGCACTCGTACCTTAATTTCAAGCTCCGCACGCGGGTGTTTTCAAGGCAACTTCACAAGTCGGATATGACTCGCATACCTCACATCTGTGTATAAGTCCAGCGCCTGCTTCGGTCCTTGCCTCGCCCCGCTGTCATCCCCAGAACTGCTGAGGGAGCGGTGTGAGGACGTCCATGTCTTCCTCGAATCCATATCCCGTCGAACCACCTGGATTCTTTTTGGGATCTTTGCTGGCTGTACGTCCTGAGGTCTTCGGGAAGACTTGAGTCTGCGGAAAGCTTAGTAGCTGACTTCCAGTGCGTGCTATATGGCGTCCATGTCGCACAGGTCTACTCGTTCTTAGACAGCCTGAGCCGTCGTGCATCGACATATCACCGGTACCTCGTCTGCTGGGTGCTCGCCCTGTCGACCGCGCACATGCTGGTAGTATGGTCGGCATCTTATCGGTACTTTGTAGTCGGGACGAGCGATCTGAGCATCTGGGGCGAGTTCTGGTGGGTACTCAGCGTACAGGACGGCCTGGTGAGACCTCTGGCTGGGCTGCATGGCAAAGGCAGAGCTGAGAGCAGGTACCCCTCATGGCTGCGACTGCTCAGTACTACTTTGGCCGTCGGGCTTGGATACTATCAGGGCGGAAACGGTGGATCATGATATTTACTGGAGTCATGCCTACCATCACGCTTGGTCTTGGTGCTGCGTAAGTCTCTACCCAAATTGTCGCTGACGGCAGTCTCGCTATTACTGCTCGAGCATGGTCTGTCGACCCTTGGATCAGCCCCGCCGAGATGGCATCCCGACCGATCGGCGTCCCCTCTCAAATCGTCGCTATCGCCTGGATGGGCTGTTCTGCATTCACAGACGGCCTCCTCTCCTCCATCCTCATCTACTACTTCTTTCAAGCCCGACGCGGAACAACCCGATGGACCACCCGTCGAATCGCCAAGCGTTTCATCGCACTGACGCTCGAAACGGTCCTCCTCACGCACGTCGTCGGCGCCATCATGTGCATCATCTTCCTCGCGTCCCCCGCGGCGCATCGGACCAAGAACAATCTCTTCTGGGTCTTATTGGAAATCATTACGGAGCTGTATGCGCTTTCCATCCTGTTTACGATCATTCATCACGAGTCGGTCCGGGTGGCATTGAAGGACGAGGTATATCCGGTGGTGCAGATCGGAGGGAATTGGACGGAGGGACAGGCGAGGGCGATGCGCCAGACAGAGTTGGACTGGCGCGTCGAGGGGCATCGGGCGAGCTCCTTTGTCGTGGAAGTCAGTGGGGAGCAGCAGGACTCGTCGCAGCCGTCCGGTGGAATAGGGTCGTCGACGATAGCGGGAGATAGTCCGTGGACACCAGCAGAGCAGGTCGTCCTGGCTGAGGTTAGCTATTTCGGCCGCATGGATGAGGCCTCGAGCGGGAGCGAGGACCGTAAGAAGTCAAATGGTAGCCCTGGTTAATTCTTCTCATTTGTAGCCTTGTAGTATTTGTATGCGCATGATCCCAAAACCCATTGCAAGCTCACAGCACCCACCGGTCGGCGCAATACTAAGAAAAGCCATGATGAAAAACCTGCCCTCTTGCGATTGGTCGATGTCATGTGTAGCCTTGTAGCACTTTATATAGCGCATAATCCATAGAGTATCGGTACGACTTCACCTACCTAGGGGTCGAAGCAACTCTGAGAGCAGTCACTTTAATCCCCCTGCCCTATCCACATCGCTGCCTTGCCCCCCACCGTTTGTAGTCTAGTAGCATTTGTATAGCGCATGATCCATAAAATATCATTACAAGTTCACAGCTACCTACCGGTCGAAGCAACCCTGAGAACAGCCATGATAAACCCCCTCCATTCCCTGCCTATCGCCTCCACCTCACATCTAGCAGCACCCTCCCGCAGCCTTCTGCTCGACATTCTGTCCCAGACCCTTGATGGTCGACTTGCCGCCCGGTCCAGCAGCCATAGAGTTTGAGCCCATCCTGATGGTCAGCCAAACCTCCTGCATTGGGAACGGGACTTGAGACTTACCGGTCCTTGATCTGCTTCGACATGGTCAAGAATGCTTGTTCGACGTTGGTAGCGTTCTTGGCCGAGGTCTCAAGGAAAGGAATGCCGAGCTCATCAGCAAAGGCCTGTAAAGTCAGCTACATCCTTTTTGTTTAGACTCGCAACCCACCTTGGCCGCTGCGTAATCCACAACCTTCTTGGTGGCAAGATCCGACTTGTTACCGACAAGAAGCTTGTTGACGCCCTCGACGGCGTATCGGTCAATCTCCTGGAGCCACTGCTTGACGTTCGAGTAGGTGTCTGAGCTGTCAGTCCTGAAACAAGGTTCGCGCTCAGGGCAAAAGTCATAAACTTACCGCTGTCAGTCACATCGTAGACCACGATGATACCGTGTGCTCCACGGTAGTATGACGAGGTGATGGTCCTGAACCGCTCTTGTCCGGCTGTGTCCCACTGGATGTCAGTTGGAGCTTATCGCATAAACGCACGATTTGCAGCTTGACAGTCTTCCCCTCGAGCTCAATCGTGCGGATCTTGAAGTCGACCTGATCAGTCAGCTCAGCCTTTATTCCTATTCGTGGGGCCGCGAACTCACGCCGATGGTGGAGATGTAGCTCTCGGTGTAGGTATCGTCCGCGAATCGGAGGAGGAGACACGACTTGCCCACTCCAGAATCTCCGATCAACAACAGCTATCGGATCAGCCCAGCTTCATCCTTTGACAAAAGTCCTCGATTGACGCACCTTGAAGAGGTAATCATACTCGGCGGCGTGCGACATGATGGTGGATGTATAGAAAGATAAGAGGTGATTACTGCCGAGGTCAGCGTGGATGGCGCGGGCGCGGTGCACGGTGACGTGATACGCCAGGAATGGGGCCTACGGGAAGGGCTGTGCGGAATGCTGCTGTTCGAAGGCACCTATACGGATTTGCTGACTGATGGACGATGCGGTAGCGGTGTCTAGCCAACTGTGGATAGCTGTGTATGATAGCCAAAGAGAGTGTATATAGATGGATATCGGGTGAAGTGAATGGGTTTGTTGCTGGCAGCAGCAGCTTGCTTGTTGCTTTGAGTGGCGCGGACAGTGCTCAGATGACGCAAATCTAATTACGCGACCCACTTAAGCCGTATTTGGTCCCGCTGAAGCACCTCTGACACTGAATGTGCTGAGCACAGCAGTCGTGGTTGGTACTAGTCCCCCACGAGGGACCGTGAGGCCACGATCGCCCCTCGAAGAGCGAGATACGATGCGCGTGCATGCCTGCCTGTCGAAAAGCCGCCTCTCGCCGGTCCTGTCCCACCCGAATTCCCCTAGCGCCGCCCTCTTCCAGAATCTAGAATGGCTTGTCCGAGTCCGGTGTCTTGTCTGTTGTGGTGGAGTGGGAGGTACGAGTAGACACGATGAATAAGTAGGAAAGAGTGGCGGCGATATCAAGAAAGAATCTACGTCAGCGCGTTCCACAAGGAGTGAGAGAGGTGAAAGGCTCACCTGTGAAGTAGCTCGAGACCTGGAATATGGCAATGTAGGGGATATAGCATGAGTGGTAAGTAGAGATGATGAGATTTGTGGTGAGAGCCAGACAAGAAGAGCATGGTCAGCCATGTCACCTCCATGATCCAAGAACAACACTCACAGCTGGGATCTTCCTCAACACATCCTTCTGGAAAAGAGGCACATCGCTCAGGAAGAGTGATACGGCAATACCGATACCGCCTCCCCAGAGCATCAGGGGTGCACGCCATCTCATCAGGCGCCTAGCCATATCAGCTCGAGCTCACAAAAACCAGCAGCTCCGGCTCCGGGTGGAGGTCGGGCGGGGCGAATTCGGACCTACTCGACATTCAGTCCGCCCATGCTCTGCAGGTGTCAGTTCTTTCTCCCGGTTCTACAGGTTGTGAATGGCGGGTAGCTCACTGGTTGAGGTTTTCTTGTGAAGGCGGGCATGATGGTTGATATGGGAAGGGAGGATATGGAGCGTTATTGAAAGTGGTTGTGTGGTGGTCGTTTCCGAAAAGGACGAATCGCGCAGAGCGGAACTGTCCGATCGACGCCACGTGGCGTTTTAGCAGCCAGGCTTGCCTCGCCTTGCCTAGTCCTTGCCTCTTGCAGTCATATCGCATCGCCAGTGCATCGCCCCCGCTGCAGTACTGCTCGACGCGGCAAGGTATCGCAGGCTGTCATATTGTCACTGTTACAGATGCATCTACCTGTAGATATCTACCCACTACTCCGCGAGCGGCCGGTCCATTGCACCAACCAGTCCCCTCCACTCCTCCAGCTGCTCGACCGGTACGCCCAGCTCCCTCGCTTCCTTACTCAGCGCCGCAATATCCACTCGCATCTGCTCATCAAATCGTCTCTCCTCCTCCCCTGCTTCATCCGCATCGCCCCCCTGGCCTCCTGATCCGAACAGCGAGAATCCCGTTTTTCTGCCTTTCCGATGCCGCCTCAGCAGATCTTCCGTCTTGCGCACAGACAGCAGCATGGCGTTGAATTGGGTGAAGACCTCGATGGCGACTGTCCGAGTGAGTTCTTGTTTTGGGGCGGAGGGCAGAGAAGGGAAGTCGGAGAAGGCGGTACGGAGGGGGCGGAAGACGAGGGAGATGTAGGGACTGGGCTGGACGGAGCGGTTTGTGGTGGTCCGGAGCTGCGAGGCGACGGCTCGGATAGGCTTGAGTTGCTCCAGACATCGTGCGGAGAGCGTCGATGATGCGATCTCGCTGTACTCTGTGCTTGACAGGAGGTCCGATACTACTGTCAGCGGAGTAAATGGGATGACTCACAAGACTGCGATATCCCAGCAGTAGCGAGGACAGCTTGCACCTTGACATCCAGGCAGGAGAGGTCGATCATTGCTCTCAGCGCAGTCCGTAGTTGCGTATCGTCCGTCAGAGGGTCGACAGTAACGTCTGCAGACTGATGCAGCCAATTCCGATATCTCGACAGGATCTGATGATCAGCCGAGACTTTGTGCTTGTAAAGCAGTACTCACTTGCAAAGTCAACTTCCAGAAGCGGTCCGCTAAATCCTGGATGTAGACCTCATCCGACCAGCACGTTTCTACCGCCTCATACACTCCCGCCGTCTGCGGGATAGCCCAGTCTTTGTTCTGCGTTGGATCCTCCAGCGCTCTTTCGAGCCGAGTGACAATGTCTTTCCACCTCAGCTGGAAGTAGACAGGTAGTTGCCATTGACGATGCAGAGCCGCCAGGTCGGAACTGGCCCTGATCGTAGCTACGACCGAGGCGGAAGGGGCGAGTGATTCGAGGCTCGCGAGGAAGTGGGATGTGGTAGTGTAGTTCTACTATCAGCCTCGTACAACTCCAGACTCACTTTATGCAGCTCGTCTGGCCGTCCCGCCGAGAAGATGGTCCGGCCTAGATTGGTCCGTATTGAGGTGGTGATGCAGGGTATGACGACCTTTTCGACGAAAGCGAACCGAGGTGAAACGTCCTCAGCGAGATCGAATAGCAGTGAGAGGTCGTACAGCTCCTCTAGGAGTCGGTTGTACATGTCTGCAAGTGCAGAATGACCCGCGACCCTCTCGAACGGATTTGAGGCTGAATGAGGCGTCTGTGGTGCCTTTGGCGTTGCCGGAACTGCCAATGTGCTTGGCTGGATGATCTGTCGTCAGGCCGACTCCAGCAGGGGAACATACCTGATCACACAGCTTCCGGACTATCGACTGCACAGTCGCTTGCACCTCCTCCCATCCCTCGATGATGTCGTATACACTGAGGCAGTCCAGTATGCCCTGCGTCGACCGGTCCTGAATGGCGCCAACGAGCACGCCGGCCAGCTTGCTCTGGATTCGTATTCTGATTTGCTGTAGTCGCTGCTGTCAGTCCGAATAAATCAGTATACTCACTGGTCCAAAAGCAGTGACCATGGCGCATCCCTCCGTCTCGAGCTTCCGTAGCAGGTAGATGATCTGCGAATACTCGTTTCCTACGCGCAGGATATCCTTGACATCCACAGAACGCTCGAGATCGTTCAGAAGCGCCTCTGTTCGCGTGATCGATTCGGACAGCTTGTGCATCGACTCTAGTAGCGCCTGGAATCAGTACGACCAGCATGTAGAGCTCACAGTTTCATCTCGCAGTTCCGACCTCCGAGTCAGGTTGGACTGAAGCAAAAGCTCATGGGCCCTCAGCGCATCATTGACGAGCTACAGTCAGCACCTTACCGCACTGAATCTCACCTTGACCTCCTGCTGTAGCTCATCCAGCGGACCCTCTAGCCGCTGCAATCTTCCTACCTCCCCTCGCAGGCCCACACCGAGCGAGATGAACTCCTCATAGTCTTCGTTGATGAGCTGTACAAGCTCTTCGCGGAGTACAGTGAGATATGACCGCAGCTCCCCCCGAAGCTCTTCCAGCGGTACGTGTGATCTACTCTGTAGGAGGTCGTCCGGATTGAAGGTGTCCTGGGAGAGCAGGGGATGATCATGCGAGAAGGGTTCGAGGGCGGGGAGGTCCAGGGATGGCTTCGAGGTGGAGGAGGAGCGGGGCGAGGCTGGGTGTCTCGAGCTCGACGCGATGTTCTCCTCCTGTCTGTAGTCCCCGTTGGTAGTGGGGCCGCTCATGGCTGCCAAGGCTAGCTGTACTATAGCATGTAGATAGTCGTGGATGCGAAGCTGTCTCAGTTGCGGAGTGAGCCAGAGACCTTTACGGCATGCAACTTGCCTCGGCAAAGGCAAAGGCAGCTCAAAGATATACCTCTTCATCTCATCCTCATAACACTAATCCCCCCTCACCCGAGAACACTACAAGCATCGCTATACCCTTACCATGCCCGGCACCTTGAGCAGCCCCCACTCCCCTACCCATCCCACACAATCGCCCGCGGCGGGTACACCAGGAAGCTCTTCGCTATCCGCGGGAGCGAGCGGTGTCCGCTCAAGGCGTGCTGTTCGCATCGTTTCTTCATACCCGCGCGAAGGGGATTCCAGCTCTGACGATGAGGGTCCCAGGTCGATAGAGGGACTCCCGAATGATGGTGCGTCCGTGCCGGTCGCAACAGAGGTTGAGCTAAATTATCAGGAAGCCAATCTCACAGCCGTCATCCTTCCGGTCCTGGACACACTACCACCTCCCCCACCTCACGACTGTCCTCCATCGTCGGCTCGGAGGTCTTTGTCAACAAGTCCAACCTATCCAGCGGGCAAGCCATGCGAAACGCTGGCTCCTCCTCTTCCTCCCTCGCACGCTTACCTACGGCGGCGTCCGAAACTCGCGAAGCCTCTACTGCGCCTCCACCTCGCGCACAGGCCGGTCTGGTCGGTATAGAACGGCACAACTCGTACCCTACTACATCGGCCGTAGCTGGAACTGGCGAAAACCCTTATACCTTTGCGAGAAGGGAGTCAGATCAGGTGACGGACGAGGAAGAGGCGGAAGATGATGATCTACTCCATCAAGCTACGATGTCGGAGTCTCTGCGACCGACTATGCGCACCCCGCCCAACTCGACGGATAGCAGGGAGAGGCTGGAGTGGCGGAGCATGTTGTCGTCCGTTCTCAGCGGGGATATATTGCGCGGGGAGAGCTCAAGGATCGGGTTGGACAAGCCGGGCGATGTCGTTTTTCGGAAGCGGATCGGGCAGAGTTTGTGGTGGCAGATCCGGGCCAAGATGAGGGGGCGGTCTGAGATTGAAGAGAAGCGGAGAGTAGAGGAAAGGCGGGGACGCGTGGTGGATGCGGTACTGGAGGAGGTGGAGGGGTTTACGGTCAAAAAGACCCCTCCGCCCCCGCCGACAGAGGATGGGGAACCGGTCTCGGCGGAAGACAGCACACTCCAGCAGGTGGCATACATGCTGCAGAAGCTGGCGCTCGTCGAGGCGCTGTACCCCACACAAGCAGCCTTCCGGGCTGCCAAGCCGCTTTACGACTCGCCGGCAATGCAGACCCGCATCCAAGCGCTGTCCGCTTGGTACAGCATCGTCACGTCCCTACAGGCGCAGCTCGCCGTCCTTCAGCGTTGGACCGGTACCGACGACCTCGACATCCTGCGTCCAAACACCACCAAAGAAAAGGCGCTGGTCGGTAAGAATCGGTACCATCCACTTGACGGAAAGGCCAAGAACGCGGCGGAGGGAGCGGCCGATCAAGCGGCGGATGACTCGACCTTTCTCGAACGTATCTCCAAAGAGGAGAATATCAAAAAGACGTTTGAAAAGCGCGTCTTTCGCGACCTCATCAGCATCATCCTCGCGGCCAAAGAGACCGTCATTGCCTTTCAGTCCGTCTTTGACGAGATGCAACTCCCGGACTTTCGGTTTGCCACCCTACGCCTCATCACCTTCCCCGGTCGGCTCGTCATGGAGTCGCTGAAATCCCGGCTGGAAAAGAGCGTCAACCTCAATGACGGGACAACGCTCACGGCCATCATCGAATCGCTGGATGGGTTCCGGCTCACCCTCAGCTTGGCGGTCCTCATCAAGCGGCAGTATGAGAGCATCATCTCGCCTGACAAGGACGGTCGGTGGAACGTCCCTCCGTGCCTACCGGCAGAGTACGATCAGACTCTGCTGAACGGTATCCGGAAGTTCTTCCATGTCCTCCATCTGAGGTTGAAGGATGGGGATCGGACAATCTACTTCCGGGAGACAGAGATCTTGGAAGATGAGTGGGAGTTCTTGGGCGAGGTAGCGGAGGCGGTACATGGGGGTGATCTTGTTGTCGCAGAACAGTTCTGGTGAGTTAGCCCTCGAGGTTTGGCTGACTTTAGTTCCCTCACCAACAAGCTGCTCGTCCGGGTTGGCAAGAGCTTCCAAATGCAGATGCAGGCAACACCTGCCGAGATCCTCAGTCAGCACGAGCACCACACCGAGGCGACCGTCCAGGAGGACCAAATCGCGCACTTTGTCAAGATGCTGGACATTGCGAGAATGAGATATCGGAAATTGCAGCGGTTTGCAAGGTACGTCGAGCCAGAGTGCAGAGCTAAATGCAGGCGTCTCGCATCCCGATTCGACAACTCGGCCGAGTATCTCTTTGATGATGAAGATCTCGACCTCCTCATCGAGCGTCTTCTCGCCACTGGGCACTTCCTCGTCTACACTACCGTTTTCGAGGAATCGGGTACCTACATCATTGCGTCCGAAGAGCTTTGGAACGAGCCAGCTGCGGTCCGCCGTCTACTCCATCGGGCGTTCTCCACCGGCGTGATGAGTCTAGGCTACACCGGCCGGTCGCCCGTCTACCACCCGGATACCTACGTCGATGGTCAGCCCGATCCGGGTGTGGACGAGGATGAAGCACCGCCGGAGTTTGTGCCATACCTCGTCCTCCTCTCCCCTCGGCAGAGCTTTGCCTGGACGGGCGGGGTCATGACCCTCGACCTGGACTTTATCGACTTTGCGGTCCCGGACAACCGAGCGCGGCTCATCGCGGACGGACCGGCCGCTCGGCTCGCGCTGTGCAAGCGGATCTTTCAAGATTCCTGGCTTGGCGCAGAGGACGACGATCGGGTGCTGGACCTGCACTGCGTGGCGGAGCAGCAAGCGCACCTGCCTCGTGTGCAGCGGGAGCTCCTCCGGATCGGGCGGTCCACTTATCGGTTGTCCGAATCCTTCATCCAGTCGGCATCACACGTCTGCTCCTCGGTTGCGGGTGCACCGGGCAGCCAGGACCTCGTCGAGAACTGGTACCTCTTTGCGTCGGACCACGGACGGCGCGTGACCCCGCTCATCGAGGCGTCCATGCTGGAGCGCTTCTCCCGCCTCCTCATGCGCCTCGCCATTAGCTGGGTCAAATTCATCTCGGACACCTGCGATCCTACCGACCGTAAAACCTTCCGGTGGACTGTCCAGGCGCTCGACTATGCTCTTAACGTCACGAGCGACGGCAACATCCTCTTTCTCGATACGGCCGAATTCGACCACCTACGGAAAAGCGTCGCCGCGCTCGTCTCGCTCCTCATCTCACACTTTGATATCCTCGGCGCGCGGTCCAGCATCGAGGCCAAGAAGGAGGCTGAGCGCTTAGCGGCCATGCGGCGTCTGCAGCGGCTCCAGGAGAACTTTGACGACGACTTTATTCCCCGCACACCGTCCCCTGGCGGACAGACCCAGCAGAACTTTGATCGGAGTATCCGCTTGGTCAGGGAGGAGCGACTCCGGATGATTGCTGAATTGGAGCAAAGGCGGCTGGGACTGAGCAATGACCAGCACCTCGTCGGACAAGTGCTGGATGAGCAGGTATCGGAGGATCGGGCGCTGGTATTCCTCGCTGCGTCGGCGTCGAATATTGCGCTTCGCTGGACCCAGGGTGGATTCATCGGTGGCGGTGCGAATGGGAATGTCTACATCGGGGTCAATACCGATAGTCAGAGTGTCATGGCGGTCAAGGAGATTCGGGTGCAGGATCTCAACAACTCGCCGGCGCTGTACAAGCAGATCAAGGACGAGTCGGACGTCATGAGTATGCTGTCGCACGAGAACATCGTTGAGTACTATGGTATCGAGGTGAGTCTCAGACTGGCTATATGGCGGGGCTGACGGGTAGGTACATCGAGACCGAGTGTATATCTTCGAAGAGTACTGTTCGGGTGGTAGCTTGGGCAAGTTTATCGAGCTGGGCCGGATCGAAGATGAGGATATTACGCGGGTGTACGCTTCCGAGATACTTGCGGGGCTGGAGTATCTCCACTCCAAGGGCGTCGAACATCGGGATATCAAGCCAGACAGTGAGTGTCCAGTCGGGCTAAGCTGACACCAGATATCCTCCTCACCGACAAGGCACACCTCAAACTCGTCGATTTCGGAGCGGCCAAGATCATCGCCAAAGGGAACAAGACGATGGCACGGACGCGCGCCGCCAAGCAGACGCGTACAAATGCTGCTGATCCCCTCGCGGCGGTTAATTCGCTCGCGGGTACGCCGATGTACATGGCGCCAGAGGTTATCAAGAGCGAAAAGAGGGGCAATCTGGGGTCGTCGGATATTTGGTCTATGGGTTGCGTGATTTTGGAGATTGCCACCGGGTGCGCACAATGGTCCTTGTCTGGCGTGATCATTATAGCTGACCCTTCAGCCGCAAGCCATGGAGCAACTTGGACAATGAATGGGCGATCATGTTCCATATCGGTATCGCCACTCAACATCCCCCACTGCCCGAACCAGACCAACTCTCAGAGCTCGGTATCGACTTTATCGAGCGTTGTCTTACCCTCGAGGCAAACGAGCGGCCGTCAGCTGCCGAGTTGCGTCAACATCCATGGATACAGATGTTGTCCGAGCACAATGTGAGTACGAGGGGTCTGGTGCCAGGCTGTCAGGGCTGATCCACTAGTGGGAGGAAGGAGAAGAGTATTACGAGGGGGATCCAAATGCCGAAGGTGTTGAGCAGGATGGGTACGTATACAACGAGGACGGTGGGGAAGGATATCAGGAGGGCGTCGAGGGATCTTATTACGAAGAGGGGGGAGAGGCGGGAAGAGTGGCGGAGGAAGGGGAGGCGCAGTAAGAGCTGGGGATACTCATTCCTTTCTGGGGTATCTGCTCGGTACGTGTTGTACAAATCAGTTAGGTGCATCTTTCGGGTGGTCACGAGCTTGTTCTGACAATGCTGATGTCATGTGGCTGACGTCTATATTGATCGGCTCGGAGCTCATCTGTCGGACCAAAGGTATGGTTCCGCGGACTCCGCTCCGAGATCTTGCGGCGATCGGCGGGCTGTCATCAGAAGCCCGCCTCATTCTAACCTTATGCGGAGGCGTCCTGCTTCGAGATCGCCTTTGCTAACACTCCGTGAACTGTCTCTGACTAGTTCCGATCAAAGCTGGTGAAAAGTCTACGGGCTTTACCACAAGATGGAGAAATTTGCCACTTCCGGCCTGTTTCGGTGTGCTAGCTTACTCCGTCTTCAAACTCCGTTGTCCTCCCCATTCCTCTCTTCTCTCGCCGTCTCGGCATGGGCTTTGCTGGAATCTCGTACCATCGCTGATCAGATGCCCACCAACTCCGCGGCTTGATCACACTTGCCTCGAAGTCTATTATGGTACCTCATGGTGGGTGGCAAATCCAGCTGTAATTGCTGCTTTGGGAAATAATCGTTGTTCTACTCGTAAACGAATACGATGGAGCTTTGGCTGGAGATCGATGATCGTACCCAGCGGCTGCGATACTCGCGCTGCTTCCAAGAGAGCAGTGATGAAGCGTTCGCATTGGAGGGCAAGGATGCACACTGTCGCTGACCATCGAGCCCACCACGTAACGACGCGTCTGGAACGAGCGCGCCCCGCCGTGAAATCAGTCGCGTAGAGGCCTCTCCACTCATGCGATCCCATGGCTCTGTGCCTTTCCTTGCGATTTCCAGTCATCTCTACGAGCGATCGCCATGCACTGCCACACTGCCACTCCACTCCACTCGGCAAGCATGCATGTGTTAGCGGCAGAGCGGCATGGAGTATCTCCACATTCGGTGGCTTGAACCTTGTTGTCCACCCGGTGGACCAGGATGCCGTCATTACTCAAAAGTAGCTTCCCCGAAGCTCCGAGACGCGATTGCTGCAGAACAGAGCGGTTTTTGTCCCATCTCTCCTCCTTCTATCTTTATCCTCCTTATATAATCTCCCCCGATCTCAAAGAACGCTGGCCGTTTGCGAGTGCTGCTGTACATATCCCTCTTCTTCTGTTCATATCCTGGCTCGACGCCCTCACCCACCCGTACGTCTGACCATGAGCTGTTTATGTGAACGCGCTGATCCTCTTCTCAGTCTACCTCCTTTCCGAGCCAGCCTCACGATGCTCCACTCCCTCTTCACCCTCGCCACTTTCTCTTCCCTCCTCTCTGCCGTCTCTGCGCTGGACGCATGGCATCTGGATGAGGTTGCTATCCTCGCCAATGAGCAGCTCGACCCGGTCGTCAACCCCAACGCCCAGAGCAGCCATATGCACAAGATCATCGGCGGATCGGGTATGGGCGCCAGCTACAACTATGCCACCTACTCCAAGGCAAAGTGTACGAGTCTCAAGTTGTCCGTGGACAAGTCTAATTACTGGATGCCTAGTGAGTCTTTTCCGCAGTCAGCGTCAATTTGAGCTGACCGTCAGACCTGTACATCAAGGTTCCGTCAACCGGCAAATACACCTCCGTCCCCGTCAATGCTCGGTTCTACTACTTCCTCGGTCGTAACTCTCAATCGGAGCCGGTCCAGGCCTTCCCAGAGGGTCTGCGCATGCTCACCGGGAACCCGATGGCCAAGTCAAAGACTGCCGAAGCAGAGTTCTACTGCCAAATCAAGGGCGATTTCTCGGACTCGCTCGAGGCCGACAACTTCAACTTCAATCGGGACTGTCCCCTCGGGATGAAGACGGATACTTACTTCCCTCCATGCTGGGACGGTGTCAACCTTTACAAGGATGACAACTCGCACATGGCCTATCCTCGCGGCTCGGTCAATGCCAACGCCTGCCCCATCTCCCACCCCGTCCGTCTCCCGGCCATCATGCTCGAATACACCTTCCTCACCAGTCTTGTCGCGCCAGGCATCCCACTTGCCGGCAATACCTATTGGGCGAACGGTGACTCGACCGGTTACGGTATCCACGCGGACTTTGTCAACGGCTGGGATCGTGCCATTCTCAGCAAGGCTCTGGTCAGTCCGGGATGCGCAATCGGTACCAACGAGGCAATGTAAGTGTCTCTCATAAGCAATGACGTCGCTGACAAGTAGTCCCATCACTGAATGTGATGTCTTCCAGCCCTACTTTCAGAGCACGCAAGCCATGAAGGATTGCAAGCCGGACGCGGGCATCCTCGCCGAGCCTACCGGCAACGACGACATGATCGGCCTCACCGCCCTTCCCGGTTGCAACCCTCCATGGGGCAACACGCCCAACAAGCCAACCTGCGCGTCCCCCGCCCCACAGCTCGACATGCGCGGCCTGACCGGTACGGACGGTGCTCGGGTCGCCGCCACCAGCGCGCAATACCAATTCCCCGAGCCGACGACCCCGGGTTGGCAGGAGATCATGTGCATCCAGGAGAGCAAGTCCATCCAGGGCGGCGTATCTTACGTCGACTCCAAGCTTACCCCTCAATCCTGTCAGGCATCCTGCCTCAAGGAGGGATATCTCTACGCTGCCGTCGGGCAGATCGGATCGGGCAACTGGAACTGCATCTGTGGGAGCTCGCTCGACCCGGATGCAGGGAATGTCCCGGGCTCGTGCACCAACGCTTGCCCGGGCGACTCATCCCAAAAGTGCGGCGGGACCTACATCTTTTCGGTATACAAGGCCGGACCCGGTACTACCCCCACCTATTCCAAGACGTCGGACGGGTCCAACATCATGGGCTGCTACAATCTCCCCGACGACAAGACCAAGGGTCTGCAGGCCTCGGCAACCTACACCTTCACCTCTGGCTCCATGACTCGCGACCTCTGCATCCAGGCATGCAAGCAGTTTGGGGCCAAATGGGCGTACACCAAGTCATTCGACACGTGCGCCTGTGGGTCCGACTGGAACTACGGCCCCGGCTCATTCGTCCCGGACAGCTACTGCCCGATCAAGTGCAACGGCAACAGCGGGCAGATATGCGGTGACTACTACCGGGCGATCGTCTACGACATCTCCAACTCCAACAGCGGGTCCACTCCGGTCGCCAAGCCAGAGGGAATGCAGGGATGCTACACCTCGGGCAACTTTGCCAAGAACAACGGGTTCTTCTACAACTCGGACCAGATGACCACCAGTCTCTGTCGGCGGAGCTGCAGAGCGCGCGGTTTCGGTTACGCCGGTCTCGGGGCTGGACAACAGTGTTACTGTTCGGCCAATGCTCCGGCATCTACGGACCTCGTTGCCGACGCCATCTGCAATGTGGCGTGTTCAGGCGATTCCAAGACCACATGCGGGTCGGAGGGTACCCGTGCGCTGTCCATCTATGACACCACGGGCGCGGGTGCCCAGACCCCATCGGGCTACCCGGTCAACTACGTCGGATGCTCGGCGGACGGAAACCCTCGGACGCTCGGAAACTACACCTTCAACAGTAACTCGCTCACTTCCACCCAATGCAGAGACGTCTGCGGAAGTTACGGGTACACGGTATACGGAACGCAGTACTCGTTCCAGTGCTACTGTGGTGTGGATTTGGGACCTAGGGGATTGTTGCCGGACTCGGTGTGTAACACTGGATGTGGAGGTGAGCTGAATCTCTCTCTGTATAGGCTTAGCTGACATTCCAGGAAACAGTAACGAAAGATGCGGAGCGGCGTACATCCTTTCTATCTACTCGGTCAACCAAGGCGGGTCGCCTGTGCCCTCCGCATCCGCATCTGCCACGGTCTCGGCCACGTCCAAATCCTCGGCTGCCGCCTCACCATCATCTACCTCTGCGGCCGCAGCATCTTCATCTAAGGCATCTACAACTTCCTCACCCGCCGCTTCTGCCTCCTCGGGCGCGGATGCTACTGGCTGCTATACCTCGTCCACCGAGGGTATCGCCCAGGTGCTCATCACCTCAACTGCCATGACGCCCGCCACTTGTCGATTGTGGTGTGGCGTCTCAGGATACACCTATTCCCTTCTCACTGCCGGTAACTCTTGCGGATGCCGGAACAACCTCCTCACCCTGAACAAGGTCGCCGATTCGCAGTGCGCGTCGCCATGTTCTGGCGCAGGCAAATCGATGTGCGGAGGAACGTCCGCGTGGGCATTAACGGCGTCTTTGGCAAAGAGCGGGTTCTGCGCTAGGAGTATGCCCAGGCGGTTGGACGAGGTGGACGGTATCTAAGACAGCGGAGCGGGTCTCTTCTATCTTGGGCTTTGTAGATCATATAATATCTAGCATCTTATGAACGGACTATCCCTCTGGCTGCGAGCTGCATAGCGTCGGATGGCCGGGTATCGGAGCAGGAATTGCCGATGTTACGTACAGGCTGGAACAAGGATATACGTTGCGCTCGCGACTACCCCCTTCATCTATTGCCTTTTAGTCCAGATACTGCTGCCATAGATAAGATAGCGACCCCGGGGCACCATGTCAGCCTTGGCAAACATACTCAGTCCCTATCAGTCACGGTCCGACCTCGCCACCTCTTTGCCTGGCAAAGTCTTGACCGGTCCACCGTATCCGTCTCCCAACTCCCTGGACCGCCCTTACGCATATGCGGATACTTCCGACCCGCAAGCTGAAGCCAGCTCCCAGCTGGATGCTGGAGGTGGCCCCTCTGATCCTAATCGAAAGAGGATCGCCAAGGCATGCGAGAGCTGCAGGCTCAGGCGGATCAAGTGTACGGGCGAAATACCATGCCAGAATTGTGCCGACAAGGGCACGCCCGAGGAGTGCGTGGTGCGAGTCAAGGCGAGGCCAAACCGGTCAGCGAGTCTTCCTTGGCGCAGAAAATTGGGCTAACGCGCAGACCTGCTACTACTCGTCCGCGGAGGCCGAGCTCTGTGTCCAGCCAGGCTACGCCGAATCGCCCGCCGCCAGCACGCATTGCTGCACCGGCCCGAGAGGTCCGGCCTCAGCCATCACAACCCCCACCCCTTCCGGGGTACTTGTCCTCGATGTCTCCTCTTCTCGCACTCTCCAACGCATCTCTGATGCCGGCCGCCCAGGCTGACAGGAGTGATCCTGCTCGGATGACACCTATCAAGCAGATTGAAGCGCATTTGGCCACTTGGTGCTCGATACATGGTGGGTTACAGGTTGGACGTAAGCTGATCCTCCAGATATACCCGTCTCAGCCTTGATGTTCCAAGATGAGACCCGCCTGTCCGCCCTGCACGGTAGCCCTCTCCCGCCCGACAAGGACATTGAGGCGTTCGAGGATGAGCTCATGCGCCAACTCATCATCACCAATGATCTCGAGCAGGCCTCATCGCTGGATCGCCTCCAAATCGTCACCCTCTACAATCGCTACCGGATCTTTCCCACGGCATTGACAGCGGACCAAAAGGCGATGGTGTACGCCGCGCTTTGTCTGGCCAAGCATGCCATGATGAAGTCCTACGTCTCGTCCGGGACGCCGGACGTAGCCGGTCAGACTAGGGAGGACGTCACCTACTTTCGCATGGCTTGTGAATGCCTGGCTCAATGGTCATTCCCGTCTGTATATGCTTTGTGTGAGTGACACTGCAGTATGGACTGGCATAGCTGACAGAGCAGGGGCGCTGGTCTGCCTTGTACCCTACTCGCAAGCTCACGGCGGTCTGGCGGAGAACCGAGAGCTGCTCCGTATGATGGCTTGGCAAGTCCGTGAGCTAGGACTACATCGGTCTGACATGGGTAAACTATACCTTTCTGGCGAGATGGCTCTGTTCCCGCTGTTCCGATACATGGATACGTGAGTTTTCCTCTGTTGTCAAAGCGCCCATGCTGATTGTCAGCTTCCTGGCCGGCTTGGACGACCTCAATCCCTACTTCACCCTCGCCGAAAGCGATGTCGACCTCTCCGCCTTCACTCAGCTGCTATCCCCCTGCCAGCAGGTCGTATCCGACCACGCCTCGCGCTTCCACGACGACTTCAATGACCCCAACATCGACGTCACGGCGGACGAGTACGTCTTTCTCGCCGAGTCTCGGTGGATCCCGACGCTGGCGCAACTGCAGTCGGGGCTGGAGAACACCCCAAGGGTAAAGAGAGGCTGGTGTGAGATCAGATACTACTGGTAAGCCTCCCCTTCCCCAACAAGCTGAGCTTATTACAGGCTCCGCATCATGCTGTATTTCCAGCGTACAGGCTTCGATACCGTCCGCTCGACCCATGCCTGGATCATCGTCTCACACTGCCTCGCACAGATTGTATACATCCACTATGAGCTCGCCCTGATCGGTCACCTCAACCCCTCTTGGCCTCAGCTTCGTCGCTTCTCGATATGCGGCCAACTGCTCGTCCTGTGCACCGCCCGGCACTTGTACCAGCCACAACAAGCTACCGAGCTGTTTGAGAAGCTCTTTTTCCTGCTGGAGGCGCACAAGGAGACGTGGACGAACGCCGGCGACTTGCTCAGAGGATTCCAGCGGACCACCGTAGCGTTGGGTAGGTCGAGGATGTCTGAGCTAGGTGCCTGCCTGAGCTGACAATCAGGCCTATCGATATCCAGCATGTCTCCGTCCACCGTCATCAATATGTCGTTGCCTCCTGCGCGGAACGGCATGAATCCGTTCAGCTTGGAAGACTTCTCGTTCCCGTTCGACCCAACCATCTTTTTCTTGTCGGAGGCGGAGGAGACGGGAGGCGCAGGCCCGAGTGGCGCTCTGGCGCGAATCTGAATTGAGAGGAAGGTCATATTAATCTAACTGGACTTTGTTCGATGCAAGTTGTATGTGGCTGGCGGCGATTGAGCGATGAGCGATGAGCACCAATCGCAAAGCATAGGGTTCTGCTCTGCTGGAGAAGCAGTAATTCCGAACGACAGGACGAGGTGACTTCAAAGTCTTCTGGTCGGTTTCGATCCTTCAGCCGTGGTATCGGCATCATTTCCCAGGTCAAATCGACCTATCGAATGGGTCTTTACTTTTTCGCCCAAAAGACATTGGGCGGCTTGCCATTCGTATTTCCTTTCAGTATGATTCATCGAGCCTACAAGAATCAAGCTACAACTAGCGCTTCGCCCCTTTCCCCGACCAGAATCAACCTGACCTTGTTGAAAAGAGCCAATCCCTTCCGCTTCCTCCCCCTCGGCGCTTGCGTGTCCACCACCATACTTGACTCTACAGGCCTGTCACCGCTAGCCGTTGGGTTCATCCAATGATCGCCTAGGTCCGAGAGCGGGATTTCCACGTTATGCAGCCAGGTCCGGAAACCCAGCGCATACTTGGCATCGACGTACACCCGTATGTGGTCACCACACTCTGGCCTGACTGGAGCGCTAGGCGAGGTACCGATTGCTGATGGTAGGTGAGCGTGAGTGGCGAGCGGAGCCGGAATAGGGAGGTCGAGGAACGGGTCGGGCTTGGGTCCGCTGAGCGATATGCTGAGCGAGCCATATGGTCGGCTGGAATCTTGGTAGATCCCCACGAGCTTTTCCATGAACTGAAGTAGTAGGGGCGGGGTCCAAGCGAGGGGGAATGGGCGTGTTGTGGGATCCACCAAGGGCTGATATTCCGATAGCGAGGCGATTGATGGTGATAGAGCGTGTGGAGCTGATGGTGTGGGGATGTTGATGCCCGGGACACAGACGGGTCCATTGATGGGGATTATCCAATGCAGGCGGGCATTCGGATGACTCGAGAGGTGGTGGGGCAAGGAAGGGTGGTATGGGTGCGGAATGGAGGATAGTTTGGTGGGTAGGATGTAGTCTGCCGCCGCAACGCCTCTCTTGACTCGCTTAGCTGGGGCGGATACCGCAGGATAGGGATGATGCTGCTTATCAGCTCCCTTCCTACTGCAGATCCCATATGTTTGCAGCACTCACCCGCTTGATAACAGTCCACATTTTCTCATATCCCGAATCAGACCGGATCATCTCCCGCCAAACTTGCTTTCTCCGCTTGCTCTCCGCCTGCCAGTCTCCCTGTTCGCCAGCCAATTCTATGTTCGACCCGTCTGCCAAGATAGGTCGACGTATATCGAACGATGGAGTCCGACTGGCTTGTCCCCCGCGCTCCCGTCGAGAGAGTAGTGACGGTATCCGAAAGACGCCCGACTCCGCCTTCTCCCTCTCCTTCCCCCTCCCGCGGTTTGTCTGAGGAGACGGTAGCGCTATGGCAGCGGGTCCGCGAAGGGGGTCTTCGATGATGTCGCCGGCGCTATCCCGCCTGACTCCGCTCGGGCCCGCCTGCGCACCCTCCTCTACGTCGTCCAACTCCTCACACACCCAGACTCGTCCCCAGCCACCGTCTGCCGTCTTCCACGCCGGCTCAAAGTCTTTGAGCTCGTCAAGTGACGGCTCGAGGTCTGTCGTAGACTCTTCCGCGCCAGATACGAAGGGCTCCCACTCGGGCAGGAGATTGGTAGGAATAGGCCGCTCCGGAACAGTATCGTGAGGTGGAAGAGCAAGTAGGGATCCGGATCTCGGGGCGGGGTAGCGGGGCTGGTAGGCGTGATGCCATGCGGCGAGCTGACCTGGAGAGTCAGTTCAAAGCCTGAGTTGTGCAGTTCCAAGACAACACTCACAAGAGCAAGGAAAGGATAGTCCAGCCGTATACCATAGCGGCATATCCTCCCCAGACAGTTGCTCTCCCTTCCCGTCGTCTGATCCACCTGCACCCAATCTCCGTCGCTTCACACCCGAAGATGCCCAGGCGACCTGCAGCTGTCCCTCCACATCGCCATCCCTCCGCCAGGCATCGCTGAGCGCCTCCTCCCCATTGATCTGCTCCTGGCGCTCCCTTTCCTCAGAAAGAGGTATATCTTTCGGCTGGAGCGCAACAGTGATGGTGTACTCGGCGGGAAGAGAGGCGGCTTCGTATCCCTGCGACTGTGACAGCGATTGAGTGCCTGCACCGGGAGATGAAGGTGGGTATGCCGGCCCTAGGGATTGTTGTGAGGCCTGGGACCCGGTTTTGCGACCGCCTCGACTTTTGGGCGCCATCTCTGAAAGTTGCGTGTCGTCATAACATCTTTGTGATCGAAGTTGATAGGGGGAGGCGCGTAGAGGGCCGTTCCAGACGGCTTGGAAGCGAAGTCAAGAGATATGAAGGCTAATGTCGACCTGTGAAATGGGTAGAGGTTTCAAAATACGGTCGGTCACCGGTCACCTCTGACATCCTCCTCCACCTCGGGATCTCGGATATAGGCAACTTCCCCGTTAAGTGCTGTATCATCTCCCGATAGACACCAATCTCAGCTGAAGAAGATGGATGCGGCGCAGATGATACATGATGAACAACGTAGGATGAGTATGAAAGCCATAGAATACAAATTAACAGATAATAACCGGGCGGTAAGAGGGAAGTCGGAGATGGGAGACGGTATGGGCAGGAGAGACTCGTGACAGCCGCCCAATCATGCAGGTACCATGGAGTTCTGCACCGCGTCCTCAGGCCCCGAAGCCTCGATCTCCTCCATGTTGTCCGAGCTGTCGAGCCAAGATGCCTCCACCGTCGCCTAAATTTATTCAGCTGAGTCCACAGGTGTATCTCTAGAGAGGGACCAGGCAGCATGAATTCACCTTTACTCTCCGCTCATACTCCTTCAGATTCTCTTTGAACAGGGTAGCCGCTTCTACGTTTGCAGGACTTGACAGTCAGCACGTCGCTCAATACCCGCTAATCAGAGGGAGAGGATATAGGGTACTCACCTGCCGGGGTTGGGATCGTTCAGTAGACTCTGCACACTCGTCAAGATGGCCGCGACATCGTATGTAGGCGACCACCTGTTCTGGAGGATATCGAGACACAGCTCCCCGTTCATATAGATGTTGGGGTGAAACATCTTGGAGACGAAACGGACGGTAGGGGGTTTATTGGGGTACGAGTCGGTGAATGTCAGAGTGAGCCGGAAGGATCCGTCTTCGAAGGGAGTGTCGGCTAGAGAGTCAGCTCGAGGCTCATGTATAGGAATGAGCATTCGGGGTGGGTAGAGTTTGGTATATACATTCCAGGGTGACCGAGCATCCTGGTCAGACGACCATTCGTTGCGCCCTTTGCCGCCGACTCGGTCCTTCCGCCTTGTGCCCGGACGACACAGGCAGCCATATGAGAAGAAGACTCACGAGGTCCGAATATTACTGCGTTCCAAACCATGATGTTGTCGGGATTTGGACTGCCAGATATACCGATGGGAGGGTCGGAGGCGAGACGCTTGAAGTCGCGAATCAGCCTGCGCTTTGCGGTGGTGGACTAATTTGTCAGCTATCGCACTGATGTCGAGATCCGCATTTTGAATAGCCGACGGGAGTGCACCAGACTCACCATGTTGTTGTAGTCGTGTCTAGATAGACGGAGAAAGAGGGACGAGTGAAGGAAGCGAGTGTCGCTAAGTTCGTGCGCGGTCAAAGGGCGTCGAAGGAATGGCTCGATTCGGCGTGAGATTATGGGAAGGAGTGCTCCTTCGACTGTGCGCTGTTTAGGGAGTACAGAGAACGACTTGGTATGTATAGTAGAGAGATAACACTTCGCAGCTTAGAGCTGAATAAGGAGGTGAGTGTTGCGTCCAAGTGGACCTGCCGGAACCTATTCGAAAACTACCCCATTCGGCTCATTGGTGGCGTTTGAGGTTTGCTGAAACCGTCATTAGGCCGTTGCCTGTCGTCGCACATCAAGGGGCGGGCCAGGCGCAGGAGCAGGGCGCGCAGTCCGCAAGCTGATATTCGTATATAGGCTACAACACATGCGAGATCGCCCAGGAGCCCCCTTGAGATGACCCAACCCAAAGCATCATCCCCTCTTTGCTCGCTTTACGCCTACGCTGACCTCCCCTACTCCCTTCTTGTTCCCCGCTCGGCATACCTTGCCCAGCTTTGTATACACTGCCCGCGTGACGTCCAGCACCTCCCTATCACCCAGGTCCTCGTCCACCTCAAGCTCCATCGTGAGCACAAGCGGGGCATCGGACTCGCTCTTTAACAATGACGGGTACTGGGACGGGTGAATACCGCCGAACTCGCCGACCGTGGGCGAGGACGAAGGGGAATGCCATGCGGTTGGCGAAGCGTGGTGAAGATTTCCGCTAGACGATGAGACGACGTGGGGAGTGGAAGGCGGAGAATAGTCTGGCGGGGGCGGGGGCGCTGAACCGGCCGTTATCGCCCAGCATCGTGTATGTGTGATGGAGCGAACTCTAGGATCCGAGGTGATGTCCTTGATGGCGCGTTGGAGGTGTTTCATCTGAGAGGTGGACGCAGGTGGTGCAGTCTGAAGAAGGACCTGGCCAAAGGCTTTCGAGGGTGGTAGGGAGAGCGCAGTGGTGAGGACCGTCAGAAGCAGAGCGGCGAGCGCGTCGAAAGTGTGCAGAGAGGTACTGAAGCGTCAGCTCACAGTCTTGAATAAGTATATGTCATGGTGTACTTACACAGGCACAACTAGTGTTCCGACCAGGACGGCAGCCGAAGACCCCATGACCGTAACGCTGAATGGGTTGGCGAGAAGGTGAGGAAATCGACGAACAATCGACGACGAGAGGTACTTTGGGGAGAGGAAGAGAGACCCCACAGCTGCAAAGTCAGCTGAGTCAACATACTGTCGATTTTAGCTGACATACCATCAACAAGCTTGGCGTGAGTGTGCATGACTCCGCCACCCAGTGCGCTAGCCAGAGTCGCACATAGCAAGAGGAAGGTTGGGAATGGTCTGATAGACGTCAGCTTTGGGCGTAGACGTAAAGGAGGGAAGAGAACATCTCCAACAAGCGAGGAAACACCCCGACAGGCGAAGAAGCCAAACGTACCGATCTTCCCCGTCCAGGTCCGAGCTTCCATGTCCGTGCCCGTGTCCGTGCCCACCGTGCTCATTCCCACTTGCGCCCAGTACCACCTGCTCGATCGACTCCTTTGCGATGTATACTGCAGCAAAGACCAAGAAGAGGCTTTGGGAGAAGTACAGCAGAGACAAGAAGCGGGTCGTGCTGATCGTTAACTGGTGCTTCACGAACGATCGGAAAAAGCTCACCCGTACGACCGCCTAATACTCCTCCATCCTTCTCCACCTCGCGCGAATACTCCTACCGCGACACCGAGCGCGTCAAATACCACGAGATACCCAACTCCAGCCAAACATCGCCATCCGCCCATTTGACCCTCCACCCACAGCGCCGCGCCAATCAGAAATTCCAGGAATGCAAAGCTGGCCAGCAGCTGCGACATTGGATCCGACGACCGGGGGAGGGGAGAGAGCGAGGGCGATGCCAGAGAGAGGGTAGAGTTCATGGGCATAGGGACGGATTGAGGCGCATCGGCAGGTTTGGGAGTATGAGGGGCGGGTATAGAAGGGGCCGAGGTGGACGAGGAGAGGGCGGGATTCGTTTGGGTCGGATCCAGGAAAGAAAAGAAGTTGTGTGATAGGGAATGCTTGTGCTGGGCTATCAGCTATTGTCTAGCCGAGCTGGAGGGCAAGACGTACATGATGACCTCTCCGCTTGCTCTTGGCTTGTGGACTGGCGAGTCCTTCCGCACTAGCGCCTGCGCCCGCACCGAAGCTCCACTCCCCTTGCCCGCCGAATGGCTTCTTCCCCGCATTGTGCTCCGGAATGACCTGCACGCCCGCCTCCTCGCCCATACTGAGACTCGCAGGGAGACCCAGCCCATGCCCCTCCCCTCCCGCTCCCGGCTGAGGGAAGAAGAGCGACATGTTCCGCGCGTGAATCCCGTGCGTGGGCGTAGGGTCGAAGCGCTTGGCTTGCTGCCGCTGAGGTGACCCGCCCATCATTGGCGAAAGCCGATTTGCGCTTCCTGGATTTGGCGAGTGCCCGACGAGTGGAGAGGGCGGAACGAGTCCGCTTGAACCGAAGAGGCGCGCCGATGAAGAGGGGCCGGGCGACTCCATAGACTGCCACGCCGGGCTCATGGGTGGTCCATCGCCACTCCTAAGCTGCGCGCCAAATGCAGCCCTTCTTGGCGAAGGCACAAGATCTGGCACCCCGTCCAGCTCTTCCGCCTCATCCTGCGCATGCTCCTCTGCAAGGTGAACGGGCGAATTTAGGCTAATATTCAAACCCTTGGCGCTGACTCCGCCGTTCTTGTCGGTCGGCCGGCGGAGCATGATGGGTGGAGGAGCCGCCGCGCGCGATGATGACCGGGACCGACTGAATGTCCGCAGCATGGGTGGGGGAGCGGGCACAGCGATGGCCGGGCTGGACAGGCTTGGAGAGGCCATGTTGGACGAGGTGGACAGAGTGGGCGAGAAGATGTCTGGCTTGGGATCATACCCGCCCAGCCCCACAGACGAGTCATCGGCCATCTCGCCAGAGCCTAGATGGGGTGTGGGAAGGATGGAGTCAACGTCGTCCGAGGCCGTGCTGGACGATGAGGGGGAGTCGGACATGGGCGAGGCGCGAGAGGGAGTCATGGATGTCGGCAGTATCGGTATTGCCTACTCTGCGAAGAGGATGTAGGTGAAGGTATAGTACGCCTGTCTGCTACAGTAGTATCAGCGTCTGCATCTGACTATCTGGCAAGCTCGTCGAGCAGGCCCGAGCGGGTTTGGCCATCGAGATGAAACTCACAACGCGTCCTTTGGGTCGACAAAATCGACCCTTCCAATATGGTTCAAGTCCTGTGCAGTCGACTAGCGAGCTGGTATGCGGGCTGCAGTGTGCTTGCCAGGTCCCTCTTGCTGTCTCGGCGATATCAAGCAGGTGCGCAGTACGAGTGACGGTGGAACAATAAGAAGACCAGTCGCGTTGCACGTGCGTGAATAGGAAACGCGGTTCGCGACCGCAAAGTCCCCCGGCTACCCGACCGTTTTCGCTCCTATGCAAACTCATTCAAATCGCACGCTAAAAATCCAAATAAAGTACCAGGCGGTAGATCAGATGCCAGGCTACAAGATGATATAAGATTCATGGCAAAAAGATGAGTGATGCGGGCGCATCAAAAAGAAACAAAATCCACTACGGGGATCGAACCCGTGACGTCCAGATTCACACGAATACCGAAGTAGAAGTCTGACACCATACCACTAGGTCAAGCGGACTTGGAGCTTTTTGTCGGCGATTTTAGTATATAACCGTCAATTTTTCGTATTGCCAGAAGCGGTAACTACGAGTAAGCCTCATGGCCTCATCCGCCACTCCTCTGCATTCGCACTACACACTCGGTGCCTCATCACAGTACACACAACTGGCCTAAGATCACGCCCATGCATCCTATACCCAAGACTCATCTATAACACATCATATGCTAAAACATACGCAGTCGCCCTGAAAGATAGCCCAAGATTACACAAAGCTTCCCCTCCGCTCTGCCCCTCCACCGTTGCTCTCCATCCTCTCTGCTTATCGCCCCAAACATCGGCTGCCCGCTGCTTATTGATGCCGTCCTCCCAATAACCTCGGTCCACCCCACAACTCATCTCGCACGGATTCCGGGCTGATCACGTTCCTGGTTCTGGGGAGATCGGCGCTTCTGCGATAGTCGGTGCGTAGTGGAATCGGAATGTGGGTGCGACGTGGGGATGGGTGAGGTAGTACACTGCAGCGTCAGCAGACTTCGCGATGCTTATCATGCACAACTCACAGCTACCAAGCACAAGCATGACCATACTCGCGCCCAGAAGCGCCAAGTATCGCGAGCTCAGACTGCCCGTTCCTCTTGGGCCTGAGCGGGCCGAGGCGGGGAGGACAGCTTGAAGCGCAGTAACAGGGAGTGCCTGACTGATGAGCTCCGTAGATACCAAGCGGAGGCTAACTCACGACTACAGACTGGGCGAAGCGGACAAGACGCTGGCCGTTTGGCGTATTGGGCGACCCGCCTGTGAGGCGGAAAGTCATCAGACCCGAGATGGCTATTGAGTAGCCTGCGAAGTCAGTCAGATCCCAGCTGAAAGAACATCGAGCGTACCGATAGTCTGAACAAAGGTGATCGAGGACCCCATCAGCCACGCCAAGCAGATGAGCAGTACGTCCTGCCTGATCAGCTCGGGTTCGCAATATGAGGAAGACGCACCTTTCCAACACCAGACAAGGTCAAAACCAGACTACCCGCCGAGTCGATCAAGAATACGCCTGCGACGTTGAGACAGAACGCAATCATGCCGTTCACGATCAAGATGGGCGCGCCAACGCGGTGCAGATTGTGGAACGGAGCAGCGCCCTCCATGAACGGCAGGCAGATGCTGATGAGTCCGAGGCAGACCTGTACGTCAGCTGTGTCGGTGAGCAGGGTGGGAGGACTGACCGGAGCATACATGGCGATACTACTGAGCGGGTCGAGTTTGTGGTCTTTGAGGATGACCTGTACGAGGACAAGGCGGATGGACTCGACCTGGAGATCAGCTACCGTCTTTCAGGCTATAGGGGACTTACGACGACAGCTGCGACCTGGCAGACGAAGCCAATGAACGCAAACTTGATTTCGCCGGCCGCGGCGATGATACAGCCAAACGCAGTGACCACTACGACAGCAAAGAGAATGTGGTTGTACTCTACCGCCGTAAGCTTCGATCCTGTCAATAGATACCCAACTCACCTTGAATGCCAGCTGCTAGTTGCACAATCAGCGTGAAGATTGGAATGAACGCCTGGAATCAGCAGAGCTTCTGGTCAGAAACAAAGAGACCAACCTTGAGCATTTGCACGAAGCTGACGCTGAGGTAGACATAGGCCATGTTGCTCAGAATGAGCGAGGCGGAGAAGAGCAGACTGAGCGGGAGGATCGTTCTTGACCATAGGGTCCACTGAGTCATCAGCTCTTAAACGAGTCACAGGATGAACATGCTCACGTCCATCTGTATCCGCTTGGCCTTCAGACGCTCGAAAGGCAGCTTCTGCAGTATCCTGGTGCCGATAGTAGCGACAAGCATATGGTAGGCTGTCATAAAGACCGGCTAACTGATCAGCGACGATGAGCGAATGACTCACGTAGGGAAAATTGAGGTTGGTGAAGATGTATTTGTTGAGCAGGATGACACCACCGCTCAAGCCGATCTGCCCATCAGCTCCTCGTCGAGCTCAGCTCAGCTCCACGACCTACCCAGACAGCTGAAAAGTCAGCTCCGTACCCGCGCGCCTTGGGTAGAACTCACGAATCATGATCACAGCGGGTATCACAACTCTCTGAGGCCCCGCAGACACAGGTATAGCAGCTGCTTCCCTCTGTCCACCCTTTTCACCTTGTCCCATCAATCGCGCCGCCTCCCTCAGCTCGTGTTCCTCGTCCAGATCTTCCTCATAGCTATTCCGAAGCGTTTCAGTCATGTTGTCATCCAAGCGTCCTTGGGATTGATGCAGAGGCGATGGGCGAAGCATGGCATCCTCGCCTCCACTGGGATCAAGTGAAGGTATGCTGGGCCGGCGCGTGTGGAGGGATTGGGTGAACGGGGAAGCCGACATTTGACGACGACGAGGACGATTGCTCTGCGGTCGTGACTTGGGCGCTTGTGGATCTAGATTGTGATGTCAAGACCCCAGATGTAGTCTCCGCTCTCCCTCCTATATACGATGTGTATTGTTCGGTCAATCAACAGATGTTAATCTTTGCTCGCGTCTCGCTCGACTTTATCTGCGTGCCTGAGATCAAATTCTTGGGCCGCTTCAAGCCGGCGCCTCGGATTCACTGCATATTGCTGAGCAGGAGTGACATCTCGACATGCATTGCGGAGTAACAGGGAGCAGAGAATCCGATACTGTATGCATGGCACAGCAGAGGTGATGGGCAATTGATGCTTCAAATGCAACTCTTTTGGCTGTGAACCTTATCCGCGGTTGACTATTGCTGGGACCCTGGATTCGGCAGGGACAACCCAATCCACCATCACCACCACATCCAGATTCCTCGTTCGCCCATCTACTTACTCTTTTTACACCTTCCCTAAATACTCACAGCTGCCAGCAACCACCATGCCTCCCAGGCCCTGGTCTCCCCAGAGAGCCCGCTCTCCGGATCGATACTCGCGCGATTATCGCCGGTCACCATCCCCTCCTCGCGGTCCTCGCCAAGGCCTGCGGGATGTTCGTCCCACCTGGGACCAGTACGGCGACACAAGAGCCGGGTCTGCTTCTCGCCAGTCCCGTGACGTCGTACCTCGAGGGTACGACCGAGCGCCGGCAGCAGGACCGGCGAGGCAAGAAGCTAGGCCGTACTCGGACCGTAGGGGTCCCAGTCCGCCCCCACGCGCGGGTGGGGGCGGTCGGAAGCGCGCGTTGTGAGTCATCTCTCGAGAGCGGCGACAAAGCTGATCGTTAGCGATGCTGTCGAATCTCGCGGTCCTTATGATCGCGAACCAGGCGAACTCGAGCACGGGTTACCACGGCGGTCATCCCGCGAGGTCAGCGTGGATCAACTTCGCCACCGCTCCAGACCATCGCTCAACGGTACACTGAACTCATCTCGGGCCTCATCCCCCGAGAGACAGCGTCGGGCATCTCCAAACGCCCAGGAAACGGTTCCGGCGCTCGAAGATCTGGAGAAATTCCTTCAGTGCGTCTTTTGCCGTCCAGGCCGAGCCAGCTGACTTTAGGTTATTGATCACCGCAATATCCGCCACCTCCCAGAAGGCGGTTACCTCCAATCACCTCGACCGTCTGTTGACATTTCCTGGAACCGTTCACGACTCCACCGTCATCGCCGACGTCCGCCGGGAGCTCCGGGATGCTCAGGATGACGCCCGAAGGAAAACGCGTGACCTGAATGAAGCGTGGGCGGGTCTCTTCGGTCGGTACCCGAAGCGCCTACCGAGCGCGGCGGAGGTGGAAGGGGTGTTGCTACAGGCTCTGATGGATCGCGTCAAGGCGCTTGAAGGGGGAGGGATCGCCGGAGAAGGCAAGGGTAAGGGACGCGCTATCGAGCCATCCCTTCCCACGCCAACTTCGGCGTTCCCCCGTGCCAGTCCTCAGCCCCACAATGTTGACGACTCAGAAAGTCGCAAGCGGCAAAAGCAGAACCCATCCGACCTCGCCGAGTACATGAACCGCGTCGATGCTCTGGAAGCGCTTGTCCAGGGCTTTGACACGCGGTTCAACGAGCTCGAGAACTGGAGCTACCAGACCGAAGCGGCGGAAGCTGAAGCCCGGGCGCAAGCAAAGCCGGTGGGCAGCTGGGAAGAGCTGGAGAACGAGAGGGACCCGCTCGGTCGGCTTCGAGGTCAGCAACGCGCAGCCGCTGGCGCTCCAGTGGCCGCGTTCGATGAGGACTCGGAGGTTGGACAAGCGCTCAAAGAGATCGAGACGGCGCTGGAAGATGCGTCGAAGGAGTCGACGACACAGGGAAAGCAGCTGGAGGAGCAGAGCCGTCTCATCGAGGTGCTTCGAGGCAAGGTCAGGAAGCTCAGCACCGAGGTGCAGACGGCCAAGGCGGAGAGGGAGGAAAGGGATAAGGCGGCAGAGAAGGCGGCGGAGAAGGAGCGGGAGGACTTGGAAGAGAGGTTGAAGGGGTTGGAGAACACGATCAAGGACGAGTGCCAGACGCAAACTGTGAAGGTGGGTCAGGCCAAGGTGGGTTCCTACTGGTCGTCGAGCTGATATTAGGCAATCGGAAAAGTCCTCAAAACCCTTCGAAAGGACAAGTCATCCACCGGCTCGACAGCGTCCACCTCGAGCGGTAGAACCGCATCGCCGACTCCTGGCCCATCCGCAATGACGGGTACCAATGCGGAACAGTCCCTTGCTGCCGACGCTCCTGTCTCGGCTCCTACGGGCAGTGCTGGCGCCGGTCAATCTGCTCCAGCTCAGCCAAGCAGGCAGGTGCCAAGTACTGACGCGTCCACTTTGCGGACCAATACAGGTAGCACTGTTCCCGCTCCCGCTTCGACCGGTCTCGCCTCCAAGCCGAGGACCTCGAATGTAAACCCACAGGTGGCGACCAATGCGGCCAGCTCGGCCAAACAGGAGACACCCTTGAGCCAGACTCCAGTCAAATCGGCCACATCTGGCCCGGGCCAAGCTCGGCCGCCAACACCATCCGGGCCGCCACCACCGCCACCTCCAGGCTCATCGCCACTCGCACCATCCCAGCAGGCAGTGCGCCCGACTGCTACTGCCGGGTTTGGTGGTGCTGGTCTAGCAGCTGAAAGCGCATCTCGAGCGGCGCAGCCCAGCTCTGGATCTACGGCTCGACCGGCTGCAGCTTCGTCCGCTTCATCGATCGCACAGACCGTCCAATCTTTCCCCGCGACCACACAGCGCCCAGCGGCAGCTGCGCCAAACTCAGCGGCCGGTTCTGGTACCAGCGCGAGCACCCCGCTGGTGCGCCATTCTGATTCTGCTGGCCAGCTCGCGTCGCAGAAGGCCCTGACTGCCAATAAGCCGGTACCTCCGGCCGCTGCACCTGAACCTCCGGCGCCCAGGCCCACTGGAACGGTGTTCAATCCTTACATCGCCGGAGCACAACCCGGTCTTGCCGGGCAAGCCGCAATTCCCCCGTCTAGCGCCTCAGCTGTCGCTCAACAAGGCGGCGGACCGCGTGGCGTGCCTGCGCCTGCGTTCAAGCTGGCCAATCTGCCCGCTCGACCACCTCCCCAAGCAGGCATGTCGACAAGCAACGCATCCAACACTACGCCTACCGCTCCGCCCCCCACTAAACTCCTACCCTCCAATAGCACCGACAATCGCCAACGCCCACCTCATCTCCCCGAATCTCGCCCCTCCCACACATCCAAACCCCTCCCTGTACCTACCGCTCCCCACTCCCGCTCTCCCTCCCCTCACGTCTCTCAGAATCAACCACCTCTCCCTCCGAGCTCGAACATGCCCCGCGCCACTTCGTCGGAGGCAATGAAAGCTCCCATGCCGGTCCGGCCCCAACAACAGCTGCCGGGGAGTGCTGGGTCCACCTCACGCCCATCCAACCCTTCCCTCCCAACTCAACCCCATTCCGCAACATCTACCCTCCCTCCCGGCGGTCCCGCAACGGCAAATACACAACCCGCCCAGAAGCAGCCAGCATCGTCGGTCAGGCAAGGTCATATCGGCTCATCCACGAACGCTCCTGCGGCGGGGCCGACCGGCTCAGCCCAAAACGCGTCACGGGCCCCAGCACAGGTGGTAGGCGCCACCGGCAGAGGACACGCGGCTGAGGGTAATACCGCCACTGCGGTGAGATATCCCTGGCCTGCTGCTTCTGCCAGACCCGCTCCAGCCGCAACTCCTGCATCGACCGTATCAGCGGCCCCGTCGGCTCCCACATCTCCCCTCAACCAATCCTCCACTCCTGCTCCTAGATCGACCCAAGCTGCCCCAGCAGGGCCTGCACCACCCACGCTTACCTCCACCACTATCCCCAATGTCCCTATACCTCATATGGACGTCCACACAGGAGCCAATCTCATAGCCCTCTCGCGCCGCTATCGTAACGACATCGACGACGGAAAGACTGAGGCCGAAGCTTTCAACAAGCTGCCCTCCGCAGCCCACAAGACGCTTCAGGTTCTCACCGATGCCGAACGGGCAACAGTCTTTGCGTATGACCCATCCGAATGGACCTGGTCCGATCCCCCGGGAAGCGCCGCCAATGCGGCGCAGGCCAGTGCGGGAAAGGGTCCCGGATCTGCTCCAACTGGCCAGGGCGCTGAGCAGCGGAATTTAGGCGGCAATGCGGCGGATCCTCCTTCAACGCTGCAAGCTCGGCTAGGCGGGTCCACCGGGACTCCCGCCGCTGTCAGCTCCGCGCCCATCACTTCCGCTCGCATCTCCCCGCCGGTCGCCACCAGTCCGGCTTCATCCCTCTCGGCTCGCCTCGGTTCCAACAACAAGCCTCCCCTCGCAGCTCGCATCGGCGGCAGCGGGGTTGGTGGCGCATCCAGCGACCCGCGTCCTCCACCTTCTCTATCCAACCACGGGCTGCCAGCGCGGCCTGCGGCGGACATGTATGGCACGTACCAGTACTCGGATCAGTACGTGCCCGCGTTCGAGGATGTCGAGATGGGCGGAACATATAGACGCTCTCCAGCACCCAGGGAGTCTGGATCGGGATCGGGGTCGGGATTGGGATCGAATGGGTTAGGAGGGTCAGCATCGCAGCAGCGGGAGGACGAATTGAAGCAGCGCTTGCATGCGAAGAAGGGCAAGACAGGTGGGTTCGGCGGACAGGGGCACGACGGAGATGTGGAGATGGACTGAAGTCGCGGGGTCGAACGGAGTATATGGGGAAAGAGGGGGAAGTTGTGATGCGGCGGAACGGTAGCGGGACAGGGGCGCTGGGGACTCTATGCGGAACGGGCGGCGATCAAAGAGGAGCGAACGGACAAGGCTGAGAAGGACGATGCGGGCAGAGACAGGCTATGGGGATGGTCAAGAGTGAAATGGGCGATGGCGCAGGAAGATGCGAGAAGAGAAGCGGAGAAAGGCGGTTGAATTGTGCGGGCATCTTGTCGACATTCCAAGCGGATCGGAAGCGACGTCGAGAGCTTGTCGGCAACTCATGCCGCCATAAGAGGCGATTCGGACGGCTCGGTCGAGAAAGGCGGTGGATTGGAGAAGGCGGTATGGAGGGCAAGGAAGAAGAAGCGGCGGCGATACTAAGGACATCGGGACAGGGTAAGCGGGCAGTGTGGGCTCGGGCCCAGCTGTCGCGCGTGGGGGCATATCCGGCGAGGGCGTCTAGGAAGCACAATGGGGTGTAGGGGAACAGGGCGAGGGACAAATGAGGAGAGGGGATTTTTGGGTGTTCTAGGGCAGATCTTTGGGGATATCTGGTTTGGTTACTTTGGTCAGGCAGACGATCAGATGTAAATGTAGTATCTTATTCACTTCACTGCTGATCCCGTCGAGGCTGATCTTCCTTGCTCTCTCAATTGCTACCTCATCGAGAAGCTGAAAGCCTATTATACTTGGTTACTAACTCTGGTCTCGCCCCTTACTCCGCCACCATCCTCGAATCAAACACCAAGAGGCGATGGTGGAGGAAGGATCGCCTGTAGACCAAAGTACTCCAGCGAGTTTGAGTTTCCACTGTCTTCGAGCTCGGTCTGCACGGTCAGTCTCACGAAAGCACTGAAGTTAGAGATAGTGCTCACGTTCTCTTCGATCAAAGCGTTGGCGTCCTGATCTGCAGCATACGAGATGCGCTGACAGAGACCCTCGTCCTGCGCCTCCTGGTCGTCTGCGGGTTGGAGGCAGAGGGTGCGCAGCCCTTGGTCGATCTGCTGCATGTTGTTGGCCTGCGGGATCAGCCAGACGGGCAGAAGGCACAGGCAAAATACTCACACCGAGAGACTGAGCGACAAACTCAAACGTCCATCCGTTTTGCTGTGCGACATACCAAGCATGCGCATAAGCTAGGAGCTCATTGCACGTGCTGCCTTGGTTGGCCCCAGCGATACACAGGCGATCCGCAAGGATGTCGATCTGGGTAGTGTGGTCGGCGCCGATGACCTGCTTGACCGTGTCGGCGAAGGGAAGCTTGCTGTTGATGTAGTCGCCAATGACGGCTTTACGACCGCGGTACTGGACGCCGAACACCTCGTCGATGCGCTGGTGGATCATGTCCCTGATCTCTGGGATACCGAGAGCGGGGAGGGTAGGGATGATCTGTTGGCGGGGAGTAAGGAGGGGCGCGGCGAGGGCGAGGGGGAGGGCGATGATGTAGCTGGTGAAGTGCATGGTGTTTGAGGAAGTCTGTTCAGTAGTAGCGAGTAGGGTTCGTAGTCGTGGAGAGAGGTCAGTGTGGGCGGACAAGGCTGCTGGGGAGAGACTTATATGCCTTCTTTGGTACCTCTACTGGTCAGCGGCCCCGTACCGATCACAGCTCCACCCTGGCAGTCACCAGCCGATTCATTGCATGTCTAGAGTATCTCCACTCTGGGTGCAGCGGGAGGACCCATGTGATACCTTATTGCCGCGGATATTCTGGTAGTACACCTTATGGACGGCTCTTCTGTGCGGCGCAAGTAGTAGACAGATCAACGGCGCAATCAACAGGTGGTGTGGGGAGTGGAGCAGTAGTGGAGCGACCAAAAGGGGAACTTGAGGTGATCATCATACCAGCTGCCGCCATGCCGGTGCCTGAGTCAAATCCCGATCGACACTTGGTGCGCGGATGTACCAGTCACTCGGGCGAGGTGGAGCATATAAGCAGTAAGTCGGGTACCAGAGAAAGCCTCAGATACTCTCAAGCCGAAGGAGCTGTAGACAGCGGGATGGAGGCACCGGAGCTTTTTACGGCAAGGATGTCACGCCGAGATCTGCATCGTCACGCCGAAGACAGATCCAGCCGAAAAGACTTCCGACGGGACGTGCTGCTTGCCACGTTTCAGGCAAAATGATCGGTTGAGGTGTTATCGCCGATCCACGTGTGCCACATCCACGGAAATGCAGGTTTGGCTGGGCGGCAATATGACATAACGCCTTTTTTTACTTCCGCTGGGCAGAGGAGCGCTGGCTGGCTGGCCGTCTTTTGGCGGTGAGCGCAAGGAGAGCAAGGCCGAGCTAGAGATTGTAATCCATACATCAAGATCATCCTCGACAAAATGGCGCAGCGTGTTACCCTCCGAAAGCGTCAGCCTTACAACACCACCTCCAACCGCCGGAGGGTGGTCAAGACCCCAGGTGGAAAGCTCGTCGTGCACCACATCAGGAAGCTCGCCGTGAGTTGACGAGATGGATCGTCTGGTGGATAGAGAGGGAATGAAGGGATGGATAAGAGGAGACGGACTAGGGCAAACGCTCGTACTGGCCGGATGCCAGCGTTGGAGGTGGAACGGAGTAGCCTTTGGCTGCATGGATGGCGCAAGGAGGAAAGGCATGGGGAAACAGTCGGGGCGGAAGATTTGCCTTCAACGTTGGATGTGGCGGATTCGTAAGGTCTTGCGAAAGTCTTGCGAGGCGGTAGCATGGGCGCTGCTGGGAATGGGAACGGGGATGCTCTGTTACAATCATGGATAGTAGCTGATCGTTTAGTCTGCTCCCAAGTGCGGTGACTGCGGTATCGCTCTTCCCGGTGTAAGCTATCATCCCTTTTTGTACTGGAGCCTTGCTGATCAATAGATCCCCGCTCTCCGCCCCCGTCAATGTTAGTCGAGCGGTAGCTTCCCGGAAGGGTTATCGAGGGAGTGCTGACAAATAGACGCTACCCTCTCCAAACGCCAAAAGACCGTCAACCGGGCATACGGTGGATCCTGCTGCGCCCCCTGTGTCAAGCAACGGTGAGCCTGCTGCTTCTACGCGCACATGGACATGGCTGATCATTGCTTTTCTTTCTTTCGACTTCACCACTCTGATTACTCTCATCCTACATCTGCTCCTCCCCATCGCTCTCGCCAACAGCATCACCCGTGCGTTCTTGATCGAGGAGGCCACTATCGTCAAGCGGGTGCTCAAGGGCAAGGCCACCGTCGGCGGGAAGAAGTAGAGAGGCGGAGATAGAAGAGGGGACGGGCAGTCTGGATTGGGAGGGGGGATTTCAGCCGTTCTCTTTCTCGGTCGGGCGCATGTATGACCACTGCATGATTGGATCTCCCTGGATGTTGAGGGTAGGTTGTCTGACTACCTTGACGGCAGCCAACTGCTCGACACGCATCGTCAAGACTTCGCGATCGGACCGGCTCGGCCAAACATAGCGGACGATATCGACGGCCGTGTTCCGACCGACCATTGCCCAATACGCTTAGCGGCAGTTCTGGGGTCGGCCCTGACTGGAGCTTCTTTCTATTGGCGTGCTTTGTGTGTCTACCCTGTGTGGGCATGCGGACGCTTCGACGCACTGATCAAAAGAATACTGCCTCGAGGCTGATGTGTGCTACATGACGGCATTGATTGAACATGCCTCGAGGCTCTTTGTTGATGGCGTTCTCATTGTCCCTCAGGTTGACTGACGGCTACCAAAGTGACTGACGATGCAGGGCAGCTATGCTGTAGCGAATGCTTCTCGCCTCCCGGACTAGCAGCCTCATCGCCCATCACCCAAGTCAGCTGTTCCTTTGGACCGATATCGACAATCCAGCCCATCCCGCCCGCATCCGGCTTAGCACCATCGAAGTCGCATCAACCCCACACACGCACACACGCTCTCCCCACACACAAGAGCGAGCTTCTGCGCCCTTATCTGATCGGGAAGTCGCGCCCCCAGCGGCACGCGTGCCTGATTAGCTCTGCAGCTGACGCGCCGGTCCGTCATTTTATGGAAATTCCGGGGTGGCTTCTGTGGAAAGAGCTGGAACGCGATCCAACCGGCGGCGAGCGCGCCGAAGGCTCCGCCGGCTGTTAATCAAGCGGGAGGGAGGACGGACGCGATGTGTGCCCCGGATATGACTGAGAGGGTGGGACGATGGATATTAGACCTAGCGAGGCGGGAAGAGGGCAGGGAGGTTGACTTTTGACTTCTTCCTTCTTCCCTCATCCTTCATTGTCCTCCTATCATCGACAGAGACTCCTCCCCTCTCATTCTACTATCAGCGACGATCAAGCCCCAACGGACCGGCCCGGCACCACCGCTTCCTTCTCCTCCTCCCCTCTACACACAAGAACAACCTCTTTCCTTCTTCCTTCCTCCCCCTTCCTCGCTCCTTCTAGGCGAAACCAAGCCCCTCCCTCGCCTTGTACGCCTCATTGACCTGGCCCTGCCTTGTCCTCCCTTGCGGACAACACCACACAATGTTCCCTCCCTCTCTCGAGTCCTCCTCGGCGCCGGCGTCGGGATACACCGGCTCACCCGAGCCGACTCGCTTTACTCAGGCGTATGAGGGCGATGCTCTAAAGCTGGAGCTCGGGGCAGCTATGGGCATGGAAGACGTGCAGTATGATGGAGCATCCAGCAACGAGTATGCTGAGAGCAGTGGTATGTCCATGGCCTCCCTCGATCCGCCTCCCCTCCCCCTTCCTTCTCTGCCCTCTCTTAGCTTACAGCTGACTCTGCAGGCTCGCAGCCCACTCCTCCCCTCCTATCCTCCTACCAAACCAGCTACGGCTTCCAGGCTGGCTCCTACGATGCTTACTCGGCCATCGACCAGTCCGGAACCGCGTACGGCGCTCCTTACCCCCTCGCCCCTGCTCCTCCCTTCCGCCCCTTCTTTCCTTCCTCGCACCTCGCAGCCCCTTCCCGCCTGATCAGCACCTCGGACATCCCATACAACCAGCTGCCCAGCACCGCTGCGCCTGCTCACGTCCACGACGCGCATACCGCCCTCCGCGGCGCGGTCTCCCACCCCAACTTCTCCACCTCTTCGGACCGCAAGCATCACCCCTATGCGCGTGCTTCCATCGGCCTCCCCTCCAATGGCGAACACCTCGGCAGGTCTGTCAGTACCACCGCTCTGAGACCTTACGGTCCCTCGCGCTACGCGTCCGGCTCGACTGCGAGATTCACGGCAGGCTCTGACTGTGCGCTATCGGTCGGAGCTGGCTACTCGTCCATCTTCGGCTCTGCCGCCACGCAGAACGGCGTCCTCTCCTCGGCCGGATCGTACCACTCCTCCCTCGGCAGCTCTACCTCCTACGCCCCGCACCAGCTTGCCCCCACCGGCGCCAATGCCGGTATGCCGCCTCACCTGTTCATGTCTGGTCTTGGGGGTCAAGCAGGCGGCCAAGCGGTGGACGACGAGGAGACCTGGCGGAACATCAAGGGCAATGGCCTCTGGGGTGAGCGATACATCGACGAGGAGGTGGATGAGCTGGACGAGGACGATGAGGAGGTAGAGGCGGAAGACGACGAGCTGGACTCGATCAAGGGCGACAACGAGCACAACCGCTCTTCGCCCGCTTCCTTCCCTACGGCCGATATCGCCGAGGTGGACGAGGACCTCGAAGCGGACAGTGATGACGATATCCCCCTCGCCCAGACCCAGCGCGGTCACGCCGCCTGGAACCGCCAGCTCTCCGTCACCCCGACTCCCGCCCCCACCCTCATCCCCACTCCCGCGGCGGCACCGGTACCGGCCGAGACGTCCGCGCACGGATCTGGCGTTTCAGGTTTGGATCTCGACGTGGAGGAGGAGGTGGAGAGCACGCCTGTCATCCCGGCGAAGAAGCTGGATGAGGAGGAGGCGATTGGTGCTCCTGCTCGGCATCAGGGGCAAGACGAAGAGGAAGGGGAGGAAGAGGAGGAGCTTCGTACCATGACATCCTCCACTCGTACTGGCTTCCCCAACACCAGAACCAGGTCCACCCAGCGCAAGACCTCTTCCCTCTCCACCTCGGCTGTCCGGACCGACGTCATCGACGACACCTCGTCCATAATCTTCCACCCCTCCGGTCGGGCCATGCGCAACAGCACCGCCGCCACCATTAAGACGGAGCCGGTCTCATTTATCCCCCTCAGCTCCACGCAGCGATCGAGCCAGTCCTCGGCGGTCGAGGAAGATGAGTGGTCGGATGCCAACTCGGACGACGACGACTCGGACGCTTATCCCTCTCGCAGCGGGACGCCACTCTTCGAGGTCGGTCGGAACGACACGGTCGCTCGTCGCGTCGGTAAAAAGGGGCAAAAGTCCCGGGCGCCCAAGGATGATGACGAGGAAAGGCGCAGGCTCAACCCTGATCTGTACAACAAGGTCGATACCCTTAGGAACAGGATGATGGGTATAGACACGAGGCTTATGGTCTTTGATGAGAAGCTTTGTCTGTGAGTCATCTTCTCGCAGCACCGGATGGCGATCAGAGCTGACGGTCAGGTTATTGGTGGATGATCGCTTCTCTCCGGAGTTTATCAGGTGGGACGAGACGGGGACGCACGTTGTCATTCCAGACTTTGCGGCATTCTGGCCAGTCGGTAGGCTATCTTCCTGGACCAGTATTCCGGATCGTACTGATATCGCAGCCTCTGCCTATGTCACCCTTAGCGTCAAGCAGGTCCAGTGGAGCGCGTTCGACAAGCAGCTCAGCAAGTGAGTTTTCCGCCAGCTCATCAAACGTGTCTTGCACCAGGCCGCAACTGATCACTACAGCTTTGGGTTCCGTCGTACCTCGCACAACAGCCACGACAAGAAAAGCAAGATCTTCCGACACGCCAATCTCCGTCGAGACGATAAAGAGCTCTGGGATCATGTCAGGGCTCTGCCCCGGCTGTTGAAGCATCAAACGGCTCTGGTATGTCTAACAACTCAGTATCTCTTTCTTGAAGATCGAGTGCTAACGAAGGCAGAAGAACACCCACTCTGGATCTTCCTCGAGCAGTCCCGGCGATCGCAAGACCCCTTCGGCCCTTCGCGCCATCATCAAGACCCAGGCGTCAGAGCTGTCCGCGAAGGACGCCCGGATATCTGATCTCGAGTCCACCATGGCCGGCTTGTCGATTAAGGCGGACAAGGCAGACCAGTATGAGAGGTTCTTGGTCGAGCACAGGAAGCTGTATCCGGAGCTATGGACTGAGGAAGACGGTGTGTTTCTCTTCCTCAATCCCCCCCCTTCTCAGCTAGTTGCTCGATGGTGCCCTCTCATCCGGTGCATGCAATCTAGCTGATCGTGTCAGCCAAAAAGCTCGGTCTTGACCTCTCCGGCCTCCCCGACTACTCGACCGACTCTCCCGCTCCATCTTCTTCCTCCAGCGGGAAACGCCTCCTCAGCCTCGCTGCTGTCGCCGAAGTCCGCAAACCCGTCAAGATCACCAGGAAGCGCAGTCGGGCGATCATGGCGCCCCAGGCGGAGGACGGCGTCAGCGAAGCGGAGCACAAGGATGAGGCGGTCGTCAGTCCGGAGTCAGGCGGGGCAGCGCAGAAGGGCAAGACGGGAAAGACGGTCAGTCGGAAGCGGTCCAAGTTGGTCTTGGGGGTGAAGCAGTAGGGTGCGGGGGTGGAAAAGGCACGGACGACAAAACTGGCTTCTCATGGACGATGGACGGGGCGGGCGCGAGACAAGGGAGGGAGGAGGAGTTGCGTCTAGGATCAGAAAACATTATGTGCGGGGAGGGGAGGGGGCAGGGGAGATCTTCACTGGTTGAATCTGTACGGTATCTCTTCTGGCTGCTCTGTCGATAGAGAAGTTGGATTTGTAAATAGAATAGGTGAGTAGTCGTTGTAGCTCCAGAGTTTTCGATAGAGCGTTTCCACATCATCATCACATCATGCATTCTCATACCATGTCATCTCGCACTGACCTCGGCCGAGGATAATCCCCTCGTTGACCCGAGATAGACCAACCCCTCCATATCTGCTGCTCTACCTGAATCTGGATTTGGTGTATGCTCCACCTCCACGAGATACACGGACGGATATCTCTCCACCGGGGATGCGCTATCGCCCGAAGTGGTGTCAGAGCTGGAAATGGCTCGAGATGGGTCTGGACGAGTGTGGATAGCGCGAAGAGATGCAGAAGGGAATTGAGCAAGGAGAGATGGATGCGTGAGGGCGTAGAAGCTGGATGGGGGTCGCGAGCGAGGTATTGGAATGTCACCAGGCGGAAGACGAGTGAGTAGTACGAAGCGGGTGAAGTTGTCTAGGTGTTCAGCATGAACCTGGAGATAGATAGGCCTCTCGCGCTTGCTATTCTACTGAGCGCAAGACTCACCGTTGATGGCCTGTGTGCCTTCATACAGCACTTCCAGCTCAGACTGATCCGCTACTGCAGAAGCCGAGCATATTGCCGCTCCTGCTCCTTCCACATCTGTGTCCAGCGTTTCATCCAGTAGGGACATGGCTGCACCGGCCGTGGATGGCCACGGTATCCTCTTTGCGGTCGGGAGATGTTGGTCCAGAAAAGCCGAGGATTGACCTATTGCCTGACACACCGTCAGCTAGTCCTAGTATTGCGATAGGAACGCATCCTATTCGGCACGGCAGCTGACCTGTTCATGGCTCCTGACCCAGCGGATATCCTCCATCCTTGTGCCCCGCCGAGCGACCAGACTGTGCTTGATAGGCAAGTCCAGATCCGCTATGATCCTTGGATAAGCAGACTGACGCGAGGGTCCCGCGATAGGCGATAGAAGTGAATCGATCGTATCTGTCACGCCGCCGTGTATGATATTCTGCAGAGGCATGACGAGGTAGTCGGCTTCATTGCGGTAGATATCTAGCGGTCAGCTATGCCTGCTCGGCCGGTTCGAGTCGGCGATTAGCGTACCAAGTATGGTTGGACAAGGGACTAGATCGAGGTCGATTTGCTGTATACCAAGGCCTGAAGCGAATTGCTTCGCCGCCTGTAATCAGTCAGCGCGGATCTCAAGGGCTGTAAAACAAGCCAAGAGGGAGTTGACGTACATACCTGATGCCCATAAGTCCCCGCTGGGCCTAGATAGGCCATCTTTTTCCTGCTAGAGCTGGAAGTAGCAGAGGATCCCTCTGCGCCATTGCTGCCTGACATCATGAGCAAGCTGAGTGACCTGGGTGATGGCTCAAAAGACGTATAGAAGCCAAACCCAGCCGGAGCTGTTTTGGCGGAGACGAGTGGAGGTTACGCACGGATCCCTTGAAACCGGGAGCAGAAACCGCCACATCCTTCTTTCCGCCAAATTCACCGGATATCGCCGATCCCCGCGAAATCTGACCCACCCGCTCACGCTTAGAAGGGCATCCTCCACCATCGACAATCGACAACATTCATCATGGGAAAAGTCCACGGATCCCTCGCTCGTGCCGGTAAGGTCAAGCAGCAGGTGAGTTGCACGGACCAAGGAGGGAGGAGGCGAATAGGAGGAAGGGAGGGGGGAGTGAACGACGTCAAGGTGGACGAGGTGGCAAAGAGCGATGACTTGGAATGGGAGAGGTGGATATGGAAGAAGGGGAGAGGTAGTCTGGGAGCGAGAGCTAATTAGACAGTGCCCCAAAGTCGAGAAGCAGGAGAAGAAGAAGCAGCCTAAGGGTCGCGCAAGTAAGTTGACGTTCACCTGGTGGTTTGGAGTGTTACGGACAGATCTCGTCGCGGGGAGGGAATAAAGGAGGAAACAGCGTCGAAGGATGGGCGTACGAAAGGGCAGATAAGGCAGGGGATGTCAATGGGGTAGACGCGAATGGGATGTGGACGCTGCGGAGGGATACAGGTTACGGAGGGACGAGATCTGCCGCGAGATCGAGCTGTCTTGGGACTTGTGCTGACTCTAACAGAGAAGAGGATGCAATACGTGAGCTTTCCGCTATCATCGACTACCCTCCGACATCGCCACTCGGATCGGTCCTTCCGACCCTATGCTGACTATGCAGAACCGCCGATTCGTCAACGTCGTTCTCACACCAGGAGGCAAGCGGAAGATGTGCGTATATCTTTCTTACGATCTCTACATCCTCACCTCACTCCCCCCCAATTCTCATTTCAATGATGATCCACAAATCAAGCATAGTTCAATCAGATTAAATCATGATCGATATCGCGACCATCTATATAGTCTTTCGCTCCTATCTGATACCTACCTCCTACTTTTTTCTGTTGCATATTACAAGGGAGCAAGCTGATATCTTTCAGGAACGCACAGCCCGCCGGCAAGTCTGGATAGAGAGGCGTGCCAGATGGGGTTGTTGTAGCCGTTCGGGGTTCTTTCGCATGCAGACCAGGATTCGAAACAACCTACCGGCTGGAGTGCGCGGTCTCGCTGGGGTGTACCAGCTCATTACAGGCTGAGGCCTAAGGTGCTGAGCCACTTGCTTATTCGTCCTGCATACTCACGATCGACGTTGGCTGGGCGCTTGACGCGACCGGTCTGAGAAGCTCTGGGGGAGGAGCACCGTTCATCACCTTCACCACGCAGCACGAAACCCGGGGCGCCTGGACATACGAGCGGTACGCGCAGTACAAGGCGGACAAGCGGTCTTACGCTCTCACCGAGCGTTAAGCCCGAGCTGACCGGGCCAGATTGTCGGCAACCCAGGCGGCTCGCAAGATTACGAGTCAGTATCTCAGTGGGGATTGGGACGTGATCAATGCGAATGTAGTGCGGGGGACTGCTATTTCCGGAGCGACGCCGTTGGGACAGGACCGAGAGGAGGTGGGTGAGGCATTAGGCGCCTCAATCACGGAAAATGAGTGAGGGTCGGAGGTCCCTGACTTCGTTGCTATCCCAACCTGCTGCCCGATTGACTGAGTTGATGCGCAATGCGAAGTCACATCTATTACGACTACTGCGCACCTACGCCCGACTGATCTCCATGCTCTCATCATAGACAAAGTCCGCCCCCTGCTTGCTGGGCGCCAACAACCTCGCCCACTCGAGGTACAGCCTAAAGACATAGGCCGTCATGTCCTCTTCACGCCAGTACGTGTCGACCCATTCTTTCCCCTCGGACGCGATTTGCTTAGCGAGCAGCGGCTCGCCGTGCTGCCCATCCAGGCCTCCTTGGAACTGATCGTCAGCACAACTCGCGGATGGACAGGAGGGAGCAGCTCACGAATGCGAATGCGTCGTGAAGGTCAGAATAGTCGAGCTTGATGGGGACGTAGTGCACCCAGGGCTGGATACGGTCTGTCCACCATTCCGCTACGAGCGTCAGCGAACGGACAGGGCCAGAAAGAGAGATAGGAAAGGGCGACTAACGAGTGATTGTGGTCTTAAAGATCAAGCTGCCAGAAGCGAGGAGGCGCTGGAATCGAGCCGACCAGGCGTTACCATCTCTGCAGTTATCAGTTCTGTACATCCGCCACAGCGAAGCTACTCACACGTCCAGGACGTATTTGTAATGCAGGGCATCATCATGCGTCATCCGATCGATAAAGTCAAACATCCGCCCGAGCTCGGCGCATGTCCTGTCCTCGACGTCGCATTCTGGTGATCAGCTTCTCATCACTCGGATCTCCTGTTACTGGTGACTTACGAATAGCCGACCCTGTAAAGTGTATGTCCAGGTACTTGTCATTGCCCACGCTCTTCTCCATCTCCCACACCCCATCTCCGAGAGTCGGCAAGCTGCCCCTCCCATTCGCCTTCTTGGGCAGTGGAAGCATGGTCTTCCCACCCTCCGTCTCCGTCGCCAGCTGTACCAGCCTTACACGATGACTCTCCCGCCATGGCGTCTGCGTCGAGAACAGACTGCCCGTGTTGCTTCCCCGCCACAAGAGCTTCTCCTTGTTCTTGTCCTCCCAAGGGATGTACGGGACGTCGCCTGACCACTGTTCGGTCGGGACGCCGAGAATGTCCGAGTGGAGGTTGGTCTTGGACAGACAGAAGAGAGGGGTGAGGTCGAGGTGATGAGGGTTCTTTCCGGCCAGTAGACCGTGCTGGGGGATCTGGTCGGGATGAGCGCAGAGGTCCATAGCGGCGCGATGGTCCGAGATGAAGCTGTGTGAAGGAGGAGGCGTATCGTAAAGCCCGGAATCGTAGCGCCTGATTTTCGAGTGGGACGGGCAGGCGAACGCCCATCCTCGATGCGTAATGTCGAGCTCTTCACCGTCGTCAAGGTCTGCAAGTCAGCCGAAACCACAGACTGGACTTACATTCTCCATCCTGAACATGGTCTTCCAGCTCGGCGCGATGTTCCCAGCTGATACTCCCTGCAGCGGTATCATGCACCGTGTATACCGCCGTAAAGTCCGGGATGTCCTTTGCGATACTACGGAGCAGCTCGACCTGGCCGTCCACCCGCATCCGCGCGCCTTGGATTTCAACATCGTTGTTGAAGGTGACCGAAGTGCGGATGGAGCCGGACTTGACGCGGATGGTGTAAGTGTCCGGCAGTCGAGAGGTGGTCTCGATGCGCTTTTGAAGCTGGCGTGGGGAGAGGGCGCGGAAGGGGCGCAGATCGCGGTTGACCTGGTCGTACTCGTCAGGAAGGGGGACGTTGTTCTCACTGGTCGTCAGCGCAGTATGGGAACTAGCAGGAGACGACTTACACGACGTATGCCCACCACTTATCGAACCCCTTTGGCGGCGATCTCCCCTGATTACGCTTCTTGTACTCGGCCACCGCACCCTTCAGGGTCGTGCTCTGCCTCGCCACCTTCTCATCCCAGTCTTCCCTCGCATCCCGGATGAGCTGATACAGCGGGTGCACCTTGCTTGTCATATCCACCTCGAGCAGCCCATCCTTGACCTCATGCTCCGAGCGGGACTGCAGCACCACGCTGGCAGGTACTGGCGCACGAGACGGTGAGGACGTGCGGACGTGTAGTGGTCGAGTCTTCCGCCTGCTTTGGCCTGAGGGGCGAGAGTCGCCGGGGGTAGCGGTTTTTGATTGTCGAGGGCGAATGAGAAGGTAGACGGCGATGAGGCCAAAGAGGAAGAGGAGGTATCGCTGCCATCGGCGTCTTCTGCCGAGGATGGCAGTAAGGCGCCAAGGGTGTGAGAGTGATGGTGTTGTTCGACCCGCCGCCTCCGTGCCCTTCGAAGCAGAGTTCTGCCCAGCCAGGCCCTTCTCGGATGCCCGCCGTTGCCCCACGAGGGTACGAGGGGCGATCGGCTGACCATTCTCCTGCTGAGACGGCCGCCTCCTAGGCACAGGTCGACTGAGCGAGCCATCAGCCTGCAGATCGGCGTCGGGGATGGGTTCGAGGCCGCGGACAGCCGGTAACGAAGGGGAACCGTGAGGATAGGTTGCTCGTTGGGACATCTTGCGAGAGGCGAGAGGTGAAAAGGAGGGGGAAGGGTGATGGGTGAAGGGGGAGTCCAGCTCTCCCTAATACTCTGGCTGGGGTGCTTGTATATGTAGGTGGACGAAGGCTAGAGATAAAAAGGACAGCCCCATTCGGCGAAGCAAGCTTGAGGCGGAGATCGTCGCCGTGGCCGGGTATCCCGTGCGTTCCTCGTGCCGAGATGTCTCAGAGATGCATTTGTGGCTGAAGCAGGGTGATGGCTCCAGTGCTGCTAGTCATCCGAAAGGGCCTGCAGCTATGTCAGGCACTGTGACTGGCACCGATGTGCAGCGATCATGATTGTACCTGGCGGCGAGGGGTGAGACGGTCTGTAGCGACCACACAAGCCTCCAGTGACGTCCGGAACGGGGTCATATACATGATGTCTGGCTTACTCTGCTCACGCTTACCAGTAGTGTAGTGATCTCTGATACACTCCCATCCTTCCCGGCGGTACTTGCAGTCCCGACATCTGTGATTACTCTCTGTGCAGGGCGATCTGCAGCATACCTCCCTTCGGAACGGATAGGGCGTTTCAGGAATTTCCCGTGATACATGACGGCATCTATCAGGGAGCCGAACAAGATTGGTAACGCAAGGGGTAAAAAGTCGCGTCCTTGTCACGCTCTTTCCGGCACTTTTTACGCGCTACCCTGCGATCCTTGCCTGCTGCGCCATTCAAATCAAAGCTGTCGTACTCTCTCCCGCCCTGCAGTCGTTTAGCTTTTTTAGCCCGTCGCGTCGCTCCTCTCTAGCACACGCGCGTTCAAGGTAGAATTCAGGGACACCCCAAACAGAAACAGAGCCAGCGGAGTGAAAATCCAAATCTCGTATCAGTGGTTCAAAAGATTAGATCGGCTACCATCCATCTCTTTGTTTCATACCTCATCCTCCCTCTGTTTATACACCCTCACACACTCCTTTCCCCCCCACCCATCCCACTAAAACACACACAAAATGGAGGCCGCCAACCCTATCATGTCCCGCAACAACATCGGGACACCCGAGGAGTACCGCAAGCGCAAGGTCGCGTTGATCTCTGGTATGTTTTATCAGTCTTTGGCTTGAGCAAGTCCGATCGACGTGACCGATCACGGTCAGGACAGACTGTAGTAGAGCCAAGCTGATGAGATAGGTATCTCCGGTCAGGACGGTTCCTACCTCTGCGAGTTCCTCCTCGCCAAGGGGTACTTTGTTCACGGGTAGGTCCTATACCTGGTGATATCGTAACTATTGCTGACGATCCAGTATCATCCGGCGTAGTTCCTCGTTCAACACTGGCCGTCTCGAGCACCTTTACAAGGACCAGCACCAGAGTGAGTGCCTTGGCATCGTGACCGCAAAGGACTGAGCTGACTTTTCAGAGCCTAACGTGAGCTATAGCCTTCTTCATCCAGACCATGACTGACTCTCCAGATGATCCTCCACTACGGTGACTTGACCGACGCGACCAACTTGGCCTACATCATCTCCCAGGTCCAGCCTACCGAGATCTACAACTTGGGCGCCCAGTCCCACGTCAAGGTCTCCTTCGAGATGTCCGAGTACACTGGCGATGTCGACGGTCTCGGCACCCTCCGTATCCTCGACGCTATCCGTACCGCCGGGCTCGAGAAGCACGTCCGGTTCTACCAGGCCTCCACCTCGGAGCTCTACGGTAAGGTCCTCGAGACCCCCCAGAGGGAGACCACCCCCTTCTACCCCCGATCCCCCTACGGTGTTGCCAAGCTTGTAAGTTTTTCCCTACGATACAGGGGACTACGCTGACTGGTAGTACGCTTACTGGATCACTGTCAACTACCGTGAAGCCTACGGCATGTACGCCTGCAACGGTATCCTTTTCAACCACGAATCCCCTCGTCGTGGTCGCACCTTCGTCACCCGCAAGATCTCGCGCGCCGTTGCCGAGATCCACCTCGGTCTCTCGGACTGCATCTACCTCGGTAACATCGACGCCAAGCGCGACTGGGGACACGCCAACGACTACATCGAGGGCATGTGGCTCATGCTGCAGCAGGACGAGCCTGAGGACTTTGTCCTCGCGTCCGGCGAGACCCACCCCGTCCGCGAGTTTGTCGAGAAGGCTTTCAGCCACGTTGACATCCAGCTCAGGTGAGTCTCGTGCCAATCCTGATGCGGATGTAGCTGACCATCAGGTGGGAGGGCAAGGAGGACAACGAGGTCGGAATCTGCACCAAGACTGGCCGCACTCTCGTCCGCGTCGACCCTCGGTACTACCGACCCACCGAGGTCGAGCTCCTCCACGGTGACCCCACCAAGGCGCAGACCAAGCTCGGCTGGAAGCGCAAGGTCGACTTCCCGTCCCTCGTCGAGGAGATGGTCAAGGCCGATATCCAGATCCTCCAGACTCCCGGTGTCAACCAGAACTAGAGGGTTATAGGGGTTTGAAATTATAGAGTTTGATGTCTGGCTTTCATCCATAGCAACTAGGTTCTTATTTTGGTCTCTTCTGGGCTGCATGCATATCTGCGCAATGTACTTGACAGGCGAGAAATCCCAAATCTGGATGCATCTTCCTTATATCCCAAATAACCAAAATGACAATCATACTCCTTCAGAGCTACCCCGTGATAAAGTCGTTCAGATGCCACGTCCAGTCTTCTGGTACGCGGTGGTCATGGTCGTAAAACATGTGACCTATGCCAGAGTGCCAGTCGATCACTCTCCGCATCGCGAGGATGCTCACTGCCGTGTCAGCAGGGGCGCATCACGGGAAGCCTGATACTCACTCGTGCTGGCTCCGACGCCAAGGAAAGCTTTGCCAGACGAGAGAAGTACAGTGTCGATGATAGTTGGGAACCTTCCTTGTCAGCTCGCACAACAAGGCGGCTCACCATTGATCCAGCCGCTCGACTGTTTTGCTAGACTTGTGCTCGATGATCTTGAACCCATAGTTGCGCAGTGGGCCTCTGCACGATATCAGCTTAGGTCAAATATCGACCGATCCCACTCACAGCCAAGCCTCATCATCCTCATCTGTGGTGATGAGAACGTGCTCTATAGTCACGCCCATCGTATCCCTAGCATCTTGTAACACTTGTGAGATCCGATGCGCCCATTGCCGCTGAGTGATGTCTTTATACCAGTTGTTGAAGTCTGGATGATCAGCTGACTCATGCGCAAGACTCACCTCCTCGCCTGATGTGAACGCCCATATACTGCTTGTCAGCGAGCCCTCATCCCTGAGAGACCGACTTACCAGAGGTACTGGCTGATCCCAAGCCACACCCAGAGTATGCCGCACAAAGTCCTCCACCACCTTGATCAGTCCCGGCTGGAATCGCATGTACTGGCCGACATGGTGCCATACCCCTTCGCCTGAGCGCCACTCATCGTGCAAACCGCCACCCTTTGGCTTGGTCTGCAAGAAATAGCTAAAATCCAGGCATGAGACCTGCTGGTCTGGGGGTACGGCCGCGGGGACGCCGCCGAGCTGATCGAGGGAGTCTTCGGGAATTTTGCCGGTATGATATGTTCGGAGCAGGTCGGCGACACCGTAGATGGATGGGTGCTCTAGGCTGTTCTTGTAGGAGATCTCGCGGGGGACAGGAGTATATTTTACCGCTGAGGATCAGCCGAGCCATGGCGGGACTCACTCATAGATTTGAAAGGAAGGTAAGGCCATGTCCCTGCGTTCTTGAACCTCCAGCATCCTAGCGTCTCTGGCACAATGTCTTGCTCCGCATGTATCAGATCCGCCTCCTCCTCCCTGAACCGCCCTGTCCCAGGCTTGGACCGCTTGACAGACTGCAGTCGTGGTGATTGTCTCTCGCCGATCTTGAGCTCGTGCGCTTCGATGATAGGCTGGTTGCGGAGTGCGCTCGAGAGGAATGAGAGGTCAAAAATCTCTCCTACAGCGACGGTGGTAACGTGCCCACCGAGGTGCTCGTGATGGGGCTCGAAAGCGGGGAGGATGGGGATCCGACGTGCGAGCACAGACACGTAGATGGCTGCTATCAGCAACGCACACCACACGACTCACAGTTACAGGTGTCCATAACTTGATTATTCCATCTAAGCTTTCAGCTGAGAACACACACACACCTTTGAAACGTCACTCACCCTGAAGTTAAAAATCCCATGTGATACTGCTTGTCCGGCCGCAGATTCGTCCTAAAGGACGCTTTGGCTCCCTGGTCCGACAGACCCCCTGCGCTCGGCGCCCTGGTGTGCCGCTCTGCTGCTATCCACTCCCAAGCACCGTTCGTAGCAAGACTGGCACGACCCCCCATCGTCTCCACCTCCTCGTCCGCCCGTTTATGCAGTTCCTCATGCGCCGCCGCATATTCGCTGATATAGGACCACAGCTGCTGAGGCGCTGGCTTGCTAAGTGGAGTCGGTTTGGCTAGCTGCGAAAAGTCGGGGCTATCGGATGAGAAGAGTGAGGGAGCGAAGGGGTAGGTGATGAGCCCAAAGAGGCACAAGGCGATGACAATCCGCCAGTACCGGAATTGGTTGATGGCCCGGCGAAAGCGAAAGACGGCCACCTGGAAGGAGACCATGGGCATGGCGCTTCTGTGCCCGGCGGAGGCTGTGGAATGAAGAGGAGTGGAGAGAGGATACTGCATACCGCTGGCGGGCTGATGAAACGGAGCTAGTAAACATGAATCCTCCGAGACCGGATAGGCAAAATATGGTAAGGCCGGGCCTGAAACCAGGGACGCTTATGGCTAATCTATGCGGGTCCGCCCGCAGATCCCGACCCGATCATGGATAGCTGAGCACCCTACAGCTCCTGGCTAGTCTCTGACTACTAACCAAGATCCCAGCTCGCATACGATATCTATAAGCGCCTCGCCGGGCTCTAGCAGACCTACAGACTACAAGAAAGGGAACTCTGGTTCTACCATAGGACAGGCATTTCCTCTGAACTTCTCTGTTTCCGCCAACTCCGCCGCCGACGCCAGCCATTGATGATAGTAGTACCATGTATCGCCGCATGGGTTTGCGCCCCAATTGGCGACGTCGTTGTGTTCTCTAGGGATGGGGCCAAAGAAATTGGTAGGATTGAGGGACATGACGAGGTTGAAGACGGTCTGGTCCTTGCCGACAAAGAAGCCCTTGGCAAGGAGCCGGTCAAACAGGGCATAAAAGGTTGATTCGAACCAGAGGACCGAGGATGGGGTTCCGCCGAAGAATGAGCCTGTCATCAGCTCTATGCAGCAGTGATACTCACCCTCGACGATATCCGAGCCCAGAGGTCCCTTCTCCTCTCCCCACGCCTTTTCCTGTGCTTGCGGCTTCCGCCAGAGCGGGAACATGACGAGTGGTGCGGGCGCAGAAGGATCAGACCCGACCGTCGCTGCGCCCTGGCTGAAGATGGAGTCAAGCCGGTCCATATCCGGCCACGCCTGCAGGAGGTGGTCCGCCCGCATCGCTCCCGCGTCTTCCCAGAAGACGTACTTGTACGTTGGCGCCCTCTTGTCATACGCCTTGAGATCCGCCATCGCCCGTACCGCCTCGCCGACAAAGTACGCCTTGGAGTCCCATACAGCGTACAGGTCCGGGTTGTGGTATGCCTTCTCCCCATCCTTGTCCCATTGCTCCTGCGCTACCTTGGCGAACTCGGCCAGAGGCGGAGTCTCCAGAGGCCCGCTGTACCGCGTGTCATAGTACACTTTGCGTTGAGCAAAGACGCCTGTGTGATTTCGCCGACGAGTGAGGTCCGAATCGACTGCCCGAGCGATAAGCCCTTGCAGGTGGGCTTCGTAGCTGGACGAGGTGAAGATGTACATGTCGGTTGAGAGCTGGCCCATAAGATTGGTGAGCCAGTGGTCATAGTCGCTCTGGGGATGTTTGGACTTTTTAAGGGGGTAGTAGGCGGTGACAAGGAGGACGCGCGGGGGGGCGGCGGAGCCACGGAGGGAGGGGACCCATGTGGGCGAGGAGGCGGTGCTAAGGGTGTAGAGGAGGTACAGCGCGATGATCCCACCGAGGATGAGCGGCGCGCTTAATCGCTGGGGTACCCGGAACGACATTGTGACCGAGGATGTGTAGCGAGGCGATGGCGATAAAGTCGGTATGGTCGATGTGTACCTCCTTTGGCTTTGGATGAGGGTACGTAAAGCTGCCCTGAAAGGCGGACGCGTAAAAAGGTAAAAGCGGAGAGCTTCAACTGTACATGCATGGAGGCGACTCCATCTAAGAGCGCGTGCAGGGGATGCTGCGTTGCTGACCCTGTATCGCTCGCCGTGAGGGAGGGAACTCGATGCAAGAAGGAGAGCCGCTGGCGAAGCGTACAAGCAGAGGCATATATAGCGCCCCCTCGGAGCTGTCGTAAATCAGGCACGGTGCACAACCTTATCCAATCTTTGTCGCAGATCGCGCACGCGTTCGCTAGTTCGCTCTTGACACCTCTCTTAAGCTTCATCTGCGACCTGTACATAGTCACCTAGTCACCACCGCCCCCTCCACAATGGCTCAGTCCGCTTTCTCAGCGCTGGCGAAGAGGAAAGGCTTGTTGCCTGTCCTTGCCTTGCTCATCGGGGTCGTCTACTACTTTGCCGCGGACCATACAGACAACGGCTATGCGGCATCGCTCTACCCCTACGTCTGGCCGGAACAGTCGTCCAAGGTCGCAGCGGCACCGTCACTGTGTCCCGAGGTAGTACATGCCCCAATGCCGCCGAGCGCCCCACCAACAGACTGGTCCACATTTCACCAGATATCGAGCATTCGGCACTCGGGATGGTCAAACCCAGATACCATGCCCGCCTCTAGCGACGGAGTGTTGTCAGGCAAGGGCCACCGCGCAAGCTTCCGTACCAATCTCAGGCCGGACAAGCACTACTTTACGACGTTTCCAGCGTTTGGGTGAGCTTGTGCTTGGTCCATGCTGATGACTAGCTTGACCAACCAGTTCATCTGCATCTACACTTGTGAGTCAGCGTCTGGGGCGGACTGACAGCAGCAATCTACATGGCTTTGCTATCGGATAGAATCCCCATCTTACAACCCTTCATCCCTCACTATTCGCATTTGGGCGGACATGGAACTTTCCTCCCTATCGGCGAGGTATACGACCTGAACCGACTCCGCGCGGTTCTCGACTTACCCATTGTCGAGATGTGGGAGCTGAAGGCTTCTACCATACTCAACACGACCGACCCTGCTATCGAGGAGACGCCAGTCATTGACGAAATTGGATGCTGGAGCATGTGGATGACGTCGTATGGCGGAAAGTATGGTATCAGTGACACCTATAGGTTCCGTGAGTTTTGCCGATGATGGAGCTGATGCAGAACCGGAATGGACTCCTATACCTCAGGAACACGTCCGGGCTGGTGGCCTTCAGCCAAACTTGCGGGACACGACATCCTTACTCCGGATCAGACCGCCCGGTCAGGACTTCACATTGCCCCCTGGGTCGCAAACGGTATTGACTAGACTCAACGTCACCCAGCCCGAGATGGTCCCTGACAATCATGTCGCTTGCTTGGACGTCACCATGTTTATGATGGTCGAGCCGGAGAGGTGGGACGTCACGGGCGAGTGGGTGGCGGGAGACGGGGCATGGCAGGCGGTAGGGAGGCATATGCGATTCCAGCCGTTCTGGTTGAATCTGGCGGAGGTATACCTGCGGCGGACGTTTGGGGTGGCCGAGGGCGATGCAATTCCACCTGTAAGTGCGGGTCAAGGCAGGACTGACTTTTAGTATATCGGAGTGCACATCAGGCGGACGGGTGAGTCAGGGTGCGTCCGGAGCTGATCCAGATTTCTCTGATACTTTGAAAGCCGTCTCTCTTCGGCACTATGCCCATGCGGCTTCTATCGTCCAAAACAACATCCGCACCTATCTCGGTGTCGATGTGAAGCGCATCCTGGTTCTGACCGACGAAACGGACCCCGAGTGGCTGTAAGTCCGCATGAAAACAGCAGCTGATCTTCCAGTAAGCAGATAGACAGCTTCGAGGGGTGGTCCTACGTCAATCACGAGGCGGCCAAGACGAAGGAGCTCGGATTATGGTGAGTATGTGGTGAGGCGCAACTGATCTAGCAGGTATCCCACTTTATTGGATACTGTCATGATGTCGGGCGGGATCGGTCTTGTTGGGCTGTACAAAAGTACAAGTGAGTCCCACACATTCTCAAGGCTGATTTTCAGTGGCCATCATGGCATCACATCGAGTGACCGAGTGGAATGCGGGAGTGGCAAAGTTGTTGCAACACGATTATGGCCTTCAGGTGCCGGATGGGTGGGAATGGGCGAATTCAAGAGGATAGAGGGCGCTTTGGGTTTTCTTATTTTAGACGTTTTGGTGTATTCTGTTGCGCATCTCGGAGATAGGGCAGGCAGGCTGGTCATGAGTGCTGCCAGGGGACGAGCCACGGCTCAGTCGGCCAGCTTCCACATTCCTCGCTGGATCTCCGTTGACGTCACGGTCAGCAAGCTGAATCTATTCGCGTACACTCGCGCTCACCGACATCTATTCTGCGTTCCAACAGGTCTGGCACCGCCTTTCTATATAGCAGTACCAAGTTACGAGGGATCCCCCGCAGTTCCCTTCCTTTGCCATCTCTCCACCACCCATCATGCCCGACGCCCGCGACAAATCAGTCCCCAACGAGCACCATGTCCACAGGGTACGTCCAGATTTCTACCCAGCTGACGACAGACTGGTCACTGGCTCTCCCAGGACAAGCGACACCACCACAAGTTTCTGAGCAGCACCATCGATACTGTCGACCAGAACCCAAAACCCCTCCACCCCGTTCTCAAAGAGTTCAAAGAGATGGTGGACAAGGACACCCGGTTGACCATGCTCTTCGCCCTCATGTTTGATCAAGTGAGTCCCGCCTAGACTGTGCTGATCAGATCCCATACGCCAAAAAGTACCTCACCGATGCGGTAGGCGAGCAAAAGCAAGTCCGAGACTTTGACCACATGCTCGCCTGTCTCAACCACGTCTTGACGACCGCGCCGCAGTGGACCGACGCTGGACACAAGGCGGGACTGGTCGGCGTCCCCATCAATGCCCTGCTCGACTGGCCTATGGGCACTAAGGGTGGCTTTGCCGTCTTCCAGGACCCTCAGGTCAACGCCCAAGTAAGTCCCTGGGTCGATTCCGCTGACTCCAGTTCAAAAAGATCCTCAACGTCTGGGGCGAATTCCTCTCCTCTCCATCCTCCTCCTATGTCCTCGGCTCTGACGACATCTCCTGGTTCTCTCCCCACGGCCTCGCCGCTTTGGAAGAGGTCGCCAACAATGGCGGTACCACCTCGGCCAAATTCCCGGAAATGTACCACTGCGACCCGTCGGCGGAGCACTATGGCTACAAGTCATGGGATGACTTCTTCACTCGCGAGCTCCACCCCGAATTCCGCCCCATCGCCTCCCCGGATGATGACAACGTCATCGCCAACGCCTGCGAGTCTACCCTATATAAGGTCGCCCGGAACGTCCACGCACGCGACAAGTTCTGGATCAAGGGCCAGCCCTACTCTGTCCTCGACATGCTCGCGTTCGACCAGCTCGCGGACCAGTTCGTCGGCGGTACCATCTACCAGGCGTTCCTCTCTGCCCTCTCCTATCACCGCTGGCATTCGCCCATCACCGGTACGATCAAGAAGGCCTTCGTCGTGGACGGTACCTACTACTCGGAACCCTTGTTTGAGGACTTTGTCCAGGACAAGTCGGCTGACCCGCATGGCGAGACCACCAGTCAAGAGTACATCTCGGCCGTCGCTACCAGGGCGATCATCTTCATCGAGGCGGACAACCCAAAGATCGGGCTCATGGCGTTTATCGGGATAGGAATGACGGAAGTGTCTACTTGCGACATTACCGTCAAGGAGGGGCAGAAGGTCAAGAAGGGAGAGCAGCTAGGGTGAGTAGGGGTGTGACTGAGCTGATGATAGTATGTTCCACTTTGGTGGCTCGAGTCACGCCCAACTCTATCGCAAAGGCGTCAAGCTGTCGGGCTTCCCAGAGGAGACCGGGCACAATGTTGCGGTCAGAAGCAAGCTCTGCGTAGTAGAGTAGATATGTAGCTGCCCTTCTATTGTATACGAGCTAGAATGCTTCCCTACGTACGGGTATCAAACGCCGGACATGACGCCAAGGATAGCTATGGTGAGGATACCCCAACCCATCAACCTGGTTGTCAGCTACGTTTGACGGCCCAAGATATCGCCCTTGACTCACCCACAAGTTGACTTGCTTGCCACCTGCAACGAGCCGGCGGACGTGGTCGACAAGGTAAAGTTGGGACTGAACGAGAAGGACGCGATCTGTGCAGCGGTGTTATTGTTTGCAGCGATCTCCACAGCAGCCCAAGTCCTGAAGATCAGCCTGTACTAGCGGATGACTTACAGTGAAGTCGTTCCGTCGACAAACAATGTGCTCGGCTGATCCGTCGTATTCACCTCATTCTTGAAGGGGGCCACAGTCCAGTTGTAGGCGCTGCCCGTGAGGTTTACCGAGACCAAGCCACACTGCAGGTCAGCTCTCGCCCTCGAACAAACTTACCCAGCACCTGCTTTTGTTGTCACAAATACTGTCCGTCAGCTGGAATCGCGTATCCTGCGAGCGACTCACTTCTGGGTCAAGGTGAAGGGAGGTACGCCAGGAAAAGTGAGTTGAACAGTTTCGTTCATCCGCACGTTACTCTATCCGTCAGCTTGGCCGAGGAAGAGACTTCACCTGCTCGAATGTAATACCGGGCCAGCCGGAAGAAGCACAAGGAACCGTCGCGGCTTTGATTGTGCCGCCAGCTTGCCCGTTGATGGTTCGGATTGACATGTTGAATTGAGGCCTATGTGCTGAGACTTGGTTGAGGATGATTGAGGAAAGAGATGACAGAAGATGACTAGTCGGGAGCTATCTATCATAGACTGTATCTAGGCCCGGACGATCGGACTCGTGCAGAGCTCAGGTGACTTTCCGCATGGGCACCACTAGCAGCTGATAAGGTTTCGGTGGAGCGAATCTCGCGCGTGGGGTGTCCTTTCGTGTCCTTTCGTGTCTTTTGCGCCTGAGGCGACTTCCTGGTAGTGAGCCATCCTGTGACTAGGTCGGGATCGGGATCGATGAGCCCCGGATTGATCTGTGCATGCAGAAGAGCGCATGGAAGCAGATGGAAGAAGCATTTTGCGTAGGCTTTTCCGGCCGATCCAAGACCATGCGGGAACACTTACGGCATGATCGAGGAATGTGTTGCAGCCGGTACTCGGCGCCGGGGGCGGGACCGGGAAGCACCCCTTTTTGCCCTGATGAGGAGCAGCAAGGAGCTCGGTCTGGCCCCCGCGAGGATCGGTATGGATCAAAGGATCACAGCAATGTGGGCCCAGTGGCGAGATGCCAAACGCGACTACCTCACATTATGCATAGCCCCCAGGACCGACCCGGCCTGATGGTATCTACACCTCGTCCTACCATTCATTGCTGTCCCAGAATCAACTTGCGCGCCAGGGGCAAAAGATCCCGGAACGTATCTCTGACGACTGTATCTCATCAGCGCCGATCTTACCCAGCCATAGACGCAGCACCCACTTGTGCGGACCTCGAGAATATACCCTGTCGTGGCAGGCGGTGTCTGCGACGGCTCTGCTCGATTCAGCCTCTACCGCCGTGTCTCTTGCCATAGCCCTCTCACGATCGCACACGTGGACTCACTGGAAGATGCCCGCTTCCACCCGCACGCCTCACAGTCCGGTGCCTCCCACAAGCCATAGAAATTCCAGATATCCTTTGCGTGACGTGTTGGCGGAATCCCCAGTGCCTTGTACATCCCCCTAATCTCGGTTGTAACGACCGTCCTGAGAACCTCTACCGCCCGTTCCTCTCCGCCAGGACCCGGAATGTAGACGTCGACGTGGAGGGGAGGATCTAGTGAGGCGGTGCTTTGTTGAAGCTGTTTCCACGCGGTGATCCGTTCCAACGCGTGTGACACAACGGTGATGAGAAGGCTCCGGAGTACCCCTTCCAGTGTGGTAATGTATGCTTTGGGACGGACGCAATAATACCACCGAGAGTGGCCGCCGAGAGTGACCGGTACCCTGACGCTGGCATAGGCGATGTGGGCCCGAAACTGAAGCCCTTGAGGGAGAATCTGCGTGATCTCCGGGCCGCTATCAAGGTACTGGCACCCTATCTTCATCGCGGTACTGTCAGGCAACGTACCGACCAACGTGGCGACGATAGGGGCGAGGTAGTTCCGGTCCGCCGCGTGATCAGATTGCGCCAAACGGTCAGTGAGGAGCTTATGGCGCTCCCCATGCTCCGCGGCGTAGGGACCCGTCGAGAGACTGGCCACTCTCTTCAGCGCGCCTGATACCCACAAATCTCTCAGGCTCTCCATCATCCAGCCCCGCTCATGCGCCGCGAATGTGGTGATGTCCTGGCGCGTAGCTTGGACGAGGTAGAAATAGGCGCCGCCGTATTTGAGCAGGTCGAGGTACGCGGGCTCATTTTTGTTGACATATTGAGTGTATAGGCGTTGCGTATAGCCAAGAAGACTCCGCTTGGAGGGAGTGCCGGGGACGGGAGAGATATCGAGGCCGTATGAGAGGGAAGAGAGGTGGCTCGTGCGAATGGAGGAGTAGAGGTAGGGAGAGGCGATATTGTTGAATAGCTATCGCGTCAGCGCGTCAGCGCGGACCGAGGCTAAGAGATGAACATTGCGCACCTTGCTCACTCTCATAACACTTGCCAGATGAGGCTGAGGAATTGGTGTCTCCCAGATCTTTGCAGGCCGAGGAGGAAGGGAAGGGTCGTTATAGAGATACGAAAATACTACGGCCCAGAGCTCAGGGTGCAGGCGTAGAGGGGCTGTTGGCATCTCTGCCGGCGCCTTCGTCTTTATGGCGACTGCTGCCGCACCTCCTGGTCTGTCGATGGTCATGACAGGCGTACATATAGAGGTAATAGAGCTCTGAATTATACTCGGCTTTCATGCGCGCAACATTCTCCTGGAGCCGGCGATTCCCCCGACCCCCGCGAGGTATGCACAGGTGGAGAGTGGCACAAGGCTGACAATTGCTCAAGTGATAGGTGCACGTACACATGCTGTACTCCCCATTGTCTTCGCCCCACCATCAGTGTCGGCGCGCTCGCTTCCTGTATATATAGACCGCCAGATTTCCAGGTATCGGCAATCAACACTGATCCCCGCTGGTATTTGGCGCACCGAGCGATGAGCTCAAATGCCTTGCACCTCAGATCCAGCACTCATACACCAGCTTGCGAACTTGGTGTCCTCGTCAGGAGGCAATCCGCCTGCTCGCTTTCTCATCCTCTCAGGTTCCACTCCAGCTGCTCCATTGGCCTCTGACAAAGTGACATCGGATGCATTCGGGATCTTTTCCGGACAGTAGTAATGGGTCAGGATAGTAACATGTATCAGCAGACTTGGAACGTTACGAGCCTGGATCAGGTGGAGTCAGCATGCTGCGAGCCGGTGTACGGCTTGTACGTCACGTTCCTGCTCCCCATGTAAAGCGACGCAACTGCCCGAGCTCCACCGAAGTGCGTGACCTTCGAGAGCTTCTTGATCTCGTCGAGGAGTGCGTAGCAGCCGTCGAGCGTCGCTGGCGAGGGGATGCTCCCATCGCTCGAGAGGTCCCGGAGCTCCGAGAGTTTGGGGAGCGCTGACACCTTGGGATACAAATCGTTCTTTGAGTCGGGCGCCAGCTTCTTCGGAAGGTCTCGCAGCGTATCCTTGATGATGTCGTCGAGCACCTCTCTGTCCTGAAGCCATTTCCTGGTGTCCTCGATGGGATTCATCGATGTGTCGGGACCACCGCGGCTGAGGAAGCCTGGGAAATGTGTATTGGCGAGATGGGCCTCCCAGGTCATCTTGTTTCCCTCCTCCGCCAAGAAGCGCCATTGGAGCTCGCGTCCGAACGCCGTACCGATGCGAGAGAGCAGGTCGTCGTCGACGCTGTCTGCAGACGTCAGTCGAGGGCTACAAGGGGAAGAAAGCGAGTAGACAGACCGAGCGCGGAGAGCTTCTTCAGAGCCCCTTTGATCAGGCTCAAAACCATGATGTCTGGGGCTTCGGCGACCTGGACCGTGGCCTCTGCCCATTCGTCATGGTAGACAGTGACCTTCTTGTCCTTGGGGTCAGTTGCCCATTCGAGCCTGAGCGGCCTGGGCGTATCGCCGGTCTCAGCGCTGCGCCTGTCGATGAGGACAGACGGGTGTGAACTCATTGTAGGGGATGGCGATGTGAGGTAGCTCGAGCGTATTGGCAACTGTGAAACTCATGAGATCAGTACCGCGAGAGAGGGAGACTGAGAGGAGGAAGACTTACGAGGTCAGAACGTTGAAGATAGAATGAGCGCGAGCTTGACAAACGTCAGAAGGGGTGGAGGCGTATTTATATATGTCATGAGCGTATCGATGTGCAGTGACCTGCTGCTCAGACCACAAGGGATCACAAGTCTTTGATTCTCATACTCACAAGTATGGCCGGAGTCTCGGCGCATTCGCACGCACGTGCTATCGGCCAGCAGTGACCTTCCCAGTCCTGTCACAAAGGATCTCATGACTATCGTTTTCGAGCACTCACGCAGGAGCGGAGTTTCGGCGTCCTGATAGGCACGTGTGTGATAGTGGATGCGCACGTTGGACCTGAGTCGATAAGTGTAGAGAAATGAGCCATCGGTGGCAGTGATCAAGCAGCGACTGATACAAGCAGTGGATGCTACGAGTGGAGGGCATTCCATGCTGACACCACAGACAGTCCCTGCTGATCAGCTGAGACAACCTCAAGAAACCCAGTACAGTTCCCCTTTTTCGACGGTGGAGCTGAACGGCACGACACGGCCGTCTCAATCAGTTTTTGGTATCACAGTCAGTAGTAAATGGTCAGAAGACTTTGTCGCATGAGCGGCACCGCTATCCCTCGTCCTAATCCATCCCTTTCTTCCCTTCCACACGACCGTTGGAGAGAGACCGTATCCCTCGCCCCCGTCCATACAAACGAACAGCTCTCCGCTCTTTCCCTTCCTCACGGCGTCTTATCCTCAAATTAGACAGTCAGTAGTAGCTGGTCAGAAGACTTTGATATGTGAGCCGAGACCACTGTTCCCTATCCAGATCCATCCCCTTCATGGCGCCCGTTTGAGCGGGCCCGTATCCCTCGTCCCCGTCCAGACGAACGAGTAGCTCTCTGCTCTTTCCCTCCCTCCTCCCGGCGCCTTATCCTCAAACCGCAGACTGCTAGGGCTCGGCGTCCTCGTCCGCCCCTTTCCTAATCCACCCGCTGATGTCGAAGAGATAGATGAGACTGTGATGGGTATTGGCGGTGTTCCCCTCCTAGAGATTGGCGGCGTGGGCGCGACCTTCCCCTTCTCCCCTCCGCCCAATACGGCCACCACAGCTTCTGGCGCCTTTCTCCGCCAAAGCCTCCACCAACCCGCTCGCTCCTTTCTCTCCTTCTCTTCCCGCCTCCGCTCGAACGCAGAACGGTATCGCTCGTACCCTTCCCTAAACCCCCGATCGACCCGCGAGGAGAAGATGAGCTCGCCTCGCGGATTCGAGGAAGGCGGGATGGAGGGCATGACCCCGCTGCCGCTCGCGCGCCGGACTTGCTTGGTCTGTGGTGGAGGAACAGTCGGTGTGGAAGTTGACGTGGCGGGTAGGTGGGGCCGAACGAATGAGGGGAGGAAGGAGAGGAGGAGGTGGTGTAGCGGTGGGCGACGGGTATTGAGGTGCATATTGAGCGGGCGGAGGGCTTTGTTGGAGTAGGTGAGATAGCTACTGTATCAGCGCCAGGAACGCTCCCGCTGGGCAAACTTCTGACTCACCTACGGGCATACCGTATCTTCTCATCGTACATACCACTGGCGAAGAAGAGGATCAAGGTGATGAGGACGACCGCTAGTAAGCCTTGGAGAGCTCGTAATGAGACGTATGTCTGGAGCATTGTCAGCGCCTAATCTTTCAGAGGGACGAAGCTTGCGCACCGTAGGTGTCTTCAGCAGGAGCTGATGGGCCATGACAAGTGTGGCCGACAGGAAGGTGTATAGAAAGACTGAGGGTTAGCCAGGTTCAAGAACGGCGACTGTCTATATCGACCCTTCACAGAACTCTTCACCCAGCAGTATCCACGCCTAGCCTCTTTCGTGACACCTTCACAGCATCTTCCAACCAAGCCTCATGCCTGCCATTGATCAAAGGATGCTGTCGACCTCTCCAGCTTCTCGACGAGCTCGTCCCCATCATCCTCAATACAGCTCGAGCTGGCGCATGGCAAGTATGCTGACTCACTATTGTATCTTCTCCTCCTTTTCCTCAGCATCTCGGCGTTCATCTTGAGCCTCTCCTCGAAGAGCAGCAGATCTCGATAGGTGGCTGTATCCCCATGCGGATGGAAGGGGGCCGTTGGGTGAGGCCTGACTGGCCCCGGAGTAGGGGTAGGCGAGCGAGAGGAGCTCGCAGCCGATGCCTCCATTCTTGGCTATCGTGTTGCTCGTAGCTGGGACGCTGTACCTATCTACGGTGATGAGCTGTGATGCTATAAGCACGGGGAGATCTACGCTATAGAGTGGGCTGGCTGGTCTGCGTGGGGACCCCAAATTCCCCACTCACTCACTCGTATGTTTACCGGCGATCGCCGCTTAGATTTCTTGACGCGTCGGTGGCCGATCCAGTCACGTCACGTCCACCTTGACTTCTTCCCTTGCGATTGACTTTCAACTTCTCTTACAGCTATCTAGCTTCTATACCCTCAGCCTATTCACACATATGTCTCGAGAGGTCATGGAAGACGCAGCAGCTGAACCAAGAAGAGGTGGCCGGTCTAGGAAGGCCACGCAGCGCTTCGAGCCGCAGCAGGCGAAGGGTGAGTTCAGCAGGGAAGGAAGGGAAGGAAATCGAGGAGGAAAGCTGATGTGGGCAGGTGTAGCAGGGAAGAAGCGCAGACTGGATGATGAGGACGCTCGGTCCGACGTGAGCTAGCGATTGCTTGATACTCACCAGCGAGCTGACCTCAACAGCCATCGGAAGAAGAGGACTCGGACGACTCTGACGCAGCTCCGGCTGCGTCCTCTCGGAAGAAGAAGGCCGCCGGCGGGTCACAGAAGAAGGCTGCTGCGGCCAAGGGGAAAGGCAAGAAGCCAGCCAAGCGGGCTGCATCGCCCGATGCCCCGGCAGAGGGTGTCGTCGAGCTCGATGGCCTCAAGGACGATTCTTCCCTCTTCAGTAAGGTCGAACCGCCCGCTCAGCTTCAGCTTCAGCTGACAAGCAGACGCCCTCCTCAACGCCGATATCGCTCTCAGTACCGTCGTCGAAGGCTGGGTCGAATCATATCAGAGCTCCGCAGGCGATGAAGAAGGCGAGAAGGAAGCTGTCCATCAGCTTGTCTTGTTCGTCATTCGATGCTGCGGCTTGATGGCGGATGTCGATGAGGACGAGACGATGGACATGGACGGTATTGCAGACGCAGTAGAGCGGATCGAAGAAGAGAGCGCCAAGGTAGGCTCCTGCCTCGTCCCGCGCTGACAATCAGAGTACCGCCGCTATATACCCCTTGATATCCAAATCCAAAAACTTGAAACCCTTCAAGACCAACCTCAACCTCTTCCTCTCCCTGCTCGTCAAGACTCTCTCGCAGACGCCTCTCCTCTACCACACATCCGACACCACCACCCACTCAGCACCCCTCCTCCCCTTGCTCCAATCATGGCTGCACAACCTCTCAACCTCGGCGCTCCGCCCACTCCGACACACGGCCACCTACATGTCCATGAAGCTCACTTCGGCGCTCTGCGATGTCGCATCGGACGTCAGTAAGGATCTTAGCATGAAGCAGCGACAGAGGGAGGCGGAGGCGAAGAAGGCGGGAACGGCTGCGGGTCAGAAGAGGGTCAAGGAGGCGGAGAAGAAGGTCAAGGAGGCGCACGAGATGAAGGTGACCCTCGAGGGGTTGATGCAGGAGACCGTGGATGTGTGAGTAGCCAGTCACAGGTACAGGACGGAGCTGACGACCAGTGTGTTTGTTCACCGAGTACGCGATTCCGACGCCGCTATCCGGACAGACTGCCTCAAGGAGCTCGGGGTATGGGTCAAGGGGTACGCCGAGAAGTTTGTCGACAGGCAATACCTCAACTACTTCTCGCGAGGCTGCAACGATCCGGTAGGTCTATCTGATCCATGATGGTCTCCGCTGATCATCAGGACTCCCACGCCCGAAGCGAGACCGTCAAGGCTCTCTCCACCCTGTACACTCGCGACTCCTTCGTCAACAACGCCCGCACCGTTACCCTTCGGCTTGCCCCTCGGCTCATCGAGATGGCGCTGCGCGACATCGACATCACCGTCCGCGTCCGAGCCCTCGACGTTATCGCTCAGATCGACAAGACCGGTATCCTGCAGGATGAAGACTCGAACGAGCGGGAACAAATCGCTCGTTTGGTATTCGACCATGAACCTCGGATCCGCAAGGCCATCGGCGGGTTCTTTAGCGGTCTCTGGGAGGAGCGGGTCGAGAAGCTTCAGGGCGAGTGGAAGGGTGCGGTCGGAAACAAGAAGAAGCGGGGGAAGGGTATCAACGAGGAGGATATGGACAAGTACCTCAGCTGGAAGGCTCTGGCGGATCTCCTGGTGGAGACGAGCCGGACGATCGACCAGCCCGAGGCGGAGGAGGATGAGGAAGCAGGGGAGTCGAGCACCGCCAAGACCGTCTCGGTCAACACGCTCATGAGCCGGGCGGCGGCCGCTGTCGAGTCGCTGTCAACGGCGATATCGCTCATGCAGGACTGGGAGGGTCTGGTGGATTACCTTCTGCTGGATCACTCGACGCACGAAGATGATGCGTGGTTGCTGGATGAGGAGGAGGAGGGGTTCATGATGCACGTCTTCATCGCCTCGGTGCGAGCTGACCCGGTAAGTCTTGATTCATTAAGGGGGGCAGAGCTGACTTTACAGGAGGACAACGAAGAAGAGCGGACCAAGACCCTCATGACTGCTCTGCCTCGTCTTCTCACCAAGAACCAGTCGGACGCGGGCAGGATGACGGGTATCTTGGGCTTGCCGGGCTTGATGAAGCTGGAGATGTACCTGGACATGCGGAAGAGCACGGTGAGCTATCCGCAGTCCTCGTAAGAAGGCCCAAGCTCATGGATAGGCCTACGACAGCCTCTGGGACGACATCTCCAAGCAATTCCTCACGCAGACCGACCCTCTCCTCCTCACATCCGCGATCACCGCCATCAACACCCTCATCGCCAACACTTCCCTTTCCACCAACAACGCCGCCAAGCTCATCGAGCTCACCGAGGCACTCTTCAACTCTTTACGAGACGCGCTGGACGGCGAAGATGTCAGCGATCTGCAATTGAGCGATGAGCAGGTGGCCAGTCTAGAAGCTATAATGCTACGCTTGAGTCTGCTGGAGCGGAGCAAGGACCTGGTGGATGTCATGGAGGATACGGAGGGTGGACAGAGCGCGGGCTGGGATATCGTCTGCGAGTTTGTTCAGCGGGGCGAAGTCGGGTACAAGGAGGAACGCAAGGTAAGTCTTCCCGCATGGGATCATTGCGCAGAGCTGACAGGACAGCTCGTCGAGTACGCGATGCAGGTGGTCTTCCTCCATCTTACATGGTTGTTCCAGCGCTTCGTCCCGGAGGACGCTAATGACGAGGCCAAGGTGGAAGCGCTGGTCGAGAAGCGGGATCGGGCAATGAAGGTGTTCAAGGGGTTGGCGTTGACGGACCGGAGCAACGCGGCCGAGTCGGTCAGACGACAGGTGAGCTATTTGAAGCGCGCACTTCTACCTCGGCTGATGGATCAGGCCTTCGTATGCTATCTCAACACCTATGTCCTCTTCTCACCCAAATCATCCGCACCCGCTGCCAAGGCTGCGACACTCAAGATGGAGGACGAGACGCAGCATCGGTTGGGCGGATCTTTCCAGGCGGCAGTAGAGCGCTACGCGTCGGACCTGGAGGAGGTGCAAGCTAGTCAGAGCGATGAGAACAGTGAGCTAGATTCGGGTTTTCGTCGGAGCCTCAAGCTGACTTTGTAGCCGAAACCACCACCCAAACTCCCGAGCAAACATTCGAGTTCTTCCAGCTCACCTCTGTCTTTGTCGCTGCCATCCGCACCGGTGTGCTCGAGGTTGAACACGCCAAAGAGCCCCTTGCGCACTACGGGCGCTTCGGCTCGACCTACGATGCAATCGTCAAGAAGCTCGTGGATGTGCTCCGGGACGAGGGAATCTACAACCGGGAAGCGGACACTGTGCAGCACGTCGCTGGTTCAGCACTTCAAGCTGTGAGTGCCATGTCGTCCCCGCTTGACTTAGCTGACACTCAGTCCTTCAGCACCTACCTCGAGTCCGACGTGAATTCGGACCCCACCGCCACCCTTGCTCTCGCCAAGCTCATCTCTTCCGCATTCATCATCCACGGCACCCACTTCACTGTCCTCAAACAGCTCTCACCCTCGGACGTCTACGACTTTCACCTCGGCGCAATCGACTATATCGCCAGACGGGTCAGCAATCTCGTCAAGCAGGAAAAGGCCAACAAGTCCAAGGATGTTCGGACCCGTCTGGCGGCCAAGCGCGCTCGGGCGCTCGTCGGGTGGTTCAAGGTGGTCATACTGCTCCTGGGGCCTATCGGCGGGCGGGATGCCCTCAAGCTTAAGAGCCACATGGAGGAGGCAATGAGCGGGACGGGCGCGCCCCTACTCAGTGGGAGAGGCTGGGAGGGGTATCGGGCGTACGAGAAGCGTCTGGTCAGTATTGCCGGCAAGGATAAGGAGGTCAAGGAGGCGAGCAAGAAGGTGGTCAATGGCGGGAGGAAAGGAAAGGCGGCGGTCAGGGAGCGGACCGAAACTGCATCGCCTGCTCCCGAGGAGGAAGAGGGGGAGGGGTCGCCATCGCCTACACCGAAAAGCCGCGGGCTGAAGCGGACCCCATCTACCGGCTCGGCAAAGCAAAAGTCACCGGAGCAGGAGGTTGATGACGAGGACGAGGAGGCGGGTGCGGGTGAGCCGGAAGGTGGCGAAGGGGACGCCGATGTCAACGGGGACGTCGATATGGACGCCGAACCCAAACCGGAACCCGTCGATATCAATGACCTCATCCTCGACCTAGACCAAGACATGGACTTTGCCGGTGCGGACTTTACCGACCTCAACAGCAGTCAGGGTGGCGCACCGGGGTCGAGTCAGCGCGGACGGGAGAGGAGCGAGAGTGTACCGGTGGAGCGGCCGGCGGCGGGGGCTAAGCGGCGCAAGACGGGGCGGGTGATCTGATCGCTGTGCGCATGAGGGAGGGAAAGAGGGTAGCAGGACATCCATCATTTGCCGATCACGAGGGGAGTGGACAGTGTGCGAGTCAGGGATCTATACTTAGGGGCGCAATTGTGTATCGCAGAGAGTGAGCGGGATCATTAATACATCATGCAGCAGGTCAAGGTATCCGGGCGTCAGACATATAGCTTGAGTCCAGAACAGGTTCTTGGATGCTGGTGAGCGTCTGGGCCCTGTTCATGCAGCTAAAGACCTGTTAATCCATCCTTCGGTCCATCGAGTCCTTCCGGGTGTCGAGCACAGCGCCCGTACTGCGTACAGTCTTTACGGCTGTAGAAAAGGCGCGAGTCGCGCGGGACCAGAGGCGACTGAGCTCTTGCCGTCTTTGTCATGATGAGGAGAAGATGCGCGGGAAAGTTTGGATATAAGGAATGAGGAGTTGGGTTTGAGACCGCGGTGCCAGTAAGGTTTGGCCGGCTCAGGAGGATCCCCGTCGCTATCCTAACCATGCATATGTATACCTGTAGATGATGCGTAAACCCAAGAGAAATGTATGCAGCTCCTTGCTCCCTCCCCTCAGATCATATCTCCCACGCCCAATCCTCTGGGACCTTGTACTGACTATGCCAGAAGAGCTCTACCATGCCGCCCGCATCTAATACTCTTCTGGATGGTAATATGCTCACTGCATGTCAGTGCTGCGATACTGGGGCAAGGACGCTTGTTGACTCACTTGTACTGGAAGATACACCCATAAATGCCGCTGAAGATGAGAGGATACACGAATCGATGAGCGTTGGCCACCTGCTGATCAGCCTGGTTGAGGGACCACAATTGCCAAAAGCGCATACCAGAATCCCAACCTATTTCCAGTCTGAGTTTTCATGTGGTCGACGTGGTACCATCCCGGTAATCTCATCTCCTTTCTGTAGCTCATCAGTACAGTCTCGTCTCGATCAAGGTGGTTGCACTCACAACCATTCTTCGTCCGTCTCGTCCGAGGTCCAGATGATGTGCTTTATATCCACCTGCCTTTCTTCCCGGTACCTGGTCAGGAGCAGGAAGGCACGGTGAGCCCATTGCCGCTGGGTGATGGCTTTGAGAGCGGGATAAAAGTCTGCCTGCATCAGCTGGACCGGCATGATGCCTTGTCTCCACACTCACCTCCGCGCCGAATATGTACAGCCATATACTGCGATATCAGCTTTGAGCCTCGCTTAGAGCGTCGGACTTACTGGAGGTATCTCCGCATCCCAGCTCAGACCCATCAGATCCCGTAAGAAATCATCGGCGATTTGGTGGATTCCCGGCTGAAACTTGAGGTGGCGACCGACCGCTGCCCACGCACCGACTCCGTTTCGCCACTGATGATGCAGGTCCTCGTTGTGTGGCGCGTCAACCATCCAGTAAGTCCTGTCGAGGCAGGTATACTGATCGTCGGGGCTGATACCGGTAACTTCTCCGAGCTCGTGGAGCCGAGCGACAGTAGACTCGGGAAGTCTCGCTCCGGGAACCGAGTAATTGCGGATGGCTTCGGCAGTAAGTGGGATGGAGAAGCGATCCCATCTCTTGTCTGGGTTGACATTGATGGGTAACGGTGCGTAGGAACGGGCTATCATCAGCTTGGTCGTGCCTCCAAACTTACTGACTGGCTCATGTACATTATCATGATAGAAGTCCAGTTTCCCAAGCACCATGTTTGTGGACCAGCAGTCCATGTAATCGGGTTCTGGTTCCTCCGCCGCGATCAGATCTCCGCTGACGAGTCGCCGTCCGTCTGCGCCCCGCTGCCGATGCTCCCCGTCATATACCACCGTGCGATGCCGTGGGGCCACTTTGTCATCGACCTTGAGCTCGGCAGCATCGACAAGAGGCCTTCCGTTCCACGCTTTGATAAGGCCAGAGACGTCAAATACCTCGGTGAACGACAGAGGATGTTCACCTCGTGCGCCCAGGTGGCCGTGGTGGGCGAAGAAGGCGTTGACGACTGGTATCCGGTCCGCGAGCAGAGAGACGTGAATGGCTACACTCAGCTAGAGAGCTATTGATACTCACCATTGACAGCTTCTATTATTTGATTATTCCACCTGTATTGTGAGCTAAGGCTCGAATTGGCCTTGCTGAAAGCTCACCCATTGATCGGTGAAGCAACCAAGTACTTCATATTAGGCTTGAGATTGGTTCTAAAGCTCGCTTTTGGCCCCACCTCCCTTAGCGCACCCCAGCTCGGCCGCCGATACCCTTTCCGCCGCATGGTATTTGACCATTCCCACGTCAGCGGCACCTCGACCGGCTCCTCGACCGAGTCCTCCCCATCGGCCGTTGTCGGTACATACGACCACAAGGAGCTGCTCTCTACCCGCCTAGGACCGTGCCAATATCCGTTCGCGTCCCATTGCGTATGTACGCTGTCCGAAGTCACGATAGTTCGTCCGTATACGAGCCAGATTAGGGTTGAGAGCGTTCCAAAAGCAGCGATACGGAGGTACAGCCTCAATCGATTCCGACTGGGACGCCAAGGGACCATGGCGGCGAAGGCCAAGCAGCCAGCAAAAGATCAAGGGGACAAAGTGGACAAGTATGGGCGAACGAGAGAGTGGGGAACACAGTGAGACACATTATGAGACCATTCCAGACCGGCCCCATCCGCGGACGCGCCGGCGGAAAGCGGCGCTCCTTGGCGGTCCCAAAATGCGGGCTCAAATGCGGCTTTGCACTCCCAGTAAAGCACGCTGTCTCTTGCAGATTCGTCGGTCTGGCCGCACATCTTCCTCAACCTGAAGCGTCCCCACCATACACCTGAGAGCCTGCTCTGGCGGAAAAACAACAAGCGGCAAGGTGGCTGTTTGCCTTCGACGATCTTTTTTCGGGCAGATCCTTTCTGCTTTGCGTTCCGAACGGGATCGTGCTGTGCCGTAATGCATACAGCGCCAGGCACCTAAGCTTAATATTCTCAACCCATGCCAATGGTACTGGTTGCCTCCGCCCGGCTCCTAGTCTGACATCGCTGTTACTCGTCATCAAAGCCCCCTGATAGCTGAGGGACACCAGCCTTGGAAGATATGGTCGCACCAGATCTCTGAATGAAGGCCGAAATTCGAGCCGGGGAGCACACAGAGCTATTCTGCTTTAGCGCCTCTCTCGATCGAGCGAGACCTGCCTTGAAGCAAACGACTCCATTGTATACCCGGCAGCGGTAGGTCCGGTCCGTAAAGTAGCTCATCTGTAGCTAGCCCGGCCCGGCTCACCGCAGACAGTTTTGAGCACCTGACAGTCAGATAGTTCCATCACCGCACCCGATCTTGCCGACGACGTACAGGCGGACGAGGCTCTGCTCATGAGCTTCGGTTTATACTACACTTACGGTCTTGAACACCAGGAGGAGTCCAATGCGTTCTCGGGCTGGCTGAGCGCTCCCCATTCGCCGTCTCCTTGACTGGGCTTGGGTGATCTGAGGCAACGTTGTATAACGACTGGAATTCACAGGATAAAAGCGAAGAGGATTTGTAGCGGTGATGTGAGTAGTCGAGTCCATATCATCAGCCGGAGTCATCAGTATACTCTACATCAGCTTGTCAGGTCGCGGCGAGAGAACGTCTGTGCCCAAAGCCGAAACCACTCTCTTTCGTAGCTGCTGTCCGTCCGGGGATCGCAATGGAAGGTTGATCGCTTCATCTTAGGGAGGAGCTACTGAGTAAAGAGTCAGTAGGAAGGGAATCAGTACTAAGACCTGCATGCAGTACAGATCCCTGGAGCCTGGAGCACAAAAGGGTCCGCCAGGCACGCTTCACGGGGCTCGAACAGCTTGTAGCCCCGCATGTCGGGTTGTTTATCGTCCGAATCGACGAGCTTCGAGGGATCCCCAGCGCACGCTATTAAAAATCTTCTCAAGCCGTCCTGATGAGCATGAGGCCATGAGGAGCCAGACATAGACTACGTGTAAGCCACTGTAAAGAGAGGTGTGATGCAAGAGAGCGATGGCATGGCAGGGTCTCGGTTAATGGTTGCCGATATTTCCCGATTGGGCGAAATCAAAGTCAAAACTCAAGATTGAGTTTCGCCCTGAAAATCAAGTCGGGCACAACACAACATCAAAGGGGGCTGTTACCTCGGTCGCAACTGAAATCATAGAGCTACCATCCATAGTCCATCTACACCAGCCATCTACAGCATACCTATACCATAGCTACACGTAGCACACTAGGCGATTACACTGCCACCCCACACTCCTTTCGTGTCCCGTACCGACCCTCCCAAATCCACCATGATCTCTAATATCGATCAATCATAATCTCGTATGTCCGTCCAGCCTTCACTTTGCCACTCGCTGACCATCAGACCATGTCGAGCATACAGACGCCACCGCAGACTCCCAGGCGGGTCTCGTCTCATCGCCGAGCAAAGACCCTCGCTCCGAGCCCGGTGCGAACTCCCCTCGGCCCCCGTCCCACTCTCCAGCACTCCCGCTCTAGCGGAACTCTCGCTCGACAATTTGTCGACACACATTCTACCACCTATGCCCACCTATACGAGCACGAGGATGATGGGATCACCCGTGAGAAGCTCGAGGCGGAGCAGCGGCGGCTAGAGGAGGAGAGGAGAAGAGGGCGCGAGATGCGCGAGCGGATGATGCGGATGAAGCTCGGTGGAGAAAAGGAGAATGTCGCGACTGGATCGGGGGAGACCAAGACGCGAGCTGCGAGCTGGAGACCGCTCAGTCTGGTGGCGAAGAGACAGGGAGGGGGAGCGGGCCATGTTCGATCGGCATCGCACCAATTACCGTCTTCACTGCTTGCCGGCCCAAGTCTGCGGTCAGTCTCCGATACACCCACCTCCCTCTGCATCACCCATATGGCACATGCTCCCTCTCCTTCTCGATCTCCCGCCCACTCCACGCACAGCCAACCCCTGCGCGTCGTTATCGAGCGGTCAGACTCGCCGTACCACTCAGAGGAAGGGCAAATCGGCAACACCTCGGTATCGTCGGACCCTAAATCCACCTACTCGTGGGCGTCATCCTTCTCCGGTGAGACCGCCGAGCTGCGCGCAACAGCCACCTATCTGCGACAATCGTTGGACAACTCTCGCCGAGTCAGTGCCAATATCCCTGAAGGCGATGAGGCGGAGCACAACGGGGCGACGGAGACGGAAGCGCAAGAGACGCTTGATACACCAGACAAGGTCAAGCGGCGGCGGAAGCGGATCGTGGCTATCGCGCATACCGTGCGCCAGCTGGAGGGCGTAGGGAGCAGGGAAGCGGAGGATCCCAACTTCTATGGCCAGCTCGTCAAGGCCTGGAACGACCGACCTGGGTTCGCGCCAGTCGCGGCGCCACCACTTCACGGACCTCCCGCCCTCCTTCCACCACCAAATCTTCCTCCTCCACCTCCAGCCGACCCATATCAGTACCCACCACCCATGTCTCCCGCATTTGAGCGTCACTTTGGCTCTCCCGCGGATCCGCAACTCTACACCCCTGCCATGGGCTACGCGGGCCCATCCACTGCCGAAGAGGTCTACGAGTACGACGACCAGGCGTCAGACTTTTCAGGCGAATTCCGCTCGAGGTCGTTCCGGAACTCGTACGCCTCTGCGCTACATGATCTAGCGCTGGAGGGGGGAGAGGGAAGCGGCCAGAGGATGACGGAGAAGGCATGGCTCAAATCGCCGATGCGGTGGAGCGGAGCGTGGGAGGGCTGGGGAGCAAAGCCGCCTACTCCTGCTGCAAAGGAGGAGGAGAGCACGATCGACTGGACCCAGACCCCGCAGCGGCCTCGCCCAAATTCATCACGGATCCCCCGGAGCGCCCCAAACTTCTCCAAACCCCTTCAACCAATCCCTGTAGCTGCCGGCACGCCCGACAAGGAAGGCTGGGGCTTAGGCTTCATGTCGGCTTGGTGGACCGAGCCACCGGCGTCGTCTCGCAACCTCGCAGCAGCCAGTAGCCGTCCTCCGTCCGGGACCGAAGATAGGCGGCAGGATTTTCAGATGGGGGAGGGCGAGACTCGCTGGATATCAACCTCGCCGACCTCACTGTCGGGCGACGCGGGGGCGGTCGGCGAGAGCAGCACTCCGGGTCACACCAACACGTCCATGACGCTCAGCGGGGTGAGCACGCCCAGCTTTGGGATGCGCATACACGCGTCGGCGGAACGGAAATGGGCGAGGGCGGAAATCGTCCGCCGTCCAGCAGCCACCGACACCGCGGCTCCACCCACCTGGCTGGCGTCCATCCCGATGGAGACCGGCTCGTCGGGGGTATCCATCGAATCACACCGGCCCATGGCGACGGCCGACAGCAACGCGTCCAATTTGACCTCGTCGAGCGGCGGAGAAAGAGAATTTCCGTTCTCGAGCCATTGCCGACCGCCCAGCTGCTCGATCCCCTCGACATCATCGTCCCTCGTATCGGTACCGTCCGAGATCCAGCACCTGCGCGAGGCAAGAGGTCCCTCCTCGGGTGGCTTGGGGAATGGGTCGTTCCCCTCGGATCGGACACTGCATCCCCGGATGCTTCACCCCCAAGCTCGCCAGGACGCTGTGGAGACTCTGACGGAGGAGAGGGAGGGGGCGAAGGCGATGATGGAGGAGAGGCCAGAGAAGGGCGTCGGACTCCTGCAGAGACGCCACGTCCGGCCATTGATGCTCGGCGAGATGCTGAACCCGTTCCCCGCCGTCACGCAGACCACCGAGCAACGGTCATCCACTTTCCATCTGGCTACGCATACGATCAACCCCAGTCCTACCAGCCAAAGCCCGACCTCGGCTTCCTCCCAAACCCACTTTTTTCCCCCGCCTACTACCCCCCTCACACCGAGCGATACCTCGCGCCCGGCCGAGACGCTCCACGACCATGCGGACGTCGAGGCGCAAGACCAGATGAAAAGGCAGTACCTGGCGTCGACACTTCGCCGGCAGCCAAGCTTCGCCCGCTCTTCCTCCCCATGCGACTTGAGCGGGCTAGATGGCGATATTCAACTGCCAGTACCGTCGGGTCCAACGGCACCGCTCTACCCGTCTACCAGCCGTGAGCACGCGGAGGTGGAGACAGGGAGGTACAGGGATGCGACGCCATCGGTCCACACGGCGGTCATGCCAAAGCAGAGGAAGGCGCCCACGGCGCTGCTATTTTGGCTGGGATTCATCATGCCTTGGTGCTGGATATTTGGGGGATGGCCAGTGGCGTCAGAGGGGTCAGTCAGGGATGTAGAGAAGGGGGAGGTGGAGTCGAAGCAAAGTTGGCTGGCACGGTGGCTGCATCACCCAGATCCATGGGCGACGCGGAGCAGGATAGCAACGGTCACGGTGTTGCCGGCGGTAGCGGTAGCGGGGGTTGCAGGGGTGATTGTTCTGGCGATACTGAGGGGGAGATGATACATTTTGGGACATTAGGACATTTATCCATAGGACAGTATCTGTAGTTAACGATACATACGATAATCTAGCTAGCTATCTACTTGGGAGATCTATGCAGCTTGTAGCATCTTTGCTTTGAGGACTGGCGTCGGCACAGGTTAAACTGGGGGAAGCTTTGGGTGGACTCGATCGCGGACGGAATCGCATGTATCGGTCGACAGCTTAAGTCCGAAACGCGGCGCCACATCCCAAATGTGCTGGCTCTCAGCCATAATTAATCCCGCTGATCCGGCTGTATCGCCGATTTTACTTCCGCTATTCCCCCTTTCCGCTGGCTGTGAGTGTGGCTGAGTGGTTGGGTGAATTTGAGTGCCAGGTAGCGCGTAAGAGTGATCATCCATCAACAAGGAAGGGTTATATAGGTCGAAATGGTCAGTACAGCTTCTTTGCAGACGGCAGCAAGGGGAGAGGGGTCTAGGCCAGAGGGAGCTGTGGGCTTGCCGGTCGGAGGAGGGTTAAGCAGGGTCGAATTGAGCAATTCGAGGGAGATGTCTGCAACATTGTAAGGGCTTATGCTGATTCTTCAGGCGCCCACTACCAAGGAAAAGAAGGTTAGTGTCGACGTCTATACGAAGCTCCCTCCTGTCTTGCGGAACGGACTCGGCGCTCTGGACGAATGGATGGACATGTGACGGAAAAGGGGACATAAAAGGGACAGCGTGAGGGAGGTGGATAGGCGGACACGGACAAGGAGGATTGGGCAGCTTAGGGCGGGGAGGAGACAGGAGGGGATGAAGCCACAGCAGGAGTTGCTGCGATCAAGCGGACGCAAGGGCGAAGCTACGACTGGCGGAAATGGACACCGCGTACATCGAGGGCTTAGCTGACCCTCAGGCTCCCCGTCAACGGTCTGCCCTGCAGGACGTGGTCACCCGGGAATACACCATCCACCTCCACACCCGGATCCACGACCTCGCCTTCAAGAAGAGTGCGTCTTACCCCCATGGTCAACCTGGACCCAGCTGACGTTCTGCAGAGGCACCCAAGGCCATCAAGGCCGTCGTCATCTTTGCGCAGAAGACCATGGGCGTCAAGGACGTTCGCATATCCCCCGGACTCAACCAGGCCATCTGGTCGCGTGGTGTCAAGTCCCCACCCCGCCGTGTCCGCGTCAGGCTCGAGAGGAAGCGTAACGACGACGAGGGAGCAAAGGAGAAGCTGTACGTGGTGGCGAGCGTGGTTGAGGGCGTGACGAACTTCAAGGTGAGTCTGCGTGTCATGGTCGGGGTACGGGCAGGACGCTGCGTGATGTGAGACTGTAGGCGGTAGCGGGAGGGTTTAATCGGTTGTCGGGGAGGGTGGTAGGGCCCACCGGTCGCCTCCGGAGCGGAGGATGTGCTGCGGGTAATCATGAGAATTCCGCTAACGTTGCAGGGTCTCCAGACCGTTGTCGTTGAGGGCGACGAGTAGATGTTCACCCCCACTGTAATACATAGGTAGCATGGGCATGGATTTCTCCTCGAGGCGATTCGTGACGGGTATCCGACTTGTTGGGATCGACAAGGAGAAGCAGCTGGACTAATCACAGCTTGACACAGTCGCATCTACGTCTCTCTTCCAGCCAACGACTAAGCCCCCTCCGCCCTAATCTATTGGAGTTGGACAGCCTTGACCATCGCTGGACCATTTCCTGCGGCGGGTACGCGTTGTCTTCACCGGCAAGCAAGCCCAAGAGGAATGGTTACTGCAAGGTGAAACATGACTACAGATAATGCCCAAGATAACGAAACGATACGACCTGTCACACGTTCGGTCCTCCCTCGACCGCGACTTCCTCTCTTGTTTCCCCCTCCGGCGCCGATCCTTCCATGACTTCCTCCTTGGCCAAATCCTCTGCACTGGTCACCGACCCGCCATACCGCAACAAAAGCGCCTCTGTCACCGCGTCCGCCACCTCCCTCAGGTCTACCCGCAACTGCTCCCCGTCATTCTCAAAGATATGGTCGCTCATGTGCATGAGCCACAGCCCCGTCGCTGGGTCTTGCACATTCACCGACCCCTTCCCGACCGACGCAAAGTGGATCGCCATCACCTGGGTCTGCTCCGGCCGTACAAAGATCTTGGACCGATAGCTGTAGTTGTGACACCTGACGAAGCGGTACATGGGGGTGGGGACGAGGTCGAGGATGCCGATCCCGGGGACGGATAGTACTGAGGGAGACGATTCCGCCCGCGCAGCCGGTCGGTCTGGGACAGGGACCACGTATGGCTCGGCGGTGGCGAAGCAATTGGGCATTGCCAACTCCCGGATGTCTGGAGCTGCCGATTCCGCTGCGATGAGGTGATCCCGATACTGGAAGTTGACGGCGGTACTGGCCGTGTCCGTGGCGTTCGGCGAAAAGCTGGGCAACTCGTCGATATCGGTAAGGAGCACCCAGCGAGCGTAGCCTTCCATGGAGCGTACGATGTGATTCGTGGCAAAGTGCTGCTGACCGCTCCAGTCGTACCCGCCTTCAAAGAGGGACCGGTGCCATGGGATGATATGGACCTGGCCAGTGGAGGTGTACGGCTCGAGATTGGCGCGGAAGGTGGAGTTGTTGTTGAAGGACTAGATTAGATCTGTCTTACCAGCAACTCACATTGTCGTAGATGTACACCTCTTCGACGCCGTGTAGGAGTTGATATTCGATCCAGCGAGCAAGCTGAGTCGACCATCCACTGACCATGGTCATGGCGACGAGGTATGGTCCGGGATGGCTCGCGCTGACCGTCCGCGGTCGTATGGTGTCGAGAGGGACGATGATGGTCTTTGTACTGGCGTTGGGAGTGCGCATTTCTACCATCAGCCTCATCTTGCGATGTGAACTTACGGATAGTCGCGAAATCGCCTCGAGCTTGACATTGTAGCCTGAATATCCGCCTCTCCGGATCCACCTTGTCCTGAGCGAGGAACGCGAGCGACCACTCGCTGTCCAAGTTGCCCCTACACCAGATCTCCGCCTCGGGCTGCAGTGGCCATGTTTGTTGCGTATGGAAGGAGGTGATGAGATTGAGCGTCTCGTCGTCCGTACCGCGGATGGGGAAGAAGTAGTAGTCGTGACGGAGACCATAAGGACCATAGGGCGCTTCGCTATGCGCAGTGAAGGGGGCAGGTCGAGCATGAGATGCGAGCTGGGTGAGGAGGGACTGGTCCTGCCCCAGCAGGTCCGATACCGTGGCGTGATGGAATTCGAGGTGGAGGACGACGACGAAGACGCAGGCGAGGATGAAGATGGGGGAGCGAATGACCGAGCGGACAGGCTGAGGTATTAGCTTTTCAGATCAAGCAGGTAGCATCGGCGGAGCTGCTCACCAGAGGAAGGGCGAAGCTTGTGGGGAGCATGTCTATGGTTGGGACAAAGCTGATCGCCTGATCCAGCTGCGAGCGCGTCCAGCGGAACGAGTAGGACTCCTTTGTGTAGGCGTAGCAGGGCTACCCATAGACCGAACGAGGTGCTTCGGGTGCTCAATGTCCGACTTGTGATAGCGTGTTCGCGACTTTGGGTGAAATCTAATCTATGAAACCTTCGTGTGCGAGTTTGCTAGTATATCTCAGACACAAGGTGGGACAATGCGGTCACCTTTGCTGACTGCGCTGGGGCGAGTATCGCGCACTCGGGAGAGCACGACTTTTAGTGCTGGCGAGCAAGCAGGACTAGTTGACAGTATGAAGCAGACGCCTTGAGCGGAGACGGCAAGCGGAAGACGCGACAATATTTAGCTCATCCGGACGCCTGATTTCCGGTCGGATTTTCGCTTAAACCTGCCAATCTGGGTGAGCCAGCGACGAAGCCGCCGGGTACATGTAGAGGTAGCGCTGAGACCGATGGAAGCAAGTGAGGCCTGCTACATGACCATTTCCTGTGCACAGATGTACATGAACAGATAGTATACAACAGATATGCGGCGTCCGCAGGATATCTTCGGGACGTCCGATGCTGATGGATCGCATGTGGCTACAGTGGGGGTAATGAGCGCTTGCACAGTGGGCAGATTGTCTGACAGTCAGCGCCTGCCATCCCAGAGGCGCAAGACATACTTTGACAGCCAACCACTGCGCCAAACAAGCCGTATGGAACAGATGACCACATGGCGCCAGGGCGTACGCCCGACGCTGGTGCCCTGCTGCCCAACCGCTTGCCTTGATACCCTTCAACAGGGCATCTCCAGGCGCCATACTCGTCGGTTGCGTATCGACCTCCTCCATGCAGATACTGCAGGTGCGCTCGTCAGACAGCGCTACCCCTGCAGGATTGAGCGGAGTGGAGTCGAGATCGGCTTTCGGGTCGGAGGACGAGGGCAGGAGGGGGTGGTAGTTGTACCCATCCGCAGCAGCGAAGCGGTTTGGCAAGCTATGGTAAGCTTTTGCCTTGGCTGAGACTTACAAGAAGGCAGGACCGAATCTCTCCTGGGCGAGCAGTACCGAGACTTGGAAGATCTGCCAGATGACCATTCCCCAAACCCAATTGGTCCCAGAGAAGAAGAAGACGTTATCGGGGCAGCCCAGCGCGTCTGATGATCAGCCAGGGCTAAGGCTAAGTCAAGGAGAGAAGACGTACAGATGGGTATAGCAAGTCGGCCAATGGTTGTCCCGATCACGAAGGTCTTGTCCACTCCAAGGGATCGCCGAGTCGCATTTCGCCAGATCTGTGGGACCCAGAACGAGTACATTCCGAATAGCGTGACTGGCGCGAGTGAGGGGACCATAACGAGCTGGAAGGCGATGAAGACGAGAAGACCAATGACAAGCCCTGAGATCAGCCGAGCTCGAGCGAATACGTACACTTTATTCTGGGATGAGAAGCGAGTCCCTCCCGCACGCCAAACAGCGGAGACGGCGGTACCTCAGCCGCAACGCCACCTGCTTCCGCCGACTCGATGTCCGCTGCCGGCGCAGGAGCGACCGGAGGTGTGGGAGTAGGTTCAAAAGTCCGCTCAGGAGCTTGGACGCGATACAGCAGGATCACATATCGCTGTCGTCAGCACATGTTGAGGCAATGACTCACCGGTCCAAACACGATGGCCGTACACAACGCCAAAAACGCCGGGACAAGCAGCGGAAGGCTTGTCTTATTGTCGCTGGCGGTGCCGACCGCGAGGTGGGCTGAGAACATGAATGAGTCGGTGCTGACCATGCTGATGGCCGACAGTAGGGAGACTTGGGCTAGGGTGGAAGGTGTCCGAGTGAGTTCCATTTGGCGGACCAGCAGGTACAGGGTGAGCAGCATGAAGAACGAGGCGTAGGCGGCATCTATGATCAGCTCCGCCATGGGTGATACGTACAGTTGCACGTCTTCCGCCAAAAATCTTCCAGTTTCATCCCTTGTCCAGCGTCCAGCCCTATCGCAAAGCCACACTGGTCCGCAATGACTACACCGCCCAATCCGCCCCGTTGCCAGTATCCAGGAGGACGCCGAAGACTGGTGCGCAGACCGGTTGGGTTCCGAAGTTCCTCATCATACCGCTTGACGTCGGCCATATCGATACCGGCAGGAACGGGAGGCAGAGCGAGGTGTACGAGCAGGGGGCATCTCGTTCTTGTCACGTCTAGGATCAGCAGATGCCTCTTCGATACACACCTTCAGGCCGGATATCCGTCAAGAGCAGGCTCCGCTCTTGCGCGTCCAACTCCTTCTCCAGCTCGCGCATGATGATCCTCCGCGTTGTATTGTGATGTTGAGGGTAAAGTCGGGGTATGTTGCGTATATCCAGGTATAACCCGTCTGGGACAGCGTACAGCTCGTACGTCCCGTTGGGCAGGTAGTGTAGACCGATGAAGTCGTAGTCCGTCACCCGAGGTTTGATCTCCGTGTTTCCAAAGCTGATTGTCCCTCTCACCCATGACCAGTCCTCGTCCTTCACCCCACTCGTCAGGTTCGACCTCTCCTCGAGAATCGACCGCTCCTTCACGTTCATCTCCCAGCTATCCACCAGTGTCCAGTCCCAATCTCCCTTCAGCTCCTCCGCCAACGTCGCGTTCCATTCCGAGCTGGAGTTCAGCGCAGGCAGGGTGTGGTCGAAGAAGGTAACGTTTGGCCCTGGCTGGAGAAGGTTGACCGGGTGCGCCTTTCCATCACGGTGGAATCCGGTAATGTTCGAGTAGAATCGCCCTGCTCCGACCGCCGAGTGCTCAAAGCGCCCAGGTAGCAAAGCTGCCGGCTGGACTTGCGGCGTGCCACCCTCCGTCCAGTTCCCCACCACCGTCCCGTTCAATAGCCCTTTGTACTCATCCATCTGCGTCCGAGCCCGGTCCAGCTCGGTTACGCGCTGCTGGATCTGCCCATCCGGCCCGACGATAACGATCTGAGGCTGATTGTTGCTGGACGACATGAAGAAGAAGAAGGCGGTAAGGAAGAGCATAGAGCCGATGTTAGGACGTTGCTGGGGTTGACCATCGAGGAAGGCCGCCTGACCGACGAAGGGGGCAGGTGTAGTCGGCGTGACAGCTGGCGCGCCTCCTGCTGCTGCAGGAGCGACCTCCTCAGGCGGAGAACGAGGAGACCGTGGGTCCGGCGGCTCGGAGGACATCGCGTAGGGATAGCTTCAGTGACAAAGATAATGTCAAGATGACAAAGGTGTTGTCGTAGCGTGGTATGCTGCTTGCTGTGTTCGATGTTTCGGGCCCCGCAATCGACCCCTTGTCGTCTTGAAACTTGCTGCAGCTCCCACCTCTCTATAAGAAGGGATAGTCTACAGGTACAAGAGGACACTGCCAGCCATACGTCGTCTCCATCGCTTGTCTCTCCGCCGCATCCGCTATCCACTGAATGTAATAGTACCATCGATCCCCGCACTTGCCCCAGTCCCCCATGTCATTATGCGCGTCCGGAACCGGACCAAAGAAGTTGGAAGCATGCTGGGCGATGAGGGTGTTGAAGACGTCTTGATCTCGACCGACGAAGTGTCCCGTGGCGAGGAGCTTATCGAAGAGTCTGTAAAAGGCAGTCTCGAACCAGAGGACTGAAGCCTTGGTTCCGCCAAAGAACGACCCTACATGTCAGCCTTGTCGCAAATGAGCCCTCGAGTTATACTCACCTTCAGTCAGCAGCGTGGCTATCCCTCCCTGATCCTCCGTCCAAGCCTTCTCATGCCCGTGTGCCATACGCCAAAAAGGAAACATGATCAACGGCTGCTCCGTCACATTGTCGCTTTCCCTGACGTCTTCCGCCTCCCGAAACACCTCCTGCACCCGGCCCATGTCCGGCCAATAGCGCAGCGTATTGGCGGTCCGCATCGCCCCGGCGTCCTGCCAGAAGTAGTATTGGTACGCCCGCCGGCCGTCCGATGTGGTCTCCCGCACCGCCTCCCCGACGAAGTACGCCTTGGAGTTCCAAATCGCGTAGAGATCAGGATTATTGATGTGCTTTTCGACGTCTTTGGCCCATTGGTCATCCGCCTGCTGGACAAAGGAGGAAAGGACCGGTGTTTCGAGGGAGGTAGTGAAGCGGGTGTCAAAGTACACCTTGCGCCCGATGGCAACCCCACCCGCTGCGTGATTGCCCGATGACAATGCCGCCTTGCCGACCAGGTCCCGAAGATGTGCTTCTTCGGCGGGCGGGCAGAAGATGTACATGTCGGTGTGGAGCCGACCCATGAAGTTGGTCAGCCAATAGTCGTATTCCGCATGTGAGTGCTTTGCGGCCTTGAGGGGGAAGTAGGCCGTGATGAGAAGGAGCCGGTCGGCCTGGAAATCCCCTGCGGACTTGCGAGAGAGACCGAAGGACGAGAGACCGAGCTCGAAGAAGCGGGTGATACCGATGATGAGCACGGCGGCGAGACCAAAGGCCAGGGCGAGCTGTCTCGCCGCAAGCAAGCGCATGCCGTGCTGAAGGTCTTGGTCGCAAGGGTAAGGCAATCGACGTAGAGGCCAGTCCCTCCCAGAACATCGGTCGCGGGAAGCTGGCCGGCAACCGGTCCCGCGGAGCCAAATCGGCCGTAACGGCGTAAGTGGCAAAAGGCTGGCAAAAGTCCACCTCTCTCTGCATTCTCCCGCTTCGCCTCCAGCCTCTTCCAGCAAGAGGCGTACACTACTCGGCTCGATCCAGGATCCAGGATATGAGGGCGAGATGTCGCAAATTGAAGGGACATGCACTGGATGGAAAGTAAAGTTTATGCCGTTTACTTCAGAGCCAGGCTGGCTGATTACGGCACATCACGCCGGGGACCGTGCCTGAAAGAACGAGGAATGCTGGCGGCGCGCTGGTGAAGAAATTTCCCGATCCCAGTGCTTGCTTGGATGGTAACAACGCCGAGACATCACAGCAGGAGTCTACGTCCTAGGGTGTCTCGGCCGCGGTGGGGGCTCCAGTACCGTATCCAAAAGGCATGACGAAGTCCCGGCTTTGCTTCCCCAATATGGAGTATGCAACGAGTGACGCCTGTGACGCGCTGCGCGCCGTAAACGGCATGCGTCAAGCCAAAAATCACAGCTTGTCTTGCGCAACTGTACAGCTTCATCCTTCTTTCTTGTGTATAACTTGTCCGGACCCTCTCCTCTCGATCCGATCTGCCGACAACGGAGGATTCGATGATGAGAGTCAATCGCCAATCCCCAGCGGGTCGAGCCAATTTTCGGTTTCTTATCTCCCTACTTCTCAATCTCGCGGTCGCAGTTTTCGTCTTGAGCGATCTCAAGGGCGCGCGAGACCTGATACTGGGCGCGGAATCGGAGGACTTGACAGCTGAAGTGGCCTCCCCGGGGCGGCCTGATCGTTCAGAGACTGCTGTCTCAGTTCTGAAACCGCGCGCCTGCAAGCCATGCGAATTTACACCGGCGCTTTGTGCCGAGATCGGGTGAGCTCGACTTTGTCAGCCTGATAGGCTAGGCTTACCTTCTTAGAGATTATAATGTCGCCAGGGCTATAGATAGTATCAGTATGTCAGCGCTCAGCCGGGTCTGACCTGCAGGCGCAAATAATCGACTACGACGCGTTCTGGCGAAGATTCGCGCGGGTCAACCGTTCGACTTCGCCGTTCTGGGGGGATCAGGTGAGCTTGTATGCCTGCTATCAGCTGATCGTAGCTTCTCTGGGCCATGGTATACCATACGGAAAGGAGCATAGTGACCCAGATTTTGACCCAGCGAATAGCAGGGCGAATCTGCACCGAATCATCTTTGACTATCTCGCAGGTTTGGCCCCTCAGCCCAAGGAGGTGGTTATAGGCGCGAGCGGGAAGAAGGAGGGCAAGAACGGCTACATTAACGGATCAAAGGCTGGTACAGGTAAGTCTTGGTCAGGAAGGAGCTGACCAGCAGGTTCCGGATACTTTGCGTACTGCTTTCCAGAACATATACCGGAGGATGTCGACGTTGTCGTCATAGAGCTGGGTGAGTAGTCTCATCCTGATAGAACGGACTGTGCTCATATTGCAGGCATCAACGATGAGCTGTGAGTGACACGCGAACGCGAATGCGCTAATGGTGACAGGCTTCTTCAGAACTTGGACACATACGAGTTCATGGTCCGGGGCGTTTTGGATCTTCCAAATAAGCCCGCCGTCATCTACGCACAGTAAGTCAATCTTGTCGTTCATGTTCATCGCTGACGAGGTAGCATATTCAATCTGCTGTTCAACACGATGTCTTCCGGGGGAGATCTAGTAAGTTGCGTTCTACGCACGAGAAGCTGCGCTGATCCTGCAGCACCGCGGTCTGAACCGATACTACAATATCCCCATGATCAGCTCGCGGGACGCCATGCTGAGCACCATTCTGCAGGACAACACCTTGGTGGAGAAGGTCTTTACTCGAGAGCGGGGTACGCCTGGAGATGGCGACTACAGTGCTCTGGACCTTCGACACGTGAGTCGCGTCAATGGCAAGGCTGATTTAGATTTCCACATACGGGCACCATATCACTGGCGGACTGGTCAGCGCGTACATTGGCATGCAGCTGTGCGACATGGAGTCGGAAAGCGAGATGCGAGGCGATGCGACTGTAGCGGACGTCAACGTCCTGTATCCCATCGAGCCTATCCCTCGGGTGAGTACCCACTATGACTGAGCTGACTTGCAGATGCGGTTGGGAACGAAGTGGGACCCCGACACCAAACTTGAAACGCTACATCCCAGTTGCTTCTCAATGGACTCGAAGAAGCATCCTCTTGTACCAAAGGCGCAGAAGGGATGGTAAGTCTCCAAGCGATAGCTGTGAGGAGTCCGCTGATTCTTCCAGGCGCAAATGGAACTGGAAGGAGAAGGTGAGCCAGTCTTGTTGTCCAGGGGTACCGAGCTGAAGGCGCAGTACTACTGGATATCAACCGACCCCGGATCTACCATCTCTTTTGACTTCAGGACAATCGTTGGCGAGGTATCTATCCACTACCTTCGATCCCAGACATTCGGGCTCGGCGATCTTTACTGCTGGGTGGACAACGACCGTAGCAAAGACACGCGTATGGAGGGCTGGTGGCCGCTGGAGTTCAACATCGCGCAGTAGGTCCCGACTTCCAGTCCTTCGGGGCGCTCCGCTTACCTCCAGGCACATGGAAATCCAGGGTCTCTCCCCTGGAGCTCACGTTTTGAACTGCGAATTGACTCCAGACACGCATGACCCGAACGGTGGCCACGAGTTCCGTCTGATTGGGTTGACAAGGTGAGTAGCTCAAGACCGGATTAGGCCTGAGCTGACGAAATAGCGTATAGGGACCGAGGTATCATCATCTTACTATTAGAGCTATGCATCTGTCATATAGAGCCAGCCGTGTGATTTATATGAGGCCCTGGGAGTGCGTTATCTAGGCTACTGAGAGTACGACGCAGCCAGGATCAAGCAAGATTGAGCGTGACAGGCATTACGAGAAGACGCGTTCCTTCCGCAAGCGGCACACCATCTAAAAAACCTTACATGCTTCTTCCCATCGCTCTTCATCTTTTCTTAGGTATAGCCATCATGTCTGGAAGTGAGCGCATCATCTCATGCTAAGGATTGAGCGGCACTGACGATATAGCTATTCTCGTCACCGGTGGAACAGGTCTGGTTGGAAAGGGGATTCAGTATATCATCGAGAACGAGCCCGAAGGGAGCCGATTTGGCAAGAAGGCAGGCGCGAAATGGGTATTCCTGGGCAGCAAGGACGGAGACCTCAGGTGAGCTCTCACCATGAGCTGGACTCATCATCAGGGACTTCGAGGCGACCAAAGCCATCTTTGAGAAGCATCAGCCTACCGAGGTTATCCACTGTATGTTCCCATCATCAACGTTGCGAGCTCAGCTAACAAGCAGTGGCGGCGCTCGTCGGTGGTCTCTTCAGCAACATGAAGTACAAGTCGACTTTCCTCCGTGATAACCTCCTTATCAACGACAACATCCTCGAGCTCTCGCATCGCTTCAAGTGCAAGAAGGTTGTCAGCTGCTTGTCGACCTGTGTCTTCCCCGATAAGGTACGTCGCGTTTCAGAAGGGCTCGATGAAGCTGACAACCAGGTGGAATACCCCCTTACCGAGGAGAAGGTTCATCTCGGCCCTCCCCACGGCTCCAACTTTGGTTACGCACACGGCAAGCGATTGGTAGATGTTCAGAACCACGCCTACAACGACCAGTACGGAGACATGTTCACCAGCGTGATCCCTACCAACATTTTCGGAGAACACGACAACTACGTGAGTACAGATGGTACGCACGAGCTGATAACCAGGACTTGTCGGACTCGCACGTCATTCCGGGTCTTGTGCACAAATGCATCCTTGCAAAGAGTGCGTCCCGTCCCGCACAGCGCTGATTGGCAGAAAACAACACCCCTTTCATCGTCTCCGGTACCGGCAAACCCCTCCGCCAATTCGTTTACTCTCGCGACTTGGCCAAGCTCATGATCTGGACCCTTTACGAGTACAACGAGATCGACCCTATCATTCTCTCCACTGGCGAGGACGAGGAGATCAGCATCAAGGATGTCGCGGATGCGATCGTCAAGGCTGTTGGCTTTGAGGGAGACTATCAGGTACGTCTAGCTATTGGGACTGGGCTGATGTCTAGTTTGATACATCCAAGGCGGACGGACAATACCGCAAGCCCGCGTCAAATGCCAAGCTTCAAAGACTCACCGGTGGTTTCAAGTTCACCCCTTTCCAGGAGGCTCTGCAGCAGAGTGTCACCTGGTTCATGGAGAACTACGAGTGAGTGTTCTGGATGCGTGATCTGGGTAATAGCTGACAGCCAGTTCCGCGCGTACTGGGGGTAACGGCAAGCTGAACAATGTGGAGACCAAGCAGTGATGCTTTCGATCCTGGGCCTTATATAGATGCGGGCACTATCTCTTTGATCCTTCTGGTGTATGTTGCCGGTTACCCCTGGCTTCTGTTTGGCGGCATCTGCATTGACGTTCAAGATTCCATGATGCTACCCTGACCTATACTGATTTACCCTAATAAAATTTATGATTCCCCTATGCTGTGACGATAATCCTCCAACCAAGCCGCCCACATATTGTCGTGCACAGCATCATCTCCCCTACCCACCAGTGGCCTCCGCTTGATATCCGGCAGAGGACCTTCCCGAACATAATGTCTGTTTGTCAGCAAGCCCAACCCCTTGACGGAAAACTCACCTGCCGTCCGAAGCAGATTCTGGCCTAGAATCCAGGATGGCGAAAGCGTCTATCGCTCTTATTGACAGCATAGGGTACCAATCGCGCATCTCGTCGATGACGGTATTGGCATAGCTGCTGAAGTGGCGCAACCGCTCCCGCTTCATCTGGTTCCAGCACATGATTCCGGGTACGCTGGCTGCGGTGTGCAGCCAGGTGATGTGGACGTCGGGACCGAGGATCTCGATGATTAGCCGCAGGACGACATGTACAGCTCCTGCGTACTGTTCGGGCGAGTTGCGGCCGAACCACATCCCGATATTGGCGACGACATGGGAGACCGGTGGCTGAGCCGCAGCGAGCGCTTCGAGATGGCCCCGCGCGACCTGTGGATTGTCTGCGACGAAGCGCTGGCTGAAGCGGATGGACTCGGAAGCACCAGAGCCCCCGGTTTCTCGCCTCGGCCAGTCAAAGGAGTGGTCGGCGAAGTGGTAGTCTGTGGTGCTGTCCGAGTAGACGCACTGCATCGTCTCCGGTTTGGACGGATCCGGGACGAGACCCTCGTTGAAAGTAGGCCAGAGATGACCGCAGAAGTGGGAGCGCTGGATAGAGTCGCCGATATAGAGGACGTGTTTGAGCGCTTTGTTGGCGTCGGCCATGGCCCGAAAGTCGAGAGCGGGACGTTTGCACTGGTACGGGAGGTAGACGTAGTCGGGCATTTCGCCATATGGAATGAGGGAATCTGATTAGCACATCTCACAACGGGCACTCACTACTTCGATTCACATGACTCGCAAGCCAAGCCTGCTCTTTGTATTGTGGCCGTATGTGCTCAAGGCTGAACCATGCGCTCTCCATCGGGGTGCGGTAGTCCTCGTAAGTGCAGTGGCGGGTATGGTGGGATGGGGGAGGCACCTCCTCCTCGACGTTGACGATGAGTTGGCCGCTACCAGCGATAGCTGGGATGGGGGGAGTGTTCTGATCCCAGTGGTTCATTTCCGAAGGGCACTTGTCCGGTACAGGCCATTCGGGGTAGCCCCAGAGCTCGTATATCCCCGGATGTGTGAGTGTGGCTGTGACGACTGTCCGACCGGTGGTAGCGTTGTGCTTGAAAGCATCATACCGAGGAGGGACTGAATATGCGACGGGACCGCGAAAGTGCAGGTAGTACATGGGCGGGCAGTGGGTGTCGCCGATGATCTCCGCACCACACTGGACCGCTATCTCGAACGGACGGCCGCTGCGTGGTACCGAGAGGACCTCCATCGTGTATGGGCCTGAAGCCTCAGCTCGATAGTCTATCGCGATCGATCAACTCACCGGTACTAGTTGCCAGCTGATCCAACAGATCCTCCCCGGGCGTCTTGACCGCCAGCGTGGGGTCCAGGAGGGCACGTATCGTCATGTCTCCACCGCCAATGCTGTGTCGAGCTATTTCGGTCCATAGCTGCCGCGAGTACGACGATTCACTACGAATCAGTCCGTGACAAAGGAAGATACGCACTGCTCCAGAGCGAGATCGAGCGTCAACAACAGAGTGACCACGCAGATGAACGCCTTGATGCCCAAGTGCCTCCTCAGCAGGGTGTAAAGTTCTGACGCTCTGCCCAATGTCGCGTTCGAGCGAATAGAGCGACCGGCGCTCATTTAGCGATGAAGGTTGCTCTAGTAATGCGCGAGGAGGTGCAGCAAGAACATGGAAAGACACGTAGGGACTTTGATTTTGATCTCTGCGCGACAGGACCGGTGGCCGGATTCTGAGACCATCACGGCATCGCCGACGGCCAAGGAAACCTTAAATTTTAGGCCCAATCTAGCAGCTGCAAGGGCCATGCACTGCGATGCATTCACCTTAGCTTTGCCAGCAGGGACATCAGCCCGGGACATCGCGCTGGCAACCACTTGTCCTGGTACAGCATCATTGGTACAGCGCACTCGACTCATCCTCCCTTCAAGAGCGCTCGTGCCAATCGCGTTCCCTTCTGTTTCACATGTCTTCTGTTATCACATCAGAAGAAGGCCATCGCCGAGTGCTCATGCAGCATCGCGCTGCTGCGACCTGTACCAGCTGATGTCCGCCATCTGCTTGAGGTGCGCTTCGTCGTGGGTCGGGGTCGCCAGCGGTCCGAGATCTTCTCGATGGGGCTAAATGCGGTCCCTTGGGGTCCGTCAACTTGATTTATCCTGGGTTACTTTGGGTCATTTGCGACAGCGCGAGCGTTTTGTCTGTATCTCTGTGCAAGGTATAGTCGCAGAGATCGCAGGCGAGACTCCTTTTGCTTCGTGGGTGGCACACTTTAGCGCTTCAGCCGCCCACTCGTTTGGGAACGCCACATTGACTTTGAACTTCCGCACTCCACATTCCTCAAATCGCAACTCACTGGTTCGGGCGCGCTGTGCTACGGTTACTGCATTCATCATTGCGGCTGCAGAGATAATCACTTACTGGTTGCCTCAAATCTGATGGCCCGGATGGCCGGTCTGTCAACACGGTCCTTCCGACCACCTCGCCAACGTCGATATCTGCTGCCATCTATCCTTGCTCTCACCGTTCTCTGGCTCTACTACCACTTCAGCAGTGCGGCGGATGACAGTCTCCCACAAATCTCGACACCGAAGATCGGTACGTATGTCTGGTCGGGATGGCCCGCGCAGCAGGTCGGCGATCAGCGGGCCAGCTGGGGCGCATTGCGCCAAGTTGGAGCGAAAGCACGGATCAAGCAGAACCTGCGGGCGGATAAGAGATACTTGATCTCGTTCTCGCTTTCTGGGTGAGTCGCGCCAGCTTGGCTTTGGGCAACGAGCTGATAAGTAGGTGGAACAACCAGGTAGGTCGGCTCTTACATGCCTGATGGCTGGCTCCAGCTGAGATATTAGGTCATAGATATGCTCAATCGTAAGTGACGATACCTAACCATGGTCGGCGCTGACTCGACAGACGTACATCTGGCCGTCAACTCCGGTCGAATCCCTGTCGTGACACCCTTCTATCCACACTACGTCCACTATGATGAGGCCATCACTCGTGACCTGCCCGTCGGACGCGTCTTTGATCTCAAGCGCCTAGCCGTGGCCTTGGCGGACACGCCAATCGTCGAAGCACACGAGCTCAAGCGGATCTGGGGAATGGAGAAGGAGCACGCTGCGGTGGTCTATGACGGGGAAGTGAAGCAGTCGGCGGGGAAATGGGGGAAGAAGCTGAAGAAGGGCGTGCGCATTCCGCCAGAGGACTGGGAGAAGCGAGACGAAACGCTGGGATGCTGGAGCTTCTACGGCAACTTTGGCGGCGAGGGGTCCGCACCGATGGACAGAATCGGCTTGAGTCAGTATCTCGTACTCTTATGAGCGACTGGTGCTGACATTTCAGACCTCGACTATACACCTCTGCCCTCCACACTTTACCCGGGCGGTTTCAACACCTATCCTGTCCCCCTGAAAGCCGCCGCCGAGCACTTCCGCCAGACCCACACATCCGTCCCCGCCGCTTCCCTCCTTACGCTTCACCATTTCCCGGAGCTCGCACGTCCTACTGTCCTACCAGACGATCACCTGGCCTGCGTCGACTCGTCCTACTGGATGCAGGAGACACCGGCGAAATGGGATCTGCATGGGGAATGGCGGAACGCAGCTGGAGTGTGGCTGACAGTCGGGAGACATGCCTACTTCCGGGAGGAGCTGCAGGACCTTGCGGGTGCAGCGCTAAGGGGGCTGTTTGGGTTGACGGGGGCCGAGGAAATACCGCCGGTCAGTTCTGTCTGGCAGGTGCACCTGGACTTCAGCTGAGATCGCAGTTCATTGGTGTGCATATTCGGCGAGGAGGTGCGTATCGTCTGCAGATGCTGAAGACACGCTAATCCTTAGACTTTGGGCCGGAGTGGATGCACCTCACTCCAAGACACTATGCTTACGTCGCGGATGCAGTGAGGCGGTCGATACAGAAGGACTTGGGCGTGGGGCTGGTTCGCGTCCTTGTCGCTACGGACGAGGAAGATCCCGACTGGTTGTGAGTTACAATTGCCTCAAGCTGTCCGAGCTGACTGTGTCAGGCAGCAGCTGCGTGACTTTGGCTGGTACCTGACGCAAGACTATGATGCCTGGATGGAGACTGCAGCGGACGATCAATGGTAGGTGTCTAGATCCTCCATCTCGCACCACAACTTATAGCAAAGGTTACCCATCGTGCTCGACTCCTTGATCCTGTCGCGGGGCATCGGCTTTGTCGGTCCAGCTTCAAGTACAAGTGAGCCCATCCCCTCGTATCCCTCAGCAGGTATCTTTGCTGACAAGTAGTGAGTATCCTTTCATATCTGCGCGTCAAGGAGTGGAATAAAGGCGTCGCCCGCTTCATCCAGCCGCACGACAAGGTGCCAGATGGGTGGACTTGGGCGAGGGGATCAAGGGATGCATCTTCAATATGACTCCAGCAGGACTTGGTCCAGCCTTTACTGGTCGTTTCCCTCGCTTCTGTCAAAACTCTCGAGCTGACCCAATCTGTGGGTCTAGAGAGGTCATTCCGAACACTGTTGAGCCCATTGATAGCAAGCAGGCTGCAGGCTGAAAGCGGCTGAAGGATCCTCTGCCGTAATTGTGTATTTATGGTGCGTGCCTGACAGGCTACCGACGGAACAGCAGACGGAACTCAAAGTCAAAGGGAAAAGAGGAGCAAAAGTCGTACTTGTCTTCCCCTAACAACTTACTCTGTATATACCACGCTTCAGCTAGGAAGAGCACTCGAGGAGCGGAAAGCGTGGCTATCTCGCGTAGACTCTCATAATCATGGCTCCTTCCCAATCGCCTGAAGCTCCAGCTTCAAACGCCAAAATCGTGTGTCCGGTCGCGTCCTAAGCGTCTCCCGCCCTTGCACGAGCTGACGCTGCAGGCTGGAGTAGTCTCCTTCTACATCGTTGCTGCCATCCTCGTGAGCCATAGCGCTATTCACGCTCGGGATCCTACTAACGAACTAGATGGTGACAGTCAACAAATGGGTCCTCCTCACCACCTCCATCCCAATCTTCTTCCTCTTCGTCCAGCTCTCCATCGCTGTCATCCTGCTCCTCCTGTGCCAGGCTCTGAAACTCATCACGCTGCCGCACTGGGACCCAAAGACCGCCAAGGCACTCTTACCACTCATCGGGATCAACGTGTCGGGCCTGATCTTCAACAACCTCTGCCTCCAATACGTCGATGCGAGCTTTTACCAGATCGCTCGCGGCTTGGTCCTCCCTATTACGGTCTCGCTCGCATTCGCGCTGCAGCAAAGCCCGCCTAGTCTTCGGGCGACGGCGTGCTGCGTGGGGGTGACCGCTGGGTTCTCGGTTGGTGTGCTGTTCGACTCGTACTCGACCCGCGGAGCCAAGGCAACCAGCATGTGGGTGTCAGCGTTTTCTGGTGTTTTCGGCGCTGATCACTTAGTATCGGCGTCATCTTTGGGGTACTCTCATCCTGCACTACCGCGCTGCACTCGATCGTCATCAAGTCTTCCCTTCCCCATGTCAACAACTCGGCCGTACAGCTCGCATGGTACACCAATCTACTGTCGACTATCGCGATTCTCCCGATATTTATCCTCATGGGAGAGGTTCAGGGTGTCTTTGACATGCTGGCTGACCCGGTTGAGCTCGGCAGGTTCGCTTGGGGTGGGGCCATCACCGTGCGTTACCGCCTGGAAGACTATGCCAGATAAGTCAAAGGCGCTCCAGCTAACACGTGCTAGGGTGTCGTCGGCTTCCTCATCTGCATCGCTGGCTTCCTCTCCATCAAAGTCACATCCCCCGTCACACATATGGTCTCGTCCGCTGCGCGCGGAGTGGTGCAAACGCTGCTGAGCGTTTGGTTCTTCGGGGATCTGATTACAGGGTAGGTACCCAGCCCAGCCCCGCGTGCATATAGCTGATGAGCAGTGCCCGCGCTACTTCCATCTTTCTCATCACCCTGGCGTCCATGGGATACGTATGGGTCAAGCACAGCGAGCAAAATCCGGCACCAGCGCGGAAGCATGTTATCTTCGACCAGGAGCGGGAAGATCAAGTGCCGCTCACAAGCAGGAGGGAGGAGGTCTGAGCGCTTGGTGCACGATTCGTGGGGGAGGGAGGCGATCTGAAGACGGTCATCTGGGGAGCCGGTTAGAGTAGCTCGAGTTCTCGTCGGGGTTTTGGTTTCCGGGATTGTCGATAGAACGTTTCTTGTCTGTCCCTCAGCTGACTACATACTGATCTGAACGGGCGTACGGTACTTGTGACATGGACAACCAAGACGGGTAAAGCATCATTGAGCTACAGATATTGTCCATTATGCTGCCAACTTACAGACAGATATATACACTACTCAATCCAGTATAGCTTCCGATACCAAGCCCTGCAGCCCCGTCCAAAAGCCCGCAATTACACCCGGTGCAAATCCATTCTCATCGTACCCCAGTGAAAGCCACAATTGACCACTGATCACATCAGCTGAGCCTCGCAGCTGACAAGAGGCAGACATACCGGAATGTATAGGCAAAGAGCAGCAGGCCCGCCGAGCGTTGCCTTGATCCCGTCATTAGACTCTCCAGTTTGATGCTGGGGAAAGCAGCGTGCTTGTACATCCCGTCGAGATTGCCCAGCATCGAAACACCCATTAGCGCCTTCTGGGGCGCTGCATCTGCCAGCCACCGGGGAGAGATGACCTCCGAAGCCGCGGTCGGCTCGACGACCCCATCGTCCATCTTGGCCCATCTGACCGCTCGTTCCCGCCGCTCAAGCCCATCTCGCCGAGCTCGAGGGACCACAAAGGGGGACCGGGTGGCAGCCATCATCTGCGCACGGACGGATCGCGCACGATGCCATAGGAGATCGGAGGTGGCGATGGGGACATGGAGTGATGGGAGGGACACGTTGAAGTAGCCGATAGCGAGGTGGAAGAAGGATTCGGGGGAAGAGGGGACAGAAGGAGTTTGGATGTGGGGTCGGAGGTTGGCGGCAGAGTAGATGATACTGATTGTCAGCGTGAGTTTAATCTTGAGCGGGAAAGCACTTACCAAGGGTCCCGAGAGGACGGAGCCAACCTCGCCCAAGCCATGTTGCAGAGCGCAAAGACGGCATGAGCGACCGTTACCCCATTCGCCTTGCAGCTGCTCAAGATGCGCTTGGTCTCGTCTGAGGAGTAGGCTACGGTGGGGACGACGGTCTGACGGGGCTTACGCTGCGATGCTGGGATGAGGGGGAAGCTCTGATTGCCGGTGAGCCTGGTCTGGTTGAGCCTGGAGTCGACCGCACCGACGATTGTCCGCCATGCTGACGCCGCAGGAAGCTGACTTTCGAGGCCCTGGGGGATGGGTTGGGGCTCCTCAAGGTAGAGCTTCGCCAGAATCATCTCGCGGAGATCGGCGACCGAGCTTGAAGACCCGAGAAGAGTATAAAACTCATTCATGAAGGTGTGGAGGGCCATACCGTCACCGATGGCGTGGGTGGCGCAGAGCATGAGCTCGCAATCGTACGCCTCGCTCTCGGCTCGGGCATTGGGGGAGGAGGGAGGAGTGGCAAGGCCAAAGGCAGGAGCGGTGGGATGGGCGAATACGAGGCAGGCTAGCCGGTCTGATGACAATGTCCTCGGTCCGTTGAGGTAGGTGTCGATGATAGAGCCGTTGGTTGGTACAGCGTGGAAGCGGCTCGCTGCTTGCTGCAGGGCTTCCTCCAGGGTGGACGGGACAGAGCGGACAAAGCGGACGTCCTCATACGTATGGGCTGAGATTGATGAGGCGAGCAAGGGGTGACGGAGGAGTTGGTATGCCCAGACATACAGGACTCGGGACTCGGAGAGGCAGTCGGAAGCCCCACTGAGCCGGTGGTGTACGTACCTGCTACGTCAGCTTCGGCAAGGCGGAGGAATGCTGGGGCTCACATATCATTGACGCCGTCGGCTCGGGAGGGCAGGTAGTACGAGAGCTCATTATCGGTGAGCTGGCGGGACTGCCAGTGCGCTACGTTGACCCCGGGCTGGTTCTGGAAGCGGTCGGTAGAAGTCGCCGGGGGAGTGAGTGGCAGACTGGGAGGGAGGACGGGCTGAGGTCGTGCCGCTGGTGGAGCGTAGGGGCGGGAGGTGTGGTCGACCTTGCTGAATCGAGCTATGTTGTTGCCAGTAGGGGTGGTAGGGGGCGTCAGCATGTCCATGATTGCGTCAAGAATAGTCAGAATTGCGGAAGAGGAGGGGGGTTGGCGTCGGCGTATGGCGTGCGGGAGTGGTCTTATGTAGCCTGTACATCATGGCTGTGTTACTGCTACGCATCCCATAGCTGAAAGCGGGAAGGATAGCCTTCCACACTGCTATGGCCACACGCGCGCTGGGGTACATTCCCTTCGTCCGGCTCTCCAGATCTTCGGCAGCTTTGAGACATTCCCTCTGCCACCGGGCCCGAGACAGGAAGTACGACGACCTCCGGCAGAGCGGCACTGACATCAGCGGGGAGGTAGGTTGAGCACAGGTGATCATTGGCGTAAAGATGAGCAGGTGATGTCAGAGGCTAGCGAGGGCGAAAGACAGAAGCGCAGCGGGTACGTCGACCCTGGCACCCGCCAGCTTCCCACAGTCCTTGGCTGTTTCGAGAAATCTCCGCATGCTTTCGGGACAGGCACAGGATTAATTGCACACCCAGCGTCGTACTTCTCGTCCTCCTTCGGATAAGGCGCACGAGCAGAGGTTCGGAGTAATGCAGAAAGTCCTGAAACGGGTAAGGATGTCGGCAGACGTACGTAAAATGGAACATGGCGAAGCCACGATGACTCATGGGCTTGCAGCATGCAGGCGCTTCCGGTGCCAGATCTTGTGCTTCGGAACCGGGAAGCATGAGACGTCCCGGCGGATGTCCGTTGCAGTGGAAGAAGTGTGACGACCTGTCCCGTCGGACTCGATCCACCAGTTAACATGCTGACAATCGAGGACTCCGCTCCCGATCTTGAAACACGTCCCTCCCTCCCTGCTCGTTTCAGCGTGCTGCCGCGCCACGACTTGGCGTCGACACGGATGTGTGCTAGGAGAGGAACTTGGGACCGATATCTACATTCATTTGCCTCATCGCTGATACGGGAAGCAGACACTTCTAATCTAGACCCCTGCCTCACATCCGCAGTATGTCCCTCGCCGTTTTGCCTCTAACTTCGCCTTGAGTCCTCCTGTCGGTTCCACTCATACCCCTGCTCGCGACACCCCCATCCAGCACAAAGTCCTCGCTGTCCAGAGTGCCCCGCCGTTCCCTGACTCCGGACGCCTCGGCCGGTGCGACCAGCGGGGTCATGTAACCCATTGGCCGCATCACGTCCGGTGATGAGAACGCCAAGAGGACATTGGCGGCATCTTCCTGCTCCTTGCTCGTATCTCCACCTTTCCCTGCTCGTCCTCCCGCGCTGACTGGATTATGGGTGACGAAAGCATCGGCGGGGGAGGGATTGTCGAGGGAGAGCGCACCGCCAAAGAGTGCGATGCCCTGGAGCGGAGCGATGAATGGACTGGGCTCGGGTGGACCAGATGACGCCGCAGAGCTGGAATGCGAGTGGCTGCCGTAGCTGAGGAAGGGGGATGTCGGGGAGGGGGTCGGGAATGGGAGGTACAGCGTAGGGTTGTATGCCTGGGATGATGCGGGCTGAGGGCGCGAGGACGGGACGGGTTGCTGACGGTCCGGGAGGGATGCCAGGAGGGAGGTGATGGACGGTGCCTCCATGGTATGGCGAGCAGGTGATGACGGTGACGAGTGAGTGGAAGATGGGAGCTGGGGAGGGGAGGGTCGCGCTGCGAGCGTGTACGCGGGAGGGAGGTTTGGCTCGGCGTCGGTTTCGTTGGGGTCGGGGCTTTGTGATGGAGTAGGTGGGGAGGCCGAGTGGCGCGGAGCGGGAGACGGCTTTTTGCCGGTGGTGGTGGAGCTCGAAGTGGAGGTGGATGACTTGGCCTTGACTTGGCTAGAGTTGGCGAAGGATGATCCTCCGGCTGACGGTGATTTGGCTAGACGTGCCTCCAGGTCCTGGATATGCGCCTTGAGATCCTTCATATGATCGACCGTCCTCTCCAGTACCTGACTGTCAGCTTTGATCATAGCAGCATGTTCTAGAACTCACTTCAAGCTTGAACTCTCCTCCTTTCCCACCTTCAGCATCGCCTAGACCGGGCACCATATCTCTCAGCTCGCCCAGCGCGTGATTAATTTTCTCCCTCCGTCTCCGCTCGATCAGACTGTGATTCTGCTTACGCAGCGCCTCCCTACTCATTCCCTTTCCAGACGACCCGCCGCGAGCAGCCCCGCCCGAGCTACTACCAGCTGCGGCTTGACTCGCTCCAGCCTTGGTCCGCTTGGTTCCGCCTCGGCCTGTCGCCTGTACCGGGGTGTACGCCCCATCTTGCGCGTCTGCAGAGGAGCTGGAGGGTGAGGAAGGCATAGGCGAGGCTGCCGTCGGGGCAAGCTTGCGCTTCCGGGAAGGCTGCGTGCTGCTGGGCGGAGGCATCTCGCCTGATTGGTGGTGTGGGAAGGGGAGAGGTGCGGGCAGGCGGGATGGACCGGCGGAGCTGGAGGTGTATCGAGCTTCGTTGATGGAGGGAGGAGGATGGATGTGCGTCGAGGTGGCGATGGACATAGCTATAGCCTGCTCGTGTGAGCTCGTGTCGGGATATAAGCACGGGCGCGGATCTAACCTTTCTGAGTGAACGTGCGTTGTCGCTTGGTGCTCGGTATTGAGTTGCAGCGATGACGGCAAAGAGGGCAGCCAGAGGTATGACTTGAAAGGTCCTGCAGGCAGCTTTCTATCGCTCTTACACTCTGGCGATGGAGAATAAAGGATGATAAGGAGGAGTATTGAGTGTTTGGTCGTCAAAGGCAGGGTCCGTTTCCAGGTCTTCGCGTTGATGGAGGGTCGTCTGAGTGAACTCGAGAGGGCAGTATGTGTCGCGTGCGCTATCCGTCTATTGGATCTACATCCTTGTCCTCCATGCTCCGGCGCAGTACTATACTAGGGTCAAACGTGTACAAAGCATAGCGGTCGTGCGACCAATCCAGCTGCTGGCAGATCCACGCACGTTCGCGACGTCGACCGAGGTGTGTCATATGTCCGTGCGTCACGTTTCAGGTATGCTTTCCGTCTGGGGATGGGACAGCAGCGCCAGCAGCCTCCAGCGAAACGCAGCACTGCCAGCTGGGCGAGATCATGAACTGCGCTTGGTGGCTGTCCAGAAGGCCGCCTGTTGGTATCAGACCAGATCCCTCGGCGAAATCAGATGGGGAGGGGCTCACCTGGTACTCGTGTCTCAGCATGGTATCCGGCATGCCCGTGTAGCTGCTGCTGACCATCCGCTCGTCCTGCTTGATCAGCACACCGTCTTGCTAGACTCAAGAGACCTCGGTGTAGGCGACACACCTGGATATCAAAGCCTACAGCTCGCGCTAGGGCCTTGACCTCGTTCAGGCTCAGCTCGATAGAGCCCTCTCCATTCGATGAGGATGTGGGGGAGTTCTCAAAGTGCCAGAGAAGCGGGCCTGCGATATGAGATATGTACCCAGAATTTATCCGACCCATCGCAGTACCCCGAATGACTGACCGATGTTGATCCAGACCCCGCCCTCTTCCAGTAGGTTATGGATGATCCGCAAGAATCGCAGAATGTTTCTTGCCTACTTATTAGCTCACTATGCCAGACGGACTTAGGCGGATGAAAGAAGAGGGGCTCACACAGTCGATGAAGAAACACGTGACGACTGCGCCCCATTGCCCCTTCTGCTCGTCCTGGCCGTATATCTCCTCAAAGTCGCCAGCGACCAGACTGAATGGCCCGCCCTGCCCTTCGCCAAGGATATCAGCCGGACAAATATCCGGTAAGCGGACGCTACGCAGCAGGTTCCTAGTGGAAAGATGATTCGAGAATGAATGGAGGTAAGGGTGGATAAAGTGGGATTTAGGATGCGTCGTTCTGTCTGTCAGCTGTCTGTCTTCTGGCAGAAGATCGTACGTACTGATTCAAGACCCAATGAGATGCCAAGAGCATGTATGTGCTGAATTCATTACCCTGCGAAGCGAAATCTATCCGAAGGATCAGCTATCACTTCCAAGCCAAGCGGTGACACAGACTCACCCCTCGCAGCGATCTCCATGGTCAGTCTACCCAGTCCGCAGCCAGGGACAAGCACTTTGACATCCCCTCTCGCTCGCCGCCCTTCCTCATCACTGCCCCCTACATCCATCCCAGTCTGCGCCGGAAAATGCCGCTCCAATGCCTCCAAGCATGGGGCATAACACGCCTCCCTTTCTGGCGCTCCCTCTTCAGACCAATCCCGAACGAAAGACCGTAACGTCGATCGAACCTTGTCCTGCGCCGAGTGTCTGCTAGGACCCGATGCGCTAGGAGTTGGCTGTCTCGAGCTGGCGGTAGGGTCCGGACGACCGGGGTCGGACTCGATATCATCATGGGTATGGCCGTGTTCGTCCCCATCGTGTCCGTGCTTGTCGTGGCTGTGCCCGTGCATGTGAGAGTGTGAGTGTGTCTCCTCGGACGTAGCATCGCCTCCGACCATCATCTCCGCAAAGACCGGATCGGCGATCATCTCCTCCAAAAACTCCGCGTTTCTGATCTATCAGCTCTCGCCCTTCTGGACTCGTGATAGACCGCTATGCTGACCGTCTTATTCCCTCATCGACGGCTTCAAGCTTCTCTCTATACCCTATGCCCTCTAGCACAACCCTGCTCTCCTTGGGCAACGCGAGGAAGGCCATTCGACGAGCATGATTCGCGGACAGCTGAGACGGTCAGCTCTGGTTCCTCGCTTGCAGGAGGTGAGAGAAAGACTGACGTGGTACTGCATATATTCATCGAAAGCTTTGATGACTGAGCGCCAGTGCGCCTTCTCTTCGGGCGACTCGGCCATGGTAGCAGCTGGAGAGGGGGATGGTCGCTTGTGGTGAGGCAAATGAGGAATGAGGAGCAAAAAGCAAGAACCCCCGGAACCCTTTGCAAACCTTGATCGTGAACCTCTTCTCGCTCATCTCCTTCCATTTTTACGTCACCTGCTACTTTTGAGAGTAGACAATCCCCTCAACTGAGAACAGCCGCGCTCAAGCAAGTAAGCTCAGCGTGTGATGGCGAACCTACCCGCTCGCGACCCTCTAGCCATCCTCGGCTCCTCCCTCTTCCTCGACGTCCTCAGCTATCTCCCTTACCAGACCGTCGGAATCATACCGTCCGTCTGCCGCTCATGGCGCGACTTTGAGAGCTCCGAAAGCTCGGCTATCTGGCGGCCGGTATGCAAGCGCGTCAATGGGGACCCTCGGCGATTGCAGGAGCTCGCTGAAGCGGAGCGGGTGCGATTCGATACCGGGCCGCACGGGAAGGAAACCGGGCAGGCGGGCGGGAGTAGTGCGCCGTGCAGATCCAGCACATCTGGTGCGGACTGGAAGGGACTGTTGAAAGAGCACGTCTTGCCCATCCGGAATTTCCTGCGGGGAAGGTGTACGAATCGCTTCATAACGGAGCCCGGGAGCCCTGAGGAATTTGGCCAGTATGAGGTGAACGAGGAAGAAGAGACGTGTATAGCTACCCGTGGCGACTGTCGTAAGTCGTAGAGATTCTGAGACGCTGTGCGATCGAAGTAGTGCACTTGAGCTGACGACACAGGCGGGTTGCAAGTGCTCGACCTCCGTACCCTCGAGCTTTTGTTTTGGGTACCGGATTTGGACCAGGCAACGCACTTCGAGGCTTGTGGGGGTTTTGTTGTCGCAGGCTGCATAGTTTGTAAGTATCATGCCTTCGATCGCGAAGGCATAAGCTAATCACAAGCCTACCAGCCATGGACGCTCATGCTGCGAGTCTTCCGCACGCAATCGGCCATTACACGATCCCCTCGCCCTTGTCCACCTTACGCCGAGATCCCGGAGTCTGTGCGGACCTCTGTCGCGCCCTTGGAACCATCTTGGTCGGTCGCATCGACAACGGCGCCAAAGGGCAAGACTAATACTACCGCCCAGCATGCCGCAAAGACATACCTTCCGCGAGGGGGTCTCGCCTACTATAGGGACATCCCCATGGCATCGGTCTTCAACCGCTTCTGCGTCAAGGTGGAACACGAGGGGACGCGGCTGGAACGTGTGGTGTTAGCTTTGATGGGGGAACAACAGGTGGCGTTGTGGGATTTGGACGATGTAGACGCGCCTGCCGAGGTGATCGACTTTCCGCACGAACATCCATGTCGCATTGAAGTTAGTACCTTGTGATGCCCCCCAAAGACACAGCTGACGTGCTAGGGTATCGACTTTGACAACGACTACGTCTTTATTCTCTACGCCGACTACATACAAATCATGTCCCGCTCAACGCAAGAATGCGTCTTCGTCACCCCGTCCAGCCCCGATGACTCGTTCACTACTCCCCAAACAAGCGCGGTCGTATACGAACTTCACCTCGAGGCGGATCACGATCCGGGCTACAACCCAGTGATTGTCATCGACAGTGATGACGAGGATGACACTTCAGAAGCATCAGAGGAGCCTGAAACACCCAGGCCCCCTTTTTTGAGCAAACAGAGGGATGTGAAGGGTTACCGTGGCGGCGCAGAGGTGGCAGAGTACGATGACGCAGAGCTCTCGCCTGAGACAGAAGAGGCGCGGTATGATTATGCTAGGTCGTAAGTCCGTTGGAAACGTTGTCGTCCTCGCACTTTACATCACATACAGGGGTAGGCTGACTTGTTGAAGGTGCGGACCTGCAGGTCGCGACCTGGTCTCTAGTACCAGCTGCGGGTATCTGCTCATCATCCGCGACTACGCAGATGTTCTAGCGATACTTGACGAGAATGAACTCGCGTCAAGATGGGCCGAGTCGACGGTAGCCATCGGGCTGGGCGGAAAGCTCACTGGGTATCAATACACGATACGCGCGTCGCAGTGTCCACCCAGAGAGACATGGTCTTTTTCGATACTGCAACCTTGCCTCGCATACCCCTGGAAGGCGACACCGTCCCGCTTATCCGCGTTCATTCGGTGCTGCCTATCGTCCGCGCATGGCAGAGAGACTAAGGGGTCCTCAGCTCTATCGCACAGCCCTATATACCAGGTACTATGCTTACGATCCGAAGAGGCGGCGGCCGGCGGTCAAGCCCTGCCTGAGAAAGCTGGACTTTAGCGGGGCGGGCTCGGGCGCAGAGTAGATGACAGAATGATATGTATTTCTAGCTCCACAGTGCTTCTCATATACTGATCACTTGCCCCTTGTGTCCCTCTCCCCTAAAGCGCTTGCAAGTGAGGCATGGAAGCGGTCTGAAATCTCGACCTCCACCTGCACCCGGACCGATCGGCCGTGCCTGAATTGTCCGAGCCAAGCTAGACTTCAGCATCTCCATCTGATTCCCTCCTCTCTGCTCTTCCACACTTACACTTTTAACAATATCAAGACCTCCCCCCTCTTCTCTTCCGCCAGTCATCAGATGGAAAGCCCCTCCCGGGCAGCAAGCAGGCGCAACAGCATATCTAGTACCGACTCCGCTTCCTCCTCCTCAGCTCAGGCCTTGCCCCGATTCACGGACCTCACGCCCGCTCGACCACCTACGACCGTGCCCGGCGAAGAGGCGTACGTAGAGGTATCGGGAGCGAAGAATGGAGGGGTCCGTCTCAAGGTGGATGCGGGTACGGGCTGCGGGGGTATAACGTGGGCTTCGGGTGAGGTGAGTTGGGGGGTTTAGTCTGTGCGTCTGAGCATGGTGTGGACAGAGTGATGGGTTACATGGAGAGCTTTATGCGCGTTCGAAGAAGATCAAAGAGACTTGGAGCTGACACCTTAGGTCTTGGCTAGATATCTCGCCTATAGGCATGAGGTCGATCCGGCGTACCTGCACCAAAGGAACATTCTGGAGCTGGGCTCGGGCACTGGGCTCGTCGGTATAGCGGCGGGGCTGCTGCAGCCTGAGACGAGCGTATGGGTGACAGATCAAGCGTGAGCATCTGTCTCGCGTGTTTTCATTCGGCGTGAGGTCTCTCAAGGTTCGCGCTTCAGCGTCCAGGTCGTGGCGGGGGAAGACGGGGGCAAGCCAGAAAGGAATAGCTGACAAGCTAGATGTCTCTCGGAGCTTATGAAGTCCAACATCACCCATAACTTCCCTTCCGGCTCCAGCTCCTCCGTACCTCCCGTCCGCGCCGCAGAGTATAACTGGGGCGAAGCCATCCCCGAGGAGATAGCGGCAAGCGAGATAGATATGGTGCTTGCCGCAGATTGCGTCTACTTCGAGGTACGTCCCTTTGCCCTTGACCTGCTTGACGTCGCTAGACGGCAGCTGATAGATCAGCCGACCTTTCCTCTGCTCGTACAGACACTATGCGACCTCGTTCCCCGCAAGCCGACTGTGGAGGGCAAGCCGGTGGAGGTGTTGTTCTGCTGGAAGAAGCGAAGAAAGGTGCGTTCCATGACAGTCCCCTCGGCGGATCTTATCAGGTGTACCGTTGCGTTTGCTCGTGTTGCGCTGAGGATGGGCTGCTGCTCAGGCTACCGAGCTGATCAACAGGCTGACCGGCATTTCTTCTCGATGCTCAAGAAGAAGTTCGACTCTGTCCCTGTGGACGACGACAGGCCGGGCGAGCGGGAACGATACACCAGAGAAGGGATCTCGCTCTTGCGCTTGACGAGGAGGAAGTAGGGTATACCGCACGACACTTCATGCTGGACATGAGCGGCGCGGAATGGTCGATAGAGATAGATTTGTTGTATATACATGCAAAGACAATGGAATTAGATATCAAGAGTGTCGGTCGCTGTGCACACAGTGCATGCTCTATCTAGGTTACTACTCCCCCTGCCGTCCACTACACAAGCAGCCCCTCTCCCATCCCGCTGTTCGTTCGGTTCATCTTCTAGTTCTGGCGTTTCGTGTCGTATTGTATCGTCCCGGAAACCCTAGTAGGTATACCCATATTCGTACTCTCCCTCTTTCCAAGTATCCTCCGTTATGACCTATCGAGTCAGCTTATTCCCCTTTGACAACCTGGAGGGGCGAGGAGCGTTGAACTCACCATCCATGCCCAGTATAGCACTCCTACTGCTCCAGAGTTGAGTAATGTCGCTAAGAACGCCGAGTTGATTTTAGATCCGGATGCCTGCGGGATCAGCTACTGGCCTGCCGAGTCAAGTGATCAGTTGTGGACATACCTTGCAGAGAGGCTGCGAAGCGAGGAAGAAGACCACTTGCGCGGCAGCGAAGAGGGCGAAAGCGGCGATGTAGAGCACTGCCCAGTCAGCTGAGATCCCGAGGAGGGATGGAGGAGGTCACTCACTAGCCGGCTTGGTTTCCCTCAGCTTGCTCAGCGTGATCCAGAGCATAATCGCCAGGTACAGCACGATAGCCCTGCTAAATCAGCTTCTGGTCCATGGCACTGAGACGCTGGACGACTTACGCAGCAGGCCATATCAGCGTCAAGACGAACAGCGTGATCGCCTGCAGATACTCGACATCGCCGTTCGAGAATGTGAATGCGGAAGTGAGGGACAAGCCCGTATCGAGCGCGACGTATAGCGTTCCGCCAAAGAAGAGGAGGGCGATGATGGATAGGGGGATGAGTGCTGCCGGTGTGCCGTCCCTGTGGATCAGCTGAGTGCGTGTTGTGAGCGCTGGACAGCTCACTCGACGATCTGGGTAGCGATGATGCCGTTGCCTAGCAGTATCCAGAAGAGGGCGACGAAGAGGGCGAGGTGTATGGCGGAGACGACGGCGAGGGCTGTGGATGCTGCATGGTCAGCTCTAAGCCGGAGTCATCGTCTGCTTTGGAGCTGGGAACGAAGGAGTATGAGCGCCAAAGGCTATACAGGCACGTACATTGCCGGAGTAGGGACGACATCGTTACTATCTGGAAGACCGAATGCAGACCATACACCTAGACATCAGCCTAGGTACGCAGGTCGGAGAGAGAAAGGACATACCCCCAAGAACATCGTTATCTCTGATCTCCCTACAGCAGCCTTTCTCCTTGATGCGTGCACGATCAATCCCACCGCCAGAACGAATGACAGCGCCGAGAGCACGACCAGCGCTGAGGTATCAGCTACTTCGCCCTGTGTCCAGGCGAAAAGGCACTGCTGGTTTTACGAGGACAGCGAGCTCACCGATATCCCCCAGACTCCCTCTTTGTCCCGCTCGAGCAATCTCGCAGCTCGCCCCTAATCCCGCTCCGGCCTGCCGTACCGCCGCGTCGATGTTTGGATCGCCTCGTGCTGATGTGGAGCTCTATCAGACATCAGCCAAGCTCCTACTAGGACTCTGGGAAGAAAGGACATACGACATCATAGATGCTGAAGAAGTCTGACGAGGACGGGAAGAGGCGCGATAGCCTTGCGGGCGTGTGATCGTACAGCTGCTTGAAGAACAGGTTGCACTGCGGTAAAGGAGTGTGGGCGCATATCCAGCCGAAAGCGCCGAATGGTTCGGGCATGGTCGGCGATGGATCAAAGGGTTGAGTAAAGGCTGATATGAGTAAGTACGGCGTAGACGTGTAGGTTTCGGTCTGGACTGCTGCCGCAGAAGCTGATGTATGAGTATGGGTATGAAGGTGGAGTAGAGGGAAGGAGGGGAACCAAACATGCGCCTAAAAGACTGACTTACCGTTGAATTGAGAAGGATAAGCTGGTCGTCAAAGGATAGGGGAGGGCCGTGCGAGGTCGTCACGCGCTTGGCGACGAGCGGTCGTAGCAGTGTCGTCAAAGCAAGCTAGGCTTGTAAAAGCTGGGCCGGTTCGTGTGCTGCTCGCGCTGCGAATGCTGGTTTCTTTCGTGGTTTGCAGTCAAAGAAGTAGTAGGTGAAGATCAGGCGAGTTGTCAACAATACTAGTGAGAGTGGGTGGCGAAGGGGAATTAGAGTTTAGTGCTGTGTGGGTGGTTGAACGACGTTGGGATACCTCTCCAGATCGCACCGAGGCGAGGTGAGAGGCGTGGAATCGTCGACCAAAGGCTTTGCAGCATGTCAGCGGCCTCCTGCCCCCTCCATAGCCCTTCTGCCACTCTCATCTCGGTACGACAGCTTGGGGCTTGGGTCGAGCGCGAAAGGACAAGGATCTCGAGGTTGGGTACTTGAAACAACGATGAAACACAGCAGCAGCAGGCACAGCACGGCGGAATGTGAGCGGAAGCGAGTGAGGAGCGAGAGATTTCGCGCGCCTATCCTGTCAAATCCGGCGAAATGGTGGCGCTGCTGCCCGGTTTTCATCCGGAAATGGTTAAATCGGCGCAGTCTTCTGCGCGCCTAAGTGGACTTTTTGGTGGCTTGGCGGGCGCGGAGGACGGAGCAGCCGGAAATAATTCCGAAACCGGACGCGACTTTGTTGACGCGACTGATGGGCCATGTCACACTGTTGCTTGGCATGTGCGAAACGCCTGAGGGGGAGAAGAGCGCGTCATGCTGTCATTAGTAAATTCCTAATGGATAATACCGCTTGGACGTTGATGTTCTTGTATGAAACCCTGAAAGGGGTAAGAAATGGCTGGCGATCAAAGGAACAAAGGAGCAAAGGCACAGCAAGGAAGCTTTGGCTCAAACACGTCCTCCCTTCCCCCAATTCACATCCCCCTTCCTCTTCTCTCTTTTATCCTTATCCTCACCCTCTCTCACCTCTCTCTCTCTCTCTCTCTCATACCCGACACCCACACAGCCTCAACGCGAGCATCCCCCCATCTCCTCTCCGCTCTTTGTCCTTCATCCCCTCCTTACAAAGAACCCAAGCAGTCAGCTTTGACAGCACTGCTCCTTTGAAGGTTGATCGACTAGCAGCGCCTCTCCCCATCTCCTTTCATCTCCTATATATCCTCACACACCGCATCTCTCGGAACCACCCACCTCTTAACTCTCTCTCAACAACAGATAGCATCACTGCCGGCCAGTGATCCTTCTACACTCTCCTAAATCCTCTACACCCGACCAAACACAATCACTACGATGTTCTCCCTTGCTACCACCACCCTCTTCGCCCTCCTCGCCCTCGCGGCACCTTCTCTCGCCGCCACCCCCTCGGCCGACAAGAAGTACACCATCTCCCCAAAGTCCCACCCCGAACTCTGCGTCGCCCCAGAGTACGAGCACGAAGGCGCGCTTCTTGTTCTCAAGAAGTGCGACGACAACTCGGACATTGTCTGGCAATGGCAAGGCGGGAACCAGTGGAAGAACACCGCCGCCAACATGGTGATGGATGTCAAGGACGGAGGCGCGTGGAACGGGAACAAGATCCAGGTCTGGACCGGTTACGGGTGAGTCTTGATTAGCTTGGGGAAAGGGATCAGCTGACATTCAGGTACAACACCAACCAGCAATTCATCCTCCCCAACGAGCAGATGGAATGGGCCGGCCACAACCTCTGCCTCGACCTCACGGACGGGCGCGGAGAGGCCGGCACCACCCTCCAGCTCTGGCAGTGCCTCAGCTACAACGACAACCAGAAGTGGGAGTTTGTCGACGCCGAGGAAATTGAGGAATGCGCGGATGGTCAGTAGATCTCGCCTTTTGCGAACGGACTTTAATGGCGCATGCATCAAATAGTGACTCTGCAGGTTACGTCCCCGTCTCATCCGCCAAGGCATCGGCCACCCTCTCTGCATCCGCCTCGGCACCTACCGTCAGCACCAACGGCACCGCCAGCACCAACGGAACTGCCAACGCTACCGCCACCGACCTCGCATCGCCCGCTGGCGCCAGCGAAATCGGAAACGGCTTCCTGGCCGGCGGTGGCACTCGCAAGTCCAAGTCTGCCTCGGCCACCGGGTCTGCGTCTTCCGCTTGGTCCGCTTCCACCACCGCCTGGTCCGCCTCAGCTTCGGCCGCTGCCACCTCGGCTGCTGCCTACCCCGGCAGCAATTCGGGCTTCCTCAAGACCAAGGGCACCAAGGTCGTCGACTCCAGCGGCAAGGAGATCGTCCTCAAGGGCGTCAACCTCGGTGGCTGGCTCGTCTTTGAGGACTGGATGTGCGGTATCACCGACTACTCGGGCAACGCGGACCGGTTCCCCCAGTGGACACTCGAGCAGCGTTTCGGCGAGAAGCAGACCAAGGAGCTCATGAACATGTGGATGGACAACTGGCTCGTCGCGGCCGACTTTGACAAGGTCAAGTCGCTCGGCTTCAACGTTGTCCGTCTGCCGTTCTCGTACCGCAACTTCCAGAACATGGACGGGAGCTGGTCGGACGATGGGTTTACCCGTCTCGACTGGGCTTTCAACCAGGCCAAGCGCGTCGGCGTCTACGTCATCCCCGTCTTCCACATCTGGGACACGCAGAAGCAGCGCTACAGCATGATCTCCGAGGGTGAGTCTCTTGGTTTGCAGTGTGGGCTTGGCTGATCTATAGACAACTGGGATGGACAGCAGTCCCGCCAGCGCGCCGGCGAGCTCTGGAAGAAGATTGCCTCGCGCTACGCCAACGAGGGTGTCATTGCCGCTTGGGACCTCATCAACGAGCCCACTGGCAGTGCCAACGACAACTTGCAGAAGGACCTGTACAACGCTGTCCGCTCTGTTGACAACAACCACATCCTCATGTACGTCGCTCCTTTCTCTATCAGACCCCGCTGACCCTCTAGCCAAGCTTCCATCGGTACCAACCCCTCGCAGTACGGCTGGACCAACATCATGTACACCATGCACGAGTACCTCAGTAAGTCTGGCCAGTCTGATTTAAGGGCGAGCTGACTCTCAGTGATGGGCGGTGACTACAACAACAACGTCGGCGCGTACGCCAACGGCCCCCAGGCCTCGATCAACCAGTTCAACGGCTTCAACATCCCCACCTACGTCGGCGAGTTCATGGCCGACAGCGCGACCCTCGACTACATGCTCCAGAACCTCAACAACGCCGGCGTCTGGTGGTCCTCCTGGACACTCAAGACTGTCCAGATGGACCGCTGGGGACTGTTCAACTTTGGCACCGGGATGAGCGTCGACGTCAGCAACGACTCGTACGACACCATCAAGGGCAAATGGTCCAACATGGGCGGTCTTACCCGTCAGGGCGTGGCGGACCAGTACCAAAAGTACGCCCAGATGTGGAAGAGGGATACCGTCCCCAGCCCTCGGGTTGGGTCGGAAGCGGCGTCGTTGAAGCGGAGTAGCGGGCACCACGCCGGTCGCTCAAGGCGGGCGTTGGCGCACGGCGGGATTGGCAAATTCTAGGCGGGAGAAGCAAGGGGAAGGGGAGGAGGGAAGGCGTAACGACAAGGGACGAACATCAACGTGACGACGGCGGTCTATCTACAGCATCATAATCTTTCCAACAACTCGGCTAGTTCCTCCGCGAGGAATCGGTCACCATCTCTACGCGCCCGGTGCGCACATACTCGATCTGGTATCGACGTATAATCAACCTTCATTTGGGCATCGGGCATCTCTTCTTTTCGTTTCGGTTCGTTTCGGTTTACGGTTTTCGGCTATCTTTTCGGTCTACTACGGCTCGACGTCCGGTCACGTCGGGCCTGTTACCCCTCTACTCCTACTCGACCTCCACCCTCGGCGCGTCCCTAGCGGACATATCGGCGGCGGCGGGCGGGAAAGGGGCGGAGGGCATTGGTGATCCCTGGCGGAACATCTATAGGTGGGGTCACTCTCGGTATGCGCCGTTCAGTGGGATCACAGGCGGTGGTCAGCTTTGACTTGGGAGGGCGTCTTGATGGCGTCCAAGCAGGGCATGGAGGGGCGCAGTCGGGCCGCGCGGGAAGAGAAGGGATGGATTTGTAATCCGTCTTCTTATTGGACTGGCGGGGCTCCTGGTGTAGTCTAGCAGGATGAGGTGTGGCGAGGGGTTGTTGATCTTGTCGATAGATGCATACGCCTTGAATCTCTCTTCCATGCCTACAGAGCGAAAGGCACCTGAGCATCTTTCGCTGACGTCTGCTCATCCCCTCCGTATGAGGCCTCGACATTCTTAGTATCCCTAAGTTTGGATCATGATGGGTCTCGACTGATTCGGGCGCGACCTCTGGTGGCCTATGGGTAATGGAGTCAACCTCTATCTGAATGGCGTCGATGCTGAAACGCTGAAGCATTCCTTGGTGACTAACCCCCCTTTAGCGTGACTCATGCGTGACAGCAGATGACAGCATGGAGCAGATGGAACATTGGGAACTCGGAACCGAAGTGAAAGCGTGGAACCTCTCTCGTCAATTCTCGTCAAGGTTACGAAACGGTCAGAGATAAGAAGCGGCAGTGGCTGCTCATTGTTACGGCTACCGCCATGTAGACAGATCTCCATTGCATGGAATATTCTTGTCAGAAGGAGTCGCAGTGGCAGATCACTAGCACTTTGCGTGGGCAATAGACCATGCTGCCCCGAGGTGCTTCAAGCCCGTCCCGAGAACAAGGATCTACCGCGTCTCACCTTCCGGTTAGCTAGGTTTCCGACAGCGTCTCTGAGCGCTGAGCGCTGTAGCTAGGTTCCGGACAGCGTCTCTGAGCGCTGAGCGCTGAGCTTTGACCACGAGGCACCCTCTCGCCCGCCAGCTCGCCCGCCCATAGCTCCAGCTAGCGTCTGCCATGCTTCCATCCAGTGCCACACTCGTACATCACCTTTATTACGGGGCCCGAATGACTCCCTTTTCGCAGCAATTCCCACCCCCCCTCTTCGCGTCCTTGGCGAATGCATATGGAGGGGAGAGGTGAATGCGGGATGCTCGTGCTCCGTCAGCGGGCCTCGATCACTCCAGCGGAATAGCGAGGCCCAAGGCGAGTACGACGCCGAGACGGAAGCAAAGAATAAGGAGGAGCAAGGAGGAGCGGCGCCGATATCGGGCCAAACACCGCCCGGAGAAAATTTCAGGGTAACGCCGAGACGCGTCCAGGTGCTTGAGTCAGAGGGGGGAGGAGTGGCGAATAAGGTATATCCGAGTGTGGCGAAAAAGAAATGCAGGTTCCGCAGCAGCTCGCAGCACATGCAGAGGGAATCAGTGAGGTGTCTGGAGCGGGTCGTATGCATGGGGACGCGAAAGCTGCATGCATGGAGGGCTGGCTTGACTCTGAGAAGGAGGGATGACAGCATGAACACGTTTGCAGCGGCCGTAACGTTAATGCCGATATTTCGATTAGCGCGATTCCTTCGATTACCCCACAGTTGCCGGCAATTTGCGTGATTGACTGATCCTTGTTTTCCCTCTCTCTCCCCTCTGCTCTTACCTCTTACCTCTGACTACAGCTCCACTCTTGGTACTCTTACTGCTATAGCTCTTGCTTAGCTTGACCTCATATCACATCAGCCTACAACACGTAACACCGACGATCACGAGCTAAGCTTAGCTCCAGCTCGGACCCGCAAAGAACAATCAACACCGCCGCGCCCGACGCGCTAAGCCTCCCCTCCCCTCCCCTCCTTCTCTTGATCTCACCCCTACCCTTCGGCCCCCGACTGCTCGTCCTCTCTCCAACGGCATCGACGATCTCGGGCAACCAACCGATATTCCAGTGCATTCCCGCCACTCGCGGACCCCGATCTACTCTTGGCTGCCAGACACGGCGCCCGCCCTCGCTAAACACTTCATACCTCAACTCCGTCTCCCCACCTCCCTTATCTATTACCAGACGGCCAAGACTCGGGCCAAATCTCGATCATCTCTCGTCGGCAGAACGGCATCCCACTAGCCTCTTTACGTCCTCCTGTACATAAGCGATCACCCCCCTTCCCACTCTTTCATCCTTCTTTCACATTCCCAAATGGCTGCTGGAGCCGCTTTCGACAGTACCAAATCCATCAACGGCATCATGGACGACGATGATGGAAGGACAAGGAACGCAAAGGCCCAGAGGAGGCATCGCGAGAAGCGCAAGGCTCACCTCAAGACTGTGAGTACAATCGCCTTTGAACGCGTAGGATTGTGCTGACGGGCCAGCTCGAAGAGACGGTGTCACTCCTCACAAACCAGTTGGAAGACTCACGTCGCCAGCTCTCGTCTGCCGCCTACTCCAACCGCATGGGCGTAGGATCCAACGGCGCGCCACTTTCCCCAAGCTCAAAAGACTTTGCAGGGCTCCAGCAGGAAAACGCGTATCTCCGCGAGGAGAATGCCGAGCTTAGGCGGCAACTCTACAACTACTCGGTCGGGCGGCACTACCAGGCTCCTGCGGGAGACACGAAGCCAGAGGGGTATGCGGGGTATGAGGGCGGTGCGCAAGCCGGAAATGGGAATGGGCAGGCGCAAGGACCCTTGGCCAGTCCTAGGGAGGGTAGCAGTGGCGGACGAGTGAGTGCCTACTAGGGGATAAATACTGGGCATCGCTGACCATCAGGAGGGACAGCCCGCCGGCAACACTGCTGGTAAGTCCATTCGACATGTATCGTCGAGACACTACTGACCGACAGATGGCTTCACCCCACGCGGTACCCGAAGCAGGGTGATGTCTTCATCATCTGTGAGTATATCTGCATTTGTCTTTACTTGCTTTCGCTGAGTCACAGGCTCCCACTGCTTCCCCTTACCCTCCACCTACTTCTACCTTCCCCACTGATCCCCGTGCCCACGCCCTCAACCAGTCTCAACCCGGCGCGGACCGCTACCCCATCCGATACGAGCCTCACCTTTACGCCGGCTCTTCGGCCAACCACAGCCCCACCACGGCCAACGCGCCGGCACCTCACAACCTCCCGCGCAGCGGATTGGGGTATGACCACATCGGCGACATGTACAGCGGACGCGAGGGGGATGCGAGCTGGGGTCCCGATGTGAGCCAGAGCCAGGCTCTAGTAGATTTCGGGGATGGCGCTGATGGTCAGGCTGGACCACCTCCGTTCCAAGGATCGGTGTACCCCGTCCCGTACGGTGATGGACCGCAAGACGAGTGGAGGCAGGGACAGGAGCATTAGTAGGCGCTCACGGAGGACGTTCGGGCGGAGATACTTTACGACTAGATCGGGCGGACTGGGTGAGCTAGAGGAGGGGAATTCGGGTTCAGGTTCAGGTTACAGTCCATGAGGCGTGTAATATGTTCGTTCGGGCTTTCAGGTGTGATTTAGATTTGTGGAGCAAGTGGACGCAGAAGGGAAAGTGGAGGGTCGATTGTAGATATGAACCAGCGTACTGTGAACCGAATCTCTTCAAACGGCACAACTGTCTCTCGCTCATTCACTTCTCGCGTCCCTCTCAAGATACCGAGCCCAGATCTAATCTTGATACGGCACTGCTGTCATTATGATGCTGTTTCGGATGGTCATAGCAGGACGCAACTCAAGTTGCGTCATCCTGGTCGTCATCGCTCACGACGTGCGCTGAAGCGGGCTGAAACCTGTAGAGTAACGCTATCTTATCGGCATGGAGGTATGGCTCTGCTGGTAGCGGGAGAGCCCCACGGTGCGGCCAAGGACTGGACAGATGGGTATGCATGGGATGTACGAAGGCCTATGAAGATGGCAGCACGCGACAGTCAGACAGGGTTGTTCCAGCCGCCGTCCACCGGGTTTGGCACAGGTTCTCCTATGCTGATGTTGATCCATGTAGCGTTTCTCACGAAATAACAGACGCGTTGCCCCATTGAGCCATATGATCCTCGCCAGCGAACGTCACTGGAGTTGGCGCCCTCCAGAGCCTGCGACTCCATGCCCGTGATGTGTCTCAAGTTGATGTTCGTCATCAGTACGGGGAGGGTCTCGCCTGTGATGTCATGATGGCTCAAACCCACTCGCGCGGTCAGTATATATGGGCGGGGGTTCTCGGTGGAAGTGTGGGTCTCTTCAGGGTTGTCTCGGGCATTTGGGATCTGCGTTGCACTGGTAGTGTGAGGGCCGGTCGCATCGGCCGGCATGAGAGGATCAAGCCAGGGGGGATTTGAAGGAGCCATGGTGTGGTCAGGAGTGGGGAAGCCACCGGAATCGAAAGGGGGAGGAGTCAAACCCCGAGCTGAATTGTACTTTTGGAAAGTAGAGAGGCCTGGTGCATCAGGGTCAGCAAAGGGAGGAAAGGAGAGGTCGACGTTGTCGAGGTCCGAACTGGGCAGAGTTGCTCCAGCATCACTGGCGGCCCACAATTCGCGATCTTGCTCGCTGGAACCCATTTCTGGTGGAGGCACAACTGGGCACGCCAATCCCAGAGCGCTGGCGATGGACAAGTGGCGGTTGATTTCGGCGAGACGCCTCTGCAGGTTGCTGACATATTCTGGTCGACTTTCGCTCAGGTCAGCATCCCTCAAGGCATCGCATGCGGCGTACAGTGAAGCAGCGGCTCCTGCGAGTTCGTTGTAAGACATGGTGCTTTATCAGGAGGACGAAGGTGCAAAGCGCCGGAGGGTTGTGGAAGGGCAGAAAGAGAAAGTGGCGAGACTAGATCGCAAAGGCACATATTCGCACCCCCTCTCACGATCAAGCTTGAGAATGGATGTCGTTCGATCGTACCCGAGAGAGTCCAGACTATCATAGCAGGCTGACGGAATCGGTAAGGCATGCACAGCGGGGTTGCAAGGCGGAACAAAGGACAAAGTCCGATTCGTCCCGGGTCACGGCGCTGTCAGGCTGTCCGAGCTAGCTGCTGGGGCCGCTCATCAAGGGGCTGATCACTCCAATGTGCGCCCATCGCGTCAGTACATAAGCATACATATAGTACTCGGCTGCGCAGCTGATCGGCTGGGGAAGGTGCATGAGTCGCTGACGAGGCGCTTCCGATCCCACGCTGGTATGACAGAGAGAGTTCATGGACCCGACGAAACCCTTGGCGGCATTTGCCACCCAAGCGACCTTAGACGATCATGTAGTGGTACGTTGTCTCATCGCTCTGTCCAAAGGGGCGGACGACGGGAAGCCCTAAGATTGGGACGTGTGCGGTCGCTGCTGCTTCAGTTTCGGTCTCCTGGCCGGACCAACTACTACCGTCACGAAGCGCGTGATTGCCCTGCTGTCAGATCTCGAATGAGGCCACGAGCGCCCTCAGTAGCCTACTCGTATTTGTCGCTCGTCCCGTATCTAAAGCGGGCTGAAGACATGTGATTAGAGGCAAGGGCTATACCAAACGGCGCCATCGGCACAGAGACCGGACCTCGAGGCGCTGGACTGAAGCGGAGTGTCTACATAGGCCTTGTGAGTGGAAGTCAAGTGAATGGCGGGCAATCGGGTCAGACGGAGGGCACCCCCCGACCATCCATCGAGCTCGGCACGCCTATACCAGCTGGTATGGTACGGTATCTTATCTGCGCCACCGCTCTTGCCTGCCATACGCAAACTAGACGCCCATTGCTCCACATCTGTCCCTGGCGGACACCGGACTGGTGAGTGGTGACATGACTGTGGTCTGGCAGATGGCAGAGACCGGACGTTGGAAAGACCATCGTCACGTTTGTCATCAGTGCGCTCTTTCCAATCTGGCCTGTGGCGGGATCGACTTGCTCCATCTTTCTGACCGATATGTTGTCCGATTTGCCGGTCAGTAGTACCGTGCTGGGGAGAGCGGCTCGAGTCTCTGGGTTCGTGTCGAAGGCGTGTTGGGTGTTCTGAGGGAGGACGTTGTAGGTATCAGGCATGATATACCCCCGTGCGAGATCGCTTCCGCTGAACTCACTTAGGGCCGAATTCGGGTCAAAGCCTTGGGAGGTGGGTTGCTGTAGTGTATCAGGGGTAGGTATTGTAGGCACTTCATACCCGAGGTCAGGGAAGCCTCTCCCGTCGTATGCTTCCGGTCTTGGGGTTTCCTCGAAGCCATGAGGGATGCCTGGCTGCCAGGACATATCCGAGGAGGGAGGGAAGGACATGATATTCCCGGACCCGGACCCGGAGTTGAAGCCGTTGTCAATGTCCGGCCCCCACGTTGCGTCGAAGCCGGCTTGGAAGACAGGATCTGGGTACTGGAACGGGGTCACCACTGCAGGCGTGTGGTGCCCCTCGGGCATGTCGCTCACATCCACGGCAGACTGCGTAGCCGCCCTCGATCCGAAGTGAGCATTCTCGTGGTCAGTTGGCGGATATGAATGAGGGGGCGGACCCGAGCACGCCAGTCGCAGAGCCTTGAGCCTAGCTGCCTGATCGATGATGGCGTCGATGCGATCCGGAAGCTCCATGAAGTAACCCTTCGCAGGGTCACATGTGCGATCGAGCTTCCAAGCGTCTATGCTGTCAAAGAATGCGTTGGTAGCATCGTCGAGGCGGTGACAGTGGAATCCGACGTCTCCAGAGTCATCGCGAGTAGACATTGTGGAACTGTGTAGCCAAACTGACGGGAAGGTAGCACGAGGCGATTGTATACAAGACGGAGTGGCGAGGAACGGGCGCAGCGTCACCAAATGGCCTCTGCAGAGTACAATATGACCTTTACAAGATTCGTGAAGGGACATCGCCCGAATCTTTCCGAGCGGGACGCCCTTGCTGCAGTTTCAAGGGGCAAAGATGGCGTGATGGGCCGCCTCAAAAGTTCAATCAAAGGACATCGCCCGGTTTCTCCCGAGAGGATGGGCGAGTTGGTGGTCCTTTAGGAGGCTGGCCTGCTACCTCGAGCCCCTTGGCATGCATTAGTGATAGCTACCCCTTGCGCCACCCATGTTCTAGTTCTTCTCCCACGAAACGTGTGATGCCAGCTTGGAGGCGCCAGCTACGAAAATATGGATCCTTGGTGGGGCACTTGTTCATCACCACTGTCGGGCATGTAAGCCGATGTACAGTCTCAGGAATCTCGCCGTGAGCCTGAGTGAGGCAGATTCGCCACTTACTTCCCGCCACACGCGTTTCTGCCACATTCCTCTTGTTCCTGCGGGGCTCCAAGCTGGGGACGCGCTTTGCCAGCTTTGCCTGGACTTGCTTGTGGTAGTGTCCGACGTCGACGACCTTGCATGTACGATCGCTTCTACGTCACCTGCGCTATGTCCGAGCATCATATGCCTCGACCTCTGCCCCGCCAGCGAGCATAGACATATAGTGTCGCATACACATTTCCTGCTTCAGTCACCCCGCTCTCCCGACGATGACGAACCTGAAACGACCCCTCGTTTCGACTGATCGCGCTGATCGCTTCACCTGCTGCGGCCCCTCAAGCCCTCACGCTCGGACCTTCACAAATCCCTCTCCCTCGTAGATCGTCGTATCGGCAAAATATCGGAGATCATGTATCAGCGAGGGGAAGGTTTGGCGGAAAGGAGGGGGTGTGACCGGATGTTCCCTGGCCAAAGCTTATTCTACCTCCCTTTCCAATGTGTGGATGCACACAGCGTCATGGCAGACAAAGGCGGTGGCAACGGTATCTCCGGTAGCTGTCTCTTGTCTATCTATACTCACTTCTCTCTGATCTACATATCCACTGAACAGCGGGGCGAGCTGATTTCGTGTTTCTGAGACAAGGTGAGCTATAACAATCCACCTCGAGACACCCGCTCTTCCCCCTCATGATCGCCCGTCCCGGTCTGACTCTTCTGCAGATCCTCCTCTCCCTGCACTATGGCATCCATAGCCAGTCCCAACATTGCCCACTCTGGCTTCAACGACCTTATCGATCTCGTCTCGAGCACGACAACCCGGCTCGGCGTTGCGCTCTACAATTCCCGCTTTTACCCCGAGCAAGAGAGCGATCCGGGTGATATGGGCAAACGACTACCGGAGGTGGATAAGGGGAAGGGCAAAGCCCCGGCAGTTGCTGGGTTACGGTACGAGCAAACCAAAGCAAGGGCGAATGTCGACCCGGCCGATGTCAAAGCGACGGGGAGGCGGGTGGGTCCAGGAGGGGGACAAGGCATGAGGCAGAGAGCTGGAGATGTAAAGGGGAAAGGGCCGAGACGAGAAGAGGCAGCGGCAGGCGTGCAAAATGGGCTGAGGTATCGGAAGGTGGACAAGCGAAGTATCGGTGCACCGACCGACTTTAGGTGAGCAGTCTCTGTTCCTGCCTAGACTGACGACTAGACACATCTTCCACGCATCCACATTCGAGGAGGCGACCGAGCTGCTACTTCGCTGGTCTGTGGAAGGCGTCGGAGATAAGCTTGGTGGTGAGTCAGAGCACAAGCGCTGTAGCCCCAAGCTGATCCGCAGAGCCGTCCTGGGCAAACCCAATCAAGGAGCTCGTCAAATCTCGCGCAAAGGAGCAGCAGGCGAGGGCTGTCGCAGCGGTGGTCGAAGCGACAGCATGGAGCAAGACCGTCGGGAGGAACACCAAAGTCCCGTGAGTCCTCTGCTTCTTAGTAAAGCCATAGCTCATGGCAGAATCCCCGCTGGTCAGCTACACGTTGTTAACGGACTCCCCTCATCCATCTACTCTTCCGTCAACACTCCCCTTCCGCAGACCATGCGTAATCACCCCTCCATCTCGGCTTCACTCGCAGGGGCCGAGACGCCCAACCTCATCGCCCGCTTCGCTGCCACCGGCTACTTTGACGTTGTCCCCTCGCATGATCGCCCGGAGGCGCAGCGCTTACCGAACCCGTTCGAAGCCGCACCCACAACAGTCAGCATCGCGCCTCTGTCGGCTGTCTCACCTCCATTACGGTCAAGCCGGAAGCGCTCGGACCCGCCCTTCCAGATCCGTAAGAAGGCCCTCCCTGCTCGACCCCAACCTAGTGACGAACTCGAGGCGATCGCGGCGGAGATATCAGGACTGCCGGCGCACTTCTCCTCGACCACCTTTACTCCTGCGATGCAGCCGCTCGCTCCTCCCGCTCCCATGCCTCCAGTCAGGCCTCCTTCACCCACCTTCTCGCAGCCCTTCCGGATCATCGAGCCATCCCTGCCCACTCTCGAAAAGGCAATGTCTATCGCCCTCTTCTTTGAGCAGTACTACCACGCCCTCCTCAAGCCCGCTACTGCCTCCAAGCCCGCCCATCCTGGCAATTATCTCTTGAACCGCGCAAGACGGCTCGCGAATCTCGAAACGGAGTTCGCTCAGCCTGAGAACCGGTTCATGTCGGAGGCGGAGAAGGAGGAGCGGCGGGACGGCATGGTCAGGGAGGAGAATCGGATCCTGCGGGAGAGGAGACGTAGAGTTGGGGCACAGGCGTTCGAGATGGGACGAGTGATTGGACATGGGGCATTCGGAGTGGTGCGCATCGCACGGGAGCGGAAGACCGGCAGATTGGTCGCGATGAAGCAGGTAAGCAATTTCTTATTGCAGATTGAGTTGTACTGACATTCAGCTTCGAAAATCAGAGTAAGCTCGAGGTGTCAGCGTTCCGACGTGACAGCTGACATCTCAGTATGCTTCGCAAATCGCAAGAAGGCCATGTCAAAGCGGAAAAGGATCTCCTCGCTGCCGCCTCGTCTCGGTCTGCTCCCGCGCAAGGCGACAAGCCCAGCTGGATCGTTCAGCTTCACTACGCCTTCCAGGACAAGGACCACCTCTTCCTCGTCCTTGAATTTATGGGCGGCGGGGACCTCCTCAACCTGCTCGTCGAGCGCGACACCTTCCCAGAAGACATGACCCGATTCTACATTGCCGAGATGATTCTCGCCCTCGAAGAAACGCACACTCTAGGGTACATCCATCGCGATATCAAACCCGACAACTTTCTCTTTACGCCGGAGGGACATATTCGGGTGTCCGACTTTGGGCTCGCCACCGACCTCCATTGGGCGCACGACACCAACTACTATGAACATCAGAGGCAGGCGCTGCTCAAGAAGCATGGGATCGACTTGGAGTATCCAGCCCCGGCGGGGACGGCCAAGAAGCGCATGAAGAGGCAGGATGTGGAGAGGATCATGGGGAAAGAGTGGATGGAGGAGGGGAAGGGGGTGTTGACCTGGCGGGATAAGAACAGGAAGAAGCTGGCGTACTCGGTATGCGGGTGAGTCGATTCGTGGGATTTGCGGGGTTGGAGCTGACGATGTAGGACCAACTCGTATATGGGTATGTGCTGAGAGCAGCCATCGCGTCCGGAAGTGAACACAGCTGACATAGCAGCTCCTGAGGTCATTCGAGGACAAGGCTACGGCTTTGGCTGTGACTGGTGGAGTCTGGGCGTGATCAGTGAGTCGCATGCTCTGATGAAGGGTATACAGGCTGACTTGTCAGTGTATGAATCGCTCTACGGCTACCCTCCCTTCGTCAGCTCCTCCCGGCACGTCACCCGGCAGAAGATGTAAGCTTCAGTTCTCAGTATCGGCCCGAACCAGGAAGACATAGCTCATGATACAGCCTGAACTGGCGTACCGCGCTGAAGTTCCCTACGACACCGCGTCTCTCTCCAGATTGTATCGATCTGCTCACTCGACTCCTGTGCGAGCCAGAAGACAGGATCGGCGCTTCGGCTCAGAACGCTCCTTCGGTTTTGACGGTCCGAGGTGCTTCAAGCCTGACTTCCCGGAGCGGGTTTGGGGCGGGTCTAGGCAGCGACGGAGCGGGCGAGATCAAGGGGCACAAATGGTTCGCAGGGCTTGACTGGGACAGTGCGTATCTACCATCTCCATCCAGGCGAGTATGTAGGCTCTAGCTGATCTTCAGACATGCACAAGATGGACCCGCCGTACAACCCCGGCCTGTCGACCGATGACGATACCCGCCACTTCGACACGGACATCCCGGATGAACCGCTAGCAGCTGCCAACGGCGCCGCCGCCGATGCCACTCGGGACCCTCTGCTTGGGCATCGAAAGCTAGGGAAGGACCTCTTGGAGATCAGGAAAGAGTGAGCTTAGTGACGCTCCCCCTTCGGTTTGAACAGAAGCTGATCTATCAGGCTGGCGTTCAAGGGATGGACCTTCAAGGCGCCATATCAGGACAAACGATATGGTCACCTGTCCTTCATCTCCGGCTCGGACGCGTCAGGATCTGATAGAGGCTCGGACGACTCGCCGAGACTAGACAGGCTACATCTGCGGGAGGAGTCCGAGGAGACTGTGCTTGCGGACGATGCGGGAATGGACTGGGATAGGATGGGAACGGTGAGATTGAGGGACCCGGGGACGGTCAAGGGACGGCCGCTATCGGTATGACCCCGCGAAAGGGAGGGGGATCTGTAGGGAGATCTAGAGCGGACAATATACACGGATAGGGGCTTGTAGGCGATCTAATATCTGCTTGACTGTAGTCGTACGAGTAATTACGACTGCTGGACTATGAACCGCGGTTCATGGTTGCTTTATGCCTCCTTACTGCGTCTTGATGGGCCTAAACAGTACTGGCATTACAATCCAAATGATACAAGATGTCCTATCAAGTTTATAGCTACAACGGCCAGCAGTGTCCAGCCGACCCGTCTAGGATGTCTATTATCCATCTATTATCTATAAGGCTTCCGGAGCGGCGCAGTCCCCGGTGACTTGTGTATCAGCCCTTCCAGGATCCCCTAAAGTGATGCTCAACCATTGCCTCCGCACCTACGGTATCAGCTGTGACTCCCGACCTGAATCAAAACCAGTCATAGCGGACTTACTCCATATATCTCCCGCTCCAAAATTGCCCACGCCCGGACTGAAACCCGTCACTGGCAAGACCAGCACATCCCCCACTCTCAATGGCCGCTGCAACCCCCTCAGATCCCGCCATGTTATCCCATACCGCGCGAGCAGATAGCTCAGGACAGCATCCGTAAAGACCGAGGGGCCTGTCCAGTTGATGACGCCTAGTGGACCGCCATTGCGGGGCTCGGTGAGGACGTTGATTTTCCCAAAGTGGGCAAGTTGGGCTTCGAGCTCTGTCCGAAGGTCGGACGGGGGATAGACGGGAAGAGAGGACAGCTGAGTGCGGAGGGAGGTGTAGTTTGAGTAGTGATCCTGAGCAAAGGTGACGGCGGTGGCGGTATTATGCAGGACGCGGAGGACGGCCGATAGTGCAATAGGGTGATATGGCGCCATCGCCATTGTCCACTGGACGATCTGCAACTGATATTGTCAGCTATTTTCGGCTAGCGGGTACACCCACGCAATGACGGAGTTAGCTTACCGGCCTAGGCCACCACTCTGCCCAATCTTCCCGCTCCCCGACGTCCGCCTCAATACCAACGACAACCCTCGCTCTGCCCAACAGGCGATCCATCTCTCGGTCCCGCTCTTCCTCACTTGCACCGCTGAGCAGCTCCATGCGTGCTATATCCGCCTCGCTCATCCACCCTTTCCCGCCTCGCCAGAGGTCGGCGCCTGCGCCCCAGCGAGAAGGCGGCTTGAGGAGGAGGGTGTCGGTATCCGAGTAGATCCCGCCGCGGAGGGCGAGGAGGAGATAGCGGATGAGATCGGCGTTCTGAAATCAGCATAAGCCACGGAAGACGCTGGAGTGGAAGGGAAGCGTACGAGTATACCGCTCGGCAGGTTGGCCCATAACTTCTCTAGTCGGGTCCCGGCTAGGTGTTGCTTTATCCAAGTGGTCGCGGTACTAACAGTCAGCTCTGCCTTGACATTGGTACTCCAAGCAGAGGTCCCGATAGTATCGTGAGCTGGAAGTATGGGACTCACTCATCTAGCATCAACTTCCACTCCCACCCCTCACTCAACGCCGATCCCTCCCTCCAGCTCCGCACATCCGTCCCATCCACCCTCTCCTCATCTTTATCCGTCTGCCAAACAACCCGCCGCTCGTCCACTGCATCCCATCCATGTACCGATCCCACCATCCCGTCCATCTCCTTCTCTGTCTGATACTCCAGCTGAAGCCGAGGGGGGAGGACGACCGAGACGAATTCGTCGATTGCGGCTGTATAGGCAGGGTAGGTTATTGGATGAAGGTTGTATACCGAGTCTGGGTCGACGGGGTCAGCTCCGGAGGCGACGGGTGGGCTGTGTGATGGGAAGGGGGAGAGTCCCGACGTGAAGTCGGAGGAAGAGAGGTTTTGACCCCAGGATACAAGACGCGGAAGGGGCGGTGCAGACGAGAGTGGGAGCCAGGCCCATTCGAGGCCGTCCACCTTGAGAATTGTTTCGCCGGCATACCAATTCCAACCTATACCGCCTAGGCAGAAAAGGAAGACGGTAAAGACGATTTGGCGGAGGGCGAGGCGGAAACGACGCGGTATACGATGTGGAGGAGACGGTGATTGGGGCGGTGAATTGGGCGGCTGCAGCGTTGGGGTGATGAGTCCCGAACCGAGCGCTTGTTTCTCCAGGTCCGGAGTGTCCATCTTGGCCTTGGATACGAATTGATGATGTACGAAAGTGGACGAAGGGGTCGCTCAGCGACTGACTTGTACTGCACGGGGATCAGCTTTCTTTGTTCTATTTTTGTGGACAAAGAGATCTCGTTGCTGCGGACTGACCGGTATCGATAAGCCACAGATTATCAGTCCTTGCGGCTGCGGCTGGAGAGTGTACCAACAGGGGGCAGCGGAGAGACTGAGCCCATCGTGCCCTAAGCGTAAATATGCTTGTGACAGGACAAGAGATACATCACAAATTGCGCAGCTAGAGCTGTCCGTATGAGGAATGTTGATCGATGACGTCAGGGGCGTATCATGCAGTTCTGCAGCTTCAGAGCTGCGAGGTGCGCTGGCAACGTTACGCCATATAATGCACGAGGGAAAGCCGCTGGGACACGATCGGATCTCTTCGAATCCGACGCCGGAATTTGAGCCCGTTGCAGATGGCACGCCTCGAGGGACAGCTGAAAAGTGGAAGGTCGTTGTATCCGCCACCCACTTCTGCACCGCATTCCTCGTGAGCGTCAGAGACCAACCTGCCGGTACTGCCAGTATCGAATGCTTGTCTCAAGCGGTCTGCGCCTGGGCGCCCTTCCTGACAGGCCATACTAACAAAATGAACACGCGTTCGTCGATCCTCGCGTTGTTTGGCGATGCAGTACCTCACGTGAGACCTCCCACCATTCAACATGTCTCACCTGCCCTGTCTCACGCGGGAACCACTGGCCGCTCAGTACTCATCTCCACCCCGAGTCTAGCCTCCACTGCCACACCACCGGTGTTATCGTTTCGTCCCGCTCATACGCAAGTGAGGGTGTCATGAGCGCGTGTTGTTGTGGTAGGTTGTCGGGGGTCCCTCCCCACCCCCACCCCCACTCACACGCACACTCCAGGGACCCCCACTCCCCCTCCGCCTCCACCACCTTCGCCTCCACCTTCAATCAAATATCAGCTTCCTCGTACTCAGCGATCGACCAACAAGTTTATAACAACCGACCACCAATCAGTAACAACCAACATCAGCCACCACACCATGAACCTCCACCAGAAACTGCCAACCTCCACATCACCATGATTAAAAACGCTTCGATCCGAGGCAAACAAAAGACCCTGAGTAAACACGACCGCCGCCACCCAAATAGAGTTAGAGAGGGCGACGAGGGGCGGGGCGGTCGTGGGGGTCATAGACTGGGCCGGCGAGCCATGACCAATATATTTTTACTGGCGGACTTTAGCAGTGAGCAGTCTCTTACTGTCAGTGGGCCGCAGGTGAGTATGGCGCGCAAGTGAGTATAGGCCGGGTCAGGCAAGACAAACAAGCATGCATCTGTCGGTGAGATACAGTCTAGGGTGACAACTAAATATATGGTTGAAGATATGTTGTGAAGTCTTCGAGATTGCTCAGGTCGTTCGAAAAGACGTAGAAAAGGATCTGGTGGAGACGAGTGTCGAGCCGGATCTGATCATCCGAGGAACACCTGAGTGACGGAGAGCCATGCCCAGATGATCGCTCCCGAGATGATTGGCAAAGTGAGATTATCGTCCAGTCCCAGATCTGCCAAGTCAGCTCTGCTCACCCGGTGTACTAATGGACGCTAAGCTCACCCAGTGCCTCTGCGATAGCTCCTCCCACCCCTACCACACCTGCAGTCACAATTACCCCTATTCTACCACTCAGCACCGCCCACTGGTCCGCCGACCCGTTCCACCAGAAACCGGTACAGATGGCTGCACCGGTGATGGTTGCCGCGAGGAAGCCGGCGAGGGATTTGCGAGGAGCGAACCTGATAGCCGGGACGAGGGGGAGGTGTGCGGGGAGAGGAGGGGTGTAGCGTCCCCAGAGACGGCCGATGGTGGAGGCGGTGGTATCTGACCAAGAGAGTCTGAGGGTCAGCTACAGGCCCGGCCAATTCGCTCGGAACGATTCAACTGACGTCAAGACCGAGACAACGGCGACTTCTCGTGGATACAGCGTCAAGACGGTGATGACGCCGACGAGATAGTACACCACCCCGTTGACCTTGTCCCGCTCCGACTCGCGCATGAGGAAACCAAGGTTGGCCTCCCACAGCTCCCGGAAGGCGGGGAAGTTGAAGCGGAGGTAGTCGGCAATGGTGACAGTGACGAGACTGGCGGAGAGAATGATGACGAGGGGCTTGACGGAGGGTGGTTCGAGGAAGTAGAGGAAGAGAGCAAGGAAGCCTGAATGTCAGCTACGTCTTGGGATATGCATGAAGATTAGCTCACCTATACTACTATGCAGGGTTTTGCGGGGTATCTCCCAATCTACCGCCTTTGCCGGTCTGACTCCCGGACTCAACTTCCGCTTGATACTACTACTCCGCCTCGGTCTCGTCAACGGCCGTCCCTCCGTCCCCATCGCCGAGGATGGCGCGGGAGGGGGCGGCCTAAAGTCCTTCTCCGACATGGGCGAGTCCGTCACCGCGATATCCGGATCTTGGTCGTCCGATATAGACGCCAGAGTCGGGCGGCCATTGTAGTAGCTGGAACCGGAGGTGGAGGCAGTTTTGCTATGGGCTGGGGAAGAGGGGGATGATTTGGGCCGAGAGGATGTGTTTCGCTTCCGGACGTCCGAGACGTCCTGCTCGAGAGGATAGGTGGACCCACTCATTGTGCTGATGGGCTCGTTCTCCTTGGATACAGAGCTCAGGCGACGCCTGGAAGAGGAGCTGCTAGAGCCACTGCGAGGACGAGGAGGTCCTGCGCTGGGGGACGGAGTCCGGAGGCTCGAGCTTTGCGCTGGGCGTGGGATGGAGTTTGAAAGTCGCGTCGGATCTCGGAGATGGGACATGGATCTGGGGCGAGATTTGGCTGGTGGGTGCGCGAGAAGAGTGGGGTTGGGCGAGACCGGCAATGAGTCCTTTGGGCTGATTGAGGTATAGGCTGATGTGATTAGCAAAGTGGAGAAGAGATAGTGAGGGTGAGGTGAGTTTTGAGTTTACGACTTGATTGCTCCGTGCCTGACCCGGAAAATAAACAAATCCGGGGTTGTTTGATTATTTCCCGGAACTGCCAGCAGCTGCTTCAGAGGTGGAGGGCGACCAAAGCTTCCCTTGCTCGATCAACTATACTCCAACTCAGTCCATAGCGATAATGGCCGCAACAGCAGCTCTTCCCAGCGCCAGTACCAACGCAGAGGCCGGTCCTTCAGCACCTCCAGCTCCAAGTGCCGCCGCAGCTGCAGCCGTCTTCAAGCGCTTGCACCCCGCGTCATACCTCGCTCGATACCTTGCCGAAGGGTATCGCGCTGATGGGCGCAAGGTGGGGGAATGGCGGGACGTCAGTGTCAACGCTGGTACGTGATCAGCTGGCAGGAGCTCCCGTAGCTCTGGAAGAGCACAGCTGAGACATCAGGCTCAGTCTCGACAGCAGACGGATCAGCGCTGGTGCGAATGGGCGATACGACCATGGTCTGCGGGATCAAGGCTGAGATTGCCGAGCCTAGCTCTGCCGCACCGACTCACGGCTATATAGGTGTGTACCTTGCTTATCGTTTAGAAAAGCCCTACCGTTATGGAATGCAGCTCATCGCTACAGTACCAAATATCGACCTCCCCGCTCTCGCTTCGTCCCGCTTCAAACCTGGACCTCCCGGGGACGAGGCCCAGGTGTACTCGAATTGCCTGAATGATGTGATCGTCTCGTGAGTATCCGGGGACCTCGTTTGAACAGAAAACTTAGACCCACATCTGCGCTCCACAAGCGTGATAGCTTGATCGAACCTGACCTCCTAGCTCACAAGTCCTCAATCCCGCTTCTCTGTGCATATCCGCCGGTCACGCCGTATGGGCACTGTATATCGACGTGGTCTGCATCAACTATGACGGGAATGCGTTCGACGCGGCGGTTCTGGCTGTCATGGCTGCTTTGCGAAATAGTAGGTCACCGTCCAGCTAACCGAAGCTCTGTGTTCTCGAATGTCAAGAGCAGGTAGCTAACGTTATAGCGAGACTGCCCAAAGCTGTTTACGACCCAAATACCAACAAGACCACCTGTGTCCGAGGCGAGACTTACCCTCTGAGCCTTGGTCGTACACTATTAGCTTGTACATTCGGGATATTCCAATCGTAGGTTTTCCGATCTGCCCATTCTATTTGAGCTTTTTCGGTTGTCATGGTCCCTGATCATAAATACTGGAGCACCAAGCTGACATTGACAGCAAAACCCTTCTGCCCGATCCATCCTCCTTCGAGACACCCCTCCTGCCCACAACCATTACCATAGCGCTCGATGAGGAAGGGACAGCATGTTTGGTGCGACAGGAGGGGTTGGGCGGGGTGGTAGGGAAGACGGGCAAGGAGGTATTGGGCGACGCGTGGGGAGCAGCTGAAGACCGGTGCAGGGCACTGAGAGAAGTACTGAAGGAGAGCACATAGCCAGGTATGGAGATGAGCTTCTCTACGTGATCTTCCTTTGGGCGGAGAGGGGCGTGCGGGCTTTCCATGTCGGTCGATCCTGTCTCCTCCTGCTTCTCCTGCATAGCCCCGGGTCCGTCATCCCTCGATAGCGAGCTACAGCATCAAGGAACGCTGGAGCACCCAGCCAAACAATATCCACCTTTGTCAATTTCCTTAATTTATCCTTACCTTTCGCTGCTGCTCAGATTTCAGATTAGATCTCACCTTGCTCTGCTTCACCTTAGCTGCTTCCTTGAAGATTTGTACTGCAATACCTAGCGCGACGACACTCAACAGCAGCCAAGCCACTGCACAGATGGCCAGCGCAATGACACTCGAAACTCCCAGAGCGGACCTGATGGCCTCGCTCGAGAAGCACAATGCGAGCTTCACTACCCTGCTCAGCTTGATTCCCGCCCAGTACTACATTCAGCCCACACAGGAAGAGGTCAGCTAGGCTACCTTCTCCCATCTGAGGAACACAACTGACATTGTAGGCGGACTCAAAGTGGATGAAGAATAAGAAGCGGAAAACTGGAGAGGAGCTCAAAGAGCACAAACGTATCACCAAGGCGTCCAAGGTGAGTTGGAACTGCCCTGACGAGGCTAGACTTCACAGCTGACATTGCAGCTCGACCCCGAGAATAACAAGACTACGGTCGACATCCTCTTTCCTTCCGGTCCCTCGACATCCGCCGCGCCCGCCTCAGAGCCCACCCCGGACGGCCCACACCCAGGATTCGCCCGCCCCCTGCCTCCACCCGCGAGCATTTCCACCCTCCGCACCAAGCTTGCCAACAAGCTCGCTGCGTTCCGCTCACACCGTGCCCCATATCCCGGAGAGGATCAGGCCATGTCTGCCACAGGGAGCAATGGGGCCGCGTTGGGCGTCAAGGGGGGTGCGAAGGCGGATGCGGGCGAGGCCGGGCCAAGTAGCCGGGATGCGCTCGAGGAGGAGAGCCGGAGACGAAGGGGTGAGATGAGAGATAACAGGCGGAGAGATAGGAAGGAGACGCGGAGGAAAGAAGAGAGCGGGCAGAAGAAGGGAGAGGCCAAGGGGAAGGGGAAGGCGGTACCCAAGGAAGAGCGGAGTGTGCCTACTGCCAAGGTGAATTGATCGTTATGGGTGTATGCTCCTGTACCTGACAGACAGACGCAACTGCTTGTGCCCGACCGCCCATCCGACTCCCTCTCCTACCCCGCCCTCGCCCTTCCTTCCGGATCCAAACCCACCGCCGACCGCCCGTCCACTACCTTCAAACCCCTCTCGAACCCCGCTCAAGCGCTCGCGCAGCTCCAAAAGCACAACCGCCACATGGAAGGGATGGACGATGGGAAGCGCGCGGAGGCGGTGGAGAGCGAGCGATGGGCCAAGGCGCTTCATCGCGCCGAGGGGGGTAAAGTGGCGGATGATGAAAAGGTGCTCAAGAAGGCGGTAAAGAGGTTGGAGAAGACCAAGGGGAAGTCTGGGAAGGAATGGTATGTCTGTTTTCTTACTGACTTTGGGGTCTGAGCTGATCGGACAGGGCGGAACGTAAGCGTGAAATCACCAATACTCAGAGTATAGCCATCAAGAAGCGGAACGACAATATCGCGTCCAAGCTGCAAGCGAGGAAGGACAAGAAGATGGGCGTCAAGAAGAAGGATGCGCCAAAGGGTGGCAAGAAGGGTACGGGGGGATACAAGGGGAAGAACAGGGACGATAATCGGGATGCGGGACCGAGTGCTAGTGCAGGAAAGGGAGGGAAGGGAGGGAAGGGACGACCGGGGTTCGAGGGGAAGGGGAAGGGGAAGAAGTAGGTTGTGGGTGGAGGGGGATGTGTTGTCTGATGGGCATCTATCTGTATCTGACTCGTGTATCTGGTGCTGGCGGAGAAGCGCAACCACATCTCAGAGCACGACTCGGAGGAGACTGACAACAAGACAAAGCTACTGACTACTACTGCTCTAGTATCAGAAGACTAGGTGATCCTTCGCCGTACCTCAATCTTCAAGCATCGCCCGCTTCCTCCGTCGTCGGCCAGTATTTCCACAAGGCCAAACTGGCCGCTGCTGCTGCTCCCAGTCCGAGACCGGCCATCCAGGGAGGCAAGGATGTGAAGGTACTTGCTATCGATGGGCCAGGATCGTTCCTGCCCATCTGTGAATCGTCGGAACCGCCTGATTCTCCTCGTTCCTCAAAGTCAGCCTCAGATTCCTCTTGAAGGATGCCCGTTTGGAGAGGGTCTCCATTCCGCGGGTCTGCGTGCGATCGAGGGGAGCCTGTAAAGACAGATCCCTCAGTCCGCTGTGTTGTAGTGTGCTCCGCTGGCCTCTTTGCTCCGCCCTGCTCTTCATGCTGATCAGCCATTCGAGGCGCTGGATTGGGATCCTGCTCTGTCTCGCCGGTTTCCTGCGCGAAGTCCGCGTTCAGCTCCTGCAACATCTCTCCTGTGGTCTCCAAACACTGCTCGGTCGACCGGCAAGCTGCACACCCTTCAGGCGCCCAACCGGCCTCATTGACCTGAGCTAGCATGTCCCCCAGGCGATCGGCAGGGCTTTGTCTCTCGTCCCTGCGAGCCGACTCAGTCAGTTGAGCGCTGGCCCACATGTCTTTGCCGATTAGTTCAGTGAGATGGTACGCAGCGCACGTCCGTTTCGCCATCGAAGCAGTACCGAAAGAGGAGAGCCAGTCTCTCATTTGCGCACTGGCGTCTTTGCGGTACCGCGTTTCGATGAGCCAGGCTAGATCGAATTCGTTCTTGGTTGCCAGCGCCATGAGGTGGGGGTCTTCGGCCGGAACGGGGTCGAAACATGAGTCGCTGCGGCCAGTAGCCAGCTCGGCGACGTCGGGCTCGGACGGAGAGTGCCGGAAGTGCGAGGGAACCGTGGCACCGCGATCGATAGAGCTGGTCTTCGTCCTGAGTGTTCGACCAGATGGTAACGAAGGACAACATACCGGCTCATCTGTCGCTCGGCTGGGAGGTGGCTGGCCCCCCTTGATCCTCCTCAGCACATCTGCTGTCCGATGGAGGCTCGCCTTCAGGGCCTCAACCCATACCAAGTCATCGGCGACTGATGTGACTCCCCACGGTACGGGCTTGTCTGCAGTGAGGGTTCCCTCTCTGTTGTCGACTTCACCGATTTCATCGGCACTCGCGTCACCTCCACTGTCACAGTCATCCCGCGAGCTTTCCTGCCTGACGCGGTGCTCCACAAAGCCTGTTTCCCCAGCGGCTCCCTCGCTCCCGACATAGCCAGTGGGATATTCTGCTTTGATGTCCTCTCTCCCGACGTCTTTCTCGCCGATCACGTCTTCACCGGACTCAGCTACGTCTGTCACCCGGATAATCGGATCATCGCCTGTCCGCATCCGATTGTACTCCGTCATGATCTGCTCCAGCATTGGTGCGCCATGCTTCTTCAAGATGGATGTGGCGAGACTCTGCATCATCATCGACATGAGTAGTTCCAAGCGGCGCTCTTCCTGGGGGTGCATCACTGGAGGTTCCTTGTCGCGATATAAGTCAATCTTGCTTCCCCAGCTTTCAAGGATAGCTTCGATTCCCGAGTGGCGCGTGCTCAGTTCACTGGTGAGCTCTTTACGGTTCTTGCGAAAGAGCTCGGCGAGCTCGGGGCATTCAGTAGGTGGTGCGAATTTGCCGAATATTGAACCGGGGTTGATTTTTGGCTCGCCGGGGATAGTGGATTCTCCGGTATTGAGATCGATCGGTGCTGAAGGGGAGTAGAAGCCAGAGTGAACTTGCTCATTCGGGCAACCCGTCGTTGGTATGTACGTTTCGAGATGCATCATGTCGGACGGTGTTGAAGGTGGCAGGGCTAGCTCTGTTCCAGAGAGGGAGCGAGCTTGGAGGTTGTTAAGCGAGCTCGTTTGTGCGCGGATGGCGGGCTGAGCGATGGGTGAGTATGTTATGAGGTGATTGTGCATAGGATGAGGTGGTGACTGTAAGAGAGGATATGAGCGGGAAGAGGTATGACGGGAGCCTATGTCTGGATCCTACCCCTGCTCAAGGGCCTCTCGCCGGCTAATCCCTTCATCCTCGACCCTTGCTACCTCTCGCATGCCCGCCACGTTTAGAGGTCATCGCTCCTTTCGCTCACCTGGTCTCAAACGCGCGCCAGATAGCGTCACAGGTGACTTGGAGTCAGCATGTAAGGATCTACACGGAGATCTGTAACGTCAACGCGAAGGATCAGTAGGGGTACAGTCTCCGAAGTTGGGACTTGGACGCGCAGCGCAAAGGGATCATGTGTCTGTGGACTTGGCAACTGCCCGACGCAGACAGAGAGCGGGCGGCCATCGTGAGCTCTAGATGTCAGACCGCGGTCAGTACCACCCTTGTCACCGTCTCAGTCCATATGCTGTGAGGGGACTGAGAAGAATGTGCACGTCGAGAGACTCGCATAGGCCAAGGCTTCTTGACACAAGCTTGCAGCTTGACGCTGTGTTAATGACGTCATCAGCATCGCGTCAAAGCTAGCAAAGTCAACAGCGCTGGTTCAAAATCTCATCCGAGGAAACCGCTCTCATCACTTGCCCGTCCCCACGCAAACCATCACTCAGTCAGAGCTCGGCACAATGTCAGACGGTAGCGAGAATGAGCTTATCAATCTGGACGAGGACAACATGGAGGACGATGACGACTATGAGCGGCAGCGACAGGAGAACATGAGGTGAGCCACCTTCTTGATGCGCGCACATCTAGGCTGACGCTATGTAGGAACAATGCCGCTCTGCTCGACTCGCTCGGTCTTCAAGGCGCGAAGCCCCCGCGTCCACGTAACAGCGATAAGAAGCCTCAGTTGTCAGCGGAGGACCGACGTGCTCGCAAAGATGCGCAGATCCGTTCGGCTGCGTTGAAGGAGAATATTCAGCCTACGAGGCGGTCCGGACGAGTCGCTGCCATCCAACAGAGACCAGTACCTGTCAAGTGAGTAACGATGATCAGACGCGACTGCAGACCGCAGCTAGGAAAGTCTGCGGCTGACGTGACAGGGACGACGGGTCCGATCCGGACTATACCCCACCCCCACCCCAATTCCGCTACTCCACCATACCAAAGCAGCGGGCGCTCGCTGTACCTTCCGGACCAGAGTACGAGACGTCAGAGTCCCTGGAGCCGCAGCCGCGTCCTAAACGAGGGGAGGATGGGGTGCTGATATTCGAGGGGAGGTGGAAGGGTGTCTTTACGCCGAATCTGACGCCGGAGGAGATGTTCCGGCAGGGAGCGTTCGGAGGCGCATTCTTCTGGTAAGTCTGACGACTAAGCTCTCGGCTGATGATAGCGATACCTACTCAAAGGTCCTGAAGACACCTCTCTCCGCCGCTAACGATATCGCCTCACTCCCCTTCACCCTTCCCGATTCCCTCACCAGCACCCACCTGTCCCGCTCCGACCCCGAAGCGAGCGTCAATCGCTTCGGACTCAGAGCCGGCCAATCCCTGCAAGAATGGGAAAAGGCTGGATGGATCTGGGCTGGCGATCCACGAGGATGGGCACAGTGGTATACCCGTTTCTGGGCCGGCAGGCGGACAGAGGACGATGAGCGGCAGGTCCGGCGGTGGTTGAAGGTAGCGGGTCCGACCGGGAGGTTCAAGAATCAGTTGATCAAGAAGATTGCGGGAGCGGGCGGGAGGGAGGCAATACATGATGAGGTATTGGGTGCGGTGGTCAGGCAGTGTCTTTGGCAGTGGGGTTATGAGCTGAACGAGATTGAGTGGGACAAGGTGATGGGCGCGTAGCTAGAGTTGTAGACACGGTTGTATATATCTATCGACTATTGGTACAGTATAACAACAAGCACAAGGCACACTCCAAAATATCTCCTCATCTCATTCCTTGTCCGTACACCATACCCCCGTTCATCGCCATCCCTCCCTGCCAGCTGCCACCCCCTTGGAACGCGCCCCGCCCAGGACTAGAGCCTTGCTGCCCACCGTAGCTCATCCCCATGCCGCCTGGGGATGTGCCCATCCCGCCATACTGCTGTTGCTGCTGGGGCACAGGGAGGAACGACTGCTGCTGGTACGTCTGTTGCTGCATTTGCGCGGGGAACGCCGATTGTTGAGAGATGTAGGAAGAGCCGAAGGGGTTGGTAGACTGTAGTGGGTACTGCGAGTATGCGGGGTATTGTTGAGGAGCTGAAAAGGCTTGTTGTGGGTATTGCTGATATTGCGGTTGCTGAAACGGTGACGAAGAACCAGCGAATGTTGGTTGGTTTCCCCAGCTCTGCCCGCCTGTCCCCATCTGTCCTCCTTGACCCATCTGCCCCGCCCCTCCATACCCCGTCATCTGCAGGGGCATCGTCGCGCTCGTTCCCTCGCTCATATCGATGAGGCTCCCCGTCCCGCTTGTGCCCGTTGGCTGCGGTGTATTGCCCCTGCTCGGTACCGGTCGCTGTCGGGGAGGCTGGCTGGGACCCGCGTTCTGGGCAGGCACAGCCATCGGCGCTGGTTGGGGCAGCCGAGGAAGATCCTTCTCTTTGCCGATGAGCACATCGCTGAGCTCCGGATTGCGCGGATTCGGATCCTTCCACGACGTGGACCGGACCATCCCGCTCCGCACCCCAGCACCCGCTCCGGCTGCCCCTGCCGCCCTCGCCCGGTTCATACTCGTCGGCGCCGCCAGCCCCGCAGTATTCACGCCCGCCTTGAACGCCCCTTGCTCATATTTCCGCCGAATGAACTTTTCGAGCTCGCCGTCCCGGTCGTCTGAGCCGGATTGGGAGGTAGGAGGGGGATTACGCCGTTCGTCGGGATTCCAGATGAGGTTGGAGGCGGTATTGCCCATTTGACGCATACCCGTGAGTTGTTCGCGGGTCCAGGTGTCGAGAGTGACAGATTTTCTGGGGGTCAGCGGAGTCTGCCAGGCGTTAGGAAGTATTGGCTCACACTCTGGACTTGTGCGTGCCGAGTTTACGGTGGACCGATGCGCATGGAACGCAGAGGAAGATCCCGAGGTTGACGGAGGCCCATCTTGGTGCGTTGGCTCGACAGTCTGCACAGCGGTCTGAGAGTCAGCTTGAACTCTTATGAGGGGCGTGAGGGTGCCTCACCATTTCCGGGCATCTTCAGGATATCCTCCAGCATCCGCTCGGACCGCTTATCCATTTTGAGTGAGAGAGGGTGGGGTAGGTCAGGCTATATTTCGGCACGGGCGCCGTACAATAACACTCAGAGTCTGTAACGTTGTCCACCTTGCGCCTAGACGACCGTGTAAGCTGAGTATGATGTCGATTGTGAGATGAGGATGCAAGTCAAGGTGAAGCGCGATCATGGTTCAAAACACGTCCTTTTGGATTTCGCGCTAGTGCCTTTCCCCTTACGTTTCAGATTTGAGTGTGGCACTTCGCTCCACGGACACAGGCAGGGCAGGTGCAGCAGCGCCTGGCACTGACTCCCTGACTTATCACCGTCATGGAGGACATCCCGTCTACAAGATCGGGGGTGTATAAGCAAGAAGCAGGTCAAATTTGTCCTGCTAGCCCTGCTCAACTGGAGCGAATTCATCTTGTAGCTTGAGCTGTGCCATCAGGACCGTCTCTGCAGACCTCAAAAACTCAGGTCCCTGACATCTCGAGCGCGAGACCCGCCCAGGAGAAAGAGACAGGCAGAAGACTCTCAAAGTCCCAGATGTATGCATCTCCCGTTGCCCTTCGCGCTTTTTTAGCTGGGTTCCTCCCTCCACCTCCGCCCCCTCACCCACTGCATACTGCCCTACCCCCCTGTCCTATCCTCTTGACCCCCGCTTATTAATGTCCCATTGTGTTGCCTAGCCAAAGCAATCAGATCTTGCCATTGAGCAGGTTTAAGATCATCTCGCGACCCGTGATCCGGATGGTGTGGTAGAGCGTGATAAAGTCGAGCGTGGAGAAGAACGTGTCGGCGAATCCGAATGGGAGCATGAGGGGGATCCAGCCTGCCGAGTCAGCTCTAGCCCTTCCCTCCGCACATCGCGTCTAGTAGAAGAGGGAGCTCACCTCGTGCGTACTCCAAAGCCCATGACTCGGGCTCCATCACGTACTGCTTCACCACGCCGCGGACGAGGTGGTGGCAGTCTCCCGGGAGGTAGACCTCGCGCGTGAGGGCGCCAGCCTCATATGCCGTCTGCTGGCCAGTAAGGATGTGAAAGTAGTCGTCTGCGGTGTGACGGCCGGTGTGGCCCTCGATACCGACCGCCGAGCCGAAGATGAGGAGATACCTGCTGGTCAGTGCTCGCCTCTTCCGGCACCCCAATGAACACCCGCATAATACAGCCTGGAGAGAGAGACTCACTCGGTGATACTAGCGTGCACGACATACATGCTCCCCATGGCTCCGCCCGCATTGTTGAACAACCATTCATTCTTGTTTGTAAAGTCCGTGTTGAGGCGCACGCCCGGGTTCTCGCGCTTGAGCGTGTTGAGCAGCGTCTCGACCACGGCGGTTGCGTTGGGGTTGGAGGCAGAGTGAATGTTGGCCGACTCGAGGTCGGCGAGGGTGCGGAGGACGGCGGAGTGGAGTGAGGGGGGAGTGAGGAGGTAGAATTTGTCCTGGAGATATCAGCTCTTGGTCGTTTCTACGCTCAAGGTGGTCTGCACCTGAGTACGGGGGGAGATGTTGCAGCGCTTGACGAGCTGGCCCCAGGTAGGATTTACTCACGTTGATTGAGTTGGCCAAGGTGTACAGAACGCCCAGAACCACCACCACAATCGCCCTGATCCCCCATTTCCGCCCGATAGAAGCTGGGGGAGGCGCCTGGCGCTTGCTTGCTGTCATGGACGCCATTCAATATAAGCTGCTCCGGGAGTCAAAGCTGGAAGGAGGTGAGATCAAAGTTGATATAAGAAGGATGAGACGATATAGATTAGCAAGGAAGGTGGTGGTCCGAGCTCCCTAGTCGCGGTCGCGCGTCGCCCCTGAATCCAAAAATCACTCTCGTCACACCTTAACTTGGCGCATGGCCCGGTCCCGGCCTTGGCCAATCATGCCTTGAGCGACGAGCCTGCTCCTGACTACACGCACTGCTGAACAGTCTGCAGAGTAGGTCTTCTCGCACATGCATACGGGTATAGATTTACAAAGCCATATCACCTCTCCCTCTTTTCACACCCACCAAATTACGCCTTTATTTTGTTTACGAGGTCACTAACAAGTCAGCTGTATTCGGTACTCCCGACAGACCCAAACTTACTGTAGGTGGAAGGGTCGACAGTCTCGGGCAAGGTCGGGATAGCGACCGTGAACCTGTCCTGGATCTTCTGGAGCACCTCCTTGTCGGCGTCGCTAGACACAAACGAGATGGCGAGACCTTTTGTACCGAAACGGCCTGCACGACCCACTCGGTGGAGATACGAGTCGGCGTCTCCGGGTGCGTCCTATATTGTCAGCTTCGAGATTGCAGCCGGTCATACAACTGTCGCTAGCTTACGTAGTTGATGACCACGTTGACACGCTCAACATCGATACCACGGCCGAAAATGTCGGTGGCGACCAAGATACGCTTCTCGAACGCCTTGAACTGCTGGAACCGGGAGATACTACAAAGTCAGCGACCGGACCTGGTATCGAGATAGAGACTTACCGTTCCGGCTGAGGAAGAGCAGAGTGAATGCAGATAGACGGGAAGTTGCACTCCTGGAGGAGAGCGTCGAGCTGGGTCGCCCGAGCGACCGACTTGACAAAGATGCAGACCTGCAGGTCAGCTTAGATCGGACGGAACCATATACTTTAACTGACCTGGTTGAACTCGAGATTGTCGAGGAGGTCGTTGAGCTTCCTGTTCTTCTCCTTCTCTTCGAGCTGGAGGAAGTACTGCTGGAGACCGTGGAGGGTGAGCTTGGTCTCGTCGTCGACGTAGATCTCGAGGGGCTGCACGTCAGCATGGACCTCAAGCGAGAAGAAAGGACATACACTCTGCATGAACTTTTTGCAAGTCGTGCGGATCTCCTTGGAGAGGGTAGCCGAGAACATCATGACCTGCTTGTGGTGGGGAGTGGCGCGGAAGATTTCCTGGACGTCGCGGCGCATGTCTGTTGGCGTGGATAGGGTTGAAGAGAAAGAAACGAGGTAAGCTAATGTCCACTTCGGATGATGATCGCCAAAACAGAAGCCAAAGGCGAGAGTGACGAAGGGACGGCGCGGCGGAGAGGGCGTGAAGGAGCATCTTGAAGTGTAGCCGGGTCCGAATGCCGCCCTAGGCCAGCGAAGATGATTTCCCATCTATCCCATCCTCCCCCTGCGCGCCTTTTCCATTCCCGCTGTCCGCCGCCGATCGATCCACGCAGCGTGAAGCGACCGAAACGCTCCACGCCGGTGGATATGCCGCGATGTCGCTTGCAAATAAATCGAGAGAAGAAAATGGTTTCCGCCCGAGGTTTAGGTGAAGGTGTCCAAACTAACCAAGCTGTTCCAGCATCTTGTCGCACTCGTCCAACACAAAGTGCTTAACCTTGTCCGCCTTGAGCTTCTTGTCGCGGACGAGGGCCATCATGCGGCCGGGGGTACCGACGACAATGTGCGGGCACTTGTCCTTGGCCGCGAGCTTTTCGGCGTCGGCCGAGACGGGGGTTCCACCGTAGAATACGTCGGTCCGGACATTGGTCATAAACTTGGAGAAACGGGCGAATTCGTTTCGGATCTGGTAGGCGAGTTCTCGAGTGTGGCAAAGAATGACAATTCCGACTTCGCCGTCGACGGGTTCGCTGAAGGTCAGCCTAGTCCAGGCGGGAGGGGAGTGACTCACATTTGCTGAAGGCAGGCAAGGACAAAGACGGCGGTCTTACCCATACCAGACTTGGCCTGACAGAGGACGTCGGTACCGAGAATAGCCTGAGGGATACATTCCTGCTGGACTGAGGGGTCAGCCATGTCGTTGCGATGAATATCAAGACTTACCCTCAGACGGGTGCTCGAAACCAAGGTCAGAGATAGCTCGGAGGAGCTCGGGCTTGAGCAAAAAGTCCCTGCTTGTCAGCTAGGCCGTAAGTGTCCTACGATGGTGCTAGCTGACCTGAACCCGGTCGAGTGAATTCCAACATAAGATCCCTTCTTGTCACCCTCTCCCTTGACACCGTTGGTCGCTACGGAGGGCGCAAAGGTCTCCTCTGCGGCCTCGTCGTAGTCTACGAGTTCTTCCTCGTCGGGGCGGGACATTGTAGGTATGTGTTTAGGCTGCTATTGGAAGGATGGGAATGAGAGGAATTCGCCAATGACAAAGGAAGAAGCGCGTAAGCCCGGTGTCCATTTTCTTTGATCGCAAATGTGCGGCGAATTGTACGCACTGGGTGAGGTAGGGTGCGGTTTAGTAGCTCTTAATTGAGCTATAGGGTATGTATAGAGGTATAGAATATGATAGATCAACACAAAGAAAGGCAATGCAAAGGGTGTGGGCGTGCCTTGGAGCGGCGATATGGTTTGAGTGAGAAGCGGCGATATCCGATTGTGGCACTTGCCCCAAGCGGGTGATGACGTAACACCTTCGGAGCTATATCCACCTTTGTTGCGAAGGGCGTTTGATTGACAGCAGCGCACTGACGCGATTCTCCCCCGCCCGCACCCGCAGCTTCCCTTATTCCCGCCTCCACTCAGCAAGATCTACACACCCAAGACCGCGAAAGGTCTAGAACGCGTAGACGACGCGTTTCAGATAATAGCATCAGCTGCTCTCCAAAGGAAGGCAGACAGACGGGTTGATTGCCGATTGAGCTCAGACCCCAGAAACAGGGTGAGACAGACAGAACCACTCTATCCCTCCCCTGCTAAGCCAATACCTCGTTATCTAATCTAAGGATATCAGACAGGAATGCTAGGTCAGCAGCTGACATGGACAGAGTTCGCCTTGGTAGGACCTAGTCAGTAGTGATGGAGGATACGACTGCCTGAAACGTGAGCCACCCGCCACCACCCTCGCTCATGTCAGGTACCATGTCCACTTCCCAGTCACATCCTTCCCCTGCCACCCAGCAATCGCCTCACCCTCAACAACAGGGCATCTACCAATATGGCAACCCGATGCTCTACCCCACCCAGCAGGGGCAGCAGTATAACCAAGGCGGACCCGGCCCGAGCACGATGCAGCAAATGCAGCAGCAGATGATGCAGGCCAACCCTGCTTTCCAGCAGCAGGGTTTGGGACCTCATCAGATGGCGGCTTTGCAGAGCATCCAAAGGGGACCGTCGCAGCAGCAGCAGCTCCAGATGTTGCAGCAGGCGGCTAGCGGACCACAGGGAGCGCAAGCACAGGCCTTTCTCAACGCCATGCGGAACCAGCACTTTCAAGTACGACCAGGACCGCCACCTCAATCGAATGGACCTCTGCAGCCGACGAGGATGCAGCAATTCCAGCAACAGCCGGACGTCGCAAGGGTGCAGATGCAGCAGGCGATACCCAGGCAAGGATCGCCAGTCAACCCTCCGTCGGCCTCCCCAAGACAACCCTCATACGGCAGTCAAAACAACATGCCCCCTCCTCCCCTTCCCACCACGACGCCTACCCAGCCAGGACACGCTCGGTTCACCCCCTCCCCCACCCAGCTCCAGCATATCGCTTTGGCTCAGCAAAAGATCATCGCCGACCCAGGGTTCCAGAGCATGCCCTCGGCGCAGCAGCAGATCCAGCTCAACATGGTCAATCATCGCATGATGTCCATGTTTGCTCAGCAGACTGCCGCGCCGAGTCCGAGCCACCTTCAGCAATCCCTACCTAATGGTCAGCCTCCTTTCTCGTCTCTGCCATCGCATATGGCTCCGCGTCCAACCTCGGCGGCAAGTCAGCGGGCTCCATCGCCCAGGCAAAGCACTCCGGGTCCGGCTCGGCCGCAATCGCCAGCGGTCCATACCTCCACTCCGCCGCCAAATCAGCAGTACCCCATCACTGCTAGTCCAGCGGGATCGCATCAGTCGATCCATCATACCCCTAATCACCAGCCCGCGGCGTCCCCTCAGCAACCTCCCCCTTCATCCCAATCTGGCAATCAGGCTGGCCAAAACCATAATCCGGCACCGCCTGGGTCGGTCCCTCCCCCCTTCGACATGTCCGGCTTTCCGTTCGACCCTCGTATTCTCGGCCAGATCGGCAATCTGCAAGATCCCGCTTGGCGACAAGGCATGCAGCTGAGGAATCCGGCCGCGCTGCAGACCGTCATGAACGCGAGTATGATGATACAGCAGGGAAAGATAGCGCCGGAAACGCTGTCTAGAATGCACAAAGTGCTTGCTTGGATGAAGGCGGAGGCTGAGAGGGTGCGAATGGCGGCGCAGGGTCCGGGGACGAGCGGGGCGGCATCCCAAGCGCCCGCCCCGAGCGGTCCTCGGTCGTCTATGGATGGCAACGCACCACCTTCCGCCGGGCCTATGCCGCCTCCAGCCTGGATCCCAGGCTCGGCCGCCACGGCCACCACTGCTCTTCCCGTCCAAGCGCCGCCGGCCGCTCAACCTACCGCTCGCAAAGTCTCGGTACCGCTCAGTATCCCGGTCAAGAGCTGGGAAGCTGCTCTCCGACCCTCACTCCCCTTCACGCAAATCACCCCTCTCCCATCCGACCCCGTCGCTCCCCTCGCGCCCGCCCCTCCCTCCTTCGACCCTACCTTCTCTGGCGCCCTCCCAACCCTCACGCCCACCGAAGTCACCGACGTCCGCCGGTGGATCGATACCGACCTTGCCTATCTCGGCAACTTTGAAGCGCGAAAGAAGCAGGTTCAGGGCAAGATGATGAATTGGGCCAAGGAGAGCGATATGGGGACGCCATGGTGGATGGTCCGCAAGGGCGAGAGCCAGAGTACCACTGGACCCGGGATCAAGGTGATCTGGCCGGATGAAAAGGCTCGTGAGCGATCCAGGGGGATGGCGCGGGCGTCGGGCAGAAGTAGGCGGGAAATCAGATTGTGAGTTCTGGAAAAGACAGAGCTGATGGTAGTACCCCGAAACAGCTCAAGGCAATGGCGAATGTCGAAGATCATGTTATTCCCATCCGCCTTGATATGGAGGAGGGGCAGTACAAGCTCAAGGATACATTCATGTGGAATTGTTCAGGTGGGTTGTAAGCAGGAGAGAGCTAATGGCAGATACTGTTGTTCTGCCAGACCTATTCGCCCAGTCCCTTTGCGACGACTTCAACCTTCCTCCGGCAGTCTTTATCCCCAAAATTGTCGCGACCATCAACGAAAAGATCCGCGAGTACAAGGATCAGGTTATGCCGCTGGAACCGCGCCTGCCATCGTCGCCTATCGGTGGCAAGTTGGAAGAATCGGGAGAAGAGTGGGATGCCTGGCGGAGGTTACGGGAAGATGCGATGCGGGATGATGACGATAGCGGGGAAGAAGAAGAGGTGCGGACGGACGAGGGAGGAAAGGTCGATCATGGCGTCATCATTGTGAATGGAGACGAGGATGAGGATATCAAGCCAGAGATGGAGGATGGGAAGATGGAGCAGAGGGTGGATCTGCCAGTGACGGTGGATGAGGCGATGCAAAAGTGGGCGATTAGGGACGAGGCGATGGGAGAGGATATGCGGATCTTGATCAAGGTGAGTTGACGGTTGAGCGGAGCTGATCCCAGGTCGACATTATTATTGGAACGCAAAATCTTTCGGATACGTTCGAGTGGGATCTATGCTCGCCTGTAACACCGGAAGACTTTGCCATTATGTATACGCAGGAGCTCGGTCTGAACGGGGAATTCGCGTAAGTTTCTTCTGATAAAGATGGACCTGGCTGACTCCTAGAACCGCACTTGCACACGACATCCACGAGCAGATCCTCGTACACAAGCGCTGTCTCTTCCTCGTCGGCCACACGATCGGTTCGGGCCACGTGCAAGATGACGAAGTCCGCTCGTCCTTCCTCCCTGCCCTATCCAACGTGCTTCGCAGGGAAGATATCGCCATGTCGACCTATACCCCCATCTTTACCACCCATACCGAAGAGGACGTTGCCATGATCGAGCGGGAACGCGAAAAGGATTCCAAGCGCAAGAAGCGAGCCACGCGGGCTCGGCGCGGGATCATTCTTCCGGATCGGGAACCGGTCAAGACGCATCGGACACTGCTCAACCCGCTCGCGGCGAACGGACTCGCAGCGCCCAAGTTTGAGGACATGACGCCGACTCTTCAGCCGGCACATACGTCCCGCCGAGCTGCGGCTATTGCTGCGCAGGCGAATATCAACCTCCTCGCGCAGGACTTGCCTATCCCCGACAAGCCACCACAGTCGCCCTTGCCCCCTTTCGCTAGCAAGCGAGGCGGGAAGGGCTGGAAGATCGGTCGAGGTCTCTCCCGCGCGAGTCCAGCGGGAGGGAGGGAGGGATCGCTTCTTCCTGGTCCGGAGAGCCATGCGGGTACGCCTACAGCCGCGTCGGCGGCGGCACTCCCTCCGCACCACCCGTTGTCCGGCCTCAAGCGGGCGTATCGGGATGAGGAGGAGGAGTCGCCCGGTGCACGCAAGCGTACCCAAGCTCGATCTCCCGAGGGCGCGGAGGACGTCAAGCCAGTACTCGCCCCCGTGGCTATCCCTTCCAGGCTCAACGGCAGCCGGAGTCGGAGCACTACGAGCCGGAGTCGGACCCCCGAAAAGCCGCGGGAACCCACGCCCAAAGTCCTCCTCCAGCGTAAACGCGTGCTGGATGATGACGACTCGGACTCGGACTCGTCCGACTCGTCCGACGACTTTGACGAGCGTGGGCGGAGTAAGAGCAAGGCGTCCAAGAAGGGTCGGACGTCCTCGGTGCATACCGCTCGACGACCCTCTGCCGCCTCGTCCAAATCCCCGACCAAGGCGCCTACCCCCGCGCCTGTAGCAGCTGCGGGCCCACCCGCGCCTACCCCGCCAGAATGGTGCGAGGCCGCAGAGGCCGACACGAAGAGCCGGTACCCCCGAGACCACTTTTTCGTTGTTCCCAAGGGCAAGACGGAGCCTGGTCAGCCGGTCGAGTGGAGGTTGAGGTGTCTGGATTGGTACGTTTGTCTCTGTTGCTGAGGATCTAGCTGATAAGTCAGTCCTGGGAAGATATATAACATGGGACCAGGCGAATCCTTCACTGGCTACGAGGTGCATCTGCGTAATCGGGTCCATATAGCGAACAGGGAGAAGAGGGAGGCGGGCGAGTAGTTGGGATTGTAGGCATCTGTTTTGGGCTCATCGGTAATATTTGTAGGCGTGCCGTGTCGTGCCTTATGCACTGCTATATCGTGCTTCGGAGTGACAGTCCAGTTCAGGAAGAGGGGATGACGTCGGGGAACTCCGCCTCCACCAAAGCGGTCCGAGGTTCTCAAGCTCCGAAGCACCGCCATCCTTCCAGCTTTTGCCATCACCATCATTCTCCTCCACTGTGATAATGTCAAGCTATAGCTCTCACGGCGCGGCTCAAGCCGGTCCCTCCCGTACCCCCGCCCACGCCCACCTATCCCCCTCGTTCAACCCCACCCCCCTCTCTCCCCACGCGCCCCGCTCCATCCCCAACTCGCCTATCCTCGTCCAGCCCCTTCCATCCACTTCGGCGCTACACGAAGAATCCCTCCGCTCCTCCGAGGCAGAGTATCACCGCCAGATCGCCCAAGCCAAGCGGGAACGCGAGCTTGCCGAAGCGCTCCAAGAGCAACAATGGGAGGTCGAGCGCGCTGCCGTCCGGGACTCGCAAGGCTCCTGGGGCCCTTCCAAGCGCCGAGCGGCCAACACATCTTCGGGGTCCAGCGGCGGTTCGACGGCAGGCTTTGTACGTCCTCCACAGGCGTATGAGCTGTATCAAGCGATCGACCGGAAAGATATCGAATTTATAATGCGGGTACGGGATCATGCGTTCCACCTGCTGCTGCAGAAGAATGCGGGACAGTTTCCGATCCTGTATGCGGCGAGGATAGGGCCGGGACATCGAGATATTGTTATTCTGCTGATTGGGGCGCTGTCGCGCTTTGTCAATCAGCTGGAGGATGACGAGTTTGAAAAGAAGGAGACGAGGAATACGCTCAAGGCGTTGAGGTCTAATGTGAGTTCAGACAGTGAAGGCTCGGCTACGCGACTGGCACCTGAAGATGAGTGGGACTATAGCTGACTCTATAGCTCAAGCTGGCCATCGATAATGCCCTCCTCCCTGGCGACTCGCCCCACCTCCTCTCCTCCTACCTCCAAGTCCTCATCATGTCGGAAGGCGACGCCTGGGTTCTCAAAGCGGTATACGAAATCTCTCTCCTCCTGCGCGACCCACAGTCGGCCCCCGTCGCCGCCGCAGAAGAGATGGTCAGAGGGTTTTGCACCAAGGAGCTCCGGGGCGTGAGTGGCGGAGTAGGCGATGTGGAAGAGTACATTGCGAATGCTGCGCTCGACCTGATTATCATGGCGACGTGGAGTTTGGTGGCGGGGCAGATTGACGTGGAGCCTCTTCCGGTTAGCTCTCCACTCCAGCACATCTGAGGAAGAGCTGACGGGGCAGACATATACGTTCGCGAGGGATCTCAGGACGTGGACAATGCTGTGTGAGGCGATGGATGAGAATCATGACAAGATGGGCAAGGTGTCTGCAAGGCTGAGGAAGCTGTCAGGACAGCTGAGAGAGCTCGGCGGGGATAGCAAGAAGGGGGTCAGAGGGAGATTGCGGGATGTGGCGGCGGTGGTGGATGTAGCTGAATGAGAGCGATAGCTAAGACGGAGGGTCAACGACTCGAGATGTAACGCTTACCTTTCTCCAGTCTACTGATGATGATAGGATCCACGCTTGTCTTTTACTGCTCCTGAAGGGGTGTCGAACTTGACTGGTGGTCGGACTGCAGCAGAGCATCAAGATGGGCATACGCTGCGTCCAGCAGACGACAAGGGGGGAGACCTTTCAATCTCGCGAAACAGAGTGAGTCTCTCAATATCATGTGAAGCTCTCCGCAAGTTGGCCGGGGAGCTGTGGAAGAGTACACGGGGCAGAGTGCTCAATTAGAGGCTGTCTACTCTAATTTCAGCACACCGGCTATCTGCTCTCTTCTGATCAACAACCGCAGCTGCACGTAATCTGATCCAGCTGGATCGACAGGGGATGCACTTCGGTCTCACACGCCTGTGAAAAGTTGTTGACCGATCCAGAACTTCGAGACCAAAAGTGATTCATATGCACATCACTCGTCATCCTGTCCTCCCCAATCCGCTTCCTCTCCGCAATCTAACTCACTGATCGAAAGCTGAACACCACTCACTGAATCTCTTGTCGCCATATTGCTCCGCCTCCTCTGAAGACGTCGGTTCCGGCACCGAGGCCTGGCTGTTGCTGATGTGATGGTAGCTGGCATCTGTAACCAGCTCGGCCTTTTGTTGGGGAGCAGGGGAGGCGAGATTGAACGACATGAGGGCGGAGATATCAGGATCGGACATGAGGGGGCTTGTCGAGTTATTGGGGCCGCCTGGTCCAGGGCTGCTAGCCATTCCATCGAGGAAGTAGGATGGAACGTCAATCAGGGTGCCCGAGGCGTCCGAGTACATTGATGGCGAGCGAGGATAAGTTGGACCGAGGGACGGCGGAACCCACGGTGAGAGCATCTCATTGAAGTCACCACGATCGCCGAACTCGTCCAGATACTCAGGCGGCTCAAGGGTGGGCGGAGCTGGGTCCACTGTCAAGACTGGTGTCTGCGTATCATTCGAGGGGTCTGCAGATGTTGGGTGATCATCCAGCGGACCCTGCTGCGACAGTGGTGACGGGGCATTTGTAAGCTGGGTATCCTTAGTGTCCGAACTTGCGCGGCTCGTGCGTCTGGGCTTTGCTGGACCTGGGTTGGCATTGCGGGACCTAGCTCTGGTCACCCTCGGTGCAGTGGAGCTCCCACCGGTCGGCGGTGTGGCAGTGTAGAGTATTCCGGAATACTGGCGTGTTCGCTTGAGGGAGCCAGCTAGATAGTCCGAGGTATCCTTGAGCTCCATTCCTTGTATCGCTACAAATGTCTTGCGCCCATTATGGCTCGTGCGAATTTTTAGTCCCGATGGATATAATGTAAGTCCGTCCCGGTCCTTGTCGCCGATTTCTTCTCTCCAGTCGTATACGAAGCTATCAGCAAGATCTGCGCCTCCCAATGCTGCGTCCGACTTGCCGAGTGGGATTGTCCACTTTTTCCCTTTGATGTCGTTCGCATCGTAGTTAAATGGCGTAGGAAAGGAGCGGGCAGCGGAGGGAGTACGGAACTCGATCTCAAACGTAGCGCTGCACTTGCCTTGCGCGTACAGCACTGGCTCGCCAGGTAGTTCTATGCGGGGTTTCGGTGCGCGCGTCGACTCCCTGAGTTCCGTGCCTAACATCAACTCATACCAGTTCAGTGAGCGAGAGTCGGTATTGGAGGAGCGCATCGGACTGCGAACGGTAGTCGGGGGGGCCGGGGAAGAGGAATATCGCGATATCGGCAGAGTGACGGCTTCAGGGTGAGTATGCAAGAAAGAGAGTTAGTGACGTCGACCGCTCCTGAGGTCTATTGGACGTCGTCATTGGCGACATCAAAGGAGGGCGGATGGAACAGAACACGGGCAGGGTGAGCGCTACAAGGGATGGAGGGGATGTGGCACAACGTGGCCGGTAGAAAGTTCGCGTGAACATCAGCGTTGGGGATGGGTGGTATTGATGCAGAAGCAGGGGCAAAATACAGCAAAACTACAAGGTACGAAAGTGGTCCCTGGCTATCAGCGTAGTCCCGTAAGAAGTATTGCCAACTCACGTATACTATGCTCGATCACCGCCCATCCGTCCCTCTCAGTCCCGTACTCCTCTTGTGTATCGAGTGCAAGAGTCCGTCCATCCTCTTCCTGTGTCCCTCTGTCGCCTGCTTTTCTGCCGCCCTTAGAGCCGCCTCTTCGCTCTTCAGTCCCCCCAACGCCGCGCCCTTGATTCTGTCCTTTTTGGAACTCCCAAGCGGTTCCCCTCTCCTCCCCAGCTCATCCCCCCGCGACAGAGACGCCCGCCTCCCAGGTTCTCGCGCGACCCACTCGGGAGAACCAGGAATCAGCGACTGCTTGCCCTGATTTGGTCTGGTAGCGGCGCTAGCGAGCTCCAGCTCAATGTTGAACTGGAACGTTTCCATAGGGGAAGCGCGCTTGGCTTTGCTGACGGGGTTGTTGCCGTATCTCCGCGACAAGTCGCTCGACTGGAGGTTGACAACGGTGGGGAGGGATTCGAGCCTGGCCGTACGCATGGTGAACCGGCCGACGCCGCGTTCGGGCTCTGTCCGTGTATAGTCCGTCTCCGAGATGGACGACGTGTCCGCGGTCTGAATGCTGTTCGTCGACGATTGAGCGGTCAGACCGCCAATGCTCACAACGAGCGGAGCATTGTTCGCGACTGGGGCGTTGAATCCCGCCTGTAGCCCGTCCTGGCGGTGCTGGGAGATGTTCTTTTTGTTGACCGCTCGTCCGGGATAGGTTGTGCGGGGATCGACATAGGTTATGCCGTGAGTGGGGTGATGGGGGGTGGAGGAGATGTGCTGGGAATAGTAGAGTCCGCCGAGGGGATGGGGGTTGGCTTGGAGGGCTTTGGAGCCGGACCGAGTGATGTTGTCGTGTACGAGCGACGCCTGCATGTTGGCTCCGTGCGTGTCGACCGAGTGACCGCTGACGCCGAGGTTGACGAGGGTAAAGTCTCCCTCGTCCTCTCTCCATCCCGCCTGATCCTTGGCCGCCAGCTGGTTCAGCCGCACCGGCAAGAACTCTTTGCGCTTCTCTCTTATCCTCTCCAGATACCGCTCAAACTCCCCTGGCGTCATGGCCTCCAGATCCGGCAGGAGATGCGGTCCCTGCTTCTCCTCTCCAGCTCCGTCATTCAAAAAGTCGTAAGAGTTCCGCGCAGTGGTTCGCATCGCCTGCCGCACATCTGTACTATGCCTCTGCCACCGCACTCGTCCCGTCCCCCATGTTTCTGTAAACCTCGCCTCCGTCTCGCCTGACCGCCAGTCCGCGCCTACCGCTGCGCCAGCATCGAGATTTGAGACCTTGATGTATTTGGGGTTTTTGCGATGAATGGGGTATTTGAGGCCCCAGTCGCCGGTTTGTGATATGGAAGAAGGGGTGGAGGTGTATATGCGAGTGATGAGGGGGTCGTGTTGGGCGAACGATGAGCGTCTTAGCAGCTGTGGGAAGGACATGGTGGATGGGTAAAGGAGAGATGGAGAGCTGAATCTGACTTTTGGGTGCGGGGTGAATAAACGCCACGTCACCAGTCTGTATCAATCCTGCCTCCCTTGATCGCCAAATTCACCCTCTCTTCTCTTTCAACCATATCACGACCACAATTCCCCGTTGTCAATCGAGAGCTCCGTCTTAGACGTGAAAGCTCACCACGATCGTCGGGGCCAGACAGGACGTGTCGATCAGCACTGATCCTCTGTCTGCCTTTTCTGACTCTTTCGGGAGGAGGGGAAGGTGGGCAGAGGGGAGGGTGTCCAGTAAAACAACCGCGCGGAGTATATACGTTGAGGCGAGGTCACCTATGGGCATGTACACTTTGTAAGCGAGAGATGTATCATTTGGTCACAGCTGTGCGGCGAGACCGGTCGACCAAGTCAACCACCAACAAGCATTTATTCAACCCAAGATGTAAAATTCACGACCTATCTAGATCTAGCTCTATTGCTTGGAGTATCCGTCCCCATTCTTGGTCTGGAAGTTCCACAGGTCCCGGCACATCTCGTCCAAGTTCTTCTCGGCAACGAAGCCGAGCTCCTTCTCGGCGAGCGTAGGGTCGGCAGTAAGATCAGGAACGTCTCCGAGTCTGTTGTCAGCGACGCCACATCTAGTACTCACCTCCTCCCCACAATCTCGTACTTGTACTCGAACCCGCTCGCCTTCTTCATCGCCGCAATCATGTTTAAGACGCTCATGCCCTTACCCTTGCCCAGGTTGAAGGCGCGGTACATGCCCTCGGCCGAGGTGCACGAGGCAAAGATGGATTTGGAGGCGATAGCGTCAAGCGCGAGGACGTGGCCCTTGGCGAGATCCATGACGTGGAGGTAGTCTCGGACGCAGGTGCCGTCGCTATCGTCAGCGAGTACAGTATTACAACTTACGGGGTGGGGTAGTCATCGCCGAACACCTTGAGATCCGACTTTTGCCTTCCGACAGCAATCTGCGCCAAGAGCGGCAGCAAGTTTCCGGGCTTGCCCATGGGCTCCTCTCCGAGCTTGCCGGATGGGTGGGCGCCAGCGGGGCTGCTGTCAGCGCCATCATACCTATAGCAGACTATACTCACTTGAAGTACCTGACGCTGACAGCGTGGACTGCCTTGTCTCCCTTGTCCGCGGAAGCACGGCAGACATCCTGGAGGATGACCTCCACCATCTGCTTGGTCCTGCCATACGCCGATTCAGCCTGGAGCGGCGAGGACTCGGGGATAGGGACGGTCTTGGGTGTCCCATAGACGGTAGCCGAGGAGGAAAAGACAAAGTTGGAGCAGTTGTACTTTTCCATTGCCTGCTGTCAGCTCGTCCCAGATCGTGACTCACCTCCAAAAGAGCGATGGACCCGCCAACGTTCACTTTGTAGTACTGGAGAGGGATCTCTCCGCTTTCGCCGACCGCCTTGAGGGCAGCGAGGTGGACGACCGCCCAGATACCGCCCTCGCCGGCGTACTTGGCGAAGACTTCATCGACGGCGGATGAGTCGCGGAGATCGACCTGGTGGAAGATGGGCTGCGGTGCGTCGGCACTGCCAGTCAGCCGGTACACTCGAGCAGCGGATCGCGACAGCATTCGATCGTGATCCCGGCTGATCCTTGCTCCCCCTTGTGACGGCGCCGTGACTTACCCCATCTCGTCACGTGCGATCTCAGCGCATCGCTTGATAGCCTCTGGGTAGGCGTTGTGGCAGTTGTCAATGACGATGGGGAGGTATTTGCCAGTAAGGAGGAGCGAGACGACCACGTGCGAGCCAATGTAGCCGAGACCGCCAGTGACGAGGACTTTCTGGGTTGGTCAGCGGTAGATTCTAGTGAGAGGAGCTTATGAGCAACTGGCAACAATCCAGAGCTGTGGACATACCTTGAGGGAGGATGAGTTGGACATCTTGCGATATTTGTTTACGCGAGGGCGGGACGCGTGAAGGGGACGGTGGTGGCTAGCGAGCTGTGATTTCGGGCCTGTGTGTCTCGCGGGTATGTGAAGGCTCAGTCCAGAACTACGCGTCTATGATGAGGCGAGTTGTCTGAAGGCTAGCTAAGGGAGATAGATAGGTAGTTGAAGCGAAAATTCCAACTCGAGAAAGAGCTGAGCGCGTCCCGAGCAGCTGCGCAAAATTACGGCACCGATCTCCCCGGCCGGGGCCATTCCGAGTCCCGGTCCGCGACAGCGATGCGAGCTCCTCGAAGGCTTTGTGGAGTGCTACTCTGTAGCGTCAAGGCGCAGGTTATGAGCAGACGCGAAAGAACGCATACTCCTCTCTAAACCCAATTTCATATTCACATAGATCTTCCTTCAGTATTACAACTTCACCTTCTTTTGCCCTACATCAAAGTCCCGCCCGTTTTGCGGTACCTGTCCACGCCACCCTTGAGCTGCTCCAGAACCAAGAAGGTTATGATGGTACTGCCTATCAGCCAATGTCTTTCCACTGAGTCGAGTGGACTCACGTCGGCTGCAACCTTATCCAGGCTGGGGTCCATCCGCGGAAGAAGAACTTGACACCGTGGTTGGCGTATCTGACAGTCAGCCCCGGCCATACGCACAGAAGCGCCTACTCACGCGTCCTTGATGAGTGTAAAGACGCCCGGTCCAGCGCCCTGAGAGCTCATGACCAGACTTTTCATCACGTCTGCGGGTGCACAAGCAGCTGCACCATCAGTCCTGCTCTGCGTCAATACGAGCTGAACTCACTTGCAGCAGCAGTGGCAGCTGCGAAACTAGCCATAAAGTGGCAGACTGGCCCGTCGGCAAGGAGGTTGTTCTTGATGATCTCGGCTTTGAAGACGTCGTATCTAGTGGTTTAGCTCAGACCTCGGCGTAATCAATGGCAACCTACCCTCCGATTTGGAAGACGTTCATGGTGAGCTACGCTGTCAGCTTAGTCCCCCAGAAAGAAGGCTAAACTCACTCCTCTGACCACGTTCGGCCCAACACCCTTGTACCAAGTCGCGAGACCCTCTTCCCTGGCCATCCTGTAGAGACCCTGGATAGAGTTCCGGTAGCCGTACCGTTCTGCCAAGTCAGCCATCATCTCCACAGCTGTGATCAAGACGTACTCTCGACTGGCTTCGCCTTATCTCCTTGCATTCGTACCATGACTGTAGGGTCAGCTACTAGCATCTCGACACTTTGGGAGATTATCACATACTGATCTCTCCGGGGTTGCAGATACCTGCACTAACGGATCCAGCGACCGAGCCAGCAGCGACGAGTTTCCATACTGGCATAGGCGACGAGTCTGGAGGTCAGCACAATCAGCACCAGACGATCTTCAGGTCTGTCCGCCTTCACGCGACTCCTTAGTCCCGCCTGGCCAGTTCCACCGTCTCCTTCCCATCTCCCTTCCCAGGCGCGCACAGAATCCCCATGCAGTAGCTTATGTGATGGCTCCTTGGTAGACGAAGACTCACCGGTATGTATCTTGGCTTTGACAGTATCGTATATGGCGAAACGCATCATAGAGTAAGTCATTTGTCGGAGAAGTGTCCCGGTCCCTCCACCCCACAGCCCAAGAATACCTGTGATTGTCAGCTACCACTGGTCGCGTCACCACGACAGATGGTACAGGAGCTGGGACCCACCTTCATTCGCTACCGTCTTGCGCATAGACAGCAACAGTCCCTTGTCTCCAGCTACCTGCATACGGACCTTGGTCAGATCTGCACATTAGCTGGATAGCCGATGCGCTTACCCAGCGGGTGTGTGCACAACCCCGCAACGGAAGCGGCGATACCTTGACGTCAGCCTGGCGGCTCTCTGAGATAAGTGTGGATCATGACCTACCACCGAGCCACAGAGGGTATGGCTTCTTCTTCATAGCGGACGGATTGACGACCGAAGTGGGCATGGACCCCGCACCAGGTTTGGCTGTGATGGACATGGCTGAAACGCAGCAACGCTCTTGCGTATTGTCGGGGAGGGCTCGTAGGAGGCGTTGGGTACGGCCTGCAAGAGCGTACTTGGAGATGATATAGAGCAGGAAGAAGAGCAATATGAGCGGGGTCGGGTTTGGGGAAGCGGACTTGGAGCTAGCTTGGGCGCGGACGGCGCGGCGGAAATAGCCGAGAGTGCGGGCCCCCGGCGACTCGACCGGTCCTACTGCAGCGTGATAGGCGTTTAGCATCTGCTGTTGATGGCAGGATCACCTGTAGTGTCTAGCATTTCGATAGATCGAGAGTGTTCACTGACATCCACGATCTACCGATATGCATGCCAAAAAAGAACACAAAAGACATTCCACTGCCACACCCGCCTCGCTACTCCGGCCCGCCCATGCCCTTGCCCGTTTGATAATACGCCTGCTCACGATACTCATATGGAGCCGCCTCAGCACGAAGGGGATTACCATGATGATTTCCCGCGCTGGTAGAGTCGTACTGTGAGAATGAAGACATGTTTGAAGGTGGTGCTTTGGTGGTAATCTGATGAGCGGAGTTTGGATAAAGGAGGGGAAGAGAGAAAGGACCGCCGGCGGTAGCTGGCAAAGTCAGCTTACCCTTTCAAACAAGCTTGGGTAAGAGTACTGACCTCCTCTTCCTCCTCATCCGCCTGCATCCGAGGAGACGGGTGGCGGAGGGTCGGACCAGCGTCTTCCTCGAGCTCCTCGGCGTCCAGGAGCGAGAACGTGTCAAGGTTTTCAAAGTCCTCGGCAGTCTAAGGTGTCAGCTGAGCTCGACGCCAAAGCATGATGGAGACTTACTGTGACAGGAAAGTCGACCACCGGGACCTGAACTCGGTCAGCCTCCCAAGAAGAAGGACCCTGATCGGTCAGCTGACATATCAAGTAGAGTAGCGTTCGATCAACTCACGGCTTCTCCGAGGGCGGGACGGGGGTAGGTGGGAAGAGGAAGGACGACACCGTCGGGACCGGTGATAGCGAGGTCGGTCGGCGGGGAGGTTGTACTGGACTTGTCAGCTTCTTCCAATGGGAGCGTGATGGACGTCAGAAGCGAAGGGGTACGAGTGTGGAAGTGGCAAAGTAGTACGACAAATAATTGATTTTGAGTAGAGGCAGAGATGTAAATGAAGGAAGGACGAAGATGAGAGAAGGAAGATGAGGAAAGTGGTTCTGGCGGAAAAACAGAAATATGTATGAGCGGGGAGAGGAAGGGACGAGAGAGGGGAGAATGGGGAAGCGGGTTAGGGGAAAGACACTCACGGTGGGCATAGAGCCCTCTTCGTAACGCCTTTCGGCGTCACGGAGAAGGCCTAGCGTCTCGGCGAGGTAAGCCTCCCGGTCAAACACCCAGGGCGCGTGCTCGGTCCGCCTCACCTCGGCCTCGAGGATGTCTCGGTACAGGACTACCTGAACATTAGCTCAATCTCGCACTTTCAAAGATCAATAACTTACCAGTCGAGGATTTGACAGGACGAGGTTGAGGAACCTGGACCGCCTGGTCCGGTCGTATCCCTCCCCTCCCATGACCTTCCATTTGCCGTCCTCCGGCCGCTTGGCGTGTGAGGAATACCCGAAGGCTCTCTCAAGCCAGAGGGAAAAGTCTTCGGGAGAGGTTCCCCATCGGTGCGCCTTCTGCAGCTGGAGGTAGGGGCGGAGGCCCCTATTGGGCGAACCGACTCACCGTCTTGAAGCTCGGGTCAGCTTGTGAGAGGGGTAATGCAAGATGAAGAATGGGAAGCGAATGGAGAAGGACAGCTGTGATGTAGCGTTCATATATAGGTAGGTCGAGGCGGGCGAGAAGGGGCCTGAACAACTTCGCCCGCTTTGGCGCGCGCGAAAAGAGGGTACCGGGGCGGGCAGGGAGGACACGGAGGGCACGGTGGCGTGAGGTTGAGCTTATCGAGAATAGGAAAGCGGCGTATATAAGCTTTGGTCTGAAACAGGGTGGGACGGCCGTGCTTACGAGGAATGTGTATGCGGTGAGGAAGGTGGGGACTGCTCATTGAAACCATGGTGCGGACTGCATTAGCAGTGCAAGATCATTCGACCACCCCGTCAGTATGCCAGGGTAAGATGCTGTCGCAGACACATTATCGACGATGTGTAGAGAGGAGTCAGTCTTCGCTCCCCTAGGTCGCCGTGCCAGATCGAAGCGGACACCATCAGGAGGGCTTTCCACTTAGGCCTGACTAATGCTCGATACGGTCAGCAGAGGACTTGGCGGGTGGAGTGATCAGTCAATCGCCTGAAGTGAGGGACAAAGCCAAGCCTCCGGAGGGCCGGGACGCGGGTTGGCGAGGTGAAGGACGGGACAGGACCCAATCTGGCCAGACCAGAAACCCTTATGGACCGCGCCGATCCGGTCCCAACATCGGATCTAGCTCAGTCGCTGCCTGTTCCTCAGCATCGTTTTGTAGAGCATTCGACTGTTATTCACTAGCATTCATCGAAAGGTCGAGGGTTAACATTCGGCGGCGGATCGCTTACGGGCACCCTTCTGGATCCTTTGGGCAGCCATTGCCTTGCCCACCCAATCCTTCAGGATTTCTTGCACGGTGTCTAGCCAGTAAGGTCAAAATGGTCGAGCGCGAGGACAACGAGATGAATGACACAAGCGACCCAGGAGAGATGATGACAGTACCGCCACGCTGATGAAATGCCGAGGCCGGCTACACCGGTGCAAACGCTCCGCATTCCTCTTTTTCCAGCTCCCAACCGCCCATCATGCTCGCCATCATTGTCTCCCACAGCATCACTACCAGTCCACTATGGCACCTCTCAAGCTTCAGCCGCACCCACTCCAAAGGGCTCATCCCCGTTCCTACCTCTCCGGAGGATGTCGCCGCAGCTACCAAACTCCTCTCTGCAGCACAGGCGCTCGAAGCTATTCCCGTCGACATCCAAGACCAAATCGCCGGCCTCCACTCCGAGGTACTCTACTACATGTCACCGGAGGAGACGAATATCTCCAGTGTACCTGATACGCCGTCGCCTCTGGCCGCGGTCGAGATGGATGTGCAAGCATCGAATCTGATCGTGGCCGAGGCGGTGACGGGTACGGCGGAACCTCACTCCGCGGCGGCTGCAACCGACACGGACGGGGCGGCATCCGCAGCAGTGGTCGAGACGGGCGGGAACATATCATATCAAATCGCGGCGGGAACCGGGATCGGCGGGCACTCTCCGGAGGCATTGTCCCCCGCAGCGGCCCACCAAGAGCCAGATGAGCAGGTAGCACCTCTTCGAGTGGCAGAGAACGAGGCGGAAGCCGAGGGGCGGAGGCGGACAAAGAACCAGGCGAGACGTGACAGGAGGAAGCGCGCGATGGAACATCGAGGGAGGCAGGCGCACACGTAAGACGAGGCGGAGAGGAAGCAGAGCCGCCGAGATCCCGCACAATTCGGCTCCGGCCCTACCTCTCACACACCACTGCCCAATATCGCTGCCCCAATACACTGGCCCCAGCCATATCATCCATACCCTGTCCCACACCAACACGCTCAAGCAGAGCCGCACTCGCCCGTTCATTCCCACCCTTACACGCACTCGCACTCCTACTTTGACCCCACGCTTCCCTCATACTCGGCCAAGGCAGGCCTCATCTCGTCCCTACCCTCTAGACCCGCTCCGTACCAATCTCACCGCCGAGCTCGGTCACCCGAGCCGCGGTTATACCGTCGGTCTCGCTCGCCTGAATGCGCTGTGCCTCGTCAAAGACTATGAGACCGCCATTCACCGCCTGCGTCACCCGTAGTACTGAGAATCTCCCCTTTCCTCTCCTCACCTTTGATCCATACCATACTTGCTTTCGCTCGATGCTTACGAGCAATGGGCCGTGATGTCGCCCAGTCCGTTCAGGCTCATCAGGACCGTCGCGGGTAGCACGAGTATTTGTAGCATATTATATGATAGGAATAAATAAATCGACCAAATACTCAGCGCTTCTCTGATATCGTTAGCCGCCTCGCCCATTCTCATCAGATGGAGATATCCACTCACTTCCGCACACCTTGATCAGCGCCTCCTTCAACCCCTTGGCAGCCTTCTCCGTTTCCTTGCGGCTCAGCGCCCCGCTCAAGCACACCTTCAAGCTCGGTTCCGGTTCAAACGCTTCTTGTCCCCTTAGCCGCCGCGCCCTCGTCACGATCACGTCTGATTTTGCCAGAAGCTCATCTACGACATCCTGGAGGATGCGCTCTTCTTCCTCCATTGTCCCTGGAGCGTTCAGCAGGAATATGTGGATGAGGGCTGAAGAGGGGTGCGAGGGGATATGGATGATGGCGTCCTTGTTGGGCGTTTTCGAGGGCGATGAGCCGGTAAGAGGTGTTGCGGCAGAAGCGGTGAGGCCGGTGGCGCTGGTGGCGGGTGTATCTGACATCGGGATCGGCTCAATCTTGGACAGGATTTGACGGAAGAGGAGGATGTTGGCTTGAAGCGAGGTGAATAGTGCAGGTTGGGTCTGGATTGTCGCGAGTGCAGAAGAAGCGGTCGTGGCAAGCATGGCGGGGAGAGCGGCGGAGAATACTGAGGCGGACGAGTTGATTTTCTGCCCGTCAGCTGCAGCTTACAATCGATCACGGAGCCCTGCCAGCTGACTTACCTGATGCTTGCAGACGTGATAAGATCCAGCGCAGAAACCACCTCCAGCGCCGAGACCGTTCCCCATAGATCCGATCAGGATGTCCACTTCAGCAGCCTGACCGTCAGTGCAGTTCATGCTGCTGACTGAAAGGCTTACAGGGATGCTATAGTACTCTGTCACACCCCTTCCATGCGCGCCGATCATCCCAAAGGAGTAGCTCTCATCCAAGATGAGTCTGTACTTGTACTTGCGCTTCAGTTCCATCTGTACATCAGCTCCGTCCCTCATGCACATGCCAATGACTTACGACTTTCGGCAGGTCCACCATCATCCCATCATTCTCAAACACACCCTCCGAGATGATAAACCGCCGGGTCAATCGACCGCCTTTGCGTTTCTGCTCCTTCTCGACATTCTGCAGTACCCGCTCCAGATCCTTCATGTCGTTGTGGGCATACCACTTGATGGTTGACCGCGAGATCTCGAGCCCCTTGTGAATGGCGAAATTGACGCCCTTATCAGCGACAATGATATCGCCTCGCTTGGCGAAAGAGGGGATGGCCGAGGAGATGGTGGCGTAGGCTTGAGAGTAGATGATTGCTGATTCGGTACCGAGGAAGGATGATACTTCTTCTTCGAATTTGGTATGGACGTCTAGGGCTGTCAGCTGTTGTGCGCACAGTTTCATTGTCCGGCTAGCTCACCGATAGTCCCGTAGAACCCGGAAGGCCCACACGACCCCACGCCATACAGCTTCAACGTGTCGATGGCGACCTGCTTCATCTTGTCACTCTCAATCATACCCGTCCAATCCACCGTTGCAAGATTCGTGACCTGCAATTAGCATACCTCCCGCAGCGACCATACTGCCTTGGCGGAACGTACCATCTTTCCACTAGATGCCAGCTTGACCCGAAGACCGTTCGGACCGTTGATGACGGGTACAGAAGCCAGGGTGAACTTGTCTACATCGCTGGGCTCGTCGACCAGCGGCTGAGGAACCCATTCGTCCACCAGTTCATCGATCTCCTGGAGCAGGATCAGCAACTTCTCTCCCGCCTCCTGTCCTCGAGCAGGCCATGCTCCCCGCATCCTCCGTGCTCCTTCTTCGCAAAGCCTGGAGCTGAGAGCCGCGCCCGGATAGGATGGCCAAAACTCACTTCTTCCCTCAATTTGACCCAATTTTTGCTTGACGCATCCCCACGCGTCCGACCTTTCAGCAAAGTCCGCACTGCGAACGCCACGAGCAGCACCTCAAGTATCGACCGCCATGGGTCATTCTGATACGAAGATTCGATGTACCGGATGACAATCGGACTCCCCGGGATTCGGGTCAATGCGGACGCGAAGGATCGATAAGCAGACGCGAGGATAGCGAGGATAGGAACGAGGGGCGCGGGGATATCTTGCCCGCTGGATGAAGGGGCGGCAGCGGCCGCCATGGCTGTTGATGTGTGGCTCGATGTAAGAGGGGATGTAGGAAAAGAAGGGGTGAGAGATAAAGTTGCTTGCATGGAGATCAACATCGGCAGCTCGCAACGATTAATATATATATCGCTTATTTGCGCACGGACCGCGTCTGCTCTGGAATTGCTTTGTATGGAGCTTGTATGGAACAGCCATGGGTCCATAACCAGCACTGCTCCGTTGACTCGAGGCCTACAGCATCTATAGCAGCCGGTGCATGTATACCAACATGGTATGCGAGCCTATAACCCAAAGACAAGCTAGGATACGAAGATCTTTGATGCGCCTGCGGTAAGGCCTGTCGATATCCGCCCCCCCAACTCTGCTCTCTATGTCGTAAATCTGGACTTCAGCACCCGCACAGACCCATCGACAGCTGCAAAAACTCACACTCCCAAGATCTTGAAAGGCGGTGATGATCCCCCTGCCTCTCCTAGCAACTGACACTCGACCTGAATCGTCAGCTTGAGCCCTGACTATATACCCCAATCCGGAACTTACGAAATGTGATCCCCTTGATACACCCCGATCAATCATGAATAGCGTCGCAATGACCTCCTCTACATCCGCCGTCCCGTGCAGCTCCTTGCCTCCCGCAAAGTTATCGTCGACCCAGCACTTGGCGACTCCGAGCGGCTTGTCTGGTGGGGATTGGAGGAAGTAAATCCCGACGTCACCGGCGCCGAGTTTGAGCGGGATACGAAGTCGAGCGGTGGGTTGCTCGGCGTACCTGATATGTCAGCTGGAACCCTCGGCAGGTATTGGCACGGAAGCTCACCAGTAATGCCTGTCCTCGGTGATTGCCTTCATTGGCGGGTGGTACGTATGCCACCCACTCCCGTAGAACAGACTTGGCGGGAGAGGATTGATCAGATCGCTCGCGCTGACGCAGAACGGCTCAATTTCTCTGAACTTCTCCACGTCGTTCGGAAGATCGTTCAGGCGCATATTCGGGACCCTCATCCCGTCGTAGAGGAGCTTGAGGGCGGATCCGGCCGAGTCGCCATCTCCTGGATCTTGGCCTGGTATGCCCTTTCGCAGACCGACACCGCCGAGAAGGGACGGTCCGCCGGATGAGGACCCCTCGCCTTCTGCTCCGCTGCCCATGGCGGGGACAGAGAACTCGTGGCCCTGAAGAGTGGACCAGCCGGAGCAGATCTGCGACATCATGTACGAGATGAGCACATCGGCGATGAGGTCGTGTCCGTCTGCGTTGGCATGAAGGGGGCCGTTGTAGAAGGACGAGAGGGCGTGCTCGGGTGTGCGGAGGTATGAGTCGTACAGTAGGCCTTTGACGCTGGAATGTCAGCTTATCGCACCTCAGTATAGACGAGAAAGCTGACCTGATGTGTGGGACGTCATAAAACTGAGCGACGACATTATGAAGCAGCTCTGGCCCAGCGAACCCATTCTGCGCCTGGACCTGGGGCGAGAAGTGACCCAGCACGATCACAGCCGGCATCTCCGGGCGAACTAGTACGGAGCGCACCAAAAGCTCAAAGTGGGACAACCATTCCGGATCGCTGTCGGTCAGCTGGTCCTTCTTGCAGGGAGTTTCAACCTACTTTGGGTCCGCGGCGTCAAATTCGAGCAAGACGAGATCACTCTTGTCCGGCATGTGGTGGCTGTTGCAGTACGCATAGTACGCCGAGTCCGTCTTCCTTGTTGCACCATTGGTGAGCTCGTTGGCAGGATGCGGAAAGACCGAGTTCCACCAATTGAAGAATTTATAGGGGTAGCAGGACGACGAGATCGGATCGTCTCCTGCGCCATAGCACGCCGACACTGCATTGTCAGCTTCATACCCCGTCTCGTTGGCTTGGCGAGCTCACCTGACCCGCCCAACACGCTCATGGTGATAGCGCCTCCACTCATCGCCTTTTGCAATACCCTCTGTACTCTCGCGCCCGTCCCGAGATGCAGCCTGCTCCTGAGCAGCTCAAACTGTCCTCGGCGCGCAGCGATCGCATCTCCGGGACCGAAGATGGGGCAAAAGTCGAATGGGGCGGGATCTGTGCGAGAGGCGTTGAGGTAGTCCCGGGGTGTGAGGATCTGCGCGTGGGTATCGGTCTGGGAAGGAAGGGAGCGGGAGGGATCTGAGGCTGGAAAGTCAGCTTTTGGATTGCGGTCTGCCAAAATCAGTCGAAGCTCACGGAAGGCGAATTTCGATATCATGATGAGCGAGGCGAGAACAAAGAGGACCAGCCAAGCTCTCTGCGGTAATCCTACTGGGTCAGCTCATGATCTTCTCAGCCTCTATCGACGGACTCGAAGCTATCTCTAAAGAGTGCTCGCACATATTCCATGGAATCGATAACTCACCTAAACGCTTCTTCTTCCCCTTGCCCCAAAGCCCTAATCCCGACCCACCCGCCCCACTCCCTGCTCTCCTACTCAGTGGCTTTCCCCCACTGTCCATCCCCATCTTCGGCGTCATGCCTCCGACGCTGCTCTCCTCATACTCATGGGCATACCCCTTATCTGTCCATTCCCTGTCCATATCGAAAGACGGTGACGCCGAGGTCGACGCGGATGGCGTGGCGGAAGCGGGTCCTGACGCTATACTTGCGCGCAAAAGGGAGTTGGGGACGGTGGGTGCCGGATGAAGTTTGGAAGAGTAGTGTGAAGTGGGCGTGTCGGCCTCGTAGGTGTCGTAGTCGTACTCGTGGGGCGAAGGTAAGAGGTCGTTATTGGACGAGGAGGGAGAGGCGGGAACTCGGCCACGCAGCATCGCCATGCGGGTTTGTGCCAGCGAAAAGAGTCTTAGTCGAGCGCAGGAGAAGGTGGCCCAATCTATAGCCCCAAGTGAGAGCTAGGTGCGGTCCTGCTAGTGGTTTCAGCGGTATACAGGCTGTGAGATGCAGATCAGAGGAGGAGGAATTCTCGACGCGTCCTTTTGGCTGGTGTGCCTGAAATCCCGCCGGGAGTAAAATCTCCGATAGAGATGCTGCTGTCCCTCTGATAGCTGGACCTTACCGATGTAATGGAACAAGCACGTAGCAGGCTCATATGGTAGTCATGCATAGCCCGACAATATCTACTGCCCCTTGGCCATCTCGACCGCCTTGGCCGCAGCCTCATCAAGACCATCGAAGGGGAAAATAGCAAGACCGGATTCTGAAATCATCCTGGATGGTCAGCTCAGATCCTGATACAGAAGACTAAAACGGGAGCGAGTAAGCTCACTTCTTCGCCTCGGCCTCCTTAGTACCCTGCAGCCGGACAACAAGGGGGACGGTGAGGTGCAATTCCTTGGTCGCCTTGATGATACCCTCGGCGATAACGTCGCATCTCATGATACCTCCGACTACACTTGTCAGCCTTCCAACTTTTCAGAATCAAGTTCAGTTGACAGCTCACAGATGTTGACGAAGATCGACTTGACGTTACTGCTCGACAACAAAAGCTCGAATGCTTTCTTGACGGCATCGGCGGTAGCTCCTCCTCCAACGTCCAACTACAAGCGTCAGCTGATATGCCCCCTAATCCGGGTCCTGGCAGCTTACGAAGTTGGCGGGTGATCCGCCGTGCAGGTTGAGCACGTCCATAGTGGCCATGGCGAGACCGGCACCGTTCACGAGACAGCCAATGTTACCGTCCAGCTTGATGAAGTTCAGGCCGTACTGCTGGATCAGCTTTACTCCTCGCAATCACACGCTAGACCTACCTCGGCAGCCTCCACCTCCTGAGCGTCCTCCTGGGTGGTGTCACGCAACTTGAAGATGTCCTTCTGTCTGAAGTCGGCATTGTCATCGAAACCAAACTTGGCGTCCATGCTAGCCGGTGAGCTTTTGTACACGCTCAACTGCTAAGCGAAACTCACCAGAGCACCTGTCCATCGCTCATCTCGGACAACGGGTTGATCTCAATCTGAGTCGCGTCCTTCTCCCGGAAAATCTTGTACAGCTTGCCGAACACGTCCGCCGCGTTCTTTTGCGCGCCATCCTTGAAGCCCAGCTTCTTGGCGAGGTCAACCGCGTCCGCGTTCGAGATACCGTTGTCAAAGTCGAGGGGAGTGGTGATGATCGCTTCCGGGGTGTCGTGGGCGACGTCCTCAATGTTCATACCGCCCTGGTTGGAGGTGACGAGCACGGGCGAGCCGGACGCACGGTCATTCAGGATGGCGGCGTAGTACTCCTTCTGTGGGGGAAGACGCTCGGCGATCATGATGGCGTTGCAGATGCGTCCGCCGGCGCCGGTCTGCTTGGTGATCAGGTTGGCGCCGAGCATCTTGCCGGCGTATTCCTTTGCCTGGGCGGGACTGGAGATTAGCGATAGGTCGAAGCGGGGAGAGCTGTGCCCGACACGTGCTCCCCAATGCTCTCGTGCGGGCAGAGTCGACTTACGAGTCAATCATGTGCACACCACCCTTGAACCCAGAATCAAAGTGACCCTTTCCACGACCACCAGCGAGGACCTGCGCCTTGATGACGAGCTCATTCGTTCCTGTCCGAGTCAGTGAAACACCTCCGACATGGGCCGAGCCGGCTCGTTCGAATCAGAGCGCAGACCTACCAAAGTCCTTTGCGACCTGCTCGGCCTCGCTCGCTGTGAACGCGGGTACGGCCTTTGGTGTAGGGATACCGTACTGGACCGTCAGCCCCCTCCAGCTTCGCTAGTCCTAGGCATATAGACGAGGAATGCCATGTGCGATGCCAGCATGACCAGCCCAGAAGCGTCAGGACTTACAGAGTTGAGGAGCTCGACGGACTGGTATTCGTGGATGGAGAGATTTCGACGTTGGCTCACACCAACGGTCTGCGGGATCAGCTTCGGCCTTTGATAGCGCCCGGTTCGAAGTGCTCCTGCTGGACGAGTTCCCGCGCTGAGGATGAGTCCAGTAGAGCAGCGTCCGCTGGGTAAGGTCGAAGACCCGGCTACATACCTTTGCGACTCCGCGGGCGGCTCTGAAGTTTCGCAGCATTCTGGGTCGGGCTTGTGATATGTGAAGGAGAGTTTTCGAGGACGCTTGGCAGCTAGTTGGAAGGCTGTGAGTTAGAGGTATTCAAACAGAAGATGATATAGAGAGTAAAGTATGCGCTGTATGTGCTGGCTGCACCAAAAGGAAGAGCGCGGCTATGAGGTGTATCGGCGATCGCCGCTTTGGCTTGGGCGGTCGGATCTCACGCCGATCAAAGCCGCCCAGCCAAAGTAAGCCCAGGAGATTTCAGTGCGGGGAATCAGACATCCCTACGCGTACCTCAACAATATGGACGAGATCACCATCACAGCACCAGCAGAGTGAGTCGCGGCTTCATAACCTTCGTGTATATTGACGGGTGATTGCGCTACTCATCACGCTCTGACCGCTGACTTTATGCAGCTTCCACGTTCATGTCCGCCAGGGCAAGATGTGCGAGCTCGTCACGCCGCACGTACACCAGGGCGGTATACGGACCGCATACGTGATGGTACGTAGGTAGATCGTTTAGCCCCAAGGACTGCCCTTCCAGGAATGGCGTCTGAAGCTTGTAGCTGACCCTTTCAGCCCAACCTTGTACCCCCAATCTCTTCGGCGGAGCGGGCACTCGAATACCGGGAAGAGCTGAGACGACTTGCTCCTGATGTCGAATGGCTCATGACGCTGTATCTGGGGCCGGACATTACGCCGGAGGAGATCCGGAAAGCTGCCAAAGTTGGGATTAGCGGCATGTCCCTATCGTCAGCTTGATGCCCAGCTGGAACTCTGGCTGATAAGGTTAGGAGTCAAGTCATACCCTCGCGGAGTCACAACCAATTCGTCGGCCGGTATCGAGGACTACGGGGTGTACTACCCAGTCTTCAAGGCGATGGAGGAGGAGGGACTGGTTCTGAATCTGCATGGAGAGGTGCCGAGTGACCCAGAAAAGGTAGATCCACGACGACAGAAGGGATTCATAGCTGACTTGCAGAACATCTCGGTACTCAATGCAGAGAAGCTCTTCCTGACGCATCTACGCAAGCTCGCTGCGGACTTTCCCAAGCTCCGTGTAGTGCTTGAGCACGCTACTACCGCGGAAGCCATCGAATGCGTGAGCTAGGTACCACCGGAAGTTGAGAAGTGGCACAGCTGACGTTCAGGTCACCTCCCTCCCATCGAACGTCGCCTGCACCATTACCGCACACCACCTTTCTCTCACGGTAGACGCGGTCGTCGGGCAGCCGTACCACTTTTGCAAACCTATCGCCAAGGAGCCTCGCGATCGACAAGCTCTCCAATCCGCTGTCCTCTCCGGCAACCCCAAATTCTTCCTTGGATCAGACTCTGCCCCACATCCGTCCGGGTCCAAACACCCACATATTCAGGAAAACGCGGCGCCAACGGCATGCGCCGCGGGAGTGTATACCAGCCCGTTCCTGGTGCCGCTTGTCGCGCACTTGCTGGAGGGTTTCGGGGCCCTGGACAAGCTCGAGGGGTTTGTCAGTTCTCATGGGAGGACTTTCTACGGTGTGCCAGCGGAGAAGGGGAAGCGGGATGTGAGGCTGAGGAGGACTGGGAAGGAAGGGGGAATGGTGCCTGGCCTGATTAGGGGGGAGGGTGCGGAGGTAGTACCGTTCTGGGCAGGGAAGCAATTGGGCTGGGAGATCATCTCATGATGGGCAGGGTTGCGGAGGGCATGCATTACCAATGCGACAGAAGCTTCTCTTCACGTCGCCTGCTCATCGCACGCTGACCTAAGACCAGATTCGCAGCTCAAGCCCTCCGCCACACTGCTGCCACACCGACCAAAATGCCGCAACGTGGCGCCGCGCCGATCCTTTCGGTCAAATCCGATGGAGCCGTGCATTGCCGAGGCCGAAGCAAGTGAGCCCGAGGCCGAATAGCGGCCGTACGGGGCTGACGCTCGCTCTGTACCACCTCCGCTCTGGCTCAAGCCATGCATGCACGAGGCACCGCACAGCACTCGTCAACCGCTCTCGCCCGAGTATGGTCGGACGCATACGGCGCATACTCGCGAGGAATACGGAGTTGTGGAGTGGCAGCAACGTCACCGCTTTCGAGTGGAGGTAAATCTAGTTGATCCGCCCTCGTATGGGTTAGAAAGGGGTTACTCAGCATGCAGCTCTGCTATGGAAGCAGCCTTCTCAAGCACATCTCTTACTGTACATAGACCGTCACTGCCCTCTCTATATCATCGCTCGACGCATATTTGATTACAACTCTTGCCGCAAAAGACAGATTGACGAATCGTATTCAGCCATTAGAGTTTCGCACGCCCGCGGGGTTTCCCTTTCACTCGCCTTTCCTATTGCCTTTATCCCCTCGGCTCATATTACCCCACGTTCTATACTATCTCTACACAGAGGTAGCCTATTGTGCATGGACAGACCACCCCTCGGACCCCATCTCATATAGCCCCACCCCTCACCTCAACTCCCTCCATACGTCCGAGCTACTCGCACCATGCTGTCATCCTCCCCGGCGGTCCCGATCCACCGGTTCGATTTCTCGGGGGACAAACGGCGGCTGTCTATCCACACCGCTCACGGTCAGACACTGACCTCGAACGAGGGTCTGCCGTCCCCCGAGCACCTCACGCCCATCACAGGCAACACACCCGCCATGACGCCCCACGGCGGAAGTCCCGACGGGAGCGAAAGCGGTTCCGCGGATGTATCGCGGAGGCCGAGCCAGGTGGATTTTCGAGCACCGCGATGGGAGGGGCAGGACGGCGGAGAGTTGACAAAGGCCAATAGTCGTGGTGGATTGTGGCATGAAGATGTGAGTACTGGTTATCCACCGGAATATCCGGGCCGTATGGTGCCAAGGCGATGTCACCGGGTCTGAATACAATCTTGGCCTTGGTATCCCATCCTCTCCGCTCCTACCGGTCTTGGTTGAGACCTCGTGATCTACAAGCGAGGTTTGGTCTCTCCATTGGTCTGGCTTGGCTTCGGCCATGCTATATTACCTTTGTCAGCAACCCACCTTTATCCCCACTCCACCATGTCGGTTTTCATGCAGCCCCCCACTCATCATTCCCCACACTCTCGCTCAGTATCATGGGACCCTCCTCGCCCCTCGACCCCTTCCCAGAAGCGGCGGTTCCTGCACCCTGATGATATAGTGCGAATCTTTATGAGCCGAGCTGATTCATCAGGGGAATCTACCCCCACCCGCACCGCGCATGATGCCGCGTCAAATCTCTCCAGGCTCGACAGACAGAGTCTCCCCTCCCCTCCACAAACCACGCCCCGTCCCGTCGGGTCTCGCCTTCACTCCCGCCGCTCAGCCCAGTCCAGCACACACGCCCACCGAAGAGCGTGATCGCGGACGGTCTCAGCTCGGTCATGATCCGCACTCGGACCCGCTCACGGCGCCGACCGCTCCCAACTCTCCCGGGGCAAGTCCCGGTGCATCCCGTCAGCCTACCAAAAATCACGGACGGCTGCACGACCTCAGGCGGTTCCTGAACCACCATATCGGACATGACAAGCACGACAAGCACCACGGTGACCGGTCACATGCGCCGTCTGCGCTCGTCACGCCTGCCATGTCGCACGTCAATGACTCTGTGCCGTCTACACCTTCAGGGGTGGCTACGCCCGGCGTACAGAGGCGGGGCGACGGGTTCTTTGGTGTCGGTGGAGGTGATCACGGATTGAGCGGGAACGCTACGCCCGCTGGGGAGTCTCACCCCTCCAGCCAGGTCCCTACTCCCCGTGGAAAGCACGATGATCACGGAGCCAACACCAATCACCTCATCGGCTTTATGCGTCATCACCACAAGGACAATGATGGCGAAAAGTCCCACTCGTCCCTGGCGAGCTTTTTCGGTCATCACCGGGATGAGAAGAAGAAGGAGAAGCGGGCGGGGCACAAGACGCCGACGGACAGTCTGGCCTCGTCGAGGGTGCCAAGTCGGACCACCACGCTGAACACCGAGGCGGACTCGCACAGTACCGTCCATGCCCCAACCCCTTTGACCAGCAACGCGTTCGTCGCGTCCCCTACCGCCACACCCGGGAACGCTACTCCCAAAAACGCCTCGGACTACCCCGGCGTGCCCAACCCGGTCATCGCATTGACCCATCCGTCTCTGCACGAGGCGACGCATGCGCACTTGTCCAAAAAGTACGGCAAGTGGGGCAAGGTGCTCGGATCTGGGGCGGGCGGAACGGTGCGGCTCATCAAGGGCGCGACCAAGCAGGGCGGGTCGACCTATGCGGTCAAGGAGTTTAGGCCCAGGCGGCAGGGCGAGTCGGAGAAGGAATATCAGCGCAAGGTCACTGCCGAGTTTTGCGTTGGTGTAACGCTGAGGCATACCAATGTCATTGAGACGGTGGACATTGTTTGCGATCACGGACATTACTACGAGGTGGGTTTTGCGCTTGACTGAGCTGACCCTAGATTATGGAGTATGCCCCGTACGATCTCTTTTCGGTCGTCATGTCTGGCAAAATGGCCCGCCCGGAAATCTACTGCGTCTTCCGCCAGATCATTGACGGTGTCAACTACCTTCACTCAATGGGTCTCGCCCACCGTGATCTCAAATTGGACAATTGCGTCATGACCCCGGACAACATTGTCAAGTTGATCGATTTCGGAACGGCGACCGTCTTCCACTATCCTGGAAAGCACCAGATTCCGGCGTCCGGCGTGGTCGGTTCGGACCCGTACCTCGCACCCGAGGTGCTCCAGAAGGACTCGTACGACCCCCGCTTGACGGACGTCTGGTCGGTCGCCATCATCTTTATGTGTATGATCCTGCGTCGCTTCCCCTGGAAGATTCCCGACTACAAGTCAGACATGAGCTTCCGGCTCTACGTCAACACCCACCCGGAGCTCTGCAAGCGGCCACCCACCAAGACGCCCGCGCCGAGCATCATGGCGCCTCCATCGTCCAATGGTCAGGGTCACGGGCAGGGTGCACGGGACGGGCTGGCGTCGGACGGGTCTTCGGCCGTGCCGTACCGCACAACCACTGCGGGACAGCCTACCACCCTCGGACCCAACCGGGGCAACTCGGTCTCCACGTCCGACTCATCGGAGCACAGCGGGTCGACCGACGACGACGACCGGGCGTCCATCGCGCCAAGTATGGCCACGCTCCGTCTTCAGGAGTCGCCCGGCGACATGAAGGACCGCTCAGACAAGTACTTTCCTCGCGCAGGAGATAGCGTGTCGTCTCTCCCTGCTTCACGCTATCCGACTGGCGCCCATGCGCCAGCGGCTAGCGGGGCACTCCGCCAGGGCACCCTCCCCGTTCCCGAGACGGAGGGTCTGCTCAGCCCTGATCGCACCCCCAACCGCAATCGCTCGGCTACCAACCCCAATCCCCCGCTCGAGATGCCTACCCGTACGGCCAGTCAGCACGAGCAGCAGCTCCGTCGAGAGCGCGCCGCGTCCATCTCGTCCACCCGGACCTTCACCTCTGGCGGCGCAGAATCCATCTTCCGGCTCCTCCCGCGCGAGTCGAGATCGGCAGTCATGCGCATGCTGGCTGTCGAACCTAGCATCAGGTGTACGCTTTCGGACCTATTGGTCGGGAGAGGCAAGGACGATATGATGTGCTCGTGTGGAAGTGCAGAGTGCGGTGGAAACTTGGGGCTGCCGCCGTCAGAGGTGACGGGGATCACAGATGGGGAGGAGGATGAGGGAGACGAGTGGGTGCAGCGGATCGAGTGCTGTAGTCACGCGAGGGCGAAGGGGGAGAAGGTGACGCATAGCCATATCAAGGTGGTTCAGGATGAGCCAAAGAAGAAGAAGCTGTTCCACTAGGCGAGAAGGGGAAGGGTTTTGTATCGGAGTAGGAAGGTGGCGAGGAGGGATTGTTGGAAGTAGTCTAGGCTCGCAGCTAGCAGTAGATTGGTTCGTCAGTAGGTAGCAGTAGGCGGTTCGTTAGTATCCACGGATCAGCTAAATCAATGTATTGCCTTGTACTGGTAGCCGCGGGAATCTGATTCAATACATTAGTCTAGCCCTCCAGTCCCCTACTTGATGAAGAGTTGGAGGGAGAGAGGGGGCAACATCGAAAGGGGACTGCGACTGTCTTCCCTTCTCGGAGCTGTACGGTAGCGGTACTGGATCGAGACTATCATTACATATTCAGGAGATACAATACTACGATATAACGATCCACGAACAACTCCTACTTTCCCTCCGCCTTCCTCTCCCCCTTCTTTGCCCCCTTGAAACACAACGTCTCCATCCCCGTCGCCTTCCTGCTGTCGCTCAACAGCTTCCGCAACCCCTCCAGCTCCTTTTGGAAATCATCCGTGTTCTTCTGCCGCTTGTACGCCTGGGAGATGGTATCGTAGATCTTGGACAATGTGTCGTTGGCTTTGGGCGTAACGTATGGATTGACGGATTGATGCAGAAACTCGATCTCCAGTGTCGCCTAGGAGTAAGCTGGGACAAATCTCAGCTAGGAGAAGCACTCACAGTCAACATGCCTCCAGTTCCAAACTTTGGGATCTGCTGGAAGCCCTGTAGAGCCACGTCCGTGATGCCTTCGACCAGCGCCTCGAGTACACGGCTGACTAGCGAAGGCGCCACATCCGCGACCTTGACGTGCGACTCGACAAGCTGTATAATTGCCTTGTGCATGTACGAGCGGACCTCTGACTTGTCAGCTGATCGATCCGGTTCAGAAAGGAAACGCACCAGTCGGTTTGCCGGTATTGAGCCAGTCTATCCCACTCCGCAATACCCCATCCTGGACGATCTGCCGCAGTGGCTCCTGTTTCCGCTTGATCAACTCTCGGAAGACCATCCCGTCCATGTTGTCTAGGACTTCGACCAGGGTCGCCTGATCTCGGAACATCTCAGTCTCGAGGACTTTGGCGGTGCGCGTGATGATCACTGGCAGGAGGGTCTGCTTCAGGACTTCGAATTGGGCAAGCGTCGTCAGAAGTCTGGTGTCCTGTACAGTCAGCTGTGGTCCTGTGCGAGTCTACGACTTTGACCGACCATATCCTTCACTACAGCCTTCACGACTGAGACCCTGCTCGGTCGCCGCCCGTTATCCGCCTCTGATGGAGCCATAGCACTGGTGAGGAGCCCATCGAAGAGGAAACACAGCGTATCGACAAAACTGTCCTTGATCCGCCTTTTGTAGTTGTTCGCCAGGGCCTCCTTTTCGCGATGCAGTACAGCGATCCGCTTGGCAGCGACGGACACGCGGTCCTGGAAGGCGTCCACGGTGTTGAGGTAGACCGTACTACCCTTTCGCGACGGCGATGGAGTCCAGTCCTCCAGCGAGTGAAGGGCTTTGGCGTCTGGAATCAGCTTCAGCTTCCACCAAAAGACGTACCCTTCGCCCAAGTGGCACAGATCACCTCCTCCATCCTCCACCTGACATTCTCGACCAGCTGCCTCGAGCTGTTCAGGGCGTCGCTTCCGATATCGACCACGCCCAGCTCGGCCACGCACTCCGCGACCTCGTCGACTAGACGTTCTGCGAAGAAGCAAGCCGTGAGGACGGTAGTTCCAGCTGGAACAAAAGGCGGCACACGCAGTTCTGCTCCGTCTTTGCGGGGTACGTCGGCGAGGCCGGCATCCGACAGGGTGAAGAAGGATGACAGTGAGGAGATGTAGAGGCGGACGATCTCCATTGCCATTGTCCGGCACGCGGATGAGGGGCGAGAGGTAGCAGAAAGGGTACCGGAGGCTTCGCGCTGGACATTAGCCCAAGTAGATAGGCAAGAGGATGCTCGACCTACCTTGCGATACTTGCCATCCATGCAAGCTTTGGCTATACGCCAGAAACCTGGTAAAGAGCGGGTGATATGGTCTGATAGCTGTTTGACGAGGTTCTGTATTGCCAGCCAAGCGGATTCAACCGGAGTAGCTGGAAGTCAGCTGATTCTAGGACTCTGCGGCACAAAACTCACGCTGCTGATCGTTCAGGATGTACTGCGGCTGTGCGAGTTGACGCTTGATGAGGTCGGTGTAGGCAGTCGAGGTGGACGGCATGTGCGCCATCTTCTCCGTCACAGCTGCGGGTCAGCTGACTCTTCGCATCCAGCAGCAAACATACACTTCACGGCCTGCTGGGCCTTTTGCGAGATCACCTTCATCCTGTCGATAATATGCGCATGTTGGTACTCCAGCCAAGCCCAAGCCGGCTCATCCGAGCCTTCCAATTCGATAAGAATCCTGGAGGTCAGCTTTGTCCGCTTTGCGAGCCCTCCTTCACTCACTCAATGACCTTCTCCTGCTCCTCTACACTCTTATTCGAGTCCTTGAGCCCCTCGTCCAGTCTCTTCCGCATATCATCCATGATACCCTCGACCGAGTCCCAGACCTTGTCAAAGACGCGCTTTTGCTGCGCCTTTTGCTCGGCCGTATTGGCTTGAACGCCGGGGATAAGTTGGCCAGTTTTGGAGGTTTTGAGGAAGAGGCCTTTCTTGTAATCACGCAGAGCTTGGTCATATTTGCCCTGGGATCAGCGGCTGTTTTCGGATATAGACTCACTGCGTTGATAGACTCCAAAAGCGACCCCGGGAGGTTAAAGAGGAACTTGGACCGTTCAAATACGCCCAACGTCGACCGAAGCTTCTGCGCCTTGACAGCATTCTCCAGGACGGGCAGGAATACCTGATCGGCTCGGTGTGCAGCCACTGCCTATCAGCTGTGTATCGTATAGTGTTTAGCTCACCTTTGAAGATCTCCCTGACTTCCCGAGTTCCGTGATCCGTGTCCCCAGCCAAGAATCCAAGCTTCATATCCTTGTATACGACTTCCATATCAGCTTTGAGCCGCATAACTTGAGTGGTATTCACTGACCGTCGCTAGAAGCCTTGACAGCGACGAAGCGGTCAAAGTTCTCCTCGACAAGAATACGAACAGCTTCCGACCGCGATTCAATTGCTCGCTCAAGATTTGCTATTCCCCTCCGAAGGTCGGTGTGGGTCGCGTCGGGGTGGTGAGCTGACAAGAACGTCTTTGCATCGAAAGCTTTCGAGCCAAGTGAGGTCGCAGTACCTGATGTAAGCATAGTCCCGATATGGTAAGGTAGGACGAACGAGTCCTGATATCCAGATCCTTGGCACTGCAAAGTCAGCTGTGGCCACAGATGGTAAAGGCACTGGGAAGCTCACCCTGATAGCCTCCCCCTCAAGCCTAGCGGATCCAGTTCTTCGGCCATCTTGCCGTCCTCGCCGGTCATGGTCCCCGCGAGCGGTCCCTCCTTGTCGTGGTCGACCGACTCCCAGCTCTCGGGGTTGAGCGAGGAGATGCCATACAGCTTGAGCACTGCCAGTTAGCGAGTCCGGATACGTGAGTGTTGATCCCACCTGCGGCCTCGTCTACATCATGTCTGCTCATTGTGCCTAGGTCGAATGATGTATAGTTGCGGAATGAGGAGTTGTTGCGCGGCAGCTTGAGCGCGCGCGTCATGTTGTGACTCCACGTGGCTCTCATTGTTCCTGCAGCATGGAGCTCATGAGGCGGCCTGAGCAGGCCTTTGCACCTGGCCAAAACACATTATGCATCTATAGATCTACTCCTTCTACGTCTTTCCTAACAGGCATCCCCCTCTTTGCCAATCCATCCTTGACCTGCCCGATCTGCACCTCCCCTCTGTGGAATATCCCCGCTGCGAGCGCCGCCTCTGTCCCCGTCTTTTCAAACACCTCCTCAAAGTCCGCCACCGACCCCGCCCCACTACTCGTCACCACCGGGATCGACACCGCGCCCTTGACCAGCCTGACCAGATCGAGGTCAAAGCCAAGACCCGACCCGTCCCTATCCACCGAGTTGAGCAGAAGCTCGCCTGCGCCCAGCTTTTCTACTCCCCGCGCCAACTGGATCACGTCTATATCCCGTACGGCCCGCCCGCCTGAAATGGTACATTGGTACCACCACGCCTTGCCCTTTTCTTGGTCTTTCGTACGTGTTGTGGACGTCTCGCCGGTAATGACACAGTCGCGGTGTTTTGGGTCAAACTTGTCCAGCCAGTCCGGGTCCGAGGTGTCGATATAAACTCGCTTGGGGTCTATCGAGACGACGACCGCCTGGGCGCCGTACCCAGCCGAGATGGTCTCAATGGCGGTCTTTCCCGTCAGGCCCAGACCCTGCGCCTCCCGCTCCAGCAGCTCTTCCACCGCAAAGACCGCCTCCGAGCCGATCGACACCTTGTCCGCCCCGCTTCGGAAGTATGCGCCCGCTACTTCCAGCGCTGACCGCTTGGTTCCATCCGGGTCAACGGTATCCTTGATACCACCGCCGACCGTGAGAGGGACGAAGACCGTCTCTGCCGCCGCACGGACAACCTCCAGCATAGGCTGATCGAGGAGCGCCGAGGACCGGAACGAGGTGATGTTGAGGAAACACACCTCGTCCGCTCCTTGCTTGTAGTACTTTTGCGCCAACTCGACAGGTTTGCCGAGATTCCGTACGCCCCGGTCTGATGACTTTTCACGGACGTCGTATTGGTCGCCTTTGGTGACCACGAGGTCCCCATTGTCATTGGAGCGGACGTCCAGGCAAGCGACGATACGGTTGGTGAGGCCAGTGCCGGACGAGCGGGCGGATTGAGGCGGGCTGGGGACCCAGCTACCGATAGGAGGAGAAGGCGAAGAGACGAGGGATGTGGGAGCTTCCAGCCAGCGACGGAGGAGGTCGAGCCCGGCCGGACCTGACTTCTCGGGGTGGTACTGTGTCCCGTAGACGTTTCCGTATCTGACCGACGAGATGAATGTTTCCGAGCCGTACCGGGTAAGCGAGTAGACGTACTTGCTCACTTCCGTCTCTTCTTTGGGGACGATTCCCGCGAAAGAGTGGACAAAGTAGTAATCCTCGTCCAGCATCAATCGCTCTTCCCCCTGATCTCCCCACGCCAGCCAGGTATCGTTCCACCCAATGTGCGGCACGGTCTTGCCCCGCCCATCCCTCGTACCGTGCGTGTCTGAAGAGTCGAACCTGGTGATTCCGTACGGGACAACGCCGAGACCTTTGAGATCCGGGGATTCGGTAGAGGAGGCAAAGAGGACCTGGAGCCCGATACAGATACCAAAGTAGGGTCGGCCGGAGGCAATGTAGGCTTTGAGCGGTTCAAAGAAGCCAGACTTTTGGAGGGAGGTGATCGCTTGTCCGAAGGCGCCGACGCCAGGGAAGAGGAGTTTCTAACAGTAAGCTAAATCGTAGACTACGGGGTGAACTCACCTCGGCCTTGTCGAAATCCTCGACCGACTTGATCCACTCGAATTCCCATCCCAGCTTTTTTATCGAATTGGCAAGACTGCAAGTCAGCACAAGGGATGTATGAGAGGCTAGAGGAGCAGCCTGATGAGGTCGATGTAGGGTGTTGAACACCTGAATGACACCGAGCAGTCGGGATAGGTGGACATGCCAAATTTCGACAGGTCGCAACTCACCTTCTGACGTTGCCTGCCCCATAGTCCAGTATGTACAGCTTTGGCCGCGTGGATGCAGAGTGACCGCTCGGCTGAGGGACTTCAGGTGTGGGAAGTACAGGATCCATGTTGAGGTAGGTAAGGTAGAAAGGAGGAAGTCAAATGTACAATGTCGAGTTCGGCGACTTTTCAATCTTGGATCTTCTCCATAATCGAGTCGGCCTAAGCTCAGCACAAGCCACAAGCCCAAGTCAGCCTTCGCTAGTTACGGTGGCTTCGCTGTGGCTTCACCGTGACAGCTAGGGCAACCTGAGGCGCCAATACGCCATCTATCTACCAATGGCTACATGCAATCACCAAGCTAATCCTTATCCTTCTTGTCCTTTGATGCTTTGCTCTGCGCCCTCTGCCTCATCCTCCCCCATACCGTTCCTGGCTTGCCCTCCTGCCCCTCGTCCGCATCTGCACCTGGACTTTCCCCTTCCACTTCTCCCGCATCTTCCGCTGGTCTGTCTCTCGCTGGGAGATGGCTTTTTTGCGACACCTTTGGCTCCTCCCATACCGGCCTCGGATTAAAAATCGCCTCGATGATCACGTCAGCCGGTTGCTCGTTGACGCCCATGAAGGTTTGATGCTGGGCCAGTCCTCGCCGGCCATGATGCCGAACATACAAGGAATGCCTGTGATGAGGGGAGACCTTGCGGAGGTGATAGGGATTCAGGAGGTGGTCCGTGTTTTGCGTAGGAGTGGGATGGTCGTCTGGCTCGCCTGAGGCTGGTCGGCCCTGCACTGACACGCCGAGGGTAGATGGATGACGGGGCATGGGAGTTGGAGGTCCACGATTGGCGTCGGAGGGTTTGAGATGGTGGTCGTAGCTCGTCTTGGCCGGAGCTAGGGAGGTCTTGGATGGACCGGGAATGGAACCGACCAGCGAGGTGGCCGAGCGAGCGGGAGCGGGTACGTTTGCGGATGCTGACGAGCCCGACGAAGAGCCGGACGAGTTGCGGACGAGCTCGTGTAGTGCCGGTTGGTCGTCACCGACCAAGTCTCGAACGCCGGTAACATGATGTCCGTCCTCCAGCGGGGGGCTACCATTAGCTCTGCCTGGAGTGAGACTTACGCTGCCCAATGTGTATCGCCCCCGATCTGCTTGACCTCAATCATAACCCTGATCCGCGCATTCGTCTTGCACCCCGCCAGCAAAAACATGCGGTGCACCTTGCCCCTCCCTGCGAACTGCGCAAAGTCCGAGTGCACTGTCCCATACAAGGTCTTGCCCTTGTGCTTCTCCCTGCCTTCGCTCGCCTGCCTGTCGGGGTGGCGCTTTGCAACGTGCACCCCGTGCATGACCGACAAGGCATCCTTGTTCATGCCGTTCGGCCCGTCGCTCAAAGTCGACCCCTGGACCTCGTAGATGCTGAGTTTGAACCCCGACTCCGAGTCCCGTCCTCCGCCGAGGAGCGGCGCCTGCTCGCTCTTGCCCGGCGTCGATACGCCAGACGCAGAGACGGGCTTGCCGAGAGGGATTTTGATGGTGTGATGGATGGTGAATTCCTTCCAGTTGACCGTGTACTGGTGGAGGCTGCTAGGGGGAGTGCTGCCTTTCCGATGGGGGCTGGACGTAGCGTCCGAAGCGGTGCGACGGGCAGAGGACGTGGAGAGGATGCGTGAGCGTTTTGGCTCGGGAATGGTCTCTACTGAGCGAGCGGTGGCGGAGCGGGTGATGGTGGGTGGTCGCATGAGGGGGAAGTCGCCTCGACCGGGCACGGGGTCGAGCAGGGTTGCGGCGGAGGGAGTGGTACCTGACCGGGTCGCAGGGAGATTGGACCTAGGAACTACCGCTTCGTCGTACAGCTTTCGGCTCGGACGTGGAGCTGTCTCGCCAAAGTAGACGACGCTCGAGGCAGCTGGACTGCTCTTGTCCGAGCTCCCGGTTTCTCCACTGTCCAGGCTGTTTTGCCGCTTTCGTCCACCAAAGATTTCGGGCGGAGGGAGTAGCTCTGGGCTCTCGGTCACGGGGTGCTCGGTGGAGGGTGTGACGGGGCTAGAGTCCGGGCCGATACTCTGACGGAGAGGCGTAGGGTCGGTGGGCTTTTTGATTGCACGGGGCGAGGGCGGATTGGAAGCCGCGGGAGAGATGGTGAGGGGAGAGAGGGTGATGCCGAGCCCGCTGATGCTGCTGCTGGAAGAGCCGGCGGATGACGGGAGAGAGTGCAGGGAGGCAGAGGAGGCGCTCGCCGCGGGGCCTTCAGTTGTCTTCATATTGGGTAGACTCGGCTGTGTGCGTAGAGCAACTAAGGTCAGCTCTCTCCAGCCACCGACTCACGAGCATCCTTCCCATGCGGTCTCCTCCCGTTGATCTGCCACTCGGTCATAAACTCCCCCTGCATCTGCGGCACCTGCTGCAGCTCCTCGATGGTCATCTTGACCTGGAAGATGGCATGTTTGGGCTTGTCGACCAGCCCCCGCACCCAGCCACGGAGAGACTCGGTGCTCATCTCCTTGGGCACGGTGTGAGCGACAAGGGGTTGGCGAGGGCGAGAGGGGCCGGCATCGGCTGAGCCGTGAGAAACGAGGGATAGGGAAGAGGATGCCATTGTGCTGGGAGGATGGCGGAGGGGGTTGAGTCGAGAGATGAAAATTATAGTTGGCTCGCAACCCGCCACGCCGGCTTAAGTCTCTGAAGCAACGGCACCTCCGTCGATATTACCGAGTGACGGACATGATTATGTGCAAGAGCTGTCTGTCTGGGGTGGATATCCCCAAAACCTGCACTCCTCGTGGGGTAGTGTGTGTGTGCGTGTGGGTCAAAGGAAGGCCTGGCGGACCCGTGTTTCAGCTGCACGTGCTGATCAGGCACGAGCTGCAGTGCAGCAGAGCGGACGGGAGGATGCCGATGAGTTGAGGGCAGGGAGAGGCAGGGAGCGGATGAGGGAGCAAGAGCGAGAGGGGAGGATGGCGTGGTAGTGCAACACGAAAGGTCGATGTCAGCTCTGTAAGAGGGGGCCGAGGATGGAGACGATTTTGGCCGAAGACCGAAGTGACGTCGTGGTCCGAAACCTTACCACATGCCTCCAGCAGCCGAATTTAGACATCGCCTACATCACCCATCATCTCAGCAGCTAGCCGCTTATAGAAGCCATGGAGCATCGCTTCACCGACCGACAAACTAGTATAAAACAACATCTGCGGGTATCAAGCACAACGATGGGGTTATAGGAGAATAGGGACGAAGATGGCAGACTCTTTAGGAACTTCTTTGCCCGTCGGCCCCGGTCATAAAAGCGCGATCCATAATCATCTATCTAGTACAGACATCCTGCAGACCCTTCCGACTATATTATATAATAGCTCCCCCACTCTCTACTCCTGCCTACTAAGATTCTGCATCTGTACCAATTCGAACTGAGGCGTCAGCTGCATTCCGCCAAACTCGGGGCCAACTCACATAAGCTCCCCTCTTCGCCAATAACTCCGCGTGCGTTCCCTTCTCTGCGACCCGTCCCTCGGCAAAGCAGTAGATGATATCCGCCTTCTGGATAGTCGATAGTCTGTGCGCAATAGCGATCGTCGTTCGTCCCTTGGCCGCCCGGTCGAGGGCATCCTGTACCACCCGCTCGGACTGCGAGTCCAATGCCGAGGTAGCTTCGTCCAGGAGCAAGACCTTGGGGTTTCGGATGAGTGCACGGGCAATGGCAATTCTCTGTTTTTGGCCGCCGGAGAGCTGGGAGCCCTTGCCTCCGACCTCGGTGTCAAAGCCATCAGGTAAGGAGACGATAAAGTCGTACTGAAAGTCAGCTTGTTCAGATGACATGCTTACAATGTTGGCATCCTTGCAGGCCTTGATGATCTCCTCTTCGGTCACCTCCTGCATCGGCTTGTTGGCTCCGAGAAGGATGTTGAAGCGGACACTGCCAGCATAGAGGGTCTGGTATCAGCCAAGCTTTTAGTGCGAACTCACAGGCTCCTGCGAGACCAGTGCCATCTGACTTCGGTAACTCGACACGTTCAAATCCTTGATATCCTGACCGTCGAGTGTAACCTTGCCGACCAGAGGATCGTAGAAGCGCTCGAGCATCTGGACCGTGGTGGACTTGCCGCATCCACTCGGTCCGACGAGCGCGACGTACGTCCCCGGCGGAACGTCGATGGTGAGGTCGCGCAATACTCGGACGGACGGACGGGAAGGGTATCGGAAGTGGATGCCTTCCATGCGGATATGGCCTTTGACGTCGACGGGGTTGAGGTGGATACCGTCAGTGGTGAGCGAGTCGACCTCAGGGGCGTAGTCGTGCATCTGGAAGATGGAAGCGGCGGAGCCGTTGGCCTTGGACGCGTCGGGGACAAAGGTGAAGACATTTCCGGCTTGGAGTGCGGCGAAGACCTGGAGTCAGCTCGACCCAATATAGTAGACTGTTGTGGACAACGGGGATGTGTCGGACAAGAGGGTCGCTTGTCTCATCCGGCGTATTTCACATCCCGCTCTCTTCTCTCTTGTCGCCTTTTGTCCCTCATCGCTTTTCTCTCCCGACGAGGAGCGAGGTTCTACCTCACCCCCGCTCATGGCCACCTAGCCATATGTACTGAAGACTTCCTCTTCTCTTTTCCTCCAGCCCTGCTTTCGCACTCGCGTCGGTCCAAGATTAAGGGACTGTACTTACGACTGAAGTCAGGACGGTAAAGAAGGCGGCGGTGGTGATGCGCCCCTCGATGATCCAGAGCGAGCCGATATAGAATACCAGCGCGATGATGAGGAACGAGACACCCTGACTGGCAGCGTAGAGGGCTTGCGACTTGAGAGCACCGTTACTGCCATCAGCCCTATCTCAAAAAGTACTCACAAGCTGACCCGCATCGGCTCTTCCAATGCCTTGGAGTAGATCCGGTCCATATCGTCCTCCCTCGTCAGCGCAGCGACGGTCCTGACCGCTCCAGCAGCTTCAGAAGCGAGATGAGCCGACGCGGCGTGGATCTTCTTCATACGTTGATCCTTGAGGACGACGACCTTGAGCCGGATATAACCGCCGGAAATGAGGAGGGGAATGCACGCGATACCAATCAAGGCGAGGACTGGGGTCAGCCAAACCCAAGACGAACTTACGTGGAGAGTAGATCAAGCCAATAATGCACCCGCCAACTACGGTGGAGATGGACTGGATGATCGTGCCGAGCGTAGGACCAAAGAGACCTTGCACCTTTTGCGGCCAGTCCGCAATGTTACTGGTGACAGCTCCGGTCTATCGTCAGCCTAGCCTACCAGGTGAACCTACAGAGTTCTTTTCCTCGTCAAACCACTCGATATCGTGCTTTAGCGTGGACGAGAAGGCCAAACTCCTGAGCTTGGCGGTCAAGTCCCATCCGGTACGGGAGAAGCAGAGGATCTGTACAAAGCCGACGATGGCCGCTGCGATCGACGCGATAAAGTACCAGCGACTATTGTCAGCTAGTCCCGGATTTGACTTACGCTTTGACAGTGAGATTCTCCCTGAGCTGATTGGTGTCGGTCGTTGCAAAGTCCTGCAAGGCCTGACCAAAGAGAATGGCAAGAGCGGGATAGACGAGACCGTTGAGGATAGCGCCGATGATACCAAAGATGTAGAGCCACTTGCCGGTCCGGTTGAGCTTGATGAGGCGAGCGTAAAGCTTGGTGGCGGATGGGATCCGGTCTGCCGATTCCTCCTCCTCGATCCGCTTGGCCTGGACGGCCTCCATCGCCGCCGAGGCGACGGACCGGCCGGTAGTGGCTCGACCGAGACCGGGAAAGTTGACCTTTTCAGACATGGGCGATCCGACGACCTGCTCGTCGGCCTCCATCTCGGCCGTCATGTCCGCCACCTGCGCCAGCTTCTGGGTTGACACGAGCATGGCATAGGGTCCCGTCTCGTCCGCGAGGAGGTCATTGTGGGTGCCCTGCTCGAGGATCTCACCTGACCCCATGACGATGATGTTGTCGGCGTCCTTGATGGTAGAGAGACGATGCGCGATAGTGATGGTGGTCCGACCGCGGGACGCCTTGTCCAAGGCATCTTGAACGATACCTTCAGACTGCGTGTCGAGCGCTGAGGTGGCTTCGTCGAGGAGCAGGATGCGCGGGTCCGAGACGATCGCCCTTGCAATCGCTACGCGCTGCTTCTGACCGCCAGAGAGCAGCATCCCCCTCTCCCCGACGTTGGTCTCGTAACCATTGGGTAGTTTGGTGATAAAGTCGTGAGCATTGGCGTCGATACATGCCTGCTGAACGAGTTTGAACTTTTCCTCGTCGCTGGCATTCTCCCATTTCGATCCGATGAGACCGTGCTCAACGTTGCCGCGGACCGAAGTGGCGAAGAGAGTGGGTTCTTGAGAGACCAGGCCTGAGGTCAGCAGGGCCAAAAGTAAACGTACCAATTTGCTGCCGTAACCACTTGATATTGAGGTTCTTGACATCCCGCCCGTCCAGCATGACCCTACCCTCAATAGGATCGTAGAATCGCTCGACCAGGCTGACGACAGTACTCTTCCCCGACCCACTAGCACCCACCAACGCCACCGACGCGCCAGCGGGGAATTCGGCCGAGAAGCCTTTGAGGATGGGAACGTTGGTCCGCGAGGGGTAGTGGAATTTGACGCCCTCAAACGTGATGACTCCCTCGACCGAGTCGGGCTTGAGACCGTCTGTACGCGAAGAGTCGATGAGGGATTGACGGTCGATGGTGTCGTAGAGCTTGGCAGCGGCAGCCTTGCCCTTGGAGATGGAGGTCATTTCGGGAGCGAGCAGGGCGATGGAGAAGGAGCCGATGAGGATGGACATGAAGACGTTGATGACGATCCCGACGTCTGCCAGGCCTTGCGAGACGAGTATACCACTGACATTAGCGGTGTTTTAGGAGGACTTACCCAAAGAAAAAGGCCAGCGCATAGGCCGAGTAGATGGACCAGACTAAAGTCAGCTCGACCTGTGCTTGAACTTACACATGATGCTCAGACCCGTAGCCTCGATGATGCTTCCCTTCCTCCCCATGACACGAGCCTTTTCAATCATTCCATCGAAGCGCTTGCCAATGACCAAGCTGGTCCCGAATGCGTGGATGGTCCGGACACTGCCAATGACCTCCTCGGCGAGCGTTCCCGCGTTGGCGACGTACTCGAGCGAGCCGACGGTGTACTTGGAGATGGCCGTAAACATGATGAACCCAGCGACCATGATGACCGGCAGGATGGCCGAAAGCGCAAGGGCGAGACGCCAAGACCGGGCGTAAGCAAGGGCGAAACCAGTGACAAAAGTGGCGGCAAACATGGTCGCGTTGGCTACTTTTCTAGGGGTCAGCCATGCCAAATAATGACCTACTCTGAAGTTCCCTCTTGGACCAAATGACAATCCGTCTGGATCCTTGTCGCCACCTCACCCGCACCGAGATCATCAAAGTAGGCAATCTCCTGCCTCAACACCGCCCGCAAGTACGCCTCGCGTAAGCGCTTCGCGTTGAGCTCTCCCGTATAGTTCCAGATGAACATGTACAGGTAGGTACAGACAAACATCCCGAGACCGATCGCGACGAGGTAGAGGGCATTCTTGCCCGAGTCCGATCGAAGCTCCGCCTGAGCGTCCGAGAGTGCCTGTAGGGTGCGGGCGTTGATCCCCTCGGCGGCGATTTCCTGCGCGATGATTGAGAATTGGGTGAATGAATTGGTGAGCCGGCCAAAGATGAGGGTCATGAGCGGTTGGGTAGCGCCGGCTGCTGCTGCTAGGAAGAGACCGATGATGTCAAGCATTATCTCGAATTTGGTTGCAAAGCGGAAGAGGGCAAAGAGCGAGACGGGAGGGAGCGTATTGAGCTCGTCTTCCTTGTCCTTGCCCTTCTTTGCCGCTGCATCCTTGTCCTTTTTGCGAGCGAAAAAGCCCCTCTTCTTGGGCTTTTCGCTCACCGACGCGGCGTGCTTCTCCGAAAGATCCGTGGAAGATGGCGACTCCTTCTTCTGGGACGCCAACTGAGCGGCGACCTGAGCATCCTCTCCTTTGAGGTTGGGGTGATCATCGGACGAAGCAGATGAGGTGGCGTGGAGGGTAGGAGCGGTTGATGTGGATGTGGAGGTGACAGGGGGAGGGGCGTGGAGACTGCCGATCGCGCCAGGGAGGGGGATACCGACCGGAGGGACGGTCAGCTCGGACTGAGCGAGCTGACGCTCATCCTCGGCGAGGTGTTCTTCCCGCCTTTCCGCATCGGCGTGGGATGAGGGATGCCCGGATGGGTTGGGAGGGGCGATATCAGCCATAGTGTAGGGTGTATCGAAGGTGTGCTTGAGGTTTGTGAGAGGCGATAAGCGCGTGTTCGGGCTCAGATCGATGCCCGAGTTGCGACTTTCGGTGGCGATACCCAGCTCCTTTATACCGCGAGTGCTGCGTGTGAGCTGCGGACTGTTCGCAGCTGGCCAAGACGGATGTGTTCACAGACAAGATGCAGTATCAAACAAGGTCCTATTCCAAACTTCTCATGCACTGACGAGGCGTATCGGCCGATGCCAAGTTGCTCCGCGTGAGCCAAAAGCGGGCGCCGGTTTCGGATCCGCAAAAACAGCCCGCGGACCGCCGCGGAAGGGGTGAGAGCTGTAGATCGCAGCTGTGGCGGTGTCGCAGTGGTAGGTCGACCCCTGCCTGTCGCAGTTCCGCAAGCTGACAGCTGGGGTGCGCTACATAGTCTCGACGCAGCGAACTACATCCGCATATTGCTAATCGCGTATCACTATGCAACTAGCTGCAACACCGTTCTGATGACAAGCCTGTACATTGGACGATCTGCTTCTGACGTGACCCTTCGTATACCCTGCTAACTCCCTACTTTGACGCCTTGACCTTGGCGATAATGTCGTCAATCACGCTTGGCTCAGCCACTGATGACAAGTCTCCCAGCTGGTCCGCCTCTCCCGCCACAATCTTCCTCAATACTCGGCGGACGATCTTTCCGGACCGAGTCTTGGGCAGGTCGTTGACGAGGTACTACAAGTCAGCGGCCGCTCAGCATACTACAACTTACAATCTTCTTTGGCGCGGCAAATGGCCCAATACTCTTCCTGACCTGAATCGCCATCTCCTTGTTGAGCGCCGCGGGGTCGATATTGTCCTGGTCGAATTCGGGCTTCATGCAGACAAAGGCGTAGACGGCCTGACCAGTGATGTCATCGTGTGATCCGACGACGGCGGTCTCGGCGACACCCTTGTGAAGGATCAGAGCGGACTCGACCTCGGCTGTGGATAGACGATGACCGGAAACGTTGATCACATCTGAGATCAGCTCAGCCCAACTGGTAAACTCACCGTCCACACGTCCCTTGATCCAGATGTACCCGTCGGAATCCCTCGCCGCACCGTCTCCAAAGAAGAAGTACCCAGGGTAGGGCTTCATGTACGTCTCGAGATACCGCTTGTGGTCCTTGTAGACTGTACGAGCCAAACTCGGCCAGTGGTCCCGAGCGACCAATACACCCTCGACATCATTCCCCTTGAGCACCTCACCGGATTGGGGGTCGATGATTTCCAGGTCGTACCCAAAGCATGGGAAGGTGGCGGATCCGGGCTTGGTGCTGATGGCTCCGGGAAGAGGAGCGACCGCGTGCGAGCCGGTCTCGGTCATCCAGTACGTGTCGACAATAGCGCACTTGTTTTTCCCGGCAATGTCGTTGTACCAGTGCCATGCTTCCGGGTTGATGGGTTCACCGACCGTACCGAGGACGCGGAGGGAGGAGAGGTCGTGCTTCTTGACGTGCTCCTCGCCGAGACGCCGGAGAAGACGGATGGCAGTGGGCGCAGTGTACAGCTGGGTAGCCTTCCACTTGTCGACGAACTCCCAGTAGCGCGATGGGGTAGGGTAGACGGGGGTAGATTCGAACACGGTCGTAGCGACACCGTTGGCGAGGGGACCGTATACAATGTAGGTGTGACCGGTGATCCATCCCACATCAGCCATGCAGGCGAAGCGGTCTCCGGGGTGAACGTCAAAGACGTACTTGACAGAGAGGAGGGCTTGGAGGATGTAGCCGCCGGTAGAGTGGACAACACCCTTGGGTTTGCCGGTAGAGCCAGAGGTCTGGGTAAGCTCAGTCAGCAGTCGGACTTACGTAGAGGATAAAGAGGGGGTCTTCCGAGTTCATAGGCTCGCATGGGCAGAATGGCTGGACCTTGTCGCACTCGTCGTGCCACCACGCGTCCCTGCCCTCCTTCATGTTGACCTTGCCGCCAGTGCGGCGGAGCACAAGGACGTGCTCGACGAGGGGGCAGCTTTCGAGCGCATTGTCGACGACTATAGTGTGAGCTTGCGCGCGCGGGATGGAGGGTTGACTTACTGGCTTTGGTGGCGATGGACTTGCCGCCTCGCCTTCCCTCACTACTGGTCAGCGCTGCTGCAACGTCTGGACCTACTCGGTGGTGATCAAAACTCGGCAGTCACAGTCATTCACTCGGTCGCGAAGACTCTCCGCACTGAATCCAGCAAAGACGGCCGAGTGGACCGCTCCGATACGCGCGCAGGCCAAGAATGCAGCCGCTGCTTGCCAGGTCATGGGAAGGCTAATGTCAGCCCTGAATTTGCTCAGACCTACTAAATGCTGACAGTGTCGCCCTTCTTGACGCCCCACTCCTTGAGCACGTTGGCGACTCGGCATGTCTCCTGCATGAGCTCCTCCCAGCTAATCTCGCGCCCCTCGGAAGGCTCGTCCGCCTCGTAGATGATGGCAGTGCCTTTGGGGTCCTTGTAAAAGTGCCTGTCGAGACAATTGTAGGCGGCATTGAGCGTTCCTTCCGGGCTGCGGGTCAGCTCGCGTTGCCACCGGCAACAGCACACTCACAACCACTGTACATCTCCCGCCTCAAAGCCACCCGCTCGCACCGTCTTGAATGGCGTAAACCAGCTCAGCTCCTTCTCCGCCGTCTCCTTCCACCACTTGTCGCTGTCCGGACCGACCGTCTTCTCGTACTCGCTGAGGTAGGCCTTGTAGTCGGGGCCAATGTGGGGCTTTGGGTATTCACCATCGCCCTGGAGACGAGGGGGAGGGGGAAAGACGTCGTTTGCCTCGTCAACCGAGTCGGGGAGACCGTGTACTTTGCCCATTGTTGATGTTGTCTGTGGATAGGTGTATGGTTGATGCTAAAGAGGGTAGTCGTGTAGGTGAGCTATATAGTGAGCGGAGAAGCTGACCTCGGCGTCGGTGACTCCGCCTTCCCCACTTTTGGCTAACCCTGAACCTAAGCTTCGGTTACTACAAGTATCCGGCCGCAATGGCCCGGCCTTCGATCATTCAGCCGCTACTGTAAATCCGGAATCAGATCGGCGGACAAGAGATCCGGACAATTACGGCCGGATTGCCGTAAGCCCTCATGAGGGAGCGATTATAACGGAGAGCGTCGAGCTGCGTTGCTCACACCATATCGCCTGCTGCGCATGTAAGAGTACCACTCCAAGAGCCCAGCAAGCTCTGGGGTGGACAGAATGAATGTCTTTGACCAGCTCTTTGCAGGAAGCCGAGCATGGGCTCGATGTCGAACCTAGATTTGAGTCCGTGCGACCGTTGACGAGGAATGTTCGCCCGCGTCCCGCGGCCTGGAATTTTGCCCTTACCTCTCCTCATTCATCTCCCCTGCTCATTTGGGTCCCAGCATCCATGCCTGTCAGCGCTGATCGGAGACGCGTAGCGGTCATAGGCTCTGGTCTGGCAGGCCTGACCACCGCGTACCTGCTCAAAAGAGAGGGAGTCGAGGTCTGGATCATCGAGAAGGTGAGTTGATGAAATTCTCCGAGCTGATGTCTAGTCTGATCGCCTCGGATTTCACTCTGCTTCTGTCGAGATCCCACTCGGCCTCGATGAGGCTGTCCAAGTGATAGGACCCTCTGCTGGCAAGAAGCAGTCGAAGGGCCGAAAAGGCGGGCCTAGATGGATTGTTGACGTGCCAATGCGGAGCTTTCAAGGAGGTTCGTACGCTTCACGACCTGGGCTGATGACAGGCTATTATCCTCTTCTGATAGCGCTGTATCGTCACCTCAACATACCTATGATACCGACGTACTGGACATTCTCCTTCTCCCATCTCACCTCCACGCCGAAACCCGATACCAAGCCTTACTTTATCCATACCGGAGCGTCGGGATCAGCTATACCCTCCTTACCATCCAAGTCCTACGCGTCGCCCCGAGCACTCACTCGAGCGATCGCCAGCTTCCTGGGAACTGCCTGTGCCTACCTTCTCTGGGTAGTCATCGCCGCCTTGGGATGGCATGATCTCCTACCTCTCCGCCACGGTCGCCAAACGACACTGCGGCATATGACCGCACGGGTCTCTCATCACCTCACCTATCCCCTGTCCTACTTCTCCCACTCCTTGCCACGAGCGTCGGCTCTGGCTTCGCCCCTCGGCAATGTCTTCGAAGCCTTTGTATACGACATCATATTACCCCTCTTCTCCGCCGTCGGTACAATGACCACTTCGGACGTGCTCGACACCTCAATCGGCAGTCTGCTCGATTACGTCCACTCGACCGTCGGGACTTCTCATTTCACCCTGGCTCCTGGGATCTCTGCTGGGACGGTCGCGATGAGGCTGGCGGAGGAGGTAGGGGCGCAAGGAGAGGGATATCTGAGGGTTGGCGAAGAGGTTTTGGATTTGGTGTACTCGGCAGGAGAGGGGAACATCACGGTGAAATGTCGAGGCGGGGATATCGAGGTGGATCAGGTGGTTCTGGCTACGCAGGCCAGCGCAGCGGCTGTGCTTTTGGGAATGCTAGAGAAGACTTTGAAAGCTGGAGCAGAGGCGGAAAGGAGTAGGGTGTCAGGAATGAGGGACGCTTTGAGTGAGGTTGAATATAGAGTGAGTTATACGTCTTCGTATAGGTCTCTAGCTGACGAGCAGGAAACAATCGTTGTCACACACAGGGACCGGTCAATCCTGCCTGGCAAGGCAGATCAACGCGAAATCAACCTCTCCACTCCGCTCAGCACAACACCGCGCGGATTCACCCAAGACGAGGACGTAGCAATGACACCGGCGCTCTCCACTTCTTCTTCGGTGTCCTCTCCCGGACCCTCCAGCCCTGGTTCACCCTCGCCCTACGGGCAAATCCCATTTTTCGCTCCTCGCGATGGCTGCGTCTATACGATGGGGACCCATATCGTACCGCCGCCTGCGTCCCTTCGTCAGCAAGGAATAGACGTGGCGGAAGTGCTGCAGACTACAAATCCGGTCTGCCCTATCGATGCAGAGACGGTGTTGGCTGTGTCTAGGATGGAAAGGTGGGACTCTCCTACATGGTTGATCCTCGAGCTGATGATCAGAGCACTTCCATTGCGCGACCCGACCATTTTCAAGCGCCTTCACCCCTCGTCATCGCCCACGTCGCATCCCGCCCTGATCCACCTTGCTGGCTCGTACGCGTACCCCGGAATACCCCTACTCGAAGGCTGCGTAGGAAGCGCCATCAACGCCACAAGTGTAATTCTCGGGAAGCCGCGACAGGAAATAGGCGGTCTGGACTGGAGTACAGGGAGAGGAGGTCGGCTGGGGAGGATATGGAGGTGGAGGCGATCGGGGATTGTAGATCGCTGAGCAGACTGGGTAGGGGAGTGTGTAATCTGTGTATACATATCATTGGGCACCTCCGCCATCGCTCAAGTAAAGCTTACACCTCACCAGTCATGACTCTGTCCCGGGCAAAGGCCCGCAGCGTTCAGAGGTATCTAGGCGGTAGCGCTATCAAATCTCGTTGGCCTTGATTCTTGGAGAGGGATCGGGTCTCTGTTCTCGATCTTCACCTCTCTTACCTCGATGGGGAGTACGGAGGGAAGGGGCGGCCGTCACTAAAGGGGACCGTTCATTTCGTGCTGTCTTCCCTTCAGTAGCAAGTCTATCGGATCTCGCCGATGTCCGAAGAGCGGCTCCGAGTCAAGGTCCGTCCGGACTCAAGCGAAGGTATGTACCTCCCTTGTCTTGAGCATTCAGGAGATGATGTATATGCCTTTATACCTATCACACGCACACATTGTACAGCGTACATTGCTTCTTCCCGCCAGGCATAGCAGTCATCAAGATGTACGCTCTTCGCCTCCTCCCTCTCGCTCGACCCGCCCATCGCGTCCTCTCACCGCACCATGCAACCCGGTCCTTGTCCGCGCGAGCAAGCAGAGTCCTCTCTGCTCTGGACTTGCCGACTGATGGTTCTCTAATCCCCGGAATGTACGATGGGCAGTGGGGAGGTAGCGGAGCCGTCCAGAAGAGTATATGCCCCGCGACCGGAGAGGTCATAGGCCAGGTCCAGACTGTATGTCCCCTGCTCAGCGATAATGGATTGAGCTAATCCTCAGGCCAATGTAGAGGAAACCCAGCGAGCTATACAAGCTACGAAAGGAGCTTCCATTCTCCTGCGGAGGATGCCTGGACCGCAGCGCGGGGAGGTGATGCGTCAGATCAGGGAGGCACTGGGGGCCAAGACCGCGGCTTTGGGGGATCTTGTCAGTCTGGAGATGGGCAAGATTAGGAGTGAGGGCAAGGGCGAGGTGCAAGAGGTAAGTGCTTGTACCTTTACCTGCTGTAATGGGTGGGAGATGATGCTGATCACCACAGTTTGTCGATATTGTATGTCCTATTCCCCCTACCCTACCTTTCCCATACTCCTCCTGTGGTACCGCGAGCCAGAGATAGCCTCGTCCTCCTACGCCCATGTACTATCTGGACGATTTTGAGCTCATAGGTTGTAGTGCGACTACGCTACTGGGCTCTCGCGGAGTATGGCTGGACGGGTACTTCCCTCCGAGCGGCCAGAGCACGTGATCTACGAGAGTAAGTCCCGCTTTACTATCTGTGTAGACGGACCATCGTCATTGCGAGGGAGTGCTCTGGCTGCAAGGTTGTGACCCATGCGCAATGCTGATCCTAAAGTCCCAAATCCTCTCGGAGTGGTCGGCATTCTATCCGCCTTCAATTTCCCCGTATGCTCCGTCTTCTCCCCTATAGCCCCATGAAGCTGACTAGCAGGTCGCGGTGTATGGCTGGAACTTGGCCATAGCCATGATAACAGGCAACAGCACGATCTGGAAACCATCACCCACGACTCCGCTTTGCGCTATCGCCGTCACGCGCCTGATACAGCCGGTCCTGGAGCGGAATGGGCTACCGGGAGCAGTGGCAGCGCTGGTATGCGGAGACGTGGCGGTGGGGAAGGAGATTGTGGGTAGCTCTGACGTGGACATGGGTGGGTCCTAGCCTGCCATGAGACATTGGAGCGGGCTAATGCGCATCAGTCAGCTTCACGGGAAGCGAGAAGATTGGCAAGGAAGTAGGCAAGGTCGTACAGGACAGATTTGGCAAGGTAGGCTCTATTCCGAAGCGGACATATTGCCTTGCAGCTAAGCAGCAGGCGCTACTAGAATTGGGAGGGAACAACGCCGTTATCGTCGACAAGGACGCCGATCTCCAAATGGCCCTGCAGGCTGTGATCTTTGCTGCGGTCGGAACGGCGTGAGTGATATCTACCTTAGACATGCGTCGAGCTGACAAGCAGTGGCCAGCGGTGCACCTCCACCCGCCGACTATACCTCCACCGGTCCATCTCCGCCCAGTTCATCTCCATGCTGCTCAAATACTACGACTCCGCCTCATCCCAGACAACCCTGAAAGCTGGAGATCCGCTCGATGATGCCTCACTTATTGGACCACTGCACACTTCGGGCGCTGTAAAGCTCTATGAGGATGCCCTCGCAGGCATCCAGAAGCGGGGCGGGAAGGTCCTGACGAAGAGGTCAGGGAAGATGGATGTGGGTATGGGCGGGAACTTTGTATGGCCGACGATCGTTCGACCGACAAATGACGATCCGTGCTGGACCACCGAGTAAGTCAGAACGCTGGTAGACTGTGACTGAAGCTGATGTCACAGGACGTTTGCGCCTATCCTGTCCGTTGCGGAGTTCGATACGCTTGAAGAGGCCATTCAGTAAGATCTTCCCTTGACAGTCTGGTCATCGGCTTATACGATAGCCTAAACAACGCCGTTCCGCAAGGCCTTTCCGCTTCGCTCTTTACGACCAACATCCAGTCAATGGGCAAGTGGCTTGGACCGGAAGGTGCAGACTGCGGGATCGTCAATATCAACGTCGGTACCAGTGGTGCGGAGATTGGTGCTGGATTTGGGGGCAACAAATCTACCGTGAGTGTATCTTTCATCCGGAGAGTCACGCTAATCGTTAGGGATGGGGTCGCGAGTCTGGGGGCGATGCTTGGAAGCAATATGTTAGATGGAGCGCCGCGACTGTCAATTACTCTAGCAAGATGCCACTCGCGCAGGGGGTGAGCTTTGGGGTATGAGCATGCAGTCAAGTGAGGCGGATGGAACACGATCTGTAATTTGTCTCATTGAAAATCGCGGGCAATTATTCTAGCAAGGCCACCGCTTGCTCAGGCGCTCAAGGCGGAATCTTTGCATTGCTGCAGTGTAGAGATGTGAATGGAACATACTCTGCGGATCGCCTCACGAGGGTCGCAGGCACATCTAGTGCGGGCAATGGCGGGCAGAGCATATAGGGGAGGACATACAGGCCCGCCCCGCCCCGATCAGCCCTCCCGGCTTCATCCCCCTTGCCCACCCCTTGCACAAGCCTCCTCCAGACTGCCAACAACTGGGTCCGGGAGGCACACGACCGCCCCTAATCAACGTGATGGCGAGCACTGGCCGTCCAAGCGCGCACAGTCAAGGTAAGGACAGTTGACTTCAGTCGCCGCGCGGGGGAAAAAAAGACTTCGAGACAGGGAAAAAGATGGACACCCTCGGGCAAAAGAGAAATCTGTTCCTGGGGGGGTCGAACCCTCGACCTTTCGATGAATGCTAGTGAATAACAGTCGAATGCTCTACCAACTGAGCTAAGGAACAGGCAGCTGTTGAGCTAGAACCGATGTTGGAGGTCGCTCAGCGCAATACATAAAGGTTTTGGGCCTGATCAGATTGGGTCCTGTCCGATCTCACTCCTCGCCAACCCGCGTCCGGGCCCTTCCGAGGCTTTGCTTTGTCCCTCAGTTAAGGCGATTGAACGATCACTCCACCCATCAAGTCCTCTGCTGAGCGTGTCGACCATCAGTCAGGCCTGAGTGGGAAGCCTTCCAGACGGTGTCCGCTTCGATCCGGCACGGCGAACTAAGGGAGCGAAAACTGACTCCTCTCCACATCGTCTGGTAATGTGTCTGCGACAGCATCTTACCCAGGCATACTGACGGGGTGGTCGAATGATCTTGCACTGCTAATGCAGTCCGCACCATGGTTTGAATGAGCAGGCCCCACCGCATACACATTCCTCTGCCTCATGAGCACGGCTGTCTCACTCTGTTTCAGCCCAAAGCTTATATGCCGCTTTCCTATTCTCGATAAGCTCTTCCGACATCCCTCTCCAGAACACTCCCGATCATCCTTTCAGCCTCTCAGCACACAACCTATCAGCATGGGACCAGCTCAGGCCCCTATAATCGACATCCCGACAGAGCTGCACGATCAGATCGTCAAGTCATGCGACGAGCTCTCCAGCAACCGGATGATGGCGACCAATCGGGCTTTAGGACACGATAGATGCCTGACATGAAGCAATATGGAGGGGATGGTGGTGCCTCAGTGGTACAGGTCCTTCCCTGCCGATAGTAAGCTCAACCCAGCTGGCTGACACGCTTCATCGAGCTGACCTTGGCGTAGTCTACACGCCTATCCACCGAAACGTCGCGCGGTACGACTGCTCCCGGTGGCATGAGCGTCGGCTTGTCCTTCGCGCGCCATCTCGACCTCTTTCCTCCGGATGAACACTTGCGCAAATTCGTGGTCGAGCTTCTAGGCGGACCACGAGGCTGGATGGTGTATCTCAGACGGGTCCGTCGCTGCCCAGAGCTCCAGCTCAACATCGTCGACGAGCTCTTCGTCATCGCAACCAAGGGCCAGCCGGAGGATCTCCAGGTCTACCGCAAAGACTACGCCAGGATATGGCCTCGGAAAATCGTTCACTCGCGGCCGGACTCGCCCTCCTCGGCGGGCACAAATCTCGTCCTGCAGATATCGTCGAACGCGGCGGAGCACCTGCTCGGAATACTGGCCTTCTCCATACCGCAACTCTGCTCTTCAATGGTCACGCAGAACTGGTCGATCCGATACCTAGCGGAATATCGGGAGCCCATCGGTGATGCGGTCGAGTCGGTCCCTTCACTCGGCAGGCTGGAGTACCTCTCGATCTGCGGGGATGATTGGTCTGTCGCCCAAATCCTCGAAGCCCTCGGTGGCAGAACCCCACACCTACGGGGGCTTCTTGATCACCTCTCCGCGCGCCCTCTGTCGGCACTCCAGCTCATTTGACGAGGATGCGCCCAGCCCCAGCCACATCTCCATGGCTTTCAGCATCCTTGACGCCCGGTACCGGATGTCGGGTGTCGCTGTATATGGCATCGCCGCCGCCTCCATCTCATCAAGGTTGAATAGCAGTCAGGCGTGCAGTGCAATGGGCGGGATCGAAGATACCACTCACTTGATCCTGGATCAAGCTTCAAGGCGGGTACTTTCCAGACGAGAGTTAATCGACGGCACGTTCTCATGGGTGAGTACACAGCCATAGTCAGATGTAGAATACTCGCTGATGATCACTTAGGATCTGAAGTCCCTGCCCGACCTGCCCCTCATGGGAATCCATACTGCAACACAGTACCCTTCATCCCGTCACACGCTCCACCGCTCCTGCGGCTCGATTTTGCGCCGCCTCCTCTCAATGCTCGGACAGCGAGAGCGGGAGCGAATATCTCGAAGGTACCGGCTGATGTAGCGGTGCCGGGGGCTTCACGGGCTATGGGAAAAGAAGAAGGGAAAGATGTGGGGTTCTGGACGTGAGGAGTGGGATGGGGATGCTGGAGAAGCGGGCAAGAAGGCAGACACGGAGGAGGCGGAAGAAATCAAGGGGGACAGGGAAGACACTGGGAAGCGTAGTGCATTAAAGCCTACCGTGGAGAGGAAGACGGAGAACGAAGGGCGGGCCGGAGTGTGTGTAGGCGAGGCGGATGTGACAGCTAGAATATGGTTTGTGTTCTTTTTTGGCATACATATCGGCCGACTGTGAATGTCAGTAGACTCTCTGGGTAGCTCTGGGTCTTTCGAAACACAAGACACCACTCCAAATACGATCTTGTCTCTTCCATCCGCTTCATACACTCGTAGCTCCGCAAGGAGGACAAGGAATGTGGGGACCCGAACGATCTTCTCTGCGCCAAAAGTTTCTCTTGACAAGTTTTGTTGACAACCTCTTTGTAGCTCCACGTCGTCGTTGTACAGCGCTTTCTCAGAGTCATCATGCCCCCAATCCCAGCATCCCCGCTGGCTCCAGGATCCCAGCAGAAATCTGGTCCAGGCAAGAAGCGGGTCGTCAATTACGACTCCGACTCTGACTCGTCAGAAGCTGCCTCGCCGGCGAAGCCGAAATCTCAAGCTCCTCGAGCGAACGGTCTGAGCTCGGAGACGCCCAATGGATTCTCCGCTTCTTCTCCGTCGCGGAAGCGGTCAAAGGTCCAAGCAAAGAACGGGAGCGGGAAGGACAAGGATGGAGAGAAGCGGCTTAAAGAAGCGGATAGGTTGTGGGAGACGAGGAGAGAATTGCCATTCTACCAAGGTACGTCAAGCTGTGCTCGCGAGCTTGTCTTTGCACATGTACCGAGCGGGACATTGAGGACCCGAGGCGTGCCGAGGCCTTGAGCTGGGCTCGCTCCGCTCCCACTTCCTTTCCGACGTGACCAGACAAGGCGCAGGAGCGCGATTCGAGCGATCGACTGCTGCGTATTTAAGTGGGGTCCGGTCGCTAACAAGACTAGGTCGAAAGACTGTATTGGAAGAGATCTTGGCAAATGAGACCACCATAGTAAGCCACATGCATATCTGTCCGCTCAGGAAGCAGACGCTCACTTCCCAGATCCTCGGCGAGACAGGCTGCGGCAAGTCCACGCAACTACCCCAGCTTCTCCGGCGCAATGCTCTCTCATTAGATCACTACAAGCGAGCGCCAAAAATAGCCATCACACAGCCGAGACGGCTCCCCGCTATCGCTCTGGCAACACGGGTATCGGCCGAGATGGGCGTAGCCGTTGGCGAGGAGGTCGGGTATACTGTGCGATTTGAGGATTCGACGAGCAAGGCGACAGGTGTGAGATTCATGACTGAGGGGGTACTGATGCGGTGAGCTTCACGCGTCAGATTGAAATTCCAGACTGACGTCCCAGAGAACTGGCAAACAACTCTCGAGAAGCCTCGACCTCGGAGCAACAAGGCCTTAATCTGCTACTGCAGTACGACGTGGTGGTCATCGATGAAGCCCACGAGCGGACCCTCAACACCGACTTTCTTTGCGGCGCTCTGAAGACGATCCAACGGATACGAAAGGGCCTAGCGGGGAAAAACGGGAACGGCGCAGGATCGAGCGGAAAGGGAAAGGGCAAAGAAGCGGTGACCAAGCTCAAAATCGTGGTCATGAGTGCTACCCTCGACCCGAGCAAGTTTGTGCGGTTCTTTGAAACGTCAGCCTTCTCTTCGTACCGACTGAGCTGGCGCTGATGGGCAGGGAACGCCCAGCCCTGATCGTAAAAGGTCGGATGTATGACGTGACGACTCGACACCTGCTCGAGCCAGCAGAAGACTTTATCGAGACGGCGGCAAAGCAGGTCATGCAAATACACTGCTCGGGTGACGGCGAGGGGGACGTGTTGGTCTTCATGCCTGGTAAGTTTGGATAGCTGAGTAATCCATGCTTCAAAGCTAATCATCCAGGTGCCGAAGAGATCGAGACCTGCGCCGATACGTTACGACGTGCTTCCAAGGACCTGCCCGATAGCTCAGATAAGGTGCGTCAGCTGGCAGGTACTTGTGTCTATTCGGCGTGGCTGACCCTTCGCAGCTCGCCATTCTGCCCTTATACGCCCAACTCGCACCCGCTGCCCAAGCAAAGATCTTCTCTAAACCCGCTGAAAACACTCGACGGGTGGTGATCGCGACCAATATCGCCGAGACGAGTATCACCATCCCCGGTGTGAGCTACGTGGTTGACACGGGGTTCAAAAAGGAGAAGGAGTACATCTATCGATCATCTGGAGGTGAATTCTTCGATGAGCTGTATGGTCTCAGCTAACGAGCAGCTCTTGAGCACCTGAAATTGAAGTCTGTCAGCAAGGCTGCTGCATGGCAACGGACAGGTCGTGCAGGTCGCGAGGTGAGCAGAACCTGAGGGTTGCTACGGAATCGAGCTGACCCTCAGCGCGCTGGACACTGTTATCGCCTATTCACCGAAGCGGCCTTTGGGGACCTGATCGATTTCGATGCGCCTGAAATACAGCGTTGCGATCTCGCGGCTGCCGTGCTCCAGCTCATAGCGATGGGTCAAAATCCGTTCGAGTTTGAGTATATTGACGATCCCGGCCGAGAATCTAGTAAGCCCTCACTCTTTTGTAAGCGCTGGGGCTGATTCCAGTCCTGGCTGCCTTCCAAACCCTCTCCGGCCTGGAGGCCATCTCTGGACCGACGACCATCACCCCCCTCGGCCGACGGATGCTTCACTTCCCCCTCGACCCCTCACACGCCCGCATCCTTCTCTCCTCCTTCACCCACTCATGCCCTTCCGAGATCATCGACATTCTGTCCCTCGTCGTCTCCGGTCCCGTCTGGATCGACCGCTCCTCCGAGCGCGACGCTACCGCAGCGGCACGGCAAAAGTTCCTAGCACGTGAGGGCGACCACTTGACAAATATGAACGTCTTTCGAGCATACTTGGCCATCAAAGACGACAAGTCGGAGTCGCCGGCCAAGTGGGCCAAAGAGAACTTTGTCAATACAAAGACGCTCCAGGCGGCGATAAGAGTACGGGATCAGCTGCGCGAGCTGGTCAGAAGGGAAGGTGTAGATCCGGCGCTGAGCTGTGGAGGGGACAAGGATAGTGTGGGAAGGTGTTTGTTAAGTGGGCTGTACATGAACACGGCGGTGGTGCAGAGTGACGGGACATATCGACAGACTACGGGCAGCTTGGTAAGTACAGTCCAGGGATGCGAGCTAATCATGTAGCAAGTCAAGATCCACCCGAGCTCGGTCTTGATGAGCAAGAAGGTCCCGGCTATCCTGTATGACGAGCTGGTGAGTGCTTGTGTGAAGCGATGTGTGACCCTCACTGCACGCCAATGCTGATCTTTCAGACCATCACCACCGCCATGTACGCGCGAAACGTCTCCCAATTTGAGCAGAGCTGGCTCACTGACCTGCCGCCGTTCAAACAAGCTGCCAAGGCAAATGGGTCTACCTGAGACTACATCTAGTAATAGCATAAATACATCTACGCCTTGCATTTGCCTGTCATTCAAGAATCACTTCTACCCATCGCTTCCGCTGTGGACTTCGCAGGCTAGATAGGATGGTTCGGTATGAGAATGCCAGGCCGACGGTATCGGCGGTTGATCCTGCCTGAGGTATGACGCCTCGTAGTCCGAGGGCGACCAGGGACGGAAGACGGGCGTTGCCAGGGTGAATGAGGCCGGAGAGGGCGGCAGGGAGGATAGGCATGGAAGGAAAGGACAGGTCCAACACCTGATAGGGTCAGCTCCTGGTTATTGATGGCTCGTGGTTGTGACTCACTCGAAGGACGATCATCCTTCTCCCCATCGCCGCCAGCCCTCTGCGCCATGGATCATCTTCACTCGCTTTCCCCTCCGACCCCGCCAGTCTAATACCCACCATTCCCAGCTCGCGCAGGCCCGCAGGCAAGACGCCGACAAGCTTTTCCAATTCCTTGATGGTCGAGTAGGCCAGGTTGAGTGAAGACAATGATAGTGCGGGGAATGATGATAGTTCGCGAAGGATAGGAAGGGGATTTGGTTGGAGTACGAGGGGAAGATAGTGGAGATCCGGCGGCGCAGATGTGCTGTCTGCCCAATCCTCGGGATCAGAGATTGCGCCCGAGATCTGTTCCTCCATACCGTCTGGCTCGTCCCATTCAAAGGTTGGACGATGGACAATTGCCCGAATGGAGCGATCGCTGAGCCTTGGTCCGCTAGACTCCGGGCGGATAGAAGCGAGATCCAGAAGGGCGATCTTGAGGTGAGGCTCGAGGTAGCCGACCTGCTCGCGCATCGCTTCCCCGATTGTCATCCCTCTCGACTCCGTGCCCGCCTTAGTGCCTTCGCCGACCTCCTCGTATATCACTTCCGTACTTTCCAGGTGACGAAGCACAGCGGTCAAGCAGTGCTCGACCAGCCGGGATGATCCCAGCCCCGGACTCTGTGTGGGTGTCCTCTCGAACATCGCCTGGGCAGCAATGAGATCGCCCTTGGTCACCGCTGAACAGCTCGGCGCAGATGAAGCCGTGCTAGTTGACTGTGGTTTGGAGGATGATGCGACTGCGTTGGCACGCCAGGATGGAGGGGGGACCGGACCCGCAACAGAACGTGCAGCTTGCCGACGTGCGAGCTCAGACCGCCTCAGCAATTCAGCACTGCAGGTCAGCTCGAGACACGATAAATTGTAACGGCGAGACTGACGGGTGGACAGGCGCTTCCCCGCTCATACCACAAGCCACCATCACCAGCAGCTCATCCGCATCTGGAACCACCCTCGGAGAACCTCGCGAGACCGAGCTAGGGCCTACAGCGACATGAGGATGAGGTGGGAGATCACGACCTCCTGTCTGGTGCTCGCCCGATCGAGAGGCAGCTATCAGCTGATTGACCGATTTCTCGGGCTTTCCCGATGACCGCTGGTTGGAGTTGGAGGATGATAGAAGGTGCTTGAAGGCGGGAAGGTGTTTGGGCATGAGGGCGGTGGGCTGTATGATGTGGACAAGGGGAACGGATGCGAAGCTGAACAACGCCGAAGCTTTGGCTGGAGCAAGTGGAGGTGGCGACGGCGGAGATTGCTCAATCTCCAGGGGCTCGTAGCACGATCTAGAGCTCTGGGAAGCTGTCTGGTGGCTATGTATCCTCAATGTGTGTCATTGTAGGGGCAGGATCCGTCTGCACGTACACTCTCTGGATGTCAGGAAGGCTGCCTGAAGAGGGATATAGGGGCCTGGCGCCGATCCGCCACACTCCCCCACCTTACTCCCCCACTTACCCGAAGGGGGAGTTCGGAGGACGCCGTGCCGATGTTACTTGATGCCTTTCAGTCCCCTTGGCCTGTCTGTACTGCCCTTCGTTTGTGTACCACTCGGTCATTATCTAGACGACCATTAGTATGGCAGCCCGGAACTCACCCGCTCAATCCGACGGGGCGAAGAAAGAGAGATATCCGCAGCTGAATCACGAAGCGCGTAAGTAGGCCCGGATGACAGCTTCCCGACACCGATCGCTGACGGCCAGGACCTCGCCATCTAGGCTCTGTAGAAGGTCGCCTGAATCAATTCATAGTAGGTCACGAGCCGCGCCAGTCTGGTACCGTACTGATGCGTAGGGCGGCCACTATGCTGGAGTAAATCTCTCGGCACTCCACTTTGCCGACCGCAAAGACGACCCTTCGCACGTGTCGCTCTCAGTCTGGTCAGCGCCCGGTCGCTCCAAGCCCTCCTTTGCAGAGGCAAAGAGGCAAACCTACAAGGCGACGAAGAAGGGCGAGCAATTTGGACCTAGCTGGACCAACCACTGGTTCAAGATCGCACTGCACATACCCAAGGAATGGGAGGGGTATGAGCGGGTTCAATTCGAGTTTGACTGCTCCGGCGAGGCTATGGTGTTTACGACCGATGGGGATCCTATCCATGGTGAGTCTGGCTCAGAACATAGCTGATGTAGGCCTTACCGGTGGATGGGGCGAAGACCGTCGCGTCGAGTTTATTATTCCTCCGTCGGCACGCAAAGCCGGTGTCGCCCATTTCTACATTGAAGCTTCCTGCAACGGCATGTTCGGTATCGACAACATGGCCCCACCTGACCAGAATCGGTACTACAAGCTCAACTCGGCGGATCTCGTCGTTCCCAACATGGAGGCCTGGCATCTCATGTGGGACTTCCAAACGCTTCACCAGACCATGCGGGAATTACCGGACGACACACCGCTCCGGAACCGATGTCTGCATGTGGCGAATGAGATCATGAATGTCTTTCAGGAGGGATCGCTAGAGTCGGTGACGAAGTGTCGCAAGGTGGCCGAGGAAATCCTGGGCGAGGCGTGGGAAAAGGAGATTGGCAAGGAGAGCAAGAAGGCGGCAAAGGAGCGGGGCGCACTATGGGGTGTTGGGCATTGGTGAGTCTGAGTCTGGGCTAGCTGATCATAGCCACATCGATACTGCCTGGCTATGGCCCTTCTCAGTCACCCAGCAAAAGTCCGCCAGATCCTGGTCGACTCAAATCGACCTGATGGACCGATATCCCGAGCACCGCTTCTCCGCGACCCAAGCTCAGCAATTCAAGTGGACGGAGCAGCTCTACCCGTCTCTTTTCGCTCGAATCAAAGAGCGCGTGGCGGAAGGCTCGTTCCAGCCTACTGGAGCAACCTGGGTCGAAATGGACTGCAACATGCCCAGCGGGGAGGCGCTCGTCAGGCAGTTCCTGTACGGTCAGAGGTACTATCACAGCCGATTTGGGTTCAAGTGCAAGACCTTTGTCCTGCCTGATACATGTGAGTGTCGGTCTAACTTGTTCAGCGCTGAGCTTACTCTGCAGTCGGCTACTCGAGTCAGCTCCCGCAGATCGCCCGCCTCGCTGGCTGTGACAACTTCTTCACCCAAAAGCTGTCTTGGAACAATGATAACGACTTTCCCAACTCCACCTTCAACTGGGTCGGTCTCGACAGCTCGCAGATCCTCACGCACATGACACCGGTCAACAACTACAACAGCCAGTGCAATATGGAGGATATCAGAAGGGGTATGACCGGGAACAAGAACATGGAGGTGACCTGTGAGTCGAGGCTCGCTATCATCGCTGTACACCAAGCACATTCACCGCCCACTGCGTATACCTTGATGTTCTACATCCGTTCTGACTCCCTGTTCACGCCCAACTTTCCTGGCCCTCTTCTCGTGATCAGCAGTCCGCGACCGCCCAACAGCTTACCGAAACCCGCATTCGTAATGATCCTACCTAGAACTGTGGCTGATATGCAGCACAAGCCCTTCTCCTCTACGGCAACGGCGATGGTGGCGGCGGTCCCACTCCGCCCATGCTCGAGAAGCTTCGCCGAGCTCGCGCTATCGGCAAACACCCCTCAGCGGGCGGCCAGATCCCCCTCGTTCACATGGGCGGATCGATGGACGAGTTTTACGCAGCAATCAGGGACGAGACTAAAGATGCTCGACTCCTGCCCAACTGGCGGGGCGAGCTATACGCCGAGTTCCACCGCGGTACCTACACCACCCACGCAAGCATCAAGAAGGGGAACCGGAAGGGCGAGATCCTGCTTAGGGAGGCGGAGCATGCCGCTACGATGGCCAGCATCGCTTCGGCTCCGTACCACTATCCGCAGAAGGTGAGTTTGGTACTTTGGGTATGGGTGGAGCTGACGCTTAGAAACTCGACGCCGCTTGGGAGGATCTCTTGCTCTGTCAATTCCACGATGTTCTACCTGGGAGCGGTATCGGCATGATCTACGAGGATGCCGAGGAGCGGTACGCCAACGTACAAAAGATCGGCGCGGAGGTGTTGAAATCGGCTTATGACGTTCTCTACCCGGGCTCAAAGGCCATCGAGGAGGGAATCTCGGGGATGGATCTTTTCGCTATCAACACCCTACCTGGCGTGCCTCGACTCGAGGTAATGGAGGTTGCCGGAAAGGCGGGAGTAGTCGCTCAGCGGGGCGCGAGCGGGAAGGGATATGTTCTGGTCCAGGCGCAGGACGGGTTGGGGAATGTCAAGGCGCTTGATGGGTCGGTGCAGGGGGTCAAAGGTTAGTCTACACAAGGTCTAGCTGATGATCAGTACAGCAGATTGGAGAGTCCCTCATCATGAGCAACGGTACCCTCAAGATGGAGATGAAGGAGGGGCGGATCGTCTCCGTCTACGACGCCCAGGCAGAGTATGTGGTTTCTGCTTGTTCGTGGGCTAAGCTGACAGGACAGCAAGGAGATCATTCCGGAGGGCCAGAGCGGCGGTCTCGTCATCATGGAAGACCATCCTAATGCTTGGGAGTGAGTCGTTCGCATCGCTCCCAGCTGACATGCAGTGCCTGGGATGTTGATCAGTTCCATCTCGAAAAGCAGACCCATCTCAGCTTTGGCTCGGCCAGCATCGTCGAAAGCGGTCCGCTACGAGGCGTCATCGGCACTTCCCTCCGAATCGGTCAAAGCAGCATCGAAGTACAAGTAAGTGAGAAGGAGGGCCTGGCTAATGTCAGATCATCATGGACGCGGTCCCGGCATCGCTCAAGGCCGATGCCCGAAGCATGATTCGCTTCGACGCCGTTGTGGACTGGCGAGAGAAACACAAGTTCCTCAAGTTTGAGCTGCCAATGACTATCTCGGCCGAGAATGCTACCTACGACACACAATTCGGAGTCGTGTCTAGGCCTACACACCGAAACACCTCCTGGGACAATGCCAAGTGAGCGATTATATTAGATTGTTGAGCTGAGCTAATTCCTAGATTCGAGGTGTGCGGTCACAAGTTTGCCGACCTTTCCGAGTACGGATACGGTGTCGCCATCCTCAACGACTGCAAGTACGGCTACGCGACCGAGGGGAATGTCATGCGCTTGTCGCTGCTCCGAGCTCCGACCGAGCCAGACGCCAATTGCGACATGGGTACCCACGCCTTTTCTTTCGCCATCTACCCGCACAAAGGGACGTTTGCAGAGAGCGATGTGCCGATCGTGGCTGCTGCCTTCAATATGCCTATGCAATGTAAGTCCGTGTTGAGATGGAGCTGACTATAGTGCGGAGTATCTCGGACGCCGACCGGCAAGACATTGCCTCAGTCGCCAAGCGCCCGCCCATCACACTGGAGGGGGCGCCAAACGTTATCCTCGAGACGATCAAGCGGGGCGAGGACGATGAGGCGGACGGGACGTTCTGCATCGTCCTGAGGATGTTTGAGCAGTATGGCGGGCATGCCAGGCCTACCCTCAAGTTGTAAGTGCATCCCTTTCACTGTCTCTCTTCGAAGCTTGATATCGATACTTGAGAGAAGGGGGATGAGATGTAAGTGGAGTTGAAGGAGACCTGGAGATATAGGTTGGGGTTTTGTGTCGGGTTTCTACGTCCTCTTCCTTTTACCTCTTGCCTCGGGTCACCCATATGTCTGCGGTCCGTCGATATCTACAAGGGTGGGCTGACTTGTAGGCGCGATCTGGCGATTAAGAAGATCCAGCTGGTCAATCTGCTCGAAGAGCCGGTACACGAAATCGAGGTAAAATCTACTACTTTCGCGGGCGAGACGGTGCACGATGTGCAACTGTGCTTCCGCGGGTTCGAAATCAAGACAGTCAGAGTGTGCCTTGAGCGGAGGAGGAAGGAGAAAGAGAGGAGAGGGTCAAGCGGGTCTTGGGTCAAAGTATAGTTGTATCGCCCTGCCCGATTTTCCTATTATTCTACTTCGTTGCTCCCCATTTATCAGTGCCAAGTATGCGAGTATATGACCATTCCCTGCTTCAACAGGCTGGTCTACACTCCAGATCAGTGTGAAACGTGCACGGTACAAGTGGGGAAGGCTGTATGCTGAAGTGCATGCATCTAGTTTACCAGAGAACTATAATTTCCAGATCAAGCTCACACCCTCATCCCCGGCACTGACCACTACCTGCTGCAATGGCTTCTCGGCCCCTTCGAATGCCTCCTTCGGTCCCGGCGCCACCGCTACACCGTTGACGAGACCAGCATGCCCCTGGTGTGTAGCAATCAGGGTACCAGTGCGGACGTCCCATGTCTTGAGGTTGCCGTCGGCAGAAGCGGAGGTAACGAGGTGGTGCGAAGGAGATGGGTGTGCGGCGAGTGATGTGATGGGCTCCTGAGCAACGTCAGCTTGGTCACAGATCTGGACGGGAGGGGCTCACGTCGTGCTTGATCTCGGCCCTCACTCGGCCAGTAGCGACATCCCAAACGAACCCCTTTCCGTCTGTCCCGCCGCTGACGAGTACGACTCCCTTCCCGCCGCCGGCCGCACCGCCCAGGACATCAATAAAGACCAGCGCCTCGACACTCTCTCCCTCGGTGTGGCCAGTGAAGGTGCTGACGACATTGCCTGCGGGCAGATTAACGATCTTGACGAGACCGTTCGCTCCCCCGGCAGCGGCAAGCTGGCCGTTAGGCGAGACAGCGAGAGCGGTGATGCCGTGGTGTGAGGGGTCCATGTGCGGGCTGTTGGCGGCGCAGAAGACGGACGTCTTGAAGACGGGAGCGGAGGTACGGGGATCCCAGAGGATGAGGGACGAGTCGAGCGAGGCTGTCAGAAGCTGACGGCCGAGAGGGGGAGGGAAGAGACCGGCTGTGCTGCTGAAAGTGTGAGAGGAAAGGACACCCATGGTGTTTCCAGATGGCACTAGAAATTAGCGGAAGATCATACGAGAAGACTTGAGCTCACATTGCCACATCCAGACTTGCGCATCCTCACATCCAGCGGCGAGGACGTTGCCTTTTGGGTGCCATTGAAGCCACTGATTGGTTAGCACCAGCTCACAGAGCTGTCGCTGAGCTGTACTCACGATGATCTCGCTGCTCGTATCCAGACTGGTCAGGAACTCCCAGTCCTTCCAGGAAGCAACACCGCCCTCCGCTTTCAATCCCTCTTGAGACTTTCTCCGCTGAACTCGCCTCCAAACGCGAACCTTGCCGTCCATCCCGCCTGTAGCTATCATTTCACCGTCGAATGACCAGCCCGCAGCGACAACTGAGTCGGTGTGACCCGTCAGGCGAACGGGAGGGAACGTCTCGGACGACCAAGCGGCGTTCTCGGAGGCGGGCAAGGGGCAAAATATGAAGGCGATATCATCCTCGCCGCCTGAAACGGCCAGAGGTGGGTTGGGGAAGGCGGGGTGGAGGGCGAGAGAGAAGATAGATTGCTGTGCGGCGTGAAGGGCTACAGCATGAGCGGATGCGCTTGCAATCCCTCCATCCTAGACTTACCGCTGACACCCCAACTATTGTCCGTCCCGGCCGGCTCTCCCTGTTCGTCGCCATCCATCTCCATGTCCTCGTCCTCTTCCCCGGGTCCCGGACCGCCGATGACGATTTCTCCGTCGTATGGTCCCTCTCCATCGTCCGGGACGAAGCCACCCTGCACGTCGTCCTCATCATCGTCTGACATGGGCTCGCCAGCATCTCCCTCATCCTCATGGACCTCAACGATATCCTCATCATTGATTTGAAGGTCGTCCTCTTCCTCGACATGCTGGTTGGATTTGCTCGTAGACATCTTTCAGAGCTGCTATCGCCTTCTGTACTTGTGCTAGGGAGAACAAGAAGGGTAAATGTATGATGGGAAGAAGAGGTCTGTCAAATCGCTTACCAAGAGGCAGATGGTTGCTGAAAAATCACCTCCACCGCTCGGACCCGAAAATCTCAAGTCCGTGCCCACCCTTCTATCTTACCAGCTCCCAGAAGCTCTCAAGTAGCTCAAGCCCTCAGGGGATGGTTTCTGGAAGGCTGCGATCCTCCCTCTCCTTATGATACCAAACACCGTACAGGAAGGCTACCAAGTAATGCACGCGGAAACCGGTACCTATTCGGACATGGCGCCGATTCGCCTACGAAACAGGGTGCATTAATATGGATAAGGATAATCTAGGGAGAGATGAATGACACCGCTAGGTGTCATCTACCGCTTGGTATAAGACAAGAAGCGAGCCGCGAGGAGAAGCACAGCAACGTTGAAGACACAGTAGGCAATCTAAATGATTCAGCATGGCATCTGGTCGCTATACCCGTCAAAACTCACGAAAATGCCCAAGTCTCTCCATCGCGTGTCGAAGCTGATAGCGAGTGGCGTATAGAAGCTCTGGCCGACTCGGTACTGACAGAACTCGCAGGTGGCGGGGGCAATAGCCGAGGGGTTGTTGATGTAGCCTCCGACGGCGGTAGCGAACGCGCTGGCGTAAGCGCCGCAGGTCTGGCCGTTGGGTGGGGCTACCACATGAGCTGTGTTCGGGTTGTTTGGATATATATCAAACTCACTGAACCGATTGAACTCGGTAGACTGGCAGACGACCTCTACTTGGTAGAGCACGCTAGATACGAGCCCCGAGATCAACCTGGTGAACGGATCGAGTTGGTACTGGAGGATTCAGCTGGACCCAATCTCAAGACCTGTCTACTTACCATCCAGGAGCTCCAGAAGTAGGGCATGCCGCTGGGACCACCGGTCAGAACTCCGCAGAAGAGACTGCTAAGAGGGGGTCAGCAGCCATAGATGCCATGAAACACATGCGTTGTGCAGACTTACAAGGTCACCAGAAGGAACTGCGATGTCAGCTGGGTTTACTTGTGAATCGGGTAAGCATGAAACTGACAGGGTTGAAGAGCGCCGCAACTGTAATTGAAGGAGAGAGGGCCTAGAGGATCAGTATGAGGAAGCTAGATGAGGTGGAAGACTTACCGCAACAGCTTGGCCAAGGGTGACAGCATAAATTTCGGTGATCAAGATCTGCAGCGGTCAGCCACGGTGTTTTTGCCTGGCTTTTGGGTAGACTCGCCATAAAGAAGACATAGCCTGCTCTTGAGGACTCGTACGGTAGGCCAACCAGGTAGTATAGCAGGACGAAGAAGAGAGTTGCCTGTATTCGGTGAGCTGGGATCGAAGTAGGGCTGACGGGACTCACGCAGAGCAAAGAGTACGGCTGCTCGGCGAGGAACTGAGTGAATGCAAAGATGGTAGAGCTGTACATCTTGGAGCTGGACTCTCTCTGTACAATCAGTATCATTATCATGCACGTAAAGCTCACGGCGCAACATGAAGATTTTTGAGGAATGTGAAGAATGTGTGACTTACCGCGAAAGTCATCCTGGACATGATGTACTGCGGCTCAATCTGAGCCAGCACGAGCGCTGGGAGAATGGTAGCAAAGAATACAGCGACTGAGGCCACATTAGCAAGCTGATACAACAGTGAGAGGCATGGAGAAAGATGCAAGGGGCTTACAGACACGCTAAAATTTGTCAGCTCCTCATTCCTCAAATCCGTGCGCAGAAGTGAAACTTACGTATTGCAAACTCTGCAAACTGGTGTCGAGCTGCAAGAAGGTAAGGCCGACGACTAAGAGGGTCAGTCATAGGGCCGCCGGTCGTCATCATCGTATGTGACTGACCCAGAGCAATGGCGATATGGGCGAAAGCACGAGTCCACTGGTAATCGGCATTTCGCCACAAGGCGACGTTGGCTGCTTTGTCAGCTTCACCCGGTCTACTGTCCGCTAGGACTCACTCCGCGTCAACACAGTCCTGAATTGGAACCAAACGCTGGTAGCATACTCCGAGCCCTTGTGATTCGTGTTGTCCTAGGAAGTCAGCTCATGTTCGCCCTGAAGCCCCTCTCTTCGGAAGCATGAAAACCCCTTGACAGAGTTCTGCGCGTATTCCTCGCCACTCTCGCGAGCAAAGTGCACTCCAGAGGGCGGGAAAATGTACTCACCTCATGGTTGTTTGCAAGAGCTTCCTCGTTGAGCTGCCGAACGGTCTCCTTGACTTCCTGGAGCTCAGGCGAGTTGCGCCACTTCTCTCCCCAGTCGCCACCAATCCTCTTCTGGGAACCAGCACCAATCGCCTCCAACATGAACTCGGCGGGGTTGATGTCTTTCTAATTTCATCAGTTGTGCTCGGGACACAAAGGTAGAGCGGACGTACCGGAACCTCCGCGCCGTTCCTCTCGAGGTACCCGATCAGATCCTTAGAATCCTCGCCAATGGGACCGAAGTAGACGGTCTCGCCACCACGCTGGAGGAGAAGGAGCCGCTCGAAGGATTGGAACAGAAGAGCGTTCGGCTGATGAATGGTGCAGAGAATCTTCTGGCCAGCAGCGGTGAGCTTGCGGAGGAATCGAACGATGTTGTAGGCACTCTGGCCATCGAGACCGGAGGTCGGCTCGTCCAGGAAGAGGAGGAGTTCTGGCTTGGCTGCAAGCTCGACACCGATGGTAAGACGCTTGCGAGCTTCGACGGTGAGACCGAAACTATCGGTCAGCTCTGCACAAGTCGTGGACCTACCCAGGGAATCCGACCATTCCATCCGCCAAATCCTGAAGCTCGAGTAGCTCGATGATATCCTCGACGTATGCGTTCTTCTCCTCGACGGGCACGCTCTGGGGCTGGCGAAGGTAGGCAGAGAAGCGCAAGGCCTCCCGGACGGTCGCAGTCCATTCGTGTACGTCTGAGGTCAGCGCAAGTCAGAACCCGAGCTCACCTTGCTGCTCAGCATAGGCGCATCCCCGCTGGAAAGAAGCATCGATCTTGCGTCCGTCCATTTGAATGTCCCCTGTAATGGTACCCGTGGTCTTACGGTCCGCCAAGACATCCAGAAGGGTGGTCTTGCCGGCGCCTGACGGTCAGCGAAAGCCCAAATGAGCTGAAATTGTCACATACCTGAAGCGCCCATCAACGCTGTGAGCGATCCCGGCTTTACGTATCCCCAGATATCGTTCAGTAGCTGCTTCTCACCGCCCTTGATTGGTACCGTGTAGTTGAGACCCGCCCAGGTGAAAGCCTTGGGGGCCATGCCGAGTCCGGAAACGTCCTGGTCGAGCTTGCCCGCCCTGAAGTCGAGCTTGCGGTCTTCCAGCCTCTTGTTCCTCTCCTTCGAGTCCTTGTCCTCCTTCTTGAAGACTACAACTGCGGCCTTTGCGTCACCTTGCTTCAATGTCTCGATGAAGAACATCTGCAGGCACAGGAAGGCGATGAAGAATCCGATCAAAATGCCAAACTGCGGTCAGCGGCGCCATTGTTCAGACTTACGTTACGCCAAATGTGGGACGAGTAGTAGGTAAACGCCGCGTTCATATAGGCGGTACCAGAGACGACGTTGGAGCCCGGAGTGGATCCAGGGAGAGCGCAAAGCTGGTTGGCTCCTACGGTGTCGGGGAATCCGGTGATGCCGGCAGCAGGAATGTTGCGCGGAAGGATGTAGTTGGTGTCGCAGGTGAGCTACATGTCAGCTTTGATGCGTAGCAAGACTCACGTCGATGCGGCCAAACTCGTTCGCGAAGAGGGCCTAGCTAATCAGCCTGAAGTCCGGTGTATGTAGAAGCGTTGGTGCTCACTTCGTAGGCGTAAGAAAGCGGGTTGAGGTAGAAGAGCCAGAACAGCCACCGCTTCATCGCGAAGACGGGGATCATGTATCCTGCGTATGTGACCATGACTAGAGCGCGTCAGCGAGATCCATCGTCAGTGACAAGGGACGACATACTTGAGATCAAGACACTCGCCAGTCTGAGACGGGTCAGCCTATTCCAATTGCCTGACTTACCTAGCAGCAACGTTGTAGTCCTTAGTGGCTACCCCGAGCGTCCTGAAGAACCCAGCCATCACCATGAAGCCGAGGAAGACACTGGCTGTCAGTATAGTTCCCTGAGCGATAGGTACGGGATGGAGGGGGCGATGGGGTGGACTTACAAGAGGTAGAAAGCAAAGTATGCGCCGGCGGATGTGTAGAGCCCACTGAGGAAGTACGTGATGATAGTGAACAAGCTTGACGTGTCAGCATAGCCCAAGTACAGTGTGTCAAGCAGGTGGGACCTACAAGATGTTGGACGCGTTGTAGGGGATGTCAGCCAAGACGGCAGCGACGGCGAACGCCGCCGGCCTGTAGAAGCGGTAGCCGTTTTGTCTGTAGACTGTATATATCAGCCTTCTCCGCTGTCTGACACTGCCTGCACATTGGCAGGAAGCAAGGCGTGACACTGACGGATAGGTCGACCCTGCAAAGTTAGTCACGTGATTTTTTCGATTTAAGGAATGAGGAGTTGTTGATGCGGTCTATCTGCTGCTACTCACCATCATTTGCCCGGGCAGTTCAGAGAATGACGTAAGAGCGTTAAATAGGAGACTCAAGCCACGCGAGATCAGCACGCGCAACGCATCAGAAGAGCCTGAGGAAGACTCACAACCTGCAGCAGTCAGCGATTAATCACGAAATTGAGCAAAAGTCGAACTTACAAGACACCGCCGCGAGTGAAAGCTCCGGAGACCGAGGTAGGTTGCTGGAAGAAGGTGCTTCCTACGATGAAGGCGACCTGCATGATCAATAAGGCCCAAGCTAGCATAGCCAAAGGAAACTCACAATGACGGAGGTGGCGTAACCGGTGTAGATTCCAAAAGTGTCCTGGAAACGGAGGATGGTCTGCCTCTTTGCCAAAGCCCAAACCTGCGAGGCGAAGGGAACAGTGTATGGGGACTTCTTGCCGACACCCTGCATGATCAGCTGAAGATCTAGTCCGGCAGAAAGAAACATACTCTGTGCTTCTGATCCTGGACAGCCTGCCTAAACTCATCCCTCGCCTCGGACGTCTCTGCGTGTAGCTTCTGGTACTCCTCCTTCTCGGCAATCTCTCGGCGGCAGATCTCGCTCTCCTTGTACGCCTTCTCCATGGCCGCAGGAGTAGACGGAACGGACTCGGCGTCCTTGCCATCGGCGAACTGCCGCTCGTTGAGGTCCGTGCACCCGGTGAGGTAGTCGGCGGTGGTCTGACGGGGAAGATCCTTGTAGCCGAGACCGATCATGTACTGGCGGGCTTCCTTGGCGGGACCGTAGTAGACGACGTGCCCCTCGTTGAGGACCATGACCTTGTCGAATTGCTGGTAGATACCCTCGCCGGCCTGGTATAGCGAGACAAAGGTGGTCTGCTTCATAATGTCGGTCAGGAGCCGCAGCGACTTGGCATAGTCGAGAGCGGTAGATGCGTCGAGACCACGGGTAGAGTTGTCCCAAGATCCGAGAACACCGCCTCCGCACCACATCTCGGCGATTGAGACACGCTTCCGCTCTCCGCCCGAGACACCGCGCATGAAGGCGTTACCGACGATGGTGTTGGCGGTGTGTTTGATGTTGAGCATGGAGAGGAGGAGCTCGAGCACTTCCTCGCGGAACTGCTTGTCGGTGACGCCGGGGATCTTGCGCTTGGGGTTCTTGGTTGAGAGCGCAAATCGGATGGTTTGAGCGACGGTGAGGGTCTGGGTCAGCGCGTCCAAAGTGGTACTCACGGGAAGATGGTCGTCGTCCTCTTGGTTGTAGACTACTTCCCTGAACGTCAGCGAGCACCACCGTCAGACTTACCCTCCGAAACGCTTGCCCATTTCTTTGGACCCGACTCCTGCGTAAGAGACATCCCCCTCGACCGATAGGAACCCATCGCGCTGGTTGGAGATGGACTTGAGGAAGGTAGAGCACCCGGCACCGGGACGACCGAGGACAAGGCTGAGAGTCAGTTAGGCACTCTCCTAAAGAAAGCAGACTCACCACATCTGCCCTGGCTTGAGCACACCCGAGTTCTTGTGCAGAATGGTGTTTGGCTTGGGAGCGAGGGGATTGTAGCCAAAGAGACCGAGGAGGGAGATGACCGGCATGATGAACTGCTCGGCGATAGCGTTGGGGAAGGCGCGAATGTTGATCTTCATCCCACCACCCCCAATGACCTCGAGGTCGTCCCAGGCCACTCCGACCTGCTTGTGCCGGATTCCCGCCTCGTCCTGCTTCTCGCGCCCCGACCTGAGCGTCCCCGCCAGATCAAACTCCTCCTCGTCCTGCTTGCCCTTCTCGACGTCCTTGGTTTCGGCCACGCGCGAGGGCTTGCGACCGAGAACGGATCGCCGGGTGTTGGACCGCTGAAGATCGCCCGATTGCTGCGACATGTTGGAATACCGCCGCTCTAGCGCAGCAAACTCCTCTTTGCCCCGCCTGACCGAGACGCCCTTGGGCTTCTCCATCTCGCCGACAAAGTCGAGCGAGGACGAGGCGGACGGGTGCTGGCCGATGGCGCCGGGTTTGAGGTTGGCATTGTCCCCAGCAACAGTGTGACCGGAGGAGCCAGACGACCCGCGTGGCGACGCGTCGACGGCGTTCTGGTAAGAGGTGTTTCTTTGGGTGGGTATGACCTGGGGCTCGGTCCCAGAGACCGCAGGCTCGTCCGCGCCAAAGAGCTGAGATCGGCGCACAATGTGCTCCCTCTTCTCGCCATCGGCAGGGGTAGCCGCGACGTCCCGCTCGAGCCGCTCCTGGTGGTTTCCGTCCTGGTCGCTGGCACCCATTTGATCGGTGACTTGCGAGTTTGGCACTGTAGTGCCTGTGAATAGGCCAGCAGCTCTATCCGCCATATTTGCTGGATGTATCGAGATGAGTGTTGACGCAGGGTATGCGGAAACCTCTGAAATCTGCTGACTTTGCTCTGAGACCTCGGTCTTCGGCCTTGCTTGTTTGCTGAGTCAGAAGTTTGTTAGCTGAATCAGTCAGGAACTACTCTAATTGGGAGGATTCCCTGGGTCGGACCCGCAGAAGGACCGATTGCAGACGTGTCCCTTCTAACAGCGCCAAGGCTTCCTTTAAAATGGCGTCGGCGGCGTATTTGCGGCGCCCGACTGCCGTTATCGGCCGGCGGCAGCGGCATCAAGGCACTGCAGGATATGGTCGCACTGAGCACTGAGCGGCTGTGGCGCCTCTGGTAGGCCTGCGAGATGCATAGCAGATGGAGCAACAACATCATACCCTACTGGCATGGGCCTGACTCCCCCAGCGCCTCCTCCTCTCCATGCACGTGGATCTGCACCTCCAGCACATCCCTCCGCTTGCTCTTGATCAGATCCCGCACCCTCTGCTCGATAGCGTGCGAGTCTCGGACTGTCATCTCTGGCTTGACCGAAATGGTGAGGTCGAGATGTAGCTGGCCTGGACTGTCAGCTTGAGCGATGCGACGACATACCTCCAGATTTGACACCCCTGACATCCCTCACGCCGAGCAACTCCACGCCGTCGACCGCTTCGCGCACGATATCCTCAATCTTCTGCTTGGTCCCCTTGTCCATACCAGCGTCCACCAGCTCGTAGAGCGCCACCTTGGAAAGCGACAAGCCTTGCTGAAGGATGACCAGGGAGACTGCGAGCCCGCCAACGGGATCGAGGAATGTCCATCCGCCCAGCGACGAGCCCAGTATCGAGGCGAGTGCTACGCCTGAGGTCAAAGCATCCGCTCGATGACTGCTATTAGGGACGAGCTACATATCACTCACTGTAGAGCATTCGCCTTTAGCACCGGGCTGTGCTCCGCCTTGGCGACCCTGTTGGTCACCCGGTATAGCCACTCCTTGACAATGACCGAAGCGAGAGCGATCCAGGCGGCGTGAGGATTGAGAACCGCCGCGGGAGCGTCGTACGTATGCGCAATGGCCGTACCGACATGATCATGATCATGAGGTATGGCAGATGGACCGTGGGAGTGGAACATCTCCAGAAGGGGTGACGGTACGCCTTGGGGTAGGTAATGAGCCAGAGTGTGGAGGGAGGATGATGGGGGCATGGACTCGATAAAGGGCAGAAGGGTCTGGAGGAGTAGCTGGTATCAGCCATGATTCCTGCGTCGCTCACGTGGTATGAATGCAGCCCAATGCCGACCGCTCCGCCCACTGTAATGTCAGCTAGGTCTAACGTTGGGGCAGACGGTCTCACCCAGGATGACGCTCACGCTCAGCGTGCCAAACGTTTCAAACTTTACGATCAGCATAGTCCATGTGGAGGGCAAATGCCTTACTTTACTGTACCCCCATGGAAACGTTTCCGAAGGGGGGCGCCTAGATATCCTCCAGGTAGCCAGAGTGACAAAGTCCTGCCAGTGTCAGCTCCGGGTCACAACTCAGGACGTTGTCCCTTGTAACGCCAAGACTTACCCCGAGGAGATCACTCAAGCTATGCCCCGCTTCAGCTAGCAGACTCGCCGAGTTCATCGCCAGCCCGGCTACCCCTTTACCCGCTGTCAATGCCACATTGCTGGCCAGACCCAGCAGTGTAATCCTCGTCCCTCTGTCCAGCTTGCCCGAACTTATCGCGCTGATAAGCTGTTCAGCCCCTTCAGAGTGGTCGTGAGAGTGAGAGTGGAAGATGGAGTGCGAGTGACCGTCATGATTGTGGCCATCGTGCGAATGGGAGTGGGCGTGAGAGGTTTCCGGCCCAGCCGGTGGAGATGAGATCCGCGTAATCGGCGACGAGGGCCTGCCCTTATCATGCTGCGGCTGGGATGCGCTTCCACGCTTGGACATGATGAGGCGAGGGGATGTTCCGAGAGAAGATGGTGGTGAATTCGGGGCGAGGCGATGTTGCGTTAATAACCCGGTCGGCCGGATGAGGCGCGTGGTATTACAGCCTCTTCGAGAGATGAAGGGTGAGAACATAGAAGAAGTCGCCGGCAGTGTAGTGTCAGGATGAGCGACGCGCTGTCTACATCATCTCCAGTGAGATGAGAAACGCAAGGGGGACAAGGAGTGTAGCTCGGTGAGAACGCCTTCCCCGGCGGCGATGCCACGCTTTGACGCACGGACTGCCTCCCCACTCCCCCACCTTTCTAGGGAGCCGTTCGAGGTCATGATCATAGGTAGTACAAGATACAAGCTATCCTCCACCGTGCACCGACGCAGTCACAGACGCAGTCCTATGTAGCACTTCCCGCACATCTGGCAAACTCCCTGCCGACCGCTGTCTCGACAACTTGCCACTTGCCACCCGCTCCAGTCCCTTGCCGCCTCGCATTGTTGGCGCCCGCGGACGCTGGGGAAGATCCGTATGTGTGTCGTCCTCGTCTACCACTACTCTCTCGCCAGCCTCCGCCTCCGCCTTGACAATGTCGATATCGACACCTTCTTCCCCGCGTATTGAAGGCGGATGTTTTTCGTCCTCGGAGATGGTATCGTAACCGTATCGCTTGTTTGCTCGTTCTCGCCAATGATGACCGTAGCGGATGGTCAGGAGGAGTATGCCAAAGGATATCCACTGAATATAAGCGGGCGCGGATTCGATACTCACCATGAGAGCAGCAGCCACTGTCGAGGTCCAGCCCCATCCGATCGCGTGCGACATGGGCAGGACGAACGCAGACGCAGCAGCGGAGAAGAGGTACCGAACCCCTACTCAATCAGCTAGTTCCAGACTACAAGGAAGCGACTCACAATTGTTCACGGCTATGACACTGGCCGATCTGCTTGTAAGCGCGATCCTCGCCAGTGAGATGACTACTCACCGATCCTGCATAGAATCGACGGCATAAGTATTGAGTGGCGCGAGGATGAGCATGAGCCCAACGTTCTGCAGAAAGAGGAACACGATAGGGGGTGCTACTCCTCCAGCGGACGTTTGCAGCAGCCAGCCATAGATCACTGTGATGTCAGCAAAGCGCGAGCAGTATGAGCTTACAGTGGCAAACAGGCATGACTATGCCAAGTCCGATGACCGCTGCACGCAGGCGATCTTCAGGTCGGCGATATCCCCTCTTCTTGATGTATTTGCGTACTGTCGCATCTGCCATCGCTGCAAGGTGAGCGCTGAGAATGGTACCTGAAAACCAAACTCACGACCCGCTATTCTTGATCCAACGATGTTACCGATACCGGACGAGATGAAGATACAGCCGATCAAGATGGGGTCCTTCTGATCAGCCAAAGATCCTAGCCCATGCTCTGAATGCTCACTGTGATCCCGTACTGGTCTCCCTGTACTATCAGCCAGATCCTCATGCTCTAGCGGGCCACTCACAAACGCTGACGAAATAGGGACAAGCGCGATATAAGCCATCAACATGGTAGCTGAGGAGACAAAGGTGATGGCGCAGATATTTGGCCAGCAGAAAAGACCGAGAATGGCGAGCGGGTTGAAGACGTAAGGGACAAACTTCTTGCCTCTTTCCTGCTTGAGCGTATCGTGTGGGATTGGCGCGTGCATTGTCTCCGGTAGGACAAAGTAGGTGAGACCCATGGCGAGGGCGGCCATCCCAGCGACAAAGTATTGGGCCGCTCGCCAGCCAGGTGAGGTGAATTGTGTGAAGGCGGCGCCGATGAGAGGTGCGAAGGAAGATCCAATCAGTGCCTGCTGGATCAGCATCTTATCTTCCGAGTAGCGGAGGACTTACCCCGCTGTAAAACCAGCCCATGGCGTTACTTCTTTCTGTAGGCCGGTAGATGTCGCCTATACTACCCGCTCCGACAGCGAGCGACGAGCTACTCCCCATACCCTGGAGTATTCGAGTGCCGATGAGCTGGGGTACGGTGCGGGAAAAGGCGACACCGATCGTTCCCACCACCATGATTGGCAGGGAAGCAAGATAGATAGGACGTCTGCCGTAGAAGCCCGACAAAGGCGACCAGATCAATGGTGCTGTGCCCATAGAGACGATGAAGATGGCGATGGTGACGCTGATGATGGTGGCAGTGGAGCCCAGATCGGCCGCGATTTGCGGTACCGAGGGTAGAAAGATGGATGCGGTGAATGCTGTGGGTCAGCCAGACCATCGAGGAGGACTCACGTGATATGAAGGCATTATAGCTTATCAAAGCCGTGAGCAGCTTCTTCCTCCTGCCAGAGAACCTGTCGTAAACGTCAGGAGGCTGCTGTTGATCTCCCTTTTCCGCTTGAGACCCCGATATTTCCATGCTGGACTTCGACGGTAGCGGTGTTGTTGATGCAGCCTTCGGAGCTGACTCCACAGCGAAATCTTTTCGTGCGACCGCATGGCGGCCATCTTCTGGGGCTGACATGAGGGGCTGGAGGGCAGGAGAGGCGTCATGGAAAGGCAAGAGAGGGGAAGGTGGCGCCGCTTATAGCTCGTCAAAATAGACATCGGGTTTGGCCGAGATTGAGTCAGGGCATGCCGGCATGTCTCGGTCGTCCCCGAAGCGATCCACTTCGGGTCGTGATGCGTCCCACCATGCTGCCTGTGAGGACTGGATGGCTGAAGCTCTGCATCCAAGGTCCTCGACGCAGATCACCAGAAAGAAATCAAAACCTGATGCATGACTGCCACGATCTTTGAGAAACTGGCGAACTAAAGCTAATCGCCCATAAAGATCCCCAGTTCGCCACCCAAATTGATTGCAGCTTCCTTCCCGTGGCTGGTCCGGATACGCGGCCAGGTACGACAGACTGAGTGGATCCAGGTTGCCTGTGGTTATACTCTATACGTGTTAGCGTCGTCTCAGAGAAGGCTGCCTTGAGAGATGCTCACTGGGCTGATGGTTCCACCGTATCTACCGCTTCGCACCCTTGAACAGCTTGGCCCAGGCCCACTTGCCAGCCTTTGCAGCAGACTTCTCCTCCATTGGTAGCTTCTCGACGGTGTGAGAAAGATCCGATGCCCCAGATGGAGATCGCAAGACTCGGGAGGTAGGTCGAGAGGGGGCGGAGGGGGTATGGTAGAATGGGTGGTCAAAGCAAGACGCAGCTGCCTGAGAGACGCCGAAGTGGAAGTGTTCGGACATTGTTGAAGGTGAATATGAGTTGTCTAGTGATGTATGGGAGTGAGACTGAGGTGTGGAAGACAAAGGTGTTGCTGTAGCTAGCTCACTCAGCTGGAGCTCGCCTAATATAGCTGGCCAACCAGGTTCATCCGGATCCGGAGTAGCTATTGACGCTCTCTACCATGCGGCGGCATTTCTCTCGACTCGACACGATCGTGTATGAGTCGTGATACCACCGCATGCCGTCGTGCATCTCCAAGACTCACCGTCGGCAGCTGGCCGAGTCAATAAGTCCGGCCGGACCCGAAATGCCACATCGTCGTCACCTTGCAGATCTCGTTTCGGACTCGAGCGGTTTTTTTCCGGCTCCGAAGATCCGAAGCTGGACTGGCAGAGTCGACGGTCCGGCAGAGTGGCACCGCAAACGAGAGGGAGTGACAGGGCAGTCAGTAATTGTTCTGAGCGGAACATGATGCCTGCGATGACTGGAATATACTGTGGATATCATTGTAGGGAATCATCACACCGCGGCAGCGACAAGACGCTTCCCACCTCCGGATGCCCATTCCCGAATTCTGATTAGAAACCGCGAGATGCTGCATCGTCCTGTGATCCTCGTTGCATGTATGGCCTACTCAAAGCTACCTCCTACACGACATGCCATTGCAGCTCTACCCAGCGTCCACTGCCCTGACTCGAGGAGACGAAGTTTGGCACGGCACGTAGAACCAGACACCTGGCAGATCAGTCACTGTGCTGTCGGACTTGGAATCAGACACTCACGCTACTTGCCTGGGCGACCACGCAGCGCCGATCTACTGCTTTCCTCCCTTGAAGAACTTCGTCCAGCTCCAGAGCGACCCATGAGACGTCGCGGGAGCTGCTTGAATGATGGGAGGAGTGGGAGATGTGGGTGATGCCGGCGTGGACTCGGGGGACGCGCGGCCTTCGTCGGCTGAAGGAGGGGTCTGTGCGGTGGGTGGGGCGGCGACTGTTTGATGGGATGGCTTGCAGTCGACGGGATGGGCAAACCCAGCCTGGGTCGCTGTCTGTGAGACGCCAAAGTGGAAGGGTTCTGACATTGTGAGATGGATAGTTGTACTGTTCCTAGGGGGCTGGTCTTGCTTTGAAGTACTTATATACGTCCATCGGATATACCGGAAGGGGAGGTCCCAATGACACGCAAGCCATGCTGAGTCGTATCGACGCGCGTCTCCGCGTCCTGACGCAAAGGATCCAAAGAGCAACGCTTGATAAGCGTTGGACGGACCCGAAGAAGCGCCACATCGGCCGTTTCGGATTTGACAGATCTGTTTCGGCATTGACTCGATTCCGGCTGCCAGGAAGAAGGGGTCTGCGGGCGCTTCAGCACCTCTTGGAGTGTCGAGAGATGATGGACCCCGCTATGCGCAGCTCTTAGTCTCCACAGGTAGCAGGCAAGCTTGACCGAGGTTTCGCCTTTCTATCTGCCTTGTTTCACTTCCCAAAGAGGTAATTTTCATCATGTCAGCTAAATCTAGGAAGCCTCTCAGCTCGCCTCCAGGTGCGCTGCATGCATGTGAAATCTGCAGCGCGGATCAAAGAGAGCAGGCGTGCGCTGGGCAGACCAGTGAAGTGATGACGAGTGGTCGTTGACCACACGATGACAGGAACAATCACATCCGCTTCCTCAGCCATCAACAGCTCGGCGCGTCGCGCTTGATTTTTGCATCACCTCTTGTCTCACCCAGTCTCTGACGCCATGGCGCCTTCGTCCCTCCCCATCTCCCACCCACTCATCCTCGAGCTCACCTCCCTCCGCAGTCAGCTATCGCAATATCAACACTCATCCCACGCCTCCGGTATCCAGCTCCAGGGATCACGCCTGGAACTCTCCCTTGTCAAGGACCAGAATGCTTCTCTCGCCTCCACCTTTGCGGCACTCCAAGCGGAGCTGGAAGTCCTCCGCGCGCACCCCGAGCCTCCGCTTCTCAAGCCAGACTCTACCGCTTTGTCAGAGCTGACTCTGGCGCATCGCCGACTATCAGCCAAACTCGACATCACGGAGGAAAGCTTAGCTGGTTGCAAGCTGGAGCTGGCGGCTGCTAGACAGGAGATTGGACGGCTAGGCAAGGAGCGAGAGAGGGATCGCGCCCAGATCAACGAGTGTAGACGGTCAGAGGAGGAGCGGGAAGAGGAGCTGGTGTGGGAACGGGGGGAACGGAAAAAGGCCGAGCAGCAGAAACAGCTATGGTGAGTGGGAAGAAGGCGGAGCTGATAGCAGCGATCTCGCCTTGAAGGAATACTCTACCCTGGTCCACTCTCTAGACCCGTCGGCGGTCCCTCCATCCGCTCCCGCCACCACTAAAACCGTCCTATCCTCCCCCAAACTTTCCGACGCACAAACCCTATCTTCCCCCACCGACCCAATCTCAAATCCCACTGAGGCCATCTCAAACCTCCTCCAAGGCCAGCAAGGCGTCCATCAACTCGTCGATGACTTTGTCTCCCACATGACGGCCAAAGAAAAGGAGATCACTCGCCTGGCAGCCAGAGTGGACGAGCTCGAGCTCTCCCTGTCGAGCGTGACAAAACAGCTCGAGGAGGAGACGGCGCTTCGTGTAGAATGCGTAGAAGAGAAGGAGAGGGTGGTGCGGAACGACCAATCTGCTTCCAAGGTGGTCGAGCGGTACATGACGTTCACGCAAAAGACGCACGCGACCATTCATATGCACCTCGACAATCTACGGGCGAGATCGACGGCGACGCAGGCGTCATTGCGGAAAGAAAACACAGAGTACCAGGCGAGGCTCGCGCTGGAGACGGAGAGGGGGACGAGGCTCAGGGGAGCGGTGGAGGAGATGGCTGAAGGGCTATCACGAGAGACGGCCGGACGTAGGAGAGAGGTTGCACTACGGCTGAAGATGATCGCCGCGGAAGAGAAGCGAGAGCGCAAGGTGGAGATATGGCTGGATCGGGTGAGAAGAGCCAGGGAAGGAGCGGAAGGCGCAGTACTGGAGCCAGACGCGCTCGAGGGGCTGGTGGATGAGGGAGTCGAGGCGGTGGCGGAGGACCGGATGGACGTCGGACGGGAAAAGCGGCAAGCCTGGCGAGGCCTGCTCGGTCGGAAACGGGCGGCGAGCTATGTCGCGGTCGACCAGGAAAGCTCGGTTGCTAGGGTGTTGCTGGCGGAAGAGCTCGTCAATACGCTCGTGCAAGATCTGCAGGTGGAAACGGAGAGGCGGATTGAGCTTGAAAAGCAGCGGATGCTTCTGCTGGCCAAGGAGGCGGCAGGCGGAGAGGTGGTCAAGGAGGACGGAGATGATCTACTGGTGTTTGATGCGGACAAGGAGGAAACGGAGGAGGATCACGCAGCCCCACCCGCCACCGCGCCACTTCCTTCGCCAGATCCCACACCCCAAATCGACGGTCTCAAACGTCTCTTCCAGCCTATGCGAGATCGCTACATTCCCCTACAATCGTCGCTGCACTCCCTGGGACATTCCCTCACAACCATACGCCAATCCCTTCCTCAGCCTTCTGTACCCGTCTCACCCATTTTGCCTCCCCCACGGTCGTCGCGCAAGCCCTTCTCCACCCTCAACCTCCGCCGACCTACCCCACTCGCCGATCCTGTCCTCGTGACTATCCTCGATAGCCTGCACGAGGTTCTGGAGGACGCCCGCGTCGACGTCGAGATCGCCCTCGCGGATGAGGAGCGCGTGTACCGCGGCTTCGAGGCGCTGCTGAACGTCGGACAAGGCGGTATGGCACATGCTGGCGAGGTGATTGCCGATGCGGAGGAGTATGTCTCGGACCGCTCCGCGGCGGGGCCGTTCGACAAGCTCCAAGCGAGGGTGGCGGATATTGAGGCGGACCTGTCCACGCTCAAGGAGCGGATCATGGAGTATCAGGGAGCTGGCGCACCAGACGACGAGCCCAATCAGGAGACTGAGAAGGGGCGGAGCAAATTCTTGGCCAAGTCGGTCTGGTCTGACGTACCCCTCAAAACGGTCTCGTCGGTCCGTATCCGCTCAGCCTCTCCCCTCAACTCGCCAAAGCTCGACTCGCCGTCCTCTTCACCTCGGCCCAATCCCATCGCCGTGATGGGGAGTATGGGGCGGTCATTCTCAAGTAGCATCGTCGGGGCGCCACGAAAGGTCAGCGGGTTTGCTGGTGGATTATACAGGCCCAGGAAGAAGGAGGGGGAGGTGGCGTCGGAGAGGGAGGGGCTGGTCAGGAACGCGGAGGATGATGTGGAGTGATGCGGGTTTGTTCAGAAGAGCGGTCGTGACCAGGGACATTTTTGCTCATTTGTAGATGATCAATCTGGTATTCAGGGGCTATCGTGCCCACGCTCCTACCTCATTCGCTGACACAACTCATGACATCTGGACAAGGATGCTCACCAAGACAAGGCCATCCCAGCCTGACGCCGCTCGATGTCTCTTTTGTCTAAAGCGGCTATCCCTGACACAATTAATACCTGGGTAAGGATCGCGAGAGCGCTGCTTGAGTAACGGCAATACATCAGCTGAATGCCCGATGATCAGCCACCGAGGTATCATGAGCGATCAGAGGCGCCTCCAATTGGTCAACACCAATATTAACCATTCGGGACAGCTCAGATCTGAAATGCATCGTCGATCAACCATGTTCATGCTGCAGTTCGACCGACCTGCCACGCCAACATGTGTCTCACATACCTCGCCTGGAGCCACTCGCGGCCAGAAGTCGCGGTTTTACGGCGTTAGGCCCAGCATTTCGGGATCAAACGGAACAATGCCGCGACAGTCGTGGTCTTGCGGTACGGAAATTGGCGGGGTTAAGAAAGACCCTTGACGAGCACTTCGGGATCAAACCTGTCAGAACACCGCAGGATAAACCGTGGTCCCGCCCGCTACGGAGATTGACGGCGTTATGAGCGGCTATGAATTCGGTAAGCGTCATCGCTCCGAGCTCAACATCAGATCCAGAGCCAGACAGTACACATAACACTCACCTTCACTCGACCAAGACCACCACCTCTGCCACCGTCAACGCATCCCAAACGAAATGATCGCCGCTCGCTCCATCGCAGTCCGCCGGATCGCTCTTCGAGCTCCTATGGTGCGTTTTGACCTGGTAAAGGCTGTCCTCCTCCAAGTACAAGGAACGGATCTCATGTTCGTGCCGGGAGACCCATGGTTCTACTGGTACTTGGGACTGGTCTCAAACGGGCCCGAGCCGAGCGGGGACCAAGGCCGGGATGCTGACAGTATGACTAGGCATGCTGATAGATGCTGATATCTCAAGGTCATCTCTAGGAGCTACGCTCCCGACTCCAGGCAGGAGGGTGCTACCGGCTCATCCAAGGGCTTCTCGTGAGTCGCTCTACGACCTGATCATTGGGTATAGCTGATTCCTCAGCCAGCGCGAACAGGCTGAGGAAGGGCAATACATCCGCAAGCGGGAGCAGGAGCAGCTCAAGAAGGCCCAGGAGGAGGCCAAGGCGGCTCAGGCGAAGGCAGTGAGTTGACATCCTTGGTCGGGTTTTGGCAAATGGGCGTTGCTGACCTCCAAGGACGACCTCCAGAAGAAGTTCGACGCGTCGAAGTAGGCGACATGCTGAGTTGCCGGATTGCAGGGGAACGGGAACGGCAGAAGTCAGAAGCTTGATGCAACAATTCGAATAGGGCTCAATGGTGCATCCTCCGGCTACTCATACATACCGATCAGCGTCTCAGCTTCTCTTGTGGGAGCATGCTGCGGCCACCAGTTTACAAGGCGACATGGTACACCGCTCTCGGTTGCACTGAGGGGCACCGACAAAGGATCGCCTAAACGGGAAAGAGCGATGACGCAAAATGTCTCAGTCGTTTCGCAGTCTACCTTGCCCCTCTCAAGCCATGCAGCGCCTTTCCACTTTTGCATCTACAGCTATAGCCTGCTCATAGCACTTCACCGGAGAACGAGACAGCAGCTGCGATACATCTCGCAAGCGAGCTCGATGGATCGACATTCAAGTCGAGCAAGTCGATCGTCTCCGCCGCCAAGACAGCTTTCAACCCATTGCATATAGGAGGTCTAGTTATGAACGCTGGGCGAGGGGGTGGAGGAGGTGGGGAAGCCGGGCCATCCAAGCGTTCAGGTGTAAGTCCGACTGGGATCGATGTGAATTTAAGCTGACAGCGCAGAATACCACCGGAGGTAAGTTAAGCAGCTGGATTGATGACATGGCTAATGAGCAGAGCGCAAGCCCAAGAAGAAGAAAGCCAAGGATATATCCAGACCTTCCGGCTCGGGACCCATCCCTGCACCTTACCTCGCCATCGCTCCCTCTCCGGTATCCTCACTGGGCCGCAATGCCCTTCATGACCTCGTACTACCCGCCGCCAACCACCTCGTCCTCCCCTCTACCTTTGTCCGAGCGAGATCATCCGCAAATGTTCCAGAGGCACCGGCCCCAGGACCCGTCCCCGCGTCGAGTCGCCGAGGATATGCAGCAAATCTGGCGGCTCCACCGCTCATCATGCCAGGCGGTACGAGCGCGACACCTCGAATACAAGAGTTGCCGGCAGCTCCGACAAGAAGAAGGGGAGATGGTCGGCGGAGGAGTGAAGAGGGGCTGAGAGTATTGGCGCAGGCGAATCAAAGCATGGCATCTTTGGGCGCATTGGGACGCATCATGGAGAGCGATCCCACGACACAAGGGGAGCCTGTGCAGAGAAGACGGCGGAGGGTCGTTAGGGCAGATGGAGGGGTGAGGGAGCAGCCAACGGTGTCTACCAGGGAAGAGGGACGAGCGATTGGTTTGGCTCGAGGAGCGAGCATGCGCAGATTGAGTGTATGGGATGGTGAGCCTACCTATCCCGATCACTACTTCAGCTAAAGTTCAGGCCTACCCGATTCCGGTGAAGCACCTCCGCCCTTCGTCGTACCTCTCCCAAGACCACCAGGGCCGGCAGCTTCGCCACCGCTCATCGATGAGGATGATCCGCCACCTCCTTTCGAAGCGCGCGGTAGATCACCCCCGCCGACGTGGGAACAGGCTACCGGAATAGCCCCTCTCGGACCGGCGGTCCCTGTGGCCTCAGCAGCTGCTACGCCTCAGGTCACGATCGAAACAGCGTCTCGCCCAACCTCGATTCGTTCTATACCGTCCTCTCCTGGCACACAGTATGCGTCGGCTCAAGAGAGTCAAGCCAGCGGCAGCGAGGACGAGCCGAGTGAGCAGGAAAGGGAAGATAGGCGGCTGTGGAACGCGGATATCTCGTCAGGATATTCGCTGGTCCAGCGAGTGCAGAGGGAGGAGGCTAGGAAGCGCAGCAGGGAAGTCAAGGAGGTCGGGGATACGGAAGGGGAGACAGAAGATGTCGGATCTGCCGCTTCAGGAGACGTGGCTGCGACAGCCCCTGCACGAGCGTCACCCGTCCTCCCGGGAACGTCACCAGCAGCACCCACCGAGGTAGCTGGCCCGTCACCAACCCCGGGAACGCCCTCCGCTCCCATTATGGCCATACCAGAGAGGGAAGTCATCGCCCCAACAAGTCCAGCGCCCGCGCCGAATCCGCCCGCGGCCGAGGAAACGTCCAACACCACAGCGGAGCCATCATCAGCCGAGAGCGCCTCAACATCACCTGCTGCAGTCATCATATTGGCCCCAGCGCCCCGGACCACCGCACCATCGGTTACTTCCTACCCTTCCGCTCCTGCATCTAGCGTGAGCGCGGCGCCCTCGCGATCTTCATCAATCATGAGGAAATCCCGGCGATCGACCGGACTAGCTGCTCTGTCCGCTGCTCCAGTTTCCGCACCTGACTCGGTCAACTCCACTGCTGGCGCGACACCTATCGCTGGCCCATCCTCAAATGTGGCGGTTGAGAGACCCGAATCGGTAATTCGGACGCGTAAGCGCTCCGCAAAGGGCAAATCACCTAGCGTCGCTATAGCTACTGCGCAGACATCCGCAGTGCACACGGTCCCAGCAACCGCGTCTACATCGCCGGCGGACGTACAGGAGTCCCAGGCGGAGACGGAGAGCTCATCAGCGGGCCGGGTAGCTGTCGATCCTGTGGCTGCTTCGGCCTCTTTACCGCCAGTCTCAGCGGCTGAGCAGTCCCAGGCGGACACGGAGAGCCCACTGGTGGGTCGGCCAACTGTAGAGACTGCTGCCGTTTCCGCCTCTCAGCCGGCACTGTCAGCGGCTGAACAGTCCCAAGCGGACACCTATCGCACCCTCACGGGCCGGCCGGCTGCTGTACCCGTTATCGGATCGCCATCTTCGTCCCCGAAGCTATCGCCGGCGGAGCAATCTCAAGCGGACACGTATCGCGCGCTCACGGGTACATCAGGTCCCGGTCAGTCCAGCCCGCGCGCTCCAGCCACACCCGACCCATCAGAGTCTCCTCGTCCTCCGTCAAGACCGTCACCGGACGCGCTCGCCTCTGTCAGGGAGGGGACCGAGGAATCGTCCTCTCAGGTTGGGAGTGATGTCGCCATCGCTCCTGTACCTAAGCGGAAGCTCACACGCGGAAAGGCGATTCGGCGGTCATCCTCTGGGTTCGGACTGCCGGGTGCCGAGGCGGTCACGAGCCCCGAGTCGCCTCGTCGGCCACTCTTTGCGGATAAGCGGTCAGACTGGAGGTCCACGGAGGATGTACACACCACGCAGGGCCATACGGCATCGCCGAGGGTCAGGCCGGGACACAAAAAGTCGTCCTCGTCTATCGCTATACTACGGTCGCCACCCCAAAGTGCGCCGGATCCATCACCCTCGGTGCTTCCGCCCGGCCGAGCGTTAGGCAGCTCTCACACGACGTTCGAGGTGTTGCCAGCTCCGGAGTCGCCGATCTCGCCTGTGCTACTGCCCCACCGGGAAGCTGCTCTGAAGAGGAGGGAGCTGGTGACTCGGTCGCCAGAGATCACCATGTCTGCACCAAGCCCGACCGTGGAGGTGCCTGCACCCCTCGTCGACCTCTCTGACGCACATCGTCATCCCCCATACCGATCCCCTCCCCCTACCATCTCTCGCGACCTTTATCAGCTCTTCGACGAGCCAGTGGCGGAGTCCTCCGCCCAAGCTGCGGCGAGGATGGAGCAGGAGCAGATCTTGCGAACAATCAAGCGGGACAGGCGGGAATGGGCGGTCGAGGAGGTGCGTGCGGATGATCTGGAGGAGGACAGGGCGCCCACACCCTCAGCCAAAGGCAAGCGGATACCGCCGCCGCCGCCTCCACTTCGGCGCAATCTCATCAGCACCACGGTCGGGGCGAATCTCACCCCTCGCCGCTCCATCATTCGGTCTGCAGACTCGCCGGTGACGCCAAGACCGATTCGGCAGCTGAGTGTCGGAAGCCAGGATAGACCACCTGCGCTGCCGACTCGGCGGCCAGCACCTCCCCCTCCACAATTCGGGGATGCCCAGGAACAGGAGGCACCACCACTCCCGCCTCGCCCCGCCCCAATCTACCGGCCTTTGAATGACCGACGCGAGTCGGGCTTTTCAGTAGACACTGGGTCTTCCTTGTCGGACTCTCGGACCACACCCATCCTCCACTCCACATCAGCATCGCCGCGTCGACCTAAGGGTCCGAGGCCGCCTCCACCTCCGCCTAGGTGGGCAAGGATCATCATGCCCCTGAATGACGTCAAGGCACCGCTTCGGCCGTCGAGCGAACGATCACAGTCGGATCGTGCGGGATCACCGGTCACTCCGGCTCGGATGGGCAGGCGGTCTACCTCGGAGCAGGACATGCGTTCCTCAAGCGGGGGAACGCCTGTCAGGAGCCCGATAGAGTATACCGATCTGGATGTGCTGGTATCGCGCTTGGAAGGATCTGGGCGGGAGTACGAGGTGAGTCTAGTGCAGAATGAGCTGATTTCAGGGCTTTTCCCAAATCACCGCCTTCCTTGGTCCCGGCAAGTCTCTTGCGGCAACTCCAGAGGCACTTTCCACTCTCCTCCCTGGACTCATCTCGGTCGATTCTCGTCGCGTCACTGGTCAGGGCAAAGTCAAGCTCAAGCTCTCTCTACTCGGCGTCCGCGTCACCAAATGCCCCATCTGCCTCGGTCAGTTCAAGAAGGACGAGCAGGGTGTGCTTTTGCCCGAGTGCGGACATGTGTCGCATGAGGAGTGCGCGACCAAGTGGTTCAGGGAAGACTGTAGATGTTTTGTTTGTCGAGTGCCACTTTTGAGGGATGACGCTGGATGGGGGGTGGGGGAGAGTGGGGAAAGACGGGGTGAAGGGGTGGTTTGATCTGTACGTGCAGTTTGTAGCTCTTACCTGAGATGTAGCGTCGTAAGGGGTCAGGGATGCGACGCGGAGTGGAGCGTTTCGCCACTCATCCTTTGACACGACAGATGGACGGAGGGTGAGTTGCTCCTCAACTCGCTTGGACAGATTGGTGACTGGCGTTTATACCTCACCTGCCCACCATTACCTTGACTACTCACAGCCAAACTAGCAAAGACGTCCCCCTACATTCTCCTTCTCAACCTCCTGCTCGTCCTTCTCGCTACACTAGGCTTCGCTTCGACACTTTACACAACCCCGTTCTTCTTTACCACGATGCCATCCGATCCTGCCGCAAAAACCTCCTCTTCCAGCTCCCGCCCCTCCTCTTCCAGCTCTGCCCCTAAAACATCCTCGTCCTCATCGTCCAGCTCAGCACCTAAAACATCCTCGTCCTCGTCCAGCTCATCCGCCAAGCCCTCTTCATCGTCTTCCTCGAAGCCCGCCCCTAACGGGGATGCCAAGCCACCGCAGCCGACCCCCGTCATCTCCGCAAACGCATGGATGAGCTTCTTCCTCTTTTGCTGCCTCGTACTCATCATCCTCCAGGCTCCTCTTGGACTGGGCGGCGCCGGCGGGGCAAGTACCATATTCGGTCTGCCCGCTCTTCCCTGGGGAACCGCCGCCGCTCCATTCGGCGGGATGACAATGGGCGGGATGCCAGGATGTACGGGCATGGTTGCGGGGTTGGTACCTTGGTGTCCGGCGCCGATGACGCCCGGACCAATGATGGCTTACGCGCAGCCCATGCCGGTCGCACAGCCTGTACAGTATGCTCCCCCGCCCATCATCATCGAGGCGCAGCCCCAGATACAGCGTCAGCGGGAACATCAGATGGGCGGACAAGGGCAAATCGCAACTGCGGGCGGAGGAGCGGGATGGAGCTGGTACGCCAACCCCGACGGCAGCAATGGCGGTAAGTCTTATGTCGTTCGAGCTGACGGTAGAGTATCGCCGGGACAGGGACAGTCAGTACAGGCAAGTCCAGTATCAGCGACCTGGGGTGCAGCTGCAAGTCACCCACGGTCGCCCGTACCCGCAGCAGCCGCAGTATCAACAGCAAGGTAGGCCACCATACCCCTCCTACCCTTACTACCTTTGTTCTTATTTCCCCTATACCCCTTATTATTGCTCTTCGCTCACTTTCTTTGCTTACGCCCACCCCACCCCACCTCCTGATGTCATGTACCAGAGCCAGGGGCAAATGCCCTCTGCGCCAATCCCGCAGCAAGCCATGCCGACGGGTAGGTCGTCACACAAACCCGCTGACTACAGTGCCCCCTGCCGCGGTCGGCCTAGCCAACCTCGAGAACGCCTTCTATCCCCTCCTTATCGGCGCCATAGCCTTATTGGTGATATTCGACTATGCCTCGTAGCTACCATATACATCGTAAGGTCGTCAAAGGCTATGATATTCTAGATGATTCCCACACATAACCCAAAAAATCCCCTAAAACATGGTCGAGTTCTTGCCTCCCTCAGGGAACAAGACCGCCTCGCCCAATTTTTGCCCCAACCGCCCAAACTTACTCTTTGGCTTTTCCTTCTTGACGATCGGCTTGGCCGCTTCTATTTCCGCCTCGCGCTGCGCCATGGCCCGTGACAATGCCATCTTGCGCTGTTGCTCCGCCCGCAGAGCGACAAACTTGGCCTGTGCCTCGGCCTTCTTGGCGTCCTTCTCGGCTTGCATGATTCTGTCGTCAGCCCCGTTCATAGGGTCACTTACAATTTCCTCTCCAGATTGGCCATCTTCTTACTGCTCGTCCCCGTCGACCCGCTCGAGATGCTCATGTGCGAGCTGAGAGCTGTGCCTGTCCGACTCAGGTTCACCGTGGAGGTCTGGGCCGAGTAGCTGGGCGAGTCGAAGTCGATCGTAAAGTCGGAGTAGCGATTGGGTTCGGCATACGCCGGCTTGTCATTCGAGTAGACGGAGGAGGCAGAGGAATGTGTTTGGAGGGAAAAGTGGCGGACGTCGGCGACGGACGGGCTGGTCGACGCCGATGTGAGGGAGGGGCATGCGGACGAGTACGAGTAGTGGCTCGCAGCGTCGTGGTGGGTATAAGCCGAGGGAGGACCGCGACCGGGATAGAGACCAGCGGAAGAGAGGGTGGTGGGCGATAGCTGATGGCTGCGGCCAGTAGCGTCCTCCTGCAAAGTCTCCAGGGCGTGCTGAGAGCCGTAGCTGCGGTTGACTACGGGCTCACGCTGAGGGGTCCGAGGCATGGTCGATGGGGGAGGGGTGTAGTCTCGCGACATGTCGGGTGTGTAGGGGAGAGCCGAAGTTGGAGGTGGCCGAGAGTGTACAGGGGTGAGACGAGCGGTATGATGGCGCAAGCGAGGAATGGTGCGCTCGGTCGGACTCTCGCACCGCGCCGGCTCAGACACGTCCAGCGCCGCGAGAAGAGCCGTGACTTGGGTGTCTTCCGGGACGAGGGTGAGGGAGTCGGCGCGAGCGCGGCGGAAGTTGCTATCGTCTACCCAGCCCCGAGTGGGTGTGGCCTCGGACCCACCAGGAGTGGGGGCGGAGGGTATGGAGGGAGGGGCAGGGGCGACTTGAGGGTCTGGAACGACCGATCCGGGTGGTCCTTGACGGTGTGACCGATTTGCAGATCCAGCCCGAGCAGCCTATCATCAGCCCAGTCTGGACCCCTACTCACATGGACCATATTCAACGCCCTGACTTGAAGATTCTGCTCCCCACTCAACGTCGCAATCTCATACACCCCCACCGCGACGTTCGGATCCAGCCGCTCATGCAGAGCATGCACGACGAGCTTGGCGAGGCGGTCGATTCGGTACTGCTTCGCCAGGAAGAGGAGCGCGGATAAGACCGGGGCGCGATTCTGGAGGGGAGTCGATAGGGAAAGGGTGTAAAAGTATTGGACGAGGGCGACGCAGACGGAGAAGGGCTCCGGGATGGTCAAAGTCGAGGGGGCGAGTCGAGCAACGTCGAACGAGCCGTGGAGGGTATCGTTGATGTCGACGCCTGGAGACTCCGCCATGATCCCGTGCGCCAGCTCCGACAGCTTGCGCTCTTCCTCTGCAAACCACGCCCACCGCTCCGCTAGCAACCTTCGGGAACACCTGATCTTTCGCCCATCATCACAGATGACGTCAAAGTCCGAGGCGAGCTTTTCGTCCAGCATCGACAGCCCGACCTCTTGGATCTTGGCGGGGATCTCGAGGCGAGGAGGCTGGTAGATCCCGTACGTTTCCAGCGAGATGATGGCGACGTGCTCGTGATTGTTGGCGCGCCGACCGTAGTCCGCCGATAGATCATTGTGGATATTGCCAAAGACGATGAGCTTGGCATTGTCTGGCGACACGATAGCCTTGTTCCAGCTCCCGGTAGAGAGTGCGAGCGGCTCAATATGGCGCCAGATCATGGTGTGGAGGTCGAGCGCCCAGACGGAAAAGGCGCCGGAGGTGGTGGCGAGGTAGAGACCGCAGAGGATGAGGTGATGCCCGACGATACCGCCGGTAGGGAAGCGGAGACCGGGAGGCTGAGCCGTACCGCGCATGGACCGTGACTCGTCGCGGATGGAGAAGGCGGGAGGCGAGTTGAACTTGGGTGAAGGCATGATTTCAGTGTCGAGGTCGACAGGAGCGGTGACGTCGAGCTCGCGCCGGACCTTGGCAAAGTCATAGTTGGAGTAGCACCAGATTTCTAGATCAGCCACGTCTAGCTTGGACTCAACTCACCTCCACCTTCTCCGTCTTCGTCGATGACATAGCTGTGCGCCGCGCTCGCCTTGATCTCTCCACTGGACATGGGGACCACCATCCTCGTTTTGGACGAGATGGCGACGGACCGGTAGGCGCCCTTGGAGTGGAGACCCTGCAGCTCGGGCTGGAGCGTTTTGGATGTCCAGACGCTGCGCCGAAGGTCGAACACGTTGATCTCGAAGAGAAACCTAGAGTCAGCTATGTATAACAGAAACTTACGAGTTGTCCGAGTGCTGACCGCCCGAGATGATCATTTTGCCCCGACTGATTGCGCTGAGATGGGCATAGCGAGCGGAAGGGAGCATGCTGGGATCTTGAGTGACACCAGGCGCCGGTGACGGCTGCGGAAGCCATCTTCGGGAATGACAATCAAAGATCCAAAGGTCGGCGTGGACCGACATGGGCTCGGTGTCCGACATTCCGCCAAAGCATACCAGCTTGTCCTCCCCTGCCGTCAGCATTGTCCCACTGCCAACTCACAAATCTCCATGGAGTGAAAATACCGCGCGCCAGGCGCAGTACCCGCGTCTAGCTTGCTCCATACTCTCGACCCCAGATCCAGCGCCCACATCTCGCTGGTGAGGCGTTTGCTTTGAACATGCTTGCCGCCGAAAAGGAAGATGGTGGGTGGGTGGGATAGTGGCGAAAGGGTGACAGACGGGCCCTGCTATCAGCTTGGCGACGGAGAATACGTACGGTAAGAGGTGGTGGAATGTCGCCCGTGGTGGTTTCTGTCCAACCCATCAAATGAGCGAGAGAGTTGTCCATGATGGCTCGGAGAGGTCGGAGACGAAGATGGAAGACGGATGGCGGGGAATGCAGTGGTAGTCACTATATGGAACAAGGCTGGACAGACTAGAAGATGAGCTCGCGGAGACTAGTGGATGATGAGATAGCAGCTAGTGGGGATAGATGAGTAATAAATTAAAACTCAACGACTAAGTAGCCAGCTGGGACCGTCCTTTGATGGCTCTTCGGCCGGTCGGCAGGGGCGCGGCGGTGTGGGCGGGGTCGAGCTATGGGCGGATCCGTGTGTGTGGCTGATACGCTCAGGTGTCGGCACCCAATTCCGCCTCTTTGCCCGCGTGCTACAAATGACTGGGCACGAGCCTCCTTTCCCCTCGATCAGACACACTACTCCCCGACGCCAACTGTAATATCGCCACTGGCTGCGAAGCAAAGGTGATGGCGTGATACAGTGGCGACTTAGCAGGTCTCTAGGCTATAACGTTTACAACCCTGCTTCTCCTGTGCACTGCAGAGGCGGTTGGGAAAGGGGTGGTAACCATGGTAGCGCCGGACTCAATTCAACGTCAACCCCCGTGCCTGAATTATAGGAGGGACCCCGAACAGGGCCCAGGCTGTACGTAAAGGAGCGGCCCGTGCGTGTTTCAGAATATTGAGGAATGTAACGGTGGTCACCTGCAGAAGTGGCAAAACGCTTCTTCGCCTTGAGGTGGCCCCCTGTCGTAGGCCGAGGGTCTAGACAATCCGCCGAGGGGATCTCGTTCCTAGGATCTCTTCTTGCGTTTCATCTCGATCCTTTGTCTACGACGAACCTTTGTCTGCAAATCGCAATCTAGGCAGTCGCACCAGCATTTTCGCCGTTTCTCATGCTCGAGGGGCGCAAGTTGCCTTTAACTCAACCTTTCATGTCGACCCTTTGTTCAACTTCTACAGCTGACAAGATGACTGGACTCATAAGCGTCCCCTCGTGGCCACCCTTGCTCACACTTATACATCATGTCCTCGCCTGAACCCATCTCCCAGCACGTCACGCAAGTCACGACGACGGCAACGGGATCCGCTCCTCCCATCACGGAGGATTGCGTTCTCATGCCAATCTTGTGTCCCTGCGAGATGCACAAAGACGACCCTGCCACCGCTTCTATTCGCTTGGGCTTCCTGGCGGTACGCACCGCCGATGGTCGTACTTGGCATTGGGGCTGCCTTGCCTCCAACGTGAAGCATGCCTTATTTGGCAGCGAAGGTGACTACCTCACGGATCTCGAGGCAAGCAAATTGGCTCTCACTACTCCATACCAACTGGGACGCTTTTTCGCCAGGGGCCTTGAGAATGCCATATACTCGCACAGTAGCAAGGATCTGGCCGAGACGACATCGCGCGCGCGCGAGAAAGCGATCAAGAAGGAGTTGCGGTATTTTCCGCCGAAGTGGCATGAGAAGATCACTGCGTTGCCTTCTTTAGGGTACCAGATCCCGATCGACGGCGTTCCCTTCGAAGGCAGTCCTCCCACGGGATCGAATAAGCCTCCAAGGGATGAGCTGGGCCGGCCGATCGCCCTTCCCCTGTGGGAGCCGTGTGGCGTGTCCCTTCATGATCTTCCTACGGTCACCACGCACGACGACGCGAAGACGTTCCACCGCTGTCTGCAAGCCTGGGATTGGTCACACCGAGGTTACAACCCTTCGACCATCGTGAGGTTCGTCTTCATGGGCGATCTACGAAGAGAGAAGGCGGCAGAATACAGGGCTCAAGAGACTCAAGCAACCGAGAGCACGCAGGAAGTGGAGGCGGACAAAGAAGAGAGCGGAGAGAATGAGGATGACACAGCAGAAGACTGGAGGGAGGATCAGATGAGCCAGGCGAGCTGGGAGGATGAGAAGACGGAGGAGGCGATGGCGCTTGAAGAAAAGGAGGCGGAGGAGGCGATGGCGCTAGCGGCCTGGAACTCCGAGGACTACCAGCCGATGAAGGAGGCCATTCTCTCATCTCTCAGGCCTTTCTTTGATGGGCAGTACACGAAAGGCTTCAAGTTCCCGCTACCCCCTCTTCTCTCCGCGACTCAGTAGATTGATCAGCTTTGTGATGTATGTGGCGCTTATGACTTGATCCTGTATGCTATGCTGCATATCTACAACAGCCAGTCCAACATGTGATGATGATAGATGTAGCCCGGAGCAGGGGTCATGCGCGAACTCGCTTATAAAATCTGCACATCAGCGCACTTCGATACCTCGAATCAATGTACTCACAAGATATACGCCGGTTTAGTCTGTCATCAGCTTCTTCCATAGGGGTAACAGGCGACTCACGACAACATCCTTATCCTGCGCCGGCGAGATCTTGCTGTCTTCGCAGTAATACCACCCCTTTGCACTCTTGACAAATGCCGTGTCTACATCAGCTCCACCCTGCCTAGCACTCACAGTGCCCACTCGACAACGTCCCCATATGATTGCTGACACCATACAAGTCATACCTGAACGGCCCGACTTGCGTCCTCGGATCATCCAGATCCTCCCGTCCCGTCGCATGCCGTACCGGGACGTATCTCGACAAGTCGAGCGACTTGACCGGAAAGATGACGGGCGTTTCCGACTTATCCCAAAAGACGCCATTCTTGGTGGAGAATCGTTTGAGCTGGATGAGGAGGACAGGGGGGAGGCGCGAGATGGTGAGGGTTTTACTGGCTGTTCGGGGGACTTTACATCTTGGGCAGTGCCTATCGTCAGCGCGATCGCGTGGTTACTCACCAGGCGTCCTCCTTCTCCATAATTTCTGCCTTGACAAACTCATCCACCAGTTCCTGGATCACCACCGCCTTCTTTCCAGCGGGAACGGGTAGGCTCATGTACATGAACGTGTCGTATGTTGTCGAGGTCTACGTTAGCTCCATTGAAAGACGACTCACCTTGTGACATGTCAAACACTCGAGTCTGTTCCGGTACTGCCCCTGGAAGAGATCGACGATAAAGCTGTCGTTCCGCTGCCGATATATCTCCCATTCCTGCTCGGAAGCAATCTCTGGCGGGAGCGTCTCCAGCCGTGATTCGCGATCAGGTGTCATCTCCACCGGCGCGGGCTTGACCTTGACCCGGTTCAGATCCTCATGCAGGCCGTCCAGGACAAACGAGAGGAACTCTTGCGAGTCGTGCTGGTCCGTACCAGAGAATTGCGAGGCAAAGGTGATGATGTTTTTCTAGAGTCAGCAGAGCCAAAAGTAGGCTTACTCTAAAGGTGACTGGCGACAGAAAGGTGTACTCTTCCGCCCATAGCGCTTTGAGCAGCTCGGCAAACGCCCCAGCGAGGTTCCCTTTTGTTCCAAGCGGGTTGGTGTAGTTGATTGCCTTTTTGAAGCTCCCATCTGGGGTCAGCTGGGAACACCCGCTACTCACCCAAGAAGTAAGAGGTAAAGGGATATGTCGAGCTCAGACATTGCAGCGTCGAGTTCATGTAACAGGTACTACATCAGCTCCATCATACCTTGACTCACTTTCCAAGATTCTTTAACCCCGTCATCCCCAACGCCACATCGTTCCAGTATCGCACCTCGCCTTCTTCCCTCGCCATGAGATCCAGCGCACGTATACTCTGACTCCGAACTACGCCATGCCGTTCGAGACCGTGGCCCTGCGCCGGTGGTGGAGGCTTGGGTATACTGAGGGAATGCGGCGAAGGATAATCGATCTGGCCATGTCCGTGTTGTCTCGGCGAGGTGGTCAGACCGGCGGGATTATAGCCAGAATACGCTTGGGTGGAGTGCTCGACATAGTCGGAGCGCCGGCGTGTTCCGGGTCCGGGGTGAGTTTGGGGTGGTGGCGCGATAGCGGGGGAGGGGTAAGACAATGAGTTGGAAGGGGCGTGGCGAGAAGAGGTGGCTGCGGAAGGGAGGTAGGAGCGGGATGGCTGACCCGAGTAGTAGTCCGAGTGGGTATAGGTATCGGGCGCCTTGGTGTACGGTGCGGATTGGTAGACGCCCACATCCCGGTTGGCTTTTCTTGGACTGAGCACGTCTCGTGATGATCTAGTCAGCTCGGCTGAGAGTAAACGTACGATCCGTTGGGTTTGTTCTCCGATACAGGCGTATAGGAGGCATGGCGCCGCCGGATGTACTCGCTCCAGTGCTCCTGGCCACCTACGAGCAGGACCGGCGTCCTTTGCAGCTTTTTGCTAAATTCGTGCTCGTAGATGATGTCCCAGACTCGCGAGAGCGGGCTCGACCCTTTTGGCCAAGACGTGGATGTCGAGTCGTACACGACGACAATGTCGGCCTTGTCCCTATATTCGAATGCCCGGCGCTGATGTTCCGGTGAGAGCGAGAGCGAGTCTTCCAGCTTGACCGAGTTCATACTGCCATCAGCCAGGAATTGGGGTCACTCACTCATTCCGCATCAACACCGTTGGATCGATCCAGACCACATCCGTAATGTACCCTTTTGGCTCGTACTCCTGGCCAATGTACCCCTTCTTGTACTCTGCTTCTGGCCGGATATCCAGTATGAGCAGATTGACGTTGGGGTGGATGATGTAGGTGCGGAGGAGATCAGGAACAATCGAGTTGGTGAGGGGGAACTTTGGCTTGGGAGGAAGGGGGCGGACGGACTTGTCCTCGGTTTGGGCTGGAGGTGGACCTGGCCGGAGGGAGGGCGGCGGCTCTGTCGATAGTGAGGACACTTCTGGTGATGACGCGGGCCGATTGATATCTTTCGGCCCAGCATCAGGTGGGGATGGGTGGAGGCGATCCGGTCGGGACGGCGGCGGAGGCAGCTCCGAGCTGGGCAGCGATGACGGTACCGAAGGGAGATTGAACGAGGGGACCTCCGGAAACTTGACCTCGTCGACCTTTTCGAACGGTCCCACCAGCCCATCCGCCTTGGGCTTGAGATCCTGTATCTCGTCCTCTTCAAACTGTTTGCCAAAGTCCGCCAGAGATGGGAACGCCTTCTCAAAGTCGTCCTCGCTTGGTTTGGGCAGGGACTGCGATGCGGATGGGCTATGCAGGGAGAGACCGTTTGGTTTGGGCGCGGGAGGTGGGGGTTGTTTGGCAGGTACCGGGACGGCCGGAGGGGATTCCTCGACGGCTTTGCTGTTGGAGCGGGACCGGCCCTGGGTAGGCGGGGATGGGAGGCCATCGGTGACGGTTGGAAGGCTGTGCGGGGGGAGTTTTGGCTGGACAGCCGGACCTTTTGGGCGTGGCTTTTCGCCTGTACTGGCCGAGCTCGCACTGGATGCTGCGCGATTCCGACTCGATACGGGTGGCTTCTTGGGCCCGACGTCCAGCCCTCGCCCCGATAGCGCCTTCATGCGATCGGCGATACTCCCCATGGACGCTATTTCCGGTCCGCCAGTGGAAGGAGCGCGAGATGGGGTCGGACGGCCACTGAATCAGCTCCGATAGAGGCATCACTCACTCCTTTTCTTCCCTCTGCCTCAAGACCTCCTTGATCTCCTTTGCTTTGGCGATATACGCATCGTAGGTCTGTATCAGCTCTATCAGCACCCGACGCACCTCTTGAAAGTCCTTGACCCGCTGCGTCCAGTGCGCATCCCCCTTCTTGGCCTCCTTAAAGCCCGGATGCAGTTTGACATTCGCATAGGCAGTACAGCATCTCGAGTACGCCACAAAGACCTCCTCCTTCTTGCCCTTGCGCTCAGCCAGGACGGCGAGGTCAGCTTCGTGCTTTGCCCTATCGAACCATTCTCGGGGCGTCCGGTCGGTCGGGGACTCGGCAAAGCTCGCCTGCGCCACCAGCGCCGACAGTGGGAGAGACGATAGCGGTGGCTGAGGCAGCGCGCGAGACATGTGGCCCTCCGCTAGATGGTGTCAAGATGGGTAGATGCAAGCTGAGCTGCGGAGGTGACCAACCGGTAAGAGCTATGACGGCGATGCCCGAGATCCCTTTGTTGACGCCAACATCAAGTCTTTCATCATCCACCCATGTCTTTCTAGTATGCCCATCAACTATCCACAGCCCACAGTGGCCCTGCAAGGCATATCGACGCGGGTCAGCGAGTACATGGCTCGCTCCTACCCGATTCGAGATGTCCCGTTGAACGTCCGGCCCGTGCGTCCAGGTCAAGCTCTGCTGATGTCAGGCCATGGTGTTCATCACAGCGGCGTGGATACTGCTTCTGGGTGTATTGGGGATGGCCCCGCTGCCAGAGCTGCCCGTCAATGACAAGGCGCTGCACTTCTTTGGGGTATGTCAGGCGCTGATCCAGCTGATGTCAGATGGGATTCGCCACCTTTCTCGTCTACTTTATCATCGAGGTGCCAGAGTAGGTCGACCCCAAGCGTAGCTGAGGCAGAACCACATCTCGACGGATATGGTATATACGACGTGCCCCGCTGATCCTCACCCTGACCACCACCTTCTTGGTCGGGGGGATCATGAGCGAATTTGTTCAATCCATGCTACCTGTAGGTCCTCCATCAACCCCGCTGACATCTAGTGGAAGACCTTTCAAACAGGCGACATTCTCTCCAATCTCCTCGGATCTACCCTCTTCCTCTACCTCGCCCATCTCCTCCATCAACGCCACCGCCGCAAGAGCGAGATATCCTCCCTGTACCAGCCGCTTTCCTCGGCGTCGTACCGGGATGCCCAGGGCAGAGAGCACCTCTTTTCGCCGTCAGGGTCGTCGCCGGCGCAGGCGCAGAAAAGTCGGCCGGGGAGACAGGGTAGTAATGTGTGGGATGATGAGGATTCGGATGGAGAGGGGAGGGCGGGTGCCTTCGAGATAGGCGATGAGGAGGATATGAGATAGCGTATGGATAGGGTTGGCAGGCTATCCGAATCCGTTGTTCCGAGGGGAGAACAGGTGAAGGGAGACCATCTCGCCGCAGCTCGGAACGGCCGTCCTATCTCTCGCGGGAGTGCCAACGAGTACACGCCTGTGATCAGCTTAATTTCGACACTCATAGATCAGACTTACAGCTATCGAGCTGGAGTATCCGTCACGCGTCCACCCCTGTCATCCTCGTCCTCCTCATCCGTCATCACCATCAGCTCCGCCAGCGGATCATCGCTCTCATTCTCCCAGTCTTCCATGATGCCATCCTCGACCGGTACGCCTCGGGCAGCAAATGTGGCAGGCGCGTCCGCGACGCGAGATGCTGGCGTTGCTGCCACCCGAGACGCCGGTGTATCCGAAATGTGCGATGTCCGGCTCGCATGTGGCGTCTCGCCGATCCAGCTGGGCCGAGGCGTCTCCTCTTGTATCGGCGTCGGCTGATACTTGGCAAACATGCCCTTTGGCTTGGCTGGGGTGGCCAAGACGAGCGTGTTGTTGTCCTCTTCTGCCGGTTTGGACTTGTCGCTGATCTTTCGGCCGAGGAGACCGCTCCTTGCTAGACTCGGCGCGGGCGGGGGCGGCAACTCTGCCTTTTCCTTTCTGAGTATCGCCGACGCCGTCCTCCGCATCAATCCCACCTCCCTCCCTTTGAACATGCTGTTCCCGCTCGGCGCACGCATGAGCGTCTTTTTCGCCCCGGTACTTTCCGTACGGACGAGGGGATCGATCGAAGCGGACCGAGAGCGTGGACGCTCGCTGTTGGACGTGCGCGAGATGGAGTGGCGCATCAGCTCGTTCTCTTCCGGCGGGATGGATCCGGATGGTCGGCGAGTGGGCAAGGGTGCGTCCGAGGAAGGACGGGCACGCGTGAGCTTGGGCTTGCGCGGCTTCTTGGTCGACGGCTCGTCGTATGGCCCGCCAAAGACTTTGAGGTGGAACGATCGGCAAAGCTCTGACTGGGTAGGGAGAAAACTATCAGCAGAGCTTTTTGTAAACTTACTGTTTGCGGATGACTCCGTTCCAGAATCCATTGAGCATCTCGCCCACTTCGCCTGTCGACACGCTGAGCTCGGCTACCGCCTGCCAGACCCCCAGTCTGTCAAAGAGGAGCTCCAGCGCTTCCTTTGGCTGCGCCTCGGGCGATATCGTCGGTTCTTCATCCCGCCGCCGTTTGCGCTTCTTGGGTGGCGGAGGGGCATGTGGGAGGTAAAAGAACAAGAGAATGATCTGAATCAGAGTTCTATATCAGCAAAGCCTAGCTGAGACTCACTCTCTACGCTCCAGCTCTTCCACCAGCTTCCGCGGATTGACGATCCCATCCCCTTCGACGACCTGTCTGCACCCCTGCCTCAACCCCACCGCCGCGGTCAACACCAGCGACTCGTGCGATTTCATTCCCACCGTCGCCTCTTGCAGCTTTGCCTCCCGGACATCTTTCGTATGCGCGCTGGTCAGAACGCCGATGAGTGGCGCAAAGACCTTGCGATGGCGGTGCTCGATGTCCGCGAGTGAGAGCAGCAGGGTCGCGATCTCACTGATCCGGTTGGGACCGATAGGAGCTAGATCATCCGCGAGCTGACTCAAAGGAGAGAGAGTCTCTGGCAGGAAGAGCGTTTCGATATAGCGGGAGCTTGTCAGAGTGTCGGTACTGCAGTCAGCGACGGCCGGGACACGACTTACACATTGGAAACAGGCCAAGCTTCTTCCAGAGGAGCTTTGCTCGGGACTGCTATGGGGCACGTCGTGTCAATCGAGAAGGGTAGCCAGCTCTGTAGCGACATCGCGTCCAACACATAGAAGCAAAGCTGAAGCAAGAGCTGAAGTGGAAGGAAGTCGCGTCCCCCGCGCCTATCGCCACAGCTTTACTGTCATGCCTAGAAAGATAGGCTCGATGCGGAAATTTGGCTGTGGCTTGCTGACCCTTGTCTGTCCTCTTACTCGTTGCTCCTTTCTACACCCTACAAGCACCTTCATCATGAGCGACAAACTCACCCGTATCGCCATCGTCAGCAACGACAGGTGCAAGCCAAAAAAGTGCAAGCAGGAATGCAAGCGCTCTTGCCCCGTCGTCAAGATGGGAAAACTCTGTATCGAGGTCAATCCAACAGACAAAAAGGCCGTCATCTCGGAAGAGCTCTGTATTGGATGTGGTATCTGTGTCAAGAAGTGAGTCTACCTACGAGCAACGCTGAAAGGTGCCCGTTCGAAGCCATCCAAATCCTCAACCTCCCCACCAACCTCGACTCACACGTGACCCACCGGTACTCTGCCAACGCCTTCAAACTCCATCGTCTCCCCACCCCTCGTCCAGGCCAGGTCCTCGGTCTCGTCGGAACCAACGGTATCGGCAAATCCACTGCGCTCAAAATCCTCAGCGGCAAGCTCAAGCCCAATCTGGGTCGTTTCGACAATCCTCCAGAATGGGCCGAGCTGCTCAAACACTTTCGCGGATCGGAACTCCAAAACTTCTTTATGAAGGTGCTCGAGGATGAGATCAAGGCGGTCACCAAGCCGCAGTACGTCGACCAAATACCTCGGTCGATCAAAGTCCCCAATATGACGGTGGGCAAGATGTTTGACCGGCAGACGGAGCTGCCGAATAGGGATCAGCTCGAGACGGATCTCGAGTTGAAGGGATTGCAGGAAAGAGAGGTGGGACAGTTGTCGGGAGGGGAGCTGCAGCGGTTCGCCATCGCCATTGCGTCGGTGCGGAATGCGGACATTTACATGTTTGACGAGCCGTCGTCGTATCTCGACATTCGGCAACGTCTGGCGGCGGCCAGGGTGATTCGGGGGTTGGTGACGCCTACCAACTATGTCATTGTCGTCGAGCACGACTTGGCCACGTTGGACTATTTGTCAGACTTTATCTGCGTGCTGTATGGTGTTCCAGGAACGTATGGAGTGGTGACCATGCCCTACTCGGTCAGAGAAGGTGAGTTTGACCTTGGCGTTGCTCATCAGGTATCAACATCTTCCTCGACGGCATGATTCCCACCGAAAACCTCCGATTCCGCGAGGAATCTCTCACCTTCCGTATATCCGAATCCGCCTCGGACGACCTCATCGTCCAAAAGCCCCAAAAAACCAACTACCCCTCCATGACCAAGACCCTCGGCGGATTCAAGCTTCACGTCGACCCAGGAGAGTTTTCCGCCTCGGAGATTATCGTTCTGCTCGGCGAGAATGGAATGGGCAAGACGACGTTGGTGCAATTGCTCGGTGGAAAGCTGGAGGCAGACGAGGCAGACAAGGCGATGGGGTTGAGGGTGTCGATGAAGCCGCAGACCATCAGTCCAAAGTTCCCAGGAACGGTCAGGATGTTGTTGTTGAAGCGGATCAAGGCGGCCTTCATGCGTAAGTTTGAGAAGAGGCGTGGCTGATGTAGACCCGCAATTCAACTCGGACGTCATCAAGCCAATGCAGATTGAGGCGATTATTGACCAGGACGTGCAGACGTGAGTGCTCTTCTCCAGGGGTGGAGCATGGGGATGGGGAATACGGAGGGGAAGATATTGGACACAGACTGCCTCTGGACTTTGCTGATTCCAGTCTATCCGGAGGAGAGCTTCAACGAGTTGCCATCGTCCTTGTCCTCGGTGTCCCCGCCGACGTGCTTCTCATCGACGAACCCTCTGCCTACCTCGACTCTGAGCAGCGTATCATCGCCAGCAAGGTCATCAAAAAGTTCATTATGGGATCGAAGCGTACCGCCTTTGTCGTCGAGCACGATTTCATCATGGCGACTTATTTGGCCGACAAGGTTATTGTGTTTGACGGAAAGCCGGCGGTCGAGTCGTATGCGAGAAAGTAAGTTTGGGCATGGGCATAGCTGACGCCAGACCCGAGGGACTCTTGACGGGAATGAACAAGTTCTTGAGGTCGCTGGATATCACGTTCAGACGAGACCCTACCAACTATAGGCCGCGTATCAACAAGATGAACTCGCTCAAGGACAATGAGCAGAAGGGTGAGTTGCCTTGGACTTATTGAATGGACATAAGACTCCAGCTCATCATTCAGCGTCGGGATCTTTCTTCTTTGTGGATACCGACTAGAGTAGATATGCATCATCTGAAGAGTAGGCAGATCAGTGCGAGTCTGGTAGTCTTTACCCAACTAAGGTTTGAGACGCACGGATATCCGCGTGCCTGAGTTTAGGCCGCCCACCGTCAGCTTCAGCTCGGTCCTCGTCTACCTCGTTCATTCGCCCATCGCACAGCATTACAACAATCACAATGGATCAGCTCACCATACCTGCTCACCTCGACACCGACGCTGAGCCCAAGGCGAAGCCCACACTCCTCTCCCTCCCTGAACACGTCCTCTACCAGATCGCGACCTACGGCGATGAGAAATCGGTCTGGCGGGTGATGGCGACTTGCCGGGCGTGGCGGGCGGCGGCGGAGAGGGCGCTGGACCCGCATCTGGGGGAGCTGGAAGTAGTGGTACTCCCTAGGCTCTTTGAGGACAGTGAGTTCTGCCTGGCTTGCTCAGACTCACGGAATGAGGAGGCCAAAGGCTGACTAGACCAGTCTATACCCCACCGAGCGTGCCCGAAGAAGCTGATGAAGAGCGATGCCACGGTCTTCAGACCAGATCAGAACACATCATCGCATTCCACCGCGACTATCCGCGAGCTCTCGAGCTCCTCCGTCGTTGCACCGTCGAGCTGTACTACGACACCATCAATGACCTCTACATGCCCTCTGACTTCTGCGGAGCGGATCTTGAACAGCTCACGGTCCACTATCGCGACCGGGCCGTCTACGTATCGGAATCGGACGAGGACGACGATCCACTCGACGACCTCGTCGCCTAGTTCTACAATTGCGGTAATGATCTCGCCCCCTGGTTCAGCCACATCTTATTCCCAAACCTCACGCACCTCACAATTGCTGCTACAACGCGCACACACGCGTACTTCGACTCGTACGCCAACTCGGTCCCGGCTCTCCGGGAGCTTACGCTCGTCGCTCATAATCGGGACGGCCTCGAACCTTACTGGGGCGCAGAGGACGCGCTCCGGCCGATCAAGCGTTTCGAACACCTCGAGCGGATCACTCTCAGCGGGGACGACGTCATGGTCCTAGCGATGCTCTCCACCTTCGCCGCCAACTTCTCCACCCTCCTCTACGTCACCCTCTACACTCCCGACGCCTCCTCCGAGTCCATCGGGGTCACTATCACTCACTACCTATCCCAGTGCCCTCGCCTCAAGGGTCTCGCGCTTATCACACCCAACAGAGACAATGTTCTGTCCACCCTTGCTTTTATGCATACCCAAGATATCGACGACGATCACGTCGATGTCAGTCATGACGACTTGGAGATGTTGGTTTTGGAGGGAAGTGACTTGAGCTGGCTTAGTAAGGTAAGTACGCGTGGTCCAGATTGTGGAAGGCTACAGGAGCTGATGTGGCAGGACTCGGGATTCTGGGTGGAATTCCCCTGCCTCGAGCGCATTACCTTCGTCGATCCCGCCGCGGGCGCCTCTATCCGGAAACAAGACGTTCTTCCCCTCTTCGAATGCTACGATACCCTCAAGCGGATCGAGTGGACGGCTGAACGGCCGGTCGACCCCTTCGGACCCGTCGAGACGAAGGGAAGGGGGAAGGCTCACGATCGGCCTTGAATGGGTGGGGCGGAGACGGGGCCTGAGCTGGTGAGGGATTGAGGAAGGGAGGGTACTGTGTGCATAGGGAGAGGCTGGGGCTTTGTGTAGGCTGAATGCGTACGCGCTGGATACGGCACTATGCATTAGATGAGTCAGTATAAGAGTTGGGCTGTTAGACGTCAACGCGGCCGGAGGACCATTTTTTGCTGACCATTACAGATCACCCGAGGAATGAGGAGTGGAATTCAGAGCATATGGGACGAAATCGGCGGCTCAGGCATGCTGTTCTGTTGGGAGTGTATACCTTGCCACCCCATGCATCTTGACTTGGTGCTTGCTGCGCCGTCCTGTTTGAACGCCAATCATCTGCCATAGACGATGTTCCAAAGAACGCTGCGCGGAGTTGATAGGCTGATAAGAAAAGTCAACACCTTTGACCGGCAAATTCGCCGATCTGATCTAACTCTATGCTTTTTTCTTGGAACGTATCTTCGCACCGCTCAATATCATAGAGATATTTGTTCTGTATACTATGTGGGATTCTCATCTCGATACATGCAGATTCCACGTCTTAAAAGCTCTCAGAAGTTGCTGATCCAGGATATCTTGAGATTTTGGCAAAACCAAAGGCCGTTTCACTTTTGCCGCAGACCTCTACATCGCAGGTGCAAGAAAGTCAAGCGGTTGCTGCAAAAGAGATTACCGTACTGCTGGCCCTTTTCTCGCCTCCCTATCTCTCCATACAGTTACGTGAATGCGAAAATATGGTGATCAAAGCAGGGTAACCCCGACCTATATATTATAAGCCCGAGCCGAGCGGGGTGCCAAGATATCAGCATACTTCTGCCCTATGGTCGTCAGCTCCCCGTCACATCCGAATCCTCGAAAAGTACATATTATGCGCACAGTGTGATGAAACAGCATACAGCGAGTCAGAGAATCCACCCTAGGCCACGCAAACTGCCTCAATGGGTCATCCCCCTCCGGACATCGATCTGCCACTCTGCCCCTACTCATCCCAGCATATTTCCATCCATCCTAGAGGTTGCGTAAGTATACACTCAGTCGCACCATACGGCATGTGAGTATACGGCGATTCAGGATCCGCACCAGATGCAGACTGCCTCACTTTGCCATCCATCTCTGCACATCTCCTTGCCACTCTGTCCCCGCTCGCCCCAACACCGTCCCACCCCTCTTCACTAGCTCGTCGAACACTCCTTCCACCCTATCAGCAAACACTGCTCGTGTCGTTGGAGCTACCAGTACCGTGTCAAAACCAGCCGAGATGGAATCTTTGGCGGTGCTATCGATGCTGATCGTCAGCGCGGTTCACCGATCGACTCACCAAAAGTCTGCTGCCAAGCCAGTGACTACGACCTTCTCCACTCCTTGCTGCCTGAGGTACTTGGTGAAGTCCGAGTCGGCCAGAACCCTCGCTCCGGGATCTGGGAGAGGATCTTGAGGAGCGGCAGCTTCGGTCAGGTACCCCTCGAAAGCGGAGTAAGCCTCCACATCAGGATAGCAGGCCTGGAGTTAGTACAGTCAGACCACGCCTCACCTTCCGTGCAATCATGAGTCTATCCTTCCACCCATCCAGACTCTGCTTGAGATTCTGCTCAATCTCCACCCCCTCGCTCCCCTGCACACAATGATCCGGCCATAGCGTCTGCTGATACGTCTTGCCGTGCCCGTCTGTGACTTCCAGCTCGGTAAAGGGCTGATGTGGAGGATGACGAGAGGCGAAGGAGATGTGCCGTGGCGGGTGGTAGTCCTGCTGTCAGCTAGGCCAAGAGCAGGCATACCTGGGTAGCAATGACCACGTCCCAATCCCACTTGGTCCGATCGAGCAGGTCAATGATGATGGGTAGGATGTCGTTTCCTTCTGGCACGGCTAGGGCGCCATCTTTTCGGTCATTTTGGGCGGGGAGGAAGTCGTTCTGAACGTCTACGATCACCAGTGCTGTCTTCATAGTGTATGTATGGTGCTTACTGCAGATCAAGCAACCCGCCATGACGTTTCAGCGCATGCCGTAACGAGGAACGCAAGCAAGTCACACGCGCGTCGACCTCCTTTGCATTTACCTCTCTTCCAAGTCAACATGGCATCTCCACCAGCGCTCGAGGCAGACACCGCAGCAGCAGAGACGACCAATACGCTCGCGCTCCTCATCCCTCACCAATCACTTTTCGCCCCAGCCATCCTCGCGCTCCTGAAGGACCACTACACAACATACGGCCCCCTCGCACACTGGGCGCCGGTGAAGGGCTTTGGCCGGGTGATTATGGTATATGAAGTAGACGAGGATGCTGCGAAGGCAAAGAGGGACGGCGACTGGTTGAAGCTGGATGTCAATATTCCGGGCGAGGGGACAGACAGTCAAGGAGAGTACTTTGGGCGAAAGAGGCGAAAGTCGGGTCATAATGGGTAAGTCCAACGCTGATCTAGCTCATCTCAGGCTTGTACTCCGGCTTCATCCCCTCCCACCTACTCCCCTCGCTATAGATCCGGATGATCTCCACCTCAAACCCCCAGAGCACGCCAAAAACTTTCTCATATCGCCGCCGGGCTCGCCACCGGAGGGCTGGGAACCCATCAGCGAGGATGGACCCAACACGTCGACCCTGGCGGATGACTTGCAGAAAGCGCTGGAACGGATACAGCTAAACGGAAGGCGGAGGGGAAGTAAGGAGATCATCCTCGAAGAAGGGGGCGTTAGGGTGGAGGTGGAGGATACGGAGGAACGGACGGATGAGGGGGTTGAGGAAACGGTGGCGGGTGATGTGTGGAAGATTCCGGGACAAGGACGCATGCTGCACACTGCCAGACCACCCATTGAGTGACAATCATGTATATGCCTAAAATGTACAGTTAAGATCTTCCCGTCTTCATTTCCACCCCTATATTCGCGCACATCAACACCACATACCCCGCTATCAGGCAGCACGCCCACCGCCGATCTATCAGATACCCATTGAGAGGGACAAAGATCATTGTCGCCACGAGCATGATGACCAGTCCCGCCGCGGATACCCAAAGTGTAGGCGAAAACGCGAGGGTGACTGTTTGATGCGAGATGAGGATACCGTAGGTACCCGACCCGCCGATCCCAAGGAGGAGATTGAGCATGGGACCGCCCTGGTGTCAGCGGTGATGAGGCGAGACTTACAAAGCACGCAGCGTAAGCCATGGTAGGGGCGAATTGAGCGACCGTGACGTTGGCGACTAGATCGGCAAGACTGTTTCCTACGGCGAAGACTGGGATTAGCGGGGACAGGGTCAGACTCACTTGTCAAACCGATAATGGCTTCGCTTAGGCCCAAGATCTCGCCGACAGCCTACATCAGCTACGTCCTGGCTAGACTCACTAGTAGAACCCCAACAACTTCATTGGCGATAGCAGCGATCCAGACCATGCTGCAGATGAAACCGCCGAAACAACGCGCTATACGCCAGGTCCCGCTGGATCCGTCGGTCGCGATCATCATGACTGCTACGGCGCCCACTATGCCGCCCGCGCCAACGCCGAGCATGATCCACGGAAAGCTTTCCAAGTCGTCTGATTGAGCAAAGTCAAGGGCGGACTCACTAAATATAAGAGCGGCGCAAATGACCGGTCCAAAGAACGCTTGAGCCGCCGTCAACTCTTTGGAGAAGCAACCGATACCGCCTTCATCATGCGGCGCCTCTCCTCCCTGCGGATGTGGAGAGTGAAGCGGGTGGAACCCATTCTCCACCATATGATGTAATTCCTCCCCGATGTCTGGTGTCACCCTGCCTCTCTCCTCGTCGAGAGGCTCCTCTGCCCCGATGGGCAATTGAATACCTCCGTCCCCGCTCGCATCGTCGACGACAGGTAGCGTCAGGGTCAGAGCTAGGATAGCCGGCACCGATACCAGAGCCATGACCATCCCGATAATGCTCTTATGCCGGAATTCGCGGAGGGAGGGGAAGAGGGTCCAAAAGATGGCGCGGGTATGATGCCGTATCCTGAAGCGGGACTCGTTGGGCGTGGAGGGCTGAGTGGGGGAGGCAGATTGACCGGACGGGTCGATAAGGGCGATTGTGGGAACGGAGGGAATTTCGAGGTGCAGACTGGGTTTGGGCTGAACGTCGGCAGGGTGGTGTCTGGAATGAGGGAGGAGACTGGCTGAGCGACGACGATTGTCCTTGACCACAACGGTGGGAGTGAGACTACTGGCGATGTTGACAGATGCCCCAAGAGCAGCCGCGGGGGAGTACTGCGGCCACTCGTGGGGACTGGAGATGCTCCGACGATGCCCGAGGACAGCGCCAAAGTAGTCTTCCCGTTCGTGACCCGAGACAGGGGAGCGACCGCCGGGTGTCCGAAGCGAATTGACGACATCACGGAACTCGATAGCGCTGAGGAGGGAGAAGTTGGCTCGGCGAGCAAACTCGTCCTCCTCGGTGTTGAGCCGGTACAGCGAGGGCCGCTGTGACAGTGTGGGGCGGACGGTAGGTGAGGCGGATGCCGAGGACTCTGGAGATGGGCGGATGGTGGATGTTTCCGACTCCTCCTTATGATGCCAGTATGTTGAGCCGATGACGACCGCGACGTAGGCGAGGTAGAGCATGACCATTCCGCCCGACTCGACGATGCTGAGGTGGCCATCCTTCAATACCACCACCAGCACGAGGACGGCGGCTGTGAAGAAGATGGTATCCCGGAGGAATGCGAAGCGAGGAACGTGAAAGGGGCGTATGAGCGCTATCGAGCCGACAACCACCGAGACGACTGAGGTCAGCAGTGTCTTTACGGTACTCACTGAACGTAGCGGCACCCAGCAATTCCCCTACGGCCAGCCCTAACGTCCCCCCATTCAACGCAGCAAATGTCGAAAAGACATCTGGACTGCCATTTCCAAACGCCAAAAAGGTCACCCCAGCGGTCGACTCGCTAAGTCCCAGCACCGACGCAATAGTCGCCAGGTTTGGGCAGAAAAAGTCGGACGCGCAGATACCGATAAAGGAGAAGAGGAAGCCTAGGATGAGGACGATGGCAAAGGCGATGAAGGGCTTGGCGGTGGGGGATGCGGAAAAGTACCAGTCATTGTAGGGGAGTGTGAGGGTCTCATCAGCGCAGCCTAGACTTCGCTCACCTTGACGTCTAGAGAGCGCCGCTGAAGCCCATCGTGTGACTGCCAGGTCTGGCTGCGGTGGACGAGGATTTGGAGGGTGATGCTCGCTGCGAGGAATAGCCAAGCGCGATGTCTAAGTTTGTTCATTCCGCCGAGTGATGTTGAGAACACCAGTCGAGCGGATGTGCTCGTATAAGAGTTGTGAAAGGAGAGCGATGATCATCGTGATGCGTGCAGTGCGAGGTGTTGCCGCGCATAACGTCATTGTTGTTGATGGAGATCTGCAGCAGGTATTAATTAGCTGGCTGATGACTGCTGCGCATAGCTCAGCTTGTTCTTGGTCCCAGCCGCGGCTGATCTGGCGTCACACGTAGCTGATCATCCAACTGGGTAGAGCTCGATCGATGCATATGCAGAGTAGACAGCCCGGAGGCCTCGAACCACCAAGAGATGATCTCCTTCATCCATTACGAGATGAAAATTTCCGCTGTCCACTCTTCATCATCCATTATCATGGCCTTCGTAGAGCGCCAGGCGTCAAGCTCACAGCCCAAGCCCAAGCGCAGGGGAAAGTCAGCGCCAAAGGTCAAGACCAATGTTGCCAAGCGGGAAAAGTTCAACGATGAAATCAAGGAACTGCAGCGGAGGATTGACGAACTTGTAAGTGTGCTCGAAGGCATCGCTGATGTCAGGACTCGCGAGATATCACCACCTTCGACCAGCTCCCTTTATCCTCGCGTACGCTCAAAGGATTAAAGTCGAGTCACTTTACCGCTCCCACTCCCATCCAGTCCGAAGGTATTCCCCCATCGCTGCGCGGTCGCGATGTCCTCGGAAGCGCCAAAACCGGCTCCGGCAAGACGCTCGCCTTCCTCATCCCGCTGCTAGAGAGGCTGTACCTGCTCAAATGGGGACCGATGGACGGACTCGGTGCGGTGGTCATATCTCCCACGAGGGAGTTGGCGGTGCAGACTTTTACCGCCTTGAGGGATATCGGAAAGTATCACAACTTTTCTGCTGGGCTGGTCATCGGTGGCAAGCCGCTCAAGGAGGAGAAGGATAGGCTCGGGAGGATGAACATCTTGGTGGCGACACCGGGGAGGCTTCTGCAGCACCTGGACAGTACGGTCGGGTTTGAATCAGCGGGACTCAAGATACTAGGTGAGCCAGGCTTTGGCATAGCTGATGTAGTCCTGGACGAAGCGGACCGACTGCTCGACCTCGGTTTCCTCCCTGCTCTCCGGGCCATCGTCACCCACTTTGGCTCCCACGAGCGTCAGACGCTCCTCTTTTCCGCTACCCAATCCGCGGACCTCGCCTCTCTGGCCAAGCTCTCCCTCCGCGATCCGCTATACATCAACTGCAACAAGGCTGGCGAGGAGGGTGTCACGCCTGCCTCACTCGAGCAGTTCTACTCGGTCATTCCCCTTCCGCGCAAGCTTGACGCCCTATGGGGTTTCGTCAAGTCTCATCTCAAGATGAAGGGCGTCGTCTTTGTCACCTCCGGCAAGCAGGTCCGGTTCATATTCGAAACATTCCGCAAACTCCACCCCGGTCTCCCGGTCATGCACCTGCACGGCAAGCAAAAGCAGGTTCAGCGCTTGACCATCTTCCAGCGTTTCTCGACGGCACCGACGGCATTGCTGGTGACGACCGACGTGTCAGCGCGGGGCTTGGACTTTCCCTCGGTGGACTGGGTAGTCCAGCTCGACTGCCCCGAGGACGTCGATACGTATATCCACCGGGTGGGGAGGACGGCGCGGTACAAGGCGGAAGGCAAGGGGTTGATATTCCTCTGCCCCAGCGAGGAGGAGGGAATGAAGAAGAGGTGGGAGGAGAAGGGAGTGGTGGTTAAGGGGATCAAGATTAAGGAGGCAAAGATGGGGAACTTGAAGCAGAGTCTGCAGAACTTTTCGTTCAGGGAGCCAGAGATCAAGTATCTGGGGCAAAGGGTGAGTCTTCTCACTGTTGACTGAGTTCAGTCTGGAGAGGCAAGGGGTCGTCGCTGCTTCTGGGTGGTGTCACGGATGTTCTCGCTGGAGCCGGTGGACAGCGACACATATCTAAGGTTGCCCAAATTGGCTTCAGATTTACTGCACCTCGTCATCGCCATGATGTTACGTTGTCCGTACCCCTTGCTCCTTATCTCTCGCAGTCTCTGCCTTCGTCCCTCTTCCCAAGTCTCCCTTCTCATTTTCTACCCGGTCTTGTCTAAATTGGGATGTACCAGGCTGACAAGCAGGCCTTCATTTCTTACATGCGCTCTCTGCATATCCAAAAAGACAAGACCATCTTCGACTTTTCGCAGTACCCCGCCGAGGAGTTCGCCGCCAGCCTGGGTCTGCCTGGTGCGCCACAGATCACGCTAAATGAGGGCAAGGGTAAGGGCCGAGTCAGGGGCGGAAAGGAGAAGCCGGCAGAGGTCAAGGCGGATCTGGAAGTGGTGGCGAGCAGCGATGAAGAGGAGGACGAGGAGGATGTCGAAAATGAGGCGGAAGACGCTGAGGACCACGAGGAGGCTGCCGCAGAAGATGAGGAGGACGTCGAAGAGTCAGAGGACGAGTCTGCCGAGTCCGAGGCATCTGAAGAGGATCGCCCGATCAAAGTAAGTTCATCACTGGTTCACGCTGACCCCAGGCGCAACCCGTTCGGACCAAGTACGACCGCATGTTTGAACGCACCAATCAGTCCATCCTCACTCCCCACTACTCTGCTCTCATCACCCACGACGATAACGAGGATGACGACATCTTCACCCTCGCTCGCAAGAATCACACCCTCGAGGAGCATACCGCACCCGCCTCGGACGACCTGTCCAAGCGCAAGCTCAAAGCGGCCGCCAGCAAGAAAGGGCAGGTCAAGAACCGACCTGGACCTGAAAAGGTGCTATTCGACGAGGAGGGCGAGCAGACCGACTTTTACAAGTCGGGTGTGGATGTCGAGGCGGGCGCGGCGGCGGAGAGGGAGGAGTTCTTGCTGAGTGAAAAGGAGAGGATGAAGCTCGCGGATAAGGTGGATAGAGAGGTGGCGAGGGAGAAGAAGAGGGAGAAGAAGCGGAAGCGCAAGGAGAGGGAGCGAGAGGTCCGGGAGGGTCTGGAGGGGTCCGATGAGGAGGGCATTGCGGTCATTGGGGGAGGTAGTGGGGACGAGTCGGAAGAGGATGTGCCGAGGGTGGATAAGCGGAGACGGGAGGCGAGTGTGGACGATGAGGAGGAGTTGGCGTTGCGCCTGCTCGGTCATTGTGAGTCTTGAGCTTCGGGTTTCAGCCTAAGCTGACAAGAAGAAATCGATCATAACATATATGCGTTGATGGAATTGGGTACAAATTGACGGTTTGGTTCAGCCCATATGTGATCATTCCCCTTCCCCACCCCCTTGTCCCATTATTGATCCCACGTGAGAGCAGAAAAGCTCATCTCATAAGAGCAATCGTGCAGAAACAAGAGGTCGTGGTTGGATGGAGGTGAAATGTCGTCGTAATTGCGCTTACAAAATTCCCAAGACCCCCCAGCTATAATTAAAACCCCAACTTGGAAGAGGCAGCCCACGATGATTTCCTATAGATCTGAAGCTGGGGAGGGTATATAGATCTTGAGGAGTTATGACGGAGGGTAGACTGCGGCAGCGATAGCAAGGCAGAGCAAGATTGAGGAGATGCGCCGACAGAGGAGAAAGCATCACTCACAGTCAATATCCGTGTACTGATCTCCGGGAAGAGTCTCCCGACGTCTCCCGAGGTGGCCTTCTATAGATGCTTGGGATGAAGCTCGGTCACTGTCGAGCCACCACTCGGTCGTCTTGCGTTTGAGATGTCCAGGGGAGGAAGGACAGCAATCGCTCTAGTCGACGCAGCGGTAGCGTACGATGTGGAGCTGGAGCAAGTCTGTAAAATCTAAGTATTTCTCGGCAAGCAAGATTATGTCAATGTCGAGGACGGATAGGAGCTATGTCTTCTACAGCGTAGAGATTGTTTGTGACATGCTCACGATGCGTGACTGGAGGCCGTTTCCCAGAGCAGAGGCGAGCAGAGACCGCCATGATCTACTCCTCTGCCGTGTCCCAGTCCTGCATGCCTCCTGCAGTGAAGCGGCAGGTCTTGTTCATCGATGTCCATCTGCGCGACTGAGCACAGCGTGATCATGCAGCCTCGGCCTCAGTCACTGGACAAGCGAAACGAGCAGCGAAGACGGCTTGGCGATGGAGATGAAAGGTCCGGGGCGAGTGAGGGATAAGACCTGTCCTGGCTGAGGTGGGGGTTGGTAAGGCGAGTAGCTTTCATCCCCGTCGTACCTCAAGGCTAGTCAAAGGGGGGTTGCTTTCATCGGTACATGCGAAAGAGAGTCGCGTTCTATCGGCCAGCACGCGGCCTCACACTGTGAAAATCGAGCCAGACAATACCCCAAACGCGCCATCGTCGTTCAGCCATTTTTAGAGGTCGCCCCGTTAGCTCAGTTGGTAGAGCACGTGACTTTTAGCCTTGTGCGATCACGCGGTCGCGGGTTCGAGCCCCGCGCGGGGCTGCAGACGTACCCATGAGTCCTCCAGAGGTCCATGGGCGAATTTTTTGCCGGGGGAGAGAGAGTGGCGATTCTGGTCGAGTGAGAGACGAAACTCCTCCGCCATCGCGGCTGTGCCACCCTGGAGGGCAGCGCAGTCCACATACCGAAGCCCCGCTGGTACTGCACCCATGCTCGGAGCTGCAGAACGCATGATCGACGACGAACGGCATAGGGTGGCAAGGGAATGAAGGAGAAGGAGTGGCGCTGCCACAAATGACCTAATCTGGCAATTACGTTACCCGATGAGACACGCCCGGGTTTCCCTGAAATGAACATTCGAATCTTGCCTTGGCCTTTGGCTTGCTTTGATGCATCCAACATCTCTCTGATCATCTGTATACATCGGTAGGTATATCGTGTGCGGCTGTAGCGCCGAATCAGTCGGACTCGCCACGCGAAGAAATCAGGCTCCTTCTTGCGACATCGGTCGACATCACCCACGCGTCTATCCAAAGGCGTCTTTGACTATGCCAGTCCCGTCTCTATGGCGTGCGGCGGTAGTAGCGGCGGTATTGGCTGAGCAGGCTCTCGCTGGATTCATGACTGTCACGGTCTCGCCGTAAGCTATTGCCTTTTCTAGGTCCAGCAGAGCTGACTCCTTAGTACGGTGCAATGTCAAAATGCGACCGTCACGTACGTCGACTCGTCAGACCTAGCTGATAAATAGGTGGACTGGCGATGACGGACCATGGCATTTGTTGCTTACGCCGACCGACTTTGCTCAGCACAGCTACAATGTACGTCCTCATCAAGTCCGAGCTGACGGCAAGTTGTGGGTACCAGAAATTCCCGTTACTGCGACAAATTGGACGATCCCGATTAACCAACCTGCGGGCGTGACCTTCATGGTTACCATGTGGGGAGCGAGTGGGATTCGATTTGCGGGAACGACAGACATACTCAGTAAGTCTAGGTCGCGATCCCGCTGACGATAGGCGTCGCAAAACCCACCAATGCCACCAATGCAACCTGCTTCCTCTCCGATGACCAAATCCTCTCCCTCTACACTTTCAGCTTCAACATTTCCGATACCAGCGGAATGTACCCTCCCGAATGCTCCAACCTGTCCATGACTTGGCCGTCGTCGTTAGAGAATGGTGTACAATCGGGTCGGCGCGACTTTACCCTTCCCGAACACGTCCTCCAGGCCCGGCAGAGCGGCCCAGTCGCCGACAACCCTTCGTCCTCTGACCGCAAGCACGGCAATACCACCAACCCTCCCTCCATGTTTGGAATCATTCCCATGGGCAATTCCTTCAGCATTCCCGTCACCTATTCGAGCTCGTATGCGGATCGTCTACCCTCATCGGCCATATCGGATAAGCCGACCACATGGACGCAGCAAGGCGTGACGCATCTGAACTGGACAATTGGGCTGTCCAAGGGGACGAGATTCATTCTCGTGGCGGGGATTGGAGACGAAAAGCAGTGGGCGAGCGGCGGGTCCAGCAAGATGTTGACTGTCGGACAAGGCGGGACGGGATGTTATGGCTTTAGCGATAACGGGGGAGTGACGACGGATGTGCCGAGTATAACGGGGTCATCGTGAGTTTTGGTATAAGCAGAGCTGATTCAGAACTGCCACCACCACGCTCAGTCTCCCAAGCGACGAGGCTTCGGCGGGGTCGAGTACGACCAAGCTCAATGCGGTCGGCACTACAGTCGTCTCGGTATTATCCGTGCTCGTCACTCTTGCCCTCGTCGGTATCTGCTTCTGCTGTTATCGGATTCGTCGGCGGCGGCGCAAGGCAGCTCAGCTCACGGCGTTCCACGACGCCAAGCCGCTCGGATCGTACAAGCGTCGCTCAGATGACGACTCGGACGGAACTCCCTTGGACATCTTATCCCCGTCCGCGTCGTCGTTGGACAATCAACACCTTCCTCCACTCGACACGAGCCCAGCCGCACTCGCTCGCACACCTGTCCGAGGGGATCCATTCCGGGATTCGCCAGCTCGTACCCCAATCGAATCCTACACCGCATCCACCATGTCCCCGATCGAGCGCGTTCGAGCGACGTCGGGTATGGGCCGGCACGCCTCCCAGGATCACCTCATGTCTGGTCCATCTTCCCCAACACAATCATCCTACCCCTCGCTATCGACCAATCGTGCATTGGCACACGCGGAGCCGCCCGTCGATGACGGAGACGTCACGGATCTCAAGCTGGAGACGCTGGCGCAGTTCGATCGGGAGGCAGCTGGGCCAAGCAGAAGAAGGAGGGAAGAGGAAGAGGAGCTGGAGTATGTGGTGCATAGAGATGCGGGACGGGTGAGGGAGTTGCCACCGCGGTATGAGGAGCTCAAGTGGGAGGAGGAAGAGCGCAGGGAATAGATCATACACGTGAGATCTGAGTGTTGTATCCATTGTATCCATTGGTGACCCGCTGTCGGTCCATCTATCCGATAGCACGGCGTTCCTCCTGCAGATCGACCCCTCCTCGGCCTCGTGCCTGCCTTTGCTGCGGATGTTCCTGGTTGCAATGTGCCAAGTCTGCCCTTTATAGCTAGATCCCTGCGCGGCTACGCTCGACTCCCTGTAGCAGTGCCGCCCTTAGCTCTGTTAGCTCTGCTCGATTTTAAACCTTTGCCGACGCAGCTGCACTCCACATGCTCAAATCTCGTAATTCCGCCGGAAATGGCCCGGATCCGGCCGGCGGCTGTTGACGGTCAAGCGTCATCGCGCTCTACTCGTTGCGTTTTTCCTCCATCCCACTGACTGTACCCTCTACCTGTGTCTACCTTGGAAGCTGTATGGCGTACGGACAACCAGCAGGGTCCATAAGCACTCAAACACATACTTGGCGATATCCCAGCGACTCACCGTTGAGACCGCCTCGACACTGAGACCGAGACATCTGTCAACAAGCATTTTACCTCTCGTCCACGGACGCTCACTTCCAATCGGACACACCTGCACTTGGTATACTAGCCTATGATGCCCGGCAGACATACAGAGACGCCGGAGCGCGACATCGAGTCGGGCGCAGCGACGCCAGTGGGCAGTCAGTCCCGCATGAATGGTGCCGGTGCTGGCGGAAAGAAACAGTGGTATAAGAAGATTGGATGGGGGATCTGGAAGGACATCAAGGCCAGAGCACCCTACTATGGGAGCGACTGGACGGATGCTTGGAACTATCGGGTCGTGCCTGCTACATGGGTATGTGGCTCATAACACTGGTAAACTAAACGCTGATGAGATAGTTCATCTTCTTTGCGAATGTCTTCCCTGGGATTGCCTTTTCGCTCGATCTTATTGTGAGCTTGCCTCAGTGTTACGGTGTCTACAGCCAGAGCTCATGAGATAGGAAACTACTGGCCAGTACGGTGTGCAGGAAGTTCTACTATCATCTGTAAGTTTGGCATTTACCGAAAAGGGTTATGCTGACGGGCAGTTCATGGCCGCCTTCTTTGCTGCCTTCTTTGGCGGACAGCCTCTCCTCATATCCGGTGTAACAGGTACGTTCTCGCTCGACACTCATACTGATCACAGGTCCAATTACCGTCTTCAACAAGGTCATCTACGACATCATGGAGAGTCGCGCCAACCCACCGGTCTACCTCCACTTTATCGGCTGGGTCTATCTCTGGGGCGCCATCTTCCACTGGATCGTCGCACTAGTCAACGGCGTATCGCTACTCAAATACGTCACCCGCTTCTCATGCGAGACGTTCGGATTTTACGTTGCGGCTGTGTACATCCAGTATGGGATCCAGGTGGTGGAGCGGCAATTCACAGAGAGCAGCGTTGGAGCCGGGTTCTTGGGCATCTTGTAAGTCACCAGTATAAGCATAAGGCTGACAGTAGACTCGCCATACTCATGCTGGTCACCCCGCACTACTTTACCGCGGTCGCCGAGTCGGGATACGTTTCAAAAGGCTTCAGGCGTTTCTGCGGGGACTATGGTATGCCCATTACCGTCATCGCCACCAGTGGATTGGCATATTGGGGGTACTTCAACGGGTCAGTTGGCAGAGGCACATGTAGCATCCACGAGCTGACAACGTAGCGCTGTCCGCGAAATGAACATGACTCTTCCGGTAATAGAAGAAAGCTTTGTCCCCGCCAACAATCGCGCGTGGCTCGTGCGTTTCTGGGAGCTTCCAGCGGAATACGTCGGCATCGCCTGCCCGTTCGGCCTCGTCCTGTTCATCCTGTTCTACTTTGACGCCAACGTTTCAGTAAGTCCACCACTAGTCCGCGCTAATTTCAGTCTCTCATCGCGCAAGGAACCGAGTTTCCGCTTCAAAAGCCACCAGGGTTCCACTGGGACTTCTTCCTCCTCGGTATCACCACCTTCATCGCTGGTTTACTCGGTCTCCCAGCGCCAAACGGTCTCATCCCTCAAGCACCTCTGCACACTGCAAGTCTTGTGATCATGGGGTATGAGGACGAGGATCGCACAGCGGTTAGCACACCCACAACCGGATCACGCTTCCGCGAGGAGGGTGTGGAACCGACCCAATCGTTCGAGATGGACCAGGCTCAGCTTGGCGCTTCGAGCAGAGGCGGAAAATCAGATCGCAGCGGGCTCAAGCGAAGATCGAGCCGCGGCGTGCAAGAGTCGGCAAAGATGAGTGAGAAAGAGGTCGAAGAGCCAAGGAAAGAGGTACCTGTTGCGGTGGTGGAGCAGCGGGTGTCAAATCTCGCGCAGGGCGTGCTTTGTAAGTCCTCGCTGAGATCAAGGCTGATGACAGGTCTCGTTTTGATGACGAAGCCGTTCCAGCATGTCCTAGGCTTGATTCCCAAGGGGGTGATGGCGGGGCTTTTCGTAAGTTGAGCAGACTCACATGAATGCTAGCTGACATGTCAGTGGTACATGGGAACGGCTGCTCTGCTCAGCTCTGGCGTGACCAAGCTCATGCTCTACCTCATCCGAGATCGACAAAAGACATCGCCCAGTGAACCCCTCAACAAGGTCCGCCGGTCCCGCATCCTCATATTCCTCTTCATCGAACTGATCGGCTTTGCCGCGACCTTCGCCATCACGCAAGTAAGTTCAAAGGGCTACCGGAGCTGACAACAGACCATCGCGGCGATTGGGTTCCCGGTCATCATCTCACTCTTGGTCCCAGTCCGATTATACATCGTCCCTCGTCTCGGATTTACTAAGGAGGAGCTTGACATCTTGGATGGACCTGTTGCGAGTGAATTTGTGAGTATTCCATTCGGTCAGGACTGACGTGCACCAGACTCTTGAATCTGTTGGAGGCAGCATATAGTGAAAGTGAGATCTTGAGGCACACTCTGTCGAGCTGGCGTAAAATCCTCGGGATCTCAATACCTGGATCCCAAATCTTGAATCTACAACTAGTATGCTCTGAGTAGACCACATGTAGCCATAGATGCCTTTGCCACAGATGACCTTAGAAGACCTTGAACACTGAAAGAAGCGGGACGGGAGTCGCACGGGTCTGCTCATCAAGGCAAATTCAGGGAAGTTTGCTGTCGGACGCGCTGCCGTTCTAGATTTCGTGACTTTGCCTATATCTGCATACCTTAACGACCTTACGCCCTTGCTAGACATCCTGCAGAGTAGACAGAGCCCCCACCTAGACGCCTGAGCTACCCAGCGTAGCTCGCCAACCCGGCAAAATTTCCGTCTCCTGTAAGCCTTCGCCCAGTCTTTCGCTAATCCCAGCCCAATCCATCTTCCCCAGCAAGGGGTTCAACGAATCCCGTCGACGCCATCCCCGACCCACCACCCCTCGTCCCACCTCCCCCAGCATGGCTCCTCCGCCTTCGGGCGGGCTCCCTATTCGGCACTCGGCGCAGCGCGTCGTCGTCCGCCTCGCCTTGGTCGTTATCGGCTTTCTCCTCTTTCGATCCTTTTTCTTCCCCTCCCACACCGACTCTGAGGAGATCATCTCGCATGGTGTTCTCGAGCGCGTCCTCCTCACCGACAAGTACCTCGATACGGCGAAGTACCCTTTCCTGCAGGCGCGGATAGGAAGGGATGAGCGGCCAGACCTGTTTGACGACGAGGTCGGGGATGGGATCATGGACTTTTGGACGCGCTTCCAAAAGCCCTTCATTACCGGGAGGGATACGGCGCACCTGGACACGCAGGTGATGCGGACGGTGGTCGATGATCTGCTGCAATTCAACGGGTGGGTAGCGGCGGCATGCCCCACGTTGATCCGGCCGTTTGGTCAAAACAGCCGGGACGACAAGTATGAGGATTTGGCGGCGCAGGACAATCTCTATTATATCGCTATCACCATCCACTCTGCGGATCACTTCCTCGTCGATCAACTTGCCATCATCATCCAGGTCGCTCGGCGGCTGGGGACGCGGAACCTCTTTGTCTCCATGCTCGATATGGACTCGGCGGATGCTACTCCTACCCTGGCGGATCTATGCGAATCTATCCTCACTATCCTCGGTATCGCCTTCCGTATCCGGCGCGTTCCGCCCATGACGGTCGACCCCTCGGCGTCGTACTATCCCCTCGAGGAGGCGTATGCGCGGAATCTGGCGCTGGAGCCGCTGCATGAGCTTTGGAAGAAGCGGAGCATCAAGTTCCACCGGGTGATTTGGTTGAAGGGGTTCACTTGCCCCAACGACGTGCTGGAGAGTCTGCGGGTGAGCGAGGTGAACGGGGCGGCGTTGGTTTGTGGGATGGATTGGGCAGAGCACAATGGATTCTTCATCTTCTCCGATCGGTAAGTCAACGCAAGGCTGGGCTGATAATAGATGGCGTACCCGTGATATCGAAGGCAACCTCTTCCGGCAGGCCAAGTCCAACTCCAAACCCGAAGCTGGACCGCCCAGAGATACTGCCGGGACGGAGCGGTACAAGGGCCACCTGCCATTCCAGGTGTTCTGCTGCGAATCCGGTACGCACGTCGTCGATCCGGAACAATCCTACTATCGCGATATCGCCTACCGCGCATCCCCACTCTCCCACAACCTCTCTACCACTCAGGAACAGCCCGACTGGGACCCCGAAACCCAGTGCATGGACTCGACGCAGATGTGGTTCTGCCGCGATCTGTGGTCGGATGCGGCGAATGGCGGTCTGAAGGATGGGAAGCGGGCGGGGCATGTCAAGTTGACGGGCGGGCACAAGCGGGGGCTGGACAATGCCCCGAGGAAGAGGGAATTGGGTGTGGTGGAGAAAGCGTATGACCCAGAGCCAAAGGTCAAGATTGAAGAGACGGAGGCGGGTCCCAAGGCGGTCGCTCAGGAAGAAGCGGGAGTTCAGAAGCGGCAGATGGGCGGGAAAAACCAAGAACCCACAACGGCGGATGATGAGCAAGGGACAGATGTCGATGCGATCGACGAGGAGATACAGGAAGCGCCCGCACCCCTCGACGCCCTCCCCGCTTCGGCCTACCTCGTCCCCAATTCCGCCTACACTCCCGCTCGGATCCTCGTCAACCCCCGCTGCGTCACCACATACGGCGGTGTATCCCACACCCAACTGGCGCTGGATCTGTTTGGGAATAGGGACGAGCCGCAACATACCGGCGGAAACTACGTGCTGGATGACTGGGCGGGACCGCCAGATAGCTTTGTGTGTCAGGAGATGCGGACGACGGGAGGAAGGACGGCGGCAAAGTCGCAGCGGAGAGTTGGGTTCTTGTTGCAGAATGAGGTGAGCTAGTTCGAGAATATGAAGGGACGATCAGCTGACGATCAGGTTGAACCTTAGGGTAGATAGCTTGGGCATCTATAGAAACGATATATCAATACAGCATGTGTCTTATGGGTCGAGATCTTGGCTTTTCTCTGAGCTGTAGCCGACCCGATCATGATCGACTTATGGCTTCACACGTTTGTTCATTCTGCTTGTCTACTGCACCTTCACTCCCTATCCCCTCCACTAGACGGGAGGCACGCCAACCTTCAACCCTGCCTTGCCGACGTAGAAAGCCACCCTCCCGGAAAGGTGCTCGGCGCCCTTCTTGGGGGTAGGGTAGAACCTGAAAAATCAGCCCTTGCTGTTCTAAATGACATGTATGGACAAGGCTCGACCTACCATGCGATATCCTTGATCTCCTTGCCGTCCTCGCCCTTGTAGTTGAAATAGCTGGCCTCGCCTGATGTGTCAGCTCAGTCCTGTTCATGCTGACCAAAAACCCAGGAATGCGGTAGCTGCACATACCTTTCCAGCCGCATGTAGTGTGAGTTCCAGACTCGGAGTACCGTCCCCGATCGATCAAGGCCGACTCCTTGAAGTACCAGCTACGATCATCAGCTGTCTGTCTCGACGCTTCCGAAGCGCTGCCAACTCACTTGCCCTCGACCTTCTCCAGGTCGCTCGTCATTGCCTGCGCGAGCACCTTGTCGCCCATCAGGATAGCGGTCATATTGTCTGCGCTCATTTTGATTGGGTTGTACGGATGTGGGTGTGGTAGAGGTGGAGTCTATAATGTGGGATTGTTGAACGGAGGTCGAGAAGTCCAGGATGATCGCAGCTGGCGCGATCGTGAAGCTGGCTGATTGCGTCATCGCTGTTTCACTTTCAGCCTTTCCATCTTGTCCAGGTGCAGATCTGTCCCACCTCCCGGCATCTCGACCCTACGACAAGTACTCCCCGCCAGCCTTATCCCTAGCGGACCATACACGGAATGCATAATCTACACTTGATAAGGAGAATCGCTAACCCCTTGATTCCAGCGCCTGCGTGATTTGGATTGCCTTCCTTCAGACCCCATCTATGATATCTAAGGTCTATGTGAAAAGCCGTCTTGTTTGCGCCCGCGCCAAAAGCCGTTAAAAGGTCGTATTTGCTTCTCCGCTTGGAAGTGTCCAAAGTCGGGATAGGGCGGTTGTGGGTAATTACTATAATGACGACGTCAACGTGGGTGCGGTGGAGAGGGGTAGGGGAGGGGGATAGACCGAGGTCGAGGCTCGATTTGAGCTGTCTCTTGTCGAGATGGAGAGAGAAAGCCCGAAAAGCCCAAAAGTGTTGTAGTCTAGGGTGAGGTCGTTAAACGTCGTCGTGAAGGTCGTGGCCGCCGAATTTGGATGTTCCGGGTGTATAGATTGTGCTGGGTATCGATGGGAATGGGGATAAAGGTACAGGGCGATGTAAGAGGCGAGACCGAGGAGAGAGGGGCGGCCGAGACGAGGCGGTTAGGAGGTACGACTCGACCGAGTGGGCATTTACCACCAGCTCGAGCCGCCGCCCGAGGCAGCAGGGAAGCCGCCACCACCGCCGCCGTAACCTCCACCATAGCCACCACCGCCCGACCGGGGCGCGCCAAAGCCGCCACCACCGCTGCTACGAGTGTCGCGACCCGCACCAGAGCGTCCGCCACCACCGCCACGTCCTCCACCCCGGCCCCTCGAGCCGTACGACGATCCGCCGCCAAAGCTGCGCTCCGACGCGATGGACGGGAGGAACGCCGGGATCTCCTGGTGAGACTCGGTAAGAAGCTCAATGAGGTCCTTGGCGAGACCGATGTTGTTTCTGCTTATCAGCTGAGCCTATACTTTCACAAGCTAAATACTCACCGGTTGAAGAACGCAGTCGAGTTACCAGTGTTACCCGCTCGACCGGTACGACCGATTCGGTGGGTGTACTCTGCGACGTCCGAGGGGAGATCGTACAGAATGACGTGGGTGACGTTGGGGATATCGAGACCTCGCGCAGCGACGGCGGTAGCGACGAGGATGGGAGCGCGACCAGTCTTGAACGCGTGGAGAGCAGCCTCTCGCTCGCGCTGGGTCCGGTCGCCGTGGATGGAAGTGGCGGGATGACGCTGAGCACAGAGGAAGTCGCAGAGCGAGTCGGCCATGCGCTTTGTCTCGACGAAAACAAGGATCAACCCGCCCGACTGCTCCGCGAGAAGCAGATCCAAGAGCAGGGACCGCTTGTCCTGGTCGTCGACATACTCGATGCGCTGAGTAATGTTCTCCGAGGTGGAACCGACCCGACCGACCGAGAGGAAGACGTACTCCTTGAGGAAGACCCGGGCGAGACCCTGGATCTCCCTGGGGAAGGTGGCTGAAAACATGAGGGTTTGACGCTCCTGAACGCCCGGCATGTCCTCGCCGTCGACGATCCGCCTGATCTGGGGCTCGAAACCCATGTCCAACATCCGGTCGGCCTCGTCAAGGACGAGGTACTTGATGTTGGCGAGCGAGATCCGGCCGCGCTCGATGAGGTCGACGAGACGACCGGGGGTGGCGGAGAGCAGGTCGCACCCGCGGTCCAGAGCGCGGATCTGCGAGCCGATATCGGCACCACCGTAGACGACGGCGGGCCGAGCCCAGGATCGGTAGGCAAACTTGCGCGCCTCATCGTGGATCTGGCTGACCAGCTCACGAGTAGGAGCAAGGATGAGGGCGGTGGGGTATGCCTTGCGGCTGCGACCGTAGGACCCACCGTGCTCCTGGGGAGAGGCACGCGGTCCAGTGCTGAACATGGAGGAGAGGATGGGGAAGAGGAAACCGCCAGTCTTTCCGGAACCGGTCTGGGCGCAGGCCATCAGGTCTCGGCCCTGGTGGACGATGGGGATAGAGTATTTCTGGACTGGGGTGGGGGTCTTGTACCGCGCCATCTCGATGTTCTCGAGGAGGACAGGGTCGAGGTGGTCCTCGGTGAAGGTGGTGACAGGCTCGGGGACGCCCTCGCCGGTGGCCTCGACGGGGATGTCGGCGTAGCGGTCAAAGTTGATACCAGTAGCCTGAAATCAGCTTTGCTGGCGAGTATGCTCACCTGGTGGACACCATCACCCTCCTCACCAAAGAGCTCGTGCTCCATGCGCTGGTTGCGGGAGCCAGCGACATGCTTGCCGTTCTTCCAGGTACCGTAGCCAGGGGGAGCGCCGTTCGAGCCCATGGTACGGACAACGGGAGGGGGAGGACCCCAGCCGCCATCCTCGGCAGCGCGAGCGGCTTGAGGCGGAGTAGGCGCCGGGGTGGGCAAGTTGCCAAAGCCGTTGGTGTGGGCGGCGGGAGCACGAGCAGCCATAGTCTCGAGCTTGACAGGGGCGGCATCGGGGCGGTTGCGAAGGTGGGGAGGGACGTAGGCAGGGCGAGTGGGGTTGAGCGAGATTCCGCCTGGGGTCAGCTATCTTCGAGATTATAACTTACTCATCTTCTTCTCGATAGCAGCGGTACCGTTGGCACCCTCATGGTTGGCAGCGAGGTGGGCAGTAGTCATAGTTGTTTGAGCAAGGTGGCGAGTGGCGATTTGATCCGTCTAGGATTGTTTCTTGAAGTTGCTTTCTGGTGCTTGTTCAGCAGTAGGGTGCACAGTGCGGGACTGCTGTGTGTGAGTGCGGGGTGTGGGATGATAATCTCTTGATAAGAGGATAGGAGGAGAAAGGAGACTTCGAGCTTTGCTGGGTGAAAAATCTTTTACAGCGGAGAGTTTCAAGGGGAAAAGGGCCCCACTGATGGATGGCAAAGTGAGTCTAGTGAGACGCGTCAGAATGGAACGGGAGATAATAAAAGAATGATTATTTCGCGGAATTCCTCATCAAGTCGCGTTTGAGCTCGGACGCGTCGAGACACATTCAAACTCTGCACAGGCACTCGGACAGCATCAGCAGTACAGCTCAAGCAAGATATCCCACAGTCAGCATGGTGAGTCATGCTGCATCCCCACAGAGGGCTACGCTGATGGGATAGTCCGGAAACGCAGGTAAATCTCGAGCTCGGCCCACCCCTCACCTAGCTCGCCACCCAACTCATCTGAACTGACAACTAGAATACAAAGAGGCTTTCGCACTCTTCGACAAGCGGGGAAACGGGCAGGTACCCCGGGAATCCCTTGGCGCACTGTTGCGGTCACTGGGGCAGAACCCTACTCAGGCCGAGGTGGCTCAGCTGGAGCAGAATGTATCGACAAATTGTGAGTCCGTGCACCGAGGGACACAGTGCAGCTGGAGTGGATGGGACTGCTGGAAGACGGGCGCATCATTCAGCCCTGCTTATGTTTATGCGAAGCGCTGCTGAAGCCCCGCTAACAGACAGTCTCGTATGACCAATTCCTCCAGATCTTGAACCGTCAAGACGGCTGGAAGCCCGCCGGAACAGCAGGCAAGTTGCTTTCAGGTTGATAGACCCTATTCTCTTGTGTCTCGCTGACGATACAGACGAGTTCATCAAAGGCTTCCAGGTCTTCGACAAGGCCGGGAACGGCTTTATTGGCGCCGGAGAGCTGCGATACGTCTTGACGCAGCTGGGGGAGAAGATGACGGATGAGGAGGTCGATGAGCTGTTGAAGGGGTTCCCAGTGCAGTGCGTATGCTCTCATCGTTGAAGGATTCGGGTGCTCGAGGAGGGAGAGATTTGCTGACACCGCAGGGACGGGCAGATCAATTACCACTCTTTCGTCCGCTCTATCTTGGCTCAATAGGCGGAGCGGTGCGAGCCCAGAATGGGCCGGGAGGGCCCTGTAGCAGCGGAGGGAAGGGAGATCCCTGTTGGGCGGGCTGCACTAGTTCAATGTAATGACACTTATGACGACTCGTACCTGAGGCGACTGCTCAGGAGGGTATGGCGCTTACCCCGCTAATGATGATGTACTACCATTTGGCGCATCCGTTCTGACGCACTTATCCTCGCGTTTACGCCTTGTAGGATGCGTATCGCTCTCACGAGTACCATGCTCAAAGGGTCAAGGGGGACTAATATTGTGCGGAGAAGTGAACTGCGCGACCAGAGTGCTCCTCGGCAGGATGGTCTGTACCTTCCAGCGTGATGATGGTCCTCCCGGCGTAAGACGATGTACATACTCCCTGACACGCTCTGCGTCTTCGTCCGCCTTGGGCCGCAATCGCGTTGGCATCAGCTCCGACGAGTATAGCCTCGCCACACGGAAGCAAGCATGCCAATGATGGAAGGCAGCAGATGTGTCGCTTGGGGATCGGCGCATGCCATTTGCACTCAACGTTCTGCCCTAGCCGCCATCACGATGGCACCAGAGCCGACTGACCGGGATCTACCCAAGTAGGCATGCTAGTGATGGACCGGAACACATGCGTTGCTGAGGTGATCTGCACACGCCATCTATATATATGTACTCGCAGCATCCTTCGTAAGCTCGTCAAGCATAAGTCTAGCGGTGCAGATGCAATGGTCGGACCGCCTGTCCAAGGAGGCCGGTACAACCAGGGCGTTGATCCGAGCAGCTGCAGGCCAAGTAGGAGTCTCGTCCAATTGCCAGTAGAGACGGTCCTGCTGCATACTCTCTGCTACTGTTCGTCGATGTTATCTCGCGCCGCGGTCAGCTGATGGTCATGGCGGGCTGTCGTAGACGGCAGGCGCAGGGATCTCTAGACATCGCTGCGCCTCCGCCTGCCACCGGTATTCCGGACACTGGTCAACAGCAGGAGTGGACTCTCGGCTGTCAGCGCTGTCAGCTCGCAGTATCAATAAAAAGCAACCGCTCCTAACTTAGCGTTGGTGAGACCGTCAGCTGCTGTCAGCTGCTGCTGCAGCCCTGGCAGTTGTCCGCATCCAGCCGCATCCGAAGCATACTCCCGCGGAAGACGCTGAACACGGGGGAAGAGAAGCATACGGCAACGGTGATCACTTTGGTAATCCGTCGATCCTTTACGATCGATGGCGTTGATGATTCACGGCAGGATTTTAATCTCCTCGGAACCCGGCTTTGCTGTCTTCACCATGAGACCTTCACGCTCGCAGCGTGCGAAACAGCTGCGGAAGAGTCTTATCGCGGCAATTGACAGCGCGCAAGGCGACCGGCTTCACCTGGACGTACTCGTGCAGTATGGGGTACGCTTGACCGTCTTCACTTAACTCCGCCCCTCGGCCGAACCGCTCAGCCGAGGTCCGGCCGCTCTCGCTTAAGCTTACCGGACTGCGGCTTGTTGGGCCGAGCACTGCTCCGTGAACCATAAAAGTTAATTTGACGGCATGCTGATCAGCTGCGCTTCGGTCGTGATCAGCCGCCAAATCATCTGCCTCTGGCCGGGAAGAAGTCTGGCCATGCCGATCGGAATTGAGGCATCATGACGGTGGCGCCGACGCCTTCTAGGGAATCCGCCGTCCGGAGCATCGCGGGGCATAGGGTTAGCGATTATGGAAGTTAATCTTGCCCAGTGCTGCCCATCGCATGTGCACGATGCTCGATATCGGGTCGATGAAGGCGGGGAAGTCGTGCGGATCCGAGCTGAGGCGCTATACGCTGTTAGCCGCAAAGGCAAAAGTTCTTGGCTTGAGGAGATCTTCAGGGACGCCCAATGCAATAATATCATGCGGCTACATCATCACGCAGTGCTCGACTGGGAAGCTAGCGTTGTTGCATCTTCTTCTCTTTCTTCTAGCACCGAACACCTTACTCCATCATCGCTGAGCAGAGATTCGCAACTGTTGCGTTTCTCCTGCGTCCAACGGTACTGTTCGCGCGAGGTCAGCTCATTCATTCCCGCAGAGATTGGATTCAGGTGAGTGTCTTGATTGAACCATGCTCGGCCCATTCTTATGCTCAGACAATCAGACGTTTCATCTTGTTCCTCGATCTCGCGCACACACCCACACACGCACACACGGGGTCATCACGCCCCCCTTCGTTACTGCTTCTCGGTAATCTTCCGCCGTTACCGACCCTCCTTTGACATCCCTTCCTTTCCGCCCTTCCGCTGTCCCTCCCCTTCGCCCTGCGCCCTGTTCCTGGTTCCTTTGTTCCACGCCGGCGGCAGAAGCCAGGGGAGACCATCAAACAAAGCCTCAACGGACACGGACACGCGGATCACGCGCAACCGCCGAGCTACGCTTGACTCGGACCCATCTCATCTAGACAACCAACGGGGTCCCCTTGCAGAAGCAAAAGCTTAGCTCGGGTCAGCAAGGAGTGTCCCCCCTTTTGCGATCCACTGCGTGTGCTTTAGCGCAATATAACGGCTCACAGCCGATCAAAAGGACCCATACTCGTCGGACAGCTCGAGCGCACCGTCATCCCCCTACGCCCCCTCACTTCTCCATCTCCACCGCCATCTCCTCCGTCGTCCTCATCGGAGACGCCTGCCCGGTCGTCAAGCGGAGTCACGCCGTTCAGGTCCCAGAGGCGTAAAATCGGGCCAGAATAGGGGATGACCCCTCCTTCAACAGCCCATCACGAGCGAGATCAACTCCGGGGTGCTCCATCTCAACAAGGACAAGGACACGAGGAAAAGACTAGGCTGGACTCTCCATCAGCTTCTCATTTATCACAGCCTCACCGCCCACCTCCCATCACATCCCATCCATATAACCCCTACGGCATTCCCCATTCTTCTCCCCTCCCGGCGCTATCTACATCCGTCAGTATGGCGTCCGCGGCTACCCTACCTCCTACCGATATCCTGACTCCCCGCCTGCCCGCTCATCCCATGTCGGGTATGTACCACCCGGCGTCCACATCGCGATCCCCCTCCATGCAATACGACCACAGGCCCTACACCGACTACTCCAAGCCCAGGGAGAATGTGCGGTACGAGCCGTACGCGGACCGTCGCAGAGTCAGCGGGCGGCCCGAGGAGAAGATCACTCTCCCAAGTCTGGCGGGATTGGCGCACGACCCATACGCACCAAGACAAGTCCTTCCGTCCATCCAGCCGTACCAGCCGGCCTGGGGCGCAGAGACACGGCTACCATCGCGCGGTCAAATCCAGCTCCCCTCCCTTCGGTCCATATCGGGCGAATCATCACCCACAACCTCCCGGCCCCCACCTCACAGCTATGGTCCCCCTCGGGACCCCTACCTCCCCCCACCCCTCAGCCCATCGATGACACGGCCGGCCGTCTACTCGCAGCCATCTCCGCTCCCCTCGCAGCAACATCCCCTATCCCAGCAGCCCCTTCGGCCTCACACCTACCCCTATCATCCCCCAGCCCTCCCTCCACCCCCTCCACGCAAAACCCATCCACCGCCACATGACCCTCGCAATCCCTCTCCGCCTGTCCGAGTCAAGCACGAGCCGGACAGCTCCCCGCCACTACGTTCTGCGCCTTTATCGCAAAGGACGGACGAGCGGTACTTTCCAGCCCCGGTGGCGCAGAGCTACTCGCCCACCGGTCCAAGGGTAGATTATGCCGATACCAGGCGGGGTTCGGTGGTCAGCCTAGCAGGAGAAGGCAAGGAGCAGGTCGTTGGTCAGACGCGCCGTCTCGCACATCTCATGTCGGAGCAGAAGCGCAGAGAGTGAGTTGATCCGTCTGGTATTTGGATCTCGCTAATAACAGGTCTATCAATACCGGCTTCCATGCTCTGCGGTCAGCCCTCCCCCTCGCCCTACCTACCGACTCGAAAGCCATCATCCTCCGTAAAGCCCTCGCTCGGATCGAAGAACTCGAGGCTCGGGCGGGTATCGCATCGGCTTCTTCTCATCGTCGTTCCGCTCGGCAGACCTACGAGAGCGAGACCTCGTCCACTGCTACTCGGCCAGACTGGCGGACGGGTGGCGGACTACACCCGCAGCGTATGGACGAGCGGGTCCCATCGGGCACATCACAGTCTTCATCGTCGTCAAGACCGCAAGAGGCGGAGGGGAGGTATAATGACGAGTGGGCAGAGGCTCGTCGTGGGGAATATGAGGAGAGTCCGGGGAGCGAGATGGGAGATGGGGAGTATGATGGGGTGCAGCCAGACGGGGAGGCGAGGGAATGGGCGGATGAGGAGATGCAAGGCAGGGGGGCTTACAGTCAGGAGAGGCGAGGCTCGATCGTCAGGTAGCCGGGAGTGAAATGAGTGAGCTTGTAGTATAGATAGACATGGTTTTTGGCATATGAGATAGTTACGAAGAGCCGACATCACCGCACTACAGTGCTACCCGCCTCTAGCTGAGACCTCTGCACTATTTGAAGATTGAAGCCCTGGAGCTGCCTGGTGCGGGTGTCGATGCCGTAACGTCCGGCCCTGCTTCGACCGAGTCATTTCCAAAGGATCTCGGTTGTTGGCCATATCGAAGTGATTCGCCCGACCTGAACCAGCCCCTCCCCCGCTCGCCTCATATATAAGCCGACCACAGCGGCGGCTTCATGACACCCCTCTCCTCAAGATATAGTTCCCATGTCCGCCCCTCGAATCCCCGCTAAGCGCCCCGCTGGGTCAACGCCGAAGCTCCCCAACTCCCCCTCGGTAGCGCTCACGCCAAAGTCCTATCCTGCGCCGGGACGAACACCCACCTCTCAAGCTGGCACATCGCCCGAGCGCTCAGCCAAGCGCGCGCGCCTTAGTCAAGGGAGCGGGCAAGGCGAAATCCAGAATGGCGGACTCGTACCTCCCTCGCTGGCGCAAGTCGGTCGAGGAGTCAGTACAAGGGGAGGCGTAGCGTGGGTACAGGAGAAGGTCGCTGAGCTTGGGAGCATGTACAAGGTGACTCTTCGAGTTTTGCAGAGGGTAACAGCTCATGTTCAGGAATGCCTCGTGGCGGCTACCCTCCTGCTCCAGTACAGGACGTACTCGCGTGACTTGTGGGTCGGCCCCCTTGACAGCAATTCTGTGGCTGATATAATAGTGGGATAGGCACAAAGCGTACACCGGTACATCTGTCACAAAGGCTCGAGCTCGCTTGGACTCAATACGAATCCTTGCGGTCACATATCGAGTCATATCTCGTCAGTCCATCCCTTGTTCGCTTCATACAACGGCAGCTGATCTCCAGCTGCAATGCGCTCAAGCAGCCACTCCTAACTCCACCGCCAAGCCACTCCCTACACCGTCCTCACTCGTACCCGGTCTCCCACCTCTCCCATCTATCCCCTCGATCCCTCTTACCGCTCTCACCCTCCTCCAGGCCGACCCGCACCCAGGCCGTCTAGGCCGCGTATCGCTCGATAAACTCCTCGCTGCGGACCCTGCCAAGGGTCTCGTCGGGTACACGTCAGGCGAGGTGGTCTTTCCCGGTGTACCATCGGACGTTGCCATGCCGGTCGAGGAGATTCGGGTCGCAGAGCAGCCCAACCCGGAGCCAGTCGCTATGTCTATATCCCTACCCGGGGTGGATTATAGCGCTCAAGCGGGTATGGGCGGAGATGACGGGATGGACCTGACTGGCATGGGCATCGAGGAGCTATCAGCGCTCATCAACGGGGATGCGCTCATGTCCGGTCTAAGCAGTGGGATGGGTCAGCAGGGGCAAGGGGCGGAAGCGGCGGGCATGCTGGACGACCTGAACCGGTTCGCTCAGAGCCAGGCACCAGTGCCGCTTCCACTACCGGTACAAGCCCAGCCTGTCCAGCAGCAGGCCGTACAGAACATGAGCGGGTCTGCTCCAGGACTGCCAAACCGGGAAGCGGCCAACGCTTTGCTCGCCGAGATGCAGCAAAACCAGGCGCCAGCACGACAAGTCCAACAACCACCGGCTGTCGCTCCAGCTCCAATCTCATCCTCTCAGCCTCTGCAGCAAGCCCAACAACCTTACCCTCCCGCTCCCCCTCCGGTGCAAAGCTTAGACTTTGCCTTTCCCACCATGGACACCGCGGACAGCTTGGACCCCCTGGACGGGCTGGGCGATATCGACTTCAACGAGCTTGCTGGGATGTTCACCAACGCCAGCGGGCGGACCACACGGCAAGCCAGTCCCGATGCTGCATCCCAGCCACTCGCGCCTATCACGCAGTCGGACCTGTCGGTCGCTCAACTTCCCGTCAATCCGGCTCAACAACAGCCAGACCAGCTCGGTCTGGACATGTCAAGCCTATACCCCGTCCAAGATAGCGCGCGGATGCGGGCGGCGGACTTTGATGGGACATTAGGCGGGATCGATCTGAATGATTTCAATTTTGGTGGGGATGGCGAGGGGAGTCTGCCAGGTGTGGATGGAGATGAGTTTGAGAGCATGTTTGCCGAGTTCAAGTAGGGGCTTGAGGAAGAGGGGGCGGATATGTGTCCTGTTACATTTCATAGGCAGATCATTAATTAGCGGTATATTTCACGGTCTTGACGGTTATCAGTTGTAGGTCTGCATAAGCTTGGATGCTCATGTGGCACTGTGGTCCGGAGGAGATGTCCTGCATGGGACTTTTACACATATACAACATGACGGTTCTACTTGCTCCCGCTTACCCCAGCTCCGGTAATCATCCGAGCAGTTGCAACCCCCTGCCACAATCATCCCACGCCATCACGCTCGGATCATCGTCCCCCTCCGCCTCATACTTGAGCTCTTTGGATCCCCTGCACAACCCGCACTTGCGATCCAGGCTTGGCTTTTGTGAGAATTCTGAAAAGTGGTTTCGAGCCATGTTGAGATTGTACTGCAGCATTGCCGTTTCTGCTTTGGTCAGCTCGATCCACCTAAACATTTCGGCAGTACAGGGAACCGACCTATTCTGGAGTCGTTGGAGACGACGAGGACGAAGGAGTTGCGAGTCATCGGCTCGACAATCACGCTACACTGGTCAAAGGTGCTCTCAAAGCCTAGCCATTGCTCGCCTGTTCGCCTGCTATATCAGCTTTCAATCAAACGGCTTTACCACCTCCTAAGCTCACTGGCAAGTCTTCCTGAAACCCTTGACGATCTCGCTGATCTTCTCAAAGCGCTGCCTGTCCAGCTTGCCTATTCCCGACTCCGTCTCCGCTACGTCCAGCTCGGACGGGTCCGTATCCAGCGGCGTTCCAGATTTGGCTATTACCAAGAAGGTCTCGGTCTCGAAGACGACGACCTCGGCGGCGAGGCAGAGATCCCGCAGGAATGTGAGGTGGGAGGTGATCAGGCCGATATTTGGAATGAGCGTGTGCACTATGGATGACCAAGCCTCTCTTGTCAGCTTCTGAGCTCGAAAGACCGTCCTCTTCTTTATGCGCCCAACAACCTACCTTGTACAGGCTCTCATCCCATATACTGGTCGCAAAGCACCGTATACTCCCTCCCTCTTCTCCTTCAGGTATCTTCTTCCCGCTCTTCTCTGCCTTTTCTTTCCGCTCCCTCCGTATTCTTTCCTCCACAGCGATAACGTCCGCCTTGCGCTCCTCATACTTCTTTCTCGCCGGATCCTCCTTGTCCGCCAGATCCATCTTGTTGATGAGCACCCAAACTCCCGCATCGCCGCTATTTTCCCGAAGGGCAGTCAGGATCTCGTCAAAGTATTTCAGGTCGGCTTCCCATTCGGTGGACGTGATGTCAAAGACGTAGATCAGGACGGCGACGTTGGCAAAGATGGTGCTTTGTTGGGCGGTGAGGTAGTTGTCGACAAAGGCATTCTGGCCGCCGCAGTCCCAAAGATTCTACGGATCAGCTGAAGTTACTCTCCGCTCATTGAAGGTAGAGTCGATAGCTGAGCTTACCAAGACCAGAGAGCCGAGGAAGCGGACCGTGGACTGGTCGACATCAATAGTGGCGCCCAGTCTCCGAGTATCCTTTGCGCTGTAATTCGAGCTATATCATGAGCTTTGGAGTCCACCTGGAGCTTGCAGGGAGAGCAGCTCACAATATAACAGAGCGCATAGACGTCTTGCCGCTTCCTTAGACAGTCAGCTTGTATAGCGAGCATTGACTCGCGACCCAGCTAACCTGATTTCCCCATCAATAGGAGCTATCGAGGTCAGTAGCCGCTCTCTCCTCCGTTCAGTAAACGGTCAGCTCACCTTGCTCCGTCTGGCTGCTGCTGACATTGCGTTCAGCTGCTTTTGTATGACGCAGTATACAGGCTGATGATGTGTTGAGCAGAAAGAAGTTGGAACTCTGGCTAGCGGAGCGGACCAGCGGAGGTCGTATTTGCTTGGTTCCGGGGGCGACTCGATCGATGACATCAGCAGCTGAGCAGATCCGATCAGAGCAGAGCAGACGCGAAGGATATCGTCTACGCGACTTGCATCTCCACCTCTGCCTTCACTGACATCACCTCACTCACCCCGCTCAAATATGGCCCCCTCAAAGTCTCCACGTACGCCACGAGCGTCTCGCGGCAGCGCCCCAGCTGCAGGCTCTTCCAATCGACCATCGCGCAAGTCGACTTCTGCTGCTGGATCTCCGCTCACGCCGGTCAAAACGCCCGACACCCTCAAGGGCAAGTCTTCGCCCTACTTCAAGGGCAGGGCTACCGCTTCGCCTTCGAAAGGACGAGTCTCCGCCAAGGTGCAGGCAAATGGGAATGGCAAGGCCGCCGCCAAGAGGGGCAAGGCGAAGAAGGATCCGGCGGACGTCACTGGTTTGACTTCCACGGAGGAAGAGGACTCGTCCGATTCGGACGCTGCGTCAGAGGATGACTTTGCTCCATCCTCAGCGGGAGGAAACGCCGGAGGGGAGGAGGACGAGGACGAAGACATGGATGAGGACGAAGAGGACGAGGATGAATCGGATGTTGACTCGGATGATCTTGACGGGGGAGGAAGCAAGTCCAAGCGGAAGCGAGGAACACCAAAGAAGGGGTCTGCGACGAAAAAGGTCAAGGTGGAGTCTGGCAAGAAGGGGAAAGTAGCTGGAAAGACCAGAGTGGACGGGTTCGAGGATGATGAGGAGGACGATATGGAGGTTGAGCTTGAAGAGGGGCAAGAAGTTGCAGGGAGGATATACCCAGCGCCAAAGACTGGTCAGGGTAAGCTCAGTGCCGCCCGGAGTAGAGACAGCCAGGCTGACAAAGTAGTACCACCTGGACGAATATCGCAAAACACCCTCAACTTCCTGAAGAACATGCAGATACCAGAGCGCAACGACCGGGACTGGTTCAGGTCACATGAGCCAGCGTTTCGGCAAGCGGAGAAGGTTAGCTCACATCATCAAGGCACCTGGCCACTCCGCTGACAGCTTACAGGAATGGCAGGCATTCGTCGGGCTTGTACAGCTCAAGATGCACGAGGCGGACAGTCAGGTCCCAATATTGCCACCAAAAGACCTCATCGTAAGCTATCCACAGCAGCTTGTTTCCATCACTGACAGCCAGCACCGAATTTACCGTGACGTCCGCTTCTCATCCGACAAAACACCGTACAAGCGCTCCTTCTCCCTCTCGACCTCCCGCTCCGGCCGTAAAGGCGTCTTTGCGGGCTACCACCTCTCCCTGTGTCCCAACGACAAGTCAATACTCGCCGCGGGTGTCTGGTGTCCCGCCAAAACCGAGATGCAGACGATCCGGCATCATCTCTTGAACACGCCTGAACGGTTCCGGGACGTGATTGGAAGTGAGGCGTTTGTGGACATGTTTGGTCCAGCCAGTCCGGGTAAGAAGGGGGAGAGGCGGAATGTGTTTGGGCATGAGGATGCGCTCAAAGTCGCACCGAAGGGAGTGGATAAGGGACACAAGGATATCGATCTGTTGAAGCTGCGGAGTGTGGCGGTCGTCAAGCAGTGAGCTTTGATTGCATGGGTTTTTGGTCGAAGCTAACCATAAAGCTTCACTGATGAAGAGGTCCTCGACCTAGATTTCCAAGAAACAGTCAAGAACGTCGTCAATGTCATGACTCCCTTTGTGCACCTGTGAGCTTTCGGTTGCGCTCAGAGATATCACACATACTGATCGCGTAGTCTTAACGACTTCATCTCCCTACCACCATAGGCCACGCTCGGGGACTCCGCTGTGTCCACCGCTTGTACCATGCTTCTCTTGCGCCTTCTAACTATTTAATAACATCATGCAACATGCCAGCAAACGCGATCATAGATGCTATGTGTAATGTCTGGTGATATGTCTCTATGCGCAGAGAACATGCTATCCCCGTCTGGCGCCGCCTGAACCTCTCCACGCCTGCTCCTCCTCGCTCGGCCGCGGGTTGGCCTCGTCCACGAGCCGCGTCGTCCGCCTCGGCAAAAGCCCCTCCTCGTCCTCATCCCCGTCCTCCGCTTCCATCGCATTCTGTGCTCGAGGAGCGAGCGGTAGGTGACTATGTCTGTGTCGGAACGAGGCTGTCTACGTTAGCTACTATTTCCACTGGCGTCGAGTCGAGAGTAAGCTTACGGTAGTATGACCGGTATGAGACCCAGGCGATGAACATCCCCAGCAGCGACCCAACGAGCACATCCTGCCAGTGATGCCTGTTATCTTCGGTCCGGGAAATGGCGACCATGATACCGCCGAGGAGAGGGGACATTGCCCACCATGCGCGGGTCTGCAAGTCAGCGGCCATGTACTTCCGCGCAGACACTCTTACTCACGCGGTGCCCGCGCTTGTCCCAGAGGTGCATCTTGCCGGCGAGGTAGCAAGCGAGGAAGCCGAGTCCAGCGAATGATACTACGAGTTGTAAGTCATTGAGCCTTCGCGAGCAAAGAGACATTACAACGTACGGGATGAATGACCACTTGGGAAGCTCTGGTCGTTGTCAGCTAGGCTTTCCAAGCTCTGGGGAAATGATAAGCTGACCTTGAAGCCGTCATCCAAGAGAAGGGTATTTTGAGTAGTGCAGATCTTGTATGTCGATAGGCCGAACATTGCATGATCGACCGCTCCGGCACGAGGCATGCAGCGTGCGATCAGATCTGGTCTAGGTCGTCCCACGCTCATCTTCGGGTATCAGCTGGTGAACCTCTTTGATGGGCTGTAAAAGGTTGGCCAGCTAGCGGATCTGACCAGCCGTCTAGGCGAAACGCACCTTGATGAGCTGAGTCACAACACCGGTCATAGTGTAGCTCATAAAGAGACCGATGAAGGCATTGTGAATGTCCCATTTTGAGCGAGCTACGAGGGTCGAGATGGGGAGGAGGATGAGAGCTGGGATACCGACCGAGATCGCTGCAAGCATACTGAGATATCAGCCCCGTAATGTCCATAAACGGTATGTGAGCAGACTGACTAGGGAGGCACGCGCTCGTGCACGGCGAAAGTGTGTTGTATGGAGATATCTGTCAATGAGAACTCCCTCTTGTGGCCGGGCGAGCGATTTAGCAAAGCCAGCGAACCCCTACAAGTCAGCTCGACAGGCCCTGGGTGCGACGATAACAGATGACTAGCTCACCACAGGAAAGCCGCCAGCGCCCAGTCCGCCAGATAACTCCTCACGGCGTGCTTGAATGAGAACGCCAGCACGCCTCGATTCAGATCATCCTCCTCAGGCTGGAGAAAGCGAGACGAGTTGCGACCGCCAAGCTTGGGCCGACCGCCGGTGGAGAGGGCATTGGGCGATCCTTCCCGGTCCCGGTGCTGATTGTCCTCTGGGAAGAGGTTGTCGTCGCTGCTGTTAGAGGGGAAACAGAAGCGGACTGTGTCCGTGAAGGATGTCATCCTGCTTGATACTATGCAGGGCGATATGTGAGAGAACGATCGACAAAGAGGGGTAGGGCAGGAATGGGTCGCTAAGGTCGAATTAAGGTCCAGCGACACGTGGTTTAAGCGCAGTGTGGCATGTGGCGGCCGTGCCTGTCCCGGTCAAGCGGCGAGAACAAGGGAGAATGGCAGTCGTGAGGCATCTCAAGACTCTATGTCGCTGAGGAGACTACCATCTCGGGCGTGACAGATATCATACGATACAGTAGCGCCGCGGCGAAGTCCATACGACGACATCAACCGCATGGTCAGCCTGCCGGATCTGGTGCTTAATGTGTGCAGCCTCTCCTCTGCTCCGCGTTGCAAACCATGTGCTCAAAGCGCGAAGACGGATCTTCGCGCTTTGATCTCCTGATGGCTTCACGAATCTTCTCCAGGCTGAGTATCATGGCTGCAAGACAGCAGGTCAACTCCCTAGCGAGATGGCGAAAGTTGAGGAAGTTCAGCTTATCATCGGCGTCTTTTATCGTCTAGACGACGAGGACCTTCGGAACAACAAACCAGAGCCTGACACCCAGTCGAAAGGGATACGGACCGGGTGAACGAGTCCGACACCGGATTGGTTCTGACCTGCGAATGGACCACTGAGCCATAAACAAGGAAGCTTTTGTGGCACATGACCTAGGGGGCGGGAAAGGATTGCTTGGAGCGTTCCACATGTAACTCTGTGAGACCCACTATTGATTCGCCCGGAATGAGAGGTGAGCATCTTATCAAGCCATCGCAATGGGTCTGTCTGTTGGACTCCGACGGCTCAGTCAGGTCCTGGTGAGTAGCTAATCAGAGCTGGACTAGCGGGTGGCAAAAGTTCGATAGGTTGTCTGTGTTCAGTCTGATTCAGCCGTCAGCATCGTAGCTTATAGCCTCCTCCTGCGGCGCTTCCTCCGACCTGATTGACCACATCAGACAGACGGGACTGGAGTATCCTCATTCCTCGGCGACTTCTCTTGCACCCACAACCATATCGCCATCTTATATACCCCGAGAATGCCCCGTTGTTTTTGCTTGTTAAATCCACGTCATACATTCCTTATCGACCCGAGTCGTCGCTGGACTTTTTGAGCCGGCGGGGCTGCATCATCAATCTATCGTTCCGCTCAATACACAACACAACAGGACAGAGCAGACAGCCATACCAGCTGCTTAGAGACAGCTGTAAGGCTCTCATCCAAAGAGGCTAGACACAGACTGGTGCGTGTCGATCACTAGCGAGGTCGATCAGGGCATAGGCGGCTCGAGCGGCAGTTGCAGCGCACCCCGCGGCGCGATGTTTTGATGTCGAGCTTATATCCCAGACCTGCAGTCCTCAGGTTTTTCATCGGCTAGAAATCTGATATTCCTCCCATCATGGCGTTCAGGCAAATAGGTACGTTTCCACCACGCGAGCAGGGTCATCGTAAGCTCGATGCTGATACCGCTAGTCACACGCAGTCCTCTGCTCCTCGCACGACCAGCGCTCTCCCTCCGCACCCCCCTCCGCATCGCCCGTACCCTCCCCACCACCTCATCCCTCGCCACATCGCCCTTCTCGACGAGCTCGCGGCGATTCCAGCTGCCTCCCGTCGTACCTCCCCCTGGGCAGTCTCAACCGCTGCCTAACGGAGATAAGGTGATTAATCCTAAAGTGCGCTTCTAGCGCCTACCTGTCTTCACTCGTCGATTGGGCTGATATGTCCAGCCCTACGTGCTTACTCGGTGGAGACGGTTCCTTCAGAACTTCGGTCGAGTAACGCTCGTCCTGCTCTTGACCGCCACCGGAGCTTTCATCTACGGTACGTCCCTCGATCTTATCCCTCGTTCTAAGCTGACCATCAGTGACCCAAGTCCAGGCTCACCCGGGAGAACAGCTCCCCGCAGACAAGACCAAGCCCACCCTCGTCGTCCTTGGTTCAGGATGGGGAGCCACCTCATTCCTCAAATCCCTCGATACCGAGGAATACAACGTCGTCGTCATTTCACCCCGAAATTACTTCCTCTTCTCGCCATTGCTTCCGTCAGTAACAGTCGGTACACTCGAGCCAAGGTCGATCATCCAGCCGACCAGGTACATTACGAGGCACAAGAAGCGGGCGGTCCAGGTGTATGAGGCGGAGGCGAGGGATGTTGACCCGATCAACAAGACGGTCACTTTCCAGGGTGAGTCTAGACTGCGGGAATCGGGAGATCGGTGGCTGATGTGCAGATCTCTCCGATATCCGGGGTGAAGCTGGTTCCGTCACCATCAACTACGACTACCTCGTCTACGCCGTAGGCTGTGAGAACCAGACATTCGGTATCAAGGGTGTCAAGGAGCACGCTTGTTTCCTAAAGGAGCTCAGCGATGCCGACAAGATCAGGCAGAGGCTGCTGGACTGTGAGTTGGAAGGCGCGTTGAGCCTGTCAAAAAGCATCAGCTGACGTATGAGGTGTTGAGACAGCCGCGTTCAGAGATCAGGACGAGAAGGAGATTGACCGATTGATGCACATGGTGGTCGTCGGTGGTGGACCTACCGGTGTCGAGTACGCCGGCGAGCTGCACGACTTCTTGATCGTAAGTAGACAGACTTTACGGCGCGGAAACCATACTGACATGCTAGGACGATCTTCGCAAGTGGTACCCCGAAATCGCCGACCGTCTCCGGATCACCCTGATCGAAGCGCTCCCGAACGTCCTTCCCGCCTTCTCCAAGCAGCTTATCCAATACACCGAGTCCACCTTCAAGGAGAACAAGATCGACGTCCTCACCCGCACCATGGTCAAGGATGTCCAAGCCGACCGGGTCGTCGTCCAGGATGCCAACAAGGAGATGCGCGAGATCCCCTACGGTCTCCTCGTCTGGGCGACCGGTAACACCTCTCGCGAGATTACGCGCAACCTCATGGCCAAGCTGCCGCGCACGCAGACGCAGCGACGGGGTATCGAGGTGGACGACTACCTCCAGATGAATGGTGCGCCGGGTATCTACGCTGTCGGTGACTGTACGGCGACGGCGTATGCGCCGACAGCGCAGGTCGCTAGTCAGCAAGGCATGTTCCTTGCCAACATGTTTGGCAAGATGGGGCAGAAGATGAGGGCCGAAAGGCAGCTGCAGGAGCTCAAGGCGGAGGGTGGCGCTGCGGCGGTCGAGGCGGTCGAGGGGCTGGAGAAGAAGGTCACGAGGTACAGCAAGTTGACCCCGTTTCACTACTCGCACCAGGTAAGTCTTCAGCTAGGCCATGTCTTGCGCCGATGAGGCGACATGACCTGATCAATCTTCAGGGCTCGCTCGCGTACATTGGTTCCGAGAAGGCTATTGCCGATCTCCCACTCTTCAACGGAAACGTAGCGAGCGGTGGTGGTGCTGCCATGATCTTCTGGCGGTCGGCTTATGTGGTAAGTCCCCACGCCCGCGACTGCGCAGATGACAGCTTACAAGATCAGTCCACCCTCTACTCGGTCAGAAATAGGACCCTCGTCCTGGCGGACTGGATGAAAGTCAAGATCTTCGGACGGTGAGTTGATCATGCTGTTTCTACCGAATGGCAACTGACGATGCAGTGATGTCTCCCGCGAGTAAAAGCTTGGGCTGCCAGCTTGCTCCTCGATCCGATCGTGCCTTCCCTTGATGCCTCTGCTGTTCGCAGGATCAACTCTTATCATATCTAGGCCGCCTCTTGATCCAACTTAGCCCATGTATCAGACCCATTATAGATGCGCTCAAATTCTGTTCTTTCAAACCTGCGCACAATCAATATATCCTGCATGTCGCCCGCCCACTCATCGTATACCTGATTATACATCCACCAGCAGTTCTCCCTTCTCCTTCTTCTCCGCCGCCTTGTACAGATCCTTGTACTTGCCAGACTTTTCGCACAGATTCTTGAATAGTGATCCGTCCTTCCGCAGGAGATTCTGCCACCATCAGCTTGATTTCATCCCGGATAGTCTGAAATCGAGCTCACTATTGGTGTATCAAACTCGGCCACTTTGCCATCCGCCAAGACCAACAGTCTATCATAATCAATCACGCTGCTCAATCTGTGCGCAATGGTGATCAAAGTGGACCCGCCAAATTCGGACCGAATGGCCCGCTGGATAGCTTCATCGGTGGCGAAGTCTACGCTCGCTGTCGCTTCGTCCATGATGATAAGGTTGGACCGGCGGAGCAACGCTCGTGCCATCGCTATTAATTGACGTTGGCCCTGGGAGAAGTTGGCGCCGCCCGCAGAGATATCAGATTGAAGGGTAATGCCCGGGGTCTTCCGGGTGGCGGTGACGGACGTGGTGGATAGGTTGGAGGAGGATGGGCCATCATCTTCAGCCGCGAGAGCGGCAAGACGGTGGGCGGAGGGGACGCGACTAGGGATGCGCGAAGCGGTGGGGGAGGAGTCGGTACCGAGGTTGACCCGCGCGAGGGCGTCCATGAGTTCTTCGTCGGTGTGCTCATCGAAGGGGTCGAGGTTGAGCCGGACGCTGCCTGAGAAGAGGACAGCATCTGAATGATCAGCTTCACTGCCAGCATTTTAGAGCGGCTTGGGCAACTGACCTTGTGGGATGTATGTAATCCTCGACCGCTACAGAGTCAGCTGTGAGCATTGCATCAATCTACGCTAGGACTTACCAAATCGTCCACCCCCATCGAGGTGATATCCAGCCCATCCAGCCATATCCCACCCTTGTACGGCTCACAGAACCTCAAAAAGCTCATCGCCAAAGTCGACTTGCCACTTCCCGTCCGTCCAATCAACCCAATCTTCTCCCCCGCCTTAATCTCAAAGCTCCCACTGAAGACCGTCGGCAGATCGGGCGCATACCGGATCTCGAGGTCCCGAACGCTAAGGAACCCCTCGGGCGAGGCGGGATTACTACTCGGCCAATATGCGGGCGGGCGGGATGATGGGATGATGGCGGGTGGTTCTTGTGGGATGTGGAGGTATTCTTGGACCCGCTCGACCGAGTTGAAGTCCATCTCGAGCTGGCCCCAGAATCGCGAGACCCAGTAGCAGCCCATGACGAAGGATTGGGAGGAGAGGATCGCCATACCGGCGGATCCGGGATCAATGGCGCCTGTGAGGGCGAAGAGTGTGGTCAGGCAGACGGAGACACCGCCGAGGACATCGAACCTGATAAGAAGCTATATGTCAACTTTGCCATTCAGAAGGAAAGGGGACGTAGCTCACCCATCGGTTCATCATCCAGTAGTAATAGTGCGCGGCTTGCATCTTGTCGACCTGCTCGCAGAGCTGCGCCAGGAAGCGCGACTCTGCTGAGAAGGCTCGGACCGAAACCACTCCGTCGAGCAGTTCAGCGAATCCAGAGCTTCAGTTGTCAGCTAGTTCTGCGGAGATACGCGATAGACGCAGCGCACTATATGGGTGATCGAGACTGCTCGTATCAGCATAGGTTCATCGTTTAATCTACCAAGGCACTTGACTCACGATAGCTTCGAGTCGCCTCAGACTCCGTCCGACCCTCAACTGCATTGATCAATTTTGCGCTCCGGTCGCTGCGGCAATTGCGGCTCACGTATAAGATCGAGTACTGCAGATACAGCCAGCTGATAATGGCCGCAGGCAGCAGGAACCAAGGGACAATAACAGCCACCACCGCCAGCGCTCCAAATAGGTTCGCGACGTAGATAATGACCGTCCGAAGCCCTGAGTTGAGAGACGAGTCGATCGTTTCGATATCTGCCCGTGTCAGCTGGGTGCCCGCTCGCAGTTAGGAAGGTGTATATAAGCTCACCCTTCGAGAACCGGTTCAGAATCCGACCGACAGGTGTGACGTTAAAAAAGCGGATAGTACCGCTCATGACCGTATCGAGTAGCTTATCATGTAAGTTTCTGCCTGATCAGCTCTCTTGCTCCGCCTCAGCGCAAGGCGCAGCTTACATGGCTGCACGATACTGCCCCCAAGACCCAACGATATTCGAGAAGACCCCAAGCATGGCTGTACCTATGACGATGCCCGAGTACATGATGAGATAGAAGAGCGGGTGAGTGCGCGCAGGCGGTCTATGGGTCAATTTCTGCGACAAATTCCTAGCAAGTCCGGCTTACAAGTCATGGAACGGCCAACTTGAGAATGTCTCGTTCGCCGCGGACATCGTGGAGTTGGCGATGTGGAGGATGTGCTGATGAGCGTTGAGGTCGTGGTGGTACCCCAGCGTCGAAGGCTGAGCGAACGAGAAGAATGATGGAGCGGAGCGGACGAGGTAGGCTATGGTATGTCAGCATTCCTCGCTTGTCGGGATTCAGTGTAGCTTACCCTGTCCCCAGATCTTCAGCCAGTATCGTTCTCCCACCGAAAAGAACTGCGAGATGACTGCCCGTCAGCTTGTGCTCTTCGTCTATAAGCAGGACTTACGGAGAATAAGCAAAGCCCACGCCCAGGTGATATACGTGGCAGCGACGATGTACAGCTTGTACGTCTCCCACTTGACATTCCCGACGGGCCTCTCCTCATCCTGAACATACTTCTTCCCTGGCGCCTTCTTCCTGCCTTTCCGCTCCTCCCCCTTCGTCGAGCCAGCATCATCACTGACGGCTGTACTCGCCACCTCATCGACGACCTTGATCTCATCGTCGATGGCCTTGTCGGCAGTGACTGGCTCTTCCTTGGCGATCTCGGCTTCTTCCATGGCGACGAGGCCGTCGAGCTCGCCCCGTGCCCGAAGGTCCGCGGGGGTGCCTTGCGCGTCGATCCGGCCGTCCAGGATTCGAACGATGTAGTTCGCCGAGGGGAGGAGGAGCTCGACATGGTGCGACACCAAGAGCTGATCGTGTCAGCTAGCGTCTGCATACTGTAATCGGAATAGCTCACAATCGTTCGACCCTTCAGAATTGGACCATTTAGGCACCGGTCCGTCAGGTGCTTGGCGGTATGCGAGTCCACAGCCGCCAGCGGGTCGTCCAGCAGCACATGCTGCGTATACGAGTATACAGCTCTCGCTAGGGCTACCCTCGCCTTCTGACCCCCGCTGAGCGATACCTACACGATCAGCTTACCCCTTGAACCAGTATCGACAGCTCACACCCTTGGCCCCGATCTCCGTCTGATCCCCGTCCTCCAACACCTCCAGATCCGGTAAAAGCGCACACGCCTCCAGAACACTCTCATATCGCTCTTCGTCCATCTTTTCGCCAAATAGGATATTCTCCCTGATCGACTTTTGCTGCAACCACGCCGTCTGGCTCGCGTACGCCACGCTATTCCTCAGAGCCCGCTTGTCCACCTGCTGCGTGAACTTGGGGAGATGAGAGGAGCCGGAGAGCAGCTCCATCTCGCCGAGCAAAGCAGTTAGGATGGCGGTCTTGCCTGATCCAGTGGGTCCTGTGATGACCGTGAGCTTGCCGAGGGGGAAGACAACGGACAGGTCGGAGAGCTGGAACCGCGAGTCGGCGTCGTCTGTCTTGACCACGGCGGTGGCGTCGATTGAGGTGTTGGGCACAGCAGCTTGGGTTGTGGGGACAGCGGAAGCGGTGGTAGGGTCGACAGTGACGGTTGGATCTGCCTCGTCCTGTTTTCCAGAATTCCAGGCGAAGGAGGCGTTCTCAAAGCTGATCTTGGTCTTGACGAGCGGTGGCTCTGACGACCGCTTTAGGCTTGAGACCCACTCGGGCACTACATCGTCAGGCCCTGCGCTGATTTCTCGCTGTGCACTGAGCTCACCTTCATCCTCGCCCAGGAAGTCCTCGATACGCTTGACCGATACGTGTGCTTGCAGAATCATGACGACCTGGCGATCAGCGTCTGACAGTCCGCACTTCAGTTCCGACTCACAAAGACAGGGATGAAGTTGAGCGGCATGCGCAACATGCCGAAGAGAGAAATCGCAGTAAAGGCGACGGACACCGTAAGGTCTTGCTTGGCAACCAAGACGTAGCTGTCTATCAGCGCCGATCACAGCACTCCGGTACGGCACATACCAGAAGAAAGCCATCAGGGTGACGAATATAGGAACCAGTGCCCACAGGAGCGAGAAGTAGACCGAATTGATCAAGGCTGCAATGTCAGCTGCATCCCCTGAAGCGGCAATGTCGACTCACATCTGACCATCTGCTTCATCTCGTTCGCTCGTGCCTTTGTCGCCCTCTCTTTCCATTGCGAGCTCCAAGCAAAGAACTATACATCAGCTCTGCACGCCACTGCCCACGCGAGCCGCCCAACTTACCTTGATAAACGTAATCGCTCCAATCAGCTCGTTCATCACGCTGATCCTCCCATCTCTGGCTTTCAGCAGATCCTGCGTGATCTTGACGCTGCGTTTCGAGACCATCGAGTTGAGAGGCATAGCGATAGCAAGGACGGCCATGCCAACAAAGGCGGACCAGCCGAGGATGCTGAGTCAATCAGCCGGGGTCCGTATTGACTATGATCTGCACACACTTATACAGGAATACCGAAGCGACAATCAGTTCAAGTGGAGCTGAGTAGATATAGTATGCTCCAGCCACGGTATTAGCAATCCGGTTGGTATCGCCTGCCGCGGTCAGCTCACTCCGCGACCATTGCCGTAAATGAAAACAGCACAGCTCACCCGCCATGAGATTGACGACCTTGCCTGCGTCCGCATTGGTCTTCTTTTCCTCTTTCGGTTTGCCCTCGGCATCCTTGCTATCGCTTTCGCCTTCTGCATCCTTCTTGGTGATCACGCCTGAGGCGTCTTTTCTCCTCAGAGACTTGTCGTATATAGCGGCCTGACGATCAGCGATGTCCTGATCTGCATTCGAGCGACTGACAATGAGCTCGGTCTTGATTCTGACAGTCGCACGCCGACTGTGCCAGAGATGCAGTAGATCAGTGACAGCCTAAGTTTCAGCTACAGTAGGCTGCACCAAACATGGGTGCGTACCTTGATTGTCGTAGCAGCGAGAGCCAACATGGCATAAACGTATGCCTGGCTCATAGCTCTTGCAGTCCGGTCGGTCAACCCATCCCTACACATATCAGCTGTCTTTCTTCACTTTGATTCCCCGCAGCAAAAAGCAGCTCACAGGATCTGCTTCAGGAAATACGGTCCCGCATAGTTCAGCACGACACTGACCAGCGTCAATACCGCATCCAGTATAATATCCATCCGATTCGCCAGCAGGATCTTCCACAGCAGGTTTCGCGCCTTCGTATCGTTAAAGCTGCGGAACACGTGCGCACACTGCTGCGTGGGCGAGAGGTTCGGGATGTCTTCCGATTGGAGTTCTTTCTCGTTTCCAAGGCGGATGAAGGAGTCGACCCAGGAGAAGGAGAGCCAGGTGAAGGGAGTGACAAGGTCGTCGGGTGCGGTTTCCTGCGGGATCAGCTAGCTCCAGGTCCTTCCATAGCTGGGACATACGACTCTGACGAGAGCTTCTGGAGTAGCAAGTGGAAGCCCGCCGACCACGTAAAGCTGAAGCGAGGTGATGACTACGCTGACGATTTCGAAGGACAGCCAGAATGGACTGGCCCATTTTGGAAAGTGACCATTTGCTGCTCTGAGGAAGCCTGCCAGCGCCAGAGCGCCGAGAGAGGAGAGCCAGAGCAACGAGTAGACAATCGTGGCTGACCATGGTGGAGTCGACGGTGGGCGGAAGAGCGGCTGAGAGAAGAGGTATATCTGAACACCGTCAGCCCCGCCTGAGCCTCTCTCAACGTTGACATACCCAGACGATCATCATCCCAGCTGCGGCTAGCACGTCCCGCACGCCTTCCTCTCCCTGAATGGCAGCCACAAGGCTCATCCCGAACACCACTGTCCACCCGACCAACCCCGCCAGACCTCCTCCAACAAGGATGAGCTGTCTCCATAACCGCAGCCCGTGCCCTTCTATCCGCTTCGCCTCATCTCGGGTTGGCAGCTCTGGCGATATGAATGAGTCGAGGGTCAAGATGTCAGAGAAGAGGTACCGAACTGGCGAGAGGAGCCGGGGGATAGGCGGTATAGATGTCAGGACGGGGAAGAGGAGGATCGAGAGTGAGATGAGGGGTCGGAGGTGTGCAATGAGCTCGGGCGAGATGGGCTCCTGATAGTGTGAGCTGAGAGTGAAGTTGCCAAGGTTTGTGGCTCACATGGACATCATGATGCTTCATCTTGGATGAAGCAAAGAGGCATAGGCGCTCAGAGACGTGCGGAATGCGGTGCGAAAGGGCAGAGCGAGCTGAAATTTCCGAGAGGGTCTAGATGTTGCGCTTTGACGGTCTGCGGGCGTGGATCTGTGCCTGGCCGAGCGAGTGAACGCTATTCGTCCGAGCGCAATGTCTGAAACGTCTGCACACAGAGGACAAGAGCGGTCTGTGATATAAGGCGAGAGATAGCCCTGCCGCAGCAGCAAGAGCAAGTGCTCAAAGATAGATCGGACACACGCGGTGCACGCGTCCAGTCGCAGCCAAAATGACGTGTTTCAGATAAGAATGCCCCCGGAACTCTCAGGACCACAATAACTTTTGCACGAGCTGCATCAGATAGTGCCGTTGCGCTCGCGATCATCGGCGGTCTGGCGGTGCGGTCCTGGATGGGGAGATGTACGAACAGGGGCAGCAGACGCATAGTCTACGAGGGAACTCTACTCAAGCGAGACCACGTCTGCCGGGGCCGACTGAGATATGAGCTTCTGACGAGGTAGAGACGAGGGTGAGATTGACCTCCTCCTTGCGGGAGCGAGCCGAGACACGAGTGGGAGCAGCACCCGGGACCTTCTTGCGACGGACGACCTTGGGCCGAATCGGCTGGCCGTCCTCTCGAGGGGGAATGGGGCGGGCGGCTTGACGATCGAGGACGCTTTGGTAAAGCGGGCGGAGATATACCGGACATGGACGCGGCATTTCTGGCCGAGGCAGCATCGGCGGCCTTTAATCTGCGCCTTGTTACCGTGTGACCAGTCGATATCCGCTCTGACGAGATGGCAGGACCGCTAGAAAGTTGCGACCGGTGCTGCAGGCGTCCGTGATGATGATGACAAACGCATCCGTCGGTTCCCAGACCTTATGCTCGTTGTCGAGCCCCTCGCTGCTCAGAGGGAGGCGGCGCAGAGGGAGGGCGGGCAGCGGAAAAGGAGGGAGGAAGACGGCTAGCTTGATAACCGTCCTCCCTCCGAGCTGCCTATCCTCCCCTTGGGCAGATCCTCCACCTCTGAGCTGCTCGCCCTCCCTCTGCGCCGCGAGGGGCCTGGTATGGCCCCTTCTAGCTGCAGCTACGAGGGGCCTGATAAGCGTAAACAGATCATGTATGGGTTTGTCCAAGCCATGGCTGGTTTTTGGGTGTGAATTTATTCAGTCCCTCCGATAAGATGTGATTTGAGGTTTTCGACGACAGCAGCAACCTCTTCTCTACAACTTGTATCTTCACCTCGCCTTCAGATCCTAGTATCATCAGCCGCATCAGCCTCCGTCGCCACGTCTCTAGCCTTCATCGCTCGCCTAAGCAAATTGGAAAGCGAACTCTCGGAAACGCGGGACTTGCGCAAACTCCACACCTAGCCAATCTATTTCAGCATGTCGGAAATCGACAGAGAGCTCGCGAGATTATGGCGGGTGTCTAGGACAGTGCACGAGATGTGCAAGGATAGGGTGAGTAGTGGATACGGGGGAGGATTGGGGTCCGCGAAGAACATGGCGCAACCTGAGCTGGAGAAGCAGCGGCGCAGGAAACACAAACGGTCAGCGAGAAGTCTGAGGCTGACGTTGATAGGGGTATGCTGTAGCCGAGTACGAGATCAACGAGACCCTTGATGACTTTCGGGATCGATATGGTGGATCAGGTGTACCAGAGTACGTCTGCTCGGTAGTACTCTTCCTCTCGAAGGAAAAGAGCTGACTCTAGCAGTCGAGGTGGAATGTCGTTTCCGTGTGACCACGAGAATGCCCAGGGAGACCGGATATACGTCTACTTCTGTCCAGAAAAGAACGTCAGCAAGGCGGCGATGAAAACGTGAGCTGACTATTGCCCATCGTGGTCCAAGAGCTGATAGAGTAGGATGTACGGTGCGCTGGAGAAGCATTCGGCCAAGAAGGGGATCATCATCTATGCGGAGAAGCTGTCGAGTGTGGCTCGCAAGGTCAGCTGATCCGCGCTTTCGGCGGAGAGCGGAGCCGCAGCTGACCCTTCAGACAATGCAGGAAATGGCGAGCGAGTACCATGTCGAAGAGTTCCCCGAAGCCGAGCTGCTCGTCAATATCACAAAACACTTCTTGGTACCAAAACACCAGATCATGGCGCCGTCCGAGAAGGCTGAATTGATAAAGAAGTAGTGAGCTTACCGTTTCTCAAGTTCTGACACCCTGGGCACAGCTGACTTGCTCAGTCGGCTGAAGGAGACGCAGTTGCCCCGAATCATGGTGACCGACCCAGTAGCCAAATACTACGGGATGCGGAGGGGCCAGGTGATGAAGATTGAACGTGCGAGTGAGACGGCCGGAAGGTGAGCTCGACCCGCTCTAGCGCCCTCGTGGATGTTAGACACTTAGCTGACTCTGCAGGTATATCACCTACCGGATCTGCATGTAATGCAGTCCCCCTAAAACGCAGGTCGGCGAGCCAGCGAGCAGAGTAGTCAGGTTTACGTTTTGGGTCAGAGTTCCGTTCTCCTGGAGTCGCCTGTGTACAGTATTAGCATCATGAGAAGACCAGACTATGCATTATAGATACCATGCCCATGTTACTCGTCAACTATACACATTACGCCCAAAAGATAAACAGATTTTTGTATGGGTACAACTGCACAATTCCCTTGTATCCCCTAATCCCCTATGATTCCAATATTCCATCTTGTATCCTGTCCTCTCCCCATCACTATTCGGCCGCCCGCTCTGCCTCCGCCTCGCGGATCGCCGGGTCGATGGGTGCCGGTCTGTCCTGGACGGCAGTGTGGACGGCTTGGGGTTCGTCCTCGGCGGTCGTCTGAGCCTGGACTCTGCGACGTGCCCCGTCATCTCGGCCCTTCTTCATCCACGCGCCCTATATGATCAGCCTCGCCCAAAGTCCATCTTCTCAACTGTCAGAGCGTACGACTCCCAGTCTCCAGTTTGACGTTCCGATCCAGCGTCCCCCATACCCACGCCGTCATTTCATACCGTAGCCCAGACTCACATCTTTCGGCCGCTTCATCTTTCCCCACAACTCCTCCATCTTCCTCCGTTCCGCCATAATCTCCGCCTCGCTCCTTCGCTCCACAGGCTCATGGACCGGCTTGCCGAGCTCGAAGCCTGCTGCAGAGGTTGAGGGGACGTCAGGTGGTGGGTGGTAGCCTAGCCCCGCTAGGGCGGACCCAAAGATGAAGAGGCATCTGGAAGTCAGCTCTACTCCCTTACATGTATGCTGAGTAGACAGCCAGACCAGGTAGGGTGGAAGACAGAGATTTCTGAGATGCCTGAAGAAGAAAGCCGAAGCTGTACTCACGCGATGAACACGATCAAAAATGGCCAATTCCCCTTCTCCACCCCCCTCACCCTCTTCTCTACCGCTCTCCCCACCTTACCCAGCCTTCCCTCCCCCTCTCCATCTCTCCTCCCTTCCCCACTCAGCCGCCTCACACCCCCCACACCGCTCATCCGCCGCTTGACCATCCCTACCATTCCTCCCCCCACTTCGCCTATCCTCGCACTCAGGCTGCCCTGCCGCCCATGCCTCAGCCTTTTCGTAGGCTCGTTCATGGGCGTCTCGAATGTCTCTTCCGAGCTCAGATCGCGATGATGTGTCTTGAGTCCGGCGGTGTGTGGTTGTGGCTTTGGGCTTGACCGACCTCGACCCCCGCTGGAGCCAGAGCCGGACCGGGCCCAAGTGGGTGATGTGAGGCCTGACCAGCTCCATGTCCACCCATTGCCTTCTCCGCCGGCTTTCTGACCGCTTCCCCCTCCACCGCCGCTTTCCTCCAGATCCGAATAGTGGTCCGAGGCATATGAGGACGTTTGTCGGGGATGCCCAGGCCGAGTCGGATCAGTCAACGCCAACAGCGCCTGATGCGTGCTATTGCCGCTTCCGCCGGGCGAGGTCGGGGGTGTTACTTTGACATGCGGTAGGCGCGAGATGACGGGCGATTCTGGTGACTCGGGGATGTATGGGGCTGACGTTGCCGCCATGTTGCCATACCGAGGGGTGGTGATGAGGAGAGTGAAGGCAAAGTTGGATGCAATTCACGTTCCGCTCGTTTGGCTCAGGGCAGCGGCAGCGTGACAGATCTTTACGAGAGTCTCTGCCGGACCTGGCTTGGCGCAGAGCAAGTGGCTGTCAAGTCAAGCAATGCGGGTGAGGCCGGTGGGGGCTGCAGTATCTGGCCCACCAAGTCAAGCCGGCCTTGTATCCGATACATAGTCCATGTCTTTTTTGTCTATATACGTGAAAGAAATGGAAAATCTAAGCTATAACTATAGAAAGAGGCAACTGTCCATTCACAATCGCAGTGCACTACTTTGTCCAGAAATACCTATCAAGGAGTGACGCAAGATGTACCGTTCGCGACGAAGCCTTGCTGGCATGTGTTGACTGGACGTCAGCTCATTGTCTCGGCAGCGAAAGAAAGTTGACCAAAAGACAACTCACCGATGCAGGTACCAAAGTCGCATCCAACCGAGATCGCATGCGGGATCTTGGTGCAGTCCTGCCCATCCCCGGTCGATGCGCACCCGCCACATGACTCGAGCTCGGTCGCAAAGTCGATGCACTCGTAGGCCCACTCGCCGCCGACGACGGTGTTGATGGAGCAGGCGTGGAGGACGTCGGGGCAGTACATCTCGTCGATCTCGGATTTGGGGAAGGCGATCTGGGTGCGGCGGGCGTGGGTGTTGCGCTTGGGGTGACCGGGGGCGGCGGGAGGTCCAGCCGGCTGGGGTCCACCGGCGGGAGGTCCGGCTGGCTTGGGTCCAGGTCCAGCGGGGTTCTTGGGACCGCCAGCGTGAGGAGGAGTAGGTGGCGCAGGGATGGGGTGGACTTGAACGTCAGCTTGATCCAAGGATGCAGTGTATGAGCGGAATTTACCGGGCTTGGGGGAAGGACCGGGGGGAGGAGGGCCACCGCAGCATCCTATCTTGTCAGCTCCGAAGCAAGACTAGAGAAGCACCTGTACTCACCGTTGTGGTCGTTCCAGTCGTCACAGTCGGGCTCGGGTGTGCGGGGAGTGTCGGGCTTGCACCGGTTGTACTTCTTGGACCAGTGCCATTCTGCAAGTCAGCGCGGCAAAGAGATATCGGAAGGAGGGTAGACTCACTGGTAGGGCACTTCTTGCCCTTGGGGCAGGTTCCGCGGTCCCATGACCAGTCAAAGTCGCAACACTCCTTGTTACGGTCGTGCCACCTAGACGTCAGCTCAGACCTGGAGGCGAAGCAGTAGAGAAGAGGAAGGATTGCTCACCATTGACCCTTGCCGCACTTGTTGACCTCCTTGCGGTCGCACCTCATCGTGACCTTGTTGAAGACGTAGCCCTCACCGCAGTCCTTCTCGCAGACGGGCTTGGGTGGGATACAGCACTTGACACGCTTATTCCATGCCCAGTTGTGGGGGCAGTCGTCATCCTTGGGTGGTCTGGCCGTCAGCTTATAGTCATGTCGGAGGAGGAAGAGAGGAGAGACTCACGGAACTCGTGTCTTGTCACTGCAGCAGACGGCCTTGCCGAGGAAGTGGGTAAAGAAGTCGCCACGGCCGGAACAGTCGTTCTTGACGGGTTGAGGAGCCTTATCGCGCGTGTCCTTGTCGCATTCCCAGGAGAATTTTATGCCGTGGCCGAAGGTGGCGGATGCGAGGGATGCGGAGGCGAGGAAGGCGAGGAGGGTGGAAGAGAAGTGCATGGTGGAGGGTGGAGGGTGGCTGAAGTTGTCAGTGAGAGAGCCTAGGAGGCTGTGTGAGAAAAGAGAGGGGGAAGGAGGTAGGGGGACGTGCGAGAAGGCGAGGGAGGACGGATGAGGCAGAGCGGAACATCTAAAGCTCCCGCTGAGAGTAATAAGGCTCATCTTTGAAAGGATCGACGGTGGGAGTGGGACATTGGAAGGGGTCGAAGGATGTCTGGGAGGTGGAAGAGAGCGGCACCGCTTCTGCCGATCAAAGGAGAAGATACGCACTGATGGGGAGTGAAAGGAGATTCTGTTGGCTAATGAGCGAGTATGGTGTTGGTTTCCGGTGATCTGTCGATGCTGGATGAGGGCGAGTATCAGTCACTAGAGGAGTTGAGAGAGAGAAGAAGTGGTAGTTGACAGAGGGAGGATGATGAAGTGGATGAAGAGAAGAAAGCAAAGGAGGGGATGAGCTCTGTCTTTATATCTGCCGCGGTGGAAAACGAGGGTTGTCAGCGTGGGCTGCCTGTAGTCAACATCGAGGCATCTAGTCCAGGGCATAGAGTATCATTAGTCCAAAGGAGGTAGCAGTCGCCCTTGTAGCTGTGTGGAAACAAGGGGGTCAGTGCAGACCGGACGTTACAGAGTCAGAGGTCCAAGCTTAGTCTCTTCTTACCCGCCCGGCGTCTTTACCCCAGAGCGCAAAGCAAGGTGTAAGCATGGGCTGACGCGCCAAAGGTATTGATCGTGAGCTTCGTCCCCCTTCCTTTCCTTACCGATAGGTACAAGGTTGAGAGCAGGCTTGCGTCGTTCGGTCAGTAAAGTTACTCTGAAACATGCTCGCCTCCTCCGGAAACACAGGCATCGGCGAGGATGACGGCATGACCCCCCCACTCCACAGCACGCACGGTGCGCTTTCGATCGGATACCGACTAACGCAATGTCTCGGGAGGCAAGGGTCGGTTTAATCAACCGAAACACAGATCAGAATATGAAACCTTCAGCGAGGATACCGGTCGGTACAGTATAGGCTTAGCCATAGGGGTTGGCGGAAGGCCTCAAATCTCGGCCGGGCGCGTCGAGCTTGGGCCTCCCGAGTCGAGCGGTGCCTTTCGGCCGGAGTGAGCGCCGAGAAGTCCCGGATCGGATGATGCCTGGTCCGATAGTCGAGTATCATTCGGCGGCGAGGCATCATATATCTGGCTATAACCTATACATGAGAAGAGAGGAGTGGCCGTCGTGCGAAGGCAGAGCAGCTTTTGGCCCAGCTGGGTCTTATCAAAGTCAGGTTGTTTCAGATTTTATGCCACGTCATGCCTTCCTCGCGGCTCTCACAGGTTGAAGCTCGCCCAGCTAGCTGCGTCCAGCTTCTACCTTGTCACTCGTATCTGATAGCAATAGCATAGAGTCATCATGCCTGCCAAGCACGACATCAACGTGAGCTATGAGCCTACGTGATTTCTGCGCGAAAACAGGAAGCTGACAAAGCAGAAAGTCGGCGAGGAGTCGTCAGATTTCCCGATATTGTAAGTCCGCCTTCTGTCAACATGGAGTCAGCTGACCAAGCAGATGCGAAACATGTAAGCTATACCGCATGGAGTGACAGGACACTTGCTGACGGACTTACAGGCCTCGGCTCCAACCCTTACCTACGGATGGTCAGTTTCCCGGATCATTGCTTACCACTAACCGAATCAGTGCTGACCCTGGCAGAGCAAGCAAGAGTTCGGCTCGGAATGCAAGATCTGTAATCGACCCTTCACGGTCTTCAGGTGGAACCCCGGAGAGGGCTCGCGATGGAAGAAGACTGAGGTGTGCACGACATGTTCCAAGATTAAGGGAGTTTGTCAGACGTGTTTGCTGGATCTGTAAGTTGATATTTGTGCTCGAACCTCCTGGGTGGAACAAACAGCTTACAGATCAGGGAGTTTGGACTGCCTGTACAAGTCAGAGATGCTGCTCTCGGGCGGAAGAACGGAGCCCCATCATCCGATATCAACAAACGTGAGTTGCCGTGCCTCCACCGCTTGCATGGTGAGAGCCTCAGCTGATGTCCCAGAATTCTACATCCAAAATCTAGAAAAGCAGATGGAGAACTCGCCAGATGGGATGACATTCGACAGCGAACAAGCCAACCGGGCCGGTCGGGAACTGCTGAAAGGGATGGCGAGGACAGATCCGCATTATAAGCGGAACAGGCCACATATCTGCTCGTTCTTCGTCAAGGGGGATTGTAAGCGGGGTGCCGAGTGTCCTTTCCGGTGAGCTACCCGCCTCGGAACGAGCAGGATCAGAGGGCCAAAGCTGACTTGCAAGGCACGAAATACCAGAAGAGAATGGACTACAAAAGCAAAACATCCAGGATCGGTATTATGGGAAAAACGACCCGGTGGCCAAGAAGATCTTGGGCAAGGTCGCGGCGGAGAAGGGGATGGTGGCGCCGGCGGACAAGTCGGTCGTAAGTTTTGATTAATACAGAGCTCGCGGTGAAACAGAGCTGACACTGGCAGACGACACTGGTACTCCTTGGCTTACCAGAATGTACCGATGCGGACGTCCGGACAGCTATGATTTTCTCTTGTCCGTTTGTCAGTCCAAACGAGATCAAGAGCATCTCGATGATCGCTGCGAGCCGTATGTCTGCTTTTGCTCAACCTGTTCTTGACTAAGAGGTGGGCGAAAGCTGATACAGTAGATTGCGCCTTTGTCAACCTTATCAACAGGCCATTAGCGGAACGCGCCGCAGAGGCACTTTCGGCCCAGAGCGGGATCGAAGTACAAGGAAAGAAGGTTCGGGTGGTATGGGGCAAGAGTAGGCCAGGTAAGGGCAAGGGCAAGGCGGCGGCCACAGAGGGAGAAGGAGCAGGCGGCGCGGAAGCCGTCGAGGCGTAATCTGTGGAATGTGTTTGGGATCTGTGTCTGTAGGAGTATGCATATGTAGTGGCCAAGCAATGATTAGTCCGCACGATTGTTCTGGGAGATCACAGATCATGCCTTGTCTCCCCCTGCGCCGAGACTCGCCCAGTCTATCCCGCCGTCTGGGCCGTACCGCTCCCGCAGCCACTCGTTTGCCCTGACGAAATTACCATTCCCAAAGAAGCCTCTCGACGCCGAGAGCGGACTAGGATGTACAGACTTCAAGACCAGGTGTTTCTTCTGCCTCGAGTCAGCATAAATTCACTCTAGAGCCATCCAGGATGCGCGGACTCACCGTATCCACCCCGGCGCACATTTTTTGCGCGTGCGCCCCCCACGCCATAAAGCAGACCCCGTTCGCGCCTGCCAGGTGCTCCCCGCCTACGGGCGAAAGTCGGGAGGTGACGACACGAAGGACAGCCGCGGTGAACTCTTCCCAGCCTTTCTTGCTGTGTGAGCCGGCCTAAAGAGTCAGCTGGAACCGTTTATCCAGCCCATCGAGAGCGGGGGACAGGGAAGGACAGCTGACCTCGTGTGCGCGGACGGTGAGCGAGGTGTTGAGCAGCAAGACGCCATGCTTTGCCCATTCTGTCAGGTCGCTGGACCGTCAGCCCTATCTTGACTAATATCTCAGAATCGCAAAACGCACCCATGCTTTGGTATCACGAACCCTGGGATCGCATCTCCCAGCTCCTTGTAGATGTTTCGAAGAGAAGGAGGGATTCTGACGCCTTTGCGGACTGAGAAAGCTAAGCCCTGTCCTTGTCAGCTTGGCAGCTTGTGCAGATCAGTAAAGCACTCGCATGTGCTTGACCGTCGTCCTACATGAGATCAGCGCGGATAACCGAATGCAGAGTCAAACTCAGCTCACATGATACGGATCCTGGCCTGGCTCATCAGCTAGGCCGCTCCGGGACAGCTACAGGCACACATACCGATGATGACCACCTTGACGTCCTTGAGTGGACACAAGGTCGACCAAGAGTATATCTCGTCCGCGGGCGGGAAGACCTTCTTCTTTGCTTGTTCAGCGGTGACAAACTCTTTCAACTGCTAGATCAGCAGCCGTACCGTCCTGCGCACAATAGGCAAGCCAGGGCATACCGAGGTGAAGTAAGGCTTGATCAGCTCCTCCTGGAGCGCAAGCAGCCAGTCCTCGCCCATCGTATCCAGCTCTGTAATTAATAGAGCAAGCTTATCCGGGTGTTCTGCCAGCGCCTTCCGGAGCTCCTCTCTGGACTCTGCGCGCGGTAGGTGGACCTTGGCGGACTTGAGGCTGGCGGCTTTGGTGAAGACATCTGCGGTTTCTGCCAGTGATCAGCTCCACTACACCACCACCCCAAGAGCTTGACGCGTACTCAACGTTGTAGGTTTCGGATCCAGCTTGATCCGCTTGCTAGCTGGTTCAGCTTCCGGATCGGCTGGAGCAGCCTGCTTCAGTCCATCCCGGATAGCCTGGCGTGCCGCGTCCGAAAGCAGGCCTCGCTTCGTACCAGCTGATCCCGGAACGGAAGGCGAAGACTTGACATCTGTCAATGGCGACGAGGGGGCCGCAGCGGCCGATACTGAGAAGGACGCGAGAGGAGGTGGAGGTGATGAGGCTTTGGCGGTTCCTGAAGATGCTGCCGCGGTAGTTGCGGCTACTTTGGAGGGCGTCTTGTTAAAGTAAGAAGTAATGCTGCGGGCTGCTTGGGGCGGCATGGCGGTAGGGCGCTTCGTTGGGCCTGTAACGAGGTGGAAGGCAAAAAGAGCAAAGATGGACGCGTCGATCTCCCTTTAATGCGCACTTGAAACGCCATAACGTCATCGATCGGGGTTGATGAGGCTGGGGTACCAGCACATGGGCGGTCAGGCAGAGAGCAACAGACATCATGCGTCATGTACCGGTCTCTAACTACACGGTCCGGCCTTATGGGCGCCTTGCCTTGAGCCCAAGCTGCTCGCACCAATCCTAGACTTCCGCACCCGATCCTCCTGACGTCACATGACTAGCTGGTCGCAGTGCTACTAATCATGGTAGTCTCCCTGCTATACGCATTCTCGCCAATGGTGCGCATGGTCCCCGGCCCCGCTTTCGCATTCCCCCTGGCCTGCTCGGAGAGACTTTGGCCAGCGCGATCCTGCGAGGAAGAACGGGCGATGGCCGATCCGCGTCGAGATCGTCGATCGCGTTCCTCCTCCAGCGCTTCCTCTTCCTCGACCGTATAGTCATTCGGCACTAGTGCGTCAGCTTCGTTCCGAGAGGAGACCAGCGCAGGATGACTCACGCATGATGGCTCGGTCGATGGCGATCGGAAGACCACGATGACGGCCTCGGATCATGACGAGTATGACGACCAGCTTGCTGAGTGTAGACCAGGAGCCGCAGAATCTTTGAGGTCAGCTTGGGCTCCCTGTTTCGCTCATTGGGCACTGCGTGCCGCTGCGTGAAGAGAACTTACGAGTAGTTATCAGTCGGTATGCCCAGACTAAGACCGACCGTCCCGTATGCGCTGACAAGCTCGAAGATGACGTTGAAAATATTGAACCAGCCAGAGTTCTCGGGGTTGACCAAGTTTCCGCGCTGAAATCGTGAGCCTTGCACATTTTGAGCTCAGCTATAGCTCACCTCGATGATGCAGACCAGCCAGAGTGCCAAGGCGAGCCACCACATATCGAATGCGAGTTGTCGTCTGGCGCTAAGGTCTGTCAGCTTGTGGCCTATGAATCGGAACAGGGCGGAAAGACTCACTGCCACCCAACATATTTAGCCACAGCCTGGACACCCTTCTCGTTGTATCCCTTGTGCTCGACATTGTCCTCCTCGCCATACACACCCAGACTCCTCTCCTCGTAGACATTCGTAGCGCGGACAGAGATGGCGATGGGGAAGGCGGCGATGTACATCATGATGACATACATCAACCTGTGATGGTCAGCGAGGCAAGCTCCAAGGTGCAATAGCAAGACGTACTTGACAGCTGGAGCCAAAGCGGCGAGCGGGACGATAGCAAAGCCGGCTGTTCGGACTGCGGCGGACTGGACGAGTGCTGCTGAGATTCTGGTTCCGACCGGGATGTCGTCGATCGCACTGTAGATGTCAGCCACTGGCCTCGGAGGGCTGGGCGCAGGAACGGCTTACGGGGTACCGATATCCAGTACCAAGAAGAAGAAGAAATCGAAGAAGCTGGGCATGATCAGCCTGGATGCCCGAAGGACTACGTATAAACTTACTACAAGCTTGCCATCACCATAGCCAGAACATAGGTCTGCGTGGACGGGAACATGTAGACAAAGCATCGTCTCGGGTGATCCAGCAAGAACTTAAGCGACTCGCGGGTGCGAGAGTTCTTGGGCACCATCTTGTAGAACGTCCACACTGTCAAGCGAAGGCTGAACTGTCAGCTGGTCGCGCAGTTAGCCAGTAAGAACGAGGCGCACAAGACGGGCTAAAATCGTCAGCTTCGAGCGACACTTTTCTACCGCGCGTCGTACTCACGTAGGAGGTGTTTCCCAATATGATCAGGAATGCTACCACTGTACTAATCAGCTCTAATACGATGAGAAAGTAGCGCGTACACTCACAGAGATTCATAAGATGAGCGTCCTGGAAGGGGATCAGACTGAGGTCGGCCATACTCATACCGGTATTGGTGAACGCCGAAACGGACTGGAAGATGGAGAAGAACCAGATGTTCATCGTGTTGGGTTGCGCGTCAAAGACATATTGATACCGATCTCCGGCCGAAATGTAAGGAGCGATGATGATAAAGGCTGAGAGCTGGAGGAAAGCCCAGTACTGGTGAGATCAGCAAGTCGTCTTCAACCTGAACTCAGAATCCCTAACCACTCACGCAGATGACGATGCGGAGGAGAAGCTTCAGCGCCCTGTACTCTACCCCTCCGAGCTCCTCGATCTGCTCAGAGGTGAGACCCTGGAACCTCGAGTTCCTCCCGATCCTCGCAGTGAAGGTGAGGTAGTCCACCTCCTTGTCAACGCCCCGGCTCGACTCAGCGCCCGCCGCTCCCCTACTTCCGACAGTAGTCGTCCGGGGCATCGTCATGCTCCGCTCCAGCGCCTCGGCTCGCCGGGGGAAAGCCTTGTAGAAGATGCGCTTGCCGATTTCGTATGGAGTGGGGAACCCACCGAATCCGGTCGTCTTGTAGTCCGGCTCACTTCCACTGGTGTCGCGGCGAAGTGAGTGGGTTCGAGCAAGAGCAGAGGCGTGCGAGCGACCTGTGGCCGTCCGTTGAAGATCCTCGCCGCCGTTGCGAGCCGAGGTGAAGCCGGTAGAACCGTTATCCACATCGTCCTCATCGTCTTGCTCAAAGGCGATGGTCCGAGTACGCGGGAATTTGTCATCGTCGACCGTCTGACCAGTGTAAGAGGCTTTGTTCGAGGTAGCGGTGGACGGATCAAGGTCGGTCATGGCCGCGGGCGTCTCCCCGGGGATGTCGTTCGAGCTGGATCCGTATTCGCCCATGTGGTTGAGTACGCCGGACCCCCCTCCATCGACCCGCCTGATCATGACCTTTTCAATCTTTCCGCTAGCCATGGTCTTCTTGGATGACGAGGGTTGGACGGACTTGAGCTCGACAGATGAGTGCGTGGAAGAGCCATCTCCGGCGGGCGTGTAGCCGATGCTGGTACTCGGTCCTTCGCCCGTCGGGGAGTCGACCTTGCCCTGTCCGCATCAGCGTGTGCTCAGACAGCATGCCAATCTCTAAGCGGCTCACCTTGTTTCCCATCCTAAGGCTTGAGCTCATCCTCCGCTTGACCTCCTTCATCCCCTCAGTCGGATTGACGCGGGACAGTGTTCGGGATAGGTTGAAGCCTGTTCCTCGTTTGGAGTCCCTCCGCCGTTGCTCCTCGATGACGTGCCTGAACTTCTGGCGGAAGAAGTGCAGACGCGCGACAATCATCAGGATTGACACAAACGCCTAGAGAGATTAGCCCCAACTCTGTCCACTGCTGTCATGGGGATTGACTCACCAGGCCGCCAATGTTCATCAGGAAGAACAGAAACACCTGCTGTAGGGTCGATAGGGTGCTCAGATTGATGGTGACCAGTCCGGTGACGGTCATAGCCGAAACGCAGACGAAAAGGCAGTCAATGAACGCGATGGGGTAGGCGGTCGAGATGCCATACACGATCCCGGACAGGATGAGGGGTATCTGGCGCTATCAGCTCATTGTCACCCCGCTCGCCGGTTCCCGCCTTGACACAGAGCCTACTCACGAAGGTGAAGCATAGCAAATGAATACGATAGAAATTGAGACTATCCAGTATATAGTTGTACACTGTTGACAACTTTGAGCGAAGTTGCAGTCGAGGCATCTTCGGGCTTCGGGCGAGACAGATATAGATTTCGGCTGGTTCCGGGGGATGTTGAGGCGTTCCTTTGACAGGTGTCTAAGAGATCTTGACCTGGGTGTGGCTGTGCTGCACAAGGATCAGTCGGGAGGTAGGAATATGCGTAGAGGCGATGCGTATCATGTGAAAAAGCTATATGCACAGTGTAAAGGGGATGTTGCGAATGTTTACGGTTTGCTGTAGCTGCAGGGGAACAGCTCATGTCATTCCCTCCTCTCATAACTTTTTCCCTTCGCGATTTTCGGCAACGGTCTCATTGGAGCCGGAGTAATTGGTTTAAGGTAGAGTCCGACGCGTGCCGGTGTATTGAGCTGGTACAGGGTACCGGGCAGCACATTGGTGCATGGACACTGAGAAATCCCGCAAATAGATGACGGAGGGAGTGGGTGGCAAAAGAAATACCGCACTTGAGGGATTTCTGCCAACCCAGGCGGGCTGGCCCTAATTTTGGCTCGTTGATACCTGTAAGGCAGCAGTGCGAAGATGTGAGCTAGCTAGAATGTGCTGTCGATGTAACGGTCCAGCATCTGGACGGATTTGAGTGACCGGCCAGGATCATGAACAGTCGAGCTCAGTATGTCAATGATCCTTGGTTCGCGGCCTTGCGCACGAATCCGCCTCTCCCAATGATGCCCTTGCTCTGCGAGATCCATGAGGCAGGCCGGCGCCACTGGACAGTAGAGGCGTCTCATCGTCTCTGCGATCCCGCTATACAGTGGCCATCGCATGGTACATGAGCGAGCCAGCCTGTAGACTACGGTATAGTACTGTACCACTGATGGGACATGGCCGGTTCCCGAGAGCCATCTTATGCGATAAGCCGATTTCTGATTGGATCCGTACTTAGAGCTGGTAGTCGTTCGCCCTCATCAGTCCAGTAGAGACAGACTCCACATCTTGATCCGAACGCGTCAGAACAACCGACAGAGTCTTTAGGGTAAGTTGTCGTTTTCTCCCGCGCCGAGGAAAGGATCAGGCGCTTGCCAGAAAGATCGCAGGACAGCCGCTTACATCAAATAGAATCATCAGTCGATACGAAAGGCGCCTGGTGGGGCTTTGAGCCCTCTCTGGGCGTGCATGGGGCGCGCATGATCAGACATGAGAGGTGGACCTTGGCCTACCTTTGCCGGCGCAGGTGAAACGCGATAACGTAATCGATCTCAAACCAGATTTTGGCAGCTGCAGCAGCTCGATCGCGAGCTTACATGTCAGCCAGCGACACCACCTCTAGTCCACTATCAATGATAGCTTTTTGTGTATGAGAGACCTGGTCGGCTCTGCCATGTTGGCGTACAGCTGATTCTGCCGACCAGTTTATGGTGCGCCCACTAGGCCTGCCGGGACCCGGCGTGATCTGGCGAGAAAAGATCCGACGTCTTCTCCCGCCTGTCATCTCGTCGTTTCTCTGCTTCGTGTTCGTCGTGGTCAAGCCATTGAGCAGCTTGGGGGGACAGTAAGCTATCTTATACAGCTTAGATTGAGCCAAAGAGCCGGCTGACATGGTAGATATGCCTTCTTGTGCTATACATCCCTACTACTCTTCTGCTTTCCGGGCGGCACTATTGGCGGGCAGCTCGAGGCTACCAGTAAGGTGTTTCAAGTACTCCCTTGGGTACCAAAACTGAGGCTCTGTAGTTCTCGGCATACTCTTCACGGTCGCTGGCCTCGCATGGGCAATAGTCACTTTGGCTATAGCTGCCTACTGCGGCCGAACGTACAGCTCCGACGGAGCGGAGGCAAGGACCGTCCTTGGCCTGGGATTGGCGACACTTGCCTTCATTGGTAAGCTGCTCACAGCTTGTCTCTGCGCCAGGCGAGTCGGGCTGATAATTCAGCCGGATTCATCCGGAGCTATGCCCCTCGTCTGACTCTGGCTAGCCGAATCGGACTCTTCTTCCCGGTGTTCCTTCTCACGAGCGAACAAGCAATTACTCAGGTACGCTCCCAACTCAAAGTCGCTGGACTAATTGAAAAAGTCTCAAGGGCCAGGCTGAAAGTATAGGTCACTGCTCGACTCTTCCTCGAGCAGTTCTACATTGCCCTCTTCGCAGCCGCGTTCGGTCTCGTACCTATCGTCCTGCTCGGTCACCGCTCGTCCGGGCCGGCCCTCGGATGCGCCCTCCTCGGATCGCTCTCCTCGGTCCAAGAAGTACTACCTATCTCCCTCACTGTGTTCCTCGAGGACGAGGGACCTACTGCTACACCGCCAGCATGGCACAAAGCTGTCTCGCCAGACCCTACTTCGTCTCCCTCCCAGCACGCAGAGCAAGCCAAAGAGCTCAAATCCCGTACCGCCCGAATCAGCCCCCTCCTCAAAGCCTACTCGAATGAGATGCTTTATGCCCGTTCTCCGCCCACACATCTCCAACCCATCGTTACCGCTCTCAAAGCCGTCTCGCGCAACCCCCTGCTCGGTTCGTCGAACCACACACCCGGCGAGCGGATCCAAGCGGCCCTCCTCCGCGTCAGGCATCACTCTTCCTCTCGCCCCACGAGCGCCCTCGGTACGCCCAGAAGAGGCTCGTCAAATCCTCGACATAGCGACGGGGGCCGGTTCGCGCATGAGCTGGAGAAACGGTTGGATGCGGTGCCGTCTTACCTCCGGAGTGAGGTACCGATGGCGAGGCAGGCGCATACGCCCACGGTGACAGCAACTCCGGATACGAGGCTAGCGGAGCGGTGGACTGAGCTCTCACGCTGTGTCTGCGCGGCGGTACGGATATCCGGAGATCGTATAGCGGGAGTCTGGGCCTGGATCAATCCTTTCTCTTCCTCTCAGCTGCCCGAATCCGCGGTCCGCTCGGACCTCGTTAGCGCCATCAAAGCCTTCGAGACCGACCTAGAGCTAGCGCTCGATCCCGAAGAGAGCTTTTCTCGGGCTCTCAGCGGCTCTCGGACACCTGCGCGGACTCAGGAATGGCGGCACTCGCTCGAGACCCACACCGAAAGGGACAACTTCCGGCTCGCGTTCCACATGATATCGCTCCTGGATCTAGGGCGGGACGTGCTAAAGCTGTACGATGTGGTCGAGAGAGTCACCGCGGCGGCGCCAAAGGAGAAGAGGCGGTACATCCCCTACCTACATCGGTGGATCCGGTCGAGGGCGGACGTGCAGCCTGTGAATGTGCTGGATGATTCGGATATCGCCGGTATGTCTCCTTCACATCCTCAGGTACGAAGCTGATAAATAGGCGAAGAGACCGCCTCGGGTGCTGCAGACGAGACCAGCCCGCCAGACCCAACGGGCGGCCTCGACTTCATCCAGGCTGCTCTGCGGCGAGAGCACCATGCTCAGCTGGAATCAAGGGGCCGGCTCGACGCACTACGTCTGCTCTGGCGTTCTGTGTGGGACAGCCACAAAATACTACTGGGTAAGCTGTTCCCTCAGATCTTCGACCTGCTCGCCGAGGCTGACCAAGTAGCCCGCATCGGCGTATCCCGATTCCTCCACTTGTCTCGACACTCTCGACACAGCCGCTTCGCCCTCAAGCTCACACTGGGCATCTCGCTCCTTTCCCTTCCTGCCTTTCTTCCGCCCGGCTCTCTCGGCAGGATGTGGTTCGAGGACGTTCGGGGCGGCTGGGTCTTGGCGAGCTACCTCTACGTGCTGGAAGTCCATACTGGGGCGATCTTTCGAGTTGGATTCTTCCGGATTGTTGGGACCTTCTCGGGCGCGCTGTTTGCTTACATTGTGAGTCTCCTTCTGGTCAATCTTAATGAAGCTTATGCTTAGTTCGCACTGATTGCGCGGGACAATCCATATGCACTCGTCACTCTAGCAACTGTTATGTCCATACCGATCTCTTATATCATCCTCTTTACTACCTTCCCTGGTGTTGGTACCGTCGCGTGAGTCTTTGCTCTGCGCATCAGCATTTTAGCTGACTCAGTAGCGGCATCACCCTTCCTCCGCTACTCTTCCTAAACTACCTTGACCTGTCAATGGGTCGTGATCCTTTCTTTCTCGCCTGGACTCGCTTTATCGACATCACAATCGGGATCGTTGCTGCTGTCCTCGTCGGCTCGCTCATCTGGCCAGATCACGCACGCGTCCGCTACTTCTCGGCTGTCCATACCACCCTCGAACGGCTGACAGATTACTACCTCCAACTCTCTCGCGACAATCTCCGTTCCACGCTACTATACCAGTCCGACCAAAAGATCTACTCCGACCTGGACCGGTCGGTGCGGCGCGAGATTGCCTCGGCGCGCACACTTGTCTCTGTTCAGCGGAACGAGGTATCTCTCCTCCCGCGTCCTATCCGGCTGTATGGCGAGGTCCTCGATGCCGCTGAGCGAATCATCGAAACCCTCACTGAGATTCGGTTACTCCGGTTCAGCGTGCCAAGAAAGGAGACAGTCCTCGATGTCTTGCCGATCCGGAGCGAATTCGTCTCGGCCGTCCTGATTAATCTGTGGGCATGCGGCCAGGCGTTTCGATCAAGATCGCCACTTCCGCAATTCCTCCCTATGCCCCGCGTTGCGCTGGAAGAGCTGACGCAGGCGGTAGACGAGCAGCGGAGAGAGGGGCGGAGGCGGACCAGATCAAGCCGACAGGCGGGCGCGTCGGGGTCTTCATCGCCGTCTGCGCCGGCTGCAGGAGGAAAGGGGAGCAGGGAACAGCTGGCGATGCTGTATGCGATGGCGGAGCACGAGGCTTTGGGGGAGCTGTGCGATCTGATAGATGAGGTGAGTCTGAAATTTCTCTCATTGTGGGCGTGAGCTGATCATCACAGCTTATCGCGGCTGCGAGGACACTTTTTGGGAGCCAAACCTTTCTCGACACAGCAATCAGACAGCCCTTCACTGAGGGAATATGACAGTGTGATCATGGTTGCAACATCGAAGCGAGCGATACTGGTCTTGGAGCTGCACGTGGCCTACATTTCTGAACTTTCTACGAGATAATAGATAGTCCGTAAGGATTGGCATTTAGGGGGCTTTGCTGTCTCGCATCTATACCCTACTTCATGGAGAGATAGAAGACAAAGAAGGGGGCAGCACCAAAGAAATCTCTCCATTCCGTAAGCTGTCTTACCTTCTTGGAGCTGTAGAGGTTTGCGGTCGAGACTAGGGGCTTTGACCCAAAGACCACACAGGCCACGACTGGCCATGAGTGCATGAGCGGCCAGCGGTGAGATGAAACGCGATGACGTCATCTGCCGATCAATGATCTCAGCCTATAGACTCGCGAAAGCGGGTAGCCGGTAAACACCACCCCCAACACTTACTCCAAGTTATACTATGTATAAGGGGCTCGCTCAGCTGCACGTTGTATCGTGTGGGCGCAGCTGAGTCCTACTTTCCGTACACGTCTCGTCCATCTCGACCGCCGCGGCGAGGCGTTATGTGTCGAGAGAAGATCCGACGTCTTCTCCCGCCCGTCATCTCGTCGTTTCTGTGCTTTGTATTTGTGGTTGTCAAGCCATTGAGCAACTTAGGTGGACGGTGAGTCTCCTCAGTCACGAGAGACAAGTCAGACGTTCGGCTAATATCGCAGCTATGCCTTCCTGTGCTATACCTCACTGCTATTATTCTGCTTTCCAGGCGGGACGATTGGCGGACAGCTTGAAGCTACCCGTAAGCTGACCGCATTGATTATATGAATGACCCGCTGATGCCTCCAGTCCTGGGCATACTCTTCGCCGCCTCTGGTCTGGCATGGGCGATCGTCACCCTGGCAATCGCTGCATACTGCGGGCGGACGTATGGCGCCGACGGACCAGAAGCAAGGACCGTTCTCGGCCTCGGATTGGCGATACTTGCCTTTATCTGTTAGCTTCTCGTGCCAGCAATGTGGATAGGGCTGACCAGATAGCTGGGTTCATTCGAAGTTACACTCCTCGACTGACCCTAGCCAGCCGGATTGGACTGTTCTTCCCGGTATTCCTCTTTACGAGTGAACAAGCAATCACTCGGGTAAGCTGTTATCCCAAGAGTCGTCCTCATTCCGGAACCTAGGTGGGCCAGGCTGATGCTATAGGTCACATCTCGCATGTTCTTGGAGCAATTCTATACTGCCCTCTTCGCAGCTGCTTTCGGCCTCGTCCCAATCCTACTGCTCGGTCATCGTTCATCCGGTCCCGCACTGGGCGAGGCCATCATCGGGACTGTCACTTCAGTGTACGATCTACTACCTATCGCGCTCGCTGCCTTCCGAGACGGAGAAGAGAATGCTTCCACCCCGCCGGGCTGGGACAATTCTGACCTACCGGACAGGCATTCTACTCGGTCCCGACACGACGTGCTGGCCAAGACACTCAAGAGCCACACCGGTCAAATCAGCCCCTTACTCAAATCCTATTCGAATGAGATCATCCACGCTCGTCTCCCATCCACACAACTTCGACCCATCATCGCAGCGCTCAAAGCGGTGTCGCGTAATCCGCTTCTCGGCTCGTCCTCCCAGACCCCGGGCGAGCGGGTACAGGCTGCTCTCCTGCGCGCCCGGCAACACTCGTTCTCCCGTCCTACCAGCTCCATGGATAGGCAGAGCAGAGGATCGTCCACTCCGCTGCATATTGATGGGCAATTCGCCGTCGAGCTGGATAAGCGTTCAGGTGCTGCGCCGTTTAGTCTCCAGAGTGACACATCCGTTCCCAAGCCGGATCCGAGACTGGTAGACCGGTCGACCGAGCTCTCCGGTTGGATCTGCGCAGTCCTGACGCTCACCGGAGATCGCATAGCGGGTGTTTGGTGCTGGACCAACCCGCTTTCGGCTGTTACATCCCCGGACCCGTCCGCGCCCGTACACCTCAACAGATCCATCGGTGCTTTCGAGATCGACCTGGAAGTCGCCCTCGACTCCGGAGAAGGCATCTCAACAACGCTCGGGGACTCGCGCATCGGTACCACAAACAGAACTCACGGGGAGTCGGAGAGCTTCCGGCTCGCATTTCATATGGTCACTTTGCTCGACCTCGGGCGAGACGTTTTGAAGCTTCACGACGTGGTCGCGAGGGTCACAGAGGCGGCGCCGGTGCAGAAGAGGTGGTATGTCCCCTATCTGCATAGGTGGATCCGGTCAAGGGCGGATGCGCAACCTGTGGATGTACTGGATCATTCCGACATCGCTGGTACGTTCTGTCCGTGTTCGCCGTGGGGGGAAGCTGATGTCCAGTCGAGCAGACCGCGCCCGTTGCTGCTGGGGAGGCATGTGCACCGGGGCCAACGGAAGGGCTCGATTTTGTCCAGGCTGCATTGCGTCGCGAGCACCATGCCCAGCTTGAATCGAAAGGCCGACTGCAGACTCTGCGCTTGCTCTGGCGGTCCCTCTGGGACTGTCACACGATATTGCTCGGCAAGTTCCCGCAAAGCTCCATCATGAGGCGGACGTTGATGCTGCTAGTCCGTATCACGGTATCTCGCTTCCTCCACTCCTCCCGACACTCGCGACACAGTCGCTTCGCTTTCAAGCTCAGCCTCGGTATATCGCTCCTGGCGCTCCCTGCCTTCCTCCCACCTGGTACCCCAGGCAGGATATATTTCAGAGACTTTCGGGGCAGTTGGATCCTTGCGAGCTATCTGAGCGTCCTGGAGGTTCATACTGGGGCGATATTCCGGGTCGGCTGCTTCCGAATCGTGGGAACATTTGTGGGCGCTCTGGCCGCTTACATCGTGAGTTCCCACTCATAATCAGGCATGACAGAGCTCATTTATAGTTTGTATTGATTGCGCGCGACAATCCATATGCGCTGGTCACATTGGCCACAGCCTTCTCGATACCAGTATCTTACATCATCCTGTTCACCACCTTTCAGGGGGCCGGAACTGTGGCGTGAGTCGTTCTCACCTCGAGTGCACCGAACCTGACTGGTCAGCGGCATCACCCTTCCCCCTCTGCTCTTCCTGAACTACCTCGGACTCTCACCAGGTCGTGACGCCTTCTTCCTCGCCTGGACTCGTTTCGTCGACATAGCCATCGGCATCGTCGCTGCCGTCCTTGTCGGCTGCGTCGTTTGGCCAAACCATGCGCGCGTCCGCTATTTCTCGGCGGTATACACCACCATCGAGCGGCTGACAGCGTACCATCTCCAGCTCTCGCGTGACAACCTTCGGTCCACCCTGCTGTATCAACCTGATCAGAAGATCTACGCCACTCTCGATCGATCCGCGCGGCGCGATATTGCCTGGGCGCGCACACTCGTCGCTGTGCAGCGGAACGAGTTGTCTCTCCTACCTCGTCCGATTCGGCTCTATGGCGAAGTCCTCGATGCGGCCGAAAAGACTCTCAACATCCTCGTTGAGATCCGCCTCTTGCGCTTTAGCGTCCCGAGGAAGGAGGTAGTCCTCGACGTCTTACCGCTCCGGCGTCAATTCGTGTCGGCGGTTCTCAATAACTTATGGGCGTGCGGACAGGCGTTCAAGTCAAGATCGCCGTTACCGCAGTTCCTCCCTTCGCCACGGGTGGCGCTAGACGAGTTGACGCAGGCCGTAGATGTGCCGCTGACCGAGGGACGACGGCGGACAACATCGACCAGACAAGCGGGCCCGTCACGCTCGCGATCACCTTCCCAGTCTGATTTGGGCAAAGGAGGCAACGGCAGTAAGCAGGAACTATCGATGCTGTATGCGATGGCGGAGTATGAGGCGTTAGGGGAGCTGTGCGATCTGATAGATGAGGTGAGGTAACCACTCTTCCCAGAAAGTGCAAGCCTGGAGCTGATCTCGACAGCTTGTAGCGGCTGCTCGCATACTCTTTGGAACCCAGACTTTCCTCGACACGGCGATGGAACAGCCCTACATTGACTGAATTCGATTATGTATCCATAGCTGCTGGCACTGGACGGAGCGACACTGATCTAGGAGCTGCATGTGGTCTAAGTTCTAGGTTTTCTATTATCTAATTCGGATACTACTGATGTCGCTAACTATACGTCCATACTGGGTCGGGCACTGGTCATAGCGCTGCTCGGCTGACTGTCCTTGGGGACCTGAGCTCCACCCTCACGATGCGTCGAGCGGGCATAGTGCTTCTCGTGCGACTTGATGGCCTGCTCTTCCTGCTGACGCTTGAACGAGCCCGAGCGCCAGGCGGGGGTACCGGAGAGGTAGAGCGCATCAACCCTGATTATCAGCTGCCGGCCTAGATTGGATCATGAGCTAGACTCACTCTTCGATAGACATGCCCTTGGTCTCGGGAATACAGAAGAAGGCGAACGCGAATGCCAAGGCGAGACATCCGGCCCAGACAAAGCAGATTCCGGTACCGATCCGCGCCTGGATCTGAGGGGCCGCAAAGGCGATGATGAGGTTGAAGAGCCAGTTGGCGCCCGTGCCGAGGGTGACGCAGAGGCTGCTGAGACGGATAGGGAAGGTCTCGCCGCATACGACCCAAGCGACGGGACCCCAGGACGAGGCAAAGGCAGCGACGAAAAGGCAGGTGAAGGCGATGAGGACGTCTCCGGCGATAGGGTTGTCGGGGTATGCCTTGGAGACGGAGCCGACGACGATCTGGCCGATGAACATGGTGGCTGCCCCAGTGAGCAACACTGGACGACGCCCTGCCCGGTCAACGGCAATGACACCGGGGAAGGAGGCAGCGACGTTGACGGATGCGAGGATGATTTGGAAGACGTAGGTGTTGGCGAGACCGGCAGCTTGGGCGAATTGCACACCGTACGAGAAGAAGAAGTTGATACCGGTCACTGAAGGTCAGCGCCGACCATCAACACTCGAGTGCTGGACTCACCCTGCTGTCCGATCTGAACCAAGATCCCGATCATAGTCCTCCAAGCGATCCGGTCCTGGGTCGAGAAACACTCGCTGTACTTGGCACTTCCCCTCTCCTTGTCCTTCTCGGCCGCAGCGCGTACCTCATCCATCTCGACGTCAATGTTGGCGTCGTCCTCGGGGAGACCACGGAGATTGGCGAGGTTCTTGCGACACTCTTCCCACCGTTCTTGCTTGGCGAGGAAGCGCGGTGATTCGGGGGATAGGATGAAGCCGACAAGGAGACAAGCGGAGAAGACCATCTGGAGCGCGACGGGGATGCGCCAGCTAGCTATATCAGCTGCGGTCTCTCTATGATCTTATGGACGACGTACCTGATGTCCGAATTATCGTATCTGCTCATACCCCAGTTGGTCATGCTGACACCCCAGATACCGAGCGTGACACAGAGCTGGAAGCTGCCAGTGACGAGACCACGGTACTTGGGCGGCGAGGCTTCGGCCTGGAAGACGGGGACGAGACCGGATGTGGCGCCGATACCGAGACCGGTGAGGAGACGGGCGACGAGAATCTGGGCGTAGGTATTCATAGCGGATGTTTCGATGGCGGCGCCGATAAGGTGGATGAGGATAAAAGCGATGCAGGTTTTACGCAAACCGAACTGGCGGGTCAGTTTGCGCTCCTTGGCCGGGGTAGGCAGCACTCACGCGAGCTGCGATGCTTCCCGATCCTACTGCCCCGATGACGGCTCCTACACTCAAAAGACCAGTGATGGCACTCTGACGAGTCGTGCTGAGGGCACAGATACCCGCAGCGTCACACTCTCCAAATCTGCGCTGATACGATGTCATGCTGAAGAGACCGCTTCCTTCCGAGTTTCCCCATCCTATAGAGTCAGCTATTGCCTCAAGACGATGGCGGACGACCCACCGAAGATGATACCGGCGGCTGACTGAGCGAGCGCCAGGGTCAGCGCCTTCGAGCTACTGCGTTGCGACATGGTGGTGGATGCGCTCAATAAGGGTTGGCAAGGTGTCGTTGAGCGAGGGATTGCTGAGGGGGAAGATCTGCTGTGGCAAAACCTCGAAGAGAGCAAAGATACAAGGTGGTGGTAGTAGTGAGGATGTCAAGATGTGTTTAGAGATGTCGTGCCAACACGATAGCATGGCCAGAGCAAAATCTCTCCTCGCGTGGTCATCTTCGTCATGCTCATTGCCACCGCCCGGCTCGGCGCGCCGCTATGGGTGAAACTGCGTCTAAGACCGCATCTCCGGCTGACTCCGTTACCCGCGCGGCGAGATCAGCCTGAACACGTACGCGGGCTCGACACAATCATCGAGTCATCCCCATGACCTAAATCCTGATTGACAAGCTGTGGTACTATCGGTAAAGCCGAGCTAGGAGCGGCGTCGGAGATCATCAAGTGGAGGTGAAATTCTTCTTTCGGGATTTTTCTGAAACTGCCGATGCCGCCGGCAATGGCAGGACCGATGACGTTTGCTATAGGAATTGCCTCAAACGGACCCTGAAACAAGGGGGCTTAGCAAGGGGCTACCAGAGTTTAGCAGATCAGGCTCAGCTTGTCGGCCGAGATGCGGTCCACTGGTGGAGGGGCGGAGTGGCATACTGGGAGTTGGTGACTGTCACCATATACTCTCATGTCTTGTCCTCTGTGTTCCAGATCTCGAGGACGACAGACCTGCATCAGATACCATCTACTCATGCCTTGACCTCCGCCCGATGTCTAGGCGTCCAAGGTCCCAAGCTCTTATCCGAATAGAAGTCCATCGGATAGCCTCCTTCCCCATTCTCCAGCCCCATCCCGCCTTCGCCCAGATCCAGCCCGCCCCACCCGCGTATCCTCCCAACAGTGACAGACGCCTCGTACGGACTCAAGAGGGGCCGGTCGAAGGCGTATCCCCAGTCTATACTGAGTCTGGGACAGGAAGTCTGGACGAATACCGATAGCTGGGGAAGGAGGGCGAGTTTGGCAGGCGAGAGTTCCGAGAGAAGAAGCATGTAGGGTGGGGAGGAAGTGGGGGAGGAAGTGGGGGAGGATGTTGGGAGCGAGGTTTGGATGGTCTACAGGATCAGCTTGGCACTGTTGCAAAGAGCATAGAGCTCACCTTGAGAACGCTCAGACTGCCCTGCCTGCCTAATGTACCCAATATGACACCCCATGATCCGCTACCGTTCTCTCTCTCCACTCCTAGTACTCCTTGATCGCCGCTCCCTAAGCTCCGCTCCGGCGCCGGCATCAACGTCTTCCTCGCCTTCCGTACCGCATCTCCCCGCACCATCCGCATCTCCTTGTGCTCGTAGGTCTCTCGTGTGAATTTCTTCGAGTACGGGTCGTAGCGGAATGCAGGGACAGTTGGATTGGCGATCATGATGGACTCGAGGTGGAATCTGCCGTCTCCGACATATCTATACGTCAGCTCCGTCGCACGTACCACTAGAGATCGGACTTACATGAGAGCGTCCATGGCTTCCAGCTTCGGCGCCGTACACCCCAGAACCTCTCCCGGGCTGAGCGGTCTGCTTTGCGGTACCGTGATGTCGTACTTTCCCCTCCATACCCCCACATCCCTTTTCTTGACGTTCATGACCGCTGCATCGCCCTCGAGCTCCCCTTGCTCCTTCTCCAGCGGCGGCAGCGCTTCCGACAAACCCTCCTTTAGCGACTGGACGGCAGCCACGAACTGTATCGTCGATACCAGCGCCAGTCTCGTCGGTAGGTTCCCTTCGGCAGGGTCAGACTCGCCCTCGTCTCGCCGAGTAGCGTCTGACGGGTCGAGAGCGATAGGTACGGCCGCACCGGGCTCGGCTGTAGAGGCGCCAAGGACGACCCGGTGGAATGCTGCGCGAGATGAAGGGAAGTTGCGGCGAACGGAGAGAGCGAGATGGGGTGTGTCGATCGCTATTTCAACAAAAATGTATAGTGTCTTGATGGATGTTTGGGAGACAGGTACTGAGCTGTAAGCTGAGCCATCCGATTCCATCAAGACCTGCTAGCTTACTGAGACATGAGTGACCATAATGCACAATCATCTCCGCGCCCATCTCTTTGGCTGTAAAGTCGTCGATACAGCATGCGCCATACGTGACATCTGCCAGCAAAAGCGGGAGAGCCCCTGTAAATCTAGATTGTCAGCTATCGCCCGGTGCACCTTTCCCAGGGTCAGACCTATCAGACTCACTCCTCGACGATATCCGCTATTGCACAGCCATACACCATCAACCCCTCGGGCATCTGCAAAGCCACCGTCTTGACCCCATCTCGCCGTATATGATGGACAGTCTTGTGAATCTCGAACTTGTAGTTGCTCGGGAGAGCTATGGGCTTCAGTCCCGGGCTCTGAATGTGCTGATAGCACTTCTCGTGTCTCTGTGGAACGGAGGGCGCAGCTCACCCGCGATAGCAGCGTTCAGCTCGGGATCATGCAAGATATCATCCGGGATCTGGTTCGCGACCCGCCTGATCGGCGTGGACCTGGGCTTCGGATTGGATGTCCCGACGAACCGTTTCCGGGGCTTCGACGGGCCCGCTACAGGTGGAGTGTCGATACCTTCTGCTGCACTATTCATGCTGACTGGATTGAGATGCTTGAGGGGTGATATGGCGAGCTTTTTAGACGATCACAGCTGCCTGCTACAACAGGCTGACAGCTGTATCAACATTTTGGGTGGCGCAGGGTCGTTACGTAAACAGCCTGACCTGGCTAGCTGCATATATATATATGCATCTCGGAGCTGGAATTCGCTCTCTCTCTACCTACAGTATCTCATCAGTATAAACACCGCCAATATGGAGACCAACCTCGCAGCCACCTCAGCAGCGCGCAAAGAGCGCCTCATAGCGCTTCGAAAGCGGAAAGAGCAGGTCGATGGGGGAAACGGAACGAACGGAGCTGGACCGTCAGCTGCCCATCAGTTGTCTCGTGTATGAAGCGGGAAGCTGACAATGTCAGATCACATTTCACATTCAAGCAGCGGAACTTTGATCCGGAGACACGGCAGAACCGGAGGCGGGAAGCAGGAGAGGATGCGGAAGATACGGTGGAGAAGGCGGTAGAAGGATTGGCAGAGCAGATTATACAAGAGGATGAGGCCAAGCGGGCGGAGGAGCTGGTGAGTGTTTCTTACAGCTCATGGGCAGACTATGTCGTTTGCTGGATTATCTCTATCGGCGGGAGAGCGCTTCCCGCGGCAGGCTGAAGGAGAGGAGTCCAGGGCGGATTTCAAGAGCCGCCAACAATCCCTTGAATCCCTCACCCGATACGAAGGAGAAGATGTCCTCGCAAGATCACAGAGCTGAGATCTATAGGACCTCTTCAACATCCAACCCAAACGCGCAAATTGGGACCTCAAGCGGGACATGACAAATAGGATGTCAAAGTTAGAAAGGAAGACGAATGAGGCTATCGCGACGATATTCCGTATGTCCTCTACTCCCTCTGGCCCTTGCGATGGTCCCCTCATACCCTCTATCACTGTCACACCGAGAGCTGATGGCTGTCATTCTCTAAGGGTAGGAACGCCTTGCTGACTACTGTAGGGCAAAGACTACAAGCTGCCAAGAAGCAAAATCCACAGGCGGTCACAGCGGACGAGGTGAATCTGGTAGCTGCCATGAACGCAGAACGGACGGAGCGGGAGGGCGGAGCGGGCGAGGACAGCGAAGAGGATTAGCAGTATCAGGTCACAACATGGAGATGTACAAGTACGATTATCGCCAGATCCGGCTCTCCGGCCATTGTCAAGATGGCCAGCTGACCCTGTAATTGAGGCAGACCAGAACACGAGTTTGATGCGATGTTGGAATCATGCGATGCTAACTACTAGATATGTAGTGTAGATACAAGTTGAATTGCCGATAAACGGTTGATTTGATATGACAACAGCCTCCCCTGCCCCCCCACGCCCGCGCTTCCGGCCCAGTACACTCCTGCGCCTCCCTCCTACTCGCTCAACAAGAACTCCCAGAGCCCCTCCTTGTCCTTATAGTCGTGATGTATCAAACTGACCAACCACCACTGCTCCCCCACCCCATCGAGCAGCGTCCGCGATTCCGATCCTCGGGGATACAGCCTAGCCCACTCTGACCAGATCTCAAACGCCTCTTCCTTCCATGCAAGGAATGAGGTCTCCTCGATGATGGTCGACTGGACAATCTCTTGACCGGGAAAGACACCCCACGTGACGGCATTCACGGCGTCGCTGAGGGTGTTGGTACGGAAGTCGCCCTGCGAATCAGCTCACGTCCGACAAAGCCATCCCAGATCAGAAATACTCACAGCCTTGTTCGCAGCGTACATGCTCACAGCCTCCCCTCCTGCCCGCTTCAATCGCTCCTCGATCCGGTCCATCTCCTTGGTCGGCACAAAGAACTCCACGAAGGCCTTCTGGAACACATATCCCCCTTTTGGTCCCCATCCATGGATAGGGTCGTCCGAGTACGCGGCGTCCACGGCGGGCTGGGAGCCTACCGTCCAGTACTGCTTATCTGGCGAATTGAGGGCGATGAGCCGCGGAAGAATCGTCTGCGATTCGGGCGAGAGGGGGAGGTCGCAGAAGGGGGTGGTAGGTGCCGAGGGGAGGGAGTTGAGGTATGCGCAGAAAAGAGCGGATAGGTCGGCAGACGTGGTGGGTGTTCCCCATTCTAAGAGCGCTTGGTTCGCCTATCCATCAGCCCAGCTCATGGGTGGTATATTAAGACTCACATTGGTTTTGAGTCCAGAACCCCATCCGTCAATCTCTCCATAGGCCGGAGACCTGATATCCGTGAACCGCCCGTTCGGGTACTCGTCCCAGCTATCTTCTGCCTTTGCATTCTTCTCCACCTGCCCGCCCATCCCCACGCCTTGCGTCCCCAGCCCCTTCTTCGGTGCAGGTTGCAGCGCCCGGTTCGTCAAGCCCCACTGTGCGAGCTGGCTCGCCTCGCTAGGACTGATCGACATGCCACTGACGGAGCTGGTACGTCGCTTGGGAGCGGGGATGGTGAGACCGCTACCGTTTGCCGTGGGGACGGAGGTATCATCCTCGTCCTCGATGATGAGTTTGTTATGTCTCAACAAGGGGGACGAGTGCTCGGAAGCGGGCGTCTTGACCCAGTCGAGGGATTCGAGGATGGTCCGGACGGACTTTTCGAGGTTGAGTGTGCAGAAGTGCACACCGGGGACGAGCTTGGAGCTGATTAGGCGATTGACCATGCGTGTAGCGAGCTGGGCACCGTATTGCTTGACGGCGGAATCATCGGTCTGGCTGTCAATTATAGGCTCGCTAATCCGAGATTTTCCTAACTGACCTTGATAGGCTCCAGATCGGCCATGATCGAGTCCGGCACGGGACATTGAGTGAGCTTGACCAGCCGGCGGAATGAGGCAAAGTTTTGAATTGGCATGATACCGGGTATAATCGGTAGTGTTATACCTTTCCGTCAGCCTTCTCCCGCTCCGTTTGTAACCGACATACCTGATTCCCGGACACTCCCTACCCACTTCTCAAACCCCTCCACATCGTAAAACAGCTGCGTCAAGATAAAGTCCGCCCCTGCATCGCATTTCGCCTTCAACCACTTGAGATCATCCGCCTCATTCGCCGAGTCCACATGCGGCGTTGGATAACCCGCTACGCCGACGCAGAAGAAATCGCCGTGCGTCTGCCGAATATACCGGACGAGATCGTCGGCGTGTTGGAAGAAGTCGGGGAGGGGGGCTTCGGTAGGGAGCGAGTACTCTTCGGGACGAGGAGGGTCGCCTCGGAGTGCGAGTATGTTATGTATACCGAGAGCGCGGGCATTCTGTAGCTATCAGCAATCATCGATTGGGGATTTCAGCCGACGCACCGTCAAAGCATCATCGACCTTCTCTTTAGGCATATTCGTACACGTCAAGTGAAGCACCACGTCCAGACCGAGCTTGACGACCTCCTCCGCCAGCTCTAGAGATTTCTCGGCGGTTGCTCCGCCCGCGCCCCATGTCACCGAGACTGCCAGCGGCGCTGGAAGGGGCGGTTGTGCGAGTCGCCTGACACGGTCGAGGAGGTTCACGAAACCCGCTTCGGTTCGAGGTGGGAAGAATTCGAATGTGTGGAAAGGGGCCGGATGAGCTGTGATGAGATCGGTGAGGCGCGGCATGGTCGCTAGGTGTATATCAAACAGAGATATAGAGGCTCGAGCGACTTTTGGATCGTGAGACGCAGCTTGAGCTTGGGGTGGGGTGATCGCTGGCGAATTAGCCGAGAATTACCCGAAGAGGCAGTTTTGACAGAGGGGAGGTATGACGCACAAGAGAAGGTCCACCCAAACCAAAAGATAAGAGGCTCCCTCGCAGCGTTGTACATCCCGCCTCTACACCTCAAGACTACCTATCAAGATGGGCCCCTCACCTACCAAAGACGCACCCAGCACGATGGAAGAGCTCAAGACGCTGCTCAAGGACGACAATAAGGTCAAAGTAGCAGGTACGTCCTATCTTTCCCCGTTGTCCACTCTCTCCCGCCGAGGACTCAGCTGATATCGTCAGGCGTGGACATTGACGGTGTCCTCCGAGGGAAGATCATGTCCAAGGACAAGTTCCTCTCGGCTGCCAAGTCGGACGGCTTTGGCTTCTGCTCCGTCATTTTCGGCTGGGACAGTGAGCTCGCTCGTTTCCTCCCGCGGGCCGTGACGATAGCTAAATAGCAAGTCCACGACGTGACGTACTCCAAGGAGCTTATGGTCTCCAATCGAGCGAACGGGTATCGCGACCTCCTAGCTTCTATCGATCTGTCGACATTCAGGCGGTTACCGTGGGAGCGTAATATCCCATTCTTCCTCTTGAGGTTTATCACGCCCGAGACGGGCAAGCATCTCGAGGTGGACCCCAGAGGGGTTCTGGCGGATGTGGTACAGCGGGCAGAGGAGAGTGGGTGGAAGTGTATGGCTGGGGCAGAGTTTGAGGTGCGTACAGCTGCATAACCCGGATCTACCTGCTGATGGTTATCGACGCGCGGCTGATGGTGCAGTACTTCCAATTCAAGGAGACTCCGGACTCGGTCAAAGCCAAGGGCTTCACCAACCTCCAAGCGTTGACTCCAGGAAGTAAGCTACATTCTCCTCGTCGCTTCTGATTTGGCCGCCAGCTCACACCACAGTGCACGGCTACTCGCTCCTCCGGCCCACACTCAACACCGACTACTTCCATGACCTGTACGACCAGGCCGAGCAATTCGGCATCGAAGTGGAAGGGCACCGTGAGTTCGGGCATCCACTCGTATCTTATGACGAGGCCGATGTTGAGCTCATACACCAGATACGGAGACTGGACCTGGTGTATTCGAGTCTGCTTTGGCCTATACCGACTGTTTACGGATGGCAGATAACGCCTGCCTGTTCAAGCTGCTCGCCAAAAGCGTAGGGATGGGGTATGGGATCATCCCGACATTCATGGCAAAGCCATACACCGATGTGAGCTACACGGGTCTCGAGTTGCGGAGCGACTGAAGCTGATCATACAGATGCCAGGATGTTCAGGGTAAGCTAACATTCGCGCGAAGTCTTCCGCGCCCAAGCTGACGGACGGTAGACATATTCATGTCTCTCTTCGTGACAAGAGCGGGCGGAATAAATTTGCGCTCAACAAGGAAGATAAGGATGGCGGAAAGGGGCGGGCGAGCGCAAAGTATGATGATCTGAAGTATATCTCGCAAGAGGCTGAATGGTTCTTGGGCGGCTTGTTGGAGGGATTGCCTTCAGGTGAGCTTTCAGATGCGTATCTATTCCAAACCGGAACGCTGCAGCTGACCAAGATAGTGATCCCTCTGATGTGCCCGAATATCAACTCCTACAAGCGATTATTAGGCGGAGAGGTGAGCTATCGTGTGACAACCATCCAGGACATGCCAAGCTTATACATCAGGCAATGTGGGCCCCCGATACCGCCTCGTACGGATACGAGTCTCGCGCGGCCTCTATCCGATTGATAGGGCCTCCCGGCGCCCCGGCAGAAGCAACCCGCTTCGAGGTCCGCGTACCAGGAGCCGACGTACGTTTCCCCATACCTACCTCTTCCACCCGCTGACCACCAGATGAACCCCTACTATGCCCTATCGGCCATCTTCGCCCTCGGCCTGCGCGGAATAGCCAACAAGACCGCCGTAACGTACGGCCCAATCGGCTCGGAGGGTGCCAAGCACGACGACCTCCCGCAATTACCCACCAGCCTCGATATGGCCACCAAGGTGTTCAAGGCGTCTGGAAGTATTGCGCGCGAGGTGCTGGGCGATTACTTTGTGGATCATGTGGCGGGTGCAAAGGAACATGAGCTGGATGTCCACCGGAGGGCGGTGACGAACTGGGAAGGTGAGTCTATCTCGATCTCGGGGATGGCCGGTTTCGAGCGAGGATAGAGAGCTGACATGGCAGTGGAGCGATATCTTGAGTTGGTTTAGGCTTCAAGTGGGCATTCGGGGCAGGTTCCGGGCTTGTCAGGCGGAAGATCCGGCGCAGCGGGGATGGCTGTGTACCCGTAAATTCGGGGAGTGACTATGGCAAATCGACACATTTCTTGGTGCACTTTGGTATGCACCGTAGATGATTCTGCGCGTATTGTCACGGCCTGGCTCGTCCCCTCCTGTCCCTGGCCGCTGTCCAGCCCCGTCATCTTGAGAATCCAGATCTGAAACACCAAATTTTCCCCACATTCCTCCTGAGCTGAGATAATTCCGGTGCGGGGTGAAGCTCACAGATCGAAGGGAGGTTGAAAGTTGGCCCCACGCCTTCAGCTGTCCAATCATCATCATCTCAGCTGATAGACCCATCTTCACGCGCCGCGCTCGCTCTTTACCTCGTGGACCTCGACCCGTCTCTCTTTACGCATCACTCCGCGAAGCCTTCTTCACAGCAAATCTTCTCAGCATGGCCGGTATCTTCAAGGCATACACCTCTCTCCTGGCCAGACGGCCGCTGGCCGCTAATGTCGGAACGGCAGCTGTAAGTGTTATCATTACTGCGCGATGATATCGAACTACCCATACTGCCCTATCGCGGAAGACGTTGCTCCGTTGCCAGATCATACATCACTCGTCGAGCAACTTTGGCGAACGTTGGCTGATCCGAGCAGGTCCTTTTCGCGACTGGAGATGTGATCGCGCAGCAGCTCGTCGAAAAGCGAGGGAGCAATCATGATCTCGCACGAACGGGGTAGGTCTACCTTTCCTCCTTCAAGCTTCAAGCCCGAACAGCTAGAACACCGCTGACAAACTTCTTTCCCCTTCATCCAACCTACCACTTCAATCTAACTAAACATCCTGCTGCTCGCGCCGGCTGCTTGTACCCTTTTCTCACTCTTCTTACAACAGCCGGATAGTCCTCTGGGGTGGTGGACTATACGCTCCCTTCGTCACCGGATGGTTCAACGTGCTTCAGCGCGTACAACTCGGGAACAAGTACGCGACCACGGCAGCTAGGGTGGGGTTGGACCAGTTCCTCATTGCCCCTACTGTGCTGAGCGGTGAGTCTCTCACTGGTGTCTCGGAGTTTGCCTCAAGACTGCTGTGACTACGCTCGGTGTAATACAAGGAGGAGCTGACGGTTCAGCCTTCTTCACCGTCATGACCCTCCTCGAAGGGAAGGACATGAATGCCGTCAAGGAGAAGTGGAATGCGGACTTTGTGCCTACGTTGAAGACCAACTGGACAGTGTGAGCTGCATCGTTTCCGACTGGTGGTAGAGTCGACGCCAGGATAGGTTGGGACTCGAGCTGACACCGCTCAGCTGGATACCGTTCCAAGCTATCAACCTGGGTGTAAGTAATGTCTTGCTACTCTACACACGCCGGCCTCGTCCGCGCAACCGTCGTTCTCTCACATCCCCACCATCAGATGAGCCTTGACCCCCTTCTCCACTGCTGATCCAGCAGATCATCCCGCCCCACCTCCGCGTCCTCGCCGTAAACGCAGTCAACGTCCCATGGAACACCTTCCTCTCCCTCCAAGCCGCCAAGGGCAAGGGCGACGAAGTCGAGGTCAAAGTCGGAGACAAGGTCAAGGTGGACGTCAAGAAGCCGCTGAGCGTCTAGAAAAGGGTCTCCGAGGGGGTGCTCAGCTGCCAGGAGTCGGAGGTTGGCGGAATGCGAAAATATGGGTGGAAAGGAGTCATATCTCGGACATTGTATATAGATTGGGAGATCGCTGCGCTGAATGAAAAGCAGGCAGCGTAGCTGGATGTGATGCTCCCTATGGCCGGGGAAAGCTTGCTTCAGGTCAGCAGCAGCATCCACAGGCCCGGCGCAGGCACACCACCCAAATCCACGCACGGATCAGGAGGAATGACGCCGACGACGGACGACGGACAAGGGTATATAAGAGAGGTCCGCCTAAGCTGTCCACTTCGACACTGTACCTCCATAACCTATATAAATCCAGCCCCACCGGCCCTGACAGCCCCTCATCACCACAAAGCTCCAGCTGCATCAACGCCGGACCACTGCACGTCCCATCCACCACTCTACACCAGCATTCCTCACCCTCGCAAGTTGACACCATAAGCATATTGCTACAACTCTCCTATTCGCATAGCAAAGCACCATCGCCTCTTCGGATCATACTCAGATCAGACTCTGGCCAGACACTCACCATGTACCACTCTCGCCGGCCCCGACCCAACATCACGTCCCCTCCACCGACCTCCTCCACCTCTTCCTTCCCTTCCCCCACCGCCTCTCCCGTCCCCGCAGGCGCCGACGACATTCTCTCCCTCTCCCTCCCGCAAGTCCAAGAACGTCTCGCCCGAAACTCCCGCGTACTCAATATCGGTCTCTTTGCCTCTACGCCGGTAGCCCACGTTAGTCCTTCCGCCTCGCCCGTGCCCCCCTCGTCCGGCTCGGTCGGTATACCCACTACGTCGTCGGCTACGAACGCGCAGAGACAGCGGGGCATTCAGTCAGCAGGGACCTCACCGACGGACACGGTCCGTGATCGTCTTCTGGTGGTCCGGCGGCAATTGTTGGAGAGGGAGCGAGAGCTGTTGATGGCGAAGGCGGCGGAAGGGATGGGGGGTCTTCAGCTCAACAATGGGGCGCAGCAGGAACAGGAACGGCAGGCTTCTCCCGTGAGGCAGGTGATGCCGCCTGCTGGACTAAGGGGAGGGGAGGAGGACAGCGAAGAGGATGCAGAGAGCAGCGCTATGGCTGGCAGAAGACGGTCTTCTGCTTCTGCTGCTCGGGCGGCAGCGGCAGCGGCACAGACGAACGGCGGTAGTCTGGCGGGCAAGGCAAGTGGGAAGCGCGCGGCGATGATGAATATCCGGGAGAGGGAGAAGGGGTATGCGCCTAATGGCTTGATCCTGTGAGTCTGCCTTTCTTCTACTTTACAGGAGGAAGATGCTGATTCCCAGACCTGTATCAGAGAGCATAGCCCTCGCTTCCCGGGACTTTGATCATAAAACCGCCTCACGCTTATCCGCACTCTCGCTCAACCCCGCTTCGGCCCAAGCCCAGGCTCACGGTCTCGACATGGGCAACATCCCGCGCGGCTCCTCGTCTCCCAAATCCCGCAGACATCGCGCGCTCGCGTATCCCGATACGTCCCCTCTCCAGTCCACCCGAAACACGGCGGATCCGAACGACGAGATTGCGCGCGCCGAGGCAATGGCGAGGGTCAATGCGTTCATGTCGTACAAGTCTCGCGAAGAGTATGAGGATGGCGATGGGGATGAGGACGGAGAAGGGTTTGATGGGGTAGATGGGGATGGCGTGGATGGGATGTTTGACTTTGAGGAGTTGGATTACCCGGACTCGTCCGCGCTGGATGGGAGGCATGAGAAGGGGAAGAGGCGGGAAAGGGGGACGGGGGAAACGGTGGATGTGTATGGGGAGGATGATGAGCGGTTTGCGGAAGGGAATGGGGATTTTGATAATGATGATGCCGAGGATGGGATGGACTTGTAGCGGGAAGGGAATTACATTGGTCCATAGCATAGCATTAGCATCATCGCCGATATCATTGTGTAGCGACATGCACACAATCAGGTACATTAGATGGTGTATAGCACAAGGACGGGACCATCGAGTCGGTTTGCGCTCTAGTTCGCTCCAGGCTAGTGGTCAAGCAGTGCATCTCACGTCTATACTATCCGTCCGTAACAACTATTTGATCGCAACATATCCTCGTCTGCCCATCAATCCGCTCGCCACTTTGCGACTAGTCTAAAATCGTCAGCTGATAGTGCAACCTCAATCAGACCTGACAACTCACATAGCAGCCTCGTAAGGATATTCGCCTGGGTCGCGCCGATCCGCTTGTACAACTCTGACACCTCCTCCTGCCCAACACCCGAAATATCCGCCATGAGGTACGCAATATCGCCCCTCGAGTCGGAGAATTGCTTCTCAATATTGTGATCCGCCAGGATATTGTTGATGGCACGCAGCACACCCGGCTCATTCCTGTGCAGGTAGCACAAGCGAATATGGCGTTCGTCCGCCGTGGTGATGGCGCGCAAGTCGACCTCTGGGAAGTTGACCGACCCGATAGACGTGCCGTATTGGATATACCGGGAGAGGGCGAGCGAGACCTCGGAGCCGATGGCGCGCTGGGCCTCTTCGGTTGATCCCCCGATATGCGGGGTGAGGATGAGGTTGGGGACTTTCCGAAGCCGAGGGATGAAGCCGCCGAGGGTATCGTCGAATCCGGGACCGTTGGATCCGGGCTCTTTGGGGAAGACGTCGACGGCCGCACCGGCGATCCGTTTCTCTTCGAGCGCGGTAGCGAGCGCGTCAAGGTCGACGACCTTGCCTCGGGCATTGTTGAGGAAGTACGCGCCCGTCTTCATCGCTGCGAATTGCTCCGCGCCCATCATCCCGATAGTATCCGGGATTTCGGGTACGTGGAGTGTGACAAAGTCCGCCCGCCCGAGCAGCTCCTCGAGCGTCTCGACCTGCCGTGCCGAACCGAGGGGCATGATGGGGATGACGTCAAAGTAGATGACGGTCATACCGAATGCCTCGGCGAGGACCGAGAGTTGAGACCCAATGTGCCCATACCCGACGATACCGAGGGTTTTGCCTCGGATCTCCCAGCATCCCTTGGACACCTTGTTCCAGATCCCTTGCCGCATCTCGGAGCTGCGGTCCAGGAGCTGACGGGAGAGGGAGATGATTTCGCCAATGACGAGCTCGGCGACCGAGCGGGAGTTGGAGAAGGGGGAGTTGAAGACCGCGATACCGTGCTTGGCGGCATGGACGAGGTCGACTTGGTTCGTGCCGATACAGAAGCAGCCGATGGCGCGGAGCTACAGGTCAGCTCCGCACAGGAATCACTCCTGGTTTCCTAGCTTACTTGGGGGTTCGCGTCAATGACCCGAGCGGTAATTTTGGTCTTGCTTCGGATACCAACAGCATCGTACTTGGTCAAGCCCTTGATGAGCTCTTCCTCCGACCAAGCCTTGACGACATGGTCGACCTGGACATCAGCTGCGCCCTTTTTCCCAAAACAGCTAGCTCACTTCGTAGCCCGACTTCTTCAAGAACTCGGCAGCATCCAAATTGATATTCTCCAACAACAGCATCCTGGTCTTGCCCTGCCTCTTTGAAGGCGTGTTGGGCCGCTCGCTCTCCTCCTCCCTCAAAGGATAGTCGGCAGGGAGGAATGCCGTCAGTTGCCTCGCAATAGCGGGCATCGCACCCGATGCCGATCTGGCCCGTTGCGAGAAAGGTGAGCCCTGCTTGGGCGATGTCGAGTAGGCATGGTGAGGGGAGGTACCAAGGGTCTGGAGTGGGGAGGCGGGACCGAACGAGGATGGGTGCATGCCGCGGGTGTTGGCGGGGATGGGGATGCTGCGCTGTCAGTTTACGCCAAGGTGGCATGCTGGGTGAGCTTACTGGTTAGGCGGGTCCGAGGCGGACACGGACGGTCTTCGGCCATTTGGGGTGGGGATATTCTGCGCTGCAGACATTTTGTTTTGTGGATGAGTGGGAGTAGACACTTGTTGAGATGACTGCTATATAAGCTGCAAGATGGATGTGTATCGAGTCGATGTTTTGAAGTGAGGTTATAGGAGGTATGAGGTGCTTGCTGCATCATCGACATCGGCGAGATTTCCGAATACCGGCATCTTGATTAGTTTTTGGCATTTACTAATGGAGTATTAATCCGAGAATGTTGATGGATGGTCTGCAAGGTCCAAGAGGGGTGGAGGTCGCTCTATTCATCTACACTTTTGATCAGACACAGTCAGGATGGACTTCCTCCCCCTCCCACAGCTCCCGGCAGCGCCTCGACAACAATCAAGCCTCACTCCTCACTCTCGCCATTTCCACTCCTTCCGCCACCCCCTCTTTATTAAGCATCCCTCGCCCATCACCCATATCCATTTCTGCCCTACACGGCCACACCGCTACGCAGTCAGCTCAGCTACGAGAGTTCTCGTCTATGCGCCAAAAACAGGCAAGGTCGTCAAGACCATCTCGAGGTTCAAGGATACGGCTCGCGGGGCAGAGTTCAGGAAGGATGGAAAGCTTGTGGTAGCGGGAGGGGACGACGGTGTCGTGCAGGTGTTTGACGTATCGAGTAGAGCTATCCTGAGGACAATGAGCGAGCATAATCAGTGAGTAGCTTTAACTGTAAAAGCTGATCTCAGATCCGTTCACGTCACCCACTTCTCCCCACATTCACCACAAATCGTCTCTGCCTCGGACGACCAAAGCATCAAGCTATGGGACCTCTCGACTCAAGCCTGCCTTACTACCCTCACATCACATACGGACTATGTCCGCTCCGCTCTCTTCCACCCTACCAATCCATCACTCCTCCTTTCCGGCGGGTACGACTCGACGTTCCGGGTACACGATGTCCGCCTGCCCCCAGATACCGCCAATACCATCACCATGCGGCATGGCGGTGCACCTATAGAGGACATCCTGGCGTTCCCGAGCGGAGGCGTCGGTATCTCGGTCGGAGGGCCAATACTGAGAGTCTGGGATCTGAACATGGGCAAGTGCGTGCGGGCACTGAGCAATCATCAAAAGACGGTCACCTGCGCTGCGTTTGACGGGAGCAAGGGGCGGGTCTTGACGGGTGGCTTGGATATGATGGTCAAGGTGTATGATGTGGAGGAGTGGAAGGTGGTCCACACTATGCGGTACCCGGCGCCAATCCTCAGCTTGGCGGTATCGGTGAGTTGACCCAAGCATATCATCGGATGAAAGCTCATACTTTAGCCCGACGACACCCACATCGCCGCAGGAATGACCGACGGGACCCTTGCCGTCCGGCGCCGCGACCCCAAAGCAAACGAAGAGGCCGCAGCCGAGGCAAAACAAGCAGCCCTCGCTGGCGGAGCATACGAGTACTTTGCAGAGATGGAGACGGTATTCGGGACGGGGCACGTCAAGGCCAAGGGGAAGGACCTACCGGTGGCGCAAGGACCAGCAGACGAATTTAGGGTGGAGAGTAAGCGCAAAGTCAAGCTCAGGGAGTTTGACCGGTTCTTGAAGGCGTTCAAGTATGGTGCCGCGCTCGATGCGGGGTTGAAGAAGGTATGTCTCTGTATCCATCTACGGAGGACAGGGCTGACTGGTAGACCGTCCGACCGAGCACGACCTTTGCTCTGATTCAAGAGCTGGTCTTCCGGGATGCGCTCAGAGTGGCTCTGTCGAGCCGAGACGAAACCTCGCTTGAGCCCATCCTCTCGTTCTTGGTGAAGTACGTGACGGATCCACGGTTCGGCGAGATTGCCTCCAATGTCGTCAGCGTCATAATAGGTGCGTGCCCTCAACTGGCGAGTACGAAGCTGATATTGCAGATCTGTATACGCCGATACTGGGCCAGACACCCGGGGTCGACGAGCTCCTCGGCAAGATGCAGACGAGGATAGAGAGGGAGTTGGCGTTTGAGAGGGAGTTGGTCAAGCTGCGGGGGGCGCTGGATATGACGTTGTCGCAGGCGGCAATGACGCAGGTGATGGCGGCTTGATCCAGCGAGACGGGTGCAGAGGTGAGTTGAATTAGTTCAGAAACTTTCTACTGGCCTGTCGGCTGATGTCGGCAGTCGCTTCTTGGGTATCTTCTGTTGTATCGAGTAAGGCATGCACGGGCCATGACGCAAAATTTCAGTCGGATCCATCTTCGAAGGCTGGGGCTGCGGCAATCTGACTAAAGCTGAATCTCGTGCGAGCCTCAAGGTACTAATTGAACACGACATCTTTCGCTTTCATACTGAACATGCTGCGGGATCTCCTGACTTGTCGGGAATTGCTGAGCCTTTCAGCAATATGCCTTGATGCCAACAAGGTTGTGACGTGAGACCCGCTCCTGGACCATCTATGACCCCGGGAACAACGCACGTAAATTTTTAGGTAGTAAACGCAGCAGGAGGTCCTAGCCCGTGAGCTCTCATGTCAATGTGTAGGTACTCAGCGTCCTACTGATAGGGCTCGTCAGACCCTGTCACTCCTGGGCGCCAGAGGCATTCGTGCCAGGTTCAATCGAAAATGACCGTCCTCCCGCGAAGTCATTGTCAGCACTGATGCGCCGCAGGAGACCAGTAGCCCTTGCCACTCACGAGAGACATTGGGTGGCTGCGCATTGGGACCCAGACCATCGTCTGGCCAAGACATGTGGTCAAGAAATCGCATTCCAGGTTCACCACACAAAATGGCAGGGCATGCTGACTATAAGACTACTTACAAAGCTGCAACAAGGTGAATACTTTGCGGTCAGTCAACCAAGCCATGATCCAAATCAGGGTTAATCCGGTGAACGCTATCGATGTGGGTCGAAGCAGTATTTCATTGTGAAAGCTGATCATCCGCGACAGTCTGGTCGAGTCCCACTGATAGCGCGCTATGTCAATCTACCATGACGCTCGTGAGCGGCAGATTGACGAGGATGGGAATGCATGGCACAAGGGGTCGCATCAACTGTCTACTCCGCCCCGCCATCTCCGGTCTCCTCCTAAGGTGTCCGCCACGCCTCCACTTCGTGCCACATGGGTACAAGCTCCTTCGGAAGATTCTTGTGCGACTTGACCTCGAACCCCCCCTGGTCGAGCTGTACTCGGGTGATGTCACTGCCGTTCTCGTTGGACCAAAGGTTGCTAACCATGCTGCAGATGTAGTTCCGCAAGTTTGTGGCCTCCGGCCCCCTTGTGTCCTTCAGTCTCGCATCAATCTCATCATCGGCGTAGACAGTCCGGGCGGTAGGTACTCCGTTCCAGGTGATCACGAGTACGTGCTCGCCGATGGAATGGGTGAAGGAGGCGTCAATCAGGGCTTGAGAGGGGTGTGATCGAGTAGAAGAATTGTCGATCTCGGTGCCTTCCGACCGGGACTGACATTGTGTTGTATTGGAAATCGAGGGGAAGAGAGCAGCTTTCTATGATATATGTGTCTGGCGGTCTACTACTCGGCCAACAACGTCCCGACTCCGATCACCGTAAGCTGTGCTAGCTCGCTAAAGACTCCGCTCCCTCGCGGAGTAGTATCCTTTCTGAAAGACAGCGCACACGCGTGTCATCGTCCTGGAACGTGTCTCAGCTGACCTTGGATCGGACTGCCCAGACCTGGCAAGCCAGGCCATTGGAAGCCCTCGCTGACTAACAAAGTCCAGAGCGGAGTTGTCATCACAGCCTGCGACACGTAGCAGGCCGCAGGGGCAACAGAGGCCGTGGCTGCTTTCTCCGCCACTCAGGTGCGCTGTAAGACGGTGCGTGTACTGTACCACGTTCTTTCGCCTGCGAAGCAGCTGGGAAGCTGACATGGTCGGTGTCGCCACCGGGTGGCAGATTTACTAAGATGAGATGCGCCGCTTCGGACAAGTGATAGGTACTGATACGACTAGCGGTGTGAGAGACGCAGTATCCACTTCCGGGCGTACAGCTCAGGGCATTGGTCGCTGAGCTCAAAAGTCCGAGCACCGTCTGAAGTTCATTATGTATCGAGGCTGAGAGAGGAAGAGCAGGATATACATGAATCATACCCAAGTTCCGACCCGCACCAATCGTAGATCCCTAGAGTACTGCGGTCTGCTCTGTTGCCGCTGGTCGGCCTACAGGTCGTGCAGTAGCGGCTGGAGTGCGTCAGGAAGGTCTGAGTGGTATCTGGTTTCGATCTCAATCTGGCGTACTTTGGCGAGTTGCTCAGCGGTAAAGTACTTGTCGATACCGAGGGCATCTTCTTTGAGCCTTTTGCAAATGTAGGTCTTCAAAGAGCGCACAGCATCGATGACGTCCTGCGTGTGCGCAACGCCAACTTCATTTCCCAGCGCCGAGGCTGCCTTGTCGTCGGCGTAGATGGTCAGGGGAATGATGTTGCCCCTGTCAGCGCTTTCGGTCACGTCTCCCGTCAAGTCCACCGCGGAATCTTTGTCCGAAGGATCGGTGGGCTCACCGCACGAGCCGGTCCACCTGACAATGAAGTTGTGGCCCTTCGCCGAGTGTGTGAATGAAGCGTTCAACAAGGCGCGATCCTCAAGCGCCCGGTCCAGCCAAGCTTGGAGGTCGTTGTCAGAGTGGAATGACCAACTTTGAAGGCCCTCGTCTGGCACAGACAACGCTTGGAACGACAGCACGAAATCCTGGAATACGTCGTTCAGCACGCACCGATCGGCCACCGTCGGACCCCTCCTTCTGACGGAACTTATGTCGTCTGATGTCTTCAGCGTATCAGCGCCCGCGACTTGGCTTGGGAATCTGACACCGGTACGACGGCTGAACTCCTCGAGGAGGTCTGAGTAGATGCTGACGTGCCCACCGCGGCGGTCACCGTGGTCTTTCGACCAGATGGCCGCCACGGTGTGCAGGGTCCCATCTCGCGTTTTGAGTGTGAGCGACTGGGGTGGGATGTCGTTGGGAATGGACATTGCTGACAGTATGATGAGCGTAAAAAATGTAGGATGGTGTTGTGAGTAAAGTATCAGACAGTGAGCGCGATTATATGTATACACTGCAAGGCTGTGCTCGGTGTAGACTCCGCCATTCCTACTGTCTCACAGAGACACGTATCATGCTGTCGCTCGTCAGACTTCCTTTGGATCTGCGCGGTCGAGGGTGCGAGCAACTGTTTACGACGCAAGCGGCATTGCAAGTGATACGACAGGTAGCAGCACAGCGGTGAGAGAAAGGATATGCACCCGCCGCCACTTTGTATAACTAGCTTGTGGTCCCCAATAATCGTCGATTCTGCTTGGCATGTATACGCCGGAAGCGAGCGATCAGGTAGCTGCTGCTTCCACTGGTGTGATCGAAAGCGTACATGTGCCGCATAGCACCTGCTACTTACAGACCGCCACATCTTGGCATGCAAATTTGCCACCGCCGAGTCCGAAGACCGGAATCCCAGCAATGTGCCAGAGCAAGACCCATGACATAAGCCATGCTCGATAGTCCATCGCGATACCTTCTTGAAGTGCGCTTCAGGAGGATCTCTAGGATATCCGATGTAAGTTGCCAAAAGATACAGCCTCGCTTCGTAAACTAGACGATGCATTTCCGCCTCTGACCGCTCTATCGCGCCACCCTGTCCCGCGCCACCCTGTCCCGTACTCATCACATCTCATCTTCGGTTGCCGTATCTTCCAGCAGTGTGTCGCACATCCCCTCATACATCTTCTTGAGCGTCGCGGGAAGATTGGCGATGAGCTTCGTCTCGAACCCATTCTCGATGATTCGAGTATTGACCTGGCGTTTCGAGTCTTTGACGTCGTACGGGAGGAAGTGATGAGCCACCATCCCGCTGATGTAGCATATCAATCTGCGCCTGTATCCCTCATCGTCCGATAGTCGGCTCCTCACAGTCTCATCGCGCACGTAGACCGTAGGCTTGGCACCAAGGCCATTCCACGTGATGACGTGGTACTCACGGCCGACTGTGTGTAGAACCGTAGAGCGCCGCAGCCTCATGTCTTGCAGATTTTGTAGGTCCTGGTCCGAATGGAGTGACCAGGAGAGAATGTTCAGCGCATACACTCCTTGACGAGCGAGTGATTCGGTGAACGTTCGGACCGTAGCGCTGATCAGCCTCTCTTGCGCAGACGTGTCACTGGCAAAAGTGTGGAGGTGCGAGAGTATGACCCCGTCGTCTTGGATGGGGTTCACAAGCTGGGCAGTCTGAGTTCCCGAGAGGTGATAGCAGTCGCCAAGAAGCACGCTCGAGTAAACGTTCACATGTCCAGTGAGACTGTTCCAGATCGGCGTCACCACGTGAGGGACTCCTCGAGCAGTCGTGAGGCGGTAGGGAGCTTGCACTTCGTTAGTCGCTGTAGGGTCCATGTTCCTCGAAATCGCCTGACTTTGGGTGATGTGATATGTACAAAGCCCGAAGGAGGGCGTCACTCTTGCGGGCGCCTCGTCAATTGCAGGAACAGCGCTGGGAGATCCTTTGTATCATTCAACAAAGGCGAGCGCCCATTCTAGTTGTGGCAGCGAGCACGTCGTTGACAAAGGTTTACATGTCACTGGCCTGGTGTCGCGCAGGCTCCCGGATGGACACTGGGTCGTCTGATGTTTCAGAATGGGACGGTGAACTCCTCATTCCTTCCGCTCAGACCACTCGATGCAAAAGGCAAAAAACAAAATGATTGGAGTGGGATTCGAACCCACGCCCTTTCGGACTGCGGTTTGGGGGGGTTTTTATTCACCTCCTTAACACAGCACCTTAACCGCTCGGTCATCCAACCGTCGCAATTTGATGCTGAAAATTGGCTCGAAATTACCACATATATTCCACCATGAGCAAAAAACGTCGCGTCGCAGAGGGTCGCGTCTCACGTCCACCGAATTTCCGTCCACCTACACCTATAATCAACAGCCAAGATGGTAAGCCCAAGCAAGACCAACCTGACAGCAGGTGATGTATGGCAACGAATCTACTGCCGCTCCGGCGGCGAGGCAGCAGTTCGAGATGGGTACGTCCAGAGCTTCAGCTACGCTGACGCCAGACTCCGAGTCCGAGGATAGATTCTGCCGCTTCGTCATGAAGATGCCACCGGTGCGTGCGTCGCCTAGCCTAGCTGATCTAGCAGAAAGCTGAAGGCATGGTCCGACTATTCGATCGAGGCGTAAGTGACCCGTCGACCCAGCTGATAGCAGGACTACTTCTCTGCCCACGGCGCCGATGCCCTCCTCGTGGCTCACCAAGTCTACAAAACCACCAATGTCATCAAGTACCTCGGCTCCGGCTCCGCTTCGACCCAAGCAGGCCCCTCATCAGGGCGCGGTCTTCCCTCCGTCCTGATCTCCATGACGCTCACGAAAGCTTTCCTCCGGGAATGCCTCACGACCAAGCAGATGCGGGTGGAGATTTACGAAGCGGAGGAAGGTGCTGCTGGACGCCGCAACAATACTCGCTGGACTCTCGCTCGCTCCGCCAGCCCGGGCAACATCAGTCAGCTGGAGGATCTGCTGTTCAGCCATACCGATCTCGTCGCCAATGCGGTCAGTATGGCAATCAAGCTGCATATGAAGGAGGGGATAAGGACGGTCGGCGTGGCGTTTGTGGACGTGCAGGAGAAGCTGGTGGGCGTGGCGGAGTTTGTCGAGGATGAGAACTTTGGCAATACCGAGGTGAGCGTACCGAAAGCGGAGCTGATAGCAGTCTATGTTGATTCAGCTCGGCGTCAAGGAGTGCATCATGCAGGGGGATGACAAGCGGGCGGACCACGAGTTGACAAAGTTGCGGACGCTTGTCGAGCGGTGCGGCGTCATTGTGACTGAGCGAAAGTCCGGTGAGTCTAAGCTCTGCTCAGAGCTGACCCCTAGCCGACTTCATCCCACGCAGTGTCGAGCAGGACCTGAACCGTCTCCTTGATGAGCGCTACCGCGGTGTCACCCTTCGTATGTCCTTCCTGTACACATTGGCATTTGCTGACCCTTCAGCCGAATTTGAACTCAAACTCGCCATGGCCTCACTCGCCGCACTCATCATCTACCTCTCCCTACTCTCCGACCTCTCCCTCCACGGCAACTTCCGCCTCCACAAGCACGACCTCTCCCAATTCATGAAGCTCGACGCATCGGCTCTGAAGGCGCTCAACCTGATGCCGAACCCGCAGGATGTCGGAGGAGGAAAGAACATGAGTTTGTTCGGACTGCTGGACAAGTGCAAGACGAGTCAGGGGAAAAGACTGCTGCAGAGGTGGTTGAAGCAGCCTCTCGTCAACCTGCACGAGATCAGTAAGCTCCTGAGATCCCAAGTCGTTCACTTAGCTGATGCTTAGCTACTCGCCAGCAAGTCGTCGAGGCATTCTTCGACGACGCGGGAACTCGACGAACGATGCAGGATAGCCACCTCAAGGCCATGCCCGACTTCCACCGGATATCCAAGAAGTTCCACCGCCGGGTCGCATCGCTGGAGGATGTCGTGCGAGTCTACCAGGCGATAGCAGCCGTGAGCTGAAAGACTGCTGTAATGGAGCTTAGCTGACTACCAGCTTTCGCGGATGATAACCAGCCTGGAGGCCATCCGACCCCTCGACCCCGCCGCAACCATTTTGATAGAGGAGAAATACCTCGTTCCCCTCCGAGTACGTCCTGCAACCAGTACCGAGTCCGTTGCTGATATATAGGAACACGCCGAGAAGCTGCAAACCTACACCGACATGGTGGAAGAAACGGTCGACCTTGACGCCATGTCTCGCCACGACTTTATCCTCAAGCCCGAGCTGGATACTGAATTGCAACGTCTCCGGGACGAGCTCTTGGACGTCAAGGATGGTCTGGATGCTGAGCACGACCGGGTGGCGAGTGACCTGAATGTGGAGAAGGACAAGAAGCTGCATTTGGAGAATCACCAGGTGTACAAGTATTCATTTCGGATCACCAAGGCGGTAAGCTTACGCCTTCTCCGCATTGGACCGAGCTGATAAGGCAGGAGGCCGGCTCGATCCGCGGCAAGAAAGGCTACTCGGATCTGGCGACCCAGAAGAGCGGGACGATCTTTACAACGTCCAAGCTGCGCGACCTGAGCGAGAACTATACCCGCTTATCAAAAGAGTACGACGATAAGCAGAGACACCTAGTGAAGGAGGTGGTCAGTATCGCTGCGAGCTATACGCCGGTGTTGGAGGCGCTGGACGACTTGATTGCGGCGGTCGACGTCACAGTCAGGTGAGCTGCGCCTTCACCTGTCTCGACGGTGGCCATAGCTGACGTGCAGCTTCGCTCATGTGGCGGCATCTGCGCCGACAGCGTACGTCAAGCCAAAGTTGTCAGAAAAAGGTGAGCCAGCCTCATGAAGTTGACCCGCTCTAGGCTGACGAGCAGGGACTGGAGACGTGGTGGTCACCGGAGCGAGGCATCCCTGCCTCGAGGTCCAGGAAGATATCGACTTCATCTCGAACGACCATGAGATGCGAAAAGGTCAGCTAGCACCTTTGAGCAATCTGTACAGATGCTGACTTGCCTAGATGCGAGCGAGTTCATTATCCTCACAGGACCAAACATGGGCGGCAAGTCTACCTACATTCGCCAGATCGGCGTCATTGCACTCATGGCCCAAATCGGCAGCTTTGTACCCGCGGACCAGGCTGAACTGCCCATCTTTGACTGTATCCTCGCTCGAGTTGGGGCTGGCGATAGTCAATTGAAGGGAGTCAGTACGTTCATGGCGGAGATGCTGGAGACTGCTACCATCTTGAAGGTGAGTTCTTCGATTTTGGTGGAGGATGAAGCTGATAGTCCAGTCCGCAACGAAAGACTCGTTGATCATCATCGACGAGCTTGGACGCGGGACTTCGACCTACGATGGATTCGGCCTAGCTTGGGCTATCTCAGAGTGAGCCGAGATCTGCGCCCAGAGATACTCTACAGAGCTGAGGCAGCAGACACATCGCTACCAAAATCCGCGCCTTCTGCCTCTTTGCAACCCACTTCCACGAACTCACCACCCTCGACCAGAATCTCGGATACGTCAAGAACCTGCACGTCGAGGCTTTGGTCCAGCAGCGGAAAGGTGAAGACGGAACGATTAGCAAGCAGGAACGGGACATCACACTACTGTACAAGGTCAAAGATGGTGAGTTCCGGCCTGTACATGGCGAAGTAAGCTGATTAAACAGGTATCTGCGACCAAAGTTTCGGTATCCACGTTGCGGAGCTTGCCAACTTCCCGGAGAGCGTGGTCAAGCTTGCCAAGCGGAAAGCGGAAGAGCTCGAGGACTTTGGTGGTGAGCTAACAGTACCACTTTCAAGACCAAAGCTGACTGTGCAGACGGCACATCGGACGACATATTTGCCAAGCATAGCAAGACGGAGACCGACGAGGGGACCGCGCTCATCAAAGAGTTCCTTCACGAGTGGAAGGCCGGCGTGGACGCCACAACAGACGATGGGGACGCCAAAATGGAACTGAGCGAAGAGGAGCAAGTCGAGCAGCTGAGAAGAGTGGCAGAAAAGTACAAGGAGCGGTTTGAAGCGAGCACCTGGATCAGCGATGTGCTTGCCGGTTTCTAAGCATTGTCAAGCTGTACTATAGGCTATAGCCATGCATCAGTCGAGATCTTCCCCATCGTCCATCTCTGGATCCCACTTGACCGCCTCGACCGACTTGATACAGAGCTCGTAGTACCCCTCGACACCCGATGGACTGCCATCCGCCTCAACTGGTCGAGCAATCGGTTGTTCTGCCGCTGAAGGAGCGACCGCTGCTCCGACCCTATGATACCCGCTCCCGTCATTTGGCGCTGGCCGGGCCGGTATGTCCCTCGGTGCCGCCCGTGCCTCTTGTGGCATATCGCTCTTCATCAACTCCTCTAGCTCCGCATCCACCTCGACATCGCCTGCGTCCTTGCCGCCTCGCCACCCGCCCGCACCCATCATCTTAATCTGCGCAGTGAGTGCCTCGCTAGTCGGGGCTGAGGCGTCCTCTGTCGATCGTCCGCCGCCGAGCAGCGCAAAGCCAAGGGTGCGAACCTTGGTGCGCATCATGGGAATCTGCTGCGATGCGGTTTGGCCGGAGTTTGTGAGGACGAACGAGGCGAGAGGAAGGTGTAGTATCGAGAACTTCGGTGGAGGCGGTGATGATGGGTCGAGAGGGGAGGGGGACGAAGTAGCATCAGATGAGGATGGAAGGGGAAGGCGATACTGATACAGGTCAGATCTAATGTGTCAGCTGTGCTCCGCCTGGCGGTCCTCGACCTGATACCACTCAGCTTACCTCACTGGCCCGTCCGTCTGCAGATTGACCACCCATCGATCCCTCCACCCCTCCCATCCCCTATACCCGACGACCACCTTCAAGTGGGTATACAGGCTCATATCCCATGTCTCCTCGCCGAATAGCGTTGGCCGTGTTTTGGTGCGGAACGCCGCATAACCCGTCCGAATCTTCCCTTGATACTGAGGCGGCACAGCAAGTGAGAGGTTGCCATGGAAAGCAGCGTGCGATGTGGTCGTTGAAGAGGGATCAGAGATGGGAGTGAGAGCTGAGGTAGAGAGCCCGCCGATGTCTGCGTCGGAACCGAGCGCGAAGGAGCCAGGATCACTCAGACCACCTGAGGAGGAGGAGCCGGAGGGAGAAGCAAAGGATAAGATGGGGAGAGCCTGAGGATTGCTAGAGATGTCCATGCGCATGACTGCTCGGGTCAGCTCTTGCTCGATCTGCCGGTGTAGTAGAGTCTGGAGCCCACCCTTGGCAGTGTTTTTGCGCAGAATGCCCATGGACCTGTCCATGTATTGCTTGAGTGATGAGGCTGCCATGTTAGTCGTCGTGTTCAAAGGAGCGGGTGGCAGACTGATACGAGTAAGGAGAATGTATAGAGTCAAGCTGCAGCTGAATCGGCCGACATCGACTTCTTAATCGGAAATACACACGGACTTCAATTCCTTACCACTTGGATTACGAGACGATTACAAATTGGTTGTAATCAAGCTTACTGACCATTAGGAAACGCCGACTCCTACCTTTAATGGTATTACCTCGTCATCGGTTAATTGGATTAGCCCTATTTCCTAATGAACGGCCGTATCGCTTGGTTGCAGATCTTGGCTCGGCATCGAAGAAGCTCGAATCTGCAAGTTCCCTGGAATTCCTGGGCGCAACCACGACTCTCCTCTTTATCAGCAACTACTCCATTGCGCTGACCACATCTCTCCCCTCACTACCCGCATCTTCTCCACACCGCCCTCGCGCTCATCGCTATCTCGCAAGCGCGCAATTCGCAGGCGCGCAAAGTCCGAGCAAACGTGTACGGTCGTCTGTCGCGTTACAGTCAACGCGAAGCAAACGCAATCTCCCCTCGATAATCTCGCCGTTTCAACACCTCGGTACTCGTTCCGCTCGAGCCATCGTTTCATATTGACGCCGAATAGTGTCATCCTAGTGTCATCGCTCCACACCCCGCAGTAATCTTTTCGCATTACTGCCGCATCAACGAGAACTCTTCCATCCTCCTTAAACGCAGCAGTAAAACGTCCTATTTGCGGCATTCACAGCGCTCCTTCACAGTCTATCTTCGCGTCTGCTGCAAGGCCATCGGTTGGCGGGCACACGCGGATCTACCCTGGACTGATTGATCCCTCGAACGGAAATCGAAAATCCCTCATCCACCGCTCACTTCCCGCAAAATGTCCTCCCCTCCCTCCATCGAATCCCTCAAACTCTCCTCTTCCTCCCCTACCAAGGCAGACCGCCCGTCCTCTCCCTCTGCCGATGAGGCACCCAACGGTGATGCTCCCACCGAAGCTACCGCCCCATCCTCGGAGAAGCCAACAGAAAATGGAACACCCAATGGCCATTCCGATATTTCCTCCCCTACATCCCTCGTTAACGGCGCTAGTGACGCCAACGGTACAACCACTTCGAAAGATTTCGCAGCCGTTCCGGCCAAATCAAACGGCGCTGCTCCTCCCCCTACCCTCACCACTGCGTCCCGGCCCGCGCCAACAGCTACTGCCTCAACACCAGCGGTACCTGCAGCGCGGGCGCCCATGGCACGACCCGGCGTTGGAGGTGGGAGGGGCGGGATGCAGGCGCCGATGGGAATGAGGGGCCGAGGCGGTCAGCCTATGCAGGCTAGACTGCCACCATCGTTGCAGGCCAAGATGGAGGTGAGCTTACATCTTCGCGTCATCGTCGAGTCTAGCTAATATTATAGGCTGCTGCAGCACGAGGCGGACCCGCTCCTTCTCCTCAGACAGGTATCGCCCCGAATCCTAGCGCAACATCTATGGCCGCCCTTCTCCGCTCGCAAGCGCTCGGGGGCGGAACAGGCGGAGGAGGCGGCGCAGCGGCAGGTCCAGCGGGGATGGCGAATGCTTTGAACCGACCTGGACCCGCATCTGGACCATTGGGTCTGGCTGCTCGGCGGGGACCAGGAGGGATGGCGCGCCCGACGCTGGGGTCAATGGCTACTGCTCCAGGCGGTATGCAGCGGGGACCAGGCGTGGCTGGGCGGAGGATGGGTCCGCCTGGTGGTTTGAACTTGTCGAGTATGGGCGGAGGAGCGGGAGGGGGTGCCAAGGCGGACAACAAGTTCACCGACTTCAACAAGATTATGTGAGTTCAAAGATACGCCGACAATGGTGATAGCCGAGCTCATTCGGTAGGGACCCCTCAGGCTCGCTCAAGTTCTCATCCAAAGCGGTTCTTACCGCCAAGGGAGTGGAGTTCGAGGATGGTGCATCTTTCAAGATCAATATGGACGAGATGGAAATTGTCGGCGAGCTGGGCAAGGGAAATTACGGAAGTGTACAGCAGGTGTACCATCGGCCAAGCGAGATCAACATGGCCATGAAGGTGAGAATTTCTCTCAGTCCGGTATAGGTCCCGGCTAATTTGCAGGAAATCCGTCTCGAACTAGACGAGTCCAAGCTCAACGGTATCATCATGGAGCTCGACGTCCTCCACCGTGCGGTCGCGCCCGAGATTGTTGAGTTCTACGGCGCGTTCACGATCGAGTCCTGCGTCTACTATTGTATGGAGTACATGGACGCGGGATCGCTCGACACGCTTACGGGTGGAGGTGTTCCTCTTGCAGACGCGAAAGCGGAGGAGGGCGAAGAGGGGTGTGCGCTCAGAGTGCCGGAGCCAGTTTTGAGGAGAATCACGGCGGCGATGGTGAGGGGGCTGAAGTTCTTGAAGGATGAGCTGCAGATCATGCACCGAGGTAAGTCCCTTGGCTACAAAAGTGGGAACACTGCTGACGGAGGCAGATGTCAAGCCGACGAACGTGCTAATCAACAAGAAGGGCGAAGTCAAGTTGGTGGACTTCGGTGTATCAGGACAGCTGGAGAAGAGTCTGGCAAAGACAAATATAGGTTGTCAATCCTACATGGCTGTGAGTACTTCTCTCTTCCTCTGCCAGGGCTAGCGCTGATGATGTAGCCCGAGCGTATCAAGGGCGAATCGCAAAACCAACCGTCAACCTATACCGTCTCTTCCGATGTCTGGTCGGTCGGACTGTCCATCATCGAGCTCGCCAAGGGCTGCTACCCCTTCCCCCCTGAAACCTTCGCCAATGTCTTTGCGCAACTACAGGCTATCGTCTATGGTCCTGCACCAACACTGCCACCTGGATACTCGGCCGACGCTCAGGATTTCGTGGCCAAGTGGTGAGCTTTTTTTCCTATTGACGCTTTTTAGATTGGGGAATGAGCTGATTCCCGCCAGTCTCATCAAAGATGCAAATGGCAGACCGACGTACGCGCAGCTCCTGGAGCATCCCTTCCTTGCCGCAGACAAGGATGCCGAGGTGGATATGGCTGGTTGGGTCGCGGAGGCGCTCGAGCGGAGAGCAGCAAGGGGTGTCAAACCACTAGCGATGGTGGAGGCATGATTGGAGGCGTATGAGGGCGACAGGCGGGAAGGATGCGAGGGGGTCGTGCTGGGCAAGATCTGATCTGGGCGCTTTGGGCTTAGTGGTCGACGAGCGAAGTTTGAGGTTATAGAAACTGCTTATAACTGTGTACAAAGACTACGCTATGTGATACACAAATATACGAGTATGAATCAACTTCGAATATGGTCAGAAATGGGATACCGGGCCGAGAGCCTCCTGGCATCCGAGGCTGAAGAGAGTCCGCCGAATGCGCTTGACCCCAGTGGCGACGGCGCCCGTTCGCCCGTTCGATCGTCCCAAAATCCCCGTGTCGACAGGGAACCCCAATCCTCGCCCCAGATCCTGGAAACCAAGCATTATGAGCCTAGCGTTAATGTTGAGTCCATCAGCAAATCTATCATCCCGCTTCGTGCTCGATTCCCCACAATTCTAGTCATGCAACAGATTCATATGGTGTGTATGAACCTGGGTGTACAGCTGCTCGCCCCGTCCAGCCTCCCCAAATATCCCAATAGTCGATATCCGAGTAACCGTCTAGAACCTAAGCTTGGAGAAGACTGATGGGTCAGCTTTGTCTCACAGCAACGCGCTGGACTCGTCAACTCACACCACCTGTTCTGTCCCTTTGCGTACCGCTCCTCCAATGCCTTCTTGATCGCCTTCTTGCTCTCCTCGCGCTGTGTGGGCTCCTTGAAAGTGTCGTTGGTGACCGATCCCTTCAGGGACTCGAGCTCGAGCTGGTAACGGGTGGGGAGGAGGTGGGCGTAGTTGATGACTTTGATGAAAGGCTTGACCTTTGACCGGCGGGCCACCTTCTTCTTGCCCATCGACTTGGTCACTTTCAGGGGGTATCTGCGGATCAGCTTGAACACGAGGGGAACGAAAATGGGCATAACCTACCGCTCAATGCCAGCGACGATGGCGTGGGGGTAGGGACGCTCCTTGGTTCCCTCATCACGCTGCTGGATGACAACCACCTTCTTCCCTGCCTGACGGCCAGAGAGAACCACCGCGACCTTTCCGGGCTTGTAGACTGGCCGAGTCAGCACTTTGCCCCGCCTCGACCGTTCCGCCTCATCCTCCCGCCCGTCTCAATCCATCCATCCTGTCCGCTTCATCCACCCGCTGGTGCGCGCCGTATCCTCCCTCCCTTCCTCCTTCCATATTCCACATGCCACATGACCTTGCTTCCGCCTGCCCCAGTAATCCCCAACGATCCCACAGCTCCAGCATTCGGCTCCCACATAATTTCCGCATTCGCGCGATAAGAGACTATAAACTTACCTGTAGATGTCAGCTACAAATCCCTTACACGTATAAGACTAAAGCTATCCACTCACTTTTGACCATCTGAGAAGGAGAAGCAATTGACAAGTGAGAGTCGAGAGAGAAGGGCTAGATCAGCGATTTGTCCAGTATTTCCCTCGGGTAGTGTCGGCGTAGTGTCGGTATAGAGCAGCTACTCACTGTGCTACCCTAAGAAAAAGTTAGTCTAGACGATGAAAAGAGAGTGAGCGTTGGCTATACTGCACCAGGTCGACACGCAGAGACCACCCAAAACGAGAGCGGAAGCATTTTTGGCTGGGCGAAGGAGCAAAGGTGCCACGAATTTGACGGAGTTTCGGGGTTTTGACGGCGTTATCAGACAGTCCGTGCGTTGGTTTCAGGTTGGTTTCGCTAGGTTTGAGCTTTCCGCATGCGATGCCATTGCTGTATACTACATCATGACACTCAAGCAGGGTAGGATACGTGCACGCCGCGTATATGGCCCACAATAATGCCACTGAAGGTCGCATGATCTATCAAAGGCACCATGTCGATCGCCTACGGCTCACCATCCATCGTAGCGTTCTTGAGTCATATCCCTCACTGGTCCGCTCTGACTCCTGTACATCATGATCGTACTCAAGGAGTCCCTGTGAGGTTCGATTACTGACAGGCGCTGATAGTATACTGCACGGCTGGGTGCATGCCTGTCCTGCGTCATAGAGGCAGAGCTTGAGCCGCTGAAGCGCTCAGCGCGACGCTCTTCATGATCACAGTGACACCCATACCGAGTGCTCAACCCCCTTTACTTTTGCTACTGATCAGAGCTTATAGCCCTCATCACAAAAACGGCCGCACACCTTTACAGGGGCGATGTCGCGCAAAACGCAGGATTCCACTGTCTTGGCATGGAAGGATCCCATACCCCGGCTCTTCCAGGTGTCGAGCAGGCGGGAGGATGCCAGCTGGAATGGCGTTCTGCGAGGGGTGGCTCGCCGACCGGGCCTGAGGGTACAAGGGTACAAGGATGTCGCTGCCATCATGGGAGGAAACCGTTAGAGACACCCGCGAGGCAAATTCTATATGTGCAAGGTAAGCTTGTAGCAGCAGTAGCTCCAGGAGTGTTTCCTCTCCTCCTACAACAGCTTGGGGTCTCGCATACCTAGTCCGTTCGCTCAGCTTGTACGATCCTCCTGCTGCACGATTGCTTCATGCTCTCTTCCTCATCTCGGCCGGGTGGCGATCCGGTGTCGTAATCCGGGGCGGAGGTGCCGAGAAGGGGTGACGCGCGATAAGACCACCTTCGCGCCCCATCATCAGCGCGCATCATACCTTCTACATTATAGTCAGAGATAGCATTAGCTAGCCAGCCCGTCGTCTTCTCTACGCATATATCTGTTCGGCCTAGCTCGACTGAAAGCTCTTATCCAGGCACAGTATCCTCTCGAAACCGCCACCTCCAGCACCGACGCGACTCCGGCCCGTCCGCAGCTGCCAACCTAAACGTCCTAAACCTCGATCGCAATCTCGCTATTTACAAAGCTGTCGTCCCCTTCGACCTCATCATCGCGTCTGATTCAGCATGATCACTAGGATATCTCGGTAGCCTGATCTTGCGTCAGTACAGACCTCTATCGCGGTCGCTCGTAGACCTTCCTCACCCGTTATGTCCGCCATGGACCCGCGCCCGGTCTCATCGGCCTCGAGCAGCATGGTCCAAACACCCTCAAGTAAAGCCGATCAGGTAGTACATCGGGTCTACCTGAAGACGGTGGGCGTGCTGGCGGAATCGCGGTTGACTCAGTCCGCTGGGGAGAAGGCGGGGGAGAGAAAGAAGGACAAATGGGTCGGTCCGGCTTCGCCCCGCTGGTTGATACTTGAGCTTATCTGCTAGTTCAACTTGATCATGCCAGAGTTTGACCTTCATCGACAGGATCTCCGCACGTACCAATCCATCTCGAGCTATCCCTCCCCTCCTGAAGGATCCTCCTCGGCTATACCACCACTCCTTATCGCCTTCATACTCGATACGAGCGAGCTACCGAGCGGACAAGCGCTTCTGTGGAACCGAGCGAGTGGAAGAGTGACGCTGAATGCGGGACTGAACGGGAGTGGGAAAGCCAAGGAGAGGGAGACAGATCTGAAGTCGGGCATCGTACTCGAGCGATGGACATTCAAGGCATCGTAAGTAGTTTGACTGCGCAGAGGAGTCAAGCTAATCATCAGACTACCTACCTTCTCCGACCCATCGTCTTCACAGCAGCCCGCGCCGCAGGCTTATCGTCTCGGTATCATTCACTTTCGCGCCCTGTACGCCCTCGTCCGCCTCCTTCCCGCATACCGCCTCTTCCGCCGGTTACGGCGGACCAATACTGGCCTGAAGCTTGGCCTCAAGCTCTGGAGTCCAGATGGCACGGGCGACGATTCAGAGTCAATCAGACAAGCATGGGAGGTGATGGAGCGGGGCCTAGTAGGGATCGACGACGGCCTGGAAGATCTGGCGTCCACACAAGCGTCAAGAGAGGAGGAGCGCAGATCCTACACGCTTCCGCCGCTCGAGATGTTCGGGCTGGAGTACTCCTTGGAGGTGGACTATCGCTCCGAGGTGGACTTCCATGTAGAGGACCTCGAGGCGGTCTTGAGCGGGAAGCTTGCTGGGATGGAGGATGACTTTCCGCCTACGGTCGGCAAACATCGGGCGGATGATGAGACTCGCTCCCCGGCATCCGCGTCGACCGGCTCGAGTATCCCAACTGGACATGATCTCGAAATGAGCGGTCTCGAGCGGCCAGAGCGGCGGCTCAGCGGTCCGGTCCCTGTACAAAGCGCTTCTTCCAATCCCAGTCCGATTCCCCTTCGGCAGGGTCCGGCTAGCGTCGGATCATTCAAGGGGACCTTAGGGAGACCGGCGAGCACGCGTGTACCCTCTGGGCTGGGCGCGGGCAAAGAGGGGAATACGCCGGGTAGTATCGGGAGATGGGGAGCGTTGGGAGAGGGTCTGCCGTTTGCGCAGGGCGCTGTCTCAAGGAGTCCGGGCTACGTCGGTACTCCTGACCCTCAACCCATTGCCACTGATACTGCCCGGCGCCTCTCCGGCCACTCCATTCACACCCCCTCGCAACCCTCATGCCTACTCCGCCCAGGGATCTCGTCACAGGCATCTCTGCCCATGCGTCCCTCGCTGAGTGGCTCCAAACCGTCTTCCATTGGGCGCACCTCGTCCTTCTTGTCCCAGGCAGGCCGGTCGCATACCCATGCACAGCTAGCCACTATCGGCCAGCGTATCGCTCAACCTGTTCCCATCTCCAGCTCCACGTCACCCCCCATCCCCGGAACGACCTCCAAGATGTCTATACTATCGAATGACCCCGGCGCGGGATCGGTGTCGCCCACAGGCTTCAGCTTCAGCAAGCAGCCCATCCCCCGCAGCTTGACCGGCCGACCTCCCTTCGCTAGTCACACCTCCAGCCCCTTCGCACCGGGCAGCCTGGAGCGGAGCGCGGATCCGAGCCAATCAAGCTCCGTCCTTCCCGGCACGTCGATGCCTCGGTACTCGTCCTACTCAGCACGCCGGGATCGCCTGGCGGGCAGCCCTTCGGCTGTCGTCGGCTCCCAGGGCTCAAGCGGGGAGGGTACGAGCCAGCAATCCAACCCGAGCATGCTACGCCGATCGTCCATGCGGACATCGTATGAGGCGGGTCTCAAGCGTAGCCTGGAGAATAGCGGGAGCGGCAGTGGAAGCGGAGGTGGAAGCGGATTGGCGAGAATTGTTGCGGAAGATTCAGAGGACATCCAGGCGTTCCTCAAAACGCTAGATGCGCTACCTCAACCGCCAAGTATGGCGGCGCAGGCGGTACATACCAGTCGATCCCACCTGCCCGGTACACCATCTTCCCTATCCAGTCCAACTCGTCCGGCAGTCTCCCCGCCACCAGCTGCAGGCAGCTCCGCGCGGGTCACCCCTCCGCCAGCGCGGACACCCACAACGAGAGCGCAAATCGATGCTCAACTACGTCAAATGGCCGGCAACTTCCAGCAGAGCTCTGTCATCGCCGAAATTCCTGCTTCTATCCGGCCTGCCCCAGTTGCGGTCGGCAGCACCAACTCGATCGGTCTGCTCTCTGCCAGTCGTCCCTCCACTGCTTCTCGCGGTATGTCTCAGCCCATTCCTCCGAATCCGGGTTTGTATCGTCGGACCCCTTCCACTCCCGGTCCCAGTGCTGTCCACGGCGGCTCTCCCCTTGCCCGCGATGCAAGCCAAGGGCCGGGCCTGCCGGTCAGAGTACTCGATCCGCTACCGCACTCGGTCGTCCGGAAGCCATCCGCCCGGTCACTGCCTGGCCCCAATGCGATCCAGCAACAACAGGAAGAAGATGCATCGCAACTACGCTCAGCCGGCATCACTATCCCTAGCAGTAACCTCAACCTCCTCTCTCCCCAAACTACGGGCGGAACAAACGATACCGTCTCCACATCTACTTCGGGTCGGTCTCGACGAGGTCGCGGACCCGTCCTCCTGCGTGGCGGCTTTGGCGAGCCCAAGGTGGACCGGGACCGCACTCCAGGCTCATACGCATACGCAAAGTCCAGCGTATCGAGCAGCCCCAGCCATTCGCCCGTGCGCGACTTTGGCCGCCTGACTCTCGTCCAGCGCGAGAGGGAGCAGAGGGCCGTCCCCGGCGCTGGGGTAGGATATGGGGAGCGGCAGGCGGAAGAAGAGCTGGACTCGTGGAGTCGATCAGCGGCTGGGATGGGCATGACAGCTGTTGGCGTGAGACATGGGTATACAGGCTATACGGGACCTGGCGTAGTGCCGCAGGGGAAGACGGAGCAGGACAAGTCAAGGGCGAGAGTTGGATTGGGCACGGCGCCGAGTAGCTATGTCGGGGCTCGAGAGGAGGATGGGGAAGACGCAAAGGCGAGGGATGGTAGAGGGCGGCAGGGAAGGGTGAAGAGTGATGGGGAGGAGGAGTATCTGAGGGAGAGGTGATACAGGATCGTAGTGGGATTTCGGGCTTTTGGAGTGTGTATAATGGTTGAGAGACATAGAATTGGTCGATGTAATATCTACCATGCTGACGTGCCTCGTACGGATGACTGGTTGGAGGCTTCAATCTCCTAGCATACTTAGCGCTATCACCCCGAGGCCATCATACCGCGCGCGGGCGGACTCCAAACCCGATGACGTAATGTGTTTCAAAGTGTTTCAGGTATTCGCAGTGGCGCAAAATGGCGTGATCCACTCCGTTGATATCACCTTTGAACCGCCGAATTGTCATCCCGCTGATGGCGGCATGACGGCGTGCTCGCACATTCCTCGAACCCCTCGGCGTCAAGTATCTGGAATGATTGTGTTTGTTATCTATTCCAGATTCTCCCTCCTCTTCGTATTCTTTGATCGCCTCCACCTCTCACGTCCAAGTCCGAAACTCAAAGCGCTATCTTATCGGTGGATCTTGGAAGGGTGATATGCCGCTAGGTCGACCTGGTCATGCTGCTGCAGAAGAAACAGCGCGGAGGGCTACAGGGTCGGCGAGTCGAGGTCGACCAGGCGCTGCTGTAGATGCCGGTCAGGCGGGTGGTAGTGCTGAGGGACAAAGGGAAGCGCCGGTGTCGGCGGCGCAGAACGCGGAGGTGGACTGGGACGCTATATTTCGGACCATAGGGGATCAGTCGGTGCCAACAAATGAGGCTGGGCAGGGACATAGATACTCGGAGGGAACGGTCTCCCGGGCATACGATTTGCCTGAGCATTTGGGTCCAGGGGGCTCGTCCCTCCTGCCGCGGCGAGGTCCAGAACGCGGGCAAGGTGGACTAAGCCGCGCATCTGGAGCCTGGCCTGCCGACTTTCTCTCATCAGATCCGAGCGGCAACGGACTGATGAGCCCATTTGCCACAGGCGCGGCCCAAGGACCCGTCCCTTCCTCCCGAGGCGGCACCCCTCCCCGCGGCCCGTTACATCGGAGCTCTTCCTACCCCTTCCATCAAGACCCCTTCAGCTTCGACCAGCCTAATGATCATCTATCCCGATCCCGCGGCTTTCCCTCGGAGCCATCGGGTAGCTTCGACATGCCGCCTCCTCCGCCACCACTACAGCATCTTGCCGGCTATTCCGAGCCCATGTCTTTCGCCTCGTCCTCATCCTCCGCTGCTTCCTCCCAGCACAACCTCCATACTCAGCTGGCGGCGTATACGTCCACACCCCTCGCTTCCCCCGCCCAGGAAGCTTGGGACTATATGTCTCGGTGGGGTGGCGGCGGACATGCCAATCAGGCGGAAGCTGAACCAAGCGGGCGACGGCATACGCTGTCTCATGCGCAATCGGGTAAGTATTACCTGACAAAAAGGACGACCTTGACTGAACTCTACAGCTCAACCAGGCGGACAAGTGTCACAAACCGTCTCTCCCGCAGCAACGCCGCTCTCAAATCCTGCGTCCGGCGAAGACTCGGAGGACAAGCGAGTCCGTAATACCGTCGCTTGTGAGTACCCGCCTCAACGTCTCGAAACATGATGATCTAACAGTCTAGCGGCGAAGTTCCGGGCAAAGAAGAAAGCACAGGTGGCGAATGTACAACGTACTATCACCGACCTTGAGTCGCAGCAGGCGAGTCTCGAGGCGGATGTGGCGAGTCTCAAGCGGGAAAATGGGCTGCTAAGGGTCAGTCATCGTGTTAGTCTGTATCACCGAGCCTGCAGCTGATCAAGCAGGAGATGGTACAGCTCAAGTTTGGGACGAAGATATCGGACAATTGAGGGTCAGAAGGGCAGCATCAGTAACGAACCTAGAGAATAGAAATAGATGAGTTCAACAGAGATATACCTGCAAGATTTCCACAGATGTTCTAAATAGATAAGCCCAATTCCGTGCCCACCAGCTCCAGGCATCGCCTCGCTAGATCCCTTCCCGTAACCTCCAGCAGATCTCCCCCGTCCCCAGCGCTCGTTGCCGCCTCTTCCGCTACATTCAGATAACCGTCGCCTACAGCTTCCCCATTGACCATGTCCACGGGGCCTCCATCCGCCGGTGTACAGAACAAGTGCCTATGCTCGTCGGGCAGTAGCCACATGCTCGGCATAGGTCCAGTAGAGAAGGACAGCTCGAGGAGTAAAGGGTACAGAACGAAGAGATGAGCCCGAGCGGATGTGGTAGTGGCAGAACGTAGTAGTGGGGAAGCTAAAGACGTCAGCTTGAATGGTCTGTTGAGACTTCCGGAATCTCACCAGTCTCGACGGGGTCCAGAGTACCTGGCGCTATGCGCAGCGTAACCAGATGTCGCAAGATATACATGAGCTCCTCCTCGCGTACCCTGTACAATCAGCGTCGAGAGTCTCAGTCAAACCCACTTCTTGGTGACTCACCTGGGAAATGGCAGGTTGCCCCTCAACTTCGCATCCTCCAAGAACTCCCTGAGAGCCAATCCGACCCGCTTCATCAATGCCGCCAAACACGCCCTCGCCACCGACGCCCCCGTCTCCTTCGCTTTCCCCTTGCCGTGCCCTCCGCTTCCTGACGATCCCGCTATGAGCGCCTCGAAAGCCCAGTATCGCATTGCCTCCTGCTCATACGCCACGACAGGCGCCGTCGTACCCCTCCCTACCCCACGTCGTTCATGATGATATAGCAGACTAGCCTTCCTTAGTGTCTCGGCGAAGTGGTTCCGTATCCTGGCGGGAACCGCCTCATTCCCCAGTCTAGGGTTGATGGCTGCGAACAGTCTTTTGAGTAGGGGGAGAATGAACTGCTCGTCCTCGTCCAATGTCCCGGTCATATCGGAGGCTTCCGCGAGTAGAGTACCCGCAAAGAGTTCCATGACCAAAGTCCATATCGTTTCAGTCTGCTCCGCGGGGACGGCCGAGGTGTCGAGAGTACGTAAAGCCGCCTCGACGATGGGCGTAATGGTGGATAGCGCGGTACGCCACAAGGGAGGGTCGTTACCGAACTTGCTAGGCGCAGGACAGTCGTATTTGAGCTTGACAGGGATGAGGAGCGCGCCGAGTACCGCCTGGACCGTCCCGTCCTCGTATATCCGCCTATCCCCTGTTGCCCTCGCAAATACCTCGCCGGTCTTTGGCATGCAGTACTTTGCCAGCGCGACATACGTCAAGCGCCCACTGGTCGACCCCTCGGCGGCAAAAGCGAGCGAGGCGAACTCCGCCAGATCCGAGAGGATAAGGCTGTTCCCTAGCTTCGACGAGGATGCGACCAGCTCAGCAATGATCTGCTGCAGCGGAGACATCATGTCCACGTCGAGACGATACTCGGGGGATCGCGAGTAGCTCATGATCCCTCGGAGTATGTCGGAGAATCGCGCTAGACGCTGCGCCTCCCATGTCATCTGCTGATGCAGCGAGGTGGCGACTTTGCCAAAGACGACGAGCGTTTCCTGGGTGAATGGCTCGGCCGAATCGAGAGCGGCCGACATGTCCGCAAAGCAGGACCAGGTGGCGTCGAGAACGCCAGACACCGCAGATGGACGCTGGGAGCGCAAAGAGTCGATAGCGAGGAGGATCCGATCAAGAGCTTTGAGCGCGGCGGTACAGCATGCTCGATGCTCGACCGTAAATGACCGAAGGAAGACGGAGAGGAGTTGGCGATATGACTTCTCAAAGTCCGGCAGGTCGGCCAGCTGCGGCAAGAAGGAGCTGAAGATGGTGCCCACCGACGTGAGGGCGAGGTCTTGCGACTCGTCCGGGCGGACCGTTTCCAGAAGCGGAAAGACGATCTTTCCCAGCACCTCGGCCCACATCTCCGCATCCAGCGCCGTCCCGTATATCTCCAGACACCTAAACAGCGTCTGCATCGCCCCACTCCGCACCTCCAGCCGATCATCCCTGCTGAGCTCGAGCAGCTCGCAGAAGAGGTACAGCCAGAGCTCCTTGGACGTCGCCTGGACCGCATCCGATACGTTCCACATCAGCCCAATCGAGGCTAGCGAGATGTTGACCGCTTCCTTTTGCGAGCCGAACCGTCCGAGGCAGGCTATACAGCTCCGCATGGCATCTGGGTCGAGGGAAGAGAGGAAGTCGGTGCAGATGAGGTTGATGGCGGGGAAGGCGATTCGGACGAGGTTCGCATCGCCTTTGGAAAAGATCGAGGGACGGGTGGTTTGAGAGGTATGGACCGATAGGACTGAAAGCTTGGAGTCGGACCGCTTCATAGCTGCATTTGGTTCCTTGCATACCGAATTGAGCATGTCGAAGATGGTCTGCCACCCGACCTCAAGTGAATGGCCGGACGACTCGAGGATCTGGTTGAGGGTTTGGAAACCGGCCGACCGCACCTCATAGTCGGTTGACGGGGCATGGCTGACGGGATGGACAGCCACCTGCTGCTCCAGCACTTGGAACACCTGGTGCTGAACCCTCCCCTCCCTTGCTGTACGCATCGCCGCCGTCAACAGCTCGCCTAGGGCATCTGTCGCTTGCAGCCGGATATTGGACGGAGCGGTGGCATGGCGAGAGATGAGGATAAGATGCCGAGTGATGATGTCCCATCCGATAGCGGGATCGCTAGTGATGAGCCGGGATAGGTTGGCGGTCGCGACCGCCCGAAGCTTTGTCAAGCTGAATGACCGCTCGTTGGACTTCATGCTGTTTGACACCTGCAGCCCGCTGGCTCGGCGCCGATTATTGTCCGCCGGGGAGAGCATGAAGGACGGGCTCTTTGGCGTCGATGGAACGGAGGACTCGTTGTACTCCACCGACGCCACCGATGCCTCTGTGCCCATCATCTCCGAGCCCAGCTTGCAGAGGGCCGTGACGAACGTCGAGAACGCCTCATCGTCCAGGTCCCGCGTCCCGTCAAAGAGCGCACTGATGTTGGTCTGCAGTGACTCCGTGTCTAGATCGGTAAAGGCGTCTGGCCGATCTCCGACTTCTGCTGAAGGCCGAGCTTTCGATGGAGATCCGCCGATGATCGGAGAGGACATGATGGGTCGCCGGGCCGGAGCCGACTTCCGCCCCATGAGGAAGTTGGCGTTCTGGAGTACCTCGAGGACGTCATGCCATGCCTCGCTCAGCGAAGAGGACAGCGTGCGGGCGATGGTGACCACGCTCTTGAAGCAGGCGAGGTTCCGCTCTGATAGGCTGGGAGGACCAGCCGGACCGCCCCCGCCCAGCGCAGTCAAACCGAGCGCCTCGGCGCCCGTCACACTGCCGTTCCGACCCGATCCTTCCGCGTAGGATTGCATAGCCGATACGACCGGTGCGGGAACCGCATACTTGCCGAGCGTGGACAGAAAGGCGTCCCGTGGGGAGTTGAGACCGAGGAGGCCGCAAGCGATGGTGAAGTTTTGAAAGGAGGAGATGAGCTCGGCAAAGACGGTGTCCGAGAGGTTGGTGGCGACGCAGAATGACAGAGCGGCGAGGAGGGCAGGCCACGCTGAGTCAGCCATGGAGCGGACCGAGTCGAGGGATCCGGTATCCTGAGCAACAGTGTGATAGATGCCTTCCGCGATCGACATGAGGGATTGTAGGGCGAGGAGATAGGGGTATGTTTCGGGTGTGGGGGGAGCTTCTGCCTTGTCGTGTTGCTCGATCCTGCGAGTCAGCCTTGATCGGAGCTCCTGATGTAATGCTCACAATCGCTGCTTTACGCCCGAATGCTGACCCAGCCCGCTCCCGGCTGATCCCATCATTGAGCTGACCGTCGACACCCCTACACTTGCAGCCGCCGACACCATTCCCAGCCCCATATCAAAATAGCCGGAGCTGTTGGATGCCTCGCTGGGTATGTCCAGCCCGTGTATGTCCGCCGAGACACCCATGAGAGCCGGCTTCTCGTTGACGAGGTGTGACAAGGCAGCGATGAGGCGAGCGAAGATCATGGGTTTGCCGACGTCGCGGGTGTCGTACAGCTCAAACAGCTTTTGAAGAAGGGATGGATCGCCGCAGATGCTGAAATGTCAGCTGATAGTTCGGCCTCATGAGGTCAACGTACCCTCGAAGAACCTCCAATGATAGCACCCGCTGATACGAGACCGCCACCTCCTTCTTGACCGGTTCTTCGCCGTCCATGTCCCCTGCCCCAACCCGTAAGAGCAGGATCAAGAACGCCTCAACTTCGGGTTGCAGTTGTTCGGCATAGTAACGGAGGAGGAGGAAGATGAGTCGGAACACCCTCAGAGCGACTGGGAAAGTCGGCTTTTCCGCTTGGAGCTTGAGCAGTAACGGGGAGAGGGAATTCTGTAAGAGGAAGATGAGCTCCGGATGCTGCTTCGTTAGCCCAATCCCTTCGAGACAAGTGAGACACGCACTTCTTTGATCTCCTTCTCGTATCCTCCCAGTATACTTTCAATCAACTCCAGCCCGAACGTCCGCTGCAGACTCCCCAGCTTCAATATCCTTGGCTTTTCCTTCTCGCCGCCGCCCCAAAGACTCATACCTCCCGCCGAAGTGGCAGTATGCAGACAGAGGTCCGAGAGAACATTGTAAGCGTCGAGCGCCGAAGCCGAGACGGCGTATTCGGTGGGCGGATCTGTCGGCAGCGATAGGGGTGTATCGTCCAGCTCCTGCGAGTCGGCGGAGATACGATCAAAGACGAGCATGACAGCTTGGCGAAGGGTCGCTGCAGCAGTCGAGGAAACAACCGAGACTCGAGATTCTTGCAGCTTGAAGCAAAGAAGCAGAGCCTGTTGGTCAGTATATGCCAACAAGTGGGATAGGGAGAAGGTTCACAATGCCAAGCACGTCATCGTGAATATCCTTGTTGTAGGTCAAGATACTCAAGAGAGCTTGTAGGATCTTGAGCTGGATGTCGACCGCTTGATTCGAGACGCTAGCGAGAGTTTGCAAAACAGGCGGGAGATCAGGCTATCTTGATCAGCTTGCCCGCCGAAAATGAATCTTGCCGGCGTTGATATTATGGCGCCCACCTTGCTACCTCCAGGACAGGCACTCACCGTTGGTACACCACCCAGTGAGACCAGCCTCTGAAGCGCCGCTATACTTATTCCCACTATCTTTGCAACCTTCGTCTTGCATCCGAGCGTAATCGGCTTGAGCAGCTCCTCCGCATGACCTGGGTATCAGCCATGCCCTTGGCTTCACACAGCGGATTCGACTGACTGATGAGTGTCTCCCTTGGGACAGGACCGCTCTTCAGTAGCTCCAGGGCATTCTCTCCAGCCTGAGATCTGTCAGCTCCTGCTGCGCCAGCGTCAAGCCCTCGCCAAGACTCACATCCTTGACATCAGGATACCTCCGCTTGCTCTCGACAATCAACGCCTGCAGCTCCGAAACCAGCAGATTGTGGTCCTAACAAATTAGCTCTACGCCTCCCCGACCCTTTTCCTGAGGCGTGAGGCTCACCATGATTGGGCCGGGCGCTATTCTACACCCATCTAGAGTCAGATAGAGAGGTACTTGGTCAAAGACGGAGATGTTGAAGCTGAAACCGACTGCCAGATCTCAAACGCGTCCTCTCGTAAAGGGGGTTGGGGACGTGTCCATGATCAGTCCGCGTCTGAACCCCTCATTACCGCAGGAGTCGGACATCTATGCACATCATACACAACGACAGAGCCTACACCCAGCACAGCTCCGCCGGTGGAAGACACACAGGGACACTGCTTACCGCGCACGTTGTCTCCATCAAGACAACATGTCTTGATCGGAGAAGAGAAGGATAAAGGAGTAGACTGAGCCTTGCTTCGTCTCACCTTGCCACTCCGCCGTCAAGATGGACTACTTCAGCTCTCAGTACGACGACTATCGGCTTGAGGGAGCCATTGGTGAGATACCAGCGCCATGTCAAGGACGGAGAGCTGATTTCCAGGATTCGGAGCGGCGTCCATCGTTTACGCTGCTGTCCATCTCCGTTCTGCTCCCCTCGACGAACACCGCAGTCTTTCCCGACAACAGTCGCTCTGCGCCATCAAGATATCCAGTCGGCATCCTGATCTAGAACAATGGCTGGAAGAGATCCGGATTCTTAGCTCCTGCAGGCACCCAAACGTTCTCCAGTGAGGCGGATCACCGAGAATGCGATGAACCGTGCCTGTGAGCTGACGGCCAGGATTCATGCGGCTTTCAGTCTACCGCCCGACCACGCCAAGGTCGCCATCGTCACCCCATACATCGCCGGTGGCTCCCTCTGGAGCTTGATGGCATGGCGAGCGGGTCTCCCGTCCGCTGATCAGCCGACCGGGCTGTTCCGAGCCCTATCCAGGCGAGACACAGCAGGCGCGGTCTCGTCGAGCTCAAGGGGCAGACTCGACGAGGAAGAGGTCAAAGCTGTGCTCAAGCAGGTACTAAGCGGCTTGAGGTACCTACACGGACAGGGGATTGTTCACGTACGTTCTCCTGGACCATTCTTGGGAGATTTGCTTATACGCCCAGCGGGACGTCAAGGCTGGTAATATCCTGGTTGATGCGGATGGGACGGTCCTGCTAGCCGATCTGGGAGTCGGAACGCGAATCAGTCAGGACAAAGGGTCACCCGTCGGCCTGGCAGGTAGTGTGAGTTCAGGGGACATTATGGCCACGCTGCAGCATGCAGCTGACACCGACAGCCTTGCTGGATGGCTCCAGAAGTTATCATCGGTAGCGCTTGGAACCAGAACCCCGATATCTGGAGTCTGGGGATCACACTCATCGGTACATCTTTCCGCCTCAGCATTTGTATGTCATCCCGCTGATCGTCCAGAGCTATCGACAGGCTCAGCCCCGCATTCGCATCTCCCGCCAGCGAAGGTTCTTACCCAAATTGTGATAAGCGCAGCTCCTGCCTTATCTTCGTCCGCCGACACCAGCAGGCTCTACCAGTCCTTCTTGAGCAGCTGTCTCGTCAAGGACCCCAGAGAACGGTGGGACGCGACTCAGCTGGAGCAGCACGCCTTTCTGCGAAATGCTAGGAAACCTGCGTGGCTCGCCGAGGCGTTGTTGAAGGGCGTCCCATCCTTAGTACACCGGCAAGAGATCCGTGAGTAACAGCTGGACACGCCTTGTCCTCCGCTGATTACCAGGTCGTAAGCCATCCTCCCAGTCACTTGTTAGCCTCGCTTCATCCTGGGACTTCAATGCCACTCCTCGCGGCTCGGCGTTTCCATCCCCTGTCACCAAACCCCATCGCCTCCCTCGTTCTCCGTCAGCATCAACATCGCTGTCTGAGCGATCTCAACTATTCACGGTCCCGCGCCGACGAAGGAGGTCACCATCCAGGTCGTCTATCGGCTACTCGGTCCCCCCGTCGCCTGACGCCTCGCTTTCGGTATCCCGCGCAAGCTGGGCTGTGGCAGATGAACCTGGAGGCGGCATGGAAGGGATGAGAGCCAGGAGCACGCCGGGGCGAAAGCGGACAACCAGCCTGACTGCTTCCCCGAGGCGCTCAATGCGGGGCGGACGTTTGCCGTTGCCGACATCATATCTCTCCAACCACCAACAACGTCCCGGAGATGACCCCTTCAATTTGCCGCCGGCCGACCTCGACATGAGTCTGGCAATGTCGATACCCATGGCGCCATCTATCAGCTCCATTTCGGCAGACACCGATCCCCGACCTGTCACTCCGCCTCCAGCCAGAGACGCCAAGCCAGACGTGATAGTCCAAGCGGTCGCCATGTCCTCGTCACCCGAGAAGGAGCGGAAGGGGTTGTTTCGGAGGAGATGGAGCGTCAAGGGCGGGAAGGACGAGGACGAGTCACGGATCGTGCGGACGCTGAGAGGTATTCGGGGCCGATAGATGTAAGAGAACCAGTATAAAAACAGTGTAGCTGTCGGATCTGGCTGTTCGCATTTAGCTATTAGAACCCAGCGATATATCGCGCGCCGATACTGGTCAGTCCACGCGAGCCGTGACAGTGAGATGCAGTATCTGCGAGCATGATATGGTACATGTAGGGAACATCTACTAGGGCGCAGGAGCAATCTATGATCATTAGCAGGGGTTCCGGTATAGTCACTGTGCAGATCGCAGACCCACCATAATCACACCGTCGCCTCGAACGAACAGCATCTCCACTTCCCTCTTTTCCACCTGCATCGAGTCAGCTACGGACCAGCCTCGGATAGGTACACAGTCCCCGCTGAACCTCTGTGTAACTCACTCTTGGTGGTAACGCCTGTCCATCATCCGTCACATCCACAATATGTATCGATTCTTCCGCTTGGGACATGACGAGGTTCATGTGCGCGTCGTATGCCTGTCTTGTCAGCTTTGGCGTTGTCACTCACTCCGTCATCTCAAGCTGAGTTATGGAGAGACTCAAACTTACATGTAGGATACCAGTGACTGTGCGTTCGCCTCGAAGCTTGATGAACACCCTCCTGAACCTATCAGCGTCGCCCTTTCTGGCATACAGGGTCAGCCACGACGGGGACACATACTCTCCAAGCGCAAGCTTAACGAGGTCGAGCGGTTCTGCCAGTGTTGAGTTGGCGAGTTGGTCCATCTTGTAGCGTCTGAGTAGAGAGGGACGGGAAAGAGGAAGAAGCTGAAGCAAGTCGGTCGCTGGCGAGCAAGCATGGTGATTTCTTTCCAACGGAAGAAGCGTTGAGGAATGTGTATCAAAAGTCACAAGTCTCGGACGATCTGCTCTTGAACGTTGACTTCTGACCTCACCTAGCCAGTATCCTCCCGCGGCACACTCATCGTCTAGAAAATGGTAGCTTCCGACGATAACCGAATGATAGTCGTTGTGACAGGTGCCAATACGTGAGCTCTCCCAGCGACACTCGTCCCATGTGCCTGGATTCAGCTGATCCCCTCAGCGGTATCGGCCTAGGCATCTGTCATCGGCTCCTCTCCTCCCTCTCCCTCCCGCTCGACCAAGCCATCACTGAGGCTACACCCCAAAGCTCCGCTTTTGCGCCTTCTCACCAGCGATCAGCTGGGCTCAGCTCGAGCAGCAGCAGCCAGAGGACCGAGCTCACACTCACGCTCATCCTGGCCTGTCGATCGCTCAAGAAGGCGGAGGTTGCCAAGGAGGCTTTACTGGAGAGGCATTTGAGAGTGTTGGAGAAGAGGAGAGGGAAGGGGCTAGTCGTTCCGAAAGGGTGGAAGGAGGGATTGCGGATCGAGATTGAGCTGTTGGATGTGGATTCGCCAAATGGGGAGAATGGGATCCTGGACTTTTGCCAGCGGCTGCGAGGAAAGTGAGCTAGGGTATTCGCACGCTTCGTATAAGCATCCGAGCTGACGGACAGGTATCCATACATTACATCCCTGTATTCCAATGCCGGTGTCCACGGTGCGATCAGTCAACGGTGGGGCGCAATGGTCCTGGAGGTCTTCCGGAAAGGACTGCTGTACGCCTGCTCGCACGACAAGGCGTACATGGACGAAGAGGTTGGGCGGCTCAGCAGAGATAAGCAAAGAGGGGCAATATGGGGCATCAACACCTTTGCGCCTTACCTACTCGTGCGTCCCCCCAGATCCTCCATGCATGGCTGATCAGGGCAGTCCACAGAGCTCATCGGCCTTCTTCAACAATCGCCCTCCTCACTCCCCTTTTCGCCCCGGATCATCTACACCACCTCCTCCACGACTGAACTTTCAGACTTTGACGGCCTCGACCCCGCCGCCGACCCGCAGCTCCTCCGAATGTCCAAGGTGTACGCGCCAAGCAAGTACGCCGGGGATCTGCTCATCGATGATCTGGATCGGCGGTATGGCCGGCCGTCGGCAGATAGGCGGGCTGTGAGGGCTCTCTGCGGCGAGCCAGGGTGTGTAGCTACGAACGCGGCGAAGGACTGGATGATGGAGTCGCCGTTGTATGGGTTCCTGCAAGCGGCGAATTTGATTGTCTTTCTCCTTGTATGTCCACATCTTTCACTTGCACAAAAGACTTCACTGACAACCAATAGCTCCGATTGATTGGCTCGCCATATCATCCGAGAGATACAGAAGACGCGACCGCCGGGCTTCTGTACGCTGCTTTGGTCCCGGACGAGCATCTGCCTCCAGCAGGCGGGAACGAGCGGTTCAGATTTGGGGCGCACGCCCATCCATTGCGGGACGCGACGGTGGACTATATCCCGCTGGACGGCGGGAAGTCGGAGCAGGCAGATCGGATTTTCAAGGTGCAGTTGGCGGAGTGTGAAAGGGTGAGGGAAGAGTGTAAGCGGTTGGAGAAGGATGGGAGATGAAACACAAGGCGCCCGTGATACACTACTTTGTGCATCTTCCGTTTATCTATTACTGCTTCTATTTGTCCTTCCTGTTCCGCCAGATACCCATCCGCTGCGCCGCGAGACAGACGACGCCCACCTCATATCGTAAGGGCATCCTCGAAGAGGGGTGCGCACCGTACCCTCGGCGCTCCTGGGCAGACGGCGTCGAAGGGGAGTGGTTCCTGATCGTCTGGGGGGAATGAAGACGCCTCCGGCGTAGTGCTCGCCTGGCGTACGATATCTCTGGTGGCAGCGGTGGAGGTGGGTGACGTCTCGCTAGCAGTAGAGCCAAGACTGGCGAGGGATGAAGAGGGCGTGAGGGTGGGAGTGAGGATGGGAGGGGTGGGATTTGGCTTGGTGGACGCAGCGGAGGAGTACTGGAAGCGGAGGTGCAACGTGTAGGAGATCCTTCGACCATCTGTGCCGGTAGTCGTGATTTGAGCAAGCTATGGATCAGCTGAGGCCACGACGCAAAGGACCAAAGGTAAACTTACGACGGGCGGCAAAAGTCCAGCCTCCGCTACCGCCAAACATTCCTGCTTGTTTATCCGGACCATCGGGGGCGGTGATTGACGCGTTGGTTTTCGTTGGTTTTCGGACGGTTGGGAGGGGCAGGGAGGCGGAGGACGATCTGCTATTGAGTATATATTTGGATCGGGCGGACCACCTCCACTGTTCAGTCCAGGTGCCAGGTGACCCCGACGTCACGCCTGAGTCAACTCTTTTAGCGCGGGGTGGCTAGAGTGCGCAGTACTGAAACCTGTTTACCATTGACTGAACCCCCGCCCGATCCCGCACAGAATGCGAGATGCGAGATGAGATGGAGATGAGATCAACAAGCTCGTGATACACTCATGCATGCCCTAGCCTAGAATGATCCCAGAAAAGAGCTCATGCCTTGAGGGCGTATTCTGCAGGGGATCAGCGAATTCGTCCCCTTGATTCCGCGCAAGTAGACAGCAAAGACTTACTCCGCTGGGGGAAGTGGATATCCCTCTTGCGCTGCTTCTCGGTCACGGCGTGCTCCTCCTTGAAAGTCAATCGGCGACGGATGGCTCGGGTCTTCTTGTGGCGGAGGTCGAGGGGGAGGTCTGGAATGTCAGCTGGGGTACGTGGGATGTGGTGGTACGCCTGCAAATCCCATATCTAGTCCGCACCCCATCCGCCGCTCATATCCTGATTTCCGTGTACGCTCCGTCACTTCTCGAACCAGCTCCCGTCTATTCCCCTCGCTGACTGCAGGTACATGTAAGGAGAGATCAACTCACACTTCTTGTTCTTGTAGAACTCGCGGAGGTTTTGCCTTTGCTTCGAGTTGATGACGGTGAGGACACGAGCGATACCCTTGCGGACGCCGTTGCTGCTAGATCAGCGCCAGATCTATGCTCGGATCGAGACCGCCCAACGCGCTGTCCGCCCCCCCGCTTCGACCCCGTCCCTTCACCGTCCCGCCCGACCATCCCTTATTCCAGCGGACGATTCCCTCGTCCAGCATTTCTCTCCATAACCACTGAGATACCGCCAGCTGTCCCTTCATCCACGCCTCCTGGGTATCCCCCCTTGCCCTCATGTGCCCAAGCATTCCCTTCCTCCCATCCCATTTTCATCCCACATCCCTGACTCCGGCCAAAGATACCCACATCTTGTTCAACTTGGCCGCATTCCCGCCCGCAATCTTCTGCACCCTCAAGCTCGCCAGCTCCGTCTTCAGCTCGTTGAGCTGAGTAAGCAGGTCCTGCTTGTTCCTGTAAATCCATCAGCATCCTATCCCTTCTTGTCGATCCTTCGCCCGGTGTATTGGTAGATTGACGCACTTCGACTGAAGCTCGAACGCCCTGATCTTGGTGGAGGTCGACATCTCTCTAAGAGGGGATCAGCGATCTGTGCTGCTTGGTCGTCGGCGGGTGGGCAGATGTAGACGCACGCTATATCTCTTGATGGATGAAACTAGCCGTTGGCGGATTGGAGGTTTTGCGCAAGTGAGTGCCAGGGCAGAGGAGGGGAGGGTAAAGGGGGGGAGCGCAAATACATGGGTTGAGAGTGGCACTTCTTGCCTTAATAGGGCGAAATCGGAGTGATTCTTATCGCCGAACTCAACGGAACAAGCAGGAAGTCAGCTTTGGTTCCGCATTCCTCCAGTCGACACGTGGCGAAGTGGAGGCCGACGGAAGCGTGGTCATCGTCAACGCTCCACCAAGCAAGTCCAACCGTCCTTCTCCATCATACATCCCTCCTCACAGCAGATACACCAATCATACAGCTCTGCAGACCAGAGGATACCATACAGATCAATCCACAATCCCCCAGGAATCAGCCACAATGGTCAAGATTACGTTCAAGACGGTCCAGAACAAGGTATGTGATGAGGCGATGTTGTCAACACCGCGATGCGACCACGCTGATCGTGCTTAGCTGTTCACCATCGACGCAGAAGATAGCGAGACTGTGAGCTAGCGAGATCTGACCTCTTCATATCAGGGTGGAATCGGGAAGCTGACCTGACCAGGTCACCGACCTGAAGAAGAAGATCCAGGAGTCACAGACCTTCCCCGTCGAGAACCAGAAGTTGATTTATTCTGGTCAGTTGACTAGGCGGGCCAACAGGTGGGCCGGAAGCTGACTCAAGCCAGGTAAGATCCTCCAGGATGGAGCTACCGTCGCGTCTCTCAAGATCAAGGAGAAGGACTTCCTCGTGGTGATGGTATCAAAGGTCAGTCAGCTTCTCGATCCGTGATGTCAGGGCGAAGCTGATAGACCAGCCAAAAGCTGCTCCAGCCCCTGCACCCGCAGCCGCAGCCGCTGCTCCTGCCCCTGCCGCCCCCTCCGCACCCGCACCAGCCGCGTCCGAGGCACCAGCCGCCGCCGCACCAGCAGCTTCTGCCCCATCAACCGAGGCCGCCGCACCCGCCGCACCCGCTGCGCCCGCCGCTGCTGATGCAGCTCCTGCTGCAGGTGGAGGCGCCAGCCAGGGCGGATCGTTCGGTAAGCTCCGATTCACGCATCGGTGAAGTGCATGAGCTGATCCAGTAGTCACTGGTGATGTTCTGCAGCAAGCTATTGCTAGCATGGTGGAGATGGGCTTTGAGCGGGATCAGGTCCAGCGGGCATTACGCGCGAGCTTCAACAACCCCGACCGAGCTGTAGAGTATCTCATGAATGTGAGCTCCTCTGGGTCACGATGAGGCTTGAATCTGGACACGAGCTGACACATTTAGGGCAACATCCCCGACGTTGCTGGAGGTGGATTCGGCGGTGGCGGAGGTGGTGGTGCTCAGGCTGCTCCTGCCCCTGCTGTAAGTTGAAGGGTACTGAGCCATCTGGGCGAGATCAAAAGCTGACCATTAGGCCCCGGCTGCTGCACCAAGCAGTATACTTCCTCAACCACCCGCTGCCGCCGCTCCCGCCCCTGCAGCAGCAGCGCCATCTGGTGCCGCAGGCAGCGCCGAGAACCTTTTCGCAGTGAGCTGACAGCCTCTGTCCCGGTCTGAGAACTCCAGCTGATATAACAAGGCCGCTGAAGCCGCGATGAACCGTGATCGGGGAGGTGGAGCTGTTCCCGCCGGTGCGGCTGCCGGCGCTGCTGCTGCTGCGGGACGTGGCGGTGCCGCTCCGGGCGGTATGGACCCTGCTGCTTTCGCTGCACTGGCAGCCAACCCGCAGATGGCCGCTATCCGAAATGTGAGCTGAACTGTTCACGAAGGTTTGTAGAACGCAAGCTGAACCCCCAGGCCGTCCAGGAGAACCCCGCCCTCATCCAGCCCCTCTTGCAACATCTCGCTTCTGCCAACCCTCAGCTGGCCGCCATGATCGCGCAACATCCCGAGGCGCTGTACGAACTCCTCGGTGGTGGTGATATGGGAGACGACGACGAGGAGTACCCAGGTGGCGCAGGTGGGAACCAGGTGATGCAGGTGGATCTGTCGCCTGATGAGGTGGCTGCGGTCGAACGGGTGAGCTGCGCTCTGTATTTCGATGGTATATGGGCATGTAGCTGACGATCCAGTTGGAAGGCCTCGGGTTCCCAAGACAAGCGGTGCTCCAGGCGTATCTCCTCTGCGACAAGAACGAGGAGTTGGCGGCCAACTTTTTGTTTGATGCGGGAGATGAGGACATGTAGAGAGGGATGAAGCAGTGGGCATGGGATGTGTATTGTATCATGACGAAATGAACATCATGCGTGGCTTCGTACGTAGTCGTTGTGAGTGCGTGCAGCTTGAACCTGGATGAACCACAAGAGGGAGCAACTTGAAACGTCAGGGGAAAGGAGCTTGAAACCGCTCCCGAAACTCAATCTGTTCCGAAGGTTTTTCGGATCGAGCTTTGATCGTCGTCAAGTCACGCTTTGCTCGCTCCCATCAGTCACGCTGAGCTCGGACCTGCTGCTGCTTGCCTGGCGGGCGCGGGAGCTAAGCTACCCGTTGTTGACGACTGAGATCTCAGCGCCTCGGCAGATGAACTTGCTCGTCACCTCATACGGACAGTCCTCCGAGCCGCCTGCTTGCTCCATGACTTCCTTGGTAGATCGAACTCCTTGACTTACTCAATCAGACTGCCATATTACACTTTCGACTAGGACCACCCTCGAAGAGCTACCGACTCATCATGCGACAGCAGGCGCGTCGAAGTAGCGACCAGACTGCGATCACGTACTCGCTCTAGGACAAGTGTCGACAAGGGACGTTGGAACATCGCGATGAGCAACTCAGGCGTAATAGCTCAGCTCGACTTGCCAGTCAGGTGTTTCTCCCAGCTGGTGAACGTGCGCTGTCAGGGCCTCTCCAGTTCACAGCATATCGGTATGTCCACTGGTTGTCCTTGACGCGGACTAGGTGGTCGACGACATAGCTGTTACCATCAGTCGCCTCCATCCCCTTCGCCCTCCTCATCGTCATCCTTCCCTTCCTTCTCATCTCAACATGGAAGATCCCTCGCGCCTCTCTCCTCCTACTAGGCATAGAGATCATCCTCCACCTCGGCGTACACGCCTGGGACCTCGGATACTTCCTTCTTCGCCCGAGCTTCTCCAACTTCCGGTCGACCGATACCGCCCTTGGTGAGTCTTACCTTGACTACGCGTACCTCTGCCTGCGTATCGATAGAGCTGACCTGGGCAGCAATCGCCTCAGCCACGCCGATACTGGTATACCTCCTCGCGCTCACTTCGCACCTCCTCAGCGATATCAGGGGGTACCTGCCATTCTCCCTGCAGGGCAAGGGATCCAGTATCGTGTATGCTGTATTGATCGCGCCGCTCATTCCTCTCGCTTATGCTGCGAGCCTGCTAGGAGGGTTTGCGTTTGTACAGCATCGTAAGCCCTGACTCGCTGCTTAGAGTATAGCTGATCGGCGCAGGCCAAGTGCGAGGTGCCATCTTCCTCTCCTTCGCCAACATCCAGGAAGACTGGGTCAACGCTGTATTGACCAACATCGGAACGATAGCCGGTATGTTCGCCCATCCCCTGCGTAAATGTCTCCCCACTTCCAGCTGATCAGCTAGCACTCGCCTACATCCTCTTTGTCGTCCTCCTCGCGCTCATCCCCCTCCTCCACCCACCCTCAACCTACGCCTACCTATCCTCCTTCCCCACCCTCCGCCCCCTCCTCATCTGCACCCTCTCCATCCTCCTCTCCGGCGCCGAGACCGCCCTTGGTTTCGTCCCGCTCGACGCCCTCGCGCCCACCGTGACCTTCATCGTCATCCTCCTGCGGGGTTGTTTACTCCTCCTCAGTCGAGCTGGCGTGATAGGGAGCCTGATCTGGGCGTACAGTATCAAAGAAGAACGGCGGAAGAGGCGGAGTGGGCTCTTCGTGGGTGGACCTATACAGGGCACGTTCCGCAAGCTCGATGCGGGCGGGACGACGGACTTTTACGTCGTCCACGCAGAGCAGCATGGATTGGGCTCGGGCAGGGCAGCGATACCGACAGCACCGGATAAGGTCGTACTGCGCACAGTGAGTTTGCCCACATCGACGTCCCTGGATGTATAACTGACATTGTCAGCCAAGAGCGCATGCGCCGAAGCTCAGCTTTACCTCTTCGGCGTTTGCAGCCTTCTCTCCGCCCACGCCACTTCGAGAACAACCATCCCGTACCGACATGCATGGACGATCGCGGGCAATAGGCGAGAATAGACCGGACAGGAAGACGAGGAAGAACCTCGGGTCGATATATGCGCCAAAGAGAGTGACGGTCGATCCCCTCACGCTGGCGCAGTGGCCGCCGACGCCGGTCCCGCCCGATACTCGACCAGAGAGCGGGACATTACCCAGTATAGCGGGTGATAATCCAGGCGCGGAGAGATTGTGGATTGGCGGAGCGAGGGACGGAGAGGCGAGGCGTGTAGAGAGTAGCCAAGGTACGGCCGACCCGTTCGACGCGTCGAACTCGGACGATGCGGTCGTCGGGTCGACAAACACTCGACTCGCCTCGTTCGCTTCTTCCTTCTCGCCAGGTCCGTCTCCTACTTCTTCCCGCGGAGAGATGGGTCTGGCTCGGCTCGGACAAACCCCATCCCGCCAAACACCCATCGCGACCGCCATCACTCCCCCTTCCCCCGGTGCTTCCATAATCGCCATCCCCTCCGCTCCAGTACGCACCAACTCGTATCGGCGCAAACCTGTCCCGCAAGTGGCCGAGGTATCCTCCGCACAAGGGTCATACAGCCCATCCTCCACCTCACGCCCTGTGCCGGGGCGCAACGACCTAACTCAGCGCAAAAGCACCGCCCCCTCCCCCGTGTCCTCCTACACCCCCTCAGTCTCGGACCACCGCCGGACCCTCTTCTACGCTACGCCCATGTCCTCCCCTACGACCAGCCCAACAAAGGAAGAATACCTCTTCCCTCTCCCATCCAGCCGAGCCGACGGTCGCGGACCGCCAAGCCGCCAACAGTCTTGGCGTCAAGCTCCAGAGTCCGCCACGTTGCCTCAATACAGCGCGGATCGGGGCGTTTCACTGAGCGGATACCAGCGAGACAGCGAGGTGGGCGTCAGAGCGATGGCGAGCCTGGCGCGCTTAAGGCGGGAGACGGGGATGGCGCTCGATGTGGAAAGGCTAGGGAAGCGGAGTCCGGGCGGAGGAAGGGAGAGCGTGATGACGGGCTTGAGTGTGTTGAGCGCCTCGAGTAGCCCGGGGCAGCTGGGGAAGGAGAGGTATAGTGGGATTAGCGGGATCAGCGGCGTGAGCGACGTGGGTGAGGTCGCGACGCCAACAGCGAGAGCGGGGGATCTGGAAGAAGAGGAGAAGGGGGCAGGTGCGTGGTGGGCTTATCCGGGCGATAGAAGGGTATAAATAGCAAACTGTAGGATGTGGGTATCTGTGAAATGTATGATCTTGACATATAGGTTTATACTCCGGCCTGTGATCGATATAAGATGCAAAAAGCGGTCGAAAGAGGGTTCTAGTCGGAATCGTACTGGTCGATGGGGTCCCCCAGGTCGTCAGACTCAGAGTCCGGGTGAAGCATGCTGTACAGCGAGGGTTGTGCCGGCGGGACGCGGTCGTCGTCGTCATCGTCATCGTCCGATAAGTCGGCTCCTGTACCGTTTGTCGCAGAATCGATCTGGTGTGTGAGTGACACCCTTATTTGATACTGAGGACGAACTCCAACTTACAATCCGTACGAACTCGGCTGCTACCTCGTCCCGCCCTATATCCTGCGCCTTGACGAACCACACCCTCGCCTGTCGTACCAGACTGACATCCGCGACCCGGACTGTCCCGCTGGCCGCCCGCGGCGGGGGCGATGAGCTAGCCGACCCGCCATCCCCCCTCCCTGCGACCGCAACTCCGCCCGGTCCCTCGGCAACGGCCCCGAGCCCCTCGCCCCGTAGATCCGGGGGCTGGGCGAGGTAGAAAGCCAGCATGCCCGCATAGGTATGTAGCGGTCCCGAGAGGAGGTAAGGGTAGGAGGTGAGGTATGTCTCGAGCTCGTCGAGCGCTTCGCGGTATTGCTTCTGCCGGATCAGGTGGAGGATCAGGGCGTGCATGATGGCGGGTTTCTGGATGGGTCAGCTGGTGATCTCACGCATTCGATACGAAGCAGATAGCGTACCTCATCCTGGTGGACCGAAACACGGAGACCGCGGAGCCACTTCGAGATATCCCCACCTTCCCTGTCCTGAGGCTGGGGGTCCAGGTCATCTTTAGCTTGAGACGCTGTGAGCAGCGCGAGGCCCCAGCGCCATCGCGACCGCCAGTCGACTTCACGGCATCGTATCTTATAGTCAGCTCCTGGCAGCTTGAAGCAAGATCTGACGCAGAGCTCACCAGGATGGACCATGCGCGAGTTGCACGCTCAATCTCGCCTCTCAGTAGACAGGCGTTGAGCAGATCCACAAGGTTTTGTATGTGGATTTTCCGGATGCCTAGAGGCGTACGTGCTGCGTTTGGGTGCAGGGGCTGGTGTATAGGGGCCATGCGGCATGGTCATAGCTTTATAGGTCGATGGACGGAAAGCATGTCTTGAAACCGCAACCTTTTGGCTCGCGTCTCCCCGTGACGATGCCCGTGCGTCCCCCTATATGAGCCACATTGGCTTAATACCGGCTAACTCCGGCCCGTTCCTTTGTCCGGCGATCTCCGCCACTACAAAGGGGCGACGCACCAGGTGGATGCGATTACGAGAGGGTTTGGCTGAAATTTGCATGCCCCCCTCGCGCTCTCCTCCCTTGTATTTCTCTATATCTCCTTAGGGATCACATCTACACCTTACTACCCACCCAAGCACCACTCAAACGCATACCGATTCGCTCTGTCTGAACGATAGAGCCAATCAGTGAAAGAACAACACTAACACATCATGTCTGAGTGAGTTGAGCGAGGGTCAGGTCGAGGAGGTCGCTTTTGACAAAGGAGAGACAAGGGAGGAATGGGTGTGGAATGGCTGGGTGGCGAGTGGCTGGATGTCACGTCTGTTTGAGATGGGCTTGGGAGGAGGTTGGAGAGATGCTCCTAGAGCTGTCAGCGGCGATGTGAAGGAGAAGAGACAGCAATACCGACGCGACAAGCATCGCCAGCCACCTAGATCAACAGCTGACAAACAGCTCCAAAGCTCCCGAGGGCAATGACCTCGAACTCGCCGGCGAGACCATCGAGTCTAACTGGGACCAAGTTGTCGACAAGTACGTTTGCCGATCTAGCAGTCAAGGGGAGCGCAGCTGATTCCTAGCTTCGACAACATGGAACTCAAGTCGGACCTCCTCCGTGGTGTCTACGCCTACGGTTTCGAGCGCCCCTCGGCCATTCAACAGCGTGCTATCATGCCCATCATCACTGGCCGTGACTGTATCGCCCAGGCTCAGTCCGGTACCGGCAAGACCGCTACCTTCTCGATCTCGATCCTTCAGAGGGTATGTCGTCAGCCCCTTTGACTTTGATCGAGGAGGTCTCGGCTGACTGGTCAGATCGACACCACCGTCAAGAAGACCCAGGCCTTGATTCTTGCCCCCACCCGAGAGCTCGCGCAGCAGATCCAGAAGGTCGTCGTCGCCCTCGGTGACTATCTGAACGTCGACTGCCACGCCTGTGTCGGTGGTACCGCTGTCCGTGAGGACATGGCCAAGCTCAACGACGGCCCTCACGTCGTTGTCGGTACCCCCGGTCGTGTCTTTGACATGATCAACCGTGGTGCCCTCAAGACGGACGGCGTCAAGATGTTCTGCCTCGACGAGGCCGACGAGATGCTGTCCACCGGGTTCAAGGACTCAATCTACGACATCTTCCAGCTCCTCCCCGCCGACACCCAGGTCGTCCTCCTTTCCGCCACCATGCCCGTCGAGGTCCTCGAGGTCACCAAGAAGTTCATGCGTGACCCCATCCGTATTCTCGTCAAGCGTGACGAGCTCACCCTTGAGGGTATTAGGCAGTTCTGTAAGTCTGACCGGTTTCGGTATTGGGCTGGGCTGATGGCCAGACATTGCCGTAGAGAAGGAGGACTGGAAGCTCGACACCCTCTGCGACCTGTACGAGACCGTCACTATCACCCAGGCCGTCATCTTCTGCTCCACCCGTCGCAAGGTCGACTGGCTCACCTCCAAGCTCCACGAGCGCGAGTTCACCGTCTCGGCCATGCACGGCGACATGGACCAGACCCAGCGTGAGGTCATTATGAAGGAGTTCCGATCGGGTTCGTCGCGTGTGCTTATCGCCACCGACCTCCTTGCCCGTGGTATCGATGTCCAGCAGGTGTCGTTGGTCATCAACGTGAGTTTATGCGCAGACTATGCTTGATCTCGACTGACCATCAGTACGACTTGCCCGCTTCCAAGGAAAACTACATCCACCGAATTGGTCGAGGAGGACGTTTCGGCCGGAAGGGTGTCGCGATCAACTTTGTTAACGCCGAGGACGTTAAGATGCTCCGCGAGATTGAGCAGTTCTAGTGAGTTCGGGTCTATTTCTCCGAAAAGCAATAGCTGACTCCGCAGCAACACACACGTCGACGAGATGCCCCTCAACGTGGCCGACCTCATCTAAGCCAAATCCCCCTCCACCAACCCATCAACGCAAACTCTCTTCCTCTTGGCTTTTCCCCGGTGATACCTTACGAACCCCTTTCCCCATAATTCCCACTCTCCCCTAAAATGCCCGCATGGGCAAGTCGCCATCGGGGTCGTCGTCCACTTCGCTTGTCGGGTGGACGGTTGACCTCATTCATGGACGCTGTTTCGGCTGGATCGTTTCGATTCGGTTTGAGATATCCGTCCGTTCCCCCCTTCCCTTTCTTTTTCTGATTAGATAGTTGCTAGGAGTACGTTAGAGATCATGCGGGATGGTATAGCATATTACAACTGTGGGGTTCCACTTGCCCAAAGCCTTGGATCAGCAGCACAGCGCCGCCGATGAGGCAGGACAAGGAATGACTTAAGTGTTGCACCGAGCTGTAGAAGCCATCCCTTGTGGAATGAGGCATTATAAATACATCTCCGATCCTCGCAGAAGCTACACCAATCGTTCAGACGAAGACCCCCCACCCGATCCCCACCCCCATCTCCTCCCCTGCGACGGCTGTTGCTGCTCCCCAACAGCCCCCGGTCCACTCCCCAGATCCCCTGAAACGCCCTGATCCCGCTTCATCGCCTGATCCGTCGCCAGCGCCTCTAGCGTCCGTGATGGCGCAGGCGGCTGAGAAGAGGCTGACACTGACAGATCTGAAGCGTCGGCTGAAGTTGAAGTGTATTTGGCTTTCCGGGCGGCCTTGAGACGGGCTAGTTCTTCGTGCAGCCCCGCGGCTGTCTTGGGGGGTTTCTAGGATGTCAGCTGGGACCAACCGGAGAAGAAGGGTGGTGGGAAGCTTACGAGGGAGTCTTCGTACGAGGGGAGTAGGTAGTCTTTGTACTAGGAAAGCGTCAGTATGTCGTATTCCTTTGTATACACTGCGGAGACGAATAAAGGCAGGGAAATAGCGTACGGGCTGCACATAGGTCTCGAACCTGATAAAGTCAGCTTGTACATCGACTACGGCTCAATCGCTGGAGACGATGTTAGCTCACCAGACTGGATCTCCGAATTTGTACATGGCGAAAATAGGGAAGAAGAGGTAGAAACCGAATCGGAATACTTCCACTGCAACGGCTGTCAGCGGCTCCTCGCTCTTGATCGGACGGGTGTCAGAACGTACTGTTAGGACCCGCCATGATTGCTGAGGAGTGCTGAGTTCAACTGTTCAGAGCTGTGTAGGTTGGAAAAGTGAAGTTGATCGAGGATATCGCTGAGCCTGCAAGCGACCGGGCAAGATCGCTTGAAGATCGCTGTCCACGTGGCGAAAGTAACGCACGGACTCGAAGATGAAACACACGGGGTAGTCAACCGGTCGGCACTCAGTCTGCTGGAAATTCTCTTTGTGTCAGGACGAGGCGCCGGGGCTGCCGCCAGCGGTTCTTGGGGCACGATAGCGGACAGATTCGTAGCATGCACCGTGAACGCCTTCGAGATGCTGATGCCGCCGGTTCCGAGAGTCTTACGGCATCGACTCGCGTACCTCACCTTTGGATCCAACCTGACGACTCGACCCTTTCGCCATCATCATCCTCACACACACACACGTCCACGCTTTTGTTCATGATGCTCGGATCCCTTTCGACTCCGACCAAAAAGCTTTCTTTCCACCATGCTCGCTGCCTTCATCAGCGATACAAAGTCCCGCAAGGATGCACGTCAAGCGACAGCTCGGCTGCTTTAGCCGGAACAACGGTATAAGTTCCCTTTCGACGAACCGTCAGAAGGTCATATACGCCCTAGCAACCGGGCGGGACTGTCTCATCCAGTCGTCCCTTCAGGACGATGCGGATGATCACTGGATGATGTCCATCATGCAGACCGTGAGTTACCTCGACAAGTATAAAGTCTATCTATCCTCTTACTCATCACCCAGATCAACTCCTCCGTCCGGACCACGCAGGTGCTCATCATCGTCTCCTCTCCCGAGCGCGCCAAGCAGCTTCACACGACGCTGATCGACCTCGGGAAGACCCTCGGCGTCTTCTGTCACTTCTGCGTATCGGAGAATCCCATCGTCCGGGACACGGCTCGGGCGACAAGCAATCCCCACTTCCTCGTCGGCACGCCAGAGCGGGTTCACGAGCTCATCAAGAGCAACAAGATCAATCTATCTACCGTCAGGATGCTCCTCCTGCCTGATGCCGACGACTTCGCTTCATCACCCGGCTTGAGGACCGTGATTCCCAAACTCCTCCTCGCCCTGCCAGCCGACTGTCACCTCGTCATGCTCTCGGTCGACACGCCCGACGAGGTCATGTATGCTGCAGAAGGGTATATGCGGGAACCCTTGCTGTTGATGGAGGACGAGATCGAGGAACTACTGCGACGCATGAGGCACTTCTGTGAGCATGCAACACCAATATGGGTGGAGGACCGGGCTGACGCAGCAGACATCATGGAGATTCCAGGATCGTGGCAGCTCGACACGCTATGGAATCTTTGCGAGTCCAAATTATTCGACCACGCCATTGTATTCTGCGCCACGATCAAGCGGGTCGACTGGCTCGTCAGCAAACTTGAAAAGCGCGGCCTTATCGCTATCGGGATTGGTCGGGCTACGGAGGACGCCCAGCTCAAGGTGGCTCTGGACGACTTCAGAACCGGGGCTTATCGTCTCTTGATATCTACCGATTTCCACGCAAGGGCGCTAGGTGACCAGCCTGCCGATATGATCATCAACGTGAGTTTTGCTTGGGGATCACATGTACAGCATTCAGGGCTGACGCTATAGTATGACATGCCACATGACAAGTTCAGCTACTTGCGTCGACTGGCCGGCCATGGTACGTCCACAAGTAGAAGCAAAGCCATCACCTTTGTGCGCGAGCAGGACTGCATCATGCTCGGACACATCGCGAGATCGCAGTGAGTTGCATCTGCACCAGCTTTGCGATTGAAGGCTCGAAGCTGACTCTGACAGTGATATCCTAGTGCACGAGGTACCGCGCAACGTCACGGACCTGATCTTCTGAATGGGCGGGTCCTGATCTTCGCGCTGGGCCTATATCTAGGGGGAGGGGTGATGTGTACATCATGTGACAGATGTGAGGGCCCTCTTGTACTTACATTGATCCAAGCAGAACTCAAGAGGTATGCTTCAGTACGCCGACGAGGAAGGCATGAGCTTCAGGATAAGCTCGAGATGGTGCGATTCAGATCGGCGATTTGAAGGGATCTCGCACTCATGCTTTGGTCAGCTCGGACCCCGCACACACACACACCGTGTCCTTCCGTTCTTCCAGGTACAGGCACACCCGCAGCAACAGACTTTGGGGTATTGACGACTGATCATCACTTGTAGGCTGACGATATCCATTGACACTATTCATCGAGACATCCAGATCTTGACAATGTCGCTCAAGCCAGAACTCGTCAGAGGTATCCACGAATACTGCCTCCCACCGCCCGCCGCCGCCCAGAAGGAGGCGATGCAGTACATCCTGGCAAGGCGGGACTGTGTCATTCAGGTCAAGTCGCATGTCAACGAGAGCTGCGTCTACCTGATCCCGATGCTGCAGGCCGTGAGTCTCTCTCTGCTCTCACTGTTGAGATTACGCATAGCTGACTGCCAGATCGACACGTCAGCCAGGCAAACCCAAGCTATAGTCATCGCCTCCACTCGAGAGATAGCGCAGGCTATCTGGACGACCGTCCGCGCCCTCAGCAAGCATCTCGGCGTCTACTGCTACTCCTTCGTCGGAGGCGGCACCTTTCCAGAGGACTGCCATCGAGCGAGACACAGGCCACAGGTCGTCGTGGGTACCGTCGGGCGGATCTGCGGTCTCGTCAAACGAAATGCGCTCGAGCTCGACCACGTCCGGTCAATATGCCTCAGCGAGGCTGATATGAGCATGCTGCCGTGGTCAGGGAATTCCCCTAACCCGATGGACTATCCGGAATCACCGGACGCCATCAAAGATCTCCTTCGTCGTCTACCGGTCAATAAACAGTTCGTCATGCTGTCAGCCAACCTTCCGGCAGTGGTTCTCGAGGCGGCAGATGAGTATATGCGCAATCACGTCAGAGTTCCACTGGAGGGGAAAGGGCACGATCTGGACGGGGTCAAGCAGTATTGTAAGTGCAGGTGGTGGGAGGCAACCCGGTTAGCGCTAAAGAGTCAGATATCTCTGCAGATTATGAGCGGGAGTTTTGTAAGCTCGAGATAGTACACCGTCTCCATCAGATCGGCATGCTCAATCGCGCGGTCATCTTCTGCTCGAAGAAGGAGAGGGTTGACTGGCTTACGGAGAAGCTGCGAGAGCGAAGAATTCCCACGATGAGCGTGCATTCTGGCGTCGACTACGAGGAGCGGAAGAGAAGAATCAGGAAGTTCTCCCTCGGTTCGGTCGGTATTTTGATCACCACCGATCTTCTCGCTCGATCTCTCGATGGACTCCGGGTTCCCGTGATCATCAATGTAAGCACTGCCCCACCTAACAATCCAAGCTATAGCTGATGTCCATAGCACGACATGCCATGGAGCAAAGCAGATTACATTCTCCGGGTGGACGATGGTGGGCGGTGTGGAGGAAAGCGGACTGCGATCACGCTCTTACGCCCGAGGGATCTCGAGCTTCTTCAAGAGATTGAGCAGTTCTGGTTAGCATCTCTTTTATGAATGAAATCGAGCTGACGCTGACCTTAGCGATATCGAGATCGAAGAAATGATCGTGAGATTGGATTAGGCGCCAGACGGGCGGAGGCTTAGGGGATACAGTAGTCGCGGACCAGAAGGGCGGATTCGAGGGATCAGGGGCGTATGAGAGTCTGGCGATGTGTTGTGATGTTCTGAACTCACGGCCGAGCTTTCCACTGCGTGTAATACGGGGTCTATGTGCTCTCAGGGCAGACATGGCGGGATACCATGCAGCTAGCTCCTGCCTTGAGAAAGAGCGCCACACTCGGAGACCACGTGGCGAATTTGCCACCCAGCCAATCCGCGTGTTGACGCGCCCCTGATTTCTTTCTCGTTTCCACCATCATCATCGCGTACACTGTACCTCTATCATCTCTCTATCAGCACCATACAAGCACCCCATACAGTCGATTACAAGGTATCGGAACCATCAGCACCAACGCCAATCGCTTCTCATCCCTGCGAACCGTGAATGTCAAGGTGAGTTCGGCCTTCTCGCTAAACAGTCACACGGACCCCCGTGCTGACAGTACAGACGCCGCGAAGCCGCGGAACTCGCTCGAGTTCTCCACCTCTCGACGCAACAAGCGCGCGTCGTTGCCGAAACAGGTCCACACACCCTGTCCAGCCCACACGGTACTGGCAAAGGCGGAAGCACGATGGATTCGCGCGAGATGGAGATCCGCGCATTGGAGCCGGGGATGATGGTGGATCAGGGAATGGGAGTGGATCCGAGGATGATCATGCGTCCTCCTGGGAGCTCGGCGAATGCTGCAGGGAGCAAGGAGGCGAGCTCCAGTCAGAGTGGGAACGGCACTGGCAGTGGGGAGGCGGGGAGGTCGACTATTGATCAGGCGGTGTCGACGGTACCGATGAGTAAGCTTTCTTCGATTCCTGGCTACGGTCGCCAGTCATGAGCTGATGAAGCAGGCGATACGAGCAACATTCAGGCCTTTACCCCTTCCGAATCCACCTCAGCCCCAAACAACAATCTCATTCCGGAAAGCAGCGATATGCAGCTCCCACCTCCCGGCCAACCCGCCGTGCAAACGCCAGCATCGACCGGCCCGGCGGATGCTAGCTCAGCCGCGAAAGGCGATTCTGCAGGATCCACCAGCCAGTCCCGCCCGCTCTTCTCGCCCACCCAAGGGTCCAGAAAGAATGCCGAGCCCACACCTCAGCGCAATCCCGCAGACGTCGAGGTATCTCCCCCTCGGCCCATCGTGAAGCATCAGTACTCCCGTATCGCTCCTCCCGTCGACGAAACCATCACGCCGGCTCCGCTTGCCAACGCTGGATCATCATCACGTCCTTATCAACTCTCCTCTTCCCCTGATCACCCCCCGGTTCCGGCGCCCGTCGTGGCGAAACCCCCTCGGCGGTCTCGTGCACTCCTCGAGGACTCGGAGGATGACGTGTATGACCCAAGTGAATCGGTCCGGCCCAAAAAGGTGGCCAAGAAGACTCCCGCGGCACCCAAGCAGAGCAAGAAGGCGAGCAAGAGTGCGGTAGCAACTCCGGTCGTGCAGGCGGTCGGGGCGGCGGCTGGCATCAATGTGCCAAGGGAGAACAGGGGAGACTCGCCGGATCCCCTTCTGATTGGGCCTTCCAAGTCAAGCGCAAACGTTGCCTCCCGCCAGATGTCATCCGCTTCCAACCCCTCCGCGGACACGCCCGCGGGAGGCAAGAAGGTATCCACCTCGAAAGCGAAGCCAAAGGCGGCTAGTACGGTATCAAAAGGCAAGGGCAAGGAGAAGGAGAAGGAGTTGCTACCAGACACACAGGAAGAGATGGGACCGGAGGGGTCGAAGCGCGTTTCCAGCAGGGTCAGGGAGAAGGAGCTGAAAGACGAAGCGGAAAAGCTTGAGAGGAGGCGAAAGCGTGCCGAGGAGAAGGCGCGGCTAGCAAAGGAAGCTGCTGCGAGCGTGGCGGCGGGGGAGCAGCCCGGTAGTGCTGGAAAGCTTGCTTCCAGCGAGGAAGGGGAAGGGTCGAAGGCGGATGAGCTGGAGAAGTCAGTCGAGGCATCAGCTGGACCGGTCGACACCCCATCGACAACCACGTCCCCAACGGTGAAGGCTGCCCGCCCGGTCAATCGCAAGCGTATTCTCTCGTCCTCACCCGCCCCGGAAGACAACGTCGTCGCCATCATGCCAGGTGCGGAGGCGGTACCGGTCAAGTCGGCGGCCCCCGCCGCTGATACTCATGTCCCTCCCGCTCGCGCGATATCAGTGGAATCGGTCCTTACCGACAAATCAGCCGAGGCAGGGCCCAGCAAGGTGACCTCTACCGCCAAGCGGCCTCCACCCAAAAAGTCGGCAACGCAAACGAAGAAGGCGGCTGCAGCGGCCAAGAAGGCAGCGGGCAAAGCCAAGGCTGCTGCGAAGGCACCGGCGCCAAAGAGCCGGGAGTTCATCGGGAGTGATGATGAGGAAGACGGGACGGAGAAAGGCAGGGCAGCGGCAGTGGAGGCTGAGCCCGAGATGGAGAAGGAGGAGGATGCGGCGCAAGCTGGACCGTCGAATAGCAAAGCACCAACAGAGGCGGAGAAGGTCGCGCCGGTCCCGCGAGAACCCTCGCCACAGCCAGGCAGGAGAGCAATGCCTGCCATGTCGGCTTCTCCCGAACCTCCTCATTCGCCTTACAGACCAGCTGGGACATCCCGTCCTCCGCTGACTGCGGTTCCGGCTCGAGTGACCAACATCGCCTCGTCCAGCTCACCACGGCATTCTCCGGGACCAATGAGCGAGAAGGGAACGCCTCTGCGCCCTGATGGAATCAAGTTCAAAACAGGTAAGTCTGCCTCACACATACTGACCGTGTGCTGACCATGCAGAACGAAACGATCTCGCGTCTGTCCTTTCCAAGTTCCCCAAATCTCGCTTCGCAGGCATGTCGCGCCGTCTCAAAATTGCCCCTCTGCACAGCAAGATCGGTCCCCCAAAGAAGGAACTACCGCCCGCACCCAAAAAGGCAGAAAAGAGGAAGAAGGGAGACAGTGACGATGATGAGGATGACGAAGAGGATGAAGAGGACGATGAGGACGGAGAGGGCGGTGTGAAGAAGAAGAAGTCAAAGGAGAAGGGGATTGAGTGGTACATGATGGAGGACTGAGCGAAGAGTGGTCTGGATAAGGGTGTTGGCAACGAGTTTGGTGGGATGTATCTTGATCAACTTGTATACACTGCAGACGACTTGCTGGCGTTATCAAAGGTCTGATATCCCGGTCGGTCCGACCTTTCTGCCTGAGCCCCCCTCTTTCGGAATACGGGAAATATATCCCATCTACGGAGCGGGTGGCTGCTCGCTATGCACGTGGCGAAGGTGAAACGCCTGGGCATCCAAGCCTCGAGCACGCCATTCGTACTAAATCTGGTCATCCTTTCATACTCGGGGCCCGGCACGCTCCGACGTAGACTCGGTCCCCCTCCGCCGCAGACCCCAGAAATCCAGCCACGTACCTCTACCATTTGCCACTCATCCCAATTCGCCGACTTCGCAATGAGCCCACCCCCGACAGTCCTCCAGGCGGAGAGCTCTACACCCAGAACCTTCCGGTCTCACTTCCAGCGTCTGCTCAGCCACATGCCGCCACCCGACGCAGAGTTCTGGAAGGATCTCGACTCCGGAGTTTTTCTCTGGCCTGTTGTGGACGTTCCGCTGCCCGAGAAACCGACGCTCCTGGCTCGGGAGCTTCTGCTGTGGACAGCCCGAGACGACCGGTATCTTCCGTCAGTCCAGCCCGTCGAAGGGTTGTCCGCTACTTTGCACCCGCCGCCAGGCTTCGCGTACAACCTTCACGGATGCCAGGCATGGGACAAGGATTCCACACCGACAGAGACGGGCAGCCGGGTCATCACCTATCTGCTCAGCGAGACTCCTGTGACCTTCCGCAGCGCCGATGGCAAGCAATCATCGATCGACAGCAATTCAGTTGTGAAAAGCAGACTTTCCTCCACTGCAGACCTTATTGGGACCATGAAGGGCGTTTTTGGCAGGCTCTTGTCAGACCGCGCGAATCAGGAAATCCTCGATCTCCAGGTGCAGACCGATCCGTTGGCTGCTACCCACTACTACATCTTCAAGGGCACTGAGATCCTGGGCGTCAGCACGGACCTCTTGACTCGGATCTCCGCGACTGGTGCCACCCGACTGAAAATGGACGTGATGGTCGTCTGCTGCCAGCCGAGCGTTGTTGAGCGTCTTGGTCCGTAGCGCTATCGATATGTATTCTCTTGCTTCTGTTACCTCGAGAGGGTATCGCATAACATCCTGCATCAGTATGAGCCGCACCTTACATGTATCTATGCAGGAGGGAATCGTGCAGCGTATCGACCTTGTCAGTGGCCGTGGCTCAGTGCCACATTCGCAGAAGCGAAGCGCCACATTCCTCAGTGGGCTCAACGACGCAGCTCGCGGTCAAGCCAAACGACATAGCCATTCTCAACTCCAGCTTCACCAATCGCCATGGCCGGATTGTCAATCAAGGGCGCCGCTCGAGCTCGACACGACGCAAATATTACCCCACTCGCTGCGGGACCGCTCCCGGCCCCGTCCACCGTTCCTCCGAGCGAGGACCGAGACCGCCGGAAACTCGTCCGACCTACCGCTCCTGCGCGCGCAGAGATCAGCGCAAGTACCTCCGAAGGTAGTCCAGCCAGGGCAGCGAAGCAAATACAGATCAAGGGGGTACCAAGGGAAGAGCGGCGGGATGGCAGCCCCCAGCGGAGTCAGGCTGGAAACGGCAACGGGGATGTCTCGCCCAGCTCCCGGGGGAGAAGACCCTCATCTTCTTTAAAGATAGAGCACAAGTGAGTCTCACACTGAGGCGATGGAGAAAGAGTAGCTGTCGCTGATCAGAGCCTACATCTACTGCCTCGCTCTACACTACTCGCCTTTCACCCAAACCGGAACCACTGGCCTTAATCTACAGGACCGAGCCAGCTCCTAGGCGGAGACAAGAAGAACCAGCGAGGACCGAGCGCACGAGCGTGAAGGGTCAGGAGAGCAGGTCTCGCCGAGACACTACGCGAGAAGCCCAGCCGGCCAAGCGGACCGAGGGGAGACGGGACTACAGTCGGGATCGCGAGCGGGACCACCCGCCCTCTTCACGCGACCGACCTGCGGAACGTACTCGGGACAGCCGGCGAAGATCTAGGTCTCGCTCGGACTCAAGGGACAGGTCGAGACGTGAGAGACCTAGGGAGCGAGAAAGGCCGGATTCTTCGAGACGGGACAAGGAGCGCAGCCGGAAATCTGAGGGCGATTCTTACCGGCCCAGAGAGTCAAGCGGCAAGCGATCAAGTCGAAGAAGGAGCAGGTCTTCCTCCTCAAGCGATAGCTACGACTCGGAGGAGGAAGAGCGGAGGAGACGTAAGCGAAGGAAGCAGAAGGAGCGCGAACGCGAGGAGGAAGAGCGAGAGGTGAGTTATAGACTCTGTCGTGTAGGGTGAGAGACATAGCTGATCGTCCAAGGAAAGGAGACGGCGGAGAAAAGAGAAGGAGAAGCGGGAAGAAGGCAAAGATAAGGAAAAGGTGAATCTTGCTGCTCTACTGTCAAGCAAGGCCGGAGCTGAACGTGCTAGAAAAAGATCACAGCCGCTTCCACGGGCACCTGGGGTCAGTATGGGGTGATATCGGAAAGAGAGTGAGTGATCAGTCTTTGTGGTCACTGTTCAACGCTGACAAAGCAGTCACGGACGTATGACCTATGTGCGTCTATCATCCTGTACATCGAAGACAAAAGCTGATCGAAGCAGGAGTTCCGCGCTTGGCTGGTAGAGCAGCGCCGCCTAGACCCGGACGCCATTCCTCGCGATAAGGTCAAGCGGGAGTTTGCAACCTTCGTCGAGGACTTCAATACCGCCACGCTGCCTCACGAGAAGTACTACAATATGGCGCAGCATCAGGCTCGGCAGGCTGCGATGAGGAACGGGGAGACGGCTGTTGAGCCGCTGAAGTACGATCCAAGGGCTGATGAGAAGGCTCACGTCGCGCGACTCAGGGTGAGCTACACAGCTTGCACAGATTCCAGTGCAGTTGAGCTGACATGCAGGCCACACATGTGCCCGATGAGGCCGATCTAACGCGAGAAGAGATCGTCGAGCTCAGGCGGCTGGAAAGGGAGCGGGTCGAGGCGTCCAAGCGCCGTCAGCTTGGCCTGGAAATACCCAAGAATCTCGGCGTGCGGACCGTAGAAGTACCCATCGAGACCTGGCAGGATCCCAATCTCTTCCATTCCTAGATCATCATGCATCTCCTATTCCTCCAACCGCGTCACTTCAATACCCAACACGATCGAGTCCTCTCCCGCCTTTGGAGCAACCTCAACTTCCCATCGTCCCAATTCCTTCATTCTTGCCAGGTCATCTTCCTCTCGCCAGAACACGTCCACTACGCCTGATGGAATCTTGTAGTCGTCCTCTAACCGCTTGACGACGTCTGCGAGCGTGACGGATCCGTATATCGTCTTTGCTTTTGGCGAGATGGTGCGGTGTGGGAAATGGAACGAGACGGGGAGGGATTGGATGGCTTCGAGGACGGCGGCAGAGGTGGGTGGGACAGCGGCAGGCTCGGATGCTGATGGAGCGCTGGCTGTTGGTGGGGGGGCACGCTAGCAGCTTGAGCTCCGAGCTCCGCAGCCCTCAGTATAGCGAGGATCGGACATACCTCTGTTCGCTGCTGGACCCGGTCGGACGGCCGCTTCCATGGTACGAATCTAGCCTGACCGGTAGGTAAGAGCTGATTTCTTGCTCTCCCGGGATTGACCAGGACTCGGTCATCTACTCAATCAGTGCCGTAGCTCTTGCCCTGGCGAGATACATCCTGACGCACTTGTGAAGCCTAGACCGTCGACATCTTCTAATAATTGGATGAGCACCTGCCGGCGGGATGAGCTGGGCGCGCTAGACTTTTCAATCAGCATTTATCTTACAGGCTCAGAGCTCGATCAACATGAATCACTGGAGCTCGAAGACTCACACTGAAAGCTGCGATGCCGCAGGGAAGAGATGGACGTCCGGTCCGAAGGGCAGATCTCAGTGAGACGAAGGCCATTTTGGGCGAGATTTTCGAGCGGGTCCACGCTAGTATCTGCAGAGATACTATACGCCGTCCTGTACAGTGCCGTTGTCTACTTTTATCAAGAGAGTAGAGTGGATGTGAGCTGCTGATGATCTGGCTGCAGCATGTCTTCCGGTTTGAACTTTCTGAGTGAGAATGACGTTACGTAAGCAGGTTGCTGGTGTAGCAAAAAAGTTGTGAGCCGCAGCGCTGCCCATATGCCATCTTGCCATCTTACCTCAATCAAGCACGATTACAACATGGACAGAGGCGCAGCACGCAGCCGCAAGAGGTCACAGATCCAGAACGGGCCCGCAGCACCGCAACATGCCGAATCCAGCGGCGCTCCCCATCGGCCCCGACCCGAGGGGAACGACCGGTTCCGTCAGCCTCACGCCGAAGGCGCTTCAGGTGGTGGTCCATCTCGTCCCCGCCCAGACGCCCGCCCAGCACGTCCTCCACGGCTCGAGAAGAAGCCCAAGCAGCTTCTGGACGAAGCGACGCGGTACAAGCCTAAAGCGATCCGCTCGTCCGCCGCGCTTATTTGGTCCCAGGCGGCATTCGCTATCCCGCCGCCAAAGGATGTGCTAGAGGGCGTGAGGAGGGTAGATCTGGCGGGGAGCGGATTGACGGATGTGAGCTGGTTGAAGGGGACGGGGGTGACGTGGTTGAATCTGGCGGGGTGTCAGATCAGTGAAGGGTGGGAGGCGGTCGGAAGTCTGACGGAATTGTCTGGTGAGTCTGCGTTGAAGCGTGCAAGAGGGTCAAGCTGACATGGCAGTGCTCAATATCAGCAATTGCGGGCTGAAGCAGCTCCCGGACAGTCTGAAGGGGCTGGTCAATCTCAAGGCGCTGGTGGCTATGGGGAATGAGTGGACGAGCATCGACGGAGAGGTGCTGTCCAGCTGGAAAGAGCTCAACTCTCTCAGTGCGTCTCTGTCTCCTCCGAGCCTATTCAAGCTGACGTTCCAGTCGTTTCGCACTCTCCTTCGCTCTCGTCCCTCCCCAAGGCGCTCGCACAGGTCGTCCACCTCTCCAAACTCACCTTCTCCCATTGCCCAAAACTCTCCGCTACATCACTGCCCGACCTCTACCCCCTCCCCCTCCTCCGCGATGTTAAGATGAATAATCTTCCACTCCTCACTTCCCTTCCCTCCCATATCTCCGCATGGGGTACCGGCGACCTCAGCCTGACTCGCAAGCCACGAGCGAACGACGCCGACTCGGACTCGGACCAGCCCGGCGAGAGCTCCACCGTGCGGCGCGGCGAGGGCTTGGAAGTTCTCGACCTCGGGAACTGCTCTTTGCCGTACGGCGCTATCGAGGGGGTGTTCCTCAAGCCCAAGTCGGCCAAATGGGCACATCTTCGTTCATTGACCCTTCACTCGAATCCCCTCGGTACGACCCACCCAAACTATTCGGAACTCCTTCAGGCGTCGGCCCTTCTCCCGAATCTACAGATTGTTGATGCGAAGCGGGTCGTCGAGCGGAAACGGAAAGGAGAGGTCTCCGAGTCCAAGAAGGAGAGGATGGCTAGGGAGCGAAGGGAGAACAAGATGAAGCCTAGTGGGGCGAATGTGGGCGGGACAGGGGCGATGCGGAAGTGGGGTGGTGAAGCGGATGAGAGGGAAGAGGTGGTCGAGCCTGTACCGGCGGAAGAGAAGAAGGTGAAGAAGCGCAAGGCGGAGGACGGTGAGAAGATCAAGGTGAAGAAGGCGAGGGTGGACGGGGAGCCACGAAAGTTGAAGAGCGACAAGACTGGGAAGGCCGACGACCACAAGGCAAAGCCAGCACCAGCGGCCCCACCAGCTGCAGAGGCTGCACTGGACCCGTCCCTGTCCGTCGCGCCGGCCAAAAAGCCTACGAAACCTGCGGCGAAGGAACCGGTATTCGAGGTGATTGACGTGGCCAAGGCAGCCAAGGCGGCGAAGGGAGAGAAGGTCGGCCGGCTGGAGCGGAGGCTGAAGGAGAGGAAGGATAAGAAGCAGGGTATCGAGCCAGTTAAGGACGTGGCACCGGTGGATCTGAAGAGTCTCTTTGGGGCAGGGGCAAAGACAGATGATAATGAGGACTCTGGACTGGGTGTAGGAGGCTGGTAACAGGACATATGTATACAATGTATCGTAGCTACTATCATCTAGTCGTCGCTATCGTCACTGTCTCCACTATCATCCTCCTCTGCTCCTTCTACTAATCGGCGCATCCCTACTCCGCCCTCCCGTGTCGAGAAGTCGGGCGCGAACTGATCCATCGCCGGCGAGCTAGGCATCATCCCGTCTCCGCCTTGCAGCTTCTCCAGGTCATCCTCCAGGACCATGGCATCGATGGCCTCCATCGCGTCCGTCTGGTCTTGCACCTCGGCCTGCCCACCCAGCTCAGCAGCCAGCATCGCCGCCATCTCGTCGTTCTCATCTGCTTCGTCCTCGTCATCGTCTTCTCCTTCCCCGTACTCCTCTGTGCCCTCTGCGAGCTGTTCCTCTCCGTCCGTCTGGACGTCCTCCTCGGCACCCGGGCCCATGATGGCCGGACTGTCTGGCTCCATATCGACGTATTGGCTCCTGGGCGTGTCCGGTCCAGTCGCTTCCTCCTCTGCACTCACATCGTCCTCTTCCTCCTCCCCGAACAGGTCATCCTCCTCGTCCGAGAATGGCGCGGGTTCCGCTGCGGCTCCACCGGGTGCAGCAGGCATCTCGACATCCTCGTTGACAGCTTCGGCGACAGGTTTTGCCCGTTCGACTTCATCGACGAGGACTTGCCTCGCGACAGCCTTGTTGTTGATATCGTTCATCATACCCGCGATGGTCTCTTCGAAACGTTTCTACACATTAGCCCAGCCCGCTGTATATTGTATGAAGCCGACAATACATACGACCATGATGATATTCCCACCCTGGAATCCTGCCCGCTTCTTCTCAATAGCCGCCTCGAGCTGCTTGATCTCACTAGCGAACTGCCTGATCTTGGCCTTCTTGGCCGCAGTCTCCTCGTCGTCCTCTTCCCCATCTTCATCCTCATCTTCCCCAGCTTCGTCTGCATCGTCTGCATCTCCCTCTTCAAAGCCATCTTCGTCCTCTGATTGTTCGGAACGAGATATTTCCTCCCGCATAGCATTTACCAAATCCCTGGTCATCAGCTTGAGCCCGCATCTCGGAGGAGGCTTTACTCACTCGTCCAGTCCATCGTCTTCTCCCTCTGCATCTTCGTCCTCGCCTTCCTCCCACGGTGCTTCAGACGGCATGACGCTTCCTGGATCGCCATACGACCCTTCGCTGGGGTTATAGCCTTGCCATGGGACATTCGGATCATAATCGGCATAGTATGAGTCTGGGATATCGGGGTCCAGCGCATCTATCAGATCTGGACGTCAGCCGGTGACAGAGACGCAGGCGTACCGTACGAAGAGCTCTCGGCCTCATTGTCTTTCGCAATCAACTCCTCCACTTGCTCCTCTACTACCTCGATCATCCGCCGACTGAGACGCTTCCTGAAACGGCGTTTCCGGACGTGCCGGAGAGGAGGGGTGATGCCGTGTGGCCAGATATAGTCATCTTGATTGATAGCGCCTGATGGGATGTTGGCTTCCGAGGCTACTTGGGGACCAAGGACGAGCATCTGAAGTCTCAGCCAGATTCTTCTCTTAGACAAAGCAGCATACCTGTGAGATGTCCGCAACTTTGAAGAGATGTCTCGAGTCGTGCGTCTTTTGAGACTCGATGATACAGGGCAGGTCCACGAGCTTGGACGAGTAGGTTGCTCCGCCAATCTTGACTGCCGCCCTCCTTGAGTCTAGATTATCAGCTCTTCCCGCGGCGGGCCTCCCAGCGGTAATCAACCCACCAAGAAACTTCATTTCGAGCGCCTCCAGTCCCTTCCCCTTGATCATCTCCCTCAGTCCCATACCGCCCTTCTTCCCATCCGCCACCTCCTTCGGCACCCGCAGAATGAACTGCTCCTCAAACTCGAGCGGTTCCTCTGGATTCTCATCCAGCTCTCGATCGTATTCTCCCAGAAAGCTGTCCATCGTCCCACCTGCCGCCTCTCCTATTCCCTGCCCGTTCATCTTGAGCGACAGCTTGAGACGACCGGTGCCCCCATCCCCGCCCGACCGAGTGGATATTCGAGTCCGGCCAGACTGTCGACCGGGACCCGCACCTCCTGGCTGAGCGCCTCTTCCCCGACCCCTGCCGCGACCGACACCACGTAGTCCACGTCCTCTGCCTCGACTACCGCGTCCCCGGCTCGAGGATGAGGGGTCCGAGGAGGGTAATTGGGGGACGGCGAATTGAGGAGAGTTGAGTGTCACGCTCGAAGGGCCAGTGATAGGCGCTGGGGCAGCCAGACCCATCGGCGCAGGTACTTGGGCCATCAGTGCTGATGACGGCCCTGCTTCTGGCCAGTTTATGCCGTCCATCGCAGGCAGATCGTGGAGCTAGTGTGAAGGGTGACCGGTGTAAGGTGGAAGGTGGGAGGTGGGGGGCAGTACGGGTGGCTCTTAATAGCTCTCTCGATGCTGAGGCAATCTGGCGCACGGACAGGTACGTGCTGCAGTCATTCCGCGGAGACGTTTCTGTATCTGCATTTTGCATCTCATATGCATCCTTCCCTACGCCCAGTGCTGTTCACAACCTCCCTTCAGCATGTATTGATACACTACTCGTATGTACGCCTCAGCACTGGTCTTCGTGACGCATGGACCCGACTTCGGCCCGAGGACTCAGCGCTCAGCTCGGCCACAGCGCGCAGCGGCCCGCCGCGCCGCACCGCCAGTGCAGCCATTGACTCCTCTCTTCACTCTATCCTGTTGGATCAGGCGTGCCGCTCGCTCACGCGGCTGGCACATCAGACATACTGCCGCATACGCCACCACCACTCATAGGCGCCGTGAGCTTCGGCACGGAGGCATAGGCCACATCAGAGGGCGGAGAAAAATGCCGAGCGCGATTTTCTCGCGGCGGGGACGGTAAACCGATCTGCCAGACCATCGAGACAGCTGTGCAGCTTGGTATACTGACGAGAGCGCCTTGGCGCGGCAGGCGGTCCGTAAATCGCTCACGCTCCAGTCGCTACTCAACCATATACAGCTTCTAACCGGTCAGCAGATCATCTCAATCCCCATCCTATCATTGGAATATCGAATCCTGTTCGTCCACGATATGTCCCCTGCCGCATCAGAAGTCGTCAAGGTCGGCCTCTCCCCTGCAGTCCACCTAGAGAAGGCGACCGCGTCCGAGCCGGCACGAGCTAGCGACACCGATGTCGCCTACGTCAATCCCGCCCCCTTCCGGGAGCTGCCCACCCGCCTGGCGATGATGGTGGATCCCAAGTCGCTCGAGGAGCTGGAGCAGATCGGAGGCGCGGCGGGCCTCCTGGAGGGTCTTGGGGTAGACCGGAAGACCGGCTTGATCGAAGCTGGTGGAGGGGCGGACAGGGCAGGAGATGCCATGCGTCCTGTCGGCGCACAGTGGCAGGCGAGCATCGAGATGAGGCAGCAGGTTTATGGTGTCAACGAGCTCCCAAGACAGCCGGTCAAGAGCTTGTTGCAGCTCATGCTGCTGGCGTTCAAGGACAAGATTCTAGTAGGTCAGTCACCGTATCAAGCTAATCTCAGATCCTCCTTACAGCTGCGGCGGTCGTATCCCTAGTCCTCGGTATCTACCAAGCCACCGGCGGCGAGCCCCACATCGTCCGAGATGCCGACTGCCCGGACGGCTGTGTTGCACCTTCTCTTGAGTGGGTCGAAGGTGTCGCCATCGTCGTCGCCATCGTCATAATCGTCCTCGTCAGCTCCCTTACCGACTGGCAGAAGAAGCGCCAATTTCAAAAGCTCAACGACCAGCGCGACGACCGGACCGTCAAGGTCTTGCGGAACGGTCAGGAGCAAGTCATCAACACTAAGCTCCTGGTCGTCGGCGATGTTGCCCTCATCGAGCCGGGAGAAATCATCCCCGTCGACGGCGTCTTCCTATCCGGTTACAACGTTCGTGTCGACGAGTCGGGCGCGACCGGCGAGTCAGATGCAATCCGGAAAGGGACCTATGAGGAGTGTATGGCGGAGCGAGATGCCAGTGGCGGTCAGGGGCGCAAGCTGGATTGCTTTATGGTATCTGGAGGGAAGGTGACGGAGGGGGTGGGGCAGTATATTGTCATCTCGACTGGTACCAACACCTTTCACGGACGGATCATGATGTGTGAGTGAATCTTGTCTGTCGAGACGATTCGAGCTGACCGGCAGCCATGCTGGGCGAGGCCCAAGCCACTCCTCTCCAAGTCAAACTCAACAAGCTCGCGGAGCTCATCGTCAAAGTCGGTCTCTGGTCCGGCGGCCTACTCTTCCTCGCCCTCATGATTCGATACTTTGTCGCCCTCAAAGTCGAGGCGGACCGCACGCCTGGTCAGAAGGGGCAGGACTTCATCCAACAACTCATCATCGCCGTCGTCCTCATCGTCGCTGCCGTCCCGGAGGGTTTGCCCCTTGCAGTCACCCTCTCCCTCGCATTCGCCACCAACCGCATGACCCGCCAGAATCTACTCGTCCGGGTATTGGGGTCATGCGAAACCATGGCCAATGCTACCGTCGTCTGCACAGACAAGACCGGGACCCTTACCCAGAACGAGATGACGGTCGTCGCCGGTACTCTCGGTCTCGACACTCGGTTCGCGCGGGACTTGGCATCGTACCCTGCTCGGACCAATACGAGCGCGGCCTCCTCACTCGATGCCTCCGACCTCGGTCGAGCTGTCTCTGCGGAGCTTCAGCGTACTCTCAATGAAGCTATCTGCATCAACTCGACCGCTTTCCGCGCGGACAACGAGGAGGGCGCTACCTTCGTGGGCAGCAAGACAGAGACCGCTCTGCTGCGCCTCGCATACGACCTCGGCTGGGCGGATTACCGTCAGACTCGCGAGAGCCAGCCAGTCGTTCAGATGATCCCCTTTTCGTCCGAGCTCAAGGCGATGGGCGTCGTTGTCAATCTCGGCGACAAGTATCGGCTGTACATCAAAGGGGCCTCCGAGGTCCTAATCAGGATGTGCAGTCGGTACGTCGCGGTCCAAGGCGCCGAGGATCAGGGTACTCCGACCGAGCTTACGGACGGGGCCATGTCTCAGTACATGTCTACGATCGGGTTCTACGCCGATCAGTCCCTTCGTACCCTTGCCCTCAGCTATCGGGACTTCGCCTCTTGGCCGCCGGCGGGCGCTGAGATGGTCGACGAGCACACCGTCTCGTTTCAGTCGCTCGCGGGCGATCTCACCCTCCTCACCATCGTCGGCATCCAGGACCCGCTGCGCCCCGGCGTTCCGGAAGCTGTATCTCAGTGCTTCCGAGCGGGTGTAGGAGTGAAGATGTGCACTGGCGACAACGTCATCACCGCTCGGGCAATCGCCAAGGAGTGTGGGATCCTCACAGGGGACGGGCTCGTCATGGAGGGACCCTACTTTCGCGCGTTGAGCGACTCGGAGCGACACCGGGCGGTGCCAAAGCTGCAGGTGCTTGCTAGGTCTTCGCCAGAGGACAAGAAGTTGCTGGTGCAGACTTTGCGGGATCAGGGCGAGGTGGTTGGGGTTACCGGAGATGGGACGAACGATGGTCCCGCTTTGGTTCTAGCTCACGTTGGATTTGCTATGGGTATCAGGTGAGTACTCGCTCAGGCGTGCGCTGGTACACAGCTGACTTGGGCAGCGGCACCGAGGTCGCCAAGACCGCTTCGGACATCATCTTGATGGACGACTCCTTCTCCAACATCATCGTCGCCATCAAGACTGGTCGGTGCGTCAACGACTCGGTCCGAAAGTTCATCCAATTTCAACTCTCGGTCAACATAGCCGCCATCATCTTGACCTTCGTCTCTGCCATCGAGTCGCGGGCGAAACAGTCCATTCTATCGGCAGTGCAGCTCTTGTGGGTCAACCTCATCATGGACACATTCGCAGCGCTCGCACTTGCCACCGATCCGCCTACCGACTCGTCGCTGGATCGTAAACCCTCGCGCTCATCCGAACCCCTCATCACCCCCGACATGGGCAAGATGATCCTCTTCCAGGCGATTTATCAGTGCATCGTCTGCTTCGTCCTCCACTTTGCTGGGCACCGGTTGCTCGGCACGAACGCGGACAGCGTCGCTGCGCAGGCGGAATTGCGGACCCTGGTCTTCAACGTGTTTGTCTTTTGTCAGATATGTGAGTCTTTCCTCCTTGCATCGAGTCCGAGCTAACTCTTCAGTCAACCAAATCAACTGCCGCCGCCTTGACCGCCAGTTCAACATCTTTGAGGGTTTCTTCCGCAACTACTGGTTCATGGGGATCTTCATCATCAGCAAGTTGATCGTGGTCGTGCTAGAGGCGGTGCTGACGTATCAGTGTGTGGTGGCCAAGTCATCATTGTCGAGGTCGGCGGGGCAGCCTTCCAAGTCACACGTATCTCTGGCCGAGACTGGGCCATCAGCATCGTCGCTGGGCTCTTATCCTTCCCTATCGGCGTCCTCATCCGTCTCTTGCCCACAGACCCGTTCTATGAGCTGTGCGTACGGTGCAAATTCTACAAGAAGGAGGATGGCGGCGTGCTGGCGGAGGGATCAGAGGTGTGAGATGCAAGGAAAGTAGGGCTGGAGGGCGTGAATATTGGTTGGGGAGGTGTTGTCGAGCGATCGAATGAGATAGGGTTCTGAAGTTGGGGATCTGGTTCGGTATACCTGGCGCGAGCATATACCCATGGATGCAGTCCGTTATCTGTCGTGCCCTGCTGGAACGACGTCTGCGGAGTCGCCTAAAAGCGTGAGCGATCAGCTGAATGTCACGCCTCCTAGCCAAGCCGATCGCCGAGGGCACCAAGGACTTAGGGCTGCAGGGGGAGAGGCTATGCATTACTGGATGAAACGATCAGCGGCATCTCACTGAAGGGCTTCGGACAGACAGACGGGAGCACAAGCTCGCAAGAAGATAGCAGCTTCGACATCGCGCAATAGAGGATCGACATCGACTAAGCAGAATAAACCAATTGAGCATTTGTCCATGCGTCTCCGTCCATCTGGTCTGCAATCCCCACCCCTATCCTTCGCCCCAAGCCGCTTGCAAAGATCGCCCCCACCAATATCGCCGCTCGGCGATCGAGCCTGCCGTTGATGAATGATGAAGTCCTCGATTGAGGAGGATAATAAAAGCGGGTGGACACAGCGCGCGCTGGAGTCGTGTGTACATGCGAGCTGTTGTCGCGTGGATGGTGTGGATGGAACCTGCCGCCGGTGAGTCGAGGTGTGGTCGCCGGTCCGCGGAAACCTTGATGGTAGTAGCTGTGTCGCAGAGCAGAGAAGCAGCGGTGGGGACGCAGTGAGGGGCGGGTCGAGGTAGTCTCCGCAGACCATGGCATTGTAGAGGCCGTCGAGTCATATGGAGGGCGTGTTCTTGGCGAAAAAGGGTGGAAGCCGGATAGATGGCAAGCGAAAGAGAGGAGATCGAGGTGAACCAGGAAGATGGATACGAGGAGTGTGCCGAACCGAGTAGCATCGAGTGTCGAATGGTCAAGCTGCAGGTGAACAAAGTAAGATCTACATGAACATATATGTGGCTAGTGCTATGTACGGTGCTTGACGATCTCCCTACCATCTAAAAGCCATCTTTGGCTCTAGTCAGCCTAGGCCTCGCCTGTCTGCTACATGCTACGCACGGACCTCCACATTCCTCGCTGTGTGTGGCTCCTTTGGGATCTAGAAGTGAGCATGCGCTTTCCCTACTGCGTGAAGCTATTTCGTCAGTGACTTGTCCATCCGTGTTACTTCAGATCACTCACCGCTTGGATGTGAAGGGGCCTTTGCCAGACCGAACCCACTCCGCCGACCCGCATGCTTTTCAGAGCAAAATGAGGCGCCGATCTTCTAATCAGCCACTCCCAAGAGGACTAGAAAAGCCAAATTATCCGAGAAACTCACAGTTCCGGAACCGTCTGCACTTGTTGCAGCGGCTAAGCTCTTGTGCTGGTCAATATCGCGCAGGGTGGAAGTCTGCGTGATCAGCATGGGGTGTACTTAAGACGCTGCGAGCTTAGGGTGAACGGGCTCCGCTTGACAAGTGAACCAGAAAAGCCAACATACCTTGGTCGTTACAGGCAGCTCCTCCAGCACTTATCAACCTCAGCTATGACCACCCCACCTAGCCGCCATCTCCGGACGTCTCGACCTGGCTGTACTGGTATCTCTCACTGTAAAAGCGCGAGGAGAGCCGGATCCAGGTCCGCCGCCCGGATGACCCGCGGCCGTTGCTTGGCAGTCGAGATACGGGTATCGAGCCGATAAGCCGCCCGCAGACAGTCAGAATACCGCTTGCTCCGGGGGTCCGGCTGGTCCTGACTCTGAGGAGAGAGTTGCAGGGGTTCGTGACCGGCCAGATAGCCATTGGTCAGGCCGAGGTCGATGCAGCGCGCAATGATCCGAGACATCCGAAGCCACAGGTTTGGGGGGTGGCGTTCGGAGGAGCGCCTGATCGCTGACGACATGGGCACGTCCGCCTCGTCTATGAACGTGCTCGTCTCCTCATGGAAGCGGTAGCACGCGTTCCACAAGGCGCATTCCAGGCCATCAATGTCGTCCCAGAGGTCTGGGATAGGGAGGGATTCCGCCATGATGACGTAGGTGGAGGACTTTTGGCGCGATTTGTGGTGATGAAGCGCGCCGATCGCAGCGGCGAATAACCGAGTGTAGATATCGGCCATGTTTGGAGATCCGATCCAGTGCCGAGGGACGGGGAGAGAGCTCATGGGGTGGTCGGGATGTTCCGCGAGGACGCCGAGGTAGAACACGACGCCGGCGGAGTTGACGAAGCTATCGATGGAGGTGGAGGGGGAGGAGATGGGCTGGACGGTCTCGGGTAGGCGACCGATCTCGCTAGGAAGGTAGAGGCTCTGTGAAGCGGGAAGACCGAGCTCCCCAGGATCTCCGCCTCCCTCTGCACCCTGTGGCCCGTCCATCTCTCGAGGGCTGAAACCCAGCACCGGCCACCAAGGACTCTGCCCCATCGCCGTAACCGCCGTACCCGCCGCCAATCCCGCTTGCTGAGCTGATACGGACGAGGATCCAGTGAACACAGCACTCTCGGTCGCTGCGGGGATCTCCCCTTGGCTGGGTAGCCACGGGAGATGGGGGGTATCCCAGGGGAAAATGCCGGCTAGCATGTCGCCCGGCGATTTGGAGCCTCCTACCTGCTGGCTCAGCGGTAGAGGCGGAGGGGGAGGACCGGCGCTGGACGTCGCTCCATCTGGCGATTGTGAAGCGGTAAGCTTTTCGAGTTGTTCGATCCGAAGCAGTAGCTGTCTACCGGGCTCAGCGATGCTCTATCTTTCACTGAGAATCGATGACAAACGTACTGCTGCTCGCGCTCCTTTTTGTCCTTGGGTAGTACACATTCATAACCGTGCTGCGTGCAATTGCGGCAGGGACCAGGCATGCCTGAGCACTTGATCTTGCGGTTGCGGCATCGCTCGCAAGCGAGATGGCCAGCGACTCGATGCGAGCTTCCACTTCTGCCGGGCGGAGGGGGACTTGATGCTGGCGCCGGAAGGACAAGTTGCTCGGTCATGGTGTGGGGTCTGGCCTAAGCTGGCGCGTACAGGCAGTAGAGCTCCCAGCTGCTTAAGCGCTTAAGATGATGGCAAGTTGCACTCTACTTTACACAGCTGGCAGAAAGTGGAGGCAGCTTGGGTTGGGATATTTACGCAAGTTTCAGGTGCATGCTCGGGCCGCAACTCCGCCTATGATCGAGCAATTGCGGTCCTCTCTCCGCTTGTATCGCTTGCAGACAGGCATGCAGGCCCCCAAGCTCAATAGGTACAATGTCTGCCTGCAGACTGGTGGAGTCATTGTCACCATACTGAATTGACCGATTCACTGACTATCGCAATGAGTCGCTCGCAGCGATGTCTTGTTCTCGGCTCTATCAGTGAGTGCCGACCGCCCTATCCTCAAGGCCCTAGGAGTTTACTGATTCGCAGACTGCGACGAGGTCTTCCATCTTCCGCACACCATCAGACCCGGCGAGACTCTTTCGTCGACCGGCATATCCAGATGTCCGGGCGGCAAGGGCGCCAATCAGGCATATGCTGTAGCTATGGCAGGGGGAGGTGTTGATATGCACGGCTGCATCGGCGTGGATGGAGTCTGGCTTCGAGATTTCCTGGGGAAAGCTCAGATAGGAGTTGAGGGTATTCGCACTGTGGAGAATGAGGTATGTCGAAGTGGAAGAGACCTGCTGATTACAGGTGACTGGACGTGCCATCATCCTGCTCGCCGACGATGGAGAAAACAGCATTGGTAAGTCTCTTGTGGTCCACCGGCTGACGACTGTGCTTTCAAGCGGTGCCAATGCTCAATGTGCCTCTCCGTCATCGCTCGAGGGCTATTCGCATGCCCTGTTCCAGAACGAAATCCCCCTCTCGTCCACTATCGCTTGCTTGCACGTCGCCGCACCTCAGCACCTCGTCACAGTCTTCAACCCCTCACCGGTGCCCGCGCCAGAAGAGCTCCGGACCTTCCCCTGGCACTGCATCTCCTGGCTCATCGTCAACGAGGGCGAGCTGTTCGATCTCGTATCCGCGTGTGCTGAAACGAATACCCCCGCGTATGACGGCGACGGACACTCGAGCATACTCGACTTGCATCACGCCGAGGGCTTTGACGACATCGGCATCATCTGCACGCAAGGTGCTAGGGGTATCCTCTACTTTCATCCAACTCTCACTGCCGGTAAAGTCTTGGCCTTACCAGCTGCCGCGCTCGAGATGGCTCTCGTGGACACGACGGGTGCGGGAGATTGCTTTGCGGGGACGTTCGTTGCTGGCCTTATGCGGGGTGAGGGACTGGAAGATGTGCTCAAGGTCTGCTTGGCTGTCAGTTCATTCAACCTGTGCCGAGCGAATCTAAATATGGCGGCTGACAATCAGGCCTGCGCCGCGTGTGTCGAGGCACCCGGAGCAATGGCGAGCTATGCGAGCTGGGAGGATATCAAGCGCCGGTCTGGGCTTTGAGCGTGCGCGTAGAGGCAGCTGTCTAAGTATGGTAAACTATGTCCTGCGCTGAAGTGGCAAGGCTATCGACGTGGCGTCAGATGCATCTTTGAGACTGAGCCGCTTCCCGAGGGTCTGCACTGATAGCCTACAGGGATACAAAAAATGCTAATGCTAATCGCAATGCAAGGTAATGAAAATGCCTGGTATTGATATTTGCGATTTCATTAGCTATCCTCAACGCAACTTCAAGTTTCGCAAGTCGCAACCCTCTTCTTCGTCGCTCGGCTTTGCAATAACCTTCGGTCTCACCTATATCGTGTCGCACAGCATCCGCCGCTTCAAGGCAAGCTAGTAGAAGCCACATGAAGCTTCTGAGGTGAGCCATCTCGCTCACAGACTGTAGGATGTCATGCGTCCGTTGATCTCCAAGTCATCAAAACAGCGCGGGTTATCCCTGGCTTTGGCGGCCTGGTGTCTTCGTGACCTCGAACGCGCCAGGAGTCGACCCGATCAGAGAGCCTCTTCTGAGTCTCCCCTGGCCTGTGAGTCAGCTCCGGTTGTGGCAGCCAGGGTGGCACCGCTGAGCCTCACAGCGAGATCGGTTATGCGCCCGCCGTGTCATCAATCGAAACCCAAAGTCGGTAATCCCGTGCTTGAAGACTAGCTTTGGCTTGGACGTCCTCATGAGCGAGCTCCTGCTCATGTCCTATGCCGCGAGGAGAAGAGCCCTGATGCTCAGCTCATCGCGTGGGAGCAATGTTGCTGTCTCCCGGCTCTCGCCCGCAACTCCAGCTCTCAAGTGGGCCTCGCCCTTTTCCTGATGACTAGCTGATATGCATCCTTCTTCATGTGTGAGATTCCAGTCATATCCCGGACTGCGAGATGAAGGCGCTAATGACTAGCTCGACTCGCTCTACAGGTCCGGCTTGACCATCGCCCGTCTCGAACGCTGATTAGTCAAGCACTAAAGTCGGCTTGCCCTTTTGTCCAGGTTTCACTGTCGTGTGATCGTTACTGTTTGTGAGTGCTTATCTCGATCCCGGAGCGCGTGGTCAAGCGCTGATGGCTAGCGCATCCCGCTCTCGAGATCGGCATCGCCACCCCCCTGCTCAGACCCAGACTACAAGTTGGCTCCGCCCTCCTTTTCCGGGGACTAGCTGCCGTTACTGCATCTTCACCTGTGGGGCTTCATCCCAGTATATGTGTGCATAGAGAAAGGCGCTAATGGCTAGTTATTCCTGATCTCAAGATCGATGCCGCTGCCTCCCGGCTCATATCCAGAATCTCGACAAGTCGACTGCGCCCCCAGGTCTAGCTGCCGTCTTCTCGTCTTCCATTCGGGACCGTCGTCCTGTCATCGAGAGCGAGGAGAGAGGCGCGAATGCCCAGCCCTCCTTGATCTCGGGATGCGCCGCCTCCTGGCTCCTACTCGTATTGTAATATACGATGGGCTGCGCCCTATGCACGCGTTGTTGCCTGGGTATTCTCTCTGTGAATGGTGAGGCTACAGTCTCTTCCCAGACCGCTTGCAGAAAGGCGCTAATACCCAGTTTCCTCGCCACCGAGATCGATACCGCCACCGTCCTGCCCATACTCCAATCAAGTCCGCTCCGCCCTTTTGCGAAGCCTTAGCTGCTGTGTTATCATCTCCGCTCTTGACTTCCTTTTCGCTTCCCGAAGTTAGTGAAGGAGGCCGCTAACGTCTATAGCTCATCTTGTTCCCGATACCGATCACACAAGGTGCCGGCTTATACCTGACGATCAGCCCCAGGAGCGTGCAAATCGAGCAGGTAAGCGAGCAGTTCGACTCGCGCTTCACAAGCTCGCCGGCGCCGCCGCCCGAAGTGCAGCCGGTTGAGGTGAGGCTGACCGAGCGGGAGCAGAGAGTCTGTCGGTCTCGAGTTTGCGGCGGCAACGAGGGGGTGGATGCAGTGCGGAAGAGACGCTTGCGAGCGGGCCTTCGAAGAAGCGGGACAGGGGGCAGAGCGAGAGGGAGAGTGAACTACTGATCTGCGCTCTGATAGCCAGTCAGACTGTAGGCTGACAGGGCAGGTCTTCCAGGCTCGAAACATCCCCTCATTCCCCCTCTCATCACTCCCGCTCATTAGTCTCAAAATCTCTCATATCTCTCGATCGGATCCTGCCCGGTCGCTACATCCTTTTACCCCGCAAGAATCCCTCAGCTGGCGGGCTTGAGGGGCATTGCTAGCCGGCGGGAGTTTCAAACGGAGGATATGATGCGTGATGGTCGCTGGGATGTGCTGGAACGGCAAGGTCAAGGGGGGAAATGCTGGCCAATTTGCGGGTATCTGCAGCTGATCTGGTCGACCCTCAAACCAAGTGAGTTCTCCTATGATCCTTCCGTCCTCATATTGCCCCTGATAGTCCCTCCCAGCTCATTAGTATCTACTAGTAATTTGACGTTCGCCGATCAATAGCATGCAGCACTATCCGCTGTAGGCGTCACTCAAGCCCTACTCCTCGTCAGCCAGTCCTCGTTCTTGCCTTTGTGATGGAGCTCTATCACGCTACTAACTCTAAACTGATCCCTTGGCCCAGATTCGCTCGATTGTAGAACAAGGCAAGGTCCAGGCCGCACTCCTGGTCTCCTGGATCCTCACCAACTTAATCCCTCTCAAGGGGTTCCGCTGAGCTATAACGAATCACTGAATCGTCGCTGAGTAACAATTGCTGCCGGAATTGCCCTTCGGCGAATATTAGCGCAGTGAGTGGAGTAGGAGCAGCTGTCCAGCACCGAAGCTGAAGGCGTGCAAGGGACTGTCTGCATTGGTCTTGCCTTTCTGACTCAGCAAAGCCTTTCGACAGTCCCGCCCCGCGGTCTGGCTGGCAATATCCAAGGCGCCAGACGCACGTGCGAAATCTACCTGCTATACTGTGGTAACCCGAGTGTGCGCAGACGAGGGGAGCCATAGAATCGCTCAGAACGTAGGTCATTTGGCACCTAGCGGCGACGTTGACTCCAAGTTCACCCAGCTAATCTGCCGCACCTCTGCGCTCTATGGGCCGAGTGCGCTGCAACTTCAACTCTAGACTGGCTAATCGAAGACAGGCAACTTCCCTCTGTTGTCGCGTGTGGGCTCACGAAATGGTGGATGAGCCGGTATCGACGTCTCAACCTGAATGTGGCAGTGGAAGAAGGCGAAAGAGTCGCTTCGATGAGACAAGCGGACGGAGTGGAAGCTGGTGGATCAAGGGCATCAGTAGTTCCGCCAGACATATCCATAGCATACTGAGTCTAGCTGCAGGGTCTTACCTCACTCTACCTAATGGGACTGACCTTCAAGACGTCTGTCTTCTGCAGCAAGCTGAACAGCTTCGAATCTGAGCCACACGCCGGCGGCTCCCCGTTCAGGTGCCAAATCAGACTGATCGGCCTCTGGCGCCATGCTCGAATGGACCTATAGCTTGTGCGCGTTACGTTCCCAAAGGAGAGCTAGAGCTACTTGCATATGCATCGCTATCTAACAAACATATCTGACCTTGTACTTGCACTCCCCTCGTTGCACCAGCGGTCAAACCAGCAAACTCGTTCAGGCACCTGCGCAGAACCACCCGTCGCCTTCTCCGAATAACACTGACCAAGTCAGCGTCTGACATGATGAACAGAAATGAATACTCACAACTCGAAACGCAAAACATAAAGGCCTAGGGATACCCCGAGCCGGGAGGGTCGGTCCTACATGTCAGCTGAGAAGCGAGCGATGGTAAGGCTAACTCACAGTATCCTCTACTACCGAAACAACTGAAAGATGATGAAGAGATTCCGAAGCACGATTAGACCTGTACTGATCAGTTCGGAGACCAGTCCCTTGCTGAGTTACTCACCCACTTACTTCCACCACCGAGACCACCTGCCGCCCCGCTCAGTGCTTCAGCTCAGGCATAGCCGGGCGCTCCTCCATCCCCAGTGCTTCGCCGTCCTTGTCCGCGTACGCATCCTCCCCCTCCATACCCTCAGGCTCGGTAGCCTCGGCGATAATGTCGACCTTGGTGGTTCTGAACGCCCAGGCGCTGACCTTCCTGTCGAAGAGGATGTCCAGCTCCTGATTCGACCTTCCCTTGGTCTCCGGCAGACGGAAGATGGCCCAGAGGAGGATGATGGTGTTCGTCCCGAACCAGAAGAAGGCGGTCTTCCCCGCGAGATTGAGCTTGGTGGGGTTGATGAGGTAGGGCTCGATCACCTTGCTGGAGATGTTGATGCAACTGTAGGCGATGCGGGCGAGGGCAAAGGTGTGGTTGCGAGTACGGGTGGAGGAAATCTCGCCGACGATAGTGTACGCCATGGGCCCGATACTGACCCCATAGAAGGCGATCCAGATCATGGCAAAGGCCGCCTGGATCCAGGTCGAGGTCCCCTTCTCCATCGTGGCCAGACATCCGATGATGAGGAGGCAGGCCGACATCCCGAACAGCCCACCGATCACCATGTACCGCCGTCCCATGTAAGACATGAGGAACCACGCCAGACCGATGCAGCAGAACGAGATGGCAGTAGACCCGAGATTGAGTTGGTAGACCGCGTTGGAGTTGAGACCGGCTTGGGAGAAGAAGTAGGTGGGGTTGTAGGCGAACCGCTCGCCACACCAGCTCTGGGAGATAAGCATGAGGCAGGCGATCTCCGTGCGGCGCCGATGGACGCCTTTGAAGCAATCGAGGTAGCTCGACTCGGTCTTACCCTGGCGCTTTTCGTAGTCATTGGTGTGCACCAGGGTAGCGAGCACACCGTCAAGCTCGTCCTCCGAGACGTGCTTGCTGGTGATCCTCCGGAGGGTCTGACGAGCCTCCTCGAGGCGGCCGCGCCGTACGAGCCACCAGTGGGATTCCGGGGCGTAGTAGGCGATGGCAATGAGGGGTATGGGCCAGACCCATTGGAGGGCAAAGGGGATCCGGTATGACCACTCGTTGCCGAGGTTGACGAGGCCGACGAGGACGCCAGCGCAGATCATCTGACCGATGACCCACGCAACGCAGGTGAGGGAGGTGAGATAGCCTCGGACGGCAGTAGGGCAGAGCTCGGAAGAGTAGGCCGTGCCCATGACGGTGAAGACGCCCCATGGGATGCTGATGAGGATTTCGGAGAGGAGGAGGATGGGAAGATTGGGGGAGGCAAATTGGAGACCGATGAAGCCCATGAGGGGGACGAGGGCGAAGATCATGGTGCGACGGTGACCGAAGCGCTCCATCGCCCATCCGTTCAAGACGAGACCGATGAGCTGACCGCAGGAGATGGCATTGTTGAGGCCAAGCATCCACTCGGCAGGGATTTGCTTCTTGTTGATCTCGGCGTAGTAGACCCCGTACTTCTCGACGAAACTGGGGTAGGCGAAGAAGCTACTGATGAGCCCAGTATCGTAGCCCTCCATGACGATACTGAGGGTCATAGCGGCCGACCAAGCGATGGCACCGGGGTATTTCCGGAAGGCTTGCCGGACGGTCATGGAGACCTCGACGTCTTGGGCGCGGCGGAGGATGTGGGCGTCGGACTCGGACAGATGGGGGTCTGCCAGGTCTTCGACATGAGCCGAAATGGGTTTCTCGTGCGACATGGTGTGACGCCCGACTGTAAAGTCAGTATTGGCTGCTCGAATTCGGATGCTACGACTCACTGCTTGTGGGTAGGACAGGCGTTCTTGGACAGAGCAGGGAGGAGGTGGGGAAGGTGGGGAAGGGGGACGGATCGAGAACAGGGATGAAGAGGGGACCTGGCGGAGGAAGGGGACCTGGCGGAGGAAGGGGACCTGGCGGAGGACGTCTGCATATAACCAGTCATCATCCGCCTGTGCACAAGATGGAATGCCAGTAGATGTCATTGACGACTCTGAATCTTGTCCTCAGCGGGACCCGTGAACGGCGTTTTTCCCCGCCCATCAGATGCATCTTGGGCTGGCGGAGTAAAGCGGGGCAGCCGGGGTCTCCATTGTCGGATACCCGTAACGGCATCTCTCGGCTGAAACCCCGCAAGTGCGGCCCGCAACTCCGCGCCGCTCACCGAGATGGGTCCGTGGCTACAGCGCACGCAGTCAGGCATAAGACTGGATAAAGCCCCGTCTCTCGCTACTCTTCGAACCCATCTACTCTCGCCCACACTCAGTGAGTTCAGCTACTCACGTGCGCCTCTACTCTGGCTATGACCGCTAACAGTCAGACACTGGAAGGACGCCTCCCTGTCGAGCTTCACCGAGCCCGTCTTCCTGCCTACACCGGAGTTCGAATTAACAACATCTGCCTACTCCTGCAAAAGGTAAGCCCTCTTATCTTCAATCCTGAGACTCCTGCTGACATCAAGAAATCTTCCTCCCTCCCTCCAGCCCACGTTTCCTGCCTAGGCCACCCAACCTGTGATCCAGCCACCCTAGGGTGAGTCGAATCATACAGCGTTCTGCTCGCCCTTGCTAATTTGCAGGTCCTCTCAAATCATTCAAAGGCCACGTCTCGAGATCAACGCCCCACTCATCCTCCACACCCCTTATCCTCCACGCCCTCATCCTCCACACCCCTCACCCACACGCACCCCGGCATCCACACTTCCGCAATACCATGTCCCCCATCGCCGTCACCTCTCCCAATGAGCCGCTGCGAAACCTCAAGCAGTGCGCCGCCGCCGCGACGCCTGGGCTATCGACCGAAACATGCGACGCCCTATCCTTCCAAGGCCGAGTCCGCGCGATGATCTTTGGCGGAGCCTTCGGTGACGCCCTCGGCGCAGTCATCGAGAAGATGACCCATCAGGAGATCAAGGACATGTACGGCAAGGTAACCCACCTGGACGTACCTTGGTGGCGGGAGACACAGGATGCTGTCAGGCGCAAGGGTCGAGTCAGGGGACGCGGCATCATCACCGACGACACCCTCATGACCATCTGTCTCATGTCCGTCTACTGCACGGAGGAGCGCCACCTCGACGCATGGGACGTGGCCCGAGGCATCATCCGCGAGGTGGTCTGGACCCCTCGGTACATCCCCGAGATGCAGCGCGAGACTATGCTCCAGGAGCGTCTCTGGTACGCCGAGAAGTGGCTCTTCATGCGTCACCAGATGACCAACTGCGATCCTCGGCAGGGCGGTATCGGGAACCAGGTCAACTGCGGAGCCGCCATGTACATCGCTCCCATCGGCGCCGTTAATGCTGGTAACCCTCGCGCGGCGTACAGCGAAGCAATCCACTTTGCCTCGGCGCACCAGGAGTCGTACGGTCTCGAGGCGGCCGGGGTGCTTGCGGCGGCGGTGGCTGCTGCCTTTGTCCCCGGCACCACCGTCGATGACATCGTCGAGGTGGCTATCGCGGTTGCCCATGACGGCACCAAGGCTGCCATCGTCGCCATCGTCGAGGCCGCCCGTGCCATGATCGGAGCGCCGTACGACGATGTCGTAGTCAAATTCCACGAGGTCATTGCCAAGTACTCGTACACTGGCGATGACATCGACTACACCATCGACAAGGCCGGTGTTCCCTCCCAGGCGTACCGTCCCTCCCGCTTCAACAGCATTGAGGAGCTACCCCTCGCCTTCGGCTTTGCCATCACCAACAAGGGCGAATTCTACGGCAGCATCATTGACGGCGTCAATTCGGGCCGCGATACCGATTCGATCGGCGTCATGATCGGTTGCTTCCTCGGTCCACTCCACGGCGCCTCCGTCATCGAGAAGCAGCATCTCGACATGCTCAACTCGGCCAATCACTTTGATCTCCTCAGCAATGCCGACGCCTTTGGCAAGGTCGCTCGTAAGATCCAGGCGGAGGATGAGGAGGAGATCCATAAGGTCTTGCAGGCGAGGAAGCAGCTGGCTTGAGGCTTGAGCGTGCAGGGCCAGGTTGAGTTTGGGACTAGGTAGTCTTTCATATCGAGTGCCTAGATTGAGATCAGTATGCAACATGTTTCTTGCTTGACCGTGATCGATCAGTCTCTTCCTGCTGTTAGCTGGCCTAGTAGAGATGACATCACAATGCCTGCGCCACCTTGTCCTATCCATCCCGCATCTTACAGTGGTAATACCCGGTCCGATGATCCCGGTCCTATTGATGTGATCCCCATCTTGAACCCTCGATCCCGCTTCTTGAGTTGTGCGCTCTTCCTCCCTCACATTTCCCCCTTTTTTGCCTACTGCCTCTCTGTCTCTGCTTAGCCCTCTTGTGCCTCCTGACCCCTCGGATAGCCCTGACCGGGTAGGACTCGGAGTTGGCTGGAAGGTGAGTGGGTAGGGCGGGATGGAGGGGAGGCATGGATGGCGCCGTATGGATGTACCACTGCAAAGCGGTGTGGGAGGGGAGCCGAACGACATTGACGTTGGCCGTCCCTTTATGCTCGCGATAATCTGACTTAATGGAAGTGGAAGACGTGGGGGCAGGAGATACGAGCATCGGCAGTTTGGGTCAAGCATGATGATCAGCGACGCGATACGGTATTCGATGACGTGTTGACCACTGCGGATGTTTTGGCTTCGGACGGCCGCTGCTATATAGATCAGCTGCTGAGCTTTGCCCAGGCATCTTGTGGTTGCCTGTAGCTCGACTGTCGTCACCCGCTCTGGCCCGTCTGCGATCCTCACATAACAGCGATGCTCTCCACCTACAGATCAGTCGCGTCAACGCGTGACAACGCCTTTGCCGGTCCGTGTCCTCATTCCTCGCAGGGATGTGTGTGTGTCCGCGGGCGACTAGGGGAGCAGAGAAGATCACTCAACTTGACAAACACAGCCTTTGGGTCTGGGCCAAACAATCATGTCAGCACTGGCTTCGACGCGTAGCTCTGTCGTTGTGCTCATCTACTGACCATATCTCATCCCATCTCTCTCAGCATCTTGACTCTTGACAGATAGTATCGACGCGACAATCTGGGCGTTATGCCCTCCCCGCCATTATCGCCCATCCCCCGGCGGATCAATACCCCATCCATGGTGGATCTGCTGTCCTCGCTCGAGCGGTCATCTGAAGACGGACGCGGGTTCCCAGGATGGCGAGACGCGCCGAGTCGACCAGACGAGGAAGGAGAGGTCGAGGACCTACTCGTACCGGTCGGTCCTGACATTCGCACCACTTCACCGTCGCCACGGCGCTCGGATAGGCTGAGTCCGCTATCAGGAGGAACTTGTGGCAGTCCGCGTCAAGGTGAGCTATCTTCTGCCCACGCTCCGAGCCGAGCCGACGCGCCAGCTGCTATCCAACATCCCCAGGACACCGGCCAGTCCGTATCTACGATCGACCAGGCCTTCGCCGATATCCACAGCACCCTCTACCAGCTGGCTTCAGGTCGTCCGAGCCCTCAGCCACACGCTCTTCCACTTCCTCCCAGCCCTATCCCGTCCTCCAAATCCTTATCATCCCCTTCCAGCCCTCGGATCACCTCACGTCCCCTCGTCGGCCTTGGTATAGGCACGACCGATGGATCCCGTCTCTTTCCCGACGAGCACAGCCGTCTCGAGGCGGTTACGGAGCGCACAGAACCTTCATCCAAGTCCTCCAAAGGCAGTATCCGGAACTCGCCATCTCCCACTTTCGGTCCTCGTCTCCCCTTACCTACCCGCCATCCCCTTCCTGCTACCCCTATCAAGGCACGCTCAACCGCTAGCAACAATGCGAGCCCCTCGAAAGCGTCCGACCTCATCAAGATGTTTGAGAATCGGACGGGCGATCGCCCACGCGTCACACCCGCGCATACCGGTCCCGAGCGGTTCGAGCGGCCCGTCACCCCTCCTCCTCCTCCATCCTCATTCCGCCCACCTCCTATCTACGGCTTTGAGCCACCAATGCTCAATCAGCCTTCACCGGAGAATGTCGAAAGCCTTCACCCGGTCCGGTCTCGCTCGGCATCCCCGCAAGCTTCGCCCGCTGCGACTTTCAAGTCGCTCGTCGCTAGTTGGCGAAACCGGTCCGGATCGCCTAGTCAGCGCGTGATCGGTACTCCAGGCAAAGCTACTCCCGGTCTCGCTAGATCAGGGGGATGGAACGTGTCCATCCGCCGAAGGAGGAGGGACGAGGGGCAAGAAGTAGGATTGGCGGAACGTGCGGAAGATGCAGTGGAGGATACTGCGAGAGCGAGGTTGCCCACTCCTCCTCCGGTCCCTCTGGTGGCTCCCCTACCGCTGAGCGCGACTCACCCGCCCGATACGCAGGTCGAGCGTGCACCATCCCTGCAGAGCTCGCGAGGCAGCGCTCCGATCATATCCGGCGAGGTAAGCTACACTTCCACCTTCAGGCAATGTCAAGCTGATTCCCAGGCCATCAAAGCAGGTACACTTTGGTATCTGAACGTCCACGATACTGTTCGAGCGCCAAACTACATCTGGATCCAGGCCGATGCGAGGCTCTTCCCGACCGGTCTTCAGCTGGCTTGGCGGACGGATGGGGGCGCTCAGGCGATGGTCACGTTCGATATGGAGTTCTGCGAGGGTGAGTACTACCCGTGGTATGTAGCTGATGCCAGAGGTCGCGTCGACGTACAGTCCAACTCACCCGCTCGCGGAGGGCGACCTCGGAGCCATGGCTGCCAGAGCTCAGGGCAACTTGGCGGAAGACCTCTATCCATTCAAGCTGGTCTATGATGACGGAACGGAGAGGCTCGGTTGTGACAGCGCTCGGGAAAGAGGTGAGCTCCAGCACAAACATAGCTGATATCAGTCCGCTGGGTCAACGCTATCTGGACGGTCCTCGAGCAGTCCCGCGGTCCCGCTCGTCAATCCCTCCACGTTCAGCGCCCCACCTCCATCTTCTCCTCCAGCGACGAAGGCTCCTTCTCAGCTATCCGCGACACCAACTTCCTTCCCCACTCGACTATCGACGATGCCTTCATCACCACTTCCGGCGGCTTCCATGCGCCTCTCGCACACCGCGACTCGCGTCGTCTCGCTGCTGGGCGTCTGGATCGGACTCGCTCCCTTCGTCGCGTCGCTTCCGAGGCGGACCTGTCCGACCCCGTCGCTCACGAGCATGCGGATCTGGACCGGTACTCTGCTGGGCCGCTCACTGCGGAGCTCGCTCGGTCTCGGCCCGTCTCGCGAGACTTTACATTCGCGAGGGGACAAGCACCGCCCGCGCTCTCTCCTCCGCCGATGTATACCTCGCCGCTCATCCCTGCCCCGTCGACCTTCCAGACTGCGCAGTCGGAGATCACCTCGTACCATACTCCAGCGGCCTCACAATCTCATCCTCCTTCGACTACCTTCACCTCCGCTCAATCCGAGTTGTCGACGTATCGGACTCCGGCGAGTCAATCCACCTACCAAGCCACGGCGTACACCTTTGGCGATGGCTCGTCGGTGGTCACTGCTCAGACTGCTCAGACGTACGTACCTCGAGGCCAATACACCGCCGACCCCTCTAGCCCCATCGAGCGATCGGAGCGGACATCGTACTTCACCCCGGCGGTCCCTTTGGTGGCGGTTCCTTTGGTGGCTATCACTGGTGCTTCTCCACGTCAATCTACGGCATATGGAAGCGCCGAGACCGGCTCGGAGTACCGTACCGCAGGAGATAGCGGTCTAAGCGAGTATCAGACCGCTCCAGCTGCTTCCTCCAAGCTCGGGTCTCCCTTTATGCTCTCGGACGAGAAGGCGTCGGTCAAGGACAAGGCGTCAACTAAGGGCAAGGCGACCTCCCAGGGGTCCAGCACTTCGGGCTCGGAGAGGTCCTATCAGACGGCTCCTCCCCCGGTCCCATCCCGGGACTCGAAGTACATGCCCTCTACCTTCGGCGCCGAAACCACCACCACCGCAGTACGGTATCAGCTCCATGACGCGCCCGTTCCATCTCGGTCGTACTCGGACACCCGGTCGTACGGTACTGCCCCGCCCGCAAGTATCACCGAGATCTACGAGACGGCCGCCTCCAAGCCTACCGACTACTTTACCGCCCAGACCAAGTCGACCGAGTACTTTTCCGGCTCGCGCGCCCTCTCGTTCAGCTCGGAGATGCAGGAGCGGGCCGAGACGGCGACCCATATCAGCGATGGGACGGACTATGATCTCATCGCGGACCTGGAACGCCAGTCTTCTGCCGGAAGTGCGCTAGTCAGGCGCCGTCCGACTGGAGCCCGGACGAGATCGTACGACTCGGCTCCGTCCCGCAGTACGATCCGAGAAGGGGCGCAGACGGTATACCAGACGGCTGGCGAGTCGGCTTATGCGACTGCTCCTTCTTGGCACGCGACAAGCTACTATACTGCGCCAGACCCGGGGTCGTCAAAGCCCAGTAGTGCATCTACCGCTCAGTCTACTACCAACGGAAGCAAGATCAGGCGGGTCCCGGTACCGTCTATCCCGCCGCCGAGTCCTTCTCAGCCATCCTCGATCCCCTCGTCCGTCCCGCCCTCGGATCCGGGAACGGTTCCGTCGTACTCGGATGGAACTGCGAAGACTCGAGCTGGATTCGGGTATGACCTGAGCCGCATGATGGTGAGTTGTACAATCTATCTCCTATGGTAAATTTGGCTGACGGTCAGAACTACCTCCAAGGTCAAGATGAGGCTCGGCAAGGTCAGACCACTCGGCTTGCTTCTCAGCTCGACCGCATTGAGGGCAAAGTCAGCAATATCGCAGACAATATGGGTCCACCTCCGCTCCCCTCCAAGGGACCCCGATCTCGCTCATCCTCCTCTTCGTCCATCGAGACTGCTCGTCCAGTCACTCCTCCCGCTTTTGTCGTCCCTCCTCTCGTCAATGACCGGCTTGACGACATGCAGCGGCTTCTCGGTCAACTCGTCGGGCAGAATCGGGATCTCATGGACGAGGTCGCTCGGCGCCGGTCATACGAGGTCGAGCTGCCGCCTATGATTGGTCCGCAGAAGCGACTGGAGGACATGATGCGTCGCATCCTCCAGAAGCTTGGCGATGACGAGTACGACGAGTACCCTCCTGCATTTGGTCACAGTCCCCCTCCTTCCCCGCCTGGCTCGGTGTATACTCGGGATGGGTCGATGTATGGCGGTACCGGAAGCGTCTTCTCGGAGCGTCAAGACAAAGCTAGGGCGCCGGCTCCGAGCTTTACGTCCAGCCACGATCGGCGCAAGCGGTTCAGCGGTGTCCCGGACTCGCTCCTTGACGGCTCGGTCGGCGGAGGCGAGTTTGACCACTACAATCTCAACGATCTGCCGCCGCAAGATCCACCGCGCGAGCACATCATCCCCCATGTCCAGGTCCCGCCTCATCTCGCCAAGCACCGGCGGCAGCAGTCCGAGGCGCCTACTCCGATCATCCACCAGGCAATACCCGAGGAGCCAGAGTACGAGGAATCTATCCCTGAAGAGCCGGAGCGCGAGAAGCCGAACCAGCAAGCTTATGCCGAGACGGAGCCGGAATCGCCTGACCTCCCTCCCATCCCTTACAAGCAGGATCAGTACCAGCAGGATGACGAGACCCCGTCCGTCTACTCTGATGACTTTGCTCGGGGACAGGCTCACCGCGGTCCCCCTCCTCAACCGGTCGATCTCCCTACTCCTGTCAACTCTGCTCGGAACCTCCCCACCAACGGCGGCCAGTACATGCCCGGCATGTCTGGTCCGGGTATGATGGGTCCAGGCGGTCGTCCTCCTTTCCCTGGCATGATGCCCCCACCTGGGATGATGAACATGCCTCGCCCGTCTTTACCGAGAATCGCCGGTGTTCGCGATCCCATCTCTACCACTTAGTGAGTTTCCGGCCTGGGCAGCGCTGACTCCAGCTTCCGACGCGGCTTCCCTCCTCCCGGTCCGATGGGTATGGGTCCCATGGGCATGGGCATGTTCCCCGGTCCGATAGGCATTCCAGGTCCGGTACGTCCCAACTTAGAGCAGAGCTGATAAACAGAGAATGGGGCCTTTCATGCCTGGTCTTCGTCCCGGTCTCGGCGGCTTCGGCGGCCCCGTCGGTCCTAATGTCGGCCCCGGTCTCCGTCGTCCTGGCTTCTTCCCTCCTGGTGTACCCGGTACTTCAGGCGGCTACGGTCTTCCCGCTGCGTCCCGATACGGTCCCGGCGGTGTCTCTCGTCCTGGTCACCCTGGCGGTCTTACTCCGGATACCGGCATCGGGAACACTACCTCGGAATCTTCGTCTTCGCCTTCTGCTACTACCGTCGAACTGGTCACCCCCGTCACTGCTCACATACCCATGGAACCCACTATCGTACAGGCGCCCGGAGCTCAAGCTCCGTCGGCAGATACCGTGAGTGCTGCTCAAGGATATAGCTGATATCCAGGATGACAGCTTCCGCCGCGCTCTCGACAATACCCAGACCCTTACCGAAGCGCAAGGTGTCCACCAAAACGAGATGTCCCGCTTCATGCACGGCCTTAGCGACCAGCTCTCTAGGAACCGGAACGCCAACGACCAGGAGCTCGGCCAGATCCTCAATGAGCTCGGTCGACTCCGGAATGAGCTCAAACCCAAGCACATTACGGGTCGGGTCTTACCGGACGGCACGGTCGTACTGGACAATGGCGATGTGGTGGATGGTGTCCGCGGCGCTCCTTTGCCTGGCTCAGAACACCTCCCGCCCCCACCCCCGTCGGTGCCGCATGTGGCTGGACGGGTATTGCCGGATGGAACGGTCATGGCTGGAGACGCTATTCTGGACGGGGTACGCGGTGCGCCTCAGCCTGAGTTGACCCTCGAGACAGTATTGCCGCCTCAGCAGATGAAGGATCTGGATCAGGATATGAAGCTCGCGGCCTTGATGGATAAAGGTGAGCTGGGTCCGCATGCAGAAGTTACAGCGAGCTGATACGATAGTGGCTGAGCTCATGCAACGGAGCGAGCAGCAGGCGATAGACAACTCGTCCATCCGTGCCCAGGCCACCCCGCACCACCACGGTAACGATATCATCCGCGAAAAGACCACCACGAGGGAGCACGAGATCATCCGGGAGGGACACGGCTCGCAACAAGACGGTCAGGATCACTTCCATCCCAGCTTTGAGATGGACAATACCCCAGCTGCTGCGCCCGGAATGGTCATTACCGAGACTGTACCTGCTGGACCTGGCGCCACTACGACTACCACCTTCACCAAGATCAATCCTCGGACTGGCAAGCCCATCTCTATGCCTACGCCTCTATCCCTCCAGCCTCGAGACCCCTCGCCTATCCAGACACCGATGGATGCGGCTCAGGGTGGTCATCTCATCCGGGAAGAGCATGAGGAGGTGAGTTATTCAGATCTGAGCGAAAGAGCGGAGCTGACTCTTAGATCGTCCAGCGTCCAGGCGGCGGACCACCTATCACCACACACACCACTACTCGTACCTACGTCCACCCTGACGGCACCACTACTACCTCTGCCAACATCGCGCCCACCCAAGGCCCGGCTGGTCCAGCTGGAGGTCTCAGCGACCCCGGCATGTCCGCCATGCCCGACTTCCCCGCCCCTGCTACCGGCGCTCAGTTTTCGGACCACGAGGTCATAACCCAGGCGAATATGCCGGTCGTCAAGACGCAAAAGCAGACAACGGAGGAGCATACGGTCGGTCCGAATGGGGCGGTGGTGGACAAGACATCAACGTCGTTCGAGCAGACCAAGCTGCCTACTGGATCAGCGGGTGGGGTGCCTGCGAGCGGGATGGCGAACGTACCTACGGCGAGCGGTCCCAGCGGAGCCGCTTCGGTGCCGGGAGCAGGTCCATCAGCTGGACAAGCGGCGAACGTACCACCCGGTCCTGGCCCTACGACTGTCGCCAATGTTCCGGCTAAGAAGGCGGACAAGCCGATTTGGGAAACCAACCACCCCAAGCCGGTCACCACGAGCAACAATGTCCCCTCAGGACCCGCCGCTCCCCCCGCTGCTGGCGTCTCTGCTCCAGCTGGCGCGTCGGGAGCCACGCCCCAAGGTACGGCCGGTCCAGGTCCAGCAGGTCCACCCCCTACATCACTCTCGAACATCCCGTCGGCGCCGGATGCAGGCTCTGGTGCTCCAGCTGCCGGCGGCGCTCCAGCTGCGGGCAGTGTGCCCGCTGGTCAATCAGCAGCTCCAGCCGGTAAACAAGGATTAGGGGTAAGTTGGCTTCCTCATCTCCCCGTGAGGGAAGCTAACGGTGCTCTCAAGAATCAGTAAGTCTTCTGTTTGAGCTGCTGAGCGCGAAGCTGATGACATCAGGCCGGCATCGAATACCCTCGTCAAGCCCGGCCCTATCCAGCCCGGCAACGCGGTGTCGAATGTCCCTCCTGCTGGCCAACCAGGTTCTTCCGCAAATGTCCCTCCTACATCCCAACCAGGTGCGATGCCGCCTACGGCGGTCTCAAATATCCCCGCTGGGAATGGCGCATCCGGATCCACCGTGCCTATTCCTGTCCCGGTCGGTACCGGCGCCGCTCCTACTTCGACTACTACCACGACCAAGCCAGCAGGAACCGGTCTCCTCTCCAAGCTCCAGCCGTCCACGTCCACCGAGAATATCAAGACGGCTGGTCAGGGCCCGCCCATCGTGCCCGGAACGCCCGGTCCGGACACTCGGCCGCTGAACGATACGAACCACAAGCAGACCCGCTTCTCCGATACTGCTGGCGTCTCTACATCCCCTCCTCCCGCGGTGGATACGGTACACAATGTCGGAACCACCCCTGCTTCTCCCGCCAACAAGCTCAAGAAGCCTCTCCCCTCGGCCGGTACCGGTGCACCCGGAGCTCCTGGAGCACCGGCGGAATCTTCTACCATGGGCAACATCCCCGGTACGTCTGGACCAGCTGCAGGTGTATTTGGCCCTGCCCAACCAGGCCAACCAGGCCAGCCTGGTCAGACCGCTCCGGGCGGGAAAGGCGGAAAGAACGCCTCGGCTCCGGTCGACATCATCACTCCTCTTCCTGCGCCACACCAGCTCGAGGAGGTCATTCTCCCGGACGGGACCGTCGCGTATGTCAAGAGGGCGGACAAGGCAAAGGTCGACGAGAGCTCCAAGCTCAAAAAGACCGACAAGACCTCGGCGACGGCAGCGACTGGCGCTCCGTCCGGTATACCCATGAACGAGTCGGCGACGGGTCATGGACACTGCAGTGTGTGCTGCCCTTCTGCGCCCAAGACCAACATGGGCCAGCCCGTCCAGCCCTGCGCGCATCAGGATGGGCCAACCGTGGTTGCCCTCGGTGGTCCGCCCGGTGTGGGCGCCAACAAGCCTGGTGCGGCAAAGATCACCAAGCCTGCGCCTGGCGGTACAACCGTGGTCACTCCTGCCCCCGCTGCGGTGCCCGATGTCAACGTCACGGACGTCAATAATGTCGGACCTGGATCGGTGGATACTGCAGGTCAATGGAAGAAGGGAGGCAAGCCGATACCTGTACCTGTACCGGGCGGAGCGGGGCCGGCGATGAGTGGGGAGCAGAAGATGGAGGAGGCGAGGAATCTTGCTGGTGAGTTTTAAGCTCTCTGATCGAGTCAGTTGATAGCTGACAATACAGTCAAGCAGAAAGCGGCAGCTGAGCAAGCTGCGGCGGAGAAGGCTGAAAGAGACGCCGCCGTTAAAGCCAAGGCGGACAAGGCGAAGCTACAGGATGACCGGCACAAGGCCAACTTGGATGCGCTGGGAAATCTGCAGAAGCTTCTGGTGGGTCAGCTGCCTTGTGAAGAGCTCTTCGGACGTCCAGCTGATATGCCAGGAATCGATGGCGAAAGATCAGAAAGACCGGAGCACATCGACCGATAAACGCCGCACCGACAAGACTGCCCGGGACAAGAAGTTCCAGGATACGCTCGACAAGCTTATCGTCCAGAAGGATGAGGGGAAGAAGAAGGAGGATGATAAGACCAAGAAGGATAAGGAGGGGACGCAGGCGGTATTGGATGCTATTCAGTCAGTTGGAGTCCCTGGCGAGCGATAGTGGGAGCAAAGCTGACAGCGCAGGACTTTCGGTAAACAGGAGAAGGAATTCCTTGACCGGTTGGCGAAGGGTATCTTGGAACAGAATTCGAAGCAGCACGAAGAGACGCGGAATGCTTCGAAGTTGCATGCGAGGGAGCAGGTTGGGTTCAACTTGGCGGGATAGTGAGTCCTCTGCTTCCTGATTCGAATGGGGATGGAGCTGACTCTTCTCAGCCTTGACGATTTCTCGAAGTCGTTGTCTGGGGAGGTACGGTCGTTGTTGCATGAGGTGTCGGGCCTGAGGGAGACGAGACGGGCGCTGTACTAGTAAGTTGCCTTTGGCGAGATTAGCTCGGCCTGTAGCTGATGTCGCAGCGAGCTTGCGGAGTTGCTTCTGATGAAGGGTCGGCAGTCAGCTGGGTAAGCTTACTATCCCTTGCTAGTCGGGAAAGAAGCTGACTTATCAGCGATCTCATGGCAATCATGCCCTACCCGACCAAACCGCCAGCCAACCCCGCTGCGAAGGGCGGAGCTCAACCTGCCAAACCAGCCGGAGACAACAAGGGCGGGGGCGGTGGCGGCGGCGGAGGAGGAGGCGGAGGCGCGGGCGGAGGCAAGCCTGGCGGTATCCCTGCATGGTCAGCGTGGCAGCCTCCCATGGGGCCAGCGACCGGCATGCCCCCCATGCAGGTCTTCCCACCTGGCGCTCCTCGACCGCTCCCTATGCCAGGGATGGGACCGATGGACATGTTCAATATGGCGGGCGGAGCTGTTCCGGGCCCACCACCTCCTTCTGGTGTAAGTCTTCAGCGATAGACACGGGGATTCAGCTGATCTGACAGAATCGACCCCTTCCTCAGGTGTGATCTTGGCGCAGTGGGTGCAGAGTGGGGATAGTTTTGGACTTTGGGCTTGTGGCAACACGCATCACCTACTTCAAGACACCAAAGAAACTCCGGGTCGGATCTTGCGGTTACCTTACGGTTTGCTTCAGTTTTTGCTATCTCTTACTGTTACTGCATCTATCTATCATATTCAGAAACGACCTATCATGATGAACATACTCTGTCTGGGCCGTAGCTCGAGCGCAGAACTAGACTCGAAGGCATAGCGGGCTAAGCCAAAAAGGTCACGTGCCGGTCTGAGACAAGCCGCGCGCAGCAAGATTTTCAGATTTCGTACAGCCACTTGTTCATCCATCATCCACAATGTCTACCAGTGTCAAGCCCGCCAACCCCGACCCAGTCGTACCCAAGCGCGCTCGTAAGCGGAGAAGACGGCAAGCATCATACTCTGCCTCTTCGTCCGACTCGGACGACAGCTCGGATGATGAGCCCTCCCGACCCGTTCCCGCTCCAGCGGACGTCGACATGTCCTCCGCCTTTTCCTCCTCCTCTTCATCTTCCTCCTCCTCCTCCTCCTCCTCTTCATCCTCGTCCAGCTCAGATTCCGAATCGGACGATGACGCCGCGCCCGCCGAAAAAGCCGCGAAAGTCTCCAAACATGGTCAACTTGCGGCATCTATCCGTCCCGCCATAAAAACAAGGACACCGCGGCATATGTCCAACTCGCCCTCGCCTCCTCCGGCTGTGGCTGTCCCTTCGTTCTTGCCGAGCAGAAGCGGGGCGGCTGAGGGAGAGGAGGCGGGAGAAGAAGATAGGAGGGCGAGGTTTAGGAGGGTGTATATGGAGAAGATGGTAGAGGGGTTTGGAAGCGATCTGGATAAGCTGAGAACGGTAAGTTTTGCTGTCTCGCGTTTTGTTGTGGGTTCGAAGGCAGAATGGGAGAATGAGGCTGCCTATGATGAAGACGATGTTCTGCAGCGGGGATGGCGCTGATTTCGCAGTCTGACCCAACGATGAACCCCGCTCGGATACAACTGCTCGTCAACTCGCTCCAAGCAGGTAAGCATCTCCTCCATGCCAGCTTGTTTGCGACTGATTGGAGCAACAAAGGCTGAGGAGCGAGCTGACAGTGTAGGTATAAGTATCTACGGCGATCCATCAGCATCTGAAGATAGTACGAACAAACAGGCGGAAGGTGTCGACGAGGTCGCGGTCATCTTGGGCAGCAAACCCTGATCGGGGTTTCGGGGCGAATGTAACGACTAGTGCTCTCCGCTTCAACTGTACTGATCCCCAATCTGTAAATGCTAAACACCTGACATGCCTCTACCGCGGTACCTTCAGATATACAAGTCAGGCAGCAGGGCAGGGGGAGCGATGAGAAATCGAGAATGGGCTTATGGGGCTGTTCACGCCACGAAGCTAATGCAGCCGTCTTGCGGCTTTCATCAGAACGGCGAGGTTATAGGGCGACGCTTATCGACTAATACCGAAAGTCCAGCAGTCGTCAGCGTTCGTCGAGGGAGACTGCTTCACTGCGCCTTGCCAGGTTCCGGCTGACCAAAATTCTGTGACGAAATCCCGGACCTTATGCTATGTCCGATGGCTCAATCAATGTCCACCAGCCTATCCATGTTACTGACTCCCAGTAGACAGGGCATCGGGAGAAAGCGGACTGGGCTCTGACGTCCCTCACACCCAAAGACCGAAAATAAAGGCGAGCGCTGTTGAGTTGCCCTTGGTGTCATCCGATTGTCCCTGGTGCCCGGCGAGAATCGGATGTCAGCCTTCCCAAGGACGTCGTCTGATTCTGAGGCTCTTTATAGCCATGAGTGGCTTGTGTTCATGCGAGCTGACTCGTCATGCGCGCGATGGGGGCCAGGGATTCAGGATGGGCTCCACACTAGCGAAACTGAGGGCCGAGGATGTAACCTTCTCTTCCGTTGCGATGTGCACTCTGTGTTCAGCTCATCCCATGGTCACTCATATATACCGTTACGTGCTTCGTCAGAGTGCACACGACCATGTCTTTGAGGCCATCATACAGCAAAGGCATAATGAAGGGGCGGAGCATTCCTCGTCCGGCGTAACGTAAGTGCCACTTTCCCACGCTTACTTTGTGTAATGTCTCTATTCCGTGCGTGTTGACAACAAACGGAGCCAGCCAGCCAGATTGAGCTTCAGCTTCAGCGCGACTGTCATTGTTCTCTCCATACCATAGCGATACATCTCTCAGCTGTCCATACCATCATCAAAGCGACACCATGATGGACGACCCATTCGCACCTCCACCACCTCCCCCGCCCCCAGCGGAGGCACCAGGCCCTGACGCGCCGGGCAGCGCGTCCGAAAGCGGAAAGGCAGCAAAAGCCCGGACGGTAGGTCTTCCCTCCTGATCCTCTCGAAAGCCCAGCTGACCCAGCAGAAACAATGCAGATGCAGCAAGTGCATCCAGACGCCAGAAGGGTTTCGCTGGCTGCCTACGTCCACGGCAAGCGACCATGCAGCGCGCGACAAGGCGCGAGGAATGGCAGGGAGCGCCACATCCGGGTCACCCGTTACAAAGGTCCCCAAGGCGCCCAAAGTCCCTGTGCCAGGTCGGAAGCGCGGGCGTCCGTCCAACGCTTCTCGAGCGGCAGAAGCGGCCGCCCTCGCTGCTGCTGCTGCTGCAGGCGATGGACCGTCCGCATCGGCCTATCCGCCGTCCAACCCGAATCTTCAATTCAGCTTTGAAGGGATGGGCATGTTCGCGGCGAATCAGGCGATACCGTCGGCCTCGGGATCAGGCTCGGGCTCCGGATCTGGCCCGGGTCAGGCCACGACGCTAGGACAGGGAATTGACGAAGTTGCGGGAGAGGCAAAGGCGTATGTGCCCGTCTGGCAGCAGCCGCCACCGTTCATGCGGAAACATCTCAAGTTTCCGTCCCGGATCGTCGGTCAGACCACTACGACTTACGATCATGCCAATACCGCATTCAGGCCGTATTTGACCTTGACGTGGGCGCAGTCGCTGGATGCGAAGATCGCGGGGCCAAGAGGCGCGAGGGTGATTTTGAGCGGGAAGGAAAGTATGGAGATGACGCATTGGTAAGTAATCCCGCAGCGGCCAGTAATTGTGGGCTGACCTGGCAGGATGCGGGCAATGCACCACGGGATCGTCATTGGCGTCAACACCTTGCTACTCGACAACCCCCGTCTACAAGGTCAGCTAGTCTCTCAGCTACTAGGGCATGAGCTACAGCTGACTTGCAGTCAATCTCCTCCCTCCCGCCCTCAACCTCAGTCCTCCCGCCATCTTCATCCTAGACCCCAACCTCCGCACCCCAACATCCGCCCGGATATTGACCGAATGGACGACGCATATGCACATCCCGGGTCAAACTACCGCTGCTCGACCGACGATCCTGTGTGGGGCGCACATGGTCTGGACCGCACGGTATAGAGAGCTGGAAGCTGCAGGGGCGGCAATCTTTGGGATGCAACTGGACAAGAACGGTACGCCGACCACCCTGAAGCTCCAGGACTATGCTGACCTACAGGACACATCCCACCCCAGGGGCTAGTCAGTATCTTTACTTCCCTCGGTATCCGCTCCGCCATGATTGAGGGCGGATCCCGCGTCATCTCGTCCTTCCTCCACGCGCCGAAGAGGGAAGACGGATCGGCGATGATTGACAGTGTTGTCGTCACTGTCGCGCCTATGTTTATCGGTGACGGCGTCAGCTCAATACCCCTGGTATGTCCAGCTGAGAGGAACTGAATTGCCCGTTCGTGCTTAGCTGACGCCTCAGGGCCAGGACGTCGGACTCCCAGCCATCAAGGCGGTCCATACGACATCCCTGGGTAAAGACACAGTCATGGTCTGTACGACATGAGCGGGGGAGCGTCAAATTGGGCAGTTGTATTGGTATCTGGATCGGATCAAGGGATTGTCGCTATGCTATTGGAAGCGAGGCTGTTCTTAGGTAGAGGCGAGAAGATATCCCGAAATGAGTCCATGCAATTACAGATATACAAACAATAGAAAGCGCAATAATAAGCGCTCTTGACCCTCATAAGTCCTCTCCCTTCTACTTTTGCTCGGCGATCATGACCTCTACATATCGTCAGCTGCATCCTGTGTCTGAAAGTGCGAGACTCACTCTTTCTCTCCGCCTTTGGCTTCTCCCTGCCCGCTCTGGAATGTTTACGCCTCCGCTCCTCCTTGACCTTTGCAGCTTCCACCATATCCCTCTTGAGCTTGACAGCATTGTGTATACTCCCCGGTACGTGCCTCCTGTCGTGCACTGACCGGACATCGCCCGCCGCGCCCCACTTCTCGATAAGTGCCTGTCTGTACTCGATCGCAGAGCGTTCTTTGCCAGATACAGGGCCGAGTTTGGCGGATGCGTTGGACTTCCAGATCCGGACGTTACCGTCGTCGGAGGCGGTGAGGACAAAGTCGGCAGTAGGGGTGTAGGTGACGTCAAAGACGCTGCTACATTAGCTGTAGTCGGGAATGGTAGAGGAGCACAAGAAGGCCGACGTACCGCTGCATCCGCTTGGTGTGGTACACATCCCTCGACTTGCCCGCGTCCCGCTTCCAGAGCCGTACGGTCCGGTCATACGACCCCGAAACGAATTCTTCGCCCGTAGGACTCCAGTCGCACCCCATGACTCCGCCGACGTGGCCTTTATAGATCTGAGAAGGGGTTTCGAGGTTCCGGATGTCGAAAGTGTAGAGGTTGTGGTCTTCTGAGCCGAGGAGGAGGACGGTAGGGAGGGTGGGACACCACGAGAGGCAATTTGCGCGGAACTGCCTGTCAGCAAGAGAACACGATGAAACGATAGGAGGAGCTCACCTGCATCATGACACGCCTCTCTGCCTTGCCTGTCCGTACATCATACAGGCACATCGTCCTGTCCCCTCCTACCGACGCCAACACGCTCGTCTCGCTCTGATTGAACCGGACGGACGTGACTGTCTCGGAAGACCCGCCAAACACCAGCGTGCTGACTGGTGCAGTCCGCTGCTCGTCCCATATTTGTACCGAGTTTGAGGCCGTTGCGAATGTAGCGTCTGTGCGATGGTGGTCGATGGCATTGAACCCCGTTTTCGAATTATAGGTCATGGTCGGCTCGAGATCTCTTCCTAGTCGATCCCTCTTGCCTGAATCAATGGCCAACCCGCCTCCTTCCTCTTCGTCATAGTCCTCCCCCTCCCCTAATGCTCCAGCGGTATCCAGGATTTCCTGTCCGCTTTCACTTGCTCCGACCCCAAACTCATTCCCCTCAAATGCGGCCTTATCCCTCATCCCCGGTGTGAACGCCTCGCTTCGCCAGAGCTTGATCGTCCCGTCCAACTTGCCCGCCGAAAGCAATCCTCTCCGCCCGTCTCGTGCCTCCGCCGTCCACGTCAAACCACCCACCATTCCCCGATGCGCGTCCGGAATTTTGAGTAATGGTCTCCGTAGCGAGATCGAATGCACAATGACCTCCCCATCGCCTCCTCCGCCTGCGACGACAGCGACCCGCCGAGGGTCCTTGGCGAGGCAGTACACCCCATCCTGGTGCCCTCCAAGGGCATCGACAAAGGGCTTGGCGAACATCCGGTCCATCTTGGCCGCAGTGAGCGCCCGAGTGTACTCGCGCGGCTTGGAGAAGGGATGAAGGTGTGGTGCGAGATTGCGCTGGATAGGGTGGGGAGCGGAGGAGGAGGAGGGGAGGTGGTCGTCCAGTGACCGGGAGATCATTTTGATTTTCTGCCTATATTAGCCGATATTCGATGAGTTGATGAGCTTGAAAAAGGGGAGCATACCATCTTGATAGGAGTATCTCTCTGTGGGCGATACTGGGTGTGTACTGTCTCGCTGAACTAGCTGCTGTAAGAAGGGTTGACAAAGGGCTGATACAAGATATGCTGAAAATCTCTTGCCGAGCCAAAGAGACCTCGAATTGGAGACCCCACACCGGCGATCTCCGCCTCTCGCCACCCTCCGTGACTCAAGAGGTGCTTCAGCCCCTCTAACTTCCCTGCATCCTTACCTCTCTCCACTCCGCCTACATATAACCCGCAGAGGCCTCCTCAGCCTCTCTCGTCCGCCCAGCCATGTCCCGCTCCCCGTCCTTAGCCTCTTCTCTCGACTTTGCCCAGTCCTCGGGCGGATCAGGCTCAGAAGAAGAGTACACCCCCGTCCGCCGTAAAGCGCCCACAGCGCGCAAAGCCCCTGCAGCAACAGCGGGAAAGAAGGGCAAGAAGGAAAAGGCAGCGGCAGGACCGCTCAAGATCAACCTCTCGGCCTTGCGGCGGGCGCAGGCGGTGACTTCTGCCCATCCGGCGGAGGGGCCGATAGAGGATGATGAGGAATTTGGGGAGGGGGAGTTTGCGGATGGGTTGATTGGGGCCAGAGGGGTGGATTTGTCGGGATTAGAATTGAAGGCGGATCATGCGGCGAGACCGCTCTGGGTCGACGAGCATGGGAATATGTATGCTTTTCCTCCTCCTCAACTGCCAAGGTGGGAAAGTGGACAAGTGCTGACTAAGAAGTATCCTGGAAGCGTTCGCTGCGTTCGCACAACAAGCACAGGAGTTTCTTATCGCCATTGCTGAGCCTGTGTCCAGGTTGGTCATCCTCCCTAGCCTGGTAGACTGGTGTACTAACAGCCAGACCATCCCTGATCCACGAGTACAAAATCTCCAAACCCTCTCTCCACGCCGCCATGTCGGTCGGGCTCGAAACCAAGGATATCATCGAAGTCCTCTCTCGCCTCTCCAAGACTCCCCTCCCTCAGCGCCTGATCTCCCGTATAGAAGACTGGACCTCATCGTACGGAAAGATCCGCCTCGTCCTCAAGCATAACCGGTATCATCTTGAATCAACCGTACCGGACTTCCTGCGGACGTTGTTGAACGATGAAGTCATCGGGCCGTGTCGGATCGTCAGGGCCGAAGGGGAGGAGACTGGGGACGGAGGGTTGATGCGGGGGAACGTCCCAAGACGGGACTTTGCGATTGAGGGGACAGACGAGGCGAGGCGGCGGAAAGAGGGGGAAGGGCCGGGCGTGCCGCAGAGAGGGAGGGAGAGGGATGATGTGATTGGTGCAGTCATCGGGATTGAAGAGAGTGAGCTTGAGAGTACAGCTGAGTCCCATGTACATAAGCTGACCAACAGATGACGAGATTGACGAGGACGATGCCGTCCACTCGTTCGAAGTCTCCGCCGAGAAGATGGAAGATGTCCGCCGTCGATGTAAAGATATCGATCTCCCCGCATTAGAGGAGTACGACTTCCGGAACGATACCCAGAACCCAAACCTCGATATCCAGCTCAAACCGATGACGGTCATCAGACCGTATCAGGAGACGAGTCTCGCCAAGATGTTTGGAAATGGACGCGCGAGGAGTGGGATTATTGTACTGCCGTGTGGAGCGGGAAAGACGTTGGTGGGTATTACGGCGGCGTGTACGATCAAGAAGAGCGCTCTGGTTCTGTGTACTTCTGCGTGAGTTCGACGGCACGGACCAATTGTTAACTGCCGAGAGCTCATCCATTGCAGAGTGTCGGTGGCGCAGTGGAAGCAGCAGTTCCTGCACTTTTCGAATATATCAGAAAGGCAGATCTGCACCTTCACGCAGGGCGATAAGGAAGTAGTAAGCTACCTCATACTGCATTCTCCTACGAAGCAGTACAGCTGATAATGCCAGTTCTCCGGCCCCGCAGGAGTCGTCATCTCCACCTACTCGATGATCGCACATACCGGCAAAAGAGCACACGATGCCGAAAAGGTCATGCAGTTCCTGCGGTCCAGGGAATGGGGTTTCTTGCTGCTGGATGAGGTCCATGTCGTCCCTGCCGAGATGTTCCGGAAGTGTGTCAATGGTTTCAAGGTGCATGCCAAGTTGGGTCTGACAGGTAAGCTAAGGGGCTCCGTTCCATTCGTAAAGTAGCACAGCTCACGCAACAGCGACACTTGTACGTGAGGACGATAAGATTTCTGATTTGGGATACTTGATCGGTCCGAAGCTGTACGAGGCGAACTGGATGGATCTGGCCAAGAATGGTCATATCGCTACTGTACAGGTAAGCTCGACATTCCCCTTCCATGACTAGGGGCTGTTAAGCTGACTCACCCAGTGCGCAGAAGTATGGTGTCCCATGACGCCCGAGTTCTACGCCGAGTACCTGCGCACCAAATCCCGAAAACGGATCCTCCTCCACGCACTCAATCCGAACAAGTTCCAAGCGTGTCAATATTTGATACATTATCACGAGAGCCGAGGGGACAAGATTATCGTCTTCTCAGATAATGTGTTTGCGCTCGAGGTGAGCTACGAGGCTCGCGATTGTGGTCTGGCCCCAGCTGATCTTGTAGGCGTATGCGAAGAAGCTGGGGAAGAGTTATATTCACGGTGGAACGCCTGAAGGGGAGAGATTGAGGATCTTATCCCGCTTCCAGCATGATCCTCAGCTCAACACCATCTTCCTCTCCAAGGTCAGCTGAGTGATGCCCTGCATATGCACGAGAGGGGCTGAAGCTGATGATGTAGGTTGGAGATACCTCGATCGATCTGCCTGAAGCAACCTGCCTGATCCAGATCTCGTCCCATTTCGGCTCTCGACGACAGGAAGCACAACGACTTGGCCGAATCCTTCGAGCAAAGCGGCGAAACGATGATGGTTTCAACGCGTTCTTCTACTCGCTCGTCTCGAAGGATACGCAGGAGATGTGGTATTCGTCTAAACGGCAGGGATTCTTGATTGACCAAGTGAGCTGAACTGGTCGCAGATCAGCCGGGCGTCAGCTGATCAGGCAGGGTTACGCCTTCAAGGTCATCACCGAGCTGCATGGTCTCGACCAACTCCCCGATCTCGTCTTCCCGACAAAAGCACAGCAAATTTCGCTCCTCGAAGAAGTCCTGAACGCCTCGGGAGAGATGGAAGAGACAGCCGACCACTATTCCAAATTCACCGGCGGGAAGCACCAGCACAAGGCGAGCAAAGGTCCTGGGAGGGGATTGGGGGCTACGGCCGACAGCGGTGTGCAGCCTGCTCAGCGGTTCAACGCGCGTCTGGAGGAATTGAGTGGGGGGCATAATCTGAGCTATAGGGAACAGAACAAGAGTGTCAAGTGAGTACAGGTCTCAGGTTCGGCTAGAGAAGAGAAGGATTGGGCTGATGAGTATAGTCGGGAGATGTTGAGGGAGGATCGGGCGAATAAGAAGAATGGGACGAGTGGGCAAGGGGGGTCGCATGCTGTTTTCAAAAAGAGAAGGGTGGAGGTCAGTGCGGCGAAGAAGAGGGCTGCTGAGGGGTCGTAGGTGATCAGTTTAGTATGTTGTATCTCTGAGGTTACGTGCTCTGTGAGCAGATGTATCTGTATGGGTTGTACTGCTAGCCCACGGCTGCCCACCGCGAGCTACCCACGGAAGTGAAGGATGGTTACAGGCGGTGGAGGCAAGCTGTGCAGCGTTACGATGCTTTACGATAGCGTTACCTCACCCCTCCTGCTATTAATAGCTTCCGCTGTTTCCCCGGTTCTCTGTAGACTATTTTGAGACTGGGCGCGTCGACTTTTCAAACATTGCAACACCACCCAACAAGATCAAGATCAGCGAAAGACACACGAGATGGGTGGCAAGGCGATGTATATAAAGGAGAGAGTCAGCCTGCTTCTCCCCATCTATCACCTTTACCTTCTCACTCTTTCGACCTCGACATCGACCTCGACATTGACATCCTCTTGACTCGACTCCCTTACGACCCACTTCGGATCTATTAAAAGGTATTTGTCTGCCCCACACTCTCTGTTACCCTAAGTTGAAAGGGGGTCTGAGCGCGTCGCAAAGTCGCAGTCACCTCCATATAAGATCGGACGCTGTGTTGTGCCCCTTCCCATCTCCTGTTTTCCCTTCCTGCTCTTGACTACCACATCCACATCCACACTCTGTCAGCTAGCTTGCCTGGATCCAATCACACCGAACAAAAGCTGACTCGCCAGTTAACCTACAAAATCACGACGATCACAATGTCCCTCTACACCCTTTCCGCTTCCCTCCTCGCCCTCCTCGCCGTCGCCCCCGCGGCACAGGCGCAGGTCACCGCTACCGGCACCATGGGTGTCACCAACCCTCCCCGGGCCACCATGGGCACCGCAATCAACCAGACCAGTATGGCACGTCTCGCGTCCCTCAACTCGATCAATGACTGGTGTGTCTTTGCGCCCCCAGAGCCCAACTCGGTCATTGGTGACACCGAGGAGTTTGAGGTCGCTTGGTGCATGCGTAAGCTTCCGTCGAGTGTTGTGGCGTTGCGGACTCCGCTGATTTGTAGAACCCCGTAACAACGCCCGTGTCATCCCGGACGGAACCATCACGGCCGCCCACTTTGTCAAGACCCCTCTCTACTGGCAGATCCAGGGCTTCGGTGACCTCACCAAGCTCAACATCCAGGCCGGCGACCAGGGAGGAGAGCTCGACCCCCACGGTGCTACCGGTAACGGTAACCCTGTCGGCGGAAACGTGACCACCAACGCTACCGGTCAGGATGTCAGCTACGAGGAGTGGATGAAGTAAGTTTGCTGTTGAGGACAACAAGGCCCGTGCTGACTATCAGCTACATGTCCGCCACCCAGTTCTGTCTCCGTATCTGTATCGCCCAGAACTCGACCTACTCGGCTGCTATCGAGTGCCAGCACACCATCGACCTTCTCGGTTGCCAGTGGGTGATGCCCGGAGAGTAAGTCTTGCAGTATCAGCCATATGAATTCGGCTGACCATCAGCTACACCGACAACTCGTTCACCGAGTGTGACGCCGACGCTGCCTACCCCCCTGGTGTCTACCCCCAGGCCAACGGCTCCACGTCGACCTTTGCCCAGCGTTACACCGGTACCTACACCCAGGGCGGATCCATCGGTCTCTTCACCATCGGCCAGACTGTCACTCCCCAGACCCCTTACTCCACCCCCGCTTCTTCCAACTGCAAGACATACACCTCGATCGGTAACGGTATTGCTTCGCTCGCCGGTGCTGCCGTCTCCACGAGCCGCGCTTCCGGCTCCAGCAGCATGTCTGGCTCTGCCTCCATGTCGGGCTCCATGTCGTCCATGTCTGGCTCGGCTTCATCCCGCTCCGGCTCGGCCTCCGTTTCGGGCGCGTCCAACTCGGCCGCTTCCGCCGTCGCTAGCGCTAGCAAGTCCGGCTCGGGCGCCATGTCTGGTTATGCCGGCGCCAACTACGGACCCGTCATGGCCGTGGGCTTCAGCGTGTTCGCCGTCATGGCCGGTGCGGGTGCCATCCTTCTTTAAGCGGAGGGCGAAAAGGGGCTCCTTGATGATAGTAACGCGGGAAGGGATGCGCGTAGACACGAGTGTGCATATGACCGCGACGCCTCGTAGCTGTTAGATAGCGCTATGGACAATGTTTGCTTAGCTTCCCCCGCTGCACCAGTGCGCTTGACCCCGTACCAGCTGCAGCATCTTCGATGACGACCTGCCGTAATGGCCCAGCGCCACTGACACAGCTTCGCACACTTTGGCCCGCATGGTATGCAAGAGAGTACCTCAAGCTTGCACCTCTCTCTGTGCCTCAGCGTTCCACAGACAGTGCCTTCGCTGACGCTATCGTCCTTGTCCTCCCACCAAAGAACATCCATATCGAGCCCCACCATACCTCGCCAGACCACCCTGAAACCCCCGCTTTGAACCCCCCTTTGACTTTCCCCTCCGCCAACCTTGTCCCCGGGCGACACCGCCTTTCTCAACCATGTTCAAAAAACGTCAATCACAGTCACACGTCTCTCCTCTGCCATCCCCAGCAGCCACTCTTCCGTCCCCGGGCTCGCAGTATCAACAAGGCCCACCCACGTTCCAACGCCCACAGCAGCACCAGCAGCAGGAGGGCGGAAGGATGCCAATGCCTCCTCAACCTTATCGGCAGTCATCTGCCTCATCCATCCCGCCGTCCGCTTATGGGCAGAATGGATCTATGAGGAGCCGGCAGTCGATGCAGCCTGGAGGGTCAGAGGAGGAATTGCAGGCGGGTCCGCAGTATGGTGCTGGGCAAGGTAACGGTAATGGGTATGCCGGACCGCCGGTGGAGCGAGTCACGAGCAGTAAAGGGAGCGAGAAGGAGGGAAAGCGGAAGTCTGGTTTGTTTGGATTTGGGCGGAAGAAGGAAGATAAAAAGGAGAAGGAGCAGGAGCTCAAGGTGAGTTGGGAGATCAACGAGGCAAGTCAAGGGGCGGAGCTGACGAGCCAGAGTAACGCGGTCCGGCCATCGTTCAACGTACAGCGGACGGAGAGCTTCACGCCTTCCCCGCCAGGTGGATACCCGCAGCAGGGACGAGTAACGTCCAACCCTATGCCCAGGCAGAACGGGGGTGACTTTGGACCTGCAGCTGGCAATATGCCCAAAAGCCAGAGTATGGGCTTCTCTCATCAGCAACAACAGCGAGGCGCGCCAGAGCCGAACGCCTATCGCGGTAACCTCGCTGGTTATCCCGAAGAGCAAGCTCAGCCCGACTACGGCCAAGGCCGACCTCAAGGTCTCCCCAAGTCCTCGTCGATGCCGCTGGACAAGGCCACCCCTCCCCTCCCGCCTTCGAATCATTCCCCACTCCCCGGCTCTCCCTCCATGGTCGCACAAGGACAGCCGCATCGCGGCAGTCCGCTCACGGGGGAACAAGACCGCCCGGTCCGCGATCGAACCGTCTCGGCCGGTTCTGGGCGGGGCGTCCCACCGGGGGGTCAGCCAGAGTGGATGAAGGAGTTTGCGCCGGTGGTGGAGCTTATCGGAATGCAGCCGCAAAAGACGTATGTCGCCAGTCCGCCGGAGTTGGAGATGATTTTGGCGAGGACGAGCGCTGGGGGACAGCCAAAGCAGGGTCAGCCGGGCAGCGCGAGTAACGACTGGGATGCGGTGTGGTTGCAGCTTTCTGGGATCTCGCTATGTGAGTGGCTACTTGGGATGTATCTTCTCGAACCCCAGCTGATACCCCAGCAATGTGGTCGATGAAGGAGACCCGTGCAGCGGCGGCCAAGGGAGACAAGGTCCCACCAACCTACTTCAACGTCACCGACTCGTCGCTCGAGCTCCTCGCTCCTCTCCCTCCTCCACCACACCGCCCAAACTCGCACCCACATCATCACGTCTTTTCACTGAACACAGCCGGCTCCAACCGGCTCCTCTTCTCCTGTCCCACCGACGGCGATATCGCGCGCTGGACAACCGGTCTCCGACTCGCCGCTTGGGAGCGCGCCCGCCTCGAAGAGATCTATACCGGCCACCTCATCAAATCCGGAGGGAAAGAGCCTCGGATGGACCTGCAAAAGGGAAGAATGGACGGGTGGGTCCGAGTGAGGATCATGGGCGGAACAGAGTGGAAGCGACTATGGGCGGTGTTGAGTACGCCTACGCCCCCTCCGGAGCCGGAAGAGGACAAAAAGGCGAAGCGTAAGAGCTTCTTCGGGCTGGGCGGGGGCGGAGGCAGCAGTAAAGAGGAGGAAGCGGTCATTCAGGAGCCTAATACGGGCCAGCCTATGGCGAGCTTTTATCCCGAACCGAGGACGGCAAAGAATCGGGCGATGGCACCTGTTCTGACCATCTCGAATGTTACCCAGGCGTAAGTCGGCTCATACGTTCCGAGTCGTCTACGGGCGGGGGATTTATAGCTGATCGATAGGTATGCGGTTTTCCCAGAACGACTCGAAGTCATGTCTCAGTCGAACCTGATGAAGGTCGTCGGGAGGATCGGCGGCGAGCTGGTCGCTATCGAGGGCCGACTTCGAGAATCTGGCTGGGCACTTATCATGCCCGACTCTGCAGAGAGCGGGACTGCTAGTCCGCCCGTGACGGCTCAGACACCGCTAGCGAATATGATGAAATGGGTCACGGGTGAGTGTTGTTCAGCTATTCAGCCCTGATGGAAAAATCAAGCTGATGATGCAGGCGTCCATGATGTCTTTGGCCTATACGGTAGACCGGGGAGATATAGCTGGGACGAGAAGGATCCGAAGAGTCTGTTCTTTGCGTATCCTAGGGGTCCGGAACGGAATGTGAGTCGATCGAGGTGTAGCGACAGAGATTGAGCTGATGCATAGCGCTTGTTCCTCGATATTGACTTCGCCCTCGATACCGACTATCGCCTAAGCAATCTCCCCCAGATCCGTTCACAATTCACCTCCATCCTCAGCAAGAAGGGTCTCCCACGCTCTCAGTCGCAGACGCAACTTCGACCACGTACCGGCCGACCCGAGGACGTCTACGCGGATGACAACGACGCCACCCCGCCTGCTAGGCAGAACAGCGGTGACTTCCGCCTTCCGCCTCTCTCCTTTGACCAGCATAACGGGAACGGTAGTCCACATCTCTCAGACCACTCGATCCCGCGTTCCTTGTCGCCCATTACGGAACGGACGGACCCGTCTCGCAACAACTCGCAGCGCACGACCGACACGGACCGCCAATTTAGCGGCGCGTCCTCGGCTCGTCAGGCTAGCGGCTCGTCTGCTCGTCAAGCGAGCGGGTCGAGCAAGTTGCTCCCTGCGCAAGAAGAGCGGGAGGGCCTGGAGACGATCACGGATGCCGACTCTTCGGGCCGGAGAACGGGCGAGCCGCGATACGCCAGTCCAGTGCCCGAGGCGGCGCCGGTCCCTGCAGCGACGGGGCCTGTTGCAGGCGGGCCTACCCATGTCGCATCTCCTCAGGGGATGAGCGCCATCTCTCAAAAGACGTTCGACTCGCACGCGACGGGCGACTCGATCTACTCGCAGAGTACGGGTGTGACGCCAACCCCTGCCCGGAGCGTTCCTGTCAGTCCGTTACTCCCCAATGCGGCGTTACCAATGACAGCTGGGACAGTCGCATCAGCAGCAGCTCCGCCTGCTGCGCTCAATCGCGAGGCTGCAGCGCCAGCACCAGAGACGAAAGCTGCTCCGGCTGAAAAGAGACCCATCAGTCCACCTCTTGCTCCGCCTATCGGGATGGTCCTGCCCCTTCAGACCACAGCTGGATCGGCGGCTGGCTCGGACAATGGGGACCGGTCGATCCACTCACCTACGCCCCGGCGCGTCGCGTCGACCGAGTTCAAGCAGGACAAGCTGGTCACGCACCAAGAACAGCCGGCTGCGCAGTACCTCATGAACGTCGTCGAGGAGCCGGTGTCGACTTCTCCTCCGGGCCGGAACACTCCACTCGCAGCGAGCGAGGGCAGGGAGAAGGTCCGACCGACTATCATTACGGACTTCTCCCCGCCCAAACCCGCCGCTGGTGCTGGGTCGGGTCTTGCCCCTGGAGCGGTGGGAGCGGCCTGTAAAACCCACGAGCCTTTAGGACGGAAACCGTCTGGCGCGCGCGCACCCCCGCCGAAGAAGCTGAGCGGGAGGTCGTCCACACTCGGCTCGGTAGATGATGTCGAATCGCCGCCAGTGCCGCCTTTACCTGCCACCGCCACTTCCTCCGGCGGGCACAGCCATGAGCGGACCGGGACATTCGACGACATAGGCGAGGATGCGTCGGCGTACCTTGCCTATGCAGATCAGCCGCCAAGTGCTGTTCCACTGCCTCAGGTGCCGGCTCAGAACTCCACTCAGGCAGAGGAGCCGCACCGGTCTTCCTTCGCTCCCTCGAAAGCCGCTGCGGATCGCCGTGCTAAGGCCGAGGCGGCGGCAGTGGAAAGTCAACAAGCCCGGAATCTGCCTGGAGGTGGGAAGCGGGGAGCTCCCGGACAAGGCGGGAAGACGTGGAGCGACGACGATGAGGATGAGGATGACGACGAGGTGGACGAGCCGGAGGAGTCGCCGGTCAAGGAGATGGGCGGACGGGGTCAGCCAAGTACCGGTGAGATGGGCATGCCTCAGCGCGGGTCCACGTATGGCCTGGATCAGCAGTCTGGCGCCTATCCAAACAATACGGGTAGTATTGGCCGGAACGGGCTGCGAGCTCTGCCGCCTGTTCCCCGGCCACAGGATCACCGGTCGTCTCAGCCCCAACAGGGCGGAAGTTACATGTCGAACGGGAACGGCAATGGTGGTAACGACTTTGCCCATCCCTCGTTCCCGGAGCGACCGCGGTCTCGCTCGCCTGCGCCAAATCAGTACCCTCAGCAGCCGCAGCAGCCCCGCGGTGTATCCCAGCGATACGATTCCACTACCCCTCCTCCCGGTATCCCCAACGTCGCCCCGCCCGCCTCCCGCCAAACCATCTGGAACGCCAACTTCGCCGCCGGGCACGGCATGCCCTCTGAGCGATCTACAAACAAGTTTGTCGAGGTGGAAGAGCCCCAAGCACGCCTCACGCAGGCATTTGCCCCGCACGGTCTCCTCCAGGCTGGAATGCAGGACAAGGAGGACCGGTCTGCGAAGAAGCAAGAAGAGCTCGCAAGGGAGATGGGAAGCAGTTTGGTTAATGTGCCCAGCAAGCCGCCGCCGCCTTCTGCGGGGTTGCTGGGTGCTGTAGCGCAGCATGAGAAGGAACGGAGGAATGCGGGTGGGATCGGAGCGACATTGACGGATCGGGAGAGGGAGAAGAGACTTGCGGTGAGTATCGATGCTTTTAAAAAGGTTGAGGGTTGAAAGCTGATGTGCTGTAGGAGGATAGGCAGCGGGAGATTGAAAAGCTGCAAAGACAGCAGGCGGAGCATATGCGCCAGTTCCAGGACTTTGGGCAAGGCGGGCAACAGGGCGGATATGGTGGGTATGGAATGGGAATGCCTCAGATGGGTATGGGCATGGGGATGCCGCCTATGGGCTTCAATGTGAGCTGCATCGGTTCCTCTACTCTCTGGGATCACAAGCTGACCTTCATAGCCATACCAGGGCGGGTTCAACCCCTACGCGCAGCAACAAGCGATGTACGCCGCTCAAATGGCCTATCAAAACGCCATGATGATGTCTGCTGCCGGCTCTCAAGCTGGGGGTGCGCAGTCTCCTGATCGACCTGCTTCCCCCGTGGGTGGTGGTGGAAGTCAATACGGCGGCCACGGACCCGGCTCGCCTTTCCCCCAGATGCCGTATGGATGGGGCGGGATGCCGGGTATGCCGTGGATGTCCCCTCAACCGACCGGAAGTCCGCATATGATGGGCGGAGGAATGGGCGGGATGGGTGGCATGAGCTCCTTCCCGTCCATGGGGTCCTTTGCGGGCGGCGGCGGCGGAGGAGGAGGCGAGAACTACTTGCACCCGGGACAGGGCTATGGACAGGGCGGAAACGGGCAAAGCACGCCAAGAGAGGATCGGAGCAGCCGGGAGAGCTTCCGCGGGGATATGAATGGGAGGGATCGCAGTGAGGATAGAAGGGGAGGCGGAGGAGGCGGTACCCCTGCGAATTGAGAGAGAAGATAAGGGAGCGAGCGATCTATATTGGACATTGATATCGGAAGCTAGCAGTATATACGGAATGTGCGGGAAATGCAAATAATGGGTGATATGCGTCGCATCGCTCCCTCCAATCCTCATCTCTGGGACGTCCTGCTTCATGCATCATGGTTCCTATTCCATGCGGACGACTATCTTCCCCTTTGCTCTTCCGCTCTCAAGCTTAGCGAAAGCCTCCTTCGAGCGCTATCATGTCAGCTCCGTCGTCCGGGAAAAGTTACAGAACCTAGCAGACTCACCTCGAAATCAAATACCTCGTCAACAAGCACCTCCTTGGCATGCTCCAGGAACGCCGGGACAGTCTCCATCATCCTCCGTTCAGGCACAGAGAGGTAGAATTGATATCGCTTGTTGGCGAACCATGGGCGGAGGGGGAACCATGAGGGGATATAAGGGTTCAGCGAGCCTCGAATGCCACGGAGCGTTTGGCGGCCGACATGCATCTTTAAGTGAGCCTAGTTCTTGGTCGCGCTTGGTTCAAAGATGGCTTACGATGGCTGAGCCGAGCTGCATGGGTTCGTGAGGTGGTACTACATGATCAGCTACGAGCCTGCAGGTGACGTATGAGGGAGAAGACGAACAGTCTCCGGAAATGGACACGTAGACCCCCAATTCGGGATGCTTGGGATCTTCCAGGAGGAGCTGGTCCATGTACGGGATGGCGTCGGTCCCTCCCACACAGTCCAGTACGACCGCAAATGGGGCATACTTTGAAGTTGTTGCCTTCTTCCCAACATTCTCCGTCCGGTAATCGATGGTCTAATTCGTCAGCCGACGCCAAGCAGCAACTCGACGATGTGGGAGCTCACCTCGTCCGCTCCAAGCTTCTTGACCATCTCATCGCTGCTCTTACTACACGTAGTGACCACATTGAGTCCCATCGCTTTGGCCAGCTGGATCGCCTGTGTCCCCGCCCCGCCCGATCCTCCCAAGATAAGCACGCTCCTCTTCCCCTTCTCCTGCTCGGTAGGCTTGAAGGGCAGGTGGCCAATGTTGACGAGACAGCCGTACACCGTCATATACACCAAAGGTATCGCGGCGGCTTGCTCCCATGACAGGCCAGCCGGCTTGCGGGTCATGGCTGTCGAAGAGGAAACGGCGACATATCTCTGCATACTGCCAGATGCTGCGGCGTAAGCGGAGGAAATGGTGCTTTCAAGCGGAACTTAGGCTTACCTGCACTTCGTACAATCCGCCCAAAGACCTCTTCGCCTTCCGTCCACTCCCCTGCGCCACTCCCGACCGAATGTACGACACCCGCAAAATCAAAGCAAGGCACGCTTGGCTCGCCATACGGTCTGGCGCCCATCCCTCGGCGGATGTACGCAGGGAAGCTTGCCCTAAATTGTAAGCTCACTATATGCAGAGGTCATCACGCTAGTGTCAACTGACAGTTTGTAGTCGATGGGATTGAGCGAGATGGCCTTGACGCGGACGACAATCTCCTCGCTCGCCGGCGTGGGAATGGGCCCTTCGACCTTCTCGAGTGTCTCGCTGAGCATGCCCTGCCGGGTGTACTGCCATGACTGGTTCATCTTGATGCTATAGTAATCTTCGTTGCCGGGTTGATGGTCGAAAGGGAGTGGATCCGCTTTTTGGATAGTCGAGAAGAGGTAAGCAACCTGGAGATGTAAGCAATTGCACAACCTGAGTATGGGCGGTGGACTGCGGTGGAAGATTCTCGGTCGGGGTTCTTTGCGGTGATCTTCTTCGGGTTGGAAATGACGCAATCTCGGACGAGGAATGTGGAGTTGTGTTGCCACGTGGACGACTCTCTGCGCCGCATAGATAGACCTGTTTTGGCCCATTCAGAGTTCTGGTCTATGCCCTTTATCATCAGCTGGCATACAAAGCGCTAGCGAGGCTCGTGCTCACGGTCCGCTTCCACCGCTCGCGGAAATGGGCGTCACGGGTGCTTTCCAGACCGCGCGGTCTACGGTCGTACGGGTATCCCGTCGCGTCGCGCCGCACGCCCAGCGACTCGTCCGCTTCTCCCTCCACCGCCCCTTCCTCGCCTTCTTCATCTACTCTGGCATCTCCCTCTTCCTCGCCATACAGTACTTCCATTGGTGCGAACATACCGGAAACGGGCGCTGGTACTATAATTGGGCGCTCACCAAGACCCCCGCGTCCCTAGTGCGTTTCATACCCAAGGGCGACTGGGGAGAGCCTACAGACCCCCCGAGATGGGTGCCGGAAATATATGATAGTCGGTGGATGGGTGACTGGGAGGTGCCGCCACTATCAAGACCGGTGTGGAGGCGGGAGGACGAGATCTGGGGGAGTCATGCTGTTTCCGAGGGCGGAGCTGGTGCCAGCTCACATGCCGTGGGCTCGCCCTCGCCCGAGGACCAGAAGGGGGAGAGCGAGTCGAGTGGATCTCAGGAGGAGAGCCAAGGTGGCACGGCGCCATTGGCCTCTGCGGCGGACGTCAAGGAGCCTGGGGACCAAGGGCAAGGTCTCACTATGGCGCAAATGGCGGAGGAACAGCGGTTAGATGACTTGGGCGATCTTCCCAAGCTTTTACCCAACGACAAGGCGACGAGCGATGACCCTCCCCAAGCCATCAGAATACGGGCTCCCGTACCACGTACCGACTCCCTCCCTACTGCCCACCCACACACCCTTTCCCGCCGCCTCAAATCCCCCGCCATCATCAAATTCCACGTCTTCTCCACTGCCGTCTCAGAGAAATCATACGCAAAGCGCCAACTCATCCGCCGCCTATCACCCATGTACCAAATACCGCCAGAGTATCGCCACCTGGTGGATATCAAGTTCGTTATGGGGTACAATTACCTTGATACCTGGGGTCCGCCCTTGAACGAGACGATGGAGAGTAAGATCAGAGAGGAGGAAAGGGAGTATGGGGATATTCTGAGGTTGCCGGGACTGTGGAGAGGGGAGAATCTGCGAGATGGGAAGATATTGCAGTGGATTAGGGATGTTGGGGAGGGGAAAGATGGGAGAGACGCATGGTATCTGTTCAAAGTGGACGACGACGTGAGTGGATGAGATCGTGGTGAAAGGTCTATAGCTGATACAGCAGGCTGTCATCAACTTGCCAAAGCTACTGGACCTGCTTTTGTCTATCGACATCCACGAGCCGACCTATCTTGGAACCTCGCTTAACCGCTGGCCATCATATCACAATCACTTTACCGGAATGCTCACTGGCTTCAATTACGGTCTCGTGAGTGGTTCGGTCACCATATCATTCATTGTGCCTGAGCTGAAGAGCAGTACAAAACCCTCTCCCAAGGCATCAGCAAGATGAAGGAGGTAGACGTCCAAGCAGCATGGGATGACGACGTCCTCACAGGCGAGATCATGTACTCCCTCCCACCCGCTCCTCGCTGCCGCCACTCACCCGATCTGCCTGAATGTGACCCACATAGAGTCCCCGAATACGGCTGGATGCCACTCCCGGAGAATCCTGACCCACGGACAGCACTAAACCGGTACGACTTTGAACGGCGGGCAGGCGATCCAGCGTGGGTAGGGACGAAGGGGGATCTGGGGATGCATGGGTGGTGGTTCAAGTTTCCGGAGTATTGGGAGAAGGAATGGGCAAGGGTGTTGAAGGGATTAGTATGGGAACCGCCAGCCTGGTTAGGCAAGTATGCGGACTTGGATGCATAACTAGCTGTCTCTTGAGATGAGCCTTCGTAAGCTTATGTGCGCTGGGGTGCAGGTGGGAAGAACTCTTAGATTGGCAGTATATATAAATTTTAAATTCACTTTGATCACCGGAATCAGGCTCCTCAACTCTCTCTTCACCTCCGCAACGAGGTGAAGACAGACTGAGGAGCCCTGGGGGGTTGAGAGGTTTATCCCGCCTCAACCTTTTGCCCCAGGTTCAAGCCCGGTGAGAGCCAAAGGAAGGGGAGTCTGAGACCAACTTTTTGATGCGGGGCCTGTTCAGGGTTCGGGATGCGAGCGAGTATACTGCGTACAGCACACTGATACATACTCTTAGTCCAGGCTACCCGAAGTATCACAGGCCTCTCTTCAATCCATCGTTCCTGCCGTTTCAAGATGTTTCACGACCAAAACGAGCGCACGGGCGGAGGACAGCGCGGAGATCAAGGAATCCCCATGGGCACTCTAAATGGTCCCGCCACGTGTTGTTTCCTCTCTCGGCGCGTACAGCGCGACTGGGAAGAGGAGGTATGCTATCCAGCCACCCATCGCATTCATATACCCGCAGCAGTGACCTGTATATACTATAGAAATCACCTCAAATCATCCTCGGAGGCAGCGTAGAATAGCCGAAACCGCATCATCGCGCAATCCAACTATAAATCATGGCGGAATCGACTTTGAAACCTGAATCGACCGCGGACGCGCCTGTCAACAAAGACAATTCGAATTCGGACACCGCGCCTGACGACACCACCGACCAAGCGGCAAACGCAGCGGACGCACCCAATGAGCGACCAGGGAAGAAGCGGCGCCTCGGCGTAGACCCCTCTTTGATCATCTCGGATGGCAGGTCCAAGCGACGGCGCACACCCACTCCAGAGCCAGAGGAGGCTGCGGGGAAGGAGGAAGTGAATGATCCGAAAGACAGAGTGAGGGCGCAAGCTCTGGGTCGGGATATATACAATGAGATCATGAACAGTGTGAAGGATGGGTGAGTGGTTACATAGACACTGTGAGCGATGTGAGCGTGAGCTGATCAGGTAGAGAGAGTATGGCGGAGCCGTTTATCAAACTCCCGTCCAAGGTGAGCTCCCACCTCGTCATGGGCGAGACGATGCGCTGACGGTCCAGAAACATTTCCCAGACTATTATGAGACCATCAAGCATCCGATGTGCCTGGATGATGTCCGTCAAAAGCTGGACAAGCAGGAGTACGAGACCTTGAAGGAAGTGACGGCGGATATCGGTCAGATCTTCATCAATGCCAAGCGATGTACGTAGACTCCATTCGTTCTACGCCCCTTGATTGCCGCTGATCGTCAGACAACACCAAAGACTCGCATATCTTCCTGCTCGCGAAGAAGCTACACGTGAGTTCCTTCCCGTGCATTCGCTCATAATTAGAAAACTACCCGAACCTTCTACAACAAAGCTACAACGCCCAATGTCAAGCCTGCCGAATCGGAAGATGAGGCCGGTCCCTCCTCAGCTTCACGCCCCACCAAGCCCCGTCGCTCAGGATCAGCCGTCAAGGCGGACCATCAACCTTCAGCGTCCGCAAACGGCGATGAAGAGGACCACGACATGGGCGGTCCGTCGAATGCCAGCATGGACGGCGAGTCTACAGGGTTGGGGAACAGCAGAATGGGCAAGAAGCGAGGTGGCTATATGAAAGATGGACCGACAGTATACAAGCTGGTCAAGCCTATCCTCCTTAATATCAGGGCTGCGCGGTCAAAGGAGTAAGCATTTTCATATGGGCTCCCATGTGTCAAGCTGATCAAGCAGTGGAGCCGACAGAGAAATAGCTGCGATATTCGAGAAGCTGCCAGATAAGAACGATCTGCCAGACTACTATAATGCAATCAAGGCGCCAATATCCCTTACCGAGATCGATGTGAGTTACCGTGTCAAAGACCGTTTGACCCTCGCTCATCCGGCAGGAACGGATAGCGGGCAGGAAATACGCCAGTTGCGAGGAGTTTTACGAGCAAGTGGAGCTCATGTGCTCGAATGCCATGCAGTACAACGAGGACGAGAGTGATGTGTTCCGAGACGCTCAGCAAATCATGGTGAGTCCCTCCATCAACGTCTCGGTCGGGACTGACATGCAGGGCATACTTGAGCAGGGTAAGGCCGAGATCCACAACCGGAAATTGGCCAACGAGCGTTTATCCCAATCCCAGGCGGCTGCGCCAAAGAAGTCGCGACCCAAACCCTCGCTGCCTGGACCTGTTCCACCCGGACCCACCCCCTCCCGTGTTGAGAACGGCCGTCCTCTCGGCCAACTATCCCCCTATCCCGGGCTCAACGGAACCCCCGTCTACTCCTCCTCTGCTACCATCCAGCCCTCAGCCTCGCCGGCACCACGTCCCTCTTACCTCGCCCCTCTCCCTCCCGGCGTCGTGAACGAGGATATCGTCGCCCGCCTCAACCAGTACCCGATGCACGAGCAAGCGGGGTGGGCTAATACACTCACCACGGCGGGGATGAACCATTATCGCCAGATCTTGGCCACCCAGGAGGCGCGCAAGCGGACCCTCGCCGGCCAACCAGCCCCCACATTGATCGACACAGCGCAAACGGCCCGGAGCGGAGGCGGCGGGAGTGCCACTCTCAGCATCACCCAACCCTTCAACCTTGGTTACCGCGCAAAGCCCCCGCAACCCATGATCAAGCATATCGACTGCGCCTTTGACTCGCCAATTCCCATCGCCGAGGGCGGAGGCAAGGAACGGCATACCATCCGCCTCCATAATCTTCGGGGCGTCGTCATGCACGCGTTGATCATCGGGGCGGAGGCGGCCGAGGTGGAGATCACAGCTACTCTGGCTGCGGAACCCATACCGGACATCTCGGCGGCGACTTCGGAGACCACGCCGGCTCCGGTGAATCCACCAAGAGAAGTCAAGCTGAAGGTCAATGGGAATCCGGCGAATATGGGGAAGCCGGTGTATGCGGACTCGGAGGGAGGGGACATAGGGGACGAGGGAGATGCGAAGCCAGTGGGGATGCGCTGGCAGATCCCCATTGCGCATAGCAGGCTGGAGACGAGGCTGGACGTGATGTACGTGAGTGACGGGAAGGCGACGGAGCAGTGTGCGGTCTATATAAATAGGCAATTTTAAGGGATGCTAGTATGCCAATCTTTGTAAATCCTATGCAGCAAGGTGCCCATGCTGATCATACTGACAGGTGTGATGAGGCCGATGAGATGATCTATGGCCGGATCTGGCCGTCTCGACCTCACGCTATCAGTCAGTCAGTCCTTTGTGGTGGAGAACAGCACGACTTCTTTTCTTACTGGCCTTATCATGACCCGGAGGATGAGACAGTGCCCCGACTCTACACTGACCGAGACATATCCGAAGCTGATAAGGGGGCTTACTTCCAGATATGGCCTGCTGATCGAAGGTCGGGCAGATAGCACTCATGCACCTGTGCTATAAGAGCTGCATGGCCGGCGAGGTGTACCTTTCCGCAGATTATCCACCACCGCCCCTAGTACCACACTCACTCCCGACATCGATCAGATCATCACATCCTCTCCATCATAATGAGTCAGAATACAGATCCAGCTGACGGCTCCGGAACCTCTTCGTTCGCCCAGGCTACCCGCGGCGAGCTGATTCTCGGGTTGGAGTACCTGGTACTCACTCCCGTCAGGTCTCATGCGCCCTCTGCGGCGTCCCTCACAGTCACAAGCAGCGGCACGGATTCGCAGGCAGGCGGTGGCACTTCGGCGAAACCTGTCGAGGAGGGGGCTCCGGAGCAGAGCAGGCAGGATGGCAAATAGGTCGGCCTGATGTCCTTATGTCTCTTCGAGATGCGCTCAACACACGGTTGGCGCACGAGTATGCGTCTTGCTGTTTTGTATCTAATCCAGGCCGTATATTGTCAGTTGACCCGCATCTGTGAGGCAGACTTTCTGATGTACTATTATAGTATGAGATGGGGCTTGACAATCTCAGGTACCTACCAGACGTCGGGATCGAATGAGCGCCAGCACTCGGCTGGAGTTTACACTAATCTCCCCTTGGGATCAGCTACTTATTTCCACCCGAGGAACAGGATTGTGGCGAAAGGTCCCTGCTGAATCCAGCTGAGGCTCAGAGGTGGCGGTAGGTCCACGCTGGATAGCACAGGGGTGCCGGATGAAAGGAAAGACACTCGCACGCTGTGAGGTGTGTCAGCTATAGAATCTCCGCCGGGCTCGGGGGTAGTGATGCCTCGATCTGCTACGAGCGGAATCGACGGTCATACGAGACTGCGAGTCGCCTGTACATTACCTTCGTACTCACATCAAGCGCGACTGCAAGGTCCATCAGGACTCATCGACCGCTGGTGTAGTCGCTGACCAGCAAAGTAAGACTCCCATCAAGCTCAGGGCCGCTGCATGGCGTTCACTGCGGTAGCCGCCACAAGAGACAATTTTCGCAGCCCGTTTGTCCTTATCGCTGCGAGGGTGGCGGCGTAACGAGTCGATGGCTATGGCTGAAACACCATTTATGCTAGATTGCGTGTCACCACAAAGGATGCCTTCATTGGGGATGTCAGGCCGCGGTGGGGAGGTCAGGGGCAGCGCGATCCGCAGGTGACATGGGTTGATATAAGGAGCGCCCCCTCCCCCCTTATTTCAATTTTCCCTACAACATTTGCCACTCACACAAACCGTTTGTTTCGACCCTTTCGTACCCTTGCTCATAAACCATGTCCGTATCATATTACACCATTACCATATCGCCGGGTGGCAGGCTCAAGCTTGCTCTATGGACGAGCGCCGGCGTGCATGTGGGGGGAAACGATCTGACGCGGGGGCTAGACGACACGCAATACCTGTCCTACATCGAGCAATTCGCCCGGCTGAGCTCAGAGAGAGGAGCTGGTGAGCCGGAGATCACAACGATCCGGATACTGAACAGCCAGGGAGGAAGCACTACTGGCAACGGAACGCAGACGGGAGGTCAAGACAAATGAGTCCAGGTCAACAGTCTGCGCTAGAGCATAGCTCTTCACGCCGTCCCCTCTGCCGGCCTTTTGATGATTGAGTTATTCTACCCCGCATGCAGCCGCGTACATTCAGATCTAGTTGCCGACCTCTGATAGAAAGCTGCTACATTTCTTGAATGGCAGTGGCGTTGGCGCTCAGATGTTCGCTTACCCTGCGTGCTCAACAGATTCGCCATACTGCTCGCTGCTCGCTGAGGGCCAGCTGCTCGAAAGCGCTAGAGCTCGAGCCCTTGAAAGCATCGCACAAGCTCTGACACTGGGGGGCACGATCTGTCATGGCACGATCTGTCATGTGTGGCGAAGTCATCGTCGCGAGTGCCGTGCTGTCCCGCCTCGAACGATGTTCTCCAATACTTTCACCCTCGGACCCAATACCATGTATAAAGCAGATATCGATAGCGGGTCTGCAGCATAGGCGAGGCTACTAAATAAAATCCATTGACCCAGGAGGTAATTGGTCACTTACGACTGTGAACATATGCTACGCCTGATAGCCCCGCCTCTATCAACGAGTTGCTAGGTCTCTCCTTATGTATCAAGTCCTCACTGGGTGTCAGCAGAGTCACACCAAGTCAATGTCGGAAGGGAATCGAGGCGGTGGAAGATGGGTGAAGAGTAGAGGCGGGTGGCGCAAAGGCCCAGCTTACTTCACTATACCGGGTCCGGAAAGCCTCACATCACCGACCTGCTTACGTGTATACGTGTAGAGCAGGATCCCGCGTATACAGAATACACTGGAAATGTCGTCTCCTCGAAACGTGGCCACACAAAGGGAAATGGCATGAAAGGTTGCGGGTCATCCTTCATGCTTTGCAGCCAGCGGCCCGAGCTGGCGGGGTCTTGGGAATGCTCGGGCCGCTTTCTGGCTTTGTTCTTCACACCCACCAGCAGCACGTTTGCGCTCATATCCTCATTCACCTATCTGACTACCGCTCACGCCCACGCTCACCATCACTCACACTCTATCTACATCACCCACCATGTCCCCCCACCCAACCATTGTTGAGTCGGCGCTGTCTGACGCAACCGTTGCGGAGAGTGGTGAGGAGCTTCACTACGCCCAAGACCCGTCCACCCACGCTTCCAGTGCCTGGATATTCCACAAAAGCGGTCAGTACACTCTCGTCTTCACGAAAGGTGCCTCGTCACAGTAAGAGCTGTCCTTGTGCATCGACGAGGCCGTCGCGCGATACAAGTCTTCCGCTCCTATCAAGTGTTGGAGTAGCTAGATTTCGCTCTACATTTAGCTTCCGTTAGTTTCACCTTTGTAGCCGGTTTCATAGTAGCTATACTCTTCAGATGCATCTATACCGCATTTCAACATCAAGGACGGCGCCATTCGCCGCGGGATCGCAACAGACGACGGAACCGGCGAGGAAATGTTCCGCTTCCTCCAGGGACGTGGTACGTCAATCAAGGACATTCACTCCCAGGCCATACGTGCGTTCACGGAGGCACCTGTCGACAATCACGGGGTGGAGGCAAAGAAGAAGGACGAAGCTGAGTCGAATGAAGAGTCCGAAGCATCCACACCGGCTGTCTAGCGCGATCATCGAGGGCGGCGACGCGGAGTGCATCTTTTGTGTAGCCGATCAGTATTCAGTATGCATCTTCTCATGAATTACCGTAGTTGATCGAGAAGTTGGCTCGAGTCAACGTCTCAACCCAGTGATTTAGCAGTATCAATTCAGGACAGTGCGTAAAGATGATAGCATCTAGCAGACATGCTCCAGCTTGGCCTGACCCCCCTTCACCGGTCCCAGATCCCTCGCCACCAGCCTGTTGAATTGCTCCATCATTATAGCGAACAGTGACCGGGAAAGTGCTGCGTCCCAGCGACCTTTTGAGGATTCGTCTCGAATGAACGCATGTTGCGCCTGGACCTCCATGAACTGACGGAATCAGCTGTGCATCTTGCTCAACTCTGGGCTGCGGTAGAGACTCACCGTACATGTGACGCCCGCATCGTCTAGCGTCTCTCGAATTAGTGTCCGGGCCTTCCTATCGACGTGGGTGTCCTGCTTTCCGAATACGAGCGTGATTTCGCCCTTTCCGGACAGATCACCATTCTTGATCTTGATTAGTGTATCGTCCGACTGACCAGCGCCCAAAGTTGCGGAGTGTACGCTGGGAGTCAGTAATCACGTCGGTGTCGCCTACTTGAGGCCTCGAGATGAGGCATAGCTCACTCTGTCGCGAAGTAGCCGAAGGTCGCCTGAATCCTAGGGTCGAATGCGCACTACAGCTCAGCGTGCGCTCGACGCCTGACTGAGACGCTAGCTTACTCTCAGGGCCTACGGACATGAGCTATATCCAAGTAGACGTGTGCAGATGGGACGTACCAAATGTCCACCTAAGCACATCCCGGTTGATGCTATTCTCCCAGTGCAGTTCTCCAGCGACATCAAGAGGTCCACCGACAGGGTAGCATCCTGCCCATCAGCCATATCCCTGACATCGACATCTAAAAGTCCTGCTTCTGACCGCCTGAACATACCTCATCATACGCCTCTACAGTCTTCTCCGCCTTATACCGGTTCCCCCTATCCGTCCCCTCCGTATCATACGGGATAGCCTCCGGCCCCTCAAACTCATGGAACGAGCTCGGCAGCGCCACAATATACCCCTCGGAGGCGATGTTGCTCGCAAAGCGCTCAACGGGACCGGTGACCTGGTAGATCTCGGAGAAGACGACACAGCCTGGGAACTTGGCTTGCGGGTAGGAAGGCAGCGAGGGCTCAATGATGTAGATCCGAATGGTCCCTGGCTTGCCGGACTTGGTGGGCACGTCCCGGTACGACGTCTTGATGAGCATTGTGATGGATGAGCCTGGTGTATTGGCGGATGATATGAGGAGTTGCAAGATGGCAACGCTGTTCTCGACGTGTGGAGGCCAAGTGGAGGGGAGCTTGGGAACCGTCTTGGAGCACTCATTTCTGACCCTGTTCACATGTCCTTTTGTCTGATATTCCAGCCATAGAGATGAGCGCTGTCTCTGATGAGATCCTCTCTATTGCTTGGTATTCCATGCATATGGGAAGAAGCAACAGCTACCCTTGAACCTTTCTGGGCGCTGAGCAGCTAGCGCTTTCTGGACCTACGCACGGATATCGCTGAAACTGCTTCCGCCACACTCACTACCAAAGCCACCCAACTCGCCGTCGATATCGTCTCCTCTGTTCTCACTTCTGCAGCCTACAGCAACAATGTCGGGCTTCTTCGGCTTCGACACAGCTCTCCCAGAGAGACAACAGCCCGCGCAACCCCAGAATCAAGGATTTGGCGGATTTGCAGGTCTCGGAGGCGGGAATGATCAAACTGCATTCAGTTTGGGCGGGGCCGGCGAGGAAGAGGATCTGGCAGTGTACAATTGGGGAGAGCAGACGGGGAGCCTGATGGAGGATGGGGATCTGGCGAATGATGAGACTTTTGGTGATGTGGGACCGATGAGTAAGCCATTAGCACTGTACGAGCGGGACCGCTGCTGAACGACAGACAACAACTTTCAGTTCTCATCCCAGCCCTCGGCACCGCCAGTGTCGAAGCCCAAGACTGGTAGAGGGCCGATAGCGTCCACGCAATCGAGATACAAGCCCAAGGTCGCGGCCGACCCTTTTGCATTCTCGGAGGATGATTTCTATTCGCCTAGGAAAGCTGCTAGCAGTATGTTCTACCCTCAATGGGATCCTGCTCGCAAGCTGATTCTTCCAGAACCTATCAAGCCTCCTGCGGCCACCCCTCCCCTTCCTCGAACCCACTCCTCATCGAAGCCTCAGAGCGTCACTGCCCCCGCTCCCCCTTCATCCATCGAGTCGCTCTGGGGTAACCCGGTCGCTCCAGCTTCCACGCTATGGGGCGCCTCACCAGCTTCATCCACCAGGCCATCAGGCCCTGCGGCGCAGAATGCCCCGGCTACGACCTCCCAGCCTCCGCCCATGGGTCAGATCAAGACCCTCGCGGAGATCGAGGAGGAGATGTCCCGTATGGCCCTTCCCGACCAGCCACGGCAACACCAAATGCTCTCGATGGATGAGATCGAGAAGCAGATGATGGCTTCGATGGAGGCTGCACCTGCTCCTTCCGCACCTCCACCCCTGGCGAACGTCGTCCAGCCCACAGCTCCGCCAGCGAGGGAGTTGACGCCTCCGCAGATCAACCTCGCCGGATCCGGCTACGCGTCCCAGCAGGCTCTGCTGGACAGCATGTTCCCCGAACTCGGCGCAAACGTCGCTCCCGGCGCCACTGCATCCTTCCCTGGCGGCGAAGAGGACCGGCCTCGTCAGTCGCCCGAAGAGCAGGCTCGGTTGCATGCGATGCACGAGCGGATCAAGGACAAGATCGAGAGCATGAGCCGGTACAACCACCTCATGGGTAACTCGGACAAGGACTTTATCACTCGTATCCAGCTTTCACAGCTCGCTACCGCCGACCCCTACGCATCGGACTTTTACGCTCAGGTCTTCTCGGCGCTGCGGAGGAGGCAAGAGGCCCAGGCTCAGCCTGGGGAGAACCCCAGCGTGGTCCAGGTTACGGCGGGTGCGGCGTTCGGTGTGTCGGGACCGGCGAACAGGTTCGGCAAGATGGGCGCGGCGACGATGTCCAAGTTGAATGGGCAGGTCAAGAAGCTGGTGGAGAATAGGTTGAACCACCACAAGTCGAATAACGGTGGGTCCTGCCGGATCACGAAACAGACCAGCGAAGCTGATTGTTTAGCGGCTCTTCAGGGTGCTCTCGGCAAGATTTCGCGCGGTGGTGTCGCTGCTCCTCGACCAGTCCTCGCGGTACCGACTTCTGGTAACAGGGAGTCTCGCCCGACCAGCATCCTCAACGACCAGTCCGGTATCCGCCGATCAGCCCTCACCAAGAAGCAAGTCCTCTTCGCGCTGGAGGAGCTGTACGATTCTGTGCTGGAGCTGGAGCAGATGCGGAGGGAGATGCCGCCGCCTACCGCAATGGAGGAGATTGATAGGTGGAACGACCGATGCGGGATGAAGGTAGAGGAGATCTGGAGGAGGTTGATGGTGATGGAGCCTTTGGATGTCAGGTGAGCTGAATACGGGCCCGATTTCCATTTCTCAGCTGACTCTGCAGTAATCCACACCCCTTTATCTCCCTCATGAACCCCGTCAAGGGTCAACGCCTCTTCCCCCGACTCTTGCGCCACCTGCCTCACCAGCAAGCCCTCACCCTCTTGACCCTCATCATCGCCACCTATCCCCAGCTCGACGTCGTCGCCAGGGCACCTCCACCGCCCGTGTCCGATACATCGCTTCTCACCAAGGCGGACCGGATGGACCGCGCCAAGCGGGAGGTCGAGACCGACAGCTTCTTGCATTGCGTTGTGCCTGGGCTGGATATTCTCATTCAGCGCTGTGGGCTGGGGCTTATCGCTGGGTTGTTGGGTATTTCGGCTCAGCGGATGGAAGTGTGGCGCGTGGCTTGCACAAGGGTGAGCTCAATACATCGGACCTAATGTTCGAACGGGAGCTAATGGACTAGCCTGGTGTTGCTCTCTTCACTGCTCTCCTCTCCCGAGCGCAAAGTGTTTTACGCCCGGATCCTGCCAATCCTCAGAGCGCCCCGCCGCCCGATGCTGGCGAAGTGGACCAATGGTAAGCTTCCCGCTTCATATCCTCCTAGCAAACGGGCACAACAGCTGACACCACCAGGAACAAGATCTACGCCTACTTCCTCTCCATCCTCCTCCCGCACCTATCCGACCTCTTCCCCTCCTCCCTCGTCCAGCGCAACGCCTTCGGTCCCGGCGCATACCTCATGACTACCAACGACACATCCGACGAGATGGAGCGTCGAGATGCGGAAGTATGGGGCTTTACTGCCGCGCTCGCTGTCAATGCGCCAGAAGAGGAGCAGGCCAACTTGGTTGGTGCGTTGAGAGAGAAGATTCTGCATACTGTGCAGTCGAGCCGAGCGCCGGGGGTGAGTGCGGAGGCGAGGGATAGGAAGTTGAGGAATGTCAACATGTTCTTGCATGGCCTGGTGAGCTCTCTGGGTCGACTGTAGCGAGAAGATAAAGCTTACATGATAGGGTCTCGATGCGTCCATGATTGAGTGATACGAAACATGAGCTACGAAGTCATCTGCGACAGCATTCAGTCACTATCCATATATACCGTTCTGGACGTATGAATCATGAGTTGCGTGCTACATGACGGCGTACTACTACCCACATGGACTTTCTATGGCAATGAAGTGCCACACTGGTGCGGGAAAGGTGAAACTGCCACATTCGGCTATTTTCGGTGTCTCAAGCTGAAACACAGACAAGGAAGCTAAAGGCAATCCCAAGGGGAGGTGTCGTGTTTCGAGCCTTGTCTAAAGGGGACTTTGGGTTGTTGTCCTTGACGACGAGCCCTACCGCCCTCGTGCTCTCGTGCCTTGGGCAATGTTGGAGCCAAGGATAGCCTTTGGCTGGAAAAGGGTGGGGGAGGGAAGGGGAGGGACGCAGGGGGACAAGGGAGGGACGAGCGCGTGTGCAGTTGATCGGTATCCAACGATTCGATCACAACAACAACAGCCCGGCCTCCTCGTTGACTGATGGGACTGACGTGACTTTCACTTCTTACATCTCTGTCTGCTGTCTTCGTCGTGACTACGATCTTATATCGTTCATCACCGCCGCACCGAACGTTGCGATGGAGACTGTCATCTCGGCGCGCTCGCCACTTTTCGAATACTCGCCTTGTAGGGATTGTGGAGGAGGGATAACGGGATGGAGGGGGACCAATGGGACGGATGGAGCTTTAGTGGGGAGCACTGGGAGACTAGCCATCGCTTTCAACTTTACCGGTGGGTTATTTCTCCCGACTCGAGCGCTGTCCATTCGACGGTGTCAAATGGGATGTCCGAGCTGACCATCGCAGGCACTGGCGTGTCGTTCGACTTTGCTCAACGTATACCAGAGGACTGGTTGCACAAGTTGACAGTCAACAGTTCCGCCCCGCCCACCTCCGCCGACATCACATCCACAAGCCTGACCAACCTCGTCCCCGGCGCACACCGATTCACGCTCGAGCTCTTCCCCCCTGCTCCCGACCCATTCTCTCCCGCACCCCCCTCCAACGCCTCTGTCACCTTCACTGGCGCGACAGGATACCTCGGGGCGATACTCAACGCGGCGACGAAGAATGTGACGATCGACGATACGGCATGGCGGACTGGCGAGGTCGTGCTCAGTCCAGCGTGGAATATGATGGAGGGCGGACAAGGCGGATCGAGCAATTGGATCAATACGACGCAGATCGATGCGGAAAGGGGAACAGCAGGGGAGAATTGGAATAGCTCGTTATCGTGGACGGAGCAAAGAGGGGCGAATACGACGATTGCATTTGCGGGGGAGGCGGTGTGGGTGTATGGAGCGGCTGGAGGCGAGGCGGGACGATATGAGGTGCTGGTGGATGGGACGGAGATGGGGCGGTATAATGCGTCTGGTGGAGCTAAGGCGTAAGCTGGCGAGCTGCTAGATATATGGTAGCAGAAGCTGACAGTCTCAGCTACGGCCAGGTACTGTACCATACCAGCTCACTAGCGAAGGGCAACCATACCCTCACTCTGCGCAATCTACAAGATGGCGGGAGACTATCCTTTGATCGATTGGTGGCCATGTCAGGGCTGTGAGTGAAGCCACGCACGAGATGGACTCGAGCTGACATCATAGCGCCGCCACACCTCGTCCATCTACATCAGCACCCATCCCATCAGCTACATCCACACCAGTATCGAGCACGAAGAAGCTCAGCGATGGCGCTCTTGCTGGGATCGGCATAGGCGCGGTCCTCGGTGCGATCTTGCTTATTGGCGCTATCGTATTCTTCCTGATGCGGCGGGAAAGGAGGAGACGGCAGGGGCCAAGTAACGATGAGTACTCGTCGAGCAAGTATGACGAAAAGAACAAGACTGTGAGTTCTGCCTCTTCAGACGGTGAGAAATCAAGCTTACTTTAGTTCCTCAACTTCCCTAGATCCACCACTCCTCCCTTCTCCCGTATGGACGGCTCCGAACCCGCTGCAGCCGGTTTCCTCGCAAGAGCTTGGCCCTTCCATCGTAACGGTCCACCCTACAGCAAGGAGTCATTCATCCCCGGCATGCCCAGCACCCCTCGGGCTGGCGACACTTCCAACCTCCCTCAACCCCCTTCCGGCGACCGCTATACCAGCTTCCTCAAATTCAGCAAGTCCCCCAAACGGGGCAGAGAGAGTCCTCGACCTAATATCTCTTCACCCACGCCATTCGAGCGGCCTGGCTTCGCGGACGCCGAGTACCGCAATACCATGCAGACTCGGGCTACAGCGGAAGACACGGAGGGGATCTCACCCGCTCTCCTCGCGGCCATCTCGGGGCGGGTCGTCTCGCCCCTCGCTCAACTCCGGGACGGCGCGCTTCCGCCCACCACTGCCGAGAGCGAGAGTTACTTTCCAAAGATGACAGCGCTGGGCTCCGTGTTTGCCGGTCCGCCGAAAGCGCCGGCGCTCAAGGCGGAGGAGAACACCTGGAAGCGGCCGAGCGTGGATACGATTGGGAGGATCTTTGGGCAGTATGCGAGTCCGAGGGACACTGTCGTTCCAGCTAGGGGTGGGCTGGCGGCAATGGACACGATAGAGGGGAGGGAGAAGTGGGATGAGCGGGTACGGAAAGGTGAGTCTACGTCCGGCAAGGGGACCGGAGGCGTGGCTGACAGAGTAGTGGGACAGCCTCATGCTTTCTAGTGGATCTTACGGGGGATGCAGTATCTGTATATCTATATGTTCATCTAAATGTACTGCTCTGCTGTCGGAGATCAGTATGTGAGAACTGCCGCACCCCAGCGCACGCCACCGTCCGCATACGTCAGGAACGCCACCCAGATTTAGCGTTTCAAACGACCACGATGAAACGCGCTCCACAGCCTTACCATCAATCCGCTGTTTATCATCATCGCGCTCAGGGTGAGAAGGCTGGGATCATGGCGGTGCCTTCGCCCTTGGGTCCTGTGATTCACAAGCGCACCATGTCAGACCCGAACGACGCCCCGCCCATCACCCTTGTTGACTGTTGACGGAGCGCGGGGCGGCTGAGGAGCTAAATACCCGTCAAGGTTTGGCTGCTATCCCGCTAAGACCTCCTCATCCTTTACTACGCAACAAGAACCACCTTCAGTCTTTCCTCTTCATCTATCCATACTCCTGCTCTTACTCATATCAGGTCTCGTATCAAACATCATCTGAAGCACAGCTCATCTTGACGGTCTTTCCTCCCGGTGCCCGGCGCGTCGAAGGAGGAATGTCCAGCCCCTCCTCCACTTCAGCTCCCCACTTCACCTACCGAACTGTCGCGTCCGAGTCCGCCCACTCCTCTACTGTCGACGCGTTTCCCCCTCCAGGTCCTCCACCGCTATATGGCAACATCCCTCTCTCGGCAGATATAGCCCGGCGGATCCTGGAGCAGAACCAGGAGAAGCAGGAGGTCCGGGACCGGGAGAGAGCTATGCTGCTCGCTAGTCCTGCGATACGACCGCCGAGAGAGGCTTCGAGTGGAAGTAGGGAGTCATGTACCCCATCGGACGACTCGGCGGAGGCGGTAAACACGGATGATAGTACCCAGCCTACGTCCGAAGCGTCGGGAGGGGGATCGAGGATACTCGTCAATGGGGAGCCTCTTTATCGAGATAGTATGGACAGCGCAGCTACCGGTAGCACAGACGCGTGTCTGCCAGAAGCCTTAGGCGTCAAGGAGGCGTTGGCGCAGTGCGAGGATCCGACATTGGGTTGGAGTCAGCAGTTCTGGATTACCATTGCGGACCCTAATGTGAGTTGCGCCTTGCCTCGCTGTATATATATCGGAAGAGACGAGCTGACTGGGCTAGACTGGACACGTATTCTTTGCTTGCCCCGCAACAGGTACGCACCTCTCAACCTTGCAGTGCGGAGCTAGGAGTTTGGACGGTAAGACAAAGCTGACTTTTCCAGGGCGGACTAGCTGGACACCACCTCAAGGCGTCTTCATCGTACCCCGCCAGGCCGACGGAGAATGGTGGGAGCTCGCAGACGAGAGCCGCGGGAACCGGTCATACTACTACAACACCCTTACTCGGAGCACCCAGTGGACCCGGCCGGGCGATAACCAGTTCGTCATACCCCTCGGTCTCATCCAGAGCACTGCGACCTTGCCTCACAATCCTCGTCGGTCTCGCGTCTACTCAACCAACTCGGCGGATCACCTCCGGCCAAACAACCCCGCCTCGCCTCTCATACGGAGTAGGGGTCAGTCGGATCCTCCAGGGTTCACAAGGCATAATCATGGACCGCGCCCACCACCATCGCCAAGGCGAGACGCTACTAGGACACCCGATGCCCCTCCAGCGCCGAGATCGGGAGCGAGAAATCTAGTCGTTCCTAGCACGACATCTTCGGTCACTCCGCCGTCACCACCACGAGGCGCTTCCATCCCGTCACAAGTGCGCCGCACATCGCACTCCTCCCCTCTGACCCCTCCATCACCAGAGACGCCGCGCCAACTCCCCCGCATCCTCTCGGTCGTAGGGGAGGGCGATGGCGAGGAGGCCTCAGACCGGGAAGCGTATGCGGACAACGAAGAGAGCGGGAATGAGGCGGATCAGTCGGTCTTGTCTGGCGAATCGGGTCGGACGGCCAGAGTGGAGGCAAGGGGGATGGGAACGAAGTTCGAGGGGAAGAAGGAGCAAGGGAGGGGGTTCTTGGGGATGTTAGGGAGGCAAGGGAGGAGTCGGACGTCCCCTATCATGGGTGAGAAAGAGCGAGGGGGAGACACTGGTGAGTTACAGCTCATCGACATCAGCAGAAGAGAACGAGCTGATATACAGTACCCATGCCGTGGATGAAGCGGAACGGGTCATCGGTCTCAATCAGCCTTGCCTCGCCTATCAGCTGGCCACAGCACCACCCCAACACCTCGGTCCCGGTGCTTCCTCGAGGCGGCGCCAGCGCTCCCATTCCCGTCAATCCACCCACTATGGCCCGCTCCAAGCGCATGTCGACCGGTCTCCACCCCCTCCTCCCATCCGCCGTATCCGCCGAAATCCAAAAGCTTCAAGGCAATGGCGTCGAGTCCGCTTCGGCGTACTTTGCGACCCGCCGTTCCGGCCTTTTGAGGCACAAACTCCCACTCGATAAGGTGCTCGAATGGCAGAAACAGCCAATCTCGGCTCCCCTTCTGAACACCTCAAAAGGGCCGGCGGCGAAGGAGGCGCTCATGTGCTTCAAGGTCGTACAGCGGACGATGGGCGAGCGCGATCGGCCCGTCGAAGGAGCGCGAGCGCCGGTGCGGTCGACGGCGCAAGGCGAATCAGGTGTGTCCGTAGGAGGCGGGAACGGAGGAGGTCGAGGCGAGAAGATGGTGGTCTTGGAAGAAATCAGGTGGATGATACAGGCGTGCCTGGCCAAGCCGGAGTTGAAGGATGAGGGGTATTGTCAGGTCATCAAGCAGGTCACTAAGAACCCGAATCCGTGAGTGGCGCTTTCCTGGCCTAGCAAGAAATGATGGACATCAGCTGATCGTGTAGGGAATCGATGGTACTAGGCTTCCAGCTGCTCTCGGTACTCGCCAATTCGTTCGCTCCGGGTACAGTCTTCCAGCCGTTTGTCAAATCCTTTCTCGAGGGCCGGCTCGACTCGGATCATGATGGGGTGGCAAAAATGGCGAGATGTAAGTTTTTGAGTCCTCAGCCATGGGTGAGGCTAGGTCGAGCTAACACGGGTAGATGTCTTGACGAAAATGGCGATCACCTTATCCCGCCACGGCCGGGGTCGAGCCCTCACCATCGGCGAGATCGAGCACGCCTCGGATGCCGCCTTCTACCCCTCCGTATACGGCGAATCACTCACCAAGATCATGCGCGACCAGTCGACCTCCCATCCTGGCGAGAAGATTCCGGTGATTCTGCCATTCTTGGCGAATGCGATTCTGCAGCTCCGGGGCTTGCAAGCCGAGGGTATATTCAGGATTCCGGGAGACGGGGATGTGGTGGCTGAAATGAGATCCAGGATGGACCGGGGTCATTTCCAGCTCGTAAGCTCGACCGACAGCTACTTCAGCAGGAGTGGCGACAGGAATCTGAGCTGATTTTACAGGCCGGGATGGGCGATCCGCACGTCGCCGCCTCGCTGTTCAAGCTCTGGCTTCGAGAGCTGGAAGAACCTCTAATCCCTTCCGAGCTGTACGACGAAGCGCTCTCCGCGGCCGCCTCGACCCGACCCGACCAGGTTATTGCCTTCGTTCAGCAGCTTCCGGCGCGGAACCGACGAGTTTTACTGTTCGTCATTGCCTTCTTCCAGATCTTCTGTAAGGACGAGGTGGTGGCGGTCACCAAGATGACCCCTCATAATCTGGGTAAGTCTTCGCTTTACTCATGCCCACTTCGCTCGTCTCCACGAACTGAATTTGATCTGAGCTGACTGCGTAATAGCGCTCGTACTCGCCCCGAATATTCTGCGGACGACGAGCGACTCCCTCGTCGTCGTCTTCAACAATTCGGGGTTTGAGAGCCGGTTTGTCCTTCTCCTTCTGCAACATCTCGACGTGGCGGGAGTGGATAAGGGATACGCGCCGAGATTATCACTGCAGATGATGGTCTGATAATGGGAGGGTGAACGGGGATCAGGGTGGCTGTACTTGATTTTGTGGGAAGCGGAACCCCGAGGGGTGTCAATTTGTTCTTATTTTCGGGTTGTATATACATAGTTTGCGTGTGCTACCCTGATGCACTGTCTGAGCTTGGTCAAGAGCCATCTGTACCTTTTGGACTGCCCTGAGATGTAGCTGGTCGACAGCTAGCTTGGTGGACAAGAGGAAAAAGGCTCGATCGGTAGTTGGTCATAAGTTAAGCGGGATCCGATCATGAGGGCCACTTGTTGGTCCTGCTGCGCGCAGCTAGGGCAGTCCTAAAGCTACAGTCGCTATCCACCGACGATTGGGGCACCCTAAAGCCAGATCATCAAGAGTGAAATGACTTGATGCAGATGTCGTGGTTGTCGTTGACAGAAGGGGAAAAAATCGTAACTCTTCCCTTCTCGCCATAGACACTCAGCTTTGAAGCTTCTCGAAGCATGAGTGGCACTGGTCACTCTAGTACACGGTCAGGAGGTGGAAATTTAAGTGGCTAGTCGACTGATACTGAGCATTAAAGTGAGGTACAGCAGCTGGCAAGACCAGTACCCTGCGAGTAGACTCTGCCAGCTGTATCCCGATCTCCTTCTTATCCTGACTACAATGCATAGACGGCAAAGGGATCGCCAATAAGGCTGTGGGAGCTGCTACAGGTAGCTGGTATCCCGAAACCATGATAGGGGGGCCGCGATGCATTGTGGAAAGTATCACTACAGCGATTGTCGGCCGTCACTGAACTTCTGTCATCCTTTTCTGTCCTCGGCCATCTTTTCCTACCTTCTGCTCGCAACCGCGCACATAGGACTACAGAAATGGAGGAAAAGTCGGGCTGTTCAAGCTGCTGAAACAGCGAGCTACTCGGGTGTCTGAGAATCGCCTTTTTGGAGGAAGGGCACAGCTTGGCGACCTGGGATAGGACTCGGGAAAGATTACTGTCCGGTACCGAGTTGGACAGGTCGATTGCTGAATCTCCTTCCTGCTTCTCAGTCCATCGAGTTCGCATCTGGCGGGATGTCTGTGGTGGACAGGGAGCTTTGATTTAGTGGCCATAGATGTACGCCTTCCCCAAGTCGGAAGCTTGAGCACATCTATGAGACCGTGATGGGGTCCGAGGCATGCCTCTGCCCCGCTTCCGCGTGCTTTATTTCCGCTCAGGTACCGGTGCATTGACTCTGCGCTCGGACCAGATCCTTCCGAGACATGGCGGCAGCATTCCAGCGGGCCCCAAGCCAAGCTCACCAATCACAGCTCGGGGTCTTGCCACACAGACGAAGGACGCCCCTACGTAAGGTAAGCTCGCGCTCTTCGCTTCGGCTGTTTGGACCGTCCTATCACCGGCAGCCAAGTCTCTACCTTTCGCCACCCTCTCGTGTATTCGCCACCCATCGCTCTGGCGAAGCAAGTGGATCTTCGACGACCGTAACACAGCACCTCAAACGCCACGTCAAAGGACGACTCCCTCGCCCCCTGCTCTCACGCGCTTCGACCGAAAGGGCCACACCCCTTCGCCAGGCTGTGCCAAAGTGAAACGCTCAACAGCCAGGGCCCAGCACCGCGTACAACCCCTTCCAAAGACAAGCTCGGCCGCCACCCTCCGAGCACGCGTAAATCCGACACAGGTACCTCCACGCCGGTCAGTCAGTCCTCTTTAGCTCTTGCGTCTGCCCATATAAGACATACCGTGCCCTAATAATTCAGACATCTTTCGTCCATCCCATTCGCCTCCAATCGAGCCAATTCGAAAAGTGGCACTTCCCATACATACCCTGACCCACCAGCCCCCTTCACAGGCCATACATATAGCCTTGACGTGCATCGGAGAATTCCCTCGTCGCCTCGCGCACCACCCAGCACCATCCACACCATCTGAAACAACGCCACCGCTCTTTCTCCACTCAATATTCTACACACCTCCAACCCTCCTTTCTGCGTTTCCAACTATTAAGCTCAACATCGCCCCAATTGCGTAACAACCGATCTCGCGACCTCCTCGGCCGTCCCATCCCGCCTATCATGCTTCCATCCCGCACAAGCACTAAAGCGCGCCGGTCAGAAGTCATCGCGTCGCTCAGCTCATCGACTAGGTCAAACCCTATGACCACCACACCCACTACACGGCCGCGCAGTCCAGCTGTCGGCGGACCACGCGCACGAGCCACCAGCGCGAGCGCCCGAGCGTCTACGCCACATGCAAAGACGTCGTCGGGCGCGGAAGATGCACCGCATACCGGAACATCAGAAGCAGGAGGGAGAAAGGACAAGGCAGAGAGGAAGCCAAAGAAGCGGGGATGGAAGGGATACGCGATGCAGTATTTCGACGACGATGGCAATCTGGTGGAGGAGCGAATCAGAGATGCGACGCCGCCGACAGAGGAGGAGAAGGCAGCCGCGGCGGCTGCGGAGCTGGCTGCTGCAGCTGCCGCAGAGGAGGAGCGGAAACGAAGTGAAGGGAAGCGCAGGGCAGCGAGCAGTCTACCGAATCGCAGTCGAGGTGAGCTCGGACCGTCTACGACTTGAGGCGAGAACGAGGCTGACGCCTTCTTCTCTTTTTTTGCATCTCAATCGACATCTACGCGATTTCATCACTTTTTACCGCCATTACGCCCATGCCTCAGACGGATCAACTGCACATACTATACGCTCGGACCATGCCGATGGACGAGCTGCACCAGCAGTACCGACAGGGCAAAGAAGCAAGTCGCCCGACCCGGCTTTGGAGGAGCTGCCTTCGCTTCGGATAGAAACGACTGTTGGACCCCGGCCAGTCGGTGAGCTTTCAACCGAATTGATTCACCTTCCATCTTGTCTTCATACTTCAACCTTTTCACCCCATACCTTGCGTCTTGTCCCCTTGATCTCTCCCTCCCCCATTTACCAACTGTATCGGAGCTCTCGCTGACTCTCGCCTTCTTGTTCCTCTCGCCCTCCCTACACTCGTCCTTGTTCATCATGCTCCCACCGTCCTGCACCACCGTCTACCCCATTCGCCGACAACCTCGCATGACTCTGACTCTCGCACATCCAACACCCATCACACCTGTTCATATCCCCAATCACGATCGCTTCTCGAGAGCCCCCTCTTCTCCTCTATCATCTCTATCGCCATCTCCACCGCCTGCAGTCACAGTCACCACACCGCCATCTGACCCGGCGGTACCTCCCACCGAAATCATTCAACCCAAAGCAGGTCCTTCTCGACTTGCGGCCGACGGGGAAAAGGAGAAGCTGCCGGTCAAGAAGAGGAGAAAAACTTCGCTCTCCATTACTCCCGGGCCGGACCATTCCCGAGCCGCGTCCACCGTAACCCGCCTACCACCGCCGAACGGTAAAGGCAAAGCCCGGGCATCCCTTCCTCTCACTGCCCGCCAGCTCGGAATCGCCGCCAACAACGCGGCGGTCCAGGCAGCGCGGGAAGCAAAGGGGCAAAAGGACGCTTTGCTGGGCAGGTCATCCCCTTTCGTCGTCGACGATGACGCGCCGTTGCCAAAGGTGCCTCGGAAAGGTATGGGGGATGACCAGCCTACACCCGCAGAGAGCGATGTCCGGGCGGAGGGACTGATGATCCTGGAGGCGGTGGCGAGGCAGCGGGAAGAGCGGAAGAGACTGTCTGCGGCAGCCGACAAAAACTCCCCTTTCGGTCGACCCAACTCGCCGCCTCTCACCGGAGAAGAGTCCGATCTTCCGCCCCTACAGATCGTCCTGCCTACCAACGGGAACGGTGACCACTCTACCTCTTACCGCACACCTGCCAATACGGGGGAAGGCTTCCCAGATGTGGCTTCTCAACTCGTACCTGGGCCATCACGCCGCGGCCGACAAGACGCTATGACGGACGAGGAGTTCGAGCGGGAGTTTGAGGCCCTCAAACAGCTCTACAGCGATCCGAAACGTCATACCATGCCTGTCTTTGTGGACGACCCTCGGCCGCCCAAGTTCCACCAAGGACAGAGACCGACGGTGGTCCTCGCGGGTCAACATTCGCGGATGCCGGGGCGAGTAAGGGACAAGCACGAGAGAGCGTACCTGGAGGGATATGACGGGTTGCCGGATGAGTACGAGAGGGAGATTGTGGGGTTCATTGACAATGTCAGGGTGAGTCCTGATCTCGCTCAACGGAGGACCGCCGCCATCGACAGGAAAAGCCTGAGCTGACCGACCAGTCAAATATGAAGACGGTTGTCCAATTCTACTTTGACCACCCGACACTACGCCGAGATGCCTTCATCGAGCGGCTCGGCCGAGAGCTATCCAAGCTCGGAGCCGAGCTCACGAGCGACGGGGAAGCCTCCGTGGTTCCTCCTCGACCTCCTACTCCGGAGGAGTGACACGGACAACACCATTGATCCAGTAAGTGACCCAGCGCTGAAAAACTCTGACTATTGAAATCCAGTCACTGACTAGGATAGTCCCGGTCACAATTCAGCGGATCGACCAAGATTCGTTCGGCTCGCGGACTGCGAGTTCTCTGACGACCACACCCCTGACCAGATCCCTCATCATTGCCCTCCCTCCCGTTCTTTCCGAAACGTCCCTGAACGATCACATATGTTGTAGTCATTATATAGAGGCTTTCAGCCTACACCTCCAGCGTCCGCAAGCACGCAGGATAAATCAAAGAAGCATGTACCCCAGTGTGGTATAGCCTCTCTACACTGTGTCATCGGCTCCGCCGCAAGCCAGGGTGGCCAACGGATCTGGGATAAAAGCCGGAAATTGCTTTGGCTGTATATTTTGACCCTACCCGGGTGAACCATCTCCCCGCACCAAGATTTCGCCCATTCCACTATTAGATACGGTAGCCTTTCCTTCTCCGTCCCCGACACACATATACCCGCTCCAGCTCGCCCAAGCACCTCGGTAAGGGTGAGATCAGAGCGTTGTCAATATAGCCCCCATTTTACCCGTCTCTTTATGACTCGGACGTGTTTGTTTCGAAGCTTCTAGACGATACCCACGACAAGGACATCCACCCCCTTCGCCTTTCCCCGCATCAACAACAACACAATCTACATCATGAACGACCACGACCAGGACTACGACCTCCCTTCCCCTCGTACCAACCTCTTTGGCGCGCACAGGGCATCCACAAATCCCCGGCTCCACGCTTTGGCCAAGCCGTACTCCCGCCCCGCTTCTTTCCACGATGCCCTCACGGTGGCCGGTCCCTCCTCCCATGGCCAAAACGGCAACACCTCTCCCAACAAATCACCTACCAAGCAGCTCCCATCAATCCGACCGTCGATACCCAAGTCCTACTCCTCATCCAATCTCGGCATGACTCGCTCGGGGTCGGAGCCGAGCTTGCTCTCTGGCCTGAAGAGCATGCTGTCCCGCCCCCTCGCGTGGCTGGCCAGTCCATCGCGGAATCAGCAGGCGCAGCAGGACAGATCACAAGGGAAGAAGCGGGACAGTGGTTGGGATGAGGAGGAGCCAGGAACTCCCACGGAGGATGACCGGGACATGAAGAGGTTGCGGAGGAGATCGCCATCGCCTACGATGGGCGAGTACGCTCCAAAGCCGCTCCAGGTCACGGGACGGGCGGTGACCGGGTTCATGCTCCCACCACTACCTCCCGACGTCTCGCTCAGGCCCAAAAGCAAGCAAGGCTCGGGCTCCGCTATTCCCCCCAACTTTTCCAGACCCCTCAAATCCTCTCAGTCCATGCCGTATCTCGACCCTCCTACCAGCTTGCTCTCGCCTGCGAAGAAGCGCTCAGCTTTGACTCGATCGAGACGGGTGGACATGACGGGTACGGCAGACGAAGAAATGCTGCAGGAGGGGGAGAAGAAGGAGCAGTGGAGCCCATGGAAGGAGAGCCATTCAGGGCGGACGAGGGCGTCGTTGACTCCGGCGAGGTATACACCTGCGAGGAATGGCGAGAGCACAGATGTGAGTACCGGTGTCTGAGTGACCTCGACCGGTAGCTGATCTGACAGTTTGGCCTGCAATCTGGATCCCCCTTCCGAGCACCACCATCGCCTTTGGCTCCAAGGCAGACCTCTGGCATGTCGCGTTCCGCCACTACCTCGCGTCTTCGCCGAGAGTCGACAGCCGGCAGTGACGTCAATATGGACCGGGAATCGCGTGGAGGAAGCAGGGCGATGATCATGAACGGGGAGGAGGATGACCGAATGAATGCCAGTGGAAGTAAGCGGGAGAGCAGCGTTTTGGTGAGTGTTTCAGTACAGCGTCCTGGCCGCAGACTGATAATCCAGGATTGGTATATGAAGGACCGATGGCAGGGTGGTGGATCGCCTTCCGCTCGTGCTGCTTCAAGTCGACTCGGATCGGTCGGTCCGGCCGGATCCTCAAGTGGGATGCCGCCAATCCGGAAAGGCCAATTCGTGTGGGACTCGGAGAAGGGATTCGTTCGCGAGAACGAGCTTAAAGCCGGTAGGTCTTCGTCTACTCTTTCGCATTTTGCAGATCAGTACTTATGAACAGAAACGCCTCAAAATGTACACCAGAACGACGCCGAGCGGATCCTCTTCGCCCTCGAGTCCATGCGGAAAACACCACTAGCCGAAGCTCGAACATCTACCTCGTCCTTTTCGTCAATGCCGCCAGATCTCGTCGGCTCATCCTCCCGCTCCATCCGGAAAGCGATTAGCGTACCGCTTGCGACTTCCCAGGCGGGTGATAGTGCTCGCTCGAAGCGGGAGAAGGAGAGATTAGGGGAGGATTACAACGTGATGATCAGTCCGTATGGACGGCGGAAGGCTGTTGAGAGGGACCAGAGGGAGCAGCGGGCAGAGCGCTCTCGGAGTGGGATGGACGAGGGTGAGCTAGCAGAGACTTCATGGAGAGCCTTGCTGATCATCAGAATATCGTCCTAGCCATAGCCCAAGTCGCTCTGTGGGGTCGCGCAGCGAAGCCTCTTCTAGGGGAACCTCGGACATGCGATCTGAACGGAGCGAGGCGAGCGTCACACCTTCGCCAGCACAGACTCCACGTCGATCCGCTCGGAATAAGCGGAAAGACGATGCTGCCGAGGAACCGACTCCCAAGCCTCAAAAAGGGCGGAGCAAGAAAGCTGCCCCGGAACCTTCAGGCGAGACGCCGAGGAGACGGACCACACGTCGCGGGACGGCTGAGAAAGGGACCTCGCCTCCACCTCAGCCTGCCAACGAGCCAGCGCCACCCGTACCAACCATCATGGAGACGGCTCCTTCGCCCAAACAGTCTACCTCGTCTTCGACATACCAAGTCCGAGAAGACTCAGGACCACGGGAAAAGTCGAGCTTGCGCGCCAAGTCGGACATCACCAAGCGGAAGCACGAGTCTGCGGCCAATTCGCGGGCGGTCAGTCCAAATGGCGGACGTTATTCGGCGAGGGAGGAGGACCTTCCACCTATGGAGGAGCTGGAGACAAGCAAGATTCAGCTCCCCAGCTTCTCGGGAATCAGCTTTGCTGGTCTTACGCCCAATCCTGCTCCTGCGGCGTCGACTTCTGCTGCTCCTGCGCAGTCGTCAAGCTCTGGTGCGCAGCCCGCTGCGTCCAGCCTGACGGTCCCATCCGGGCGACCCGGCCCGCTTTCTCGGTTCAACTCGAGCCGGCCGAGAGCCTCATCCCCACTTGCGGGCGGCTCGATCGTGGCGGAACCGGAATCACCACCCGAGACAGGCGCTCCTGCTCCTCCTGTCGCGAAGCCAGACGCATCTGGATTCTTTGCCCTCGGCTCTTCGTCCTCCACACCCACCAACCCTCCTCCACTTTTCACCAATATTGCCAACGACATGCGCACAGATGCCGCAAAGAAGACTGGGTCGCTCGGTATCGGCAAGCCGTCCGCGCCTCCTGCGGCAAACGGCGTACCCAACTTCTTTGGCAAAGCTGCTCCACCTGCCGCGGCACCACCACCCGCGCCTGCGTCTACTCCCTTCAGCTTCGGCCTGCCCAAAGCAGATGACGCAGCCAAGCCTGCAGCGCCGGCATTCGGCTTCGCAAAGCCCGCTGAGAGCGGAGCTGGCATAGGAGCAAGTGTGTTTGGTGGCACTCCTGTGGTGATTCCCGCAGCCAAGAAATCGGTCACAGAAGTACCGCCTATCTTGAATGGCACCGGATCGTTCTTTGGTGAACCAGCCAAGAAGCCGGCCGCGGAAGCAGTAGCGCCAAAGGCGCCGGACTTCTCGGTAGGTCTTATCTGTGTGTTATGTGCGATCTAAATGAAGATGGCTGATACTTTAGTTCGCGACCAAATCTGCTGAGCCGGCCAAGTCGACATTCAACTTCACGCCCGCTGCCACGCCTGCTCTCGACACCGCTGGCGCTAGCAAGTCGCCCTTTACCTTCGGCCAGCCCGCAGCTGCGGACAAGCCAGCGGCTGCTCCCGCGCCAACGAGCTCGTTCAACTTCAACACTGTCCCTGCCGCGACGCCTTCGCTCAACTCTGGGTCAGGCGGATTCAGCTTTGGTCAGCCCGCTGCCAAGGCGGCCGAACCTGCTGCAAAGCCTGCTGCTGGCATGTTTGGCGGTCAACCCCCAGCCGCAGACGCAAGCAAGTCGCCCCCTCCCCCCTCTTCGGCAAACCCATTTGGTGGCTTCTTCGGAAAGCCCGCCGAGCCCGCTTCTTCCGCGCCAGCGACCCCTGCAGCGGCCCCTGCGGCGAATCCGTTCGCTTTCGGTGCTCCACAGCCCTCGACGAGCTTTGCATTCGGATCGGATGCAAGCAAGCCAAGTGGCGCTCCAGCCGGTAATGGCTTCGGGTCAGCCCCGCCGTCACCCGCCGCCCAGCCTGCGTTCACGTTCGGGTCGTCCACACCCACCGCTGCCCCAGCCGCAGCTGCACCGGCTCCCGCTTCGCCATTCAACTTTGGGGCTCCAGCTGCTGCACCTGCCAACGGATTTGGCGCCGCTGCTCCCGCTACCGCCCCCGCTTCTACTGGATTCGGTGGCGGCTTCGGCAGCGGCTTCGGTAGCGGATCCAACGCAGCACCTGCCCGATCCGCCCAGGCGCCAGCATCCACTGGGTTCGGGTTCGGATCAAGCACACCAACCCAGTCCGGCTTCGGTAGCGGCTTTGGCACGCCCGCAGCCGCTCCCCCTACTACCCCTGGCGGATCCAGCAGCTTCGGTACCGGCTTCGGGTTCAATCAGCCATCGACTACTCCCGCCGGCACTCCGTCCACCTTCAACTTTAGCGCCAATACCTCCACTCCAGCTACACCAGCCACTGCCCCCGCTGGCTCCAGCTTTTCTTTTGGCTCTGCGGCCGCCCCATCTCCTGCACAGCCTTTCCAGTCCAACGGAACTCCAGGCGGAGCTCAGACAGCACCCAACACACCCGGCGGAGCACCAGCAGGAGGCTTCGGGTTCGGCGCGGGCGCGCCAGCCAACGGTGTACCGCGCTTCGGGAGCCCGCAGCCTGGGGCGCCGGCAGATGGGGGATTCAGCTTGGGAATGGCGGGAGATGCGAACGCGCCTGGAAGTCCGGGACGGAGGCAGATCAAGCCATTGCGGAGGAAGAAGTAGGTCGATGAGGTGTCTACAGGGAGGTAGGGATGTACGATACGTGGGAAGGCGATGTTGTGGAGGGAAGTCGCCCGTGGTATAGTAGATATAGTTGGCTGCGTGTCCCTCATAATTTAGCATGGTATTTACAAGGTAAAGGTAGGATTCATGTGGTATCTAGGTATAGCTCGTAGTACGTAGTTAGTGTAGACTAGTATAGGTCTCAATGACAAAACAGATGCATGAATGGCAATGTTGCTTACTTCGTCACGTTCCGAGCCTTCTTCATTGGGTCTGCATACTGATTCATCGTATAGTCTAAATCGTAGGAGAATTGTCCATTTGCTATGATCTACATGTCATCCATCATTTTCTTTCCCTATTGCATCCCCCTAGCAGGTTTCTTGTGCCCTCAGACTCCGACTGTGCGCCAGCGACCGGATCCCCCTCGACTGCGTATTCGCCCTGTGCACATGCCCCACTGCCGGCTGCCATACGATCTCGGGCGATCTGGGAACGAGGAGAGCTGACGCGCCCATATCCACCTTGAGACTGAGCTTGGTCAAATCCATGCCCATCTCATCGACCGGTGAGATTCCGATGGGCGGAAGTTCCGAGCCCGCTATGCCCAGTCCCATCATCTTGGCGTCATGTGTGGGTGGACGGCCGAGAGGGGATCGAGCACGGAGAGCGCGGAGACCGCCGAACGGGGAGGGAGCGTCGAGTGTGTCACACGCTGGGGGAGCAGTGGATGGCCGTCCCCGCCGAGCGCGACCGGCCGCCCGAGCGGGCAACGTGGACGCTGATACGGTCGTCTCCAGATCGAGTACGGGCGAAGCGGGAGGAAGGGAGTGAGAAGCGGATGGGCGTCGGATCTCTGGAGGGGGGAAGACCATGGGATAGCGGAATGTAGGTGCGTTGAGAGCCTCGGCCGGCAAGATCCGGGCGAGAGAGTGGGAGGCGGAGGGGTGGATCCAGACCGAGAGGCTGACGCTGCGGGTGTTGGACTGCGCGCCGGCAAAGTAGTGTGAGACAGGGAGGGCGTCGTTGGAGAGTGCGATGGGAACCTCGGCAGTGGGTGGGTATGGCCATGGCATCTGACCGGATTTGAGACCGCCCCGCTGCTCGATCACCACCATTTCCTCCTCTGACATCTCGACGCGCCAGAGGATGACCTTGTCCAGCTTGTCCATCGCCCGTCCGTCCGCCCGCAGTAGCGCCTCCTTGAGCTGGCCAATCGTGGAGGAAGGAAGGATGTCGACGGGTGTGGGCGCACGACGCGTGGGTCTGGAGGGGGGAGAGCCGGAGATGTAGCGCGAGCTAGAAGAGAGGGAGGGGGAGGAGCCGTGCGATTGCGAGTCGGTGGGAGCAGCAAAGTGTGCAAGCAGGGTGAGTGGGCGGGCAGAGCTGGTGGTGTGGTGTATGGGGCGGGCGATAATGGAGATGGTCTCGCTGTTGAGAGGTGCGGAGGGGTACCAGTCCTTGATGCGGAGCGATTCGGGCAGCTGGGTCTGCCAGCCCGCCGGTCCGAGACTGCACCTGATCTGCTGGGGGTCGTCGAGCGAGTACGCAGAGAAGTGGGTGATGAGGTCCGCCCGATGTTTGTACCGCCGCGTATACTCTGCAGCCTGCTCGAATGCGTCGATGGGTATGTCCACCTGGGTCATCAGCACTCGTACGCGCGATCACGGGAAAAGCAAGGCCGTAGACTCACCTTGAACATGCTCAACGCGACGCCCCCTATTCTTCTGGAGATGACCCGCCTAATAGCCTCCACCCCCTCCTCTGGGTCCACCTCGATGTAAAAGAGCTCGTCCGAGTTTGCTCGCTCAAGGAGAGCGGCGTGGATCGCAACTCGAAGCTGGAGCGTAGGGCGAGCGGAAGGAGAGGGCGCGACCGGGGACGCCGATCGAGAGGAGGATGGAGGGGAGAGTTGTGAAACGGTAGAGGGAGCGGCCGACTTCTTCTTGAGACTGAAGAAGCCCATGTTGACAGTAGGAATGAGGAGTCGGGAGATAGAGGGGTGGGTGAGACGGTAGGAGTTGGTCGAGAGAGTTCGTGAGTCGAGAACGGAGGATGGGTGAGAGGAATGGCGGAAAGATGATGGGGGAGGATGAGCTATATGTAGTGTCGGACCGATATGCCCATGCTCGAGCCGTCCACAGCTATGACCCGTTGAGCTGATCACACCCGCACCCACAATCTGAACGCCGGGACCTTAATGAAATCTAGTCATCACCTGGTTGTGAAAGGGGATCTACAGTACTCGGCCCGCAGATCCGGGCGCCGCCACGCCGACGAGACCGCAAGCAGTCGTACCTCCCGCGTGTCATCCATTAATCAGCCATCGAACTCCTGACACACCGCCTCCAGAACCGCGGAGTTACTCTTGCAGATCCGGGTCGATCCCTGTAGGGTGTGGCTGGCCACGGGCGCCAGAGTTATGTCTGGGCCCTATGAGTAAATTGGGCGGTGATGGGTGCGCCGTGGGCTGCTACTATGCCGGTGTGGGTATCTTGGCGGCGACTGATGCATGATCGACCTGTGGCGAGGGGGCTAATGAAGGGTAGAGAGCCGAGTGGGCTTGGTCATGCCCGAAGACTCTAGTCGCGTTTCCGGACAGATTAGGGGAGATCAAACGCCTTGCCTTGAGGCGGTCGGCAGAGCTATCGGCAGGTATTCGGACCGGTCTTCTCTCGGGTTGGCGTCAGCTATGCGAGACAGAGATCGACAATGTAACGCTTGTATAGCTCCGCAAGTAGCAAAACGAGAGGGGGTGAGGAACGCGCGGTATGCAGAAAATCTGAAACATTGGCCGGAAAAGGAGATAATCGGGCCGGACCCTAGGTTTACGTCACGTTACTCCGGTTTCGGATCTGCCAGTGTGGCGTGAACCTTTCCTCCGAGCTGTCCACATGCACGACTGCTACTGAGCTTGCGGTTGCGCGCGCGGAGTAAGCAGAGATCTTGACAGCCTGGAACGAGCCCGGGCTGGCTCGCACGTAGGACCGAGATCCTCCGGGTATACCCCGTGCGGCCGAAAGCAGATCACCAAACGAGGACGATAGCTAGGGGTCGATACCGGCGCCTCCGCTGTCAGATGTTACGCCGAGCCATCCTCGAGCCGCTTCACGCATGCAGAAATGTCACTGTCACTCTTCAGAGCGTGACGGGACCTGCGCATCATCAGCCACCATACCGCCACCTCATCCTGCGCTAATCACTAGCTAGCTCATGGCGCAGTAACGTCGAAATGCAGATCCTGACGCTGCGGTATCCTTAAGCTTACATTCCCCGACCTGTTTAGGCGTCATGTAACTAAACCGCCATACAAGTATTTTCAAGCTGGACCATCCGGATGCGTACGGCCCGTACCATGCCAGCCACGTTCTGAGTAATCCAGCTACCCGCGACCGCGCCGGTGAGGTGCAACGTGATCAGGCTTCTAGAAGGTTGATCGGTTGCAATCGGTTTCACTCGAATGCAAACATTATGTCTGCTCGTGCCCAAAAGCTGTCCCGGAAAGGAAACGCAGACAGTAGTCATGGTCTCACTAGTTGGGGTGTATCCACCCTGCACACTGTGCCTACCTGTATTCGGCTCCATTCTATCGCTGCGCCTGATCAAGAATTCAGGAATGCCAATCATTGGCCAGCGAGCACTGGAAGCTGCGTATGGGACGCACTTCAGTTCTCGATTATGCTCTGCAACAAATGCTGAAGCTAAAAGCACTTGTATGAAGATTAGACGGTATGATGCGCCTTTCCGCCGTGCCCAAGCGTCGCAAGGCGTCCAGAGCCGAAGCGAAAGTCGAACAGCGTGCATGAGCGATGTGATGCATCTACCGTGCCTACTCTACATATCCTCACCCCCTAGTCTCTGACTGCCTCCTGATCGCTAGCCTCGCCATCCCCGTCAATCATCACCTGTGCAACACTCGCACCGATCCTCCCCAGTCCCAAGCGAGCCTTTCGAACCCTCGCCCTCCCCACCCCCTCCAGTCTCCACCTCCTCCGCTTCGCCAACGCCGCCTCATACCCCTGACACACCCACTTGACCGTCCCGACCTCCTTGTACCGCTCATCCCTGACCAGCCTCTGATGCAAGACATCCACATCCTTGAAGAGCAAGTGCGGGGGGACGTCCGCCTCGGGCACGGTCGTCGGATCCGTAAAGCGCATCTGGAAGCCGTGCTCCGTAGCCGGCGCATAGCCATGTAGGATATGCGAGGGGGGGAAACGGGTGTGGAAGTCGGTCAGAAGGGATAAGGCGGGAGTGGTTTCGTCGTTGAGGGCGTGGACACGAATGATGGCGCGCCAACACCTCTCGACTTGGCGCGGACTGATACCGAGGGAATGGGCGAGTCCGGGTATGGATGTGGGGGAGTAAAGTCGTTGGAGGAGCGTGTCGTATACCGTTATATACCCTCTCCAGAGCTGCTTGGCCCAAGCGAGGGCCTCAGCTCGATCCTCGGCGCCAGAAGAGCGAGAGCGCTGGCCCATCGAGCACCGTTCCAGCGCGTGAAGGTACGACCAGCCATTTCGCCCGCCTCCCGAGGTATAGTCGGGGGTGAGACCGTCCCAATCCTCCTTGCATTCCGAGATAGTAGATGAATGGGCGTAAATGACGGAGAGGTACGAGTTGATGAGCCGAGTGGAGCGTCGGACATCCGAGAAGACGGTCCGGGAGGAGGTAGGATCGACCGAGGGGGAGAGCGCGTCATACAAGAGTTGGGCTTCCCGGATAGCTTCAGCGCTCGTTGTGGGTACACGAGCGGCGAACATGCCTTGCCCTCCATCCGATGTCTGCGCCTCGAGATCCCTTTGACCGTCGAGATCGTACTCGTCCAGCCCGGCATCTTGCTGAACCCCTCGCTGTTCCGCCTCTGCCTCCCCTAGGACCGCATCCCCGTTCTTCGCGGAATCCGCCTTCTCCTCACTCTCTTTGACGACCATCCGCTTCAGTACCGGCTTCCACGCCGCATACGTCATGAACACACTCGCCATCACCTCATCATCTACGCCCGCTCCCCTCTGGCCTCCGAGCGCAGCATGCAGTCTCACGCACTCCGAGAGGACCCATCGTGCTCTCGCCAGATCCCCCGCCCGCTTCGTTCCCTCCAATAGCGCCTTCCACGTCTCATTCGTCGGGATATACCTCGACCTCATCTCTTCCTCTCCCTCCACCGCGAACGGGACGTATGTCGCCTCCTCGTGCCTCGCTAACATCTGCCGGAAGACGTCAAATCCCTCCAGGTACGTTCCGCGCGTTGAACACAGGGCGCGGATGTACGCCGTATACTCCGGCTCGGTGGGATCTAGGCGCTCCTCCTGCGTCATTTGGATCCATAGGTCGCGGGCCATCTCGGGACGGGGATCGGACGAGGCGGCGCACGAGGCGATCATGGTAGAGTAGACGGAAGGGAGGGGGAGGGGATGAGCGACCAGTCGCATGTGCGCAAAGAGGTCCCAGGCGAGCGAGCGGGATGTGGAGGATGGAGACGAGGTGGTGAGGTGTTGTAGGATCAGGTTGTAGGTTGATTGCGGAGCGGGAAGAGAGAGGGACTCGAAGTGCCGTAGGTGAGAGATGGCGGTGGTGGCTGAGTGGTCGGTGACGAGGTGTACCCGAGCGAGGACGTCGTGTTCTGCGGGTAGCAGTTCGGCTGTCTGTGTCAGCAAGTACTTCCAGTACTAGATATCGGCACTTACCTTGCTGGCCAATCATGGAGCAAAGCATAGCCACTACCTCCTGCTCACCCTCACTGAGCCTCCCCGCATCCTTCGTAGACACAGCCTCTGCCAGAAGCGCACCGATCTGCTTCCTCTCAATCTGGACGCCCAGCCTAGGTAGGAGCTCCATCAGAGCAACCAGTGCAGACGCATCACCCTCGCGGACCTGCCGTATCAGCTAGACTCTTCTTTGGTCCAATGCCGAAGACGGGAGAAGACAACTTACCGCTTCTGCGAGAAGCGCCCTCCCCTCAACCCGACTGACCAGCCCCAGCGGTACCCTTACGCCAGCTCCAGTAGATGGGCCCGGCGCAGAAAGCTCTTCTTCCTCCAAGAACCGCGCCAGCCGATCCACATTTTCTCTCACTCCACCTTCATCCTCCCTAGCTCGTGATCCCACGGCTTTCGAGCTCGCCGCACCCTCGCCCGAGGCTGGCGCAAACCGCTCTGCCAGACCTCTAAGCACTTCCCCTCCCCCTCCCCTCTCCTTCTTGCCTCTTGGTGCCTCCAACTGCCTCACACCACTTGGTCCAGCCAGTCTAGCCTTCCCCTTCCCTTCAGGCGCAGCGAGAGCTTCGGCGCTACTCTGGACTACAGCCGCATAGAACTCTCTAAGCTCTTCCTCCGTATACTCTTCCAATTCAGCAACGACCGCGCGCGTGAGTCGCTGTTTCGTTTTGAGCTGCAGAGATTTATCGCTTGGAAGCCCATCGAGCGAGTCCGGAAGCTCAGAGTAAGCCGGAGAGGAAGGAGGAGGGGGAGAGCGATAGAGCGGATAAGGACCGACAGGGTCCGTTGGGAGGTGTAAGGAGGAGAGGGGCGGAAGGGGAGGGACCTCGGTCTGTCTATCAAATTAGCGCCTGGACGAGGACCAGCAGGTCTCGACGTACGCCGAAGAGAAAGGCCGCACGCGGCCCAAAGAGCGGGCTAGGCGCAGTCTTATGACCCGGGTAAGCATTCTGGGCGAGATGTATAGAGATATAGGAGATGATATCATCCCATCCGTGGCTTGTTCAAAGTTCTGACAACCTCCACCTCGGCTGAAATTCTGCTCGCGTACAGATTTGCTGCAGCTACAACGTATACAGCGCAGCAATGATGCAGTAGTAGAGTAGCCGATACTCCTGTCCAGGTAACGAGCGTACAATGAGTCGTGTCCACTCGCCCGCGCTTTCATACCCCCACAGCTCTTCTGGCGGAATCGGAACTGGATACATCCCTACAAAAACAACCCCTCCACCCTACACCATCTGGTGGACGAGCTTGCTCATGTGCTTCTCCCTGTTTCCGGTGTCACCGCCCTCGACGTAGCCAATGAACTTCCGGGGCCTCCATCCGCCGTTGGGGTTGGAAAGTTTGAAGGGCCAGAGGGATGAGGTGGCCTGCTTGAAGTTGGGGCCGCAGGTGACAATCTCGTGGACGAGGTCCTCCATGCCTTTGTGGTCAGCTCGAGCTCACAGATAATAGCTCCAGAGAAAGGTCGACTCACAGATGATACCGTACTTGCCGAGCTGCTTCTCAATGATGGCGTTGTCGGTGATGGGGATACGCTGGCCGTCGATCTTGGCGTAACCGCGCTTGTAGATGAGTTCACGGACGGCCTTGAGGTTGACCTCGCCGTAGGTGATGTAAGGCTCGACAATGTGCAGCATCTGGGTGGTCGCCTTGGTGACGCGGACGAATACACCGTTGTTGATTTGGAGGAGACGGAGGAGCTGGAGGATCTTTTTGGGTTTAGGGGCGATTTTGGAGATACTACCGCAGTCAGCTCTGCTCGAGTACCAGCGATAGACTAGACTCACCCCTTCAGACGGACGACAAAGTAGACCTTGGCCTGGGCGGGGACATAGAAGTCGCCGGTCTTGCGTGCTTCACGCTGCAGACGGACCTCCTCCTTCTCCTGCGAGATGTACTCCTTGACGTACTGGTCGGCACGCTTGAAGATGACCTTGCGCTTCTGCTTGGACTCCTGTTGGATCAGCTCTGTCCCTCGCGTGAATGTAGCAATCCAGTCGAAAGTAAGGGAAGGGGAAGTAAAAGGTTCAGTCCCGAAAGATGGTTAAATTTAGGGCAGCATCGTCGCGACTAGCCCAGGTTATAGGTTATGGTTTTGCATCATTGAAGAGGTGGGAGGAAGTGGATGAAGGGGGTGGGAAAGAAGAGATCAACTCACAGTCTTCGCCTTGGCAGCGGCCTGGAGCTTGGCCTCGCGGGAAGCCTCGTTCGTCCTGCGCTTCTTCAGGAGCGTCTCGGGGACAGCGATTTGCTAGAATGGTATGAGCTCCTGTCCTGTATTCCCTGCCCGTCGTATCCCATGTCCCCATCGTCTCCCCATCCCATCATGCTCCTCCTTATGCTCCATCCGAGCTATTCCATGCTCGAAAATCTTTTCCGCCAGTAATCGGATCGTATAGCTCACCTCGGCGGATGCGGTACTGCGAGAGTCAGCTGTTGCGTCTGAACTGCTGTCTGCAGGAGTGGAGCTTACCTAGTAGAAGGCGCCATCTTGAATCACTACCTCAGACTTGATGGATGAAGAGAAACCGTTGACCAAAGACTGCAACAGCTCCACCGCCAGACCGAGAGAGAGCCAAGGGTCTATCTAAATCCGCCACAAATAAGAAGGGAGTTTCTGAATCCGCTCATACGAAACTCCGCCGAAACGCCGATTAGGAAATGCTTATCACTGGTTCGCCACCCAAAATAGGATGTGCCACGTCATCCCTGCTGCCCGCACTGCTGCTTGCTGCTTGCCAAACTTCTCTCTCGCCTGTGCAGAGCTCGTTCCTGCCTATATACCATCTCTGAAAGTATTCCCGCCAAACAGGCTTAAATTGGTTTACTTGCAACGATGGTGAGTTGAGGCTGCTGCAGCGAGGAGGAGGACAGGCGCGGAGAGGGAGACAGGCGTCAAAGAGGAAGCTGCGAAAGGGAATTATCTGAACCCTGGCTAATCTGCCAGTCTTCCGAACTTGCTGCCACCTACGCCGCTCTGATCCTAGCCGACGAGGGCATTGAGATCACCGTGAGTACATTGTCGCTCCCTTGCTGGTTCTCAGCTGACATATTAGGGTGACAAGATCGTCTCCCTCACCTCGGCCGCCAAGGTCGATGTCGAGCCCATCTGGGCCTCGCTCCTCGCCAAGGCCCTCGACGGCAAGAACGTCAAGGACCTCTTGACCAACGTTGGTGGCGGTGGTGCCCCCGCCGCTGCTGGCGCGCCCGCTGCCGCTGGTGGTGCCGCTGCCGCCGGTGAGGCTGCTGCCCCGGCCGCTGAGGAGAAGAAGGTTGAGGAGAAGGAGGAGTCCGACGACGACATGGTGAGTTGGCTCACGCGCGTTCAAGGCTGCAAGGGCATAGCTGACTGTGATAGGGCTTCGGTCTGTTCGACTAATCGATTCGCCCCCGGTCGGATCGCCTACCCTTGCGACGGTTTCATGTAGAACTCCAATGCATGAGCCTAGCACCTCCAAACTTCGGCTTGTATCCTCTGACGGACTTTGTCGTCGGCGGCATACTCACCCTGCTACTGATCGCAGGCTCTCTCGCGATCATCCGCTATGACGGAGGAATGGGGCATATCTTTGCTCTCGATCAGCAACTTTATGGATACCGGTCGTTAAAAAAGCGGGATCGCGGTCTCACATCTTACACGCTGCCTGTGTGATCTCCCAACCGTCGCTATCACTCCATTCTCCTCCAATAGCCTCTCAGTCATAATCGACAGTCCATCCCTGTCACATCTCCGCCTCTATGCTGCGCCAGGCAAAGGGGAGGTACGGAGTAAATTTGGAGGTTGTCCACACATGCCTGCGCAGAGGTGCTCGCGTCTTCGGTGATTGTTGGTGTCTGAGAGCGCCGTGTCGCTGTCTAGGAGGGACTTTCACTCTGATCAGCTGAGAAGGCCACCGCCATCCCCAAGCTCTTAGTCCTGCCGGAAACCTTCACCATGTGGCAATGCCTCCGCCGGAGCTTATTAGTGTCCATTCCTCGAAGCTCGATCCCTGCCTGCCAAGATCTCTGTTTGACGTAAAAATGGCCCCGATCACACTTTGCCACCGGACTTCGGATGACATTTTAGCTCAGTACTGATCAGTCTCCGTCCCGGTAGCTCAAGCTCAATTTAAAGCTCAAAAGCGCGGCAGACAAGGGCGAGCGAGCGAAGCGAGGGGTCTAGTCGTACGAGCTATATACGAGCAGAATAGAGGCTAGGGGTGTGGGACCGCTGGCTAGTTGTCCATCTGTTGTAACTTGTACATACACTTTCTTTCACCAGCGAACATCGCGAGCGACGCACACGCAATGTACGATCCATCGTCCTCCTCTGGCCCCTCCACGCCACTCGCCGAGTCGAGTCCGCCACTCTGGTCGGGACATGGCATGCAATACTATCCGGGCGCAGTGATATGGTATCGGGGCACCTACTGGCGGTGTGAGGCACCGCACCTAAGCGACTTTGGTGGAGCGGTGCGTTGTCTTTCCTTTTCTTCCCAGGGCGTGCTCCAGGGCTGGGCCTCCGATGTCCCGTCTCCGTCCCCACGTCCCTTTGACAAGGTTGAACCGAATACTTGTCACCCTTCTTTGGGCGCGGCTCGGTGGCGGAGCGGCGCGGTGCGGACAGCTTGTCCATTTCACGTTCCACGCTAGCGCCCTTGCCACTTTGCGGGGATCAATTGAGAGATGGAGCCTCGCTGATCAATCAGCCTGACGTCCGCTTGCATCTCTGGACCCCCATATCATCCACAATGCCTTTCGGTCAGCTCCCACCTCAACCACCAGGCTACAGCGGATTCGCGCAGTCCCAGAAGCACGCCGACCGAGGCGGAATGGCTTCCAATCCTCAACACGGCATCCCTCCTCTCATCGCCCCTCACCCCGAGTCCGTCCAGTACACCACCTCGCATCCCCCTTCATACGGCGTCGAGACGCACGACGACAACGACTCGTCCCCCGACTCGGAAGGCACCGTGACGGGCGATTCTTCCCGCTCGCTCGGTAAATCCAAGCAAGGCCGCGGCATGTCGACCGCCCAGTTCTTCTCGAGCAAGGCGGACGAGTCGCTTCGGTTCCTTACGGCCAAGCAGGAGGGTGCCAAGGCGCAAGATCAGGGCGAGTGGAAGGATGAGCTTAAGGGGAAGCGGGTATGGAGGGTCGGCGGACTAGGGATGTGGGCGTATGACCAAGATGAGAAGGTGGAAAGTGCAAAAGGGGCGGTGTGGCGGCGGTGGGGTGAGAAGGGGAACGGGCAGCGGGAGTGGCTGGAGACTGCCAGGGAGCGGACGAACTTCTACAATCGTGAGTCGCAATACTACCGATGCTCGAGTCGTGCTGTGCTGACTGGTAGAAACCCGAGGTGTCAAACCCCTCGTCACATGGAAACTCGTCCAGCCCGGTACATCATTCACCTTCCCTCCTGACGCCCTCCAGATCGGGCACGAAGGCGGCTCAAATCAGCCCCTCTTCTCTGCTCGAGTATGGCACGAGGGCGGGCTCCACCTCGGTAAAGCCGGTCCGCACCTCCTGGGCGGTGCCTCGGTCCCATATGGCGGCGGCGAGCTGAACCTTGATACGTTCGAGGTACTCTGCGCCAAGCCGGACCCGACGCTCTTCAAGTGGATGTGCTTCCAGCATGGCGAGAGCACCAAGGTGGAGGGGTGGCAGCCCGTCGAGGGCGGGAGGGAGAGGGACGGGCAGAGTCTGTTTGTCGCCAAAGGGGAGTGGGAGGGGTGAGTCTTTTCGTCCTCTTTCTGCCTCGCACGGCATGTGCTGATACGGATAGTGGGGATCATCCGGGCAAATGTAGGATCACGGACGACCACGCCCATGTCGGATGGGGCGGCGGAGAAGTCTGGATCAGACCCTTCTACATCCTCGCCTACAATAACGCCACCCAGCGGTGATCAATTCCTGCGCATCACCCCGTCCGACTCACCAGGCTCGAGCCAAAAGACAACATCATGTCTGTAGCAACTACTATCCGACCTGTATCCGATATCGCATCCACGCAATCACACCGTACGCGCCCGAGGCGACCCATATATGTCTGAAACACGGTCATCGGCACATAGTACAGACTCAGCATCCACCGTACCCGCCCGAGGGGACCGTATTATGTCGGCGTTACATACAAAACTATACCTGGGGAGACGCTAACGGAGACTAGCTGAAGCCGTCGCTAATGCTTGGGGCTGTACAAGACGAAGGGGGCGATGAGCTCATTCTTTGACCCCTGCTTTACCTGACAGGACCGCCTTTGGGGTAATTCTAGGAGACGACCAGGGGCTGAAGGAGGTATACCGATCCTTTGTACCCAAAGCCGCTTCTCAAGCTCCTTGGGATGAAGCGGTGCTGATCTCTCATCTCACTCATCATACTGCTGTGCGGTACCCAGCCTTTCTTTCAGCTCTGGTAGCTGTCATCAATCTTCATCCCTACCTACCCCGCTAGTACGTGCTCCATGCCTGACAAGCCACTCAGCAAGGCCGCGGTGGGTACATTGGTCACTGTAGCGGTCATTGTGCTGCTTGTCGCCGCGGCGGCGGTGGTATGGGCGAGGCGCCAATCTGGGAGCTTTCGCGAGATGTTCAGCGTCGGAATTGCGGGTCGGGGAGGTGAAGGTCTCATTCAGCGAGACCCTGTTGCAGTAAGTTATAGTCAGCCAGTGAGGCTCTTGCACTTTTAGCTGATCATCAGGTGTTGCATATTGAGAAGAGCGGTGACTCTGACCTTTTTCCTCCTCCGCCACCCAGCAAAGACCCGTCGTCGGACGATACAGCCTCCACTGCGCCGCCCACCCCAGCCAAATCCCTGCCTCTATCCTCCTATCGCGATTCATCTCCTCGGCCTACACCAGCCCCACTTCCTACTCCTCGACGTCCAACGCTGACGCTCGATATCCCGCAGTCACCGCTCTCCCGCCAACCCTCATTCAAAGCGGGAGAAAGGCGCAACTTCTCCCGCCCCCTCTCGGCTGTCATCACCCCTCCGCCCTCTTCCTTCTCCTTCTCCCTCTTCCGCCGCAGTCGACTCATGACGAGCCTCAGTCCCACCCCGGCTTCACTCGACCGAGATCGCCGAGTCTCGGTGTGGCGGCGGCTCTCGGGTGTGTGGCGGTGGAGCGGACCTGTCACTGCTTCGGTGGATGGGCGAGCGGGAGGGAATGCCGCCGGACCCGAGCAGGCCGGAAGGAAGGGCATGGATGAGGATAGGTGTCGGACGATGACGATGGCTATGAGCGTGATTGCTCTGCCTACGGTGGAGGAGAAGGGCTCGGGGCGGATAGGCCGGATCCCAAGTATGGTGGATCTCAGGGATATCGGGAAGGGGATGGAGGCTGCGTGGAAGGGGCTTGAGGCAGCCAGACACGACATCGACGGAACAGCGGTGTACAGGGCGGTATCGCGGCAGAGCGCCGAGTCGGGAATTATGCCTAAGTCCAAGCAGGGCAGTACCACCATGCTCATTCCGGCGCTCCCCCCTCGTCCACAGATCCCAGACACCTTGCTGCGCCCAAACGTCCGACAGGCAAGCATCAAAGTCAAGCACTCCCCACGCAAGCGCTCGACTTCCCAAGCCGCATTCAAGCTGGCCGTACCCGTGTCGCGCTCTCCCGCTGGGCATAAACGCTCATCCTCCACTCCGCACGTCCCCTGCCTTCCTACCGCATATCCTCAGCCCGGTACAACGGATATTACCACACCCCCGCCCGGCTCTCGCCGACAACACCGCCGACCGCCCTCGCTGCGCTTCGCAAGGGAAATAGGGATGCCGCACCTTTGGCTAGAGGAGGAAGGGGGGATCGCAGCTGTCGATCCGGGCTCACAGTCCGCTCGACCCCCCCACAGCCAGCCGTCAGCGGACAGTGAACACGAGAGCGCTTATGACGGGATGGAGGAGGTGCAAGTGACGCCGTATAATCCCTGGCCGGCGGGACCGTCGGAGTTTCATCCGGACTTGAACGAGAAGGGCCGAGGAGGGAGTGAGGAGGCAGTGGGAGAGATACCGCGATTACCCCCTATAGACACGGCGCCGTCGAGCTCGTTTCACTTTGATTGGGAGATGGCCGTTGTAGCAAGCGTAGGGCGTGAGACTGTTAGTGTTAATGTCTGGTAGCCAGTCCATAAGCTAGTGCATGTTATGCCGCTTGCGCACGGAATGAGGTGTCAGGGTGATTATAGCTGATATCTTCCGACGAGAGTCCACTTCAGGTGGGCCTTGTCGCACACAGCAACTGCAGAAACGAGGGTCGTTCGGGACCGAGACTTGGCCGGGGCCAAGGATAGTGTGTTGCGTAGCTTGATCAGCGTATGAGAGCAGATCACGCATCATGAACGTTTGTGGCTACTGGCCGAGCCCGAGGTCGGATGTCCGAAGCTGCAACAACTTTGCGCTGTCTCATGAAGCATGCACGTGTAGTTGACCGAGGTGAGCGCGAGGTATACTGTAGCTGCAGTCGACCGAGTCGCGATGGCCGACGGGCATAGCGAGATTCGAGTAGATAAGCAGTGCCGTAAGATGACCAAGCGTCCGCGTGCGGACCTTTGATCAGATTTTCGCTCGGTCATACCTCGGTCATGCAACTCACACCTCTAATGAACCTCCTTTGTAAGACTCGGTCATGCTAGAGAGCCTCGATATCGATGATTAAGCTTGAGGCACGGAGTCGTACCATGCCCGACGGGCCTCGGAGCCGGTGGTCACGTCCAAGAGATATATATAAGAGCTCGTGTGGAAAGTTGACTGACCCTCCCTCATCCACTCGCATACAACACCTTCACCACCTCTGACTATCCCTTTCTGACATGTCCAACCCAGCTCCCACATCCACACTCAGGCTCCCGCACTCCGACTCGGCAGACTCTCGCGAGATGTCCCGTACACCAACCGTCATCAGCTCAGACCATGGCTCGCTCAAGAAGGAAGCGACCGGTGCAGATGGTCTCAAGCTCGAAGGTCTCCCGACGCATAAGGTCTCAGACGCACTGTCTAGTCTCTCGTCGGCGAAGAAGAGCCTCTTGCTTCTCATCTACAGTCTGGCTATGTTCATGTGAGTCACCTCTCTGTTTTTCCTCCACCTCCGAATCTCTTCTGTCCTTGAAGCTGTCTCGAGCAGAGCTGACTCGCAGTGATGCCGCCGGTGTCTCCGCTACCTTCCTTATGACGGCTCCGATCGCCGAGGATCTGCACATCAGCTTCGCCAACGAGGCATGGGTTCTGGGTACTTACTCAATGGTCTTGTGAGTATACTTTCTATCCCTGCTTCGTACACAATGCTGACCACTTCTAGCGCCGCCTGTCTCCTCTTTGCCGGCCGTCTCGCCGACCTCTACCCTCCCCACCGCGTCTTCACCTTCGGCTTCGCCGGCATTTCCATCACCTACCTCATCATCAGCTTCATGACCAATGAGATCGCCTTCTACGTCTTGCGGTCCATCAGCGCCCTCCTCGCGGTGCTCACCATCCCCTCTGCCATCAACATGATCGTTCAGATGTACCCGGATCCGGACGAGCAGGCAAAGAAGCTCGGTCTCTTTGGTATGTCGGGCGCTTTGGCCAACACTATCGCCCTCGTCCTCGCCGGTGTCTTCCTGCTGGCCGACTGGAGGTGGTACTTCCGCTTCATCACCATCTTGACTGTGAGGCCATCTTCCCCTCTCAATGCATTGAACATCAGCTGATCCTCAGGCACCCTTTGCTGTCATCGCTTGGTTCCTTATGCCCAAAACGGAGGCGGTCGCATCGGGTCTCGGCTCCTGGGACAAGATCAAGCGGATGGATCTTCCCGGCGTAGGCATCATGGTCGCCTCCCTCATCCTCTTCGTCTACGGCTTCACTCAGGCGCCCATGATCGGCTGGTCTTCCGCCCAATTCATCGCCCCCTTCATCATCTCGGTCGTCCTCGCAGCCGCATTCATCATCTATGAGCGCTTCCTCCCCGTCGGTTACTCCCTCCTTCCCCACGGCATCTGGTCCTACCCCAACATCTTTCCTCTCCTCCTCCAAGCCTCCGGGGTCTTCATGTGGATGGCCACGGTCCAGCTCCGCCTCGCCACCTACTTTCAGATCGCCCTCAACGACTCGGCCATCTTGGCGGCGGTCAAGCTTCTTCCTATGGGCGTCACTGCTCTCGTCGTCGGCATTCTCACCCAAGTCATGCCATGGCTCATCACCCGTCCTCGCTACGTCCAGCCCATCGCCTCGGTCTTCTGCTTCGTCGGCTCCATGCTCTTTGCCTTCTCGGGCGGCGGTCACGGGTCCAAATACTGGGCATACATCTTCACCGGAGAAGTCATCGGTACGGCTGGCGCCATGATCATCTTCATCTCGATGAACTCGATGATCATCATGTCCTTCCCCCTCGAGTCGGCCGGTATCGGAGGCAGCTTCGCCAATGTCATCTTCCAGGTCGGCGGTGTCATCGGTATCGCGGTCCAGGCGGGTCTCATCGCTACTGGCGACGGCACGGTGGAGGACTGGGTGGGATCGAGGAACGGCTACTTCTTCACGTCGGGATACATCCTGGCGACAGGTCTCGTCTTTGTTCTCTGGTATAGGCAGGAGAAGATGCCGGTGAGGGAGGATCCAGTAGTAGCGGTATAGAGAGGTTAGATCATTTAAATAGTCAGAATTATAGATGCCTGTAGCTTTATGAGATGAGTTCAACTTTTGCCTTCTTGCCAGCGGGTAGTTCGGGTGATCCCAGGTCGCACGGGCGACTGGAGATATGTAGCCCGCAGCGAGACGCGAGGACCTTATCGCAAAATTCGTGCAAGTCAGAACTTCCGCTTTGGGAAGTGAAACGCGAGCTCTGCGGAGGCAAAACCTCAAGTGTCGGATACTGATCGCTCGGCCATGTCACAGAGCTCTTCTAGCCTTGCGCGTCTTGTACACCTTAAGCAGTACATGAAACACTTCGGAGCCCTCCCACATAGCCGGCATGACAAGATGAAACGTGGCGGACAATCACTGATCAGTCAAGACCGCCTCACGTAAATGTCCGAAACCTGAAACCTCCGGCGATCCGGAACACGGGATAACTGCTGACAGAAGGCACGGCGTGACCAGAGGATATGCCGTTAGCGTTACCGATCTGCTGCTCTCGGCGAGAGTGGCGCCCTACCACTGAGACATACCGCCGATTTCGCGATGGACGCCACAGAGCAGGTGCTCAAATGATCCGGGGAGTGCGCGCTATGGCTGTCACCCTCTCGGGAGATCTCGTCCACAAATGGCTCAGTACAGCGTTCACACGAGAGAGCGTTTTCGGCTCCCTTGGTCCATGTTCTATCCGGCTGACACGGGCTTTGTGCTCGCAGTAAGGGGATGCAGATATCACGAAACCCTCTCGATATGGTACGAGCGCGACTGTTGTCCGAAGAGAAGACAATCAGCTCCTTCATCAACACGGGAAGATTCTGTCGTCCGCTCTTCTCATCCATCAGCATCACCAGCATCTGCATCCGTATACAATTCCCACAAACTGCCCCGCTCGTCCTCTCACGTTCTGCGGCAAATACTCCGGTGCTCCGGAGCCGCCACTGCCGAGCAGTCTTCTAGCGCCAAACCCGAGCGAATCTAAAACTCCGTAAGTTCTAAATGTCTCCTTCCGGTCAAAAAGCTTATACTGACGAATCCAGACCGCAAGGCACCGCTCTACGATCGGAGAATTCTGCAACAACAACAAAGAAGAGCAAATCCTCAGGCGACAGCGCCATTCGAGAGGAAGGTTCAGCGACTACGTCTGTACCCCTCGGACCTAAAGGCAATTCCGCCAGGACAGCTGAGAGAATACTCCTCGGATCTGTCTCACGGTGCGCCTCCCGCCACTCCTCCAGCCCTCCGTCTATGCTTAGCGCTTTAGCGTTGGACAACAAGGACCAGCGTTGGGCATTCACTGCTAGGCATTCCGCCTCCCCTTCTCCCATTCATACATCACCCATCTACAAGCCTCTCGCAATGGCCATCAACAACCTCTCCCCTCGGCTACGTCACCTCCTCATTCAGTCGCATAGCGGCACAAGCGAGGTCGTTATGCCTCAGCCCGTCATATCCTCTCCCTCAGATACCTTGCGTAGTCTGTCACCGGACCCAGCCTATCTTCCTCTGCGGGGGAAGATCCCCCCACCTCTCACACTTCCTCCCCTCTCCTTCTTCGAGCCAGGCATGGAGCCAACCCCCACCTCCTCTATCTTCAATCTCCTCAACACCCTCAGCGTTGACTCGCCACCCGCCACCGCGAGGTCGGTCTCTCCCCTCCACCGATCGGAACTCCCTTCCACTGCTGCTCTCGAGCGGTCCCCATCCACCCCAATGTCCGCTCCACTCTCCACTGCAGGCTCCGCCCCTTTCTTCGCCCGCCAACACCGCCCCTCGGTCGACAATCCTATCCCCACCCTCCGGCCGGATATGTACCGGCGCCACTCTGGGCAACCGTACGATATCAATCCAGCCACCAACCGGATCATCTATCGGGAGTTTGACTTCAATCCGGGCGGCTCCCGTGTCCCCATTTCGCGGACTACCAAGGCGTGCAATGCGTGCAGGTCGAGGAAGGTGCGGTGTGATGCAGGCGGACAGTCGGGCGAGACGGGGACGTGCTCGAGGTGCAGGGAGGCGGGTGTAGAGTGCTCGTACACGGGGGCGCAAAAGAAGAGGGGACCGTGTCCGGGATTGGCGAGGCCGGGAATGGGGGCAAGGCGTCAGTCAGGTCAGCCGATACCAGGCAATACACCACCCGAGCTGTCGCCGGACTCGCGGTCCTCGTACGGTTTCCCCCTTCCCCAAAACGAGCAAAGCCATGCTCAACTCCCGCCCATCCCACAACATGGCCTCCAGTCGGCACTGCCACCTATTCCATCTGTCCACTCCCAGCCACCACCTCAATCAAACTACCAAGTCCATCAGGGGTGGACTTCCGCTCAGCCTCGTCCGCTCTACCTGCCTACATCACCTACCTCCCTCGCTCGTCGGCCCGCCACTGCCACAGCCAGCCAGACTGGTCGCAAGCCCAGCTTCGTCTCCTGGCACCCCCCGGACATAGAGGAGAGGCCGGGCGTATTTGAGCAGGAGTACTCGATGCAAGCGCAGGAGAGAGGGGTGACCATGCCAGGGATGCAGCAGGGGGACTGGAGGGACAGCGAGCGGGTCTACCGCACCTCGACTGGAGGCTCTACATCAGCTTTCGGCGGGGATGGGAGAAGTCTACCCCCATTAAGCGTGGCGCTGAGGCGGACGAGCTTTTATGAGCCGCGGTGACAGGGTGCGACGAGTGGGAGAGGGAGCGATGCGAAGAGGTGGCGGGAGTTAGGGGATAGAGGGAGTTGAGCGGACCGTAGGGAGGATCTCGTTGTATCTGGAGCTAGCTAGATTAGGGGGTGTAGACATCTTTGTCCGTAGAGCTGATAGCTTAGTGATTGTAAATTAGGTCTGTATTAGATTCTCCCGTTGCTAGACACATGTAGTCGGCTGCTGTGCTCATTCTGTCAGGATTGCAGGCGATAATCACTTTGCGCAAGAGTGCGCAAGGCGGAAAGCAGGTACTGCTCCTTTCGGTTTGCCGGTTCAACCAGGCGTAGGTTCTTACCGGTGAGACTCTCTCAATCACACGTCAACAACCACAACTTACCTTCAAATCAAGAGTACAGACATCTACCTGATACACTCACCCTCACATACCCAAGTTCCCCTCTCGCCAACCCCGCGGCCGTCGGATTGCAGCGAAAAGGAGCGAGAAAGACCCTTTGTCTCACAAACCCCAGCCCCATCTCGCCTCCCTCTGAATCAGTGGTATAAGCAATTATGTGTGAGTCTTGTCTGTGCCTCTCTCTGTGAATGATTGTTGGCTTCATCTTTCATTGCATTGCACTCCACTATACCATCACCCCATCCTCTGACCCCTGTGCCTGAGAAGGACGGCAGCGTGTACCTGGTTGAGGGAAGGAAAAGCAAAATAGCACCGCCACTCGCTCGAACCCCTTTTCCGCTCCCTATCTCTCTCGCAGTCAAGCCCATCATCTACCTATCAACCTACCTACATCATACTCCATCTCTACCCATCTACTACATTGTTCATATCTCCACCTACGACATCGAAGCGATCATCAAAGACTTGCGTCAGGGACAGCGCTCGATAGCCCAGAGTCCTCGCTTCCCTCTTTTCCGGGGCTATTCAGATCCTCTTACCCCATAAAATCTGCGACGTCCCCTTCACCCCGTCATCGTACCCCCTATCCCGCCTGGACACCCTGCGCATCCCTCTTCCTCTCTTCCTCTCTTCCTCTCTTCATCCTTCGGCAGTAATCACCCAAAATGTCCAGCGTTAACTCGGCGTCTTCCATATCCGTATCCTCAACAGCTTCAGCATCCGCGACTGCTACCAGCTCTTCCGCAAGCGCCTCGGCGACCACTCCGGTCCCCTCATCTACCTCTTCCATAGACTCCTCTTCGGCATCTTCGGCGTCATCGGTTTCCGCATCCGCATCCGCGTCTGCCTCATCAGCGATCTCCGCCAGTAATGCCTCGGCTTCGTCAGCAGCTTCGGCTATCGGCAGCGCTTCGGGGTCTAGTGCTGGAGCCAGCGCCAGTGCTTCTGCTAGCAGCTTGAGCGCGAGCCTCGCGTCGAGCGCTTCGGCTGCTCAGCAGTCGGTAACGACCATCACTCAGTAAATCCTCCCCAGCCGCTCGTAATGTGTCGATGCTAATGTACAGGGTCGTTACGCGCACAGGATCCAACGGACAGCTTGTCACTGAGACTAGCATCCAGACCAGCGCCGTTTCTAGTAGTGGCAACAACAACTCTGACTCATCAAGTGAGTACCAGATAGCTCTTGCCAATGGCCACTTCTGACCTATAGAAACCGGCGCCATCGCGGGTGGTGTGGTCGGCGGTGTGGTTGGTCTCGCTTTGATTGCCGGACTGCTCTTCTTCTTCTTCCGCAAGCGGAGAAGGTCACTCCGTGACGACTTTGACGATGGCATGGTAGGTCAGATTCTCTTGTAGCTAGGACCGAGCTGACCTTTCAGTTCGACCCTGGACGTGCTGCGAACCGAGCTCCGGTCGACCTGGCCGACAACCAGCCCAATCCGGACGTGGAGCCTTACTTCATCCCTGGTGTGGCTTCTACCGCCCAATCGACCGACCAGTCCCCTCAAATGTCACAGTACCCCCGGTCCGCCGCTACTACCGATGGCGGTTACTACAACAGTCCTGCCGACGTCTCTCGCGGTCCCTCAAGCGCGTCCACTGCTGGCTTTGCCGGTCGTGGTGCCGCTGGTCCCGGCATGGGAGCTGGAGAGCCTATGCCGTCCATGCCCGAGGCTTCCAACTATCTTCCGGGCGGGTCCAGTTCGGGCTACAATGCGGGTCAGCTCGCACCCGCGGTCGGCGCTGGCGCTGGTGCAGCTGCGGTCGGCGCAGGTGCTGGCGCCATGGCGCGCATGTCGGCTAAGCAGAGGGAGGCGTACCAGGAGCGCCAGCGATTGCAGGTCAACAACCAGCAGCCTGGGCAAGGCGGCTCCGGCAGCGGCGGCTATGGCTCGGACCCCACCAGCCCAGTGACGGATGGCGGACGTCAGACCGTTGTCAGTCAGGATGCTGGCCCGCTTGGCTCAGGGGAGGAGGAGCCGTTCCAGCAGGGAGGAGAGGTGCCGCCAACGTAAGTCAAATAACCTCCGTGCTGGGAACGGGAGCTGACGAGCCAGTTATGACTCTATTCGTCGATAAGATGAAGACAGGAACCAGGCAGGAGGCGTTTCGAGACGGACGTTCAAGTAGACTCTTTCTTACCTTCGTCATCCAGGTTGCGGGAATCGCAGACTTGTGCGTAATTTTGCTGGAATGTACCTTTTAGCCTTTCGCAGTTGTCTGGGGATCCGCTGTGCATAGTCCCATACGTTAGAGCAAGGCTATGTAGCGCCTCGGGTATAAGAAGCTCGACGGTCATTTGATGTCTCGAACTGTAAACATTCTCGAACACGCGCCGTCGACTTTTGACTTTCGTCTTCGTTCTTGCTGCACCTCAACTTTCACCGTCGAAAAGACCGTCTGGTATCAGCCACAAGGTCAACTGTTGATCTACGAAATGCGAAGGACCGCATCTTAGCTTGTCCGGCCTCGACCATCGCTTCTCACAAGCGCGAAACGAAATCCTCTCAACCCGGTTAGCGAAGCAAAGCCATGCCGCTCCTTCGCTCCGCGACAAGACCTCAGGCGGTCGAGTGCTTCTTCTGCCTCTCGCCCTCGGTCCTTCCAGCACAGCTGCCCCAGCCGTCGAGTCTAAGCGACAGGAAGGGGAAGGGAAAGGCGAGGGCGGAGGTGGGGACAAAGTGGAATTGGCATTGCGGCCGGTGTGGATGTTGGAATGTCCGTGATGAGGTGGGTCTCAACAACCGAAGCTTGTGGGGGAGAGGACGCTGACACCTCAGAGAGGAGAGATGCTATCTGATCATCCTGCGATGCACGATCCGGCTTTCAATACTCGCTCGTTCTCGCTCCGAGGTGAGCTCCCTCCCTGCAGAGCTCCAGCCTCTGCTGCGATGAGCTGATGAGACAGCTACACCCTCCACGTCACATTTGCCGTCCACGTCCTCAAGCTCAGCTCGAACGTTCTGCCATAGCTGCCTCACAAATCAGACTCTGATCATGAACATGCTGGCAGGGTATCTTCCGGACGATAACGTGAGCACTCTAGACCTTCCCGGATGACATTCGAGCTGACAACCCAGGATCCAAGCTATCCTGAACTTCACGCCTCGCTACCATCATACCTCGCCTCGCTGCATAGCCGTTACCCACCTGTGTGCCCCATATGCCAACCAGCGGTGGATGATGCCTTGCGGAAAGCCGATCAGAAGGCACAGGTCGAGGCGTGGGGGTCTGCGCTTCGGAGAGGGCGCGACACTGGTAGCAGAGCGGGAGGGAAGGGGTCTGCTCCGGGGAAGTTCGAGGTTCTGGTCTGGAGAATACGAGGCGTTGGGTTCTGGGCGTCAGTTGTAGCCAGCTGGAGCGCAGGGCTAGCATGTGAGTCACCCCTTGACATGCTCAGTCAAGCTACGGCTTACGGTCTTAGCGGCGCTTGCCCCATCTCGACTTACGGATCTCTTCGATTCTACGCCTGGCCTGAGACTTGGCCTGCTCGCGCTTCACTTGTCTTCGATACTATGGTTCGCCTGGGATCCTCATTGGCTCCGACGTCAGCGAGAGCATATGCGCGGCCGCGCCAAGGGGAGGGAAACGTGGATTGTGAGTACTGTCCCAGCGAGGCACGCAATTCCAAGCTGACTCTTCAGCGTAATATGCTTCTCGTCTTCGTAATGAGAATCGTGGGAGCGATCCTGGTGTCCTATCCCCGTCTGAGACCGCCGGCGCCTCTTTCCCGAATAACGGGAACACTGCTAGTCCTGGAGGCGATCGTAAGACACACAACCTCCCCCATTGGCCAGGTAGCTGATAAGCAGGCACTTGTACATGCCTTCGCGGCCATTCGCAGCCCATATCCTATCGCGCTTCGCTTAGTCCGTCCTACCCAGCTCAGTGTCCCTTCGAGCCCGACCTATCAACAACCCAGCGGTCCTGGAGTTTACAACCCATACCTCCATTCATCGCCCCCTGATCATTCTTCTCGCCTACAGCGTGACCTCGCCCCCAAACATCATCCCGTCTTCGGCAAAACGTCACTCTCTCCTCGACCCTCTCTATCCCGCTTAAGAGACGACGAGATGGACTGGGAAGGTCCGGCTCCCTCAGCATTGTATAACGGTGGATACACCTCCGGCGGTCCTGTCTATTCTGAGCAACAGGCGGAAGAGATGACGGAAGGGTATGAGAGGGGGCAGGGATGGGACAACTTTGCGGTGGGAAAGCAAAGGTTCTTTGGGCGGAGAGAGGGGGAAGATGAGACGGGTCTGGAAGGGCTTCTCGCGGGTTGGGGGTTGGCGGAGCAGATAGGTGGGCAAGCAGGAACAAAGAGGCAAGGCGGGTGGGCCGGAGGAGCGCTGAGCTGGTTCAGCGGTAGGACGAAGGAGGAATAGTGATTGCTGCTACTATGACGTCCCTTGGTGGCGAGTCTGCGGGGAGGTCCGCCTCTCCCAGGCCATCGCTCGCATCCTTTGCTACTGCTACTGATGCCAGAGTATGTGGCTGGCTCCCCTGACCCCTCCTTTCACCAGGTACAGCACAAAGCTTATCGTCCTCTTTTGATTTGTTGTCCCTTCCCCCTGATTCCAGTTCCCTTTTATGCCTCACGTCGACGACACCCTCGTCCTACCTACATAAGGCGGCATCCCGCTCACCGCCTATCGACAAGGTACTTGTACTTACCAATACTTCTGTTGCTCACGATACTCACCGTACTGACTCCAATGGGCCGGCGCACAAACAACGAAGAACCCCTCATTGACCACGCCTCAGCCCCTCCGTACCCTACGGCCCGCGCTGAGAAGATGACCTCCGAGCCTCTCAGCACCCAGCCTACACCCCGCAGTCCTACCCTCAGCGACATGGAGATGGAGTACGAGATCGAGATGGACATTGAGCTCGGGAACGGCGTTAGGCCCAGTGCGAGCCGCCCGCCCAAGTCGTCCCCTCCCATCATGCCCGAACCGGGAGAAGGTGGTCCCCTTGTCCCCGGTCCGCCTGTTGCTCCCATTCCCCCAAAGAAGGCGATCTCTGCTCACGCGAACGTCCTCTCCGAGCTGAGGCGCCGAAGTGGGTCCAAGATGGCTCATGGACCGGGAGAGGTGAGGCACATTGAGTATGCGTCTGGTCGGGCGGCAGAGAAGGGGGCAAGGCGGGCGGATGATGCGCTCGAGAGCCCATACTATCCCAAGGAGGGGGGATGGAGCAAGCAAAGGATGTATGAACACACGATCAGGAAGGTGAGTTGTCAATATTGCATGTGAGAGGCCAGCCAAGGGTTCGTACTGATCCTCACTAGGTATCGATCGATGCGGCAAAGAAAGCCATACAAGGCTCGCATTCGCAAACCAAGAAGCAGCCGCCCCTTGTCTATCCCTTCATGCAGCTCTCATTGTCCCCCTCGAAGCCCAAGCCCAAGCTTGCACCGAAGGTCAAGGCTTACACGCCCGCAGCTGAGAAGAAGGAGCAGCGCGGGGCAATTACGCGTTTCTTGCCGCCCAATAGGGACGAGGCGTTCATTGCATTCATGCCCAATTCAGCCGAGGTACGCTCATATTCTGTTCTGATCATCGCCCTGGGGACAGAGCTGACAAGTAGGGGACCATCGCCCTGTTCAAGTCCAGCTGCCCTTCATTGGCTCAGGTCCCTTCCGATGAACTCGCCCTCGCTTTGCACTTTGACGGATCCCCATCTTGGGTCAAGAACGTCCTCTTCCGGGTCCTCCCCGAAACGTGGCCTCACGCAGTGACCGACGTCCTCCCTCTCATCCACATCAAGCATACGCCGAAGGCCCGGCTCCCTCCAATCCAGACTGATGCCCCGACGGTGGCCAAGGTGAGCGACGCAGATCTGATGGGCGCCTTCGAGACGGAGAGGAACAACAACATGTGGAAGGGCAAGCCGGATCAGACGGACGTGCTGGGACACGGGGAGCCGGGCGTGTTGGCCATGCTCGCCAAGCAGAAGCAGCAGAAGTGGGAGCAGGCGCAGGGGACGTCGAAGACTTGGGATGATCTCGTTCGCGAGGGCGCACTGTTGGGTATCCACCAGTCTGAGCTCGGCCACCTCGCTGTCCATTATGGTTGCAAGCTATAGGATATCGATGTCTCCTCTATGTACCAAATACACGGATGTCTTGTGCAGTCGACCCATGGTCTCTTTGCACTGCAGGCTGACCAATATCGAAATCTCCTGGTGTATATAGGTTCGCTGAATGGCAGGACCCGCATGTGTCGCTGGATCTTCCGAAAGGGCCCAAGGTGCAGGCCCCGGAGTAGCTCTCACAGATTGACTCGAGGAGCTGCAGACACGGCTCGCAGAATGGGGCCGGTGCAGGCGTGTTGATCCCTCGGTAAGGAGTAAGAAATCAAAGGTACCTTCGTGCGGGACAAGCGCCGCACCGACTCACTCATCTTGAGTCGAGCACGCCATCGATAGCGTGCTCACTTGCGAAGGCGGAGTGCCAAAGGATAGTCCAGTGTCCATTGTCGCATTCACACACATAAGACGAGCTCCGTACCCGTCCCGGCGTCCGTCAACGCACTTGCACTACTTTCGTCCCAGGCTGAACTCGGCCAGATTTACGATCCCCAGACCCCAGCCCACAAATATGTCCCCCTCATACACCACTGACAACCTTGATCGAGCGGCACACACGCAAGAGCTTTGGTCTCGACTGGCACGGGCGCTCCTCGAAACGCCTGGTCATCTCAATGACGATGAGCGCAAGGACTACAGCGCTCGCAAGTCCAAGCGTCCCTCACCTTCGGGCGCACCCAGCACCAGCACGGTTCTTCAGAAAGCTCAGGTGTACAGCCAGGAGAAGCTCTTGCGAGATTTGTTGTGGTCAATCTCTTCCATGAGGAATCAGCCAGCCTCCTGGTCGCAAGGTGAGCCCGAGGCTGGTCGCGAGGCATACTTGCGGGCTGCGGCGCTCGGCTTCTTCAGTCGTGAATACTCGTCAGACGCGATCAAGGGATCCGGCATGAGTGCCGTTGAATACGACGAGGCTCGCGTCGGCGCGGCAAGTGCCCTCTTCAAGGATGTTTGCGGGCTGAGCGATGAGCTCAACTCCAAGGACAGAGACAAGGAGCATCTCGCGAAGCTTCTGCTCGATCGCTCCGATGCACTTTGGCATTCCCTCAACAAATACTGGCGTGAGATCGAGTGAGATGGAGTGAGTGCATCAGATTCCCACTCGTGTATACGTGTAACGTCACCCGGGATGCTGAAGCGGCTGGACCTGTTGACAGGGATATCAGTAAGAGAGGAGGCCGTGCATACTTTACCACTCATATAGAGGCCAACTCCTCCCTCTGCTAGCTCTGCTCAATTAGGTACGAAGCTCGTCCTCCCAAAGTGGGCTGGAGTGAGGCACACCTCCCCATCTGCCCCCTGCGCAAACAGTGCAAAGTGCGTGCCGGTAAATGGCGAATCCCAGATCTTGTTCCTGCAGATGACGTTCGAGTCAAGCGTCTGTAGGTCGGTCGGCGAGTCGGCGGCGGACTCTTGGTAGAAGGGCGTGTAAGAAGTGGGAGCGGCGCGGAAACCGAGCTGGATTGGGCCATTAGCGGTCTTGAGTGAAGTTACGACCTCCTATTCAGTCAGCTTTGTCTCTCACTCGGGATGTGGTGAAAGTTCCAGCTCACCTCGCGCTTATCATCCTCATACCTATTCCATCGCAAGACCAACTCCCTCCCCTGCCCCTTCTTCCTGATGATCATCGAGATGAAGCTGAAATTCGACCAAAAGACCGCCGTCCCCGCCTCGTCATACTCCGAGTCTGGCTCAAAGTCGAGCGTGGTGAGCCACGTCCCGCTGTGGTATTGCTGTTTCCGGCAGAGGAGGGCGGGAGATTCGCGCTGGTCGATCCGGAAGGGGTTGCCGTAGAGTGTGAGGGTGTTGGGTCGGGCGGAGAGGGAATGTTCTTGGCGGACAGGGGTACGGACAGAGTACCAGCCAAGATTGAGCTTGTCTGCGACGCGACGTCAGCTCTCCCCTTAGGCAAGGGAAGGGTAAAACTCACCGCTGCTGAAATCGTCTGACCACTCGGTAGGCTTCGGCCCCGTCTCGATCCCCTTGACCGTCAACCCGATCTTCTCCCTCCCGTTGAACACCGGCCAACCCTCCTGTGTCCACTCTACCGGCGCAAGGAACGTCTCCCTCCCCAGCTGCGCCACTTTCCCGTCCCCCTGCGGCCTCGTCGCCAGCATAGTGACCCACCACCTCCCATCCACTCCCTCAAACATATCCGCGTGACCGGTGCACATCACCTCCGTGCTCTCCGGCCCATTGTGCACGAGCGGGTTGATCCCTTCCGGTGGGTGCTCATATGGTCCCAAGGGGGACTTGGAGCGGAAGATCCATTCCTGGTGGTGCTCCTCGGTGCCCCCCTCGGCGATCATGAGGTAGTACCACCCGTTCCGCTTGTACATGTGCGGGCCTTCGGCAATACGGTTGATCTGGTCCGAGTCGCGCAGCATGACGGGCCGGGTGAGGTTTCGGCCGGTGGTGATGTCGATCTCGGCGCCGTAGGTTGTCAAGAGGGCGCCGGAGGGTTGGCGCGGGCCGCCGCCGTATGAGGGACCGAGGCGGGAAGTGCAGAGGTACACCTTGTCGTCATCGTCAAAGAAGAGCTGGGAGTCAGTTGATCTCTCTCTAAGGAGATAGACGGCATAGAAAACTCACGTCCTGGTCAATCCCGACCATATCGATAGGGATGGGGTCGCTCCACTTCGAGTCATCCCAAATATCATCGGTCGAAACGATGAACCCTCGAATCTCATCATGCTACCAAGTCAGCCCCGGCTCCCTCATGACGTAAAGAGGTTACTCACTACACCATCATTCCTGGTCCTGACGCAACACGTCGTCATGTACCACCGCCCCTTATGATACCTCAGCGTCGGCGCAAAGATGCCCGCCCCCGCTACCTCTGTGCGCATATACAGCTGACTCGGTCGGTTCAGCGCATGCCCGATGAGTTTCCAGTTGACGAGATCGGTGCTGTGGTAGATGGGCACGCCGGGAAAGAACTCAAAGGTGCTCGTGGCGAGGTAGTAGTCTTTGCCTACGCGGCAGACGGACGGGTCGGGGTTGAAGCCGGGGACGATGGGGTTGGAGGCCATTTTGCCGGGGAAGTCCACGATATCTGCGGGATGCGCGTGAGTTGATGAGTGATAATCAGGTGTGGTGTATCTCGAGGTATCTTCCATCACCGGTTCACCTCCCTCGCAGCGCTGCCTCTGACTCGTCTTTATATGGTCGAGTGCGCAACAAGTGGACCATCTTGGACTTCTTGGAATCCTCCGCGTATCCGCCGACGGCCTAATCTCCGGGCCGAGATTTAGCCGGAGTCGCAGAGCCGCACAGTCTGCCCGCACGTTGGCGGATGCTGCTTCGCAACTGTGGACCTTGGGATTATTTGAGAAGACTTCATAACATAGTAGATACAGCGTACTCTAGATAAAAGATGCATGCGTCAAGCATCAAGCGGCCACATGCCAGTCCAAGCGCTCGGCCCAGTCCTTGCTCTTGAGCGTCAAGAGCACCTCCGCCACGTCCTTGGCTCCACTCCCAGACAGGCAACTACACCGTTAGCTCTGCTCCTATATGGCATCAGATGAGGAGTTGCTAGCTTACATGACGATATCCTTGTCCTTTGGCATCGTCTTGGCGAGCTGCATCCCGCCCCAAAGACCGTGCGAACTCTCAAGGGCAGGAATGATCCCCTCGAGCTCAGTGACCATCTTGAATCCCTTGAGGCACTCAAAGTCGTCCGCGACAATGTACTCTGCGCGGCCCGTGTATTTGAGGTTGGCGTGTTCTGGGCCGACCGAGTTGTAGTCGAGACCTGACCATCAGCAACAGTCCCCAACATGAAAAGGAGCGGACTCGCCGGCAGAAATCGAGTGAGTAGGCGTCAACTGCCCCTCCTTACTCTGAATGATATAACTCGCCGCACCGTGCACAACACCAGGGACACCCTTGCTGAGCGTAGCCGAGTGCGCCTCGGTGTTGATACCGTGTCCTCCTGCCTCGACACCAATCAACCGCACACTCTCATCCTCGATAAAGTCGTAGAATGTCCCGATGGCGTTGGATCCGCCTCCGACACACGCGACAACCGCATCGGGCAGCTTGCCGGCCTTTTCGGCCATCTGTGACTTGATCTCGCGGCCGATCACGCGCTGGAAGTCGCGCACGATGGTGGGGAAGGGGTGGGGCCCGATGGCGGAGCCAATCAGGTAGTGGGTCGAGTCGAGACGGGTGACCCAGTCGCGCATCGCCTCGTTGACGGCGTCTTTGAGGGTCTGGGTTCCGGAAGTGACGGGGATGACCTGGGCATAAGCTTTGTGTCCCGCATTCCCTTTTTCGCGCGGATATCAGCTCACATTCCCACCCAGCATCTTGATCCGGAACACGTTCAACTCCTGTCTCCGCACGTCCTCGGCGCCCATGTAGATGTCGCACTGCATACCAAACTTGGCGCAGACGGTGGCAGTGGCGACACCGTGCTGTCCAGCACCCGTCTCGGCGATGATCCGGTTCTTGCCTAATCTCTTGGCGAGGAGAATCTGCAGTATCAGCTGTGCTTCGCGCGTCTTCGTGCAACGCTTAACTGACCTGTCCCATGGCGTTGTTGATCTTGTGACTACCGGTGTGGTTCAGATCCTCACGCTTCAACCAGATCTTCGCACCACCCATCTCCTCTGTGAGCCGTTCGGCAAAGTACAGCTCTGACGGCCTGTTCATGTACGCAAACTGGTCCTCAAACTCCTTCCAGAACGCCGGGTCCTCCTTGGCCGCGATGTACGCATCCTCCAGCTCGTTTAAGCAGTCGACGAGCGACTCAGGGACATATGCACCGCCAAACATGCCGAACTTCGATGGAAGCTTTCCGGCGCGGGTGACGTTGAGATCGTCTTTCGCTACGCCGTCGAGCGGGTCGACATCCTTGGCGTCTGAGGGGAGAGGGAGGGGTGGGGAGGGGTGTCCAGCAGCGTCGGCGTTGTGAGACTTCTTCTCGCGGCCGAGGGGGCGGATGGGCTGGTCTTTGAGCGAAACGGTGCGTACGAAAGCCTCGAGTGCGGCGGGGGCGTCACCGGCGGCGGCGCCTTCCTGGATGACCTTGACGACCTTGGAGCCAATGACGACACCGTCTGCACCGGCAGAGGTCACAAAGTCGAAATGTGTCCGGTTGTCGATACCGAAACCGACGGCGAGGGGGACAGGGGTGAAGGCGCGGATACGGGCAATGAGCTCGGGGAGGGAGGTGGAGATGGCAGTGCCAGAGTTGGAGCCAGTGACTCCCATCTGCGGATCAGCTCTGCTTCATAATGCTCCTTAGCTCTAGAGTCCGAAGTTGAGCTGACCTTGGACACAACGTAGATGAAGGAGTCGGCAATGGAAGCAAGGTATTTGACTCGGTCAATCGAAGTCGAAGGGGCGATAAGGGGGATGTATGAGATGCTGCTGATCAGCACAGGTCATGCACAAGGCCAAGAAGCTCACCCTTCCGAGGTACAGATCTTCCTGAACTTCAACGCCTCCGATGGCGGCAGGTCCACCATGATGTATCCATTCGCACCGGCCTCCTTGCAGTCTCGTACTGCCTTTTCCTCTCCGTAGGCGATCAGGGGGTTGTAGTAGCCTTGAGGGTCAGCTTAGGTCTGGCCGAACGGGGCGAGGCATCAGTTAGCTGACATACCCATGAAGACGACGGGAGCCTTCAATCCCTGCGCCCTCGCTTCCCGGACATACCGCAGGCAGTCCTCGTAGTGGACGTTGTTCTCGATGGCAATCTGCTCATCAGCTTCTCATACAGCATACGTTCCTTCGACCTGACTGACAGTGTTGGCCTTCTGGATTACAGGCCCGTCCGCAATGGGGTCACTGAAAGGTACACCGAGCTCGATGATGTCGGTCCCTCCGGCTTCCAGAGCCATCATGAGGGGAACGGTCGCATCCTTGGTCGGGTAGCCGGCTGTCAGGAAGTTGATCAGGACCCTGCACAGTCAGCTCTGCGGATCGGTGAAGCTCGGGCTTGCTCGGGGTCCCTTGGACATACGCTTGGTCCTGTGGCATCAGCTGGAATTGGAGGGATCAGGGAGAGCACCTGACTTACCTGGTCTCGCTTGTCTGAGAAGACCTTCTTGATTGCTTCTGCCATTGTATGTATGGAGTATGTATGAGTAGCGATCAGTAGGTATAAGATATAGTGCAGTCGATGTAAGAGAGGACAAGCAACGACTCGGACTTTTGGAAAGCATCCGATGGAGGGCCGAGAGATCGTAAAGCTGGCTGTTATCAGTGACGTGGCTTTTTAAAAGGAAAAGGTCCAGGCCCGTCATGCCGTACTCGTAAATAGAGCGGGGTCCCCCGTACTTTTCCTGCCAGCCAGGTTGGAGCGCGAACTCAACCACCGCTTGCTTCTGCATTCACCACCTTCCAGTACATACCTGGACTAGCCACTCTCTTCTTGCCCTTACCTGCTCGAACACAGACGCGCAGATCTCTCTGTACTGGATTTCTTTCGGAACGAGAAACCTCCGAAATTGTTTGATAGACCCGCCATCCCAGCGCGCCTTCCCCTTCGCGTTTCACTGCACCGCTCTCTTCAATCTCGTCGTTCTTTACATCACCCACAACGCGTTTTATATCGTCCGCAACCACTCAGACCCTCTCCCTAGCCGTCAATATGAATACCCCCGACCTCCTTGCCGCCCGGTATGCGTCCCTCGCAGAAGACGCTCTCGCCAAGCCGCTACTCTCCCCCTCGGACCTAGACTCATCGTACGAGCTCTCGGACGACGGGAGCTACGGTCTCGAGGTGGTCAAAGATGTCCTCTCATCCAGCGTTTCATCCGTGAGCGAGGAAGAGGCATCGGACAGCTCCATGTCGGATGCGGAGAAGGAGTCTACAGAGTTTGTAGACCCGTTCCCCGACTTTCAGTGGCAGACTACGGAGGAGCCACATCGGAGTCGGAGAATGGCCATCCTGAAGGCACATCCGGAGGTGAGCTAACCCGTCCTAAGGCTTGATTCTGAAGAGACCAGCTGACATCGTAGGTCCGCAAGCTCATGGGCCCAACACCCTGGACTTTCCCCCTCGTCCTCGCTGTCCTCTCCTCCCAACTCGCCCTCGCCTATACCCTCCGCAACACCTCCCCTTCCCACTACTCCTTCATACTCACCGCCTACATCCTCGGTGGGACGCTCAACCAAAACACTTTCCTTGCCATCCACGAAATTACCCACAATCTCGCGTTCCGCTCCATCCGCGCCAACAAGATGCTGGCCATCTTGTCAAATACGGCTATTGGCGTGCCCTACGCAATGGCGTTCAAAGGGTATCACATCGAGCACCACAAGTTCTTGGGCGAGGAAGGCATTGACACGGACCTGCCGAGCAGGCTTGAAGCTGTCATTTTGAACAATGTTGCGGGAAAGACGTTCTTCGCGTGAGTCCGCCTGCTAGCTGAAAGTATCGAAGTCCTTGGACCTCAGCTGAACTTGCAGCACCTTCCAGATCCTGTTCTACGCCCTCCGACCTGGATTCATCCGGACTCAGAAACCCACCCTATACCACCTTTACAACTTCGCATGGATCATCGCCACCAACACGGCCATCGTCTACTTCTGGGGCTGGTCCTCCCTTGTCTACCTCATCATGTCGTCTTTCTTCGCCGGCTCGCTTCACCCGTGCGCTGCCCACTTCATCGCGGAGCATTACCTTATGAACGAGGAGGAGGCTGTTCCGGGATCCGCTCAGGATCTGGGCAAGGAAACGACGAGTTATTATGGCTGGATGAACATTCTGTGCTACAACGTAAGCTGCGATGACACGATCCTACAATCCTGAGCTGACTACTCAGGTCGGCTACCACAACGAGCACCACGACTTCCCCTCTGTCCCCTGGACAAAACTCCCCGCACTCCGCGAAGCCGCCAAAGAGTTCTACGAGCCTCTCCCGTCGCATGAATCCTGGCCATACGTTACCTGGAAGTTCATCACCGACCCCAATGTGGGCATGTGGAGTCGCGCCAAGCGGGAAAGCAAGGGCGGGAAAATCGAGCAAGGGGTATGGGCGAGTATGGCCCGGGGGACAGAAGTGGAGCTGGAGATGGATAGCGAGATGACGGAGGAAGAGGAGGAGAGGGCTTATGCGAGCGATAGGGACGACAAGATCAAGAATGAGTGAACGATGTCTGAACGTATTGTAGTTAACGACTTTGGGTAGATTGGATAGATATCCTAGACGATGTTTGCATGATACTGCTGGCCAGCTACCGATCAGGATCAGCCATCCTTGGATTGCTGCAAGAGTCCTATTTTATACATTGCAATATGGCTATGCTAATGACTGTGTTACCTACAATATCTACGACAGAAGCTCTACCTAAAGATGGAACTGTCCAGGACCTGCTATACTACAATACTATAATGCTATAATACTATAGATAGGGCTAAAAGAACCTGGTGGCCGTACAGACCGGCTGCCTCTGTACCGGAGGTTGAATCTGGCGCTGCTTCCCTTTCATCGCCGCGGTAAGCACGACCGGCGCGGTCTTCACCACCACCTCCTGCTTCTGCTGTATCACAACCGCCGCCGCCGCCGCCTTCTCCGCAGATACCAAAGCGGCCTTGGCTGCCGTAGCCGCAGTAGCTGCGTCCCGCTTCGCAATGAGATCCGCCAAGCGCGAGCCGAGGGGAATACGGGGCGTGAGGTTCTGTCGAGCCGGGGGCGACTCCGGCGCAGCTTCCACGGGCTTCTCGACGGCCGGCGGGCTAACCGTAACAGGCGGGGTGACGGGCTGCGGGGAAGGTGACAGGCGAGCCTCCTCTTCCTTGACTCGCTTGGCGTTCTCTCGCGCGCGAGCGAGGAAGGACGCGGCGGTGTCGGGCGGCGGGGAAGGGGTGCGGGGTGGAGGAGACACGGCACGCTTGACAGGCGAGATGGGAAGCCGCGAGGTCGGTGAGCGGGGAATGCGGGAGGTCGGCGAAGGGGACACACCGGCCCGAGCGGCCTTTGGCGCGAGAGCAGGTGACGGGGCCAGCTTTTCAGTCGATGCCGCAGAGGACGATGCCGCGATGGCGATAGGTAATCTGGAGGGAGTGGGGATCCGAGAGACTGGCGCCACCGGCGCGACCGGCGTACCCGTCTTGGGCTTCAGGCTCCCCAAGCTGGGCTTGATGCTCAGGCTGGGAATGCGAGATACGGGTGTGACGGGCGACAGAGGGATCTTGGAGATGACCGACACCGGGGACGCAGGGACGACAACGCTATCTGGGCGAAGCGACGCGACACTGGGCTTTTTGGCGAGGCTAGGGATACGGGACACCGGGACCGGGACCGGGATGGACGCTGGCGTTGGCGCTGACGATGCTGATCTGGCCACCGGCGAAGCGGCAAGGACGTCGGAAGGGAGGGTGACGCTGTCCCGAATAGCAGGAGGGAAGACCTTTGCCTTGCTGGGTGTAGGGAGCCGAGAAGGACCTGGGATCATAGACGTGAGGCTGGCGAGCCATGTAGTCGGTGCGATCACCGCAGGTGCAGCTGGTGCAGCCTCAGTCGGGAGTATGAGGGGTGGGGATGAAGCGGCTGCCGGTGTCGGCGCAAAAGGCTCAGCCTCCACTGTTGAAGATAAGAGGGTGGGGTTGACTTGTCGTCCCGGCACGGGCTCGACCGGTTCCGATTGCTGCTTGGCGATCTCAGAGGGCTTTGCGACCTCTGCAACCTGCACCGGCGCCTCCTCGACGAGCTCCAATTGCTGTGGAGCCTCAATGACCTCCTCAGGTACCGCCATCTCAGATGGGAGAGGTGAAGGGGCTGGTGTGATCTTCGCCTCCGGCATGGGCGTGGTCGGTTCCGACACCTCCTCGATGTGCGCCGAGCGCTCTTCAGGCGCGCGGGCCTGCTCCGATACCTCCTTTACAGCCGCCAGTGGCTCTGGAGCCTCAACGACCTCCCCCGGCACCACTACCTCGACCGTCCTCACCTGCTTCATCCTCCTGACCGGCGGTCGACTCGATACCGAGCTCAGCGTCTTGGTCTTGATGTCCCAGTACCAATCCGCATCCGGGTCCGTCTCCACCTCCCATTCCGACTCGTCCCCTGAGCTCGGCTCGTCAATCATGACTTCTGGCTCTCCCCACTCCACGTCCCTGGTGGGAAGGGGCATAGGCGTCCCGCTAGGCTTACGCTGGATCTGCGGTTTGGGCGTAGATAACACCGCCTCGACCTCAGCCTCAGCTTCAGCTTCGGCGGGCCAGAGCGGGTCCTCCATGATACTCTTCCCGGGGGAGAGAGTGAGAGTGGGGCTCGAGCCGCCCCATGGGAGCCTGCCCGGTACAGCATTGGCCGAAACGAACGATGGGCTGCCGTACGACCCAGACCGCATCTTGGGAGTGGTGTGGGTCGGGCTCATGTCGAGCGAAACGGACGGCGTGCATACCTCCGTGCTCGTCATGGCCGTACTGGATGATGTTGAGGCCGTCATCCCCGATAGCTCCGATGTCCCGGAGGATGTAGCGGACGAGTATCGGTCGTGCGTCCCGGCATTCGAGCCTGACGTTTCCGACACGGACGGCAGGGACTTAGACGAGGGCATGCCTCGTGACCGCACCCGTGCCTGGTTGGTCAGGTTCGCCTTGGACGTCCGGCGGAGCGCGATCGTGCGGATCGTAGCCGCCCATTCCTCCTCTTCCGATTCGGAGCCGGACCAACCGTGTCCCCTCGTGAGCCCGACACCGGACTTCAGGTCCAAGGCAGACATGGTAGATAAGCGTTGCATCCGGGGACGGACGGCTCGAGGCTCGGTCGCTGGATCTGGCGCGGTGGCTGTACGGAGGAGGCGCGAGTTGGGAGTGACGATACGGTTCTTCAGGGGAGCCCTGGCGAGGGGTGTTGATGTATCTGAAAATAAGCCTGGTTCCAGCCCGAATCCAATAGGGAACATACCGAGATCGCTCTCCTCCTCGTCAAAGTTGAATCCCACAGTTGACCGCCTCGCCCGCAGTGTCGACTCGATGAGATCGCCCAGCTTCGGGCTCTCCGGGGCCGGTCCAAAGTCCGGATTTGTCGCCGCCTTGGGCGTGACGTGGGGACTAGCGAGGGCGCTTTCCGAAATGAGGGATCTGGGCCGTTCCTCAAGGGGTGATCCGACCTGCATGACTGCCGCGGAGAGCGAGTACGCATCAGGACAGGGGGACGTCTGGACCGATGGGGACGGCACGTGGCGTATGATGGACCGGATCGTAGAGGTCGAGTCGGAAGAGGTGGGTTTGGATGGTACGGGGCGGATAGGAGCGTCCTCCTCGCGCTCGCTCTCATTCTCGGCAAAGTACTCCTCGACGAGCGCGTGTGCAGGATTGACGCTGTGCGCCGGACTGAGAAGGGGCTGATGCCGCCAACTAGCGGGTGTGACGAGCTTGCCAATCGTGACGCCCAGCCTGTCTGGTGGAAGGGGGAAGGGGAGGTCCACGCTGAAGTCGGAGACCTGGCGCTGGTGTCCCTTCTTCATCGCCATCGCTTGCTGAAGGACCGCCGCTTCAACCTCGGGCGCGACTGTCTTTATCCCCAGTGCCCGGCACGCGTCCGCCGTATCCACCGAAACGCCGCGCTCTTGTGGGACAGGAAGCATATCCACCGAGTCAGCGTGCGCCGTTCTGGCGACGGTATCCGGAAGCTGCAGGTCAACCTCCCTGGGCGGGATGGAGTCGAATCGCTCCGTCCGCGTTCCGAGGTCCGGGACCATGGGGGCCGGCACGACGATCCGCTGATGCAGCGGTACCGGTGAGGGGTTGCTCCGTGGACTAAGTCCCCAATCGGCTTCATGCCATGGTTGACGATTGAGCTTGGGTGTCTTTTCGCCGGCCGGAGGAGAGTCTGGGTTGAGCGAGGGGAGGAGGGAGCCGTACGCTTCGCCCGAGGCGCTCGACAGAGGAGCGGGGAGGGTCATGTCGGAGACGGTAGAGTTTCCGGAAGTGACCGAATTACCGCGTGACTCGAGTGTCGAGAGGGTCGCCGCGTCGGACATGGACGACCCACGCGATGTGTCTGCGGAAGGGACCGGCAGGCTTGCAGGCTCCGCGGCGGGTGTCGGGGCAGACGACGGACCGCTGAGATTGCCTGACTCGGTATTGAGCCGAGCGAGGACCTTGGACAGGCGCTGATACGGGAGAGGTTTAGGCAAGAACATATCCCCTGAGCCGGAGTTGGGCCGCGAGGTTGCTGGAGGTGAAGGCGAGCCGTACGCACACTGCACGCCGAAAGGGTCCGAAGCGGTCGACGAGACGGACCCGAGGCTCGTCCGCGAGCTCGCCTTGGACAAGGGAGATGAGAGGTACTCTGCCCTGTCGGCGGCGGCGTTGCTTGTGGCGGATGCAGGTGAAGCCGGTGAGGTCTCCTCTGGCTCCTCCGTGGTGTCTTCGGTGGTGATGACCGGGGGAGGACTGGAGTTGACGCTTGGGAGGGGGTCCTCGGAGAAGCGTACTCGGCTTGACCGACGCCGAGGCTGCGGAGGAGGAAGCGGGGCGGAAAAAGTCCGTGGAGATTCGAGAGCGGAGCTGGAGGATGCGAGGGGTGTGGAAGAGGAGGGGAAACAGGGCGAGGTTGGGCTGAGCGACGAGCGAAGTATGCCAGGTGGTGCGGGCTTCCTCATGGCTGAAGGTATAACATCCTCATCCACAGCCTTGTCACATCAGCCACATGCATGGGTAGTCCGTCAGAGACACTCACTCTCAGCTCCTGTGCCAGCTTGCTGCTCTGATGTTTCGTGCTCCTCTTCTGCATGCTCGAGGCAATACTGCTCTGCCGCCTCGACCTCCGCCTCTCTCGTCTTCCCTCCACCTCCTTCTCTTCATCCCTCATCAGCGCGAGCTTTGTCAGGCGCATCGTCTCGCGCGGGTTGACATACGCGACCGAGTGACCGACGGGGAACGGCATATCTGGAACCATATTGCGGTGGGAGGACACGGTCGACATGGTGTTATTCTTTTCCTTCGGCGCCGGGAAGAAGGGGGGGTCGAAGGATGCTGTCGAAGCTCTGGATAAGTTAGTCGAGTCCCCATAATGCTGTTGAGATGGCTTTGAATAGCGGGCAATCTTCAAGTAAGATTTGACTTACAATGGTGGGTATACACAAGACGGTCCGAGCACCCGGCTGATAGGGACGCCTTTGAATCACAAGTCCGTCCTTCCCCTCGGTGCAGAGCGGGGTGGCGTTTGAAAGTCCGAGCGGCCAGCGCTAGACGAGGTGGAGTACCGTTGATGGTGAAGGAGGAATGTCCGCGGTGAGACGAGGTGAGACAGATTGACGCCGAGATTACTGGAATTCCAGCCACTTCCGAGGATTGCGACACAGCGGAAAGGTGGTACGCCGCAAGTCTCTGAGCATAGACCGGACACTGCGATGTCAGTATTAGGATTGCGCGACCCCCGACTCGCAGCGTAGCCTCTGAAGTATACACAACACCCCACAAAGTCGTAGCGTGACAGGTGCCCACCCCCGTGTCCTTCCCCTGAACCTAGTTTCGATCCTGAAACGAGCTAAGACTTACCGCTAGTTTCAACCTCGGGGCCAGATATGGAGGCAGTTGTGAAAGCTCTCCAAGCCTGCTCCTCAATCCTTCACCTCCCTCGAATCCAAAAGACCGGTAACCAGTGAGATCCCCGGTAAAAAATTGGGGTGTGCCGTGAGCTGACGTTCGCAGATCCCGTAGAGCAACCCGAAGTCGATCGCTGTGACGAGATCCCGGTAGCTGCGTAACTGCGGCAACGCAACTATGATGCGGTCGAAAAGGAACGAAAGAGAAGAGATGTAATGCAGAGATGGAAAGGAGGGACAAGTAACATGGCCACCTCTTGCACCCCTACTCCATATACGAGCGCAACGTGTGGTAATGAGGCAAGGGTCAACCATGCTGTGGCGGCCTCTGCACATTTAGTGGCTGCTTTCCTGATCAAGGGCGATCTGTAACTCCAGCTAACTGATCGGTCTGATCAGATTGCTCATCCTAGGGCTCGCACGGCAATGCTACTGTAAGCTGCTTAACCAAGAGGCGATCCATTGCAAAGCTTGGAAAAGGCAAGAAGATGAGCGCTTGAATTGGCCGCAAGTGGAAGATCTCCGGCTTCGGACAAAAGTGATCGAAACGCCATACCGAAATTACGTTATCGCATCCCGGTCGGGGAATGTGGCGGATCCGCGGTGAGACATTCTGACGTGACTGACTCTGAGCCGATGTACGACTCCGACAGCGGTCAGAAGGAATGCGGATTGACCTCGGAGGACGATCCCTGCCTTGCGCCATGATACTCGACGCGGCCAGCTCGATGGCGGCCTGACCAAGTCCATCTGGGAAGGATGAAAGTTTGAAACGTCTACATTCCTCGTGCCGGAGGGGTTTATTTGATCCCGCGCGTTTCATCCTTTGAGCGGAACCAAACAAACCCAGCAGAAATCATGCGCGACTTGGCCAACGCATCATGAGTACATACAGCTCTTCTCTCTATCATACTTGTCTATACATCGACAGAAATGGAGAAGATCAGCTCAAGCTCAACCGACCCGGAACCGATGGGGCTGTTCATCCAGCCCGCATGCTTACAGCACAAGTACATCCGGCATGCGAACGCGTCGCACATCTTCGAGCGGCCAGAGAGGCTTCGCGCGGTCCTGCTGGGCGTGGCGGCGGCAGCTTCGAGGCTTGAGGAGGAGGATGCGGCTGCGGCCATGGCTAGTGGGGCTGTGAAAGAGGCGTCAGAGCCGCAGGCCAAGGCGGAGAAGGATGATCTCACATCCCTGTTATCTTCGCTCTCTATCGCTTCTTCTACCACTCCGACCCGGCCAACCCCCTTCGCGCTCCCAATCCACCTCACAGTGGTCCCTCCACCTACAGCGCCGGTATCGGCTGGCCAGATCCTGCTGCACCATAGGGCCCTCCAGCTCTCGCACACGTCCCCGCCAGAAGCGCCATTCCCGTACTCTGGACCAGGCGCCCGAACTTCCAATACCCCTTCGCTGTCCTCGTCATACTTGCGCGACCTGCTCAAATGGGCGACGGAAGCGCCGGAGAGGATAAAAGCTGGTGAATGCGAGATACCAGGTGGATTGGGCCTGAATCAGGGAGATCTGTACCTTGGTCCGGGTAGTGTGTTGGCAATTGAGGGTGCTGTGAGTTGCAATGCGTGGCCAATCGTTGGCGGGTGGGTCTGTTAGCTGATACAAGTAGGTACAAACGGTCTGCCAGGCTGTGGATATGGTCCTCTCTCTGTCAGCTTACGATCCTGCTCCCGCACCCGCCCCGTCGACACCGCCAGCCAAGGCCACGGATGCTCAATCGACACCGCTCGGCCGGCCGACGCAGACTTCCTACTTTTCCCCATCAGCCGAGGCATCCGGAAGCCGACCGCCTGCCAAGCCCTTCAGGAAGGCTTTCTGCGCGATCAGACCACCGGGGCATCACTGCGGGGAAGACTCGCCATCTGGGTGAGCAGGCTGGGCTCAGAATTCGCAGTGGTGGATTGAATCTGATGTTCTACTAGGTTCTGCTATGTGAACAACGTGGTCGTCGGGGCGATGCATGGTAAGTCCCTCGTTGTCGTATGCTGGAAGACGGTGTCTGACTATGTGTAGCCTATCTAGAACATGATGTCGACAGAGCGATCATCATTGATTTTGACTTGCATCACGGTGAGCTACCTCTTACCTCTGGTCCAATACGGTGAGTTCGATAGCTGATCATACAGGGAACGGGACGCAAGAGTTGATCATGCCTCTTAATGCTGCCACCTATGCCGAGGAGCTAGCAGTGAAGGCAGGCAAGCCTCCCTCTGGTCTGAGAGGGCGGGATGGTGCGAGACGAAGGGGATGGAAGGGGTTCTACGGGTCGGTGCACGATATCGTATGTCAACCTGCTAAATTGAGCTCCGCTCCGAGCGACAGAGACGCTGACCCAGCAGTACAGTTATCCCTGCGAGGACGGAGAATTGGATCTCATCAAGGACGCATCTCTGAGTCTCGCTGCTCATGGGCAATACATGTGCGTAACCGAAGCTTGGAGACCAGACTCAATTGCTGACGGACTCAGCGAGAACATACATTTACAACCATACTCTTCGGAAGACGACTTCTACGCGCGGATATATCCAAAATACCTTGCTCTACTGGACAAGGCGAAGCTCTACATGGACGAGACCGAAGCAGATCCAGATCGCACCATCGTTCTGATCAGGTGAGTCGTCGCCAGTTCTTGAAAGTGTTGCGCATTAGCTGACTGCTTAGTGCCGGCTTTGACGCATGCGAACACGAACACCAAGCGATGCAGCGACACGACCGCCGAGTCCCCGTCTCCTTCTTCTCTCGCTACACTCGCGATATCGCCGCATTTGCGGATGAATATTGTCGGGGACGCGTTGTCTCGGTGCTCGAAGGGGGATATAGCGATCGCGCGCTGATGAGCGCTGCGATGGGGCATGTGGTAGGCATGTTGGGGCGGGAGGGGAAGGGGGAGTGGTGGAACGTGGACAGCTTAGATCATGTGAGTCATCGGGGCACAATTGACACAGAGATACATCGCTGATGGCCAGATCGAAAGAGCGACCAAAAAGAAACGGACCGGCAAGATTGCCCCCTTCCCCTCGGAACTGTCTCACATCCCTCATCTATCCCGTACACACGCCCTCCTCGCTCACTTCGAGGGAGTCGGTCTACCGCCTGATCCCCCATCAACCCACTCCACACCTCAACAGCCTCCGGCTCCGCGCATGACGCTCAGAGCGCGCAGACTCGGTGGGGACGAAGATGGGTTGGACACGCCCCCTGTTGCAGCGCGAAGAGGGAGAGGGAGGGGTGTGGGAACGCCGACGAGTACAGCAACGTCTACACCTCGAGCGAGGAAGGGAGTTGCGTCGCCAAGCAAGCTTGCGGCTTCCAGTAGTGCGCCAGCGGCACTGGCCGCGGCGGCTGGCGTGCCGCAGAGCAGTAAGGGTGTAGAGGTAGATGAGGTGGTGGAGCGGATGAGCAAGGTGGTTGTTGGGCCCTCAAGCCTTGCTCGGACAGCTTTCACCCCGGACACTACCTCGCCGGCGGTCGCACCCATACCTCTGGAGGCGGCAATCACACCAGCTCATTCGACTACAGCGATACATGCCCTGCCTCAGCCAAATACTTCGGTTCGCCTCCCCTTTCCCCCCATGCCAGTCAGGAGTGCTTGTCCCGTCGAAGCGCCCATTGCGCAGGAGACAGATGTCGCAGCCGCCAAGCGTATCTATCTCCGCTTCAAGCGCCCAGAAACCGAAACCCCTGCTCCTCCGTCCGCCTTGGCCCCTCCCAGTACAGGTTTGTACCCCGTCCTGCCCACCAGCGCTGCGTCCACGTCAATATCGAGTCTCGACCGCGCGGGGTATCGGGAGATATCGGCCGAGACGTCGACGAGTGAGGAGTAAGTCACTGCGAGTAGTGGCGTAGATGAAGGAGGGGTGGCGGATCTGAGGGGAAAGACAGAGAGGGAGGGGTCGGAAAGATCGGCGGACAGATAGGTAGGAATAGCTTGTAGGGCGGGCGTATCACATGTCGGGATTTTGGCTATATGTGTTCTTCTCGAGCTATTGTGTCAGCTCCGATAATATATTGCAGGTACCAGGCGTGGGGGCGAAGCTGAGAGGGTCTCACTTCTTCTTGCAGAATGTCCTTGATATGCTCCACTTGATCTGGCTTTACCAGCAGGTGAGTGTCGTCAACTGCGGAGAGGTCAGCTCAGTCCCACATGAACTCTTCAGCGAAGAGACGTCAGAGGCTCTTGACTCACTGTCTTTTAGGATGAACTTGTATGGCCCATCACGTGCCCGATCGAGGTGTAGGAGAATCTGCTTTGCTGCAGAGTCGCTTAGTCTCGTCAGCGCTGTACCAAGAGCAGCGATGGCTGAGCCCACCAAGTGATGAGGACACCGCTATTGACGCGTACGGAGTATGGATCGTTCATATTGGCTATCAGTGCGGATGAATCACAAGTACAGCAGCAAGTCGACAGCTGAGCTGGCGAGTACGAAGTTGTATTGTATTAGCGGAATCAAATGAGGTTGACGGTAACTCCGCATTCCTCAAACCTTGTCCGTGCTGATCGGGCCGAGCTCAAATGTGAATCTCGCGCAGACGGGCCTATGAGGCAGCAGTCTGTGGCGATCTTCCTAGAAGGGCGGACGCACCTGTCTCGGCCGCTTAGCTTCCATGAGTACTGCAGCTCAAATCCACGCACGTGCATCAAGGTCCAGCTAATGCCAAGTGGGTTACCGAGCTATTGTATTCCGTCATTCCGATCTTCAAATTCAACATCAAATTCGTTTTCGCCCGCTGACAACAGATCGACCCATTTAAAGCGACTCTTGCTGCTAGCATACATCTTCTTCTTCTTCATCTTCTCCCTTCACCTCTCGCTACACACGTATCTATCATCTACACGTCAGCATACATCCAAGCACGATGCCCACCCTGAGAGAAGTAGAAGGCGCCCATCGGGTCAATGACCCGACATGTGCTCCATGCGGACCCGGCCTGACGCTCGGGGAACAACAGGATGAGAAGGCGTCCTCCACTGCTAAGTGTATGTTTCTGCCCACCACTAGCACCTTCAGGCGTCGGCTCGTCTCGCTGACACTCCAGCTTTGATCAGGGGACTGTCGATATTAGATCGATTCCTGGCGTTGTTCGTGCTCATTGCTATGATCCTTGGGGTAGTCATCGGGGTGTATGCGCCGGGCGCACAAGCAGCATTCAGCGGTGCCGAGTTCGCCCACACTTCCGTCCGTAAGTCCGCCTACATCATTTCTTACCACAGGGTCCGAGCTCATGCCCAATAGCCCTGGCCGTCGGGATGATCATCATGATGTGGCCACCCCTCACTAAGGTTCAATACGAAAAGCTCCCTCGGATCTTTACGACCAAGGCGCTGTGGACCCAGCTCCTCATCTCCCTCCTCATCAACTGGATCATCGGGCCCTTCGTCATGCTCGCCTGTGCATGGGCCGCACTGCCCGACCTCCCAACTTATCGTACCGGTGTCATCATGGTCGGACTCGCGCGGTGCATCGCCATGGTCATGATCTGGAACACCCTCGCCGGCGGCGACGAGAACCTCTGCGCCGTGATCGTCATCATCAACTCGGTACTCCAGATCATACTCTACAGTCCCCTGGCTGTATTCTTCATTCAGGTCATATCGAGGACCGCGTCTATTGAGCTTGAGTATGGAATAACCGCCATCGCCGTTCTAGTTGTGAGTCCCCTTCATCTGTGACAACTGTCAAACTGACGACCAGTTCCTCGGCATCCCCATCGCTCTAGGCCTGACGACCCGCTTCCTCCTCCTCTGGACACTCGGCCGCAACTTCCTCGAAACAAAGTTCCTCCCCTACTTTGGCCCCGTCGCGCTCCTCGGTCTCCTCTACACCATCATCATCATCTTCGCCCAACAAGCGCGGCACATTCTCGCCAATATCGGTCCGGTCTTCCGCGTCGTTGTACCCATGTTCCTGTACTTTATGGTCATGTTCTTCGGGACGTTCGCGGCGATGTGGTGGTATGCGTGGAGGACGTACAAGAGGGGACAGAAGGGATGGGCAAAGGGGATGGGATACAGAGAGGCGGCGGTTCAGAGCTTCACCGCTTCGTCGAACAACTTTGTAAGTCGCAATCCGTTGCTGATGGGATGCTGTCATGGTAGAAGCTAACTCGAACAGGAATTGTCGATCGCGGTCTGCGTAGCCGTATTTGGCCCTAACTCGGACCAAGCTCTCGCCGCGACAATAGGCCCACTTGTAGAGGTGCCCGTCCTTCTCGCGCTGACCTGGGTCTCGATATACCTCGGGAAGCGGCTGCCATGGCCACCTGTAGAGGTCGATGCGGGAGGGCAGCAAGTGGAGAGTCTGGCGAGGACGAGTAGGCCGGAGCGAGAGGGCGCAGGGGAGATTGAGCAGAAGAGTGGAGGAGATAGAGAGTCTATATGACTTGTATGAGGTCGTCCCAGGCTAGATTGTAGATGCATAGATGACCGCTTAACAAGGTGAGGACACTGGGCCACTGTCCCCGTACTGTAGCGCAACACTCGCAGCGCGATTACAGAGAAACGAGAGGCGAGATCAAGATCAAGAGACAGTCGCGCGAGACCGATGACGACATTGCTCTCGCCGAGGCAGACGATCAGAACTGACCAACTTTTGCTCATATCATCAATCTGACTTTGACCTGAACCTTGTCAGAAACTCCTGTCAGTATGCCACGCCGCAAGCCCTTCTCCGCCAAGCAGAAGAAAGAGCAGATGAAGGACAAGCGCGCTGTGAAGCGTGGCGAGCTCGATCCTTCTGACGTCCGGGTCCCGTCTCACCCCTCCCGAGCCGCGCGCCCCGGCAACTCCATCGGCGTGATGTCTACCCGCCGAGCGAACCCCAACGACCCCTCGCACCTCGTCGCGACTCGGCTCCAAAGCAAGTTCACCGCTCTGACCCCGGCATACCTCGAGCGAACGCGGGACTTGTCGCACTCGATTCCCCTCCCTCGTCCGCTTCAGACGAGCCACGCTATCTTCCCGGTAGAATGGATGGAGCGGGATGAGGGACGACTGACCTGCCCTACTCGTCCAAAGTTTAGGTATGGGCAGACCAAGAAGGAGGTGGAGAGGAATGAGGAGGGCATGTTTGCGAGGTGGGTAGCGGGCACGAGGGGGTTTGTGGAGGAGTGGGTGGAAGGTGGGGAGGACGAGAAGCGGGAGGAAGGGGAGGAGGCGGAGGTTGATCCAGCGGGAGTGGAGGAGGTGGAGGATGAAGGGGATGGGGAGAAGGTGTGGGAGAGGTTGCGGAGTCCGACTTGGTTCGAGACGAATCTGGAGGTTTGGCGGCAGCTGTGAGTCCCCCTTCTCCAGTCTTTCTAATGGTGGTGGACTAAGTAGCTAATCCAGCAGCTGGAGAGTGACAGAATCATCACAGATTCTTCTTCTACTCGCCGATGCCCGCTGTCCCCCACTCCACCTTCCACCATCTCTCCGGACATACGTTCAATCCCTCAAACCCCGCAAAGAGGTCATTCTCGTCCTCACCAAGTCCGACCTGGTTGACGCGGACGCGCTCGCAGGATGGAAAGAATGGGTCAAGGTGTGGTGGGCGAAAGGGTACAAAGCATCAGACGAGCGGAACGGGCCCAGAGACACGGGTAAGAGAGATGTGGACGAGCGGGCGGAGCAGGAGGTCCAGGTCGTGGCTGTCCACAGCTACGACACAGATGCTCTCTACGCAGGTACGCCTATCAGCTTTCATGGCTAGGGAGCCCTCGAGCTGATATCTGCAGATAAGCCAAGACATAGACCCGATCTACCCGAATCGTCCCTCAAAGAACTCATCGCTGCGCTGCGTACCGCCCACAAGCGGCTTATGACCCCTCACGAGCGCATCGTAGCCGACACCGACAAGCTCAAGGAATGGCGCAGTCCCGTCCGGTCGCAAGTCGACTGGGACCTCCTAGCTCGAGGTCCAGCTTCGGCCTATCCGCCAGCCAATGCCGAGCTACCTCCACAGCCGATCGAGCCTGTCAGGCTACCGGAGCCGGAGGAAGTTGCAGAGGATGGGGAACGCATCGATCGTGACCCGGAAGGAGAGCCGCTCACTATTGGCTTGATTGGGCAGCCGAATGTGGGGAAGTCGTCCTTATTGAATGCTGTTCTGGGCGAAAGCAGGGTCAGGGCGAGTAGGCAGCCAGGAAAGGTCAATGACCAATGCGGGTGTTCACCTGTCGGGGCTTGAGCTTGCTGATACATCTAGACAAAGCACTTCCAGACGCTGTTCTGGGGCTGGAGGAAGGAAGTCAAAGTCGTTGACTGTCCAGGGCTCGTATGCCCAAGTCTCGTCGGCCTGGAAGTACAGGCTCTGTGCGGTAGTGAGTATTAACCTGCTCATCCACAAGTGGGAAGAGAGGAGGTACTTACAGGTCGCAGTCCTACCCATATCCCAAATCCCCTCACTACATGCCTGCATCCTCGCAGCGGGCCACCTCCTCCCTCTCGAGACTATATTCAGCGTCCCTGCTCCTCCAACATCGCCGTCAGACGTCTATGCCGACAAGCGCACGTGGAGAACACCGAAGGCTGAGGACACTGCTAGGGAGCAGAAGAGGGAGAGATGGACCGCTGGAGGGATCATGGAGGCTCGGGCGCTGGATCGGGGTTATCGTGAGTCTTAGATGGCACGACATGCGGGGCGTGAGCGTGAGCTTACTAAGTAGTGACCGCAAAAGGAGGGAGACCAGATGGGAACCGCGCAGCCAACGGCAGTAAGTCTCTGTGTCGTCCGGACAATCCTCGGAGAGCTATAAGCTGACGAGCAGTGATGCGCCAACTCGCAGACGGCAAGATCCGCTGGTGCTTCTTCCCTCCAGGGTGCGAGCTCGACCGGGAAGGCAAAGGAATCTGGCTCGGCGATTTCGCGCACGAGGACAAGGACGACAAGGAGGATGCGGACAGTGCTCCTGGGTCAGAAGATGAGAAGCAGGTGGCTGCTCCTTCGGATAGCGAGTCGGAATTTGACAGTGAGGATGATGGGGAGGCTAGCGAGGTGGAGCAGAAGGCGAGGGAGATTGATCGTGGTTTCTTTGCTGCGTTGGGGGGCAGCGATGATGATGAGGATGAGGATGAGGAGGAAGAGGAGGAGGATGACGACACTGAGGAGAGTGAGGGGAAGCGAGAGACCGAAGGCAGGACGGCATAGACGGAGCCGTATCTGGGTGGGGACCTCCGGCGGAGTACCTGACATCAATCGCATCATACACCACATGATACATCATACAACTACATGTAGGGTTGGCACATACCAGCAGGAATGTTCAAGTGTTCACCGAAACCCTCAACTTTCATCGTCCTACTGCTCAAGTTGCAGCACCCTTGGTTCCCAAGCCAAGCTTGTCCATAACCTCCGAGATCGACCCACCCTTCTCGTCCGCATACGACCCGACCAGCGTCCCACTTCCTCTACTCTCCCCACTCTCCCTTCTGCCCATTCCCAGCCCCACTCCTTCTCCATCCTGCAGCGTCACGCCCTCCTCTTCCGCCTTCTGTACAATCACGCCCGGCTCGCTCAGCTCCCGCCCAATCACACCCTTGATCTGCTGCTTGAGTTCCACCATCGCCTCATCCTCCATCTGGTCCAGGAACCAGGGCTTGGACATGTAGTTCCGGACACCGTCGGGGAGGATGATGACGACGTTGGCGGTCGGGTCGGAGGCGATGTGTTGGCCCGCCGGAGAGTGGAGATAGCGGAGAGCGCCGGACAGGGCGGAACCGCATGAGCCGCCGACGAAGAGCCCTTCTGTACGGCTAAAATGTCAGCTAAGGCCCCTTTTGAGACTGGGTGAAGCAGCGGAAGAACTCACATCAGGCGCTTGGTAGCTGCGAAAGACTCCTTATCCTCCGTCTTGACCCACTCATCGATCAGAGGCGGCCTCGGGTCCAGAACCTCTGGGAAGAAGTCCTAGGCCTAATCAGCTCTTCTTCCATGATCTGGTGCGACCACCACCGGAAAGCTCACATATCCGATCCCCTCCACCTCATAGTTGCCCGGCTCACCACCTCCCAAGATCGATCCCACCGGATCCACAGCAACAACCGTGGCTCGTTTCCCAGTCCCGGCTTCGCCATCCCTAATTCCACGCGCTATGCCGGTAATGGTACCGCCTGTTCCCGCGCCGGCGACCAGGAGGCTAATATGCTTTGAGGGTAGGTCGGATGTGGCGAGCGCGTGCTGAAGTATCAGTCAACCCGTACAGTCAAGGCCGATAGAAGGCAACCTACCATGATTTCTGGGTATGTGGTGTGATAATGGGCCAGAGGGTTCTGGGGGTTGGCGTACTGGTCGAGGATGATCCCGTGAGGTATTGACTTCTCGAGCGAGCGCGCTACGCCGATATGCGATTCTGGACTATCCCAGGCGGCCTCGGTCCTGATGAGATCAGCTTCAATTGACCTGGTATTTGGAGGTAAGATCGTAGCTCACGGTGTCCGGACGATGACGGCCCCCAGCGCTTTCAGCATGACCTCCTTCTCTAAGCTCATCTTGGCTGGTAGAGTAATGATACATCTAGGTCATCAGGTTCCGGGCGTATTTCTTATTCGTGCAGCATAGCTCACTGGTATCCCTTGATGGCACAAGCCAACGCCAATCCGATACCGGTGTTTCCGCTAGTAGGTTCGATGACTACGCTTTGGCCGGGTATAAGGACTCCGCGCTTCTCAGCGTCGAGAACCATCCGCTATGGATCGATCAGCTGCATTACTGAAAAGACGTAGTAAGGCAGACCTACCTTGGCTATGCGGTCCTTGACTGATCCTCCGGCTGACATGAACTCGCACTTGCCCACTACGCTCATGAGCTTTAGCCCTACAGTCGCTGAGCAGGCAGCAGCTCACAAAGGGTACAAGCCAGACCCTCTTCCTTGGCTATCTTGCTCAGTCTGATTAGAGGCGTGTTGCCGACTGCGTCGAGCGCCGAATCGAGGACACCGTTCCAATGGTGCTGTTGTGTGGGTTCGCCACCCATTATTAAAGGATTAATGGTGATAGAGCTCTGGAGAGGAGCGCCTGATGAGCAGTTGATGTTGAGTATCAGATCTCGTTGATCGATATGAGATAGGTCAGTGATGTACAAAGTACAAAGCAAGTCGCGTAGATCGCTGCCCATGAGCAGGTGTGAATGCGGGCCGGAGCTTGTCTTGTCGCGGCGCCATTGTATCAGGTGACATGAAACGTTGAATGACGTAATTAGACCAGGATCCGAAACACACTTTCTTTCCGTTGGAACTTGCCTCCCCTCCCCGTCGAGGAACCCTGTGCCGGAACGTGTGAACGCGGGACCAATTCTGGGCGGTGTTGATTGATGCACGCGTTTGACTTTCCAGGTGACGAAGGAATAGCTCACCTTGTTATATCCTCCATCATTCGTCCAACCATCACATACTATCACCTTGTCGTCTTGTCCTCTACCCCCTCCCTTCCCTCTCCCTTTCCCCTGTGCCCACAATGAGCTCCTCGCTCACCGAGCTCCCTGACGAGGAGACATGGCAGCCACAACGCGCACCCACCGCGTTCGACGACTTGCCCAACAATGGCGAAAGCTCGCGTTATGGCAAGAGGCGACAGTCTTCACTACCACTATCGGATGAGGCGGCTCGCTCTTCACCTCGCCGTCAGCTCAAGCGGAGGCGCGAGGATACATCAAATCTCGCAGGCGACGGAGCGGTGCGGTCGACCAGTAACGAGCAGTCCGAGCTCAACGCGAGTGCGATTCCTTCCTACAGCGCCGCGACCGGTACAGACGAGGAGACACTACGGGTGGAGGGAGGGTACGAGGGAGATGTCTTGAGTAAGGATCGCGTTAGCGAAGAAGAGGACGTACAAGGGAGCACGCTCTTTTCTGAGCGGACGCAACCTTTGAGTCCGGCGGACGAGGAGGAGGAAGAAGAAGAAGAGGAAGAGGAGGAGCAGGATTTCTTGCCTGATGACGATGAGGAGCAGGAGGAGGAAGAGGTGGAAAGAGAGGAGGAGGAGGAGCCAGAACCGGAACCGCCCGCGGACACGCTCGGTGTAACCCGGACAACCACCGGTACGACCGACCTCGACGCTCCCATCTCGCTTGAAGATGGCGAGCTCTTCCAGCCCGTCTCCGATCCAATAGACGAAGACGACGAAGCGGAAGAGCCTCTGGCAAACCGTCTCGTGAATCGCGCGTCCGACTATATCCCCCGCCCCCTTCTCGCTCCTCAACAACCTACATCCCACTCATCCGAGCTCGAGGTCGTTCACGAGCGTATCCCCCGTCACAACCAGCCGGACCGTATGTCCCAAGTCTTGGACGCCGCTTCATCCGACGACGAAGACGGAGCGGACGGGGAGGAGTACAGCTCGGGGAGTTATCACTCGGGTGACTCGGAAGAGTTTGAGATGCTTCATCGGGAAGTCTTGGAACGGACGGCGGTCAAGAGGGATATCAAGGACTTTTTGGGAGGCCTGCCGGGTCAGATGGGGGTCACGTACCAGGTAGTAGATCGGCTAGGGGAAGGTGAGCTCTGCGTCAACCTCAGTGTAAAGTCAGGCTGACAGTCAGGCACATTCTCCTCGGTCTACCTCGGATACGACCTACAACACGACTACCACGACAACAGCTACTGGATAGAACCAACTCCAGATGACGGAGAGGACCGTCCGCGAGTCAAGGTGGCGCTGAAGAAAATCTTGGCAACCAGTAGTCCAGCGAGGATAGCGAATGAGCTCGCGATCCTGGAGGCTTTGAGGTGAGCTGCCCGTTTCAGAGTGGACATCTCTGGAGCTGAAGCTGACGAGTCAGGGGCTGCCGGAACGTCTCGCAACTCATCACTGCCTTCCGACACCTTGATCAGGTCATTATCGTCTTGCCGTATCATCCGAGCGATGATTTCCGGGTACGTGACCTCGGCCTGTACTCATGAAAAAGCTGACAAGCAGGCCTTTTACAAATACATGGACGCCGGCCATATCCAGGTCTACATGAAATCGCTCCTCCAAGCTCTGAAAGACATCCACCAACGAGGAATTGTCCACCGGGACGTCAAGCCCGCAAACTTCTTGTTTGACTACGAATCGTGCACTGGCGTGTTGTGTGACTTTGGGCTGGCAGAGGTGAGCTCTCTGTATCGTGCCGGTACGATCTGCTAGCTGACCTACTAGCGCTACGTTCCTCCCCGCAAAGCGACGTGTCAGCACGCCCCAGCTAGCCTCACCTCCCTCCATGGCAAACACCAAAAGACACCCGAGTCGAAGGTTGTCGAACAGGCGGTCTACGTTGCTCGGACTCGGGCAAAGGCGGGAGAAGCACGAGTCGGCTTCCTGCATGAAGATAAGCGCGGTTCGGTCAAGACGAACCGGGCGGGTACGAGGGGGTTTCGAGCGCCCGAGGTACTGCTCAAGTGCCCTGACCAAACTGTCGGTGAGTTGTCTCGCTTATGAGGCTCCGGGAGAATTGCAGCTGATGGTCAGGTATCGACATCTGGTCTGCGGGCATCATGCTGCTTTCGATTCTCACCCAAAAATTCCCCATCTTCAACTCGAACGATGACATTGAGGCGTTGATGGAGATTGCGGCGATTTTTGGGAGGTCAGCCATAGAACGCTGCGCCATGCTCCACAGTCAGTTGTCGTCTGCAGTATTGCACGTTGGGACGGTAGCTGACCGCGTAGACCGGACAATGATCTGCAATGTCCCCACCCTTGAGACCAACCCCGATAGCATGAAGAACCTCATTCTAAAGCTCAACCCACACATCTTCACCCCGCCCCTCACCCACCCTTCATCTGCTGATGCCCGAGCGCATATCGAGGCGATGGATCAAGCTATCGACCTGTGTACTCGACTCCTCCGTCTCGACGTGACCAAGCGCCCCACAGCGGCGGTGGCACTGCGCCACCCGTTCTTTGAGGGATTGGTGGATGACGAGGATCTGATGGTTCAGGAAGTATTGTCTGGACTGGACGGACGATGTGGGGCTCTACATGGGATAGATGATACTGGACGACGTAAGTTGCTACCGGGTGAATCTGCGTCGCGCAGGGCATTTAGCTGACTCTTACAGACCGAGCATACTTTGGCAAGAAATTGTCGGACCTGCACTTCGGGATGGGTATACCAGTCTCCACCGATGACCGTAAGCCCTTCCAGGTCTCGATAAGGGTATCACTGACCACAAAGTCTGTCCAGAGCATGAGCACTACCAACAGCGGACCGGTCTCGACCCACTCGCCGTATCGCACAAATACCCTCGCTACGACCCTACATCTGCGGCGCACCAGCAGCCCACATCGCCCATAAGCGTCGCCACCGACTCTGCCAATCCCACACCCGAAAAGGGCTTCACCCGCGATAAGCCTATTACCCTGCCTCTTCCCCGACTCTCGCAAAACAATAATTATCAGGTACCGGTCAAGCGGGACGCGCTGGGTGCGGTGAATATGAACAGGATCGTCGGGGGTGGGACCGTAGGGAAGCAGATAGTAGGGATGGGATTAGGGAGGTTTACGGGCAAGAATATGGGGAGGGACCAGGAGGATGAGGCGATTAGGGAGGCGACAAGGCGGAGGTTGATTTGAGGGACTATGGCGAAGGAGGGAGAGAGGGAGGAAAGCCAGCTTGAACGGTCTTGTCAGGATGATGATGATCGGTTGAGATGGGATGGGATTTGAGGGATGGGGTGTGGGCCTCTTATGTACCGGCTTGGGCACAGCCATTATGTCATAGATAGCATCTGCATGTAGACTGGAGGCGAGTTGTGTGTATTCCAGTGATCTTGTGAGTGAGACACCGTTCGTGTTCAGTGGCCGCTACTGACCTGACAACTCTGATCCTCTTACTGTATGTACAACAAAACACAGCTTACCATACAACGAAACACAGGCTCCGCCTGTCAAGTACTGATCTTCTCGAACCAAAGCGCCGCCGCATGCTCAGCATCCTCCTCTGCCCACTCGCTGACATCCGCCCCTTCGCCACTGGCCCCGCAAAAGTCCCACGGCATCCCTATACCCTTGTCCAGTATCATACACTTGCCTATGCCATTGACGACCCCCGCATACCTCATGTCCGCCTCTCCCGGCCGTACAATCTCGTCCGCCCTGATCCATGCTCGCGTGAACAAATTGGCGTCCGATATGCTAAGAAGCAGCTTCCCTATCCACTTCTGGGGCAGGTCGCCCAAGTAGATTTGTTCATTAGGCCGCAGGGGGATAGAGTGTCCCGGATATTCCGCGAGTAACCGGGAAAAGGTGGGTCCCATTGGGTGGTCTTCGATACGCTTGACGATGAGATTACCGTACGCCGGGTGATGGTATGTTCCGCTAATGTCCGTCGTGTTGGATCGGTACGACTCGGACACCTTCTCACCCTCCCCCGCCTCGCGCAGCTTCTTGAGCAGATAGACGTCTTCCCAATCTACCATCCCGCCCAAACCGAGCATCTCATCAATCACCATCATGAACACCGTCTTCACCATCTCGCCTCCGAACGTCTCGTCGTTACAGAATACCGCAAGTCCGATGGCGTCATCCGGTAGACGGAACACCATCGAGTAGTGGCCCGGAATATCGCCGGAGTGACCGACGATCCGATGGCCGCGGTAGTACCATGTCCACTGGCCTATACCGTAGGTGTTGTGGCTGAGGGTAGGGTGGGGCGTCGACGTGTCGCCCCATGACGTCCGGGGCCGGTTCAGTTCGTCGAGTGTGTCCCTTGAGAGGATGTGCGGGTCGAGGGTCTCTTTGAGCCAGTGTATCTGGTAAGATCAGCTCCACGCTTCGCTTCCGCTCTCTCGAGGACCGAAAGACATGGGGAGACCTGTACTCACAATATCGGCTCCAGTGGATAGTATACCTCCAGCAGCAGCAAAGAACATCCCATCCCCTATATCCCAGCCCTTCACCTGTCCAACCTCTCCAACACCCTCATCACTCCATCCACCGCTCTTGACCGCATCACTACCCGCCTTCCCATCCCGGTCGTAATGCACAAACCCCTCCACTCTGCGGCCAGTATCGAGTGCCTCTCGATAGTTAAACGTCGTCGAGGTTATACCGAGCGGATCGAAGATGTTCTCCTTGACAAAGACATGGTAAGGCGTACCGGTGAGTCGGGCGATGAATTCGCCGGCAACGGCAAAGCTGTCATTGCTGTACGTGGCGGTCTTGCGAAGTGCGGTTGAGGGTTTGTAGTGCTGCATGCGAGCAATCATGGCTTGTTGAGTATCGTTCGGGCCTCTGGAGTTGCTCAGCACTCCTTTCCAGCGAGAGGACAGCGGACCTTACCCCCAAGCTCCATTGTGGCCCGGTATGCCCAGTCTCATCGCTACATCAGTCAGTTGTGCTTAGAAGGGTACTGGTCCCCAACACCCCACACTTTGGGCCTCACCTAGAACGTCCTCAATATCCGCATTCGCCTCCGTGACCTCGTCCATGACTTTCCACTCCGGCAAGACATCCTTGATCCTCGTCCGCCAGGTCAGAAGCTGACCATTCGGCAGTGTCGTCTTTCGGTCAATCAGCAAGCCCACACTCGCGGCCGCAAAGACCTTGGAGCAGGATGCGATCGCGTGCAGAGACTGGTCGAAAGGTCAGTGACTCGTCCAGTCAGTGCTCTCATTGCGTAGCTATACTGACATCTTCCTTCCATGGAGAGCCAGAGCCATCTCTTGTTCCAAATGGCAAGACCTCTTCCGCCCACTGCTTGTCTTGTTTACGGACGACCGACACGCACAAGCCGGGGACCTTGTATTTCTGAAGGAGCTTTTCCAATTTCTGTCGGAGGGATGGGTCCAAGATGGTAGTCATAGTGGGGGAGCTGTGAGTTGGACTGCAGATGTGTGGATGGTGAGAGTCACTAGTCATCACCGAGTCATCACACATGCCTCGCGCACCACGATGCACCCTGCCCGGGCCGGACTCGCCGATGGTCTCTAAATGCGTGATCTAGATAGCAAATTTGCACTTGGCCGTCGAAACGATTGCAGCATGATCCGTGACACAATTGCTGACCCGCTCAACGCGCTCACGAGACTCTGCAAGGCCCGCACAGACAAGCCTGACAGGCGGTCTTGAGCGTACTAGTGACAGCGGACCATGACTTCGCCGGGGCCTCCGCGCCAACCAGGGAACCACTCAGTTAGTGAGCTTGGGACAAGGTTCTTCTTGAGATACATACAGGTCAGTGACTTGCTGGGATCTCCGACATTGCTTCTTCCAAGCATTATATCATCACTCCGGCGCTCCCGGGAATGCTCCTGGCATACCTCCCTCCCCTTCTCCTTCCCCACCTTGACCAGCCACCCGATCCGCCAACTGCAGCATCATCTGCAATTCCTGCTCATGCGCTTCATCCAGCCCCTCGCCTCCCGGTTCAGCCTGACGCAACATCGCCCTCAACGTATCCGCGAGCTGCTGCCTCCATCCCGCCGGATTCGCCTCCATCGCAGTATAAACATGACCCATAAATGCCTCGATCATCCCTCTGTCTCCACCGCCTTCCTGACCCACCCCAGCTGCTCGAGGTCCGCGTCGCCGGGAGGATGCCTGGACCATGCCAAAGTAGGCGTGATTGTAGCTGGACGTTAATGCCGACGGGGGAATGGGGTCAAAGGCGGATATGCTCATATTGCGGATGACGGGCGGTAAGAAACCTGCAAAGCTGGTAGATTCGGAGCAGACGACGTGCCGGCACATGAAGAGCGGGATGCTCTGTCGCTCATCGAAGGGGTCGCGAGGGGTATGGATGAGCCGGAGGACGTCTTGGCGGGAGGCGATGGCGTCGGGGCGTTGGAGGTCGGGGAGGGAGGAAGTGACGATTTTGGTAAACCATGAGATGAGGGGCGCTTCTTTCCAAAGCGCTTCGGAACGAGAGGCATAGATGTGGGAGAGAAGGTGTACTGCGCATGTCTCGTCTTTGCTAAACAGTCAGCCTGACTTATCCGAACAGGACTGAACACCAAACTCACAAGTAGCCGGCCTGGATCTCGGTCAGAGAGTTGGAATGCACCGAGTCCGGTATGGACGCTCCAATCTTATTGGCGATGGGGATGATGGCTTGTGGGAAAGCCAGTACCGCTTCACGAAGCGCCTGGTCGCTCGCAGTCCGGTCCTGAACGGTCAGCCTTGCAGCACTTCCCATGCTCGCGGAACTCACCTTGTTCTTCTGAGCATCCTCCCTTGCCCGACAAGCAAGCGCATATGCAAACGCCATACCCGGATACCCCTGGAACACCGCCACTGGCATCTGCTCCGAGTGCTCCTCGAACATGCTGAGTATCCACTCATAATTGCCCGATTTGATAGCCAGGAAGTCGAGCCAGAAAGCTGCGCCGTGAGGGTCGTTCTGTCTAATCAGCTGTTGCGAAGGCCTAGAATTCGCGTCGCAAAGCTCACCATCGGATCCAGACTGAACAGTAGTTTGGCAAAGTTGAACGCGGTGACCCAGCATCCTCTCCGACCGAGATAGGCGATGATACGGTGGGTAGCGAGGAACATCGGCCGATTCTCGACGGCGTTAAAGTCGAGTCGGCATGCTCCGGATGATACATTGAAGGCCGGGCTGAGGCATCGGTCGAGAGCATAAAGGGCGCGCTCGGCGTATTCCGAGGCGGCACCGATATCTGGACAGTCAGCTCCGGACCCTCTTTCATCGAAGAAGATGGCTTACCTGATTGAAGCCGGTACACCTCGGACATCTGCAAAAGTGTATCGACATGCCATGGGTACACCTGCAGCAACGCCATGAGCTGATTTGGATCTGCATGATCAGCCGCAGTCACGCCAACTACATGGTGTACATAGCTTACCGTGAGACTGGGTCGCCCCAAGGAATTGCCTCGTCGTCTCCCTCCATACACCCGCGTGTTCAAACGTGAACCACTTCTCGGCCGTATCCCTCCAGTCCTCCAGCCTCGAGGCATACACATCCTCCACTTCCTGCTCGGTCAACTCCCGCATCCCCAGGCCCTGCAGAGACGTCGCGGGTGGATAAGTGGGTTTCGGCTTGGAGATGGTGTATCTGAGCTTGGTGGATGCTGTCGCTCGATGTGATTTGGACGAGCCGGCAGCAGATGAGGAGATCTAGGCGTCAGCTTTGTTGGCCCAAAACCATGGAAAAGTAAGCTGGCACTGACCACTTTCGAGCCGAAGAATCGCTTCAGCTCGGCGTCCGCATCGAGGTTCTTTGGGTCCACCGACAACAGCTGCCTGAAAGCCAGAGCTTTCGATGAGGTAGCTGTGGCAGCGGCCGTTGGTGCAGGTGCGATACCGCTCGAGCTCGATCCCGCCTTCATGTTGAGCTCAGCGAGAGCACGGTCAACCTCGTCCATCCCGTCATCCACCGGTTGAGCCTTGCCGCCCTTCTTCGACTTGGCTTTGCCGGATGGAGTTGCTGCGGAGGGTCCGGACTCAGTCTCCTCCTCATCGTCGATATCTGCTGCAGCTGGCTTCTTCTTCTTCTTCTTTGGCTTCTTCTTTTTGCTCTATACATGAGTACGTGATCTCTGGTCAACCTTGACTTGGTGGACGCGTGCTCACCTTCTTGGTTGAGGGAGCAGCCGTCTCCTCCTCTTCTTCTGGCTCATCATCGATATCTTCCTCTTCTTCACCAAGCTATCTGCACGTCAGCTGAGCCCAGAAGTGAGATCCCCGCGGCCTGTAGCATTTGACTCACAGCAGCGAATGCATTGACTGGTTCAGCTGATGGTACCGCTTGGGCCGAGTCCACCTGCTCCTCCTCCACCGATACCTCCTCTATCTCCTCCTCCTCTTCCTCCTCCTCTGGCTGGACAGCTGCCTTTTCCACTGCCCTGAGCTGTTCAAGCTCTTCCTGCTCCCTCTGCTGCCTCTTGTTGAGCCTTTTGGACATGGTGACTTGCGGTAGTATTGATGCAGATGCAAAGATCAGACAGCTGCATGCAGCATCGGACCACCCAATGACCCAAAACGTCATCGAAGGTGGAGGTTCGGCTGAACCCCGCTTAAATTGGCTGCCCGGACGAGAAGTGCCACACTCAACTTCCCCCTAGCTAACGCCGAGGCGAAACTCGCCGCCCAGCCAAGTCTCGCCACGCGACACTGGCTCACCCATTTTTTGCTTCCGCCCTGTCTCTGCGGGACGGTGAATTTGGCTGTTGGCTGTCTGTGGTCTAATCAGCTAGCCCTGGGTATCTTGATCTTCTACTAACCTATCCATCATGGCGGAACAGACCCAAAACTCGTACCAGAGGCAGCACCTCTTCCAGAACGCCAAGTCGAAGGGTGCGTTCACGTCCGATTAGCTGGGGAGAGGCAGGGAGGAGGCGGGGCAGAGACAGGGGGAATGGAAGAGGACCAATAGCTGACCTAGTGCTTCTCTCTTGACTGTTCCCCATCGCCCATTTCGTCCCAATCTACTCCTCATGCGCCTCTATCGTATACGAAACTCAATCGAAATCCTGCCACTCGGTTGCTGCTGGGTTTGCTTGGAACAATAGGCGGGAAGAAGGTTACCACCAAGACGAAGCGGTGGTACAAGGATGTCGGTCTTGGATTCAGGACACCAGCTGGTGAGTCACGTCGTGATGAGGAGGATCGCAGAGTTGAAGGGAGGTGGAAGCAGGCTGTGATGGAGGTATCACGGAGAAGGCGGTATTGCGATTATATGGGGCGAATGCTGGAGGGCATCGGGTGAGGACCTTGGAGCAGGGAGAAACGGGATGCTGGACAAGCCCCCATGGATCTGTGCGCCCAGCATATGTTACCTGAGTAAGGCCAAAGTGGAGACGAGAGGGGATGTAGGGATCAGACTGCGTTCCAGGCACCCATTTTGAGACTTGAGCTAACTGTCTGCAGAGGCTATCAACGGCACCTACATCGACAAGAAGTGCCCCTTCACTGGCGATGTCTCCATCCGCGGACGTATCCTTACCGGTGTCGTCCACTCGACCAAAATGACCAACACCATCATCATCCGCCGAGACTACCTCCACTTGTGAGTTGTGCTTCTATACCTGATTTGTAACAAGGGGAGCGGAGAGGATACCTGTGCGGGATAGGCAGAGTGACGCTGGAGCATGCGAGGGGGCAGAACATCGTCGGCGGATGCGAGCAGGCGTATTATCCTGGAGGGGGAAGTGCTGGCCGGGATGGGCAAGCTGCCCCATTTTCTGCCGGTTCCGGCCGCTCGCAACAAGCTTCCTCTTGTTGTTCCCCCGCCCTTCCCCTTCACCTATAGATCCTTAATCCACGCGAATCCGACTGACCCCGCAGCATCCCCAAATACCGCCGATACGAGAAACGCCACAAGAACCTCGCTGCCCACTGCTCCCCCGCTTTCCGTGTCGAGAACGGCGACCAGGTCACCGTCGGCCAGTGCCGTCCTCTGTCCAAGACCGTCCGATTCAACGTCCTCCGTGTGGCCAAGAACAAGGCGGCGGCCAAGGCTTTCCAGAAGTTCTAGAGTAGACGGGCTTTGTAGGATGGGCTTGGGATGCATCGGGTCTGCATAACAGGTGTCAAGGGTTAGTGCGTTCGAGACGCTGACAGCCCAACGCTCTTCATGCTGCAATGAGGAAGCGAGGAGACTCAGCCTTTGGGCCGACATACGTCTACTGATCTACAGTGCTTATTCTAGATTCAAGTCTATGCTACTTCAAGACACGGATTGACCTGCTATCTAGCCCTTGAAGCATCCTCCGTCAACCAACTTATACCCCCTCTTACACGCAAACACCTCGCACCGACCGCCACTGCACGCGACACCCTTGAGCGCCGCCCCAGGCAACGAGGTTCAACTGATCATTAGCGTTGTCTATCTCGAGGTTGCGCTGTGACCCACTCAGTTCCGCCACTGCGGGCACTTAGATGAGCCTGACGATATACACCGTTGTCACAGCCTCCACACGATTCTGAATCTCAGCTCATCACACCTTCCAATTCTGATGTCATCAGGAGAAACTCACCGAGCTCAGTCGCGGTATCCACGCATTCGTATCCGTCGCTTCCAGCAGCGGCCAAACACGCCTCAAATCCGGAAGGACACACCCTAGCAATAGCCAGCGGACCCTGCCCGACCGCACGCCGCCGGTAGTTCCCAGATACCGTGGCGCCAGGGGTACGGTAGAAGATGAACTGCGAGCTAGAGACGCAAGAGCCGGTATTGAACGTTCCGGTGAATCCCGAAAAGCAGCGGCAGTAGGTCGAGGGGTTTCCAGTCCAGCGTAACATGGCAGCAAAGGGGAGGCCTTTCGCTCCGCATGCGTTAAAGCAAGTTTCGACGTTGATCTCGGTGGTGGTGATGAGTCCTATGTAGGCGGTGAGGAGCGCGCTGGAGCAACCACGATACACGTATGACCCAACCAGCCGCGTGACCTGTAGATCAGCCATCGGTGCGGTCAAGTACGTGAAACACTTGCTCTGTAGTCTGTGATGGCACATGAGCTGAAACCAGTAGTGCCGGCCGGCCGTTCTACGGGTCCTATATCGTTTCAGGCGCAGATCTGGGGACTGCCTCGATAGAGCGAGTACAACTTGTTTCGGTCTGCACATTGCGCCTGAAAATCAGCTCTGATGGATGCATGGGCTCACCTGACAGTCCAGATCACTGGTCGCAACAAAGGGAGCAACGATGTTCGTGGTCGTCCCGACTGAGCAGCCGGCAAAGATCGGGCTGGCGGATGTGATGGAGGCGATTCCAGCAAGGAGGAGAGCGATCAGATATGAACGCATCGCGGGCCAGAGTAATGGTATGACCGAACACGGGCAAAGACACTTGCTGTAAGACTCACCGATGCTTTCGGCGACCTATGGGTGGCGTCCGTCCTCCACGGCCCAGCGATATTGGCCCGTCGAACTCTGTGCAGAAGACAGTTCTTTACGTGCCGTAAAAAGGACAGCTCGGTGTGTTTCAAGATCTTCGGACATGTTTCAGATCCGCCACAAGGCAACACGGATTCCTGCTGCCACCCTCGGCGAATAGCGTGCTGACTCCGGCCCGGATTGGCTCCGCGTCCGCCTCGCAAAGCGCCGAGGATAGCGGAGGAATGCGGGGTCACTTGACCTGGATATACACTATACCGACGGATGTTGCGAACTTAAGGTTACGGGCCTGCCTCCCTGTCTGGTGTTTAGTTTCGCAAATTGCTCCGTGGAGCCGGGACGAGCCACTGACGAGCCCCGCCCGGTCCCTCCGCGCCTTTCTGCAGCTCTCAGTACAACCATAAAAGGCGCCCACAAGAGACACACAGGCATATGTAAGTACAGCACCCCTCCGATGAGTCTGGCGCGGGGTGGCTTTTGTCAGCGCGGACGTCGAGTCTGTCCGCTGCATCCGACCTCCGGGTATCGCGGGATATGTCGGAGCACGTGCCTTTATTCTCACTCAGCACCGCCTGTCTGATATAAGAGATACCGACACGGTCATCTCCCTTGAGCTCTTCCCATTTCGCACTTCGAGATTCATATCATCAATATGTCTAATATCACTACCGCGCCTGATACAGCCCCTTCCGGCATGACGATCTGCGCGAACACCTGCGCGGCCAGCATTCCTCAGGCAAGTCCACATCTCGCTCTCGTCACTCACAAACAATAGCTGACGCTGTCCAGTACAAGGTCATTCCCGGCTTCACGGTCAACTTAACGTTCCCTGGGACACCTCCTTTCAGGTTGACAGCCTCGTAAGTTTGAGTTCCTCGTATATGAACCTTGGTCTAGGCTGACTTATCAGTCCCCGCCGTCAGGGTGTCACCATCGAGTGTATCTCTTAGAAAGGACTTGAGCGGCCTTGAGGAGGAGCCAGATGCTGATGGTCTTAGGGTGCCTCGCACAGTCAGAACCTCACGAACAACACTTACACCTGGATCGTCAATGTCACTAGTGCCACTGGCGTCGCTACACAAACCGGCGACCTCGTGGGTGGCAATGTTGGATTGACACCTGTCTTTCGAGTCGGGGATGCAGTGTGAGTCTACGTGCCATTCCGTATCCACCAGCCGAGCGATGAGAGAAAGGCGGCCGGGGTCATCTCTATAGGAGATTGAGCTATGTTGACCAAGCAGCCAGTGGATCGCACACGAGTACGCCGCTCAAGCGGACGGTTCTGTCAAATTCTACCGGACCGCCAACTACACGGTCAGCACCGAGAGCAAGATCGTCGAGGAGCAACAGGGGTCTACGCCCAAGTCAGGCGGTCTCAGAGTGACCCAGTGAGTCTTTATTTCCATGTCTCCCCACACGAGCTGTTGCGGATACATCGAGATCTGGCGCTTTGGGGTGGTTGGTAGGCGCTGTCCTGCTGTCGACTGTGGCCATCATGAGCTTGTGAAGTGTAAGCGTGAGGGACTGCCAGAGGGATTATAATTGATCGAGGCTTGGGTTGTAATACGAGAAGATGGATTGTATGGCTTTTGGACCAGCAGTCATTGGCAAATTGCGAGGGAGATTGATACAGCTGATGGGCTTGGTATGGCTGTTAGTCAGTCGGGAACCCCGTCTTGGACAGGCGCGACCAGACCGGCTGACATGGCTCTTGTCCTTGACTGGTCGGTGCAAAGTCAAAGACATCTAGACTGCGCCCAGAGCGCTGCAAGCTGGATGCATGCCACGCTCACTGCCACACCCCGCCACCAGGCCAAGAATGACGCACGGACCACGTTTCGCTGGGCGTCGAAAGCTCCAGCCAGTACGCCAGCATCAGCTGCTTCGAGCTTGCCTTTGCATCCATTAGACCATCATCACACAAGAGCGGCGAGAGTATCTCCGTCAGAGCGCGAAACCGAAAGCAAACGAGATCATCGGCAAAACACTGAAAGCCATCATGCCGCCCCGCCAGACCCGAGCCCCAACGACCGACAACCTCCTTCCTCCCATCCTCGACCTCCTCGCCCCTCCCTCGCCGAATCCATACTCGGCGCATCAGAAGGCTCTGACTACTGTCGCTCGTATCGCCTCTTCAGCGCCAGCAGTGGCCGTTGAAATATGCTTCGCGACTGCGCGAGAGCTACTGAAGCTCGGTGAAGGGGGAAGCGGGGTTGAGCTGGGAGTGAGGGGGTTGGGGATCTTGGAGGGAACCGCGGAGGATATGGATGAGAAGACAAGGGGTGAGTCCTCTTCGTCTGGACGTGTCATTCGCAATTGGAAGCCGGAGCTGATCTACCAGCTGCCATCACTCAACTCCTGGCGCTGACACCGTCCGCTGGACCTTGGCGCAAGAAGCTGGCTGATGCGGCGATCAAATACTCCGCTCACGCTGGCGAATGCCCCTCGGGAGATCCGGCGCTTCAGCACTACATCGGAGAGCTGTACTACAAGGGTAGGTTAAGCTCATTTCTGTCTGCGTCTGGCATTAGGCGACCGAGCTGACGAATTAGATCGTCAGTTTGCTCAAGCCGAATCACACCTTCTCGCCAGCCACAAGCGGGACTCCGCCATCACCCTCGCTGAGATGCTATTCGAGTGGAGCGAGAAGGGCACTTTGGATCCTGGGCCATACGCCGTCCGGGGTGTATTGCCGTGAGTCCCCTCCTCTTCGTCGAGTTAGTGATCTGCTGACCCGCTCAGATACCTGACGCATCAACCACCCTCGATCCTTCCCGCCGCCTCATTCCTCTCGCACTTCCTGTACCTCCTCTCTTCCCCTACCACCGCCTTCTCCAAGTCGGGAGGATTCACCACCACCCACCCCTCGCCCGCCGACGCACCCTTCCCCTCCATCCTCGTCACCGCATCGCCTACGCTCAATTTCCTTCAGCTCGCGATTATCACGATCCAGCGGGCACCTGCAGTCGGAGTATCTGGCGTTCAGGCTCGCGGGACGGACGGGGGCGTGGGTAGGGAATGGGAGGCGCTGGTACATCGGTATCGGAGAGTATGCGGGGCGAAGGGGGTATTGGCGCAGAACGAGGTCTTGGAAGTGGGTCTCGCTCTTTTGGACCAGCCAGAACTGGGACACGTTCGAGTTGCGGGCTGACTTGAGCAGGCAATCGCGCAGATATCGACCAACGTCTTCCTCATTCCTCCACCACGAGGACAACAGCCAGACATGCTGCAAAACCTCATGGGGATGTTTGGCGGTGGAGGAAGGTAAAATTCGCAATAGCAAGTTTTATGAGGCGCAGCTGTGATGTAATCAGTGCAACATCTTGACCTCATTGCAGTATGCGTACGACGGTACCGGTACGTTACTGACAGGCCTCAAGGACATGCTTTTCATTCTGCTTTCATCTTACTGACTTGAACTACCTAATCCTACACAACTGCGAGCTATACTCCCTGTACAAACTACGACTACTGAAACAACCAATTGACTTTGACCTGAACCCAACGCTCCTCCCCATCCTCACGTGTGGAAGGGGTTGACCTAGAAGTTGGAACCGCTGGGCTTGGTCTTCTTGGCGACCTTCTTGCCCTCTTTGTGGAGCTTGTTGATCTGCTTCTTCCAGCCGACTGCGATGTCAGCGCTTGACATCGAGACTCAACACGGCTCATATGGGGAGGATCTCCGGGGATGAGTAGGGGAAGGAGAGATGACGCCGAGTCAAGGGCGTCGACCGAACAAGACTTACAGCACGACTTGCAACTCGGGTTGGCGTGCGCCTTGCACATGACAGACCCGTCCTTGGCGTTCTTATAGTGCGGCGGAAGCTCGATGGGGTCGCGGGGAAGAGGGTCGAAGCTGCGGATGTCAGCTCGAGCCAAGGTTGCGTGGTATGGAGGTCTGCTCACCCCATCATGGCGTCGTTATCTGATGATGTCAGCGCGGGCTCGCCCAAGAAGCAGGATCGGGTGAAGCGAGACTAGTAGAGCACCAGGTCAAGACTCACCCTCGCGCGCGTCAAACTCGCAGGCCTTGCAGACCTCCAGACCGTGCTCGCAGAAGAGGGCATCGTTGATCTCGACTGAGGAAGGTCAGCGGGTGATCTTCAGGTGTATCGATTGGTACTCACTGGAGGAGGTGGAGCTGAGAGTGAGTCAGCATCGCCCAAATGACTGCTACGAGACCTGTAGAGATGGGGATAGAAGAGTGCGGAAGACAGGTAGCCGCTCCCGCGCCCACCAATGGCGCCAAAGGAAGCAACATGCTCCGCACTAGGGCCGAAGGGGCGAGCACACTCACTCAGTGGGAGAGACACCGAGATTGTCCATGATGGTCTTGTTGGTGTAGAGTATTGGCTTATGGCTTGTAGTGAGAGGTGTGAGCGTGGTTCGCGGTGAGATGTAAGGAAGGGGAGGACGCGATGAAGAAGAGCTCGATTATATACGGTCCTTGACACAGTGCGGAGGTCTCGTGACAGCTGACCCTCCAAATGGAACTAGCTTATCCCCACCAGAAGCGCAGTCGGCCGAGTGCACGGGGAGAAGCTTACTGACTCATCCGCGGGTCAGTTGACCTTGTGACTGTAACGAGGTCACTTGCCACCCTATCTAACGCGGGGTAATAGATCGTGCCTGGTAACGTTATTGCGGGGAAAGTGGGAATTACCCAAAGGGGCAGTGATGGCACCGGGATCAGATGAGTGTGGCAGCTGGGTGGCGAGTGGCACTCTCAAGGCGCAACGAAAGGAGCTGTTCTCATGCAGTGCGACCCCTTATTGCTGATGAACATGATATCGCATCCGTCGAAGAAGGTATTCCGAGAGGAAACATAAGACAGGGAAGGTCATGCAGATGCGCGGGCGCGGCGACAGTACCGCCGGGCGGCGCCGGTGGGTTGGGTCCTGTTGACGGCTGGAGAGGTTCCGTCTTAGCCACTAGTCTGCAGCTCAACATAGCGGTCTCGAGCGGTCTTTGGCTTCTCCCGCCCTTTCAGTGCTGACTATAGCGACTGCTGAGTTGCCCACTGCGTGAAAGACGCACGATTTGAGGAATGCGGTGTGACGTCTATAGGCGCGCGGGCGCTCCCGCGCCTAAGTCTCTCAGGGTCCCCCACTTGAAACGCTTGGCGACCGGCGGCAGGACGAATTCCTTCGACGCCTATGATGCTGCCAAGTTTCATCTTCTACTGTCTACATCATCTACCCCACAGCCAAGATACTTGGAATGCACCACGATGCAGACCCGCCAGGACCCGCCGCCTCCGCCGATACCACTGGCTCGGGTGCCCCACCGCTTGGCGTGGGTCTAGCGGAGATTTCCGAGGAAAAGAGGGGACAAGTCACCCCACCTGAGCCTTCACCTGGCTCGCTATAAAGCTAGAGGCTCCCGCTACGAGGCCCCACCACCATACTCATTCGCTGAAAACACAACTGATCATGCCAGCAAGATACGGCGACGAAGTAGTCAACACTAGAGGGGATCGCTTCCCCGCGAGCGACACGGTGTCGACAACCGGCGGGGCGCCGACCATCACCAATGCCGGTCAAAACGACAAGCTCAAGGGCGGCGTTAACACGGGGGACTTTGACGAGTCTCCCAAGTATGGTCCGACCCACCACGAGAACGCCATGAAGCTCACCAACCCGCTGGCTGGGCTGTCGAAGGAGGACGTCCTCCGGGATGTGGACGTCTTTGTCAAAGAGAAGGGGCTCGACGAGCATCGGGACGACCTGCGCAAGGGGGCGTTGCTCGCTCGGGTGGCGCAGGACCCGGAGGGATTTGAGCGGATCGACGAGCTCACGGAGGAGGAGAAGCTCGTGCTCCGGCGGGAGATCACCCACCGTTGGAGTCAGCCCTTCCAGCTGTACTTCCTCTGCATCCTCTGCGCCGGATCCGCTATCGTCCAAGGAATGGATCAGACAGCGGTCAACGGAGCTCAAAGCTACTACTTTGCCGAGTTCGGTATCGGTCCCGAGCAAGTCTACATCCGCGGTCTCCTCAACGGTATCCCCTACCTCGCCGCTGCAACCATCGGCTGCTGGACCAACGCTCCGCTCAACAAGTACCTCGGTCGACGCGGAACTATCTTCATCTGCTGCTTCATCTCCTTCGCTACCTCCTTCTGGATGGCTGCATCACCCACCTGGGGAAGCTTGCTCGCGTCTCGGTGAGTTCGCTCCTCTTGCTGCGAGCAGAACTAGCTGACACCTCAGCGCTGTGCTCGGTCTCGCTATCGGCGGCAAGTCCAGTACCACACCGGTATACTCGTCCGAGGCTGCACCCAAGGCGATTCGAGGAGCTCTCGGCTGTCAATGGCAGGTACGTCTCAGATAGTCGTATCTTGCAATAGCTATAGCTAATATCGCAGATGTGGACGGCCTTCGGTATCATGCTCGGCTTTGTCGCATCTGTCGCCTTCCAGGACACCAACGTTCCCGTCGGTCCTCCAGACGGGTACAGCAACTGGCGCTGGATGCTTGGCTCGACCGCGATCCCTCCTATGATCGTAATGGCTCAGGTAGGCCCCCTACCTTGGAATCGGTCTTGATGGCTTCGCAGCTAACAGTCAGGTATACTTCTGCCCCGAGAGCCCCAGGTGGTACATGAGCAAGAACCGCTACCCCAACGCCTATCGTTCTTTCCTCCGTCTCCGAAACTCGCCCGTCCAAGCCGCTCGAGATCTCTACTACGCACACAAGTCAATCGAGGTGGAGCAGGTCGAGCGGGAAGGGAAGAGTATCGCGCACGAGTGGATCTACAACAGGCGGGTGAGGAGGGCCGCCCAGTCATCCTTCTTTGTCATGTTCATGCAGGTAGGTCCATCAAAGTCTCATTTCGGGAGGGTCGAGCTGATCATGCAGCAATTCTGCGGTGTCAACGTCATTGCCTATTGTGAGTTGCATCTAACACAATCTGGATGCGCCCGCTGACTAGCAGACTCCACCCAGATCTTCGTTAACGCCGGCTTCGATCAGTCAGCCGCTCTGCTCATCTCCATGGGTACCGGTATCGTCAACTGGCTGTTCGCCATCCCCGCCGTCTACACCATCGACACCTTTGGGCGACGCAACTTACTCCTCTTCGGCTTCCCGACCATGGGTCTCGCGCTATACTTTACCGGCTTCTCGTTCTTCATGCCCGAGCTGAACTCGGCGGGCGAGACCAATCAGGCACGAGTAGGGATGATTGCTGCGGGTATCTTCGTGTTCATGGTGAGTTAGAACCTCAGTCTCTAGAGCTGCCTCGGGGACATCTTGCTGACAAGCTAGGCGCTGTACTCCCCATCTGAAGGCCCTGTACCGTTCACATACTCGTCCGAGGCCTTCCCCCTCTATACCCGAGACACCGGGATGGCTTTTGCCACCAGTACCTGCTGGTAAGTCCAGCATACTCCTCATCTCTACACCTACTGTAGACCCTCAGCTGACGTCCAGGCTCTTCAACTTCATCCTCTCTTTCACCTGGCCCGCCCTCGAAGCTAGCTTCACCAGTACCGGCGCGTTCGCCTACTATGCCACCTGGAACATGCTTGCCATGGTCTATACCTACTTCTTGCTGCCCGAGACCAAGGTGAGCTCATTTCCAGCTAACGGTATCTTTCCTTCAGGATTATAGCTGATCCTTGACCAGAACTTGACACTAGAGGAGCTTGATACCGTCTTCAGCATCGGCAACAGGGGGCACGCCAAGTACTACTGGCACAAGCTGCCTTGGTACCTCCGCAAGTACTTCCTCCGGCGGACGGTCGAGGACTATCCGCCCTTATACCAGATCTACTCGACGGGCGAGGATGCGCTGGAGAAGCCACAGGAGAAGCAGCGGATCTAGAAGGTCTTCGATATCCGTTCGGGAGCCCGTGCCCATATCAGTAGTAGCTATTGCGGTATTTAGTGTATCAATAGTGGTGGGATATCGATGCATCGCAACTCGCACCTGCTTGCCGGACCCGGACAGCGGGCATTCGAAACGAGATGTCCGAAATCAGACCTCCGTGTCCGGCGATGTTGCGGCACGACTTTCGCTGCGAAGTCATCTTATCAGCCTGTCCAAACCTTCATCCAAGGAGCGCCTACAAGATGACCGCAACAATCGCTCTCGACATCGCTTGCACCCATGTGGAACCAATCAGCCAACATCGTCCGAGCTTAAGTTTTCTGGGGGGTCCTTTGGGTTGCATTTTCCGCTTCAAGCTTCAAGCGTCGTCCATCAACTTAATCTCTCTCGGCGCATATCCTCATCATGTTGACCGACCCCTGCGACTACCCAGACTGCTCGGCTTGGGCTTTGCCCGTCGCCGGCGACTGCGAGCGATGTCGCAAGCACTTGTGCACTCATCACAACCTTCCTCCTACGCATCTCTGTGGAGAGATTGGTGTAAGTCCCTCTGTTCCGCCTGCTTGTCCGAAGATTGTGTGCTGATCATCCAGTGGACCTATGAGGGTCAAATGAGTCCTCTGGACCAAGAGGTGGGTGCCCGACTGATCTTGCTTTGCTGATAACTCAGAACGCACGAATGCAGACTAGCCTCAACGACCTCGGTATCGAGCGCTCAGCGCTTGAGCTCCGACCCGGACATACCTTGAAGCCTATCTGTCTCGTGGTCGACTCTCTCCCCCGGGGCATGTTCAATATCATCGTTCCCATCGAATTCGATGATGGCGTCAAGTGGGTCGCGCGCGTCCGCCGGAAGACGTTCTTCCAGCTTCCTTCTCGGGTCGTGCGAATGTGCACGCAGGGGGAGATTGATACGATGAAATGGCTGGCTAGGGTGGACGCAGCGCCAGTGCCTAAGATCGTTTCGCCTTTGTACAGTGAGTTGTGGAGATACCCGACCTGCCTATCTTCGCTTTCAAATATCAAAACCCAAGCTGACACTCAAGCTCACGGTGATACCGACTTCTACTTCATGGAGATGATAACCGGTACATCTTTCCCGGACCCACTGCCCACTGGTGATGACCGCCTCTCCCTCATCCGGACTACCATTTGGGACTACGCCAAGATCAGCATCCGTCGCTCGCTGCATCCCCTCCGGCTGGTCGGCACCCTCTATCACGACCCCATCGCAGACGCCTTCTCCGTTGGACCCCATCTCAACTTCTTTATCCCCAACCAGGCTATCCCCCACTTCCCTGGCCCTTGGAAGACCACAGCGCAGAAGTACGCTCAACGCTTCGACGACATATTGGCGGATATTCGGGCGGGCACACTCTACCCAGACGATCGGGAGCAGGCGTTCCTCGTCCACAGATGGATGAAGGAGGTCGTTGTCGCCTACCCTCCTTACCAGCACGAGGAAGATACTTTCATCGTCCACGAGGATTCTAATGCCGGGATGATCATGGTGGATGTGGAGGGGAAGATCACCGGGTTGATTGATTGGGAACGGTAAGTCATCTCATCTTCACCCAAATATCCTACTTGGCCCCGTGTATCAGCCTTGGCAAAGCTGACATATTACCAGCGCATCGGTTGGATCCAAGGTCGAAGCATTCGCAACGCCCGCAGCCTTCGAGGACCGGTCCCTCATTCTCACCGGATCGAACGACCTCTCCTTTGCCGAGGTCGAGCTCGTCACAGCGTACACCGAGCTGGGGAGACCCGATCTCGCGGAGTGCATCGTGCTCGGGAAACCGTTTCAATGGCTTTCGATGATCCTGGGGGCCGAAGACTGGAAGCTGTACAAATATCTGAAGGCGTTGGGGGTGTCGCTGGGCCTAGAGATGGAGGACAGTATGGCCGGATTTCTCGAAGTGCAGAAGGGGAAATACGAGGAAGAGCTGGGATTTCTGGGAGGGCAAGCCTAGGAGCGTAGAACTAGAGGGACGGGCCTTCTCAGTAGTCGCATGACGTAGATCTGAGCTGTGCATGAATAGTCAGTACGCCGTTGTGTCTGCAATCGTCAAGTAGTCCCACTTGAGCATTGCATGTCGTGCTGCGAGATGTGCCTTCGGTCAGCAAGCTCGCTGCGGTTCTGCGGTCCTGCTGAACCTTTTGCAACCAGTCCCGGCTGAGTTGTAACGGAGTGAGCTCGCCTCCTTTAGCCTTCGTCATCATGCGAGCGCTGAGCTTCCGCGCGTTTGTGGCTGTGCAGAAGTTCGAAGCGCGGATCCACGTATGCCGCACGTCTCATCCATGACGCCATAATTGACACTGCTTGTCGCCTTCAAAGGCGTGCTAGAACCTCACAAGCGGACGAAGAACCAGGCGCTGGGGCTGTCCTTCTTCTGATATCCGCTTGGGAAGGTGTGACCGAGCCGGATCGGAAAGCTTCGAGCCGCAGATCCGAAGGGCGGGCTTCGGATCCCATATGATCTTGCTTCTTATTGGCTTCGATAACAAGGCTGCTTCTACTATCACTATCTGCACAGCTTATAGAAGTCGTAGCACCTGACATCCAACCTCACATTGAGTCCAGCCTCGTGGCCACACACTTAGTCAACGGGTGTGGAGTGGGGTCCAGAAGGGTTTGACTACAGTTTGTGCTTCTGCGGTGGCGTGTAAAGGAGCTTTGTCGCTTATTGTTCTCGCAGACGCAGCTTCTGCATGCAGCCTTTGGTTAGATATATAAAGGGAACATGAGAATCACGATCCCCTTCATCTCACATCATCCCAACCCATCACAATTCTTCTACCCTCTACGTCTCAATTCACATTCCCCACAGTTACGCCTCTATAAGCTATAACTTGCAAACCTCAATCGCCACCCACCGGAGTTAAGATGGGCATCATTGCTGTGTCCAGCAGAGCATTACCAAGATGGTCAATGCGGTGTGAGTAGCCTGACGAGGACTATTCCGGAGCGAAGGGTCAGCTGATATAGCAGCGTCATTACCCGGTCCCAATCAATCTGCTCATTCCTCTATGCCAACGGCAATCAGTGCCAGGTGGCGCGCGTGGACAATACGTCCTACTGCGCAGATCGTGAGCCAGCCTGATCAGCCCCTTGTGTTTCCGAAAGACTTGCTTATGGGAACGCAGACGAGCCCAACTACAAGTAGGGGCTTTGAAACCTGGCCGCGTGCCTAGCTTGGGAGGTGGCGTAACATCTGGCGGCGGCGTGACTGGTAATGATAACGACTGTGTAATCCATATGCAAGAGATTCAAGGTCATTAGTCCCAGTACTAGATAAGGTACCGCTCCCACTGTCCAAGCAAGACACATCGTGAGGTTATACAGCAATAATCAACCTTGATCAATATGACCTCATGTACGGTATGAAACGCAGGAAATGACCGGAAGAGGCAAATCTTGGGTGTTGCAAACGGGACATCTAGGGGTCTGCTCAGCCGGCGCGCAGAGCACTCTGAGCTGGACACATGTAGGATGTAACGCTCAGACACTGTGCCAAAGTAGTCATGGCTCGACTGCAGCTTTACACCCCAGGAAGTTGCCCCTCGCCATGTAAGTCCCCCGCGGGGTAGCTCGAAGCTTGACGGCGAAACGCTTGGACCTGGCGCCTGGCGACGCTGCTTGTCCCCTTGGATCGCCTTCTATCTGCCTCTCACCTTGAGATATTTGATCCACTCAATCATAACTACAGTAAATGCTAGACGATCCCTGCTCGTTGAGTGGCTGTGCGGAGCGAACCTTTCCAGATGGGGGTTCCTGCTTCACCTGCCGAAAGCATCTTTGCGCAGCGCACTGGTCTGATGTGGCTCATGACTGTAAGAAGGTACTAGACGTAGGTCTCTGCTCCTCCTCTATTGCACGACCTGGGCTGACGCTTAAGCCGGACCGCAGAATCTGCCAGGCTTTGAAGGAAGAAGTGTGTTTGTGACGATCTAATGGCAAAATCATTTAATCAGCTGATGCGTAGCTTGCGCAACTGCCGGCGATACTCGACACCCTCTGCCTGATCGAGCACGCTGAGCTAGCACGTCCCGGGAATCACGCCAAACCTCTCACTATCGACGCAGCCACTCTACCCGGCGGTATGTGGAACGTACACGTACCCATCGAATTCTCGGATGGCGTCAAGTGGATCGCCCGGATCCGCCGAAAGACCGTCAGGGCCTGGCCCGCTCTCGTCGAACGGCACTTCATGCAGGGGGAGATAGATCTCCTAAGATGGATTGCGGAGACTGGAGCCGCCCCAGCCCCCAAAGTCATGTCTTCCATCTTCAGTGAGTGTTTTCAAACCAATAATGTTCTGGACTGTAAAGGACGGCTTGACTGACTTCGCAGCTCACGGTGCAGCCGACTTCTACTTTATGGAGCTTATCCCCGGATCGAGCTGTGCTGATCCTATCTGGAAGGGCGTTCCTCGCGAGCAGACCAGCCGGACTCTCTTGGACTACGCCAAAATCAACATCGAACGGTCGAAGCATCCCCTCCGTCTTACAGGCGCCCTCCACCGAGATAAGGACTCTGGTACTTACACGGTCGGCCCTCTCTATACCCGCGATATCACCAACATCTCCCCTCCTCAGTTCCCCGGTCCCTGGAAAACGGTCGCGCTCAAATACAAGTGGCAGTTTGACTACCTCCTTGACACCATCCGAGCGGGCCAGTTGTACTCGCGGCAACGCAAAAAGGCCTTCCTCGTTCACAGGTGGATGAAGGATGCGGTCATGGCGTACCCTCCATACAACGTCGAGGATGAGGATACCTTTCCGCTCAACAACGACAGCAACGGTGGGCACATCATGGTGGATGCTCGAGGGGGGATCACGGGCTTGATCGACTGGGAAGGGTATGTTGTAATGTATTCCAAGCGCGCTACAGATAGCTGACTTTGCAGTGCATCTGTTGGCCCGAAGTGCGAAGCCTTTGCCATTCCCCAGGCCTTCGAGGAGAGGCTCTTCTTCGACGGCTCGAATGAGCTGTCCTGGGCGGAGCTTGAGCTCGCCGACGCCTACAAATCGCTTGGCCGACCCGACCTCGCAGAGTGCATCACTCTCGGCAAGCCCTATCAATGGATTTCGATCTTGATCTACGGCGGGAGCTGGCATCAGTACAAGTGGGTGAAGGCGCTGGGCGTCTCGGTGGGGTACGAGATGGAGGACAATGAGAAGGACTTCTTGAGTCGGCAGAGAAAGACGTACAAGGCGGAGTTCAGGGCGCTGAAGAAGATGTGGGCGGAAGAAGAGGCGGTGAAGGCTCAGACAGAGCAGGGCGTGACTGAGGGTACGGGAGCGAAGGCGGATGTGAGCGACATCGGAGACAGCAGGTGCGAAGGCGGTATGGCAGTTTAGGGTTCAAGAGACGTTCCGATAGAGGTACCTGTATATATCATCTGTGTAGCAAATACAAGTTGTGCAGTAGCCATGTAGCGCATATCATCCCCATTCTCAGGTGAGACTTTGCGCGGGAAGCCAGATCTGTGAACGGGGATAGCGCATACATCTGCCATACAGACAATTCTAAGACGTTCGGAGCTTCAAGCCCAGCTTGACCGTCATCGTATTCATGTAGTCCTCTGTCTCATCAGCGGATTCACTTCTGAGCGGAATGAGAAGACGCACCAGCCTGCTTCCTCATTGTCCAGTACTCCGCCAGCATCTCGTTGAGCTCCCCCTCATGCTTCGCTATCCATGCCCTTTCCTCCCCCTCCAGCTGCTCCAACTCCGACTGCAGCTGCTCCCGCACCTTCTCCCACTGCGTCCTCTCCACCTTCTTGACCAGGTAGTCCTCCTTGAGGGCCGCCATCTTGACCTCCGTCCGCTCCCTCACATCCCTCGCCATATCCTCGGACCTCTTCTGCCTGTCGCCCGCATTCTGCAACTGCCGCTCGAGCTGCTGGAGCTTGGTCGTCAACCCCTGCGACTCGATATTCTTCCCCTCCAGCCGAGCGCGGAGGGTGAGCATGCTCCGCCGAGCTTCCTCGACCTTGGTCCGTTGGTCCTCGATTCCCTTTTCGAGGTCGATGAGGCCACGCAGGTCGGTCTCGAGCGTATTGATAACGTCGACGCGATTGCCGAGCTCACGTGCTTTGCGCTGGAATGCGCCGAGCGTGCCCTTCTCCTGGCTGACAGTGTGCGACATTTCGTTGATGTGCTTCTTGATGCGGTCGGGGGATTGGACGAGGCGAGAGCGGGCCGAGGAGATTTGGATGTTGAGTTGATTGAGCTCATTGACTTTGCCAGTCTACTTGTCAACTGATTCTCCGCTCGAGAGAAAGGTAGCCAACTCACTGCCTGCTCGTTGTAGGTCGTCCGCTCCTTCTTTGCCTCCTCCACGTCGTGCGATAGCCGGACTTGCGAGTTACGCAGCTCCAGCAACTCCTTCCTCAGTTCATCATTCCGGACTCTCGCCTCTTCCATCTTGGGTGTATCGGCGGCGCTTCGGATTCTGCTTCGTCAGTCATCGATCGTCCACCGGTACCCACAACCGTACTCACTTGATCTCGTCGATTGCTGCTTCGATCTTACTAAGCTGCTTGCGCAGCCGCTCGGCTCTGTCAAGTCAGCTTGGACAGACCCTGAGGGAAGTATCAACCTACTTCTCCACCTGCTGCCTAGACTGATCCTGCAGCTGCTGCTGAAAGACGGACCGCTCATCTCTAAGATTATTAGCCCTGGCATAGAGTGGTCTGCAGATCAGAAAGGCTCACCTGAACTTGGCAAAGTTGATGATCCCGCTCAGGTGATGCTTGAAACGCAACGGGTCGGGACGTGTAAGATCGTACAGGTTGAAGTTGCGACAGCCGCAGACTTCGGCCAGCTCTCGCCTGCTGATCAGCTATAGCTCCATATCTTGGCATACACAAACACCTACACATGCTTGAAGAACATGGTGATCTGCAGAGCTTCGCTATACAGGTCCTGATCCCATCAGCTGAATTCGCCGCCACGGGCCAAGGTATTGTCAGCTCACCTTGTACTCCATCATCCCCATAAGCGACTGCTTCGGCCCCTCAAGCATCTCCAGAGGTATCCCCATCAGCTCCGTCACCAGTCCCGCGTAGACATGCTGGGCCGATAGCGCGGTTGGCTTCTGGATATCCTCGGGCATGACGGGGACGTTGAGCGCGGCGAGACAGTCGCAGATATCCGCGACGGGCATGACCGGGAACGAGGCATCTTGTTGTTGGCTGGAGGATGCAGTGGGCCGGTTTCCGTACATGTTAGCGAGCTACTGGGTGGTAGATCAGCAGGTGAGGGTGAAGTATGATTGAAAGATGGGCGAAGCGATGGCGCCTGACTTTTGTTGACATGCTCTCTCGCGCGCCGCATTCCTCAGCGTTACGTAAAAGTGTTCCGACACGTGTCGCGACGCGTCCTGTCAACAAAGCCAAAGCTTCCAATTAATGCAGCATCCTCTCTTTGTCCTCTATCTTGACCTGAACCTGCAGCTATAGCAGAACATAGACCGTCACCATGGTCAGCGCCCGTGCAGATGCGGTCCAGCCCGCCTCGTACCTGACCGATACTCTTCCCGCCCAGCTTCCGCCAATATTCGAGCAGGCGCAACACACCACGGCCAACCACCGGAAGAATATCGTTGCGCTCCGCAAGATCCAGGTGGCATGCGCGACAATCACCGAGGAGACTAGCAAGGGAACCAAGCTGGTCGGAGAAAAGGCGTTCAATACGCTGTTTGTGAATATGGTGAACGTGGTGCTGGGGGTGAAGAAGGGGGTTGCGGTTGCGGATCGGGTGGTGAAGTTTGTGGCGAACTATGTGGCCTACACCACCGAGCAAGGTGAGTACAGCTGGCGAGAATATGATCGTGCGTATCACATAGCTGATGAGGTAGATATGGCGAGCAGGCCGGAAGGAGAGGAAGACGTCGATACTGCCGCTACTCGCTTCGTCAATCGCCTACTCAAGCACCTGCTGTCCGGGATGGAAGCCAAGGACAAGAATGTTCGCTTCCGAGTGACGCTACTCACAGTGTCGATGATCAATGGTCTGGGCGAGATGGAGTCAGTTGGTTTGAACACGATGCGGACGAAAGCTGACCTAGCAGTGATGATGTCTACATGTCGCTCAAGCGGTGTCTGCTCGACGGAGCAGGGGGGGGGGGGGGGAGAGGAGGAGGAGAGACAAAGCACACCACACTACTACTTGTGTGCGGGACAGAGGCTGCCCGTCGTACAGGCCATGGCTGTCGATAACTGTGTGTGTCGTGCGAGGGGGGGGGGGCAGGGGGGTTTGCTGGGAGTGTCGGGGAAAGGAGTCTCGTGTGAGTCCTGGGGTGTGTGTCGAAGGAAGATCTTTTGGAGCGAAGAAGACATCCTGGGAGGAAGACGTCCACTCAGAGTAGTCAACGTGACGCTGGGTGTGAACAATGATTCAAAATACACAAAGAGAACAAGATGAGAGGAAGGATGTTACAGTAGCTCGACAGACATAGACAAGATCGTACACTCTCATCACGTCATAAAAAGCGAAGAAGGAGAAGAAGAAAAAGGAAAAGAAGATAAAAGAAAGAGAAAGGAATAAAAGGAAGAAGAAGTCAGAAAAAATAAAGTATAAGAAAATAATTGTCTAGATAGATAAATGATGAGAAGAGCAATAAGAATAAAAAAACAAATCAAGCCAAGTTATGAAATGACTAGTCAAATCATAAAAACAATATTAGTCTTCACAATCGGCCAAGATATTTTAATATGAATGTCCACATAATCTAAAATATTATTATATCATAAGCAAGATACGGAAGAATTGACCACTGAGAAGGCTTTCATGGCGCGAGTCTTTGTCGATCATTGCGTAGCTACCAATGTGCGTATACCTTTCCACCAGGTCAGCATAGCTGATCATCTCAGGACAATGTTCGACTGGAAGAAACGCTGCCAGTTGTCACCGCGCTGGCCTTCTTGGTACAGGATGAGTTCAACAAGCTCGTCCCGTCCGTCAACACAGAAGAGGCCGATATCGCCGATCGGTCCTTCATTGTCGGGGAGTTACTTAGCTTGGCAGTGAATCTGGACTATGCGGACGAGATTGGGCGGAGAAAGATGTTCACGCTAGCTCGTAAGCTCTGCATTCCTCATCTTTCGTTTGGGGATATAAGCTGACCCTGCAGGCGAGATGCTGAGCCAGGACAATCTCCCCGACACCCTCATTCCGCGCTGCCTAGACGTACTCGTCAAGATCTGCGATACCGAGCGAGACCTCATCCGCGTCATTGTCGACGTGATCTCCGAGCTGCGGGAGGGCGAGGGCGAGGAGGACGCGGAGGTACCTGGCAGTCAAGCCTCAACGTACAGCGCGACACCCAGCAGACCGAGAGCGGGTGGCCCTCGCTTCGATGTCATCACGGATCCGGAGGAGAAGATGAAGGCTGCGCTGGTGGATCTGCGGTGCTTGGTCATCTGCATTGCGATGCTGGAGAGGATAAACTCTGTAAGTCTGCTGGACGAAGTCACTGGTTACATTGCGGACGATGGCTGACAATGCAGAATCTTGTGGACAATGCTGTGCTGACGGGTTTGATGCACGAGCTGGTCATCCCCGCCGTGGAGAATAAGGAGGAGCCCGCTCTGCGGGATCAGGGAGTGATATGTCTAGGCCTGATAGGGCTTATCGACCTCGTGAGTTACTGCTCGAGCTCCGAGCAGTCTGTATCTTAGCTTACACTAAACAGACGACTGCTTCGGGGTCATTATCGCTGTTTGTGAACCTCGTCAACAAGGCGGATGACGAGCTCCAGTCTAAGATCGTCCGAATCCTCTTTGACCTGTTCATGGTGCACGACATTCCCCAACTAGTGGCGGGCGTGATGACCGTGAGTGAAACCCCGACAAATCTTAGCAGAGCAGAGGAGCTGATAGAAAGGTGGAGAATGTCTGGGAGCTTATCCAGTTCCTGCTCAGTCAGCCTTCAGCCGATGTTCAAGCTGTCGCGGCGGAAGGTACGGCCAAATTGATCCTCGCTGGAAAAGTTTCAGATGCCAGCGTGAGCGTGCCTCCTTGTGCAACCTGTTGGAGGTGACATGCTGACTCCTATAGATGCTCCGCTCTCTGGTGCTCCTTTACTTTTCGCCCGAGTCAGCCGACAATCAGGCGCTTAGACAATGCCTCACATACTTCTTCCCAGTCTACTGCTACTCGTCCTCAGATAACCAGCGGACACTGCTCTCCGTGCGTCAACTTTGGATTGCACATTGCGTGGAACCGTAGCTGACCTCGACAGGTGTTCTCTGAATCCCTCGAGGTGCTACAGCAAATCCTGGAGGAGATCGAGGGGGAGCAGGATATGCCCCCCTTGTCGCAGATAGGCCTGATGATGATTGACTGGCTGGATCCGCTGAAGGCTGTGTGAGTTGGCTTCCATCGACAGAAGAGGACCAAGCTGACGAGAAAGTGAGCGACAAGGGGCAAAGGTCGACCTCGCTATACATCTTGATCTTGCTCTGGAGGTCTGCAAAAGCATACTGGAAGAAGAATCAAGTAAGCCCCTCGTTCGCCACCTGGAAATACAGCTGATCAGAGCAGAGGACGTGCGGAAAGCTATGGTAGCATGGCTCTCCAAGCTCAACCTTCCGGACTCTGGTCCCGCCAACGAGACACGGGTCAAGATGCTGGAGCTGGTTCTCGGCGGTATCAGGGATGTGAGTTATCGATAGCCCGCTGCCCGCTAAAGGGACGTGCTGATCCAATCAGAAACGACCATTATCGGATGCGATTTCCCGAAACTCGCTCAATAAGTTCAGTACGACTCTCTTGAAGAGGTATCCTGAGCATTTGGAAGGATTTGATGCGGAGGCGTTCGCGGAGGATGAGAATGAGGAGGTGCAGGCTTTGGTTGATCTGATTGATGGAGTGTGAGTCTCAGCTCTTCCCCGACTCTTGGACTGCTGCGACCTGATGTGTACATCATGCTGACATTCTTCTAGCAAGCCCACCGATGACGCTGCATCGGAGGCAGGCTCAAGGCGCAAGTCCACGACAGGCCGCGGCAGGCGTGCCACTCGGGACTCATCTCGCGAAACCAGCATCGCCCTGACCGACTCAGACGACGACTCTCAGGCAGGCTCGGATGATGAGGAGGTGATACCACGTACGCGGAGATTGACGAGGGGCAAGCCGATGTCGAAGGTCATTGAGGAAGAAGAGGAGCCGGAAGAAGCGGGGGCGGAAGCGGAGGCGGAGGCTGAGCCGCAAACTGAAGGAGAGGATGACGATGTCGAGAGTATGCTGGATAGTTCCTTCTAGGCGTACCTATCAAATCTATATTCAATTATTGTGCTGGGCTGTACGATAAGTATGTAGCTATCTTGAAGGACTGGCAGCTCTCCCTGGGTCGGACGGACGCTTCAGCATGACCCCAGATCGGCTAACTCGCCAAATTCGAGAGCCGCTCGGCGCCGGTCAGCTCAGCCGACTCTAGCCGCCGCAACTTCCTTGCTATCTCGCTCCTTCTTCTCTACTTGCATATAGCATCCACAACAGCATGTCCCAGCCCGTAGCTACATTCTCCTTCCCGTCCAACGGGTCCACTCAGTTTTCGGCCCCGCCGCACGGGCACGACGGGCACTCCCACGATCACGGGCATTCGCATGACCACGACCACGACCATGGGCACGACCATGCTCACGACGGCGTTAACGAGCATGGGCATACGCATGAGCATCTAGAGAATGCAGGTGCGTGGGGGACTCCAGTACGGAGACTTGTCGGGCAAGGAAGATGTGGTGGCTGACGCTACAGGCAAGTATGCTGAGCGGGACCTGCCCGACTTTTCTGGTCGGGATTGGAACGAGCGAGCCTTCACCGTTGGTATTGGAGGGTGAGTTGACAGGTGCTATATACGGGATTCTTCCCTTGGCGGACGAGAAATTGACAATATAGGCCCGTGGGGTCAGGCAAGACAGCTCTGCTTCTGGCGCTTTGCCGAGCTCTCCGAGGTAGCCACAATATCGGTAAGTCATGATCCCCTCGCTCCGCTTCCTCCTGCACCTCTAGCCGGAGAGACTAGCCCGATGCCCCCCAACGGACGCAGGCGCAGGGAACGTCAGCTGATGACCCAGCTGCGGTGACGAACGACATCTTCACCAGGGAAGACCAGGAGTTCTTGATCCGAAACGAAGCCCTACCAGCCGAGCGTATCCGTGCGATAGAGACCGGTGGCTGTCCGCACGCTGCGATCAGGGAGGACATCTCGGCGAACATGGGCGCGCTGGAGGAGCTTCAGGCCGAGTTCGAAACGGAGCTGTTGTTCGTGGAGAGTGGAGGGGACAATCTGGCAGGTGAGCTGCTATGTTTGTAAACGTCGCGATGGATCTAGCTGAAACTCGCAGCGAACTACTCGAGGGAGCTCGCTGATTATATCATCTACGTGATTGACGTTTCGGGAGGGGACAAGATTCCGAGGAAGGGCGGACCGGGGATTTCCCAGTCCGACCTGCTGATAGTGAACAAGGTGAGCTATATCAATGTATTCGGCGCCTCGCTTTCATAGCTGATCAGCTCAGATCGATCTGGCACCCTACGTTGGAGCCTCTCTTGACGTGATGCGCCGCGACGCTGCGTTGATGCGAGACTCGGGACCAACACTGTTCACGAGCATGCGGAATGGGGAGGGAGTGAGCGAGATTGTGGAGGCTATCTTGGGGGCGTGGAAGGTCAGCGGAGCGAGTGAGAGCGGGAAGAAGGGTAAGGGAAAGGCATAGTCCATATACAATTAATCGGCATGGGCCGAGTAGCGGATGATGAAATAGAGATGGATAGATGTGCGACGTGAGTAGTATCTGCGCGTCATCCGCATCAGTCGGTGATATCAGTGTAAGTCCAGGACGATGAGCAGACCATTGGAGTCAAGTAGAGGCTACCAACTTTGCATTGCTGTCATACCCCTCGTCTCATTTCGTATTCGTCTTCCGCCTATCCCCTAGTTGGAACCGGCCTTCTCGACGTCCTTGGCGCCCTGCTTGAATCCGTGCTTCCACTCCCACTCTTCGTCGCCCTTGCCCTGCGCCTCCGCGTCGGGGAGACCGAGGCCCTGCTCGAGCGCGCCGGCGGCAGTATTCCAGCCGGCCTCGTAGCCGGGGAAGTAGGAGTCGGGGTTGGGGGAGCCGCCGTTCTGCTCCCAGTAGGACTTGTGGCCCTCTGTAGATGTCAGCTAGAGCCGGGTTTGGGATACTGAGCAGTAGAGTGGGAGGGGAGGAAGTTGAGCTTGGACCGTGAAGGCTCCTGAGCACATGTGAAGAGGTGGACCTAAGAGGTGGGACAGGACACGGGATGGGGGGCGGGGAAGGTGAGTAGACATGAGGCAGGATGGGATGTATAATGGGAAGAGCGAGAGGCTGTGCGAAGCGACAGGGCTGTGAAGGGGTCAAAGCGGTAAGGGATGACTCACGGGTCGCAGCGTCACGGTACTGCTCAAGAGTCGCCTGGTCAGGTCGGGTGAAGCCCATTGTGCTTGGATGTGTTTTTGGTAGGTGGGGTGGGTGGTAGGAGTTGGGTTTGTGATGTGTGGGGACTGGTGGTTGTAGGAAGGAGAAAGAGGGATGCGAAGGGTTGAGGGCGGGCCTTATATACCCGTGCAGGACAAGGAGGAATGAGGCGGGTATGACGTCGCGGAAGCGGAGTTCGCGAACCTTCTTTCCCTTCAAGTTAGATTGAAAGCGTGACAGGCGCGTTACCCCACATTCCCCCTGAATGACCTGTCACGCTGACGCAATATATCTCACAGTGAAACGAGGTCGTATTGCTTCTTTGGGAGATTTGTGAGAGAGGCGCGTGGGGGATCGGCAAGATCGCCCTAAAAGATCGTCGCCGACTCGCCGAGCCCCGAGGTAGTGGTCAGGCCGCAGGCCCACCAGCGAGAACAGCTACAGACCGGCGGCCAGGTCGAAGGGCGATGTACTGGAGGATCTGGATGAGGGTGTGTGGCGCGAACGAGATTGATCCAGCTGGAGCCTGATATACTTACGGACAATCGTCGAGTAGGTTGCATGGCAGGCCTCCGCGAATCCTACTGATGATATACTACGACAAGATGGTTATACAAGTTCAAGCTGTAAGTGAATAGTGCGGTATGGGGGAGGTCGGAGTGAAGGGCGATGAAAGATGCAGGGTATAAGATCATGCAAGGCGCAAAGCCGTTCCGAAAAGGACACTTTTTCTGTATATTGAGGGGGATCAGACATGAACGTTTCCAATCGCTGCTGCATCAGCTCTGCTTATTCTGGGCAGACAACCATACTCACCGCTAGTGATTCCGTCCAGCCCTGGAGACTCGTAAGGGAAACTCTTTGTCCCCATCAAACCCAGCCCGCCACTCGTCGTGGAGGGAAAGTACTGTCCGCTGGCAGTATTTGGGCTGTTCGCGAGTATCGCTGCCGGGCTGAGAGGGAGTACTCCGAATCCGCCGGCACCGGACGAAAGGGTACGCGAAAAGTTCAGCGAGGTGATGTCGAGCGATTGTGTCCGGGCTGCCGCACCTCGAGGGTGGGCATGCCCGTTCCCTTGACCCGGTGCCGGGCCGAGCGGGACACCGGGGCCGAGCGTAGCTTGTCGCAGCTTCTCCGGGATGAGCGGGTCAGACCCGCGCTTGGAGCGAGACTCGGTGCTCATGCTCTCCGACCGGACCGGCTTGGGCGACTGCCAGATCTCTGTGCCTCGACGGGGATCGTGGTAGCTGAGCGGACCGGCAAAGCCCCTCTCACCATCCTCGACGGGTCGAATGCCGTCCAGGGTATTTGTCGAAGGAGCATCAAAGATGGCTTTGACGTCGGCAGGGATAGGCCGAGCCCGGACAAGAGGGGCGATCTTGAGCTCTTGCTCGGCCGCTGCACTGTCAGCGCGGTACAAGCACACAGGCGAGAAGCGAGACGAACCCAGCTCCGCTGCAGCCTGCGCGCGCCTGTCGATAAGTCTTTGGTTGAAATGCGAGTACGCATCCGCGAATGTGTCGACCCGGCTTGGCATATCTTCGGGGTATATCTGGATCTTATGGGTGTCAGCCTCTCTCCCTCAGCCACGTCAATCAGCCTGAGCAACTCACTTTGTGCTCCTCTAGGTACTTCTCCAGCGCCTCCCTAGCGACGCCCATCGCCTCCATAGGACTCCGCTGGCACCTGAAAGAGAAGACCGCCTCGTCCGCCTCCCCAAAGTTGGCTGAAGGCGTGATGGCGATCTGATGGTCCCGCTTGATGGTCTCGGTGAAGACGACGAAGTCGGGAGAGGTGACAAGGGCGGTGAGGTCGTGGCTGGCCAATACGTGCAGGCTGGCTTCAAAAGGGACATGTTCCTGCTTATTAGCTCGATGTTTCATGTGCAACGAGACTGGACCTACCAGAAGCATAGCAGCAGCGATCAGCACCTGAGACTCCGGACCAAATATGACGAGCCGATCGCTTGCACTTTCCGGATAGGTAAAGCGGAACCTCGAGTTGGTCTTGCGTTCGATATCGTGAATGAAGATGCTCTTTTCGCCGAGCAGAGTACGGTGGTAGTGGCGGGGAACGGGGATGCTCTCGGTGAGATAGTCTCTATCCTGCCTGATCAGCTCACTCCTCCCTCGGCTGCTGACTCAAGGGACACTCACTCTGGGAGCCACGAGCTCCATGATACTCCGCTTCAGACTCTCCAGATTGACAGCATTCTTCGCCGGCGTCCTCGCAACCACATTATCCTCATTATCCGCATACCCTCCCAGCGCCTCCAACTCCTCGTCATTCGCAAACTTGACATACACCCCGTAGATCTTCATGATCCGCTGGATGTTCCGGCCCATTACGCCGATGATGCGCTTATGGTAGTTCTCCGGGACGTGGAACGAGATATCGGCCGGAAGCTCCTCCTGGAGGAGCGTGAGGCCTTTGAGAGCATTGCCGCCGAGACCGGCGATATCGATAAGAAAGTTGTAGTCGTTCAGCGTCTCGAATTTGATGCGGACGTTGGCGAGCTTCATGATCTTGTTGATCTTGCCATTCTTTTTGCCCGAGATGAAGTCGCGGTGCTCGTTTGCCAGCTCGATCTGGAATCGGATCTCGTGGTGGAAGCCCTGGAGATCAGCTTGAGACACCAAGATGACAATGGATTATGCAACTCACGTTTATGATGTCCAGATCCAGGACCATGAGCACCGCTGCTCGTACTTCCGCCTCCGACCCGTGCATCTCAAAGCAGTTGCTCTTGAAGACCACTTCTGCGCCCGTAGCATGCGATATCCGCTTAATCACCGGTTGTATCTGGGCGGGGTTGATGGTGGACTGGGGCACGAGAACATCATATGCGAGAGGGAGGAGCCAGACCGAGGCGACGTAGAATTCGCACGACTGCTTATCAGCGCAGTTCACAGCAAAGAAGGAAGACTCACCATAGCCATCAAGGTCCTTATTGTACGTTCGATACCGGTCCGATGATCCCCAAAGACAGTGATCAAGCTTGCCTGCGATCCGACCGATGGGACCTGCATATACGTCGCATTGTCCGACATGATGATCTTGACTTCTTCGAGGCGTTCGGTGAGGAGCCAATCGAGCTTTCGGGGTAGGATGGCGGTGTCCCGAGAAATGACGAGTTTGCTCTGCCTTATCAGCTGCTGCTTCTTTGAGGAGCAGGGAAATTTACCTTCTGCATCGCGATGTTGAGCAGCATGTCCCTCGCCCGCTGTACCCCAAAGAACTCGCCCGTGATCCAGATCTGGTTCGCCTTACCCATCGATCCCTGCTCTCCATTATGAACAGCCAGACCAGGATGTGGTCCCTGACCATAGGCAGGCACCCCTGTGCCCATATTCGGCCCTTGTGGACCATTCGCATGGCCCATACCATTCATACCTCCCGCCGTGTGATTCGGCGCCATCTGCCCACCTCCCAGGCCGACGTGGACATGACTTTGCCCATTGCCGTTGGCATATGGGTTCATGCCCATACCGTGCGGCTGGTGCATATGATGAGTTTGATGTTGGAACGGGTGATGACCGGGTGGATGCTGGTACTGATTTGGCCGGTAGTGAGGTTGTCGATTTGGCTGCTGTTGCTGGTGGTGCTGGTTCTGGAAGTGATGTGGTGGATGCTGAGGATTGTACTGTTGGAATTGCTGATGGGGCAGATTGGCCTGGTTGTAGTAGTTACCGAACCCACCGCCCATCCCTCCTACATCCGTGGGTATGTGCCGAGGCGCCTGATTAGGCCCTGGCGTGCCGAAGCTCGACATGCTCGAAACGCCGGTGTGCTGCATGTGTACCGGCGGTCCGTGCATCCCGTTCATATGTTGCTGATGCTGGGGCTTATGAAAGGGAGGGTGAGGGTGCTGGCCATGCGGCACCCCCCTCGGCGGACGGGGGTGGAAGTATGGTGGCGGGGTTTGATATGGGTGCTGAACGTGGTGGTGAGGATTGTAGACCGGTGATTGGTGGCTGGACGGGTGATACCCATTAGGGTGGCCGTTCCCATGTCCGTTGAAATGTCCGTGACCGACTGGACCAGGCATGTGCGGCCCGGCGGTCCAGCTCGAGCCCGCCCCGATGGCTCCTCCGTTGCTATGGCCATTCATGCCGCTCGGCCCCGCAGGTCCGAGATTGGACATCTGCGTCGTACCCGTATTCTGCGTCGAGAGCAGCCCGTCATCGACGACGCTGTGCGACTGGAAGGATTGGTACGAGCGATAACCGGCGGAATGGTCCGGGTGAGGCCTGGGCTGTGGCGGATTGAGGATGCCAACGAGGGGGACAGGGAAGTAGATGGTCGTGGCTGTTTCCTCCTGGATGGACTGTATGACGCCTCGGCGACGGCCGGCGATGATGGCGTGGAGCTTGTAGTCGATCTCGCAAGGCTCGACGTGGAGGCCGTGCTGATCATCAGTTGAGCTCTTAAGTCGTAGACAACATAACAGAAATAGACTCACTAACTCGTCCAGCAGTACCAGTATGCGTACCTTGGCCAGCTGCACCCTCTCCAGCTTGCCAGAGATGACAATCTCACACGTCCGTTCCGCCTCTAGACCATATGTGGCCTGCTTCGGCAAGCCAGCCTGCTGCTCCGCCTCCACGCCCTCCTGCGTAGCATTCTTCTCACCATCCGCCGGGCGATCATTTGCGCTACCCGTCACACTCGCCAGACTACCACCACTTCCTCCAGATCTGCTGTGCCCCTTCCCATTCACCCCATTCATTTCCTCGGGCTCAGTAGCGCTCGCTGCTGCACTCCCCTTGGCTCCCTTCCTACCCAGATCTGGGAAGTCTACCGTAATAATCGCCTGGGTGTCCACTTCGATCTCCTCCAGCCTCCTCTGGACCTCATTCTTGACCTTCATGGATCCAGAAAGGGCCGACTCCAGTATGACCGCCCTTGGGACCTTGAGGGCGAACCGATTCGCCCGAGGTGACTCGCGAAGGATCGCCCCGCGGGCAGCCACGACGGCCTTGTATGTTCCCGAGAAGTGGAAGTTCCATACGACCGCCGAGGAGGGGGTACTCTCCGCGTCTTTTGGTGAGGTAAGGAGATCCGAGGGGTGATTTTGGGATGATTCGCGAGTGACGGTGACTAGGCATCCTTCGCGAGCTGTGATGTCCGCCGCTAGCTTCTGGACAGCTTCCCAGTCCAGGTCTACCGGATTCGAACCATCGTGCAGCGTGGCTGGGGTAGAAGTGACGTTTAGAAGGGGGATGGGAGACGATCCGGCCGAGCTGAGGGGATAGCTAGCCGCTCGCTCCGATGGAGAGATGGGCGAGCGGAGAGTGAAGTGAGGAAGGGTGAAGGATGTAGTGTAGAGATCCATGATGGATTTTATGGTGCGGTGCGCGTAAGGGGCGGGAGCTAGAGCGAGGGAGTGCCCGAAGGCTTTACGAGGGGTAGGTTTGAGCGGGGGAGAGCCGAAGGGCTTTCCGAAGGGATCCTGGCACGGACCCTCAGAGCTACAGATCAGCTTCAGGCGCTCTTAACAGTAGAGCAGTGTGGCTGTAGAGTGCTCTGAGAGAGGAGATAGCGCGAGCAGTCCGGCGACCTTGCGCTCACAGACACAAGGTGGGCAGAAGGGTGTATAAGGGACAGGGGTACTAGGTCAAGGTCAAACAGGGGACGAAATGAGAACGAAGGCACTCACATGATGATTGCAGTCGACAGATTGATAGTATGGTATGCTGATTATCTCCGAAGCACAGTGGGTATGATGGAGCAAGTGGGTAGAGCTGCCTGGGAAGCCTCCCTGGAGGGGGACGAGGGGGGTATGTCGAAGCTTCGCCGAGTCTGGCCTCGCAGCGGCGAGGGTGTGACGCCTGTGAGGGATGTCGGCAGCACAAGAGGGGCAGCAATCGGGTCAAGGTACAGATGAGGAAGAGGATAGGAGGCTACACGAAAGACAGGAGGGATAACAAAGTTACCGGGGAGGCGGGCCAAGTCCGCGGTGGCAATCAATGTGGTGCCCCGCTCGGTGGCGAGGAGTACAGAGTGCTTGGAAAGCTCTTCTGCAACGCGGGAGAAGCGCTCTGAGTCTGGTGCAGAGTCTTGCTGTGCCTACATGCAAGATCCCGAGTATAGGATGCTGAGAATCGATGCTCGGGACAAAAACGCCCGTAGCTCCCTTGTTCGTCTCAGCGCGATATGAGGCCGTCTTACCTCCGTTCGGTAGCTTCAATCGCACTCATCACAGTCAGGCAGGCCCTACTGATCATTCCTACTCGACTCCCTGGATCCAGTCTGCCTGTCCCCTCCTCCTGATAATATAAGGCGACTAGTGAAGGCGACTCTGCCATGGCTTGTGCGCGTTTTGCTGCTGCTCTGACGCGTTTCAGAGCCACGTGCGTATATCCGAGGTTTAGCCGGGTTATCTCGACTCGCCCGACTCCGCGCGCAGATCTTTTTCAGTCCATCCTTGATGCTTTCATACCTCATCCGACTCCCTACACCATGACATCGCTACGCACTCTCCGCCTCGCTCGACAGGTCGCGGCTTCATGTCGGGGTCGCGCCATCGCTCGGGCTTATGCCGTTCAGGCTGATCTGAAGGTGAGCTTCCTCATCAATTTCGAGCAAGATCGCAACTGATAAGAACCAGCCCAACACTTCCTACCGCTCCGTCACCCATCCCGACTCTTCGGCACCTCAGGAGACACACGATCTGATCGCCTCCCACACACAGTACCTGCTCAACACGTATGCCCGGCCTCCCATCCTCTTCACCCACGGGAAGGGCTGCACCCTGACCGACTCGTCCGGCCGGACCTACCTCGACTTTACCGCCGGTATCGCCGTGACTGCCCTCGGTCACTCTGATGACGGCGTCAACAAGGTCATCGCTGAGCAGAGCGCCAAGCTCTCGCACGCGAGTAACCTCTACTGGAACGAGTACGCCGGCGAGCTGGCCAAGCTCCTCATTGACCTCACGCGCGAGCATGGGGGCTTGGGCATGACGCCAGACGGGAAAGAAGGCGGGAAAGTGTTCTTCTCCAACTCGGGAACGGAGGCGAATGAGGGTGCGCTCAAGTTTGCGCGCAAGTACGGCAAGGAGAAGGGCGGGGACTCCAAGATAGGAATCGTCTGCTTTACGAACGCCTTCCACGGTCGGTCAATGGGGGCATTGTCCGTTACACCGAACCCGAAATACCAGGCGCCGTTCGCTCCTCTCATCCCAGACGTGCGGGTCGGGGAGCTGAACGATATGGACAAAGAGAAGATGCTGGCGTTGATTGATGAGAAGACGTGTGGGGTGATTGTGGAGCCGATTCAGGGAGAAGGAGGCGTCACGGCGGCAAAGACGGAATGGTTGGAGATGGTCGCGACTCGGTGTCGGGAGGTCGGGGCGGCGTTGATCTATGATGAAATTCAGGTGCGCAGCGTTTCGCCTTATGCTTATCGACAATAGCTAATGGGTAGTGCGGTCTGTTCCGCTCAGGCACAATGTGGGCACACTCGTCCTTTCCCCCATCCGCTCAGCCCGATATCGTCACCATGGCCAAACCCCTCGCCAACGGCTTCCCCATCGGGGCCATCATGGTCCGCGACTCTGTCGCCTCCGTCATCTCCGTCGGATCCCACGGTACTACCTTTGGCGGTCAACCCCTCGCTACCCGGATAGGCGTACACGTCCTCTCCCGCCTCAGCAAGCCCGATTTCGCATCCAACCTCAAATCCACCGCCGCACACCTCGACACCCTCCTCTCGCGGCTGCCTGGGCTCTTCCCGGGTTTGATACAGGAGACCCTGCGCGGTCGGGGCCTCATCCGGGGAATAGGGTTTAAGGATGAAAAGGCGCCGGCGGAGCTGGTGAAGCGGGCGCGAGAACGGGGAGTCTTGCTCCTGTCCGCAGGATCGGACGCGGTACGGTGTGTCCCAGCGTTGATTGTGAGCAAGGACGAGTGCGATCAGGCGATTGGGGTAATGGAAAGCTGTCTGGCGATGATGGTCGAGGAGGGATGGGGGAAGGCGTAGGCATAGATCTTATGATCTTTTGTCTCATCTGGTGTGCGGTTACCTGTAGGTACCGGCAGGCGGTGCGCTGGGTGGGAGCACGCGCCGAGCGAATTTGTGCACGTGTCTTGCACTGACCTGTCGACCCTAACTTAAACGAGAAATAATTTCGCTCCGTACCTCGCACGCTGGGTCTGCGCTTTCACCCGACGGAACACGGGCCTCCCACTAACATACTAACAGATGGCGACTCGATTCGCGTCGCTTGTGAAGCTGAGGAATGCTGATTTGCCACCGAGAACTAGGAAATTCTTGCTCAATTGCCAATAGCTGTCAGTGCGCGGAATCGAACTGGAGGGGCGTGACTGATTAGATTCGGTCAGTATTTATGAGGAGCCCGTGCAGGGTGGGCCAACAGAGGTGAAACCGCGCATAGCATGTGCTCAAGGCATCAGTAAAGGGCGCTACGACTAATGTTTACGACGACGTCTGCTACATGAGCATTGACGCCAACGGAGAACTGATATCTGAGGGACCTCTCCCTGCTTGCCACGGGCAGACTGACGAGTGGGTGGAAGGCTCTTCTGACGCTGGACTCGCGGTTTGCGAGCATAATCGATCTTGTTGCCCTCCTCGTCAAACTCGGGGCGAGCCGGCTTTGGTCACCTAACACTGCTGCTTTTGCCGAACCCGCGGCTGGGCAGGCGGCCAACCCCTCCCTGACGTGGCGTGATCTGTCTCATCTCAGGCCCTGGGCCGAAGTCAGCACAATCTGGCGGTGAGGCTTTTCGGTGACTAAGCGGGACTTTTCTTTGGGGTCTTCCTGGCTTTGGATGTCAGGACAATGTCGATCGGGCAGCTGCGGTACTCACTGGAGCTTTTCTTCCCCGGCTTGTCTTGCGCAGTAGACTTCCCAATCTTTGAAGCGCGAGCGGGCTCCGGTGTCTCGACCTTGACGGCCGGAGCGTCGGATGCGGTGGCGTTGGTGTGACCTCGCGGAGCCGGCGCACTACCCGCGTCTGCAGGAGCGGCGTGTAAGGCTGTGGCCAGGTTCATCGCAGATACAGCAGTCCCGGTGGCTGCTGCAAGTGGCTGAGCCTGGAGGTCTGCGGGTGCCTCGGCTGATAGATAAGCGACGTCCGAGCACACGTCGAGGGACGAGTGCACCTACCTGGGGTATATGAACGCTTGACCATATTGACTTGATTGTTGATAGGTGAATGTACAGAAGAGAGAATAGACGGGAACGATCGAAAGCTTAAGTACATCGCGAGTGACGATCCGCTGCCACATGGCTACGATCCCGGCCTTTCGGAGATATACTATATACTGCAGGAGTGTTCAGAGGGCAAGTCCGCTGGAGCGTCTCAGAGTCGACGATATAGCGCCCTACAGTACTGGTAGCTCTTCCGGAGACCCTGATACCTTTTATTATGGGAAGTCACAGCGTTCGTGAAGGATACCATTGATGTCCCGAGGTCCGTGCGAAGCGATTTGCCCGCCAAGTTGAGCAAAACGGCCCTTTTTTCCCATTGAACGGCTGTACTTGGACGGGGAAGGGGTCAAAGGTGGGTTCCGAGATATGAAATGAGTCCGTATATATCTCAGGCACACAGTGTGAAAATTATAGCCAAAGATGTCTCACACTGCGTGCAGGGTGAAGGTCACAGTGGACGGCTGAGGCGGGTGGCAAATGAGTACTCCGGGTGGCAAAAGGGGATGTGACCCGTCCACGATGGTGAAGGTCTGCTACAACTCAGCTCAGCTTACTATAGAGGATGAGTACTATACGAAGCCATAGACAGACCCATTTCTGTACCTGGAATAGTGGAATGAGTGAAGCATTACTTTGGGGACGGCAGAAGTGGTCGGTCACGTGATCACAAGGCCCGTCGCCCGATCGTCCACGTGGTGCCCAGCTAGCCTCCGCCATGTGAGCCACAACGCAGACCGTCATTTGTATCGTCAGAACATGACCGGCACCGGCGACAGCGCTTACGGCGAACTTGTCCATCCGCATAAATGCTTCTAATTGTATTCCGAGCCTTTCCCATCCACTGGCGCCTACATACGACGAGCATCCTTAAGGCAAGAACGGAGGATGAAAATCTCGAATAGATATGTTACATAGTAGCGGAAAGTAGGCCGTCCTGTCTGACCGTGTTAGGGCTAAAGCCGCCCGGGGAGCAGTACTTGGGGCCGGAGACCTTGTGACCCAACTCCGCATTCCTCGATAAAGTTTTGCCATCCGCTGCAGGAACTACCATTTTCGCCACCCATCCATCCCTATCATCTATTCTCTCTCTTCCTGCCTATATCAGATCATCCACTTTCAACCGCCCCACTCCATGGATACTCTCGGAAGACATATATGTAGTCGTCTGACAGCATGGCACACTTTATCGCTGCGCCTACACGGAGCCAGCGTTGCGCACGGTGGCTGTCGCTGATGACTGAAGGGCCGAGTCCCTCGAGTGGGTGCACGTGGCTCGATGATGCGTGATACCCAGCTGCCTGTGAAACGGGCCCATGATTATTGCCTCGCGAGAATATGCTACATGTACTTGTACTTCCTTGCTTTGACTAAATCATCTACGCATCGTCCGACTTTGGCCCGCCTTCACCCTTCCCCGTTCCCGCCGCACTTGCCGCCGCTTTTCTCCTCCTATACTCTTCATCCCTCTCCATCGCCTCCTCTATCTTCCTCCTCAACGCACTCCCTCCCTGGCCTGTCCTCAATCTATCGATCTCCCCCTGATACCTCTTTCCCTCTGCCTCTCCGTGCCCATGCCCTTGGCCCTTCCCCTCCTCATCCCCCGCTGTGGGCTGATCCACCGTAAACCCCTCCATATTCCGCTTCACCTCCTCTGCCCTCTCTTTCCTTCTTTCCGCTTCGATTTCTCGAGCTTTCTTGACCTCCTTCTGCATCTCCACCTCCTTCTCATACCGCTGCTTCACCATCTTGGAATGATGATCCCGGACCTTGCCGAGAAAGGTCAATCCGTCGAGATTGTACGCTGCATCGAGGAAGTTTTTGGCGCCTCGGGTTTGGGCGCCATTGCCATCTGTGAAAGAGCGGATATAGAGGGAGAGAATGTTGTAAGAGGGAGTAAAGATGGTGCGGACCGTGGAGGGCATGGAGGTGATTGGGTGAAAGACGGAGGAGAGCGGGAGGTGGAGCAGCGATCTGACAATCAGCCAACACCCGATGTAACTCGGATAGGAAGACTAACCCCTCATCGCCCCAGTCCAAGTACTCCATCACCCGCTCTTCCCTTCCTCTCGGCTTGGCATGCCTAGAGATCGTCTCTCCAAAATCTCGATTCCCATCATCCGCCTCCATTTCCTCCATATACCGCCCGACTACCCCGTCCGGTGTCCCCCGAACATAGATGATCGAGTATGGCTCCACCGCCTTTCTGAGCGCCGAGAATGGGTTCCAATTCCACCTTGAAAATGGGTTGAAGGAGGAGAATGGCCTCGCCGCTTCCATCGATGATCCGCCGCCGCCGCCACTGCCATTCGCCGTACTTGTCCATTGATCAAGTAGTGTCGGCTGCGGTTCCGCCTGCTGCGCCGGATCTCTCCTTACGCTCTTCCCCTTTAATCTAGCCAGATCCTCCGTTCGAGACAGGACTTTCGCCCGGCGGCGAAGGCACAGCATCCGGCACAAGGGCGGTGCGTCCGCCCGCTGAGAGCAAAAAGTGAGACATTTCTCGGGTATGGGCGGTGCGGCGGGCATGGCCGGATGTGCGTGGTGGGCGTGAAAGGATGGTGCGCCTATTGGGGCGAGAAGGGGGTGGAGGGTGTCTGTGGAGGTCGGTGGGCGGATAGGTGTGGAGGTGGAAGTGGGGAGTGGCCTGGAGCTGGAGCTGCTGCTCGATGAGGATGCGGGGTCTCGATCGGACATTTTGATCGGAGAACGAGTTGCAGAGGAGCCTGCTCCGTACAGATGAGTTGACAGATGCGATATGTGTGAATAGACTCTGATGAGGTAGGTTGTGAATCGAGAGGTTGTCGAGACTCGGGCCTGCCGATCGCTTGGTCAAGCAGCAGTAATTATTGCAATGGGAGCGGACATAGGCACGCAAGCATCTCGAGCCAGAAATAGGCGGACACTTCGTCCCCGCTCGGAGATGCCCGAGGGGCAAGAATAGGCGCGACACCAAAATTCAGCGAGCCCAAGACCGACCGAAGGCTTCAAGGTGGCTTTGTGCCTCTCTTTGCCTATACTTTCGCAGCCACAGTATGCCGCCCAAGAAGAGCGCAGTCAGCTCTGTGCTGGCTCAGGCAGGCCCAACGGGACCTGCAACCACAATTGCAGACGGCACCACCAGTGGGAACCCGGACATCTCTCCCCCGGCCAACCCTATCGAGAGGATGGACGATTCCATACTACCCGTGGAGCCCGACTCGAACACCATGGAGCTTGACGCCCCATCGTCAGACACCGTCCAGCCCACCGACACTCCCGGCCCCTCATCCACTTACATCCCTCGTCAGCCCTCCCCACCTCTACCACACCTCCGCTCCGAGAAGTTCCCACCGGAATGGGACGACGGGGATGGCGATTCCGACTCTGACGACGAGGTCGTCGCTACTTTACCCATCTACCTCTCCCCTTCACTCCATCCTCACCTCCACCTCTTCCAGTTCCCGCTGCATACGAGGAGTCTCGTCGCCCCTTCCTATGCCAGAGATAGGGGCAAGGGGATCACAGCACGGATGAAGGAGAAGGCTGGTCGAATAGAGGTGGAGATCCCCGTAGATGCCGGTGTTGACGTATGGCGGGATGACAGGGCGAGAGATTTTGGAATGACGCATGATCTGGGGAATGGGAATGGGGATGTGGTCGGCGGGTATGGGTTTGGAGGGAGGGGCGAAGAGGACGCAGGGGGAAAAAAGAAGAAGAGCAAGGCAAAAGAGGAGAAGAGATGGGGTGATAAGATCAGGTTAAGGAGTGAAGGGGTGCCGAGTACGACGGGGTACTATGCTGGCGTGGTACAAGACGGTGAGTTGGCGCGATGAGCTCGAGGGATGAGGAACAAGCTGAGTATGCAGGTGCACTTCACCTACACCCATTATCCAAGATACTGCAGATGCGTACCGCCCTGACATATCTCGACGACTTTGACGAAAAGAACCGGTCCCGACGAGGCCGGAAAGACGAGGATGATGGGGAAGAGAAGGAGGATAAGAAGTCCAAGCAGGCCGCTCAGGGTCCGCCAATAAAGGCGTTGAGAAAGGTCAGCTATCAAAATGGCTCCTTCTTTAGTAGTATATGAGCTGACAGAGCAGGAAGAGGAAGAAGGAGATGGGTCTGGGTCCATCAAGGACTTCCGGACAAAGATGTGGAGGTTGGCCAGGGAAGAGGCGGAGGATGCGTGGGTGCCGTACGAGTGGAGAGAGGGCGAGGTACGTCCACCGTCGAACACTTGCGCAAGGCTTCCGCTTACGAGGTAGGACGAGTCGGTGGTCGACGCGCTCGGGAAGCTGATTGTTTCGGAAGACAAGAGGGATAGGTTGACGTGCACTACAAAGGGGTTGGAGTATCTCGACAAAGCACATTGAGGGATTCCATGATAGATTGATAGATATCACGACGCGACACGACCAACCATGCATGGCGATGAGAGCAAGTGAGGTGTGTTGTCGGTGTAAGGTGTCGCCCGCTTCATGAGTCAGTACGCTCGGCGTCGATGCATGAGTGGAGATCGGTGGGGTAAGAAGCGATCTGACTGCTTCATGCTTGTCAGTATGCACGCGCTCGGCTGAGCCGCGCAAGGAACATCAGTGTCAGCGCCTGCGACGGCCAGCAGGGTCAGCACGGGCAGCGGATAGAAGTATCGGGTATCTCATGCAAGACATCTAAATGTAAGACCCCAGAGGAAGACAGGGATACGGCGGAGGCATATCAAAGCGAATAACAAGCCACTGGTCCTCATCGTGTCTAGACGGTCTCAAGACCTTCGTACTCGCTAAAAATGTCAGTCCTGATCCACAAGTTGTGGTGACGTCCAACTCTAGAAGGGCATAGAACTCACGACTCGACGCCGGGCTCCAGGAGTCCGGCGTGCGCACCAACAATACACCCCGAAGATCCGACGAGCCAGAAGAAGGTCGATAGTGGTGCAGCCCACCAGAGAAGCGGTAGACCTAGGAGTCAGCTCTGTGTCCGGCATTCTTCACGCTATGGAGAGCTGATCATAGCTGAAGCATGACCACATACCGATAACGAAGAGGCCGATGTAGAGATTCTGAGGGGTGATGACCTTGCCTGCGAATTCTATGGGCTCATGCACTGCCGAGTCAGCTTGACCCGGGACGTTGAGGAGCATAAAACTGACCAAAGCGTCCGATAGCGAGGAAGCCGCCAATCATAAAGCCCATAGCGAAGAGGAGGAGCATGTTGGTCAATAATGAGTAGACACCGAGGAGGCAGATCACGATCGCGTAGTTGGCTGAAAAGTAGCGGCTGAGAGTGTCAGCTGCGGCTACAGCAAAGCATTTCGAGCCATCATTGACACCCTCATCTCCCCAGCGCTCCATGATACCTAAGAGCAGGACTTACATGTTGTAGCTCGCGCGCTTCATGTACTCCTGCATGTCCATCGGCCTGCTCACACGCTGATAGTCAAAGAACTCTCCGGGATGACGGATCGTTCCGACCCGGATGGACGCCAGATTCTTGGCGTAATCCTGGACGCGCGTGATATGGTTGATGGCTTCCATGATGTTTGGCTTGACTACGTCGAGAGCTGTTGGTAGGTATGAGGAGGATGAGGTATGAAAGCAAAGTGGACGTGTCCTCTGGGGGTCAAAAGAAAACAACTTAAGGACGTGGATGAGACCCGTGCGTTGATCACGTGGCATTACAGCTTAGTGTTTCAGCAGCAAATCTTCGTTTCATCTTTGCTTCTGCTTCTCTATCCACCTGCTGCAGAGACGAGTAGCTGATGGGCGACATCTCGGCGGCTCTGGAGCAGCTAGAAGACCTCTGTGTATCTATACACAACTGGATCGCCCATATCCAGCCGGCAGCGCTGTATCGAGCGCCGATCATAGACTGGCATCATCCCGATGACTATACCCAAAAGGGGATCACGGGGCTGCGCAAGTTCCTAGGGACGGCTGAAGCTGAACGGGATCATGTAGCTGGGGTGAGCTGTTCCTTTCGTTGCTATGTATTATCAAGGAAGCGAGCTGACTGGATATAGCTCGCCAAATCGCCGATCTCGCCGAAAGAGTTCAGCTCGAACGCCCCGCACCTCCTCGCGGTATGGCATGAGTTCGTCCGCTCTGCCTGGCCCCTAGGCGCGATCAGTCAATCGCTCGATGTAGGAGCGAAAGTACCGGTCAAGGTGGACATCATAGCTCGCGGAGGAGCCGAGTGGGTGAAAGTCAGTACGTGAGTTAAGTTCTTCATGGCCAGGGATGGGTATAAGCTGACAGAGTCAGGATCAAGGAGACCCGCCTACTCGCCGAGTTTCGGGAACAAGACTCGTACAACAATTCGGACTATGACTCGGACACGTCCTCTCCCGGTGCTGGTCCCTCCCGTCTACCCGATCCGGCGCTCACCAACTCTCTCATCGTCCAAGGCGAGACCCTCCTTCGCGCCACCGAGGCGTATCCTCGTCCCTCAGGTCGACCGGCTCCGAGAGTCCGCTTGGTCTTAAACCGTCTCATTCGTCCCATCCACGGCTTCTCTGACGGCCGCATCGACCGCACCATCACCCACCTCGGATCTCTCGGTATCGTCGTCCAGCTCGGCCCTACCTGTGGTCTACCCCTCCCCTCCTCGCCTCGGGCACACCTCCGCCCCTCCAAGAATATCGTGCTCGATCTCTCGGTGCTCGTCGCTCTATGCTGTGACTCGACGCACTACCCCCTTCCTTCTACTCACAACGAGTTTGAGAGCCGCTTCCGCTCATTACGGATCGACGAAGTCACCGGCGAGCCCGTACTGTCAGAGCACAGCCACACGTCCAAGGATCTCCGAGATCAGCTGCAATGGGAAGCGCAGCACCCTCTCATCCAAGAGCTGAAGGACCGGCTAGGGGCCGTATCGGACGGTGACGAAGGCAGGGAGCTGGCGTTTTGGATAACGGAGGAGGTGAGAGGCAGGCTGCCGGCGCTGGTGGACGTCATCGGCGGACCGGAGGAGCGGAAACGGGGCAAAGCTCTGCTCGATCCTGAAGAAGGGAACTTCTGGCGCGGGAGCAGGTGGGAAGGAAACGAGGGGGTGTTGAAGGCTCTAAGGGTCCAGATTCTGCCTGATGACCCTGCCGCACCGGAGGCTCCGGTATCGATATTCCAGCGGACCCTTGTATCTACCTGCCAAGCCCTCGTCGTTGCGCTCGAAACCCCTATCACACCCGACGCTCCCCCCGCGACTCGTACACCTCGTCCGCAGAGACGATCCCGCCACCCCGCTAGGCCGGCGACGATGTTTCCGACGAATCGGTACCCGTCCGGGCATACGCTGCGGACATTGATAGCGGGTGCAGAGAGGGGGTGGACGGTGCTGAGCAATAATAGGGGGGCGATAGGGAAGGTGGGACGGGAGATGGGGATCAGCGAGGGGCTGTGTTGGTCTGCGAGCCAGCTTGAATCGGAAGGGCAACGTCAAGGGGATGCCGGACGTCATGATCAGGCGGGAGAATCTAGGGAGGAACGCGACGACGACCTGGCGGCGTTATGGGTCGTCAATCCCTCCAGTCTGTCAGAGTGGAGGAGGCTCGAAGTGGTAAATGATAATATGGCAGTACAGTGCGTGCCACGATGAAACTATATTTCTCATAGGTGTGCATGTGTTGGAAGATCGGAAGAGAGAGCTTTCGTTCCCTCTTATCCCAGCGGGCTTATTTGGAGGCGGACAAAGAGTCTGCTAGCCCGGCCGACTTCAAGAGCAGCGACGCAGGTGACCCTTAAGGTATCCCGAGCGACTCGGGTGCTACTGTAATGTCCAATTCCAGACGCGGGACTGGCATATCATTGAGATAATCTGCATACTCTGCAGGTCTAAGTCTGCTGTAGTTATGTCACCTTCCCGTCATCAAGGTCATGACAGCGGTCAGCGGAGACAAGGTCACGTGCCAGACTGGTCGATGAGGAATGAGGCGGAAGCACGGCAGCTTGCCGTAAGAGGGCTGTACCGCCAGGACTCTATTCAGCGCTCAGCTTGCGAAGTGCAGTACCGACTCGAAAGCGCGGCCCGGAGCCAGTTCTGAAGTACTTCTCCGCCCTCGGGAGCTGCCTGAGTGCTGTCAGCTGGAGCTTCACGCGTGCCGGGGTCTGGCAGATCTTGTGTCAAGGAGGGTACAGGGTGTTGCTACTTCGGGAAATTCCAGGCCGTTTCACTTCGACGGTGGCGGTCCCTGGCTGATACCACGAGGCTCACCGTATGCATACGCAGACCATCTGTGGCGGTCCCTGGCTGATACCACGAGGCTCACCGTATGCATACGCAGACCATCTGGGACAATCGATGAGGGACGGCTTGCGAGCGATATCAGCTGCGACTGCCATTGCCGTGAGTTGCGATGCTGCGCGAGTCACCGATCCCAGCGTCAACCGGCTTCTAGTGGGAGAAGCGAAAGTAGGCGGAACACAAATTCTCGGCGAGTTCACTTCTAGCGGCAAATCCTATTCAGATGCTTCTCAGTGTTCAAGATTGGAGCGTAATTGCTTCTTGCACACTTAGGGACGTCTTATGTGTGCTTGTATCACAGGTCCTTAAATAACAGCGATCGCGATGGCATGAGCCATAGTGTACGTCCTACTGCAGATATATCGGACCTAGCTTAGGGGCTCTGCCCGTTCAAAGAGGTCCAGTTCTTACGCTGGCGATTCATTGCCCTGAAATCTATCTCGCTGCAGTATGCGGGCAATGCTATGTGCCAGATCTTGCCAAGCTGCTTCTTTCCAATGCGTCGCTTCTCGTCCGCATGCGATAAAGCTGCTTCGGCCGCCTCCAATCAGAAGCATAGCGGAGCCGCTTCTTCGTCGAGTGCAGCCGTTTTGTCCGCGCTTCTTGTGACGAAAGTGTGTGTCTCGGCTGGTGGCAACTGTGACGAGCCCTACGCTATATAAGCCGGCTTGCCTTCTCACCTCTTTCAGCAGCCTCTTCATCATTCAATCAATCCGCCTACACTCCACTCCAGCTCCAGCCCATAGCACCACTACTTCGACTAAATCTCCTCACCTCACGACAAAGAGTATGGCTATCTTCCACCAGTTCAAGCAGGTCCTTGGTCTCCTTCGCGGGTACGTTCCGCGCGTCATCTTCCTCCGGCCTGCAGTGACTGACATATCAGCCACATTCAAGCGCCGGCCGATAGCGTCAGCGCTATGCGTTGCAGCACGCCTGGTTGTACCTCTTTTGCGGTCGCAGGTGGCAAGAAGTGTGTCAGTCATACGTTTGTCAACTACGACGCATTCATGCTGTTCAGCTGATGAACAGACACTCCCGACTACAAGGTGTGAAGCGGGCATTCAAGAGGACAGGGGTGCCAATGGGGGAGGGTAGGAATGAGCGGGCCATATGGTATCCCTGTTGTACTAGTTATGTATTAGGCGACTGATCATGCAAGGTATGCGATCTAGTCAGCACCCCAGCGAGAGTCGCTTCTCTATTGTGTGCGAAAGCATAAGACAGATGGGCTACCAGTCACATGGACGAAGTGCCTCATCCTGGAGAAGAGGCTCTTATTAGAGTTTGGATGATCGAGGTTGCTTGATCTTCTACTATTTTGTTCTTCTTTGCTGCTCTCCTTGGTCGCCTCTTCCATACACACAAGATCACAATAAGCTCTCCCTACAGCAACAGGCAAAGTTGAGACAGTGCTATGCTTGACTACCCGTGCGAGGAACTGGGGTGTACCCGCCTCTCCATACAGGATGGGCACTGTGGGACATGTCACCGTCATCTTTGCGCCAATCATCTTCATGACCCAGACGCCCATGCTTGTGCTTCAAGCGATGTGAGTCGACACACTACTGTGCACTAGATGTGATAGTGAGCTGACTCTTACAGGCAGACGAGGATTATATCAACCATCTGGCGAGAACAAGACACGTGAGACTTCCCGCACTTGCTTGGCTTCCAACTTACGTCCAGTTCGAGCTGCTCCAGGAAGCTCTGGAGGTGCTGGATGTACGGGGCACCGCGGAGGCTCTTCGGTCCGGACGCCGCATCTCTCATTGCGCCGAGTTGGAGTCAAGGTCTCTCCCAGCCGGCTGGTACAACGTCCATGTACCGATCATATTCGATGATGGCGTCAAGTGGGTAGCACGTATTCGGCAGGGTGGCTTCCACTCTGGGCCTCGCGATATTGGAAGGGCCATATTGCTCGGAGAGATCGACGTCTTGAGGTGGCTGAAGGACGTTGTAGGAGCGCCTGTTCCGAAGGTGATGTCGGGGTTGAGGAGTGAGCCCTTTTCACGATCCTTTCCCACTCTTGATACATTGAAGCATGCTGATTATCGCAGTCGACGGACCAGCCGATTACTATTTCCAAGAGTTCCTACCTGGATCAACCTACGAACCCGACTTCCATCGCACTATCGCCGAGGCAAAGCTTCGTCGCACCATCACCGATCTCGCTCAATTCTTCCTCCGTATCTCGGACCATCCCCTGTCCGGCATCGGCTCTCTCTACGCCGACGGACACGGCTTGAACGAATGGACTGTCGGTCCTCTCATCAACAACATATGCGTCAACAAAGAACGTCCTTACTTCCCCGGACCGTTCAACACAGCGGGAGAGAAATGGGCATGCATCTTCAACGACTACCTCAAGGCCATCCAGATGCGGTCTCTACACTCTACTCGTACCAAGCTCGCCTATTACATATACCACTGGGTGCGCCAGGCGGTGTTATCCTATCCCCCATACAACATACCGAACGAGCCGACCTTCCTACTGCATGAAGATAGCAAGTGGGACATCATGATGGTTGACGAGGAGGGGGCAATCCGGGGTCTGATCGACTGGGAGAGGTGAGTTTTGAATAATCACGGGCTAAAGCCATACTTTGGCTTCTGCTGACTCTCTAGGGCATCGGTGTCGATAGGAGCGGAGGCATTTGCCGCTCCCTTCGGCCTGATGAACAGCGAAGCCATCTTCTCCGGCGACAACACCCTCTCCGCGGCCGAAGTACAGCTCGCCAACACGTACCGGACTCTTGGTCGCCCGGATCTCGCTCGGTATGTCGAGGGCGGAAAGGTGTACCAGCGGCTGGCTTACATCTGCTCGGGAGGCGACGCCTGGTCGGGATATCCGCAATTAAGAGGTCTGGGTCAGGCGATGGGGTTGGTGATGCCGGATAGTATGGAGGAGTTCATGGAGCTACAGGAACAGAAGTACAAGGAGGAGCTAGAGGAGCTCATGAGCAGTGATACCGCAGAATAGAGGATTCTGAGTATTTGTTGTTCAAGCAGGAACCCGTCGCAAGTATCAGGTTGCCGCGCCATAAGTTTAGCTTTCTGAGCGGCATGAGGCCATCGACTGATGACGATGGGATCCTTACAAGGGCGGCATCGACCCAAACGGACTGAGCGAGCATTGCAGAACTCCACCGTAGCCTCTGTACCGGACCAGATAGCCGTCGTCGACATTGGGCCTCTCCCCCCTGAAGTCATGTCCGAATCGGTCCCACTTTGTCGCATCAAGAGGTGTTCGACGCCGATAAGCTGACACCCGCACCTTCTCCAGCTGGTCTAGATTTGACATACGCCCCCAAACGTTGGTACTCCTTGAGTAGCTCTCCAATCTCCGACATCTTCAAGTCTCCCAGATCGCCTACAGGATTAGCGGATACTCCAGATCTACCGATGATGACCGACTCACAAGTCATGAATCTCTCGACGGGGTTTGGTGGAGGGTCGGCAGGTAAGACAGACGAGGTCCGGCTCAGAGATGCTGCACCAGAGGGAGATGAGCCGGAGTTGGCGCGAAGTCTACCGGTGATGTCGGCATTACCGCTGAGGAGAGAGGCGCGACGGCTATGCCCTTGACCGGTGGACGAGGAAGAACGAGCGCCAGTGAGACTAGCGAGGAATCCAGTGGGCTGCTGGGTAAGCTATTTGGGTCAAGATAGTAGCGGCATAGATCTGCTTACCTTTGCTGCTGGTTCTTTCTCTGGGCTCGGCACCTGAGGCGTTTCCGCTGGTGTGACGGGCCCCGACCCGGAAGTAACCCTCCCAAAACCGCCTATATTGGCCAGCCGATCGCTGAGGCTGACCCTGGCAGCATCGTCCCTTCTGCCCTCCTTGGACAGCATGCTACTGACACTCTTGATGCTCCTAGCATCCGAGAGTGCTCGAGTATCCGTCCGACCCGCATTGAAGGGGTCCGGCCTGTGGTCCGCCGATCCCTCCGTGTCCGCCGAGTCGGACTCGGAGTCCGAGGGGTACTCCTCCTTGTCATGCTCCTTGATTGACTGGGGGCGGGAGGTGACGTCGATCATCTCTTGGTTGCCTTGCCACTGTTGTGTTGGAGGGGGTTCGACGGCTCGGGAGTTGGCTCGAGACCGCGCAGCCGCTTGCGTGGTTGCTGCCGCGGCCGCTGCTATATTGGCAACGCTGGCCGTCACGTTCGCCAACGAGAAGGATGAGACCTGACGACCTCGCGTTGCCGGCCTCGTAGCTCCCGTTGTTGTGGAATCGCGGTCGTCTTCCGCTCCAACCGCAGTGGTACCGATGAGACCCCGTACGGCGGACCAGGAAGAGTCGATGACGCCGGTGATGACCTTGTTCGCCGACCCCGCTGCTGATCCCGCCAATTCCCCAACTTGAAACACTCTTCCCCGCAGCCGGGAGCTCGCCGAAGCGATGCTCCGCGCATCCGGATTGCTCTCGTCGAGGTAGTTGAGCCCGATCGGCGATAAATCCGCCACGCTCATGACCTTGTCCGACTCTCCGCCCAGTCCCAACTCCGCCAGGTCGACATGCTCCAAGAACTCGACCACCGCCGTGAGGTTGACCATGGCGTACGAAGCCTCGCCAGTGAGGCAGATTGCCGATCGGTATCGCCGAAGGTACATCAGCTGACTCGCGAGCTGGGGTGGATTGGCCTGAACGACCGCGAAGATGATGATGGGCAGGATGAGGTCGGCACCCGATGTGCTTTGCTTGGGAGCAGGTCTCGGGGCCGGGACCTCGGATGGCTGGGCCACCATGGAGCCAGAAGGCGACATGGACGCGGCGTGGAGTGTCATGACCGAGTCTCCCAAGGCCTCTTCCAGCTGCGAAGATTCCGATATCTCGATATCCTCGGCCGGAGCGGGGACATCGGCCGGCTTCTCTGCTGTAGGAGGAAGAAGGAGAGACGATGATGATTGGGTCACCGGAGAGGGATCGGCTTCCAGCGTCGGCGCTTGGGATATGGCTGGAGATGGTTTGTATGGCTCGCCTTCCGGCCGAAGTTGAACGGGAGGTAGGTCTGCGAGACCATCTACAGATCAGCGCCTACTCATCAGACCATGGCCAGCTGCTCACCGACGACGAGCTGATGCGCTCGGATCAACACATCTGCCTTCGCCCTCGGAACCAAGCAGGAAGGGGTGATGAGCTGCTGCAGCTCATCCCCTATCTTGTCAACTATCGAGGCCAGTCCGCCGGCAATTGTCCCCGGAACCCCTTCATCATCAGGTCGGGTAATGAGACCGAGATGATCAAGCGATAGTTCCAGCATGTTGAGCGCGGCTATTCGAGATGCTAAGGCTTCGTCATGTCTACCATCATCGGAGTTGAGAGGTGAGAAGAGCCTGATCGTCAGCCTTAAGCTACATACTTCACTCACCGATTATAGAGCAACCTCGTTACGAGCGCCTCGACCCTCTCTGCACCTTCCGTGCCCTCCTTCTCCGCCTGTTCCTCCCGCTCACGTCTCCGCTTGTCCTTGATCTCCTTTGACACCTCTTCCTCCGTACCCTGGCTTCCATTGCTCCCGCTCGACCTTCCCCATGGCTTGCCTCCGCTACTTTTCCGCCGCAATCCTCCCTCCGCCACAAATAGGCTCGAATCGTTCCGGTAATGGACCACCAGATCATCATATACCGCCTCTAGAAAGTCCTGCAGTTGCTCGCTTGCCCGAGCGGGATCGGTGAAGTCTATTGATGGGGTGGAGTCGGGCTCAACGAGCTTGGTGGTCAAGGCATCTTGGGTAGTCCCCGCGCCGGGACAGATGCTTGCGAGGACGAGTTTGGCGACCCGGTCAGCGATCTTGTCCGGCAGACGCGCCAACTCGTCCTTGACATGCGCCCGAACTGCCTTTGATAGAGCTTTCTGCACCTCCGATGTGCGAATAGGCTTTGCCACCGTGTAAGCTTGGACGGAGAAGCCCTCGGCGTCTCTGCTCGTGGCGTCGGAGATGACTGACGCATCGTCGGCGTTTTCGACGGATAGAATGGATGGCGCTGGCGAGCCCGAGTTGGGGGACAGATCGAACCCAGACACCATCAACGTTCCCTGGTCCGTAGGGCGAGTCGCGCCGGCCCGAGCTGAGGTGTCCCGGGTACTTGTCGCTGCCTGCGATGACGAGCCGAAGAAGGAGGCGAAGGGGTTCATTCGTCCCAGCTTGGCAGCCGAGGCCTTGGTATCCTGCGCCTGATCCTTGGTGTCGATAGGCCCACCGATGGGTCTTCCGAGCGGTGGAAAGGCCAGAGAAGCCGATTGCGAGGAGAGGGGATACGAGGGAAAGGCGGTGCGGAGGGCGAGCGTTGTAGGTCTTAGCGTGGCGAGAACGCCTGGACGAGTGACCGGATCCCGCAGTGCAGCCAGCAGGTGCGAGTCTGGCTGAAGTATGGACTCGAATGTGACCGTGCCGCTGTCTAGTCAGCTTCAGATCCACTTCGGCCTGCTTTGACTTGCCCTTTCAAGGTACCCATCAAGCCTGAGAGAGTGACTACCATAGACACGGTCTCTCCGGCAGCATCTCTCGCCTTCTCTGCTAGCGAGTCAGAACTCCGCATTTGCGATGGAAGCATCGGGGAGAGGTGGATAGGGGGTGACAAGAAGGCGATGTGTTCTCGCATGACCGGCGCTGTCATAGGTAGAGAAGACGCCGAGGCGGCTGGAAGGAGGAGGATGGCCTAAGTAACATGAGCTGCTACTTTGTCGTCTACTGATACGAGCTTACCTTTCCCGAAGGTAACACGCGCAAGATGTCTCCCCATTCACCACCCTCACCCTGCCTGCTCCCACTCCTCGCAACCTGTCCTTTGTCTACGACCGCGTCCACCATCGCCATCCCGATGCTGCCGTTCGCCAGTCCCAGCCGCTGAGCACTGGCTTTCAGGCTCTGTACCTGTAGCCGGCTCGTAGCTGAGCCAGAGGAGGGACCTGCACGTGAAGTCTCGCTTGACATCCCCTCGGAGGCCGAAGGAGGTAAGGCGAAAGTGGAGGAGGTTGAGGTCGTCGGTGGAGCTGTGGGAGCAGCAGGGGTGACGCCGGCTGAGATGACAGGGCTAGTAGTTCCTGTAAAGGAGCTCGACGAGTCCCGATGTGTATGGCGTTGTCGAGGCTTATAAGGAAGGGATTCGGCTGGCGTGCGGGAAAAGGTGGATGAGGCTTTTGGAGATAAGATTGGGTGGGAGGGCGATGAGCCATGTCCGACAAGGCTGGTGGGATCAATGTCGGTGTTGAGATTCAATGAGGACGTTGAGGCGCCGAGTAGTGGATGAGCTAGCGTCTCCGAGGAGCGAGGTGATTTGGCAGCTCGCCCGAGGGAGAGCGAGGAGAAGAGGCCGGTAGGTTTCGGCTCAGCCATGGTGGCTGTGGCTCTCCAGAGCTTTGCTACGAGCTTACAGCGAGTGTGAACTCGACAGGGCAGTCCGTCCAGCTACGGTGAGGTGGATGGGTTGCTGACACACTCAGACGAGACTCGAAAGATGGTGGCATTAATGAGAACATGGCGCTGGTATCTTCTTGGGTATCTTGGGTGGGCGCCGGAGGTCGACCATCCGTGCGTGAAAGGTGCCGGTTTCCATCCTCTTCATCTTGGAGTGTGCAGGCCTCTACATGACATGTATACATCTGGATCATCTAGTTATGAGCTACTCTACCTATATAGATACATACAACTCGAGCCCTTAAATATTAATAAACAACACAGAATGGGAAACGCTTAGAACCAGGGCATGACCATCTCGGGCATCGCGGCGAGATGGGTGGGAGATGTGGCCTGGGAGATCAAGCTGACGATGGCATGTACCACTGGCGGGGCGTTTGGCGTCTGATATGATCAGCAAGGCCATCTCCTAGAGTCTGAAGCTAAGCTTACCTTGTCTGCATTCTCCCCAATGTACCCCAGAGCCGTGACTCGCCTGACGAACTGGTCAACGTTTTGAGAGACCGAGCGGCTAAGGGTGTCCACCTTGGCATCCTTCATGTAGGTGTTCTGCCAGGTCAAGATCTATCGAATCAGCGATGCTCTTTTTGGGATCAGGCAATATACATACCTCATCTCGGACAAAGAGGGATAAGCTTCCAGCGAGATCGAAACCGGGCGATTGGAGGGATCTCGAAATGGCGGTAACGGCTGCAGTCATTACGCCCTCGATGCCGACCCGCGTCATGAAGTGCTGCATGTTGGGGGTGAGACGGAAAGGGCAGGGCTCCAGTGCGACGATCGTGGGGTGTCCTTGGGCAAAGCCTAAGAGCGTCAGCGCCTATATCCGATTGGGACGATGCCAACATACCTGGTAAGACCTCGGTCATGTACACAAGTCCCGTCCTCCGGCTGAAGTGCAGGCGATTTGGTGCCCGATTGTGTAGGCAGCACAGATAAGTCAGGAATGACACACTGGCGATCTGCATGGCGAACTGCTTTCGCATGAGCCATAGAGCTTCCGGGTTGGCCATCGTGCGGATCATGTACTGCAGGGTCAGTCATGAACCGTGACCAGCTAGACTTGTACGCACGTTGGAAAGGATAGTTTCCGGGACCATCTTTGCCTGGACTTCCTCAAATGCCTCCATCTTGATCTGCAGCACTCGCTGGTCATTCTGCACAATCAGTTGATATCCTAGCGCCAAGGGAAAGACTCACCTTCTGCATGCTCGGATCCGCCAGCTGCTTCACCTTCTCACTGAAGAACATGATGCTGTCCTCCCTCGTCCGATCTCGGCTCCTGCTGTACTCGTCGTAAACGTCCTGGAGCGAGACGTATGACGAGTCGTTCTCAACCAATCGGAGCTGTGGAGCCATGGCAATGGCAGCTGGAAGGTGGAACTGGATGTTACGCCTTCGAGCTTCCTTACGCTTGCGCAGGACATTGTTGAGGATGCGGAAGAGCTGCGTGAGACGCTCTTCCCGTCGACAATGGCGAGCGGCGGGCATCTGAACGCTGAATGTGTGGATCGAAGTGTCGTGACCAATCATGGTGATGCGGCGGTAGCAGTGAGCGTGACCACGGGCTACCTCGTGTCGAGGCGCAAAGCGGGCGATTTTGACGAACTCGTCTGCGTGATCGGTGTGCTGCACCATGAGCTTCCGTCCATGAACTCAAGCGGCAAACGTACATGGACGTATTGACCTGGGACCTCCACATCATCGAATTTGGCATGGTGGAAGTCGATGAGGTTGCAACCACCCTGATCCAGTGGCTGATAACGAGGTCGAGCGTCCAGACCCCTCTCGTAGCTATCGCGCCAGTACTGGAGGCGGCGGATGTACTCGCGGAGCTCGGGTGTATCGCGCATGAAGTCCTTCTCGATAGCAGTCTGCCAGGTCAGCGAAGACTCGGTATAGAAAAAGAAGAGACTCACCCTCATCTCGCCGGACAGGTTGGACGAGAACTTGATCAGATTCTCCTTGGTGGTGGCGCTCAGCTGACCTGCCTCGCCTGTGCTGTTCGCTCGGCTGCTCCATTGCTTAACTTCAGCTCTGCTCTCATTGCTGCAGCAAATTTACTCACAGCCAAAGCATCCGCCAGCAGGGCGGCGAAGAAGCGGTAGATATCTTCATCCGAAGCTGGTTTCGACCGGATCGTGATCTGGTCGACCATCTTCTCCATGGTGAGACTGAGCAAGGGGAAGGATGACTTCATGTTGTTCATGATTTCGTCGACGAGCTCCCAGGGCTGGCGCAGCCCGTTGGGAGCCGTGATGTTGGGCTGCGTAGGCTGAAGGGCATCGTCTACACTCACCGAGCCGCCTTGCGAAGATGCCGGCACCGTGAGCGTCTGAGAGGCGGGCGGTTCCTTGATATCCAGTGATGCTACGTCAGGCTTTTCTCCTTCCGCCATCGTCACGTCTTCAGATAACGACCCAACTGCCGCCGGTGTGGGCGCGGCCGGGGCTTGCGTGCTCGCCGCTGCCTTGGCCTGCTCTGCTGCCCTTTTCTGCGCGTGCGCCTTGTTCTGCGCCTGTTGACGCCTGACTGCGCCAAAGTCCTCTTTCGTCACCCGAAGCTGGTAGAACAAAGCCTGGCGATTAGCTTGATCGATCCAAGTGATGCTTCCGACTTACTTGGGGGTACATCTTGGCCATTCGGAGCAAGAGCGTTCTCGCCTGCTTGGCTTCTCGATGGGACAGCGATAGAAGCAGCTGCGGGATGAGGGTGATCCAGTACCACAAGACGATGTCGCCCTTGTAATTCTCGAAGGCCTTGGCGATAGTGTTTTGCGCGTCGTCGAGTCCGAGGAGCCAGAGGACACGGAGGAGGAGGGCCCGTGCTTTGTGATTGCTGTATAGCCCGGCCGCCTGGAGGTAACATGATACGGCGCCCGAAGCAAATACCGCCCGCTCCCGTGCATATCGCGACTGGAACTCCTCCTTGGTCATCCGCGGTTGGCCCGGCTCGGAGTCGGGAATCGGCTCCGGCGCCATCTCTGGCCGATCGCAGTAGATCTTGTCGTTAAATCTACCCCACTCCGCCCAGGCCTTGGGAAGGTTTGGGTCCATCTGGATGGCGTGGGCAAACTCGGCGTTGGCTTCGTCATTTTGACCGAGCTGGGCGATAAAAACCCCCTTGAGCGTGAGGAATTCGGCCTTTTGGGCGGGGGTGAAGTACATCAGGTTGGTGGTGCTGATGTTCTCCAGTCCCTCGTTGAACTTCTCCGGCTTCTGGAAGAAGCAGAGCGCCTGTTCCCGCAATTTCAGGAAGGCTTCCGAGATCTCGATATTGGGCAAGGAGTAGATCTTGTTGAGAGCGACGCTGCAGACGTCCAGCAGATTGTGGCGCCGCGCCATCTCGCCGAACCGATTGATGGTCCAAGCAGTTTCATGGTACCCGCGGAAGCCGTATGTAGCTGTCTCCGCCTGGGGGATGAGGGGGACGTACACCTTGGTGACCGCCTGGAAGACGTGCTGGCGCCAAGCGAGGAGATCCGACCAGACGCTGATGTCGTCCCAGAAATTGGGAAGACGTTCGCGCCAGGTGGTGAAGATGGGCTTGAGATCGTTGGTCGCCCGTAACTCGAGGTTCTGTTGAGTAGTCTGTTGCAGGCTATCAAAGACCTGAGATGCCTCGGTAAGCTCGACGCACTGCTGGAACATTTGCAGCAGTGGGAGGTGGGCGGCGGTGGTATGGGAGGGGAGGCTGATCCATTTGCGCAGTGTGACCTGTTGAGCCTCGTCCAGGACGCGGAGGAAGTCATTGGGCGCCTCGCGCGAGCTGTGGGCCTTGAGCAGCGCTATGTACGCCTCGAAGGTCTTGCGACGGGGCGTAGGCACGTCGATGACCCGATTGATGTTGGTCTCGATCGTCTCCCGGTCCGATGATCCCCAATCAGAGATACGCCAAGCGCACTCGAGGAGGAGATCTGAGTCCTGGTCGGTCCGCGCCAGCTCGGTGAGCGCATCCCAGTTCTGGAGCTTTTGCGCCGCCAGAATCCAGTGATCCTCCCAGAGGCAGTATTCGTACTCGGAGAACGGCAAAAGACCGCCCCGAGCCTTCATCTGCCCCTGCTCGTACATCTCTATCGCCTGTGGCCAAAGCCCATTCTGCTCGTACGTCAAGGCCGCCGTCGTTTCGGGGTAGACGCAACGGCTGCGAGCGAGACCGTAGAACATGTCGTCCTCGCAGAGCTCGGCATACAGCTCGCTGAGAGCCGTAGCGCAATTTTCCCGTAGTTCTTCATCGCCCCGATAGATCTCGCTGAGCTTGTGGAGGTACTCGAAACCGACGTACCAAGCGTCGTACGTCTTGGCGAGGTATTTGATGAGAAGTGGAGGGAGGGTGATGATTGGCGAACATGGAAGGATGCCCTCGAGGAAGGTTTGAATGACATTGGGACGCAGCTCGACCTGCTTTTTGTGGTGGTCCTTGGCGAGGAGTTTGATGATGTAGGGAGTGAAGGCGGCCTGCTGCGCACGGCTGAGGGACGCCCAGCACTTGGGGAAAATGGCCGACCAGAGCTGACGAGCGAGACCGCTATCGATGTGGATGAGATTCCGGGTAGGGATGAGAAGATCTGACGCGGTCTGGGCCGCCGCAAGAGCGATCATGGGATCGTCCTCGCTGATCCTCGGCAAAGCTCGGCTGTAGACCCGCTCGCTTGGATCAACGACACCAAGGAGCATACTGAGGATCTGGGGGATCCAGTAGCTCTCCGCCAGAGTGTCCCAATTCTGCAAAGAGAAGAGGTACTGGAGACGGCCGTCGAGCGAGCGCGGGAGACTGGCTTCCAGCTTGTTGAGGAAGCGGATCCGCTGCGCCTGATTGCGGGACCGAGTACCGAGGAGGAACGCCGGCTCCAACCGATGAGTGAGGTCGGTACCGCGCAGATCGTCCCGCTCGTAAATGTCATAGACGAGATCGAGGTACTGCTGGAACAGCTGCTCGTCCCGCTGCTCGTACGTCGCCATGCGAAGCAGCATGGCCGCCTTCTCCTTGCCCAATGACGCTGGCTCTGGGTCATCCAGCACCCACTGCTTCATGACGTCCAGCAGGTACCGGCAGAGCGAAAGATTGGTAGACTTTTCGATGAGGCTGAGAACCACGTTGTTGAGCGCGCGCCTGTGCTCGCGGAGATCGGTGACCCGACCGCGGAGGACTTCCAGCACCGAGATGATTAGCCGATGGGCCTGGTCCGGCGCATTTGGGTTGGTAGTGTGTACCTTGGCGAGATTGGAGAGGACTTTGAGCAGACCCGTTGCGATGTTGTCGTTCTGTATCTGCCTCGGCTGGACCTTGAGCCAAGCCCGGAGGAGGAAGAGGGTACCCGGGAGACTGGAGCTCTGTCGAACGCTGGCAGTGAGGCCGTCGTTGACGGCGGTGGAGATGTAGGTGTGGAGATCCTTGGCCTCCTTGCCCGCCTCTTGGTCATCATCCGCCATCTCCTTCATCATCTCCGAGAACAGTCGGTCGGTGAGTTTGTCGACCGTCTCGTGCAGACTGGGTTCGTCAAAGACCCAGACCTTTTCGAGCAGGCTCGACAATACGCCCAGATTCTGCTTGACCCAAAGGTCGTTCTTGGACGCGGCGACGGCTGCGATGACTTCGGTCGAGTTGGCGACCGAGTTGAGGTTGGCTTCGGTAATATCCTAATACTCAGCGCGGCGTAAAGATCAAGATGAGATTACTCACCGCCTTCATTGTCCGGCCGAAGAAGCTCAGCTTCACGTGCACTACCAGCCCCTTTGGCCCCAATATCTCCTTGAACAGCTCGAGCGCCCTCTTGGTCAATCCGCCTCGCGACACCGGATCGCTCGAGCTCGACACCAGCCGCAGTAGATGTGCGGTCATCAACTCCTTGACCTGCGTGGGCGCCGCCCATCCCCCTCCGCTGCTCGTCGATATCGCCGTCCCCGCCCGGTTGATCTTCTGCCTCTTAAAAGGCGACTCATCCCCGTCTCCCTTCCTCTTCGATCCTGCCTCATCCACATCCATCGCTTCATCCCTCGCCACCATCCTACGCCTCTCCCACCGGAAGATGAGCTCGACGATGTCCACCGTGAGCTTTTTAAGGTCGGGTGTGGTGGACTGGACGAACGCAAGCCGAGAGAGCGAGGTGGCGACGTGCGGTACGTAGAGCTCACGGTACTCGTAGAACTGGTCGGGATGATTTACGAGGAGCTCGCATACGGTGACGAGCTGGTTGGTCTGATGACCATCCTCAATGAGGACGCTGCGGACCCGCTGAGCCCACTCAGGGATCGCGTGGGCCGGCATGGGCTGACCGTCCGGTCTCCGCTCGCCGCCGTCCATGTGGTGCTTGGTCAAGCAGCCCGCCAGGATGTCGATCGCCTGCCTGTAAAGCGTCCGATTCTCATTGTCCTTGAGCCGCAGCAGACCCGTCCAGGTAAGTTTGAGGAACTTCCACGGCGTCTCGTACGTTGCCATGAAGCGAGCCGCGAGGAGATACGCCATGAGCTTGACGGTAGGTTCGAGCAGGTTGACGCCCATCCAAGCAAGCTTGAAGACGTCCTTGCGAGTGTCGGCGACCTTGGTGGAGAAGTGCTCGACGATGGTAATGGTGAGGGCGAATATCTCGATGAGGAGGTCGTCGTCCCGCTGACGAGCAGTCTGGGTAACCGATAGTGGCCGCCAGATGAGTTGAGCAAGTTTGCTGGTGAAATCCTCCGGTAGGATCGACCCGTCATTATCCGAGGCGACGTACATCCGCAGCAACGGGTTGACGACGAGTCGAAGCCCGTTGGCCTTGAACTCCCAGGTGACCGGCTCCTGATCATACAGGTTGAAGAACGCCTGCAGGACCTGCCGACGGTATTCGACCGAATCCTGCAGCGCCGCCTGCTGATACAGGAAGAATGCGACGTTTGACCTTTCAAACGCGCTCTTGACTTCGAACGCCTCGACGAGGTGGAAGAGTAGGGGGACGTGCTTTTGGAACCGCAGGAACCGCATGAAGAGCTCCAGGATCAATGACGGCATCTGCTGGTATGGGAGAGTCCGGATATCTGGGTGGTTGGTGCGTGATTTGAGGAGGACAACCCGCCAGACCGCGACTAGGTATTCCAGGATGGCTTCATTCTCCATGAACCAGGTGTCACTGGTCTTGGACAGCTCGCCGACGATCTGCAGACCGGGCATGACGAGCTCGACGACCTCCGGGTGCCGTAGCGTGAGTTCACAGATGGCCTCGATCCGGTTGCTGAGCTCCTCGACGAGATTGGGAGCTTTGCCCGATGCGATGATATTCCGGAACGTCCAAACATACCGAGGATCCCGTATGTTGTCGATAAGGCATTGCGCGCCCTGCGAGTAGTACTTGTCAAAGTACGCCGCCATGCTGCCAGTGAGCGGACCGGGGACGAATTGCTGAAGCTGCGCCTCGGCATTGACGACGAAGGACGTGAGCTGGACGAGGTACTCTTCCGCGCCGGTGGGAAGCAGCCGGAAGACGTTGACGAGCCGACTCATCCGCGCAATGTCCGGATTGTCCTCCAGCGGGGCGAGTGCGGCCTTTTGCAAGGATTGGGCATCGCCGAGCGCCTGAAAGTGCTCGAGCAGCTTGACGCCGATCTCGAGCTTGAAGTAGCTCGTGAGGAGCTCGAGGAACCGAGCCAGCCCGTCAAGACCGCTGACGCTGAGCCGTTTCGCGTCCGCCAGGTTGACGAGGATTGGCCTCAGTCCCGCCTGGAGCAACTCCTTTGGCAGCTTCTGCTGGTTCTCGATGGAGTCCCGCAGACCCTCGTGGGCCACCTCGACGATCTCCGGCTGTTGGGAGTAGACGTGTTTGAAATACACCTGGATAATGCGAGACCGAGTTTGGGCGAGTGCCGCCTGCGTGGTGAAGGTAGGCAACGACATGGCGGCCCGAAGGAGTTTCAGGCAGGCTATCCGCAGCGCCTTGATCCAGTACTCCTGCTTTTGCGTGGCCGGCTTGATGATGAGGGTTTCATCTCCAACGTCCGCGAGGGCGATGACCTCGTGCGAGAGCCGGACAAACTCCTCGGTGGTGTCGATAGGGGAGGGTTGGACGTGGATGAGCCAAGTGACGGCGTCAATGTTGGCGACCTGCATGGCGAAGGGTAGCGCGCGGAGGGGTTTGGAGAAGATCGGACCGGCGCTGGAGTCCAGCAGCTTGGACTTTGCAGGCTCAACGATCAGGTCGTAGACTGACCGGCCCGTTGCCTCCGACAAAGTGGCAATTGACGCCTGGGCGCACTGCCGACTCGCCAAACTCTGAGAGTTGAGCTCGATGACAAAGGTCTCGACGAGCTTTGTCAACCGCGGCGTGCCGGGGTTCTCATTGGTGCGACCGCAGCGGAGTATATCCTGGACGAGCTCCGACACGCCGACGGCGGTCTTGGGCGCCTGTATTGGGGCATCCCGAAGACAGAAGAGTAGTGCTCGGACCAGCTCAACCTCCAGGTCGTAGAGGAGACCCCGATTGACGTCGACGTGTTTGACGATCGTACGGATCGCCGCGACACCCGCCATCTTCCGATTCCAGTCCTCCTCGTGACAGAGGGTGCAGAATCGATGGACGAAAGTCTGCAACCCCCTGTCGATGGCTCTGCTCGAGTCTTGGTTGGCGTTGGACGCTGGCCAAGGCCCGAGGGTCCGGAAGTCCGCCATGATCACGGCAAGTAGCTCGCATAAGCCGTCCCGCTCCGAAAGCCGGCACCGAGCGAGGGTGTCGACAAAGCAGTCGGCGAGGGCGGATGTGAGGGGGAGGTACCGCTTCCGAGCCATTTCGCCAACAATAAGGTCGATATCCGTCTTTGTGTCGACGCGGACCATCTCGGCAGAGAAGACGCGCCGGCAAAAGTTGCGTACGAACTCGGTCGCTTTGGCGGACAGCTTGGGATGTTGGCAGGCCAGAAAGAGCCTTCGCATGGCTTTGATGAAGGTGTCGTTGTTTTCGGGACTCGGTCCGTTCTACTGGTCAGCCAATGGTCTTTGCTGTACCTTGCGTACTTACCGGTTCCAACACCGCCATCATGGCAACCATCAGGATCTGCAGACTGTCCTCCGCATGCTCCGCCACCCCTTCATCGAGAGCGATCGTCGCAGTGTTGACGACTGATCCCAGCTGGAGCTGGTGGCTCTTGCCCTCGATGAAGATCGGCACCGAAATGTCCGAGCCGACGTTCTTGTACTCGAGCAGATTGTCGACCTCCTGAAACCGCCTATTCCTGCCTCCCAATTTGCCCAGAATCCGAATGGCTGATTGCGCGTGCGAGCGATTGGCAGGGACAGGCTTGAGCAGCCTATGTAAAGCCGCCATGAGCTCGCGGAGTATTGGACCCATCGTCGGGTCCAGGAAGTCGGCCGTAAGATTGTCGATACACAGCTCAAGAGTCCGAAGACCTTGACTGACCGAATCGGGACCGGCGCGGAGGGCATGGACGAGGGGCTTCATCAGATAGCTGAGGTGTGGCAGGAGGTTGGTGAGCCGAACGGGAACGGTGAGAGTGAGCTCGACAAAGAGGTCCCGTTCCGCGTCATCGGTAGCGTGTTGAAGAAGGTGGGATAGGGTGTCGAGCATCTCCTGGAGAATGGGCAGAACCTCCTTGTACAGCGCCTCGAAGCGTCCTCCACCGATCGACCTGATGATCAGCTATGCTCAGAGCATGCAGACAATAGCTCACCTAAACAAAGCTCTCAGAATCTGATAGTAGACCGCACTATCATCCGCCTGAGCCGCACACTCGAAACACCGCAGAATCAACTTTTGCAGATGAGGCACGAGGACCGACTCGTTGATGTTGATATACGTGTTGATTGCCAAGAAGCTCATCTTGAACAGCTTCAACGCCACTCCCGTCTGGTGCTGCGTGTAGCTACCGAGCTCGTGGATGTGGTTCATGAGGTATTTGAGGAGAATCCCGACGAGCTGATGCGATACCAGCTCGTGCGTGATGAGCATCTGGAGGACGGGGAAGAAGTGGGGCGATGTCGAGGCGTTCCGGACGAAAAGGTCCATCTTGAGTGTCCATACCGCCGCAAAGACGTGAGGCTCGAAGAGGAGGAGGATCTGGGATAGAAGCTCGACCGCTTCCTTTTGCTCGCGGGGATCGCGACTGGCTTCGAAGAGCGCCAGTGAGCGGAGGGAGTATTCAAAGAATTGGCCGAGCATCTCACCGTCTGGTGGTGCGAGGGGGTGATCGCCTTGACGGGTGTACTGGAGAAGGGTCCGGAAGGTATGGAGGAGGGTTTTGAAGAGGAAGCGAGATTCTGGCTATCAGCGGTGCTAGATGTTGGACATACCTTTACAGAACGACTCTAGCGTTTCTCCAGAATACGCGACCGAATGGACAGGCATAGCCTGCTCAATCTCCCTCCACCCAAACTGCAGCCGTTCCTCTTGCTCTGCTTCCCGCTCCTTCCGCTTCTCCGGAGACTCCTCCGTCTCGTCCATCTCCACATCCTCAGCGCCGTCTGCCTTTTCCAGCTTTTCCGGCACATCCGGCTTGGGTTGCACCTCCTTCGCCTTGCCCTTCGCCTTATCCCTCGCGATGATCGCTTTGAGACGCTCGAACGAATCCGTCAAAGACTTGAGCTTCTCGAGCGAGGTGAAGAACATGCCCCCCAGTATACGATGTGCCTCGAGTGGCTCCCCCTTGTTAACGATCGCCTCGACGATGGTGTTGAGGAGTTTGGCGCACATGGTCTGGATGGCGCCGTTGAAGGTGGCGTCGTTCAGGTTGAGGGACATGACGTGAACCACCTGGGCGAGAGCGGGGAATTGCAATTCGCTCCTGACATGGTGGATAAGGTCGGCAATGACCGAGTAAGCGAGTGGACGAAGGGTTTCCCGGGAGGTGATACCGGTTCCGACGAGGACGCGCTCTTCGAGAAGTAGGCCGATGTATGGGATGAAGGTGGTTCGCGAGTCTGAGGATAGGATATGCCGAGTAGCCACCAGCAGCTCCTTGCGTGTTCCAACATCCTCAGGCGGGCAGTTCCGTAGCAGCCGTACGCAGGCCTCGGGAAATACCTCGAGGTGATCCTTGGTGTTGAAAGGTGGGTTTCCGCGGAGGACGTAGGCAAGGAAAGCCATGGTCTGGGATCAGCTCAAGTCCACTCAAAGACTATCTACTCACCTTGACTTGAGCTTTGATCAACTCTGCAAACATCTCCCGATTGTGTGTTCCTGGCGCCACGCCCACGAACGTCACACCCCTCTCCTTGGCCTCTTCGAATGCTATCCGCTGCGTTTCTGGCTGGATCTGAATCATATCCATCACCAAAGGGTAGAACTCGTCCATCACCGACGCCATGATCGCCTTGTACGTTTGAAAGACGAGGACGACGGCTATCGGACATTCGGTGAGGACTTTGGCCGAGTATAGCGCACGCGCGAGCGTTGGAGGAGGAGGGCCCGAGGGTGGTCCGCTGGGAGGCGGTGGGGGAGGTTGACCGTCTGTTCCGGCTGTGCTGGGTGTGACAGCGGTGGGAGTGGGTGCTGAGATTGCGGATTGAGGCGGGGCGGACTAGCCATCAGTGGCGAGTCTTTGACGAGTCTTTAGCCTAAACTCACAGCTTGCTTCCCGTTTGTTGAGAACTCCTTGTCAATGACGCCCCTGAGATTTCCATACATCAACTTGACGCTGTCGAGGAATCGGGTGACGAAGGGCTCGGCTTGGTCCTGCTCATTAGCTGAAGCTTCAGTCGGTAGTATGAGCACTCACTCGATGATTTCGGAACGCATCAATCATGATCTTGATACAGACCAGCGCATTCTCCTCATTTTCCACCTTCAGGATCCGCACTGTGAGCTCCATCACTGACACCTCGTGCGCCTTGAATGGCTCGGTCTTGGGAAGACGGTGGATGAAGGAGTAGAGGGCATGGCGCATTCGCTACAAGGTCAGCGCAGCCTATCAACAGCTATGGCAGACGACGAACCTGGTCTACGCTTTCCTTGACGAGTGTGAGCGTCTTTTCGTCCCCCAGCAGCTTCAGGACAGCGGGCATGAGAAGCTCGAGGTACTTTGCATAGTACCCAAATTCCTTGTTGTTCTCCGCCGAATCCCTCAGCTCGACAGCCAGCTCTTGCCTTCGCTTGGGTGCTAGATGTCAGCTCGTCCTTCGGCTCCCAAGCGACTCGAGACTTACTGGTGTTTGGATCCAGTAATTGAGCGGCAAAGTTCTCACACTCGGCGACAGTCTGCGGTCCAGTCGAGGGGGCAAAGGAATGCATTGTTCCGGGCGCGAGGCTGGGTCCGCCTCCGGTTGTCCCGGGAGCTGGAGTAGAGGCGCTGGGTGTCGCATCGGCAGGTGCGTTCGACGGACCAGCATGCGAAGCTGCAGTGGACGCCTTGCGAGGCCGGCCCATCCGAGCTGCGGGTGGTCCAGGAGCTGCCATGTTGGACAGAGCAGGCAAGTTGAGGCCAAACGGCGAATCCGCGATTTAGGCGATTTGCATCGGATTGTGACAAGGGACCTCTGCAGTGCTCTTAGGCGTGATTATAGAGCTGAGCGAGCTGCGTCGATAGAGGGGGTGGAGAGGCTAGAAAGATGGGGGCTGAGGATGGATGCTAAGGAGTGAAAGGAAAGGTATATAGAAAATGAGGCTGAAATCAGAAATCCCAAGACGCGGCGGGGGAAGGTGGAGGAGGTCCAGTCCAGAATTCACCAGAAGCTATAACGCCGGTAATACCGCAGCACCAGATACGGACTTACATGCAAGGGTCATCCTGGATACCCCGCCCTCTTCATTGCTCTTAAAGTTTGAGGCTGAGGCACAAGCTGCTATAGGTCAAGATCGAGGTGGGAGATTTTACCTCATCTCTCTGCCTGAACGCCGCAACCAGCCTGCAGGGTTATTCGGTGTATCTTCCTTCCGACCACAGAGAAGACTCTGATTTTTTCACGGAAGAGATGAGGGGCGTAATCTGTCTCTCCAAGATATGATTTAACAGTACGTATAGGCACCAAGGAGCACCACAATCCGTGGTCTCTAAGCCGTGACCCCGCCAACAGGCTGATGCCGTAATAAAGACATACCTCATACTTGTCCCCGTTGTCGGGTACGATGTCAAGATCAGTGAGGCCCATATACTAGGACAACACGCTAGGTTGTCATCAGTGGGCTGCCTCTGACAGAAAGAAGCATGATAGAAGGATGAAGTAAGATACACTCTGCATGTGAAGGACATCGAGACACTACGAGAGCGACCGACCCGAATTAGTCAAACTATTAACAATCCTCTTCCTACTTCTCATCTCCTTCTTCTTCCCTGACACATCTCCCCAAGCCTACTAGCAGTACCTACGCCCGCGATTAAGCGAGGACGAGACCACCGCCAAGAGCCACACCGACGATACCGACGGCAGCGGCGATGGCGGAGTTGACGAAGCTGAGGCTGACGACGGAGCCAGCAGCGGCGCGGGAGCCGGAAGCCGAGGCGGAGGCACCGCTACCGCCGGATCCGGAGGGCGACATCATGGAGGTGGCAGTGAGAGGGGGGTTGGCCTCGGTGGAGGTAGCGGCAGCGGCGGTGCCCGATGAGAAGGCGGAAGCCGCAGCAGAGGGGTTGGAGGAGGGGTTAATTAAAACGCCGTCAATAACGTGCACGACACCGTTGTTGACAATGACGTCCGAGCGGATGATACGAGCAGTGCTGTTCGCGCTCATCACGTAGGCGCCGGTGGAGTTGGCCATGAAGGTGAAGGGCTGGCCGCCAGCGGAAGTGTAGTTGGCGGCAGTAAGGTCACGCGAGTATACTATGCGAGTCAGTTGGTGACCCCTTTGGTCTGAAGATAACAGAAAGACTCGCCCACGGTGCCGTTAATAACGTGATTAGCGAGGATGGAAGTGATCTGAGTCGAGTTAAGCTGGGCGAGCTGAGCGGAGATGGCACCAAGGGCGGCATCGTTGGGAGCGAAGACAGTCACACCCGGCGAGTTTGCGATGGGTGCGAGGAGACCGGAGGACTGAATGACACCAGAGAGGGATGGGAAGAGGTTACCAGCGACCTCTCCAATGGAGGGAGGAAGAGAGAGGACCTGACATGTCAGCCAGATCGGACGCTCGCGCCGCGGAATCACTTACAGTCGGGATCACGTATACGAGCAGGTTGGCAGCAGCGACGGGGCCAGTGACCGAGACGTTGGACTGAGCCTGGAGGATCTGGAAGCTGGTAGCGTTGGTCGAGTTGCGGGCAAGGACAAGGGGGGCGGTCCTGTTGCCGGGCAGAGTGAAGTTGCCGCCGCGCAGGGCAGTCCGGGCGATGGTGTGATTTGGCGCAATGAGCGTGCCATTCGCCGTCACAGAAGTATTCACAATGTGGTAGCTAAGGATCTGGGTGAGGAGAGTGGTGTTCGAGGAGACCGAGGAAGGAACAGCGGCGAAGGCGTCCTGGAAATCAGCCACATTTCAACATAATCTGACGCAGACTTACGTTGTTCGGGGCAAAGACGGTCTTGTTGCCCTGGGCGAGCGAGGCAAGGAGCGCAGCGCCGTCGGTGGTGTTAGCAATCGCAGAAGCGACGCTGACGAGCGAGGTAAGACCGGCACCACTGGAAAGTCAGCAGGGGTACAAAGGAAATACTGGGAAACGTACGTGAGGGCACCGAGAACCTGGGTGAGGTACTGAGTGGTGTTGGTGGTCGACTGAGCGAGCACAAGGGGAGCGAGGACCGCGAGCGAGACGATGGAGAACTTCATCTTGTATGATATAGTATACTTTTGTGTGGTAGTAAGTGATGAGAACGGATGAAAGGGGGAAGAAGTGATGGTGGCTTTGCTTATATACTTTGGCGGGGGAAAGGGGGAAGTGAAGGTCCCGTGATCTTCCTCCGCAGTCGCTGTCTCGGACGCGACTTTTGCCCAAAGTAGTCTGATTCTCGTCAGCCTCCCCTTAGATCTTCCCCCTGGCGCCCCTCCCAACGCCCCTCCGTCGCAAAGGATTGCTCTGGCCTCGTACCTTGGCAGGTAAAGTTGCCGTTAAATGCCGTCCTCGCTGGACTCGCCGATGGACCGGGGCTGGATCGAAAGGAACAGAAGCTACGAGTATACCCGAATCAGCGCCGAACTTTCCCGAGCAGTGGTGTCCTGACTTGTCCTGAGCCAGTTCGGCGTTGCAACGTGCATAGGGAGAAGGATCGTAAGCTCGTGCCGTATCATGTTCAAGGGCTCCGGGGATACAAGCGGCGCAGGGCAATGTACCTGCTCGGAGTCGCACGCTGCCGGGATACCCTACGACCGCTTGAAGCCCCAGAGAAAGGCTATACGCGCTGCCAGCTACATCATGTCCTCCGAGACTCGAGAGTTCTCTGTGTACCTCCTTGGATCCTTGGCTTGATTCTACTGCTCGATGGCCCGTCCAAACGTCCAAACGTCCAAACGTCCAGCAGAAAGAAATTCACGCTCCATCTGTCGATCTCGATCGATGCCCCGCGCAGAGATCGAGTGCGGGGCACATGCCAAGTTCTTTTGTCTCCGCTTTTCCCCAGATCTCGGGCTTGAATCCGCAGTCAGGCACCAGTCAGGCACGAGAGTCGGGATCGCCACGTACGTCAAGTATACGTCACCATGCATCCCGGCGGAATCTGGGCAAGACATGACAGCTTGGAAGACGCGTCGAAACGCGTCCATTGAAGGACTCGTAGCTAGAGCTGAGCATTCAGTGTTTCTTCCTATTCCCAATCATGTCCTCCCTATCCGTCCGATGAAGCAAGGTATGAGTGTGGGACTAGTGCAAGTCACGAGTGACTGAGAGCAAGACGTCCATTCCACATATCTACTATACAACCGTATATAAGTCCTAATCTCTTCACCCTCCTGCCGAGACATGCCTGCTCATGCCCGGCCGATCCGTACTGACACTGGCTAGCTGCTGATCCGCCTCGTCGCTAGAGAGCCGTATCAAGATGGGTAGCTCCTGCGGTGTCGTGCCCAAAGATGTTGCCCCGCTAGAGTCGTGATGGCCGTTCGTATAGGTCCGCCGGTCCGACTCCCGACTGCTCCGCCTCTCGGTTGCGTCTGGATCAGCGTCCGGATCGGACGGGTCCTGCAGAACTTCCAGACCCTCCGCCTTCTCGCTCTCCTCCTCTCTGACCTCAGATGACAAATCCTCCCCTTCAAATCTGACCCTTGCTACCTCCGCCTGCGCAACGTCCAGTACCACTCCCCTCACTCCCTCTTCTCCTCTCAAACTCCTCGCGGCCCCCTGAAGAGCCACCGCACGCACACCTTCCCACTCCCTCTCCTCCTTGTCGAGATCGCCTTGCAGGATGGATATCCACAGTCCGAGCTTGGCGATTACGAGGCGCTCTTCGCGGATCTTGGCGGCGAGAGGGGGGATGGCGCTGGATATACGGTCTCGCGTGGTGCGTTGGAAGGGAGTGAGGATAGCGAGATTTCGCGCTTGTGTGAGATGCGAGTCCAGGGTGGATTGGGCTGTGTCGAGCTTGGACTGGAAGCTGCGTATACTGGTCTAGAGAGTCAGCTTTGTCATTAAAGCAGATGTAGAACTTACTACTATCGAGGTACTTCGCACAGCTTGCGAACTCGGAATTCTGACCTTCATCCCCGCTCTTGCCCTCGGCGGAGCGCTCCCCGACGTGGTTAGACCTAGCGCAGGGGAAGCCGCCAGCTCTGCCTTGACCGCCTTGAACACCTCTCCCAGCCGCTCCCCATCGTCCTTGACAACAAGGCCCGAGTTTTCGCTCTCTATCGATCGTCGAGCATTACGCCCAGAAACAGGAGAGGAAGTATCGGACCGATCCGGCGTTTGTGCTCGATTCCGCTGCGAATCGCCAGATGAGCGGACCGTGAGGATGCTGAGCGGGGTACGAGCACCGCCTCGCGGTGAGGAACGGCCGGTCCGTACACGAGGAGATATGATGGGGATAGGCGTAGAGGGCGATTCGTCGTCACCGACCGAGCCAAACCGTTTCCGGCCCTTCTGCGTTTCTACACCCGCCGCGTCAAGGGATCTAGCTTCCCGTTGAATACTGGACGCCGCGGCCGCGCCGGCAAGCAAGGCTTGATCCCGCTTCATCCCGCCAGACCGCATCCGAATACCGGGAGTCTTGAAGGCGGCGGCATAGTTGATGAGACCGATCCATTCGTTCATCTCGTACTCGTCGGCGGCTTGGATGAGATAGGAACGGTGAGGTAGATTAAGACGAAATGTATGTGGGTTCTGCCTGTCAGCACCGTCCTGCTTCAGCTGGAGTATGACTCACGCCTGTCAAGCTTCGATCCCAGACGGCCACGGCATCTTTGACGGGGAAGACCTCCTCCGGTACGAATCTCGCTACTCGCGGTAGCAGGACTTGGCCCCGCTCATCCCGCTTCGCATCCGCACCTTCGGCCTTCAGCTGCTCCTGGAGCGTAAGAGCCCAGAACGGATCTTTGAAGAAGAGGAGCTGCGAGCCGGAGAGAATCACGCTCCAGGACTTCCACTTGCGTGAGGTCTTGCGATTGGAGTCAAAGGCGTCATCTACCAATCAGCGAGGATCGAAGCCACTAAAGGATCGACTCACCTCTCCTGGAGAGAGTCCCCACTTTGGTGACTCTCAGAGATATCTCCCCATCAACCCCTACTGACCCCTCCGCATCACTCCCTGCCCCCTTCTTGCCTGTCACTCCCGACGCCTTCCTCTTGCTCGCTGTTCCATTCGCGCCTGCTCCATCCGCAATCCGCAGTATTGCCGCCGAGACAAACGTATCATGTATTCGGCTAGTCTCGAGAAATGGCCTGGTTCCGAGGGACGAGAATGGCGATCCCGCCGGGATGGTGCGTTCCAGGTCGACACGGAGCGGGTGGAGATTGTTGGAAGTGATGAGAGCGTAGACATCGGGCTGCTTGGCCGATGTGGATAGGACGGAAGTCGGAGTGGGAGCGCGCCGAGGCGTCATCATAGTGGATCCGGATGATGGCGTTGTCGAGCCATTGACGGGCCCGCTACTGGGAGTGTGGGGCGCGGAGGTACCGAAAGTAGACGGTGGAGATGGGGAAATCGCATCGCTTCCGCTTCGGCTCCTGCCGCCCATGGCGATGCTGGACGGAGGGAGCATCTCCGCGTCCACGTCGACATATACAAATGGCGCGTAGGTGATGTTGTCGTAGAATGCTTCGAGGGTGAGCGGGCTGACGCCGTCCATGCGCGTGTTCCTGACATAGTCTGCCTTAGACATCTTGTTCTTGTTGTTCCGGTTGAAGGCGTCGGTATGAAGCATCATCATCGAGAAAGCTAGGACATAGGTGTTGTCTGACATGTCAGCTGTATTGATGCCACGAAATCAATGGACCTACCCTTTGACCCAAACAGCCCCGGCTCGCAAGCCTCATATCGCTTCGCAAACGCCTCCAGTACCCGATCAATCTGCTGCGTCTCCTTTGGCAGGCTGATCTGCATCAATAGCCGCCTCAGTGCTACATCGAGCGCATTGTGCGTAAAGTCGAACTGAGCCATGTACAGCTCAAGTGCTCGGGTATGCAGCTCATCACCACTGCTGGATCAGCTGTGCCTCTCATAATCGGACCAAAGCCTCACCTTGAAGCCAGTACACCCGCGATCTCGTCCCTGCCCACACTAGCTACCATACGGTCCAGCCATCCCGCCGCAGACTCCCCTTCTTCCACCTTGATGTCCGTCTTCCAGGGTTTGGCCGACGCCGAGCCTGTACTTGGACGTGGACTCGCTCCGGGGCTCATAAGCAGGCTGGTCGCACCAGTCCCGTTCGATAAGCTGTCGTCATTTCCACCAGAGAAGGTCGACCCGCTTGAGCGAGGCGGCAAGGGGAAGAGGCTGCCTTTCGGCGATGACGGCGCCGAGGTCCCGAGTAGTCCCGACGAGAAGCGCTGGATCGCACTGGGACGCCGGCGAGGGGGTGTCGCTATGCCAGATACGGGGAAGAGACTGGGCGAGATGGGTGGAGGGGGAGGTAAGAAGGACGTCTGTGGCGCAGAGGACGCAAACGATACGGTGGACGCTCGTCCTCGCGTTCTAGCGGGTTTGGCGGTGGAGGGGATGGAGCCGGCGCTCTCGCTTATGGTGGAGGTGGTGGTGGATTGGGCATAGGATGATGGTGGGGTGGAGTACATCGTACCGCTGAGACTAGCTCGAGGCAACTCGTGCGGTGTGTCGGTCAAAGCGCCCTGCCGACCTCCATTGTGCAGATCCAAGAGAGAGGATTTCGTGGCGGGGCTCGGGCTCCATTGCTGTGAGCTGGCCAGTGAAGCAGTGGATGCCGTGCCCGCCCGCCCTCGACTTGTCGCCAGCCCGCCAAATTCGTCAACGCTCTCAGCTCCGCCTTCAGGCTGAAGCAGGCTCTTGCTGCGGGACCGGTTCCGCGCAGATGACTTGGAAAAGACTCCCTTCATCTTTTCGATGATGACCGAATTACCGGAGTAGGACCGGCCGCCGAGCTTCGGACGGACCGCATCTTGACTCGGGGCCGGATCTGGTGATCCATGCGCAGTGGGCCCTTGGAGTTGACCAGGGACCACATGTGGCGAAGGGGCGGATGCGTCCGACCGAGATCGCAGTCTGCCATCCTTGATCACGCCGGTAGTCTTTGGCGCGGCCTCCGTGGCATCCACCCATGGGGCGGTGGGCGGGATAAAGAACTCTCCGCCTTCGCTTGTGGGGCTCGCCATATAAGGAGTAGCGTCCGCCTCATTCGGGGAGGGTGCACTCGAGTCGCCATTATTTGGGAGATCGAGGGTGCTAGACGAGGCAAAGCCAGATCGGTGGGTTGGGATAGCGATAGCCATGGGTGTGGTGGAGCGATTATTGGAGGTGGGGCCCATGATGGTCGACGTCGACGAGAGGTCCCGCATGTGTGGCCGTGAGTCGGCCCGTAAGGTTCCCTCATCCATGTCTCCGCCTGGGGTGTCCTGAACCTCCACGGCCGCCTTCCCCTTTGCCAGCTTAGCGTCCGACAACCTTCTCTTTCCTGGCTTGCGCACCCCCAGCCACTCCAGCACGCCTGCCATCTTGCCCGTCTCCACTTGATCGTCTTCACTATCCGCCAATACCTCGATCTCATCCTGTCCGTCCCCCGCCTCGCTCGGATGAACCGACCCAGGCTTGGGAGGCACTGGTTGCGAGGTCGACCGAGTGAAGATCCCTGACAGGCTCCGCGCCCGCTTCCCCTTATCTTTGTCCTTTTTGGTCCCTTCCCCCGCCTCTTCCGCCCTTCCCCTCTGCATATCCTCCTCTGGCTCGGCAAACGAGATCTTCGGGACAGGACTCGCCGATCTCGACGGATGTGGCGACGAGACCGACTGAGCCTTTTGTGGTACTGGGGGCGGGGCCATCTCGTCCCCTCTTCCCATGCCCTTGGGCAGACCCAAGCCGATCATTGAGCTTTTTCGGCTGATGACCTTGCTTGAAGACCGAGATGAGCTGCCGCTCCCGCTCGTGTGCGGCCGGTTTGTGTCCCCCTTGCCAGTCCGGCCCGCTCGCAGATCAGTCATCGATGCCGATGCGCGGCGGGACTGGGTGTGAGGGTGTGAAGACGGTTTGAGGAGTTTACGAGGGGACGAAGGGGTGATGACGATATCGGTGGGGACAGGGAGGGCGGGTAGAGGGCGATCTATAGGTAGGACTGGGGTGGATTTGTCAGGTGGAACTCGGATAGTCGGGATTGTGAGGGAAGATGTGCGCGGACCAAAGGCGGGTCTGGCTGATTCAGACGCTGCTGGTCGAGAAGGGCTGTCTCCTGATGGGGGGAGTTGCGAAGGCGACGTCATAGGTGTATCTGATTGCGGGATGTGCTTGTACTGGTCAGCTACGCACTCGCTTGTGGAGTGAACGACCTGCGTCGTGGTGTGCAGTCACACCGTCTCCGGCATCCGGAGGCCATAGCGCCTTCCCCAAGCTGCCCCTCCGGCCTATACTCAAATCGTCTAGCCTGACCACCTCGCCATGCTCCTCATCGACACCGCGAGACCGCCCCTTCTGCCGCTGCTTCCGTATGGAGGTAGGTGTCTCTGGCTGTCCATCGATGGTCAGGACTTCCTCTCCATCCGTCTCTCTCGAGCTCGGCCGCCTAGCGCTCGTAGGCGTTCTCGGTTCCGCGCCGTTCTCCTGAGATCGATCTGCCAGCTCGAGCCCCTCCTCCCTGCCCTCCCCGGCTGCGAAAGACACCCTTCTAGGCGACCCCGAGGTAGAGGACGTGCCGGTGCCAAACGGAGATGCGACGAGGCCGAACCACGAGCGCCGCCGAGACTTGGTTGCTGGAGGTGTTGCCGGCGGGGTGCGAGGCGTGGAGGGCCCCGCTTCTGCCTGGTCGGGGTTCATGATGCTGGCCATCCGGCAGCGGCGAGGCAGTATGTGCGCTGTGGTCGTGTGCCGGGATGTTGACAGCTCATAAGGAGGGGAATGCAAGACCAGAAGCAGGGGTCCGGGCAGATGTCGTCAAGATGAAACGCCTTGGAAGGACGACTTTGGCGGTCCTTGCGTAGCTTGTGTCGTCACGCATCCGAGGCTTCTTCAGAAAGCATGGGGTCTCTTTGACAGAGTAGCTGTACGATGCATGCCTCTTGCCTGTGCTTTACAGCTCCATCATCTCAGCTGAGTTGCTGCGGAAAAAGAGCAGAGATAGAGTTCGACGCGTCCCTTGTCTACAGCCACGTGGACCGGCCTACGACTACCGGCTGGGTCCACAGCTCCCATCCATGCAAGGGGTCTTGTAGGAAGCGTTCATCTTATACCTCGCCATGGCTGCGTGCAAGAAGTTCGTGCAGCAGGTGAGATCAGACGGAATGCGAGAAACTGATCAGATCAGTGCTGGGCGACGACAATCAGCAAGGGAGGTACGGCCATCCCTTCGACGCTCCTTCCTCCAGTCCCGAGCTGACCTGACGCAGGACATGATGGGAACACCCTGGGAGGCGTAAGCTCGCTCACACACTGATCTTGGAGCGAAGCACTCCGAAGGCCATACTGACCTGCCAGCTGACATTCGGCTCGGCCCGTCCGGGGCACCTGCAGACGTTCTTACCCGTTGAGAAGCGTCATCTGAACAACCACAAGGTATGTCTGAAACAGAAGAGCCCGGGCTTACACGTCGTCGCTTAGGCAGCCAGCTGACTGGACAGACTGTCCACGGTGGTGTCCTCATGTCTGTCAGTATGGCCCCTTTGCAGGCTCGCAATATGCGAGGACCGGATCGGAACCTGACCCCAGCAGTTGACGGATACCGTCACTTCCCTCACGCTCTCCACGCTCGGTATACCGGCCCCGACCGGAGTCTCCGTCAACATCTCATGCGAGTTTGTCAGACCAGGAGGGAGGGAGGGGGATCTGCTAAAAGGTGTTGGCGAGGTAGTCAAGATGGGCAAGTCCCCCCTGAACTCAGCCTCCTCTTCCGGCTGACCTGATCAGGACGGACGCTGGCGTATACTCGAGTGACCTTCTTCGATGCGCAAGATAGAGTCGTCGCCTATGGGTCACATACGAAGCATATGGGAAACAACATACCCCAGCATCGCTTCAGCGAGGATGGCGAGCAGGAGCTGGAGATGGAGGCCAAAGCGAAGCTATAGCATTGGCTTCCGTGTCCGAATACATACTGCACTGCTAGCAAGCATGCACAATCTATAGGTCAAGTGGTAATGGAGAGCAGGAGCTGGAGATGGAGGCCAAAGCGAAGTTGTAGCTACAATTTCCCTGTCTGGCTGGGTACTGCAGGGTTAGCAAGCATGCACAATCTATATGCTCAGCGAGGATGGAGAGCAGGAGCTGGAGATGGATCGATGGAGACCAAAGCGAAGCTGTATCAACGATTCCAACCGTGTCTCGGGGCTGGCAAGCATCACAGTCTATAACATCCGCTCAATCCAGTCTATATACACTTTGCTGATGCTCTTCGCTCCACCTCCACGCTCAAATCTCACCCTCACCACATCTCATTCGCCTGCTCTACGGCCTGATCAAAGTCCCCCAACCCCTCATCCTTCGTCAACGCGCCATCAAACAGATTCTCATTGAACACGACGTGCCCACTTGGCGTCTGCTGCTCCGCCACCCCCCAGTCTCGGACTCTTGGGTCGTCTCCGCCCGCAACATCATCTTCGACCCTAGCGTGCAGGCTGCCCGGCAGGGCAGGACTGGGCAAGGCGCCGGATGGCTCGGTAGGGGACTGATGGAGCAGCGGGGGGAGGCGGTAGGCCTTTTGCGCCTCGTACCCCTGCATATAGGCTTGGTCGGGGTGCGGGAGGCCGTGAGCTTGGGCATGAGCATGGGCGTGCAGGTGAGCGTTGTAGGCCGGATCGGGGTGCTCTTGCTCCGGAGCGTGAGGGTGCCCGTAGTAGTCCATCGCGCCAACATCGTATGCGGGCTCGTCGTAGCGCGGGACGCCGTGATACTCTTCCGCGTACTCTTGAGGATAGACGTACCCGTACCCATGCCCAGCGTGAGCATGAGCATAAGGGTCGACCGATACCATCCCGTGAGCTCGTGGATCGACCTCATACCCCGCAGGAGCAGGCATGTAATCTTGTCCACCGTACCCCGGGTAAGCCTGTGCGTGGCCGTAGTAGCCGGGATGACCTTGTGCCTGAGCTTGGGCATGAGCGTGCTGAGCCTGAGCGTGGGCATGAGCAGCTGCCGCGCGCTGCTGTTGCTGGTGTTGCTGCTGGGCGGCATTGTAGAGCGACATGTTGAGCAGGTTGTGGCCGAGAAGGTTCTGCCGGAGCTGCTTGGCTCGGGTTTGTGCCTTCTGAGCTCGCTGGGCGCCCTTGGACAGCTGACCGGGATCACGGCGACGGCGGCTGAACAGTCAGCTCTGACTTATGGTCGTCAAAGCATACTCACCTCCTTGATCTCGCGGCACTGCTCTCGGGGCTTGTATCCACCTCATCACCGACCAAAGCCTGCTCCTTGATCTCCTTCTCGAGCTCCCCGCCCGCCTTGCCCTTGATCAGCGCCTCAGCCACAGCTTCCACCTTCTCATCCTCCGTACCGTCCTTCCTGACCCTTCGCCGGATGATATCAGTACGGCGAAAGACCGGCTGGTACCTGTACCCAGGGTAACTTGTCTATCAGTATGGCCACTCCGGTGGGCGCGATCGCAGAGCAGCCCAAAACTCACAGCCTCTGATGCTCCTCCTTCTCGATCCGGGCCATCTCCTGGAACTTGGCCCGCACGTCCTGGGGCGCCTCTTTCCACATCTTGGCAGCCACGACCGAGATGTTCTGGTGCTTGACCTCGACGGACGGCGGGATGAGGTTCGAGTCGGTGATGTGCTTGCGGAAGAGGATGAACGCGTTTCGGGCGCGCTTGATGTGACCTTCAGGTTGCTATTGATCAGCGTAGTCTCCCATCAGCTAAAAAGGCGTCACTCACCTTCCTTGCGTGGGACTTCTTGGCTCTGGGAGCGGGCACACCACCTGCTTTGCCACCGCTGGTGTCGCTCCCGCCTCCGACGACGGGACTGGTCAGTGTGGAGTCAAACACCGCAGACTGCCCATCCGAGGGCGTAACAGGCGAAGCATTCTGACTGGAAAACTGCGAGACGGGCACGGAAGGTGGGTAAGACGTGGTAGTCGACGACGGATCACTGTGTGTCAGGTTCTGGTTGATCGAGAAGCGGTGCGCGTCAAGTGCGGTCTGGAGTGTCAGAGGGTGACGAGCGAGTAGATCGGCCGCGTTGGGCGCAGAGGGGATGATGGTGTCTTGTCCGAAAGAGACCGAGGGGTTGCTGGACGACAGGTCAAAGAGAGGAGCTTGGAAGGGAATGTCAAGGGGAGCAGTGAAGTTCAGGTTGGTGATGGACTGGTCGGTGAGGGCTTCGACGGCAGAGTCCGGGAAGAGGGCAGTGATGTCAGGCTTGGAGTCGAGTGCCGTGAGCTCAGGATCGATCACGCTGCCGCCCGGGACCTGGGGAAGGAAGCGTCCAGTAGATTCAGCGAGGGGAGCAGGAGCAGGCGCAGCTGATTGGGTCGTAGTGGGGCCATGAGTAGAGGCAGAGGTGGAGACCTCGGCGGCGGGGGCAGCGGGAGCTGGGGCTGGAGCTCGAGTGACTGCGGGCTTGGCGAGCGGGGAAGAGCTCTTGGGCACCCCAGCGTGAGAGGGGTACGGGGAGGTGGTGCTACGGATGAGAGGGTACGCTTGGGGACGGGGAGCAGTGATAGAGTTGGATCGGGACCGCTCGCCTATGATGATCAGTTGGTGCACTAGGTGATTTCATATGGGTGGCAAAGTGGGTGGCAAGAGAGGGGACATACCTCCGCCACTCGCGCTGACTTCCCTCGCTTCGCGGATCGCGGTAGCGTCGAACGAGGGGGTAGGTGTGCGGTTCATGGACATGGTTGCCATCGTGCTTGGGGGCTGGCACTGACTCGATAGGAGGCAAGGTAAAGGATCGCTGAGGTTCAGTGAGAGAACGTGAGGATGGATAGGCGTCAGTATCTTGCTTCACACTTGAGGCAGTGAGGATGAGGGATAGTCAGAATGGATGATCAGTATAGTGAGTGTAGTCTTGTCCTGGTCTATGGTCTTATCCTTGCTGGCGACTTGGTACTGCAGTGCGGAATACTGAAAGGTCGATGGAAAGCTTGAAAGGTTGCTTGACAAAGTGAGAGAAAAGGAAAGAGAGGGGGGCGACCGTGTCCTCTTTTCAAGCCCGAGACGAGTCGATTCGAGCCTGTCGTTCTTGCCCCAGTGAAAGGAGGCACAAGAGGAGAGAGCAGGAGAAAGTGGGGGTTGTGGGTCAAAGGAGATTTTTGAGGGCGTAGGGTGGGGGCATGTAGGGGAAAGGAATGAAAGGATCGGCAAGGGATTCGGAACTGAGGCCTGGACTTGCCTTTGTCGTGAAAGTAGTTGCAAAAAACTTATGCGCGACAGGCACGGAGCTAGCGGGGCGATGAGTACCGCCGGGGTTGATATTGAAAGGACACCCAAGGGGGATAACTCTGCTTTGTCCGACCGCGATGATCAGGGATGAAATGACATGAATGGTGAGTTGGTCAGCCGCCTGCCATACAAGCAGGCTCCAATCAGCTCGTCCCAGCTGATTCCATTTGCATTGTGCTTGACCCCTCGCTCAAGGGCGAGCCCGTCCCAATTTTTACCCCTGATATTTCACTCCTTAGACCTGCTTTCCGCTGTCGTCCACCTCCTCCTGCATAGTCGCGAGAGGGCTGTTGCTGCGCTGCGCTCAGTCAGCAACCACTAACATCACGTAATGCGTTGATGACTCACCTCGGCCTGCTTGATGCTGTCCTTGATATCCTTGTCGCTTGGCTTGTCGCTATCGTCCACATTGTCAGGGGTGCTGGAGTTGGATGATCCGGAAGAAGCACCACCGGTCTCCTCCTTGTCCATGGCAGTCTTGGGGCTGTTGCTTTGCTATGCCGTCAGCTCCTGTTCCTATTCGATAAGTTTCACAGAACTCACCTCGGCCTTCTTGATGCTGGACTTGATGTCCTTCTCTGAGGGCTTGTCGCTGTCGTCCACGTTATCAGGCTTGACTGTGTCCTTCTGACCAGTTCCCTCCGGGTTCGTCTACCAGACTCAGCTGTACATTCGTCGTTGACCGAATAAGCGAAAAATAACACACCTTGATGCCGGCTTGCGACTTGGAATCCGCCTCCTTCTCGGTGCTCTTGTTGGCGATACCAGCCTTCATCTCCGTGCCATCGATGGTGCCGTCGAACTTGTCCCCAGTGGACGCGCCTCTGCGGTGCGGCTTCTCGTCGTCCCGCTTCGAGGGGATCTCGGTTCGTGGGCGAGATTCACCGGCGTGGACCATCTTGCCCTTCGGGTCCTCGTCCAGCTGAGGCATTAGCTTATGCCTAGCAGCAGCCTGGTAGCCTTCCGAAAAGGACGTGGTATGCAGTCCCCTGGGCCAACGCTGGCCACAGACGAGACATCCACTCTGCCCAGCATACCTCCCCCGCATCCCCCTTGGCCCGAAATAGAATGCCCAGAAAAGTCCGACCTAACTCACTCCTGGTCGTTCACCCGACTCGCGCTCCTTCCTCATCAAATCCCTCGCAGCGTTCTGGTGCTCGTCCTCGTGCTCCGGCTTCGCGCCCTTTCCGTCGGCTACGTGTGCACCCGCGCCTTTGGCGTCAATGTGCTCATGTACCTCGTGAGCGGCTTTGTCGCCGGATGGCATGAGGATGAAGGCGGTCTAGAGCTTCAGCTCATGATACTGTATGCCGAACAGATGAGAGCAGAGTGACTCACGAGGGAACCAAAGACGGCGGCCGACCCAATCATCCAGGGGGTGTTGCTGCTCGGCTTGTGGTGCGTCGAAGCTGCCCTACGGGGCGCAACCTGCGCCTTTGGGAGCGCCTGCCGAGCTGCACGTGCAGTGTTGATGAGGGCTGAGCGGACAGACATGGTGTGCGTGTATAGTATGGCCTTGAAAGTAGATGGTAAGAATAAGCAGTTGACGGTAATTGGACGAAAGGAGCAGCCTTGCCGGAGGAACGCCAGCCAGCTGAGCGCTGAACGAGAGCGGGATCGGATCGCATCGGCCTGGATTTTGAACGCACGGATTACCGGGGGAATGACGTCAGGCCCGATGGCGGACATCGCCGCCAAGTCACGCGCACAGCCAAAACGCGTCCAGCCACCGTCGCGTCCAGTCAACTTTCGAACGCACAGACCTCCTTGATTCGTCTATCGCATCTATCACCCATAACTTGGTACCCGTCCCCGCTTCTTCTCCCTCTTTAGCCTATTGCGCGCTTCATGCCCGACTCTTCTCCCTCCTTTTCGCCCTTTCCAACCCGTCAAATCTTCTACCCTCCGGCTGAGCTCCAGCTAGTTTCTCATCATCACCTCAGCCAGCGCTTCGTGTCCTGCCCTTCTTGGCTTTCCCTTTCGTACCCAGACCCAGAGATGCTCTTGTACGGTGGGAAGGGGTGGCCTGCCCTTTTGCCAACAGGCCCCCTAACCCTAAGGTGAGATAGGTGGCTCGACATGGTTAAGCCAAATCTGACATGACAGTCACTCAAATACTCCTGCCTTTACATTCCTCACCGCCCCTTCGATAGCTCGGCTGTAGACCCCCGGACTCTCCCCCGGGCGGACGGACATCTACACCGGGCACTCCATATCGTCGCGCGGCTACACGGATCTCCAAGTGAGCAGGGTCCGATCTAGAATCGGACATGGTGTCCGCAACTGAGCGGGGTCCACACCTCGAGGCTACCCCTTCGCCCCTCGCGAGCGCGAAGGGACCCCCGGAAGTCGAAAGACGAGGACACCGCAGCACGAGGTCATGCCTTTCCCACTAGCGGAGGGTCGGGTCGGGTCTGTCGAGAGGGAACGGGACTGTTGTGGGGGTTGAGATTGGGGATGACGCTTGAGGAGGTATGAAGCGGTGATGAGCGGCTGGAACAGCGTGCGAATGGGAAGGAAAGGGTCGCGTATGGGTGTGTAGGGTCGGAGGGGCTTTGAGGTGGTGTGTGGGCGGGTATGGCGATTTGGGAGTGTCGTGTGCTTGCGATCCCGTCTGACTTGTCTTGTCTTCCTTTTCTTCCCTTTCACACCCAATCTTCCCGCTTAACCCCTTCTCGCCCGCTCATAGCGGAGGGCATCAGTACAGTCTTTTCGTTACCTCCCCGTTACTTTCCCCTCCTCTTTGCTTCTTCCCTTGTCTTCTCCTCTGCGTGCGCCAGCCCACTTCGACCCATCTTTCCGACCTTCAAGACTCCCCTTCCTACCTTTTCATCACTCATCCAGTCCAACACCCCATCAGCCCAAACCAGGACCACCCCGACCCCGCCGTACCCGGCGAAGACGCAGTAGAGCTCTGCACTCGGGCCTTCACACCGGGGCGGGTCACTCGGGCGGCGCGTCTGTGTTGGCGGAAATCATATTGGCGGTGCGGATGGGTGGGGACAGGTACATGAGGACGAGAGGATCGCTGTACGGGTCGTGTAAAGGTGGAGCGGGCGCCCGGGGAGATGAGGCAGGGGTATGAGCGGGATGTAGAGCGAGGGGAAAAGGGGAGGAGATGGGGAGATCTGATGTGTGGGGGACGTGGGACTGGTTGTGTCCCTTTGTGGGTCGGGTTGGGGAGAGAAGGGAGACGATGGACCGGCACAGGGGAGGGCTGTATAGCCCAGAGAACCTGTTCGCGGAAGTCCCCATTCGCCCTTTAGATGCGCTCGTTCTTGCTTCCTAGTCTTGCGAGCCATCCAATCCGGGCCAGATACTTTTCCTCTATGCATTATGATGATTTACCGCTTGATGATAATGATCTGAAGAATTCAGAGTATGCGTGTTCTATATCGAAGAGCATCTGCGGATCAGAACCGTAAGGCAAGCATGAAGAGGAAGAAGTAGTCGAACTCACCTGCCTTGACTGCTCCTCGGTGATCTCGTCGCTGGCCTTCATGGCATTCAGCGTGATAAGCCTGTCTGGTCAGTATGTCCCTTGCCCCTTGCCACCAACGGTATCAACTCACCATCCCAATATCTTGCCTCTTCCCTCCCACTCCCCACTCCCCCTGAACCTCGTATACCCACTCATCAATTCCGTCAAGAACGGGTGTAGCTGATCCTTGGCGCGCAAGTTGAGCTTGAGCGCATCCATGAATGTGATAAAAGACTGGGTGGTCTCTGCGACCCATTTGCCCGTTTCTGCACCGGCGCCGTCAGAGGGCTCAGAGGCGTGCTCGATGGTCGCGGGGACGCCAAGGAGGAGGCGGTGGAGTGCGGCAGGGTGGTCCATCTGTGTGTCAGCCATGATCATGTGTATTAAGGGCCCTGACGAAGGCTCGCCGAAGGGGTCAGTCGCGTTCAGTATGGGTCAAACTTGACGGCCTGGGGGAAAGCTTCGGGCTTCTATAGCGAGAGACAGGATGACCTACCTTGAACCGCTTCATGAACGCCTCGAGAGTCCCTATCTCATCGGAAACGAGCTTCATCAACGACTTGTACTGCGCCAACAGCTTGATACATGCTGGCGTGTACCTGCCCATCAGCCCCAGCTCGGCTGCGCTCTTTACGCTAAGGCGGCAAACCTACTCTTTCCCGCTAACGCTGTCCCTCACGTACGCTCGCTCGAGATACTCCAAGCTGACAATGATGCTATAGAGCGTCGCGAGATTCTCGGCGCGCTCCCGCTCTGCCGGGGTGGTGTATAGTCGGACCTCTTCGTCGAGGTTCATCTTGAGGGGTTCATTGGGGTATGGCGAGTCCGAGGTAGGAGCGACCCAATGTCAGTCTGATGATGGAGCTTTCCGATCCTCCTATTGACCTTGAAGAGGCTCAAGGCTCAGGGGGCGTCGAGATACGGGGTAGATGTGCAAGGCCATGAAGAGGCCCAGCATCGCATCGCTATCTCGAGCTTCGAGCTTCCCTTCCGCCGGATCTTGTCGCATTCAGCATTCCTTGTCGAGGTCCGAAAGATGTTGACTTTTGACCTGCCGGCCTCCTTGACTCACCCCTAATCTATCTCCTTTGTGTATAGTTCAACAGCTCTGGACAGACTCAGGCTTGAGATACACCGGCGCTCTTCGTATCGTACCACCCAGCCAGCATCCGTACTACAGAGCTCCGACTTATCGAGCTCGCGTGAGACGGCCGACAACCACATCTTCGTATCGTCCTCAGCTGCTAGCCTCGAGCATTGGCCTCTTACATACCCACTACGAGTCCCAACACGTCGTCTCACGCGAGCCTGTAAGGTGCAAGCTATGTCAAATGGGGAGTCCTCGAAAGCCGGTATGTCCCTCTTCTACCCTGCTCGCCCGCGTGCCAGAGCTCATGGCCAAAAGATGTCTCGCCAGCTGTGGACTTTACGGCTGGTGTCATAGCAGGTGAGTCCTACCTCGCCCTTCGGATCAGCTATGATTGCTATTCTGTTTCTCGGGCGTAGAAAAGCTGACGAGCGGATAGGCGTAGCGGGCCTTGTTGTTGGTCAGCCATTCGACGTCGTCAAGGTCCGATACCAGACACCTGAGTTCAAGGGTCGCTACACGTCGATACGCTCCGCCTTCGGTGCGTTGCATCGGTCTCCTGAGCAATGGACCTAGTGCTAGAGCCATCAGCTGATACCTCCAGCCAGTATCATCCGGGAAGAAGGCACGCATGGGCTCTTCAAGGGTGTCATGTCACCTATGGTAAGCTCTCCGTCCTCCACCTCTCTGTTGTATAAGCTGATATGTCTAGGCAGGTATAGCTTTCGTATGTCCTCTCTGGAGTCCAGCTTCACCTCACCCCATCTAATTATCCAGATCAACGGCGTCGTCTTCACTTCCTATTCATTCTTTATGAAGCTCCAACTTCCCGCCGACTCTGGACAAGAACCAAGTCTGGGCCAGATCTGCCTAGCCGGCGCAGGAAGTGGTCTTGCTAGCTCGTAAGTCTTCTCTGGCCTCTTTATCACCCCTCAGTACAGCTGCTGATGGTTCAGGCTCATCACCTGTCCGACGGAACTCATCAAAGTAAACCCGAGCTAGCATGCTTCAGCGTGAGCGATAACTGACCCGATCAGATCCGCCAGCAGTCCTCTCCTCCACACCTCAATCCCTCTATCTTTACCGTCTGCCGGTATATTATACGTACAGATGGAGCACGGGGTCTGTATCGCGGCTTTACGGTCACTGCTCTTCGTGACCTCGCATATGGCCCTTACTTCTTCACGTCAGTCTATCAGTCTCCTTACCTGTCTCTGCGTCAGACTCCTCAAGTTTCTGGTAGAAAGGGGCGGAGAAACTGTGATCATTGATCGACGATACTGACTAGGCAGATATGAAGCTTCGTGCCGATTCTTTAAATCCCGGCGAGCACCTATCGATGCGGCCTACCCCTCGCAGGCCTCCAGTGGCCGGCAATATCATCATGAATCCCTCATCGACGAGGCAGAGATGGAGCTGCACGCGCTGAGGCCGTGGGAGCTGATGGTAGCTGGAGGACTGGCGGGCGTGGTCGCTTGGATGGTAAGTTCCCCTTATAGCTGATCAGTAGACGGTGTAAGGAGCGTATCAGATATGGTTAGTGCTGATCAATTAGGCCACGTTTCCTCTCGATGTTCTGAAGACCCGCTCTCAAGCCGCTTCCTGGCAGACCGATTCGGCCGGGTCAGTCAGGAAGAAGCCACCGTCAATATGGAGAATAGCGAATCAGGCGATAAGGACAGAAGGCTGGAGGGTCATGTTTGCCGGTTTGGGACCAACATTGATTAGGGCTGTACCTGTAGGTTCTCCCGCCTGCTCGCGCACCGAATAGTATCGGTTTGCGCGAGTGTGATGAGGGGAGTGGGATGAACCTGAGCTGACTCTTCAGGTCAACATGGTCGTCTTCCTCACTTTCGAAGCATGCGTCGCGGGCATGTCCAAGTGATTGCCGCCCCTCCGCGTCTGTTTGCAGATACCGCATGGCCCGCGGCCCGTTCGTCTCGTTGAAGGATGGCTGGCCCTCTCCCGTCTCCACGTCAGAGCACCACCTCCCTTGGCCCTCCAGCTCGTAAGAGCCATCTCAGCGACGCTCAGCGAGTACGTGACACCGATATCGACGCATGCGGAGAACGGAAGGCTTCAGACGTCATCAGACTCGTCATAGTGTAGCAATAATCTAGACAGCACCAACTTGCATTGCATGGGCTTCTTTCCTTCTTCGAGGCTGGCACACTATCAGCTTTACGCCCCACACGCCGCACTCATCAGCGGCACATGGGCAAGCCTCATCTCAGCCACAACGTGCCACGCCTCGTCTCTGAGACTGCCGATACTATACGCGTAGGATTGCATCATTCTTTGACAAGATGCCGACTTGCTCGCGTTCCATGGACTTCCTTTCCTTGTCGGCGAACGGAACGGAACGTCACGACGAGACAATGTACGCCACAGATTCGTCAGCACGCGTCAGCGGCATGTGCGATCCATGTGAGCAGGCTGCCAGCCACAGCGTGTCATCCCTCCACTTGCAGCCTCCCTACCACGTCCCATCTGAGACTCTCGTCTGTCAGCCGGCGGCGACGGACGCCACATAGAGCCCCAGGCACACCAGGCACAAGGCATGTGAGATGGTGGCGTTTGCCTTTGCATTCGCATCGTCGCTGATATCATTATTGCCGGATCCGTCACTTTTCAATAAGACGTCTTCCATTCCCCAGGGACTATGCATGGTTTGCATTAGCATTAGCATTAGCCGCTCCCATAGAAGCGTAGAAGGAAGATCACTCTGCGACACAGACAGGATAGCATTCGTTCAGTAGGAGTAGATCGGATGCACATCTGTGGGTAAAATAGCCACATTCTCTCTGAGGTGCCACTCTGATCTACTCTGATATGCTTTGAAACGTCCCTCCAGACAGAGCCGCGGAAGGGACGCAGGGAGTGATCGACACTATTGATGCACTGAGGATAGTCTTGGGGCCATTTCCAGCCTGAGCACTGCTGTAATCTCGCTGCGGAGTAGTCTTGCGGAGCTAGCAGGAGTCGCCAGTGGCAGCGACTGCATTGAGGAAGCCGCATCTCAATAGTATCTCAATCGCTATCGCGCTGCGTACACCTCCTACAGCCGCGGATTCCCCGGATTCCGCTATTAGCTACATACCGTGATTGCTTGGAACCGAGATCTCTATCGATAATGCACTGCACGTCGTCATTCTATGCAAGGCTATAGCTGCTCCTTAAGCATTGCCGAGCTCGGTATAGGCGGTCGTCGTAATACACCCAGCTGCCGATTGTGGCGGGGTAACGTCAAGCGGCGTTGTCCGCAGATACGAAACAAGGGGCAACGTCCAGGGTCAGGGAGTGATGCCGTATGAAACACACTCCTGAGTCCTCGGGATGCTGTCATCCCGACGGGAGGGATCGATCTTTCCCTGAACTCGCCGGGAGATAAGCCCATTCATACTCTCGAATTTGCTACTCCCGTCCTCTTGTGAATAGTAACTAACTACCCACTCCCTCCCGTTATCAAAGCTCATGCCAGCATTCGCGGGTAGCGCCACGGCGTGTGAGGGGGAAGGCGTTCCGAGACAGGCGGATGGAGCAGCCGTTTCTCAATGGACGTCGTACACAGATTCTCTGTTCGGCTCAGTGGAATAGCTGATAGCGAAAGGGATGTCTGTGTGTGTGGGAGCGTGTGTTTAGGCTTATTGCTCTCCCTCCCTTTCAGACTCATCTAGACACGGAAGCGAAGGAGGGAAGGCAGGGAGGCGTTCGTTTCATGACTCTCGCGCTCGTACACGACTCCCCGTCCGCACCCCCGTCAGCCCATCAATCACTCACTCGTACCCATCGCGGGAAGCTACATAGCTGTCTCCTATATCCGTCCCGCTCCCGCCGCACCTACCTCCCTCCTGTCCTGTCTCGACTTGCACTACCCGTCTCACCTATAACAACCCCCTTCAGCCCCCTTGACTCTCTTCCGAGACACCTACCCCTCACCGTGCACAAGACCGAACCACCTATCGATCTCAGTCCCGACTGATCCACACCCTCCGACCTCCTGTCAGGCCATCGGGTCGCCGAACACCACTCGCCATCATCGCTCAGGTCACATCGTGCACCCCTGGGTATAGGTCTCCGGCCTTCTGATCGCATCATCGGACCTCCCGTCACCCACATCAGCCACACCCGATAAGGCGCACCCCTTCGGCTACCGTCACTAGGCTTGCAACGGGACGCTAGACTCTACACGTCTATAGCCTGTCGACCCAACGTATATAGTCATTCCTTCGACTTGATACTCCCTCCATCATCTCACCTTTATCTATTGTGCCATCATCACTCTCACTTCATCCCTTCACCATGCTCCTCCGACTCCTCCCTGCACCCACGGCTGCTCAAGCCAACCCACCTACTATCCTCTTCACCCTCCCTCCGCCCAACCAGCCCTACACCGCGCGATCACTTCCTCTTCCGCCCAACCTCCTCGCACACAAGTCGGTGTGTCTTCAGGAAGACATTGACTGCCCAAATGCCCTTCTCGGTGACAAGGCCAGCTGGATGACAGGTGTAAGTTTTTCGGTCCTCTCGGCATGGACTCAACTGATCGACAGATCATCGACGATGTCACCTTTTCTCTCGTTAGCCAGTCGGTCACCGTCAACTTCATCGATGGCTCGCAAAAGTCTTACCCCATCAACCAGACCTGCATCGGCATGCTCCACCGCGTCTGCAAGGAGGTCGAGCTGTCCTTCGCGCCCGCTGCAGCGGTCACCGCTACCCCCGAGTCCACACCCGCTCACTCACGCCAGACCAGCGGGTCTAGCATCGCATCCTCATCCAGCCGGCAGTCCATCTCCCACACCGCTCGACGATCAACCTCTTCCCTCCTCCTCTCCTTACTATCGCCCCTCCTCCCTTCACCCGCCTCTGCTCAGGTCAGCCGCATCCCTCCTGCCCGGGTACACAGGCGTCAAGCCCGGTCACTCCTCGTCGACACCTTCCGTCGCTTCGTCCTTCCCACTCTCAAGGCGGAGCTGCCAGCAGCGTACCTTCCATGGTCGATCGCCAGCGAGTCGGCGCGGCGGCTGAAGGACTTTGAGGGGTTGCGGGTGGAGGTGGACAGGATCTTGGCGGAGACAGGCATGGAGAAGGGGACGAGGGCACCATTGAAGCGGTACCGGACTTTCTCAGCGGGATCAGTGGACTCTGACAACGAGTCTACCGTCAGCTGCGACTCGGCTTCTTCTACCCCGGCCACATCCATCTACTCTTCCCTCAATGGCGAATCATCTCCTCAATGCTTCCTCCTCTCTATCCCTCCCGCCCACGCTCTCCCTGCATCTCACCAACCGGCCTACACCGCAATCCTCCAGCGTCTCACCCACATCGCATCGCGGCTGCACAGCATCGCCCGTCTCAACAGCCGGTACGAGAAGGAAGAGTCCAAGCGCCTCTGGCTCGAGAGCCTCGAGCGGGGTCGCGCGGTCGACAAGGCGCTCAGGTGTGCGTGGTCCAACGGAGGGTTGAAGCGTGGGGTCTCGATCGCGGTGGGGCCAACGACTAGGTCGAACCTCTGGCGGTCGGTCACGGCGGAGGAGGTGGCGCAGGAAGAGCGGCGGTTGGCGGGCGCTATCCACCCGGCGATGATGGAGGATGATGAACCAGGGATGGTGTCGGATGTTGAGGACGCGGAAGTCGTCGACGTCACCTCGCCCGTCACTCCCTCGGCTCCCGCCTTTACCCACGCTGCCGTCTCTATCCGCCTTGGTCCCCTCGAGCCATGCTACGAGCTCCTCGGCGAATCCTTCTCCAAGCTGCCTTCCCGCCCTACCCTCGAGCGGTCCGTCACTCCGGTCCTCGCCCCGGCTGACCCTCCATCCCCTCCGTCTTCCGTCGCTTCCGACGAGGATGACCTCGACGCCTCTCATCCCCTCCCCTCTCTTTACGCCTCCTCTTCCTCCGAATCCCTTTCGTCTTCGGGCGAGTGGGACGACGAGCTCCGCACCCCCTCCCCTCCGCCCGCAGACGACTCGGACGAGGAGACCGAGTTCCACGCGGCCGGTATCCACCCACCCACAAAAACCAAGGGCTTCCAATGGGCCCCTTACCCCACATCCTCTGACGCCGCCGAGGCCGAGGCGGATCGGCCAAAATCCCGTCTTGCCTTCCGGAGGCGCGCGAGCGAGCTCGACGCTGTATCTGCCTAAAACACCCTCTTCTTCGAGCACCCACCTTTTCTGATCATCCTTGTTGTTTACATTACCCGATTGTATATAGTAGATCTAGATACTCAGTCAGATACCGGGACTTTGGAGTAGTGAGCGGATTAGGACAGTATAAACTTTGTAGCATAGATACCATCATAGGACTCAGCTGTAGATACAACCTTCATCATAGGATCCGGACCATGCAAAATTTGTTCTTCCTACTCCTTCGACGTCTGCTCAGCTGAAGAGTCCACGAGTCAGCTTGGTTCAATAGTGAGCAGACATAACGAATCAAGGCAGATGACTACATCAGCCACTATGCCAGCTCCTCCACCTCCATCCGCTCCTTGTCCCACACCCCCGCCGTCCAGTACACATCCGCCTGCAATCTCGCTACACACTCTTCCCGCGTCTCGAATTGGTAGATCATAAAGCTGCCAGCCAGGTTGGGTGTGCCTGCGGGAGGAGGGGAGTCGCGTTGGGCAGTTCCGGGCCGAGGGAGGAAGGGCGAGCCCATTACTGCTGATCAGCACACTGCCCGAGCTCTAGGCCACCTCTTCCGCACGGAAGGCGAGGAAGGAGGGACTTACTTTGCCGACCCATCTCATTCTCGCCCTTCGCCAGGTCCGCTTTGGCAGCTACCAGGTGTTGCGCCCGGACGGAGAGGCGGCGCTCGAGCGAGTTGGGGTAGTCGGGGCAGTAACAGACAAAGCGGGGCATGGTGAGCGATGAAAACGGAGATCAGGGGTATGGTATGGGGAGAGGAACGGGACACGTTGTGGCTGGCCTGTGTGATTGGGCGAACAACAAAGTCAAGTTTAGGCAAGAGAATAGGGGAGTCGCAGGATCACAGGCAAGCTAGAAACGCTGCAGCTGGACCGGCCGCTCCGGGCCGTTACTTGCCGGCCGGCCTCACCTCGACTGCTGCCAGCTGTCGCTGGGACGCATATGCGCAAGCTTAAGAGGATAGCGCGAGGCCTGGCGATGTGCAGATGTACGAAACAGCATATTATGGGGTCTACGTTGCGTGGCTCAGCATCAAAGATCGTTTAGCTACCTCTTTGCTCGACAGACTATCGCGATCGCCCTTCCCCGCTCACAACGCTCCGCCATGTTCACACTAACCTCCCTCCATTCGGCCTCGACCCCCCGCCCGTCAGATGCGCCGTGACACCCTCCGTCCTCGCCCGCTCCCACGCCTCATCCTCTTCTGTATTCTTGACGACATACCCGCTCTCCACGTCCAATCTCGGACTCCGTCTCCCTCCAGTCAGATGCGCCGTCGGCCCGCTTGCCTCTGCACGCTCCCACGCCTCATCCTGCGCCCTGCTCCCCGCACCCCCAAATCCACTCGCACTCAGCGGTCGTTGGTATCCTGCCCCTCCTGTCCTTGAGCTTGGACGCTGTGGGCTCCCATCGACCCCATATGACGCCCACTCGGCACTGGGCTGATAGTCCCCCTTTTCGTACCCCGGCTGCATCTGCGGCCCGGGCGGACCAGGATAGGGAGGGACCATCCATGCTTGTTGTCCTTGGTTGTGGAGGGGTGGGGGAGGGTTGTGCGCGTATGGGTCGTTGGGCTGCAGAGCGTACGTCTCGACGGCGTTCCCGCGTTGGCGGGTGCGGACGGAAGAGGGGTCGAGAAGTTGGCGGTAGAATGCGAGGGTCAGGGAGGCGAAGATGGCCTACAGGTCAGCGTTGGAACGGGATCGATAGAAAGAACGTACGGCAAGTATGACAGAGACGATAAGCCAGGCAATGACCGTCCATGTACCTCTGTCCCAAGCCGTAGTGCAGACTTCCGCAGTCAGCTCTGTACTTCAGGCGGCCGGCCAGCCTTAGCAGACTCACTGTTTCTTGCCTGATCACCCGTGATTTTCTGCTCGACCCCACTGCTCTACGCTTGATCAGCTTCAATCTTTGGGTCATTGTTCGACAGATTATTCACATTTTGGTATGTCGCCCCGAACGTGTTTGCCGCGCATTGCGCAATCAAGTCGCTCTTCAGGATAAAGTGCCGAACGACGTTCAGGATCTGCGCGCCGAGGGTAAGAATCACCCCAAGCGGGGCGAGAACGATGATGAGGCGTCCGACAGATAGATTGTGCTGTCTGTCAGCCGGAGGCATCTGGACAAAGCTTTGGATGAGGTGAGTACGAGCAGACATACCATAAACGCAATGACGATAAAGGCAACTTCGATGAGGGCGATGACAAAGTACAAGATCCCCTGTGCAAGTGCCATCATCTTCTGCCTATCTGACGCTGGGACATCAGCTCTGCTCCGCACAATCGTCCGAGCACGGTAGAGCGAGGTGACGACATACAGTTCGAGTCCGCTCGATCCCGGATACACTCAACCCCCATGGCAATGCCCCATATCGCCCCGAGGATAGAGACGAAGATGACGATCGGTCGAAGGGAGTATGGGTAGACCTTCTTCACGACAGCGGCGTATCGGGGTGGTGGGCCTGATGATTCGAAAGCCGGTCCAAGAGGAGGTGCGGGAGGCGGAGGCGGAGGCGGCGGCGCGGTAGCAGCAGCGAAGGTAGGTGGTTGTTCCGTCGTCATCGTGCGTTATAGGTATACGTATGTGTAGAGGTGAAGGAGAATGTGGAGATGGCCCAGATGTGAGACAGGGGAGTGGCGACGCGGGTGAGGTGGCGAAGACGGGGCGGGCAAGAAAGGAGCGGAACCGTGAGGTGCGGGTGAGGAGCATCAAGGAGACGCGTGATCAGCCAACGTCCCCTCGGTCCACAGCAGAATATCTTTGGGGTGGACAGGTACTACTCACCGTCAGGCGGGGCGGGACGCGTACGGGTAGACCACATAGGCATGATGGGCAGATTGTTATGATGTTGGTTGAAAGCAAAGACAGCGCGAGATTTGACTTTTGTTGATGCTGCAACTCGGTGACGAGAACGTCGGACGCGCCTTTTGGCTTGGCGGTTGGCTGAGGTGTTGCAGGCGGTGATGTGTGTCGTCTTGTGGGAGCCAGAGCCCGATGATGTACTCCTCGAAAGCGAGACTAATAGCGCTGAACAATGTAAGATCGAAAGCAGTGCTATGCGTGTGGGATCTGAACCCCAAAATACCGCATCTGCCCCGCCGTGCCTGAAATCGACAGCTGCCAAACCATGCGGCCCGCTCCACAGCCTTCCATGCGACCAGCCGAGCGCCCCACTTATCTAGGCGAGCAATGAATCACACTTCGCATCATACAGTATCCGAAAGATCAAGCCGAACTACATACTGTACAGACCGGAGCCCTACTCTACATATTTGGTACAACCTGAATGAACCCCATACTTGTACACTCCTCTCTCCTCATCTCTACCTCTCTATCGCTCTACAGATCTACACATTCTAATCCTCCTCATCGCTGTCCTTGTACATGTCCACGCACGCGCTCACATCCGCCAGCGCATTCTCCTCCTCCTCCTCCTCCTCCTCATCCTCACTATCACCAGTCGAGACAGTCAGGCGTTTCCCAAACGACAACCTCGACTGTCCCCCTTGACCCTTCTCCAGCCCCTTCCCACCGGCAGCCATCGCCTTTCTTTTCGCAGAATCCTCGGCATCTCGTCGGCGCGAGAACGCAGTTTTGATCTTCATGTCGACTATACTGGCGAGTTGGCCTAGACGGATCTTGTTGGAGATTTCGGTCGTGGTAGCTTTTGTCGTGCGTTCTGATCTCCATCAGCTCTTCCCCTTCATTGTCGACGGGGAGGACTCACTAATCATCGCGTCCGCTCTCAAGACCCATACCCTAATCCGGTCCGAATCATGGTGCTCCCGCTCCTTGGTCATCGGCAGAATATCAACCAAAGGGTTCACATCCCCCAGCATCTCGTACAAGAATGCCAGGAGATGGTCGACCAACATATGGTCTGGAGTATCTTCGGAGAGCTCATCGATGATCACCATGATGCCGAGATGGATCGTGGGCAGGAGGGGAACGAGACGCGGCTCGTCCTGTCTCATCAGCTCAACCCCCAAGGACAATTGAGGAGGACTCACGACAGGCAGTTTGCCAAGAGAGTCCGGCGCCAGCAGACCAGCTGCGACCCATCGGGAAATCTCTCTCGACTGCTCGGACGACATCCCGATAGCATACAAGACTTCCCGCTTGGAGACGGCTGGGATGTCGTCGGTGGCGTTGCAGATGCTCATGGCGAGAGCGACAGAGTCCTGCGACATCAGCCACTTCTCCCTCGAGGCCCGAGTGACGTCCAGCTCACCACTTCGTCGAGACAAGCAGGCCACATCGCCTTCAGCGCAGCCTGGACCGCATCCTTGGTAGCCGGCGACGTGGTAGGATCGGCATACAGCAAGCAGAATACAGGAGCAAGCTCGACCGCTTCTTGACCTAGCAAGTGACCGCGTCTACTTGATCAGCTTAACACTCCGTTACTGACGAAGCAGAACTGGGGGGTATTGACTCACTCGGCAAGCTTGGTGAGCAGCTCAGCCAGCCCAGCCAGCACATTGTCCCTGTCCGCACGGGGCTTGCCCACGTCCGCAACCGGGGTGAAGGTAGGCAAGACTGACTCCCTCATCCCCATTGAGGCGAACAATCTGAAGACCGTATCCCGGACATGCGAGGAGGATTGGAGTGGATGGTGTTTGGCCGAATCGACGAAGCTAAGCAGGCACGCCAACGCTTCGGTGGCGTTCTTCTGTACGACTAAAGAGTCAGCTTGGGTTCCGGCATGGACATCAGGCCCGGACTACGTAGCTCACATGTCTGCAAGCAGAAGGTAGCGAGGGCCGGAGTAGCCGCTGCGTCGAGCTGAGAAATGGCCTTAGAAGACGCCGAGAGTATAAGAAGCAAGTCATAGTCTGCTAGGTCAGCTATCTGGCCCCTTGTCCTGCGCCCGGCAACTCACCTCCTCTCTGCGCGCTCTTGATCCCCGTACCCCACATCCCACCCTTATAAACCCCCTCAGTCGCAATATCCACCTTCTCAGCCTTGGCGAGGACCGCCTGCTCCTCCTGCCACACTCCCGCCCACCTCACCTCCGCCTTCAACGCCGCCGCAGCAGCCTCCGCCTCCTTCGCATCCTCAAGAACCATCTCGGCTGCACTTCGATCCTCGTCATTCAGATCCCGGAGCGATACCCTAGACATCTGAGCCATCGTCCGCATCCCCGAGCCGGCATCTCGTCCAGGGAACGCCGGCTCAGTCGACGGATCGCGGGACGTCGGCGTAGGATACGGCTGGGCGCCTTTCGGTCGCTTTTCGGGCGACTCGGACATTCCAGAGTTGGACGACCCGAACGCCATCTCGAAAGACGTGTCCTGTTCGTGTGTCGCCGCGATCTTGGAGAAGAGGCGTTCGGTCGCGCGCTCCTCCGCCGTCTTTTTGGGTTTGGGCGCAGGAGCGGCCGGAGGGGGACTATCAGCCGGAACGCGAGAGCCGGCCTGACGATGCGATTTCCGGGTCTCGGCAGCTATGAGAGTCCTGCAAGTCTTAGCGTGATCCAAACAGGTCAAGCAAAGTGGAGACTTACGCAGAAGCAATAAAGCTAACATCCACCACCTCATCATCGTCCGACTGTTCTGCCGCGGCCGCGGCATCGGCAGCCCACTTCATCCTTCGCTGGTGCACCTCCTCCTCCGCAGCGGCCCGCGCCTTCTCCTTGGTCTCCTCCATCAACCTATCCCTTTCAATCTTACGGTCCATGCTCTCCGCCCGCTTCTTGCGCTCCTCCGCACCCGGCGATAAGGCCGGGTGTTTTGGCTTGGGGGACGCGAGAACGGCCGAGATAGACGGCGTGTGACGGGAGGAGAAGCTCGACGCTCGCGAGCCGGATTTACTAGGCGTGTTCTGGCGTTGCTGCTTGAGCATCGCAGCGCGGGTGGGGGTAACAAGGAGATCCTTCTTCTCCTCCGCAAGGTCCTCGGCGGAGAGAGCACCGACGATACGCATCTTACCAGGTGTTGCAGGCGGGATGGCACCCGGCGGGCTCTGTGGCGCAAATTCAAATTCGGCGAACTCGGCCAGCTCACACATCAGCTCCAATCCCTGCTACGGCTCAAGAAATGCTCACCAGATCCACCTCTTGCTCCTCTATCTCGAAGTCTGGCTCCGAGTCGCCCGCGAGGTCGATGACATCCTCGGGAGTTTTAGCCTTGGCCCGAGGCGTCGTATCGTCCTTTCCGCGTCGAGGGGTTTTACTCGGCGTATTGTACGGGGACCGATGGGAGGACGAGGTAATATCCATGAGCCGTGCGGACGATGTGGGCCGGCGCGGGGTGTGATTGCCCGAAAACGACTTTTTGGGCGTAGGCTGTGATGACAACGAAGTCAAGCTAGACGTTTCCGAGATGGTCCGGACCAACGGACGGGCGGACGAGCCAAAGCCTTTTCGGGACGAACCGCCGGGTGCAGTACGCGGCGTGACGGGCTTGCCAGGGGAGGATGTCACGGATGACGATGCCGGCGCGGAGGTGAGGTGGGAGCTACCAGGTGCGGAACTAAGTGCCGAGCTGGAAGTGGCGGGTGTCACGCTCCCGGTCCGACGAGCTCTGGCCGGGCTACCTGCCATTTGCGCAGCCATAGCGGTCGAGGGTTTCCGCGCCCACTCTGTATCCGGCGCACCCATCGTTGGGACCTTGTAGTTTACCGGGGGCTGGTTGGCCGTAGGCTCGGAGCGGGAACGCGCCGCCGGAGCCAGAGGTGAGTGTTTCGCCACCTTGGAGGAGAAAGCGTGCTTGGATGAGGAAGCAACCGCATTATCTTCGACGATGTGATCGCGCTTCCTCTTTTCGCCGGACGAGGGCGACCGAGCAGGACCTGCAGGGGTAGGGTGCTTGGCGCTGGAGATAGAAGTGGTGTGGCGTTGAGCCGAGGGGACGGGTTTGGGCTTGCCCGTTGACTTGGTCGGAGTTGGGGGTACGGACGATTCAACGGATCCGCGACGCTTGGTAGGGTCTGCTTTGATGACGGATCGCAGCGGGCCGCTGACTTTGGCCGGCTGGGTAGACTGAGAAGTGGGCGTAGCGGGAACAGGGGGCGCCTGACGGGGACGAGCCGATCTTGGCGGGATCTCCACGACGGGGATGGACGCGCCGCGGTATCTAGAGGACGAGCCCGAAGAGGCGAGTGCGGCTGTACGCGAGGGTTGAGCAGGACGGACGGGAGCTGCCTCACCCTCCTTGAAGAGGTCTTCGAAGTCGTCCACCAATTCCGGGACGCGCCTGGAAGTTGAGGTCTGCTTCGGCGGTATGGCGCTGCTAGAGCTCCTCGGGACAATGGAGGTGGAGGAGGTGCTGCTAGCGGTCCGACGGAAGGAGGGCGCGCTGGTGGAAGACTTGAGTGGGGAGGATTTGGCTACAGGCTTGGGGACCTTGCGGTTTTGGGTAAACATGGGATGTAGAGGTCTAGTGGTGTCAGCTGCGTTCTGCCTGTAAATAATTGATGGACTCACTGAACGGAGTCTCGAGAGCCTGGCACCGCTGCCTTCCCTTCATGAACCGTGTCAAGATTCTGAGCACGCTTACTGCTTCCCGCGACCATTTCCTTCTCCCTTTCCTTCCCGCTGACGGAGTCGCTCATCCTCGGCCGGCTACTAGAGGCAGAAGTGGAGGATGAGCCACCGCCAAGCTCCACCTTCTCCCTGCTGACGCTCTTGCTGAACTTGCTTCGCTCGCCCAGCCTAGGCTCAACGCGGTTGGAAGATGGCAACGCGACGGACCCCTTCTCGCTAGGTCTGGCCTTGACCGGGGACGGTGGGATGACAGGCTTCTTGCGGGGAGACTCAAGGTCCCGCCGAGCCGTAGATGAAGAAGAGGAGGGCATGATCTTGGGCCGGTGGCTATGTGACGAGTCGGCCGATCCGATCGAGATGGCGTCGAGCTGGTCCTCGCCTTTCCGCTTCCTGGAGGGGACCTGCAGGCCGTCTCGCGAAGACGACGATGACGATGGAGGAATGCGGTTGGACGCGGAGCCCGCGCTGGCCTTCCACGAGTCGACCAGAGCAGGAGTAACGCCCTTCCTGACGTTGAATGGAGGCACGTTCGGTTTGGTCGTTGGAGCCAACGCGCCTGACCTGGGTTTGGACGACAATGACGCGCCGGTAGGTAGGATTTGTACGTCGTCTTCGTCGGATGAGCCTGTGAGGTCTATGAGTGGCATAGAACGCCCGCCATTGGTTGGATGAGAACGCGATGGGCCGGCCGGAGGAACCCACGACGAGGTTGGAGCGTTACCGCGATTCATCGGAAGGGATGTCTCAGCTTGGGGAGGTGGAGGTGGGGTAGTTGTCGTGTGGCTTGACTGTTGTGTAACGAATGACTGAGTGGGTAGGTGTCGCTAGTGTATCGACATACTTGGGTGAGGTGAGCTGCCTTTGAGGTGTGAGGTTGGACGTGACAGACAAAAACAAAGGCAGACGCGCTCTCCAGCTGGTGCTCCAGGGGCTACCTTGTCCAGGGTCTAAAAGTGCCACACCGTCTCAGACTCGCTCACAGCCAACTTATATTTCCGGATACTGTAACTCCGATCAGTAACTGACAACGGTCACAGGTCACCTCAACCTGGTCACCTGTCACCGACCGGGCAAGTCGTGGCGACAGTGACCTTCATAACGCATCTCGGAGACCTCAGACGAGCCATGTGTCTTCGGTGTAGCATCGAAGGTCGCTGAGCGGGCTATTCAAGCCTTCCCACATTCTGTAGAGGCTTCCTCCAAGCAGGGCTATGCATTGAAGCGACTCTTGACCTACTGCCTGGCTGAACCTCTTCAGTTGAGTCACCCAATTGTGGTGTCACAGGCCAAAACCGCCTGGTCACGGTAAGTACCCTGAAGAGCTGCCGCGTGACTTTGTCGTGCCTTTGACGTGACGTCAGCGACTGCTCGTTCCCATTATTAGATCTCTTTCCCCTTGCGACCACAACTTGGCTTTCGCATTCCTATCAATCTCTTTGTATCCATCACAGCTCTCACTTACCTCCAAGCTATCAACACGATGTCCTACGCCTCTGCCACCAAGAGCAACAGTGCGTAAAATTCCACTCGGAAAAGGATCAAGCTGATTCGCAGTCCCCGCGGGAGAGATGCCCCACCCCGACCAGGGCCTCGCAGATGGCCACTTTGAAGGCGAGACCGGCGCACACGGTCTCCACCAGGGCGAGAAGGTAGGTCATGCTCTTCCAACATGTGCACATCAACCTGCTGACTCTCAGATCAACGTCCTCCCCGCCGGAAGCGACCTTGAGCACCCGCCAATCGAGGACGAGCTTGCCGCCCGCCCAGACCCTATCCAGCTCAAGCACGCCGAGCCCGAGACCTCCAACGCTCTTAACGTCGCCCCCGCATCCACCCCCGTCCCCATCGACACCACCAAGTGGGAGAAGGTCGAGAAGGATCTCGAGGCGGATGTCAAGAGCGGAGCCAAGAAGGCCGAGAAGAAGGGCAAGGAGCTCGGTGATAAGGCTGAGAAGAAGGGCAAGGAGCTGAGCGCCGAGGCCCAGAAGGCTGGCAGGGAGATCAACGATAAGGCGCAGAAGGCCGGCAAGGAGGTTTCGGACGCGGCCAAGGACCTCAAGAAGAAGGCCAAGGTCAGTTCTTTACTGCAGAATTGCGGGGCGAAGCTGATGTTCAGGCCGAACTCAACGAGGTCGAGAACAAGCTCGAGCCATACTGGGAGAAGACGAAGGACATTGTTCTCCGCCCCGGAACCCTTGGTGGCCTTATGGGTGTTGTCAACGTCGGCCTCCTCGGCACTCTCGGCTACTTTGCTTACACCCGCCGCGACCAGCCATGGGACCGCCGTCTCGTCGGTGGTGCCGCTGCCGGTACTCTTGCTCTCTTCGGTGCCGAGGGGTGAGCTAGAGCGCGCGTGCTGTCGTGCGTACATAGCTGACTCTCAGTTACGTTACCGAGTCTTACCTGTCAACACCCGAGGGTCGTGCCGAGGCCGAGCGGGCCAAGCGTGAGGGTTCGAGGGCGTACATGCAGGCCAAGGAGATTGTCCTCAGGCCCGGTGTCTTTGGCGGTCTTGCTGGTTTCGGTGAGCTAAATATTCACATGCGAAAGGTAGCAAAGCTGAGTATCAGTAAACGTCGCTGTCCTCTCCACTGTCGGCTACTTCAGCTACAAGCACTGGAACCACATCTGGGACCCCCGTATCGTGACTGGTGTCACTGCCGGTCTTGTCGCTCTTTCTGGATTGGAGGGGTGAGCTACGATCCGTTGCATGACTCGAGCCGAAAGCTGATAGTTTAGATACGCCGGAAAGGCATACGCCGACAACGAGCTTCCCAAGCGCAGGTAAACAACGATGTGAAGCAGTCAGGCGGAAGAATAGGAAACCGAGTATAGATCGAGGTAGGAGGAGTTTGGTAGGAAGAAGTCTGACAAGGGGGAATGAGACTGGGTTCTTGCTTGTTGCGTGGCTCTTTCTATATAGGATACATGTATGCACTACTTACACACGACACCTCCTCTCTCACCTGCGAGTACCGTGGAAGCGGTCAGCTGGACCACATGAGCATCTCGGAGGTATGAGGATTGTAAGTTCAAGCTCCGACGTGCCTGAGACCGCTAGCCGGCCGAGCCGGGTGCGGCTATTTGGTTCGCGCTAGATCTTGCTCCACTGTCAAAAAATCGATACCAGCTTCTCTCGTCGATCGTATCACATCTCTCTGATAGAACTCGGTCACGCTATCGCTCGACTCACAGCGGCATATCGCCATCAACAAGAGAGATCGCTCCCACGGCAGGTGGAGCACGCGCGCCGAACGTAACCCCGAAAAGGGTCTTGAAGCGTCGCCATCTTAGGTACAGGTTCGCGTCGACTCCTACCGTGACCTCGATCGGTCAGCTTGGGTGTTCAGACGCGTCCACTACATCTTGCAGAGATCAACAAAGATCTCAGGCTTGCCCCACTACATGAACGCGCAGACCTCCCCATCTTCTTCACTCAGCCACAAACCATGTCCTCCACCAACCTCGGGTTCCGCCCTACCCGGCGAGACATCCTCCTCGTCCTTCTGACCCTCTCCACCTCCTACCTCCTCTTCACTCCTCGGCCGGACCCCTCCGCCTCCCCTCTCTCGTCCATACCGCCCATCACCTCCTCCTCCTCGCCCGCCCTCAGCCTTACCGCGCCCGCCAAGCCCAAAACCTACATTCCGGACTGGTTATGGCCCACCTCTGGACCGTCCACCTCTTGCCCTACAGGTACGGGAGTGAGGGAAGAGACCTTTGACGAGAGTATACGGACCTACGGGTCCACGCACTTTTCAGGGAGGATACCTGCCGAGGACAGGATAGAGGGGTTCGATCAGGGGAATGAGGATTTCGGGATCGCTCATCCCAGCGGAGAGGGGAATGTAAAGGGGACGGAGGGAGAGTTGAGGGATATCAAGACGGAGTTGTTGGGTCATCAGGCGGGGTGGACGTTGGCGGATAGGCTGTATGTCTTTAATGGGAGTTTCTATGTGGTCACGTAGGTCTTTTCCTTCTTGGTGTCGTCGGCGGGTCGGGCATGGGAGCAGGAGGGAAGCTGCAAGATGAAGAGAGTCGCCATGACACGTTGCTGACATATCAGAGATAGACAGGAGGAATGGCCAGATCTCATACATATGACCTCGACGGGCTTGCCAGCGGACAACGAGCCCGGGAACGCTGAAGCAAGAAAGCCGAAGGGTCGAGAGGTAAGTGAAGCCCCGCGCCGCAGTAGCGGTCCAGACGTAGCTGATATGTAGATCATCTTCATCACGCCTACCGAGGCGGCCGAGCTATGGGGACCAAGGGTGCTGCGGATGGGCGGGATGACTTGGCTATTCAATGACGGTCAATGTGAGCTGCTCATTGATTCGAAGATGTCTGGCAAAGCTGATTCAACAGTCATCGACCACTACTACCACTTCTCAGCTGAGCTGCTGCTTGGCGCCTGGAGGGCTTATGCGTCTCTCGACAAGAACATTACGCCCAAGGGGGAAACTACGCTCCCTCCACCAAGACGCGCTTGGTTCTTGCATCAGAACGCTGACCAATGGTATGTACTGCGCCTTGGGATTGTTCCGCACCTGCTGATGATCTAGGCGCGACAAGCCCAGATTCAATCCGACTGTTCTTTTCTCCGCCTTCCCCTCCATCGCCCTTTTGTACCCGCAAGACTGGGACGACCTCGCCCAGATAACCAACAACTCGCACCCCCGGGCGTACATGCTCGAGCGCGCCCTGCTCGCCGACCGCTCCGCCGCATTCTACGGGGACTACACCGCGCCCACTTCGCGCACCGTCGCTTCTGCCCTTTGGGTCGGAGAGGCCAGTGTCTGGTGGTGGGAGCCCATCCGGCGGCAGATCTTGCGCGTTGCGGGCGTGCCCGAAGCTGTGCTCGACCGGAACATGGAGGGATGGGGCGCGATCGATCCGGTCCACTTTGTGGAAGGGGCGAGGGTGGCGCATGCGCATCCGATAGGCAAGAAGCCTGAGGCGGGGGATATGGATATCGACCGGACGGGCGGACTGAAGAAGGTGGGAGGGTATAAGCCGGTCGTCACGTATATCAGCAGGCAGAGTTCGAGGCGGCGCCTGAATAAGGAGAGCCACGAGGGGCTGGTCTTGGCCCTGGAAGCAAGTAGGGACAAGCTGGGCTTCGAGCTGCACGTCATAGAGGCGGAGAAGCTGAGCAGGGAGGAGCAATTGGCTCTGGCCGGGAAAACAACGGTATGTCTTCCTCTCTTCAGAGCAGGACTGCACCGAAGCTGACATCTAGATCATGCTCGGAGTCCACGGGAACGGATTAACCCATCTCCTCTGGATGCCCGCAACTCCCCGGAGCGCAGTCATCGAGATGTACTTCCGAGGAGGTTTCGCGAGGGACTGTAAGTCTCACCTCTCTTCTTCTTCTCAGTGCATCAGCTGTACCGAGAGCTGACGAAGCAGACCAATGGACAGCCCATGCGCTGGGCATGCGCCACTTTGGCGTGAACCACGATGTCAGCTTCACGGCGCCTGAGCTGCCCGAGGTGTTCTATCCCGAGGGGTTCCACGGGACAGAAATCACAGTGGATGGGAACTATGTGGCGGGGCTGATTGAGGATCGGCTGGAGGGGCGGATATAAGCGGAGCCTGGCGAGGGGGGCATGATGGGCAATCTTGCGTGCATCATATGTGGCGGGGGGTGGAGGATCATACCGTATCAGAAGTAGAGGGGGATCATCATTTTGGGCTATCTATATGCATCATCTATACGATTTCATCTTACGTCTGGCTATACTAAGCCTTCTGCTCCTCAAGGACCTTCTCCACCGCGCCCCTCAACTCCCCAATCGTCGCCTTTGGATCCTTACTCCCAAACACCGCCGTCCCCGCCACCAGCACATTACTTCCCGCCTGGGCGCACTGGCACGCATTCCCCGATCCTACTCCGCCGTCCACCTGGATATTCTTTCCCGGGAAACGCTTACGGAGGTCCATCACCTTCTCGAGGCACTCGGGCATGAACTTTTGCCCGCCCCGGCCGGGACGGACAGTCATGACGAGCAAGAGATCAGCCGAGTTGCCGAGTGATTCGGTTATTGATGATGAGGGGGTTTCGGGGGAGATGGCGAGTCCAGCGGACATTTTGTGCTCGTGGATCAGGTCAATGACTTTTTGGTGTTCCGCTGAACATTCAGCGAGGGTCCTGCTTAGTGGTGGGCCAGAGGATGAACGTACAGGTAGATTCAAAGTGGAAAGTGTAGCTCTTCCCGCCGGCCTCGGCGATTTCGGGAACCCACTATCTCGGTCAGCTTGGGAACGAAGCAGTAACTTCAGCTGAAAGCATGGGCACGCACCTTCAGTGGCTCAGACACCATCATATGGCAGTCCATATATATGCCAGGGACATTGTCTCGCACGGCCGACAAGATAGGTGCACCCATCGTGATGTTCGGGACAAAGTGGCCGTCCATGACATCTATGCTGATCAGCTGAAGCCCTCCCCATATGATAAATGAAGGGGTGTGACAGCTAATCTACGGCGACTCCGAGTGGGACTCACCCATGTGAAGCCAGTCGCATCCTGCGGTCATCATCCGCTTGCATTCCTCGGCGAGATTCGAGAGGTCGCTCTGAAGGATTAGCTTCGCGGAGCCAGGATTTGCCGATATGCGTTCCGTCGTAGCTTACCGCGAGGACGGAGGGAGAGATGATGGCCTTGGACATGTTGCTTGTGTGGGAGTGAGGTGAAGAGGCAGAAGGATGCTGGCGGTCCTTTAGCTTTGGCGACCGACTTTTGCCGGTGCGAATGACGCACGGGCGTGCCTAGGCGCCTATAAAGCGCAGCGCCCCTGTTGGGACTAGTACTACTGTCCCTAGAGCCTTATCCCGGGGGTGACTTAGAAGCTTAGACCCCTGTGATATCACAAAGTATCTTAGCTCCGCATCACTCTCCTCGTCGTCAAATGACTGATCCAGGGGGCGAAATGCTCAGCTCCTCGAACAGCGCAAGCTTGAGATTGTCGCCGCAGCGAAGCTTCAACCTTTACTGCAACCGTGTGCATATGAATCCCAGTCCAGATTACCTTTACCCAGGAAGTACAAAGGGGGTCCCAGCCTATCGCAAGCTCTACTTGGGCACAACGTTGACATCGGTAAAGCCTTCCTTCTCCTTGTCGACACTTTCCATCGTGACCTCTTCCTCCGGCGCCAGCTGAGTCAGACGCTTCTGCCGGCTGTGCATGAAGTTGAGGGCGACCAGGAGGAAGAGGGTGCCAACAATCATGCCAAACGACGTCCAGAACCCTTTCACTGCAGGGGTCAGCTGATGCTTGCGGCGATGCCAAGTCATTGAGACTCACTGAAACGAGGAGCCTCGACCTGGGGGAAGACAACGACGGGTAGCCATGCGTTGAAGATGTAAAAGACGAGGTTGGCGGTGGAGATAACGATGGCGCGTTCCTCGGCGTTGGCCTTACAGATCTCGTTGAACCAGGGGAAGAGGATGGGGGTGATGACGAATGTGTCGGTCATAAACCAAGCGAATGTCATGAGATTAAAGTTCTTGGGATGGACGGCGAGGATACCGCAAGGCACCAAGGCCCAGACCTGTGTCGTCAGCTTGCCTTGAGCCAAAGCTCTACCACGACGTACCATGACAGTAAAGCACACGTAGAATCGGTTGCCGAGCCGATCAGTGAGCCAGCCATAGAATAAGAAGCAGGGTATGGCGATAAGCTTGGTACCGGCGAACCAGACATTGCGGAGCACGACGCTGACACCGTTGCCTCCCAGCCCTGAGATCGTCAGCTCCCAGCTCCAAGGTACGCAGAAGAGTCACTGACAGATAGCCATGTAATTGACGTCTTGGACCGAGGTAGCGTACTGATACATCAGTACGGTCTGGCATAGCCTGAAGAAGACAGCTTACAATGAGATAAGTGATCGAGATCAAGTAGATCCTCCAGCTGCCAAAGATCCGCTTGACGAGGCGCACATCAAGCTTGCCGCCTATCTGAGCGATACCGGCACGAGCGCAGCGGTCGATGGCGAGTTGACGCTCTTCTTCCGTGAGCCAGCGAGATTTGGAGTTGTGAGGGAAGTCGGGAAGGACGAAAAGGGTGAGGACGGCTGAGGGGAAGGTCATCAGGCCGCAGATGATGTAGAGCCATCGCCACTGTTCATGGTCAGCGAGAAGTCACTGCAATGGGATACAGGTGGACTGACACCTGCGAAGCCGGCAACACCATCGAGAGTCACGTAGATGGCCGCCTGGAGGTAACCTGAGATGGCCGAACCAAAGATACCGGACACCATCCGGAAGGCGGTGCGCTTGGCGAGCTCTGGTCCAGTGTACCAGGATGCGAGCAGAAAGAGCGAGACCGGCTGGAACGCTGCCTCGAACAGACCGACGAGGGCACGGAAAGCGTACATGTCGTTTGAATTACGAGCTCCAGCTTGCGCGAATCTGCCAATCAGCACGGGGCCAGGGCACGACTCACGTGAAGGCCATCCAACCGAACTCGCACATCCCGAGCCACCAACTGGGCCGGACTTTGAGGATGATGAGGTTGGACGGGACCTGGAGGACGGCGTAGGCGATGTTATAGACGGTCTGCATGTACGTGTACTCGTTGCCCAAGATGTTGAGATCCTCCTTCATGCCGGATACGTAGGCGTTGGCGAGATTGGCTTGGTCAAGGTACTACAGATTTCAACGTGTGTATGACTCGAGATAAGCACACGGTACGGACCTTCATGAACCAACCCAAACCTGCGAGTCAGTAATGGCCGACCGGAGCGGGACGTCTACTCACAGACAACCGACAAGATCATGCAGTCGAGCTTGAAGACCAGCCGACGCTCGGCGGGCGACTTGATATAGTAGTCAGAATCCCAGACGAGCGAGACAAACTTGGTCCAGCGGGTTTGAGAGATGACAGGTGAGGGCGAGCGGTCATCGATACCTGCAGCCGTAGTGGCGGGCATATCACCGGTGGACGCCATAGTTGCAGTAGAGAGCGAGTATCGTTGGAGGGAAGTGACTTGACACTGCCGGTCCTTTCTATAGCATCTTCTCTCCTCAAGCTTATCTGGTTGATATCAAGTTCAGCTGTGTCCCGGTCATGATCGGCGCAGCTGGGCGGGCGAGCGGAGCGGTGAGCACTCCGCTTGACTTGGTGTGATAAGGGTGGAGTGAGGTGCGCCCAGCCTTAGTGGTACTCGTAACGAGGCAGTGAGATACGGTAGAGGCCGCCACAATAAGGTAGCGATACTGGCGGGGCGTCTTCCGCACTTCTCTTGTCAAGCGATAAAGACTGCCCCCACTTTCGACCTCTATGCAGGGTGTTCGGATCGATCCGAGCTATCTCCGAAATCCCGAACGCCATGCCGGCACTATGATGCACCGGTTGGCGGCCATCCATGCATCCATGGCCATCTATGCTGAGAGCTGTCACCAGGCATCATCGCCAGGAGGATGACAACAGTTCGCTGCAAGAGACTGCGCGCGAGAAGCCGATCGCGAGCTCATGCATACATCTGCTCATATGTAGCTACTCGTCAAGAGCCGCCATCTTCGCCATGACGTCCCGCATGCCCTTGAGTAGGGCAAAAGAGTCCCGCCCAGCCATAGCGAAGCGGATGGCCGGAAACTCCTTCCTGAAAGCTGTGACGAGATCGAGCCTGTTCTCCATCCCTCCCAACCCGAGAAAGATCCCCGCCTCGGTGCCAGCACGACAAATGCGCTTGATAGCGGCTTGGAGTTCGGGATTGTCAAATTGTCCAGCAGCGCCGAGACTTGGTGTCAGCTCGGGGACCAAAATCAGAAAGGGATAGACTCACTCATCGGAGAGGTCGTGCACGCCAATGAAGATCATGTCAACGCCAGGGACCCTCGCGATCTCCCCGCAGTTCTCGACGCCCTCCTTGGTCTCGATCATGGGAATGGTGAGGGTGGTATCGTTCTGCGCCTTGAAAGCCCCGTTGAAGTTCTTGATATCAAAGTTGAGTTGAGGGGTGAAGGCGAGTGGACGTTCTCCCTGACCTGTCAGCCGCAGAACTTGTCATTCGGTGGGTGCAAACTCACGATGGGCCGGTGCTTGCTGTACTTGACGAGTGTCCTCGCCATTTCTGCGGTATTGATCCTTGGCACCTGCCCCGTCAGCTCAGCCAAGAAGCAAAGATGGTCATGCGGTACTCACAACAATGCCCTGAGCTCCGTTATCCAGTAATCGGGAGATCCACTCGCTCTGGTTGCAAGGCACAACGATCACCGGCGAGATGCTGAAGAGTCAGCGCAGCCAGGTTGAGGTGAGTTTATAGCTCACCCTAAGGCCAGACACATGACGCAGACGTCCGCCGCCGTCTCGACATCCGTCTTCCTGTGCTCCATGTTGAGCGTGATCGACTTGAGCCCGGCATACTTTGCGAGCTGCAGCACCTCAAGACCGGGCGCGATGGTGATGGTGAAAGATGTGCCGAATTTGCCCTCTTCCATCAGGTCCTTGAGCGGGTTCGAGTGGATCAGCTGGCCCTCATAGTCGACGAGTTTGGACATGGCTCTGTAAATTTGTTGGCGGCGAAGTCGAGGTGGATGGGCGTTACTTGATGGATGGATGTTGCAGCGAGACGCCAGTCGGTGTACGAGCGATGCAAGTCCTCGCTCAATGGCTTGCATCATGTCTCTCGGCCCCCATATCGATAAGCTGGCGGACGGTGGTCCGCTTGGTTACCGAGCCAAGCCGAGTCGGATAAGCTTCCCGATCGGTCGTCAGGCCATTCACCAGCTTGTCCCACAGTGTGTCTGGGCGGAGTGAGGACAGTTCTGGCGGTGTGTCCGGCTCTGATCAGTGCTAGTCGAATAAGCTGTCATGGACCTGAGAGATGTGCTCGAAAGAGGCCGAGGCTTCGCAAACGCAACGATAGCGGCGGAAAATTCTCCACCCATGCGGATTTGGCCGGATAGTATCCCCACTTTTGCCCCACTCTATTGCCAGTCCTAGCGTACTGGAATATCAGGCAGGCAGCTTCAGATCTGAATGTAATCCCAGTCTCGGACACTCGTCAATACATACACCATGTCATCTCGCCGCATTGCAGTCATCGAAGCCTGGTTCACCAGCCCCTCTCAAGCCGGCAAGCACCGTGGCTACTCGGCGTCCGACGTTGCGCTTCACCGTGACGCCGGCGAGCTTACCGTTGACAATACCATGGCGAGGCGGCTGCGGCATCTTCTGGCGGAGCACACCAAAGCTGGTACTTGTATCACATCGCTTGGTGTGGTCGACTCGACGTCTTTGCATGCAGCGACAGAAGAGGGCCTTGGTGAGTACAGCGGTCATCACTAAGCTGATATCAGTCTGCGCATACGTCTCGGGCGCGGCGCTGAGTTTTGCGGACGTGGGGCGGACCGACCCCAGCGCAGACCTATCCGACTATCTCCCTTCTGCTGTGGCGGACAAGGTGAGCTGCGGTAGCGGCCGAGCTGATAGCAGGTCAACAGCATGTATCGTGCTCAACTCGCTCGGGACCGCTTGAACCGAGGCTTGGCTCAAAGGGGGTTCAAGTGTACCGACCCCATGATCCCCCTGATTGCGGATTGTGATTCTGGGTGAGTGTTCCTTGAGAGATAAGCTGATCTCAGCTATGGTCTCCACACGTCGGTAATGAAAGCGGTCAAGCTTCTCGTTGAAGCTGGTACTGCTGGTCTGCACATAGACGATATGCTATCCGGCTCGAAGCGGTTCGACAAAGTTGATGGAGTCGGCGGGGTACTGGTGCCGCTCTCGGAGCACAAACGGCGGTTGGTCGCTGCTCAGCTTCAGCTGGATATCATGGGGTACGTTTCGAACTGTCACCCAGCTGATTGTCAGGTCCGAATGCGTTCTCATCAACCGTACCGACGCCATCCACTCTACGCATATCACCTCGACTATCGATCCCGCAGATCGCGCCTTCATCCTCGGCTCTCCTATCCCAAGCCTCCCCAGTTACGCTTCCCTCCGCACTTCCGCCGAGCGTACTGCTTGGCGCGCCGCAGCTCAGCTCTGCAGCATCGATGAAGCGACAGCGCGAGCGGCCGAAGCCGCGGGCGACCTCGATCTCCTGCAGAAGTACAACGCTCAGGTTGGCTCCCTCTGCGCCGGTGACGCCAAGCGCCTCGCTCTCCGTCTCGGCATCAAGGTCGAGTGGGACTGCGACATTGCACGGACATACCAAGGCTGGTACCCTTATCGCGGGTGTATCGAGTCGTCTCTCGACCGCATGAAGCGGACATCTCACCTCTTTGACGTCGTCTGGTACTGTGCCATCTCGTACCTCGCATCCGAGGCAGAGTTCTTCGCGAAGGAGCTCCAAGCGGCGTCTCCCGGCAAGTGGATGATGTTTAATACTACCCAGGCTAGCAGGGCACGCGTCAAGGGTAAGTGAAGAGAGTGGGCTCAGCTGATGTCAGATATCCCGCCTGCTGAGCTCGAGCGCATACCTCATACACTCGGCCGGCTCGGCTACTCGCTCAACATCATGCCCCTCGCCGGACAGGTCATTCACGCGCTAGGGAGTGCTCGAGGTAGCAAGGCGGTCCTGCAGGGTGGTCTTGCTGCTTTCATTGAGGAGATCGCGGGGCCGGCCGAGGACGAAGCGGAGGGGAGACCTTTGGTGGCGCAATGGCATCCGAACTTTGGAAGTATCGCGGACTCGGTCATGGATATCATAGGGACCGGGGAGTAGGCCTGGCAATGCATGTACTGCCCTCATCTCAGCAGCAGGCCTGGCAGCGGTCAGTGGCGGTCAGTACGTAGTCAGCAGGTAGTTCACGGGCTTTGGAATAACAAGTGCGTTCCCTTCCATGAACGCATGTTACAGAGAGGGAGCGGATGCGTATTGAACGCCTCCTTTCGCTGTGCCGCTGCGAGATGCCCCGTTGACCCGTTCGCCGCCGTCTCCATCTTCGCTCATTCCCGGTCGATCACACAGTGAGAGGGGCGTTGCTGAGAAGGCGAGGGGCCGCAATTGCACGCATGGACTGGATCCACAGCAGGACAATCGGTCAACTCGCTGATGTGTATTGATTTAAGTCAATGGAGGCACACTCCGACGCTGTCGAGGTTGGACTGATAATCAACTGCTGCCCGTCGCTCCTGGCGTAAGATACTCACCTCCACAGGCACACCCGCATCATATACAGGCGAGTCACCATGGAGTTGCTCACTAAGTTGGAATGCCTGCTCGTACAGACTAATGACCGCTGAAAGCTGTATAGGCATAGGTGAAGCTTGATGGTTATTCCGTACCTAGAGTTAGCCGTTATAGTACGCTCGCGAGAATCGAGAGCGGAGTTGACCAACAGCTCGCCAGCGCGTGGCGCGCTGCACCATCCCTAGCTGACGCGCCTCCTAAGTAGCTCGAAGGGCAAGACACCTCGATGTTGGCAGGGCTCGGGAGTTGCATATGAAGAGTGTGAGATCAGATCGTCAGAGTATATCGCCATTGCACAACGCGAACCGGTAAGTGTAACACAGCAAATTTGTTGGCGCAATTCGCGATCCCCATTCCTCATTCTGTGCCGCGGAGGGGAGCTCCGCGGAGATGCTGCGCTAACGGAGTTCCGGCTCGCACTCCGCGATAGGTTGCATGCGATCGCGCGGGTGGGGGAAGCAGGGGAAGCTGTGCGGAGACCGTTCCGCCTTTGTCACTGATAAGCCAGCCAGGGCCCCTGTAAAGTACTGATGTCACGCAGTCGCGCCATGGTGCTCTTGCTCCGTGCATCAGTCCGCGCCTTTACCGGCGTCCCATTTCCAGGTGTCTACATATCCCAGCCGCAAGGAACAGGATCTTCCTACGATGGAGCACTACACCGACGTGGCGGTCACGGTTGAGCTCTCCGACAACAAGCTCGACGAGATCAAGACCAAGTTCGAGCGGGTACATTACTACCCCGACGGCACGTTTCCGGAGGAGCTGCTGGATCAGGTCGACATGTGGTACACAGGCTGGAATGGACTGCCGGATGTGGTCAAGGACGTGGTGCAGATCCCAAGGACCAAAGTCGTCCAGCTATCTTCAGGTGAGTCCCGTGAGCTTGGGTAGGGAGGACTCGAAGAACGAGGAAGGGTATCGCCTCGCTGACACAGCAGCTGGCGCCAACAATTTTCTCGCCCGCGATACGATGGCCTCCGACAAGGCCAAGGGGCAAATCAAGGTGTGCTCCGCCTCTGGTATGTCCTTCTGCAAAGGCGAGATCAATGTTCGCTGATATGTCAGGTATACATATTCTCTCCATCCCGCCTTATGTTGTGGCCAACATCGTCAATCGTGAGTTGATCTACTGGGACAGCGCTGATTATAGTGTACATGAAGATGCAGATTCAGCTCCATATCGCGCGCTCGGAGGCCAGATGGCCGTCTCGAAAGGAGATCAACGATACGGCGGGCCACTTTGACGCTAAGAACACGGGTAACCGGAATCTGCGGGGTAGCACCGTCGGCTTCCTTGTAAGTCGTCCGCCTCACCTAGCAAGCTTTGAGCTGATAGGTACAGGGTTATGGACATATCGGACGAGAGACGGCGCGGCTCGTCCAGGCATATCACTGCCATGTCATTGCAGCGAACACGCGCGGAAACAAAGCTGCAGACGACGGCGTGAGTACCTTGCTCTTGACCACGGGCGTTCTGCGCGAACGGCACTGCAGCTAACCGTACAGTATATCATTTCCGGGACAGGCGATCCCGACGGGTCTATCCCGTCAGCTTATTACGCCACCAGCGACCCGAGCAGCTTTCGCGACTTTCTGAGCAGGTGCGACGTACTTGTGGCTAGTCTCCCCTCGACCCCGCAGACGCGATACATGTTGACAGCGGAGCATCTCGGTGAGTATTTGCCTGGAGTAGCTCCAGTCAAGTCGCGACCTTTCGCTGATATCATAGCCGCACTGCCAAACGGTGCCATCTTTATCAACGTCGGCCGAGGAGATCTAGTCAGATCAGGTACGTCCCGCAACCACTATCCATAGCTCTGAATCACTGTCTCCGGCTGACTATCTTCAGAGGATATTCTGGCTGCTTTGGACAGCCCGAGCGGACTGACAGCAGTGGCGCTGGACGTTACCGACCCCGAACCCCTTCCCGCTGGACATCCCCTCTTTACCCACCCGAGAGTGATCATCACCCCGCACACAAGTGGCGGATGGGAGGGGTACTTTGATGACGGGGCGGATGTATTGCTGTATCAGGCGGAGAGGATCAGAGCGGGGAGAGAGCCGGTCAATGTGGTCGATCCGGCTAAGGGCTACTAAGGAGATAAGGACAACTTCGTGCAACAGTCTCTTATCTCATGGGGGAGACGATGCGGAAAGAGATCTCGGTGCTTTCAGCTCGGAACGGGCAACTGAGATGAACGAGCGGACGGGAGGTCCGAATAACGGTGAACGCGCGGTACATGACGCATACTGGGCGGCGTGCCCTGCTGAGTCTGGGGACGCGGTCAGCACACATGAGGACCAAGCTACATATCCATAGACATGTTATCTGCTGACAGCGATGCCGCGTCTATACCAAACATCGCCAACAGCTCATCCAGACTGCGATTCGCGTCGGAGTCTGAAAGGCCAGGGTCCGGCCCCGGTAACGACTGCACCCCCCTGAGGTTCCACAGCGACCAGGGATCCTGTCCGCCAGATATCGTCTCGCCGTCGGGATGCTGGGGAGCATGTACGTGGAGCGCGTTCCCGGAGCCGGACCCAGCTGTGAATGATTGGGACGCGATAGTGGGAGCAGTCGTGTAGGTAGGTACCTGGAGGATACACTGCGCACAGAGGGCATGGAAGGCTTGCGAGAGTGTCATCGTATAAGGCCAGCCTGACTGTCAGCGAAGACTCGCCGACAGACTCACCCTTGCAAAAGCCAGTGACAAAGTCGCTGGCAAAGTTGACCTGGTCGCGGGCATGCCTACACCACTCCGGATCCAGCATCGAGTCGATCTGGCCATCGTAACGTGTGACACAGAAGACGATGGTCACGCCAAGGTTGACGAGCTGATGATACACGGCGTAATTCTGCTTGATCAGCTAGGATAGGTCTAGGTCTCACCTCGAGGACCATCTTTCGCTCGCACAGCTCGGCATAGATCGATAACGCTCGCCAAGCCGAGGCACGCAGGTCTCGCAGCATCTGTGTTGGGGTGTGGCTCCGTCCTGGCGAAGGTTGATACAGGTCGGTGAGGTAGACGTTGTAGCTGAGATCGAACCAGGCATCCCCCGTCATGGGCTCTGAGCGCTCGGCAGCTTGGCTAGCCGATGGAGCAGCGACGAGGCACTCATCCAGCCTGGCATGTAATTGCGAGGCTGACTGGCTGCCCATATCGTCCAGCGTGCCCAGCTTGAATCTGCGGATGTCCAAACCGATCTGGCGCATCCGGATTGAATGCTGAAAGAATGCTTCGATCGGCTGCGAGATATCAGCCAGCGTTCGATCAGGGGACTCACCGCACCGTTCCGGAAGTAGTCTGGGTGCCCGTCGAACCGAGTCGGAAGCTGCAGATCAGCAATGCACTCCAAACATACATACCTCGATGGTAATATCCGAATCTACCAGAAGGCAGGGTCGAGAGAAGCAGATCCCGACTGATCATCAGCTTTGTACAAGGGTCCGAGATAAGACTTACGCAGTCGTTCCAGGCTATAGACACACCAAAACAGGCGCCTTCGCTGTTCAGACGCCTCCACATCGGTCTCAGCGTGTGCAGACAGGTTGAGGCCGACTGCAAGGGTGGTGTCGACCAGGATGGGCACGACGGCAAAGACATCGAGGCTGGACCAGTCGTGCAGAGAGGATAGCGCAAGCAGGAGCATGACCGACACCACGTCCTGATTTGGTCAGCGCCGATAGCAGGATGGACAGAAAATGCTTACAACACCATCCTCAGTCAATGCCTCTGGAAGATGCTTGAGAGCGGTATTCCTTAGCGGAGAAGTGTCGATCCGTCCGCCATTACCTGTCCGCTCGAGCCAGAGACCGCCGATCGAGAACACGAGAAATAGGCGACATGTCTTCAGCGCCGTCGAAGAGGACGATTTCGCTTGCGGAGATGACGATGAGGGATAGATATCCTCCAGACTGCAGTGTCAGCTGGGGCCTGCGTAAAAGCTCACTCTTTCAACAGGTCGGCGAGAGACAGTGCGGGATACACAATCTCATGATGGCAATATTCCTTCACTAGCTGTTGAGCAAGCATCAACGGAGGCCATGCCGCGCAGTGGGTGCTTTGAGCCGCTCGTGTGTGGTCATAAGAGGGCTGAATGCCCAGTCTGGAGCCGGTGATGGTGAGCAGGGTCGGAGCGGTGTCGGTCTTGACCGCCTGAATCCGGCTGAGGACCGAAGCGATAAAGTCGGGCGAAAGGCGAGCTGGATAGAGCGGAGGAGGGGGCACAAGATTGGGCTGGATGAGTGTGCCGAGCGAAGCATTCGGACGCGCCTTGATCCCCGCTAGATCAGGCAATCGCTGCTCAATGATTCGCTCCAGTAGCTGAACGCGATCCGTCTGCGTTTTGACCTCATCCAGGAGATCACGGAGATAGCTACGCAGTCAGCTCATACAGTGGGAGTACGCGAGCAAAGCTTACTTTGGATGCGTTTTGTCGGTAATCTTGATATCGTACGAGCAATTCTTCCCTCGCTTGGTGCAGCTGTCGCAGGCCGGTCGCTTGCGATCGCACTACATTCAGCACGTCACTGTCGCAGTAGCTCACCTTGCGCTTCCTGCGCTGACAGTCATTACATGCCAAGGCATGAGATATGTGTCTGGACAGCCCAGGCGCTTTCGAGGAACTCGGAGTACTCGGACCAGACGGCTGGAGAGCTTGGTAGCTTGACTCGGGGATGGTTGGCATACTGATTGAATAGGATTTTGAAGTGCACGATGATGATATAGACACCAATATGCACTGCTGCCATATAGCTTCAGTCAGATATGTAGAAGGTGCAGTGAAGCGGAAGTGCGTCGAGTCAACAATCTTGCCGCTGCAGGTAACCTTTACCCCGCAAACACCCTCAATCTTACCCCGCACCCGTTACGGCATCTTTCGGGCCATCTTTCCGCCCCCATAACATAGCGCATCCTGATCATATGGGGGTCCACTATCTACCTATCAGCCCCGATATATCTTCGAAGCCTGAGCCTGAGAGATGATGTTGTCTTTGTGTCGCTATCTTAACTCACGCTCGACTGGCCCGCCCCGTGATCTAAGCAAAAATGATATCCAGCAGTCTCAAACAGCTCATCGAAAAGACGCTGAAAGAGTGGGAAGTTCCTGGCATAGCTATCGCCCTTGTCGAGAAAGACGAGTCGGGGCAATGGGGTGTCACAACCGAGGGCTTTGGCATGCGAGATTCGAAGCAGGCTGTGGATGAGAAGGTGAGTCCTGCTGTGCGCAAAGGCTGACCCCAAGACCCTGTTTGCAGTTGCATCCAACTCCAAGCTCTTCACAGCGCTGTCGGTCTCGATGATCATCGCTCGCTCAGAGGGCAAGATTAAGTACACGACCAAGATCAAAGACCTTTTGCCCGAGTTCTCGATGAAGGACAAGCTGGCGTCCGAGAGGTGCACCCTCGAAGACTTACTTTGTCACCGCTCGGGTCTTGGGCGGTTCAATGACCTGCTCGCGTATGAGAAACTGGACGATCTCGTGAGTAGGCATTGAGTCTGAGCTGAAGGTAGCCGGGATGTATCTCAGCGCTCGACTCGGCCGCCGACTTCCGCGATGTCTACTTGTACAACAATTGGTGGGTATGAACTTAGCTTGGCTAATGTGGAGGGCTTATGACCTCTTGGCCCTCATCGTCCAACGTGTCTCTGGTATCGAATACCACCTCTTTGTCCAGCGCAACATTCTCGATCCTCTCGGCATGGCGTACACCACATTCGAGCTGGACAAGGCGGGCGGAAACGTCGCGACGGGTCACTGGCGGCATGGCGAGACGGCGGACGGCGCGGGAAAGAATATTGAGTTGGCGAACGGCCTGAATATGGGCAGGGGGCTGCGGGGTGCGGGTGGGATGATGAGCAACGCCAAGGACATGGTGGGTAGACCTGAAAGTTGAGCTGATTTTAGGCAATCTGGCTTCGTACGCTACTGGAACAAGGCGGTGCCAATCTTCCGGATGATTGTGAGTAATGTCTAGATCCCAGCTGATCTCGAGCCGTCAAGCAGTTCTTTAAAGACTCTATCCGCGGCCGCACCATCGTCGACGTCGTCGCTGAGACCTCGGACCTTACGCCAAAGCTGTACGGTCTCGCGCGGCGTATTGGGTCGTATCAAGGTGTCCAGTTCATCGAGCATGGCGGGGCGGTGTCTGTGGGTAATGACCCTGTCCCAGCTGATCTCCAGGGTCACATGTCGCAAGTCTGCGTGATTCCCGACCACAACTTCGGCGTGGCGCTCATGACTAACTCGTCGCCCTGGGGGGATCTGGTGTACAATATCATCAAGTGGCGGCTGTTTGAAGAGAAGTGTGGCCTGAAGCGAGTCGATTGGAATGCTCGGTATGTGTCCAAGCTTTCAACGCTTATACTCAGGTACACCGCGAGGAGGCAGCGCGAGCTACAGGCTGCTTCGCCCGAATACATCTTTCCTGCCGTCCCCGTCGACACCACGCCGGTACCCATCAGCGATGCCGAGCTATGCAGCACCTACACGTCGGGCGGGCTATCACTCACCGTTAGCAAGGTCGTTCCTCGCTCAGACTTTCCTCAGCTCGAGGCGTTGCCGCACTTCCCGATGATGTGGGGACGGGTCTCGGTCATCCTTGCCCATAGATCCGGCAGGGTGTATGACGGGTGTCTAGAGTATACTCCGCTGGGGCAGGAAGGGGTCAAGATGCACGGCAAGAAGATGGTAGTGGAGGTGGAAGTGGAGGGAGACACGGTCCGAGGGCTAGGGATCAAGGGGATGATTGGGGCGCCGGTGACGCGGACAGGCGAGGCACAGGCCGATATCTACTTTGCCAAATAGCAGACATGCAGCCTTGCGCTCTGATCGCATCGACTTGCACAGCTGAAGCTCCAACAGCGATGGTTAGGGGCGATCCTTCTGAGCAATCTCGACTTGCCCATTTGATCCATCTATGCATGATCCTCTAGCTCACAACTTTGCCATGATGGCCACCTCCTCCCTGACCACCCGCTTCGGCTGCTTGCTCGCGCGCACAATGATCTGCCCGATGATATCTGACACCTCCTTCGCCATACCCCAGCTAGCTTGATACCCCGCCGGCCCGATCCCATAAGCATGAACGACAGTGTACGACTTCCGCCCTGCTCGCTTCTCCTCGGCTTCGAGACGTGGGCCGCCTCGGCGTGACGGACGGAAGCCGACAGCGTGGCGGATCACGTCGACGCCTTCGACACCTTGGCCTTTGGTCGCGAGTGCCGGGAAGTGAGCAAGGCACTTTTCGAGGATCTGCCGGGAAAGGATTGGGTCCACCTTGCGCTCAAAGCTCCCGACCTTGATGTCAGCCACGTCTCGAATCAGGTCAGAGGAGCTCTGGCTCACCTCGTAGCAGCCGCCGCAGATGACCTCGTTGGCTGGGCCCGGTCTCGGGATGATGTAGGTCGAGCGCGTAGGGTCGATATCGGATTTTGACGAATCCATGACGCAGGTCTTGACCTGAGGAGCTCGGACGATAACGATCTGACCGCGGATAGGCTCGACAGCCTCGTCTTCGACGCCGCCCAGAGTGCGTGAGCCTAAAGTAAGCTAAGCCCTCGCTGTACTTACCGAGCCCGGTCGCGTTGACGACGATTTGCCCATCCTTCTCTGCCGCCTCCGAGATATGCCTCACCGTCCTGCGCTTGAACGTCACGCCCAGGGCTACGCACTGCTTCTCGACCCATCGCAGATAGTTGGGCGCATCGACCGACAAGGACGTCCAGGACGCACCGACGGAGCCAGGCGGACAGTCGGAGGATGGGAGTACGCGATACTGATATCAGCTGGAAGCGAGCTCGAGAACTTACATCCGGCACGACATTCTTGTACCAGTGCTTATGCAGTCCAGCCTCAGTGGCGGCATACCGAGTGATAGGAAGGCTCAAGGCGAGCCCGGAGGGGATAAGTTCGGAGAGCCGCTTGCTGTCGAGTCAGCCAAGCCCCTTGAGACGACACTCACAATCCCTCGGTTTCCCAAGCTGTGACCCTCGAATCGGAGCCAAAAGGACACCAATTGGCGCCCTAGTATATCAGTTTGAAATCTCATACCGACAACAGCGACCTACCGCCCACGGAGAAGACCAGTCCTGCGAGGTCGAGTCGGACGGCAGCTCCCGCGCGATGACCTTGACGCGTAGACCCCTGCGAGCTAGGACGAGAGCAGTGGTCAGACCAATCACTTATTGTCAGCCTAGACGGATACCATAGGGTTGACACTCACCTCCAGAGCCGAGAATTATTATCTGTTCATCGTAAAGAAGAGACATCGGTGTAAGATACGGCGGCGAGCTGCTCGCATACATCCAGGCGAGCCAGCCTTATATCAGGTAACGGCATATCTCTGGAGCTCTGCGCCGCCTGCCCCCACTGCCCCCCATTACCAATCAAAGCCGACTCGTACACTGTCCCCATCTCGCACCATACCCCGTCCCCCAGAGAGACAGCTCCGGTACTGATAGCTTAGACTTGCCTCGATACTGACGAAGCAAAAATGGCGCGAGGCGGGAATGGCGGGGAGCGCCTGACTTGCCCGTTTGAGGGCTGTACTAAGAGCTTCACCCGAGAAGACCACTTGGGACGGCATCAGCGCAATCATCAACTGACACGGCCGCATGTCTGTCCGGTATGTCAAAAGGGGTAGGTATAATGGTTAATTCATATGCATACCAAGCGCTCATACGACAGCTTTGTCAGAGCGGACGTTCTTCGTGTTCATCAGCGGCAGCATGACGAGCGGCGGTCCACGACTCGGCAGCAGTCATCTACGGGTCAATCGTCCGAATCGCATAGTCCCGCTCAAAACACTCTCTCGAGCGATCTTCAGCCTCCGTTGGAGCCATCCTCCGCCTCTACGCCCTCGGCACTTCCTCCCACACCCCAAGAGCTAGCCCTCCAGGCCTGGCCAGATTTCGTTAGCCAAATGGCGTCCGCGCCGTTTGCCGAGCTCAATACGCAAGGGTTCGTCCCGGCGGTGCCAGCTCCATCGACATCCGCAATGGATCAGCCCGCAGTGTTCAATTCGCTCTTCACGGACTTCAACTTTTGGGTGACGGACGAGTGGTCGATGGCGCCGCTTGGGGGTACTTCCATGGGTACGAGCGATGTGCCGGACTGGCTGGAAGCCTTCACTTCTGGCGGGATGCAGCCGTCAGTCGTATACGTGAGTTCGATACACGAAGCCTTCCTAATCGCCAGGGAACACCCACCTCGACACTAATGACCACACTCGGCGAGACGACACGCCTCGAGGTCATCCAGTATTTGTCGGTGAGTACGACGCTTTGGGCGAGCTGACCTCTAGTATACAAGTCCAGACAGCCCCCTCTTCACGACCGCCGCGCTGGAATCGTACATTCAGCTATACTGGGACGTCTTTGACCCGCGCTACCCGATATTGCACCGAGCAACAACGACGCCAGCTGGCATTCCGACTTGCTTGCTGTGTGCGATGATCATCCTCGGCGCTAGCATGTCGCCAGATGAGGCGGTCTTTGAAATGGCTCAGCAGCTGAACAAGAGGCTACGCGGCTTGCTCATATTGGTAAGTCACAGTTCCGAGACACAGCTGATGGTAGAATGACCTGAACGAAAGTCCCACGCCGCTCGCCCCATTCCAGGCGCTCGTCCTCACCGGTATAGCGGGCTTCAGCATGGACAAGGAGCAACGGGAGCTAGCGCACTCTTTTACCAGCTTGGAGCTTACCGTACGTCCCCCATTGTGCAGCGCTGACTTTCAGCTCGCCCGCCGTGCTGGATTCTTCCTACCTCACGCAACACCGTCAGCAAGCGACCTGCGACAAGAGTGGGAAATGTGGGTCGCCTCCGAGTCTCGGCGAAGACTAGGCTTCACTATCCTCATGCGCGATGTGAGTCTCAATCGAGGCCTAGCTGATCATAGATGGACCACGGGAGCTTCTTCAACCAGCTCCCTTCCCGCGCGCTGTCCCCATTCCAGGTGCATGCCCAGATCCCTTGCAAAGACTCGGTGTGGACCGCGAGCGATCCGCGGGCCTGGAAAGACCTCTCCTCGCCTGGGAGCTCGGCTATCGGCTTTTCGGCATGTCTCAAGGCGTGTCTTGTACCGAGCGAGGAGGAGGGCATGTCGGACATGGAGATGATCAGTGAACTTTCAATAGATGCGGGGTTTGCGCGGTCGGTTATTCTGCGGGGATTAATGGCAGTGGGATGGGATCTAAATCGGCGCAATCTTGTCGGTGAGTCCGAGACCGCCTCTTATCGATGACAAAGCTGATCTGACAGCTCGTGAGACTGCACAATCTACCAATCTCACGCATAGTAAGCACTGTACTCGGAGAAGAGCTCACCTACCAGCTCTCAACGACTGCATGGAGACCTTCCTCTTACAATCGCGCGTCGATACGGCGCTGTTTACCCCGCAACTCGTCATCACCCGCTACTTTATCGTTCTCGCCCTGCTTGATCTCAACGCAGACTGGTACGTCCTGTCCTGAGCATGCGCTGATCCAAAAGCCAAGCCATCCAGGTCTTCTCCGGCATCTCCGAGAGTTTCAGCCAGCAAGTCAAACCAGAAGACTACTCGCGTGCCAGCCGGACCGTCAAGCTTTGGGCGAAACAACCCAATGCACTCGCTGCTGTTCGCTATGCAGCCGACTACCTTTTGCAGGAGATTGAGGTGCGTCTGTCCGCCACTCTCGCTGACAGCAGGTGCCTAGCGCTCATTGGCCACATGACGTCCTGCAAGGCTGGGCGCTGTACCAATCTTACGTGAGTTGGACTCCCTAAATCTGCGCAGAGGCCTGCAAGCTGACTGCCTAGCTGGTGTTGTGGTCTTTCCACGTCACACGTCGGCTCGAAAGAGAACCAGGGGCGGGACCGCCCTCCTCCATCGCTAGCGTGAGTGATGTTGTCGACTTGCCAGATGTATGCTGACTTTTCAGAACGACAGTCCCGCTGCTGCATGCTGCCGGTCTTTCCTCAGGATGCCGCCGCAGCCGTCGAACGAGTCAGTAGCGGCCATGCTGCCGACGGACGGACAGATCACGGCGCTGGGAATGTACGTCAAGGGGCGGATCTGCACTTCTAGGTCTTACACAGGTTGGCTCTCTTCTCCTCAGCTTCAAGATGATCGTGCTGATGGACAGTCCAACAGTGCGGAGCGGTCATTGGGCGACTGGTCGGTATTTGAGCAGGAGGGCAAGGGAATGAGTGGCGGAGCAAGGAGGAGTGGTGCTGCATGTGTCATGACGGGTTGTATACCATGTAATTGTGGCGATCACTCCCAGCTAGGCTAGATGACCAGCACTGAATCAGCACAACACAAACTGTGCCGGGACGTTGGGAGTTGGGTGGAGGGATGAGTGTGTTTGTACCCGACTATGAGGACCTGGATGACTGATAGCAACAATGCGACGCAGCAGAGTATTTCCCATCTATAGCACTGCATCTTGAACAACTTGATCTAACTATAATCCAATTCTCCCGCCTGAGCGCTGCCGCCTGCACCAGAGACCAGAGGCTCTCTCCGTTCTAAAGAGCATCTGTAGAGTCAGCACTACGCACCAATCCTTCAGTGGCACTCACATCGGAAGCTCATATTCTCACGATCCGTCAAATCCGTGAAAGCGTCGCCGTCCTCCTCGACCGGGATCCCAAACTCCCTATCCCGTCGAGCGTTCTCTCGCTTGTATACAACCCGAAGGGTGTATAGGAGACTCCACTGGAACGCGAAACACACCAGATCGGCGACAAAACCGGTCAGGTAAGTCGGGGTTTGACCGGGATAAAAGACGTGAGGGCCGCAGATGTTACCGACAGAGTAGCCGAGGAAGGCAAGGGAGGTGAGGGTTGTTCGCTTCCTGGAGATGTCAGCACATGATTTAGAACTTGAGCTAGCTGGACTTACGTGTATCCACCAGCGTTCTGCGCAGGAAGTTGGACGGTCAAGGCACAAGTGGCAGCGTACGCGGGCATCATGCAGACACCCATCATTTTGATGCCCTTGATGGTGCTGCTGGAGCCGACCGGAACGGCGATCTGGAGCACAAAGCCGATGAAGGATGGTACGAGAGCGCCCCTGTCGCGTCAGCTGGTAGCCGAGTACCGTCAAACAAGGACGTACATGGCAGCGTAGATACGCATGTTCTTCCAGCGGTATGTCGCGTATCCGGCCGACCACATCCAGAGGACCTGGGCCATCCCTGTGGCGATACCGAGTAGAGAGGACTCGAGGGAGGTGAAGCCCAGCGAGGCGATGATGAGGGAGGAGAAGTTGCCGTAGCCACCGTTGGTGAACTCGTTGAAGAAGCAGACTTGCGGTCAGCTCCGTATAACAACAACAAAGAGTGGACGTACTGAAGAACAGGAGGATGCCCTGCGGATCCTTGCGGGGATCCAGCGCCTCAATGATCTGATACTTCTTGACGATAGCGTTACGTGTACCGGTCTGACTGGTCAGCGGTGGCTGACGCTCGATCAGGCTAGACATACCTTGTTGGACTTGAGACGATAGACGGCGGCATCCTTGTCGGAACCCTTGAGGAAACGCGCAGTTTGAGGGCTCGACGGGAACAGGAACCACAGAGTAATGCCCCAAAGAATCGTGACGGTGCCGTTGATGATGAAGATCCATTTCTGAAGTCAGCGGCGACCGGACGCATGACTCACCCAACTGGGAATGTTCTTGTACTGGATATAACCGGTAGAGAAGGAGATAAGACCACCGAACGCGCCAGCGAATCCGTTCATCGACCACCAGATGCTCACGCGGAAGCCCTGCTCCTTCTTGAGCCAAAAGATGGACGTGATCAGGACGAAGGCAGGTGTCTGCTATCAGCTCAAGGTAGTCTCCTAAACTTACGAGGACAGACTCCAGACATCCAAGGAAGAAGCGCTGTGCAGCGATCCCAGCGAAGTTCGTGCAGAGAGCAGTGGACATCAGACAAGCGCCCCAAATCTGCGGTCAGCCATAGCCAGGGGTCGATCTTACGATGACGACAGAAGCGACGACTTTGCCGGTGTGGTAGTGCTGCGCAACGTAGCCCATAGGATCTGCTGATCAGATACACTCAGGGCCGGGGCTTACATTCCCAAATCATGCTGGACAAGTCAGCTGTGATTCTGCTGAAAGAAAAAGGCCTACTTACTAGCCAAAGTAGAACAGAGAACCAAGCCACGAGCTGCAAGTCAGCGAGGCTCAAAGCAAGAGGAAGGTGCAGCTGACTATTCATCGGCAGTGAGTCTAAGATCAGTTCGAAGGCCCCAAATGGCACCGTATCCCAGACTACCCTTGTCCAGAGACTGCAAGATGTAGGTAAAGCACTGCTTGGTCAGCTCATAAAGCATCAGAATACACACAATCAGAGGCATGAGGTGCTTGTCCAGCATGCGGCCGATCCGTTTCGAGGTCTGCTCGTCGACCTCCTGGTCGGGCTCCGCGGCGAGGGTAGCGATGTTGGCTTCGACCTTGCTGTCGGCGAGGTCGACAGCATCGGACGCTTCGAGTGATTCCTGCTTGGTCATGGTATCGATGTGAGAGGGGGATGAGTAAAGTGAGGAGAGAAAGCGCCCAGTGCTTATAGACCACTTGGCCAGCCTGTCACTTGCCTGGATTCGTTCTGGAGTCGCTCCGCTTCAGCTGATAAGTACATGTGGGGGAGAGGAACTGCAGAGACGCAGCTGCTCGCCCCCACTTGGAGTACGCTTGGCGTACGATGGAGATAGAGCTATGCAGTCGACACCAAAAATAGCTCTATCTCGCGGGATAATGTCGGATAAATTACTTGACTGTTATCTATCGGACTTCGGATTGGTCGTGGTACTTCGGCTATTACTTCCCCCACTTTTCGCCTCATCATAGCCAGCCTCTAGCTCCCATGCCCCCCATCGCACTAAGCACCTGGTTCTGCATGTCTTGCTCTTGCTCGGGAGTGCTTCCGATACGCGAACAACTTAATGCAGGATGATCCAAATGAAACGCGCTCAGCCCGCTGTACTTCTCACTTGAGACTCCAACCACCATGAAGTCCGCTCTCGCCCTGCTCACCATCATCGGGACTGCTCTTGCCGCCAGTCAGAAGCCCCTCGGAGGGCCCATCGTCGATGCCTACCTCGGACCGAACGCTACCGCCCTCAGAGCCCACGCGCTCGAGCTGATGGACAAGTATCCTCTGATTGACACCCATGTCGATATGCCCCAGATCCTGCGGACGCTAGGTGAGTGATCCACAGAACCCAGCTGATCACCAGGTCGTCGTCCGCTCGACATGGTAGATGATCTCGACAAGCACGTCCCCGGCCATGTTGATATCCCTCGGATGAAGGAAGGCAAGCTTGGCGGGCTTTTTATGACTGTCTATTCGCCTTGTCCCAACTTTATCGGCCAGGACCCCGGGCCAGACTTCCTCAACCCCCTCGAGGTGAGTTTCAAGGTCGAAGCTAGCTGATAATCAGACCGTTCGTGACAACATCGAAATGTTTGACCTGATCCAGAACATTGTGGACGAGCATCCGGACGTGAGTTGTCTGCGCTTCGGGAGAACGCAGCTGATCTGTAGACCTTTGCGTGGGCCTACTCGTCCGCGGATATCAGGCGGAACTTTGCCAACAAGAAGATCTCGGCCTTGATCGGCATTGAGGGGTAAGCCACGACATACAGCAAGGCTGATTGCCAGAGCGCATACTCTCGGCAACTCGCTCTCAACCTTGCGTATATACGCCCAGCTCGGTGCCAAGTACCTCACCTTGACCCACATCTGCCACAACGGTACGTGCGCCCCGAGTTATCTATCGCAGGCACTGATCTTCTAGCCTTCGCATCATCTGCGGGCTGGGGCAAGGGCTTCGAGGTCACGCCTATTCACCCAAACAATGGCTTGTCTGACTTTGGCCGCGCGCTCGTGCTCGAAATGAACCGCCTTGGAAGTGAGTCCAACGGCACTCCGAGCTCGAATCCGTGCTGACTGGCAGTGATGGTCGACCTAGCCCATGTGTCCTGGGAGGTCATGCAAGACGTCCTCGATATCACTCGCGCTCCTGTCGTCTTCACCCACTCTGGCGCTGCAGCCGTCAACGACCACCCGCGGAACGTCCCGGACTACATCTTGAAGCAGATCGGGTCAGGCAAGGGCCAGAACAACGGTATCATGTGAGTCTACTTTGTCCTTGTTCGATGGACACATGCTGACGCCCAGCCTCTCGGTCTTCTACCCCATCTTCATCGGCCTCGACAGAGCCACCGTTGGCCGCGTCGCAGACCACATCGAACATATCGCCAGTGTCTGCGGTAGAGCCCACGTCGGTATCGCCTCCGACTTTGACGGCATGTACTCATCTGTCGAGGGACTGGAGGACGCTAGCAAGTACCCGCAACTCGTCAGTGTCCTGATCATCCCCAGGTCGGGCCTTGCTGACAAGCAGATCATGGAACTGCTCGACCGTGGATGGAGCGACGACGAGATCAAGGGCGTGATGGGCGAGAATCTGCTGCGCGTCATGGATGCTCAAGACGCCGTCAAGGAGAGTCTCAAGCACGAAAAGCCGGCTAGGGACATCTACGAGAAGCGTCAGGATCTGCCTGCGCCCTGGGGAGGTGAGGACAACAAGTACTTGCCGACCGAGGTGAGAAAGGTGGTACACGCGAGGAGGCAGCGAGATGAGCTCTAGTCGCATTGTGTAGGAGGAGGGGTAGTAGGCTTGAGTTCTCCAATCTAGTCACCGAAAGACATGCACGCATTCTGTAGATACTTGGGCAATTTGGGCTATGATGGACTCCTATCATGAGGGCCAGAAATGACGTGACGATCATCTGCATGACTGTCCGCTTGACTACTTACAACATATAGTGAGGAGGTGGTGATGATGCACTACGCATAGTTGCCGCTGTATTCGGACGAGTTGTCCATGTGCTGTCCCTGCTGCGCCTCTTCTTCGGCAGCTTGCTGCTCCATCATCACGGCCCAGACTGAGGCTTTGTACTACAGTGTCAGCGCAGGAACGATGGTAGTAGCGAGAACACGTACGAGTGTCAGTACCAGACCCATCTTCTTCTCGAGACTGCGCAATTCGGCGAGGAGGGATTCGTTCGGCGAGGCCGCGGTGAGCTGCGCGAGGTTGGATATCTGGTATATCAGCGGAGCTCCGCAACTGACGCAGATTCTCATCCCGGACGGAGAGGGATAGCGCGTGACCAGCTCACCCTCTTGATCTTGTCAGACAGCTTCGCATACTCCCAAAGCACCTCCTGCTCAAGCGGGGACAGCTGCGCCTGGTTGGCGCTACACGATCAGCTAGTCTCCAGGACTCGTTGGTCCGGTGCTAGCTTACTAGGGATTGACTTCTCTCGACATGGGAAGCGCTGCCTGTCATACCATGCTTATGAGCTGATAGGTGGTGATACAGTCTGATGATCATGGTCGCAAGGATTTCGCGTATCCAGAAAGCGGACGCGCCCGTTACGTAAAGCGTTTCATCCTCCTCATGCCCGAAGGCATGATGCAAGAGCTATACTCTACTTCACCTTCCTCTCTTCGCATACCACCCGATCCAGCTCTCGGTCTTGTGCATTCCATCACCTGCTCTCTGCGCATCATAATGGACCAAGTAGCCACACCAACCCGATCCCAAGCCGGAACGTCCAGCGTTCCCCCTTCCCGCCCCACCTCCCCTCCAACAATCTCTAAGGCCTCATCCGGTCCAGCAGGCGCACCTGGCCGGAACGACGAACATCGTCGGGCCCGACGGGAACAGCTGCGGAACTTTTACGGACTCAAATATGGTGCTGGTGCGGGCGCGGCGGGACCATCAACCCCTAAAGAGGGCGATGTGCTAGATATCGATTCCGGGGCGTTTGATGCGGGGGCGTATTATCAGGATCTGATACAGAAGTCGAGTCTGGCGGAGTTGATGAAGAAGGCGGTGGCTCTGAATGCTGGTAAGCTGGGCTCCGAGCGCAGCTGCGCGTCGATAAGAAGCTGACCATGCCAGAAATGGGAGACTTGCAGTCTTCAAGACATTCTTTGGTATATAATCACCATCACAAAGTGAGCTTTGGTAAGACGTCGGGGGTCTCTCCAGGTCCAGTAAGCTGACAGTTCTAGCTCTTCTCCGCCGGCGACGCAATCCAAGTCCTCAATACCCGCACACCCCAGCTCATCTCCATCGTCACCTCGCTCCAAGACTCCTTCTCTTCTATATCGCAACTGGCAGACTCGGTTGCTCTCCCGGACCTCGATACTCCTGCTTCTACTACCCGGAAAGACGAAGAAGCAGCTGAGCAAGGGCTGGAAGAAGGGGACCGGGCGATACGGCGGATGAGGCTGATGCGGACCGCCGAATGTGAGTTTTGGGCTGGAGACGAGCTGATAATAGTGCCAGTCGAGACGATACGAGCTGTGTTGGAACGCGTGGAGGCGGGCCTGGAAGAGAAAGAGCGAGCAGGCGATGTAAGAGCGGGAGCCATACTGCGGGAAGGGCGACAGATGCTTCCTTCTATTCCTCCAATAGAAGAGGCACCAACAGCGTAGCATCAGGCTTTGCCAGACCCAATTGTACCATATCAGGCGAGATACATCTACATCAGGCTTTACTATAATGCTCGCTGAACCGCTCCATCGCGATCTGAACGTCAGCCCCTGTCCCGATGTCGCAGCGGAAAGACATACCTTGTAGCTCTCTTGATACTGCTCCAGATCCTCCTCCTTAACCTTGACCTTCTTCACATTCTGCTCGTGGCTCGCGCCCTTCAAGATCCCCTTGAACCGCCTCGCCTCTTGCTTCTCGATCAATGTCCACGCGGTACCTTCCCGCCCGGCACGTGCTGTTCGGCCGACACGATGCACGTATTTCCGCATGTCGAGGGGCACGTCGTATGAGATGACTGACGCGGTGGTGGGGAGATCGATACCTCTCGCGACAACATCCGAGCAGATCAGGCTTATCCGTCAGCTGCCGTTCACCCGCGTAGTAAAAACAAGCCAACTCACAGATCGATCTTGCCCGCCGCAAACTCCTCCATCACCCGCTTCCTCTCTCCAGGTTTCATCTCGGCCGTATAACTCCTCGCTACCAGCTTGACCCCCGTCCACGCCTCGCCAAAGAACGTGAGCAGCGTCTCGAGCCTCACCGCCGCATCTACCGATTTTGTAAACACCAGTGCGTTCCTTACCCCGAAGGCATAAAGTAGGTGTATGAGATTCAGCGGTTTGAGGGCCGGGGGCATGACGATCATCTTTTCGACGAGATTGGTAGGTACGGCAAAGTGCTCGCCTATGGCGGCGATGCCGGAGGGGTGGGAGGATGACTGGACGATAAAGTAGGATGGGGTGCGGAGGGATAAGGCGGCGATTTTGGAAGGGTCGCGGGTGAGTGTGGCGGAGAATAGGAGTTTTTGGCACTGCGAGTCAGCAGTGAGGCTAAAGGTGGACGGAATAGCTTACAGGTGATGATGGCCGTTCTCGGAAAGGATTCTCCTTGTCCGTTAATCCGTAAGTCTCCATCCATGCTGGTGCGATAGCATCCCACGGCTGTGGTGGTGAGTCCAGTTGGATGGGCTGAGCAGGTGGGTAGATATGAGATGAGACATGGCTCAGCCAGCTCTGGAACGACTGATTGAGCAGTCGATCAGCTTCGTCAATGACCTTACTTGTCAGCTACTTCTCCGTTGGGAACCACAGAGCTATAGAGTGAGAGATACTCACGAGGAAGCGGAGGTGTTGCAAGGAGAAGTTTGGTGTAGAGTTGACGTGATCTATCAGTCGTCCTGGAGTAGCTACCAGGATGTCGACGCTTGACGATCCGCCCAGTAGCCTGACCATTAGCACACCGTACTCCCCATTACCTAGACATGTGCCAACCTACTTTTGGCTAGACACTGGAACAAGCTGACTCTGTTCATGCGCAAACGACTGTTGCCCCGAGATAGCCGCAATCTGAATCAGCCCTGTCCTCACATGCAACTCACCTTCAACCCCGTACCCTTCGCCAAGCTCTCCAGGACCTCTTTGACCTGAGTCACCAGCTCTCTTGTCGGCAGGACGATCAGTGCGCGTAATCTGATGACTTGTCGGCGCGACAAGGTCTCGATGAGCGGGATGCAGTAAGCGAGAGTCTTTCCGGATCCGGTGGGCGCGGAGACTAGATAGTCGGAGGGTGTTGATAGGGGCAGGAGGTCTTCCGAGAGAAGTGGAGGGAGCATCGCGGATTGAACTGTAGGTGTCAATTTGATTCGCAGCTTCCGTGCTGCACAATGGAGTAGCGTACCGGCAAAGAAGTCTGTCAGACCCATAGCGCCCAGTCGACCCTTCATCCTCTCGCTGAGATACGGCTTTCCATCTGGCTTGACGAACCCCTCGATAGGCGCCTTTGTGTCCTGATCCACAAAAGTAGCATTCTCGAGCCCCGCAGGTAGACCCTGACGATTGAGCACTGAAGCTTTTGGGGCGGGCGCGGACGTCGGTAGAGGGAATGGCTCGAGCATTGGCGGTGTCGGTGACCGGAGCGCTGGATCTGGCCCGTCTGCCTCTTCTTCCCCGTCTACCTCCATCTCGGTCGTTTCTGCAGGTTCCGTAGCCTCAGCTACAGGCGCTGTAGGCTCCTTGTGCCGGTTCGCCCTCTTCTCCCTCTTCTCCGCCTTCTTCCGCTCCCTCGCTGCCGCTGCGTCTTCCTCATCCTCTGCCTGCTCCCCATCTTTCGGTGGTAAGACTATCCGTACCCTCGGCTTTGAGGGCCCCGCCAAATCAACTACCTCCAACTTCCCCTCGACGCCCTCATCTCCGCTGTCCGGCCCAGTCCCCTCGTCTCCGCTCCCATCATGCGTCGAGACCGCCTGTTTGTGCTTCGGCGCCGATGCTTTTCTCGCAGCAACGAGCACCTTGTGCTTCCTCGCCTTTTTCTTGAGGTATCGCTGCTTCGCTGCTGTCTTGGTCTGCCGCATTAGCTTCGTTGCAGAGCTTCAAGGATGGGGGAACGGACCTTCGGCTCGGCAACGACTCCAGGAACGACGGCTTTTGGCCCGTCGACCGCTATTCTTCGAGATGGATGGACTGATTCGTCCTGCGCGAAGACTGCGTGCTTGCGTTTCTCTGCCATTGTACTTAGATAGGCTGTTTATATAGGCAGTGCATGCTATGGGAGGACCAAAAATCTCTAGTTGGATGTCGACTTCAAGTGGAGGCGGCGATTGCCGGCGCGGTGGCTTGTGGAGGCTCCACACCCTCATCCGCAAGCTATCTTGCGCTTCACCTCAATCTTATGTATAGACCTGTAAGCAAGAGCTGAGTCAGAATGCCCTGGCTGATGAAGGCCGAGCCGGACTCTCGAATAGTCAAAGGCAAAGATGTAAAAGTGAGTTGATCCACCTCGACTCGGCGGATTGATCCGGCTCGTTTATGTGTCAACAAATCGTCCGCGGCTTGGCTGATCCGCCTAGTTCTCGGTCGATGACTTTGAAGCTATGGGGTGGGTGCGTCGGCCACTTGGGTGTATACTGACTGCTGACTATACAGTGTCTCGCAGTGGGACGGTATGTTCCCAGACCATCAAGCTGGACTGACGGGCTGATGAGCAGGTGTGCGTAGCCATGAGGCGAGGAACATCATGCGGGACAAGATGAAGCTTGGGGACAAGGTGAGCTGGGGTATAAATGTTCGACGGAAGACACAGTGCTGATAAAGTCCAGGTGCTGTTCTACCACAGCAACACCAAGGTCCCAGGGGTATTCGCAATCGCCGAGGTAGCGAGAGAGGGATATCCAGACTGTGAGCTACAGCCCCGTCGACCACTTGGAGCAAGAGCTGACGAGATCAGGGTCGGCATGGGATCCGTACGTCCGAAAAACATGCCTGTCACGCCGGAACAATGCTGATGAGCAGCTCACATCCCTACTTTGACGCGAAGACGGACAAAGACAACCCCACATGGATGATGGTCGATGTCAAATTCGTCCAGCGGCTATCGCATCCGCCAACCTTGGCGCTCATCAAGCATCTCGCTTCTGTGCAGAACTTACCGGAGTGCGTGGAGTATATCGGACAGGATGGGCTGAAGGCGGTCCAGGCTATGCAGCTCGTCAATCGGGGCAGACTGAGTGAGTGAGACCTGGACGAATGTACGAGCGGGCCGATAGCTGATGGGTAGGTGTACAGCCGGTAGAGCCAGAGGCGTATGATGCGGTATTGCTGCTTGGAACGAGAGGTGGATGGGACGATCTTGTCGAGAAGAAGGGAAAGAGCAGGAAGGGGAAGGCGAAGGAGGAAGTTGAGGAGGAAGAGGATGGGGAAGCAAAGGAGAAGCCGGCGAAAGTGAAGAAGGCGCCGAAAGCGGACAAGAAGAGGCCAGTCAAGGTGATTAAGGCAAAAAGGGACGAGCGGAGCAAGACATCACCGTTGACCGACGACCCATCTCCAGACGGTCATATACCGGCGGAAACACCACGGCGGAGCAAGCGGGCAAAGAGGTAATTGAGTCAGGATAATATATCATAGTCCACCTTGCTGAGCAAGTCCTCGCTATTTCTGACTACTGATCCCCTGTCCGTTAGCTATTGATCCCCATCACTCTCTCCTCACCTCAAGCAGCGTAGACGGTGGCGACCGGGCCGTTGGCAGTGGTCGTAGAGACGGCGGCGTGGGTGTGAGTCATGCCGCCCGCGTCGACGGTGTAGGTGGCTCCGGCAGCGTCGACGTACGCGATGCTGCAGGCCCCGCCCGTCGCGCCCGGCATGGCGACGATGGTGTTTGTGGAACCGCCGGCGATGACGGTGGCGATGGTGTTGCCGCCCGCGGCCGCGATGGAGCAAGGATGGTCAGGGGAGCCGATACTGATGGTGGAGACAGGGACTAGGGCCGCGATGGTGGTAGCGACGAGGTCTCCGCCGACGACGACCGAGGTTGTGACTGGGTGAGGCGTGGCAGCGACGGTGGTGGTGACTCCGCCAGCGACGACGGTGGTGACCATAGCGGGGCCGCCAGCAACGGCAGTGACCCCGCCCGCGCCGTGGACGAGGGCGAGGATGTAGTCAGGGCTGACGGGCCGGGTGGTGACGGCGGCCGGGCGAGCGACCGAGGTGAGGACTTGGGGGTTGGCAGCGACGACCGTCTCGGCACGCGCGGCGTTGCCGGCGGGGAGGGCAGCGGCGCCTATAAAGTCAGCTGGAATGCCGGAAGGAGCTGCAGATGGACTGACCAGTGGCCAGGCAGGCGAGAACAGAGAAGAGGGCAAAGGAGTGCATTGTTGAGGTGGGCAGTTGATTTAGGATGAGATGGGGAGAGTGGTTGGGGTTTGGAGATGCTGGGTGGTCAAGGCTGTGGTTGGAAGTATTGGTGAGTGAGAGAGTCCGAGGCTTGTGGGGGAACAAGAATCGAACAGGAGGTTCGGTGACACTCTTATATAGCCCAAGGCGTTGATACATTCCATTTGAGGAACTGCCTGCTCCTTTGCCAGTCTCCCCAATCCTCGGAAGATACAGCACAGCAATCCCATCACCTCCGCTGACTACCGCTTCAGTAGGTCCGACGCAGACGGAGTATCCTCGCTAGGCACCTCAGGCACCCAATCGCGAGAATCAGGCTGGCCGGCGTGTTTGACGTGTTTCCACCATGCAGAAAGATATAGCACAGCTTGCCAGCCACACGGGGTCGAACAGCGGATCAGCATCAGGGTCTCGAGCTCTGCTCAGTGTCACAGCAGTGGGAGCCACTGTGCGCCATGAGAAGGCCAGCCCGCGAAAGTCTGGCTTGGCATACCCCCAAAGTTTTTCTTATCTCGCCCCCTCACTCCGGGGCTTTCAGGTGCAAGTCCGCTCCACCGAGACATTAAACAGCATAAGGCCTTCCGCGGAGCAACTTCCAGCCAAAGAGCAAGGTCACCAGCGAGACCGTCGAGGTCTACGTAGCGTCTCGTTATCATGACCCGCTACAGGCGAGAAGGCGCGTCAGCGGTTACTCTTCGCCCTTCGAGTTCAGACACGTCGACCGCATCAGAGCAGATACGGTCCCTGCCCTATTCCGATACCACAGGCAAAGCTGTGCAGACCCACACGGAGATCGGTGGCGTTTCACTCGACGCGCTCTTTTCTCCGAACGCGGGGAGGCGCGCCACATTCCTTCGATGTTTCACCTGTTCCGACGTTTAGCCGGGTGTGGCGCGTGGCGACGGAGCTCGCAAAGCTGTGCAAGAGCCCCTCGGCAGTAGAGCAAGCGTGATTCTCCCTTGCGCTCGCATGGACGTCAGCGGCGCGAGGGCGTCGACCGGCGAATGCAGGTGCAAGGTATCATGCAAGTCGCCAGCTGGCTTGCAAGGTCAAGACTCATGGGACTCTCACGCATGCGGTCGTGTCCAGTCCAGCCTAGCCTCATAGTATGCATGTCCTATAGTCCACTTCGATAGCAAGACCTATCTATCTATCTGACCACTGCGTCTCCCCTGCTCTCACCTCAACCCATGGTCACCTCCTGATCCCTCAGACCGAGGTGCTTCCCGGAGCGGCGACCGATACGGCGAACGATTCGACTCCGCCCGGGACACTAGTAGTGACAGCGTGCGAGCCGGGACCAAGGGTCTTGGTGACGACCGGACCGACGGTGAAGGAGGTAGCGTTACCAGGCATGGAGGTACCGGTGGCGGTTGATCCGGCAATGGCAGTGGTGGTGCCGCCCATACCGGTGGTGACAGGGAGAGTGCCGTTTCCGATGATGATGGGGACAAAGTCGGTACCATTCCCGGAAGTGACGATGCAGGTAGCGGTCCCGTTCGCAGTGGAGGGAGCGGTACACTGGATGATGGCGCCATGAGCAGGGAGGGTGACGTTGGAGGTTGCGGTGCTGCCTGGGGCGCTGGCAGAGAGGGAGGCCGCGAGACCGGGGACATTGGTGGTGACGGGCCCAGCGTGGGCGACAGAGGTGTTTACGAGGCCAGGGAGGCTAGTAGTGACGGTCTCGGCACCGATGGCGTTGTCATGGTGGGCAGGGAGGGCGACAATGCCTGACCATCAGCTGTGAGAATAGGAGGAGACAGCAGCTTGCACGAAGAACTTACCAGTAGCCAGGAAGGCGAAGATGGACATGGCAGTGAAGGAGTACATCTTGTGTGATGGTGTAGTGCTGGTGTGGGTGTGAGGGTGCGTCTGGGTGGAGCTGGGTAGACTGGGTTGGCAAAGATGAATTTGATAGTGGATGAGAATGTCTCCAAGGGGATCAACATGACCAGTCTTATATCTTACTTCTAGCTGCACCGCTTCTAGCTCGGTCCATCACGCGATCACGACCTCTTCAAACTGAGGGAACCTTGCGGCAGGCTCACTTTTGCACAGCAAGGCCATCACCTACCCATTCAGCCCAGCTCCAGTCAGCATCATATTTGCGGTCCTTCCAGTATCCTCAGCCAGATCTACCACACGGGTACTCGTGTATCACGGTCAAAGGCACATGTGATCTCGGAACAGCATCGGTTAGCTGATTTGTTGAGTCCCATGAGTTTAGATCGTCTCCTTCCGGACTTGCTGAGGCTGCTGTGGCGCAATTGAGCCGTCCCGCCACAGCCCACCCACCCGCGGCCCTCGGAAGTGCTAAGCCTCCCGAGCGCATCTTGTGTGAGATGCTGACAGCTCCTCAATCACCTCGGCAGAGCGCCCGCTACGCTTGCTTGATATCTGCACAGCATCGAGCTCCGTTGCCATATTGAGACGGGCAACAGCGACTCCGCACCTGATGCTCCGCGTCTGACAGAACGGTGCCTAAACGTAACGTTTCAGCCCCGTGTTTCAGGTGTGCCACAAGGTTTGACTCCGCACAGCTTCCGATCTGATCCCGGATGCAAAGTATTGGGCTATTGCCCCACCCCACTACCGCAGATATAGAGGGCGAGTCACTGGGAGACAGGTACCATACACGTCGACACGTCCAACAAGCCTGCGCTCAAGGAGGTCTCGTGCTTATCTAGTGGGGTGTCATGACTTGTTGCGAAGTGGCAAATTAGCCTGATTCGCGACTCTGTGCTGGCTGGGGTCCGCTTTGATCGCATCCGCAAATGGCACCAGTGGCTGAGCTGCTATGTTGCAAGTCCAAGAGCTGCCAGACTGGTAGCAGAAAGTGCGTGTACATCTGCCATATCATACAGCTACAGTTCTGATTCTCATTCAAGGTATCCACTGATCTCGCATCGCTCGCCTCCTTACTCATTACCACCCGCTTCATGCCTTGACAGTAGCTGACGCCGAGGGGAGGACGGGAGCGGACATGGATCCGGACGGAGGTGAAGGAAGAGCGGTACCGTTCGCACCGGCAAGAGGGGAGGGAGCGGTACCGTTAGCGACCGGGAGGGGGATACCGCAGACGCCAGCAGGAGCGGTGCCGTTCGCAGGCATAGGGAGGAGCATGGTACCATTGACGATAGTGGCGTTGGTCATGGTGCCGTTGATCATGGCGGTACCGTTGACTGGGCCGGGGCCGATGTGGGTGCCGTTGATCATGCCCGGAGCGACGATGGTGCCGTTGGCCACGGTGGGTGGCGAGGGGAGCGTGCCGTTCATAGGGGTAGGGAGGGTCATATTACCGGCGCCGAGGGTCATGTTGGGCATGAACATGGGAGGGCAGGGGAGGGTACCGTTGGGCATGCCTGCAGGGGCGGCAGGAGGAGTGGGGAGGCCGGAGCCGGATGGCGCGGCGGGCATGCCGGAAGGTGTGGCGAGAGCGGAGGCGCCGCTGATGCTGGCAGGCGCAGGGAGAGAGAGAACGCCTGATATGTCAGCTGGGTGTAGACTCAGGTAGCAAATGGATAGACATACCAGTGGCGAAGCACGCGAGGGCAGAGATGATGGTGGAGGAACGCATTGTGATGGAAGTGACTTGGTAGTTGGTGGTTGGAAGCGAAGTGTGATGGACTGGGAGGTGTAAGTAGGAGTTGTTGGAGCTGTAGTGGATGAGAAGTCCAATCCAGCGCCCCGTTCCCTCTCTTATATATCCACCTCCAGTACCGCCTCACTACTGCGACTTTGACCATCTCCACTACCGCCGGAGCATACTCGGCGGCGATCTAGCATGTGCTACCTCCACATGCCACATTCCCGCAGCTCGCAGCACCACAAGCGTCGGGGACTGCCACGATCGAGATCCATCAACGTAAGGCGACTGACTGGCTGCGTTTCATGCTGTGAATTTAACAATTTTTCGTCTCTCTTCCGTGTATGCATCGAGCCTGATGCGCAGCTCTATACCCCATACTGGACACAGCATGACCCCCACCTATGCTTTAGTGCCTGTACGACTCACCATGAGCCCGAGATCGCCACGGAGAGACCGCCACGAATCGGACGCGTCGCAGTAAACTCTGAAACTGCGCGTCTCCGGGGTCCCTTTGAGCGTGTGTCCGAGCTGTGTGGAGAGGGACGAACGTATAGGACGGATCGGGTGAAAGGCGCTAAGGCACGCAGCGATTGGACGAGTCTGCTGAAAGGCTGCGAAGTGTAATGGCGAGCTAGATCCGGGTTGCTATGGTGGACGGATTGACCGAGTGAAGGGGATGAAGGAAGTGATGAGGTGGCTGAAAGGGGTCCGAGCTTCGGCCAAGGTATATCAGAAAGGGCCTTCTCATCTCTCGTCTCACTTATCCAGTCAGCACACTGATCAGCGCCTTCTTCGTATAACATTCCCCCAACCACCAAGATGTCACCGCCAGCACCCAGCACACCGACCCGCCCCGCGCGGTCCTCCCCTTCGAGCGCGTCGAGCCAATCCCTTCCCCCTCTCACCCCAGACACCTTCACTCCGGTACGCGATCACTCTCTCGATACTCCAGGCACGCCACCCACCACCTCTCCCTCGCGTCGCAAGTCCACCGCAAGCATCCATACTCGTCGCAAGCCCGTCCCCCTCTCCCCAGAACATGACATCGCCCTCGAAGACCTCCGTGGTCGGGCCCTCAACACTCCCACTACTGCAGCCACCGATCCCTTCTCGGACACGCGGTATGCCCCTTCCACCTCCTCGGTCGAGCCTCCGCGCTATGTCCTCGACGTTGCGCCTCCGCCCACATACCATACCGGGCATGCCTCCAGCTCGCAGGCGATGTACGTGGAGAGCGGGCTACCGAGCGCGGCGGTCAGCAGAGAGCAGCTGCCTGTGTATGCGGAGGATGTGCAGACGGAGCCGGATACCTTAGCGAGGAAGTGCTGGTTGTGGGGGTTCCTGTTCCCGATTCTGTGGCTTGTTGGGATGTCGATGTGAGTCTATGCTTCGCATTGGGACATGTGATCATACTGACTGTATAGCCTGTGCATCCCGCTCAAACCGGTGGATGAGGAAGAGGACGTCGATAAGGCTCAAAAGATGGAGGAGATGATTGTCATCCTGCGCAAGGTGAGCTGAACGCCGCTCTACAATCAGATTCGCAAGCTAACGCGTCAGGTCGAGCTCAAATATGCCCGCCGTTGCGCCTGGTCCTTCGCAGTCTTCGCCGCCCTGCTGTCTCTGGTCATCGTCATCGCCGTGGTCGTCTCTCGCTTCAGCAGATAGCCGTAGCTCATATTGTACCTTCCATTGTGATCAGTTTTTGGTTTTTGGTATAATGATCAGCATGAACACCTTGATGATCCCTGCGCTCTCTTAGGCCACATGATACCCATACACTCATACATCCCACGCCTAAAGATGAACAACCAAGATATATCCCATCGCTATCGCTTGTCTCCACCTACGACTCCTTCCCATACTCCCAGCTCCATCCCACTCTCCCATCCCGGCCTCTCCTCATCCTCATCTATCATACTCCGCCTTTCCTCCTGCTCCACCTCGGCCGGATCTCGCGGCATCCTGATTACAATCGCTACCCTCACGTCCTCGCCTATCTCCACACCCCTGCTCAGCTCCGTGACCACCTGTGCCGGTGCCCCAGCTAGCGCAGGCGCCGGACGTGGCCCATTCCGGATTTGCCGGCGGATCTCGCTGAAATCTATTCGAGATGCCCCGCCTGGTTGGCGAGGCTGTAATGATCGACTAGCGGGTGCAGCAGGTTCTGGGGATGCAGCGCTGGGAACAGGTCGAGGGAGTAGGGAATGTAATGTGACAGGCTTATAAAATGTCAGCATCTCCCCTCTATCGCTTCCAGCTTCGCCCTTCATTGCCCATGTCCCACTCACCTGACATGACTCTAGCCCTTCTCCGTCCCCCTTCTCATCAACCTCCGCCTCCAACAGTACCGGCACCTTCTCCCATGCTCCTTTCCCGCCCCTCACCCGCATGCCCGCCGCCATCGCCCGATCCACCTCGTCCCCGCCCTCCGCGTTCCGCCAGCCCATCGGCCCAAAGCCCCAGTAGTCGTCTCGATTGTGCATGGGCGGTAATGGCTCGCCGCGCATGATGGCGAGCTGGGTGGCGGTACGATATCGCCGGCGAATGCGCAAAGCGCGGAGGGAGAGGGTGGCGGCTATGGTTAGGAGGACGACAAGGACACCTAGGAACTGGACTGTCAGCCCGGTGCTCGGTCTCTAGCCTTGAGAGTACAATCTAGCGTCTCCTTAATCAGGAGGCGAGATGGGGGCGACGAGAAGGACATAGAAGGTCAGAGACATACCACAAAGTAATATGTAGTCGGATTTTGACCACCAATCCCACTATCTCGCGTCGCCCCGCTAGACGTCGCAGTGGGGAAGATATTGGTGACGGTCGGAGTGGTCACCGTAGACGACATGTTGGGTGATGTCTAGCCCGGCTGGTGCGCCAGTGGACGGTGATAGGGGAAAGGACCGGTCAACTGCGAGCTGACGGCCTGATGATCAAGCGAATTCTTGCTGGAAAGGATCGCGCTTCGCGGATTTCTCCGCTGCACCTTGTATACTGGGGCTGTTGGGGTACCTGGCTCTAAGCTGAGCGCGTGCTGAAGTAATGGAAGTGGCTGGCTAGAAGTAAAGATGATAGGCGGATGTAAGCTTGGCGAAAATGGCTCAAACAGCAGTACACAGATCACAGGCCAATGCCGGCATGTTCGTCACCATCTTGTCTTCTGCTGCTGAGCGCTGATCTGCTGAGCATGTGAACCCAGACTGGTCCAGACAAAATGTCTCGCAATGACGCATCTGCTATAGATGCATCCGCATCCTACTCCTCTACGTTATCTATCCACACCCGCCAACGTTACGAAGCCTTAGACCAGCTTGATGGATACCGTGACCTGGAAAGGGAGGTTGGGATCCGTGATCACCACGCTCGCGTCCTCGCTGAACAGCTCGGAAAGCTTTTTGGCGAGGTTCGGCTTGGTCGCTTCGTGCAGCTGCGGAGGAGCCTGGAAGAAGAGGGGTGCGCCAGACTCGTACGCCAGGGAAGGACGCTTAATTTGTCTATTCTCGTCAGCTGTCTGCTCTTTGACCTAGGTGCGGTATTTGCAACTCACAGATCCTGCCTGTCCTCTAATTTCTCCAACAAGGTCTCCAACGTCCAGTCCTTCTCCGCCTGCACCTCGATCGACTCGCCGCCGCATACAGGGCAGTCCGCGCGCTTTTCGTATTCGAATGTGTAGGCGTAGAGGGACTCGTTCCCTGAGTACATCATGTAGTTGTCGAGTGAGGGCGCGGCGAGGGTGGCGAGTTTGAAGGCTTCATTGCAGCATGAAGCTGAAAACATCAGCTCTTCTATCTTTCAAAAGAAAGATACTCAGAGGAAGCTCACCGGCGATGATAGCGTTCGTACTCGCAATAGCAGGAATGATGTTCTTCACCACCCCCTGCGTAAGCGCCCAGGTCACACCTTCAATCTTGAACTCGTTCGCGCGGGTCGACGCGCGCTGATATAACCATTCGATATGGTCCGGATCATCCGTATCCAGCTTCTTGTCTGCGAGGAGGTTTCAGCACGATTCAAGCTTGGAGCTTGAGAACGATGGAACTCACCTTTGAAGACTTTGGGCCACTCGAGGACGCTCGCCCATTCGATACAGTGTTCAGGGAGTCGAGGGGTGTTGGCGATCGTGCAGATGGGATATGCTGTTGGTGGAGCGATAGTGTCGATCTAGGGTCAGCAAAAGTCCGGAGGCACAACGTACGGAGCATTCGTAGCATGATGATACAGCAGGAAGGATGACTCGAGCCTGTCCCCTGAAGCCTAGTTCGTCAGCCCGGATCCTTCTCGAGCGAGATCAGAAGGCATACCCTCAGTCCCACCGTCAATGAGCGGTGTCACATTCTCATCCTGCTCCGCAATCTCCACAAGGGTAGCGTTGATCCACCGCCGAGCGGGAATGGAGTCCAGACCGGCAATGATGATATCAAAGCTGCCGTAGAACGAGGCGGGGTGGTCTTGGATCTTGCCAAAGTAGCTAGTGGCCTCAGCTGGGGTCGTCTTGGGCAAGCTACCCATCTGGAAGGGTGCGAAGCTGTACTTACGGCGTGACTTTAACTCCCGGAACACGCTGCATCACGAACGCAGCGGCGACATTGGCTTTTGATCCGCCTACATCCGTTTCTCTGCGCTGGTTAGCTAGACTCCAAGCATGGGCGAGCTGATTGTAGCTGACCGGAACAGAAATTGCCGATTCAGATTTGAGATATCGATAGTGTCCATGTCGATCACATGGATGTTATGGAACCCAGCTACACGTATCAGCTCCCTTCTCTCCGTCAACCCAGATCGTAGCTGACTCACTCAACGCTAGGTTCTGGAGAATTTCGCATCCCAGACCACCCGCACCAATGACGAGGATCTTGCACTGTTGTCGAAGGAAGTCTTTTGCCTGATCGTCAGGCCTAGCTAGGTCAAGGAAGGAAGGAAGACGGACGTACAGCCTGACCGCCTTGGAATTGCTCATCCGTCCATGGTCCACGACGATCGAGAATCTTGTCGACATCTCGATAGCGCGAGGAGCTGGCGAGATACTCAGTCGTCTTTGACGATAGCTGTACTGGAGGAGCGACAGCGACTTGGCTCATTTCGTTGCACGGCGGAGAGGCGAGTGAAAGAAGGAGGATGGACGAAAGTGATGAGGAGTTCGGCGGAGTTGCGAGCGCGTTTTGAGGAATGCTGGAGCTTTACGGCACAGATGATGATGATCATTCTCTCCCTTCCCTTCTACTGTCTACTAGCTAGCCTGGAAGACCTGCACAGCCTAGCTCCTCGGGATCTCCTGGAGCATGACTCTCCAAATAGCCCACCCGACTCTCCCATACCCCTCACCGCCGCTCCCGTCCTTACCCCCTGCCCGTCGCCTCGACTCCTTCCCTTCCTCCGGGCTGAACACTCCGCCCGGTATCCTTACATCCAACATGTGGTTGACGATCTGCGGCGTGAACTCTGGATGTCCTTGTACTGTCAACATGTGGGCTATTGGTTGATCAGGTGTCGAGGTGGGGTGGAGGAGGACCATGGAGTGATTAGCGTATCGGTCGGTTTTGAGGAGGATGGAGAAGTTCGGTGGAGGTCTGGAGACGTAGTCTCGATGCTGCTTGTTAGCTAGCTGCGAGAGGAAGGCTCCACACCGATCAGCTTACCATCTGTTCAATGTACTGCGCGTCAGCCGATACTCCGCCCAGATTTGAGAAAGACTCACCACGCAGTCCGATCCCCCTTGTCCCTCTACTTCCCCAGTCCACCAGTACCTTCCCTCCCCGACAAACTGGTTCCTATACACCCCCGCCTCCCAGCCATTCTTCCCAGGCACGCACTCCCCACCCATCGCCAGCGCGATGATCTGATGCCCAAAGCATACGCCTATCAGCCGTATATGGCCCGTTTCTGGCGATGTACCGATTTTGCGGATAAAGTCGATTAGGCGGGGGCCGAAGGGATTCGACATGTCGTGGGCGGTATGTTCTGCGATCAGCTGTAGTCAGAGGAGGGACGTACTAGAGCCGGTCATCATAATGACGTCGTACGCCTCTGGATGGCCCGGTTGGAGGCGCGACAAGTCGGGGTACTCCATAGCTGTGACCACATCGTACCCGTCGACGATGAGGTTGATGCCTTTGGCGACTTGCTGGTCTGGGTAGGAGGCCAGAGAGGTCTTGAGCCAGTTGGTATAGATCTCGAGATCTGCCGATCAGCGGGCGGACCTTTATCGAAGGGTCGGAATTCACATGTCCCGAACTCAGCAACTACCGCCGGCAGCTAGTTGCATCAGCAAGTATCGGGAAAGACTAATACAATGATCGACATACAGGCGTGTCGCAGAGCAGAAGAGCTACTCGCACAGTCCGTTGACTCATGATGGCGCAAACAGAGGAGAGATGATCGGCCCGAACGACTTCCTTATCGTCGCTTTGGCTCCGGAGAACGCCGAGATAGGCTTTTTCATCGCTTGTTTGGCCTTGTGTCGCGTTGCAGGGATAGATCGCACCTTACCGTCGTCCATGCATAGCCAGAGAGGTGTGAGCCGCTGCATGAAGACATCGTGACTTGCGTGAGGGATTGCGAAGCTCGGAGAGGGGCCGGGACCAGCGGAGAAGGGCTGCCCGCAAAGCGGTGCGACGTTGAGAATAGTCAGGCACCGCCGCAGCCGAGAAGATTTTGGAGTGCATCTCTCCTGTCTTTTCTGGCTCTGTTTCCTTTGAGGATGCGTGTAGCTGTAGTACGCGTCATGCAGCCGTCCAGCTAGTAGCCCAGGGTATCGAGGGACCACAATAAGACATGCATGCACAAAGAGCGGATATCCGAAACAGCACCCCTTGTGCCCCAGTTAGAAATTACGTTACCTGACTCGGGGGCCACCCCAAACGTCATCTCCTGCAGCATCACCCCTTGTCGCTTTTTTCATCACCTTGTGCTGCGTTTGCATCTTGTCTTGACTGTCTAGCTCACCCCAGAGCCACAAAATCACCATACCATCTGAACATATTGGCTAGACGTCTCGGTTCTGAGCCCCAGCTCCAACACCAAACGCGCTCAGTCGCGTCTTTACTCGCCAACACGCGCTCGACGACCCCTTAACGACTGGGGCTATTCCTGTGCACAACCCAATTTGACTCTATACACCACTCAGCTTCTTTGATAGAAGACTATCTCGTCCATCATGTCCGCGACATTCGACGCAGATGCGTTGCAGTCCATCGTGGCCTCGCACAATAAGACCCTGTCGCAGGTGACTGTCAAGGCGGTGGGGTCGCAATTGGCCTTGATGACTGGTATCTCGGTAGGCCTTTTGATGGGAGTGTACAAATTGCGATGAGCTGATCTTCAGCTTGCGACTGTAGCCGCATTTTCGTTCTTCCGACCAAGAGAAAAGAAGGTCTATGCACCAAAGGTAGGGCTCGCCTTATGGAAGTCGAGATCCCGCTGATCGTCAGATCAAATATCAGCTACCCGCGCCAGCACATCCAGCCGACAACCCCGACTATGAACCACCACCACCGGCCATCTCGAATGGCTTCTTTGCGTGGTTCAGCCCGGTCATCCACCTCCGAGAAGAGCAGATGATCGCCAATATCGGTAAGCTAGCTAACTCCTTCCGAGTTCCCGGAGCATAGCTGACAATCAGGCCTCGACGCTACCACCTTCCTCCGCTTCCTCCGGATGCTCCGAAACATCTTCACCGTCCTCGTCCTCCCCTGCGCCGGTCTCATGACCATCAACATCATCTACAATCTCAAATTCGTCGACAGCAACGCCCGGACCTCGCTCAACCTCCTCACCATCCAGAACGTTTCCGGAAACTGGATGTGGGTATCCCTCGGCATGTCCTACATCTTCAACTTCATCATCATGTACTTTATCTGGGTGAACTGGCAGGCGATGATCCAGCTGCGGATCCGGTGGTTCCGCTCCCCTGCGTACCAGACGAAAATCTACTCGAGGACGTTGATGGTCACGCATGTGAGGAAGGACTATCGCAGTGACGAGGGACTCGTGGCGCTCATGGGGAAGCTGAAGGTGGATGGGATCAAGATCGGTGAGCTGAGCCCACACAGCGGGAGTGTTCCAGCTAAATGTCCAGGTCCTGAAATTGATTGCACCGCCATTGGCCGCCGGTTGGAGAACTTCCCGGCGATGGTGGAGGATCACAATGAGGCGGTGAAGGAGCTGGAAGCGTATCTTGTCAAATATCTCAAGGATGGGAAGATGGCGAGCAAGCGACCCACATTGAAGAAGGGCGGATTCATGGGTATGGGCGGTCAAAAGAAGGTTAGCTCAAGTCTTGGCCAATCGAGAGCGGCAGCTGACATGCAGGACGCTATCGACTACCTCGCGCAGCAGATCAAATTCCTCCGTGACAAAATCGACGAGAAGCGCGCCGCTATCGACTCGCTCCTTCGCCAAGAACGCAAAGCCCGAAAGACCGGCAAACCCACTTCCCGAGTCGAAGGCGAGAACTACGGCTTTGTGACCTTCAAGACTATCGCCGAGGCGCATCGCATCGCGCAGACCCACCGGGGCAAGCAGAAGGAGCTTCACGGCGCGGAGCTCGCTTTGGCGCCTATGCCGCTTGATATTGTATGGGAGAATATCAGCAAGGAGCCGAGCGAGGTCGTCACCAAGCGGAGTCTCGGATTCGTCTGGATAGCCCTTGTTTGCTTCTTCAACACGGTGCCGCTATTGCTGGTATCGGCATTAGCCAACTTGGGTCAGCTTACGATCTACATCGACTTTTTGGGCAAGTGGCAAAGAGCTGGACAGTGGGGCGACTGGACGGTAAATTTGGCTGCCTCTTCACCTCTGGTCGAGCTGACGAGCAGTTCTCAATCGTCTCCGGTGTACTTCCCTCGGTCATCGCCGTACTCTTTGGCTACTTCCTCCCTATCATCATCCGCAAGATCTCAAAATACCAAGGCGTCCCTACCCGATCGAGGCTCGACCGCGCCGTCACCGCCCGCTACTTTTTCTTCATCATCGTCTCCAACATGGTCATATTTACGCTTCTCGGTGTCGCCTACTCGTCCATCGCGACTGTTGTCTCCCAGATCGGGCAACACAAGTCGGTATGGGAAGTCTTGAATGGACTGGAACAGATCCCGTATCGTAAGTCTACCAAAGTGGACAGGGCTGACGGTAGTCATCCAAGGCACATACGTCCAGCAGAGCACCTACTGGTTGACTTGGCTTCCACTTCGAGGTTTCCTGGTCTTCTTCGAGTTGATCCAGCTCATCAAGCTCGCCCTGGTGTCCCTGAGGCGGGTCATGTTCCGCCACACCCCGCGAGAGGTTCGGGACATGACCAAGCCATCATACTTTGATTACCCAGTTGGTGAGTTATCAAGAAGAATGGAGCTGATGATAGTGTCGGTCAACATGCTCTTTGTCTGCGCGGTCGGATTGATCTACGCTCCATTGGCGCCGTTGGTGGCTATCGGAGCTGCGGCGGTGTTCTGGTTCTCGTCCATCGTGGTGAGTAGACATTAAGCCTACCTGACGGACCGAGCTGATCGACAGTACAAATACCAGATCCTCTACGTCTACGTCTCGCGAGCCGAGTCTGGCGGAAGGATGTGGAATGTCTACGTCAACCGGTTGATGGCGTGTGCAGTCTTGATGCAGTTGCTCATGATGTTGAGTAAGTACCGAATCTCCCTCTCCCCCTGCAAACGAGCGTCAGCTAAAGTGTTAGCGACTGCTCTGGTCCGTCGCCGATGGTTGGACAGCATCGCCGCCGTCCCCCCAGTCCTCATCATGATCGCCTTCAAAATCTACATGTCGCGCACGGCCGAAAGCAGATTCCGGTACTACAAGCCCACTCCCGAAGAGGCGGAAACCGAGCGCCGGATGTCCATGTCCGAGAAGCGTACTCGTCACTCGGAGATGGAGAAGCGGTTCCTCCACCCGGCTCTCCAGCACGACAAGCTGTACCAAATCATGGTGCACAAATCGCAGGAATCGCTCGCGCGCGAGGTGCTCAGCGTCTACCCCTGGTTTGCCGGAAAGCACCAGCACAACGGTGTCGAGATCAAGGCGGTTCGGGAGGAGAATCTGGAGTATGACCCGACGGCGGATGGGGCGAAGAGCGAGGCGAACTGGGATGCTCGGTCTGTCGCTTCAACGGATATGCTCGGTGGGACCAAGTCTGAGTTTGGAACGCCGTACCTCCAGAGCGAGGAGTACAAGCAGTACCCTCTCCCCAGGCAGGGAGAGTACGGCCACTACCCTCTTCCAAACAACGACTCGTCCGTCTTCAACCTGCCGCTCGACAATCCCTCCACGGACCATCTCATCGGGCAAGCACAAAATCGATCGGAACAGTGCACCCCGCGGAGACAGGCGTCTCGGCCGTACCCTTCCCACGGGAGCACTTCGGACTCCATGGCGGCCGCTCCCCTGATGGACCATGTCCAGCCTACCCCGCTCAGCCCGCAGCACCCACACGGGCAGCATGGTGGACATGGCTCAGGCGGAGGCGTCCCTTACCCCCCTTCAGCATTCACCTCCCCACCCGCCGGATACACCCCTCCCGCGATGAGGCGCCAAAATACCAACATATCGGTCCAGAGCGACGCGTCGTGGGATCGCGGAGACCTGGGCAATGCCCCGGCGTACGGGCAGAGTCAGTACGCGTATGCGTATTCTCAGCCGGGAGCGCCGGGACAGGGTCAGGGACAGGTGAGGCAGGATAGCGGCGCGAGCAGCAGGCTGCCGAGTTGGATGGCTAGCCCGGCGGCGGGAGGGGGGTATGCGGACCCTTACGACGCGTATGACAGGATGGCGGGACCACCTGGTGCGGGCGGATATGGGAGGCGGTGAGCGGAAGATCAGGAAGGATGGGTCGAAGACGATGATTTTTGTACGAGTACGGACTTGGATTTTATAGAACTCCCCAGCTGGCTGGTCCGGCGGACAATCTTATATAGAGAAGCTCTTAGTGCGAAGAAATAGGGAAGAAGTATCGATGCAGGGGGATCTGCCTGCGGTTAATAGTGCGCCACCGCCACGCGCGCCGAGAGCACTCCAACGGCCGCATTGACGCGCAGCAAAGTAGTTTCGTCTGTCTTTCATCTTGCTATCGACTCTGTATCCGATTGCCAAATTATATACCTTCCGCGAAATCGAGTCTATTCCCGCTGTCGAAAAGCAAAACAAACAAAGCCGAGACCTGGCCGCCAGGTCTGAAAGATCCAAAGGCTGAAACATCGTCCGCACCTCGTTCGACCCATCTACACTCGCATCTATCTCCATCTCGCCCTCATCCACCTAGATCATACCTCGGCCTACCATGTCAGCCGCCAACAGCCCCACCACCGCCTCGACAGAGTTCGCGCCCGGCTCCTCGTCCTCCTCGAACCCGCTCAAGAAGTTTAAGCTGGTGTTTTTGGGCGAACAGAGCGTGGGCAAGACCAGTCTCATTACGCGCTTTGTATGTCCCTTCCCAGCTCTTCTTTCGTTGACGGGAGGGAGATAGAGAGCTGATGGGGTAGATGTATGACACATTCGACAACACATACCAAGCGACTATCGGTGCGGTGCAAATGCAGCTCCAAATGCGGGGGAAAAGGGGTCGTGCTGATAAGCCAGGTATTGACTTTCTGTCAAAGACGATGTATCTGGAAGATCGGACAGTCAGATTACAACTCTGGGACACGGGTGAGCTACCCTTGTTGCATATTCTGTCGAGCGCAAGCTAACACAATATAGCTGGGTATGTTAGAATTCCCTCACATTGACTTTTGACCTTGATTCCACGTATACAACTAACATCGGCCGATCTAACTCTGCAGACAAGTGAGTCACGTCTCACATAGTCTTGTCAGACAGGATAGCTGAACGAATAGGAACGGTTTCGCTCCCTCATCCCCTCTTACATTCGTGATTCCTCAGTCGCCGTTATCGTCTACGACATAACAAGTGAGCTGACGGCCTTTCTGGGGCTACGGGCGGGAAGCTGACGGATATCAGACCGCACATCTTTCTTGAACACATCTAAGTGGGTTGACGATGTGCGGAATGAGCGAGGGCAGGACGTGATCATCGTCTTGGTAGGGAACAAGACGGATCTGAACGACAAGCGGTGCGTTCTTCCCCTCAGCCACGCGTTCCTCGGACCTTGCTCATTCGTCTAGCCAAGTCACACCAGAAGATCTCGACAAACGGGCGAAGGAGCTGGGCGTCATGTCGATCGAGACCTCGGCTAAGGCGGGTCATAATGTCAAGACGCTGTTCAAGAAGATCGCTATGGCGCTGCCGGGAGGGAACACTGAGCTGAAAGATCCAACTGCAAATCAGAGTGAGTCCGTCGGCGCATGCGAGGTCATCCTGAGACAGGGGCGAGTAGGGTCATGGGCTGATACCGTCCAGAAATCGATGTGTCGTCGGCAAAGGAAGATGTACCAGAGGCGTCTGGGTGCTCGTGCTAGGCGCGATATTTCTCCGATCATCATGCAATTCTTGGGCCTTTTTCGTGTTCTATACGTCAGGCTGTATATGGCAGGCAGACTGAAAAGCCGTGCCCATTCTGGACGCGCTGGCGCCGTAGAGCCTTGCCTGCTTCACCAGCCGGCTGGACCATGCCGCGGGCCGACGCGTCAAACCCAACTCCACATTCCTCGCTGTCCGCACCGCTGAGAGCTTGACTTCTCACCTTAACCATCATTACTTAGGCCTATCCATCTTCATCCCCCCTCCATCATGTCCGGACCAGGAGGATATGCGATAGTTGACATGGACGAGGACGTGAGTCATCCATACAGTCAGAAGTCAGGGACCGTAGTTAATCAGTTCAGCCTGCAGGGGATATCACCGGCCAACCCAGTAACGATCTTGAGTTCAAGAGTCCGTTTCCTCCCGATGAAAGCCCTTCCAAGAAGGTGCTGATGGCTTTGTAGCTTATCTGGACTCCAACCCGGCTGGGGCTCGGACAAGTCAGCCCGCGACTGGTACTCGTACCGCGCCTGATGTGCCTTACAGTCCTTTCGATATCGCCTACTATCAGGTAAGGCATTCCCCGCCCCCGCCGGCAGCAAGAGGGCAGCACAACAGATACGGAAGCTGATATCACAAGTCTTACTTCGACGTCGACACAAACACGGTGTTGAAGCGAGTGGGGATGTCCATGATACCTCGAGACAACTTCATTTCGGAGATTTGCGAAGGCCAGATTGACCTATACGGTGAGCCGTGCCAGTCCATACTACAGCCCAATGCTGATTAGCAGGCCCCTTCTGGACCCTGACCACCCTCATCCTCGCCCTCTACACCACCTCCACCCTTACCTCCTCCATCACCGAATACCTCTCGCCTACCTCCGGAGAGCACATCACCTCCAACATCCCCCTCCTCTCCACCGCCGCGTCCGTCATCTATTTTTACGGCCTTGCCGTCCCGTGCGGTCTGTGGGCCGTCACTCGCTGGCTCGGTATTGGAGATTGGGGAGTCGCAGAGGTGATTGGGATATACGGGTACGCGATGGCGGTGTTTGTCCCGGTCAGCTTGGCGTGCCTCGTCCCTGTTGGGATCCTGAGATGGGTGTTGGTCGGTCTAGCAGCTGGAAGCTCGGGCTTCTTCCTGTGAGTAGCTCATTGTCTGGATTGTATGAGTCTCGCTCATCCTGCAGGTTCAGAAACATATATCCTGTCCTCCTTCAATCTGATAACCCCATGTCGAAGATCATCATCCTCGCAGTGCTCGGCTTACACGCCGCCATGGCATTTGGCATGAAGGTCCTCTTCTTTTCGTGGGCCATCTTCGTCCGTTGCGGTGATCATGCTGACTCTCAGGTACACCGTAGCAGGCTACAGTGCCGGCCCGGACCCTATTGGCAGTCCTATCTCATTATAGCCCCATGCAATACATGCTATCTACAGCGCCATCTAGCTACATCACACCTAACAGTACAAGACGCCTCTTCTTCTCGACAAATCAGACTTATATGGGCACACCCTCATGATCCCAGCCCTGAGATCCCTCAAACACCCTTCAGAAAGGTACATTCCGCATCTCCCCCGCCGCCAGAATATCATCGTCAAAGATCGTATCGTCGTCGTCATAATCCTCTCCGAGGTCCCCTTCACCCTCATCGTCCCCATTTTCTGATCCCGTGTCCGCGCCCTCACTCTGTCCCCTTCGCTGCGCCTCAATATCGTCCCCTTCCTCCCTCGATCGCCCAAACACATCGCTTGGGAAATGGCTCCCCGGTTCCTCCTCAAACGATCCGGGCATACTGCTATGCCGCCGATGTCGCGTGGGCTCATTGTAGTACTCCTCCTCGTCGTCGCTAGTGACCGATGGTCCGATAAGAGGACTGCTGGGCCGGGAGCTCGCATCGTGGCTTGTGGGGAGAATGGGCTGTTTGGACGCCCGCCGACCGATGATCTTGGAGAGGACGCTCATGCTCGAGTCGGACCGCGCAGAAAGCGCTGGGGAAGGCGGGGAAAGATCAGGAAGTGGGATGTCGGGGATATCGGCACGCCAGAAGTTGAAGTCGGAGAATTCCGGCTTGACGCTCTTGGAGACGGGAGGGAAGACCTCGTTGACAAGGTCATTCTGCCGATGTCAGCTGAGAGCTTCCAGAAGCATCGGGTCATGATGACTGACCAAGAGGATATAGCTGCCCTTGTGTCCAGCAGACTGGAGGAGCTCCGTCTTGACCACTCCCGTCGAATCGATAGTGTAGATCTTACTCGTCTCGATCCCGACGCTCCGATAACTCATAGCGTCGGTAATTCGGTTCCCGAAGCCTGCAAAGAATGCCTCCTTCGCCTGTGGTCCAAATAGCCGCTGAATGTCTCGCAGACATGCCATCTTGAAGAGCTCCGGCTTGCGCATAATCACCTCGCTAGAGATGTCAGCTGTGTCTCTAGACCATGCGCAGTGGAGCCAACTGACCGATGGAGACTAGCCATAAGGCGATCTGGGCTCATAATGACCGGACCCTCGGGCATCCTATACTCCCCCTGATGGATACTGCGGAGATACTCCCTTGTAGAGTCCGCCTGTCCAATGGCACGGGACGTGAGGTAGAGGAGTCGGTAGCCGTTGTTGGCGATGTCGGTGTATAGTTTGGCGATGCCGAGATGGGTCCAGTCACGGCCTATTGCGGCGTACAAGTGACCAAGAGCATCAGACCTGAACTATCAGCAACTTGGCCCGATGCAGAGCGGGCAACACGCACTTGGTGATCGTTCCGTCAATATCGGAAATGACAATCTGGTCCGTGCTCTCCCATAGGAAGATTCTCGACGAGCACATCGCCTCTCCAGAATATGACGAGGTCACCGAGAATTGGACAGTGTTCGGCCCAGGATGCAGTTTGAGTGTTTTCTGCAAGTCAGCAAGCACCACAAGCAAGAACATACCAGTTGATCCGATGAAAGACGCAGGGTCTTGGCAAAGATTTTGGCCGGTTCCGCAGACGCAGCAGCTGCTTCCTCGGGAGATGCCGCCGCGGTCGACGATGGGGAGACAGCCGTAGAGGCCGGAGGTGAAGCTGATGCAGCGTCGACGGCGGACTCGGCAGCCTGGGGCGGGGCTGGCGGAGGCTGCGATGCAGGTACAGCGCTCTGACCTCTCCGCCACCATCGCGACCAGCCGTAGCCTGATGATACGACGGGAGTTTTGCCCGCTCCGTCCGCTTCGGCCTGAGGCTGGGGATTTGGGGCTGCGCTAACGGGCGGAGTCAGGGCTCGGCGATACATAGACAGCGCGAGTAGAAGGTCGTATCCGGTAGTCCATGATAGATACCTATAACTCAGCATGATAATCTTGTCAGTTGATAATTTGAACAAAGCTCACAGTAAGCTGTACCGAAGTACCAGTGCGGGATCATCTACGATCTGAGGGTCCTCGATGAAATGCTGGAATGTGACCCTCTTCGCCAAGAAGGCTGACTCTTCATCATCCTACCCTATCAGCTGTTTCCCCAATACTCATGGTCATGGAGCTTACCGCTGCATCCCCCTTCGCTCCAGACCCTTCTGACCCGCACAACGACAACTCGAACGAATGTGCTCGCCCCGACGCCATCTCCAACACAAAGAGATATGGGTTCTCCTCGACATTCTTCAGCCTGCCCGCCGCCTTTGACTGAGTGATCGGCATGCTCTCGCTCCTCGTCCGCTCCGGTAATAATGGAGGGGAGCCGACCTCGCCTTCCCGCTGTCGCGGCGCGACAATCTGCGAGCCGCCTTTTGCTCTTCCACCCCAGTCCCACGCCAGATCCAGCACCGCTGGAGGCGGCATCATAGATGGGAAGACGGTCCCGTTGGGCGTGCGGATGAGGTGAGGGGAATGCGGGCGAGTGCTGATATGCGAGGTAGGTGACCGGGGCGGAGGTGTATCTGGCGGCTCAGACTTGGCGCGTACTGAGCGATCGTCGAGCAGGGAAAGACCAGAGATATCTGGTTCAGATTTGGCGTCCAGAGCATCATCCTCGTCGCTGTCATCGTCGTACGCTGGCGGCTCGGAAACGCTATGGTGGAGCATAGGTGGACGAGTGCGATCGCCCAGGATTTTGGCGGATGAGCGCAAATCGTCCGTCAACGTAGCGACCAGGGTGGAAGACACCGACGAGGGTTTGCCAGTCGGCTCTCCGCCCTCGTACGTGCCCGCCAGCTCATCTTTCGACCGGCTGTGGTATCCCGCCATATCCAGCACGACGCCCTTTCCGTACAGCACCTCTGGTCCATCTCCTGTCCCCGGCTCCACGGCCGGGAGATCAGCATGCTCCATATCCGACAGCTTCACGTTCTCCGCCGGCAGCTCCGTATCCTCTCCTTCGCTCGCTGCGATCGGGTTGGGGACCACGGTCGTCCTGCTGGCGCCTTGCGGAGTAGCCGGTCGACGCTGCTTGGGATCCTTCGTTGGTGACGCTCCCTGGCTTGACGACTCCGCATCGGGCGACTCGTCCTTGTCCGATGTATGGGATGAGATAAAGGGGATAGAAGGGAGTTTGCTGAGTAGGGATGATGGGGTGGTGGCGCGATTTGGTAAACCCGCAATGACCTTGTCTTTCAAAGTCTCCACCGAGTGATTGAGATCCAGGACGTCCGAGTCGAGCTTGTCCTGCTTTTGCTTCTCCTGCCTTTCGGTATCCCCGAATGGCTGGAGAGTCAAGCCCCCCTTCTCCTCTTCTGGCGATAATGGGGCGTCCGTGTGATCGTGCTCGACCTTGGTACCCGACGATCCTGCATCATCTTCCGTTTCGCCCTGGAATCAGCTGTGCCGGACACACAACTCACCTCAGTAGGGCCAACGACCGGACTAGTGAGCAAGTCGTCAGGTACATCCTCATCTGTCTCGAAAACGAAGAACGCCTCGCCCGTCTCTCCGACCTTCATGCTGAATGGGGCGACATGTGGCGATGGGAGGTTGTTGGGCAGACGAAGGGTGACTCGTTTCTCCCCAGCTCGGAGGACTTGGAGCTTGCCGAATCGGACATGGAAGGGGGAGGAGGAGAGGGTCTCATTGCCATCCTTCATGTCAGCTCGGTCTCGCCGCTGAGCTGTGAGAGGAATCGCACTTGGTCAACGTGCCGGACGACAATCACGTCAATGGCGCCGGAGAGTGTTGCGGGATTGATGCCAGAGTCTATGATGAGCGCAGTACGAGGTGAGCTTCGGGCGGAGCTTACAGTAGTTGTACGCCTTGGACAAGTACTGCATGTTGCAAGGATGGCCGAGGGGTTCGCTACGACAGTGTGGAGAGAACGACAGGCGGTAGGGGCTGTAGGGGAGAGGACGGACTGGCAGCTGCCGCAACAAGGACGTGTCTGGGTAAGGGAGCTCTTGAATGTAATGTACGATATGTGGCTCTGAAGAGTAAGGTAAACACAGAATGCACAGCTAGGCTGGTCGTCAGTTGGAGGGGCTGGCTAGCGTCCGAGGTGGCTTCAGATCTATACGTCATCACCATGCAGTAAGCGGCGTTGCATGTGTTGCACCCCAATGCTCCCGAAGGAGGTCCCGACGCCTCAATACAAAGCAAGGCTGCATACACCCACTGGCCAGCCTATCAACACAGACAAGATTATGCACTACGTATCCACCTCTACTAGATGGGCTTCCTTCCACATGCACCCTCACTTCCAGATCCGGACACCCAAAGGGGTATTCCCTCCTAGATGACAATTTTCTTCTTGTTCCCCCGGACTTCCGAGTCGGTGTGGCTCTCAAAGTTGACCTCGCTGGTGAGCGACCCGGCCTGTCCACCGCCGACGGACTCGCCGAGGCCGAAACCGAGAACCGAAACCTTGAAGTGACGGCCGATGAGCATGATCCGGGCCATGAGGGCGTCGGTCTCGGGGAGGGTGGTATCGGGCGCTTCGCGGGTCCAGATGGCTATCCGGTAGCTGCGGGTCAGCTCGAGGTCGAGAAAAGATTGACAAAGAGTAACCGAAGGGAGCAGCGAGATGTGATGAAGGACAGAGGTTTTCGGACTTACAAGTTTGCACGAGCAGCGATCAGCACACCGGTAACAAGGTCGCTTTGGACTGGCGGAGCGGCCTTCTCTCCAGGAGCACTAGGCAGGGGAGTCTCGAATGTCTCTCCGATAGCAGCAAGCATCTACGCTGTCAGCATCTGTTCACCATCCTTGGATGCCAAAGAAACGCACCGTATACAGCCACATCTTGTCAATAACGCCCTTGCTCTTCTCCCTCGCTACCTGGATCCCCCATTTACCTCCATTCTTGTTCTGGTCGTCCTCCCACGCGGGCTGGATACCATCCTTGAAGAGATAGTAGTTTGCCTTGGCGGGGAATTGGGAAGGGGGAACGATGTTGTTGTAGGTGCCCCAGAACTCCTCGACCGAGTTGAAGGCGACGACTTGGCGCATGTCCTCGAGGAAGCCTAGAAGTCAATGCGAGCTCTGCTTGCCCCGCTGAAAGAGGCTGGACTTACCATGTGATGCCGGAGTTGGCGGGGCCTTGACCTTGCCGGTCTGTGGTGCATCATAGTACAACGTCCAGGTCGAATATAATGGGTGCTACAAAGTCAGCGTTGCACCTTTCAGAGCTGCAGATTCCGTTTCTCTCGCTCATCTTGCTCGCCCGGTGTCCCTTCAGAACTTCGCCTTTCTTCATCCACCCTACACAGAGTGTCCACATGTCCCCTCACAAGCCTCAGACTCACCTTGACATTGAACTTCTTCGCATCATCAAACACAGTCTTGACCTTCCCATCGTCCTCCTCGGCATCTCCGTCCTCGCTATCTCTGATCTCTCCATCCTCCAGCTCGCTCTCCGACTTGGCCAGCTCCTTCGGCTCCGAGGTGGCGGGGGATGAATTGGCAGAGTCGTCCTTGATGGACGTTTCGCCCAATACACCAGCCAGCGTGTCGGCTACGGCAGTGGCGACTGCTGCGGGGAGGTCGGTGATGCCCATGATGCTAGGCTTGGTGTGGGGATTTGAGAGGGGAGGTGTTGTATCCGGGGATCTGGATGGTCCGTTTGATGAGAGGTTCCCGAGGTCCGGTGATGCTTTCTTGAGATGATCAAGATACTGCTGTTCGATAGTCTGGTGGAAGCTCGATGTCTGAATGGCTCTTTGTATGTATGATAGATGAACAAAGCAGAGAAGTATAGAGTGAACCAATTTTCCAGAGAGAGGCTGGTCGCTCCTTTGTCGCAAATCAGTTTGGGTGGGTGTGTACGTAAGCCAGTGGGGTAGATCCGTGCGTCCATTTATGTCGGGTGGCAAATCGAGCGCTTGGGCGTGGCGCAGCTGCCTCGCTCAGCTTTGCTCTTGTTCTAGAGGCCTACATATCTAGGAGGATAGGATAGCTTGAAGTCTCCTGATTGTGCAAAATTCGGTCAAGAAACAGGATCATCGGGGCAGCTACATCGCCTCCAGCTCATCCTCTCTCCCCTTTGCTAGCTCACGTACGACGGTTCCTTTCTCCCCGCATGCCACAAAGCAATCTCGCAGATCCCCAACAGTCCTGACTATGAGGCCGGAGAACAGTCTGGACCTGCCATAAGAGCTCTTTGTATAAGACAGCCATGTTCACCCCACGAGCACCGGCTGCCGCCCGCCACCCCTTACTTGAGCTCATTGCCGCCTCCAGCTGGACCCTGATGTCCTTCATCTCCTTAATCCTTCCCTTTGTGATCTCACTTGTCCTCATTGTGCCGTCTACACTCCCTCAGGGTGCTTTCATATACAGAAACGACGGGGAAGTGATCAGTATTGGAGGTACCGGCTACTCAACGAATGGCACAGCACCGCCGTGAGTGTCTAGCCAGTCTATTCCAGAAGCTATGCGTCCTGAAAGAGCTTCCAGTCGAGCGGGCAGCTGACCTGCAGTCACGCACAACTCCTTCTGTTTGACCTTCCCGACTCCTGGCCCAAGCAGCTGCACAGCTTGCCACCGCCGCTACTAGTTCAGTTCGTGTTGGGTCTCGCCCTTCTGCTTTACTCAATCATCCTCACCGCCATCACTCTCGTTGAACGTAGACGGGCAAAACGAGACCCCTTCAGGAAGGACTTCAACTCATTTACTGGACTCACCAGCTGGATCACCCTTATCGCCGTCCTGCTCACTTGCGGCATACTTGCTGCTGATCTGGGGGTATTCCTCTCTACACGGGAGGCGTTGGAGGATACTGGCGTGCTTGAGCTCGGTCCCGCAGGTTACACGTGAGTAGTCCTGCTGCGATTTTGAATCGATCTCTGACACGAGCAGAATCCTCTACGCTGGAGGAGATTTGACTCTGATGTGGCTGATCGTATGGGGGGTCGTGGTCGTACTGCGTGGTTGGCGTGTGAAGCGAGCGGAAAGGATGTCATTAGCAGAGGAAGAGCCAGAGTTCATGCCTGACAAAGTAGAGTACGAGGGAGATCGAGTGAAGCTTTCTGTACATGTACCATAGGTCCATGCACGCGCAGATCTGGACGTTGTAGAGCGGCTATGGTATTCGTTTAGCCCATGTTGACGTCGACGCGACCATCGTACCCACCCGATGACTGATCATCTGGACCCAGGTACAGACTGCCCAGTGCCAGGAGGCAACCGTCCTTTGTCTGCCTTGACTCCTGTGTTTCGCTTGTCACCCCTGGCACTCCTGTTATCTTGCTGCACTCGAGGGGACAAGCATTGTACAGTCTGCTCTGGTATCGTCAATAGACTTGAATATACATCAGCAGCTCCCTGACCCCTGAAAGTCTGCTCTTCAAGGCTACCTTAACCAAGTGAGCAAAATGGGCAGCGGCAGCGGCGGCGGCGGTAGCAGCTCGTCATCGTCCTCGGTCGACAAAAACATCACAAGGAAGGCGTTTGGTATACTCATCTTCCCGATCATCATACTCGGCGTGTATGCGGCGATAATCCCGCTGACGAGCGGGATCTTCAAGTACACGATAGGCGCGGTGGAGTACGATATCGGGACGCAAGGATATACAGTCAACGGGGTGCAAGCCATGTCAGTGTGACCTCGATCCCGTCTTGGATCTTGTATCTTGAAGGGAGGCGAACTGACGGATCAGTGCTTCGAGACAATTCGACTACCCAACGCCCGAGACCTGGCCGCAACCGATCCGCGGATTGCCCAAACTGCTCGTCGCTCACCTAGCAGCGGTCTGCGTCCTCGGAGCGTGTATAATCATATACATTACCCATATGCTCACCCTTTATTACAACGGTACGCCAGTGCAACGTCAACAAGATCCAAAGCGGGGGCTCAGGGCCATCACTCCCAGCGCGCAGCAAAAGGGCGGCATGTTCTGGATAACCCTGCTTGTCTGTGGGATGGTCCTAGCACTCGGTATAGCGAATCTCGCCTTGGTCCAGGATAGCTGGAAGGCGGCAGATGCAACGGGAACCTTCTGGCCCTCGAGCCTAGGCTGGGCGTGAGTGGCTAGTCAGTAGTTAGTGTGGTATGGGCTAATGATAACAGCTTGGGCATTGTTGGTGGGCTTTTCGCCGCTTTCTGGCTGGCCATGATCATCGTTTACCGCTATGTGTACCGCGACAAGGTCGCGGAGGCGCAGCCAAAGAAGAAGTAGTCGACGGGCGATAAGGTGGCGGAGATGCGCCGAACAATGTAACGATTAGATTCAGCCAGCGCAGGCGTCAGATGTGTGAGACGATGGCGCACGCTACTCACCAGACCATGGTATCAGCCTTGACAACTAGCTTTCAGCAATGATCACTACAGGTGACAAAGGGACAGACTACGGAATGACATTGAACGGGATGGACTGAAGTCGCCGCTCCATCGGGATTGAGGTTTACGTTTATCGCCTGTGAAGGTGAACACCGTATCCTGCGGGCCACAGAGAAAGGTCTACCGCGATGATATTTGCCCTACTCCTCCCGATCGAACTTGTGCTTCCCCATACGGTTGTACTGAGTCGGAGGCTTGCCAGATCCGACAACTCCGACTGCTGTGTCAGCTGCTGCCTCCCTTAAGCACAAGGTGTTATTCACTCACCACGTCCACTTGCCGATTCGGGCGTCCGGAACTCTGACTTGCCTTGCAGCCTGATACGTCAGCTATCATCTACGAGGACAGGTCAGCATGACTCACCCAGCAATATGTATTCCCTTCTTGGCAGCCTTCTTCCCAAACTTATCCCACGCATTCTTCTTCTCCTTCATATCCTCCGTCCGCGCCGCCTGGCTCGCGACCCACTTATCTCCCTTCTTCTTCTTCCGTTCCTTCTCGCGCTCAGTCAGCTCCTCGGCTGGGCGTTTCTGAGGCTGCGGGATAGGCGCTGAGGGGTCGTGCGGGCGGAGCGAGGATAAGGGGACGTTTGTGGAGGTGGAGTAGCCTTTAAAGGTTATTGTGTATAATGGGGAATCTTGAGAGCCTATTACTGCGTTGATACGTGCGGGATACCTGATAGGTCAGCTTTACTATTCCTCCAAACCGACAGGGGTCACTCACATCTTTCCATCCTTGTACTTTGCCATACAGTCCATTCCCGCCTTATACGTCCCCTGATCCTGCCAATTTGTGTTCGACCCGCCCGCCACCTCTTTGCCTTTGCCTTTCGACTTGGAAGCATCCGCCGCTGCACTTGTGGCTGGCTTTGCGGATGCCGAAGGACCCAGAGCCGCCTCCGTGAGCTCGATGATCTCAAGCAGCTCTGTTTTCAAGCTGAGCAGATCATCGTTCTCTGGGTCTGCGTCGAGCGAGAGGTTGACGAAAGCGAGCTGATCGCGGTATGTCTGGAGTTCTGCGTCGGCCATTGTACAGGGTACGATAGAGATAAGGGAAGATATAGATAAGATACTGGTATAGATGCAACGTATATAGAGGCAAGGAGTCTTTGCTGTTCTGGGTGGCTATCGAGAGCTGAAGCGGCGATCGCCGGAGACGATGCAAGATCCGTGCGTCATTTCGGTCAGGTCCGCTCGGGCCGGTCGACGGTCCAAAAGCTCCTTTCTCCTTTATCTTTCGCTGCTTTATTCTGGTACATACATAAGGCTAGGTATAGCCTCGCCATCAACGCAAGCAGAGAGAGCCGCAGACACGGTGACGCAGAGAATCTGCGGGAAAAATCGACGCGTTTCGGCCCGCCACCTCTGTAAAACTAGGTCGCGATGCCGACCACCCCATCCATCCCCGTCCCTCATGTTCACGGCAAGACCTCGAGGAAGCTCAAGGGGAGGAGTCTGCTGTATAGTGTCTCGGCATTCATCAGTATTGGGGTATGGCTATTCGGGTGAGCAGCTGATTCTAACCCCATACCTGAGCTGTAGCTGACCTAGCTCAGATATGATCAAGGGTGCGTGAAGCTCAATACTGATGAGGCGGGATGCCAAAGCTACCGTCACTGACTCTGCAGCGTTATGTCAGGTAGGTCTAGCAGCTAAATTCCTCCTACTTTTGTGCACCAGCTGATCCCACAGGTCTGATCACAGGACCATACTTCAAAGCATACTGTCAGTTGATTCTCTCCGTCACAGATCAACCTTGATTTAGCGGAGCTTTCGATTACCACCCAGAGCTTGATCATATACTGATCCTTAGTCAATCAGCCTAGCTCCGCAACGGTGGGAAATATGGTCGCCTCCCTAGAAATAGGAGCTTTCAGTCAGTCACCCAGCTATCACACCCAACCGTGCTGATGATCAGTTACCTCACTCTTGGCGGCGCATTTTGCAGACACACGAGGTCGACGAATGACGCTGAGGATGGGCGCACTGATCTTTACTGTTGGAGGCGCGTTCCAGACCTTCTGTGGAGGGTTGACGAGTATGGTGATTGGTCGAGTCATCAGTGGATTTGGCGTTGGCTTTCTGAGTATGGTTGTGCCAATATATCAGGTCAGCCGAGCGCTTCATTGAGGTCTGACGCATAGCTGATTGTCCCAGTCAGAAATCTCACCGGCTAGTCATGCAAGTCAACGTCCGCCACTCTACTGCTAGATCTTCAAGCTCATGACCAGCGCGGTCTCCTCGGATCCGTCGAGTTCACGGGCAACATCGTCGGCTACTCCTCATCCGTCTGGATAGGCTACGCCTGCTCGTTCCTGAAGAACGACTTCTCATGGCGCCTACCTCTATTCATACAGTGTATCGGCGGCGCGATCCTCTTCTTTGGATCTTTCGTCACCCCCGAATCACCGCGATACCTTATCGATACGGACCAGGAGGTCGAGGGGCTAGGGGTCATCGCGGACTTCCAGGGCAAGGAGCTGGATGATGAGAAGGTGGTGGAGGAGTACAAGGAGATCAGGGATGCTGTCCTGCTTGATGTAAGTCTATCCTCATGTAAGGTCGCAGTCGGGGCTGACTTGCTAGCGAGCGGTCGGCGATAGGTCCTACAGAGCATTGTGGAGGCGATACCGCGGACGAGTATTGATCGCGATGAGCAGTCAGATGTTTGCTCAGCTCAATGGGATCAATGGTGAGCTATCTGATTATGGAACCACCTAGTCCGAAGCTGACGATATAGTCATTTCATACTATGCTCGTACGTATCATCTCTTCAATAATTACGGAAGTCTGGAAGCTTAGCTGACTTTTGCCAGCTTTAGTCTTCGAGCGTGAGTCACACCATTTGATAGGATTGGAACAGAGCTGATGTGATACTAGAGGCAGGCTGGATTGGTCGAGACGCTATCCTCATGACGGGTATCAACTCCTTGTTCTATATGGCCTCTTCCTTGCCTCCGTGGGTACACCCGACCTGAATCTAGCCTGTTGCTGATGATCAGGTGGATCCTCATGGACCGAGCCGGACGACGGCCTATCCTGCTCACCGGAGCTGTAGCCATGGCTATCGCACTGACCTTGACTGGATGGTGGATTTACATTGATCAAGCTTATACTCCCAATGCTGGTAACTCCCTCGTCTGAGGTCTTGACTAGTGCTGATCATCAGTTGTCATCTGCGTGATCATCTACAATGCCGCATTTGGGATGAGCTGGGGACCTGTTCCCTGGCTCTACCCGCCTGAGATCATGCCTTTGCCGTTCCGAGCGAAGGGTGTTTCGCTGTCTACGGCTACAGTAAGCTACCTCTTCCAAGCTATGGCGAGCGAACGAGGAATAAGCTGACATTACCAGAACTGGCTCTTTGTGAGCCTCTCTCCCTCTCGTTCTCTACCTAAGCATGCCATCGAGCTGATGTCCAGAACTACTGGGTAGGAGTGTCCACACCGGTCTTCCAGGACCTCATCGGCTGGCGGCTGTATCCCATGCACGCCTTCTTCTGCTCGCTATCATTCGTCACGGTCTACTTCTGTGAGCTGCATTCATCCATGACTTTGTGGATAAAGCTCATACTATAGTGTACCCCGAGACAAAAGGCGTGCTTCTCGAAGACATGGACCAGCTCTTCGGGGACGAGCCTATCGAGGATGACGATGACGGAGACGATGATGGGGACGAAGCCGACGACTCCGGTTCGGAAAGCTCACTGCCGATCGCGCGCAAGCCATCGCCGTCGCCGGGCAGACGACGGGCCCCTTCGGGCATCTTTGCGAGGTTGGGCGATTCGTTAGCGGGTGTGTTTGGGCAGAAGCGGACAGGGGCTCGAGGGGAATATAATGCGGTCGATGGGGAGCAATAGGAACTTGCGAGTAAGTAGTTCCGAGCCGAGCGGGAAGATGGCTGGATCAAAACCTGATGGGTAGGGCTCGGCCATAAGCGGAAAAAGAGACGACGGACCAAATCTAGCAGAGCAGCTCGGAAGGAAAGGGGCGCGAGGTCCGAAGATGTGGAGGCGGCCGAGCGGTTTGAGCTGGTCTCTCGAGATGCTCGGCTGGAGGATATGGAGGAGGAATCTTCGGACGTCGGGGAGACCCGATCGGGCGGGGCTGCTAGATAGGGTTTGTAGTCTTTGATCTGCTCGGGCTGAGTCTCGCGATGTATCCAGCCTGTATTAAGTTAGTACGCGCTGGCGCTCGACTTCTGTCTGTCTATGATCAACGTATGTTTGGATCGAGTTCTTGGTCAGTGTTCTGTACATCCGATCGTACTGTGCAGGTCACATGTATGAAGTGATACCATCGATCCCACTCCTCTCTCAACGTTCGACCATCGCGACATTATCCTCCAGCTGCAGCTTCGCCTGAGGCCTGATCAAATCTCCCAGGCTCCCCTATGCGAGCGGTGTTTCACTCCATCGGTTTGAGGTATTGACACACCGCGAGATGCGCCGTGGCAAGGTACGTGGCGATGCTTTGGCGAGCCTCCTCTGTGAGCTTTCCGGTCGCGCTTGCATCCGTGTTCTCCTTGAGCAGGTCGGCGATTCGTTTCTTCAGGGCTCCAAGGCGGAGGACGGTCCCCTTGTCGATGACGCCTGATTGCTTGTCTTTCTCGCTGATCGCCCCAAGATGATTGATCTCGGTGGAGAGAGACGCCACGATGTCACTCGTCTTCACACCGGCGGTCATGAGGCAGTCCGTCAAGAAATTGGTGGCGGTCTTCTGCGAAGAGGACCCCAGCTTCATGACGCTGATCAGTTGAGCCACTGCCTCCTTTGTCGCGGTCAGCTGGTCGTCAGATCCAGACATGCCACCCGTCCCCATAAGGGTCTTCAGGGTAGCGAGAACCAATCCGATGTTCGCCAATGACCCTGGGATGCGAAAGTGGTAGCAAGCATTCTTCCACGCCTGATCAGTGGCCCGGTCCCCGGTCACTTGGGACCACGAGACGAGACCGGCCTGCGCGCTGTGGAGATCATCCAGGAACTTTTTCGTGGCGGCGGCGGGTGGTATGGCGGAATGGGATGCGTTGAGATCCGACAGCAGCTGCTGCGAATCAGCGGCGTGCGATCGGGTATCGTACGGCTCAGCGGCGCGCGGTTGGGTGTCGTACGGCTGATCAGCGGCGCGCGATCGGGTGTCGTACGTCTCAACGGCGCGCAAATCGATGTCGTCCATAGTACCGAAATGTATGTAGGGCAGGGTGTTGAGTGGCGAGAAGTACAAAGTCAAGAGGAGACGGGGCCGCGAGGAAGCCAAAGACCCCTCCTCCTTGGGCGTTTTAATTAAGCCCGCCGCTAGGACGCTGCGCTCGACGCCTGAAAGGATGCGCTAAATTCAGACACCAGTAGAGCTAGATTGCGAGGGGTGAGGCCTCAAAGGACTGAGCAGCTGCAGCACGTGAAGCGGTGCTCGTGGCGATTTGTATTTTGTGAGATATATCAGGGCACGTCCAGAGCACGCCCTTGCGCGAGCTCTCTGGACGCAACAGGCAGGAGTGTGCCTCGATTAATGGTACAATGTACGTTCAATACGTATGAACTATACTTGTCAGACGATGAATTGTCTCTCACATCACGCCATCTATAATCACTCCCCTCGCCACTGATCGATTCTGACCCAGACAAACGAGCTCACCCGCGGCCGATGGCAAGTCCTAGAGCCACTTTGCCCGTCGCTGTTTCACACCGTCGGGTCATTGTACCGACGCGCCGCCAGCGACGCCGTGATGAAGTACAGTATGATGCGCTCGCGAGCCGCGTCGCTGATCCGACCGGAAGCGTCCTTGGTGGTCACGCTCGGCTCGTTTTTGGTCGGAGTATGGCAGCCCTCTGGATCAAGCAAAGTGGAGATCTCGTCGCTCAGATCACTGAGGCTGTGGTGCGGACACTACACTCACTGGTCAGCAAGTACTTGAGATCTCGTATAGGTCAGTAAGACTAGACTCATGACGGGAAGAAGTCACTAGTTCTCTTGATGTCGACATGTCAATAGCATCAGCACGTCGCGAGCGGTGTCGATGGCGGCATCAGTAGATGAGCTCCGTACTGATACATCATCACGGTGATACAGCCGACAACCTGAATTATAGTGCGATGCGCGCTCCACGCAGCAGCTCCGATCCTCTATGACCTCATGTCACCCATCGAACCCGCCTCACATCGGCATCATATACACCTCCTGCCTCGGCAGATCCCGCATCTTCGGACTCGGCTCCCCCTTCCCCATACTCGCCAGCCCCGCCGAGCTTCCCCTCCTCGACAAGCTCAAAACCACCTCCATATCTTCCTCCGCCCTCACTTCCTGTCCCCAGCCCTTGACGAGTCCCCGTAATTCCGCGACATCCCCACCCTTCACCACCTCATCTCCCTTGTCTGAGCGAATACTGATTCCGCTTCCTCGGCGCTTTCGGATCCCTACACCTATGTTGGGATCGGTGCTGGTCCCTGCTGAGCGTGAGGTGATTTCGAGGTCTTTGTCGAGATCTTCAACGAGGCCGCGGAAGACGAGGAACAGGACTTCCGCTTGGGCGAGCGTGGTATCTAGGTCAATCTATATGTAAGCTCAGTCGCGAAAGCTGGGCGGGAGTCAGATAGCTTACCGATCCGCTGAGATCGTTTGCGTACTTCAAGACCTCGTCAAACTCCTTCAAGTACCGGATGAGCACATCCCGGTGGCTCTGCAAGATTGCGAGCGCGACAAAGAGGTTGAATTGGTCGGAATAGTAGTTGGTCCAAATGACCTCCCAGAGCCGGATGACCTGCGGGAAGGCAAACTCCCGCTTGAAGGAGATGAGGATCCAGCGGAAGCAGAAGAAGAGGTTCAGTGAGCCGGTCCGGTCTGATTGTCAGCTGTTAATTTATGAAAGCTCTAGCCAACAAAGCTTACTGAGGTGATCGTAAAGCTCCGGATCCATCACGCCGATGAGCTTCTGGAGGGTGGAGAGCTGTCGCTTCATTCCGCTTTGATCCCGGAGGAAATTGCTTTCCTGCCTCATCAGCTCAGATCTGCAGGCTGGTACAAGAGCTGCTTACCATCATCTCCATGAGCCCCACTAAGCCCCAGAATGCGTCCGCTTCATTCGCCTCGAATACCACATAAATCGGCGCGAGAAGATCCGACATGCCTATCAGGTCAGCACGGATCCGCGCTAGGCAGCAGGAAGAAGACCTACCCTGAACGTATCCCAATTCCGGCGCATAGGTATGATATGTCATCAAGATGGTGCGAAGAGCGGCGATGTGAGCTGAGACTGTCAGCTGCTACCGAAGGTTTCTGACAGACTCGACGAGCTGCCGGCAACTCACGATTCAGTGCCGCCTTTCCGCCCTCTTCTTCCTCTCCCTTGCCATCCCATCCCACCGACCCCGACCCCGCCCCTCCTCCCTCCTTCTCCTCGCTCCCAGACTGCTTGGCTTCGGCAGGTACCGCAAAGATCTTCTGGTTCCTGTCTGTCCGCCTACAGTCCACGTCGATCCGATGCCACTCTTCCCTCCATGCCTCTCCACCTCCTTTCCGCTCATCCACCTCGGTCCTCCATTTTCGCTTCAAGTCCTCATACTCGGCTCTCTTGCGTCCCCTCGCCTTTTCTCTTTCAGTTTTACGCGTCGCTTTTCCTGCTTCTCCCACTCCCAGATCCCCCACATCCCACTTGACGATATCGAGCAGCACCTCCCATGCTTCTCTCCTTGCGCGCATCTCCTCGGGCTCTTCGCTTGTCGCAAAGCCCCGCCTGAAAATCTCGCGGCGGACGAACAGCTCATCCCTCCCTTGCGCGGCGAAAGAGTCCCAGTCGCGCGCTGAGATCGGCTCATCCGGCTTTCGAGTCGGCGCTGGAACAGGTTTCTTCGACCCCGGACTGAGCAGCGAAAAGACGCCCAGAGATCCAGCGAGGCTCTCCTCCCCTGACTCTCCGCCAAGGGTGGCTCGCCTCGCTACTTCCTGCTTTCTGGCCCGCTCGCCTTCCTCCGCGACGACTCGAGCCCAACGGGCCAGGTATAGCCGGGCGCTCTCAAACTCCGAGGCAACATCGTTGTTTTTGCCCTTGCTGCCAGCGCGGATTTCGGGACTGCGGCGACCGGGACCGACGCCCTCGCCGTGTACATTGACCATTGAGCGGACGGCTGGCGGTAGGTGTGGGACAACCGGCTGGGCCAGAGGGTGGTTGAGGACCTCCTGTGCGGCTTTCCGGGTGAAGTTGGTGAGGTTGCTTAAACCCATCATGAGGGTCTGCCTTGGGGAGGCAGTCGACATAGGCGATGATGGGAACTGAGCGACCGGAGGGTAGTTGGGTGCGAAAGCGGCTCCAAAAAGGCCCGAACCCGCTGGTGTAGAACCCCGTCGGGGACCAGTAGAGGCAGCGGTAGCTCTAGCAGCCTGTATTGCTGCTGCTGGTTTCGCAACCGGTATCTCATCGTAGCCGGCCTCGTGGACTTCACGGTCCGACTTTGACGGATTGACGAGCCAGAGCGCCGCACCCTGATTTTGCCGCGGGGTGACAAGACGAGACTGGAGCATACTCGCCCGCGTGCCAAGAAGAGATAGGAAGGGGGGAAAGCCCCATTGTGACCGAGGCTTGGGGGTTTGACCGATGGGAGGGGTCGAAGCGAGCAGAGGGGATTCGTCGTCGTGGAAATAGAGGGTTGGAAGGGAGATACCGCCGGACAGGTTGAACGTGGCCGATCCGTACCAGTGAGACAGGCTCGGCTAGACAGTCAGCCCTTGTGGCGGAATTGACGAAAGCAAGACGTACTGAGTATACCAGGATACTATACAGCTGCGAAACAGGCACCGAGAAGGCGTACTTTTCGCCTTTGGGTGGCGGGATGGAGACGAAAACGAATCCTGTCGGATCAGCCAAGCCCATCTGAGAGCACGAAGACTTACCGTCCTCCTCTTGGTCGGCCTTATCCGCACTCGTCCAGCTATCCACCTTTTGATACCCAGCCCGGTCTCCCTCGTCCATCCGCTGCACCACCTCCTCCGGCACCCAGGTCACGAGCAACTCCTTCCCGCCCGTGCTCCCACCCGAGACGTTCCCCTCGCTGTCCACCGTGCTTGCGCCGGGAGCGTCGACCTCTACTACGCCCAAGTAGCCCTTAATGTTGTCCTTGGATAGACTGGTCGGATGGATAGAGACGTGGCTTTTGCAATACAAGAGTCGAGCCTTCTTGTCATTCCCCGAACCAGCAGAGGTAGATGACGAAGACGATAGGTCCGCTGAGGTGACATGGTGGTAGTCTGTGCCAAGCGAGTTTGTGGAGTTGGGCGAATCCAGCCTCAAAGTGGCGAGGTCCGGAGTAGGCCCAGCGGTAACAGCCTAAGCCATCAGATAATCGACCTTTTTCGATTGCCCCAGAGTCATGAAACACATACCGCCTGCGAGCCGCCTGCCGCTGCCCCGTCTGATCCAAATGTCTCCATGAATCGCATTGCTCTTTTCATCGATAGAAGACTTGGTCCTTCCGGAAATTTGGCCGTCTGAACTGATGTAGTCCTTTTCCTCCTCCAGAGTTATCCCGCGAGAGGCCTATAGTTCGTAGTCCGAGTCTACTGGCGCGTATTTGACTATCTGTACCCAGTGTTGAGGTGTATACAGTGCATGGAGGGAAGATAAGTCAGCCGGAGTCCCTTGTGAGTGGAGAAGGTGGTGGCTGCGGGGCACCGCTTCTGTTTCTCGTCATCAACATCACGTCAGAGTATCAGCCAAACTCAACACCGCGAGACTTCTCACCTGCATACCTTGCCTCTTATACCTCTATCACTCTAGTACAGCCATCCCTGCCATGCCGCCCAGATCGCGCTATGCGGTAGATCCGAGTCTAACGGCGCAAGGGGGCCAGGGGACTCAGCCGAATTATCAGCAGCCCCAACAAGCGGAATACCAGCAGGGTCATCAACAGGCCAATCTGCAGACGGGGTATGACCAACAGCAACAGCAGCAATATAATGGCGCACCGACGCAGCAGCCATCAGGCCCGTACGACTCAACGGCGCCAAGAGAGCGGTCATATGCGGTCCATCGTCCCGAGCCGGCTGTCCAGCCAAATGTGCAGTCGATGCACCCCTCACTCGTTCAGCCCATGAACCACATTCCTCCTCCTCCGCACTCCTCCGGCCCGTCTATCAGCGGACCTCGTGTTCGGATAGACCCCAGCCAGGTGCCGAACCCCGTCGAGGCGCAGGAGATGGACCAGAATCTGTATGACGAGGAGGACTTTCTGAGCTGTCAGACAAAAGGGGTGATCCCTCTTGCCGGGACGGATTACAGGGGTGTAGATCAGGGTGAGCCCCAGCTCAGCTGGATAGAAAGTATGCTGACAACCAGGCAACTCGCTACCTCGCCATCTTCGCGTGACGCTCCCAGTGGCACCGTCCAATTCGCAATTGCTCGATACGACCGCTCTTCCCTTCGGTGTCATTGTTCAGCCGTTCGCGCAGCTTCGATACGATGAAGCTCCCATTCCGCTCGTCAGCAATTGGGTATCAGGGCAGTCCGCCTTTGATCAGCCGCAAATTCAGGACGCTGAGGAGGAAGGCCCACCGCGGTGCGAAAAGTGCAGGGGATACATCAACCCTTTTGTCCGGTTCGTGGACGGAGGTAGAAGATGGGGATGTAATTTGTGCGGTCAGACCAATGAAGGTGAGCTCCTCGGGTCGGCAATTGACGAAGCTGATGATCAGTACATCCTACATACTATTCCTCGATCTCGCCTTCTGGTCATCGGCTCGACCACTCGGATCGGCCAGAACTCTTGCATGGCACCGTCGACTTTCCCGTCCCAAAGATGTACTGGGCAGTACAACCCGCATCAGACGATACAGCGACAGGGGATGGACCCGATATCGCCGCGGCTACTGCATCCCTCACATCGGCAGCGTCCGACATGCTCGGCGGTCTGACTGCATCTTTGGGGCAAACTCCGGCGGTAACGAGGGGCAACAGCCCGGCTCCGGGATTCAAGGAAAAGGAAAAAGAGCGGTTGAAGGCGGAAGCGAGATTGAGACGACCGGTACCTATCTCGAGGGTGTTTGTGCTGGATGTGTCGGACGGAGCGGTCAAGCGCGGAGTGCTGCGGTATGTTTGCGAAGGGATAAGGCGAGGGCTGTACGGGACGAAGCGGAAGTCGGAGGGAGATAGCGAGGATGGCGAAGAGGAGGAAGGTATTGGAGCTGGGGAGAGGGTGGCTATCATTACCGTTGCGGAATCTGTCGGGTTTTGGAATCTTTCGGTGAGCTGCGAAGAAAGCATATTGCAGGTCAAAGCTGACGGGAGTAGGCCGGAAGTAGCGGTCCGAGTCTGATGGTAGTGTCTGACCTGGAGGATATGTTTGTACCGTTGCGAGATGGGTTCTTGGTGGATCCCGTAGAGTCAAGGTGAGTCACGCTGCTTCAGTACGGCCATGTCGTCAATATTGACGCTCGGGGGAGTCGGTGAGAAGTAAGCGGGCAAGTGAGAAGGAATAGGGAGTAACCGGTCAAGTGAGAAGGGATAGGGGAACGAGAGGATCAGAAATACTGTGGACCCGTCGAGACCAACACTGACTGGCAGATCCCAGATCGAAGGCCTACTTAACATGCTGCCGGATATGATGGAGCGACAGTCGGATGGAGGACGTTGCGCTATCGGAGCAGCTATCAAGGGCGCTCTGGCCGGTCTGGTGAGTGCTACATCGACCCAGCTGATGATAGCGACGTCTTGGCGGCCAAATCACCTTCTTCCTCACATCCCTTCCACTGGTCGGACCCGGCAAGTTGACCAGCCGCGACGATCCCACTGTCTACAACACGGACAAGGAGCGCGCACTCTTCACCGCCGCTGACCCATTTTGGCGGAACACGGCCGACGAGATTGCCAATGCCGGGGTCGGCGTCAACACCTTCCTCTTCCCTGACCAGTACACCGATGTCGCATCGGTTGGCGCATTATCGGCAGCCACTGGCGGAGACGTCTTCTTCCACCCCCGTTTCGAGCCGGTTCGGGACCGGGATACGCTATTCGACGAGATCCGCCGTTCGCTCACGACCGAGCTGGTGTACAATGCTACCATGCGCGTCCGGTGCTCCAACAACCTGCGCGTGGGGGAACATTACGGTGATTTCCACCAGCGGAGCTTGACGGACCTCGAATTCGGGACGATTGGCGAGAGTGCGGCGATTGGCGCGGTCATCAAGTACGAAGGGAAGCTGGACGAGAAGGATCTGTGCTATGTCCAGGTGGCGGTGCTGTATACGAGCATTGGTGGGGAGAGGCGGGTACGGGTACTGAACACGAGCATGGGAGTGACTGGGCTGGTCGGGAATGTCTTCAGGTTCTCGGACCTGGATGCTTCGGTCACGCTCTACGCTAAAGAGGGTAAGCACAGGTCTCCACAGGTCGGAGCATAGCTAATATCGTAGCCGTTTCGCTCATGCCTTCCAAGCAGCTCAAGGACATACGCAAGATGTTGACGGACCGGTGTAACCGGGTGCTCTTGATGTATAGGCGGCATTGCGCCGGCGCCACTCAGCAAGGGCAGGTGAGCTAACCTCGACTCATCGGTGTGCGGACGGCAAAGCTGATCATGAAGTTGATACTGCCCGAAACTTTCAAGCTGTTGCCTTTGTACACCCTGTGCCTGCTGAAGAGCAAGCCGCTGAAAGGTAAGTCTGTTGTTGCGCCGATCCGATCACGAGGACGAGCTGACCAGCAGGCGGAACGGTCACCTCGGACGTCCGATCACACTACATGCGCCGATTACGCTCCTATGGCGTCGTATCTACCATGACTTTGCTCTATCCCCGTCTTCTCGCTATCCACGATCTCACCGATGACGTCGGTTTCCCGGCTGGACCGATGGGTAGGCTGAAGATGCCGTCCTTCATGCGTGCGAGCTATGGGTGGATGGTCGCGGAGGGAGCGTACCTGATGAGTGAGCATATTCTGTCCGGATCAACAATGGGCATAGCTGATCTAGATAGCGAATGGTGAGACAGCTATGATCTGGCTAGGAGGTGCAGTCTCCCCACAGGTCATTGATGATCTATGGGGCGTGGACAATCCGGAAGAGCTCGACACCCGAATGGTGAGTCGCCTGTCTCAAGGCGACATCAGCCCAAGCTAATTGGCAGACTCGCCTGCCGAAGCTTCCTACACTGCTTTCAACTCAGATCCGCAATCTCCTCGCCCACTTTGAGCGGATCATGGGTCATCCCTTGCCTCTCTTGATCATCCGACAGAACATGGACGGTATGGAGCTCGAGTACGCCAATCATCTGGTAGAGGATAGCAATAACGACGCGCTGAGCTATACGGACTGTAAGTACTTCCGCCGACCTTTTGAATAGCGACTTCAGCTGATGCCCAGATCTTATGACGTCGCACAAATCTATAACGAACGAAATGTCGGGCGGAGGCGGCAAGGGGGATAGCTGGAGACCTTGGTAGCTGGGTTCTCGCCAGGGTGCATAGTTAAAATGAAACCTAGATTTGATAAGGAACGTAACTGATGACGTCACGTGTTTCGGATAGAAGGCACGAGCGCACGAGGAGAACAAGGAGGCACGAGCGCGTGAAAGGGTCATCCTTCGCTTCTTCTCTTACCTTTGTACATCATCCTTCAATATGCAGTCCATCGTCGTAAGTGCTCCCTGCAATAATAAGGGCTTAGTCCTTGCAGCCAGAGCTGACGAGCAGAACGCAGCTTCGAACGCTCTCAATACCGCCACCAATGCCGCCTCGAGCGCCGCAGTGGCCGCCGGGAACTTGACAGGCCTTACCTCGCCGACCACCACCGCTACCGGTGCTGCTCACAGCCACGCCGAGAGCGTCAAGGCGTCTCTTCCCGAAGATGCTACCGCTGGCGAAGTCAAGTCTATCGACGCGGAAGGACTCGCCGTGTTTGAGGACAAGGAGGTCCGACACGAGGTCTTGGTCAAGATCAACCAGCTCGCCCTGTGAGTCAGGCCTGCAGCGAACTACAACCCATGATCTGATGAGCAGCGACGATGTGAAGCACGGCCTCAAAGAGCTCGCTTCCCTTGACCTTGTCACCGACAGCGGCAAGAAGGGGATCGACGTGAGCTTGCGATTGCATACGGAAGTTACGGCCGACAGCTCATAGTGTAATTCTACCACCCTCAGCGGTACTTTGTCGTCACCCGCCCCATGGGTCTCGACTATATCGGCGAAGTGGAGATTGAAAGCGGAAAGAGCATTCACAGTGAGCCTCACCGCCTCGCTAATACAATCACAGCTGAAACTACAGTCCGCTGTCACAAGGCATCCGCCACCGCTGCACCGCGCTTCCACTCCATCGACACTCGTCCCGGCTCTGAGGGCGGCGCAATTTTCAAGCCCGGCGGCGACCTTCACTGGTTCGACTACTAGGTGTCTTATATCCAGCAAGATCTATGCAGATGATACAAACATGCTCCACTACTGCCATCCATCTCCCTTGCCACCGACCGAGTAGTTCGGATTCGCCTTCCACTTGTGCCCCTTGGCCTTGCCCACTTTTCCCTTGACCGACCGCTTATCACTCCCGGCCAACTCCTTCTCCACCTGCCGCGCCACCACGTTCTTGAGGGAGAGAGGGTTCGTATCCAGCTTTTTGGCCGTCGGACGAGCATGATGCACTCGTGTGCGGGTATACGCCGTAAAGTCAGACTGGGGTGGACCGTCCGAGAGGAGATCTTCTGACGAGTCAGAGTCCGAGTTGTTGGCCTTCTCTTCGGCGGACGGAGGGGAGATGTAGTCTTCGTCGTTTCCGAGCGCCTTGCTTAGGCGCATTTTCTCGAGACGGGTGGATATTTGCGATTGGAATGCGGTCTCGTCGAAGGGTGCGGGTGGGGTAGGGTCGGCTGGTTCTGATAGGTCCGCTTCCTCCTCTGCATTCACTTGATCTTCCTCGCCGTCCTCCTCGCCATCTGCCTCCTCGTCCTCCTCGTACTCTGGGCCTGACAGTGGCATGTCTTGCACCTCGATCATGTACTGGGAGTCAGCTACCTTCTAAGCGGTCCCTCGTCTGACTTACATCTTCGAGCTCTCGCTGCAATGCTCGTCCAAAGCCACTCGCCTCGACCTCCAGATCTAGCCGTAATCGCTTCCCCGCTTTTGGATCCCCCACAGATGGCTTCGGGCTGTCCTCCACGTCCTCCGTCTCCCCTTCGACCGTGGTCTCCTCCCCCGCCCCATTCGCTTCTGCACCATCCGCCTCATCCTCCACTCCAGCGTCCTCCTCTTCCAGGACATCCTTCCACGTCGGCCACGTCGTCCCAACAAAGCCGAACCGCCGAGTGAAGAAACGCCTAATACAGTTGACATCACGGTTGAAGAAGCTGCCATCAGCGCGCGCCTTGCTAAAGAGGAGGAACCCACTATTCCGCATTCTCATGCCTCGTAGACACCATCTGCGGGAAATCAATCACGATAGGCTCTCCGTCTTTCCGCTTGATGAGGATGTTAAACTCGTTAAAGTCGCCGTGGATGAGCCCGGCGTGTGCGAACTCGAGGATGAGGGTCATGAGTTTGGAGTAGAGGTCGGCTGGGTCGGGGACTTTGTCTATTTGGCGGCTGGAATGTCAGCTCTGCTCTGCAGGATACATAGCAGATAGAGCTTACAGGGGATATGAGTCGATGAGAGACATGACAATGCAATGTCTGGCTTGATCGATTGGGACAGGTACAGGGAAGCCATGTTGGTAGAGCACCTAGTCATCAGCTGACTATGCAGCAATGAACACACCTTCATGAACGCAAACTCCTTCTGGGCGGCAAGACGGGACATGTACATCCAGCTCGCCGACTTGCGCTTGCCGAGGTAGTCTCGCTTGGACTTGATGGCTCGGAAAGAGATACGACCGAGACTGACGATCAGCCTGATCCAGTTCAAAGTTGGATAGTGCAGGCTTACCGGTGCAGCTTCAGTACCCTCGAGTCCCTCTCTTCATCCTTGACCACGTAGATATCGCTCTCCTTCCCCACACCAATCTTCTTCCCTACTGACGCCACAGATGGTGGCTTGCGCCTGGAGAATGTCCGCAGAGCGAGGTAGTCGAGTCCACCGTACGTCAACCGGTACCCATCATCTGCAGGATCAGCTTTGCTGCGAGGTGGCAGATTGACGTCCACCTACACTTGGCATTCTGCACCCTAGCCACAAGGTCCCGCTTTGCCAGCGCTCCCAACGCCTTATTGACATTCCCACCTCGGACCGCCGAGATCTCTGCGATCAAAGACGTCGGGACAACCTCGTGGTTCTTCGAGCCTATCTCCACCTGCAGCGCATCAGCGCAGCTCAGTCAAGCGAGCACATGACTTACAGCAGTGAGTACTCGGAACTCGTCGGGGAGCACATATCGCAGGTCAGTAGCATCGAGACGCATGATGTATGCTTGTGTGTCTGTGAAGATGCAGGGGCAGGCGGAAATTTGCAGCGGGGGAGTGGAGGTGGGGGGGTCCCCGCAAAAGAGTTTATATTATCGTTTGTGTAACCCCATATATACTTTGATTCGTACAGCGGTTAAGATTTAATTCTTTGTTAGTACAGTGGTCAGTATATCCGCTTTTCAAGTCAAAAAGTTGCGCGGACGACCCGGGTTCGAACCCCGGACAGAGAACGTTTTGCCTTTTTGCTGCCGTTCTATGCATATTTCGGCCTTATTTTTTGCATCTACGGATAGCTATACTTCCTAGGTACCGTTTGGTGGTGGTTTTGTGCCTTTAGAGTAATTGTAGCATGCAGGAATCGCGTTTCCGTGAGGGGGTCATTTGGTGGAAGAAAGTGTGGCACTCGCGCAGAATAGCCCTTAGCATCGCTAAGTCACGTGCTATCTGGATCGAACGGGTGCAGATCAGTGCCGAGAAGGAGTCCGAAGCTTTGCCGGAGAGAGGCTGGAGAGCCAGATCCGGCATCATGATGGATTGGCATGGCGTGCTCGATGTGCCCGTCTTGGCAGCTGATATCGTATTGAGAGCTGTGTATATGGTCATGAATCTTTCATTCACCTGTTTCTCAGACCACTACGTCTATACGAGAAGTCTGCTTTACGAACTGGTCGAGCTTGTAAGTATCCGCAGGAGGTACAGGCCACCCGCTTGATTGGGTGAAGATGCCATTAGTGAATGGTGAAGTGTACCATGACCGTGTCTGAGGTGGACTTTCTTTGCGTGACAGGAGTGCATTATACAGACCATCATCTCAAGCTCCAAGCACAGACTGATGAATCGCCCTCTGAGGGAGAGACAAGATGAAACGGCCTGAAACACACCGGCTAAACCCGCCCTGACGCGGCGCGCCTCCTGTTTCGAACGCGCGTCTCTGCAGCGCCCCCCACCTCCTCATTCCTCGCCGAGGCAAAAGGATAATTGTGAGATGGTCCAGCCGCCCTCGAAAGGACTTCCGAACCGAGCCAGATATTGAGCGAGTGAACCCGCCGAAGCGAGCACAAGATGAGGCCGCCCCCTGAGACGAATGGGTCGCTGTGCTATGGGCGGAGACCAGACCTAACCGGACTCAGAATGAAGAAGCCTAAACGGTTCAAGCAAGGTAAGTATAGTTTTGTGCATGCTCATCCCTCTTGCGACCTTTCGGCGTGCTTAGGCTAGGCCCCGAGAGTAAGGTTTCTAAACCACACTCATTACCGCCTCATCCGCTTCTGTCCCTGCATTCCTTCCTGCTCACTCCGCTTCCTCTTCTCTGATCTTCCCGTATCATGCGCCGTCTTCCTCCTCTTATCCATCCCTCCTGCGTCATCTGCCTTGCGCTTCTTACTGTATGTCCTTCTCCCGTCTTCCGTCTCTCGCTCTCGGAGGTAGATGCCGAGGATACGACTGGTGAGTACGATGGCGAAGTTGTGAGCGCTGCGGTGGATGGCGGGATCGAGGGGTAGAGGGGGAGGAGGTACACATCCATAATAGTATCTAGAGGGTTCAGCATTCGATCCGCGTAAGATAGTGTCAATATAAGGAGAGATGGCAGTGCTTAGCTCTGTATTCGTTAGTGGTATTGGTGGGGGTACTCCGTCGCGGGGGCTTGGCCGCCCGCGCCGAGTGAGTAGGAGGCGCCGGAACCGGCGATCCTCCTGTTCCCTTACCAAATCGAATCGAGGGCATTCCACAAAGACATGGTGAGTATCGTCAATAGGTGCACCGCATTTGCAGCCGCGGGGCATGGACGGGACCATCTTGTGTCTCAGATCGCCCGAATAGAACATACCTGAGCGGAGGATAAGCTGTGCTTTCGAGGTCGGTCCTGTTGGCGCCTTGGTGTAGAAGTAATCAGCAACCGGTTCCTGGCCGTGGCGGCCGTGACGGTTAAGCCGTCCCGGGACCTGGACGGTCTGCTGACGCAGGACCGACCGAGCCACGCCAGCGTGGAAGCTACCTTTCCAGTTGTCTGGAACGTACCCGGTACCTTTCTTATGCGGTACAAAGCGCCTCATCCATCCAGTGAGAGGGGGCAGCACCGTCGACTTGAGTCCAGAGTGCGCACCTTTAGCTTCCTCGTCCGCACGCTCATTGAGCTTGGAGTGCTCATCTTCTGCTCCTGTATGGGCCTTGACATGCTGGACATCGAGCTTTGCAGACTTGGACTCGGCTATAAGCCAGTTGCGCACTTCATGGCCTGGAAAGTACTTGCCACCTGGCTGCCTGACGCTTGGGTCCTGACTCTGTCTTACTATGTTCATTCCCCCTTTGTGATCAGTGAGGACCAAGCCGTCCTCTATGTTCATAGCTTTACTGATGACATGCACTGCGACCTGAGCAAGGAGCTCTCCGTGGAGGGATGTGGCGTGCTGTTCATTGAGCTTGAACGTCCTTGTCACTGGGCCTACGACCGCAGCTGTCGTGGAGGGGATGCCAAACATGACTTCCTTGTGACTCCCGTCAATCGCCCAGGTCTGTCTTCCCTCGACTGGCATGATGGGAGCGGTGTTGGGAGGGTTGAACAAGATCATCCGGTTGTAGACTGCGCGGCGCGTGACTTTAGAGACGAAGCTGTCCGAGTCCGTTACAGTCAGCATGCCCGGCAGCTCGATGGTCCCTGTGAGCTTCCAGATATCTCTCGCTGCGGCTCTGATGTTGACTGGCTGCGTAGTGTCCCGCAAGACCTGCGATGCTCGAGTTTTGTACTGACTCCAGGTGCAGTCCTCTGTCGCGAGCGGTGATGAGGTGGCGTTCATGATCCGAGCTGCTTCTACGGGGACGCGCTTCTGCTTGAGCGCTTTGACCTGGCACAAGACGTGCTGGGCGCTGAATGACTTCCAGTTCGACCTGTCCGTATCTACCAACTTCATGTCCTGCTCGAGCAGGTACTGTCTCCCTGCTATCCATTCTTGCGGTACCACCCCTTCCAGCGGTCTCGCCAGCTTGGTATTTTCCAGCGGACTAGTGCATGAGCCTGACACGCAGCTAGCATTGGCGAGAGTGATCATTGCCATCCTTCTGAAGCTTGGCATGTGGTGATTGAGACCCCGGATCAGGGATGTAACAGCTAGCTCGCCGTTGATAGCGTCAATAGATGGAAAGCCAAATCCGTGATGGCTGAGCGGCATGGAGAGCAGGGGCGCCTTGACGTATCGACAATCGACCGCATTGAAAACCTTCCTCGCTATAGCTTCGTCGATCTGTTTGGCGGCGGCGGGCATGAGGGGCTGGTACTGAAGTCGGCCTCTGATCTTCGGCAGAAGTAGCGACCAAACAGCCTTCCTGAGCAGCGGTAGCGGCAGAAACTTGTTCTTTGGCATATGGAAGTCATCAACCACCTCCAACAGGTGCTTGAGGGTCGCGGCGGGGTCGTGAAGGTGCGTGCGCAAGAGTGACGGCTTGTCAGTATACGGTACTGTCCGAGAGCCTTGCGGTGTCTGGAACACCTGCTCGACTGGCTTGACTACGGGCTCCGCTCCGATAGTGAAGCATACCGTCTTGTATAGTTTTGTGCATGCTTATCCCTCTTGATACCCTTCGGTGTGCTTAGGCTAGGCCCCGAGAGTAAGATTCCGAACCCCGATCTAATCTATCCCTTCTCCACTCATCTTTGCCTCATTGGTTTCCCTCCTGTACCTGTATCCGCCACATTCCTCTTACGTTTCCCTTATAAAATTTGCATTTATCCTACTGTTGGAAATCCGAGCTAATCAACTAAGGTCTATGGAACTATACTATAACTATCTATTCCCAAGTTACAGATCTAGCTCTCGCCCTCACGAACCCCAGTGATAGCCCCCGTAATAACGCCGCCCACTCCCAGTCTTTCACCCCCTCCTCCCATGCATCCATCTGCTTCTTTGTGTCCTTCTCCATGAACCCCCCGCTTGTCATCACGACCGCCGAAAATTTCCCAATCCCGCTCGGAGCATTCTCCCTCGTCTTCGGTGCCACCGCCCTGAGGTATCTGTCCATCTGCGCCGCAATCTGGTCCCAGATCGGTGTTGTAGGGGTGGATGAGACTGGGTGTTGGGGATCTTTGCCGAAGGAGGAGAGGGCGGATTCGCTGAAGATGGAGTAGACTTTGATGTCGTGTTCCGAGGTGGCCAGACCAGAGCCGTCTGAACCCCAGACCCGGAGATCGTTCCTTCTCAGGGACTCTTCCGTTGAAGTAGGCTCGAGTTCTACCTTGACGCCCCGGACGGACGAGAGGGTTTGGCCGATACCGCGGACGACCATGTTGTGACGGGGGTACTTGCCGTTTCCCTGCTCCCGTGACGTCATGTCCCATCTTGGCCCGCTTCCCTGCTGTGCCAATCACCCTCGAGCGGTCTCTTCCATACTCTGCGTCTCACGGAAGCAGACGCGGACGCTCTTCTCGCCACCCAACTCGGCACCGTCGGGCTCGTCGCCGAAGCCATGTGGGCCGGATTCGGCAAGCCCGGGGAGATCGATAAGCGCCGCTCCTGTCTCGCTCGCTGGGGGAAGTTCAAGGAGCCCTCGGACGCTCGTCATCTCTACAAGTCTAGCTATCATCATCCCCGGACTAGTCCTCGCCTGTCCCTCGACTTTCCCCCATACCAGGCTCGAACCAGGCCCCGCCAGCTGGTTCAGCACCCACCGTGACAGGGAAGTTCAAGGAGCCCTCGGACGCTCGTCATCTCTACAATACCAAGGGCGACCAGCGATGGTACTGGCCCAGCGAGGAGGAACCCCTCTATACCGTCTCCCTCGTCCCCGCCCCCTACATCCCCTGCAACAACTTCGCCACCATCGCTACCTGCAACGTCGGCGGTCAGGACCCCCAGCTACTCGACGACGAGCTCTGGCTCCTCGTTGACCTCTTCAACTCGGACCACGGCTACACGGAAGACAAAGCCCACTACCTCCTTCCTGACGGTCGCATCCTCCACAACACCATCTACGCGGTCTCTTGCTCCTCGGTCGAGCTCGCCGACTTCATCTGCGAACACGAGCAGCCGGTCGGTACGCCCTACGAGTACGCCGTCGTCCTCAACGACCATGGTCTCCAGCCCTCGGCGATCAGGCAGAAGAAGGCTGCTGCTACGTCTCTCGGTGCTATCAAGCAAGGCGTCAGCGGGACGAGCAAGGATCTGGAGGTGATCAAGGGGCAGATGGTGGCTTTCAAGGCCGAGGTCACTGCTAGGGAGAAGAGACACGAGGAGCAGCGCCGCCAGGACAAGGAGGAGGAGACCCGCCGCTGGAACGTCAGCAACAACAACACCCTCGTCCCGCTGACGCCTTGCTTGATAGCACCGAGAGACGCAGCAGCAGCCTTCTTCTGCCTGATCGCCGAGGGCTGGAGACCATGGTCGTTGAGGACGAGCCGGGGCAGCTGCATTGGCCGAGGGCGCCGGGGGAGGGTTGTCGTCTTGGGCGTTGCCGGCCATGGGGTCATCACCGCCGAGAGCTTGGTTTGACATGGCGGGCTGGGCTGGGGGTGCGGTGGCGGTGGTGGTGGGGATAGTTGCTGGTGCAGGCGCGGTAGTGGGCGGCTGGGAGGGGAGGGCCGGTGCAGCTGGAGCAGGAGCGGGGGCAGGAGCAGGAGGCTGAGTGGGCGCGGGCGTGGACGAGGGTTGGGCTGGAGCGTCCGATGCTGGGGGTGCTGCGCTGGGAGCCGGTCGTGACGCGGATGGGAAGGGACGCGGCGCGGAAGCGGAGAGGGGAGATGGGACCGGGGACGGCCTGAGCTTTTTGAGAGGAGCGGGGGAGGGGGAGGGAGGGCTTCCAGGTGCGCTGGTCTTGGTGGCGGAGCGGGGGATGGTGGGCTTGAAGACGAGACCCTTCTTGGGCGTGGCCGTGGCGGGGGAGGCAGCTGGCGCGGAGGAGCTGGTAGACGCGGCGGACTTGGCTTCAGAAAAGTCAGCTGGGGTCTCAAATGGCTCAGTGCGGGGGAGGATGTACCTGCAGGCTCGGGCATGAATCAGCGCTGTGGGCCAGAGGGCGGTCATGTAGGTAGCAGACGTTGTGCTGGCAGAGGGGATGGTTAAGCTGTGGGGTAGATTGGACGATGGGGATGATGAGGACAGGATAAGAGCAGCGAGAGGTTGCTGGGTGAAGGGTAGAGAGGCAAAGGAGAGATGGGGGTGGGCGAGGGAGTTTCCCGCTCTAGCTAATGTATGCAAGGCGATGCGAGAATTTTCCACGGGGCGATGCGGGTTGCTAACCTTACTTGAAGCCGAAGCGAGCAGGAGTAGAAAATCACTCAACCACACACACACAGTATCCCTGACTACCCGCGGTCGCGGCGCTGACACTGACTGTGGCGCTGATAAGCTCGCGGAGACAACAGCGGGTCCAGCAAGGATCTGAAACGGAGGGAGACCAGCCAAAGGAGGGGGGACCAGAGAAACGACGGAGGTGGGTGGAAGGTGCTGGAAGAAACGCGGGAGGGGGTGGAAAATCTGCGGGCTGGGCGGGTCAGTGAGGAGGGTCAGAGGGTGAGCGCGCTGAGTGGGCTTGAGTGAGCAAGAGAGGGGCAGGTGGAGCTGGTGGGGACTGGTATGACATGAGATATGATGAAGATGAAGAGCTGCGGCAGTTGTTGAGACCACCTGATCGCACGTCCACCCTAACGGGAGCAACGACGCACACCTCCCTGATGCAAGCACCAGTTCGGGAATTGAGTCGGCAGTGTTGACCACCTGATCGCACGTCCACCCTAACGGGAGCAACGACGCACACCTCCCTGATGCAAGCACCAGTTCGGGAATTAGGGGCGCAAGATGGGCTGTTGGAGCACCAATCAAGGCAGGGAGGAGGGGGAGAGGGGGTTGTGAGGGTCGGGCAGTGATGTTGAGTAGAGTAGGACCGAGGGTGATGGGCGTGGCGAATCGTGGGAGGAGTAGTTGATGTGGATGTATGGGTACTGGGGTGGACAGCTTGGAGCATGTGAGAGAGACGAGGTGCGGGGCGAGAAGAAGGGGTCGGGTGGTAGTGGTGGATTTGAGGTGTAGGGTAGGGGATTACTGACCAGCTGCTTCCACTCATGCTTTCCTTCCCGAGGCTTCTCCATTGACACGCTTGTGTTCTCTATCATCCATCCCTCTTCAGAGTGGGGCGAGGCTCCGGTATAGACGTATAGGGACGGGGACGAATTGGGCGCGGTATCAAGGATGGCAACAGTCGGGTCGGACATTTGCTTGGCAGAGGACAGAGCGAGGGAGTATGCATGGAGTATGCAGGCGAGCAGGATGATGATGATGAGAGACCGATGCATGGCGACGTTGAGCTGACCCTGAAGTGAAGTGAAGTGAAGTGAAGTATAACCGGGTTTTTTTACCACGTTTCTGAGCAGCAAGGCAGGGTGGATCGCCTCCGGTCCCCTTTCCGACAGGTCATTTGGCATGCATACTAGCTACTCTACTCTAGGCTATGCTACGGCACAAAACGACAGCCTTGTTGAGAGTGATGGTAGTGACGAAAAGACGAGTGAAGGGAACGGGAGAGAGGGAAAGGTGGCGACGGGAAAGAGAAAATTGCAAAGATGATGGGGAAACGAGGAATTTGGGCTGGGGACGTCTCCCTATATACCAGCTGACCCAGATTGACAGACCGGGGGTAAAAGCTGCGTGACCCCCGTTTCGAGACGGGGTGGCGTCGTGTGGCAAGGAGGATTGGGGTGTGTGCGATCATGCCGATACTATCCCGATCATCTCGGCTCGAGTCAATCTGAGTTGAGTTTGGCTCGGGGTCGCCATGACGCGCCATGCGACGGCTTCGTCTGGTCCCCATGCGCCTCCAAAGCGGAAAACCCAAACTTACTAGCGCCCAGCGCCCAGCTTCGACCCTCTCCCTTCACTCGTCCGATCAGATGGGGTTACAGCTATCTCACCATCACCCATCTACTCGCAGTCCACTCATTGTGAAACGCTCAGAAGGAGATCATGTCCAGCCAGTCTACCGCGACTCTCGGTAAGCTCACTCCTCACGCCTCATCGACTGTACAGCAAGGCTGACCATACAGAAGGCCCCCCGCCTCTCGCGAAACCCGAGCGGGAATTCCATCCCAATTTCGCAATCAAACGGCCAGGCGATATCATCCTGCAGGCGGATGACCTCGGAGACTACAACGGGGAGAAGCTATGCTTCTACTTCCGCCGCACCCTCCTCAACGAGCTCTCCAACTTCTTCCAAAACCTTCCCGCCCCGTCCGACCAGGACTTGGTCGACGGAGTCCCCCTCGTACCCCTTCACAACGTATCCAGCCCCGGTCTTCACCTCTTCCTCACCCTTATCCACTCTACGACTCTCCCCCTCCCCCACACCTTCCACGACTCCGGCAACGTTAAACATAACGTTGCTTCCAAGGCCATCATCGACGCCGCGATGATCGGCAAACTCCTCGATACTCCCATCATTCATCGCCTGATCGTCACCGCCCTGGAGGACATCGGGACACGGAAGCCTATCCTCGTATTCGCAGTCTGGGCGATTGGCGGCGTTAAGGGCAGGCTGAGCGAGGCGGCAAAGGCGACGCTGGAGATGGACATCACTCGGACTGAGCCCTGCATCTCCGCTGCAGTCAAGGAGCACGCTCTACTGGCCTGGACAGAACTCCTCGACCTTCATTTGCGGCGGACGACGGCGATGAAACGCTTCGCGCAGTACAAAACCTTCAGCGACGACGCCCTCCTGACGATCTGCAACAAATGCCGCGTGAAACAGACGAGGAATCTGGAGACCGCAAAGGAGCGGTTGGCGGAGTGCAAGACGGTCGACGCTATTCTGCAGGAGTGGAAGGGACCCCTGGGAATAGATTGCTACGAGTGCTGGAGGGCCGTGCGGAGGGTCTTGGTCGCTAAAGTCAAGTGGGTCGAGAGTTTCGCGTCGGTCTATAGCGCTGGCTGGGACCTCACGGAGGCTCGTTACGATTATGAGTATGGTTATATCGGCCTGGACGAGGAGGACGAGGAGAAGGAGGACGATGCGTATTTTCCGTAGCTAGCCAGCGGAAGATGGTATGAAATCAGCTCTCATGACTCTAGCACAGATCAACCGAGGTTGTCCCGCTACGCCAGTGCGCATTCATCCCGGCCCGTGTTATACACATTGGATCGTCAACTATTTTACCTTTTCGTCTACACCTTCCGCGTTGCCCCCGAGCTGACCAGCCTATCCATCAACGCCTGTAGCCTATCCTCCACTCCCTTGCCACTCCCCGGCTCCCCACTCTGCGTACTGCTCGTAAAGCTCGCCGCGCTCGGACTTGCACCTGCCGCCCCGATGCCCAGTCCTGCATTCCCGCCAATACTCCCTCCGCCTGGCCGCCCGAACCCGCCCTGACGAATGTGCTTCTGTCGCTTGGGACTGAAGCCGCCAGCGGGAATGTTGTTGGTTCGTGCGATGATGATCGGCGAGGGCGCAGCTTTGCGAGGGGGAGAGGGGGCGTCTTCGAATTGGCCAGGAGCGGCGCGAAGGGGTGAAGTAGAAGTAGAGGGATGGGTGGTGTGCGTGGGGTCTGGGGAAGGCGGAAAGAAGTCGATCCGGCCCTTGTTCCCGCCGGGGTCGCGCGAGAGCTGGTCGATGAGGTCTCCAATATCGGTGGGTGAGGTGAAGTAGAGCTGCCTCGTCAGCCTGGACCAAGTATAAGTAGATGAGACTTACATTGGTTTCCGGTCTGACAAGAGGTGGCTCTGATCCCCTCTCGCGGTGCCTCAGCTGAAGCGGCGCCACTGACCCCTTCCATCCATTCGCAGCTGCCACCTCGTTTGCTTCCGAGACGAGATGCGAGGATGCGTAGGACGTTTGACGAGAATGCTGACCGCCTTGGGTATAGTCGCTCTCGTCCGCCTCGTCGTCTCGTAAAGCATCGATCACTCCCCAAACGACTCGTCCATCCTCGTATTCCCTGAAGAGTCAGCTAAGTCATGACCGCCAGAGTCAACACGTACATTATCTCGATGCCCTTGTTCCCTGGATTGCTCCCATTATCATCTGCGTTCCCGTACAGGTCGTACAGCGACCCGCCAGACGTATCGCTTGCCCCAACATCCCCCTCTTGTGCGCTGAGGGGATGCAAGAAGCCCAGTCCCGCCGTCTGCCCCTCGCGTCCGACTGAAGCATCGGTACTGATACTGGTCTGACTCGTCTGTCGGTCCCGCAGCGAGTCACCAGCTACAAGCCGCTGATCCTCTTGCGTGAGCGGAATCGGCTTCCGGCGGGTGGACGGTTTCCGACCGAAACTGATATTTGTGGGGGAGTCGAGATTGATGTTGGGGCTAGGATTGGGATTGGGAGAGCGGTTGGGCTGGGGGGTGACGGGCAGAGCTTCTGGGAGGAGCAGCGTGCGCCGGACAATCTTGTTTCGAGATTCGGCGGGTTCCGCTCCAGCTTCGTCCGGACGCTTTGGCGCTAAGCCCGCCTTGCTCTTTTTGCGAGATAGTGCGCGGAAAATCCCACCACCTGCGCCCTTCTCCTTCTCCTCTTCCACCTCCTTAGCCTTGGCAGCAACAGCGGGCATGGACGCCATGGTGGTGCTGGAAGGCGTGAGGGGTGATGGCGAAGCGACGCTGAACCCGCTTGTATTGGCTTGCGAGGCAGCCGATCGCGCACTCCCGGTGGTTGTCGATCGCTGGAGCATCCCGTTGGCGAGCAGCATCTCGTGCAGCTGGGCATCGTTGAGCCCGACAGCCTTCCCGGCGGCGATAAACTTGGCCATCGCCGAGTCGTCCGAGGCGGTAGGTGCGTGCCCGCTGGCCTTGGTGCTGGAAGCAGTCGACGGAGCGGTGGAGGATTGAGAAGCCCCCTGGATAGGCGATCCCGAGGCAAGCAGGTTCCCCACCTCGTCGCTCTTTCCCCGCCTGAACTTGCCCATCATCTGCCGCAACCCCGTGGTCGGATTGGCCGTACCCGGTGGCGAAGTCAGATCCGACCTGGTTCCGGTGCTGGCTCCGCTGCCTGTAGACGGCATCGTGGGCATGATGGGCCGGTCCGACGCCGCAGAATTGGGAAATTTGAAGTCCTTCAGATCGGCTCCCGGGGCGGGCATGATCACCTGCTGGCCAGCCGACAGCGCGATCGGCTCCTCCAGCGTTTTCAGATTAGGGCTGGTCGATGCGGATGTCGCTTGTGGCAATGGAGGCGAGAATATCTCTCCGGACGAAATACTCGGTCCCTTCTTCCCGAAGCCTAGCTTCCGCCACCGCAGCGACATCTTCTTGGAGGATCCGCTGGCATGCTCCAGCGCTTTGGCGGTATGGGTGTCGACCGCCATTTCGGGAGAATTTGGATCAAGGCGTTTCGATGCCAGATTGACCGAGGAGGACAAGAGGCGAGGCGTACCAATGACCATCGGCCCTTTTCCGGTCTTGGTATTCTTCCTCTCCAGCTTTGACCCGCTGCCTGATGTAGGCGTCCGATGGAGAGCAGCAGTAGCGGCTGCTATCCGCGCCTCGAAATCCCGGATCTTCTCGGGATCGTCTCCTGGGGTGGTAGTCTTTCCTGACCGAGGTTGACTCCCGCTCCCCTGCGGACTGAGGTCCGTCCGAGGGGTGGAGATCTCATCATGCGCCTCCGAGGGTGCGGCTGCGGGCGGCGACGAGGTAGGAGGAGGTGGCGCGGGACGACGATCAGTGATGGTGGGTACTGCGCCAGCGGCAGCTATCGGAGTGATGACATTGCCGAGCTGGACGGGTGATGTGGGAGTTTCGCGAGGTGCAGAGATGTCCGGGGTGGTGGCGCGGTAGGTGGGAAGGGGAGGTGGCGAGAGCGCGCGGGAGGCCGGGAGGGGTTGAGGGGACATAGCGCGAAGGTCCACCGGGAAGGATCTTGAAGCGGTCACTTGCGGTACCTGACTGTCAGCCGGGTCCCGCGCACGCTGCAGCAACTTACCGGTGAGAAAGATCTCTCCGCCATGGCACCCAGCAGAGCCTCCCTTTCCTCCTTTGCTCGATCCACCAAGCGCGTTTGCATCTCTGCAAACTCCTCCTTCTCCATCCCAGTCAACGTCCGCAGCTCCCCAATCTGCTCCTCTGGAGTCATCGGGACGTCCGCGAATGAGCTGAAGCCCCCCTCCCCGCTTTCGTTGGACCCGTGGTAGCTCGACCCAATGGAAGAAAGGGAGGCTGCTCGTCTCCGTGGGTCCAGACCCAACGCAGTAGTGTAATCTTCCGGCGCTTCGGGGTACGAAGAGATGAACCCCTGTTGAGATGGAGCGCGAGCGATCTCGGGTCTCGATCCGGGATGAGGACTGTGGAGAGACGAGCCGATAGAGTCGGACCGAGAGGTAGCGACGCTCCGCCGGCTGGGTACCTCCCGTATACGGACTTCTCCGGAGCCTCTCTCGTGCTCATCCGCCTCGGCAATATCATCTCTGGAGTTCGCCATAACGAGTGGCGAGTTCGGCCTGCGCACGCCTCGCTGCGAGAGAGTATGCGCTACTCCCCGCTTTGAGGGATACCCTGAGCTCGAAGATGGCTGGGAATGGCTCGAAAGTGGGGGCGAGAGATTATTATTGGGCGATCCGCTCTGCTGGACAGACTGAGACCGTGCCAGTGAGGTGGAGCGGGTCGCTACTGGGAGCTGACGACTAGGCGAGGGGTTCGAGTCCGACCTATTCCGTCCGCCGTTTGGGGATGATGAGACATTGGAGCCGCCGACCCGTTGAGTATGCGGATTTGTAGGTGTGGCGGAGCGAGACGAGCTCGAGTCGTCGGACCGGACCGAGCCTGATACTGATCCGACTGGTCTGGGCTGACCCGGAATGTACCTTGGTATGGATGACGCGACTGGAGAGGCCGAGTCGGTGGATAAGGAGGAATTATGGCGGACTGGCCGGGATTTTGTAGGTGTGAGGATAGGGACTGGACGGGTCGCCTCGGCGATGATGAGGGGTTGAGTGGGGACGGAAGGTGTAAAGTTGGGCTGTGGAATAGGTGATGAATCGGTATGGGATGGAGTGATGTGAGCCTGAAGATCCCTTGACTTTGGAGATGCGGGTATAGGCCGTGCAGGCGGTGATGATGGCTCTGAGGGCGGCTGGATCGCCGTCGTAAAGCTGCTCGTGGTAGGCGAGACGTGGTAGGGGAATACCGAGGAAGATCCGGTCGAGTGCTCCGAACCCTCCGACCGAGCGTTCGAGAGGTAGCGATGCCGCTCCTGTGACGGGCGAGTCGAGCTCTCCGGTTCATGCAACGTTTCCTCCTCGTCCTCCTTGACTCCCATCGGCACTGGCCCGCCGCCCTTCTGCAATCCCTGGCCAATTTCTACCAACGCTGCCGAGATGCGCCTCATCTGCGCCGGAGTCAAGCCTTGCAGCATCGACTTGCGCTGTTTCTGCGGCCGGCCAACACTTGGCTCGTTCGCTGGTACCGGTGGCAGCGCGGCGCTTGGTGCAGGCTGAGGTGGCGGCAGGTTCAGCGAGAGCGATGAAGAAGGTGAGTGATGCCGCTTCGCCATACCGTTTGATAGCACGGGCGGACTAGCGTACCCCGAAGTTGGTGTAGCGGTCCGATCCGACCCTGTTGGCGAGCCCATCCCCTTCTTGCCTTTTGCCCAGTACGCATTCGCCTCTCCGACCGCGATCTGCGGCAGCTCTGGCCTACCCGCCGTGTCCTGCGAGTCATCCGACCGTATGCTCATACTCCGGCTAGTCGACCCGCTGAGATTCCGATTAGAAGCGCTCTTCTTGACCCGGCGAATATAGTCGTGATCCCTCATCCCCGACCCGCCAGAGAAACCGTACGATTTTGTCCGGATGGCGTTCCGCTCGTCTGTCGGACTGGAGCTGACGCCAAAGGTAGCGAAGGAGTCAAATGAGGTAGAGGTCGGTGGGGGAGAGATGACGGGCGGGGAGGAGGACATGGATGATGGGGAAGCCGTACCGAGGAGGTTGGGCGTGGACGAGGAGCTGGTCATGCCCGAAGAAGAGTATCCGCTCCGATATCGCCGAGACTCGTTCTCCGAAGCCGAAGACGCCAGGCTTGTCAAGGAAAAGGCAGATGGTAATGGCGGCTGACCTTCCCATTCGCTCGAGTCGCTCAGGGGTGACAGGGCATACTTGTTCTTGTACGCCTCGATGTCCTGGAGCTCTGCAATCAGGAGCTCCTCTTCTTCCTCCGTCAAAGCCGGTCCGGCACCGCCACGCTGGCGCTGGCTGGCGAGCTCGTCTCGGAGTGAGCTAGCGGGTATGGCGGAGAGCGAAGGCAAGAGGATGGAGAAGCGCTGTGATAGTCTGATAGTCAGCTCCACCCACACCCCTTCAGTGATACACTCACCCTGGGAAGATCAAGGAATTCCGATAGTCCAGCTCCAGCTTTGGCGCCTCCTTCATCGCTGGACTGGCCCCCCTACTCGGCCTCTCCTCCACATTGTCCACTCCCTTGCCCTTCTGCTTCTTCCTCAGCAGCGCCGCCTTCTCTGGCCATACAGGATCGCTCGAGAAGGAGTTGGAGCGGACCGGGATACCATGTGCTTCTTTGGTCGAGACTGTGCGTTTCCTACGTGGTCAGCTTTCGCTCTCTGCGAGTGATGAGGGGTATCCGAGCGCGAGTGGAGCGTGTGAGCTGTGCAACATACCGGAATAAGCGATCCATGCTGGCTGATTCGCCCCAGAGATACCTTGACACCTAGCCAATATCCCTCCTGCTACCTCCTCGGGCCCAATCAAAGCCCTAGATCCTTCTGCACAGCCTGTGAAGTCTGCTTGAACGTGTCCGAATGATGATGTCGTGATGCTGCCAGATTTATGTGGCTTCCTGGCGTCGTACAGCTCGTGAGGTCGTCCTAAGATGCGCGGTGCCCGAACAGAAGGTCCAACGCGTGTATTGACCGAGATGAAGAAGATACAAAAGCAGAAGAGCGAAAGGAAGTCGAGCTGTGCCAGAGGATTTTGTTGTCGACAAAAGCAAGTTGGCGCGTCTCGTGATTCAATTTAACCCGAGCTATTGAGCAGTGTCCTTGACACCTTTGGGAACGAAGTGAAGCGAGTAGGGGATGTCTCCGCTGTCTGTGACATCTACGCCCTTGAGAGCAGTGCAGAGGATACATGCATAGTATATTGCGCTGATCGCGCGAAGCCCCCAAGACCTCGAGCTCGACGACGTCTCCTCCACCTCCGAAGTCCGTGTGACCAGCGACTCGTCGCTTCAGGTACCGCTAGGCTGTTTCGAAGTGGTCCATGTCTCACATGAAAAGACGCCATTGGCCCGTCCATTCCCCAGATCTCTCTCCACCGGCCGACCAGTCTCATCTCACCTCCACCACCCGCTCCGCCCGGTCCCTCTCCAGCGCCTCTTCCAGCGTGCGTATCAGATCCCTCACCCGGTCCACCGCCACCCGTACCACGCCCATGATCTCGTCAGCCGCCAGTGGTGTTCCGCCCGCCTTTGATAGGACGCAGAGCTCACGCTGGGCATTGAGGGTGAGGGAGAGAGTGCCGGTCGCGAGGACGGATTCGAGGTGGGTAGGATCTAGTATTGGGGGAAGGCTGCGTCGTCAGCGACCGGCCTGACAGTATGACGAGGAGGTCAGTGATATGGCAGATGGAACTTCGAGACCTACTCGGGGTAGTAGGCGAAAGAAACGCATAACGGGGTATGATGTATCGCCAGCAGTACCGGCGCTCGCTCATCAGGCGAGTGCTGCAGCATCAGCATACTCCCGTTATGCGCTTTCGGCCGTAACAGATCCCAAGCCAAGACGTACCACTATGACCTCGTCTCCCAGGACCTCTACCTCTGGTTTTCGGAAATGTCGCAGAGCACCCATAGCTGCCAGTGCTGCTGCATCCAGTAGGTTTCCCTCGTCCGCGAGGAAATGGAGTGATAAGCGCAATTGCCACACCTGAAATGATCAGCCTGATACCTTCCAGTCATCCAGCAGCTGCTAAAGCGCTCCGAGGAGTGATGGGTCTTACCTTTTCTCCCGCCAGTATGCACAATGCCTCCCTATCGACCGCTTCCGTTCGTCTTATGCTCTTCTCGAGAAGGCGCGTGATCATGACCTCGTCTTCGCTTGATCTGCCTGATCAGCTCTACGATGACCACCCAGCCTATCTTGCTAGAGCAAACGTACCTTCCCGCTTCGTACAAACTCGAAGCCATAGGCGAGATCTCAGAGTTGATGAGCAGGAACCCTTCATATGGGCGATCATCTCGAGGCTTGACTATCGTAGCGGTGATCTGAGCGAGAACTCTACAAGGTCATCAGCTACTACCTCAGCAGTCAGTATGTCTGACCTACACTGTATCGCCCAAATGTACCTCGCACGATCCCAACTCCCCTCTGAATTCGATCCGCACCTGCCGCATCTCAAGAGGTAAACGGCCATCGAGCCGTTTCCCCTCTGCCAAAGCAGCGAGCAGGAAGTCTCGCTGGATAGTTGGTGGTTCTATTTCTCGGGGCATGTTGAGCTGTCCCTGTGAGGAGGTCTAGTAATTAGTGCTGGCGAAGATCAGACACCAAGAGAGGGAGAGAGGTGAAGAAGATGATCGCATCATGGCTTCGCTTGGTAGTGGAAATTTCGGCTCCGACGGAAGCACGAGGTCAGCACCAGAGCTTCTGCGAACCAAGACTCAAGTACTCAAGAGTCAATCGCTCTATGTCTTGCACAACCCATACGACCGGCATGAGATTGACCATCACCACATGACTGATGTCCAGAGCCTCTATCATACTGGAAGGAGATAGAATGAGACTGCCTCGCAGACCACAGGCGTCTGTGCGCGACAGTCCTTTGAGCCGCAGGTTGACTGACCATCTACGCACACCTCCTCATTCCTTCCTTCACTCATCCCCCCACTCATCTCACTCCTTTACTATACAGGCATCTCCCGAATTAGGCAAGCTGCCAAACAAGAAGATTCTATCCCTTCGCCTGCCTTCGACATGCTCTGCCGAAAATGACCCAACCTTCTCCCGCCTTCCGCGATAGCCTATACTCCACCGACTCCACAACGACCTACGCCTCTACCCTATCATCCCTTACTTCATCCCTCGGCCTCACTGAATCGCCACTACCTCCCGCTAAGAAGACTATGGCTGTCCTCGAGGACGTACGGGACCGGAGCGAGGACTATCGCCGGCAAGCGATGCTGTGGGGGTCCAAGTCGCGCGGGGATCTCAAGACTGGTGGAGGAGTGTCCAAGCGGGTCCAGTCGATCGAGAACCTCAGACGGTCCGAGCGGCCGGCACAGACATCGCAGGCGAAGGAGAGCGGGTTGGGCGGAGATACGCGGAAAGAGACTATCACTCAACGTCCTTCCTCATCTCAACTTCGGAACCGCCCTTCATCGTCGCAGCTCAGCTCCGACACCACTCAGTCCCGCACCCCTCGTCAATCTCAGCCGGTGATCGAGCGGGCGCAGGCGGCAACCGGACCTGCTGTCCCTCCAACCAAAAATCAAGTCGCCATGCCCAGGCGCCGTCCTCCTCCTCCGGCCGAAGCCACACTCCGTCCCCCTCAATCGCAGCACCCGCCCGCTTCTCTAGCGCGGTCCGAGTCGACCATGGCGGAAGACTGGGAGGCGGAGCTCATTCGCGATGCTCAAAAATTGCAATTGCGTCCTCCCCCTACGGCCGTGGTCACGAGGCAGCCGTCCAGGGAGCAGGTCAGGCCGTCGGGAGAGCGGGACGAGTGGGAGATGGCGGCGATGATGATTGATAGGCGGGAGACGGGGAGAGATACGGAGGAGACTATGAGGCGGGGTGCAGCTAGGGAGATCGGTATGTCAACTTCGTTCCTCGTGGTACTGGCTGACTCTACAGCCTATCCACCGGCTATGCCACGCCTGGCGATTCGCGCTGCTCCTACAGGCGTCACTTCCATCCATGTCGGCGTCCGTCCCCGGATCCACCCTTCCCGGACCGAAGAATCACTCTCGCGAAACCAGCCCGACGCGCACCTCCCCGAACCCCTCTTCTCGCCTCACCCATCTCAAGCCCCACTCGCTTCCCCGTCGGACGCCGGATCAGGCGACGGCACCGTTCGCGGCAGCTACAACACAATGTACAAGAGCGAGCTCGCCGAGAAGGCCAAAAAGGAGTATGAGGACTGGCTCGCCAAGAAGGCGGATAGAGAGGGTGGAAGAGACGCGGATGGCGGATACGGAGTACAGGAATGGGTCCCGCGGAATCGGAAACAGGCGAGGTTCGGCGAGCTCAATCAGCCGGTCTCGATACACCCGGATCCGGTAGAAGCGGCTGCGAAGCTGGGGATGGGGATGGGCATGGCTGGATATGGCCAAGGTCAGGATGGCATGGCGGGGTACGGACAGGGATACGGGTATACCGGCTATCCGTACCCTGTGCAGCAGCCACAAGGCGGACAGCAGGCGATCGGCGGACCGCAATACGAGACTCAACAAACGCAGCAAGTGGCTGGCGATCCCGTCCAGCAAGGCCATGGCGAATACGATCCCAACGCCGACCCTTACGGCTATTGGGACCAGATGGCATATTGGTGGGCAATGGCGCAGATGGGCATGTTGAGTATGGAGGATATGCAAGCGATGGGGATGGGCGGAGGTATGGGAATGCAAGGAATGACGGAGGGTCCATCGCCTATCACAAGCGAGGGGAGCAGCACGCAGGGTTCTTCAGAAGATGAGCAGACACCGTAAGCTCATCTTGACGGGTTTTCGAGACAACAGCTGATCTCATAGGCACATTCGATTCGCCAAGTCACCCGTCAAGGACAAAGGCAGGGCCAAGCGTCAGCCCTCGACGACCGACATCCAGCAACAAGCATTACTGCAGCAGCAACAGCAGCAGCAGATGCTGGCCTATCAGCAACAGCTTCAGCAGTACGGTCAAGAGATGTACGACCCGTAAGTATAACTTTCCTGCCCATCCTTTCCTCCCGTTTCTTTGACCGATTTCGGCCGTCCTTTGCCCCTGGTAGCTGTCAACCCCTTTCGGCCCTGCCCTACACCTTCTCTCCCTTTCTCTCGGCTCAGTCGCATCCGGCGATGAACGAAGCGGCGCCCTTCTCTTCTCTTTTACTCTTGAATCTTGGCTTGGGCTGCTTCATCTTTCCCTCTTTGCCCGCTTCTCCATTATTTTGGCCCTCATCCCCCCTCTCTCCCAAGACTTAAGATCTGCGCAAGATGGTCCACTGGGGAATGACACCACCGCACCACCATGCCGATCTGCCCGGCGGGGAGATGGGCATGGGTGCAATGGGCGGGATGGGTATGGGCTGCATGGGCCAGATGGGGACGGCCGGACAGGGGATGGGTGGTATGGGCGGCATGGGCATGTATCCTCAGCCCAACCCTCATGGTCGGATTGATCATGGCGGTGTGGGCTTTGGGCTGGGTGGCGGTCAGCAGGGAATGGGTCAGATGGGGCAGATGCCGCAGATGAGCATGATGGGGATGCCTATGGGTACTCGGGCGGGTGGCATGGGTCTGGGAGGTATGGGAGGCATAGGTCAGATGGGTCAGATGGGAGGATATGGCGGAATGGGTATGGGAGGAATGGGAGGAATGAGCATGGGTGGTATGCCTGGCATGCAGGGCATGGGTCAGATGGGTATGGGCGGAGGTATGGGGGCAATGCTAGGAATGGGAATGGGCGGGATGGGCGCTCAGGGCATGGGCATGGGCATGAATCCTGGGATGGGCGGTATGATGGGGTTGGTCTTGTCCTTCTTCTCCCTCTACTCTTTGCTTTTGTTCATCTGCCACTTGGCCCCCTGTTTTCTGTCCTCACACAAGTCGTGGTTTCGCTGAGCACCGCCACACCCATCTCTTGGTGGGGTCAACCCACAATGGTGCTGCTGGGGCATGCGGGGGAGCTGAAAGGATGCGCCTTGTCGGGCGGGGCGTTCGAGATGGATCTCGAGACCCGATTCCCACCTACCACCCCTGCCATTGCCCTTCATCCCACTAGAGCTATAGCTGATACAACATCTCCTCCTCTCACTCCTCCACCCCGCATACATCACTCATCATTACACGCCCTCATCGTCGCCCACCTACCCCTCGGCCCGACCGCAAACTCGCTGTCCCGCCTTCGGAACCCTCCATTCCTCTTCCTTCGCCTCCTATTCGCTCCACATCCCGATCTGCGCGCACACCACCCGCTCGCCCGCCCGCTTCGGTTCGCTCGCGCAGTCAAATGGGCATGCAGCATGGGCAGATACCGAATCAAGGAGGCTACAACCCGTACATGGCCGCTGGGATGGGGCAGGGGATGATGGGTCAGCCAGGGTTCCCGCAAGCTCCGTCCGGTGCCCCATCTATGGTCAGCGCCCAGTCTCAGCAGATGCCGATGGGGAGTATGAGCGGAGGAGCCGACCTCAAGGCGTTTGACGCGGGAAAGATGAAGGCTGGCAGGCTGGGGCATTACGGCTACCTCGAGGGCAGAGGTGAGTTAGGTTCTCTCCCTTTCAGTGGCGAAGATGCCAAGCACGCCATCTATGAAGGCTACTCCGCTGCTGTCCTTTGTCCTTCGACCCTACGACCTTACACTAGCTTCAGCTGACACGTACAGAGCTCGCGGGTCCACCCCCAGGCTACCTCCCCGCGGGTGTCAAGCCTGATCAACTTCCCCAGTCCTCTCAGGCCTCCGCACCTCCACAGAGTCTCGGCGCTGGCGCATACCAGCAGTCCCACGCTGCTTCGCAGTATGCCCCGACGCAGTACCAGCAGTCGCAAGCTCCGACGCAATACCACCGATCCCCGACTCGGCAGAAGCAGCAGCAATCGCCGACCCGACGCTCGCATGCCCAGCCGCACTCGCACTCGCCCAATCCACCCCGGTCACCCGGGAGCGTCGCGGGCAGCCAGGCGCTGAGTCTCAGCCAAAGTGCGTGGGGGAATCCGAACGACATGCCTCGGGCGAGATACGATGGCGGTACGTCCTCTTTCTCTAGCTGTGACGAGACGAGGCTGACATTCAGCGAGCAACGCAGGACGGATGATCCAGGCCGATATGGACACGCCGTACCCTCGCCTCAAGTCCGGCGGGATGTCGTCCGGTGCGACCCGATACGACGGCCGTCAGGAGCCCATCAATGGGAATGGCTACCGTGACGCGTTTGGGTACATGGAGGGAGGGCAGGCGTCCGCGATTGATGGGAGGTTGGGTAGGGGCCATAGGAGGATGCGGGAGGGTAGAGTCTGAGGGACCTGCAGGATGCGAAAATGGAGATGTGAGATCTATGTACTGTAATCTATCGCAGCTAGTCAAACTACCATAATCATGTTGTGTATAGGGGCTCCAACTGTGATGTAAACATGCTGCACTGTGACATGTCTGAGCAAATCTCATAGCCTTGATGCGGAGCCAATAAATGCTACATAAGTGATAAAGTACAACTTGCTCCGATCACTAATTACCGCCTGTGCCCGGGACTCGGCGTCCAGCTCATCTCCCCGACCTTCTTGCCCTTCCCGCCCGATGCCATACCCCACCCACTCCCCACTTCCATCGCTGCGCCTCGATTCCGCCCGCTCGCCCCTACTTTACTTCCCGACGTCGTCATAGGGCTCCTTCCCAGACTACGCTCCAACAACCTCTTCCCCGCCGGGGTCAGATGATCCCTCTTTGGTGTGCTCGACGGCGGGAGCATCTGGCCCATACCTCCCGGAGTGGCCATCCGAACGCCTCGGGAGCGGTCCGCAGCCGCTTTGAGCGTGGAGGAGAGGGACGATCCGCTCGGCCTTGGTGTGTAGCCCTTGGCACGCTCATTCATATCCTTCGACGCCTTGTTGCCGAGCCGGCGGCCGATCTCGTCTCGCCGTTGATTGGCAGGAAGGCGGAAGGACCGGCCGGTATCGAGCGGGTCGTCACTCCCGTCCAGGGCTTTGGGGGTCGCGAGGAGGGTTCCCCATGTAAGGAGGGATGGGAGGTCTTCTGGCGCAGGTGACGGGTCCGCGGCGACGAGGGCATAGTTGTTGATGGTAGGCATACCATCCTCGGAGCCGCTGCTGCCGCCGGGATGGTACGGTGTGCCCTTGACGGCAGCAGCGACCCAACTCCGGGCGGGACTGCTTCCCCGCCGCGTACTGCTTGTGCGCCCTCGACTAGCGGGTCCGACCTCGTCGTCATCCGGCAGACGAGTGTTGGCGTGTGATATAGCGGGAGGAGCTGACCGGGTAGGCGCTGCTTTGCTGGCTTGGGGTTTGGGGTAGGGATCCGTATTTGCGTCGGCGGCAAAGTAAAAGTTGTTCCGGGTCTGCTGATCAGGCGTGACCTACCATCAGAGAGAGAAATGCTAACCTTGTACCCCCACAAATCGGCTCCGCTACCGGCCATACCCAAATGTTCCCTCTCCTCGTCTCCCATGATGACCCGCTCAATCAACTCCCTGCTTTCCTTATCGCCAAATCCGCGTCCACGACCGTCACCTCCGCCGCTCGTCACTTCCCGCATGGGCACCAACGCGCCATCCTCCTTCGACACCAAGACGGTAGTGGGGAGCCCGGCAGCGGTGAGAGCTCGACCAAGCGGCGTTTCCGCGGGAATGGCCTCTTCGGTGTAACTGTCCGTGCTTGCTCGTGATTGTGATCCGGCGGCGTCTTTCGAGGTGATGAGTGCTGACGAAGTCGATGACGAGGCATGTGGTACAAGGGCTGATGATGCCGCTCCGCCCTCGACCTCAGCGTCCGCCTCGCCACCAGTGACGAGCTTCAACTCCTCCTTCCACACCTCTCCCTCTGCTCTGTCCCTTCCTCCCTCGGCCAGACCGCCTATCAGACGCTTTCCCTCGGCATTGACCCTCCACTCTCCATTCGTCGCAGTATCGAGGATCATCTTTCTTCTCGCCTCCCCTTCCAGCCGCCTCTCCTTTGCCTTTCTCTCCACCTCCCATGCCCATCCCCATCTATCCTCCCGGCGCTGTTGATTCTCCTTATCGACAATCTGGACGAATGACGCGTTGTCCTCCGAGGTATAGTTGCGCTGGAACGCATCGAGGGTGAGGTCATCCCTGACTGTGTCTGGTGCAGGCTGTTTCCGCTTCTTCTTTGGCTGAGACGGTCCAGGCGTCTCGCCAGCGCCATCGAGCTCGTCAAACTCCTCCCCTCTCCGCCTTGATGACTCTCCCCTGACGTCTGGCGTGTCCCAGCCTCTTGCCCCTATAGGCGTCCGCGCCGCCCGCCTTGACCCGCCTCCCGGAACAGAGATGTATGGTGTTCCCATATTCTCCAGTTCGCGCCGCCTTGCCTCCTTAGCTTCGCGCTCCTCCTTCTCCCTCGTACCGCTAGGTCCTATACGCCCAACTCCATCCTCCTTCTCCTGAGCGAGCTGGGCCAGCCGCCGGATCGAGGAAGAAAGGAGTTCTGGGTCGTTATTCGTCAAGGCGGTAAGGTAGGCGTTGGTAGCGTGCACATGAGGAAGGTTTGGGAAGAAGTCGCGAGTGATGATGTGGGAGAGGGCATCGGTATACGTGTCTTCCTAAATGATCAGCTGCGGTTCGTGTTGCAGAGAGAGGGGCTGGACATACATCGAGGACTCGCTGCTGGTACAAACTCCGTTGACCGACTCGAGGCCCTTCGATGAGCTTCGGGGCCGGACCTGTTCTTGGCCTGAACGTTGAGGCTGGCGGAGGGTCCATCGCTCTAACCTCTCTGATGGATGCAGGGTCAAGATGCAAGGCACATGAGAGCTCGCTGTTGCAGCCTTGGTTGCAGCGATGTCTGGCCTGGGCCTGGCGGCGGTCCCCGCGCGTCCAACAGGAATGTTGCACTTTCGCCACCCGGTGATGACTGCGGTGGGTACTGTGATATCTGAAGCTGCAGCAAGATTGAGATCGATGCATGCCTACTGTTCGCCCTTCTTCTTGATCATCATCAGTATCAATGGCCAGCCAGCCTCTATCTCCTTCGTGTCCTCCCCAACACCCGCCCAAATCTCCTTGACCACCCTATCCACAATGTCCCCCTCCTTGCCCTTCTTGGCCAGATCATCGGGATGTTCCTCATGGTACGAGTGGAGAGCCGACCAGGTCCGAAAGTACCCCTCCAGCTGCGACTTGGTGAAGGTCTTCTTCATGAGCCATTCTTCCTCCTTGCCCTCGGCCGAGACGTCCGCCCTGAGCCGGATGGCCGTCGCTGGGTCCCAGGCCGAAAAGTCAAAGTCGTCCCCTTGATTGGGTAGCTCCTTCTCCGCGATACTCGAGATCTTGGGATGAGCGAAGGTTGCTTCGAGTGGAGGGAGGTGGTCTGTTATTGTTTGGGATGGACTAGGGGTGATAGGGAAGGGTACGGGGTCGAGATGAGCCTCGACGATCCGCCGGCCGGGCTGCCAGTAGTTGCCGAGAGCTTCGGGGGAGCGGGAGTGGTGTGCGATGAGCCGGCTCAGGTGAGGTAGACGAGGAAAGACCATCTCGGCGTAGCCCTAACTCAGTCAGCTGTGCTGCAAGACGAGCAGAGGGTTGAGCATGGACTCACGATGAAAGCAACGGTACCGCCCGGCCTGACGCTCTTCGAGAACTCCCTCCACACCTTGGGGTAGTCAAACCAGTGTGCAGCTTGTCCGGCAACGACCAGGTCCACGCCGTCCCTGCCCTGACCGATTCCTGCAGCACCGAGGTCCTCGGCCGAGCCGACGCCGTAGTCGATGCGAGGCAAGCTGGCATCTTTGGGCTGAAGGCCAATATCGACCATCTTCTTGGCTGGGTCGATAGCCTTGACATTGCGGAATTGAGGTGCTAGAGCGAGGGCGACGAAGCCTGCGAGTCAGCTAGGGCCCGCATACAAGGGGACCCACAGTTGAGAAGAGCCGAGACGCACCAGGTCCACAGCCTACATCTAGAGCTCGCTCAAAGCGACCGCCGTTCAGCGCATGATACTTGCATATGGTATCAAATAGGCGAGGTGGGTATGTGCTAGCGAGTCAGCGAGAAGTCGATCTCGCCGAGCTGAGCTGGAGAGGCACTCACGGTCGACAGGCAAGGTACCCCGCGACATCGAAGGAGGCTTTAGCGAAGCTCGTCATGATATTGAATCGATATTCACAGGTATGCACAGGTTAAGATAGAATCGTATGGGCTCATGTGCTGCTACATGGCTCCCTCGTTATATAGCAAGGTGCGAAGCAGATGTACGATGTGGACAGTGGAAGGTCGGACGATTAGCCGAGTTAAGCCGCCAATGCCAAGACAGTCGATTGGCGGAGATATCGGCGCTGGCTTTCGGTGGTATTAATTGCAGCTTCGGCTTTATCTCAAGCATGGTATGGCTATGGTCTAGGTGATACTCGCGCAAGGTGCAGATGTAGCGGTACTCGTATTGATCAGACGGGTCGACAGGGAGGACGAGCATGACTTATGATAGACGCCGCGGCCGAGGGCTTCAGTGAAATGCACGCAGATTGGAAGAGCGCAAAGCTCGCGAGTTGGAATTCACATTCTCATCGTGATACTTCATACTTCTACCTCTACTTACCCAACACTCACTCGCGATGGGAGGCAACAGCAAGAACGACACCAAAGGTCTCTCCTACGTGGCCGCAACCCCTGCCTTCCTCAGAAATTTTGGCAAACCCCAATCTCCGCCTCGACGCGCGGGCGAATCGAGTACTGGTGGTCGTGCAGCGTTACCAGAGCGGCCGAATGATGGGAAATGGGCTGGAGGATCGGACGGGGAGGAAGAGGAGGATGAGTGGGATGCCAAGTTTGGAGGCGGCGGAGATGAGGGACCGCAAGTTGTGGTGTTAAAGGAAGGGAGGCATTTGACGGCTGAGGAGGTCATGCGGGAAAGAAGAAAAGGTTCGTTGAGTCTATCTGTAGCGTAGTCGGTCGGGAATAGAGACTGGACAGGGGCTGACATCTGCAGCGGCAGGCAAAGCCTCTCAGTCACCACCTCCTCCCACATCCATCACTACCCCAAAAGCCAAACGACCAACATCTCCATCTACAATAACGGCCAAGTCGTCAAAACCGATCATCCCAAAACCAAACACGTCGAAACGGAAGTTGGTAGGTGCTGCAGCTGGAGAAGACGACGAGGATGTGGAGAAGAAAGGCAAGATAGGGGAGGCCGGCGGGAAGAAGAAAAAGAAGAAGGGGAAGGGCATGTTGAGCTTCAACGAAGCGGAAGGGGAGGAATGAGGAGCATTTCGAGCTGTCTGTCGAAAAGATAGGCAGCCTGCGCGAGGACGCTGGATGGACTTCTCTTATGCATTGTCTATATTCCGTCTACGACCGGTCCGGTAGGCTCATCCCCTGCCAGCTTTTCCTTCTCCCCTACCAGCTTCTCCCCCTGATTCACCGCCGGTCTATCCAGCTTTTCGCCCTTCAGCACCGTCCTCACCTCGTCCAGCGAGAGCGTCTCGTGCTCTACCAGCGCCTTTGCCAACTGTTCCGTCAGCTCCTACCCCAGCTCATTGTCCTTTCGCCTATCTATTAACTCACAGTATGCAACTCATCCTCCTTCTCCTTCAACAACCCCATGACCCTTCCCATCCCTTTATCCAAGAAACTCCTAATCTCCCCCTCAATCTCATCCTTCTTCTTCCCGCTCAGATACACACTCTCGTCGTCCCCATGCGCAACGAGCCCGACCTTGTCGCTAAACCCATACGAGCGGATCATGCGCGTCGCGACATCGGTCGCGCGCTGGAGGTCGCTGGAGCAGCCGGACGTGACGTCGTCGTGTCCAAAGATCATCTCTTCGGCTGCGCGTCCGCCGAGGGCGACGTCAATCATCGCAGAGTATTCTTTGCGAGAGTACGAGTCTGCAATGTCAGCTCGATTATGCCAAGAGAAGGCTGTCGAAAGCTTACCCTTGTCCTGTTCGGGCAGCTGGAAGGTGATACCGAGAGCCTGACCACGGGGCATGATGGTCCTAGAGAGTCAGCTGTTACTCTCCAGGAAAAGCGATCCCTGGAAGGCAGGCAGCTCACACTTTATGCAGAGGCATAGCACCCGGAGTGTGCAAAGCCACAAGCGCATGTCCGCCTTCGTGGTACGCAGTAGACCGCTTGGACTCTTCCGTGACAAAGTGAGATCTCCGCTCGGCGCCCATGAGGATCCGGTCTGCTTGATCAGCGCCATGACCTCATGCTCAGAAGCGCAGCACCGAGGCATCAGCTCACCTTTTGCCCACTCAAAGTGCTTAAGCTGGACGGTCGTCTGACCTTCCCTCGAAGCTTTGACGGCAGCCTGTAAGGTATCAGCTCAATGTGCGCAGGCTCCGCGGAGGCGAACCGACCTGGTTGACCAGATTCTGCAGATCCGCACCGCTCATTCCCGGACATCCCCTGGCGATGACACTAGGGTCGACATCCACATCGTACGTGACCTCGCCCATGTGGTGTTTGAGGATAGCGACTCGGCCGCGGACATCAGGAAGACCAACCACAACTAGAGCCAGTCAGCTTCGGTGGCCCTGGCAAAAGAGGATCCGCTAGCTCACCATGCCTATCAAATCGACCCGGTCGAGTAAGGGCCTTATCAAGACTCTCCGGGAAGTTGGTAGCCGCAATGATGATGACGCCTTCCATCTGCTCGAAGCCGTCCAATTCGACCAAAAGCTGGTTCAGAGTTTGCTTCATGTAGTGCTGCAAAAGTCAGCTGAGCGTCCTGGTCGAGCCCAGATGTCATCCATATCAACTCACCGCGTCCTTGGCGCTCCGCTTACTACCGATCGCATCAAGTTCATCTATGAAGACGATCGCTGGCGCCTTCTTCTTGGCTGATCCGAAGAGTTCCCGGATACGTTTAGCTATTTCGTCAGCTCCATGTCGTCTCGATGATTCTAGATCACAGCTGCGCGATGTCTAACTGACCTCCGACACCCTAGAACAATCAGCCCAGGCTCTCGCACGTGAAGACGGATAAGGATACTCACGACAAACATCTCGTCGAATTGACTTCCACTGGCAAACAAGAACGGCACGCCAGCTTCACCAGCGACGGCCCGAGCAAGCATGGTCTTTCCGGTACCGGGTGGCCCAGTGAGAAGGACACCCTTAGGTAGCTTCCCGCCGAGCGTAGAGAACTTGTCGGGGTTCCGAAGGAACTCAACGACTTCCTCGAGTTCCTGCTAGTCAGCAAAATATTATTTCCGGGGGACTGCTCCTGCCGCCTCCCTGACAGTACAGCCCGCACCTGTCGCCTACACCAGTTCGTAGAGATCACTCACAGCCTTGGCCTCCTCGCACCCATGTACATCGCTAAACCTGACCACCTTCCCCTCCTCGGCCTCGAACTCGACCGGTCCCGGTCCCGCCTTCAACAGCCCCGTATTCTCCATGACCATCGAGAACACCGTCAACAAGATGAACGCCCAGAACATGGCGCCTAAGAGCCACCGGAAAGCCTTGGCGGGTGTAAATTGCGAGGTCGGGGGTGCGAGCTGGACGTACAGCGGGGAGAGGGGGGTGCCTGTCCCGCTTGCTGAGGCTGGCGAGGTGCCCGCTGACGACGACGAGGACGAAGAAGACGAAGGGGACGTGATCTGCGACAAAAGAGAGGTAGATAGTGGGGATGCCGTTGATGTAGGTGCTGGTGATGATGCAGTAATGTCCGATGATGTTGTAACCGTAGAAGCCGGTGCGGTAGATGGTGATGTCGATGCCGATTCCGAGGACGCAGGTGGTGTGCCCGCCAAGCTCAACCCGTGTCCTAGGCGCTCTACCACCCAGTCTCTCCTCCTGACTTTCGCGGCGACCTCGCCTAGCCTTCCCAGCTTGGCCAATGCCTCAACATACACCGCCCACGCCCGATCATCCCCCACTAGCCCTTTGATCACTTTATCTCCGGCTCCCTCCCCACCTTCCGGGTCCAAACCCAGCGCCAAGACCTCATACCATCTCGCCAGACCCGCTACCTCCCCTTCGGCCAGTAAAGCCTTCAGAAGCTCTAGGTGCTTCTCGACGTCGAGCGATCCGGGCTCGGCGGAGAGGGACGTCTCGAGCGCGGCGATGCGCGATTGGAAGGCCGTGAGGGGGGCTTCGTCGGATGAGGGATAGACCGGCGTGGATACTGGAGGAGGGGAGGCGTGTCGAGAAGGAGAGGTGCTAAAGAGCCGACGGGGCGAGGATGGGGAGGAGGAGGGAAGCGATCGGATCGCGGTGATGATGGATCGCTGAGCTGTAAGCTTTGGCTCCCCCTTGCGTGTTTGGGTCATCCAAGCGACAGAGAGGTACGACTCAGCGTACATTATGTCCTAGACCCAGTGACCCAGAAGCGACTCCTATCCTGCCTGATGACAACCCCGCTCGGAGGGAAGTAGCACATCGTGCACCCCCGAACAGCTCCTGCAGGAGCGCAGGCGATCGGAACGCCATTCCTGCGTGTACGGATGTGATCAGCAGACGCGCGTCTATCCGTTCACTCCTAGGCGATGAGCAACCTAATGTCTAGCTCTGGCGATGTATGAGGTGAAAGTGAAGCAAGACCATCGAGGTATACGAAATTCACGATGCGACATCGCCAGTGCGCCGCCGTGTTACGTCAGCCGATTGAGGCCTATTGTTCTCTCTCACGTGCACGAGCTCATGGCCAGGTTCCTCTGGCACTTGTAAACCGTCAATATTATTCGTACCCAAATTAAAGCTCATTTTCGCTTCTTAATCCTCCGTTCTTTCGACGTACATGGTCTGAGACTCAATCCACAACTTGCTGTCTCTTCAGTTTTTCCTTATGCATTAGTTTATCTTGAGTTGTACGAATGGCTCATTTTGCCTTGATCACCTGAATCTGAGGGTTATCGTTATCGTGGTCAAACGTTACGGCAACGTGGAGGTCCGTGCGTGTCATGCATCGAAGGCGAGAGCTAATTTTTAAGAAGCAGATCCCTTTGTCTTGCTTCACCTTGACACGTCTCCTCTTCTACTTCTTTCTCGAACACACCATGTCCCTCCCCGTCAAATGTTGCTGTGTTTACGAAGAGCAGAGCCGAGGTCGCCCAGTCGTACATTCTTCTGTGAGTTTCTCATGAGGCAGGTTCCCACGGTCTACCAGTAACCCCGCTGATCATCCAGCCGTGCCCCGTACACTCTGAGACTTCGTGAGTTCCTCCTTCGCAGGAGAGTCAATGCGGACGCGGATATCTTGGTCATGTACCTGGATCGTCAGCGAATCTGATCTCTAGCATTTCCTCTGTGGGATGCCGTTATTGTTACGTGATGATTACGTACTTCGTCATATAATGAACACACGATAAAGTCCCCTCTCCGAGATACAGGAGCTTGCGCCGTCCCCATCAACCTCTGCAAAGCGGAATCCGACGATCGTTCCGTAACTCCCGTTGGTGACGCCTTGGGGTGTCGATATGTTGGAATACAGCAAGACTATCATGCCGAGAGTGAAGAACACTACAGACTCGAGACCGTCATGTACCGACGGCGACGCGTTCCGCAGGCTATCCTCTTGGTCCGGCGACGGTGTGGGAGTATAGAGCGCGCGGATGCGATAACACGGCTGGCGGTAAGACCGGGCGAACTCGACGGCTATGGGGACGGCGGGGCACACCGCCTTCGCGGCCGGTCAGCGTACAGGTCTCAAGGATCATGATGACTTCGACGCCACCGTCAAGCATACAGCGCAGGTGGTCGAAGGAATCATGGGTCCTGGCGCTAGGATCTACCCGTGAGTATTGCGGCCGAATACCCGTACTCAGCTGACTTGCCAGTAAGGAGCCCAAGGGACGGATCTCCTTTACACACAAGTTTGACGACGAGGACAAGATCGCAATGCTCAAGGCCCACAATGCCAAAAATTCTTAGTAAGCCCGTTCATCCTTATTTGGTTGATATGTGTTGACGATTCAGCTGGTTCCCGCATATCTACGATGCTCGCCAAGGCCTCGATAACGCCTTCGCCATGTCTGACGTGTCGATCTTGTACGGCAACCCGGATGTACTGATCCAATTCAGCATCAAGGTTTGGAAGCCGACCGGTACGAGCAAGTCGGTTCCGTTCTGGCAGGGTTACTCCCCTTTGGCGTGAGTGCAGTTCATTCGGTTGACTCAATAAATCGAATCTGATTTTAGAAATCCCAAAGCCAACGTTACGGGGTGGTCTCAATCGTATGAGCTGAAGGCGATCTACGTCTTAGGACACAGCGCAGGCGGTGTTCCCCGGGTCAAAGCCAGTCCCAAGAAGCCCAAGGGCCTCGGCAAGGCTCGGTGCTAGTAGCATCGTGGGACTCGTGTGGTGTTGTTATCGGTTGTCATCTTCATTAGTATGCATCTGTGTGATCATCGCTTGCTATGTGATATAATGGTTTTGACACCTAACTAAGATTGAACTTTTGAACCTGGCCATGATGGGGGGAGCATTTACGTTCAACGGCACCACAAACCCAAATCCCCTACTCCGCGACGCACATCCTCTATGCAAGGCTATGGATGGTGGAGCTGAGATTAGGTGGTCTGATAGGCAAGCATAGGCAGTAGACAAGCACACTAGCTTTCGTATGTGGAACAATTCTACCTATACCCATACCCACCCTGCTGTCCCGTCGGCCAAACCATCAACGGCTGCTGCAGTGGTAGCAGCCCTGGCCCTGGTGCGCCCATGACCCCCATGCCCGCCTGCCCCGACGGCACGTTATACACCTGCCTCATCCCCTCTTGCACACCTCCCCATCCATACCCCTCTTGCACACCCTGCCCGGCGAGATCCGCCCCGCCCCATCCCGGCTGACCTGGCTGCCCGGCTCTTCCGCCCCATCCAGTCGACCCGCCCCCCTGGTTCCACCTCCCCCACCCTCTCCAGCCCGTTACTGGTCTTCCCCATCCACCGACCCCTGCTCTCCCTGCTTTCCTATAGGGATTAAGAAAATGATCCGGATTGTCCGCGAGGAATTGTGCCTGATCGTGCGGTTTCAACCGGTTGAACGCTATGATCTATACTATCAGCTGATCGTCTCCTTCCTCCTTCAAGTCCAGACAGCACACGACACTCACCTCGCGCTTAGCTTTCCGCCTGCTCCGGACATACAACACCAACCCCACACATCCCGCAAAAGCCAACACCGCGCCCGTGACTCCCAGTCCGATCCCCAGCTTCTCCGTCGAGCTGACGGTATGCTCCTCGAGGGGTAGAGCATCCGGAAGATTCGTGCTCAGCCCTGCAAAGAGGGTGTAGGTGGAGGTAGGCGCTCGGGGGATAGGTCCTCCGGTCGGGAGGGGGGAGAGGGAGAGGAGGTGTGTGGCGAAGAAGGACTTTTGAGAGACTAGGGGGAGGCCGCAGGTTGAGTTGGTCTATATATCAGCGGGATCCAGCGGAGTCAGATGTAGAGGCGAATGATATAGTAAACAGTTTCACAATGAATGAGTAGGCAGGACTTACGACTGTGGGCTGGATGAAGGTCTGATTTACGACGAACATGTACCACCCGGGCCGGTGGAAGATGAACGGGTAGCTGACGGGGTAGTCTTCCCCCGTGGCGCTATGTCGTCAGCTTGTGATTTTTCGGGGGAATGCTGGCTTCGCCTGTGACAAAGGTAGCTTACCCACAAAGACCGCCAGAGGCTGGAGGTATGGCCAGAGCCGACCCTGGATCGGCTGTTCCAGAGTTTGGGAAGACATTTACCTTCCCGTCAGCGAGTACGTTGATAGCTTTGTCTCGGAGGATACGGGACATACAGCATAGTCAGGCAAGATGAGAAGTGGATTCACTAGTCGAAGCCATCCGCCAATAGTTGGCGCTGGGCGAGGGACGACGTCGACAAAGCCGAGGTTGTATCCGACCTCTATCTGTCAGCTCCCAGCTGGATGTTTGGACCTGATAGTCGGTACTCACCGACAAAGATCTCATCATACGGATTGGGCATGATTAGTCCCACGGTAGCTGCCAGTGGTATTGGCTTATCCGCCACCTCGAGTGTTTTGGTGATGATGAACTCATGGGATGAGCCGGAAGATGTCGATGGAGTGGGCGGCTCGGTTGGCGAGGCGGAAGAGGCTGTGATTGTGGGGAAGAGTGGCAAGCTGGATGATACAGTGGACGCGTCTTGCCGTCGAAGCGGAGGCGGCGTCCGGTAGGGCAGAGGAGCTGAGGCGGCTGCATATCGAAGGAGAGGTAGGAGGGCGAGGAGGATCGGAAGGCGAGCGATCAGCGGCTTCATGGCAGGTGGATCATCAGTATAGGTCAGATTCAATGGTGAGATGTCCCGATCTACTGGTGAGAGATGCTGTGTCTGTGTGTGCTTCCCATACCTTCCTTTGACTTTTACCTTTTGCTGCAGTGGTGAAAGTGAGGGCAAGAGGCGCGTAGAAGATGGCTCAACGTCGGCTCAGCCAGCTGAAACGGCGGTGATCGCCGCTGTGCCGTACCTTTGTGCCTGGTCCCTGACTATGACGCGTCGTTTGAGTTTAGGAGGCGGCTCCGAGGCCAAAGCTTTTCGGGACGGACCTTAGCTTCTCAACAACCCTAGCCTGCCCCTTTGACCTTCCATACTTCACCCTCCTCTGCATTCATACCATACTCATCAGCAGTTCAGTCAAGATGGCGCTCACTGACGGTCTCATCCTCAAGGTACGCAGAAATTTCCTTCTGGTCCACCGGGCTGCCTGGAGAGGCTGGCCTGGCCAGACCCACCCTGCCGCCACCACCTCCCTTTGTCAAGCGCTAAGGCTCACTCTGCAGATTGCGAACATTGTCGTGTTCGCCCTCTCCCTCGGCTCCAATGTCTACGGTGTTGCCGGTCCAGAGGACATGTACGGGTCGAGCAAGACCACCTACATCACCCCGAGCTACTATGTGAGCTTTGAGGTGCAGAAACTATGCGCGTGGCCGGGACCGAGCTGACCTGTCAGGCGTTCTATGTGTGGTCCCTCATCCACCTGCTCCTCCTCGGCACCATGGTCTACCAGTTCACCGAGCGCGGCAAGGCTATCGTGATTGACTCTATTGGCTGGCGCTTTGTCCTCCTCGGCTTGTTGTGAGTTGGACTGCCCCTGCCGGTGTCCCCTTAAGGCCGTGCCTCAGCTGACCCTTCAGCAACGCTGTCTACGTGTTCTTCTGGGCGCGCCACTGGTACATTCTCGCCTTTGTCCTCTCGCTCCTCGTCTCGGCCACCGTCAGCCAGATCTACTACGTCGTCAAGAAGAACCACTCGACACGCGAAGGTCTCGGCGAGGAGTTCTTCGTCCACCTCCCTTTCTCCCTCTTCCACGGATGTAAGCTCGCAACTCTGATTTCGTCCTTACCGAGCAGCCAGCTGACGTTTCAGGGACCATTGTCCTCGTTGTGCTCTCCGCTTTCGAGGCGTTCGGCGTCAACGCCCACACTCACCACGCCGGAATCTGGACCAAGGTCTTTGTCTTCTTCGGCCTTCTCTTCCTCTCGTCCACCAGCTGCGCGTACGCCTTTGCTTCGCGCGAGGGTGATGCTGCTGGTGCGGCTGCCATCTCGTGGGCTCTGTTTGCCATCTGTAAGCTTTGAAATTCTCGAAGGTTATTAGACGAGGCAAAGAAGCTGACAACTCAGTCATCCATCAGACGAGCTCCAAGTTCATCCACTGGTCGGCGTTGGCCTTCTTCATTCTCTCGCTGTTTGCCATCCTCAAGTCGCTCTAGTAGGCTTCCTTCCAGGACTCTGACTCGGTGTCATGGCGAAACCAAGCTGATAGCTCAGCACCACCATCGCCAGCGGCCGGAACGCGCTGCACGACGAGGAGCGCGCTCCTCTCATTCAGGGTTCCAGCTAAGCAGCTAAGTGGCGGAATCAAGATGAGGTCACGGGCGCATGACCGTCGGGAGCGGAGGCGGGATAGGCAGACCCTGATGTTGAGGGGTATCTAACGTGTTGGCGATGAATTGTGAATAGGAACTCATGCATGTGTGATGATAACGACATGCCATTGTGAGCGGCGACGCATGTGTTGATCTGAGCTGGGAGCCCAGGAGGTCATCGCAGACGCGCACCGCGGCTACGCGTCCTGAACGTTCGACCAACGACCAAGACCGATACCGCCATGAAGCCCGCGTGGGGTAGTCGCAAAGCCCCGATGCCACGCGATGTCGTAGAGTTGTTGCCCCATGCCCAGTCGCATACATGTCGCAAGAGGGGATATCAGGGGCAGCAGGCAAGCGAGGCCGAAAGTCGTAGATGAGAGGTTGCGATAACACCGCCAAAGTCCGTACCATAGAATCAGATTTTTCCAGCCGCTTCTCAGATGGAGATACGCCGCATTGCGCATGT